CGGAAGACCTCCAAGCAGACTGGAAGCCAAAGGATGCAGCTAGAAAGCTCATTCTGAAGATTGTCAATGCTCTGACTTCAAAATTAGAAATAGGAAGCCCCATGGCTGCCATGTACCTATTAGACCACCCAGACCATTATACTGACCATGAGTTTGTCCCTTTCTGGTGGCAAAGTTATGTCAATGAGATTGAGCGCCAAGAGCGATGTCATCTGGAACTTGATACTCAGGTTGAAGAGGAAGAGTATGTCTGTAAAGATCTTTATGAAGGACAGGAAAGTGACACTGAAGATATTGATGATATTGACAATGATCCTGGTGATGTGTGGAGTGATACTGAAACACTAAATGGAGAAGACAAGGATGCTACTGAAGATGAAGAAGAAGGCAGAGATGAGAAATTTAAGGGTGGTGGATATATTCCCGAAGATAAGGGCATCCTGCTGTATGAGGAGGGGAAAGTGATTTATAAGACTGCGGTAGACAATTATAAGTATCGTCCTCCTATTTATGAGCATCTGAATCTCGTTGACTGGATAACATACAGTCAGAAGAAGACCTTTTCCAAAAAGAAGAGAGAGAGGATGGAGAAAGAGGATTTAGAACGAGATGAATCATCTGAAAGTGAGTGGGCAGACATTGATGAACTGAATACTGTCAAATATGTCAGATATCATAAGGATCATCCCCAGTACTCCAGCCAGGAAGTGAATTGTAATATTGAGAGGACTTAAAAGTAGTCAAGATTACAGAAGTATTTTCAGCACCAGTCCTGTTAAGTTTTGTCATGGAAGGTAAAAAGATTATTCCTAGTGAAACTTTGACTGTGAAAGTGAATGGTCATCCAGTATTGTACCACCTAAAAGGCCTTTTATATGGTGGTGATAATCATTTCACTTGCCGCTTTGTGGATCAATGTAACAGGATTTGGTACCATGATGGTATGGCTAGAAAGGGTGAAGGCTACTATGAAGGTGACATAACCACTGACTTTGATCTCAAAGTACTTCAGAAAGCTGGAAGAAAATCATTGCCATGCATATGCATTGGCCCGTATACTAGTTTTTATTATATATGATAATTGTTGCAAGTTCAATCCCTATAGGTACCACTTATTTCTACTGTATATATACTTTGTTATAAGAGCTGTAACTTGATTTCTGTCATAATAACTTGCAATGAGAAAATACAATGATTCTAGCCTAAAAGAAGCACTATTCTGGGTGCAAGCGCAAGCACACCACAGGTGTGCGCCAGTGAGCGCCATCAGCATTACACCTCCCATAGACATACTTGTAACCTGCCAAGAGCATGCAAATTGGCCTACAGATCAAGTAGTTTCCCTCAAACTATGGCCAAAACTACTTTAAATAGTTTTTCAAATAATTTTCAAACAACTATCTCAGAAGTATTTGGAAGAACAAAGGGGCGGAGTCCAAAATAGTTCCTGGATAGTTTGGATGAAAACTTAGGCTTGTTACCATCCATTACACCATGTGATTGATTGAGTCAAGTCACCCTGGTGTAACAGCTGAGACAAACAAAGTATTTGTTTGGGAGACCTGCGCGCAGTTGTGGGACTTAGAATAATTTCGCTGATGCATGACCAACGGCACCTATCCAGTTGACAAAACATCGCATTTTGAGGTTCTATACATACATACACATCAGAAAATGTAGGTTACTCATGGTCCAGTCTTCGTCAGAAGAAGAAGATTCACCGTTGCTATCCATTTCCCAATCAAAATTGGGGGCAACTCTTGGCAAGAGCATCCCCGTCGAAAGAGACATCCATCAACAATTCCCAAGGTAAAGTATCATCAGCGACACCATTCTGGATGTCTCATAGAATCTGGACGAGCTCTGGTTCCTCGTCTTCATTATATGGGACCTCTTTCTCAATGGCTTCAATGGCCTGGTCCAAGGAACCCCATATGCTGCATGTGTTGAGATCAGTAATCTGATTGCTATCTCTACCGGGTATACAGCTCACATGCAATCTCTTGCATATGCTCAATACCTGTATCACACTACGTTGAACTAGACCGGATAGCTCAGTAGTTAGAGCATCCACCTAGTGTTGGGTCGGTCCTCGGTTCAATCCTGGGTCTGGTCGTTTTCTTCTCTCACTATGTGATTTTTCACAGTATGGGCCTCCTTATCGTCTTCTGCACCTGCTGGACCTGCATCAACACCAACCTATCACCATCCCTATTACTACCCATATGTCTAGCCAACTCACCTTGATCCATATCAACAACTGCAACAGGCTTACTCATCCCCCATCTAGACTGTCCGGGGGCCGGTCCAGGGCCGGTCCGGGCACTTTTTGATGGCCCTGGCCCTGGCCCTCTAGGTCCGGTCCACGCTCAGCCTGGCCCTGGCCCTCGTAAGCAGGGCCAGGGCCGGGCCGGGTCAGACCCGGTCCACCTAATATATTTTCCCAGGGTCCTTTATATCGATTTTTTAGTACAAATCAACTTAGTCAAAAGAGTTCTAGGCATTATATACTTTACAAAACATCATATGTGTCAAATTTAGAATCTTCTCACTCAATTAGGTACTTGTAACTGGTGCATCAAATGACTAATACCATTCCAGAAGCTAATAAGAGTATGGTTTCACCTGTAATATGTACTTTTTCTCATTCTGAGATTGCTCTAAATGGTTTCTAGGGATCATACCCCAAAAAAGTAACGGAAATAGCATCAAAATATGAAATATTTACAACAGGGCCGGCCCAGGGTCGGCCTGGGTCCGGACCTAGGGCCAGGGCCAGCAGATGGTTGGCCCTGGCCCTCTCAAATGAGGGCCGGGCCAGGACCAACCCCTGGACAGTCTACTCCCATCCCGCAGTATTACCCAGTAAGGTATGCTATGTATAGTGAAGGACATGGGTAACCTGCGGGTAAATTTACCCCTACCCGTACCCGCGCCTACCCATACCGGGTATTCCGCACAAAATGAGCCCAAGAACGTCCAAAACGGACGAGAAATGAGCGCACTATGAGTCCGGCCCCCAGGAGAACCTCCCACGTATGCGGGAGGGTGTAAGGGGACCAGACACTTTCCCTGGCTTCTCCAGTATCACCGGCCCCTATGTGGAGTAGGGTAAGCATGATTACAAGAGGGGAATGCGCAGAGTCTCGATCACTGGGACGATGTGCGTCATATTTCCATTTCGGGAAGTGTTTTCCCACGGTCCCTCCAAAGCCTTTCCGACACGGCTCGCTCCACTGATGTGTCTCAGATGCTCCACAACATGGGTGGCTGCATCAACTGTATAGTTTAGTCCCACGGTCTCTAGTAGTCGATCATCGTTGCTCCGCACTGACAGGGTTCCTTAGGCTTTTGTCTTTGGATTCTCCCCTGTCAGACCCGTGTGTGAGTGTCCACCGGTGCAGCTAGGGTTGCCCTTACAGAGGGTCTATTCTCCTGGGGAAATCTGCCGTTTTACTGCGAAGATTCCCGCCACTCCAGGAGGAAGTTCGTCCTGCGAGTGCAGGGATCAACACTCAAAAAGAGGCGATAACCTGCTGTACAAGCAGGGATCGAACTGAGGGGCAGCAAGAGGCAGAAGGGCCAAGTACACACTGCCTTACACACTGCGCCAACACTACTTGATATATGGCGTAATATTGAATACTTTAGTATCAAACTTCGTTGACGAAAAAAAATGAATTAATTGTCTCAAGACATCGTCTATTCCTGCGCTTCTTCATCAGAATTTCGAGGGAACACTTTGCAAACAGTATTGGCAGTGGAGGGTGGAATCAAATGTTTCTTATTTTCATGAAGAGCGGTTTCTAAGGAACTGATACCAGATACTGTACAATAGCAAGTCGTATTTTTTATCCTAAGTCAAAGGCGATGATTTCGAGATATCATATGTCGACGACGACTATGGCGAAAATTTGAACGGGTGTTGGTGTAGTGGAAAGAGAGGCAGCTACTCAGTCATTCTCCCTCTCGCAATCTCTCAGTTCGATCCCACCTCGCACGGCATCTTTTTGAGTGTCGATCCCTGCACTCGCAGGACGAACTACCTCCCGGAGTGGCGGGAATCTTCGCAGTAAAACGGCAGATTTCCCCAGGACTCATAGTGGCGAGATACACTTGATTTAAGTAAAATCAAGTGTAACCCGCCCATTTCATGGCCGTTTTGGACGTTTTCGGGCTTGTTTTGAAGGGCGCGGGTACGGCAAACCCTTACCCGTACCCGTACCCGCGCGTACCCGTACCCGTAACCCGCCGGGTATCAAAAACCCGTGTCCATCACTAGCTATGTACCTGCCTCCCCCTCCTCATCCCCCGCCATCAGCGCCGCAACCGCCCCCATCCTGATAAGTTGTTAAAAGTCCCCAAAATTGAACTATTTTAAGTTACCTTTAGTCGGTTTGTTTTGTTTCGATACATAACTCCATTAACGATAGCAAGAAAACATCTATTTTTTTAGAACTTTTGAGTGTGTTTTTTCTAAGTCGGACAACCTTTCGAGGGTCCCTATAAGAAATGTTTCGTTTTGCCCAGACTCAGTCGGTACTTGACGTTGAGCTTTGTTTGCGGACCCTTCCTAATAGAGTATATTTTTTGATGAGTTGTGTCTTATTTGCCAACCACCTCAGGAAGCAAACAAAGCCGCGTCAAGTACCGACTGGTCACGAGTCTAATGAAAACTGTTTTGAACTATTCAACGTAGTTTTTCAAATAGTTTCGTGCAAACTATTATCGTTTGCATGCGGTGCACCGAGGGATATGGGTTATTGCAGTGTTGACAGTACTGACACTACGGAAATTGTAGCAATCGGGGGTCGTCGTGTGACATAGCAATTTAGTTTTTGTCACAGCAACCCACCCTCAATCTCGCGTGACATAGCAATTTTTGAGATAGGAATCGACCATTCAGGAAGCAAAAAAGTCCACTTAGGACGAGAATCGACTGCGCTCTCTACAACCAGAAGATAATCAGATCGGAAATGGAGCAAACACCGCCTTAAACGCTAGCCCAGATTCAAAACAAAACTGTATACAGCCGTGACACTATCGTTTACTTCGTAGCAATTTAGCCCTGGTGTGACATGACAAAATGCGAGATAGCAATGCAATCGCAATTTGTGACGTGACAAATTGCTACAATTTCCGTAGTGTCAGTAGTCCCATAATTCAATCAGCCTCTCAAGTTTAAAGGGATATGTACCTTAGCCAAAGATTGCAGAAAAGAAGAAGGTATATACTGTATAGTCGCAAGTTGTAGACAATACAAAAAGTTAACGGTAATAGTATGGTCACCGAAGAAAAAAAATCAGGCAGGCACGCGACAAGATTCTCAAAGCAGAAAGACACCAACGCGCAAAAGACACCAACCACCCTCCATATCAGTCCTCCCGCTTCTCATCGCCCACGGTCTATTACCCACACGCCTTACGCCTGACCGGAATTGTTCGAGTTGTTCGAAGCGTCCCCGTTCGCACGGGGATGGCTCCCTCTGGTCAACCCGGCAGCCGAAAGGCCCCTCGCAGCAAACCCTCCACCGCCCCGTCCACGTCCCCGTCCTCCAAAGCCGCCTCTAAACGAATCCCTAGCATCACGATCTTGAGCCTGCTTGACCTCTGGCACGACATCATGGTATTTCTGGTAGCGTAAAGTCAGTACTTTGTGGTTGCCAAGGAGGGAATAAAAGGTTGCGCACCTCGTTATGCTTCTCCAATCCAGCCTTCATCGCTTCTTCGTCGCCAAACTCGACATATGCAAGCTTGGCACGTCCGGGATAACCGTGAGGCAAATTGACGCGAGTGATCTACCAAAATACATTAGGAAGGATGCCAACAAAAGCAACAAACCACTCACCCCATCCTTGGCTTCACCAAAGAACTCCCTAATCTCCTCTTCGTTGACCTGAACAGTACTGGGCATCCTCATAAAGATGGTCCAAGGATTACGAGGCGGCTTGCCCGTCTTGGGCGTCCGAGCACCCGCACTTCCTTCCGTCGGACTCTTCAAATCTTCCCCATCAACCTTTGAGCTCGTGTCCGCCTTCTCCCCTCCCTCCGCCGCGTTCTCTGGTGGAACCGGGGATGAAGTCGACACATTAGCTCCCGAGGTATCAGGTGTGTTCGCTCCGCTTGTCTCCCTTCCACCAGTCTTCTCCTTCTTTTTGTCCTTCCGCTTGTTGTCTTTCTTCTCGTTTGGGGTCGAACCGTTGGTTTTTGGAACAGGGCTAGCGGTGCCGTCTTTAGGCTCTGGCTCGCTGGCGGCAGGGGCAGAGGAAGGCGGTGGTGTAGAGGCTGCAGACTTGTTTGCGAGATGGGGTGGGATGGATTTCTCGGGGACGGGGGTGGAGGTTTTGGTTGGAGGATTGTTGGTAGCAGCGTTGTTCGTAGTGGCAGGTAGAGGTGAAGAAGCAACGTTGGGAGTGGCGGCGACGGTGGTGTTGCGTCGGTAAGCATAGTTGAAACCTATCATTCATCAGTTTCAGTTGGAATAAAAAGAGGAGTCGATACTCACCTTGAGACTTGAGCTCAGCGCTAATTCGGCCCTCCTTGACGTCCAAGATGAGAGAGCCATAAGCAGCGTCGCACAGATTCCAATTCCAGCAATTCTTCCAAGCAGGTTCTTCGCCGGTAGCCGTCGCACCAGGGCCGGTGGAAGGCTGAGCTGGTGGCAAGCGCTCTACTACACTGAGAGCCTTCTCGAGGAGAATGCGCTGATTGTCATCGATGACGGCGTCGACCTGGTTCTTTACGGTATCCCAAACCTTGTCAAAGGTCTCCTTGCCCAAGAGCAATTTGTGTCGGAAACCCTCAAAGTCGCCCTGGACACTGAATTCGTTGTAAGATGTAGCGTAGCGGAAATGCAAACCGGCGGAGATGGTCAAATCTGCCTTGAGGACGAGTGCTAGCTGGGCAATCATACCTTCCCGACCGGGACTTGCGTGTGTGACGAGAAGACGCGTTTCGGATTGATCAAAGACGCGCTGAGCGGTGTCGACCAACTCTCCGATCTGAAGGGCAGTGGTCCACATTGTTCCTTGACCGCCAGCGATTGTGGCGTTGCCGTCGCCATTGTCAAACAACTTGTGGGGCACGAAAGCACCTCCAAGTCCGAGCAACCTCAGCTTGACGCCTCCAACGTCGAGACAGCGAGTGGTTGCCTCATCGATGATGTGAAGGTTTTCGATACTGTAGGCGCCTGATCTGAATTTTTCGATGACTTGGACGTCCTCGCAAGCACCCCAAACTGTGTAAACGGGGATTTGGAGTTTGATTTGACCAGAAAGAAGGAGAGGAAATTCTGAAAGGAGTTCGATGTTGACGGTTGAACGGATGACGGAGGGAGGGTTGTCGTTTGAAAGCAGATGAGTGCGCTGAGCTGAGGGAATAAGGGGCGAATACATGGTGAGATGTCGAAGAGTTCTGTCATTGATCTTTTCGAGACTGGTAGACTCTGGATGATAATTAGTTGATAGTTTGAAAGAGAAGGGGAGCCAAAACTGACCGAAAAAGCCAAAGTCACCGGTATGGATGATTGCTTTCGCGTTGGCGTCGCGCGCCAGGTCATTCAAAGCTGAAAGACGGCCACGAATGTCGGCGATGCAGAGGATGCGACCATGGTGTGTGTCGATGACCTTTGTCTGAGTGTTGACCTGGTAAGATTGTTTTGGAAGAGGAGAAATGGCTGGACGAGTTGAAGAGGAAGCTGGTCGTGACATTGTCGGCGCGGAAAGAGCGACTTGAGAATCCTAAAGAACCGCGCCAAACACCAAACTCCTCCTTCGGCAAACGCCGGCGCTCACTTATTCCCCCTTCACTCATGTCGAATGGCTCAAAACACCGTCCTGGCCGCAATTCTGCACCTACAAAATTCTCCAGGTTTTGTATACAGACAATACAATGCCCCTGACTACGACGCATGTGAACTCGCCCGACGCACAGTCGTCGATGCCTCCACAGACATCCTAAACTCTGTCCATGTCGCCGTACACGGCTCTCCCAGTCCATGTCTCTACCTCTTCCTCATCACCAGTGCAGAAGCCGTTCACGATGCAATCGCTCGCGTAAATACCTACGCCTTTGATTATCTCCAGGGTGCGTGAACTTTACCCGGTTGTCTTGCTGTTCACACTAACTGTGTCCCAAGGTACCGAACCGGCTTTCCTACCTCTCGACCAGCTATCAAGGTAGATATAATCCAAGTCTGCGTGTCTTTTACACTGACACCCAATTCTCAGGCCAACGACGACCGATGCTTCTACTACCGAGATTTATTCGCTCTTCCTCGACGCTGTTCGCTCAAGGGCAATAGCAGACATTGTAGACACAGCATCCACACTACCCCGGCACGTCCACCGTTTCAAAGACGGCTTCATAATCCACCGCACGCCTGCCGTGTCAGATTGGGCAGCAGGATGGGAACACAAGCTACTCAACAGGTTAGTCCCACATTCTTTCCCAAGTGCCGTACTCATCACCCCCCAGACCCGTCGTCTATTTCCATCTTCAGATCCACTTTGCCTGCTCTGCTGGTGCTGACTCGCCATCCCATCTGCTAATCCACCTCACTCCCATCTCAACCCCATTTTCCAATATACCCATTAACACTGCCCTTCGTCCCGGATCACCTATCATCCTCTTGCCGTACGGAACCCCTGCCTACTTCCTGGCTTCTTACAACGGCCCATCCAACGCTTTGACTAAACTCTTCGATGACTCCCTCAGAGGCTTAGGCGCTGGTCGTTGGTCACTTGATGGTCAATCTGCCTCCTCGCCCCCTTTCATCATCGGGTGGATACGAGTCGAGAATAAACAAGGCGAAGATAAGGGTACCCCTTTTGTCTGGCCAACGCGACTTTGTCTCTCGTATCTCCCTTCCCACCATGTCAAACCACTGGATCCCTTGCCCGAACTTCCTGCTGCCTTGCAAGCTTCGCCCCTGCTATCATCGCCAACTGTCCCGGCCTTTAACGACCTCCCGTCGCCTCCCTCCGCGCTCAGCCACCTACCCTCGGTAAAGGCTTTGCACAGCTTCACTGTGTCAAAGTCCAAAGATATCCGTCAACTCGCCGCTGAGGTCAGCTCCTACGTTGATGTCGTGGCTCGCGATCGTGAAAGAGAGCGGGAAAGGCTAAAGAAGGAGCGCGAGGCAGGATCTTCCCCGAAACTGATGCGCAAGTCCGCCCCGACACCCACACAACCTACTGCATCATCAACCCCAAAGCCGCCACAGCCACCGCCAGCCCAACAGGCCGTTGTCGACCAGATCTTTTACCCCTCACCTCCACAAACTACCTCCCTACCCACCGCACCCGAGTATATCCCTCCCAAACCGGTTCAGGAAGCCACCCAGCCTACCTTCTCGCAACCACCTCCACCTCCGCCCGCTCCAGTCCAGAATGGAGATTCCTCGCAGAAGTCCTTTGACCTTTTTGGCAATGCCAATTCCAACTGGTCTCAAACATCAGATTCCTACTTCAGCGATATGGATTTTGGGATGGACGTCGACTTCAACAACATGAACTCGGGGTCCAACCAAGCCAACAATAACTACACGAGCCACGAAAGTGCTCTCGACTTTGACTTTACAGAAGACGACTTTAGCTTCTTCGATCAACCATCGAAAAGCAGCACCCTTCCTAAACCTACCTCATCCGTGCTACCTACACCCGGTCACGATCAAAGTCGGTTCACTCCCAACACCTCACCTCACAAGACTTCAACAACGGCACCCAACGTCGCTCGAGGATTGGAAGACATTCACCTTTCTGGACCAGGACCCCCTTCAGCCGGTTTCCAAACACCATGGACACCAGGGGACATGTTCACTCCCAGATCCGCCGGGGACGCCACCGATTCCCATCATCCGCCCGACCTCGTGCCCTCCTCACCAGGTCCATCCCCTGAACCACCCTCCGGCCCTGGAACACCCACCGTCCAAATCAACTTTGAATTCACTGGCGGAAAAGGCAAATCTACAAACGAACATGCCTCGGGTCTCTTCGACCCCATCCCTTTTGCACCGTACCACAGCGAAGTAGACAGCAAATACTCGTCTGGGAAGTTTGCGTTAATCAGCCCTCCCTTGACCGACATCACTACCCCCTCCTCTTCTCCCCTATCCGAAGAAGGCCAAAGCTGGCGTAAGCGTTATGAATCTGCCACAGACCCTCGACTAGGCGTTGTGCGCCAGCTGATTGGGGTGAAGCGCAAACTCGAAGCTGTGGCTAACACGCACGCTAGACCCCGCGCATCATCCACCCCTTCTTGGCTCCAACAATGCGAAGACTGGTCTTCCGATCCCAATGCCATGGATGTAGACACCAATGACGACGATGACGGTCAATCCGACATGGACTCGGACGATGACTCTCTTCAACCCGATTCCGAGTTGGAAAGTCCGGCTCTATCCCGCCCTGCAACACCGCCACCATCCTACCTCCCACCAGGCCCTTCTCTCTTGCACCACAAATTCGACCATACCCAACTTCTCCCAATAAGTACACCCTCCCGTCCACCTGGGAGCTCTTCCTCTGCATCCCACGTCCGCGATCGGGAACCGTCCGCTGGGCCCATCCCATCTGTCCCTACACCCGTGTCACCCGCTGCCATGCCGGGCGCCACATCCGAGAAAGTCAAGATGTTACAGGAAGTCGCTATCGCCGTGGCCCAAGAGTCCGTCGAGAACCCTCTCTGGGCAGAAGCATGGGATACAGTTAACCGCACATCTACGCTTTCGAAACGGAATCAAGCTCCCATGAACATTTGGCCAGATGATCTCAGAGTTGGGGCTGAATTGTTGGGAAAAATGAAAGCTGCAGAAGGACCGTTGGATCTGACGCGCCTGTTCAACCTCCGTGAGTCTGAGTCCTCTAGCAACGAGATTGTCCTCAACAGCCAAACAGAACCCAGCAACAAGCCGCTCCAGCCACTCGAGCAGCCGCACATCTCTGTAGGAAAAGGCCAAGCGATCATCCAGGTCCTACCCTCGGCTTTGCGGTTTGCAGACAAGCTGGGATTAGGTCCCAAGAATGGTACCAAGGATCTCGATGTCTACACCATTTTTGAGGAGGGCGACGAACATCGGCGGAGCCGTGTGGATAGCTGGCTATCCACCGTCTCCTCAGCCTATTCTGTGCGTTTCTGACATTCTGGTATTGCTTTGTCGTGAAACTAACACGTCATATAGACAAGGTCTTTTGGGGCATTCAGAAGAGGAAAGAGCGCTAGCGCATCCAACGGCCTATTCCCTGCGCGACTCGATTCCAATTTCCGCAAGACCCTGAGTACGCCTTCAACTCCTTCTTCTAATAGTCACAACTAAACCCTTCTCCAGGCTCCTTGCTCTCAAATCTGCCGCCTTCCAACCATCCAACGCTCGTCCTGCTTATTATCCCAGTCTCGTTAATGACCCTATCCTCCCCTTCCCTCCGACACATTATCTCCTCGACCAAGAAAGCGGCCCAGTCACATCCCACTCGCCAACTCGTCTTCCACCTCGTCCCCGAACCCCTCCTCCTTTTCATGGAGGAATCGCACAAGAGCCATGACACCCTAAACCTACTTTGCTCTTCCCTGTACGACAGAATACCTGTCACTGTCTCCCGCCGTCTCAATGGGCATCTCTACGCACCTGGACCAGGACACAGATCCTTCCCCGCCTACTCGTTCACACTTTCCCGACCTCCGGTGAATAAGGTCACCTACTCCCGCTCGACACGGCCATCACTAGACGTCTTGGACCGGTACACTTTCCTGCATGTCGGGTACAAGCTAAGCCCATGCAAGAAATGGCTTCTTGCAAGCTGTTTGGACCAACGTGGGGAATACTGCCGGACTGCGGTTTGGTTGGTCCCTCCACAGGATGAGGAAGCCGAGGAGAGTGTCGAAGCCTTCGTGGCGGACAAGGTTGTCGGGTTCGGGATGAATATCGCGTTGCAGGCCAATGTCGAATGGAGGATTGTTATTAGCAAGCTTGGAAGAGTTTCCATTCCGGAGATGGAAGGTAGGCTGAATTGAATATCTTCACCATCAGCACACATTGACGATTGTTCGCAGCATGGGACTCGTCGATCGCGCATGTCCTCGACGATTGGAAGCATCCTACCGCATTGCACATCTACCTAGTCTCTTCACAACCAGACGCCCCTTGGACACTCCTCGATTTCAAAGGGCTTTCTTCCCATCCACCCACTTCAAACTCGTCCTCTCTGAAGCATCCGCGATCCTCGAACATCTCACACAAACACAACGCAACCAACGTGATCTACACAGACTCTTCCTGGGTGGTTTATGCCATCTACCCTCGATCGCGTTTAACCGTGCCGTTTCCACCTCCTCCATCTCTCTTCTCAGGCTATCAAATACCCGAGCCTCCTTCACGGCTCGACTCATCCGTCAATTCCAACCCTGCTTCTAACCGTAATTCCCATTCTCTCGAGGATTCCAACAATCCTCACTCTTCGAACCCAAGTCCTAGTCCTTCACAAAATCATACCCAAGCTTCGCCTCAAAAAGAACGCTGCGACAATGCCAACTTGCCAACTCTTCCACAATCGAGCACAACACTGATCATCACCACACCTTCTCCAAGCACCGACACACCTCCCCATATGGTCCACATCCACTTGTTGAAATCCTTCCATTCCGTTTCCAGCAATTCCCCTCACCCAACCGACGAGGAAACACATCGAGAACTTACACGCAACTTTTTCGAGTTGGGTGTTTTAAGTTGTGCAAGACGGGTTGGTGGTTCACAGAGTGGATTTGGTGGACCTGTCGCTGGAGCTGAGATAGGCGCCACTAATCCTAACGCCAACCCGATGCTCCCCTATCACCTTGCCGCTGTGGATTCTATGTGGAGGTGTTTGGATGTTGATTGGGAACAACTAGAAGATCCTAACAGCGAAGTGTAATCTTCCCTCTCCATTCATCTCATGCCACTTTTTCGTCTTTGCACCAGCTGCTTCAAGTAGTACTATAGTCATTTTTGGGCTTCATTTTGTATTACATCAATTCTACTTTAAGCTAGACTCGACCCAACCGTGCAACATGTGTATGCTGCTCCTTTCAGGGCTCTTTGTATCGTTCATCCACTCATATCTCTTGAATCAAGTACACATCCATACCCACTCTTAGTTTCACATTATTTTTGTTTATGACGCACCTACCCACTAGCATAGCATCTATTCCTGATGATCCACCTGAACAATCCGCATTGTCGTTCGCCGCCACATTTTGCTTTCAGTAGTGTTTTCCCTTCAATACCATCATCATGGCTTGGCAATCGGAATGAGATAAATAATGGGTTGCTCGGTCACGTACAACGTCCAATTGAAGAGGGAATGAACGAAGGTTACATACATGCATAGCACCCAACTCTACTGGTTCTTCTTCTCCTGGGCATTGAAGCCCTTGGGCAGATCCATCTTGACAGGGTTCTGAATTCCCGCCAAAGACGTAATGCCAATATAGAGGACGGGCAAGAACACAAACAACACCACCAAGAGAGACACGATCAACCCGGGCGTCAAAAGCTGGTATTTCTTCAGGATTCCACCGTCGGGGAGTGTCGTGTTGGATGGAGCAAACACTGCGGGGGCGCGGGCAAAGTGGGATGAGACGGGTAGGCCGGCGTAGATGACGAGGTGGTTGGGGAACGCAGCAGACAAGAGCTGGAGTTCGCTGGCAATCGCGGTACCTAGAGAACTGCTGTTAGTTGGGCCAAGAGAGATGTGGGAAGAATACATACTCTGCTCATCCATAATATCGCCCCTCTCTTCTCCCTCACCCACCAAGGTCGGTGCATCAAGTACAACCGCGTACTTCTCTCCACTGTCAAGCTGCACGTCACTAGTGTCCTCTCCAGGTGCGTACTTGACCATCCTTGACCCGCACATCTTGGCCACACCTGGTGCAACCTGCCTCAATGCCCATCCCGCCTCCTCATTTAGGACATACGGATAGGACCGCGACGACGGAGCGTCCTTCAACGCCCGCGTAATCTCAGAGTCGGACGAAAGCGTTCGGAGGTCTGAAGCGTGAACCTGTAACACGGGTAATGAATGACCAAAGTCCGATTAGACGGGGTGAATGTACACACCCCTGGATGTTGGACGAGGACTACAGCGTCAAAGTCGCAGATAGAGTCGTCTGTAAGGATTGAATCGAGAATTGCAGAAGCCTGGCGTCCGCTCGTTGGTAGATTGTCAATGGCATTGGACCTAATTTCTTGTCATTAACTGTCCTAATTCAATCGCAGAATACCCACTGTGAAGAAGACCAAGCGAGTAGAGGGGCGGTATTTGAATAAGCCAGAACCAAAGGTGCAAAGGCAGCGAGGAGGACGAAATGCCTTGCCATTGTGGTCGCAGTCGTCGTCAGAGTTGACAATCGTCAATGAGTGAGCGACCGAACCAGGCCGGGAGAGGGAACCAAACCGGATCAAAATTGATGAGCCGAGCCAGTCCATCAACGGCATCTATTGACATCAAACACATGCGGGCGGCTGCATAAACTGGATCTCCCCAAGTTCCGCGAATTCCCTTCTTCTTTCTTTACCACAACATGTTCAGAATCGCTACCCGTGCTGCTTCAAACCCCCTCAGAGCCCTTGCCGTCTCCTCCAGGTCCGTCCCATGAAATCCACGTCTAACCCTTAACCAATTAATCATCTACCCCACACTGTAGGACGTTCGCGACGACGCGATGCGTTCGCTCGGAAACTCGGCCAACTTCTCTCGACGCCTTCACAGAGGAAGAAACAATGTTGAGAGAAGCTGGTGAGTCTCTAAATCTCCTCATTCTATCCCGAGAGCCTTCAACCAACCCCACCACCCCCAGTCCGCCGATTCGCAGTCGACGTGGTGGGACCCAAGGTCCGGGAGATGGATGAGAACGAGCAGATGGATCCTGCCATCATCAAGGGTCTCTATGAGCAGGGTGTAAGTCTTTCCGACCTCTTAAACAACAATGGTTCCTCTTATTAGTTTGAATAGCTCATGGGTATCGAAACCAGCGCGGAGCATGGTGGCGCCGAGTCCTCCTTCACCTCCGCAATCATCGCCATTGAGGAATTGGCCAAGGTCGACCCCTCCGTCTCTGTCCTCTGCGACGTACACAACACTCTCGTCAACACCGTCGTTCGAAAATACGGCACCAAGGAGCAGCAAGACAAATGGCTCCCTCAGCTGTCAGAATCCAAGGTAAATCACATGGCCGTGGCGTTTACCGGAATACCTCGCTCACTGCTTGCTGTTGGTCGTCGCGTCAACAGCTCGGATCCTTCTGTCTCTCCGAACCCGCCTCTGGCTCAGACGCTTTCGCTCTCCAGACCCGCGCAAAGAAGGATGGTAACGACTGGATCATCAACGGTTCCAAGATGTGGATCACCAACTCTTACGAGGCTGAGATTTTCCTCATCTTCGCTAATGTAAGTTGTCGGTTCCACTAATATCACCATATGTCTCTAAGCACCAGTACAGGTCGACCCGAGCAAGGGATACAAGGGTATCACCTGCTTCCTTGCCACCAAGGACATGGGTGTCCAAATTGCCAAGAAGGAGCAGAAACTCGGTATCCGTGCTTCCTCAACATGCACCATCTCCCTCGACGACCTCAAGGTTCCGGAGGAAAACATCATTGGTGGTATTGGCAAGGGTTACAAGGTCGGTCCTTTTCTCTCTCTTCCTGCTTCCTTCTTCTAACCCTTCTCCTAGATTGCCATTGAAATCCTAAACGAAGGCCGAATCGGTATCGCCGCCCAAATGTTGGGTCTCGCACAAGGTGCATTCGACAAGGCTGTTCCCTACACCTATGAACGCAAGCAATTCGGACAAGCTATTGGCACCTTCCAAGGAATGGCCTTCCAAATCGCCCAAGCCGCCATCGACATCGAAACCGCACGCTTGATGACCTACAACGCTGCTCGCCGAAAGGAGGAGGGCTTGCCTTTCACCAAGGAAGCAGCCATGGCCAAGTACTGGGCTAGCGTTGTCGCACAACGCGTCTCCGGTCAAGCCATCGAATGGGCTGGTGGAGTCGGATTCACTCGTGAAACCGGTATCGAAAAGTTCTGGCGAGACTCGAAGATTGGTGCTATCTACGAAGGAACGTCGAACATTCAGTTGCAGACTATCGCCAAGTTCATCCAGAAGGAGTACTCTTAAACGTTAATGTTGGAGGAGGCATCGAATCATCACGCACACATGGCATTGTAATATGTAGCAATTTATGTAGCTTCAATAATGAACACAAAAACACTGTATACGCACTGGGTTGTGAGCTTGAGACGCGGAATCTTGATATTCGGGGACCTCGGAGGGAGTATAGATAAAAGGCGAGATAACGGACCTTAACCAACCGTCTCTCCCTCGTACCACAACCAACATGCCAGGCCGCCTTCAACACAAGGTAGACTACCCTCTCTGACAAAGTAACGAGTATCTAACACGTCTACCAGTCCGCTGTAATCACCGGTGCAGGCTCGTGCGTACCCTGCCCGCCGATCTTATCACCAACTAACCCCTATCGCTATTCACAACGTCCTACAGCGGAATCGGCCTCGAGTCCTCACTTCTCTTCGCCCAGGAAGGCGCCAACCTCATTCTCGTCGACGTGAACCTCCCCAACGCAGAAAAGGCCGCGAGTCTCATCTCCGAACGGTTCCCCAACGTCAAAGCGATTCCCTTCAAGGCTGATGTGAGCAAAGAAAGCGAGGTTGAGGCGGCCATCGCCCTGGCTGTGAAGGAATTCGGGAGGTTGGACATCATGGTACCCCTACCAGCCCATCAATTTTGCCAGTCACACTAAACTGACCATGTTCGCAGTTCAACAACGCAGGAATAATGCACCCCGAGGATGACAACGCCCTCAACACCGAGGAACGAATCTGGGACCTCACAATGGACATCAACCTCAAAGGTGTCTGGTGGGGCTGCAAACACGCCATCCTCGCCATGCGCAAGAACCCAACAGACGAGTCTAAAGGTCTCCGTGTTGGTGGAAGCATCATCAACACCGCGAGCTTCGTCGCTATCATGGGTGCTGCTACGCCTCAACTCGCTTGTGTGTTCTTTTCGTTCAAATCATTATCGGTCGGGCAATAACTGGCTATCGATCCTCTATAGACACCGCGTCAAAGGTTAGATTATCGTCCATCGAATGGTGATCTTATGACCCTCACACGCGACCTCACGTCCATAGGGTGCCGTCCTGGCCATGACACGAGAACTAGCTATGGTCCACGCGCGTGAAGGAATCCGCCTCAACTCTCTTTGCCCGTACGTGCCTGATTCCTCCTTCCCCGTCCACGTATTAATCTCAACTTTCTCCCAACAGTGGACCCCTAAAGACGCGTACGTGAACCTCCACTGCTTCCCAGCACGCGTCAGACCACTAACTCTCCGGAATAACACCGTCAAAAATCACATTCCTCAACCTCTTCCTCACTTGACCTCTCGTCCCTCGTCGTACCCCCGCTGGATACCGGTACCTTCCTAACTTGGCCTATTTCGCCAATGTAACTGGACAATTCGAACACCGTGTAGCCCTCCTCATGGACTTCCTCAACACCGACGAGAAGAAGCAACGCCGTCTCGTTCACCTGCCCATGGGTAGATTCGGCGAGGCAGTTGAGCTCGCCAACGCAGCTTTGTTCCGTGCGTTCCTCCCATTGACACGAACCTGACGAAACACCTAACTTGAATCTGGAATCTAGTCGCTTCCGATGAAAGCAGCTATATCACCGTAAGTCTTCCTCTCAGCGATATGCGCTTTATATCCTAACTGGTTACATTAGGGCACCGACTTCAAGGTCGACGGAGGCCTCTCCTCCGCATACGTCACTGCCCTCGGTGAACCAGCTCTCCCTCCTCCCGCAAGCCTGGTCAATGCTGCTTAAATCGGGCGAAAGACAAGGGTGAACGAAAGTAAAGATCAACTGTACATACATAGGTCATACATTCAGCGAATAGAAAGGGAATAAGGAATAATTTTACAACACCTCCAGTGGGACAAAAGCAAATCCGTGAAACGAAAATAGAAAAATACCAGCTCCGGCGCTTCAGTTACTTCACAACTCCTTCTTCCCCTCCTTCCTCCTCTTCTCCCCCTCCGCCTTCCTAATCTTCGTAATCTCAACACCAATCGCATTCTTGATCCTCTTGTGCATCTCGGGTCGGTATCCAAGAGCAAACAAGAGCTCGAGGTGGACGAAGAAAGGTGCTAGGACGACAGCTAGAGTGGGTAGTAATCAGCGGTCATCCTTGTACGAAACATATCGGGGGCTTGTTCTCCAATGCAAGTATAGCAGGCCGCGGCCCACGGATTGCCCGAGAATATTAGCTAGACGCACCTCCAATCAAGTTGTCCAAAAGCGCAGGCGCCCTCTTCTCCGCAAACCCGTGCCCAATGAACTGAGCAATCCACGAAATGGCATGGAGTCCACCGGCAATGGTGATGTTATCTGCGCGGTAGGAGAAGGCGGTGGCCGTCAAGAGCGAAAGAACCAATTGGGGGATATAAAGGAGCTGTAACGATTATTAGTGTTGTTGGGGCTGGGAGAGAGAGAGACACTCACAGCAGCGACGGGTTCCAACAAGAAATAGTACACAATGTATACCAGTGCATGGATCGCTGACCAGTTCAAGTCAAATACCAAGTACTCATTGAACTGGTAGTGAACTTTGGGGATCCAACTTGGTGTTTGAAGTGGAGCAACGAGTGCTTCAGCCGACCTACATGCTGTTAGAAAGCCATTCCTTTACCGTGTAACCGGGGCCTACCAGAGAATCAAAGGTACGCAGATAATATGAATCAACACATTAATCTTATTCGAATGGTATGCCCCGTAGAACGTGAGCTACCTCCAACGGTCAGTATCTGTCTCTGGCAGAGAAGAGAATGGCGCACCTGTTTATCGACGTTGAGGAGGTCGGCTGGCATTGTTCACGACGAATGCGGGGAAGTCAGGAGATGTGGGGGATTTGAAGTCAACCACGCGCTTTATAGCGCCTGGATCATATGGCCATCACACCCAGGTCGATCAATCCCAGAATGGCAACGTCGCACGTGCTCCAAAGGAAGCGTCTACCGCCTCGTCCATTGCCAACTGCAGTCACAACCGCTCAACCATGGTCCGCTCAACAATAATCGTCAGAGCCAGCGACGCTCTCCCGCTCGCTGCCAGCGTCGACGATGAGCAAGTGAGTAGTCCAAATCCCCAACTCGGTAACCAGCACAGCAGAAACTGATATCACGACGTGTCACTTTTCACTATCCGCGCTCCAGACAGAACAGGCTCTCCAAGAACACAAAACACAGGCAAAAGTCATCTTCAGACGACTAAGCCCAAACGTGGAACCGAGATGCTCAATCGAGAGTGGTCAATATACGCTTCAGTGCGTATCTTTACGCTTTTGAAGACATTTGGCGCTGACCCCCACCCTCAACCAGCTACCTGATATCCGACAACGTCTGTTTCCTAACAATTGCCGAGAAATCCTACCCTCGCAAACTCGCATTCTCATACCTTGACGAATTATCAAAAGAATTCGCAAGCACCTATGGCGCTAAAGTGGATACCGTGCGGAAACCCTACGCTTTCGTTGGCTTCGGTGCGTCCCACCTCTGTTCCCCTTTGGTCGTTACTTATTCCGTATGGTGAAATAGACACCTTCATGTCCAAGACGGCACGACTCTACCAAGACACACGGACAGCCAACGCTGCCGCTTCAGGCCTGGACAGGCTCAACGACGACCTTCAAGATGTGACACGAATCATGACCAAGAACATGGAGGAGCTTTTGTGGAGAGGAGATTCACTCGACCGTACGTTATCCTCCCCTTTCCCGCTCCTTCCCCTGCTAACAACACCTCATATTGTAGGCATGTCGCATCTATCAACCTCCCTGCGCTCAGAATCCGAAAAGTACAGAAAAGCAGCCAAGAACATCAACTTCCAGGCAATGCTCAGGCAATATGCTCCCATCGGCGCCGTTGCTTTGTTCGTCTTCATCATTCTCCTGTGGAGATTCTGGTGATCTCGGACTGAGGCTTCTTTCTCGTTTCTTTTCTGGACCTAGTTCAGTCTATTGTTGGTGGTACTTATCCCTGAACGGGTGTTGTTTTAATATTATTTCTTTACAATATCACAGAACGATGTATTGCATTTTAGCTGTTGCATGATAAGATGAATCCGTAATAGATAATAGGCGCCGTGATTAAAGGAAAGACAGGGCTGCCCATCTGGGAAGTCGGCGGTGTCTTCTTCCTTACCCTTCCCCTCTTAACCATGTACCAATCCAGCTCTCCCTACGCCCAGCCGATGTCTGTGCCCACCTATGGCGGGTCAGGCTATACCCCGCCCGTCAATGGATCTGTGCAACCTGGAGACATAAGCTATGGCCAGATCGTCGGCGGGGATGGCAAGATAGTCTACCAGCTGTTCAAGTATGCATCTCACAGCCAATACTTTACAATCTGACCTGAAACACATCTCTAGAGCTGTACCAGCTAGGTGACTCTACACCATCTCAATCCCTTGTGCATACCGATATCTGATCCCGTATTAGCTATCCAACACCAGGCGGTACGCTCGTTGGTGTCCAGTGGGTACCTACTGAAGCTGTATCGTCGATCCCGCCGGGCGCTCTCCCTGCAAACCCTGTTCGTGGCTCTCTCATCCTTACACGCGCTCATCGTCCACTGTAACCGTAAGATCTAACTCCACCTTGTCCTTAATAGGACTTTGTGACCAACTGGGTACGATCCAACCCAACGGCGGCCCAACAAGCTCTATCATCGACCAAAGATAGGTCAGAATCAATCCAAACATACCCAATCCGCGCAGGACTGACTACCTCCCCGCAGAGACAAAGAATCAAAGCACAGCAGACACACTTCCGACTACGACTCACTCCAAAAGGCCAGGGAACGCGATGCAGCCGAATCAAATAGGCGCCAGAGCTGGAACCCATCCCAAGCAACTAATGGCATTCCTTTCCCTGGTTCAACTGCTTCAGTCACGGGTTATCCCCAGTCCAATAATACTGGTCATACAGGCTACCCGCAGAGTACCGCCACAGGATATCCCCAAGCTTCAACTGCAGTCTACGGCAGTCCATATGCAGTCTTCGGCGACCCCAGCCAGTCCTACATGAACCCTTATGGCGTAGCTTCCGGTGGGCACCCAGTCTCTACCACAGATACCCATACCCTAGCACACCAAATGTCCTCGATGGACCTCAACGCTGCCCGTTCCAAAGACTCCAAAGAACGCGAGCGCAAGAACAGCGAACACGCATCGGGAAAACGGTCTCGTCGTCAAAGCGCATACGAGCCTCCCAAAGTGAATGACCCTTACGCCCTACCTCCCGCTTCCAAAGATTACCAGCTCCCCTCTGGTTTATTCGGTGCAACTGTGCCAGGATACGTCCCTCCCTACGCCTCATCCCAATCATCCGACCCGTCTCCCAACTCCCAGTCCCGGGATTTATCCTACGGTACCCAAGGTCCCTACCAATACCCTCAGCAACAACAAGCCTCTGGAGCAGGAATCTACGGCGTCCCATACGCCTCGTCCTCATCCTCCACCCGCGCCCGTGCAAATTCGTCCGTCGGACGAGCTACCACACCAGCAGCACCCACGCATGTCAATGCCGCTGGCGTCGAAGTCTACCCTCCAGGCCACATAATGGAGGGTCTACCCAAGAACCCGACATCCAAATCCCGTGCAGCCTCCCCAAACCCGTACCCAATTCACCCAGTTCAACAACCTCCGCAATCTTCCCTCGCAGGGTACCCCGGAGGACCTCCTCCTCGTGCAGCTTCAAGCCAAGGAAGTGGTGGCCGACCAGCCTCACGAGTCGGCCAGCTAAACGGAACCCTACCAGCCCACCAGCTGGCAGCTCCAGAGTCGTTCTCTCGTCCCATCGTAGCAGGACTTCCCTACTCCGCTTTCAAACCCACCAAAATTCACGATATGGACGCGTTCTTTAGCCAGATGGCGAAGATGCCCCCCGTACTGGAAACGCACGACGTACGGGCCGAAGATTGGCATCGATTCATGGAGGTGAGCTAATCATATTCCCAAAGAGAAACACGCTACTAATCATTATTCACCCCCATAGGACCTCACCCTTGCATGGACAGGCCGCCTCCCAGCCCAAGTCCGTGCAGACGGCAAAGTAACCCCACCCTCTTACCTCGCATCCGAGCTAATCCACACTTGGAACACCTGCTTCTTCGAACCACGGGGTGTCGAAATAGTTCTCTACCGAGGCCTCCAACGCCGCTCAGGAAAGCTCTACGGTCGGTCAGACCTCGATCCCTCTGCTCTGGGCCCGGGATCAGGTTTCCTGAGCGAATCCTCCTCAAGTTCTTCGGAAGATACAGATAGTGACGACCCTTACCCTCCTCCTAATAACCGAAACCAGACAGCGTCTGCTGACCTAGCAGCAGCACGCAGGCGGTACTACGAGCAAAAGCAAGCCGACATCCAACGTCGAAAGGAGCGCAGACGAAGAAACCGCGAAAAACGGAGGAACAAGCGATACACTTTGTTTGCTAACTGTATCCGGGATGGAGGTCCCAATAGGTCAATGATGCCGCCTGGCGGTCATACTATGGGAACGACAGGCGGGACTGCTCCTCAAGGAGCGGCGATGATGCCTTCCGTGAGCTCTTACCCTGGCATGTACGGGTTGCCAGGTTCAATGCCTGGTGGAATGCCGCCTCCCGGAGTGGCAGGTTCCATGGGTCCTCCTCCCGGAAAAGCAAGATCTCACAGCCGAAATACAAACAGCAGCGGAGGTTACTGATTCTCATGTCTTTCAAAATAATTAACCACTTCCAGTCACGACCTGCTCATACTTGATGACCGAAGCAACTTTCCACAAACATCGATACCACTCATCCATTCTCGTATTAGTCGAACCCTGCATGTAACCATCCTTCTTGTACCGCTCTACACAAGATGAAAGCTAGATACCCGAATCATCGTCGCTGTCAATAGAACATTACAGAAAGTCGAAACGAATTGTACAATAGCACATAAATAGGGAAACAGTATGCCAAGAACAAGGGACCCTTCGATGTCTACCAACCACCGCGTCCCCGTCCTCGCTGATTACCTCCATACGAACTGGAATGGTAACCACTATACTGCTGTGGAGGAGGTGGGGCGCCATACCCTCCATAACCACCATAATTCTGGGGAGGTGGAGGTGCATTTTGCGGCGGACCACCGTATCCGCCATATCCACCGCCGCCACCACCATATCCACCATAGCTCTGCGGTGGAGGCTGATTATAACCCGAATACCCTCCTCGTCCCGGAGGGCCTTGGTACCCACCCCTACCACCTCCACCTCCACCTCCACGCCCGCCTCCACCTTGGTACCCTCCATATCCCTGACCATGCCCGCCATATCCACCCCGACTTGGAGGTGGCCCATGATTACCATACCCACCTCCACCTCCATATCCGCCTCCTCCATAGTTGCTCTGCGGTGGAGGGCGGTTATACGACCCACCCTGCTGATACTGCTGGTTGCCATTCGCATACCCTCCTCCCCCCGCCCCACCACGTCCATACCCACCATACCCCCCATAATTACCATTCCTGCCACCGCCATACTGATCTCCTCCCCCGCCTCCTCCATACGTATTATAGCTATTCCCCCTCGAATGGAACGGATCATTCCTCCTCTCGTATCCTCCTCCGCCTCCCCGACCACCACCCCTCCCAGACTCATTATGACTGTGCCAGCCACCACGACCCCTCCCACCTCCTCTCGTCCTCTCCAAATCCTGTGCACTCAACACGCGAGGCGGCTTCCTCGCTCCAGGCAGCATAGCTGATTTATGTGGTGTGCGCTGGGGCGGGAAGAAGTACAGAACAGAGAGGGATCGGTCGTTTCGAATGTCTGGCAGCCCGACAGTGGTCAAAGGACAGTAGTAGGTCGAACCGGGCAGGCAATCGGGGTTGGGAAGAACCTGTCCACTGATACCCTTGCTCAAAGCTGTATCAATTGCTACAGGCTGCAAGAACCACATCAGTACCAAGAGTCACTCGATCACGTTAACACAACTCACGTCCGCATTCTTCTTCATCTTCTTCCCGTAAAGGGCCTCATAAAACGGATAAACAGGGTGCTCATCCGCTGCGAAAAGCACGTTATGACCTGGTTGATTCCTCTTCACCTCATCCTCCGTCAGGTTCGGATACTCCAACGCCATTGCGTCCAACAACCTCGTCTCGTCAATGAACGGCAAAAGCGCCACACCTTGCCATGCCATCTTTTTGCCGTTCATGTCGATTTCAAAGGTAGGCGGGTAGAAATCTATGATGGGTGAATCCTCGTCGACCATAAACTTTTGGAAGACAGCAGGAATGTGTTTTCGACTGTTACATGTGTCAGCACATGGTAAATTCGAAAGATACGGCGACAAACCTGGCAGCGGGGAAGACACCCATAAGTTGTTCATAAGGCTTGAAAGGCTGACCGAGGTTGAACTTGATGTCCATCTTCTCAACATCGACAAAGTCGGCAGCAAAAGGCGCAAAGTGGTACGGATAGTACCATTGCCACGACGGAGTCTAATCCCAAAGTCAGTAGAGCTCAGAATGCTCGAATAATCGGAGCACGAACCCCTTGGTAATAGTACTGAAGGACCCAAGCGAGTCCCTGAACATACGCCTCTGCGACCCTAATAGAGGTCAACGACATATCCCCAGTAACGAGCAGAACATACGACGTACTTGTGCCTGAACTCGATGTCATGAGGTTCGACACCGAACTTCTGTTTGTAGTATCGCTCCTTGTATCCAGGTTCCCAGAGTCTGCCACCAGCATTAGATTCAGCACACCGATTGAACATAATATTACTCACTTGACAGTATCCTCCTGTTCAACGGTCCCGTCTGGGTTCACCTTTAATGGCTTTGGACCCTCCTCTTCCTCGCTTTCCTCCACAGTCACGACATCCTCATCAGGTGTATTCGAACCGGGTCCCTCTTCATACTTTCGCTTCTGAGGTGTAACGTGCTCGTCAGCCTCGGGCGGGATATCCGCGGTAATATCCTTCGCGAGGTCTTCAGGAGGCTTCACCTCAGTCGACCCCTCGGGATCCACAACAGGCGTTTCGTCGACAGGCACAGCTGTGGCTGTGGCTGGTGGAGTAGGCGTAGCTGGTGGAGGGGGCTCAGCCTGAGGTGCAGGAGTTGGCTTCGACAACTTGTTCTTCGATGGACGAACAGGGGACAACGCAGCCATCTCGGCTTTAAGAACCTGCGCAGCGTTCATTTGCGCCATTCGAATCGCCGCACGGTTGGCCACAACATCCCTGTTCGATCCTCCGAGGGCTTGGATAGCGGCGGACGAATCGGGAGCTGGAGCTGGGGCGGGTGCAGGCCCTCCCAAACCGAGCGCATTCGCTTGAGCAGCAAAGTCGTTAGAGGCAGGTGGAGCTGGGGCCTCTGTCAGCTTGAGGGACGCAGCAGGACCGGTCCCACCCTGTCTATGCGCTTGCTCAAGTTTTCGTCGTTTAGCGTTTTGTGCTTGTCGTTCCTCAGCTGTATCAATTAATCAGATCATATGTTCATCACCAGGGATATTTTTTGAAAAGGGAATCGCAAAAACTGCGGTTATGGGAGAAGGTAGTTCATGTAAAGGCAACAGCCACGGACCTTCACGACGTCTGCGGAAGATTTCGTCTTCACGTTTAGCCAAACCCTCAAGAATAATCTGGGCTCTAGCGAGGTTGAGAGTTCCGTTGTCAGAGAGGTACCCTCCCATTCGAGGGAGCTCTTGTTTCCAAATCTTTAGCAGAGTGTCAATGGCACCTTCACGAATTTCAAGAGAGGGAAGATGTGGAAGGAAATCATTGCCGACGAAGAAGATCAAGAGTACCCAGTCATCGATAGCTTTTTCGAGATCGAAACGGAATGGCGAAGATGGAACGTCCAATTCGACTTCAAGATATTCGCGCAAAACGGCAACATCAAGAAAAATGAACGGTTTTTTCTCGGGTGGAGGTGGTTTCTTTTCAATCTCGGCTTTCGTTCCTGTACACTGTGCAGCATAATGGCCTTCCTGACCACATATTCTGCAAGCGGTACTCTTGTCTTGGGCAAACACATCTTCCCTCAGTACTCGGAAATGGGGCTCGTGGGTTGCAAGTGCCAACATAATGAGATCTGCATCCTATAAAAAGAAGGAAAACTGTCAAGGGGTGAAGAGCGGTAAAGGAGTGTTTAGGTGACTTACAAGGCCATAAATAACATGCTTCGTATTGGGGTCGTAACCAGGATTGGATCGTTGTCTCCGAATGTAATCCATGATCTTGTGCTCTCCTTCTCCAGCTACGGATGCGTCAGAAATGATGACTTGGATCTATGAAAGGCCGTTAGCATATACGCGGACGGAATGCAATGCAATGACTCACGTTCTTCCAACCTGGGTCCGTGTTCATCTTCTGAACAACCCAGTACCGCAGCGACGCTGCAAGGAGGTCCATGAAAGGCGTTCCTGGGGTGATGGCGTTGGAATCCCAAGCCTGCTTGGTCTTCTCCTCGTCCGAGACCTTCTTGCCCATGGCTACCGATGGGGTCAGTGCATTAACGAAACGCATTGGATAGGGGTACATACCTTCCCAAAGAGCAAGTGCCTCCTTACGAGCCTCTTCTTTCTCCTTCGCCTCCTGGGCAGAGCGGAAACGACGCGAGCGTTGCTGGTTCATCTTTGCACGCGGAGCGACACCATCTAGTAACGGACGTTAGTTAGAAACCCTCGGGAATATATGAATACGCACCAATAGCCATGAACAGCAGCTTTCGCGGTCTAACCATATTGACGACCCGCTCAGTGTACTTGAAGACCTCCACCATCATGTCCTCCTCAGTCTCAGGAGCAGGCTACACCTAATCGTGAGCAAACTCAAAACATGTCGAGGGGGATACGCGCTAACCTTTCCTTCCGGATGTGTACATGGATGAACCTAGCACCCAACGGTCAGTTCAGCAAACGACGATCCTACGGAGCAGAAACCAACTCACAATTCCGTTCATGTCAAGGTACAAATTGTCAAACTCGACGCCATTAGGGTTGGGTTGGGCCATATTAACCGGGATTGTAACTTCTTGGTCATTCTCGTCCGGGACTTTGATATCGTCTTCTTCTTCTACGGGTAGGACTGCAATGACGGGTTAGAATTGTTCATGATTTCACCGAGTTGAGCTGAACACACTAATTTTTGGATACTTCTTGCTGAGCCAACGGAAAAGCGCGGGGACACCCTATACAAATATATTAGTCTTTTCAAATCAGCAATAGAAAATGTGTACAGACCATGTTGTGAGTCTAGTGTTGACCGTTGGTGCAAGACCGGCGGCGACAGCGTTCAGACGCAAGAATCCTTCCATCACGTGGAGTAAGTGTGGCTGTGCATGTATTATCTTGCTGATCAAACAAGAGTCATTTCGAGGCGACGCAAAGATGCTTGATCCATCACATTCCCGACGGTTATGCTCAAAGCCCTCCACACAAATAACCATCTCTTCAATTCCCTTCTCGTCGCCCAGAAACAATGTCTGAACCCCAAGCTCAGTCTCCCCCTTCAAATCCTGCACCACCCGGGGCACCCGAGCACAAACCAGCGGGCAAACCTTCCCAAAAGTCCATGACCAAAGCCGAACGGCGAGAACTCCAAGAAAAGCAACGCGCCGCAAAGGCAGCTCTCAAGGCCCAAGGAATCCAGCCTGGATCAACGGCGGCAGGGTCCAGCAAGGCCCAAAAATCAGCCCAAGCTGCCTCCAAGAAAGGCGGCTCTGGAGATGCTGGTGCCGCAAAACAAGGCGCGGTCGCTACCCGTGGAGATGCCTCACATGGAGATGAGGCTTCAGGAAAGCGAGGGCCGAGGATATTCACCCATTTTGGTCTTCCCAAACCTCTTGGACATACCGTCAAGGGCGATATCCATCCTGCTGTCGTCAGATTGGGTCTTATGTTCTCGGAATTCCGGATATGTGGGGCCAACGCAAGATGCATTGCTACTCTTACAGCCTTCAAAAGTGTCCGTCTCCCTTTCCTTTCGTCCACCATATGTCTCTGAACATTCGACCCAGGTCATCCAAGATTATACCACTCCTTCACATAGTACCCTCTCCCGCCATCTAATGACGCACCTATCTCCTCAAATCACACATCTCGTATCGGCACGGCCCATGTCCGTCTCAATGGGTAACGCCATCCGACAGCTCAAACTCGAGATCAGTAATTCCGACATCGACATGATCGAGCAGGATGTGCGTCCCAGCAGATGATGTCGTACTGCCAGTCCGCTAACCACCAAACACGCTAGGCCAAAGACCTCCTGTGCCAAAAAATCGACAATTACATTCGTGACCGTATAATTTATGCAGATGAGGTCATTCAGGATTTCGCCGGCAAGAAGATCAAGAACGGAGATGTCATTCTGACATATGCAAGGTCCGTTAGCCTTCTTGCCAGGTCTGCGAGCCGTGAACGATAACCTCTCTTTAGATCCTCCGTAGTCGAGAAGGTTTTGCTGCGGGCAAAAGCTGAGGGAAAAGATTTTTCCGTAATCGTCGTCGACTCCCGTCCTCTCCTCGAAGGCAAGGCCCTCTTGAAATCCCTCACCAGCGGCGAAAACCCTATTCGATGCACCTATGCACTCCTCCCAGCACTTGCCTCCCTTCTACCTGAAGTCACGACCGTTTTCATCGGCGCACACTCCATCTATTCGAACGGCGCCGTCTACTCCCGTGCAGGAACTGCTCTGGTCAGCATGATGGCTAAGCAACGCAACGTACCCGTTGTAGTCTGCTGCGAGACGTATAAATTTAGCGATGGCGTCCTTGTCGATGCCTTTGGTAAAAACGAACTGGGTGAGTGACTTGGCCTGGTTGTTTTCTAAGACATCCAGCTGACCTCTTCGGTGTAGCACCTGTCCGAACGGTCCAACCACATGGTAAAGTCCCGACTCCCGTTTCAACTCCCGGACTGGAGGTCCTGAATCCGCTGTACGATTTGACGCCTCCCAAGTATATCACCGCCGTGGTCACAGAAGTCGGTCTTATTCCTCCGAGCAGTATCAGCTCGATACCCTTAGCGCTGGGAAAGAGCATCGTTTAAAATGTATACGCAGTAAACAACAACAAAAGTCCCATTCAATTAATCCAACCAGCATGTCCCGGCTCTCGGGAGTCTACGTTAATTAAGGTCTACAAGTACGTCCAAATCTAATTAAGCAGCGAGTCCATTGAGATGTGATTGTGATCAAAACAAATGCATCATCTATGACGACGGAGACGGTCAACTTCCGAAGTTACCACCCTCGCAGTTGTCACAAATCCTTCTTGTCCGGAGAAACCGAAGGTGTCTTTGCCTGAGCCTGGTTACGTTCAATGAGCTTTTGGCGTATCCAGTCAAAGACACGGTCAGTGGCATGTTCCACAGGATGGTCAAAGAGATAGGGCAAAGCAGGGACGATGGCCAATCCAGTCACTGTGGGACCCCACAGCTTGACTCTAGGATTCTTCACATTCGCAAAGGCCTTCTTAGCTTGCGCAACCACCGTATGAATAGTCAGAGCCGGAAGTCCCCTATCATTCCCATCGTCAAAGTAAGCCACAAACGCACATTCGTCAGACCCACAAAGTCAGAAAACGTGTGTAGGATAAGGTGTACGCACATGGAAGCAATAGATTGAAAAGTAGCTCTTTGAACGGCGGCAATGCCAATTCGAGTTGGTTCTGAGAAGTTGGCAGCTTCAACTGGAGTAGGACCTCGGTGGTGTGCCTTGTAGGATTCGTAGGCGACGTCACTGTTGGGGTTGTAAACGTGTGCTCCCTACCTCTGGGGAGATGCATACCCAGAGAGATAGAGCCAAGAAACCCCATATGCAGCGGTAACAAGCCAGGGAGGAACAACCGGCCGAAAGGCCTCTCCTATATCACTGGTCTACGTCGAATATGCACATAGAATTAGCCTTGAGAAGCATGTCAGAGTGAAAAGCTCGGACGAACATATGCGATGTACCGCGTGCCGGCGCGAAGGGCGGTCCTCAAGCGGGCACCATAAGCCATATAACGAATGTCAGAGTCGACAGAGTCGACATTCTTCTCTGCGAGCCCTTCGACCTTCTGTTGGGCAGCTTCAACGGTGATTTCAGCAGAATCCATGAGGCAAAAGAGATAAGACGCATGCAAGCCGGACGACGCGATCTTTTGCCGAGAAGGGAATTGATGGGAAGTCACGTGGGGCCAGTCATTGTCGTTGTCGGGTCTTCTGATTCACGGCTTGAACAACCCCTTTGCAAGTCGGTCCCCCACACTGTCTTCGACAATATGGATACCCGGACACGAACAGCGTCGCCATCGTTGGCAGCGGCGACGACAACAACAGCAGGTTATCCTGCACCCAGCCAGCCACAGCCGCCAGCCCAGGACAAGATTTCGGCGTACTACTCGCTCGTCTTTCCCCACTTCACTTTCTACATCCAGACCCTCTCGATATCCATTGGTCGCCGCTGTACACCCAACCCCAACGCAGCCAGCTCATCTACAGGTGACCAGCCACCCCAGCAGCACACCGTCGACGTCGACCTCGGAGCGCTCAAGAGCGTATCGCGTCTGCATGCCAAGATAGAGTATGACCAGGAGGAGGACAGATTCGTTCTCATCGTTATAGGTCGGAATGGGGCATGGGTCGACGGCGTGTGGGCAGCGGCTGGAACTCGTGCTCCTCTTGGCGAACGGTACGTTGTCCCTTGAACTCGCTTAACAAAAACCCTGCTGACCAATTCCGGCCATTCTCCTCCAGGTCCCAGATACAGATAGCGTCCCGCACTTTCCACTTTGTCCTTCCACCACCTCCTCCACCAGAAGACTCGCCCTCTCCAAGCTCACAGTCATCAGCCCACAGGGCGAGATCGCCCTCCGTCGAAGTCGACGTAGATGTAGACGTTGACATCACTTCGATATCGCCCCCTTCTTCACAACCTTCCCACTCCCCCGTTCTCGACGTCAAGCCCCTTCCTCCATCCCCAGAACCTCCCGCCAGGCCTAAACCTGTTGTCAAAGCAGAACGACCACCCGAGCTCCCAAATTCGAACAATATAGGCAAGTCGAATAGGACAGCGGCCAATACAAAGAAGCGGAAGAAAGGGGAGACCGCACCGGCTCCTCCAGTTCAGCGACCGCGACCGGAGGACATTCCTCCCAAACCTCCTTTCACTTATGCACAACTCATCTTTCGGGCTATCAAGGATATTGGTGGAAAGGCAACATTACAAGAGATATGCACTTGGATCATGAACAAACATGAATATTACCGCTGGGCGGACGGCGCTTGGATGGTGAGTCCACTTGTCCCTCCCAACAAAATTTTATACTTTGCCTCTAATTAACTCGTTATCAGAGTTCTGTACGACACAATCTCTCGTCGGGGCGTGCTTTTTTGAAAATGGAGAGGTGCGGAGGGGATCGCGGTAAAGGGTTTTTCTGGTCCGTAGATGAAAGATATTCGCAGCAATTGGAGGACCAGGAAGCAAAGGCTGCACAGGCCGCACTGGCTGCTGCTTCCGGGATCGTGAAGGAGCCAAAGGGCAGTCGGAAGAAGGACAAGAGCGGGGCGCTGGAACCACCGCTGAAGCGAAGTATCAAAGGTGATGCCAAAGGGACACCTCTACCACCGCCGCTCACGTCTGCACCCCTGGCCTTCAAGACGATAGCGACAACGACGACATCGGGCACAACCAGCAATGTGACACCGTCAACAAATGCAACTTCTGGCGCAACGACGGGAGTCTTTGCTTATCCGGCTCATGCTCAACATTTTGCTTCAACTTCAACGTCCCAGTCTTCTGTGCCAGCCACCAAAGCCCAGAACCCTTATACTCCTCTTACACAATGGAACCTTCACCCTTCAGCAACCACACCAGCATTTCAAACTGTTACCGCTACTACGACATCAACAGCATCAACAGCAGTGGCGACGCCTGTGCAATCCCCTCCTCCCGCTACCGCCCCAGTAGCCGGGCCATCACAACCTCAACCTCCGGTGCAGCCGACCACTGTCGCTGCAAAACAACCTCCCACGGCACCCGCACCTGGCCAACAAAACCTTGTCCCGGACGTGCACATCCCTATTATCCTCGGTCCCATCCCGCCCACACACCCCGACTATGCCCCTGGTCACCCAAATAACTCGGCCAAAGAAGGTTACATGGTACTTCACGAACGCACACTCATCCTCGACCCAGACGTTTTCTCTGGTCTCACCAAAGAGAACCTCACTGAGCTCGAAAAGATGGGGGCGCGCGGTGCATTGGTAGTGTTAACTGGACATATGGTAAAGGCTCTGAAGGAACGGAGGGCAAAGTTGAAGAATAAGGACAAGGCAAACCGGAAGAACAAAGGGTCGAAGAAGGAGAAGAAGCCAATGACGGCGCCGTTCACGAAAGTTCCATTGGAGAGGCGGGTTGGCACTCCTCAGACAGACGCTCAGCAAGCTCAAGCTAAACCCCAAGTCAACGGTACGCCTATCCCAGGCGGCGCGGCGCCACTTCCTGCGAGCGAACCTCTTATGGCATCCTTACCTCCCCCTCCTCCGCCAATAACCGCTCCGGTACCCCCAGGCCCAACGACGCAGGTGCCTGTCGGAGTTGTCGTCGAAACCCCGGTTCAAGACCCGGGTTCGCCTATCATCAACATTGAAGACTCGGACGATGAAGCACCCGCCAGTAAACGGCGCAAATTGGACGACGAAGCATCCGGCTTATCTTCGATAGTTGCAGCTTCATGACCTTGGCACTTCTGCCGCTCTCAGTCTCATGACATGAGAAATGTTATCACGAGGTCGCTCTCCGCCTTCTATGTGTGTACTTCTATGTGCGTTTCTTACGGGCAGCGGTCCCACAACACCGCCGCCTTTGCGCTTAACTTTATTGGCCTAGACGTTCCGTATTCCCTTTTTTGATTTATTTCCCTCTCGGACGAGGGTTTGTCGGAGAGATATGGTATTCTATTTCCTGTCGCGATTTTCGCTTTCAATGGTTGTTACAATTCATGTTCACGTTTTGTCAGCTTTTTGTCTGTTAAATGTTGCCTATCCAGCCCTCGGGCTTACCTTACGTTGTACCATTAGTATAGCATTCTTGCTTTCCAGCGTCCATTCAACGTTCCAATACAGGATACTAACGATACGTGCGTGCATTTGTCACATATTGCGCACAGCGCTTTCATATTTGGGTTCAGTACAGACGTAGTAGTACAAGTAGTAGCAAAGCAAAGCAGGTCGATTGGTCGTTAAGAATGATAGCAGAGTCGGGTCGGTGGAAAATACACATTAAAGAAAGGCATAGAGGTTACAAAGTGAAGAAACCATAAAGCAAGACAAGCTGTAAATGAACTGCTGTGGCGATGCCGCGGCGCATGTTGGACTTTGCCACGCGCGCGGCCTTTGTGTTCAAACCGTGACCTTGACCTCCCTCAACTTCTCTCTCCACCGCCTACAAAATGCAACGACCCTCTCCTTCAAATGCGGCAAACCAGGCCCGTTCTTGACATGTCTGAAATCATCCAGAACTTGGAGCAACCTCGAATCGATCAACCGCGCAATCGTAAAATCGGGATGGCGCTCGTGCTGCTCGCACCACTGTAAGTTGAGCTCCAGCGTGCTGATATAATTTTTATCCCTCCTCGCCTCCATGCCTTCCCTCGCATTCCTCGCGCGCAAGCGTTCCAAATCCGAAGTTCGCTCGATAAAGCGTGCGATGGGAATCCCCTTTGTCGTCGCATTCGAATTCGCCGGTGCATTTGGATTAAAATCCAAAGGTGCATTCCCGCTGCCAGTCTTTAACACCCCGTTCTTCCTATTCAAAGGATACAGGTCATCCGTCGTCGGCCGAACAACCTGCTCCACCTTCGTCTTCTTCACCAGCGCTTTCAAAACTGCCTCCCGCTTCTTCGCATGATCCAACGTCGAATTCCGCGGCGCTCTCGGTGCTCGGTGGACTATCCTGTTAGACTGGCCAAAGTGGAGGTATTTCCGACGGTCTTGTGGACGGTAGGCGTAGTAAGCAGCACGTTGGGCTTGGGCGCTCGCGATAGGATTGAACTTGGGGACGGGTTCAATCGGTTGGATGCGCTCTGGTCCCGGGTGTTCGGCGGTGGGGTTGGGCTGGCAGGTGGATGTGCCGGCTGTGCTGGCGTTGGCATGGGCGTTGCGTGCGGAAGTCGTAAGCGCCGCCGAGTCAATCGGCATTCGGAAGTCGTCATCATCGGATTCTTCATCACTGTCATTAATCTCGATGACCTTCATCTCGACATCTTCATCATCCGTATAGACATAAAAGTCGTCGGGATCTCTTGCAGGTGGTTTCCGTGCTTTGGAAGTGCCTGCCTCTTTGGAAAGCTGTGCCAGCTGAGCATCTGCCCTCTGGTTCGCAAGAACCAGTTTGGCTTTAAGCTGAGCTGCAAGCATTGGGAGGAGAACTGCCATGTCAAATTCCGACATCTTCTCCTGGTGGTTCCCGGTTTCTCCAGCTTTAAACACTTTATCTGCCTGTATGATTGTCCGGATACTTCTGTTCCCCTGTTTCCCTCCAGCTGGTCCCTCCTTGTTCAGCGGCAACTGATTAGCACCATCTCCCAGATAATCATATTCCTCTCCTTCTGTAGCTCCTAGTTCATAGGGACCTTCAGAACTGTGAGCAGAGATATTCGAATCAGCCTCCAAGTTTGATTCATCTTCAACTAGAAGTGATGCATGCTTGGAGGATAGTTTGGGGTGGAACGAGGAGGGTGACTGTTGGGAGCTTTTGTTTTTCAAGCGGAAGAACTGATGGGTAGGCATAATGGGTGAAGTTGATGGACTTGGTTTCTAATTGAGTTGAAGAACTGAAACAATGAGCTTGGGACTAGGATGAAAACGGAATAAATTCCCTACTTTAGAGGTAGGACTATTGAATAATGGATTCAGAAAATAAGGATTGGGCTGAACTACCTGCAAATATAGTGTTAGTTTGAATGTTAGATGTTGTATATGTGATGAATGGCCTTACCCCTTCTGAAGTAACCCAAATTTGAGTTAAGACTGATGTGCTGGGCTATGATAATATGTCCGACAGCAATATAGACTATGCAAATTTGCAAGATAAATCTATCTGGTGTTTTAGAAGTGACTTGAGAATGGTGCAGGCTAGACTCTGGAAAGGAATGTATAGCTGATAGAAGGCCGGGAATGCCAGGTCTCTATTAGAAAAAAGAAAAAATCAAACTATATTTGTTTATCAGTTAAAATTCACTCAGAATAAAACTGCCAGATCACCGACCCAAAACAGGTTTCAATTTGCTGTATGAAATAAAAACCAGACAGATATCAAGGCCTTGGGAGATGGAGGGCAAGAAAGTTTGCTAGTATTTGCACTTGTTTGGGTGGCTGTGCAAAGGCTATGCAAGAGCAAGAATCAAGATGAAGAACAAGAAGAAAGAAACATATGAATTGGACTCACTCTTTATATATCAGTCCAAAATAAGGTTTGATGGCTGAGTAATAAAGTGTGGGAATGGATTGAGTCATTCTGACTCATGCTCCCTCACGTTAAACATGAGGCAGTGAAACACTGAAAATCGTGAAAAGCAAGATTATGGCCCTGCAGGGGTACAGTTGGTCCGGGACATATGTTCCTGGACCTATGATCTTTAAAATAAGCCTTTAAACATCCAGTAAATCAGGTATAACCCATCTGTCAGTCAGTTTTAGTGATGAAAAAATCTCATTACTCACACCTATGTCCTTCAAAATCCTTAAATGTCTAAAATGGTCAAGATTTGGGCAGGTTAAACTACTTCCGATGTTCTGAGGCTCATTCCGTATGGAAGGCCCACTAGATTCCAGGTACAGATCAGTGCAGATGCAGGTGGAGAGGTAAATTTTGAAAAAAAAATCTATACTAACATTCTTGTGCAATAAAATGTAACTCAACACCATCATACACTTGCATAAAATATGTCATTTAAACCTGAGAATACTGGAAGGCCAACCTACAGTCCATAAACAGTGTGATGGTTCTGCGGCAACAGCGGAAAATGTGGCAAATCCTGATGCTCGCACAATATGGTTACGGCACTGCCAAGCCATTCGCACTAGTACTCCCGTGTCGACGGACAAGCGATTCCAACCGCCTTCGAGCGGCAAAACTCGAACACTTCGAAAATGTGTGGAAAGGCCAGGATATCAACGGAAACACCGGGCAGACAAGGCCCGTCGGTGAAGAGCTCGATGGATTCAACATCGCCGTCATCGCTTTCGGTGACTTATGCGCGCGGCTCGTTCGACGTGCAGAACAGCCTACAGGCACAGCACAGCCAAGGGAGAATCATGGGCACGAGGCGACGGGTGACGGAGTTATACGTGGAATTAGAAAATCTAACGGGAGCCAAGTCCCAAGACGTCCTGTTTATGACGCAACGACGTACTAATCTCTCTCAGTCGACGCACGACAACTTTAAAGGTATCTTATCCACCCGATAGGAAGCCGAAGTTTCCAGCGACCGTGTACGCGCGCGAGTTGTGCTAGCTCTTCGCGATGCTCAGGTGGCCTGATGGCCCCAAGGTGGATAGAATAGGTTCGGGTGTAAGCCGGGAGAAAGGAGCGACGAAAGCGATAGGGAGGTAGAAGTTACAAGCATGTTTAGCCCGATTCGAGTACGGAAACGATTTCTGCGCGATATGAATGTGGGAAAGGGCTATGTCGACGGCGACCTCGCTGCGTGATTGGGCACGGGTGGTGGATTTGTGGTGTGGCTCCCTCGAAGCTCCGGTCTGGGGAATACGCGGGGGCATTGAGACGTGTTGTGAGGGTCCACTGTGGCAGTGGAAGCTATGTTTCACTGGGGATTAGCGTCGTGGCGAACGTGCGTCTTTTGGGTGTACGAGGAAGAGGAGGGAAGAAGAATGGGCGGCTAAAGATACGCAGCTACCCCGGGACGACGACGGTATTCATATCGTTGGTATCGACGAGGAGAGCAAAGACCAACTCGAAACAAAGCACGTTCGATGAGGGAGTGGGAAAGACGCCGGAATTTGCCGAAATGATGCACGTGGCTGGGTTTGGGAGTCGAGTTTTGATTCTTGAAAGAGTTGGTCTCTTTTGAATCAAAGCGTTCTGGCTCGCTGGCTCAAATTCCCTTTCTTCTTTCCTTCTTCCCTGCCCACAACCACCAACCCTTCCCCGTCGCTGTCCCCAACAACGAGCTCAGCAGTCGGCCCCAGCACACACCACCAACCCCACCACAATTCCAATGACTTCAAGCTCTGACCAGCGATATGGCCAGCATTCATACCGCTTCCCCCTTTCTCCCCCTGGCTCTGGAACAGTGACCGCTGATTCTTCGCCTCGGATGACCACACTCGCCCCAGACGATCATCGAATCATAGACAAGATTTACGCTTCCAGGAAAGTCCCGTACCGCCATGCACATTCCCTTGCACCCGCTAGATCCGGCTATTCAAAGGATGAAGACGATACCACAGACTCTGAAGGCTACACCACCGAACGCTCTCCAGCTGCTTCTCTTGTTCGCAAGCGAACTCTCAAATCTTCCGCCCTTCGCTCCTCCACAATGCCCGCTTTCACGAAACAGCCACACGTTCGCACACCGCCAATGTCGCCGCGACCCCTCTCCCGAACTTCCTCCTCCGCGTCCCTATCATCCTCATCAACCGAAACGAGTCGCGAAGACAATCACCAACATCCGCCTACCGCCGGTATGAGTCGGAAAGTCGCCGCAACTCTCCAGATCTTCAAGGAAACTGCCCCTTCTTCGGACGACATGATGTCAGGCGAACCGTCATTGCACACTGAATTGTCGAGAAGGTCGGAATCTTTCACCGAGACGGAGGACATGGCAGAGCCGCAGTTTGAGTTTGTCAAGCGCTCGGATTGGCCGGACCGTGAGATTGCTGCAGGGCGGCGGGAGAGGAGCGCCTCTGTCTATGAGAGGACCAGGACGAGGGAGGCTACTTCTGTTCTCTTGGAACTTGAGGACAAGTTGAAGGAACGAGGAGCGACCGTTGCTGAATCTGACCCGTACCAGTGGCGTGCCGATAGGGGTCGAAGGAGGGAGCGCCCCGCGGAATCACCCATTCTCGAGGGCTCGATTCTACCCGAACTCAACGATACCCCCACATCTTATACTCGTCAACGCTCCGTTGTATATCCACCATCCCCTTCCCCGTCACGTTCTCCTGTGAAACGGTCCACTGCAGTCACCACCCACCCGGCCTTCGATCTGCCGATCGACCCCAGCCTATCACCTATTTCCACTTCGGGCCAGCTCCCGGCCCCACCAACCAGCGTGGATCACGACGACTATTCCTTACCCCCGTCCCCTCTTGAATCACCGTCACCTTGGACTACAGACGACGAATGGGACACTGCTTCCCTCGCCTCAACCACCTCCTACGATCCTTACGATGATCCGCACCCCTACAATCCAACGCCGTATGCATCTGATTCTGACGAGTTCCCTCATCCTCGCTCCCTTTCACCCTCCGGCTCTGATGGTATGGAGAGCCCAAAGCGGTCTCGTCTTAAACGCAGGGTCACTCCACGACCCATGGTTGAAGAAGACCAGCTCCCCCACATCCCTCTGCGACCTTTCCGCAACCAAGTTGGCGGCCATAGCGCTATTTATAAGTTTACAAAGCAAGCTGTGTGCAAGGTGAGTTTATTTTTATCCTTTGAAAACACGGTACCCACGTCTAAGTCCACTATTATTAGCCACTCGTTTCACGCGAGAACCTTTTCTATGAGTCGGTGGAACGCGAAGCGCCTCCTCTTCTCGACTTCATCCCTCGGTACCTGGGCGTTATGCTGGTCAGCTATCGCCGGGTACCAAAGCAAGACTCGGACCCAACGTCCCCCTTGCAACTTGCCTCTCGACCATCACTCCCGCATGCCACGACCGACCCCACTATCCAGCCCAGTGTATTCCGTCGCCAATCTTCCGGTCAAGATGACTCTAGTGCCGTCTTGGATGATACAGAATTGCCAGAAGTCGTCCTCGACAGGAATCGCCACATCATCCCTGAATGGCTACTCCAAGGCCACGGCAAGCGCAACCGATCGATGTCGCATTCGACTCCGAGCGGGTCGTCCTTCATTGCGCGACGTCGACTCGGTGCCAGCGCCCATCGAGGAACTGCCTCCACCCCTGACCTCGCCCTGGACCCCACGCCCACCAGCAACGAACCGAGTCCCCTCGCCGAATTCTCTTTCTCGTCGGAGCTCGACGCTCCAACCCCCGTTAACTCTCCCAGCACCTCCCCCAACCAGGCCAAGCATGCCTTCCCTGGAAGTCTAGCGGAGCGCCCACAGTCCCGCCGCGCTCACAACTCCAACTCTGATGACGAAACGCTAGCTCACCAGCCACTCCATGTCTCCTCCCCTGGCGATAGAGGCCTCTCAGTCCCAGGATCTCCTTGGTTCGGGGGGACTGGATCGACTGTAGTCAATACGAAGTTGAAGGATCATGTATTTAATTCTGTGTTGCGGCGGTTTCGGAGGCGGCTTCGTCGACGACGTGGTGTCTTCTCCCCTCCCAACGATGGCGGCGAGCTTGGTGATGTAGAGTGTGAAGAAAGTTCAGACCACCCTGGGTCCTTGTTGGCATCACCACGCAGGGCGAGGACTTTATTCCAATCCGGAGACGCACGCGACACTAGTTCGGACGACTGTCAAATCCCCCTCCTCCGTCGTGTGCGAAGCGAGTCTCTTTTAGGGCAGCGAAAGGGCAGAGATCCTACACACGTGCGTCCGGACGACAGCAACAAAGAGTTGGGGATCTTCGATATGGATCTGGACGTCAACAATTTGGGCGACAATCACAACACTCGTTCCTGGGAGGACTCCAATGCGGCGCCCATAGTCCGGCGCAGAAGCCGCTCGCGCTCGGTTGGATCACCCACTGCTCTCAGACGACGACCACCCTCTTTTATCAACGAAGCTATCCGCGAACAGAATGAAGCAGAGCCAGAGATCACACGACAAAATCACTTTATCTTGATGGAGGATCTGACAGGTCGACTAAAACGTCCCTGTGTGATAGATCTCAAAATGGGGACACGACAATATGGGATGGATGCTACTCCCGCGAAGAAGAAGAGTCAGCGCAAGAAGTGTGACAGAACGACAAGCCGTCCTCTCGGAGTCCGTGTCTGTGGGATGCAGGTGAGTCTTGTTTGACATCGTGGCTCGATGATGTTCCTAACTCAATACCCTCCGCCCACCAGGTTTGGAACAATGCATCACAGTCCTACATCACCCAAGACAAATACAACGGACGAGAGGTCCGGGCTGAAGAATTCGACTCTGTGCTAGAGTCTTTCCTTTTCGATGGCGAACGTCTCTTGGCATACCAAATCCCCGTTCTACTCCAGAAGCTCTACGCACTAGCTCGCATCATCAACCGACTGAAGGGATACCGGTTCTACGGCTGCAGCCTCCTGCTTATCTACGATGGCGACGGCGAGTCACAAGAAGTCTTCCGGTCCTCGGTGCTCGAACAGCCCTCGTCGCACAGCAACAAGCGCAGCGAGTCCCTTGAACGTCGTTCCAACTCGCGGGCCTCTGGGACGGGTGAAAAGCCGGCGTTGCGCCGCTCGCACAGTGAAGACCTGCTCGTTGGACCAGTCGCCAAGCGTCAAAGTCGACGCAAGAAACGGGGGGAAATCAACGTCCGCATCGTCGATTTCGCGCATACCACCACCGGCCGCGACTGGCTCGCCTACCCAGAAGATTTTGTCGACATTGCTCAGGACCCTCAGTCCGGACTGAAGGGGTACCATGCCGACTTTGATCCAGAGACGGGGCTGCTATATGCACGATTCCCTCCGCACTACCCTGAGCAACCTGACCGTGGTTTCCTGTTCGGTCTCAAGACCCTTTCGGAATCGTTGGAAGGTATCTGGAACCGCGAGCGAATCCACCGCAACAAGGCTGCGCGTGACGATCCCTCAGTCGAGCATTACAAACTCCCCGCACTTGCTGTGGACGGCAAGGAGATTTTTGATGAGATCTTTGGGGAGGAAGAGGACGCGGGTATGATCTCTACATGACCTCTTCCTATGACCTCTGTTTTCGTTTTCATAGTATGCCTGTCCATGCCTTTTGGGTTGCCCTTTGTGTGCGTATATACCTGGGTTTTTTGGGACTTTCTTTTTTCGGCTCGCCTCTTTTGCATGCTCCATTCTATTACGCATTATTTTTTCCTTTGATTCTGTCAGTAAAACCATAGACTGCATTGTCTCGACCCATTTGTAATTATAACAATCGCAACATGCTACGACCTGGTAATGCAAATACGATTTTTCTTGCCTCGAAGCGCCCCTGCGCGTGATTCTATTTTTAGCCTGTCCTTCTTTGCAGTTGACAGCAGCTTGCTCACTTATTTTCTCCTTCGTCGTCCTCATCGTCGTCGACAACGTCCAGCCATGGATATCGAGCTCAGGTGCAATCGCCTAACGTGTCGAGGAGCGTTGACGGACAAGGCGGTGGTGGTGAGTCGCTGGGGAGTTCCTGTGGGCTCAATGGTCGCGACTGAGCCGCGTAATTGCTTCTAGACAACCTGTACGCGTTCTGCTCGCTCTGCTGGACATTCTGACCGCTAACCGCGACCTTGCCCAAGGCTCACATATATTCTGCGGTATTCATGTCCTTCAAACGTATTGTGCAATCGACGAACAGATTTCGCAGTCACCTGCGCACACGAACTGTTCAACGCTTCCCGGCTGTGTCCAGGTAGGCCAAAACCCTCCACTTGTGACGGATTGAATCCTTATATATTCCCAATACAGCTTGTGAAACCAGTTTGACAGAACCGTAACATCCACCCTCTAAATTATCACTTGCACACTTGCACCTAACTAGGTTTCTAAAGTGACGATGTAGTGGTGAGTGACCAAACTACAACCTTCACCTAACCGGTGTCGATGAGAACCAATGGCTCAACTAAGCTAGGTCTGCTCCCTTCACCCAACGAACGACTACAAAACGGCAAGTCCGCGACACATATACCTCCTTCGTTGCGTGCCGAGTACTGACTGAATGGCACATATCACATCTACGATCTCCTCAGTCCGTTCTATCGGGCCTTTCCCCATCCACAATCCTCGAGATCTGCAGTCGGTATGTACGATGTACTACCCCGGAAACTCAGACGAGACCGTTCAATGACCTCACCTCCCATTGATACCTAGTGCCATATCCTTCTGGCAGTATCAAATGCACCAAGAAAGGTGAGGCTCACGCCCTCTTGCTGACTCGTGTTTGGCATTTTTGAACCGTCTCGGGTCCGGTTATGGTCAGCACTTTCCAGCAGGCTGTAGTTCGAAATGTAAACGACAAGAACGCCCAGTTGCAGCGACAGCTTGAGAACGTCATTCGGGAAGGTAGGCAATGATCCGTCTCATTCGACAGGCCGGAGCCACGAGGTTGTAACGGATGATTTCAACCCCTAGCCAATAGTGAAATCGAGTTACTCGTCAACAAGCGGAATGGTGAGCCGTGCACAGTCTGGAGCAGGAACCCCTAGTCAGCTTCACAACCGCATTCCTCCCAGAACTCGAGCGCGACTTGGAGCTGGAACGCAAGAAGGTCCGAGAACTTCAAGACTCTAATCGAGAGCAAAACAAGGAGTATCAGAAACTGAAGGCAAGTTCCTGCTCCCTCCCACTCCCAGTTAGACCCGTCTTTGAATACAGATCTAGGCACACTATGACAAGATGAAAAAGAAGATGCTCTTGGGAGGTCCTCAGCCGAATGATACGACCATTCCAACCACTAGCCAAGGGTCAGGCCTCATTCAAGAACGTGCGCTCCAGCAGAGGGCGCATCTGCACGCAAACGGTACTAATCTAGACATACCTGGCAGCGGTGTCAGTAATTTTCCCCGCTCTTCACATTGCTTTCATGAAGCATGCTCGCGCCTCGCGACTTGCCGGCGCGTCTTATGCCTGAACACTGACGCCGCCGCCACAGGTGCAACGAACGCCACTCGTAACCTCAAACAATGGGGGCTTAGGGTTCTCCGTTCAAGAATCGCAAAGGAGATCTGCCTTCAATCGTCAACTGTTTGGGTTCAATAACAATCATGGCGGAGACAGGTCGGCGGGCCTTTCCGAGCGTTCCAACAGCGTCAATGAAGTGGAGAACTTCCTTTTGAGTGGCCCTCAGCCTCGCGCCTCCAACTCGAGCAGGAACCTTGCCTCCAACTGGTCATTTGGAGGACAGGGACAGCAGCAAAACCAGCGAGGTGCGTCTAATACATTTGCAATCAAAATATTCGTATATACATCTGAATCCGCAATAAGGAACGGCAGGAATATCAGCATCGGCTACGAAACGTGGGTTTCGGCCAGCAATAGGTAGATAACATAGGACATTAATCGTACATGGTAATCGTACTTGACACGGACCGTTGGTTTCGAAAGCAAGAAAAGTAGAGAACGAGAATGTGATGAGTTGGTGGGATGGGATATTGATACATAAGGACGCCCTTTCTTCACTGTGGCGGTCGTGCTAAAGCAGATTAAGGGTGCAAAAAGGAATGAAGTGCGTGGATATGGAGCAAGAAAAGGGAATGAAAGAGGGTCAGAGATTTGGTTCGTTGGCAAGCAAGATTGGGTGGTGGTGGTGACACATAGAATACAAGCGGCCATGTCGTGTTTTGCTCGTTAGAAATACTTGAGAGTTCCATTCTTCTCGTCTTCTAGGTACTGACCGATGGCCAGGACGTCCTGACCTGCTCGTCGCAGGTAGCCAGCGAGAACAGATCGATCAGCGTGTGGGAGGACATTGTGAAGCTTATCGACCTGTTCAGCAAACAGGGGATCAGAGTATGGCTCTTGATACCCGGTCGGGGAGTTGAGATCGAACAATGAAGGTCTCCTCCCCAACGCCTCTTCGCGCTCCAGACTATACGTCTGGCTCGCAGGCGTCGGGATGAGGGTCTTTGACCTCTGCGCTCGATTGGGTGGAGCCCGAGGTCCACTTGGCCCGGTATGCCCATGGCCATGAACACTCCCTGCAGGCGACCCACTATGCGCAGTGTTGGTGGTCGACATCAAAATGGGCCTCGATATCGAGAGCTCTTTGCCCATTGGTGGAGACTTGGTCAACACTGACTTGCTCGTCGCACTCGTACTGGAATGACCAAGTGTCGAGCTCGCGCGCTCTCTTCTGCCCGATGTCATACTGGCTTTGCGACCCAATGAGGCGAAGAACCCGGTTTTATTGTTTGAACCATTCGACGGGGCTAGAGATCGGATAGAGGGAGGTGGGGTTGAGCCTGAGCTGGACGCTGTGGACCGAATGGATTGTTGGCGTTGTTGAGTTGCGAGTGAAGGGTAAGGGAGGTTGACAGCCACCGTTGCGGGACTGACATCGTGATATGTCGATGATTGAGCTGACAGGTCAGTTGCGACGACTGCGTCTGGTCGACGGGGGAAGGTTGCTTCAGAGGTCATCGAAGATTTCGAAGTAACTCGTGGTTGGGGTTGGAATGGTCGAGACGAAGGTCCACGAGGATGGCCAGTTGCTGATCCTGACATGGAATTAATGCCATCCTATCCCATCAAAAGCTTTACCACATACCTCGGTACTTCATCTCCAAAACCCATCCCGACAAGCCACAATCATGGATATACAACTCATTAATCTTCTCAATGTAGATCTGACACCTCTCAGCCGTCGTCCTTTGCTGATACACCTCGTGACAAAACATCGCCGCAGGATTCGAATCTACTCTCTTCCTCCTAACCACTGGGCGTTGTTGATGATGCTGACGGCTCCTAACAGGCGAAGGTGTCCTCGAGCTCCGGTGTGAATAATGGGTCTCGGCGGACGAGCGTTGGTCGGATCTCGACGTTGAAGCGCGCGATGGTGTACGGGGTAAGCTAGAGAACCTCTTCAGGTTGGCAGCTGTCTGTTGGACAATGAAACTGTTGCGGAAGCTCTTGGGTGGCGGACTGGGCGCCGTGCCGTTACTCGTACTGGAGGAGGCTGAACCTCTAGGTGAGGTTGACCGGAATTGCGATTGGGTCTGGTAATGACCACTGTGGGAACCAACAGACGAAGGCGAAAGACTCCTTCTATCCCTAGCACTTCTTCTCTCTGGGGGCGCGTCATCACGGAATGTAATGCTGCGTCCAGAGTGGCTATTCGAACTCCCACCGCTCTCAGGTGACGGTGAACGGAGAAGGGAGCGAGCAATGATGGGATAGTCCGAACTGGAATGATTGAGTTCTTGGTCATCGAGCTTCTTGTTGTCAACAACAGGGTTAGCCTTTGCCTCCACGACAGTTACGCTCGGAACGTGTTCGTCACGGTCGTTGTCTACAACAAGCCTTGGACGCGTGGGAGTCGTCGATGCGACTTTATCGTCAGTGTCGTCCACAATGGAGCGAGAGGTTGACGACGAAGACGAAGACAATTGTTGGAATGCACCTTCCCTCCGATGAACCGACGCCGTACGAGGAAGGCTAGAGCTACCGGTGGGAACACAGTGAGAACCCTCGTCGTCAAGAAAAAGATGTAGTAGCAACACACCTCGATTGGTTAGCATTATCCTCCTCGATAGTCTTCGGTTGAATCTTCGGGGTATTGACATCGCGCTTGGGTGTCAACTTTAGCGGTTTCACCTCTGGCAACGGCTGGTGGGAGGGTGGCGTCGTTTTGGCCAGTTTTGCAGCGACTGAGGGCGGTAATTGCAATGCCTGCTTGACAGCCTCGAGATCACTCTTGGCTCGCGGAGGCGCCGGGGAATGAAGGCGCGGCGGTCGCGGAGGTGGGGGCGTGTGCAGCATGGCAAAGGTAGCGCGTGGTGGTGGGGGTAGAGGACCAGCCGTCGCGTGCAGGCCTGTTGGTGGTTAACGGGAAGCAAGGCGGGTATTGGCCGAAAGGTTATGGCAGAGGTGTTTGATAAACGTCAGGACAGAAGGTCGACATGGTTTCGGAGTGAAGGGATGACCAAATGATTATCAAAAGGGAGCCAGAACAAGGCATCGAATCACCGATGGGCTTGGTTAGTAAAAAGGTTATTTTAGCTGCGGCAAGTTGTCACGTACCGGGTTGATACCCTAGGAATGGGGTTGTTTCAACAGGATCAAATGTCGGTGTTGAACTGCCATGGCGCTGGGGGACATGTGGAAGCTTGAGATTGGTCGTGCTTGAGCTGGAAACTAGCTTGACAGTCTGCCGAGTCGACGTCGAGGCTAAATCGACAATTACCGGTGGGGCCACTGGTACATGGATCTCCTTCGAGGCGCCAATTTCCGGGGTGACCATTGGAGGGGAGACAAGGGGGAAAGCAGAGGTGGTCGTGCTCAACGGTGAAGCCTGATCGAACCCAGTGGTAGGCGAGAGCAACAGAGAACCTGGCACTCGACCTGCACCTGAGTTCGCTGGCAGGGACTGTTGAAGCGGGAAAGATGGAGAGGGCCGATATTGGGGAGGACCATTGTTGTTATTGATTGAATCACTAGTATACGGGCCAATGCACATGCATGGCGGAGACTCGGCTTAAATAAGGCTCCGCCGTAATCACCTTTACTGATGTATTTAGAAAATGTAACAAAAGAGTAGTATTACTATAGTTAGTTCACTAACGAATACACAACGAAATTGACCAAATCAGAGCTAGGATACAGTTCTCATCGAAGATTTTGGGTAAGTGCACGCTGAACAGAGAAAAGAAGACTAGTTACTATTATTACAGTTCACCCAGTAATACACAACCAAGTTAAGTATTAGACCCCGGGTAAGTATACAAAGAAGAAGTCGGGTAAGTAGTATACGACGAACAGGAAGGAATCGGTTGCCGTCGATAGTGATCACCACGGGTCTGGGAAACCCGCCGGGTTACCGGGTAAAACCCGCCCGGGTGCGGGTACAGGTCAACAGATGTGAACCCTCAGCCAAACCCGGACCCGGGAGGCGGGTTCCCACGGGTTCGGTACCCCAAAAAGGGCAAAGGTCGGCTTGGTCCAATGCCGCAGGGTATAACTTTTGCCCCAGTGCCACAATCATCAACTATACAGTACCGAACTTTAATTTTCCAACATATCATAGTTACGTAGTGCTAGTAATTTGGTAGTTCCTCTAATGTGCATCTCTTCCCCCTGTTCCGATGAACCCTCCCGGGTTTTCCGGGTTTTCTCGGGTAACCCGCCGGGTTGTGAACCCTGCGGGTAACCCGTACCCATACCCGGACCCCTCTGACGGGTCGGGTTGGACCACGGGTACGGGTCCGGGTCGACTTTCCAGTACCCGGGGTCAACCCGTGGTGATCACTAGCCGTCGAGGAACCATTTGAATTTTGAAACTCCGACAGAGGGCTGGGCAAATTGTTTCAATGGAAAGGTGAGGTTGAAAACGGGTTTCACATAATTATTTTATGACCACTAAATATATGTTTCTACAAAGGTCAACAAAAACAAGTTGGAACACGACAGTATACGGTCAGTTGAAGGGGAAGTAGAGAACGAGGAAAGACGTGAAGGGCAATTTCGAACTCCATTCCAGATTAAGAAACAAGTTACCAGTTGACTGATGGGAGTGGCCATTTTGCGTGTGCGCACACGCATTAAATTACACTCAGCTTATTTAAGCCGAGTAATATCATCAAACTCTTCCCCACTTGCAGTGGTACATTGTCTTACATGTTTAATAGACCCGACCCCTGGCTTAACCCCACCCGTAACCCGACGGGTTTTCCGCACGGGTTGGGTCTTAGATCATCGAAAACGGATAAGAAATGACTGAGATATGGTTAAAATAATAATTTGACCGTATCTCAGCCATTTCCCATCCGTTTCTGATGATCTGTGGCTTGTTTTAAAGATCTCGGGTCTGAAAATGGCGACCCATACCCGACCCATCGCAGGGTTGACCCGAAAACCTGCAGGGGTCAGCCGACCCTTGCTTTTCACTAATGATCCTCCTCGTTCCGGAATCCCCAGCCTCATGTACCCGGCCGCAATCTCCTCCACAAGCGGCAGCATTGTGCGGGATAAAATTTTAGCGTCTCATAACACCAATTATTAGCTTCAAAACGAGCCCAAAATCCAAGAAAACACACCAAAGATGAAGGAGATATCAGTAGTTGTCTTCTTTCCCCCTCAACTCCAGGTACCGGTGGAGCATTAGCTTGGCATTGGCTTGGCTGATGCAATAAGCGGAACTGGGACTCAATCAGTTCCGCTTATTGCGTCATTGCGGTGTTTCAAACTCCCGACGCAACCGCGGCAAACATGTTTTTGCAGCTACAGGTTTTTATAAAACCCCTTTTTTATTTTATTTTTATTTTTTTCTGTTAATGTTACTTAGAGTATTCTATATGACAGGAGAGAGGGAGTTTGACATGAATATACCGAAAAATATCCAAGTAAGTGAAAGTGAAAGTGGAGACTGAATAAATCTGCAATGTACCATATAAGGTAATAAGTTCCCAGTTGACTGATGAAAGGGAACAAAATGCTCGCGCGTGCTCGCGTTAAATTACACTCAGCTTATTTAAGCCGAGTAAAAAGTATCCGAGTTTGTGATGACGGTCTTGTTGTTGTCTCGGACGGCCTCGCTTGCGGTGTCAATACCCGTCACGTTTGCTTCTTTGCCGTCAGCGTCGATAACGGCCGTCTCAGACGCTGAACGGTGGTGGCGGTGGATAGCCTCGCTGGTGGCAGTGTATGGCGGCGCAGTCGAGGGCGGCGAGATGAAGTTCTTCATCGCCGCGTCTGGAGGCGCGACGAGCGCGAGTCCAGCGAGTCCACGCCTGGAACGAACAGAGCTTGCTGAAGAGTTGGTCTCCGACGCGTCGTTGGCCTCCTGCAACGCCTCCATCTGCACAATAGCAATTCTCCGCCTGTCACCTCCACCATAAGACGCCGTCGTCGCCCTCCTCTTCAACCGCACGGCACTCGAACTCAACACAAAATCACTCTGGGTGCCAAGGTCGTCTTCGTCGTCTGTGTCAGAGTAGTCGGAGGAATAGGAAGACACAGAACCAAAGGACAACTGCCTTTGGTGCACAACCGGGTGCTTGGTCGTTGGAGACTCCGCAGTCTCCGTTCTTGAACTGGTGGCATTGGATACGGTACTGCTGGGGGAGGTCGACGAATACTTGGATAAGAGCTTGCCAAATGAAGATTTTCTTGAAAGGCCCGTCGTTGGAGTTGTCGTCGTCGTCGAACTGGATTTGAGTCGTGAACCTAGATCATTTCCGAAAAGCAGAGCATTAGAAAAACGTTTCAGCCTCTTCATGATAACAAAGGGCGCCTTGGACTAGCAAGGGCCTGGGAGAAGGTGGCATGCCTTGGGATTTATACGGCGTGGCAAGCATGATTGGATGGATATTTGTTGCGAAGGAGGAGGATACATGCAGATGCAGATGTATCCCGTTCGGGAATTTACTCCTTGTCGACCAGTTAACCCCAACAAGCACTAGAATGACGACACCGCCAATTCCTGTGCTATCCCCTCCAGAAAAGACTTGTCTCCAAGATTCTGGCTTGGTTGAGCGAGAAAAGGACCACAGCCTGCCGCGGTCATTTCCTTCCGCCTCGGCTTGGCGCGGGCGTCTATGCGCGATGCATCGAACACTATCCGTGCCAATAACGCGGCTGTCCATATTCGTTTCAAGTCAAATGCTGTTCTATAAGTCCTGTCACTAGATTCGATACCACCTCGAATTAGTTTCATAACAGCAGACTATTTTGACTACCTTTGTACTATCTGAGCAAGCCACTTGCATTTATCCTGTCTCTATTCAGATCGTCCTCTGGCATCCTTGGCTGCAGAAACTCCGACTGACATGAATTTTTACCGTACATGGCCCTAAAGAGCACCCAACGGTCCATTCAGAACCAACCTGGTGCTTCTCGTTGATACCCACGCAGACCATCGCTCCTCCTGGCATTCCATGGTCAATTTAGGGAACAAGGGTCTACTCGAGCTCACTCGACTACTGGTTCCCAATACGCATCAGGGCAATTGAGGCCATCGGTACCACTTGCTGCCACGCTAGACCATCGCATCCGGCCTTCAGCCTCCGTTCCGAGGTTAGCTTCGGTTGCGGGATGCGATCCTACTAAGTAGTAGTTGCTGCTTTTTATATAGAACGGATCCCCGTAAAATACATGCCTGAGTTGGGCTAATGGCTCGAATGTCGCGTTATCACATATATCCTATCCAATAATGCTCACTGCATACTTTGCACCGACGGAGCCTCCAACTGCACGATGGGAACGGATGATAGATCCCTCTGCCCTACTCGTTCCCACTCTTCGTGTAAATAGACCATGTCCGCGCACACGCGCTGGATAATCGGACTCAAAACATTTCCTCAGCTCACCAGATGTACGCTTGCAGAATTAGCACCAGGTAACAACCCCCCAAAAAATATCTTCATCGGGTCTTCGAGATCCACTCGCAGAACGAACAGGGGAGGCAACACGGACGTATTCAGCGCGAAGAAGCCCAGTCTCCAGGGGTCCAAAACATCTCAGGCAACAGTATGTGCATTCGGGCTCGACACAGAAGGCCCGTCTTGAAACTCTGACACTACAGAAAGGATGAGTGTAGACGAGGGACATAAAAAGGTGCCATATTCTCAGAGCTCTCTACCCGAGAAGCAGGCAGCAGTGCCGGTCAACTCCGAGATTATTGCGATCTAGGCGCCCTTGTATGGGTAGTTACCAGGTTCTCAGCTCAACCGACGAGGTACTATCGTTAGTTGTCTCCAACATACGTATCCTGACACGCAATGCATGGCCCAACGCAGTATCCAGTGATTGGAGAGTTCCGGGCTCTGAGGATGCAGACCTGGCAAATAAGATAGCAACCGTTGGCACCGTAGTCTGCTGCACGAGATTCAGTTTGTCGGAGGGTACAGGTTTCCGTAACACTGACTTTGACTATATTCGAGTAGGATCACACAGGGTTTCTTGCTCTGCGTTTCAAACAATCCCAGGGTACAACCGACCAGCGATGGGCGCTTATCAGTCCATCGAACACGCGCGCTAGAAATTTCAAATCACTACCGCTTGCTCTGTCACATACTAGTAGGGGGTTAGATTGGAAGCACGGATCTAAGAAGACGTAAATACATATAGTTGCGAGATAAATGAGGAGCCACCAGGACTGTCTAAAGACAACACCACCCCTTAATCCTTCCAAGTCTCAGGTCCCTTCTCTAACCCGCGCAATGTCACTGCAAAGCGCCCTGATAAACGCAGGGATAGCCTCCACATTTACCTTGCGCCCATTAGCCACTTCCTGCCTCAATTCCTCAGGATCTGCAATGGTAAGCCTCTCCGGGATCGGAATCTGACCTGCAATCGACGAGTCAGAACACCCCTGAAGACAGATAAGCGTAGGCAAATTAGGCTTATGGAGAGCCCCGAACTCGTCACGAATCACGAAGAATAGGTAGGCAATAAAGGTCTCCCATTGCTTCGGCATGACAGCGATATTATAGTCGAGGACGGGGAGGGCATAGCGCTCCAGGTCGATGACCCATCGCTTATACCAGTGCAGTGGATCCTCGTTTCGAAAAAGGAACTTGGTTCTATACAAAAAGAAAACGGTCAGTAATCAGCTCTTCGCCCAAATGGAGGTGTATCATGAACTCACCTAGTGATATGAGCGACATGTGTATCCTGCTGCCACTTGGAAGCGATGACATAAAACAGAGAAAACGTCCTCACAATCACCTCTGCCGCAGACTGTTCGAATGGCTCACAAAGCTCCACGTCCTCCAGGTCATGTTCGTTAAACACGACGACGATGAAGTAAATAGCCATAAACGCAGGCCTAGTGTACAACCTGTACCATTCTTTGTGGTGTGTGGCCAACTGTTCCCAGGCTGTGGCACAAGCGCTCACAACTCTAATGTATACACAAAAGGGATTATGGTTAGTCGTAAACCGGAGTTCTCGAGGTAACAAAAGACTTACTGTCTACTCCTGGTTCCATCGTTGATAGAATCTGGGAAGAGCCATTTAGCGATGAGGATGATGACGAGTTGCAAACTTGGGGTTTCTTCGATATCCAGGATCGGATGACGGGCTTCGTTCGAGAGTGCTAATCGTTGGTCGGATTTGTTCGACATCGCTCGAGATGGATGTACGCAGTACTCACTAGTATGGCGGGGAAATTGTACATCGCATTGCCTCGCCTTATAGACCTGGGAGATCAGACACAGTCAAAGGGGCCAGCGCCACTCTGGACACTGTAACGGGCGCCAACTCGAGCTTACTGGCACACTTTGACCCTCGCCACCGGCTTTGTTTGTTCTGCGCAAACCCGCATGTCCAAGCGCCAGTGCCAAGGCTTCGCCTACTCAGGGACAGAAGCGAAGCGTCGGAAAGCGAAGACGCCCGGTCCAGAGGATCCACTCACCACAGTGCGTAGTCCTGTCGATGAGATCCAAGTGGAAGTATGTATGCGATGCGGATTCTATGTTCGAGATGACTGAACGTCCTGAGTTCAAACTCTGAGGGACAAACGAGAGAGTTGCGGACAATGGCGCTGTCGCAGGGCGCAATTCAAATGCTTGGCGGGCCAAGGCACAATAGACGCCCATGCTTCGGCCCAAGCGCCAGAAACTCAACCTGTGCTACTCTGGTCACTAGGCGGTGCAGCGGGCTCCGCTGTCACCTTAGGCCTTGCTCCAAGCGCTGCCGAACTCAATGCAATTTTCCAGCTTCGAAGCGAGTAAATGAAACGTGAGATTGGCGACATTACAGAAAAAAACGGTATCGCAGGTTTGTAGGTGAAAGGGAGAATTGGGAGACCCAGTAGGTTATTGAGTTCTCAGAGCCTTGCTCGGAGCAAGGAATTTTAGGGCACTGTATTATCCGCAACGTAACTCGAGTAACGCCAGATCTCAGCGTGGGTGCTCATCATGGTACCGCCTCGTAGATTCCCGCACCAAATATTTACTTCGCAATTCCACGGATGATAGGATTTATTGTCTAAGCTAGGTCAAGGTATATATTCTACTTAAAGCCACATACTCAAGTGAAATTTAAAGCTGCCTGTTGGGTTCTGAAGGCCATCGCACACTGCCGCAATAAGTGCAGGAATTTCCTGCTTCACTATCTTCCGACTCTTGGTGACATCTCGACGAAGCTGTCCGAGTGACTTCTCCGGAGGCACAGAGGGCACAGGAGTGCCAATTGCTTCATAACTACCTCTGAGAATCTTAACCGCAACGGCATAAGGAGCACGATACTGGGGCAGCTTCTCGTCGACCAACGCGCCCAGGAAAAAGAGGAAGGTAGACCATTGGGCGGGCATGACCGAAATGTTGTAGTCTAGAATAGGAAGCAGCAGCCGCTCCATGGAGAGAATGTAGCGCCTGTGCCACTGTAGTCTGTCCATTAGGGACTTGTCTCCGAAATCAAACCTGACGCTGTAGAAAAGGAGTCGGGTCAGTTTATGTCTGGCAAAAGAAATGAGAGTCTAAAGGCTTACTGTGTGATGTGCTCGGGGTGAGGGTCCTCGTGCCATTTAGATGCAATGAAATAAAACACGGAAAAGACCTTTACCGTAATCTCTACCGCAAGGTTAGTGGCATCGGGCGCACCAAGGATCGTGTCGTCAAAGCTTTGCTCTGCAAAGACCGCGAGGATATAGTAAAGGGCCATGTAGGAAGGCATCAAGAAGAGTTTTTGCCGCCTGTGATGCTCCATCAGCCGCTTCCAAGCTGCCACCCTAATAGCTTCAAGCCTAGAATATAAAAATCAGCAATGAGTACCGTTAAAAATAGGAAGGCAACGTACGATTTCTCGTCTGGAACTTTGTCGCAATATTTTGGAAAGAGGGTTCTGACGATGAGAAAGGTGATTACCTCCAGGGAGCAACCGTTCTCTTCTATGGTCGGGTGCTGAGGGAACTTGATAAAAGCAGTTGGCTGAAACATCATCGGATAGGCTTGGTGGAACATTTTCAAAAGCTGCAAGGGGCTGGTTTGTATGAAGTGGACTGCAGTTGACCGCTTTAAATAGGCCTTGAAGCAAGGTCAAAGCGGTGGCAACCGGACGATGGATCATTATGCGCTTGGACAGTACTGTCAAAGCGTCGACAAAATCCCATTGTCGTTCGTAAATCTAAGAGGGTTACTCTCGGTTAGAAGAAGATTATGTCGGTTCACTTTCTCGAATATTAGAGGTTTATCGAAAATGCGACAAGCTGTCTGTGGTTCCAGCGTCTCGATGTACGACGGTGGTCCGTACCCCTCGGAAAGGCCCTAGTTCATGAAAACAGAGCACGGTGAGTCCAGATAATAGGTCTAATCTCCTGTGAATTATTACTTGGTCACTGAATCTACATGGAACTGCGATGGTATGTGGGCAGTCGCAGTTTCATTGTTTTCTTAGGCCAATTCTAGACAAGTCGTGGTGATCAAGTTCTCCCACGTTGGGATGGTGGCGGCAGCCTCACGTTGAATGCCACGGGGAAAAATGAGATCCAGAATGAGTGGAGTGTCGACGAGTGAGAGGCCAACTGAAGAAGTGCGTAGACAGTTCAGTGATCACTGACAGTAACTGTGTCACTGAAGCTTGTTCAATTGTGTTTTGGTAAGCCGATTGCTATTTCTGGAATACGTATCGTCGTACTCACGTGTCTTATCGGCTTGTAGCAAAGTGTCAGAATGGAAAATATATTACAGAGGCGACTCTGGTAAAATAGGCCTAGAAATACATACAATGATACACGAGGTAAGTGAACGAGAGGAGGGAGTATAGGATCAAGAAGTGAAAAGTGTCCATGATGATATATAAGGGATGTCGACCCGACAGTCAGTGGTTCGGATGTCGACCAGGCGGTAAATCGAAACAGGCGGCCAGCGCGCGGAGTCTGCTGGAAGGCTATACAGAGTCTTGGGGGCCCACAGGTGGAATATTTTCCTTGTCTTCATCGTCCATTCCCAGATCTTCATCGTCACTCGAACTCCACTCATCCCCTTCATCGTCATCCTCCCTCCTCTCCAACACCTTTCCCTTTTCATGCACATCCCTGTCTTCCCGCGTCTGGTCACCACACCACACCTCGAGCGATACACTTGGTGGACACAACAGCCCATCACACAGCGTTTCAAGAAACGCGGGAACATGTTCCTCCATCATCATCCTCCCGGTAACAATCTCCTCATACAACAAATCCTGCTCCTCCTTCATAAGTTCCAACTCCGCCTCCGTCTCCATGTCGCTCCTATTCAGGGTCTTAATCGGTAGACCAACACATCCATAGGCGCCCTTGAGGATGGGTAAAGCTGGGTTACAATGCTCCGTCATCTTTCGAAGTTCGGGTTGCTCGAAGACGAACTCGAGGAATGAGACGAAAGGAGGCCAGTGGTGTGGCATGACGGCAATGTTGTAGTCCAGGATGGGCAGGACGCGTCGTTCCATGCGGTGGAGGTGTTGGAACCACCAGCCGATGTTGAATTCCGAGCTACGCGTGAATGCAAAAGTGGATCTAGACAATATGTTAGTTTGACAAATCCCAAGAAAAGCAACAAAGCTGGAGACGCACATAGTGATATGCATGGGCCCTGTCTCTTCGATATCTTCTTCCCATTTAGATGCAATCACGTAAAAGACAGAGAAAATTCGAACGATGACTTCCCCCGCAATATTGGCATCCTGCATGAGCGGGGCGTCATCCAAATCGTGCAGCTCGAACACGACTAGGATGTAGTATAGAGCCGTGAATGATGGGACAAGCAGCAACGAAGGTCCATAATGCATCTCGGCCAGCGTATTAAACGCAATTCTTCTACCGATTTCCAGCCTGTAGACAAGTAGTCTCGTCAGTACCCCAGCCGGATAAGTCAACAAAAATGCATACCATTTGTGCCCGTCTTTGGTAGAAGATCGCCGAGGAAAAGCAAGTTTGACGATCATAAACAGGATAAAGTCCAGGCACTCCCCAGAGAGAGTGTACAATGGCGGCAAGTTTGAATCTTCGGGATTCGGAAGCCACAACTCGGGAGGTGGACACTCGCCGGCGAGTGCTGCTGGATGAGTTTCATCACTATCACTGTCCAAGCATTCCGGGTATTCTGGGGCAGTGACAAAAGAATCGTCCGAAGAACTGGAGGAGGCCGAGGAGATCGAGCTTGATGTGCTATCTGGACTATCAAGCACAGTTTTGGCAAGTCCGAGAAGGAGATGCTCGATAGATTCCTCGTCAGAGGGATCGCCCACGAGTGTGTACTCGTCATCGTCTCGATGAACAGGGATCTCTGAAACCGCTCCATTTGGCGACGCAAAGACGTTGCATTCAGAACGACACAGGGCCGCCAGGTCGGACATGTTGATTCGGGAACAGTGGCGCAGGGTACCGTTATCAGAAACCAGGACAAGAAGCGCTCGCGAAGTCGAGCGCAGGGAAAGGGAGAGAAAGGAGCTAAGAATCAGAAGAAAGAGCAGCGTGGATCGTTTTATAAGACCAAGGTCAAAGCTGTAGAATGCCACACCGACAACTGGCACACGGACAATGATGCATTATCCCCCGGGGAATCACAAGCAGAGGGAAGCAAAGTACTTTGGCAACGACTGCCACAGATCAAAGCTCAATGGCGACGGACCTCTTTTCGCATCGAGTCAGGGATTGTGGATGTCGTTTGAAACAAATGTGCTCATTATTCGTTTGATTAAGGATCTTAGATAGATGGATACGGCCGGGCTGTCTGTGAATGCCGCTACTTCCTATAGAACTGCGGAGGGACAATGTCAGTAACACTAGACGCGCCAAGAAAAAGGGTCTATACTCACGTTTCTCCTAAAGTTAAACCAAAGGGATAGGCAGCCACGGTCAAAGCTGCTCCGGAAACCGCTGTGTATCAAACAACGTCAGCAATCCGTGACGTCGAGATACGAAAGAAGCAACGAACCGCTTGTGTGAAAACTCCCATTCCCTATTGACAATTCGGAAAGCAATGTCTTCGTATGGAGGTCCTGCGCTGAATTGAAGGATGACAGTCTCGTCGTTGCCAGGTTCTTTGACGATCTTGTAAGTCGGTGCTTTGGATTTGTCGATGAGGTCGGGATAAAAGATGTTGAACTTGAATAACAGAGGTGAGGACTTGGGCAGAGTGCCACCGGGAGAAGGAACACACCTTGTATCCTTGGACGACCTTTGGTGGCGGGTTGTCGGTGCTAAATACAAGTCAGCAAACCCGTCTAGCGAATGTCATTGCAAAGGAAACGTACTCGTAGTGGGTCTGGTTGTACTTGTTCCATTCATAACCGGTATGGACCCTGTTGAAGTACCTTGGCTTACGAGGCCTATACTTGTCTTCCCAGTTGTACGAGGTGGGATTGGGCAAGTCTTCCTCCAGATTAAACAGTTCCTCCTCTTCTTCCAAGTCCCTCTCTGCTTCAGCCCGGTACAAAGCTTCAGAAGCGAGATCGGCATTGGTGGACGTATCTTCGACGACAGGTTCCGCAACGGCTTCCTGTCGTGCTTTAGGCACGAATCGTGAAGCAGCAACTTGGCGTCGCAATTTGAGCTGGTTGAGTACATCAATACTGATATTCGAAGCAATGATTGAATGGGCCTTACAATTTCACGCAGATCCTCTTTCGCGGAGATGATAGGAATGTGTCTCTCTTCAGTTGGAAGGCGCGAGATGTTAATGGGAGCAGGGCTCATGGAACGGTCATATGGTTCCACCTCTTCAGCGGGAACCACGTCCTCGTGAGCGCCGCCGACTTCCAAAGGCTTGTCTGCAGTTGCTCTCTTGGCAGAACGAGCAACGCCAGCGAGAAGCTCTTCTTGAGCTTGCAGCGCTTCGTCTCGTTGGCGTTTACGGAGCTGCTCCAACCTGTTCCGGACCACTACTTCATGGAGGGATTTTAACCTAGCCTTTGGAAACGTCAGTCCGATAGGGCCTAGAGTATGGGTTTTGGAATACTCACCTTGGACTTCCATACCAAGAGTTTCTTCAAGAGCGCCTCCCAGTAGTCGGTGTCGATGGGCTCTCCACTTGTTAGTTTAGCTTGGACCTGTCTCTGCAATGACGACAGTTGTTCGTAACTCTTCCCAATCAAGAGACGAGTGATGTCCTCTTCGACCGCCGCTGCTGCTTCAATGCCCATACGCCTTTCTTGCTGCAGCTTGTCGAGGTGGTCTTTGCAAACGACCATCATGTTCTGAACCGTGCATCAGCATGCTACGCGCGTTGAGAATGTTGACGAACCACGTACAGTCCAGAAATCGACGTTTGTCTCGTTGGACTCGAGTGCGAGGTAGTGTTCAATGTCGTCATGCAATTCAAACACTTGGTCCTTGGACAAGTTCTAAAGAAAATGTCAAGTTTGCACTGGTAAACGAAGTCGCCCAACGTACCGTGAAGATGTTATATGGTTCGTCCAGATCAATCTCCAAGCCGGCATCGTCTTCATCATGTTGAAGGTCGTCATTTTCTGTTGGAGGGTTGACATACTTCAAATTGAGAGCCAGGAAATCGACTGCTTTTGCCCTCTTCTCCTTGATTCTGATAGCAGCTCTCCTCCTCTCCTGCTCCAACTGGAACTCGCCGTCCTTGGAAAGCCATTCTGACATCTGCGCCGACTCCTGCAACCGCTGCATCCTCAACTCTTCTTCTTCCCTCAACTTCATCTCCATCTCCCTTTCCTTTCTGCGCCTGTTCAACCTCTCCAATTCTTCCTTGGCCTCCTGGCGACGAATAGCATCTTTTCGCTGGGCTTCCGCGTAAGTAAGCCCTTGCTTGCGCTCCTTCTCAACCTTCTTGTGCCAGTGGAATTGCTGTCCCAGGTTGACGTCGTGGAATGGATTGTCCGTCGCACTGTAGACGCTCAGTTCTGCTACTTGACGCTTCTCCTCTTCCTCGCGAATGCGTTTCTTTTCTGCCTTGCGAGCTCTACGCTCTTCAGACGTTTCTCGGTCGCGTTTGCGCCTACGAAGTGTTTTATGAATACATAGCAGCGAGTAAATAAAAAATAAAATACATACTTCTTATCCTTCCTCTCCCTGCTCCGACTTCTGTCTTTATCCCGCTTGCTCCTCTTTTCCCGCTCTCTGCTCCTACTACGACTCTTGCTCCTGTACCGATCCCTGTCAGGCGACCGACTGCGAGTACTGCGCCGCCGTTTCCTTCGATAATCCGAGTCACGGTCGTCCTCGTCATGCCGTTTCGACTTTGAACTTCCCCCGCCGCGGTAGTCGTCATAGTCGTCATAGTCGTCGCGCCGTCGAGGCGAGCGTGAGCGAGATCGTCGGCCCATAGTGTTAGTGTAGTGAGGAGTTCCTATCCAAAAGAACCGGCCAAAATGAATATAAAGAAGGTAGAAGTCAAGGCTAGAGTCACGTTCCGCGAGTTTGGTGGTGTATGTTTCCCGTTTGGTCAATCACCGTCAGGGGATGACTAGGGTCCGGGCCCTGCATCTCTTTCCTCTTTTCATCCATATTCTCGCCTCTAGTCATGGCTATGGTATACAGGAATTCAATACCAAATGTCACATCCAGGCTGGTTTCAACCCGACGAATCCGGCGGCGGACCATCACCTTGTCCAATGGGGTCCACAGTCAAGCAGCCTCGACAAGTGCACAGAGGGAGAATCACCCCGTGCCAGAGTTTGTACCGCCTGGGATCGGACTTGCTACACCACGAGAGGTAAAGGAATACCGTTTAGTGCGTATGTATGACCCATTAAATCTGTGAATGGAATACAGCTCGTACAATATCTCAACCAATTCATTGTCGGACAAGAAACCGCCAAGAAGGTGCTCTCCGTTGCGTATGTTCTTTGAACATCTTGCAACCCGGACGGGTGCGGATAATTCTGACCAAACTCCAGTGTCTACAACCACTACAATCGCGTACGAGCAAACTTGGAATTGGCCATGTCCAACGAGGACCGACTGCGAACGGACCCGGAGATCGAGGATGCCCCTGACGGTATGTACAAACCTTCTCCCGTTCCACTTTCCATGGAACCTCATTAGACAACATCGAAACTACGTGCAGCACATGACGGGGTCTCTTCAGCGACAATCAGGCCAATACGAAACGTCGCCAAAACACCACCACCACTCTCGCTACGTCCCCGACAACTCCCGCTATTCGAGAAGAGCAACGTCCTCGTCATGTACGCTCTGTCAGTCTCTTCGACTGTATGGATCCCTTGCCTAACTCTCTTCTAGCGGTCCAACAGGTTCAGGTTAGTCTAGACTCCTCCATACAGGTTGAGAGTCCAGGCCTAATGGACGAGTCAACGTTGGCAGGCAAGACACTACTCGCTAAGACCCTCGCAAGGGTCCTAGACGTCCCCTTTTCAGCCAGCGATGCCACATCATTTACCCAGGTTCGTACTCGTTCCGCCTACAAGGGTATGGTCGCTAACTTGTCGCTGTCCTTAGGCCGGATGTAAGAATCAATACCCTGGCCCGCGTTGTACTCGATCTCAATCCTTATAGATGTCGGAGAGGATGTCGAGATGGCTATCCAACGACTAGTACGTTTCAAACGCCTTTCATAGATGTTACTGATCAGTGACACCAATCTAGCTTCAAGCAGCCAACTGGGACCCAATCCGAGCCAGGTTCGTCCTTTCCTCTCAACTTCCCCTCTTCCAAGTGATGTCTAAACCCGTCCATTCAGTATGGGCATAGTCTATATAGACGAAGTCGACAAAATCGCACGACGCACAAGTTCAGGCTCCGAGGGTTCACGAGATGTAGGCGGCGAAGGTGTCCAGCAAGCCCTCCTACGAATGTTGGAAGGTTCAGTGGTCACAGTACAAGCTAAAGGCGCGGTGCACGCCGAACCCCCAGGGAAAGGTGAGGGGATTGGGAGGACGGGTCAAAGGGCTCCTCAGGTTGCTCGTAAGTTATCAGATAAATTCCGTTTCGTCCATAATCTGACACTTGCATTAATTCAGCACAACCGGAGGTATACCACATCGACACGAGCAACGTCCTTTTCATCCTAAGCGGAGCGTTCGTGGGACTGGAAGGAATCATCAAACAAAGAGTGGCCAAAGGGGTACGTACGGCTGCATTTTCTTTACTTCAACCAGCCAGGTGCTAACGGTGTCAACTCGGCGTATAGTCAATTGGTTTCACAGCCAACATCCTTCCTGACTCTGCAACGCCATTCTTCACTCCGAACAGAAAGTCCGGGAAAGACAGTCTGCTAGAGATGGTCGAGACACAGGGTACGTCCACACGCCTCGTCTACACCCATCACGTTGAATTGATCCTCTTCCTTTCCAGATCTCGTGAAATACGGGTACGCCTCCCTTCTCTCCTTTCTTGCCTCTTCAATTGCTCACAGACGCATCCGCAATCCAGCTTCATCCCAGAATTCATAGGTCGCCTCCCCTCCATAACAACTCTGTCCCCACTCACAATCCCCGACCTCCGACGAATCCTAACCGAGGTCAAAGGTTCCCTAATGTCCCAATACCAAGCCCTCTTCGGCTACTCGGGCGTTGAAATCCGGTTTACGAGTAGCGCGCTTGACGAGATTTGTAGGAAGGCTGCTGAGAGGGGTGGAGGTGCGAGGGGGCTGCGAGGGATCATGGTTCGCCTACTTTCTTAATTCCCCAGATATGGGCTGACTTTGGGAACAGGAAACATTGCTACTAGAGCCTATGTACGAAGTCCCGTAAGTCCTTACAACCTCTCCTTTGATACCGACCACTGAGTCATCTGTCTACAGTGGATCTGTAAGTTCTAAACTGCGCAGAACAAAGCAGCCCCTCACGCTAACTTGATCATATAGGCGATCCGTCACGTCTTGATTACAGAAGATGTTGTCAAAGGAAAGGCTTCCCCTGGTTACTGGAAAGAGGGTGGTGGTGTCGCCTTCTGGGAAGCCTGGGCGTCTGAAGAGCACCGATATAGCAAGACGCACGGGAAAGCTTAACTGGACCATGACATATACTTCGGCTAGCAGCCTGGGGGAGGACGGACAGTGCATTTACAGGGTACGACGTGACACGACAATGTATGACCCACTCTTGATTTGTATGTATTCGTAGAATCGTGTAGAAATATCGTGATCATTCGAACGGCGGGAGACGTGAATTTATGACGCGCGCTCCGACGTAGCATCACTCCCGGAGCAAAATATCATTCACTAGAAAATCAGTCCTGTTTGTATTGTAGTGTCAACCTCAACTGCCCGAAAGACCCAAAGGAAACAAGGGGCACTGGCAAAGCCTCAATGGAAGGGAGTATAGCGAGAGGGTGGGTATGGTATTGCGAATAGAGAAAAGACCGTAGTTCGAATTCTGAATTTAATCCTTCTTCTCTTCCTCCTTCTTCTCCTCCTCAGCCTTGGGCTCTTCTTTGCTCTCCTCCTTCTTCTCTTCGGCGGCAGCAGCAGGTTCATCCTTCTTCTCTTCGTCCTTCTCCTCCTTGGATTCAGACGATCCTGAGAGCTCGGCGTTGTTCTTCTGTGCATCCTCGAATGCGGACTTGAATTGATTGGCGTCTGGTTAGGGGTTGATCGTCAAGTCCGTGTCGGTTGGGTTGGGTTGAGGGTTAAGAGATTAGATGGTGAGTCAACCGAACGATTGACGATAAGGGGAAAGTACATACTGTCCGAGTTTGCGAAGCGGATGGCAAGAGTCTCAGAGGTTGGTGGGGACTCGGCGTAATCAGCCGCGACCTTCCAGACCCAACTTCGGTCTGAGCCAATGTTAGGCTGCAACTTCATATCGCTGGTGACTGTAGGCAGAAAAGGCAACAGTATCAGTACTCGATCAGGACCGACGACACGACAGATAGCCGCCACACACGATACACGGTACGAGGTCCACACAATGAACAGACAAACTTACGCAGGTGGTTGGCACAGACTTTGAGAGTCTTGTCTCGTCGCATGACCAGACGGACTTTCTTGGTCTCCTTGTGCTTCAACAATCGAACATCGCCAGTACCTCGTTCCTTCCATTCGGCAGAGGCAGTGTCGAATCGGAAAAGCTTTGCCCGCCTACAAACAAGACAGCATGAGATCGCGATCGGTATAGATTATGGGAGCGCAGGCGACGCACATCTTGAAGATGGGCTCCTCATCTTCCTCGTTGGTTTTCGTGTCAACCTGCTCGGTGAGCCTGATGACGGGCTCGAAGTGAACGTCGACCTCCTCTTCCTGTTAAACAAACCCGGTCAGTCCATCGATTGTACATTGTTGTGAAGGATCCTCCCAGCGATGGCCGCTCAATCAGTAGCAATCTGGTGGGGATCCGTGCAGAAAGGAAATAAATAAAACATACCCTGGGAGCGAGAGCGTCAGTGTTTTCAGCCATGTCTAGAGAAAGTAAAGGATGTCGAAGTAAGAGAACAAGTCAAGGAAAGGATAAGAAAACAATCAATCAAATCGACGATTTGCTTAGCCGGAGCGTAATCCCATATCGGGAACTTGCTCGCACGTGCTCGCCACTTTGCCATCGTGTCTCCTGCTCGCTGCGAACGACGGCGCCGCGACATATTTCTTTCCCTTCTACCTTACTCTCCGTTCTCTTTCGACCGCCATGTCGCGACACTATACCCTATTTCTTCTAATATCTTCCCTCGCCTTCATGGTGTCGCTGGCGTCGGCCCACATGATAGAGGTAGCAGCGGGCAAGAAGGAGTGTTTCTTTGAAGACCTGCACGTTCACGACAAGGTGTGTTTGCTGTCCTACAATGTCCTATAATAAATTCTCATTTTTCTCGCCTATAGATGACCGTCACGTACCAAGTTGGAGAGGGTGGTCACCTAGATATCGATTTCTGGGTGCGTCAACTATCACATCCAAATTCCATCTCACCACCCATACTGAAACGGCCAATTCCATATCCAGTTAACGGACCCTACAGGCGCAGTCCTAGGCAAACACATCCGCCAATCCACAGGCACTGTATCCATCACTGCAGCGAAAGACGGACGACACGAATACTGCTTCTCAAACCAAATGAGCGCTATTGCTGACAAGACTGTCAGGTGCGACCTCATGCTATATTCTTGGGAACCTAAACGCTGAAATTTCGGTTCTAGTTTCAATGTACACGGTATCATCTATGTCTCCGGGGACGGTATGTCTCACCTCTCCTCACTCCTTCGTAACAGAAATCCTGATCTTAACCAGACGTTGTTGCCCCAGTCGAACGCGAAATCCGCGCACTAGCAGCAGCCCTCACTTCCGTAAAAGACGAACAAGAATACGTCAAACTCCGCGAACGCAGGCACCGCAACACCGCCGAATCAACCAATGGTCGTGTCAAATGGTGGTCCATTATCCAGGCTGTCGTTTTGTTCGCTGTTGTCGGATGGCAGGTGTATTATTTGAAGGTGCGTTCAGCTCTTCCCGCCGAGAGCAAGATGCTGACGATCACTTTGCAGAGTTTCTTCGAGGTCAAGCGTGTAATCTAAAACTTCGGCTATCGTTGTTTTCGATATATCTGTTAATGAGACTTTGCTTGCGCTCCTTTCCACAACGAGTGTGTCACACGAGCTCATTTTCTAAAAGTTTATTCAGCTAGGGTGACAATGGCAGGGTATAGTAATACACGGAAAAAGAACGAACAGGAACACTTCGTGACGTTGTCGTTGCAGCTAACAGAGACGTTAAATAACAGTGTAAGGAGGTGCCAGCTCGAAAGCGAGGAATAGGGAGAGTTACAGTGCATAATGGTGGAGACAAAAGAAACAAAGCCAAAAAGGCAATAGAGTGCATAAGTAGGAGGGATTACACAAAGCGAAGGATAACAGGAATTAACGTCCAGTCGAGGATAACGGTACAAGACGACGACGAAAGAGGGATCTAGATGGATACAACTTGAATTGGATTGCGGGTCGATGGATGACGATGATGATACGGCGGATGGTCGGATGATAGGACAGGAATAGGATTGGTATACGATAGCGAAAGCGGATAGGAAGACGGAAGAAAACAGGAGGCGAGACAAATAAGATAACAATCCAAACAAGGAGTCGAATTAACGCCAGGAAGGCTTGGGCTTTGCAACCCCGCCCACCATACTCAAATCCGCACTCAAATTGGCCGGGTCCACAATCGACAAATTCGCCACAGACAAGCCCGACCCACTAGCACCCATCGCTTTCAACCTCAACGAGCCCCCTGCACCCGCAGCAGTAAGTCTCGTCAACGAAGCGCGTTTGGTGCGTTTAGCCGGGCTAGCAAGGAGCATTCTCCTTGGACCCGTCCTGGCGGAGATGGATTCCCCTTCTCCAGAAGCGGAGGGAGGCGGCAATGGCGCAAGCAAGCTCGACCTCCGACGCGTCTTCTCAACGCGCATAGGTCCAATGTTTGAGCGTCGGCGACTGCCCGTTCCCGCTCCTGCCCCAGGCTTCGAGCTCGTGGAGGCAGAAAGACTATTCCCGCCCTTGAGGGTCGAAGGAACACGCTTTCCTGGGCTCCCCAGAAGTCGGTCACGACCTTTAGGAATATGCAACTCCTCGCTGCCTGAGGAATCCTCCATCCGGTTGAAATTGAGATCGGTAAGAGGGGAAGAAGCGTTGGGGTTGGATTCGTCACCTTCAGCTAGGCTGCTCAGGCTCGGCGGTTTAGTTCGGGATTTGAGGAAGCTGGGGTCCAAGCGGCTGGCACGAGGTCGGCGGATGCCACGTGCGGAGGATGTAAGGCGAGAGGAAGTGGATGCGGAGAGGGACATAGACATGCTGAGATCAACACTTGTATCCGTCTTCTCATCGTCCTCCCATTCGCTCTCGGATCCCATCGCGGAGCCGGGTCGTATGACGGGAGATTGGAGGTTTAAGGACGAATTGGCTGATTTGAATGGATCAGAGTCGGCCTTGTCGACGCTAGGACTGGCGGGGATGATAGAGACGACGGGCGGAGTGGATAGGATGACAGTCCTGTCTTTGGTATCCGTTAGGGATCCTTGGCCGGCTTCATCCCGCCATTGGACATTCTTTGTCACCTTGGCCGGCTTCTTGTCCTTCTCGGCTGACGTTTTGCGCACATAAGGCGCAGCAGTATTCCCTCGAAGAGACTTGCGTGGAGAACGGTGTGCGAGCCTGCGGGGAGGAGAGGCGGGAGCGAGAGCACCTCCATACGACAATCGCCTTGTGGGCTTCGCAGGCTGTTGCTGATGTTGCAGAACAGCAGGACCGGAGCTGACGCGTCGATTGAATGAAGCTCCATAGGTTTGGAAAGGATCCAATGTCTGTGGCTGGCCAATCGAAGAATATGATTCCGTCGTCCTCCCTAACAAACTCTGGAACGTCTCGTCGTTCTTCTCCCGCAGACCCGAAAGCAGCGTGGCCACCTGCCTAACTTCTGGATCTTCGAATGACTGGAGACGCGTCGCAGAATCCCCAATCAAGACCGTACACCGCCCAAGCATTCCAAGAAGTTTCACCATCACCTCCGCCATATCCGATGCCGCTTCTCGATACGCGTCGCGCTCGCTCTCCAATTTGGCCTTTTCCATCTCTGCGCGTCGTAAGCTCGTCTCGAGTTTCATGATCTCAATCGAGGGCTCGTCCAGTTTGTCCGACTTCCTCTCTGCCACAGCGCGCATGGTGGCGTCGAACATCGCATTCGAGTTGGATGCTCTCTGGATTCGAGTGTTCAATGCTGAATGGGGTTTCAAGACGTCTTCTTCAGGCGTGGCGAGCGATAGTAAGAGAGCGCGTTCTGCATCTGCGGGACCAGAAGAGCCTTCCGCATCCAGTTGAGCCAACCGCCGCTGGATAAAATCGAGTTTCGTTTTGGCGACAGTGACCTTGGCCGAACAGTTCCCTCCATCGACGATGGACACCTTGGTCTGCTCGAAACGATTGTCAAGATCCTTCCTCGCTCGATCAACCTCTGATTTCGCCTCTGCCTTCTTCCGATCTGCAATCTCCTTCTCCGTCGCCCGTTTCCCTGCCAACTTCTGCTTCAACTCCGCAATTTCGAGATTAAGCCTTTGAATCGCCTCGACGTATTGTCCCACGTGTCGGTTGACATTGAGTACATTCCGTGTTACAACCTTGGTCTTGATCTTGGTCGCTCGTTCAGCGTAGACGAGGGTGTTGTGGGTATCATCAAAGTGGTTCGAAGTAGGAGCGACGCAGACGATCATCACCGTCTTGCAATTCCCTCCTAAAGAGAATTTGAGCAGTCGGGTGAGCTTGCTGTTGCGGTAAGGCACGTGGCGGGTTGCACCTCCGCTTTCACAGAGAGCGTTGATACAGTTGCCTAGAGCGAGGAGGGATTTGTTGATGTTGGCACCCTCGACCATGCGCTGGCCCATGTTCATCGTGGCAGACGCACGTTCACTTCCTGCGAGATCGATGATGGATAATGTCGCCATGGTGCGTTGTTCGGTGAGGTTGGCTGTTCGAGGGGCCTGCGTGACGTGGACTTGGAGCACCGCATGGGATCGTGAACTGGTCGCGTTGGCATGGGTTGGACTTTGTGTCCGTCGTTGGTTTCCGAGTATGACGATACTCTTAACCTCGTCTGCAGATGTTGGCTTGAGTTCTGTTAACCCGACGACTTTGACTGTCTTGTCTTCGCGAATGGCGAGTCCGCCACGAGGCATGTGTGAGCCTGGTTCGGCAAGCAAGTCTCGGATCTCTTCATTGTAGATTTCGAGAAAGGTAACGAGGACTTCAATGTGGTATTCCTCTTTGCGATCTTCTATTCGCTGAAAGAGATCGGCCATTGTGAGGTAGATAAGACCGGGGTCTTCCTCCGTCCCGCTGATCGTGTGCGTCTTTCCGCAACCTGTGGCCTTTTCAGGGTAAACATCCAAGTTGGAACTCATAAGCGGGGGAAGATACACGCACTCCGTATGCAAAAACAGTTGCATTATACCCATCCAACAAGCCGTCCAACAACGGCCGCGCGGTGGCTTCATAGACATCCTGCTGCCTGGCTTCATGTCCAAACACGCGATCGAACATGAACCGCCTGTCTTTGTACCTCTTCGTCCCCGGCGGAAGGAAACCCCTCTCCATAAAGGCTCTGGACCTGTTCTCATCCTCTGGATCAAACGTTAAGATGCGGTCGTCAACGATCTGGACAATATCGCGGAGTGTTGCGGTGTTGACTACTCTGCCGGGTGTTGAGAGGGTTGCGTCGCCGCGGAGAGTTGTGTCATATGTGGCTGGGTCTGGGAGACGCGCTGCTTCGCTGGCTGAGGGCGGTCGTACCCGTACTGCGAAACGTATATAGAGGCCAATTCAGATTAACTGAGTGGTAAGAGGAAGACAAAGGGACAGGACACGAACCAGCGACGGTGATGGATCCTGCCGCGACCATAATAAAAGTTGTAGACTATCGAGTTTGTCGTTTCTTGGTGTCCCAGTGAGTTGTAAATGTTGTAGGACGGGAAGAGGTGTTTGTTGTGATGGTTGTCTGAGAGAACTCGCTCTTCAATTGGAAATTGAACAAGACCGTGTTTCGTCACGTGGTCGTGGTCCTCCTTCGATCTTATCTTATCGAGAACCCCAATTCTGATTTTCAGCCCGCTTATTTCTTCTTCTCCAACAGCCAAAATGTCCGAGACGATCTCCATCCACGCTCCAGCAGACTTTCATGTTCATCTACGACAAGGCTCTATTTCAGACCTCATCGTACCTCATGTCCGCAAGGGAGGCTTTGATTTGGCATATGTGATGGTATGTTTTCCCACTTCATGTGGTCTACCATCTCGCTTACCCCAACCCAGCCCAACCTCAAACCCCCAATTACATCGACAGAACAAGCTCTGAAGTACAAGGAAGACCTTGAGCGCATCGACCCCAATGTCGAATATCTCATGACCTTGTATCTCTCTCCAGAGTTGACTCCGGAAGAGATCAAGAAAGCCGCTGCAGCTGGGATCGTCGGTGAGATCACCCCAAAAGTACCACATGCGTTTTCAATCTAACCTCGACACAGGTGTCAAATCATACCCCAGGGGTGTGACTACCAATTCGGATGGAGGCATCGAATCCTACGAAACCTACTACCCCATCTTCGCTGCCATGGAACAAGTTGGCATGGTCCTCAACCTTCACGGTGAAGTGCCTTCGGATGCCGCTGCCGTACGTCCAAACCTCATTCAAGCGAAAGACATGGACTAAAGATCTGCTAGAACATCCACGTCCTCAATGCCGAGCCCACCTTCCTCCCCCACCTCTTCAAAATCCACGAAGCCTTCCCTAAACTCCGCATCGTCCTCGAGCACGCTACCACTCGCGCAGCTGTCGAAGCTGTGAAGAAATGTGGACCTACCGTCGGTTGCAGCATCACTGCTCACCATCTGGCTTTGATTGTAGACGATTGGGCGGGTCAGAGTTGGAATTTCTGCAAGCCCGTGGCCAAGTACCCAGATGACCGGGAGGCACTCAGGGAGATCATTCGTGAAGGTAGGCTTCAACGTGGTCGGTAGCGCGAGTTTGGTGCTGAGAATCTCTTTTGCAGGACACCCCCGATTCTTCTTGGGCTCCGACTCCGCCCCTCATCCTCCCGAGGCCAAATCAACAAGCAGCCCGACCCACGCTTGCGCAGCTGGTGTTTACACTTCTCCCATCCTCCTCCCTCTCGTAGCCCACCTCCTCGAATCCTTCGGTGCCCTCGACAAACTCGAAGGCTTCGTCAGCACTAATGGACGAAACTTTTACCAGCGACCATTCTCGGCTCAGAAGCCAACTGGACGGGAGACGGTCACCCTTAAACGGGTATCCGCAAAGAAGGTCGACGAGCAGTATATCAACGGCAACGATGCCTTGGTACCGTTCTGGGCTGGGAAGGAGATCAACTGGGAGATTGCTTGAGGATAGTTGGAGAGGTTGATTTATGGAAGTGTCTATTGTGGTATGTCAAAAAAACGGACAAACCTAATTAGTAGGTAGGACGACAATCTAAATTGTAGTATATATTTCTAGAGCTTGTAAACATCCTGGGATTTGAAGCCCAGTTTGCTCAGAGCACCACCGAGTTGGCCTTGGGACATGTTACGCCCAAATGGACCCGCTATCGCTGCTACCATCCTAAGGGACGTTGTCAGATTTCCTTCCAATAGAGAGGGAACTTGGGGTACGTACGGATCGGGACCGCATACCAAGAACAACCGTCGTTTGGGAGCCTCCGGCTTCTTTCCGTACAACCAATTCCACCATGACTTGCCCTCTTTATCCAACCCTATACTTCTCTTGATGACATCCGCGTTGATCCTCGTTACCGAGAGGTCGTATCCAGAGGACTTGCTCTCATTCTGGTCGACGAACAAGTTGACCTTGAGCCGTGCAGGATTTTCTTGTGCAAAAGTGATAAGAGGATTGAGAAGGGAAGCAGGAGGGAGTTCTTCAGGTGTCCTTGACGAGTGAAGGAAAGTGAACTGTGTCGACGGTGACAGAGACGGGTTGGAGATGATACTATGGAAGAGTTGGTAGAAGGGTGTAAAGCCTGTGCCTCCGGATATCTACTAACACTTCAATACACGGAAGTCATACAGAGAAGGAAGACGCACCATAACCACTTCATCCCACGTATCATCCTTCCACGGCCAAGTCGTCAACGGGCCTCTGAGCTCAATAACATCTCCAGCTGCCTTCGTATGCAACCACCTCCCAACCTCTCCCCTCGGGTACTTCTTAATCCAAAACACCATCTCCCCATTTTCATCTATCCCTTCCAAAGGGGTATAAGGCCTCTCGACCTGGATATCATCGTCCTTGATAAACACCGACCATACAGCCTTGAAAGAGCTAGGATCCTGGGCAGCGAATGCAGCTACTTGAGGTGGGAGAGCTAGACGGAGTAGTTTGGTATCTGGACCGGAATCGAGGTTGGAGACGACAGTGGCTGGTGTGAAGTATCGCGGAGAAAGAGGCAACTCTGTATATGTCGGTGCGGAACGTGTGTCGGAGGGGAGCAAAAAGTAGAGAGAGGCGCCGGTCAGCGTCAATGCAAAGATGGAACCGGTCACCAACCGTTTACTCCTTGATGGCGGCGGAGGAGTGGTTGACAAGTATCTGGAGGGACCAAGGGCCCTCAGTGGACCCTGAACACACCGCACCGCAAGCCTTTGCATCACAGTCGGCGCCAGGAAAGGGACGAAGAAGCAGCCGGAACGACGGAAGGCGCTCAATTTGTTTCGGAAGCCGCAGCCAAACAAACACGGTATTTAGGCGCCAAGGCAAACAACGCGTCTCTTCTCCTTCCTTTTCCACAAAAACCGCCTTTGCGCGGTTCGACTTGGCTTCTTTGTATACCCGCCCTTCTGGTCTCTGTCTGATATATGCTCGCACATCTACTATCCTATTCATTTCTATGAACCAACAACAGCAACAGCTTACCTCGCCTATGTTGCGGATTCCCCCTACCAATACCAATCTGACGCTGGCGTCCCTTAATGCTCGACAGTCTCCTGCATCAGATGATATACTCGATATTAATATTGACAACACGCCTTTGCTATACCCTCGGACCTGGGATGTGGACTGTGCTTTGGATCTAACGGGAGCGACGACTCATCCTATGGCGGGGACGGCAGCCGCCCACCCCCAACCCCTCCATCAATACGACTTTCAATCTAACTCCGTCTTCAATCCAGGAAACTCGCCAACACACAACTCTTTTCCCATTCACCATCAAGCTGGCCCTTCGAACTTGACATCAACTGGACTTGCAGGCTTAGGCATTCAACTACAGTGTCCCGGCCACCATCAGGACCCTCACCACCACAAATCCTCTTTCTCGCCCAAGACTTACTTACCTGACCCAGGTGACCAATACATCTCCTTCTCTCCTCGCATCGAATCGACTTATTCATCCTTCGGTGGCGGGGCCGTGCCACCACTTGGCGTCGATGACCTCGCCCATGGCGGGGAGGATATGTCTACGATTTGGCCACTCCTTGATCCGAGTACCTCTGGTTCTGTCGACCTCGACCTTGGTCCCTTGGGCTTGGATACAATGTCAACGACGGTGCCTATCGTCCCCCCTCCCGCCTCGAGCATGGCAAGCGGGAGTGGAAGCACAGGCGGCGGATCGAGCGATGAAGACCTTTCCATCGAGAGCCTCTCTGCAGCAGCGGGGCTTTCTGTCGAGGAATTTACAGCAAAAATCACCGAAGGTGCTCAGTACGCTTTGAAACACCTTGCAGAGATGGAGAGCGGCCTGAGCGATGGGACAGGTTCAACGTCCCTTGACCCCTTGGCGATGTCGATGTCGATGTCCGCCCAGGACCTGTACTTTGACAACACCATCCCCTCCTTGGATGCGTTGGCACCTTTCCCAGATTTCGGTGGCCTTCCTGAACCCGAGATGTGGTCGTTGCAACAAACTTGCCTTGGCATAAACCCCGCTGATGTCATGCCTGGTCCGGTTCTCTCTTCGACCGTTTCTAGTCTCGACGATATGTTTTCAGGATCTCTGGATTATACAGCCAATCGTTTGGACGAACAACAGGCGACCGCACCTATCTCTGAGTTCTCTATGCATGCCAACGCCTTTAATCCCGACGGTACAATTTCGATGCCGTTGAGCGCCTTGGCTGCTCCCACTCGTTCATCCCGCTATGAGCCCAACAACGCCCATCCTCACCGACACCAACACTATCGAGCTCAAAAACAAGTCGGCCTTGGTTTTGGTCAAGCTTCGACGAAACCTGACGATGGAGACCAGTTGAGTGACTACGAGCCTCCCGCCTTCCTTTCGCCTTCCAGCTCGGAATATTCCCCTTCCTTTGGGACCACGAGGCAGTTCCAAACGAGGACTACCAGGACAAATAAGCGCAAGGTTGCGCAGAACGAAGTGGTGGAACCTAAGCCTCCTGTTGCTACGTCTTCCAAGGACACCTCTGACCACCTTCCCCCTATCGACCTTGGTTCACCTGTATTCGATGCACACCGAGGGATCGAGTTGGAGGATCTCAAGGCGAGAGCTGAACGTTACCGCCTGCGGAACCAGGGACGCGAGTATGATAAACGATGGCTTTTGTCCTTCGCTGGGAAACTCTCGAACAAGGGCGAGCTCATCGAGGAGTTCAGGTGTTATGTGGTCGGGTGTCAACAGGTAAACAAGCGACGAGACCACATTCTTATCCATGTCGGTGCCCATCTCGATCAGCGACCTTTCAAGTGTATCCATTGGTGCGTCTTCAAAATATCCACCTGATGTTCCTCTCCTTTCTAACATCGAGGATTACAGCTCTGCCAGATTCCTACGAAAGAACGAATGCAAACGACATGAACTGAGCCATACCGGTGTACGACCTTTTACATGTAACATTTGCCCCTACCCCGGGACGACATTTGTACGCCAAGACCTCCTTCGACGACACATGAAACGAACCCACCAAGTGGACGAGGAGAAGGAGAACAACAAACCATCGACGTCTACCATGAGCTTCAGGCCTCGGAAGAAGGTCAAGAGCTTCTAGAGTTTCCATTTCCCTTTCACGACTGAACGATTTTGAAGAAATAAAGTTCATTGCAGACTAGACTAGATCATCCTAGAGTGTTGTAAAGTAGCAGGCAATTGAAGGGACTTTGTAGCGTGTGTACAATTTGAAACATCTTGTCCGGGTAGAAAAAGGGGAACCAAAGGGAGAAACCAAATGACCTACAGAAAACAGATAGTTTACGGAGAAGTTTAGAAACGGGAAATGTCCTTGTTCAAGTGAGCCCAATGGGTGAAAAAGAATAGATACTAACAGTGTCATCATGGGGGAAAGGAATCGTTGCGGAATAAATAAGAACGAGAACGGAAAGCGAGTACGTGGGGGATAGCGGAAGCGGAATGGATCGACGGATGAAACGTGAAGAAAATGGGGGAAGGACGTCGTGTTCGTGAAGATAGGACGAGGGAACGAAGGGCAAGGAGGGTATTCAGGTCAATAGGGTTCGGAGACCAAGGTGGTAAAGTAAAGGTTGAGGAATACACGGGGACGGAGGAAGGTCGAAGGACGTCTAGTAAAGTCACAATGGTGCTCGAATAAAATATGTGCAGAGAAGAAAACATAGGAGCTACATGAGGTGATGATAGAGCAGAGCAGAAGCAAGGGTACGAGTGGGATGGTATAGGCGATGATGTATGTGATAGTGGCGATAGTGATGACACGGGTGACTTAACGAATGGAAGGGGTTTAGAAAACGTGTGCGGGCTGTAAATGCAGCTCCAGCAAAAAATAAATAAATAAGTCTAAGGACGCCACACCGCAGCACGAGATGAAGAAGGAAGGGAAGCAGGGGTATTCCTCGTACGGGATGCTTTAGATGGCGTCCCTGGACGCGTGAAATGGGGTATAGGTTCGGCCTTGCGCATAAATTCGAGAGGGGTGAGCGGGGAAGAACCCTTGACTGAAGGCGACTGGACTGGCGAGCCCATGAGAGAGCGCGGGCTTTGCCCACTTGGTGTTATCAGTGAGAAGGAAGGCACGTAGGGGCCGTTGCTGGAGGGTTCAGGTGTCTTCGGTGGTGCGGGCGGAACGAGGAGTTGTGGCGAGCCTGTGGTGGAGCCTTCACCGGGAGGAGGGGATGTAGCAATCACCGGGTTTTTGGACTCCGCGGCCGCTTCAAGAAGGGAAGCAGCGCTTATCCATTTCTCGTCTTGTTGCTTGCCTGGAAGCCCAGATGGAGAATCAGGGAGGAGTTTGAAACTGTCTGCAAAGTGGTTTTGAATGAACCTATAGAGGATAGCGGTCAGCAACGAGAGATGGAAGAGAAAAAGAGCAAAGCGGCCGTACTTGGACAATTCCATCCACCCTCCTCCAACTCGAACCATGACGGTTTGCGAGCGCAAAATTCGACAGAAGCAGAGTTTAGGATCTTGATTCCCTATCCAATACTTCCCACTTTGGTCTCTCCAACTTTCTTTGACACCCTCGACGTTGATACCGACAGGGAGACTGTTCACGACATCACCGACGGCGACATCCAGTTTGGACTTGGGATTCGCAACGTACTTCTTGCGGGGAGGAGGGGTCCGGCCTCGCTGTGAGGGAGGTGTCATGGCGCGTGCAACGAGAGAGGAGAGTGAGTCCCGAGGTGCCCTGGCCCAACTGGAGGTAGACGTTGCAGTTGAGCGTGCGGGCGGCACGTAAGAGGGACTAGAAACGTCTGAAACAGTCGGTGAGCGTGTCCTTGAAAGTCTGGCCGCTGATTGTGCACGGCTACGACTTCTCGAGCTCGGTGTGCCAGCAGTGGGGGTTTGGCGAACAGGTGTGCCAGAATTACTGGACAAGCTGGCAGTTCGTTGCCGAGAGGCGAATGTAGGAGCCATAACCGAGGTACTGAGTGGACCGGAAACAGAGCGAGTGGTCGAAGTGCTGGACATTCGACTGCTGGACCTTCTCGTATCGCTATCTCCAGAAACCGCGCGACGCGTAGATGGAACTGGAGGCGCCAGCTTTCCCCCTCTCGTCGTCGACGAAACGGAGAGGCCAGCATACGAGGCGCGCTTCCTTGCAACCCCCGGCCTACCAGGAGCAACGGACGAGGAGAAACTGCTTCGGCTTGAGTCTGGCCTCGAGCTGATCGCACTGGGAGGCCTTGACTTCCTTCCACCAAGTCGGTCGGAAGCCATCTCATCGAGTTCCATCCATGTCTGCTCGAGTCTGGCTTGCTCTGCCAGAACACGACGATCGTGGGGGACAGTACCGCATTTGGTTCGCAGCTCGTCGAGGGTCCTCCTGGTGAAGGTGAGTCGAGCTTCCATCTGTTGCTCTGGGGTCGCCTCTTCGTCACTGGTATGCAGTGTAGATATTTCCACTGGGATGTCTGGGTAGCTGTCAACGTGTTCCAGCAAGTCACTGAGAATGGTATCGCATTGCTCGATGGCCTCAGTCACGACCACCAACTTGTCGATGTGGTCCAACAGGCTAGCAGAACCTTCGACCTCCGTCAGCAGCGACCGAAGCTCCGAATTGAGAGAATTGTTGTCATAGGACGAAGGGAGCTCGGAGACGTCCTTCTCGATGTCGGCGAATTTCTTGCGAAGGGATTCAGCACGCTGGCGGGTTGGAAGGCTTGCTGACTTCTTTGAGGGGCGAGCGACCTCGTTGATGTTCAGGGATCGCAGCCGCTTGCGTAGACCACTTATCAAGGCATGGGTCTGGTTGTTCTCCTTGACAGTAGCCATGCGCGAGGAAGAGGGTGCAGTGGAGTGGGTGAAGACATCTAAGAAGAAATTTGAGAAACAAACCAAAGCGGGAAGGTATATTCAACGTACCGTCTTCGTTGATGGTTGGGAACTGGTCTTTGACATTCTTCCTTCCAGTGACTGTGGGTCGTCGTGGTCGGGGTGTGACCGCAGAGGAAGCAGACTGGCGGCGAGGACGGGGAGTCGCCTCTTCGTCCTTGGTTGGCCTGGGTTTGGTTTCCTTGACTTTTGGCTCTTTACGCTTTGAGTCCTTGGCCGTTTTGTAAGCCTCGAGGGTCTTGTCATGCTGGGCTTTCATCGCCTTGATTTCTGCTTCCAGTTTCTTCTTTTCTTCGCCCACTGCCTTCTGCGCCTCAGCCTCGATACGTGCAAGCTGTTCCTGAGCGTCCTTGATTGCCTGCTGCATCTCTTTCCGCTCAGCCTCGATCTTCAGCTTCTCTTCCTCGGCCAGCTTCTGGGCGTGCTTTTCTCTGGCAGCCTGACGGGCCTTCTCTTCAGCGAGCAACGCCTCTGCTTGTTGTAATTTGGTTTGCATGGCAAGCTTTTCCGCCAATAGACGCGCCTTATCTTCTTCATTCTGCTTCATTCGCTCCTGCTCCTCAAGGGCCCGAGCTTTGGCAGCTTCCTCCTCCAACCTCCTCCTTTCCCTCTCCTCCTCCTCCAACCTCTCCTTCTCCAACCTGGCCCTCTCCGCTTCCTCCGCCTCCTTCCTCCGCCTCTCCTCCTGCAGCCTCTCCAATTCTTTCTGCCTCTCCTCCTCCGCCTTCCTCTCCTCTTCCCTCTTCCTCTCCTCTTCCTCTTTCCGCCGCCGTTCATCCTCTTCTTCCCTCTTCCTCCTCTCCTCCTCCTCCTTTCTCTTCTCTTCCTCGATCCGGAGTTGTTCAAGTCTCTGCACCTCCTTGGCCTTAGCAGCCACCATCTCGGATTTCAAATTCGAGATTTCTTCCGCCCAGGAATGGTATCGGCGCTCAACATCGTCTACGCTTCGAACCCGCGCGACGTGTAGCGTCTGACGGATCGAGTCGTCAAGATTGGACGAGGAAGCATCCATCTTACGGAGAAGATCGCGTAGAGGGGAGAAACATCTCGACACACTCAATCTCCTTGTTCGACTTGCTTCGTCTACTTGTTCGATCAATGTGTCGAGGTCTTTCATAAAGGTGTCCGAAGAAGCAGTTGTCGACGATGGTGAAGGCGCCGAATCAAGTAGGGATGTGAAGGAAGCCTTGAGCGTCTTGGTGTGTTCCTGCGATTGATATACGGTGTCGATGGTTGAAGCCAATGACGCGTCAAGGGTCTTGGCGAGTTGGGTAGTAGTGAGGTGTTCAGCAGCCCGTGCAACCGAATCCAGCGCCCCACTTAGGCGCATCACGTACCCATTGGATTCGGCACGAACCTCAGCGTCCAACTGTGACAAGTCCAGCGGGAGAACAACAGTTGGTTGTGGCGTTGCAGAGCTGTCCTCGAGCGAGAGAACGTCGAGCTCAGATTTGTTGCGACGAAGGAAGGGAGCCCTAGTTGGCGACGCGGTTTTCGAAACGAATTTCACGCGCTTTGAAAGTCCGTCGATGAAGTCTGAGACTTCATCCTGGAGTGTTCCAAGGTCGGATTTGATGGACAGTTCTTCGGCCTTGGAATCATCTTCGGAGATACGGTCACTGAGGACGCTGGCGCTAAGCGTAGAAAAACGTTGCTTTACGTCTTCGATGCGAAGGAGATGGGCGTTGTATTCGTCGCGAATCGAAGACATCGATTCGCTCTGGTCTTGCACCGCTTTGGCGACCTCCTGCATCGAGAGCAAGGCTTCGTAGAAATTCCTCAAGTTCTTTGCCTTGTTGAGTAGGTTCTCTTGAAGGTCGGCGCCTAGGTGTGGAGTAAGGGCGGATACTCCTGCGTCGACTGTGTCCGTGAGCTTCTTGTTTAGGCTATCAAGGTCACCTTCAATGCTTGCATGTACCACAGAAGTCGTGCCTATGGGCGTCAGCTCGGCGGCGGGACTTTCGGGAGTAGGTGGTGCGCCATTCCTGCTTCCGAGATCTTCCTTCTTCCATGCCATCCTCTCGATACTCTGGCTAATCTTATCCCTGACCCTCTCCATCTCCTTCCCGACGGTATCCATCACCCCCGAGATTTGCCTCGTCTCCTTCAACCTGGCAGCACGTTCCGAAACGAGCTCGCTTATTTGCTTGGCCTCATCGCGGAGGGATATGAGGCCTTGAATTGCAGAGGTGGAGTTGGACTTGAAGACCGGGTCGACGCATTCATTGTCCAGGATGTCGAAGAAAAGGTGCGAGTCTTTGATGACCTCGTCAGCCTTGGTCGTCACATCCCCCAATTCCGTTAGGATGGAGGGGAGTAGTGCGAGGAATACGGCGTGTCGAGACGGATCGAGACAAGCTTCGGATGTCAGGTCTGGGGGACTACCTTCGACGGTGTTTTCGGCTGGGACACCTTCGCGAAGACGCTGGAGGATCGACGAGAATGATGCGCTAAGGTCCTTCGCTGACCCGACGGTCGTCTCGACGCGTTTAATGGCCTCCCAGTACTCCTTGTACTCCTTGACCACCTGGTCGGCTTGTTCAGCAAGCTTATTCGCCGTAGTGATCTCGGCAGAGAGAACTTGGCAGAGCGCGTCATTCTCATCAGCCTGATCCGGAAAGAGTGGGTGCTCGGGTTTGGGGAACGTAGTAATCCTTGATGAAGGGTTACCCCTCAAGGAAAGTCGCTTGAGGACGCTGTCGACTCGAGATGCAAAGGCTGCGACTTGTCGTTGGGAGGGATGTTGCCATTTGGCTGTCTGAACTTCTTCATAGAGTTCCCGCGCAGTGCTCTGGTCTTTCATAGTCTCCACATAGATCTCGTCGGCCCTGGTAAGACGGTTGTCAGGGTAATCTCCCAGCAGGAAGCGATGATAGCACATACTTTCGCCATTGGAGTGAGAGAGCCATCGCGAACTTGCCAACATTCTCTAGCTCTTGTGTGGTTTTCTCCTCCAAACGATCTTGCTCGTCTAGTAAGGGGTCGGGGACAGGTCTCCGACTGTGGTCGATTAGTTTGTCGAGGAGTCTTCCAGCGTTGGTGACTCTTCCATGGCATAAGCCTGTGATTCTGATCCCGAACTGGGCAGCATCGCGGGCCAAGAGTTCTGCTAACTTGAAGCGGGCCCCTCGTGAAACATTGTTGCCAATGCTAAATGACGAAGACTCGGAGGCTACGGAGGCCAAGGACGCGACCGAACCACGTCTCGAGAGTATTGGCGAATCTTCCGGTTTGGTAAGAGTGGTGGTAGGTCCAGTCGTCGGTGGGGGGTTTGCGAATAAAGCACCGGATTCATAAATTGTGGGCGACCAGCGTGCTCTAGTCTTAATGAAGGTATCCAAGTCTTCCAAAATCTTGCTGCGTTCCTTCCATGAGTTTGTCCTATTTTCCTCCCAATCAAGTCGAATGCCCAGCAATTCCAAATTTTCCGAACGGTCACGCAGTAAATGTAAGAGTTTGTCCAATGCGTAGATTGTGGTTAGCGTTATTTCGATGAGGTCAGTGTCGGCGGGGGACAGGTTGCGTTGGGTCGCGGCTGTGTTTGTCGCTGTCAGCACCCAGCGCGCGTCGGTGAGATGAAGAACGGACCTTTGGTTAATTGCCTGAGCTTCTTGAGCTCCCCAGTATCGAAAATCTCTGTCTCCTTCTCAATAACGTCGTGTTCTGCCATCCATTGCTGCAGCTTTTCGCGAGAGGGGAGGTTGGGGCATTCTTCGGCCTGCTCGCGCAACGAATCAAGACCCGAGAAAACCTCGATTGGGGGCAAATTTTCCAGAAACTAAGAGGGGAGGGCTTAGTCCGTTTACGAGTTAACAGATAGACAAAGACTTACTTTGATCTTCTCCTCGATCCAGGCTTTCCTCTCGCTGAACGTCTGAAGTTCTATTACCTCATGAGATTCGAGATGTTGCTCTTCCGAATCGCCGTCGCCTGCGCCGTTCTTCTCTGTCGTTGTGGACGTCGGGATCTTATCTTGGTCGTCTATCTTCCCGGTGGAGTGTTCTAGGGTCGTTGTTGTCCCTGGGAGGGAGCTGGAGCCTTGCTGAGAGCCGGCGTCGGGAGGGTTGGTGGACATTGGCAAAGGGTCACAAACGGAATTTTGGGGAAAGAATTACAGAGAAAGAGTGTTCAGGGACGTCGGGGACGATATGCTCCGCATAGTACAGCCGATATTAGGCGGTGTCTTAGCAGGAGGTCATGCACTTGAAATGCAACGAGGTGGGTTAATGTCAACACGTGTGAACTACAAATCCAAATTCTAATCACTGACGCGCTCACTTCAAACAAACTCTTTCTCTCGGCACTTTTTTCATAATGTGTTAAGTAGTTGCTACAAGTTACAAGGCTACAGCCAAAGGGACGTCTGATAAGGATGCCTCCAAGAAATGGGATTTGTCTTATCGTTGCTGCCTCGAGGCAATGCTTGAGTCACCTGCCTGCTCCTGTAGCCTCACTGCCGTCTTCCGGAGCTGTTCGATGCCCCTATGGTCCCCTCGTCGCCGTTCCAGGCCCAAATGGAGCTCCATCTCTTGCATGAATCCAGCTACGCTCCCAAGAGACTGGCCCACTTCTTGTAGAGAAGCAGTTTGCTTGGTTCTGGTACCAAGAAGATGCCGTGAACTGCCAGCTTCTAGAATGGGAGATATTCAGTGACTTACCTCAAGTCCCCTATCTCTTCTCGAGCCCTACGAGCCTCTTCTTTGAGTGGTCGTTGCGCAGCGAGGACCTCGGTATGCATCGAAGCTGATTGGGCTTTGGCAGCCGCGAGCTCTTGCTTTAGGAGCCGCACCTCGTCGACTAGCCTGGTTTGCTGTGTTCTAATCATATCCAATTCCAATAATGCCGTCCTCCAGTCCAGGTGCACGTCCTTGAACTGTTTCTCAGATTCCTTCAATCGCGCTCGAAGACTCGCGGTGTGTCGCTTGCTTAGGACCCATGGGAGGACGGTCAGGGGCAGGAGGATACCCGCGACGAACGCAAAGTGCAAGGACGCCGGGTACCGTTGGCGGGCTGGAAGCTCGCTGGGCTGGCGCTGAGGCTCTGCATCTGGAGTATAAGGGATGTCAGTGTTCATCTTGGTCTCCATAGTCGCCATGTCGTGGTACTATCACAAGTCTCGACGGAGGCGTTCTTACGATGATCACGCGCCCCTATCCTATGACGCAAGTCAATTCACTCCGTTTCATTTCTATCTATGGGAGGCCGTAGCGTCCGTACTGTACACATTATTCACAGAAAACAACAGGGAAGATGTACGCTAATGTTACACAAAACATGGAACGACAAAAACAAAGCAGACTGATAGCGAAACAAATTAAAAAGCAGAGCAAAAAAAGGGAAACAGAACTCGTGAGCGTCATAAAGATACTAGAAATATGAACGTAGACAGACTGAATGGTAGAACATTACGATGAACCCTTGAAAAACTGCCACCACTTGCGTTTCTTCTTCACCTCCACCTTGCCTTTGCCCTTTGCCTGAGCCTTACTCGCTGCCGCTGCCGCTGCGGCCAAAGAAGCAGGGGTCGCCGGAACGATAGTGGCCTTCTTGCCCGACGCGCTGTGCATACTTGGCTTCTTAACGACCACATGTGGTTTATGCGACTGTACTGCATGGATCGGAACAGGGATAGACGTGGGCTGTGCAGGGAGAGGCGCATGAGGTGCACTTTTCGACGCTGGTCGGGCTTTGCTTCGGCGATCGCGAGGCGGTATTCTAGAGCAAATAAAGAGATCAACCTGTGCACCAGCAGCAAAGGAAAAACTACACACTCTTCGACATAAACAACATACTCGCTCTCCGGTCGCAAACCCGTCTTAACTAACCCAATGTCCCTCTGCATCACCTGAGTCACAGCTGGCGGGATAGGCACCTTTCTTCTCCATATGGCCACACTGTTACCTGTAGGAGAGGCGAGAAATACGAAGATAATGACGACAGTAGCTGGGTCGTAGAAAGCTACGGATTCTTGTAGCGTTTTGTCCATCGTTGATTGGAGTTCGGGGAACGTGAGCCAGTCAAAGACCGGTTGATCAAGCTGCCCGGGTAGACGGAAGGCGGCGTTGACAAAAAGAGCGCCTCGCTCTCGTGAATGGAGAAATTTCTGGAGCTGTTCAAACCAAATGTTAAATCCCAGAGGAGAGGTAGAGAGGGCGAGAAACTTACCCCGAATGCAGCTAGGTACTGCGAGGCCTTTTGGATATAATTCATTATAGCCATAACACGCTGATCGTTCTGGGGAGCGAACATCCAATGAAACCTCTCCTTCGCAGGTCTCTTAGCTGACCCATAAAACGCCTTCTTGGCCACATCGATAGCCTCTCCTCCGGATTCAAGAAACTGGATAGCACCAGGTACATTCGGGAGAGGATGGGATTCAGGTTTTGGTGTATTATGCATTCCTTTCGACGCATGGAGCATCGTTTTGGACTGCATACCCATGTCCGCCACCTGACTCGCGGGACCACCTCCCCACATTGCACCTGAATTCCGGCCGCCTGCAAAACGCACCCCGCCACGGTTTTCTTTGTCTTCGTCCCCCCATCCCATTCCACCGCCGGAGGCGCCCCAAGGATCGTCTACTTTGCCTTTCTTCTTGGGTTTAGAGTCGCCTGCCGTCTCCCAAGCACCCCAGCTCTTATCTGCAGGGTGGCCGCCATGGTCCGGATCCCACCCAGCACCGGATTCAGAATCGTAACCATCATCTCCCCACCCTCCTCCTCCGCCCCAGTCATCGTAACCGCCGCCGCTATAGTCTTGTTTCTTTGAGTTGGTAGGTTTCCCCCACCCCTCATCCCACCCACCTCCACCGTCACCCCAACCCCCTGTATCAGCCTCCTCTTGGACGCCCTTCTTGGACGGCTTTTTCTTCTTCTTGGACTTCTTGTCGTCAATCGGGGCACCCCATCCATTATCGCCCGCCTGATTTCCCCATCCACTGCCGGCATCCTGGTCGCGCCCTCTACCTCCCCACATAGAAGTCCACTTTCCACTTTCTTTCTTCTTTTTCTTCTTATCCTTTTCTTTCTCTTTTATCGGTTGGCCTCCTCCCCATGCGCCATCACCACCGCCATCGCCCCATGCATTAGAATTCCCCCATCCATCTCCGTCTCCGTGTCCATCCATAGAATGCCCATGACCGTGATGTGATTTCTTAAGTTTCTGCTCAAGAACAGCACCGTTAAGCATTGTATTGAAGATCTGAGAGCGCTCGTGCGGGGACACGTCATTTCGTGTATAACCTGCACCAGCGTCCTCCATTATAGAGGAAGGATATACCTTGGAGGTTCCTCCACCGCCAACCGTGCCGCCCCACGGCCCGTCGTGGGCAGCTGGCGCTGCACCCCAGGCTCCAGAGTTATGGTTATGGTGAGCTTTCTTGGTCGCGTGAGGGTTACTTCCCCATGGATCATCATAGCCTTGGACCGTCGATGCGTCGTCCCATGCTCCTGCACCTCCCCACCCTCCAACTGAAGGCGCACCTCCCCAACCGCCTCCACCGCCTCTCCCGCGGCCCATCGCTGCAGCGGCCGGATGCATGCCCCCACCGCCCCCACTCCGCGGTCTTCCTCGCGGTTGTTCTCCCCATCCAGCCGAGCTAGGCGCGATCGAGTGACCACGGCCTACGCCGCCTTGGTGTTCCCATCCATGACCGCCTTGTCTGGAATGCGCAGGTTGGCCCCATCCTCCGCCGCCCCCATGTCCTCCACCTGCTCCCCAATCACCCACTTCCTCCCATTCATCCTCATCGTCTTCGCTGCTATCGTCGCTCTGTGGAATATAGCGCTCAAATGCATGCTGACGGTGTGGTTGGTAGTGTTGCTGCTGCTGTGGAGGCGGAGGCGGCGGATGAGCGGGCGCCATTTTGCCCCATTTCGTCCAGCTGGGCCCTTTCTGGTGCTTCGTCTGCGGTTGGGAATTCGGTGGGGGAACACCATGCCCGGGGTACTGATGTTGAGGTTGAGGTTGAGCTTGTTGCTGTCGAGGCTTATTCGGGTTCCCCCATTGCATCCAGGCAGGTTGAGTCGTCATTTGGTTTATCGGCGCAGCTCTCGTCTTGCCAAGATGGTTATCCGAGATCTGAGGACCTGTACCACCACCACTGCCTTCCCGCATCATCCCAGGAGGATGATGCCCATGTCCCGGCGCACCATGCATTCCGTGACTCATAAACCCATCCCTATCCCCATCCTCCCGAGCTCCTTCAGGATAGAAAATCCCCCTAGAATTCTCAGCTGCAATTTGATGCGTCCGTGACCAGAAAGAATCTCGGTTGCCGTTAGCAGTTTTAGATTCGGTACGTTTGGCGGCTTCGCTTGCGGATGTAGCTTTCTGCCTGGATTTTTGGTGTTCAGCGAGTGCGAGGGAGGCGTTGGCGGCTGTAGCCTGTATTACCGCCATTTCATTCGCTTTGGGAGAGGAAGGGATTTGGACGGAGGGCGTTGCCGTATTGGTCGTCGCTGTTTGGGGGACTTCCCAGGTGTTGAGGTTGGAAGCAGGAGGGTTGGTGTTTAAGTTGTTGCCCTGATCATGGTCGTTGGGGTGTTGATCGTGTCCCTGGCGCTGGTCACCGTAGTGTTGAAACCCGTAATCGTGAGGACCATCCGTACTTCTTATCGAAGCAGAATGCCTCACACTACCTTCCGGAATCGTTCCCAAAGTAGTTATGTTGTGTTGCGGAAATGGTGCGGGGGATTTTGAAGGCACGGGGGGCGGAGGATACCCTTGGGTGTTAAAGTCGGCGTTGGTGGGCGATTCCCAGTCCTGGTTCCAGCCCCCTGCCATCCCTCCTGCCCATCCTCCACCACCTCCGCCTGTGTCGGACGGTGCTGGCCAGCCTAGGTCTTGGTCTTGACCAGGCATAGGCCTGGTCGTCATGGCTGGAGTAGCAGAACCGTCGTGATGCGTTGGAGGAGGTGCATGTTGCTCGAAGAGGGCCTCTGATTCTTCATCTCGTACTACATGGTCATCGAGAAGGAGGAGCCGTAATCAGCTTCTGTGTCAGTTAAAATCCTCATTCAAGAGGGACATGGTGCGGTAAAGTTGAACATACCATTCGAACCTTGTTTCTTCTTAGACGAAGCACTGGTCTGAGCTTTAGAGAGTCTGGATGTGGGTTCTTCGGCTTGTTTAGCTTTGGTTTTCTGTCTCCCGCCTTTTGCCATAGAGATCTTGAAGCTGGCCTTGCAGTGGGTTCAGAACCCCGTTGGTTGGACCAATGTAGTTTGTCTAGTTCGCCGCTATAGTCGCTGTCGAGGGATTCAAAAATATCGAATATGATGAATGCAGGGTATAAATGATTTGCAAAGAAGCTGTGGGCTCTACAGCAGCACGAGGCATCTTGGGCTCATGGCGTTCAGGGCGAAAGCGCCCTCACCTGTCCTCTCCATGTGATCAAACCCGACGCGCTTCCCGGTCCGTCATTCCGCCCACTGTCCTCTTCATCCTCAACCACAACCGCAACGGCTCTCGATTGGTGTAGGACCTTGAACCCGGTGTAAAAGAAAGATACTACTTGGAGGGCTCTCTATATGCTTTTATAACGCAGTCACGGTCTAATCCTGAACCTGCCAACTAATAGGCTTCGCTCGTCTTACTTCTTTTGGCGATCTATCGCTTTCCTCTGGTCTCTGAACGTTGCAAAATCTGTCGGATGGTCACTGCCCTGACCTGGTACGACGGACGACCGCCCACCTCAGACGTATACACTCCGGCCTCACCGCAAGACCTGATCCGAGCAGATGACAACCATACCCCATCACACCAACAGGGCTGTGCAACAGCGCCCAAGCCCTATATAAACCGTCCTCCATCACAATGCGTTTCCTCAGACTGGAATCTCACCCCCAACGTGCACACCGTCTGTGACGGATAGACTCTGGCAAGTCGCCGTGCAATATATCATCCCCACGATGATGACAACCTATCCCTGGAGGAGGGCCATTTCACAAGCCCGGAGCTTTGTTCAGCGAAATACCCCCAGTAAACCCGATAATGCCCCTCATGTCCACGTAGAGGCCCGAAGGAATGTCATCAGTGCACGCGCTGCAGCTGTACAAGGAGCTAGATCGTACGTCTTTCTTGCTTTGTCCAAGGTTCGCCCAAGGGACTAACAAAGTGTGTTGATGACAGCAATCCGAAGATCTCACCAGAAGACGCCACTTCAATCGCTCTTGGAGTCACTTTCTCTGTCCTCGTCCTCGCGTTAATCGGCCTAGCCTGTTGGTACTTCCTCATCCGAAAGCCCAAGAATCCAAAGGATGTCGAGGCCCAAACGACAGAGAAACGAAACTGGTGGATGGTAGGAGATTCCAAGGGGGAGAAAGGGACACTCTCGGAATGGTGGAGGAAGAGCTATGCCGTCCCTGACAGAGTCGAGCCCCCTCCATCTGCAGGACCGCGCACGTCCCTCCAGCGCCTTCGCTCCGTTCTCACGCGCAAAGGCGCCTTGCGTGGCGTCGGGAAGAAGAACAGTGTAGATGAAGAACAGCCGCCTGCGACTCCTCAAATGAAGAAACTCACGAGTCCGACAATGACAATCGTCCTGCCAATGCAGACTGAGGTCAAGCCACGCTACCCCAGCATACTCGAGCGTGGCTACCGAGTGCCACTGTACCCTATCCAGTCACTGCCCAACGACAATGCACCGCCCCGTTCCCTCACATCACCTGCACCACCCCCTCCCCCACCGCATCCCATCACGGTTGCCGAGCGGACCTTGAACACTCGACGAAAAGTCAGCGTTCCCCCTCGTGCACTCAAGATCTCCAACGGCCGCCCTCTCATCTCCCTCGCTGAAAGAAAAATGGGACTGCCTCGATCGCCCGCTACTCGACGTCGCGGAGCAGGTCAAGCTATTGGTCAATTCAAGCACCCTTTCATCCCTCTCAAAGATTCCGACACTGATATCCCAACCATTTCTGCGCCGATGCCATCGACAGAGAATGCGGAGACGAACCCAAAGCTGGGTTACGCTTACAGTATGAGTAGGCCGAGGAACGCGCCTGTTGCTCCCGCCGGTCCTCGTGTCTCTACTCGCTCATCCCGGGCCACTCGCAGGGTTCCAGTGCCGATTTTCATCCAGTCTCCGAATGTGAGGCCGTTGATGCCTGCTACCCCGCGTCATTTGAGAGAGGAAACTAAGGTCTTCCCCCCGGGACAGTCGCCGTCTGTCCCTCGACCTGCCCCCACTCCCATCTAAATGTAATCACATTTCTGTTGGTAGTAACGTTGAATGAGATCCAGCCAGTCCAGCCAAATCATCTGATATTTATTGAGTTCTTCAAACGTAAATCCAAGGTAAATCCTCATTCATACACGGTATATCAGCTCTCCGATGATCCCGCTTAAAGGACATCTTAAATCCTTTCACTTGTAGGCTATGCTAGGAGTGAAGCTCTTATAGCCGATCACATTGAGATTCATCTTGCCTTGAGCACCTGAGGATAGACAGGTACATCCGGCGAGATATTGCCTGCGAGGTTGACCAGATGGAAGTAGCAAGACTTGCAGTCATCATGTCCAGAGGTGCTGAAACCAAGGTGCTACTGTCGACGTTTCCGTCTTCAAAGGGCAGCATATTTGAGTCTGCCGATTCTCCTATCCTTCCCTTGGATCGTATCGCTATCCCATTCATCATGTAGCGACATGAATACCTTGTCTTTAGATGTCCTGTCTCCGAAGGTCCAACAACCCCTTCATCAACGTCTGGAACTCGAGCAGCTGGTCGATGGCAAGTTGGACTGGAGTATCACGAATGGGGGCGGCAGTCTTGACTTCGACTTGCCAGAGTGTATCCGCGTGCGCTGGGATTGGCTTCTCTGTTTTGGGGTCAGCCTATACGCAGAATGCAGAGTCCGGGTGTTAGATTCAGCGTTGGAAGGACTGCGCTTGGGAGGCGCACCTGTTCTTGCTGGAACATGGTGATTATGAGAGGACCTCGTCTGAACGAGTATCCACGCTTGTAAAGCTGGGTTTTCCGGCTATACAAATGAAATCGGGTACATGATGTTTAGATGGCATTGGAACGAAGAGTAAGCAGGGACTGACATGTATCCGAGGGCGGCTGCGAATTGTAGAGCGTCCCCTGTTACATGGATAGTGGCCCACGGTCGGACAGTCGCGTCTGGATAAGTTCTTGTCGATTCGGGTTTGAGATATGAATACATTTCCCTGTTATCCACCATGCAGGCGCTGTGTCAGGGCCAAGGACCACTTGCGCGGAAAACGATACGCACCAGGGTGAGTCCTTTGTACTTGTCTCCTTCTTAGCTCTCAGCATGACAGGTTCGACCCCTCTGTCACGGTGGTACTGAGCATCTAGAGGCTCAAAGACGACCTCACGAATATGTATCGGTTGGGCAGACTCGCTGTTGAGGGTTATGCGGTTGAGGATTGGACGGAGGTCTTTTGCGAAGAATTCGCCAGTCAGAGAGACTTCGTAGGAGTGTCCTTGGGACGCCATTTGTCCTTTGCGACCGCCCCCCTTGGTAAATTTGGATAACGCGTTTGGGACCGTTGTCGACCAGCGCAACTTGAAGTTGGGAGCAGGCGAAAGACCAGTCGGCCATCACTGGACGCGACTGATACCGAGACCAAAGCGCGAGCAAACAACGATAGACGTCACTCGGCGACGGAAGCGCTCGTTGACGATGAACGGTCTCGCATGGTGTTGCGTACCTCCCCTAGACCGGTAACCGATCTGTCACGTTATGAAATCCTACGGATTGTCGATAGACAGACCGGTACAGCTCGGAGCGTTTTGGCAGGGAGCTACACGTCACGTGCAGACCTTCTCCATAAGGAAGGATAAGAGGTGCACGTGGATCGGAAATATCCGAGAGTGCTGCCAGAGCAGTGAGAGCCAGCGCCGGGAGGCTCCTTTGTCGTCGTCTTTCATCGTCGACGATGGCGCCTCCTCGAAAAAAACGCGACCTGTTCATCTTTGTGCAGCAACAGATACCCGAATTCGACGCGCCACCCTTGCACTTCATCTAGCCACCAACGCCAACGCAGCGCCTAAGCCATTTTTCCAGGTTTCTGTCGGGCTCAGCGAATTCTCAGCGGGGTGGACTTGTATGGTAGCCACGGAACTCAATTTCATTGGAATGGTAGCATTGGAGGTCCTTCGTCAATATTCATGAGCTATAAAGATAGATCATTTACAGCCAATGGGGCGTTACATAGACACAGGATCGAGGTGCTCGACGCGCAAACGCGCCTGCACGTGTGATGCGCCCGCACGTGTGGGTTTTATCCTTCCTTATGAAGAAAGTCTGCACGTGACGTGTGGCTCCCCGCCAAAACGCTCCGAGTTGTACAGGTCTGTCTATCGACAATCCGTAGGATTTCATAACGTGACAGACCTGTCACAGGTCTATACCTCCCCGTCTAGCCGGCCACCAGTACCAGGATGAATCCTCAGTCAATGCAAGTTCTGCCACACGCAGCGGATATCTCTCTGTGTGACGCAGCTGTGCCCATATACAATCGATCCTTTTCCTCGAGCTCGTTCGTCCTTCATGGCGCACTTGCGATCTCTCTGAAATATTTCTACCTTCGCTTATACTCGAACAGGTAGAGTCTGATGACAAACACGTCGTCTGACTCGCCGTCCTACACTTCCTCGCCGGAAGCAAGGTCGGTATTCGCTAGATGGTCGCACCATACAGCACAGGTCATGGCTTCTTCCCCTCGAGCACATGGCAGAGCCCGTGACAATTTTGCACAACAACTACATGTCGAAGCGTACACAACCGACCTTCGACCCCTCACTGGCGAAGGAACTTGCTGCTCTGGATGATCCTCCTATTGGGGACAGTGCGGGCCTGTTCCACGAGGCGCGGTGTCTATAAACGTTTGTTGATTACAGCGACCTCTTTTGACTCCTTGACGTTTGTTGATTAATTTTGGCTCGTCGAACTTGAACATTCGCCTTCGTCCTCCCATCCCCATTGTGTCTGATTGTGTAGGGTGGTTCTTTACTCCCGGAGGGGTATAAGACGCAGCGGGAATGGTGAATGGTCTCGCCAGTCCCTTCCATTCGTTCACCCCGGACAACTTGAACAGAATACTCTACGCAACAATCCATAATCATGCCCATGACTTCTCAAGAGATCTCCTACGCGAAGCTGGATCCACCACTTGGCTGGCTTGTGCTCTCGCTGGTTCGAGCGCTCTATCCTTCCGACATCCCTCCAGAAATGTAAGCTGGCGCTTCCCGTGGCGAGCTCCATGTCAATTGATGAAACTATACAGGCGTCAAGAAATTCAAGACAAACTCTACGGATACCTATCTCACCAGAATCACGTCGCCCCGCTTCGTATTGCAAACATATTCCTTGCCGTCTATTTCTTCAAATGCGCTGCCGTAGGAGATGCGTTTAAACGTGTCTTTGTGTCTTCCAGTGGCTTCAAGTCTACAAGTCATGCCGCTCTGGCCGTGTTCAGGATCTTTTCTGTATTCTATGTTCTTGCCTCAAAGTCCCAGGACGATGATGCAGCGATACATACCCGAAGAATTGTAAGGTACGTGGCCAAGCCCCTGCGAGTTTGTATCATAGCCAATGTGCAGTGGCTTTTAGAATGACGCCGGCCGATGGTGGCTACGCTTATGACGCAGAAGACGCGGCCAACCTGGAGAAAAAGGCCCTTGATATCTTCAACTGGAACATCTCCGTTTCCGTCGAGAAGTAGATTGCATGGTTGAAGCACGTCAACAGCATCTGCGAGCAAAGAAAAAAGGATAAAGGAATGCCAGAGAAACATGTTGACGCTGCCCTGCTCTCCATCGCTGTCCTCCTCAGGGACCCTAGAATTAAGCTCAGGGACCAACCTCAGTCCGACGCACCTCTCGCCACAGTGGGTGGCGCGGTTGTGGATGCCTTCGTCGCCAGTGTCCTCGAGGGTATGCTATAAGCCACTGGACTCGCTACGCAGTCCTCGAGGACAGAGGAAGTTTGGGCTTTCGAATGCCACTGCTGTATGAGATGAACACTCGCCACCACACTATTCCCAATCATACTAAAAGATTTACTAAACTGGCATCGTCACCTACATCCTATCGGTATCATCTATTATACCCTAGTAATATATAATTCTCCCTTAGTCCTGAATTTCTCCGCTCTTCGAGCAAGCTATCCTCCAGTCTGTACGACGACCAAAGAAGAAAAGCGATTGCCATAACAGAGGGCCAATGACGTCACGAAACCGGCTCAGTCGGAGCTTCGCACATTCGAATTGGGGATGATCGATGATCTTGCCCCTCAGTTGGCCTCCTGGAAGGAGGAGAGAGCCTGTTTGACGTAATGCCATCACCACCCCCTATATGCGCTTACTACGAGGCAGCTTTTCCACCACCTCGACCGTAGTAAAGGTGGACCTTGGTCGTCGAAGTCACCAGAGCCGCCAATGACTCGGAGCGGACCAGCGCAGGAATCTGCAGCTTTTGTCCCAGGGAAATGCATTATTCATGAAAGGCTTTGGGACGCTCTCTGGTTTCCTTTGTGACACATTGCAATGAATGAAGGGGGAGATAACAATGGGTAGCTTGATCCGATATGTATCTGCAATGCCAAGTGGTTATCTTTGTGTGACTAATAAAAGCAGAGGACTGGACATGGAAAGGAAGATGAAGTCCACTCTATATATAAGAGCCGCGTTTACATTGACGATGCCCTCCAACTCCCCTTCGCGCCCCACGGAACGATTGGAAATGCGTGTCCCGAACCCTCTTTCGAAAACTTTCAGGACTAGTTCTAGCTCTGACTCATCCCATACCATTCAAGTAATGACGCATACCATTTCCGACCAAAAACAACTGGAGTGCCCAAGACCCGTCTACCCCACCTTTTACCCGGCCAAGAAGCCAAGAATATTGCAAATCAATGGCTCGCCGCCGGACGATCTCACCGCACCATGCATATCCAATTCATCATCGCTGTCCGACCTCCACTTCGACACGACTGGCGTAGAATCCCATATCCAAACGCTTTCAGGGCAGACCTCACCGTCAGAAACATCTTATCGAGTCAACTGCATACCCTGTTTGGGGCCACTGTCCCCTGTCGAGGACGATGCGGCCTCGAGCAGTAGTGGATCGTACCTAGCGACACCAAGTGACTATCGTTTGACTCCCCACTCCGCAAGAAGGGACCAAGGTGCTTGTGATTGAGTTGTATCCCCGAAACCGTTATCTGACTTCACCCTTTTGTAGAGTTGGACGAACAATGCAGTCGCCCCGATGTAGGACAGTGTTCCAGGACAGTCCCTTCTAGCTGGCTTGCCCTCTACCTCGTCACTACGCTTTTGAGAAAGGACGTTGAGGGAAGCTTACTCGACCTTTCATCGTAAGTCATCTCGCCTTCCTTTGTGTAGCGACCCTCCTAACCTTGAACTCGCGTGGCTGGCAGTATTCTCAAATACTCTCAGGTCACACAAGTGCGCCTGAACACGATCATTCACGACCTTCACCTTGATGAAAGGATTATGCTCCTTGCATTATACTACCTCGATCGATTATACCCCGATGGAGCATTCCTGCTTGGAATTCATGCTTCCGAAGCTGTTTCATGGGCCTTCGTCATCGCAAGAGCCTTTTTGGTCGGTGTGATGCTGGCTGAGTTGTGGATTGACGATAACCCGCACCACATTAGTGTTTTGTAAGTCACTTCCGGGTTACTTATGTGTACACAGAGACTCACGAACCCTTCTAGCGCTCGTTTGTGCCTCTCACCCACCAAGACTGCGGCCCAGATCCAGCGGAAAGCTCTAGTGGCCCTAGGATACAACCTGACAGTCAATGGACTTATCTGGAAAACTTGGCTGTCTCGCTTACAGCTAAAATGCATCATCTACGAGCTCAGCGTCGGTAGCGGGGTGGGGTACATAAACGAAGATGTCTCTACTCTAATTAATGAGCTCTTCAGAGGTACAGGCGTCCCTCTTACCCAACGCTTCAATCAAAACAGACACATAGAAGCAAGCGCAAACCTTGAGAAAGCTGGTGAACTCTCAAGTATACTTTCAGATGGGTTGCTGAGCCCTGGTGCCAGCTGTGAAAGGGAATGAGCATCCAATCTTCTTTGTCTTCCCACAAAAAGTCGATCCGTCGATAGTGTTACTTTCTTTCTCGTGGCATTGTCCTTTCGCAAAGCTTCTCCTTTGTATTTCTCTGTGCCATGGCGAAAACGCGTAAAAAGCGAAAGAATGTCAGAGAATATTTGCATTATTCTTTATGAGCGTGAATTGGAGACAGGGGCGTGTGAAGAAGGGCAATCAATCTATGTCATCAGCGCAACTGCAATCTCGGGCCTTGGCTTATACAGCAATTCCATCTTTTCCTCTTCCACCACCTATACCGCGCGTTCTCACCAACTAGTTCCTATCCACGACTCCCATTGAAGACAATATACAACTAGTCTGACTCAGTCACTGTTCAAGATGTCGGAAAACTCGAACATTGCCGCCCGTATGGACATCGACGAGGCCGCTATCGATGAGGGCCTCTATTCGCGTCAATTGTGAGAACCGTCCTCATTCATTTCTGTAGTCTATGCTAATTCCTACTAGGTATGTCTTGGGACATGAAGGTAAGAACTTTGCGCGCAACTTTGCGACAACGCTGGACTCACACCTGTGTAACAGCCATGAAGCGAATGGCGGCCTCCAATGTTCTGATCGTCGGCCTGCAAGGATTGGGCGTCGAGATCGGTGAGTCTTAAACAAACCCGTGTTGTGTATTTTCACGACTCAGCATCTCCACAGCAAAGAACATCGTTCTCGCCGGTGTCAAGTCCGTGACCCTCTACGATCCTGAGCCCGTTACCATCTCCGATCTCAGCTCCCAAGTACGCGGTTCCGTGCTTTCTTCATTGACTCATGCTGAAGATAATCTTCAGTTCTTCCTCCGTGAAGAGGATGTTGGAAAATCAAGAGCTGCAGCCACTCTGCCCCGATTGGCTGAGCTGAATGCCTATGTCCCTGTTCGTGACCTAGGCGGCCAACCCGGTCAAGAGATTACCGTCGACCTCGTGAAAGGATTCCAGGTAACCTCCCTCCGACCAAGTCCGAAGTGCGTGTTTGACCAGGAAATTAGGTTGTCGTCCTCTGTGGAGTCCCACTCAAGAAGCAACTCGAGATCAACGATTGGACCCACGCGAACGGGATTCCCTTCATCGCTGCAGAGACCCGAGGCCTTTTTGGGTGCGTTTCCTCGCGCTTAACTCGCGCTTAAGCTAACCTGCTGGATAGATCTGCATTCAACGACTTTGGTTCCAAGTTCACCTGCGTTGACCCTACTGGCGAACAGCCGTTGTCCGGTATGATTGTCTCCATCGACAAAGTAAGTCCTCCCTGCTTCAGGCACCACCTTTCGAGGTTCTCATTCAAAACTCAGGAGCAAGATGGACTTGTTACCTGCTTGGATGAGACCAGACATGGATTGGAAGATGGCGACTTCGTTACTTTCACGGAAGTCCAGGGTATGACCGAGCTGAACGGTTGCGAGCCACGCAAGGTTACCGTCAAGGGGCCTTATACCTTCACCATCGGCGACGTCTCCAACTTCGGCGATTACAAGACCGGAGGCATATTCACCCAGGTCAAAATGCCCAAGATTATTGAATTCGTACGTCTGAATGCAAAGTATAATCGTGCTCTTCTCACTGATAGTGGCATCAGAAATCCCTCCGAGCTTCATTGCAAGATCCCGAATTCTTCATTACCGATTTTGCCAAATTTGACCGACCCGCCACCGCACACGCAGCTTTCCAGGCCTTGTCAGAATTCCGTTCTGAAAAAGGTCGCTTGCCGCGACCTCGAAACGAGGAAGACGCAGCGACTCTTTTTGAGCTGGCCAAGAAGATTAATGCGGACGCCGAGGAGAAGATCGTCAAGGAGCTCGCCTACCAGGCATCTGGAGACCTTTCGCCCATCAACGCCGTTGTGGGTGGTTTCGTTGCTCAGGAGGTTTTGAAGGCCTGTTCGGCCAAGTTCCATCCTATGGTTCAACACTTTTACTTTGATTCCCTCGAGTCTCTTCCAGACACCCTCCCTTCCGAAGCAGATTGCCAACCAACAGGGTCTCGTTACGATGGTCAGATTGCCGTGTTCGGTAAAGCCTTCCAGGAGAAGATCGCCAACCATCGCCAATTCCTTGTTGGATCTGGTGCTATCGGCTGCGAGATGCTCAAGAATTGGAGTATGATTGGTTTGGCGACTGGACCGAAGGGCGTCATCCATGTTACTGACTTGGACACCATCGAAAAGAGTAACCTCAACAGGCAATTCTTGTTCCGTCCCAAAGATTTGGGCAAATTCAAGGCTGAGGTCGCTGCGACTGCAGTGGCCGATATGAACCCTGATCTCAAGGACAAGATCTTGGCCAAGCAGGAACCGGTGGGTCCTGCCACTGAGAGTAAGTCATCAGATGTCCTCCACCTGTGTCTTGATCATCTCACCCCTCATAATAGACATCTACGACGAGGCATTCTTCGACAGTATCGACGGTGTGACCAATGCCCTGGATAACATCAAAGCTCGTGAGTCCCGCGGCGACTTCACCCCTGACAACTTGTCTAACACAATCCCAGGCCTGTACATGGATCAGCGTTGTGTGTTCTATCAGAAGCCCCTGCTAGAGTCGGGCACCCTTGGAACCAAGGGAAACACTCAAGTCATCATTCCACACCTCACTGAGTCGTATGGCTCGTCTCAGGATCCTCCTGAGAAGGAAACCCCATCCTGCACAATCAAGAACTTCCCGAACGCCATTAACCACACCATCGAGGTAGGTTGCTTCATACGAGCGTTCCTATTTCAATCTTAACATCAAACTATCAGTGGTCTCGCACGCAATTCGACAACCTCTTTGTCAAACCTGCCCAATCTGTTAATGCCTATCTCTCCGAGCCCAACTACCTTGAGACTACCTTGAAGTACTCTGGACAGCAGAAGGACCAGATCGAGCAAATAGTCTCCTATTTGGTGACCAACAAGCCACTCACCTTCGAAGAGTGCATCATCTGGGCTCGTCTCCAATTCGAGAAGGACTACAACAATGAGATTCGACAGCTCCTGTTCAGTCTTCCCAAAGACGCCGTGACGAGCACTGGACAGCCCTTCTGGAGCGGACCCAAGCGGGCACCTGACCCACTCACCTTCAACTCTAACGATGTGAGTTCTTTATTCAATTGAAAACGTTCCTTCGGGCTTAATTGTCCTGGTATAGCCCACCCATCTTGCATACATCATCGCCGCTGCCAACCTCCATGCTTTCAACTATGGTCTCCGTGGCGAGACTGATCCTGCATTCTTCCGCAAGGTGGTTGACACGGTCATTGTCCCGGAGTTCACGCCCAAGAGCGGAGTCAAGGTCCAGATCAACGATAACGATCCAGCTCCTGAGCAGTCAGGCGGAGGTGGCGAGTAATCCGATCTTGGGATAGATAGCTTCGCGTTACTGACCCATGAGCAGATGTGGATCTCGACGAGCTCGCAGCCAAGTTACCCGCTCCATCATCTTTGGCCGGCTATCGTCTCACTCCTGTCGAGTTCGAGAAGGATGACGATACGAACCATCACATCGACTTCATTACTGCCGCTTCTAATCTGCGAGCCATGAACTATGGCATCAACCCCGCAGACAAACATACCACGAAGCAGATTGCCGGAAAGATCATCCCTGCAATCGCCACCACTACCTCGCTGGTGACAGGTCTGGTCTGCCTCGAATTGTACAAGGTATGAATTATGGAATGTTCGAAAACAAGTGGTTCATGCTGACGACGCGACTGCAACTCATTAGATCATCGACGGCAAGAAGAACATCGAGTCGTACAAGAATGGATTCGTTAACCTCGCACTGCCATTCTTCGGTTTCTCAGAGCCGATCGCTGCGCAGAAGCAGAAGTACGGCGAGACGGAGTGGACGCTCTGGGATCGTTTCGAGTTCAAGAACAACCCTTCCTTGAAGGAAATCATCGACTTCTTCCAGGAGAAGCACAAGCTAGAGGTGACCATGGTCAGCCAGGGCGTGAGCATGCTCTGGAGTTCGTTTGTCGGAAAGAAGAAGGTTTGTCCGTTTTTCAAACGTGCGCTTTCATCTTCTGACCCATGTTTAATTCTCTAGAGCGAGGAACGCCTTCCCATGCCATTCTCGCAGCTGGTGGAACATGTCAGCAGGAAGCCGATTCCGCCACACACGAAGCATCTCATTGTGGAAGTCATGGTTTCGGACGAAGAGGGCGAAGATGTCGAGGTACTTGGCATCTCATTTCACATTCAACATATCACATTGAATGAGCTAATCCATCCGCTAGGTCCCCTTCATCGTCGTACGCATTTAAATACCGGAAGAACACCATCGAGCGGGTCAACGGAGTTACCATGTAATCATGTAGAACCAATAGCACTTTGTACCGAAATAATGGCTTTTTTCCCTCGTGCATTACACTCGCCGACGAATCAAACGAAATCAATTTTTTTACAGGATCAAAGTTTTACGAGGCCCAATTGAAAGTCTGGAGCACACCACACACTTCTAGAATTCGACCGAGGAACAAAAGCCATGTGTGTATTTGATTTTGTACCATGGGGTCAAGTACATAAGAAGAACGGCATGCATATGTACTGGTCTCGATACCTACTTACAAAGTAAGTATGGTGATAAAAGCGGGATCGGGTGAAAGGGGAACAGGGGAGAGGTCTGCGGAAAAATAGGGCAAAGAGGAGGGAGGAAGGGGGGAACGCGGAACGGGCGAATTAAGGGAAGAGCGCGAACGGGTAGGTAGGCGAAGGAGGTATATCGGAATACGAAACGAGATGAAGCGAGAAGGGGTGGGGACAGAGGAAAAGCGTGACTACTTTTGTAAATATTTTTGTAGAGGGTTCATGGGAGATGAAACCGCAGGGTCACAGAAGACACAGAGAGGAAACTGGAAAAAAAAAAGCGGAAACAAAGCGGCCGTGAAGAAAAAATCAAATGAGGATCACGAAGGAGAAAATACATGCTACAACAAAAAGACCGGATGCGAACGGGAAAGATCAAACATCGAAGTGGTGGAAATGATGAACACGATCATTAGTGGTTGTAACGGCTGGATAAATAACCATGGCAGGAAGACGTGATACGCAAAGCGAAGGACAAGAGCGTCAACAGCGAAACAAGAATATGCGACGAGAAACAGCAAACTCCAATGAGATAATAGTCCAGATCAAAAGGTGAACAAGAAGACTGGCGAATCCGAAAAGGTGTTTGGTTTCATCGGCACGATGACGATCGATGTCCTCCAGGTTTGGATGGAATTCGGTGTGGCCCCGTTGTCCCGAAACACTCCGGTTTACACAGGAGCGCCTCATGTTGGGAAGGCCGAATGTCGTGCAGAATGACGATAAAAATAGACAGCGAAAGTTCGAAATCGCGGAGCGCAGCTTGAAGAAATAGTACAGGTGGCAGTCAACTGGATGGGGAACAAACTAATGCTGGTTGCTGATTGTAGTGTAGTGGTGATTGATGATGCCAACGAGAATAATAGACAAAGACTTCTATGCTGAAGGGCGTTGAATCGTGACGCGAGATGAGGTTATCGGGTTCACAGCCTGGGAGTCCCTATGCAGCGTAACCCGCAGCGGGATACATATATGGGTTGGCTTCGATCCAGCGGGGTTCGGTTTTGAATGTCGCCAAGTGTTCCTGGGAGGTCATGCGAACATCACTGCACTTGTAGTCGTATCCAGATTGGGAATAGGACCGCAAGTGGTGGCGAGATAAAAGGTTGTCAGAGTCATAGAACAAGGACTGCGAACGGGAATGCGTCATCGCGGTTGTGGTTGCATGAGGGTATATGGTGTACGGATGGCTGACGAAGACGGCAGGTGCGTATGCGTAGGTCGGATAGGCCTTGTAGGCAATGCCAAAGGATGCATCGCAGGACGGCAATCCATGGGGACGGTAGCCCATCGAATAAAGATGGGGTTGCGACGGTTGAACGGCGACGTAGTGTCCGCTGCTGCGGTTGCGGTCCCGAAGGATGGGTTCATCGCCTGACGGGCTCCATTTCGCCGGAGGAGGGAGCGTTTTAGTCGCAGCAGCGTTGACAGCGTGAAGGTTTTCCTGACCGGAAAGTTGAAGCTGTGTGTCGCGCAGAGCTGCGGGATCGATGACCCGACGTCGAGGCAAATACTCTTCCCTGAGAGGGCCATCCTCGTCAAGGTTGATCTCCATGATGCTAGCAGAAGAAGCGTACTGCTTGTCCAGCTTCTCCTTGCGCTCCTCGAGGCCGAGGAAGACGGGTTGGGGAAGGGGAGAGAAGCTGGAAGGAGATGGCGCTTGGACGATCTCATCAATCGTCTTACGGATAGTGGAATGTGGGTTCGATGATGGTCTCCCAATCGGCTGAAGGTGAGACGGAGCCAGAGACATATGGTATGACTGAAGGTGGGTCATCCAATGAGCCCACTCCTTGTTAGAAATGGAGAGATCATAGGAGAAGACATCCAAAGCCATAGCCTCAAGTCGATTGAGCTCTTGGATGGGGACGTTGGAGATTGTGTGCCTACGGAGACAGTCAACAATGCACGTATGGAGAAATGAAGATGGGACCTACCAAGTCTTGTTGGTGAAAGTATGATCATCCAACCACTTATTCGCCAGCATGCAGCCGAGCACGACTAGGCGAAAGGGTGCATTGACCTCCAGGCCTTCCCGCTCGTAGCTGTATGCATCCCCGAGTAACGCATGGCGGAAACGAGCCTCCTTGGGATACTCGGGGCCGAGTTCGGCGTTAAAGAACACTGGCAAGCGAATGATGTACCACAGGCCCAAGAAAACGGCAGATGGTTGCAACAAGGTGGAAAGGAGCAACGAATGGATCGCCGGTGCCAGGTATCTGGGCGGGGCGAGCGGGTACTGTACAGCGCGGGTGCTGCCATCACGAGATCAGTATGATGCGTTGCATCGGCCGGTAGAAAAAAAAAACTTACGACGGGTACGTGAATGCCGGCGACAGGCTGAGTCCTGTCGTACACACCTTCCAGACGTAACTGGCCAGCCACTCCGACAACGGTTGAGACAGTTGTCTGTAGCCACTAGTGGGGCTAGGCGTGATGACCTCTGGGGCAGGCGCTGGTTCCTTGACAGGCTCCGCCAAGGTGGGGAAAACCGGAGCAAGCCGTGATTCCGCAGAACTGTCTTGCTTGAGGACACCATAGTTGGCGTTGACGGGCGCAGTTATACAATCTTCTCCAGTGAGGGAGGGCTGCTCTGCAGCGACAACTCCGTCGACGAAATCCGCAAAGGGGGTAATAGGTTCCAACGGACTTGAGCCGGATTCGTGTCCACTATCCGTACCGGGCGAGTGATCGTGATAGATGGGCTTGTAAGATGAATGGCGATGTGGTTGGTCTTCGTATGTGGCGAGGTTGCTGAAAACCAAGTCGGGAGAAACATCGTCGGTCTCGACATCCTCTTCAATCTCCATCGCATCACAGCCGTCACATGGTGCCGGATACTCCTCCTCACCTTCCCAACACTCTACATCCCTCGCATAACCCTGTCTCGAATGAACTCCTGCCTGGGGGTAGACACGGAGTGCGGCTGCTGCAGTCAAGGGCGGAAGACACGCTTGCGCGCGAGCTCCTTTAATGGCCATCGCGTTGCCCGCAAAGGCCAACCCATGAATAAAATCCTGCTCTCGACGTTGGTCGGGAAGGTAGGAATCCTCTTCCCAAATACGACGTGGCTTCGAGACTTTCCACGATGGAGTTGCGCCCACGTCACGAGTACGCTTCATGACGGGGTTGGCTGTCGACTTTGCGACACGGGGGACGGGGACTGGCATGTGCACGAGAAGATAGACGAGAGTCTGTGGTCTATCCCGCGAGCGTTCGCCGAATTGACCGTTAAACTCTTGTCTATGTGGATGCCCCTGTAGTCAAGGAGCGGTTGGCCGGCGAACGAAAGAATGAACTGGGTGGGGTCGTAAGGGCAGTCGTAAAGGAGAAAAAAAGGGGTAGCAGGGACGTCGATAACACAGAAGCGGGGATGTGGCAGACGCACAGCGAAGGCGTGCCCTTTTGAGTGTTGTCGTCGCAGAGAAAAACGGGTTGTTTAGGCCAGACGATGGCAAGCGATGAAAAAGCTGCTTGACCGGTGCTTTTCCTGTGCTCCTCGTCGACAGACTACGACAACCGTCTTCGAAGCTGGGCGCAGACGACGGAGACCTGGCTCTGAGAATCGACGAGAGACTGTCGATCCGCCTGCTAAAAGTGTGAGGGCGAAATCATCATCAACCGACAGTCGCTATTATACTCCCCCCTTTCTCACGCTACACGTGATTATCTGCTGACAGAACCACTGAACCCTGCCTCGTCTCTTGGCAGTTTTATTCCAGATCTATACCGCCTGCGCCGCCCATTACCCTATAACACCTTCTTTCTTTGTTTCTGTACCTCTTTCCCCGATATAGCTCGTCATGGGACCTCCCACTGAATCACTCTTTATCTGCCTCTGATCTCACGCATCCGTATCTCTGTGGTTCCGAGCCCTCTTCCCAAACCCAGGCTCTTCCATTAGGCGGTTCCCCAGCTAATATATTCATCGTGGATATACGGTGGCACTAGACCCGCTGGGCAAACGTACCCATACACTGGCTAATGATGGGGCGCCAATTGACTGACTAACCAACCTCGTTGTTCCAGCCGCTCGAGTCAGATAGAAAATGAGGCTGCACAGTATGCGTTCCATTTCGTCTGCCTATTCCCGGCTATCCGCCGATGGGGAGGGAGCTTTCATAACCCTAAGATCTGAGTGAATTCATTCAGGGTCTTAATGTCTAGCGGTCTATACAGGGCTGTCATTTAGCGGAATTGCACTTCCAACTGGCAGTCAAGCCATATGAGTTGACTCTACGTTGTCGTCCCATTTTCACACTAATCGTCTTATAGGGGCGTCGAGCTTGGAGCTCGAGGTCACCTACTAAAGGTTTTCCTGGGCGCCCCTCTAAACAGGCCCGCTTCAATCGATATTCTAGTCCCAGTCTATCATTGTAGTCACCAACTACTTACGCTACCGGCTGTGCGGGGTAGATGCCCGCACTGATTCGACGCAACTGTCCCGACTGCCTCGAACGTTACAGACCTGGGAATAAAAGACGATTTGGTGGTGGAAAGTAATATGTATTGTCCGTCTTTGCCTGGTTCAGCCGAGGTCTTGGTGGGGTCCTTGGGTCGCTTGTCCATGTCAACCGCCGTGGGTGCATCATGGATCAAGGGTGCATGATGACCGCATCCGCCCGAGTTTCACGAGTATGTAGGATGGGAGGACCAGCACTGTCATGATTGTGAAAAGGGGGCCAGTACTATCAATCCAGTTTTCATTCTGCCCTAAGTAACTGTGCACAAACCATACCATCACCGTTTCGGGAAACTCAGCGACGCGATCGCGTTGTTTGGGTTGAAAGGCAATGAACGACATTACCAAGCCCTCCTAGTAAGAAGCGCTTGTCGCTCGACCGTCACCGTCACGCACATACCAACTACTATCTACAACCCCACAAATATTAGCCCCCGCTGGCGCTCCTAACGGCAGGTCTAATCAAGCAATATCAGATGAGCGGGATCCACCTCGACAGTGGCAATGGTTCAAACCCACCGTCGAACAACAACGGACTGTCTGTCGATTCAATAACCCTGGGACAGCTCAAGAACTTTGGCGCAAATGGGCAGCAAAAGCCAAAGGTGCGCTTCGATCTGCCGAGTTGACCGTCGCTCTTAGGTTATTAAATCATCTATTCGGAATATAGCAATCTTGGTACGACTTCAAGTATGACGACGAGGACACAGTCATGAACGAGATCGAAGAGTTTTATTCGTACATTGAGATGTCCCAAGTAGCTGAAAACCTCAAGGCATGGGAAGGATGCTTCCCTTCTGGTATGTACCCTGTAATCTCACATCGCAAATCCCAGGCCCTTGATACATTCGCCAAACAGAATGGACAAAAGCCCCTTTGAACCAACGCAGATCGCATGCCGAACGCCTCCTCGAAGGCTTGGAACACCGAGACGCAGAGATACGCTTCACCAATGCCCGCCGTCTATTCTATGTGCTGCAAGGTTCGCATGGCTTCCATACCAATCCCCTCATTGCCAGCGCCTCGTTCATCTCATACCGCCAATAGGAACGTTTGCGGAGACGGTATCTCCGGAACACCAACTCCATTGGATATTCGAAAATGGCAAGCTAGTCAGGTCGGCGAACGGAATTAGCAACGTCGTGGAGGCTCTCAAGATCGCAGGGAGGAAACATGACTTGTTGAGGTACGTACCTTCACCCAAGCCGTCTTTAATACCATCAACCACGACTTGGATTCCCTAACCGTTGCCTCGTGCATTCAGTAACCTGTCCGACCAAGACGCCGCCCACTTCCATATTTCGGTTCAAGACAAGACGGATCTACTTGAGGAGGTATTGACCGAAATCTCGGTATACCTTGGAATGTTGTATCATCTCATCGAGGTGTTCAAAGGCCATGAGGACTTTGCCGACGAATTGAGTACGTCAATAAATCACCGTTGACGAACCTCGCTGATATTCCGCTTCAAGTGAGTTTGGACCCGCCTCTACCGGTCTATCTCTTCAATTTGGTCGCTGGACTAAGGGACAAGAGCGCAAAGGGGTATCCCATCAAGAAAGTACGCTACTTCAATCGTCCCAAGGATTGTTGTCACTGACCCACTGTATTGAAGCTTCTACTCGTTCTCTGGAAGACCCTTTTGGCATGCTGGGGTGGCATGAAAGACCACGAACGGGTGAAGAAAATCGCACGCGAGTTAGCCGGTTTGCCCAACTCTGAAGGACGTACGTACATTTAGCCGAGAACACCTGGCAGAGCCATCCCTCATCGCTAATACTTCCTCAGCGGATAAGATCAAATCCACCCCCTTGGACATCGAACAATTCCGACAAGAGACTGCCGTCAAGTACCCGACATTCACACCCCCTCCCCACCCTCCCCCATCACTAGCCGAAGCACCCATCGCTAAAACCGGCAACCCTGCGCTCCTCACAAAGCGCCTGTCTGAAGCCTACTCCCCCATCCCGATTCGGCATCATTACCACCATGACGAGCCTGATCATCTCCCTCACGGGCACCCCCACGCCCCTCCGCTAGGTCAGAGCAATTCCTCTTACTTCCGGGGCGGCGCGGGTCCCAGCGGACCTCAACCACAGCCAGCCACACCCGCTCCCTCTCCCCCTCCTTCTCCCAAACCCAAGAAACAACAGTACCAAACCGACCAAAACCGACCATTCTTGTTCCCCTTTTCCAAGCATCGGTTCGGCAAAGATGCGAAACTGGTACCGTTTGCGATTGAAGAGGCGGATAGGTTATTCAATAAACATATGTATGTCAGTTTGGCCTTGACCCAGATGTGGAGGACGAGGGAGGACTGTATGAGCTTTGAGAGTGGGTTGGAGAGGATGCCAGGGAGTGATAAGGAGAGGAGTTCGACTTATTTGGATGTGAGTTCACTTTTGACTCCTAAGTCATATTTGATTTGGTATCGATGTTTTATATTCGAAGGACGATGAGTCTGGGGAGCCACTTCCGGATTTGAAACTTCTGGATGAGAAGATTGAAGAGGCAATCGCCGCTATTGCCAAGGCAGAGACCGGACCGGAGCGTCGAAAAGCTATGGAGAGGAAGGAAGATTTGCTACGACTCAAGAGAGTTGAACAAATATATGTCAGTCCTTAATACTTCTCGTCAGGTAGTAAATGCTAACATCCCTACCCAGAGTTCTGTCCTCCCCGTTCTCTCTGGCTGGGTTCTTGTTCTCCTCAAACTCTTATTGGCGACGGTTTCCCCCAATGCCGGTGCCCTCCAACTCCCTCAGACGTCAACTTCGTCTGCCTTCCCTCCGCAGAACAGTGAGTTGGTCGATTCTTCTGAGAGATACCATTCAACTCATTTCCCTCCAGCTCCCGACCAAATGCCCCCTCAGCCCCCTCCGACCTTGGACGAGATTGATGTCATCCGCCATCGAGAGATTACTTCGAAGGCAGTTTCGGCGATCTTGTTGTTGGTCTTGAAGTGGTTCAAGGTGTCTCGTATGTGGATATACCACTCGCTCTTCCTCAATACGAAAACTAAGTAAGGTTTCCAGACGTCATGAAGTTCCACCACCTGGGCCAGCATCTTTTGGACACCAACTGTTTGCTGCTCATCTTGAAGATGTTCGGCTTGCAAGAGGTCGCTCAAACAGTAATATCCAAGGCTGATTCGCCAGAAAACAAGTCTGTGCACTATGCGTCAACTCAACGGGATCTAACTAAACGTTTTCCTTCAGCTTCTTCCGGTACTGTCTAACCAATCTCTCCAAGAACCCCCAGGTCCCCCGACCGGAAGACGAAATGATTAAACCTCCACGTCAAATCGTCACCAAGGTCGTCACTTTGCCTAACGGTGAGAAACACGAAGAGGAGATTGAGCAAGTCACCGAATATTCCTGGCGCAACTTCTTCTCTACGATCAACTTCGCCAAGATCATGCAGAAGTTGTCGAAAGGAAGGTCTCACAGGATATGGATGTTAGTGCAGTATAAGAGTTCGGCTGTGTTGAAGCGAGTCCTTCGGGTCAACCACCCCCTACTCCAACTTCATGTCTTGAAGCTCATCAAGAGTCAGGTTCCCTTCTGTGGTCGTAAATGGAGGCAAAGTGCGTATATTTCCTTTAACTTGTTGCTCCCCGTTATACCTCGGCTAACCATTCATCGTTACAGCTAACATGAAGGTTATCACCGCAATTTACCTTAATTGTAGACCCGATCTGCGAGACGAGTGGCTAACGGGAACCGAGCCAGATGATGCTAGTGACGCTCAGGTGAGGACCTCGCTACTAGAGATGGACGGTGTAGATTAACGCGACATGTAGGCCCAGGAGCACGCTCTTAGGCACCTTGTCAAATTCTGTGAGTAGTCTGGTATCTCGGTGGGTAACGGCGTACTCATCCCGTTTCCACTTTAGACAACAACAAACGCTACGGCCCCGTCCCAGCGAGCAACCAACATGGTGGAATGCACCGACGCACGGGCAGCACGTCCCACCACCTCGAAGGTCTCCAACCAGACCCCCAGCTCGCGAGCTTCATCCGTCCACACCCCGGGACACCCAATCTTGCCGACTCGGATGTCTTCCCTCCCTCGCGTTCCCAAGCCCCCAACCCGTCCATCTTCCTGCCCTACATGACGGAAGATATCGCATTTGAAGAGGAATATGAAGAATATCTCTCTGACCTCGGTCTGTCCGACGACCAGCAGTGCCAAGACGGCGGGGCGTTTGGATTCGGACAGGGAAGTGGTGGGGGTGCAAGTGGGACCGGGGAGAGGACGGGCGGGGGCACATCGGCATGGCATCGTCTCCCGGAGTACGTCGCTGAAATTACGGATAATATCAGTGACAGCGAGAGTATTGCATCTATCGGCGACTTGGGAGATGACTCGAGGTTGGACCCTTCCAAGGATGATCAAGAGACTGTGGACGAGAATCTGAACAACTGGGAGGTGGGACCATGTTTCCTGCTTTTTAAAATTAGCTTCCAACTCAGACTCTTCTCTACTTTTGCAGCACATGAGTCCGAAGACAATGGCTGCCTTGCCCAAGTCCCCCGCTGGTAGGAGAAGGTCGAGCTCAGGAGGCGGCCTGAGGCCTGTCATTCCCTTTGGATTGGATGATAGCAACCCTGTTGAGGATTTGGAAGATGACGATCTGGAAGAGTTGCCGATCCAGAGAGACCATACTGGACCGAGTGTCGACGAAGTTGAATATGCCTATGGGTGAGTGGTCCTAGGAATTTTCTTTTCGAAGTTGGAATGCTGACCGTGGTTTGTTCTCTGCTCCAGTGTTTAATCCCTGTTTAGAAAGCCATCTAGCGAGGGAACTGAGTATAATGACATAAGTAGAAAGCTGGTCTGTCTTTCTTTCCGTTTTCCAATAATATTGCTATCGGATTTTGTTAAATGAGAGGGATTGTAATAGTGCGTAAGCTGTTTTCGGTGGACAAACCCGTGCAATTCAGTGACACATTCACTCAGGTGGTGATACTGGCTAAGGGCATGGTGGCGCTTTTTGGGCATCCCACCGGTGGGGTTTAAAGGCACTTGGCAGGTGGGAGCCAGGGGATTGCCTTGCTGTTCTGAGAAATAGGTTTTGAAAAGCCGGCTTGCGGGTGGTGGGGAATATGGGAACCTTGGTCCCGGGCCCATAGCGACCACGGCCTTGGCAGGTGCAGAAGCTATTGCGATTCATGGCTGCGCGATGCTCGATTCAGCGGCCTTCATCCATGCTCGATACATACATTAGCACAGGCGAGGGCAAATTCATAAGTACGCTCGAATACTAAGAGTTCATCAAGGCCGGCGACTGGCAGTTGGGTGGGAGGAATGGCTCGATGGATGGCTATCGTCCAATATCCCTCTATTTAAGACCGAAGAAAGGTCTATAATCGTCCTAGACATCGAAAAAGCGCGAATCGGGCGCTGAAGAAGGGGAGGCCGCGATAGCCTTGAGGCAATCTGATTCTCTAGCGCCCTATCATCGATATTGCACGAGAAGCGGGGAAAGCAGAAACCATTAGGGAAGCCCTCTTTTCAACCCCTTTAGACTGGGTAAAACGATGTATAGGCATTGCAATAAGGCTGTCTAAGGCTGCAAGTGAAGGGTATTTGTCGCCGGAAAAAGGAGTTGCGATTGTTTGTACCGTCCGCCGTCTTGAGGATAAAGTTTGGACGGGTGGCTGCAGACAAAGGCAGACAAGCAAATACCCTCTCGGTTGCTTTTCCTCCTCGTACCTATCGTCATTGAGCTCGACGACGAGCGACACAAAATTATCTTTTTCAAAGCTATGAATTCAGCCCTATTCCAGAGGAATGGGGGGGTCCGTGCGCGTTCAACAGGTTTCCCACGTACCTGACATAAGCCTCGTTCGTTGATTCCTGCCCTTTGCCTTCCCTCAACCACCATCTCTGCCTTTAGCACGCCTCGTACTTGACCCAACTAGCCCACCAGCGACCTCGCCAACCCACAAATCACAACACCCATCTCAGAAAGTCCGGTACAACCACGAATTCCCAACGTAAACAATGTCCCAGCCAAACCAAGGCATGCAGCCCATGATGCAAGACCAGCAGGCAGCGCCCCCTCAGGAGCAGCCCAGCGGTAGCAACGGGAATTATTACCCTCAAGACAGCGATTTGACTGGTGGTCTTCCTATTAACCTCGATTCCCTTCGAGATGGACCACCAGGCAGCAAGCCTTTCTACCCCTACTCGACGCTCATTCGGTAAGTGCAGCGTGACGACTGCCAGCCACTGGTTCCCCAAAGGCTCACCGACCTTGAACCTACACAGATACGCCATCAAGGGCTCGCCCAACGGTAAGCTCCTGCTAGAGGACATTTACTATGCGATCGAGTCGAGAGTGAGTCGAATGGCCTGGTGATGGTTTATCCGTACTAATCGGCACAATACAGTTCCCCTACTTCAGAACTGCGCCAAGTGGTTGGAAGGTAAGCGACGGTTCTGTATATGTTGAGAGGATACAAGTCGTAGATGGATCCATTGGGCAAATATTTATATGAATCGCGTCGACGCGACGCGATGTTTTTATTTGCCTGCAGTTGTTTGTGGAAAGTTTGCGACGATTTCCTCTTCTCACATCCGTTTGTCACCGCCAAACTTCGGCTAACATCACATTTCTTTCTGCAGAACTCTGTCCGCCACAACCTCTCCCTCAACCCATGCTTCGAGAAAGTTCCCCGTCCCCTCACCGACCGTGGGAAAGGCTCTTATTGGACCGTCAACGAGAACGTTGACCCACGGACGGGCGTCCATCGGATTCGGAAAAAGAAAAACAAGAAGCGTGGTTCCTCTGAGCCAGATGCGGAGTATCGTCCAGCTGAACAACCAGCCCAGCAACCGCCTCCTCCACCGCCTGCGCCACAGCATTTCGAAGACCCCCATGCTGCAGCGGCTGCTGCTGCCGCAGCCGGTGCTCACCCTCAGTTCGTCCCCCCTCCGACCATAGCGACGGACGATGCGAACGCGAGCAGACAGCCACCTGCGCCATATCCGCCCGCATACCCTCCGTAAGTTGGCCACGTTCCCTCTTTCCGTCAAGCACTCATACGATTCTAGTTACAGTCCTCTCACGTTTGATCCCAGCTTCCCCATGATGGGCATGCGATTCCCGCCCGTTGCTGGTCCTGTGCCTATATCGCCTGACGAGAGCTTCGAGGTCGACGAACATGGAAACATTAATTGGAGACTGGCCTGGCTGAAGGAAATCGGACATCTCCAACAGGTTACTCAGGAACAGGAGAAGGCTGGCGCTGATCAGGAGTGGTATCGAATGATGCTCTTCCGCGTCCGGACTGCACTCATGCCTCCCCCAATCAACCCTGAGATGATGCATGGGATGGTTCCACAGATTCCACCGCCAAACCCTGCCGATCTTCAGCAGCAGACTCCTCAGCCCGCAGCACCCCAACAGCCTTAACAGAGATCGTCTCATTTATTCTATAATCTCTTTTTCATTCTTCGACCACTTGTTGTGACCATATTCCCTTTACCATACTGTATTCGCCTTATGATTTGTACCCTTCCTTGTGGCCTAGGCTTTCGTAGGTTATCCTGATTCAAGCGGACGACTGTTGGCCAGCATTTCTGTATCTTCCTGGCATCTGTAGTACGATGCCATGACCAATAATATGAATTTCACGATTTCCGATGTTCCCTACTAGATAAGCTGAGAATGCAAGATAGGGGATTCGGTTCGGGTGAGACTCCGAAAGTGGACGGGCCGAACGGCGAGGCCGTCAGGTGATGTCACTTGTGCGAGAATTATTAATTGGTTTGGATTTTATTTTAATTAGTGTGTTGTCTCTTTACGCTCTATCTCTATCTCTCCAAATCCTCCCATGGCACCTACAGCAGTCTACACTCAAAAGGACTCCCCGTCGTCGTCCCAGCCGTCGTCCAAAGGCCCCGCTTTGGCCATTGGCTCTCTAGAGACGGCCCAAGACGGCAAATACCAATCCTTAATCACGGAACTGGAGGCGACGAGACAGGTCGATAAGCTTCTCCTCGATAGGCTGGTCGATGGAGGTGGGTATCAAATTCTATCGATTTCGAACGCGAAACTGACTGTCCCAACTTTAGCAACCACCCTGGAACCTTCAAAGTACAACTCGGTGCACGTAACCCTGGCCAGTTCCGATTACCAATCTCTTCAAGAGTCGACCCTACGCTCGTTGTTGACCCAGTTGTTGACGGGTTTGACGCCACTTGGGACCCTACACCTGCTCAATCTGACCGATGGACTAAAGACGTTGCCCAGTGAGCTAACGCTTTCAGGGTTTTTGGTTCTCTCCGCTGCAGGCGAGAACCCGGGCGACTCTATTGTTGCCCAGAAACCTGCGCACGCCATTGGTGCATCTGTTTCCCTCAAGAAACGCGGCAGTGCTACCACTACGTCGACCACCGCCTTTGTCACGACTACTACGACTACCTCTACCTCGACGACGACTGCTACGGTTACTTCTGCTCCATCAGTCCCATTGTTGCTCCGTAAACGAGGGGACCCGGCAAAGAAGAAGGCCTTGTGGGCCCTCACCACCGACGCTTCTGCTTCCCCTTCAACTAAAATTGACGCGGATGCACTCCTCACCGCAGAAGACAAAGCCCGTCCAGTACCCACATGCGCCCCCGTCGACCGTAGCGCTCCTCGGCGGAAGAAGGCATGCAAGAACTGTTCGTGCGGTCTCGCCGAGCTCGAAGAGGAGGAAAAGAGAAATGCGCCAGTTGTGGTGATTGACTCTAGCATAGACGGCGAAGGTGGTGCAAAGGCAGTGGACAAGGCAGAACGGGAGAGGCTGCTCGAAGCGGCCAAGAACGCCCCAAAGGCCACCAGCAGTTGCGGGAGCTGTTTCCTTGGGGATGCGTTCAGGTGCGCTGGGTGCCCGTACCTTGGTGCGTTCTGTTTACTTTGGGTCAGCGTTGGAACCTTTACTGAATATGGTCTCATGGTCTTTTTTTGTTCGCGTGTGACAGGTCTGCCTGCGTTCAAGCCTGGGGAAAAGGTGGAGATTGATTTCGGGATGGACGACTTCTAAGCGAGCGAATTCTCGGCCTAAGGAAATGGGGTTCGTTTCGGTGCAATGAAGTCGAGGAATGAAACAATGGAGGCGTGTAGGGGACCTTTTACTCAAGCCGTTAGCCGCGTTTTCTTGGTTTAGGGCATGCCGTCTAGTCCTTTATGGATCTAGAACACTCGGAAAGCGGACCACAAGATATCTTCCACTCGAAACACCCTGGGGTTTCCCCCAATTACACCTATCTCAGCCCGTCGGCTGTACATAAACGCTACTCACTCACCGTTGGGACCTTTCCCTTTATTGGAACCTCACACCCGGTTTTACTCATAGTCGCTTCATGTTGTTGCTTGCTTGCTCGTGTTCCCGTGCTTACCACTACTGAATGGATTATGTCGTCTTGTGTTCAAGGTGGCGTCGTAAACCATTCGAAACTAGGGCCTGTAGTTCAATGTGACCTATTCTGTCGTATTTTCGTTTCTGTCCTGTCGCTTTACATTCGTTACTATAGCCCTCGGAAGGAGACTATCCTCCCGTTAAATGACACGTTCTCTTTTTTTTCCTCGTCGTTTTCTTGTATTATTACCATTTAGATAGGTATTTATGTTATTGAATTGCGGTCTTGACTGAACCGCCGAGCGCTTTCCGGCCACAGGGACTCGCGTGCATGTTTTTACAAGGTGTCGGACAACGGTGGGGATGGAAGGATGACTGTTATCTGATAAGAATGTTTGGAACTTCATCCGTGGTCGGAGATGTGTGAAGTTGTGATGGTGGCGAAAGTCCAAAATTCTTCCCAGCCGCTTTTTCCTTGACACATTGTCCACCTGGACCACCGACGACACAACTTCGTTTCGTGGAGATCGGTAGAGTGATAATGTACCATTGAAATCTAAACATTTGTGAGTGTGTTCTTTTGGCAGGGAGAGGATTCAAGGTTTGGCTCATTGTTCTCCCGTACCAGCAGCGATTTTCTTTTGCTTCCGCTGCCCATTAGCGCTTTTTCTGGTGTGACGTTATCGTTATCGCTTGCAGTCTTCGTGAGGCGCTCGTTGAAGAGAGCAAATTCGACACCAGGTAAAACCTTCAACCAGATACTTGCCTTCCAAATTCCAAATCAAACGCTACTATGGAAGATCCTCAGCCTTCCACCTCCCAAATCACCGCTACAGACGAACCTTCGTCCTCGTCTCCAGCTTTCCGAAATGCTACGCAGCCGACTCTCTGCTCTCTCTGTCCCCCGTCCTCCCGCCAACCAACCAAATACACCTGCCCGCGCTGTCGCACCAAAACTTGCTCAGCCCCTTGTTCCAAAAGGCACAAGCAAGAAACGGGATGCTCGGGTGAACGAAATAAAGCTGAATATGTGAGCATGAAGGATTATGGCTGGGGGGCGATGATGAGTGACTATACGTTTCTGGAGGAGGTTGGGCGGAAGGTAAAGGAAGTTGGGAAGGAGATTGTTGGAGGCGGCTACATGCATTCGTCTATCGGGAAGGAGGGAGGATTCGGTGCGGGCATGAGAGGCAAAGATGGAATGAGAGGACATCCGAGAGGAAGGGGGAGGGGAGGGGGAAATGGGAAGACAAAGAGAGATATTTTCAAAATGCAGATGGAGGTTAGAGATATCGAAGTCGATTTATTACCCCTTGGGATGAAGAGGAGGAAAATGAACCAATCGAGTTGGGATTTCAAGTGTGTATATTCCCTCTATTTCTATTTACCTAGGCTAAGTTTGCGGTATAGAAACCAAACTGGACTCGTGACGCTTGAATTCAAATTCCATGCACCACGAGACCCTCTACTTCCCAAGCCATCTACACCGGAGCCCCCGCTCGCACTTGTAACACACAGAAATAGACTAGACCAGCCACTTCTCGCCATCCTCCAGTCCCTCGCCAAGGACCGTTCCAAGAAGGAATCTTTGAAAGGGAAACCAACGCAGAATCCTTCGTCGTCGTCTTCACCAGAATGGCTTATGTCCATGCTCGTGCCGAGCGAAGATGACCCAGAAGGCTTCACACAACCCAAATGTGTTATGCGAGCTCCAACCGACCCTGTCCTCATCCTCCAAAGCCTCAAAGAGGAGGCGGAGGAAAAGGATAGGAAGTACGCTTCCGATCTTGGAAAGACACTATCAGCGCAACTAGACGCTTATTCGAGGAGGCAACACGCATGGAGCCATCATACACCTGCTTCCTCGACGGCTGAAAAATCAACACCAGCTACCAATAACGCTCTTAAACGCAGGAAGGGCGAACTCTCATTCAAATTCCCAAAAGTATTCTACAACATCGACCTTAATCAACCCCTCTCCCAGTCGCTCAAGTACACCTCCTTCGTGGAGTTCCCGACAATAGAAGTTTTCGAAGAAGGGGACGAGCGGTTCGGAGGGGTAATGTTTGTTGATCCCCAGGATAGCGCGAAAGGGAGCTACTCAGCGGCAGCTTTGAAAGCAGCGGCGAGGGAACGACAAGAGCAGCAGCAACCGCAGGCGAAGAGACGAAAGTTGGATCCGAAGGTGGGGAGGCAGAGGTTGAAGGGCTTGATTGGCGACTATGGAAGCAGCAGCAGTGACGGTGAAGGCGGAGAAGAGAACGTCGAGGAGGGCTCTCGAACAAAGAGGGCGAACGTTGCAGCACTGGTTGCAGAATATACCGCTAGCGATGACGAAGGAGATGAAGTCGCACCTCCCACACCTGCCTCTAGCGACGATAAGGCGCCACACGGCGATGTTGCGATGATAGATGACGATGAACTCGGCGACGAAGACGCGGAGGGAGAGGACGACGACGAGTTGGACCCCGCTGCACTTCTGGAACTCGTTCGCAAGGTGAAGGGAGAACAATGGGCGAAGGACCAAGAAAACATGGAGGACGATGTTTTGGACTGGGAAGGGTCCGATGCAGATGCTGAGGGTGAGCCGGACGACGAAGACTATTAGGGCTTCGGTGGTGCGGCTTGCGGTGGGTACCCGAGGCGATTGACCGCCGGGAAGCGGTTAGATAGACCCTCCAGTTCGTAGATAGATACATGCAAGCCGCTGTTATCGAAATATATTCCACGCACGCGCATTTGGGCGTTTTCGATTCCCAAAAAGGTATAGGTGTGGCGCGATTTGCAGAAAATAGGGGCTATTTCACGTGGTACGGCGGATTTTGACGTGTCGGGGCTCGGCGGTGGTGGGGTAACACAAGCTTTGTACTCGAACACTCATCCACCCATTCTCCTTCTCCTCGCCGTTGGCTTGTCTGCAACGGCGCTTACGACCCATAACTTACGACGACTCCTGGACCCTTGTTGGCCGTCATCAACTAACACGCGACGGCTTGTTTGTGTTCAACCGGCGACACAACATACATTGCACCATTGAAGGGAGCAATCACCGACTTGACTTTGAATAACTCTTAAAAGTCAAACAACATTGAATATGGGCCTTACACTATCGACGTTCTTTCAGTCTCTGTCATCGCTGGTTCGATGGAGCAAGGACAAAGACGTGCGGATTCTAATGTTGGGTTTGGACTCGGCGGGAAAGGTGAGTTGTCTTGCATTTATCAGTGCAAGCCAACAGGAACTGACGTTGATGGCCCGTTGGGTTAGACGACAATTCTATACCGGTTACAGGTTAGTCGCAAATGCTTTTGATCCTGTATTGAGGATGATTTGCTGACCGTCGTTGGTAGATCGGAGAAGTAGTGTCAACAATTCCAAGTGCGTTTCGAACCTGCGATGTCAGACTTTCAGTTAAGCATGAATCTACACAATAGCGATTGGATTCAATGTCGAAACCGTTGAATACAAAAACATCAAGTTCCAAGTATGGGATCTGGGTGGACAATCAAGTATTCGGTACGTCTCCACCCCCTCTTGTTATTCCACAATCGCTCCAACTTGAGGGCTCATATCCGACCCACCGCCAGGCCATATTGGAGATGCTACTTCCCCAACACCTCCGCCATAATCTACGTTATCGATTCCTCAGACCACGCCCGTCTCACAACTTCCCGCACCGAGCTCCTCACCATGCTTTCAGAAGAAGAACTCAAAGGCGTGCCGCTCCTTGTCTTCTGCAATAAACAGGACGTTGAGGGTGCTTTAAAGCCTGAGGAGATCAGTGAACAGTTGGGGTTGGCGGGAGGCGAGAAATCGAGGCCATGGAGTGTGAGAGGAAGCTGTGCGACCAAGGGCGAGGGCTTGGAGGACGGGCTGGATTGGTAAGTGTTTTCTCTTGCGATATGACGCGATATTCGTCTCGTATTGTTGTTGACCGACACCTGTAGGCTTGTTAATGCTATCACTGAAAAGTGATAGTCTTTATGATCCTAGGTCATTGCAGACTCTTTGATACCACGCCCAGTATTCACTATCACCATTTCCTCGCTGGGAGTGACCACATTACTTATAACTATTCGGAATCGTACACTTTGACGGGGCCCATTTATACCTTAATATATCTATATTCCGGGTGTTTAACGATTAACGGTCCTACAGGAGCCATACATGAACTATTGCGCAGATATCCTACGAAGATGACCAAGCCCAATTCCACCGGCTCTCTTCCGGATCTTCGAGACATTGGCGATACACATCGATATCTGGTCTCCATATCCGCACCGTTCCCTCGTCGGCACATGTAGCCAAAGCATCGTGCGACCAATCCACAGCACCCACTTCTCCTTCTTGGGCCTTTAACTCGACCGCAGGCGCCGGCACGCCAAAGGGACTGTTGGCGACATCGAACAGTGAAGCTTTCCCATCTGCACCTCCACTTGCTAACCATCTACCACACGGGGAAACCGATAGTGTGACATAGAACGAGCTTGAGTTGTTGTGCAGCCGGCTGGCGTTGGTATACGGTTGTAGAGTGGGAAGGGAGTACGTGTGGATGCGCGAGTCTGCACCGAGTGCAAAGACGAGCCCGGCTGTTGGTCCTCGTCCGGTTGTGATGCTCAAGATTCCTCTTGGTCGACGGGACCCGTGTAATGTGGTTGGATCCAACTCGGTGGAGAAGAGTTCAGCAGGTGCTTTCGGTTTCCCTCTCCCTTTACCCCTCCCTCGTTTGGAGGGGGTTCGGTCAGTGAGGAAACGCAGATCCCAGTACTTGAGCACACCGTCGGATGTCGCACTGCTAACGATCCCATAGGTGTGGCCTTCGGGGTAGAGGATGCTCGTAATTCCGGGCACTGGCAAGGATTTCTTCTTTGGGGCTTTCCGACCCTGCTTAGCCAGGTGGGCGCGCTGTATTGACTGGCACGGTTTGACGACTTGAAGCCCGTCTTCTCCATACGTCTCCCCCATTCGGAGATCCCAGACGTTTATCGTACCATCGCGACTTCCGGACGCGAGGAGATGCCTGTGCGCGGGATCCCAGGAGACAACCTTGACTGTACTGGTTTGACCTCTGAGAACATGAGTGATAGCTGAGGTTTCGATGTTGGTGATGCGGATGGATTGGTCACCAGAGCAGGTCGCTACAGTCTCGTCGTCTTCGCTCCATTTGACTTGAAAGACGCCATTTTGGTGAGAATGGAGTTTCTTTGTCGGTGGGGCTGGAAATAGACACATTGAGAACAGACAGTGTTGCAAGTCCAAGTTAGCTTACCGTCATCCCAATCGCGTCTTTTGGTAGTGTTGAGTATGGTCACGGTACCTTCTTCATCCGCCACTGCCAACAGAGACTCTGTACCATGTTTCGAGCCTTTGAACACAAATCAGTATTCCAGTACCATTGACTGCTGTGATTACATACGATTGGAGTATGCGCATGCGTACGGCGGCGTCAAGTACCGGTCTGGGTTCGTAGACGTGCATTTAAATACGTCTGCCTTGTGCGAGGACACGAAAGAGCGAAGAATGGGATTCGTCGATGGCCGTACTAGCAAACAAAGGGTCAATCAGCAATCTCAGGTATTGTAACTGAGATACTCACGTTTCTCGACATTTACATGACCTCCAGGCCTATTCAGCAACCTTGACTGCTGTTGGAAGGGATGCTGGGGTCGCTGGACCGCCATTTCCACGTCATCGTCCGAGTCTTCATAGTCGCTATCGCTACTTGACGCGTCTTCCGAGTCCAAGCTATTTGAGCTGAGCTCTAGTTTTATCCTTTTGTTGGGCCCAAAGCTGGTAAGAAGGGCTTGTCTCTTTGGTTTCTTCTCGTCTGGGGGTGTGAGGAGAAAGGACTTTAATGATGTTTGAACCTTGAGCCCCTTGGGTGGAAGGTTCGTCCGGTTTTCCAACGGCTGTTGGGGAGATGAACTTGGACTTGGCAACATAAGGAACGCGTTCGTGCAGCAGCGAGATTCAGGAAGTTGGTTTGTCAATATGCATTTCCAGCGCCGGTCGCGTCAGGACGCTCGGGATCAATACCGCGTGCGAACTTCAACGCGCCAGTCCCGTGATGCTGGTGTCGCGGTCGCACGTGGTTTTCGGTAGGCCGGCCGAAAATACTCCAAATCAATATTTCATTCTCTCGTACTCCAACCCGTCCTCGTCCCCACATACACGTTCAAAACCATGTTCCGTGCTCCCATCCGCAAGCTTACGACCGCTGCTACCAGGCAGTCACTCAAAATTGGCTTGATTCCTGCTGACGGTATCGGCAAGGAAGTCATTCCCGTATGTGTTTAGGTTTAGCTTCAGGTGAAGAAACGGAACGGGTGTGTTTATCTCAATTGGAAAACCAGGCTGCCAGAGCGGCTATTGTCGCTCTTGGAAATGATATCCCCAAGCCCGAGTTTATTGACCTCAATGCTGGATGGGAGACTTTCACGAGAACTGGCGTTGCTCTCCCGGAAGAGACCGTTCGGTGCGTTTCTTACATAATCTCTCTTAGATTATTTGCACTAATAATCTGGCTATAGCGTGTTGAGGGAAGAATGTGACTGTGCCCTGTTTGGTTCCGTCAGGTTAGCGGGTAGTCTTCGCCAGACCACTGTTCAAAGTTACTCAAGACTCTGCGTCATTTCTCTAGCTCCCCGTCCCGAAAGGTCACCGGCTATTCCTCACCCATCGTTGCTCTCCGAAAGGAGCTAGACCTCTATGCAAACATCCGGCCCGTCACCTCTGTGCGTCATTTTCTACCTTGGACACATCTTCCCCGCTAACCTAACCAAAACTAGGTTGCCCCAGAGGCCGGCCAACAACCTGCTGTTGACCTTATCGTCGTCCGGGAGAACACTGAATGCTTGGTGAGGCTCCACAACCTTTTTAGAACTTCTACAGAAAACCAACGTCTCCGGTAGTATGTCAAGCAAGAACAGCAAACCATTGGCGAGAACGGCAAGGAAGCTCGTGCGACCCGTCTCATTACCGAACGCGCCTCGCGACGGATCGGTCAAATGGCCTTTGAATTGGCTGCTGCCCGTCCCCGCAAGGTACGTTGTATCTTTACATCGTTTTCTTGCCTTTCCTGGGTTGCTGATTGACCTTTTACAGCACCTCACCGTCATCCACAAATCGAATGTCCTCTCGATCACCGATGGCCTCTTCCGAGAGACCGTCCGCGCCGTCCCCCGTCTCCCTGAAGTCAACGGCAAGTATGACGACGTGACTATCATGGAGCAGCTGGTCGACAGCGCCGTCTACCGGTGAGCAACCTCGAGTTCCTGACTTTGGAATTATTGGTTAATGATGCTTCTTCTCCAGCCTCTTCCGTGAACCTGAGTGAGTCCCAGTAACATCGCATACTATTGGCAGCTTTGTTGAATTTGCCTCTCTACAGGGTCTTCGACGTGATGGTCGCACCCAACCTCTACGGTGACATTATCTCCGACGCCGCTGCAGCCCTCGTCGGCTCCCTTGGCCTCATCCCCTCCGTGAACGCAGGTGACAACTTCGTCATGGGTGAACCGTAAGCCCCCTATCCCTCCTCTTCTTGACGCACCCATCAAAGCTAACCTTGCTCTCCTTCCAGCGTCCACGGTTCCGCACCCGACATTGAGGGCAAGGGCATTGCCAACCCCATCGCCTCCATCCGCTCTGCCGCTCTCATGTTGCGCCACCTCGGATACACCAAGGGTGCTGACCGACTTGACCTTGCTGTTGACCAGGTCATTAGGGAGGGCAAGTACTTGACTCCCGACCTCAAGGGCAAGAGCACAACCCGGGAGGTTTTGGATGCTGTCTTGGCTAAGATCTAGGCTGCAATGTTGCGATGTGGAGAGACTAGTTGGGTGGTGTTTACGAGGAGTCACGAGGATGTACGGCTCAACAAAATATAACATCGGTCTTGGTTTATTCTCGGATTAAGCTTGAACGAAGAACAGGACGAAAGTGGTTTTAATTTGTGTGTGAGTGTCCCAAGTACAGAGAAACCATGCAGCTCAGTTACTCGGTGGACACTCGCTGGAAAGTAGTCTCCACCCTCCAGCACGTCCATCCATGCTGGTACATGCAGAGTTCTCGTCGGCGTGTCTATCTTCTTGCTCATTCCGATCATCTAATTCCATAAGGTCGCAAGCCGTAGCGCCATCCCAGTCCGAATTTGAGACTACAGTTTCGGATGGTGGCGAGTTTTCGTCATCGATGCTATCATCGGGTTGCTGTCCTGCACCGTTGGAAGAACGCGGTGACTCCGAGCCGGCTGAGAGAGCTTCGTAGTCGAGGTCTTGGTTTACCAGAGCATCTGATTTGGCGTTAATGGAACTCGAGCAGCGCTCCATAAGCAAGCCCAGCGGTCGAACTTTCGGATCGAGTGATTCATAGTCGTAATGCAAGCCTAGCTCCTTCTGAATCGACACCATATTCGTATCGGATTGACCTCGAAGGTCATCCAGAGAGCTTGAGTCGCCCGCCGAAAGTCTCCGGAGTGATGCAGGAGGTGGGGGGATGGCACACCCGGGGGGACAGCTTGGATCTGTCCACCCTCGAGCTCCAAGCACAGGTGTGTACCAAGGAGCGTATAGATTCCAGCTGTAGGGGTTGGCCATCCCATAGCCGTACCCGCTGCCGGGTACTTCATAGCTGTACTTTGCAGCGGATTGATCTGGTTCAGATACTCGTTCCCGGAGGTGGTAAGCTCGGCCATACTTCTTGGCACCAGGCTGGTAATGCATGAATCCCTGTATGCGTCCAGAGTCCATTATCCTTTTGTTGTTTTTCTTCTTCGGAGCAGCATTTGGTCGAGACACTCCTCGAGTAGGCGGTTTGGGGAGGGCATGTTCATGCGCTTCCTCTTTGATCTGAGTGAACTGTGTTGCCACCGGGACCGGCTGCGACGCAAGCATTGCTGGATGAGGCATGCGTCGTTGAGGGGAGTGTGTTTGAGCGTGAATGGGTTCTTGTAAAAGTTCAAGAGCGCGGCGTAAAATATCGAAAGCTCCCTTTATATCTTGTCGCCTTCAGGTTGTAAACCGGGACACAAAGCGCCGCCACTGTTTCCTGCCATTGCCTTTGAGATAGTCATCAAAGACAAGCATTTCTAGGCCGAATACAAGTGAGCCCGTGTATTTGCTTACGGGTCAGTATATCACCTTTTCCATAATCCAGAGACAATCGAAAGACAAACGACGAGAGTTCACGACGAACTTGGATGGCATCCATTATAATCTCGTATCCCCATCAGGCAATTTGATTTTGGCACTCGCGGCCCGCTTTGCGCGCTCGTTCTCTCCCTTTCTTCACCTTTCCTCGCTCCTCGAAAGGCTCCCGGAAACCCTACCATGTCTAAGACCACATCCGCGGTAGATAAACCACCCAAATCTAAAAAAAGTAAATCCAAGTCCAAAGACTTGGAACCGACCGAGGACGCAATGGACGTTGACACTCCACCCAAATCGTCTAAATCGTCTTCGAAGAAACGCGTGCTGGAAGCTGCTATGTCTGAAAACGTGGATACGCCAGAGCCTCCCAAGAAGAAAAAGAAGAAGGACAAGGAGGAGAAGAGTAGCAAGAAAGATGTGGAAGCTGAGGGTGCGTCTATGCACTTGTTGCTTGATTCGAATGGTACTCTGGCTTACTATCCGCTCATTCATACTCTGGTGTTGTAGGCGCAGATGAAGACGATTCCCTGAAAAAGAAGGAGAAGAAAGAAAAGAAGGAGAAGAAGAAAAAGAGGAAGGATGGTGAAGGTATGCCTACCACCGTTGGTCCATTCCATGTTCTAACTGTCTATTTCTCCAACAGAGTCCAAACCTGAAGTTCCCATAGAACTTACCACCTCCGGCGAGCCCTCTACGAATGCTGTAGAGCCATCTTCATCTAAAAAGGACAAGAAAAAGTCCAAAAAGACTAAATCTCGCCATGAGGACGAAAGTCAAAAGGCAGAGAGTCCTTCTTCCCCTCCTCCTCAGGGAGAGTCAGAGAACACTTCAAAAGAAGCAATGCACGTAGATCCTCCATCTTCTCCCTCCAAACCCAAAAAATCCAAAGACAAATCCAAAAGGTCTTCCAAGAAATCTAGTGACCCTGCAGAGGCGCCCACTGCGACCGAAGAACCCAGTCCATCCCAACCCGACACTACGTCCGCATCCGCACCCTCACCGACGAAAAAGAAGGAGAAGAAATCCAAATCAGAAAGGAAAGCAGCCCCTTCTTCCTCATCCAAACCCGACGCCTCTTCCTCCGAAACCTCCAAGCCCAAACCCCCTCCTCGACCCAACACCACGCCCTTCCCCGACCCATTACAGGACGAGTCTCTCTCCACTCAAGCATCGAAAGCATTAGACTATGCTTTCACCCAATTCAACGCGCCGTCGGAATGGAAATTCAATAAAGCAAAGCAGAACTGGCTAGTGAGGAACGTATGGAACGTGGATTCTGTGCGTTCTTCTCGTCTTTTACACGTGCTTTCAGCAGTCGTCGCTGACGGTGTTACGATTCTACCTTCACAGGTCCCGGAGGCCCATTTCCCAGTCACGCTCAAGTATCTCTCCAATATCCAGGGTGGTTCTCGTCAGGTTCGTGTCCACCTTCTCTTTCTCCTGATCTGCGTTGTTCATTTTCCACAGAAACTCAAGGAAACTTGCTCATCTATAATCAACCCCCCTGTGTCCGCAGCGCCAGCTGTAGCTATAGACCCGACCGGCCAACCTGTAAAGTCTATTTTGAAGACGCCAACTACCGCGACCAATGAAACTGCAAAACCCAAAGCTGGACCACTGATTGAAGCATCCCAAGCAGGCGCTCTTATTGAACCGTCCAAGCCCGCCGTCGACCACAAAATGGAACGCGCAAAGGCAATCCTGAAGATTCTCGGAGAGTCGTAATGACATGCCTTCCCTGGAAATACCGCCTCTTTCGTGGTTATTCATGTAGACGGCAGAAATACACTACATTGATTGAATCGAACAAGAAGCTCAGTCACACAGATGTAAGGGGGTGCGTATCCACACGCCAAAAAATCAGATTCCATCCTCCTCCAAACCATATCCAACGGTATTATATCTAGTACAGGGGCAAAGTCACGACGAAGACATAGACAGGCGGTGCAGATGACCGGATAATCGAAGCAGAAAACAGCCTTTCACCAACACGAAGTGAAGGTGAAAATTCGAAGAAAAGGAATACGGGGGGTGTTACCAACGAAGGGTACTATACGAAACCTACCACGACAGATCCACTCAGACGCTCAATACGCGCACTTAAGCAGTCTGAGCTTCAGCAGTAGCAGTATTCCCCATCTCCATCTGTCCTACAGGTACACTAACACCGCTCTGCCTCAACTCGCCCTTGGTCGTAGTCGTGCCAGTGACGAGTTCGACTCCTCCCTCGGCCAGCACCACGGTCCTGTTCGGCTGAAGCTTGCCTTCAATGGGGCCAAGAAGGTTGTTGAAGATGTTGCGAGCGGCGGTGACAGCGTTCGCATCAACGATGGGCTTGTCGCCGTTCCTCAAGGTCTTGGGAGTCGTGCCGGTGGTGAGTCCGAGCTGGTCCTTGGTCCAAATGGGTTCGACGTGGTCGGGAGCTCCTTCCATTCCAACAGAAGCACGTCCACCAAGTCGCTTCCAGTCCGCCAAGCGGTTGATCGAAAGTTCAGTGAAGACTTGATCCACAGCGGAAACGAGTCGGTCCATTTGCTCAACCGTGTGCCGAGGAGTGACCGTGAATCGAAGACGCTCTTCGCCGCGAGCAACAGTTGGATAGTTGATGGCCTGGACATAGATGTCGTGTTCCGCGAGAAGTTTGTCCGAAGCAGCCCTGGCCAATTCAGGATCACCAACAAGGACAGGGACGATGTGCGAGGGGCCGGGGCTATAATTTTTCCGCATCAGAATCCAGTTGTCATAACAAATGGAATAGGGGGAAAACTCACATGACGGGAATATCCAATTCAGCGAAGCGTTCCTTTACCCGAAGAACATTGACTTGCTTGAGTTGACGATCACCGACATAGTGTTTCTGGTAGGCGACGGAGGCGCGAGCACCAGCGACAACGGAAGGAGGCAGGGAAGTCGTGAAAATGAAACCGGGAGCGTAGGACCGAATCATGTCGACGAAATCAGCAGAACCAGCGATATATCCACCGACAGCGCCATAAGCCTTTCCGAGAGTACCTGAACAGCGATTTGAGCCACCAGATTATTCAAGCATTGCAACAGTCACGCACCAGTGATAATGTCAACCCTATCCATGACAGAGCCAGGGATGGCTTTGCCACTTTGTCCGGCAGCCGCATGGGCCTCATAGTCCAAGTGTTCTGCAACACCAGCGCCTCTGGGTCCGTACAAACCGACCGCATGAACCTGTTGTCGATGGAAAGAAAGGAGCAATAGCGATTAACAAACATCCGGGGCGAGGTAGTGAGGTGACAAGTGACGTACCTCGTCCAAGAAGGTAAGAGCACCGTACTTGTCAGCCAAGTCGCAAATTTCCTTAATGGGGCCAATGCTGCCGCACATGGAATAGACGCTCTCAAATGCAATGATCTTTGGGGTTTCCTTTGGATATTGCTTCAATTTATTCTCGAGGTCTTCAAGGTCATTGTGCTTGAAAATATGACGTTTGGCAAGCGAATGACGCATGCCTTGGATCATCGACGCATGGTTCATCGAGTCGGAGAAGTAGACGCAGCCGGGAAGCTTGGAACCAAGCGTAGCGAGGGTCGCATCATTTGCCACGTAGCAGGAAGAGAAGACAAGAGCGGCCTCCTTGCGATGGAGATTGGCTAGCTCCCGTTCGAGGGCCAAATGCATAGCTCCATTGCCTGCAATGTTGCGAGTACCACCGGCACCATGACCGTACTTGTCAAGAGTGCGACTAAAACTGACGTGAGCAATGATGATCCACCTGCAGAGAAGAATGGTACGCACTGCATCGTCTCGAGTACAACGGGATTGTTACCCATGCCGAGATAGTCGTTGGCACACCAGACCTCTACTTCATCGCTTACTCGACTGGTGTGAGCAATGGGGAACTTGGCTGCGAGCCTGTTGATGTTGTTGAAGTAGCGGTAGGACTTGTCCTTGTGTTTCTTCTCCAACTCCTCCACGTAGAACTTGTCGTAATTGAAGCCAGTGTGCTTGGCCTCGGCGCGGACTTCGGAGGCGGCCTTTTGGTGGAAGGGACAGCCGGCAGCGGCAGCGGTAGCAGCCTCATCCTTGGTCGCGGTAGACTTGTGAGCCTTGTGAGCATGAGCAGCCTTGGACTTTTTGGCGACGGCAGCAGCAGCAAGGTCTTCAGCCATCCTAGCGGCAGCACGAGCGGCGGACGCATGGGGGCACATCTCGACGGTAGCGCCTGGAGGTGGGTGGACACCCTTGGCCTTGTGGATGCTGTCGACGTCGCCGTTGGCAGCAACGCTAGCGTAGCCGGCGACGATTTCCTTGGACCTGACGTTGAGGGCGGGGCCCATGACGGGGCACTTGGTGGCGCGCTCTGTGAGGGCTGTGAGGGACGGGAAACGGGGCGACGAGCTGGTTGACAAAGTGCGGAGGGTCGTCGTCTTTGTCCTGCCCAGGAATGGGCAAGACTTCTTGAAACGAGTAAAGGACTGGAGCTTGTCCATTGTGGTGAGAACCGGGGGAGAAAGAGCACAGATCCAAAAAATGCGAACCCGACTTTTATTATAACGGATCGCACACTTTCGGCGACCAATCATCGCGCGACAATTATTTATCACCTGATTAATTCCATCACGCGGCTAATCTTTCTCCGATGACAATCCCGACAAAATTACCATTAGCTGCAACTATCATACCCTACTTAGACTACTCTCAAGAACATCAACAGCAAAGTCTACTTCATCCTTGCTCACATTCAGGCTCGGCACAAAGCGGATCGCGTCTTTGCCTGCAGTAAGCATAAACACTCCTCGCTCTCGTGCCAGCTGCACAACCTTGCCGGGTACCTCTGTGTCCTTGAATCCGATCCCCAAAATAAGCCCGCGCCCACGGACGTTCTCTTGGAGAAGCTCAGGGAACCACTTCGGGAGCTGCTCCAGACGGCCACGCAGATAGGCACTGGTTTCCAAAACATGACTCTTCATCGCGGGCTCGCTTAACCGGCTCAGGACGTGGTAACCAACTGCGCAGGCGAGGGGTGAACCGCCAAACGTGGTTCCATGGGTTCCTGTCATCGAAATTAGTAACTTGACATCCCCGGAGTTGATAACAGTTCCACATACCCGCACCCATCGTCTTTGCGATCTCTGGCCTGATCAACACCGCGCCGATGGGGTACCCATTCGCCAATGGTTTGGCCATCGTAACAATGTCAGGATGGCAGTCGACTGGGTACTCGGAGTGTGCCCAGAGCGTGCCAGACCTATACAGCCCACACTGTTCAGGCACAGACACTCCGTCAGCTCTCCGAACCGGTACCACCTAAATCAGAAACTTTACCTGGATCTCGTCGAAGATCAATACCGCTCCGACTTCGTTGCACCGTTTCCGAAGTGCTCGCAGCCACTCCAGGCTCGCAGCATTGATGCCTCCTTCACCCTGCACCGGTTCGACAATGACGGCACAAGTATCCTGGTTGACCAAACTGTCCAAACCCTCAAATTGGTTGACCTTCCCCACAGCAACTCCCGGGATCAAAGGCGCAAATGGAGCTTGGTATTTGGGGTTGGGCGTAACGCTAAGGGCGCCCATGCTTCGACCATGGAAGCCGTTCTCGAAGCAGACGATTTGACTCTTGCCATCGACACCACCCTCTTTGCCGAATTTACGGGCGACCTTCAAGGCACCCTCATTTGCCTCGGTCCCCGAGTTGGCAAAGAAAACCTTGGGGACCTGGTCCCCATTGACGTTATCTGAGCTGGAACTGGGGGAAAACCCGAGACCGCCTTCTTTTTGGGTAAGGGTGACAAGTAATTCCGCGAGCTTTCCGGCCCATTCATTGTGGTAGACGTTGCTAGCATGGAGAAGCTTCCCAGCCTGTTCTGCCAGAACCTGTGCAATTCAAAACGCAGTTAGTGCACTGAATGTGTGGGTAACGAGATCGCAGTAAAAAAAAGAGCTGAAACGAACAGGACAGCGACATGAATGCAGGCGATTGGAAGCCGCAATTACTGCCCATTCCCGTAACCCCAAACGAGATTCCCGAAACGAATGGTGTAAACTGGTGTTCGATTCCGCGTAACTGCGAGAGAAGAGGAGATATAGATCATCTCAACCCGGAGTGAACATACTCTCCACGGTGATTATCACCCATTGGGCAGCATTTCACATCATATAACATAACCTCGACCCTCTACCCAGCCGGTAAACAGCATATCCATGCCCGTTCTCGTAAAACTCAATGATGACTCGGAAACGCCACAATGACCAAAACCAAAAACCGCGAATGAACAAACTCACCTTCGTGACGCCCTCATCCGCGTGCCCCAACGAGTTGACAGCGATACCGGCCGTAAAGTCCAAGTATTTCTTGCCATCTACATCCCAAACCCACGAGCCTTTCCCTTTTTCCACAATGAAATCAGGTCGAGCGTAGACAGGGAGTAGGTAGGTGCTTCCCCGGTCTAGGAAAGCCTGGGTCTTGGCGGAAGGCTTGGACGCAACGTGGGTTGGTTCAAGGTAGGTTTTGCAGGGCTGTCGTTCGGTGTTTCATGAATGGGACGACGAAAAGTAATCAGGTTAATGCAACCAATGTCCTGACCAGAAAGAACTGCTTACCTCTGTTCGAGCTGTCGCGTAGAACCGCCTGGCAGTGGAAGCAGCGTAACCGCGAGTGTAACGAGTAACTGTTGTTCGCAGCATTTTCGATTGTCGGTGTGTCCGTAGGGTATAAGAATGTTATTCAAAAATTGAACTGGGAAGATTCAAAAGAGATCTATGTCGAGATCTCACTGTGGGAAGCTGTCCCCGTGATTATCACGGGAATTCCGATTCCGGACCGTGAAATTAACGCCGGTGACCGTGATCCGAAGACCGTGATTGCAATCACGGCCGTTGCCGACCTTGAGCTTTCACGTCCGTTGCCTTGCTGGCCGTTATGTTCACGTCCCCGTCTGCCAGGGCGTGAAGATTCACGCCCTGCCTTTGCCACAGCCCGTGATCTTTCACGCCAACCTTCAGCATTACTGCCCGTGAATTTTCACGGTGTTCTCAAAAGCTTTCATCTGCGACCCTCCACCTCCGACATTGAAGTCGTGAAATTTCACGCCCTGCTTTCACGGTCGACCATTTACATTCACGGCCCCCTCTCACCTTTCTGGCAGCTGCTGCCGCGAGCCGCGGATGTACTGGTAGCGCCAAACTGTCAAATGTGCGTGCGCCGAGGCCCTACAAAACCACCCGACGTCTCGCCCAAGCCCTCGCCTTCCGTGTGCGCAACCTTCTTCCGCCGTGCTGCAACATTCGACTCCTGCCCTACCCTCAGAGTGGTGGTCCACCACAACCCAGAGCACAGCAACGCACCACAATCACACCTCAACGACCCTGGGCACCTTTTGGATGGATAGCGGTCATGGATGGACAGATGGCACGAAGACTCCCCGAGACCCTGCGGTGAAGGCACCTGCAACTCGGGAGGAGTGCCATTGGTCTGTCTTTTGCTGCTCCCCGGACCTCACGTGCCCAGGCCCTGTTGAGTGTTTTTGGCAACCGCCGGTGCCCCGCTGCTCTCTGCCAACGCCTGCATTGCTCTCTGGCACGAGGCGCGTGCACGCGCATGGTGCGCTATGGTGTGTATTAACCGCTGAAATCTCTGCAGGGTCTCAATTGAACTGACTTGGAAGTGCTAGATTGATCCTCGACACGGCGAACGGGTGGCGTAATTCCTGGAGACATGCGCTCGATTCTCTTTCGAGGCTTCCTTGTCTCTCTCTCTCTTCCCCTACTTGGAAATCCAATGTGTCCGACTCATTCGGAACTGGATTCATCCTCATTCCCGTGCGTAGGCTGGTGATTGCGCCCCACTGGCCAACTTGCAAAGCCCATCCCTCCGATTTGGATCAAGAGCCGGCAGTCCATTACCGACCTTTGTTTGGTGTCCGGTTTCTTCTTCCCAAGCATGTCTGCTACATTGTCTCTACATACCAATATACATCTTGCCCATTTACTCTTCTTCATCCTCCTCATCGACGTCGACATCAAGCACATCCCCATTCTTTACATTCAGCTCATCAAATGTTGGCAGTGCGGCGTCAAACTGGTCAATGATCCACCATGTGTTCCCGCGCCGTTGTCGTCCAACAGCAGCAGTAATGCTGCGAACATCGATGACGACTGGCGCAAGGAGCTGGTCGTACCCAGTTGGCTCCAGTCGTGCATCGGTGCTTTGTGTTTGACATGGCGTAACAACAGCTAGCAGATGTGTCTTGCCCGCGTGGTTCCCGAACAGTCGGTGATTTGGCAAGGTGCAGACAAGTATCAACGAAAGTTCGCCGTACGATACGACAGTAAATTGTCGTCCATCTTGCCCCTGATACTCAGACTCGTACTGTGCAACGGAGTCAATTAACCAAATGGTGAATGCAACATGTCCCAATACGCACTCGAACATATGACGTGAGGCGTTGGCGGTGCCTCAATGTCTTCTCGGAGACCATCTCTGTGCGGACTGTGGTGCGACCACCATTTATCCTCAACTTTCCCCAAACATCCATGGACGTGGGGAGGTGTCTCTTGATCCTTGCAACGCTTGGATTGTCCAGTAGGACTAGGTGCCAGTAATACGCCACTTGGGCCAAGTGATTGTTGGAAAGTTCATGGCCGGCGCGGTACGGGAAAAGCATGGTGTGGTCGGGATCTAAACGCTGGTGAGCAGCCTGCCATCTGTGAAACAGAGAGTGTACCAACATGACTCATATTCCTTTTCTCCTCTAGAAAGAGCGCCTCTTTTTCCTGTGGCCAGCCGGAGAATGTCTGCCATTTCGTCGTGCAAGTCAAACCGAACCCGTATTTGGTTTAGCCAACACGTATAGACGTTCCATTTGTCTAGGTTAGCCCATGGATACCGTTTTGATTTGAGGGCGCGCTTTGCTAATCCGCAGAACCGTTCCATAAAGAACGTCCACGTTGTCCAAGTTGGTCCACATTGTCGGATGTCGTCCACGATATGAAGGAGGGCATGGATAGTAAGTGTGCATGTTTTGAGACGATCTGCTTCGTACTGATAGTAGTATCTGGTGCTATAGCTTAGTATCATTCTGAACTTGCTATTGGTAAGCGCCATACCTTTCGTACTTCTTCACCCAGTCAACAATGTCTCTCTCCAGATCGTCCAACTCCTTCTCCGTAATCGAGTACTTGAGTGATCGCTTCATGATATCAACAAGAGCACACATGTGAGTGTAGTACTTTTGCTTCTTGAATCGACCTTTGAGACAAATTGGCGCGATGTAGATGAACCAAAAGCACCAGCTCTCGGCAGTAAAGTACTGTCGCTCTTTGATGATGTTGCCAAGAACACGCACAAACGTGGCAGGTATATTCCGCACCGCATCGGCTGTCTCCTCCGCAATCTTCTCCCATACAACTGGATCGATTTCGTAGTCTTCCATCCCTGAATCGAGGTTCTTGTACCGCCCCATCCATAACGACACCAGATTGGGAATGACATTCTCAAGAAGGAGGTGCATCCAGTCGTGGGGAGCCGATTTGGAATAGTCGATAGAGCCAACACGACCAAAGGCAGCACGTCGCCGTATCCCAGTACCCTTCGCAATCCGCTCCTGTTCCGCTTTGGTAGTCGCACCCTCAATAGCATCACAAGCCGCTCCAAAATCGTCATGAGTGCGAAGGGGTAGAGCGAGCCCATTGCGTGCGTCATTTTTGGTTGCTGGTCTGGGTGGCCTCAGCGGGATATAGTAGATCTTCTCCCCTCCCTCCTTGTTACGAATGCCTTGGAGCTTGCAGGACCGGCATGGAAAGAGTGAGTTGTGTCCCTTGATTCCCAACGCCTTCTCAATTGCCACCATATCCCCTAGTTCAAAGAGCTGGTAGCCACGAAGAGTGAATGGCTCGTAATCATCATCACTCAGAGCGCACTCTGCAGGGACTCCACGTGCCAATTGCTCGATTTCTTCCTCCAACGGCCAAGTGAAAGATGCAAGGTCCTTGGGTTGGTTCGGCCCAGGGATGATTCCGCAGCAGACAAGATGTTTGGCATGGGTGCGGATAGAAGGAGGGAGATTGTATATTTGGATAAGAAGGGGGGTTGCAGACGGGCCACTTGAACGATGCCGGTCGAAGAGAAGGAACCCATCCACACAGACAGAAAAGGCAATGTCGCGTTCCCCAGAGAAGTATGTGTGGTCCAACGTCTCGCCATCTACCTCAACCTTCTTCCCCAGTAGGCCGCGGTAAAGTGAGCCGTCAAACACATCTTTGATGCGTTCCGGTCCGGTAATGTCAAAGTTGTTGCGGTATTGAAGCAGTTGAGCCATTTCCTGGCTCTCGTACATGGCCCGAATGCGGGGGATAAATGGTAGGAAGGACCAGGTGTTAAGGGCGTCTCCATTATCATCCCATCGGGGTGCTCCACAATACGTGCAGGCATCGAGCAATGCATTACCCGCTGTAAAGGCCATGCAGTTGTTTTTGCAACAGTCGTACCTGACTGGTACAACATCTCCTAGTTTGGAAACCCGTCGAGGGATGGCATCAAGGCTGCGGATGTTCATGCGATGGCGGAAAATACGACGCATGAAATTGAATGATTCTCGGGACATTTTGGACATGAGCTGAAGTTGGAATGCACAAATGTCGTCCACATCATCTTGTGTTAGTTCATGTCCTTCGAAATAGCTGTCAGATCTGTGTTATAGGATAATTGTCAAGCTTACTGGGTCGGTAGTACCTGCCGCTATCTGGGAGATGTGGATCGGCGACCACGTCTGGATCCCAAACATCGAAAAACTCATCCTCTTCATCCGACTGTGAAGGTGGGCTTTATCTAGGTTAGTATGTGTTTAAAAATTGATCAGAAATAGTTCATACAGAATATTGACACTCTCTGCTTCATCAGAGGTAGTCCTTGCATCGAGATCCAAGTCGATCGACTTTATCAATGGAATCAATGGTAAATAAATATTTTCAGGAAAGGGAAGCTGACCATATGTGATACATCACTTTCTAGTTCGCTCATCCCACTATCCTCCTCTTCAAGTTCTTCATCATCTCCGATACTCTCCGCCTCTTGGAGCTCTTCATCGTCAATGGCACTCTCCTCCTTCTGTCCTTCCGACTCGGACTCGGTGGGTGTCACTGTTTGTGACGATAGAATCATTGACTCATCGTCAACATCGTCGTAGTGGCGATCCCGTTGGCGTGCTCCCAGTACTGCATTGCAGTGCGGTGTACAGCGACATCGTCTGGGTTCAGTCTTGTCCGAGCGTCTGGGCATTGTGTGGTTGGTCTCTGGGCGAAGGACTTGTACTAAATCAGGGCAAGTTTCTTGATCGTAGGATTGATGGACAGAGCGGAGAATCCCGAAGTCCACGTGATATTGGCGCGTCAATCGGTCGCGCACGCCAGACTCTGCGACTTTCTTTCTTTCTTAACCCTCAACCGCTACCATATTCCTGCCACACTATTGTCAATAATGCCTAAGGCACCCACCAAGGCGAGTGTTCTCTATTCTAGGTTTCCTTCTGTCCTAATCCTCCAGCATAGAAGCTGCACCGAGCAGGATCTTACAGTAAGCCCGCAAGGGCGCTGACCTGCTTATATGCGTCTAATTTTGCTTGATTTTCAAGAAAAACACGCTTCAGGGAAGGAGAATGCTGGTCTTAAGCCAAGGCCTTTAATCAGGAAGCCCAAAGGGGCGATGGGTGTCACTTGGAAACCGTGGGCCATGCTGGGCCTTTCTGAGGGAAGTCGACGATACAGGCGATTTCTTGTAAGTTTTCTCTATTTACACCCTCTAGACACTTGAGTCTAATGTAAACACCCTTTAGGATCGGCTGCGCAAGATCACAATCAAGCACCTCAATCCTACAAAGCGTTGGAGCTTCCAGAACCACAATGCCTGCCAAGTAGCACTGACAGAGGTGTGTACGCCTTCCCTCATGGTCCAAAACACCCTGGCTTAGCTGTTTTCCAGATCATGGAGGCCAATCCTGAGATCCGCTGGGATAAATTTGACGGCCCCTGGCTTCCGAAGCAGCTCGTCATCCAGTACCTCGACAACGCCACAGGCTACGCCCTCCGTCAAGCAAAGAAGCTTCAGCTTGAACAGTCTGATTCTGAAGAACTATCGGAACTCGTTGCTAGTGAAGATGAATCAGACATGGAGGTACCTAAGAAGAGCTCGAATAAGGTGTGTATTCCACGCTGTATACACAATGTAGCAATTCCAATCATGTCTTTTTTAAGCGTCGTCGCAGGGACGAGGAATCCGAGGAATCCGACCAAGAGACCCGCCCCCCTCTCAAGCGTTTACGCAAGCCAGACGGAACCACGGCTGCCACCAAGTCTAAAACCAACTCCGACAAGAAGTCCCATTCCAAGCGTGCTGAAGCCAAGGAGAAGCCCAAGTCGGCCCAGCCAAAGCCTTCCAAGCCTATGTCCAACTCAACCGCTAGTGCAACAACCACCGCCGTATCGAAGGCAGGCTCCAAGGCCACTCCCAAGTCCAGCGCCAAATCCGCAAAGTCTACGTTCAGGCCATCAACCACCGCATCCAAGGCTGGCTCCGACTCCGCTTCCAAGTCCAAGTCGCACTCTGTCAGTGCAGCAACTATCGCTAAATCCAAGTCAGCTTCCAAGCCAGCAGATTCGTTGAAGGCTCTGTCTGCCGCCATCCCTAAGGCCTCAGAAGCTGCACCACCCAAGATCAAGATCCGTATCCCGCGACCACGTACCGACCCTACTCCTGCTGCACCACCTGCTGCACACAGCCGTGTCTTGAGGTCTCGTAGTGCCAAGCAGCTGGTATGTTCGACATTTAGTTTCAACCCTTCTCAGAGCTAACTGTTGATTCAGATTCTTCCGGATAGTTCAGAATCCGAATCTGATGAGGACATGCCATTGTCGGTAATTTTTATGGCCAAGAAACAAAAGGTATGCCCTCGTTCAGTGTATGGCGCTCATCATCTGACCTTTTATGAGGTCCCGGCGGGTGATGGCAAGGAAAGCAAAGGTATGGATGACAACGGCGAGGGTGAGGGTGATGAAGGCGAGGGCGAGGGTAGTGAAGGCGAGGGCGAGAGTAGTGAAGGCGAGGGCGAGGGTAGTGAAGGCGAGGGTGAGGGTAGTGAAGGCGAGGGTGAGGGTGATGAAGGTGAGGGTGAGGGTGATGAAGGCGACGGCGAGGGTAGTGAAGGCGACGGCGAGGGTAGTGAAGGCGAGGGTGACGGTCATGGCAACGAGGGTAGCTCGGGTGAGGGAAATGAAGGAGGGGGCGATGAAAGTGAGGAGAAAAAGGGTGATGGAAAGGATGACGATGACGATGGAATCAACGATGGCGAGAGTGAGGAAGACGAGAATGCTCTGCACCCCAATGTCTACAAGAAGCTTCCCAAATGGTGTTTTTCGTGCAGAAAGGCTGGCATTGACCATAAATTCCCAGACCCCATCCCCGACTCAATCCTACAACTTCTCTCTTCGCGCCTCCGATTTCTTGATCAGGGCCGATCGGTCTTGATGTTGGAATGCGACATTTGCCGGGAGCTGAAGTTTGAGGAAGACACGGCCGAGATCATAGCCTTGTTTACTGACAGGGGCTGGCCTGTGGACCCAGATTTTTCCGCTCTCCCTGGACGAGTCATAGAGCTGTACGACGAAGCTCTCAAATTCATCACCGGTGAAGAGTCTATCGAGGATCATTTCCTGTATACCGCGTTGGAAAATCTGGTACCCAAACACAAAGGGATAAGTATTCTCAACAAGGGACGCGCGACTCAAGAGGTTTCCGCCTTCATGCGGGCAGGATAGTGAGTGATGTTGTGGTTATTTCTATGGCTATGGCTCACTCTATTTTCTTAGCTACGGGGAGCCTGGCACCTCTGTCATTTCAAGCACGATTCAACACTTGTTTGGCAACCTCCCAATTCTCAAAATGTACAAGGCCAACAGTCCTCTCCTCGCCCACCGCTTTGTCCAGTATTTCATTAACGCCTGGGTCATCAATCGGCTCATCGCCGATGACCTCGGTATAACAGAACTGGAAGCCTTGGCTGTGACTGAGGAGTCTGCACCGAATGGCTTTATTCTGCATCGCAACGTTGATTATGACTCCTTCGACAGAGGCATCCGACATGCAGTTCGCAGATTTGAAGCAGTGGGTTACATGAACTTGCATCCCTTTATACGATAGTTTTCTAACAATTTTCCAGGCTGCTTCCGGCACTGCCTCAACGGGGAAAGCCAGGCCCCGTCCTATGCCTATGGGGTCTCGAAAGTGACAGGACTGTCGTCTGTAGTCTGGAATAAGGCTCGCTTTTTGTTTCCCCGCATTTTTTCTGATCACTGACGTCAATTTCGTACTCCAGCTCCAGACAGTGCGGTGTGCTACTCGACTCCTGCTTCATGCTTCATGCTCATTCTGCTGTTATTGGCCTTTTGCGTCCGCAAATCGCTTTCAAGACTCGTTCACCCTTTGCTTCGTATTCTAGGTAACGTATCAAGTCCCTATTGTTATGTGATATTCAGCCTTTCTTCTTACTTTACACACTTCAACTTAATAACCCCCTTTGCTCGTTCACTTTCATTTGGATGCCCCATTGCCTTGTTCGATGCTTTGAACCCCTTGGACACTTTAGACACTTGGCATGCGACATTTTGGACGCTTTTACCTGTTGTACCAGTACCTGTCACCACGCTTCATTGTAAAGCTACCCCCTGAATTTTCACGGCCTGTTTCCACCTTATTTTCACGGCCTGTTTCCACCTTATTTTCACGGCCTGCTCTACACCTGAATTTTCACGGCCTGCTCTACACCTGAATTTTCACGGCCTGCTCTACACCTGAACTTTCACGGCCTGCTCTACACCTGAATTTTCACGGCCTGCTCTACACGTGAGTTTCACGGCCTGCTCTACACCTGAATTTTCACGGCCTGCTCTACACGTGAGTTTCACGGCCTGCTCTACACCTGAACTTTCACGGCCTGCTCTACACCTGAATTTTCACGGGATGGTCACCTCATTTTCACGGTAAAGGACGGTTAAAATGTCGCCTTCACGGCTCTTGACCGTGAAATTCCCACTCACATTAGGGTACCACGGGCGCAGGATACCAGGACGTCCGTTAATATTCACGGCCTTGTACCCTTAACAGAGGGCCGTGAATTTCACCGGGGCGACTTCCCACAGTCGAGATGGAGCCGGTTCTAGAGGCCAAAGTCGGGGCCGAGTCAGAGGAGTGACTGGATGAACGCGGAAGATGGGCCACAGAGACGCGTTGCTGTCGTTGCTTTAAAACCGCGAAAGAAGAGTTTGAGTCACCACTAGAATCTGACTCGAGGAACAGGAATACAGAGCAACTCACAGCAGCGGACGGCGAATTGTGCGCACGGTAGTAGGCGTGGGTGTGGTGTGCAAGTCCGAAAGATGCGAACCCGTTGATGCGAATTTTTTATCAGATAAATGCCCATCTTATCGAAGGGCATGTGATATATATATATATATATATATATATATAGATTAGATAAACCTTCCGGCGCTTGTCGAGGCCCTTTGGCGCCTTTTTTCAAATGTCTGGGCTCATGGAAACGACAATGTGAATTTGAGAAATGAATATACTGAGTACAGAAGTCAGCTTTAAGAGTGGACTAGTAGTCCTCCTCGGATTCGGAAGAATCATCCGCCTGTCCTTCATCCCCGTTCTCTCCCTCTTCCTCGCCATTCCCGAGTCGGGTCTTCGCATCGGGGACCTCAACCGTCAGAACCAAGCTCCCGTAGACATAGCCCATCGACGCCTCATTCCCATACGCCATATATGCAGTCTTACTCGCCATCAACCAATTCGGCCTGGTCAACCACAACACCGCCTTACGTCTGCTGGACCTCCCTGTATCTGTCAGACTCTTGACCTGCGCACCCGTTTCCAGCCAGTACGCTTTCCAGTCTTCTTCTGCGTTTTCTTGGTCGACGCGTTCGGCATATTCGTCCATCGACGAAGTGTACCTGTTGGTGAGATACATCGAATGGTAGCTATCCATGCGGCGAACAGAGGGTGTGTCTGAGGACCCCATGTTGCCTTCCTCGTATCCGTAGAGTGCCTTGACCTTGACTTTATACCCAAGGTACTGACACACCCTCTCGATGAGCGCGTCTCCGCCCTTCAACACCCCTTCGAACGCCCGATCAACGTCCTCGTCCGCCTTTGGCTCTATGGGATAGAAGTGGGTCAACCCAAAACCAACGATGCCGCCACTGGGTAAGATCTCGGGTCTACTGAGGAATGCTTTCATCGCGGCGATGAGGGTCACCTCGGCAGGGGAAAGGGCGATATCGATCCTGGCACGCGATGACAGGGGGTCCTGCCCCTTGCGGCAGTAGAGATTATATGTGACGGTGACACGGTAACCAGATTTAACAGGGGTGACTTCGTGCTCGATGTCGCTGTAGAAGGCGGCGAACGCCAGCCTGTGCATGGTGACTTCGATGCCATCAGTTGCGAGTGAATTTTCGGACTTGGACACCATCTCAGCGGAGTTGAACTGCCATTTCTCCTCGCCAAGGAGGAGGTCGCCACCTTCGTGCTCGGTGGGGAGGACGATGACGAGGGTAGCGAGCATGTCGCGGTCTCGGGGGGTGTCGACATGAGGCTTGAAAAATGAGCCAGGACCTGCTCGAGCACAACGACGAAAGTTGTGTCAGAACACTTCGCCATGGAAACAAAGTATTCGCGTACCATAAACGTTCATCTTGTCCAGGTGAGCTTCCAAGGTGTGTCGACTGTTCCCATACTGAAGCAACGCCTCTCTCACGGTGCTTAGGATGCCTGAAGATGCGATATCGAGTTGGGTGGCAAACCTCGATGCATCTAACTTCCAGGCCTTGCGGTAGGACTCGTCGAGGACGTCTTCATTGCCTCGACCAAATTTGGCGGGCTCGCAGACACTGACGAGGTCTTCAAGCTGAGTGTTGTCGACGCCGTTGGGACTGGCAAAATCGATGAACCTAAAGGAGGCGGCCACCGGTTAACAATACAGCAAAACAAGGGAAGCACAAGGGAACGCATACATACCCTACTTTATCGCCACTCTTGTTGCTGTAAAAAAGCCTGGCCTTGCCCGGCTCCAAATTATACGTTCCAGAGCAGTGGCGCGTCACGAGCAGCTGCTCTATCTTCTGCTGGAAGCTGAATACGGAGGCCTGGGTACCAGACATGGCGATTGGTAGTGACAATGGAAACAAATGGTGGTGTGCAGATCGTTCTCGAGATGCAGAAGAAGACGAGGTTGTCGCTGCCCATTCTCAAAGCCGGTTTTTCCAACCTCTTATACCCCTAGCAAGACGCGTGCGCATGCCACGCCAAATTAGTCGCGCCCCCACGAATGACAATGATGCTCACAACACGAGGTCTTGGCAAAAGCGCCTCAATGACTCGGGAACTCAGAAATTAATTCGTTTGTGGGTGTCGCCAATAAAAGTTAAGCCAGTCATCCAGAGTGACTCGACTTCTGTGCGAAATGAGGTTGACTCGGGGAAAGCGGCGCGTTAAGGGAATTTCGTCTTTGGAACACGGGCATCTTCTGCAACTGGGTGGGTGCCTTGCGATCGCCAATAAGCTAAACCGAGTTAAGCCAGTCTTCAGAGTGACTCGACTATGTGCGAAATGGGATTGACTCGGGGAAAGCGACGCGTTTAGTAGGGTGTCCGAGAGGGACATGGATAAAACTTTCGCGCGCGAGCACTCCGCGACCACAGCCACCGATCCCAAGCCCCTATCTCGGGCCTCTCCCATTCGTACCATTGCTTGTCGTACTTTACGCATTGCTCTAATTACAGCCACAAACTTTCTACAAGACTCATTCACCAAGAAATGTCAATACCCTAGATCGTAGAAACCAGGTTAACATGAATTGGAAATTGTTAGAACGGTAGGAAACGCCAAAAAAACAGATGATCTCCGACTTTTCACCCATCTCCAACTTCAATGGTAACATGGCCCTCTGGATTCGAATTTCAAGCTGATCTGTCATCGTGCTGGTGCGGAGGCTCGGTAGACTTCAGTAGCATACCTTACAAAAGGGTGAGTAAGCTCGGGGGACAGGCTAATCGTCAACGACACTTGTTGAATGATTGATTCATTGAGTAAGCGCCCGGTCCCAAGCCCAAGCCGCAGTGGTATTGAAGTACCTCGGCGGCGGTCGCGCTCAACAGTTCCATAAGAATGGAAGATGTAATTCATGAAATGATTTTTAATTCGAAGCTCAGCTACATGGGCGCTCGTAATTGTATTGAAAATTTTGTGAGGTATTTTAGCCCCTCCCTCCTCAGAAACTTCACTCCATGCTTCTTCATCTGCGTGCCTCACTTGACGAAAACTTGACCTCATATCAGAGGGCGCTATCGACATTCAAAACGCATGTATTGCACCGTAAATTTCTAGGATACACGAGGGAGATAGGCCATGACCATGCGTCGGAATACATCCCAACCTACAGTAGCATTGAGCGAAGGACTACCGATTGACATGTGAAGGTCAGTAAATAAATTCTCCAAGTCGTCGCTGACGAACTGGAAGAGCTGAGGACGGTCATACTGGGCCAAAAGTCTATCCATGTCCTCCGAAGGGACTTTGATCAGTTGGTCGTAACCACCGTACGTCTCGGGGTCGGTGAAAAGGTCGATACGCCGGGCATAAGTGGGCAGAAGACGGATGCGGTGGGTCTGGTGTTCAAGAAGAAGTAGTTGTCCAAACGAGCCTGAACTATGCGTGCCCCTTGAAATCCATCGTGCTAGTGAACTGATTGTATGTCTAGTATTTGACATCTCACTCATGGGGAGAAAACACTTACACATGAAACTTGTCGTTATCGACATATCCACTGTGTTCCATGTATGATGTGAGTCTGGTAGAAGAACAATATATTAGAAAGGTCGTTGTGAGAATAAGCTTAAGTTCATCGTCGAGAAATTACCGTTTGCAAGTGGTGTTACAAAGAAGGCGCACAAGGTATGTAAAGTACTTATAGAACGACCTAACTACTACTTCAACTGCACAGGTTTTGATTTCTGAAAGCCTTCCCATGTCGTCTCGCCAGGGGAGGGCAGCTGTTCACGCTCTTACGCTCTTCGATGTTGTGATCCACAGGTAAGTCAAGTGTACCATTGGCAAAAGCTGTGTTTGCTGACCTTACACCGAAATAACTCAGTGACGACGAGAGCTATGGGCTCGGGGGCCAGGGAACGTCTGGACTCGAAGAGTTAGCCGCCCGGCACCAATGCAACAACATCTGTAAAGCTCTGGGACTTCCGGATGCTAAAGAGTTTTGTAAGGACCTCACCGTGAAGGCTGGTGAATGGGAGGCGTTGTCTGTGTCTGTTCCCAACGTAGACCTGGACCCCAGGCGCTCACCATCCCCTGTAACATCGGATAATGGCTGTTCTGCTCTCACTAGTCTCAAACACTACGGGGAATCCGACAGTTCAGACTCGGAGGAAGATTGATCTGCAAGCAATCCCTTGTCGTCATGGATCTATTATCGCATCTCATATAACACATTTGTCCTTCATTGAGAGTACCTATCGAGTAGTATACATGGATGTACCTTACTCTACTCTCTTATATACGCTGGTTCGTCGACCGAATTCACGTCATCTAGGTACTACGTCCGTGAGATAGGAGCCTGGGATCGGTGGCTGTGGTCGCGGAGTGCTCGCGCGCGAAAGTTTTATCCATGTCCCTCTCGGACACCCTAGTTTAGGGAATTTCTGGAACGCATCTTTGGAACACAGGGATTTTCTGCAACATCGATTTGCTAAGTGGCATACAAGACCACAAGTAATGTGCATTCAAAGTCGGTTTAGCGACGGGTTTCATGACCAGCCATTCACGAAAGATTAATCGGAATCTGCATAACCCCCGGCAGCGTTATCAGTGGCAACACTGTCCTCACTGTCACTGACCAGTTCCACTTCTCCATCCAGTATCTTCTTCCGCGCAGCTGGTTCAGGTATACTGATGGTTAAAACCAATGTCCCGTAGACATATCCGACGCTGGTTTCATTCCCATGGGCCAAGTATGCTTTCTGGCTCTCCATCAGCCAATTCGGCCTGGTAACCCACCAGACCGGTTTCCTTCTTATCCGACTCCTCTCGTCGGATCCCTCCCAATTGGGGCGCTTGACTCGAATCCCAGGGACGTAATCTAGTTCCAAAGGGCTCCAACCGTCAGTCCACTCTCCCCCATTCTCGGGATCAAGGGTGGGAACCGGGTCGGTGGTACCGAGAAGCCAAAGGGAACCTCTAACGTGATGGGGTATAAATTGGGTCGAATTTGAGCCCGTAGACTCGTCCCTGGCGGAGGTTGACGCTGAATCCGTAGGCCGGTCCTGGTCAGGACCATAGTGATAGCAGTAGAGTGCCTTGACTTTGACCTTGAATCCAAGGGCACGGCATGCCCGCTCGATAACAGCGTCAGACCCCTTCAGGACGCCCTTAAATGTCGCGGTCAGACCCTCCATAGCGCGAACATCGATCGGGTATTGATGAGTGAGCCCAAACCCCAGGATTCCACCGTGGGGCATGGCACTCTCGTTCAAGGCTATGGAACGAATCGCTTCCCGAATCTGTATCTCCTGCAGGGTCGGCTTGATCGACACCAGAGGTCCAACGGGGTCCATCGCCTTGCGACAGTAGAGGTTGTAGGTGACAGTGACGCGATAGCCAGACTCGACAACAGCGACTTCATGCTCTATGTCGCTGTAGAATGCGACAAAAGCGAGTTTGGGAGTAGGATCGGTGGGGTCTTTGGATACCATCTTGGAAGACTCGAAGAGCCACTTCTTTCCAAAGAGATATAGATCACCCCCGATATGCTCAGTCGGGAAGACGATGACGAGGGTCGCGAACATGTCAGAGTCGCGAGGTGTATCGACATGAGGCTTGAAGAATGACCCAGGACCTTTAAAACGCAACGGGCTTGTCAGACTTGTAACCATAGGAAGCCAACCATGTACCAACCATATATGTTCATCTTGTCCAGACGGGCTTCCAGAATATCTGCACTCTTCGCGTACTGGAGAAGTGCGTCCCGGACGGTGACCAAGATGCCTGAATTAACGACGTCAAACTGCGTGGCGAATTTAGCCGCATCCAGTTTCCAAGCCTTCCTGTAAGTCTCGTCGAGGACATCTTGGTCGCCCCGGCCGAATTTGGCAGGCTCGCAAGCCTCGACAAGGTCTTGCAGTTGTGCATCATCAACGCCGTTGGGATGAGCAAAGTCGATGCGCCTAATCGTAGATGCTCAGTCAATTCAGTCTTGCTTGGCCCAGGCAGCAACTTACCCGATCCTCTGACCGTCCGCATTCTCATAAAACAACTTGGCTTTACCTTCTTCCAAGGGAAACGTTCCGTAACAATGGCGAGGAACGACGAGTTCCTCCACTCTCTCCTGCAATTCACGGAGGTGTTCAGTGAGGGCGGAGTCTTGACGAGACATGGTTGGGTGAACAAAAGGTAGGCTGTCGTTATCAAATCAGATAGATTAGTATCTTCAAGTTCTCACCCAAGAACGTGCAGTCAATGTCAACAGGTACAGCCACGACGGACAGCCTGAAGTCATGTGCCAGTTGGTGTCGATAATATCAGGACCTTCGGAGGCACATAGATATGCATGGTTCTGAAGTTATTGCAACGGGACCCAAATATCAACGCCCACCAAATCGCCAGGGCAATCCTTAGATTGGTGCATTGGAACGCAGTAAGTACAATGAAAGGCAAACAAGGAAAGCAAGGTCAACGCACTAAAAGTACAGGGAAGCCCGTGATGAACAAAGCGTAACACACGCCTGTATGTATACGCATGTCTGACGCCACCTGAAAAGGATTTGGGGGCGCGGATAGAAACAAGAGTGCCCACAGGAAGTGATACACGAATTATGAATAAGGAAAGTAAAGCAGGGAAGGCCGCAATGTGTCTAGAGTATAAGGGGTAATGTAATAATCCAACAGTCACTGACAGTTCAAATGCCAGAGGAGGGTCATGAACCCGACGGTGTACCGTGTCGTAGAATGTCGTAGCGAAAACGTTGCAAGGTATGTTCAGTGTATGTAACCCCAGACAAGGTCGATGGTGATATCAATAAAAATCATGATAGCTGGGACCAGTAGACGACGACGAATCGCCCGATGTCTGGCTGTTGCGATGATGTGCAGGATGGTTATGGAGATTACGATGTTGCTTATCGAGCTCTTTCAAAAGCAGTGCGTTTACTGCATCAGGATTATCAAGATAGACTGTTGTTCACGTCGAAGTTTGGTTGAAGTCAGTATGAATCGACGGAATGAAGGTGCTAGAAATGCCTCACGATGATGGCCCGCGTTGTTGACAATGTACATCTTACCCTCGCCATTTCCTGCCTGACGAAGCTTCTCGACACTCTGCATCCCGCCCACGGGATCCATCCAGTCGTGATCACCATCTTATGGAAAGCATCAGGAACCTTGTCGAAACAAAAGGAAAGATCAAGACTTACACACAAAGGTAACTGGCACCTTGACACCAGCTATGCGATCGACAATTGGCATCCGAGCGTGAGCACCGGGCTCGAGCAAATGAGAAATACAATATTCGCCCGATCCCTTGGCGAATGTGATGTTCAGGATGTAATCGTGCAGATCTCGTGTATCTTCTTCTGTCAGACCCTGGAACCGTCGACTCGAATACTTTCCGACGAGCCATGGACCCCAGAAAAGCGTCGAACGAACCACCTGGAACGGCGAGAATCCTTCCTCCCAAAGATAAGAGAATATTCGGCGGCTGAAAGATTGGTTTGTTTGATGGGAATGTCTCTTCTGTGACGAACGGAGGGAAGACACCCTGCCTTGAGAAGCTGGCTCGGCCTTGGTGGGATCCCGCTCAGGATGGGAGTGGTGTTCGCCTTCTGGGTCTGCGCCATGATCCGTGAGTTCTCTGGATACTTCCGTGAAGTTAGGGCCCCGGGGTACACCAGCCGGCGAGAGCAAGACAAGCTTTGCTACACGTTCTGGAAACTTGAGGGTATAAGCAACACTGAGATAGGCGCCCAATGAATGGCCAATCAACGTCATGCGCTCCAGGCCCATTTGCTTCCTCCAGTCCTCGAGGGAGTCTATGAAAAATGCTTCTGCCTCCTCCACTCTCTCCTTGACGCTAGATCGCTTCGCTTTGACAGTAAACGGCACACGAGCCGAGCGTCCCATCCCCAGCCAGTCGATAGCGAAGACCGAAGACCTCCTCTTCTCAGCCCAATGGGCCAAAGTGGGGAAGTTCCTAAAGAAGAACCCCAGGCCTGCACCATAACCATGCAGCAACACGGCGGGTGGGGGTGCTGTGTCTGAAGTGTCTGGGTCGGTGGAGGTCATGGCGAGGGTGTTGATGTAATGTTTCGGGGTCGATAGTGGCACGAGCGAGGAAGAGACTGTCAGGGGAGCATTTGGTGTTGTGGAAGGTGGCTTTGAGTACTTTGAAAAGTAGGGAACACGGAGCAATATCCGAAGCTCAGCAGTCTGGGATTGCTTGAAGCCAACATTTGACCACCAGCTGCGGACGGACTGGGTGAATCCAGAAGGAATGGATGGGGCTGATGGAGGCAGAGAGTCGAGTACCTGGTATGTCGGCAAGGACGATGTAGACGAAGAAGCCATGCGCAAGAAACGGGACGCCAGACTGGAACACAATGGCTCCCAACAAGTCCCACCTGTCCTCTTATGACTTTCTCCTCTGCCGAACTCGTGGGAACTCAATCAGTCATGCCTTCGGCATCTGCTGTCCCATCGCCTTTTCTTCGTCCACCACCATGTACAACGGCATCGGTTTAACGACTCCCCGTGGAAGGTAATTATTTCCATTTTACAAACAATATATATTCCCTGACAAGTATTCCAGCGGCACGAGCGGCTATGTCGTTCGCAATCTCTCGACTTTGAGGAGCTACCAGCACAGCAACCAGCAGGACAACTCATGGGAAGCTGCACCCCCAAAGCACAGGGAGCCTGACCAAGGCATTTTGGAGCACGAAAGGAAAAGGGCAGTGGAGGTCAAATGTCTAGAGCTGCAGCTCAAGCTCGAGGATGAAGAGTAAGTGTCAGTTCACAATCCATTATTCACTCCACCACTCATGCATTCGTTAGGATCGACGAGGCTGAAATCGAGAAACAAGTTTCTGCTTTGCGCGAGAAATTGCTAGCCAATCTCAGCTCATCAATCAAGAATCCTCGCTCTCTCAAACCTTCCGATACCCATGCTATTGCAGCAGCAAAGAAGGTTGAACTTGAGCGCATGGCCAAGGCCCTGGGAACGCGAAGTGACTACCAGGAGGGTGATTCATTCGACAGAGAGAAACAGGAAGAGTTGAAACTCAAACGAATTGCTGAACGGGAGGAACGGGAGAGGCAGCGCGCAGAAGAACGCAGGAACATGGAAGAGCAGAGGCGGAAGTGGGCAGAGGAAAGGAGGCGACAGGACGAACAACGAAAACGAGAATATGAAAGGTCAAGACAGGGAGACAAACGGGATGAGCGGGGCATGCCACCACCTCCTGTGCCAACGGGCCCTCGTCGAGGAGATAGTAAATTCGACATGGGACCTCCGCCGCCACCCTCCGCACGGGACAGGGACGGTGCAAGGGATAGGTCACCGCCTCCCAGAAGCCGCGACGTTGAAATGCGAGACCGCGACGATCGTTCCCCGCCTCGGAGGTCGAGAAAACGCTCCCCATCCAGGTCGCCTTCGCGATCGAGGTCTCCTTATGGGCGGTATAGCAAACGTCCAGCACGGGACCGCTCCATGTCACCACCGCGCAGGTCTCGGTCGCGTTCAGTTGAAAGGGACAGGAGGCGTCGAGGAGCAAGCTATTCTCGTTCCAGGTCTCGCTCAGCATCCCGTTCTCCTTTGCGCTCGCCTCGTTCGCGGTCTCATTCTTCTCGCTCCGACTCTCGTTCTCCCTCTCCTGACTATCGTCGCCGCCAGCGCAGCAATACCCCTCCTCCCTCGAGCGCCAGGAAGTTGAAGTCTCCTCTCCCAACACCTGTCTACACTCGTGATGACGGCAGAGGCGGCCGTGATTACAGGGATCGTGACGTACCTCCACACCTCCGTCGAGGCTCTCCACCTCCAAAAGGGAGGGCCCCACTTGACCGCGACTACCGTGACAGAGATCACTCGCCACCAAGACGTGGTGCCTCTCCCCCTCGAGGGCGCACACCCGAAAAGAGGGGCAATGCAAGCGGAAGAGGAAGGAGCGGTAGTACAGGAAGCTCGATGTCCGTCAGCTCCAGGTCCAGAAGCGGAAGTCGCGACTAGAGATTTTTCCCAAAAGTCATTCGGAATCCATCTTCAAGCACTTCATGCCTGACATCAGGATGGGCTTCGTTTCCTGCTCCTTTATGCCTTTGACTAATTCTGATTTCTTTGTACTGTCTGACCAGTTTGTAATTACCAATAAATACAGCGATTTTCGACTCCTTTGACGGAGACTGGCGGCTACGATATATCAAGAGAGGATGCAAGTGTGCGATCGCACCCACGAAGTACCTATGCCTGTTTTGCTCACGACAGTATCGGAATGTGGCCCTTCCCCAATCGATCTCCCTCTTCAAGCATGACTCGACCGTGCATTATTGTTTCTGACTGCCGAAAAACCACACACGGACGAACTGCAACGTGGAGGCCATTTGCCGTTTACCCGGGATTCATCGTCAGTGCGATTCTCTTCTGACTCGGAGTGACCCCTGCGCTCTTGGCTGGTAAGGACCGGAAACGTGTTGCGTGTGTCGCGTTTAACTATTTTTCTCTGCTCTTCGTGAGATCTTTGCGTAAGATCTCCGATTCGGTCTTGGAACACCTTGTGACTCGCCACGCTTGTGAAGCGGTTGTCGTGCTCCCTCTGCTCGACGATATCGTTGCTGACGGTACTTGTTCTCTTCTCCTCGAAACGTACTCTCAGAACTACAGAGAAACAGTCGCTTGTTGACCGCGAACGATACACTGATCGGTACACCGGACAATGATGGCCATCCACTAAAACTTAGCCGTCCCGTCCCCAGCCTCGTGCTCTTCTATAGCCGTCACACAAAAACTTTTTCTCTCCTCAGCGCATCTCGACTGACCTTCTCTGCAACAAGCTCGCCCACAGGGAACCCTGAACGTTGCAGCCTCGGCGATGCAATGTGATCTCGCCAGAAAGGCGGAGTTCTGCACCAGGAAACATTGTCAACATAGAGCCATCATAAAGCGTCATTAAAAATTTTTGTCCACCATTTGCATGACCTTTATTGATCGATATTGGACAAGTCAGGACGGGAGATCGAAGTCCTTCGCGCAATGAATCGGATTATTGACTCGGGACCTGGGTTTAAAAGCTGGCACTAACTCGTCCTTTCATCTTCAGCAACTTGAAGCTTAGCTATTTTCTCCACCTTCCTCTCTCCTGCCGACTCACTGTCTTAAGAAATGCCTCTTCCTGAATCCATCTCTCGTCTTCAAGAAACCGTGGAAAAGCTGGTCGTCCCAGGGCATTGCTCGGGAACCTACCCACTGCAAGCTGGTAAAGCTGGTCTCTTTTACTTCGCTGATAACGACCATACCGCTGTTGGGTAAGAGACTTGACAACATGCTACCGGGTATCATGCACTTACGGTCACATCCTTAACAGAGGACTCGACTTTGCATCCCCCAACGGTGTTCCCGACACCCGACTCGAAGATCTGGTGAAGGCCTGCGAGCCTGCCAAGTTTGGGCTGGGTGACCGGGACGTTCTCGACGAGACATATCGCAAGGCTTGGAAGCTCGACGCTTCCAAACTTGCCACCCAGTTCGACGTTGTTCGCTCGGGTATTTTGACCACCGTCCACGATGCCTTGCTTCAGTACGAGTCCAGCACCCTCCTATTGGAGGCTCACGTTGACAAACTAAACGTATATGGTGCGTTCCATCTCCGACGATCGACGTCGTTGGTAGCTGACTGAAACCACTCCGCAGGCCCCGGGTCCTTCTTCAAGCCCCATGTCGATACCCCTCGCGACCCCAACATGCTCGGCACTCTTGTCATCGTTTTCCCCACCGAGCATAGAGGCGGCGATCTTCTCTTGACGACCAAAGCTGGCCCATGGACCTTCGACTCCTCCAATCTCGTGTCAAAAGAGCAATCCGAGGTGCATCGGCTAGCTTTCGTGGCCTTCTACAGTGACATCGAACACGAAGTTACCCTCGTCGAGTCTGGGTATCGAGTCACCCTCACCTACAACCTTTACACGCGGAAACCCATGTCCCCGCTCGACCCCTCGATCTCCATCCGCGTCTCCCCGGAGGAACAGCAGATCCAAAATGCCCTACGCACTCTTCTCGCCGATGAGACGTTCCTGCCCGACGGAGGTGCCTTCGGCTTCGGCCTCACCCACAAGTATCCCCTCACCAACGAACATTATTTGAGCCAGTTCAATTGGCTCAAGAACTTCTCCGAGTTCGAGGGATGTCTTAAGGGCAGCGACTCCCTGGTGGAACGTGCATGCAAAGCTCTTGGTTTGAGCGTCAAAGTCCAGGCCCTTTTCCGCAACATCGGTACCTCGATGGTTGAAGTCAGGCAGGACTTCAGCCAAATCATCGACGGTCCAAAGGCAAATGCGCGTGCGATGTTCCTCACCAACTCAACCTCAGTTCATCCCATCAACTGGAATGTCGACTTGGAAATGGGAGAGTGGAGCAGTCGACTCGGTAAGGGGGTGGGTGGCGCCAGGGTCAAGCCCTTCGACCTCGACCCGAGCGAGCTTAGAACGCGCGACAAACCTGTTCTCTGGATCACCAAGCCTCGATCATTGTTGACCACCAGATTGCCTTATCTCGCCTTTGGGAATGAGGCAGCACTGGGCTTCAGCTACGGCACTCTTGTCTTGATTGTTGATGTCGCTTCGTACCAGGAACGAGCTGCGCTGTTCGAAGCTGAAGACAACCCGCAGCCGAGACCAGCTTCCTCGTGTAGCCTACTGTCATCACGCAATAACTGTTCTGTATTCCACCTCAATCATATAAATACCTACTGCACGTTCTCATCTCCTCCAGCGATTGTTCGTTCCGGGTATCGCTTCTTCACCCTCTCCCTTAAATCTTCCTCCCATATCATATCCACATTGCCTAGTTGATTTCCTAGCGTGATCCAACCAGGTCGGACGTTATGCTTCCGTCCAAAGATCTCCACCTTTCTGCCTCCTGGACACATGCGCTCGATCATGTTGTAGACTTCGTCCGGTTTGCGAGAGGTTTCTCGTACTTCAGATACGATCACGTCTGTATCCAGGCCTCTGTTGATCCACGAAGGGAACTTCAGAGTAGGTGTTTCCCCCGTATTTGACCCTTGAGTTACGCCAGGAGGATTCTTGATGCCGACGAGCATGTGTTCTTTCGTGTGGTTGAGCCAATGGCCAGTCCGACCCGTGCGGATAACTCGCTGCAACTGCAAACAATATTAGTCAACGTGAAAGGAATACATATGCGGTGCTCTTACCTGGTTAGTCTTCACCCAGACAACCTCGTCTACTCTTGTATAACCCCACACCCTCAGACATTCTCTACCCACTTCCATAGCCCTCCCAGTCACCCACAAGAACAAGAGTCCCTCGTCCTGCAACGCCGGAATTGGCATCGCCCTCATCTCATCGTCAGTCATGGTCCCGTAGGGCAACTGGGTTTCCCTTGAGCAGTGGCTTGCGTCAATGGAAAAGGTGACGTACGCTCATATGAATATCCCAAGGCGGGTCAGCCATGATGACATGGAACTTCCCAAGTACTGAATAGTCGAACCTCCTAAGATCGCAGTTGATCCACTGTGGCGGCAACTACGCGGAAATGAGAATCGCAGGAAGACAGACTAGTACACTTGGAACGTACCGGCGTAGCTTCCCTCCCCATAGGGCCGAGCCCAATACCCAACTTGTAAGGCTTCTTAATGACGGTCTTTCCCTTCTCTTTCTCTCGTTCCTGTTCAGCTCGTCGCTCGTCCCCGTCCCAATCAACCTCGTAGTGAAGGTAGCGACAAGGGGCCTTCTCCTTTCCCCTTCCCCCAGCACCGAGGCCGCTAGGGAGGCTAACAGGCCCTCTAGCATTTGTGGCATTGAGATTGATACCTCCAAGGTTGACACCCCCACTTAAACTAGCAGATCCCGGGAACGGTGGTATTGATGGTGATTGTGAGTAGGTTGGCTCGGAATAACAGGTGTTAAGGTACGAGCAATGTCCCAATGTAACGTCGGTATGTGGTCGTATTAGAGGGCGGAAATGGATTTGCGAGCAAGGTGCGTTGTTACCGGATAGGCTTCCAACTTTCGCACATTCGTCCTTGGTGATATGGGGGCAGATAGGCTCGAACGTTTCATCTGTTGATCGAAACTGTAACGTTCGTTAGAAAGTAGTCGAAAGTGGTGAGAATAAAGTCCAACCTGTTCAGCAAGGAGCCTGCCCTTTGCAGTTCCGCGTTGCAGAATAGAATAGACCTCTCGCAGTTCTTTGGAGAGGTTACCCAGGCTTGACGTCGCCCTTCCCGAAGCGCCATCAATCGCAGGCTCGAATTCAAGTCCAACGCCGACCGTTTGGCGCCTAGGAGACCTCGTCCCTTCATGATAAATGTCGTCGTCATCGTCATTCCCAGCCGCGGAATCTGCATCCTCGTCCACAATACGCTTTCTCTTTCCCAGTCCAGGGCCTCCGCTGCTCGACTCATCCAAAGTCCTATCTCCGATGGACCCAGTCTCCAACAATCCAAATGCCTTCGCACCCAACGTAACTTCCCAAATCATCATTGTCCCTTCTTCAGCTTTGTTAAAGCCATTAGAACCCGAGGCTTCAGCTGAGGAACCAGCGCCCATCTGTTCCCTGGAATACGATATCCTGCCATCCTCCCAAGTCCGAGCGAGGTCTTCTATGATCTTCTCAAAGCGTTTGAGGTCAGTTAGACGTAGCCTGGGAGGGGTTGATTTATTGGGAAGTAATCCTGGAGGTAATTTGGTGGTCACAACATGGGTAAGAAGCTCCATTGAAGACAACGGTGTCAAATGACTGTTCGATCGCGTTGAGGATGTGGTATGAGTTGAAGCGAATAGCTTCGAGAGAGCCGTCGTCACTACCAGTTTGAGCTCGTCGTCCAACATCTTTGCCGTCGCTGCGCGCCTCGGAACGTGTGGTGGTAGCTGTTCAACGCAATGCCAAGCGCAAAGCAATCCCCGGACCGACGACCTGCCAAGAAAGTGATCGCGACTGAGTAGTTTGTGCTTATGGGTCCATGTGTACGAACAGCGACCAAAAGCTCGCGAGCGTCGAGTGGGACGACACCGACGACGGTACACGTCGCAGATTCCAAAATACGCATATTCATCGAGAATGTATCATGCCATAAGAGACTGGAGTCCTTTGTCTCCCTTTTTTCATCGAGGTGCTTCCTCTGAGGTAGGATGGATCCGTGCGCCTCCAAAAGTGGTCGTGAATCATCCACAAGTTACGTCTACCGTCATGAGCGTCCAGCTCAGAGCCGTGCACCTTTCGAACAGTGGCTACGCGATATCATCCACAGAAGGACGAGGGATAGAACCTCGAATTCAGACAGTTTCCGTCAACGACGGAATAAAATTAAGCAAGATCACTGGTTGCGCAGTTACGACGCAGTTCATTTGGTACTTCTCGCTGCCCGCTAGAACGTCAATCTGATCGTCAACGTATTAATTAACGAGCGAATATACAAGACTGTTGTACAGTAAAAGTTGCCTTGGAAGTTGGATTTCACTGTCCAGGAATGGCGTGAGCACCACAATACACGTATAGAATCACCACGAGGAACATGCGAGCGTACCTTCAAATTTACCAGGGAATCTCCTCATGCGCCCAATCCCATATCGTTCCCCTCTGTTCCGTCTTGAGATTCTCTACCACATCCGCCAAGTTCTGCGCCGCCGTCTCAGGCTCAAACAATTCAGGCTTCGCCTCCGATCCCCAATACCCCTTGCTCAAATCCGTCTTCACGGTTCCCGGATGAACCCCAACGCAGATAGCATTGATGTTGTGGAGTCCGAGATGGATATCGAACGTCTTCACCACTTGATTCAACGCGGCCTTGGAAGACCGATACGAATACCACCCTCCTCTGTGATTATCCTCGATAGACCCAACCCTCGCAGTAATGTGCACCCACTTGGACGGCTTCTCGAGCTTGCGAAACTGCTCCTGGTTGGTGGGTGGTAGGAATTGGGAAAAGTGCTTGATCATGAGCAAGTGTGAAATGGTGTTGATCTGGAACGTCTCCTTCAGGTGGTCCCATTGGAGGTCGGAAGGCTGTTTCTCGGGGAAGAGGACCCCGCCGGTGATAAACGCAGTCTGTAGGTAGGGATCCTCGCCGACATGCTTCTTGAGAGACGTCTTCAGTGTTTTCGCGGCATGCGCCATAGTGTCTTCGGACGTCAGATCTATGTGAAGAAGATGGAGCCTCTTGGGGTCCACATCGGGAAGAGGACCCAAGATATGCGTTTTGATATCCTTGTCGTTAACCTGCCTGCGATGACTGGTGTAAACGGGCAGAGAGGTCGTGCGAAGGAATTGCCGAGTAAGCGCTAAACCCAAACCCCGCGTAGCGCCCGGAGAAACGAGGATGAACGGATTTGGCATCTGGTGGGACTAAAAGGAGCGAACGGGTTTTCAAGTGGCTTTGGGCGGTGGGAGAGGTGTAGGAATGCTATTTGTCTTCCCCATGATGATAAGGAGGAAACATGATCGATCGATTCAAACGTAGCCTCCAACGTCACAATGATACCATCGCGGTCGGGAAAATTGAAATCCACGGACTAGGTGTATTAGGGCAGGAGCTGTAATCTAGGCATACGTAAGGGAATACAGCCTTGGGAATGCGTGTAGGTATGGGACAACAATGTAAATATGATACAACAGCACGGACGAATGTAAAGATGTAAGTGAAACGATAGCAAAACAGGAGAGCAAGTAGTATCCGACCAGAAGATAAAGCTGTACAAGAAAGCAAGATGTGTCATGAACATACAGGATAGTGATACATAGAAAGGGGAATGTGGATGAGTCATGAGCAAGAGGAGTGTCATGGGGTTCGCGATACAATGGAGAGAGGGTTGCGATGACGGCGAAGGAAGAACAGGTGAAAAGCAAATCTCTAAGTCGACGCGTCTCTAGCATCCTCTCTGAGGTCCGACATGTCCTTTGTAAGAGCTGCAATAATATGGTCAAGTTTCTTCATTTCAGTGTTATAGGCAACGTCGAGTCGCTTCCGGGCCTCCTCGATCTGTGCGACATACCGGAGGACCCTGGAAGCGATCATGGAACCATTCGTCTGCGAGCGGCGTCTCTTGTTGAGCTTGGCAGGAATCTGATGGCCGTAGTCATTCTCTTCATCAGACTCGTCCCTCGAGAAGCTGCGCTCGTCGCTGGGTGTGTCCTCCCTGTCGTCCATCTTGCGCTTCATGCTCGGGCCCACTGGGCGCGAATATGAATCAGCGTTACTGGTGCGCAGTGGGGTGGGAGACGGATCCTGTGCGCTGTCTGTGGCGCCTGTCTCGTTAGCGTTGGCGTCATTGCGCCTGGCAGCTAGGAGAGTAAATGAGCGTACATCCAATGAACTACGTGTGGCGTAACTTACCGGCATGCTTGCCACGAGAGGAGCCACTGGCGTTTGAACATCGTTGCTTTAAGCGTTTACAATGTTCGCAGCGCGCACCTACTGGTCCGCGACAGGTTTTATTGGTGCGCACGCAACGCTCGCACGCTCGAGGAGCACTGGCGCTGGTCATGGAAGGCTGCAGAATAATGATCAGGACACTTCCAGAACCCCAAAGAATAGCGGAGAGCTCACAGGTTCTACGCGGGGGCTATACATCGCGCCTCGTTCCTGCGAGGGCCCCGCTGGAGCGGTCGACACAGTCCCGGCCGTATTGGTGGTAGATATTCTCGACGCGGTGGAATCTGGCCTGGGGGATAGAGCATTCGCGGAATGGGCAAGGTATTGAAGGTTATCGGCTTGTGAGCGAGCCATTTGGAAGGCGAGTGGCGATGTCCTGGTGGTTTAAAGGGAACAGTAAAGCGACCCTGCGGGAGCGTCCGAAGTCACGAAAGCGCAGACTGCCGAGTTTGGAATCGTGTGTATAATATAGTTTCTGACTCGGAGAAGCGGCTGCGGCGGTGTTGAGCGGGAGATTGGGTTAAGAAGGCCTTGGACTGAGGAAAAAGGAAGAAAGAAAAGCGATGAGCTTAAGAATCAAAAGACGGGCGTCCTTGATGCAAATGCGGAGTGGCAGTAGCCGAAATGTGATATATAGGGATTACGTACATAATTTGACGTCCTATTGCTCGTGGTATGGTCGCCTCGAGGTCAAGGGCTCTTCTGAGCCTCACAACTGGTTTGTTATTGAAACCCTGTCCGAAATATGAAATAAGTAATCAGAGGAACAAGGGGGAGCATTGCGGTTCGCGTGCCAATGGGCGCGATGTTTGGCCCAGACGACACTGCAAAACAGCCTGCGGACCCATACCACGCGTCATCGCCCTCTGCAACGTTAACATCACCCGTTTCACGTCTGTTTTTAATCAGACGCCTCGAAAGCGCTGCAAGTATCGAGTTTTCCATGAAGAGTTCGAAAACCGTCTGTTTCTCATTGTTATTAAAAGCACGAGGCGATGGGACACGAGAGTAATTATGCGCGCGCTTTTTGGAAGTCGCCTTGGATTGTCAGAAAAATCAATTCATACGCCGCGTTCTGGAGACGACCTATCCATTTCAGACAAAACACCCTTCCTCCTCGTTCCAACCGAGTGTAGCTGGACAAATTCCAAGCTGTGCCAACATGGTCCCGATGGTATCTTGCCTAATCTCGCCTTCATCCCCGGTTTCTTCGACTCGAGGATCTCCATCGTCACTGTTGTGCACATCCTCATCGTTCCCAGATTGGCCTTCCGTTGCCACCGCATCCCAGCCCCAACTCGAATCGCCGTTGCTTTTGGCCTTCTTCGATTCCGAAATGTCTTCCCACCCCCAGCTCTCTTGTATTTTACGCTTCCCATGACCAGCACCATGCCAATCCTGATCGCCGCCCTGTGTAGCTGCGTCCTTTACATGATCCCATACTTCCCAGGCGATCTCCCGCCCGGCTTCTGTCCATTTGTGAACAAGCCCTTTTAGCACCTCTTCTTCGTTCTCCCGGACAACGCGCAGCGCCCGCTTCAGAAGTTGTACTTTGCGTTCCAGAGCTTGAATGGTAGGCGTAGGTCGAATGGCCAACTGCTCTCCAGATGGTCGGACGGTCAAAGGGGATTTAAACTGTGCAGACGCCCGAACTGTTCGATGTTTGATCTTGGGGTCAACGTTGGCGCCGATGCCCTCGTTTTCCGACTTTCGCTGTGGCTGTAAAACATGTTTCTGTTCTCCGCAAGGCGTTGAAACCTGTGTAGATGAAACAGACGTTGTGGGCGCCGGAGGTGGAAGTCGGGAGATGTCAACGGATCTGGAGATTGTCGGGCAGCGGAATGGCTTTGAAAGTTTCTTTTCCTGGAGCTTCTGGCCGGCCGCAGTGGGTCGCTTTGGGTTTGGGATGGCCTGCGGCTTTGGGAAATACGTGCGGTCTGGATTATCGCCACGCGAAGCTGCTGCATGAACATCCTCGTTTCCTTCATTGGACACAGTCTTGGGCGAGTTTGTCCCTCTAGGGGCCTTGGATGCCACGTTCAAAATAGTTTGCACTTCTGGAACTATTTCCATAGAAGCCGACTTGGATTCGGGTACTTGGTCCAACCTCATTGTCGCATCTACGGGGCTCACTTCGCCCGGAATTGGCTGTTGCGATGGGACAGGGGAGCATACAGATGACGTCGTCGCGAGATGTCGAAAGCTGGAATGTAACGTGGCTTCACCCCGATTGCCAGCGCCAGATGGGGTCTCAATCGCCTGTTGTACATAGATGAGCCATAGTCTCATCAAGTTTGAAAAGTCAGCCTACCATGACGGCGTCGTGGGTATAGGGCGATTCCGTGTTCGGTGGCAAGGGCAGGATGTTTTCCTTGCTCATGTTCGCTTTCTTCACCGCTGCACCATGAGGGGATATCGTGTCCAACTGTTATTAAATGTTAGAAGAAGCAATTGGTTAAAGGAAACTTGAACACGCACATTATCTGTTTGAATGTCCGCCATGCATGAGCCTGGACCTTGAGAATCGCTTTCAGCAAACTCGCCTTGAGCGCCAGATTCACGGACGTGATCTCCAAAGGCCAGGCCCACATCTGCCTTCAAGTGTTCCACGACATCTAGGCGATAGTCTGACCCGGATTCTTCGCGGTCATCGGGAACAGTCAAACTCTCCTCTAGGCCTTGCTCGTGGCCTGAAGCTTCGGCATTGCTGTCAACGGAATTTAATAAGACAACAGATTCAAGCTCCATGCGTTCATCGTCATCGCTGTGCGCATGCTCCACGTGAAGCAGTCTACCGAAGGACTCCCTTGCAGTGGTGGAAGGTTTAGGCGAGCCATCCAATGTGAAGCCGTCCAGGTCGTCGTCATAGTCCTCTGGAGGAGATGAGCTATACCCGGCTGGCCACACTGGAGACAGATCCGGGGATGACGTGAAGACTGCCGGAGGACTGGAAGTTGGCGGAGAACTCGGTATTCCCAAGTCGCCTGGGGAAATCATCAACCTCCCCGCAGATCTTAGAATAACGTGTATTGCCTACCTTCAAAGCCTCCTACCGCGTCAACCGCTGTAGCCGCACCGTCACCATCGAAACCTTCCTCAATCTCCGTGGCAGCATTCTCGTTGCTCTAGGGCGGCCAAAGATAAGTTCCCGATTGTTCAAGTACGGATAGATGACCTACGCCCTGCTTCTCGCCTTCAGGGGCGTCCGGACCTTGAAGAGTCTCTTCAACAAGTGCAGGGTCGATAACGTCATCGATTTCCTGACTGAAGACGACGGTCATCGTCTCAGATGGCGCCACCACCCAACCCTCCTCGCAGTCCACGTTCTCTTCTACAGCCCTGGCTTCATCCTGCACGTCGCCGTAATCCTCGTTATGGCCATCCTAAGCCCCAATTTCAGAATCACAATAGCCAAAAACAAGCGCCATATACCCAAAGAAACTCACCAATGCATCACAGTCAATCAGTCCCTGACCTTCATTAAAGGCCGGAGAGGGGTTACCAGCACAAACAGACTTAACAGAGTTATTAGCCGTGGCGTCGGGTTCAGTCCGGTGTTCATTTGAAAAGGTGTTCATCTCGATGCCCGCGAGGTCAGGGAAGAGCCGGGGTAAATCGTTATCTCTGGAATTGGCATCGGCGTTGGAGTTGACATTAGCTTCAGCATAACCATCAGAATCAGCATTGGAGACAGCGGGCGTCGGGGAAGTTCGATAGGCTTGAACTTGGTCCTGATCTTCTTGAGAAAGGCAAATCAACGGAGCATCCGTCCCGGTGTCATACAGGCAGAAATTGGCGCCAATGTTCAGGCTTGAAGATGCCGTTTCTTCGATCTTGTGGCGCATATAGTCAGTCGCCGCGTGTTTGTTAGCTAGGAAGTCCACTCACTATCGATTCATCATCATAGTCTCCCATGAAGTCTAGTATCCGAGGACCATCGGCCTAGGACGCGTTCGGTCAGCGATGAAGCCCACTCACTGAGGAGAGACTGACATCATCTGAAGCCAAAAGGCTGATAACTCTGGAAAGGTCGTCGCTTCGAGTGACATCGGCTCTCAGGTCCGTAGATGGGACATGTTCAGTCTGGTGGCGCATATAGTTAGCGACGGGCCTCTTCCTGCGACCAAAAGTGCATACTCACGACGCCCGGCGCGAGAAGGTCAATGCCCTGCAACATATCTTCGTTCTGAGGATGCAAGGTGGGCTTTGGAGACGCTTGGCTGGGAGTAGACTGGATATATGCGCTCTGTTAGCCTTTATTCACTCTCGAAATGTCCTGTAACGCCCACCTCTGGCGTAGCGTCGCCAAAACAGGGACCCGAAAGGTAGACAGGAACCATCTTGTATGCGTCTCCGTTCGACTAAATCAATTGAGCGTAGTCAGAACCCAGCGTCGTTGTCGCTGACGAGGCAGAGCGCACCGTTGACCTTCGTTAGTAGTGAAAAGCAGAACCTACAAGTTAGTCGAAACGCGAGGGAAGTAAAACGGGAAGGCGCGTTGCTGTCATAGGTCGGACCTGCACGTGTAAATCTTGCGTCACCTGAGCTCCTCGGGGTGAAGACCCACAGGCCGAGGAGGTAAACCAACCTGCTAGCCGCTCTGCGAGACCCTGTCCAATAGTCACCAAACACTAAACAGAAGATGAAATCCGTGCCTTGCATTTATTGCACCGAATAGATATACTGTTGTACAATATCGCCGCAGTCTAGATTTGACGAAAATGGAAACGGAACAGACAGAGACAAAGTGGAATCATTTGCGAGTTTGCATCTTGACTCGCGGGTCGCCGCGCTCTTGACGCTTGCGAAGCTTTTCCTGTCTCTTGCTGGTCGCGCTTTGGGCAGGGGCATCTTCGGGCTGAGGGGTGGAGGATGACCCTCGTCCGAGAACCATAGGCGATATCACTGACGTCCAGAGCTTGTAGACCGCATATAGAGGAATCTGCGCGTCTGTTGAATCCTGATTAAGGGGTGAATGATAACCACAGAACGTACCACCGTGTACAACCACCAGAACCATTCGCCGAAAGCACCACTCCCAACCTGACAGGCATCTGAACAGACGCGCTCATAAGTGACCCCAGTCAAGTAATAAACGAATCATCGAACGCACATGTGATGTATAGGATATCGAAACACCATTCCGTCACACCGGGCTGGTTGAGGTCCTCTCCGTAGGATATAAGCGCCCCAGTAGCGGCATCACGGTTCGGTGAACCAATCTTGATGAGGTAGTTGGACAAGAAGAAGGCCGGGAAGTAGGTGACAACATAAATCGCAATAGAGCCTTTGGAGGGGGGTATCGAGCTTCGTCTGAACAACAAACGCAAGACCAGCGAGATCAGGGTCGGCACGAAAAGGCCAAGCCTCAGCTGCTTCACCGCAGCTTCATTCTGATTTGCTATAACCAGACAGACACCCTCAGCGCTCATAATCACTATAACAAGAATGACACGAACCTATTCTCTTTGCAGAGGCGTTTGCCATGGTTCACAGAGCAAAGAAGACCCACACGACGGTTGCTCCAGGCTCCAGCGCAGAACACGACCGTCACTGGGCGAAATTCACCCCCGAATTTCGGGGTAAATCCATCAATTTCGCACGCTCTTGACATCACAGGAACGGAACGAGAAAGCACTCGAGTTCATCAACGTATACGATAATGACAGGGGTATAAAGCCCTGTCTGACATGCTATGGATCTCTTAGGGACGCGACATGGCCACTTCATTAACACCTGACGCTGAAGTTGACCCGAAAGTCCTCGTCCAGCGCGCTTTAGTAGCAAATCAACAGCTCCAACGATATCTCACCCAGCGAGCTGGTGAATTGGAGGCCGAGTTGGCTGAAGCAGATAAATTGCTGGTGCGTCATCTCCTCCTCGAAATGAATATCTGTATCGATGATTGCAGGAGCAACTAGAAATCAATGAAGTAGATGATGAAATCGAGGACGAAATCCATGTACCGGGCGCTTCCAGGCCGGCAGGTTTCTTTCTACCGAAGGAGTACCTAGACAGTGTACGTCCACCTGACTTAAAGCCCTTTAAACGACTCAATTACTCTACAGGAATCTCCCTTTCGCGAGGATGCCCTCGCACGGAATGAATACGCAGCCCGCATTACCCCACGGTCCAGTAAGTCCAGCCAAGTCCGGTGGTCACATTCCAACTCGATTAACCCATTCAGTGAATCCCAAGGAACTGGAAGTACTCAAAGCGTCTGTCCGGGCTGAGAACATGCGTCTCCAAGCGTGTCGAGCACAAGCGGGGTAACAATCCATTGTCCTTCTCCAGTGGTCGCGAGTTCTGATCCACTTCCAGCATCACTACACCTATAGACCTCGATAAAAACGTTGAGGGCATAGATTGGGGCACGGTAGCTGAACGAGTACGTTCATATTCTTTCCACGAATGATCACCTCTTCTTACAGTTATTCAGGTTTCCGACGTTTCAACCTACAAATACTCGAGCGAAGAATGTCGAATTCGCTGGATCGGGGACCAACATCCTTCCATCAACCATTCAGACTGGACCTCCTCCGAACACAAAACACTAGCAGAGCTAGCAGACAGTGCTAGAAAGTCTAACCCGAATGGCCGAGTGGATTGGGTCGAGATAGCCAAACAACTTGGGGTACATCCTTCACCGCCTCGGCTCGCCCGATCTCGTTCTGATAGACGACTTTGCAGACGAATAGAACGCCCTTAGCTGTAATGTCCAAATCAGTTGCCCGGACACGGCACACATGGGACGCAAAGTCCGACCGCGCACTCCTCGAATCAGTCGACATATACGGGATCAACAACTGGATGTCAGGTTCGTTCGTCTTCTCCGTTCCCTGTGTCGCCGCCTCCTGATTTTCTTCCTTGCCAGTGGCCCAACACGTCTCCCCCCACGCAACCCATACTCAATGTCAGGGACGCTACTACAAATCCCTCGACCCATCCATTAAACGCGGAGCTTGGACACCCGAAGAAGATGCGCGTCTCACAAAGCTTGTCGCATCCCTTGGTTCTGCTTGGGTCAAAGTGGCCGAATTCATGCCTGGGCGTACGAACGATCAGTGCCACGAAAGATGGACTGAAGGCATGAACTCTAGTTCGTCGAAGAATGTATGGACTGAAGAGGAGGATAGACGACTAAAGGAGCTTGTAGCGTCCATGGGCAACTCTTGGAAAGCTATTAGCACGCAGATTGGGAATGGAAAGACGGGGCCTAGCGTACGTTTCCCTTTTCGAGTTACAATCCATAACCCTGATGGTGTCTTCCAGTGTCGGGCGAGATTCACTAAACTGTCGAAATCTACCACGCCAACCGCAGCTAGTACATTGGCCCTTATGGACGGAGACCAACCGACAACTACCACAGGTCAAAGTAGCCCTTCTGCCCCACTTGTTCAACCAGTAGGTTCGATGCTGGCAGAGCCCTCGGGCTCGAACCAGGAAAGCTCCACTTCTGCCAAAAAGCGACGAGAAGATGCCCCTGTAGCTCCCGCGGCGAAGAGGAGGAAGATCGCACCAGGCTCCTCTGAAGAGCCTTCAGCCGAAAGCGATGCCATGACACCCAAGCCTACCCCAGGGAGTAAACCTCGCCCGAGGCCCCGTCCTACCACAACTGTAGCGAAGAAATAAACGTACCATATGTCCTGTACAATATAATGTTCCCGGATTCTTCATGGTGTTCCAGGCATACAATACCACCCATCTAATGTACACCACTGGCACCACACATAGACACGCCAGACCTTACTTTCTTACTTTCCACCTCTTTCGCGGATGTAGTCCAGTTTCCCAATTAACAATGTGACCCAGCAGCTCCGCATCCTCGTTGTTCGTGCTGTCTTCCGTCGCGGTTAAGAGGTTCTGTAATGATTTCTGAACCAAGCTTGCAGTCTTGAGCTTCTTTTCGAGTGACGGCAGTGCAGCTTTCTTTGGCGGTGAAGCCTACAAGGAATTATAATTAGCCCAAACTGTGATGATTTATGATGAGAATCGCGACTGACAGGTGTCTTCATGTATGTGTGTTTGGGTGGCAGAGGAGGGAGGTACGAGGGTAGTGTTCGTAGTGTCGCAGGGACGACAGGCGTATCGTCATCATCCGACGGTAAGAGCTCTGGCGAAGGAGACCTCGAACGAGGAGGTACAAGTGTCGTCGTAGGTTTCACATTGGCCAATCCTAAACACAATTATGAGTCCCAGCACAGATGATAGAAATAAGCCTATTCACTTCGTTTCCGCTTCTTCGACTTCCTCGACAGCTCATGCAATTCACTCACGGGCATGTCGAACTCCTCGCAAGCCTTGGCCAAATCCCATGCAACAGCCCCAGCTCGATTGGCAAGATTGGCATATTCATGTGCTCGTTGGTAGAGTTGCTGCACGACTATCACAAAGACCTGTATCAGCTTCTCCTCCATACACCTTCGCTTCACCGACGCAAAGAGCACTCACAAGCCTGGACTTCATACTCCAGCCTCTTCACAGCTGTCGGTTCGCCTCTCTCAAACCCCGCCTGCTTCAATTCAAGAGTAACAAGCTTTCGTATCGCGTTTTCTGCGATCTTGGGTGTAACAGCCGGTTCTGCAGGGGGTGGTGGAATGCTTTGTATAGGTTTTGTAGATGTTTCTGGCGCCGGTGTGCCACTCGCTGGTGGAAAGGCAAGATATGCACCAGGTATGGGTGCGGCGGCATGGTATGCAGCTGGGTAGGCGGCGGCTCCTGGTGCTATTCCTGGTGCTACTCCGTACCCTTGTACAGGGTAAGTTGCAACCGCTGAGGTTTGTTGGTGATACATCCGGGATCCAGGGTAAGAGTTCGAGAAGAAGAGATTGGTAAAACCCGCGCCGGCACTCACCCCGATTGGGTAAGGAGACACGAGATTTCGCATAACCCAAAGTATTATATATCCCATGAAATCTCCAGTTAATCCCGGTCCTCTTTCTTCTTCTCCAACAACTCATCTCTCTCTCTCAAACCGGCATATCCGGAAATTATATATAACATTATTCGAAATGCCACCTACAGCTTTAGAAGAGGCTCAGAGGGGCTCGAGGCCACCAGCTAAACTCCGGACGGAGGAATTTCGCCTTGGACGTCCAGAGATCGTTGGTCCTGACGCTCCCGAACCACCATTTCCAATCGCTTTGGAGGGGAAGGTTCAAAGAGGGTTTGGAAGAGGCGGGAAGGATCTAGGGTGCCCTACAGGTCTGGTGCCCTTGATTTTCGGAAACGTCTGTGCTGACCGATAGCTGCGCTAGCCAATCTACCCGACGAGTCAACTACAGCAATGAGCAGCGTCACAAAGACAGGCATTTATTATGGATACGCTCAGGTCATTCCTCCAAAAGACGAACCCACGCAACTACGGCGGGTGGATACAAAGGTGCTACCGATGGTTATGAGCTTAGGATGGAACGAGTTCTACAAGAATAAGCGGTTAACAGCAGTGCGTCCGGCCATCTACACCGCGGCACTTTTGATTCCTGATAGTCTTTCCAGGAAATCCACATCATGCACAAATTCGAGAGCGACTTTTACGGATACGAGATGAAGGCAATCGTTCTTGGTTACATCCGGCCAGAGTTTGACTACATTTCTCGGGGTGCGTCGGACCTCCACCAGGCTCTTCTTCTCGAGCTAACTATTCTGGCAGAGGCACTGATTGAGGACATCGAATTCGACAAGCGAGTTGCTTTGAATTGCTTGCAGCGACCAGCGTACCAGGAATATTCCAAGGACCCTTTTTTTGTGTTGGACGGTAATCTATGAGTTGAAGAGCGGAAGGACAGCACTCCTAGATGAGCTATATTATCTATGACTATAGGCTTTAAGTTGATAATCATACCCATACTGCCCGTGATTAGGGTATACGGACAGCCAGTAGAAACATGGTTGCGAGGGGTATGCGCAAAAGAAGCGCGCGTGAGCCCAAAGCACGGTCTATCGCAAATTCGTTAGGACCAAGTTTCCACACACATACGAAGCGGGTACTCACTATAGACGTGGCATTTTCTTTGCACGAGTACCACCAATCTTGATTGGTGTCCTATCCGTAATGGTTGCAACCAGTGGCCGGATTTGCTCACCCTCCGTCGCCAGCAAAGCTCCTCTCAACGCATCGCGTCCCTGCCCAAACCCTTTGAAGAACAGGTCCACCACGACATTTTTCTTGCTTTCGGAAACAATCTGGTTCTTGATTTCTTCTATTTTCCTGAACGAACGGACGGCACACTGGTAGCCAGCTTCGTATGTCGCGCGGTTTCCCTTCTTGAAACCACACGAACCGCCCGAGAACCAGGCAATGGTGGAACCGTCTTGCTTCGTAAGGGTGGTTATCGTGTTGTTTGGGCTGGAATGACAATGGAGACGGAGTCGGACTTCCTCCTTCTTTCGAGTTGTTTCTTGTTGTTGAGGGACCGGTTTCGCGTAGCCGTCCTCACCGGCCTGAGGTGGCTCTGCGGTTGGCTGTCTCGTAGGACGCTTTGGTGCGATTCCATGTGCTTTGGACAGGGCAGTAGCCAAAGGAGAACCACTTCTCTTCATTGAAGTATATCTGAGCTGTGTGACCCATGGCGATGACGAGGGCTGGCGCGAGCAGGCGCGGAGGGCGTTGAACATGGTGGCAGCAGAGGACCGAAATGGCTTGTGAGAAAAATCAATTTCGCGCTTTGCAACTCCGCCTCTCCGGAACCCATCGGGACGCACAATCTCTACCTTTTCTCGCTGCTTCCTCACTACAACAATGGCGGTATGTCCACGTCTTTCTGCAAAAATGGTGAAAGTATGGACTGAACACGGTTTCTAGATTGGCAACGCTCTCTACAACACCATCTTCAAGCGAAACAGTACGGTTCTGCTGGCAGGCAACAAATTCGGACGTTGACCCATGTTCTCCTCGCAATTTAGGTGTCTTCGTGTCCACTGTCTTCGTCGGTGCTTTCGCCTTCGGCATTGGATTCGACACTGGTGTCTCCAAGTTCTTCGACTACTGGAACAAGGGCGTACGTCCGACAGCATTCCTTGTGAATTGTCAACCACCAACTCACACCCTCTCCCCCTTCTTTACAGAAACAATGGAAGGACATCCGCCATAAATACGTCCAGGAAGAGTGAACTACCGACAACACTTCTGGATCTCCGTCATGAGCCCTAAAACCATGCAACACGCTAGAACCTCCTGCCGAGCAACCCACACACCAGGGCTCACCAGTCGAGGCCGTACCATAAGAGAGTATAAATTGTATTGGAAGCAGTCCATATAGAGCGCTCTAATCACATTCCTTGCTTTCCTTGGAGCCATTGCCAGTTCCCAGATTGCCGTTCTGTTTGAGAGTTGAGCTGGCGTAAATGCTGCCAGGCAGCATGCATCCTTCTGAGATTTGAGCTCGAGCCACGAGCTCAAGTAACACCCATCCGTGCTCGTGAATTGAGTCCTCAGTTTTATGAATTCTAACGAAGTAAAGCGTGTGAGAGAGTGACGCAGGCGGGTCGAGCGCCTCCCTTGCAAACCAACCACTCTCCTCCAAACACCCACCATCAAAAAATGGCTCGCAGTCGCTCGTCCACCCCAGACCGCCGGGACATCGATATGGACCTCGACTCCCGTCCTACAGGCGATACCAACAAACCCGACGCCAAAGTTGTCATCGTCACCAACCTCACCCGCAACGTTGTCGAATCACACCTGCGCATCGTATTCGGATTCTATGGCGAAATCACAAAAGTCGACCTCCCTCTGTTTGGAAAATGTGCGTGCCCACCTCATAGACTCATACACAGGACTGTAATGCTAACGGAGCTTGTGAAATACCACATTTTAGCCGGCCAAAATCGAGGAAAAGCAGCACTCGAATTTGCAGACGCGTCGTCAGCCCACAAGGCAGCGTCGCACATGGACGGCGGACAACTCGACGGAGCAGTTCTCAAGGTTGAACTTTCAGATTTACCCATCCGGTCCCGTTCACGTACACCCCCTCCCCGTCGTGGTCGCAACGGTCGGGGACGTTCCTACTCGAGGTCGCTAAGCCGTTCGCGCTCCCCATCCCGGTCTCGTTCCCGTACAAGGTCCCGATCACCACCCTACCGAAGAGGAGGAGGATATGGAAGAGATAGAGACTGGGACAGGGACAACTACCGAGGTGCAAGAGGAGGATACGGAGGTCGACGAGGAGGCGGTCAACTGGGAAGGGACCGCGACCTCTACCGTCCAAACGTGAACCGCTCGCGCTCCCGTTCCCCAATCCGGCGCGGTGGAGGCTACGACAGTCGACCCTTCCCTCGTCGACGCTCTCCAAGCTATACTCGGGGCGGCTATGGACGAGGTCGGCGCTCAAGGTCTCGCTCGCGTTCACGCTCGTCCAGGAGGTCATCGAGAAGCTATTCTGTCCGCTCCAGTCGCTCTCGTACTCGGTCCTACTCTTCGCGCTCCCGTTCTCGGTCGAGGTCGTACTCTTCTTATAGTCGCAGCCGTAGTCGTACCCGCTCTCGCTCAGTCAGCCGAGGAAGGAGATCAGACAGAAGCTCCAGCCGAGATGACATTAGAGACAGTCGTTCACGGTCCCCTCGTCCAGCATAAAACTTGACACCAACGCACTTTTGCTTCTTGACCGATATTATACCTCCTGCTTTATATCTGATTTTTTCCACTTGCTCGTTCTTCTCTCTATCCTCTTCCCTCAGCTTGAAATCAAGTACGTAGATCGGTATATGACGTGTATATAATACATGTAACGCTCAAGATGAATTAAACAAGACGGTCCCTCAGTCACTGGAGATCGAATCGTCATCCGCTAGGAACGGCCTAGAAAAGGTCTGTCAGGAAAATCATCCACGAAAATAAATACCATACGTACTCATAGTCGTTTCTGATGGCGTTCGACATCCACTCCTCGTCAGCTTCCTGCAGAGGGAATCCAGGTCCTCCAGCAATGCTCAAGACGACGGGGAGAAGGACCAGGCCATGCAGAGCACCAGAGATGATCAAAGTCAACCACATGCGGAAGTAATAGATCTAAAGCATCATGTCAGTATCCAACGAAGCCTCCCAATAGAAGGAACGACATACCTCTAACAACTTGGATCTAGTCAACGCCAAGACACACATCCCAATGAGCTTTGTGAAGGTAATTCCAGACAAGACCTAACAGTAGTCATTAGCTTTTACGCGTTCTCTCATGCTGCTGCAAAGCACTCACCGCAGGCCCAACATCCACAAGCGCAGTCCACATCCTCTCATCCCTCTCCTTCTGTCCAGAAGGATGGTCGATCGGCAATCCCGAACCAGCATTCATAAATGCTCTGGCAACATGCGCACAAAACTCCACCGCGATACCCAAGCAAATCACAAGATTCACCAAGCTAATCGCGTTGAGACTGATGCCCCAGAGCGGCATAACACCCATCACCGCAACGACGGTGAGGCCAACGACTCCAGTGACGATCGTGCCGGTTCTCCACGATCCCAGTAGCACGGCCGTGACCAACAGCACCGACGCCAAACCCAAACCCAATACTTCCTGGGTGATGGCGACGATATGCGCATACTGGTCAAAGAAGACGTAGAACAAGGAGTACGGGAAGACCTTGGCCCCAATATCCTCCGAGATCTCGTCTGCGATGCGGTGGGCAGCCTCGAAAGCGTTGATGAAATCTTGCTGCGTCTTTAACGGCGAATGGAACGTCCTGAAATGCGAGGCAGTGACCAGGCCGTTCTCCTCGTCGATGGACAACGAGGCGCCAAAGGAGGCCTTGCCGCCAAGAGGACATTCTTGACTGGGCGGCGAAGAAAGCCAATGTTTCAGGTACCGGACAAACTCCTCGTCCTCCGGGAACCCGTCCATCGAGATGTTGTAAGGAGGCTCACGGTCGGCCAGGCAAGGCCTGCACATCCTCCCCATATCGTTAGGCCGGCAGAACACATTCGGATTCCTTTTGCGGACTCGGCAACACTGGTCTTTAGCCGGATCCAGCCATCCAAGGAACTCATCAATCCATGAAGCAGCAGGTTGCGAGATAAATGAAGACTCGGGTCGCCTGCGCTCGCCTTCGAGGCGAAGGGCGAGAGATTCCTCTCTGCAAGTCGTGAAACGACCGCAGAGAGCTTGTTGGCCAGGCCGTTTGGTAGGCTCGAGGTCGGTGGCAACAAAGTAGACGGGTGGTCCAACATCGAAATACGCATCCAGGTTGTCGAAATAATCCACGAGATACGACTCGGACGGCAGTGCCAACCGCTGGTCTAAAGTTCACAAGTTAAATGAACGCTCGGTAAATGCGTGCGAGAGCACTTACCGAGTCCGAGTTGGATGTGTTGCATTGAGATGACGGAGGCGACGAATAGGCCAGTAAATGTAATCAGCACGCCGGCCTTGACAGCAGGTTTGAGCAAGAAAGGTGCGTAATATCTGCGAATGAACTTGGCCAGACTTCCCAGCCCACCAAACGCGGGGGGAGTGTCCCTCAAAGCAATGCGCGAGGATAGCCTCACGCAAGGGAAGCAATCGACCCTGTTGGACTATCGAAATGTCAAGAATATGCCTAACGAAGTAGCTGATGCAATTAACATACCTCGGTGCGGCGCAAATCCAATGTCAAGGCACTGATAAAAACAGTGACTTGTAGAAGGGCGTTCAAAAAGACACTACCCGCGGCGTATAGCGCAAAGTTGCGCACAGCCGGCATGGGAACCAAAGCACCCAATGCAAATGCCGTCGTCTCCGTGATGGTACTCAGAAGGATTGAAGGACCCATTTTTGCCAGCGTCCTTGCGACACGTTCTTCAGCGGGTAGGTGAATAGGCATCGACGATGCATCTATATCCTCTGCTGAGTATTCGTAGGGGTTCCTGGATTGAGTAGGTGAAGTTGGTGAAAGGAGACTAGGCCCACTTGGTCCTGAGAATGCAGCGGTGGGGCCATGTAGCAAGTTCTGCCTATCCAACTCATTGACGAGCAGGAAGACATTGTCCACTCCCACTGCAAGCACCAAGAAGGGGATGACTTCGGCAATGATGAGCGTCACTTTGACTCCGAGGAAGGAGAAGAATCCGACAGAGGTGGAAACCGATAGGATGACCAATGATATGCCGAAAAGACCCAAAGTAAACTTGGAGTCGATAAACAGGGAGCGGGGAAGGCGGGGAAACCATGTTGGCGCATCTCGGGAGTCGACGGGTGCAGAGGAATGTTTGAAGAGTCTTGGGAAGTTGACGAACCAACGCCCGAGAGAGGCGAAAAAGCCATCTTCATCTCTGCTGGCTGCGCCATTCCCGAGCGTCATCGAGATATAGAAGAACATGGCCAAATAAGAGAGGACCACGATCTTTACATCCGTGTTGGTACTCTTGTTAATCTCCTCTTCCAGCGACACTCCGGTCGAGAATGCAATCTCGAGACCGGAGTCAGAGGGAATGTTGTCCTGCAGTTGGACAAGGAAGGCGCGTAACGTCTCCTCCCATTCCATCGCCCGTTTCTGCACTTCCGGATCCAAGGAATCAGCAACGACATACGTCACGACCATTGCCTCCGCCCTGAGGTAATCCGGATCGCCCAAGTCGGTTGTTGGGATGCCTCCAAGAACATAATTCGGTGCAAGGGGTTGCTGGAAGTCCGGAAGGCATTGAATGGGTGACGAGGCACATTCTACGAGTTTGGACGCCCATGTGTCGGGCTCGAGCTTCACCCCCCCGGGGCCGTACCATGCGAGAGGCGATTGCACTACGCACGCATCTCCCATTGGTTTGAAGCAAACATCGTCGAGGGTATAGCCGTTCGATGACTCCAACGCTCGTATCCGGTTTTCGATCTCGAGCCACTCCGTAAGGTGTTGATAGCTGAGTACGGGAGGTTTCTGGCCGACGATGATACCTGACGTCGAGGTATTGGGCTCGACCTCTACCGAGCCTCCGACAGAGGTGATGAAAATCTGCTCGGTACGATAGAAAGGTCCGAAGTTCTGGTCGAAGAACTCTTTTTGTAGCTTGCTCTCCGACGTGGGGGCTACCCATAACCTGACTGGGTCAGTCTCGACTTCAAAGTTCTGCCATCCTACATTGAGAATGGCAGCAACGGTGAAGACGATGGTAAACGTTAGCCAGGGGGACGATGCTGTCCACAAGCCCAGCTTATAGAAGAAACGGCGGAGGAAGGCGTTCAAGGGGTAATGGCGGGGCTGCATCGTCTCCACGGGATCCAGAAGGGATGCGCCTCGACCGAGATGCCGGGACTCTGATTGCGCCCCTAGTGAATCTTCATCGAAGTATTGGGATAGGGAGCCAGCACCAACAAGCGTCCTGGCGTGCGTTCTGGGGGAAGCCGAGTCGACCGAAAGAGCTACTCGCTCGTAAGCTTGTTCTCGCTTCCGACGAACAGCACGCTCGATTACGTAGCCGACGACAAACCCGAGTACAGCGAATGCGTATGCGAGGATGAGAATGAAGGAGAGGCAAGAAAGTAATCCAACGTGGCAAGTTGGACCTTCGCCTGGAGGCGGTACGGGTGGGAGGGCTGGACAGACGCTTGGACAATCGATACAAGAACAGCGGCTTGAGAGGTCTGCGTCTGAGCAGTTGCGTGCCTGTCGGTCTAGGGGAGATAGTTCCGGTGGAGATGCTAATGGAAAGTTGATCTGGAATGGACTCCCGATGTCGCCTTTCGCCTTGGTGCCTACGAACTTGAAGAAATCGTGATAATTCTTCGCCCCTCCACCAATAAAGTCCATAGCGTAGCTATTTGCTGAACCCATCTTCACATTGGCGCAACTGTCATAGAATCCCTTCTTATATCGTTCTGAAACGAAGAAGTCGACTGACTCGACCGCTTCCCGACCGGTTGAGGAGGTCTGTGTTGAAGTTACGTTGAGGAAGGATGCTTGTTGCGGGGAACATGTAAATGTGCAGAAGAAGGTTCGGAAGTTGTTTCTACAGGCTGGACAAGCGGATAGTAGGCCTTCAACTTGTTTGAAGTTCGCGTTCAACGTTGCCAACTGGTCCGAGGTGCAGCATACTGGCCCTGACGCGAGTTCCGGTCCACAAATATCTGATAGCAGGGCACGCGATTCGGGTTCGGTTATCTATGTCGTTTCAAAGACATTTAGCATACAGGACAGTCAGAGAAGTCTGGGACAAACCTCTACAGGAGGGCCATCATATGGACAAGGCACCTCCTTGCTGTTCTCGTTGTCCCTCCCGCAAGAATCACGAATGGCACACCTGCCAACGTCATTCTGAAGCCCTGTCATTGGATTATCTATGCTGGCTTGTCGCAGTATAGCAAGGGATTCAACAGAACATGGGCCCAGCGTAGTGATGAGAGTAAACCGAGAGTGACGCGATTCAGTTCGGCGCTCATGCTGCTGTGGGAATACTGGACTATTGCCACCGATGCCCAATTATCAAATCAAATAATTCCACTTATTTAGGCTTCATCGGTCCTTCGACATGTCGGCAACAGAATCTCCCAGTGTCAAACCCTCTTCCTCGGTGGCCAAACCCAGAAAACGCTTTGTGGGCACTAAAACTGCCAAATCCTCCAAACCAGGAGCTAGGCCTGTCTTGAGCCACCAAATTCCTCCCGAAATCTTGGAAAACGAGCAACTCAACGCAGCGATCAAGACTCTTCCATCCCATTATTCTTTTGAAATCCACAAGACGATCCATCATGTCAGGAAGAACGAGGCAAAAATGGTTGCCCTTCAAATGCCCGAGGGTCTTCAAATGTTCGCTTGCACAATCGCGGATATAATCGAGCGGTGCGCAAGATATCGTTGTATGGTCGCTGACAGTGGCATTGAATGGGGACGTTTGGTAGGTTCACTGATGCTCTGACGGTTATCATGGGGGACGTCACATACGGAGCTTGCTGTATTGATGATTACACTGCTGTTGCTCTAGGATGCGACATGATGGTCCATTATGGACACAGCTGTTTAGGTGCGCCAACTCAGTTCACCAAGTATGCTGAAGCTCAGTCATTTTTCACGCAGTCCCCATGAACGTCACGACCATCAAAACTCTATACGTTTTTGTCGAAATTGGCATCGACTCTATGCACCTCGCTGAAACGATCAGAATGAACTTCCCCGACGATCGCCAGACCTTCCATGAGACGCTCCTAGATGATGAGGAACAACGAAGCCGTGTCGCACCTGGGTGCCAGATCGGGCCCAGTAAGCAACTGCTTTTGGAGGGTTCTTCTCCTAGCACAGAGAAGAGCGATGGAGGCCATCTCGTGAAGAAAATCCCCACGAAACTGGCACTCGTATCGACCATCCAATTTGTGGCGGCACTTCAACGGCTGAAGGAGGACCTCGCAGCGGAACTCCCTGTGGAAAGCGAGAATAACTCCTCCCAACGGAAGCGTCAACTTTGGACGGGAGCATACGATGCCATCATCCCGAGGTCAAAGCCGCTATCTCCCGGTGAGATTCTGGGATGCACCGCTCCCCAGCTCAGCGACGTCGATGCACTTATGTCTGTCTCCAGTTCTTTTCCATTTCCTGAGCCACACTCACCAGGACCCGCAGTTATCTTGGTGACGGTCGTTTCCACTTGGAATCCATCATGATTGCAAATCCAAGCGTCCCAGCATTCCGTTACGATCCTTATTCAAAGAAATTGACTCGGGAACGTTACGATCACCATCAAATGCAGGCCATCCGCGATGAAGCAGTTCAGACTGCGCAGCGCAGCATCCAGGCGCTCTCGCCTGAGAACCGACCTGCAGAAGAAACACCCATTTGGGGGGTAATCCTTGGAACCCTCGGTAGACAGGGAAACTTCAAACAACTCCAGGTGCGTTTAGCTCCGACTATGATTATCTTTGGACACTCGTCTGACAATGAACGCTGAAGGCGATCACCCGCCAGTTGGAAGCATCCAATATCAGCATCCCTTACGTTCAAATTCTGCTCTCCGAGCTCTCCCCGGCGAAACTTTCCCTATTCAACCCGCACATCTCGACCTTCATCCAAACATCGTGTCCCAGGCTTTCCATAGACTGGGGATATGCATTTGAAAAGCCTCTCCTTAGCCCATATGAAACAGCCGTTGCTGTCGGGAAGAAACCGAGTTGGAAGGAGACGAAGGTGGTGAGGAAGCACGAGAAGGATACGATTGGGTTGTATCCCATGGACTTTTATGAAGCTGGAAGCCCGTGGGCTATATCGAGAGCTACTGCAGAATTTTAACACACCAGCGATAATCGAGGAGCAGAAGAGAAAACGAACTTTTGGTTTCGATGGTAGATAATTCCATGCGTATGACTGTGCTTCCTCCTGGATGTTGGAATTTACCCAATCTTTACGATTCGTGAAGCACTACCACCTGCCAGTGTGTGGTGCCTCGAGTAGACAAATCGAAGACCCGAACTGAGGAGCTTATCAGCTTTCAAACATCGCACTTCTGAATTCTTCTCGCACGTTTAGGTCTCAGTTATCTGGTGTCCCGTCGTAGATCCGCCTGCTGGGCGAAGGTCAACGAAAATAGCACACTCTGTCTATTTTTAGTTTGGTCCACCTGATGACTAAAATAGGTATAATCCTTCCAATTTAGGAAAACGACCATTTTGGCACCTTTTCTCAAGGGATGTCCGACGCGGACGAAAGGCCCTGACCACGACTAGTAGATAGTGGATCACCATTCCCTATGGACCTTCCCGAAGCTTAAGTAAATGGAACTCACACTGTATTTCAACTTCGATTCGAAGTTCCAGTGCGTCGACTCATTAAACATGTATGTCGTCACGTACCTTCCCTCCACTTGCCCCTGTCAGTAGTAAGTATAGATACGCTGTCTAGAAGACAGGTCAGTAGGCAAAGATGTGATACGAGCCTGATTAGGTCCGCTTAGCGCCCACCACGAGGGTGAGCTCATTCTGCGTCTCTTTCATCCATCCCATCTGATGACTCAGGTGATGGTGATCACGACTTGTAGCTTACGCTAAATTTAACTTTCCCAGTCAAGACAGAAAGGCCCTACCCGATACATCGTAGGACTGAGTTGAGACGGTGCAGCGGTATGGTCGTATCGAATGCGAACACGCATGCCGTTGCAGTGAGCATACTAGTACTATTCCAGTGATGCTTGCAATTACAGCTTATTGAGGATACAACAATTCAGTGATAGAGGAAGCACTTCCTCGGACCCTCTCCTCTCTAGCACCCAGAGAGAAAGCAAACACAGGCTTCGAACCCTGTAAGGGTCCATAAAACAAATTATTGTCGCTAGTCGTGCTTCCTCCACTGAATAAACATAGTGCTACGTTTCCAGGGTGAGCAAAATCTGCTGAGCGATTATGGCTTTAATCCCTATCTCTCCTGCTATGGCAGCGCGAGAAGCGTTGTCCATCTTTTTCATTCATTCGCGTCAACCAATCAGTCATGCTGAGCTCCTTTATGTCACTGGCCAAGCTGACCCTGAATACTTTGTCGCGGATTCAGAAGCACCGTTTGAGGAGCTAAAGTGACCATTCTACCTTGGAAGAAACTGTCCCCAATTGCTTCTGCTCCATTTACGAAGAGAAGACCATAGACCTGCCCTTATCTTGCTATCTCTCAGGGCACTTCTCTGCCTCCGTTAGTAGCGCTGGTGACCGGTGTCAGGCGCATTTATAGGCTTCCGAGTCGCTTCTCTCACAGCTAGGGCTCAGAGTGCTGACACCTTGGAATCCGAACCATGGCCTGGTACTTGAATCTCGGAACCGAGACCCTTGGGGCGGGTCGTAGCAGGGCACCCGGATTTCCGCTATGAGCAGCGCTATATTGAGTCCAGCCCTGAAGTTCGATTCAATGATTCATGAAATGCCATCGTTTCTTCAGTGCCTAGTCCCGACTGGCTCCAGTGGGACGATGGGCGTCAGCCCGAGCCCCGGTATGGTCATCTGGGCGACAAAGCTAGATTTGAGCCATTGAGTCAGTTGACTCGTTTATTGCAAACTACTCCTTGCGAACTCCTTGCATCTCGGGATCCTTACGCCGTTCGGACATCCAGCTATACACGATCGCGACTGTTGAGCAGATTCAAAGGAGTGCGCATCAGAGGCCATCCACGTACTCAGGTCTTGAAGTCCTGCATCCACCAGAGCTCAAGCAATTTACACCCTTATCACAAAGAGCCATAAAAGCTACCAGCAGCCGATAACAAATCATTCCCCTCCAAAGCAACCAATCAGCTATGTTCAAACCGCACATGGCGGAGGCGGTGGCGGGAATTGAATATGGACTTGAAGGTCCCTTGGGTCTTCTGAGTGAACCCGGTACTTGGATATGCACATTCAGCAGGAGGATACATCGTCAACGGCCCCGATGCTCCTTTTCGGGGCGCATCGAGGTGAGGAACTGGGGCGTTGCCATGCTCCTGAGCATGAACTCCCGAATGGAGAGTGTGAAGAGAAAATGAAAGGACCCCGATTCCAGACGTGGTTAGTACCTATAGTCTGAGCCTCGCAACGGCAGAGGAGCTGGGAATCTGGTATGTTCAATTATTCACACTTTCCTCTTACCCTGAATAGTACGGCTGCGTCTTTGATGATGCAATCCACACCTCATCCCACCTTCTCCTGCTTTTGACATCCCTTCACGTTTCACATTAAAGTATGAGTTTCTCTCAAGACTCTTCCTTCCCTTTGTTTATTGGGTGGTTTAAACTCGTGACTTGACGTGACTTGACTACTAGTCTCTTTGGTTCGAGGTGGATGAGCGATAACACCTGAAACAAGGGCATTGTGCCAGGTACATACTGAATGCATTCCTGCATGCCCGTTGTCGCGATCCCCGAGACTCTATCCCTTCTCGTTATCCCCTTGTCGCTGCACTGCTCCAACACTGACAACAACCAACAAGGACCGCAACACTCAAGGCTCTCGCTTTCGACATACCAAACGGCGAACTTGTGACAAATGTGACGTTCGAAAAATCTTTTAGACGCCGGACGATGAACCTTGAATTCGAATTCACGATCGGACTTCCTTTCCGAGGAATAGGGGGGATGATCTGCACAGGAGAAATCCAGGATTCCACCCTCGTTCCAGGTGTCTAGCAAGTAACCGGACTTTCGCGCTCCTGCTTCCTCCAAGCATGCAAGAACCATCTGGTTCCCCGGCAGTGTTACGACACCAAGCTCAAGCTAGGCTCCATCGGGCAAAATCCGTACCGACGACCACCTTCCAGGGCCCGTCAAACAACCGCCAAAGGCCTTCAGAAACGGGCTCAGGCCGCTCAGCTTCGTCCACTTCCGTCAAGATCAGATTTAGCAAATTATCGGATTAGGGCTCCACTCCGCTCATCTCATCCCCGACAAGTATATATTTGTCTGTGTAACTTGCTACATGCTCTTCTACTCCGCAGACTGGTCAGAGGCTCAGGCTTACCTACTGAGAAGAGTGGAGTCGGGGTGTACATCTCACATCTTAGCCTGAGCCTATGTGCAACGATCCGTACCATTGTTCAGGTGTTCAATCACTTGAGCTATCATCGTGCTCTTCTCGAGACCTCGAAACTTTCTATGTAACGACACCGTCTGATTTGCTTGTGTACGTACAACAAAGCAGAAACTCCCGAGCTCGATCTTCGGCCGACACAATCATAGAGGAAGGATTGGCGTCGTTACGTTCATGAACCAACCCCTTTAACGTAGGTGCTGACAGGTGCTGACCGGTGTCCACATACTCCCGCCACCCACGCAATTCGCGAAGCAGCGCGAAGCTCCCCTCAGACTCTAAAACGATGATGTGCTAAACATAGCCTCAATCATCCTCTGTCGTCGCGCACCTGAGTGTCGCAAATTCCACGCAATCGTCTTCGCCCAGGCGTCGACGTCGACAAGCCAGGGCCCCTCTTCCGATTGTTCCCTTCCCATCCCCAACTCAATTGATTCATTCATAGTACTTACGGGAACGCGTCCTGACGCACTCGCCGATGCTTGTACATACGCCTCGACTATCTCCAGAAGGTGTTCCCTTGTTTTCGTCCATCATCGAGTGAAAATTTCATGACATTCGAGGGTGAAAAAGTTCCATCTCGCCTATGAAATGAAGATGAATCAATTCATCGCACCGCCCCCCGATCCCTGACAGACCGAGGCGAAGGGTGATGGGACCCCTATTAGCATCCCGAGATAGGCGCCGTGAGCCTCGAGGCCAGTTTCGGGCGCTTGGCGCGCGCCCAAGGGCTTTGATCACCCCAGCGATTGCCCACGTTCCTTCCATTCGAAGTTCGGTAGGATAGACAATGCAGTTGAAATCAAAATCGTTCCGTTATTGAAAAATTTCAATCGCATCGCTTGCTCCCTCATCGGATTTCTTCTGGGAATCGCGAATGTCGGGAGCAGGAGCAAGGCGAAGGAGGCCAACGAGGGCAACCAAGTTCGTTCCCTCCGTGCACCAAGGAGGCTGGTCCAAGTAACCACCATTCAGTGTAGTCGTGGAGCGGTCTATTCATTCGACACCACCCCTTTCTCCTTCCTTCTCAGTTTGTCTCTCATCAACTACAATTTCTCCCTCGCTTGTCAGGAGTATGATACCATATACCGCATAACTCCTTATCGCAGCCTTCCATCATCCCTATCAATGGATTCGAATCATTCTTGGCCACAATGGGATGAGTCCCTCAGACTCCCTCTTTCCTGATGAAGCGGGATTCTTATCCCTGGGATTCGCTTTCCGTCCCGACGTCCCGACGTCCCAGAGATTCCAGAGTTCCGCCTCCGTAATCCTCAACAATCGCTTGACATGGTTATTGGGAAGATATTCAGCACAACAGGTTTTCCTGTGCACCGAATTCTCGGGACTCGGGACGATCGTCCAAAATATGGCGGGAGTGAACAAAGGAAACGATAAAGCGGCTCTTTCATACAACATCGTTTTATTACCCTGGTGCAAGGATTTCGAACAAAGACAGGATCCACGAGGTAAGGGCTTGCATACAACTTCGCTACTGCAACAGCGGGATGACGTCGATCGTATGTCGGGCTCGGCGAACTGGCGTCACCACTCCCTGTCAAACTCACAAATACAGTATGGAATGGCACATCAACCTCATCCACTACACACCTCACAGGGGACAACAGCCGCCACTTACTTTGTATCTGAGACGTAACTGTCTCATCGAAGCCGAGGTATATAGGTTCGTGGACAGCTGCAGATCCAGGGAAGAGGCAGGCGAAATCAGAATGCAGCGCACTGCCGCGGCTGGAGTGAATTCGAAGTGCGAGCAAGGATACTTTTAACCATAAGCTTGCAAGGAAGTTAACAACAATGATTCGAATGTACGTCCGGATGACGAGCACAAAGAGTCATTGGCGCTGTGGCGCTGGACGCTACTTGGAGCGCTATTTTTGGTTGCTGATTCGTAGAACCGTCATCCAAGCGTCGGGATTCTACCAGCGCGGTTCAGGTGATTGGGTATTAGCGTTTCGTTGATACCAAAAAAGAACGATTCGTACCAGGGAACGTCTTCCTTCAGGGTGTTAGAGCATCCTAGGACATTGGGCCCTGTTAGTCGTTTCAAGCATGAAATTATGGCTATTGGTGCAGTGGCGCGAGCCCTGAAAAGGATACCTACCTCCCCCATATCACACATCTGACCCGACTCCCCGTCCCAGAACCTTTGGTCTTACCAATTTGACCAATAGCCCTGGTTTTGACCTGCCATTCCCGTCCCAAGCCTTGACCTGTCGCGGGAGTGAAGGGTGTCTGATAACACTACACTTCACAAGCCGTCGTAACCAGCTGAAGCCTAGCGCCCTCTCCAACCGAGGTAACCACCCCCACGCCCTGTAAAGTCGGGACGGAAATGAATTTCAGAGGCATGGGACAAGTTCAGTTCATTTCGCTCTGCGAGCGTTATCTGCCATACCGCTTATCCTTATCTCGGGTTGAACGATACACGCGCCAGGGTAGTGGTGGTCACCAGGCCGGATGCGATCGCTATCCCTGGGTTCCGTTTTCTCGCTATCGACGCACAATCGAGTGGCAACTTCCTCATGAATAGAACACCCCTCGTTCGTCAGTGCAGTTGGGAGGATAAGGAATTCCCGTCGGGGCGATCATTTGAATTCTGGTTCCTGCGTTGTTCCGCTGAAGAGGTCGGAGGCCCCTCAGGTCGAGTCGAGCCTACGCGATTAGGAATCCATTGCAGCGATGACAGCAATGGATACACCGACATTACGAGCACGTTTAGCCGTGGATGCCACGTTCGTACCCCTGGGAAGGCAGGTAGAGACATGAGCACGACATCGACGCACAGCCAGAGGCGTACGATAGATACCCAGATAAGGAGAGCCCGACCCAGCAGAGGAGCGGATTCCGTCATGGCGCATGATAAGAGCAACGCCCAACGATTCGGAAAGATGCGCAGAGAGAAAGAAGCAAGGAAGGTTTTATGAAAGTGATGACATAGAGAGGACGACAGGGCCTAAAAAGTCAATTTGCCATAGACTTGCCTTCTCGAGCTTGTATTTCTGCATGTTGTGATATCGAGTTGCGGACGAAAGAGGCAGGAGCGAGGTTTGAAAAAGGTATCTCGGAACCGTAGGACCGGATTCAGTTGTGTACCCGAGCCAGGGAAGCCAGGATTCCAGCGGATCGTGGGATTCAGAACCAGGTTGGATATGGACGACGAGGAGAACGCGACGTCAACGCCAGCAGCGATCTACTTGACGATTCCTCCGCGTCTCTACCAGGTGCCACTGGGGGCAGCGTCACTGGGATGTGCCATTGGATGCATGCGTGGGGGGCGTGCGGCGTCGATGCGGTTCCTGGCTGAAAATGTGCACCGGCCACCGACGACGGTACAAGGGTGGTACTTTTACAAAAAGACGAAGAACTATAGAGTGATGCTCGGTGCTATCAAGGGGGCAGCAAAGGAAGGAGGACGACTTGGAGCGGTGAGCCTACTGTACGTTGGGCTGGAGGAGGGGATTCAGCGACTTGGGGAGCCATGGCAGCACCTGAGCGAAGTGGGTGCAGGAGGGCTGACTGGAGGGATTTTTGGAAGCATCTGTGGGTTTGGAAATTGTTTGAATTGGATAGGGGACTGATTCGGAGAATCTCAGATCCAGGAAGCTTTAAACGGGTTTTGAGCATGGGACTTGGGATCGGAATGACCTTGAAACTGCTTAAGGAAGCAAGAGGTCGAATTTAGTGTATAAACCTATAAAATGTAGACCCACGGACAATGGATGTTCCTCCAATTTTTCCCGCTCCAATGCGAGTCGAAGTCCACAATGCTCTTCCAAAACTTGAACCTCTCCCACCAACAACAACTCGCATTGTCGTCACGCGATTCATGATTGGCTGGCCACAAGCTATCTCGGCCCTGACTCACCGAAAACCTCTCCCCGCGACCACCATGTCCTCCCCAAGCCCCTCCTCATCTTCCCCTCTCAGCGCATCCAGAGGACAGATACATGTCAAGCTCATCAGCGCACGCGCCCTCAACGTCCGCAGCGTCCATGCACGCCCTTACGTCGTCGTCCAGTTCGAGCAGAACGAATTCGTTTCCCGCGACCCCACAGACGAGGGCGACAAGGAGGTCAAGGGCGTCGCAACCGCAATCAACAGCCTCAGCTGCTCCCCGTCGACACCCAGCATATCCAGAGACACAAGTAGCAGCGCCCTCTCAGCTCTAGGCGCAATCCATGCAAAAGCCTCAGCAGCGGCGGCCAAGGCGGGTAGGCCCGTGGTCCAGAAGACTCCAAGCACGACGTCAATCCACCTCCACCCTCCTTCGGCACCCTCAGTGCGCACATCGAGCACATCGAGCACATCCTCAAACACCAGCACAAACGCCGGTGGCCTCTTTTCTCGACTATCAGCACACAATCCCGTCTGGAAACACGAGGTCTCTTTGTGCGTGTTACCCTGCTTTTTTGCCAGCGAAAAAGGCGTCTGACTCCACACTGCTTGCAGCGATGTGACATCAGAAGACTCTCAAATCACACTCAACGTGTACGATCGTGCAGCATCTGACCAGGGTTTCTTGGGCACCGTTCAAATCAAACCCATCCTCGTCCACGACCACACCGTTGACCAGTGGTTCAAGTCGGTCCTTTATCAATTAAGCCCGATGATCCGATACTCATTCCTCTCTTCCCGCAGACTCAAACCCTACGAAAACGAGCTCGTCACAGGAGAAATTCGAGTCCAAATCACCTATGAACAGTACAAGGTTCGTCATTCACCCGTTTGTCAGATTTCAATTGTCACCAACATCGATGCTCCACTCCATAGACCAAGCGCGCGCTCACCCCACGCGATTTCGAATTCCTCAAACTCATCGGACGAGGCACCTTTGGCAAGGTGTTCCAGGTACGCAAGAAGGACACAAAACGTATCTACGCCATGAAGGTTCTCTCCAAGAAGGAGATTATTGCCAAGAAGGAGGTGGCGCACACGATCGGCGAACGCAAGATCCTTCAATATTCCCTCTCATGTCCCTTCCTTGTCGGCCTTAAATTCAGCTTCCAAACTGATATGGACCTCTACCTCGTCACCGACTTCAAGAGCGGCGGAGAACTTTTCTGGCACCTGCAACGAGAAACCAGATTCAGCGAGGAGCGGGCTCGGTTCTATGTTGCGGAGCTCATCTTGGCTTTGGAACACCTCCACAAATTCAACATCGTGTATCGGGATCTCAAGCCCGAAAACATCCTCCTCGACGCCACAGGTCACGTCGCCCTGTGTGATTTCGGACTCTCGAAGGCCAACCTCAGAGCCGACGAGCTTACCACCACCTTCTGCGGTACGACCGAGTATCTTGCCCCTGAAATCCTCCTCGACGAGCAAGGGTATTCCAAGATTGTCGACTTTTGGAGTTTGGGAGTTTTGCTATTCGAGATGTGCTGTGGATGGAGTCCGTTCTACGCGGAAGATGTCCAGCAGATGTATAAAAACATCTGTTTCGGGAAGATTAGGTTCCCAAAGGGCGTCATTGGAGAGGACGGGAAGCAATTTGTCAAGGGGGTCAGTTATCTTATCTATCCTCATCTTTGGGATCCACAAGCTAATTTTATGGCCAGCTCCTCAACCGCAATCCCAAGCATCGACTGGGTGCGCAACGTGATGCTGAAGAACTCAAGGAACACCCATTCTTCTCATGCATTGACTGGACCGCCCTGTCCCTCAAGCAAGTCACTCCGCCTTTCAAGCCCGTTGTGGAGTCCGATGAATCCACCAACAACTTTGACCCGGAGTTCACGGAAGCCGACATTCGCGACCCCAAACTCGCCGGGATGTTCCTGGACGATGAGGACGACCACGATGATCTCGGATACTCGAGCGACAAGGGCGGGAAGGAATGGCTGGACGAGGATGATCCCAGTGAAGATTGGGTCAACGCATACGAGAAGGAGAAGAACATGGGCCACCATACCCCTAACGGCCCTCTTGGTTGGGAACTTCACGCAAACAAGGAGAAGAATGAACATCCTCCCAAATCCGCCAGCATCCAGATCAAACCTTCAAAGAAGGCGGCCAAGAAGCACGCCGGCACGCCATTGACAAGCAGTGTCCAGGAGAACTTCCGCGGATTCACCTACAGCGGCGGCGAGAGTGTGGTGGCAAGCATGGCTGCCCATGCGATGAGGAACCGAGACAACGACTGGACCACCCAACCTAACCTCAACGGCCACGATTCCCCCGCTGCCTCCCATCCTCCTTCAAGGAACGGGAGCGTCGGCAGCCACGACGGGGTCACATTCTCGACAAGTAAATCACGGTCGAAGAAGCTCCAGGACGAGAAACAAGAGCCAACGACGGAGGACGAGGCATATGACTATAGTACCAGCGCCGGCCGCCTCGCCAATGCGAAGCGGAAGGAGGTCAAGTGGGTGGACAGCGAGATTGATTTTGGGGATTTCTAAAAGGGCAAGTGTGTTTTGTGGCTGGCCTCTTGCTTTGTCGTCTCTCACGACAATGCGGGGGGAGGAGGATCGCGGGTGTGCGATGGGATATACGTGCATATATCCATTTTTGTCTCTCGAGGCCGTTGTTCCTTGGAGAGTCACGCCCTTGGGCTCCCTTCCCTCCCTCCGACTCACCTCGCAGTCGACTTGTCCGTCGATTGCACTCTCTGCGAAACCCCCACCTCATCACTCTCGGGACGATATGACGTCACGAGTGCAATATTAACGGAGAGTTCTTCGTGACATGTCCTCATACTTCATCTCTTCATCCACTCATTACCGCATCTCGACCGCTTGGAACCGGTTACCCAATGTGTTACCCCTGTACATGGCCTTCACATTCCTAGACACAGATAGATTCAGCCTTCATTAACCGCCATACCCCGTCCCCTTGGATGCCACGGTTCCACTCACCTTCGCCAGTCGCCAGCTAGGCTAATGACGCTCTGGGCTGCTATGGCCTAGACATTCGAGTCGACCTCACTTCCGCTCACCCTGTCGTGCATCGCATGGAACTTACTGCTCCCGCACTTCACGCCAGACGACATGATCAGACCATCCATTGACACGAACACCGAACACTCGCACTTGGTCTCTCGCTTGCAATCGCATCATGCTTCATTCCTCGACCGCATAGGAAATGAACCCTGCCTCCATCCATATCATCATCATTTTTTCTTGGGTTTTACGCTGCTTTCCTCTTCTCCCTCTTCGTATCCTTCGACACCCTCCATCCATTTCTAAGCTTGCTCGCCATTTCATTATTCCCACTATCTATGCTCTCTCTCTGCTTTTCCCCATCAATCATCGCTATGCCCCAGTCGTCATATCCTTACCACCTTACCCGATAATGACCAACCACCCTTACCCTGCTCTGTACTTTAAAACGAAGAAAGGGACTATCCCATCCTTTCCTCGCTATCCAGGGGGGAGCCTTTCCAACGGACTTCCAAGTTCCCCCTACTTCGCTAGCTTGTACATATATCCTTATCACTTGCCTCTGCTTTCCTTTTCTCTTATTACTTCACTGCTTCATTCTCGCCCCCGCTTCGCATACTCAACCGCAATGTACAGTACAGAATCGTCGCATTCAATCCGCTACCGATCACCAACTTTGAAATACAGAATTGAATCGTGCCGTTCGTGTTTGCGCGAGAGCCAGCTATAAGTAGTATGCACTATGCGAAATTGGGGAGTGCATAGGAGCCAAGCCAGTCAAGGTTGGGGTGAGACCGAGCAATCATGAAACGAGCGCGAAAAAAAGGCGGCCGAGCAAGGATTCGAACCTAATACATAGCATACAGGGGTCTAGACCTGCGACGACCCTCAGGCAAGGGAAAAATCGTCCCAAGGTGATGCATGCGGTCCACCAAGATCCGGAATTAGGAGGAGGTTGGGACCTGGTGGGACGGACTGAGACGCACCACCCTGTCCATCGAACGGGCAGAAACGGGCGTCGGCTGCATCCAGAACCAAGCACTCTGGGGAGAAGGAAAGGGTAATGACAGGCGATGACGATGTGACTGTGGGGGTAGCGACCAAGCTTAACAAACTCTGGGGATGTCGGCGGAAGCAAACCAACCGAGGTTTGAGCAACCACGAGGGGAAAACTCCAAGGGGAAAAAGGGGCACTTCATGGTCAATGTTCGCAGCCGTGTCGTCAAGGAATGTTGATAGAAAAACACGGTCTATTGGGTGGATCGAATGTCGTACGACCAGGAAAAAGTCTGGGGGTAGGTAATTGGCTAGGAAAGCCCAAAGAAAGGGGGAAAGAGATATAGTAGATACAAAACCAATGCTGAATTACGACTAGTGGTACAGAAGGTCTAAGATACGATAAGTTATATGTTGAAATAAATAGGAATGCTGCTTGCTGTCGTGGAAAGACGTCTGAAATCGTGACAGGAGAAAGGGGGGGGGGGACTACTTGGAAATAACGAGGTCTCTTAGATTGAGACTCGAATTTTCCCAAAACCAAAGGAAAAGAAGATGTCGAAACTCAGAACCCCAAAAGTAATTTTGTAGGCGCAGCGAGTGAGATCAAGTCCAGGGGATGGCAGGAGTAAGGGAGGGCAATGGGGAGATTAAACGATGAAGGGACGGGATATAGTTGCGTACCGATACCAAATGCGATAGATGCTGGGGGCATAGAGGAGGAAGACTGATAGCGGACTCGCTACCAGTCGTTAAGGCTTTTGCAGTTAGGTCGCGAAAGGTTGATTCCACCACGTAGGAGAGGCGGAAGGACGAGACCTTTGATGAGGGTATTCTCGACAACGGAATCAACGTCGTGAGGGGTTACCCGGCCATACCACAGACCGGACCCAGAAGGTGTATAGATCTGTTCAAGGACGGATAGAAATCACGCCAGAGTCAGCCATATGTTTCACCCGAGGGAAAAGGAAGTCGGGAGACGGCTAAAGGTCTAAGCCGTTTGGTAGGAGTGATAGAAAGAGTAAGGAAAGTGTCTAGAGGAACACTTACGATACAATTACCGGCGTACTTGTGACCACCCACATGTGAGACTTTGACAATGAGAGCCCGCTTCGAGTCCGCACTCTCCCTGAGCTGAGCGGCTATATTTTCCTCCCTTTCCTCGGGGGTGACCGGGAGGTCTTCTAAAGGAGGACCCATCGTGAGAGAAGGATGCTCGATTTCAGTGTCTGCATCCCACCCCTGGGCTTCCAATGACTTGATGAAGGCTATACATCCAGAGGAAAGGCGATAAGGATACTTTCCGGTATCAACGGGTAAAACGAGGAGCAATGACTAACCGTGTTCTAGTTTTGGTGCAGCAATCCCACATCTGTTGTCGCGCTTTTTGTGCGAACCTATGGGTCGAGGGATGTTAGAAGCTTGGTTTGGAAGCAATCAAAGAAGTTGAGAACCCACAGATGAGGATGACACACGAATAGGGGAGGACCCATGTCTTGAGGAAAGACTTTTCGAGAAACGCGCCCTTGCGGTCAAGGTCCGGTTTGACTGCGCCCTCCCAGAGGTCCTCTGCTCCTTGCATTGACCTGCGGACCTCGGTAACCATTTTGTAGTCAGGAAAAACGAGGACTGTTTCGTGGTCGTCCTCCTGACATATTGTCCTGTGACTGCCGTTGAGGACAGATATCCGAGCCGAGTCCGAGGTATTGAACAGGCCGTTGACCGCGACCCGCCCGCCTTTACCGTTAGTCCGCCCTTTGGCCCCAGGTGAAGGTTTCGGTACGTTGGCCCTGTGCGAGACGTCGCTGAAGTGAGCTGCTAGCGAAGAGCGGTTGTCTGTAATGTCGCGTTCCCAGTCGGACTTTCCGGTGGAAATAACAATCTAGTCGCGTTTCCACAAACGGTTTTCGTCAACAACACTGTGAAATTTGAAAAACGCGGTGCTCGCGCGACCCACCTGGCGATGATAGGGCTTGACTGTCCCCAGCATTTGGGTGTCCATGTCGATGTCGAAGCGTCTGGGGTATGCATCATGGTGGCCTGTTGAAAGAGAAGTAGCAGATGGCGACAAGTGGTCAATGGGGAGTTGGACGTTATCAGATAAAGTTGGCGCACCAAGGTCACAAGGGTCGGAACATGAGCGACAGTCAGCTGAGGAGACTGGGACGTCGACTGCTCTGAGCGTCCCGCAAAGTGGGTCCGTTTCTTCAAAACCGAAGACCAGCGACGAAAGTCTTCTAAGCGACAACATTGCCTCGAGAGTAAGTAAGTAAAAGGGGTTTCCGTCAAAGGCCTCGAGGTGGTTAAAGTATCCGTCACCCGAAAGGCCAGACTCCCAGTTTCACTCCAATTACGTATCAGATAAGATCTTATGTCAGCATCCTTGGCTCCGCCAAGTTCCGTACATACCACCGTCGTACCCACTCATACTTAAGTATATAGGAAATTATGCCATCCACCAGCATCGCAGAATTCAGAGAGGTCCTCAGAAATGCAAAGAATATCATAGCAGTCGCAGGCGCAGGCCTCTCAGCCGCGTCAGGTAAGAGTGGCTACTACAGATTCAAATGGAATCTAACAACCTCACAAGGAATACCAACCTTCAGAGGAGCAGGTGGAATGTGGAGAAAGTATGACGCGATGTCGCTCGCTACACCTGAAGGCTTTGCAGATAACCCATCCCTCGTATGGCAGTTCTATCATTACCGTCGAGAAGCGTACGTCGGCACTCTATCCGAAATCTTGTTATCGGATCCTAACTCGCCCCTAGCGCACTCAAAGCGGATGTCAATGCAGCCCACCTCGCATTAGCTTCCTTTTCTATCCCAAGAATTCGCCACACCGTTGCACCGGGTTCCTCCTTCACCTTGATAACCCAAAACGTCGATGGACTAAGCCCACGAGCGATGAAGTGCGTGTTACAAGGTTGGGATGGAGTAACGTTGCCGGAGGACCCTCCGTATCTCATCGAAATGCATGGCCGGTTATTCGACGTAAAATGCACCCAATGTGACCACGTCGAACTCGACACAAGCTCTCCCATTTGTGAGGGCCTTGCCGGGACGGAAAAGCTTGTAGAGCAAGCCGTCCTCGATCCGGAAATCCCAGAAGAGAACTTGCCTAGGTGCAAGAAATGCGGGTCCCTCGCTCGTCCCGGAGTAGTGTGGTTCGGAGAAATGCCTCACGACCTTCCCCTCATCGACACCCTAGTCGAAAAGGCAGACTTATGTCTTGTCGTCGGAACATCGTCTACTGTGAGTTGCGAACACTCCCCGCCTTGTCCAGGCAACTGACGGAACCAGGTATACCCTGCTGCAGGCTACGCCAGCGAAGTAAGCGCCAATGGCGGAAAGGTAGCCGTGTTCAATTATGAACGAACCATGGGAGATGATGATGCCGACTTTCTCTTCCTTGGTGGGTGTGAGGAAACCCTTCCGAAAGCATTGGGTTTGCCCGACAAGCCAGCGTCGGAAGGTGCTCCGGCCTCGTCATTGTAGTGTAGCACGTCAATGCCTGGGGTCATTTGGACAGAATCGAATTGAAATATCATTAGAGCTGTATGAATAAAATAAACTGCACATGATATCAATCGCACGTCACAATTTCGAATAAACCACGAGAACTCACATGCAAAAACTAGCGTGTCTACTCTGCCTTCTTTGCTGGCGCTGACTCTCCCTGGACAAGCTCCAACCCAGGCGCAGCAGGGTTGAAAGGCGTAGGGTCCGTCCCATACAACGCAGCAACTGCCTCTCTCTCCCTCTTCACCCTCTGCAAACTCCAGTGTGCATCTCCCAGGTGCTTGACATCGTAAACACTCGTCTGCAACGACGTCTTGGGAGTGTCCCGCCTCTTCTCCAACGCAGCTGTCAGGTCCCTCAGCTGGAGTTCATTGTATGGCCTTGACTTGTTGTCAATAAGCGCTTCGTTTATTCGTTGCATGAGATTGTCTTCGTTGATAAACGTCTCGGATTGGTGGTACAGCGAGATGAGAGCGCGTAGTTTTTCTGGTGGGAGACGGCCAGCAGAGGCGGCCCCTCTGCGCGTTGATTTAGGAGCTGAGCGAGGTAATGAAGGGCCCAGGCGTCGCAGTGTTGCTGAGAATGGAGACATTTTCGTTAGGTTGGTGAGCAACGCGACTCCTTGTTGGCCAAAAGTTTTGAGTGAAGTGTCAGTGTCCAGTCGACTCCATCCGTGATGCCGAGAGAAAACCCTCCGAAACTAACAGGCACAAACACCGCGATCACAGTCGAGAACGCGTCTCCGGATGATTCTCCTTCTATTCTTCACGCCGACAATGCCTAATTTCACTTTTCGTCTTCCAGCATCGTTTTCTCCATCGTCATACACACATATGTCGATTCATCCTCCCAGTCTACTCAACAATTCGTCTTCAAATGACCTGGACGCTAGTTTCAACGGCGACGAATCCTCATCTACTGGTCCGCCATTGAAACGCCAAAGGCGATCTCTCACGAGCGTTAAAAACGACTCCTACATCTCTGAGGATAACGACAACGAGATTTCTAGGCCCTGGGAAGCATATATGCATGTCTTTCATCAAGATCCCCTGGTCGACCAGGACCTCCAGATGCGACTCGCTCGACGCGGAATCAAGGACGCTTCCAAGGCTCTCGAGAATGCAAACTATAACAATTATGAAGGCGCTGAGGCTCCTAGATCTCTCTTCTCTCTGGTGGACTCATTGGCTGCCCAACCTGCACTTCATCGACTGGCGATCTCGTACGAAACACACGACGCCAGGGACCTTTTAACACCCAGGCAAATCAACACAGTCACTCAAAATCAGAGCTCCTGCACTCGCCATGGACACGAGCATCCAAGGTGTGTGTACTGGTAGACGACGTGGTCTTTGCCAAAGCCGACTAAGCGGTACGACGTTCCAGCTGCGAGCAACCGCGCCTCATGGCGCCAAAAACAACCGCAACTCTCCACACCTCTGTAGACTGGAATAACGACCACGAGCACGACGTCGAGAACATTCCTCCTGGACATACCGACTGTATGCGCGTTTCTTCCACTGGAGAAGTGACTATGGACGATCAGAGGGCTACTGAGGGCGACTCTTCCAACAAAATCGCGCTTCGAAGCTCGAGCCGTTTAAAGTTGAAGCGAACTCATTCCAGAGTTGAAGGCACCTTTAACGCCAAAGACTAGACCTCGGCCTTTGCTTATGCGACAACACCTTGTCCTTATGTCGTCGCATCGGAATGTACACTTCTACTTTACACACTCCGTTTAACCAAGTCGCTTCCCGGTTCCCATGGCTCTGAAGCTTTCAGACTCCACGATCCAATGCTTGAAACAGGTCTTAGATTCCTGCCTATATGCTATTGCAGATGATTGTACACTACACGCATTGCCTTAAATACTCCAGTCCTTATTCCCGTACTAGCCGTAGCTAGTTATCATTTTACAGTTGAGCCTTTGCAAAACCGGCCTTCTCCAACAGAGCCTTTTCCTTCTTCTTGATTTCACGAGTCCTCTCGACGAGACGAGGGACGCGCTTGAGTTCGCGTTGGCCAACTTGTTGGATGTGGACGGCGTCAGGACCCTGTAGAAACACCATCAGCCACCAGATACAGGAAACATGAAAGCTGAAACAACGCACGTCAGCAATTCGGAGGGTACGGAGGCCAGCCCATCGAGCGGCGAGTTCAGTGTCTTGCGAGACACCCTCGGCACCGAAGGATTGGATAGCACGGTCGATGACAGTCAAAGCCATGGTAGGGACGACGAACTATAACAATTCGTTAGTCATTTCCCCGGAGACATAGGGGTAAAGGAACCGCGACATACCTTGGCAATACCAATCTCCTTGAGCGCTCCCTTGGCCTTGAACTTGTCAATCTGGAGTGCGGCGCTCAACACGAGCAAACGTGCACCCTCAATTTCAGCACGGGACTTGGCAATGTCGGCGACGACGGTGCCTGAGGACGGTCAGTCAGTCCCTGCCTCCGACTATGCCAAATGGATCAAGAAGCAGAACTCACCATGCTCGTACAAGTACTTGCCGAATGTCTTACGACCAGGATCAGTCACTCGCTGCAACATCAAGTCGAGAGCTCTCTGGGCATGTCCAATCGAGCGCATGCAGTGGTGGATACGGCCAGGTCTATAATCGAAATCAGAAGGAGCGCTCGTTAGCATGCTTCCCAGACCCGTTCCGTAACAAAACCACTCACCCAAGTCGGCCCTGGATAATCTCGAAGCCACGTCCCCAGCCGAGTACAAGGTTGTCCAGAGGAACGCGAACGTTCTCGTAGATGATCTCGCAGTGACCCTCGGGTGCGTCGTCGTAACCGAACACCTTCATGGGTCGAATGATTTTGACACCAGGGTGGTTGGCGGGAACGAGCACGACGCTCTGTTGGTGATACTTGGACTTGTTGTCCGGGTCGCTCTTGCCCATGACAAGATGCACAGCGCAGCGCGGGTCGCCAGCGCCGGAAATCCACCTGTGAAGCAAGGAAGACGCGAGGTCAGAGCAACTTTAAGACGGGCGAGAAGACGGCAGTACCATTTGTGGCCATTAATAACAATTTCATTGCCTTCTCTGCGGATAGAGGTGCGGATGTTGGTAGCGTCGGACGAGGCAACTACGAAGTCCAAGTTATGTGCATGAACCCAGGTCAGGTGAGAGACTACATACCATTCTTCTCAGTCATGGCGAACGCGGAACGGATTTCACCGTTGAGAAGGGGGATCAACCACTTCTTCTGTTGTTCGGGAGAGCCATAGCGGGCGAGGACCTCTGCACGCCAAAAGCCAGTCAGTCATAGTGTTCACCGAATGGGAGAGGTAGATGATCGCACCCATATTTCCAGTATCAGGGGCCGAGCAGTTGACTGCCTCAGAGGCAATATGTCCGCAATAGCCAAGGAGCTCAGCCATAACGCCGTACTATCGTGTGCAAGCAACGTCAGCCCACCGTTACGACGACAAACGCGTGCCCAAGTTAAACTTGGGATAAGTGGGGCGAACATACCTCCAAGTTGGTCAATGGAACACCATGCTCAGGGTAATGAGCCTTGCTCAGGAACAAATTCCAGAGGCCGAGCTTCTTAGCCTTCGCCTTCAACTCTTCGAGGACAGGGAGGACGGTCTTCCAGCGGCGCTCATCGTCGGGAAGTTGGAGATGTGCGAGCTTGTTGGCAGGCTCGACTTCCTCCTGTCATAACCACCGCCAACACGGGACCCATGTCGTTAGAGGAACACGTTCCGAAAGCAAGGGGCAAACATCCACGCACCTCGAGGAACTTGATAAGTTTGGCAAGAGTCTCCTTCGCAAAGGGGGAGAACTTGTCCTCGATCTAGACCTAGTAATTAGCACTAACGCCCGTTCTCCGACTTCTCCACGACGAACTCACCAAAGCCCACGAAGACGAGGAAGTATATTCAGTGATAGGATGCTGCGACATATTGACAATGGTGGTAGGAGAGAAGAAAGGAGTGAGTTACCCCACAAAACGCGGTGCGAGGTTCAAGTTATGAAGGAATTCGAGACGCCGCCGGCAATGCTATAACCGGTGCTTGTGCGCCTGGTCCATCAGTACCCCGGATCGCGGCCTTTGGCGACTGGGACGGTTGCTGATCAGGTTACCGGAGGTCAAACGTTGCCGTCGCAGGCTCACTCAGGAGTACACACACACGCACACTTGATTTGGAGGGACATGGACTAGGCATACGTTCGTTAAGGATACATCGGTGGTGGTCGTGCGTCCGTATAGACACATCTTCAAGGTTTAAGTATGTGAGTATTTTAGCAAAGGAAGAGATTAGAAAGAGAGACGGTCGTAAGGTAGGCCTAAAGGTAAGTATATGCAAGGAAGTTCGTAAAGGAAAAGAAGTACGTATGTTGAGTCGTAAGAATACATTCGAGGAGACGATAGATATTTATACACAAAGAGACTTTTAAACGATACGGTCCACGTATGCATCATAAAAACATGGAAAAAACCATCACGAAATAACCGTGTAACTATGAGGAGAAACGAGGAAAACATCGAAAAATGGGAAAGCAGTAACGTCCATGATCCCTCAGTCATCATCGGTGAATACTATCGGGTATGATAGTGTTGTCCGCGCCGAGGTTAAAAGAGAGCTCGGGATCATACGCGCCGAAGGTGCCAGCGTCGTAACTCTGCCAGAGCGCGTCATGGTCCGTGGAGTATCCCCCTGCTCTGAAGTTCCTGATATAATCCAGGCCGCTGAAGGGTAGGCCGGAGGCTGCAAACGCGGACGAAGGAGGGGTAGTGGATAATGCAGACAGAGGGTTGGTCAGATCTGAGGATGGATCATAGCCTCCAAACCCACCGTCCATGGAAGTATATGCACCATAAGAACTGTTGAAGAGGGTCGGGTCCTGAGGGCCCGATCCGAAATCGCCACTACCACCGTTCCACTGTTGAAGGTTAGATTGGGTCAATGAGCTCGGCTGGACCGTAAAATCATATGGTGCAGTCGGTGAGACCGGTGACTGGAAGTTAGTATAATTGGAGAGTTGCGGACTCGGCTCAGGTTGCGCTTGTTGAGGCGCCGGTTGTGGCTGGGGCGGTTGTTGCGGTGGATTTTCAAGGACGGTCATTGCAGGTGAAGGAAGATTGACAGAACCCGGGGAACTATGTGGGCTAGAGCCAGCTTGCACGGGGCTTGGGAACGATTGATATATTGGGTTAGGCGCTCGTTCTCCATCCTCGTCATAATGCCTTCTCCGGGAAGTAGAACGGGCACGTTGAGCACCTGAAGCGATAAGAGGAAATTAGTGCCGAATATAGATGTGATGCACTAAAAGATCCACATACTGTCAACGCGATACGGTGAAACGGCAGCCATCCTGCGAGACGATGTCGTGCCAGGATCCCTCGATTGATTGCGCCTCGTTCGCGATTTGTGTACCCTCCCGCTGGATGGAATCGAGCTCGTCGTCGTACCACCAATGGTAACGGAGCGTCTTCTTTCATGCCTTGAGGTAGGTGATGTAGGAGTGGCATTGGACGAGTTCATCTCTTGCTGCCCCTTGTTCATGGCTTCAGAAGCGGTATTGATGAGCTCAATCAATAGCTCTTTGCATTTGCGCGCCCCGGGCCACTGTCCTTCCCAAGATTCCACGGCTGCAATCGTGCTTCGCGCCTCCTCCATGGTCATCTGGCTTCCGCGGACGTCAGGTGTGTGCATGGAGAAGAGGAGGACAATGACTGCTGAGCTGAACAGATTCTGAATGAAGAATGCCAGGTGGTGCGAGGGTGGAACGAGCGTCTGGAAAGATGGTGCCAGTTTGATGCAATGCCGAGCGGTCGAGACAGCTTTCAGCGTCGATTTTGCCGTGATTGTTTCATCCCGCTTCACAGGCAAGAAATTTCGGTGCAGCGTTGTTACCAGGGAGTAATAATGACTGCAGAGGACGATGCCGATCGAAGCCTGCTCGTCTTTCTGAGGTTGCGTCTTGTAGACTGCAGGAAGGTCGTTGCACCACTTGGTGAGTTCGTTATCCAAACTCTCCACTGTGCGCTGTAACTCCGCCTTCTTTTCTGGTTCCAGATATTCTCGGCACACGTCCAAAGCGTAAACCTGCCTGAGCATGCGGCCACCGATCTCGTAGAGCTTGATCATGAAGATGAAGCCTGCCATGAGCGAGGGCTGAGGAAGTTGGGTTCCTTTGTAGTACTCCGCCAAATGCTCGTCATCCACATCAGCCGGCAACTCAACGTCGCAATCGGCATCATGGATACCAAGAGGCCGCCCCAAAGCAAGCGCGAGCATTCGATCCAGGGTGTAGACGCCCCACCAGATCTTCTTCCGCGTCTCCTTGTCAATGTTCGATATATTCAATCGCCGAGGAGACCTCTGAGCACGTGAGAAAGAATTGTGAATCGAGAACGGGGTCCCAAGGAAAAGCGAGGGTTACTTACATGCAACCCCAGATCTTGACCTGTGCGAACGGCCTGCCCAATCAGTATCCACGCTTGGGGAAGGCAATTGATAGAGCATAGGAAGGAGGAAAGTAGAATTGAGCATTGCACATGGGCAATTTGCATGTTGGCGTGGCTGATGTATTGCAAAATGAGGGCGCTAAGCAATTGCCGTTAGTAATGGAATTGCCGAGTGTTTCTAGAATTTACCGTTCATAATACACCATACCCATCCCACCGTCATCCTGCCGTCCTGACGCCGCCAAACGGGGGTCAGACACCAGATTCGCCGCACATGCAAACACCGCGAAAACTAGTGAAAGGAATGGGGTTTCCTTTCGGATCGCATTTACATTGGCTTGATTGTCCATCAATTGCTTGTACTTCGTCAAGAAAGACGGTTTGTCAATGACGGGCATTAAGTAATGGAGTCTTGCAAAATACGCTTCAACCTAATACCCGTGTCAGAAGATACATTGACAGCGATAAGTGTCCTCCACTTACCATCTTGTCCGCAAGATCGCGTGGAGGATACTCGACCTCTTCAGGGCCAGGTAAGGCGCGGACCTTTCCGAAGAAAACGGCTGCAGGGAAGTAGAGCTTGTTCACGCTTGGGCCTGGAGCTTGAGGATCCTCCTCCATTGGTGATATTCGTTGATTGGAATCAGTCGTAAGAGCTTTGAATGACTGGATAAGCGACATCGTTGATGAGCCTCCAATCCAGCGCATATGGCCATATTCATCCAAAGCAAGTTGGCCGAAAGATTCGCTGAAGTCGTCATCGACGATGGAGGAGGCATCGGGATCGGTGTTCGAAGGTGAGGGGGCAGAGTTGTTGTTCGCAGTACTCGTTTCAGGTTTAGATGGGGCAGGCAGGGTAGCAGGCAAAGAGACGGTCGCCCCATTGAGATCAACGGTGTGTCCGGCAGCCGTCAGAGCTGGTGCAATTTGCTGGAAGAGTGCTTCCATGTGGAGTAAGCGGGCTTCGAGCTCTTGGACATAGCTAAACCCATGTCAGCCCATATCCAAGTTGGAGGAACTGATAGACACGTACTGTCGACTGAGGGCAGCCCTATCTTTAGTTTGGAGCCAGGTGCACTGGGACCCTGACGCTGTGCACTGTGCACAAGTGGGTTCGACACCATCGCATTTGATCTTCTTTCGGCTGTTAAGAGCAAGGTTTAAAGTAGCTATTAGTTGTCCAAGTCTCGAGAAATGGCGAACAAAGCGAATGCTCACCGACAGCTCTCGCAAGCTCGCCATACTCGTCTCCTTTGCAGCTGGATTGGTTTTGTGCCCGCATCTGGAGGCAAAGGGTCGTCTTCGATGCGTTTCTTCTGTTTCTGTGTGGTTGTGGATGTGGATTCTTCGCCCTTGGCCATTATTGAGGGAGATGGTGGTAAGAGGTGAAAGAGCGTAAATGTATGGATGTGTGAAACAAGCTGAGCGGATTGGACCAGAACGGGCGATGCACCAGCGTGCGATGCGATCGCTCCGGATTTGGCTTTTCGAAGTGATGCTTTAAAACGCCCGTCGGTCTGAAAATACCAGCGACTCAGGTTCAGGGAAGGGGCAAGAAAGCAGTGTACAAATATCCACAGTCTGATGTCTTTTATATGACTCTCTGGGCCTCTGGGAATGGGATCCGCTTAAAATTTCCAGTGACAGTGTGGCACACAAGGTAACACTTCTTGACCGCGGGTGTGATTGTCAGAATCCACACGGTGCTCAAGGGGTAGTCAAGTTGTTTCGACGCCGTCTGGGTATCGATAACGGCCAACTTGGGCATCGATGTCCGAGATAGATGCAGCTATAATTGCCGACCACGGCCTATCCTCTTCAACGTCATAAGCTACCGAATGAATTCTGCCCAGTACACTTTCTCCTCCTCCTCTACTGGCGATTTATCTTTAGAACATGCCTAGGAGCCAGTGGCGAGTAATATGATTATTATCGATGGATTCTGGAGCTCCTATTGTCACAATAAGTCTCCTTTGGCCGTTCCTTGCGGCGTCAAGTAGCTTCGAGTCTCGTAACGAGTAGCCGCGCGCGGTCCGAACCTCATACACAGCAACTCATGTTCTTATGTCAAGCCTTCTTCATCTTTCCTCCGGGAATCTAGACAAGTTGGGTCCCTAAATGAATGACGACAACTCGACGCCCAGCCATCGCACCAAGGTCCCACACACCGAGCAGGACAATAACTTGGAGTCATTAGTGAGCGAATGACTGCATCTCATTTGTCGTTTACCTTGAACTTGCCTTTCCCGGGTATAGCGTGACCTTTTAATGGCCAGGGCCTCTCGTAACTCTACATTCCAAGGCAAGATCATTCACCACAAACCTGGAAGGGAACGAGGAAGAGCAGGTCCTGATCTATGACATAATTGCCGAGCGATCCGGTGCCGTCAGGTCGGTCACGTGATCCTTCAGTTTCATGGAGGCTAGTACTGTCACCTGTGTCTTTCTTGTTGTCAGCGTCAAACACGACGACCACCACCCGCCCCAGTCTTCAACAATGGCCGACGTAGAGTCCACTCAACCTCCAGCAGAGAACGTCCCGGAGACGCCAGCTGATGATGCAGAGGAAGATAAAGTAATTGCTCAAATTGTATATTGTCCAATGTTGATCAGGAAGCTAACCGTGTAATCTCGACATACTTCAGGAAATCATGCTTATGAAGCAGAGGGTGGAGGAAATGGAACGGGAGGCTAAGAAGCTCAGAGAGCTGCAAGCCGCTGCGGAAGCCAGTGCAGGCTCAGAAGAGCCAGAGGGAGAAGCAGGCGCAGAGGACGAGAAAGCTGCCGCAGACGCGAGGAGTATCTATGTCGGAAATGTCAGTGAATAGTTCTCATCTCAGTTTGTCCTCTTTTGTGAACACTTTTTAATCTCCATCTAGGTCGATTATAGCGCGACTCCAGAGGAAATCCAGGCTCATTTCCAAGCCTGTGGTGTAATTAACCGAGTGACGATTCTCTGCGACAAATTCACCGGCCATCCTAAAGGGTAAGTTACGTTTCCTGACACAGCCTTGTTTAACACTCGAACGAACTCATCTGACGCAATTGCTTTTAGTTATGCTTATGTAGAATTTGCAGAGCCAGAACATGTTGACGCTGCTGTAGCGATGGATAACTCGCTCTTCAAGGGCCGATTATTAAAGGTGAGTGACGCTGCGATGTAATGCAACCCGGGACAAACGCCTGACCGACTAATTCCACAGGTAACTGCGAAACGTACAAACATCCCAGGTTATAACCGAGGGAGAGGTCGTGGTGGTTATAGAGGCGGATACAGAGGTGGATACCGTGGATATTCTCCATATCCTAGAGGACGTGGACGGTATGGCCCTTTCTCTTCATTCTCCGCCTTGCAAAATGCTCAACTCTTTCGCAGGGGACGAGGACGTGGTTTCTGATTTCTTTCTTGAAAAACGCGCTGATGACTGGTCGAGCCTCATGTCTGTCAGCTGGTGAGATGGCATGAGGACATTGGCTATTCAGCGTTGGTAAGTTTTGCAGCCCAACGTAGACAGCGTCCTTTCGCTTTCTTTGCTGTATATATTTTATGAAACTGTATAAATTATTGTATGACTCTATAATCAACAGTAGACCACTCGATGTGCTCGCTAAAAGGTCTGTAACTCGCGGGTGCAAAAAGGACTCGGGGGACGCGTGGGAGTGAATATTTCGTTCCGTCACCGACCACCAAGCGACACTTCAAATTTTGGTCTCTACCGCGTCGAGGACCGCCAAGTGTCGCTCGAATCCCCACCTATTCTCTTCAAACAACAATGGCATCCAGCATAGCAAGAAGTCTTGCGCGTCTAATGTCGACGACGGCACCCAGGTCATCGACAGCGACCGCTTATCCATTTTCCAAAACCGCCTTGGTTCCTCCCCCACCACCGGACCACGTCACACCCAAACTGCTTCAAGGCAAAGGCATCATGGAACATGTCCGCAAAACCATCCCAACACCAGAAAAGCGAGCACTCCTCGACAAATTTTTCTCGAGGAAATCACCAGACCAGTTGTTACCCGGCTCGATTGTGACTGTGCTGCAAGACCAGGCTCCAACACAATTCACTGGGGTGCTGATTGCAATTAGGAGGAGAGGGCAGGATACGTCGTTCAGGCTGAGGAACGTTATTCAGAGGACGGGTGTGGAGATGCAGTTCTTTGTGAACTCGCCGAGTTTGAAGGAGATCAAGCTTGTTAGGCCGCCACCAGGCGGAAGGATGAGGAGGGCCAAGCTGTTCTACTTGAGGGATTCACCGGACAAGATGAGCAGGATTGCTGGAGGAAAGAAGTAATTGTTCGAGGTAAGACGTTTGCCTACTGGGCCAATACTCGTCGCTGAACTGCTGTAGCCTTTCCAGCTTCATAGCTTCCGACCGTACATTAGTAGACCGAGAACGTGATACATTATCATAATAATACCATTGCATTATAACGAAGACTGCCTAAACGTTCTAAAGGGCGTAATACCTTTAAATTTTGAGTATATCACAGAGGTGAGAAATAGAACCAATAATGGAGGGAAACCGTGCGCGACCGGCGCGTCCAGAGTTGCCATCTTGACCTTTCCTTCTTCCCTTCACACCGCCGCCTTCGCAGTCAATGGCTCCAGCGAACCGTCCTCGGTCTCTGCGCAGCGCATTCTCTTTCGTCTCGGGCAGACGTGCATCTTCGCCAGGGCCGCCTTCTCCAACATTTTCAGAAGCTACCAATGTCTCCGCTATGAACCTGGGCGCTAACGGGCCGAGTAAAATCATCACTCGAGCAAACCTCAAATCGAGTATCCAGGCTTATGAGGACGTGAGTAGGAGCTCAGGACAGTGAATGACATACAACAATCGTCGTTGAACTTTGGACTGTTCTGGTATTTGCAGTTGGTCAATTCATGCTCCACATATCGAGCAGCACTGGTTGCTATGTCGAAGGCGACGGCGTCGTTTGCGGATGCCATGGAACGATGCAGCGGGTATGGTTGCATTATTCTCGAAATCTGTGCTATCTCTCACTCGTAACATTGTCGTAGACTCAAAGGGCCCACATACGAAGCCGGAACTAGGCTTCTTGCAGCTTCAGGAATGCATCATCTCATGGGGAACCTCTGGCAAGTTCTCGTGCGTCCTGCCCACTCTTCCCCCCATGCAACCTCTGAACTCTCTCCAGTCAGACACACTCGACAAGAAAGTCGAAAAACCGCTCCGTCAAACCCTCGACTCTTATCGAACAGTCGTTCAGGTACCCTCAACCTAGCCCCTGTCTCCTTATCGAGGCCCTAACCATCCCACCCTGTCACCATTCACTTGTAGGAACGCTCTCAAGACTACGAACAGACTCTTAAAGAAAAGAGTAGAATTATTCACGAAACCGAAACGCGCAGCTTGAACCGGAAGTCAAGGAGTACGTCAATAGTTTAAATTGGGCTCCTCTTCTCCATCGCTTCCATCACCCGCTGGAGCTGATGCTTACCTCCGGTCAGATCTTCAAAGCTTTAGGGAAGCGCTGGCGATACTCCAACGACAAGTGGATGAACTTGACGAGCTGAAGGTCTCCCACTACCAGGAGATAATGGACCACGAAGAGGAGATATGGAATGGCGTGCAGAGCAAGGTGCGTTCAGAACCCTTGCCTCGCCCTCCACTGTCTTGCACATATGGAAGGATCATGACCATCTCATCTTTCTTTTCTCTCCCGTTCGAAACAGGTTTGCGTAGCCGTCAGATCTACGATGGACGTGTTTGACAGAGTGACTGCCAAAGCGTATGTGTCGTTCATGTTTTATGTTCCATTCCCAAAACCCTTCGGCTTTTCGTAATCGTCAGGTCAATTGCCACTACCTGACAGATATGTCGGCTTTCTTTTCTATTCCCATTATGTCCCGCGTGACGCCTATTAACCTCTTGTTCCCTCGTTTTGTAGGTCAGATCCGATAATTGAGCCAATGCTTCAAACTGTGCCGGATCCGTTCGACTCGTATGGTCCACCACAATCAGAAAATCAGATCTTTAGCATTCTCGCACCGTTGTCTATCATGAGCCCTTCTCCCTCTCCGAGCCCCGTTGTCGGTACTCCCGAGAACTACGACCGTGTGGGTAGTGTCGGCACAGATTCCAGTGTACCGCACCCCTCGCACTCCCAATCTCACTCCCTTGCGCATCCGAAAATCACGTCTTGGCTCCCGTCAGCCTCGAATGGTGTATTCCCCATCGAATCTACCGACTGGGCGCACACCGCCAGCTCTGTACCTTCGTCCGTGACCGGTTCCACTTCCGGGTCACTCGCAGGTTCAGGCTCAGGCTTCACCTCACCCATCTCACCTACTCCCTCTTCACCTACAACCCCCACTTCGGTTCCTTCATCGGCTTCACCACCATCTGCAGGCGGAATCGCTAGTCGCAGACATTCAGTCCCTCCTTCACGAAATGCCGTCAAAGCCGAATCCAAATTACGTTCCGTCCTACCACCTATCGAAGAACTGCACCCTCCAACCACGCCGACCGCTTCCTCTCATGTTCATCCCGCTCCCGCTTCCGAAAATGCAAACAGTCGACCAGCTTCATCATCAAGCTTCTCCCTTGCCATGTCCAACGCCTCGAATTCCATAGTTGCACCATTTATCAACGCCGCACACAGCTGGACGTCGGGTAGGGCGGACAATACGCCTAGTCCAGTGCCACAACTTATCAATTCGACCGGGATATGGGATTACGAACTGCGTGGATCTGGACACTTTGAGTCGACCACCCCTTACGACGACCTCGATCCGGACGATGCGGCAACAACCAGGTCGTCCACAACCACAACCACGACGACAACAAACACGACTATCAGTGCTGGCGGCGGCCAAATCACGCCTCGCAATTCACAAACCACTCTATTCTCGCCACCGCCACCTCAGCCAATAGCATCGCACACACCAACACCACCGCGATCTCTTGAACCACCCGGAGGAGGTTCACCGACGACCGAAAGCGAGCTCGAATCATCTCAGTCTGAATCTTCATCGTCACTATCTTCATCTCGCGCAGATCTCAATCATGGAAGCGGAAAGGAAAAGGACGCATCGGATATTAGTGATGCGACGCCTTACATCTAAATTTGTCTGACGACCTTGAGACAACAATTGGTTGTCGAAGCGCCCAACGTCTATCAAGCTTTTCCGTTAACTCGAATAGGCTAGCGCCAATCTAGCAAAGGAACACGGCCAGGGTCCGTTTTGGATGCTTCTGCCTCGCTCAGGTCTTGTGGGCGATTCTGATTTTTGTCAATGTATTGCGCTTCTGCATGTATGTTTGCTGTTTAGTTAGGTTTAGCTGCATCTTTTTCTTTTTTGTTTGCTTTATCTAGTTGCATTAGCACGATGTACACGGACAATATAGTTAGGTCTCCTGACCTAGCACAAACACACATGGGACTCTCTTTCTCTCTTGTCAATGTTCTCTTCCCTTTTCCCTCTAGGAGTGGTTCCGGATCTCCGTTGAATTATGCCATTATTTATTAGTCAATATCACTAGGTAGTTTAGTTGTTGTTTCCGAGTAAGGAGTAGGGGTGGATCTTCTACTGTCTATGTATATTCATGCTGTCCCTCTTTCCAATCAGAACCGCCGGTCAGTAAGTGGCAAGTATGTACGCAAAATCAGTAACACCCGTTCTAGAACTCTACAGCCACCCCGAGTCTATGTCATTTCCCATATACACCTCCATTCCGACTGTGTACAATATGCACCCTGCCGTGCCCTGTCAGTCAGAAACGACCAGGTGCGACCGTGCTCCCCTGCCGCCTGACCCTCTCCGAAGCGCAAGACCTTATTTTGATTCCTCGTTAGAGGCAAGTCGGATCCCATACTGTCCAAGCACCTCTCCATCCACCGGTGCAGGGCTCCTAAACATAGGATCCTTCCCTCCGCTTGATTTCGGGAAGGCGATCACGTCGCGGATAGACTGGGTCTTACAGAGCATAGCCATCAAACGATCAAAGCCTGTGTGTGAAATAGATGTGAAGAGGGAGGGGGGAAGGGGCGGAAGATGGAAGGTCGGGACCGCCAGTAAGCGAGTTGTAGAGGCCATCAGAAAAGGCAGAGAAAATGGGGGACAGAAATTGAGAAGCAAAGGTCGCGGAGTCAGCGGGAGTGGCTGGGTGATTAGATGAGTAGGGGCGACAGGGTACATACCTAGTGCGATGCCGCCATGAGGCGGAGCGCCACATCTAAGGGCGTGCAGGAGATGATTAAATGGGGCTTTCTCTTGATCGCTCAACTGATTCGAGTGGAAGACAGGGGTGGAGTAAACAGGCGAGGGCGTATGCGAGGCGAAGCAGTCCCGCGAAATTGGAATGCAATCGAGTCCCGGATAAGCAACGACATAATCCCAAACGAGAGCAGGAAAACGTACCTGTAACACCTGAGTGAAGATGTAGTCTTGCATGGTCGCATCGTGGATTCGAACTGAACCTCCGCCGATTTCCACACCATTCAATACGAGGTCATAGTGCTGGCCACGAACCTGGAAGACGTATCATGAGTAAAACGATACATTCATTGTCAATACGCAGCAAGGGAACCGGCAAGGGAAAAGTATGTGGCTCCATTGCAATGTATTGATAGATATTTCCGCGTAGGTTGCGGTCATTGGAGTTCTAATAGAACGAGGCAGGAGTGAAGGTGAAGAAAACGAGATACGCACGTGTTCGATATCACCCTTGTACAGCGCGTCGATATCTTGCCACATGGGGGCAGTAAAAGGATGGTGAGAACTACTCCACCGACCATGGGCTAAGAATTCCTTGTCCGAATCGTCGTGCGTGAACAGGGGAAATTCGGTTATCCAGAGAAAGTGAGGTTCCTCCGTCACCGTAACATCGCCTGATTTGGGTTATGTGTGTGGTGTGTCAAAGATCCGTGTGCCCAGTTTACGGTGACAATAAATCACGAAATAGGGTCGACGAAGACAGATGTTCGAAGAAGAATAGAAGCAGGATCAATTTAGCAATTGGAAGTATTCGAGCAACAGTGTGCATACCTCTCTTCTGAGCGGTTTCGAATATCCCGAGACGGGTTCTGCCCAGCGCGGTGGAACCACCCTGCAGACAGAAAAAAGACGTGTTAGATTGTTTTCATTTCCTCGATTTTGATAGCATCGGCCGAAATGAAGGGAGAAGAGCCCTTTTATCCTTACCTTCGGCAAACGCGATCGGTGAGAGAGGTAAACATGATCGCCTGGTTGCAATTGCAGTGCTTCATTTAGGATCTTTTGGGCGCCCTCTGGCAAGTCAGCATCGTAAATTGCGCGAGCAACTTTACTCTTCAAGAGCCAGTTATCCACGCTGGATTTGGTAAGAATCCAGCGTTCCTGTGATTAGATATGTTTCAGAGAAAGATGGCCCATGAGCCGCGGGTTGGGAAAGACGTACAGCTTCGGGGTGTTCCAAAGTCCGCGAGGCAGCGATATATTCCGGTTCGCGAGATTTGCGGACAACGATGCACTCGAGTATGTCGTCCCCCGCCGGTGTGGGAGTCCCTGACAAGAGATCGCTGAGGTTGACAATCTAAAAGGGTTAGAGGGATGGCACGATTAATTCCTCGAGTCAAACAAGGAAAGAAATGAGATGGGCCGCGTACCTCTAGTCCGAAACGAGTATCAGGTTTATCTGAGCCAAACTTGGATGGGGTTGTCAGACGAATTATTGTTTGAACGATAAGCTCCAGAGCTACTCACACGTTCCATAGCTTCACGGTATGTCATGACTTTGAACCTTGGAGATAATTGAACGCCTTCCACGTCTTGCCAGATTTTCCGAATTAAGTCCTCAATAACGTCGCGTACCTCATGCCCCCCTATGTTCCAGGCTTGATCCTGTTCGGCGGAGGGGTGTGTGGGAGGCGAATTGGGATTACCCCAAGAGACGAAAGCCATTTCAAGGTCGACCTGAGTGAATTCAGGCTGTCGGTCTTTACGTCCATCTTCATCGCGGAAGCACTTGGCGATCTGGAAATATTTGTCGACTCCGCCCGAACATATTAACAATTGTTTTGGCTGCTGCGGGGACTGTTGAAGGGCGTAAAATAGCGGGTCTGACTCGCGTGGTGAGGCATCAGAATGATTTGATTGGCGCGTTGGGACGAGGAACTCTCTCGCGCCCTCTGGTGATGATCGCAACAGGACAGGCGTCTCGACTTCGGTGAATCCTGAAAAATTCCCAAAACTCGGTTTCGGCTCAAGGTTTGATTCCGTGTTCCAAATTGGCGTACCTTGGTCGTGGAGGGTGGATCGGATAATATGAGCTACTTTGCTTCGTTTCTTGATGTTGGAAGAGAGGGCGGTGCGTCGAAGGTCTAAAAAGCGGTATCGAGCCCTGAGGTCTTCACTTGGCTGTAGAATGTGCAGTTTAGAGGGCGCCGAGGAGTGATGATATATGAGGTAAAAAATACACACTAGGTTGTGAACGTTTGAGGGGACAAACGGCAGAGACGCCGCTGGGTTCAGAAGAGTGACTTGGTCGACCTCTACATCAATATCCCCTGCAGGGCCCTTGAGAGGGCACAAACGGACGATCAAAACGTGTCGGGAGAGAGAAAGTGGGTGTTCACGAACAGGACGACGTGCTGTCTCCGGACGAAGAGCGACTGTGCCTTGTATAAGAACGGCAGACTCGACTGAGATAGAAGAGAGGGTGTTGGATGCGGAGGGGTTAGAAGAGTGATTGACTGTGAGCTGGGTAGTGCCCTCCGAGTCCTTGAGCGGGTAAAAGGACACAGCCTTTCCTTTTCTTGAAATAGAGCGTTTGTGAACGCGTCTTGTTATGAAACGATGTGATAATTACCGTTCTGGCAGGAGCCAGCCCGCGAGAACTACTTTGGAACCAGCGTCTTGCGCTGACAAGGAGCCACATGAGTGCGTTCGCCTCGGAAACGGTGCTGGGGGGTTGTTCAGACAATAGTTGGAGAGAATTTGTAGCAAAGGCTGACCTGAATGTGCCTCTGTGTGGAGAGAGCGAACGGGAATTATTCGGAGGGCACATGGGCGTCTGAGAGGGGAGAGCATTGTGAATCTGGGTGAACGAGGAGAAAGGCCAAATTGGGAAGACCCTGAGAAGAAAAAGTCTTAGCGATTTGGATCTTGGATCGTAGAGTGATGCCCGTCTCGAGTTGAAAAGCCCCGGGGGCAGGTTTGTATAAAGGACAGGCGGATATTCTGGAAAGCTCATTGACGACGACAATGCTCTCGACTCTTCCCTTTGAACTCTTGCACGCAATTGCTGACTCGGTCGACGACAGACGCGACCTGGTCGCTCTCGCTCGCTGCTGCTCAATCCTCAACGCAGTCGCAAACCGTGTCCTCTACAGACACATATCCCTCACCGCAAACAAAAACCCTCTCGCAGTGGCCAACGTCCTCGAGCAGAATCCACACCTCGCACGCCATGTCCGTTCCTTCGCCATCGTCGTCCCACCCACCTTCTCTCCACCCACACACGCTTACTCCTCTCTCGCGAATGCACTCGCACACATGCTCAATATCGAGTCTCTAAAATTGACGCTCGACCCAGCCCTCAGCTGGGTCCTGCCAACCGCACCCAACCTCGCCTTCCCCCGTCTGCGCGATTTCACCTCCCTCTTCCCACTCGATCACAATACATCTGCCTTCCTCGCAAAAACACCAGCCCTGCTCAGCCTCGAGCTCAACCACGACCTCACTCCAGCCTCCTCCCCAGCGCCTCTGCCCGCCTCCTCCCTGCCCCGGCTCCAATCCTTTGCCGGCTCTTCTCAAGCAGCCCAGGCTATCGTCCCAGGACGCCCAGTCTCATCTATATCCATGCACTCGGGAGACCTAACAGAGTTTGTCCTTCACTCGCTCGCAAAATCCACCGCTGCAGTATCCTTCCTCGACGCAACCACCGCGTCTCTCCCTCTTCCTCTGCTCGAGACCATGGCCATCGCCATCCCCGAGCTCCAAGAACTCCGTTTGGCGACGACATACAATCTGTGGGATGAATGGTTCAATACAGTGAGTCTATTTGACAGTTCTCCCACTTTCCATACTCATATCTTCTCCCTTAGCCTTTCATTCAAAACATCAAAAACGCTCTCATCAGCATGGACAACCTCAAGACGGCAGAGGTGTCGGGTATGCTCTGGAGATGGCTGAACAAGGAGGGCCGCGTACTCGCCAATGAACCTCAGCTACCAGCCTCCAACGACGACGACGACTTGGGCAGCAATGATTCCGATTCCTCATATTTCATGGCCTAAATCCCCTTTGGCTCTCCATCGCCGTTGTTTGCGTTACCCCTCCCTAACGAACGTAACCTCCATAGAGCTTTCCTTTTTCCTTCGTGTTCGTTCTCCCGCACATCGCGTCTACGTACGTACTGACGGCACCCACTTGCACATATATCCAACCAACACAATATAGAGTTACCCTATAACCCCGCTAATAATTCTAATAACCGTGTCTGGCTAGTAACATTATTCCAGCTAATTTATAATAAATATCATGATCAATTCGCCATTCGGTTATGACACAGACAGGCACTTTTGGTGCTCTTCTGAATCAATTGCAGGCAATTGTATACAGATCCAACCTGCCATATATTCCCACTGCGAATTTCCCGAGTGACCGTCGTATGCATTTCCCCCTTCCTTCTGATCCTTCCTCCCCCCTTGTCCAATAGAATTCCAATCCCGTTCTCTCGGCCTGATTCACGTTAACATACCGTTACTGGTACCCATATCCATACCAGCCGAATCATGACTACGAACTTTCGCATCCATATCAAGAGAGATTCAAGAATCCAAAACTCCCTTTTCCTTTTTGCCCTTCACCCTGAACAGCAACCTCAGCACCGGCGGGAGCATTTACTACTCATATGGCTCGGTGTACCACTGCTGATTTCATGCGAACCTCTAAACTGGCAACATACTGGGCGTCTTGGCTTTCCTATCTTCCATGCATACCCAGCACTAACCGACCCTAACCGACACACCGTTACCCTCGTCCTTCGAAACTATCACTACGGAGTCTAAAATACACCGACCCTTTTTTTCGAGTTGGCACAGCCGGCTGCACAATCACACAGGACTCCCCTCTCTCTGGAATACATACAAGGGTGATCCTCGATCATCATCAAGTTATAAGTAGCTACTCGCCATCTGTTGGTTACCAGTCGAATACATAGTGATCACTGGAGGAAATTCATAACGGCGCTCGAGACTCGAGGCATTCCCTGATGCGCGTGAAATTCACTCAGACAATAACTAAGCACATGTCTTTAGACCTTCTCCAAAACTCCAGGCTCCTGCCATTGGCTTCTCCAGACGCGAAAGGGTATCCCATGTCCACGGTGTGCGGTGTGGGTGTGCCAATCCTGGATAATCACCCTCCAAAACCACCACAACCGTTCCTCACAGATCGCTAATCACTAGACGCGTCCAATCCAAATATATGGGCTCCTACACTACTTCAGTAGTTAACTCGAGACCCTATTCTCGACAGATGTAAAATTGGGGACTGCCCCAAACTGCACCCTTACCAATCTCATCCCATCGTGCCTCTAATAGAATCCTTCCGAACCTTCGACGTCGAGTGAAAAATGTCATTAAATTAAATCGTTCCCACTTCCTGCGACACCAGCACTGTCTGTCTGGCGTAAATTGATAAGATCCAAAACACGATCCACCTCTTGCCGGCGGTCTTGCAAGATGATCACGAACTCTTGTCTGCTAGAAGCCAGAAGTCAGGATCCCATGCTCGCAATGGCAAGACTTCAACTATAGGTCCCCTAATCGTAACTTCCTATAATGAACAATAATCGAATGGGATTGGGAAAGGGCCCTTGATTACACTCACCTCGTCACACATGTCACATCCCCCACTCTTGCTTCGAATCGCAAACCTTACCTGGACTTGGAGAACACGCGCATCCCACTAGTAGTGCCACTCTAGTGCCCGATCTGCATGTTCGAGATAAACAGCACGTGATCCTAGATAACTCCTCGCAGAAAGTTCAAAAATCAAGCAGATATCAGACCAGAACACGAAAGCGAATCTGCTACAAGATACGGAGGAGCATCGTGTAGCCTTTTCCAACCAATTCTACGCACCAGGAAGAAAATTTGAATGTCCCTCCCATGTAGCTGGCCTGTCATAGATCTCCAGCTCGTACAACAAGACCTTGTGCTTTCGGAGGTTCCGATCTCGCTTTGAGGGAGGTTGCGCCGCACCACACACTTGCGCAACATCGATAGACCGGTCCAAAGGCTTCTCGTATGTTCTTCGCCAGCCCAGAGTCCTCGATACACCCAGAGTTCCGCGTGAGGATCTGTTAACGTTCCAAAATAGTAGGCACCAGTGTAACAATAGTAGTGCCATGAACAGCGAGAACCTTTTCGACAATTGTCATTCTGGCTGAGCGTATGTGTAATCACCCTTGGGTAAGTTAGAGTTTGCCTTTTCCCAAAAGCAATACCAAATCAGTTGAGTTCGTATCTCCATGAAGGTGATGGAGGTGAGGGGTTACGAGTTCGTGTTGATCAGCAACATTGATGAGATAGGGGCAGGCGCTATATTCCTCCGATGGATGAGCAGCAAAAGCCTCCACCAACGCTCGGAGGAAATGGATCCATAAGTAATTATGGCGCGCTGTAACACGCACACGCTTTTGCATTCCTGGCCCTGAAACATTATGTTAACTTCCTCGCTCGCAATTGTCACTTAGAGAACTCGTGCGAGCAAAGCTGTAAAGCCTGGTGTGATGGTGGTGTCGTTTAGAGATATAGAACACACCCAGCCAACCAGAACTCTTCCCTCCTCACCTGAGGTAGTCTGAAAAAGAAAGTTGTAAGAACTTGCGCTATCGACGTCTCGGAGAAATAAAAATTAAAACACCCAAAAAATGAGTGCGTGCGAGTAGCAAGATCCACCCCCTAATGAACGTGGGTGCCGACGCAAACGGTCAGGCGGACGACGGGGTCACAGCTATGTGCGAAGTGTCTTGCTCGAGTACGATCCCTGAGCGTTTCGTCTCCCCGAAAACGTCAGCATCATACATACACAAACGCACAGCGGCGAAAGCAGACAGTACGTTACAATTTTGCACACCACCGTTCATCGGCCAACGCGCAAGTCGGTCCAAACCTGATCATGATGATGGCGTCCCCGCAGTGTTGCGCTCGTAGGAATGCAGTAATACCTGCCACAGAAAGTCCGAGTTGCAAGGAGTTCGGCGGGGATGCCAGCGTATGTCCTTGATTCAACGTTCTTTAACCAATGCCGGTTCAAACTTGGGAAATTCGATGCCCAAGCACGTCGCATCTGGTGGTGGGGTTTGCTGAACAGTCCGAGCGCACAAGCATTCGCTCCCTCCATGGAATGCGGCCTAACCAAAATCAATGCAGATGTTTTGTCAGTCTATGTCATTGTGGGAGCCAGGGAGTGTCAAAAGCCGAAATTCGCGTTCCACTCGCCTTTGTTCTCGTCGTCTACAAACCCGTCTCCGCGCTCCTGGCCCCACTGCAGGAAGCTGCAACCAGCGGGCTCCGAGAAAATGGAGATCGCCTCCAGCCATAGCCAGCGAATGGGTACTCCGTTCGCAGGGGCCCGATGGCGCCAGTAAATGATGAGATTAGGCAGAGTAAGGGCACGATTTCGACCAGACGCGTGTTCGATGGTGTCCACGCTGACGGGACCCACAGAGTCAGGGTAGCTTTGTAAAATCTACCAGACGAGATATACCCAAAGGGCCATCTCCTGGGATATTGAAAGCCACCGGCACACGGAGAATGGGATACACACTTCATGTCGGAGGTGGGGACCCTGTGTGAACATTGGTGCGCTCGTGGCCTCAGAGTGCGGCCACCGAGCCAGGGTTCGGAGTCAGATACGGAGGAGGTAGGAAGGGGTCTGGACCGCGAAAGACAGTTCCTAACCTGGGCGCCTCCAAGTAGGACATGAAATTGCGGCAATGTGTATGCGAGCCCGTAGGGATCGACGGGGAGAAGGAGGGAGCTTAACCCCGGCACCAGCTCAGTCGATGATCGATTCCTACACAGAGATGTTTTTCACCATCGTCGCAATATATTGGCGGAGTAGAGGGGTTCGTCCAGGGTATTGGGTCAGGTCGAGAAAACTGCTAGCCGGAACACGAGTCATCGGAGTCGAGTCGAGCCTATCCCTGACAGGAACCATTTGTGGAGGTGGCGGCCCCAGTTAATTGCAGCGCCTCCCGCTGTTTGTAAAGGCGGCCTTTGCGCTAAGCCGGCGCTTCCGCGTATCGAAAAGGGAGAGGACGAGAACATAGACATGGTTTGAGTTTAGGGTCAAACAGCGTTAAGCGATTGAGGGAAAGCGGCGATCTCGATCTTATCTCTCTTCAGCCCTCGTGACCTCCGGGAAGGAGATAAGATCCTCCGATTCGGATCAATCTGGAGTTGGACTGGCACCGGGACGATTTCGACGGGTTTCTTCACAGCTTATACTATCTACAGAACGCTGAGCCAGCCTACAGTTCCCCAAGTTCCGTGTGTTCCTTCAGGGAATAGGAAGCCATGAGTGGCACTAGGCGGCCTCCGAATGAACTGGAAAGTCGACTGCACCAGGCCGCTCTTGCCGCTCCAAAGCAGGTACAGTCGCATCTCCCTCCAAACTTGGGCTTTTTGCGTTATGAAAACACATTTCTCATCCACAGTTATATCTTCTTTTCTTATCTGATTGCAGGAAATAACTCCTAAGCAAGCAGAAGCCGTCGTTCCTGATCCCAGAGAGAGGCAAAATGCGCTGAATTTCTTGTTGGGCGTGGGTCTGTTCAAGTCATTGAAAGATCCGAAGGGAAACCTGCTTTTTCGAGCGGTGTCCAAGGGAGAGCTGGTTGCGTACGTTAGCTTTGTTGGCATCCGTGATCTCCGTGCACTCACTGCTGAGATTAGGACGAAAGATTTGTCTGGGGAAGAAAATTTGGTGTTGAGTCATATCAAGAACTCGGGCAACGAAGGTTCGTTGCGTATCCTCGCATTGTTCAAGGTGTTTATCAAAGCTGTTCACAGGAATATGGACAAAGCATTTGAAGGCCAAAACGAATCTTCACCAGACGATCATCGACCGCTGTCTGAAAACTCTTATTCAGAAACGTCTTATCAAACGAGTACCTTCGGTCCAAGTGTGTAATGTGACATCCTGGATATGGTTCTTCCTTTTCTCATTGCAATACGAATGTCAGCATCCAACCCGGAAGATCTACATGCTCGAAGGCCTGGAGCCTTCTATCGCATTGACAGGCGGTCCTTGGTACACCGACAACGAATTGGACACGGAGTTCATCCAACACCTGATGGACGCCTGCTACAAATTCATCAGCGATATCGTAAGTATCGTCATAGTCCCTGGCCTTATGTTCTCGCAATTCAATTACGTCTCGATGTAGAGCTTCCCAAAACGAAGAGACGCTCCTGAAGGTGCCCTGTTCCCTATCTCCAATGCACCGGACTACCCATCCGCTCAACATATCCGTAACTCGCTCCGGAAGGCCCGACTTACGGAAACCGATCTCAGCGTGGAACATGTCGAATCTTTGCTCAATGTTCTCGTGCTCGACGGGAAGATCGAAGCGGTAAGCCGGACTTGCCTTTGCTTTGCTCCACATCTGACCTGTCTTCAAGCTCCCCGCGTTTGGAACCAGTCTTTGGGACTCGGCTGCCATAAACGAGGAATCGGACGATGAAGATGACCGTTCCCGCAAAAAGCGTAAATATGGGTCTGATGACGAGCATGAACGAAAACGCTCAAAGCGGAAGCGGAGCAAACGTGCCTCATCATCCGACGACGAAAGTTTGGATGACCATCGTTCTTCGTCCAAGAAAAAGTCGTCCAAACGACATCGTTCTCCCGCGACTTCCAGCGACGCGGAATCCGAAGAGGACACTAAACGAAAGAAGCGAAAGAGCAAAAAGAGAAGGGACGGCGACTCGGATGATTCTGATAGCGAAGCGGAGTCGAGGCCTAGGAGCAAGAAGAAGAGGAAAAAGAGGTCGTCTAGGTCTTCTGATAGCGAGACCTCGTCAGAATCCGAGTCTGACCACCGGAGTCGAAAATCTTCCAAAAGGTCATCCAAGCGGTCGCCCTCCCCGTTCGACTACTCCGGATTCGATCAAGACACAGGCGGAGGTGGCCTTGTCTACAGAGCGCTGAAGGAATACACGTCCCAGCTCGGCTGGGCACAAGCCCCATGCGCATTATGTCCATCCTTCGATTTCTGCAAAGCAGAAGGACCAGTCAACCCTCAGGAATGCGACTATTACGACGAATGGCTGGCCGCTAAGCCGATGACAACCCTAACGGATTCGGGGATTGGTATATAGGGATCTTCGCACCGTGCCATACCAGCTGACCTCTCTTCCGGCGATCAAAGACAACTTACTGAATCACCAGAGAGTCCTTCCGAGCTCGCTTCCTAGTACGTACTTACCCCGCCCTTCTCAATCTATTGGTCGGTCCTCGGAAGGAAAGCAGCATTTCAACGGCGCTTGTAGTATTCAGTAGTCGTGACCAATCCAAGAGCGGCCCTGGCAATCAAACCTATTGGTTGGACTTCTTACATACACGCCCCCTCCTTCACCTACGCCTAACTCTCAAAGGAAGGTAATATGTCAACGGCTTTTTGCATGGTCGGCCCCGCCCCGCTCACAACAATTGACCAGTCCGAGAGCTCGGTTTGGTCGGCATGGTGGTGCCTCCGGTCGAGGACTTGGGCTTGATTACCTCCCACAAATTCAGCCACCACACCTTCGTACACGTCTTCGTCGTCCGGTATAGTAAACATTGTGAAGCGCCACCCCTTAGGGGCTTGGCCGTCGATCTTCACCTCTTTCTGGACCACATCGAATTCGACTCGAGAGAAATCAAAGCCTAGACCTAGCCCCAGTGCCTTGGTGTAGGCTTCTTTCAATGTCCACATCCAGAAGAAGCGATTTATCTTCTCTTGGAGAGAAACGTTCTCTTTCAACAGCCCCACCTCGAGACTTGTAAGCTGAGTTGCAGGATTTCGTGTTAGCTTGATTGATATCCCGAAAATGTGTGGAAGGAGTATTCCATCACTCGCCTGTTCTTCGAACGCTTCGACAAAAGAAGCGAAGGGCTCTCTTGATGGGATTTTGGTCTTCATCACATCGATACCAATGTTGAATGCCGGTGGGCCGTGTATCCCTGGGGCAAAGGCTACCGCAACTAGCGCGTTATCGTGTGTTACATTGAAACCAATCTTGCTATTAGGGTCTTGATTGGCCTATCCCAAAGTTTTTCGATACATTGGCGCGTGTTCGGCGAGAGTGATTCAGTGACTGTAACAGGTGGGGGGTGCTGAAACGACATACGATGTACGGCTTGCCTTCTGCCGTCTTGGTGAGCCGGATAGGATGGAATAGACCATGCTCTTGACAGTACATCCGGACGAGAAGCTCGCCTATAAGCGTCCCTAGAAGTGAGCAGCGAACGGCGCGTTATCGACGCGCAGCAGGGCATCTGAGGGCGGAACGCACGACATGCATCCTCCCTCCTGTAGTACCTCTTGATACGTGTCTGGCTCTCGGCGGTGACCTTCTCTAGTGCTTTAAGATATAGCTGCATAGTTCATGTTAGTTCGTTTTTTTTTCTTCAGCCGTCCGGCAGCGCCACCTCACGCACCTCTTCACCGACATCTTCAGGATGATACAGCACCGCGCGGACCTCCATCTATCAAAAAGGTTCGCTTGTATCCAAGGAGGAAGGGTCAATCCAGCGTTATCGACAGACAAACTACTGTCGCATGGAGCTATCCTGTTGCAGTAGGGGATCTATTTCCTTGGAGGAGATAGTGATAGTTCAAGCTCCGGAGTCCACTCAACGACGAGATGATCAATGTTTCGTTATCTTATCTAAATGAATGCAGCATCATCGCGCTTTGGGACGAGGTCCTTGAAGTTGCATTTGTACTGGTCGGACGGCATTGTTGATCCTCTGCTTCTATCGCGTATCCAGTCGGTCCTCTGTCAAGATGACCTCCACGACGACACCGCACTTCGTGACTCTTGGGATGTTCATTATCGACGACTTTTCGTTCGCAGATGAGCATGGCAATCCGACCGGGAAAGTGGTAGACCCACAGGCAAGCTTCATCCTTCTATCACTGGGACATGTTCCTTACCTGGAGCACAACTTCAGATTGGCGGAGGAGGAACTTATGCAGCGATCGGGGCGCGAATATGGTCAGTACCTTCTCTCCCAGGTAGTGACGCGCAGCTATATATGAATACCTTTTTGCGTCTCATGATCATGGAAAGGGCAGGTTGCATCCCAATAATATTCGCATGATAATAGACAAGGGCCGCGACTTTCCCCTAGAAATCGAACAGAAGCTGCTACAGTACGGGAAGGAAATGTGGTCATTCAGGGATCAACCCAACGCACTCACGACGCGTGCTCTCAATTCCTACTTGGGTGAACATCGAAAGTCTGTCATTTCCAAGCTGTCCTTCTACTCCGCTGCCAACTCATACCTTTCAGCTTTCAATATACCACACCTAGAATCCGTATCACACCGCGTGATTTGGAACCGTTAGGCATCGTCAAACCTCGCACTCTACATTTCATCTGCTCACCAACTCGAGCTGCAACAATAATCTCCGAGGTCAAGATGGTGAAGGGATGGGAACCCATTACGATCTATGAGCCCATACCAGTAAGCTTACAGTGCGTATGCTGCCTCGATATGCCGTGCTGAGCCCAAGCCAGGATCGCTGCGTCCCAGAAGAGTTACCCGCCCTCAAGCAGGTGCTGAGCTCGATATCCATTCTGAGGTAATGTTCATCACAGTTAGTATTGACCATTAAATTCAATCCCATTCTGCAGCCCAAACGCCGAGGAAGCACTATCCTTGCTTTCGATGGCGTCGACCCAGACACGCGCAACCATTGAACGTGCTGCAGATTCCTTCCTCGACTTTGGAATCGGAAAAGAGAATTCAGGTTTCATCATCATCAGAAGCGGTGCATTGGGTGCGTACGTGAAATCAAGGTCACAAGAAGGCAAGTGGATCGACGCATACTGGGGTGACGAGGACCGTGAACGTGTCGTGGACGTCACAGGTGAGAGGAGGCTCTTGCGACTTCTTGCCATCGAGGATGAAACAGGCTCAAATGTCACTTCAGGTGCAGGGAATTCCTTCTTGGGTGGCCTTGCCGCCGGTATTTTGTTCTCCGAAGGTGATGTAGTGGAGGGTAAGTGTCGATCTATTTGTAAAACCTGTAACGAGGAAAGCTGAGGATCGAAACTATTCCCTGGCAGCCGTACTTTATGCTTCAGTATCTGCCTCGTTCATAATCGAACAACAAGGTCTGCCAGTGATGGCCACAGATAAGGACAGTGAACGGCCACTTTGGAATGGAGAATGCCCAGAAGAAAGATTACAGAAACTAAAAAAGAGGGTAACCGCGGTTGCGCCTGAAGGAAATGGGCGAAATTAAGTATACACATACTAATAATACAAATGTGACTGCTGAGCACTGCAGTTATGAGCCTGCAGGAGGGGGACCAGTCTTTTCGTTGTTGTATCTGGCTCGGCTAGCGGCAAAGAGCTCTTCTTGCTTTGCGAGCAGTTCCTCTTCTGTCAGACCCGATTGTTCGAACTTTGAAACCTTCTTTTCTCGGTCCTAGTGGGCAGCTCGAGTCAATTTCAAAGGATTAAGAGTAGTTACATCGTTAAACCTACCTTTTGCTGTTGCTTGTGGTCTTTCAAGACGTCCTCTACTTCGGTCGTAAACGAATCGAATCCGAGTCGCTTGAAAGGTCTCAGATAGAACGTAACAGCGAGTCGAGACGATGGGCTCACTTTCAGCGCACTAATAATGTGCTCTGGCGCGATTGTCTTCTTTGATTCTTGTTCGCATATTTCATTCGCTTCCGACGAGATTAGATGGATGAATTCTGCAGCAGTTGGTCATTACGTTTCTGGCATCCAAACAAGTAGCGACATGTGTTCACCTACACAGCACTCAATGACAAGATCACGCGTCTCTTTCGCGCAAACTACATCGTTTGGCAGGATTTCTAGAGGGATGAGAGTTTGAGTTTATCGAAAAGGAGAGAGGATACTGGTCAAACCGTACCGGCAATCATCTTGGAAACAGTTGCTTTGGGCAGTGAGAGTTCATCATCGACACCGCCGCCAGCGTGTCCTTCGCGGTCAGACATTGTCGGCGGACTGGCGTATATTGGATGGGTATTGTGTCAAGCACCGAGAGGATGAAGGAGAAAGACAAGGCAGGCGCTGCGATGAATGGTTGAGGTTCAAGTAAGATATTGATTCGCCATGTTTGATTTCGAAGTCCGCACCGCGCTTCTTTCTTCCTCTGCTTCAACCACCATGTCGGTAAGTCTCTCAGTTCAGGGCACAGACGGTTATCATATTGACCTACAGAACAGGTTAATCCAGTAAACCCCAAGCCATTCCTCCAGGAGCTCACTGGAAAACCCGTATATGTTCGGCTAAAGTGGGGTTTGGAGTACAAGGGTTTCCTCGTCAGTACCGATGGCTACATGAACCTCCAAGTACGCCTAGTCCCAAGGTGCCGCATAAAATACCGCTAATAAACGGATCTTTTTAGCTGGCCAATACGGAAGAGTTTCAAGATGGCAAGTCCAACGGTGCTCTCGGAGAAGTGTTCATTCGGTACGCGAGTGTTGTCTGTCCCATGGAACGAAGCGCCGCTAACCTAGATAACATCCTTTAGGTGCAACAACGTCCTCTACATTATAAGTATCCGCCTCGTTCTCATATCCACCCATATCTGACTCCCTTTGCACAGAGAGGCACCGCCGGAAGACTCATGATTGCTCACTCATCACCCACTCGCTCTCCGATAAGATTGGCGATGACCCGCCATCTATCAACTACGCCAGGTTACCATGTGTTATACAGCTCCATCATCGACCAGTGCCGTCCAACCTTGAGCATCGATTGCGGTAGAAAGGAAGCAGACTGGTTGGAGAAATGGGAACGTGACTGAGCTAGATATTCAGGGAATGCACATCTATAAAAATACATCTGAGCGTTCCTGTTGTTATGAGTCGCTTTGAGATCCCACTAGATTGTGTTACCGTCTTCGAGATTCCACAGGGTCAAAGCAGCTTTGCAGCGAGGACTCAACGAGGTCAATCGGGTCGCCAAGCGTCTGGAGGCAGCCGAGGCGCACGTGCACTGCCACTGTATTCTGACTCCGCTCAAAAAAAACAAGTCGCGAGCTGGGACCATGCTGCGCTACATTCTTTCCTACCCCCAACACCAGCCAGGCCACCCACCACCAACACACCCACCACACCGACCATCGACATGGCAAAATCGTTGCGTTCAAAGGTGAAACGATCATTCCGTGCAAAGAAGCGGGTCGAGGGCGTTTACGCAGCAACAGCAGCCGCTCGGCTACAACGGTTAAACAGCAAGCTCGTGGAGATTACCAAGAGAGATGTAGAACGAGAGACACCAGGAGGAGACGCCGATGAAGCAGAAGACGTTCCAGGTTGGTTGATTAACGCTTTGGCCTTGATGCCCAATATCCGAAGCCTTCAACCTCAAGATCTCGCCTATTTATCTGGAACATTCCCCACCCCCACTTCGACCTATCTCACAGCTTAAAGCTGCCCTGCGATACTAATCGCGCCACGTTTTTCGACCCTTCCCCCACCACCTTTATACCATTTCATTGATTCTTCATGCCTCGAGCCCTTTTCCGTTCGTGGATGAACAATCATTGACACCCTATTCTCTTCCCTCAACAGCCGATAACGCGGCGTCGACCACACAACCAGGTACATACCTGACCAACCCTTGACCACACCCGACTTGTGCTTAACGTGCTCCTTTAGACGATGGTATGGCAGTCGATGGTGAATCGACAGAACCCAAGCGTGTCTCGACCCATGGTCCCCGCAACTCCCGGAGAGAACAGTGGCGGGCGTCGAAGGGTATGACTCCCAAGCCACCCATCAAGGGCATGAACCGCCAAGGCGGTGTTGCAGCGCGAAGAAAAGCTGGACGCTCGAAAAGAAGACGATGATTTCACTGTGTACATTATACTTAGGCCTGCTCGTTGTATGTATCCTATCCTCTAATTTACGTATTACAAACTCATTATATCCTAAATGTCGTTTGTCTGTTCAGAAGCACACAGGCTTTCAAAATCATCACGCCGGTGAACCATATTCAAAAGATGACCCCTTTTCCGAAAGAGCATCACGATCCTTGGAATTGTGGTCGATGTATGATGACCTGTGACTCCGATTTGTTTGTTGGTACGGGGAGCTCGCTCCCGAGGCACTGTTCAGCGGTGATTGTAATGTTCTATGCGTTGTCCCCACAATATAGATAGCTACTCACGGAAATTCAGCCATGGTGATGTGCTCAGTTGTTACATGCACCTCTGGCCTAGTTGAGGATTTAGTTGGTTTACCCGGAACGGCAGCTGGGAAAGCCCTTCTTCCCTGGTTAGTCCCAAAGGACGCCGAGGGGACGAATTGATCTGACGATCTGAACTCGACCAATCGAATGACTGCCCGACATGCTGCTATAGACCTGAGAAAGAAAAGAGCGAGTCAGTGGGTATAAAGAAATGTTAAACGCCCCTGGGTAAGAACGTGTTATCCGCGGATGACATACGTGATTGAGGCAGCAGGAACCTGTGGGTACGAGTACAACCTCATTTAACACCGGTCCTGTGTGATATTGGGATAAGACGGCGCTTACCGTTGCAATGCTGTTAGAGAGAAAAACCACATGTAATCGGGGATATAAGCAGTGATATGACAGTCGGAGAAAATGTCACATACACGTTCATTGGCGCTGAAAGAGAGGCCACCGTCGTTAGTTACAATAATCCGACATCGATAACCCCACATGTAAACTTACTATTTAGATTCAAGATGTTGAGGACCTGTAAGCATCCGGTACCAGTCGCTCGTGAGTAAGGCTTGGAAACCGGATGTCAGGCGGGATTAATACATACAGCTGGAATGCAATTCATCGTGAAGGAGATGAGGAAATAGACCAAACCGTCGTGGAAAAGCATCTTCCAGAGCCCTGTCTTCGGCGAATTGCGCCCAAGCAGAGCCATGGTTGTGAAGAGGAGAATCATAAAGTCGAATCCCATGGCTGTTGGGAAATGGAGAGGCCGAGTCAGTCCCCGGGAATGAGGCAAAAGTACCGGGAATATAGACTGACTGAAAAAGAAGGTAATGTTGAGGAACAACGGGCTCGTCTGCGTGACAACGCAGGATTGGGAGTCATCGTCCCACTGAGCAATAACCACGAACATCCCTCGGTAGAGGAGGGCCCAATGAGCCAAGCAAAGGATTCCAAGGATCGCGATAATAGAAACTCGACGTTCCCACAAAGCAATCCTGTGGAGGCAAGAACCGAGGTAAATGCCAATGTTCGAGTGAGAACGGTTGTGAACATACGTTCGGAGCATCAGGCAAGTCGAGGCGCAGAGAATTGCCATGTTTCCTGTCCACTATAGATAATGATCAGACTCGGCGCCCATTCCATCCGATGCTCATTGTTGACTCACGGAATTGAAGGTGAAGAGTGCCTTGATAGATGCGCGTCGTCAGTTATACAATTTCAGGATGCCAGGGGCAAGTAGCATCATACCCGGCAGTTGATCTAACCATGGCAGTGATAAGCAAATGTTCAGAAACGTAGAAATGGATGAAAACATACGGGTGTCAGTGCGGACAGTGATATTATCCTGGTTGCAATGTCAATCAATGCAACTAGGAGAGATGATATTGGGTACCCACAGGCCGATGAAAGAGAACAGCATACAATATCGGCACAGCAGGAAGAAGACTAAACGATTGTCAGCGCCTTCGTCGGAGAACACACAGACGCCGGGAACTCACTCTAAACCATTTTCGGTCAGTGTCATCGCAATACATTCCAGGGAACAAGTCGCTCACCAATGGCCAATGGAACCTCCTCTTCCGAGTTATTAACGACCATTCAAAGTCGCAGGTCATGAATAGCTCCCATAGGTACAGTCCAAAGAACGCGAAGATAATCTTCTCGAACGCCTCTGTTTAGGGTGACAGTAATCCGTCCGAGTCAAAAATAGAAAAGCAAACAACGTGCAAAGCACTGACCTGCGGCACGGGCGATCTCGGCAGAGTCAGACCATTCAACCATCTTGCTGGGTCAACGAGGGAGGCAGCGGTAGTGACAACCTGGTAACAGTGAGGAAGGTTAATAAGACCAGACTCAGGCTAGAAGGATTGCGGCGCCCACCACCAGAGTCCACACAGATGATCAGATGCGTCTACTCACAATGGAGTTTAAGCCGATGGAGAGGGCCAAAGTGAACGATATCAACGGAGGGAGGCTGGGGCGACCTGAAACAACTGGCAGAGGTCACCTACAGCTTAAAACCCTCTTCAGCCAAGTGAGGTAAAAGTCACCGAGATCATAATAACCACCTTTTACCTTGACAGGGCCTCTCTGGACCCATGGACAGGTGGAAGGAAGGGGAGAAGGAGTGGACAAAGTAATAGATCGCTGGCGTGCGCAAGGTAATCAATGTCAAACAGTCCTGCGAAGAAGTCTAGACGGCACCACGGCTCACACAGATGAGCAGTGAGAGGGGGATGGTGCGGAGATGTGGTGGATGCCACGGTGCAAATCTTGACAAAAGAGATCAATCAGTGTCCCGCCGACGCTCGAGTGTGGTTGGATATGGATAAAGGCCTTGATGGCCCATGACAGCATCGTCCGTAGAGTGGTACAACGAGACCAGTACTGGGAAAATGTCGAGGTATTGTCGTATCGTAGAGCGCTGTTAAGGCCGAGGAGAAGCCAAGAATTCTCGAGTGCGACTTTCCGGTTGAGTGTCAATCGTGTCAGTGAGAGTGGAGAAGGGGTTAACTCACCTAGTCGAATGCGCCCTGCATGGAGACAGAGGCTGAGGTTATTTTGGGTATCCCACTTGGTCGGCGCCGAAATGTACGTCTATTACTCAACGTTCCTTCGTCAGGAGAAGCGAAGGCGGAGAAGTAATGTTTTGAAGGGACATCAACGGAGTAACCTAGATAACCTTTTGATCCCCTCCAACTGGGTCAAAGAACTCCAGCACCAGTTGAAGAACGCGTGTGAATAAGGGAGTCACCGTTGCAAAGGCTGGCACACCACTGGATTGATAGCGCCAGCAACAAGGCCACGAAAGACCCACTTGAAACCTCGAGAATTCGAAGACTTCTAAAAAGACTAAATGGAGAAACAAGTTCAGCAGCGTCAAATTCCTCGCGAGAAGCAACAACAAAGAGTCTAGATAACGTAGGATTAACTGCACCATACCGCCACTGTCCCATCTGCCGCTGCGCTGAGGAGCCAAGGGTGTTTAGGCGTCCATTTTACTTGAAGGATTCCCAACCCATCGGTTATTTGGTGGCCGCGCAAAATCTTGAGAGGGACAATAAGCGGATCGGTCATAAGATCGTTGTACACTCTGGCATGGAATATCTGTATTGATCCGTCGTCTGAAGAGGAAGCGAAGAGGGGATATGTAGGGTGGAAGTGGAGAGATCGAATAGCTCGGGAATGGTATCTATCGAGACGGATTAGCCTAACCCTCAACACCATCTGCTGTAAACCTTACCTCAAGACCTTGTAAGGTTTTTCACTCAGTTCAAGGTCGAACCAGCACAATTTTCGATCGTAGCCACCAACAATAACATGATCGCCAGACGGGTGGACATCCATGGATGATATCCACCTGATACCAGGTTGGAGCGTTTTGATGAGCTTCTGTTCCGCGAGGTTGTACAACCGGACATATTGCTGGGTCTAAAGCAAGTCAGAACCGTGGCTGGGACACAGACGTGAATGGATGCATACTGCAACGAAGAAGTGCGGCTTTATCGGATGGAAAAGGACTTGCTGAACCGCGCCCTTGATTTTCTTGAATGGCGCCTGTGAGTGTCTTCGGGTGAACTGGTGAATCCAAACGCCATTCTGAGCACCGCCGCTCGCTAGAAGCCTTGTCAATGCCGACAGCCCTTTCAGACTCCAAGAGTACTCACAAACGGTGGCAATGTAGTCGCCCTTTTTGTGCCAACTGATTTGGGTAGGAAGGCCAGAAGAGGGTGGAAGGTTGAGGGATAGGATAGGTTGCTCGACTGACCACGAGCTTAACGAAGAACTGGACCATTTGACAGCTGAGGGAGTCGCCGGGGCCGGGGGCAGGGTTGAGGGAGCCAAAAGGGTTTGTGTCAACGCCAAAACCGTTGGGTCAAGATTCGGGGGAATAAGGAAATGGATAGTTTCCTCGCTAAGATTGGTGTCAACCTGGGTAAACAGTTGACAGGGGAAAGTGAACTTACATTCCCACAGCAAAGTAACAGGCGTCCGCCCTTGGACACCACTCGAGTGATCCTATCTTGCCCTCGAACTTCCATCGCCTGATCTCACAGCCAACGTTGACTTCCCATAGGCTAACGACACCGTCTTCGTCTCCACTAACTGCCCAGGCGCCATCTGGGCTAACACTGACGCACCTTGCACGTCCCTTGGGATGCGTGAAAAGGAGGCTGCGATAGTTAGGGAAAGGTTTTAAGCTGCTGGGGCTAGGCAGCTTGGGGATCAGCGAATTAGGATCAATGTTGAGTTTAACGCGCTGAATTCGAGGAGCAAGGTAAAGATCCAACTGGCGGTTGAATCTTTCCTTGATGAACTGGTCGTACGCTGGGACATGGCGAAGAGAAGAGAATTTCTGTGGAAGAAAATCGCGTTCCCTGTCTTCAGGATCTTGCTTGAGCCATTCCTGCTTCTCTTCTTCTGTCGGAAGGTATTCTTCAGGGGGATTATAAGACTCTGCATTGGTTGGTAGGGGGCGTTTCGGTGCTGGAAGGGGAGGTGGTTGGGAAGACGATGGTTCCGACGACCAAATGGAGTAGAACTCGAATTGCTTGGAAGATGTTTTTGGTTTGTTTGGAACAATGCGCCCTTGGCGGATTGCTCGAACGATTTTCATGATCTATAGCATGTCAATTAGCGCTGGTCATTCCTCAATAGCTCTGAATCAACCTTTTGCTTTTCCCATTTACTTCGAACCCAGCGACGTTTAGGTTCTGGCGCAGCAGACAAAGGCATGATCTCTTCCTTTCCTTTTCCAGTGAACCATTCAACCATGGGCTCGTAGGGATCGTAAGTCGCGTCCGGATTTTCTCCAGCATACAAGCGTTGGATGATGTCAAGTTCTTCGGAAGTCAAGGGTTTGTCCATTTGCATCTTTTTGTCAAACGCAGAAGTCCTACTCATAATCAGGACATGCTTTCCAGCCATATGCAAACGCTGAACGCACCAGGAATCCGGGTCCTCAATCGTCGCCAAAAATTTGTCCAATTCATCGCCCTTGGCGGGTCGAAGAACTCGCTTCCCATTTATGTCGTAGCCAATGTGCGGCAAGTCATCATACCAATGCATTGGAACATTGCCGACTCTGTTGGGAGACTAGCGTGATAGAATTAGGATCCATTTTGAAAAGAGGTGTATTGTCGCGACCTACGTCTTCAGTGGAGGAATCCGAGTCGTAATCAGGTTCAATTTCGGGATAGACGCGTTTTTGTTGGCCAGTGATATCAGAAACCACGGTTTTCGCCTTGGGGAAGACGTGCAAAGATTCGTCCGAGTCCGAATCTTCCTCGTCGCTGATATCAGGTTCGTCTTCTTCATCCTCTTCGTCCTCCTCTTCGTCCTCCTCTTCACTGTCACTTTCAGCATCTATTTCAGGGAATTCGTCGTATTCTCCATCGTCAGATACGTCGCCTGCGTTGTCGTCGTCTCCCTCCTCGTCGGTCAACATCTCCAATTGAGAGGTGAGGGTATGAGTTTGTTCCTGCTCTGGTTCATCGCGTTTTCGTTTCGAAGTGGCCTTCTTTTTTGAATCCGTAAGCGCCATTCAAAGTGAAGAGAGATTAGATAAGTCCTTGAAGATAGCCGGTAAAGTTCAAGGGTCCTGGAGGTTGCAGACAGAACTTTGGAAAAAGTTGGGCAAGGACGAGGGCATCCGGACCGAGGAGCCAACGGCCTCCGTTCCTAACACGGGACAATTAATGCAAGGATGGCCCGAAATGGCAGGGGCAAAACCAACGTTGAACGCGTCCCCAACGTCGAAATTGCATAACTCTCTCAGAAAATATGGTGAACTACGGAGGAGGTGAGCGCATCTAACTGATGCTACCCAAGTTAAAACTGACGCGTTTCTGTAGATGAGGTGTCCGCGCTGGTGATTGACATTGGAACTTCATCCTTGCGCGCTGGATACGCGGGGGATGATACACCAAAGGCCATCATTCCAACATCCTATGGATATATCCCTGCCCCACCGGAGGCAGACGTCCCAATGGGAGATGGGACTGGAAACGGAGAACAGGGATCAGCTACCAACGCCAACGAGGGAAGCCGCAAGTTTGCTCAAATGTTCTTGGGACAAAACGGCCCTTCAATGTGGAGGCCAGGCATGGAGATTGGGAATCCTTTGGTGGATGGTCTTAGTAAGTGAAGTAGCATTTGCCGTGGCCAACTTCGTTAACAACCGGATTGAAAGTTCAGGACTTCAATCCTATCACTCCGCTTATCAGGAATGCACTTGAAGATGTCCTCCGAGTTGACGCAACTGAACACCCAATTCTTGTAACCGAACCGACATGGAACACACCCGCAAATAGGGAGAGAATGGCCGAGATCATGTTTGAAGAGTTCCAAGTACCGGCTTTCTATATTGCAAACACCGGCGTACTCAATGCGTGAGTTGCGTCGTTCCCAGCTGGGAACGGATTCTAATTCGGTACATTCAGATTCGCCGCTGGGAAGGGGTCAGCACTTGTTATTGATATTGGACAATCCATGGCCAGTGTCACACCCGTCGTTGATGGTTTTGTCCTCCGCAAAGGTGAGCAGCCTTCTCTCAAATTTCATTCGAACCTGACACTCATGCTGCATTACCATGACCAGGTCTTGCCTACACACCACTACCTCGCTTCATACATGCCCTCTCAAAAAACCTTCTCATAAATCAAACGCCCGTGAGGCCAGGCATCGAGCTTTGGCCGCACCAGCTTATTGCCACCAAAAGTGTATGTCCATTTACATGCCGAGTCCACTTAAAGCACCTTGTTGATGTCACTCACGGGGACAGCCTGTTGACATCGGTCAGCAACCCATCTTTACACTTCGACAAGATCGCCTTGCTCAAACGACCGAGAGTTGGCGCTTGTGGGCAGAGGCCAAGGAAGTGGATGAGTGGATCCAGACTGTCGCTGCAGTGTCAGAACAAGGTTGGAATGACCAGTACGTGTTGCTTCTTTCCTTCCACTTCCTGGTCGTTACCTTCACGAAACGGTGATGTAACCGACTGCTTTTGTCAACTTCCTCTGCACTATACGTTTACATCACCCATCCATACTCTGCATGGCAGAAGGCTAATCTATTCGTGTTCTTCCTCCAAACCGCGATCGATCAATGCCTCCCAAATAGACTAATGGCGAGGTCGCTACCGAAGCAATACGAATTCCCTACTGGTTACGCTGCGAACTTTGGGCCAGAGCGTTACCAAATCGGCGAACACCTCTTCCTGGTATGTTCTACCACATATCTCCCTTGGTCCCTCACTAAAGAGTTCACTTGCACATGCACTATTTCGTCACCCTTTTTGCTTAATCCACCATACTGTCGCTTGCCCTCATAACCTTAACGATCCTACACCCATCGAAATCACCGAAATTAATGCACCCCGCCTTATTTTACCTTTCCAGCCAAACAACAATAATCCCAACCAACCCAAAACGATCCCCGCACTCGTCACCGAATCACTCCGGGCCTGCGACCCAGAGCTTCGTCAGGTCCTCATGGGTAACATCGTCCTGACAGGTGGTGGCAGTCTGTTTACAGGATTGGCGGATCGTCTGAACGCGGAAATGTCGAGGACGTTCCCTCATGTACGTGTTTCTTCGCGTCATCTTAAACCCCCTGGTCTTGTTCTTTAATTCCCTCGTCTTTTTGGCATGTTCTTGTAATTTGTCATTGACGCTAGTCCTCATCTTCCCTTCGAACAGACAAAGATCCATGCACCCGGCAATCCTGTCGAACGACGCTACGGAGGTTGGTTGGGTGGAAGCATTCTCGCGAGCCTGGGAACCTTCCACCAACTCTGGATCAGCAAAGAAGAGTGGCAGGTACGTCAAAGGCGCGCAGGTCTCTTTATGCATACTCCAAACTAACTCTGGATTACGTTAGGAACACGGAAAGGCTATCGTTGGACAGAGGTGCAAGTGATCTATCGTCCGTCGAATCTGTTCTCCATCACAGTGTATCCCCGTCTTTTCATCCTCTTTCCGTATGGTCATTGTTGTTGTATCGCAGAAATCTTCAGTTTGTATACTTCGGGATTCAGCCACTGCATACCGTGGTCACTGGTACGATCGCAATTTGAGGACCCAGTGGACCAACAGCAATAGCATCTGAAAGGCAAAGAGTTGTTGCGCAACAACATTGACAGACAACACGATGGGAGAAACCTGTACTGGCGGCAGCCCAGGTGCGCGGTGACCGCCAAACTGACAAGGCTGTGGGAGGGGAACCGGCAATAGAAACTGCGAAGACATGGGGTCCGCTGAAATGAAGTAGGCTAAAGTAGGTCCCCATCGTGATGCCCTGCTCTTGTTCGACACCATAGGCTCGTGGAGGACCAGAAATCTGGCGGTGGATCCATGGTACGGATGAGGACCGTTGCATTGAACACCACCCCCTCATGAGTTGCCTGATAACTCGCCATAACCTTCCAAGTTCCACCCCAGCGAAAAGAGGCTGGCCACAGGTCACACTCGTACTCCTAGAAAAAGAGCCCAAATCCCTTACGATGGATATGTCAGCTTTTATAATGGATACGGGATTAATGTACTAGTATGTGGTTTCTGTACAGTATGTATGTACCTGACTGCCGCACTGGGAGGCATCCCAGCTGCTTGCATCATTGGGCAGACCACGGAAGCAGTTAAAGCATGGCCCGCCTAGCTCAATCGGATAGAGCGTCAGACTTTTAGGGCCAGTCATGTGACCATCTGAAGGCTGCGAGTTCGATCCTCGCGGTGGGCTATCAGGATTCCTTTTTTCTTCGGCGTACCTCTCCTCCCCTGCTCGACACAACTTTTGTTCTGCGTTTCTGTCGTCAAGTGTACTTCCTTCTTCTCATAGCGTTGCGATGGAAATAAAGCGAATGACAGGATAATGATCACATAGGCGCAGGACGAAGCAACTACAAGCCCTACATATAGTACAATGAGGAAACGGTAAGAATGAGAAAGACGGGTACAACTTGGTCCGAGATGATACCGTAACCGAACGTCCTATTTGTAGTAGGCAGGGGTGGAGGCGGATGGCGGGTGTATGATGGAGGGATGGCGGCTGAAATGATGAAAGGTGGCAGGCAGGTACCGGTAAGGAATGCAAAGAGGTGCACACAGAAATGTGTATCTTTCTGTTCGAAAACGGACACGACTGTAGGGAAACAAGTGCTCGGTCAACTTGGGGGGATCTTTGAATGTAGGAAAAAAGGAGGATAAAGAGAGCTCGAGGGAGAAAAAAGGCGGAAAAGTAAAAGAGAAGATGAGAGAGAAGCACAGGCGAGCCCATTCATAATCAACCAATCAACCAATTACACGAAAAAGACAACTTCACCCGTACGGGAAATGGGGGATGAGAGATGACCCTCCCGATGGCAGGAAAGGATAGAAAGAGGGATGGGAGAGTAATAAAACAGATACATACACAACAGACAACGTCCAGCGGGGGAGGTTCCGAACTGGCCAACCATAATATATAAGCTCGATCTTGTTGGAAGCGAAAGCAGGGACGGGACTTGCAGCAGAGAATGAGAAAAGACAGAAGGAAGCCAAAAAATAAACGAGACGGAATTCAGAGCTCGCGTGGGCGGATGCAGGGAAGCTTGAGGGGAATCACGGATGTAAGGGGTGGTGGGTAGCGCAAAGAGACCAAGTCAGGCAGTGACTCGAGGCTTTCAGTACACCTCGACTTCTCTCCTCTCTCGTGCATCCATCAACACGCCCAGTCCACCGATCGCCTTCCTCCTGATTCTGGTGGCAAAGTTCTTGGGTCCGAGCTCTTCAGTGCCCGAAGGTGGCCCACGGGGCTGCCTGGTCGGCTGGCTGGCACTAACCATCCTGTGGTTATTGGCAACGGCAGCGACTGCTGGAGCTGTGACTGAAATAACAGGGTTAACGGGGTACCCAGCCTGGGTCTCGGCAACAGCGGAGACAGGGCGTCCGATACCCAAGCCCTCGTACAACTTTTTGCTTGCTTCTTCGCGCGGCGAGAGTGGCATGTCATTGGAGGATGAAGAGCGAGGGGTGGTGGGAGAGGATGACTTGACGCTTGATCCAGATGATTGGGACTGGGTATCCGCGTCGGTATCATCGTCCGTGGTGGTGTCAATGGTCACTGCCGGAACATGTTGGGCGACAGCAGGACTGAATCGGAGAGGCTGAGGTCGGAATTTAGGGCCCGCATTGGTTCCGTTGCTCGAAGGGGCAGAGAGACCGGGAGGCGGCGAAATGCGTCGGGTTTGAGTAGCCGATTCACCAGGGGGAGGGGTGATCTTGACTGCCGGCGAGGAAACTGTTCGGTTGCCGCTCAAAACGGAATTGTTGTTCCCTCCACGTCTCCACGAAGAAGCGCTGTCTGACTTGGAAGGGACGGCCCCGAGAGAAGTGCCACCACTGATGACGGTGGTGGATGGAGTGAGCGGGGGAGCGTTTCCAAGATCGTCGTGACCAACATTGAGACTGACGCTACGACTGCCGAATCGACCACCGAGAGCAGCAGTCATGGGAACCTGATCTTCAGCAGCGCCACCGGCGACTCCGAGCTGCGCTCTGAGCTGGTCAGCCTGGTTGGCACGGCGCATCTGAGCGCTCATAGCGGTGGCACGCAAATCGAAGGAGTTGGTCATGGGGCCAGCGGTGGCAGGTGGGTTGAATCCAAGACTGGTGCGCCTCTGAGGGGCTTGCTGCTGTTGCTGTTGTTGGAGTTGCAACTGTTGCTGACGCTGAGCCTGGGCCAACATTTCTGCTTGGTATTGCTGGGCCTGTTGAGCCTGGAGGGCCTGGTGGCAACGAGGGCTTAGTGCGATGTTCTCGCGATAAGTCTCCGATTGCGTTGCTTACCTGCTGAATCCTAAGCATCTCAAGGTGCAGCATTTGCATCTGCATGGGGTTTGGCTGAGCGCCATTGGGCATACCAGGGACAAAATTGGGCGTCATTGGGACGTTGTTGTAGTTCATCGGCCTGGCCTGTTGCTGAGCGAAGCGATTGTTGGGACCATCGACGGCGGCGGTCATTGGGACACCTCTGTTGGCGAACATGGGGTGGTGGTGAGCCGGGAGTTCGACAAATTGATCCTCGTCTTCCTCTGGGAAGTAAGCGGGGTTAGAGTAGGAAGGTGCGCGGTTGATGTTGAAGGAGCCGGTTGGAGCAGCTGTGTGTGGAACGTTGAGGGAAGCTGAGCGGACCCCGCCTGTGCGAAGACCGGCGAGAAGGGAAGCACGGTTGTTGTTGTTGGCTGTGGTGGACATTTGGATAGATATATGGGTGGCAAACGATTATTTGAATGGCTGAAGGGTAATTGTTGAAATGGGATGCTGGTTTTGTAATGAGAAAAAGTGTGGGCTGTATTGCAACAAAAAGGGCGCACTTGTGTAGAATGGGCGGACTCTCTGGGGCCTGGCTCTTGAAATTAAAGGACAAGTAAAGTGTAGGAAAAGCTTTTTTGTGGTATTTGAATTGAAATATATAAGAGAAAAGAAAGAAGGGAATTCAAATATTCAAAGGAAGTCGAGCCGATGAGGGAAGGAGAAAGAGAGAGTCTGAGAGTCTAGAGACCACCCAATTTCAATCCCCGCCGACCTGCCTCAGCAACAACAACTACAAATACTTTTTCGCGCAGGCACGCACTCGTCCATCAAACACTGCACTGCGTATCGCCGTGTGCGCCGTATGGAACGGGTTCAGCGTTGTCTATTGTTTCTTCAGTTTCATTCACAATTCATTGAAAGAACTTCTTATACCTTCACATACAACTCCCAGACTTCCATGAAAAACGACCGGATTCCATCGTCGTTCTTTCCGTCGTGTAACAAAAGGAACTTCATGTCTGTCCACTGATTATCATCCATCCAACACAATAATAAAGGACTTTAGCTCACTTCCAGGCGTGATAAACGCCGATACAGTCCACTCGTTGAATTTGTCGACAGATTTCAGATACCTAGCCAATGTCCCGGTCCATCAGCAAAGAAAGACAATCGTACTGTTACCACTTACATCGCATTCTCCTTCCGCATCACGTCCTCAATAGCATCCAGACTCGCATTCGCAATCATCTGTATAACATGCCTATCCTGCCCACCGCCCCTCACAACCCCATCGCTCGTCCTCTGCGGAGCACTCGATGCCCCAGACAGCGCCGTCAACGTCCCTGCAAACGCTGAAGTCGACCATGTCGGGAGGTTCGCAGCCAATGGACTGGTCGCAACTGGTGCCGGTTTGCTCGACTGATGAGTGAGGCTGTACAAAGGAGTATCAGAGGGAGAAAGAAGGAATAGATGATGCGACATTTCTCTATATGTGGTTGTGGCCTTCTTCAAAGGGGCGTTTTGAGCGCTAATTACAACTTTGATGGCCAGCTCTTCTATAACAACGGCAAACACCCTTCCGGCCAACGCGTTCGCGTGCCGGAACGCCATCATCATCACTTGGCTTTGAACCATGTCGTTCCTCCATCGAACACTCTTCAGACAGTCTTGTCTGATGCGAAATACCGCCAACTCAAGGTCGTTCTTGACGTCTACAAAGCAAAGCCTGCGATATCATCCTTCACGAGGATGGAATCCACCACCCAAACGCGGTTACCTCGACTTTCTCGACAGGATACCCCAGAAAACCGTAATGTACGGGATCTTGGGCGTAAACGGTCTGGTGTTCGGAGCATGGTACATGTCCCAACAGAAATACGTGCGTTCTCTCGTCTAGCACCCCAGGCCACTCAAGTCGTGACAATACCAACAGAAATACGAACGCGACCCTTCAGCCTATCTCTGGATGCACCAGCACTTTACAAGTAGCTGGCAAAACTTGCGGCAAGGCCGTTATTGGACACTCTTGACATCCTGCTTCTCGCACCAAGACATGGCACACATCTTCTTCAACGGCTTCACATTCTTCTTCACCGCACCAGTGGTCTTGCAAATGATCGGTAGCAAGAGGTTTATCTTCCTCTATATGGGATGTAAGTACAGCTCTCTCTCATAACCTCTCTATGCTGACTGTCCCTTGGGACAGGCGGACTCGTGTCCTCGGCTGCGTCCTTACTTTACGCACGCTACGTCGATAAGAGAGACAGGCCAAGTTTAGGAGCAAGTGGTGTGTACATGCTCAAACCTGGGTACTCGAGCAAGTTCCCCTCACCATCCTCACTCCAGGTGCAATATACAGCGTAACCTCTTTCCTCGCCTGCGCTGCCCCGACACTCTCGTTCTACATTTACGGAATCATACCTGTCCCAGCCTGGTTATTGGTTTCGGGCATCTTCGCCTGGGACGCTTACAAGACAGTCCAAGATAAGGTGAGGTCTCCCATGCGGCGAGAAAGAAACAGACTAACGATTGACGCATTTTAGCGAGGCACAGTGGACACCATTGGTCATTTGGGAGGGTTGGCTGCGGGAGCAGCGTCGTATATCGTCTTGAGGAGGAGCATGGGCAGGCCCTTGTATTAGACGGTTAACGCCTCACAGTAACTCTAATTTCATTGCACCATTCTGTGCACCCACCCACTGCCTCCTCTTTAATTATCCCACCCCCCTCGCCAATTGTATTGATTGACCTGGAAATGATTGTTGGTCCGCCCTGTACATCCTTCTCTAACCGCGGACAAAAATTACTTTAATAGCAAACCATATGATAATCATCATAAATCACAAAGCTACAAGGCCGGACACGAGGGTAGGAGAGAAACACGAAAACAAAGCGAGTGGTTCAATAAACGACAAAAGCGAGACCTGGAAGAAGTTGGGGCGGAAAGGTACAATTCGGTCATGAAAAGGGGATTGGTATCGTATCAAAGTGTGCATAGGGTAGGATAAGTCTATCGAAATCAAAGTGCGTTCAGGTTGCGTCGTCGAACAATGGGAGCTCTTTCAGCTCCCCTTTGGAGTCTCTCCCTGAGACCCACTCTACCTCCCAAAGCCACTGGAAACACGACTAGGCGTACTGGTCCTCGTGTCCAACCTCATAATCTCCTTCTCGAATTTGGCCAACCCGCTTCCCCCTTTCCCATCCCCATTGCTCATCAACCCACCCTTCCCATCCCCTCTAGCCCCGTGCTTATCAAACAAGTAGGTAAGAAGATTCTTCTTATCGTCTGCCAAGCCATCAAGGAGCGCAAAGAGCTGTGTTTCATTCCGGATGACAAGTTGTGCAGCGATGATCGAGGCTGCCGCGGATTCTCGGATGATGAGGGAGGAACGGTCATTCAAGGCCTAGGATCGGAAACCAATATACTTAACATCGATTTCGAAACGGCTGAAAAGATAAAACTCACAGTGATGAGTGTCGCCTTCAGCCTCGGGATTTCCTCTTCAGCAATTTCAGCCGGAAGTCTCAAAATGAACTTGCCAAGCGCAATTAACCCAAACGCATAGGTTGCAGCTTTAACCTCCGTTAATCCTTCCACACCATCAAGCTCGGGAGGTTGCCCCTCATGGAAGGAACGGAGACACGAGTGGAAGGTCGTAAGGCCGTAGACTGGGTCAATCTTGCTGGTAAGAGCGTCTCGGATCGTGCTGGTGGCTTCGAGGACCTGGATACACGCGTATCATGAGATGTCAGGCATGGGAAGGTGAATGCGTTTGGGACGTACGTTGACTTTGTTGCAATACCTCAGATTCATCAACATGGAGAACAAGTCAGCCTCTCGATGTTCCAGGTACGGAGCCTGGTTCTCTAACATCTCCCAGATGATAATGAGGCCATACTCCAGTTCAGACTCATCCTACGATCCACCGTTATAATGTTGTATCATCCAAATATCCAAGAAACTTACCTTGGAAGGCTCCAGCACAGTCAAAAGGGCTCCGAACAGCCTATCGAACAACCTCTCCCTTTCCCAAAGATCTGAGTGAAGTTGCTGCTGCTGACTAGGCAGTGCTTTGACAGCAAATGGCGAGGGGCTGGTTGGCTCTTCGCCCATTACCAGTGACATGGGGGAAGATGGATCCGGAGCAACGGGGTTCTCTATGCATGCCAATGCGGCCTTCTGTAGAATGTCTTTCGAGAGCTCACCCCTCTCCAAAGCCTCGACCAAGGCTTTTATTTCATCCATACGCTCCAACTCGGACTTCAGCTGCGAGGGTGCAGCTTTGGAGAAGACTAGGACGCTCAAATGTGAGAAATCGGCATCGGAATAGGGAAGGAAGGCACGCACGATTCATCCTCTTCAGCCACCATCCGGTTGAGTGTCTCTTTGCGTGGAGAACGTCTAATAACGATGCACTCCTCTTGGCATTGACAGGACTATCCTTGAACATTGCCGCCTGCTTCATAATCACGCTAGTCTTGTTATTCGGCGTGCTAGGTGGTGCTTGTTGACTTCTGTCGCTCTTCGGCGCTCGTGTATCAGCAATACCAGCGAAGGCAGCGGGAATGGGTGCAGGTGAGGATTTGGGTTTGGCTCTGACAGTGGCCTGACTATCCATTCCTGTTGCTGCAGCTCCTATATTCGAATGCCTGACTTTGCCTTTACCGATCGTTATAGGCATCATTGGAGCTTGCAGCTCATCCTCTTCTGCATCATCAACCAATTCCAACAACCTCTCAGCCGCACTTTCAGCCTGTTCAGCCCTCGCTCTCAGTGCATCCTCGACCACAATCTGCAGTCCTCCCAACTGTCCCGGTACCACATCGGAGAGCGACCCCGAAGATAAGGCGTTAGAAACGCTGGCAGCGACAGACGGCTTCGACCCATTCGAGCGAGGAGAAAGGGGCGGGGTGCGGGACCGAGGAAGCTGCTCATATGCAGCGGAGAACGACATGAGATTGACCGAGTGGTCATCCTCTGTGTCTGTGTCACCTTCCGGTATGGGAACGGTTGTAGCAAGGAGGAAGGATTCGTCCTTCAGGTGTGAAACAGAGGGGAGTAACAGGGACTCTCGATTGGGAACGGGAACGGGCCCATTCCTGATACCCAGCCCGGTGGGCCGACGAGGTGGCGAGGCTTGGCCTGCTGACGAAGGAGGGGAGGCGGGCAGGGCGGTTTGCATCGCTTTGCGCAGGGTACCGGTCGTGGCGAGAGGCGAAGACGTTCGTCGTCGGGCATTGTTATGATCGGACAGGGACGGCGAGTGAGCTCGTTGGCTCGAATTGCTCGAAGATCCTCGGGAGTGATTTCCAGGCACTGCAGTAGAGCTGACAGAGCGTGACGCTGAGACTGGTGGGCGAGGTTTAAACGAGGGAGGGGAGCCGGGTGACGAAGACGTTCGCAGAGGCGATGTCGGCCTTGCAAAGGTCGTCAACCTCGGAGACGTACTCGTACCGGGGGAAGTGGATCGGCGAGACGAGGCGGGAGTATGGGAAGAGGTGGCTTGGTGCCGGAGGGTTGGAGGGGCGGCGGCGATGGCTTTGGCCTTGGCTCTGCTGGCGGCGATGGCGGCAGCAATGCTTGACTTCTTTGGAGGAGCAGGTGTCTTGGGCTGAAGCGAAGTCTGCATGGATGCATCAGGACATGCCCTTTCAAGCTGTTTCCGAGCGGTATTATCCAGGCTGTTCAGGATGGCAGTCGCGTTATCTGGCCATATGGCATGGAAAGACCAGAACATAACACGACTCGCTTCTCGCACGGCGGGGTTTGCATCACCCAGTGCCTTTTTGATAGACCTTTCCAAGATTTCGAGACCTCCAGCGGCTTCAATATTGTTTTTGGAGCGCAGGCCATGCACTTCAAGATATTTCTTGAAATGACCAATAACGAACGCCCGTGCTTGAACTGTCTTTTCTTGTAAGGTGGCCCATAGTAAAGGCAAGACGACCCTGGAGGGTGCTGAGGTGTATGTGATAATATCGCCCACGGAAGTTTGTGACTGCTGGGCCGTTATCTTCTTGGTAAATGCTGCCATTTTGAGAAGGTTGGTGAGCAACAAGTCACAGTATGGGTCCAATCCAGGACCCAGTATCGCCGCCATTTCCGAATACATTAGGCAGGTGTTAACGGCGACAGTGGTTCTTAGACTGGCCAGCTAGAAATGTTCAGGACAGAAGCAAGAATACAGAGGCGCATGACTAACTGTTTTCAAGGACCATTGCATAAACCCGTCCTTCAAGCAAGCAAAGAACACCTCGGGATACCGATTATGTACATCGCCTTTGAGCATCCCTCGCACTCTCTGAATGGAAGAGTCTCTAACACTCCAGTTGTGTTCAGTCTCTTTGCCCTGGGCATCTGATGAGGATACAGATAAAGGTTGACAAAGTTTGCACTTGCCTCGAAAGGTTTGGCCATTGTTGCAAACTCAGATTCCAAATCACGGGCTGAGGCGATCTATACGCACGGAAAGTGAGAATAGAACTTCATGGAATACGAAGAGAACGTACATAGACAGTTTGAACATCGGGATTGTCAGATACAGGGTTGGATGTGGGGAGTGGCGGGGGAGAAACGACAGCAGCTCCCCTACTTGCTGGACGTGGGACTTCTTTCAGGTTCATAACGCTCGTCGCTCTCGAGAGTGTATTGGTTTGACTCGGGGCGCGTGCTTTCGCTCCCGCAATCCTAAGGCTCGGAGGTATATATTCTTTGGCTTTGGAGCCCCCTTCTCCCTGTTCTGAACCATTGGCACTGCCTGGGGCGCTGGCTGTTGCTGCCGCCAGCAACTTTGCAAGAACATCTTCAACTATGGCTTTGCGGACATTTTTCTTTGACATTTCCTTCTTCAGGTCAGCCCTGGCAGCATCGGTGACACTGGGCCCCGAGAAGAGCTCAACGACTGATGTCCTAGCGCAGTCCCGAACATGGGCGTCGGTATCTTCCAAGCAATCGACTAGGAGGGTGAGGTAGGGCCTGATCGGGAACTGAGGATGACCGCGTCGGATGTTCACAAGGGTAAGGATACTCTGGAGACGTCAAGAGCACCTTCCGGTTAACGTACGTACAGACATCTATTTAAATAGACTCACCTGCTCCCTAACCTTCCAAACTTTACTGGCCAGCCCTGCTTCCCTCAGAAAACGCTCAAATATCATCAATGGCGTCTCTACACCTTTCCCCGATTTCGAAGTCATGTTGCTTGCACCGCCGGCGCGGAATGCGTAGCCACCAAGGATCACCAACGCTTCCCTCGCTTTGGCCTGTGGTCGTTCCTTATCCCCTAGACGATCGATGATCCCTCCCGGGGGTAGAAATGACATGAGGACGTAGCGTAGGGTGGGTACATCGATGAGGCCAGAAGTTCCGGAACTCGACGAGGCATTTGGGGTGGACTGTGAGTTGTTTATTGCAACATTGCGCGTTATAATCAGTGGCAAAAGCGGAGGAAGGGCGTAAAGGGTGGCACTTGTCAGATGCTGGTTCGATATTCGCAGGCACGCTTTGAATGCACTGATAATTGCGTCGGAATCGGTGATCTGCAAAGGGTGTTGGAGTCCATGCTCAACTTGTCGCTGCACCGTCACGGAGGAAAACCCTCATACCTCGATTTCGGACTCAAACTCTAACTGTAGCTTGGCCAGAGCATCGACCTTCACGTCGACATCTGAGCGATTCGTGTGTGAACAAAAATCCTGGACGAAGGGGTGGATAGAACATTACCATTGCTCTTCAACTGAGCGATGAGCTTGTCCAACCGCGAATCTTCGGACGCCATGGCGACAGACCGTTAGCAGCGCGTTGGCCACCGTGGAGAGCCAGTTCGGTGTTCAGAAAAAGAGAAACTGAGGTCGAACGAGGTAGAAACTGGCCAGCGAACGATGCGGGAGCGCTCCCAGATCACGAAGCGAAGCCAAAACTGCGTTAGTCACAGATTGACGCGCTTCGCCAAGCTAAGCCCTGCATTCCACCCTGATTGGTCAGAATGTGGGAATAATTCAGACGCCAACGAGGGCAAGCTGGGCGCTTTCCTCGTTCATGGACAGTCTCTCCATTGAAATACATGATTCACTACACTACACTTGCGCGCTTTAGAAAATAAGAAAGTTTTCTGTATATACAAGGTATCGAGTCGTCCCCGCTTGCGTGCTGCAACTTTGAAGCGCTTTCTTTGAGGGCGCCTTTCGAAAAGGCTTGACCCTTGCCAGCTTCCGTGATCTGAATGTGGGGGTGGGATTCGACGAGGACCAGACTGTGAGCTGTAACGCTCAGCAATCGATCATGAAAACCGGGCGGGTTAGTACCACAATCGCTTTGAATCACTCTGAGTGGCCCACAAGCACAATATTCCCTCCAGACAGCGCGGCACTGTCAGGGCCTAGCAGACGGAAGTCCCATGTGAGGACAGTTTCAACTCTGGCAGTCGGAAACATTCGTTATTGTACACCTGCTGTATAGATAAAGCAATGTCGCTACTTCGAAAGCGATCAAGACACCGTCCTCCTATTCATTTCTTGTCGGAATGTCCCAAAGATTGCCCAGGTGAGACATGATCTCTGAGTCGTTGTTTCTGTCGACTGTCAATGTGCCTTCTGACAGTATGAGTACGGGAGACTCACGAGAACTTTAAGTTCAGGGAAACCCCCTTCAGTTTTACGATCCCAGAGTAAGATGGGTTCTGCCTCCCTGTCTTTAGAGAGCCATACTCGGAAACGACCTGACGCGTCTTCAGTGTTCCTTGGTAATAGGCTAATGCACCCTATCTTGGGAGGAGGGAACGTTAGGAAGAGCTCCGTCTGAACCCATGTAGCGCGGGGTAGCCTAGATGAGAGGTGATGTGCATAGCAATTTGTTGAACAGCAGGATAATCTTTACCATCGACACTGATGTAGAGTTTGCATTCAGTCACATCGCTGGATATGTTACGAACATACTCTATCGCAAAACTCAATGGTTATAGTTGGGCAAGCCAACGGCTCAGGGAACCTGAACGTCGTTGGATCCAACGGATTGTCGGTGGTGTTCTTTTCGTTGGTGATGGGCGTGTCATCGATTGGGCATGCAGCGCTGCTGGCCATGGCTACGAGGTGCTGGTAGACAATATGTTGGGAGAGAACATTGAATCCGATGTTTACGGACTTGATGGCCTTGACGGGAAATGCCGAAAGTGTCGAATATTGTTTACGCGTTGTTTGCATTGGGACCCATTGTCGCGCGTTTGGGGCGCGCAGTGTCCCTTGCCTACAGATCTTTACCTAGGACCGACCGTCAACGATGGGCTCGACAATCATAGAGAATCAGGAAGAAGGACAGCAGCCTGCCGCATCTGGCTCAACGCAATGGCCTGTTCACGGTTAGTTAATCTGCCCAATGCCCAAGATATCGTGATTAAGGCTCTCCATTCAGTCGAGGTCCGGCTCCAACCGCGTACAGCGGCCAAATTTGACACTGTCAGAAGTAATGTTCGCAATTACATCTCATCCTTCGATAGGATAGCCATTCCCTCGAAACTTCAAGGGTGGCAAAGCGTCACGGAGCTGGCGTCCACCGTCGAACAAATCACCATCTGCGAATCTAGATGTCCATCAACCTCGCTGAATCTTTCGGAGGCCAACCTACAGATCCATGTCTATCAGCCATTGGATAGCGGCTCGTTTGACGAATTCTCCAACAGTGCGGGAGCAGACGATGATGACACAATGGCTGCCAGTGTCTGCGAGCTTCCAAACCGAAGCTGGGAAGGCCTCTGGGACTCTTTGGTGTACTCAAACGATGTCAAGATGAAACTCCTAGACTACATCCACGCGACACTCATTTTGAGCGATGTGAACGTCGATTGTGAGTCATCACAGAACCGAAATATTGGCTAAATACTGAACATATGCTAGTCAACCTCGTCTCGTGGAACAGAGTGGTTCTTTTGCACGGCCCTCCCGGCACAGGCAAGACGTCCCTCTGTCGAGCCCTTGCTCAGAAGCTCGCCATTCGCTTCTCCCATCGGTAAGATTCGTTAACTTTGTGGCCCGCCGGTCTCTCACCGGTCTCCCAGCTACTCCAACGCACGCTTGTTAGAAATCAATTCGCACTCATTGTTTTCCAAGTGGTTCTCAGAATCAGGAAAGCTGGTCCAGAGGCTTTTCACCAGTATAACAGATCTCGTCGATGAGGAAGACGCCTTTGTCGTTGTCTTAATTGACGAAGTAGAATCTCTTACGGCGGCGCGAGCTGGAGCAATGGCAGGGACCGAGCCCTCTGACGGTCTTAGGGTGAAGACGGCGCATATACCGATGTTTTTCGTCAACTCACTTTCCTGATAGGTGGTGAACGCCCTCCTCACCCAGTTAGACAAACTGAAGCATCGCAAGAATGTTTTAGTAATGGCGACGAGTAACTTAGTGAAGGCTATCGGTGAGTTCTCTTTTCTCGACGCAAAACAATGCTCTGGTTCGTATTGATTCATCATCTTTCCCCAGACAATGCATTTGTAGATCGGGCTGACATTATTCAGTACATCGACCTTCCTTCCCGAGAAGCTGTCTACGACATCTTGCGTAGCTCTGTCTCGGAGATCATGTCCAAGGGTGTCATTGCCCCACTCCCTCTACCTAGCCTGATGCAGGTCCAACTCTACGAAGTCACTGCCAAGCCCAACCAATCCCTTGATTATTCGTCAGACGCGAATCAGCGTTCGAGGAATGCTGGTTTGAAGCTTCTTCACCTAGCTGCAAAGTGTCAGGTACGACCTGCATTCCTTTCAGCTCTCTGGTGGATGACTAAAGGACTATGTTAGGCCCACGGAATGTCTGGTCGTTCCCTTCGCAGGCTGCCTGTGCTTGCCCTCGCACACTCCCTAGGGCTAGGACGACCAACTACGACGGGAGCCACGAAGGTCGCCACCGCTCCATTCGAACTGGGAGGTACAGACGTCGAAACGTGGATAGCTGGGATGGATAAGATCGTCGACGAACACGGAGACGAGCTCCAGCGCGTCATTTGACCAATGCAGTTCTGCTTTGCATTGTCTTGCTTTCCTTTCATTGCATTCACGGACACGCTTAGGCTTCAAGTTGTATAATTACGCTCCCACAAAGGCATGTTAATGACATGGCCCAGTCTGCCTCATTCTGCCATATCACTAGTGTCCGGGAGAACGACGGCATGCCTGTCCCCACGGAGGTTTGCTTCAATTCTCGGATACTAATCATATTGCTTCGGTCAGAATACCACAACTCTGATGATATGTCTCTTCAAAACGAGAACGTCAAAGCGAAAGTCTCCAGGTGAGGCCAACGTCTGTCAGGTTGGCGCCTTGGATCCAGAACCAATGCGCGCCAAGTTTCGAAACCTCTCACCGCTCAACTCCATAGCTTTGATCAACTGTAATCCTCACTTTCCAACATGGGCAAGACTTATGAGGCGGCAAAGATCCGTGTAAACCGCCTATAAGCAGGCCGCTCTTGGGGACGCCTTGATACCAGTCCACGTGTGGTCTGCGCTTACAAAGGGAGGTCCACTGACAAGCGCTCCGAGTCATGGCGACAGGGCGCCAAATTATGTGTTCTCCAAGAAACCAAAGCACGAAGTCAAAGGACGACGAGCCATCTTTCCAACAAAGCCTGGTGCGAGATACCGCTTTACAAATTCGCATAAAGAGTCGATAATAGCTGGATTAGACTACTCTACTGACATCGAGGTTCCATTAGATTGAGCGAGAGACGAAACGAACTGGAAAGCGATCTATCCACGAGAGAACAATGACTATAAAAGTTGGCCAGAGACTAGGGCATGAATGAGTAAGTATTCGTGTACGGTGAAGGGAAACACTCACTCTACGATACCGTTCGCTACGATGACAAAGACCCACTTCTCTGGGCCTTAACCCCGGCGAACGATGTCGAAAATGACCTCTGTCCCCACAGCGCAGCCCGATTATGACTGAAGTAATTTTCGTTCGCCCAGGTCGCACTCCTCAGCCCACCAGTTCCCACCGCCCTTGGTCTGGGGTTCGACCCAGCCAAGACCGAATGAACCCGCCTCCTAGGCCTGAACCCAACAGCGTCCATCCACTCCTCCCGTGAAATGACAGCTCTCTTCCGCGTCTCCGCAAACCAAACGTCTTTACCAGCCCATACACGCCGTCCCAGTCGCTCTTTGACGCGTTGAGAAGTTCGTCCGACGAGGTCGTCGAGGTACTCAGCAAAGTGTTCCAGTCCTTGGATGTCATTGCGAAGGATTTCAATGTGTACGTCAAGGTTGATTGGTTTGACGCGGGGGGCGGGAGGCGGGGCTGTCGAATCCGTGTCCAAATCAAGGGGTTCTGCTTGGGGCTTGGGAGAAAGTTTGGAAGGGGAAGAGTCGGAGGACACCTCAGCTACAGCGTCGGCAGGTTCCATCGCTTCTGCAGGCTGTACACGGGGCAGGCTCTCCATATACGCGCGGATAGAATCGCGCTTCATGGTGTACCACTCGAGATCCTGCTTCTTCTTCTTGATGATCTTGGGCATTTTGGTCGACAACCACTTCATCAAGCCGAACCGTTTACGCCTGTTGGTTTGACCAAGAACGGGCAGGACAATCCCTCTGTTAAACGAGAAATTGGGAGAAGGGATCTCCGACAACTTCAGGTTCTGGGGTTTGTAGTGCAAAGCTTTGCGCAGCTTTGTATTTACCTCCCTGTCCAGATGTCTCGTCTCGTTGATGTAATGTCGGGCAAAAGTTGCGTGGTCAGCTCGACATATGTGACGCATGAGGATGGTGTAGGTAGTTGTGTTGGGCGTGGCGTGAGGAGTCTTGAAGGGCGGTTTGATATTGGAAATGGCACCAATATCATCCTCGTCCTCGTCAAAGGTAGAGAAGAAGTGTTCCTGGGCGTGGGGAAGTGGTTGGGTGAGCACCTCGAAGGCTTGAACCATCTTCGAGATGTGGCCGTGCTGGCCAAGGATTTCGAGAGTGGTGTTGAGGGCGGAGGTAGAGAAGGGTAGCGGAGGAGATTTGGATTCCATCATTTCCAATGGAACCTTGTCTGGGTACGACAAGTCAATCCCATACGCCCATCGCAACAAGGATTCCAACGCCTCCAAATCCAAATTCTCCTTCAATATCCGGAGCGACAAGTCCGCGTTGACCGAAGTCAATGGGATATCGAAGCGACGCATGTCGGCCAACATCTCGGAATACATTTGACGCGTTTGTTCGACGATAGTGGGACGGTCGGCATCGGTTATTGGCAGCGTAAACCGGTGAGCAATGGCCTGGAAACACAACCCGAGCGTCTTCGCTGTCGGTATATGACCAAGGTGCATCAACTCGCGGTAGACATTGAGGGTGCCGATGTAGTGACCTGTCGCGGCGAACTGGTATAAGACAAAGTGGTAGTCGTCGAGGGTGGGGACGTTCCCGCCTGCGCGGATGTTGCGAATGATTGTTTGGAAGCGACCCTCGTTGATGTGGGGACTTTTTGGAATATTCCCCGCCAGCAGACGCCGTGTGACAGCCAGGCGAAGCTTTTGGTGAGACGGAGTGCACTTTCGCAGTACCTCTTGGTGAAGTTCCAGTGGGAGTTGCTGGAAGCCGATGCTGTCCAGCAGGGTGAGGTAGTTGTTCCAGACGCGTGACGGGTTGCCCGAAATCGACAGGGAATATTTCAGGTCTGCGTAGGCGCTTTTCTTGACTACATTGCTTGATGACGGGGCTGAAAAAGTTGCTGGCGGTGACGGGGAGTCTGACGACGACGACGGCGCGGCGTTTGAGATATTAGCAGGCCATAGGGTATTGAGTGGGATAGCGAGTGAGCTGACGGATTTCCTTAGAGAATGAGAGGCGAAGGCATTGGCAATGACCCTGCCTGGCATAGCTTGTCCGACCCACTCAGCGACGTTGTCGAAAACACGGCGGTGAGCATCAAGAAAATCATCACATGACCATCTCCCCACATTTTGTCCCGGTGTTTGCTCCAGAGGCCGCTGCCAACCATCAGGCAAGCGCCCGGACGCGCAACGAGTCAACACGAATCAGGGTCCCTGTCCATTTTGCCAACCGGGCTATTCTACAACATGCGCAGAGATGTACAAGGCCTGCTCCTCAATCGCTGGGTCTCTCGCGAAAAAAAAAAGCTGTGGCGAACCAACGAGACGCGATAGTGGTGGTCGGTGTGCTTTGGAGTGTGTATAGATACAAGTGAAATCATTCTTCTAGCTTTCTGGTCATATCCGTAAAGACGGGTGTCATACAGTCGTCAACGATTCCGCTGGCGCACAAGGTCATGTTCTCTTCATCATGGTCGGATCGCCTCCAAAGTCTCCATCGATGTTACGCTGTTTCCTCGAATGACCTGGACCCAATGTTAAACTTGAACGAGAGATACAGTGGCACAGCACGTACCACGGTGCCAATGGGGTGCTTTTGACCGGGTGTCGTCTCCTCCACCGCGTCGTCAATGACAAGGTTCAAGAAGAGATCATAACCGCGCAGTGTCCCGCTAACTTTGCGTCCACCTTGCAGATGGATGAACAATTTTTTGTCCATAAACTGCGAGCAATTTGTGGGTCAGTATCACTCCAGACTTTGTACCAAATGCGTGCGCACCTTTTTGAGTTCTGGTTGGGACGCTTTGGACATGGTGGACGATGAGACGGAAGAGGTTGAGGTGAAAGTGATGAACGAGGTTAGTGTTGCCTCATTTGGGCGTTTTCCGATCAGTTATTCGTTTGGTTGCAGCTCCCTGCCTCTTTTTGCCCGCTGTACTCTACGTTTCACCTTACAACACTCGTCAAATCCACAGCTGCCCAACTGAAAGACTCGGCTGGCAGCTACAGTTGTGTTTATTATCCCCTCAATATAGTGTAAGACCGTTGGATCCGAACAAATTTCTGCACTGACATGTGTCTTTCAGTGCTTGAACGCAGCCTCTAAGAATAGTCTTGCCAAATGGCCACGCCTGCTCCGAGCGCCAACTCTTCCTCAACTTCGTCTTCTAGGTGGGAGAGGTCTGGCGACATAGGCTCGGCTTTTAGCAGCTTCTCCCGTGGAGGAGGTGGCCGCGGTCGTGGAAACAGTCATCGTGGAGGCAGAGGTGGTGGTGGCCGTGGCGGTTCTCGAGGCTCAAATTCCAACAGAGAAGGTAGAGCCCCACCAGACTCTCGTCCAGAACGAACACAGGAAAAACCTAAACCCGTGCCATCCACCAACAAACCGCCCTCTGTCGCTGACCCGAGCGAGAAACCTCCATCAACACCCCGGACAAAAGGTTCATCGCGTCGAGGCTCCCGTGCTGCAGCCCCTCCTCCCATCTCTACCCAGGTGTCAACCCAGTCATCGGAACTGCCAACCCCTCAATCAGCTTCCCGTTCTTCCAACAGGCGAAGGCGATCCAATGCAAACAGAGGTTCAAACTCGAAGATCAAACCCAATGGTCCAGACGATCACTTGCTGGGATCAGGTCGGCCCCGTGTATCCTCCATTCCCCAGACGGCACCCATAAGAGATACACCCCCGCACCTTGCAGCCAGAGCCAGTAATACTGGCACTCCTGACATGCGTACAAACATTGATGCACTTGTCGAGCGTGTCCGAGCGTCAGCGATGGCTGATAATCGACCTTCGACCCCTGGAAGCCATATTGACTGGGCAGGAGACGACGACGACAGTCTCCCGGACCTTGACGACTGGGGAATCACAACAACGAACACCAGCCAGGCGTCCCTCCCTGCTCAGACCATCTCCCCCATCATAGTCGATGGACTCAAACCTCTCCCGGAACCAATTGCGGCCAAAGTCCCTACGCCTCCCAATGCTGTACCAACTCCCCCACCCGCAGTAAAACCTAACCCCCCTCCGTCCACGAACTCGAAGGCAGGCGAATCAAAACTGCCACCAGCACCACCCACATCCAAGCCCGAGGCAACGTCTTCCAAACCTACAGATCAAGCTTCCGAAGTTCCCCAGAACGCAAATCCTCAAGAAGCGCTCCCTCCCCCCGCCAAGAAATCGGAAGCTACCTCCAAAGCTTCCGCTTCAGAAACCAACTCTACCCCCGCTCAAGTTTCTGGTGGTGCTTCCACCCCCAAACCAGTAGAACCCGCTACGGCTCAAGACCCCCTATTCGGGGGTGTTGGGAATAAGGAAGGACTTTCAGCTTCGATCCACGCACCCAAGGGTCCTGCAGACGCGACGTCCGCTCCAGCTAATTTATCAACCTACAACAACCTTCCCAAACAACCTTATAACCACCATCACGGTTATAACGACAACAATTCCTTGCACGGGTTCAGCCACGGCGCCAACAACCGTACACGCGGTGGACGACCGTTCTCTTATCACTCGCAGAACTATCGAGGGCGAGGTGGTGGTTTCGGAGGAAATCATCATTCAAGAAATCACTCCTCGCCCTCCATGGGAACCAGTGGCAGACCAGCACATTCTCGACCTGTCATCACAGGGGACGCGATTTCGCGTTTGGCTAGGACCATCGTAGCCACCACCCCCAAGGCTGCTCAACCTGTCTCTTCCGGTGGTGACTCCTGAGTTGACCTCGGCACCCTGACTTTATTTATCTCTTTTCTCTGCTCCAGATCTTCTACAATTCGAATATCGAAATGGACACTCGATTTTTGATTGCTTTTCTCGTTCCTATTTGATTTTGACTCACGCTCCGGCCTCCGTTCCTCTTGGTTTATTGTAAAAGATTTCCATGCTCTATACCCCTCCCGAACCTCGTCTCTGCATTCCAGTCTCCTTTGTTCCCGCTTCTCTTCCAGCTCCTGCTCATCTCTTGCTCCACTCTGTCGGTTTTTGATTTCACCGTCCCCTGACAATGCATTCAAAATGTCATCTTACCATACAGTCGCCTACTTTTAGCCTTGTCTTCTCAGTTCCAATAGCTTTCGCATTTCCCTATCTCCGAAACTGTACTGCTCCTCCAATCTCTCCTCATCTGTATGTACAATAGCTTTTCGCTCCATTATGACCCAGTCCTGATTAGTTTTCGGGTGATGATGATAGTATCTATGTACTAGGGACGGATAAATTAGTTGCCTGTCAGTACCGAACCAAAACCACCATTACGACCGTCCCAATGTGACTAATATTCAACGACATTCCTCTGGAACAAACTAAAATCAACGGCTACTCGGAGCTGAAATACGACACTTCGATTCCGATGGCTTTTATAGGTTTGGCACGACTCGAGAGGTCGGAGACGACACCCAGACTGACCAACATTTGTCTTATACGACCTTCCCACATCAAGGAGACGTCCTGGCGAACCAAAAAAGTCAACACTTCAGATACGCTCAGCAGCTGGAACATACGCACGTTATTGGTCGAGGCCCTAGCTTTCACAACTCCATGCACCTCGCCCAATGGCGAAGGATAGCTGGGCTTTTCTGCTCCCTCCTCACCGGAATCTGTCGACGAGCGAGGCGACCGTCGCAACCACCACTCCGCACCCATCGTCCACTCGCTGTCGTAACTGTACACATTAAAGTCGAATCTGGTAGCCAAAGCCAGGTCTCGAGATACGCGAGCTGTGTAGGCACTTTGTATATGTCCGAGCATGGGGTTAAATAGAGCAGTGATTGTAGTGGGGGGTTGGGGATATGGTCGGGGGTTAAGAAGGGCGGGTGAGGGTCCGGAGGTGGTTGGGTCGGGTGTGAAAGGTGATGGAGGGGGTATTTGGGCTGAAGGTGGTGTCGCGTCTGGCATCGTTGAGAAGCGGATGCCTGTTGATACTGTCGATGGCAGGGCATGTTAGTTTGTGAAATTAGACGCGGGCTAGAGAGAACAACGAACCTCCAGCACTACGCTCCTTGGCACTGAAATAAAGTTCGGCACCAACGGAAACTCTCCCTCTCAGTCCGCCTTCAACCGCATCCTCTTCATCCACCCGCTTCACTCCCGCTCTACTATTACTGGCGTTCCCCGGAGCAGAGGTATTCGTGCCATTCTCCCCATTGGTAGTCTCCCAAGAGGAAGGAGCCAATCGACCAAAGTTGTGTAGGAACCTAACGCCCCACATGCTATCTTCAGCACTGTACGTGTACTCGGTGCACCACTTCCCAACGTCGTGCTGGAGGTTCAACATGATGTTACTGGGGTCGGTTCTCCTCCGTCCGTCTACTGGCGTACCCGAGATAGGGTCGGAGATGGCAGCAACGGAGAGTTGGACTGTAGGTGACAGTCGTGTAGAGTACAGAGCATCTAGTCGGCCAGACGGGAGGTAGAACCTGCCATAGAGCAAGTAATCTATGCAGTTCAGATGTTCTGCGTTCAACACGCGGAATTCGGGGTTTGAGGTCAGGCAGAGCACGTACCGCGAGTATCGACACGTTCACCAGCCAACCATTCTTCCTCCTTCCCTTCGGGCCTCCGAGGCTGGTCGTATACTTTGAATCGGTCTAGCATGTCTTTGAACCTGACGGTGCCGGAGGACAATACATTCAAGTCGCACGAGGTGAAGATATATCCGAGTGAACCGCTCAGTGAAGGCATAGCAGTCATCGAGTACGTTGTTTTAAAGAGTGGATTCGGTGATTTAGAGACTGTGAAGTGGAGTCCTCTAGGGACGGTGAAGTCGAGAACGGCTGTGTCCCATCCAGAGTCAGTCACGGTGTCGGAATGGCCAAGGACGACGTTGGGTGTTTACCATTGGAAGACCTGGTCAGGTTGGCGTAGAGGTTGTCTTCATTCCATCCTGTTGCTTTGTAGTACGTCCGCAAGACGTAGGATGCAAAGGGATGCATCGCAGGCCGTTGCTGGTGGCCAGCGCCAGTGGGTGTGGTCAAGGTATGGAATCAAGAACACATCGAGCGCGGCGCGCGCGAAGTAAGTGGATTGATTGCCGGGTTGAACGCGTTTTGCAACGGCATTTTGAACCAATTATTCGTTTGACAAGTAAGTATACTAGAATACAAATCGTGTCACAGGAACAGCGTCCTCTGCGCTCGAACTAATAACTTCTTCCCAACGAAATAGCTGCACTTCTTTGGGAGACTTGACGCGGTACAGTTTCATCTGTTTGCCTGGCTGGTGCAGGGCTTCGACTTCGTCATCTTCGCCTTGAGACGATGGAATTGTGTCCTCGTCCTCGGCTAAGGAATACAAGTAAGTTTCTGAAAGGCGCAGCGCATGCATAACAGGGTTTCATACCGAGTTCGAATAAAGCTACCCATTCAAAGAACTTCTCTACCAGCCCAAAGACGGGTTCAAACTGCCTATCCCTCCGGGGAAGATACTGGTAGGTATCCGAAGGTGCCTTGGTGATCGGGAGTTGCAGATTCAGTAATTGGGAATCGAACAGGACGACAGAAGGTAATCTGGTGGAGCTGAAGTGGGGTTGGTAAAGTACAAGGAACACAGACGCATGGAGTGCATACCCTTCTATGGTCAAGGACTGAATGGATGCGAATGAGCGGGATACAAGGTTCAGATAAGAGGACACTGTATGGGTGGATCTTTCATCGTGGTCTAGCTATGGAGGCATAACGAAGCCACCGAGAAACTCACAGTTCATCTTCAGCATCAGCAAAATACAGAGACGGCTCATGCAGTACGATTAGCCCAGGGGGGAAGGTCCTGCAGATCTTGGGATTGGTCCAGATGGGTTCTGCTTCCTCTTGCTCCTCTTGTCCCTGAGAGGTTCGAAGCATAGAAAGAAGCAACGACAGGTGTACCGGGGTTGGGGGGTAACTAGAACCACAGAACGCATCTTCAGAACTTCTGTGGTGAAATTAATGAAAGAAACCAAGTATCACAGCATCTGTACTCGAGAGACCGCGTCTAACATGTTGCCACGTCTAGACTTGGAAGTGATCCAATCATCGTTAATGGCTCTGAGCGCGTCCTTCAGCATCGACCTCGAGGGCGACAGCACCAGTGGGCGAGTCTCGGGGTTTTCAGTGGCATAAGAGACCGCTAGATGGATGGGTGCTGAAGCATGATACTTGCCTACAACGAGCAGAGACTGGTACGCGGGAAGCTGAATCGGAGCGTCAGGAAACAGGGAAGGCATTCACAGCATTTCCTAGATGGGAGTAGGAAGCAAGACGGGTAGTGTGGGAAACCCTCCAACACCGTGGGCGCTAAACTCAGATCGTCTCCTCCGAGTCCACTGACGGCCATGGTGTCTGCTGACCGTACAGCCTGCACAGCACTCGGGCTTTCCCCAGGCCAACCGGGACATCCGTGTAGTCTCCATGATGTATACCACAGGTCTAGTGCTATATGACACCGGATTGTCATCAATCGCAGCAGAAGTACCCATTTCTCCCCCTTCCTCGCTTCGCAGTGCACACCAGCCCTAGTCATCGTTCCGATTGCAATGACGGTGCCCTATACCCCGCAGCCGCACTTGACGATTTCCCTTGGAATGAGCCTTGCGCAGATTACAGCGCAGTTCGCTCCGCTTCCGGGATACAACTTCATCGTTGACGCACTGTGTGCAATATTACAGTGCTGCGACAATGTCGTACAAAACAGGTACGGTTCCCTACAGCACCACAGCGAGGCCTTCGGTGACTTATATTTACGCCCCATCTCACACTAGATACGCTGCAAGGCAACTAGCAACCCGCTGTCACGCATTTGTTCAATCGTTGAAGGACACAGAAATGAAGGGTTTAAACCCCAATCTGGTGGCAGCGAAGAAAGCCGTGGAAAGGTGAGCCCTCCTCCCCAACTCCACTCCATGATTGCCGCTTACAAGCGATACCAGGGAACTTACTCTCATTCGTGGACGGATGGACAAATGGAGTCGAATGGGCAAGATCAAAAGTTTCCTGAGCCAGGATGACGTTTCTCGAGAAATCATGGAATGCCATACGGCCATCTCAGATTGCATTTCCAAATTCCAAGTAAGCGACGCTTGGACTCCCTGGAGTCTACATGGCATTGAACTTCTTCTGTGCAGCTACAATCTCAGATTGAGATATTCGAATGGCAGAAGGAGCATGAAGCCAACACGCGTTTGGACCACCAAGAGCTCGTCAGCAGTATGGCAAGGCTCCAAGATACGCAGGACGCTACTCAGGATCTTGCCCGTGAAAATAACGAAATGTTACGGACTCTCATGGGCATGATGCAGATGGCACGTTCTATATCTGCGTGCAATAAGCGCTTTTACTAATACAATGCGTAGGCTATGGGGGAAAACAAACAGATCGCCGAGGCAATCCAACAGGGACTATCCCTCAACCTCTACCAGCTACAAAAACAATCCTCTGAACTACTTCCCAACCGCAACCTCAGTTCCGGAGAGGTCAAGCGAATTGGAGAATTCCCCGTGGCGGGCACGGCGACTATGGACATTTACGAAGGACTCTACCTCGGGAAGGAAAAGGTGTCCATGAAGGCCATCAGAGCCATGAAAGCGGATGAGAAATCGCGGCATGTAAGTTTTCCTACCTTCTGCGGGGACATACAAGACTGAGCGGATGTTGTAGCGGTTCAATCGAGAGGGTGAAATTTGGGCTAAAGTTTGGCAGAAAGATAGAGGCCAATACATTGTTCCGTTCTATGGATTCTGTCAAACGGACGGTCCCTTTCCATACATGGTCAGTCCATGGCAAGAGAATGGCGACGCCTTGACGTACGTCAAAGCCAATGACCATAAAATTAACTACAGAGACTTTGTAAGCCGTCCCATCCCTTCTCTTCTGCCTTGTTAACCTGGAGCGGCTTAGATCAAACGCATTGCCCTCGGCGTCCAAGTTCTGCATACATGTGATCCTCCCATTGTCCATGGGGACATCAAGTCTGTGAGTCTCGAATGTTTGTCCTCGGCCGGCCTGTCATCACTCAAACTCACGTCTAGCGTAATATCCTGATCAACGAGGAGGGACATCCCAGACTTACCGACTTTGGTCTATCCCAGATCATTAACGATGTATCTGGTACCCCATTCACCCAGAGCAGCATCGTGGCAGACTCGTTCCGTTACTTCGCGCCTGAAGTCTGCCAGGGCGGAGGGAAAATGTCTACCATGTCTGATATGTATGCCCTCGGCATGACAGTCCTCGAGGTTCGTCGAAAGCCGTCGCCCAAGAACAGCGGACCTTAATTTGCCCTCGTAGATCCTCACTCACCAGCAGCCGTATCGAAGAGTCAAGCACCATACTGAGGCCGTCTTGAAAGCTGCGCGAGGCATCAAGCCAGATCAGCCAAGAGAAGAGGAGGTCAAGGCTCGAGGTCTGGACGACGATATGTGGACTCTGTTGCTTCAGTGCTGGTCACTGACACCAGAGGCACGACCGTCGATTGAAGAGTTCATTGCCCGGCTATGATGCAGTCGCCGTTGGCGAACAGGAAAATGCTTAATTGTCGCGCCGTTTGTGGCACCGACGGTTCCCTCCAAAGCGAGTCCCACCCCTCCCACCCCTGACTAGGACCCTTCGTCTCTCCCACTAGTGACAAACCACGTATTTTACTGCACATGGCAAACGTATCAGAGAACTCACCTCCAAGAACTACCCTGTATACTTAGACTGGAATGATAATGGATCAAACCAACGGGTAAAGGATTGGAGTGACATTCACTTCGACAAAAGACAGGGGTAACGGATCGGACGGGCCGCGGTGCCGGACTACAGTCTCTACCGTGGATCGTGGTGTTGGCACAGGACGTGAACGTGTACCATGGCATCTTCATCCAACTCTGAAGTACCAACAGGCGAGAACCCGCTCGAGTCCTTCTTCAACAATATTCTCAAACCAGGATCGTCGTTGCAACCGACCTTCCTCGCAATCGTCGACGGAGCATTTGCGGTTCTCCTGGTCATCCTGCTCAGCCTAGCTTTCCTCACGTCGGGAAACCCACACATATTCGCTCTCATTTTCATAGAGTTGGCTTTATGGGCCAGTGTCAAATGGTTAGTACATAAACTTTTCACAATGTATGAAACACGGTCGTAATTTTAATGCTACAGGTTCGTGAATGAATTGAAAAAGATGCCGCCAGCGCAACCCCAAGGCGGAGACGGACAGACCGGGGAGAGTAAGAAGGATGAATAAAGGACTTGGTGAAACGTATGTCGTATCCTATTGTCGAGATTTGCTGTTCTCCTCATACCATGTCTTGATTCTCTTCGCGCTTTCTTGTGCAAGCAGGAACACTACCGAAGTGTTTGGGTCACCACACGGCCAGAAACATGGGGGGGAAACTCACACTCGCGCTCCGTTGTGTCGAGACCTTGCCTGAATAGCTGTGCAGTATCACCAGAGGAGCCACCGGCACCGCCAGGCCCCAGAGCCGCGAAGTGCTGCGCTTGATCTACGAGTTCCGTTATCCGTGCTTTGAAGGCCTTGGTGCGGAATGAGGCGCCGACGGTTCCAATGAAGGCGAGGGTAGACTTACGGTCGTCATCATCTTCGACATTTCTGTCCCTTGGGGTTCGCTCAACCTAGAAACTTTGGTCAATGGTGTACGCAGGCAGCCTGGACAGAACGCACATATCCATGATCATCTTCCCGAATCCGTACCACGATCCATCCGAGCCAACCAGATTTGACAATCGCACGCTTGTTGCCTCAGCGTTCAGTGCATTTCTAACCTTGAGTCCAAAAGGAGGTGGAATATTGAAATCGGCCCAATCTCTTCATTGAATAGTCAACGGTGTGCCCGTTAGAGGAGGAACGGTGGACGAACGAGTAGATGACAATGTAGGCCAACCACATTGGCAGCTGGACTTTACTCAATACCGCGATCTATTCAAGCTGGTCAGCGAAACGCGAGGAAAGTATCCGGAAGTTACGAACTCACGTCGCGATCTGAGCCACCTGCGAGATGTCCCATTCCAGGGATCTCCTGCTTAAACGTACATTGTATCTTCTGTGAAAGAGATCAGGCGCGACTAATTACGCGTGATTTACAATAAGACTTACCTGGTTCTCTGCTAGGATAGCTTCGACCGAGAAATAGTCATTATCCATGGAAGTCGTCCCTAAACAAGATGTGACTTCACTGTCGTGATCGTGTCAAGCAAGTGTCAAGCGCGTTTCGGCGGTCGCGTCTTCTCGGTCCGCTCGGTGCTGGTTCGCCCTTGGACAGCGACGACGACGACCTTCACCTCCACGACAGACTGCCGCCAACATGTCTCTCCTCCGAGTGCTGAGAACAGCTTCTATTCGTCAATTCTCGACTATTCCGCATCGCACTTCCCAAGTACAACAGCAAATCCCTCGGATAGTATGCCAGCGTCGCACCTTCTGGAAGAGCTCACCCTCACCTCCGGCGGATGACAAAACGACGCAAGAGGCTCAGAAGAAGGCTGTCGAACTTGCAAATGAACTCGCCCAATCCCCAGAATGGAAGAAGCTTGCAGCGCACCCTCCAGCACTGAAGGCAATTGAGCAATTTGTGGAGATACTCAAGGAGAAGGGTGAGGAGATCCATCGTTGGAGGCCTGTCTTGTATTCTGAACCTCAGGAAATGCATAGGACTTGATCCTAATTCAGGCAAGCAACCTGGAATTACAACTATGATGAAGCTCGCTGCGGATCCAGCATTCCGATTGGCGTTGCAGAACTTGAAGACGGAATTCCAAAACGCTGGAGTAGACCTTCAGAATCCAGTGCGTATTGTCCTGGTTTTGTTTGCGCCCTCCAATTTTATTAACCATTTTATATAGGAATTTCTGCAGAAACTCCAAGGTTTATCTGGAGCGTCCAAGGGAGTGTTCCCCTGGTCAAAGTAGTACGGTCACGGGACTGGGTATGATGCCTCCGAGAGATTCTCGCACCTTTTCTTCTTCCACCACCATCCCAGATCCCTTTTACCCTGTACATCACTTCTCTACCCTATCAATCATGGAAATCGACGCTCAGCCGTCGACGTCTCAACTACGGCTTCCAGATGTGCCTCCAGTGGAAGAAAATCGAGAACACACGGTGCCTGCAATCCCAGCGACAGAACATCCACTACCGCAGCGCCAGTTCTATTCTGTCGAGTATCCTGGATATGTAAAAGAGTCTTCAGTACCCAAAGCTATTGAAAATCTGGGAGGGCAAGGCAAAATAGACCGTGCTTTTCGACGCATGGCGCCAAAAACCGAGTCTCTAATGGAACTCACGCTGCACCCCGGAAACCCATTCGCTCACCCAATACCAGGAGACGTCGTCAATACCAACAACCTGCTACTCAAGGTTACGCGACGGAAAAGAAAGCAGAAAGACGGCGTTCCACCTGCAGATGGTGCTATAGGCGAATACAAGGCTGAAGTTGTCGGTGTGGTTGCGAAGACCGTCCGTTTTCGAAGTAAGCAGAGACCTTGAGTTGTCAGGCTGTCGTCTAATTTCCCTTAGGTATGGCCGACTTCCAATACCTCCCCGACATGGACGACCCAATATCCAAACTACGCGTGGCCATGGACAATATGGATGGTGAGCAATGTACGCCATACGGCCCTAAAGCCACTGCTTGACACCATCTCAGTCGACGCTATATGCTCGTACCGCATCCCGCCCATTAAGCAATCTACCGCGTCTTCATCGACAGGCGATGTGTCTATGGAACTAGACCCCCAGCTATTCCAAGAAACTGGTCAACCATCTACATCGCAACCTCCGAATGAAGCACCAGAGAACCTCCGTCTCTTCCCCCCTCCTTTGTTCAGCCGACAAACGATTGCACAGGGTTACAAGTACGTGGTGGCAAACGATTATCTGTAAATCTTTATTAATTGAAGTTGCCAGTTTCAAGGCAAACAGTGCGTCCATTGTGACCACAACCGTCGACGAAGAAACAGGGGAAGAACGGAAAAGACTAATCAATAAAATGCGTTGGAAGGGCTATGGCCCCGCTTCAATCATGTTCGCTGATAACCAAGTTCCCACCAAACCACCTGACGCGGTGGAAAAGGCAAGGGACCAGGCGAACCCCAAGCTATTGGAACGTTTGAATGAATTATTCGAGACGAGGCCGATTTGGACAAGGATGTCTCTGTTCAACCAGTTCACTCCCTTGGAATCTCGAGAAATTCTCAAGTACGACATTCATAACGATGAAAGGATGTCTGCTAACCCTTCAAATACATCTAGCTCCAAAGTCATCTTGCCTCTTGTGTGTTACGTCTTCCAGGACGGTCCCTGGAGAGACACCTTGGTGAAGTTTGGCTACGACCCAAGGGCAGATAATCGAGCACGATTGTGAGTGCGAATTCGTCCACTAGGTTCTTTGCTGCTGACTCGTTCCAAACAGCTATCAGCGACTATACTTCCGAAATGCAAACCACCCAATTTCGCGTCCCTCTGTTACAACCAGGAGGCAGGACCGAACGAATGTCAACCTACACATTCGGAACGAACAAGGTGACGACAGAAAGTGAGTAGGCGACACAATATCCGGTTCAAATGGTTGATATTCGCGCCAGGAATTCGCATATATTCGATGGAAAGACTGTCTCAAAGGAGACGGCTGCCTTCCAGCTCTGCGATATCGTGGATCCCATGTTGCGCGAGATGATTGAAGATCCTGACGGCCTAAGAGAATCATGCGATGTGCGTTACCCCTTGTCGCGTTGTATGCCAGCTGACTCGTTCTTGCAGGAACGAGATGGTTGGTACACCTCTCACGCGTTCGACAGAATCAAGACAGTTCTGCGGCATAAATTCTTCTCCGTTCTCGAGGGACACCCGGCCACGGATGAGGAATGTCGCAACCTGCTGGCAAATACTGAGAGCTCGTCCAAGTCCTCAAGCCTGCTTCACAGAAACCAGAAGTTGCGGGCGGGTAAGCATAACATGGCCAAGGGCGCCCTTCGACCGGAAGATGCTGCGGTGAGCTCCAGGTTCAGTCCCACTTCTATATCCCTGCAGTTCCTGAACAATGCTTTAGGCCATTCGACTGAGAGCGACGTTGGACCGCAATGTCAAATCGTTCAGCAGCCAGCGTTGAGAATATCCTTTCCAACGAGTCTCCAGCCTCCTTTCCCCATCTGTACCCGTAGACACCTGGATCCATCCTTGCCGCCTCTTCGGTGAACCAAAGCGAGCTGATTTCCCAGCATATTCTCACAGAAACCGACATTTCTTCGAGTGTTGTTATGGATTTCATTGTGTCTCTGAGCCTGGTGGGGACATAGGTGGCGTAATGCATACTGAATAAAACTGGGTCTGATGCATGGGCATGCGAGTGTCTGATGTACATCGTTCGAGCCGAGGGTTTTGAGTAGATCATGAAGCTGCGGCTGCTTTTTGCTCTGCACGTGCACGCTCCTAAATCACGACAAGTTGAGAGAGGGCAGACGGAGGGAAAGTGCGGAAACGTACGGAGCCGACGCGAGCGAAACGAGCGTTGCGGCGGAACTGCAATAAATGAACGTGTTAGCCTCCCATTTCTTGAGTCGGGAAATAGTCCAAATGATACAAACTTTGGGATCAACCTAGAAACACAGAAAAACGAGCAATAAGCACCAGATTCTCTAGAAACGAAGCCTCCCAGAAGAACTACTTACACCCTTCATGGATGGCGTTCGGTGGGACTTGGGCCTCTTGATACCATTCCTGTGGGCCTTGCGGGTTTGGTTGTGGTTGGTATGGCTATAATTTCATCTTGTCAAATCTGTTTTCTAGGAACAGGACATAACTTTTGTAACCTACTTCTTAGATTTGGCCATCTTGAAGTCGTCGAACGCGCGTTTGGGGGGCGGGGACTCGATCTGGCTGGCGATGAGGAGGATTGCACTGCCACCGTGGCTGAAGCAACTGTACAGTTGGTGACGCTTAAATTCACACGCATTTGATCCGGAGCTAATGGGTGAATAGGGGGAGGCGCGGTTCCATTAATGAAGACTATTATACGGGAAATAACATAAGTAGAAGAAGCATGTCTTTAGCATAAAACACTTGTGAATGATCTCAGAAAACATCCATCCAGAGGCATCAGTTAGTCAACTCCTTCAAGCAACGGAAGACTTCATCGTCTTCGTAAATATCGGTTTCGCCTGCAATCGTCGAGCCGCGATGACATGAAGCAGCGTGTTTCCACCTATCAGAGGGTAAGTCAGGCGCAAGCCGGTCGCGAGACAAAGTACCCACCAGAAAATCTCTTTGACCTTGCACTCTCCGTTCTTGATACCTTCGACGGCAATCCATTTGGAACACTTGTGACATTTTCCTTCTTGGATATGTGTCTTCTCGTTCTTGCCAGGCCGTGGGCGAGATACGACTCGGAACGCGGTTGGGGGAGAGAAAGGAAGACCAGTCGACGCAGATACACCTAGATGCAAGATTAATACCCCCACAAGGAAGCGACGAAGGCTAGGATTTACCATGCGCGTATTGCATGTGGTAGCTGCAATTGACCGATCAATGACAGTACTGTTTAAGTTAAGGAAGACTCTGCAGAACAACCATGAGTAAATATCACAAGAGAAGGGCGCCCAAAGCGTACCACTTAAACGCGGAGACCTTCATCGGCAGCCACACTTTCTTTCCTTCGCCGCCCCGAGAAGGGCGTTCCACACAAATCGGACACAATCCTACCTTATCCTTGCCTCGACCCTTCACAAATCGAGGCGTGTACAGGTCAAGAGGGCCGCGAGGATGATTGTAAATTCCCCCGGGAGCGCGAGGAGGGGGAAATGGAGAAGGCGACCTGGGCAGTCAGAGTTAGTGACGGAACGAGGACAAAAACAAAGTAAACAAACACACTCTACGCCTGGTGGCCGGTACCAAGAACTGACAGGAAAGCGCCGATACAGTAGAGGAAAATCGGCAGAGATTTCAATACTGGGAGGGAAGGTGCGAGTAGTTCTTATCGGGTCGGCAGAGAGTGTTTGGGCAGATGTAGATGGAGCAGACGGCATCCCGGCAGCAGACGACGAGACGTTCTCTGTGTCCTTTCCACCGGGGACGTGAAGTTTTTCTTCTTTCCATTGCCCTCGCGGTCTTTTCCGCCGAGGATCTATGGTCGTGTCCAGAGTGCGCCTGCGCTTCAGAGCCTTTACGGTATCAACGCCAGAAGGTGAGGAGTCAGCACTGCTAGCACTTGGTGTAGATGGCAATGGAGAGAGCGGAGAAAGTAAACCAGATCTAGGATAGGCATCCGTGCGGGAATCTTGTCGTAACGGTGTCTTTTTAATTGTCCCAGTGCGGTCAACGTTTTCGTTCTGCTCGTTCGATCTGCTGGCCCGAGATGTTGAGATCTTGCATGGTGAAGAGAGAGTTGGAACGTTTGGTTCCAGTGAATTGGTTCCTGTTTGGAAGGACTCTCCTGCACTTGAGAGTAATCGTTCCAGAAACGGCGCATTTTCGCTATCCAGCAGTGCATTTGCGTGGACTTGATTGGCAATATCCGACAACTGCTGAGATCCACGGACAATGGGAGAGACATCATCGAGCGGTTGCGAGAGTGAAGGATTATCGTCCAATGCAAAGAGTGCCGTCAAGGGAGGATCGTCGACAATGCTACTTTGGCTTTGGTACGGCGAGTCGGAAAACGCGTTTGTGTTTCTCGAAGGGCCAGACGAAGCGTCTGACCATTGTGTCAAACGTGCAGGAGAAGGTGTGAACGACAGCGTCGTCTCCTGTGAGCCCGAAATCAGACTGTCTCGTCGAACTTGAGATGTCAAACCAGTGAGAGAAGTAGGAGCACGAAGATGGGTGTTTGCTGAAGGTAGACCGGCAGGTTGGCTTTCTAGCAGCGGATACTGGAAATGAAGTTCGAGGTCGTTACTCGGACTTGGGTTCGTTCTGTAGCTGTGAGTGATGTCGCGCAGAGGAGACGTTGGATTTTGAAGAGGAGACATGTTGAGCCATGCATCAAGACCAGTAAGTGAGGAAGTGAAGATATTTTTGTTAGTACGATCCATTGCAAGTCAAGTCTAAGTTGTAACAGAGATTAATCGAGAAAGTAGACGATTTAAATTCCAAGTTGTTTGGCTTGGCTTTTGATGCGACCACCTGATTTTCAAGGTCCGCCACCGCGCTGTCCAGCAACCAGCCTGCTGCCGCCAGACGTGGCCAATTGTATCAAAGTCCTCCTCAAGGCACCCTTATACATGGAGCTCTGGCATCTCCTGTTTTCTTCCTTTTGGGCTCTGCTTGCGGCGACACTAGCCAGAGGTGCTGCCCTCACAACTTCAATAGCACCCAACGAACGGCTATGCTTCTTCACTGATGTAGAGAAGGCGGGACAGAAAATCGGGGTATGTTCAGTGGTTTCCCGAGTGTGCATGTCGCTAACGAGTTCCAGTTTTACTTTGCGGTAGGTCGTCACAAGTAAATGAGCCACCTAGGTGCTTATGTTTCGCGTTCCAAGGTCCAATCCGGCGGCTCCTTCGACATTGATTGGGAAATCAAGGACCCAGGGCACAGAATCTTGCTCACCGGAAACCGTGAGCGCCAGGGTGACTATGTCCTGACCGGAAACATCCCTGGAGAATACTCCTTCTGCTTCATCAACGACATGTCCACGCTCACCGACAAACTCGTCGACTTTGACATCTCGGTCGAGAGCGAACCACGACACCAGGCGCCCGCCAAAGCAGGGCAGATCTCGGAACAGACGAGTGCTCTGGAGGAGAGCATCTTCCGATTGAATGGCATGCTTATGAACATCAAGCGAATGCAGAAGCAGTGAGTACATGTTCAGAGCCATTCGGAAGCAAGCTGTTAATCCGCGTGTAGCCATCATACCCAAGAGAACCGTGGTTTCGATATAGTGAAAACAACCCAGAAGTGAGTACCCATTCTGAATGTGTCTGCGATCCACTCACGATGTCCTCCAGTCAACTGTTCTGGTACGCCATCTTGGAGAGTCTGACAATCATTGGCATGGCTATGTACGTCTCGCACCGTACATTGACCCTGGATCACTGGCCTGACGCGTTTATCGCAGTTTCCAGGTTTACGTCCTCCAGACCTTCTTCACAAAGACAGGTCGACGATACAAGGTCTAGATTGTATTTTAATGGGTTTATAATTACATGCCATGGTTCTACGCCCTCGACTTCAGCACCAGCAAAACCTGTAAGCGATGTTCAATCAGCGCCGGTTCCACTCGAATTTGGGAAAACCTCACTTCTCGTTGTTCACCCACTCAACGTTCTCTGGGCCATACCACTTCGTGCATGGGATATGTTTGTCCAGGATTGTGGTGACACCTCCCGCCTCGTGTGCGACCGGTAGTAGTTCCTCTGGGAGGTTCCACACCTCCAGGGTCTCCATGCAGAGAGTTCTGGCGTATCCCGCGATCTGTGCGAGCAACTCTGAGAACAGAGTAGGTGGGGCGCGCAGTCGGGTTATGATCATCTTCCCAGCACGAGGATAATCGAAACTCCATGACGCGTATGTCTGACTGGATGCACCCTGCTCCCCCCCGATGGCCACACCAAAGAACTGCGGGTTCGGGACCTGCTTTTCTATGAAAGCTTGGACTCGGAGGTGTTGGAACTCTCCTAGGCCACCCCCTGGAATGAAAGAAAAGCCGGCCTGAGCACCCTCCTTCAACTGCACTTGCGGCATCTCTTCTCGAATTGCCGATGAATCCTTCTCCCAGACTGCTAGGATGCGATCCCTGTCGAGCCACTCCCACTTGCTTGCTTCCTGCGCCGGTCGCTCCTTGGCCCATTTAGCCAATTGGTCCACCGTCCAAATAGTTGAAGCTCGATTCTCCACAGCGACCCAACCATCATCGGACTCTTTCAGCAGTCCACAAGATTGGTAGAATCGCGTGCCGACGTCACTGTACAGGACGGACACAGACGCGTTTCCAAATCCTTCGTGGCGGGTAGGTGGAGCACCCCATTCTTCAGGGAACTTTGGAAGGGCTTCTGGCTTTGAGAGAACCCAGTGTAAAAGTCGCATCATATGCTTCCCGTAGCCTTTCTTCCTTTTCTCTGGAGGAGTATACACGGACGCGATTCCATAACCCACGCCGATTTCCGTTGAGGAGTTGGAACCGGTTCCTTTCGTGATGACCACTTCTCTGCGGAAACTGAGAACGTTCCGATTAGAATAGAGGAAGGAATGGGCAGAGAATGGGGCGTACGTTTCAGAGGCGCACATAAAATCTAGCGTTGTTGGGTCATCTCGAGGCGCGAGTACCCTGAGATTAGATAAAGGAATTAGGGGCACGTTAGGGATCAACTCGAGTCAAATCTGGGAGTGTACTACGAACCATGCTACGAATAGACCATCCGCGCCAACGGTGCTTCTCTCAATTCTGGCATCTCGCTCAAGGTACTCTTCCAGGGTAACACCCCTTCCCCATTCCTGAAATGATCGCTTTCGAGCTTCTTCAGCTTGAGCGGGCGTGGCCAAATATAGCGAATAGAGAGACAGATCGGTAGACATGATGAAGGTCACCGCGACACAGAGACTCGGAGTATAAAGGACAGTAGCGAAGGCCAGGTTGGAATCGGATAGATGTTTGTTTTGATTGGAATCGCGGCACGGCACTCAGCGTGACTCAGAGAGGCCGAAAGACATTGCATCACGATAATGCATGATGGTCCATGTGGTATCAAGACAGCAGTCAATTAGCGCAGCGCAAGGGTACAAGTCCAGTGATAAAAACGGGGTAAGATTACAGTTACAAGGTTGGTACAGGCTGTTACTCGGGCGTCACTGTCCGTCGGAATGCGGTTCAGGTCACAAACGAAAACGAATGATACTCGTGGTTTCAAGCTGTGGCTACACAGAATTAGTGGTCTCGGGTTTTCCTGGTAGACAAGCAGTTAGAAAGGCACACGCGTAAAGATTCACGATGTGTTCATTATTACCTGTATTCACCCTCAGCAGCAACGCTCAGTTCCTCGAGATCGCCCTGGACGGTAGAAAGCGCTTCCGCGGCCGTTGAGAAAAAGAGTAGTTGGGCCTTGACAAGCTCATTGAGGTTCTTGATCGGCTCGGGCTACAATAGCGTCAAGGCGAGGACTTTGAAGGAGTCGTTAGTAATTACGTACATTCTCGAGGACGGTCTTCATGAGGGTGATCGCAACCTCAGTCTTCTGAACGAGGTCATCTTCGGCATTCTCGACCTCAAGGCGAGCTTGCTCTTGCTTGGCAGGACTGGCTGATTTGAGTCTAAGGAAGATGTAACAATGGTCCATGAACGTGGCGCATGTGCATTGTAAATGGATGCACGTACGTCTGTTTGGCAGCGTCCAATTCCAGACGGCTAGTACGGACAGCTTGCCGCGCCCCCATGGCCAATGTAATGGCGGTGTTGAGGGTTTGTTGCCAAGGTGCCAAAAAGTTAGTCTTGATAGCATGGTCCTGCTCAACGCGGGCACCAGCGATGCGATCCCAGCTGCTAGCGTACAAGGCCAAAGCCTTGCCGAGCTTATCGCCATTCTCGCCAATCGCAGCACCGTGGGCCGGGCTAACGATGGCGCCGGCAGCAGCAGTTGCTGCGCGGCTGAGTGCATGGGGGAGGGTCTTGTGGTGATGAACGGGAGGAGCAGATGGAGAGGTAGGGACGGGGAGATTTGTGCCCTTGAGGTTGGTTGCAGCGAAGTTGGTTAGGTTGTAGGCGACGGAGCTGGAGATCTCAGACAGAGATTCCTGGATCTGCACGGGATAGTCATACGACTCGGAATCATAGACCTTGGTGACCCTTTATGAAGACGGTTCAGATGTGGGACATTGACCATGATTGTGGACATACTTGAGTAAGGCAATGTGAGCAGCACGGAGAGCGTCGACACGGGCTTCCAAGTCCTTGTATTCTGTTCATTCGAAAAGTGATTTAGATGCAGATCGGCGGTCAGTTATAGAGATTGTCAGTCATAAGCACCTTGGGGGAGTTCAGTGATTTCGTCAGGAGCGATTTGGCCCAGCTTTTCACGCGTCGCTTGAACGCTGGAGGTGAAGCCCTTGCTGATCTTGGTACCAGCTGAACCTAGGTTGATGTTGGCCAAACTTGCAGAAATTTTGTTCCAACCCTCCATGATTTCGATTTATGATATGTCCAGGTCTTTGGTGGTGTGAATGGGTTGGACCTGTTGAGAAAGACGATATACAGGACAAGAGAGAGAGGTGGAACCGCCACAGCCTTGAGATCAGTGACTAAAAAGGCAGCTCGCGACGTCTTGGCGACTGGCGGCGCTCGCGGACTGGACTGGACAGTGTGCATAAGCCAGAACCTGGTCTCTGTATGCTATTTTCAACTCTCTTCTGCAAATCGACAAATCGATATAATCGACGGCTCGAGCTGTTCTCTCACAGGCCTCCTTGCGTCTCAGGGGAAGAAATAGTTGTGGGCACTGACTCATGCGGGACCGACTAAATCAATCAAGTTCTGAGGCTCTCCTCATACATAATACGAGGAGAAAACCGGAAGACATGTCGACTATGAAACGCCGAAAGTCCTCTCTGACCGAGTCATTCAGGAGTTTCTATGCCGTAGCTGGCGCACCTGCCTTGGACCTTCCAGCAAAGCCGTTTGATACGGGATACTTGGCCACCAATATAAAATGACGCCGGTCATGTTGGCCGTTGCATCATTCTGTCTCCCATGCAAGGTTCCGAGCGATTGTTATCCCTCCCTCTATCCGCGCCCTCTTCCCAATCCTTGAAGGAAGGCGCCATCTTGGTGGCTGCAACTTGGGCAGCATGGCGCGTGCTGAAAGCTCTGACAAGCAGCCACCCGCTTGACAAAGTTCCTGGCCCCAGAGCAGAGTCATGGTTCTTCGGTATGTGGAGACACTTGTCCCGCTGTGGCTTTGCACTGAAGGTTGTTTAGGGTGTATGTTGCAGTTCTTCAACCCCAATGCCTGGGATTTCCACGCAGAAATCGCGAAGAAATGTACGTCCACTCTCTGCTTCAGAAACGACCTGTACTTCTCGTTTTACAGACCCAGGCATCACCAGGTTGCCCAGCATGCAAGGGGTACGCTCCAATTGTCATCTGCCATCTATATTGTGACTGAGCGAAGCCTAGGATGTAATGCTGCACATAGACGACCCAAAAGCATTATACCACATTCTAGTTAAAGTAAGTTTCGGCCTTTGCCAATGTTTCCCGATTTATGGGTTCACATACACACTACGCAAGGATCAAAATATTTTTGAAGAATCCGAGGACTTCATCCGGTTAGCTTTCACAGTCCAGGTGACTGGGCGCAAGTGCATCCCATACTGACCAATACTCTAGGACGAACGGCCTCGTCTTTGGACCTGGACTCTTGGCTACGCTGGGTAGGTCTGCGAGGTAATTGGGTTTAAGAGGTATACTTAACTCAAGGGGGGCAGGCGATCACCACCGCAAGCAGCGCAAACTGCTGAATCCTGTTTTCTCCATCGCACATATGCGAGAAATGAGTGAGTATGATCCAGACCAGCTGAATTGATGGCAACTACAGCTCACGTACGTGATACCCAGTCCCCACCTTCTACGACGTTGCATATCGGGTAGGATTCCGTTCGTAGTAGTTAATGAGGATTCGCTCTAACATGGCCATTAGCTTCGCGACTCATTTAGCAAGCTTGTCAAGGATGGACCATCTGAAATTGACATTGCTTCCTGGATGACTCGCACTGCATTGGAACTCATTGGGCAGAGCGGTTTAGGCACATCCTTCGACTCGCTGCAACAAGGAGCCGCTGAACACCCCTTTGCTGCCAGTCTGAAAGGCCTGATGTGAGTCTTACCGTTTCTCTCTTGGAAGTACTTTTGTGACAGGCCCCGTATCTAGGCAAGGGTTATCGGTTATTCCCTTCTGGCGTTTCGTTGTCCTCCCAAAGTTCGATGGAATTGGATCCCCTCGTTTCAGGAGATGGGTTGTCGAGAGGATCCCTTCGAAGAATATCCAAAAGCTAGTCAACATGGTCGATGTGATGCACAACACCTCTTTGGAGATCTATGAAAAGAAAAAAGCGGCTCTTGCGGAAGACACTGGAAGCCATGATGAAGTGGGTTCGCGTTGCAAGGATATCATCGGAATCCTGAGTGCGTTACCTCGTGGTGTTCCTTTCGACCTGTCTCACTCATTAGTTTGTTAGTGCGAGAAAACATGAACGCCTCCGGAGACGAGCGGATGCCAGAACACGAGGTGCTTGGGCAGATGTCGTACGTGGTGATTTTCTCGACTAGTACAAGGCGCTCCTAATCTATTTCAGGACCTTGATGTTTGCGGCGATGGACACGACGTCCAACGCTCTTTGTAGGATCTTGCATCTGCTGAGTGAAAACCAGCACGTGCAGGACCGCGTTCGACGGGAGATCCTCGAAGCAAAGGAACAGGCAGGAGGCTCAGACCTGTCTTACGACGACTTGGTCCAGCTGCCTTACCTGGATTCTGTTTGTCGAGAAACACTGCGTCTGTGAGTCAACCCCAATGATTGTCACAGCCTCGTCTCATTTATATCTTATAGGTATCCTCCACTTCCCGTTGTAATGCGACAGTAAGACATCATTCAATTTATAAGACGGCACCCTGACCGCAACTTTACCCTAATAGAGCGCGGCAAGACGCGATCGTGCCTCTTTCTCGGCCCTTCACATCAACCGACGGAAAGCCTACCCAACAGGTCTTGGTTCCCCGAGGTACCCAAACTATTATCGGTATAATGTCATGCAACAGAAACCCTGCTATCTGGGGTCCGGATGCTTTGGAATGGAAACCGGAGAGGTGGTTGAACCCTCTGCCTGATACCGTGACTAGTGCGAAGGTTCCAGGGATTTATTCGCATCTGTGAGTGCATCGGCATCCTGGAAAACTGATCTTATTACTAACGTCCTGACTTGATCTAGCATGACTTTTATTGGTGGCGGACGTTCGTGTATTGGCTTCAAATTCTCGCAACTTGAAATGAGTACGTGATGACTTGGAGGACAGGTTGGCTTTGATGTCTGACTATGTCCCAGAGGTCGTCCTTTGCTGCCTTCTGGAATCCTTCAAGTTCACCCCAACCGACAAGAAGATCACTTGGCTGTTCAACGGTGTTACTCAGCCCGCAGTGATGGAACCCGGAAGTACAGACGTTCCCCACCTCCAAATGCCCTTGAATGTTTCACGACTCTAGCCGTGAGGCCCGGGCACAGGATATTCGTTCCGTAAACACATTGTATCATTTGGCTAATAATCCCTACTCCCAGTTTCATTAATCTTACAAGAAGCCTTGGCTCAGATGTCGGTTGCGTTTCGTTACCGATAATTGCATGAAATGCGAGGCCCACGCAGCAGTGTCCTCTGTTATGGCCTTCCTGGAGAAAGACACCACGTCTGTTAATGGGTCCGTGCAGTCGTATGTGTCGTGAAGTTGAACTACATGATGCGTCCATCGCTGACCGGGGGCGGAAACTTCAGGGAAGGATGAGTGGCCATTTCGTCATGCCGTTAACCCTGAGCGCTCCGGTCACTGCCATTCGCAGGGTTACATCATCCCTTGTATACAACCCGATGTTAAAGCGGGTATAAAAGAAGCTGTGGTCTACTATGTACGTATTGGTCTTTGTTTGATCACCCGCAATGCAGAGCGCCGACCAACTTCTCCAACGGCTACCTCCGTCGCTGACGTCCCTTATGAATTTGAAGCAAGGAGCCATCGTCCTTGTTGCGACGTGGGCGATATGGAGACTCTTGAAGACTCTCACAGCTAAGGACCCACTGAGCGTTGTTCCGGGTCCGAAATCCGAGCATTGGTACTTTGGTACGTTCAAGTTGAACGAATGGTTTCATTCACTCAATTGTGGCTAACAGGGGTCTTTCTAATCGGTCAGGAAACCTTTTGAAATTGTTCACACCTGGCTATCGGGACTACATGGACATGCTTGCGGGAGATTGTATGTGGTTCTTTCTTCCTTAGAAGGCGGAATATCTCACGTCTCCCTGTCATAGACCCACGTCTTGCGAGAATACCAAGTGTAGGAGGCGTAAGTTGCTACAGGCCTCAATCGAAGATGTCTCTGAACCCGGTGCAGGCGTCTATGCTTTATACGGCTGATCCCAAGGCCATGTATTCCGTCCTCGTGAAGGTTAGATTATATTGCTGCACTTATACTCGTCCCGGAATCTCCTTCATCTTTTACAATCCAGGACTCGAGCAGCTGGGACGTGACCCCCGACTTCATTCGGTATGTACTTCCCTCGCGGAGGCGCATCGTACACTCAACCTTCGAAGAACCAATCTCCTTATGTTTGGTCCAGGACTTTTGGCCACAGTGGGTACGTCGTTTTCCTCCAGAGTTCGCCCAAGAATCGGGAGCTGAGCATCGCTGAACAGATGAGCAACACCGCAAGCAGCGTAAACTGCTAAATCCAGTGTTTTCCATCGCGCACATGCGGGAGATGAGTGAATATCTATCTCCCGTGTCCGTCGAATTGATAGGCTAATATTATTCTCAGTTCCGACGTTCTATGAAGTTGCACACAGGGTATGACCTCTTCACTCCAGGTCCTTACCAGCTATTTATATCACTTCCAGCTCCGAGACTCTATTAGCACGACAGTTTCCGCAGGGGAAACTGAAATGAATATGTTGGAATGGACGACCCGCACCGCACTGGAACTGATCGGCCGGAGTGGACTTGGAACGTCAATCGATTCCCTCGAACCAGAAGGAAAGCCTCATCCTTATGCGACGAGTATCAAGAACCTTATGTCTGTAACACCTGCCCAAACTGTCGCCCAGCCCCTGACGATGTTCTATAGGCAAGCCATGGTTCCTTTAACGTTCTCCCGCTTCGCCGTCCTACCCAAGGTTGTCAACATTGGGACACCTCAATTCCGCAGATGGGTGGTCGACATGTTGCCCTGGGGAAATCTGCAGAAGCTGGTGCGCCTTATCGACATCATGCACAACACCTCTATGGAGATATACGCAAGAAAGAAGAAAGCCTTGGTAGGTGGCGATGGGGTTGCTCACGAGGAGGCAGATCAAGGAAAAGACATCATAAGTATTCTATGTAAGTTCTTCATTCTAGCCTTAACATATCATCTCACAACGCATTGTTGCAGTGAGAGAAAACATGGCCGCTTCGGAGGAAGACAGGCTTCCAGAACATGAAGTCCTCGGTCAAATGTCGTACGCCCCTCTACCATGGATTATGTTTCCGTGGCTCACTCACACCGCAAGGACTATTACCTTTGCTGCAATGGACACGTCTTCCAATGCCTTGTCGAGGATTCTTTACCTTCTCAGCGAGTGTCCAGAGGTCCAGCAGCGCCTCCGCGCGGAGATTCTCGACGCAAAGCAACACAATGGCGACTCCGACCTCAGTTACGACGAATTGGTTCAATTGCCCTATCTGGATGCTGTGTGCCGTGAAACATTGCGATTGTGGGCCTCCATCCAATGTCATTCACAGGTCTTCACCGAACTGACTTGATTGCCTTTAACCCAGGTACCCGCCGCTCCCATTGGTCATTCGAGAGTGAGTCGTTTCTCGAGCATTGCTCGTTGCCACGATGCTCAATGTATCGATCAAGATCAACCCAAGACACCATTTTGCCCGTCTCTAAACCTATAATTACGACCAAAGGTGCAGTTGCCTCCGAGGTGCATGTCCCCAAAGGCACGCCTATCGTCATCGCCATATACTCTTCCAATACCGACCCAGAACTGTGGGGACCTGACGCGAAAGAATGGAAACCAGAGAGGTGGCTGGAACCCCTTCCTGAACAGCTGACCAGTGCGAAGATTCCAGGCATCTACTCCCATCTGTAGGTCCACCCTTATTGCTATTAGGCGGTGAATCTCGAGATGCTTAAAACGTGATGTACTTTATTTAGCATGACTTTTATTGGTGGTGGTCGCTCGTGTATCGGGTTCAAATTCTCTCAGCTAGAAATGAGTAAGAGCCATTCCATCGCTCAACACCTTCACCCGAGTAATACCTTCTACAGAGGTCGTCCTTTGCGCCTTGTTGGAATCATTCAGGTTCAGTCCCACAGACAAGAAGGTTATCTGGCTGAACAATGGGATTGTACAACCTGCTGTGGAGGAGCCGGAAAGCAACGGAAGTCCCCGTCTACAATTGCCCTTGAAGGTTTCTCTGCTCTGAAGCACTTTACATGTACTGCTATCAAATTGGGACCACATACCGTCCGTACACGCTGCCCAAATGGCAAACTGCTCTGATCCATATCCCAATTGCGGAAATCCTCCTGCCTTTTTGGTCGTAAGGCGAAGCTTTGCACCCAGTCCACATCTAGCACAAACAGAGACCAAACAACATCCAAAATTCAAAAGCCGGTTCACAACTGGAACGTAAACAGGGAATTCATTACAATCCTAGCGCGGAAGTCCATATATACCTTTGGCTCCTGAAATCTACCTACTATACATCCAAAGTGCACCACGCACGCGCACTTGTCAACTGCTTCAAACTTTGTTGCAGCAAGCTCCATCAGAAGGACTCGAGATCTACCTAAAGCGAACGGGTGAAGAACAAGAAAAAGGGTCTACGAACGAAGAGGGCATAGCAATACAGGGGGTGATAGTACATCGGTGAAACACTAAAAGGCTGTGTTAGATCCAAAAACGACGCCATAATAAAGTGAAGATAATGATAGTTGTGTTTGTGAGAAAAAGGGAACTGAAGTATGTGCATGTGGAACAAACCCCAAAGAAGAGTAAGTACGAGAAGCGAGAGAAGGGGTCAGCTTAAGCTTGGACTTTTTGAGGGGCAGCGTCGTCGTGCGCCGGGGAGATGACAGCGACAATCACGGAGATATCTGCAGGGAGAAAGTCAATAAACCAAGTCATGACCATCCCAAGGATATGCACGTACCGTCGTGTTTACCTCCTCTGAAGGTCCGTCCTGCTTCTCGTGCACGACGGGCAAAAGGGACTTCATCCTCATCGATAAAAGGGGCTCCAGGTGGAGTAGACGATCGACTGGATTTCGGCGTTCCCCGTCGTTCCGAAACCTTACGCGCACGCGAGCACAGGGCCTCGGAAAGCATCCCAGCCAATGTCTTGCGACGGAGCAGACGATCTGCAGATCCAGACTCTGCAGTTGAGGTTGATGAAGAAGACTGCGCGTTCGCGGGTTGAGGCACGGAATCCTTGCCAAGGAAGCTTCGGCGGAACTTGATGACCTCATCAAGTACCTCTTCATCCCAAAGATTGTCGCTCAAGCCATCGCTAGCAAGAATCAGGATATCATCTGCCTTGACGGGTAGAGTGAAATGGTGTGCTGTGGTCGAGGGCGTGACAGTAGGGTGTGTTGCAGGACCCAGCTGGAGTGGCATATTGAACTATGATTTCGCATGAGCCTCGATGTAAAAATAAAGCGCGAAAATAACTCACGTCCCACCACATTTCCTCGCTTCTCCAAATGATCTCCTCATCTCGAACCAGCATTCCCATGCAATCTCCGATGTGGGCTATTCTAATGACAGCGTCACAAGACTGAGCTGCGTCGTTCTCCAAGTAGATGGAAGGATGCAATGTGCCTGCGGCATAATTGGAGAATGGAGATGACGTCGAGGGTGCGGATGAAGATAGCGGAGGGTGTGCCGAAGATGTTACAATGGAGAGGGTAGTCATCGATGAGTTTCCATTGGCAGGCGGCTGGGGCGCATGGTCGAGGACGGCCAGCAATGCGGTCGATGATCCGGTCATAAGGGGTGTGGGTTCTTGGGATTTCTTCGAACGTTGCGAAAACGAGGTCGACGATTGGGATGGTGTTGAGGGATTCCCTGAAGATGCGTCATGGGATGGTGAAGGTGACGAACAGTTTGAAGAAACGTGGGTTTTGATGGTTTGGTCGTAAGCCCTTTCCAAAATTTGGAGGACGTCGATACCCTCTGACAGCTCATCTAGGGAATCAAGGAGATCCTCTTCAAGCTCTTGTTGTCGTTGTCTCTGAGCTTCTATCTCTTCCCATACGTAAAATGCATTCGAAAAAAGGGGATTTTGCCGTTCGCCGGGACGAGGTTTGAGATGAGTGGAAAACGAAAACTGGGGTCGGGACGATGATGAATTGAGGGGTTTCGCAGTTGCTGACGACTCTATCTCTGCCGAGCAGTAATGCATTAGACGTCGCGCGAACAGTGCACTCGCCGATGGCTGTGCAGGGTCTACAATTTCGACTCAGTTTACCTTATCATTCGCGTTTTAAAAGATGCTTACCGTGGTGCTTGGACCGCGTCCATCCTCCGACGCCGTCGGCAACTCCCATAGCATTGTCCCGAACAAAGTAGGCATCTTCTCCAACCTGAACAGCAAGAGAGAGGTCGTCGAGGGGTGAAGGTTGTGGTGAAAGGCGAGTAGTATGCAATCCTCGCGGGGTCTCGCCTGTTCTGCACCGCTTAGGGATACCGTAAGCACCAACGTCAAGCTGATATTTCAGGCGCTGTCGTTTCGGAGCCCTGTGCGGTGTTTCATGCGTGGAATGAGCCGGTTGTGGGTGTGACGAGGATTTTGGTGGCGACGACGAATATGTGAAGAGAGCATATTGGGATTGTATTTGTGATGATGAATTAGAGGGAGTTGTTCCGAGGGCAAGCGGTAGTGGCGGATGACCGCCATGGGAGTGCGATGAGTGTTGTGTTGACGAGTTTGACGTCGGATGCTCTGTGGGCAGTCGGTTGGGCGATGTGAGGACACCGGGGCGCAGCGGGGGCGGTGGAGAGTCAAAGAAGGTGAGGGGGATGACGCTGGTGGTGTGCAACGGCCGGTGCACGGAGGTCAGCGAGTTTGACCTCACGCGATAGAGGCTGGAATGGATGCTCTTCATCGTGGCCAGCGATGAGTGCGAGAGCTTGGACGGCGGCGGCAACGACGACGACGACGACGACGACGAGAAGGGTGGAAACGAAAGAAAGGCACGGAGTCTTAAACAAGGGAGCCAGGAACTAGCCGGAGTGCTTACTTAATCACGTGGCTCTTATCTGCTCCCAGTCAATGCGGGGTAGCAAATCATCGTTCATCGATTCCCAACCCTCGAATTAAATGAAAACTTGGCCCTCGTTGACCACGGACGCCCGCAGGTTCCAATGTGGGTCTTTACCCTGGACACCTGCCCAGTTGGGCCAAACTTCCGTTATTTAGGCGACCGTGCCCGGTCGACGTCGACACGGACCTCTTCCGATGGTATTTCTGTTCACTTGCGGCCCTTGACCCTGGGTATCGAAAACATCGGGAGATCCCAGGGTATACGCCACGAACAGTAGCAGCCATTGCTAGTAGGAATAGATTAGATTAGATGTGCTGTTAGATCAAGTGTTATCTTATCAATCGAGTCAAGAAGAGGACCGGAGCTAGCCGAGGTTCTGCACGATCGACCTCTAATAATCCGATATTTTGGGCGGATGGGGATTCTGCCTCTCTATCGATCTGTGTCCGCTGCCCTAACGCGTCAAAAACGTCCATTGGATCAGATACAGAGATACCCTAGACATTTACAAAATCGACAGCCCTTTCGTCGCATAATGTCTGCTCCATCGACAGACCCAACCCTCGTCAAGGAGTCCACCGCCGCCGTCTCCTCCTCCAATGAGGATCCAAACTCGGCCGCAACCCCTGCAGCTACTTCTGGAGCAGCAACTCCCAAGTCTTCCGGAAACAATACACCTGACCCAAACTCAAAAAGCGCAGGTGAGCACAATTTGCAGTTCTGGACGACCGCTGGTTTCTGATGGCCTTCCGCGCTTAGCCAAGAAGGAAGCAAAGCGACTCGAGAAAGAGGCAAAACTCGCAGCAAAGGCGCTGAAAAATGCTGCGTCAGGCACTACTGCAAAGAAGCCCAAGGCAGAGAAGGAGAAGAAGGAGGAAGAGGCTCCGTTCGTCAATGACACACCGCCGGGAGACAAGAAGGGTATGTTGCCAGCGCCATAGCCCTGGAATTCAGTTGACAATGCCTCTTTAGATACCTCAAAGCCTATGGCAGCCGGCTATAACCCAATTGCCGTAGAAGCCGCCTGGTACGACTGGTGGGTCGCCCAAGGGTTCTTCAAGCCGACACTTGGCCCAGACGGGAAGCCAAAAGGAGACGTGTTCGTTATCCCAGCACCTCCTCCGAACGTCACTGGCAGTCTGCATATCGGCCATGCCCTCACTGTCGCTATCCAAGATACCCTCGTCCGATGGTACGTGGCAATGGAACTCTTGACGTCACGACAAGCTAAAAGTCGCGTCTAGGAATCGTATGCTTGGAAAGTCCACCCTGTTCGTTCCCGGATTCGACCACGCCGGTATCTCAACTCAAAGCGTCGTCGAGAAGCGACTTTACAAGACCACTGGCAAGACTCGACATGACCTCGGTCGCGAAAAGTTCTTGGAGACCGTCATGGACTGGAAGAACGAATACCAGGACCGCATCACCAAGCAATTGCACCGACTTGGAGGGAGTTATGACTGGGATCGAGCTGCGTTCACCATGGACGAGGTGAGTTCTGGCACGTTACGAAATTATGTCCTTGTTCTCAAAGTCCGTTAGAAATTGTCCAAAGCCGTCATCGAGACTTTCTGCAAACTCCACGAAGACGGTATTCTTTACAGGGCAAACCGACTTGTCAACTGGTGTGTCAAGCTCAACACTACCCTCTCCAATCTCGAGGTTTGTACTTTCTCTATCTTTGAAACTGCAATTATAATGGGTCATATCAATTACAGGTAGACCAGAAGCAATTGACCGGTCGCACCCTCCTCAATGTTCCTGGCTATGATCCCAAAGAACGATTCGAATTCGGTGTCATCACCAGCTTCGCCTATCCCATCGAAAACTCTGGTCTGTCGAGTCACCCTTTGCGCCCCATTATATTCATTGACGCTTGCCTCAGACGAAAAGATTATTATTGCTACCACTCGTCCCGAGACCATGCTAGGTGATACCGCCGTTGCTGTCCATCCCGACGACCCCAGATACAAGGTGTGCCATCCCGCCTTCGTTTTGATAACGTCCAATTTACCTACAAACCATACAGCATCTCCATGGAAAATACGTTGTCCATCCTTTTGTCAATCGACGCATCCCTATCATCACAGACTCCATCGTCGTCGACATGGAATTCGGTACTGGTGCCGTCAAGATCACCCCTGCACACGACCCCAACGATTACGAAGCTGGTCAACGACACAATCTCGAGTTTATCAACATCTTGAACGACGATGGAACTCTCAACGACAATGCTGGCGAATTGTTCAAGGTATGGGAACGAACAGTTTGCGAGGTTACAGAACTGACAACAGGCGGCTAGGGCATGAAACGATTCCATGCCAGGAATAAGGTTGTCGAGCTCTTGAAGGAACGTGGTCTCTATGTCGAGACCAAGGACAACCCTATGCAAATCCCTATCTGCAGGTTGGTGGAAAACGGTCTCCCTTCCCGTAGAGATTCGAGAACTCATTCACTCCTCTCAGCAAATCCGGGGACGTTATCGAGCCTATCTTGAAGCCTCAGTGGTGGGTGAACTGCAAGCCTCTTGCAGAGGAAGCTATCAAGGTGAGTTGCCGTGTGCTAAACGCGATGAATCCTCTAATGCCATTATCAATATAGCGCACCCGAGCTGGTGAACTCGTTATCCAACCCAAGACCTCTGAAAATGAATGGTACCGATGGTTGGAGAATATCCAGGATTGGTGTATCTCTCGTCAATTGTGGTGGGGTCACCGTTGCCCTGCATACTTTGTCAACGTCGAGGGAGAAGAGCAAGATGTATGTGGACCTTATGTTTCTTCACAGACGTCCACTGATGATCCATTATAGCGCAATGCTGACAAGAACTGGGTCGTCGGCCGAACCAAGGACGAAGCCCTCGAACGCGCCAAAGTTATCGCCAACGGCAAGCCCTTCACCCTCGAACAAGACGAGGACGTCCTCGATACATGGTTCTCTTCTGGTCTCTGGCCCTTCTCCATCATGGGCTGGCCCGAGAAGACCTCCGACCTTCGCGATTTCTACCCCTCCTCAATCCTTGAAACTGGCTGGGACATTCTCTTCTTCTGGGTCGCACGTATGGTTCTCCTCGGTATCCACCTCACCGGACAGATGCCTTTCAAGGAGGTATACTGCCACGCCATGATTCGTGACGCCCATGGCAGGAAGATGAGCAAGAGCTTGGGCAACGTTATCGACCCTACAGATGTCATCACAGGTCTGCCTTTGGAGGAACTCCACAAGAAATTGCACGAGGGTAACTTGGACGAGAAGGAGATTGTTAAAGCCAAGGCTGGACAGAAGAAGGACTTCCCCAAGGGCATTCCTCAGTGTGGAACTGATGCGCTGAGGTTTGCGCTTTGCGCATATTCTGGCGGAGGAAGAGATATCAACTTGGAAATTCTTCGTGTGGAAGGATACCGCAAGTTCTGCAACAAGGTGTTCAATGCCACCAAGTTTGCTATGCTCAAGTTGGACGAGTCCTTCGTTCCCGAGCCCCTTGCCAAGGTATGGAGAACGATGTTTTCCATGATAAGTCAGGGCTAACCTGCGTTTGTAGCCAACGGGCAACGAGAGCTTGGTCGAGAAGTGGATCCTCCATAAGCTGAACGTCGCTGCTACTGAACTCAACAAGGCTCTTGCCGAGCGCAACTTCATGAATGCCACCAACGTTGCGTACAACTTCTGGCTATACGAGCTTTGTGACGTCTACATTGTCAGTGTACCCCGCCCTTCTCCATGGCTTTGTTACTGACACGGGCTGCAGGAAGCGATGAAACCCATGACCGACCCCAGCGCGCCTGCTTCCGTGCAGAAGTCTGCTCAACAGACCCTCTACACCTGCCTTGACTATGGTTTGCGCCTCCTTCATCCCTTCATGCCCTTCGTCACGGAGGAGCTCTGGCAACGATTGCCCCGAAGGCCGAACGACTCCACGCCTTCGATCACTATCGCATCTTTCCCTGTTTCTGTGGGTTTCCCTGGTACTTTTTAGGTAAAAAAGAGATCATGACCATGTTGCTTTAGGACAACGACTTTGTCTTTGACGAGGCTGTCAAGCAATTCGACCTTGTCTTCTCTACTCTCAAGGCTGGTCGTTCATTAGCCGCTTCTTACAACCTCCAGAACGAAATCCAATGTACGTCCCACAATTCATAGTGGTCCGTTTACTCTAACCATACGGTTATCTAGTCTTCATCCAAGTTTCATCAGACGCCGATGCCGCTCTGTTTGAATCTCAACTGGCCACCATCGTCACTTTGACCAAGGGAGGCAAGAGCGCCAAGGTTATCCGAGACGTCTCTGAGCTCCCCCCTGGCTGCGGCGGAAGTGTCGTCACTTCGACCGTTGCCATCCACACACTTGTTCGCGGCCTCGTCGATTTGGACGTCGAGATCGCCAAGTGTCAAAAGAAGCTCGACCTTGCCAACCTCAACTTGCAAAAGGTCGTCAAGGTTGAATCGCAGCCCGACTATAAGGAGACCGTCCCCGAGAATGTCAGGGTGGCCAACGAAGAAAAGGTGCGTTGTCCTCCTGGGTTTCTTGAAAATCGAAACTGAAGGAAGATTGCAGAGGAATACGCTCAACGCTGAGATCGCCACTCTGGAGCTGTCAAAGAAGATGTTTGAGAATCTCAAAGAGTAGATGGGTGTCATGTCATAGTAGAAATAATGTCGTTTTTAATGATCATATTCCTAAGTTCATCCAGTACCCATTTCGATTTGTGCATCCTGACCCTGAGAGAGCGGAGTTGACGCGTGCCATCAATTCACATATAAATGGATGATGCCTTGAGGACGCGTCTTGAACACCGTTTTTCTCATTCCTCTTCTACCCCTGGAACCACCCCTCTAGATGGAAGCCGCCGACGCACCCCAGCTCAAGAAACGAAGGATGTCTGAATCTGAGAGCGCCCAGAACGGGTCCTCTGCTGCAATTCCTGCTCCCAACCTGCTTGTCAAACGGCTTTCGGACAAAGCCAGGCTACCGACACGCGGCTCTGCACTCTCTGCTGGGTATGATCTCTACAGGTGGGTTCGAAAAGGCGCATTTTTTGAAGGGAGGACAGTGGTAACCAAAACCTTTTCATCGTAGTGCGGAACAGAAGATCATTCCTGCGCATGGAAAAGCTTTGGTGGACACCCAGCTCTCCATTGCTGTGCCGCCTGGCACTTATGGACGCGTTGCACCGCGTAGCGGGCTTGGTGCGCTTCAAACACGTTTTAACGCGTGTTTGGGATCTCATTCGCTTCGTGCTAGCTTCCAAATTCATGATCGATACTGGTGCTGGGGTCATTGATGCGGACTACCGTGGCACCGTCTTCGTTCTCCTCTTCAACCTTTCGGATAAAGACTTTGAAGGTAAATTTGTTGCTTTCTTCTAGCGGAATTGGATTCTAACTTGGGAATAGTGAACGAGGGCGACCGAATTGCGCAATTGATCATTGAACGAATCTATACACCTGAGGTCCAGGAAGTCGATGTACGTTTGACCGCTTTTCTTCGACGTGAAGTTTGCTTAATGTGCCCGCGTACTAGGATCTCGAAGAGACTGTCCGCGGGGCAGGCGGCTTCGGTTCCACTGGTGGACACGCCCTCCTAGTCAACCCTCCAACTGCATAAATCCTGCTTTAGAGCGCTGTGTCTCTCGTGTATCTAGACCCTTGCTGTAAGCTGTGCACCCAAATGTACAATTAATTCATCTACAATTCTTGCACACCTAATTGGCCGAAGTCCCCCTTGTACGATCTGACTCAACGACATAGTCTTCTCCGACTGTCCAAGACGCGTGCTTCAACAGCTCTCGTCCCTGTTCCCCATGGAGGGCCCTTTGCTCCTCAGGATTTCCGTACAACTTCCTATCCAAATCCTCCCCTTCCAACCCAGCCTGCACCTTGACACCGTCCGTGTTCACCAACTTGACCGCCTCCACCAATCGAATCATCTCTTCGAGCTCTTTGGTAACTTTTGCATGAGCTTCTGTCCCTTCTTTGGGTGGTACCAGTGCAGAGAGGTCGTACAGTTTCTTCAGTGTTTCAGGTGCGATCTTTGGCGAAGGGTATGACGAGAGAAAGGCGTGGACCGACCAGGTTGGCTTGAGCGGGATGCCGAGTTCGTCTGTCTGAGCAGGTTTGGCCGAGAGTTGGCGGGAGAGCGCCACGCGTATTCGTAGATTATGTGTGCATCTTGGTAGTTGTCTCAGGCAGAGCATTCGGACGAAATGGTTTGGGTACTAGTATAGGTCACTCATGGCTGCCTTGGAATCACTAACCAAATCGGAATTTGAATTGGTTGAAGTCCGCCATCAGCTTGGCAGACTTCGCCGAGGCGCGTTCCGAGTCGACTTTCAAGTTACAGCGAACTCCTTGGTTCCAACGCGCCTGCCATGTTCGCCTCACTCGCCCGCGCCTCTGCGCCCTCAGTGGCCGAATCAATACAAAGACTTCTCCCCAAACAGCTTCCCCCTTCGCTCTCGCCAAAATCCGGAAACCTTTATGAAGTCCTGTCCCGAACACCAACAGGCGGCGTTGGCAAAAAAGTCTACCAAACTCGCTGGCGACAGAAAGACATTAAGGACTCGTATTGGGTGGTTACGAGGTCGAAATTCAAATGTGATGGTCAGCATGGAAAGGCCTGGGGCGTGCTTTATTGGAAAGGTGAGTATAAGGATGTTGTGCCCGTCACTGTCGGTTCTGAAGCTCGTGTCCCAATAGGCAAGCAAGTGAGCCCCAAGGAGGAGGTCATTCGTGGAGGCTTGAAGTATTCGTGGAAGGAAGGCAGCTCCTAAGCTTTCCATACTTACTTATGTGAGTTTACACTGCAGTATCTTGGAAATCCAGCTAAATAATTCTATAGTAGATGTGTACTTTAATCGTGCTTAATTTGGAGACCACAATCCATCCCGTATATCTTTTTCCATCTTTCAGGAAAGCGCTGTCATACCGACGTTCTTCTGCCCCGGAAACTTGGCGTCAGAACTTGAAGCCTCGATATGTTGCCAGCTGTTCTTTCATTCGCTTGGTCTGGCCTAGTGTGAATTCCTCCATGCAAGAATCGACGGAATAGTCCATGTAATTGTCTGGAACCTTGTCAGAAAAGGGGAACATCCTCTTGGAAGTTGTACTCACGGATAGGGTCAGGTCCATCCCCAGGGCAAGTATCTCGGCCAATGGGACAACCACGCGAAGGAGACTCTTCCGGCGGCGTATCGTCGACATAGTCGCCATCTCCTTCGCAGCCCCCTTGGAAGGTATGGTATAATCCGAACCAATGACCGGCTTCGTGAGTCAACGTCTGTTGAGACATATGTAGTGAGTATGATCTTTATCCATGCGCTCTTGAACACTGACCTGACCACCGTTATAGTTTGTCATACTTCCACCGGGAAGGGATGAGTATAAAATCACTGTTCAAGCATGTCAATGAACAGGCACGCGTGTCCATACTCTCGACGAACCTACGCCGTCGTCCCATGGTTTCGAGCTGTAGTCCACCGGGAAGGTAGCATAACCCAGGAGGAAGTTATTATGTTCTGCGCCAAAGCTGACAAGTTCTTCAGTATGAGGGCAAGGCAAACCGGCAGAAAGCTGACCCGACGGTGTAGACGTTGAGATCCTGTACCCCTCCCACGCGAAGAGAGGCTTTGACTTCATCTTGGATGGCTTGGTCGGGACCTAAATCTCTGAAGGCTTTCTCGTTGATGATACGATTGACTTTCTCGAGTTTGAAGACAAAGCCGGTGGACGCGTAGTCGTGATTCAAAACGTCTATCTGGGCTTGAATTTGGGAATCTCTGTTCTACTGTTGAGTGGGTTTCATTATGAGATCCGAATAATGGTTTAACTCACGGAATCCATCCACCAGGAAGTGTCTCATTCGCGGCTATGACATGGAAATAGACTTTGATTGTCGTCTCTGGGGTGTGGATGCGTCCTTGTTGAAGCACAGGGACCTTATGGGATGCAAAGTGGCTCTCTGCTGCTACAACCGCGTCCTGGTCGATGACGGTTCCGCAAGAGAATTCCAGGCTCCTTCAACTGCCCGTCAGAAAGCAAAGAATAAGACCGTGGGCGCAGCATGAGTGACATACCGCCCTGCAACCACCTGGAAGACCGTCGAACCTAGAGCCAGCAAGTACACGGGTAGTAACATGGTGGTCTATCAAGGCACCTTGACATCCTGGACCTCGCTATTTGAAGTTTTGTGGATGCAAAGCCGGGCGTAACGCACGTCCGGCTGCCTGGGTCTCCCATGGTTTTGAAGGAGGCTTTAGGGCGCTACACATGCTCTGGATGATGGGATGGTGGTACGGAGAGTTGTTTTTTACTGGTCGGTTCTCTCAATGGTCAATATAGTTCCCAGTCATTCCCCGGCATTGCTGAGAGGGCGGGGATTAAGCCTACTTCTGGGGCTATGGGGAGGAACTTGGACGTCAGTGGGACAGAAGGCCTGGGAGAATCGAGTGGATATGGGGAGAAGTGCTGGGAAGAGGGGATGACTATGAGAACATCGGAGAAATAGCTTCTCTTTCGAAAGGTACCGTTGGGGCCGCCTAATAATCATCAGGGCCCTCAAGCAAGGAACAAGGAGGTAAAAGTGATCTGCTGACTTGGTGGATCTGCGTGGTTCTCGCCTGTTTGTTTGCAATACGTACTGGGCACTCGCGCACGTTAGGCGCCCAAGGGGCGAGCGACTGAATGTCGCCGACATTTGGCATGATGTCAATATTTCCAACTACCGTTCCTCCTCGCCCATTTCAAATGTCTCCTTCAGTCGGTTAGAAAGTATCTATCTGAACGTAACACCACTACTGGGCTTCTGACAATTTCTGACCATGAAAGGAGGAAGAGTCAAGGTAGGACGATCCATCACTATTCCCACGGCTGCTTTTGGCTCTTGGCCACGTCGCGAATTGCAACCACTGCAACCTTCTTTCCTCTTCAAACATAACTCGAGGCCCATGTGGGCTCAGCTCCAAGGACTCTAAAATCCTGCTTGCTATGAGCATCAAACAAGACGACACTCATTTGCCATTATACTCGCCAAAGAATCCGGATCCGACGCGCCCAACCACAACTGCTACATTAGAACCCGACCTTAAACCCCGCAAAACCATGCGAATCGTCGATCTGACGGTTCATATACCCACTGGCAAGAAACCGCTTACTTCGACATCGAACAAGGATGCTTTACCCCGTCCAAGATGGAAAACACTAGAATTCAAGATTTACTACTTAATTGCGGTCATCGTAATACCCATCATGGTCTGGATACCCATTGCTGCAAGTTCACGTATGTTATCGCTACGCGTTTAGGCCCGAGCCTTGGTTAATTGGCTTACACGATAGGTGAACTGCCTAACTATCGACATTACGAACACCGGTTGACGCGAGGATGGCTGTTTGGGAGGGAATTTGTGAGTTGCGGGTGTTATTCGATTCTGACCCCGGGTGTCCAACTCCTGTCTTTCATATTCTCTAGGACAACAGCGACCATCAATATCGGTCTTTCCGAGGCAATCTACTCTATCTGGTTCTGGCTTCCGTTGGTTATCTCTTCGCCAAGTTCATTCGGTCCATATTCCAGAGGGACAAAACTCAGGGCTACCTTCCAGCCATCCCCTTCAATGTGGTGTTCTCCTTGCTGATGATCGTTGCGTTGCATGGAGTCAACTCTCTCAAAATCCTCACCATACTCACCGCGAATTATTTCATCGCGAAGAAGTGCAAAGGCTCGAAACTGGGACCTTTGCTCACTTGGGTTTTCAATGGAGCTGTCCTCTTCGCTAATGAGCTGAGCCATGGATATCGCTTTGGCGCTGTCTCAGCTTCCCTTGCACATTTGGTTCGTTCCTACTAGACTCTACCGAACGTCCGGTCGTAACTGTGTTGGCTGCAGGATCACGCTTTCCAAGGAATCTACCCTCGGTGGTATATCATCTTCAACATTACCATGTTGCGGTTAATCTCTTTCAATATGGATTTCTATTGGGCTTCCAATCAGATAGAGCGTGTACCGGTGGGTAGCTTTAGCGCTCGAATTTTCTGCCTCTCGCTTATCCCTCATCTAGGGAGCTGATGTCGCCACCATGAACGACAAACAACGAACAGACCTCCCGCATCCTCAAATAACCTACTCGTACATGAACTATCTTGCATACGTTCTCTATCCCCCGCTCTATATTGCCGGGCCTATAATGACTTTTAATGACTTCATGTGGCAGGTGCGAACATCGCAGTGGGCTGCTTTTTCCGTGACTGACTGGTGTGTGTTCTGTAGCACCGTCGACCCATTGTCGTCGAGTTACAATCCACATTGAGATATCTCATACGCTTCCTGATCTCGTTCCTCACTATGGAGTTCATTCTCCACTTCATGTATGTTGTGGCTATCAAGGATGAAAACGCCTGGCAAGGCTTTACTCCAGGGCAAATCAGCTTGATTGGTTTCTGGAACCTGATCATTGTCTGGCTCAAGGTCGGCTCTTCCATTTGGTTTTTCGACCAGAACTGACCAAACATCACATACAGCTCCTCATCCCATGGCGTTTCTTCCGTTTATGGGCCATGATGGACGGAATCCTCGCTCCTGAAAACATGGTTCGTTGTATGGCCAACAACTACTCCACGATGGGATTCTGGAGAAGTTGGCATCGCAGTTACAATCTCTGGATTATTCGGTCAGTCATTTTTTGCGTCTCTCTGAGTCTCGCCGGGACTGATGCTTTCTCTTTTGCCAGCTACATCTACATCCCTCTCGGTGGTTCCAAAAACGTGATCCTGAACACCCTTCTTGTTTTCTCGTTCGTTGCCTTGTGGCACGACTTGACATTCCGACTACTGGCCTGGGGCTGGCTCATCAGCTTGTTCATTATCCCTGAACTCCTGGCGACATACCTTTTGCCCAAGTCGAAGGTCCGTCTCGATTCGTGCAATCTTGTCCGCATACAAAGGGCTTACATCCCTGTAGTTTGGCATACAACCGTGGTATCGCCATGTCTGCGCTATTGGAGGAGTCCTCAATATCCTGATGATGATGGCGGCCAACTTGATCGGCTTCGTGATTGGGACCAATGGAATCAAGTTCTTCGTGTCGCAGCTCTTTGGAACATTCGAAGGTGTGCGGTGCACTAGGCGCGTTGGTGTAAAATTAATTCGGCGGTTGCAGGTCTTCGGTTCCTTGTCTTTGCCTGTGCAATCCTGTTTGTTGGAGTACAACTCATGTTCGAATATCGGTGCGTTTCCAACCACTGGTGCAATCTCGCGACTTGGTTCTCACAGTCCCCCTAGCGAGGAAGAGATGCGAAATGGGATTTATAGGAGATGCTGAGGTGGTGGCTGTTTTAAATTACTGGGATTTGGCTATATCTGCTGTTAACCTATCAACGAGGGAGAATTTGAAAATGGAATTGAAGGTAGTAGTGAGGACAACGTGAAGGTTTCAAAAATTTGAAAGTGGTGAAGAGACGCGCCTCGGGACCGCGTCGGTTCGGCTTGGCACTGCCGGATTTCACGTGTGGACTGTGCGAGGATCGGCCGCTACGGCAATTCACCTGAGCTTTGCCAGTGCAAGCTTGCTCTCTCGCGTTCCCCCTTCTCGAGCTGGTACACTGCCTGACCTCTGTATTCAACGAAGGCCTACAGACCTGTTACTCTGATATATCCCTTTTCCGGACCTACCGTTTCGGACGACAATGGCCACGCACGAGCTAATAGACGCCCAGTTTGATCGTGCTGTACAAATCGTCCAGAGTTTACCCAAGACTGGTCCTATACAGACCGACTATGAGGAGAAACTTCAAATGTATAGGTGAGTCCTCGCATGTTAACGGAACGAGGGAACTGTAACTAATGCCTGGAATGACAGCTTGTACAAGCAAGGTATCTCGTCGTGGTTTGAACAGCATTGCGAGATGGGTGCTGAGTCTGCCGTTTAGCTACGGTGGGGAACGTCCAACCGCCTCGACCGGGAATATTTGATATGTTGGGACGAGCAAAATGGTGCGTGCGCTCTTTGCTATCCCAACGGGAACGGTGCTGAACCATGGCGCTAGGGATGCGTGGGCCAAACACAAAGACTTGGACTCGTACGAGGCCAAATGGCTCTATGTCGAGGCACTCCTCAAGGTTCGAAACCGTCCTCTGCAATCAACTCGAATTCTCATCACAGTTTAGGTCTTGAGGCGGTACTCAGATAGGACAATTGCAAGGGACCTCGTTCAGGAGCTGGAGTCTTATGGTGGCGACCCATCGAACCTCGTTCTCAGCCGTGAGCTTCGCTCTTTTACCTTATCTTACGTCCTCTCACACTGGACCAGACACCTTCTCCAAGTCCCCTGGATCAGAGACCAGCGGTACAACTGACTCGGAAGTGGGGGACATGCACACTGGACAGCCCCAGATTCATTGGCGACTTGGTCAACCCCATGCTTCTCAGGACGAAGAGGAAGAAACAGGGTCTGAAGAAGACGAGACAGACGACGAAGCACGAGACCTTCCTCCTTCCAGAACACCCATCCACTACGACCACAACCGGCCCCAGTCTTCCCACTCTGTACATCGATACAGAACACCTGCTGGGTCGTTGCTAATGGGGACACCGCCGGCCGAGCACCAACGGGTTCCTCATGCTCAACCCTTACCTGGCTTTGAAACCACCTCAGCCTTTGCAACTCCACCTCCCCCGACTCACGCACCATTTCCTCACCCACAGCCGCCCTCACACGGATCATACCCTGAAACCATCCGAGAGCGAGAACCTTTACATTCACCACAAACCACATACCCATATCGCCCTGGGCAATACGGCCCTTCAAGGCCAGCCTCCCGGCCCACTCTCGAACGAGCTATCGAGAATGTGCAAGCACATCTTGCCGCCCTGAACGAACGTGTTGAGAACGTCGAAACACGCCTCATCTCTAGGTCGCATCCTTCTATTAGCCCTAAGGGAGGCAACTCGCCTCGGTGGTTTGGCGGGGCCGGGTCGCCTGCTGGCGGGCGGGGGCCCCACTGGGATATCGAAGAACTTGGATTGTGGTCTTCAGTTTTGGTGCCCCTATCCAGAGGGCTTGAACGCGTGCGCGAATGGGCAGTGTTCTTCGCCAGGGATGAAAACCGCTCGCCTGCGATGATTATTGTTCGGAGGCTATGCCTGGACGTTTCGTTCCTCGTGGTAGTCGTCGCTATAATCGGTTCGTTATGGAGAAGGAGTGGGGTGAGGAGACGAGAGATCCGCGCTGCTCTAGGTGTCCTCTGGAGGGCACTTATTGGCTCTAAGCCACCGCGAGCAATGGCAGAGAAGGGTATCTAGTCGTAGGTCTTGTCCAAGGTTGGCACTCTAAATTATGGGTTTATTTCTATCCGAAACACCAATTTCATGATCTTGCAAAACCACTTGGGCACAAGCTGGATGAACACCACGAATCTTAATTGATTGTATAATGATAGATGAGTGTTTACATATTCATTCGTGATGTTCCCGTTGTGCTGCTCTTTCATCGATTCAGTGGATTCTGGGAACTTGCTATTCATTGCATATCGACGACGCATCGGATACATTCGCCGGACTGAAGACATCTATGAGTATGGAGCCATCGACGGTAAAGTGAAGGACAACTTACGTGCATGTCATGGAAGCCTTCGTTGAGCTCTTCCAACTTTCTGTGGTGAGTGACGTACTCATCAACCTTGAGTTTACCGTTCAAGTAATCTAGTGACTTGGGGTTAGACGTGAGTCAACACTTTTTCGAGGTCTCCCTTACCTTCGACCAATCCAGGAATCTCAGTGCGGCCCTTGACGCCGCCGAAAGCAGATCCTCGCCAGACACGTCCGGTGACCAGTTGGAAGCTAACGAAGGGCGTCAAAATTGAACAGGACCTTTAACGTGAAAACATACGGTCGAGTGGAAATTTCTTGACCAGCAGCAGCGACACCAATGACGGTCGAAACACCCCATCCCTTGTGGCAAGCCTCGAGAGCAGCGCGCATGACTTGGACCTACATTCATGCAGCATCGTTAGTTAGCAGTTCTCTCGGTGATCCACATGGACTCACATTTCCAGTGCAGTCAAAGGTAAAATCGAGACCGCCGTCGGTGATCTCGACCAAGTGGTCTTGAATCTTCTTGCCCTCGGGAAGGTCGAGTGGGTTAATGAACTCGGTGGCACCGAATTGTTTGGCCCACGACTCCTTCTTGGGGTTGGTGTCGATGGCAATGATTCGGCTGGCTCCTACGACGGAGGCGGTGGAGATGCATCCGAGACCGATGGCACCACAGCCGAAGACAGCGACGGTAGAGTCCTCTGTTAAATAGAGGGTTAACTGTGACATGTGGAGTGAAGGCTGCACAGCAGAAGGACTAACTGATTCCAGGCTGCTTGACAACAGCTCCCCAGGCGGTGGTGATACCACAACCGAGGAGGCAGACCTTGTCCAAGGGAGCCTTCTTGTTCACGGCGACGACTGATACATCGGCGACGACAGTATACTGGGAGAAGGTCGAAGTACCCATCTGCAACTCTTGATCAGATGCTGAACCATTTCAACAGGACAAGATTCGACGCACGAAGTGGTGGATGGGCTTGCCATTGATAGAGAAACGGCTGGTGTTGTCGGGCATCAATCCCTTGCCTTGAGTGGCTCGAACTGAAAGGGGTGATTAAGAACTTCAAAGCGCCAATGGAGGATGTGATGTCGGATTACCCTTTCCACAGAGGTTAGTCTTCCCGCTCTTGCAGAACTTGCATTCACGGCATTCTAGAGGGTTGGTGAGGACACGAAAAAGATATATGGATAGGGGTTGGACATACCGGCGGTGTAGAGGGGAATAACATGATCGCCGACTGCGACGCTGGTAACGCCCTCGCCAACAGACTCGACCTTGGATCGAAGAAGAGTCAGACACAGATCTACCTGATTATGGACAATACTTACGATACCTCCACCTTCATGACCAAGGATAACGGGGAAGAGACCCTAGCAATCATGATATCTTGATCAGCGCCAATCACCTCAACACTAGACCGATATTGAGTACCTCAGGGTCCTTGCCACTGCGAGTGTACTCGTCCGTGTGACAGATACCTAAAAAAATGTATATAAGCGACGCGGTTCCTTTGAGATTTCCAACAAAACGCCCTTCGTACCAGTATACAAGATACGGATTCTGACTTCGTGGGCCCTGGGGGGAGCGACCTCGACTTCTTCGATCTTCAAGGGCTCTCCAGCACCCCAGCACACAGCAGCTTTGCACTTGATGGTCTTTCCAGCAGTGTCAGACATGGTTACAATGACAGGATAAGGAGATCGCTCTTGGGCATGGACTTGATCTTATATGACGACAGGATTTGTGTTTGTCATCATCGTTCCCCGGCTTTCGTTCGTAAGAATAATTCAACCGTCCCGGAGGCGTCTCTTTTTCCATCTGGGCTACCAATTGACTCATCCGAGGAACGCGTTGGAAGTTGTTGGAAGGTGCCCCCCTTTGGTTCCGGTGAATCCTTTACAGCCTTTTTGGGCATGGGTTACGTTGATAGGGGCTAATCAATGAAACTCATTGCTGTTGCCTTTGTTCAACCTTGACTGCGATGTCCTTTCAGAATATCTACTACAAGCGAGTAAGTTCCATCGATTCCGTCCGAAGATCAACTCACGCGGGTATCAGGCAGTAGCGACTGCCAAAGCGTGCTATGTCTGCTATCGCCCCACGACAACTGTTCTCGCCACGATAAATACCGTCGACTTCCTATACACATGTCCCTCCCATCTGACAGATTTCAACTTCGCATCTCGTATCCCTGATGAAACGGCAAAATCGGGGACCATAGTGTCTGCTGAGGAGATCGAGAAGGTGAAGAGGGAGTGGGAAGAGAAGCAAGCAAGGAAGAAAGCGGAGAAAGAGAAGGCGAAGACTGAGGAAAAGGGGAAAGAGAAAGACACAGAAAACAAGAAGGATGAGAACAGTGAATCGTCGAAAGAAGCGTCTCCAAAGCCAGCGACCAGCCCAAGTGCCCCGCCAGTTAAACCGACCCATGAGCGATACAGTCTTCATCGAGATTTCTTCGCGATGCGACAGCTGGAACACAAGAAACGAAGACAAGCGGCGCAAGCGAAGTCGCTGGCTCCTCGCCTTCCAGGAGCGCCAACAGGTCCGATTTCTCCACCAACAGAGGATAAATATTAGAGTAGGGTCGACATGTACTGTAAATCTGGATCCATTTAGGCGCGCATTTTCGAGGCAATGATTGGTTGAGCGGAGATGGGAGCGGGGCCTCAAATCGGGTAAGGTGAAAATCGCGCTCGTCATGACTATCGCCGATCCCTTCCAGTTGAGTTTTCAACCGTTTCTACCAGCAATTTGCTTGCTGTTCCTATAGACTTTTATTTCTTCTTTTCTAATACCCTTTCGACGACCACTGCAATCGATCTCTCCCTTTGACCATTCCACCACATTTCAAAACTGTTTGATTGGGATTCGCTCCTTGTAAGTCGGACTTGACGTCTCTGTCAGGGGCACCGGCATTGACTGGTTATCAAGTTCTAAACAAGGCCAGAACACATCTTTGTAGGAATGAACAAAAATCCGTTCGTTCCGACCCCGTCCTATACAGCTCCCCAACCACCCCTTCCACCCGGACCACCACCTCCCCAGCCAGCTCAGCCCGACTATTCTGGCTGGTGGGCGTCTGCTGCAGCTCAACAGCCCCACGTCCAGCAGCCCGGCGCAGCTCAATACACCCCCCAATGGACGCCACCGCAGCCTGCACGCCCAGCGCATGACCAAAGCGCGTTGTACGCGAACTACGGTTACGGGAACCAGCCAGGCAATTGGCAAAGGCAACAACAGCAGCAATATCAGCCACAACAACACTATGCCACTCCAGCAGCCCCTCAACCACCGCAGGCTCAGCCAGGATATAATCCATACCAGCCAACTGCCGGCTACCCGCAACCTTACGTACCTCAACCTGCCGTCGCCCCGCCTCCGCAACCTATGGGCCAGGCGGTTTACCCGCCACAGACCCCGCAGCAGCCTTTCTTCAACCCACACCTCCCCCAAGGCCAACCCCAGCAACCCCGGATGCATCATGGGTCTCAACACCAGCCACCAGCAAAGCGCCAACGGTTCGATGGTCCCAACGCTAACCGGCAGAATGCCCCGCCTCCACCCCCGCAGTTTCAGGCTCCGCCCCCACCACCTGGTGGCGGCTCATTCACCGGCCCAACAGGTAGTCGTAACGCCCCGCCATCCGGTCCCAGTCAAATGGGGAGCGGAGGAAGGGTAGGAGGACCAGGAGGCAGAGCCGGTGCTCAAGGTGGACGTGGACGAGGTGGCTCTTTCACGGCAAACAGAGGCGGTGGAGCAAATCGTGGACGAGGGACTGGGAGTACATTCTTAGGGGGTGCTGGAAACGCCAATCGAGGGGGAGGTCCAGGTGGACAGCAAGGTTCTTTGCGGGGTCATGGATCGCGGAACAACTTCGGTGGCCCCAATACACGTCGAGGGGGAGGGTCTTCATTCAACGCGGGCGGATACCATCGTGGATCGTCTTTCCGAAATCGCGACCATTCGACTGCCAACAGAACAGGACCTAGACATGACGGAAGCGGGGGTGCAGGCGGTACTTCCTGCAACAAGGATGCTGCTTTATCACCTTCCTTTTCTAATGTCGGTAAGAAAGACGAGAGTCGCCGGACACTCACAGATTTCAAGATCGTTGGACTTTCAATACCTGAGTTGGATTGGTCATGGGGCGATGTCCCTACTGCCGTTCCATCTCCACCCACAGTGGAAGTAAAACAAGAGGTCACTGACTCGGAGGGCTCTCTCGTTGTTAAACAAGAAAATGCGGACGACAAGTCTAGCCTTCAGGCAGACGCGACTGGCGAAGGCAATGATGGCTCGACCACCGAAATCAAGCCTGATATTTCTGCTCAGACTGCAACCTCTGAGGAAACACCTGCATCTGATATCAAGTCATCGCCCGAAACTCAAGGGCAAGCTGCGTCTTCTCGTTATCCTTCTGATTTGAATGGCGCCAATCCACCCCCTTCCCGGTTGCGGATTTATTTCCATACACCGGTGACTGCTGATGATTCCCGTCCTATTCCTCACAACCCATCTCCCTTGTTCGAAGAGAGCCGAAAGGGCAAACGGAAGAAGTTGGACGACGACGATGGAGATCTGGAGGAAGGGCGTGCTCCCCCTCCACCCCCCCAGATGAGTGGGTTGAACGACGATAGATCCAGCATAGCTGCGAGTGTTGCTCCCAGCGTGGCTGAAACTGCCAGTGAAGGCGATTGGCTGATGGCTGCTATCGTTGAAGGTGAGGAAGATGCAGAGGGGGTGGTTGATACTGCTCATGAGGAAGTTGGTGCCGATGGAGCTGGACAAGGGGGAGAGGTGAAGGCTGATGCCCACCACGAAGAGTTGGATGATTTGGATGCAGAAGGCGAGGTAGAGACTCTCATGGATGGTGAGCATTTGTTCCATCGCCTCTGCAGTAACCATTCGCGTCCAAGGCTGGTTGGAGGCCGAGTCGCGCGCATGTTCCTGACTTTGATTTTTCTTTCCTTCAAGGAGATAATCTTGATGACGACGTTGACATGGCTGGAGGAGAAATGCTCACCACGGAGGCCTCTGCCCCTGAGACGCAAAGTCTCAATGCGCCTGCTGTTTCTAACGGCGCCCCTGCTCCCGAGAACGATGCCCCTGCGCCGGATATTCCATCTGAACCCGTCGCCTCCTCTGATGGACCTGTGAATGACTCTCCTGGTGCTGTGGTTGATGACAAGCAGCAGGAGTTGGATCCTTCCCAATTGAGCGCGATGGCTGAATTGCCTGCACCCTCTGAGCCCCAGTCTCAAGCACCCGCTCCTGTTGAATCTGCGTCCGTATCCAATCCATTTAGTCTTGCTTACTTGAATACTCATGGTTCTGGTTTAGAAATGATGTCGCTAACAATCCTGATTCTGTTGACACGCAGGTCCAGGATACTCCGCTACCCGTCAATGGAACCACCAAGACCTTGGAAGCAGCTTCAGCGGACCCTACCTTGCTAATAGTCGAAACACAGGAGACCACGCAGATCGACACAGACGCACAAACTACAGCAAATGTCGACCAGACTCTAAAGGATGCACCACAATCGCAAGGCCAGGGTCAAGAGGATGCGCCACAGCCGCAAGAACCCGTTCCCGATGCGCCCAAGTCACCTTCGCCAAAGCACCCCGAGGACATCGATGCTGCTCCGCCCACTAAACAAGAGCCCTCAGGCCCCGCATCTCCTTCTGCCAATCGCTTGGCCGTCTCATATGCTGGAGGAAATCGACGTTTCGTAATCAACGCTGAAATAGTTTCTTCCTTCCAATTGTTCCGCCAAGAAGGACGAATTGAGGTCAATCTCGACCTCTCGAAAGACAGCGGCTACGATGGCCTCAAAGGCCTTCTGGTAAGTGCTATCTGTATCCCGATTTCCATCGCTTCTAATGACCGGACAGGTTGAGACACTCTCTGAAGAATCAAAGACCTATGTTACTATCCCTGGTGTTCTTGACTCTGCCACCGAGTCCGACGACTCAGTTCCTCCCTTCTTCAAGTTGCCTCTGCCGGCTTCTATCCAACTTCTTGTCCACCTTGACACAAGTCGACCATTGTCGGACCCTAAATGGGCCAAAACCGGGGATGTCCAAGAATGGTTGAAGAGTATGTTTGGACGGATGTTCTGGGTTGCTGGGGATGCGGCCGAAGGTTGGGAGAAGAAGATCCACGTTGTTGATCCCGACCCGGTAAGCCCCATTCGCACAAAAGACCTTGTAGCACTGTACTGAATCCACCTTTAGCCCCCGACTATTTGGACCTTCTTGGATGGGTGGGCAACCCATTCTCCTGTTGGCGCTGTTACAGAACGACAACGGTTCTTGAAGACCCACATGACGGAAACTGACAACATCTTGGAAATCTTGTTGCGCCTTGTCCGTGGGGAGCGAGCTACTCCGTTCTCGCACAACACTCCTCAAATCTCCGTTCCATCACTATCAGGCCCTCTCCTTTCAGCCCTGACTCCAGGCTCGGCCCATGGTGCTCAACAAACTCACGTCTCGCTGGCTGTTCTTGCTATTTTCCGACTTACAGTGGAGTATGCGAAGAAGGCCCTTGGTGACGAGAAGGGCAAGACTGAAGCAGAGGAGAAAGTTGGGGATATCATTCGATGCCTACCTTCCCACCTCATTTACAAGAGTCTGGACGGCATGTTCAAAGAGTGGAAAATGGAGAAGAAGGGTGGCAGATGAACACATACGTTACCGTTGTTTTGTCCTTGTATCACTATTGTATCGTTTTGCATTAGCTCTAATACCATGATGGCTGCAGTTTACGCGCTGAAAGCTGAGCATTGAATCTGCGACCAGAGTTACAGTACTCGACTGTCGCGAATCCCGATCAAAGGAGATGCCCGACACGTGATCTCATTGAGGACTTCGCGGACGTTCGACGCGTCATCTTGAGCTTCAGCAACGACCAACCATGGTGAGTATTGATTCGCTTGTACTCTAGTCAATGACACTGATAAGTGCTTCGAATAGTTCAGAAACACCTACGACTCCGATAACACCGTTTTCTCACCCCAAGGTCGATTGCACCAAGTTGAATATGCTCTAGAGGCCGTGAAGCAAGGTTCTGCAGCTGTTGGACTGCGCTCAAAGACGCATTCTGTTTTATTGGCGCTGAAGGTATGGACCATAGTGTATCCTGATAGAAAGACTCTGAACTTCCACGTTTACTATAGCGATCGACTGGAGAATTGGCCTCTTATCAACAGAAGATGTTCCGCATAGATGACCATGTTGGAATCGCGATTGCGGGACTGACCTCGGACGCGCGTGTATTGAGGTGCGTGCAACTGGTACTGTCTCTGAGGAATAAGCTTACGATTGCCAATGTGTAGCAATTTCATGAGACAACAAGCCATGTCTTCGCGAATGATCTTCAACCGACCAATTCCCGTGAACCGACTTGTCTCTGCGATTGCCGATAGTATGTTCTTGGTACCTGTTCCCAAAACTTTTTCAACTGACTTTATACATGCTAGAGGCGCAGGTTAACACTCAGGAATATGGGCGAAGGCCTTATGGTGTTGGCTTCCTTGTCATCGGGCAGGATAGCACAGGTCCCCACCTCTACGAATTCTCGCCCTCTGGAAACTCTTACGAATACTACGCCATGTCAATCGGTGCCAGGAGTCAAAGCGCTAAAACGTACTTGGAGAAACACTACGAGAGCTTTGCTGATTGTGAGTGCTCCCAGTCAGTCCATACCAGATACCGAGTGCTCAACATTGATCCAAGGCTCCCTGGAAGACCTTGTACGACACGGCCTGCACGCTCTCCGAGAAACACTGCAGCAAGACAAAGAACTTACAATTAACAACACTGAAATCGGCATTTGTGGACCCGCCAGCGAATTCGAAACCAATGTCCCTCCATCAGGTCCTTTCAGGATTCTTGAGAACGACAAAGTAGAGCCTTTCCTCAAAACGATCGTTCCAAAGGAAGAGTTGGCTGCTCCCGCAGCTGCCCCCGCACCCGCTGCACCAGCGGCAACAGCAGCACCTGGAACGTCAGCCGATGAAGATGTACAGATGCAAGAGTAGATTGGTTTTCGTTGACTTTGTGATTTGTATTAATACCAGGATTAGCGACCGGAATGACGACTATATCTCTACGTTCCCCGGGATATTTCAATGAGTGGTGATAATAAATGTCCTAGGTAGGTTAGCTTCTATGTTTGTTCATAAGCAGGGGGGTAGACAGCATGAAAGTGTGAAGGAGTGGGCTGGTTTTACTTCTTCTGAGCGGCTGCCTTGGCTGCGCGCCAGAGTCGTGCAGCGGCAGAGGGTTGTCGGAGAGTGATGAGGACGTGGGTCATGGCACTAAGAAGCATGACACTTCCGGCTTGGTGGGCGGCAGCCAATGGGACTGGGACAAGGTACAACAAGGTGCTGATACCGAGAAGAACTTGAATGTTGGCCATGGCAAAGGCGGCAGTGATCGCTGTCCTAGTCAGAGGGGGCAAAGCAGCTCGCACAGCTGTCTTAAAGGTCGATGCATACAGGGCAGCGGTGCCGAGATAAGTGGTCGTCGCCTGCATGGAGAGTTTAGTATCGAAGGAAGATGGGATTGAGGTCTGAACGTACCAAGACACGGTGGTCGAACTGAACGGTCGTGGGGTTCTCGAAGATATTCCTCCACCACAAATCAGACTTGTCAGCGCTCTTGGCATAGGCCGGATCGAAGAGCTCGTCAGCGGGGGGTGCGAGACGCCCACCCATGAGGGGGAATTCGTTGTAGAGAAGACCTGCGTCCAAACCAGCAACGAAGGCGCCTGTGATAAAATAATAAACTGATTAATATCAACCGTCACAACATTGATGAAAAAGCGCACCTGAGAGGGCCGTCAAGAACACCAAACCAGTCAATACCCATGAAGCCGCCTTCACCCTCTTAACAAGAGGGTTCTGGAGGATGTTGGCAATGTTCTGATTGGCCGCACCACTCCAAGCAGCGCCGTTTGCAAACTTCCAATCCTTAATGACTGCAATGCCAGTGCCAAACATGCCGAGGTAAAGCAAGAAGGCAAGCCCGAGGTGTGAAGCCAGACGGTATTGCGACACGCGAGGGACGGCTCCGGGGGTTTCCAAAACCGACTCTTCCAATCCAGATTTGACCATGTACCAGCCCATGGCGCCTTGCGCACCGAGGAGAAGGGACAGGCCAAGCATGCGCTTCGTCATAGAACTGTTGATCTTCTTGCGCATGGCGAAGTAGGCCAGGGGACCGATGAAAGCGACACCAATGAGACGACCGAGGATTCGATGACCCCATTCCATGTAGAAGATGAACTTGAAGTCATCCAACGTGGCTTGGGAGTTGAGCCTGAAGCAGGGTCTTTAGCATTCGGAAGAAGATGGACGGAGAAGGCACGTACATTTTGAATTCCGGTGTGGCCTTGTACTTGTCGAACTCTTCCATCCATTCTTCATGGCTGAGAGGAGGAAGGATGCCAGTGATTGGTCTCCATTCCGTGATGCTGAGTCCGGCTTCCGTAAGACGTGTCACACCCCCGACGACGATGACTGCGAATACCAATGTTGAGGAGAACAGGAGCCAAGCGCCAACAGTTTTGTTGGCGAGAACGGGCAGCGGTGCTGGAGGAGGTTCGGCTGAATCGGCGGTGGCGCTAGTCTGTTCCGTCTTTGCTGACGAGTGGAGTCTCGCTTGGTTCATGCATCGAAGGATACGTGAGCCAGGAAGGTACGACTTTGTGACATTTGCCCTGGTCAAAATGCCAGCTGGACGGGCAGCGGAAAAAGGCGAATTCGAACGGGGAAGTACGGACGAAATGAAGGACCTCAGTGGTAGTCGAGAGGGTATTGAACGCGATGTCGCTTGACAGCGCACTGAGCACGACCTCAGCACGTTAAGCAGCATTTTTTGCCGCTTTGTGAGTGACTAGTTGGGCGTCGTCGTCGTGGTTTGCGGTGAAGGGCCAAATTCGTCCAACGAATCGAGAAGCGGACGAGAACCTTTTCGATCACGACTGCCATTTTTGTGCTGGCTTGGCGCGGACTTGGCATTTGCTTTGCTGACCAATGGCAACGGAACGAATACGGAGACGCGCTTGACTCTCTGACCCCGACGAACATGTGGCTTCAACGACTATTCCCTACCGTCCTGGCTCGTTCCTCGACAGCGACAACGACACGTCTATTCACCGTGTCTGCAGCACTTAAAAATGGAAATTCACCCATTACACCCCCACCTGGACTCCCAGAACGGGAACAGACCATTTACAAGAAGCTGATTGACCGATTTTCACCGTCTCAACTACAGGTGGAGGATGTGTCTGGTACGCTTTATCGGCGAACATGAAGTTTTAGAGGCTAATTGAACCGATAGGGGGCTGTGGGACCTTCTATGCTATTGTCATTGCAAGCGAGAACTTCAAAGGCTTGCCGATAGTAAAGCAACATCGTTTGGTCACTGATACACTGAAAAAGGAGATTGAAGGAATTCATGGACTTCAGGTACGACATATTCACTCCTAGAAAGCTTGCGTTGTACTGACCTGTAACATAGCTTAAGACAATCCCTCAGTAAAAGAAAGCCTGGGCTCGTGCCATGTCGACTCCGCTCGCTGGCTTATTTATTGCACACTAGACCTCGGGAAGGAGACAGATGTCTTCTTCGTCCTCAGTGCTCCTCGTGGTCTCCCCCGGGAATCAACGGGGCTCTGTCATTGGTATCTCCCATTCTGTCATACCAGACTAATCGCATTTCCGTGTTAGACCTACATCCACCTCTATTCCTTATATAACCTCGACATTTCGTCAGTCATGATTGAGACCCTGCGTTACCGAAGGTCTCTCCAACCTCTCCGCGGTCTTCTTATGCGCTCCATCTTCCTCAACCTTAGAACCTGGAAAGCGCGAAGCGCGAAATCGGTCACGCCTGGGTAAGGGACGCTTGTCCGACCTGGAGGAAGCATTCCATAGTCTGTTCTTTTCTCACCAATAACCGGAACGTTATTTTGATAATATTATCGGACAATTGTCTAGGATATTGGCGGATTATATTGAACCACGAGGACAAGCCTCGCCCACCCCACCGCTGCGAAGGCTTGTCGGTATTCAAAGCGGTAACAGACCCGCAAATCTATGATGAAGGGCACCACTTTCCTCGTTGCCAATCAGGAGTTATGCTTCTTTTTCTCGCATTCAAGCTTCTTCAGACTCCTCGTGGCTCTTCTTTCTCGTACACGCGAGCGAGCACATCCCGGACTTACTATTCTATCATGCCCGATGTTTTCCCCTCATGCCCACGTATGGGAACACTTCTTGCGGGGCCGCGTTAAAATAGAGGCAAGGGGAGGGATGAAAAAAGGGAGAGGGCATTTCCCGTTCCTACACGATGCGGCTGCTCTCAGTTTCTAGCCTCTTTCTCTTTGGATTGGCAGCGGTCGTCACCGCCACCCCAGACACACTTCAAGACGGAGGTCTGTCCTTCCCTGCCTTGCCAAAGCTCAACTCAAATTTGGTCTCCAAATTTAGATGACCTGAACTCGGGTTACAACGGAGAGCATCACCTCGACCCTAACTTTGTCACAAGTGACAGATTTGGAGTGGAATGGACCTTTAGGCCCGAGCTCGACTATGGATTTGAACGGGTAGGGACTGGCACAGTATCACCCGCCCAGACTTGTCACTAATCCCTCTTCGCAGTTCATGGCCAAACCCCTCGTTTACACGGCGAGGAATGGCAGGAAGGTCTTGATTGCCGCTGCCTCTAGCAACACCATCTACGTCCTTGACGCTAGGACAGGCGAGGTCATCAATAAGCGGCAACTTCGCCAGCCATACGAAGAGCCCGCTTTGCCATGTGGAGACCTTCAGCCTCATAATGGAATCCTTGGCACTCCCGTTATTGACCGCAAGACTGGGACATTGTACGTCTTCGCAAAGGGGTATAGAGACGACAATCCCGCCGGGCCTTTCAGTTCCGTGTAAGTGGCGGAGAGCTTCTTGGTGCTGGGACATGTTACTTATGCCTGCGCCAGTTTCTGGGCCCATGCTGTCGACGCTATTACTTTGGAAGAGCGACCCGGTTTCCCTACTCTCATTGATGGTCCTGCTTCGAACGTAAGTGGGCTTTCTTAAGTATTCTGACGGAGGTCTTAGTCCATATCTAGGACCCGCAAAGATACTTCGTCGGTGGAATTCATCTCCAACGACCCTCCTTGAAACTCCACAACGGCGTCGTCTACGGTGCCTTTGGAAGTGGCTGTGGATCTTTCAACCACACCGGCAAGTAAATTCACTTTCCTTTATACCACTCACGGCCTCACCCATTTGCTCTTTAGGCTGGATCGCAGCCGTCAACGGACGCTCCGGTGAAGTCATCCAACGCTTCGTAACCCAGTCTGGTCCCGAGGCACCCTCCGTTGAAGGTGGTTTCTTTGCTGGTGGTGGGGGCGGCTCAATCTGGCAAGCTGGTACTGGCTTCTCCACGGACCGCCAGGACCGCCTCTTCGTCGCTGTCGGAGACGGCAGGGTCTTCGACCACACCTTCCCGGCTGCTGAGGGACGTGAAGTCGGGAGCATCTTGGAGGGCACAATCTTGAACTTGAAGGTTAACCGGGATGGGAGCTTGACTCCTCAGGATCATTTCAGACTGTCAAAGTATAGCGAGCTCGGAAGCTCGGCTAGGGATCAAGGGTCCGGTGGGTTGACCATCTTGGATCCCAAGTACTTCTCGATCCCAGGGGTAGCCAGGAAGTTGGCCATTGCTGGTGGGCAAAGTGGTGTCTGTGCGTTCTCCTCGAGGTGTTGTTCGCCTGCGACCGTCGCTGATCCTCAATCTTTACAGTCAACATCTTGAACCTGGACAACCTCGGAGGATACAGGCAAGGACCGAACGGCACGGACAACGTCATTCAAACGATCCCTGTACCGGGGACCATCCCTGGCTTGATCTACGGCAACTTCGGTAGCTATCCTGGCGAGGGAGGATACATCTACGTCAAACCTGTCGGCTTGCGCTCCATCTATGTTTACAAGTTCAACCGCAAAGGTAACGAGAGAACCCTTCTCGCTTCAAAATTTTGTGCTAAGGAATGTATTCGGATTTACTAGGACCTGAATATTTCACCCTCGTTGCAACAAGCGAAGAGCCTGCATCGACTGCCGTGGGCAGTGGGTCTCCTGTCGTGACCACGAACAGGGGGCGACCTGGTACTGGCATTCTGTGGGTGGCGGACATCAACCAAGGCCTCACTGCCTATCACGCAGTTCCTCAGAGTGAGTAAATACATTGGACTGCGACGAAGTGAAGGGCTGATAAACCTTTCGCAATGTCCAGATGGAACCCTCGTTCGCATTCCCATCCCTGCAGTTGGCCGACCCAAGTTCCAACGACCTGTGTTCTACGATAGCCGAGTTTACCTTGTGACAACTGATGGTTATGTTGTTGCCTATGGAAGGTGGGTTTATTGTCCCTCCCGCTCTTCGTTTGTCAGATTCGATGGAGAATACTGATGTGATGATAGGAAACCGAGGGACAGTGAACAACCTCGACGACAGCCGAGGTGGTGGCGCAATTGAACGAGCGGATGAAAGACGGATTCCTGATGTATGACAACGTGTTCACGATAGCGCTTCGATGTGACCTCGATCAAATGAACTCCTATATTTAATTCTGACAACCGGAAACTACCAAATAAAACCCGTATTATTTCGACCTTTTAAACCCGGAAAACCCAAGCGAGAGAAAGCATCTCAATCCTTGACCTTGTACAACCGCATCAATGTGATCGCCTCTCGATTGTAGCTTGCGCGATTGGGGTCATCGTCTACTTCTTTCCAATTAAACTTCTTTTTCAGCATAGAGAAGAAACGTTTATCCGCCTAGAAAGATGTCGGTAAGGGTCGGGTGAAGGCATAGATAGAAGACCGACCTTTCTCCTCTTCTTGTAACAGAAGAGAATCTCTGTGTCCTTTGTTGATAGCCGGTCGAGGGTCTCGACGAGTAAAGGGAACGCGGGTTCAAAGTAGACACAATCGGCGGCTAGGATCACGTCCGGCTTGGGAATTGTCGAGGGTATGGGTTGCGCCCTGTCAGCCGTCAGGTCGGTAACTGGTTGATCATGGTCAACTGCAGAGGTCGCACCAATCGAGTTCTGCAACAACGACGTTGTCATTAAGATCGTTCAATAAGACATTGCGCTGCATTATCGGCAACAGAGGACTTGGAAGAGTAGATGAGATAGAGTATCTCAGCAAGATATAAGCGAAAACAGGCTTGCCTTTGATCTGTTATCCATACTTTGCAGTTCCCAAAGAGCCCTGCAACCAAACCTACCAGTCCAGTCCCCGATCCCAGCTCGAGTACGTTCCGATTGCGCAGATGAGTCGGACCCTTGTGCACGAGATAGGTGGCTAGAATCTATGCGGAAGGGTGTGATAGGGGGAAGAAAGAGGGCGACAATCTCAGGGATCCGCACATGGAGCACATGGAGCGAAAGCAGATATATGTACCTGTCCTGCAGGCCAGGCTATCCCACCACACCCGGGCGACGCATCGACCGATAAGGAGAGATCCAGAGGATGCGGAATGGAATCCCAGTGGTGGGAGAACGATAACTTCAGAGTACCACCTTTTTCGTCGAGGAAATTGGATTGCGAGGGTAGAAAGCTTAGGAGATGGGTGTGACACGATGGAGGGACGGTTACGATCGATTCCTCGGTGTCCATTAGATGCCGCAGCGGGTCTTTCAGATCTTGCTCCTCCTCGACCTCCAGCTCGGCGTTGACTCCAGGCTCCACGACCAGTCCCATCAGAAAGAAATCGCGTATGTTGTGAAAGAGTTTGAGCTTTTGAGAACGTTTGAGGGCCTCGAGGCAGATACGGGATGGCGCGACAAATGATAAAACCGAAATTAAGGAAAATTTCCAGGCCGTTATCGCACTTGGGTTATAATTGCACACAGATTCCGGACGGCACCGAGGGAGACCTATGAATTTGGCTGTATGTAGAATGAGAAACTGTGGACGGTATCCTCGTGTTGTGCCTCGTTTCCTGAAGAAAAAAATACGGGAGATGAGAGAACGCGGTTGCCTCGTTGTTGACGGTGAACTGATTTGGATGACATCGGCGAACAGGAAGCGAGAACATAAACATGTACAACGGCATGCTCTCATACATATTCGTCCCTGAGCAGGCATCAAGTTTCTCTGGCTCTGTCTTCTTCTTCCTCCCCTTCAACACAATGCTCCCTTCACCAGTCGAGATGACATCCCCGGACCTCTACAATATGTTCTTCGAATGGTGAGCCTCGAGTTCAGTCTCAAACAATACCCTCCATGTTGATCACCACCATCACCGTCTTCAAGGCCTTCGACAGAGCCGCATGAAGTTATTGTCACTGGCACTTTTGACCAGGTCTGTCCTCGTCTTTACCGCCCAAACTAGCTCAAACTCATCCCCGAGGATCCAGTGGGCCCGCACGAAGCATCTCAACAAGACTGCTCGTGGTTTTGTGGGAACTGTCAAGGTCCCCTGGGGCGAGAAGGTCAAGTACAAGTTCGTCGTTGACGGGAGATGGATGACTCTCAAGGGACAGCCCACTGAAATGGACCCTGGAGGTTACATTAACAACGTTTTCACTGTCCCCCAAAAACCTTGCATCGAACCATCCCCAGAAGAAGCGCCCGTCGAGACTCCCGCCGTCTCGCCCGCCAAGCCGGAAGCAGTAGAGGAGAAGGATACGTCCGCGATAACCTCTGGCAGCGAAGCTGCTGCTGTTTCTCCCCCAGAGGCCGTGGAGAAACGGGCTTCCAAGATACCCATCGTATTCGTTCCGCTCAACTCTCCCGAGCACAACACTGTTGGGTCATCTACCGCGCCCTCGCCTCCCGACTACGTTCTTCCACCCTCCCCGCGTGCTGCTGCAGTGAGCGCGGAGAGTCCGACGGTCCCAGCTGTCCCAGTCGAGTTCCACACCGCTCTATCGAGCCCTATCGACAAGGAACCCCAGGTGGGGTCTGAGCCCACTGAACCCGAAGTCCCTTCCGCCCCGGTCCTCCAGACAGAGGCGGAGCCAAAGGTCGAAGATGAAGCTCCAGCCGATGTCTCTACTGAAAGTAGTGAAGTTCCGAAACTCGCAGAGATAGCGCCTGCAGAGGAACCTTCTCCCCAGGTGGAGACCCCTACAGAAGCCAGAGAGGCTCCGGTTGTCGCTGCGAACGAGGATGCGGCGGTACCAGTGAACGGCACACCACCTCTCTCTGACGTCGAGAAGGAGAACGAAGAACAGACTGGCCCGTTGACCCCTGTCGAGTCTGAAAATGTTGAAGCGTCCCCTGCCAGTGCGCAGCACGAGAAAGAGTCTACTGCCGCCACCGCGTCTACCGTCGTCAACGAGACACCATCTACCCCCACGCCCAAACCTGCCGAAGCACCAGCAGCATCGCTCCCAACTCCACCCGCCACTCCCGCCACCCCATCTAGGAAAACCATCCCTCGCGCATCTTCTCCTTCCCCTTCATTTGGTTCGCCAAAGTCAAAATCCGGTACTATTTCTTCCCGGAAGAAGCGCTCTTCGATATTTGGTAAACTGAAGGGTATCTTCCATCATGACAAGGACAAGGAGAAACAGGCTCCTACCAAGGACGGTAAAAACTAGCCTTGAGATAAGGCCGATTTGATTTGTTGAACGTTGACCGCTCAGTAGTTTCAACTCACTGCCCTTTGAATTTACGACGACTCCACGCCTCGATTCTAACCACTATTATCTACCAACAATCTTGGTTTTCTGACATGCATACTTACCCCCTGCTAGACGGTTTACTACTTATATCTTGCTTCCTGTCGAGTTCCCTTCCCCTAGACGCATCTGTTGCTTTCTGTGCTATCTTTTCTCTGTACATTTTACATTTGACCCATAGTCTCTCTGTAGTCTCGCTGTCTCTCTTATGTTGCACTCCTCCCTCTTTCTTGATTCCTCCGGGTACTCTTTTTTAGTTTAGTTGACGACATCGAATACGACATCTTTCATGACCATGAATGACTGAATGAGGACAACGTTTGCCTCTTCCAGCCAGGACGGCAGTGCTCGAGTCCGACACCGGCGCCGGGCGCTTGTTTGATCTTAAAGGTTGCACCAAACAGGGTCGCGACGAGCAGGGTGAGGTCTGGTGAGATCGACTTTGTTTCTCTGAGGCTCTCCACTAAGATTCTTGAGGTGACCGGACTATCCGAGTCTTGTAGGCAATGGCGGGGCTAATAGGAGAATGTCCACCTGATTTGGGGAGCTGCGTTTTTTCGCCCTGACCAAACCCTGACTCTTCTACATAGCCTTGCTTGAAACGACCGGGACTCTTCTTTGCCCGTTGCCACCACCAGCACGAGGTGTGGTCTTTGCGTCCTCACACCGTTTGTCGACGACGGAACAAAGGTAGTCATTCTAGAGTTTTTTTTCCTAACCCCAGATGATATAAGAGAACCTGGCTCCCATTTTTCGAAGCCTCGTACCCGCACGCGCCACGATGTCAGGATCAAGCAAGAAGCCCATGCGTAGGGCTGTAGTTCCCGTCTCCAAAACCCTTCCTACCGATCCACAAGACCAACACTCCTCGTCAGAGGAAGTGGATCCAATTTTCTTTACCCCGTCGCCCTCACCACCATCTAATACACCAACACCCGACAACGCGTCCGCCTTGCCATGCGACCATGCAACGGGTGAACCCCACCGCCATCCAAACCCAACTCGTCATCCAGACTTTTGGTTCCACGACGGATCGATTATTCTACAGGTGGAGAGCAAGTTGTTCAAGATACATCAAACCATCCTTGCGAATCATTCAGAAGTCTTCGCGGGATTGTTTGATGTTCCTCCGCCTCTGCCTACCGGTACGACTGAAGGTGATGACATGGTGCTAGAAGGGTGCAGAATTGTCGTTCTTCACGGGGACACAGAGAAGGACTTTGAGAGCCTGCTTCGGGCAGTGTACAACCCTTCGTGAGTTTGCACCCGACTTTAACTTAGTCGCCAAGCTTACGAGTGTACCTGACAGTTATTTCGACGACACCCTACCACCGTCTGCAGATGTGGAGACCTTGCTCGACTTTATCTCGGGGATCCTTCACCTTTCCACCAAGTACCTCATCCGCAACCTCCGTCAACGATGCATCAACCTCTTCACCTCGAAGTTCCCGGCTACATTTGATGAATACACAGCCAAATCCACTCCTCAGCCTTCATACTCATCGACAAGATCATCAAGTCACAAACAAGAGAGATACAGATCCGATACCCTAATGCGAGCCCTCCACCTGGCTCACTCATGTAACATCACAACTTCGCTCCCGTACCTGTACTACTGCACCGCTCGTTTGTCCCTCCACCGGCTCTTGAAACCCCGGCCAACAGATGTGGACTGGCAAACCAAGTCAGTAGTATTGGCGGGTAGAGAACGATTGCGATATGCCACGCTTGCCATCAGTTATTCCTTCCTACTGGTCTTCGAGCGGGCACCCACTTGTGCCGAAATGCGATGTGGTTTTGCAAGCGGACCGGGGAGGGAGTGGAGGAGCATTGTTTTGGGTGGGGAGAGCGGGATTGGGTCGGCGCCTACCCCTCCGACTGCAGCTACTTCAATTACGAATGCTGGTGGTGTGAACGGCATCTCTGCCTCGGCGACCGCAGAACGCAAATCCAAGTCTTCGTCAAATCGTGCACCTAATCCCCTACGGCTATACACGCGTTGGCCAGAACTGGGTGTCTGCGACAGATGCGTGGAATGGAATAAAGGCGTGCATGAACGAGGTCGGCGAGAAGTCTGGGAGAGGCTACCCGGGATGTTCGAATTGGAAGGGTGGGACGAGTTGAGGAAAGCCCAAGGTAGTTAGGCCAGATGTTAGGGACTGATTATGCCATGCTATTTATTCGCTGTCTCTTCCCGAGATCAGTACTATGAAAAGAGATTGATAGTTTCGCTGTACATCTATGTAGCACTGTCCTCCCTTGACTAGTTTAGTTTACGACCTCTAATACAATTCCTGATGACCACAGATCAGTATTCACAGCCTCCCTAGGCGACTTTCTGGTGGTACATACCAGCTGCGATAGTTTCACCCCCGCGGCGAATCAAGACACGGCCCATGTCCTTGTTGGCGGAGAACGGCTCGAGAGGGATGGGTCGGACATTGGACGGTGCACCAGAGATCGAAGTCGATCGTAACGAAATTTGAATTTCAGCCGAGGTACCTTTGGGAAGTACTCGTGGGTTTTTCTTGACGACTTGCCCAGTAGCACGGTCGAGCGTGGCCAGCAATTTCGTAGCGGTCGCAGGGACATCCCTGGAATGATGATAGAGCTCGATCTACACATAGTAGCCAAATTAGTTGGCGATTGTGACATGGAAGAGAATTCACTTACTGAAGACCCGGCAGTAATGGGCACTTCAACGTCGAACACGATGATCCTGGCCAGGAAGGACGTCGCCAATGGGATGAGGTCTGTGGGAGGGCAAAGAACCCCTCCAATATTTACATTCGCAGAATCGATACCTGCAAGTTGGATAGTTGCATTGGAACCAGCAGCCGCCCATGGGACAGACTCTTCATCCACTTCGATAGCTAGAATGAACGAGAGCTTCATTAGTTCCGATGCAGAAATGCAACCGCAAGACACGCACACTTCACAACTGCAGACTCGTCCCCAGGAAGCAACCTCAGTTTTTCGCCGACCTGAACAACGCCGGCACATATTCTTCCAGAGATCGCTGCGCCCTGTCCCTGGCCTTTGAATACATTCGAGATGGGAAGTCGGAGAGGTGACGAAATTTCCCGCGTGGGAGGCTCCAACTTGTCCAACAGGTCGACAAGGGTGGGGCCCCTGTACCACTGATTGAGTTCAGAGGCCTTGTCGCCTTTCCTGTCCAAAAGGTTTACACCTTCATACGCTGCCACAGGAACAAAGCTCGTTTTACTCGGCTGGTAGCCTGATTGGACCAGGAAGGGCTTCAGAGCCGCAACAATTTCGTTATACCGGGCTTGACTCCATTGGACTTGATCGAGCTTATTCACAGCGACGACGACTTGAGTGACGCCTAAACTCCGAACGAGCAGCAGGTGTTCGCGAGTTTGCCCACCGCGCTCGAATCCGGACTCAAACTCCCCGACGGTAGAGTCAACGACGAGGAGCGCGCAGTCGGCCTGCGAAGCTCCTGAAATCATGTTCGGAATGAAGTCTTTGTGGCCCGGTGCATCGAGAACTGTGATTTGCCTGTGAGGTGTGGACAAGACCTGGAGCGCAATGTCCATCGTGACTCCACTAAGTAACCCTGTTAGTGACGAGCCCAACAATCGTAGGTGTTGCCTTTACCGAGTGCGCTCTTCGAGAGTTCCATCCAAGCCCCAGGCCCAACTGAAACTGGACTTTCCGGCATTGTTGCTTCCCTTCTCATTGGCTCGCCTAGCCTTCTCATCCAACCTTCCAAGGTCATACAACAGCCGTCCCATAAGGGTGGACTTTCCAGCGTCAACGTGGCCTTTTAGTGCATGAGCATTGCGAGCCAAAAGCCTTGACACAAAAGCAGACGGTACCTATCACAACGATACTGACACCCTTCTTCCCACTCTCGTTCGCCTTCTCAATCGCCTTCTTCGCTTCCTCAATCAATTTCTCCTTCGCGAAGCTAACTTTGGGGGGTGGCTCGTCTGGTACCACGCTCTTGCTCTCCGTGGTGATGTTTAACCCCGAAATATCGAGGTCACGTTGATCAAGCCCCGAGCCACCTTTCCGAAGAGGAGTTGAGGTCCCTGACGCTTTGCCAGCTCCTTTCTTCTTCGGCGTACTCGTGGGCGTTGCAGCTCGTGAATTCGCAGCAGATGCTGCTAGGGATCGTTGCGCTGCCAGCTTGGCTGCCTTTTCTTTCTCTTTGGCGGCTAGAAGAAATAGGGAGGAAATGCAAATGGTATAAGTACAACACAAACAGACAGAAAAGAGGAATGTAAGGAAGAGAAAATGTGGCAGGTGGAAGAAAAGAACCAGGTGGATGAACGAAGAAGTCGGTTATCGCCCGCCTGCAGAGGAGACAGATGGCGAGGTCCTAGCCAAACTCGTGCCTTTGCGCGCCTTCATTACGATATCATCGGGACTGGGGACATCGAATGCAAACGATGGTGTGCTTGACCGAAGCGGTGTAGGTGGTGCAGCGTGTTTGTGTTTACGTCGGTTCGGATGACTATTGAGAGAATCGGCTGTCCCCTCCGACCTGCCCTTTGAGCTGGACGAGCTGGCTTGCGGTGAATCTTTATCGGCCGTGTTGGGGTTATCGACGAGCAGCGATGCAAACGAGGACGGTGACGCACGATAGTGAGGCAAGCTGGCTTGAAAGAGGGAGTCCGAAGCGAGTGTATATTCCTCTTCGTAGATCTCTTGTGGAGGATGTGAACGCTCCGAGCCTCGCTTCGCTTTCATGGCCAACTTGGACACCTTGGGCGACTGATTGGCTGGTGAAGCCGAGGACGACAATGGAACAAGGTCAAGTTTAGGCAGAACCGACGACTTTGTGGGGTCTGTAAGACTGTAGAGCGACTGATAAGAGGTAGTGATCGCAGTGGTGACAGAGGATCCATTGGCTATGGGCGTCAAGTACTCGGTCGTCGTCTTGGGGAGTTTGGGACCACGTCCTTCGACCTTCTTCTGGGCAAGTAAGGCCAGCTTTGACAAGCCTTTTCCGGTTCCCGGCTGCTCGGTGGGACGAGGGACTGGTGCACGCTGTGACGAGCCACCTTGTGAAGATTGTTTCGTGGGGGATGGTGAACGAGGCGTCCGTGGTCGGGGGGTCGAGCTGCCTTTACTTGACCCGGCATTGTCTAGCGCCTCTCCTTCCAGTGCCTTTTGGATAGCTGCGTTAACCAAGGCCGATGTCTCCGAATCAACCGGCGTCATTACAGTCGAGCCTGATGGCGTGGTAGGCAAGAGCCTTGAAATAGCAGACGGGGTTGCTATAGATTGCGGGGATGGACGCAAGGCCGGGAAAGTCTTCACGGAGCCAGTGACAGTCGTGCCTGTAGATCTCGAGCTCTCCGTCCTGCTACTAACAGCACTCGCCCTTGAACTAGCGAGTAGAGAAAGCTTGGAGGGTTTCGGAGGGAGGGGCTTAGCATCAAGATCGCTAGACTTCGACCTTGAAGGAATGTCGGGAATGACATCAATGTTTGGGACAGATTCCAGCGAACGCTGGACTGGGGTTTCGCTGCGAACAGACGATGATGGGCGAGTGGGTGGCGGTCCTTCATAGAGTGATAATCGCTGAATCGCTGAGGCAGGAGGCGATACAGGAATAGTACTTGGGTCGATGGATCGGTTTGGATCTATTCCTTGTCTAACTTAGCGATTGTGCTGGGCACATGGACTAAGAGTTGCTCACCTTGATAAACGCCGTAGGAAGTCGTTGCACTGGAGATAGAATGCCGGATAGTATCCGTTCTTTCAGTTTTCTCGTCAATCGTGCTTAAGCGGTGGCGAGTGGGCTCATAGTCGTCGACAGTTAGATAGCCCCCATCAGGTTGTGCTTGCATTATCTTTGGAACGCGAGACCACTGAGCATCGGCGCTAGGATCGGCATTCGTTTGGTAGTAGTCACCATCTTGAGATTATGTCAGTAATTATTCCAGTGCGAGATTAAGGGAAGTAACGAGCTCCAGAAATGCACCTTCTCGCGATTACATGTTCAACACTCGCAACAGGCGATAGAACGCGACATGGGGGGATAATGGGTATTTAACGTGGTTGAAGGGCTCACCTTTGCGTTCCTTCGCTACGCGCTTTCTTTCGTATTCATCTGTTAAAGGGTTGAGAGTGTGTTATAACTATCCACGATGGTCATTTACCCAAGCACCACGCAATGGTCTGGTCAACGTCGAAATATGAATCCCAAAGTACGGCTCGAATATTTCGCTCTGAAACCTCGGCCACGACTTCATCACCAAGAGTGCGACGGACTTGTTCGTAGCTGTCGTCCAGTTGAGCTAATAGAAAGATTTATCAGCGACTTCTTCGACGTCTTGCAAAGGCGTTAGCCAAACCTTGATGCTGTGGGTCTCCGATTTCGTCTCCTCCATCTGAGAGCGCATCGTCGTCCAGCTCGGCTGTCTGGCTTTAGAATGTGTTCAAAATGGACCCTGTTATGTCGCTCACCGCTGATATCGAGGTTTCGAACATCCCTATGACGCGACATGGTGGTCAAGGATAAGATTATGAAGGACGGCTTCCCTGCAGCCTGATCGATGATGAGGACGGTCTCTTGGCGAGTACCGTGATCGGATCACATTTGGTCAGCGGTCAGAATTTCCCTGAGCCACGTCCGGGCGCGTCTCAAGTTGGGACTACGTTGCCTTCGTTGTCGACGCGATGCTTTCTGCTCTGAGGTCCTCCTTTTCTCGCTCCAGTTCTCGAAGGGTACGTGTCTACTTCATTCTCATAATATAATGAAACTCAATCAAATGTAGACATTCACCACAAGCGCAGTCCGGCGCCATGACTTGGCCAAATTGACATTAATTGGCACACTGGTCAGAGATCCAGAGCCTCGAGTAACAAAGTCAGAGAAAGAATATGTCATGTGAGCCACCAGTACCTTTATCTGAAGCTCTTCCGGCCTTACCAGTCCTCAGGTACACCGTTGCTACCCAAAACTATCCTCCCCCGCCTCCAGACGCTAACGGAGGTACGCCTGTTCACCCATGGAATGCCTTCGAGGTTCTCTAATTCTGTCGCACAGAACGTCACACTGCCTCCAACTTCCACCGTGTTCTCTGCTTCAATGAAGGCGCTTCCAGATATCTGAAAACCCTCCGCAAGGGAAGCAGAGTCTACGTCGAAGCCAACTACGAAATCCGGGAGCCAGAGCCTGGTGCTGAACCCTCGTCTCCTCATGGACAACGTCAGATCTTCCTCAGGCACGGTACGTCTTTTTCATGACATTGTGGTGATGCGGCACATTCAGAAAAACTATAGAAATGATTCGCCTTTTGAATGCTCCTCGTGGAGAGCGCCATCCCAACGAAGAGTCTTCTGAACAACTCTAATTTCCCCTGGACTTGTTTCCTCCTTTCCTAACACCTTGTAATTTACATTGGCACAGACTAGTTACTCTTTTCCAACTTTCGTTCTCCGTACTTGCATTGACTCTCGGGAAATTGGAAGGGGCTGTGGTGCAATCTTTTGCGACTCCAGGACAGCTCTTATCATTTTGAATAGGTTTCTGCGGCAGTGTTACTTATAACGTCGAGACTCGATAAGACCCCTCGCTCTCTGAGGTTATGTTCTGACCGAGATCTGACCCAAGCGCTTGGGGGCGTCATGGTCACGTTACGTAAGAGATCGTCTCGAAGTTGGCCGGCGCCTGTGCCAGCCTGAGGGTTAAAAGTTTTCCGCCATCGCCTTCTTTACCTGAATTCTGTCGAACCGCGCGACGGTACAAGAAGGGAGATATCGCAAGTCTGACCGGTCTGTGCTACTCGGAACGCTGAAATTACAGAGGATAGCGCCTCCAGCGCCCTAGTTGATCCATAATGGTGGAAATCACGATTCGCAAACGCCCAAGGTCAGAGGCCGTCGTAACGCAACGCAAGTTCTTCAAGAAGACGGCCAAGGGGAAAGTTATCAAAGGTGGAACGCACTATTACCGTGTCGACTTCAGTGCTTATCAGGAATCTTAGTCCTTCGGGAACGTTACCTGCGAGACGACGTTGGATGTGGTATCCAAAACTGCCGTTCATGCGCCGACTCGTGTACACCATCGAGCAACCAGCTCACCGAAGCTACAAGGGATGAATATCCTTCGTTCCCCGATGGCCACTTTGTTATGCCCGATACCAACGTTTTCCTATCCCAAGTGCGTTCGAAGCTATCTGTGTAGCCTACCTGGTTTGACGCGGCTCAGATGGACCTCCTGGAATCACCTCTCTTTAACCCGCCTACTATCCTCCTTCAAACGGTCGTGGAAGAAGTGCGACATCGATCTTTGCCCCTATACAATCGTTTGAAAGCGTTGATGACCGCCGACGACAAACGGATATGGCTCTTCTACAATGAATACCATTCGTGAGGGATTCGCGTCTACTGGTTATGGTGCCGTCTTCAACTGAATCTTAGCCAAACAGCTGTCGTTCGCGAAGAGGACGAATCACCCAACGATAGGAACGACAGAGGCAAGCTACCTTCACTGCGAGTATGATTCGAATGCTCAGACCGAACCATCGTTTAGGCATTCGAAAGACCGCCGCATGGTATCGCCAACACATTGAACTCAACCGTCCTCCTGTACGCGGTAAACCTGCACCAAAACGACCGGCTGTCATTCTCCTGACGGAGGACGTCGCAAACCGATCCAAAGCAGAAGACGAGAAGATCGTCTCCATGTCGGGTCCGTTTACTCTATCAACCTACTCATTTCATCAGCTCATTGTCTCCCAGTTCGCAAGTATGTCGAAGGCATGAAAGAGTCAACACAACTCCTGGACTTGCTGGCAGCTGAAAGCATGGAGGAGATTGAACCTACGCGGGCGAGTGGACGCCAGGTTTATTATCCAGAGGTGGGCCGTGGTTATCTCAGGTTGAAAGGCCATTCCGATCTGACCTTTCCCTAGTATCTACCATCGTCGACTCTTCTTGCTGGGGTCAAAGCCGGTCAATTACACCAAGGTCACTTCAATGCCAACCAATACAATTACTTGGAGGGCAGTGTCAATGTCCCAGCGTTTGACCAATCCATTCTCCTCATCGGACGGGAAAATATGAACCGCGCGACTAATGGCGACATCGTTGTTGTCGAGGTCTTCCCAGAGGACGAATGGAAAGCACCCGCTGATGAAGTTGTCGATCAAGAGAGTGAGTCTTTCTGTCTTATGAAACGAGGTTCCATAACGAATGCATCCCCTAGCGACGCTTAAAAATGACGACGTTGAAGATTCGGGCGACGAAGATGATACAACAACTGACCTCGTAGCCGCGAAGGAGTCGAAGGTGCTGTCCTCTGACCAGAGGAGTTCTCGAAGACAACCTACAGGCCGCGTCGTCGGTGTTATCAAGCGCAATTGGAGACCGTGAGCTACCTACCTATCTTAATACAAGACTCACCTCTGACTCTTTTGATCCTATAGTTACGTCTGCCATATTGACAGTTCCTCCCTCACATCCTCAAACAGTACTTCATTGTCAACTCAAACGGTTTTCGCCACTCCTGTCTCTCGCCTTCTTCCTCGTATCCGCCTACGAACCAGACAAGCACCTTCACTGGTCGGCCAAAAGATCCTGGTCTCGATAGACCGGTGGGAAGTGACATCCCGGTACCCAGAAGGCCATTTCGTTCGTGCGCTTGGCAAAGTAGAAAGCAAGGAAGCGGAACAGGAAAGCTTGCTACTTGAATTCGACGTGCCTTATCGACCTTTTGGGAAGGCTATCTTGGACTGCCTGCCAAAGGAAGGGGATCAATGGGTTGTGCCCCCAAAGGATGACAGTCACCCTGATTGGAGAGGCCGAGAGGATCTGAGATATCTCAATATCTGCAGCATTGATCCCCCTGGTGAGCGGTCTCGTAGTCTGCTGTCGTAATGCTCTCTAACGGGCTATAAAGGGTGCCAGGATATCGACGATGCCCTACACGCTAGGAAACTTCCTAATGGCAACATTGAGGCTGGCGTTCGTAAGTGTTTCGTAGCTCACCCACGAAGAGAACATTCTGACGGGCCACAGATATCGCGGATGTCTCCCATTTCGTACTCCCCGACACGCCCATGGACAATGAGGCTGCTTCACGAGGAACTACTGTCTACCTTGTGGACAAGCGTATTGACATGTTGCCCGCTCTACTTGGTACAAACTTGTGCTCGCTACGTCCATTTGTGGAGCGTCTCGCATTCTCAACCATTTGGGTACGGAGCTTTACACCTTGGGATCGAAAACTCGATGTTGATTAGGTTGTATAGGAACTCACCCCCGAAGCTGACATTGTCAGCGTTCGTTTCTTCAAGTCTGTGATCGCGTCCAAGGCTGCATTCACGTACGAAGAAGCACAAATCCGAAAGGATGATAAGTAGGTCCTATTCTTTATAACTATTAAAGCCGTGTTCCTAACCTCGTCGTTAGGAACCTCAAGGACGATATCACAGAAAGTATCCGTCTACTGAACCACCTCGCCATCAAGCTCAAGGGCAAACGAATGGCCGCAGGAGCACTCAACTTGGCTTCTCCCGAAGTCAAAATCCACCTCGACAGTTCAGAATCGTCAGACCCTATCGACGTCGAACAGAAGGAACTTCGAGAAACGAATAGCCTGGTCGAAGAATTCATGTTGTTGGCGAATATCAGCGTTGCGAAGAAGATCCAAGAGACGTTCCCCCAGACGGCTGTGTTGCGACGTCACTTGTCACCTCCGAAGACAAACTTTGAAAAGTTGCAGGATATTTTGCTGAAGAGGAAGGGGTTGAATTTGGATGTGTCTAGCTCAGGGGCACTGGCTTCTTCGTTGGATAATTGTGTCGTATGTCGGGCTTCACTTCCACAGTGTATGGCATGAACTAACGAGACGTTTAGGATCCTGACGAACCGGCTTTCAACACCTTGGTTCGAATCATGGCCACTCGCTGCATGTTGTCCGCGGAGTACTTCTGCTCTGGGAGTGTGAGCAAGGATACCTTTGGTCACTACGGTCTCGCGACACCAATCTACACGCATTTCACCAGCCCTATCCGACGATATTCAGGTATGATATATATCCCCTTGATCACATGGCTCCCACTTACCTACCTGCCTGCAGACGTTCTCGCCCATCGTCAGCTCGCGGCTGCTATCGGCTATACACCCCTCCATCCCTCACTTCACTCCAAGTCCAGGGTTGACAGCATCATGGATGTAATCAACCGTAGACATAAGATGGCTCAAATGGCTGGACGGGCAAGTGTAGAGTTTTACGTCGGACTTGCCCTCAAAGGAAGAGAGGAGAGAGCCAAGGCGAGCAACAGTGGCGAGATTGTGGAAGATGCTTTTGTCATTCGAGCATTCAGGAATGGTCTGGGAGTCTTCATCTCTGCGTAAGTTTTGTCATCTTCAGCTACCAGGGTGCAGTGGCTAACAATAGAATGGATTCTAGACTCGGCATCGAAGGCTTGGTTACGTTTAAAAAGGACATGCAATTCGATGCAGAAAATTACAGTGTGACTGTACAACCGCCCGGTGCTAGTCCCGTCACGATCTCGGTGTTCGACAAGGTCAGAGTCAGATTACAGGTGGAGAAGGACAAGAATACGCAGAGGGGGAAGGTGAAGATGACGTTGATTAGTCCGATTGATACGAAAGACCTGTGAAGAGGGAGATGATGTGAATAGGTGGATGTCGTAGTTGTCGTAGAGGAAGTCGTTAATGCTAAGCTGTGTACACATTTCATCTTTGTTCGTGGACTTGATTGGATGCTACTGTTCTAGGTGGTATCATTCTCATTGGCGATGAATTTGAGACTCGTCATCTTCCCTGTGGTCATATGGAGATTCGACCCGCCTGGAAGGGTCCAATTCGGATCGGTCTCCTGCCCACTCCTTTGGAAAATGAGTCGAAAGCCCCCGGAACAGGACAGAAAGAACGACTTACGGACTGAGGGTGGACGGTGCTCTGTTCGTGGTCCATGGTACGAGTAACCCTCGACATGGGCTTCTCGGGGAGAGTAGGAGGATAGGGTTCGAGCTGGCTGTTTCTTCGCAGTTTCGCTAGGTAGTCTCTGATGGTAGTGGCCACGAGCTGGGGGATGTCATTACGGTGATACAAAACCGAAGCAATGCGGCAACGTACGTTGTGATCATCTTGGGAAGAACCTGAGTAGGCAGCGGCGATAGCAATGGGACAACAGGGCGCATTCTACAGACGAGTGAGGGGTCGATAAATCACAATTCAAAGTGACTGAACACGAAGAACGCACCTCTAGCCAGATCGGAAACGCTGCGTCATGCGTCACAAGCATCAAAAGGGCTGTTCGATCCTCCACGACCCACGAAATCCCTTACCTCCTCCGTTGACGCGAAGATCGCTTTCAATACCCATTTGCTTCGGTGTCTTGCCCATGGCACTCATTCCCTTCTCGACATAGAAGCTTGAATGGCCGGTTCTTTTGACGACGGTGATCATGCCCTCCAAACAACTCCAGCTGTCCAACGACACGTCCCCCACCCCTGCGGGATGCCCCAAGTCGCCGACGGTGCATGAGAAGAGTGTATGACCAGCGATCGTTTGGATAGAAATGACTAGGCCCTTCCCCTTTGCATGGCGCGATGAAGAGCGAAAGCGTTTTCTAATAGACAGGCCCTGTCAAGTGCAATAGCTATGACGCTGGTTGAAAACACGATCGTTGCAAGATAACTCACCAGAGTAAGTGCCTCGCTGGCATCGAACGACGAAAACCTATACTGGCTTTCTTCAGCTAGAGTTTGAGTGGCTAGTTCAGCGTCGGAAGGGGGCATCGTATGGAATTTGTTGAACATGAGGCCAGCGAAGGCAACTTGGTTGAGAAAAAGACCCGGAGCGAGGATGAGCTTTGTGCGGATTAAAGGGTCCCTTAATACGGGTTTCTACGCAACAAAGACCACCGTAAGCGATGCGTTTAGACGTCGTTTGAAACGAAGACGCGTTGTTCTCCGCTGGAACACGTTTGCAACGAGGCTTTTCGGGCGTCATAAGGCTTCCTTTTACTATGCGGCAAAGGTGCTAAAATATCCGTTTCGATAACGGGTCATGATCGACTCCAAGTTGGGTTTTGGGAATGGCAGGTCAGTCTTTGAACGACATTAACTTGAATCCTTTTTGTCTTTTTATACAGCTTTGCTGGTCGACGTCACCCCCTTCGAGGTCGACCGTTGGATCTATTTTTGGACAGCCTCGGCTTTTACGCCCCGCTTGCCGGAAGCGCCGATGTCGGGTGGTCTTGGCGCTGGCCAGCCCACTTACCGCTGGCCTCTCAGTTTGACCCCAATTCCCATTCCTTTTGTTACCAGCTCTTGAATGTATAGAGTGCTAGTGATTCTGGCAATTTCGCGGTTACATCTTCCCTCGAATCCCTCGGCGTCTACAACACAAGAAATGCGGAGTGTCCAAAAACGGTAACCTCGCGTCGCGTAGTACTTAGTAGTGCAGCTGGGCGTGACCTCATGTTCTTCCCCACGTGAAGTCATCCAGTTCGCCATAGAGCAGGATCGAATGGCTCAATAGGCTTCTCCTGTGAACACTTATCACTGACCCAGGGCGCCGTGTCTCCACGAGACTATAGTTTCGCTTCTCAGGTGCGTAGACTCGGTCGTCATCACGCCGGGCATGCTAGATAACCCTGATTATCCTGCCTGCAGTATCCAAGTCGGGATGTCTTCCGACTTTTTGGTCGTCCCTACAATTCTGGTCACTGGCTCCCTTCACTTCGTCCAGGTTCACCAAGATGCTCGAGCCCACGATGTTATTGACGCTGCGCTGAAGTTGGAAGGAGTCAGAGAGGAGGTCCTTGGCGATCTCGATGATATGGGTTGGGCCCTGCAACATATACGGACGGAACAGTCTGGTCGTACTTGGGAAGAGGACGAACTTATGAACCTTGGAGACGGTTTGTCCATCGTTGTCCGACTTGAATCTCGCTGACTCCTAGGTCCCAGGCATAGTGCAGAGTAGTACTGCAATCGCCCCTCTCGTGAACGCTCCTCATCTCAAGAGCGAATCTGGGATCCGCCATTTCTCTGCATTTCCTAATACCGCCCATCTACATCAACCGGTCCTTCGATTGGTCTCCCTCAACCCGTCCCTATCGCTCTCTGTTCGCTTTCAACGCGTCCCCGAGATACACGATGATTTCGAGTACAAACTGTTCATTTCAAGGAGCACTACCGTCCTCGACCTTGTCGAAACCGTGATGGAAGAACTGGGTCTACCCAAATCAATACCTATTCCAGGTGCAGGGAACTTGGAGTATGTCCTTGAGGAAGTCTGGACAGATGGGCCGTTGCAAAGTACGTTAATCAGACACACAAAGTGTTTTCCAGCTCTGATTACAGTACAGAGGCCACTCGAATGCCTGGTTCAGCCAACTTACATGAGCTGCTGAAATTCCATTTCACTCCAAATCCTTTCAGTCCCGCAGCAACACGGAGCTTCACGTTCTGTGTACCTGAGGAATGGTACCGTCGCTCCAAGTCACGTAACGTCTCTGCCAATTCGACAGAACCATCAGAATCTACGCTACGACGGCTCGCTTCTCTTCAAGAGTCAGACGAGAGTGAGGAAGGCGAGGAAGGTGATGGTACAGCCAAAGCCGCCAACTCTCCGCAGGTGCAGCAGGCAGGTAGCCCGAAGCTCGTCGAGCAACGCGGCTTGGTGACATCCCGTCGTCTCTCAAGCATGTTCGATGGATGGCTGTATTCGTCGCCCCCGTCAACCCCTGAGAGACGCGACTCTACTGTTTTAGCAGAGAATAGGAAGAGTATTGTGAGCGAGCCCAAGTTGGTGCAGCAAACGCAGGACAACCTGCTGTACCGGAGCAACTCAGCCTCTTCAGATGAGCCAGGCACCCCTTCCGACTTTGACGAACAGTTCGAGGCCATGTTGGTCTGTACATTCTTGCTTTTGGCGCACTATCTAGGGTCTGACGAAGATTACAGGACGAACTGGGCTTGAAGGAAGCAAAACGCGTTGCGATGCGAGCATTGCCCACTCCTCGCAAGCAATATCTCTTGCGGCAGAATCAAGAGTTTCGTTTAAGCTCACAAGCAGGGCCATCTTCTCCCACCCCCTCCCGCCATAAGCATCAGCCCTCATATTCGCAATCCTACGGACCTGCTAGCGCCGGCGCTCTCCTTCCCCGCCTAGTACCCCAGCTTACTGGTGATGCTGGGATAATGCGCCGTTTCTCTCTTACTGGTTGGGGCTCTTTGGCGTCCGACTCCACTCACACGGAACAGAGCACAGAGTCCATCAGCGGCCATGTCAACGATATGAACCGCCTCCCTGACACTTCTTCTACATCTGCCGAAGAACAGGAAGAAGCGCAACCCCTGCAGCCTCAAACCACTGGAGGACTATGGAGTAGTTGGTGGACTTCATCGGGTGGCGACAAGTCGACTACCGATAAGGCCAAGAAACGCGAATCATCCAACACCGCAAAGTCGTACATCGCGTCCATTCAAGGATGCAAGACGCCAGATATGAAGCTGGTTAAGCACCTTATCAGCCTGCGAGTCCATCTGTCTACAGCGAAGGTGGCATTCATCGAAGAGTTCGTGGTTGCTGAACGGGGCCTTCAAGTGCTGGGCCAGTTGCTAGCGGCAATGGTTGGGAAGTCTGGGAAGAGGAAGCGCCTGACCGAGATGGAAACCACTGTGTTGACAGAGTTGATCAAGTGTTTCCGAGTCTTGCTTAATATGGAGGTAAGCTTGGTATTGTCATGAGTGAGCAAGCTTCTAATCCACTATGTAGATTGGCTTTAACGAAGTCTTGACCTCCCCGACTGTCATTACTCACATATCCTATTCCCTCCACACTCTGTCGCTAAAGGTCCACACCCTAGCCGCTGAGCTCCTGGCAGCTATATGTATCCTCTCGCTAAACGGGGGTCACAAAGCAGTCCTATCGGCTCTCTCTGACTTCAAGGTCGCCTATGAAGAAGACTTCCGATTTGAAACCCTCATTTCCACCCTTCGTCTACCGGATATCGACGTCGAAACGGAAAGTGACAGCGGAGGTGGTTTTGGGAACGAAGAAGATGGTGTCTGGGAAGCACGAACCGCGTCCATGGCGCTCATCAATGCTTTGACGAATTGCCCTGAATCGCTGGAGGAGAGGATCATGCTTCGAGACGAGTTCTCGCGGAGAGGGTTGAATGAAATCATTGTGGTATGTTGATCATTCAAACCTACGGCAATATAACGCGGGGCTACAGTTAATATTCATTCATAGACTCTGCGCTACATCAAACCCCCGGATTCCTTACTCACACAGCTAGACGTATACACGGAGGAGAAATTCGAGGATGAAGAGGACATGCGGGAGAGAATACGAAACTCGGTCATGCGTGGCTCGACTGGCCACGAACGGACGGGGTCAGATTCAGAAGTCGTCCTCCAGGACTTAATTCTGCTTGCGAAGCAGCACGGAGACCTGTACCCGACTATGATCGACATCCTGCGGCATTATAGTGATTTACTTCAACGAGAAGTCGGGATGTAAGTGGAGGTCGTCATGTTCTACATCGAGTACTTACGCGCCGTTTTAGACAACTCAAAGCTGACCTACTCACAATTCTGGACCGTTTCGTCGAGCAGGCTGCTAAGTTGGAAAACTTGTAAGTGACTGCCTTCACCGAATGAAGCAGCGCCTCACCTTTCCGCAGCAATGATAATTGGCATGATTTCCTCAAACGATTTGCTGCATCTGTGGAGCACATTACGGGCCAAGAACTCGAAGTCAAGGCTGCCGGGGAGACCTCTGATAAGGTCGTCGAAGAGGAGCTCGAATCCCTGCGTAACCAGGTTGAGGAACTGAGCGAGGAGGTAAGCGCAAGAAACTCGGGTGTTAACTCTGTGTCCTGACCATCGGCTAAGCGGACTACACTTCGGGATGAGCTCAATCAACGGATAGCGGAGATGAATACCTTGAAGTCTTTGCCTCCTTCCATTCCATCCCCTCAAGGTAAACCGGTTGGAAAGGGTGGAAACGAGAACTTCCACGGTTTGGTCCAGCGGCTAGTACAGAAGGAGAAACAAGTCCTTCAATTGCAGACTGAACTCGAGCGGTTCAAAGTTCAGAACCCTGAGGGACGCGATGCGGTAGGAAAATGCGGTCGTCTCCATGCTATCAAGGGCTGACCAACGTAACCTTGCAGGACGAGAGAGCCAAACGGGAGCGAGATAAGATTAAATGGAATACGCTTATGGAGGAGATTGCTAAATTGAAGCATAAGGTTTGTGTTTATGCAGTGGGCGTGGATCTTCCTAATTCCGTGTCAACTCCAGGTCGCAGAACTAGAGACCACGCTCGGGAGGAAAGACAAGGAAATCTCCTACCTTAAGCGTGCACTTGAATCTGTGTACCTGCGCTTCTCTTCCCGCGAGGAGTCCAAAGAAGAATCCAGGAACGGGGATGTTGATGCCGAAGCCATTGCTACCCGGGCCATTGACCGCCTAACACAGGCGGAAGAAGAGATCGCTGCTCTCAACGTTCAGATATCGGACCTGAAGGCTCAGTTAACAGTGAAGCCGAAGAGTGAACAGGAGTTCAAGGTCAAGTCGCCACCACCTCCGCCGCCTGTAAAACCACGACAGAGCGCACAATCACCACCTCCGCCCCCTCCACCACCCCCTCCACCCCCTCCAGCGCCGCATATGTCCATGGCACCTTCGATATGCTCGATGCCTTCGCCACCACCTCCACCACCTCCGCCACCTCCGCCACCTCCCATTTTGTTTTCCAGTGGGAAAACAGCACCCCCTCCTCCTCCTCCTCCACCTCCACCACCACCACCATCTACGTTGCCCGACGGCAAAGGCCCTCCGCCTCCACCACCTCCACCTCCTCCCCCGCCTGCTCTCGGGGGATCCGGACCTCCACCACCCCCACCTCCTCCAGCACCTGGTGGATGGAGACCGTCGAAACTCAAGGTCGTCCGTCCAGCGAAGAAGCTGAAGCCCTTTTTCTGGAATAAACTGGCCAAGCCTTCCCTCGAGGCAACCATCTGGAGTGACCTCTCTGCAGACCTGCCATTCGATCTATCAGACCTGGAAAGCACTTTCATCGTGGACAATACTCCCGCAACTCCCTCGCAAATCACTTCCCCCAAGAAGCAGAATGTGACCACCGTCTTGGATATCAGTCGGGCAAACAATATTGGTATGGAATCTGACTTTCTAATTTCGGGTAGGCAACTGATGATTGGAGCTTTTAGCGATCATGCTTTCGAGGATCAAGCTAGACTTGCCTTCGATATGCCGGGCCATCCTGGAACTGGATGACCGGCTGCTCTCTGTTGATGATCTGAAGGCTATTGGGAAGCAACTGCCCACTCCGGACGAAGTACGAATGGTTTTGAAATATGCGCGGGGAGTTGCTCACGCCTAGACCTCAGATTGAACGTATCAGAATCTTCGACAATGTAGAGAAGCTATCCAAAGCCGACCAATACTTCTCTCAGATTATGGATATCCCTCGTCTTCCCGAGCGACTGGAGTGTATGGCGTTCCGCCGGAAAGTCGACCTCGAGATTGAAGAAATCCGACCGGACCTGAACACTCTCCGGAACGCTTCTCGTGAGCTCCGAAGTAGCTCAAAGTTTAAAGCACTCCTTCAGGTAACGTCGTAATCCGTCTGTTCCTGCGGGGAGGTGTTAATTATATTGTTGTCCAGGTCGTTCTGACGATCGGTAATTCACTGAATGGTAATACTTTCCGGGGTAACGCGAAAGGGTTTCAACTGGACTCATTGCTAAAGGTCAGAAGCTCAGTGGTTTGTGTGTTCGGAATAAATGCTGAGAGAGATACAGTTGAAAGAAACGAGGACAGTTAATGGGGGACCTCATTGTCCAACTTTGTTGCATTACCTAGCCCGTGTTCTGATGAAGAAGGACCCTTCTATCACCACATTCATTGAAGACCTTCCGAGCTTGGAGGCTGCCGCTCGAAGTACGCCGAAGCCCCTCCCTCCTGACGTTTTACTAATGAGGTCTCCCCAGTCTCTGTCCAAACGACTATCCAAACGGTCAATTCCCTGGTTTCTGGATTCCAGTTGGTCCAGACCGAGTTGGATCAACATCAACGTTTGAAGTTGCCCCCAAACGATCGCTTCGTGCAGGTGATGCAGGTAAGACAGGGTGTTCAAGGGCCTGGGATTCTTGGCTAAATAATGGTCTACAGCGCTTCGTCAAGGAAGCAGGGCCGGCGGTGGACGCTTTGAAGAATATGGGCACGTCAGTGGAAGGCGAACTGCAGTCACTTCTCAGTTATTATGGAGAGGATCCACAGTCCCCCGAGGCTCCTAAACCAGAGGATTTCTTTGGCATCATCGCCTCGTTTTCGTCGTCGCTTCAGAAATGTGCCCTCGAGGTCCATGACGCGGAGGCGAAATTGGCAAGCAAGGCACCCACACCTTTGGTGACAGTCGAGAAGCCATCAGAAGAGTCTGACGAGGACAAAGGGGTACGTTTTTTCTCTTTCAGTTGGCGAATCCCGGCTCACCCCGTTCTTAGACACTCAAGCCTCCTGGGAATGCAACTGAGCAGGCTGGTCCTCCTTCGTCGTACTCGAGGGCAAACGCCCGCGATAAGCTCTCCGTGGGCCGTGGGGACTTGGATCAAGCGATACGGAGCATGCGTGAAGGGAAACGCAGAAATCGGCCCACGCGACCCCTCAGCAAGATATTTTTTGATGGATCAAATGCGACCGGAAGACGCCAGAGCAGGGTTTACGACGAGTGAAAGAGAGAATGTAACCTTTACGAGTGTATATGACGATCCAGTCCCCAACTACATCATTTCAGGACATCATTTCATATCCGGGACACTGTACTAAGCTTAGCATTAGAGATTAGAATGAAATTGATTTTGGGCATGAGTCTGAGTCAGGCTGGGAAAGCAGGGGCCTGATGGGTTTAAATTTATTTGGTAAGATTCCAGGCTCTCACCGTGTCACTCGCGGAAAGACTGACGACCAGGTCTTGACTGTTCCTCGACATCCTCCAGTGCATATTCTCACCCCAAGTCTATCTCTTCAACAATGCGTGAAGTCATTTCCCTCCATGTTGGCCAGGCTGGTGTTCAGATTGGTAACGCCTGCTGTAAGTACCCGATTTTGTCGTCCAGGCCTCGTCGTCCTCACATTCATGCCACAGGGGAGCTTTATACCCTTGAACATGGTCTCAATGTACGCGTTTTCTGTCATAAATATCTCTTCTGCCCACTAAACCGCAGCGATCAGCCCGATGGACGCCTCGCAGAAGGCTCGCCATCCGCCTCAGACAGCGGCTTTTCAACTTTCTTCTCCGAGACTGGCTCTGGAAAACACGTACCACGGTCGCTCTACATCGATCTCGAGCCCGGATGTATCGATGAAGTGAAGAGCGGTCCTTATCGCTCTCTCTTCCACCCGGAAACCATGATCGCTGGCAAGGAAGACGCCGCCAACAACTGTACGTGACGCGAAGTCTCATTTCTGGGGGATCATCGCTAACATCTACACAGATGCCCGTGGTCACTACACCGTCGGAAAGGAACTCATCGACCCTGTCATGGACAAGTTGAGGAGATTGGCCGACAACTGCGATGGCCTCCAAGGATTTTTCGTCTTCCACTCCTTCGGTGGAGGAACTGGCTCTGGTTTCGGCGCCCTTTTGATGGAAAAGTTGTCGACAGACTATGGCAAAAAGTCTAAACTCGAGTTCTGTGTCTACCCTGCCCCTCAACTCTCCAGCTCTGTCGTCGAGCCTTACAACTCTGTCCTCACCACCCACACCACTCTCGAGCACTCTGACTGCTCGTTCATGGTAGGTCTATGACAGGTGTGTCCCCGATATGACAAAGACTGACGATGGGCCTTAGGTCGACAACGAGGCTATCTACGACATCTGCAAGAAGAAGCTCGGTGTTACTTCCCCCAGCTTCTCCAACCTCAACCGCCTCATCGCCCAGGTCGTCTCCTCCATCACTGCTTCCCTGCGGTTCGATGGTTCGCTCAACGTGGATCTTAACGAGTTCCAAACCAACTTGGTCCCGTAAGTCAAGTTCACTGAGATCCATGGGAGGTATTCTCACTCGTATCCTTGTCCCCAGCTTCCCTCGTATCCACTTCCCCTTGGCTACCTACGCTCCATTGATCTCTGCAGATAAGGCTGGCCACGAGCAGAACACCGTCTCCGAGATGACCTTCTCTTGCTTCGAGGTCGGTAACCAGATGGTCAAGTGCGATCCCAGAGAGGGCAAATACAGTACGTAGTAATCGTGTTTTCCCCCGTCTTTTGTGTTCACAGTGTTTCTAGTGGCATGCTGCTTGCTCTTCCGTGGTGATGTCGTTCCCAAGGACGTCCAGGCCGCTGTCGCTACCATCAAGACCAAGCGAACCATCCAGTTCGTCGACTGGTGCCCTACCGGTTTCAAGGTATGAATAATTGCCGCTGTTTGCATTGTGTTGTCAGGAAATAACCACTTTATGCAGCTCGGTATTTGCAACGAACCCGCTGCCTGCGTCCCTGGAGGTGACCTCGCAAAGACCAGCCGTAGCTTGTGCATGCTTTCCAAGTGAGTGAAATCGTCATAGTGCTCGACCGTTTTTTTAATTTATATCGCTTTAGCACCACTGCCATCTCTGCTGCATGGAGCCGCCTCGACTACAAGTTTGACCTCATGTACTCAAAGCGTGCATTCGTCCACTGGTACGTTGGTGAGGGTATGGAGGAGGTAGGTTTGGGTCCATTTAGCTCCCGGGAACTTGGATTGACGACCTTTATCAAGGGTGAATTCTCTGAAGCCCGAGAGGATCTTGCCGCGCTCGAAAAGGACTACGAGGAGGTTGGCACCGACTCTGCCGATGTCGAGGAAGATGTTGAATACTAGAGGCAGCCGACCTTCTTCCTATCTTTATTGGCTAAACTTTACACTTTTCAACCACCTTAGTAAAGAACGCGTTCCCACCTTCTACTTCGCCACTCACCTCGTTTCGTCGTGATCTCTTTCGTATCTCTAGTATTGTTGAAAGGGATCTATTCATCTAGTCTAATGACATTTGTTCTATGCTTATATATCTAACCCTACTGTCTAATGGTGACCTCTACACCTTTCTCCAACACACGGATGGAGACGCTAAAAGTAGAGTTGAGCCCCGGCCGTTCGAGTAGGAGTAGGAGGTGAAACTAACCTTTCCAAGTCTTTGACAATGTAGTCGGGTTGTGCAGCTTCGACTTGCTCTCGAGAGTGTGAGGTCAAGAGGGCGAGGGTCTTGCAACCAGCTGCCCGTCCGCTTCGGATTCCCGATGGCGCGTCCTCGAAGACAAGGCCTGTGTCAGCAATATTAGATCACCCATAGAAAGATTGGAAAGCAGAGAAAATACTGACATCGTTTGGGATCCACGTTGCACCTGGCAGCGCCGATGAGATACGGGTCTGGGTTGGGCTTTCCCTTCTCAACGTCTTCTGCGGCGACGAAGACATCCGGGACTGGGACTCCTGCGACGGCAAGCGCGGATGAAGCATAGGGCTTAGTGGCGGAGGTGCAGATGGCCCAGAGTGGGTTGGGGTGGAATCTTCGAGGTGCAATCTAACCACACCCCCAAGTCAGACTCGAGAATGGATCGATGGGGAGAAGCGATGACCTACTTCTTTCATGATTTGCTCAACACCCGGAAGACGAACAATGCCCTTGCCGCCGTCCTCTGACGCGGAGGAAAGGATGGCTTGTTCGAAACGTACTGCCTCATTCTGAAAGGATAGACAATGGTTGGAATAAAATCCCGTATATGAGGGATCGCGAGCTCATCGTACCTCAAGCTGCACAGGATCAGTCACCCCACAGTAGTTCTTGAGGTTGTCGACGGTCCTAATGCCATGTGCGGCTTGGTGGGCGGAGATCTGAACACATGTACCGGGCGCAGTCACTTCTAACATTGTACTCACAGCTTAGGATGTCATGGACGTCGATGTGTGGATAGCTTTTTTTGAAAACTTTCCAAGCACCTTCAACCCCTGCGGTGGAATCTACCAGGGTTCCATCCATGTCAAACAGGCTGTAACAGTGTAAAATGAGCCGATCGGTGGATATTAATTGGGGCAGGGTGAACTCACAGGGCATCGAAGGTCAATACGATTTCCGACATGACGGCAAAAGACAAAACGATAGAGAAATTGGAGGCATGACTCGTTCGCGAAGTTAACGGGCAAGTCTGATGGAGCAGGAAAAGGTAGGCCGATCATTGATGGGCTTCCAGATTGAGCGACTTGGCGCTTGGCACAGGGGCTGCAGCCAAACAAAGTAGTCGGTGGATTGAATCGCCGTCGTGAGCACGCGAGAGACTTGACACTCGGACTAATTATGCCTCCGCGTAGACGCCCCCAATTCACCCAGGAACACATCGACCAACAGCTTCAGCAGATCCACCTGCTCGACCCTTCATCGTCCTCCGAAAATCTAGAACAGCTGGGCCCAATAATCAAACAAATTCATACAAACCGGCAACAAGAAGCGTACCTCAGGACAGTGCAGGCGCTCATCGACTCCAAGGATGCCGAAATTGAGAAGATATGCAGTGACAACTACCAGGACTTTATCTCCTCCGTATCAACCCTGTTCACCGTCAAAGCTTACACCGACAAGATGAAAGAGAACATAGCTTCGTTGGACGAAAGCGTTGCCAAGCTCGGAGGTGGTTTGGTCGAGAAGAAACGGGCGTTGCTCCAGACAAAGAAGACCGCAGCTAACCTGGATGAGGCTATTGATACCCTCCAGGCATGTCTACGGGTCTTGGACGTCGTTGACCGTGTCGGCGAGATGGTCAGGCAAGGGAAATACTGGAGCGCTTTGAGGGTCTGTCATCTACACCCTTGTGGTCAGTCCATACAATTGAATGTACTTTTAGTCTCTCGAGGACATTCAAAATATGCCTTCAACATCGCTCTCTCAGACGGCGTTCTTTCAACACCTATTGTCCTCTTTGCCCTCACTGCGCGGCCAGATCAAGGACGCAGTAACCGCCTCCATGAATCAGTGGCTCCTGGAAATCAGGAATATCAGCACCGAGGTAGGCCGTCTTGCTGTCGAAGCGATGGAGACCAGGACCAGGAGATGGAGGAGCAGACGGGAGAGGGATCCGTTGCTCAGGATGAGTCGCGTAGGGAGTGCAGTCGAGCTAATAACCTATGAGAAGACTGAATGTAAGTAACTCAGGTTCTACGTGGGTCCGTGCTATTAATGGCCATCTAGTCAACGTTCTGGACAACGACAAGCTACACGTCGATTTCAAACCGCTGTTTGAGTGCATACATATATACACCTCCTTGGATTCATTAACTGAACTGAAACGGTCATATCAAGCCGACAGAAAGGCGAGTACATAGCTCGCCTCATCTGTCTGAATACATTGCTAACTGCCTGACAGGCGCAATCAGACCTCATCCTGCCCAACCCCCTTCCCCTACAGTCGCTTTCTGTACTCACCCAAGAAATCTCCGGCTTCTTCATCGTCGAATCTCATGTCCTGGAAACCACAGGAACCTTCCGTTCCCAGCGGGATGTCGAAGAACTTTGGGATGCTCTCGTTACTCGACTTACAACTGCTGTCGAGGATGCTCTACGCAACGAGAATGACCCTGATACCTTCCTACGCGTGAAAGAGAGTCTGTTGACATTCATCATGACACTCGAGGTGTGTGTTGCTTCACGCCAGGGCTTAATTTGTCTAACGAGGCAATCCTTTCCACAGAGCTACTCCTTCTCTACAACAGCCCTCCAAAAGTTTATCCTCGTTCTCTTCGAGAAATATGCCCAATTGCTGGAGTCCCAATTCAGTACTCGCTTCGAGCAGATTGTGCGACAAGATGACCACATTCCGATGCGAGTCGAGACCTCGAGCGACGTTAGCGCCGTCCTTGACGTTGTTTGGTTGGAGGATCACGAAAGGAGCGAGATCCAAGCGTAAGCGTCGAACGCCATTGGTTTAACCACTATCTGACCGTGTCCACAGTCAACCCGTTCCTCAATCGTTACCCTGGTCGCAAACGTTCTACCTTTGCTGTCAGGATGTAGGTAACCTACCATCACTTGAGCAAAATCGCCCTCACACAGCCCCAGATTCGCTTGTTCATTCAAAAGTTCTACGCGTTTGTCGAAGGCGTCTCACAGCATCATCGCGATATTGACGAGATTCTGAGCAAGGTATGGAAGAGATGGAAGAGGACCAGCGTTAGCTGACCCACCTGTTCCAGTCCCTAGATAACCTTTTGATTAAATACATCAGCGAATCAATTGCTCGACGACTCGCTGGAACCTCCACATTGACTCAAATCGCACAAATCGTCGCCAACCTCGAACACTTCCAACATGCATGTGAAGAACTTGAGAGATCCCTGACGAACCTTAGGTATGATGTACTCTGTCTCCACTTTGACTGGGACCCTGACCTGTCTTACTTAGGTCTACGCAGCGTGGCGGCATCGTCAGACTGACAGCATCTACCTCGTTCCAGAACACCCTTTCCCGATCCCTAGGCCGCATCACAGGACTCATCTCGTCCAAGCTTGACCAGTTCTTCGAACTCTCGGAGTATGACTGGACGCCGTCAACGCGCGAAACGTCTCCGAGCATGTACCTTTACGAACTGGTGAACTGGCTGACCACTGTCGTGGACTCTTTGGTGATCAAGGAATCGTACAAGGACGAGGCCTATAAAGGCGCTCTGGCCTACATCGCGGACTGTCTAATGGTGAGTGTACTGCCATTCTAACGTGAGAAGCTTGCTCTACTAACTCGACGTTGCGTGGAACGTCAGGACTTTTTGTGTGGTCGAGATATCCAGGTCATGAACGAGAACGCTGTTTCAAACATCCTTATCGACATCGACTTCCTGGAAGAAGAACTGAAACGAATAGGAAGGCCGCATCTTTCGTCGGTCTTCACCGAGCTTCGCATGGTAAGCGGATCATTGCTACAGACTCGGTCATGCAATAACGCTAGTCCTCTAGACTGGCTCCATCCCGTTAAATAACACCGTCCAGGAATACCTCGTGCCCGCCAATCGACAATCCTCGTATGCTGCTGTGAAGCCCAAACGACTGCAGGCATTGCTAGACAAACTTGCCAAATATGGAGCCACACAACGGGACTCGGCGCTTCGAGAGCTAGCGGAGAAACGGCGGAAGGAAGCAGACGCTGTAGGCAGAGTGTTCCCCGGTGAAAACCGATAGTAGCACATGCCCGGAACAACGAGAGAAGTACGCTTTGGGATGTATCCGTCTGGAAGTCGAAGAGCTCGATAGATTATGGAAAATCGGATCCTTCTAGAATTGCATGCCCAGCCAAAGTCGTACAGTATCATTGTGCAGCCCAGACTCGCTCAAGATCCAGTGGTAATAAAGGGATGGATATAGGAAAGAAGTGGAATGAAATAAATCAAAGTAATAGAGGATAAACAGCAGGAAATACGTCTCCGGTATCGTGAAGGTCGTTATACACGTAACGACTCATTAGGCTACCCGTAAGTGTGAATAGGGAAGAGGTCGATTAAGTTCGGCGCTTCAAGTTGGTGCTCAACCACTCGAGACCCTCGTACAAGCCGTCTCCAGAGGTTGCGCAGGTGGACTGTGGACAGGAACACGTGTTTTAGCGGACGATGGACTGACACTCCTTGAATGAATTACATACCTGGATATACCAAGTTCGTTGTCTCAAACCGTGGAGACCGAGCTTGTCGGTAATCTCGGCGGCGTTCATGGCGTTGGGCAAATCTTGCTTGTTGGCAAAGACGAGCAGAAGAGCATCCCGAAGTTCGTCCTCGTTCAACATTCGCTGGAGTTCTTCCCGGGCCTCTGACACACGCTCTCGATCGTTGGAATCGACGACGAAGATGATACCCTGGGTGTTTTGGAAGTCTGTTGGGAAAGAGGGATTGATGAGTCAAGGGCACGAGTGACACGAAAGCAACGGTGTGCTTACAATGCCTCCACAGGGGACGAATCTTATCCTGTCCTCCGACATCCCAAACTGTGAATGAAATGTTCTTGTACTCAACGGTTTCAACGTTGAAGCCTTGACAGTGGTATAAGACTCGAGAACCGCTCGAACAGGCCGCTCGGATGCTCACCGATTGTTGGGATGGTGGTGACGATCTCTCCCAACTTCAACTTGTACAAAATGGTGGTTTTACCAGCGGCATCCAAACCGACCTAGAGATGACCATTTAGATAAAGCGCCGCGGCTGATAGGTTTGAATTTGAGATACCATAAGAATGCCTACGGGGGCGGTGGTTAGATCATAAGACAGGACTAGTGACAATCTGGCCACGTACGCATTTCGCGCTTGCCCAAAAGACTGGCGAAGAGCTTGGAGAACGAGAGACCCATTGTGATAGGCGATGTGGGATTTGCAGAGAAGGTAGTGAAAGGGTGAGCAGAAAACGAGTTGGCGGTTGCTGTGGAGGTCAGCGTCGAGCTGAAGATTTGGTCTTGTTGGCGATATCCGTGTGACTTTGAATTGAAGTTCCGACTTGGGAAAGAGCCCCAAACACACTGCCCCGCCTTTTATACCGAGCATCCACAACGACACGTTGCCCGCTGACGACTATGCGATGCGAATCCCATCTCTCGCAGTAAACTGGACAAACGGACTGCGCGTCGACCATCCCTGCGGACCTGTCATTGTGACATCGTCGAGGTAGGGGCATCACAATTACCCATCAAATACGGAACCGATATTGCTTTAATCGCTGTGGAATGACAAGTACAAGCCAGTAACTTGCTGGGATGGGGTATTCTTCTTTCAATTTGTCGAAGGGATCACGAAGTGACTATGTAAGTCAGGAACAGCACGTGGAAGGCTTTCCTCATGGTTGAAACTATTTATAACATTCACATCACCCTTCAACAATCTACATGTCGCTCTCAGCCCTCGTCGCAAGAGGCGATTGCGAGGATAGCGAACGCGGAGATTCACAGCACCAACCCGACACCAGAAAGCTTTGGGATCGGATCTGCGATGTTCTGACAAGAACTTTTGACTTGGGTGTGACTGCATTCGGCGGTCCTCCAGTTCATTTCCAGATCTTTCATCGAAGATTTGTGGATGGCTTAGGAAACCCGCCATGGATTGACGAGCAAACTGTAGGTATTACAGAACCGCAGAATAGTTTGAGAATGACGCCCATTTCAACAGTTCAAGCAAGTCTTTGCTGTATGTCAGGCCTTGCCTGGACCAGCGTCGACAAAGATGCTCGTCAGTATAGCTCAGATCCGAGCCGGACTCTTCCCTGCCTTCTTGGTGTTCCTCTGCTGGTCCCTCCCAGGTGCAGCGGTCATGTACGGACTGTCCCTCGGGGTGCAACGAATGGATACTATCCTCCCTGCGCCAGTTTACGCCCTTCTATCCGGCTTGAATGCCGCAACCGTCGGTCTTATCGCACTATCATCTGTGCAACTCGCCCGAAAGGCCATAACCGACAGACTCACTCGGTTGTTGATCATCCTCGGTGGAAGTGCTGGGATGTGCTACAATGCGATTTGGTACTTTCCCGTTCTCATCATCTTCGGGGGTGTCACCACCGTGGTATGGGATAGTTGGCTTCAAGGATGGGTTGCGGCATTTCGGCAGAGAAGGCTGAAGAGAAGGCATCGTTCTTCCCTCGGCGCGTTACCTCATTCGCGTGAAAGCATCCAGGAAACGACTACACGACTACCAAGTGACTCCTCCGGCGGGCCCCTGCGTGAGGATGAGCTACCGGATCGCAAATCCGACACTACTCCGTCCCTCACACGGTCTTCGAGTATTGCGGTTGATTCAGGACATGGCATCCCCTTCAAGATCGGGCTGACCATAATTGTGGCCTTTTGGGCAGTGTTCGCGACTGTCATGGTCCTTCGCGGTGCACTCAGAACCCCTCCCCTGCTCTTTTCCCTATTCAATAGCATGTTCCTGGCCGGCACCATCATCTTTGGTGGGGGAACGGTACTCATACCCCTTCTCCGAGAATATGTCGTTGAACCTGGTTGGGTCTCTGCACGGGACTTCCTCCTCGGGATCGCCATCGCCCGGTCCCTTCCTGGGCCCAACTCCAACTTTGCCGTTTACCTCGGCGCTCTTACTGCATTAAGCGCCGGTGGGTCCAGGTCGGTGTCAAAAACGCTGCCGGGTGCAGCAGTCGCATTTGTTGGTATCTTCACTCCTGCCATCTGGCTCTGCATAGGTTTCCAGGCGGTTTGGCGTGCCTTCCGTGCTAAACCAGCCGTGGTATCCCTCTTGCGAGGTATCAATTCAACGGCGGTTGGGTTGATATTCACAGCCGTATATCGCCTCTGGGAGGCCGGGTTCCTGACGGAATCGGAGCCCACAGGAACGAGCTTGGGTAAAGAGCCATGGTGGGTGGTCGTGGCAGCATCTACATTCGCGGGGGTAGAATGGTTTGCGGTGCCTCCCCCTGTAGCCATCTTGTCTGGTGGAATTGCAGGTTTAGCTTGGCATGGAGTTGTTCGTCGATGAATTCCTTCAGACTTAGCATGTGTCGCACGTCATTTAGGGAGGAAAATAATAGTTATCTGGACAAGCATTCGATACAGGCATTTAGAGGGAAGGAAAAGGTTAGAGCTACAGTTTGCCACGAAATATTGGCAAGGGAAGGCAATACACAGGTAAGCTTGAAATAAGTAAGAACGAAGGGTGCAATGCTACAACAGGATCAGGGGGGCCTGAAAATAGATAGTGTTGCCTTTTCAGTGCGATAATTACTGGAAGCACCCCTTCTTCAACCCAACAGACCAGCTGCTCTCAGTCTAGAGTTGACAGAATGTCGCCATTTTTGATAGAACCCATTATTCGGGGTGGGGTTGTAGTCGCACAGTTCAAACAGGACCAGCTGTTCATGGAAGCCCGGATTGATCCAGATCTGGTCTCTAGCTGTGGATAACGGTAAGCGCTGGGAAATGCACAAAGGGTGGGTTGTCCTTTACCAGAGCGGACAAATTGCATGGCTTGGGTGGCGTTGACACGTCTGGACCACATGACTGTAAGACGCGTTAATTAACTCGACGCGTCGCGAATGGAAAGAGAATGACCTACTGTAAGCGCATACAACAGCGGCACTTCTGGAAAGTCCTTGGCCACAATGGACCAGCACAACACCACCCGACCTAATGGCCTGTTCGATAAACTGACAAGCTCGAGGTAGGTGAATCAAGAGATCGGCATAGTCAACGTCTTCCACTGGAATACGCTTGTGGGCAATCCCCGATTCAGGTAGCTCGGCAGGTATGGCGTCCGAGCACACCGACAATATATGGGTAATCTGGCGCTCTGTCAAGGAACGCGTAGAGCGGGCTGCCATAATACTAGGAAAGGTGCAAAAGTAAGTTGTCGGTATAGGGATCCTCGGAACACAGGATGGAACACCCACTTTCCCAGGTAGAGTCTGTTTTCAATGATAGCGTTGATGTTCTTCCACTGCGTCATCTTTTAGCTTGTAGGGTGTCGGAGGCTGGAGTTTGAGAGTCCAAGTGACTTGGTTAAATTCTATACCGCGACCATGGCGCCAGTACTTGTACTCTCCCCGTTCTCCTTTCTGTGAAGCGGGAAGTGGACTCTACCGCTACGCAATTTCGATCGACGTTGTTCCCATTTTGGAATTTCCGCCATTGCAGTCAAGTTGTCGAAGGAAAGTGAAAATCCAGTAAACCAGTGCAAGGAACGGCCGATCTCCCCAACCAGATTGGGAGGCGATGCGCACGTGGCGGAATGACAGTTACCAAAAGTAGTAATTCCCTGAGGAAGCGCGCCGCACCCCGACGGTCTCGCTTTTACCGGTCAAGTCGAGCAGTCTATGGCTGTCCTCAGTCTTTATTCCAACTTCTGAAGTCATAGCGTATCTATTTTACGCCCGACCATCACCTGAACAGACGCCCGTCGTGCCTCTTCGGGCTGAGAAGCGGTCCGCGTTCACCACTTCCTATCTGAGTTGCTGCACAGTGTCGACCGCGATAATCGATAGACGTCTGGACTCCACAAAACAATGTTCCCTGCCTGTGGCGTACAGGTTTCCGGCGAGCACTCAATCGTAACGCCAAATGCTGCCCTTGTTCGTCGTAGATGAGTTCGTTCTCTGGTCCCCAAACAATTTGAGAAAAAAAAACTTACGAGACCACCTCCAGCTTCCATGGGTAGGCGCCTCCTGCACAAAGCTTGCTTCAAAAACAACCCTCGACCCTGCCGCAAAGTACTCAGGACATAGATATCGACGTCATGTTGACTCTCCTTGACGGAGCTTGGGTAAGGACCCTTAGATCCTTGTCCCACTCCGAATCCAAGGCCCGTCCCATTAACGCTCCTACGAGGGAGCGATGGGAAACGCCGCAACACGAGGCAGACCACAATATTGTGAGCAATTTCTCGCCTCTGCCAGAAACCCACGAATGCGGTTCATTAATTCTTGGCTAGAGTCCTTGGTTGATCCAGAACCTCCCAGGGTTGTTCACCGATGCATTGTCACAGGGACCCAAGTGCAGTCGTTCGAAAGAAGAGACAAAAAGCCTTTCGGAAAGTCTTCGTTTCGTGACAATCCAAGGTTTCCCGAAGGAGTCATGAACGTTCTCGTTGGTCCCTTGCCTCGTTTTTTCGAGACAACGCCTGTTTGCCTGGTGGTTCCGAGACAGATGAGTTGACACCGCCTGCAAGAGGGAGGCTCGAGGATGCAACGAGGCCAATTAGATAATATGATTGTCTTGATCTCTCAGGGACTTGCGATCCGGGCACCACTGGGCTTTATAAACAAGTGGCCAGTTCATCATTTCTCCACCAACTTCCTATTCGACTCACAACTTTCCTTTCAACTGTTATTCACAGTTTTCCACCATGAAGATCGACTGGTCTAAAGAGGTACGATCCTTTACTTCCGCATGAATGCTGCTCGACTGACTTGCTGTATAGTACAAGGCCGACGGGACCAGAAGGAGCCCTCCCCCCAATGCTTTGCACGGCTGGCTGGCAAAGATGCGAGGGACTCTTGTCGGTAACGAGGAAGTTAGAAGCAAAGTAAGCATTTACTGCTATCTAGGTCGACCCTGTCACTGACTTCTCCATTAGGGGATGCGAGAAATGCGGGATGCTCGAAGGTACAAGGAGACCCAAAGAGCGCGAGCGAAGATGGCAAAGGCCAAAAACGGCGGGGGCGGTTTCCTCTCAATCTTTAGCAAATCCAAGCCCAAACCCCAACCCCAACAGCCTGGCCGCCGACTCACTCGCTCTGACCGTAGCACGAGTTATTCCTCGAGGAAGACACACCAGTCAAGTTCCTCCAGCAGGCGATCCCGTCCTGCACCGCCTTCCCGTCGGGGGACCAACACGTCTTCACGTACCATGCCTGGCGCATATCCTCAAGAATCTAAGTCTTCAAGATCCACTCCTTCTCGCAGATCGAGCAGAAGATAGTCCCCCCATAAACCCCACGTCATTCCACCAACGGCCCCTTATTTACAATCCTCGTACCATGAAACCAACGCCCACTCACGACTAATCCACGAACTCTCCGAAACCATTTGCATCACCATCATTAACTGTAGCACTACACGTATATATATCCACCTGTGTTTTTATTTATATCCTTTTTCGTTCCAAGACCTGTCCTTACTTAGTATCTATCGGCTAGTTTTAGGGTTGTAGACCCTGCTGTAATAGGCATGGGCGCTCTGTTGTAATTCCATCTACAGTGGGCAACAAGTGGACATCATTTCAACTTCTTTTGCTGTGTCACCGTGAGTGAGGGATGTGGAAGGGTGTTACAGATGGTTATTGCTCCGATTTCCAGACCCCCGAATTAAATCTCTCGGTCGTCAGTGACAGAAGTATCATTGTCGAGCAGACCAATCTCAGAAGGTTGTCATCATATCATGACTTTGTTGCGTTCGGGGTCCTGAACGCTGAATGAGCGCCCGCGAAAGCTTCCGCTCGAGCGCCAAGGACAGTAAATGCCATATGAAGTCCCAAGCCGACCGTGTATGTCGGTTTGGGCTGTTTGTTTGATCGCGCGCGCGGGTTTTTCGGCAGCAAGAGGAGTATAAAGCCCTGAAGAAAAGAGATGTCCTTTTCCCAATGGGCGGTACTTCGATACTTCAGCGCAGGCCGTTGATTTTCGAGACCCTGGGATGCCCTCGCAACGGCTATTGGTGGTTCTTCATGTTGCTTCCCTACTCACTTCCCTGATCGTTATTACTTTGTCTTTTACCACCTCTGCCTCCCTCTCGGTACGTTGCAGGAACATCAGAAACGATGTTCGGAATCAGACTGAAAAGTAAATCTTTAGCTCTGGTGTGCACCAGTCTTCGGAATCATGACCTTCGCCTACCATTTCGTCCTCCTGCTCCTGGCCTTCACCCGGCCGCAACTCAAACCAATGTCATGGGCCGGAACGATGGCTATGGCGTACATCCTCAGCTGCTGTTGGCTCGCCGGGTACATCGTCATGATCGTTGTCCGACTAGCGGGGACAGGCGGTGTCCTCGTCCTGGAAATCCTCGGAACCAACTTCCACTTTCCTGTCGGCCACCGCATCCTCGACAAATGGCAGTTCGTTCTCCACGCAGCAGAATGGGTGCTCCTCGGAGACCTAGCCATCAGAACGACAGTCCACCGTCGGAGGTTACTGAAGGAGAAGGGAAAGCTACCTCTATACCATAACAGATCTGACCCGGAAGAGACTATGGACTGGAGAGGATCCACCGCGACGATATCCGCGACATAGATTAGAGCCATTGAGACTAGCCATAAACAAAGAAGATGCTGGTATAATAACCTATAATAATTCACTTTTATCGCCTGGACATTAATAGGATACCGGTAACTCACAGTGTAATCCCACAGTTGAATCATGAAGTTGTCCCGTTGATACTAAGCGCTGTAGACGTGCCGTTTGCATTCCCATCTTCCGCTACATTTTTCTTCTTCTTTTTCCGTCTTCTCTTCTTCTTTTGGCCATTAGACGATGAGTTTTCAGGGACGTTGCGGTTATCGGAATCGCTGTGGTCCGAAAGGTTTAACACTGGTTTCTTGAGAAGCTCAGGGGGTAGCTTGGTCTTATCAGGACTGAGAGGTGCGACGAGAGAGAGATAAGCGGATTTGGATCGTTCGGCTTGTGAAGGCGAGTGTAAATGAAGGCTATTGGACAAACAGAAGGCAAGGAAGGCCAACCTTTAGGAGACGAGGGTCCTGATTTGGGTTGCACTGGAGAGGCACTCCGGCCAGTATCTGGATATTCGACAAGGTGAGAAATCGAAGGGTCAGCCAAGAGGAGTGGATAGCATACCCTTCGCATTTTCCAAAACAGTCGATTTGTTATGTTGAGTCGATGAAGTATCCGACTTCTTCGCCTCTTTATCTGGAGAAATTGCCTCCGCATCCCAGCTAGGCTTAAACGGTGTGGCAAAGTCGGGTGGCGGTTTTGTCTTCTCCAGAAGTCCAACTGCCTTTGAAGCAGTGGACAAACTTGAAGATTTTTCCTCTTTGCCAGGCGCAGGAGTCGACGAGGAAGGTCCAGAAGTTGTGGATGTAGGGGTAGACATCACGAGGAGGGATTTTTTCTTCTTTTTCTTGCTCGAAACATCGAACGGGTCGAACTTGACCTTTTTCTTGATGGCTCCCGACCGACTTTCCTCTTCCCTATCGTCCTCTTCCACAACAGGCTTCTTCGCACCTTCCACAGGCTCGTCTCCTTCTCTCCCCCTTTTCTTTCCAATTAACTGTCCCTTCAACCGAGCAGCCTCTCGTGAAGTATGTTGTGTCGCCTGGGAAGCGCTCGCGCCTACGCCCAGCCTGTGTTAACAACAAGAACCCATAACCTTAGAATTAGAGCCGACTCAAACCAATTGAGAACTTACACAGAAATCCTACCTAGAAGGCCGTTTCGTCGATTCAAGGATTTCGCTCTCGAGGTCCTTGCTCCTCGTACTCGATTTTCCTGGCGTCTTTTGTGGTTTGATCCACGAGCTAGCCAGGCTCTGCGCAAAGGACATCGACAGGTCTATTTGCGCCTGGAGATCCTGGACGTTGATTGAGTCTTCATCTGGTTCTGGGACCATGTTGATAGATGGAGTCTATGGTCCAGAATCTTCAGTGGTGGAGGAGTGGAATCAAGGAAGAACTACGAAATTGATCGGAGGGTATCCGCGCTTTGTATTTTGGTTACTCGCGACTTGCTTGGTCTTTATCATCGACCTCTACAACTAGTAGAATGGACATCAGTATTCCAATATCAGGCAGCTCGGCCCTCAAACGCAAGAGGGACGCCTACGAAGACGATTCTGACGACGAAGTACCGGCGTATGGCAAGCAAATTCTTCCTGTAGCAAGCCTTCCGGACGATTTCGATGGCGAGCCACAAGATGGCATGGAATACCTCTTTACTGTTCGGTGAGTCACCTACTTTATCTGTAGAATGATAACTGATAGGCTGCTAGACGGGATGCTCAGCGTTTACCTGAGATAACGCGTGTCCCCAACCCATACGAGACGAGCAAACCTCTGCCTGAGGTGGTAAGGCCTCCAGGCACGCATCCGTCGCTGCCAACGCCGGAATGGTGTGAACTCTTGGAAACGAGGTTCAGGAATCTACGAAAAGTACGAGGACTGCGAACATTCACCGTTGCTCCCTGCTTGAAACTCACTCGTTCACTATTGCCCTGCAGAATTTCAACCAACCCACGATCTTCGTGGGGCCTGCACACGAAGCACATCGCAAGTACATGCCCGACAAAAAGGAACGAGATATGTGGTGGGCATACCTCGAAGGGAAGCCCGAATCTGAATGGAATATCCCGAAATCCCAGTCCAAGCGGCAGCAGAAACAGAAACAGAGGCAAGCACAATATCAATCACAGTCCCAGCAACAGAGCGCGGACTCGTTAGATGTAGGTGGTGGTTCAAATCAGACACTGAGGGCTTGGGCGGATGAACCTGAGGAGGATGTTGCCCCCACTATCATCTACGAGACTTCGCTTTTGGATGGTAACGACGAGGGAGAGGTTGAGCAAGCGCTGTCCATCGACCCTGCAGAGGGGCTTCCTACGCCCACTGGGACGCCTGGCCCTCCAGATTCTCCTCTTCCTTCCATGTCTAGCGCTGGACCCTCCAGCGACAAGAAAGGCAAATCACCCGTGATGAAACCCCGCGAACCTTCGCCAGTGATTTTGAAGCTCATCGACGAGGTGAGAGGCTTCCCGTCTTCGTGCCGAATGTGGATTAACACGCCCTTCATCTCTATAGCCAACTGCTCTTCACCTCCTTATGTACTTCACTCACTGGCTAAACAGTCACCTTCAGAGTGCGGACAGGAGTTCCTTTTGCCCTCGAGAATCGCACGCCCGATGGATATTCGCGTTGCTCTCAAGAATCGACGATCACATATCCGCAGACGACATGAACTTAATGCGTAACCTCGCTCGGGCGTGCATAGGTCTACTGGGCAACCTCATTGAACGGCGCATTTCACCTAGAATATCCTTGTCGTTGTCAGAGGAGGAGGATGACTCTATGTCGGAAAGGTCGTGCTGGATTATCCTTGCTGTTATCGTGCATGTGTGGAAGCAGAGGGATTTGTGGATGGATGCTGAAGCTGTCCTAGCGAGGTTCCCTGCTTCGTGTTTGTCTTGACGTCTTAATGTCCTAGTACCTTGACATACGCTACCCACCGGTCCCTCTGTGGAATATAATACATTATGATGGAAGTGCGAAGATGCTAATATAAATACAATTCATGCCCCGTGGCTCGGGGTAGGTAGTATTACAATATTGGTTCTCGAATCATCTGATGGTAATAGAGGTTCAGAATTAGCGCTCCTAGCGGGATATTGCGATTGAGAGAAACTTACGATTTGGACAATAACTGGTTTTTCACCCCAATCCGGGTTTTGGTCCCCGACAACAGCATTCCCGACAGACTTGAACCCATGAGAGTTGTAGAAAGGTTCATTGGCAATGTTACTGGACTCTAGCCAACATGCTACTCCTAGTATGTCTGCCTGTCCAAATGGCACTTTACGTTAGCCAGTCATTCGAGAATTGGCAACCAAGTAAATGGCTTACCAGGCGTGTAATGGTGTCAAGTAGTGCACTGGCATAACCTCGCCCCTGGCTTTCAGGCTCTGTGCAGACGAGGGTAACATGGATCATGTCGTTCTGCCGAGGCGCAATCTTCTCGTCTATGATCGGCCTAAGCTTGTCCCTAACCTCTCTCTGCCTCTGCAGGAAAGAAAGTTTAGAGTTGAAGATCTGGGAATGCTGGAGTTTCATTACTCACTCTCCGCCTCTCCCTGGGGGATATCCTCTCACTGAACTTGAGTGTAACGTTAAGCAGCCAGTCAAGGAACTTGTCTTTAGGGCCTCCGGGGCCTGTTGACGACGGGGCCGGAGTGCTACATTAGATGGTCAAAGTCAAGTCCAGGCTAGCCGGGAGTTTGAGTTTAACGCACGCAACGACCAAGGAAGCGCCTCCATTAATAGTGATGGCGATCTTCCGACGGATCCAGCCAAGGAGCAACCCTGACATGAACACCTTTTGCGCCTTAGCTTCACGAGGGGTCAGGGGTTTATTCTAAATGCCTCTCAGTCAAATGGGTCGTAGAGACCGTCTGATAAGACTCACATCACGCAAGTACCGGATTAGAGGGTCATTAACGAATGCATTGGTCCACGTTGTAGCAGCCTTCCACACTTCCTCTGAAGGTTTAATGGGGAGTTAATATCGGGAGGCAGGAACAATGGGGCCATCAGGTATGGAAACTCACTATCTTGAAGAAGTGTGACCTCGAGTTCATCGTCCAGCTCGAGCAGGCTTGACCAGAATTGGGTATTTCCGTTGGATGACATGCTGAGGTGGCTTCAAAGGGTAGGAAGTGAGCTGGAAAGAGGGTAGAAAGCCATTGCTGCGCTCGACCCCTTGTCAGGCTTTCCGCAGCCTGCGCCGCAGCTGGCGTTGATGGGGTCAAGCTCAGGTTTCCCAAGTGCGATATAACCTCTGCTATTACCGCATGGTGGGAAGAACTGAGAAGATCGTAGTGTCGAGGGGTATGTTTAGTCCCTCGTCCGCAGAAAGCCGAGGCAGGCGGAGAACGTGCGCTGAGTCCACGTCCAGAATTCAAATACCTATCTTGGGTGGAAGCTTCTGAGACTAGAAGCGGTGACCTTGACCTGCGAGCTGCGTGGGCGAGATGAATGAAATGGACACTTGCAACAAATCACCAACGTGTCAAGGCCCTGAGGCTTGCAGATCAATCGAAACCTTACGGTATTCGGTCGAGGGTATGTTCGAAATTGAATAGTCAGTAAGTTATGGTACTTACCGTGTGGACTGGGGTCAGATAGGGTAAAGGACTTCGAGGAGACACATACTTAATAGTATCTGTGTCATTTTGTCTTAGACTATAGAACAAAACGCAGGAGGTGGAGCGAACAAGGAAAACAAATAACAAGGGCTGGACTCGTGGCTGTGCCGTGCCCCTGAGTGTGAAGAAGACATCTGACAGGGTTAAATTTTGAAGGTTGGGGTTAACCGTTGACAAGTTGCAAAGCGAGTAGTATAAAGCTCGTCCTTCACTTTCCTTTCATCCACGTTCTTTCCTTTCTTCGATACTCAAGGTCCAACATGCGCGTCGTCCTCGCCACCTGCCTCGCCTACGCCGCCTCTGCGCTGGCCTACACCGTCCTTGTTCCTAACCAATCCGAGGGCTGGACAGACCATGGTCCTCAACCGTGAGCCCAACTCTCTCCGTTGTCCCCTCGTGTTCATCGAATTAACTTTTGTTTCAGCTTCGTCTGGCACCGTGATCACACTGACCGAGCCAACTTCACCGTCGTCCTCACCAACCCTGTAGGTCCCTTCACACGCACCCTACCCCTGTGACAATATTCTCAACTTCTGTGCAGAACAGGGACTTGATGCCCTTTGACCAAGTTCTCGCTGCTTTGGTCGATGGAAACCTCGGAAACACCACATTGAATCCGCCCAGTGCTGGTTGGCCCGCCCCTGGACCCAACTACCGCCTCAACATCATTGACAGCACTACCAACGAAACCGTCCTCGCTTCTTCCCCAGCCTTCGACATCGAGCATACTACCGTTTCTCGATCTTCCACCATGTAAGTGTCAATTAGCCCAAACCTTTCGGTCAGAACCTTGCATTAACCTTCTCTTCTAGTACCTACCCCACTACCGTTATCAGGTACACCCAGACCGAGCACCCCAACGCTATCCCAACCGATGACACTTTGGGAGGCGACGATAACGGCAGCGCTACCTCTTACAACGTTCCTGTTGCTTTGGCTGCCTTCGCCGCCGCCGTCCCTGCCCTCTTCCTCTAAAGGGTCGAGCAACGCGCGTGACCTTTTGGCTCGTATTCTACTCTCTGGAGTCTGGACTGTAATCACTGCGTATTGGACCCTTCTATCGCTCCAGGTTATCTATGCTTCCGCTCTGTCTTATTAACTTGTCCTGTCGATATGGCACATACTACGTTTTGGCAATGGGTATACCACTAGTTCCTTTGTTCACGGATTTGTTCTGAGACGGTCTCTTGTTTGTTGTAAGTCAACTGTGTACAGTAACGCTCTTTAGTATCCAACTCGCTGTATTTCTGTTGTACCCTGGTCCTCGACGTGGATGGTAGAACCCTTCCTCAACATGCGTACCCCTGACGATGGCGATGCTTCTCAATTTGGCCCAACCTTTATGTCCATTCTTTGACACCATTCGTTCCAACTGGCTGCAGGAACATGATGCTGATACGCTTTGCAGCTTCATCGGCGATGGATGCTCGTTGGACGTTAGTAGTGCCGGTAGCATCGATGAGTGGGGCACCATCATACCCTCTGGCCCCTCGGACTCGTTCCATCTTATGCCAATGGTACGATGTCCAAATCGTCCGGCAAGCGCCCCGAATGGTGCTAACGGCACTCACCGAACTAGATCCATACCCTGAAAGCTCTCGGGTCAGGAGGAAGGATACTAATAAAGGGATCGACCACTTGGCTGGGTCAGTGCTCAGGTCGATGGCTCGGGTCATGGTATCAAAAGCGCCGCGATTGCATTTCGGCTCGAGTTACATGCAACTGCGAAAAGACAAAGGCAATGTCATTTCCGAGACAAGTTTCTCCATTCAATCAGAGGTCCCGGGATTCATCTTGCCATCCGGGACCTAAACATAGGCACTGCGCAACTTGGTGGCTTGGTTCTGTCGCCTACAATCATGGCCCCGAGACCTTTTACGATTGAAAACAGGTAACATTGTGATTCCGAGCCACCCAGCGCAGATCTCTGGCCATACTTTGGGTACGCACTTGGACCTACAAACTTCCACAAATTTGAAGTACGTGTTCTGGAAATAATGCTGGGACATAAAAAGGAATAGGGTGTCGATTTAACTTGCCGCTTGCAGCAGTATGGCGGGTCTCGATTTTGCTATTTAGTTGATTATCCGATAATAATGATTTTATGACGCAACCCGAAAGGACGAATAGGCCACAAGCTCGCGACACGAGCCCGACAAAACCATTCGAGAAGCACTTGGCGAAGGTGGGGAAAGGACCTGTGGCCCGTAGACCGGGTTAAAACTGCTTTTCAGAGGCGTAAACATCGTTCATCTTCATCGATAGCGCTGATTAATGAAATCACGGCTCGCTGCGAGCCAGCCCCCTTTCGTCAGTGCGACGTTTCGACGGCTACGCCAGTTAAAAAGGCTAACAGTTCAGTTGGCCTGCCCCAGAAACGCAACGCTACGCACCGACACTACCATGGAAGCTCGACGCGCTCTCCTAGGCGAGCTCATTGCTATCCATGCCGCGCGTGGTATGGATGGCGAATTTGGAGCGATGCTCCGGTCATGCTCGTTGGTCTGCAGGAATCTGCACTCCGTCGCATTATCCCACATGTTCCATCACGTCCACCTATCCAACCGCAACCGGGTCAGGAAGCTAGTAGATCTTTGTCGCCCGTCCAACTATCCCATACGTCGTCAAGGCGCTCAGGAACTTCGGTTACCCAACCCTCTCACATTCATCCGCTCGGTCAGTCTTACGACCTACGGGGACGATGATGTAACCTGGATGGAAGACGAGCCTCGCCTCCCCGCTCTCCTCCATGACATTCGAATGCACGGTTTGAAGGGAAGAAGCATGGGTCAGTTCCGTTTGTCGACAGAGCAAGGTTTGGCGTGGACGCGGTGTTCTGAGGCGCTTCGCCGGGGGATTGCCGATATTATTTGCAGCAATCCACCTGCATCCTTGGAGCTCAGTGGCATAGACGACCTACCCGAGAGCGTACTCCTCCAAGGAGTGATGCGTTCGAGGGTGGTGCATGTCGAATGTGTTTCCGTGCAACCTTCGCGGGACGATCGCGAAGCCACCGAATTGGCAATCGGATTGCTATCGGCGCCAATACAGGAACTAAGCATCATTACGTCACCTGGCGTCTTTCCGATACTCGCGAGGTTCCTGGAGAGTTCGGGAAAGGGCAGATTGAGGGGAGTGAAGAGGTTGGTCGTGGGTGATATCGAGTTTCAGGAGCTCCCATCGACACTCCGAGTCATCGAACGCCTCGTGGAAGCTGGGTGTGCGATAGAGAGTATTGCATTAGCGCCCATTTTAAGCCTCGGTAGGTTTCCGCGACCCAATATCTGACCTTGATCTGAGCCCATTGTCCTTCTTTCCCGCAGACGAAGAAGACGCAACGGAGTTCGAAAAACATGATACATCGAGTTTACCACCCGACGTGTTTGGAACACTCCGCTATCTGGACGTGGAGTTTCAATCGTTGTATGCGGATTCGGAGGGTAAGCGATCGATAGCTATCGTGCTAGAGCAGCTATTCTCCCGCGTGGCGCAAGCGTGGGCGCCATGGCATCAAATCGACAGAGAAGACACAGCGAGACGACCGAGCTTGAAACACTTGGTCGTGCGCGTATTCATGCAGGAGGAGGAAGCTGAAGAAGACATGGCGATAGCGTTGTTGGAGGCCGAGGGTTCATGGAGGAATCTGGTTGCCAGTCTTGGGTGTCTCAATCCGGTGTTGGAGCAGGTGGATATTCGAATACTTTGTCGTTCATGTCAGGACTCGACCCTGGGAAGAACCCTCGAAGCAAGACTCCAAGGATATTTCGCTTGCCTGAAGGTCGAAAATCCAACATTGGAGTTACAGTGCGAAGTTGTAATTCTAGGGAGCAGGGATTGAAACCGCCGCTGTTTCGTGGTGGTAGCATGTCAACCTTGAGCGCTTGATCTTTATTTCTATCCCCGGCCGGCCGGACAATGTTCCCATCACGTGAGAGACGGGCGTTCGTTGCCGCGATCTATTTATAGAAAGATAATAATAAAGTATATAAATTCTCAGTAGCGGAATACACGAGGCCATTCATAATCCCTTGATTTTGCTTAAATATTTGCTTCCTCGTCCTTCCTTTCCTTTGACCATCACCATGCGAGCCTTCTTTGTCCTCTCTGCCCTTGTTTCCACTGCCCTCGGTTACCTAGTCACCCGCCCTAACCAATCTCAGGGCTGGACAAACCAAGGCCCACAGACGTGAGTGTCAGCCTCGTGACAATAGTGTCGATATTGACCACAAAGAAAGTGTACACTGGGAACGTGTTTCGACCGACCCCGAGACCTTTGCTCTCGTCCTCACCAATGTGGTGAGCCCTTGTTCGCTACAGCTCAAAAGATTACCACTAACGATTTCATGTGAACAGAACAGGGACCTCTTACCTTCTGACATCGTGCTCGCCTCCTCTGTGGATGGTACTAGTGCAACTTCTTTCACGGTCGAGGAACCCGAAGGAGGGTGGCCCGCGCATGGAGGATCTTATCGCGTGAACCTCGTGAGGAGCGAGCGCGAACTCAACACCATTTTGGCCCAGTCAAGCGAGTTTAACATCACCGCGTCCTCTTCTACGCCTTCCTCCAGCAGCCGTGGAGCGAGTGTCAGTGGATCTGTCACGCACGCAGCGCATAGCTCTACTGCATCGTCGACGGCCACGCGTTCGAACACCATTGCGTCTGGGTCTGGGTGAGCTTTGTCCCCTCTCTTGTTGTAACTTTGTAAAAGGAGTCCCACTCAACGTTCGTTTTAGTGTCCGGGAAGAGGAGGCCGTCCAAACCAATGCGGACGATGATATGGTCGCCCCTGGATCAGGGTCCGCTTCTAGCCTTCACCTCCCCGTCGTTCTCGCCGGGGCGGCTGCTTTGCTCGGAGGCTCGTTGGTGATGTAACTGCACACCTCAGTTGTCACAGAGAAAACCATATACGTCTCCCATTTTCTTGGACTCTGCACACACATTGGACATTTATGATACATATGTACACGATTCTTTGATCTACGGACTCCGCACATAGCCTAAAGACCATTTGTAATAGAGTCATTCCATTAGACCTTCGATTTGGAAGATGGACATAGTTATGGCAATTCATCTGCTAACTACTCCATACCAGGCGAGACCCGCGATTCCACCCGTTAGGATTGCCACTGGAGGCGGTACCTTGAACCATTCTACCCCTGTGAAAGTGGATGCAGCCACAACCAGCCACCAGGGTTCTCTGCCCAAGCTTATTCCCGTCGAGGCAGACTCGGCCAAGTACCCGATCTCCCACAGACGATAGACGGCAGTGAACACCAACCCTACAGCGGCGGCATTTACACCTCGCAAGAGAGATGTAACGATGGGTTTCGCACGTAGGGCACGCCAGACGGACTGGAATCCGATGCAAAGCCAGAGTCCCGGGGTGAAGATACCCACAAAGGCAAGCAATGCCCCGGGGAAGGTCGTCGATGCTGATCTGGACCCTCCCGCGCTCAAGGTGGTAAGTGCGCCGAGATACACGGCAAAGTTGAAGTTGGGGCCAGGGAGCGCCTGAATGATGGCGAGGCCGAGGAGGAAGTCTCGAGGGGATACCCATCCGGGTTCAACAACGTACTCTCGCAGTAGTGGAATCACCACCGGGCCTCCACCGAAGATGATGGTACCGGCAAGGAACATGTTGTTGAAGAGTGAGAATAGAAGGGGAGGGGCTTTGAGTGTACCTCGAAGCACCATGACGGTTGCAAAGATTGCCCAAAACACTGCAATCATCGCCAACCCGACCTTCACAGGTATCCCATGACCGGAGATGTTCAGCTTCACAGTGGTCTTGGACGATGAAGAAGTTGATTTTACAGAGGGGGTGACTTCGGCTTTGCGCTGCACGAGTTCTATCCCGTCCTGTTGCTCAGAAGCACCAGCTGGCTGCGGAACGGACTCCATGGTTTGGTTCGCGTTTTGGTCTGCATTACCAAGCGCGGTGGAAGAGCGACGTTTTCGCTTTAAGCGCCTCTGCTGGAGCCTGGCTATCCATCCCCGCATCCAGGTGTCCCACACCACGGTGATTGCACCCGCGCTGATAATGAGCACGGGGAAATACCACAATGCATTGTAGCACATCCCTCCGCATCCACCAAGGACAACCAGCAAGCGTGTAAGCCTGTCAGTGATAGCCTTCCGCGCCAACTGTACAGCGGCCAATGCGATGAGTCCAACCGTGGCTGCGTTCAAGCCAGAAAGGAGGGCGTAAACTGGTGAAGGGAGGACGGTGTCGATACGCTGAACTCCTAAGGAGAGCCCGTACATGACCGACGCGCCTGGGAGGGACCAAAAGAGGAATACGAGGACGGCGGGTATGAGTCCAGCGCGAATTTGCGCTATGCTAAAAAGCATCTTCGTTGACGCTGGCCCAGGCAGAGCTTGGCATACTGCAAAGACCTCTTGGAACTATTGACACCTTTTGGTCAATGAAAGCCGTTAACTTGGTACTTGGTCTGCTTACCGTCTGTTCGTCGATCCATGGCGTTTTGCCTAACCCCTCCACAAATCGTCTATGGAAAATCTGGAAGTGCACTGGAGGTCCACCAAAGGCAGTCACGCCCAAGTCAAACGTCCTGGTCAATACGTCCCAGAGACGCTCTGAAAGCTTGTTCGTGTTGACTTGATATGGCTGCTGTTGCTGGTTGCCGCGTTCACGGTCGTCGTCGCCGTCGTTGCCCACAACGCTGCGGATGCCCCGGTGAACGAGGGCTGAGAACGACATGCTGAGTGGGTTGTTTGGATAAAGACATAATAAGGGATAGTTTTGTACAGGTTCAAGATTTGATGAATTGCGAATATCGAGAGCGGATGAGATGATGGGTGCACGTGTTTTACTAGCGTCTCGCCACCGCTAATCTAATCGCGGAGCAAGCAATAAGTGCCATTCTCAGTCTGAACCAAAACCACATCCAGAATGTCGTCAAAACCGTCATACGCCCATCTCCTTCCTCCAAGTTGGAAGACTCAAATCTCCCAATGGCTCGAAGAAGACACGCCGTCCTTTGACTACGGAGGATTCGTCGTTGGAGAGGTTCCCCGGACTGCGTTTCTCTTCGGGAAGGGCAAGGAACCCGCGGTTCTAGCGGGCTCCCCATTCGTCACAGAGGTCTTTGAGCAGCTGGGCTGCACAATTGAATGGCATGTCGAAGAAGGCGACGTATTCGAACCCATCAAGCATGTCGCTACAGTCAACGGCAAAGCAAGGCACCTCCTCATCGGGGAGCGAGTTGCTCTGAATCTGCTTGCCAGATGTAGTGGAATCGCCACAAAGTGATGCGCTGCCCCATCTCACACAGTATACCACACCTGACCTTCTCGACCAGGTCCAAACGAATCAAGGACCTCGCTAGAGGTTATGGATACAAGGGTATCATCGCAGGAACCAGGAAAACCACCCCTGGTGAGTTCGCCCCATTTAATCTTTCCTTCCTGATTCTGAAATGGCCGAAGGCTTCCGTCTGGTGGAGAAATATGGCATGTTGGTGGGAGGCATCGATCCACACCGACACGACTTGTCAAGCATGATCATGCTCAAGGACAACCACATCTGGTCGTGCGACAACTCTATCAAAAAGGCGATCGAACTTGCACGCTCTGTCGGCGGATTCTCCCTGCTTCTTGATGTCGAGGTCCGAACTGAAGCTGAAGCTGACGAAGCTATCGAGGCCGGTGCCGACGTTGTTATGCTTGACAACATGGAAGGGGACGAGCTGCTCCAAGTTGCAAGACGCTTGAAAGAGCGTTGGGGTGGCAAGCGTAAATTCCTTTTGGAAAGCAGTGGAGGCATTACGGAGGAGAACTTGCAGGAGCGTGCGATTAACGGTATGTTCCTGGCTCGTGGCATTGCATTGGGCTAAAGTTTCGTCAGAAATCGACATCTTCAGCACAAGCGCTGTTCACCAGTCTGTTCCTCACGTGGATTACAGCCTCAAGATCCAGAGACCCAAAGATCTGGCCTAAAGGTGTGACGGTAGAGTACATTGGGTAGCCATAGTAGACGAGCGCTTGCAATCCAAGCAGGCCAGGGAACAGCCTCCCACCGTTTCTACTCCCATTTGATCACCTTTGCACATCGGACGAAGGTCGCTGTGATCCTTGTTTTTGTTTTGAGTGGACGCAGGAAGGAGAGTAGACGGTTAGGCCAGCTCGTACAAAGGTCACCGCCTGCTTGAGGAGCAATGTGAAAAACATTGCGATTGAGACGATTGGATACTGTCACTCAAGGGCCCGCCAAGATGACCACTGTTCTGGTTGGCTTACCTTCAGTTAATCATGTGATCTGGGCGGATGCGAGTTGGTTAAGCGCTGGTCGACGAGTGGAGTAGACTACAACAAATCGTGTACATGGTGGAATGGTACATACACACAACGTAAGGTACAAAAGCGTTTACAAGAGGTTGCGCAAGAACAAATCGAAGGAATAAATACAGTACCCGCTAGGGGTGACAATGGGAAAGTTACAACAGGGAGCAATGGGAGGTTATGCTACCTGTCCAGCAGATGGTTGCGGTTGAGCACCATTGTTGTAGCCAAAGAATGAATCATATGACTCTCGAACAACAGGGTTCTTGAACGCGGATGGTGCCGAGGTAGCTGTGGTGGTCGGTTGACTACTGGGAGCAGCAGTAGTAGAGGTCGTATAGTGCGCATTGTAGTTGGAGGTGTCATAGGTAGCTCCAGCATATGTTGCAGGGTCATAGTAGCCATTTTGAGCGGGGTAGTTGTAGTTGTAGTGCGTTGCTTGGTTGGTAGCGTAATTCGCAGTGTCGTAACTGGTTAGACCGTAATAGTTAGTATTCGCCGCCGCAGCCGCGTAGTTCACAACGTCCACAGCCGTTTGCGCTTGCGCTTGTGCTTGCGCCTGGGCTTGTGCCTGTGAAGGGAGCATATACTGGTTCCCGTGAGAAGAAGACGCCACTGCTGTCGACCCATGGTGTTGCTGGGTCGAAAGGGATTGCTGGGAGGCGTTGGGGGTCCAATACGCGGTTTGGCCGGAAGTGTGTGAATGAGCGGAATTAGGTGGCTTATAGCTGGAGGGCGCGACATTATTCTGCTCTTGACTTGGCTGCTGCTGAGAGGAGATAGCGTTGCTGCTCCCCGCGAAGGGGTACGCTGAAGTAACCGTTGCTCCTCTGAACCGTGAGTCATCGTAGACAACGTCCGGACGCGATGCGCCATTGGAACTTGTCTCGTGAACGCTTCCACTCGGGGATGGACTAAACCCACTATCGCCGTGCTTTTCTCCGAAGAGCTCTCGGTGGAGGCGTAATTCCCGTGCTCTACTGCGCCTCTTTAAGTACGGGATGATGAGTAGCGCAGCAATTCCGATGGCCAACAGCGATACAATCGTAAATGTTGCAGCTACCGCCCCTTTATTACCCCAAAACCTTCAAAAGCAGATAGATTAGTACCCTTCCAAGATTCTGATTCGGGAATATTTAAATCCCAAACAGGTGTAATTGGCAGAAAAGGTCAGATAGACATACCCTTTCGAGGCCGCTCCTACTTGGTCTGCGGGTGAAGTTTCTTCTTGGTCGTTCTCATCATCCGGGGCGGTGGGTGTGGGTGCAACAGGCCTTGTGCTTCGGAGTAGGTTATCAGTCACGATCAGCGTCGTCTGGGCCTGTGTTCGCATTGGTGATTGAGAGCTCGAGATAGTGGAGCTCGAGGCTGCGCTGGCACTCAAAGACTCGCTTGTACTGGACTCCGGGGGTGACGAACTGCGTCATAAAAAGTGCATTTCCATCAATATCAGGACAGGTGGGCGCCATGGGATTGTACTTACGTTGATGGTGCACTGGAGCTGCTTGAAGACGGGCTCGATGATGGTGATGGTGATGAAACGCTTGAAGGCGGCTCGGACTCGGAGAACGTTAAAGAGCTTGGTGAGGGAGACGAGGAGGAGGGTGTGATGGACGAAGAAGGGATGTCTGTGCTGCTGCTAGGGACGATGCTACTCGATGGGATAGTCGACAACGAAGAAGACTCCTCAACTGGGAGAGTAGAGGACGGCAGCACAGACTCTGACTCTGGTATTGGCTCAGCCTCTTGTCGGCCATATATCAGGGTGTTGCGACGGTGAAGGTGGCCCAAAGAAGATCCTCTGTCGACTGGAGACAGAAACAAGAAGAAACACAGGAAGCCTAGGAAAGCGAGCGAAGCAAAGGATGGGAAACGACCAGACGACCTGCGAGCTGTGGCCTCCATACTTGAGCAAGCAATATTGCAGCGCTTGCAGCCAGCTAGGCAGTTGACAAGTGCTCGACGGCCAGGCGAAGAGCAGGGGCGACAGTTGTCGACGGGTAGAAATGAAGGGAAGTCTTAAAGAGACGAAATGTCAGACCCAGACCAACAATGGATAAAAAGCCATCTGGCTCATCAATGGAGGTGGAGAGCTGTTAACGTCTGCCGGTTACCCACCTTCCAACTATTGCTCCCGAGTCGACGCGGGTAACCATTCTCTCAGGGGCGTTTATCCGCCCGAAACACCGAGTCAAGCTCAATTACAAAAAATCAATATAAATATCCAAACGAGATAAACAAGCGTTACGTTCTTTCACCTCATTTCCTGTTCCATCTCGAGATTTACAGAGGACAGTCAAGCGCTCGATAGAGAGCTTCTCCCACCGCCTGGCGTACCGAAAACGGGAAGACGGAACTGACGCGAGATTTCTGTCCTGTTTTCAGGCAGAACCATCTTGATTGATATTTGGGCAAGGGTTCCTTGCTCGAACATTGAGACGATCTCATCTTTCGAAGGTGAACCGTTGCCGCGTTCACTCAAGTGCTCTGCCGCCTTCTCAAGGTGCTGTTGACATTATTGGAGATAAGCTTGTTGCCTCGACATCGTGCAGGATAGTACTTGCCATCTGGTCAGTTCCTTGCGAAATGGAAGGAATCACCACCTCTTGCCACTTCATTGCGCCAATATACCACCAGCCAGTAGCATCCTACGCCAATGTCAGCGAACCCGAAGACCATGCTACAAAGAACACACACCCGCTCTTCATCATCGTGAACGTAGACTACGACATGGAGAATGGGTGACTGTTCACTCAGCTCCTCCCTGACGCCTCTCTTTCGGAGGTAACTTGTCGTTTGCTTCGCTTCTCGGGGTAGACACCAGTCGACAAGGTAAATCCCTTCAAGGCCAGCAGATCGTGACTCATACCAGACGGGGCGGTAGATGAAGGCGACGCGGTAAGCCTCCTTGACAGTGACGATTTTGACGCGTAAACCTAGACCTGGATTTTCCATCCTATCGAATTCAGTAAGGCAAATCAGCAGCGTGTTTCACAGATGAAGAGGCGGAGCCTACTTTCTAAGCGACTCAACCTATGAAATGTATCCAGGTCGGGTGAGTAAATAAATCCCCAGTTGGCAACAGAGCTAGAGTCAATTACCTTGCCCTCTGTTAAATCCAGACGTTCCTTCAACATCTCCCAATCGAAGAATTCAGCAACATCATTGAAGGGACAGCAATCCCAGAAAATAGTGCTCTTTGCGCTGGAAGTTGATGTCGCAATGCTCTTTCTGAAAGAGTAGCGGCTTCGAATGGTTTGATTTGGGGTATATGTCGCTGGGGGACGTTCAGTCTGCGTTTCCGCGTGAGAGGAAGGAAGCCACGGATGGGACTCGAACGCTTCCTCAAACTCATCGGGTTCGCTTTTTGGCTGACTAGACGCTGGGGGATTAAGATGAGAGTTGAGAGGTGTTTCCCGTGGTATTGAAACGTTCACCGGTGACAGTATCGACGCCGGGTTCTGCGAGCAAGCAAGGCGAGAGGGACCAGCACCCCTCGGGGTCCCTGAAGGACGGGGCGTTCTATCACTGGTTTGGGCAGGAGAATTACGAGCAGAGCTTGATGTAGAGGATTGTGCCCTATTCTTTGCCTTCATCTTGACCAGTTTCTGTGCTTCAGTGAGAATTGACCTGTACACTTCCTCGTCGAGCTCGTCGAGACTAGACTCTGGGTCTGTGCGCTCCTGCAGAATGGCTATGATCAGCGAACAGCTTCAAAAGAGTGCTTTAATGTTTAGATATGCAGGCGTTGTGACAGACCTTTTCTTCCTGGAGGTCGACAATAACCTTCATGGCATGCTTTAATCGCTTTTCCAGCTCATTGTTTCTGACAGCAAGCCATTTGGCTCTATTTCGATGTTCTTGAATCTCACGCCTGTGAGTTTCCTCCCTCTCTACAGCCTGCTGTTGGAGTCTCTTTACGCGTTCTTTATCCTCCGTCAATGAATCTATGAGTCTCTGGTACTGTTGGGAAGAGCCCCCGCAAAGAGTCTCTAATTAGCGCTCACGGCCTTTGGCTGAGAATGAAAGCACTACCTCTGCCATTGGGAGGGATTTCTCAGCTCTCCGATGATTTATGTCTCCCATTTCAGTGCTTCAAAGCGTTGTGAAGAGGTTGAACTGTAGTTGATCGGAAGGGTATTGGTCAAAGGCGCGGAAGCGCCAAGGAGTCGCTGGCAGCCTGAACTGAACGGGGATACGGTTTGCTTCCGCCTAACCACAATCGAGCAGTTCGCCGATCAATGTTCTTCCATACAAGTGGCAGAACTTGAAAATAGGAGAGCGATGTCTATAGGCAATTGCTCAAAATCCCGAGGCACAAAACCTATCGAATGTACATACACGCGAAAGCAATCTATAATATAAGTACTAGCAAGGTAGTTTTTGAATAACTCGATATTTGATTCCCCAACTCGGGACATTCGAAGAAGCCATGGCAGAAGGGCCTGGTTTAATGACATCAATTTGGGCCTCTTCCAATTGTCCGGGGACAGTTGACCGAGTCGACCACATCGAAGGTATGACACGGAGGGGAGGATCCCCCGGCCCAATGTCAAGCACGAGCCCTTCAATGTCCTTGTGATACTCTACGTCGAATCGCCCAGAATACAGCGACCTCAGCCCGTCTTGTGGGAGGTAGTCATTCTCGTAAGCGCGGCACCAGCGAGGAGAGACCCAATATGTATCCACGGGATCGGCGCGAGGGCGGGTGACCCGGTATCCAGCAATATGAGGGTACTTTAATAGGCCGTTAACCGCAGATCGCGCCTGGCAAGTCAAAGCACCCAGTCGCCGGAGGTCGGCTGGGTTCGTCAAGTGACTAGCAATACGAGACCAAAGTTCGGTTGGAACGGTGGCAAGGTAGTGCGCAAGCGGCACAACCGACTTGCCAGGGATCAAATCGTTTTCGAGGACATATGAGAGATCCATGAGCGCTGATATGCCGGGAGTGGACGGGGAGGTTGCAAAGAAGGACGGTAGGAATGGCAGTGGGGGAGTATGACAGATACAGATCGCGCCCCCCTTCGATGACATGCGTAAAATGAGAATGTGGTTGAAGGAGAAAGCGATACCATACGCAGGAGATGGCGTCGATGGCCGAGAACGAAGGGCCTCGACGAGGGATACCACAGCATCCTCCCAGCAGCTTTCCAATCCCGTGAAGAACTGGAAACAAGTATCGTCTCGCAGCCAACATGAGCCGGCTTCAGAGGCTATACATCCTCTAACGGACGTCCGTCCATCTTCGAACAACATTGGCCGCAACGCCAGTTCCAGCAGAGCCTTGCCAAACTCCTGCAGGTCGCGAGGCACTGTGGGTGCCGTTGGGCTCATGCCAAGCTGGGGGATTTCATAGGCAAGTGTCCACGTCCGAAGTGCCGTACCGACGAGGGTCTGGTATAGGCTGAGACGCGTCTTTTCACAAGTCCCCTTGCGCTCGGGAAGTCCAAATAAGGCTCGTGCGTTTTGGATGGAGTTGGGTTTGACAAGTCGGTCGTAAAGTGGATTCCGGTTACGAGGTGCCTGGTCAATTCCTTTGGGCTTCCAGAGGTACTGGTGCTCAAGCGGTGTATGGACCGAGCAAGCGCGATGTCCGTAGTTGTCCAAAGAAATCGAGGATAAAAATGCCGTGTCGCGGGGGACGTTGGAAAGCCGGAAGAAAGGACGAGAATTAACTTGAACAAATATGAGCGGGAGAGACGGTCACGTTCAAAGGGATGTGCTCACCGTGGAGGATCTCATGGTCACAGTCAATTTCCCATATCCAGTGGATTCGAGTGCCCTTCCTAGGCTGAACATTGGTGATGTGATACTGAAAGGAACGATCTCCGTATGTGTTACGAGGTCCCGGGTATACTTCTTTCATCTTCTCCAAGTTTCGTTCGAGCTTGTCGCGTAAACATCGAAGCCAAACTGAGTAGCTCTCAGGAATTTTGGGTATTTCGGCAATAGACCAGAGCCCTAAACCTAACGGAACAGATAACTGGGTCTCAGCTTCCATAGTCAAGCGCTATATGCGACCTCACCGTCCGGGTGACTGTTGCAGGGGACGTAGTACACATGGAACCAACCATTGTGGCGGTATACGCTGAGAAAGAGGACGGGAGGTTACAGACCTACAGCGACCAGACACTTCAACGCACGTACCGGTAGCCGCTCGTCATTTGCCAGCAAAACTTGAAAAAGTTGGGGAAGAAACGAAGAGAACTGCTGCCAAGTCATCAGTCGGACAACATGAGTTTATATAGGTTATCATTCCCGATGTAATGTTGGTCACAAAGGGGATAAGACGCGTCTCAAAGGGTCCCCAAAGCATGACAAGCTCGACATGCACAGAAAAAGCGTCGTGACTGACGGTGGTCTGAACAGTGAAAGCCTGTAAATGAATGACGGCCACCAAACGCGTGCACAACGCGTGAATCAATTTCGGCAAATGCCCAGCCTCTTGGCATCGTCGCTGCTTGCTTCCGCCCATAACCGATATGCTCATATACAGGTCGCCCCTGCTGCGTAGTATCCCCAGAACTGGTGTCAGGAGATTCCTTCATGTCGATGCCGTCGAGCGTCAGGCTTTCCTAAAGCCAGTCGACACCCACCCAGGGGTATGTGGGCTGGCGCTAAACAGACCGAAGAGCAAGAACGCCATCTCTGTCCAGCTTCTCCAGGTGCGTGGTCTGAATTTGAATATCGACGATCCAACTCTAAACATGAGGCAGGAACTCAGGGAGTGCCTCGAGACGGTCCAGTATGACAAAAGGTCTATCCAAGTCCACTGTCACATTCAGTATTCGTAGCTGACCGTGTAGCAACGCGCCAGCGTCCGTGTCCTGGTACTTCATTCAACCACCCTCGGATCGTTCTGCGCAGGAGCAGACTTGATTGAAAGGAGGACCATGAACCAGATGCAGGTGAACAAATTCTTGTCGGACCTTAGAGACGCCCTAGGGAAGCTGGAATCCCTGCCCATGCCAACTATTGCTGCAATCGACGGTCCTGCTCTTGGTGGTGGACTGGAAATGAGTTTGGCATGCGACTTGCGCGTTGCTGGTCAGAAGCTCTCCGATACGTGACACCGGTGATATACTGAACCATGAGACCAGGCCACGGCGTCTCCAAGATTGGACTTCCAGAGACCGGTCTGGGGATTATACCAGGCGCCGGCGGAACCCAACGGGTGACCAGGGTCATCGGACCATCCAAAGCCAAGGACCTCATTTTTACAGCGCGTGCCCTGACAGCGACAGAAGCTCTGGAATGGGGTGCGTTTTGGAGGCACTAATACATCCTTGCAAACCCTGACGACTTCCTGCAGGTCTGGTTAACTATGTCTCCGCACCGGAAAGCACGGGCTACGATCGGGCATTGTCACTAGCGGAGAAGATTGCACAAAACGGTATGGTTTCTTCCTTGTCCGAAGCGAAATTACACGAGGCTCACACCGCCTAAAGCACCTCTGGCCCTCCGTGCAGCCAAGCAGGCTATCTCCCGGTCAGAGGACCTGGCTTTGGAAACCGGTACATACGCTCTTCAGTATGATGCTCGTCGAACACTGACTCTTAAATCCACCCAGGGCTCGATTTTGAGAGGGCAACCTACGAAACCCTTCTCAGCACGCAGGACCGTCTCGAAGCCCTCCAAGCATTCAAGGAGAAACGCCGCCCTGTATTCAAGGGAGAGTAGAGGGGAATAATTTACATATACTAATACGACAGTGAAAGAATATACCGAGAGTGAAAGCGGTCAGAAAGGTCTCGAAGGCATTGAGGGCATTGAGGGCATGGTGAAGGAGCTGGGGAAGCTAGTTGGTATCGATGGCATGCTGACCGACAGACTCTCCGGCTTCAACCCTTCCAGTTCCTTCATCATTATACTCAGCCTTCCGAAACGATCCTTCAGAGCGGTTCCAGGGGCTCCTTCGCCTGGTGTTGCATCAGAATCATTGAACCCTTTCTCGAACTGCCCATAATCGCTTCGGAGAGTGATATAAGGCTTGAGAAGGGACGAGTCTATGCGGCCCAGATAGTTTTCGGTAATGAACGACTTGAGAATCTCGGGTTGGATTAGGAAGATCTGGCCTAGCTGTCGAATGAACTCGAAACGTTCCTGGAGGGCAGGGATGCCGAAGGTGGAAATGGTATCTTGATAAGATTTAATGTCCCTAAGTTCCTTTGTAAGGCTAGTGTCAGAGAGAGAATGAAGAGGACGCACTTGGCCAACATCAGACCACCAGTTGCGCTGACTGGGAATTTGCGCAGGTGTTCCAGTAGCAAGCTAAAACATGACATTAGCCTTGGAATGGGCACGCGGTTGTAATTGGGCTGACCTGTGGAAGGCGACACCGATCTCTGTGAGGAAGACCTCCAGATTTTTTCCGCTGAGATTTTCCTTCGCTGCATCCCGAATCTTTTCCAATGCCTCGCAGCATGCCTCGCAAGGCTTGGTATTAACTCGAGCAAATGAAATATCATCATTTCGAGGTTTGAAGTCGTCTTTCTTCTGTTTCGTAAGCTGTAACGAGAGCCAGGTGATGACAGCTGAAGCGGAAAGTTAGCAGATTATACGATTGCACAAAGAAAGTATTTACCGTCTGTGACCTTCTGGAGAAGACGATTCGTGGCCCCTTCGATACGGTTGATTGTCTGAGTATTGAAGACAACCATCTCTCTCCGAACGGTGACGGAAGAACTCGCAAGGGGGAGTATGGCAACATTGACGTATTGTTGCCAAAGGTGGCAAATAAGGTCCACTTGTCGGATGATAGCAAGGGGGGAAAGATTAGGTTCGCTCTTGGAATCTGCAGCTTCAAGGCGTAGCAAGGCGCTGTCAAATCCGTTAGTCTGGGGAATGGATTATTCCAAGGGCAGGACATACGTTTCCAGGGCCACTTCAACGTAATTGTTTCCTATAGCTTCTGACAGTACCTTGAGAAGAGAGAACGTGCTCTTAGGGCTAGAGGAAGCGTTAGTGACATCCATCGATATCGCAATGACACATACACATCGCTCGCTGGACTCAGTTCCACACATCTCCCAATAGCCTCTGCATGCCACTTGAGCATTCTCTCAGCTACATCGACGCTCAGAACACCATCCTCCTCTTTAACCGGCTCTTCATTCTGTTGACTTGTAGGAGCCGAGTTAATAAGACCGAATCTAGTCAACGCTGCAGCTGCTTGGGAGGATGTGCCAGACGACCCGCTTGTCGAGCTGATTTGATTGACCATGCGATCGAACATGGAAGATTTCCCTTTTTGCGATTTCTGGGGAAATCGTGAAGACTGGTTAGGGGAGAGAGTGCAAGGATGACTTACATGGAATCTGGTAAAGGCCGCTAGAAGGCCAGTGTAGAGCGTTACCAGACTCTTGTTTTCGCGTTCAAGGTATCGGTGCCCTTCGGTGTAAGGAACAAAGAGTTCTTCCATGGCGGTCTCCAGCATTGTACTGATTGCGGCTGGAGTTCCTAGAGAAAGGGGTGCAGGTGCAGCTCCAGTGATTGACCTCCGGAACTCGGCTGCCTCGTACGGTGTGCGCGACACAGTTGTGGGGATTTCATGGGCCTTCAAGTCTTCAACCAGTGCGGATGCCTGTATGTGAACTAATTGCAGGATACGCAGGTAACCTAGATCTGAGATGTCTGCTCCTCGATGGAGCAGTTGTTCCATGTATTGTTGTATCTTTGGCAGCGTGAGTCTCATATTTCATTGACGCCTGTGCAGAGCCACTGACCGATTGTGCGAATACTCGCTGTAGGAACACCTGCATCACGACAGGAGGATTGGGGAACACGGCCTTGACAATTTGGGCTTCCGTATCGACTGTCGTACGGATTTCCGAGAACAGGTCGGCCAAACCAAGCTCTGTCTTCGGGGGGCTTGCATCAGGGTTTCCGAGATTGTTCCAACTGCAAAGAATGAGGGAGGGCAAGCGACGCCGTAAGGAATTGAAACGCACAGGTTGGTATCCTCCTCAGTTCGTCCTTCCCGAACATTGTTGATGAAGAAATCGTGTTGGTTCACGTAGACCTGGATGCAAGAAGCCCCGCCATTGAATTCCAAAAGCGTTTGAGCGCAATGCTGGAGATGGAATAGATCAGAACAACGTTCGAGTTGAATATGTTGCAACTGACATGCATCATCTTCGGATCGCCTCTGCGGTAACAACGATCGAATAGATTGAGCATCTCCCTCTCGAACTTCTCGCAGTAGTTCTCGATAGCTTCTCTTGTCTGGACAAGACATTAACCGTCAATAGAAATCCCTATAAGCAACCCATACCTTGTCAGCATTCGGAAGGTCCACCTCCTTGGCCACGGTATTGAGTCGCCGGAGGATTACTGCAACCTGCCTCCGTCCGGAGCGGCCCTCCTTTCGCAGGTTGTCCAGCTTGGATGTGTCGTCCTTCGAGAATAAGTTGTAGTAATCAATAAGATCGCATGCTGCTTGAGCCCTCTGTCGTTCGATATGGACCGTTTCGAGTTGATCACCTTTAGATGACAATGAGTCGGCTGTGGACCAATATACCGCTTGTTCGACAACACACCTATTCGTACAGCAGTGTTGCTAACAAGGTTCATCCGACTTTCCATTGCAGTGAATGAGCTTCCAACAGTCTACTGAAACTGAGCACCAAGTCGGCCACATTGGATGACTTTACGCACCTCGAATCCCTTGGATAGTTCTGCCATCTTCTTAGAATACTCTCGCTCTGCGACCCGTACACTCTTCTCCATCTGCTCGGTCTTCTTGTCTACTTCCTTGCGGATGGCCATTAATCTGTCTACCGTAGCTTCAAATGTTCGAATGAATGGCTTAGGATCGAAAGCTACATTTAAAGAGTTTTCAGACGCTTGTAATGAGCGAGAAATGCTTGAGGACACTCACGACCGCTGTCCGCCTTGGACTGCGCGATGAGCCTCTCGGCGACCGCGCCAACGAATTCCGTGACATCGAATTTACCCTAACCAATCAACGTCAGATAGATTCAGTGGGTTTTTAGTGTCGCGACACACCTGAAAAGTTGATAACTGAAGTTTATCTGCTAGATGCACGTCTTCTGCGGGGAGCTCGACAAACGAAGACATGAATCCAGGGCCAACTCGTGAACGCCATCATATCCGTCGCGCGCCAAGGAACCGTACGCATTCCCAAATATGGGCAACGCCTTGATCGCGAAGGAAGTTCACCAACTTTTTTGTTGCTCAACCATCTATATGGAACCTGACCAACAACTCAAAAGCCTTTTGCAGGTGCAATTGGCATCGGACTCATCGTCTGTGATACACCTGCCATATGTCCTTCAAGTTCTCGACAAATCCTGCTTCATACCCAACTCTCATTTGACGAAATGGACAGCACGAATTGGATCTCTGCTGCACTCGAAAGACGCGGGAGGGAGATGGGCCGGTTTGTGCATTGCGCATAAATCCTCGCTCTTGTCGAAGGAGTTTATGATTGATGCAGCCTCGAGTTGGATGCCTGTGGTCCTGCCTATGCTCTCAGTCTGTGTTGTTTTCCGTTATGGAGATATCCCACTTGCTAATCGTGTCCCAAGCGTAACGAAGGTGTTCCAACGATGAAGGCGGCCATAAGACTGCTCGTAACAATATTCACATCTACCCTGGATATTCCCGAGTTTCAGAGACAGCTGTGCACTCCGAATGTAACCAAGTTCACTTCCGCTTTGTCGTCTCTTGCGACATCGGCAAGTGACATTGACCTCAAGGTACGCTCCCTGCGAATTCATTTCAACCAGTCCTTATGCACTATACCAGGCCCTCTGCTTAACCACGTTGTCACAATTGATTCCAGTCTACCCCAGTGCACATAAAGCAAGCTTCGCAAGCGTTTCCTCCCTCGCCCTAGGCTTCCTCAATGGAAGTCATCCCTGCCCAACGGATGTTAGAATTCTTTATTCAGCGGCTAGGCTATATGCCACATTGCATCTCACAGGTGGAAAGGTGGGAGCAGCCGCCATCTGGAGAAAGTTTGTGGACGACACACTAGCCTTTTGCTGGAACGCATACGCCGCACTCAGGACCACCTTCCCAGGTAATGGTATGGCGTCCCAAAATCCTTACACGAAACTGTGCTGACTTCCTACAGCAATGAACACTGGGAACCCTCCCCAAGCGGATCCAATAATAATAGTCCCGCTTAACATCGACCGGCTCCGATGTGGTACCGTTGTCCTGGAACATCTGCTCCAGTAGGTTTTCATCCCCAGGGCCCCGAACTTCCACTGAAACCATCGGCAGGACCTTAACTACTCGCCCAGTTCAAGTCTCTATTGGGAGTTTGGTAAAATATGGTCTCACTTTAATTTCTACGTCCGCAGACGAGCAGGTATGTCTCCGCGATCGACAGTGCTCCTCGCCTAACTGGTCTGTGATAGATCGAAGGATTTTTCGACCCGACCACCCGGGTGTCTGAAGTAGCTGCTGTCCCTGAAATTTGGAAGGAGGGCTGCAACCTCCTCACCGTCCTCGCCGAGACGTTAGTTTGGGAATCAACTTGACAGAGCGACCACTGATACCACTGCCTGCAGAGTCCCACAACACCTCAATCCCTACACCTCTCGCCTTTGCACCGTGATAGCCTACCACCTGGAACAACCCTCTACGACGTGCGTTTTTCAACGGCAAGTCTGAATGTAGCTAACCTCTTCGCAGGATCGCACAAAAGGCTTTCTTTTTATATACGCTGCGAGTCGTGCTGAATAAATGCCATGCAGTCGATTCCCCAATAATTCCAAATCGGATAGTCAAAGCCCTCTTACCATCCCTTGCTGTAATCTTGGATTCGAAGGGCCCCGCGTCCCAACCGGGTGAAACGATTTCAACGACCAAAAACAGCCGTAAACGGGCTAGAAACTACGAGGGCGATGAAGTATTCAAGGTTTCGCGAGACGTGATCTGTCCTACAGCAATTGAAGGACAAGTGCTTTTGCACACCATCACAGGTATGTTGGTAATGTTCATCTGAGTCAATGCAGGACTGACATCAGTGCAGTTCTCCGCCATTGCCTGAGAAATCCCAACCTGGCTGTCCCGCAGCTTTCCTTGGCTACCCGAATCCTTTTATCCATTCAACTCTCGCTTTCGCAGATGGCTCCAGTGACCTTCTCCCCCGATCCTTCCCTCTTCGACAAGGTCAACCGGGAGGTCCACAGCCTTTGCGCCGAGCTTGCCTCTAGTTCAAGCGTTGTTTTGCACAAGGCCACTCCTCTCATCGTCTCGACTTTGGTAGAGGCTCAACGTACCGAGGTATGTCTCGATCCCAGCTCCGCGTGCTGCTATATTCATGGCCTATGTAGTCACTACCCGCTCTCGATCTTCTTCTACACCCTCGGCTTCCTCCGGTGGTGCGACCAATCCCGCCGATACAATCCATTATTCTATTTAAAGTGGATGAATCTCACGAAGAGGCGGAACTGCGTAATAAGCTGCATCTAGATTCCGGAAACGAGGAATGTACCCGCCAAAGAGTTAGTGAAGACATCGTGATGGACGGACAACTGTCTCCGACCAGGGTAACAGGCCCCTCGACCCCAAGACAACACGCTTCCCCCAAACCGATTGCACAGTCCCTGCGTACCGTGCAAGAAACCGTGAAGAAGTCGGTGCCTTCCACCGCCGCCCTTCCTACCTCTGCACAACCGTCATCGTCGATGGACGTCGTGCAAGAGCAGCCCGCTTTCAGTGCCATTCAAAAGCCCTCTACCACCGGCCAACCGACAGTTGCGCCCCCAGTTCAGAAGCCAGTTGTCCATGCCACACCCTTCCAAATCCCACCTCCTGACGAAGAAGATGATGAACCAATGCCAACAATAGACATGGCCTCGGATTCCGAAGACGAGGAGGATTGACGGCAATGGTACCTTCAAAGGTTTAGGTTCGCGTCCTCTTCACTTTTGGGGAATGCATGTCAAGTTCGTCGTCGAGATCCATCTCGAATTCGTCATCCGAAGGGACGTGTACGAGCATGCGTCCTCCTTTACGGAGTTCAGGTATCTAGATCAATTTGCTTAGTAGAAGATATTATGAAGATGACTATCTGAGCGTACACTTTGGCTGAATTCTTGGGCGACTACGTTATCTGGGTCGAGTGTGAGGGCTTGGTCGAAATGGGACTGTGCGTCTCGGAGTAAGATTGGGTCTAACCCTAAGGACTGTTTTCAAAAACAACTTGTCAGATTTAAGTCCTGATGTGCTTACCCTTATCTGTGGCCGATTCTTGAGCGAGGTACAGTGAGAGTAACCCGGCATATGTGTGGAGGACGGGATTGTCTTGGTACGGAAATGCCGGTAGGTACCTAGGAAGGCTTCAGCACCGTCCCAGTTCCAGGAGATTAGATTCAAGATAACGCACAATTCCAACTCATTCAAAGCATCCTTGTACTGTTCGCAGAGAATTAAACGGAGAACCAATTCCTGGAGGATAGTCTCTTTCTGGGAAGATCATAAGTGCAATGGGTTACGAACAAGGTGGAATGCTGCCCACTTCGTCGTTATTCTGCAGCATCATGGTACGAAGATAGTCAAGCTTCGTTGGAGACCGTTCGTCATCAGGAGTATCCCCCAGCAGAAGCAACCCCGTAGTCCAAAGCACCGCCCAATCAATTTCTTTGCATCGCACTAGGATAGACCAGGCTCGTTTTGCCCTCGGAAGATCTCGCCTTGTAATACACAGCTGAAAAATGTCATATAGCCGTCGTATGTGTGTTTTGCGCGCCGTCGAAGGTTGTTTTGAGCCTAGAGATGCGAAGAGAAAGATGTGGTCATGGGAAGGCATAACTGAGTTCGTGGTCACCAAAACATCGCCAAACCCATTCATTGACCACCAACCACGAACAACACATTGTCCCGAATTCAACAGCAATGGACGACGACATCACCTGGGGCTCGTCTGTTTGGGCGTCCGAAGACCCTATCGCCATTGACGCTCCAGGGACAAAACCAAGACCCCCAAGCATTGAAGTACCTCCACCACCCACACCTTTCGGCGACGACGCCGGCTTTGACGATTTCGATGACTTCGCTGCTGCAGATGCGAACGCTCAGGATGATGGGATGAAGGATGATGATTTTGGAGACTTCGAAGACTTTGAAGAGGGAGGAGCTCAGACTGTGTCAGCGTTTGTCGATGTAGACTCGTTCCCCGAAGCGGGTCCATCGCGACAGTGGCAACCGCTTCAGCTGGACCCGCTCCCTCCTCGACAAGAACTCAGGGATGAGATTAACGATATCCTTGCGCCAATATGGGAGGGAGAAGACATCAGGAGGATAACCACGGACGATCCTATGCGAGAGGTGGAGGGGATTGGCCAGATTCTGATCACATCGTCAAGGTGAGGCTCTCGAGTTACTGCACGCTTATCGTTCCATTATCGATATTCAACAGCCGCGAAACGTACAAAGGGCTTCTACAAACCACGCCGCCGACTAAACCAACCAACTGGACGCGTTCCCGGATACGAAGACAGCACTTGATCTCGCTAGGGATTCCCGTCAACCTCGATGAAGTATTACCCAAGGCAACGGGCAAGCCGTTGCCGCCATTGGAGATCCATACCCGACCAATGTCTGCTCCCCCAGGGGGACGCCCTCAGCCTCATGGAGGATCAAGTCACCCTTCGAGATCGGGGACACCACAGCCTGGTCCGAAGAATAGAATCGTTGCACAGTTTGGGCCGAAGCCTGAAATTGACACTGCCAGGATCAATAAGCTGCTGGATACTGATCCAGGTGCGTTATCGAATTACTTTTCTGAAGAAATAGAACTAAATAGCTGCCTTCCAACCAGAATGGCTAAAGATGCAGCCGCTTCACAATCTCGAACGGATGCTAAGCGAATTAAAGATGCAAACGGCGAGCGTCTCATCGCTTCTGACATATCTGCTTCAATCTCGCGATGCGCTACAACAAGATTCGGAGACATACAATGGGCTCATTGCCGAACTTGTGTCAGAGGTCGCACAAAAGGTGAAATCGGGAAAGCCAGGATTAACACGGACGATTAGTCTGAGCGCTAGAGGTAGATGAATTAATTAACTATTTTGGATCATGGAATGTCTTGGCGCACGTGATATTAAAAAGTTGAGATTGCCAAGAGGATTGAGTTTTGAGATGCCAAAACTAATTCTGCGCTCTGTTCACTGTCGACAACGATGAACATCGCCCATTCAATACCGTCGACCGTCACCGGAGTGTCCTTTTCATTTCTCACCGCTCAGGACATCCGTCGCATATCCGTCAAACAGATTGTAAACCCCGTTCTCCTCGACGACCTTAACAGACCCAACATTGGCGGTCTCTACGATCCTGCTCTGGGCCCCCATGATCGTTCAGACATGTAAGCCCTGCTGCAACCTTTTGAAAGTGAAGAATAGCATTTAATGCCTTTTTCTAACAGCTGCGCAACATGTCACCTCACATATTTCACCTGCCCCGGCCATTTTGGTCATATCGAACTACCAGCGCCTGTATTCCATCCTTTGTTCATGGGCAATCTCTATAACCTGCTCCGGGGCATGTGTATGTTCTGTCACCGATTTAAAATGAGTCGGACCCAGCTGTCAAAATACATGGCCAAGCTACGACTGTTGGAGCACGGGTTGGTGGAGGCGGCTATGGGAGTAGACGATATCACACTTCAGGTCCGGAAGACGAAGAAAGGCAAGGAGAAGGCAGACGAAGAGGAGGACGTGGATATGCTGGGGAAGGAGGATGTCACCTATGAATCCGACGAACAGTTCGTGAAGCGGGTGCACCTTTATGTCGCTATTCACCTCGCTCGAAACAAGACCACCCGGGACGACTACAAGAGCGAAGTTGCCTATCAGATGAGGAAGGACCTGATACACGAATTCCTTCGCAATTGCATGATGAAGAAGTGCCAGAACTCCGATTGCTCTAGGTCAGTTTCATTCCAGCACGCTTAGATCAAACATATTCCAATTCCTTTCCAGCGTAGCGTACACTTTCCGCAAAGAAGGTTACACAAAAATCATCGAATACGACCTCACCCCGAAGCAAAAGGCAACCCTTGCTAGATCACGGCCCAATGTCCTGCTGGCTGAAAAGGCGACATCTTATACAAAGAAGGCCGGAAAGCAAGAGGAAGATGTGGACATGGATGGCAGCGGATCCTCTGAGAGTGAAGGAGCGGGCGACAGTCTAGTTGATGATGAAGAAGAGGATGACTCTGAAGACGAAAGCCATTTCCGAAAGCCCGGGCAACCTTCACTTCCCCGGGCAGCCAACGGGAAGGTCAAGACGTCTCGTGGAAGGAACGAACGAGTAATTGCTCCAGAAGAGTGCCGTGCTCATCTCCGTCGGTTGTTCAAGAACGAGACCATCATGTGCTCGCTCATCTTCGGCCGTCACGGTCCCCACGCTCCCGTCAACAAGGACCAACTGGCAATAGCGTCTGCGGATATGTTCTTCCTCGAAGTTCTACCCGTGTCTCCAACCAGGTTCAGGCCTCCAGCCAAGATGGGCGAGACTCTATTTGAGCATCCCCAGAACGAGCTTCTTGCCCGGGTTCTGAATACCTCTTACAAGCTTCGAGACATCAACCTCGATTTGCGAACGGCGTCCCAGAAGGGAGACGAGTTCGATGAAGTCGCTCGACGCACGCTTATGAGCCAGTTGCTCGACCGACTCATTCAACTCCAGATCGACGTCAACAGCTTCATGGATAGTAGCAAAAACCCGCAGGTAGTTAGACAGGGCAAATTGCCACCTGCTGGAGTCAAACAAGGGTTGGAAAAGAAAGAGGGTCTCTTCCGGAAACATATGATGGTAAATTCTCCTTTGATAGTCTACAGTCCATTTGACTACACGCATCCCTACAGGGCAAACGTGTTAATTACGCTGCTCGGTCCGTCATCTCTCCCGACGTCAACATCGAACCCAGCGAAATCGGCATTCCGCCTGTATTCGCTCGCAAACTTACTTTCCCTGAGCCCGTCACTGCCGACAACTTCCACGAAATGCGACAACGGGTTATCAACGGACCAAACAACTATCCCGGCGCAAGCATGGTCGAGTATGAAGATGGACGCCAGCAATCTCTGGACAAACTCACCGTGGAACAACGAACGGCCATCGCTAACCAGCTTTTGACACCCCAGAGTGACCATGCTACCTCTAGAAAGGGACTGTTCACGCGGACTGCAGGCGTCAACAAAAAGGTCTACCGCCATCTACAAGACGGAGACATTCTTATTCTGAACCGACAACCAACCCTTCACAAACCCAGTATGATGTGTCATCGTGCCAAGGTCCTACATGGCGAGAAAACTATCCGCATGCATTACGCCAACTGGTAGGTGGGCCATTGCCTTGATAAGATACAATGCTGACCTTACGTCTAGTAACTCTTACAACGGTACGCGTCCTGGGAGCCTCAGTCGGTAAATACTAACCTCTTCTCCGCACAGCCGATTTCGACGGTGACGGTAAGATCGCGCACTAGATGGCAAAGAACCGTCACTGACCAAAGCTTCCATAGAAATGAACATTCACTTCCCTCGTCAGTATTCTATGACTCATGGTGAACCCACGCGCTTACCGCCCCCATAGAGAACCATGTTGCAAGGGCTGAAGCTACCTTCATTGCCAACACCGATAATCAATACCTTGTACCGACGTCAGGAAATCCTCTCCGAGGCTTGATCCAAGATCACGTTGTTGCTGGTGTCTGGATGACAAGCCAAAACGCCTTCTTTACCAGAGAGGAGTACTTCCAACTACTCTATGGCGCGCTTCGTCCCGAAGATAGTGAATCCAACTCGCGTCTCGTGACATTGTCTCCAGCCATCTGGAAGCCTCAACCTTTGTGGACTGGTAAACAGATCGTGAGTCTTTTTTTAAAACTGTCTTGGCGACTCACCTAAGGTTTTCATAGATTTCGACAGTCCTCAAGAACATCACACCTCGTAACTTCGAAGGCCTCAACCTCAAGGCCAAGACCAAAGTGCCTGGCTTCCTTTGGGGAAAGGATTCGAAAGAGGACCAAGTCATTTTCCTCGATGGCGAACTACTGTGTGGCGTCTTGGACAAGTCAGCATTCGGCGCCTCCGACTATGGTCTAGTCCACTCTGTCTACGAAGTGTACGGCGCCGAAATCGCAGGCAAGCTTCTGGGTATCCTCAGTCGTCTGTTTACCAAGTTCCTCCAACACCGAGCATTTACTTGTCGTATGGACGATCTCATCTTGACACCAACCGGAGACAAGAAACGCGCTGACCTCATCGAACGCGGAAAGAACCTTGGTACCGAGGGAGCCATCGAGAACTTCCCGTCTCTCAGCGGAGTTCCCAAGGAAGAGGTTCCGGAGCAACTCCGTAACCTCCTCGAAACCGTGCTTCGGGACGACAACAAGATGGCAGGCCTCGATGTCACCGTCAAGACCAAACTCTCCAAACTTACATCCTCCATCTCCGACGCTTGTCTACCTAACGAATTGTTGCGCAAATTCCCATACAACCACATGCAAACCATGACACTTTCTGGTGCCAAGGGTTCGGCAGTCAATGCGCGCCAAATCTCGTGCGCCCTCGGTCAGCAGGAGTTGGAAGGTCGTCGTGTACCTGTCATGGTTAGCGGCAAGACCCTCCCTTCATTCAAGGCCTTCGAAACCAAGGCTATCGCCGGTGGTTATGTTGCCAGTCGATTCTTGACTGGAATCAAGCCCCAAGAATTTTACTTCCATTGCATGGCGGGTCGAGAAGGTCTCATCGATACTGCCGTCAAGACATCTCGTTCAGGCTACCTTCAGCGTTGTTTGATCAAACATTTGGAGGGTCTCCGGGTGCACTACGACAACACCGTCCGGGGAAGTGACAATTCAGTTTACCAATTCTCATACGGTGGCGACGGCCTCGACGTCACCAAACAGAAACACCTCTACCAGTTCGCCTTCATCGCACAAAACTCCCTCTCCATCGCTAGGCGGTTGAATCCCAACGCCGTCGCCAATCACATGGATCTCAAGACTGCTCCCTCCTATATGAAGAAAGTCCTCAGGAAGTCGGCGGAGAGGGAAAGCCCCTGCGGAAAGGCACCTCGAGACGAATACGATCCCGTGCTATCCGTCTACAACCCCAACAAGTATCTCGGAAGCACCTCTGAGCAATTCGCCACCGCGGTCAGGCAATATATCAAAGCCAATCCTGATGGACTCCTGATCGAAAAGAGCGAAAAGCCTCGTTTCCCCACTCGATACCCCCCAATGCTCAGCAAAAACTTCCAATTGCTCATGAATGTCAAGTACATGCGAAGTCTGGTCGAACCCGGTGAAGCTGTCGGACTTCTCGCGTCGCAAGGGTTCGTGGAGTATCTTGTACTGACTTAATTGCCGGTCGCTAACGCTATGTAACACTTCTTTAGTGTCGGTGAGCCTTCCACTCAGATGACGCTCAACACTTTCCACTTTGCTGGTACGTTTAATCTCTTCAAAGGAGATGCGATATTCATCACCCGATTCAGGCCACGGTGCCGCTAACGTCACGCTTGGTATCCCTCGATTGCGTGAAATCGTCATGACTGCTTCACAAAAGCCCAAGACTCCCTCTATGACCATGAAGGTCAAGCCAGGAACCTCCCCCGACGACGTAACATTGTTCTGCAAACGGGCCAGCAGAGTAACACTTTCTCAGTTGGTGGAAGGTGTGACCGTAGACGAGCAGCTCTGCGTCGAAGGTCAGGCTAGGCGAACTCAATTCACCGTTACCATCAACTTCTTCCCGCGAGAGGAGTACCTGGCCGAGCACGATGTCGAACCGGTTGAAATACTTTCCGTCTTTGGAACCAAGTTCCCTCTAATCCTCAAGAGGGAGATCCAGAACGAACTTCGCAAGCTGGATGCTGACTTGAAGAGCCAGATCGCTCAACTTGGCAAGGGTAAAGCTGTTCGAACGCACGGAGAGGGCGAGGGCGACGGTGGTGAAGGGGACGGAGAGACCTCCAAGCGTAAGAGGAATGCCGACGAAGACAGCGAGGTCGGTGACGGTGACGCGGACGACGAGAAGAGGCAACGACAGAAGAAGCAGCAAGCGACCTATGACAGCGACGAAGACTCGGACGAGGAGGACAATGGAGAAGCGTTCAATGACGAGGATATTGAGGCTGCATACGCTTCTGACGCCGAGGCAATGAACACCGAAGTTAAACCCGCTAAGCTCACAAAGTCGCAGCAAAGTTTCAAGCAAGCGGTCAGCCGTACCTCGGATTTGTTCCAGGGCCATCTGCAACAGGCTGTCTCTTTCAACTTCGACGAATCCAAATGCACCTTCCAGGTTGAGGTAAAGTAATTTCTTTTGACGTCGACGCTGAATGAACCCTGACCTTTCATTTTCAGTTCCGACCTGATATGCCCAAGCTTTTGTTCGTTGGAATCATTGAGCGTACCTGCCGTGCGACCGTGGTTCGTGAAATCCCTGGTATCACTGATTGCTTCCAGGTAAAGGAAGACAGCAAGAAGGGTGGCGAGCCGCAGATAAAGGTAGGAAAGGACTTTATCAAGCTTTGACACGTATTGATTTCTCCATCGTGTGGAAGTTGACTACAAACGGCTCAAACTTGCGCGGCATGTGGGAGTTTGCGTCAGGTTCCGACGAGAGCATCCTCGAAGATGATGAGATCTACTCCAATGACATCTACGCCCTGTTGAAGACATATGGTGTTGAAATGGCAAGGGCCGCAATTCTAAAAGAAGTCGGAGGTGTTTTCGCGGCCTACTCCATCCAGGTCGATCGCCGGCACTTGGAGTTGATTGCCGACTATATGGTGAGCTCCCATTGTTGGTCTGAGATAAAGGAAGGAACTGAAAAGCTTTGTTAGACTTTCGATGGCGGCTACAAACCCTTCAACCGAAAAGGTCTTTCGACGAACCCTTCGCCACTCCTGAAAGCCTCGTACGAAACTACTGCGGCCTTCCTGTCGGACGCGACACTATATGGAGACTTTGATGATCTAACGACGCCATCGGGGAATATTGTGCTTGGGCGGCCGAATGCCACTGGAACTGGAGTGTTCGACGTGCTGATGCAAACTGCGTAGGGTAGACAAAGGAAAAAGTAGAGTACTAGCCCCTCGGAATCAAACCTAATATTGGATTGTGACAAAGGATCACGTGAGATGTCACAGATCGCGTCGGTCACAGTTGGCCACGCGGGGGAACTTTTGGTTCATCGCGCTTTCCCCTTTACGTTCATTTTAAAAATCTCGAACTCGCGACACCTCCTCCCCTCCACCATGAATCGTCCTGGTCCTCTAGAAGAACTCCCTCTCGAACGTTTTCTACCCTCCTACGCGAATATCAGCGACAACGACGACGACGACGACCTTTGGACGGGTGGCACCCGCCTCAAGCGTCCACTATCGCCTACGAGTCATAGCCCTAGCGCGAAGCGGCGGCAACTGAGCATAGATGGCCGTTCAACAACGCCAGGGTCGTCGAAGATGACTCCACGGTCTCGATATGCGCAATCTGTAGACTTCAGTGCTGTCCTGCAAAGCCCCGATAGTCCTGTAAAGAGGCTCAACTTTGCATCAATCTCGATATCCAAAAGCGATTCGCCCAAGCAAGACGACATCGAAACGACTCCTCGAGCTCGTTCACGCCCTGTGCCACCCAAGCAACTCGATGGCAGCAAGGAGGAGGATGTAGCGTCAAGTTCAACTCGAGTGGCTACCCGATCCCGACCTCATCCCCTCGTTTTTGAACTCGTCCCCCGACCTGCGCCACCCTTGCCAGATCCCACGTCTGAGCATTACCCCGGATTCTTTATATATCCCGATCCCTATACCGTCGTTGCTCGACCCGACGAAACACGATCAGTCGAAGAGCAGGTTTGGTACGATGAAGAGCCGGAGAAGGAGAACTCCCAGCCACCGCGCCAAGTCCACGCTCTTCCCTCTGCCTTTATCGACTCCTTGGCCAAATCAAGCTCATTATTCCCTGCCCCACTACCCAAGGGAAAGACCATTGCCAGCATCTTCAGTTCTTCATATCGATCAGTGGCACATAGGAGAATATTTGGACCACGAAGCGCGGTGTTGGAGGATGATTCCCTGGATCTGACTGCAATAAACAATTATGCTCGACGGGCAGCATTGAGCTCGAACCCCTTGGAAGATGATAAAGACGGGTCACCGTCGTCTTGACGGAGCCAATGCCACCTTCCCTCTTCCATCTCCGACATCCAACGTTGATTCAACCAACGCTTTTCCCCGCCTATTTTCTTGTATATTTGACGGTCGCTACTGCTATTTTGCTCTGTGCTTCCCAAACATCTTTACCCATATCTACCGGCATTTCTAGCGCTCATTCACTCATTCTCTAGTCACAGGGATTGTATTCCGTGCTCCAACATTCATGTACTATCGTATCCGGTTTATTCTTACATTACTATTTTTATCCGTTATCTTGGAGATTTGAAAGGAGTAGTCGCACATCTTGCATAGTCTATTGAACTGTATAGGTGTAGTTATCAGAAGAAACAAATAGATAGAAATTCGAGGCTTGGATGTGGAACGAACCTGGGGGTTGATCCTTTGTTGAACTTTGAATCTAAGACTATTGTGATCCTGAAGAGGCGAGCTTGTCGACGTGTCCGGTGATAACGTGACATCAGTATCTCTCAGTGCTTCGAAGTTCGCGCTCCAGAGCTTGGAAACATATCTCATCGTTGACCATGAGTCGTAGCTCACTGTTACTCGTGTTCTTCACGCTCTTCGGCCTCGCTGCTGCCCAATTCCAGTTTTTCAATGACTTTTTCGGCGGCCAACAACATCACCAACAGCAGCAACGAACGGGGGCGTCTCAGTATGCCGCCTTCTCCGAAAATGGTGAGTTATTCTCAACTTGCTGTTGCCAGACGCCATATCTTACCCAAAAATTCTAGTGCCCTGCTCCCACTATCTTTGCCCAGGAACCATGGACTGTGTGGAACGGCCTCGCGATTGCCCCTGCCCCGACGTGCAGGATGTAAAATGTCTGATTCCGGATATGGACAGCGACGACGACGAAGCAACGGTGGTCTGCGTACGGGGTGGCACAGACTGCTCGACAGTGGAGAAGTTGATGAAGCGAGGGTCGTAGTAGCATGGATGTTGGCACCTGGCCTGCATCCTCCATGTCGTTCGTGTATAGTAAATGCATACCCCTTTCCGGACATTACTGGTGCATGTTCTCTACGAATACTCGTTAGAGCTGCCAAAAGGGCCTTCGTGAGTTTATATGACGGTAGAGGCGATAAAAAGCAATGGTCTGAGTTGACAAGGGCCGACGTTGTATTTGGCTCAGGGATCAGTCCGGCGATTACAAAAGCGCAGCTGGTTGTGTCGACAACGCTCACCGAAACCACGATGCGCTGTCTTCAAGGCTTCGCTTTCACATTCCTTTTGCTTCATTCTGCCTTCGCTCAGTCCAACGATACTGAGACTGAGTCGGACTCTTCTTCTTTCGATAATTCACTTCATGAAATTACAAACGCTTTCACAGAGAATGGCATTGTCCCCGGCGTAATCCCCACTTTTCGCCCCTCGGCCCTCGTTACAGTCCACTACACAATGGCAGGCGAGGAATTCGAGATCATGGCTGGGGAAACTCTCATAACTGCACGTAAGCCCACACACTCTCAGCTCTTCTCCTTGGCTGCAAATGGCTCATGGTTTCTGCCTAAAGTTACCGACAACGACCCCAAGTTCTCCATGACCCTAAATGGCACTGACGAAGACTCTACACCCACCGGTGGTCCTTACGTGGTGATGCTACTCGATCCCAATGGCTCAAGACCGGAGAATGGCACTGGGAGGAACCAAGTCCTGCACTTGATGAGGGGAGGCTTCTCGGCAGGAAGGTCTGACGGGAGTATCGAAAGCAACACCGAGCCCATTGCGAGGTACTCAAAACCCGCACCTGTTGGCGAAGAAGTACATCGGTATGTTTATATTTTGAGATTAGAGTGTTTGAAATGTTCTCACAATTCCTGAACCCTGCATCCGTCCCGTACAGCTACGTTGTTCTCGTTTACAACCAGCCCGACGACTTTGAGGAGAGAGCTTCAGACCGTGTCGATGTCGAAGAGCGTGACAGTTTCAATTTGACGAGCTTCGTCCGTGGCACAAACCTTGGCAATCCAATCGCAGGAACGTATTTCCTCCTCGAACCCTCAGGGACCTCGACGTCTGTGCGATCATCATCAACCACTACTAGATCCACGGGCGCCTTCAACACTGAAGGTATCCCACCAACATTCACTCCCCTGATCGGCCAAGGTCAAAAGCATGTCGCGGCCTTGGGCTCGCTATTCGGCCTCTGTTTCGCTGGGTTGACGTTGCTCGTCGCATGACGGAACAATGGCCTCAATACCATGACCCTACTCCTCGGGCAGTGGGACAGCCTTTCGTTGGACTTCTTTCTTCTGGACTTACACGGGACCCATTCATTCCTCAAGGACACTGTTTTGCTATAGACTTTTAACGCTATCTAATTTTTCGGTGTATCTCACCCTGACACTAATACTTATGTGCACATTTACCACCCCCTCGACCAACATGTTCCCAGCCCCGTGTGGTTAGTACTAACTTTTAACCGCGTCTAACAGCATTTAGAAGACCAATTGGATTGAAACCGTTACCCGCCGGAAACCCCTCAACCCTGCTTCGACTATTCATTGCAACGACGTGTGACAGCATTTATCCTCGGATGAACGGTTCAGTCGTGACTTGTTGTTGTACTTAAAGGCCATTTGGCTTGATCTCGGCGAAGACCTGGGCGTTGATTCTAGGCGTTTAATGGCAGAAGGCGGCGTACAATCGGAAGGCGATGTCTCCACCCATTGTGAATTCCTGCGACCTTTCCAACCATGCAAACCTCCCTGGTTGTCAGCAGACATTAAGCCTATGAGAAACAGCAAGTGGAGTCGAATTCTATCCTGAGTCAAAAATCTTCAAAGAAGAACGCAACTGAGGACGAACACCGAGTTCGGCATCATGATTGAAGTTAGTTCAAAAGCCTCTGCAACGTTACAACTCGGGAGAAACTCGACGGTGATATTAGTCGTAGTCCTATAGTAGGGATGCAGGCCTATTAGAAGTTGGAAGATCAGCTTCCTCGCAATACACTGTCTTGGGTTCCTCCGAGGATGGTTCAATTGCCCTTAGTACCAGGCGCAAATCATTCCTTGATGGGCTGATTGCTTGGTCCGGAAGCTGTTGACAAACAAGGTGATGCAAGCGCGGCGCGGGGGTTGGTGCGCAGGTTGAACCAAAACGGCCGTAATGTCGATACAGAGGCCAACGGTAAGCTCGCATTGTTGTCAAAACCACGGTCCCCACTCTCTGAACTGATTTAGTCTAAACTTCCCCCAGGTGCTAACCGGATCTTGTTCGTAAAGAACCTCAATTACACAATTACAGGCGAGGACTTGTATGAACTGTTCGGTCGGTATGGGAGCATTCGTCAAATACGGATAGGCAACGAGGCGAAGACCAAAGGGACGGCCTTCGTCGTGTATGACGACGTTATGGATGTGAGTAGCTCCTTTTGTCGCTTCTGTGTGAGTCTGAATGATTCACCTTTACCCCCAGGCCAAAAACGCCCTCGACCATTTGAATGGTTTCCACTTGCAAGAGCGTTATATCGTCGTTTTGTATCACATGCCTGCCAAACAGGATGCTGCTGCTGCGAAGGCGGAGCTTGCGCGTCGAGAAGAGGAACTTGCCGCTCTCAAGAAGAAGCACGATATCGGGGATGCTTGAGCGCACCGCCTAATCTCTCGCAGATCCCTGGCAACATGGCGGCCTTCTTGTGTACCGCACCCAATTCCCCCTGAGACAATTTCTACAATTGCTCTGCATTTTATTTCCGCCAGGGACCAGTTCTTCTCGCCACACGATTCAGTTGCAATTTGGGAGTCCGATTCCAGAGCATAACGGTTGCATCCCTTCCGGCTGGTACTCCGAGGACCGATGTCCACTGCTCCCGTTATCGCCAGGAAGTACCCATCCATGTCGTACAAAAATTACGTCTATTGATTAAAGCCAAGGTTCTGGTACAAATGTGCTGTGTACTTTTGTTGCATCTATGGTGTCTCTATATGTCTAAAACAAAGGGTTTGCTTGACCAGCAGAGCGTCTACTACATACTAAGGATTCCGAAACATGGAAATCAATTCGATTTACTGCACCCAGGGCAGCACCTATCAATATGTGGTGAGTACTGTTGTGGGTATTGGTGGCTTTATGGGAATCGTATCAGTGTATGAGTGGGTCAGCAGGTACACGAGCGCTTACTATTGCCAGCAGGTCTTGGTACACTGTGGAGGTCGACATTCCTTTGGATGCGATGGACTGAATTTGCAATTTGGCAGGTCACATTTGATCTGCGGCGTCATCCGGTCAGCGGTGGGCAGGGGTTATGAAGGAACCGGTAATTAGGCTCACCTCTTCGTCGGGCTGTAGATCATAGAATGGAGTTAGCAAATTAGCGGTCATGGGGCTGACCCCTACGAGCAAGGAGACGAACAAGAGTTATGCCATGCCCACACCTGGCAGCCGTTGACAGCCCACGGTCAGTATAACAATAATATCTCGACCTATATGGCATAACTCACTGCTTGTAGACGTTGCGAACTCTGAAATGGTATGGTAAGAAAGACGTCAGGGGGCCGTAAAAATGGAATGATCACTCACTGGCGATAGTAGCACATTCCGAATGTCAGTGGGCTGTAGATTGCAGAAGATGGGGGATCCGACGATAATTTCAATGCCCTCTTTATAGGCAAAGGAAAGAGCATCCCGGTCTCTTACATACGCATGCTAGAAGCACCGCATGACAATGCCATGCCCTGCGACGACGGCCATTGGTGATGTCAACATCTGGCAGCACGTACCCTCGAGAATAGCATTCCTAGATCGGAAACAAGTCGGTTTTGTTGAACCCTGTGGTGCCCATGAATAGGTGCACAGTCTGATTATTTTTCCTTCGGCGTGGCTCGTCGTGGAACCCCAAGGTGGAACCGCAAGATCGAGATCGACGAAACCCACGATTCTGGTCTCAAAAAGGATTTCTCAGAGAACACCTATTTGATAACCTTCATGTACCTCTGGTTTACAGATCAAGACGGTAATCTGAAAGGCCGTGGAATGCTTCGAAGGCGTCGAAGACGTAGTCGCCGATCGGATGCATTACTGTCAGGTAAAAAGTCGACCACAATAAGTACGCGACAGGCTCCGTAACGCGCCCCGGAGTCTTATGTTTGCCAAAGGCCTCGAGAACTCTAGCTATGGACCCATCGTGGCCATGGGAGATTTCAGGCGTCGGTATTCAAAGGTGGCATGCACGTTTCCGCCTCCATCAACAAACATACATTTTTTTTCTTGCCTTGCGTGAACGACGCCGATTCGGTCATAGTCACCCTTGTTCCCAATGCGCTTATATCAGCCAAGGCGGACCGTCAGATCGAGCCGTTGACAGATTGAATTGTAGATCAACGGGGCGCCAAAGTTCTCTAAATCGTCACTCTGATCAAGGGACGTTTCATGGCAGCGTAACACCACGGACCCTCATCCCCAACGTCTGGTGAAATCGAAAATTGAGCTGAAAGATGGTGGCGCTGCTTACTACCACCCACGGCACGGCCCCCTCCTCGAGAAGCGGACTTGCGAAGACGGAAAGGACGAACAAGTATCCCCGGAAATCGAGTCCTTTTCCATGACGAGGAAACCGTAGCCAAGAGCTTCAAGGGGATTTAGTAACCTTAAAACCCAAGGCGATTTGGTTTCCTACGGCGGTGATACTCTCGGATATGAATGTATAGTTACCGTCTATAACCGTTTGCCATGAGATCCTGATTTCCAGGATTGACGCCGTCCGAGTCCATCCACGATTTAGACGATTTTATTGCACGAAGAAAGCTCAGTAGGGGCTTTGTCGGGCGAACTCACAATACAGAAAGAAAGCCTAGAAAACCACTTACCGGCTTAATATCGATGATATGGTATCATATTTGCCGTAACGACACCGGACTTGTCGTCGGATATCTCGACGTCGGAGGGTTGACCTCGACCTCGATGAACTAATATGTGGTTTGCCATGGTTATACGCAGTGCATAGGACGCGTGTATTCGTGTGATGACTCGACCCAGAAAAGGCTCGAGAACCATCGACTACGCGAGAACTAATCGCTTAGTGGTCTGGACTTCAATTGCACCCAATGCAATTTCCGTCATTGGTGCCATCCTGAATGTTTCTACATTTCTATGCGGGTCTTCCCAAAGCTAAGACTTTTTTGGGCTTCCATACCGGCAGTTCCCATCCACTTCGACCGTGTTTGGTTCGTAGTTTCTGCAATTCTTAATCGTATGGTTCTTTTCCCGCAACTCTCCAGCGCCACCCCATGTGCCAACGGGCAAAGGATGCATCTCACCTTCCGATTTCTGCGCCTTTGTCGAGGGCTAATCTAACATCACACCTCTAATAAGCAGGATACATCCATCTCATGTCAGTCGCGTGGGCAATGCTTGTTTCAACGACCTGCCTCGAAATCTCCGTCTGGAGGTTATCGGGGATCTGTTTACGATATCCACTTAACACTCTAAATTTTGAGGCCTTGGGATATTCCTTAGTACATGGGCCGAAAGCCAAGAGACCTCATTTTATAGTCAGGGGAGACGCGTCCCTCCATGAGTCGTGACTGTATTGCAGGCCCATGCTCGACAGGGGTCACTCCCTAGGCAGCTCCACAAATCTCTGTACAAGTTCGCAGTATTCAGGAGCAGTCAACGCCACAACGATCTCATGGAAAAATGCTTGCTTGGAGAGAACCCCAATCCGGAGAAATTCAGGCATCTTCAAAAGGAAACGGGTAAGCGGTTTGTCTCGAGTCAATGTACGTATACAAGACTTCGAGGCATCAACCGCATCGACCAATGCAAAAAATCCCGCAAAGAAATGCTTTGACGGAGGCTGAAGGCTCGACAAAAGTCCGTGAATCATCAGTCCGTGGATTACCACAACCGTTGGTCATCGCAGCTGTGAGTCGATTCGTGATGAGATGTCGTAGACCGTTCCGCGTTACAGCGAGCTGTTGCACAAAGATTTCGTGAATAGGCGGGGCCAGTAGATTATAAAATACACAGAAGGGAACGTGAAGTTGTGAAACGGATCGATGAATTTCACAGGATAGTTAAGTGCCACACACATAGAACGAAGCAGCTCAAATCAGTTCTGCGGCGTTCACAGGCATCTCATCCTGGGAGAACACTTATTAGCGCTGTAAAGACGGACGTTTGCTTGAGAACTTACAATCTGTGTGCCGTAGAATTGTTCTAAAAGAGGACGCATGAGTCAATGTTCGACATGGGATACGCTATCAACATACCAATATCACGGAGAATTCGAACATCCTCCACAGTCACAAACTGTAAAGTGGGCGCCTTTCAGGGATAGTGGGGACCGAGGAAAGCGGTTGACACTCACGTTAATGGCAACGCCCTTCCTTCCAAAACGACCGGAACGACCGATCCTGTGGATGTAGTTTTCACGATTGCTAGGCGCGATTCAGTCGTGTGCAGATAAAGCCAGCACCGAGTCAACTCACGCAGGTAGATCATAGTTGATGACCAATGATACTTGTTGGACGTCAATGCCTCGAGCCCAAACGTCCGTTGTGATGAGAACACGGCTGAAACCTGTTAGATAGATATCAAAGGGTTGCTGGGCTACACTTACGATGTCCCACTGCGGAATTCGGCCATGATAGCATCCCGTTCTTTTTGCACCATTTCTCCATGCATGGAGGAGACGGTAAAGTTGGAGGCACGCATCTTTTCCGTCAGCCAGTCGACCTGCAGGGGAATGGTCAGTTCCACGGTAGCGACAGAACACTGTGACTCAGACCTTTCGCCTGGTGTTGCAGAAGATGACAGCCTGGGTGATCGTGAGGGTATCGTACAAATCACACAGAGTGTCGAACTTCCAGTCCTCCTTCTCCACGGCCACGAAGAATTGTTTAATGCCCTCCAGCGTCAATTCGTCACGCTTGACCAAAATACGGATAGGATCCGTCATGAATTTGGTAGTCATCTCAAGCACGTCGTAAGGAAGGGTGGCGCTAAGAAGAACGACCTGGGTGGCTGGAGGAAGGTAGCGGTAAACGTCGTAGATTTGATCCTTGAAGCCCTTGTTGAGGAGTTCATCGGCTTCGTCGAGGACCAACATTTTGATATTACGCGTTCGCAGACTCCGGCGACGAATCATGTCGAATACACGACCCGGAGTGCCAGAGACGACGTGTTGACCATATTCAAGCTTCCGGATGTCCTCGCCAATGGATGTACCTCCAATGCAAGCATGACATTGGACGTTCATGTAGTCGCCGAGCGCAAGGATAACGGATTGAATTTGAGTAGCAAGTTCACGAGTGGGTGAGAGAACCAGCGCTTGGGTTTCTCGGACGGTAACGTCAATTGACTGGAGTATTGAGATGGAGAAAGTGGCTGTTTTTCCCGTTCCTGATTGTGCTTGGGCGATTACGTCCCTTCCTTGGATGATGGGCAGGATTGCACGCTGCTGAATAGCAGAAGGTTTTTCAAAGTCTACAAAACCATTGGGTTAGCGCTGCCGACAGGTTTGAAGACGCGTCACAAACTGTAAGCATAGATGCCGCGCAAAAGGTCTTCCTTCAAACCAAGGTCGTCGAATGTTGAAACGGTCGAAATTGCTTCAGACGACTCGAAAACGAGTTTCTATAGAGGGATCAGCTAAGAATTCAAAGGGGACAGAGAAATACGGCGTACGTCGTCCCCTGGGTTGATACCTGACATTTCGATTTAAGTTGGTGGTCGGTGGTGAAGCGTCGGAGTTTCAAAAGTGCAACCAAACCACGGGTGCACCGTGCACGCAGTGCTTTGAATTATTATTGACTTGGCCATGGACTCCATTATCGAAATCCAGCGACAGACACACGAAGAGATAGAGAGATTCGACAAGGCTCTCTACACTATCCTTTCGCGCTCAGCAACAACCCACGAAGTTGGTTTGCAGAATGAGCACAAGGCCGCGCAGATACTAGACCGAATCGTGGCCAGAGCCGCGACCTTGGACGCGCTGTACAACGACGAGGAGGCCAGAAAAGCAGAGACAAACTCACTCTCTGACAAGGGAAACCAAAACGACCTATCTGAATTCTACGCGCGGTTGGTGAAAATCCAAGAACATTACAACAAATACCCTGACTCAATGCCAGGAGGGGGATTTGACTTGGAGCTCGCCTATTTCCTGGATGAACCCGGTCAGGAGGAGGAAGACTTTGAGGAAGAAGACCGTGAGTCTCTGAACTCGCCTTTTTCCCTTTCGAAACTGACCATGTGTCTTGTTAGCCATTGCTCTTCTTTTCTCTGGAGAGGAATCCTATGGCCGATACCTCGACCTCTACAATAACCACACTGCTTATAACAATCTGAAAGGGCTTGGGAAGAGGGCTTCATACCTGCAGTACTTGGACCTGCTCAACGCGGCCCAAAACGCGCAAGTGCACTCGGATTTGACCAAAGAGACGAGGTTCAGCAAGGACTACGAAACGTAAGTCCGTGGTTCGGCAATATCTAGGCTACGTTTCTCACTTGAAAAACTTTAGGTACATTAAAGATCTTCACGCCTACCTCCTCTCATTTGCGAAGAAGGCTCAACCACTGTACGACGTCGACTCAGAACAAAAGCAAGCCAAGGAAGAATTCGACAGCAAATGGGATGCAAAGGAAATCGATGGCTGGGAGAGCGAGGAGAACAAGAGTGCCAGCGATGGAGCACCTGGTATCTGGTGTGCCGCATGTCAGTCTTTCTTTGAACGTATTGAAACTTCATTCCGCTGATTGTCGCTCCCAGGTCAAAGGCTTTACGCGAAGCAGACAGTTTATGACGCTCACTTGACTTCCAAAAAGCATATTAAAGCCCAGCAAAAACTTGAAGCATCTGGGGCACCCCCTCCCAATCCCAATGGCCACCCTGAGACCCAAACAGCAGTACCTACCACTAACCAATCCCAGGCAAAACTCAGGACTCGGTCGTCTGCCTACTACACTTACTTGACGACCTCTTTACTGAAGAATTTGGCCCCCGTATTGGCTGAGACCAAGTCGAACGTTGAACGGCGATTCTCGCTTACTGCCCGAGAGCGTGAACAAGAATTGTTGGAGAAGGCCAAACCTCCTCCACCTCCTGTCACTGCCGAAGGCAATGAAGAGGAAGAAGAGGAAGAGCGCATCTACAACCCTCTCAAGTTGCCACTAGGATGGGATGGCAAGCCCATTCCTTATTGGCTATACAAGCTGCATGGTTTGGGGGTTGAGTACAAGTGCGAGATTTGCTCGGACCACGTTTATATGGGCCGGTACGTGACCTTCCAATACTTCTCTACGTCGCTGGGACTGATTGAGCCTAGTAAAAATTTCGATCGACATTTCCAAGTGAGTTACCTTCCCTTGACTAGGATGTCAAACTCACCGAGCGCTGCCAGGAATCACGCCACGCCTTTGGTATGCGGGCTCTCGGGCTTCCCAATACAAAGCATTTCCACGAGATCACCCGAATAGAAGATGCTCTTGCTTGTAGGGCTTTTATTCCCCTTTTCATTGGTTCAAGCCATTGACATTGTTCCTAGTGGCTGAAAAGCTGAAGCGCGAAGGCAGGAACGAAATCTTTGAACAAGAAACCATGGAGGAGTTAGAAGATGACGAAGGCAACGTCTACAACCGCAAGACCTACGACGACTTGAAGAAGCAAGGGTTGATCTAAATACACTTGCTGTTTCCTCGCCGTGTCTTTCCTCGTCATATTATGTTGTACACTAATTCATACATACATGCGCTAGCGCCGGTCTATTCATTATGTCTGTTGGGTGTTGGTTCAGGGTCTCCCGTGAGCAATCTTTTTGGGGGAGGTGGAGGCGGGGGTCGCTTCGTCTGTGTGGGTACCATAGGCGTCTGCAAGGTGAGAGCATGTGTATAGAGCTCCTCGTCCGAACTGGTAGGCGATGCAGATAGAGATCCATCGGGAGAATCGAAAGGGTTGCTCTTGTGGGAGGTATCGAGTTTAGGGAAGAGGGTTAACGGTATAATGCCCAATGGTTGGTCTAAAAAGGAAAAGGTCAGGTAAACGTGATTCTTATAAATAGCGACTTACCCGGTTGATCCCACCAAGCAGAATCGTTGCTACTGGGCGGTGGGGCTTAGGCTCGAATGAGTAACAGATTCATTTGGCCGAGTTGAATATTCATACCTTCTCCAATAAACTTGGGCAAAACTGCCGTCTTTAGCTTTTCGTCCAATTTTTCACCAGGCCGTGTCGATGCAACGCTCTCCAGGAGGAGCTGCGACATCATCGCCTTCTTGACGGGATCCACAATCCGGACCTCTGCTCTGAAAATAGCGAAGACTTGTTCCGACCATCGTGGTTAACTACTTGTCATCCTAGAACAGACACAAACCATACCTGGTTTGTGATCAGAGCCTTTCAATTCCGCGCGGTTGTAAACTGCTAGGTCGAGTTGATTGCCTCGATACAGTATGCGATCTTCGACTGGTTTTTAGCTAGGAACTTGGTTCAGATGTAGGAAGTGCTTACCAGTCCATGCAGGAATGCGCATCTTTTCACTGGTGTCGTAATTATCGGTTCCAAAGTCATATCGATATGTCGGCCGGAACAGAATTGGCCCTTCCTCGTATCCGACAAAAGCTTGGCCAGTGTCCATGGCATGCATCAACTGTACACGGGTTAGATGACGGTAACACGGGCACGAGAAGAGACATGATCCAAGTACCTGGTCAGCGGCCAGAAGTGCATCAAAGTCATCGTTCTCGGCCAGAGTTCGAACGGTGTAGTTATCCAATTCGATCCGGTAATTGGTGTCAGCAAGCCAGATAACATTGCTAGGTCCACTGCATCAGTGGCAATCGATACCGGGGAAATGCTAGACTCACTCGTGGCTTTGAATGGTTTTGCCTTTGAGGAAGTGAAGGTTCTCGTTGATCGTGCGGTAATCGGCATTTCGTTCTTCTGTGTTGAAATGTCCAGCGGCAAGGTGTCCAGTCAAGAAGCAGAAATTGGTGTCGTGATACTCCAGCCGAATGCCAACAGCGCCTTTGTTTCCGGACATACCCCGAAGCCCCGTCTAATAAGGGGGGTGAGCCATATAATTTCATTCGTTCATTGGCATGAAGCACCTTCCGCGTCGTTGCTTCCACATTTCGGATAACGGCAGTCAACTCTGATTTTACTAGGATGATCAAGGCGGAACCGACAAGCTGTAATCAGACGTCAATCAGGCGAACAACATTGTTGTTTTGGTAAGAAGATTACCTGTTCACTTCTTAACAAGACATAGTTGCATGTTTTATTCGGACGTCGATCAAGTGTTTCCAAGATTTTCTTTTCCCAGATCAGTCTGTTCATATACCATTCAGCTGAGCCAGACAAACATGATGGTCGGTGTTGACCTACCGCTTTTCTGGGTCAGTTTGAAGTATCTGCTGTGCTGTCAAGGGTACGATCTCTTGGAATCCTAGGACATACATGTCCGGTCTGGAGTGCGTGGTTAGTGAAATGCGTTTGACGACCGTCAGTTTATGCTTACTCGGTCGAGCCTATGGAAAGATCAGCAAAAGTCTTCACTGAGGACCGTTGGACTCACTTTGAGGAGGGAACAGCCAGTCATTCAAGGATTCTGACGGATGCTAGATCACATACTTAAGTTCAACAGTTTGGAGCAGCCATAGCAGAGGTATGTTACCCTTCCATTGACATTCCACGTTCCAATGAAGAACGTGCACTGCTTTGTCGTCGAATACTCCGGCAGTCTAGAGACGTCGTGTCAGCGTGCAAAAGATCCAAAGAGAGTCCATGTTACCTCTGGTCCAATACAACTCGGACGGAATCATGGATGGGATCGAAGATAGTGACTTGGCGTTGGTTACTCAGGTTCCCCTTAGAATGGTAAGCAAGCATAAAAGTCTACTATGTAGCGAATACTAGCTCACCAAGAACATGTCAATCGACAGTTGCTTGTCTTTGTCCTGGAAATTATTGATGTATGCTCGCGATACACTCTTGGTAGCATCAGATAGAATTCCTTGGGGGGATTTTCAGCCTCCGCTCAAATTGAGAAAAAGAGATACGAACCAGCAAGTGTCCGCTTTCCGGTTCGAGTGAAACTTGTATTGAGGGCCCCAGTCCCTGCATAAATGCGAGACAAGGCATCGCCGTTTTCTGCCCACAATTCTCTATGGTAAGTCCACAGAGTGTTCGATGACAACCACTCTCTCCGAACAAGTTGAAGGTATTCTTCGAGAGTAGTCTTCGATAAGATATCCTGAACAAAGTTTGTGCGGTCGAGACTGATATTGTCAAAGAAATCATCTAGAAGGGCAGTGAAAGTACCCACCAGTCCAGACAGTTGGTCCTGAAGACACCTTTCTGATCTGTGACGATTTCGTCAGCAGAGGCGTCGCACATAGTGAACCCGAATCTGTCGACATGGTCCATCACGCTTTCCACTCGTCTACATGTACATTGGACGTCCGTAAGCGCCCGGTGATGATCATAGTTCTTTTCTCAGACTTACCTGAGTTCGCGAATGACACTATCGTGTCCGGCGATTCTAACAGCATTGTGGAAGTCAAAGTTCGTGATTCCGAGGTCGTCTCCTAGGCCCTGGCGAGCAATGGCCAAATGTCGGGTATATGCTGATGTCAAAGACGCCTCGTTTTCTTTTTGTCCCAGCAGGTTGATAGCATGGACAGCCCCATATTCTTCCATCAACTGGAGGAAATGACGCTCGAAAGCTGGCTGGGAAGCATGTGGCCGTGTAATTTGAATACGATGCCCGAAAGTTTGTAATCCTTGCTGTTCCCAGAATACTAATAACAGCCGCAACTCAGTTCGAAAACCAGGACACAATAGTCGGTAAAACACACACATGGGACGCTGCCACGGACCTGCACGTAGCTTACACAGTGCTGATCGGTGCTGAATATTGTTTCAGTCTTAGGTATTGGAGGTCAGTGATGGTCTATGTAAATCAACCTGGGAGTCTTACCTCAACAAAATTCGCCGTGTTTCCATCGTCATCTATTCCGCGTGTGTTGAATCGAGTGCCTGCACGTTTCCATCCCAATCTCGAGATTAACGCCAAAGTGGCAACAGCCGGTGCTCCATTGGTGGGAGGGGCGGGAAGGCCCATCGTAAAGAGTCCGACATACCCTTGGATGGCAAGTATCTGGACGGGAGTTTCAGAGTGTGTACACGGCAAAAAAAAGTACAAGAAGGGACATACAAGGAACTGACAACGATCAAGATCCTGTCTCTCGTGGTCGCTTAACCTCGCCCGGAAATCCAAGAGGCTGCGGATGATATATTCATTCCAGACGAACCGTTCGTCGAACAAAGACAAGTCGTGTTCTGCACCTCGGTCCCGAGCCTGGCGCGATAAACGGACGGAGAGCCTCGAGGACAAATCCCATGGGGTATCGTATGCATAGTAAAAGGTACCAGAGGAGAGGATCTTGCTGAGCGGAAGACACGGATGCTCGAACGGCGGCGGCGCCCCTGGTGAAGACATGTAGTTGTCTCTGAAGCTTGCGTCAATAGCGTCGGGGCTGACGAAACCGTCGTTTGCTATCGAGTAATCGTCCCATGTCGAAGAGGTCAAGCTGTAGAAGCTAACCTCGTGAATTCTTGCCACTGATTCTGGCGAGGATGCAGACGGCCTGGTATTTCCGACCTCGGTTGCACTTGTTACGACCGCGAGGAATATGTCTGTGAGATCTCCGGTGAGATTGAGAGACTCTGGAGAACGACCCCCTTACCATTCTCGACTGAAATCAAACCAAGGCAGCCCTTGACAATCCGGTTGGTCAATCGGACCAAGTTGCCCAAATCTATCTCGTCTCGGGGTAGGAACTCGACCACGACCTGAGAGTCCTTGTCGGCTGCTCGAAATACCAGAGCTCTTCGTGGTCGTCCTAGTTTCTCATCGTGTGAGCTGGTAACTAGATAGAGTGTTCTGGGTGCATTGGACAGGTAAAGGTACATCAAAGTAGCGAGCTTCGAGCCCTTGTTCAACGGTTGTGTTCACCACGGGGATTCGACAGAATTGCGGTGGCGATATGGTGTACTCGGCGCAGGTCGGTGCTAGCAATTCACAGGTAACAGGTTTATGTCTAAGATTGGGACCCAATCCCGTAGCCTCTAAACCCTTGGCACGTCCGCTCTTGTTTGGCAACGCCGCTTGAGACAAACTTTCGCAATAAATTAGGGCGTGTAGTACTACTGTACAGCTACGAGTCGTCATGAGAGTAACTAGCGGTCCTTCTAATTCCTAAACCAAGCGCATCGCCCCCCTGCGTTCTGCTAAACTCTGTCGAGCGACGAGGAGGCGTATTTAGTCTGAAGCTCTGCGGACTCGAACAAGACCCACGGGCATCTATTTCTTGCGCTCGCAACATGGGCGACCGGGGAGGGGAGAGATAGGTTGGTCGCGGCGAAGGCTGAAGATTGGCATTCGGTAACGGAGACGAAGGTCGTGTTGCTGGGGATCTTGGGGCTATAATTCCGTCCGACGTGTTCTTCCGCCTCATCCGTGGAAATGCATCGAAGGACATGAATGATAGCATCGACCGGAGTAGAGAAACCCGAGAAGCTTTTTGGCGTTGTTGTGATGCAAACGACTGGGGAGAACTGGGTCTCTCGACTGCAAGACAAGGATGAGTTCCAATAAGCCTATTATTTGGGCAACGAGGGGCTCACCAGCTGTCAACGGGATCGCGTGGTCATTCGCGCTCAAGCTCAGGAAGAGGAAAAGTGGGACGAGCCAGACACAGAGGCCGAAAAAGGACGCAATTTCGGTGAAACCTGGTGGTTCGGGAACGACTGCTCGATACGTCCTCAGTCTCCGTGCTTCATTGGTTACTTTGGCGAAATAGAAGAACCATAAAAAGTGGTCAGCGACGACACATATACAGGACGCGATGAAGGACAAAGAAGTGAGATCGATGAGTGGCCAGCTTGCGGAGAAGTTTTGGAGGTAGATGATATGGCATATAATAGAGAACAGAGTCTGTGGGAAGGGTAGATTGTCGGTGAAGTAGAGCAAGATATGGAGGGCGATTATAGTCTAATTGAAACATGAATTACGGCATCTCTTTGAGAAGAGTTGGATACTCACATACGTCCCCCTTTTTCCATAGATTTTGGCTAATCGTGAATGCTCCTCTATCAGCTCTGAAACATACAACAGTCCGCTGGCTAGTGAGAGCGTCACGAAGGCGAATGCGGCTACAATCGCTATATAACTGGATGGAAACAAGTGTCATGACAGAGTTTCCCTAAGAATTAGCGGATACACACCTCAAGTACTGTAGCAGGGCCATTGGCAACAAGTTGAAAGCATGCCACCACGCTTGTAGACTGACACTAGACAACTTGAATGAACGAGTCCACGATCACATCCCTTACGCGCCCAACAACGTGGGATTTTGATGCCAACAGTGGCTGTGCGAGCCCGAATGCTTCGCCGCCCCTTTGAGAGGCTGAGTGCTGTTGAGACGACCTTTGACCGCTGCCACCATGAGCAACCTCGAGAGTCAGTGTATCCTCATACACATATCTTATAAAACTAATATACAGTAGAAACCCTCTTCCAGCTCAAGGCATGTCTAGGGCCTATCCTCGAGTCGGAAGATCCACTAAGCCTTGGTCCAAACACCTATTAACAGTTCACCGCCAAATCGCTCAATCGCCAGGCCAAGAAAGCACAAAAAGATGAAAACACAGAGAAGGCGCGATTGAAGAAGGTCGTCCCAATATCTCCAATCCCACTTCCCAACCACTAATACCTGTATCCCAATTCCAGGCCCTTACACAGGGTAACAACGAAGGCGCCCGGATATACGCCTCGAACGCCATCCGCAAGAAGACAGAAGCCCTGAACCTTCTGCGCCTCGCAAGCCGTATAGATGCAGTCGCAAGTCGAGTAGAAACCGCTGTCACCATGCGTCAGGTCACAGGAAACATGGCGTCGGTGGTGAAGGGAATGGACAAGGCTATGGAGACCATGAACCTCGAGCGAGTATGTGTGTTACCCGTTCCCGTCCCTTTCCCCCCTCTCAAAATGGATTTGTGCAGATCTCCATGGTCATGGATAAATTCGAGGCCCAGTTCACGGATCTAGATGTCCAGACTTCATATATGGAAGACACCATGGGTGCAACGACGGCAATCTCGACGCCCCAAGACCAGATCGACCAACTCTTGCGGCAGACGGCGGAAGAGGCGAACATCGAGATGCAGCATGACCTCACTTCTAAGGAGTTGAATGTGAATTCTGAGATCGCTTCTCCAGCGCTCAAGGACGAGGATGACAAGTTGGCAGAGCGGCTGCGGGCGTTGAGACCAGCTACGTGATATTACCACTCTTGCGTTACCACCTTCTGCATACCTCTGCTGCTCTTGTTCCGATTTATATGTATGTTCACTCACCTACCTTGGATGTATTCGCATTACGACTCTTTTACGACCGAAGTATTCGGATGATATGGCATGGACTCAACCACGAAGTGACTTCATATCATTCCGAGTCACAATAACAGCAAATTACCGCATGAATGATAAAGGAACGTAAAAGGTCTAGGGGGAAAGGGACCATTATCGAAAACATAAAACATAACTGGTGGGTATGTAGGTAGGCGAATGTATCGTGCAGCATCGAAAGCGTAACAAAGGACGTGTGGGGCCTAGAATTATACAACCGTGAACAGAACCGACACCCGTAACGAATTGGAATAAGTCAAGAATAAATGACACTAGAATCAAGCATTAGGAATTGAAAGGGTGGTGCAACAGAGGAAAGGAAATCATTGTGGTCTATAATCATGCAATGGCGATGAATAGCTGTGGGGTCAAGGACAGATTATTGCAGTATTGAAAACAAAGGCGCCATGGAAATCGTTGGTATACCGTCAGAAGTGAACCGATGAAGGAACGTGAAGGATCATAGAACATAGAAACCCGTACCAGGGAAAAAGCATTGGCAAAGACATGGGGGGTTCATTCATGCATTCTGCAGGATAATGCGAACGAACTTTTCCAGAATGAGCCGTTTATCTTGGGAGCTCACTGAAGGCGCGTCGGTCAACAAGCGCTCCACACGCTCGACGATTCCATTCCGACCATCGAATTCTATCTCGCCGGCGTCGAATCGACGGACATCTAAATGGTGACGTCAGTACGTTGCAAAAAGGAGTAGAGGGGAATTAGGTAAATGTGAGCAGGCAAGACCAAGCATGATAAATGTTAGCGCGTTCCTGGCGCTTTAAAGAACAGAGGAATGGTCCTAACAAGCTGGAAGGGGAAGTGTGGACTCACAAGATTTGAACGTGTTGTAACCCCTATCGTCTAGTACATTTCTGAACAACTCCGCTACTTCTTTGCCCAGTTGCGACCTTCCTCCATCCTCCTCCACGTCCTGCAACGGAGACCTTTGTGACCGACCACTTCCCTGGCCATTCGTAGAAGACGACGCGCTCCTTCCTACGACTGATTGGCCTGATGTTGAACGAGTGGTAGAGGAACTTGCCGTCCGAGTGAAGAGGGTTGAAGAGGGTAGGAGAGCTGCTTCTTTGATCGTCGAAGGTGCCCAGTTCAATCCTAACCCGAGGTCGAGAGAACGTCCTCTATTCCCGGGGCGATGGTATCCAGTCGATGATGGAGAAGGAACGGGTACAGGAGGCCGATCCCCTTTCCCAACCAACTTCCTCTCCGCTTCCCGCCGCTTCACATCCTCCTTCAGCCGAGCACCCTTGTCAGTCTTCGATGTCTCCACTGCGGTACTATTACTTCCAATACTCCACGTTGGCGATGGGACTGCTGGTTCAAAGGGGAACGGAGGATGCTGCGCCGTCCCTATCAACCTGGTCAAACCATGCCCGCTTCCACCCGTTCGGCTGGCAGCCCTCCGGCCAGTCGCTTTGCTCAGACTAGAGGATTTCCCCGTCTGTGCCGTTCCACTTGTGGAGGTCGAGGCATTCAGGTTGTCCTCTTTGGAATCATGACCATTGATTGTTGGAATGGGAGGAAGCCTATCCTTGTGGATGTACTCATGCAGTCTCCGCGCCCTTTCCCTCGCCTTTATCTCTTCCTCTGTATCCTTCAACCGCTTTATCGACAAGTCTCTCTGTAAAGTCCCCACTCCCGCCAGCCCTGGACCAAACGTGCTCTCCCGTTGCTCTAAATCCTGGACGAGCAGGTCCCCAATCTTGCTATGATGGCTACCGTTGGTACCGGTGCTGCCCGTCCTGTGCATCAACGATGCGCCCCAACCCGGTCGTTCAAAGTCGAAGCTCCCATGCTTCGTATTCCGAACGTCTATGCTCATCTTCTTCAATCCTGACCGAAGGTGAGCATTTGGTTCCGCCTCCCGGCTCTTGCCCTTCAGACTAGATGTCCTTGACAAGTCCAATCTACCCTCTTCATCCACTACGCTCATGTTTCCACCTCGGTATCGGTATCCTCCGTCCACCGAGTTGAACTTTGGAACGTGATGGGTCATCACTTTACCTTTGGTAGGTAAAGATAATGCGTTTCCGTTGACAGGTGCTTTCTTCGGCGGCGGTGTTGGGGGCTTTGGAGGGGTTAGTTGACGAGGAGGGACCCCGTTTGAGGCCTTCGACGATTTTGGAGGTGAAGGATCCGGAGGTGCGTCTGGTTTGAGTGTGCGGCGAGTTGCAGAAACTGGTCTCCGTATGGGTCCGGAAATACCAGATTTTGGCTTTGAAGACGTGTTGACAGACGCGGAAGTAGAGGGGCGCTGTCGATGTTGGTTGCCTTCAGACGATGTTATCGTTCGACCTAGGGACACCAACCAACGTGGAAGATCGCAGAAGACCATAGAGAAGCCGTGTCCCATCAACGATGAATTCAAATACCCGGGATGGGAGAAATAGCTCCGTACCTGAGAAGAGTTTGGGGAGCTTCAGTGAATTTGATGTCGATCCAGTTGACATGCCGTTGGACAGAGGATCGGATGGTCTTGAGCGAGTAGGAGTCTGGGGTCGAGACGAGTGCGGTGAATGCGATTGGCGCGGTTTCGGTGCAGAATCGTCGCTGAACCCAGTTGTGGGTAATGGTGGGACGTCTGAAGAAGGTTCAGGGGTGTTTGGCCGGGACCTCGAGCGAGATCGTGAGGACTTTCTGTTCGCAAGTGCCAAAGGTATTCCAAAGAGGTTCTGAAGTTTCTTCTTGGGCTTCGGCGTGGTTGGCCGTGACGAGGATGTCCCGTTCAGACTGACGTCCTGCAAAGGCTGAGGTTGTGGAAGGAGAGGTGCAGAGGTGAGCTTTCGCTTTGGCTTGGGAGTCCCCGGAGTGATGGTGTTGTTGGTTGTCGCCGTCGTCGATGAGAGGGGCCTAGAGGGTATCCGCGACACTGGCTTGGTCCCTGACATGCTGTTCGTTGTATCTTTCTTGACGCTTGGGCGGCGGGACAGTTTTGTATCGTCGGACGGGTCCTGCTTTGATCTCGAACGCGATCGTGAACGTGTGAGGAAATTGTAAAGCTGCGCATGACGGTAAGAGCGTTGGACGCAAGACAAAAGAGGAAAACAACATACCCTGCTTTCAAACTTTGCCCTCCTCGATGGCCGTTCGTCGTCTGGGTTTGGGCAGGTCGATTTCTGGTCCTGCAAAGGTTGCCGGGAGTGTCGCTGCTGCAGGCCGCTCATTGACGAGTCGGCAGGCGCCGAGAGTGAAGACCCAATGGTGCCTTGCGTCTATTAAAAGAGGGTCAATCGTGACTTGGAAAACAAGGGGCGAAGGGAAGATATATTGACCTCGAATGAAGTGCTGGAAGTGTTTGGTGAAGATATCAAAGCGCGAAGCTAGACGGCACGGTACACACGTGTTAGGTACAATCTCTTTGGGCCAATTTGGAAAACCTACGTCGTCGAGCACCGAAAACAGACTGCCTCTCGTCTTCCTTGACGACACGGCCGATGTTGTTGACGAGTGTCTTGAATGGTGGCCTCGCACAGCCGACGAGGTCGTCAACGACGAGAAGCGACGGTCCTTGTCCTCGAGTCCGACGTTAAAAGCCATTCGAGGAGCATTCTCATAGCACTGCAATCAACTTGTAGTGTGTTCAATCAACGTCGTTCCTCAGCCGCGAATCTATTCTGTTCTGCGACACAATTTTAATTATGTACCAGCCGTCATCCAAATTGTTTTCCCGGATTTCTGACAATTTTAAAGAGTTTTCTGTACATGTTGGGTAAAGGGCTGAGGTTAGGGTCTGTCACGGTGAGCACGCCATCTTTCATCATTGAGCGTCTTCGTTAGCCCCGCACCTTGGATAATTATGAAGCAACACCGTAAACCTGAGAATATCTCGTTCCACCTTCAAGCTTCTCCATGTCGCTGCCCGCAGTGTCCAAGAGACTTCTCCAGGGTCCGGTCAAGTCCCACCTGCGTCGGTTCGCCCAGGTGTCTTCCTTGAATCCGACGTCTCTGGGTCACCAGCAGCCAGGGCCGTCTTCCTGCCTCCAACCAAGCCGTCCTGCTGCTTACAATCAGCCCCATTTCCCATGTGTTGATGCCCACAAGGCTCGCGAATCTCGTTTGGCCGCGTCAAAACAACGCGCCCCAATCGAGGATGAAGACTGTGGATCTGGTCCTGAACCGCCCTATGCGCGCCCAAACCCTACCACATATCACGTATACCACCATGACAAGCCTCTCCCTCTTTCCTACCATGTGGACCCTCTTCCATCTTTCGATATTGCCTATGAAACATGGGGGACCCTTTCGCCTCAGAAAGACAATGTCATCCTGCTCCACACCGGCCTCTCAGCGTCGTCCCACGCAGCCTCTACGCCCCTCAACCCTGCACCAGGCTGGTGGGAAAAGTTCATAGGTCCAGGCAAGGCCATCGACACCAACCAGTTCTTCGTCATCTGCACTAATGTCATTGGTGGATGCTATGGATCGACAGGCCCTTCTTCGATCGAACCTGGAACTGGCTCCCCCTGGGCTACCCGCTTCCCAGTCGTTTCGATTTTCGATATGGTCAGGGCCCAGTTTCACCTCCTGGATCACCTCGGCATCAAGAAGCTCTACGCAAGTGTCGGATGTTCGATGGGTGCTATGCAGAGCTTGGCGGCGGGGTGGCTCTTCCCTCAACGAGTCGGCAAGATCGCATCCATCAGTGGTACTGCACGGAGCAGCCCTTCGGCGGTCGCCATGCGTTATGCGCAGAGGAGTGGTGAGTTTCCCTCCATAAGTCTGATGCGAGTAATGAACTGACTTGAGTGCTCCAGTGTTGATGGCAGATCCCAATTGGAACAATGGTTTCTACTACGACGGACTCCCCCCACATACTGGCATGAAGCTTGCCCGACGTAAGGCGTGATCCTCGCAAACAGTCGCAGATTCTGACTCTCCCTTTCAGAGATTGCCACGATCACCTATAGGTCAGGTCCTGAGTGGGAATCTCGCTTTGGTCGACAACTACGTCCCATGCCAGAGTCAGACACCTCTGAAAACGGGGTTAGAACACCTGCTCTATGCCCTGACTTCCTCATTGAAACCTACCTAGACCACCAGGTATGGTTTAGATCAGTATCTGTCACACGAAAGGTAGTCTAATAACTGCTACCAGGGCGAACAATTCTGTCTTAAATATGACGCCAACTCCCTTATCTACATCTCCAAGGCTATGGACCTTTTCGACATGACCCTCCCCGCCCTCCAAGCGCTCAATATCCGAAGCGAAGGATCGACGCAGCCTTCCCATCCACACGGAAATGTTATGACCCACAAGACGTCTCACTCGAAATCACATCCTCCGCCCGTCAATCCGCCACCTCATCTCAGTGACCTAGCAGCTGGAATGGCGCCGTTAGCGCACATCCCCACATTGGTCCTTGGCGTCCAGAGTGACATCCTGTTTACCGTCGAACAGCAACGTGAGGTAGTCGATGCTCTGAGGATGGCAGGAAACGAGAACGTCAGCTACTACGAGTTGGGTGGTGTTTGGGGACACGATACATTCCTGTAAGCTTCCTTCGTCTCTTCCTAATGAGGATCGTACTGATTCGATCTGTAGGCTGGATGTTGTTAATGTTGGAGGCGCCCTCCGTGGCTTCTTGTCATGACTTGGATTCAAAGTACACCATCTGTTAGACTGTAATTTTATTATCCGCATACCATTTGTTTTGGGCTTTGGGCCACTCTTGTACGAGATGTAATCACACGCTTTCGAATTCATATAACACTATTCATTGTCTACGTGACTTCGAGTAACGTTTGGGAATCCAACTGCAGTGCGCGGATCTGACGATGCACGTCATCGGGACAAATAAAGCAAACCGCTCTGCAGCGCCTTCGTTGTTTACTTCATGGCTTCACTGAGTCCATTGCTGCGGTACCGACGCTACACTGGTATCCTCCACCTCTCTTTCCACTACCACGACCGTTACGACAAGAAATTATGAACCGCTTATTCGGAAGCTCTGCCAGTAAGAAACCCGGTCCTTCCCTCCAAGATGCAATTGCATCGGTATGTACCCCATCGTTGGACTCCTAAATGACACCCCGCTTTGATATCGGGAGACTGAACAGCAATTATCTGGGTTCTGGAAATAGACAGATGCTCGAGCGGGATCGATTGAAGTGAAGATACGCAAACTCGATGCAGAGCTGGCTAGATATAAAGAACAAATGAGCAAGTTGCGGAACGGGCCTGGCAAAGTAAGTATTCTCCAACCACCAGAGCCTTACCATGTAACACCCCCCAGTCTGCAATCCAACAACGCGCACTCCGCACTTTGAAGCAGAAGAAGATGTACGAGGCCCAAATCGCACAACTCACACAACAATCTTTCAATATGGAGTCTGCTGCGCTCACGACAGAGAACTTGAGGAACACGATGGCGACTGTCTCTGCCATGGAACAGGCCAACAAACAGATCAGGAAACAATATGGCAAGATTGACATCGACAAGATTGAGGTAGGCGTTCCCTTTGATGACCATGACTGGGAGCTATAGTTTAATTGATCTTTCTCAAGAACATGCATTATGATATGGAGGAGTTGATGGAACAAGCCAATGAGATTCAGGAAACGTTAGCGCGCTCGTATGCTTTGCCAGACGAGATAGACGAAGCGGATTTGGAAGCAGGTTCGTAGCCACATCCCTCCACGATATACTTCGCGGCTAACCATTGGACAGAACTTGATGCATTGGAATTAGAAGAGGAAGAAGAAGGGCCTTCATATCTCGCCGATTTGAACAAAGCACCCGATTTCATAGATGAAGCGCCGGTTGAACTCGAGGTAATGCTATACTCCTCCTCTTCACCGAACCACAGTCCTAACTCGGCCGTTAGACCCCAGCGCAACCAGAAGCGGTCAAGACGGCGTAGTCCCAGCGGACCTCTTTTGTGTACTATATCTCACTCCATTTACCGGTGACCCCGACCATATTGACGCCTTGCACCAACAATTGTCTCCAGACCGACTCGCTTGGGGAGTATTCCGCGTCGACTGGGCTAGCAATTCTATCGATTTGACTGTTGCAGATAAATTAGCGTTTTGACTGTGTGCAGGCACAGCGCTTCAGAGACAACTCAGTTCATTCGGGAAGTTAGAAATACCATTAGGCACAAGCAGACCATAACAACGCGTCTCTCACGTGTGCAATGGACCTCCATGGACGCGCGCCTAAATGTTCTACATGATGATAAGTATACTGCCGCTGGCCGTTGCAACGGCAACAAGCAGATAGTACCCCCGCATGTAATACGTCTATTTGAGCTCATTGCTGCTGGACTAGGATGGGCGCCTGTGACTGTGTTTGATGTGTAAACCACGACTGAAGGGGTAAGTCCGAATTAGCGTTTGCCAAACTTTCAATTTTAGTAGACCTCATGTCAATCGGCAGCAACCGAGCTTGGGGCAATGATATAAACTCCGAGTCTCTCTCTTCTGCGTCATTCCCGAAAGTTCCTTCGTTCCCCACCCACAAAATGTCCACTCAATCTGTGAGTGTGAGTCCTGTATACATGGCCTGTTGCAGACGATTTGACGCGTTCTTAGGCCATCCCAAAAGGCTATACCTTCGTTAACCCCGAGACTATGATTACAGTCAAGGGCAGCGACTTATTCAAAGAGCTGATGCACCAGGCCGACAAGCGCGACCCGGACGCGTTCGACATGTACGTATACAACGGTGAGTCCTTCCTCCTCGCGTATTTGCATTGACTAGCATTTATGACGCGTATATTGTGTAGATTTCTTCGCGTATGGCGTCTTGGACCTCGTCGACAAGACCCTGTCAACTCTACACTCCAAAGTCACCAAGAAAGCCTGGGACGAGGCTTATGCTATCCTGGAGGGTATTACATGCTTCATGGATTGCGAGTCGGTCTGGACCCGTGAGTCAACATTGGCACAATTGGACGTATGCGTGAATTTCTGACATAATTCCTTGCATAATTCCGTTAGAATGCGATGACGGCCAGCGCGTCAACGCAACCAAGAAAGCCTACGCAGCCCTAGCCATTGCCATCTTCAAAGGACTTCGGCAAGAAAATCGTCTCAGCACCACTTCTTTCCCTAGTTTAGAATGCTGCCTCAAGAACGTCACCGAACTTGGTGACATGTTGGATGGGATCGGCAGCTCCACTGGACTGGGCAGAATAGCACGGGGCCTCGCTCGAAAGATCTTCAAAGACAAAACCGAGGAACAGGTTTGTCTCGAGAAGAAATATCGCGAGGAGTGGCTCAGCTCGCTGGACGCAGAGGCGAGGGAACAGATTATGGAAAATGACGAGGTCGAAGACGGTAAGGATGCAGAAGGCGATGGAAAGCCCTGGCACATGAAGGGTCGAGTGGACGATAACATGGACGCACCAAAGCTCGCTCTCAGCCGTGCGTGGAAGGATTACAGAGCTTTTGTCTCTGCAGCCCCCAAGGGGCCATTGCGAGGGGGAAAATCCTGGGACATATCCACCTGGTCTGCCGCCACCAAAGCCGAATTCCAGTTCGACAACGAAGATGCATTTGGGTTCTGATACTTGCAGCTCAACTGTATACATGTACCGTCCTGTGTCCGCATCCGTATATTCAATGAACTTCAGACGCGCCACTGGCAATCGATCGATGGTCGCCGAGCGAAGGTAGTGTGAAAGGAAATCCTGTGCGCGAATCTGGGCTGCAGAAGAAGGCAGCAGGTTGGCTCTAGAACGCGAGTTTGGCGGCAGGCGAGGAGGGCCTATAGGACGACTCGGGTGAAGGACGTCATCCCTACTTCACCTGGGGCAGAATCTCCAGCATTCAATATTTAATATCGGGGTTGGCCTGAGACGGTATGATGCATGATGGCTCCTACATTTTGTTGGCCGGGTCGAAAATGCCGGTTTCGAAGTTCACCGCTAGCCCTTCAATTCTCCAGTGGCCAATGGTGCCCATGGACTTGTTGTCTCGCGGAGTCTACTCCAATATCGTCTATTTGGGAGCCCTCGAAGCCCGGACAGAGAACCATGAGGGGCAGCGAGCCTGCCTTTCGTCGACGTGCAATGGGAGTTTCACAGAAGCTTGCAGGGATAGCGGAGATTGGGACACTGCTCGCTAGTCGTCGAGGAGCCTTGTCGCAGATTGAAATCGGACGCGAAAGACTGCATGAGACTTCAACGTGTGTAACCACAGGAAGCCTTGACACGGGGTCTGGTGGGCCCACAGTGTGGGACTCTATCGCACTGGCCCGATGAGCTGACCGTGGTCTCTTCGGATCGAGAGATTCGCATCACCATGGCTATTGGGCTTAGTATACCCAGCCTCCCAGTCGATGTCATTTTGATTGCCCCTTTGCAGTCGTGTGCAGGGATTCCATGGAGGGGGAAGTGGTCCCACATTGGGGCGACCGATTGTGTTTCTCCAATTCGTTCTGCCTCCCCCGTCGAAAGAGAGCGCTCCTCTGGACCAAACTCTCAACACAAACATCATCATAGGGTTCGACAAAACTCGTGGTAGGTGGAAAGACATTGCGTACTTTCATTTCCGGCGACAGTGCGAAGGATCGTACGCCCTGCGATGTGCACACGATCAGCAGAACTACCTTGTTGGGCTGGATTAAGGGGCTGGCCCTATGGCAGGCGTTCTGAACAGTCACTTGAGAGGTGGCAAAGACCCACGACTCGAGGGAATTCCACAGCGATGCTGACTATGGACCTGGAGGGAGCAGGGACGTGAGGGAAGGAAAGAAAGGTCTACCGACACGTTTATATCAGCCCGACCTGCCTTTACATACGACGAAAGCGTGTGGTTTCATGTTTCGCAGAAGGCGCAATGACGGTCCGAATATCCGGAGACAGCGGTCGGACAAGCGCGAGCGCTTTTGATGGACGCGCTGTACCCGCGCGCAACACGAGTGGCACCATGTCACTCGAAAGGAAACCCTGTCGATCCTAGGGCTGAGGTAAGAGGCAAAGAACTCGTATAATAAATTGGAACGCGCATACCCCATGAGCTTTCCGTGCGTGTCCTTCTGTCTCCAATTCTTCCATCCTCCCGCCAAACTTCACGATGCCTCCCCCACAACGGAAGACCATGTTAAAGTAGTTCACCAATCAACGCTAACATTCACTGGCTTTCTGACTATAAGCTTCATACAGTTCTCCAGCGACACCTTCGACGTATTCCTTCCAAGGGTCAAATTCCAGCCATTCCAAAGATAGCGGGTCGGTAATACATTGGCTGCCGGCGTATACACAGTAACTGATATTTTAAGTTAAGAGCTGGTGGAAGGACATACCATATGCCAAACTATGTAACCAGGTTAGTGCCGACTCCTTAATCTTAACTCCATTCATCTACAACCTTGCAGCTACGCAAACGAGAAATCCAGTTTGATCACCATCCATTTAGAAGAGGATCGCGGTGCAAGGAAAATTAGTGTCTTCTTTGCGACCATGATCCTCATCTTCGTCGGCCTTCCTATCCTGTTTTCCGTATCAAGGATCTACGGGGCTTCGAGTCAATCCGGTGATTCTATCCGGATGCAGACGACCCGTGACGAACCTGACGCAGCTGGAAGTCCCCTGTTTGGCCACGAGGTTCCCGGTCGGGGTGTCAAGCATGCTGCCCCGCCCGCAGATCATGAGGCACGGAAAGGGCGTTCAGAGAACCTGTCCACAGCCAGTTCCATCGAGAGGGAGGCTCTGGCGACACAAGGAACCTTGTGGGGCACGCCCCAGCCAGAAGAGCGCTGCTTGGGATTCGAGAAAAGGCTCTATACTGCGAGGTTGCGAGCATCTTCCCTCCTCTCAGACGGGAGACGGGTCTGCGAGAGGATGCCTATTACTATCCGTGGGGTCACCATCAATCAGCCAGACAGCTGTCAACGCCGAGTAGGTCTTTGCCTCACGCCGGTAAAGGATCACCACTAACTCCTGCCCCTAGTGGCCATTCGGTCAGGTAACGGGTTACTGGATGGTCGAGGATAAGGGGTGCAGTGCACAATGGAGCAAGTTCAACGACAAGGTAAATCCCCCTTTGCGATTACCGGGATCGCCATGTTAACTCACTCGCAGGGGTGTATCAATAAAGGAGTACGGGTAAGTCGTCGTCCATGCTACTGGCCCACACCGGTCGTTGAGATATCCGAAGCTTGTCTCGGCACGTCTTCTTGGGGTAAAGGCCAACGAGGACCGGAAGGCCATATGTGAAAGCATGCCGGCTATGATTCGCAAAAAGCATTTCAAGAAACCACACACATGTCACGAGGTATAGTCCAATGTACTGGCGCTCTGCTTGAGTACTAATCGTTCGAAAGGGATTCTGGGGGTATTACGGCCAATGGGAAGTCGATGATCCTGCATGCTAAAGCGTTTAACGGAATTAATGGCGGTGATAAAATATAGTATTTAATCCTTGTCCGCTTGCACACCTTTATATTATCCAGTTCAACTGATGTATGAGCGAGACGGGACAACCCTAGTTCGTGAGGGTGCTGGGAGAGCGCAGTCTCCGAAAAACAGACATCAAGGTCTGCCCACCATCCGAGCCCCATCTGTGACCAGGCATAAGTTTAAAAGGTTAAAAATAAACCTAGGAAACTCGTACGCACTCCCCGGCGGCAATTTCCTTGCAGCACTGCTCAAATTCATCAGAACCAGCAACTTCGTCCCACTTGTCAATGACGTAGTCCTGTCTCTCAGCCGTCAGTTTGCTACTTTATTTGAGGGTGACTAGTGGACTTACCTCAACCAATCCATAGAGTTCGTCCCAAGTATAACTGGCGAGAAGCAATGGGAAGCACGACTGCGGGGTGATGGTCGACATAATGTGTTCCAGAGCGAGAGTTGCGAGGCCGTTCATGGCATAACGATGTGCAACTTGGTACATAGCCAACGCTGATGCCGGGGGAGGGGGTGGGGTGGGGTGGGGATGAGGATCTGGGACAGGTGGCGGTAATGGGCGGGCTGCACGGGGAGAGACGGGATAAGCCCTTGAAGTAGCAAAACCACTGGTAGCAATTGGCACTGTTTTTGGCCGCGAAGTTCCGCTCATTGAAGCTCCGGGCCCCAGGGTTGAGGTATTCGTGGTAGATCGCCTGGCCCCAGAGGTTGCAGGACGGGCGACGGTCGGAGGTGCTTTAGAGCTTGTACCAGCGGGTCGAGTGGAAACAGATTGTCCGGATGTTTGGGGAGGAACATCTTCAGGTATGTCAGACTTCTTGCTGGTAGATCTGCTGATTCCACTGGCAGGGATGCTGTCTCCACTCGTGGCACTCCTGGCATCGAATACATTATCCTCTGCTGCAGATTTGTAAAACGTTTTCCATTCCCACTCATTCTCAGGAGAAGTGAGCCATTTCGCACTCCATCCGGCACCCACACCTTCTACGGCGGCTCTGGGATCGTCGTTCTGTTTGAACAGTAACCAATTAGCGTAACAGAACTTGAGTAACCAATAGATTGTTTCGAAATCGGCCTCCTCCACGACTATGGTGTGTATCTTGCGCTCTCCTGGAACAGTGGAACTAGTTTCAGAGAACGACGATGATAGCATGGTTGCGAAATATTCCGATCTCCGAACAAGGATATCGGAGTGGGCATATATAACGCGCTTTCTTGCGGTCGCCTGAGAGGAGAAGGGATGGCGGGGGGAGCCCAACGACGATGAGGTCTGTCGAGACATGGAAGACGTCGAGGCCGAGAGAGGCGGCTCATCACCTTCAACAAGCCTCTCAAGGCAAATGAATTTGACATCCCCAGTGTCTGTAACTAGTGAGGATCAGACTGGCAGAAAGGAGTTGAAACAATGCTCACTGGGGTTGTCTAATGATGCTTCTAGGCCGTCAAGAAGATCCCGAGGGACGTAGCAGGTTGCGGGTTGCTGTGGTATGCTAGGGCCGGAAGGTGAATGGATCTGGAGACAAATTACAAATGAATCTGTCTCCCGTATTCTTTCATTCCTGAGGAGATCAGAAAGGGAAGGAAGCGGGCATTCTGGGAATGTACCGTTAGCTTGCGTCGATCTGGTGTTTGTACTGAGCAATGTCATACCCCAAACCTCGCTCTCCTGTCTGAATACCCAATCATGTTGCCAGAACTCCCATACCCATTCTGGGCGAGCACCTCTTTGACCTGTTTTGTCTTCCTGGCATTTGATGGCCGCCATCATCGTGGCCGATGTTTCCAAGTCGCCCGACCCGTAGTCTAAGAACAGAGAAGTAATATACAGAGACAGGAGTGCCCTTCCAGGCGCGTCTCCAGGGGTGGTCAGAGCTGAGAAAAGTGTTATCACGGCTCTCAAATGCGATTGTAACAGACATGCCAATTTCCAGCTTGAATTTGCTGTCCGCCAACGTCGGTGACTCTTTCAATATCTCAAAGTCATCTGCAGAAAGTTGTGGTTGGTCAGTGCCAGTGGGGGATCCTTCGACAAAGTTCCGCAGTTTGGCGATGTCTTTAACCGCCCATTCGAAACCCTGGCCATAGACACTGTGAGTCAGACAAAGGGCCTTTCAACATCGAGGGACTTACTGTCAGTGACCACTGGCGTGTGGTTTCAACTGCCTCCTGCCTCAAAGGACCATTGGAACCTATGGCGTGAGCACCTGCCCTGGGCGTATAATTGGCCCGCCAGGTCGTCAGAGGTGCCATAGGCACATTGCCAGAAGCAGAGGGTCCGGAACTTGAAGCTCTTGGATCCCAATTGGACTGGGAGACTGGGGTGGACATTGTGGACGAGCTCAAGGGAGATTGAGAATTAATACGGTGAGGATATGTTCGGGTGGCCCAAGGCCAGTCAGGTCTACTAGTAGAAATCGATTGAGAGCGCCGTGGGGAGGCTGTCGTTGACGAACGGAAACTGTCAGACATCGAGGTCAGTGACAAAGGGGCTCATCGCGTCGACGCGGACCTTTTCTGGCTTTGATCCCTTGGCAAGGTACCACCACGATGCACCCAGCGCCCTGAACAGCTTTGCCCGACTCAGGACGACCTACGCTGCGACATGGCTTCGAACCCCGGTGGTAAGCCTCACCGTTCAATAGTATTTTCTATATATTTAATGAGTTTACCAGGCAGCACGTCACAGTCCGATTTCTGTACGTGTCCCTACGCTGTTGGTTATACACCAGCTACATGACGGTGCGTTTAGACCAGGAGCGAGCCCAGGATTTCGTTGATTTACATGAACAAGTAGAGGTGAGCAACGCGAAAGGTTCAGCAGTGGTGGTTACGCTAAAGGACGTTCGTACAGACAAGCGTGCAGCTTCTCGACTCCCTTGAAACGTTCCTGTCGACATTTCAGAAGGATCTTAATGCGGTGGCTGGTCAAATATCGGAACTGCAGGACAGGAGCAAAGATATTGAAGGGCGATTGAAGAGTCGAAAGGTTAGCCAGACGATCGCAATTTTGGGCCCTCATACAAACGCAAGCTTCCTAGAAAATCGAGCGCCCTCTCTCAAGTCTGCTGTCTGACATTACCATCTCGCCCAACCTTTCCAAGACTATCCTTGATACAAACGTTGGAGAATCATGGCTAGAAGCCATTGAGCAATTCGAAAAGCGGCTTATCACATCCAAATCTCGAACGCGGGTAAAGGCCGCAAGGGATCTCGGGGAGGTAGCGGAAGGCCTTCGGATAGTGGTATGTCACGTCGTGTCGGCCAGCTTCACAGAACTCAAAGTCGATTTCCACAGGCGGCCACTAAGCTGAGAGGATTCTTTCTGGCTCTTTTCCAACCCATTAGAAGCAGTGTTACCACCAATATGCAAGTCATTCAGACGTCAGTGCTGCTGAAGTATGCACCCTTGTTCGGCTTTCTGCAGCGACAGGCTCCAGCGGTAGCCAACGAACTTCAGAGGGCATACGCTGGAGCCGCCAGGCTGTACTATGAGACGGGCTTCCGCCGTTATGCCAGGAGTCTAGGTTGGATCAAGGTTCGAGCTCTTCCTACTTGAAGGACTGGAAACGCCAACTCGATTTCACGTTTAGGCCCGTTCCTCAGAGAAGTTCGAGTCCATTGCAACAGGCGATGCGAGAAACATCAGCATTAATATTGAACGACTCCAGCACGGAAAACTGGATGGTCCTGGAGTCACTCTAGGTTATATGGCGGATGACAAGAACCACGTGTGTAACCCCAATATTGCATCTCGACTTCAACTGAGCGCTTCTCGCAGAAAGAGCCGATTGAAGGTCTTTTGCGCTCACTTCTACTCGTCTTCATGGACAATGCAACATCCGAGTACTCCTTTATATCCAAATTCTTTGTCTCGTCACCATCGCCGCCCTCTGTCGACTCTAGCTTATCCTTACTTACACCCACCGCTGTCGTCCCCACTCCAAGTGCCATGGCCACGCCTGAGACTGCTGTGTTCGCCGAAGCCCGTTCACCGGTTAATTCGGAATACGGAGGTGGCTCTAGACAGGTTTCCGTAGTGCAACCCAATATTTCTGGAGTCGTCCCTCAAATGACATCCAAGGAAGAACAGGCAGTTGTTGATGCCATCTGGAAGCAAGTCATGGACCCGGTGCTGGAATACTGCCAGGTAAGACCAAAAATACACGCTCGCAAATGTGCCTCCCTCTAAGCTCCTTACGCCAGACCTTTGTTCGCTCAGCCTTGGACCCCATGCCTCCGACTATCCCCTTGCTCACAATAATCCGCTTGACGGAAGAAGTCGTCACTGAAATACAGAAGCGACGCTGTCCCCCCGCTGAAACCTTCATCTTCGGTCTTAGATTGCAAATGTGGCCCATCTTCCAAAAGGCAATGCACGAGCATATCGAGTCCTTGAAACGACTCGCCGAAGGCACAAGCACAGGCTACTTTAGCAGATCGTCTCCCATTACCGACGCGGTAGTCGCGAAAGTAAGCGTTTCAGCATGGAGAAACACCGCAGAACTAACTTTCCCTAGGTATCCCGGCAATACGTCCATTTCTTCAACTCATTCGTGTACCTGACTGAACATGAGGAGGAGACGATGATCTTCTCCAAGTAAGCATCCCTCCCCCAGTCAGTATTTCTTTACTAACCTTGGCGACCAGTCTTCAACGACTGAGAGAAGAACTTGTTAAACTCGTCAACCGACATACGGAAAGAATTACGGACAGAGTGACGCGAGCCACAGCTCAGTCGGCTATCTATGAGGTCATCCTACAGGGACTGAGTGTGAGTAATGTAGACATCCTTATAACTGTGGAACTAACGCCGGCTTTCTAGACTGGGACTCAGCACACTGCCCATCTAAAGCTCCAGAAAGAAATTGCATTTTGGTCATATGTGGACGAAGAGGCCAAACGCAAGATAGTATCTGCTGGTCAGTCCCATCGTAGCCACCCGGAAGGACACCGCACTTAGACTACTCGCATCTCAGTTTCAAGCCATGTAAATCGATGACCATTTATTCACTCGGTAGTTACCGTATCCCGTGTAAACTGGCTGCATGGACTCGGACTCTTACACCACCAGTTGGGCAAGAGCCATTGGCGACATCAGGGTTTGATGTCGGCTGACCTCACGGCCAAAACATCAATTGACCTTACAACAGTCTCCGTGGGATGTCCGGAACTTGATCTCGCGTCGACAATCTGAATGATCTCGGTCGACCTACAGTGAAGCTCTCGCTGAGCTTATGGGCAAGATATCCCTGAGACCCCTCCTACTCAGAATCATAAACGGACCTGCGTTCGAGCGGTTAGAGAATTTGGTTAATTTTATTTGACTTTACAATACCGCACTTTGTCTACTTCGTAATCAGAAAGGAAATTAGGGCCCGCGTGCTCGAGATTCATGCGCTGCACAACATGAAGCTGGACTTGGTAGGCGGGACTGGATGCAGGCTGAGCCGCGAGAAAGCCGCCAGCGGACCCGCCCACGTGATCGATGGTTCATATTCTGGTCGCGGCGGCGCGTTGTTCTTGTCCTGTTCTTGTCCTTACCTCCCTCAACTTCCGCAGCGCGGTGCCAGCGAAATGGCCTTCCTAGCCCAGCCTCCTTCTCCCTCTGGCGGTAAGTTTATGAAACTGATATTCTGGCTGCTCACGCGCACGTCTAACATCCTTTTCATTCATGCAGGGCGAGGTCCGCTGGAACTGGCGATGGCCTCAGGTATCTGTAGTAACTGCAAGTCGTTGGTCGGTCTCCAGTAGAGACTCACTGTTCAACCCGCTCGCTGATGACGACGCCACGAACTGAGGAAGTCCTGCTGATACGTATTGCTCCTTTCACTATCTCATAATTTATTCGTCACCTGTGTATGCAACCAGTAATTTCTTCTTTCCAGGCTGGTAGGATTCACTTTATTATCTACGACCAATAATCATTAGTTCATTGATATTGTACCCTTCCGTTGCACACATACAATGTAAAGGCTCTCAGCCGCAAAGCCAATGCACGAGTGAGCTGTGTAGCAGCATTTTAAATGTCCCTCCCAAGCTGAATATAAGAATAGACCCTCTCAAGGACCTGCGAAACGTCCTAAAAGCCTTATATGATTGTCAATTCGAGGCACCTGGAAGGTCACACTGGATCCCCTGCTGAGCTCACTCCTGTTCACTTTGGGGCCTCCGGGATTGACGTCGCACGACATCTACTCTCAGCCGAGCTCGAGAAAATCGATGATTCGAGATCAATCTAGCTCGTCGCTACATCAAGCGATATTCGGGCGCCCACCTCCAGTGTTCAGGTCGGTGATCTCAGTGTGACATCTGTCCAGACTGGTGGTGTATTGTACTACTCGTTCGTTCCGAGTGTTGTGCCTGAGTGTGCTGTTGTTTGTCGAGGTCTTGGCCACACATTGGATGGCTCAAGCGCCGGCGCCTTCAACCCTTGTCCCTGTCCACGATCCCTCTGCTTTGCCATTATGGCCAACGACTCTTCAAATCAGGCCAAAGTGGCCATACCTCCCTTGAACTTAGAGGAAGAAGGTAAATCGAACATGGTTTCATGACCGTACAACACGGACTGAATATCGTGCTAATAGTCTTTCGCTTTCGGCAGACAACATCATCCTGACGCGGATTACCAACGACGAACGGCCACTCAGGCGTGTATTAAAGAGATTCCATGGCTATGTTGCTGCCGTCTGCCCTCCCGGGCCTGTAACAACGTCCGCCAGCTCGATTGAAGATGCTCGGGAAGCATTCTTGGTAGAATTGGCGTCGTATCAACTGTCGTTGAAAAAAAGTGCCATGGTTTGTGAGGCAGAAACGAGGCAGGTGGAAGAATATAGGCGGGAAAGGCAGAGAATAGGTGCGTACCTCGCTGAAACAGATTGCGTGCCGGTGCTCAAATACCGCGACACGAGTAGAACAAGAACACGAGGTGCTACGTACGCAAATCGAGGAACTGAAGGTGGCCTTGGAACATGCCCAAATGCTGAGGCGGAGAAAGATTGAATACGACCAAGTAACTGAGCGAGTCAATATGCTGCCGCCACGAGACGAACTGGAGCAGTGAGTTGGTCACTGGCGACCCCTTCGAGCAAGCGCTGACTATCCGAGCAGGGAAATAAGTGCTTTAGAAAACGACATGGCTGCAATCAGAGCAGAACACGACACACAAGACAGGACACTTCACAGTCAAAAGGCTGCTCTGGATGACATCGTCACAGACCTCACCAATCTGCGGTTTATTGGCAAAGACAAGGATGCTACATCTATTCCCACTTCGCCCGAAGACGCGCCCGTTGATCTTCCAGAAACCGGGCCTGAACCAACTTCTGAATCTCAGTCGACGCCAGACAACGAAAAGGATAACAGGAGCGAGGCGACCGCCCTTGATGTTAGCACTTCAGACAAGGTCCCGGAAGAAGGTGCTGTCGAAGACGACATTGAAATGGGGGAAGTGGAAGAAGAGCCGAGGGACAAGACGAAGAAGAAACCGAGAGAAGAAGAATTGGAGGAAGGAGAGGCAAGCGACCAGAGTAGTGAGCTCTCGGAGCCTCCGGATGATTAACAGACCACTACTTGTTTCTTTTGCTCCTCTCTCTTTGGATATAAAGGTTTCATTTAGTTTATTCCTTCAATTGTACATCAATACTAAGTAGGTCGGTTGCACAAATGACCTCTCTGCCAAACTCGTGCTCCGCCAGCTTTGCGATTCCTTCCATTATCTTCAGCGATTCGGGGCTATTGTCTCCGGGATATCTGGCAGAGAAATGGTTGAGAGCCAGCCTTCTAGCACCAATGCTTTTCGCGAATGCTCCTGCCATTTGTGGTGTCGAGTGTCCCCTTGACTTCGTCCGTGCCTCTACTGACTCGTGCGTGTCGTCAGCTTTGGTATTGGGGTCTAGACCCGGCAAATGGGCATTCGTTGCTTCATGGACGAGCAAATCGGCGTCCATAGCGAGTGAACGAATCGGGGAGGGGTCGTATGTGTCGCCGAGAATGACTACCTTTCTACCAGGGCGACGCGGAGGACCTTCGAGGATAGTTCCATCGTTCAGAACGACGCGCTCCCCCAGTTGCAACTGACGCATGACCGACATGGGCGTTTTGGTCCTGACTATATGGGGCTTGTACTTGGAGGCATCGATCTTCCCTGGGACTGGCGCTTCGGTCACGACATACCCTACACAGGGTACTGAGTGGAGTATGGGCGCCGCAGATACAGAGACCACTTCGTCGCGATAGATGTCAGGCCAGACACCGTTGACCATTGCGATGTTCCGCCCTGCAGATTCTGCTGGAGGTGGGGTAAATCCGTGCGCAATGTCGCCCTCTGGGTCGGAAGGAAATCTGAGTTCGTGGACGACGTATGGCCGCCCGAGTAGAGTGTATGTACACGCCAGGGCAGACCTGATATATGCACGCGTCCCCATTGGACCATATATTTCTAAAGGCTGATAGATTGTTAGTGTCTTGTACGCTGGCCTTCATGGATCAAACGCACCGGGATACTGGTGTCCACGACTCGTCGAGGATCCTCCCCTTGTCCCTGCTCTTCGACGACCCCTCCTGCACCGTTCATGCAGCTGGCAAGAAGGGGAACTAATCCGAAGATATGGTCGCCTAATAGAACCAGCTCAGTGCTGAGTGGAACGACGACGGCGCGGAAAAGTATTCACCATGGGTATGGGTGATGAAGACTTTCTCGATCTTCCCCATTTTCACCGTGCTTTTCTGCAACTGGTGCTGGGTAGCCTCCCCACAATCGAAAATCCAAACATCACGATTCAAGCGAAGCGCGAGGGCTGAATGGTTTCTTGTCGAAGAAGGCTGAGCTGACGCTGTTCCCAGAAAAGTGATCCCAAGGGACTGCAAAAGAGATCGTTTCTGTACAACAGCAGCCATAGTCAATTGTCGATTGCGGAATCGCGGAAGACCTCTGCTGGGCGAAAGATGTGTAAGACAGGGAAAAAAAGAATGTCCGTAGCTGGAATCGAACCAGCGGCTCTTCGGAGCTTGTGCACATGGCAACCACAACGAAGTGATTTAACCCCTAATCGATACGGACCCATTGAAATGTTGGGCCAGTGTCACATCTATATACCCATCGCGCATCAGGACCCAACATGTTACAGTGGAATACACTGTGCAAACATCAAATGAGACCACCTGGACAATTACATCTATCGGACTGTGGAACTGTTCCCAGCCGGAATGAATTATGAGGAAGGCTGTGGCCTTGTGGGATACATGGTTGGTCGAGGAATAGAGGGTACGAATGATTTCCTAGTAAAGGATTGAATTGTCAATAGTCTCCCCGATGAGCTCTACAGATTGCATACCTATTTAAAGCCAGGCCCTTCAATGCACGGATCTCTTTCTTCAACGCCTCCTCAGCGGGACTAAGACCATAGGACCCCGAGAAACCAAGACCGCCAGGCGGCGGTCGATAAGGCACATAAACCTGACTGCTGATGTATCCCGTGATTTCTGTCAGGGTTTCTAAAGTGTGTTGGAAGACACTGGATCGAGGCTCTTGTTGTTTTGGAACCGCCGACTCAAGACGAGACAGTGACTGGACAAGGGGCGATGGTTCCACTGGGGGAGGTGCTTCGTATTTCCATTTCAGTGCCGCTGGCGTATCGTCCCCTCGATCCTTACGGTTAACCTCCACAAACCGGGGGCATTCAAGCAATGTGTCGTAAACCTTTTTCTAAAGAAGCAGTCAGCCATGAAGAACGCAAGCTAGTGTCAACGATCCACACCTTGAAATCGTACGCCTCTGGCGAAGCTAACCACGGAATCTTGCCTTCCAATATCAAGAACACCTCCTCTGTGGATGGCAGAGCTTCATCTCCCGTCTTCCCTTTAGCAAGCTCGGAAATAGCGCATCGAAGAAGCGTAACAGGTGGGATCTGCGAGTAGTCGGGTTCACCGTCACCAAGCGTCTTCAGCACCTGCGAAAGGGTCCTGCACTTGGCAAACTGTGGGCGTTCATGGTAGGGATCATGACGGGGGAGCTCAGCGAGTGATTGTGTTTGTGCCTCCTTCAAAGAGGCGAGTGATGCAGTCAGTTTCTGCATGAGTGAAATATGGTGCGTTCTGAGCGAATGCCGAGCTTGTGCGGTCCGAGTGATTTTAGGAAGCAGGAATCGCTAAATGGCGCATAGGTCAGTTAACTAATGGGTTTCGTTGTCACAAAAGGCAGACGAACGTAATATACGAAAATCAATGCAACAGAGCCCATGCCCAACCACGAGAACAGCCTCGCCAACCCCAACAGTAAAGTTGGAAGGTTCGAAGGGGGTGCCTGCGGGTAAGTTCTGGGTGGAATCACCGGTGCGTATGCCTTGCGAGGTCGCTGTAAGTATTCAAGACAGCATTTATTGAATCCCGAACACACCTGTTCTCTAAGGAGGCCTTCAATCTCATCCTCCCTGAGGCCTTTCTCGACCAAGAACCTTCGCTTTGCTGTCGGATCTTGATACTGTATTTGCGGGGAATTCAAGAACACCCTCGCCTTTGTTATTAAGTCTCGCCTGTCTACAATATCCGCACTTGGGACTGTGGAAGGCGACTGAGTCGGCTCTTGTTGTTGATTCTTGGGTTGACCTGTGGGCTGTTGCTCACTGGAATTGCTAGATTCAGACTTTGGTGATGAGGAGGGTGCTGAGTCTGTCATGTTGGCGCTGTCGTGCCACTGTGCAAAGATAAAGAAGCGACGTTCAACGTCGGGGAACTCGAGCAAGCGCGCACCAACTGCGGCCGTTGCAAACCCCGGACGAGTCTCCACACATGTGAATTTTCCGGTTCGCGGCTGCGAAGATAGGGACGGGCTACCAAATCAAGCGATGCCGCATTCCACGGGTTCAACTGCCCGCAATACCATAATAAGTACTAAATTCAAGAATCTATAGAACCTGCACTGCTTCTGCCATCGAGTTTACCAGAAATCGAAGCACAAAAGTCCAGTCATCAAGTAATTTTTAAAAAAACAGTCCGTAGAAAGTATATTAAAACATGTTCGCCAACTTGCTCGCAGCTTCCCTGGGATCCAACCTAGGTCGTTGAGGTTGGATCCTAACAGAACTCGACATCTGCCGAGTTTTGATCTGTCCCAGAGGGTCAACAGTGTGGGATGCGGAAGGTTGAGCGGTGGCACTACGGGTCAGCGGGTCATGTAATGGTGAAATGGGAGCTTGGTACGAATCATTTCGAAGTGGGTCGAGTGGACCTGCAGCCGAGGACGAACTTGGAGAAGTGTTGGCGGTACTCGCCGACGGCGTAACGAACATGGATTTTGTTCCATCTACGAACTTGCCTCCCAGTGGAGGTCCGACTGGTGTACTGGGTTCGGTGACTGAACTACCCGACGGCCCAGCTCCTTGCGAGAGTGGTTGGCGTGAGCCAGGCCCTGCCAAAGGTGGGGGGTGAGCAGGAGCAAATGATTGGGTCGCAGCCAGGGGTGGTACTTGAGGGCCGTTGGCAGACTCTGGTGGTACAGATGACGATCTTTCCCTCTGAGCTGGCGCTTTGGAGGAGGAAGCAACTGGAGGAACAGCCGTTTGCGGAGGTGCGTGGATGTCTCGAGATTGACGTTTCCCGTTGACCACAGGGGGTGGTCGATCAAAGTCTTCCAGAGGTGGAATATAGGACGGGCGAGGTGCCGTGGTTGGAGGCAAGACCTTCTTGTTCGCGTTGCTCACATCTACTCTCAACGCTTCTAGGTCGCGCAAGAGCTGTCGCTCGTATAGAATGGAAGATCGAGCATGTTCAATCAAGGCCGTCGTGATATCGTCGTTGGCATATCGATTGTGGGTCTGTAGGGCCGTGTGCAAATTCTGCGAAATCCCTTCAGCTCTCCTCGCTAGGATCTGCTCATACTTCTCTGCCTGGACCCATGGATCAGTGCGGAGTTCAGAATCCCAAGCATAAACTAACCTCTTCCATGTCTTCCAACGCGTCATCAACCCGTTCGGGTCTAATATTGGAACTGGCCTTCAACCGCTCAATTTGCCTTCTCTTTGAAATGGTGGTCTTGACCGCAGCCTGATACTCCTCCAGAACACCCGTTCGCATTTGCAAAGTCTCCTTTGCAGATCGAGCATTCATTCCCTGATATCCAAGTGAATCTCCCAAGATGACGCATTCACTGATGGACTGGGCATGATCTAGGTCGGCTAAACTGTGCCACGTCCTTCCCAGTTTCCGCAGGGCATTTCCGAGGGGAGGGTGCGCTTCGGTAGTGGCAACGTTGATGAGTTTGTCACCCATTGCAGCGTGGGCTCCCGCCAGAGCTATCAGAGGCATATCAGCATAAGCCCCCCAAGTAATTAGAGAATGACGCACCCTTGCGAGTGATAGCCAGCCTATCCACCGCTTTGGCGGTCTCGAAGAACTGAGTTTCGAGCTTTGTCAATTCGAACCGTGCTCTCTGAAGCTCCTCGTCTTCGTCTGGTACATTCCTGCGAATGAGTGTAAACCCCGACGATGTCTTTCGCCGTGGCCGAGGAGTGGGTTGATAGCCAAAGTCGCTCTCAATGAACGACCGGAGATCCTCGTCCGACAACAATATCTGGTCCTCACAAACCCTCGTAAACCACCTCTGCAACATGATCTTCACCAGGCGGTCATCTTCCTCGTCGGTCGGCGCTGAAGTCTGCGCAAGGGGAAGAGCTGGGATGATGGTTTGAGGGTTGCTCTGCACAATGGCTTCGTAGAATTGCTGAAACTCAAGGTATGACCGGGATACATTGCGGTAGGTCGTCCCTGTAAAATTGGAGAGGTTGGTCTGTACGTGGGTGCGTTTTGTTAGATGTGTGTCATCTATATACAGGGCAGTGAAGCGTACTTGAGCGTCAAACTTGATCAAAATGTCCCGTCGGTTTCGATCAAGGCCTGTTATCCTCACTTTGAGATATGGGTCGGGTTTCTCGAAGGATATGCCGTTGGAGGCTATGGTTTCTCGAGGAGATATGAGCCCCGTGTCCGGTTGTCCGTAAATCTGAGGCTCCTTTCCATATAGACCTGGTGCAGGGCCATGGTCGGGCGTTTGGGGCAGTGCTGGCGAAGCCCTTCGTAGGTTGGGAACTGGGGAGCCCGGAGTATGAGGCGTCGACGGCCAAGCTGGTGCATCTGAAGCAAATGGATTGGATGTTATGCTGTCGCCAAACCCAGAGTTTGAGGGATTGAGGGGATCGTACATGATTGACTTGGTTAAGCCAGCCAGCCGCGACAGCGCGCTTGGTGTGCGCACCCTTATGTAATATCTCAGGGACCACCTACACTGCGAGTCCAAAATCCTGTATTCAATTGCAGTCCATTCTCTGCCATCCCGAGCTTAAAGAGCTACATTAAATGCCTCGAGATTTAGGGTAGATAAGTGAGTAAATAAGGAGCGACGATGGTGTGTGCCGAAAGGGCCAGTTAGTGAGGACATTCCGAAAGAGTGCTAATAAAGAAAGCGAAAGTATCCGTCAAACAAGAGAAAAGAAATAGTAAGGTCCATGCAGCCAGTCATAAAAGTTCGTGACGAGTGAGAGAGATGAAATGCTCATAAATGGAGCGGGTATTTTACTCGGGTGGAGGGCAATCGGGGATAACGACATCTTTCAATGTTCGGCTGGTGAACAACTCGGTGAGAAGGGCACTTCTTCTAGACTATCCGAAGCACTCACTCTCCGTTAAAGAGACCCCAGTAACCTTCTACACCTCCATAGAGGTCATCTTTCCATTTCTCATCAAACATCTAAGACAATCAATGAACACTGATTGCTGGTAAGAAGATAGTCAAACACACCTCGAAATAGAAGTAGCCAATGCCGGCCGCGTTAGCTTGGCAGACAAAGGTATCCAAAAAGACCTAGCAAAGCCAGAGTAAGCATAAGTAGACACGCACAACCCAGCGCGACCCACTTGTAAACTAGGGGTGTCGGCGCGAGCAAATCCATTGCTCTCTGCCCCGACGTCCTTTGCACCAGTGGGCCAACCAGTTTCAGCGATGTACATCCGAGGCTAATGGCACGTCAGCGTCGTATTGCAGATAGGGAGATAGGGACCCACGTTGTTGGGTAGTAGGGCGGCAGGTCGGACGTTGGACTCTTCAAAGAAGTCAAAGACCCAATCAGCAGCGGCCTCGGCAGTCGTGTTAGCGAACCAAGCGTGAACATTGGAGAGCTACATAGTGTTTCGGTCAGAAAGAAAATCGAACGCCAAGTCGAACGAAACATACACCATAGTCAATAGCAGCCAAAACATCGTCATTGAAGAAGCTTCCAGCGTCAGAGTTACCAACAGGAATATCCTTGTCGAGGTTCATCTCAGCAAGCATGTCCCGGGTGGCTTGAATGTCCCTGATGAGAATTTCGGCGCCTGCAGAAAAGATATCAATCTCCACAAAGAATGCGATTGAAGCGGGGTACAAACCTTGCTGTCCAATGGCCGAGTTGGGATCGTTGGAGCCACGGCCAGTGACCCAGCTATTCATCAGAAAGTTAGCATGGCGCGTTGTGTTTACGAGGTCATCGGACATGCACTGACTTTAGCATGAACTCGTTTCCAACAGTGACACCGCCGATGTTATCAGTACCGTAGGTTTCGATGGCCTCTCTGATAGCAGCGCTCTGCCTCAAGAAAGCCTCGTCGTCGTCGGGAACGGTGTAAATTCCGACGAAAACCTCCATATCAACCTTGGTTTGCTTGATGGCTTCGAGCTGGGGGGAACAAGAAGGAATTAGAGGTTTAGTTTCCCATGTCATGGATGGAGTACCTACCACTTGGGCTGTCTGGTTGCAGTCGGCTCCATACAGACGGATGCGGGTGGTAAGTTGGGAGAGGAGCTAGTGGATGGACGAGTGTGAGCGTGTTGGACATAAACATGACAGTTGATGTGAATCAAACCTGGATGTCGCGAATGGTGCCCTCTATGGGTTGGGTGAGTACACAGCCGAATGTTGGAAACGAGGCAGGACAAACCTAGGGTGTTTGCGCAGCCGAGATCGATGAGTGCATTGTGAGGGGTATAGGCCATTCCATAGAACGATTTGCGGAGGTTGGGATCAAGCTCGAACACGCTAGGGTCGTTGCCGCTGGGTTTGCCGGGGCCGTCGCTGCCGCTGCTGCCACTACCACCCTTACCGGAAGAGGTGCTGGCGTCCTTGCTGTTGTTGCGGGTGACGATGACGCCGACAGCTGTACCAATGCCAGCGAGGATGAGAAGGCCAAGGATGCTGCCGATGACCTGGAGAGCAAAAGTGATGTTAAGGCGGACTGCGGGTCAAGAGAGGGGCGGAGATCTATGTTTACCAGCCATTTTGAACGCCTGCTGCGGGCTTTGGAGGCTTCGAGTGCAGCGCTCATGCCTGGGGGAGTGTCGAGTGACTGGTAATTGTTGTTGTTGTATGACATATGGTACAAATAAAAAGAGGGTATAAAAGGGTGGGAGTCAAGGGAAGGAAAGGGAGTGTTGCGGGTGAAGGCGTGAATGCAACTATGTAAGCCGCGCCTCGCCTTGGCGACAGAACCCAACAAATCTATTCTTGGATCAATCCCATGCTCTGGACAAGAGACCACAAGACCTCGCTAAATTCGCCGAAAAATACAAAATAAGACAATGTACATACACGTATACACGCGAAATAAAAAAAAAAATAAATTATTACAGAGCTTGGCTAGCTTCTTCAAACCATAAGGGAAGCATGTGTCCCATCCGAACAACCTTTGTTCTGAGGTATTTGTCCAAGTCGTCACCATGGACGGCCTTCCCGCCGATCAGCGTCAATCCCAATGTCTCCTGCTTCACCACAGTCTCCTCCGTCTGGCTACGCTGCTGCCAACTTCGGGGAATCATGGGTACACGTTCTGATATCTGGATTCCTTCCTTCCGCAGTGCCTCCATCTTGTCCGGATTATTGGTCAGAATCCGGACGCTCTCCGAGCACGACGCGTTTTCACCACATCCGAGTCCCAAATCTTTCAAAATGGCGCCAGCGATTTCGTACCCTCGTTCGTCCGCCTTGTGGCCCAACATCAAGTTGGCCGTGACAGTGTCGTGGCCCATATCTTGCAGATTGTATGCCCGGATCTTTGATAACAGGCCGATGCCTCGCCCTTCTTGTCGCAAGTAGATGACCGCACCGCGACCGGGTATCTGGGAGTTGATAGGGTTGGAGATTTGCCGGATGGCCTCGTCGAGCTGTTCTCCGCAATCACATCGCATGCTCCCTACAGTCTCGCCCGTGAAGCACTCGGAATGAATGCGAATAAGTGGTGGAGGAAGGTCGGATGGGGTTGACTGAGGTGTATTAATAGACGGATCAGACGCCTTCTGATATGTCGGGGAGAGTCGACCGACGTAGGCGCCCCGTATTATCCTGTCCATCTCTGTCTCGTTCTCACTCCATACGGAATCGAGGGAACGAGACCGGATCGGGGGCAGGGAGGGGGCACTTTGGTCCAACTGAGAGGGGTCAACGACAATGGCAAGATGTTCCTTGTTGTCACGGTTGTTGTGGTAGAGGTGGAGGAACGCGGGGCCGTGCGGGGTAGGAATACGGGTTCGGGCCATACATTTCACCTGAAGCCGAGGTGGCATCTTTGTCGAAGGTGGAGGTTCTGTTGCAGTGATAGATTTTGATCGAGTTCTTCCTTCAGAAGCATTCGACGGCGCAACTAGAGAGGACCTTCGCTTCCTCGAAGGCAGATTCTCCGTCGACTGGAGCGGTTGCGGCTCGCTCACTTCCCGACGATAGCTCTCGTTCTCCTTGCCCTGGTCGATGGACAGACGCTGGCGCCGCGGGGCCTGGCGGCTGACATATGCGAGCTTGCCCGACCATTTCGTGCAGTCTCTGGCAACGTCCTGAAGGGCGCCTGGATAAAAGTCATGATGGTAGTGATTCCGGGTGACATGGGGACCAGAGGCCGCTGCAGCAGCGATGAGGAGTGGGTCGAGTGCAGCGTCCCTGCGGGGTAACTGGGTCTTGAGAGTCTTCGCCGGCGGCTGTGGACCAGTGAGGACGTCGAGAATTGCAGCGTCGAGGGTGATGTCGAGGGTCAAGTGCGCCATGGTAGAAAGAGCGGAGAAGGGTTGGATTTGAGCATCCTGACCGGCTAATTATAATGTTGCAATACTTCGGGCCATCGAAAAACATTCCTTTTCACGTGTCGAACCGGACTTTGCCCCTGACTGGCAAGGTCTTCCCACACTTCCCCACTATTTTGGTAAATCTTTCCAGTTCTTGCTAATCGCTCTAGTAGCAGCTTTACAAAACTCTTTTAGACAGCCAACCAGTCTGGTCAAGTATGCTAATCGGCTACCTTTTCATTCCATTACACCGGTAGCTGCAGGCAATCGGATTCATGGGGGAGGGGTTGAGTACATATACATATCAGAATGTTGCGTGACCGACAGATGCGGGGTATTATCTGCCAGGAGAAGTTTCCAGAATCTCCGTCATTACAACTTGGTAGTTTTTCTCAAGTGACATCTTCTGGTACTTCACAAACGACCTACGTTTGGGCGGTCGTCGGTGGTATTACCATAACCGGAACGCTTAATGTTGCCTACAAACTTGGACTGTGTTCGTCCACAAACTCCCATGTCCAATGTCGTCCGGAACTAGCACAGTCCAAGTAGTTCCTCAAATCCAACAGAGGGCTACAATCCAGTGCGTCTGGGCCCTGAAAAGAAACCCCTCTTACTAACCCTTTTTGTCATCTCTGATCGCAGAAAACCTGCTTTTGGTCCACCACCAGTGACGACTCAACCCCAATCAGACAACTCACAGCATCCTGGTGCCAATGATCCTACGCGTTCCAAAGTCATCGAGATCCTATCCAACACTGCAAATGGATGCCTGGCAGAACTTGGCTACGACCCCCGCGAAATTCAAAAACTCAGAGACCAAAATCGACAGTGGCAAGACGAGAATGTAAAACTCTACGAAGACAATTCGCGACTGACCCGCGCTCTGGCCGAGATGAGGGAACAGCTGAGACAGGTGTCCAACCCATCGGCAGACACGGTTCGCGCATTGCAAACTCAAGTCAGAACACTTGTCTCAGAGAAGGACTTCTTGTCACAGAAAATGAGCGCGATGGAACAGCAACAACCTGGGCAGGTCACCTATACTCGCCTCTACGAAGAATACGATAAATTGCTCAAAGGATATCAAGCCTTACATGCTCAGTATAAGGATCTGCAACTCCGGTTCTCCACCGTACAGCTACATCTCCAATCCTGCCCGCTGTATAAGCAGCAATCGCGAGCTGCACAGGCACAGGTGTGGCGGGCGACTGCGTCTTCGAACCCCGGCTCTCATCCTAGCACTCCAGTTCAATCATCTGTCAATGTGGTCAGCGGCATAAATCAGAGCCACCGCTTGCTCCAGCAACTTCCCGGCCACCAGCAGAATGCCCCGCCTCAAGCTGGTCCCAGTTCTTCACGTCCGACTACCTCCTCTGGGCAATTCGTTCCCCAAACTCAACATGTCCGCAGCAATGTAGGTCTTGACAATTCAACCTCTCGTTTTAGTACACTCACACTTCAATCCAGTCCTTGTCAGGAGCCAAAGCGTGGCAGAATGCCGTCGTCACTGGCGGTAACCCTCTTCAGTCAACACCATCTCCTATGCCAATTCCAAGTCCAACGACGGCGACGATGAATGCGGCTTATGTCCAACCACAACCTGCCTCCATCGCAGCCTCCCAAATTCATAATGGATCGATGATGGCCGGTTTCCGCGCAGGTCCATGGCCTCCTGCCCCGCCTAGTCGTCCGCCGAGTTCTCACTCGGCACCTACTCCCAAAAGCGCGCCCCCTGCCCAAACTACGTTCCAGCCAATCGTACCCCAACCTATGAACAGCCCGGCAGCATCCACGGGTACGATGTTTACACCCGGATTCTGGTCCCCATTTGCACCTCAGACCCGGCCGCTTCAGCAAGCCCCACAATTGAAACAGACGCCCCCAACGCTCGATCGGTCGTCGAGTCCTGATCCTACGATACAAACGGAGAACAATCAGGCTCTCGCTGTCACACCGGTGGTATCTCCACCCGGAGCGGCCAACACCAGTGGCACGAGCAACACCGCTACCGTCACGCAGGCGCAAAGTATTAATGATGAAACAAGTTCAACTACGATCGAGAATGTAGACTCAGCAAAGAGACCGTTATCCGAAGTTGTTAGCGAGGACGAGAAGGCGTCGGAAGATGTGAAGAAGGCCAGATTAAGTGTGGAATCAACCCTAAATGCAGGCTATGTGACCGAAAGTACACCAACGCCCGCGCCTCAAGGTAGCCAGCCTGTTCAAGCGAGCCAGACAGAACCCCTCCAATCAGTGCCACCGGTGGCTGCTTCTACCCCTATCCAACCGCTGATTGCGGATGATCAGCCGAAGGGGGAGACTCGGTCGGATGCGCAGCAACAGGACGGAGCTGGCGACGATGACGAGGAAGAAGTTTTGGTGGGACCGGACGGTCTACGGCTGGTATCAGATTGTCTAAGTGACCTCTTCGAAGATGTGAGCGGAGGGAGAATATGCATTCTTTGCAGGTAGGTCATCATTCTTCCACTCCTTACGATCCAAACTTTTACTGACGTTAACGCCAATTATAGGGCACGATATACGAGCGGCGCCATACCCCACCCGCCACAAGCCTTTGTAAACGCATCGGAAGACGATCTGGTCCGACATTGTCTGGCTGAGCATGAAGATACCTGGAACGAGCTACGAGAAGTAGATTGAGGTACTATACGTCCTCGTTATTCTCTTAAAACATTATACCCTTATACGCTCCTTTTGCGACCTTGGTCCTTTTTGCAACGCTCAGCGTCCGTTTTGGGACATTGCACATATCAAAACAACTGTTTATTCTCCGGTCGGACACTAGAGACATTCAATGTACATTCAGAACGGGTCATTCAGTCGAGTACAAGTAACCTCATGGGTGAATTCGCTTGGCTAGGTTGTCGAGCAACTCAACAAGACGATCGATCTCGTATTGCACTTCAGTGGCATTCAGCTTCTCAGCTATAGCTTCAGTCAATGCAGGAAGCGTTGTTGCACCATAGCCTACGCGCGCAACTTTAGTAGTCCCGCCACCTGAACGCTGACAAGAATGCAACTCCAACGCACCTAGCCACTTCCCAGGTGCCACGCCCAGGTGCCTGTACCATTCCCGGTCCCTGATGCCATCCTTGGAGATGAAGCCTCGTTCGAAAGCAATTAGCTTCTTGTTCGCTCGTCCTACTCTCTTCGCTGCTTTGATGAACTTGCGGACGGGGAACGGGAACTTGTCGAGTTCGCTTTCTTCGACACTGCTCGCCATTTCAAGCAGACCCTCCGCGCTATGGCCTCCCCTGCACTGCCGACGGTGTGGCGTTTCCGGTCCAGTGATAAACCCAAAGGCACGAGACATCTGGTACTTCACGAAGCGCCAAACTTGAACGACCCTGTGATGAGCACCGTGAGGCCTCTGGTGAGGCAACTTTGCAAGAATTTCTTTAAACTTCTTCTCTGCTTCTACTTTCTCATGATCCAAAGCGAGACTTGCGTGTTGCACATGCTTGATTGATTTGCGCAAGGTCGAGAAGTCGGGGTTCAAGTTGGATTTCTTCGATGTCAAAGAAACGACCCTGTGTGATAGGGCAGCTCATGAGCGCCGATGATGGGTTCGAGGGAAGCATTACCCACTTGTCCAGGTAGTCGTCCAACTCCAACGCATATTGAGTGGTATTCAAAGGGATGATTATCGAGTCCGCAAGGCGGAGACCGAGAAGACCGAGGTGTTTCGCTATGGCTACCTAAATTCAGGGAGCTGATTCAATGCCCGCACAACAGTGAGGGAGAAATGGGCGAGCGTACATGCCGCTCAAAGGTAGGGTCACCGTACACTTCTTGCCACCTCTGGCTATCGTAGATCGAGTGGTAATGATAAACAGGGTCCGAAGGAGTGGGTCCAAAGCCTTGGTCAGAACTCGCAACCTGGAAGGAGAGGACGTTGAGAATATCCTCGAGAAAGAGACGAAGTGGACTTACACCAATGCGCTGCAAGAAAACGGTGTAATCGCTTCCACTACCAAGAGACGTCACTCCCGTGGCGATAGACTTTCGTTCTGCTTCGTCTGCTTCATACATACGGCCAAAGTCGGGGTCAACGGAGCTGGCATTGAAGCCTTTGTAAGGGCCCTCGTCGTTTCGAGCATCCCATAACGTTCTATTGGAATCCGTTGGGTGAAGGATATCCTGAGCCGTCCTCTTGATTAGGAGTGCCAGAGAAGGCGAGGCCCCCACGTTGAAACGAGATCCATCAACGGATACATCGACGTTTAGGTACGCTACGACGTGATCAGAAATCCATTGCTCAAAGTCTTCACCCCATTCGGTGCTCCCAACCAGTCCGTACTGACGGAAGATTAATGGAGAGTACACAGCCGGTCGGTATCACGCACCTCTTCGCCGTCCCAGCTGGCAATAACGACTGCAACCGTGTGAGTCTGTGTGAGTGGGGTTCCAAACTTGTGACATGTTTAAATTCTCACTTGTTCTGAGAGGTTTCCAGCCGTTACGCAGCAACTCACCGAGGCCCCGAATCATTTCATGGAGTGAGACAGTTCCACTCGTAGGATCGGCCGCTCCCAATCCCCATGCTGGCCAAACGAAGGTCAGTCGAGGCAAGAGCAAAAGGACAACTAGTTGAATACCATCTCTGTGACAGCCAATGAGGACTACTTCGTCCTTGATATGACCTGGAATCGATGACATAGTGTTCCAAATTGGAGTAACCTTGTTGTCGACTGAAGGTGACAAGCATTAGCACTGAATTAAAATGTCGAGACAGTCTATCTCACCATGGTTTCTGACTTTGACCTTTCGCTTGCTAATGCGACCGCTCAATTGACGCTCATCAGAAGTGGTTGTTTCGTCAGCCCCTTTGAGCTCCTTCAATAGAACTTGTGCGTTGGCCCATGAAATAGGTAAACTTGGAATGGAAGGAATGTTGACACCTTCCTGTCGTATAGCGTCCTCGTAAGCTGGGTATCCGGGTGTTGTGGGGTCTCCGGGATAAAGTGAGAGGTACTGAACACTTCCGCGTTGCACAGAGGATGGGTTCCTGGCAGGGCCTTGCGGATAAGGACTGTAACCGTTGTCAACAGTGACAACGCCGTCGTCTCGAGGATCAGAGTAAATAAGAACTCCAGCAGCACCCAGTTCTTGAGCACCTTTGATCTGGTTGTAATGGTGAGCGAGGAGTGGCCGCTGAGGTAAAGGGGCTTGTGCCTTTACCTTGAGGCCTCGGAAGATACGCCCATACCTCGTCAGAACGATCTTGTCTGTAAAGTTGACGCCTTTTTCGAGAAGCACCTTGTAGTCCTAAGTAATCGTGGGTCATGAACACTACCTTGGACTAATGGTCATTGAGAGATCCCTCACCTCTTGCGTGCCGTAGTTGGCATATACCAAGTTACCTGTGGCTTCGCCATGGAAGCTGAGCCCATGCCAAACAGGAACAGCAAGCCGGTACTTTGCCGCATCTTCCGTCCAATGGGTCGCCTTCTTCTTCTACATCGGCATTCCAGGAGACAGTTCCGTTTTCTTCCAAAACCTGAAGGTGTCGGTCCAAAGGTGTGTTAAGGATAGGAAAGTAGGTGTCTATCCATGCCGTCGGTCGCTTTGGAAGAAAGCCACGGGTCAACCCAAGGGTAGCATGTCTTGATTGACGGGATCCGGCTCGAAAGATTGGCTCCTCTTTCGGTTTTCTGATTCCAAATTCCTGTTGAAATAGCCGTAGGATCGTCCTCGCATCTTCGAAATCTTCAGGAGCGCCCGCTAAATGAGGGTGGGTCGCATACTTTCGAGACGCACCCAAAGCGCTTTCCGCATTGGGCACAGTTCTAATATGGGAACGATTAACAGTTGATATAATGGGCCAAAAGACTCGACGGCCTTACAGGAAGAGACGTTCAGCCTCCGTTGCATTGAGCCTGGGTGAACGCTTTCGTGGATGTCCATGAGGGTATTTGAAGAACGAAGTGAGGGCTAGAGCGCCCAGGCCTATGATTACAATCCGTTTCCAACCAGAAGAGACAAGAGAACCGCGAGGACCGTCGTTGTCGTCGAGCGGCAGCGCCACCTCTGGGACTTGGTAAACTTTTGCCATGATAGAGCTTTGCGTGTTGCCATTGCGGTTATCTCGAGCGTCTTGAATACAAGCCTTGTGGGAATGGCAATGTCATAGTAATTGATTGCCGCCATCAAATCAGTCCGTACAGAAGCGCTAGCTCCTGCTTACACTGCTGTTAAGACGTTATGAACGAGCAATCCAGGACATGGGTTTACTGTACAGCTACAACCATACTCACAGCTGCACGTTCCGACGGGCGCGATCCCATTCCGATAAAAAGAAACGGCCAGTGCGCATGTCAGGGTTCTTCACATCATCGATATCAGAACTGGAAAGCGACATGGCCAGTCGCCATATGTATCATAAACTTGGTCATTTGGATCAGAGTCGGGACCGACTTGGCACAGGATCAGTTATTGGCAGAGACAGATATATCCTAACAAGAGTCCATGTCCGAGCATTCACTGGTAACTGTCCATATTATCCATCGTACCGGCAGGCGAAAAGCACGGATACTCGATCAAAAAGAGAGAATGGAGATCGAAAAACTAATCTAGATAAAGAGGTAAACCACGACACCGAGTGCTATAGCAGCCCATGGATAACTCTCAGCGAGCGCGAAGGCACTATCAGATTCCTCTGTTTCGTCCGGTTCCGCAGCGCTACCGCTCCTAGATTCGGAAGCCGATGAAGCTGCCCTGGTGCTGCTAGACGATGGGGTAGGTCTGGTGACCTGACCCGTGTTGAATGACATTGTAGAAGCGCCAGGAATAGGAACTCGGATGGTAGCACTCGGTCCATATATGTCGGTGCTTGCGAAGGTCGAGCACAGTGAGCTGGCAGGAACCGCAACGCCAGCACCGGGAAATGGCTGGTTATCGCTGGCGCAAGATTCAAAAACTCCATCACGTGCATTTGAAGGAGCATTGAAGCCGCAACCCTGAGTGTCGTAGATATGTTCGCAGTATCGAGCGTCGTTGGGTCGAGAAGGATCGCATGCCTTCAAGCAGAAGATATTGGCGCCCATGAAACTGTATTGGATTGTCAGAGTCCGAGTCCAGATGTTAGTCGATCTAATATGACACACTTGTGCCATTGCACTATCTGAACATAAGATCCAGTCCATGCTTGTGTAAACATGATTCCACCCATGGGGTTTCCTCTCTGAAAGTAGTAGGGTCAGAGAAATTAAAAGAAGAAAAGGAAGAGGATATGCAGTACCCTGTCAGCACCATGGGGGTCCATTTCGCCGCCGGCGTCGCCGTCAAGGATATTGATCTTCGTCTGGTTCATGAAGCCCACGACTTGGATGTAATCCGGGGCTTTAGTAAACTGAACCCCAGAAATGGTCCCCTCGGGTATCACCCGTGTTCCATGCCCAGGCTGTGTGCACCAAGCAACCATTTCACCCTCGATCTCGCCGACGGTCTGACCCAGAGATGGGGGTCCCCAGAAGCAAAAATCTGCGCCCTCGTCAGCGAAACGACAGAGAGCATAGCATCGCACAGACCATCGAGGGAGTTGAAGACTGCAGTCTGACAAAGAGATGTAGGACCCTCGGTCGTCGAGTTGCATCGATTATAGCCGACCTGATCACCTCGAGGAAGGCCGACATCGGTGTCGACTTTGTATGGCTGAAAGCCCAGGTTAGCTTGGGTTAATGTCTTCGTCGAGGGAAGTGGATCACCTACAATATTGTCCCATGTGAACCGCTTTTCGACCAGGGGAACGAATCCAGGCCCCTGCGCCAAAGCAGTAGAGATCAAGCAAGATAAGGCGAAGGAGGTCCAGAGGCCCGACATGATGGCTATTCTAGAAGGAAGGAGTTGGCAGACAAGTGGAAAGGAGAAGGCAGAGGTTTGAACAGGCTTCAACTTGCAGCTCCCCGCATCGTAGCTATAATTCAACATGCTGACGCCTCGAGGTGGTGTGACAGACAGTATTCTCGCATCCTCCCTGCTAATGTAACAATGGCGGCCGCAAATCTCCTTTCAGAGAAAGAATGGTCGGCGGCGAGATCGGGGCAAAAGTATGTTAACTAGCACGAGCGCATGGGACCATTTCCGTCACGAAGTCTTCTGCGGCGACATACCCGAGACCGCCACATAGAATTAAGAAATGTAATGGAGCGCTCTGCTTGAGCGAGTTGACGGATAGGCCACGCCGCGGAGTGAGGTGGATTTTTCATCTGCGATGTCGTATTCGAAGTGAAGGCTGAGCGCTGACGGCTGGTTGGACTCCTAGGGCAGACATGTGTGTTGTCATCGTGAATTCCAGCCGACAAAGGTGAGCGGGAAAGAGCCTGCCTCCCGTCAGATGGCCAACGTGCATCGTTCGAGCCATCCAGTCCCCGTATTCCAGCTACTGGCATCTAAATAAGTGGTACATTCAGATCTTCTTGAGGATCTGAGTTTTCCCGTCAATCTGACAGCCATGACATTGAAATGCAAGAAAGAGCCGAGATCCAAGTTTAGACCTCCAAGTGCTGTCAGAAAGTGGGGAGTTGAAAGGATCCAATTTTATGTGGAGGGGAGACGCGTTCATTGTCAAGTATGACGGCCAAACGTGACATTTATTATTCCACACCGACATATCACATTTTTGACTAAAATTGGCTTTCAACTCGGTGCGGTCTATAGTTTCGTGTAGTGATGTAAAGTATAGGTGCTTGTTCAACACCGGTATTGTAAATTGGGGATAAGGGGAATGTACCCGACTTTTACCAACACCGACATTTGCAACACTGACACTCTGGACGAGGGCAGACAACTTGAAGGTCAGATGCCGGCTTGGCACTTCCGAGTTGGTACTGTGCAGCTGTAACGTATGGAAATGTTGGTTCCTCAAGCCGCCAGCCGTGCTGGTACAACCTGGAGCCCTTTCCAACGCACGGTCAACTAACCATTGAACACTGGACGGTCAGCTGCCTTTGTCCACCATGATGACGTCCGTAAAACTCGAAAACTAACGATTGCATACAGGAGATACTACTTGCTAGTAGTTCAATCACAAAAGAGAAGAACAGATCAAGTTCAGACTGCAGTCCGACGTCCGTACGTGCACTATTGTGCCTCTAGTACGTCGTAGTAGTATCTATCACATTGACTAATTCCTGCTTCTTGTAAGGTTCCATAGCCATTCGGCTGGGATTGACTGTTCACAATAGATACAGTCATGACTTGTCAATTAATAAATCCAGCCTCCTGACCGTGATAAGATTTTAGTGTCCCGCGATTTCGGTGTCGTGAAATGTCGGTGTCCTTAAAAATTGTGGCGCCCTTTAGAAAGTGTCGGTGTTGAGCGTGAACAAGAAAATTGGTGCTAAAAAGATTTCGGTATTCAAGAACATGCGCTACACTTTACTTTGCCCGCTACTTATCAGGACCGCACCAAATAGAAGGCCAAAATGCATCACTAAAGGTGGAAAAAACGAAATATTGGTGTGGAATAATAAATGTCACGTTTGGCCGTCATAGTCAAGTTGGGAAGTTGCGCTCGTCGCGCCAAAAAGCGTTATGCCAAGTACTTATGTCCATGATGCCTAGTCTCGCGACAGTGAGCCTGTCTTGAATCTGCCTTGCCACTTACCTCCACCGTTCTGGTCCTACCCTTATCTAGGTGCTACAAATAATCCAGGTACCAATAGCGTAGGAAAAACGGAAATATTTAGAAAACGCCGCTCTACAATAGACAATCCAGCTACAAAGTCCCTGGAATATATACTGCAGGTCGCCTGTACCTACTAATACTCGAGCCCAGGACAAAACGAGACCATTACAGCACAGGGCGACCCAAGGCGTACTGTAGGGAAGAAGTAGTATGGGTAGAGGAATAATCCCCGACCAGTCCCGACTTGTGATCCCCGCAATCATTGTCAGAAAGATCGGTTTCCTCGCCCAACAAATGAAATTCGTTCCAGTTAAAGTCGGCCACTTCGTCGGTAACCAAATCGTCGAGGACACCTGGCAAGTCCGGATAATTTCGACGACTGGACCTGAGCCACCGCTTGCTGATCATCCAATAGGCCACGCCCTTTGGGGGTAGCAAAGAATCTTCCTTGGAAGGCCCGACCAGTCGGTCTCTTTTCCCAGCACCCCGTCGAGGTTTATTGGACCTGTCAGAGATTTCCTCCTGATCCAGGGCATGATAAAAGCGCAAAAGCCGCGAGCTACGCCAAGAATACCCGCGAGTGACCAGCACATCTGACTCTCCATCTGCATCGGATTCTTCGGAGGACATGCATTCGATTCGCAAGGCGCAATCGAACGCAACGTGTTGGAGAGCAGGAATTTTCAAGCGAGCTTCTGCACGATTAGCCAGTTTCTATCAGAGCAGGAATTAGTCCGTGTAGAAGCGGCAACATGTGGCGGAAAACATACGATCTTTCGACGAGAGGCATGGCGTGCCTTACGCGCTTTGGCTTCTTCCCTCCTCTTGCTCTGAGCAGCGACCGTTTCATCCGTCTGGACGCGATATTTCTGCCTGAAGGTCGTAAAACATTGTTCGAAGGCCGCGTCCAAGATTTTCTTTCCAAAGTCCTTGCTGGGAACGTGTTTGTACTGTTGGCGGTTTTGCTTGAGGTCGGCGATAACCCGGGCTTTCATCCGAGAGTTGTGAACCGATTGCTTCGTAGTCTTTTCCCAAACGAAGCGGACCGGGTCGGAAGGGCCCAATGGGGTGCCCTCGGCATGACTGGCAGGGAGTTTCCCATCGTTCGAAATCCCCAGCACGCGCCAGAAATGTGCCCGCATCGCGTGCTGTACAAGCAGTCAATGATAAGCTTTCGCGATCAACAAGGATATAAGGCTGGCGGTTACCTGAATAGTCAAACATCGTTTGTCGTGATGATTGAGCCTTTTGCGAGGACGTCCTGAGCTAAAGAATGAGGCAAAACTACTATCACTGTCATTGTCGTTCTCGCTAGAAGGAGTGACGCTGCGGCGCTTCTTCTTGGACCGGTGAGGACTAGCGATAGGCGAAGGTAGAGAGGCAGGTGCAGAATGTGATGAGCCCTTGAGAGGGAGCAATGGAGACTGGCTGGCGGTTGGGGAGAGAGGAGAGGCGAGATCGTTACAATGTAATTGTTTTTCCGTGTAATTGTGGAGATGAGCCCCTCTCGAACCAGCCGAACAAGGTTCTCCACGATGGTGATGAGCATTGTACGCGAGATCAGGAAGACGCATCAGATGCTGCGTAAGGGGCCCCGCTTGTGACGACGGTGAAATGGGGGACATCAGTTGGGGAGGGCTGTTGATCGCCAGTTCGGTCCCAGAAGCAGAAGAGGAAGGAGTGTCGGGCGGAAGGGCCGGCGGACAAGTATGCGCACTGGCGGAAACGTGGGCTCGGAGAAGCGCAAGTTCATTGCGAAGTTCAGTGATCTCTGCAACCCTGGTGTCACGGTCGTGTTCACGGGAAAGCAGGTAGTTAATCTTGTCCTCCTGTTCCTGTTCCCATGCGCGCCTTCGTCTGAACTCGGCTTCTTGAGTTTCTTTCGTCGCCGTCGCCACACGGAGTAACTCTTGGAGAAGACGCGTTCCGTTAGCTTGTGGCGAATTTCTCTGCGTTGCATCAGATCTAGAAAGCGCGTTAGGTCGTGCATGTCACTTGTAGACATTAAAAGACATTGTACCTCCCGGTGCTTGACTGAGGTTCGACCATTGCCAGCTCGAGCTCACTACGGTGAGGAACATACCCTGCAGAGGAGGAGTACACTAGCTGGTGAGTTGAAGTTGTCGTTGTACTCGTCGTAGAGGTGACTGTGGCAGAATATTCTGCAACAACGGTCGGGGAAGTTCTCTGGACCGCGAGGGGGTTGAGCGCGTCTGAAAGTTCGCTGGACGACATCTCAAGCCGGACGGGATCAAGGGCTCAAGAAAGAGGGTGTAGGATCGAGTGACTTGTCCATTCTGCATACCCGGGGGCCATATTTAAAGTTCCAGGACATTGCGATCGTGGTAGAAGGAGGAAATGTTGCAGGTCCGTCGCTTCCGGAGAGAATCCGATTGTCCGTTCGAGAGGCTGTAGATAAGCAGAGCCAAACAAAGGACGACGACGCGTGTGTGTCATTACGCGGCTCGTTCAATAGATCATTCACTTCATATCGCGCTCGAACGAAGAACAAGTTAACATGGACGCAGAGTTTCAACGAATGATGATGGAGCAGCAGGGGAGAGGTCCTGGCATGCAGGCTGGCGATGGAACCGTACCAGACAAGTAGGTCCCAGAAAACATAACATTTCCGGAAGTTGTCCCTCACATTCGCTGTAGTGGCGAGATCATTCACATATCATCGCTTGCTCTCCTCAAGGTAAAGATTCCCTTAATACACCAAAACGTTGCATTGGCATGTCACACTCACGCCCGCTGTCTTATGAATCTAGATGTTGAAGCATGGTCGAGCCGGTGTGCCCATGGAGGTCATGGGCCTCATGCTAGGAGAGTTCGTGGACGAATATACCGTCCAGGTGGTGGATGTCTTCGCTATGCCTCAGTCAGGGACAACGGTGACAGTCGAGTCCGTGGACCACGTTTTCCAAACGAAGATGCTGGAAATGCTGAAGCAAACAGGGCGGTAAGTGAACTAGATTCCTTTGCCTGCGCGCCTAACTGAAATGGTTTCATAAGACCGGAGGAAGTTGTTGGCTGGTATCACTCTCATCCAGGATTTGGCTGCTGGCTTTCAAGCGTCGATATCAACACTCAACAAGTAGGCTATTTTTGGTCTGCTACACGCGAAGACCGTGCTCACACCCTGTTTCGCAGTCTTTTGAGTCTTTGGACCCCCGAGCTGTAGCAGTTGTCATCGATCCCATACAATCTGTGAAGGGAAAAGTGGTGATCGACGCATTCCGACTTATCAACCAAGCCACCGTTATTTCTGGACGAGAACCTCGGCAGACTACATCCAACATCGGCCATATCAACAAACCCTCTATCCAGGCGCTTATTCACGGTTTGAATCGACATTACTATTCGATAGCAGTGAACTATCGGAAGACGGAACTCGAGCAGTCAATGCTGATGAATCTGCACAAGCGGAACTGGACCGAGGGCTTGAAGCTGCGCGATTTTCATTTACACAAGCAGGAGAATGAAAAGGCGATCAAGGTGATTACCTATATTCGCAGATCGTTTATTGCATATTCACACTCATGCTCGATCAGTCTATGCTTGCACTCTCAGCGGCCTACAACAAATCCGTGCAGGAAGAGTCCACGCTGACCCCAGAACAACTAAAGACGCGACATGTTGGGAAACAAGACCCGAAGCGGCATTTGGAAGAGAGGGTCGAGAAAGCCATGGGGGACCAGGTGGTCCAAAACCTGGGAACGATGTTGTTGGCTGAGCTATAGTTGGACTAGCCTAGTATAGTACAGCGTACTCCTGAGGGGAGTTCCTGTCGGCGCTTCTTTCCCCATTCAAGGAACGCGAATCTAGATGAGACCGCGATCCTACCCTCGTTTTGCGAATCACATTGCATGAACCAGCTGGCTAGTGTAAAGCTAGGCGATCGGTGCGACTACAAACAAAGCTCTCTTGCGCAGCTGTTTAATCTTCTGGACACCGAAATTGATAGTTGTGTCGGGACGTGCAGGGTCCAATAATAGGTCGTGACTCTGCGATACCCTGATTACAATGCTTGTAGGTAGGGGAAGGAGGTGGATACCAGAGGGACCGGAGCAAGTATGTTTACTACCTCCACCGAGTTTCAGGGAGACGACTAAGGATTGGAATAACGCCCATCATTCTGGCCCTTCGAATTGCTTTGCCCAGCTTTCGTTGAGACTTGACGGTAAGGCCAGTCTGGGTTCGAGGCTTAATTTGGCCCATGTTGGTGACGAAGTGTGACAGGATAGCAGGCGATGTAGCCAAGGAGAGAGGGTCGATGTCGAGTTGGGCGAATATATCGCGCTTGCGGGCTTCGCGGGAGGTTGGTGCGACCAATAGTGGTCGTCTTCTCGGTCCTTTCGAACCTGTTCTTGCTTCGTGCGTCAAGTCGTAAGGTTTCACAGGCTGGCGGTTGTAGCTGAGTGCCAGTCACTACATACGAGTTTCAAAGACTTACTGCTCCAGACTTGAGAGGCGTAACATAGCCTGAGAAATGGTAAGGCCTAATGTGCAATGAGTATTGGGAAGGCTAACTCACCCGAGAAGGCATGGGCGCCTGACACATCCTCGGTTTTCGAGTCTGTGCCCAGACCAGTGAATATGTCAGCGAGGTCTCCGGGCATGACAGCCTGCCCTGGCTTTGTTGCATAGGCTGCACGTAGACCAGGCAGGGCCGAAGCAGAGCGAAGACTGTGGACAACGCGACCCAGCGTTAGCATGTTAGCAGCAATGTTGTCTCCGTCGCTTGAGACGCGCTGAGCTGGATATTTTCCGGATGACTAAGCCTTTGGGGACTCACACGAGACGGAGATAACCGAAAGGTTGAAATGGGGGATGGGGCTGTCCAGCCTCTTAGACGAGATTCTATTGAGTTTCCAGGGGCTCTTCAACGATGATAAGTACCGGTACAAGAATATAAAAAATGAGTAGAAAATGAGGGAATTGAGGTGAATGAGGAGCCGGAAAGGCGGTGTTGGGATCAGCCAAATAAATAATTGAAATTATTTCATGCGCGGGCCAAGCTTTCTTGCTCTCTGGAGTCTGTGGCCATCCTCACGACGATAACCTCTCATCCATGTCTTGCTGAACAGTTTCGGCCCCGTCGACGTCTTTAACGACCATCACACCTCTTTTCTCCCCCGTCTCCCCCATTTTCCTGCGCTGGAGTCCTTTATCAACCCCTGGTCGTCCTGAGTCCACCCCAGCGACCTCATGGCCATGTCAGAGCCAGGTGGGCATCGAAGGCAGCCACCAAGTCCCCTGGTATTCGGCCCAGACACCGTGTTGTCCCCAATTCCCCTCCAGGCTCAGTCGAGCACAGCGAGCAGCCATGGTTCAGGATCCAACACCGTCTCCATGCCCTTCGTCCGACGTCATGTAACCAGACGTCTCAAGGCCGCCAAAGCAGAGTGCGACAAGGAGCTCCAACGAGTCACCAACAACGTCACCGCCTTCTTTGAAGAGCGCCTACGGGAAGGTGATCAGGACATCGACCGTGACCATCGAGAACGTCCAGCAGAAGGTCGGGACCGCGATTCCCAGCTTGGTGATCACGACCACCTTCGAGAACCCTTCGTCTTTCAAACCGCGGAACTTGGGACGACCGCTCACAACGACGAGTATAGCTCAGATGGCGGGTATGAGGCCGAGTCAGAGTTTAGTCGGCACAGTCGTCAACGTGGGTACCAGGATATTGACCATCCCAATGACCAATCTCTTGCTCACTCCCGCTCTACATCTGCCCTGTCTACAGCATCAGTCCAGATGAGCCCCGGCTCGCAACGGCGACAATCCGCCGCTCCCTGGGACAAACCAGTCAGCTCATCGGTCTCCTCCAGTGTGGTCGGGTCAAGCCCTGCCTCTTCCACGATTTTGCTTCCAGAAGCAACCGTCGGGAGGAGGCAGAATACCGTTACACCAGCCACTACCTCGTGGTCCTCCGGCGGCAGCTCTTCACGCCGCTTGTCGAGGAGCATTCATATCCCACCACGGCCAACCGCTTCCGGACAGAGCTCTCGCTCAACCTCACGTTCTCGGTCACCATTGCCTCCCACCTCTTCTCATGCAAGTTTCTCGGAGCACGCTAATGCAGCGTTCAATCGCAGATCATCAAGACTTTTCGTCGACGATCCCGTAGACCCACTCATGGCCGCTCTCTACGAGCTCATTGCTGTCGCTACAGATGTAACCGACATGCCAGTTGCACAGCTCATGAACAATCCCAAGATATGCGAATCCATTGTCCAACGAGTGCAGAACATTGGCAGAGCATGGGACGACCATCCAGACTGGCCCGGTCGTAACTGGTACGTTCAAGTACTGCTCGCCGTCGCCAGCCTCAGCCGTGTCGTGGAGTGGTGGGAGGCCGAGAAACAGTTTTGGAATTTTGACGACAATAACGACGAACACGATGAGCCGCTCATGTTTGTCATGAAACCTGCCGATGAGGACGTGTCCAACTTGGATCTAGAGTTGGAAGGTTTCAGATTGGACGACAAGCCGCCCTCCCCGGGCCTATCCCGCAAGCCAACGGCAGAGGCTCCATTCGTCGCCCCCGCTCCGGAGGGAGATGCTGGGTCCACCTCTTCCGAGAGGTTAACACCCAACCAGGCCGTTTCTAATGCCGAATCAGCGCGCGTCCTCGCCACAGAGCGCTTGCGATTGCAAGCAGAGACGGCCCAGAATCAAAACATCGTAATGGAACTGAGTTTGGATGGCGACCACTTTATCTGGGTAAATCATGCATGGAGAGTGGTTGTCGGGTAAGTACGATCTCTTCAAGCATTTGCCATCACTCTGACCCGATTTGTGACCTGACAGGACGGATCCAGAAGGACTTTCAGGTACTCGCATTTCCAGTTTGCTGGCTCCTTCCGACTGGGGAGTTTTCAAAGAAGCTACAAACCGTCTTCAAGAAGACGATTCACACACGGTCGAGGTCCGGTTCAAGTTGCAAATCGAGCCCACCGTACAGCAGGACCCTTCTGCTGGGGTGTTATACCAGTTGATGGAAGGAAAAGGCATGCTGATGATCGACCGCGAGGATGGTCAACCGTCGCATACCATGTGGGTGGTGCGTCCCATTGCCCCAGCCCGCTTTGAGCACGACACGGTTTCCATCAACCTAGAAGCGGATGACCTGGCGCCGGAACCAGCATCGACGATCAAACAAAGTTTCGTGGACCGCAGTTATACAGAACCAGCGACGCCCTTTCCTTTCAACGAGCCCATCGTTACGGACAACATCCTTTGCCGCATCTGCGAATCTCAGATTCCCCAGTGGTATTTCGAGAAGCACAGCGAAACCTGCGCAGAAACACATAGACTGGAAGCCGAGATCATGGAGTGCAACGAATCAATCCTGGAATTGCGAAATGCCATTCGGGATTTGTCCACCGCCATCGACCGCTCTTCCCCTACGGCTGCGCCTGAATACCGCGGAATGCCTGTATTTATCCCGTCTTCCTCGCCATTGATGTCGTCCCCTCTCCAGTTATTCAGGGCCAACAAGTTACAGAGATTCAGCGTCAAGAAGATGCAACGACGCTTCTTGGACCAGGTCGACGAAATCCTGCAGACATGCCTGGAAATTGCCATGCCCTCTCTGAAGGAGGAGGAGGCGGATGAACCGATCGAAAGACAGCGTCTGCTTTCTCCAACCTCTGAACGGAAGATCACGCAAGTTCGCAATTGGGCAAAGCCAACGACCGAAGATGCCGCGTTAGGCCAGCTTCTTCAGGATGCCGAGCGTATCATGCGCCAGAAGATCGACAGCGTTGTTCGCATGCAGAACACCATACGTTATGCAGAGAAGATTTGGGCAGAGTGGGAAGAGAGGATCGAGAGCTACCTGGCCACGATCAATGAGTCAGGAAGTGAGAACGACTCCGCATCTGAACCCGAGAACGCGCCAGAATCGGTTCGCGACAGAAAAGATTCTGAGACAACAACCGTCGACGATCATTCCAGCACTACCTCAGAATACAACTTCGGCCGCGATACCTCATCCAAGGAACTCTCGCCTATGTCTTGTCTGTCGCCCATCCCGTTCATCACATCTCCAACCGAGCCCCGCCCTCTCTCGCTAGCACCTGTCCCCGCTGCGAGTAACCAACAGCACATTTCCACCCCTATTCCCGTGCACCCTCCCACCATGACTCGGCAACAACAATTGTCAACACGTTCGTCGACGCCATCCTCCGTTTCCTCTCCACTCGCACGGGCACCCATTGTTGCCGCTCCTTCTCCTGAAGATCCGCAGCCTCCGGCATCCCTTGAAGATGCTACCTCCGCGACGGCCACTGCGCCAACCATCAAGACTCGCAAGTCCAACCAGAGCCTACTTGAGCCCAAGTTTGTGGTTACACCACCAGCATCACCACAAGTCTCAGGCCGCGACTCGGCACCCAGTGGTTCTGGCCTCACTCGCGAAGGCTCCACGCGCCGAGGACACCGTCGTCACTCTAATGCAAATATTCTTACAAGCCCTCCACCGGCAGGACCATTGTCTCCCAGACAATCCGGGGCCATCCCCCTCCCTCGTACCAACCCTACATCCATCAAAGACTTCGAAATCATCAAGCCTATCAGTAAAGGTGCCTTTGGATCTGTCTTTTTGGCCAAGAAGCGTGTCACTGGAGACTACTACGCCATCAAAGTTTTGAAGAAGGCGGACATGATTGCGAAGAATCAAATCACTAACGTTAAGGCTGAGCGAATGATCCTCATGAAGCAAGCAGAATCACCATTCGTCGCTAAGCTCTATTTCACCTTCCAGAGCAAGGAGAACCTATACCTCGTCATGGAGTATCTCAATGGTGGTGACTGCGCTGCCTTGATCAAGTCCCTTGGATCCCTTCCGGAGGAATGGGCCAAGAACTACGTGGCAGAAGTCGTCCTTGGATTGGAGTATCTTCACCAACGGGGTATCGTTCATCGGTGAGTGCGAAAAATGGGTTCGTTTCCACAAACATTAACTTAATGTTCTTCCAGTGATCTGAAGCCGGACAATCTCCTCATTGACCAGCATGGACACTTGAAACTCACTGATTTTGGTCTCAGCCGTATTGGTCTCTTGGGACGACAGACTCGAGACACACAGTTTGGACGGGCGCTCAGTCGATATGGTTCACGATCGCGACCTCCGTCGATGGATTCTGCGTACTTCTCTTCTCCCCTCTTCCTCAACGATCCATCTGGTGGTTCGTATTTTACCCAGAGGCCAACTTCGGTGTCCCGTGTTGGAAACAGTCCTTACCTACCCCCAGCAGATGATCCTAGCGAATCCAGCGGTTCCGAGTCTATTGCGAACTTCCATGCCCGTCGCAATGGAAGGATGTCGGACAGTCCCCTGCAGTCGTTCGCCACCGAGTTAACGACTGACCTTCGTTCTCATTCCAGCTCCAATGCGAGTGGCACAACGCCTCCCGGAGAACAGAAATTTGTAGGCACGCCTGATTACTTGGCACCCGAAACTATACTTGGTTTGCGAGGAGACGATGCCGCTGTCGATTGGGTAAGTCAGGATCATTGTCGAAAATGGATAAATCGGGAGTAACTTACCGATTCATTTACAGTGGGCTCTGGGCGTTATCACCTACGAATTCCTTTACGGCATACCTCCTTTCCATGCCGATAGCCCAGAGAAGGTATTCGAGAACATCCTATCTGGACATATCGAGTGGCATGAAGAATGGGTAGAGTATTCTCCAGAGGCTCGTGACTTCATGCAGTCGTTGATGAACGTGGACCCCAACGCTCGACTTGGCTCCGGCGGCGCAGACGAGGTCAAGAGCCATCCATGGTTTGAAGGCATTGAGTGGGACAAGGTCACGACTACAGAAGCCGCTTTCATTCCACAGGTCACCGACCCAGAGTCGACTGATTATTTCGATCCTCGCGGGGCGATCCCCCAACTTTTCGGCGATGACGAAGACCTGGTCGCGGTGACCTCGAGATCGCACACAGGGAGCCCTGCAAACATGCCCCCGCCTAGCGCGCCTGTCCCAATTGCAGGCAAAGAAACTCCCAGTTCTGCTGGTAGTGACGATTTCGGATCCTTTAGCTTCAAAAACCTTCCTGTATTGAAGCAGGCGAACGACGACGTTATCCGCAAACTGAAGACCGATCAAATGGCGCCAATGACCCATACCCTCACTGAACCAGCGAGCTATCACCACCAACGCAAGCGCAGCATGTCTCAACGCATTAAGAAACCACCCAATGTGGTGACGAACATGGATCCCAAGTTAATGTCGACGAATCCTCCCTCACCTGCTACCTCAACATCGTCCATTGCATCTTCTCCCTCCCGCGCGAGTCTTCCTCCCCCGACTCCTGGAAGTGGACTCAGCGGTACCCATTCGAGGAAGCCCTCAGAGTATGGTGCAGTCGAGCGATTTAAACTCAACCACATGGAAGGCGATAGGCGCAACTCTATGCCAAGTCGTCTCCGTACGGCTTCGGTATCAAGCGCAGGGGATGGATCCGGGTCTGAAACCTGGAATTCATCTGCTGGGTACGGCAGCCAACATGAGACTGCCAATACCCCTGCATCCTCGGTCCATTCTGTGGACCTGAGAAAGGCCCCGGATCCTAGTGATCGTGTAGTGACTTGCCTTCTCGCAGAGGACAATCCGATTACTGCCAAAATCATAGAAACTTTGCTTGTCCGGCTAGGGTGCAGGTGCATCGTGGTCTCTGACGGATCTGAGGCCATTAGCGTTGCCATGGGTGACATCAGTACGTCTCTTGTACCCCACTTCAGCGACGCCTGTACTGACCTTGTGATTAGAATTCGATTGTATCCTGATGGATCTGCAGATGCCAGTCTGTAAGTAGCTCCTGGGTGGTCACTGAAGTCTTACACTGACGTGCGTTCTAGTGGACGGAGAAGGTGCTGCGAGGTACATCAAGAGTACAAATGGTAAGAACACCAACACACCCATCATCGCGGTGAGCGCGTACAGCGGGATGGATCCCAGCGAAACTAGCAATGTTTTCGATGCGTCCTTGTCGAAGCCGCTGCAAAAGGCAGATTTGCTCAGTACGTCGTTTCCTTCCGGTTTCCACTGATTATTCTAACGTAAATTCAGACGTATTTCGCCAATTGGGATTCAAGACTACGGCCAAGCAAGGCATTTCGAATGCCAAAGTTGTTCCCGGCGCGTCTCAGCTCGCACAGCCCCCAATACTCTCTTCATGACCATTCGACTTCATGTGCACTGATTTATTATGACCTTCTCTTCTCGGCTATGCCCCGCATTCTTTCCTTGCAAACATATCCATGCATCTCGTATTCCTATCATTGTATTTGAGCATTGTTTACCATCATGTGCATTCTTCGTTCACCTTTCTCATCTGTAGTTCTATGGTCGCTTGGTAGTGTTTCGCTATATATTTGTCCGCAACTCAAACCATGGCAGTTTTGGTGTAGAATATTGGGCTCTAGGGTCCGTGGGAATGGTGAGCGATTGCCATAAGCTCCTGGCTGAACCAAGCAGCAACATTTGACCTTTCAACTGTTTGCAACCCCGAGAATTTGCTACACTTCCTACCGATCTAATACTTGCTGCACCGTCCCTCTGACATTGCGTTTGGACATTGCTGGATGCATATGTCTTTGTTTGTCGGCCTGCAGTGTGGGGCCACTATTCTTGCGGGCAACGAGAAATAGAACAGCCCTGTCGGGGCGCTGCAACAACCATCGCATCTGTATTGAAACCAAATGGAACGCAGACCACCGGCGGTAGGGCCAACGGCGACCTCGTCACATTCTGGACGCCGAGAGCATTCACTGCCCAGCGGTTATCCAAATGCACTGGATCCAAGGTTCAATCCACAAACCATCCACCGGGCAGATACCTTGTTCATGACCCATGATCCAAACCAATCTTCCACAAGGAGCCCTTCAACGTCGTCGGGAGAAACAAACCATTCCTTATCTAGGCAACTTTACCCGGCACATTTGCAGGCGTTCACTCCAATGAGCCATGGCCCTTCCTTTAGCGCCCAACACCCTCCACATCCAGTGCATTCGCCCTACCAAAGCGTGGGACAGCATAAACGACTTCACAAATCCCCGCCTCCTCGACACCAAACGGGCCCTGCTTCATATGGATCTAACCTTGGCTCTCTTAACCAGAATCAACCACACAGCGCCTTCAGCCATCACCATCGACAGTCGTCTGTCGATCCATTTCCCTCGTTTTCACCCGGGCAGTACCTATCGTCGCAGCACCAACACCGTCCAGCACCGGTAGCTGAGCACCAACGCCCACCACCGCCGAATGTACTTCCGCCTTATGGCAATTACTATCCCAGCGCCAGCTATCCGCCGACGGGGCCGAATATCCCGTCTCCCCCGTTACCCCCATTTCAACCGCTAGATCCTTCTGAAATCGATGCAGAGCGACAAGTGTTAACAAGCAGTCCGGATATAGCGCTCCCTCCGGAACACCATCTATCGCGAACCAACCCATACATAAATCCATATCTCCGGCCGCGACAAGATTCGGTCTCGATCGCTACCCAACCGGAAGCCATCCAGCCACCTCTACAACCCACAGCTCAGGGCCCTGAATCGACCAGTGACGACGACGAGCTTGCTCAAGCTCTTGCCTTGTCGCAGACAGAGAATGAGGCGCGCCAGAAGTTGGAGGAACAACTTCGGCAGCAGGAAGAAGAGGACCTTGCACGTGCCCTTGCAGAATCCATGCTCTCAACTGGGAACAACATCGACATTACTTCCAATCCCTTCTTTGCAGAATTCAGCGGGGTTGCCTCTAGTTCCAAATTCACGCTGGAGTCCTCAACCTCCACAGAGGTTACGATGGAATATAGAGTCTCTTCAGTCTCTCAGGTCGAACCCGATGACGTTGATGCTACAGATAGCTTCAGTCAGGACCGGATGCCAGGGAAAGAGGAAATAGTGCGCAGTGACAGAAGACAAAGTAGCATTGCACTAGGAAAGCGCCCCGCGTTAGACAGTGCTGGATCTTCAAGTTCCCCTGTGTTGGAACCGGCCCTTGAGGCCTCTGGCGCAGGCCATGAAGAACGCCCGTTCTTGGTGGAAGAGGAGCCCGAAAAGGTGACCCCTGCTCAAAAGCGTCGAGATGACACCGGGCGTAATCAAGGGAAGAGTTCTTATTCGCTTGATACAGTGGCGGAGGAGCCTTATTTCGCGTCGACGAAAGGCGGCGAACAATCCCTCTTATTCTCTACACCAGTTCCTGATCGGCATGTAGGTCAATTGACCCATTCACCATCATCCTCAACCTCCAACCAGAAATCGTTTCTGGACATACCTCAATCGAATCCGTCTAGGCCTGAATCGCCGTCGGAAATTGCTTATTATAACGACGAGCCCCCTTCTCCATTGCCAGATAGCCAAACGATAGTTCCCAACCCGTCCCCACCTGTAAACCAGGACACGAAAACCGAGTACATTCGCCCCGCCCACAAACCGGCCAACTCCGTCAGTGGCTATCGCATCCATGCGTCCAGTATTTCATCCAATCAGCCACCCTCGGTTTTCAGCGTTCAGTCATCCCCAACCGCGGCATCAGGGAGTGCTATTTCCAACAGTCCCATTCAAACGTCCCGCCCAATCCCATCCACGACCTCGAGCAACTCTCTTCCTCTAACCCTGTCCCGTATTTCCTCCAACCTCGGCTCTGAAGACGATCACCAAGGTTCGACGCCTGCAGTGGCCCCAACTCCCTTGAATCCGAACCAGTTTATCGACCCGGAACTACTCGTGGGTGTTTGTAAGTCGTATAACACTTTTCCTTACCATGAGACTTACCGCCCTCCCAGCCATCGGCTTTACGCAGCCTACTCTTTCGCCCGTCCGGAAACCAATGGAGGGCGCTGTACCAAATATTATTTCTTTGCCCTATGGTCGATGTCCGGCTCTGCATATTCAAGCCCCGTCATGGAAACATGTCCTCAAGCTAATGGCAAGAATGAGCAGCACGAAGTTCGAGCCGACAGTGCAGGCAATGGCGATTACCAAGACCGAGCTGAAGCTCAGGACTGTAGTTCAATTCGTGAGGGTAAGTAATGTCATAGTCGTTTGGATGCCTTCTCGAATTGATGCTTATCCTTTGGTAGCCATCACCCAGCAGTTCAGAATGGCGAACCCTGCTCTGGTTCAAAATTGACCATCCCGTACCATCTAATCACCCCAACGCACAAAAATACAACAGCGGACACCCCAACACCCTCCCTTACGCGTTCACGTTGATGTCACTACCCCTTGTCCTGCAAAACGCTGCAGACAGCCCGATATCCAAAACGTATACCATCCCCGCTACTGAATCACTTCCCTTTCCAACGCTACCCATCAGCTTCCCCAATCTTGCTCTCTATCTCCAAGCGGCGTTGGACTTTTCTCGTGCGCAGAAAGACGACAGTCATGGTTACCGCAAACTCGCAAAAATGGTCAGCACATGCTATCCCAACACAGAGAGCGACACGTCCTTGGAGGGACCGGACAAGAGCAGTGTCGGAGACTTGTTTAAACGCGTGATTGGTCGAAAGGATAAGAAGCAAAAGGGTAAAACAAATAACGATACTTATGACCTGATCACACCATTCGTGCCAGACGAGTGGGGTTGATCTTTCTCCATCTTTGCGGCTCTTTGTTGTCGTCTTTTGGTCCATCACGCCTTTTCCATACGTCTCTCGTATTCACCCGATGGTGTAGGTTACTGGGATTTGATATAAAAGGGCATGTGCAGTTGAAAGCGACAAAAATACTGCGTGGTGGAAAGACGGGAATCGGTTGAAGAGGACCAAGCGAACGAAAGGGTTGGTCATGGTCTATGACGACGGACTGGGTGATTCCAAAGGACCTGGCCCAAAGGTTTTAACGCGAGCCTGTCTCGCCCTTTCTCGGTCGAATGCAACCATTGCGCGTCGAAATGCTGGCCCTGCTCGTATTTCCGGTATTTCGGGTTTCTTGATTGTGCCGAACCTTTCAAGTGGCCAGACAATAGCGAGGAGCTTGGATTCAATCAAACCTCTAGCAACCTGTGGCATTTCCATTGGGATTCCATGAGGAAGTTGGAACAGTGCAAGTATGAAAAACCTTCCGTACCGGACCAAATGTGTTGCTGTCGTCGCTGTTGTAGTAGTCGTCACCTTGCTTTCATGTCAGAAAGGAACCCTACGCAAAGGGATAAAGGGTACCTTCGACCCATACGTGTCCCTTTGGCACCACAACCTCTTTTATTGGGTACGGTGGTAGGGTTTGGACGATATCCCCCTCTATTGCCACGATTCGTTTGATTAGCTTGTAGTTGGGGTCCATTGGAGACCTGGTTGGAGGCTTTTAGATAAGCACATAGCAAGGGGAAAACAAAAAAGCTTGCCAAAAATACCGTACTTTAAGACTACAATGTCTTCTCGATCAAGAACCTGTTCGTCCCATGCCGCTGTTCGATCGAACAAGGCAACGTCTCTCGAGGATGACCAGTCAGGATTGAGTGTCGGCTATCTGGGATGAATACAGAGATATAGTTGGTTTAGATTATGTTCGTCAATTGTGACAGCGAGTCTGCCGGACCTGCATGCTTCTCCCTGACACAATCTGGAACTCGAAAATGCGTGACGACAGGCCTATTGCCAGTGGCGACCAATAGAGAACGCGAATTGCTGAACGGAGAGACTGTGGTATTTCATAGCGGGACCAGAATGTGACTTGAGCAACGAATTTGGGCCATGATATACGCTGCATCGAGCGCCCGGTGTTGAGAGGAGGAAAAGGTGCAATGCCATCAAAGTCTGTTCCGCGCTGCCAGAAATGGGCGGTGCCAGTGCCGTTTCAAGTTCCCAGCGTCAAAAAGTGATATTACATAGCATATTCTAATGGTGTAATGTGCATCTAAGTAAAACATTAATACAAGCCATGGCTGTAGATCAAAAATATTCATCCGTCGTACTGAAGTCAAGTCAGCGTTTGATAGAATTAGAGGCAGTAACAGTCTGAGTGAAGGACGTACAAGCATCGACTGAAACTGGGTGGGTGGCCCGCTGTCGGGCTGACATTGGCCTTGGCATAATCTGAAACTCTCTTCTCGAAGAAATTTGCTTTGCCTTCCATAGATATCAATTCCATGAAATCGAAGGGGTTGTCAACATGATAATGTTTGTCGTTTCCGAGAGAAGTGAGGAGTCTGTCGGCTACGAACTCAATGTACTGGTTCATCAAAGACGAATTCATCCCTATCAGTGATACTGGTAGTGCATCTGAAGCATGGTTCAGCCTACTCCCATTGGACTCAAGGAGGATCAATCAGACTGTACCTGAGAAGAACTCCTTCTCGATCTCCACAGCCTCTGTGACGATGGCCAATATGGTGTCAGAATGAGGACGCTTGCGGAGATAGGCGAAGAGGAGACATGCAAAATCTGTGTGCATCCCCTCATCACGACTAATGAGTTCGTTGGAGAACGTCAATCCCGGCAAAAGTCCGCGCTTCCGCATCCAAAAGATGGCCGCAAAGGACCCAGAGAAGAAGACACCTTCGACGACTGCAAAGGCAACAAGCCGCTCGGCAAACGTCGTGGATTTGTCGGATGTCCATGTCAAGGCCCATTCTGCTTTCCTCTGAATGGACGGGATTGTTTCTATAGCCCTGAAGAGAAAGTCGCGCTCCTCTGGATCCTTGATATAGGTGTCAATGAGCAGGGAATAGGTTTCGGAGTGAACATTTTCAATCATGACTTGGAACCCGTAGAAACACCGAGCTTCAGGGACCTGGACCTCACTAGAAAACCTTTCGACAAGGTTCTCGTTGACGATGCCATCTGACGAGGCAAAGAATGCAAGAATACGTGAAAGGAAGTGGCGCTCCGCGTTGGTCAGCTTTGACCAATCCATCATGTCATGAGAAAGATCAATCTCTTCGGCCGTCCAGAAGGAGGCTTGGGCTCTCTTGTAATGGGTCCATATCTTTGAGCGGTTGCAATTGATCAGTAATTTCCAGGACAAACCAAAGGCCAATGTCTCTACGAACCTCCGGGTATTGAATGGGATACAAGGTTAGACGCTTCGGGGATGGTTTAAGCAATGGTTCTTCGGCTGCAAATGCTGTTAGCATTGTCCTTTCGGCCAAGCCAAGTCTCCTCACACTCGGGGAGATCAACCTCGCCTACAAAGCGTCGGTTACGCTCCTGATGGGCCACATGTGAGCTCCAAAGCCCAGACTGTTTTGCCGGCGCGTCGTCGCGTTCGCCGACGGAGAGATTGGAAAACGATGAAATTAGCTAGAGGAGCAGAGGTTTAGAGTGGGCATTTCTCTATAGTATGGCTACGCACCTTTATGTATGGTGGCGACATGGAAGGCCTGGAACAAGACTGGGCACTGGCAGTGGGGTCGTCGGTGCCGTCTCCAGTCGGGGCGGAGCTTGCTAATTAGCGTGACTCAGTTGATCAAACGCGTGACGTCACATAGGGCACAGTCACACGCGTTGGAAGGGTTTGGCAAACAAGAGCATACAAAACGCGTTGATTTTTGACGCGGTTGGTTTGAAAGTTGGGACAAACAGGACCATACGTGTCACAGGCATAAAACTCGCCGGCCAACTTGACTTTTCTGTGTCTTCGAACCACAACCTCCATTAGCCAGTTCCCATCCTATCACCTCGCTGATTCCTACAATGTCTTCCCTTGCTGTTCCTCGTCCCTCGTCGCCTCAGCCCACACCCAGTAAGAAGGTAGGCCGTCGCCACGCTCCCCATTCCCTAGCACCGTTCTCATGAATGTCCTAGGCTGCCGCCGCCCTGGCCGCATTCTCCCTCGAATCACCAACCAAACCCTCCAAGAAGGTTTCGCAACCCATTATCGACGACGAGCGTCTCCCCGAGTCGCCCAAGTCTATCACTGAGGAGGAGTCCGTCGACGAATTGACCCTGCTCAGGCGCAAGTTTGTCGGAGAGGTCGACCTTCCTGAGAGTATGTCTTCTCTATCACAGTTTCGACACCCCTTTGACACCGCGCTCTCCAGGTGAAGAGCCTCTCTTGAAAGAGTCTAAGCGCCGCTTCGTCCTCTTCCCTATCCAATATCACGAGGTACGTGCCCCTTCGCGTGCTCGACGCGACGCGTACTAATTAATCTTTAGATCTGGCAAATGTACAAGAAGGCCGAAGCGTCCTTCTGGACTGCCGAAGAGATGGACCTCTCCAAGGACCTTCATGACTGGAACAACAAGCTGAACGACAACGAGCGCCACTTCATCTCCCATGTCCTCGCCTTCTTTGCCGCCTCTGACGGTATCGTCAACGAAAACCTGCTCGAGCGCTTCTCTAATGAAGTGCAAGCCGCTGAAGCGCGCTGCTTCTACGGCTTCCAGATCATGATGGAAAACATTCACTCGGAAACCTACTCCCTCCTCATCGACACCTATATCAAGGACCCTGCCCAACGTGACTACCTCTTCGACGCCGTCGACACCATCCCTTGCATTAAGAAGAAGGCCGACTGGGCCCTCACTTGGATTTCAGACCAGAAGTCTACATTCGCTGAGCGCCTCGTCGCCTTTGCCGCAGTTGAGGGAATCTTCTTCTCTGGCTCCTTCGCCTCCATCTTCTGGCTGAAGAAGCGTGGTCTCATGCCCGGCCTTACCTTCTCCAACGAGCTCATCAGCCGTGATGAGGGTATGCACACCGACTTTGCCTGCCTCCTCTTCAGCCACCTCAAACGCCGACCTCATCCCGACGTTGTCAAGCGCATCATCACTGAGGCTGTTGCCATCGAGCAAGAGTTCTTGACTGGTATGTTCTTTTGCTTGTTAAGGATACAATTTCAAATATATTCAACGTCTTTCTTAGATGCTCTGCCCGTCAAGCTCATTGGCATGAACGCCGAGTTGATGTGCCAGTACATCGAGTTTGTTGCTGACCGTCTCCTCGTTTCCCTGGGTAACGAGAAGGTCTACAACTCGACCAACCCCTTCGATTTCATGGACATGATCTCCCTCCAGGGCAAGACCAACTTCTTTGAGAAGCGGGTTTCTGACTATGCGAAAGCTGGTGTCAACCAAACCGCTGCGAGCTCGACGGATGCCTCCCAACCACAAGCGTCGAACAGGCTGTTCTCTCTTGACGAGGACTTCTAAACGACGTCGCCTGCATCACATTTCGTCTTTCATCATATCTATCGCTCGCATATCATCGCTTTCGCTTATCCTCACATTGTTGGCATTTTAGAACTCAAGCAATTTATGTACTTTATGTAGCTCATCTTCTGTAGTTGTGGACCACTAGGTCCGTTGTAGTATACCAGTCTAACTTATGCAATCCTCACGAATCCAAACAACTGCTCTTTGTCCGATTTCATCTTATTTGTCCGTCACCCGATGTTAGTAAGTTCTTTGGCGAAGGCAGGCGTTGACGCTGGACTCTAGAGCCCAATGATGTAGAAAAAGGAATTCAGGCTGTTGACACGATTAATTGTCCAAGAATCCAATGATTCTGAAATGGATGAATAGATTATCCAACCCACACAGCACGGCCATAAGCTCAAAGGAAGTTAATGTCGTTTCCCGAGTTTTTTCTGCAGGAAACCTGGAAACTTGGGGGTTGACATGGGAGTTGACTGGAGAAGGTCCCAGAGGAGCCCACGCTATCCGAAGAAGTGTCAACTGTTCCATGTTACGCTTCAAAACCTGGGCCCCGAATACCTTCCGACATTGCGCATTTGGAGCCCTACAATAGGTGTTGAGGAGACTGATTGAGTGAATGATTCGAATTCCTTGACATAACAGAACAAATCAGTTTGGCAGATGGGACGTGAACGGATGGAGCATGCGAAGGATTAGCGTGTCCAGGTCCTACTTTGGTGAAGGTCCCAAGGTAGATATGGGAAGCGCCACAAGCGTGCAGCGTATTAAGTCTTCAAGGAGTGCCCAAGAGTTTGCGAGGGGGTTTTGCAGGACTAGGTTCGGAAAAGGCGATGGAACGGTAGAGCATTGGTGTACACCAATGTGTACACGGCTGTCGAATTCGAAGATCATAACAAAGGCTTGCAATCGAACCGAGCGCTCAAGGGTGCCGCGACATTGGATTTAACCTGTGTCCATTGGCGACGAAGGACGGAATCTAGTCTCCGTGCGGTTTTGCATGTTGAAAGCGGGGCCGTGGCGTTGGGATAGGAAGTATCGAGACGTAAGTGCATGCAGGCTAAGATTAGACTCTTCCTTCGTGCCTGCCGGACAAGCACGAAGGTTCTGCCGTTGTCCAATAAGAGAAGCCCAACGCGGGAGGTTGAAGGGAGTGAGAAAGAAGGGGCCTTATCTCGGAGATAGGGGCCACTCCTCGCAGAATCATGTCCACACCAAGTAGCACACGAAGCTTACGGCGAGGCGGGGGGACGGATCACTCCGTCAGGATTGCTTTTGGGACCTTCGTTGCCAGATTGGCGAGGCTCGTAGTGCCGTAGGTGGAATCATTCCATGGTCATACGAGGCAGCCGCTCAGCGCGGCTTCTGAAAGTTCAACGTGGCCGTTTTCATTTACAACTCGCGGACCGAGCCCAGGTAGACCTGATTGACATCGAGGAACTGGTAGACCAAATAGTGGTCTTGACATGATGGGGTTCTCGACATCTCTCGACATGTGAACCGGGGTGGTGGTGATTGAGAGAGGAAAGAAAGAACATTGCGTTTGGGTTTCGCGATCGACATGTGTGGTGATGTTTGTCGTATGTAAGCGCCGAAGGGGTTGGCTCTTGGCTCAGCGGCCAAATTGCAGTTTGATTTTGACAGTCACCTATCAGTCCAACGCTCAACCACCTGTTCCGAGCTTGGAACTTTACACCACAATGGGGCCCAGGGCATTCACCCTTTCGTCTCTTTCGGGTTTCAGGATGTACACAAGCAGCGCTGGCCACTGCAGGAAAATACTACTAGTGTTTCAATCTCCTCGTGAAGGTGGATAGAATGATGATCAGTGGTGATTTCTTGCATGATCACACAGCTTGTTATGCGGACGACTCTCCTTCGGTGGCTCCTGTAGATCGGACATAAGTAATCGACGCTGGGTGCTCTGGGCGGTAAAAGAACGCAGTTATCAATGGCAGACATACATGCCAGAAGCGGTAACCGGAGACCGGAGAAGCAATCTCAAATCTTGTGGTCCACGAATCTCGCAGTTTTTACTTGCTTGTGTTGCGAAGCCTCTCGACAAACAGGGACAGATGCTGATGGGCTCTACCACCTGCCAACGACTTCTAGCTCACCCTATATATTCATTTAGCGTCGCGGGTTAAACTTTTGACGCTTCGCCCAACGGCCACCATCCCCCCCCCAAGTCCCTGTCCCGTTCCCGACGCCCTTGCCGCCATGAAGTCGTTCTTCAAGACATGGAAGAGGAAAGACAAAGACTCACCCAAATCCCCAAAACCCATATCCTCTCAGATATCGAGTGTGGACAGCGACCACGGTCATCGTAGACTGGTAGTGCCCGACTCCTCTCACTGGTCATCCGCGTCTCCCACACCATCATCTCAGTCATCCTCGTCGTCTGTGTCCGCCTCCCACCCACTGTCACGAAGAACCGAGGTGAGCGCATCTTCATCCAAGGATGCCTTCGTTGAGGACGCTCTCCACTATCGCAAGACGCCCGACCGATCGTCGCCCGACCACCCCTCGCGCTATCCTTCTCATTCCCACCACCCGTACGGTGACCTCCCACGCGTCGCGCTACTTCCCCCGTTCATCAGTCGTCACGGGGCACCTCAAAACAATGTGCATGGTCCTCCTCGCAATGCAAAGCATGGCCCACCGAATGTTCTTCAAGCACAACTCTCGTCGATAAACGCAGCGAAGAAAGGCGATGTCGGGACGCGGAGCCCGCATCCCAATCAGCCTTCCACATTTCTTGGGCAATTGTCACCGCACCGCCAAGGTGCAGACGCACTCCCAGAACCTCCCAATCAGAGAACACGCACTCCGACTCGTGTTAAATTCGATTCTTCGGTGGAGGTACTCGCGACGAGGACCTCAAGGGTATCTCTCACAGAAAGACGGCCCCCGCAAATACATTCCTCGAAAGTAAAATGCAATAACAATCAGGCCTCGCACAGTGTCAGCAAACACGCTGGTAGCGGTCGAGTTGACGACCAGCGGCCAAGTAACGGACGGCCACAACGTTCAGACGAAGATGAAACATCGAACTCCACGGAGCAAGCGACGACGACACCTCCAAAAGGGCTCAAACTCTATCACTCGAGCCAGTCATCTCCGCATCTTCCGGCCAGGGTCGAACGCAGGCCCCCCGAGCAGGAGGACTTGTGCGCTCTGTTCCCCAGCCCTCCGCCACTGATTATACGGAAAAAAGTCCCCCAACCACTCGTTTTACAACCTCGGAGCCCCCCTTCAACGGTTGCTTTCCCTCCTTCACCAAACCCCAGTTCAACTGATTCGACCCCGGTTTCGACACCCACCTCGCCTAAACAATTTCCTACCTCGACACCCACGCAATCTCCTCTTCTCAAAGCTTCCTTCGTACGCCATGGGAATGCGGTTCCACCGCCACTATACGACCCACCAACGTCTCCACTTCCCTCACCTCCCGTGAACCCACAATCAACGGCATATGTTCCACGGAAACCCACGTATTCCTTGCAAGGCCGGGCCCATTTACGCGGAACTATGTCGACAAGCAGCCTACGAGGGGCTGGCGGCTCAAATCACCCCACGCATCGCATGACGTCCAGTGATCCGATGGCCGAAGTCCTGCAGCAATTGACAAAAAGCAAACCACCTCGCGCCTCAGTGAGTGCTTCGCCATTACGTTCTCAGCGCCTTCATTGAACTTATTTCGACAGGAATCCTCCCGCTCGTCTCCAGACCCCCCAGTTCAATGGGGCTATGCGCTCTGACCTAACCACGTTTCTTCTCTTGTTGCACAGGTGGCAGCATATGGTCTTCATTCGTATTGTTTAGAGTACAATTCAAACCCAATGATTATTCATTAGTTTATTTAGCATGGATCACGGTGTACAATATTTGCAAGATATCAAAGCCTACTACTGTCCGATTCAACAATGTTATTGGAAGAAGGCAATGTATAATGGGTACGGCGTTTCGTCACTTGTCCTTCTTCGTCTCGGACTCCGTTCCTTTCGAATCCGAGGGTTTTGCAGAACTTTCTTCGGCGGCGGCAGTGATTATGTATGCGACTAGGATGAGATTCGCCGAAACAATTGCAGTGATTGCTGCGTATATGGTGTTTCCTGAACCCTGGGGCTGAACAAAGAGGTCAAAAAACACGTAGTCTGTAGACTAACCTTCCCAAAGGTAGTTTAAGGTGCCATAATACGCGGATAGAGGTACTATTCCAAGAGAAAGACTGAAAACAATGAGTTTGATAAGAACACCACTTGCAGGTCCAGCTCAATTAGTGACACGAGGGGTGATTGACATGAATTTCGGTTTACCTCTGTGCGGCTTGTGAGTTTACCTGGGACATGGCCCGCTGTTCGCTCATGGTGTCAGGTGAAGATGGTGGTGGAAGACAAGCAAGCGAGCGCTGCCATGACTGACAAGCGCGCAGTCGAGACGCGTGAGAAATCCACGTCGAGGGGCGAGCAATTGGCCGTGACGACCTTGAACCAACACCGCGTCCACCGCTCTCGTCGTCTCTGGTGGCCACAATGAGCCAGGACCAGGTCGTAGATTCAAAAGAGGCCAAACCCAGGGCTCTGGATACTGGAGAGCCCCAGCCCTCAGGCCCAAGTTCACCCCCGCCAAAGCCAAAGCTGGGACTCTGGCCATGGCCTGCATGGAACATTACGCCGTCTGACTGGGATATTCTTCTAGCCTCGACAGCTATCAAGCTTCTGCTCTATCCCTCATAGTAGGTCGACTCCAACACCTACGTGTAACCAAAGACGTTCATTCTCAGGGATAGCCGATCCACCGACTTTGAGGTGCATCGAAACTGGCTGGCCATTACCCATTCGCTTCCCATATCCCAGTGGTACTACGATGTCGGTGAAAACACTGTTTATCCGGCAGGCAGTCAACTAACGCATCCTTCCTCTTCTAGACCACGTCCGAATGGAGTGAGCAAACCCCAATCTCCGTTCGCCTATGGGAATCTCACTGGTTAATTGCCTACAGCGTTGGACTACCCTCCGTTTTTCGCTTATTTCGAGAAGCTCCTCTCCATGCCCGCCTATCTCATCGACCCGAAGATTGTGGACCTCAACAACCTAAATTATGACAGCTGGTCCGTCATCGCATACCAGCGGACAACCGTCATAATCACGGAATTGGTTCTGGCAACTGCTCTTTTACGGTAGGTCGCCAGGCGTATCTTCCCTTTGTCATTTCGTTGAGACGTTTTCGTACAGGTTTATACCAGGCTCGGTCGATCCTTCCATTCAGCGCATTATCTCGGCGGCTCTCTTTCTACACCCGGGATTCCTCATCGTGGACCACATCCACTTTCAGTACAATGGATTCATGTTTGGCATCCTGCTATGGTCGATCTTGATGGCTCGGAACGTGAGGACTGTCCATGATCCAGGCTCTCCTCGGTCGCTGAAGCTGTATAGGGTAACAAACTCGCTTCCGGCATCCTCTTTGCCATCCTTCTCAACTTTAAACACATCTACATGTATCTCGCGGTGAGTCAACTCCTTTTGACAGCGGACAAGATTGGCGGATTAAACCTCCGTAGCCAGCCTATTTCATTTACCTCCTCCGGTCATATTGCCTGACACCTGCCGGCCAAGTAGAGATCAAGAATTTCCTCTCGCTGGCAAATGCGGTCATAGCCGTCTTCATCTCGTCCCTCGGTCCTTTTGTGCTTATGGGTCAAATTCCGCAACTCTTGTCCCGATTGTTCCCCTTTACCCGCGGTCTGAATCATGCGTATTGGGCCCCGAACTTTTGGGCGCTGGTCACCGCACTGGATCGCGTTCTGCTGCGATGTAAGTGCACTTCCTGTTGGCCGAAGGCGCGTTTCTCTGACAGTGGCATTAGACATTCAATTCACAGGCGCTTCTATCCCAGTAGACGCTGCTGGAGTCGCTTCTTCCTCGAGAGGTCTCGTCGGCGATACCGTCTTCGCGGTCTTGCCGCAGATCAAGCCCATCCACACTTTCATCATCACCATTGCGTGGCAAGTGGTACGTCGTCAATTATTTAAGAGGCGGCTAATACCCACGACCTCCAAGGTCATTCTGATCAAGCTGTGGTCAAATCCGTCGTACAAGTCTTTCCTGACTTCCTTGACCTTAAGCGGCTGGGCTTCTTTCCTTTTCGGTTGGCACGTTCACGAGAAAGCCGTCCTTCTGATTCTCGTCCCGTTGAGGTATTGCATTTTCCTCGACCTGCTTTGGGAGATTGAAATTTGACCGGCCCCTAGTTTGCTAGCGGCTGAGAGACATGCATACTTTCGAACTTTCCTTCTCGCAAGCGTTTCAGGTATTTTCGCGCTCTTCCCACTGTTGTTCACTCCCACAGGTGAGCTATGGTTGTTGCGTTCCGTGCATCCGCCGATTAACCCGTTTGCACAGAGTCCGTCATCAAAGTCGTCTACTCGGCGATCTGGGTTGCATTCGTGTATGGTGCTCTTAGCCGCCGGGTTTATGAGTGCGTGGGCTTCCCCAATCCCGTGTTAAACCCCACTCACAGGCAATCATCTAGATATCCCAAATCGCCGATTTACGTGGTGATGGATAGTGTGGAAAAGCTCTACCTTGCTGGATTCCCCTTTTTGCTTGGTTTTGTGACCTTGGTATCTTTGAGAAACCAGAAGATATCGTCAGCGTCATCCGACAGTACCCCTGCCTACACTGTCATGGAGTTCCTGCCACTGATGGTGACGAGTGTGTATTGTGCGATTGGGATGGTATGGTCATTCCTGAGGCTCGGATTTATCTACCTCTTTGAAGAATCCACGTATCAAGGACAACTGAGTGCAGTGGGCTAGTATGTATGTGGCATATACAGGGAAAATACAATGTTTATTTTTACATGTGCCGTTGTACAACTACTTTTTGGCGATGTGTACGACTAGAAAATGTGCCGTTCATCAGTCGAGTTTGGATTTGGAGTGAACGTAGGCACGTACCGTCTTCATCCTCCAGAACGTGATCCAGTCCGACCTTCTGGCCACGAGCGTGCTTGGCACTGGCTCCCCAAACAACAGCACTGTAAGGTTTCCGAGCCGGTGTCAGCGGGGTGGATGGCAGACTACTGGGAAAACAACCCACTATTTCATCTGCTTCGCAATCTCCTTGTGGATGGCATTACAGAAATCTTGGATCGTGCAACTTCCGCGCTTAAGCACGACCGGTGCAGAATAATCCGGTGCCAGTCCTCGGGGTTTCGTGTAGACGCGAACGAGGTTCAGTGTCTTCCACATCACGTCGATAAGTTCATCGATGTTCAGCCATTCTCGCGACGATATTGGCACGGAGTTTGGGATTTTGTATCTGTAGAGTTCGATCAGAATACCCTCGGGGTTGGGGAGAAATGGTTACGAACAGCAAGTCAAGTTCTTCAATCGAAATCGCGTCGATCTAAATAAGCGTCAGTAAACCTCTTGATATTGCATTGGGGTGTTGACGTCACCTTGTTTAGGACCTAGCCAGATCAAAACTTTGTCAATAGAATGCTCGAAGTGAATGACAAACATTAACCTACGTAGATGGCCGGAATATACACTCTGCGAAATGAAGATGAGGTCGGACTCCGTGAATTATGTGGGTGCTTCTCTCACCTGTTTCCTTCAATGACATCGACAATATCGTCCGCCGTTGCATTGGGTTCTCGAATGGCAACATCGCAATTGCTAATTCGATATTCCGAAAGAATGGCCTTGATTTCGTCATGATCGATGTTGGTGAGGGGAACGGTGTTGGTAATGGCAATACCGCCCCTCTCCTTCTTCCGAACGGTAATATTCGGTGGCCGTTTGTTCAAACGAATGCCGAAACCTTCCAACTCCTGTTCGATGATCTTTTTATCGCCCAGAGGCTTCAGGACGTCTAGGACAATAAAAATCAAGTTGCAGGTTCGCGCGACTGTTAACAGGAACGGATATAAGCAGATAGGAAAGGGTCTGTGGATATTTGGCGCGTACCCGCAATGACTGTGGAGTAAGATTAGCAAGACAAATCACCGGTGGGGAAACATGCGAAGGCGCACCTTGTCGACCTCGACCTCTGCCGTCGTTGGCACCCTCGATGATACCGGCTATAAATGGGTTAATCAGTGAGATGACACAATCTGAGAGGCAACGTACGCAGATCAAGAATCTGGATGGGTGCTCCATGAACCTTCAGTGTTCCCGGCACCGTCGTGAGGGTTGTGAAGTCAATGTCAGAGGCCTCGGAGTGAGTTCCCGTTAATTTGGACATGAGAGTGGACTTTGGGGAGGATGAGTATCACAGAAATTGGTCCCTTGGGCATAAAGCAGTACCTTTCCAACTGACGGGAAGCCCACGAATCCTACTGACGCTATACCGGTTCTGATAACGGGACTTGGGGTGAGCGAACGAGGTCGATAGAACGGGTTCCATACCGGGCAACATCGAAGCCAATTCCTCCACCTCCTCCGCCTCCCGAGGGACCACTAATGAGTTCACGCCTGAGCTTTGCAAGTTTTGCCTTGAGTTGACCCAAGTGGTAACTTGTGGCCTTATTCTTTTGGGCTAGAGTCCTAGATTAGATTTGTTCGGATGAAATAAAAGTCCTGGTTACTTTTGGCCTAAAGAAGGGTCAGACAAGGTAACAAGGGGGAGTTAGAGGGTCAGTTACCATCTCATCTTCGATTTCCTGCAAATGGTTGAGAAACTGAGCGAGAACAATGGGATATTTGGCATACCTTGATCTTCTGTAGGGTGGTCATTGTTGCAGTTGGTGGAAGAGTTGTGTTCGGCGTTTGCCGAGCCAATGCGGTTCATCAAAGTTTGGGCGGACATTGAACGGGTTCTCGTTGCTTTCGCTCGTCCTCAGCGTCCAGCTGCTCGCTGTCTGCGCCATTCCTTAGCCCGGCCTCCAGTCGTTTCTTCGCTCTTTTGTCTCCAAAGTGAATGCGACTAGCTGGTCCTGGTCGTCACGCTCGATAGCAAGCTATTACTCTTCACTACAACCACAATAAACCATCCTCAACTAGCCAACGATAATAATGTGCGGCGGTCCAAAGTGGAAGCGAGAGGAGGTTCCTGATCATAAGGTATATATAAACTCACTTGTTAACAGCTAGCCTGCTCACCTCGGCCAAGTTCGATTTCCTGGACACGACAGAGTTTCACGACGATGGCTGGTTCATGCGACTCAAGTAAGTCGTCCTGCTATTTCCCCACCCCCGCCGCCCGCCAACCAAAGCTCTCCAGGTACATTTGGCTCTACATCATCGTCCTCAAGTCGTTCCTGGTCTATATTTTCGACGTCTTCTCCGCAATTACTATGTTGTCAACATCGAACTGGGCCAACGAAATCTTTCGAGAATGTGCGACTACCAAGGGATGCTTCTTCATTCCATTCAACACTGGCAAATGGCTATTCGTGGGCTGTATCATCTTCTCTTTCCTTCTCGTGCGTCTCACTTTGTTGCTCTCCTTTCGTGTTCTAACCCCTTTTACAGCTAGCCTACGAGTCCCACAAGTCCAAAAAGATCATTGCCAGTCGGGACATCTCATTCGCGTTCACGAACGTCATGGCAAACAACTATTACTCTCTTCGTACGTGCCATCCGAGGCCACCTCGCTTGACAGGCAAACTCACTCAGCCTATAGGTTCTTACGATCACTTCTGTTTCTTCGAGCACATTTCCGACTCGACAAAGCTCATCGACGACTTTGCTTTCTTCGTCTTCTTCACCTTCAAGAGTCTGTTCGTTTCCCATCTTACCGAGCCTTCTAATGACCGTTATATCCAGGTTGGAAGCGGTTACTCCTCGCCGACGGACCCCGTCAGACCATCAACGGGCTCACCCTCTACGCCGTCTGGTTGATCAGAAAGGACAACCCAGGTGCATGGTACCATGTCACAAAATACTTCGAAGGCAACAGTTTGTCGACAACGGCCCTGACTCTGACAGCCCTGTTCACGGTATCCGTTTTCTTGGGTTCCCTATTACTCCTCATCATTGCGGGCATCTGCTACATTCCCCTTTTGATCCACATTCGGGGAAACCTCAAGGTATCTATATTCATTTTCTGGGATATGGCTGATACTGATACACTTACCAGGAATACTGCTGCCACAAAGTTGATAAGGTGTGGAGCTCCCTTACCTCCATAGGTTCGAGTCTGACGGCTGTATACAGCGTATCAGCGACATTATCAAGAGGAAGAACAAGGAACGACGAGCGGAGAATGCCAAGATTGCACAGAAGGAAGCCATGGGTGACTTCTCGCACTACAAGAACAAGAAGGGCGAAATGGTCGGAAAACCTCTCCCTCAGCCTACACTCCCCAACGTCTCACTCGATGATGATGACGATACATCGACACTTGCCACTCGGGTTGCGCCCAGCACACACACTAAGGCTAGCGACTATTATCCTGACAAAGCCTACGATTACCCCCCTCCCATGCCTGCATACAATCCATACTCCAACCAACAACAATACAACCAATCTAGCGCTTCCCTCGGCTATGATGACGCCTACTACAGCCAACCTTACGAAGATGAGGATACCGCTCGTCTCACCGCTTCTGCTGCGCCGGTGGCATATGCTGGTTCGAACTACCATGACTATCCTGCGCGGTCAGCGTCCACAGCTCCTAGTGCGCACCGATATTCGCCAACGACGGACAATCACCCACCGCAGTATGGCGGGCAACAACAGTATTATGTTCAAGACTATTATCCTCAGCAAGGTCCTCAATATGGTCAAGACCAGAACAATTACGGGTCGGGCGCATATCGTCCATCGTAGCAGCTATCCTACCCCTCCAGACTTTAATAGACTCTTCAACGGCTCCGTGGTGCTGTTTGTAAATTATAGATTAATTTTCAATGGCACGTTCCGTCCATTCAGATATTCAGGCGAGATATGTATTACCATTAACTAGAATAGGATGCAGGTATGAGGGGAGTTTTCAGCTCAGCTTTTCCCAGGTGATGATAACAATAAGAAGAATGAGGACGCCGATAATAGCAAATGTGATCGCCTTCTGCTGGTACATTCTGTAGGGATAAGAGGGTCAGAACCACCTGGTCAAGTTGAAGGTCGTTGTTGGTATATATTCAGGCAGCTCACCTTCTAACCATCGCCTTGAGAGTTGTAGAAGCACGATCAATGGCCGCGTCCGCCCTGTAAAGCTAAGGCAAGGGAGGAGCGTTCATATTTCTGTATCTTGATATGGGAAAAGCAGCAAGCCTACCGTGTCCCGCGAATTCTCAATCTGTTCTCGCTGTTGCCGAAGGTTGGTAAGGATCTCTGCTCCCTGGTTTTCCGTTTCGAGGGCAAGTCTCTGAGATTCTTCCAGTCTCTTTGAACCATTCTCCAACATGGAAATGCCTGAGAGCAGTCTTGACCTGTCACTGCTAGAGGCATAGGGGTCATCGGAGGAAGGGTATGATCCAGGTTTAGACGCCAAAAGGTCGGAACGAGCAGCGCTAGCCTTTGCTTCTGCCAGTCCCTTCTTCCGTTTCAAGAGAGAGTTTCTGGCCTCTTGTAAGCGGATATGGTACTTTGAGCGCACATTCTGGGGTATACTCTGCAGTTCGATATCCATCTGAGAGACCTGGTTACGCCGTTCAGCGTCTGGCTTGTTTGGGAGAGAATCAGCCTTGCCATTTCATCAGCTTCCTCTAGCTCCATTCCTACTCTTCGTATGACAGAATTTCGCTCCTCTGTGGTGACATTAGTTCACTGAGTACGTTTTGCTCCCGAGTGAGATTGTGCTCACCACCCTTAATCCCATCATTCAGACCCCCGAGCCTCTCCTCTATCGACTGCACGAGCTGCTTAAAGTCCTGTTCATAAGCGTCAAAAAGGGAGGTTGGTGACGTGTCCATGTCGTCTGTATGTTCTATTCCACCAGGGAACAGGGTATTCAGAGGCCTGGGGTTCGGGTGGTGAGAGTGTTGAGCAAAGGAGACTGCTGCGCCGAGAGGACCTGAGCGCGGCATCAAACCGCCGGATTAGGCACTGCCGAGTGCTAAGGTTTCTCTCTTACTCCAGTGACCATGGCTAATAATCCGTGCGTTGTTTATATATTTCGCTGCAATCGGGCGCTGAAGAACTTCTAGGGTGTCGCTGTATCTCGACCCTCAGATACGGGACTGGGTCTTGTTCCCTATTACGCTGGTTATGGTATGTCGTGGACGCTCGAACTGTTACCGACTTGCTCACCGCTCGTTTATAGATTTTAGTGGGCATTCTGCGACACTATGTAGTCTCTCTGTTACAGTCTCCCCCACAAAAACTGTCCAAGAATGCCCTCCGCGAGCAGTGAGTCACCTCTCGCTACGCGCCGCTTGTCTGGACTAACTACCCATCCTCGTTCCCCAGACGTGCTCTTGCGCGATCGCAAATTCTTCGTTCGACAGCAGCCAGGTCGCCTCTTCCTCCAATGTACTATAGTACTATTTCCGACAGTCTCTCTTCCGCGTTTGCTGCTGGGACCTACCTCAAAGACGGCCCGCCGAAGCCTGGTGACGCACCGACTGCTCCTCCCAACCCTCTGACCGACCCCTCAGCCATGGACGGCATGATGGCTGGCATGAAGACTCAAATGGTTATGATGGTACCGCAGATGGTGATAATGGGATGGATCAACTTTTTCTTCCAGGGTTTCGTCCTAAGTGAGTGCTGTCGGTTTGGTAATTTCGCATAGATATTAACACCTCATTGCAGTCAAGTTGCCCTTCCCCTTGACTTTGGGATTCAAGTCTATGCTACAAAGAGGCATTGAAACTCCCGACATGGACGTCCGATGGGTTTCATCCTTGTCATGGTACTTCTTGAACTTCTTTGGTCTCAACGGTCTTTACCGCCTTTTGCTTGGAAATGATAACGGTGAGTTGTCGGCAGCCTATCCTTGAGATACAGCACTCTGACGGCGGACCATCAAGCTGCCGACTCTTCCAAAGACATGTCTGCTACTCCGTTCTCCAACTTCAACGCTGCGCCGGCAGGACCGCAAGACTACAACAAGTTATTCAAGGCCGAGATTGACAACCTGGAGTTTGCCAATGGGATATACGCTTGGGTCGGTGACGGGGTTGAAGATCGGGTTCTCAGTCGATATAACCGGTTACCATTGAAGAAACAGTCATAACCCTGGGTTTAATAAATCCAACGTCAATTGCCCTGATGATTTACCAGAAACGTCGAGTCAGGTGTATTACACAGCTATCCAACAGAGGCGGCAACGGCATGGAAAGCAGGAGGGAGCGTAGAGTCCGATTATTGGTTACACAAGACCATCGTACAACGACAGAGCCTACGCCCGCTGCGTTAGCGACAGGGATGATGATGACATGGGCCGGGAGGAAGAGTTACCTGAACGATAGTAGGATCTTGCTTGGAGCCCTCAACAAACTCTTCAAAGGTCAACTTGGCGTCTTTGTCCTTATCCATGTTCTTAAAGATCTTGTCGACACGCTATGAGTCATGGTTGTCAGTCAAATGGGGCCGAATGTATGGTATGTAGGAAACCACTTGCCTTCTCTGGTGTGTCCTCGTCGGCTGGGAGTTTGACCATCTCGCCCGTCATCTTGTAGATGGATTGCACGATTTGCAGCATCTCGTCGTAAGTGATAGTACCATCCTTGTCGATATCATAAAGTTGGAAAGCCCCTGCAGGTGGATCAAGCGTGAGATGAAGGTTCATTGACGAGAGGGCCAAGACCGATGTCTCGTACATTTGAGCTTCTCGTCTAGCCGCCCTCGGCTGGTGATGCTGAGCGCGCCAATGAATTCCTTGAAGTCGATAGTCCCGTTCTTGTTTTCATCGAAGACATTGAAGACGTAATCGGCGAATTCGCCTGGGTCGCCAAAGGGGAAGAACTGCTTGTAGATGCGACTGAATTCAGCCTTGTCGAGCTGGCCCGATGGGCAATCCTTGCGGAAGCCCTTGTACCTGTAGCCTGGGTTAAGTTGTGCTGAGAGGAATAGGGCGCGCGAACTGACCATTGCTGAAGCTCCTTCTTATCGACTGTGTGGTGGTAGATAAAGAGGTGAATCTGACAGATCAAAAGATAGACATACAATAAGTGTTCTTCTGCAGCTCAGCGAGCTGTTCCGGGGACAGTTTACTCTGTGACTTGCCCATGATTTAGAATCGAGAATGACGAAGGGAGCACAGCAATGGTCAGGAGCTGGAAGAAACACCTCGAGGCCTGTTCAACAGCGCCATTTGGGTGTTTCCCTTGGAGAAATCCCAAGGCTGTGCACATTATTGACGCGCGGTTAAACACTGATTAGTCGTAAACCAGAACACTTCGAACGCGTGTTTAGGTCGTGTATCAAGACAGCAATAGACATATATATGTTCTTTCTGTGTTCTAGCATATTCACCGCTGCAGCAGGTCTGCGGGGGCAGAACGCCATGTGTGTGGTACCCAGGTACAAATACGTCTGATGGGCCCCTTTTCCGGCCACCGCTTCTTCTTTCTCTTCCGCCATTGACGATGTGCCACTCCAGCGGGGCGATTTCCCTCCACCAGGACTGCCCAATGTGCCTGGTTTTTCCTCATTCCAAGTCTGTCTCTTCATTTTCTTCTGTCGCGCTCGTCCTCATTTTTTTCTTTTTCTTTTTTAAAAATAGGTGCCCGCATGTAAAGGATACATGTTACAATAGGGCCTTGCACCCGCGGATGGATGTGGTATACATCAAGAATGCTGAAGGTCCGCTGCTTTGTTCATGCCTCATGTTCTTCTCTGACGTCCATTCTAGTGGAACGTTTCAACGGATGTGGATACTGCAAGGTACCTTGTCCAGTTCATCGCCAACTCCCAGCAAAACTGATAGCAATTGCTGCGACCACAGTGGGCAAAGGCTACCTCAACTCCATCCCCAGAGTTCTCTTTCTACAAGAATCCTGGCTGGCCAGGATGCTGTCGAGCACCTACGCCAGCCGAATATCGTTCGATACCTGTAGCTGAATGGCGTGCAGTGAGCATCGTCCATCAGATCCCCATCCCTCCCGATATCAAGGCAGTATTGGATAGCCTGTCTCCTCGCGTGGGCCCGCCCCCACCCACCTCTGGCGTAACCACCCCCAGAACATCTCGTCCGGTAAATGATCGGAAAAACAGTGGGAGGAACTCTCCCTCCAGTAGACCGCCTGCGCTGGCCAAATCGGCAACACCTGTTCGAAACCGCCCGAGCCCTAGCCCACAGACCACGACACCCAATCTATCAAGAAGCTCCAGCTCAACTGCTATTTCTTCATCGGTCCCCGGTGCACCCTCGGTCGATTATAGCAACCTTAACGAACGTCGTCAGAGAGGATTGGAGTACTCTGAAAGACGGATCGAAGGTGTCCATTCGCTCAATTCTTCCCCGAACCGCAAGAACGTGGATCTCGACAATGCCTCTCTTCCAAAGCGTGGCTCTAGCATGAGGCGACCTACCGTCACACCGGCAACGACATCGGTTTCCGTATCCAAGGTCGTTGTCAATGGTCCCTCCTCATCCAACTCTCAGAACTCGGCCAGCGGGCGCAAATCAATATCGAAGCCAGAAAAACCGACTACCCCTCCGACGCCTTCCCGGCCGAGCCAGCCTTCCCGTCCCACCTTACTCATCCCTCCCTCTGATGCTCGAAGAAGAAAGGAGGACGACATTTCCAGTGCTTCGAGTAGCAGTGGTAGCAGTGATGGTATGGGATCTTTATCAGACAGTACAGTCACTTCTGATGGTGGCTTCACTGATTATCTATCCGACGAATCCGAGGCAGAGCTACAGCGACAAGCTGAAGCCAAGGCGGCCCTTCTCGCCTTGAATATGGCTGAAGAACTCGAATTCAAAGCTGCACGATTGCAGCTTGCCCACGTCGATCTGCGACCCCCCAAGTCGTGGAATCCAACGAACATCACGAATACCGCGCCTTCTGCTAGAACCATGGCCCGCGCCTCCAATCGAACTTGAAGCCGGAAGGCTTCGGGGGTTCGATGCTCTGTTTTGTATCTCGCTTCTTGGGTTCTCTAGTCGATGTTTTATGTTTCATGTACAAGTTTTGTATGTATATGTAGTACCATCTATACAGGGTCTTTTCCTCAGTAACCCAAGTATCACGGTTAAGGCCTGCTGAAAGGGGATCGCGGTCCGGGCATGACGATGGTAGAGGTTTACAGGGGTTTGGTGCCAAAGCAGGTGTGGCCATGTCTTTCTTCCACAACGACGACAAGGACCGCCGCCGTCTATGAATCTAGCACGACATTCCATAAGTGCTACGAAAGCTGTACATATTATCGATGCTCGTTTCGACCCAGAATGCAAGGTCTTCACCGCGGCTACCCCAGCTGGCTTCGCGGTCTACAATACCTTGCCCCTTAACCTGATTCGGAAGCGAGGTGAGCACCCTACGTTGTGTTGGTGGCCGTTGGTGTCGAATAGAGTGCTGATATGAAGATATAGAACTCGTTGGAGGGACGCTTGCCACTGTCTTGCCATTACACACGACCAACCTCCTCTTCCTGCTCGGTGGTGGCCGCAGTCCGCTGTACCCACCAAATAAGGTCATCCTATGGGACGATGCGCTGGGAAAGGAGGTCGCCGAGTTGGAGTTTAGAGAAAGAGTTAGGGGAATTGCTTGCAGAAGAGGATGGCTCGCGGTTTCCTTGAGACGGAGAGTTGTCGTGTTTGAAGTGGGCAAAACTGTCAAGCGCTACAACGAATGGGACACCTGCGACAATCCACGAGGTTCGTCATCGCTATTGCTGATAGTGGTCGTATTTAATGAGCTTTCAGGGCTACTGGCCATGGCTACTGCACCCCATTCGACTCTGCTGGCGATCGCTGGTCGTCAGACGGGACATGTCCAATTGATTCACCTCCCACCTTGTCCTTTACCAGAATCCCGAGATCCGCCTGGCTCTTCTCCTCCCTCAAAGCCGCCACCACCTCCGGCGAAACATCCTGTATCGATAATTGTTGCTCACAAGACAGCCCTAGCCACACTCTCCCTTCCACCGTCCGGTCGACTCCTCGCTACGACATCAACACGAGGTACCCTTATTCGGATCTGGGACACGCTCTCTGGGAAACTTGTCAAAGAGCTGCGTAGAGGGACGGATAAGGCGGAGATCTATGGAGTCGCATTCAGGCCCGATGAACAGGACCTGTGTGTATGGAGTGACAAAGGCACGGTGCATGTCTTCTCCCTAGGGCTAGCTGGTGCATCGTAAGTGCGCTGCCACTAGGATTTTGCCTTGTATATTCATCTGTTCTAGGAATCGACAGTCCACATTCTCGCCTCTCTCGCCTTTTATCCCTCTTCCGAGGTACTTTGAATCTGAATGGTCCTACGCGCAATACCGCATTCCAGTGCAGTCAGCCCACATTTCACTATCATCGACGTCGAAAGGTTCTACCGGAGACGAGCCTGAGGAAGAAAGATGTGTTGTAGGTTGGGTTGACGTTGCTGCCCCGGACGAGAATAGTTCTCGTGGTCCGGTACCCGAATACCAACTTATTGCCTTGACCTTCACTGGTGGCTGGTATCGACTGGCTCTGCCCCCAGTCCGCAACACGGGTACTAAGGAGGCATCGTCGTTGTTGAAGGCTGCCTCCAAGCTCTCCCCCACGAAGAAGCGTAGCTCCAGCATATCCTCCAGGTCCTCAGATAAAGGCAAGGAGAAAGAGTCGGACCCGAAGGAGAAGCAGAGTCGGGACTGTATTCTTGTGGAATACCGCAAATATGGTCGTTGGGATGGCTGGGGCTAATTTGTCGTCAATCCTTGTACATCTTTCTTTCTTTCTATCATACCCTCGCCAATGGCGACTTCCGGTTTAACCCTGTACATTAGCACTTCATTCTTTCGTATGTACCACGTCCATGGCTAGAACACTTGTGGATATGCATCGTCTTTGTTGAGCATCAATGTGACTGATATTTGTCGCGCACTGCATCCTTCTTGATCCAGTTCCACCACCATGGAGAACCCACATGCAGAGCGACAGGCTGTTCTTTTGGAAAGGATCCTCAAAAATACCGTAAGGGCCTATCCTTGGATTATTACGAGCGTAAGCTGAATAAATGTAGTCGAAATGTACTGAAATGATTCTCGAATTGAACCATTGCCTGGAGGTGAGTTTATCTCGGTGCGCAGGGGATTGGATATGTCACTGACGAGTTGCCACTGTCTCCAGGAGATCCTCCGGGCCAATGCTTCTGTCAAGATTGCGGCAGACTTGTCCACCAAGTATAGAAAGAATGTTCAGTACAATCTTGAAGCCACCAAGGACAGCCGCGATCCTACAACGCGATGAATACAACTCTTGACACGATTCGATACTGTGCTTTCCACGTTGGGTGGTCCCTCGCTCTCGTTTTGAGCAAGGCTACGACTTGGTGATCTGAGTCAGTGTGAGCACGGTGTAAGATGATAGAGCGCTGTAAACATTGAAATTGATGTAAGCAACTTGTTGGATTTGAGCGCAATCGACTCCTTGTTTCATGGCAGTCATGTCAGTGCAGTCCATTGCATACCCGTACCGCGGGGGCGCCAACACTTGTGGCTACTGCTCTCCTCCGGGCCAACGTTCTGAGGAAGAAACCTCATACCAAATGGCCTCGCTCCATGCTATCAGGCTGTCCTCTGGGGTATGGAACTCCGTCTTTCCTCGGCTGAATATCACCAACTTCAAAGTCTGATTCAAAACACCAGGTATACCAACGTATGATTGACAGGGGATGGCGACGCTCTGGTTTGTTTCTCCTGCTAATTGCTCCGTGCGAGGGACTAACAACTCCTGTGCGATGCGATAGGCACCTATTGCTATAAACCCGATCTGCGGCGGTCGTGTTGCCCTCAGTATACCATCAAGTGGGGCATCTTCGTCGCTTATGCCCCTGGACTTGGGTTGCTGACGCCACATCTTAGACTCGACGCTCTTCAATTCAAACCAGGTCGAAGTCAGAGGAAGCTCTTGCACAGGTCTACGATTTCACGGCTCCAGGGAAGTCCGTTGAACTGACATCATCATATGTCGTCCGCAGATGGAACCGGTATATCCTCCATGGCCAAGGGGAAGCAGATGCCATGGACGTTGAAGTAAAGCGGTCTGTTTGAACCCGTTATCTCTCGTGTCGTTCGGAAATTGACGTTTAGCAGTGCAAAGGGAAAGGACAACGCTGCGTTTGATATGCTCAAGGTTATTCACGCCGCTGAGCATGATTTCCTGGACAGCGCTTCACAATCACCGAAGCACAAATTTGAGGTATGATCCTCCAGCACATACTAGTGTGTAGGCTCAGAGGGTAATACATCGGGTGCACAGGTGGTATTGGAACCCTCTAGTTATACCGAGGAAAAGTTCGACCTTTACTGCAAGTACCAGAGAGACATCCACAACGACAAAGATAACACGATTAGAGGATTCAAGAGGTTCTTAGTGGAAACGCCCCTGCAGGTCGGACTTTAACTATCACATTCACTCCCTTCGCTCTGACACCGCCGGGTAGGAGGAGCCGATCCCTTATCCGGCCGACCCCCCGTCTCATCTTCCAAGGACTTACGGCTCCTACCATCAACTTTATCGGGTGGACGGGCGCCTAGTCGCACTAGCTATTTTGGACATCCTTCCTAACTGCGTCTCCAGCGTATATTTCATGTATGACAACTTGTGGGAACATTTCTCGATGGGAAAGGTGGGTGAAGCGTTGGAGAACCGACCATACCATATACCGAGCTGACACGCCTGTAGCTCAGTGCTTTACGCGAGGCATCGCTGGCGTATGAGATTCACAAAGCGGGTGTCCCGGAGATGCAATATGTATACATGGGTATGTCTTATACTACCTTAGCTCTGAAGGTCGCGTAAGTATGCGGCTCTAGGTTTCTACATCCATTCGTGCCAGAAGATGCGGTACAAAGGCGACTACTCACCATCCTTTCTCGCTGACCCGGTAAGCTGATGCTGAACGAGAATGAGGCCAACTACTGACAGCCTCCCGATGAAGGAAACATACCAATGGTACCCGATCGAACATTGCAAGTCGCTCCTGGAGAAAAATCGTTATGCCTGCTTTTCCAATCCTTCCCATTGCATCCAACGTGAATGGAATGGAGAGGACTTACCAGAGGGTACGTCGAGTCATTTCCTTCCAGATTTGAGGGAATCTAAACATTCTCTAGATGACAATCCTGAAGACTCTCAGATGGCGGAGATCTATATCGTACAAAGAGGGTCGCGAGGACGCTTGGTCGCTGTGCCATTGATCGTAAGTTTGGCAGCGTGGCTAATGAAGAGTGGAACTAACGCCAATGACTTAGACTTCGTCTGTATGGACTATTTCTGAGGTTAGGACAGACTTCTATGCGTGTATCCGAGGTCTAGGGTTGGATTTGGCCGGGGATATATTCTGGGCATCGTAGAACTGGGCGCTTAATTTCCACTTTTGGATTACCTATGGTTTCGCTTAGTCAGCAATCCCGATTGCCAAATCCGTGTTTGCTTTTTTCAGTGTCACTACTCTCTTGATACTACAATATACCACTGTTGAAGAAATCCAATCATGGTATGCGACTGTTCCAATATATGCTTACACTAATTCTTAAAAGTTCTTGAACGCAGTTACGACGTCAAATTCGAGAGAGAAGAGAATATGTCTACCTCAAATCCCTGGAAGCCCAGGAGCGACAAACCTTTGAACGGAAACAGCAGCTGAAAGATGCGCTCGCTGGCGGAAAGAATCTCCCAACCGAACTGAGGAAGGATGCACAAAAGCTTGGAAAGGATCTTGCATTTGACGAGGCTCAGACAGGTGCGTCTCTAGTGCATTGGTTTCGACGACTGCCCACACCGACATCGTTAACAGAGCCGACTACACACATCGACAATGAGTATTCTAGAGCAGGTATCCAAGACCCAAAGATTGTCATCACAACGTCGAGGGACCCTAGTTCCAAACTATTGCAATTCGCCAAAGTAGGTCTCGCGTCCTGCAGAGTCCACAAGCTTTCCCTCATTCAACTTTCCGCTCAGGAAATGCGTCTCGTATTTCCCAACTCGCACCGCGTGAACCGAGGAAACTACGTTGTAAAAGAGCTCGCCGACGCATGTCGGGCCAACGACGTGACCGACCTCATTGTCCTTCACGAACATCGAGGCGTCCCAGATGCTATGATCGTATCCCATTTCCCCCATGGTCCCACCGTTTATTTCACCCTCAACAACGTTACGCTTCGACACGACATTACCAGTTACAAGAACTCGACTGTATCTGAACAATACCCACACCTGATATTTGAAAACTTTTCATCAAAACTTGGAGAAAGGGTGCGGGATGTGCTCAAGTATCTCTTCCCAGTACCGAAGGAGGACAGCAAGCGGGTGATGACCTTTGCCAATGAATCCGATTTCATTTCGTTCAGGTGAGTTTGTTCAGTGTTACGGGATGTATTGATTCTGAAGGATCCCTGTAGACATCATGTCTTTGTGAAAACCGGGCGAGACGTGCAATTGGCAGAGGTTGGACCGAGATTAGAGATGAAGCGTGAGTAGCAGTCCTTGTACTGGCTATTACCTCACTGACAAAAACATGCAGCCTACGAGATCCGTCAAGGGACTATCGAACAAACTGAAGCTGAAAAGGAATGGGTCTTGTCACATTATACCCGAACCGCGAAAAAACGAAGTGTCCTCGCTGGCCCAACATTCGCCGTAGAACCACCATCAAAACGAAGTCGGACGTCATGAAAGTTACCTTCGACATAATCATTCATTTCGTGCACTGTACCATCTCATATTGTATGTATACTATTTGTCATGTTCTATTCTAGTCAACGTTCAAACCTTGGTCAAGCTTGGAGAACCCTTCGAAGAAAGCGTGGAAGAGGTCGATGGCGGATTGGACATCGTGGGATCCAGCTGTTTCTCGAATTGAATGCATGGACAACATGGGATTGCCGACATCGACGGTACGAACACCAAGTTTCGAGAGCATTGGTCCGACTGTCGACCCGCAAGGCCTGGAGGGAATATGTCAGGTTTTGAATCGCACATTCATACGAGCTCCTTACATGTCGTTGCGAACTTCGAATTCTTGGACCTTGCCACCCCGTCTTTCCGCAAGTTGCTTGACGATGAAGGACGATACGGCGTCAGTGGCGTAACGTTGCTTAGCGTTGGTCTTGATGACGATCCCTCCGTTCATGTAGGGTCTGTGCTTCTCCTCGTGCTTCGAAGTGTAGTTGGGATGGATCGCATGACCCATGTCAGCGGAGATGAGGAATGAACGGGCAATTGACTGAGCAAGGGCTGCAGGTGTTGGGGACAGGCGGTTAAGCAAAGAAGGAATAAGGCTGGATTCCGCTCCGGTGGTGGAGACGCTGCCGATTTCTTCATGGTTAAAGAGGGCGATGCAGTTGACGTTGCCTTCAAGAGTTGCAAAGTAATCGGCTGTCACGCTTTCGGCGAGGGCTTCAACAGCACAGAATCTGGAAAGGGATTTTGAATGTGCAAACCCTACACTGTACGACCGAGTTACACTCACGAGGAGAGAAGGTTGTCGAGTCTTGGGCTGAAGATGAACTCGTTGTTGAGGCCTCCCAAAACTGACGGCTGGGTGTCGTATAGAGAGCTAGAAAAGGTCTATTAGAGATCTTGACGACCGCCCCAAAGGAGTAGCTCACAGGTCGAAGTCGTGGATTTCTTCCGGCGCGACGGAAAGCTCCTCACCCAAAAGAGCAAGGAGGGCAGGATGGTGGTTCTCTTGAATGCTTGACGCGCTTGATTTAGGCGGCAAGATGGAGCCTTTATCATCTTCAACCTTCTTTGCAGCTCCATTGAGCTGGTCCGAAACCAGCCCGAGTATGGGAACGAATTCTGTTTCTTGGTTGAATTTGAAGTTGTCATTCACTCCTCTATCCACTGAATGGTATCTGTCAGGACCATGAACAACCAGGACCACACATTGACTCACGATGGATGGCAAGAGTTGGGATGCGAAGAATGGGTCTGTCGATTTTGATGAGCTTGGAAGTGAAACCGCCATTCTTTTCGGCGACGACAACACGTCCAGCAATGGACAAGTCACGATCAAGCCAGGAGTGCCAGATTCCACCGCCGTAGGTTTCGACGCCGACTTGGAGATAGCCAGCCTTGGTACGTTTGGAGATGGGACGGATCTGGATAGCCATGAGAAGGATAATTTAAGATAGACAACCAAGCTCACCTTGAGATTGGGACTGTCAACGTGGGTTGCGACGATACTGAGTCCAGCGCCCTGCTTCCACTTTTGTGGCAGGGTGAACGCAATCAGCGAGGACTGGTTCCTGAGTCTCTATGAGATTGTGTAACAATAGAGAACACCAGTGAATACCTTGTATAATAGTATTTTCCACCTGGCTGTACGTCCTTCTCCCACTCATCTTTCTCTCGAATCTGTTTCAATATAAGCCCAGCGTCAGACTCGACAGCAGCCAATATAAACAGACCTTTTGGAAACCTGCGCGCTCCAGACGAAGGGCTGCAGTCTGTACAGCATGGAATGGCGTTGGGGAAGCGTTGACAAACTTGAGGAAGCGGGTAGCAGCTTCTGGAGCGGTTGGGTAGAGCATCATATCCTTGGACTAAGTACTGCGATCGAGATTACCTACAACTCTCCTCTAACGCGGGGTTTATATACCCGTTTGATCGCCATCACTCTCTTCCCACGCTCCATCTTCGGTTTTCGCGCAAACCGTGAAGCGACTTTAAATTTGTTCATCTCCATGGTTAAAAGTTATCTTAGGCACGGCCCAACCCAGGTGTGTTCCATAGCCCGTCTCTCACGAATTCAAAGTTAACAGGAGAATAGGCCTTTGGATTGGTCTGCAGTGCAAGCTCAAACTCGGTTTTCGACGGGAGGAACGCATATGTACCCGCTCTCGAGGATGTACTCGTTTGGGATGTCAAAAAGGGGGAAATGGTGGGTCACAAAGTCCCCAGGATTGAAGAATGCATATTAAACTGGTCTTAGATGGCAATGTGGCACGAAACAGGGCACCGAGCGGAGGTCACTTGCATTGTCAGGTCGCCTCAACGAGATTTTTTCGCGGTCGGATATGCGGACGGCTCTATTCGACTTTGGAACAGCATCTCCACAGCCGTCGTCACAGTATTCAACGGACACAAGAAGGCTGTGACAGCCCTGGCATTCGACGAGCAAGGTGTTAGATTGGCTTCCGGGTCACAGGACACAGATTTGATCGTATGGGATGTTGTTGCAGAAGCTGGCCTCTACCGGTGCGTATTCTGCTTTTGAAATGGTCTCCTCGTGTCTAAACGCGAACAGGCTGCGCGGTCACCGAGACCAGATCACGGCCATTCGATTCTTGTCCATCTCCGACCCCCAACAACCTTCATCCTCTACCACGGGAGCCCCAGGACTGCTCCTCACATCTTCAAAAGACACCTTCATAAAGCTCTGGGACCTCGCAACGCACCATTGTATCCAGACAGTCGTCGCTCACAGATCTGAAGTCTGGACTTTGGATCTAAACCCTGAGCAAGACCTTATTTTCTCGGGAAGCTCTGAGGGTGAAGTCAAGGCATGGAAAATCGACCGGGAGGCTGCAGCAGGGGGATTGAAAGAGACAGACTCAGGAGAGGTATGTTTAACTCACTCTCCGCATGGAATGTTCATGTTCAGCTCGTTTCAGATCGTCAAAATCATTCACCCAATTGCCAATTTACCTCTCAACTCGACTCATCGGGTTTCTCAAATCCAATTCCACCCAACCCAGCCTTATGTCGCCCTCCAATCTCACGATAGGTCTGTTGAAGTCTTCCGCATTCGCACCGAGGAGGAAATCAAAAAGAAGATCGCACGTCGGCGTAAACGGGCCAAGGAGAAGAAGGAAAAGGAAGGCGGTTCGAAAAAAAACAAGGGCGCGGGCATGGACGTCGATGAAGGCGTCAACGACGTTCCTTTCATCGACAAATTCACGCCCCATGTTGTCATCCGTGCTGGAGGGAAGATTAGGTCCTTTGACTTTGCGTTGGAGCCCCCAAATGCAAAGGCTGCCGCCCAGGTCAGTGTAGTTGCAAGTCCCCGCTCATGCCCCACTTCTGACATAAGTCGATAGCTCTTCCTAGCCCTCAACACTAACACATTTGAAGTATTTAACATTCCGCCACCTTCCAAATCAAAAGAGGAGCCACCGGAGGCTACCCGGACCTTCTCCGTCCACCAACCTGGCCATCGCACCGATGTTCGCGCTCTCTGCCTCAGTTCTGATGACCGTATCCTGGCATCGGCCTCGAATGGTGAGTGCAATAACCATATGTACCTGTCCAGACACTGACGACACGCAGGGTCCCTGAAAATCTGGAATTTGAAGACCACCGCTTGCATCAGAACGATGGACTGCGGTTATGCGGTTTGCAGCGTGTTCCTACCTGGCGATCGACATGTAAAAGGCTTCATCCCCTTCTCGTCTTCGGGTCACTAAACGCCTCCAATAGGTTGCCGTAGGAACGAAGAGCGGAGAGATCCTCTTATTCGACATCGCATCTTCCTCTCTCATCGAAACTATACAAGCACATAGCGGAACAGTGTGGTCCTTGCACTTGCGCAAGGACGGCAAGGCCCTCGTTAGCGGCAGTGCTGACAAGGATGTTAAATTTTGGGAATTCGAGGAGAAGGAAAGCTCAGAAAATAATGTTAGTTCTATTCTTCTCCTTGTCACGGGCACGCTCATTCTGACAAAATTAAGCAGGCACAGAGCGGCAAACTACTATCCCTTGTTCACATCAGAACGTTGAAGATGTCCGACGACGTCCTGTCAGTGAGATACAGCCCTGATGGAAGGTTCTTGGCAGTCGCACTATTGGATTCAACTGTCAAGGTTTTCTACCAAGATACTTTGAAGTTCTTCCTATCGCTATATGGTCATAAGGTATGCTCCCGCCGTCTATATTATTCCATCGTCCTAAATGTTTTTAAGCTACCAGTCTTGTCCATGGATATCTCGGATGACTCTAAGTTGATTGTCACATGCTCTGCCGACAAGAACGTCAAAATCTGGGGTCTTGACTTTGGTGACTGTCACAAGTCGATCTTCGCCCATGAAGATAGTGTGATGCAGGTCGCATTTGAAAAGGACTCTCATTACTTCTGGACGGTCGGTAAAGATAAAATGCTGAAGTACTGGGACGGTGACAAGGTTTGTTCTTTCACCCGCGCGCTACTTCTCACGCTTAACTCGTTCATATAGTTTGAAGGCATCCAGAAGCTCGAGGGACATCATGGTGAGGTCTGGGCGCTGGCCGTGAGCCATTTTGGCAACTTTGTTGTCACTGGTTCAAGCGACAAATCTATTCGAGTGTGGGAAAAGTTGGACGAACCGGTGGGTACAGCTATCTTCACTGGGCAAGTATCGCGAGTGCTCATTCCAAAGAACAGCTGTTCCTCGAGGAGGAGAGGGAGAAAGAATTGGAGCGACTCTACGAAAATGGGATCGCCGAAACCCTTAACGCAGAGAACGCACCCATCGGCAGTGGTGCCGAGGATGGCGCCCCAGCGACTTCAGCTGAAGCTGAAGTAGCAGCTGTTACGAAGCAAACGACAGAGACACTGATGGCTGGGGAGCGCATAATGGAGGCTCTTGATCTGGCAGACAAGGAACGCGAAACCTTCCGCGAGTACGAGGAAGCCATGTCGAAATTATCCGAAGACGACGCAATGCGCATGCAGCCCCCTCCTCGGAACCCCGTTCTAGCGGCGTACGATGTTGAACCCGACGTCTACGTCCTTCAGGTGGTTGAAAAGATTCCAAGCACTGCTCTTCATGATGCTCTACTGGTTCTTCCATTCGGCAAAGTCATTTCGCTGATGGGTTATTTGAATCTCTGGGCTCAGAAGGTATGGTCGGAACTGTATCCTCCGCTCGGGACCATCAATTGATCCGCTTTACCCCAGAACCGGAATATCCCTTTGGTTTCTCGTATCCTCTTCTTCCTCCTCAAGACTCATCACAACCAAGTTGCCGCCAACAGAACGATGCGGACAATTCTAATTCCGCTGAGACGTCACCTCCGAGCAGCCCTACAGCGACAGAAGGATATCATTGGGTATAACTTGGCGGCCCTGAACTACATTCGGAACAAAAACGAGGCTGAGCGAACTACAGAATACTACGAAGAGGCTGGGTTGGACGAAGAGAAAGTGAGGGCGAAGATTGCGGAAGGAAAGAAGAGGAAGAGAGTGGTTGTAGTAACGTAAAGGAACAACCAATGTACATCAAAAGGGACGCGGACCTCGGGCCAGCGAGAAAATCCTGTGGCACTGTTTTCTCAGTGCACCTTGGGACCCCACAGCTTCTCGTGCCTGTCATATGCGTCAGAAGCTGAATGGGAATTGGTATGTGGCTGTTTCTTACCATTCCTTGGGCTGGGTGGCCGGGCGATATTGCACTTTCAAAATGCCTTCATCGAAATCGGCGAGTGCTCCAAAGGCAGCCCTAGTCAGATCCACATGCTTCGAGTTGGCAGCGCAACCTGCGCATGTGTCTACTACTCGGACGAAAATACACCTCTTCGGAGTATTGCATACTTCACGCCTGAGTCAGTTCGCGCATTCTGTTACGGCAATTGTTTGTGACTCACGCTCGATAAATTTGAAGCACTTCGGCTTGCTCGCCCATCCCTTTTGCGTCAAGGCTGCGACAAAGGAATCGTCCTTGTCGATAGCAATTTGAGTAGACAGTCACATGAACGAACAAGAAAACATACTGTTGGTGCCCATCGACCTTTGGGCCAGCAACTGGGGTGTAGCAAGTCGTGGCCAGTGTACCTGCTAAATTGTCAGAAATTAGAAGGTTCAGAAAGCCTTGCATGCTAACCATGTAATCGTGACGGGTTGGGGCTTTCCAATGCCTGTCAATCCCTTCAACGCCTTCTGAAGGAACTCCGTCAAAGAACCCGCCACGCCCTTTGGTTTGGACGATTTATTTGCGTGCAATTTTCTGCCGACGATATTCTGGGGTTGGGCGATATCATTGCTATACTTGTAGTCGAGATTTGTGGCATTGACCACCTCCCATCCGTCTCGCGGGTCAAATTGGTACCCATCTCCAAGCGAGTGTGCCTTATCGTACTTGTGCTTCGCTGTTGAACCAAGTACCGAGTCCTTGTGGGTGTGTCCCTGTGTGGAAAAAGACAAGAAGGAGAGGAGGAGTAGAGCTATAAGTGTTCTGATGGAACCAGGCATACTGTCAACCACTTTTGATGTTGAATGGCGAAGAACACAGGCCAGCATCATCCAGGGCCACTTTCCGAGTCGACATGATTACCAAATTAGGTAGCCCGGCAGTAATTAGCGCACCGGATGACGTAGTTGCCGTGCCGGCGGCAGGAACCGAGATCGCCGACAATGGGTTGACAGGATGCCTTTTTTTGGTGGCCAAGCATCCTTGTCCTTCTACCATCATGCCCGTCAATTCCTCCTCGAGAAGAGCGAGAACCTCAAACGATGGAGATTTGGGACTGCGAAGGGCGCGTGGGGAGGTCAGTATCTCTGCCTGTATGGTTAGTGAGCCTCATTGACTCCTCCCAGATATCCTGCGCCGAGTGCAGGAGGTAATGAAAATAGTCGTCTATCACTGTGCTTTCTCCTGGACTCATCAACGGCCTTTGTATCAGATTGAAGCTTAAATGTGATAAAAAGATTCCGTGCAACTCCTGTAGTAAGTTCCTCGGTCAGGCTCACTACCAAACCGCTGGCTTAGTCAAAATTAGCGAGGCGTGGTTGTGCTCCGATATGTCCAAACGGGAGTTTAGCAACTGGACAAGGTGCCAGGTATGTGATTTCCGTTACACCGTTGTACCTGGCATCAACTCTAACTTCCAAACTGTAAAGGTCGCACCTTGCGGATACCGCCCAACTTCATGCAAAGATCGCAGAGATGGGACACAGGATCAGTCAGCTGGAGGAGGCTCTCGCGACTTTCCAATCCTCTCATCCCTTGCTTCAAGAAGAGCTGTTGTCCATCAAGTCTCCCTTTGGGCAAAACCTCCAGAGGAAAGACAAGGTTGCTTCCGATACCCGGATACGAATCGACCAGACCACAGCTGCTTTTGGGACACTGAGTATTGGTGATCAGGGCGAAGGGAAATACTTCGGTCCCTCTGCGGGTGCAGAGGTACGTTGCTTGTTGCAAACTAGTTTCTGCATTCACTAAAAAACTTCAGGCCTTATTTTTGGTGAATAGCACTTGCCATGTCACGCGGATTTTTACTCATCCCCTGTTAGGCAGGAGCGAATCTTAACGAATCCGAAACCGATGACGACGAGCCTACAGAAGTATCAGTACACATCGCCCGAATTCTATCCACAGAAGGAAACTTTGAAAAGGCGATGGACATCCTCTTCGATCATCTACCCGAACAACCGCGGGCATGGGCACTCTGCGAAACCTACCTAGAGCAAGCTGCATGGGCGTCCAAGCCCATCAAACGCGATGAGGTCATTGAAGATATTCTGTCCCCGACGTACAAAGCGCTCAAGACTAGGCACAGCTCGGATGCCCCAGTCGCTTCGTTCTCCCCGCACAAACTATCCGTTCTCTACATGATATTTGCCATCGGGGCACTTGTCGATCTCACGTTGGAACCATGTAAGTGACCACAGCAGTTGGCCTGTACACGTCGCGTTCAATTATTTTTTGGCATTAGGCAGCAAGGAAGCTGAGAACTATTACTATCTCAGCAGAGCTTGTCTCTCTTTGCGTTCAGTCTTCGATTCACCCGAGGTGTCGACAGTGCAAGCGCTGTTGTTGATGGGAGGATATCACGGGTGGGCCGGCACACGGTATACCGTCGACAGTTCTGTACGTCATCTCCTAATTAAAGATGCCTGGATTTCGCCAACTCGCATTTCAAAAAGTGGGGTCTTGTTTCTCTGGCTTCGAAAACAGCCCAAAGTGTGAGTGAATCTTTGTCGTATTCCCCTTTGATACCTCGGTCTTATTGAAATCTATTAGTTAGGCCTACGTAAGTCGGTGATTGTCCTTTGACAAGGTCTTGAGCTGAACTACTTCACTCAGACCGGGATCCGAGTCGATTCAATTTGAATCCCAAGATGGTGGAACGGAGGCGCATGTTGTTCTGGGAATTGTATTCTTCTGAACAGCTTTATGTAGGTGTCTTTCCCAGCCGCAGTGTTCAAATGTAGTTATTCACGTCGGACAGAGCCTAGCGCTGGGCAGGCCTCCTGCCATCCGGCCTTCCTATATTGACTGCCAATTCCCCATGGATGAGGAGCTGCAAGATAGTGGTGATAGCAAATCCTCGGTTGGATGTAAGTCAAGAGCTTGCCTATTCTTCCGCAGTCCATCTCATGCACCCTGCAGACTACCAATGGAAATATGGGTTTATCAAGGACGTCCTGGCGACGATTTTGGAGAAAACGGTCACCGCCAATCCGCCAACCTATGAAACCATCCTTGATCTCGACCGGAGGGTGAGAGAAAGGGCTCTTCCACCTCAATTCAACACATTCCTGAACCCAGAAGACGGATGTACCCCTGGGGAATACATGAGACATTGTCTTCTTGGTCAAATGAGGGTCATTGGTGAGCAGCGCGGACTTCAGTGGCAGCCTTTCGACTGACGGGTGATCAGCCTTGCTTTACATCCACAGGAACTTCTTTGCTCAAGCCATCCTCGACTCGCCTGAAAATCCTTTACGGAGCCCGTATGCGCCTTCCTTCTTGGCCACATACAGGTGCGCTTCTGGTGTCATCAAGGCCACTATGAACCATTATGAGAAGTTCCCGGAGCTGTGTGCTCGGTGGTGGGGCGTCTGGACACATCGTACGTCTATTGTTCCTCCCGTCTTCAGTATCTCGCTTATCATTTTCACGGGGCCAGTATTCTCCGCTGCGGTAAGCATTCGATGTGAACCTTTCCGCTAAATCCTCATACGCTCTCTTTAGATGATTGTCGGGTGCATTGTCACTCGGTCTCCGTCTTGTAGCTTGGCCTCAAGTGCCTACATAGAGTTGGGCCTAGCATGCGACCTTTTCGAGAAGGGCTGCAACGAATCCCGTAGAGCCAAGAGTGGGCTGGTAAGTAGTCGGGTATTTTTGCAGAACCACGGAACTGAACGTCATGACGTCGGTAGGCTATCCTGCTCAAATTGCGCAGACGGGCTTCAGAGGTATACTCGAGGTATATCAGCGGCGATGCACATGCGGCGGGCGGTATCCTATCAACCGGTCAGCCAGACTACGGAGAGGACGAACTGGCTCTGTTCGGTGGCCAGACAAAGGTTCTTGTTAGTAAAATGTTGTCGCAGTATCGGAAACGGAAAGGACGCAGCAGTTCCTCGTCGTCCGCACTCCCGACTTCCGCATCAACACCAAGCACATCCGGTTCAGAGCCAGACACAATGGCAAGTCCCACGGCAGACGTGCACCCCAGACTTGTGGAATACCTGTCCATGTATCCTCCGTCAAACCATTCCTCACCGCCCCACTCGGACCTTACCCCCGACCACATGCCGCAAAATATCCAACTGCCAGAAAAGATGACAGAATACCAACAATGTGAGCATTACGAGCCTCCCCCTAACCAGGATTACTCTTGGTGGGACCAAGGTCAGACGAGTACGGGATCTGCGCCAGTCAACCCAGTGAATGGGCTACCTCACTACTACTCTGACCCCATGGCCAATCCTAGTGGTGCGGCTATGCCACCCAACTTCGGGCTGATGGGTCAGGCGTACTCACAAGGAGGAAGCAATATCTCGCAATTGGCGGACTTAGGGATGATGATGACAGGAGATTTGGTCATGGACCAGCAATGGCTGTCCTTTATGCGTGATTCTGGTGTGTTGGAAGGCGGCGATCCTTCGACTTCGCAGCGTCGGCCAGCGATGTTTGACACGGGTGACATGACTGGGATTCTCTAGCCCCTGAGTCGCTTTCGATATTTATTATGTTCCTGTACTTCTAGCCATTTAATCTACCTTCTCGGAATCAGTTAACCATATAAGTAGTTTCGCTACGGCTAGCCGTGTTTTACCGTCCCACCATGTGCTTCCTTGTGCAGCCGGACACGGTGAGAAAAGTCAATAATGTAGTCACGATTGTCGCGAATTATGCCATACTTGGAGCTTCTGTCGATCCCATAAGCATCTTGCTCTTCACCCACCACCATACGTCTAGCAGCTTTCGACAATGGTCAGAAAGCCCATAGTCAACGGCACAGTCCTTGTTCACGGAGACGGCGCAGTTGCTGGGTCGAAGTTGGAGGTCGCCCCCTCCATCTCTGTTACCACTAGTAAGTGGTCTGTTTCCGGAATTGTTGGATTGCGATTTACTCTCAAGGACGTAGCTTTCCGAACGCCCGAGGCTGGTGATGCCCAATTCCCTACTGAGGCCCTCGAGTTCCGCAGTCCTGCTCGACATGTGTATTCGCGATACACCCAGGACGTTAGCACGAGGGCTGAGCATATTCTGAGCAAAATCAACGTGAGCCAGACCTCGAGGCAGCATAATTGAATGCTGACGCCCGGTAACTAGCACGGTTTTGCAATCACTTATTCCTCTGGTCTCAGCGCATCGTATGCCGTGCGTGCTGTCTTCGCTTGGAAATCACTATCGAGGTTAACCGTCGGAATAGGCACTCGTTGCTCTGCACCCCAAACGTATTGCAATCCGGGAGGGATACCATGGATGCCATGAGACCATCAAGGTTTACGAGCAGGCCCGTGGCAGCCCGATCCCTTTGATTGACCTGGACGACGAGTACCAACCAGGCGATATCTGCTGGCTGGAAACCCCTCTCAACCCTACCGGTGAATCAAGGTTAGCCCGCTCTGTCACACGGCTGCATGCTCCCATTGACCATTCGTGCAGGGACATCAAGTATTACGCGGACAAGATTCACAAAGTTGGAGGCAAACTGCTTGTAGACTCGACCTTTGGACCTCCTCCGCTTCAGTACCCGTTCAAATTCGGAGCTGACTAGTGAGTTCGGTCTCACAGTTTCAGTGCCCGCACAGATCATTTATTTGACTCTCGGTCTCTTTCTCTTAGCATCCTTCACTCTGGTACTAAATACTTTGGAGGACATTCCGATTTGTTGGCGGGAATTTTGGTTGTGAACACAAAGGAAGAATGGGCGAAGGTGTGTTGTTCCTTGAAGCAGGCGCTTGCATGTACCCAACACCTCGCACTACTAGCTTTGGCACAACAGAACTTTCACTGGAAACACATTGGGTAACTTGGAAGCATGGCTTCTGCTGCGCTCTCTTCGAACGTTGCACCTTCGTGTCCCAAGACAGTCCGAGACAGCAACCAAATTGGCCCAATGGTTGAATGCTGTTGCCTTGACCCCTCCGGGCAAGTCGTACGACGGAGTCCCAGGAGGCACCGTTACCAAAGTTTGGCACTCCTCTCTTCAAGGAAAGGACCAACGTGGCTTTGAACCTTCGCAACAAATGGAGGGTGGCTACAATGCAACGTTCTCCATCATGGTTAGTTTTACACTGGTCACTTACTATGCCGTAGTTTTCACCATTGTCTCCAGCTTAATGATCCCGAGCAAGCCGAGAAACTGCAATGGGTCCTGAAGTACTTTGTTGTGAGTGTTTATCTCGAGCCATTTTTTTCCATGCTTGACGGGACTTCTTTTTCTAGCCTGCAACCAGTCTAGGAGGTGTGGAATCTTTGATTGAGAGGCGTATCAACTCAGATACTCGCGCGGACCCGAGATTGATTCGCTTGAGTATTGGTGTGGAGGAATTCGAAGTGCGTTGACTTCCAAGACGACATTTATGAAGTAGTTACTTATACCTTTTTCAGGACCTCAGGGATGATCTTCGCCAAGCACTTCAAACGGTTGCCCAGGTTTGTCTTCCCCGCTCTTCTTCTTAAGGTACTGGTCTGACTGTACCATTAGCCCAAGGCCAAACTGTAGATTGCGACTCGCTCGGAAAATGTACCAGTGACCTATTTACACCTAATCCATACGTCACGACCATCATCAAAATATCTAGAGAAATCTTCCCGAAAGAGAGTAAATGCTGCTTCGGAGTGACAGTCATGAAGCTTCTGCGGATTTCTCTGTCAGCGGAGTCCTAAAGCCAGTATAAAGACTTTTCTCGCGAAATCCATCTTGTCATTATCTCTCCCCTACTTACCATGCCTTACTTGCCTGCAAAACGCCTTTATCTGAGGGGTAAGCTGCACTGGACGATGCTCACGGTGCTCACGGCAACTAAGTGTTATCATCCAGGACTGGACAGAGACGTCACCCCCGAAGAACTGTTGAAGGCAAAGGCTACTTTGAAGGCGCATGTATCCACCCCTTTCTCACCTGTTTCGTGGTACAGTATCTTTCAACCTATGGCAAGATTAACGAAGTCAAGTTTGTCCACAGTGAGTACGCTGTCCCTTTTTTCACGCCGCATGACTGACGACCGTCACAGACTACGCATTTGTCGAGTTCGACTCGGAATCGGTGAGTATACATGTATGCGCCTCTGCCCCATCTCTCCATCTTATTTTTCCAAGGACGCGCGACTGGTGTACAACATCTTTCGTTCTTCCCCCTTGCTGGGGAAAGGTGTGTATTGCCGAGTCATCGCGGCCCGTCGTCACGAATCTCATGTGGCCGGGTATACAGAGGTCGTCATCCAATTCGCGCGGCCTCTGCGAAAGGATATCGCTGCTCTCCAGAATGACTTGGGCTGGAAGGCACCGACTCTGGTTCGACGGTAAGGTTCAATTTTTCTATCTGCAAGGTGCCTTCTCATCAAGACGTTGTCTACAGACCCAGTCCTCGAGGAACTGCGTCGAGGCATCCTGTCGTCGTGATGGGCATCCCAGAGGAAGTTAGATGGCAGGTAAGGGGATTAACCCGTAAACACGCGCTAGTATATTAAACCTTACGTGGTTCCAAGGAGCTGAAAGATTTTGGGAGATCTACCGGATGTCTTGTTGCCTACTGTGATCTGGATCCCAGCAGCGAGTCCAACGGGTAGGTTCTTAAGTTTTCCTGCGGAGCAACCGAAGCTGAAGTGTGTGGCAGTTTTATAGAATACTTCTCCAAAGAGGACGCGGAATATGCTATTCGAACTCTCGACGGTGCTACCCTGGGCGGCCGCAGGGTCCGCGTCGTGCCCTACAGCGAGGTGAGGAATCCCGATTCCCGCCTATTCAACAGCTGGTCATCGTGCTATTATATTCAGGCTGTAAGCGAGCGGCGAAGGAAGACCTTCCACGATGCACCCTTGCCTGCACACGCCAAGGGACCGAACGCGATGGCGTCCACTAGTTCACCAGATGCATGGGGATACAGTCGCCAAAGCTTCGAATATCCTAGCTCCACCTCCGGCGGTGGACACATCAACCCATGGGGAGACTATCGATTGCAAGCGGGCACAGCCCGCCCGATCGTCCCCCCTGAACCTCGTGGCGTTACTCTGTTCTACCCTCCCTCCGATAGATCGCAGGCTGCCTCGACCATGGGGGCCAGGCACTCAGTCTCCTTCACAAGCGTGACCTCGGACGAGGATCCCCAGTACAGCCCATTGTCGTGTAGATTCTTCTCTGATGCGGATTTCGGTTCACGATACCACCAAAGCGCTGTTCGGAGCGTGCTGTAGGGTTTGGGCGGCTTCACCTACCACTCCAGGACTTAGCATCGTATGTGATCTCTTTCTGTCCGTCTCGCTCGCCATTACTGACCATTGGACTCTCGTCACTCTTCAGATGACTGACTCGTTTTTCAGCGCCCCAAAGGTTTTCTCGGTTGCATCTATTTATTGACCAATGGGGCATGCTTTCCAATTCCGTCCATCCAAAGACTCTGACTTTCCCCTTGCTGCATCATACAACTGTTCTATACATCACATACAATCCGTAGGCTCTAGACATCATCGCTACTCAGTCACTCATCGGCCCTTCGCGTCGCACTCAAGAATAATTTCATCATCACCCCCCATCACATCCATATTATACCAAGTAATTCAGTACTCATTACATCACGAGCATCCTGTTACATAGCATTACTTCTTCCTACCGAAGTAGAGTTCCAATAAGCTGGTTTTGTCCTCCCACCCTTTGCCTGTGCGTTTGAGTTTTCCGATCTGGGCTATCAGAACTGCGCAACTCTCAGCAAGTTGGTCCTCGTCTGGGTCTCCGGAAACGATCTCGCTGGCAACAAAGAGCTGCGAACTTGGTGATTCTGCGAGAGGCAAGAGACGAACGGAGATGGCCACAGGAGACAGGGAAGTGGCCAGGGTGAAGACGTGGGGAAGGGGGTTTAAGATCCCTGAAGGAATGGAATGGGAGGGGGTTGGTGTCATCGCTGTCGGGGGATCATAACTGGAGACGATCAGGAACCAAAGAGACGACAAATACAAAGTTGCTATCCGTACCGAACGCAAAGGACATGAACGTTGTATCCCTTGATAGGAACATCTTTTTTGAAAACATCCGCAAAGCGCAATAACCCCCGGGCGTTGCTGCTTGTGCATTCTGGGAACACGACGAGAGGCCTGCGAGAGGATTTGCGAATTTCCTCGAGGGAGTGGACAGTTTCGGAGCCACGTGGAGAAGGAGCGTAGCCCGTCGACATAATCATTTCCCAAAGAGAGGCCTTCTTGAAGCCAGCAATGGGTATGCGTTGAGTTTGCGTCCTTGAAACCTGGTTGATGTTTGCGGAACCTGTGCCCGTACGGCGACCAGGTCTATAGGCTATCGGCGATCCCCCAGAAGCGTTGGAGAAGGATACGTCCTTTTCCGGGATAGGAACAACGAATATTGGGTTGAAGCTTGGGCAGTGGGACATGAGAGGGTATCTTTGGGACGGGTAAGCAAACGCTTACCGGATAGCGAGCCATACAATCTCAATCCAGGATGCCCAGTTTGAGACAATGAGATCCCCTGCCTTGGGGTTCCAGGCTATAGCATCCTTGACGTTCTTCCTGCGTCGTTGGTTAGATGAGGCGGCTGGGGATATAACGAGATATTGTACAGACCCTCGTTTTCGTGTGGTATAGTCCACGGGTATCCAAAACAGTCCAAGAATGAAGAGAGCGGTCCGACCAAGAGCATAGGTCAAAATGTGTGTAATGAAGTCATAGAGTGGCGGCAGTGGTAACTTTAGAGGTTGGTTGACTATGGGTTAGCAACAACGTATATGAACGGCGGACATACCAATAGCAAGCAAGCGCCTTGCACAGTCACCAAATAAAGCAAGGAAATTACCAGGACCAACATGGTCCTAACCACCGCCAATGGGTACCGAAGTGGAATAGTAGCTTGGGCTAGAAATTCACCCCCTGCAGGGGGAACAGGTGTCAGGAAGGGCTACAAACGTTGTTCAGACCGTGTTTGGCGCCCAATGGGATGGCAAATACCTGTATTCCTGTGCCCGCATCCTGGGAGTACGATGAGTTATCTGGTTCCAGCAGTCTTCAAGGAAACACGCACTCTGTAGGCGCTGAATTTCTCCATGAGCGAAACGGGAGCGAGCTCGATGTCGGGCTCGGTGACATGGACTCTTCGGTCGGGCCGGATGATCCGGAGCTAGTGAAGTGAGGCCGTAGGTCACCTCTGAATGGCAGTCCATCCTCTTATGCCTCACAAGGTTGTCTCGTCGCCACCATGGCTGCGGATTCAACTCCAGGCAGTCACCACCGGAACCTCTTCTTTCAGTATGGAAAAGCTGCCATTCACCGATATCATAGGCTGCATCTCTATGGAAAGGTCCGTACTATACTGCCTCGTGGTTTATAGCTGGTTCTAAACTCTTATCCAGGCGTTCATTTGGCTAGTTATCCTGTTTTACATCGCTTTTGGTCAGTCACATCCTGGCCAGACCTTCCTCGTCCAGGTCTAATAAAACTCGGAGGTTCCAGGAGTGTTTGTTATCATCGTGACGCCCGCGCGTATCGCACAGTTTCTCTATGACCAGGCCAAACTATTGGCTGCGACACGATTCGGCTGGGTTGCTCTTCTCCTATCAATAAGTGAGTTATCTGAATACCCCTTCCAATGATTGACAAATGGTATTCACTCTGGCTTTTCCCACTCTCGCCAGTATGCATTTCATTTCCCCCGTTGATTGGGCATACAACCCTTGTTACACTTTGCGGCTTTGCCTACGGTATGAAGGGGTTTTATATCGCATTCGCAGGGTCGATACTCGGCTCCGCACTCGTCTTCGTTGTCCTGCGTTTCTTGTTCACCGAAAAGATCCGGTCATGGTCTGCGCAGAATGAGAAGTGGCAAGCTCTAGAAGCCGTCGTTGTGGGTCTCTCTCCGAGTCATACTGCTTTAGCATGGTGTATTGACCGACGTCATCCCTTTGCCCTGGTGTACTAGAGGTCAAAGGGTCTACCCTTAATTGTCCTTATCCGTGTATCCCCATTCCCTCCTTGGGTCTACGCCAACTCGCTGTTTGCTGTGGGTCCTTTCTCTTGCGTCCAATTCGATCGTGAAGAAACTCCGAACTGAATACCCTCGTTCTCAGTCGATCGAGCCAGTCAAATTATGGCAATTCGTGGCCGCAACGTGCTTCATCACGCCAAAACTCTTGTTGTATGTTTTCATGGGATCGAAGATGGCGGCCTTGTCCGATGGCGACCAGCGAGATCGGATGGACACCCGTATGTCCCCTGACTCGTCCTCCCCTTCTGTCTTTCTGAACGTTTAATAGACGATAAGATTATCAACGGACTTTTCCTGGCAGGGAGTCTGGTCATCGCCGTATTCACTAGCTGGTGCGTCATCCAATGATTCAAGGTTCTGATTCAGAACAGGTTCCTGAACAATGCATCCCCAGGCTAGTCTACAATCTGGTACAGAACCACATTCGGCATTTGCATGGTGTGGACCCTGAAACAGACGAACTGGCGGCTGAAGCAATCGAAGATTTCGACGAGGATGCTCCTTTACTCTCTCCGACTGCTTCCCATCGCGTTTAACAAGGACACTGATGTAAAATACACTATACATATAGGGATAATGTTGACCGGAGAACCCTGTGCCGGCGTGTAGATATTATAAATTGCTATCTATCGTTGGGAGACATCCTGGTATCAGTAATAATGCAAGAATAATAAACTGAAACTTGCGCCGAGCAAGAAAACGAGAAGGTAAAGTCTACTATCCTTTCCTCTTTCTTGGGCTTTCTTGAGTTCGGCTTTGCTTTTCTCGACGGTTGAAGTCGTCGCGATCGCATCTTCATACAGTTGGTCTGTCAGTTCCGTTTGTCGGGTCAAGTGGGTGACAAGTTCCATTTGGAGGGCGCTAATATCCATGAGACGCGACTCAGCCTGTTGGACAGACTCGAGCGTGTCTTGGACGTTTCGTAGTATTGCGGCGTTCTCGGCTTCGAACTGGAGGATCTGTGATGAAGTCAACTCCAGGTCGTCGTCTTCATCTTCTGAAGCGAACGAGGAGTCGGGTTGGTAACTCTGTGGTGGTGTACGCGTATGGTCATTCGGTGTACCGAGTGTTGCAGCAAGGAACCCTGACGACGCATCCCCGAGCCAACTGGAACCACTTGAGGTCTCCTCTGGAATATGGGTATCCATCCATGCCGCTTCTCTGGAAGCGCCCGAAGCAAGGGTTTTGGTACGCTCCAACTGTCGTTTCACGCGCTCCTCCTGCATCTCTTTCTGCATTTGACTGGCTTCTGTCAATCTCCGGCCGAGATACCATGTTATGCTTGAGCGGTGTGCGGCAATAACGTCAGAGGCAAGTGTGGATTCGTCCTGTCGAAGTCGAGCGGGTAATAGTCGGAAAACGGGATTTGCTTTGCTCTGAACCAGTTCCGATCGTCCTGGGCAGAAAGATATTGTCGGTACACGCAAAACACAAATTCCAGGTATTCACAAACGTACGTTTCTCGAGGAGTTCCATCTCTTTAACCCTCGTTGAGCATTGCTGCAGGATAGTTCTGGCTTGGAGATCTATCTGGTCTCTCTCTTCGTTCGACAGATATTTTATGTTTGACCAAGCAGATTCTCCCTCGTTCAGGTCAATGTTTCTAGACCCTTGACGCGATAGAGGGGCAGGGTTTCGGGAGTCCACATTGAGGTAGGCACGCCGGATGCTTCCAAGCATCCTCGTCAGGGTTCCTATATGAGATAGCTGCACCGAGTCAGCTCCAGTACATCCCTCACAGCGTCACGGACTTACGATAGTATACGCTTCATGTATATACCCCTTGCCAGAGGCTACTTCACTGCTGGACACCGAGGAGGGCGCTTTGGCGTGTAACTTGCGTCCCTCTGGAATAACATTTTCTTTGTCGGCGACGGTACGCCGAAACTCAGAGGTCCTGTCTGTGAAAGGCATTGGGATAAGAGATAAAAGTAGAAGGAACTGAGGACTTTGCACCTTTCTGCCCAGACTCCCATCCCGGTCGGTGGACGTGATGATGTGGTTCCCACCGAATGGGGCTACTTCTCACGTGGACCTGCTCCCTTTAACATCCGCCAAATTTGGGATGCGCTCTTTTGCTCAGACCACAAACTCGACGACCATGAAATGCGTTGTTGTCGCTGGTTTTCAGCAACGATTGTCGTCCACCTTGTGGAAGATGGATTCGCATCCTTGTTTGAAGTGGATAGAGATGTCGCTCCTCCTGTCTGCTATAAAATGGATGTACATTCATGTCATTCTGTGTTGTTTTACTGAATAATAACACAGTCCATTTGCTTTGCTCTGCTACTAGGCCTGAACTATGTCTAGTTTACTATTTGGAGGGTCGGAAGAGCTTTAGGACCGTTAAAAAATTGAGACTACAATGCCAATTTTGGCCTAAATGACCGCAAACAGCGCATCATTCCTTTCCACCAAACCACCACCATCGCTCATCGCCAGGCTTTCCACCTTCGCGTTTTTCCCGTCTACAACGGTTCACTAGACTTCCGGATACCTTACGCCGCCCAAGTAAGTAAAATCACATAAGAGTGGCCGCGGATGACTTTCAGAGTGGAATCTGTATCGACCCTGGACAATACCAACGATATCCACTGGGTCGAGAAGATGACTTGGAATAGTTCTAGATACTGCTGAGGCTGCTTCAGTTATCTCTTCAACTGTGCTACCTATCAACGAGCAACTGCTGAGCGCTCACTTCTCCGCAGACCTGAGAAATGGATCCGAGAAGAGCCAGAGACCCTCGCCTCGCTCAACGTGGGCCAGATCCTCGACTTCAGCAGCATCAGCAGAAGCAACCCTCGGTTCAGCCGCCAATACCACCACCCGTGAGCAACTTGCAACAACAGACCCCATATACCAACACATCCTCGATACCAGGATTGGAAGAAAGTTCCTCCTCTTCGACTATTACTCCGTCTTCTTCGTCTCTCGGCCCACAGCCCGATGAAAATGCCGAGCAATCTGCTCCTGTCAACGGCTACAAACCGCGACCTTTATTCTGCGTAGTGTGTGCAAGCAATCAGGTGAGTAATGGTGCCTTTTGTGCATTGGCCTGTTGCGGTTCTGAGAAACAACGTCCCGTTTTGTAGAACCGCTCCATGGAAGGTCATAACGTCTTGTCGTAAGTCCTCTTGGCAATCCGCATAGAAAGTGTCGGACTTCTCTGTCAGTAAGGCGGGGTATCGGGTTATTTCATCGGGTACAGGGTCAGCTGTTCGTCTACCCGGGCCCGCAATAGACAAGCCCAACATCTACTCGTTCGGAACGCCTTACAACACGATCTATGAAGAACTTAGCTCCAAAGATCCACGCCTGTAGGTGACACACTCATTAGGGCGAAAGTTGTGGTGGTAGAGCTGAATCCATGTCACAGATATACCGCCAATGGATTGTTGCAGATGCTGGACCGGAACAGGAGAATAAAGACAGCTCCGGAAAGATGGCAAGAGACAAGGACTGTCGCCGATGTGGTTATTACATGCGAAGAGCGATGTTTCGACGCAGTTTGCGATGGTAAGCGCCCAAGACGGAATTCTACCCGAAACCGCTAATCCTTCCGTCAGATTTGTTGAACCGAGGGGGCGATTTGAGCAAACCGGTCCACATCATTAACATGGAAATTAAAGATAATCATGAAGAGGCCGCAATCGCTGGAAAAGCAATGTTGGACTTGGCTGCGGCGGTACGTGGAGATACGTTTCCCTTGGGAACTCAGTACCAGGCATAACATCACATCCCTTAGATCGAAGCCACGGATGATATCGATGAAAATATTGATAAAATCTTAGAGGCACAGCAAGAGAAACACCCACACAACCTATTGCATGCGGTTGCGTATTACTGACAGATAGATACGATATCTTGTACTGACAGTTGCGGACGTCGTGCAATGCATGCAGTCTCGATGGTTCGACAAAGCAGTGAGTGTCGTTATCACTGCGTCATGAAATGGTGAGGAATTAGTTATTGTGAGGCGCCCGTTGAGGTACAGATCAGGACAGCAACTAAACCACGTTTAGAAAGAAAGAAGCACGCAATGTAGGCGCAATTGCAGCGATGTCTGAATGCCAGGGCGTGAGAAGCGAAGACGCGATGATCGCTGGGGCCTTTGGGATTCCAATAAATGGGCTCTTCAATTCGAAATGCTCCCTCCTTAGATCTCCTTAGACCACCGACTACAGAGTGAAAATGCCTTCTCTCCGACTTGGAAACACTGCCCCCGACTTCGAGGCCGATACCACTACTGGACGCATCAAGTTCCATGAGTGGATTGGTGACTCCTGGGTACGCGCTCTATAGATAAGATGTCCGGACGATCTAATCTGTGATCGCCAGGCCATCCTCTTCTCTCATCCTGGTGACTTTACCCCCGTTTGCACCACCGAACTCGGTGAAGTCGCTCGACGAGCCCCCGACTTCGCCAAGAGGAACGTAAAGGTTATCGGTATTTCTGCTAACGGCCTCGATGAGCACCACGCATGGGTCAAGGACATCGAGTCTTATGGTGCGAAGGTCGCCCCCACCCAAGTCTCTTACCCCATCGTAAGTGATACTTACCGGCGGTTCATTGAGCTTCTCTAACCCATTCACCGCTGCGGACACTAGATCGCCGATCCCGACAGGAAGATCGCCACCCTCTATGATATGTTGGACGAGCAGGATGCCACCAACGTCGACACTAAGGGCCTTCCCCTTACCGTAAGTCCCTGTGCCTGTGACCTGGAACGATACATTAATTCAATCGACGTTAATAGATCAGGACTGTCTTCATCATCGACCCAAAGAAGAAAATCCGCCTCACCCTCGCATACCCTGCCTCCACTGGCCGTAACTTCGATGAGATCATTCGGTAATTAATCCTCCGATTTTTCAGGGCATCGCTGAACTTCTCATTCCCGCTTTCACAGAGTCATCGACTGTGAGAACTGCGCAGTACAATGACAATTCCCGCGAAAGGCTAACTCTAACCTTCTTAGCTCTCCAACTCGGCGACAAGCACCGTATCACCACACCCGTCAACTGGAAGCAGGGTGAAGATGTCATCGTCCACGCTAGCGTGACCAACGACGAGGCCAAGACCCTATTCCCTGAGCACACTGTTCACCTGGTAAGATTTATCGTGGCCATCCCGTCGCTCATGCTGCTGACCCACCCCACCAGCCATACCTCCGAACCACCCCTCTCAAGCAGTAGATGCTGGTAACTAATCGTGTATAACTGTGTAAAACTTGTATCATTATGGAGTAAATTTGCTATGTATCGCGATCGATATCTTTATCAACTTACTTGGCACTACTTGAGAGAGAGAGGCTACATACTTGAGAGAGGGGAGAGAGAGATAGGGACGTATTTGGGCGCTTATCGAAGCGTGAGAAAGTGTGCAAGCAGGGCAAAACAAATGAATGAGATGCGCGGACGCGTCATGGAGTAATTGAATTCTTGTAATATACACTCATCCGCTCCTCTGACTGACTGATAAACGACGATGGCCAACGCTGACGGTGGTGCTTATAGGCAGGTATATCCAGACTTCTAGGACGTCCAGCAGAGGATAACATACAAACTATAGCTACTCGCTGACCGTGTTCTCTCCAAGCGGGAAACTGGTCCAAATCGAACACGCGCTGGCGGCCGTGGCCCAGGGAACAACGAGCCTTGGGATTAAAGGTGCGTGTTAATCGTGCTCCGACACACACGTTCATGACAATTCGTCTCAGCGTCGAACGGAATTGTCATTGCAACTGAGAAGAAGACATCTTCAATCCTCATTGACGACTCAGTCATCGATAAAGTGGCTGTAATATGCCCCAACATTGGCATCGTTTACTCTGGGATGGGTCCCGATTTCAGGATTCTTGTCACAAAGGCGAGGAAGAGCGCTCAAGCCTACTGGAAGATGTATGGAACATATCCCCCAACACGAGTTTTGACCCAAGAAATCGCCACCGTCATGCAACAAGCAACCCAATCCGGGTGAGGACCCTTGATGACATTTGATTAACTTCTGTCATCCTCATGCGCTGCCCTTAGAGGTGTACGCCCTTACGGTGTTTCATTGTTAGTGGCAGGATGGGATAGTCATCGAGGGCCAACATTGTATCAGGTTGATCCATCAGGGTCATTCTGGGCATGGAAGGCCAGTGCGATAGGGAAGAATATGGTGAACGCGAAGACTTTTTTGGAAAAACGGTCGGTTTCTTGCGAGATCATTCGTTTCACCCATGTAATGTTTTTTTTTGCAGGTACAACGATGATATCAGCTTGGAAGACGCGATTCATACTGCGCTATTGACCCTGAAAGAGGGTTTCGAAGGACAGATGACGGAGAAGACCATCGAAATTGGAGTTGTCACAGTGCCGGCTCCCGAGGAACTAGAGGAAGAGAACAAGGACGGTGCAACTGGGAGAGTGAAACCGACTTTCAGGAAATTAAGCGAGGAGGAAGTCCGCGACTATCTCGCATTGTAATGATGTGCATAAGTGTACGTATTTGCTCCATGATGTATAATATCACTTTCTTGCCTTCGGAAGACTGCGTCTCGATCACAAGCACGTTTGAAAAGCGCTTTATGCCAAACATCACTGCGGCAGAATGGTAGTCGGGCCACAGTTCCATCCGTGTGAGAGACGGAGTTGGTCTGCGCAATCCAGGAGGAAGATTCATCACATAAATTTGAACGGACCTAAAGTGCGCCAACTCGTGGTTTTCTCGTGTCTGTATCCGCTCACCAAAGTTCCTCGATTGTAAGCTCCCATTTCACCATTTCCGTCTGGCACACGTTGCTGAATATCCAATGGCTATCAGGGCGTTCATTAAGCCAAAAGTCCGTTCTCGGTCTGGCACTACATCGGTCTCGACATCAAGAAATCGCGATACGAGGTGAGATCCATTGGACAGTTGAACCAACAGCCCGCACACGTAGGGGTCGCCCAAAAGTGTACTGTGGATCTCGCAAGATCTTGTTCAACTCGAAAAGAACGCATCTTGGCAAGCCGGCAACTTTCCTAGGTGGTGGCTAGGGATTATCATCCCTCACGTGTCGCATATCAACTCTCGACTGTCACAACTCGTGTCTGTATGATTTCACGAACTGTTTCGTGTTATCCTGGAGTATTCCCACCGAGAAATTTGGGCTATAAAGCGAATGGAGACATGGAACTCAATCCCCAAGAACTCGAACCACGAACACTCTACCGACCTATCCCAGCTCCCATACACTCCCATACACCAGACGAAATGACCTCCCACTCGTCCAGGAAGCGCACCGACATGGCTTGCCAGAACTGCAGGAAGCGGAAGATCAAGGTAGGAGACTCTTTTTTTACCCAACGCAATTCCTTTCTGACCCAGATGCGCTCTAGTGCGAGTCCAACAAGCCTGATCCTTGTGAACACTGCAAGAAGACCAACAAGAGAGAATGCAACTACATCCCAGTCGCCGAGGATACAGCCATGAACGGCTCTCGCACTAGCCCTCCCTCTTCACACACCTTCCTCCACATCCACTCAAGCCCATCCTCGTCTTCTTCGCGATCCTCCCCGCCCGCGCATTCTCCCCATCGCTCCCGCTCCTACTCTAACGATAACGCTTACACGTCTTCTCCTGAGATGAGTCGAGCAGCATATGTCCTCGCCAGCAGTAGCCCGATCGAAGAGCTTCCATTCGATGGGAATTACCAAGGCTATCCCCAAACTTCTCAATCTTACGCGACGACGACATACACCCCAGTGCCACAAACCTACCCGGCATACCCTGCGGCTGTCAACCATTCCATGCCTCAGTCCTCGTTTTCGACTAGCCCTCCCGCGGAGCTCGCCACAGGGTTGGCTTCGCCTTTGTCCGACTTCTCCAATGTGAACCCATCCCAAGTCTGGCCATCTGAGATCCAAACACCCTACTCCGCCAGTGGTATCTCCTCTCCTTCGTACGCGCACGAACAGATGTATTACCCTGGCGCCAACCAGCCTCCGTCGTCTGGATATCATCAAAACGGCCATTATCAACAACCACAAAGGTGTGTAGCCACTGCCTCTTATCATTTGCCACGGTGATTCTCATCTGTTTGACCAGCCATTATTACGCTGCGGAGACAAATCAGTACTACCAGTCTACTCAGTACAGTGACCTGCGACCAGGATACTGAGGGACACGGAAACTCCTTGCAGCCAAAAATCGCCTGGAGTTTCTCCTTATTTATTATACATGCACCAGTGCCCATTTAGACTTTCCACCGCATAGAGAACTTAACTTATTATCGCATACCAGCATTTACTGTATTCATAGTACCCTCTAGCTTGACGCCTTTCATGGTTCTCCGACACTCGTCCTCGGATGCTGAAAATCCCCATGTATGAAACCACCCTGTTTCGAAGAAGGCACCCTATTGGTTGTGACGTTGAGGTCTATAATTTTGATCTTCACAATGCACCACATACCTGGGAGTTAATACTATCCACGTTTCAGTCAAATCTCGATACTGAAAGGCCCTTGCTGAGGAGGCAGGGGCGCTTGTTATCGTTCACAGACATCGATCCCATTTCGGATTGGCAGTTCGTGGCGGTTCCGCCAGACGACATGGCAAGGATCGACACAGCTTCCCTTAAGAGCACAGATAGAGATGACATGAAGATCGATATTCGTGAAACACGAGTAGAGATGATGTCAGTCGTGAACATCCAGGCAGTTAAGGTAGAACAGTCACTACATCAACCATCCTTGATTTATCAGAGAGGCCATTCCAACTTCTCCCCGAAGTTCCAATGGATGGCTTTAATCGAGGTGTACTCTTCGAGGGCGTAACTGCCAAGCTCTCTGCCTGAAGGTCAAATGTGAATTGTGAGCAAGGGGAAGAACGCTAAGAATGGACCAAATGTTTACCAATTCCTGATTGCTTCTTGCCACCAAAGGGAACATTATTGCTGAGCAGATTGTACTGGTTCACCCAGACCTTGTATTATGATAGATCATTGAATGCCCTTCGAGAAGAGGTGGCTCGTCGATACGTACCGTTCCAGCTTCTAAAGCCGACGAAACTCTCATGCACTGACTGGCATCATCTGAAAAAGGGTGTGAGAATTGGGGACAGGGATATAGCATGAGTCTTACTCGAGTGTAAACCTGCACCGAGTCCATAGCTGGTATCATTCGCGACAGCAATAGCCTCTTCCTCCGTCTTAAACTTCCCGACGGATAAAACTGGCCCAAAAATCTATACCAGATAAGCGCCAATACTCATCAACATTGACACAAGGGGGTTTACTTCTTCTTTGACCTGGGCCGAGGTCAGCGAGCGGTTATTACGAGGGAGTGAAGCAAAGGAATCCTACAATTTTCATCTCTGGTTTGATATCAACGAAAACTACACATGGGTCAGTGATGTGACTCCCGTGCGCCAACATTGAATGGACTCCTGATCCTTACTAGTTGGGTCGACGTAGTAGCCAGGAGAATCGCGTCTTTTACCGCCGAGTAGCACGCGGGCGCCTTCCTGCTTTCCCGACTCGATATACGCCCATACCCGATCGTATTGACCTTTGGATACCTGGGATCTTCAGCGTTGAATGGTTGCGATGATGAGATCAAAAATCACCAACCACAGGACCTGCTCCGGTTTTCTCCTCTAAACCATCGCCAACGACCTGCTGTTTGACCTTGGTCACCAGTAGCTCCAGAAACCTGTCGTAGACGGTGTCCTGGACGTAGACCCGAGATCCTGCCGTGCAGTCCTGCCCTGTGTTGTAGGTGATACCCAAAGCTGCCCAGTTCGCCGCTATGAGCATGTATATCAGAAATCTTGTCTTGACGTGAAACGCATGGGCGGTTGGGTAGATTGGGATCGTCCAGAAAGCCCCGGGGAATCTCTTCTCCGATTGGAGGGCTATGTGAACGCTTTCGAGAACTACCGGAGGGCATCACGGCAGTCAGAGAAAACCAACTTACCTTGCTCCAGGTCTGCGGATTCAAAAACGAGGTGAGGTGACTTGCCGCCCAACTCCAAAGAAACCTGGCTTGATACATCAGGTGTGGCTTGTACGACAAAGACGGCGTAGATCATGCCTTTTTCAGGTTGCTCTTCGCAGCTGCCTCCATAATCTTCCGGCCCGTCACAGTGGAACCCGTGAAGGCTACCTTATCAACGTCTTTATGAGCCGCAAGTGCTGCTCCGCCGACGGAACCAAGTGAAGGAACAGTGTTCACCACACCAGGGGGGAATCTAGCGTGATCATCAGGCGTCGATCGAGACCAGGGGAATCAAAACTCGGTACACGTACCCAGCCTCTTTGGCCAGTTCAGACAGTTTCTGTCCCAGCGTTGGTGATCAGTTAGTCTACTCGCGATATTCTCGGACGGTTATTTACCAATGCGGTCAACGGGGTCATCTCTGACGGCTTCATGACGATGGTGCAGCCAACCGCCAACGCCGGTGCAACCTTCCATGCCCTGTAATAGACTAAATCAAAAAGCGTAAAAGGCTGGAACAAGCGTTTCACTCTACCACATGTTAATGGGATAGTTCCACGGGATACTGGCGATCGAGTGGGGTTGGTGTTAGCTAGAAGGCAGAAGTCGGTGGACATGTAGACCCACATTTGCCCGCAAACCCCGATAGGATCGTGGCGAGTAAAGGCAATCTTGGTCTTGTTGTCTACTTCAAGCGTCTATCGCACCCTCCCCCGTGTTAGAAGCATGGATTGGAACGCGGCGAAAGGTGGGAGAGGACAGACCTGTCCAGTGATCTTGTCCGCCCACCCCGCATAATAACGGAGACACTGAATGCTGTCCCCGATATCGAAATCCCTGAGGAGTCGTAGTATGAGATCCACATAACCCTTGGTAACGCTTGGGAGCGAAACGAGACCAATACCTTGCAATGCGCACCGGCTTCCCGTTATTGAGAGACTCAAGCTCGGCAAGCTCTTGAGCATCGCGTTCCATGAGGTCGGCGAGCTTGTGCAGGAGCCTGGCACGCTCCCAACCGGTGACATTCTTTCCCCAGGTAGTGTTGAACGCCTCCCGTGCAGCAGCCACTGCGACGTCGATATCTTTTTCAGAGGCTAGACGAGAGAACCATGAGGCTGAGTATCCAGCAAAATCACAAGGACATGGCGCGGTATTGACCTGCAACGACAGAGCAAAGAACCTCTTCCGTGGCCGGGTTTATAGCACTGAATGTTCGTTGTAAGTCAAAGGGCTGGGAATCGGTTTCTACTGGAGGGGCACGAACTCGATTCTTTCGCCAGAATCGACAGAGTGTCTGAACTCGTTGTTGATAAAGAGACCAGTTGGGACCTGAATGGACTTGCCCAGGCGGGGAACGTTGATAGCTGCTGCGAGTGCCATTCCGCGAAACCTGACGGGGCGAGAGAAGACTCGAGTTCTCAGGAAAGGTGGAATGAGAGTGACCATCATCATCTCGACGATGTCATTGGACTTCAAACTGAAACTCTCCGCTTTACATTCTCCGCCAAGGGATTTGTCATATCCGAGTCCACCCCGACGAGTTGGAGAAACACAAACATCATGTCATTATTATAGAAGGAATCATCGACTCATCAAAGAAAAACTACTCGTCAGCGAACAATGGGTACAGAATGTTAGGAAAAAAGTCCACAACTGGAGATCATTACGTCTACAAAGCCGTCTATTGCTACACACTGTCTAGGAGAAGGGGAAAGCACCAGACAGAAAAAAAAGAAAAAAGAAAAGTACTAGATACACGAGATGGTAGGTGAACCGTAAATGGTGGATGTGTCAGGACAGAATGTAATGAATTGCAAGGCTGGTTAATAAGCAGCCAAATCGACCAGTTCACCTCGTAGAACAACCGCGGCGACAACCACGCAATCGGGAGGGCAGATAACATGCTGTCCTTGACCTATCGTTCCCGGGCCACGTCTGGGTCCGCATCCTAATTGTCGCACGACGTCGAACCGCAACGACTTTCGACAGTCGTTCGTTCACGCGTACTATCCTCCCCCGTATTACGCGCTCGCCTTCTCGCCACGAACCTTCTCAGAATTGTCATCCGAGCCGTTCGTCTCTTGCCCAAAGTTGATGTAGTTGACCGGCTGGGGTTCCCAGCGGCGGTACAAAGGTTTGCGCATCATTTTCCATACTTCGCACCATGCAATGAAAACGACGGTCATGCCGACGACAAGACCCCACTCCCATCCGATGGCGGTTTGATAGAATACGCGGTTGTTGAAGCCCGGGACGTAGATGGCTGAACGATCGGTTGTAAGAAGACATCGCACCATCAACGAGGAAAGCACTTACGAATGACAACGCTGATCATTCCAGCAATTACGGACCAGAAGAGCATTTGATTGGCCCAAAGGTCAACGTAGAATGGGCGACCAGGAGTCAATGCGAACATGGATCGATCGACTAGAGGAAACGATCAGTATGGACAGGCTGTGCATTCTTCGACCAAAAAACACTAACATGACTTGAGCTCCCAGCCGTAGAGAAGGATTTGGAAGATGAGGGTTGCGAAAACCGTGGATCGAGCCCTAAAGACAGCATTACAAATTTCACCGGCTGAATGGTTGCAGTCGTCGCCAAGGTTGCTGTCATATTTGCCGTAGATAACGATAACGAAGTTGACGAGGCAGGTAACCCCCATGACAATGCCATAGGACAAACAGTCGATGATGACTGGCCACGAGAATACACCATCCTTGATAGAATGCGGGGGTCGTAACATCAAATCGAGAGGAGCCTTCTCAACTCCAAGACCGAAGGCGGGAGGAGAGGAAGTCAACAAGTTGACCCAAAGGACACCGATGGGGGACAGAGGGAAGACGCTTTCGCCATCTTTATCCTGGAAGCAAAGACCGATGATCAGAAGGACGACTTCGGCAACGTTGGTGGTCAACAGATGGAGGATGAATCGCTGGATGTTGGTGAATAGCCGACGGCCTTCAGACACAGCAACGCGGATAGAGTCGAAGTTACTAAGTAAGGAGAGGATCGTCATTCATCTATTAATCAAGTCTCATTGAATGTTGACGTACTCATCGGTCAAGACCAAATCGGCAGCATCCTTGGCCACGTCAGATCCAGCCATACCCATGGCGATACCGACTGGAGCAAGTTTAAGGGCAGGGGAATCGTTGACACCATCACCGGACATGGACATGTGCTTTCCACGTCGCTTCCCGGCGTGAATCATCCTGACTTTGGTCTCGGGGGCGCATCGAGCAATAACAAGTGGCAGTTCGGGGAGGGCATCAATTTCCTTGTCGGTCAACCTGTCGAATTCGGTGGCCTACAGAGGTGTATTGATTAGCACAAGACAAACATCTTAAATCAAGCATGAGATGACTTACAGTCATGACAGCGCTGGCAGGAGCATCAGGTCCAATAATCTCGACGGCCTGGGCGATAGCGCGAGCAGTGGTGATATGGTCCCCAGTAAGCATGTGAACGACGATACCAGCACGCTTACAAGCCCGTACGGCACCCAATGTCTCAGGACGAGGGGGATCAGAGATACCGGCAAGAGCAAGGAAAGTGAAGTCCTTCTCCGCGTCTTCGCGGCTGATGCCTTCAATCTGAGCGATGGGAATGACACGGTGTGCGAGACCAATGACACGGAGACCCTGGGCAGCGAGTTCCTCGTACTTGGCCATGAAACCGTCGCGGACTTCAGGGGTGAGAGGGGCCGTCAGAGTAGGGTCTTCCTCCGGTCTGGGCAGGTAAGCAAGAGAAGTGTCCAAGATGCGTTCAGCCTAACGAGAAAATTTAGTTAACCTCGCGGTCTCTAAAAGAGCGCACTACTCACAGCACCCTTGATAAAGATGTAGCCGTTGTCGGGATCTTGCTTGTCGATGTAGATGGTAGTCATGCGCTTGAGTTCACTAGAGAATGGGAATTCGGCCTTGAGTTCCCAGCGGGCATCTTTCTTTGCCTTTTCTTTGTGATCCTCGTCAGTGAATCGAATACGATCCTTCTCGGGAACACCGTAGTCAATAACTTTGCCCATCGCAGGTCGCAGAACGCGCTCTTCAACTTCAGGACCTTCACCAGTAAGACCGAGACGGCCGAGATTAAGCTTTCCAGCAAAGACCTGCAGTGCAACTTCAGTGGGATCACCGGTAGACTTCCACTGTCCCTTCAAGTTTTTATGAACACTATGGAGGAGTTCATAGTCAGATCGCAATAGCGGTGGGCAAAGACAGAACTTACGTAGCAACGTTGCAAAGGGACGCGACACGGACGGCCTGGGTCAAAGCGGTTGGGAGGTTATCGACATCAAGCACAGAGTTGTCGCTGTCGCGTCGAACCTCTCCTCGAGGTTCCAAAGGATCTGGGTTAGTGGGAGCTGTGAATTCTGAAGAGGTTGCTGGATCTCCGGCAAGCCAAAGCTTTTGGACGGACATTTGCCCTAACAATATTCAGCATTGATACGGCCGATGCAACAATAGAAGATTGGCTCACCGAGTGTAAGGGTACCAGTCTTGTCACTGCAAATGTCGGTAACGCCGCCCAAGTTCTCCAGGGCATCGAGCTTTCGGACAATGACGTGTTCCTTTGCCATCTTCCTGGTTCCAACGGCCATAGTGAGGGTCAAGACGGCGATGAGGGATTCGGGGATAATGGCAATGGCAGCAGCGATACCATAGAGAACGACTTCGTTGGTGATCTTGAACTTGGCAACGGCGAAGACGATGAGAATGAGGATGATAGCGCAGATGAAGAGCAAGTAGGCCAGTTTGGAAAGCTTAATTTGGAGAGGAGTACCGGTCTTGAGGCCGAGCCAGCCTTTGAGCTTGTCCCAAGCGCGGACGCGCCATGGGCGCTCATCAACTTCGTCGGGATCAGATGCTGGTTGCTTTCCGCTGATGGCCTCAGCGATGCGACCAATCTGTTTTTTAAAAAAATTAGAGAGCAAGCTACAAACAGGTTAGAGGGAAGCCATACCTGAGTATTCATGGCCGTTCCAATAGTGATACCGGTGCCTCGACCTTTGGTGACTATAGTGGAAGCGTAGCACAAATTGAGACGGTCGCCGATAGGAATATCCAGCTCATCCTCATTGTAGGTGCTGACATTCTTCGAAACTGGGGCTCGTGTGAGCAGCTGCATGCGGATAGTGAATTGGCGCTACAGACCTGGAACGGACTCTCCTGTCAAGAGTTGCTCTGAGATTTCGAGGTTGGAAACAGTCACAAGTCGCAACTGGACGCAAGTCAACGATGTTGATTGGAAGGGAAAAGAGCAAGTCTTACATCAGCAGGGACGACATCGCCAACCTTGATGGAGACAAGATCCCCTATACGTCATGGGTTAAATATGTCATTGTAGGCCATTGTCGCAGATAGCGCTCACCTGGTACCACATTCTTCGCCGGAATAGCAACACCTTCACCGTTACGGATAACAAAAGCAGTAGGAGATGAGAGCTGTCGCAGCGAGTCCATCGTCTTCTCGGCCCTGTATTCCTGGAAGAATCCGACCCTAAACAAAACTAGGTTAGAGCAGGTAAGATAGCAAAGCTATGGCAGATAAACGCACGTTGTGTTCAAGACGATAACTGCCGCAATGACCGCGCCTTCAATGAAATCCTTGACACCGAAACTAAGAGCCATGGCAGCGACCAAGACGATTGTTAAAGCATTTGCTAGCACCCAAGGTCAGCGTTCGGGCCCCCCAGTCCACGGATCTTAAGACGTACCCAGTTGGCCAATGAAGACTCTCCATGCAGAAACACCGTCTTTTCCCTGCAGCACGTTTTCTCCGCAACTTTCGAGGCGACGATTGGCCTCATTATTTGTGAGACCGTGGTTTGCTGAAGTTCCAAGCTCCTCTACGAGCTGCTGAACGGTAAGCGTGTGGGCGAGGGGTGAGACGGAAGTGAAGTCTGAGGTCCCTGCAGGGATAGTCACTGAGATGGTGGTGTCCGTGCGCCGATTTAACTCTACGCCATTTTTCTTTTTGAAGAGTCCCATTCTGTGTGGAGGACAAATGGTGGAAGGGGTCACAATCTAACCACAATCACGGGGCTAGGTCTTTATATTCAGATCGGCCAAGAATGCCAAGCGATGACATGGGGAAATATCCTTTGCCGAGCTGCCCCTCCGCCCGATATACCGAATACCGTAACCGCTTCCCACATTCACCACTTGGCAACCAAGCCCACTTAAAATGTACTCCACACCGTCTAAGAGCATTGACCATTGAAGTACATGATCTTGAACACTAGACATACGAGGTAAAAGCTACACCACGACGCCAGCTTCGATGTTTGTGGAGCGTCGGAAAGTGAGCGTTGAAAGTGACTGCGCCAAGGACCCTGAGAAGTCTGCAGCATCGCGTTCCCTGATCCAAGTCTACAGCTCTACAGCTTCCATCAGGAATGGAAATGATGGTGTGTGGTATATTTCGTCATATGCACGACGACGCAAAAGTTACAAGACGTGGGTGTGCGATCCTCCAAGCTCTTAGGTGTTCGATATATTGCGTATGCGCGCCCTCGTCCTCCATTCAAGTCTCCAAGATCATCGATCCAAGTAAACATGGCCCCGAATAGATGAATTGGCAAGCTCTTCGGATTTACGTATAGTGAATGTGAAGGGTTCCACTCGCCCCAACCATACTTGCCGTTTTCATACAACTCTATCGACTCCTAGACAATCGGCGGTCGATGTGGCTGTCTGTTCCCCAGCACACGAGTTCGGTGGTATACGGATCATACCCTTATCGATAGGCCATATTTTGGAGATTTCGAGGGGAAAACGCGACGAGAATCCCCAGGATTTGAGCCGTCAGTGAACCCTTTGTCGAAGCATGTTGCGCTGTACAAGAAATGAAACACACGCGGATTCGGAAAAGGAATGGCATCAATCAAGCCGTGTCGCTCGCCATTATTGAGTGGGCTGAGGGTACAGAACCCTGAAGAAGAACTCCACGGGCAGCGTTCTCGGGGCTTGGGTGGTGTTTTACTAAATTTTGGCAGCTTGGGCGCCAACCAGGCACGTCTGGGAGATTAGATATCTCACGGCGCGGGAGCGGACCGCACTGGTCGGGCTGGATTTGGATTGGCTGAATGAAACCGGCAATACCCGGAAGAGTGAAGGAGGAAAGGATTTGGTCGCGTTCGGTGTCTGCAACGTTCGTCTCAACCATTACCACCATGATCCTCGCCGTCGCTGCTCGCACCTCCGTCCGCCAGGGAACTCGCGCTTTCCGCACTTCTGCCGTCGCTCGCTCAGCTGGCCACGGAGAATACCACGTCAGTCACTCTCCTCTTCTGTCCCGTCGAATTCTGACTTTTTCAATTAGCACCTTCCTTTCGCATTACCCACAACGAAGGCCCAGAAGACCGCCTTTGCCCTCAAACTCACTGCCTTCGCAGCCGTTGGCATTGCTATTCCCGTCCTCTCTTCCATTTACCAAATGTATGTTCACAGAACACGCTTCGCCTTGGCCCATTCCAGGTACTCATTTGCTTCCTCAGGAAAAAGACCGCGGGTGCCGCCTAAACACCTTCTACATACTATTAATTTTCGCGAGAGCGTTCAATACACGAGGCATCTACTTTTTACTCTGTCACTGGCGGTGGCGTCCCCAGCCTGTTTCCTTGTTCCATTCTTTGGGAAATCACACCCGATTCACCATCAACTCTCTCAACCACCCTGTTCCAACGAGGACAACGCGTGTTCGAAACCCTTGTTAACCTGTCCCCCCTTGTTCTGCCCACCGGTCCGACAATCACACAATTTGAACAAAAAGTCGCCGTCCTCTTTGAACCGATCCAGGGCGCGTGTGGACGCCTCTCGGGCGGCTACCGAAAGCGAGACATCCGATGCGCTGGCACACACAGTTTCATGCACAAGAACTAAACCAAATCAGTAAACTCAATTCCCGAAACACCGAATCGCTTACTTTCGCAGCTCATTTTCCCTCCCTTTTGCTGGGGTCCTTTGCTGAGTTTGAGCTGCTGACAACCATGCGCCTGGATGTACTCGAAAAGCGTTTTCGTGGGGTGATGGGTCAGAGTTCGTAAGCTGATATGCTTGTCAAAGAACGGCCGCAAAACTTTGTCGAAGAATGCTTCTGTCCCGACAGGGCAGAAGTTGTCTGAAATGTACAACGCCCCAATGATAGACTCTATCACATCAGACAGAGCCTGAAGGTATTCATTAATCTACTTTGCAGAGGACAATTCCCTGGGATTCAAGGCGTACCTTTGGGGGCTCGATGTCCGGCCAGAATTGTCCTGGCATTCGGTTCTCTTGTTCAGCAAGAGCATACTCCTTATCTGCCCTCTCATTAATCGCTTCAGCGTAGTCCTCGATTGCAGAAGATAGCTGGTAGGAGCCAAAGACAAGATGTTTGTAAATTCCACTCAGGATGCAGACCGTGGCCAGCGTCGAATTCGCAACCATCGCGCCCTGTCGCCGGGAATGAGCATTCAGGAACCGATTCAAGCCTGAAGCATATAGTATGCACTTACCTTCAGCATCGTCAGCCCACCGGGTGATAATGTTCTTTCCCGATCAAATATGTGCCGAATGACCACTGTAAAAATGACAATGAATAACAAATTCCACAAGTCTAGCCTTCCACGCACTGAAATCTAGGATGGCGTCACCGATAAACTCTAGTCTCTCGTAAGTCAAAACTTTGCTTCCATGAACTGATGTGTGAGTCTGAAAGAGGGAAAGACCTCAGCAAATATGGGACAGTGAGACAAAAGGGAAGGACTTGGCGCACGAGAATCTGAGCGAGGAGATGAGGCTGCTGGAATCGATGTCCAATAATCCCTTCGACCGCTTCGATCGAACCTGGACGTAACTCGATAGCATCAGTTGTGAAAGGTATAACAACCTGCATGCCCAAATCCGACCACGTGTTAATACCGGGGATGGGAATCGACAAGGCCTTTGCGACGTCCAAAGCGGTCTCCCTCCCCCCGGACACATAAGCAGCACCAATGATGGCCTCCGTAACGTCTGCTATTGCCTTCTATCGAGTTAATCATCCCAGTGAAGTCATCAGCGAAAATGAAAGGCAGACCTTGTCACCTAGGTTCTGCAAATTCTGGTTCATTGGATCCTTCCACTTCTTCCTTTTCCTCTTCTTCTGGCTACTTTCGGTCTTGGCACCTTCTTCCACCTCCTGGTCACTATCTTGTTTGTCATGGTCCGCCGACGGGGGTGTTTGGCTCTCTCCCGCGGATTCGTTTTGTGCCCGCGCTTTGCACGTATCCACTTCCTGTTCGGCCACACCAGTTCCAGGCTTATCAGGTGCCTTGGAAATCTCAGTGAACGACGCGGAGGGCCAAGGGCGCCAACCCCTGAGAAGGAAAGGCTTCGAACAGATATATGCCGGTAGGCCCACCTGCGTGGCACAAGCAAGCAGCGCCTTGTTGCTGATCAGCCTTTGCCGTGCTACATGGAGCGAGCCTTCATTCTGAGTTGGATTCATGACGAAAACAACCACCGAGGCGAGATACTTGAGAAACGCGTCACCTAGACAGAGAGTTGTGAGCATTTTTAGTCCAAACGCATATTGTCAATAAAGTATCGCACCCAGGAGCTCCAGACGTTCATAGTTGTGTTCCATTTCGGCAGAAACAGTCGTCGTGGCCATGTACAGCAACTCCTCGTCGATAGCGTTGTCAAAGAACTGCATGTTCAATTCTTTGACCACAAACAAATGATCGAGTTTCCATAGTATGGATGGGATTAGATATGATGTTCGGAACATGCTATACGGGCAGGTTGGTCAATGTCGGAGAATACATAAGGATTTCCCCCTCACCTGGCAGGAATAGTGCATTTGGCGCACAGTTCCGGAATCAGATCTATAGAAGGTCAGCAAGATCCCAAGTATGACCGCGAGAGAATAACTTGCATTTTGCTGCCCTTTCGTCTGATGGCCCTCCTTCTCTGTTCTTCGGATGGAGATTATTCGCCACGGGGGGGATGAGGCTGACTTCAAGAATTGGCTGATCTTCGTGCTGTAATCCATGGAAGGCGTCGCCTCTTATTTCGGCTACATATGCTAACAGGCTCTCATACCCTTGTTCCCGCTGTGGGTAATCAGCGAAAGGTCAAGAAAGAGGCGGCGACAGACCCACCTTGCTGTCCACGGGTTTGCTCATCGGGGTCATATCTTGACGGAGCTTGACGACATGGTACCGTCGTGTAAACTCGAGGAAGCGATCCTGAATCACCGCGTCCGCCAAGTCTTCCTGCATGTCGGGAGCCGCAGAAATCGTGATTGGGACAGCCCACTTCGTCGCTGAACGGGACATCAGTTCCCAGTCAATGTCCTTGGCGATATCACGACGAAAGATGTCTTGAGTATCTCTAGGAGCCCACGACCTGGACAAAGCGCCGAAGAAATAAGTTGCCTCGTTGACGGGACATGTCACCGGTTTGTTGAGACACATTTTGACAAGGCGAAGGGTGAAGCCATAGATAATGTCCATTTCTTCAGGCTCAGGCTTGAAGGGAGAGCCTCGATGAAAGGCCACCTTGACAGGATCTCCGTTACTGAAAAGATTGAATGAAGGCATCGATGGCATCGGTTGTCGAGTGAAAAGGAGGAGAGGGCCAAAAGCGGCGTTCCCTTCTACGCATATGACCATGGGATGAAGCACACTGACAGGCCCAGTGCTGCCATGCTTCCAGAATTCAGGTTGTTTCCGAAAGTATCGTCGAGTCCCCTTTTCCGTAGGATTTGTTGCTGAAGGCCCTAAAACCTGCGGGGTCGATGGTAACGGGACGATCCGATAGTCCAAGAGCCCCAAGGACGCCAGCCTTTTGCATGCAGAGAACGCTGCTGCACGTCGGGAAATTGTCTTCGTCATTTCAGGAGCTGATACCATGCCATCTACCGGGGTACCTGGGAGGGAGATTTTGCAAGCAAATTGGAGGGGCTGGCCCGGATTCGCGGGGATTGACTGGTATTCGAATAGCGAGTGACCCGCTTCTAGGTAGCCTTGTTCCCGAAGATAAGAGGCAAATTTTACGAGGGTTACGATAGCATCCTGGGGATAAAGTCGCCCACCCGTAGTCGCTGCTGATACGTAATCCGGTTTATCGATGTCCTCGTCACTTTCTGAGTAGTACGACATTGACGACTCCTTGAGATTGGCTGGGGGGACCACCAGCCCTTCAGGGTCGCGCAGGCCATCGAACCATTCAAAAAGCCTCTCGGCGTCGGAGGCAGCATTACTCAATATCCGGCGGTGTGAATCGTTGTGTCGTTCAACAAGGTGTATAAGATGAGACTCTCTTCCTCGGGCACAGGCTTTGATCTGACCATAGAGAAACTGGCTGTCCATCAAGTCAAACCTGCTGGGTGTTTCAGGACCGGAGTGAGCTTGAAGAAATTATTGACCGCACCGAACGACGACAGTGGCCTTGGGAATGTCAAGCTCCATTGCTGACCGCGTCACCACTAATAGGTTGTATACTCCCGATGCAAAGTTCGTGAACGTTTCTTGCTTGACTTCTTGTCAGTGAGGGGCAGGGTAGTCGCGCAACCACCTACCTGAGTTTCAAGTCGGGATTTTCCAAACACGCTGCACGGCGAGATAAACTTGAAACGACCATCGGGGAGGTGTTTGATTATTTCAGCCAGTGCCAACGCCGTTGACTTTCTCTGGACTGCACTATGATTACCGATAACTCTTTTGAATGAACGAGGAAGGAACGAACCAAAAATCACCGCACGGAATTGTGCACCATAGTCCAAACAGGCATCAAGGGCCTGTAGGAATCGCAGGAATTTGTGGGTGACATTGAACCCAGGCGATGAGGGGTTTAACTCTGGCGGGGTGCAGCTCCAGTTTCGAATTTTTTCACATATTCGAGCCTCGAGAAGCTTCGTCCCGCCTACATCGTCTTTGGGAGCCTCCGAAGACACGGGCATATCTCGTCCGAACTCCTCAAGAGACATCTTGAGCCAAAGTTCCGCAGCGCAAGGTCCGATTTGAGTTTCTATGAGTTCAGCTTCATGAAGGCGCTTCCGAATGACTGTCATTTTAGGATCCAGTGCCCGCAGCTGAGAGGGCAGTGAACTAAAGGTCGTCTCGAGTGATGCAGATTTATCGTAGAGAACCACCACCTCGTTAGGCCTGTCCGGTAGATCGATAATTTCGGTTCTTTTCTCCTCGGTGACACCATAGGTTTTCGAGTGAAGCGTTATTTCCAGTTTCAGGGACCTTGAATCGAAGGGGTGTTGCGCTAGGTCCGGGCTTAGAACCAACGAGAAGAGCCTAGGTCGTTCGTAAGCGGGGCATGGTGAATAAAAGAGCCTCATGAATTGGACGATGGGAAGAAAGGAGTAGCAGTCATGGGCCTTCACGTGTTGTGCATCTTCGATTATCACGACCTGAACCTGACGCAGTTGGACAAGATCCTTCGAGAACAGTTCCAAGAGTGTCTATGCAGCGCTTTAGCCATAAGTGCAGAACCTTTTGGAGAAGGCTCACCTGCGACGTCGTCACAATCACGTCGTGGCCTAGCAAATTCAAACTCTTGTCCCTTTTCAATGCATCAGAAGTACAGGTGAAGCAAATCACATCCGGGATAGTTTTCTGGATGAAGAGCGCATGAGCATCCAGGGAGGATTCATTCCTAGTTGAGGAAGCATCAGAAGGGTTCGGGAGAAATCAGCCCAAGACAAAACGCGCACTCGACAACGAATAAAGATACGCGCCGAGGGTCTGCTGGGTGACTCCTCGAGGCATCGACAGCCCAGCACAAGAAGTCGTAGCATATAGGATCAATGTCTATCTGTTTTTTCAGTAAAGTGAACAAGGTCAGTGTAATGCCAAACCTTACTGCTCGACTTGGGAAGATAAGCGATAGCTGCAATAGAATGATTTGGTTCCCGTGAATCGTCCGCGTTCGAAAAACAGACTTACTATTCGAATGCTTCGCGGTGTCAAGTATGGAGGAACGAAGTTCATCAATGTCAGACTCTGCATATGCAGCACCAGCAGCAAGTTCTGGTAAGCGTTTTCTTATAGACTCGTCGTTCTCTCCTTTAAAATGTTTTGCAGGTCGCTGGGGTCCAGAGCCATCCACCTTCCTCGACCTCTTGCCGGTGAGGGAGCTCTGCGTGCGCTCCATGGTTACCTCGTGGTCGCCGGTTTGGTTCCTGCTGCGCCAAATATGCTTCCAATGCTTGAGCATTTACATATGGACGTTTGGGAATTCGAAGTTGCTGTTCGAACTGAGAGCAGGCGGAATGATGAGATCAATTGACCAATCACATCGAATGGCTGAGGTCAACTTGAGCACAGCTCTTCCCGCGCATCCATGTTCCCCTCTACGAGTTGTTCGAGCTCGTCATATAAATGAACTTCAACAATGCACATCTACTGAAATCTCTCGACAAAGACAGTTCATATCTCTTGCCAGTCCCAGCCCCAAGGCGACGAGTGGTTTCTGACCCATGTTTGCCAGAAAGGCTTCCCAACTCCAGTAAGAACGATCTTGCCATTATATTCATGGACTGACCACCCTGAAAGGCGTGATTAGGCGGGAGGCCGAACTCCTGGTCCCGAAAGAGTTTCAGAAGCAGTTAGAACTCAAGTTTTCCGATCAGCTTTCCGAAGAGGATGAGCGGGACGATGGGACATCTGGGGAGAGGGAGCCGGAGACCACATCTGAGCCAGCATCTCCTACCTCACCTCGTTCTTCGTCACTCTTCAAGTCGTTTGTCAAATCTTTGGTCGCCGTGCAACCTAAGAAACCGATCTCCGTGGCGGATGTCCAGGTATGTGGGACTGCCGACATGACTCCCTTCGCATCTTTAACGTCAACTTATGTCTCCGCAGCCATTCGAGATCATGAAAGCCGTCGAGGACCGCAATATAACGTTTCTGATGGAAGTCAGGGATAGAGCCTTCCCTCTACTCCTTCAGACCTCTGGAGGGGAAACTCCTCTTGTTCATGCCATCCGGATCGGCAACAGAGATGTTGCAATCGTCCTCTTGGGAGCCTTTTCTCGGTGGATCAACCGACTCGAGGCGGAGGACATTGTCGAAGCTCAGGTCCAAAGCCAACTTAAAGCATTACGTTCGTTCATTTGCCACCCGAGGTGGTGCCATGCGCTAACATCTCTTTCAGGCGTCGGCCTTAAGCTGGCAATCAACGAAGGGCTAGCACATTCCCAACCGGACCTGATCGCCTCATTCATGCAGACACTTGTCATGAGTGAAGGTGATAATTGGGTCTGGGCTCAGGTCTCACTGGTTGCAAGGGCATTAAATGGAACTGCAGATGGAAAACCCGTCCAGACAGCTGATGCAGCCATCCGCAAGTTCACGACAAAGGAACTGGGAAAGGCCAGCCTCATTGCATCCGTAGAAGACTAGTAAGCCCCGCCTCCTTTCCACCCTTAGCAGAGAATTGATTGGCATCCTAGTATCGCAAATGCAATTGCGTACGTGATACCACGACTCGAATCAATCAAGAAGCTTAACTGTTCCCCAAGTGATTTGTTGGTCATGGGTGCATGGTCAATAGTTCGCCAAAATATCCCGTCGGCCGATGCTATCCCAGTCAGTCAAACAAGGGACCACAACATAAATCCGTACTGACTCCCTTCTGCAGTCGTACTACTTCGCGCGAGACGATCGTGTATACAAGGCCTTCCTTGAACAGTATCAGAAACTCAGGCCCCAAATTTCCCGGTCGTGCCCTCGGCGTCTACGCTGGCAACTACAAATTCTCAAGGACGGACTACAGGGTCGACAAATTTCGTTCCGCGTAGGTATTCGTCACCCCTGATGTCACAATCTAACCAGATAATCCTCTCTTGCCAGAAAAAAATCGAAGCCATTGCCGCGAGTTTGGATCGGGAGGAGCATGATCGCTGATTCTACAATGCATGTACCCGAGCGACCGCGCTTCTGCTTGTACAAGGTGCCAGACCAGTCAAAGAACACACCTGGTACTCGGCGTATTATCGAGCAGAAATCAACATCTACTATATGAGACCCCTATTCGCATGGTGTTAGCTTTCGAGCCTAACAGGCTTTCGCCATGCTCATCTCGGTTGCTCGTGAGACAACTCTACACATGTGGGGGACATTTTGTTTATATATTATTGACTAGGTCTATGGTACTACTGGACTATGTATAACCCATTACTACATTATGAGACGGTATTGATGGAATTCTTTTCACTAGAACACGAGCTTCAAGTTCTTCCAATACACAAATGCACTGGTTATAGCCAGGCTAATGACTGCAGGGCTGAGGTCTAGTTGAACAATGCAGTAGATCCACAGTGTGACCAGTGGAGGGCCCTAAAGTACAAGCTCAGTGATGGTAGACAAATTCGCAAGGACCCACTCACTTGTTTCATGTTTACCATAAAGGTCGACTTGTTGAACTGGTAGATAAGTCGTGTAGAACTCAGGATTGCAATGAAGAACATTATGAGTTGCATCTTGCGATATGATTTATACCTGAGGGCTAAAGTGCATGCTCAAATGGATCCCGGTGGTGAAAGTACAAGTCGGAAGACTCACTATAGAAGACGAAGAGGGATAAAACTAAGGGCACGTTAAACCACAACGTCACGAAACAATCCAAACTGGTACATACTGGGGACACTGGGTATCATTCGATCAAGAATGTTGCGTAATGTGGGCTTTTGCTGGTATTGGAAGTGGATTAAACTAGAGTGGACCAATTAGCGTTATCCAAGTGTTGTCAAACCGAGGACGCACATTTCCATCAACAGAAGTAGGAAACAGGTCGGGATAATGAACAGAGTCGCGTTGAATATCTCTTCAGCCAAAGGGAGGCGTTCTTCAACGTATTCGACGGAGCTCTCAGTGGCTTTAGCTGAGTCGACAGTCTTCATTTTGTCCAGAATCCCCGACTGCTTGATTAACCGCATTTGTTCGTCCTCGGAGAGTTCGATTAGTGGTTTCCTCCCAGAGGGCTGCGATCCCGCCGCGATTTCAGATGGTTTCTTGAGTTTAACGTCCGCCTTTATTGCATTCTTTCGCTTTGATGTCATGTTTTATGGTGGAAATAGCAACAACGCAAAGCTCTGAAGAGTGGGTTAGTAGACAAAGTTGTCAACTGTCGAGATTCGCTGTCCAGCGACCAGGAAACGCGTCGGGGCAATCGAGTGATCGGAAAATGCCGAACGCACTTGGAAGAAGGAACGAATGGAGGGAAGCAGTAACGTTGAATTTCCTGTTCTCCCTTGACCGCAAAGTTATGGCCGATGTCGAGCAAGCCGAGTTGCTGAAAAGCTTATACGCTCACGGAGAGCAGTTCTTACAACAGTTCTCTCTTCCAAAGTCTCTCAAACCCACCAAAGCGCCTGTTCCAGCCCATCACCAAGAAGATAGCGATGAAGGAGAATCAGAATGGAGTGGAATTGGCTCAGACGATGAAAGTGACTCGGAAGACGGAGAGGGATACGACTCTGGTGTGTAGATTGCTCCATTTCTTCAAAAACTAAACTTATACACGGTAGAGGAGGAAATGGCCACAGCGGGACCCTCAGTGCAGCCCGAAAAACCTGTTGTCGTTTTCACGGACTTTAAAGGAACCGACAAGAGCGTCTCAAAAGCAGGAATGAGAGAATTTATGGTGCGAAGATAACAGCAACTATGGAGAATCACTGCTCAGACTTTGTCAGTCGTCCAAAATCTCGAAACTTCAACAAGATCCTAGCTCTAAAGCAAAAGGAAAAAGGCCAGCGGATCCGGAATCTGATGAAGAACTGTATGCTGTTTTGCGCCTTCCACCGTAGACCCCTAACGTTGCTTCAGGTCAAACGCGAAAAACGATGCTCTTCTACACAAACTCGTCCATACTAAACTGCTGTCCGGTTCCCTGGATCCCGAACTCAAATTGACCCCTGCGCAGCGCAGGAAGGCTTTAGAGGGAAGAGTTGCCGAACTTGCGGGTGCCATGACTGGAGAGGTTAAACTGGGAAAGGGAGAATCAAAAATACGAAAAGCCGAGCATAACAGGGCATCAAAACAAGTCCGAGAGGGCATTGCTCAAAAGCAACGAGAACGACAGAAAAGATGTTTGGAAGAGGTGCGGTTTGTGCTGTCCGATACAATTGACGCAACTACATTGTCATTTTTCTCTAGGCCAAAAACATAGGAACATATCACCCCAGCCTTAAGAAACTCTTTGAAGACGAATCTTCCCAATCGTCCTCCCGCCAAAATCGAAACCGTGGAATGAAGATGGGTGTTGGCAGGTTCAAGGGAGGTATCTTGACCCTATCCAAGAGCGAAATCGAAAAGGTCCAAGGTCCATCTCGAACACAGCGACGGCAGGGAACCCATCCATACAAACGAAAATGAACAATTTTCAAAATCTCATCAACGCTCTGACCTGTGGTCCTTCATAATCCACTATCCTCGGCAGCTTCATCGCCTCCTACTTCGACGGGACCCCGAACCATGACTGTAGGTGCTTCCACCACTGTCGACCCATTGCCCCATTGTCCCGTCAGCATCTGTACAACGTCTCGAATTTAAAGGACACTTGCATTTGAATTTGCTCTCCTTTTGGTGAGATAAGTATTGTTCTCGTGGGAGGAGAAGAGGCACTGCTTCCCGTCGATCTGCCAGTGGGAAAGGCGGAGGATGGTCAGTGACAAAAATTATTCGTAGTGATTTCTTCTTACTGATCTGGCGACCTCGCTCTATGCGGATTAGGACTTTTAAGACATCTGTTGGGTCGATGGGAAAGGGGAAAGGGCATACCTCATATACCTGTCGTCGCTTTCAGAGTCTCTGTGATATCCCGTCAGTCCCAATGACGGCCCAGTGCACCTAAAGATCTTACTGGTAGAGAACCTGTCCGTTCTGGTCGAATACCACAATTGGTGCGCTTTGACGTTTCCTCCTCGGTGGCTTCGGCGCATTAGGAAAATCACCAACTCTATTCCCCAATCATCAAGCTGTATCCCAGTGACACTTGGCCTCAGTACACTCACCTGGTTATTTCGTTCCCGTCTTCGTCCTTGAAGACCACGTTTACACCAGGAGGGACGATGTATTGGTACACTTCCGACTCTCGCCAGTCTTCGCTCACGCTCGTTCCGTCATCATAATCGGGTTCCAACCTCCTCCCAACGTGCTCTTCTCTTCCGCTCTCCTTACCGGCTCTCCGTGTGGATCGCCTCGTCCCCCCTGCTGAGGTCCAGCTCTGCGTATGGATAGTTTCGGCCATCGTCCTTCTGTCCTTCGTATCAACAGAAGTCTCATCGTCCCCGCTGTTATTGAACATACGGGACAGCTTGTGCCGAAGGGATTGGCGTTCCGAGTTAGCTGCAGAAGGGGTGTGTTGGGGGTGTAGAAGTTGGGTATCATGTCTCGATTGGCTACCAGCCAGTGAGGGTTGTCGGTGGACGGACATCTCCCGTTCACGATCGTCACCGTGGTCGAGGTCCTGTCTGTGCAATGGGTATCGAGGTGTGGGTTGCTGAGACTCTACGTTTACCCATTCATCATCTCTACTACCGAATGGAGTTCCACTTCTGCGAATTGAATGGGAACGCGCCTGGTGGGGACTACGTCGTGGATCGACAAATTCTCCGTCGTCAAACTGGGCTCGTCGCCACTGCTCTTCTTCGTATGTCAGCCCATCCGCGTTGCGACCATTCTCGAATCCTTCCGGGTCAATGATTGTAGATTGTCGATGGACATCGGGAATTGGCTCCCAAGAATCAGGGTTCGAGATTGGAGGTTGGTAGTAGCTCGGATGGGGCTGAGCGATTGAAGTGGAGTAAACGACCGGGCGGATGGATTCGTGAGGAGAGATGGGGCCAGCATGATATGGCGCGGGACTGTGCTCGCGTGGGGGAACGGGATTATCGTAGAGTGTATATCTTGGTAGTTGACTTGGGTAGATAGGGGCTGGTTGTTGCTGTCGGGTCGATTTCAGTGAATTACGATGCAAGAACGACGGATCGTCGTGCACAGATGCTACTTGGCCTCGAAGGTCTGAAAACTTTCCCAATCAACGATAAACAGAGGTTCAATGGTAATGGTCATGACCAACCTCATGGTGACGATAATCCTTTCGCCCATAGTCATCTTGACTCGAAGAACTCCCACCATCTGGATGGCTGTCGAAACGGCGCTGGGGATGGGAATGGACAGTGGTCGCCTTTTTCAGTTTGCGTCTTGAGCTTGAGCTCTGCGACCCTGCCTGAGATCGCCCAGAACCTCCAAGCAAGGTCTTGAGCCTGTCGAGCGAAGGCATCTGCGTAGAGGAAGGAGCATCAAGCGGAACCAAGTAACGCGCAAGAAGATATAAAGGCCGTCAGAGAGGGTATAAAAAGGCTGAACTGACGCAGTGAGTGGGTCTGTTAAACGACATGTGGAGTGCGTGCTCCCCGCCACATGTCCTACATACGGCTTTACCGAGAACTCACACAGACACATGTACATTGTCCGATCCGACAGGCGGGATTCGTGCTGGATCCTCCCAGCAAGGCACAACACGTTGCAGAGGCTCGTAACTTCACTGTGAAGCGCTGCAAACACTTGTTTACATTCTGACTACTGCGTATCTCGCCGAAGCTGCTCTACATGTCTCAATGCCTGCGTAACGTCACTGATTGCGTTGGCCAGCTTGCAGATGGATTCAGGATTCATGTAGTCCCTCGGTGTCAGTGCAGTAAGGTTGTTGGACAGGCCATGCAAGGTGGACTGCAGGTTGGTGGACGTTTCAGTCAGAACTTGCAAAAGTTCCGGGTTCTGAACAGTATCAGCATATTTGGACATTAACCTTTGTCCAGACCAACGTACCACCACTTGTGTCTGGGGTTGGAGTGTGTTCGAAATTGCTGGAACGCACACAGGATCGCGAGGAATCACTTGCTGCGTTGGTAGCTGAGCGAGGGTTGAGGACGAGGAAGATGCAGTCTCGTTTTTTGGCGGGTTCAAAAGTATCAATCGCTCTCCTCCGGGACCTGTCTCCGTGATGTAGACGTTGCAGCATATCACACATTCCTGCAGAAGCAAAACTTGGTACAGATCGCATTCGTTCCAGATCGGTGGAATACCAACCTTGTTCGGTGACATTTCCTCCCCTTGGTTAGGAGGTCGCATTAGAGGTACTCCATAACAGGTCGAGTTGGGACATTCTTCTCCGAGCATTGCCCATCCTTGAAGAAGCCTCCTGCCCAACTCTGCAGAAGCTCGATCGGACTGCTCTCTCCGACGCCTGCTCTCCTCTGTCTCCGGAGGGAGGATAAATTCTTCGGAAAGATTGGACATTTCAGTGGGTGGGGTGGAAGGCGTGTCGGACTCGTCGGTTGAGCTCTGCCTCGAGGAAGTAGTAGTCGAGGTACCACTGGTGAAGCTCGAGGGTTGTGCAGCTGACTTTGACTTTGCATTCAATGCTGATCCTGGAAGAAATGACTTTGTATAGGCGTTCTTCGCATGATAGCTGACATACCTGGTGGACCACCGTCGCATTTAGCACAGAACCAAACTTCCGTCGCAGCTGCTCTCGGGGAACGCATCAAGGGAGTCGCACATACTGAGCAAGATTTATCGGTCAAGACCTGAAGACCATCAGCTATGCGCCTTTTATATTGTATAGGTCAGCTCACCCATCCTTTGAGCATATACTCTCCCAGGATGTTGGATACATCGTTGAGAGTGGCCATCGCAGCGATGAATTAAGAGCAGAGATTTATTGGGCGAGATCTCGGTGAATTATCCGCCGGCAATCAAACCATCACGTGTGACGATCGTGTCCACGGAAGGGCCACGACGTTTCGAAATTCGCTGAGTTTTTGGAGATTCGGTAAACTATTATAGTCGCCCAGACTAAGTTCAGCAAAGCTTTCAAGGCTTCGCTGTTGTCTCTCATGAAGTGGGAGTCCTACTGGTCAGGATGCCTCATAGCAGTGATCACCGTCGTCCTCCCTAGACTCCCCCTCTTTCAAACAACAGACGCCTCGGACGCTCTCGTCAATCCGGGGTGGACTGCTCAGAGAAAGCTAGCTGCTCGGTGAGTAACGCTTAGGCCCCACCTCCTATCACAAGTCTGAAGAGGCCATCGTTTATGCCAGCGAGAAGACGAGGGACTTGTGGTACCATGGATTCGACAATTATATGACCCACGGTATGTGGCTTCCGTCGTTCGATTGGTGGCGCGCTCTGAAGTCATGATAGCTTTTCCTATGGATGAGGTGCGGCCCTGTCAGTTACTAGGAAAGAAGTGCCCAATAACCCTTGGCTCAGCTGGCTCCGCTATCTTGTGCAGGTCAAGGACCTGACTGGAACAACCCGTATGTCATTTCCTCGCTTCGGCGAGGGCCGCTCTGATATCCTCTGTAGAGCAAACATAGCCAGGAATGACGTTGCAGGCAACTTCTCTTTAACCCTTGTCGACGTTCTCGACAGCTTCGTCATTCTGGATGACAGACCAGGCTTCGAGTTAGCCGTCAAGAAAGTCATTGAACATGTATCGTTCGATGTGAACACGAAACCCCAGGTCTTCGAAACTACCATTCGAGTATTGGGAGGCCTCTTGTCAGGACACCTGTATGCAAGTCAACCAGATCAACCATTCTACTTGCCCTGGTACCGAGGTCAGCTGCTGGAACTTGCATACGACCTCGGCGACAGGCTTCTCCCCGCATTCTCCACTCCGACCGGAATCCCATACGCCCGAGTAAGTCCATTCATTCCCCATTCATTCAACGACGTCACGTCCTGACTATCGAAAGATCAACCTCCGTCAAGGCATAATGAAAGGAGAAACGACCGAGACATGTACGACCTCAACCACCCGTGCGGATTCTTGAATTAACCGACCATCGAACAGGCACTGCCGGTGCAGGTTCACTTATACTGGAGTTCGGACTTCTCAGCAGACTGACCGGTGACGACCGCTTTGAGAAGGCAGCCAAGAAAGTGGGTTGTCTTTCTGCCCTCACTATCGCTAGCTCGACTGACCGTTCAGGCCTATTTCGGCATTTGGAACCGGCGCTCAGACCTGGGAATCGTTGGGAATACGATCAATAGCTGGAACGGGGTATGTGGTGCCCTTGCCACTGGTTCGAAAACAATATAACAGTCTTCTCAGCAATGGACACCCCCAGAGGTTTCTGGCATCGGCGCTGGAGTGGATTCTTTCTACGAATACGCCTTGAAGTGGTATATCATGTCCGGTAGGTCACCCGACTTGAGCCTGCTGCCAGAAAATAACCTTCTGCTCAGGTGAAATCGAGTTCTTGGACATCTGGGACGATGCGTATGCTGCTATCATGCGATATTCCAGGTCACTGGATGGTTACTGGGTAATGTTCTTTATTTCCAGACCGCATATCTCGACTGACCCACTATAGTATCGACCTGTTAATATGAACACTGGAGACCTGGCCTACTATACCGTTGACTCTCTTTCTGCCTTCTGGCCTGGGCTTCAAGTTCTGGCTGGCGATGTCGAAGCGGCCATTAAACTACACATGCTATGTAAGTGTGCTCAGTCAGTGATATTCGCTGTTCAAACCTTGAAATCAGATTACAACCTATGGAAGCATCACGCCGGGCTTCCTGAGGTCTATGATACCAGCTTCAAAGTCGCGACATCCCATCAATATCCATTACGACCAGGTAGGCTGTTGCTATACCGGCGTTTATGCAGTTCTGACTATGAGCATAGAATTCATCGAATCCACTTGGTATCTTTATCGTGTAAGCTTCGTTTGCGTTCGAAGAACAGGCCTCGCCCATTGATTATCTTGATAGGCGACCAAGGATCCATTCTATCTCGATGTTGGGGAGCGCGTTCTTTTTGACCTCACTACGAGGGCGAAAGTTCCGTGTGGCCTAACAGGAATTGCAGACCTTCGATCTAACAAACGGGATGACAGAATGGAATCCTTTGCCTTATCTGAAACCCTCAAAGTCAGTATTTGCTCTCGAACGTAACGGCGATACCTGACTTTGTACTCCAGTATCTATATCTACTCTTTGACGAAGACAACGCGCTGCACCGCGACGACTCCGACTTTGTACTAACCACCGAAGGCCATATATTCAAGCTCCCCGAAGTCCTGAAGCGTGCATCGCCACCTCCATCTAGAAAGTTCATCTCCCACCAATGCCCGGCCTACTCTCCCCAGGAAAAAGGATCTAAACTCCCCGGATTATTGCAAGGAGTGCGCTACAGACCGCATGTAGAGTATGCTCGATCTCTTGTTGGTGCTTCAGCCAGCGAAACGGACAAGAAGTGGTGGTCTGCGGATGGGTGGTGTGAAAAGCCCAAGCTTGATGTATACGTACGTGCTGTACTGTCCCGTATCTAGTTCGTTGATCTCATTGAATACTTATTCCCTCTAGTCTTATGAGTTCATCCTGTCAGTGAATGGAGGGACAGTACCTGAAGATCCCAGTCCTAGCTTGAAGAAACTTGACGTCGTTTCGGATGGGTTTGTTATCAACAATGTCACTGGCATCCGAACGAAGATCGTTCAGAGGATGGATGGAAAAGGATTCGACGTCCGAAAACGTGCGCCCCTCCCTATTCGCCCGGATGTGCTTTGTTAACAGATGCTTTCAGTGGGTCCTTACAACGTGCGGCCGGGCCAAGTCGTCTACATCAACGACACGGAGTTATTTGCGAGTCCAGCCAATGGCCAACTTGCGCAGACAGCAATATGGGACCGTGACAGGACCGTCGACCTCCACTTTATGGATTTCGACACTTTGTCCCCACAATCCACGCTCGAATCTGACTCTAATGTTCCGCGGCCCGCCGATGTAGACGTGGTGGTCACGGCTTCAACCGCACAGTTCGGTGCCCATTTCCTCGATGTCGTCAAGTCGGAAACATCGTCAGCGCCAGAATACCTTCCTATCTTCTATGACAAGGACAACGACCGGGGCTGCGAACCGTACCAGTATTCTTATCCGGGTAGCGTGCTCATGGTTCATCGCGGTACTTGCAGCTTTTTAGAAAAGCTGAAACAAGCCCGCGATGCCTCCGCAGTAGCTGTCCTAGTCATCAGTGACGGAGACGAGCCCATAAACCCTAGCGCAGGGGCAGAAGACCTGCTTGTAGCAGGTAAGGTCAATGAGACTGCCGTCGTTCTCGTCACCAACAAAGTGGGACTTGCACTCCTTGATCTCCTCGAGGCGGCAGAGGCCGAAGGCAATAAGCAACTGGCAGTATCGTCGTTCAGCTTACCGCCGACGCCCAATACAAAAACACAGGAAGAAGAACCTAAACTAAAGGAGAGCAAGCAGGAAGAGGAAGAGGATCCCAGGAGTCGTATATTGTACATTAACAGTCACCCTCTTCTAAACACTCGGTTGTTAATATAACATCCGGGTCAGATATCCCCTCTAGATATATGTTAAATCTATCGTCGTTAACTTATTTGGTTAGTCTTCGCTTTGGACAATGGAATAGACGGGAGCGTTGAGCTTGGAGGAGGCTTTGAGGAAGAGGAGCTCGATGATGAAGATGTATTCTAGAGTCTTGCCTCCGAGTTTCTCGACTAGCTCGCCTGCGGCCTTGGCGGAACCGCCTGATAATCGGAAGGTGAGTGGCAAGCAGTCGGATTGATACAGGACTGACTGACCAGTTGCAATCAAGTCATCGATGATAACTACAGTCTGTCCTGGCTTGATTGCATCCGTTTGAATTTCAAAGGAATCCTGCAAGTTTCCGTTAGCCGAGGCGTTCCAAAGCAGTGACCATGCTACTCACCGCGCCATATTCCTTCTCGTAGGTAACGGAAGTGGTTTCTCCAGGGAGCTTGCCCTTCTTCCTGACTGGCACAAAAGCAGCACCAAGCCTCAGGGCGATGATTGGACCCAAAAGGAAGCCCCGAGCGTCCAAACCGACGATAGCGTCTATTTTTTTGGTGGGAGTAAGGGCGAGAGTGTGCGAGGCGATGTGCTGGACGATGTGCGAGATGAGCGTCTCGAAGACGAGAGGGTCTCTCAAGATTGGAAAAATGTCCAAAAAGACAATCCCCTGTTTTACGATAGCTCCTATGAACAAGCGCGCTCAGAAAACTCTCTGAAAATACCCACCTTTTTGGGGAAATCTGGGTGGGAGGTCAATCGGCTCTTGATGAGGTCGACGTCGGCCATATTGTAGGGAGGAAAGAAAAGGGTAGGAGGTCAAAACGGAGAGCTATCCGAGCGGCTTGTTATACTCGCTCTCGGTTTCTCTGGGCTACCCGGGACATGGATACACCTTTACCGATCTCACTAACTCAGGGTAGAAAACTTTGGTCTCATGCATAGCTCATATAATTTCGGGCATAACAAGGCATAATGCGGAATGGAATGATGATGGCGCGAAAAACTACATGATTTACACAGATTCCAACACCTCGGGCTCCTTGAAGTCCTTGGTAACGCGGGTACCGCTCTCCTGTAAATAGGGTTAGACGAGACGCAGCCAAAGATCAAAAGAAAAATACGGACGTCCGTCGAGTCGCCGTGGAGCTCCAACAACTTGGAGACATCGAATTTGGGTGCCTTGAGGATTTTGGCCTTGCGGATGTAGACGTTCTGCAAGGGGTAGATGCTGCGAGAGGCCTTCTCGATCTCACGACCGATAGCCTCTGGCACGAATTTCTGGACCAACTCCTTCAAGTCGCAGCTGGTGGCCTCACGGGTGATGATCTCGAACATCTTCTTCCTGAGCTCACGGACCTGTGCGGTTTGGGCGTAGGTGGTCTTTTTCACTTGGGTGGGTCTTCGCTTGGTGAAACCAATGGCGAAGAGGCGGAGGAGGTAACCGTCGGTGGTCTTGACATCAACATGAGCCTCGACGAGGGTTTGCCATTTGCGGACAAGGGAGCGAAGTTTATCGGAGGTGAAGTCCATGCCGTGGAAGTTGGTGAGGCAGTTGCGGCCTTGGATTTCATCGACACGCAGCTTGATCTTGCGGAAGGATTGCTCCTCGTCCTTGTTCAAGTCGGCCAGGGAAACCTCGATGATACGGCCACGGAGGGAGTCATTGGCGTTCTCTACATTCGCGATATAAGCAGATGCCTTGATTTGACCGGTAATTGGACATACTCAAGCCCTGGGATCGGTTGACGAGAGTCTTTCCAACATTTCGGGTTTCGAAGATCGAAGGGGCCTTGATATCATACCAATCTAGCGTTCCTTGTCAACACTGATGTTCCTTCTTGTTATGATGTGTTCAATGCTCACCCTTGCGAGTGAAGGGGTCAACGACCTTCTTCTTGAGACCCTTCTTGCCCTTGGAGAGGCGCTTGTTCTACAGACATGGTTACTGATGGACCAAAATTTGACCAAGGGGCAATCTTACCTTCCCTACAGCCATGATGAGATTTTAAAATGCGTCGGCGGCAAAGAGTGGACCGCTGAGGACGACGACGACGAAGAAGGCCTGAGATTTGTGTGCTTCCGACCACTTTCCCGTGTTGCACTGTCGGGGACCACGCCGGCAACGGCCGGGTGGCTGAACCTTATTTCTGCAACTGTACAACTCTGGATTGATGGTGGCTCGCAGCCGAACCGGCATCTTTCTCGTTCTCCGAATATGTTCACCCGTCAGCAATTCGAAGCAGCTTGCAAGTCACTTGCGACGAAATGGTCCTCAGAATCACCACTAGACCCGCGCACACACGCCTATACTGATTGGGTTTGGCACAACCCGTACCCGTACGGCTATCTCGCCCGAACGAAGCGATACGCGCGCACAGCGTCACCTGGTGCATTTGAGGAGGAACTCGGTCAGGAACTCGGTCAGGAATTCGGTCAGGAAGAGGTTGTTTGTCAGGATGATGTTGCTACAGGATCTACACCGGGTGATGTGGAAAGCGTGCTATCTCAGCAATTCGTCGTCTTTTCCGCCACTTTTCAGGTTCCTGCTTTTTATTTCACTGTACATGATACGAGTTTGTCGCTACTCTTACCGTCGCAGTGTGAATGTGTCTCTAATGTACCATTTCCAAGCTGGCGCTCCTTTATCCCTCGATAAGTTGCTGGCAAGTCCACTCTTCAAGTTCGAGCTCCCCGAAGGCGCCGCATCAACAGGGTTCGCTCTAACCCTGCCCAACGCGCCCTTCCCTCTTCTGTCGCAAGGAGAACACCCGTCGCTTGGAACGCCATGTTGGTACCTACATCCTTGCGAGACGGAAAGGGCCGTGGAGGAACTGGTCCGGGAAGCAGAGCAGCCGGACTGGACGCCGGAACATAGACTGGAGCGGTGGTTGGAGTTGTGGTTGATGGCTGTCGGAGCGGTCCTGAATCTGTAAGTCGAGAGAAAGGGTCCAAAATTGTGTGCTCGATATGCAGAAGAAAGACGTCGAGCAGATTGTAATAATTTTGGTGGTGGTAGATAGAAAATGTGAAATGGGTCAAGTGGAGCACCGTGTGTGCAAAAGCACATGAAAATGGACCGGATCATGACTAGGAAGGGCTGTTATAAAGTCGGCGACGGCGGTGGGAGTCGCCCTTTACGTCCCTCAGACCACCTCGCTGTGACACAGGACTTAGATTTTTGTCGTGGCACCAGGTGTGTAGCTGACCGAGCTCTATCGATAATTATCATACGATCCTCATCAAGATTACTTCGCTTTTATCCGAAAGGTCCAAACTAGACAAACTCCGTTTTCCTATAAAGACATGTTGTTGTCGCGTCTAGCCACCACAACTCGCTTTTCTACCCCATCATTTACCCGTTCAATGGCAAGTCATTCTTTTCCTCCAGCTTCGCATCCAGTCCTTACGTGCTCTCCCAGTCTAACGAGGTCGTCATCGTCTCTGCTTCCCGTACCCCTGTTGGCTCCTTCAATGGTGCCCTCAAGTCCTTCACCGCGCCCCAGCTTGGTTCGATTGCCTTGAAGCATGCTCTCGAATCCAAGAACATCGACCCTGCCCTCGTTGAGGAGGTCTACTTTGGCAACGTCGTCCAGGCTGGTGTCGGTCAATCCCCTGCGCGTCAAGTCGCCCTCGGTGCTGGTCTCCGTACTAGCTCGGATGCGACCACTATCAACAAGGTTTGCGCCAGTGGAATGAAGTCCATCATGCTTGCTGCCCAGAGTATCAAGCTTGGTGAGCGTTCCGTGGTCGCAGCAGGTGGTATGGAAAGCATGAGCAACGCCCCGTAAGTGTTCCGTAGTCCTTCCATCTCCCAGGCCATCGATTTATCATTCTTCATCAGCTTCCTGCTGCCCCGACAGAACCCTGCATTCGGCAAGTTCACCACCCGTGATTCCTTGGAGAACGATGGCCTCTGGGACGTCTACAACAACTTCGCCATGGGCAACTGTGGTGAGCACGCTGCTGAGAAGCATGGTCTCACTCGACAGTCGTTGGATGAGCATGCCATCGAGTCATACAAGCGTGCTGCACGCGCATGGAAGGAGGGTGCTTTCGATGCCGAGGTCGTGCCTGTGACCGTCAAGGGCAAGAAGGGCGATACCATTGTTCGTGAGGATGAAGAATTCACCCGTGTCATTTTCGACAAGGTTCCCTCCCTCCGATCAGCCTTCAAGAACGGTGGTGTCATCACTGCCGCCAACTCTTCACCTCTGAGCGACGGTGCCTCTGCTTTGATCCTCATGTCCGCCGACAAGGCCAAGGAGCTTGGTTTGGCTCCTTTGGCCAAGGTTGTCTGTACGTTGGTCTTCTTCACCCGTCCAGGCGCGTACTCATTCATCCACTTTAGCATGGGCCGATGCCGGCACTGAGCCCATCGACTTCCCTGAAGCACCCACTGTCGCCCTCCCCAAGGCTCTCGAGAAGGCCAACCTCACCGTCAACGACATCTCCCTGTTCGAACTCAACGAAGCCTTCTCCGTTGTCGTCCGAATTGCCGAGAAGGTCTGCAACATCGATCCCGCCAAGATCAACGTCAATGGGTATGTCTTCGGTTCTGCTAACTTGCATCGAATTTAATTAGACTAACTCATTTCGCAGTGGCGCCGTTGCTCTCGGTCATGCCATCGGTAACTCTGGCTCTCGTATCATTGTTTCTCTCGTCCATGCGCTCAAGTCCGGTCAATATGGTGCCGCTGCTATTTGCAACGGAGTAAGTTGGCATTTCGTTCGCTTCCCTTTTCAAGATCCTTACCATTCCTCCGTAGGGTGGAGCTGCCTCTGCACTCGTTGTCCAGAAATTGTAAATGTACATATAATATCACACCATTTAGATTGTTCAGTAGTAATAGTAATACATGGTTACAACGCACTGTCGTCTTCCGCCGACCCGATTGCCTGGAGATACCGTGACATCATTTCAAGGTGCAGAGTACCAGAAGTCGTCTCTTGTCAACTCGATCAACTCTGGAATACCCTTCTCTGTTGCGAATCGCCTGGCAACCCTTCTGGAGCGAAAGGACTCGGGTCGGACGCGGGCTACATACAAGGAACCAATGGATATGAGCAGGGAAAATGGACTTGATTCGAGCTTACAATCCTTACCGCCCGTGAGCAAGTCGGACTTGATTACTTCTTTCATCCAGGAGCAACGAGCGAACCAGGCCATCTATTCGCAGCTAGGAAAGGCGTATTTCGACTCTTGGCGGGACGAATCTTGCGACACTGGGCATACCGTACCTGTTTCTGAGGCAGCTAGAACTGTCTCCTCGCGCCCCGACAATCTCATTGACCTTGGTCTCGCAACGCCCATATTAAAACCCCGCAACCCTCGCGCTACCTCTGGTCATCTTGCCGTAAATCCCTCTACTAAGCGTTCTGGACCTGATGAAATTACAGGTGATCGCGACAGTGCTCTCCGTTACTTGACCCAGGGGTCTGTCGTCGCGACACAGTCTCGGGCCACCCGCCTCGACACGTTGAAGAGGCCTTCTCGCCAACAACGCGACAGCGACAGCACAGACCCGCCGCCAAAAAGTACTGGGGTCTCTTTTAAACAGGTGGCGGAGCACGCCGACCCAGACAGAGTGCACAAGGAGGTGCAGGAGGGCGAGGACCTGCCGGAGAAAAGTCAAGAACTCATTGAACATGAAGAACGTAAGCGTCCTCCTCTACCTTGCCGGCTTACAGACATTGAGTGGCTGTGGCATTTTCAGGACTGAAGGGGCGTCGCGAAAAACGACAGGTCAGACGCAAAATCGTGAGGCCCCAACATAAGTCACCTATCTCTTCGGAGGACGGTGAGCTGGAGGGCCATGAAGGATCGTATAAGAAGAAAAAGAAAGCGACCCGTCCGAAGGCCCCTGCAGGATTGGCCTTGATTCACGGCTTCCATGCAACCAACGTTGGAAAGTCTCGATTAACTGTGAGTGTCCCTCGCACAGTCGCCACGGGGGCTTCGTTTCTCAACGTCGAGAAATAGATGGAACGAAATATTGGGCCCATTGGTGTCTTCTCGAGGGGAAAGGCATCAGCGAAGACGTCTACTGCCAAGAGAAAACAGTCAAAGAACGCTTTTTCTGAGGCAAGATTTCTAAACACTGTACAGAACGCAAAGCCAAAAGAGCCTGGAAACGGGAAGATAAAGGAGTCGGGTCATGGGAACGAGACGCATTCAGTCTCTCGACCTCCCTCCCATCCACCATCGTCGCCCAGTGCTCGCCCTCGAAAAAGACAAAAGCAGCAATCGGTCAAATCTGTGAGCCCAAAAGCCAGCCCAGAGAAGCGATCTCAGGTGGGTGAATAGTCGTCTTGATGGAAGCGAAACTCATCAGTTTCACAGGAAAGGCCCGCTCGTTCAGAATCAATAGTCTGGGACATCGAACGATCTAGTGCTGTCCTTCCCTCTTGCGATACTTCGGTCGTTGTCCAAAGTAAAGCCACAGTGGCACCTCCAGGAGAATCGCGTGCTTCACATAACCAACCGAAAACCACTGTCCATTCGGTCACTCCTCGCTCGAACAGTAGACCTGGTGCGACAAATACCGAGGTCTCTTTGGCACCCTCCGACTCCGTGTCGCGCATAATAGAGCTCTCTGCCGGCCGACAGCCTATTAAACAAGCGCCTTCGGTGGTAGTCGTTTCGCGATTCTTTCAAAAGGAGCCAGAAGTCCATAGTAGGAAAGAAACGGTTCCCACTTTTTTCCCGCCACCATCGACGGAACCCGTGGAACCCTTCAAAGAGGCCAGCATCTTTACCCGTTGTGCCCTTAGCAATGTGGGCGACAGCTCATGCTTCCTGTCTGAACGGCCCGCTGCTGCGTTTTCCGTGACAGAGGACGACCTGGATCTACCTTACTCGGCGCAGCACATCCCCCATGGAGCGGATACTTTCAGCAGAAGGTCACGCGAGGTACTGTCCGACTCGATTATCTTGTCAGACATCGGTGTCCACACTGGATACGGAGCTGAAATTTACAGCAAAATCCAGTTTTCTCCGTCTGCTCAAAGCGTTTTGGATATTGGCCACGGACTTCCGGAATTTACAGACTGTCACGAATATGGTCCTTGGCAATCGCCTACCGACTCCTATGGCGGGGGGCACTCATTTGGCGCGGCCCAGGCTCCACTCATGTCACAGCCCTACACTGCTAGCCAGACCCTTCCATTCTCTGGGGCCCACGCTCGATGGCCCTATGACGCCGTCGACACTTTCCCTGACATAGTCCACGATGGGTATTCGGACTTCCCAAGCGGCACCTGTGGGTATCTTGACGGTGATCGACGTTGTTCGGAAGACCAAATTGCTCACCCACCTTCCGGCCAAGACCCGGGACAGAAGCTCTCCTGGAGTGCAGAAGTAGATGTGGCGGTGGAGGCACAACAGGCCGATAGATTGGACTCTTCCCAGATGCCAACGGGTTCGGAAGGCATCCTCGAGGACAGTACCGCAACATCGAGCGATGTTTTCAGCGGTCTTCAATTTTCGGAACAACACCAGGAAGAAGAAGTCGAAAGATTTCTTCAAGGCCGAGCGTTGCTTCTAGGTGGAGGTTCGAGGTCTTTGGACGCGGTGCATCGCGCAGAGGTGTCTCGGACTCGGCAAATGGCCCCCATTAACAGCCTTTCCAGAGCCGAGATCGATGTAGCGAGAAGTATGAGAGATCACTGGCGTCCGCATCGGCCGTAGATTGTTTTAGAATAGTTTCTTTGCTTAACTTTGCTGTCTTGTCTATCCAAAGCGATCTTCGGGAAGTCCGTCGCGATAATGTGCCAACGCGCGATAATTGACGCGACACCCAATTTAGCAACGCGTTGCTTGCACTTGTTTGTTCCCACCGTTTATTAAGGAAGAAGTTATAGCCCGCTCGCCACCGAAGAGTCACCAAGACACCATCCCCCACTAACTGTTGCTTTCCAATTTCCGCCTCCAGCCGCTGCTTTGTCTCGTTCCAGCGGTGATGAGTTACAAGGAGAACGGCAACATGGTCAGCATCACGTTTACCCCGACATACACAAGGGTCATCGCGCTAATGACTCTTTGCATACAGTCCTTCTACGTGAAACCGGAGCCGCGCGACGGTGCAATACCGCCACTTAACCCCTTCAACGGAGTTCCGACAGGTAATATCGCGTCGAGCAACGTCAAGCAAGAGGAACCGCAGCCTGTGAGTTGTCGCGTTGCCCCACGACCTCGACGTGTCGGCGACTAATGACACGTCGCAGGTCAAAACTGAAGTGAAACATGAGTTGCCCCAACAGCAGGATGTGCCCATGATGGAGGCTCCTCGATATGAATCACCGGAAAAAGTGAAGTACACCGTCTACAAAAACGTCACCGACATCGCCTACACACCCGAAGGCGCGCTCTCAGAAGGCCTGAAAATGATCGAGTCACTGCAAGAGCGTATCAACAAATTGGTTCTGGGTAGTAAGATGCGGCAAGAAGTTTGGAAGAGGGAGATTCAAAAGTATGTTCCCATATGAGCGCATCATCGACGCGTCGTTCTGAAAATTGTCGCGCTTTCCTGTTAGTTTGAAGAATCAAAGTACACCAACCACGTTGATCGCAGTATGTGGAGCGACAGGCGCCGGGAAGTCATCTATTTTGAACGCTGTATTGGATGGTAGGCGTCTTCATCGTGTTAGCCGTTAAAATAGTTCTCTAATTCTTGCCAGATAACATTGTGCCCACCAGTGGAATGCGCGGTATGTCGCCTGGGAATATCGTGATGCGTCGCGGCTGAAATCCATTTGAAGCTTGCACCGCTGTTGTCACCGAAATTTCTTACCACAAGAAGGGGACTATCGATGGCGATGTATCTTTTCTATCAGAGGAGGAATGGCGCCAGGAGCTCTCAGTCCTTTTGCACGATCTCACTGAAGAGGACGGCAAGGTCAAGCGCACCACAGACTTGAAGAGCGATGCCGGTATCGCTTGGCAGAAGGTGCGTAGTCACTTTTGAGTCCCGCCCTATCCATCCTTATCTGTTGTACAGGTCCACGCTTTGTACCCCGCAATCTCTATCGAAGAACTGGTCAAGATGACCCCTGACCAAATCATCAATTACGATCAAAGTTAGTGCTTCACGCCAATCCCTTCCCTTGTATGCCCTGTTGACTTCGATGTGCAGACCTTCGTAACATTCTGGGAACTACAAAGAAGATCGTGGCCAAAGACTCCAAGCAGTTTGGGAAGGAGATTGCCAAGTATATCGACTCGAAGGATCAAAAGCGTGGCGACAAGAAAGACAAGAAGAAGGAAAAGAAAAAGGAAAAGAGTGTAATGGACAAAGTGCGCGAAGCGGCCGGTAAGCAACTGGCCGTGGTGAGAGGAAGCAAAGATAAGGGCCAGTCCGATGCAAACGCTCCTGCTCTCTGGCCTCTGATTCGCCAAGTCAATGTTCGTTGTCCCGCCAAAGCCCTTTCGACAGGAGCGGTTCTTGTCGATCTTCCAGGCGAGTGACATTCATCGACGGCGGTAAATAATGGCACTGAATCAATCAATAGGTGTTGCCGATGCTAACGCTGCGCGGAACAACATCGCAAAGGATTACATGAAGAAGGCTAACTGCATTTGGATCCTCGCCCCCATTACCAGGGCAGTCGACGATAAAACCGCCAAAGGTAGTGGTCCTTTTTCTGCGATAGGACTCCTCTGATAAACACCCAGATCTTCTTGGCGACGCGTTCAAGATGCAACTTATGAGTACGTGATTCGTCTCGAAGAAAATCATACCAATTACTGATTTCATCCTCCAGTGGGTAGGCAGTCTGCTTCTCGTTTGCAGCACCAGGAACTGATCGCGGAAATGTAACTTTTGTCCTCAGATGGAAAGTAGGTACCGATTTCCTTGGCCACTGGGACCAGCAACTAATGAATACTTAGCTACGATGACCATTGCATCACCTTCATTGCGAGCAAATGTGACGATATATCCTGCTCAGAGGTCATTCACGCCCTCCAGCTTCACGACGATCCCGAGCTGCTCGATATCGAAGAGCACATTGATTCGGTCAACGACCAAATCAAAGAACAGAAGCAGAAGAAGAGCGTCGCCGAGAAACTTGTCAAAGGTAGCGTGGATAAAGCGCAATCAAACCTGTAGCTCATTTCTATCACCTAGGAATTGAAGCGGACATGAAGGACAAACGAGAGCGTTTGGCAGACCACAAAAATCATCTCGACGCATTGGAAAACGGCGAACCCTACACCTCCAAGTTTGCCAAGAAACATACCATGTCGGCGAGCAAGAAAAGGAAGAACAAGCGCGATGGGAAGCAAGGCCCGAGCAAGCGTCGCCGAAGCAGCGCCATGAGCGACGAGGAAGATGATGAAGACGATGAAGAGGACGATATTTCCTCCTCGTCAGAAAGCGAAAGCGAAGCGTCTGATTCCGACGAAAGCGATTCCGACTCCGATGAATCGACTGCATCTCAAAATGACTCGGACGACGAGTCTGCCATTGAGGTGGAAGAACTGATTGAGCCTGAAGAAGAGACTGAAGAGAGTCTTACAGCCAAGATTTCGTCTCTTGAAGACGCGATCAAGGAAACCCGGAAGAAGTTGAAGGAGGCTAAAGCGGAAAAGAGCGAGGCAGCCGACCGTATCTCAGTACTTGAAAAACAGTTGACCAAAGTTCAAAAGGAGAAAAATGCATTCTGCTCCAAGAAGCGCTCCGAGGTGCGTAAAGCTGCCCATCGTTGCATGGCCCCCTTCTGACATAGGTAAACAGTTTTCACGGGACGTTTTGAAGGAAGATTTCCGAACTGGTTTGAAGGAGTTGGACGGTGCGCACGGCATTTCCAGTCTCAAACATGTCTTCTTACCGATAATCTAGATGCCGCTGCCGAGGAACGCGATCCTGACAATTTCGACCCGTCAGTCAATCTTCGAGGTGTGTTTGTCGCCTACGTTCAATGTGTCACTCCTGGTTCAAACTACTGTCAGACTATGCCGCCATTGATCTTCCCGTCTTCACTTGTTCCAGCAGGGACTACGTCAGATTGAAAGGTACTGCACTCTCTGGTTGGGCCCAGCGAATATCTTCTGAATAGTCAGCAGGTCAAGTTAAGGGGGACGGCGAGCCAAGCTGTTTCTCTAATGTGCGCGACACGGGAATCCCCGACCTGCAGGCATGGTGTCACCAGCTTACCATCGCATCTCGGGAACGAGGTGTTAGAAACTTCATGACCCAGCTTGCTTTATTCGCTAAGTCTGTTCAAAGCTATGTCGACGGCATCAACGATGTCACGGCTGCCGATCGTGCACTCTTACAAGAAAAGTGGGAATCGCGGGGATTCAACGAACCTGAGGAGCCCCCAGCACCCATGCCTGGCAACATTTGGGCCGACCTCAACAACGACCCCCTACAAGATGTCTTAGGGCGGCTGGGCGCCGGTATCGATGACCTATACCACATGAACAAACCGGAACCGAAGCTCGATGCCAATGGGCAGCCAGTGGGCATCACGCCTAGACTGTGCATGGTCCGTCAACCTTTGGATGCCACTGGACGACCTTTCACTGATAGGAATCGCACAGGAATTTTCGGCTTTGGTTGATGAATGCGTTGAAGACTTGAAGGCCAAATTTAAGGACAACTTGGAGGAGAAATGCAAAACTGGAGCAGCGGCCGTAAGTGAATTCTTTGGCAAAGCCAAATGGCGCTAACCCTGCCTCACTAGGCTTCGAGTGCCGCCATTCCTCTTCTCGATGAGTTTACTGCTTCAATGCACTGGAGCACGTTCAGAGCCAGTGAGTAGCGACCACGCTGTGGCCATCACCTGCTAACTCTATTGCCAGCTTTGCGTCGACATGGTGCATGGCGTCGGGATCTCAACGTCGAATTGATTAATCCGTTCACGAAGAGCATCGCGCACTCCTGGGGACAGTTGTTCGAATCAGATCTTTTTGGCCACTTCGAATCATCCACCATGCAGTCAATCACCAACTTGCTGAAAGAGGTGGAGGAGTCAGCTGCTCCAGGCTTGAAAGACCGCACTCGTTTGCAAGGGGAGGCGTGTTTGGAGGAGGCCAAGGCCGCGCTACAAAAGACAATGACCACTATCCGCGAGACCATGAACACGGAACAGAAGGAGACTTCCCGTTTACTCTCGCCTCACGTCCAAGAACAGCTTCGCGATGGATACGATGAGGCCATGACTTTCACCGGGAAAGGCAGTGTAGCTCGGCAAAAAGCATACTTCCGCTCGTTCCTCGATGAAATCAAAGACGACATATTCGACGACGGTGCTGGCGTTTTAATGGATCGACTCGATCAAGGTGCGGCTGCGATAGGCGAAGCCCTGGACGAGGCCCTCGGAAACCTTGCGCAAAAGGTAGGGGAATAGCTGTCTTTGCTGATGCGTTGCTCAAAACATCATTGCAGATTGAAGTCAATCTTGCCGTCCTCTGGGAGGGTGTACGTGACGACCCGGCTCAAGTCCGAGCGCGTCAACACGTCGTTGACGTTGTGTCCGAAGTGCAAACTCAGGTTGAGATGTGGCTTCAAGCGGCTTCCTTAAAGAAGGAGGCTGAACTTCCTGTGGACGATGACGTTGACATGGATTGACGCTCGTGTCCTCCCTTTGGTAATTCGTCCTTCAACCACCCATACATTTCTTTATCTTTATTTTTATTGTAAATTCTTTCGCCTTTTTTACGTCCAGCCTATGGAGCACCTATCGTACTTACACAGCCTTCTGTATTTTATCCGTACGTTCTCATTATTCAGTCTAGACCTGTAGGTATTCCGCCTTCACAGATTGGTTTGTTCTCCGGAACGCAAGTCATCATCAATTGGACAAGAGTCTGGATGAAGGGGTGGTGTACATGGAATAAGAAATATCGTGCAGTCGTCGCAGTCGTTAAATAGTGTCGGAATAACTGTAGGTCCCTGTTATGTGTGGGGCATCGAGTGGAGGGAAGAGGGGTCCTCAAACTCGTATTACGGGTCTGCCATGGCGATCGACCTCTCCTCCGGTTCGGGGATCGATGAACCTTTGGCGTCTCGAGTAGCCCATAAAGCCCCAGCTATTCTTGTCAGACCTGTACTTGAACGAAGGGGTAGGGGCGAGGCCGAAGAAGAGTCGTATCCGCTGGCCCCATGTCAGTTGGTGTGGGTTGAATCCCTGGTAGTAACCGCCCATGCCAGGTTGCTGATTAGATTATCGGATCCAGGGAGGGAGGCGTGGCCGAGCAACATCAGGCTTCTGGTGAGCATGCGGAAATTGAAAAGCAGGTATTGGCACATACCATTTGCATAACCGGGGCCGCTTGGACGGGCATGGCAGTAGACATCACTTGAGGGACACCACTGTAGTAAGACGAGGAGACGTAAGGAGTTTGTCCATATTGCCAAGGCCAGCGCCAGGAGCGACGAGAACGACGACGGCGATGGTGGTGTCCGCCGTAGGAAGGATAAGAGTAAGAGGAAGAGGGCACATACATGACGCCGGCGGGTTGGCCATAGACTGGTTGTGGATAGCCCGCAGTTGGAGCGTAGCCAGAGTTGGCATACATGACCGGCTGGGTCTGAGCATACCCAGCTTGTGACGGGTAATAGGTTGTCATTTCGGTTAAAAGGGTAGGAGTAGAGAAACTAGACGGGTTAATATAAGAAAAGAAAGCGCACAAGATCGAATGTAGAAAGAAGTAAAGAAGGTCCACAAACCAGAACCGAACCGTAACGTATATTCCCTATGTCATCAAAAGCACCGCCCTCTCGGTCACCACGTGTTACTGCTCATCAAAATCATTTCTGACGTCTATTTCCGAACCACAGGGGCAATATTCAGTTACCAGCATTGCCAATGCTTGAAGGTGAGAAGCTCTGTGCAAGTGGAGTTTTATCCCTTCCGTTTGCTCCCTACTCCACGACGGATCTCATATCAGGTTGTGAGCTCTACGAACCAGCTCCTTGCCGCTGACCCACGCGGACCTTGCCTCGAGCCTTCTGGATGCTGAATCTTGTAAGCCGCTTTGAGTCGCTCGTTACTCTAAGTCCTGGAAATCGCCTTCGTCGAGGTCATGGGGCTAGATAAGAGAAAGGTCATTAACGGACTATCTCTGAACCCGTAGAGCATGTGATGATAGAAAGGTGTGCAATGCTTGCTTCACCGAAACCGATATTAAGCCCTTACCTCTTTGGGCTCCTCGTCCTCCCCGTACTGCATCGTGTAATCGATATGGCTGATTACTGTTTCGATGGAATCGGTGTTTGTAAGGTCGAGTGGCAAGAACGAAACGAGGGGATGGTCTTCGATCTGGTATAGAGAGGTTAACGTATTCCAGAAACGATGAGAGATAACCATGCCGTACAAGTTGGACGAGCGCTTGATTCAAGGCGTGGAAGCGTGGGTTAGAGTCAGGGGTGCGGTCATCATGCCTGGTGGCCAGAAGCAGTGGATCAGGATCCAAGTACCTGCGGAAGGCTTAATAACTTCAACAGGGGCATCTGTAGAAGCCTCACCGTGCGATATCTTTGCGCCTCCTGAGACCATTCCTCGCTCCTTTGCTTTCATCTTCGGGGTTCGGGAGAATTAGGTCCATCTTGGACATTATGTTAATCCATGGGATTTCCAGGTTAACCATTGCAGACATAGCAGAAAGAACCCCGCTGACAGGGGTGGACGTTCAGCACAAATTTAGCACGTTAGCGAGCCATGAGCTCACCTGAAGAACTTGTACTTGTCTTCTATGAATTGAGACTCGATTAGGTAGACCGCAGATGTCCGAATGTTCAAGCGCTGGAGATTTTGGACCAAAGTGGGGAGGAACGGGTGGTGAGTGTAGAGTTCGATCTGTCCTAAAAGACAGCAGTAAGTAGCCGTGCATATCATTGACGCCAATCTAATCTAAACATACCTGGACAGTCGATGATGAGATAGTCATCGTCGTAGCCGCCCAATTCCTCCTCTAACCAATCCATATTTTCCATGAGATACCTTGGACAACAAGTCAAGGTTGTCGGGAGCCGTGCCTGTACAAGTCTACTCACTCGAAGCAATAGACGAGGCCACCGTTAGGTCCGTATTCGAGTTCATTCATGACATCCTCCAGACTTATGAGGTCCTTGATGTCGATGACTGGTTCATACTCGAAGCTCTCTGGTGCGGCCGCTGGGTCGAGGTTGACAAGGTGCGCTGTCCGTTTTGAGTTACGCAAATGGGTCATAAACGCTCCTGAGAAGGTGGATTTTCCTGCCCCTGCTGGACCTGTTACGAGCACTGCATATCGCATTTTGAAGAGATTTTCTTGAATGTGAAGGAGCAAGTCTGAACGCGCCAAGGTGCAAATCAATTGCTGTTCGGGAAATTCAAAGTCCGCTACTAGTACTGTGGATCTAATCTCATCGTCCGACACAACATTCAAGTTCCAGTCTACCAGACACTCGGTAACACCATGTCGCTCCCACCTATCGACCCTAAAAAGTCTGTCGCTGGCATTGCCGTCGATCCTCAGACTTTGGAGCGCGTCGTCCCAGAATCCAGACGTCCAGATGGCTCGTATGCTTTCCTTTCAAGCAATGCTGCAGCCCCGGCCCTAACCAATTACTGCCGCTTCTAGGGTACGAAAGCAGCTAAAGATTAGGCCCGGTTTCACACCACAGGAAGATGTCCAGAGATTCAGAGGAACGAGGCAGGCACAGGCCGACGCCAATAAGCTTCCCAAAGGTCACATCATCGGATGGGCACCCCCTACAGCCTCAGAAACATCTACCTCAAAGCCAATGTCGAAAGGTGCAAAGAAGAACGCCAAGAGGAAGGAGAAAAAGGAAAAGGAGCGTGCTGAAGCTGCTGCTGCCGCTACGCCTGTGCGGGACAACTGGGAGGACGATTCCGATGGCGAACAACCTGGCGCTCCTACCACCGCCGAGGAAAAGAAAGATCCTCCTCCCGCCACCACTTCCGAATCTACCGACTCTGTAACGAACAAACTAGAAAAGTTGACCATCTAGAGGACACATTACGACCGCCTCCCATTACCTCTTAGCAGAGGCCGACGACCCTGTATTAATATATCCCTGTCCGTTGCATCGCAATTGTACCGACAACCCTATTATACCGATATAACGAGCTCTAGGATTAGTGCCAACGACCCCATTGTCTATGTCAGATAATCTGATTTCTCAAAGCCTTCCACCGGCGCATCCCTGGATTCTATTCGAGGAGGTGGAGATGGAGGCTGGTTAGGAGTGGGGGGTGGTCGGGGTTTGATCTCCATTCCGACGATAATGGCCAGAACGAAACCGGCCAATGTCACTGGTGAACGTAGTGAATTGCAGCGTCGGATTACCAGGTGTAAATGTCAACGTACAGACTGCTATCCTCATAATCTCCCATTTAGCTTCCTCCACGTCGGTTCGGAGGTCACTGACAGTCACAACCGACTTGTTCAAAAGTTCCTGCGAGGCCGGTCAGTACTTTCGTCGTGAACAGGGCGATGTCCAAGCACAGACCTCAATGGCAATGCTCATCTGCTTCTGCTCCGTCTTGGCCTCGTTCTTCCTCGTGTCGAGTTCCATTTGGATCCTTCAAAATGGCGTTAGAATCCATCCCCAGACACAGCGGCCGCAGCAACGCACTCATGCTTCAGGTTTGCAATATCTTCCTTCATCTTCACATCCAGTCTATCGACCTCCCTCCTCAATGCAGCAGTCGCAGACCGAATAGCAGCAGAATCATTCTTCGTCATCATAGTGATCTCTGCACGCAGCTCAGACAATGCTGCACGGAACAAGTAAGCTTGCTAAGATTTTGTTGGAAATGGGCCTACAAGGAATGGGTTAATCCATGGGGAACTATACGTACATTATCGAGGTCCTTCTGTGTCAATCCTTCCCTTCTGACTCTTCCAATACGATCCACAAGGAGGGCACGGGTCGCACGCATGAGACTGCGAGCTGTTGATTCGGGGAATGTCCTTTCGAGTGCGGTGAAGAATGCATGGGTATTAAAGGGAGGGCTGGTATATGACGGGCTATGGAACGAGCCGGAGCGTCCACTCAAGAGGCCCGTATGGGGAACTATGTGGTTGCCAGTTGGTATCGGAGAACCTTTCGTCGCTGTCGTCGAATTGCCGCTACCAGGCGGTGGTGGTCCTCCAGCGCTGTTCGTACTGGAACTGCCTGACTGGGTGCCGGGATCTCGAGGATGTGACAGCGGTACCTCTTTCCCGAGACCATCTTGTGGAGGATTCCCTGGCGATTTGGTGTTCAAAAAGCGTCGGGAATGGGTATTCAGAGACACGCGCCGTAATTGGCGCGCGAACATGGTGGTAGCATGTAAACGTTCATTAGGGATAGATGCGAAGCCCACTCCAAAAAGTATATATCACGTGGTATGTATATTCGGAGATTATGGACGACTACTAAGTAGGTCCTGATTAGATCCTGGTACACTACTTCACTTCGTCCAAACCGACTCTCAATCCAGTCTTGGTCCCTTCCCTACTCATACACTGCTCCGCACATCTCTGTATATTGGGAAAGTCTTTCAGATCAATCCCGACATCTTTATGTTCCCGAATCCAAGGAAGCATCTTCATATCCGCAATGGTATACTTCCCTCGACCATGCCCTGCAACGAAGTCCCGGTTCTCTAGCCTGGCCTCAAGAACACCATAGATCCGGCTAGCTTCATCGCAATAGCCTACGTGAACGTGAGCTCTGCTCCATGTGCATGTAAGGTTGATACTCACGTTTCTTACTGTCCTCGTCAGAGCTGTTGCCAAAGAATTCCGCGGCTGCTTGGAGGTAAGATTTCCTTCACGGGCATGGAGACGTCGAGCGCACCCTGTCTCTGCATTGGGTCCAGTCCCCCGTGCTTGAGACGCTGTAAGCCCCTACCTAGACCACAAGAAAACGAACAAATCGCTTACAGCCCAGAATAACCATTGCAACATTTGGCTATAATCGTCAGGATCCTCGGAGGAACTGAACCAGAAGTGATAGTCCGGGTCGTAGTGTTGGGCAATGTAGAGGAGAATCGCAGATGTCTCGAAGACGGCGAAGTTGCCGCGCTTGACGTCGACGAGGGCCGGAATGGATGCGTTGGGGTTTACATTGACAAACCAAGGAACCTAAGGCAAGGGGTAAGCTTCTGTGTGGCTGATGCACGTTTACTGGAGGACATGTACTTGCTTGACGCCCTCTTCACTGTCGATATTGGTGAAACTGATGGAAAATAGGTTGTCAGAGGCTAGGATTCTCTGGGACCAGCGGATTACTCACTCGTAATCGAGATTCGGATACACCCTTTTCAACTCATTGAGGTAGATTGGGACGGAGAGACCATTGGGTGTGGGGTAGCTGTACACATGAAGAGGCTTCGGAAGGTTGGGCATATTGGGACGAGAAGGGTTGGAAAGAATTAGACATTAGAGAATAGCCTAGTATATAGGACCGTATGTGTTAGGGGAATTCCCTTGTGAGACAGGCGGAGGATGGGCGTCATCCAGGAGAGAAAAGGAGCCGGTCCTCAACTGGATTTTGAACTAGTGTTCGGTGTCGAATCTGAGGATGGCGAAGGCTGAAATTCGAACTTTGAACCTGCAACATTTCCGCGGAAACGTTTCCGCATGTCAAGCTGGCGAAACTGGTGAATTTGGGTTCGAAGTTAGAGTCATCTGCAGAACATACCATGCCCCGTTTGCACTCAAAAGTCGCCTTGCGGAGTGCCTGGCATTCCTCCGGCAGCTCGTTCGTGTGCTTCCGCAAACACTCTGACGGCAAGCGTCCATGCTTTACAACACAGTCAGAGCGCAAAAGACATTCCTTGAGGGCGTCCAAAAGTCCTTGACAAGAAGATGACATATTGTCGCCCTTCGTCGTCACCGTCGAGTTGAGAAAGGAACCGGGCACCCAGCAAAGCGTACAGCGATGCAAAAATTCCGCGAGCGGCGTCGGGTTCGCACGCATCATCATGCCTCCAGCCGTCATCCAGTCTCTCCTCCGCCAAACGCCTACTTTAGCGCCTATAACAAATCGTGCCTTGATTTCAGTATCTGGCTCAGATGCAAATACATTCTTGAATGGAATACTATCAACCCATGTGAAGCCTCCCCAATTTTCCGCTTTTTTGCACGCTCAGGTGAGGAAATACCGGATGACATCAACACTAATGGGAATCCTCACTCGTACTATAGGGAAGAGTCCTCTACGACGTCTTCATCTACACAGACCCCAATCCACAGTCGACAAAAGGCCCTTCATATCTCATAGAATATTCTCCCCCACCAGCGTCGAACACCGATGTACCACCGCTACTCACCTACCTTAAGCGCCATGTCCTCCGGTCCAAAGTAAAAGTACGGGACGCGTCGGGAAACTACGACATCTGGGCTGCCTGGGGCTCTGAGCTGGACAGGAAGTGGGAACAGAAGCGCGAATGGACATGGGCCAGCAGCGGGGCAGTGGAACCTGTTTGGGGTCGTGAAGCCCCATGGGGGTCTGAACCGGGTGAGGTTCTGGATTGCAGGGGCATTGGAATGGGGCGAAGGTTGCTAGTTAAGCAGGGTGACAAACGTGAGTGCTAAAGATTGTCGCGCCTTTGGCTGGACTAATCCCTGGACAGCGAAGGAGGCTACAAGTCATGATATAGCAACCTCGGACGACTACCTGCTGCACCGAATACTACACGGGGTTCCCGAAGGAAATGTTGACATCCCCCCAATGCACGCATTCCCTATGGACTCGAATCTCGACATGATGGGTGGAGGTACGCTGCTTCAGGGTCCTGACGCTGAGGTCTCAGAGCTAATTCCGACTTCAGTCGATTTCAGGAAGGGCTGCTACGTCGGACAGGAATTGACAGTCCGGACTTACCACAAGGGCGTCATTCGGAAGCGTATCCATCCTGTTATACTTTCTGACTTAGGGTACTGTCCAATTCATGAAGCTCTTCCTGTGGACATCATGATCTAACCACTAGAAGCAGCTCGACGACACCAGCGACATTGTCTACACCTTTACCACCCGACCTCGACATCAAGCCCGTTCAACAAAAGGATAACGCTGCTGAAGGCGCAACACGAACTCCTCGTCCTCGCGGGACAGGCAAACTGCTAAGCACCACTACCCACGGCGTCGGCCTGGCGCTGCTTCGGCTTGAACACGTCGCGGCTCAGCAAGCTGGAAATATTCGGCTGGACCTGTCACACGAGGGAGGTGCCTCGCTGTCGATTACACCTTGGGTTCCAAGTTGGTGGCCCAGTCAACCTCCACCGGAAGGGTTTGAGACGGAGTAGACAACCGTACTAATCGTCGCGACCTGGCTTTCTAAACACATTACTCGTAGAACTAAGGATGGATTCAACTCACATTCAACCAGCACTTGTGAAAGAACGTATTCGCCATCGTGGCTTACCGATACGTGAATGGGGCCGACGAGGGAACCGGAGAGCCCATCCAGTGGCTGGTAGGATAGCGAAGGTTTGATGCCGCTATTGAGGCTAGTGTATGTCAATTCCTTCCACGTGGGTCTGACGGTTGGGTACAAAGCCTTGTACGCTGCTTCTTTCACGGACCACCTGTATCGTATTGGCAGATGCCTCCTGGAAGAAATGAACGTGCCTACCTTACAGCTAGATACCGAACCAAATCTCCTGAAGTTCCAGAGGTAGAGAGATTGACCCACCCGGAATATTCTGCAGGAGATAGGATCTTCTTGACGAATCTTCCTGCATACCTCTTCTTCAATAAGGCCGATATCCTGGGAGTATGGATGATATCGACGCCAATGCCGAGGATTGTCATCTCTGTCGTTCAGCTTGAAGAGCGTCAGGACGCGACCTGGACGCGTTTGGCAAACCACCTGATGCGATCACTGATGTTCTCACGATGTTGATTGCCGGTTGATGAGATTCGATCACAATTTGTGGTGGGGCTTTGCCTCAATCCACCATTTCCAATGGCGTCTATTGCCTACATCGCTGCCTCAGGCAACCGCTTCTCACATTGCGCAGACTCTTCAGACTCTCTAATCGCGTTTGGTACCTCTATCTTGGTCGGGCTGTGGCCCATCGATGTGAGATGCTCTCAAGTACCATGGGTTCAACACAGCTTTAATCCTACTTTCACCATTAGGAATCGCTCGGGGACCCTGGAGTTTCGCAAACCTTACCTGGTCACGAAGGTCTTGTTACGACAGTTAGATTTCACGACAATGCTACTTTGGTATCTGGAGACGACAAGGGATTTGTGATCCTGTGGAAGAAACTCGACTCGGAGGCAGGCAAGGATCTCCAAAACGACTTGCCATTTATCTAACCGATGTGTTTTCCCATAGTGGAGATTGGTCTTCAAAATCCAAGCACACGCAAAGGCACTGTCTGCGCTTGCGGTCTATAAAGACACTGTGGTCACCTCCGCTTCGGATTCTCTCGTCAAAGTTTGGAAACTGTCTCAAACTGACAACGGTAACGGGCTCTTTCTTCTCGTCGATATCGTGAAGTACGGACTGACCGCCGCAGGTCCAGTTTTACAAGAGCAACAAACATTGTCATATGGAAAACGCTATGCCCTTGCATTAGCATTGGCATGTCTTCCTTCCGAGGTTCCCAGTAAGTTTAATGCGTCAAGGCCGACAAGCGCGACTCTGATCCGACGACTTCCAGTTGATGTGCTCGCAGTTGGAGGAACGGATAACAGCGTCCACCTCTGGGTCCGCTCTGATGACTCTGTGCGTTGCCCTTGTCCTTCTTGGCTCGCTGTCTCATAGGCCTTCCGACAGTTCGTCCGTTCCGCAACTCTCACCGGACACGAGGATTGGATCAGATGTCTCGATTTCCAACAGTTCTCGCCTGACCAGCCATTGGTACTCGCCTCGGGCTCCCAGGACGGAAATGTCCGTCTATGGAACATCGAACCTTTCGAGAATGTTGTAAAACCAGCAATCAGCGAATTGAATGACGATCTATTGGATGCTTTTGAAGCTTCATTGAACGAACTGGGAGAAGGCGAGGAAGGCGGTAAACAAATCTCGCTCAAGAAGCATGTTTTGACCGCGAAAGCGTCCCAGAGGTGAGAATTTGCACGAATGTCAATGTGACTTTCAGCTAACATCCGACTAGAACGCTCCAATTCTCTGTAACGTTCGACGCACTACTCATTGGACACGAAGCCGGCCTTACATCCTTACATTGGAGACCAAAAACAAGCGACGAATCCACTCCAACACTGCTGTCAACGTCCACCGACTCCTCGCTTATCCTATGGATGCCATCGAGCGTTGGAAATAGTGCGACCCAGGAAGGCTCTTCGATCTGGATAAATTATCAACGGTTCGGAGATGTTGGTGGACAGCGCCTGGGGGGCTTTATCGGTGGAATCTGGGCAGATGGTGGAAGTGAAGCTCTTGCATGGGGTTGGTCTGGGGGTTGGAGGCGTTGGAGATGCAATAGGGCAACGAACCGACAGGACGAAAGTTGGCACGAGTTAGGTGCAATCACGGGACACAGTGGCCCAGTGAAGGGGATAGATTGGAGTCTAAGTGGTAACTATCTGATCTCGACGGGGTGAGTCGAACGCACATTCGTCTGGTTCGTCCTTGACACCTGGATTAGACTCGACCAGACAACGCGGATTCATGGCAGGATCCCAGGTTCGTCCACTAGTGAGACTGGTCACTGGCACGAACTCGGCCGTCCGCAAGTCCACGGCTATGATCTCCTTGACGCTGTCTTCATCACCGACCTCAAATTTGCAAGTATAGCGGATGAGAAGGTCGTCCGCGTGTTTGAAGCTCCCCGGTCATTTGTCGAGACTTTGGAAACTTTGCGTGTCTCTAAGTTCTCTGAAGCCGAGGTAATCCGTGTCCGTCCTTCCAAAGCTGAATCATCGACTGACTTGTCACCACAGCAGGCTAGGCCGGCGGGGGCCAGCGTTCCACCGCTTGGACTCTCGAATAAAGCAGTCGGCGAAGGTAAAGCAGTTGATTCTTGATTAGTAGCCGTGCTCAGACTGGACCCCAGGTACATCGCAGGCATTGGCTGTCGCAGAGCTGGACAGGTCGAGGAGACCATTCGAAGGTGAACTGGCAGCATCTACCTTGTGGCCTGAAATCGAGAAGATCTTCGGCCACGGATACGAGGTGGGTCCTCGACTACGATAGCCTTCTCCACTCGAGGAGTGTACTCAGCGAACAACAGTCTATCTCCCTGGCAGTTTCGAATTCGCGTGGGTTCATCGCGACAGCTTGCAAGGCCACATCCGCGGAGCACGCGACTGTTCGAATTTATGACACTCAAAACTACAGGCTATTCGGAGAACCACTAGCCGGACATGTCTTGACCGTGACTCGGATTGCGTTCAGCCCTGACGATAAACTCATTTTGACCGTGTCGAGAGATCGAACGTGGAGGCTGTTCGAACTCAAAGATGGTGCTGGTGGGATCCAATCATTTTCAGATTAATGCGATGAAATTCATGGCTCGTTATAGGGTTCGTACCGGTCGCTGCCGATAAAAGCCATGCTAGAATCATTTGGGACTGCGCTTGGGCCCCGGGGGGTAAAATATTCGCGACAGCGTCCCGCGACAAGACGGTATGTCCAGGTTACTGCTGCTTCTGTCACACTAATACTCTACCGCCAGGTAAAAATCTGGAAGAGGAAGAGTGCCAATGCCAACACAAGCTGGGAATGTATCGAGACAATCAAGACCATGGAAGCCGCTACTGCCGTTGCCTTTTCACCGTCTACCGAAAGGTATGTTCTCGCTGATTGTCTGGGCCCACCATGCTGACGACGGGCACCATAGACACCGTCTCGCAATTGGCCAGGAGAATGGTACAATCATCACCATCACCACAAACCCGGGAGCAGACGACGGCTGGAAGACAGAATTCACGGTCGATTCAAAACTCGCCCACGTCGGGCAAATCCATCAGCTTTCCTGGAGACCCACAAAAGACGGCGCCAACTCTACCCAACTAGCTAGCTGCAGCGAAGATGGTACATTGAGAATCGTACAATTTTAATACAGAAGGGCTGAATAGTTCCACTGGTACTAAACGTAACTGAAAAACACTTGTTAATACAGTTGAGTCGGACGAGACAAATTCAAGCATGAACAGAGAAGGGAAAGTTCAAAACTACAGCAAAAGGTGTTTAGCAGACTGAGAAGGACATAGTACTGAAACACGGTCGATAGATGTGGTACTACAACGCCTTATAGAGGGTATACGGCACAGATCTGACTGGCGAAAAGAAAGAAAAGTGACAACAAGAAAAAGGACATTATGATACAACAAGGGTGCGGCTTGTTTGCGGAATGATTAGAGAATTTCACGAAGGTTCATGGGTACTTCGGGCTGGACGGAATGGTCAGCAGAGCCATGGTAGATGAACAACGGGCAGAGCTTACGCATTTGATTCTGCGGGGAGAATACAGTCAGACATACTCGAGTAGACCACCAACACGAAGAACATACTTGTAATGACATTCTATGGATCGGAGCATCTCAACGTCCCCACCGGTGGCGGTTACAAAATTAACGACAACCCCGGCACGGGCGTGATTCGGGGATATGGCAGGCACCACGCTGATTCACAGTGTCAGATCTCGTAGGAGAACAGTCTCAGGGAAACTCACCGATGGGCGTACTCTTCAACTGCCTTGGGCAGATCTGTGTGGCACATGGTCAGGTCTCTACCTCATAGGATTATAGATGTAACCCACCATAATTGATCACCAGAGGAACATGGGGTACTTCAGGAATCTTCACTTGAACATCGTAAACAACAAGAATTTTAATGACAGGTCGGGAAACTATCATCGATGTTGCAAGTCTGAACTTGTTCAATGCAGCGAGCTTGGTCCCTGCATTCATTTCGCCATGCTGAAGAAATGAAGGTTTAATACCAAGCTCTTAATCGAGAACGACGTGACTCACCAGTGGGATTGCTTCGAATCCGCGACTTGCCAGTTTGTAAACGACAGAATCGAGTGACGCCATACCACCGACGTGTACAATCGCCTGGCTTATATCCATGTCTTCAAAGAGATCGCCTAGAGCGTCGAGTTTCCATTCACGGGCTTGAACAGTCTCCGCATTTGTAGCTCCTCTTCCAGATCCGATGATACCCAACCCTCCGCTACTGGTAGTGCCCGTGGTGTCCGAGCGGCCGCTTGCCGTGAAGGCAAGGTAAAGGTAGAACTGACGCAGTCCACGGGAACCTTGGGTAGGCTCGGTGCTGCTCACGTTACCATCTCTGCGTACAAGTACGCGGACCGGCTCTCGAAGATTGATCGCCGCGGCAAGATTCAAGACGTCCTGGGGAACAGTGTTTGAGAAAAGAGCAGTCTGTCTTTCGATCGGGCCGACTTCGGCAGGAGCTGGAGAAGGAACAAATGAGGGGCGACGACCGTTGAGTTGAGCTTCGAACGGGGAAGTAAAGCCCGGTTGAGTAAGCGTGCTGCCATTCGTGGGCGTTGCAGCGCCAGATGTGAGTCCGGGAGGGCGGGAACGCGGGGAAGGTAAGAGCTTGACGATGTTGAACACAAATTCATGGAGATTGCGGGCGATCAATTGGTCGACTTCATCCAGGACAAGGAATCGGACATCAGAACCCTGCAAACCACCAGGCGTGGTGAAAAGAGCGTGGAGTTTTTGAGGGGTACCGCAGATAATATGAGGCATGTTTTGCTGAAGAAGTCGGCATTCCTGGGTAAGGTCTGTGGTAGCGTTAGTTGTTCCAACCCCGAGAGCTGATCTAACGCCAATGGGGCCGCCGATATCGCGAATCATACGTTGAGCCTGAGTGGCCTGGTCAACCGTCGTAGAAACCATGATGACAAAGGGGCCGCGATTCTGAACATGGAGATGGGTAACAGCAACCTGAATGGCAGGGATAACGTAGGCTGCGATACGCTCTTGGGTAGGCGGTGCTTGTGCAATGATATCAGAACCTCGGAGTAGGAATGGCAGCGCGCGCTGCTGGATCTTGTTGGGAGGCCCGATCCTATTGCCATCAGATTTGCGCCTCTGGCGATGCAGGAGAGAGACTTACCCGTATTTTGTCAAAGAGCGCAGAAGGTCTGGTGCCAATGGTAGTTGTTCCCATTTGGTGACGCCAGGCCCGTCGCGCTCCCCATCAAGGACCTGAAGAGTGGTTCAGAACTGTTTCAGAAACGCAGAATATTTTACACGAACCCCGGAGGAATCTCGACGAAGGCCAACGACAGAGCGTCGCTTGCCACCCAATTCAGGTCTAGCAACACTGGGTTCCGAGTTTCGAATCGGCAGGTCCAATGTCCCGGCCGACCAAGTTCTCATCGGCGGATTCGGCTGTCGCGGCGAAGGGCGCAAGTCGGGGCGATTGTTCGGTAAACCATGTCCAAGGAACGTAGAGCCGGAGGCTGATTGGGAAAGAACCTGGTGGGGAGGAATTTCCGCAGGCATGTTCAAACCCGGAGTTGAGTTCCTGGAATTTCGACCGGACTCAAAGCCCTTGTACGGCACTGAACCGGTTTGCAATGCGAGAAGGTGGCTAACTGAGGTCGTCAACGCATTCAGCTGGTTGGTAATCTGCGTCATCTCATCGACTGGTGGCAATTGATTGGGAGCAATGGCCCCGATGGACGGGCGATGGGCCAAAGGTGCTTGCGGTACCAACGAGGCTCGACCATTCGTAACGGGCGGAATGGGATTCGTGGAGAATGGATCTTGGAACTCGGGTTGAGGTTGTACGGCAGCTCCGGCTAGTGCACGCTCGACAAGCAAATTGACCTTGCGGTGGACTGTGCTGAGATCTGATTGAATTTGACGAGTCGATGCTTCACAGCGAACCAGGCGTTCCAGCAGATCAGTGAGAAAGGGCGACGCTTTTAACTGCGCCTCCAAGGATTGTCCGTCGAAATTGGACAGGATTTGACTGGCAGAATCGAGCGAAGACACAGGTGACGTTGATTTGAACGACCCGGTACCCCAGATTGATGGCCCGCTTGCAATGGTTACTGGAGGCGATTGGTTGTGGGGTTCTTGTGACGGTGAGCTGAACGACGCTTGTGACTGTAGACCGCCTGGTTTTGCCTCTGGCGCTGAGAAACTGGAAACGTCTTCGTCCTCTGGAAGTGTGCCCATGACGCCGAACATACTGCCGTCTCGAACGTTTCTGGCCTCGACAACGGGGTATGGTTTGCTAGCGTCGACCTGGCGGAATGTGGGAGAGAGTTGGGTAGGCTGACCTACGGGGATTGGTTCGTTTGGGGTCTCGTGGCTTTGCTGAGAAGGGCTAGGAGATGACCTGGCCGAGCGATAGTCATCCAGTGACGACGCGGAGACTGATGACACGGTCTGCCTGTCCAGTCCATGTTGTCCGTGATATCCCAAGTCACTTGTGTCGTCCCCGTCTCCTTGCTTCGATCCCGGGAAGAAGGGCATTGAAGCTGGGTTCAGGCTGCCACTTTTCGACATCGCAGGACCGAACAACCTGTGGCAAAGCTACCGCAAGAATCAAAGGCTAGTAGCGCAAACAAATTTACTCAGTAATTGCCCCTTTGTATTCCGAGGATGTGTCGTCTAACCTTAGTGTATGCCAGACAGCTGTGAGTCTATGCTGATTCCATAAGTCGACGATGAACAGAGTTTGGACTGTGGTTGATGTTCGGTTGCGCTGCCAGGTCTGGAGAACGTCGATGGGCAGCGTTACGTGATTGATTACCATTTACAAACTCCCCCTGATAACACATTTGCAACCCGGTACTTAGAAGAAGAAAGAGAAAAAAAAAGAATTCACGGTAATGATGTACACTAGTATTAGTATGTAGTAGTCGTCTAGATAGTCCTTTAACCTCCCCCCTCAAATGACTGTAGGTGCGAACGAGAAACCTAGGAATCTCAGTCTATCCGGCCCAGATTTACCATGGCCGACCAGCAGCTCCGTCGGCTCCTGGGGCAGCCGCTGTTGTACAGTCACCCTGAGTGAGCACAGTGAGAACAGGACCATGCGACTTTGAGGAATCAATACCTCTGAGAATCTGGTGTGTGACCAGTAACTAGGGGATTCCCTTCCTCCCCATGACGGGCTGTGATACAATAGGTGATCAGAATTGTGCAAGTTCCAGAGAAGCACTGGAATTGTACCGACACTTGACAATGTCCTGGACCTCTGGAAGGTCGCCAGCAGACAAAGAAACCACAAGTGGTATTCCGTCTAGTACAAAGCCGTTTCTTTGTAAAGCTTTTCGGGCAGCATTGGTATCGTTGAATTCGATTGAAGCATACTGACGGTCTCTGCGGCCTTTGGCTTCACCGGGGATCGAGGTTCCGATGCTAACAGCTTGACCTCCGCTACACCGTATTTGGATTCTGAAGATGGGGCCGTATTCGATAAAGTATGCCTCGAGACGCGTCTCCGTGATGCCTGCCTGGAGCTAACGATTACAGCATGGGGACTATTAGTGAAAGATTAACGAGAAACTGAGGGCCGTACTTACATTACCAACGTAACAGAAAGAGTGCCCAGCGGCCCGTTTCTTCTTCTTTTGTAGGCGCTTTGCCGCAAGGCTAGCCGACTTGAGTTTTGCTTCCCGTCGGGGCTGGGACGCGCGCTTGGGAGCGGCTTTCGCCTTCACCTTGCCTTTAACTGGCTTTGGTGGTGGGGAAACCGGTGCATTGACGTTGACGTTGGCGTTGGCCTTCTGTTAATGACGACGCGTTGAGAATATATATCTTTTGGGAGATGCATGTAGCCTACTTACCTGCTGCTTGGTCATGGAACGGGTCTGGCGCCTAGGAGGCTCAACAGTAGACTCGGACTTTGGGACAGCGTAGCGCATGTTGTGATGTTTCGCGTGAACTGTGAGCGTACGAGAAATGGGTGATAGTGCACGTTTCAAGTTCAACGTCGGGAATTTATGACATTGGAAATTCAAAGTGGCAGAAGTGGTCCAGGTGTCGCTCTCGCTGAGGATCGTTCGGCCACTGTACGTGGAATTCGCGGAGTAAATAGTGAAGTGATTAGAGGACAATAGTCCATCAATTCCTTCCTTTGTCTGGGTTATCTGCGCGACGCCCGACAATTCCAAAAAATGGTGGAAATTCAAAGATAGGGGTCTCGCGCATGCCGAGGAGGGGGACTCTGGAATTTGTGCTTTCATTCACGTTCAGTTCTCGATTACTGTTAATTTAACCGTCAAGGGAACTATGTGGGTATTATTTTGGGGCAAAAGTTTAACGCCCTCTTCATCACCTCGTGGCGCTTGATTTCCAGCGCGCTTGTGGGTGTCACGGGGCGGGATGGAAAAGGCTCATTGCCGTCAGTGCCGCCATCAACCGCCCTCGCTTCTGCCGAAACCACGGTCATGTGCCGTATTCCGCGACTCGTGACCGTATTCCGACTCTGTGCCTTCACCAGTCTAGTTAGCGCTCGACCACGAGGATGGTTTCCCAATATGCTGTTGCATACAGAGGAATTTTGAGAGAGCTCAGGAAATCGGTAAGGGATTGGAAGTATATCTATGCAACGAAACTCAACTGTTGGCTCCTCTTCAGCTGAACCCGAGCCGCAAAGTCAACCCCGTCATCAGAAACCAATTCCGCGAAGCCGTGGAAGGGTACCGCAAAGCAAACAACAAGGATGGCCTCACCGACCTCAGTCATACTGTGCTCTTCCTAACGTCACAGAGAGAACACAAGGTGCGCTCGTAGGTTGCCACTTGCATGGAAACACATCTGACGCTTCCTGACCATTGTAGCGGCTCTTGGAACGGTACAACCCTCTGATCGACTTTACAGAGCAAGAACGCATCAAGGCGACTGCCAGAAGAGTTGGTCTCGATATCCCTGAAGTTCCCAAAGCATCCAAAGGAGAAGAACCCCAGTAAACGACGTTTCCGAAATCGCCAGTCGTGTGGCCGGGGACTTGCTCCTGCCTAGTTCTCAAGCAGTACATTGCCGCTCTTGATGCAACCCCACAGCTAAGCTATCTGCCAGTGTCAGTACTAGAACCCTAGAGCTAGTTTTCGTCTAATTGCACCAAAATTGTAGAAACGACGGGCTTACATATAAACAACGCATAACAACGCTATGTCATCGGGTTTTTCACAACTTGTCCCGAGTCATGTTCCTCATCCGCGCCCTTCGAAGAGCTTATTCCCTTGTAGCTTCGAGCTACATGCATCCACCCTATATTACAAAAGTGGCAAAATGCGACCCCTCGACCGTCTCATTTTCGATCGCCGGTGATCCAAAATTTACCTCTGATGAAACTTTTAGCCTCCTCAAACAAGCAGCCCACCACCTATGTGACCTCCATGAAACTGTTGTATTCCCAACGGAAACCGTGTACGGACTAGGAGCCGTCGCCACAAATGGAGACGCAGCATCGAAAATCTTCTCTACTAAAGGCCGGCCACCCGACAACCCTCTCATCGTCCATGTATCGTCCGTCACCATGCTCGAATCCCTTCTTCCACCAGGATATCTTTATCCAAAGGCTTATCAAGTCCTCATGAGGCACTTTTGGCCAGGTGCCTTGACCCTGTTGTTCCCTCGCAACGCCGAAACTATCCCCAGCATCATCTCCGCCGGACAACAAACGGTCGCCATCCGTATGCCTTCCCATCCCGTCGCACGAGCACTCATAGCTGTAGCGGGAAAACCTCTCGCCGCTCCAAGTGCCAACACCTCCGGAAAACCAAGCCCGACAAAAGCAGAGCATGTTGCGAAAGACCTGGATGGCAAGGTTCCGCTTATCATCGACGGTGGTTCCTGTGGTGTGGGCCTAGAAAGCACTGTCGTTGACGGACTGCACGAAGACGGTCGGATACGCATACTTCGGCCAGGCGGGATAACTGTCGAACAAATCGAGAACGCGTTGAAGCAAGAGTTCCCTGAAGGTGCGGCACCGAGTGTACTGGTCCATAAGCGTGACTACCAAGACGAAGAAATGGAGACCGCCCCGACCACTCCTGGAATGAAGTATCGCCACTACTCACCTTCAGTTCCCGTTACGCTGTTATGCACCATCTCTAAACCACCACCCGGATCGACCTCCATCTCAATATCGACATTCTTGAAATGCCTTGCACCCAACTCTCGTGTGGGTATTCTAGCCCCATCGGATGCCAAAATCTGGGACGTTGTACAGACGATAGAGGGACCCCACTGGCATCGTTTTCCGCTGGGCCCAAGCAAAGACCCTGCTTTGACAGCTCAGCGTCTATTCGACGGTTTGCTCACCTTAGAGGGCGAAAAGGTAGACTTGATCCTGATTGAAGAAGTTGCCGAGGAGCACGAAGGGCTGGCGGTGATGAATAGGGTGCGGAAAGCTGCTGGGACGACGGAATGGATATCCTCTGATTAAACCGCGACGTAAGTCCAATCAGTCTAAGGATTTCGACGAGCCCTAAGCCCAGTCCCCCCTCAATTATAGTCAGCGTGGAGCAAAATAGACTAGATGCGCTGCATCCGCCGCTTCTATATGTCCCGACAAATAGATATAGACGCTGCCTCTTTGGATGAGCCCCTTTGAATCAACTCGTGTCTTGCCTCGTGTGTGGTGGCTGAACATGTGCGCGACACGAGGCACTTGACCCCTTCCAGATTGACGCTTTGACTTCACCAAGAGAATGCATATAACGATGGATGGCTCACGCGTCTGGGCGAAGGTATACGGATGCATATACATGGCAAGAGGCGCCTCCGCCCAACGAGCGCCAATCCAGCCAAATCGAACGCTGAGAGTGCCCTTTCTTCCCTTCGCGCCCCTTTTTTTGGTGACGATACATTCTATCAAGGGATCCCCGGAATCCAAGCCTCTGAAGCAAAAGGAATGAGGAACGTGTTCGCGCAAAATGCCGACGGTTCTTTCCTTGCTATGTCTCGATCACATGAGAGTTGCGCGAACTTGGAGCCGTAACGCGCCCAATACCCTTTCACTAATTGCTTGGAGGTCCGATTTCTTTCAGTGTCGATCGCATTGCTCAATGGGGGTCGACTTCAGGTTTTCTCGTATATAAAGATGTTTATGTTCCATTCTCTCCTCGACTAGGTCCCTCCGAAAGCGCTTTGCTGCTCTGCGCAGTGAGTCGGTTTCTCGCCTCCTTGTCCGAAACCTTTTCTCTAACTTAACCTGTCGGTTCTCCCTAGATTTTCACACAAAGACACAGTGCCTATTTCGCCATGTCTTGCAATCTGTCGGCTTCCCATTCTGCTCGCTCATACCGGCATAGGGAAGACAACGAGTCGATATCCCCTTTGGGCCAGCCGTCTTCCTTCGCTTCTAACGAGTACAGGGAGGTCCCTCTCTCAAAGTCTTTACGCCGCGTCGACTCTGGGCAGCCGTATTCGACCTCCATTGTTCCACTTTCCCCTGCTTCCCTAAAGGCCGCCTCTCCCTCGCCAAAGGCGCCGGACAGTCCCACTACTCCCACGGCTGCAACATCCGATTCAACGCCCTGCACTAAACCACTGCCATCCGCATCCACATCGGCCTCACGGCCTCATGTACCGCGTCCTCCCAATGCCTTCATGATCTACCGCTCTGAGCTCGTCAAGACTCGAGCTGTCCCCCCAGAGATAGAGCATCGACAGCAAAACCTTAGTCGCCTTGCAGGACAATGTTGGAACCTCCTTCCTCAGCATGAAAAGGATAAATACCACCAAAAGGCGAAGGAAGCACTTCTAGAACACCAGCGCCTTAATCCTGACTACAAGTTCACCCCTGCACCTCGCGGTTCTCGCAAAGCAAAGACGAAAGCGCAGCAAGCTGCCGCCTCCTCGAATGTCAACAGCAGCGAACGTATCCGCGCCATCCGCGAGCAGTATGTCAAGGTTCTGGGTCCCTCGTTGGTTGCGAGCCGCAAGCGAAAGCGGAAGTCGCGAGGAGGTAGCGCTGACGATGCCGATACTTTGAGGCACCAAGATCTTCCTCTCTTGGGGGATCAGACGCCCCTTGTCCGCTACCACGGGCGTTCTAGTCCTCAACCTGCGCACACGGCTAGGTCTATTTCAGGCGACTACTCGTCACTCGTCCACCCCTCCTTTTCTCGAGCGTCCCTCCCCCGTCGCCCATCGACTTCTCTCGGCTTCTCGACCGGCTCTTCTGTGCAACCGACGTTCAACCACAGCATCTTCTTCGAGTCTCCCCGCCATTCACCCTGCGACAGCTCCGACTTCAGCTTGTGTCTTCAAGGTGTCTCGGAGGTGGCTCCTAATCAATCCGGGAACTCGGATATCGAGCAGCTCAACTTTTTCCAAATGCCTTCCATAAGCGTTAACGCCGGCTTTTCCTTCCCTCCTGCTCCTGCTCCCGACTTCAACTCCCTTACTTCTCACCACGAGTGCGATGAAATCTCTCCTTTCACACAGCCGGTTCTTCAGATGCCTTTGCAGCACCAGTCACAGCCGACAGCCCCGCAGGAACGCATGTATCGCTCCGACATGGTGAGGATGGATGGCAGATCAGATGGCCGTGTGGAGAGTGTAACACTCCCTAACCCTGGCGACAATGGGACGTATGAAGACTGGAAGATCCTCCACAACCCTTCCGACGAGTTGAACTACACTGCGTTACACCTCAACCTTCCTCATTGTGGCACAATCTCGGAGCCATCTAGATGATATACGGGTCCTTTCTCGCTTTCGTCCCTTCCCTTACCAAGCGACGAACATGGAAACTTTGACTTAACCTATGCAACTCTGTGTATTCTGGTCCCCTTGCTACTATGTGGCTCCACCATGCTGTCATTTCCCATTGTCCTGCCGCCTGTCCTTGTATGTTTTGACCTGTCTACATGTAACACCATCCGCACATCTATCGTACTTGCTCTCGACTTGCTTCCGCCATCCACTTCGTTCTCCCTTTCCATTGCTATTGATCATTGCATTTATACCAGCCTCATCCCTAGACACATTCGAACTGCATTACATTGCCATCGCTATCTATCTACCTGTTTGTTGTCCTGATATTTGTATGTTGTATTTATGTTGTATATATGTTGGATCGGGTATTCAATGGAATGACATTTGAGTCGATGCATAATTCTACTCCCCAGACTTGTCCTTCCTGTCGTGCTTACAGCTTGACGGTGATGACGACGTCGTGGACAATGCTGTAAACCAAGCCTTCGATAGCAGCATTCAAGTTAGAGAGTAACTCACGCGCCGCAGCGGCTGCGGGAGCTTCAGGGAGAAGCGAGGCAGGGAGGTAGTAAACAATGTCTGTCTTACGGTCTGCCCTTTCGACCAGAAGAATACGAAAGGGTACAACGCTGGCTGCCATTATGTCCTTCGTGAAGATCGTTTGGGCCACGAGTGGGTTTCCAATGGTGTAGAGCAGAGCTCCAGGCGCAGTCTCCGTTCCTGGAAGCAATTTGACCCACTTCGTATGGTCAAGTTTCTGGAATACGCTGGTGGCTGGAACTCAGCATCTCGGGTTCAAGGTATCTCGGAGGGGATATATCACATACAAGAACTCCTTCCCGTCCAGTATCTTGTTAACGAGATCACGAACATCGTCTGCGCTGCGGGCGGTTCGTAGGCCGCCCAAATCTTTATCGTTCGGAAACCCAACCCTTGCCTCGAGACGCTGGGCAGCCTCTGGAAGCCGAAGGCTAGTATGAAAGGTAACGAGCTGGGTGGAGAGGGACTGAATGGACCTCGTTGGTGTCATTGTGGATTCAGTGATTTTTGACGAGAAGCGGCAAGTTCTCTGGGAGTGCCCTAAAAGAGTTCCTATCGCGGATGAGTCATACTGATAGGACTTCTAGTGTGTCCCAGAGCTGTTCTATCATCCAACCACGTTTTACCCTTAGTGCGCTTGAGCCGCCACCGTGAGTGGATATCCAAAGATCTTGACTCGAAGCTCACCGTAGAGCGTATCGTCCTACTTCTTCGTATCAATGTCCAAGTCACTGTCGAGACCTCCTCTCTTAACGAGCTAAGACAGCTGGCTAAAAGCTGAGGACCAACGTTGGATCGCACGACAGACGAAATCAGGGCGTACACCGTATGTGTTCAATGAATCTGTGTCTCTGAACGTGAATTGCCATCGACCTAATACCTGTCTGAAAGTGCTCCTTGGTGGAGTCAAAGCTTAAAGAGTTATTGTGACCATGTGTACGTAGGATTCGCAAGCAGCCATTAATCCATTTCCCACTCGAAAGGTTGAAGGCACGGGCGGCTAACATCAAAAGCCAAGAGATCGACTTCTCATCTCTGGCGATTAGGTCAGCAACGGAGACTAGCGGGAACGCTAACAGGGCCCGCTCCGCCTCAAGTTTTCACGACGTTCCTTCGAACGCCTATAGTTCTCATCAGCCCAAACACCGTCCGTTATGGCCACCAGGACGAAGAAGCGACATTTAACAACTGACGACCTGTTGCGACTCCAAGAAGAGCCGTCCCTAAAAAGAATCAAAACAACGTCTTTCACAACCACTCGACAAACCGATCAATATTCAGACCTGGAAGCAACTTCATCAGACGACGACGCAGAGACGGGTAACAGCAAGAAGGGAGAAAAGGCATTGCAGCGAGATGAAGAGTCTGACGATGAAGAAGCTGAAACTTCAGATTCAGACGAAGAAGATTCGCCGTCTTCGTCAGAAAACGGCGAATCAATACCTGTTGTAGATCGCTTTGGGTCTGCTGGGAAACTATCGAGGAGCGGGGCTCAGAGCTCGGAGGAAGTCAAGAGACTCTCTGCAGTCACCTCGTTTTCTTCTCTCGGTGTATCAAACGTGCTTCAGACGGCGCTTTCATCCATGTCAATTACTTCACCCACCGAAGTGCAAGCAGCTTGCATTCCTCCAATACTAGCTGGTAGGTGTGTACCAATTGACTTCCCATTTCGCGCTGAACCTCATCATCGTGTCAGGCCGAGACTGTATAGGCAATGCGAAGACTGGCTCGGGAAAAACAATTGCATTCGCACTCCCTATATTGCAAAAGCTTCTCGTTGATCCCTACGGAATCTTTGCTCTGGTTTTGACACCGACCAGGTTCGTAGCGCGAGGTCCATGACCATGGAAGTGCCCTAATACGTCTATATTACAGAGAACTCGCATTTCAAATTGCCGAACAATTCGCTGTTTTGGGAGGGTCTGTCAACGTTCGAACATCTGTGATAGTTGGCGGAATGGACATGGTGTCGCAAGCACTTGAACTTGACCAGCGGCCACATATCATTATCGCCACACCGGGTCGGATTGTCGACCATTTGAAGAGCACAAAGGGGAATTGGGATTTGTCGAGAATTAAATTCTTGGTTCGTGATACCAGTTTGCATCAGTCACAAGCATTTTAACTCTTTGCAGGTGCTAGATGAGGCTGATCGGCTCCTCACCGAAACTTTCACCCCCGAATTGTCTTACCTCTTCAACGTCCTTCCAAAAAACCGCCAAACCTGTCTTTTTACTGCAACCATGACACTATCCATCGAAAACTTGGCCGATGCTCCCCCTCGGCCGGGTAAATCCAAGCCATTTGTCCACAGAGTAAAAGAAGCGTGAGTGACACGTTTGACCACCGGCTCCGCATGTTCTAACCTAGTGACCCAAGTATCGAGACAGTGTCCACCTTGAAGCAACACTACATTCTCGTTCCCTCGCATGTGCGAGAAGTCTATCTGTTCCGAATACTCTGTCACCCACCAGAATCCACGATCCACCTTCGCCGCGCCCCGCCAGAACCTGCAAAGAATCTACAAAAGCCAAAAGTGGGCAAGGCGAAGAAGTCTAAATCACGGACAGCCGAGGAAGAAATAGAGCAACCGCCGCCAACAATCATCTTTTGCGGCAGAGCCAGTACAGCAGCTTACCTCACGGCCCTGTTAAAGGCACTCGGTATTCGCAGTACCGCTCTCCATTCACGACTAACGCAACGGGAGCGGCTATCCTCACTCTCGCTCTTCCGAGCCTCCGTGGTACCTGTGTTGGTGTCAACGGATGTGGCAGCTCGAGGTTTGGACATTGAGGATGTCGCGATGGTAGTGAATTGGGATTTGCCTGCAGAACCAGAGGAGTACACCCATCGAGTGGGAAGAACTGCCCGTGCGGGGAAAGGTGGAGTGGCCATCAGTTTTGTGACGGAAAGGGACGAAGAACGAGTGTTGCGGATTGAGCAGAGAATCAGTAAGGAGGCGAAGAACAACCTTTTAGGACATGATGCTGACACAATATGTTAGAAACCAGATTGGAGGAGATGGATCTACCGGAAGAGAAGGTTTTGGAGAAACTGAACACTGTCTCCACTGCAAAGAGATTGGCGAAGATGGTGCGTGACCAAGTATGGATTCTTAAAAGCCAGCTGACCTGTTTTTTTTGCCAGGAACTTCACGATTCCGACTTTGGAAAGAGGGAAGAGATCTATAAAATCAAGAATGCCAAGCGAGGGCGGAAGGAAACAGACGCTGGGTCCACGGAGAGTCTAGATGCCGCAGAGCAAATCCCAACCCGATAGACGTTCAATGAGATCATGATCGACTTAAGATGCCGGCGGTAGGGGCGCCATCTAATGTTTGAACGGATATGTGGCTATGAGTGCATGATTTAGAGGTGACCGCTAGTCCTGCACTGCGGGGGGAGAGTTAAGCGACTGTTAAAGTTGCAGTTGGAGGTGTTTCCTTTTTGGTACATTGACCGTATCAATAAATAAAACGGGGTTTGGACCCCGAATAAGGGAAGGGATAGAATATTCCCGATAAGATTAGAAATTCAGTCGTGATAGAAACTGGTTATATACAGCTGGACTGACAGGCTTTGTTGTTTGACCCTAGCTCGGAATTTCAGACGCACCTCGGCTTTGATCTGCGCTTCGACCAAATGTCTCAGTGTCCCGCTGCACCCCAGCCCGTAGTCCCAATGCAGGACTCGGATTGGAACTCTGTTCTGCAGTTCGTCCAGGATCCCCTCGACATGGACTTTGGTGACCCTAAGCAGGTCGGTCGCGCCCAGGAGAACAGTCCAATCGTCCAAGTTCCAACCCCGCCAGTGAGTCCACCCCTTTTGCTCGTCATCGTCCTTGTCTTGCTCAACAGCTTCAGCACTCTGCAGATGGCTCGCCCGTCGTCGACGACTCTGAAGACAACACCTTGGTCTCGGTTTCGACAACGTTTTACCCAGGAGCCCAGCTCAACCCCGCACAACCGGACGTGATCCTCCTTTCGTCAGATGGGGTCTTTTTCTACTGCCACTCTCATGTCCTCGTCGCATGCTCGACGAACGGCTTTGCAGGCCATCTGCCACGACCGTCGCCACCGATAGCATCGAGCAAGGACGTCGACCCATTTGTGTCACTGAGCGACCACTCCACCATCATCAACATCATCCTTCACGCCGTTTATGATATGTCATGCGCGCACTATTCCCCGCCTTTCCCAACCCTCGTTGCAGCGGTGAACAGGCTTCCTTTCTTTGGAATCTCCCCAAAACTACGTATCGCCCCTTCGACGCCCCTATTCAACATTCTCCTCGCATACGCCCCGCTCTTCCCACTCGACCTCTACGCGCTGGCCGCCTCTTACGACCTTTACGACCTCGCTGTCTCAACTTCATCCCATCTTCTGTCATTCCCCCTTTTCTCACTCACAGACGAAATGGCGGAGAAAATAGGCCCCGTCTACTTGAAGCGACTTTTCTTCCTTCATTTTGGCCGATCTGATGCTCTTAAACGTGTTCTACTTCCCCCTCCACATCCACATCCTCCGACACCGTGGTGTGATCTTACCGAGCAGAAGAAGTTGACAAGGGCGTGGGCTTTAGCATCAGCTTACTTGGCCTGGGATGCACGGCCAGGTCAGTCCAGTCCTCCATCACAAAGTCCAGATACTAATTTCTGGACGCACAGATTTGTCCACTAGTACAATGGAGTCGGCGCTTCGGCCTCTTGCCGAGCACCTTACTTGTGAGCAGTGCCAAACTGTACTACGGGAGCGTATCAAAAATCTTGTGGTACAATGGTCCGTAGTCAAAGTAGGTATCTCACTCCTCTCCGTTCGCCCCGTGATGGTTTATTTTCCTGCACACTCCACAGAGGACCATTTGACAAACGGACCCTTCTTTCCATATTGCGACCTTCTCCTCAAAACCACCGACGATGGACAGCCCATATCATTTTCCCTCCTTCCGCATGAACGTTAGCATACTCCATCGCCGCTTTCTTCTCGAAATCACCCCAATTCCGGTCCTCTCCCCCATCGAAGACAGGCCCATGAAACACGGGTCCAGTTTGAGATACCCAAAACATGTAACATTATTATCCCAGTGGTTTCGTGTTCCGTTTGGTCTTCTTGTCTGCACAGTTCTCATACATCAGGTTGTTTTATTCAAGTTAGTAGCATGGACATTCAGTCGCATAAACACACGCAATGGCGCATGTAGCATTACTTGTAATTATTGTAGGCCTCTTTATACACGCTCAGAGACCATGTAATTGTATAGTATCCTACCCAGTTGGAACCCCTTTGGCCGGTATTTTGTCCGGCGTTCTTTTTGGGCGTTCGTTTATTCCCTTGCGCGACTCTCGGTATGACGTCAGAAACTACGTCGGCCAAGTTTGCGCCCCAACACATGTTAAGTTGTGTATCGAGATCTTCGCATCCTGACATGTCAGTCCCAAGGCACCTGAAAGGTGACGACTCCGTTGCTCCATGGGTGGTTCAAAAAGTATACATACAATCACAAGTAGCGAGAAGCGACGAGGTGCAAGAGTTAGGTGCTATTATACAACGGCGAACCAGCGAAAGGCTCCCCGATCAACCGAAAAGACAATCTAACGACCCTTGTCCTCTGCCAAGATGGCGTCATTCAGCTCTTCCAAGGGTGCCAATTCTTTCTTGTCAACGAGATCAAACTAGGTAGCGGAATCGATTAGTGGACTTTGGTAACAATGTGAAGGAAGTCGCAACTCACTTCATGTACGAACAAGAAAAAGTGCCGGTAGCTTGTGTTCAGGTGAGCTGTAATGACCGACCAGGATCAGATTACTTGAGTAATGGTGAACAATGTGAGACAGACCCTCGATTCCAAGTGCACATATTTGGTCGAAATGATTGCTATAGATGTGAGCGTACACTCGGAACAAACGGCGGACGATAGTTCTAACGGTATCTCGGAAGTTCCTTGGGAAGGGAACACCTGTTTGAAGGAAGCCAGCCAAATGAAATGAGTGGACGCGTCAGGTAGCGGTGGGGGTGGAGCGTACCGATCTTATTGGGGAAGACGTTTTCATCATCCAGCAGGTTCTGCGCCCAGTTCATGAGCGCGTCCACGTATTCAGGGGCTGGGAGCTTGGTCGGACGTTTGAATCTGACGCCATCCTCCCATAGGTATTCATATCTATGGTCTGTCAGTTCCATTTCAGGGTTTATTCATCTCGGATTCCCAACCTTGGTCCAGCTGACATCACGGGGCACTGGGGAAAACATGGGAGGGAAGAGTGTAGGTTTCGGCTGCGAGTGAGGGTTTGACGGGAGACGTACTTCCTGAGGGGTGCAGAATTCTGTCACGGTTCCGTAAAGCATGTTGAGGTGATTGAAGAAGTCGACAGCTAGGGAAACGCCCGCGTAAGCACAGAATGTTTCCTGTTGTAGTACTTCGAGGAGAGACGCACTGTGAACTGCCAGCCATTCGTTCTGATCCTCGCCTTCAGGTAGTTGGACTGCTAATCGGAGGTTACCAGATCCCTGTTAACGTAGAACACGCAAAGTTCAAAGGCGCGTTACGGCCTATCAATCTAGTCAATCGCGAAAGGATGCTCCTACCAGTGTCGCCTCTGCATACTTCCTCAGCTGGTACTGCTTGGTTCCTTCTGGCACATCTTTCCGTGGTTTGAACGTCCGAGTCTTTCCTCTGAGCGAATCAATTATCGATATTGAAGTGTGCTTGTGGTGATACCGCTACTTACAGGCCAAAGAAGGACGACATGATGGGTTAAAAGGGGTTGATGAATGACTAGCTCTGGGGCTTCGAAGATGTCGTGTTGAGAACGGACGGAGATTGCCGAATCTAATCTTATCAGATACGCAGGCGTCTTTCACCAAAGAAAATCCTCTCCCTTGGTATCTTGCGGAAGTAGTCTCTTCTATTAGGAAACTTGGATACCATGTTTGGAGAAGTTATTGGAAAGGTCCATATGCTTCCATCGTGTTCCATAAGTTACCAAGACCAGCGACGACACATATGATACCACCACACCAGGCTGATTAATCACGAATTCATGGTATATATAAAGCAGTCCCGTCGCCACCAATTACAAAGTTCGAACCAGTAGCGTCTCACAACCATGCCTTCCGTCCTCTTCGTGTTCACCTCTACCAACAAGACCTTGACTGGAGCCCAGACGGTGTGTTCCAAGGGATGATTAGTGTAGCGGGAACCTGGATCTGACTGTCATGAAAATAGGGATGGTACCTCCCCGAGGCAGCCCATCCTTATTACGTTCTAGCGCCGCACGTCCAGATCGACTTTGCTTCCCCGGCGGGCCCTAACCCACCCATCGACGAAGGAAGTGTCAAGGTGAGCCACTCGTGGAAGTGTCTCATTAACGAAAGGATTCTGATCCCCTTCAGGCCTTTGAAAAGGATGCAGAGAGCGTCAAGTTTTTGAATAATGAAACTGTGAAGCAGAAACTCGCGAGTGCACACAAGTTATCCGACATCAATGTTGCGAACTACGATGCCATCTTCTACGTGGGAGGCCATGGCCCAGTGATTGACCTCGCGTCTGACCCAGTCAATGGGAAACTTGTATCTGACGTCAGTGGGACCTCCTTTCCAAGCTCAAATAAGCATTATTGACTGGGCTTTTTTTTTTTTTTTCAGTTCTGGAACGCAGGAAAGATCGTGTCTGCTGTCTGCCACGGACCTGCGTAAGTCCAACCGCTTTTCCCGCATCGCACGATTTCGGTTCTAAAGACACTGCAGCGCGCTCGTTCAAGGGGCTGATAAGGATGGCAAGTCGATCTTCGCAGGGAGGTCCTTCACTGGATTCTCCAACGCCGAGGAAAAGGCTGTAGACAAGGTGAACGTACGTGAAACTGTCAGTTGTATTGGCCATATTCCGATCACTAACGCGACTCCAGGACGTCCCATTCTTGCTCGAGGATAAAATTACATCGCTGGGGGGCAAATACGAGAAAGCCGCTGAACCATGGGGTGTAAGTGCTGACGTCTATCGATATAGAAGCATGGCTGAATATCTGTGTAGCCCAAGGTGGTGGTTGATGGCCGTTTGATTACTGGACAAAACCCCGCATCTGCCTCTGGAGTTGGAGAGGCCATTCTGAAGGCCATCAAGGGCAACTGACGGATAGATAGAGCCTAGGGAAAGGGAGGAGAAAATAAGAAAGATGAATCTAGTCGAGCATCGAATTACACACCGAACATTTGCCAACCTCACATGTATGATACGCTCATAACCCAACCCTTCTTCAGAGTGAACCCGTCCAATGCTTCTTTTGCTGTCACAGCGCGCTCTGGTGATTCAAAGATTACTTGGGCCATCTTCACTCGGGTGCCGTCTGGATTAGGTTGCGGGGACCACACGACCTGAATGGAGAGGATGCCTTGATATCTAGGATACTGTCAATGGACGAGCATCAAGGTAAGTGGGTGGCACTCACTGTTGGAAAAGGACGGACAGAACATCGTTCGTAACCTCTTGCGGTAGATTGGTGCACAGCAAGGTAGCGGTTGGCTGTTGAACTTGCTGAGGAACCGAGGTTGCATTGGCAACTTGATAAGGATTGAAGGTCCAATCAATTCAATCGTGGAAATGTACAAAATGGACATACATGCATTCGTCTGCTGTGCATTCGACGGTGCTTCGTCGTCGTCTTCAATCTCCATCTCCTCATCAGAACTCTCGTCCGATTTCTCCCTTTTGGCCTGCCGCTCATCAGATTTATCCTCGTCGCGTGTCCGCTTTCCGTTCTGGATGAGTGAGCTTGCATTGGCAGCGTTGGGCGGTACAAAGTTGGGGTCTTCGCGGGAGAGCGTCGCGTATGATTTGGTTTTAGCATATGTGATGCGCTTTTGGCTGACGTTCAGAGTTTTAGGTGGCGCATAGAGTGGGAAGGGTGCTCACCATGGGCTTGTCATAGAAGAGCATGCCTTCGCAGGCTCGCATAGCTGTGGTTGCACCAGCTAGATCTGCAAAGACGAGAAAAGCCTGTCCCCTCATCTTAGGGCCCTTTGAGGCGACGATATCAATGATCCTGCCATACGTCGTGAAGAGTGCGTAGAGCTGTGTTTTAAGCTCTTCCTTTGTTATTTTTTCATTGAGGTTATTGATGTAGAGGGTAGGATTTGGCTGTGAGTTTGCCATTTGGGAGTTGTGGAGGGAGAAGAGGGAGGAATGAAATGTTTCTCACGATTCGCGGAGATGATGATTGAAGTATTAGAGCGAGGGTCAGTTGTCTTGTCTTGCTCTAACTTGTCGCGTCAGAATCAAAAGACGACCACGTAGCGTCGTGTTCTTACTTTCTATCACTCTCTGAACCCTCTTTGGGTTCAAATCACCTTCCTTCCCAGCTCGTACCATTTATTTATCTCTTCCACCGACGAACGTGGTTCCCCCAGCTTTACATTCAGCCAACGTCCCCGCTCTCGTCGCTCCTTGCTCCTCCACACATGTTCTCCTTTCTCACTCAATCCTTGTGGCCAGCCCTTGAGGTTTTCACCCGCCTGTCCTACCCAACAGACCCGCCAGCGAACCCAGATTCCTTCCCCAATGCCCCCTACTACAGCACTGGCCAACAGGATATCTTTTTCATCATAACATGTATAGCCGTCATGGCTATCCTGCGCGACGCGCTGCGTCTCGGTGTCTTCGAACCCTTTGCTCGCTGGAAGCTCATGCGCGATCTCAGGAAGAGGAACATCGCGTCCGTCCCAGGTTCACCCGTCAAGGAGAAGCCGTCCACCAACGGCCACCTCAATGGTAATGGACACGTCGCTAACGGCAATGGTCACGCTGCGAACGGGAACGGGAAAACACACCATGGAAATGGCCACGCAGCCAATGGGAACGGTCACATCATCGGAAGCGGTTACTCAAGCCCCGCCTCTCTCGCTGGCAAGCCTACGACGAAACAGCTCAAGCAGGTCAACCGAAGCGTCCTTCGATTTGCAGAGCAGGGTTGGTCTGTCGTATATTATACCTTCTCGTGGAGTTATGGCCTGGTGAGTTTTTGTCCATTCTAAATTTAACTCTGCCATAACGCTTTTCCCCGCAAATAGTATGTGCACTACCACCTGCCCACCAAGGTCCTCCAACCCTCTGCCGTATGGAAGAACTACCCCCACATCCCCCTGGCATTACCTGTCAAGTTCTACTACCTGGTCCAGACCGCCTTTTACCTCCATCAAATTCTCATCCTCAATGCAGAGGCCAGACGGAAGGATTTCTGGCAAATGATGGCCCACCATATTATCACCGTTGGTTTGCTGGTCCTCAGCTACTTCACCAACTTTACCCGCGTGGGCTGCATCATCCTCCTTTTGATGGATACGTGCGATATCTTCCTTCCAGTACGTCGGGTGTTTTCTCGCCGCAGTTTACGCGCTCATCGTTCCATGATCAGTTGGCAAAAATGATTAGGTACCTTGAGGTCAGCCAGCTGGCTACCGATGTCATCTTTGGCTGGTTCATGGTGTCTTGGTTTGTAACCCGACACTTCCTATTTATTCTCGTCATTTGGTCTGCGGCTTATGACGCGACGAAATACATTCCTTTCGTGGTCGACCCTTCGAGAGGTTTCTACCTCACCAGGACCGCATATCTGGCTTTTGTTGGAATGCTTATCGCTCTTCAGGTGAGCCTTGTTCATTTCCCCTCTTTACCGTTGACCCTGACCGTTATTCTCTAGATTCTGCAGTGTATCTGGTTCTGGATGATCTGCCGGGTTGCTTACCGAGTTGTTACTGGAAGTGGTGCAGAAGATACCCGAAGTGATGACGAAATTGAAGCCGAGTAAGTTTATCGACCCATTTTTCTTGAGGCGACCGACAGCTAAACGAAGCTCGACAAGGAACGAACTTGACACGCAAAAAGACGAATAATTGTCACGTAGATCATAGCGTATAGATGAAGCTTACTTAACTTAATCTCCAACGCACTACATGCGTTAATCCTGTCAAGAACGACAAAGAATATATTGGACTTTTGGGTTGCTTTGGACGTCATTGAGGAGGGATCTTATCTTTGCGGTTAGGGGCCGTGGCCCGTGGCGGTGTCGGATACCTTCCTTATCGGGACCAATCGGTGCGGCTTCGGTCAGACTGACTTGGCCCGCTCGATAGAGCTTTCCACGACCACCATCACTTTCTCCTTCTACGACCTCTCTGCCGTTTCACTATATATTCACCTTTCTTCTTCTCTCTGCACACGACGACCTGTCTAGAACTGTAGTCCCCATACAATTAACGAACCGGAACTGCAACCATCCTCATTAGCCCGCAGCATCCTCCATGATGGCCAGTTTCATGAGCTACTTTGGGGCCCGAAAGGATCCAAAGAAAGCTGCCCGGGAGGCAATCGTATCCCTGAGACAGCAGCTGCAAATGATTGAGAAGAAGGAGGAGTACCTGCAGAAGAAGATTGAAGAGGAAATGAAGAAGGCCAGGGCGAACGCTGTGTCGAACAAAGCAGGTGCGTCGTTTAGACCCCTCCTATACTTGATGCGACAAGCGTAACTGACACTCTGCCTATTCATCTCACTTTCTACTCGTCTAACTGGCTCATGTCCAAATGAAATTTGGTGGAAATGCGGATCCGAATCGCGAACAGTTGCAACTGCTGCGCTGAAGCGGAAGAAGATGCACGAGACCGAGCTGGACCGATTAGCAGGGACAAGGTTACAACTGGAAATGCAAGTAAATACCCTCGAGTCAGCAAATCTAAATGCGGAGACGATGGCGGCTATGAAGACCGCTGCAAGCGCTTTGAAGAGTATTCATGGAGATATGTGCGTTTGGCCCGTTTTCCCCAACTCTGTAGCGTTGCTGATTCCTTCTTTGCTTGATTTCATTCCGGGCTACCCTTTGACGCCGCCTGCTTTTGTGTTTGGAATGAAGGACGCTGGACAAGGTTGATGCGACAATGAATGCTGTACAGGAACAGGCAGAACTTGCGAGGGAGATTGGAGAAGCTATCTCAAACCCTGTAGGAAGTGCTATGGACCTCGACGAGGTGCGCTAGGGTTTATTCATGAATGCGTGCAAAGTTGACTCAGGCATTATGTTGACTATCCAGGACGAACTCAAGGCGGAGCTGGAGGAGCTGGAGGAGGAGGAGCTGAACATGCGGTTGAGCGAGGCGGATCATGTACCGGTACACCTACCACCATCAGCGCAAGTGAAAGACAGTTCGTATCTTTCTCGCCTTTATATTGTGACGACCGCTGAATTGCAAATCATCTAGAACAGCCAGCTTTGGAGGACGACGAGGAGGCGCAGCTCAGGGAATTGCAGGCTGCATTGGCTATGTAGTATTGCATATGTTATCAAGGGTTTCGCGCCGTCCGCCATTTACAAGGTGTTTCTCTGGAGGCCATGGTATATACTCGGGCCTCTCCTTTTTTTTTATTTCGCTCTGTGTTTTAGTATCATCAATTTACCCGACAGCTCAATGGACCTGTATAACATTTCCTGCGTTAATGGCCCTTCATCAGCGTATTATCTAGGTAGGAATGAACGTGGATATAGATTCTAATGGCAACAAGATGGGGACGACACCACTCGAAAGCATAACAAGTTGACCCGATCTGGGAGATTGCGATTGAGAGGATATCGAATGTGTGATTAAATTAAAATGCTGGATGTTAAGCAGAGTAAATCGACATGCGATACAACTGGAGGTAAAGCATATAGCCCTATTGATATTAGGTTGCAAAAATTGTCCTTGGTGTGGATGTGATGAGGTTGGTCATGAATCGGAGCGACGTGATGCAACACAGCGAAGGCCGAGTACCCGACGGACGTCGGATGTGAACCGTAGGGAATCTAACACTGGGAGCAAGTCCAGAAGTGCCTCGTCGGTGGGGTCGTTAGTCCAGCCTTCTATTGGAATGCCGTTCGCTAGACGTGAGGAAACGAGGTGAGCGTCTGATCACTATTGCACCCGTGGAACATGTCACCTTCGTTGACGCTATAACTTATCGGAGAGTTATCTATCAGACAAACTCTAGAAAGGTCCGCTTCGATTATTGACAGGTCTTTGGTATATGTGCCGTTGGGGAGCTGCGTGCAAGACTGGAGGTGATGGCGTCAGATAAAGATTGGCTGTGGATACAGAAGCTCAAGTCTTACGTCGCGGAAGAAACGGTTTGACAAAATTCCAGTTCCAGCATCTAACCAGTCAATAACGGGGTCTGCATACTCTTGCATAGATGCTGTAAATATAACGAGAGTGTACCAGCCAGATACCTGTAGGAATTGTTTCAATAAATATACTCCAGAACTCGAAAGAGCAGACGCACCGTTCGAAGAAAGAAATCGACAAAGGGGCGCTTGTAGACATGGTACAATGTGCTCTTTCCGTTCAGTACGACCTCTACCATGCGTCCTGCGGGCTTGTTTCCACGACCAATAAAACCCCACCCCCCTTGCGATGGCATAGGCCGCGAGGTCGAATGTATCAGAGTTTCATCGAGATCAAGGACAAGTGTCTTTGGGAGGAATGGCGATTTCTTCGTGGTTAGAACCGGAGTAGCCTGTCGCGAAGGTGTTCCAGAGACCGGTGTCGATGAAGACGATGATTCGCTTTGAAGCAGGTGCTCTGTGTCGGGTGATAGGTGGGACTGTGATACAGATGGAGACAGTGGCGGTTCTGGGGCAATTGAGAATGCCCGCCCTTTTCCCTTCTCGTCTGGTGGTGAAATCTCAATGGCGACGATAGCCTTGCGCCAGCTGAGAGCGCTGAAAGCGTCCAAATGTCCTAAGAATGACGTCCAGACGGCCTTGAGTTTGTGCCAGACAACGAGAAACACGCGCAGGAAGAATATTTGGTTGATGACCGACTCGAGGTCATGTTTCGAGCGGGACTGTGGCAAGGCGTCGACGTTGACATCGACCTGTGCTGCGGACGAGGATGTCGGTGGATGTTGTTGTCTTGATATTGAAGGAAAAGAGGGCGAAGAGTGTGAACGCTGTGGTCTGGATCTGGGAGCGAAGAGAAAAGACTTTGTGGACCAGGTATTGACTCTCTGGAGGTTGGCTGCGTCGTTCTGGGAGAAGCGGTCTGATGTTGGGGTCGACGGCGGGGCCCGTGGGGCAGCGAGGACGTCGAACTGGCGAGCAACATAAGCGAGACTGTTCATGGACTCTCAGCGCTGCTACACGCGGTGACGGGTAAGACTCAACCCTCTTCTTTATTTATTCAATTATGTAAACTCCACTTCCGTTTTGTACACTATTTGCCCCAATCCCCACAGTCATCACACTATGTACCGGAATCCCCGGCTCTTCCCTCCCTTCTCCTTTTCCACTTCCTCCAGTTTCTTATTTTGCCTCAGTAGCTCCTGTTTGAACAGCCAACACATAACTATCGCTGCCCCCGACGTCGCAATGCAGATTCCATACGACTTGCGGTACGTCGGCCCCCATGCCGACGGCCACACATACCTGTGAAATTCACCGCCTGATCAACTTCAATTCCCAACCATAACAGTCACACACGTACGACCCGGCAATGTTTCCTAGCTGCGAAAACGCGTTTATCAGTGCAAGTGCTACAGCACGTTTCGACGGCGGACGCGGGAACGAGTTGCTAATCCATGCGTACAGCACCACGAAACCGGCGTACGACTGGGCCATCAGGAATCTGCGATACAACCGTGCGTCCGTTCAGCACAACCCACATGCGAAAATACCTCGATGCAACTCACAAGGAGATGTATCGGGCTGCAGTGTTCATAGTAGACACTGCAATGATGAACCCGATTATCCCTACCCCAAAGGACCCCACAGCGTGATAAAACCGTTCTTGGACCCGATCCGAATGCCTATTGCCCTGTTCAGTTTCGACAGCATCTGCACATCTGACGCTATACTCGCCTTGCCAGTACGAAGGAGACCAGCGCAGAAAAGGCGAATGGAGGTGCACAGAGGAGTAGGGTCACGGTCCGATTGTACCCCAGCGTCGCAGTCAAAGTCGGGAAATACGCGTTGAACGACAATGCAACAACTTGCGATGTCAGGGCCACTGCAATCCACCAGACCCTCCAATCAGAGGCTGCGAGCCACAGTCCGTTACCTTGTCCCTCTGTCTGGTCTTCATCGCCGACCCCTGCGTCTTCCTCCATCCTCCGGATGGCCAACGCACGTTCTTGCGGCGATAACCATTTCGTCGTCGTTGGAAAATCTGGCAGGACAAAAACGGCAATTATTGCTACTGCAATTGTAACAGCGCCTTCGATATAGAAGAGCCACCTGAATCCCCACATCCACGTCCGAGGTTTGAGCTAAGGACACTAGCAGGTATATCTCCAACGTTGGAGTCACTTACCTCCATGCCGCATGCCCAAGCTTTCCCTCCATACCGCTCAGGATTCCCGATGCCATCAGGGTTCCGAATGCGTTGCTTATGATGTTGCCACAATATAGAATAGCTGTTCGGAGTCCAAGCTCGTCCCGCTTGTACCATTTGGACAGCAGGAACTACGCTTATTGATCAGGAAGGTAATTGGCCATGCTATCTCTCTCACCCACCAATGCACCAGGGAAGAAGGCCGCTTCAACGAATCCGAGGAAGAACCTTGTCAGGAGCGCACCCACGAAGCTACAAGATCGCCGTTAATCAAACGAGTGATTGGCTGCACCTCATGCTACACACTTGTGCGTTATTCCTGTACGATCGTCAGAGTTCGCATCCATTTTTAACTTTGCCTGTAACGTACCCGTCAAACAGGAGATGGCACCCCATAAAGCCATGCAAAAGGGCAGGTACAAGCTCGGCTTTCCGATCCAATTTAGGAACATGTTCCTAGTCGAGAGTTAGGGTGATGACACGGTGAATGGACAGGCGCCTTACGATGGAATCTGCATGATAATGTATCCTACATAGAGGATGGAGAGAAGAGTCGCGAACTGCTGGCCTGCCAGCTGTCAGGACGAGGGAGAGGGTAGCGACTTTTCAAAACTCACCTTGCAACCCAAGATCCTCTTCAAACCCCTGCAATCGGGCGGCTCTAAACTGCATGTCAAGCCTGCTTACTCCGAGACAGAGTGTCCACCCACGCTGCATTGTTTCTGTCAATCTAATAAAAGGCCATTGAGTGCACTCATTTGGTCCGATGACACTCGTATACCCACATAATTCAGAATGTAAATCAAGATCAAGATGCTCATTCGGAGGTCCAGTTTCAGCAGGAACCGTTTCTCGAGCTTCTTTCTTGCCTCAGTGCCTCCAAACTCTGCATCTTTGCCTTCCTCGATATTCTGGGAGATCGATGACGACTTTTCTCCCCCGCTCACGGAATCGTGAACGGAACCAGTGGGTTGAGTGCAGTGCGCCCCCTTCTCGGGATCGCTGGAGTTAATTGGACCAGAAGACATTATGACTGACCAGGGAGATGAATGACGGGGGAAGAAGAGCAGTATGAAAGCTTAGATAGTGGACCACGTATGTCTTTTAAATTCTCGGGTTAACCTGTAGAAGCTAGGTCGCACGATTAACGTCGCGAATTCGAATTCGAAGTCTTGCGGCATGTGTGATGAAAGAAGTGGAAGCACCTGTCCCAAGTTGTGGCCACCCTGGCAGCTGTGGTCATTCTGTTTGACAGGTAGCCTCTCTAGCATGTGGTCTACTGCCTCATGTCCTCCAACGCTCCAAGCTCCGCATTTACACACTTCTTTCGCGAGGAACGACTCGGAAAGGCGAGCGGTAATCTATTTTTAGCACATCTCCGTCATGCGATCAATAGCCAAGCCGATTCTCGGATCGCCCAAGTCACGTGATCTGAGTAAAACCATCAACGCGTCTGGCGCGTGTTGTTCTCTTGGCGTTAAACAAGGAAATAGGCTTGCCGTCGGGAACTTGAAACTCAACGGTCATACTTATCCGGTACTCGTAATTTTCGTCGTTTGGAACCTGATTACGGACTGGAAACACGACCCCAGAATAACTGGAAACCCCCCGAGTACAATCTTTGAACTTATTTCGACTACCAAGCTAGCAGCAATCGACTACCAAGACCCGAGACATGGATCGCCTTATACAACCGAGACGGGTTCCCGTAGAGGTTCAAGAGCAGATCAAGTCGGCCGTTCGTAACCTCCCAAAGCTAGGGAAACATGACGTGGAGGAAGATGAAATATGTGCAATCTGTTTGACACCATTTTCGGCTATCCTCGCGGAAGCAGATGCAGCGAATGGAGTTGAGGCACCACCAAGTCAACCCGTACCAGGAAGTTACATCGAGGACGAAGAGGGCGAGTGTTTGGAAGGGATCACGAAGGTAGATGTCTGCGGACATAGATTTTGTCGGCGAGAGTAAGTACTTCGACACGCTGAGCTTGCCTCCAATTGACCTTGCCCCGGTAGCTTGTCAGAGTGGATCAAGGGTTTTGTGCGTACCTCTTCAGCTGTCCTGAAAGGTCATGGCTGACTGACTCCCCTTGGTCCAGCATGGGAGCTGTCCTACGTGTCGACAGCCCTTCTTGGACATCCGTTTCCCCTCCGAGACAGACGACGAGTCGTCAGACGGTGGTGAATATGTCCCCACGGAGGACTTTGAAGATGAAGACGACACCTTCGAGTTCACCGACGGTTTCAGTGAAGTCGACACTCCTGATGTCGATATAGTTTTGGAGGATTATCTCCAACACCAGACAACTGGCGCCGATGATGACGCTGTCTCAATATCTAACCTCACGGAACAAGGAACAGAGTTAGGTTCGGATGCCTGGGTACCTGGACAAGACGAGGTTTCCGAAACTTCGCCCGAAGAAGACGATGACTTCCCGGGCTATGAGGGAGACTTGGGCTCGCAAGCGTCCGAACCCGACTTCACCGAGGTCGACCTTTATCCCCCGACGCTGTACACAATGCCGCTAGATAGCGATGACGAGCTGGATGGCGATTATGTCCCAATGGACGAAGACTCGGATTCCGATATTTCAGAACCGAGTTTCTACTTTACCGACCGGGAATCTGAAGGCATGTCTTCAGAGCCAGATGACCTAAGTATTGAGGAGATATACTGTACGTCTGTTTCTACTTTGGAATGGGATTTTCATGCTGAATCTCCCCTTGCAGCCGGAGTGCGATTTGAAGAGACCGACGGCCATGTCTCTGTACATGATATGGAGGACGACATGGATCTCCCAGACCACGAGAAGAGGCTGAGTCCTGCAGACAGTTCTGCGGGAATGCCATCTTCAAGTAGGAAATAAATTTTATCCGTAATTTTCATATATCCAGTTCAGAAGGGTGTTCGCCGGGTTACCATCGCGTTTGTAAACATATATCCATCCATGTATCAAACAGTGTACCATAGCATCTACTTTAACTTTATTGCTTTAAGCCTTGGAGGATTTCTGCTACAACCTTGCCTTCCTTTGTTTCCTTCCATACTCCAATGTACTTTCCACTCCATTTTGTCCCTTTACCTCCGCCTTTGACACCCAGACCAGCTTTGAGGAGGTCTCCTGTGGATTTGACGAGATCACCATTGGAGCTTGTAACAAGAACCGTTGTGACGCTCGTGCTGGTTTGACTCGAAGGAGAGGACGTCAGAACGAAAACGAAGGGAGTTGAGTGGAGGTTGCTCGCTGTCGCAGTGGAGAGAACAGATGTAGCGATGGAGGAAAGGAAGCCGAGAGGGTTGGCTGAATCCTCCGTCCTGTGCAAGTGATGAGAGAATACACTCTTGTACGCTTTTTCACTTGCCAGTTTCTGCACCAGGTCTTGTGCGATACGCCCAGCCAGTTCAATTTCAAGTTCTCCAACACGCTTATCTGCCCTCTTCCGGTCATCTATAACCTGACCTAGGCGTTCGGGGAGCAGAGGTGCACCGCAACTTAGCAAGGCAGCGGACTGTGTTAATAGACCGTGACTTTTCGCAAGGTGATCTATGAGACGAGGGCCCGCAAGGAAATACAACCTCGCCGAGGTCGTAGAAGATCTAGACAGCGCTTCGGTGTGGGGAAGAAGGAAGAGTTGAAGGTTGTGGATGCTCGGCAGATGGGTACCACAACATCTGTGTTGCAGGCATTGGAAGCGTTTTGGTCATATGGGCGGGACTGATAATGGCAGAGAGCAACATACGGGTTCCTATCAACTCCTTCAATTACCACGATACGTTTGACGCCCCCGGTGTAATCGTCTGGAAGCCCTTTCCCAACGGACCGCGAGTTAGCAGGGTCTGTAGGTCGCGGCTGGCTTTCCTCGAGTACATCAACCTCAACATGTACGCGTCGGCCTTCGAATACCAGACGGTTGGCTTCGTTCTGGACGGCCAAAATCTCGTCTGAAGTGAGGCCACGAGGGACTTCGACATAGCATGGGGCTGGATAACTCGTCAAAGACCATGAAAGTGTTGGAAGGTTCAAGCGAGTCTCCAGCAGTGCAGAAAGCAAGTGCTGGGACGTGTGCATTGACATCTATCGGGACACTGTCAGTGTGGCTAACATGTCCGACATAAATATACCCACATGGTCATAGCGCTTGTTATAATCTTGATCGTCAAGAGTTACCGTCACTGTCGTGCCCGGCTTAAAGGTTTGCAACACCCCGTCAACATCTCCACCAGGTATCTCGACATAGTGCACAGCGTGACCTCCCTGGCGCTTGGCTTGCAGTACGCTCCAGAGCTTGTCCCTTCCTTCAACCAATATCTTGCCCGTATCGGTAGGCTGACCTCCTCCTTCGGGGAAGATGACTGTGTCATGAAGGACGAGCTCGAGGATTGGCCCAGGTGGGAGGGCAGGGGCGATCACAGCCTTCTTCCCAGTTTTATTCTTATCCTTGCCAGATGTGGAGTTGGATAAGGTGGCCTGTACAACGGACGTGACCAGAGTTCGCTGCAGCGGGTCTCCTGGAAGATCATCAATAAGTTGTTTTTTCACATCGGTTCTCGTCTACTTGCGTTGACAAGCAAGAAGCCCAACTGGGACTGAAACGCTCGTGTCAGTAGGGACGACAAGCTGTGACGATACGATCCTATGGTAGTCTGGCGGAGTTGTAGGTTTCAGAAGAATAGCTGTTGCTGCCATAGTCGTGGTTGAGAAACGAGTCAGAAATCCTGGGCGCTTCGGGTGATGATTAGGCGGGCCGCGATTGTGCCGGGATCATGGCCTTTACGAGGTTTGGCTTCCCGGAGTTCGCCCACGTTATGGCAGACAATCCCACCCTTTGGCTAATTCGGCCTTCTCTCGCACCACGATGAGGGGAGAAGGACATCCCATCCAACCGTCTTACAGGGATCCCTTAGAACAGCCGCTGTTAGCGGGGAGCAATGCTGGCCATGGTAAGTACTGACCTCAACAGCTCCCTCCGCGGACAACCTTGCTCAACAGTCGACCTAGACGACCCAGAGGTGTTTGGCCTCGACGATGCAGGAAAGAGAGAACAGCTGGAACGTCGCCTAGTCAGGAAACTAGACGCAAGGATGTCCATTCTGATTGTCATCTACATCCTAAACTGTAAGCGCACCCTTGTTGACTCCGGGAGGCATCTCTTAACCAGGTTACACGGGTAGACATCGATAGAAACAACGCAGCGTGCGTAAGACGATACCTTCAGTATTTTCTTTAAATGCTAACTGTTTCTACCAGAGCGGCGAGGTTGCATGGCTTCCAGGGCGACTTGGAGCTCGATGACAAGCAATTCGCGAATGTTTTGTCAATCCTCTACGTCGGCTACTTTATTATGCAAGTTCCATCGTAAGCTCAACACGATGCGAAGGAGATCCCCCAAGTAATCTCCGTGACAGGAATATCTATCTCAATCACTCTGGAAGGCCTTCCATCTATCTACCGTCCTGCATGGTCATTTGGGGAGGCATATCCATGGCTACAGGTGGGACTCACTTTGCTATGTAAAGTCCTTACATCTCATCATTAATCTTACAGGCTTGGTCACGAAGTAAAGCTGCTTTTTCTGCTCCTTCTGCTACGTATTGAACGACTGTCAGTTACTTTGGCGTCTTGTGTGCCCGGTTCCTTCTGGGTTTCGTCGAGGCTGCCTTCTATCCTGGCGCTCTTGTAGGTTCTCGCGGATAGGTTGCAACCTCGCGCCACTGACACTCTGACTACAGTTCATGATTTCTCGGTGGTATAAACGCTCCGAGCTGTCACAACGGATGGCTCTGTTGTCCTGTGGTTCATTGATCAGCAACGCATTTGGTGCGTTAATCGCCTCAGGAATTCTGGAGTTGATGGATGGGGTCATGGGGCTGAATGCGTGGAGGTACGTATGTTAGGGCTCAAAATTAAATGAAGCCTCCTTTCTAACATCCCGTTATCAGATGGCTGTTCTTCGTCGAAGGAGGCTTGACTGTGTTGGTCGCCATAGGCTCGATTTTCATATTACCCGACTTCCCGGAGACTACAACTGGCTGGCTCACGCCGGAAGAGAAAGACCTGGCCATTCAACGCATGGTGGAAGACTCCGGGGGACATGACGTGCGAAAGCAGTCTACAGAGTTATTGTCTGGGCTGAGACTAGCTCTTGGTGACCCTAAAGTGTGGTGGCTTACGTTTGGCCTCTGCAATCTGGTGGTTGCTCTCTCTTTCCACGCTTATTTCCCAACCTTGGCCGACACACTAGGGTTTAGCCCAACCATAAGTCTCCTTCTCTGTGCGCCCCCGTGGTTGGTTGCAACAGTGATAGTCCTATATATCACTAGGTATGCAGGTGACACTCCCATGCAACTATGCTAATTGTTACACCAGGATATCCGACCAACGTGGTGAACGGTGTCGGTACATCATATTCTCCATCTCCATCGGAATGGCTGGCTTCGCGATCTCAATGCTTACTATGAATCTGTTTTGGCGGTATCTATCGCTGTACGTCCTATGTCTGTCACTAGCGGTGACAGCCCTAATGCTCCGCCACCAGCTTCTTCATGACAAGCTCCTATGCCGCCTTCGCTTGCATGCTAGCTTGGGCGAGCAGCTCAGCTTCTCATCCTCCTGCCAAACGAGCGGTAGCGCTTGCTTTCATGAACTGCATCTCGCAGCTGGGGAATGTCGTGGGGTCGTAAGTAGTTGGTTCTTTCTATATGAGCATCCACTCACCTGTGCACAGATACATGTGGCCCAGTGCATGGGGCCCAAGTTACAGAAAGTCCTACTTCCTATGTATCTGTGCAAGCTCAGTAGTCCTGTTGTTCGCACTGTTCTTCCGACGCCACCTATCTAAGCTTAACAGCGAAGAAGAGGCCAAAGAGAGAAGAACTGGGTCAGAGCAAGGGTATCGATATATGCTTTGAGAGTTACAATTTCGGTTTCCCTTGTCCTCCATCCGACTCCCAATTCTTATCATACGTCTCGATATGATCTGCCTCGTCCGGCGCGGTCACCCGCGGTCAGAGTGGTTGCTTGGCGAATGGGACAGCTAGGAGAAATATCGGAGGCACGTCTTTGCTCCGTGCTTCTACATCATTCACCTGACCGCTTTCAAGCCGCTTCAAATATATAACGACTTCTACGTAAGTATTGCCTTTGACCTTGCATTTCGTGCAATCTCGCCAAATAGCTATGGCCCTCGCTGCAAAGAGCCGACCCTTGCAAGAGTGGTCGTTCACCCAGGTTGGAGGTGGACAAGGGACGAAAGATGGCGAATGGCTCTCTGCGTCTTCATTTCCAACGACTGTACATGTAGAGTTACTGAACTTGGGCCGGATTCCTGATCCTGTGAGTATTCTTGTCCCTCTCTCGAAGGTCTCCTGCTCATGACAAACGTAGTTTCTGGGTTTGAATGAATGGGATGTCCAATGTACTGGTTCCTGACGGTCTGCCCAGAAGTCTCGATGATAACCGCGGTTTGAATAGGGGTCGGCGAGGCGGAATGGAAGTTCAAATCAGCTTTCCAGGTCACCGAAGACGAACTCTCTGCTCCCAATGCGGACTTGGTGTTTGAAGGGTTGGACACGTTTGCCACAGTGACATTGGTGAAGATGGTCAACTACCCCTTCTTTTTGCTCGGCTAACCTCGAGATGCAGAATGGGAGACAAATCCTGCAGTATACAGTCTTCCCTCGCCTTCAATGAATTGTACACTCATGATCTGAACAGGACGACCAACCAGTTCATTTCGCACAGAGTTCCAGTTAAGGATATCTTGAAGGCCGGGTCCAATGACCTTTTGCTACACTTCGAAAGTGCTTTTCTCAAGGTAAAAAGGGATCACAATGTTCGACTATCTTCCTATTCTGATACCGTTCTTAGGGTCGTGATATTGAAAAAGCGAACGGGGGTAAATTACACCTGTGGAACGGAGATTCTAGCCGTCTTCATGTCAGAAAGGCCCAATACAAGTTGGTCTTAGTCACAGTCAGTGTGGTTTCCTCTGCTAACCCGTGATTTAGCTATGGCTGGGACTGGGGCCCAGTTCTCATGACAGTCGGGCCTTGGAAGCCGATCTACCTCCAGACCTACTCCTCTAGGATCGAAGAGATCGACGTTCGTACGGTGGTATCTGAAGACTTGGCTGTCCAGTTCTCTGCTACTGTTGGAATATCGGACCCTGCGAGCTTTGCGGGATCCGTTCAGTTGGAACTGCGGAAACCCAACGGGGAAGTACAACACTCGCAATCCCTTCAAATCTCCGAAAGTGGAAGAACTGTGCACACCTCGTCTTTTGCTCCCGGTGAATTGGAACTGTGGTATCCTGTGGGCTATGGTGCTCAGCCACTGTACACTGTTGAGGTGAAGATAGTTGCTCAGGTACTTCTTTTCTTTTTCACTTTTACAACCTCTTCTGATGCTATTCTTTCACTCGTTCACCTAGTGCGGTGACGTGGTAGACAAGAAAGAACAAACCGCTGCCTTCCGCCGCGCGCGTATCGTACAGGAACCGCTGACCGAAGCCGAAGGGTTGACGTTCCTGTTCGAAATTAACAACATCCGCATCTTTTGCGGCGGTGAGTACTGGCCATGATCGACCGAGTCTCCAGTAGCCAACCTCCCTCTCTCCAGGTTCAAATTGGATCCCAGCCGACTCTTTCCTTACTAGACTTACTGACAAACACTATCGGCGATGGCTCGAGCTACTGGTCGCTGGGAATCAGAACATGATTCGCGTATGGGGAGGAGGCATTTATGAGGCCGATGCCTTCTACGATATCTGTGACGGTAAGTCGGATGTCCACTACTTGGTGAATAAACTGACAACCGGCTTTCATGGCAGAGCTTGGGAGTAAGTCAAATCACACAAAGGCGGTCTCGTGAGCTTCACCCATGACACCATCTTGACAGTTCTTGTCTGGCAAGATTTCATGTTTGGATGCGGTCAGGTATTTGTCGCCTTGATCTCCCCGGGTGAATGATGCTAAGGAGATCACTGTCAGTACCCGGCGTACGACTCCTTCGTCGACTCTGTCCGAGAAGAAGCCGTGCAAGCTGTTAAGCGTCTGCGCCACCACCCATCCGTCGTCATCTGGGGTAAGTTCAACCTTTTCGTTACTACTGCTTGACTAACGCCGCTATGGCAGCTGGCAACAACGAAGGTAGGGTCGCGTTCGCGAGTGTGGGGTGCTGTCTGAACTCTGATCACTCGAATCAAAGATTATCAAGTGGCCGAGTCCTACAACCTCGAGTTAGACTATTCAGATGAGTCTGGAGACTATAGGAACACTACGTTCCCTGCTCGGTACATCTACGAGCGAGTCCTTCCGGAGGTGGTGGAGAAACACACCGACACCTTCTATCACCGCGGCTCTCCCTACAGTGGCCAAGGCAAACCGACTACCGATCGAACCGTTGGTGATATTCATCAATGTAGGGTCACTGGTTTTCACTGTTTAGGATGGCCTGCCAACCTCGTTCACAGGGAATGTATGGCATGGATCTCAAGAGCCGTGGCATAATTGGGATATCTTGGCCGGTCGATTTGTTTCTGAATTCGGTATGCAAGGTTATCCGAATATTCGCACCGTTGACTACTGGTTGGACGGTGACAAAAGCCAGAGATACCCGCAGTCAAGGTAAATGTGCGGTCTGCTCATCCGACGACCTAGCCCTAAATCAACCCAGAGTATGCAATAACCACAACAAGGCAGACGGCTTCGAAAGAAGACTGGAGGTTAGTGCTCAATTAGTACCTGATAAACCTTGCTGACCTGCCCGGACGCTAGTTATACCTCATGGAGAACTTCAGGCATGCCTTCGACATCGAGAGGTATGTGAATGCACCGATGCTTTTCGCCCAAGATCCGTGTTGATAGAGTGGGAATTAGCTATGTCTACTATACCCAAATTATGCAAGCAGAGACGCTGGCTTCCGCATATCGGCTGTGGCGTCGCAACTGGAAAGGTAGAGGAAAAGAGCTTACTGCCGGAGCTCTGGTTTGGCAGGCAAGTCCTTCCATTAATTAGCCTTTATAACTCCGTGAACGTCGCTCACTTACTCTCGTGTCGGAATAGATTAACGACTGCTGGCCGGTGACTTCATGGGCCATCGTGGACTACTTCCTACGACCGAAGCCAGCCTACTTCGCCATCGCACGAGAACTTCGGCCATTCGCTGTGGGGATGACGCGCAAAGAGGTCACCACCTTTGAAGATGAGCGTTCTGCGGTCAACTTCAAGATTTCGACGGTCCTGGAAGTGTGGGGTGCAAACAGCACCCTAATGGACAAAGAGGTTACACTTGAAGTTAAAGCTTTCGAATTGGACTCCGACTGGACGGAGAAGTGGGACGCGAGAGTCACACTGGCTGCGAATGCGAGCACTGAGCTATTCAAGGGAGACTTGCCTGGCCAGCCGGTGAGGACTAAGAAGAGCGAGGTACCCAAGGCAATCGTGATCTGTGCTCGGTTGTTGGACGCAGACGGAAGCGTTCTGGCCAGGTACTCGAATTGGTACGGTGTTTGCATTGGCGTTAGCCCTGTTCGCATGGCTAATTTCGTTGTCCAGGCCCGAGCCTTTCAAATTCATCAACTTCCCACCCATACATTCGTTGGGTCTACAGGTCACCGTTCAAGAAGACGGCGAGACAATCAAGCTGGAGACAGACAAACCAATCAAGGGAATCGTGCTCGATGTCGACGGAGACGATGTCCAATGGAGTGATCAGGGCATTGACCTCGTCCCGGGCGACCCTCAGACGATCAAGGCAGTGGGCTTGAAGGGACGCTCGGTCAAAGTTAGATTCCTGGGCGATGGAACCGCGTGAATAAGTCTATGTAAATACACGTACGTGAAGTGCAAAGATAAAGTGTAAAATCCCAATAAATCTATGTAACAACAGGTCGGAGCCACAATTAAACCCCAGATGCAAAAGGAACGTCGGTGGATAAATCTACATGATGTTGCAAGATTTGGAGGAAGTATGCTGAGTGCTGTTGTTGCTGTTACGGGCAGCGCTCTTGTTCTCGATTTCGGACAGGCAGAGTTCAAAGACCTTGCCTAAAGTGTGGCATGAGATGGGGTCTGGAAGCCTTCTAACGCACCACTACTCACCGACATTGATATCCAACTTCGCGCTGGTCTCAATCCAAGCTGCGTTACACGACCTGGCCAACTCTTGTCCCTCCTTTTCATCAATCACACGGCTATGTCACTAAATGAGAATAGAGACCGGTGAGAGCATGGAAACCGACGTACTTGTTTTTCAAATCGCACTTTGAACCCACTATCACGCAGGGGATCTGTTTGACGCCACAAAAGTCGGTGACCTTGTCGTAGATGATTTGAATCATGTCGAAGGATGCTCTCGAGGTTATGGAGTAGACGAGAACGAAACCATGAATGCCGATGGCGTGTTTACCGCTCAGAATCGAGAATTCGTCCTGATCAACGGATAGAATACGGTGTCTTGAGTAATTGCCTGGTTAATCACTGGGCAAGGTGGAATCCACTCACCTGGCCGGCAGTATCTATGATATCACATTGGAACTCGACGCCTTGGTGACAAACTTTTTTGGAGAATGTGTTCTCTATTGTTGGATAATAGGACTCGACAAAATGGCTGTCGATGAATTGGAGAACCAAGGACGACTTCCCTGCGGCATAAGTTAGTTGCGCGTGAGGATGGAGAAGCGTAAACAAGCGACATACCGACCGAGCGCGACCCAAGCACGGCGATTTTTCGTCTTCTGAATTTGTCTGCACTGGCCATGGTGGTAAAGAGAAGTCGGGGTGAAGGAGTGGCCGTTTAAGAGAGAAAGAAAGTAGGTTATGCTCGAGCAGCAAAAGCGCCGTTCCACGGTATCTCCGCGTGTTGAAGGCGACAATCGATGATGGGGAATGTGAGGAGGTCTTGCTTTATGCAAGGACTAGCAGGTTCATGGTGGACGTATTAGAGAGAGAGAGGGTCAGGCATGATGGCGTCGTGGCGATCAATGCGTAACGTTGGAGAGGAATTTTTTCACCGAATCTCGCTCGGAGATTCAGCGAAAAGAGCAGATGGTGGCCTGATGACCTGAATCCCTGCCGAATATGCCTGGGTAACTTGGAGGATGAAGCCAGCCGATGTACGTCTACATGTCCAAATGTAGACTTTTTCGGACCGAGATTGTCCTGGATCCATGGAGATTAAAGAGCCAGTTGGGGTGCCACGACGCCGCCTGGGGGAAAATAGAGATTCATGGTATTGGCTGGCCGGAACTCGCAGGACATGCGCTGATAGAACAATGCGATGCGAGTCCTTCGAGTCGGGAGCTTCGACGGCGACTGAAATCACTCGGTCATTATTTCTCGTCGTTGGGGCGCCACAATCCCGGCGCAACTACGCGAACACGACCGTCGCGGATGAACTTCGAATTCACGAACGCCCGCTTGGGTGTCGGGCGCTAATAAAGCTCCCGAGGGATTGATTAGTCATGTGATCCCAAGCTTTCACGTGTTCACGTGAAGTTGAAAACGCGCTCCCATTTTTGGGTGGCAATTAAGGCAGTCAGGTTCGGAACCGTCTTCAACTTGCACCACAACCACACATTTGTACAACAGCCACTCTCCTATATATCACCAATGTCGGCGACTTCGACACCCAACGATTCCCCCATGGGCACTCCCATTCAGCCTCTCCACAACCCGGCACAGGCGGCACACGTCGTAGTTCCTCAAGCACCGCTAGGGAACGTCGTAAATAACCCCGGGATGGGTGCAAAGGCTTTGCTCGCAAAGAAGCTTGCAAAGGGCCAGTAAGTACCATTGCTACGTATCCCTCTGAAGGAACGACGACCTAACAGACGCCTAGCAACCCCACATTCGTTTCACCTACTGATAATCTCATGACGCCTGTCACTCAAAAGTTGAACGCTGCGAGGAAGAAGCAGTTCTCCAAGTGAGTTGAAGCGATGGCCTGGGTTCTCTGATGCTTATCCCAATTCTTGCTTGCAGGGGATCCAAGCCTGTGCAGTTGTTCGCTACCAAACCCCCGGCAGACGGAAACGAGAGCGACAAGGAAGTCTCCGAAGACAAGGCAGACTCGGACAACAAGCCAGCACCACAGAACTCAGACCTGAAGATGGAAGCCGACGATGAAAATCCCTTCTAAATCTCCACCGCCCCCTCGTCATCGCTCCTTTCTGCGACTCCGCCCTTTCGTCTACCTTCCTTGGCTGGTTTACCAAGATCGTCAAGTACTCGATATTCCGGTTATCTTTTTATGACGTTTAATGACCTCTCGACTTCCCGTCCGTCGCTCGCTCGTCCATGTTCGTTCGCTCTTCCCTCTCGCTTTGCTGTCGTTGTCGCCCTTTATTGGAATGTAATGAATCTCAATGTACCATTAGCCCTAGAAAACTCCCACGTTGTACAACATGTCCCAATCTATATAAGTTATTACCGCATACGCGTCTCCTGGTCGCCCACTTTCAAGTTTCGAGTTTTGACTATGGCCTCCTTCGACGGCATGAGCGCTCAACAACGTTTGTTGTTTGATCTATTCTCGTCTACGCCAGTGATTATGCCTGGACGGAATCGCTTTGAAGAGTAAGTCTCATCTATGGAATTCCATCGATGGATTAATTGACATGGTAATCTGGGACAAAAGTCGTGTTGCTGCCCTCCTGAAAGACCTTCCGAGACTGACAGAAGCTGAGGTGGTTGCCGCTGGGGAACGAGGCGGGTCTATCGTCCCCCCTGCCTCTTAGACAAAGAGCTGACGTGAAGTGGCAAAGATGGATCATGCTCAGTCTGTTACGTCCCATACCTTGCCATTCTCGCGGAAGAAGAGACAGCTTCCGCCATGGACACACCCGCCCAACCGCTCGAACATCACGGCCTCACCAAATTGTCCAAACCCTGGCAATGTGGGCACATCTTTTGCCGTAAAGAGTGAGGGGCCCTTTCGAAACCTTCATCTCGCCGATATGTATTGATACCCCGTTTTCCCTACCTCGCATCTGCAGCATAACAAAATGGATCAAAGACAGGGTGGGTCCTCAGTCACAACCTCAACCCGAACCTTTTAACTGAGCCATCAACAGAACGATTCCTGTCCAATGTGCCGAAAGAGTCTCCTAGACCCTAATGTTCAGGAAGAAGCACCTTCCCTCCAACTCTTCGGAGGTTCACCGGAACTCGCAGCCTTCTACAGACAACAAGGATTCAACGTGGACGAGCGCCCCGTGGACGGATCGTCTCGTGGACCGACCAGCTCATTTAACGGATTCGCATGAATCATTCCAATGGATCTGAATATGGATTACGGACGCTATGTCAATGTCAACGAAAGGAAAGAGTATTAGGCAGCTCTCGCTGAAAGTCCGAAGGATGAGGTTGTCGTAGTCGTAACTAAACGGAGCGTATGTAGCAGAGGAGATATATCTAAGATGTCACAAAGGGAACTCATGGATGCGAGAGAGAGAGAGACAGCAATGAGATAAGACGGGGGCAGAGAAAGATTGGATGCAAGTGAGAGAGATAGAGATGGAATGTCCAACGCAAAGCCAAACCAAGAAACCAAACCAAGAAAAACAAAGTCGGAACGAATCGTGAGCATGCAAGAACGAAGGGATAGGACTAGCCTATTTAAGCACGGCGGAAGCATCGGAAGAGGTTGCGTTTGAAGAAATAGTACAAGCACTGGAAAAAGGGACACGTTAGCTCTGCTTCTGGCCGGAAACGGAAAGGTGACTTACACCAAGGAATCGAATGAAAGCAAGCAAGAAGGTCGTATACAAGATGATGGAGAAGTAAATGTTTTGCTTCTTCTTCAGGCGAGCCAAATCCGCCTCTGGGTCATCGGCGTTGGGTAGTCGGTTGATATCAGAGATACCGATAGCCAACGCAGCGTTGGTAAGCATCCAGAACGAAACAAGTCGAGTACGGAAAGTCTTGTTTTGATCGTCTGGAGTGGGCTTCTCGACCTCATCCTTCTTCACGATCTTGGCCAACGCGCGGTTGACGGTCTCCTTGAAGGCCGAGTCGACATCCTCTTGAGCTTGTGTCTTATCCTCGACGATCGCAGATTCCGCATCCTTCTTCTTGGAAGAGACGGAAGGCAGAGCATCGACCTTGTCACTACCCTTGGTACCCCAGGAAACGTCGTGCAAGTTACAGAAGGCGTAGACGTTGAGGACGTTCGTGAAGGAAGGAGCGATGCAAAGGTATTGAACGAATGACGAGATCATGTGCCATGGGTCACGCTTTTCATGGGAGTCAGGCATTATTGACAGCACAAGAAGGGGAAAAGACGCACATAGAGAATAGACGAAACCAAGTAGATACCGTATGTCGAGACCATGGCAGCGATCAAAGCACCGATCGGAGGTTGGAAGATGGCAGCGACGACTTCTCCAGTGTCCAATCCCTCAAGTTGTTTAGGGATGCTCTAATGACATTGTTTGTACCACATCATGACCAAATGAATTCAAAGACGTACCTGGAACGCATTGATTGTCAACCAGAAGGAGCAAACCAAAAGATATACCGCGAGAACAGCATAGGCCCTACGAACAACAGGTCAGAACAATGATCGCACAAAAGATGTCGAGGACATACGCGAAAGTAACAGTATACGGGATACGTTCACCCTTGGGACGGTTACCCAGACCCATAATGAATTGCAAGGCGAGGAAACCGAGATACATCCATCGGAAAACCGAGTTCACCCAGTGAGTGGCGACTTGGTTGCCAAAAATGTAGACAGGGGGGTCTTGCATAGGAAGGAGATCGATGATGACGGTGAAGGTAAGCCACAGGTTGGCAAGGGCGAACCAACTGAAGACGAGAGACAGGACGTTGTACTGTCAAGGTAAAGTCAGCCGTCGGTGCAGATGTGAGGACAGATGACCTACAATAGCTTGGATATGGAAAAAGAACATGCGGATAGGGCCATGGCCGGATCGGTAGAAACTGAAGAAATTGACAAGAGCGTACTGGATGATTGGTTAGCATCCAGCGAACGAGATTGAAGATCTGGGAATACGCACGACTGAGGCGGCGAAAGAACCGTTCAACCAACGACGACGCTGTCCAATCAATTCGGCAACACTCTCGGGTACATCAGTCTCAGCCTTGCTAGGCTTGACATAGGTGAGAGTCCAGCGATCCCCCTTTTTAGCCACCAATTCGAAACAGAGGATACGATCCTCGGCCAAGAACATGTTCTTGGTAAAGATACTCATTCCATGAATACCCTTGGGTCCGAGGCGATCGGCTAGGGAGTGATCACCATGGAAGTACTGCTCCAAAGGTCGGCCAAGAAGGGCCTTGAAACGGTACGCAGAGAAGGCACCGGGGAGCACGGACACGTAGCCGAAGCTACTTTCGAGCGGCTTGTCTGAGAAGTACGATCAGTTTTACGGCAATAGGAGAGGGGCGTTGCTCGATTACCTAGAATGTTGGACATCTTGTACTCGAAGTTCTGAGCCGCGACAAGAGGATTGAGCAACTTCTTGCCACCCTTGATCATGGCATGGATTTCACCGCAGCATCCACCGAGGTTGGGGTCGTTGTAGAACGCTTCCCAAAGATAGTAAATCGATTTGTGGCCAGGTTTGGTTCCGGCATCGATCAAAACACAGACTTCGGGCTATCGGAAAGCGCAGCACCTTAGATCAAAATCAAAGAATAGCGCAGTATCCACTTACATCGAGCTGCTTTCCAATAGCATTGAACAGCCATCGATGAGAGTTGATCTTTTTCTGATTCTTTGCCTTGACGACAAAGATAATCTGAACGGGGACCAAATTGTTGGGGTCGTTGGGCTGGGGAAGAACCAAGGCTGGCGTCGCGTCGACCGAGAGCTGGGTCGTGTACTGTTGATTCAGGTTAATATAACGCAGATGGGCGCGATGAAAACAAGTTACCTCGAAGATGTGGGCGACGGTGTCCTTTCCATCAACTTGCTTCTTCATGACACCATCTTGGTACACGCCGACAGTGGCGAGAATATCTAGAACGCTCTTGTCCATGGGCTCGAGACCGTCGACGATGAGAGCGACAGTGATCTTTTGCCATGCAGGGCGTCCCTCTTCGGCATGTCGCCTCCAGTACTTGGATGCCTTGGTCTTACAGATATCACGGATGTTCAACATGACACCATGGAGTGTGCGGGCGTAGAGGGTCTTGTCCTCATTGTACGAGGTAACCGCGATCAGCAGATCTGTCTGACGGTTATACAACTTTGTGCGCAAGGTCCAGCCATTGGCTTCTGTGAACTCGTCAGGGTCGCATGTAGCCGCGGTGTAGCGCATATGCCTGTGAAGTGGTCAGTCGCAGTCGAGCGCGATGAGCTATAAATAACTCACGAGAATTCGGTGCTTTTAGTGTTAGTGTACTGTGCTTCGATGGCAGAGAAAACGGGGGTTGGCACTGGATATTCAGCGATGAAATTTCCCTTTGTGAGCCTGACAGCACGGGTAACACCCCGCTTAATGGTCTGACGCCTCCTCCACTCTCTCTCAGTGGTGGTCGATGACATGACTGAGCCAGGTCGACCTGGGATATATCCCTGCTCATCAGGGACTCTGGATGAAGCGAGGAATCGATAATGAGAACGGGAGACAAAAACGACAGGAAAGACAATTGACGTACGGTGGTGGGGGCGGGTAGAAGCCACCAGCGAACTGACCGCCAGTGAGCGGCTGCTTCTCCATGTAATCATCGTCGTAGGGCTGCTCTGGATTTGAGAGATCATGTGTGGATGAGGAAGGGCCAAAGGGCTGAGGCATGCCCGGGCGACTAGCTAGAGAAGCATTGCTTTGGGCGAAGTGGATGTGACGGGGATTTGGATTGTCGGAAAAGGGGTCGCCGTATGGGCTGGGAGCGCGAGAGTTGTCTGAGTGTGGATGAGGAGGACGGTCAGTCATTCTGGGATATGAATTGACCAGCAATTAAAGGAACGAAGTAAGGAAGGGTATAGACACGAAGATGGCGGTTGCTTTTTAAATCCTCTTATTTCGAGCTGTCGCTTGGGCCTCCGTATCCACGTGAGAAAATGTTCCAAAGTGGCAGTACTCCCTGACCGCCCTCACCGCCTTAATTGTCTCCACAACTCTCTTCCACAGCATTGCAATTATGCGTAAAGAACAAATATCATCTCTCGAGACTCTGCGAATCGTTTCACTAAATCGCCCGAAAATGCCTGAGCGTCTCACACGGGCGTCCCAGGACTTCCTCCGGGTAACGCTCATCCAATTGCCGGTGCCCATTCTAAAGCGCCGACCTTGATTGCCCATACTCCTATACCTCCTTCTTCAACCACCATGAGTCTGCCAGTTATCCTCTACCGGTGAGCGCATTCTCCATCCTCCAAGTCCGCTGTGGACTAAGAGCCATGCAGTTACGAGGGGTCTCCCTACGCCCACAAGGTCGACAATGCCCTTACGTTGAAGAGAATACCCCACCAAATCGTCTCGGTGCGTGCTGCAACCGCATGTCTGACGCAGAATACCGATATACTTCTCCTAGGTTTCTCCTGTCTTGCCACGACCCGAGGTCGCAGACATTCTAGGCATCCCTTATCGACGAATCCCAATTCTCGCAATCGGAAACGACATTTACTGCGACACATCGTTGGTTCAATCTCTTAAAATGAAGTCATGTGTCCATCTTAACCTATTATCTCAGTCTCATCGTGTCCACCCTTGAGCGGAGATTCCCAGCGAGCCAGGGCTTTGGAACTCTATTCCCTGCCAGAAACAACGGAGGGACCCCCGATACTGGGTTGATCAAGGCGTTCTCCAAGTTTTACATTGACCGCTCTCTCTTCTCCGTCGCCGCGTTGTTGCTGCCATGGGAGAAGCTTCCCCCGGCCTTTCTCAAAGATAGAAGCGAGGTGTGTACTCTAATCATCACCCTGATGCTCATCGAGCTTAGGATGTCGCAGTTTAGCGGTGCCCCAATGAATGTAAAGGCTATTGTTGCCTCAAGAGACAAGGCTCTTGCCCAACTTTCCTCCCATATGGCAAGTCACACCCTGTGTTCATATCATGGAAAAACGAAGTAACTTCGAGACAGGTGCTTGTTGAAGAGCAATTGAAGGACGGTCGCACCTGGCTGTTTGACACGCAGGCCCCTTCCCTTGCTGATATATCCATTCATTTCGTTTTGGCATGGGCCCTTGGGTTCCCTGCTGCCAAACCCCTGCGCCAGGATGGGCGCTTCCCTCTAACACATAAAGTGAGTTTCAGCGCCGTTCCGTGACCGAACCAAAGCTAACAAACACATTCCAGTGGCTATCCGCGCTGACCGCTTATCTCAAAGACCACCATCAAAAGCCGACTGTAATCAATGGTGCTGAAGCAGGGAACCTCGTTTTCTCCTCCCCTCACGAAGGCTATTCCATTGTCGGATTTGATACTACAGAAGCCCAGCGTCTTGGAGTGAAGTTGAACGACGTTGTTTCCGTAACCCCAGATGATACAGGTATGTCGCCAACTTCTACCTGAGATCACAGATTGAACAACCTGACCGTAATCAATAGGACGGAGCTACCCCACAACCGGCAAACTGGTGGCTTTGAGCACGGAAGAGGTCGTGCTGGAGATTGTGGCCAAGAAGGGCACGGTCAGATGCCACTTCCCCCGCCTGGGGTATGTCATTGGGATTCCAAAGACCGTAGCGAAGCTCTAGGTTCTACATTTGCACCCCCCAACGTGGTTGTAGATTAAATGGTATATTATGGTATAGTCTTAAACGGTCTATCGTCTCCGCCCATATATTTGGTGACATCGGTCTTCGAACGCCTTGATCATGAGTTGTGATACTTGTCCAAAGAACTGCGAGGAGATTGTAGCGTGCAGTGGGTTTGCAAAAGCATAGACAAGGTCGAGGTGTACCATTGTCGATTTCGAGTCTTCAGGACGCGTCCCTGGTCTAGTTTGAGGCTCGAACCGCCAGATGGTCGATAGAGTTTTGAATAGAGGAGACGACGAGGTTGCCTCGGCCTGTGCTCTAGTTCAGAAATGCTGTACGCCAAGAACGGCCGTAAAGAATGAATTCGACAACTACCTCGACGGATTTGTGGGGTGTACAGGTCACAGTGCTGACATAGCTCTCCTTCAATGCTAGGAAACCAACGGTCAATTCGGCTTCCGTGATTTGCTGGCCTGTGCTCGTAACTCTTGGTGGTTTCGTTAGAATGCGCGAACCGGTGCAGAATGGAACAAATTTAGGGTATGAGGCGACGTCCGCAACAACGTCATACAGCTCCTTTTGACTGAATCTGTGGAAGGTTTTCGAAATAGTCGAATGTCAGTGGATCACAACAATCCACCAGAAGGCGACGCACGGAAGACATTTGCGCTCCGAATATTTCTGGGGCCCGCTGGGTGGTAATGGAGAGAATTTGGATAGGTCTGGTAAGCTGAATATTGAGCGATGTAGGCTGCAGGCAATTTGAGGTGCCCTGCACTTGGGAAGGAGAGCCAGCATCCTCTTGGAGAGCTTCCGAGGTCAAACTGTCAAGGTCAAGCGGACTTCGGAACGCGACACGGTTATTTACACCTGTTTTCTGCCTCCGTTGGGAAGCGCACTCTTCATGAAGCTGAACGGGGGACGTCTTTCCTTGTAAATGACTCTCAAGATTTTTGATATATTATCCCAATGAATTGTAAAACTTATAGGTGGGCATCGAATGCGAAAAGCTCCAACGCGCGCGGTCGAGGTATGGACACGGTTCAAAAGAAGCTCTTCCAACCCCCAAAATTCGGTCTACGTCATGTCATTCTCTGACTAGTTCTACCTGAACACACGTCGTCTCAAAATGACACGGCAAGATGTGCTGCAAATGGGAGATAATAGATATGCCCGTTCTTACTGGCAAGAAAAGCAATCATACGACCGAGGCGCTCAAGCTAAGGTACACGCATAGCAGACTGGCTTCCGGATCTAACTAACGTACTCGGACGCTTCAGGGCAATCCCTCGCAATCTAGAGAACCTCGTGAGCGGGGAGAAATTTTCGGTATAAGGATGACTCACATGGCCCTCTTGTTGGCACTTGTAACAAGTCTTGTTCTTGTTAATGTTGCTGGGACCAGTGGGAACGTTGTCCCCAACGCTGGTTCCAGCAGGGGCAAGGCAATCCCTATATCCAGGCGCACAAGCACATTAATGGCTACTGATGAATGAAGGGCAAGCGGAATTGAAGCGCACCTCGCCATATGGTTGGGTCCACCGCATCGATAACATTTGACCGGGGGCAAAGTCGAAGTATTCAAGCCGCGACCCGCAGCAGGAGCTCGAGGAGCGAAGCCACCAACATTGGCATTGCAGTTACGAGCGAAATGGCCGAATCGGCCGCAGTTCTGGATAAACAGTTCATGTCAGTAGGCGTGTTGATAATGGTTCTCAAGAAAGACTTGCGTAGCATTTTTGGTTGTTGTTCTGTTGCCTCAAGCTGGGGCACTCAGCTGTCCAGTTGTTAGCTCCAATCTGAAATGAGCGACAAGGGAATGCGAACCTTGGATATGGCCAACCCCTCCGCAAGAGTAGCACTGCTTGGCCGCGACTGTCCTGGGAGAAGGACAGGCGGAAGATTCGTGACCTGGTTGACGGCAATTGTAACACAACCTCTGGTCAGAGGTACAATTCTCCGCAATATGACCCACTGAAAGACATAGATTGAATCAGCACGTGTCCCAAGATATGTGAAGAAAGCGCTCACGGTTTCCGCATTTGAAGCACCCCTTCCTTGAAAATTGGTACGCCATACTCTTCGAAACAAATCTGATCTATATGAATGCAATCAGGAACCAATAAGCACGATAACCACCACAGTCACAACTGGTCGGGACCTAGGCCTCACCTTCCTGCACCCTCTTCACACTAACAAACCACTCTTTACACACTGCCTCTCCGCGTGAAAGAAGTGATGGATGTTGCTCTCTGCGATGACTCTTGAGTGCGATGCTGAACCTGTCCAAAGAATTGTCAGCAATTGATGCCATCGGCAAGTCACGAACCCATTACGTATACATGTGCAGGATGCCGCTCATGCCGTCCCCGCTTGGTCCCCGCACAAGACAACTTCGCCTTCATCCATTGAGGATCCTGCCCTGCCCGCCTCTGCCCGCTCATACTGGAACCCAGCAGCCTCTGCGGTCCACCACCAACTATGTAATAACAATATGAACCTCACGGTCGCTTGCGGCGTTTACGCGACGTCTCCTTGAACAAAGATGGCCTTCTGGATCTCGATAAACTGACAACCTGTTCTCCCGTGAACCTTTGCTGGTGGTTGTCTGAAAAAAGACCCCCTCGTTTCCCAAATCACACGAGAGGATCTCTTAGAATACTCCTTCGTTCAAATATCGGCCGACATCAATCACTCTGGTCTTATCGCTAGCTCATCGCAGACAAAGCATGCATCTCCTCATTCTCAATGGAGTAGAGATTCCAACGGTCATCCAAACTCGGTTGTTCCGGGTCGGAGAATGAGATTTCTTTAAATACGACAACTCGAAGCTGTTGTCAGCCAGATCCTCTTATTTCTCTTCCACCAACCTCGAATTGAGGACAAGTGTCCCCGTTGGACATTGGTCGCCGACTGAGGTGGGTCTTCCTCTCACCCCAGTGTAACCAATTATTGACCAAGTTAACCTCTCATTAGTTGACCAGTTCCTCCCAGCGTCCAGTCGACCTTCGTGCACGCGCGTCCATCGCGCTTCTTGTTATGGCGGAGACTGACTTCGCTCAAGGTTTGTTCACCGTCCCATGCGCCCATGCCAGATGTAGCTCTGACTGTTCTACACCCAGACGGAGAAATCCTGCTTCTGCGACGCCTTTCCACGGCGTAACAAGATGCGACGTAACGAGTGGGCGAAGCATGGCTCGCCGTATGGGAGGAATAATTGCCTTGTCCTCTTTGTCGCTGGTTCATCGAACATTCTACGACCCGTTCTGATTTGATGCCTCCGTTACCACAATTCCATTCCTTTGTATCACGGCGTTAGCTTCAGGCTGTCAATCCAAAAGCATCGTTTTACTCCAGAAATTGCTCCGTTGCAACACCCTCAACCCAGAGCTATTCGCTTCTGATCACAAGGAAGTGCCCCTTGAGCCCAGAGCAGTGTGCCAAACCTAACAGCAATCAATCAGATTCAAAATTCAAAACGGTTTACATGTGGTCTACTAAGCGAGGTTAAACATCGATAGGCGCCAAAGAAAGCTAATTTACCTCGATAAAGGACCGTGACTCGTCACCGGTCACCTGTTAGCGGAACAGGCCACCAAAGTCTGGGGTAAAGTTGAAACGTTGCCCAGGGAAGATTACATCGCCATACAACCGACAATTCAGGGCAAATCGATGAAACTAATTCCTACCACATCTTGATGAGAACGCCCAGTTAGTTATCACCCGTTCTTGTGATCGATGGTATCGGATGGAGTGTCCTATTCTCTGGTCCGAAAGAACACGGGCAGTCACATTAACACGCGTTGTAAACGAGTCCTCGCGACATACTCGTGCAAGTCAGCAACCTAACGTGCTTTAAAACATTAGATCGTTCCGGCCAGGGTGTGAGCAGGGCAAGGGTTTCGTCGATCTTCAGAGAGATATAAGCGAGAGGAAAGGTTAAACGGCACAGAAGAACTCGAGCACCCCAGCCATGGTTTCCGTAAGTCCCCACTTGCCCCACAACTCCCGACGTCCCCTGGGTCCTGGAATGACTCTATTGTACTAGGCCAGACGTTCTATTAACCGCGCAGCGTGCGTAACAATTGCGGAACTTGCTGTCGAGGCTGAGAGGTACCAAGGTCAGTCCGATTTTGAAATTTGGCAAATGATTCCGACAAAGGTCCTTGTATGTTCTCTGAAGATGTGGTCGCCGAGATCAAGACTATCGTCTACGCGTTCAATGCACAACTCACACCAGAAGAAAGAAGCTTGTTGTCCGTTGCCTACAAAAACTTGACCAACAACCTTCGGAATAGTTGGAGGACGATCGACTGCCTCGAATCCGCCGCAGCTTCTATAGGCTCGAGTAACCCCAAGAGGCGTCGAGAGCTGGGCCTCATGCGTCAGCAGAAGAGGAAGATCGAGAAGGAACTCGTCGTCACTTGCAATGACATTATCGAACTTCTTGACCGATATCTCCTCCTGGCTGCCAAACCAGGAGAAGAGGCTGTCTTTTATTCAAAAATGTGGGTTTCTAGAACTTGTGCGCACGACTGTAAGTAACGCGTCAGTATAGGAAAGGCGATTATTATCGCTACCTCGCCGAATTCGGTCCAGAAGAGGAGCGAAAGAGGTATGGCGAGTCGTCGCACCAAGCCTACAGGATGGCCTACAAGCGCGCCCTGAATAATTTAGACCCACTGGACCCCACCCGGTTGGGCCTCGCTCTCAACTTCTCTGTCTTCTATCACGGAAAGTACCCTGCACATTCCTTCCGAGTCACGACCCTAATGTCGTCACACAGACGTGTACAAGAGCCCAGACAGAGCTTGCCACCTGGCCAAGAGTGCCTTCGACGACGCCGTCCAATGTCTGGATCCATCCAATATCACGCTGGACCAATCATTAAGGGATTCCTTAAGCATCCTTCAATTGTTGAGAGACGACCTATTGCTGTGGTCGGAGGAACTTTGAGGACTAGCGGGGCGGGACTCGATATAACTGTGGATCAGCAATATCTCTATGTTTTTGGCACATGTGTCATTACGGATAATTTTATGCTTTTATGGTTCCTTCTGCGAATGTTGCTGCCACAAGCATAGGGAAAACCAAGGTCGCATCTGCGTAGATCTGATGTACGGTCAGTAAATGAAGAGCTCAGAGTCCTAGGGGACGCACCTTGACAGACTCTGCCCCTGCTCTAATTTTCCCCCACGAGACGGCTTCATCAGGGCGGGCGCCAGAGTCTGAGCCGTCAAATTCCTGGCCAGTGTTCTAAGTTTTCAGATAGGTGGGTGAGTAAACCGGGGCCCAAAGTTGAAGGGGTTGCTCACAATGTAGACTGCATAGTCAGCACCATTTCGCTGGAGTAAAAGTGTCAGCAACGGTGAAACACATGAGGGAACAGTCAACTCACGATTAACATTGCGTTCGCGATTTGATGCTTGCAAACTCCTCCCCCGAGGATAATCATCCCGGCTTTCCGCGACTTGCGAGCGAGTTCATTCAGATTTCGGATATCCTGAACGATGTCCAGAACGAAACCAGGGTTTTTGAAGGAGTGGAAGTAAATCATGTCACCAATCGAACCGTCCGTCAAAGCGGGACAGAAGACTGGGATATCGTTCTGGATCACAAGAGTAAGTTTACTCCAGGGTGAAAAGCGTTCTAGTCACTTTGTAGGCCCAATAGTAGATAGACTCTTCGTTGTTGATTTCTTTTCCCAGTCGACGGATGAAGGAACTAGGTGACCAGATAGTTCCATTCTCCTTCTGTTCGAGAAGCATTTGGTCGAGTAGGGGAGTTAGCCAATCTTCGAACTTGCAATAGTTGTCGTTGGGAACGATGAGGTTGCCAATGCGATTCATTCCTTGTTTCCGCAAGGCTGCACCGTCGAGGTTGAAGTCGGCGAGGTATGTCTTGCCCAGGCATTTGATAAAGTCTTCCTCAATACCGCCAGCGGTCGTCACAATTGCAGAGATCATCCGATGTTTGGCAAGGTATAGGATGATTTCCCGGAGACCAGAGGATACGAGGTTGGAGGTGTAGCCTAGGAAGATGTTGCACCGCGTATTAGCGCGAACTTGGGGGTCTAGGTAATCATCCGATTCGTCTGGTGAGATCGGTTCGTCAGAGAGACGCCATTTTCTCTGTCAGGGGTTAGAACTAATGCCTATGGTCTATTAAATCATCCGTACCATTTTGTTAACGATATTGACTGCAGTCGCGAAACTGCTGGCCTGGAAACCTATACGTTCATAGCTTCCAACAAAATCCTGGAATGAGATCGGTGTGTCAAAACTGGGCCCCTCTATTGGTACAGCATCGTTTGGAATAGGATCTGAAGGCTTTAGGACCGCTGCTGAAGCGCCTGAAGGGATCATGGGTGGAGGTATCTAGCAAAGATATAATTTTTGATCTCGGCCAAACAAAGCGGCTTTGTTTGTACGAGACTCGTTAGCGGCTGTTGCCTAAAGCTCATTTAGCGAACATCTCGGTCCTGTCAGTGTCACAACTTGTTTCCCCTCAACTTGCCTCGACACGGGTCAAGACCTCAGGCTTTGAATGGATGGCCACGTCGAGAATACACCGTCGTCTCCAGCCCGACAGGACCATGCGCTAATCGCTGCAGACACGGTCCCATCGCCGCCAAGTGACGTTGCCCAGGATGCCAGCGACCAACAAGGAGAAGAACCAATTCCAATCGAAGAGGTTGAGACATCAGCTCAATCCACGGAGGAGAACATGGAAGATATCGCCGTTGAACCCTTGACAACGGAAACGGATAATGACGCAGGCAGTCCACAGACCCAACACCAGGAGCAGGCATCCCAAGAGATCCCAGCCAACAATACTGAACCGCAGCAAGGCGAAATGGATGACGTCCCTCCCGCGATTCCCGAGAAGCCCCCCACCACTGTCAGCGATAGCGACAACACCCTTCCACCTCTTCCACCATCCTCGATACCCAACCCAATACTCAATGGCCGACATGATTCGCGACCACAGTCTCCTACATTATCAGTTGCCAGCGGTACCACCTCTACCGCACATAGAAGGTCTATGACGACCTCCAGAGGGTCCAATATGTCCGTATCCCTAATCTCGTCGGCTTTGGAAACCATTGCTTCCTCCAAGGAAGCAAAACGATCTGCACCGCTTCGAGAAGGAATTCAAAAGGCGCTGGAGCTCATTCAGACTAACCAAGCCATAGACCACGCTCGAGAAATCCTCGAACCTCTCCGCCTAGCATGCGAAACCCAGAACGAGAAGCTTGTGATCGCGAGTTTGGATTGCATATCCAAGCTCGTTTCATACTCGTTCTTCGCCGAGGAAAACGATGACGCGCCATCCAACACCTTTTCTCCGCCTCCTTCTCCCAACCCTAACCGTCGCTCTTCAATCAAGAGCTCGCAGGACTCCCCGCCCCAACCTTCTCTCGTGGATTTGGTCGCGCACACTATCGCATCATGCCACAACGAGAGCACTTCTGACACAGTGTCAGTCCAGATTGTGAAAGCTCTCCTCGGACTGGTTCTATCGCAAACGACCATTGTTCATCACCACTCCCTGCTGCAGTCAGTGCGAACCGTTTACAATGTCTACATTACAAGTACAAGCCCCCAGATCCAGATGCTGGCCCAAGGCAGCCTCACGCAAATTGTCGACCACGTCTTCAACCGCTGCAAGCTGGAAGGTCGAAATCGGGAACACCAGCTGACTCCATCCCACCATAGCACGGAGAGCCTACCCATTTCACCCAGGCGCGAATCTGGAGCCCTTCCACAAATTCCCATGGTCGGACAACATGGCGAACCAACAGGAAGCCAGTCGTCTGTGACAACAGAGTCTGTGGGATCCTCGACGAGCTTGCCGAGACCTGAGGAAGATCGAGAATCCGTCCTTGCAGATGGCCAGTCAGTGCACACCAACGACGATCGATCTTCAACTTGGACTGCAAGTAGCTCGACAAATCCAGGGCTTTTGGCGCCTAGGATGACGGTGCACCAACTGACCCTTCGAGACCTGTTCTTGAAGGACGCTTTCCTGATTTTCCGTGCCCTATGCAAGTTGTCTCTCAAACCGATTCCACCCGAAAAGTAAGACCTTTCATAGGATTTCCCCCCGTGTCATGCTAATTCGTTACCAGTGAGCAAGACCCCAAGGCACATACGTACCGAAGCAAGGTTATGTCACTGCAGTTGATTCTTCATGTCTTGAATCAGCACATGGCTCTACTCGTGGACCCCGCCTCGATCATCTACTCCAGTTCTACCCAAGACACTGTTACATTTGACAAACAAATCTCTCCGCACCTATTGCAGTCTCTTACTCGCAATGCGCCCAGTCCAGTCCCCGCGGTGTTCGAGCTCAGTGTCGAGATCTTCTGGCGAGCCTTGTATAGTATGCGAGCCCAGCTCAAGGTAGGGCAAACAAGCGTCTTCTGGCCATGATATCCGGGGCTAATTTGTTTTAAACCTGCAGACGGAAATCGGTGTTCTCTTGCATGAAATTTATATTCCCATCCTTGAGATGAAGACCTCTACCCTGCGACAAAAGGCAGTCATCCTTGGGATGCTCGCCCGGTTATGCCAAGAACCGCAGGCCTTGGTGGAGATTTACTTGAACTATGATTGCGATGAACGGGCCGTGGATAACATTTACGAACGGTTGGTGTCCGTGTATTTGTTTATGCGGTGAAGCTGATGTCGCTTCCAGCCTCATGAATATAATATCCAAGTTCGGCACCACGAATGTCGCCCCCAGCGCCAGCAACAAGCTGCCAGAACCTCCCAGCCCAGGTCTGAGCCCGGGGCCTAGGAACCAAGCCCATGCTGCCAACTCGTTGAACGGCGGTGTATTGGCTGCCTCTGGGACGTTAGACACGTCCACATTGGGCCTATCTGAAACCCAGATCAAACGTCAAGCGTTAGAGTGTCTTGTGGCCGTGCTACGGTCCCTCGTGGCCTGGGGAACACCGCCAGTTGCGAAGCCCACTGATTTCCAAACACCTTCATCGGCGCGGTCACAGAATGGGGAAGAGTCTCGTCGGGACACCCCTTCCATCTCGGAGCGTCTTACCACTGGGAGCAGCGGAGATCTCAGGTTATCCACTCCTGAACCTACAGACGACCCAAGCCGGTTTGAGAGTGCTAAGCAAAGGAAGACGGCATTGCTTGAAGGGATCAAGAAGTTCAATTTTAAACCAAAGCGAGTAAGTCTACACTGTCGAACTATTCTATGACACCTCCCTCATCGTCTTCCAGGGGATTCAATTCTTGATTGAGAATGGCTTCATCCCAGACAACAATCCCAAGTGCATCGCGACCTTCCTCCATGAAACGGATGGCTTGAACAAGACGATGCTCGGTGAATACCTCGGAGAAGGGTGAGTAACTTGATGCTCACCTCCCCTGACCAAGACCAACCAATCTCTATAGGGATGAAGAGCATGTTGCGATCATGCACGCCTTCGTCGACATGATGGACTTCAAAGACACTCTCTTCGTTGATTCTCTCCGACATTTCCTTCAAGCATTCAGGCTGCCCGGTGAAGCCCAAAAGATCGATCGCTTCTTGCTGAAGTTCGCTGAACGATACATTAACGGCAATGCCAAGACGCCATTCGCCAACGCTGGTTGGTGTTATTTATCTCGAGACTGGGACGTGACCGCTAACGTCTTGATAGATGCCGCATATGTTCTCGGTTATTCAGTCATCATGTTGAATACCGATGCTCACAATCCTCAGGTCAAGAAGAGGATGACGAAAACCGATTTCATCAAGAACAACCGTGGCATCAACGATGGTTCAGACTTGCCAGAGGATCTTTTGTCTTCAATCTTTGATGACATTGTCTCCAATGAAATTGTCATGAACGATGAGATCGAAGCGAAATTGCTTCAAGGTCACGCTGGGATTGCAGGGGCATTGGCCAGCGTTGGCCGTGACCTTCAGAAAGAAGCATATGTATTGCAAACGAGCGGAATGTCCAACAAAACTGAGGTAGGTCCGCTGTCCTTTAATATGGGACTGGGCTGATCGTATTCCAGACACTTCTCACTATGATTCGAAGCCAACGAAAAAACTCGAAACAGAGTGATCAGTTCTACAGTGCCTCCCAATCCATTCACATTCGTCCCATGTTCGAAGTCGCCTGGATGCCCTTCCTGGCGGGCCTATCAAACCCCTTGCAGGAGACGGACGATCTGCAGGTTGTGGAACTGTGCCTCGAAGGTTTTCGACATGCCATTCGAATTGTGTGCACATTCGACTTGGACCTCCAGCGCAATGCCTTCGTGACCACACTGGCGAAGTTCACGTTCCTCAACAACCTGGGTGAAATGAAGATCAAGAACATGGAGGCCATCAAAGCTTTGCTTGATGTCGCTGTCCATGACGGCAATAATTTGAAGGCTTCCTGGAGGGAGGTGCTCAAATGTGTCAGTCAGCTGGAACACATGCAGTTAATTGGAACGGGTCCAGACGGCGTCGACGCGGGCGGGAAGGGGTACGTCTACTCTTGTCGCATCAATGTACAGGACCTCATTCCGGTTTCACAGACGCTCCAAGCGAGTGCCCAATGAGGAGTTGGCAAGCCAAAGCCGATCTACACACATCACAGTAGCTGCTGATATGGTTTTCTCTCTCAGCCACTATCTCTCAGGGGTAAGTTCCAAAATCTGCAAACGGTGCAGCTCCTAGTTTATTGAGAATTTCGCAGACTGCAATCGTCGACTTTGTTCGCGCTCTTTGCGACGTATCGTGGGAGGAGATCCAATCGTCTGGAAATTCTACGCATCCTCGTCTTTTTAGTCTTCAAAAGTTGGTCGATATCTCGTATTACAACATGAACCGTATCCGTCTCGAGTGGTCCAACCTCTGGGAGATTCTCGGTGAACACTTCAACCAGGTACTTGATCTCTCTCAGAAGTGGCCTTGGTCTTAATGGCTTAATGACTGTTTCCCCTTAGGTCTGCACTCATCCAAATGCTGTCGTTGCCAGCTTCGCATTGGATGCCCTGCGCCAGCTCGCCGTGCGATTCTTGGAGAAAGAAGAATTACCTCACTTCAAATTCCAAAAGGATTTCCTGAAGCCTTTCGAATATACCATGATCCACAATAGGTCCACCGACATCCGAGACATGGTGCGCTTCTTCATGACAATTGAGGCCGTCGCATTGACCGCTCCCATCCACAGGTTTTGCAATGTCTTCATCAAATGATTCAGGCCAAAGTACATAACCTTCGTTCCGGCTGGAGGACTATGTTTGGCGTCTTCAGTGCAGCATCGAAAGTGATGGAAGGAATCGATATTTCGCGTGCACCCGACGCTCTTGAGATCGAAGGCATCGTCATCTCGGCTTTCGACATCGTAAAGAACGTGAACGCGACTCATTTTCCCTCCATCGTTAAGCACGGCGCCTTCGCAGACCTGACCGTCTGTATTACTGATTTCTGCAAGATTTCCAAGTTGCAGAAGATCAGCCTTTCAGCAATTGCCATGCTTAGGGATGTTATTCCGGTTATGTTGAAGAGCCCAGAGTGTGGGCTTAGCACAGAAAATATTGCCCACGACCCAGACCAGCCCATGGACGACGGCATGATCAAGTACTGGTATCCGGTGCTTTTCGGATTCTACGATATAATCATGAACGCGCACGATCTAGAAGTCCAAAAACTGTACGTCCACTTCCCTCGGTCCCCGAATTGCCCGTCTAAGTCTTCCATAGGGCCCTGGAATCACTCTTCAGCGCGCTCAAGGTGTATGGGACGACCTTCCCAGCAGAGTTCTGGGACACCGTTTGCCAAGAACTTCTGTTCCCTATCTTCGCCATCCTTAAGAACAAGCATGATCTATCACGGTTCCATTCCCAAGAAGACATGAGTGTCTGGTTGCAATCGACGATGTTCCAGGCGCTTCGTGCTCTCATCGAGCTCTTCACCTTCCATTTTTCAATCCTGGAGAGGTTACTGGACGGTCTTTTGGAATTGCTATCGGTCTGCATATGCCAGGGTGAGTGCCTGGAACCTTTGCCGAGACTCTCCAACTAACGTCGCAACAGAAAACAAAGCGTTCTCTCAAATTGGCACCTCTTGTTTGCAGCAACTGTTAGAAACCAATGTAACTAGGCTGAGCCCTGAACGTTGGGAAAAGGTGTCGGCGACCTTCGTTCGTCTATTCCGAACTACGACCCCCCACCAGCTCTTCGACGAGAATTTGAGGGCCGAAAGCGTCCTGACGTCCGAGTCTAATGCAACACTACCAAGTGGGTGTCCCCTTTGTTCCTTCACCTTTCGTCGATTCACCCACAATCGTATAGATAATGATGACGGCACCACTATCGTCCCTGCCCCCCTTTCACCCAACCATGAGCGGCTGGATCATGATCAACCAATGACAGCCCAAGTCAGGCAGCAGATATTTGGCCAAATCATCGTCAAGTGCATCCTACAGCTTTTATTGATCGAGATGACCAGCGATTTGCTCAAGAACGAAGAGTTCTACAGCGCTATTCCTCCGGATCAGTTGCTGAAGATCATGGGCATCCTTGACCACAGTTATCAGTTCGCTCGCTCGTTTAACGACGACAAGCAATTGAGAACGGAACTGTGGAAAGTTGGTCAGTAAAACTCAAGATTGATTTCAGCTCTCTTGCTTATCCACAAGCACAGGCTTCATGAGGCACTTGCCTAATCTATTGAAGCAGGAATCGACCAGTGCCGCAACTCTTGTCAATGTCTTGCTTCGAATGTATTATGACAATCGCCCCGATTATCGTCCCTACCGCCACCAAGTTGCTGAGAGGTTACTTCCGTGAGTACTATCCAAATTACAACATTTTGCATGAAACCGACTTGTACACGTAGTCTGGCTTTAGGCGTTCTCGGAGACTACAACAAGCTGCGCCCCGATACGCAAGCCAAGAATATCTATGCTTGGAACCCAGTTGTGGCAGAGATTCTGGATGGCTTCGGTCGATTTGATGACAACGCGGTAAGCCCAAGAAACTCTTGAATAGGATCCGTGACTGAGTTGCCGCGCCCCCAGTTCAATACGTTCCTTCATGCGATCTATCCTCTGGCTGTCGAGCTTCTCTCAAGGGACATTCCTCCCGAGATTCGCCAACCTCTCAAGGTCTACTTCCTTCGAGTCGGTCGCGCACAGGGTATTATAGACGTTTCCTCATAACCTATTTATTATATTTTATTCGCTGTGGTAATAACTCGAGCAGTCCATACTCATGCATGCCAATATACACCGTTCGTCATCGGAATCCCATCCCGCCTTGCCCGTAACCTTGCCCCATCCACCCGGTGGGTTGAGCTTGGAGAGCTAGTCGCTCGTTAGACCTATGCTACAAGAAATCAGATAGATACTTACGATTTCTGAATGGGTCGTAAACGTCTGCAGAGCGAGGTGCGCTCTCGTCTTCGAAGGTCCCTGACTTCATTGACGCGAAGACGCTGGCTGGCGACGTGTCCTTAACTTGCGTAGACGGAAGCGGCGGGACTGGAGGAATATTAGAAAAGTTGTTAAAGTTGCCTGAGTTCATCGAAGGGTTGAATCCCGTGGGATCTGGGGACATTGGTCAATCAGGTATCGTAGTCAGATGGACGATCCACTTACTAGGTTGCAATTGGCCGAATCCAGAACTATTCTGAAGTCCAAAGCCGTTGTTCATGGGCATGCCAGTAGGCTGTGCCAAGAGACCTTGGTTCATCGGCATCCCAGTGGGTTGAGACATCAGGCCTTGATTCATAGGCATACCCGTAGGCTGAGCCACGAGGCTGTTACCCATAAGCATCCCAGTTTGCTGGGGCAACATAGGAGACATGGAAGACGGGCTCAGTGAGGTATGCATAGGCTGAAGTGTGTTCAACTGGGGTGCGGGAGAAGGGTTGTTGTTAAATGCGGGAGGTCTCGTAGGCACGAACGAATTGAAGCCTGTTTGGGTGGGTATCAGCGGCTGCAGCAGCCCTTGGTTCGCTGGGACAGGGGCGAAGGGGCCTCGGGGTCCATTGTTGAGGGAGGGTGCAGGGCTGAGCGAAGGTTGCTGCTGAGAAATCTGGCCCATAGGTACAGGAGAGTGACCCATTCCCATTCCGGCGCTAACAGGGAAGGATGCGGAATTCTGGACTATCGGAGGGGAAGCAGTCACGGTCGGTTGCTGCATCTGTTGAGCCGGGGGAGAAGCGGTTGTTCGCAGGTTCTTCAAACGCTCCAATTGTTGGAAGATATCATTCTCCGTCGTTTGTGCCAAAGGTTTAGGCGATGTGGAGGCGGCAGGCGGGGGTGGCGCTGGAGCTGTCGGGGCAGAGGTGACTTGCGCTGTTGGTGCCGTTGTCGTGGCTGTAGGTTGTGGCGCAGTCTCTTGAGCAGGGGGCGCGGAAGGAGCACGCGGGGTAGTAGCAGTGGCCGCCGTCGTGCTTGGTTTCGCAGAGCTTGGCCGCGGAGCCCACGCATCATCCTCGAAGCCACTCGAAGCTGGGACGGTAGCCGACGATGAACGAGGTGGGGCTTCAACAGCGGGCGTGGATGAGGGCCGCGCGTTTGGTGCAGCGGTTTGTGGTGAGCTGGTACGCTGAATTGCGTCGGAAGCATTTGAAAGCGTCCTAATGTCGACATTGTCCAAAGGCAAGGTTCCTTTAGGTTGAGGACGGCCTCTTCGCACATTGGCCTTCAACGCCCCACCAGGACCCGCTGCGAAAAGGTTTGGCGGAGTCTTCCGCCCCTGGTTTTCTTGAGCTTGCAATTGTCGGGCCAGCTCCTCATCCTTCTTTATCTGCTCCTGGATGTAGGGGCTCGGTTTGATGAGGTTGTCGGTCGGCTTGCGCTTCTCGATCGCTTTCTTTACACGGATGATATCACCCTCTCTCAATCCCAGCGAACGCATTGTCGAATCAGTGATATCCGTGAGTAGTGTCTCGTCTATCTTGTCGCGTTCGAATGCCGATGCGTATTTAGTGCAATCATCGACATCACATCCAGCAGACAAGAAGAAGTCAAACCAATCGATGGTCGGTGCCTTCTTCTTTGGGACAGCGGGAGGGCGCGAAGAAACCCCAGCAACAACACCAAGCGGGACATCGTCATCTGAAAGAACACCGTTAGGGCCTCGCTGTTTCTTGGCCATCAGTTTCTCGACATGGCGCATATCCTCAACCGACATCTTCTCTGCAGGGACCTCGACGATGACACCGTTGACCTTGTGCAACCGTAGTTTTCCATTGTTGAATCCGAGGAAGGCAGCTTCAACGCGGAACTGTCCTGTCCTGTCGTGCCAAATGCGCGTCTTGTCCGGAGGAGGACCTAGATGGAAGTCAGCTTGGCGAAAACGGTAAATAGGTATTTGGTACGAACGAGTTAGTTCCTGGGATTTCTTGGAGTTCGACGAGGTAGACTTGCTTGGGCTGGTTACTGAGGCAGGAGGACTGGCATCAATAGTGAGCAAAGACATGCAACAAATCTGAGAGGGAATCATGTCCTACGATTGGGGTGGTGGGGTAGTAACCTTCCTGGCTTCCTTGCGCCTCTGGCGTTCGGCTTCGGCGGCTGCTACCCTGGCCTTTTCCTGAGCCTCCCTCTTCTTTCGCAATGCCTCCTCTTCCTGAAGACGCGCAGCTTCCTTCTTCTTCCGCAGCACTTCCTCCTTCTGAAGTCGTGAAGCTTCCTCCTTCTTTCGTAATTGCTCCTCTCGCTGGAGCCGTTCGGCTTCCTCTCGTTCAGCACGTTCTCGTTCCTGACGCTCCTCCTCTTCAGCACGACGTCTCTCTTCCTCCTCTTCTACCGGCCTTCTCACCTCTGCGTTATCGGCACCAGTAGATTGAGAGTCATCGATAAGCTATAAGGAGACTGCATTAGAATGATATCTTTTGGAAACTCGGGGAAGGGACTTACCTCAAGGTAGGACGCAGGGACGACGCCTTCCTGTCCTCTCATGTTACGGCACTTCCACCAGTCGTCGCTATCTCTTTCTAGTACGACAAGGCGCTCTCCTTCCGATACGGACAATTCATCGTCTCCGTCTGCGGTAAAGTCGTAAAGAGCAGTCGCGTTCTCGAATTCCTGCTCGTGCTGCTGGGGAATGTCTTCGTCGTCTGATTCAACTGCAGGAGCCGGCGGTATGATCTGTGGAGCGGAATCAAAGGTGACATTGCTCTTTTGCTTGCCATCCTTATGCCCTGAGCTCATGGCAGGTGGCAGCCGACGCGGTGTGCTTGGGCTGCCGGAAGGAGCTGTTGTTGAGAGTGACTTTGAGGATTCCGTCTTCGCGATGATTTCCTCCGCATTGTCTTTCGATCCAGCATGGAAATGCAATGAAACTGGGTTGGGTCCACCGACTTCAATCTGTACATGTTTGGCCTTGTCCGACGATACCTCGAGCACATCAGAGGTTTGCCACTTCTGAACTGCAGCCTGTGAAGGGTTAGATGATGGGGGTAAGGGATCAAATATCGTAGTACACACCTTGTCGGATTCACTGGCAAAGAATAATGAACCATTGCCAATTCCAAGTGTGCCCTTCTTCTTCTTCCCCTTCTTATCAATCTCGGACACGGACCAGGTTTTGATATCGTCTGCGGTGATCTTGTGGGATGCAACACGGTCGGCAGGGTCGATATATGTACTGACGGGGCGGGGCGGCTATTGGATCCAATGAGTAAGAGAATGGCGGGAGAATTCGGGACATACAGAGTCGGGAATAACAATGTGTGAAGCAGTGGTAGGTTCGGGCTGATCGTCGGACGCCGTATCCTCGACGTAGTTCCCGGGTACGTAGCCAGCGCCGTCTGCTGTATGTGACTGGGCAAGGATCCAGTCACCGTCCGTCTCGAACAGTCGCAGAATATCGTCCTCCTTGACGGATAATTCCCCTGGAGCTGCAGCGTCGTAGTCGTAGAGGACCTTGACGAGGGAGCTATGTTCGGCCTGTGACGGGAGTCAACCCGATTCGACATTGGGTCGATGAGCACACACGCACCTGCTCCACGTATGCAGCTGGTACCAATCCAACAGGGCCGTCGTCGTCTTGCGAGTCGCCTTTGACTTTAACTTTCCACCAGCTGTGTACCAAATCAGGGGGATGAGAAGACCAGAGCAGTTGGGTTCTGCACGTACTCCTCGTCCGTTCGCTCTACCAAGAAAAGGACCTGATCTTCTTTGATCGCTACTTCGTCGCTGGATTGAGGATCATAGTCGTAAGAAGCTTTGAGGACGGCCAGGTAAGTTTCTGGTTCTGTGGTATTGGCCATAGTGGAGGGTCGAACGCTGGTGATGGCCCGCCACGCTGAATATGATGGACTCTGGTCAAACTGGGAAAGGGCAAATAAATGACAGATCATAAACAACGGTGCTGATCCTATTTTCTCAGTGAGGTACATAGAGATAATATAATATACGTAGATTCGAGTACTACAAGGCCATTGAATGCTACCTAGTGGCAGGACCGTTCTGTGGATGAAGATATTGTTATTAGTAAACGGTGGATAGATGATTTGATCGCGGCGTTCATTATCAATTTGAGCTTTTCGTCTATCCACCATGAGCAAGCTCAACGCCAACGCCTTTGCCTTTGTCCCAGGCAAATCCTTTGCTATTCCTTCGACTCCTCAGCCCCAGGCTCAACCTCAGCCCCCACCCATTGAGCGACCAGAGCAGACAGAGGCGCCCAAGCCCCCTCCAACCATCTCCCTCAACATTGGAGGCTCAAAGCCCACTCCACCCACGCCTGCTCAGACTCCCCCTCCAGCTCAGGTACAACCACAAAAGCCTGCAGATGCACCAAAGCCCGCTGCCACTGTCAAGGCAGGCACTGGCAGCAGCTCAAAAACATTCTCAACGGAGCGTGCCAAGACCGATACCAATGCTATCGCACAAGAGGTCAAGGAAGCAGCCGATAAAGCTGTTCTCGAGGATCTCTATGGAAGCCGTAAGTGCCATCTTGCACATTGTCGAGTACCCGTTCGTTGATCTTGCATTCCTAGTCAAGGAACACTTGAACATCGTCTTCATCGGACATGTCGATGCCGGCAAGAGTACTTTTGGTGGGAACCTCTTGTACCTTACCGGTATGGTCGACAAGCGTACACTGGAAAAGTACGAAAAAGAGGCCAAAGAAGCCGGCCGTGACTCCTGGTACCTTTCATGGGCTCTCGACTCAACGCCTCAAGAACGTGCCAAGGGTAAAACTGTCGAAGTTGGCCGCGCGTATTTCGAGACTGACAAGCGTCGATACACTATCCTCGATGCTCCCGGACACAAGACCTTTGTTCCTTCCATGATCTCCGGTGCTGCCCAAGCAGATGTTGCTATCCTCGTTATCTCTGCGCGAAAGGGTGAATTCGAAACCGGTTTCGAGCGTGGAGGTCAAACCCGAGAGCACATCATGTTGGTCAAGACCGCTGGTGTATCAAAGATGATCATCGCTATCAATAAGATGGACGACTCCACTGTCAACTGGGAGGAGTCCCGATACAAAGAGATCAAGGACAAGATGACGCCCTTCGTCAAAGCCGCTGGCTTCAATCCTAAAACTGATGTCACTTGGATCCCACTGTCAGCCTACACCGGTGCCAACTTGAAGGAACCTGTCCCCAAGTCCGTGTGCTCGTGGTACAGGTACGTCGACTCCCTGATCGCTACCCTATTACTTCTAACTCTTCTCCAGTGGCCCACCTTTCTTGGAACTTATCGACAACATGCCCATGATTGAGCGCAAGATCAACGCTCCACTCATGATGCCCGTCTCCGAGAAGTACAAAGATATGGGCACCATCGTTGTCGGCAAGATCGAATCCGGCCATCTTTCCAAAGGTGAAAACCTCATCCTCATGCCCAACAAGGATTCCGTCGAAGTTGCGGCCATCTATAATGAATTGGAAGAAGAAGTTGACCGAGCCCTCTGTGGAGACAACGTCCGAATCCGAATTCGCGGTGCCGACGATGAAGACATCAGCCCTGGATTCGTACTCACCAGTCCCCTCAAGCCCATCCACGCCGTTCGCCAATTCGAGGCCCAGCTTGCCATTCTGGAGCACAAGAGCATCATCTGCGCTGGCTACTCTGCTGTTATGCATATTCACACTCTTTCAGAAGAGGTCACTTTGACGGTTAGTTGGTCCCCTGCCATTCAACCCACCATGATCTGACCGTTTTCACCAGGCACTTTTGCATTACTTTGACAAAGCCACTGGTCGCAAGTCGAAGAAGCCTCCGCAGTTTGCGAAGAAGGGTCAAAAGATTGTTGCATTGATTGAGACCAGCGCGCCTGTTTGCGTGGAGAGATTCGTTGATTATCCTCAACTGGGACGATTCACTCTTCGAGACGAAGGCAAGACCGTCGCCATCGGGAAAGTGAGTTTATGTCAATACAATACTTTGATTACAGTCTTTGATACCTTCATTCTAGATCACCAAGTTGGTTGAGACTTCGACGATTGACGAGGTGGCGGAGGGCGTCTCTAACATCTCTGTCAACGCTTAAGTTAGATGACTGACTCCCAGCATTAATTGGAACTAGCACAAGCGATAATGTACTCATGCCACGATTTATGATCACACTCCATTTCATGCACATAAGTAACTTTGCATGGAGGGTGTAAGAATCGTGAGGCATTGATGGTTTTTGCCAAGCGAATGATGCCGTCATCAAATGCAAACCGCGGTCGCAGCTGAGGTAGCCGCAGGATTTGGCATGGACTCACCGCAACCACCACCAAATCTATCCCCGTTATTGCACGCAGCAGCTCTTCTCTTGTCCAGTCAGAAGGCAGAAGGCTCAAATCATCAATCTCAGGATCTCAGAGCTCTTCTAGAAGCCCGCCTACAAACCTTTTACGCTGAGCAAGGCAAGGAGAACAATGGCGAGTTCGATACATTAGAAGATGTCCAGCTGGCCACGGCGATAGAGGCTTTATCAATAATTGAGGCCATCGACTCAATGCTACGGTCACATATATCAGTCTCAATTCCAATCGGTGCTCGTGACTGGCGAACAGTGCGGACGCTGATTTCGCTCGTGTTCAAGTGGGGGCTCCAACCATTACTTGCTTCAATAAATGAAGTCTGGGCTCCTAAAGCAACGAACCGACGTTTTGTCGAGGTCGACTCCAAGTCGAAGGATCACCAAAAGCTTGCCATGCTCATCACACGGATAATGACTCTGATCTTCCCCGAAGGGCTCAATAAGAGCCTATCCCAATCCCCCGTTGCTGGAGAGGTGGCCCAACGACATACGGTAGACGTTTTGAGGCCTGCGTTGACCTTGGGTTGGCTTCCAAAACAACTCGCCACGTCGGCACTGCCTGTTATCGACCACCTTCGACCGTTTGCTATGCGTTTACTTTCCAGGTACGTTCTGGTCCCTCGAAACATGTTGGCGTCCTTTTGTAACCTCTGCATCGGTAGTTTATCTCCAGCCATCGTTATCAGTGCTTTGGGCAACATCCTTTCTGGCCAAAATGACCTCCCGCCGTATGTTCGACGGACGGCGTCTAACTTTCTTACTCAGCAGTTGCTTCGACCGGGTGGAGTGCTTGGATTGTGTGAATCAGTATTTGGGACTGAAGAGGCTTTGGGTGAAGATGTCCCGCTCGATAAACTGGAGAAAGTGTCCCGCACGCTGCTGTCCGTACCCGCCAAAATGGACTCAAGCGTACGTGATTTTCGCTTCCTATCGTTCTAGTGGTTAACGGATTGACATTAGGAATACTTCCACAAAGTTGTCCCCAAAATTCTTCAACTTCTAGCCGACAACACACCCGCATCCTATCGTAAAATTGCAGCGTATACGTTATCTCAGATGCTAGGCTCCGACAAGACGTTCGTCCATCGGGAGGTGGCCAGCTCGGTCATATTCTCTACGCTCCACAGACCTTTCACCACGCCCCCACCAATCATTGAAAACGTTGGCATTGTGGCACAGGAAAACCCTGACCTGCTCAGGCCATCTGTGGCCCTGTCTAGGCTACTCGTGCTGATCGCAAATTGCGACCCTTCGCCAGAAGTCATCTCGAACTTGCTGGAGCCAATAGTTCCTGCGCTTTACTCCCTCTTATTCCATTTGTCGACACATAGAGCATCCGATCCTCGATTGAAGGAGAGTGTGCAAGGACTTCTCACGACATGGGGTAAGATTGTGGATACGGTAGGAGCGGTTGGGGTATTTTGGGTTATCATTGTGCAAGGACAGTCCTTGCATTGGAAGACGGATCTGGAGGGGAACTTCTCCCTCAGCGAAGTGTATGTACGTTCCTACGGTCGTCGCTGTGCTCTAGTTGACGTTGTCCCAATAGCCCGGAGCAGAAGGCAAAGCTGGATTTCTTGTTACCCGAAGACGCTGTTGACGGGGAAAACGAACCTGATATCGACACCAACCTGTTCGACTTTTATCCTGACCCTGTCCATTTCGTATCTTTCCTCAAGGGGTTGGACAGAGGAGATGTTGTTTCGGAACTTTTCATCAAGCTACTGGAAGCATATCGGGAACAGAGAATGATGGGGCGAAGACAAGATCCTATGAAGTGAGTACGCTGTGGCCAAAACCCCGACTGCCGCTGAACACTGCAAAGGACGCTCCATTACCTTCAAATATTCATGCAGATGCAAGTTCAACTACTGGGTGATACATCTTCAAGTATCTTGCGTCAGCCGGAACAGTTGCTGTCCTTTGTCAAACAGGTTCTCGAGTCTGCTTCGTCGCAAGATGAAGAGACAAGGTCGGGTCCTGAAGAAATAGAGTTGGGCAGTCTGCGAATCGTACCAAGGGATGAAGATGAGTTGTCTGAAGGGGACAGTGACGATGACGACCCAGATTCTGAGGTGGTGAAACCAGACGACGAGCTTCTCGAAACGACGATAAATCTGTTGCTATCTGTCTTGGAATGTGAGTTCCCTGTTCATCTCCCGATGATCCTTGCTTACCCGCCTTCAGCGCATGAAGACCTCTCAGTACGACAAACGCCCGCGTTGAACGACATTTTCGAATTGTTGGAGCCCATATCACTCAATGGTTCCTCCATCCTCCGACCATTGGCGCGCGAAGCAAGGATGGTTATCACGGCTCGCTCAGCTTCATCGTCTACAATGAATCAGCAGCCGGGGAAAGCCGAGAAGGAAGGTTCGCAAGAGAAGTATCAAAAGGCACTGAAACTTCTACAAGACCCCATCCTTCCGGTTCGGGCCCACGGACTACTCCTCCTCAGAGAACTCGTCACCGTCTATTCCAAGGGCAAAGGGAGCAAAGCTGGGAACATCGATCCCGCACTCACTCCTGCCATATTATCCATATTCCTCCAGTCGATCCAGGATGAAGATTCATACATATTTTTGAATGGCGTCCAAGGCCTCGCCTCTATGGTGGATGGCTTCGGCTCGGAGGTGCTAGCGAATCTTGTTCGAGAGTATTCAGATGGACTGGAGCGCAACGGAGCGTTTATGACTGAGCAGGAGCTCAACAACCGCGTCAGGGTCGGAGAGGCGTTGGGCATTGTCATCAAGCGGTGTGGGACGAGTCTCGGCAAGTACAGTAAGTGGTCTGCTGTCGATCGATTGGGAGAACAGGCGACTGAACTGGTTCGCAGGGGACATGCTAATTCCCGCCCTGATTCGAGTGTTTCGCCTACGGACCATACCGGTTACCCTCCGAACGTCCTCGTTATCGTTGTTGGCCGATGCGATCGACACTTACCCTCTGGCTATGCTTCCCTACATCGAGGACCTCGGACAAAGCATGGTCGACCTTCTTCAGGTAGAAACTCAAGGAGCGAACGAGTCCGCCGCACCTCCGCCGTCCAAGAATGAGAAAAATGATGAAGGGAATAACGAACAGGATGATTCCAGACGACCTCCCGGAGACAATGATCACCTTGCTACAAACCCGAAGTATCCTCCACTTCGCAGGGCTGCGTTGCATCTCCTCGGTTTACTCATTCGGTCAACAACGCGAAATCTGGATGACGACAATCCGGTCATACCGTTCTCGGGTAACTTGATGAAGAGGGCGCGACTGACATTGGGGTATGTTGCATCTACAGACCAGGATGGAGTGGCGAGGGCTATGGCCCGAGAGATCAAAGAGGAGATGGCAACATTCGAAGCACATCTACTGGGACACGAAACCTAGGAAATACATATATCGACCACGAGTTGCTTTGCATGTTTACCCCGTATCTGTCTCAGACCTTGTATGCTTGGTATGACTGAGTCAATGAAGGGTATGGTTTTTTGTCGGCCCATAGGGTCGCACAGAAAAACGAGTGTGATCTAGACGTCGAGAGTCTGTGCGACGAAGCCTTGCAACGGACGTTCCGTTGTTTGAACGTGCGTGGTTCTCTTTCCTCTAGATATCAGAGCGTTCATTGGCCGCCTGCAACCACTTGACTAATATCATCGACACGCTTTCTAAAATTCTTCCACTTTGGATTTCCGGCCAAGATGTGTAGCTGCTGGTCACTGGAACTGCGGTCGCGGGCCACGAATGGGTTGGAGATTGCGTTGTAGTAGGCCATGTGAAGCGCCTTGAAGATCTAAAGATAAAGAGTGCATTCAGCGCAAGAGTATGATGGAACAGGAATATACTCACTGAGATGACCTCTGAATCTTTGACTACAGCGTCAGTCAACGCAATGGCCAATATAATCTTGACCTTCAACGGCGTCACGTATCCATAGACGGCGACATCCTCCATGGAGTAAAGCAGTCCCAGATAGCAGTCAGGGAGTTTCAGCCCAACTATCCAAAGGCATCAGGTAAACGTCCTGGAGATTGTTGAGCAAAGGGTTGACAAACACCTCTCTCTTCGATGATGTCCAAACTCGTATGCGCGATGTAGTGGTATTTAATCTGTCCTTCGTCGTTCTCAGAGAAAGTTCTGATTAGAATAGGGTGATTTTGAGGAGATATGAACGCGACTGCGTTGAGCTTTAGCGATGGAGGCATCGTTGGCGAGTGAGGGTATCCGAGGAGAAAGGGGTTCCCACACCGTCATCGGTGAATACCGGTGGCGGATCATTTGATCCCGAGGTCCGGTCACCGTGCCAGCGCCAGGTCTTCGTCGCCCAAGTTAGCGCGCTGCCTTGCTCAGGAAATCAAGAAGAAAGGAACATAAATATGATCTAGTACAACATTAATATAGCCCGTATAATATACATTTACTTTGCGATGACAGGGGAGAGTGCCTATTAAAACGAGTAAATTGTAAGCACATCATCTGGCAACGAGACGAACTAACCTTCTTGGTCACTTCGAAGATTCTTCGCTGACCGGCGAACAAAATGGCAGCGGTCAGGACGCTCTGGACGATCTTGCTGCCAATGCCCTTGTAGAGACCCTCGACACCTTCTTCCTTGAGGATGGTGAGCAAGCCGTCGACTGACGACTTGTACTTGGTGGAACCAGCCTGGAGTCGGCTCTTCACGACACTAAACAGAAGCGTGAGTACGGTGGGGCTCATACATGAGTGGGTGACGCTCACATGTATGGGTAGGTAGCGGTGGTAGCAGCTAAGCGTGCATGATGAGTACAGATTCACAGGGGTCCTGAAAACACCCACCGAGCTTGGAGAGGGCACCGAGGAGGAAGAAGTCCCAGTCGGTGAGGGCTGCAACGGCAGCAGCAGCGCCGCCGGCAGCACGGAGGCGGGTAGTCCTCCTTGCAATCAAGAAGTTCTTCAACTGCTCGAAAACAGTGTATTGGATGATAGGGTTGATGACCAGAATGAGGGCAGGTCCAATGCCACGCCAGAAAGCACTAATAGTCGGTGTTTAGTTCCTGAGCGTTCAACATTAGGCGGGTAGGGGGACATACGCGATGCCATCCTTGGCGATAATGTTCTTTGCGGTCTCGAAGAAGCCCAACTTCTTGACAACGGCGGGTTGGTTGTCAGCACCCATGGTGCGGACGGCTTGGGAGGTCTGGACGACCCAGATAGGGTTGCTGATGATGGTAGTGGCGGAACCTAGGCGATTTTAGTTCCTCTGGCTCTGGTCCATATGCAAAGCGACTCACCAGCAATGAGACCCGTCAACATAGACTCCAAGGTACCCAAAGCCTTGGCTCCAGCGCCCTTGGAGCGGAGGATGGCCTCCCTCGAACGCTCATAGAAGTAGTAGTACACGCTGTAAAATGTTCATGTCAAAAGTAATGAATAGAATACCGACGACATACCCGTTGGTGACCGCAATACCCAAAAGACTGGAGTCTAATCCACTGTACAACCCCAAGACACCCTCACGCTTGATGATATCAATGACGGCCTGGTAGGTTGACTGAAAACGAGCCTGTCAGTCGCCGACCACTCTAAAGGAACGAGCAGAACCTACCTTGGGCTCATTCTTGGTTTCGACGGCAGCGCGAGTCGACAAGAAGATGAGGGGGCTATAATGGGTCGGTGAGGTCGATGCCGTAAGAACACGGAGGTCGGAAACATACTATGTCGCAGTCATTGCGACGATACCGCCTGCGGCACCAGCAATAGCGTGGATGGCAGAGTCGCTCATGGTTATCGAAAATGTTGTGCGAGGACTGTACAGGGAGATGGATGAAAAAGTTGGGATTTCAACGCATAATATTACTTTTAAGTTCGGGATTCGGTTGCAAGCGTCGAGGATCCATCCAAGGGAATCACATGTCAACATGTCACGAACGCGACGGGGCACGGCAAATCAGCTTGAACACGGAAGAGGCGGAAGCTTCCACTTCCCCACTTTCCTCCTGAATACTTCGTCGCTGTATGTACCCCATGCTCTCGAAAGCTTATATTATAGATAATCGTCTTTTGTGTATAGTACTGTATGTATGGCTACTAGTGCAGATTTCAGGCTACCTGCAGTTTCTTCAACATCCCCTTCAGCTCCTCGACATCTTTAGCAAATCCATTGTTACTTGATCCCGCCGACTCGAGTCGGGAAGGTTGGCCTCCATCGCCGGATGTCGGCCTCCCATCATCGAGACGTAGCCAATCGTCCAGCTGGGCGGCAACACTCTTGGCCTTTAACCGGAAGTGGGTGCGAATGATGTCCCCGAACGGTTCAGGCGGGTTCTTCAGGTTGCCTAGCATCTAGATAATGCGGGGTAGAGAAGTTTGTAAATTGAAAATTCAAAAAGATACCAAGGGAACAGAAGCGTACTGCTGTCTTGACCGTCATTCGGCGAACATTGGCAGAATCTGCGAGAGTCAATAACCACAATCTCCTTCAACCGGAGTGACCAGACGCACAAGCTTTCGACTGAGGACTGCCACCATTGTTCGCCCATCCCGGCTCGTTAAGATAAGGCTCTTCACAGAGAATCATGGACTGTATCGAAATCAAGACCTAGAAAACCAGACTGTCAGTTCCCAAAGTCTTATTCACAGATCCCAGGAACGTACTTGCAGCAGTGTCGACTTTCCTGCGATCCATCCTGGACCCGACCATGTTCCCAATAAAGAAAGGCAGACTTTTCCGTCCTAAACAAGTATTTTAAGGCAGGCCGAAAATGTGCACCAAAAGACCTTACTGCGTATAGATTGGGATTGAAGCGGAACTTGCCCCCGTTTGTCTGAATGACAGCGGGGTGAGCGACAAGTTAAAAACTGATAATCAAACGTACCGTCATGTACTTGACGTTTGGCGGTGACTGGTTGTAACTGGGACCAAGGAATATATCGAACAAGAAGCTTTGCGGAGATGTTAGGCGGTATCTTCACGTCTTTACTGCACACGTACCATCCATTCTGATATCTGCGCTTTCAAGTGAGTTACGGTGGCATATAACAAGGCAAGGGTCAACGTACGGAGTTCCCTCTGGACCGATAATCAACGCCTTAATGATGTCGACACGTGTTTCGTCTACTCTGAGGAAGATTGAAGAATCCCATGCCACCGGAAGGTTGGTCGTAAGAATGGCAAGCTAGTCGAAGACCAAGAGCTTTAGAGAACGACGTCGACAAATGGCATATGGGACTAACCTCTTTAGCAATAGCGAGAGACCGTTTGGGGATGTCAGAATTGACCAGTATCCGAGCTTCTGCGTCGAAGTAGAATTTATAGTGCGGTGGCTCGTCGTCACTTCCTCCAAGAGATGGAATAGTCAAATCACAATATTCGAATCTGGCACTCGTCGACCATTCCGTATAGATCTTTCTCGTCACTTCATCCGAAGTCGAACTATCAATCTTGTAGTCTTTCGAAGTCTCTGATGAGCCTGTCGTAGCGATTTTTGGGAGTGAGGCATGAAGTCGATCAACGAAAGCGTCGCCCTTGACTTCCCGCAGCGACCGGTCAATCGCCTTCACAGTGGCGAGTATCCTGTTGCAAAAGTTGAGGAGCTTCTGGCTTTCATCCGAGAGAACCAGGGTCTGTGCGATCTCCTTATCCTTCGCCTCCACTGTCATGCGTTTCTGTTCCTCGGTCAACTCATCTGTTGGTGCCTCTTGGGGCTTGCTCCCTTCTAAACCCTTGATTGCTGCTCTGGCCTGAATCGCGAGACCTTCCAACAATTCTCGTGGACTCGAACTTCCTTCATATATGATCGTACGTTCGCGTATTGTACCTTTATTTTGTCCCGAGGATTTCGTATTGACCGATTTCACTGAAGCGACCACCATGATTGGCATGGCCATCATGCTGGCCAGTGCTTCGTGGTTGGAGATGGTCTTGGGGACAACATCAGTGACCAGGGGCGGAGGGATGGTATACAAACGTACCTCTAGCCAATTTAGCAATTCAAAGTAGAGGACAGATCGGTCAGACATGTCAGTGAGGGAATCGTTGCGCAATAACGTGCTGCAGACATGATTGAAACGGCGACGAAGGTGTGCTAGTGCGGTTGGGTGGACGAGATAATCGCTGGCGGTTCCGCCACCTTCCCGATGGATATTGGGAAGGAAGACCCGGATCGCTGATAAGAATTTGCCCAGTTTCTCATCTTTAAGACGTTGTGCGTTCAGGGCTTCAATTTGTCCAGAAGTCTGTGAGATGTTATGGGACAGTCCGCTCGACGCAAAAAATGATATCACGTACATCTTCTTTCTGGTCACCAGCATACCCCGTTCCTCCCTTTGCCTTCTTCCCAGAGGCCCCAATAACACCGGGAAAGATTATACCAGGAATGTTCTCGTCGCCACCATCGTCGGTCCTCCTTCGTTTGCTGGTCCGCGAGCCCTGATCGACGACTGCACTTTCGTCCTTGTTCTGGAATAGCTGTTCGAGCATCAACAAGCCAACACCAAGAATCAAACCCTGCAAATCAGCGCAATGGAACAAGGGATCATTTGCGCTGGTCGTGGACTTCGCTTTCTCCTTCTCCGGTGAGACAGGTTCGCGGCAGGCAAGACAGACTTCCGAGTGGCACCGTTGACATCTCGCTCGGACAATTGAGCGCAGACGTTCAATGTAGGATGTAAAGTCCGACTAAGATCGAGTTAATACGAGTTGTCCTCGTTGACACAATAGAAAGGCGGGACTAACATGGAGTGCGAAGAAATCCCCCTTCCTTCGCTGAATCATTCCACCACAGTCGTGTGGACAGTTGAAATTCGGGTCGCTAAGCTGAGAGTAAAGGCCAAACAAGAATCCTTGTTCTCCCTTCTCTGGACAGCCCTTCATCCATTGCCCTTGGGTCAGCATCTTGAGGGACTCGTTCGACCCAGGCGGTGTGTACGTTTCCGGAACTTCTTCAATCTCGATCACTTCTTCCCGTCGATCCTTGGAGAAAAAGATCCCTTGCAGCAACGATGATGGTAAATTCACGGGAATAGCTGGGGGACGGTTTTCGACATACCTGCATACGGGTCGACGTCTGGGGCTCCATTACCCTTATCGATGGTTTCCCCAAAATCGGAGTCGTAGTCGACATAGTCGTCCTCTGCACAAGAGACAAAGGCCTCAGCACAGGAAAGGAATCCGCGGTCAGTGCCTCTCACCATCATCGTCTTCGTCCATTCCGTCTTCACCTTCGTCGTCTTCATCGTCGGAAGGCTTCAGGTACATCATGATGGGTTTAGATTGCGGGTGCACCATAGATATACCAACAAGGGATACTCACAGTGGACTTGCGCTTCGCTGATTCCCTGGATTTGGCGGCAGGCATTTCGACGTCTCCATCTTCATCTTTCAGATTATCGAAACGACCTTCAAAGATGGCTTCTGCAGCTTCCATGACATCTCCGTATCGCTTCAAGGCCGCTTTGGCCTGGGACAAAGTAGCGCCCTGTCAAGTCTTGAATGAGAACTTTTGTGCTAACAGGCCATTTGGTTGGATCGGGTTCCAAGGTGCACGCACCATGTCCATGAGCTGGGATATTTTGGCGTCCATAATCGAGAAAAAAGGGGAGGGTTGTGCGGTCAAGCGGTGGCGAAAGGATCTGAACGTGGAAAGGAAAGTACAAGTCACAGTACTGGGGAGTTTGGGATCATGATCATACTAGTAGGCACGTGTCTCGGCGCGTCAATACTCCTGTCTGGACCCAAGCCGACTCGCAGGTCGCGTCGCGCTCGCTAATTAACAGCTTCCCTTGTCCTCACATTCCTCTAAAATTTATGGTATACACCGACGGACCAGCGAGCTACAAGTTACAGGTGGAATAAATAAGCAAAGGGCCTAACCAGACGAATCAACACTTGAAGCCAGCGCCATTATAGCAGGGGAAGAAAAAGATAAATGTAGCAAACTAGCGAGCGTCAAATTTTCGTACATGCATAGTAGAAGATAATGTTACAAGATAAAAGCAACGAACCCCTCATAAAGCCCTGAAATCTAGCAACCATTTACTTCCTTGGGTTTCGTGGCGGTACCGGTGTGTTCTCGCGGTCAAAGCCCAGCGGGTAGGATGACAGGTCGCTGGTGAGCGCAAGCGTGTCCAAGCTTGCTCTCTGCCGACCGCGGTATGCAGGTGGGGGAGGGTCTGCTACATCGGCGCCCGAATCAATCTGGAAAGGGAAAGACCCGAGACCAGACGAGGCAGTGGAGAGTTGTGAACCTGTGGACAGGCCCAAGGTGCGACGGTTGGGAGGGGCAGGAAGGGATTCGTCGTCGGCATCACCTGATCCTGCAGGGGTGCTCGTGGTATTTTGTGAAAAGCGGTCCCCAGACAGGGGAGAAGGCGGTGCGACGGTGAACGTATGCTGACCGAGTGGAGAGGTAGAGTTGTTGGTGAAGGATTGTTGCGCTAGCGGTGAAACAGGTGGAGAGCGGAGTGGCCTGTTAGATATTGGAGAGGGAGGGACGAATGGGAATGACTCTAAAATGGAATCGGCGGTGGCAGAAATTGCTGATGAACCGGATACAGGGCGAGGTTTGTCCAAGCCTTGGGCCTGTGCTTGGGCTTGGGCGTGTGCCAGAGCTCGGGCTTGTTGTTCCTCGAGTGTGCCAACTGATGCACCCGCTGAAGACGGGCTTACCAACCTGCCCATAGTGGTCCTGTAGGTCTTGGCGGTAGAAGCGGTTCCGGGAGTAGCTAGACCGACATTGACACGTCTGGCGCTGGCAATATCAATGATGGATCCTGCTTGAGTGGCCATGCTTGAAGGGCGACTCATCCCATCGTCATGAGCGCCTTGCACCCAAAGTGACTGCGGCATGTCAGGCGTAATCCAATTCGAGGTAGAAGTGGATTCCCTGGCCCGAGTGGAAGCTTGACCATATGTGGTAGCGGTGGGCGGCGGTGAGGCACCATAGTCCGCGTGCGTCGATGAATGCTTGTCGCTGAAGGGATTCGCATCCTGAGATTCATCAGCCTCGGGTACGACGTCGCTAGGTCCAAATGAAGTAGCAGCCAAAGGGGAAGTGACCGCTGGACGGGAGAACGTGGGTGGTCTGAGGGTGTCGCTAGATGGGCTTGAGTGTAAGGAACCAGCGCTGATAACTTCCGCCTTGACTACTCCCAAAACTTGACGGACTGAACCCTTCATGGGAGTCATGATCATCGGCGCCTCGTTAAGCATTTCACTGGCAGAAGTCATGTTCGACATGTATGAATGTCGGTTGGTCGACGAAATTCCGGAAATGGTGGACGGGGCATAACCATTTCCAGCACGAAGGTTATCGCCAGATACGTTGACGTGTTCGAGATTAAGGTTGAGATCAGGCGAACGAGGTGGACGAATGGGGCCGTTTGAACCACCTGATACATTTGAGTCGCCGTCTGGTCGGCCTTCATGGCCGTCGGCAGGAACGAGGGCGATGGGTATGACATTGGTGCCTTCGCTTGCGGCGGTTTGGATGGAATTTGCATCGTCGAAAGGGTTCCTTACATGGTCGTAATGAGGATTGAAGGAAGGGGAAGTCTCCGTGCGTATTGTTGGATCCAGACCCACAGAGCGCGGTTCTGAATACGTAGGAGCGACTGGCTTCTCAATAGGATCCGGGCGATTGAGAACGTCCTCTGCTGGGGCAGGAACGTCCTTGAAATCTTGAGGGCCTTCGCGCTCCTTCTGCAGTCTAGTGGTACGACGGTACCAGAGATATGCGCCAACCACCAAGGCGAGAAAAAGCAATACACCGACGATCCCTCCGGCAAGCGCTCCCTTGCTGACCCCACCGCCTCCGCCCCCACTGCCTGGTATTGGAATGCATTTGTTAACTGCGCAGTTGTTGCAGTCCCTATCGACGCTGGTTGAGACGACGGTTGGCACGGTGGAGAATATTTTCTCACCTGTTTATGCGAATGCACTCCTCCTTGGAATAATCGCATTCACAGGGAGGGATAGTTGTTGGGCAGACGAGGCAGCCAAAGTCGTCAACCTCCAGTTGGCGGGGAAGGAGGCCGTTAATGTGCATTTTGAGGGAAAAGGAACGACGATAGTTGAAGATTAAAAAGGAAGAACGGGAAAGAGGACTGCGAAAAGGCCGCTCAGCGAACCAGTGCAGTGGGTAGTAACCGTAAAGATTCCTCCACGTGCCTTATCCCAATGTATACTTATACGATGACTAAGCAATGAATATCTCGGCCTCAGCAGCCAATAGTGCAACAGATGGCAATGTCTTCCACTTCTCCTGACGGTGAATGGGCCATTCAGGCTTCCAACCTCACTTACCACCATGTACAGACTACAGAACCTTCCCTCGTCGATATCAACCTCACTCTACCACATGGTTCTCGCACAATTCTAATAGGCGCCAATGGCGGTACGCAATCACTGTATCATCCGTTTGTGGGGGCTCCACCGCTCAGTACTCCTCCATCACAGCGGGCAAATCTACCCTCTTGCAGCTCCTCGCTGGTAAACGTCTTATCTCCGGTCCTGGGGCCAGTGTCAAAGTCAAAGGTCGAGATGTCTTTCGCAACACTCCGTCGGGTGTGACTTTCTTAGGGACGGAGTGGTGCGCGACCTTCTCTCGAGGCTTATGCGGTCGTGCACTCAAATCTATCAAATGAATCTAGGGCGATGAATCCTGTTGTCCGCGGGGATATAACTGTTTCGGCATTCCTGGACTCTGTGGGCGGCTACAGGCATAAAGAACGGAGAGACCACCTCTTGGATATTCTGGACATAGACTTGGACTGGAGAATGCATATGATCTCTGATGGAGAGCGGAGGAGAGTACAGCTTTGCTTCGGACTCATGGTTCCCTGGGATATTCTTCTCCTCGACGAAGTGTGTCTAGCGTTTTAACACCGTCATACCATTGCCAAGAATTGACTTCCTCGACAGGTGACTGTCGATCTCGACGTACTCGTGCGAAGCGAGCTCTTGAACTTTTTGAAGGAAGACAGCATTAAGAGGAAAGCGACCATCTTATGCAAGTCACTTCCCGCCTTATATCGTCATGGAAAGCTGATAATAGAACCACTGTATCAGATGCTACCCATATCTTTGATGGTTTGAACGACTTCCCTACTCACGTCGCTCATATGCGCTTTGGTACATTTGTGGAACCGCCGATTACATGGCCTTTGAGTTCCCTTGGGGAAGCCAAGTCTAGTCCACTTTATAACGTCGCGTTGAGGTGGTTGCAAGAAGATCGAGAAGAGCGAAGGAGGCTGGAGAAACAAGGGCGGAAGATGCGAGGTGCTAGACGAGATCAGGTACATTCATTCCACTTGCATAGTACGCAATCACATATTCTGACCATCATCCCGTAGACTGTGCCGTCAGATTCTGAAACGTTCTACCGAAAGTGAGTGGCACTTTTGACAACTGGCCAAGTGTTGGTGCTTATCAGTGTGCGTCTAGGTATGATTACACGCACTGAGTACTAGTATACTTAAAATACAATTTTTGTTGTGACTCGTGAGAAATTGGACATGTTAGGGTTAGGGTCAGGCAAGGAAGGCAATTGTATCGCTGTGAAATTGGACCGCAGTCTACAAAGTCCTCTCGTGAGCAATCTCTTCCGACACTGCAATGGCTTCTGTTAAAGAGGCGGTGGAAATTATTGACCTCACTGGGGACTCCGCGTCGACGTTAGTGGCCCACGAAGAATCCGCATCAAACTTTGATCAAGTTATTTTACCAACGCAGGAGGACGGTCCACCAAACCAGGAGAACGATAGTGTTCAAGCCAACTCCAACAAGAACACAACCTCGTCCTCCTCTTCGAAACGAAAGCGGCGCCGTCGTTCAGAAGCTGTCGCGAAGGCACAAGATGTGGACTCCGACCAATCTGCAAACGCTGAAGACAATAATCTGTTTTTCGTTGACACCGCGCCAATACCTCTCCCGAACATCCCTCTGCAACCTGAAGAACAGTCAAAAGATGAAAACTTGCCGGAGGATAAACTCTTGCTTCCGGCACATGTCACTGTCTTTGGCTCAGCCCCAATCGAGATTCTTCCTCCACCGACAAGTCTCGAAGACGATTCTATCCAGTTTTTGGATTATGATGATAACAAGGTGGGCATATCGTGGATTCCTCTCTATTTCCCGGCTGAAAGGTTTTTCAGGTGTTCCGCAGGTATTGGGAAGATCAGGAACCAATTAAGAATGCGACCAGAGTGGTTTGCAAACATTGTGGAGCAGAAGGACAGCACAAGACATACGAATGCACTGTTGTGATAGTACGTGAATGTCCTTCGCTGTCTCCTCTCCCGCTCTGACAAGTACATGATGATAGTGTTTGACCTGCGGAGCCCGAGATGACCATCCAACACGCTCTTGTCCAATCAGCAAAGTATGCTTTTCTTGCGGAATGAAGGGGCACATCAACGCTGTAGGCAGCACCTCTCCGATACAATCCTGATTCCTCGCTGAACTCTTCGTCCGAAGACATGCCCTAACCGTTATGGAAACGGGGTGCGCATCTCGTCACGTTTTGTCGACTGTGAACGGTGCTCCTCAACGCAACACAAAACCAATGTGCGTCCTGTTCAGTTTACGGAAGTGTCCCTATCTGATGATTGCATCTAGGAATGTCCTACTTGGTGGAGGATGTATGCGTATCTCTCCGACGTGGCCCAGGTCAACGTTCTTGCCCTTCGAAGGGAGAAACGTGACTGCAAGCTTGGAGAAGGGGGAGAAGGGTACATTGCAGAGGATCAATGGTGCTATAGCTGCGGCAATTCAGGTCATCTTGGAGACGTATGTTTCCGTTCCATTATCTCGCCATGAGGATACTGACAATGAAGGAAGGATTGCCCTGAAAATAGTCAATTCAATCAGGACCACGAGCACTCGGCATTCAGCATGTACAACGTTGCTTCCGGACCATTCTACGATCCTGAGAAAGAGGCCAGTAACTCGAAGAAAGCCCAGAGCCGGCCCCGTCCCAAGGAGTCGTTCATGGATTTGGAAAGGGTTCCTGATGATGTCGGTCGAAGAGGAAAGGAGAAAGCCAAGTCGAGGCTCGGAAAAATGACTGCAAAGGTTGACGACGATCCGGACGACTGGTTCAGCAAAGCATCTAAACCATCGGACAAATCTCAGTCGAAGAAACCCAAAAGCATCCAATTCTCAGACTCATTACGGAACAAGAAACGGGGCTTTGATCAAATCAATGGGACCTCCAAGACGAGCCTGCTGGATCGTTTGGGCGATTCGTTTTTCGATGAAGCGAATGGCAACGACTCACAGGGTGGCAGAGGTTCTAAACGGTCAAAGAAGAAGAAAGAGAAGGAGGGCAGCGATGATTACAACTCTCGCCGGGATAGCTACAGGGGCTCTCATCGGAACGGTCATCAATCCAATGGCAACGCGAAGCGCGATTGGGATAGCGATTGGGACAGGACGAGAGGCAAGGATAGGGATCGGGACAGAGGTAGCCACGACAACCCTCACCGCCCGCGATATAAGGGTGGATATTCGAGATAGTTGTCACGCAGACCATGCCTTTGTATCATATTGTACTGGGTACTACTTTTCAAACCTTCACGCCTTGAAAATATTTTGTTTTGAGAGCTGAGTCTGCTCGTGAGCTTTATTGATCGCGACCTATTCCCTGATATCCCTGTTGGCGCTAAACGCTACCGGATGATGTCTGCTCCTTGCCATTCACCAACATCTCTTTACATACCATGTCGACGACGACGACGAGTTCGAAGGCCAGCATAATTGCACGGACGACGATTACGATGGAATACTCGTCCCTTATGGGCGCAGGCCACTGTCCGCAGGGGATGTATATCCTCCCGTCGAAAGAGGACTTGTTCGTGTGGGACGGAGTGTTCTTTGCACACGAAGGCAAGCTCTCTACCTGTGACCGCCCGACGCCCGTTTCACCTTGATGTTCGCAATTGTAGGCTTCTATTCAGACGCGATCTTGAAGTTTCGAGTCACATTTCCAGAGAACTATCCCGATCGTCCACCCACTGTCCGATTTATCACGGATGTCTTTCACCCGCTGATATCCCAAGAAGGGGCGTTCAACCATTCACATAGGTTTAGGCCTTGGAGGTGCGTTCCCGTTGTCTGTCCTGTTCTCTGAAGCAATCAATGACCCGTTGCTTCCTCTGTAGGCCAAAGGAGCACCACATCTTTGACCTCCTCCATTTCATCAAAGCCTCCTTCAAGAAGTCTACTCTCGACAAACTCCGAGAAGAGGAATGTGCCAATAAAGAGGCGTTCCGGTGAGGGTTGTCACTTCTTTCCTTACCTGTCCCCGAAGTGCTCATTCAAAGCGGATTCTTCGTCTAACCGGCTCTGGCGATACATGGTACTCTGGCTCAACGATTCCCCTTTGACACCCTCCACCTCTTTCGACACTGCGACCTTTCGCATGTAAATGCATGTGTAGCTTGTAAGTTCTCGAGGCGTCACCGAGTCTGACAGAGTCCAATGTCCATTCACCTAGGTACCACCAATCTCCGCAATCGTTCGCCTCACTAGCGACCCAATCGGTACAGCTGTCACAGTCAGAAACCGCGCTCTTCGACCGTGATCACCCCGGCCGAATTAGAGGCGCGCCTCATGCCATCCAGTTCCAGAAACTGACCGCTGAGCAGTTCAGGGAGACCAAAGAGAAGGTGGGGTTGAGGACTGTCACTCGAAAGGATGCCACTCCTATAAAGGAAATTTAAATAACGCATTCGACATGACGATGCCATATACTTCGGCCATTATGGAGGCTTCTACTGGTACACGATATATACAGGATTACATCTACATTCTGAAATAACCTTGTATCACTTCTATGTGACTTGCCGCTTACTTTATTGATCAAAATTGCAAACCTTTAAATTCAGGCTTCATCGGGGACAGTCGCCGTCGGAGTCACTGTTGTTTCAATGGTCTCAAATGGACCATCGGTCATATCCTTCTGTACAAAGCGTTAAAAATGGTGGAAAGAAGGGTCATGGAATAGCAACCCACTTCTTCCAGTCGATGAAAGTGTTTCGATAGCTTCTCGATAACTTGACTGTATGGCAAGTGTTGAGTGAGTTTCCTGTGGGTAGCACGCAGTGAGTACCAAACTAGACATCCAGAAAATTGCTCTTGAATACCTCTTTGGCTGCACGTTCAGAGAATGTCTAGCGTCGAGGGTGGAATCGAGGACGTTAGACGAATGAGCCCCTTCACTCAACGAGATCTTGATCGAATATTCCTTGTCCGACTTTCCTCGCCCGTGGTTGCGCTCGTACAATTCGAACGTGATATGGGACTGCCAGTTATGAGGTCAGCAATCTCGGACAGGCAAAATCTCAAAAGACATACGGCATAGTCCAATTCCGGTATTCTTCTATTCGCAATTGGAAGACCAGATAGAAGCACCAAGTTGACCAGAGTGTGTATATGGCTTTCCTTGGTGAAATAGAGCGTGCAAGCGCTCTCGCCGTTGTTACGAGCGGCCTCGAGGTCGGAAACCACGTTTCGGAGCAACGGTAGCGAAGTCAGAACACCGATCTCCTCCCTGGAAGGATGGGTTTATGAGGTGGCAATTAACGACTGCGGAGAGAAAACCAACTTTTCATCTGGCTCGATACCGTACTCCTGAGGGGCAACCAAGTCAAACAGGGCCTTGGCGCGACTGTACAGCTCGTGAATTCTACGGTCCTGATGTGGAGGGAAATCTGTTTGCCCATGCTCATTGAAGATCGCGAAGAGGAAGGTGCGATGGTGGAGTGCGCAGTACTTAATGGTGTCGTACAGCTCGGAGACCCTGGATGGGTCGAACTTTTCTTGTTTGACGTCGCAAAAGTCTTCGAACAGCTTCTCCCAGCGCTCACGGAATAAGAAAGGAGCATCGTCGCAGCACCTGAAAGAGAAAGGTAGGTTATCGAATTGCCGCCATCTTATATTAAAGGCCGCACCATCTCTGCTGGATTTCCTCCACATTAAGAGTTTCGAAGTTGCGCCGCATGGTATCTCTGAACGAACTCAGCAATTCTATGACTTCCTGCAACCGATGTAAGCATAAAGTCGCAAGTGGGTTCTAAACCCGCAAAGAGAGCGTACTTTGACAACTTCCACCGGTTCTTTCTTCATACTCTTCGGCCACGTTAACTCGGGCCTTTTCTCCGATTCCCCAGGACGCAGAAGGATCTTCAGTCGCTTTTTGACATCGTCCATAAGGTCCTTGGCGGCATTCGAGTCGTCGAGCAGGTCCTTCCTCACAATCAGTTTGAGAGGACTTTGGTTGGGCTGTTGTTGCTGCTGAGGGACATTCTTGTTGATAAAGCCGGTATTCTTATCCGCCGATGCCTGGTGAGAGGTGGGTGTGGAATAACTTGGGTGTTGGGGGTCGAGCAAGGCAGCTGCGAAGACTTCTGCGGACGCAATGACCCGCCTCTCAGATGACGTGAAAATCTATATGGGAAGGTTGGAAGAAACCGGCAACTATCCTGAGAACGATCAACTAACCTTGACATTGTGCAGGACTTCCTTGTCTATAAGGACAGTAAGAACGAGGCCAAAACTACGGGAGGCAGATGGTACGTACTCATGATGGAGATATCCTTCTTCATATTTTCCCCTAGATCGCGAGACTGGTAACGAGCCGAATGCGTGAACTAATGCCAGTAAGGTGTGAATAGCTACCAATACAGTCTAGCGGGAACGGAAACACACCTCGCCACCCCATTTGAATACCAGCGTCAATTTGGTAAGTTTTCTGACTTGACCAGCTTGACGTTTAGAATATACCGGCTTGAGCTGCGCCTTTGTGCCCGGCAGGTCGATCTTCCTGAACAGGGCGTTGCTGAGTTGTGTCAGTTTATTGAGCTCGTCCCCATCGGCACCGAGATTTCGAGCCTCCTCAATCGCAGCCGCAATCCAAGACAGTTGCTCCTTTTCGCGGAGGATGATTTCTTCCGTTTCGCCATTCAAGAGCGTAACAAAAGGCTGCGTCCAGGGTTCTCCAATGGGGAAATTGAATTTGAGTTTTTGCTGGGGCCGTAAAGGTAAGTTTGAGCAAGAGGACGAACACGTTTTACACACCTTGGGCGTGCGGTCGGCGTGCCGGAAAACGGTGACATTGGCTTTGAGTAGCCATGTGGGAGACTCTTCGGTGCCCGCTGCTGCAGATGGAAGGGGTCTTTCGATGGACGATGACACTCTCATGCATAGCGCTGCGAGAATGTCTGCTGCCTTGTCTGGAGAAAGGTCCATAATAGTATTTGGCGATATTAGAGCGACAGACGAACCGTAATAGGACGAATTGCCTTTGACAAAGCTCCATCCATTTACATCGATGACTTGGCTTACCGCACCATTTTCGCTGCGAAGCAGATCAAAGCCACAGACTCGTTGCCCGAAACCTTCACATATCCTGTTGGCCCACAGCTTCTCCTCGTCGGTGAGGCGAGTCACGAATCTGGAGGAGGTCGGTGGGTTTTCGCCAGAAAGAGCTAGCGCACCCACCTGATTTCCTTTCCTTCGTTATTTCGCCGCACGACCCCGTCTACAACAGGGGACTTCCGCGTTTCCGCGTGAGTATACTCTTTGCCGACAGTATAGACTTTGATGTCTTCGGAATTGTCAACGTCGACGAATTCTTCATAGATGTAGGAGCCGTCCGTTCGTGGGTGATTGAGTGTAGGATCGAGTTCGCTCGACTTATTGCCAACCTTGACTGACAGTCGATGAACAATGAGAATGGTGGGAAGAATGGGTTATACCTTTCTAAAAAGCCGGCGGCCACCGCCCCCACGGAAGTAGATGTATACGTTGTGGTCTTCTCCACTGACAGGCTTCTCTACAAAAGGCTTTTCCATGACTTGGCCATCGATAATTAGGGCGTTTCCGTCTTCACGAAGGATGACTTCGGGAGTGACGGTAAACCCGCCAAGAGTGATCCCTAGTTTCTTTTTCATGAGGTCCAGTAGCTCTGCATCGACTTTGGGTCCACCATCTCTTGAAACTTCTATACGTCTTGGAGTTGGGACCTTGAGGTGATCCAGAACAGCACCGACGAGTCGACGATCCCACAACAGGGCCTGTGGTATGAGTTCGTTGATGCAAAAAGGATTTCTGAGTTTGACGTAGGAAATCGCTTTGTCGAGAGGGAAATCCGTGGAGAAAAATGAGATGAGGACGTCGCATCTGGGCCAATTCTCGACGTCTGCTACCGTTAATGGCGAAGAGGGCGGAAGAATAGCGACGTACCTTCATCCAATATAACCTTGTCGCCAAAAACCTTGACTTCGATGGAACCCCTTGCCCGCTCGACTAATCGGGTGAGGATCTCACGCATGGGTTTGCTGCGAGCCTTGATATCCATTGCACAGATACCCAGAACGACTGTGTGTCCATTTCTGTGGTACGATTAGGCTTATTGGCCATGATCAGAGAAAAAAACTGTAGGCTGACCTTTGTTCTCTGAGCGAGTCAGCAGTTAGGGCAAGGTCAGAATAGGAGCTGATCGACGATGGCGACGACGACCTGGTGAGGATTGAGGAGGACCGTTTCTCGGGAGAAGTGCTGGAAAGGTAGAGAGAAGTTCGACGAGAACGATCCCGATGCATGTTGAGGACACAGGTGAACCGGTGACGCAAAGCTCCTGGCAATTTCAAAAGAGAACCCTGACCGGATCCGGTTGATGACAACCCCGGTATGTCCGACCCTCTCTATAAAAGGCCCAAACCCCCTGTCCTTCTCAGCGCCCGTTCTTTCAAACTCTCCCATAATGACTTGGACTCCCAAACGCACCCTCGAGGAAGGTATGCGCATTTTCTTAATCTAAGCTCCCCTACTGAGCTTGACGTCTATAGTAAATGCCCTTCTGACAGCCCCTGGGGCTACGCATGAACTCGAGACGCGTCTCGTGAATGGGCGCCTCCAGCGCGTTTATAGAAACCAATGGCCTTCCCTTCGAGTGTTCTGGCTATGGGCAGTCTCTCAACAGAAGGATAATATCTACCTTGTCTACGAGAAGCAGCGTTACACCTTTGCTCAAGTTCATGCTCGTGCTACCAAAGCGGCCTCAATGCTTCGCCATGTCTACAATGTCCGCAAAGGTGGGTGGTAGTAGACGTCATTCCCGGTGTACAAGAAAATGAACCACAGCGCATCTCAGGTGACCGGGTGGCAATCTGTGCCAGGAACTATCCCGAATATCTGGTCGTCTTCTGGGCTTGCCGTGAGTGTCGCGTTTCTGCCACTGGCGCCCAGTTCAATGGCTCTGACATTGCTGTAGATCTCATTGGCGCAGTGAGCGTGCTGGCAAATGCGTACGTCCCCGTTTTACCTGTTTCACTTTGAGTGGGACTGACTTGCCCTCAAGGTGGTCCCCGTTGGAGGTTCTTCAGCATTGCTTGATCCATACCCAGTGCAAGGTTGTGGTCCTGGATCCTGAACGCGCTGATCGCTTGGAGCCGGGTATCTCACGGCTTTCAACCGAAGCCGGAACGACAGGGGTACTTGTCATCGAGGCTCATGAAGGCAAAGGTCGTTGGAATGGCATGCACAAGTGGGAAGATGCATTGAATGCGTATGTGGGACCCCTTGATGCAATCACCTCTGATCCTGCGGTTGGCCCAGAAGACAACGCTTCGATTTTGTTCACTTCTGGTAAGTGACTAGCTTTTGCAGCTCAACTACGGAGATCTCACAGATCCATTCTCTCAGGAACGACTGGGATGCCAAAGGGGGTCCTCAGCACTCACCGTCAGTATCTGACCAATGTCATGAACGTGGGCGCTTATTTCGTTTCCGCTATCCGAGCGTACACCTCACCACGGCTGTAGATTTCTATCGGGAGCCTTCGAGCAGCTTTGCGCCGAGGTGAAACACCTTCAGCAGGACCTGTACCGGGCCCCCAGAAAGGAATCTTAATTTCGGTTCCCCTGTTCCATGTGACAGGATCCACGAGCCTGGCAGTATGTACTCATGACCCGGAAAGGCGCTCAAGTGACCTGACGCGGCTACAGATGCTGGGCACCCTTACCGGGATGAAAATTGTTCTGATGAGAAAGTGGATTCCCGAAGAAGGTATGCAGCTCCTTTCTATGTGTCCTCTCCTTGGCTGATTTTTTTTTTTTGCATGGTAGCTGCACGGTATGTACTCACCCCTATTTCTTTCTCGGAAACCTAAAACCACGTCCGTCAAGTCTGATCAAGGAGGAGAATATAACGGTCGCTGGAGGGTAGGTTGCTGCTTGTACCTCGTAAATTACACACCCGAACGGTGGCTGACATATTGTAACAGGGTTCCCTCTATGGTTTCAGACCTTGTCGATAGCTCAAGCGCCGGGCAGCCATTAGAGGCGCTCATGTTTGGGGGTGCACCGGCCCCGAACTCACTTCCCCCGAGGGCCCATAAGGCATTCCCCAATGCGGCTTTGTGAGGACCCTGGTGCATCGTGCTCTGGGTGAAGAGCTCACGTCTTTTCTAGGAGTCAAGGATATGGGTTGACCGAGACCAACAGTGTCGCTGTCGGCGTAGGTGAGCACTTCACAGGAGCCAGATTACACGCAGACTCTTGACGTCATTCGTAGCCGGAGAGGACTATTCTGCACGTCCGACCACATGGTTCGATGCCTCTCCGAGTACCTTCCCACAACAATGAGCACTGACAAGAATTAAATAGCGGTCTAGCGACTCCGGTCAACGACGTTATTATCGTCAAGGATGGGGTTGTTCAACCGCCGAACGCTATCGGCGAAGTCTGGATTCGCGGCCCAAACGTGATGCAAGGTTACTGGAACGACCCTGGTGCGTCATTTCCTCTGTTTCGCTACATTGCCCTCTCGCTAATTAAGTTGTAGTGGCTACTGACAAGGTGAAAACCCGCGAACCTCGAGAAAGGACGATATACTCACACCGGCAATAAGGCCTTGACGAAGGATGGCTGGCTACTTACAGGAGACTTGGGCTACCTTGACGAGGAAGGCTTCCTTTACATCCGAGATCGCAGTAAGCAAATGTCGCCACTCAGCCCAGTGCAAATATACAGTACTGATAAATAATTTATTCACAGTCAAGGACATCATTATCAGAGGGGGTGAAAACATCGTATGTGGCCCAGTCTGATTTTACCCTCCTGTTGCATGGCCCTCAACAACCCTCATGATAGGATTCGGTTACCGTGGAGAATGCTCTGTACGCGGATGAATGCGTTCTAGAGGCTGCTGCAGTCAGTGTTCCCGACGCACGTACGTGATCTATGTTCGTTAGCGGAAAGGGTATCGCCGTACTCACGAATCTCAAGGTCTGGGCGAGCTGGTTGCAGCTGCAGTCACGATCAAACCTCCTTACTGGGGCAAGGTCACCGAAGCAGAATTGGTGAAGCAAGCAGCCAAGTCGTGCGTAATTCTTTGTTGACGCCAATATGGCTACGTTCTAATCCAAGGGTTGTTCTAGCTTGCCCAAGTTCGCTGTTCCTGTCATCATCGTTGTCCAGAGCGAGCCATTCGGTGAGTTAAGAAGCTGACTTCCACACTCAGGCTGGAGAGAGCGTTCTAACGGAGATTGCAGAGCGCACACCATCAGGCAAGATTCTCAAGGGTCAGATACGGGACATTGTGCGAGAAGCTTGGAAGAACCGTCTAGCGGCTAGTGGAGGGGGTGCATCAGCTAAACTTTGAGTGTGAGCTGACATACAATACCGCTGCACGCGCCGTGACGTCGGAGAGTGGAATTGTTGATTAAAGCCCTGGGCCACTCCGACAAAGTAAGCGCCTGTTCATGGTGTCTTGAAGTTCTTGTTTAGGACATATCTACCAGTGTATTTATCAATTTAAATGAGACTCTTTCCTTGTTCATATAGATTCGATGATTCTCGTCTTGTTCACGGAGGCGCCTCGTCGCGTCGAGTGGAGCGCAACCTGAAAGCGTTGACGTAATTTCGTGCACGTGACTGAAATCAGCACCATTTCTGGAATTCTCTCATTTAGTCACTTGGAAGTTCAGAAGGGTTCATCGGTAACGAACCAGAAGCAGCGTCTTCACCAACCACCACGACGAGCTCGCGACTCTGGTAATGCAAATTGCCAACGATGGACCGCTCAAATCCGCTCTCCTCGAACGCCTCATCCAACTCTAAACAGGCCTCCGGTCCTTTTGCATACCAGACGCGGTTGCTAGAACGAACATCGTCCATAAGTCGCGCGAGCCCGTTATCTCGAACCCGAAGTCACTCACAATCCTCGAATTTGTCTCTCGTATCCAACAACACCGGGACGAACTCGACAACGACGCCGACACCTGCACCTGCAAGACGATGGACACCTTCTCACCGCGTAGGGAATAGTTTGGATCTGGTCCGGGGCAAATGGGAGGAGCGTTCTCGAGAAGGAACAGGAGACTCAGTGCCGTCATCGCCAGGCAGTCCGTTGAAAGAGGCATTCCAAAGGACACACCCACAATCAGTTACTTCACTAGCGATCGGGCGGGGCATCGATCATGTACGCGACAGGGGGGAGCGGTCTTTCAGCGATCTTCCGGAAACCAGCCGCGCGGCGAGCCCAACAAAGGACATACCAACTGCACCAGCGACACCCGTCAGCTCAGGGAGCCATAGCCATATTGACTCGGTCAGGGATAAATGGGAGACTCGAACTCGGGAGGCTGAGGGGCAGGCTTCAAGCTCTACACTGTCCTGGAGCCCTAGCAAGGATTCATCCAGATTCACACCGCTCAAACCATCAATGACATCGTCTTCAACCTCGTCCTCGGGGATTAGCTCCGGAAGTAGTGGAATAGGTGCAGTCAGAGGCAAATGGGAGGAACGTTCTCGGGAGGCAGCCTTGTCTAGCCCTAGTCCGACCAAAGAGAGCTTCAGATCGGCATCTAGCACCAGTCTGTCAAGTTATGCTTCATCTTCCCCCAGCAAATCTAAGACAGACGTGGATCTTCAAAGGACTCCGACTTATCTCAAGAGACAGACCATGCCAGCGCCTATCATTGCTTCGCCCCTATCGCCCAATACCACTGGCATCTCCGTGGAAGTTGACTCGCCGAACTCGTCTATACCCGCCCGGATACGCCTGCCTGTTACGCCGTCATCTACAGAATCACAGCTATCAAAACCCCCGGAGAAGGGCAACTCTGCCGTCACAACCCGACTTCGCAGTGCGACGTTGATCACTGACTCGCCAACGCCTTCCATTCATCTTCACTATGCCCGTGACAAACCCGCCGCCAACGGGCCAGAGGCAGAGCAAACACCACTACGGCGGCGACCGACCTCAGCACAAGGTTTCTACTCGCATCTGTCAGCTTCCACTGATCGCCTCTCTACACTTCGGGCAGGGCAGGTGGAATCGTTTAAATCGCCCAGTACACCAACGGCCCCTAATTCTGTCATGTCTCCAACTCCCTATCGTAGTTCCTATATGTCGGGAAAGGCCAAGAAGCTCGATTCCTATCGGGATCTCGGTGGTGGAAGTGGCCGAATGAAGTTGGGTCGACACCTTCCACGGATTGCTAGCGGGGATGGGGACGAGACGTGGGAATCCAAGAACGAACCCGTGCCCCCGGTTCCTCCACCAAGAGACGACGTCGCTGCCCGAAGAGAGAAGCGACTTGCCCGTCTTCGCAGCATGCAAATGAATGATACCCACTTGTCCAACCACGCTACCCCGCCAACCTCCGATGGTGTAGCCGGACTACCTGGCCGCATATCTCTTCGAGCGCCTAAAAACGACCAGCAGCCCGTCCCTTCAGCACGACTTATTGGCGCGACCTGGGCCGACAAACAGCGTCACCTCATCCAGGCGTACGAATATCTATGTCACGTGGGAGAAGCTCAGCAATGGATTGAGGGTTGCCTGGGTGAAGAGCTTGACTTTGGTGTAGTGGAGATGGAAGAAGGGTTGCGGAATGGCGTGGTCTTAGCGAAACTTGTTCGCGCCTTTGAGGGACAGCAAGCGGTTCGCAGGATCTATCAGGTTTGTAACAGTTGGCAACATTGAGAATCTCATGCTGACAGGGACCATAGGCTCCTAAGCTGGATTTCCGCCACTCCGACAATATCAATATCTTCTTCGACTTCGTCCGTAAAGAGGGTCTTCCAGAGGTGCGCTCCTTAACCTCATCAATCAACCTAGCCACCAACGTCGGCCTGTCATGCTAGGGGTTCATCTTCGAGTTGACTGACCTGTACGACAAGAAGAATATTCCGAAAGTGATCTATTGCATACACGCTCTCAGGTAGGGCAAACGTGTTTAACGGCTCCGATCATTTACTCAACCTCTCTAGTCATCTTCTAGCTCGTCGTGGAAGGGCGCAACGCATTGGAAATCTGCTTGGACAACTGCAGTTCTCTGACGATCAATTGACCAAGACTCAGAAGGGTCTGAAGGATGCGGGTGTTTCGATGCCCAACTTCGGTAATGTTGGTAAGGAGCTGGCAAAAGAGATCAACGAAGAACCTGAAGTGGAAGTTGAGACGGAGGACGAAAGTGAGTAACTGGTACATTGTTTTGGCTGTTGCGGTTTAAGTTCAACCTTGGCTAGGACGGGATAGACTTCTACTCGAGAATGAAGCTTCCATCATCCGGCTACAGGCTTACTGTCGCGGTGGTCTTTCCAGGCGTAATCACAAAGCACTTCAAGCAAGAATCAAGCTCTCGGAGAGGCACGTTGTCAAGTTTCAAACACACTGCATGGGGGCCCTCCTTCGACGCCGACTGGCACAGCGACGACAAGTGCAATCCCAACTGGTTCCATGGGCAACTGCTTTGCAAGCAGCGTGTCGGGCGGCTATTCTCCGGCGACAATGGCGACTCTATCTCCGCAGGATTAAGTCAATATCACCCCAGGTTATCAAACTTCAAAGTCAAATTCGCGGTGTCTTAATGCGTCGAAGATTCGCTAAGATGAAAAGTGCGCTGCAGAAGATGAGCGTTTCATTCACCAAGATGCAAGCTCTTGCACGTGCCCACGTCACCCGACATGCTCGCTCCCAATTGCAGAAGACCTTCTACAAGCCCCAGATCAACTTTTCTATCGTTGGCCTACAAGCCCACGCGCGAGCGCTTCTTGTCCGCCGCAGGATTACCCTCCTTATGCACGCTCTGCAGCGGAAAGAGATCAACTTTGTCCACCTGCAGGCACAATGTAGAGGAATCCTGGTCCGACGGCGTATGCGCGCACGTATGGCGAAGATACGCACTGCAACAGACGTCGTGATCGCTATCCAATCGGCTGTTCGGACTTACCTTGCAAGAAAGAGGCTGCTAACACTCATTCGAGGGCTCCGAAAAGCTACGCCTTTCATTGTCGCCATTCAGTCTCGAGCACGAGCAAGCTTGATGCGGCAGGAGCACAAGAGCGTTAACAAAGCTCTCAAGCATGTCCACACCATCACCTCCGTGCACAGTCTTCAAGCCCTGGCCCGGGCAAGCCTCACCCGACGCCGCCACCAACAATTAAGCAAGACCCTCGAGGTTGCCACCCCAGACGTTGTGAATGTGCAGTCCGTAGCTCGAGGGTTCCTCGTTCGTCAAGAATATCGCGCTTGGCGTGACCACCTGCACCGGAGCCATCCTATTGCAACAATGCTTCAAGCAATGCTTCGCGGCGCTCTTCAACGACGTGCTTACCATGCCAAACTCAACTATTTCAAAGCCAATCTCAGCAAGGTAGTGAAGATTCAGTCGTTGTTCCGTGCGAAGGAAACCAGGGAACAATATCGCCAACTCACTCTTGGGAAGAACGTCACTGTGGGCACAATCAAGAACTTTGTCCATCTTCTCGACGATTCAGAAGCCGATTTCCAGGAGGAAATTAAGGTGGAAAGACTGCGAAAGAGAGTTGTGGAGGCGATCCGGGAGAACCAGGCCCTGGAGAACGACGTCAATGAACTAGATGTCAAGATTGCTCTCGTGGTCCAGAACGCGATGAATTTCGAGGATATCGTCAAGGCCAAGAAAAGGTACGGGGGTGACAGCGCTGCCGCGCAAGCAGCTAGAGCGTCTTTGTTGGCTGCTCATGGTGACCCCTTTTCTGGTCCGAATACCTTGGATCAAGATGCCCGTCGAAAACTCGAGCTCTATCAGCAGTTATTTTACCTCCTCCAATCTCGAGGGGAGTATCTCAGTCGCCTTTTCCTTCGTCTTTCAAAAGAAAATGTGCCTGATGCCAGCCGGCGCTTTATCGAGCGGGTCGTTTTGACCTTGTTTGGCTATGGTCAGGATCACCGAGAGGACTTCCTACTTCTCAAACTCTTCCAGGTGAGCGGTTCATGCCCCTTCTCCGTAGCCACGAACCTCACAGTGCGTTTAGTATTCCATCAGGGACCAGATTTCAATTGCTCCTACTATCGAGCACGTCACGAAGGGTCATCCACTGTACCTCAACGTGGCAGTTCACTACCTCCGTTCGAAACAAGCAACATTTGTCCGAGAGGCCTTCCAAGGGGTGTTGAAAGAGGTCATCAACGCTGATGACCTGGATCTGGAAGTCGATCCGTCTATCGTTAGTCCTATCTCGAGGTGACGGGTTGTCTGTGTCTGACGGTTCCCCCAGATTCACCGCAACAGAATCGATGTCGAGGAGATGCGGACCGGTAGGATGAATCCTGCACCGAGAGATGTCTCCTTCAGGGAAGCACTCGAGGACCCGGAAACACGACCGATCTACATTCGACGTACGTGTTCAGAGCATTTCTTACTGATTCCCGAATGATAACCGGTGGTTCAGATCTGCAAATCCTTCGGTGGTGGACAGAACAATTCATGACGGCTATCATTCAGTCAACTCGTAAGATGCCCTACGGTGTCCGATACCTTGCTCGAGAACTTCTGTTGTGTCTTCGCGTCAGTACAAACCCGTTTCTCTTGATCCGCAGCCTCTCATTATACATTAGCATAAATTCCCGGGCGCACCTGAAGAACTTTACGCAGCCTGCATCGGTCGTTTAATCTACTACAGATATATCAACCCCGCGATTATGTGCGTTCTTTCCTTCCATTCCATGCCTTGTTGCTCACCAAGTAAGCAGTACTCCTGAGACTTTCGACGTTGTTTCAAAAACCGTCGATGTGGCTTGCAGGAAGAATTTGGCACAGATCTCTAAAGTCCTCACACAGGTTGCCAGTGGCGCACCTTTCGGAGATGATAGTCCCGCGTACCTGCCTTTGAATGACTATGTGATTAAAGCCATCGCTCAGATGAATGGCTGGTTCTTGGAAGGTAAACAAATCAAACTAGCGGTATTTTCACAGGCTCACATACTTTTAGTTGCCAACGTTCCCGATGCCGAGACGCAGTACCACGCCCACGAGTTCTTGGATGTTACTGTGCAACCTAAGCCCATTTACATTTCGCCCAACGAGATCTATAACCTCCATTCACTCTTGCTCCAGCATCAAGAAGCCTTGGTAAGCGTTATTGGGCATCGACCGCCGATTCCAGAAGGCTAACGATGACTTTGCAGGCATCTGCTGACGATCCAATGAGAGTGATTCTTTCGGAGCTCGGGGGTGTCCCTCATCTTGACAATGAAGAATTGAAGGACGCGCGAGACACTGCCATCACGTTGGAACTCACTAATCGATTCGCCAACGTCCAGGGTAAGTCTCCAAGGTTGTCAAAAAGGATCCCGCTCAATCGATTTGTAGATCCACACGCTGAGGAGAAAACACTTTGGGTGCAAGCCAAACGTGGGGTACTTGCCATCCTCCGTGTCCAACCTGCCCAGGATCTGTTGGAGTCTTTGATGCGACCGGTCACGGAGAACGATGAAATGTTGTGGGAAGACATCCTGGAGGCTGAGATGGAGAACGAACTAAAGCAAATGCCCCGCCGTCAACCTTCTACTGCGGTCGTCGATTCTGCCTACCGGCTGGAGGACATCAGATCGTAAGTTCAATAGCACCGTTTCCAAGCTTCGTTACTGAGATTGCCCCCGTACCAGGCTAAAGTTCGCTGCTGTCAAAGCCTTGGCCATCCAGAATTTGCTGGAATTGGAACGGCAAGGCAAGATCACTCGCAATGACGGCTTCCAGGGTATTCTGAATGCCATTGCTGGTGACGTCCGTAGCAAGCACCGAAAGCGTATTCAGCGACAGCAGGAGATGTCCAATATGGCGGAGGCACTGCGACAACTGGCTGAACGTAAGAAATACTTCATGGAGCAGATCGACAGCTACCATAGCTACGTGGACTCTGCGATGAACACTATGCAGAGGGGTGGTAAAAAGTGCGCTTCATTGGCTCGGAATATCAGCACACAACCCTGACATCATTTTGCAGGAAGCGATTTGTCTTGCCGTTTACCAAGCAATTCTACCATCTTCGGGAGTTACAGAGGACGGGGCAAACCCCCAAGTTTGGCTCGTTCATCTATTCCGCCAAACACTTGTACGACAAAGGCATTTTGCTTTCCATCGACAGCTACTCCCCTCGCCAATTTGACAAACTGCAAATTACACTGTCTTCGAACAAGGCCGGTGTTTTTACAGTGTTGCTGGAGTCAACAATGCTTGCCGTCGTCTCCAAGATTGCCCAGGAAGATATCAAAATGGAGGACCTTTTGCAAGCCAAGTACGAGAAGCGACCCTCGTTGAGCATCCTCGGTGGCAAAATGAAAGTAAATTTCGAACTTTTCTTGTATCAGATCAACAAAAAGTACGTAGTTCAGGCTGTCTATTGACTCAGTACTTACATTTCGCCGACAGGTTCTACGTCTAAGACATGCATCGAATCCACACTTTCGTTTCTGTCCCTGCTTTTCTCGCTATGTTTTTGTTGCTTTCTACACACGACCTACGACGATTACGATTTATAGACCCTTCAAATTCCTGACACTTCACGACAATTGTAATCTTATGGCATCTATTACTGTATTTTTACTATTGCTAGTAACGTTCCTGACGACGATATCTCATGACAAGTAATATATTTCTTGCTCACGTTTTGATCTGACGTCGGAGTCGATACTCGGAGAGCGCGGGTTGGACTTGAACCACACACATATCAGAAGCTCACTGGGTTGCATTTTAATTGGATTCCACGAACACGAATACTTCAATCATGTCGCAGATTCCTCACGGACAAATGGCTGTCCCTCCGCTTCCCCCTGGCTGGACACAGCATATCGGTAGGTGAGAGCCCCTGACATCACTTCCGTCGATTGACCCCGTTTGCAGGTCCAGCTGGGCAAGTTTACTATTACAGTGCGCAGACGCAGGAGTCGACATATGTCCGACCCCTCCCAACAGTCCCTGTCGCGAAGAAGGAGAAAGCACACATCAAGACCCCCATCCCTGGTACTGACTGGCTTCGCGTAGTCACCACCGAGGGCAATGTATTCTACTCCAACAAGGTCACCAAACAAAGCTCATGGACAATGCCGCCCGAAATTGCAGAGGCTGTTCAGGCATTTGACACCCAAACCAGGGAACAGCAGGCTGCAAAACCAGTTCCGGGTGCTCCAGTTACCATCGAGAGCAAAGCGACGCGGAGGGCAGAGAAAGAAGCCGCAAAGAGGAAAAGAGAGGAAGCACAGCCTATAGACGAGATCGCCACCTCCAAGAAGGCAAAAATGGAGGAAGACGATGAAGACGAAGATGACGATTCGGACGATGAAGACTCTGAGGAAGAGGAATGGCAACGCGAGGCGGCGGAGCAGTTGGCCAGAGAGGCGGAGGAGGAAGAAAAGCGGAGGAAAGAGGAGGAAGAAAGGCTTAAGAAAGCGAAAGAAGAAGAGGAACGACGAGCTCGAGAGAGTAAACCTCAGCTCAACATGCCTGACAAAGTCGAGTTGTCTATCGAAGAAGGAAAAGCTCTGTTCAAAGTGTGTATTCGACCTGGCTATCGAGATGACCGAATCTGATACCCTCTCCAGACTCTTCTCCGCGAGAAGGATATTAATCCTCTGCTTCCATGGGACACTTGTCTTCCTCAGTTTATTTCAGACCCGCGATACGTCCTTCTGCCATCCGTCACTGCGCGGAAAGAGGCTTTTGACGAGTATTGTCGGGAGCGTGCACGAGAACTAAGGGAGTCTGCAGTGAAGAAGGAGAAGGCGGAAGCCAACCCCAAGGAAGAATTCGACAGACTGCTAAAGGAGGAAGTCAAGAGCACGCGTACTAGCTGGACAGAGTTCAGGAGGACGTGGAAGAAGGATAGGCGGTTCTATGGTTGGGGGCGTGACGACCGCGAAAGAGAAAAGGCATTCAGAGAGTTCTTGAAGGAATTAGGCGAAAGTATGTACCATTGCCTCGATGAGTTGACTGTCATTGATAGCCGTACCAGAGAAGAGGGCTGCTGCCCAGAAGGCTGAGGCAGATTTCTTTGCCCTTCTCAAAGAACGCCAGGAAATTCAACCAGGAGTTGTATGGAAGGAGGTAGGGGGTTGCTGGACACGTCTTTCTCAGATGCTGACGAATTTCCACTAGATCAAAAGGACACTCTATGACGATCCTCGATACGATGCTGTCGGCTCCTCGTCTCTACGCGAAGAACTCTTCAATACATACATCAGGACCATCAAGGCCAACCCATCCGAAGCGTCGTCTAAGCGCGAAGGAGACAGGCAAGCACAGTCGCCAGAGAAAGAAAGCAAAGAGAGCAGAAGAGAGCGAGCTCTTCGGGAACGGGAACAGAAGGTCAAAATGGAGCAAGGGCGGGTCTCAATGAACATTGAGAAGTCGAGAATGGGATTGCATCAGGAGGGAGGAGAGCGAGCGTTCAAGTGCGTCCTGAATATCTATCGCCAGTGGTTTGGACCCGCATTTATACCGCGCCCAACTTTCTTCATTAAACAGGACAATGCTAGTAGACGCTATCCGGGACCCACAGGTAGGGATATCCTCATTCGAGTGACAGTGACTGACCGACCTTTTAGGCTACGTGGGACATGGCAGTCCAGCAGCTGAGGATTGATCCCAGGTTCACTAGCTCCCCGCTTTCTCATAATCAGCAAGTCAAGTTGTTCCATGACCACATCGCTCACCTCCGTTCGAAGCACTATGATGCGCTGCATGCATTGTTCAACGAGCATACCCCCGCTCTGAACACTCGGTTTGGGGAGCTACCGGTCGACACCATTGTTTCGTCTCCTCATACGAAGAAGCTCGGCTATGATATCAGCCAAGTTGAAGACGAGTTCTACAGGTGGCAAAAGCAGCGGTACGCTGAGGCAAGGCGCGCCTTCGATGAGATGCTCAATGAAAATTCGTTCGTTGAATTTTGGGGTCGCTTGAGCAAGATGAAGGATGTTACCCTGGACCAAGGCTTGCAAGTCACTAGCGAGGATATTGGTGAGGATGACGAACCAGTCAGCAAACTGAATATGAAGACGTTGGCGGAGACCGTGGATATCGGCGAGATGGTCAAGGTTCTCAAGGTGGGTGTTCGCCTCTGCCAATGATCATGCACAGGTAGACACCTGAAAACCTTGTAGCGAGACAAGCGATATACGGACTTTGACTACACTCCGGAAGAGAGGGAACAGTGGCTGCGGGTGAGTGATTTTTACCACTGGTTCCTGTGCCTTTCTCCATACCCTCTCAGGACTACTTGTCGAATTTATCTGCACCGAAGCTTTCTGTACACGTCGGTTCCTGATTGAAGCAACGTGTGGGGGCTGCTGTGAACTCCTTTGGGGTCTTTTCCTGGCTTGGTACCCTTTGTCAGGACGTATCTTTGATATTTACAATGTCATGATCGTATAAACTAGATCCGTGTCATTTCGCAATAGATTGCTGTCACTGAGACAGACTCTCAGCCTCGAATTCTGTCAGAAATGGTAACCAAGTCGTCGCCGGTGAGAATGTGCAGAGCATCGCGATCACGGGAGAATGAGCGGACACGACAAGCCACGTCATTAGGAACCGGAGATCCAGGCTCAAATACTTAAAGCGCGGACTCTTGAACACGGTTCTTCATCGGGTACTCACTACTTATTAGGATTGTTGTGTAGATTGTAAACTGCTCTTGGTCGCTGGGAGAGCGCCAAAATGCGTCTACTTTCTCCGTTCCTTCTGTCGTTGACCCTGTTGTCGACTTATGTGTCAGCACAGGATGCCCCCAAAGCTGTTAAGCACGACTATCAGGTATTTTCTTGATGCCAGACCATGGTCATTCGCTAACATCGGTTTGCAGAGCGACGTTGCCCGTCTAAGGAAGATTGTCATTAACAGGTGACCATCCTGCACTGCAGTGTTCAATAGTGTTCTGACTATTCTGCACCAACAGTCTCTATTCTCACAAGTTCGTATAGGACGCGTTTCGCGACTCAAACCGATATTGACCCTTCGTTATTAGGGAAATCTTCCTTCGTGAACTCATTTCTAACGCAAACGACGCTCTCGAGAAGTTGAGAATCACGTCTTTGAAGGACAAGTCGGTATGGAACGGCTCCGACCTCAATATCACCATCAAGGCAATTCCAGAAGAAGATGGCAAGGGCGGGCAGCTGATTATCACCGGTGAGTCCAATGTGCTAATGGCAACCTTTGTCCTGACTTGTGGCCCAGACACGGGTATTGGAATGTCTCCCGAGGAGTTGGCGACCAACCTGGGCACCCTGGCGAAATCCGGTACTTCAGACTTCGTCAAGAAGGTCGAAGGCGACAACGCAGGTGGTGCAAACGGCAACCTTATCGGTGCATTCGGTCTCGGTTTTTATAGCAGTTTCTTGGTTGCGGATCGCGTCGAGGTCGCCTCCATCCCACCCAAGGTGAAGGACGGTCAACCCGCACAATACGTCTTCGCCTCTTCCGCCGATGAAAGTTCGTTCGAAATATACCCCGACCCTCGAGGAAATACCCTCGGCCGCGGAACTGAGATCAGACTCTTCTTGAAGCCCGACTCCCTTGAATACCTCGACACTCAGAAGCTCGCTCAGCTCATGTACGTTTCTCGCCACCGCAAGTTCGGGGAATGCATGGTCTAACTTTACACGTAGTCACAAGCACTCCGCATTCTCTTCCTCCTTCCCTCTTTACCTCTGGGAGACAAAGACTCGTGAAGTCGTCGACGAAGAAAAAAAGGCTGAAATCGAGGCCAGCAAGAGTGCAGAGGCCGCCAAGGCATCCGAGACTGCTGCAGACGAAGCTGAGAAGGACGAGGACGAGGCTGTTATCGAGGACGTGGATGAAGAGCAACAGAAACCACTCGTCGATGATACCCCCACTCCCATGAAGAACGTTACGACTGAGGAATGGACCCATATCAATTCCCAACCACCTCTCTGGACTAGGTAAGCGCCCGTCCAGTTTCCATAACACCCATGACTTATGATGCCTACAGGGACCCCAAGAACATCACTGACTGTAAGGGAATAAACCTGATGCTCGACCCTGAAAACGCTAACTTGTTCCTTCAGGGGAGTACACCTTGTTCTACACCGGCTTCTTTAAGGATTTCGGCAAGCCCCTCGCCTGGACTCATTTTTCTGGCGACTCTAGCGACGGCGTACCCTTCAAGGCCATCATTTTCATCCCGGAGAGACTGTGCGTATATCTTCTCCTCGGCCTTTCCTCCCAAACTCACCCTCTGCAGCCCCGATGAATATTGGCAAAAACCATTGGAATGGAAGCAACAGGATGTTAAGCTCCTTGTGAAGCGAACATTCATCACCTCAGACCTCGGTGAAAATTCTCTTCCTAAGTGGGCTAACTGGGTCAAGGTCGTCATTGACGGTGAGTTTATTATTTCAATTGACTGTTAGGATGGCGACTAATGTATGGTCCGCAGCCGAGGATCTTCCTCTCAACGTGTCTCGTGAAACTTTGCAATCGAACCGCTTCCTAAAACAGATGCGCACTACCATTCTTAAGCGTCTGATTCAGCTCTTTGCCAAACTCGAGAAGGAAGAGCCTCGCAAGTGGGAGAAATTCCAGAAGACCTATGGTTCCGTCATTAAGCTGGGAGCCGTTGAAGACGCGAAGCACCGGGACAAGTTGGCAGCTCTCACTCGATTCACCACCAACCAACGGAATGACACATCGTACGACCAGGTACGTTTGATTTCTCCGATGGCAGGACGATGTCACACTCACGGCACCTTCGTGTAGTACGTTGCCAATATGAGGAAGGGTCAAGATCAGATCTTCTATCTCGCGGAGATGGGCAAAACCCCTGAGGAACTTGCTGAGAGCATCTTCGCGGAGAAGCTCATTGCCCGTGGATACGAGGTTTTGCTCCTCACTGAACCTCTGGACGAAATTCTTTTCGGAACGCTTCGTCAATGGAAGTTAGTCGTCCATTCTAATCCAATTCATGTTGAATTATGGCTCATGTGTATCTTAGGGGACATCTATTCCAGGACGCAGCAAAGGCTGGTCTCAAGTTCGGAGACGAAGGTACTTTCACTGATGTTCATGGTGTGGGCACATGCTTACCCTTTCACTTCGATAGATCCGGAAGAAGAAGCCAAACGCGAGGCTGAGCTCAAAGAGAAGTTCCAGCCATTGATTGATTGGTTGAAGCTTGAGGCCACGGATATCGTCAAGGATGGTGAATATGCATGTCTCTAGTCATTGACTGTATGATGCTAATTGGTGCCTAGTCGTCCTCTCGAACCGATTGGTCACAAGCCCATGCGCGATCGTTGCGGAGAACTATGGCTACACAGCCAACGTTCAAAAGATGATGAGTGAGCACCTCCTCTTAACTCGTATCTTCCCTCCTTCTCAAGCATCTGTTAGGCTCTTCGAACCACAAACGGGGTGATATTCTCCACGAATTTGCCATGAAGGCCAAGTTGCTCGAGATAAACCCACATTCCCCCTTGGTCGAAGGTCTACTCCGCCGCGTCAATGACTTGCCTACTGATGAGGACGAGAGGGACGAAGAAGCCGAGACTGAGCTCAAGGAAATCGCGTCAATCCTCATTGATGGTGCTCTTGTCCGCTCGGGCTTCGAGGTCGTGAACAAGAACACGTACGTATATAATAAGCAAGTCTCAGAACGAAAGGTATTAACTCTGATGCCAGATTCTTTAACCGAGTTGACCGGGTGTTGCGTCGGTCGTTGGGCGTTTCCGAGGCTGCCAGCCCTGACGTTGTTGTCGAACCAGCCCCTCCCGTTGCCACCGATGTTCCCGAAGAAGCGAAGGTGGAGGAGGAAGATGACAAGCCTCGGGTCATTCTGCCTGACCATCTCAAGGACAAGGTGTCCATTGAGATGGAGGAAATTGACGATGATGACCCCATACACGACGAGCTCTAGTAATCCTCTGTAAAACATATTTATTAGTCTGGAATAATGCACCTTAGCTTTTGGAACTCATGGAAATTTGGGCAAAAAGTGCGAAAGAGCAAAGTAGAGCAAAGTTGCATCAATGTCTTAGTCAGCAGGATTAGACTCAAGGCTGGCAGTTAGCCGGACATCGTTCTTGCCACCATTGCTCATCGTCGCCCTGGCATTCTCCTTGTTCTGCGGAATAAACGACCAGTCCCAGCACGCAGCGGCTGCCCACAATGCCAGCAGCCTTCTCCCGGTTGCAGCTGGCAGCTGCACTCATTGGTAAACTGTCACCTCATCATAGAGACCCGGCGACTGACAGCAATGTCACGGACAGAATACGACAACGATTCAGAGGACCCAGATGCCCCAAGACGCTCAGCTCAAGAGAGCGCTATCTTTGCTCATCTAAGGCGCAACCCTGCCGCCCGACCAGACCTCTCAGCCCGCAAATCGAGCAACTATCTGACTGCAACGCAGAATGGTAGAGAATCCATTGCCGATACGAGGCGGTCAAGAGCTTCCAGAGGCTCGCTAGACGCCCTGAGAAACCCCTTCGGCGCGGATGGGAATTCAGAGTACGACGACGATGGGGACGAGCCGCCGTCGGAAATGGAAGTCGACTTGTCTTCATGGGGGCTTGATGCCTTCATACCTAAGGAGAAGGCAGAGAGGTCGAAGAAGGGGAAGGAGAAGCAAGGATCTGTCCCAGTCCGTTCCCGTACCATCTCAGGCGGTCCCCAAGAAGTGGGTGAGGCGTCAAACGCTGTAGCTCATTCCAGGTCTGCAAGCACGCTGATTATGCGACGCCAATCTACGTCGTCCCGTTTGGATTTTCCAGAAGATGCAGGGGCGGGCGGCACACTTCATCGACGCCGTGCCGCTTCCCAGTCCTCAATGCTTCTTCAGAGTCCCAACGGCACCGTCCCCTTCCCTTCACCCCGCCCAATGACGCCCGGGACCCCCGGCGACGGGTTTGCTGAAGTAGCAGAGGATATCTACCCGCCTCGTTCGCATTCACGAGCAAGCTTTGGGTCACGAAATGTGCTAGATGACGCCGGGGAGTTGCGACCTCGCTCCATGTCCCAAGGCACAATTGGCGTGGATCAGCAGCCGCAGGAGTCGGATAACCCATTCGCTTTGCGTGCCCCGACTGTCACCTCTCGTTTTGATCCCAAGGCGGCCCACGTACGCACTACATCCATGGCTTCTTTCGGCACACGGCAATTACTAGACAATGAAGACGCTGAGTCTATCAAATCCCGCAACTCGTTTAACCAAAACCGACCTTACTCTGTCGTTGAGTTATTACGTCCCAAGGTTCTTGTGATGCCTAGCCCACTTCAGTCCACCGGACCTGACGCTTCACAACCCAACATTGTTCGCGATGGGTTTCAGCTGTCTCGAGACGGGCCTCCACTTCCCCCAGGGGCTAGGACCTCTCGCCGATTGTCTACCAACCTTGATGCCGTACCAAACCCATCCAACTCTTTCATTCCGAACCCAACAGCCGACCTATCTATGGCACAGAAGATCTTCCGCGACACTTTAATCGGCCATGCTGCAGCGACTGGGCCTGGCGGAATTCCTCCCCGGGCACAGAACGATGGAGAGCAGATTGAGTTTGAACCCCCGGAGATTGACGAGGAGCAAATGTTCTTTGGAGCTAATCAGGGTCGACCTACAAGGCCTGCGGGGAAACTGTATGGCAAGAGCCTGATTGATGATTTGGAGACGAGGAAGGCGCAAATGCGAAGCAAGCAACGGTATGTCCTCGAGTCCGTAGGATCTTCCCTTCCACTTATTGCCTTCGAAGTGTGTTCACTGGAGACCAGCGTCCAACTATGATGGCACGCGAATCGAACAGGACAAGCACGCTTATTGATCCTGCTAGCCTCAGTCAGAAGCCAGGAACCCAACGACAAAGTTCTTACGGCTCTCAGGGTGGACAAAGCACCGGCTTGGAAAGACGCGGCTCTTCTCACATGAAGCCGTTCCTTTCCTTCGACGAGGAATCGAAGCATCACCAAGAACCCCAAAACCCAGATCGCATTCCCAAAAACAAGTCGGTATTCGGTGTGGACACGCTTTGGGAACAGGAGATGGCCAAGTTGAGGTTGATACAGGAGGAGGAGAGGATCGAAGAGGAGAAGAGGAGGAAACGGGAAGAGGAAGAAGCTAGGCTTAGGGCGGAGAAGCGAAGGAACAAGAAGAAGCTGAGAAAGAAGAATGCCCCGCCAAGGGATGGCATGGACGATGTTCCAACTCCCCCAGAAGAGGACGTTCCTCCGGTCGATCTAGATGTTCACGTCCCTGCAGAGCCGCCAACGCTACCCGACGTTCAGCCTGTCACTGCGCGAAAGGCCCAGCAGGTCGAAGAAGACGATGACGATGATGAAGATGAGGACACTGACGAGGAAGGTGCACCGTTGCCCTCCCGCAAGGAACCCAGCGCCGCAGCGTGGCTATCTGATTCCGAGGATGAACGGCCGGCTGGCCCAGTCAGGACGACCGGGGTCGGGCTTCGCAATCCATCGCAAGCCAAAGCGGCGAATTACCGTCGAGGCCAGTCCGACAGCGAGGAGGACCTTCCTTTGGCAGCAGCTAAGCAAAGGGCTACCAGGATGATGGCAGAATCGGACGACGAGGACAAGCCTTTGGCACGAGTAATTCAGGAGAGCAAGTCCAAGTCGCCTATGATCGATATTGATTTTGACAAACCTGGAGTTGGTCAATCTCAGTCGGATGATGAGGACAGTCAACCTCTTGGCATTCGAGCCTCAAGGTTGATGATGGCTAATGCCTCGAACGTCGACGACGATGACAAACCGCTAGCCTTCCACCCAGAGCAACAACGACGAACTCAGTATAACCTTCTCGCTCAGCAACAGCATAACCAAATGATGATGCAGGCCCAGTTCCAGAACAGCATGTTTTTCAACGCTCCTCCGATGATGACTCCCCCGTTCTTCGCTCCTGCAATGATGAACCCTATGGCGATGATGCAGCCGCCTATGCCCATACCATCACCACCGCCAATGCACGACGAGAACAAATTCCTGAGCGTCGACAAATGGCGACGTGATGTGGTTGTGGACGGGGACCAACAGTGAGGGCTGAATACAGAATACCCCTCGGAACATAATTTTCTTATACACACGCTCCTTCTTATGTTTGCATTCTACACGCTCTTTCCTTTCATTCTTCTTTCAAGGGACTCTCTTGCATACCATACCATTCCGAATAGCACGGTTCGCATATATCCAACTTGATTAGTACAACCAATACAGTAGTCCTGATTGTCTAGTAATGTAATTCTGGAGACCAACGAGATGCCCGTGTGGGCGAATGTCACTGCTACGATGGGTTGGCCACCCACAGTTTGCGCTTCGGTACAGTGACAATAGATACTTCTCTCCGGTCCATTTCCTCTTCTATCATTCGTTGGCGAGTTTCATCATCGATATCATCGTCGTCATCGTCGCCTTCCACGCTTCTGGGATCGTCCGAAATGTTGTAGACAGGATCTGCTGGAACTGTTCGGAGAAAAGGTGGCTGATGCAGATATGGGCCCAGTGGGCGGATTGGCGCCTGCAATTCTGTTGCATGCGGCAAGGGGCTTGAAGTTGGACCCGCTTCAGGCGGTGGTGGCGATGGTGTTGCTTGACGTTTCAGCTTCGAAAGAAGGAACTCCTCCGTGCTAAAGCGCTGAGGAACGAAAAGGGCGACCAAGTAAATGATAATCACCCAAAGAACAAAGACAACGAAAACCGCTTTTGGTGCATGTTTCCAAAGAGCGATCAGTGTCATGATGTTCAGACCAAGAAAGCCGATCTGGGCGACGAAATAGGCCGACATGTCCAGTGCGGGTGGGCGCTGTGGTTGATGGTTAATCGGAGGCGGCGGGGTGAGGTGTAGTGCGTCTGAGGTCGCAATGCTTGCTCGCTGTGCGTTGTGGGCAACACTCAAGGCATAATCAAGTTCACCCTGGATATCAATCGTAAATACACATCTCACCCAATCGCATACGGAAGACTAAGGGTACACTCACCACTGCATTAACGCTCCTCCTTCGCAATAACCAGTCGATCTCTCCGAGGCTTCGGGAAGATGGAAGAGGCGGGGGAGAACCATGGCCTAGTGATGTCGACCAAGTCTCGCTGTGTTTCCTCGTCCGAGCGGGTCTATTCAGGACTTCGAATCCCCGACGAGGACTTCCGGACATGATGGATTCCCCATCTGTAGACAACGCTTCAAGACTTCGCCGCGGTGGGTTGGACGTGGACTGAAGTATCGCTGATTGAGAGCGAGGTGACATTGGAGGGGAGTAAAGTCCACTGGGGGAAGGAGAGTGACTCGATTCCCGCCGGATGGGTTCCGTCTTCTCTGTGGGTGAGGGGGAAAGGTTGCGCAAAGCCGAAGCCTGGCTCTGCGTATCTGACAGTGTCTGCTTCGGCTGACGGGATAGATAAGAACAGAGTAAGATCACGGGGGTTGCGGCGTAGAGCAAGGCAAAGAAGACCAGGGAGATGAGCCCATGACTTGTCGTTAGGTGAGGCGCGGAGCGTTCCTCCCTATCTGAGGTGATAAAAGACAGGGATGTGAATCCCAGCACAAAACCAGCGATGCCCAGCGTGTATGAGGCGATTGTAAAAGAGAGAAGGAAAAGAGTATAAAGTCTTTGTGATGTGGAACCGTGAAAGGAAAGATCAAAGAAACGAAAGAGAAATGCGGAAAGAAAGAGGAGGGCAAGTGAGAGTGGTGAGAGTAGTTTGTGGTATAGGTCGGTGTCAAATTCCTGCGTGGATGGAGAATTGGGTGAATCTGGCTTATCTCCCCCTTGGTCTCCTCCTTGTCCCGGCTGTGATGGCTCCTTCATCGTAGCGCAACGTTGGAGGTATTCTAGGGTAACGCCTGAACCTGATGCGTCGATACCAGACTGCAGATTGCCATCGCCGAATCCGTGCCAAGTTGCAAAGGAGGAAGTAATGGCAGCCGAATATGAGCGCAGCAGCCATACTTCTGACAGATATCTTCCTGTTGAATCCCGCCCGCCAAAGATCTGTGTAGGGGTTGTGTTCTGGGTTAAAACGGTTATTTCTAGGTTACAAAAAAATAGACGCACAAGGGTATCTGCGACTCCATCCCGGGCGGAACCTACTAGGCCGCGGTTAGAAGCAAAAACAGCGGCACCTTCTCTTGGGGTTGGGTAGGAAACCTCCCCTGATGGCCCTGAATGACCAGCAGGGATGATTCGGCTCCATGTACCGGTACTCACGTCGAGGACATCCTAAAATATGGTCGTTCAGAAGTTCGGTCACGAAGAGAAAAATTAACTCACAATTTCCCCTTTGTGCAAACCTCCATCGTCATCCCAGAGTGAAGTGTTGGTCGTGCCGAGTGTCAGGAAGACTTGGGAGGCAAACCGAGAAGAGTTTCCATTCATGTTGGGTATGAGGACCGGATCCAAACGCGGTGGAGGACAGGGAGCAGGAGAGATCGATGACCTGGTTTGAGAATCGATAACATAAGAATCTTGTTGGGCGCAGGTTGGGTCGTCGTCCTCGTCGTTGACATCGACGTTGCAGCCCCCGCTGGATACAATCGAATATCCAACGACAGCCCCTCCCTGACGTTCTCTCCCTGGCAATTCTTCATCTAGTTCCACTCTCTCCCAGCTACCACGAATAGCTCCCGGTAGGTTGGCCGACAGTGTTCCGGAGATCTTGAGCCGCCAGACATCGGAGAGAGGGTATATCCTGTCCTTGTCTGACCCACCGGCGAGGTAGAAGGTGTTGTTGGGACCGGGAACGACGCTATCTTGAACAGGTGCAATGCGAGTATCGATTCCCCCAGACGACCCCCATCTGGGTGCAGGACCGCTGGCAGGTGGTATGTCTATCTGTGACCAAAAGTGGTTGGTGAAGTCGAACGCCTTGTATTTATAAATACCGTTGTTCTGCGAATAATTATACACTGGAGACTTACCCATGCATCGGATAAAGCAGCGTCGTTTGCACCCTTTCCACCGATAACTATAAAGGCATGTCGGCTATGGCGGCGCTATCATTAGTATCGTGGACCATTGCCGGTGCAGTGTGGCGACCTACTTGCTCGCTGCGAAATCGACTCCCGAAACTGCTGAGCTACGCGCAGCCGGTGTTGCATCGAGGCCACCCGGTGGCGAAGGAATAGACCATGTCAGGGTGTCCAGATTCAAACTGAATAGAATTAGCCTTCCATGTCCACGGACGTAAGCAAAGATATCAGACGCACAGAAAAGTGCTGGACTGGACGAAACCTCCTTGAGATTCCCCTCCAAATACTATGAGATTGCGGCTGCGAGAATTGTGAGCATTATTGAGCAGAACAGCAAAGAAAATAGACGAACGTATCCTCATCATAACCCAGAGCAGCATCGCGGAGAGGGGGCGGTGCTGGGCCTTGAAAACCGTCGAGCCTAATCCATTGCAAAGGGGGAAGGGGAGTGTTTGTGGAAATAGATTGGGCGTTTAAAGAGTTCAGAAACGAGAAAAGAAAGAGAAAGAGAAGGGCTTTGGCCATTCGCTTTCGACTGCGAGCACGAAACAAGCTCGTTCAGGTCCAAGTTCCAAAGCGGTCCATCAAATCCGCTCCAAACCTGGCATAACCCCTCCATTTCTCCCGACAATGGCCTTCCTTCCTTATTCTGCCTCAGTTCCTTCATATATATGTCCCAGACTAGCTGTAATCTATACAATACCGACGATAACGGTAGTCGTCGTCTCGTCTATGGCGCTGAGCGCTCGATGTAAAGGAACCCGGATATACGTACACGTGACCTTTACGGCCCGACGTCGGAGCAGGAATTGGCAATGGCACAGTGTACAAGTTCCCGAGAGGCCCTTGTCCAGTGCCTTGACCATCGCCAAATGGAACCTGAAAACAAGCGCCTGCTTAGCATAGCCGCTCACCAATCTTTGCATGTTGACAACTCCTTACCGAGCAGGTAACTCTTGTTGCAGACTGCCTGGACAGATTTCTATCCTTGGTGGTTGCACAAGTGCTGACTTGGACCAGTACCCCTCCAGATCTCGCTCTGCAATTGAGGAACCTGGGTGCGCGGGTACGACGAAGTAAGCGTTCTCCTTGGAACCCGCTGGATCGTCTTTGACAAATGTCCACTACTAGACGTGTCGCAAGGGTACATCCAACCTCCGTCGCATCATTCATCGTTTTCCAAATCCGCCTCGTCCAACTCGATATTCCGCTCGGCGAACGACACCTTACGGGATGTATACTCGACCGCTTCAGCGTCTATGGGTGCCAAAACCCCGGACCCGCCGAGAAAGCGCGATCGTTCTTGTTCAGATCAAGAAGACACCGATGAAGTCGCTGTCGATAATCATGGTCATGAGATGAAGCTTGACGCCGTTCCAAACATAGTCCAGTCCACCAGAATCATCAAGCCACTTCGGGCATCATCACGCAAATCCATGTCGGACAGTGTGTTGACCTTTCAGCGCTCTAGAGGGCCAAACCATCCACCTCCGTCTTCAGCGGCGGAGGGCATAGCTGAGGAAGAGGATTGGAGTGAAATGGCCTTGCAAGACTCTGGGGGCAGTGGGACGTCCTTCCAGCCGATATCATTTTCGTAGCTCTCGACGCACGGCTTCACTGGTATTCTTGACAAGGGATGTTGTTGTGTGAGTTGGGTTCCATCATAGCTTGAGGCATCTTCATTTGATGACTTTATTCAGAATCCCACTAGTTTTTCTGGCTGTGTAACTGTATTATTTTGAATGTGACGTTAGGTGTATCGTTAATTGCAGGATATGATACACCCCCTTGCTCTGAGCGTCTGTGGATGTAAGCTCGGGGACCAGTAGGACGACTGTGTAGTCAAGGATTGTGTGCGCGGCCAGTGGAAACATTAGATCAAGAGATGTATAACTCTTTTTGCTTGGACAATCCCGAAGAACAAAGGCCAAACATCGCATTCTGTTCGAATCAGGGTTAGGAGGGTGTTGGGAGTTTTTATCTGTTTTTAGCAGCGGCTGCTTTGATGAGACCCGGTCTGTGTGCGGTTCCTTGCGATCTGAGATCTGTTTTTCTCCTTCAGTCAACACAGTGGACACTCACCTGGCAATCCCGGATTAAGATCCTACCCTCAATAAAAGCTCCCTCTCTCACCCCGATTAACTCTGCCAAAACGCCCATCTGACGCCATGCCCACCTCCTCTCCCGTCCACTCTCCCAGGTACGCTCTCCTCTTTGTACCTTTGATCCTTTCACTCTAATATCATCCTCCTTCATTATCAGTCAATCCAATGGTCAAAGTATGTCATATCCACCCTTTACTTGCTCCAGGCTACTGACAATTATTTTAAAAAACCCAGGGAGTCTTTCCCGTGAGAGTGACGACATTTCAACTCGCCCGAGTCTTTCCAGGTAACTGTCCCTGAGAACCTCCTTTGACGGGAACAATGTTGACCTTCCTCTAACGACAGAGCGTCCTCACCATCCGACCACGACGGTTTAATGTCAGACGTTGAATCTTCCAAGCCTCTCTTACCCTCGTTGAGGGACTTCTGCAGCGGCCGTCTACCTTCCAAGTAGGGTCCATTCTTCGCATTATGACGAAAACAAACATCTGACAAACACGGCTGTAGCGGCGGGTCAGCCCTCGATGCCCGAATTCGCGATCTTGGCTTGGAACAACCACTTCCAGGGCCTCCTCCCGCACCCCGTGCCGTCTCCTCTGGACATTATTCTCCTTCTCCACCCATAAGTCACCGCTCCTCGAGCACTAGGACCAGAGACGACGAACCTGAGTGGCGCATGATGGTAGACGCTTCTGCCCCATCTCCAGACTCTGCACCGTCCAGTGCCCACTGCTCGCCATACCAGAATGAACGCGAGCTTCCACGCTTCATCGAAAGACCCCCACAGCCCCACCCTGGCCACGAGCACTCGCCCCGTCGTCGGTCTTCATCCATCGAATCCGACTCTGAGTAGGTCCACACCCGACAATAACGTCTACATGTAGACAGCTAACACAAATTCCACAGTGACAGCTATGCTTCAGTGCATCGAGACCCATATCCACGGACGTGTTTACTGCTGAATCGTCGTCATAATGCACCACCTGTCTACTACAGGTCTCATTCCTTTGGCACTGACGAATCCCGGTATGACCGTCAAAGCCTTGGACTGCGTCCTGCTTTCCCACAACCCAGTACATCAACAGTGTCCTATCGCGACACCAGCCAACCAGATCCTTACCGACCCAACAACAACGGCAATAATAACAACCCTCCCAGCCCCAACTGGGAAGACCATGTCGAGAAAGCTGGGCGAGTTAACGGTACAGGACCTGTGATGTTTACATGTCGGTGGAAGAAAGACAACGATCAATTCTGCAATTACACTGGCAAGAAGCAGCTCGCCAAACGGCACGTCGAGTCCGTGCATCTGGCCAAGAAGTGAGTCGTGTCCTGCTCTCCTTGGCTATCTTTTCCCGTTGCTGAGCAATCGCCCAGACCTCACGTATGCCCAACATGTCAAAAACCGTTTCCACAGGTGAGTCCTCGTCCTGTCCGGTAAATCAACACCCGAACTGAGTGGCCTTCTCCCTTTCAGAAAACTTCCCTGGATATTCACATCCGTTCAGTGCAGTGAGTACCTTGTGGCCTTTCTCAAGCTCCATCCCATTGACGAAGATCCGCAGCACCTTTGAGAAATCCATCAAATGTGACCACTGCGACGCTTGTTTCAGTGACCCCGCCCGACGCCACAAGCATATCGGCGTTGCTCACCCTGACAAGGTTGTGAAGAAGGCTCGGCGTAAGATCGCATTTGACGAGATTCAGCATTTGCTTGTCAAAACATAGATGACTGAAATGCCCTTTCGTCCACGTCACCTTTTTCACAATGTTCAGTTACGCTATCAATTATTACTTATTTATCAATCCTCAAACGTCGGGCACTTCGGGGTTATCGAAGTCGTTTTTGTGTAATACCATGTCTCTGTATACTACCGTCGTACTTTGGGACAGACCCTCTGTGGTCCAATATTCTCCCGCCCCTTCATCCCTTTTCAAAATAACTCGTCTTGGCTTTGGTTTCCACGGTCTTCTAGACGGTTGTGGCTGACGTAGGAAAGACTTCTGCACAGCGCTGATGGACAAAGAACCCCAGGATCCCCGTCCAACCGTTTAGCGCCATATGGCGACTCTGCCGGTTTGCCAACCTTTTCCCGAGTTATCCTGCATCTCGAGGCAAAACTCTCAAGCTGAAAGTGTTCACCGAAGCGAATGCTCCAATTCTTTCTCTTCGCCCTGTAATATGCAAGGTTCTTTGACTGTCCTTTGTACTCTTGGAAAAGAAGCCTCGGCAGCACTCGTGTGCGGCGCTGGGAAAGCTCCCAAGCGATGAATTTGATCAGATGGTTGTCGTTTTCCACTTTGGCGGAGGCTGATCAGGAGCGACCAAGTACCTTCCATGTGTTCCCAAAGCCTGTCACTTAACCATACAACCACCGTGACATAAATCAGAACCTTTGTCATGGAGCACACTCAAGTCCGATGAAAACCACTGGTACTATCAAGCGCTTCGAACGGCGAGGTCGGTCGTCGGAGGGGGACAACTGAGCCGTCTCCGCTGCTCGAGGTGAGGGTGATATCAGGCGATGCAGACTCTGAAGTTGCGCTGGCCGAGCACGTCGGAGCGCACAGTGTCGGGTGTGGGTGTTGTTCAGCCGAGTAAAATACCCGTGCGCGTTTTGGGTGCGAGGGGCATCCCAAGCCTGGCTCGGACTGAAAATCTCGTGCGTTGCGAGAAAAAAAGATCCCAATCTTACTCCGTGGTGTTCTCGGCCATGGTCAGATTCCACAGGGGTTTCACAAACCCAAAACGACAATGTTCAATCTCGGCTTCATGGACTTTGCGTGGCCACATGGTCACCGAGGCAAGCGCCCAAGAAATGATGGGGGCAAGTCCGGAGTCTGAAATCACACCCAAGCAATCATGCCGGGTGCGGCACGGAATCCTGAGCAGCACGACTGCTTCCACCTCAAATGTCGTCGAGAAATCCTCAGTTGGGCTCTATAGCCCTTCAAAGCCCTTCAAGCGAGACGCAGACCGTCCGAATTACACCAGCAACTTGCAATGACTTATCTCTATTCAAATGTATGCGTTCCATTCCATCATTGCCGCTACAGGTGGCTTGACGAAACATCTTCCCTCCCTCAGCTATACTAAAGGAATATAGAAAGCTCGATGATGGCATAACTATGCGACTCAATCGGGCTCAAGCGTTTATTAGAGATCAAGAACGTGAACGGACATCGCCAGGGCCTGACAGTATTCAAAATCAGGCCTGTATTGCCGTCTGGAGGGAACTCATGGGTGAGGACATCATGTTCTTCCTCTTTCGAGCGTCTCCGAGTCTAACCCCATCTTTTCCAATAGGCAATTGGAAGAGGAGGACTCAGTTGATCAACTACTGCGTCTCCGTTGTCGATGAATCAATAGCAGAAAACAAGGACCTGGCAGAACGAAGTGACAACCCAGCGGAGCAACGTCGAGCACAGGCGACAAGCTATGCGGAAGAAGTCAAGGTTTGATTGTTACATCCCATGTGTTCATGAACTAGTCGCGCTAATGAGCTTTTTTCATCTTTGCAATGCTATAGCGCAACCAGATACGAAATGAACGGACAGTGGAAAAGATCATCAGACAACGAGCGATAGATGGTATGTCCTTACCTGGACAATTCTCCCCGATTTGAATTGTCTGTCTAACGGCGTGTCGTATAGCCTTCCATTCACGTTGTCAATATTTTACCCCTCCGCAGTCAGACCAAGAGGCGAATTCTATATGGGAGGATGCAAAGCATTAAAGATGAATGGGGTTCCATGCCCAGCGTCGTTTCGGTCTGGACGGCGTTTCCCTACGGTGTGAGACGGTGACCAACTCCGACGGCGACGTAGTAGGCGCCTGTGGCTCCGTGCGGAACGTCTCATTCTGTTCTTGGCCTTCCGTTCGTTCTCTCAAAGAAGTACACCGTGGGTTTAAAACTTTCTCAGTGGGCATTTCTCACCGTGGACAGAGCTACCACTTTTTAATTAGGTTTCAGTAGAAATATTCTGGCCTTACAAATTAGTATGATACAATGACGCCATCTCCCATTGGAATGGTTGTAATTAGTGTCAGACAGCAGACTAATGTCCGGTATCCGACGCAACAATCTCTGCTCCCAACCGTTGACAACATGCGCATTTCCCTAGTATCGTCACTGCTTTCAGTATTCTCGAGCTCCGTGGTACTCGCCCTGAAAACCCCGCCGCTATTCAGCGTTCAGGAATCCCATTTGGGAGGACCCGATTCTGTCATACTAGGCGATGTGATGGTGCCAGTGCATCTGGGTGTCATGAGTCGCTGTCCAGACGCTCTCCTCTGCGAGAGCGTTTTCGACGAGGTCCTTGGGGTTGTGGGAGACAAGGTCGAGCTATCCTTAGTCTTTGTTGCTCGGTAAGCGTTCTTCGGCGATGAATAACATTATATGGTAACGTCTCCGTAGAATCGACCCTTCCCAGCCTGACGGCGTGAAATGTCTCCACGGCGCCGTGGAATGCGCGGCCAACACTCAGCAACTCTGCGCAGCGAAATATAACCCCTTTTCCAAATGGTGGGCATTCGTCCAATGTGGAAACTATCACGGGAAGGACAAAATTGGCTTGCCTGAAACCGTTTCAACTTGTGCAAAGGCAGCAGAGATAGATTGGGAAGGTAGCGGAGCTGCTCAATGTGCCGGAAAGGATGGCAGAGGGGAAGAAGGGCTGCAACTATTGAAGGACAGCATTCATTTGGGCAACGAGTTCAACATTCAGTGAGTCTAGGGTCACATGCAACCGCCGACGTGTTTGGGAGCCAATCTTGTTCCAGGAAAAGCTGCACGGTGTTGATTAGTGGGCGAAAGATCTGCGTCCATGATGGAACGTGGAAGGAATGCGAGGTGCGAAGTCGTGTGAGCCATGCCCACGATGCAGCTTTGACCGATAAGTACCACAGAACGGCCATAGTGTTCAGAATTTCGTTGACCAAATCGAGGAAGAATATCGGCGGCTGAACAGCCTCTGACATTCGACGAGCAGGGTTGTAAAGGCGACGAGCGAGGTGCAGGAGTCAGGGGACATGCTGGGTGTATATGGCGACAAGACGGTTGGAAGCAGGAACGCTTGATATATCCTCATCCCCATACTATTTCATACAGTATGACCAGTGTATTGATAGCGATGAGGGGTACTGTAGCGTATTGTTAAGCTCTTCCAGGCTGTACTATCAAGAGAAAGAACACGTACTGCGCATAAGCGTCCGCACCGCACTAATGAGGTCAATCATCCTTGCTTTCATGCTCAATTCGCCTGGTGCTCCTGCTTGTCCTCCATATCCATTCTGGTCATATCCCTGTTGGAATCCAGTATTTGGGTCCCGTATTTGTCGCGACGAAGAACTCCAGCCAACTAGTGCAGACGCTCATTAGACTGGGATACATAGCAAGCAATGCATACGTGTTACGCACTTCTGGCAAGGAAACGATCCTCGTTAAGAATAGCGATGGCGTTAATGAGCAACAGAGAGACCTGGAATATTGTCCCAAACATTGTAGGTTTGAACGCCCAGAGCCTGAAGGGTGTGTGATTGTAGAGGCAACTGAGTAGTTAAGACGAGTCTGGGAGTGCCGGGAACACGTGACACCGTGACGGGAGTCGCGGATACTTTGTAAATTCTTCCGTTCACCACCACACTTCGACGTGACGCAGAAGTACCGGCGCCTCTCTCTTTGGACCGCGTCGAGGATGCAGAGCTATGTACGCCCAGGTGAGAAATTACTCTTATAACTTGGATAGGCTACTGACTACAGCGCAGCTTTGGGCAGGAAATCGCTTTTGAACAACGTTGCCTCCTCGTCCCGGTTGTACGTGGTTTGCGTGGCGGATGAACGAATGCTCTTATTCACGTCCCCTTAGTGCCTCAGCATGGAGTCCTGTTAACTGGGTCAGAGAGAAGCTGGCCCCTGGCGTGAACGAGAAGGCGTCCGAGAAGGAGGTCGCTGCAGCCAAACAGGCTGCTCGTGCTCAAGGGACCACCAGTGTTTTCGAAACGCTGCCGCAAGCTATCACGAAGAAAGCAGAAGTGGTGGTGAAAGAGAAACAGAAGGAGCGGGCCGCCTTTGTATGTATCTTGCCCCGCTGGCCGAAGCTACTGAACGATTGACGCATCTTTTGCAGCACAAATACTCGACCGCCAACTTCAAGATCTCCCATAGGAAACTAAACATGCTTGCCAACCAAATTTCTTCCAAGCCTATCGACTATGCCATCTTGCAAATGCAATTCAGCGAAAAGAGAGCTGGTAGGCGGATAATGAACATGCTTTGCACGGCCAAGGACCATGCCATTCGTTACAAGAAGTTGGACCCCTCGCGCTTGGTTGTCTGTGAGTCCAGTGACATGCACAAGTTCTGACATTTCGATTTAACATCCTGTTCAGCTCAGGCATGGGTGACCAAGGGCCCACGACCACCGAAACAAGTGGAACCCAGAGGTCGGGGTCACTATGGTATTCGTATCAAGAACAACGCCAAGATGACTGTTGTCCTGTCGTACGGCAAGTCAATCGAAGAAAAGAAGGCCGAAGAGTTCAAGAAAAAGCTCAAGAAGGCCGTTTCTCCTCATATGCATCTCAGAGAGGACATCCCCTTGCGCAACCCCTCTCGAGGGTGGACCTGGTAGTTTCGATAGTTTGTATCTCGTTAATAATTCGATATAATTCGCCCGTATGGCTTTGCTCTCAACTTGGCCCGGTTCCAAATTTGTGAGAGAGACTTCTATAAATAGAACCCGCCAATGACACGTCGCGCGGGAACGAGGGCATCAGATTCAGAGGTTATGAGTTTGGCCGTTGAATTGATTTGTTGCTTCACCTCTATCCACGATGCCATTCCAATGGGCGTCCGTTCCTTTACTTCTCCTTCTCTGGTCGACATCCGCAGTGCTGGCTGGGCCTGCATTTGAAAACACGGCTATTGTGCGCACTGTTGAACTCGGCGGATCGGTGGTACACGTCACGACAACATACGCGGTTCGAGCTTTGGAGAACAATGTGAAGACCTACACTGTTGCCTTGGGTGCTGGTGATAGAGCAAAGACCAGCTGGTTAGAGGCCAAGATTAAGGGTCAGGATAAACCCCTGGACATCAAGGAGCGCGTCGAGAAGTCAGTATTCATCCGGTCGAATTCAACAGATAACTGACTATAAACCAGGGGCTACTCTTTAATTGATGTCACGCTTCCCAAAGCTCTCTCGACTAACAAGACTCTGAACCTTGTTTTCGAGACCGTTCAAACCCATGCAACGTACCCATGGCCGGCAACCGCAGCCCAGGGCGAGGAACAGAAACTGAAATACGCGACTGAACTGTTTGTCCTCAGTCCCTACTCGTCTGTTGTTCAACGTTCGAAGATCAGGTAATGGCCTATACTATTGCACTTATTCTGCCCGTCTAACCTTTCGACAGGGCAATGGTTCCTCGAATTGTGTCCTTCACTGAACCTGTCGGTATCGAGCCTTTCACCTCGGATTCTGTGGCAACCAAGTCAGGCGCTACTATCGTCTACGGTCCATACAACAACATTCCCGCTTCGACAAATGTGAACTTCATTCAAGAATACCAACAAACGGTCGTTGTTCACTACCACCATGAGCAACCTGTCATTGAGATTTTGGACCTCAAGCGGGCCGTTGAAGTTAGCCATTGGGGCGCCAACATCAACACCCAAGATGAGATAACGTTGCACAACGCTGGACCCAAGTGAGTGCACCTGTATCTGTGACCGATGGAATAGTTCTGACCGTTTGTAGGTTGAAGGGACATTTCTCTCGCTTCGAACACCAAAAGCAATCATACCAGAAGAAACCGGCTCCTCATATGCTTCCTGCTTTGCAGCTCAGCCTTCCGGCAGGTATTCGGGACGCCTACTACTACGATCAGATCGGCAATGTATCGACGTCTAAGCTCCGAGTCGCTCCTCTGGCGCCTAAGGGCTCACAACGGGTTCAACACAGCGTCTTGGAACTGAGACCACGTTATCCTCTTCTCGGTGGATGGAATTATAGCTTCACTCTTGGTTGGGACGCACCGCTCGAGAGCTCCGTCAGTTATGACAAAAAGACCGGAGTGTACACCCTGGAGGTTCCAATTTTGACCCCGGTTCCAGGGTCCGTCGTCAACCATGAGGAGCTCAAGATTATCCTGCCCGAAGGCGCAACGTAAGTCGTGTTCATGGATTGATCTCTAGAACCGTATCTGAATCCTGGAATTCTGTAGTGATGTTCAATTCGCCACGCCATTCCCTCCCGAATCCGTATCTACCGGCACCCATGTCACCTATCTTGACACCGTAGGTCGACCTTCCATTACGTTGGAGTATAGAGACCTCACCGTCAAGCATGCACGAGAGATATATGTGGGTCCATTGTTATTCCAGGATGCCCGCACGGCGCTGACCTTTCCTTTCAGGTTACCTACAAAGTACCCTTCTTCTCCCACATTCGCAAGGCGATCTCCGTGGCCGGTGTCTTCTTCACATTGTTCAGCGCTGCCATCCTGCTTCCCAGGATCAGCCTCTCCATTTCTCGCAAGCAAAAAGTCCAATAGTTGTTGATGTAGATACAGATACAGTACGCGGGAATTGCATTATTATTTATCGTCGGTCGTCCGGGATGAAGCTGTGTAGAGTGAAGGGTTCGCATCCTATTGGTTCTTCTCGTCTATAAGGACGATGGCAAAATCAGAAACCAACTGAAGAGATGCAAACAGGTGGGCGACATACTGTTGATAGAACATGAATACCCCGGAGAAGCCGGAGGATGGCTCGCACTTGAAGAACAATCCCTGAGTTTCCTCCTTCCCAGGGAATTCGTAATAGAGCATGCTTCCCGCAAACCTCCACGAGCCTCGAATGCCCTCAATCTTCCTTCCAATGACGAGCTGGAACGGCGGATGTCGATATTTGAGCGCCGATTCGGTCACATTGTGTACATTGACCGGCAAGATCGTGGTTTCGTTGACATATTGCCATAAGGTCTCCTTCGTCAAGTAGTAGAGCACTGGCATCCTGTCATTCGGGAGTATCGTAAGGTTTCCAATGGTCCCTGATGAAGAGTTGAGTTGAGACTGTTGATAGACTACAATGGTCGGAGGGACAGTGCACCGACCTGGTTCCCTGGTGAGATGTCTGGTTTGGGCAGGTGCATAATGGCTTTCACGATTGACGGTGGCTATGGCCTCGATCGGGGTGACGCCCACAACGATTTGACCTGACAAGCCTCTTCCAAAGAAAGAGTTCAAAGCTGGAAGACCATGTACGAGTCTTAAGGTCGAAAAGAGAACGAGAGCATACAATCCTAGTGAGGCTAGAAGGATCATCTCGACGATCGCGACTGGACTGACGTCGACAACAATAACGAGAAGAGGCGTGGGGGTCGGGGGTTAAGCGTGGATTGTCCGCGTGGTAATAAGAACTCTCATGAGCCTTCGCAACGGGTGGGGTAGAACGTGGTGGAAGACGAGAGTATTCCGAGTTTGAGGCGAAGCTTTGCTTAGAGAGCCCGAGGTCTGAGAATGAGCACCGAGGCGTTGCCAAGGGTCGGATAAAATAGAGGGCCCCTCTGAAAGTAAAGACATTATTGTCCTAGTATTTCGATGGTGGAAACAAGCTAAGGTTAACTGCGCCGTGCGGGGTGCGGGTCAACTTTTTTTGATCGACAATTGATGCCGAGGAACTTCCAAATTCTTGACCGTCACCACCACCTTCCACCAATGCTCTCGCGACTAGACACGGCTGCGCGCCAGAATTTGCGTCAACACCTGCATCTGAACGCAGTACCCAATTGGTCACCGTCCAATGGACACCGACTATCCTCGCTCGCATCGCTGAGCGCGAGACCATCGTTGGCGACGCCCTCGACCAGCTCATCCCCTTGTACACCAAGGAACTCTAGGCCTGCTTCGACAAAGGCTGCTCAGGCGCGGGATGAAGTCATTGAAGCTCATCTTCCGCGCTATATCAGACGGCAGGGCCTTCAAAAAGCAGCAGAAAAGGGCAAAGCCAAGACTGGCGCTGGCACCCCCACAGAGTCCAAAGAAATCAAATTGCTCGATCCCTACATCCTAGCTAAAAGGCTGAGGGCCCTATGCCAAGCTGGAAAGGTCGATGACGCCGTAGCCATGCTAAAGAACTCTCCTCGAGACGCGATGAACACACCTGTCTGGAACACCATGATATGGGAAGCGCTCAAAAACCGGCGCTTTCAACTGGCGTACAAACTTTACGTCGATGTGAGTCCCACACTCCCCTCGTGTTGACAGCCGCATGTCTCACTCACACTTCTTAGATGAAGCGACGTGGGTTCAGCCCAACCACCAGAACATTTCAGACCATGTTCACGGGTCTGTCCAAGATCGAAGAATGGTCGTCCCACACGCAACAGCTTTCAAACGCCCGACTTCTTTACGATGCTTTCCAACGTCACATCACATCTCTCAAAAAGCATGAGCCTACAAGCAAAGACATTATGTCCACGCCGCTCGCTGCATACATCAAAATCCTTGGCGATAACGGCGAGTACGACGAAATCCTTGACGTGTTCAAGTCGCTTGACAAAGATGGTCCGTTCTCCCCGGACGCGACTGTCTATGCCGCCACCTTCCACGCAATCGCAAACATGCGCCGTGTCCTCGTAGCCAAGGGCATCACACCGCCTGAGCAGTGGGAGGCGACTGTCGCCGCTGACGCCAGACAATTGTGGACACAGCTCGGAAAGGCATCCAAGCAGGACCCCTCCAAATTACCTGATGCTTTCGTGGCCACCACGGCGATCTCGGCGCTGTCGAGAGGCTCCACCGAAGATCACGAACTCGCATTCCAGATTGCGCAGGAATACTTTGGCCTATCAAGAGATCCAAGTAACGCAGGTGTCGGGTTACACCCTCTCACTCGTGCGACATTTGGAACCATCCTAAACCTTTGCGATGACGCCGGGTGTCATTCGACAAGCCTACAACTCCTCCAACAGGTCAAGGAGCGCCCAGAAGCTCATGGTGGCCTATCAATCATAGATCGTCCCCACATGGAGGAAATACTGAAAGCACGGTCCAAGACCCCCGACAGCGATTTGGGTAACGCGTCCTTGGGATACCTGGAGTGGATGCTGCGACGGGAACACTCTGGCCATGGTGCTCACATTCGCCCTGCCATGTCCACCTACAACTTGGTCCTCACAGCCTGTTGGAAGGCTTCCGATTGGACCTCTGCCCTCAGCGCTTTCGAGCTAATGACCGGCTATTCACCTATTGACTTTATCGAAACACCTTCCCCCGACTCGGCTCCACCCAAACCACGCAAACGTACCACCCAAACTCTCGTCCCTTCGGCAGAGGCTATGTCTGCCATGATGCGTACGGCACTCTCAACACGACAACTGCGCTACATCCAGCAATGCCTCCGTATCCTCCAACACATCGGCATCGACCACATCACGACACGATCCTCCCAACACAAAAAAGAAGCCAAGAATAACTCGTTCTATGGATCTAAGCTGGCCAGCGCCGTTACTGAATCAGTCCAAATTCTAACGACATACAAGGACGAGTGTGTGCCGGCCGAGCTTGCCAAATGGCGTGCGTTTGCATCGCAGTGTAGGGAGGAATTTGATAAAACGGGCGCCGGCGGTGGTAATGAAGGGGGCGGCTATACACCAACCACTCTCGATCGGGAACCTTCAAAGGGAAATAAGCGAAGGCTCCGACTTTAAATTTGAACTCTTCCACCCACACTACAGTACACAGAACTTAATGGTTCTCGACTATACACATTCTAGAATTTACAGTAGATAATTCACTAGTCGACCTGCATTTTTGAAAGCAACCTAGTTCCATTTTTACCGCGAATAGTTGAATAAACCCCCAAGCCTCCGCTTTCAAAGCATGTAGCAGATTCGAAACGAAAGCAAGGAATGGATATATTCAAATGTCCGGCGACTAACAACTAACGACAATAACGATTAAACAACAGCCAGAGCCCAGGGGGTCTAAGTCCATAAGTAAGATACACTAGATTCGTGAGCATGATGGGTAGGTAGAAAGTGGTGTAAGTGTGTTCGTCACAGGCATCAAGCAACGGACTTGGGCCGTTCGCCCGGTTGTAATTTGCCATTACCGCCTCCATATCCATGGAAGGCGGGTGACGGCGGTACGAAGGTGTCTTCTGTGAGCGCCATTGAGACGGGCTCGTACGCGTGGACCGACGGCGGCTGCACCTCTATACCGGCGATGTAACTGTTGGGTCTCGTGCTGTTTGGCCGGGTGCTTCCCCCACCTCGGGCTCGTGGCGTCCTTGCGAAGGCTCTCCTCCTTCGTTTCTTGATGAACATGACGAGCCAGATGATAGATCCCACGACAATAACGAGTGCATTGAAGGCTACCACTGCAAGCATGGCAGGCATGAACTTTCCAATCATTTCGAGAGATTCAGAAATGTCGGTCGAAATGGCGAAGGAAGGTGCGACAGAGACACCGTCCAATCCGACAAACTTGATGCCACTCCTGGGTTCGCCTCCGCGTTGGTTGTGGAAAGTTATCGATGCGGCGTCCGGTTCGACGAGTGCGAGTAGCTTGACATAAGGATCGCCCATTTTTCCTTCAGCGTCAAAGTCGCCAAAGTCATAGATGGAATAGACCGATCGCAAGAAGTTGTCGCCAATCAACCAATCACTACATGAAAGTGTCAGTGAATTAAGTAGAATGGCGTCCACAAAGTTGACTACGTACAAGTCCCATCCATCTCCAAGGATCTGAGGGAGGAAGGTACCGATACAAACGTCCTTGTTAGTAGGGTTTCTAGGCATGACCACGTCGAGAGGATGTACGGGGAAGACTTGTCCACTTTGGCAAGAGTTCAGCTTTGCGCGTGCCGTGACAGGGAGGCAACGTACCCAATTTGCAGGGCCATATTGACCTCTTGATCGCATGGAACGATCCATGCACCAACGGCGGCATCAAATGAAGCGCCTGGAACGTTTCCATAGATAGCTTCACAAATCTCCGGCGGGGCGTACCTGCAAGCAATGTGTCAACGCTATTATAAAACATGGGGATTCTTTCCCGACATACGTGTATGATGCTCCGCTGTCAAGTAAGACCACAGCCTTGTTGCTGGGGGCACCTACGATCTTGGTTGTCCCAGGCGTAATGGTGTCATTGACGATGAGGGCGTCGAGAAGAACGTTCCAGCGATAGGGATTACGAGGCGGCCAAGTGGGTATTGGGGCATTTCCGAGGATCGCAGTATATTCTGGCTCGAATTCACCTGCAGGGACGTAAATAATGAGTGACAGATGAGATAAACGAATGTACGAACCAATGGCAAAGCTTCCTTCCACTTCGTCCTCGTCCTCTCCATCTATATCCCGGTGGAGTGCGAAGGCAATGAAGTTGGGTTCTTCAGGGTTGGCATCGAATAAGTTGTAGAGTAGGCTGCGGCCTGAGGTCGCCCCGGTCTTATTGAGTTCGTGGTCGATGGATGACAAGCGGTTGAAGCCAAGGCCGACTACACCATCAGCACCAAGGCCAAGCGCTGGATTGTAAGCACTGTCGGCGTCCAGAAAGGCTTGTCTCGGTGCTGTGATACTTGAAGGTGGTTAGAGACAGCCTCCTTGAGAACGAGGAAAAACACAATACCCGACAAAGGTTACAGGAGCATAGGCGATGTGTCCTGCAGCCCATCCAATAGCATACTACAGTGCAAGCGTGAGTGACAAGGTCGCCGGCTTTGGCAGATAAGGCTCACGCTCATGTTGTGAAGTAGCCGCTGTATCGTGTGTCAGAACCATAGGCACGAGAAAGAGGGACAAACATACTGTTGCTTCCGTCCCGGGTATAGGAGAACCATTTGGACCTTTAATGAACAAGTCCGAAGAGCCAGTGTCGAGTTGAACGGAGTAGTCTTCCGGCAGAGGCCTTCAGCACAGGAAACGAGGCCATGAGAAGGAAGAAGACCCACCAACACCTCCTACGGTTATCTAGAGAGCTTGTGAGTGATATTAGAGGGCAGCCTGAGAACAGGGAACGTACGTCTGCAAGGTAAAGCAAGTCATGGACCGACCTGGAGTGGTAAAGGGTGAGGTCGTGCGCGATGAATATGAAGGGAGGGCGTACTCGATATCGAATGAATTTTCTCCGTCTCCAGGATCTGCTGTGACCTGACCATTGGTGGACTGAGGGGCGCGACGTTGAAGGGGATGAGTAGAGAGTTGTTTGTGCTGTTTCCGTATTGTCGTTCTGAATGCCGAAGACGTTGTCGCCGCCGCCACGACGGCGAGGACGAAGTGACGAGCGAATTTCATAACCGAAAGGCCAGTGAAAGAGCGGAATGCAAGGCAGAAGACGGACTTTAGTTAGTAAATAGATAGTAGTAGAGGGAATGGCACGGCTGCTGAGCCCCGTCGTGGACGGTGAGAGCAAGCAATCCTTCGACAAATCCGAATCGCCTAAACCCAAAATGTTTGTTGTTTGCGTCAAGACATCAAGTCCACTTCATCCACTTTCCCTCATTTCTGCTTGGCAATCACAAATTATTATTTAGGCTTTATCCTCGTCCTCCTTCTGGAAATGTACCCCCTTGCTCATCGTCTCTAACAGCGATCTCCTCTGTTCGCTGTTGCCAGCTGTCACCAAAAGGAGTAATTGGCTCCCGCGTTTGCCCCAGGTCGGGAATTGATGCGGGCCGGAGCTTAGTGTGGGGAAAGGTATAAGTAAGTTCCAGGACCATTCGCTGGACTCGCTCTACCAATGGCCTCTGCTTCGAGAAGATCTATCTTGCGTCTCATAAACGCCTCTCAACACACCTGCTGTCCCTGCCACGGTCATTCCCATGTCCACCCACATACCCAACTTCAGGCCATATCCCAGTTGCGCAACTTCGCGACACCCGTACCCTCTATCGAGAGGGAGTATGCTTTCGAGGTCCGTTCATCCTTGCGTCCTACATTCTGTCCTTGTGCTTATTGACTCTCACAGGTGGCGGCCTCCAATTTACGGTTCGGTGACGGGGTAACCAAAGAAGTCGGCATGGACCTCAAGAACATGAAGGCTCGAAAGGTGCGTCACAGACCAATATAGTCTAACCGAGTCTAAACCTTTGCTAGGTTGGAGTAATGACAGACCCAAATGTTGCTAAGCTGAAGCCAATGCAAGCTGTAATGCCCAATACTTGCCCTGTACTTCATATGTCGACCTGACCCCTATCTAGGCTATCGCGGCACTAGAAGCCGAAACCGATCTTCCCTTTGAGGTTTATGACAGGGTCGTCGCGGAACCAACTGAAGAAAGCTGGAGAGACGCTATTGCTTGGGCGAGGCACCACGACTTTAGTCACTTCCTGGCGTACGTGCCTTCTTCCCCCATAACTCGCATCATCTTCTCTGACATCTCTCGTTCCTCGACTCCAGTGTTGGCGGTGGAAGTGTCATTGACACCGCAAAAGCAGCTAATTTGTACGCTCGTTGACCTTTGACATGCTTTCCAAATTAACTAGAACTGCCCAGGTTCACCGTTTACAAGGATGCTGATCTCATGGAGTTCATCAATGCTCCAATTGGCAAAGGCGCTCCTATCAAACAAGCTCTTCGTCCACTCATTGCCGTTCCCACAACCGCTGGTACTGGTTCAGAAACCACAGGAACGGCAATCCTGGATATCACGTCCAGGTCTTTCAAGACGGGTATCGCCAATCGCGCTCTGAAACCTGTGCTCGGCATTGTGGTACGTTGTTGAGTCGAATAGTCTGCGCTTCGACTGAAGCTAAACCTCCCTGCAGGACGTGCACAATACCGAAAGTTGTCCCACCGCAGTACAAATTAGCGCTGGCTTGGATGTCTTGTTCCATAGCTTGGAGAGCTATACAGCTATTCCGTGGGTGAATGTCAAACATGAAGATATCTCAATGTTTTGACAAGTGTTTCTAGATACACAGAGCGATTCCCTCGACCGGCTAACCCCATTCTTCGCCCAGCTTATCAGGGAAGTAACCCGGTCGCCGATATCTTCTCCCTATGGGCACTCCGAACTACCGTGGAGCACCTTCCTCGTGTGGCAAAGGAGCATGACGACCCAGAAGCGCGCCGACAGATGCTGTAAGTTGTTCCAGTTACCGCACTTCTTCATACGCTGACTTTCTCTCGCAGTCTCGCGTCTTCGTTTGCAGGGATCGGTTTCGGCAACGCAGGTGTTCATCTTTGCCACGGTATGAGTTATCCTGTAAGTGTATGCGGATGTTTGTTCGGGTCTCATCTTCTCATACCCCTCAATTAGATTTCAGGATTGAACAAGAAAGGTCCCAAGTACAAGCATCCTGGCTATGTCACCGACAAGCCCATTATCCCTCATGGTGTCAGGTATGCCTGTTGAAAAAGAGAACGGGAACGTCGAAAGCTGATCATTGTTCCAGTGTTGCTTTGACGGGACCAGCAGGTTTGAGGCCTTTATCCGACTTCCACCGTACTCACGCTAATCGCCTGAATAATAGTCTTCCAGTTCACCGCACCGTCGTCACCGGATCGCCATCGAGAAGCTTTAGCCATCTTCAATGGCGTAAGCCTTTCGGACCCCAGTATCACCAAGATCCCAGACAGGGAGATTGGAGCTCACCTCTACGAAGCAATTGCTCGCTTTTTGGATGGCCTGGGTGTTCCCAGAGGGTTGAAGGCCGTCGGGTATGTGAACAGCATGTCCCCTTGAGCAAGGATCTAATGTGTGTTCGCTTCCAGATACAAAACAAGCGATGTAGACATGCTAGTGGATGGCACTATACCACAGCGACGTGTCTTGGATCTCGCCCCCGGAGTAGGGGACGTAGCGGGTGCGGACGGAAGGGAACATCTCACTCGCATCTTGGAAAACTCTCTCGAGTACTAACCAGCACTTCACGGACTATCTCTCACGAGTCACGACTATCGTCTTGCCCGTGTATCATATCACAGAATCTATTCATCTGTTTGCCTCGCAGTACTTTTGGCCTGACCAACTTTGGCTCCGAGCCCGAAAACGCGATCGAGGCATGCTAAAGCCGAAGTCGCGTTCTTAATGAGATCACATGGTCGCGATTTACCTCTGCTGAGATCATAGTTGATTCAAATCCCCTTCTCGACCGCTCTCATTCTGTCAGGTAACGACCATGATCTCCTCACGTCGCAGCGTGTTCCGACCGTGCATCGATCTACACAACGGTCAAGTGAAACAAATCGTCGGAGGGACATTATCAGATTCGTCGCCTGACGCACTGCGAACGAACTTTGTTGCCGAGTGCGTTGTTGTGCCTTGAGTCTCGAGAAGAAGCATATTGACAAGAAATCGCTGGGTGATAGGCAGAGTGCTGGGCAATTTGCTGAACTGTACAAACTACACGATCTAACAGGAGGACATGTTATCAAACTTGGACCGGGAAACGATGCTGCAGCGAAGGAAGCGCTGGCGACATGGCCTAGTATGCCCTCATCCCTAATCCCAGGGTTCAATCATTTTTACCCCTTTCGGACCTAGAGGGACTGCAAATCGGTGGAGGGATTAACGAGACGAATGCTCAGGAGTGGTTGGACGCCGGTGCCAGCAAGGTGAGTTGCATTTATCTCTGGCAACTATCTGGGGTTGACACTTGGAGTCAGGTTATCGTAACGTCGTATCTATTCCCTAATGGCAACTTCTCTTTAGAGAGGTTGCAGAGGCTGTCACAATCTATCGGAAAGGAAAATCTGGTTGTCGATGTAAGGTGGAGTAGTGCGGCTTACAGTCTCGGAGAAGAGACGGTGTGCTGACCCGATGCTGACAATGGTAGTTGTCGCCGACGGGGTGAAAAATGGTTGGTGGCTATGAATAAATGGCAAGATATAACAGATATGGAGGTATGCAAGGGTACGTTCCAAAACCGACAGTCACAGCTTCAAGAGTGCTTACATTCCCTCCGCAGAGACGCTCGATCTCTTGTCAGAGTATTGCAGGTGCGCACATGCATTTCAAGTCAACACCGACACCCTCCCGACTTTTCTCCAGCGAATTCTTAATCCATGCAGCCGACGTCGAAGGACTTTGCCAGGGAATAGACGAGGCCCTCGTGGAAAGTATGTCAGGGCCTTTTTTCCATCCTACATTGCGACTAATCTATGATCCAAGAATTGGGCGAATGGGTCACGATCCCAACAACGTATGCTGGGGGTGCAAAGGGTAAGATAGATCGTCCTTCTGAGAGCTTCAAACACAGTGACCAATTATCACAGATCTTAACGATCTTGACCTTGTCAACCGTTTGTCTGGGGGGAAAGTCGATTTGACTTATGGAAGGTAAGGGCATCTCTCCATAAGGCTTCTCCGACGCTTGCCAATGGTCTTGCAGCTCGTTAGACATTTTTGGCGGAAAGGTATCGTTCGAGAAGCTGGTGAAGAAGAGTACGGGAACAAGAGCATGATTTTAGGTCGTCGTAGTAGAGTAGTAGAAATTTTGAATGGTCATTATATAGATGCAGCCTCGAGTTTTCTGACAGGGCGTAAGGAAAGAGACGGTGAATTCGGCAAATGCCGATCGTGGGAACAGCGTTATAGTTCCAGAAAATAAGGTTCACCACACAGAAATTCAGCGTCGCCATCGCCGTGATCACAGTTAACGACCCCCTCAAGGTGAGTATTGCTGCCAGTTTGCTTTCTTGACGCCGGGAGGAGGGAGTTGAATAAGAGATTGGTGTTAACGAGCGATTTCGTAGATCATCCACAATGCCCGGCAAGGTCAAGGCGTACGAACTCCAATCCAAGTGCGAAATCAACCTATAATCAATTGTCCGACCGACTACTAATGTGCTGGTGCTGTGTTCCTACAGGTCCAAGCCCGACTTGGCCAAGCAGCTCGCTGACTTGAAGAACGAGCTCCTTACTCTGCGGGTGCAGAAGATTGCTGGTGGATCTGCCTCAAAACTCACCAGAATGTGCGTATTCGCGAGATAACCCGACTGGCTGTCGTTGACCGATTCGTGCAGCAACACTGTCCGCAAGTCTATTGCCCGGGTATTGACTGTCACCAACCAAAAGGCCCGCCAAAACCTTCGCGAATACTACAAGAACAAGAAGTACCTCCCCCTCGACCTCCGACCCAAAAAGACCCGCGCTATTCGCAGAAGGCTGACGAAGGTACGAAGGTTTACTCGGGTTCCAGCACGACTTTTTATTCCTGACCATGCGAAATGTTTCCGTTCTACAGCACGAGGCATCGCTCAAGACCTTGAAGCAGCAGAAGAAGGAGCTCAACTTCCCAACAAGGAAGTACGCTGTGAGAGCATAAGGGGGAGTCTATGTCTCGAGTTCGATATGCCATGCGTTGTATGCCTCTTGCCACATTATGTCTGATCACCATTGTATTCCGAGACCGATGAATTCACCGCAACACCGAGCCACTGCACCAGGCGCCAAAAGCCAAATCTGAGTCTTGCTTATGTAATCCGGCATCTCCGGCTCGCGGGGTGAGACGTGATGTGAGGCTATTTTGAGGCATCGAGTGATGTCGTTCTGCAGCGAGCTCGCTGCCTTCGACTCTTCCTTCCACCACCACCGTCGTCCCCGTCCTACACACAAGCCGAGTCTCTGTCGTGCCCTCATCGCCAACGACGGTCCCCGACGAATCCCCCGCCTTTCCCAACCCTCAACGTCCGCGACACCCCAATTCGAGAGACTTGGCTTTTTCTCTTTCTCTCAACTTTCTCTCTCTTTTTTCCGCTTTTTTCACTTGTATTCCTGTTAACGACTTCTTAACGACCTTATCGACGATCTAACGACATTTACGAATACGATTATGGTGAGTTTCGATCTCATAATCGTCGAGAAGATCCCTTCGCTCTGGCCCCGCACGTGTGGGCACGAAGCTGTGAATAATGCATGAGGTCACCCTGAGAGCGCCTCGTCGGCGAATTTCTTTAAATCCTTCTTCAATACCTTTCTCTTTTTCTTTTCGACATGACACTAACTTGGGTATGTTTCGTAAACAGACAAAGTCTTCGACCCGCTCGCCGCCCCCCTCTCCCAAGGTGGAGCAACGGACCCGACCCAGGGATCCCTGCCCAATCCCGAGCAGCAACCCCGCAAGCCAGTATACGCTACTGGAGAAGCTTGGGACAGGAAGTTTTGGTGTCGTGTACAAGGCCATACACAACGAGACCAAGCAAATTGTTGCAATCAAGCAGATAGGTGCGCCCTCCTCGTTGTCTTGGCTCCGCACGGTACTAATCCAATATGGTAGATCTTGAAGACTCGGACGACGACATTTCTGAAATACAGCAAGAAATTGCCAGCCTTGCCCAATGCGACTCTGAATACGTGACCAAGTACTATGGGTCCTTCGTGGTGCACTACAAACTCTGGATCGTGATGGAGTACCTCGCAGGTGGCTCGTGTCTTGACCTTCTTAAAGCCGGGCCGTTTTCTGAAGCACACATCGCTGTCATTTGCCGCGAGCTTCTTTTGGGACTCGACTACCTCCACGCTGAAGGAACCATTCACCGGGACATCAAGGCTGCGAATGTGCTTCTCTCCTCGTCGGGCAAAGTCAAGCTGGCCGATTTTGGCGTTGCAGCTCAGCTCACCAACACCCTACGACACACATTTGTCGGCACCCCCTTCTGGATGGCACCTGAAGTTATTCGACAGGCCGGATACGATTCCAAAGCGGACATGTGGAGCCTTGGAATTACAGCGATTGAGATGGCTAAAGGCGAGCCTCCATTAGCCGAGTATCACCCGATGCGGGTTCTTTTTCTCATCCCAAAAGCGAAGCCACCGACTCTTGAAGGACCGTTCTCAGCGGCATTCAAGGATTTCGTGACCCTATGCTTGACTAAAGACCCCAAACTCGTTCGTAATTCTAATCTACCCTGTTTGAAATACATTACTAACTCCTTATTGTGTTCAATTAGCGCCCATCTGCCAACGAGCTGCTTCAACATAGATTCATTCGTGGCGCAAAGAAGACATCTTATTTGACAGAGTTGATCGAGCGGTACCAGGAATGGCGCATGCGGAGCCCTCACAAAGGCCAGAATAATGCTGCTACGATCAGGAATACCGCCACATGGGATATGAATGATACCATTCGGAGCGACTGGAATTTCGACACTGTGAAGTCGATGGGGGCCATGGGTACTTTCAGGGGCTCGGTTAAGGACCTTGGGATGCCTACGGGGATGATCCTTGAAGCCGACGAGAGCGACGATGGAGAGACCTCGATTGATACAGGTGCAGCAACCAAGGGAAGCGATCCGCTTCTCTCAAATTCACAAGCCGCACATTCGACTGTGATGATCAAGAACCCTCCGCCGCATCTTGCGGAATCAGACGACATTGCAGACGATGATATCCCAAACGGTATGCATCTAACGTCTGGCTCGGTGTTAACTTTACTGACCATCCTCTTTAGGTGCCCCTCCTGCCTATTCCGGTTCGGTTCGCAGTGCCAGACGCGCCTCTTACGCAGAGAGATCCTCCACAGATGGTCCAGGAACGGTTTTAAATGAGGCAGATCTTGGTACTGGAGTGGATACTATCCGACCCGTCAAGAAAGTCGATGCAGCTGGCTCTCTGCGCCTGTCCACTGGTTATCTCGGTAGCATACGCAAGGAGGGTAGCGGCTCATCCTACTCGACTCACAAACGGTCGGCAAGTGAAGGTGCCAGGGCCGGTAGGGCAATGGTAGACGAGGTTGTATTGCCTGTCCTACAAAGAGTAAGTGCCTTGCGGCTACGCCGTCATGAGATTTGCTCAAGTGTTTTTCAGGCTATTCGGGATGACATGGACGCACGCGAAATCGAGTCTCTCAGCATGCTTCAGCGAGGCTTCGAAGAACTCAAGGAAGCCAACTCGGAACTGGCGTACAACGTCATTCTGGACATCCTCCAGGGCATCAATGAGTGAGTAAATCAACCACTCTCATGGAACGCCAGTCCCTAACTATGTTTTCAGTAACAACGCCATTAAACGACATGTCCAGACATCCCGCGGGCTGTTCCCACACAAACGCATTACTCGCAAGAGTGAGATGACGTCCAAGGGTCTCGTCGTCACAGAAGAGACGGAGGAGGTATCCGGACTTCCGGAGTCGTCGAACGGTGTTCCTCCTGCGCAGGCTGAAGCTGAAACCCCGCGACGGTCCCCCATAGCTGAACTCCTCTACATGCGCTGGCTGGAAGGACTGAGATTGAAGTGGCCTAGTATCATGACCGGCAGCTAGGCAGCTGGCGCCATGTCCTTTGGCACAATGTACAACTCTTGTATATACCCTTCTTCCTCTTGGTTATTTATGTACTGTAGGTTGTTTCACGATCATTCGCTAATGCTCCCTCGCTTCTACCACTATCTCCGCTTGCAACTTTTGGCTATTCCTTGGACGTAACGTTGAATTAAGCTGTACGATGTACATATCTGCTTGTAGTACCATTTAACGAATTCTGATGACGGTTACTTGAAAATCGGGGAGCGCCAGAGGCGAGAACAGCATGGTGTTTCAACTTGTGATCGAAGCTAAGCGAAGCCAGTAGGAGACAATGAATCGTGAAGAATGTTGCAGAATCAAACAGGAAAATTAACGAATGTCTATATGCGCATCTATGAAAACCGGCAAGGATTAAAGTCTAATGAAGGGAGGGGGAAACCACATAAAAATTGAAGTCATACGAAAGTGAACCATAGAACAAGCGTAAAAGCGATCAGGTGGAATCGGCCTTGCCGGTTTCTCCATTCAAAGGGGGTTCAACAGAGCCATTTGCCGGTGTTGCCTTCTCCTCCGACGATGGTGTCTCCTCAGAGACTGCTTCCGCAGGTCCTGAAGTGGTCTGGACGACGTCTTTGCCTCGAGCGAGAATGTCCGAGAAGCCCTTCCTCACGGTCTCGAGCAAAGGAGTGACGCGTTCGCGAACCTCCTTGCCGACGAGACCGACCTTTTCCGGGAGCGGGGTGTCCTTCTTCTTCAAGATCTCCGTGAGGTCTGAGATAGCGTCACCTAGGGCCGACGAGATTTCCGAGTAAGTCTGCTGGATCTGGGGAGCGAGGTTGTTTTGGATCTGGGACTTGGAGGTGTTAATAGTGGTCTGGATGGACGCAGCAAGGGAAGCCGTCTGGGATTGGAGTTTCTGGAGCTCACTGAGCATGGACTCGGAGAGGGCCTGAACTCGGGTCTGGGCATTGGCGAAGGAGGAAGAGGCGAGGGAGTTGATAGACTGGGCGGATTCCGTAGCACGTTGACTGGAAAGATATGTTAAATCACAACCTGAACATGATGTTGGACTCGAGAGACTTACACAATGATCGACTGTGCCTGAATGTGCTTCAATTGCTCTGCGGAATACTCGTAGACGCTGTCCTTCAGGGTACGCGAGAGGGCAAGAGCACGTTGATATTGGTATTGGGCATCGGGAGACGATGGGCCTGGTTCGGAATGGGTGAGAGAGGTGACAGTCTTCTCAAAGTAGTCGACCAAAGGGGAGAGGCGCTGTGGACACAAAAAACATTGAGCATGGGGAGGAAGAGGACACGAAAAGCAAAACGCACTTGATCCAGATCATGCGCGACATTGAGGGCAGGGCTCTTGATCTTTTCATCGAGTGTCTTGTTGGCCCCGTCGATGCGAATGTGGACGTATTCTGAAGCGCTTTGCTTTCGCTCGCGGACGTACTCGACTACCTCTTCGGGCTTGGCCTTGAACGGGTAAGGATACCTGGACTCAACTGCGTCGACAGCCTTGTTCGCGTATCCATCAGCACTGATGATTAGAGGCGCAAGCTTGATCTGCAGGGGCTCGCTGAGCTTGTACGCGGCGGTCGAAAGTTCCTTTGCAGCGGTGTAGGTGGAACGAGTGTATGTGTTAGTCGAGAGCTTATCGTTGATAGTCTCGAGGGATGAATGGATCATGGGGATCGACGCGACTCGAGTGAGAACAGTAATTTCTGGGGGCGACTGGACCGCTGGCTGCTCTTGGGGCGGCGTCGCCGTTGCGGTTTGTGTTTCTGTAGCGGACATGGTGGTAGGGAAAGAAGAATTGAGGATTGCGATAAGCAACTGAAGGCTATTTATTGATTCAGTCCAAACGTCCCTAACGCTCATGATTGTCATTTTCCATGTGATTATACCTGACGTAATCCGCATCTCCTCGAAGCAGCTCGAGGTCGCATCGCCTTTAGGACGCTCTACTGCGACCGCCATTGCAGTTCCATTCAGACACTTGAGTTCTCGAGCGCTTCCCTGGGACTGGGCTACAGAAGAGCATGTAAAAGAAGGGGAGAAAACTGGCCATCTTTCCTCTTAAGCGCCCATTGCCATCACTGAGCCACGATCAAGGTTCCCAATTAAGGACGGGATTATACCATAATCTTGCCATCCCGACAGCCCCTAGATCAGGTCTCGATAACGTTCCGAGCCTCCGACACCCATTTTCTCGTGGAAATGACGTCGAATCGGGAATAGAGATCGGAAGGACATATATCACAGGCCTTTGTAGGTCCCTGCGTATTCAATACTCAGTGTCCATTCCCTGCATCGCGTTCTGGCTATGCTAATCGAACGTTGTTGACAGCTTCACGAGCCTCGGCTTCCAGTGTTGTTCATTCAGGCCATCGAGCTCCCTCGAAGTCGGGTGGCTCCACTGGTGACTCGGGCGCTTAGCAAGATGGACCAGCGGAGGTACGATTGCGCCGGCGCAGATTTGAAAAAGGTCGTAGCTAATTGTCTTCCCGTACGCTCATATAGGCTCCCGAGTTCAAAGCTGTTCAAAGCCACGTCTTCTGTATTGCCTGGGCTCTTGCCCTGGACGGGCGATCCGTTATTCCAGACATGATCCTTGCCATCTTCGAAGGAAGCTTCGTCCTTTGCATTTTGTTCTGTGTATACACGATCAACCGCTGGCCACGGAGTTACTCACACTATCACGAGCAACAGCGTCTCGAAATGTGTGCCATCGCCGGGGTGCGTGTACCAGGCCAGCGCACGTATGTGCCTCTTCGCTTCAAGTTTTCACCAGTCAGATTGGTAATCGACGGTGCGAAGCAGCAATTTAATTACTTATAATTGTAAGACGACAGGCCTGACGCTCCCTCCCACTACACAAAAAGGCAACATCTCTTGAGCCACCGTCAGGTATCTGTGCGCGTTATGGGAACCGTGGTGAGCCACCGGTCTTACAGCCGATCCATGATGACGAGAGATCTCGGTCACTGCTGTTTTCCACAGAACAAGCGTTTGCAACATGGATGTTCACACTTTCCAATATATATGCAGGCCTTCTGTGGACATCCTTACTACTACCATATATGATAGTCACCCATCGGCCAGCTCGGAGCCTTCCTACACAGTTGAGCGCTAAAGCTACTGCCCAGCGGCACCATCAACAGACACAATAAGTATCCATTCAGGCGACCTTGAGGCCAGGGCAACAAGACAACGATCATTTATGGCACTGACGAAAGGCATCGCATTGACATGTTTCGTATACACGCTACCAGTATATACTGTCGTCGTACAGAATGTCCAGATGTCGTAAAAGGTTGGAGAGACGGAAGGAGGTTGAGGGATCGCAGGAGGTTGTGGTGAGAAGACGATTAAATAAACTCCAAAAGCAACACGGCGCTTATGTAGGTCTAGCGGGCACTATATCGGGTACGAGCGTAAGGGTAGGGAAGTAACGGTACGGTAAACAACGATCACGATGGGATAAAGACGGCTGGTGTAGCATTAGTTCAGTCCGTTGTGATGACGAGTCCCAATATGTCCGCATGCTAGAGTTCAGAAGAGTAAACTGTGAAACGGTGAAAGTATAACGTAGGCGAGTCCGTAAGGGATGGGAGTGTCCATGATGTGAGGGTGCAGTGGGTCGAGTCCAGAGATTATGCTTGAGATGAAATGCAGGTTCAGGAGCGTGGCCAATGGTCGTGCAAGAAGATCGTCATCGGAATGAGTAGTGGGGTATCGCAAGTGTAAGGAAGCAATCTATAGCAAAAGGCCGACGAATAGACTGCATGACAATATCCAAGCTCGCCTCGAGGAAGGAAGCGACAAGGATCTCGCTGAACTCGAACTCGATGGAGGGGTCGGGGTTGGTTGAAGTCCCTCGGTTTCAAGATCCGACGTTGGAGTTCTATGAAGGCAAACTGGAATTTAGAACCGCACAAATTCAAAAGGAAATGGTACTGACAATCCCTCAGTAGGTTCTGACAGACCATCAGACGTGGGCGCTGGGTAGTCAGAATCGCCTGTGTCATCCGATGGCGTAAGTGCAGCAGGGTCGACAATGATATCCTTGAAAAATACATCGTCCGATGAAGAGCTTTCAGCGTTCTGATAAGCCCGGCGGTCACCAACGACAGAGGCCAGTGAACCAAATTCCCAGCCCTGCTGAGCAATCAAAGGAAACACGTTCATGAAGACATCGATACTTGCATCAGTCACCTCGTGCTGGAGGATCATGAGGCCAGGGGATTTGGGGCCTAAAATAGAACGCTCAAGATGAAACCGGACCACGAGATTCGCCGTATGATAACGCACCAGAGAGCCAACCCTCGAAACGTTCAACAATCGATTCAGGGGTGACAGCGCCCGTTGACAACCCCCAGTCGTCGGTGCTGTGACCGGTGTGAGCATCGTTATCAAAGGAAAAGGGGGGACTGCGCGCTCACTCCAGATTCCAGATGACAGTTTCCAAGCCGAAAACCTACAGGAACCATTAGCCAGAACACCCACAGATTCCCAGAATAGCAACATTACCTCTTTGGCGATGGCTCGAACTCGATTGTCAGAATCACCATAGGGAGGCCTCCAGTAACGAGGAACCCGACCGCCAGTGGAGTGGTGAATTAGTTGCATAGTCCACCCGAGCTTTATCAGCAGCAAGGAGTTAGACTTGGGCAACACGCGGAGCCAAGCTGAGGATACATACCTGTCCTAGGATGTCGAGGTTGCTCAAGGTAGTCATATAAGGGTGACTCCAAGTATGCACAGCAATATCGTTGTCGGCCTCGAATGCTGCGACAAATTCTGAAGGGTTGGCCAGGATGTGGACACCGATCATGAAGTGGGTGGTCTTGACATTGTTAGCAGACAAGAATTCAACCAAACGACCTGAGGACTAGAATTACGGCAACAATGAGAATTCGAACCAACGCTGAGCGTTAGTACCACTTACGGGATAAGGGCCGTCGTCGAATGAACTGGCGAAGACACCATCGGGGGCATCCCAAAGGTCTTCGGGGCCTCGACACTTATACGTCGTGGAGCACACTTCAGGGCTGGTAGGGTTCACAGTGGCGGGGTACACGGGATTGGTCTGGGGTCGTTCGCTGACCGCCAGTGGGATATCAGGGATGCGGCCTGCTTCTACAGCTGCGTTGAGCGCATCGACCCAGTCTTGAGGCAAGAAGGCAGGGTCCGGAACACCTTGCGGAAATGGTGCGGACCATTCTGTATCGCGTCGTCAGTATGACGGGAGAAAAGTATGGATGTGGGAACACATACCAGGGGAACCGACTGGCGGATAAGCAATACCGTCGTCTGTTGCGCGCTTGAATAGCCTATGGACAGGATGCGAGTCGTCTTGGTACCACCGCTCGGGCAAAGCGCCAGGTTGAACATGTTCGTGGCTGTCGTGACGGTCATTCAAAGCGGGCACAGTTACAGCAGAAACGAGAGGGAGGAACGCGAAAAGAGTCGAAAGCAACATGATCGCTTTCGGGGAGGTCTAGTCGGGGGGAGAACGATGGGGCGACGGCCTGGCTCGTGAGCGTCAGTCGAGAGCTGGGAGCGAAGGGAAAGACCGCCAACCGCCCAGCAGACGCAGACCATCCCAATTAAAACATTCAACCTATCCCAGTTTGGCAAAATCAGGAAAACGTTGTCGTGTCGTAAGGCAAATAGCCACCGTGAATCGTCCGCACAACTCGGTAGCGCCTGATCCTCGACTCAGAATAGAGTCTGTCTCTCCGTCCCAGTCTGTTGAGCCCAAGTCAGCTTCCATTGTATATGCCGTAGTGGTGTATATTTGTCGATCTTGAGGTATGGAGAGAGCCAGGTGTGTTGAACAAGGCGGGGGTTTGAGACCGACGACATCAAAGTGGACCAGGCACTGCCGGTTATTGTCTGCGGTGCTTGGGCCCTGGGCCTACGATAACACAGCTTTCCATGCGAGTTCCATGCCATCGATACCTGAGTCATGTCATCCGCAAGCTTAATGGCGGAACGGCTGAGGGCCACGTTGAACCACATGGCTCGAGATATTAACCGCGATGACGATGGGTTGGAACTGCGGTTTTACAGTTCTGCAACAAAGTCCATGGTCCAACTGGTGGTAGAAGAGAGGAATTGACAGTCCTGAATGCGGTGATAAGTCGGAGACGGACAATGAGTTGGCCAACCACTTTCCGACGCGCCCCTCCCATATGCATCGAACCGCCACAATGTATGTACGACGTACTATAATACAACGAACGCATAGGCCGCCTTGTTCGGCATCCCAAACTCTGTCAATGATACATACTTGGAATTAGCAAATCATCAACGAGCTAACCTACATGGGAATATACAGAACGGAAAGTACGACAGACGGAATAAAGAATCGCAATCGCTACGCTCAAGGATTTCGTGACCTAAACTCTGGCTTCAAGGTCAAACGTCCATCTTTGAGGGCCGCCACCCGCTTGACCATTTCCGAAAACTCTTTCTTCTTCGCCGCGTCGACTAGATACGAGTTGAAGTGTTGAATGCAACCCCGTGTCGTCGGATTCTCCGTATTTCTGAGCCAGTCAATGATAAGGCCCTCCAACTCGGCGTTGGACGCCGTCGCAGCAACCTTTTTCTTCTTCAGTTTGGGCTGTCCGCCTGCAGATGGTCCACCATTCTGTGAAGCTGGCGTTCCTGGGTCTTCCGCCTTTCGTTTCTGAGCTCCATTGGCAAGAGGGCTAGTTGCCCTACTACCAGGATTAGGACTGGTGGCGCGACTACCCGGTTGACTACCCGGAACTCTTGCCTTCGGCACCTTGGGGCTCGTCGCGCGCTTTGCAACCAGGGAATGACCACCCAGGCTTGGTGAAGTAGCAGGTGACGTAGTTCTCGAGTTGGAGCCAGGCGCTGCTGGCTTGTTGGTCGAGGGCCTTGGGGTATTGGGTTGGTCGACCTGCTGTGGTTGGGGCTGAATGGCAGGGCCAGTGGGCACAGGTAGCTCTTCCTCCTCCTCCTCCTCCGCCTGGGATGCGGTGAGCGTCAAAATTTTGAAAGCATGGTGGTGAACGTACAGAACTCAAATACGGATTCTCATCATCATCCGACTCATAAGCATCGTTGCCCTCCCTGTTACGAATCATCTTTTCCATTCGCCTCTTTGCCTTTACCTTGGCCAGATCTTCTTCTTCATCATCCTCTTCGTCCTCGTCGACGCCGGCATCACGTTGTTTGTTGGCCAATTTATACTCTCGCTTCATTCGTTCCTAGAATGTGCTATCAGTATTAAATGCGGTGAAGATGCCTGCAATGCATGTACCTCCAGTTCCTTTGCCTCCTCTTCGTCAATATCAGGAGCAGCCATTTCCTCGTCATCAGCAAAATCTTCCTCGAAGAGTTGCTCATCGAGGTCACCCTCCTCGCCAAGTTCGCGCTCTCTCTTCCTCCTCACCGCAGGATCTTCGTCGTCTTCGAGCAGGCTAGTGGGCGGTCGATCAACTGCCTTGAGTTTCCGTCCTCCAGGCCCGACGGGTCCACTGGGCTTTTGGTCCTCGGCCTCCCCTTTGAAAATGGCCATGGTGGAAGCTGATGCTCCTTTGCCCCCGTGGAACGTTGCCAACCATGCCTGGGGGTCCTTTTTCTGCGCTTTCGTGTACTGCAAAGCAGACCCGAGTCAATATGTACGACCACGCCGTAGACCCATTCTATTAAACATACCGCAGATTCCACATCGGCTGTAGCAGTGGGGAAATCGTGATTGAGCTTCTTCTGGAATTTATACCAGCGATGAGCGGGCACAAATTTGAAGGAGTCGTTGGCAGCAGGCATGAAGAATGCGTGTGTTTCTGCCTTTGAAAGATCCTCCAATTGGCCTATCCAGTGTTCCTTGTGGGTCGGGTGGGAATCCTCCATGACCCACGGGTATCGCTCTTCCCTCTGCATCTGGCGGACCTCGTCTGGAACGAGGAAGACTTGTCGGGTCTTCTTCTGGAAGCGCCTCTTGTTCGCCTTCCCCTTGTCCTTGCTGGACGTCCCGCCACTTTCATGGATAGGTTTCCCTTCAGCATCCACCATCACCGGCTTCCCATCGACTCCAATGACAGGTTTCCCGTCCAGTCCAAGCATAGGCCTCACCGCCTCTGGCACTTTGGCCGCCGCCGCCGTCCTATCCTCCCGCCGCAAATCCTTCCTGTTAAGCTTCACCGGCGCCGTCCATCTGAGGATGTCGACCGGTTTTCTAGAATCGAATTTCATCACATCGTACTTCCAGCCCTTGAGCGAAGACGAGAGTAGCTTGTATTCTGAATAGGGCGTATCAGGGAGCTTCAAATGGTCCTCGTCCTCTTCTTCTTTTTTCTCCACTGCGCCAGGAGGTTTCGGCCGTGGTTTGGGTTGCGACTGGGCTGGACCTTTCTGGTTCTGGTTCTTCTTGGGGTGGAAGAGAAGAGAAAGGGAGTGGTTCTTGGGCGGCATTGTTGACTCAGGGAGATCTGGAAGTCGTTTGTTTGGACGAAAGTCGATGAAGAAAGCAGCAAGTTGGCGGCGACGATGGAGGTCAGAGAGATAAATGAATTAGAAAATATAATACATGAGTGGAAACAAATGGTCGAAAGCCACAACCCCCAAGGACCAAGCATGATTCACCATTTCCGGTTGTTATTGTACATGTTTGGATTAGAGGCTTCCGGCTTTGATTAAAATCATCCGCAAACACTTAGGCAGTTCATTTGTTCATCAAGAAAGTCGGATTCCAATATGAAGAACCGAAATATACGGTTACAAGGACATAAATAATAACTAATACAAGAAACGATATCAGAGCCCAAAAAAAATCATGAAGAAGGAAGACCTGCATCCGTTCGGTGACCGTTTTGCGTAATAACATGATTCACGGTGGAATGGGTATGGTGGGGAGCCCCAGAGGGCGGAGGAAGGGATGGTTGGATAGAGTTTGGTTGGAATTGTGATGGAAATGGAGGGGCACCTTGCCCATACACCAACACCTGTGGCGGACCACCAGGAGCACCGAATCCTGCCATAGTTCCTTGGCGCAAACTCTCGTTCTCCCGCCGTAGGTTCTCGACTTCCGTCATTAACGACTGCTGAGACGTCTTCAGCTGCGAGACATATTCAATGGCTAAGAGGATTTTAGTAAACGACCATTTCCTGCGAAGGCCTAGTGTTGTAACAGACCTTTGGTGAGGATCTCCCATTTACTTGCCTTCATACCACGGTCAGAAGGCAGGTGGTCTCGGAGATCATCAAACAGTTCCTTCATTTCCTTTCGTCTCTTCCTCTCCGCCAGCTTGTGGGAGATGCGAAGTTCGGGAGAACGAGAGTACGGGGTCGTTGATTCTTTCGGCTTTGACGGTTGCGTAGTAGGTTGAGGAGTGCCTTCTTGGGAATTCGAGGTTGGTGCTCCTGAAGTCGATTGAGAACTCGAGGATGTATCTTGTCTAGAGGGTGGGCGGGATATAGGACGAGAGCTACGACCAAATGCAAGGTCCGGTACAGACATGCGACGGCCAGGCTGGAAGTTGAAAGGAGGAACTGGGTGCAGAGGCCCAATAGTATCGACATGGCGGTTGGTGCCATGGTCGGTGCCGTTTCCGTTCACAGGGGCTCGGGAAGAGGTGCGGTCCGATGAGTTTGCCCAAGAAAAGTGGTTGAAACTGGGGATATGAGTTGAAGAAGGGTCGTTGCTGCTGATTGGGGGAGGTAATGATGGGTTATGGTTAATGGGAGGGAATAGAGAAGGTGCGGACTCCCGACGTCCTTCGTTCACCACCCAGCTTGGAACAGAGTTCCGTCGAGTATCGAGCCGGCTTTCGAGGGTCATTTGGTTGAAGTGGGTCGGAAGAAGCGCAGACCCACGCCGTTTGGATGCTGGAGCGTCACCGTCGACTTCCATGCTGTTGGGAACACCGGGGCCGACCAAATGATCCATGGAGTCTTCACGCACAGGAGCAAATATCCCTCGATCGGCCGACATTTTGCGCTTCATACCACTAGTAGCGGAAGGAAGGGGCAAGGTTGGATTCGTCCCTACTGCTATTGAGTGCCGTCTCATGCTGTAGTCGAACGGTTCCCGATTCCGGCGATTAAGGAGGTCGTGACGTTCATGATCGACATTCATAGAATTTGGGTCTGTCGACGTAGGTAAGACCTGGCTCAACAAGGCGACGCGGAGAACAATGAACCCCTACCTGGAAGATTGCGCAATGAGTCCCGAGACTCATGAGACACTGGCACTGCTGGCCGAACAGAGTTGTGCTCTGGAGAGGGAGTGTGGAGGATTTTCCGTAACTGCGAGTTCTGTTCCACAGGCGGTAAGGTAGCATCACCAAACGTGTAAGGGGAGGATGGACGAGGGTCAGACATATGGCCTTTGAAGCTTGGCTCAGGGTGTCCTGAGCCTGGTCCTGAGGGTACCGGGTTTGGGGGCTCTGCAGCTTGCCGGAAACGAGGGCTTAGTTTCGAGTTTCCAGTCGAAGCGTACGACGAAGGGTCCGTTATTGACCCTCTTCTATGAGTCTGCAGCCAGTCCAAGGAAGCCATGGACCGCGTCGGTGACCTGGACTGCGAACTGTCTCGTTGCCGTTGTTGGGTCAGACTGTGTTGTTGGGTGGCCGCCGTGTCTGAAACGCCGTTCGGTGGTGTCACTGTGTCCTCCCTCATTGTCATCCCCGGCGACGAAAGTCAGATCCTAAGAAGAGGAAGGGGTTGTGCAGATACTTGAGCTCGGCCGGACTCTGGGTTTTTCAAAGTTGGAACTTTGGGAAGGGGATGCACGACAAATATGGCTCTCGCGTGCTATACACAAATCGGGTTATATTGATCATGGACGTGTAAACAATCCACCAAATTTCCTACGGCTCTGCCACTAAATGCATAGCTCGAGCATATTTTTAATCCTCGAAACATATCCTCGAGATACTACCTCGCCCTAGATCGCTCAGTTGTAATATCCGAACATACTCCGATTTACCGCTGTTTCGTGTCCTTCTTCCTCCTCTTTCTTGCACTCGCTGGATAGTCGCTTCCGCCTGCGCATCATCTGCTTCCGCAACCTGCTTGATGTAGGGGGCATAGTCCACGTACAAACGCGGCAGGGGCAGACTCCAGACTGTCATTGGGCATACATCATGAAGCACATGGCTCAAGTGCATCTTATACATGTTGGCCTTCGCCAGCATCGTTGCCGCTTCTGCATCTGCATTTCCCATACCAAGTCGACATGGGAGTGATTTCTGGAGAAGAGACTGAATTTGCACATGGCGTGTGTAGGTGGTTGGAAGCGAGTTGTCTGTCGATGTCTCGAACAAAATAGGGTGCCCCAATTCATCATCTTCTGAGGGCAAGTAATTGTCGTCGATCTGGGAGCAGGAGGTTAGCGCCACCAATCGTGAAGGAAGAGGTATAACCGAACCGAAGGAACGCCAGTAAAGCCTTGAGCCATTTGACTGTCGAGAAACGATCGCGTTTCTGCCTCGTGCGCGACCTCCTTCCAAAATCCCAAAATCTTCTCCTTGTCATGCAAGAGGGCGCGTTCTTCGTCCGCCGGAGCCTGTCTTGGGTGATCATCATTAGACGGACCAGGAACACCAGTCTCATCCAATGGTGTGGTTGCGGAGCCTAACTGCGGCGGACCTGTTCCCAGTGTGACCTGCAACAGGTTAATAGCGTGTCGAAGGTCACAGGTAGCTTGAGCCACGAGCCAATGCCTAGTTCCCGGTTCGTCCTCCATAGAGGCCTTCCGCATTTCAAGGAGCCGCATTAAACCTTCTCTCGTTGCCGGCCGACCTTCTGCGCATGCAATGCTTTGGAGATACGATACCGCTACATCCGGCGGACAGGGTTCGAAATTAAGCACTTTCTGGATCGGCAAATCTAACACAGGCACCAGCGATACATCTGATAGCCTTATCAATGAAAGGTCAGGTCGAGTCAAAAGAGCCCAACGTACCATTACATGTGCAGATAACTGGTCGTCTGCATTCCTTGATGATCTTGATAACCGTAGACCAAAAGTTGCTGTCTTCCTTGAACAAGATGTCAACCTCTTCGAGCAGTATCAGTGACTGCGCCATTTGCGGATTTTCGTCATCAGGAATTTGGGGGTCCTTTGTGGAATCGATTCCATTGGGAAGAACATGGTTGCTCTGCGAATGTTCTGACGGTGGCTTGGGATTGGCTTTCCGCTTGGTAGGAGACAAAACCGTGAAGAAATCGTGGCGACCATGAGGCCGTTGTCGAACTAGATGGTTCTTGCCCACCTCGCCCACGAGGTGTTCGATGTTGACGCCACTACGTTTCCCTATCCCTGGGTAAACCTCGAAGACCTCCCATCCCAATTCTTCTGCACACGCATACACACTGGCCGTCTTCCCAGTCCCTGGTGGACCGACCAACAGGATCGTATTATGTAGCTCCCCGAGATCCTGGGTCGTGGCAGGTGGCGGAGTTGGATTCGCGGGAGAAGACACTGGTTCACTTATCGGTGCGAGAAAGTCGTCTTCAACATCGGAAGAAGCTGCGTAGTCCGTCACCACGTCCTCTTCATCTGAATACACGATCCAATCGTCTTCATCATCCGAATCCACTTTGGCCCGCTTTCTTGCTCGGCCCCGCACGATCTCTGTAATAACTCGAGGCCTTTTAGTCGTTCGAGTGCCGGCAGCCTTCTTCGACGTCGATCTCTCGTTGGATAAGGATGTCGTGGGTGCATCGGTTTGTAGTTTGAGTGCAAGAAGCCATCTACGAAGATATCGAGCACTCTCTTCATTCCCAAGAATATGGTCGGCAGTGCGAGGTCTCCACCTCTCCGTCCACGCCTCACAAGGAGAGTGTGGAAGATCGCTGTCGAACTGAATAAGGTCGATTACTCGAGAGATGGAAGGGTGACGGCGGATGTGTTCTTTCGGAATAGAATCCAGTGAGCTTTCGATCGTCACCGTTGCGGCTCTTGAAGAAGGACAGGCATTCGTTGGTGTATAATTAGATTCGGGAGAGATGGATCTGCGAAGAAATGTGAAAGTAGGGTCCACTGAAACAGGGTTGGTGACTCTCGGCCGAGAGGGATGTAAGCTCTTGGACGGAAGCGACGCAGTTTGAGGACCTCTGACATGTTGTGCATGTCTGTCCGGATAGGGTACAGTCCATTTCCTCAGTTTGGACGGCGAGGGGGGAGGTTCTGGACGTCTGAGAGCAGCCCTTGGAGCGAAAAATGGATGAATGGCCATCGGTGGAGGGGGAGTTGAACGGGATTTAACAGGGGACGAATCGATGACAATAGGGGCCGAGGGGCTCGAGCCATGCGCAAAGGAATCTTCGGCCTGCGAGAGTGGCGAGCTTGCTTCTGTGGGAGGAGCGGATGAGGGCGGTGGAGGAGTGTCCTCGATAATGATGGGGTCCGGCAGTACATCTCCTGACGAGACTTCAGAGTCAGAAAGCTCAATAAGGGGTATGGCTGGTGCTGTTCCATGGTCAACCAGACGGTTGGTCTCCAATGGGAAGATCCCACCACTCTCCACCGGGGTAAAGGCAGAACCTGTGGAACTACTTTCACCCTCTTTCACCGCCGTGACGGGCTCTGCGGAACGATGTGTTCAGTACAAGCATTGTGAGGAAGGATATAGCTCACTTGGAAACATATCCAAAAGTGTCCGTTGCTTCGCCACCGCCTGTGCATTGGTGTTGGAGCATTGAACGGACAGCCTGAAAGTGAGATACTAACCGTTGCTCTACCCTTTCCTTTCGAGGCCCCTTTCTTCTTTTCTGTCATAGTATTTCGGATATGTATCCCGCAGAATTACATAGAGTGATGGAGAAGGACGTCCAGGAGTCAGCTGTGGTGAGAATAGTCTCAAGGTTGGTCGCGTCAAGACTCGTTCTTCCAACGACGCGCTCGATCACGTGTTCAATGGCCTACAGATTCATACTCAGCTTCAAACCCAGAATATGAGCGCTTGATTAATTCAATAATTAATGTCGAGGTTGGTCCTGTGTCGTCACTAGCCTTGCGAATGGAACCACCACAGAACGTCAACTTTCTCCAACTTCTCTCCGAAGAATATCGCGGTACCGCCAACCTCTCGTAATCTCAGTCCGAAGCCTAAACGAGTCTCTGCTTCCCAGCTGTGAATGGTTCCTACGTAGAAACGTTGGAGAGGCCTCCCACTGCGCTCGAGTTCTTGCGCCTAGCCAACGTATCTCGACCAGTCGTGATTGAAGGTACAGGCAGCGCTGTGGTCCCTTCTCGACTGTCCCTTACCCACCTTACAGGTCTTGATATTCCCGCCTTCAAGCGCTGGACAGATGACCACCTGAGCGAGAAGATGGGGGATCGCTTGATCTCCGTGTCTGTCACACCCGATGGGTTAGCAGTTCCGTGTATCTCTTCGATGAACCATTCTTCAGCAACTTCCTCGGTAATTTAGGCGTGCAGATGCCATACACGGGGGGCCAGATGGTAAACTCTACTTTGTAGAACCCCATGTGGAGAAAATGAGTATGAAAGGTCTTCTGAAGCGGATACAAGAACGTAAGTTGCTGCGCAAAGGTTTCGCCGATGCAAAGGCTAATACTGCGATAGCTACGTCGGAATCATATTATCTTCAATCACAAAACGGAAATCTCTTTTCCGCAGACTTTCTTAGTGGAGATTTTACCGGGCAGGTTGACACCGAATCGGAGTTCGTTCCCCTCCAGGAAGATGTCCCGAGCGAAATCTCCTGGTGCAGCGAAGCACTCGGTAGGTGGATTGGTCTTAGTGCATTGACAGTTCTGAACATACCGAGTGTCTAGGGAGGCCGCCAGAAGCTGTGAACCTCTGGATCGGAAACAGCAAAAGCATCACGAGTGTGCACTCTGGTATGCATATTCTCCGGCGTTCTCGATGACAATTGATAACAACGAAGTAGATCCATACGAAAACATCTATGTCGTTGTGCGCGGGAAGAAGAAGTTTACTCTAATACCTCCAACCGACGGCTGGTGCCTACAAGGTAATCGATTGCTTCCACAACGCACGACCCGAAGACTCACCGAGTTTCCTTAGAGCGATTCTACCCTCATGCGCGATTTTCCCGACACTCTCCCAGTTCTCTGTTGGAAATTGTCCCCTCGCCGTCAGACACTCCGATGGTTCGGTGGTCGTCGTTACCGGATCGCCGGTTGAGTGAGGTACTTCCAGACGACATTTGTCCGCTTCATGTCGAGTTGGAAGCAGGGCAAACACTGTATTTGCCGGTGGGGTGGTGGCACCAGGTTGAGCAGTCCGAAGAAACAACGATTGCACTGAATTGGTGGTATGATGCAGAAACTCGTGGGCTGACCTGGGCAGTCCTCAGCACGCTCAGAGAGGCGGTCCAAGTGGATCGAGGCAATAAATAGCCAACGTTCATAATTGATATTGCACTGGACTGGCTTGGCACGCCATTTCTGCATTGTCAGACCCAAGAAATTGGACTCGAAAAGGACATGCTACTTCAATAAAAGCAACAGCCGGGGAACTGGCCATGTTATTTGTTCTCCTTTTACCAGCTCGTTGAATATTCAATGCTGGAGTTCTCCGCGATTAGGTGTCGGCAACTTGGCAGCCTGACTGACGCTCGTTGTTTTCCCACACTACAAATTGATCACAACACAAACTTTCCCTTCGCCAAGGCCAACCTTCATTTACCTCAAGGTCCTCAATCCTCACCGCGAAAACACCCAGAATGGCCAAGGACAAGTCAGAAAAGAAGGACAGGAAGCGAAAAGCAGCGGAGGTCGAAGCTGAGGACGTTGAGATGGCAGATGTTACCGAGGTCTGGACTGGATTTGGTGGCCATGCGGCATTATGCTCAAGTCTTCACTTTATAGTCCCCAAAAAAGTCAAAGAAAGAGAAGAAAGAGGTCGAAATTTCCCCGGAGGATTTGTCCCCTATAGCCCAACCTCTGGCAGAGAAGAAGTTGGTTAAAAAGCTGCACAAGACGATTAAAAAAGGTATGCCCTTCAACTTGCGCTGCTTTCGTAACTAGAACGATCTTCTTGCAGCCTCGAAAGCACGACAAGTGAAGCGCGGTGTCAAAGAAGTTGTGAAAGGGATCAGGAAGGGTGAAAAAGGGTGTGTTGTTACCTTAGACTGCCCAGCATTTGAATCTCACTGTATCCCCCGCAGTCTCCTCGTCCTGGCCGCCGACATCAACCCAATAGACATTATCTCCCATTTGCCCGTGCTAAGTGAAGAAGCTCAAATACCCTACATTTTCGTTGCATCCAAGGAAGAGCTTGGTCATGCAAGTTCTACAAAACGGCCAACGAGCTGCGTAATGATCTGCCCGAACCAGAAGCGGAAGACGAAGAAGGAGGGCGAGGACAAGGACAAGGATGATGACTATAAGGAGCTCTACGAAGAGTGTTATAAGGAGGTGGAGAAGCTCGACAACAGGATTGCTTTCTAGGTGCGAGCCATGCCCTTGAATATTTTCTTATAACTCACAGTCGAGGCAGTTTTCTTTTTTCTTACTCGCACAGACTCGCGCGTTGTACTACTTCGACCGTTGTATTGATCTCTTTGGAGAATGCGACGTCTTATTGCCCTCGAACTCAAATGCTCATTCCTCACGATCGAGCTGAAAGACATTACTAATTGCCCGGATTCCACAGGTCTCTCATGTATAGGGACAGTGTCGTCATTCTGGAACCTGCAAACAGTTATAAGACCCACTCCGCAAGGATTTGCCTCATCCATTTCACTTGTACCCATTTTCCACCATGTCTAACCCATCCTCTCGATTGACCAACAGGGCCGACGTCGACGATGAAGGTCCCATCCTGTACAAGGAGGAAACAACCAAGACAACCACTTTCGATGCCCAGGGAAATGTCCTCGATACCCATGTCGAGCACAATCCTCGCCCTGACGAAACCCACATTCGCGGTAAAACTTGCTCCGTATCTTAATCACACTCAAAAGACTAACTGCAGAGAGGCAGACACCTCGCAACGCGCACACGGATATACGTCCAGTCAGGACATTGGTGGACTGAGTTCGTATGATTCGGGAGACACATCCTACACCAATCGTGGAAGGATGGCTTCGGACCAATATGGTCGCACCGGAGCTACCAACTATCAGTCTGACATTGGGTCCTCCCAGGCGGGACATGGCGCCGGAGCCGGACGCGAGAATATCTCATTCCGAGATAAAGTGACCAGTACGAACAGATGATCTTTAGGTCACGGGAGATGACTCACTCCCTTCTCAGGTCAAGCTGAGAAGACTGCTGGCAAGATGACTTCCGACCCGAACATGTTCAACCGGGGAGAAGCGAGGGCTGTATGTCTATTCACGACCTTCCTCTTCCCAGTGGTTCGCGTTAACACTGAATTGTCGTTTATAGGCAGGAAAATTCAGTGAAGGTGCGCGTAGGCTGTAAGCAGTCTAGGTTGTAATTGTGTTTCCATCTCCTTTTTCACTTTATCATTGTTGTATAGTAGTATTGCGTATGTACATCCAGACAACTTGCGGTATCGCTGTTCTTTGAGCCAAGGGTCTTTGATGGAGATCACATCACATACGTGTGAACGATCGTTCCATTTTCTGGATTGGTCGAGTAATTGGTTCAGCCTTCTCCCTCATTCTCCTCGAAACTCCCTCGTCCATCCCCTCTCGATGCCTGCAGCAAAGACAAAATCCACGGCCGGTGCCAACGGCTCCGCTGCTCCCAAGGCTGCCTCCAGGAGCGGAACTGCGACGCCAGTTTCAACCGTTGGCACCAAGGACGCGGGTGAAGCTGCCGCCACGTTGACTGGCAAGCCCGACAAAAAAGCCTTCGAAGCTGAGCAAGATGCTATCAAGGCTGCAATCGACGCTGCACAGACCAAGCTCGTTCGTAGAACTAGACTATTGGTATCTCTCCGTCTCCTAACACTTCACTCAGAACGCCGTTCGTGACAAAATTGGACTTGCGACCGGCTCTGGTTCAAGTGAACGTCGAAACGAGCTCCTTAACCAACTTAATGAAATTAAGGGGCACCAGTCCTTGAACAAGTCTTCCCGATTGAAGCTTCGTGAACAGATTGACGCGAAGCAGGAGGCTCTCCAACAGAAGGTTCGTCGTGTCGCATGACCGAACACGTTGACTATGATAACCGACCCGCTAAACCTTTTCTCCGGTTGCAGATCAAGGCTTTGCAGAACGCAAAGGCCAAGATCCCCTTCAAAACCGTTGCTGAAATCGATGCTCACATCAAGTATGTTCCCGTCTAGCACGTTCACCTCAGCCATAGCTCAACTTTGCCCAGGAACCTCGAGAGACAAGTCGAGTCTGGTAACATGAAGCTCGCTGATGAGAAGCGAGCATTGGCAGAGATCAGCACTACCAAACGTAGTCGACGCATCGTCGAGGGCTTCCAGGCAGACCAGGAAGCCATCGATACCGACAAACGGGAGATTGAAGAGCTCAAGAAACAACGCGACGATCCCGAACTCAAGGCCATCAACGACAAGTACGATGCCATCAAAGCCGAACTCGATGAGTTGAGGAAGCAAGGAGACGAAGCTGCTGCTCAGCGCAACAAGCTTTACCAAGAACGCGACGCCTTGCAAGCTGAGCTCAAGGAACTTTACAACCGAAAACGCGAGTCCTTCCAACGCTACAAGGACCACAACGACCGCTACTGGGCCAAGGTGAACGAAGACCGTGCCCGACGAGCCGAGAGAGCGCGTGCTCAAAAGGCTGCTGAGGAGCTGCAAAAGAAGAAGGAGCTCGCCGAACGTTTGTTGGAGGAAGCCCAGGTCCCTGCCTTCCAGGCCCATATCGACGACTGCCAAACCCTCATCGACTTCTTCTCCGGCAAGACCACCGGTGCTCCCACCTACAAGAGCCTCGAGAACCAGGAAAAGGCCGAGCTACCTGGCGTTAAGAAGTTGGAGATCAGGAAGGTCGAGGATATCCCCGAAGGATCCATCGTCCGGAAAAAGAAGGGAGAGGACGAGGAGTCGTACTTCGTTGGTGGCAAGGGCAAATCCAAGGGCAAGAAGGGTGGAAAGACCGACTCACCCGCGACGCCTACCACTGCTTCGACCTCTGCTTTGAACGTTCCCCTGCCAACTCTCTCGGCGCTTCTCTCCATGTCAATACCCCCTCCCACATCCACTGCCGACGTACCCCGTGTCATTGAGGATCTCAAGACCAAGAAGGCGTGGTACGAGGCGAACCAGGACCGTGTTACTGCCGAGAACGTCGCCAAGGCCGAGAAAGAAATCCAGCGCCTAACCGGCGAGACCAAGCCCGCTGCTGCTGCTCCTGCTGAATCTTCCGAACCGCCATCACCAAGTCAAGGTATGTCTTTGCATCGCTTTACGAGTCCTCTGTTCTGACGACATCATCCACTAGATGATGCAGCACCCAAGGAGGGCGAGGACGCCGTGGAGGCCGATTCATAGGGTTACTCCTTAATGTCGGTAGCGGGTAGTAGATCGTAGTCGCAATAATCGTATTCATTGCGAATTAATTTCTTGAATTAATACTGGATCTTGGGTAATGGGGATGGTATTTCAGCTAAGGGTTAAATAAAGGACTGAAACAACGGAGAAAGGGTAACAAAAGGGGGCAGCAAGTAAATAGATAAGGATACCAAGTCGCGAACAGCCCAAAGCTAGATTCTTTACACTATTAAGGAGAGAGCAGGGAACAAGCAATTGATACAGCTGGTAGACGGTAAAGTTATAAAAAAAAAAAACGAAGGGAAACCATACGAGAAAGCAGCAAGAAAGTTCGGTGGGACTGGCACAATTAGAAATTCGAGAAAGAGAACGCGGTACAAAAAAAGTCACAAAGAGGTCAAATTAATTAAGCGGTAGGATGTTCCGGCTTGGGATCGACAGCCTCTTGCTCAGAATCATTTGAAGGCGTACCAGCCACGTTTAGCCCTGATAGTTCCGAAGGTGTGAAACCTGTGGAATCGAAAGGGTTCGAAGAGTTGAAATCAGTGAATGAAAGGCCAGCCTGATGACCTGAAGCAAGGGCGTCTTCCTGAGACGCGGTGGTATCCATATACGACATCGAGCCATAGGCGTCGTTGCCGAAAGAGCCTGTAGAATCCAGGGCGCCAACTGCGAAGGTATCTTGTTGAAGCACAGCCAACATGTTTGTGGTGGTCGGTGCTTGATTCATCATGTGCGAGTTTCGAACATCGAGAGACCCAAAGCTTTCTTGACCTGGCATGGGCGAGAGGGAAAAGTATTGTTGCTGCATCATAGGTTCGACGGATGCTGCCACCGAGTTTGTCGATAGTGCAACATTGCGAAGAACATTGACCGCAATCCAATCACTGAAGATCGATTAGTTATCTCCCAATGCGAATATAAAGCAGACGTCATACTCGAGGAATAATTTCAAAATTTGGAAGGCACCGAAAGCTGGGTCACTTCGAATGGTCTGGACAAAACAATGAGCAAGATCCAGTAGCAACGGGCAGAAGAGACGTACCAAGTCCCTCATTACTTGACTTGTCACATAGCCCCATCGAATCAAGACACTCCTCGAACTCATCACACCCCTCTCCTCCTGTACGACCTGAGCAGCTCTCACACCACCCATTAACCTTTCGCAGCACTTGTCGGCCCACGCCATAACCTCGCGTACGGGTTCGTTACTTTTAGCGACCGTCTCCAGAAGGGCAGTGAACTCGACTTCTAGAAGTTGAACGAGATCTTCGTGACGGCAGTTACACACAAGTGCTGATTGGTTGCGAACAGATTCAAAGTCGACTTTGGTCCAAGATCGTCGCATTTCTGCGAGCTGCTTTTGGTTGGTAAGGACGGTGTTGAGAGCTTGGGTCACTTGATATATGTCGAGGAAGCGCACTACAATGATCTGTCAGTCTTGAGAACAACAAAAAGGAATGTAGCAATACATACAGACAAGATGTCCAAATCGAGCCCCGAGCTCGACTTTGGGTTCAACAAAGGTGTTACCATAGCCCTCTAGGGCAACAAGCAGAATCTTCTCCATTTTGATGGCAAGCTGCCGGAGGCTGGTCAAAGAAGAAGTCGAGATAGGGGACAACATCTGAAGTCTAAGGAATTCAAGAATTTCCTATGAAAAGAGGAGATAAGTGCGAGGTGAGAGGTCCGGTGTGGTAACACGTACATCGTACACGATGGCATCTGCCTTTGCCATGAGACCTGCGATGGCTGGCGCGTGGGCGATCTCCCGATGCTGACCAGTTAAAGTCGACCAAAAACTGCGAATGTTCATCTCAAATTGATCAAATCGGAAGGTTCGAATGCTTTCAAGAAGGGCGTCGAGATGATCTTGGAACCAATTCCAGATATCGCGGGCGGCAACGTTGTGCGGCGAATTAGAGTTTGAACCGAGGGCCTCCTCGATGCTCGGGAAATGTGGCAACTGACGAACGGATGTGGGTTGCTGGGGAGCGAGGTATGTGGCGCTGGTGGATGTCGATGGAGCGGAGAGGCTGAGGCCTGGTTCCGACTGTGGGTGCCTACGAATGGAAGCCTCTTGGAAAGCACCAGGTGGACGTTGCGCGGCTTGTTGAGCGAGCAGGTTGGCAGCAGTCGGTGTCTTGTCGCTTAAATCGTCGCCAAAAGAGGTGTTCTTGATTTCGCCCGGCAAAATTAGCGAGTTGCGCTTGGATCCCGTAGCAGAACCGGGCTCCGAGTCCTCATCGTCGTCGTCGTCGGAGCGCCCTTCGTTCTTGTCTGCACTCTCATTTTGATCGTTCTTGTTGCGGGCGGCGTTAGCTTGGGCATTGGCCTTCTGGACGTAATCGTGCAGCCATTCAGCCTCTGCCGCGGTAGCGGGTCGAATGCCACAATCTGGGGGAGTGATAAGCGTGTGCGATCCGGTGATACGAGAGAAACCTACAGTGATATTTGCTGTTACCTCGAACACCTAACCGACGAGTCTTAATGGTGGGGAAGCAGAGGCGAATAGCTTTCCCGAGTGTGGCGGTGTTTATGTGCGGAATTCCATATTGATCACAAACCCTGCGATAGGAGAAGTAGAGGCCCTGGCGTGGAACATTCCCGTCCGGATAAGTGGCATAATTGGCAGTCAACCTATTGTAAGGGGCAAGGTCAAGATACTATTGTTTTCTTTGGTAGAAGAGGACGGACCAGGCTTGCACGAAAATTTGCTTGGCACGATCTGAGGCGCTGGTGGTGGTGGCGGCGCGAACGTTGGCAGCTAGTTTTTCGAGGTTGTGGTCTGCGCTGTTGAGGTTCATGCGACCAAAGGCGCCTGTCGCATGAATTGCCTCAGGCGTGGGCTGGATGTGCTGGCCTGGATACATCGATGAATAGTCCGAGTTTGGTGCGTGGAGAAAGAGGGACATGTCTTCAGCCTCGCTGCTTGAAGAGTGGACGCTGTCTGTGTCGCGCGGATAAGGGGACGCGGCTACTCTGGCGCGGTAGTGGCTAGATCTGAGGGGGCCCTTGAGAGCTGGGTTTGTGATATTGTGATTAGGAGGCTGAAATTGGGTGGTAAGAAGGGGGTATAATACGGGAAGCAGCTGAAGACATACTGGATCATGGATGGACGAGTGGCCGCCTAGGGGATACGTGGCGCGGTAAATGTCGTCTGGGCTAGGAGCCACTGTTTGGTGCATGCGAGGGACCTGGCCATGGGACGACTGAGGGCGAGAATGGCTCGAGTGTGTTGAGGACGAAGAGACCGAGTTTGAGCGTGAGTGCTGAGAATGGACTGGGAGAAAGTCAAGAGGGATATTGGGCATCATCTGCATGTTGACTGCGGTCATCGCTTGCGCTGCAGGCTGGGTGGATCTGGGCGGCTGAATGGGGCTGGAAAGTGTGGAGAAAGATATTCAGGATAACGACTGTGGGGGCTCCTTTCCGACGAAAAGAGACAAAAAAGACAGAGGGTGACCAGCCCCTTGAAAAGATAAAAAAGAAAGAAAAAAAAAGAGTAAGGTACAAGGATAAAAGTGCAGGGAAAGGAGAGATTCTGCACAAGCACGCTGAACGAAAAGGAGTTCCCGGCCGACAAGGCTCGATAATTGAACGGGAGATGGCTTGAAGGAACGCTGGTGGAAACAGTAGTCACGGCAACCAGGTCGTCTGCTGCGAACCCGCAAAGTTCCTGTTTGACTTTATTTGGCCCGTCTCTCCCACACCTATTCTCCAAAGAATTCTTTTCATTACCACCGTAACCACAGAAAGGGGCTCCTTCCCTTTTCAGTTCAACTCTCTTTCATTTTCAACAGAATGTCCACAACCGCTTTCGCAGGTCCCTGGTCCTCTCTCCCAACTACTCTCACTCCATGGGTGTATGTACTACAATACTATTGACTCCCAACTTTCAAATTAATCCATGTTTCAGTCTCGATGTTATCCATTCCATGGGTCACTCCCAAATGACCCCAGTCCAATCCGCGACTATTCCTCTGTTCATGAAACATAAAGATGTCGTCGTTGAGGCTGTCACTGGTTCTGGAAAAACCCTCGCTTTCGTTATCCCAATTCTAGAAAAACTTATCCGCAGAGAACGGCCCCATAGGCGGAACGAAATCGGGGCGTTGGTTATCAGCCCGACGAGAGAACTTGCGACCCAGATACACTCCATCTTTGCTCAGTTTCTGGATTCACAACCTGGCTCTGCTGCGGCAGAAAATGAAGAAGATGACCCGTCCTTGCTGCCTTCACCCCTTCTTCTCATCTCGTCTGACGATTCCTCGCCCGCAAAAGATATACAGCGCTTCCTCTCCACCGGAGCGGACATTGTCATTGGAACACCAGGTAGAGTTGAAGAATTCCTCCTCGGAAAAGGTCGAGACTCGGTCAGCGTAAAAGAACTCGAAGTCCTCGTCCTGGACGAAGCCGACCGGTGTGTAGACATCCCATCCCAATCGCTTCATTCACCAAATTACATTCCAGACTCCTCGACCTTGGATTCCAACAAGCCCTAACTCGTATAATCACCCACCTTCCCAAACAACGCCGCACAGGCCTTTTCAGCGCAACAATGACGGAGGCTGACGCCCTCTCCGAGCTCGTTCGCGTCGGACTGCGCAACCCAGCCCGCGTCGTCGTCAAAGTCCAGGCTAAAAAACATCTAAAAGACCCCAAAGGGAAAGGAAAAGAATCCGCTGTGATAGAAGAACGCCGGATCCCGGCCAACCTCCAAAACTACTACATCTCTTGCAAGACTTCTGAAAAACTCCTCCAGTTAGTGAGGATCATCGAACACGAGATCAACGAACAGCAGAGCTCGCAGTTTATCGTGTATTTCGCGACGTGTGCTTGTGTGGACTACTTCTACCGGGTAAACCACCTTCTTCCCTTTCCTTCCCCTTCTCACAGACTCACGCAAAGGTTACAGATCCTTCCACTTTTCGTACCAAAATCCACTTCCCTCTACTCCCTCCACGGCAACCTCCAACCAACAGCCAGAACACGCACACTGAACTCCTTCAGCACCAACCCTTCTTCTCCAGCCAACCCTTCCATTCTCCTCGCCACTGACGTCGCAGCACGTGGCCTCGACCTCCCCCACGTCGATGTTGTCATCCAATTTGACCCTCCAACCGACACCAAAGCTTTTTCACATCGCTGCGGTCGAACAGCGCGTGCAGGTCGGAAAGGTCGCGCTTGGGTGCTCTTGTGTGGGAGGGAGACAGAGTACGTAGATCTTTTGAAGGTTAGGAAGATTCCCATTGTCGAGAAGGGTGCTTTTGGGAGGGGTGGGGACGTGCCTATGTATGAGCGAGGAAAAACCGAGGATGAGGGCGACAACGAACAGGACAGCGAAGAGGACGGTCAGGTGGAGGAATACCTAACAACAACGCGAGAATTCGTGCTCAAAGACCGTGCGAGGAACGATTTGGTGAGTCTGGTTCTTCTTTTTAATGTCGAGTTCGCGGACTAAAAATGTCCTGTAGGCAATGAAAGCTTTCGTTTCTTTCGTCCGGGCTTATTCGAAACACGAAGCATCGTACATATTCAGAGTGAAGGACCTCGATCTTATCGGACTCGCAAAATCATTTGGGTTGCTTAGGTTACCCAAAATGCCGGAACTGAAGGACATGGAGAGGCTGAATTGGAAGGACGCAGATCTGGACGTACGTTAACGCCCGCCATCTCTTTCCTTTTGACACCGTTTTTTCTCACTTTGTCTTACCAACTACTTCACCGCTTCCCCAGTGGGACGAATACAGCTACTCGGACCCAGCACAGGAATCCAAACGCCTCCAAACCCTTCAAACCTCCAAGTCTGCAGAAGCCAAAGAAGAAAAACAACGCCAAGCAAGAGAGCGTGCCATGAAGAAAAAGGCATCCGCACCTTGGAGTGAACAAGCGGGTAGGAAAGACGAAAAGGCAAAGAGGAGGGAGAAGAAGATTGCGAAACGCAAGTGGCTAAAGGCCCAAGACAGTTCTGCAGCCGCAGCGGGGGCAAAGAGACCGAGGGAAGGAGGCGATGCAAGTGACGATGGTGGCGATGGCGATGGCGATGATTGGGATGAACTGGCGAGAGAGGAGAGGATGGCGAAGAAGGTGAAAAAGGGTGAGATTCCGCAAAAGGTATTCGATGCAGAGTTTGGTGATCTTTAGTTTGATTGGATTCTTTACCATCTCACCTCGATTGCAGTCAAAATTCTATTAGATGGCGGATTACTAGTACAGTATCATGGTAAGAGTGTGATACTATATGAAGGCAGGTCGTGCAAAATAAGATATGGAGATTCCAATGGGAATGGATGCAAGAGCTGTGATGTGATGCAGGACATATACCAATGAAGATGTCTGTCTTCTAACCTCCCCTCTTCCGTGGAACCAACGAGGGCCGCATCTGAGTATCGTTTACAATCAGTTCAGGCCCTTTTCTTCAACGGCTAAGTATCGCTCACCATCTCGACGAAAACAGGCAACAACTGTGGAATATGCTTCAAGTCAGGCGGCTCCACCATTTTACTCTTCTTCCTCAATTTCGGTGTCTGCTGTGACTCCGGGGTCTTTCTTTGGTCCTGCGTTGCTGGCGGTGGTGATGGAGGCAGCGGTTTGCTCTCTGGCAGAATTCCTGCTCGTGCTAAGTCAGTGGAAGGAGGTGCAGCCTGTTGGGACTGTAGAGGACCTTGACCAGTCCCAGAATTGATCGTTGCAGAAAGAGGGCTAGGTGTGGGCGGTCTCGTGGATGGCATCGCCGAAGACCTGACCACAGGCGAGGGAGGAATCGAGTTCGGAGGAGAAGCCTGGCCACCGACCATTGGATTTGGGGTCTGGACTTGCGGCCTCGCGTGCAAAGCAGAACCAGCATTCTCTGAAGCAGCTCCACATACACCAACCCTCGACGCGGAGGCGGTCGAAGACCGACTCGGAGGCCGAGAAGACGTCGCAGACACAGGGGCTGAACCACCAACTCTTTCTGACACTCCTTTCGTACTTGGAGCTGTCCCATAGCTCGCGATCGAGGAAGAATCCGAAGTCGAACCGTCCTTCCTGTGCTGTTTCTGTTGGTTCGTGACAGAGTGTGGTAAAGGCGGCAAGGGCGGAACATCCTTTTCCTTCTCCCCTTTCCCTAGACCCAACAGGGAGCTCATCGACTTCATTTGCTTCAGAGACATGGAACGTTTTCTCGTTGGCTGCGGTGGAGGAAGTTGGACGGGCTGTATTTGCTGTGATTGGTGATGATGATGGTGTGATCGGTGGATGTGAGGGTGATGGACACGGGGATGTTGGATATGGTGGTGATGACGGTGGCGTTGAGATTGATCGACCTGGCCAGGCGGTGGAGGCAACACCTTCTCCTTGCCCTTTCCATCCCTGGTACCAGAAATCTCTTCACTTCCGGTCTCGTACTCGCTACTTCCCTCTTCGCTACTTGTACTCTCATAGCTCTCGTCGTCATCACTGTCCTCCCCGCTATCACTTTCCTCGTCGGTCTCCTCTGCAGCCAAGTCCATCGCATCACCCTTTACCAACTCTCCGAAACTGATCTCTCCAATAACACCGTCCACGAGAGCCCGCGCAGCCTCGTCTTCTGCATCAGCTTGGGCTCCTATATCACCCACCCCCGCCTTGCCACCACCGGAAGCTCTTCCAAACCTCCGCCTGAGCTTGTCCTCGTAGATCACCTTGAGCTTATAATGGTACAAAGCGACTTGGTCCACCTCGTCTAGAATCAGTTTGCGCTCCGCTCCAGCATGTGGAAGGAGGAATTCCAAACTGATTGGCTGTCCCAAGCCCTCTCGAACGACGGTTAAGAACAACTCAATCCATCGCATGAGGTTGTCGAATAGCCCTTCGCCTTTGGAGTGAACCTTGTGGACAAAGTTGTAGAAGGAGTGTTCGTGACGCTGGATAAGGGAAATGAAGGCCTGGACAGTTTGATGAGGATCGGTTTGGCTGACTGATGAAACCGCGAGACGGTAAGCATTCGACAATCAGGGCGTAAAGTAATCAATCACTCACGTTCTTCAACATCCTCGACAGTCTTGATCAGATCGTTGATGAAGTTTTGAAGGTCACTTAAGGAATCTGCAATGCTTGCGGCTCGGTAGACCTGGGCCAGAGGCGAGTAGAAGATGGTGATGATGTCCTTCAAGAGCTCTGCTGTGAATCCCTTTGAAACGCGTTTCAACTTCTCGTCACTCTCTTAGAAGGATCGCCACACACCTCAAAGATCAAGGCAATCAGTTGCTCTTTGTCCCTCAATTTCTGATACAACCCCGTCAACATGCGCAGATCTTCAATGAACCATGCATCCTCATCCGGGGGACACTCGTCCTCATCGTCCGAATCGTCGTCTCTTCCACCTCTGCTAGTACTGCTCGCCCTCCCTTCCCTCACCTTCCTCGCCCTGACCTCCTTTCTCCACGCCTCGTAACTCCTCCACGCTCTAGCAAGTCTATGCATTTGCGCTCTTGAAAGAACAGGCTCTTCCGCACTCCTCAATGCGACAACAACAATATCCATTCCCTCGTTAACCGCATCCTCCTTGAATGCCTGCTGTATTTCCCTCGGAGCATTCACTAGCATCCTAATCTTCTCGCAAATGATTGGATCGTCAATCTTTTCCTTCACCAGCTCGATCTCAACCTCCAGTTGACGAACTTCTTCTGTTAGGGAGGATGTGAACATGCGCTGGAGGAGTGACCTGCCGCCAAATGGTTGGGCAAGGAAAAGATCGAGGACAGAGCGGATCATGGCAATCGGGTTGGTGATCTTGAGGGCGCCTTTGAGGAGCATGTAGGGCATCAGGCTGTGAATGCGTTTGAGACCTGCAAAGGTGGCAGACGCATCGTCGGATGCCACAAAAGTGTGGAAGACCGTGGATGCCAACCTGTAAATAGCTCAGTCTCCACAATGCAATGTGATTCAAGTTGCACACACGAGATTCTGGCCCATTCGATGACTGCTTGATAGTTCGCCGGCAGGTCCTGGATGCGAGGTGTTACCTTGATCGTACCAAACACATAGGTAAGGCCATCTAGTGGGCATAAGCGTCCGACATCTACAGCAAGGGAAGACGGGTACTCACCCTTTCCCATAACATCACCCTTGACGCTTTTGACAGCCTCCCTCAAACCATCCACGCGGGCCGCGATCTCCTTCGCAAACCTCTTCCTCCCATCTTCCCTGACTCTATCCGCCTCCTCTCTCCTCTTAGCATCCTCCAACTCTGCCGGGGTCAATTCTATGAAACCCGATAACAAGAACGACTTGAGAACAGGTGAAGACGCGATCGCGGACGAAGACATTAGTGAGTGAAGGTAAGATCGGAGGGTTAGTCTGTTCTTTTCTCTTGCGAGCTTGGCGGGATTCGGGGGCGGAGATTGAGGGAAATGAGAGGATGCGGGGGTAACAGGAGAGGCAGGATGACTTCCATCGTCGAAAAGGTAAGAGGCCGCGGACCCCAGGGAACCAGTCGCGGCATCGTAGAGCTGCTCCGAGAAGGATTGGGTCTGGGGTGTAGCAGGAGCTGTCACATAAGATCTATCCTTTGCCGGTGGTGGTTTGATATCCTCTTCAGGGTACCGCTTGGCTAGCTATGCAGTAGATCGCTATAAGCTTGACCTCCATAAGATGACCAAACTTGCACACCTCATTTGCGAGGGTCCGAAAGTCCCCGTATCGCCTTGACACGTATGTATCGTGATATCCCGCTCTCCGTGTGCGTATGATAAACTCCTAGAAGCGGGTGCAGGGTTAGTGTGTGACAACACAAGAGTCTTGAGCCAAGCCCTGGCCGTGCTGCCGCGCACTGCATTTCAGCACACTCACCTCGTGGGCCTTGGATCTTACGCGTCCCTTGTCGACGACGGTGCGGACGCCAACGATGTTGACCTCGAAGTAGTCCTTGTTCTTCTTGAGACGTTTCTGCCTCTTCTGAGCAAGCCGTTCGAGGCGATCGAGATCGTTCTGGGTGAGACGGACGACCTCCTCTTGTTCCACGAGTTTGGTGGCGGCACCGATAAAGAGAGCCATATTCCTCTCGATTTTAGCTATCATTTTTCTCCGTGTTGCCAGTTCTTTGGAGCCGTCAAAGTCGAGTACAGAGGATGTGGCTGCGATGTTTCTCGATACCATTGCGTCGACGAACGGCTGCACCTTGTCTGAGTAAAAGTTCTTCGGTGCAGCGTCCATGAAGGGAAAAGTCAGAACGAATTGCCTGAATATATACTTGAGGAACGGGAGGTCGAGGCCAGGGGGCAGAGAAGATACGAGGGCCTTTGGGACCGGGGAGAAGGGCGGCCCCAGGAGGGAGAGGTTGGATACGCCGGGAACATCTGTGCTAGCGAGGAGGTCGAGTTCCTTTGAGAATTGGAGTTGGATGAGAGATTTCTTGAGGTAGTGAGCGCGGAGGGGTGTTAGGTCTGGCTGCTGCTCCGACTGCGACATGGCGGAAGCAGCGAATCCCTCGTTTCGTCCCTGATTAGATTACAACAACGTCATTGATCATCTTCCAAATCCGGCATTCACCTTGCAGGCCGCATCAAATCGACGGTCGCCCTTACACTCCCCCCGATCGTCACATCCTCCGGCAATTATTGCCCACTCCTTGCCATACACACTTTCCACTAGCCAATCAGTTTCACATCCAAAATTACATACTAGGATGCATTCTATCTAATTACCCAGCCATGCGAGCCAGTGGATCACTACAACTACAAGTCCCATGCAAAGCGCCTGCACTAGGGGCCCGAACAGCGGGCTCCGAAGAACCAATCTGGAGAAACAAGCTCGGTCAGCCTCGCGTTCAGACGGAGAACCATTGAAAAGGCATGGTCACGCACAGAAAAGGGAATAGAAAACAATTCAAAAATACGAGACTCACAAGATCGTACAACCGGAAGAGAACCACCTGTCAGAGTTGAGAATGGGAGATGGTCAGAGTTAGTCAAGCCTACGTACCAGTTGTTGTTCAACTGTTCGATCCAGTGCACAACCAGCAATAGCCTCAGCCGAGGACTTTGTATTGGGAACAGCTTGAATTTGGTCGCCTCGTCAATGGGGAGAATAGTAGCAACGTAGAACGACACCAGGCCAGGATCGCTGGGCATTGGTCCAATTTCCTGGTACCGCTGTACTACCCACGGTGCCGTACCTCGTGACAGTCGATCGATGAACGTCCGGCAAATCTCCACCAGCTCCTCGTTCGAGGGCCTCACAGGTCGTTGTCTCACAGGTGGTGGTCGATGGCGAGATGAAGACGCCGATGATGAGCCTTCGATAGCAACCATATTCCTGAACGTCTCTTCCTCGCTTTGGCGGGAAGGGGATGGGTCAGGAGGCAATGGTGTTGGCGTTGACGTCGATGGTGATCCTTCGTCGTCCGACTTGGAAAGGTTCATAGTGTCAATCGAATCGATCAAATCGTCGGGAAAGTCTTCGATACTGAGAGAGGACAAAGAAGAGATGCACGGATCAGTTGACAGGAAGGCATGCCAAACCCCAGGCGAACTGACAATTCAATACGCCCTACCATGTACCCGTCCAGGACGCCACTTTCAAGTACTCGAAAGCGCTTCGTACCAACAGCTTTCACTATACTCTCTCCGTTGGGAAGCAGCTTGACGCTCTGGATTTGAAGCATGGTTCCATAGATGTTCTGTGTTCCGGAGATGTTAGGGAGCATTCCGAATTGTGGAACGGGAGACTCTAAGCAACGACGAAGCATGAGACGGTAACGGGGCTCAAACACCCTTATACCGACAGGTATCCCTGGCAGAGAGAGGAGGCAAATAAAAATGGGAGTATCAAGACGAGCGGCACGCTCCTCCTCTTCGATAGCCTCTCCCCGAGCTTGATACACTGGGCGAAAGGCTTCTAGGTCTGCGACGAAGGGGTCAGAGGGGTATGAAGTGAACTAGATGGGTAAACCTACGTAGTAGTCGCAAAACGACTGAATTAAGTGGATGGGCCTGGAAGTATGCGAACCCGGGTAGTTCTGTACGGCACACAGGACACTTCTGACTGTGGTCCAGGGAGCGATGAAGACATTTAGTGCAAAAGGTCTAGATCGCAGCAAAATAAGCGCCATTGAATACCCGGAGCTCGATATGAAGACTTGCATGTTGACAGGGAGTAGTGACAGGCTTGTAAAATAGATTGCAACAGATATCGCATGACAGTTCTTGCGTGAGCTCCCGTTCAAATGCAGCAAGCACGGGCTCGGGGGTAGTGATGAGGGGCTGGTCGGCAGAGACGGTCTTTGCGATAGCAGCGGACGTTCTGAGATGAGCTACTAGATCTGGCTCGTTATCATCCGAGTCGCGGGGATCCCTGGAGGTGTCTGGCTTGTGTCGCTTGCGAGGGGGTGTGTCGTCGTCGTCGTCATCCGAGGGGCGTTGACGGAGTGACTGGCGTTGCCTTGTGCGTTCAACCAAGTTTATAATCTTCTCAAGGGTGACATCGTGTGCTGCTGGATGGAGAGGGGGGACTAAGACCTGTTCCTGCTCTTCTGCCTGAAATTCGACAGTTGAGCCTGGGGGAAGATTTGGAGGTGCTGCAGCGGGAGGAGGTGTGCAACCTGTGAGAGGACAGTCTCGGTGGGAGTTGAGGTGAAGCTTGCAGACAGAGTGGCCACAGTGAAGAGAAACTGGAGACCTTAGAAGAGAGCGGCAGAAAGGACAAGCCAGAGCGTCCCGAGCTGCTTTGAGCATTGGTCAATAAGTGAGCATCCATCCTCGTCGCTTTTAAAGGGAAACTCTAACAAATTGGCGATCAGCTCCCTCATTCCCGCGATCGCCATCAACCCTGATCCAATGCCTTCTCTCCTCGTCCCAACTGCCACACATATCCCAATCAACTTTTCAAAGCGCCAGTCTCTAAATCTCCCACAATTTCAACTCTATGCTGTAGAGAAATGGCTCGTAGACAGGTCCAGACAGTCATCTCTGCTTCTGGTCTTCACCGGCGACCCAAACCACACAGTCTCTCTCGATGAGCTGGTCACCGACGACGACGCCGCTTGGGATGCCGCAATTCATGCATACAGAAGGGATGGAGCGAAGCCCAAGCAGACACAGAACGGCGTGCTCATGGTCACGTCCCTCGCACACTTTCGCTCAGACTGGACAATAGTCAACATCCCCAGTGGTGACTTTGCAACCGCAAGGGACCAGCTGTACGCCAATATCAATCTATTACGCATGGGCTGCACCGGGAGAAGCGCGTTGTCATTGGGGGAACCGAGCGATACTACCAAGGATCGCTTTATTTCGCTCTACCACCTCCCAGAGACCTCGTTCTCTCCACCTGCCACGGGCGAGCACCCGCTCCCGCCATCCTCTTCCAAACGCTTCCCGACCGTGCGCGGAAAGACCAAGGACAGCCACACCTTTATTCCCGCTGTTCTAGAGCTCGTAAAGCTCATTCAGGCAGGCTTGTCGATCTTCGGTTATTACACCAGTCCCATCGACGGCTTGCTCTGCGACTCCACCCTCGATGCCATCAATCATTGGATGGCGGAAATCGGGGAGCCCCTGTTGGGGTTAGAGCCCACAGAACGAGTCGTCGATCCCATGTTCGTCTCGGCACTCCTCAGCCTCGTCCTTGCCGTCAGAAACAAACTGGCCACGCTTATTACCCTCGATTTCAGTAGTCACCAATCCGCTGCCTCAAATAACACCAACGTTACACCGTCCCCACCTCCCAAAGACCCCTTCCTTTTCCCACAACCTTTCATTCTCTCCTTGTCTGTCTATCTACAGGCAACCACAGGAACCTCCGGATCCACAGCACTCACTCCTCAAATCATTGAAGCTATCGATGCTGCCCATGAATCGGCAACGAGGAGACGCCTCAAGCCTGTTAGGAAGGTTCTTCGGACGAAGATCGATGATCACCCCCACGCCAAGGTCGACAGCGAGGGCGATGAAAAGAAGGAACCTCGTGAACGCGACTTTTACCATTACAATTATCGAAGCGGAGGAGAAGAGCCTTCCTCTCTTCCCCCATCCACCGTGACGTCTCCCACTACTGGGCCAAGCTCAGGTCGATTACTCGCCTTGACTAGCCTCACTCCGTCCTCCTCAACGTCCCTCGCCCATGCTGGTCTTTCATCCCTGACGACCACCACAAGTGACCTCGCTTCCTTCCTTACAGTTGCGCTCACAAAGGAAAAGGATGGGGATAGGCTTGGTTCTGGCCCCACATTTACGGGTCTACATGTCCGAGCACATGCCCAAGGAAGACGCGAACGGAGACGTCGGATGGGTGCCAGTGTCAGTGTCATCCCGGATGCTCCAAGCGGTTCTCTACGGAGCAAGACCCGCGAAAGTGTCGACCTTGGACACTTTTACCACGCCGCCTCAGGTGACCCTTCAAGCTCCACAGAAGGTATTACCAATACACGACTGCTCGATACCGTTGTAGCTGGGAGTGTCAAGGCTCTCTGGAGTGGGAGAGTAGCTGAACTCGTTCGCCTTCGTGAACTTGCCAACTCTCCTTCGGCGCAGTGGCAAGACCCCCCTGCCCTTCTTACCCCAAGCCTCTCTCTTCGTGTTCCAAGCGGAGGTAGTGCTCTCTCAGCTTCCTCTTCATGGAGTAAAGCAAGGAGTAAGGGAAAGAGCAAGACTTCACTCAACCAAGCTTCGGTTTCCAACGTCAATGTCCATAGCGATGGTGACGTCAACACCAGCAAGGACGGCAATCTCAAATCCGAAACGGACGACGACAGCGAAGGACTGTATGCTCCAAATGCGAGCCAAACTACGTTCGGGAGTTTGTTGGGCGGTAAAGTAAAGGGAAAGTTGGGTACCTGGACGGCAATGGCAAAGAGGCGTGCGCGAGGGGAGGGAGGAAGCGTGGACCTGACCAGTACCGGTATACCACAGTCCGTCAGGAGCGCCCCTTGCTCTGTTGGGGTGTCGCCGGCTGTAAGCCAGGATGGGAGTGGAGGAGGAAGCGCCAGTGGTGCGCCACAAGTACCAACGGTCATTGAGGATGATGAAGGGGACGAGTCCAGAATGTCGAAGGGACAAATCAAGCATCTCAACCTTCCAGGTCCACGGAAGCCCAAACCTTCGAGGATTGCGACCGCTCCGTCTGCCATCTCTGGAAGGAACCGTTCCGGTAGCATCGCGGGTGTGTTGACTATAGGCGGGAGTGCCAATGCGAGCTCTGGTCCCCAAAGTCCAACGTTACCCCCCATGGTTTACGCACCTGGGGAGCCTCCGGAAGACGAGGGAGAGTTGCTGAGCAGTGGTCAAATTTCCCCTTTGAGTCAGTTCCTATCTCCCTCGGACTCCATTCTGTTTACTTACCGAGATGCATAATTAGGTGATTACCGTCCCAGCCCCTTTAATCTTCTCCACGGCGGGGGCAGTGCTTCGCTATCTGTCCCCATGGGCCAATCCCTCACGGGTTCGACGAGCAACCTCTTACCCAGTTCCGCCACCGCGATCCAAGAAACTGCGAGCAAATTACACTCAAAGCTGCTCACTGTCACGCACCAGCAAAGGCAGGGACACGAACGATCTGTGCTCGGAGCTGCTAAAGACAAGAGACCACCTGTTGGTGTGCGAAGGTTGACTGCCCCTAGTAGTCTTCCTAGGATTACAAGCTGGTCAGACCCGATGAGTGCGAGGAACATGGTTCCCTTGACTCTCGGTCACAGCGAGAGCGACAGCGACGACGTAGCCGAGGAAGACATTGAGGAAGAAGACGAGGAAGGCGCCCCGGGCTACGAAGGACTGGAAGGTTACGCCGAGATAGAGAGCGACGAACCGAACGCAGCTCTATCTCGGATTGCTAGGCCTTTCGTTAAGTCCAACGTCTCCCTTCCGACCGCGAGCAATAGGAAACGGCGACCGACGCTTAAACGAAGGAACTTGACGTCTTCCATATTGGGAGCAGGGAGTGACGGAGAGTTAATCCCAAGCAGAGCGGGTGTTAGGGAGAAGACGCGGTTCCACAGTCTGCTAAGCGTGGTGGATGGCGACGGGAGCTTCAACGAAGAACCAATGGCCTTCGATGAGATGGCGTACTACGAGTTTAGCGGGGATGAGGGAGAGGTTGATAAATGGATGAGGAGGCAGAGAAGCTTGAGAAGGAGGGGGTATTTGCATGGCCTTGCAGTCGCGACTAACGGCCATCCAAGATTGATTAGGTATGTCTCTTGTCATTGCCTCCATTTTCCTGTGGCGCTGACCAAGTACCCTCAGGCGACGTAGTTTTCATGACCTGGACGACCTTTGCGATATATCCGTTTTGGCTCCAGAACGGATGCGGATTGACGTTGAGATCTGTGGTCAAGTGTTGGTCATGCTGAGACGCGAAGAACACCTGAAGAATGTTATTGCTTGTCTCAAGGTACTTTTCTTATTAGTTACGAAGACATGGGCTTAACTGTGATGTTTCCTAGATCCTCAACACCAACCTTTCTGACACGAACGCTCTGCTTCGTCAAGATTATGAAATCAACATGCCTACGCTGTCCACGGTCGAAGCTCGCACCAAAGTTCTCGCTGCCCTTGACACGCAAGATACCCACGCCGACAAGCTGTCGCAGTCCACCAACATCCTTCGCTACGAAGCAGAACAGTTCCGCGTCCCCGACCTCTGGCATGCAGCTAGCCTTTCCCGTCAAAAGGTCTTTTCACTCCGCCAAAAGGTGTTTGGGGAGAACGGGAGCCGAAGGCTACCTTCCGGCGCGCATGGAGCCCATGGGAGGTTCAATAGACTTCAAAAAACCATTGAAGGCGATGAACGTTTGGTGGACCACTTGGGCAGGACGGAGGATGAAGCAGAGGAGGAACAGGCTCTAGTCGAGCACGAGTCACTGACGGATGGAAACAAGAGGCAGAGGCTAATCGACGTGGACCTTGTTCAGAGGTCAGATATCGCTGCCGTCAGCGATCGCATGGCCAGGGAAGACGAAGCCCTAGGTGTCCACCCGGGTGAAGAAACAGAAGACGAGGAGGATGCCGTCGAGCATTCAAGTATCAGACCAGTATGGTTGCTCAAGTTCTTTGTGGGATGGGGCGCAAGATGGAGTGCGAGAGCTGCAACCAACAATGCCGCTACAACTTCACCAATGCCCAACCGCAGTACGGTGATTGAAGGTGGCGAACCAAAGTCACCCTCACCGGATGACGTTGGCGGTGTTTCCACTGCCGTTGAACCTTTGCGCCAAGTTAGAAGGAAAAGCACACCGAGTATAATCATCTCCGACGTTGATGTTGATACCGAAGACCCCAAGAAGGTTAGGTAGCTCAGCGTCCTTTCTCTTCCTCAATACTGGGGACCAGCTCTCCAGAGCAATAGCGCGTTCGCGGCCCACCTTTTTGGCTCCAATTTAGCAGATTCTTCGGTTAATATGAGAGACGGACAGTATTCTGCGCGCTACAGCTTCCCAAGGACTTTACTCCGTTAATTCATGCCTAATTGATCCATACTAGTAACTATGACAGAAAAATCCATTACAGATTAGTATTACATGTAAGCCCACAACATAGAAAGTGACCGGAAGACTCGGAGTTACTTGCGAACGACCTTCCCCTGTTGCTTCCGGATGTTGCGCTTGCGTTCGCGTTCCAATTCCTGAAATTAAGATGTTTCTTAATATCAGTTGACCAAGGAATGAACGCGCGACAATTACCTTGCGCTGATCCGCTGCACTGAGCTTGGACATGCGCTCCTCTTGCGCCTTCCGCTTGGCAGCAGCTTTAGCCTCGGCTTCCTGAAAATTAGGAAGTGGAATTAGAATCGCATTAAGCAACACGGGGTAGAACTTGGCCGTACCTCCTCGCGCTTTTCCCGCTCAGCCTCCTCTTTGAGTTTCTTATCGGTCTCTTCTCTGACCTTCTTGAGTTTAACCTTGGTCTCAGGACGGAGATTGATTTTGTTGAGGTTATCAATGAGTTGGAAAGCGGCTGAGACCAGAGGGACCGTGTCTGCGGCGTGACTGGGAGAGGGGAGGCGCAGGCTCAAGATGACGTGTTTCTCATGTTCTTCTGGAGCCAAGGGCTTCAAGGGTCGTTCTCGTGGTTGATCGGTGACCTGGTGTAAGTGTTTTGTGGGTTAGCCTCTCGCTCTCTGGACAACTCGGAAAGTGGTGTGGACGTGATCACACGGCGGAAAGAGGGTGAAGTGGGTCTAGAAGCGTCAAGGATCGAAATGGGCGCAAGAATTCATTCCTCGAGACGTGTTTTTGATATATATACCAGATGGCTGGGATTCAACTTACAGATAAGGAGCGGAAGTAGGGTTGAATTTTAGGGTCTTGCAGCACCTGAGCGAGGGAGAAGCCTCCAAGAGGTTTCAACATGTTCTCCGTCACATCCGCAAATTCTGGAACCGAGTTGGGAGAGGATGTCAGTTTGACCTTTCCAAAGCCTTACCACCAGTGTGAATTGGCGCTCACCGGACATAACCGAAAAGTTAGGAGGCAATGCGGGGTTTTCTGTCGTTTTTGTGTAGTTCTGCGGAACATATAGTTTTCAGTATTGGATCTGTACAACGGTGTAGTCTCAGAAAGGGCACTGAACGTACCAGATCCCATCGGTTGTCCTTCACGGAGAGAAGTTCGTCCTTTGCAACAACAGCCCATACAAAGTCGTACGGAAGTGCACCAGGTGCAAGTTTAAAGTCAAGTTGCAGGTCATCGACGGGGTGATAGTGGAGGTCAATGAGGGACTTGGCCGTCTGATACGCGATCTGGAATACGTCGTGACGTGGCCGAAGGGTGAAGATAGTGTGCAAGGAGGCGATATTGCGGCGACCTGTGGAGAAGTTGAAAAAGTCGGAATATCCGTCGGCTACTAGACCCTTTGCAGACTGAGGCTTCGAGAACTGCTGTCCGTAAAGGGGAAGGTGCGCAGACAACCTAGAAGATAACAAGGCTTCATGTTAGACAAAATGTGGAGCAACGCGTCGGAGACAGGAAAGAAACGTGCCATTCTTTAGCCTTTTTCGAGTTTTGAGAACTTCCGTATAGGGCCAGCAGAATGTATGCCAGCAGGCCCAGCAAAAGGTACCCTTCGAGTTTGAGGACTAATTCCTATCGGAGTCAGCTGACGACTAGACTCCAGGACAGAATTAAACGCACGCGCTGGCCTGAAGACGAAGATACTCCAGCGCAGCTGCCAGCCGTCGTATTCCTCTGGAACGACGACCTGGGGCGGGGTCAGGCCTGCCAAAAACTTTTGAACGACAGACATTATTGTCGTAAAGGCGAAAGGTTGTTGGGCGCTGGAACCGGCGACGGGTAAGTAACCGCTGGCGCGGAACGGCAAATGCCGAAGCCCCTGTTTTTGGATTGGATCTGCCCCGGCGCGTTCATCTAAATCTTTCATCGGGCACGCCACGATGCGACACACGATTGCCTATAACTAAGACTGACTCGAGTCTGCGTACACCATATCTTCCCCCAGATGGCTGAAGAACAGTCCCTCAGTAGTTTCACCTCCCACACAATCTCTGATCTGTCCCACTACCTCGAGGGCGCTCCAGAACCGCTAGACTTTCCGCCCCTGGAAAAGGTTAGAACCCTTACAGAACAAACCTCTCTACACACAGCTGTCTAAGTCCATTTCTACCCCTGCCTTCGTGTCCATCTCGTGCTCAATTGGTAGCTCTCCCAGATACCACCGACAGATTATGCAGCCTTTGTCCTGGACACACTCACCCTCATGAACCAGTCACAGCCAAGTGGCCGAATTGACCAGGAGAAACTTCGTCGCTGCATCCAACTCGCATCGTCTTTCCTATTGACTGACCATGGCATGAACCCCGACACCGGGACTCAGACCTGGGGTATTGGCCTGAGTCGGTTGGTCGATGTCATCGTCGCCCTACACAAGCGCAACGAACTCGAACCGGCTACTCTATTCGCGGCAAACAAGGCATGCAAAGACTGCTGGGTCACCTCCGCCTCCTTCAGAGGACTTGAAGAATGCAGAAGTCGTGTGCGAGAGAACGGAACAAAGCTCCGTAACCTCATGGATCCCAACGGCAAGACCTACAAAGGCTGGTGTTGTCCGCATCCTCGGCGTCTCCCCTTTCTTACCTTTCCTTTAGGCCACGCCGTATCATAGAATATCCCATCCCACCGTGCATCGTCCCTCCATTTATTATACGTACTTCTGGTACAGCATACAACAGCATATCATGATTCATTCGGGATAGTGTACAACAACGCTTATTTCGTCGTGGAAACCAGTTAACTTCCGTACAGGGCGCAAAAAGCCGAAACGCCTAACAGGTATCGCGCAATGGGCGAATTTACAGAACCGCCATGTTCGTGACCGGCCAGAAGCTATAAAGTGCTGGTAAGCAAACACCTTTTACTGGGCAAACAAAAACCTTACTAGGCGTCTGCAAGTCGCTTGTAGCCGTATTTCTCAATGAAAGCAGTGAGCTCCTTGGGCCCTCGTGAACCATAGGGATAAGCGCTTGGTCTTGGGCGTGGTCCGTTCTTCCCATCAATCCAGTGAAGGATAGGCGTGAAGATCTATCGAATTCTTGGGTCAATACGATCGCGACCATGAGCGGCGATAAACCTGACCTTCCAAGCATAATCGAGTTCGTCGTGGCGAACAAAGTTGGAATGGTCGCCCCGAAGAGCGTCGAGGATAAGGCTTTCGTATGCTTCTGGAATCTTAGCCTCGGTGAAACGGCGCTTGTAGGTGACGTCCATTTCGGTAGGGATGGCTCGAGTGCGAAGACCGGGCGTCTTTGCGTTTATCTTGAGATAGACAGCCTCCGAGGGTTGAATTCTGATGACAAGTTCATTGCGCGCAATGTCCTTGAAAATACCCTGGGTAACATCCTTGAACTGGATGCGAACCTCAACCTTGGCCTCATTCAAAGCTATCCAAAAATAGTTTTGAGTTAAATAAAATTTGATTGGGTATATCTGAAGCATGTTTCCATACCTTTACCGGCCTTGAGAATGAAAGGCACGCCTTCCCAACGGGGATTGTGAATGAAGAGGGTTGTGGCAGCAAAGGTGGGGCAGATCGAGCCGGGTGGAACAGTATCATCGTCGAGGTACCCGGGTTTTCCGTTGGCAGAAACGTATTGGCCAAGGAGAGTGTCCTCCTTCTCGATCGGAGGAATGGCACGCAACACCTTCACCTTCTCGTCACGAATGTCCTCAGCAGCGAAGGACACGGGTCGCTCCATGGCCAGGATAGTTAGTACCTGCAACAAATCTGTGATTGGGAGATCAGATATGGTCATTATGAAGTCATAGCCACGCAAGACGCACGATTCTGCAAGATGTCACGAATGATACCGAACTCGTCGAAATAACCCCCACGGCCTTCAGTTCCAAACGGTTCCTTGAAGGTGATTTGGACGTTAGAAATGGAGTTCTTGTCCCAAAATGCACCCATTGCGACGTTGGCGAAACGGAGGACGAGTAAGTTCTTGACCATCTCCTTGCCAAGGTAGTGGTCGATACGGAAGGTCTCCTCCTCGGACCAGTACTGTTTCACTGAACCAAGGAGATCACGAGCAGACTGGAGATCCTTTCCGAAGGGCTTCTCTATGATAATTCGGTTGACGCCGCCCTTAGTGACATAGCAGTGTTCCTTGATGTTTTTGGTGACAGGGATAAAGACGCTAGGAGGTAGAGCGAGGTAAAAGATGCGATTACACTCCTTTGTTTGGTAATGTGATTCGATGGATTCGAGGTGTGCGTTGAGGTTGTCAAAAGACTCTCCATCCTCGTATCCGCCAGCGACGTAGGATAGGGTCTGTTTGAATGCCTCTAGAGAGTTTGCGACTTCTGGGTTTTCATCTACCCCTTTGATATAAGAGGTGGTGCGCTTTTCAAACTCGGCCTTGTCCATCTTGGTTCGGGCATATCCAACGATCTTGGTGTCCCTTGGAAGGAAGCCCTGGCGATAGAGACCAAAGAGGGCGGGGAAGGTCTATGATTGCCAACGGTGGAGGATGAGAATTACTGAAGGGAGAATAAGGTCTACTACCCACCTTTTTCTTCGCCAAATCACCGGATGCACCGAGCACTACATAGAAGGAGAGAGAGATCCTAAGTAATGATTGGTCGTCCAGCGTCGAGGGGATAACATACCGATAATGATAGTGTTGTCTTTGAGGTCGTCGTGCTGGGTCTCCATTGAGGGGATGGTCCCCGACATCGAGCGTTCCCTGGGCATTGTTGACGACGTTGAGTTGAAGGGCTGAGTGATTTGGGAGCAGAGTCAGTAGTGGGAACGAAGCCACTACTGTTCGGCCGGTCTTCTGTGTTACCAACCAACCGAAATCGATGTGTGAATGACGCGCTGACTTATCTATCTAATCTTCGGAGGAACGGTCCGTAATCTCCGTCATTCCCACGCTAGGCGCCATCCTCGCCGCCGCACCCGCCGCCTTCGAGCCCTTTACCAGCGTCCATGGCCGATTCCGCCGCCTTTCAGTTCTACGCCTCCGCTGACGAGGTCTTCACCAAACTTCGCGAAATTGTCGAGTCTTCTCCCCCAGAAAACGATGCTGCAGCCCTCCAAATCGTCGCCATGGCCCTCATAGGTCGCCTCAAGTCCCTCAACCGTGCGGCGAATACAGCGACCAGACTCCAGAAAGAGGCCACCACCGAAGCCCGTCAAGAGATGGACCAATCGCATCTCGGTCTCCAGAACCTTCTGTATGAGAAACGTCATCTTGAGCGCGAAATCGAAAAGTGTCGCCAATTTGCGTGAGTGTTCACGGCTTTGGATGCTTGGATCATGTCTGACCGCGGTGGACGGGGTTAGCTCGATATACCAGGACGTTCCGCTGCATACCCTCGAGGAATTTAAGGTGTTGGCACCAGAGGAAGCACGTACACCTGAAGTGTTGGCAAACGAACATGAACTTATGCTCAACCGCCTCAGCTTTGAGCTCGCGGAACGCCAGCGGTGGGCCTTCTCCGCTCCATCACCCCGATTTCCCTCGCACTGATATTTGGTTCCGCTATACAGCCTAGATCAAAGGAAACGAGATCTCATCCGGCAAAAGGAAGATCTGCTCAGGCAGAGTAAGGCCAAGGCCTCGACAATGGACAGTGTCAAAGCCCAAATTGAGTTATTGGTCAAGGTGCGTCATCTCGAGTGCGGCCTACTAATTGCTCGCGTGCTCACGTCTTCCACCAGACTGCTGCAGAAGTACAGAAGAAAGTCGACGACCTTGTATCACCAATACCCAAACCATCCTCTAGTTAATTTCACGCTTTCGATGTCCGACGCTAAGTTATATATTGTACAACAGCCATGTAATATAGAATACAGTGATCCACGCGGGAACGATATGATGCTTAGAATGAAAGGTCTTCAAGGGAAAGGCGTGCCCAACAGAGAATAAAGAAGCAGAAATAAGCCGGGAATGACGGTAAGACCCTGGTGATACGGGATTAATGTGAGGAGTAGCTATCCTACGAACCGGGGATGGTATGTGGAGGGGCGGGGATGAATCTATTGTCCATTAGGATTCGTCGTCGCTGATGCTTCCAATGTCGCTCATCTCTTCATCCTCATCCTCCGTCTTGTCGCTCGACAGCGCATCGGCAGCCTCCTTCGTTGCATACCGTTTCACGTATTCTAAGCACAGTTTAGATAAATTTCCGTCCACAGTCCGAGCGTGTCTAGATGACTCACCCTTCACTTTCGTCTCATACTCCTCTGGATGGCGCATGAGAAGCGCGGCGGCTTCTCCGTTCAGGGGGTCATTGGGATTGGGATACCGGAGGAGTTGGGGAAGGAAGACCTCGAAGATGTTGATCATATCTGCGGACGCGTCTTAAAATTTACAATACATCATGGATGAATAGCACTTACCAAACATCGGTGACCAGGTCTGATTAATCACATCGAGGCAGACTGAGCCGCTCCTACATCAGAGGCTTAGTGGGGGGCAACGTTTACAATAAAGAACGGCGCCATACAGCTCGTCGATGTTGGGATGGAAGATCTTGTTCATAAATCCGATGCTCGGTGACTTGAAGGGATACTGGTCGGGGAGCTCGACATGGATCTTCCATACTCCTCCGGCGAATGGTGCTGGAGTGGGGAAGGAAGCGAGATGCCGAGAATGGGTGGTAGAGAGCGGCAGTTAGCGCATCGTGCGATGGTTGGGGGATGCGGAAACTCACTCTCTGGAGGTCCGTAAAAGCGCACGCAGAACTCCTGCATGTTATCGTTCACCAGGTTGACCTCAAAGTCAGACATGAGCCTAAGGTTTCCAATCAGTCATTGTCCCAGGGGCACCTTCAGCGAGATAAGACGGCATACAGCTTCATAACATCAGTCTCGATGCGTCGTTTCCCTGGAAGAGAGTAATAACGAGGGCACAATAAGTCCACCATCCCCCGGCATCACGAGCATACGGGAGACTCATCATAATGGCACTCTCGACTCTGGTGGTCGCTGCGTAAGTTGCGTTCGATAAGGGTTAGGGACGACGGAGGGAGGCAGGATAGCGATTTGCGATGGGCAAATTGGAAGATGGAGTCAAGAGAAGGGCAGTTGAGGCTCAAGGACTGGGCTGTTTCGGGGAGTAAGGACCGCCCTTATAATGGTCCCAATATAGCAACCAATCGGGAAGAACCGAGAGTACATCAAATACGGCGCTTCAACGACGACGAGTCGGTGGCCCAATGGTCCGGACTTTTGTCTTGTTTCTCAGCTTCTTCATGCAATATGCCATTCAATTCTTGGGTAGTGAAACATCAAACTATCGTTATGGAGTCGTGAAAAGCTAGTTTGGACCCAGCCCAAAACTTGCAACCGATCGTCCTCTTCGAAATGCCTCCTGCCAATTTCCCACAGAAGGTTCCTGGGTCCCAGCAATATATGTAGCCAAATGACGACAACAGCGTCAAGTGGCGCTATTTCACCAGATGTACTCTTCAACGACATCATAGTAGTACCCTGGGTCATCCTTGAAGCCGCTATACCCTCTGGACATCGCACCTCCCCTGGAGTACCCAATACCAGACTCATCCCCTCCACCACTCAGCGCTCTCCATCCAACTACAATAACTAACCCAATACGTTAGTCCCGGCGAAGGCAAGCCTATGACAGTTGGATGGCTCACCAATCCACAGAAGGGCCAGACCTCCGATGAGCGCTGCTTCTTCCTGCGGTTGGGTTAGAATCTGGCCTTCTTGTCGATGATGCATGATGATTCTGGATGCAAGAGGGAGGGAACCATGAGAACATGAACAAGCCTGAAGGCAAGCTAGAGCCTAGGTGGGGATATGCATACAGGAAAACGAGTGCGCCAATAGCGATCACCGCTACGAAGGATTGCAGCAACTGTGATGAACCTGTGAATCCATGATTAGATTGTTTCAACGCAATCCATTATCCTGTAAAGATGTGGACTTGCCTGGAGAAACCAGCATCTTGGTCACAAAGTGGCCCAATCCAACTGCAACGGTGGCTACAGATTGTCCATTAGCTTCCGACCCCGAAAGAGATCATATCCTGCTCGCACCTACGATGGCAGACCTCCACCTATTCTCCTGAAATAGTGGCATGGTGAACACAAAGCTAGGACCTGACAACAAAGGGAAAAGAATGGTACGAGGAGAAGCAAACTCGGTGCGTAACGGTTCTTTACAAATTTACCGACATAATAAGAAGGTATGCAAACACGAGGCAGGCGCATGTCCGGGTTTCGACAATTGCGAGGGTTCACATGAGGCCTAACCTTCGCCACCTCGTTTCATCGGCGAATATTCCGAGTTTTGTTTCATTTTCAGCGTTACGGAACAACACGTTTCGCTAGTCGGTATTCTACTTGACCAAAGGGCCCAGAACCTGATACCTACACAGGAGCCTACTACCAAGGGAAGCTAGAAAGAAAGATAGATGGATAGAATTCGGGCAGGAGGGAACCGAGCAGATCGTCAAAGCAAGAGGCAAAGTGAGCAAACAGTCCATATCTCGTATCTTTTACGTAGTCTTCATTCGTTTCCGGGAATCGTAAGAGAGGCTTGACCCAAGTACCTCTTCATTCATGGGGACAAGGGAGGCACAGAACTCATCGGGACTTGGGTGATAGTTGGGGGAGCACCGTTCATGCCAGGCTGGATCATGATAGCGTTGCCGGCGGAAGGAGCGGGGTATCCGGGGTAGCCACCAGGGTAGCCAGATGCCGGGTAAGGCATGGGTCCAGGACCAGTGTGTGTATTGTAGTAGCCTGGCATCTCGCCGAACCAGGGAAGCTCTAACGACTGCTTTTAGCCTTGGTTCAAGCTTAGACGAGGAGAAGTACGCACCCCGGATGGGCTCTTCCCAGATGTAATGACGGCCGAATTTTCGGGCCTCGCCAACAAGCTGGAAGAGGATGTAGAATCCAATGACGAAAAGTGCGAACAGCGCCCAAGAGAATGCTTGAACAACCTTCATCTCGGAGCACCATGTTCTCCGTGAAACTGTGCAACGTAGTTAAGGACCTTTTCAAAGTCAGGGGGATCGAGATACACCCACAGCTGCCTTCTTCACCTTTGGTTGCAATCGTCTGGTTGGATGGGATGGCATCACATTGTACATGGCCAATGATGTCACTGGAATAGCAAGGGTTAGCCCGGAGGCCGACGCCAAATGCTGAGGACGTCAAAACACCTACGTTGACCATGCTCCCAATGCTGTCAAGAAAAGAATCAAAAGCGACGTCAGTAACTAGCTCCTAGTAAGTCGTTGCAAACCCCACGCACACAACCAGAGCACTCCGATGACGAATAGCACGAACGCTTCAACCCTGGGTTGGGACCACTGTAGTCTGATAACCAATATCGTCAGAGTCTCGACCAGCAGCGGCGACAGCAGCGAAGCCGGCGTACGTTAACAGGAATATGAAGATGTTGAGGGACGCGACGACGGTCGTAAAGATGCTAAAGCCGGCTGGGCGGTTAACCAGAGTATGTCAGCGATCGAGAGATCGAGAAGGCGATACATATCGAGTAGGAGAGTTGCCTTACAATGTTGGCCGGCGTCGAAGATGCTGGCAAAATGTGCACCGATGCCTAAAACAACGCCTGGACGGATGTAGTGCACCCACAGGTTAGCTAATTGGTAGGCGCTGGTGGTTAGTTGTCGCCAACTGACCAGCTAAAAGCATGACGAAGACTAGGGTAATTAATATTAACATGGTGCTATTCTTAATTTTGAGTGGATGGGACGAGGACTCACTGTAGTACGCTAAACGGTAGTTTCCAAAGCGGACGGTCATGATGGTCGTATAGGAGGTCGAGAAGGTACGTTTAATAGTCGTAAATCAGAGATGAGATAGAACAGAAAGGATATCGCCAGGGAGTGTTGAGTCCAACTGTGCACCTGGCCGTGCGCCCTAGCTGGCTGTTCTGGAAGAAGCGCAACACAGCTCAGTTTTGGGGTACAGTGCGTATGACGTACATAATGTTCGCCTCATGTCCCACAGCCTCATCACACCGCCTCTCTATTCATCTCTCTTTCCGCCTAACAGAACAAAACAAATAATTCCCAATGTAAAATTTCGTTGTAGGTGGTACAGGGAAATAGATAGAACCTATGGTACAGCTATATATACAATGCAAACACGTTTCTAACGTTTTTCGCGTTTTGCCCCTTTGTAAAGTATATGTCATATTCAGGGGGGAGCAAAGAAGCCTCCCCCTGGAAAGGAATAATAATGTCCGCTGCCGTCAATACATACTATCGTTCATTCATCATCGTGTTCCCCGTCCACTCCGCCCCGTTCTATGGCTGTAGGGGTTAAGCATCAAACCAGCTTCAAAGTCGTGAAGTGACGCAGATTGGCTAGAGTTGTGTCGGGCCTGCCGAGGTAGACTGGGCAAAGGAGCTTCATAATTGGCGTGATTGACGTAAGGATTGTTCGCGTTCGAGCGATAGGGTGTTCGTGGACTGCGATTCGTTTCTTGCATCTGCGTTCGCGTAGAGTTGCTTCTCCTGCTTTCACGGGTAGCCTTGCGCTGTGGTTTCTCCGTGTACGTCGTAGCTGTGGTGGTCGGCAAGAGTCCGGACATGGAAGTTTGTTTCCCGTGTCCTCCGGATTGTTTGCCGCTGTTCTTGAAACCGTAGGTGTTGAACCAAGCGCAGGAGGTCACTGGGCCATGCCACATGTGCTCATCTCCGTTCCTGTGTCTCCGTAAAGCGAGGACCAAGAGCACAAGACAAGAGGCAAGCACTGTTCAAATACGTAAGGAAACCAGGGTTGGGTCGGCGTGCCGGAGAGACCTACCGAGGATGGCATTGATCAAGGAAAACGAGGTGAGGACTCTGTACATCGCTTGGAACTGATCTGTGTGGACTATGTATGGTCAGCATGCGGGAGCTCTGGAGAGTCGCGATCCGATGCTCACAGTTTGCAATCTCGTCTTCCAATGGCACCGCACTATCCTCCAAAGCGAAGCACTCCACATCGGCATCCTGGGATTCTGAGGTGGTGAGATACACCCCAAGAACTGTGTGGTCAAGTACATGAGTAAAAGCTCACACTGAAAGGAGTAGAGACCACTCACCAAGCCAGAACACCCCTGCCAACCCCAAACTTGCCAACTCTATCCGGGTGGATATCGGATTACGCTCACGCAAGAGTGCGCTGAACAAAACCCTTTCAAGCAGAAAGTCAGGACCAATGCCACAAGCGTCGGCTAGACGATACACTCACAGAATCATGAATATAAATAGACTTGCGGTGCATACGAAAATTGCAAAGGGCACGAAACGAGCTGGGGAGTAAGGGTGATTAGTATTGAATACAACGGATGGAGGGAATTGGAATAGCCGCTCACTGAGGTCAGACGCTGCCAATACACTCTGGAAATGCCCAGCCATGGCCAGGCAGATGACCGTGAATAGGAGCACTGAGCCTGAAGAAAACCATTGGTGAATCCTGGCAAGCGAAGTCGGGTGCAGAGGCGACACACCATAGATGGAGGCTCGAATCGTGTTGAAGAGCGAAGGCATGCGGGATCTCGAGGAAGGGTTGGGTTGATTCCTCGAGCTGAAAGGTGTGTGGGCCATGATAAAGCGTCGTTGTAATTAAGAACACGAGGTGAACATGAACCTTGGGAGGCCGGGAATGCGCCCTTTCAAGGGGGAATCGTGAGATATCGTTGACCAGACCGAGTTTAGAGCTGATTGTTTGATATCCTCGAGGCGGGCAATGGGGAGACGGAGACACCTGGTTGCCGCAAGGCAAGGCGCACTGGTTAAAGGGCCTCACGCCCCGTAAATTTGCAAACAGAGCACACGCTAAGTTCGCTCAATGTTCGACCGACGGGGTTATTCTGCCTCGAGGCAATTATGCACAGCCATCGCCCCTCACAATACTCCAAAAGTCGGATCATCGGCCTCTTTCACCCTCGTCCCTTCATGTTCATCTCTTCATTGTTCAACCTCTGTATTCATTCTTACTCATACTAGTAGATACTACAAGTCAGGCAGCCTCATCGCGCAACGTTCTGCCCACCTGATGGTAAAATTCGAGGCATTCTGGGTTCGACAGGGTGGCGGGATTCACGATAGATAGTGGAGCCCCATTGATAATCTCCACGCGAAAATCAGCACCGGTGCGACCGCGGACACCCCAGAGTGACTAGCTTACCTTCTTCACTAAAACCTCCACACGTTTTCCATTGAGGGTGTAAGGAATGTCCAGAACCTCGATAATCTGGCAAATGGCGGGCGCAAAGGGGTTAAAGATGGGTGGAAGGGAGCGATAGCACAGGGACCTGCCTTTGCAGGGACATGTCGGGGGCTGCGTCGGGCTCTTATCGTGGTCTTAATTTTGGACTCAAAGTCCGAACTAAAGTGCTGTCCATCCCGGAGCTTGACGAAGAGGATGACCCGCTCATCCATGCCATTATCGATCTTCTGCCCAACGGCGAGGTAGTCGGTCAACGAAGGATCGCTATCCGGCCCTGTGAAAAGATCCAAGACATCATAAATCTCCGCCGAGCCAAAGCGGATGCCACCGGGGTTTCTGGGAACGAAAAGGAGGGTCAACTGGAGTAAATGGAGGATACGGTAGAATGGTCACTCACAATACACCATCGGATCGACCCAGCATAATCAACCCTCCTCCATTGCCCGCTCTCGAACGTGTGATGATAATGTGGTCACCATGATCTGGAGCAAGGTTTTTGGGGTTCTGTGATTAAGAAGTAAACTCAGCACTTACACCAAACGTCTTTGAATTCTGAGAAGTATGACTCGAAGAACCGAGTCGCAGCTGATTTCACTGCTTCTTCCGTTCCATGACCGGGAAGTGGCCAGAAACCCAGGGGCATGCATGGGAATGGCTTCGTGCATACGAGTTCACCTGGTTCATCAGGTGGATTGAGGGTTCCAGTAGGAGAATAGCTTTCGACGGCCATCCCCAGCATGCGGCATTGGATCTCCCCCCTGTAAACAGGGAGGGCCGAGCACATCCCGGCGAATAGAGAGCAGATGTCCGTTCCACCTAAAAAGTGAATTAGCGTTGGAACGTATATTTGACACGCCAGCCACGTTACCGGTAATAGAACCAAGAAGGACGCGATCGCTAATGTGCTTGTAGACATAGTCGAAAAGAGGGGGTGCCAAGGGGGAACCCGTCGAGTAAATGTGCCGAACTGTCTTCAGGTTATGGACTTCTGCAGGACGATATTTCTTCTGCATCCGTTTTTAAGTTTCCCTGTAAACTCGGACTATCATCTGAAAAACGCATACCGAGAGCTGGTCCAGGTACTTTGCACTGGTTCCGAAGATTGTGATACCCAGGTCGTCGACCATCCTCCACAGAAGGCCAGGATCTTTGAGGGGACTTCCATCGTACAAAACGAGGGTGCATCCGAGGCTAAGTCCGCTAACAAGGAAGTTCCACATCATCCATCCCCTACCATGCCGAGTCAATTAAAATGATATGCACGGGTCTGCTGCACTTACGTCGTTGTGTAATAGAAGAAGACATCGTCTGCATTCAAGTCGGCGCAGATAGAAAATTCCTTCTTTGCCTGGAGGAGCATCCCCCCTGCTCGGTGGACAATCGGCCTATTAGGAAGTCGAGCTGTGAATTCCAAATGAAATGGACTTGGCATTCTGGAACGCACTTTGGTCTTCCAGTGGTTCCGCTGCTGAAGAGTATCCACAGAGGCCAATCAAAGTTCTGACGTCGCCACTCTATTTCCCCGTCCGCAGTGCGTCCTAGCTTGTGATCTTCGCCACTAGATATGAAGGAGGCCCAACTGATCCAGTCCCCGTTCCATCCATCTCGCGAGTGTGGCCGGAATGGTGGCTCGATGACGACAACTTTCGGAGCCAGATCGACTTTCTTAGATAGACCATCGAGAAGTGCAGACACTTTGGGAAGATGTTGGTGGATTTTGCCGTTGTACCTATGTATTCAATAGAAAGGGGTTGAGCGTCTAGACGGGAGAAGACGATCAAGAAAGGATTGAGGCCTTACACAACAGCGTTTACGGCAAATAGAAATTTCGGCTTTACTTGTTCCAACCTGCGGTATGTCAATGCGGCGGTCAGATGGTGCGGGGGTGCCGATCATGGACATCGCACATGCCTTTCTAGGACGCCTTCTGCCCCAAAGTCTGCGGCGGCGCTCACCCAAATGCCACCCAGGGCGGTAGTGGCAAGGCAAGCGACCACGTTTTCCTGCAGAGAGGCATTTAAAAGGAGCTCATATGATGTCAATGGCGTTGCCAGCGCTTACGATGCAATTAGAAGCGTAAGATGCGACCCGGTCACCTGGCTTGAGGCCGTAATGGAGCAAAGCGGAGACTGCGCTGGCTACGAGCGTGTAGAGCTCTGCGTAGGTGCACCTACGATAATCTGGGAGAGCTGCACCATCCTCTATCGGTTCGGCTGCGCGATGAAGGGGTTCCTATCACTGTTTCTCAAGAAGATGAAGACGAAAGCGACCGACTTGCTTCGATAAGAGCCACTTTATCGTCGGATCGACATTGCAACATGTTCTCGGCCCAGTTGAGGGACGCATCAGGGAACCTGGGAAGACATTGGCCAAGCAATGCGGGGAAACAAGGGTAGATGCTAACCAAACAGGGTTATGTGAGGGGAGGGCAGTGGCATCGACGACGGAGGACCCTTTGTGGCCGACAACCTTTGTCTCGTCCCAGATGATGCTCCAAAAGTCGTCTATGTTGGTTGTGGACCATTTCCAGAGATCGTGGTAGGAAGAAAGGTTTTGAGCAAAGGTGGTATTAACGCGTGCGATGAGTCGGAGTGTAGCAGAAATTTCGGGGTTGGCTGGAGCCCAGAGGGGAGAATCGTCGACCGACATCTGACAACGTGAAAGAACTCTGGAAAGCAAGTGGCGCCGAAAGAAAACCGAAAAGAAAAAGGGAAAATCGGGACAATTGACCCGGGGAAGATAAGTAGGATAATGAACCAATCACATTCGCGGATTTGTGGCTTATCGCGGCTGCAGGTGCGCCGCGTGACCGTTCGCACGTTCATCCATTTGGGATCATTGTGCCCGCGGTTCTTGGCACTCTTGAATCCTTTAAACCGCGATCCACGTCAATCGTTTTCTTCGTCCTCTCTCGCCTCCCGCCTCTGTCTTTCTCTCTCTCACTCACTTACACACACACACATTCGATGATTGACAGACTCCTGGCCCCAGGGACACACGAAGCTAATGCCCACAACCATTTTGTGTCAGTCATCCTGCTTTGATCGTCACATTAGCCGGTCTTGACGCGTTTCTACCTTTTCAGCGAAAATTGGTTCAATTGGCACACAGACCACCCCTCCATGGACGAAGCCCTCCTCTCGGGCTGCGCTTCCTACAGGGCTTTTGAACGTTACCTCTCCGGTCAGGACCTCTTCCTCCTGCCCCGCTCAAAAGTCGAGCTCGAGAGCATACTGTGCGTACAGCTTGTCCTTCCGAGTCACAAAACCCCCGTCTCACATTTCAATCCAGCCGTCGCTACGCTTATGATGCCATCCACAACGCCATAGCCCAGTCTCGCTCTGCCCTCCAGACAGGCGGATACTCAAGGGTATGTCATCCACACCATTCCCTCTAAAATTTGCAACTGACTCATCATTCCGCTCAGATCTGCTATCAGGCCGAAAAATCAATTCGTGAGGTCTTGAAAAACGATACCAACGTCCAAGTCCTTCTCGCTCTCCATCGTCCTAGCAGTGGCCCTGTCGTCGCCAGTGAGACCAACACACCTCTCCCCACCGCGGGCACCGCCATCGCTGCCGTCTGAAACAAGGGGTATCAATGAAAGAACAACAAATCAGTGTACTTTTTCCCTCCCTCCCATAATTTATATTCCCTATTCCATCCTCCATTCGTGTATATTGTTTTCTTGTTGTATCGTTTGCATCCACATCATCCTGTACTATTAGCTGCATTATCCTACTATCATGACATGTAATGTGCATCAGCACTATGAGCCCTGTAATTCGCTTTACGTTCTTGGAATGTATTGGCTGTTACAACTGAAATAGATTATCATCTTGTGGCCATACATTCCTGCTACTTATAAACGTGCGATCTATTGTTAGAACATTGTCTCACCCCATGCAGGGCGTCTGAACCAGCAGAAAATGGCAGGAGCAACCTTAGAATGCATGCGAAGATATTGAAAACCTTTTGAAGGTGTATCTAAAAGCAAACGTGTCAGCAATAGACCCAATCGGCAAGATGATTGCAGCAACAGTACAGACCCAAGAAATGCAAGATCCTTGTCCGCGGACGAAGCATCCTGGGGAATATCGTCCGTGACTTGGTCGATTTCGTCCGTTGGGAAATATGATGTGTCGGTGATCGAGCTTAGCCGAGGAACGAACGGCGCGTCTATCTGTCGAATGGTAGCCCAGTCCACACCATAGAAGAATGGATGTCGCTTGATTTGGTCCACATTTAGCCTCTGGTCAGCAGAGGTGATCATCCTGAGGGGTGCAGGGTAATTTAGTTATCAGCACCTGTATCCGGTGTAAGTGGACCAGAGCGAGTCTACCTTTGTATTAGATCCAATGCCTCCGCGCTCAGATGAATATCGCTCGGGAAAGAAAGGCAATGGCGCCAATGAATGATCTTCTGATATGTCTCGTGGGTGGATTCGGAGCAGAATGGAGGGTATCCCACCAAACACTCGAACATGATAGCACCCAGTGACCACCAGTCACACTCCTTTCCATATCCCTTTTGGAGGAAGATTTCTGGAGCGATGTAATCGGGAGTACCGACAGTGGAGTAGGCCTAACCCAGAATGTGAGTACGATAATTATTCTCCCTCCAGTGGAAAAAGTTCTTGCTTACAAGTTTCCGTCGATTAGCTTTCCATGTTGCAATATCTTGATTACTGATAGTGAGGTTGATGGAATTTACCATGACGCTGTTCCTCGACGACTGAGGTGTATTATTCGACGAGTTTTTGGCCGATTCTAACAAGCGTTGGTAATAACTCGAATCATGCTGCTTGTGGAAACCAGTGGAAAGACCAAAGTCGCTCAGCTTGATATGTCCGTCTTTGTCGCTAATGTTACCATATAGGTCAGTAATCCAGTCACAATCCCAAATAAGATAGAAGATGGAGACACCCACATCAGAATGTTATCCGGTTTGATGTCTCGATGGATGAATCCCATTCGATGGACAGCTTCAATGGCGAGAACGCACTCTGCCATGTAGAATCGCGTAACATCCTCGGAGAACGTGTCGTACTTGATTAGCATGGTCATCAGATCCCCGCCCGGCAGGAATTCCATGACCAGGTATAGATACGTCGGGTCCTGGAAGGAATAGAAGAGCGAGACCACCCATGGAGAGTCGGATTCGGCAAGTACATCGCGCTCAGCGCGGACGTGTGCGAGCTAATAACAACAATGAGCCACCTCCTGAGGTAGAGAAAGTTTCTGTACCAACCTGATCCTTCTTCAACATTTCATTCTTCCTCAACAGCTTCATGGCATATATCTTCCCTGTATCCGTCTTCTGGACTAACCGTACCTGGTAGTACCTGAGCACGCAATTCAATTCAATGCAGGATGTGCGCTACATACCTCTCCAAAAGCTCCCTTCCCGATGACCTTGACAGTCCTAAAGTCATTCAAGCCAATTTTGGTCCTCCTAAGTCGCAGGAACGTGGATTCCTTCTTGCCAAGCTGTTGTAACTGCCGATTCTTTCTTGAATCAGAGATTAGGGTGTCCTCTTGGAGCCTGCGTTCAAGTTCTACACGTCTAGGGAGAAGATTTCAATCAGGGGTCAGTTCTTCAATGCGAAAGGAACCCCAGCACGCACCGTGCATTTCGTTCGACTGCCGATTCGACCGCTACTTTGTAGTAGTTCTCCAGCTTCAGTTGGGCGCTCTTGGCTCTTATCTGCGATTCTTCAGAGAAGCATGTTGAAGGATTTCTGTCAAAATACACGTCTGAAGGGGGCTGTTCAGAGTGGCGTTTCAGTACGATTGTTGGTGCGAAACTCACAATCCGGTGATTTGGCGGCTCCTTGTGCTGTTGCCGCAGGACTGGGACCAGAGGGCTGCCGGGATTGGTTTATGTTGACTCTGGACGAGGTCTTGCGGATGTTTTGGGTGTTCAGCCCCTGCATATTGTGTGTGCGTGGTAAGAGGTCAAAAAAACGGAGGATATATGTGAGCGGGTTGGATTGGAAAGCTAGTGGAATGAGAGAACCGTTCTGATCATCATTTGATCTTGCTTGGCCTCATCCAATTGCCGTGGCCTCTGAGTCTTCTGCACAAACGACGAGGGAAAACACGTTCTAAACCCAAACCTGAAAATACATTCTCTTTATTCTGAAAGCTTTACGACAATTCACTCGTCCAAATTGATAGCCTTTCCAAACTTTGCGTACAGCAGCACTTTCAGCTCCTTCATCTTCGTCTCACATTCATCAGCCTGTGTTGAAAGTGCTTGTACTTGCTCGTCGATCTTGGCTTGATCCTGTTCAAGGCGTTTGAGGGCTCGTGATTGGCGCATGTGGATGAAGGTATCGCCAATTTTATATCTGTGCACCGGGTTCAGTGTTCCAACCATGTAAAACGAGATCGAATATCAATACAGGACAGGTTCATCTTCGTCAGCTAGTTCGAGTTCTGGAGACAAGTCGTCGAGAGCTTCTTTCTCTTGCTGCAGACACAGACACAAGATATGAGCATGCACAATTCTGCCGGCTCTTGGAAGACCTACTTTGAACACCTCCAGCTTCTGTTCGATTAATTTGATTCGTGCATTCAACTTGGAAAACGTGTTTATTCGCTGTTGGTCCTCTAACCACAGCAAGAAGAGCGGGTGAATAGATGTTTACCAAGTCGCGATCGAGTCAACGACGTACCCCAGGTCACCTCAGCAGCATCGTCTTTCTCTTCATCGTGGTCGAGCTATCCTAGATCCATGAACATTGGCCTTCCTCCGGTTCGGTAGTATATTTGACTTTACCATACGCATTGTGGCGGAAGATGGTGGTGGTGAGAGGGAAAGAGATGGTGATCACATACAATCCCGGAGATCATCAAATTCGGTCCGTCGGCGCTTGTTCGTGACAGCAGTGTGTGTCGCGGCGACTCGCACTGACCTCCAGCGCCACCTGTTGGTCGCTTTGCAGCACGGGTTCCTTTGTTTTCATCCATTCATTCAACCGATATCCGACCGTGTCATTCATCGACGCATTGGAACACAGCAAGACTACTGTATCTACTGACAATCATCATTAAGTCGAGGGACCCGCCCCCTTTCTTGTCGCCTTTTGGGCGCGCGGTGCCGACGTCGTCACCTCTTCAGATGCTGTAAATCTCCGCACAAGAGTGCTACTCGCATGTGCAACCTTCAGGGTACCTCCTACAATCCCTTTGCCCGCTTGGTGGAATCCGAAGATCAGGAACTGCAGGCTCATGAGGATCCCTACCAAGAAGCACACTACGATGACACCTCTAGGCCACACCTCAAAGGCCACGAGCGCGAGGAAGGCCATAAGGCCCATGGCGCTTGCGACCATGCAGAGGGTTGGCACGCGCGCCGAGAGGGAGAAGAATGTATAAGAACCGTATACATCCAGAGCGCGGGCGCGGAACAGGGAAATGGGCGAGAATGAGTAACGAAGAATGAAGTACGCCGTGGCTGCTATACCGAGGCCAGTGAAGATGGAAGAGCAAGCAATGGACTGGAGTGCAGTTTCTGTTAAAGGGATGGTTGAGTCGGGAGAGATCGACAGGACGGCAGTGTTCACTGCGGCAAGTCCAGCCAGCTGCGAAGCAAGTATAAGACGAGAGGAACAGTGTTGGATGGGGGAGTAAGTACTCACAAGGGTGCCAATGAATGTCCATTCCATTCGCATCCGCTGGAAGATCAGCTCAAAATCAGAGTCCGTTGTTGCGTCCCGGAGTTCGAGGTACATAGTGAACATGGCGAGGAATCGTTCCCACCACCTCACCCGGCTATCGCGTTGCTCCGAAAGTCCATCTATCCTCTCTGTATCCACGGGAACGTCGGGTTTGCGTGGAACGATATGCTGGGGAAGCAAGGACGCCGCGAGCCAACGGGACACAGGGTTGTCTACTAATGTGATGCTTCCATCCCTGAGGTTTGGGAGTGGAATGCCATCCTCAGTCCGCGAATAGCTATCGAAACAAGAATCCAACGGACAGTCGCGAATAGCTTCCTCAAATGTTGAAAGGAGCTTCTCGTTAAGATGAGATGGCCCAGCTTCGCCCCACGATCCGACACTGGCAATATCAGATTCATCGCCACTCGAACAAGTTGTCGTATGGTCGTAGTCCACGTCGGAGAAGACAATATACCTCATCTGAGAATGTTTCTTGCCAGCCCTCTTCCAACGTCGTCGCAGCTCAGCGGGTGGCGAGCTTGCGGTTTCTTGGGGTAGATCTGTTTTTTGTGCATCCAAGGAAACGGCTGGGAAAGACAGGGTTAGCCTCTCAATTCAAACTGTAAAGACTATTGGAACCTACAAGCATTGTCATCATCAGAGTCAACATACGCGCGCGATCTGTCTGATGATGCGGCAGGTGTTGAGACTGATTCAAGTGTCACTTGTTCAGAGATGGCGGCAGCGGGTTCCAACTGACCGCCTGGGATGTCGGGCGGGATGACCTTTAACGTCAAAGATGCACCATTTTGAGGGCGGCCTTTGCTCGACGGCGTGCTAGTGCGCGTGCTACATGTTTGACACGTCAATTTTACTTCCGCATGTTGTGCTGCGACGAACAAAGTGTGTAACTCTCCGGACAAGGACATGGGAACCAACGATACGCACCATGGGATTTGGATCCTTTTACAGTGGTACTCTCCTTCGTCTTCTGCAACAGGTAGTCCAGGGTATGTGTAGCCGTCGCCACCAAACGCCGTTTCTTTCCTCTCTTCTTACTCTGGGTTCCCTGCCATATCTTAATCTCGACCATTGAACTCCTCTGGACATCATGACTAGAAGGTCGTTTGGGTAATGCTCCGAGGTGCGCTGGGTGCACAATGATAACACAGCGACGCACCATATAAAGCCAGACTTCAAGTTCGGGTTCTGACCGTCCACACCTAGAATTGTCTCGTTGTGGATGTGGTTATCGACCTCGACGGTGACAATGGGGCGCCAAGATTTGTCCGGGACTATGAAGCGGAGGCCTTGGACACGGACGACTGGTTCAAGGGGGCGTCATGGTATAAGGATTACGAGCGATTGGGAGCAGCAGTGTAAGTACCTGTGAGTTGCCATGGCCTGGTGAGACCGTCAGTGACAGCAGAACGTGTATTGAATGAGAAGTGGGGTGCTCACTTGGTGGACATACTGCTCAGTAGAAAAGCAAACGGAGAAACGCAGGGAGGGAAAGTGAGTGTGTCAAGGATACCATTCTGCGCCGTATATAAGTCAAGGTAATTGATTCCACTGTACATCCATCAAACTGGCTGTACGTTGCTGTGCGTGAACACCGGAGTTCTTTTAATCAATTGGCCAGCATCAGGATGATAAATTTGCACATGTGCAGCGATCTTAAGGGGAGGTTTGGCGATCATTGGTATTTGAAGCTTAATTTTCCATGGCCCCGACAACTGGCGGGGTAGTAAATGACGTAGCAGCACTGTCCAAGTCCCGAGTTATTCGTACAGCCCAATGGCATGACACGATCGTAGATAGTACAAGGATAAAGTTACATTTTGTTTTGAAGGACAAAACAGAGCTTCTAGAGCTTGACCTCATTGCAACCGTGTTTCCAGAAAGTGAAGTAGGCTAGAAGGGGTTGTCATTAAGGCACCAAAACATAGACCGGTAAGAACTCACGGGTGACACCGTCCTCCTAGGAAATGGGGAACAAGCGAGTTCGCGTTTAGTAAAAAAAACACCACCGGACAAGGGATGGGTGACATACTCGGTAGTTCAGCAAAGCAACCATTCCATCAGGGTTCATGCTCTCGCTCGTGTACTTTAAGGTTTATTAGTGTTGATCAAAATCTCAGGATAGAAAGACGCACGAATTCGTAGTCCTTCAAGTTGCTCAGGATTTTCTTAGCAAAGGGCTGGGCTCCCTTCTCGAATTCATCTTTCTGATTTTCGGGAAGCTTATCCTTGACCGCCTTCAAGTAACTCTGCCAAAAGCGGTAAATGAGGGCCTTTCATCAATCTGAAAAAAGCATACCTTAAGGTGTACAAGGTAGCTCTTCTTATCGAACGAGGTTTGCTGGAGGCGGAAGGAGTGGACAACGTTGTTGACCGTCTTGGCTCCATCCTCAAGGGCCTCTTGCTGCTCCTCAGCGGAGGGGTTGGCGCCTGATGAGAAGCGATCTGAGTAACTGTGTAAACAACGCAGATATAGAAGCGTACCGATGTCGACATCGACGCCGTCCTTAACGACGATCGTAGCACATTCGACCTCGTAGGCAATATCATCGACGAGCTTCCTGTTAATTAAGGGCAATGAGGGCCGATGGAAGGGTCATGGAAGGGTGGGACGCACATGGGGAAGGCATCGGAGAAGAGCTCATCATCGGTAATGATATCTTTGTAGAGCAGCATGTTGGGCGTCGAGAGTGAAGTAGGATTACCTGAAGAAATTGGATTCACCTTGACCAAAGTAGAAAACTGTTTTGTCGCTGATCAGATCAGTCTTATCGGCTATCACCGACAAGCAAGATCACTCGTTCACTTGGCATATTTCCCTTTTCCACAAAACCATGGACTATCAGCCAGTCGCCGTCAAGAAACATCTTAAACCAGCCGCATCCAAGCACTCTCCAGAATCCAGGCATTGGCGCCAATTTAAACACCCAGTCTTTGTCAAGGAATATGCTCCAATCACCTCCATACATTTCTCTCCCTCGAAACCACATCGATATGCCGTGACCGCCGCCACCAGAGTTCAAATTTACGCGCCCAGAACCCAGAAAATCACAAAAACTATTTCTCGTTTCAAGGACGTTGCGAGAAGTGGAAACATTCGTGCGGATGGGAAACTGGTGGTTGCAGGTGATGATAGCGGCCTCATTCAGGTATGCGCTGCGTCTTAACCAGGTATAATTTCCAAACTCATATCGCCTAGATATTCGACATCAACTCAAGAGCTATCCTCCGCACGCTGGACTCGCACAAGCAGCCCGTTCATGTCACTAAATTCTCCCCTCTTGAATCCACCCGCGTCCTCTCATGTTCAGATGACAACACTGTCAAGTTCTGGGACCTCACTTCACAAACGGCAATTTCGACGTTCGACGAACATACCGACTATGTTCGCACAGGACAGGTCTCAACGTCCAACCCACATCTTATCCTTACCGGTTCATATGATGGCACAGCTCGACTTTTTGATTCGCGGACAGGACAGTCCGAGATGGTAATGGGGGAAAGCATCACAGCCAACCTCAAGGCACCGGTAGAACAAGTGCTCATGTTCCCTTCTGGTACTGTCGCTGTTTCTTCTGCAGGCCCTATTCTTCGAGTATGGGACTTGGTTGCTGGAGGCCGGTGTATAAAGGCCATGTCAAACCATCAGAAAACCGTAACAGCTCTCGCCCTCAATCCTTCTGCTAACCGCCTGCTCAGCGGAAGTCTGGACCACATGCTCAAGGTGTACGACGTCTCGGACTATAGGGTTGTGCACACCATGCGGTACCCCGCGCCATTACTTTGTCTAGCCATTTCGGTAAGCACCTGAATCTCAGGAGCAGTAGTTTTGTTGCTAACATTTCATAGCCGGACGATTCTCACATCGTTGGTGGGATGTCGGATGGAACGCTGTCCATTCGAAGAAGACAGAAAAAGGGCAAGGAAATTGCCACATTCGGTCCTGAATCTCTTGACTTGATGTACCTCGGCGAAGGCGTTACTAAGAGCAAAGCGAAATCAAAGGCGTTGAAGGATGTTGATGAACTCCGTGTGAGCGAGAGTCGTCGACAGAAGCGCCTGAAAAACTATGACAAGTACCTTAAAAACTTCAAGTACTCTGCGGCTTTGGATTCTGTTCTACGAAAAGTACGGTTCTCCGCGTTTTGTACCCGCCCAGTGTTTAACAGCTTTCCAGAATGTCCCGCCAGCAACAGTGTTCTCTCTTATCCAGGAATTGATTCACCGGGACGGCCTCAAGGTTGCATTAGCAGGGCGAGACGATGTTCTTTTGGAACCTGTGCTGCAACTTTTGATAAAACATGTCGCCGATCCGCGGTTTGGAAATACTGTTTGTTATGTGGCTGGCATAGTGCTCGGTGAGTGGATATTGTACTGCTATGTTATCCCGCTAAGTCGTATTTGGCAGACATGTACCGACCGGTTATTGGCCAATCTCCCTTGATCGACTCACTATTCCTGAGGTTAAGGAAGAAGTTGGCAATGGAACTACGATTTCAGAAGGAGCTTCTCAAGGCCAAGGGTGCTATCAGCATGATCCTGACATCTGCCTTAGGCAATCCAGAACCTGTCGATTCGGCAAGGGCTGCATAGCTACCTACGGTACCGTTACCATTGTATCGCCCACTGTTCATTGTTGATTTGATGCAGGTGATAGTGCTTTTATGAGGTTTTCAAGGATTTCCTTCTGAGAAGGCATGTACCCAGAATCGTCTACGTCCGGTGGGACCTCGTCAACATTGTCGTGGAAGATTCGCAAAGTGGCCACAATATCTCCGAGTGATTGATTCTTGCGGCTAAGCATCCGGACGACGTGTGCTTGGATCTACAGAGGCGATAAGCATTATATGCTTGAAGCTGGGACGTAAACCATACCCCGTCATCTTCCATCACAATCCAAGCCAAAATATAGTCCACCATCTTCAGCGTGAAAAGGCCGCCATCCAAACGCCTGAGATATATGACATCTTCGTCCGCGAGGATGTCATCGTCTTCATCTAGTTCCTGTTCCATAAAGATGAAGTGAGCAGCGAGCATTCCGCGGTTGGCATCGTTCGCACCTCCTTTTCCTGGGCAATATCCTTGTCTGTTTGCGACAGTCGCGACCGCGCGGCTTCACGAATGTCGAGAAGTTTGTCGACCTTTTCGTAGTTGTTTTCTACGAACTTGGCTAATAGTCGGATTCGATTTATAGATTCGGATTCCAGATTAGAAAGAAGAGACGATATGATGCCCAACATGTGGTTGACGTCTTCTGAATCGGGAAGGGCGGCTGTACTCTTCCCTTTCTTCGAGGCCTGTTGCTTCTTTTGAGCACAACACCTTTTCCGTCGACTATCCACCCACCTTGCCCATGAACGCAGCGAAAAGGGTCTTCAAACCGAGAGCATCGACAAAAGCGTTGCAGACGTGAACCCCTCGGGGACCTGACATTGCATGGTCGAGGGCTTTGATTGCTCGGGACCTAGACTGCAACTTTTCTCTATAGAGGAACTGGTGAACATCAAATGGTCAATTCGTGTTGGAGGGTGAACTGCGTACTTCATCATAAGAACCATAAGGTCGTGCCCTTCAGCCTCGAGGAATAGTTGCTTTATTGAAGGTTCTGCCAGAGCGGAACATAATGTAACGAACAGATTCTCCATGTATTCGGTTTCATCTGCATCTGCTGGTTCCCGACGTCTGTAGTGCTAAAGAGGAATTAGCGAATATCGTCGCAAGAAAGAATAGTACATACCGAGAGTAGCTTCAAAACAGTTTCCACTCCATCCTCCCTGCCAAATGCTAGCCGATTCGGTGTACTGTTCTGAAGCAGAATTGACAGAATTTCGGCCGAGTAACCTCGGTTTTCATCGTGTGTCTTGCCTTGAATTCGATTCAACAACCAAGGTAACAATTTTGTTTTCTCCACAAGTGTTGTCGCCAAGTCGGGGTTGAAACCAAGGATGTTCTCGAATACACCTGAAGGGGCACGTCAGTCGAAAGGCCTGGAAACATTGTAGAATGTGAGGTACCGAGGATGTGGAAGACTCCTTGTCTGTCAGACTCTTCTGCTTCATTAAGGCGAGGTAGGTTTTCCACCAGAAGATCCAACACTGAGAGATCAACCTACTTATATTAGATCACGTCATGTACGAGGGTTTGAGGACGTACCAATGACTCAATGAGTTCCTTCAGCGCCGTCTCTGACTCTTCGTCAGATTCGTCCGTCACGTCGTCATCAGTTAGTTCGTAAAGCAATTCGACCACGTCTATTACAATATCGACGTTCTCGTGGGTGAATAGCCCGACAAGCTGCGCGATAGTTCCAGAGCGTACGAGTTCCTTGTAAGCTAACGCTGGGGCTTGCGACAGTGGAAGGAGTGCTTTGATGGCACTGTCGAGATCGGCTTCCGAGTCGATGAACCTTGACGGGGTGTAAGTCAAGCCGGGCCATGTATTTGAGGGAACACATACTTGGTTGGGTCGTCAGGATATTTCGAACGCTGGTCTTGATTCTTGTTAATCGCCCGTTCAAGTCGGAGGAGGGATCGTCGGATGGCCGGTAGCGAAAGAGGGTCTTCCTGAGACGGGAATGAGTACACATAACTTGGAAGTTGCAGTCAAGTGAGATACACACTGGCTCAGCGCTATCACCGGCCTTGTCAAAAATGTTGAGGATTTCCTTTTGTTCAGAGGTGAGGCCTCCACCAAAGAAACGACCTTCGTCGTCTTCTTCCATGAAGTAGTCGGCGTCACCCCCAGGGGCAAAGTCGAAGGCGTCCTCTCCATCCTCGTCTGGAGCATCTTCAACTGTAACGCGTCGCTTCTGAGGTGCTTCAGAGACGTCTTGGACAGTTGTGGATGCAGGGGCTTCTACCCTTAATTTCTTGAGCAATTCTGGAGTTGGATTGTCTGGAAGCTTCCTTTTATTTGCAGAAGAGGCGAACCTTGGGACCTTGGGACAGGATCAAGAACACGTTGAAGAATCTGAATGATAGTTACTTGCCTTGAATATCTCGTCGACGTTCATCACGTTCGCCCAGCAGTTGGCACTTGGGATATGGAATGTGTTCAACTCGAGCGCCAAACTTGGTCGTCGCGCTCACAAGCTGAGGCGGAATTACCGAAAAAGGACCGTGGAAATGAGTCACGTGCCCCTCGCCCCTCGAAATGGGAGTTGCATCCTTGGCTTCATCCTTAACCAGACCGCAGACACACCTGCCGCTACCCTGGAGAATTCTCTCTGCTCTTTGGGCGAGCGAAATGTCCACTAATACCGCCTCAGAGGCTGGTCCTTCCTCGGGCTCCTCTGACTTTGAAAACAGAGTTGCACGCATTGCTGACCCTAATACCGGTACGCGACCACTTTCTGGGCGTCAAAAGTAGTAATTCTCAAGAGTCTATAGATCTCAAAACTAAACATGCTGTCGCTTTGGAGATAAAGGAGCTAATTGACACAACAAGGGACTCTGAATTTGGTCGAGTCCTCCCCTACCTAGTCCCGACCCTCATTGACCTACTTCGTTCTGGACAACCCTCATTCCAACGAGACACAACGGAATACCAGTTCAGGCGACTACTTCTCGACATCCTCAACAGAATACCGAGTGGGGAGGCCATTCGACCGCACATGCCTTCCGTCTTCCAATGCATGATTGCCATAGTTCGTCAAGACAATGAAGAGAACGGCGCCACAGCCTGCAAAACCATGGTCGACGTAGTTCGGTCCTATAGAATCGTAACAGAACAAGGCCTCGCCGACTTTATCGCTTTATTTCAAGAGTCATTCGCCAACATCAAAGGAATGGTCGAAGAATATCTTTCGGAAGACTCGACACAACTCGATCCCAACACCATTCTACCTGCGACACGCAGTTTGAAGGTTCTCGGGGAAATGGGAATGATTATGATTATCATGTCCCAAGTTCAACGCGCTATGGTATCCCCCTCTATACAAGGCACCATTGCACCGGCATTTGAAATGCTTGCCCAAGAATCAAGCGCCCAACACAAGGCACGAACCGACTTCGAGGCGATGGGCGGAATTTGGGCAGGGATGGCACCGACAATCAAAAATCCGACCATCTACAACGACCTTATTCAAGCGCAAATCAAGGTACGCAACTCTCAACTCGAGGTGGACAGATAGAGCATATTTCCTGACGCTGGGTTTAGATGCTTTCGTATCTCGCCTTTGTGATGCGCTACCTGAATGAAACTGAAGCTTCCTACGGAGAAACGTTGGTGTCCAGTGCCCTAAGAATCTTGCAAGATTGTCCTTCCAATGGAAATACGCTACGAAAGGTGTGTATACTTTCCTTAACAATATTCGCCTATCTAAAGCGACTGCCAGGAACTCATGGTCGTGTTCCGCCATCTTCTCGCCACACCCCATAGACGGGCTTTACTTGGCCACATCGACAAGCTACTTGACGAGAAGGTTCTTCTAGGAACCGGTCTGGCCAGCAAAGATTCTCTCAGGTGCGTGTGTCTGTCTTCTGGAGCCCTTCCCCAACTTAGAAATGAATAGGCCAATGGTGTATTCTGCGGTTGCAGACTTAATCCACAACGTCAAAAGCGACCTCACCTTCCCGCAAATCGTCCGCATTGTTCACGTATACTCAGCGCTCCTCTTCAACACCTCATTGGGCTTCAACCTCCACATCCTCTTTGCTAAAGTTATCTTTGGCCTCACTGACGCCATAGTAGCGAAGGAGGTGCCCCAGACAGCCGCCAAGTTGTTATCCTCCATGCTCGAAACCTGCCTGGAACGACTTGAAGGCTTATGCACGGTCCAGGCAGACGTGAGCCAGGCACTGGAACGAATACGGTCTGGCAGCCAGGAGGTGACGGTCGATACATTATTCATCGAAAAGTCAAGACCTGTCGGTGGTGCTTTGTATGCATTGGAGAAGCCAGAGGATGTGATGCTAGGTGCGTGGCCCATCTCTACGTCCACACCTGTCCAGCTTCCAAGATGGCTCCTTGTCCTTCGCACAGAATGTAGACAACTCTACCGCGCCCTGTTACACGGTTTGCGGGTCACCATTGTCTGCATGAAGAAGTGCGATGCTCCGGTACCCGATGGGAAATTGGTCTTTCGTTTGTTCGAGGGATGCGTCCGGTGCATGTCCTTGTATGACGCCGATCCTCGGGTCAATGAGCAGAACGATGTCATCGACTGGTTCGGCCATACGCTCCTCGAACTCAACTTGCACGTATTCCAAGAGGTTTGGACCCATAAGATGGGCTTCTTTTTCGAGCATGCGCAGAAGCGGATCGTCCTCCTCACCGTCTGCCAGTTCTTGTTCAATCGGGAGTCGACTACCTCTATCCTCTTGGGCATCGTTCTCAAATACCTTGTTGGACGCCTTCCATTACTGGGGGAATACGACGACATTACTGCGGCGGCCACCATCCGATTGTTCAAGATGGCGTTCAATGCAGTCACCACATACCCACATACCAACGAATCCATCCTCGCCTCCCACCTACCAAAGTTGCTGATGGACTGCTTCCCTTTGGCAGCAAAGGCTTCGAAACCAACACATTACTTCTACCTCCTTCGTGCTCTCTTCCGAGCGATAGGCGTAGGTGGCGGCCGGTTCGAATTACTTTACAGCGCAGTTCTACCCCTCCTCCCGGAGTTGCTGGAGAGTTTGAACCGGCAACTACTCGCTTCGGAGGGTCAAACAAGGGACATGATCGTCGAACTCTGTCTCACTGTTCCACTACGACTCACCCACCTACTTCCCCATCTATCCTACCTCATGCAACCTCTTGCTCTTGCCTTGCGCGGGGGCTTCGAGCTTGCTTCCCAAGGCCTTAGAACTTTGGAATTGTGCATCGACAACTTGACTCCAGACTTTCTGGATCCGACTTTGAGCGTCGTCCTCCGGGAATTGATGGAGGCTCTTTTCAGCCACTTGAAGCCGGCACCACAAAGTCACCACCTCGCACACACGACCATTCGCATTCTCGGGAAGCTTGGTGGAAGGAACCGCCGCCTTCTATTCAAGGAGCCCGCCTTGATCTACCATCACCCATCGGAGCCGGCGAAAATGGTGATCTCGTTCAACGGCAATGAGGAGAAGATCCTTTTGGGACCCATCTGCAAACTAGCTATTACCACCTTGGCCAAATCGCCACCGGCGGACCAGATGCATGCCTACAGCTTCCTAGAGAACTGTGCATCGTTATTTCTGTACGAGGTACTGCATTCATCATCTTTTCCATTGTCTATTGATTAACCTTGTCTGGTAGGGTATCAAGGGACGCAACGTCGAGGACTTCTTTGTCCGGACGGTTGAAGGAATATTCGACAGCATTTACATTCCTACCATCCAGAATGAAGCTGAGAGCTATTTGCGAAAGCTCGCCTCGACGGTTTTCGAGAATGAGATCCGCCGCAACCAGTCTCGCGAAGTCGGGGCGAGGCCCACTCCAAGTCCAGTACTCAACAGCTTCTTGGAGGCAATTCCTCACGGACTCGCACGAGAGCAACCGGCGCAATGCGAGCGAGCGAAAGAGGTAGTGGCCATCCTCATCAACGATCTCATAGAGATGCGGACCCGCCCCAACATTGGGCTTCAAGGCATCTTCCCCCTCCTTCATTCCCTTGCCAACCGGTTCACAGGGCTCTGCCTTGACGAATCATGGATCCGCAAAGCCGCTGGTTGCAACGGAATCAAGCTCATGCTCAACGCGCCCGTTGTTGCCCAGAAATGGGTATCCGATCGGGAAATCGAACTCGTTCGAAACCTCATGCACGCCTTGAAGGACCTTCCATACGACCTTCCCCGCGATGTTGAAGATGTTATTGAAACACTCCTCGACGTGCTGCGACTCAGCAACTCTAGTCTGGACTTCACAGGCGACGGTGCAGCTCATGCTCGCAACAAGATCGTCCACCTCGCTGGCATGTTCTTCCCAGAATTCCAGAGTTCGAACAGAATCATCCGCGATGCCGCCCAACGATGCATCAACTACATGGTCACATTGTCGGGTCGCACTCCAGGAGAACTCTTCTTACCTCACCGTGAACGGATGCTTGCTGGCGTATACACCAAACCCCTCCGCGCGTTGCCGTTCCTTAAGCAGATCGGGATCATGGAATCTATGCGGTACTGCCTGAAGCTCGAGCCTCAGGTGATTGACGCAAGCGAAGAACTGCTTCGGCTTTTGCATGAGGCGCTGGCGCTGGCGGATGCTGAAGATGTGCAGCTCGTTGGTCCGAGAACGACACGATCGAGTGCACTCGAAATCTTGAAGCTTCGGGAATCCTGCATCAAACTCCTCACTGCAGCCATGCCAATAACAGACTTCTTCGGAAAGATCCCACATACCCGCCAACGGTATGTCGCGTCTCCCTTCGATCTCATTCACCCTCTAATCAATTGTATAGTGTCACGAGTGTGTACTTCAAATCGCTCTATTCACCGTCCGCTGAGGTAAAGGAGGCTGCGCATACCGGCTTGCGAATGGTCCTCGCCCACCAAAACCGCCTGCCGAAAGAGCTCCTTCAGTCTGGATTGCGTCCAATCCTTATGAATCTCGCCGACCCGAAAAGGCTGACAGTGTCTGGCCTGGAAGGGCTTGCCCGGGTCCTTTCTCTTCTAAACAATTATTTCAAAGTCGAGATTGGTCACAAACTTTTGGAGCACTTCAGGGTGGTGGCAGACCCCCAGTCTCTCCAAGCCACAGCGCGGTTACCATTCTCCGAAACCGAAGGCGTCCCGAAACTAGTCCGCCTTGCCAACATCTTCCACCTATTACCGAGTGCCGCCAACGTTTTCCTCGACCCTCTCGTCAACCTTATTATTCAAACTGAAACACAAATGCACTTCTCAACCGTCAACCCGTTCTCAGAACCCCTGGCGAAATATTTGGACCGCTATCCAGTAGAGGGCATCGACTTCTTGGTACGGAATCTCCAGCTACCGCGTACGGTTCGCACTTTCCGAAGCGCCCTGCAGGCGAAAGTTTCCCCAAACCTGGAGCGGGAGTTGGTGTCAAGGACGCCTATCCTTGCTCCCAGATTGTCTGGCGGCGCGGACCAGAACCAGATGAGAGCAATTCTGGAAATAATAGACGACCTCATCACACTCGAACCAACATTCCTCTCCCAGCACGCTTATGTCACCGACCAGTTGGTAGCCGTGTGGAGGTCATTGGGTTTGACGCCAAATGACGGAAACGACAAAGCGGAAATCACCTATTGGCATTCAATCATCCAATCTTCCTTCATTAAAGCCATGAAACAGACTCCTCGAATTGACTTGCTCTTCGAGCTGATCGCCATCTACAGCCGCAATCTCGAAATTGACACGGTCAAGACCACCACCTTCCTCTACCAACATGTCGCTCTCAGCGAGGACATCATCTTCCGGCGCAATGTCCTCATGCGATTCCTTACCTGGTTCAACGACTCGTCGGTGCCCCTGGACACGAAGGGCTACTTTATCCGCTACGTGGTGACTCCAACACTCTTAGTCCAGGCAAACCGATCACCTACAAGCGACCGACTTATCAACCTCGACTTCATCTCTCAACTTCACCGCATCATTTGGTCACCGATCACAGAGAATGACGCATTCTTGGGGTCCGAGGAGTACTTCAAGATTGAAATTCTCAACCTCACGACAGTCCTGGTGCAGTATTACTCTGACTTACTCGACGATGTGAAAAAAGACATCATCCGCTGCGCTTGGGCTCCTATACAAAACAACGATGACGTTCTCATCCGGCAAATGGCCTTCCTCCTCCTGGCGCGATTCTTTTCGGTTTTCCCAAGCCCCCCTAAATTTGTCCTTCGAGCCTGGACGGACCTTTTGCGTTTGCCACACTCTGAAGGTCGTGCTTCGGTCCGATACGAAGCCCTCTCCATTCTTGCGCCGTCCTTGCCAAAGTCGGATGGCGATGATCCCGAGTTCCCTCAGTGGGCGAAAGCAACTCGACGCCTCTTGACTGAGGAAGGTGCCGGCCAAGCATTCGCCATCTACCACCTCATCGTCAAGCAACCCGACCTATTCTACCCCGTTCGCTCGTTATTCGTACCCCACATGACCAACTCCCTAAACAAACTCGGCATGTCACCATCCTCAACTACGGAATCACGACACCTCTCCCTGGACATCCTCCAGACTGTGTTTAATTGGGAGGAGCAAGCAGCTCGACAGGCGCAAGATGCGGGTGAGAATAAAGGTGGCATATGGCGGACCCCCCTTTCCCTTCGGGAGAATATGGTCAGCTATCTCATGCGCCTTGCGACTATTGCCCATGACCAGCCCACCAGAGGTATTTATGTCTCCCGAGCGCTGGGTTTGTTGCAAAATATTGTCGGTCCAAGCGGCTGGACGGACGTCACAGTTGGACTGCGATTCTTTTCCAGGGCTCTGGAGCAGGTAAGTGCTATCCTGCGTAATTTCGGACCTTGCTCACCTTCCCATCAGACTGAACTCAGCGATGCTACTCTGCTACAAGCGTTGTCTGCTGCTAAAGTACTCCATGTTGTCTCCAAGGAACAGCCCGATTCGTGGTATCTGAGCAATGCCGTTCTCCTCGAAAAACTCGTTCAGAAAGGGTTGCTTTATGATGACGCCAATCTGCAAGACGCCTTGTATCCCATTTTTGACAAGCTGGTTACGCTATTCCCCCTTCCTGAAGCTGCTCCCAGTGCAGGCGACACAGAGCATGCGGCATTCCATCAATATATTCATGATGCCCTTGGGGAGAACCTCCTCAATTCGCCGAGTTTGCGGGGGTCTCTCCTCATGCTCAAATCCGTCATCTCCGTCACCCCTGAAAGGTTGAACACTCTCTCAACTCCTCTCATGAAGCTATTGAGCAAGCTCGCAAAGGACCATATCCACTCCACTCCAAACACCCCAGCGTTTGACAGCAATGTCCGCCTCATCACCGCCATCCTCGACATTTCCCGCAACAATGTCACATTCCTCGGAGAGCAACGCCGCTGGCTCCTAACCGCACTCGTCATCCTTATCGAGAAATCGAAGAGTATCCCCCTGTGCAAATACATCCTCGAACTTTCGCGGACCTGGGCAATGAACCGACAGGATCCGTACCCGACGGCGAAGGAAAAGGCGAGCCTTCTCCAAAAGATGGCACACTTCGAAGGCCGAGGAGAGCCTTTATTCACCTCATATCTCGAACTCATCTATGATGTGTACACTGAACCAGCTCTTCGACGAAGCGACCTTACAACCCGCCTGGAAAATTCGTTCCTCATTGGTTGCCGGGCAAGGGATACAGCTCTACGCGAAAGGTTCATGGACCTTCTTGACGTTAGCGTGTCTAGATCAGTCTTCAATCGACTGACTTACGTCCTTGGCGTGCAGAACTGGGAAGCCCTCGCTGATCACAATTGGATTTACCTTGCATTGCATCTGATTCTGGGGGCAGTTGATCTGCAGCATTCCTCGGCCTACGATCGACGGTTGTCAGCGAACACGACGCAGCAAATTCAACGTCCGCTGGTACAAAACATCGTCCGTCCCATGCAGCGACTCCTCTTCCTCGACCCTCAAGTTGCACATGACACATGGGTATCTGGTACGTCCTTCATTGTCCGCCCATCGTTTGTTCTCGTTGAAATGATAATCCTTGTTAGTGTTCCCTGCGGTATGGTCGTCTCTCTCGCGCAGGGAGCAAGCCGATATCACAAACCACATGATCAACCTCTTGAGCAAGGACTATCACATCAAGCAATCGTCCTTGCGCCCCAACGTGGTTCAATCCTTACTAGCTGGCATCCATCGTTGCTCACCTCCAATGACCCTCCCTCCCCATCTCGTCAAATACCTTGCCAAAACCTTTGGGTGCTGGCACATCGGCCTCGAGATCTTAGGCGACGCTCTGGATTATCTCAAAGATGACGACCCCGCCCTTCGAGACTATGTCTATGACTCACTTGCGGAAATTTACGCTGAGCTCGCGGAAGAGGATATGTTCTACGGTCTGTGGCGCCGACGGTCTGTCATACCAGACACAAATGTCGGTTTGGCCTTCGAACAAGTAGGGATGTGGGAGCAGGCGTCCAGTGTATACGAAGCGGCGCAAACCAAGGTCAAGGCGGGCAACCTCCCCTTCAACGAACTCGAGTACTGCCTATGGGAGGATCATTGGGTGCTGGCAACAGAAAAACTACAGCATTGGGACATTCTATATGACTTTGCGAAGAGCGAAGGGAATCAGGAGTTGATGCTTGAGAGCGCTTGGCGCACGTTGGAGTGGGCAGGCCACAAGGAAGAGCTGGACGAGCAGATCGCCCAGTTACCCGACGTTGCCACCCCAAGGAGAAGGGTATTCGAAGCTTTCATTGCGCTACTGAAACAGCCAGCAGCTATCGACAAAAACGTCGACTTTACGCGGTTCCTGGAAGACGCGATGCAGCTTTCCCTTCGGAAGTGGGTCGGCCTACCGCAACATTTTTCCGTCGCGCACATCCCACTCCTGCAGCATTTCCAGCAGTTCGTCGAGCTTCAAGAAGCTGTGCAAATCTTTGGCTCTCTCTCTCAAACCAACGCCCAGAATCTAGAAAAGAAGTCTTCGGAGTTGAAGATGGTCCTTCAGGCCTGGCGCGAACGTCTACCAAACGTGTACGATGACATCAATATCTGGAGCGATCTGGTCGCTTGGAGGCAAAACGTCTTCCATTCTATAAATTTGGCATACGTCCCTCTGATCGAAAACCTTGCTCAATCCGCCCCCGGTGGAAACCAGAACACCAACACCTACGGTTACCGAGGCTACCACGAGACTGCTTGGATCATCAACCGTTTCGCTCATGTCGCTCGAAAACATGGATTGTTGGACGTCTGCTTCACCTATCTCAACAAGATCTATACCCTTCCCAACATCGAAATATCGGAGGCCTTCTTGAAGCTCAGGGAGCAGGCTCGATGTCATTATCAGAAGCCCAGCGACCTACAGATCGGCTTAGAAGTCATCAACAACACGAACCTCATGTTCTTCACAGCGGCCCAAAAAGCAGAGTTCCATACCTTGAAGGGCATGTTCTACGCAAGACTCGGGAGACTCGACGAGGCCAGCGCTGCTTTTGGTCAGGCTGTTCAGTTGGATATGACACAAGCAAAGGTCTGGGCTGAATGGGGCCGTTATAACGACCAGCGATTCAAGGAAAACCCCGCCGATCTCACGCTAGCAGCGAGCGCCGTTAGCTGCTACCTCCAGGCAGCGGGATTGTACAAGTGTGGGAAGAGTCGGCCACTCCTGATGCGCGTACTCTATCTCCTCAGTCTCGACAACGACGCTTTGATCATCGGTCGAAGCTTCGATGGCTACAAGGGAGACGCCGCATTCTGGTACTGGATCGCGCTTGTTCCACAACTCTGCGTCTCGCTGTCGCACAAGGAGAACAAGCCCGCGCGATATATTTTGCTCAACCTCGCCAAACATTTCCCTCAGGTAAGACCTTGATCGCTACTTACTGACCTATTGATTGCTCAAAAACCATTTAGGGTATCTTTTACCACCTCCGGACGACTCGCGAAGAGCTCCAGGTCGTCAAAAAGGCTATCGCGGCGAAGGCTGCGCAACAGCAGGCATTGGAGGCTTCTCGTCGTGCAAGCGTGGATGCCAGCGGAGACGTTGCGATGGCCGATGGAACTGGGACTCCGTCCACAGAGGGCAACCCCCCTCCTGCTCAGACACCGGCCATTTCAACACCGGCTCAGCCCCAAGCACAACCTCAGAACCCGCCTCAACCCCGAGCATCGCCTGCACCTCCCGCTGTCGGAGGAAGCGAGGCCACTCGCGCCGCCTGGGAATATGTCGATGAGATTCTCCAAATTCTGAAAACCGCTTTCCCCCTCCTCATCCTCAGCTTGGAGACCGTTGTGGACCAAATTCAACACAAATTCAAGCCGCAGCCGGAGGAAGAAGTTTACAGGAATGTATGCATGTTGATGCAGGATGCAATCCAGGTGAGATACCTGCGCGACTTTCCGAAGCCCTATTTCTCACTTGATTGAAAGAACTACGTCCTTCGCGCCAATGCGCAGGAAGATGATGGGCAACTGACACCTAATACTGTCGCGATGTTGTCTCGCATGGCAGTGAATATGCCCAACTTCATACGGGCAAGTGCATCTGGTCTCCACCTCTGTGCGTTCACTGAACGACTTTGTAGAAGGACTACGAAGAAGATTTCATTACCAGCAAACCGGATTACAGCCAATACATGCAGCGACTTCGGCAATGGAGGGATAGATTCGAAAAGACCCTGGATGCTAGACCGCAACACCAACCCCTCGCTCTCCTGAGCCACTACTTGACGGAGTTCCAATACAGCAAAGTGGATGAGATCGAAGTACCAGGGCAATACACCGAGGTTCGTGGGCGTGTAGAGTCAAGGGTAGCCGGATGTTGATCTGTGTTTCAGGACAAGGACTCGAACCAATCGTTTGTTCGAATTCAGAAGTTTGCCCCAAAATTCGAAACCGTTCGCTCCAACGGCGCCTATTGGAAACGCTTTACACTCATTGGCAACGACCACTCCAAGACGTCCTTCATCGTGCAACTTCCATGCCATCGTCAGTGGCGTCGCGAAGAACGGGTGATTCAATTACTGAGGACCTTGAATTGGTTAGTCGTCTCCTGTTCCGGTGGCCGTTCAGTGTTGACACCTTTATAGTACCCTCGTGCGTAAGAAAGAGAGCCGAAGGCGAAACCTGGCTTTCCATCTACCCGCTGTTGTGTCTTTGAGTCCCGCAGTCAGGCTGTTCCAGACCGACTCTTCGTATATATCCTTCGGGGACATCTACGACCTTCACTGCGAAGAGAAAGGTATTGCAAAGGAGATGCCTATCCTTTACTCCGGTGAGAAGGTCAAACAGGTCCTACGTCAGTGGCAAATGGTGCCCAACAAGATTGTAAGTTGGCAGTCAGCTTGCGACTACTTTCAATGTCTCAATTATGCTTTCAGCTATCAAAAACGGAGTACATCACTCTCAAGAAGGATATTTTCGATGAAATCGCCTCTAAGATGGTGCCCGACACCGTCATTAGCAACGTGAGTCAGCCATAATAGCCCAGCCGATAGCCAAACTCTGACCCGCGCCCTCTAGTACATGGTTCGCACCATGGACGGGCCCGTGGAGTTGTGGCGGATGCGCAAACAGTTCACTCTTCAGCTGGCGACTTGCAGTTTCATGACATATGTTTTCTCGATTTCGAGTCGAAACCCAAGTCGTTATCAAGTTTCGCGTGCTACCGGCCTGATTGCCATGACAGACTTGCTCCCGGGTCTTGCGACGCATCTTCCTGTCTTTGCTACCACGGATACCGTTCCCTTCCGATTCACTCCCAATCTGCAGCACTTCGTTGGACCCGTGTTCACAGATGGAATCCTTGCGACTGGTATTATGTCCGTCGGACAGGCACTGACAGAGCCAGAAGTATGTTGATTGCCAGCATCTGCCTTGCATTTGTTCTAATTCTTTGCCTCTCAGTTCGACCTCGAGTATCACCTCTGCTTGTTCAGTAGAGATGAAGTGGGCGCCTGGATGGGAATGAGGGGCAAGCCTTTCAATATCGATCAAATCTTCCGCCAGAGCATGATTGCGAACATGGACAATGTCGTCAAGAAGGCGGAAGCCATGGCGTGCAAACTTGAGAGAGAAAACGTGGGTCACTTCCTGTTTTCCCAAGACACCCTCGAGGCTCATTTGTTCCGTACACAGTCACAGCAACCCAACGTCGTCCCCAACAACGTTGTATACCAGACAGTGATTAACCAGATCTCTACCGCTACCAACCCGATCTCGTTGGCAAAAATGGGAGAGCTGTATCAACCATGGTTCTAAACCCTTTCATGCATTCTTGTCTTGCTTTCTTGGACTGTCTCGCTATCACCGTCATCGCTCTGTAACATTATCAGTTGCCAAATTCTTTGTATTATCTTTCGTCCTGTAGGCTACTAGCTCGTGTAATAGTTATATAAAGCAATCGCATTTTTCTCCTTGATGTGCCTATAATTGTAGGCCAGTACCTAGACTTCGGCCAAGGTGCGGCCTGGCTCCAAACCTGGTTTACAGATGGACACCACAGTCCATGCATTGCGTCCTTCGACTGGGGGCCCCCGCGACGGTGATGTCATTCCGGAATAACCATCGACCTCGTCCCAGATGCAGTCCAGATAGTTTCCTAGCCTATGGTCTGTTGGAGAAGTAGTCCTGAAAATGACTATAGGCTTTAGAAATTGAGAAGCCAATGGTTGAGTTTGAAGTGCTCTGCTCGGGAAGCGGGGATGCCGTTTTGGACATCATCATGTGATGTCATGTTGTTGTTACCTTAAAAGGGCGCAGTCGCTGTTGGCTGGCACAGGACTCTTTGGCTTTCCCCATCGCTTGTCGCCATGCTTCTTACTCCCATCGTCCTCTCCCTTCTACCCTTTACCGTCGCCGCTCGCGTCCACAAGCTCAAGCTTCACAAGGTCGCCCCCACCGCTAGCAACCCTGACTTTGAGGTCGCCTATCTCTCTCAGAAATATGGCTCCTCTGCCTCAGTTCAATTGCCCCTAATGGGTGCAGGTGGCGCAGCACGACGCGTTGCCCGCCCGGACTCTCGCGATGGCGAGCAGCTCTTCTGGACGCAGGACGACCTGAAGAACGGCCACAAGGTTCCCCTCACCAGTGCGTCATGGTCCGCCCGCCTTTGTCCGTCGCCGAACTCACCAAACCATAGATTTCATGAATGCGCAGTACTACACTGAGATTACCCTCGGTACTCCTCCCCAGACCGTAAGTATGATCCTGGTCACCCTCGGACTGCACACTCAACAGCGGTTTCTATGTAGTTCAAAGTCATTCTCGATACTGGGTGGGTGCTGTCTTCCCGTCATCACGCCAGAGGTACTGAGAAGGCATTGTAATAGCTCGAGCAACCTTTGGGTTCCCAGCATCAAATGCACCTCCATCGCCTGTTTCCTGCACACCAAATATGATTCCTCGCAGTCAACTACATACAAGGCGAATGGCACCGAGTTCTCTATCCAGTATGGATCCGGCTCCATGGAGGGCTTTGTTTCCCAGGATACCCTCGGCATCGGTGACCTCACCATCAAGGGCCAGGACTTTGCTGAGGCCCTGAAGGAGCCCGGACTCGCCTTTGCATTCGGAAAGTAAGCGTGGATAGCTCTCCCTTTGATGATTTCCTAGCTCATCCTGTTCTAGGTTTGATGGAATCCTTGGTCTCGCTTATGACACCATTTCGGTCAACCGAATTGTGCCTCCGTTCTACAACATGATCAACCAGAAGTTGATCGACTCACCTGTGTTCGCCTTCCGCATTGGATCATCGGAAGAGGACGGTGGTGAGGCTACTTTCGGTGGCATCGATCATGAGGCATACACTGGCAAACTTCATTACGTTCCTGTTCGCCGTAAAGCCTATTGGGAGGTTGAACTCGAGAAGATCTCTTTCGGTGACGACGAACTTGAGCTCGAGCACACCGGTGCTGCCATTGACACTGGCACTTCTCTCATTGCGCTGCCCACCGATATGGCGGAAATGCTCAACACTCAGATCGGTGCCCGCAAGTCCTGGAATGGCCAGTACCAAGTGGACTGCAACAAGGTCCCGTCACTTCCTGACCTCACCTTCCAGTTTGGTGGCAAGCCATATCCTTTGAAGGGAAGTGATTACATTCTCAACGTGCAGGGCACCTGTATTTCTGCCTTCACTGGTATGGATATCAATATGCCAGGTGGCGACTCACTTTGGATTGTTGGTAAGTATTCCCGAACACGCCGGAAACCTTTCGAAAGCTAATGCATAACGTTTAGGTGATGTCTTCTTGAGGAAGTATTACACTGTATACGACCTCGGCAACGATGCGGTCGGTTTCGCCCCTGTTGCTTGAGCTTTGGACTTCCGGCGATTCCCACTGTTTATTCTGTACCATAGGCCCCATGTTGTGTAGTTATTGTTCTGACGCGTTCTTGAAATAATGTTTCAAATGCTGTCATTTTGCCAAGCCCCATGTGTGACGATCGAGTGACAAACCTGGACCCACTAGGGAATCGCGCGAAGTTGTCATTTCCTTCTCCTCTGGATGTTCCATTTCTCACTACTCCCACCATGATCTTTCCAGCGACCGCCATCGAACCATGGCAATACACCAAGTCGCCCTCGTCCTGGCTCCCAGTCGACCGGTTCCGAAAGCAAAACCTATCGAGTTCTCTCAAACGAACCCTCGATCGAGTCAATGTCCTAGGTGATGAGGAGCAAAACTATGGACACTCTGGGTACCATGTCTTTACACTCCTATGCCACTCAAACTGACAATTCTACAGATGCGTGAATGCAGTTAGCTGGGCAGAAAACGGCAATCTCCTTCTTACCGGAGGGGACGACACAACAGTACGGCTTTGGCGTGTGGATACGTCCGATTTGAAGCAAGAATATCCATACGTCTGCAGATCTGTCATTGCCACGGGGCATCGGGCCAATATATTCAATGTGCAGATGCTCCCATACTCGAATCGAATGTAAGAGCACATTTGCAATACGGTCAAGTCGTGTGTGCTTACCTCCAGATTGGCTCCAGCGTCAGTTGCGCTGGAGATAAACAGATACGCGTGTTCGATGCGACAACCCCTTCCGCGGTCAGGGATGGAATGGAAACGGAGTTCAGCGCTCGTCAAGCCGGCGTTAGGATTATACGATGCCATTCAGATCGAGTGAAGAAGCTGGTAACTGAAGAAAGTCCCGACGTGTTTCTCTCACTCTCCGAGGTACGCTATCATGACTATCCGAGTTGTACGAACACGACTTGATACTTTTTATAGGATGGCTCCGTACGTCAACACGACCTTCGAACACCACACCAATGTCGAGAGTCTTGTCCTGCCCCCCTTTTACACATGCCACACGAGCTTTCGACGATCTCCATGTCGCCGGTGACTCCATACCAATTCGTGGTAGCCGGAGAATCACGATATGTAGGCAAACCTAGTCATTCTCCTCAGGGAAGATGATTCATGTTACTATACAACATGTCATTAGGGCTATCTCTTCGACCGCCGACATATTGGTCGAGTTCTCCAGGAGGAATGGGGGGCGGTCCCCAATATCGGAGAGGATGTTACGACCTGCGTCAGAAAGTTTGGACGTCATCCCCAGTCTCCGAAGGCGCGCAAGGAAGGCAGGAGGGATCATATCACTGGGTGCAGGATCTCACCTACGAATGGACACGAGGTGTGCATCGATTTTGGAACGGCTCTTCACGATAACGCCATTACTGACTATTCGTCCCACACAGGTCCTTCTTAGTGCGTATCCCGTGGACATGACTGAATATTTGACTGATTTTGAAGTACAGCTTACAGTTCAGACAAGGTCTACCTCTTCTCCACTAAAGATGAAGCACATACCAAAGAGGACCTCGCGTCGATGGCAGCTGCCGTATTGCCTCCCAATTCAGAGGAATCAAGGACGAGGAAGAAGCGCAGGACGAGTTCTCCACCAACTGGTTCCGCGGACGAGCCGTCCAATGCTGGTGACAGTATGGATGTGGACGACGACCGTGAAGAAGATGACGCCGACCACGAAGAGGTGGACGACGATGAGGATGGGGAGGAGGAGGAGGATGAAATGTCCAGGTTCCTGAACTATCTTCGTCGCGAAGATAAGCTCAATGATGGATTCATGTCGGACGTCCCTGTTGTTTTGCCCCGCGCTTCGTACGCTGGTGCACGCAACGTGGACACGGTCAAAGATGGTGAGCTCGCACTTGATTCTGTCATTGACCTGTCTTTTTTGAATCGTTGTGGTCAGTGAACTTTTTGGGTCCGTACGACGAGCATGTCGTGTCTGGGTCTGACGACGGAAACTGGTTCATGTGGGACAAGGTGTCAGGTAAATTAGTGGGTATCTACGAAGGAGATGAAACTGTAGTCAACGTTGTGGAAGCACACCCGCATTTGCCAGTGGTAGCAGTTAGCGGCATTGACAAATCGATCAAGGTATGCAATTGTGGGATTTGCTCCGTCCTTTTGTGCGAATGCTAACACAGTGAAATAGCTATTTGCTCCTGCCAGAGGCAAGAGTCAGTTTTCGAGAGTTGACCACGCAGACGCGATCATTGAGGAGAATGCGCGACTGAGCAGAAGGAGCTTCATCGCGTACAACCTATCTTCGAGACTCTTCAGTAGACTTGGAGCACTCAGCGGTGAACTTGGTGGGGAAGGCTCCAACCCCGTCATTGAGTGCGGCACCCAATAACATTTACTCGGATAGTATCTCTCAAAGCCCCCAGATCTACATAAGTGTAACATTTACCGCTGCCAATCTATCCTGTATTATGTACTTAGTAACAAACCAGCCCGTCATGTGTGTGGTGACGACGCACCTGTATAAATAAACCTCACTTTTCCATCGACCGTCAGAATCGCGGTGTTGCTGTCGAAAGTCTCTGAAGTCGGAGACCAGTATTTGGCTAGGAATGTGTCCTAATTGATTGGGAGGAGCGGCCAACATCAGCGCGTTCTTGAGCTCCGACGCTTGCGCTCGATCGTCCAAGCCGAACTTGCACAGCTACAATCTCTCGAACCGTCTGCATGCGACTCATCCGTGTTAACGTCGCATGAAACTTAGCGGAAATTACTCTTGGAATAGGGTTATTTGGAGCGTGTTACAACCTCAATTCGGTTCTGTCACTTCAGAGGGTTTGGGCCTTCCCCTGGTCCGCTAGTACAGGCGACTACGGCGTAACGGTAAGTTTTATTTTCTTTCACGAAATGTTGGTTAATATCACTGAATCCTTTGAATTCCTGTTGGCGCATTCCGGTGTCTGTATTCTTGTTCCAGATTAACGGAATCGAGCATCCAGCCCACGGCTTGTCCGGGATTTCAGTGGAGGAGGGTTAGGTGAACCCTTGCATTTTTCTTCCAGCACTTACCATTGCGACTGCGGACGACTTCCAGCGCCCACGCAAACATCGACGTATCTTCAAGCACCAACCATGCGTAATCAGGGAAGAAATAGGCGGTCCCGTAACCACAAGGAGGTCAATGACACCCAGCTCAACATCCCTCGTGATGACCCGCAGGTTCAGTCGTATTCGCGACATCAACATCCGTCTCACTACAGCGACGCCCATCGATTACCGTCCACGATGCCCAGTAGGTCTACGTATGAAGTGGGAAGGGACAGGAATGTAGCCCCAGGTCGAAGTTTGCGTGAGGGTGACTGGGGCACAAGCGGGAGTCACGACCGTTACGGCTACGACCTATACCCCCCTGAACATGACGCTTACGACGATCCATTAAGGAGGGATGCTGGTGCTTGGGGAGGGGGCAATGACGGTTACTCGTCTCGCGGAGGTTGGTCTCACTCATATCATCATCCTGAACCGTCCACGTCGTATCAGGATTCGTCAAATTGGAAACCAACCTCCCCAACAGCCCACCACTACGGCAGCAGCTCGCACTACAAGCCTCCCGTTGACCCATACATGGAACCCAATCCGTATCTGCCTCGAAGCCCAACCCATTTTACAGAACGAAGTCCGCTCGGCTACGACGACCCTCAAAGCTACTATTACGAACAATGGCGTGGGCGAGACCCACGGCCGAGTCCTTCCGACGAGAAAATGGATTACAACCAAATCGACAAACGAGGGGCTCAGGGATGGAGGAGGAGCAGCGGTGGGGGTAAGGGTGGGCAACCCAAGTTCCAGAGCGACTCTGGTTGGTCAGGGCGGAAGAAGAGCAAAGAATGGGGCAATTCCAATCAACAGCGCTACGATGAGAAGCAACCTGAACCACTCTATTCGAGCGTAGAAGACAGGTCATGGGAGCCAGCGGATTCATGGAAATCCTCCAACCGCCACGAGGGCGGCGCCAGTACCTCCAAGCATCAGCAGCACCACACTCCTGGTCGCCCGGGCACACAACAGCAGTCAAAATCATCACGCAAAGAGAAAAAATCGGGCAAGCAAAAGAAGGAATGGAAAAACGAAGACTTGAATCTTAACAAGTAATTTTCCCGACCTGTGACTCCAAGATGTAGGCGCTGACTTTTTGCAGCTGGACACGCAGGGACCATTTGGCCTCGAAAAAGAACCAAGACAAGTCACAAGGTTCGGGTTCAAGGAAGAAACATCGCCGGTCTCGCTCAAGGTCCCGGTCGCGAGACTCTTTGCGCTCGCACCATTCATCCTACCGCTCGAGGTCCTCCTCTCCCGTGGCAAAGCGAAGGCGGAGAGGATCCAGCCCAATGCTTCGCAGTAGGTCTCCGGAAGGGGATCAAATGGGCTGGCTACCACCACGAGATGAGGATAGAATGGTCTCGCGATCGCCCTCACCTGGATATCGAAGGAGGTCCCCGTCGACATCAGATCGATCTAGCCACCGTAGTCGAAGCCCCAGCCCCTATGAGCGACCCCGAGCAGTTCATCGCCTCCCGACGGCCAATTCGAGCGCGTTGCACACGGCACCTGCGACGGGGAAATCCAAAAAAGCTGGAAAACAGCGAAACGGGCACAAAAATGCTCGAGGTTCGGTGAGTAAATGCCGTACTTCAAAGAGGGCCCGGCCTTATTCCTGGGTTTACAATAGACTGGCAAGCAGCCCGCAAGGTATCCCGAAGACGATGTTGCCGCAGACTCCCTTTCCATGCCTCCTCCACCGCCGCCTTCTCGGCCAAAGCAATCGCGGCAGCAAACTCCCGACTGGAGAGACGAACACACTCCACTTCTTAATCCAAACCCCAACGGACTTCCTCCCAAGCCCATATCGCTTCCAGAGAAACCCACCCGGATTGTCCCCCAAAGGAATGCGGGCTTCAAACCTATCGGGCAGTCCAACTCTGCCTTGAAAATGTTTTTCCCTGGGGACGAGGACGAGGCGGATTATATTTCCAGTAGCAATCTTACAAAGGACGCTCGCACCGAGCCGACCCCAACAAAGGGCTTCACTCGCCAAACTCTACTGGACGATACTCGCAACGGCCGTGAGGCAGAGAATCCACATCAATACGGGAATGACCCGCCTCCCATATCCCGCCCACCAGCAAGTTGGGACCCTTATGCAAGCACATACCCAGTGGATCCAAGGGTACCAACTCAGTCATACACCAACGGTTTAACACCACATCTCCCAGAACCCCCTCCTCATATCCCTCACCGGACTGGGCAAACGCAGTCTTACTGGAAATCTCCGGCCGTCTCTCCACCTCCAGAGTCTGACGCTTCAAGATGGAGTGGAGTGCCTGTTCCTCCGGTGCACCCCAACTTGCCCCCAACATACACGGCAAGCGTGCCTCCTCGACCTGGTTATGAATTGCCGTACCGACCACCAGTTCCTGTGGACAACGCACCGGTTTCCCATACAACTAAAAGCACTCCTCAGCCCTCTCCGATACCAATATCAGATCCTTCACCGGCTTGGCAAGCTTCCGCCTCTGCTTCTGGGGTAGCTACTCCTGTCGCCCCTGAGCAGCCAGAAAGCAAAGATCTCTATGTTATCCTAAACCAGGTTGGAGAAGGAACGTTCGGAAAGGTCTATAAAGCCCGCAACACGGTTGCCAAAGTCCATGTCGCACTCAAACGCATTCGAATGGAGACCGAGCGAGACGGCTTCCCTGTGACCGCCATGCGGGAAATCAAACTCCTCCAGTCCTTGAAACATCCTAACGTCGTTCAGCTCTACGAAATGATGGTGTCAAATGGTAGGACGAATTTGTGTTCTCAATTTGAAGAAGAGTCTGACCTAAATGTGCAGGATCTGTATTCATGGTTTTCGAGTACATGGATCATGACCTTACAGGGATTCTGTCGCAGACGCAGTTCAAATTTTCAGACTCGCACCTCAAATCCCTTTGTCACCAGATGCTCGCAGGGCTTGCGTATCTCCATCACAAGGGTGTCATTCACCGCGACATCAAAGGCTCGAACATTCTCCTGAACAACCGCGGTGAATTGAAGCTGGCCGACTTTGGCTTAGCCCGTTTCTATCAGAAGCGTCGGCGCACAGACTACACCAACCGAGTTATCACCCTTTGGTACCGACCCCCCGAGCTTCTCTTTGGAGCAACAGTATATGGACCTGAAGTCGATATGTGGAGTGCTGGGTGAGTCCCCATCGATATGCTCTTGAATTCGCACCCCTGACCTGGACCAGTTGCATCATGTTGGAGCTATTCACGAAGAAGCCCGTTTTCCAAGGGAACGACGAAATCAACCAGCTTCATGTTATCTTCAAGATACTCGGTACACCAACGACGGAAAGATGGACTGGGCTGAACAACCTTCCCTGGTTTGAACTTATCAAACCGAAAGAATCTTTACCCAACCGCTTCAGAGACCTCTTCCAAAAGTGAGATACCCCAAACTGCAATTCCCGCTCGAGGCTAACCCATCATGTCACTTTGTAGATGGATGTCTCCGGCAGCGTTGGATCTGGCTGAACGGCTGTTGACATATGATCCCGAACTTCGTGTCTCCGCTCAAGAAGCAATGGAAGCTCCTTATTTCACTCAGGAACGACCATTTGCAGAAAGGCCAGCAGGGTACGTCTTCCTGTCTCTCTTGTAAATTGTTCTTCACTCAGCATTACTTTACAGCCTTGCTTCGCTAGATGGAGAATGGCACGAGCTGGAAACCAAGCAGGAACGCTTAAAGAAGCGCAAAAAGACTGAAAGTACAGCCTAACGATGGCTGGAGCAATTTTTTTTCACCTCCTTAGTAGCTACCTTGGTGTTTTCTTACATGCCGGACCATCTCACTTTCCATTTGTATCATTATTGCTTTCCTTTAATTATATTATGCCGCGTTGTCTCCGTACAATGCAAGTGATATGCCATATCGCGTCTACTATTCGCGGCGAATGAATCCTCCGTCGGAACCTTTTGCAGTGGGTCGTGGCCGCGCCTTCGCGAGTAGTACATACTTCTTCTCCACCTTCATGTCCCAAGCACGCTCACGACGCCCTGACTTTTCCTCTTTCTCGAACCTTGAGTGCTTGTTACTCGCACAGGCAGCCTACGAGCTCGGCGCTGGGCCAGAGAGTTGGCCGTCGATATCCAAAATTCTGTCGAAACACCCACTCTTGGCACGCCCGAAGTCATTCTTTACTCCAACTGTACGCTCGTGGCACTGAACACACCAGGCATCAACTCATTCTTTACTTTTGTAAGCTTTGCAGTGCCCTCTACGACTACCTGGTCACCGAGGCTGGCATCGAGCGGTTAGGCGATTTTCCTTTTCGTTGGTGAAGTCGCACTGAAGTTTTCTAACAGCACCGACAAGAACAATGTAGTTAAAGGTGACCTCGGTCTCTACAGGCAAACGGATTCCCCAGCTAAACATAAGAAAGCTAAAGCAAACCTGGAACTCGCGAACAAGTACTTCAAACTGCGATATGAAGAACTGTTCCAGTTAATCCGGGAGGAAGAACTCAAGTTCAAGTAGGTCGCATCACTACTTGGACCACGACACCTCTGATCGTCAATGCAGGACCGTAGTCACAGAGCTGGAAGATATTCGGGCAGGAAAGTGGGATGACCGTATCAAAGCCCAATTGACGGGCATGTCTGAACCTCCTCCACCAGTCAGTTGTCTATCTCTACCATTGTCTGCTGCTCACATTCTCGCCAGCAAGGAGAAGACTCGCAACGCAAGGAAGAGACCCTTGCCCAAGAGGCTTCTGTACGCCATAGTCTCGCTAACCCTCAAAGTGTCCGCTAATCTACTTCAATAGGTCGCATCCTCGTCTAAACCAGCGCCACCCACAGAAGCCACAGAAGCGGTAGACGAAGATGCCACCGAACCCGACGCTGACCTCGCCCAGCGTGTTCTACCATCAACATCGCCCTCACTGATGGCGGAGAAGCAGGAGGAAGAAGAAGAAGAGGAAGCTGAGCCTGACAGGGAAGAGGACGAGGAAGGAGACAAGCTGGACGAAACCCCTGACAAGGGCGACCACATCGTACAAGAATCTGAAGAGAAAGAGAACGAGGTTGAGATGGAGGAAACAGAGGGTCTCCTGGATGCGAGCTCTGAGAAGGATGACAACGTAGAGGCGGAGGCCCAGGCAGAAGCGGAGACAGAGGCAGAGCAGCCGAAGGAAGCAGAGATCGAGGACGATGAATCGTCCGGTGAAGAACCGCCCCAAACTGTGCGACGTACGTCAACTATCGCATCTGTGCTGAATTCGCCATTGATTTCATGCCAGGTTCAACAAGGAGGAAAGGTTCGATCTCTGCTGCACCACCAGTCTCAGCCCGGACGCGAACCCGGCGACGTCAAGTCCAAGACCACGAAGCGTCGCCTCCTCCGGAAAGTGAAGCCGCAAATGAGACCGAAGGTGCTGCGGCAGATACACCTCGAACTGAAGACAATATTCCTTCTTCGCCATTCGAGCCTGCCAGTAGCCGGACGCGAGAGGGAAAACGTAAGGCATCCTTTGTAGAAGCAATGGAAAACGCTGGCAGGGAGTCCAAGCGCCTTCGCGAAGATTCCGAGTACGCGGACGATGATGAGAACCCAGGTAAAGGCGCACTCTCTTAACTCAACTTCATTCCCAAGTCTTAACGCAGTGTGTAGAATCACCAGCACCAAGCTCACACGCAACCAGGTCCCGTGGGTCACGTTCGGGGGCTCGTTCAGAAGAACAAGTCGCGTTGAAGCGCTTCCAAAATGTCATTGGATTGGTGCACTCCCAGATCTCGCAACACCGGAACGGGACGATCTTTCACAACCCAATCAAGCACTCTGAAGCCCCGGATTACCATGACATCGTCAAAAAGCCTATGGATCTCAAGACTATCAAGGCGAGGGTGAAAGATGGATTGGTTTCAAACTCTCTGGAGTTTCAACGGGATATCTACCTGATGTTCGCAAATGCGATGATGTACAATCGGCCGGGGTCCGACGTTCACACTATGGCAGAAGATGTGAGTGTCGGCTTGTACCTTTCCCCTTCATAGCTAACAGCATGTGTCAGATGATGTTTGACGCCGAGAAGCAAATCCAATCGTTCAGGCAAACAGAAGGCTTGGTGCGCGGTGTTCATCGGTAGACACCACATTCAGCATGTAACTGTTGAGATAATACACATGGCAATCAACTTTACAGGATGAGCGGAGAAGATGGGGTAGAGGGGCATAGGAACATTATCGTTGGTAATGCTGCCAATTATTGTTCACAGATGGTGGTATAGAATTCATGCAGTATTGTCCTAGTTGCGCGTCATTCTGGTCGCTGTAATAGCTTTCCATTGAGACCACGGACATTGGGCGGTTAGAAGAGGACCATCCGTTTATCCGTCCGTTAGAAAGGGGCTGAGGTGATATGTGGTTCGATCCTGGCAGGGGGCTGCTACATTTCAACATTCAGACATCAGTCACAACGGAGAACATGACGAAGCATACCCATAGGATGCGGCCGTAGTAGGTACAATGCCTCCTGTGGCCCTGCCTGATGTTCGAGGGGTGTATTGCATGTGAGCGGAAACAGCCGCACTGTTGGGTGAGGTTAACATATAACCAGTCCATCATTGCGGAAAAGAAAACGTCGCATACTTGTAGAAGGCTGCCGCAGAAAAGACTGGGGTCTCTTGCGGCCCTTGCATTGGGGTGAATTGGGGTTGCCGTGGCGGACTCTTTCCATACGCGATCGATGGATTGAAATTCAGGAACGAGCCTGAAGAAGAGAACGTCCGAGGCTGCTGCGTGGCACGATTTGGATCGTCAGGCGACTGAGCCATGAAGTGGGTCGAATTGGCGGTTGTTCGCGGTGAGATTTCACTGTGTGGTCGGTGTTCTCTGTGTGCTGGAGGAGTGGTGGGTGAAGCAGGCATCGATTGTCGGTAAGCGCTCGGCGGACCAGACGCAGTGAAAGTTGAACGGTTGTATTGGTGTGCTGACGTTGCATTGCACTCGTTTGCTATAGCCGTAACGTCAGGCCGTGGCCTCGATGGGGGGCGCTGAATACTGGATGGGGACGGGGAAGAAGGAAATAGTGTGTATGGATCGAATTCTTCGCCATTGGATTGGGGGTGCAAGGATATTTCGGGCGCTGTCTCCATAAACGGTGGGGGTGCAATATCGTCACCATCGTATGGGTTGTAGGGCTGATTCGATGGATTTGACGAAGCTGAAGTAGTTGGCTGCTCACTGGCTATCCACTTTGGTTCGTTCTTCTTCTCTGGTGTCGCCTTCAGATCCTGTGATGGACCATTTTTTTTATGGATTCGCAATGGTTGAGTCGGAGCGGGTTGGGACGAGGAAGAAGCCTGTGGATGGTGTTGCGACGAAAACGTTGGTGCAGCAGATGGGCCAGCCAGCTGCTGCGGGGTAGCTTCAATCGCCTGTTTCTTTTGCTTAGACTCATAGGCGGCTGCTGCAGCTTCGAATGCCGCAGGATCGTATGGTTCCCATTCATCATCATCAGCAGCAGGTCGAACGTTGCCGTGAGCTTCACGAGAAAGGCTCAATGCCGTCGAGACCTTCTGATCAAACTCTTGTTCACTATAAGCCGGTGGTGGTGGTTGATAAGTGGCATCGGGAAGATCGAAGGGATTCATGATAGGCGCAGCGGTTGGACAGTTGGAGATGGTCGTCCGTATGTTGGAACGAAGGCAAACTGGTATAAGGCACCAACCATGGCTGTACCCTGCCGTAGTAAATAGGTCAAATCCGGAAGTTGGCGGGCGCTGACAGGTTAATAGGTCATTGAAGTCTACTCGGAACCTCCCAGCCCAACTGCTGTGCAATGAAGCCATTTCTGGACCCACAAATGCTACCGACAGCGGCGTTCGCGGACTATTCGGGTGAAGGCCACAGGGAGCCTTCCTGCGAACCAGACCTTTAAAGTTACTTCTGTCTAATCGTGCTACTAGTAACATTAGGTGCGGTTCGCTAGCAATTCAGATAGATAGTCTCATTATTATAAAGCAATGTCCTCGACCGCCAAACGAAACAGCGACAGGTGCTAAACCTCGATACCCTCCAGATTGGTCCCCTGATTGCACAGTTAGCTGCGTGGAGCTCGGACGTCTAATTTACTCACCAGCTTGGGAAGTCGCAAAAAAACATCGGTACCTACATAAGAGTGAGTGTAACCGCCGGTCTGTTATAAGTAAAAACGTACCCCAACCGTCCAACGATACCAGCTCCAGTGAGCCACCAAAGTATCTGGAGAGAGAGAGGGATCATTCAGGCGATATCAATAACGATACGAGACTAGGCCATACGTCGCATAGATATTACTCATAGGCAAGCCAATCCCAATCCTGGAACGGACAATATTCATGATTTCCTGAGAAGGCGCCGTGCCATGCTCCTCCAACTTATCCCGGTTCTTCGGTTGATAATACGAATGTTTCTGCCAACGGGAGAGTTGTTCATCCACCGTCGCCCGCAGACCTTCCTCGCTCGCAGTGCGCAATGCACCGAGTCGGGAGTCTTCCAACCTCGACGCGTTCCGTATATGGGAGAAAGAGAACAGATCCATGGGGTCGTTAGTTGGGGCGTTGACGGAGGTGAGACCGCCGCCTATGATAGAGGGAGAAGAAGGATCCGTCAAAAGCGGTCACAACACACTCCGTCCTTGTACATACCTTGGTCCGAGATGCGCAGACTGATATCGTCCTCGCCAGCAACGATTGTAACGCGGATGGGTGGCAACGAGGAGCCGCTGTCGTGATGTTTGAGGACAGTGGCGGACATGGCCTATTGGACGATTCAGCAAATGCAATTAAAGGTTTCCATAATGGCACCTACATTCTTCAAGAGCTCAAATACAATGTATCTGAGGAAGGAAGGGTTAACATCGCCTTGCGGAATAGCATGTAGACTTACTCAAGGTGATCCCGGATGTAAGCAAACTTGGTATCTAGGTGTCCCTCGACTTCGACCTCCGGCCAGGCGTCGATTCGGACATCTTCGTTCCCGTGTACCCATAGCGGTCTATCTCTCAAGATTGTGGAGCATCTGTCAATACACCGCTTAACATCCAAAGCAGTATAGATAATCCCAACGCGAGGTTCTGCTTCATGAGCAGGAGAATCTTTAGCAAGGTACGTCTTGGACAGGGCGATATGGTGTTCTGCGAGTACACGGCGGGATATGCGGGAGACGAGCATACGGCGCATGAAGCTGTCGAGCTTGTCTGGCGAGAGGAATGGAGACGACAAGGAGAGGCCTAGAGAGAGGTTTGGAATCACAACAGCACTGGGATGGGATGCTAAGTATTTCGCTTGCAATGTGCATAGCCGACTTACTGGTCATCCAGGAGCGACCCTACAAATTTGCAGAATTTGGTGTTCTCCTCTATTGATGTTATTGGTGGATATGTCCGAAACCTGATTGAGCACTGAGCGACTGGCGGGTCGAAAGGTTCAAGTGACCTTACTTCTCAAATGCAGTCCAGTACAGCTACAGGATGATTAGAATCTGCATCTCTGAATAGAAAGGAGCCCTAACACACCTTATAAACCTTCTCAACCCCTTCCTGTGTTACAACAACATACGGTAACGCTTGTAGGTCCCGAAGTCGATGGGCAATGCGGACAGGCAACTCAGAACGAACATAGTTGGCACTCTACTTTCCTAGATTCAGGACACACTTCCCAAACTGACTCGTGGTTTCTCCCACCTTAAGAATCTTCTCCTCCGTAAGATGGCGCCCGAAGAAAACCTGTAAACCAGACATTAAATCAAACACACCACAATACCCAACCAAGAAGTGATATTCACAAGTTGCCTCAAAGTCAGAGGTTTGGCCTCCCTATTAGCATACTGCTCCAATTGCCTGTTCTGATAAAAGTTGAACGTTGAAGAATATCTGAGTGACGATTGAAGAAATGGGGTGGTGGTTGTGAGATTGAAGACGCGTCGTCCGACCATGAAGGTGGTCATGTCATTACTCGTTACGAGGATTGTCCCATTCAAGACTGACGGTATGAGGAGTTGTGTGAGAGAGGGCAACCGAGGTCGACGATGCCTTGAGGATGCCTTACTTCGGAGTCAAAAGCCGATGCCCCACGCGAGCGCCAAGCCCAAGCCAGTCTCACCAAGCGAACATTGCAACAAGGCCACTCGTCGTCATGTCGAGATAGTACTAGTGACGAAAATCCTTGATGCGGCATTTATACTGTATCTGCAAAGTCAAGGATGGAATGGAGTCCATGTATACGGTATACATAGCAAAGGCAACTACGCGACCCAAACGTTGTTTCAGAAAAAAGGGTATATCATGATAGGTATGAAGGTATCTAAGGTTCTTCTGGTATCGAGAATAGAGGTAACCGGGACATTTCGCTGTAAGAATAGAAGTACGGAGAATAAAAATGGCCTGTCGAGGAGCTGCACGGCATCATGGCTTCCTCGGACGACGCCTCTAACTGGGGAGTAGCTTCTCGTCTCGATGGTGGAGATTGGGCTGTCCCTGGAGAACTTGGAGACTTGGATGTCTCTATGAGAGACCTGAAATCCTCGTTGACGAAAACACTATCATCCCAGTCGCTAGTCGCTTGTACTAGTTGGTGGATCATGTCCTCGAGTGCAGCTGACCCCTGTGTCGTGGTCGACGCCTGACCGTGCGGTGATGCTGGAGGATCACTTCGAATCGAACGCTGGGAGATGGTAGGCGTGACGTTGCTTTCAATCGGGCTTCTCGAAGGGTGGCCTAAGCCCAAGTGGTCATAGGGATTTTTCGCGAGGTGTTTGCGCGAACTGTGTGAAGGGGTACTGCGCTGTGAATTAGTCGGAGAGTCATGTTCTCCAGAGAGGAGGTAGGCTGACACTTCGTCGCTCGAAGAGATGGGTAACATCATGCTGCGAAGGGGTGATGGTCCAATGGCGGGACTGAAAGTCATGCGAAGAGGGGATGAACTGCGTTGTAAAGGTGGGCACAGTTGCGGGGATACCTGCAACAGGCCCAGACTGCTTATATCTAGTGGAAGTGACGTAGTAACACCGCGAATCCTGAGACCAGGGGTGGTAGCATGAGCTGAGTCAGAAGATTCGACTTCTGAGCTTCGTTGGACGAGTCTGACGGATCGTCCCGCGCGATTGACGGTGCTCGTCGAAGCTGAAGCATGCGGGGACGGTGGGTGTGCCTGTAATGAATCAAATTGTTTGGAGATAGTTGGACCGGGAGGCGTCGAAGAAAGGCATTGTAGTCGCTGTGGTACGGAGAAATCGCGCTCCAATACTCCTGGGAGGGAAAACGTCTGACTAGAAGTAGTCGCCACATTATGACTAGACGTCAGATGACCAGTGAATGGGCCCCTGATGGCGCAGCGCCCCACGCATGTCTGAAAGTTTGACGTAGCTTTTGTAGTCGATGAGGTTAAATGAAAGCCAGTGTGGTGAACAGGTGGAAGTGGGGGAGCCTGGGACAGAGAATCCACCGCAGAGTCGAGCAAATTAAGTGAGGCCGGCGCTGTAGATTGGTTGTAATGCATGGTCTTTATCGCCCAGTGTATCGCTGCCGATCTTTGAGGCGACTTGGCTGGGCTGGGATATTTCTTGTCCACTGGTAGTGCCCAGCGCCAGTCAGACTCGACGGATTTCATAACGCCAGTAATTTCCCAATTAGGGGAGCCCAGAAAGCCGACCAGGATCCCGGACGATTTCATGCGAATCTTGGTCGATGATAGGATACAACGCTTGGGGAAGATCAAAGTCGGCGAACGAATAGGATGAGCCCGTTGGGTCAGATAACTGTTTTTCCGAAGCTGAGTGGATGTTGAATGTCGGCGCCATCGAGAAAAAGTGCTCCTCGCGACCATGAGAAAGGCGAGGGATACGAAAATCGAGGTTATAACTGCCAGGTAAACCCATGCATCAGGTGGTGAGGGAGGGACAGGGGATATGGGATACGCGTCGACGAGACCACGAAAGGATATTGCGGCGACTACAATAGGCAATAAAAAGGAATTTGCCATCGAGAATTCCACAGAGACTCATGTACGGGTCGTTCCAGGTGGAGCCCAGGTCGAAGAGTTCGCCCCGCCGTGCGATCGACGGAGAGCGGTGACAGAGATTTCACGTTCAAGAGATGAAAGGTAATAACAACAAAGTAGAACGCGAAGGGTCGCGAAAGCGGCAGATGCCGACTGAGATCAGGCCGAGACACGTGAAATTGAGGCCGAGGGAAGTATGCGGTCATTTGCCCCTCTTTCCGACTCATCTGCTTCATCCTTGACCATCTCAACTCGAGTCGCAAAGGACATGCGATTTCAACCTGTCTTTGTACAACACACATGTCCTCACAATTGAAAGGGAAAAGCCTGTGTCTCCGCGATCTCCTGGAAAAGGACTATGTCAACGAAGAGTGCGTATCCCTCTCGAATCCGGGGTAATATTCGTATTGAGGTCGTCGACCCTTCTCAGACACATAGCAGCGTTTGCTCATGCACTTCAGGAGGACGAGAGTTACTTTGACTATGTAGGAGACCCCCACTCCCCGCCTGGCGCTGCAACCCCGCAGTCCACCCACAGCACTCGCATCCGCAAGGTCTCTGCACTCTCGGACTTTGCTCCCATCAATCTGAAAGTGAAAAGGTAACTTGCATTTTTGTACGTTGAAATACGATCTAATCTCTGCACCAGGTCCAGAACAAAGAAACAGTTCAAACAGACAGGCCGACATGATTGGCTGTTCATCCTTCTTCGCTGGCCTCTCCTCGTATGTGCTATTTCATGCAGCGGGCTCCAGAATTGACCTTTGAATAGATATTTATTTTCACTGTCATTATGGCAGAATTTGGTCTCTATGTCCTTATTCGACAGGTTGTTAATACCAAGGAATGGATAACCGCATGGAGAGGGAAGAAAGGGCATCTGAGGAAGAAGCTCCGCGCTTCTCGCACTTATGAGGTGTGCCCTTTATACTCCCCTGCCTTCACAGTCTAACCAGAGCTCATAGGAGTGGAAGGAAGCAGCCAGAGAATTGGACGCCTACCTCCAGTTCGATGAGTGGAAGAAGATAGACGAAGACCCATACTATGACTGGAAGCTCGTTAGAAAGGTCAAACGGTCATTACAAACGCTTCGGGAGAAGGAGGATGCTCGTGGCTGTCTGGGAGTGTTGGAGACGTGCATTAGGTCCAACTTTGCAGCCGTAGAATCTCCTAGGTTGTACAGCGAGGTATGTCTGTTGCATTGTCCACCGGTTGGGCGCGTTTCTTACGGGATGACAGACTTATCTAGGAACGAAGGACCTGATTGAATGTGGGTCTGTCCCCGGCGCTTTATACAGATCGTTTTCTCACAGCGAAGAATACAGCCTACTTTTCCGAACTCGAAAAGTCTATTGTGTTCATTCGGGACTCTCCCCACCTTTCTATCGACGAGAAGAGACGTTTCTTTAAAAGCGCCAACGCTAATCTCGGCACAACGGCGCTTTGCCTCTCTGGCGGAGCATCGTTTGGCTATTGTTCGTTCAAAGTTTACAAACCGGCTTTCTCTTCCGAGACACTCACTGATTGTGTATTTCCAGATCACTTTGGGGTCGTGAAAGCTTTCTTCGACGCGGGCCTACTGCCTCGCGTCATCTCTGGGACGAGTGCTGGAGGGTTAATTGCCGCATTCGCTTGTTGTTATACCGACGAGGAGTTGAAGGTCATGCTTGTCCCAGAGCTCGCAGACAAGATTACTGCGTGCGAAGAGTCCGTCACCGTGTGGATGAAGCGGTTTTTGAAGACTGGCGCTCGGTTTGATAGCGTTGCTTGGGCACGAAAGGCACGTCGCCATTCTTTGACGTCTCTACGACTACTCTAATTCCTCCACAGTGCTCGTTCTTCACTCGTGGTTCGATGACATTCAAGGAAGCATATCTTCGGACGGGAAGGATCCTTAATATCTCTGTTATTCCCGCGGACAGACACTCGTACGTCGTTCATGACACTTTCTAACTGCCTACTGACACGCGGCTCAGACCAACTAAACTGTTAAATTATATTACTGCGCCTGATACCGTTATCTGGTCTACCCTTCTCGCCTCAGCCGCCGTCCCGGGAATCCTGAATCCTGTTGTAATTATGCAGAAGTTGAAGGACGGAACGATTGTCCCCTGGAACTGGGGAAGTCGGTTCAAGGATGGGTCTCTTAGGTGAGTACCGATGTCCGTAGTTGATGATCAGACGTTGACCTAAGTTTCAGAGTCGATATACCCCTTCAGGGCCTCAACCTTTATTTCAACGTCACCAATCCTGTTGTCTCACAGGTCAACCCACACGTCCACCTTTTCTTCTTCGCTCCTCGAGGGTCTGCCGGAAAGCCTGTTGCACATAGGAAGGGCAAAGGTACGATGGAATCCTTCTAGTTCTAAAACCAGGAGCTGAACGCAGACTGTAGGATGGAGGGGAAATTTCCTGCTCTCGGCCGCTGAGCAGTGGCTTAAACACGAACTGACAAAGAACTTCAAGGTCATTCGTGATCTTGAACTCCTTCCTACTCTGCTTGGCCAGGACTGGTCGAGTGTGTTTTTGCAACGGTTCGATGGGGCAATCACCATTTGGCCTCGAACGAGAGTTTGGGCAAGTTCGAATCAAAGTTTGTCCGGTAGCAATATTGCTAATCGCGGTGTAGGATTGGATTCGAATCTTGAGCGATCCTGATCGGCCCGAGTTGGAACGCCTATTAGCATGCGGTCAAATCGCGACCTGGCCCAAGGTGAAATTTGTTTCTTTCTTTTTTGTGAAAGACACCTGTATCCATGCTCAAATTCTGCGTTTAGCTGCATATGATTGAAAATCGCACTCGCATCGAGAAAGCCATTTTCGCTGGCCGACAAGAGCTCCGCAAGATTCTGAAGAAGAGGGCAAGCAAGACTGGGACTCTAGGCAATGGCGAGTCTCGATCTACATTGTTGTCTGTTCCTTCTTCGAGTAGACAACCCCCACCAACGGCCCTCAAGTTGCCTTCCCAATCATCACCTTCCACCAGCGTAGAGCGCCCTCTCCCACCAGATACCGATGCTGAAGCCGCATTTGCTGACGGTTCTAGCTGGTTTTTCAAACGAGGGCGTCGTTCACGCTCTGAGTCACCTCCAGACGGACCTGATCCACTTTTGTCGCCTGCTATCCGTAAGAAATGGGCGTCAGACTTGCTGGATATGCCTGCTTCGGGATCGGACAGTGCTTCGCACCAACATTCTGAACTCAGACATACGCTCAACGACAGCTATCAAGCCGTCGACCCCCCTCCTTCACCTTCGATATTCGCACGACTTAGGCGGAATTCCTTGTCCTTTATCAACGGATTCAGGTCTCGACGTGGTTCAGAGGATGAAGCGGAAGCTTGGAGTTCGGAGAGCTCGTCGGGGGATGATGGATGGCCAGGATCCCGGCACCATTCGCGTCTACACTCCCCTGCTCCCGAAAGACGTGCACTTATAGAAGATGTCGATGGACAGTATAACAACATTGACCCAGACGACGTGTAATCTACCTTTTTACTATTATTACTGTATCAATAATTAAAGCTGTATCGGCATGCATCGGTGATTTCGGATCAGGGACGAGTCATTAGGGGCCTGGGATCGTCGTCACCGTCCATGACCCAATGATTGGGACTCGAGACTGGAGTGAACACGTTGTTCCAGAGCTCATTTTCGATACGCAACGATGTCTTCTCCATCTCCACAGACAAGTCCCATTCGCACTTCCGACTCTCCGGTCGCTGGTCCCACTCCCGAGGAAGTCGCTGCAGCAGCCGAGCGTCGTTTCCGCCAGCTACAGTCCCAAGCCCAACCATCTGCTGCCCAACTCCTTCAAATCCATGAGAAAAAGCAAAAGTTTCGAAGAATGGTAGACCCTGGAATCATGCGTCCAAACGCAAAGGACGCAGCTTTATCGTCGTTAAAAGTAAATCCAGTATATTCTCCTCGTATGCAATGGAAATGTGCTTGTGCTGACGTCTGCGCCACTCCGTGCTTGGGGTTGTACGGTGGGCGGATCTAGACACTTTCGACGATTGCGGAGAACTTGATACGTGAACCAGACAATCCAAAGTTTCAACGATTCAAGCCAACCAATACGGTCATCAAGCGGGAGTTGGTGGATCGGAAAGGGACTCTGGAATATGCGGTTGAGGTACGTCCGCATACTAACCCCTATTTCTGCTATTGGGCGGCAATTGACCGATACAATCTGACTTTAGCTTGGTTTTCGACCTGAAGTAGGCTCATCTGGCGCAATATGCACACTCACTTGATAGCGTGCTCACACGTATTAGGTCGAGAACTTCCAACCATATTACAAGTTCAACCATCGATACGAAGAAGATCTCAAGCTCGGAGCAGAGATCTTGAAGGAGTTCATCAAACTTTACCAGGAGAAGGATGAACGAGCTGCACTGGCTAAGAGGAGCGAGAAGGCCGTTGCCGAGGCTGCACACGAGAAAGTAGGTGTTCAAAAATGTCTTGGGGAAGGAAGTGGCCGTTTTCTCAACCGATCTATTAGGTGAGACTGGCATTTATGGACGACCGCAAGGCCAGGATGCAGCGTGACGAGATAGAGAGGCAGGCGAGGCAGGCTCGCAGGTCTCAAAGCCCCGCGGCCACCAACAGTGTCACATCATCTCGTTCACGTCGCTCAGCTTCCAGAAACCTCGATGCCCTGGGTGAAGGTCGGACCTTGGGGGAAACGCCACAGACGCTTCCAGACACAGATGATACGGACCCTGCACCTCCGCCCTACGCTGGATAGCAAACCCAGATATAATATAATATGAATCACGAATAAATGCAAATATATCCAATGACTAGCTAGATACGATTGCCTGTGGTTGCCTGAACGGTTGTTGCTATACCAAAAAATGAATCAGCAACACGGGCTTCAAAGACGCGCCAATGAGTTTAACTTACGATTATTGAACACCCTGATCCTTTGCAGAACAATGCTATCCCTTCGACCGTTGCGTCTGATTTCCACAGGTCGGTTTGGAAGGGGATTGTTGGAATTTGCACTGTTCTCCCACATAGACCGCCGTTGGGCAAGGCTTCCCGATCGCGTTGGTCGTCCAGACGCCGAGACAGAGCGAACTAGACTGTCGCGAGGGTTGCTGGGGAGGCCCGACATCCTATTGGCCTTGTTGAACACCGACTGCGGTCTGTTCGGGAGTGACCCAGATCGTGATAGAGTCGTTGGCGGAGCAACACTTGGGACTGGGGGGAACGATCCCAAGACGTCTGGGGATAAAGTTTATCGGTCTTTACGGGAGGCGATTGGAATGTGACTTACCACCGAGCGAGATTTCACCACGACTCGACTTTTCCATCATGACCATGGCATGAAGCTCGGCATGTGTTAGTCTTCCGGACCTTCTTCTGCTATACGAGTCCTTCGGGGGCTCCAGTGGCTGAGATTCCGGTTCTTCCTGCAGGGGTATGGTGGGGATTATCCGGCGCTGAAAGACAGCGGGTGCAAGCTCCTGCTCATTCTGAACCTCGGTAGGAATGCGCGACGGTTGAACAACGGCGGGCGCTCTTCGCATCTCGACAAGGACTGCGGCCGAGCTTTGAGCAGCAACAGCGACCACTTCTGGGTGGTCTTCGTCTTCAATATCAACAGGCACTGACAGTGGTACCCGCCGGACAGGCGATACTCTGGCAACCTGGGGTGTTGAGGCACGCGAGGTGGACGGGATCTGGAGAGGAATGGGAGCGGGCGGTGACGGCTTCTGAATAGCAGCAGGCGCTGGCAGAGGCGGTAAGCTTCGAGCAGGAGCTGGAGCCGGTGGCGTTCGAACTCGGATGGGAGCAGGTGCGGGAGAATTGGAAACGGAGGCTCGGACAAGCGGAGTTTGGACGACGTCGGGGGTATGACGTTGTACAGGAGCAGGTTGCACAGGAGCAGTGGACCCGGGCAACGACGGCCAAAGGACAAAGTGTGGATAAACAGCAGGGTCTGTAAGATCATTTAGCCAACACGGAGGCATGTGACGTTGGAAGGACTTACAAAGGTTGAAGTAAGGATAAGAGGGTTCAACAGATACACGACAAGGAGGTTTTTCGACCCTCCGTGCACTCTGACACGCGACAGAGGGGTAAAGGTCAAAGTGGGGATAAACTGCTGGATCTACGAACAGTTAGACGGAACTATTTGGAAGAGGCTGAGAGGACTTACATAGGTCGAAATACGGGTAGTTGGATGTCGCGGAGACAACGCTAGGACGGCGCTTCAACTGACCTCCAACTTCAACGGATGCAGCCGCTGGTGGGTAGAGACTAAAGAACGGATAGACGGGGGTATCTTCCAGTAATGACCCTCAATTTCGGCCACGATCTTCGCAAGAGTTAATTTACTCACAGATTTCGAGGTGGGGATATCCTGCAGCGAAGCGAGGAGCGGGTGCATTCAGGTTTATATCATCAGACGATTTGACGAGAGGATGAACTGGTGGTAGAAGGTCAGGATGCGATACCTGGGACGCAAGCTTAGACTCACCACTAGGATAAATCGCATCCAAGTTGTAAGGATAGACCGGTCGATCTTTGCCCCTCGTTTAGTAACATCTCTTCCAGGAAGAATAGCACCACATACAGATCTCGATGATAGGATAGTTGCGGGTCCCTTCAGTAACTGAAATGGCCGGCTTCTTTGGGGGCTCGTCGCTGTGAGTGCTAGGAAGTGGCACATAGATATACTCCAGGTTGTAGGGATAGATGGCGGGGTCTATGAAATAGAAAATGTCAGTCCAGCAGTCCACGTGGGGGGAAGAAGCGACGCACAAATCTCAAGGTATGGGTAGTATGACCTACTCTCCGGGATGCAGTTGATGTCAGTGAGCACCTTGCGTGGTTCAAGCGCGACAACTCGTGGGTAGATCTGAGTCATGTTGAAAGGATACACTGCGGGGTCTGCATGTCCATCAGCAAGAATGTCCTCAAGGTCCCAGAGAAAGAATACCTACAAAGGTCGAAGTGGGGGTACTGCACGACGAGAGAAACAACGGGTGCGGGTGGCCTGCTGTCTTTCCGTTCAACGGGAACATTCATGTGAGAATATATCCTCTCTAAGTTGAAGGGGTACACGGCGGGATAAAGGTTAAAGAACGGATACGGAGCGCTGACACCAATGCTGACGGACTGCTGAGGTTGGACCTTGTTGGGAAATGACTCGAGACGTTGGGGGTAGACCCGCTCAAGGTTGAAGGGATAAACCGCAGGGTAGATGTCAAAGTAAGGGTACCGGACGATGGAAGACTCCGAGACCAATGTGGGTCGAGAAACCGGTTCGTAGATACGCGCAAGGTTGTGAGGATAGCCAGTCCGATCCACAGGAGCTGGTACTCTCACTTGAACGGAGGTTACGACTGCGCTTGTTACAGGGGAATCTACATCGAGTGAGCACCTGTATCCAACAATGAAAACTGTGGCCCTTACAAATAACTATGTTGGGGTAATCCGAGGGGGAAAGGACGACCTTCTGGCCAGACGTTGAAGCAGCCTGGGGCTGGAGCACAGCGGGGTACAAATCGAAATGAGGATAACCTGAACAGCCAGGTTGGTCAATAGTCAATGTCATGTCACCCATTCAAAATAAGGGGAACAAACCTTCCGACGGAGACTGCTGCTTCTTGCCAAATCTCTGTTTGATGACCGGGGGAATGACAGGAACCCGCGCTGCACTTGATTGCTGGGAACGCTGCGTGGTCTGGCGATTGTAGGGCCACGCATGCCTCCATGGACGGTCACCTTGTTCCACGTCGTCAAATGCTCTTTGACCTGCATCTGGGCTGGGGAGTCTGTAAGGACTCAACGGGCTAGAAGGCCCTGTTGATGCCCCCCAACTGGTGGCAGTGAACGGCGTTGTTGGTCTACTGAAATCACCTCTGAGTCCGAGGTGAACCGAATGGGAGGACACCGGACTGTCTGGGTACCAACCATCATCTGAGGCAGGGCCCCAGGTGGTGGCTGTCCCAGGAGTGGAAGGTCGGCTGAAGGTGGCCCGGTAGCCGAGGTCAATGGAAGCTTGATACTCTTCGCTTGAAAGGGAGTAAGCGTAATGGCTTGGAGCACCCCATGAAGTCGTCGTCAATGGTGTGAGCGGCGCTTCCTCGTACATCCGGTGGGCAAGGTCTGGTGATGGAAGCCGTGATACGTCAGAGAGCGGGAATTCGAGACTGTAGTCCGATGGGCCTGGAGAGGTGCAATACGACGCTGTGGACGCTACCGAACCGTTGACACGGTCACAAAGGTGAACTGATGGTACATAGATGTCTGCCGAGAAGGAGGCATTATCGTCCGGGCCCACGCTTGACACCGACCACTGGTAGTCTTCTAGGCGGAGAGACTCTGTGGAGGGGGTAGAGGGTGCGGGAACTGAAGGAGGCTCAAAACTGGATGGTATCGCTTCTGGAGAAGCGATTGCCGTTGCACGCCACGTATTGACCTTGTTATCCAATTCCGCTCTTGCAGATTGCGGTTCCTCTTGCTGTTTAATTGGAGATAGAATGTGGGAGCTGACAGGAGCGCCCGAAACCAGCAGAGTATCGTTGGGGAGGTGGGGGATCTCTGTGCTCTGAATTGAACCGACATCAAATCGTTCGACAAGCGAAAGTTTCCGTGGTACATGTCGCGCGGGGACGGGAGCACTGTGCTGTTGGATGGACTCGGGAAAATCGTCGGTCACAACGCTGTGAGGGAAGGTGAAGCGACTGTCCCCACGGTGATGCTGGGGAGGTGCAGTACTAGAGCCGTTGTAGAATGGGTAATCCATTGGCTCTCGTTGGCGTGATGATAGCCAAGCACCATACCAACGAGCCTTTCCTGTGTCGATGTCGAATTCCAGTCTGCCGGCAATGGGTGGTCTGCGTTCACGGGCTTGGGGTGATACCTCATGCAGACCCCAGATGGTAGTCCAAATCTCTTCTGACAACCTAGGCGTCATTGTGATAGCGCCATCGGTGTAACAATAGTAGAGGCAGAGTCCTGTGATGCTAGGGAAATTGAATTCCTTTGCAATGGCGGTCAATTGGCCATACATCTGTGACAATAGTTAGATGAATTCAATCAGAACCGGCTTCGGACTGACATTGGGAAACAATGGCATAATGATCCCTTGAGAAAGACGGTGCAAAGGCCCGGAAGAAAGGGTCTGCCCCAAGTTTCCATGTTCCTGCACAACCGCGACGGGAGGGACTACGACGACCAAAAGTTTGGATGAAAGGCTCGGAGTGCGTTCGCGGCTCTCTGCTCTATTTCCGGGACTGTTGTAGAAGATGGACGGCTGTCGTCGTATCCGGGGTACGGGAGTATCTGAGACCAGCGCAGGTCCAGCGATGGATGCGCTGTCGCCAACGAAACCCGCCGATGAGCTTCCGACTGTTGGGTGACGTTGGGGGGCTATTACGGGGGAGGGACCATTGAATGTGACATTCGTTTCCGGCGGGCTAGGAGGGGCGTTCATGGCAAGTTTCAGCGGGTACATTGCAGGTCGTCGAGCTGCAAAGATATTGGATTTAAAATTGGCCTGATCCCAGGGTAACCAACGCCGAGCAAACCTGGTTGAGATTCCTGCCGCAGGCCGGTGCAGGTTCAGACTTCCGAATGAGCGTCTAGGGCTGTAGCGAGTGAACGTTGCCTCTCCTGGAGGAAAAAGGGACCAAAGAAAGAAAAAAGAGAAAGTAGAGAAAACGAAGGAGGAAGAAAGAGGAAAGAGGGATAGGAAATTAGGAATTGACGGTTGCTCTGTTTCTCAGCATCAGACTGGGTGGTTACAGGGGCCGTGATCTCTCTCAAGAGTCAAAGTCTGCGCGTGACGCGATCTGATATTAGCCACTGCGCCCCTCTTTCATCATTTACTTCGTTGAACTGTGGACAACATGGACGCAAAACTTGCCCAGTTTGCGGCTCTGAACCAGAAGGACAAGGCACCAGCATACACTTCCTTGGTCCCAGAGGTCCTCACCCAACCACCGCCCTCAATCCCAAACGACGTCCGCACTCTTCTCGATGCCGTCGTGGTTCGCGATGTAGGGGGGATCGTGGTTGCCAGAACCGTGTTATCAGAACTTGTTAAACTCTTGGGAGAGGGCACTATCAAAGACCATGACATCCGGAGACGGGTTATCGAAGAAACTCTGGAAACCATCCAACCCCGGCTTGTTAGCTATGAGGAACAGGTGATGCAACTTGGCCGTCTTGTCCATACCGAGATGCCAATCTTAGATCTTTACTAGGCCAACAACTTGCGATTCCAGCTTGCAGATATCCTGGAAGACGAGGAAGATTGGAGTGGTGCTGCCAGAGTGCTGATGGGGATTTCTCTCGATTCGGGTCAGCGGTGCGTACTCCATGAAACTGGCGCGAGTTCCCTTTGTCCTTGACAAATCGCATATAGAACCACAGGAGACGCAGACAAGTTTAAGGTCTACGTCCGGATCGTTCGTTTGCTCCTGGAAGAGGAGGACTCTGTACAGGCAGAAACGTATTATAACCGAGCAGCGCTGCTTGTCCACTCGATCAGCGAACGGGAGATACTGCTCCAATTCAAACTCTGCCAGGCCCGTATCAGTGATTACAGTCGTAAATTCCTAGAAGCTGCCAGCCGATACCATGAACTCAGCTATGTCGGAGAAATCGACGAGGAAGAACGACGACACATGCTGTGAGATCTCGCCTATTCTGTTGGTCTGACTTGGGAAATAACCTGTACATGTCTAGATCTGCAGCAGTGACATGTGCCGTACTTGCTCCAGCTGGACCCAACAGATCTCGCGTTCTTGCGTCTTTATACCGCGACGAACGAACAGCAGAGCTTCCCACATACAATGTCCTATCTAAAATGTTTCTCGATCACATCTTACGCCCTGCAGAGATCAAGGAGTTCGAACGAACGCTCAAGCCCCACCAACTGGCCAAGATTGCAATTTCTTCCAATGACAAACTTGCCTCTGTGAGCCATGACGACGACGATGGTACGACGAGCACGAGGACGGGTCCTTCTACAGTATTGGACAGGGCAGTCATGGAGCACAATCTCCTTGCAAGTTCCAACATCTACAACAACATCACGTTCCGCGGTTTGGGCGCTTTGCTTGATCTGACTCCTGGCGCTGCCGAAACCATGGCGAGAAAGATGATTGAACAGGGCCGGCTACGGGGACACATCGACCAAGTTGACAAACTCATTTGGTTCGAGGGCAAGAAGGAAGAGGATGATGCACAAGGCAAGGCAGGCGGTTTGGGCGATGTAGAAGAGGCAGAGGACACAGGATCCCCGTTCACGAAGCGATGGGATAATCAGATCCGGCTAACGGCAGCCCATGTAGGCCCATCTAACCTTTTCCCGTTCCATTGGATGTAATCTGACTCCCCCTCCAGGTTGAATCTATCGTCCAAAACCTGACAGAAAAGGGCTTGGTTTCTCTCATGCCGTTGACCGCTTGATTCCTCGTAGATCACAATAGGCTCTCTTCGATGTAGTATCCTATTGTACCAATACAACTAAAGCAACACATTGCGCAAGAAATCGACTATAAAAGCAAGAGAATATCCAATGAGATACGTGGTGCGTAAAATAACAAAAGATCGGAAGGACGAAGATCGAAAATATAACTAGTACTATACGGATGATATCACAAATACGCACGAGCTATCTCAAGCTGAGGGTTCAGAATTTTGGGTGCTTTCATGTAGAACCTGTCATAGAACTGGTCCTGGATCGCCTTGCCGTTCCCATTACTAGCGCCAACCTTGATCGCACATAGTGCTCGGAACGCGACGTCGAAAGGAAATTGCGCTCCGTAGCTTCTCCCCTTCTCGTGGCTCTTGAAGCAGTAGAAGAAATAGGCGTAGGACGCCTTGAACGCAGAAAGGTGGGATTCCACCGTATGCATCTTTGCGGGGTCAGGCTTGGCCGCGAAGCGCTTGGATAATGCCCGGATGATGTCCTGTCGTCTTTCGATAGGAAGTTCTGTAAAACCAGCTCCTTTTCGAGGAGATATCTTCTGCGGAGAACCTCTCTTGTGTGGAGAAGAGCCGGAGTCACCGGAACCTTGGCACAGAGCCAAGCGATGGTCCTCCCATATCTCCTGAATGTGATGATAGACCAGTTTGATGTCCCTTCGATATCCCTCCTTCTCCTCCTCATATGGTTCCCCTGGCTTTACGATCGTCTTCCAAACGGCAAGTGCCCCTGCAAAGTCGTACGTCGCTGGCTTCTTCTCATCGCACTTCTTCAACACATCATAAAAGGGCTGGAGCAAGGTTTCATCGAACGCGAGCTTGTGACCAAATTTGGCATAGTGTGCGTCTACTTTGACGAGCCACTCATCCCGATTGCTCGCCGAGGCCTGGTAGAGGTGGTCCATAATGAAAGTAGGGAGGTTTTTTGGGCGCTTGAGATTGAGTTGATTGGAGTTGGAGTTGTGCATCATTTTGTCCTTTTCTTCCTCTGTCTCCTTCCACGCTGGGGCTCGATGGTTGAATTCTCTGCTGTCTCTGTCCAGTACGTCCTTCTTGACCTTCATGCCCGTTTTCGACCCGTCGAGCGTCAAACAAAACCTACAGCAGACTGTCAACGAGGGCGTCAAATCAGTATCCAGACGCAACGCACATGTGAGCGAGACGGATAGCCTTGGGATGTGCAAAGCCGTATTTGTAGACAGCATTGTCGTGAAAGTTGGAGTACTTGCCAACGGCGGACGTATCCGTTACAGCATCAAGAAGATATTTTTGGATCTTCCTGACGCGTTCTACGGGCGGTGCTTTTGCGTTCTGGGCCAGAAAGTCGGCGACTGAGATATTTGTAGTGTCTGCCTCGAAGTTGGCTTCCTTGAAAGCATCATCCGGAGGATCTCCGTGGCTGGGATCGGCCGTTTTGAACGGGTCCACAATCTTTGGATCCCATATTACGGTGACCTTGTCACCATCATAGTCGCCTACACGGGTTTAGTGTAGGGCCTAGCTATAGGTCTAGTGACAAGTAGGACATACCACCAGCGAGCCAGTCAGCGGCGCGGCGAGCTCCTTTGGTCGACAGAACGACAACATCAACAAGGTCACGCAATTCTGGTCTATGGACCGCCCTCCACTGAAGTCAAAATGTAAGTGACAACCTTCAGTGGCGATGGCGTTGCGTCACCTACTTTCTGGACATCCGTAGGAAGTTTACTAGGATTGCGAGTGACCAGCACATCTCCAATCAGCTCGTCTGTGAGGGTTCCATTCGGTCGTAACAAATTCCGTGACGAAGACTTGAAGTAGATCTCTCCTTCTTCCAGAACCCCGCGAGTGTCTGGTAAGAGCGTCAGCAACATCGCCCAACGGAACGTGGTGAGCTTTATACCTGGGATAATCCATGCAGAACAAGACATGAGAGCCGTCATCCGATACGTTTTCGAGATGTTCTTGATAAACCGACGGATGATGTGCTTCAACTTCTCCCTTTGTACATGGCAGGACTGTGGCATGAAACCGGAGTCGAGGAACTCCAGAACCGTCTCTTCGAGGGAAGATGGGCAACCACTGATGGGGTCAGCCCACCACGCAGGCGCCTTCTGTTCCGCTAGGTCGAGTTGCGTGAAGCCATCCTCGTCATCCCATTCGTTTTCATCGAGATCGCGTTCAGAGTATCCTTGAACGCGAGCAGTCCCCGCACTCTCCCTTGCCCTCTTTGCCGACAAGACACCGCCAAGCTTTTGCACCAAATACCAGAGGGTGTGGGCCGAATCATCGCTGTCCCACTGAAGCAATGGTGTTACGATAGCAGAGATGCACTCGCTCAGCAGGCCGATGAAGACTTCTTTAGGAACCTTGTTTTCTGCCAGGTTGATGATCGTCTCCACTGACAGTCGACATTGCGTCTTCGTTTGGGAGGCGCGAAGAACATCGATCACTCGGTGGACTGGGTCGCAATTTTCAAGCCTGTAGAAGATTTTCCGCTGCGACGGGGTCAACCAGACGATGGGTTCTTGCTCGTGGTCGCCATCCGTATCGTCCACCAGCAGGCCCTAGGAGATGATTAATTGAAATAAAGAACGAATAACGACAATACTACCTTACTACCAAACACTCGAACTTGGATTGCGGTAGGGCGATAATCCCAACCTAGGTTCCGATGCAATTGCGTTGCTACCATGCGGCTCATACTGCCAGCACCGTCAGTCATAACGGACCCAGTCTCAGGGTGCTCTGAAGTGAAGTTCAGTGGTTATCTACGGACGGACAAGCAAGATCGAGTCACCGATATCGTCTTTGAAACGGATGTTCTCAGGTTTCAAAAGAAGTCCTGGAACCGAGTTTGAAAGACCGAGAGCAAAGCGAGATGCCCATTTGGCCATTTTCTACATGGCTTGGATAAGTCGCCATGTCGCTGAAATACCAACTACATGGGCGCACCTGATTGGTGGTTGCGTCCATAGGGTTGTGAAAGTCGAGGAAATCGAAAAAGGACGGCACGTCCTTTATCAATGGGTCCGGTATGAACATCAGCTTGTCCATGTCTTCATTAGTCTTGACGAAGAAAACGTTCTGTTCTTTCGCATAGAATGCGCGGTAGACGCCCCCGCAAATGACAAACGGCCTTGCTAGAAACTGCAGGAGGTCTTTGTGACCCTGACTTCCCTTCATGATTTTTAGTCGAAACAGATTCTTGCTCCCAAATCTACGCGCAAGCTGGGTAGATGGGCCGAGTGTAGGACGTTCCAGCCGCACCCTGAAACCAGTGAATGGGTCGTGATGAAGGCTTCCCCTAAATTCTACCTTCCCACCGTATTCGCCTGTCCACTGCCCGTTCTCATCGAATCCCAGATTCGCGAGTGGATTTCCACTTCGAAGCCGATCTTCTTCTTTGTCGAGTTCTTCCCAAGGGCTCTGAGCCATTTCTTAAGATTTAGTCCCGCTGAAGGTTGAGATGACTCACCAAGGCCGCGTCTTCTTTTGCATACCGTGCAGAAAACGGATCCGATTCTGAAACCAGAGGTGAGAATCACAATTTCGACGACGAGAGGTGCGGGCATACCGTCCTCCCCCAGCTCATCCTCAAGGCCTTTGATCATGGACTTCATCAACTTGGCAGCTTGAGGCACAGCCGCCACATTGGTTGGGAAAGACTCTAGCTTGTTGAAGTGCTCCGGTGTGAGGCTGGTAAACGATACTCGACCGCTAGCTATCACCCAGCGTCCAATTTCCCATCTCGCACCAAATGGTATTCTGTTGAAAAAACCCATTGTTTTTCTCCATGACTGCCGATTGCCTGTGTGAGCTAAGTAGGAATAAATTGGGGCGTAATGTTCACATACCAGAATAACCGGTTCTGTAGCAGCTTCTGCCGCTTTGGATTGGGTAACATCCGCCCCAGATTTGGCATCAACCGGCGGAACCAGATTTGATTCCGCCTTGAAGAGCAAATTCGATTCTGAACGGGCTTGCTTGAACGGTCTGGAGGGCGGAACTGGTGTTGAATTATGATCCTCTTGCTTTCGTTTTCCCAGAGTGAACGATTTGGACGCCGGTTTTACGGTCCCGTCTGTCACGGTACTCGACCCCGTTGAAGTTTGAGTCAAGGGTACCTGATCGAAGGATGAGGCAGCACTACCGCCTGCTTTGGGTTCGGTAGGCTGCGTGCTGTCTGAGTGATTGTATGGCATGAGCGACGAGGATGGAGGACTAAGAAGCCGAGTCGACGCACATTGCGCAATTAACCCAGAGATGTCGTCTTCGGGACTGATGCTGAAGCTCGAGCTCTAGCGTTGGATGGATATCGGAAAGTAGCAGGAAGCGAAGTGAAGCAGAGTGAGTTGGTTAGTCTGAGTAAGGAACGAAGGCTAACGCGCTTAACGGACCTGAGAGGGGCTCAAGCCGCCAGCTTCGTTGGAGTCGTCCCAAGAATGTCCTGCCAGAGCACACCTGTCAATACCTCGGTCGGAAAACTTGGAGAAAGGCCTTTACCATCGGCATCAGCAACGAGTGCATTTCGTCGTTTAATCGCCTCTGTCAGATGGGTGGTCTTTGGAAGCGTCGCGCTACGGCTCGTAGGCATAGATTGGCGTCAGAGACGGTCTTTTGACGCGTCAAAATGTTGGTTGTAGGAGAGAAGAGTGCAGGAAGCGCGATTCAGATGGTAGCAAGGGACGAAGAGCTGGTATTCATGGACCAGACGCGAAGTCGCTACTCAAACGGGCCAGCGCAGCGAGTTGAGCTTGGTGGTCGTTCCGCGTCAAGGGGAGGCTCTGATGGAATAACGGGGTTGATCACCTGATGACCTATTGCTCGTTCCTGACCTTCCAAGTTCTGTCGCTAAGTACGAAGGTCAGCGTTCAGACCCAAAAGGCCAACTGCATGCTACAATTCGCTGTATGGACAGTCGAGTTTAGGCCTTTTCTCAGTAGTGGTTCGAACATTTCACTTGAAGCCCTCCGACCATTGCCTATAGCTCTACTTACATTGCCGTACGGCCAGCGGTAGACGACTTGATCGATGTACAGAGCAAAGCGTAAAAAGAGTTGATCACGCGGAGGACGCGCTGCCAGGGAGTGCCATGAATTTCTGATGCTCATTACCCGACGCGCTTGTCATCCTCACTCACCAATGTCCTCTCTCAACTCGTCTCTCAATTCTCTAGTCTGCTCACTCGTACCTGTTGCACGGGCAAACTCAGTGCTGAGGCAAGAACTCCTCGAGCAGTGTCAGGATATTCTTTCCAGGTAACTATCAACTGCATGTTCACGGAGAACTCTCTCAAGTGAAATCTCTAGCCATATAGGACACAACAGCGAACGAGACCTTAACCAACTGGCTGACTCTGTAAAGAGAAGATGTAGGAGAGTGTTATCTCCAGCATGTCCCTGTCTAATCGCGTTTTAGTGCTGGTCGAATCTCCCAACGGAACCGATGCTCTAAAGTTCACCAATCTCTTGTCGCGTCTTCTCAAGCAAGTACGCCTCGGCTCATCTTGATTACTTTCAAACTCTTATCGTCGTATAGAATGCAATATCTCGCAAGTCCGAAGTGATCTCGTTCCTCACGTCTGTAGCGTCTCAAGAAATCCCCAATTCAACACCCATGTTTGCCCCGCGTCCATCCTCTTCCAGTTCTCGGCGTGCAACAAGGACAACGCGTGCATCCACACCGGCCATTGAAATCGACTCCAGGAAGCAACCTATAGGCAAGTCAAAGGCCGAGCTTCTGAAAGAGTATCGAAAATCAAGAGGTGCATCTTGCTGTCATCAACCAGTCAATTCCGTTCTTGACACTAGACCGCAGGGCAAAGTCAGATACCAGAGATACTCTTGTTGCGCGATGCGATCTATATCCTGCAAGGTATATCAGGGAAGTTTATCCATTTTGCATCCAACGACGAAGAAGTGGATAAAATAGTGTTTGTGGAAGACTCGGTGAGTATTGAGTTCTACCATCATTGGCTGAAACTAAATCGCGTTCAGACATATATCATTTCCACTCCTACCAAAACTCTCGTGCATCGTTTGGCAGAGCTTGGATACCTCTACCGGCGGGTGAACAACTTCATCAGAGAGCGGGAGGGAGCAGGCGCTATAGGCATGATCGAACAGAGGCTCTGCCATCATCTCCAGTCCCAATTGAACGAATATTATCGGCTGATTGCCATCCTGGAGACTCAGATGCTCTCCAGTAATCCACAACTCTCTACTTTAGGCGAATCTTCCGAAGATGGCAAGAATGAAACTGGAGTCTCATTGAAGCGATTGGACGTCTGGCTAAACGACTGGCGGCTGCGGATGCAGATGATGAGTGTTTGCGTCGAGAGGGCAAGGGGTATGCACGTCTTCTCATTGAAGCAGTGTCTGCTCTAACACACAGTGACAGAATCGCAAGGTGGAGCTCTAGTCAACCTGATTCACAGTTATACGGACAACGGCGACCCATTCATCAGGAAATTTACTCACCAATTACTCGAAGAGGTGTGCCACTTCCCCAAGGTCTTCACCAGTGTCCTGACTCGTCATAAGGTGTCAGCTCCCTTCTTCTCGACTCTCCACAAATGGTTGTTCTCGGGAGAACTCTACGACCCCTTTGGCGAGTTTTTCGTAGCAGTTGATTCATCACTGGGTCCTGTTCAGACAGCCCATCCATCCTCATTATCTGGTGGAATCAATGAACTCCCTGGCGATGGAGGATTCGGGACGGGAAACGGGGAAGGCGAGGACGGTGCTCGGGAGCGGAGCGGGAAACTCTGGGAGACAAAGTACCAGTTTCGGAAAGCAATGCTTCCTCATTTCGTCGGCGAATCCTCCGGCAAGAAGGTGGATTCTACCCCTTCTCTTCCAGCGCATGGAGCTAACGCAAGCCAGATTTTCTCCACAGGAAAGAGTTTGAACTTCATTCGGTACAGCTGTCATGACAGCGATTGGGTTGTCACGCGTGAAAAGATGAGCTCTTTCCGAGGCAGTAAGTATTGCTTCTCTTGACTATTCGCCGTGATATACTGACCGCCAGTAGCCCTCAAATACAGCGACGTCGGTGGTCTGGAAAAGTCGATTGACTCGGCCTATCGCCTGGCCAGCCATCGCTTGTTCGAAGTGTTCATCGAAAAATTTAAACTTCTGGACCATCTGAGTGCCCTCAAGAATTATATGCTCCTGGGTCATGGTGACTTTGCTGATCAGCTGATGGAGGCGCTGGGGTGTGCATCTCTCGTCCGCTTTCCTTCGCGCGTACCTGACAAGCATGAATTTCAGCCCGAGCTTAGCTAGAGCAGCCAATACGCTATACCGACATAACCTGACTGCAACGCTTGAAACCGCGATTAGAACATCGATTGCCCAACACGACCCGCCGGAGGTGCTCCGCCGATTAGACGCCCGAATGCTCGAATACTCTCACGGAGAAATCGGTTGGGATGTCTTCACTTTGGAATATAAAGTTGACACGCCTATCGACACCGTCTTGGACGACCGGGCCATGGAGGGATATCTGAAGCTGTTCCGACATCTGTGGCAAATGAAAAGAACGGAGAAAGCTCTGGACAGAGCCTGGATGAGAATAATCAGTGGTGCACGAGCATTCCTTCGCTTACCAGGTATCGGCGCTTTTGACACTCTTCTATTTCACACTCACTGACGGGGGTTGTTCTCTGATGCCTCTCAGAATTGGAGCACGAGTGGCACAAGATTCGTATCACCGTGGCAGAAATGATCCACTTCATCCGCCAACTAGGAGCCTTTTGTCGCTTGGAAGTCATCGAATGCTCATGGAACGGGCTTATCGAATTTTTGGACAAGAAAGAGGGCGATCTAGACTCGCTGATCAACGCACATAGATCATACCTCGATCGAGTCGTTAAGAAGATCTTCCTGCTTAACACCAATTCGAGGTCTAAAGAGGCGAGGATCAAACCCTACACTCGGGCGCTTAGCACCTTCTCACACGGTCTATCACAGGAACTGGTCTTAAACTTGGTCAAAGATTCTTTTTCGACCGTGTTGATGTACCGCGAAGCGTTGGTGAGTCCTAAGACACTCCCTGTGCTAACAGACCTGTAACTCAGGGGGCTACAGGATAACCTCTACAACTACTGCCTTTCGGAAGCAGCCAAGAGAGATCAGAAGGCTGATCAAACACGAGTACGTATACAAATTACCGTTCGGCTCTTCTCGGACTTAATTGGTTGACCAGGGGGTGTATACTGGAAGACCCGAGAGCAGCTCTACAAACAGCGAAGAACACACCAGGGAGCTGACTGCACGGCTCCACCAATATGGTTCCGCTTTCACAGAGAGGGTCCACACCATCGTCCAACATCTCCAAGTTCACCCAGATCTAGACTGTCGCTTCTTAGCCATCCGCCTCTCCTTCTCGGACTATTACAAGAAGAACAAGGACAGGGCATGATTTCACTTTCTCACCTGTACTATATACTTCATATACCCATCTCATGCCAACGATGTCGTTTCCAAATAGATCCATTAGTCGATAAGTAAAGCAGGCGCTAATATGCTAGGTGATCAGAGCTCTTCCCGGTGGATGCCCTCAGCCTCCTTTTCAACAGGCTTCTGAGCCTCGGGCTCGTCAGCCTTGGGTTCAGCCTTGGGGATCTCAAGGCTGTTCTTGGCGTTGGCCTCGACGAAGGAAACGAGGCTCTCAAGGGAGCGGTCGCCCTCATAGTCAACGAATTCCTTGGAGCCAGCGGCCTTGAACTTAAGAGTGGGGAAGCCGCTGATGCGGAAGGGGACGGTGGGAGGAAGGTCGTTCTCAGGAACTTCAAACTTGGCACTGGAAAGAAAAGAAGAGTCAGTCGACGATCTTCCAAGTCGGAGATGGAAACTCACATGACGATCTTGTCCTTGATGGCGGCGTACTTCTCACCGAGTTGATCCCAAGTGGGCTTGAGACGCTTGCAGTGACCGCACCAGGTAGCATAGAATTCAACGAAGACATCCTTGCTGTCGTCGAAGACAACCTCCTCAAAGTTCTTTCCGACGAGAGTGTAGACAGGCTCATCCTGGGTTTCGGGGATAGGCTGGCTCTTGAGCGAGGGTTCGAGCTTGCCGGTGACGTAGCTCTCGAGGAACTCGCCAATGGCCTCAGTGGTGATAGCCTTGGTTTGGTCGAAGGGATATTTGAGTTGCTTGTCCAAATCCTGAACGACGAACGAGGGCCAGTTGGTGTCGGGGAGGTTGAGGGCCTTGCCGTGGTCACCGTACTTGACAGCGTCGATCCAGACAAAGTTGACCTTGGACTTGTACTTCTTGGCGACGGGCTTGATGAGTTCAATTTGGGCGTCCTTCTCAGGCTTGGAGGGGTCAATGAAGAGGTAGGCGAGGGGTTTGCCGCTCTTGGCGTAGAGACCGTAGGTCTCACCGTTGACTTCGTCGATGATGGGGATGGCGAGTTCAGCAATCCAGTCCTCAAGCTCCTTCTTGTTGGTGCCGGAGACGGGGTAGGGGTATTCGGTGCGAGGCTCATCGAAGGAGCGGTAGACGACGATGGCGGGAGGGGTGACACCGGCAGCAGCAGCGACGTCCTGGTCGGTCACAATACCGAAAAGGTAGTCGTCACGATGAGCTTCGGCGGCGGCGCTGAACTCAGGGGCGGGGGCAGCGGTAGAGGAAGGAAGGTAGGCAATGGCGACAATCTTGTCAGCCTTGGTGAATTCCTCGTGCTTGTCAGCGGTCACGTCAGAGACAGCGGGCAAAGATTGCCTGAGAAGGGGTGTCAATTAAAGTAGAGGCGAGAAGAAGGGAAAGGCGGCTCACTTGACCATGTAGCTGACGATACCGTCGGCCTTGCGAGGACCATTGTACTCGCTGTCCTTGCCGTTGCGATAGACCTTAAGGGTGGGGTAGCCCTGGATGCCCTTGGACTGGCAAAGGTCGGCTTCCTCAACACAGTCGACCTTGGCGAGCTTGATGTTCTTCTCCTTGAGGGTGGTGGCGGCCTCCTCGTAGTGGGGAGCGAGGGCCTTGCAGTGACCACACCTACATGGACACGGTCAGTTTCTCGTTGTCAACGTCGTCGAAATGGAGGGGGTACCGACCATGGAGCGAAGAACTCAACCAAGAGCAGGGGCTCTGAGTTAACAGAGGACTCGAAGTTGGCGGCCGTCAAGCTGATAACATCGGAGGCAGCCTCAGCGAAGACCAGAGAGGCGAGAGTCAAGAACGAGGCCGGTACTACGAGACGCATTTGGAGGAGTTTGGGAGAAAGAGTGAGCGGTCCAATCGCGGTTTATAAACCAGCGACACGTATAATCCGCGACTGACGTGTCACTTGTGGTGACAGATCATCCATCTCCCGGACTGTTTCATAGTAATCTAGGCGCCTCACACGGACACGGAGAAGCAACCATAATTCTCCGCTTTAGCCGAACAATTCGTTTCCACCACGTACCCACAACAAATCAATAATAACATTATCATCTATTAGACGAGCTACATGTAATTTAGAGGACACCGAGATCGAAGTTACTGCCATGTTGGTTACCGCTTGCATAAGTTCTAGCCTGTGGTGTGAACTGTCTTGGCGGCGGGAAATCTGAGACAGGGAAAGTATGCGGACCTGCATTCGGAGGAGGTGAGGGAACTGTTTGTGGGCCATGTCAGTGATATTGTGTGTCACCTGAACGAGAGGAGACACGTACTTCGTCGACGTGGTGGGGGAGGGCGTCCCGACACAACCGGCGGCGCCCTCGTTGGAGGCGCGAGCGCAGCGTGCGTGGGGGGACTGTTGGGTCGTCTCGGGGGCGGAAGAACTGGTCGACTAGGGGAAGAGCGACCATCAGGAGATCCTGATCTATCATTGAGCTCGGCGAGCACGCTGACTCGTGCTGGGGGTGGTGGAGGGGCCGCAGGCGGGCCCTTGCGGCCAGGAGGAGGAGGAGGTGGCGGTGGGGCAGCTCTGGCCGGTGAGATAGGTGCGCCAGGACGAGGGGGAGGAGGCGGAGGAGCTCTTCCCAATCCACTTCGGGAAGGAATCGGAGGCGCCGCTCGAGTGACCGGTGATTGGTTGGGAGATTCGGCTCGAGGAGGAATTGGGGGAGTTGCTCGCGAAGGGGAATCAGTTTCACCTGAGACCGGTGGCGGCCTGCGGGGAGGTGGAGGCGCCGCGGAGCTAGGAGATGGTATAGCTCTCGATGGCAAGGTTGGTGCCGTGCGGTTGGGCACTGGTGGAGCAGAGGCAGTCGGCCTTGGTGGTGGTGCTGGCGAGGGCCTTGGAGGAGCTGGTGGTTTAGCCTGCACTGCTGGCGATGGAGGCGCACCTCCCAGCTTTGGAATTGCAGGTGGTTTGGCTAGATTTGCAGGCTTGGCTACCAATTGAAATCGAATTACTTAGTTGAATCTCAAGTACCGAAAGGGAATCACTCACCCAGATTGCTTTGGCCTGCAGGCTTGAGCTTGGGCATTCCTCCAGCGAAGAGTCCTGCAAGTTGCGGAGGACCTCCGAGTGCTGGGCCACCGCCGCCGTCGCCGCCTCCAATGGAAGCACCTCCCCCAGTAGATCTCTTCACACCTCCCCCGTCGATAGCTGGGGCACTGCGGTCATTTGTCTCTGCTTTCTTGAGCCTTTTACCTGCTTGAATTTGGGCTAGGAGCGCAGAGGAAGCCATGATGGCAATCGATGTCGGGAGAGAAAGGCAAGACCTCTGCCCTATTTGTTTGTGTGACGCTGTACTCCCAGACGGCTATGTTTGTCAGTGGCGTCATATTCCCATTCAACTCAGGACTGCGCGTCCGCAGCGACATGCAACCGACGCACAGGTGAATACACTGTCAGGCATAGCACTTTGCCTATTATTGAAAAAAAAATTATTATACTATCTACTCTACAACCTTCGTCGAGAAACAAGGCAACTGGAATAAAACAGGGATAACCAACGCTTGGCACAGAACATTAAATACCTCACCGATGCATTGAGGCTAGCCAGGGTTACGATGCTGGTCCGGATGTGATGCTCAGACATTGGTAGTGACCCATCCTTTCCGACATACCAGCGCGATATAGTACAGCTTAATAGGGCTTGTGTCGGTTCTTCTTCAGCTCTTTCTCAAGTTGCTTCGCCTTGCGATGACCAATTTCAACAGGTCGGATGGCAGTGCTATCCGCCTTCTTCAGTTTAACTGGGCGGTTTCCAACGTACTTGCCTGTGTTGTAGTTCGTCAGCGTGCGCTGGATAGTAGGACGAATGTACTCACCATCCATCTCTTTCCAAGCCTTCAAAAAGTCTTCAGGATCCGAGAAGGCTACGAACCCATACTTGGCCTGGGTTGGCGTTAGTGCGAGTCCAGTGGCATACTTCATTGATACGCACCTTTTGACTCAGCCTATCTCTGATAACACGGGCCTTTGTAAAGGATGGGTATTTGTTGAAAGCATTCGCCAGAACATCGTCAGAAACATCATTGCTCAAATCACCAACGAAGAGTCGGAACCATGCTGGTCTAAAGGTCAGCTAAATTAAACAAAAAGCATCAAGAAATAGAACGCACATGGATTCCACTCCAAAAGTGTTTGATCCTCCCAAACCTTTCCTCCACCTTTACGCAGCACAGTCGTACGCTTTCCACCCTTTGCAAGTTTACCGCCAGCTCCACCTCGTTTGTCTATCATGGCACCAGGGACGTACACACTTTGTTGCGCAAGGATTCCAACATCGTACTCGTAGGCATTGGCGGGAACAGGGGCGCTGTGGGAGGAGGACGTGCCGGGAATGGGGTAAGACGGTCCTTGATATGGCTTGTAGTATGGGTTCACATCGTACGCAGCCTGTTGCTGCTGTTGGTATTGCTGGTGATATTGGGCGTTGGCGTAGGGGTCCATGCCGTTGTTGACTGGTCGTGGAATGGAACAGAACTTGGTCTCGTGTGCCAAGGTGACGGTGTGCCGGTTTTCAATCTCCGATGCTTGCGGGGTTCAACTTGCGTTCACTGCCAAATGTTGTCCCGCGATTCAATCCATCTACGCATTGATATTGCACGGCAAATTCGATCAATAGTTTCGCTGAATGAGACTACAAAACATCCAATTTTTCTTTAAAACGTTTCCACCAGCAATACCTGGCCGTTCTTTCGTCAAATAATCCTGAAAACGAATAGCCCACCAGGGAGAGGTGGCGGGACATCGGTCGAGGGATGCTACATCTCACGGGTTAGTGGTGCCCCCCCATGGGCGCTTAGCAGCGCCGGCCATTCAATTCAATCTCCGCTGCCACGTGCACAGCCACAGAGCGACCCAAAATCAACACAATCAACACACCAGCGAAGGCGTCCCCAACCCCCCTCGTCGACACCTCAAGGTAAGGTTCGCGACGTTGAAAAGCTGCCCGTGCTTCCTATCAATCGTTTTGTGCGGTGGGTTATGCCAAAAATCGCGCTGAGACGATGGATGCACGAATGGGTAGCGTTAGATGGACTTTGGCTGATTTTTTGGCCCCCAGATGCCCTTCGTCAAGAAGCAGAAGACCGACGCCTACTTCTCCCGTTTCCAGGTCAAGTTCCGCAGAAGGAGAGAGGGCAAGACCGATTGTACGTCGTCCAGAAAATCGTATTGTGCGATCCCGCTAATTTCACGACTAGACTATGCCAGGAAGCGCCTCGTTACCCAGGCTAAGAACAAATAGTATGCATCCTCCGAGGTCCCTCGAATTGACCCAGTCGTTGACGGTCTTGTTTAGCAATGCCCCCAAGTACCGCCTAGTCGTCCGCCTCACCAACAAGGACATTATCGTCCAGGTCGTCTATGCTCGCATCCAGGGCGACTTTATCCTTACCCAGGCTCACTCAAGAGAGCTTCCCCGATATGGCATCAAGCACGGTCTTACTAACTGGGCTGCAGGTGTGTAAAAGTGTAGTTTTGGTTAGCCTCTCGTTGGCTAACTTTGTACTTTTTTTTTAGCCTATGCAACTGGTTTGCTTGCCGCCCGCCGAGCTTTGACCAAGCTTGGTCTTGCTGACAAGTACGAGGGTGTCACCGAGCCTGATGGTACTCTCCAAATTACCGAGGCTCTTGATGATGACGATGCTCCCCGACCATTCAAGGCTTTCCTCGATGTCGGTCTCCGACGAACTTCCACCGGTGCCCGTGTCTTTGGTGCCATGAAGGGTGCCAGCGACGGTGGTATCTACATTCCTCACTCCGAGAAGCGATTCCCCGGCTACGACCCAGAATCCAAGTCTCTCGATGCTGAGGTCCTGCAGAAATACATCTATGGTGGTCACGTTGCTGAGTACATGGAGAGCTTGGAGGAGGAAGACGATGAGCGATTCAAGAAGCAGTTCGCCTCTTATCTCGCTGACGATATCGGATCCGACGATATCGAGGACATTTACAAGAATGCCCATGCCGCCATCCGGGCCGACCCCACCTTCAAGCCCACCACCAAGACAAAAGACTGGAAGGCCGAGTCACTCAAGTACAAGGTCCCCAGGCTCACCCTCGAGCAGCGCAAGGAGAGGATCGCCGAGAAGATCGCCAAGTTCCAGGCTGGTGGCTTCGACGAGGACGACGAGTAAATCTCTTTCTTTACCTGCACCTTGCATCCAAAAATTCCTCTCGCATTTTGTATGTAGGATTCGCATTAGGCTTTCATTATGCACGCTATGATATGACCACACGCATAAACGTTACGAGTTTTGCTCAATGAGGTTTTGAACCCAAGTCAGAATAGATCCGTGTGTTTCGGCGTAGTGGTGACTTGCCCGTTTCCCGGATTTGTTGTCCAAACAGAAAGCCGCACAGTTGATCTTCATATCTGCGTCGAAGGTTATATGAAACGTACTGCGACAGCGCCATTGGTGAACCGGTGAAGTTCAGAATTTCGTTATTTACTCACTATACGAACGCCTCCCATCGAGCTACCAGGTGATTTAGGTCAATAAACCACGTTCCGCCGCGAAGTTTCTCTCCAAGTTGACATATTTGTTGCAGGATGAACCTCTCGATTTCGGTTTTCAAAAGTTGCGAAAGCTGGGGCAATGAATACACCTGTAGGGTGGCTTGTGCCAGGTGAGCGTTGAGATTCGATGGTGCCACGAATGTCAATCGTAACGTTTGTCTGAAATGACGCTTAGTAGCCGTCGAAGAGAGTGCAGGGACCAACATACTTGTTCTCGATTCTCAAGATAGCTTCTCCACTTGCATGTCGATGCCTTGATTCGGTAAAGATCTGCACGATTTCTTCCCCCGTTTCGCCAACGGCATCGAATACGACTTCCGCCGGAACGCCAACAGCGTTTAGTCCACGCGATGCATATCTAAGTTCTTTCTCTAGACGTTGACAGAAGACCTTGTACTGCAAGAAATCGATTATAGGCTGAAGCATATACGGCTGGTAGCCGATGGGATTAGGCGTTGGGAAGTTGCCAGAGGAGTTCAGTCTTTCGGCTTTGATGTATGCATGCCTTCGCAGCAAAAGTATGTGAAGTAGGTGATAGATCAATGCACACAATGGGGAAACTCTGTCCTCCGACGAAGCTTGGTCCTTAGTCTGGCAAATAGTATTTAGTGCAAGGAATGGCGGTGAGAAGAACCAATGCGCACCAACTCGAATCTCAGTTCTACGCCTTGGGAAGCGTCGATGACAATCAACCTTTCAGATACACGCGCAAGTGCTGTTGGTAGAGAGCTAGCTTCCTTGATGAGAGACGAAAAGATCTCTTCATCTACAAGTTCGAGCTGAGCCTCCCTCAACGACTCATTCAAATCTTCCGACTCGAGATTCACCGAATGTCGGTTAACAGTCCAATGTTCCGTGCCATCATCATTGCGATGAATAAGAGTCACTTTAATGCGCATATGCTGGCGACGCGTGAACATCAATTGACTTCCGTCGCTGACATCTGAAAGGTACGCGATTCCTCTTCGCCGGATAGCCGGTGGAGCTTCAAAGAGCCGTCTTAGCAATCAAGCATTAAAAAAAGCGGCATGACTTACACTCCTCGAGGCCGTACAGAACCAGGAAGTCCCTGGCAGTCCTGTCGCTGTTCTTGCCTAGGAACGTTCCTGCAGGTAAAGGGGACGGTACCATTCGCCAGTTGTTGCCCCTGATCTTCAATGCATTTATCCAATACTGTTCGCTTTGCTCGTGCGTTCGTTGCATACGCTCGGCGACAGTGTTGAAGAGGCCGGCTGCCTTTCTCAGTGCTTCGTCCTTGGAGCCGATAACGATTTGGGCGTTGAACGCTTGCAATGACGGCAGTGAAGGGAGTTTGGAAACAACGGTCGCCGAAAGGCCCGCGGTTGGTGCATCGGTGGAGAGTGGGGGCTTTTGGGTGGTCGAAAGTACCGATTCGAGTATGTCTCTTGCCTGTGTCATCTCTCCCAGAGCAACGCTGACAGCTAGGTGTTATCCCCCGTGCAAACGCGTAGAATCAACTCACTATAGTTGAGGCAGCAATTCCGATCGCATAGCGTTGAGGTCCTCGAACGTCATGGGCTTGTGTTTCTCCTCTTTTTCTGGTTCCTCAGCCTCTTCACCGTCTGCGGTGGACGACTCTTGCGCGGAGGTGCCATCGGTCGTCCTCTTCTCGGGCTTTTCGAAAAAGTCAAATCCCCGTTCTTGGAATATTCGATGAAGATTGGACTTGAGTCGTTCATCCGCAGATTCAATGCTATGCTGGGGTTAGTGAAGCAGTCCATCCTCATCCATCCAATGGACTCAACGGTTCGTAGATGTATGTGCCGTCAGGCTGGATGTCGAGAACATTGGGAATGCGTTCACCGGAATCGTCTTTGTATGGTCTTTCAAGCGAAAGCTTGAGGTTTTTCCAGTCGCCGTTTCCTTCGGGTTCTGTTGGCCTTGGTGACTCTGCTGCTGTGCTCATTGTTGTTGAAGACCTTCGAGCTGCAAGTTGAATGGAGATGATCACGGCACGAGGAGCCGGATTGATCTGATGGGACATTACGTAAGGTATTCTCAGCAGCAACTTGGAAGTTCTTGGGCTTATCGTGACATTTGACTCGGTTCGCTCTTTCTCAACGGCTTCGAGTTTCTCCTATCCAAGATGATAGGAAAGCCATCCGAAATGACGCCGTCAGGCGTAACCTCTTCATCCAAACGAAAGAAACCCGACGATGACTCTGCGAACGGCGTGTCCACCAAAAAACAGAGAACGCGAGTCAGGTCAGTGCCTTAGCTCCCTGGTCCCGTTGTCGTTCTCATTCCGAGCCCAGTTTCTCTTGCGGAGAATGTCATCGACGAAAGCAAAAGGTAGTTGAGGATCTTTCCCATGGTCTTTAGGCTTTATTGACTTTTCCAGTGCGACCGCCAAATTCCCTGTTCACATGTGCGTAGGGTCCCTGTTCGTGTCCCTGGCCCCACTGCCGCATGCTTATCGTCCTTCACCATACAGTGCGTCGCGCGCAAGGTCCCGGAACTGTGCAAGGCATATACCCCGGGCAAAGCAGACCAAGATTTAAGCGCCCGGATATCGCGGCTCGAGCAAATTATCGAGGTTGCCTTGCCCCAATACTGGAATCCGACTGCGCATGCCAGAACCTCGAGCACACCAGCTGCGGTCGAGAATAATTCGTTCAGAGAACGACGACGATCCCCCTCGGTTCCCGACGACGATACCCGTTCTCAAACCGAAGAACAAGATCCGAGCGGTGGGACACTGCAAAGTGGGAAGTGGTACGGGAACAGTGCGTCAGGGAGCGTTGCACCCGCATATGTGATCGAACAAGTGAGTACATTACCACTTTATTTCCCTTTGAAACTAAATAGCATTGAACGCTAGCTACAACAGGTAGTTGCTCATTCTGGTTCGAATGTCCGCCCTGGTTTCCGAACTGGCGAGTTTGACAACTTGGAAGGAGGGTCCCAGCAACGTGCGTCAATGAAGTTGAGGCCTAATGGTGAAGTAACAGACGATGACGCCGAGGCGTCTCCGGAAAACAACTTGCAAAGCCTTTTCCTCGAGTGCGGTGTCTCGCCTCATCAAATTTCTGAACTACACCAAGAACTCCCCTCGCCACAAGTATGTGACCGTCTTATCGACCATTATTTCGCTGCCATGTGAGTGCCCCTTCGCCACCCCTTCAATACTCATTCTAACATCTATTCTTAGAAACTGGACGCGATACCCCATCTCGGAACGGGATTTCCGCGCCGCTTACACTTCGGTGTTGAGCCATATTCAGGACGGAATAGGCGCAACCAACCCCCATGATGTTCGATTCCTCCCGCTGTTATTCGTCGTCCTTGCGATATCAGTTCGCCTGGCACCAGAATCTCTCGCGGGGGATCCTCGCACTCGTCGAGTCACTTCTCTGAGGTATTACTGGTCATGTGGGTTATGCCTATTTCATGACCAGAATCTTCTTCCTGACCGTTATCTAGCTCGAAGGTCCCTCCTCATTGCAGCAGCAATACAACCCGACTCCCTTGATGTCGTCCTTACTCGACTACTCGTATGTTGAAAGGTTCACCAATTGGAACCCTAGAGTTGACCGCCTCGACAGAGCGCAAGATTCCTGACTTTCGACAGAAGAATTACGGAATGCTGGAGTCAGCTTGGCGCTGCAGTAAGGACTGCCCAGGCCCTGGGCTTCCATCGGGATGGCTCGACACTGGTGCGTTGCCGCTGTCATGTCTGTCAAGATTTTTCTGTTGACAGAGATCCGCCTAGGGCATGGACCCGAGCCAAACGGAATACCGTCGTCGAGTTTGGTATGATAGCAGCATCTCATTCCAGTCAGGTATTCATCCCTTGTCCGACAGGTCTTATCTTCTCCACGCGGATCGTTCCTATGCCCTGGTACTGGGAAGACCAAATTCAATACAAGATGACTATACTTCTACAAAGGCCCCTTCCAACGTCGATGACGATCTTAGGCCCGGTAATCTGGAATCACGACCACTATCACAGCCTACCCGCATGACATTTGTTATCCTCCGACACCAACTGGCGATTATCATTGGCCGGATTGTACACCACTTCCAACAAGTCAAGGAGCGAAGCCAATACTCGGAAGTCCTCGCGTTGGATGACGAGCTCCTCAAGTTCATGGAAAACCTTCCTCCGCATTTCTCACTCCAACCTGACACCTCATTGGACCAAACCCACACATACATCCCCGTGCACAGGTTCCTTCTCATTACCGAGATCCTCTTTGTCAGAATCAGTCTACATCGACCTTACCTGCTCAGACGGCTTCGTTCAGACCGGTACCATCGATCCCGCAAGGCTTGTTTCGAGTCAGCGATCAAGGATTTCCAAGTGCGACAGGCTTTCCGAGAATCCATGCCAAAGGAACGGAGGGACTCCTTGAGCAACGCCTACAGGGAATTCCAAACAGCCATGATAAGCGGACTCTACTTTATCCTCGAACCAAAAGGTGCTTACTCGGACACCATGCGCAAAATACTGGAAGGCTTCGTCAAGGAGCACGAAAACATGCAAGATTTGGACGAAACCACCCGACGTGAATTGAAGACGATCGAATTTCTAAAAGCAAAAGCCTCAGAAATGGCAATGCAAGAGAACGACCCAGCACGAGCATCATCGACGCTGACCAAACAAGAACAACAAGCTCAGTTATTGCTGAATCTGCAATCTCCAGGAGGAAGCAAAGCATTCCAGTCACTGCCTGGCAGCACTGACCAAACCAACGCGACCCCTCCCTTTTCCGCTGCCACGATAACTCAACTGAACCTTTCCCCCACTTTCCAGCGGCTTCAAACTAACGACTACGCGAACTCTCCGACCGCAGGCTCGGGAAGTCCACACGGCGACGATGAATCTCCAGCACAGTCTTTGCTTGATCATTGGGTCAACACCGTCAGTAACACCCACCTGGACATTAACACTGGTGCCATGTCCTGGGGCGGCCCCACAGCCCACACCGATTTCTCGGGGTGGGCGACTGCCGCCACGACTGTCCCGACGGACCTTCGTGGACTTGCAGGCGTTGATGGATCGGACTGGAGCTACTGGGAAGCTCTCGTTACCCAGATCCAACGCGCTCCTTGAGCGAAAATGTATCACATAACAATGTATCCTGAATCAGTTCATTGCTTAGTCTCATGCTCGTCTATTTATGTCTTTAGTTATGAATACCCTGAAGTAACCAACGAAAACCAGTCTTACCCTAGTCATTATGAGTTCTTGCCAAGACTACCACGGCGGGCGCGGCAGTTTCCGTCCCAGCTCACAGCGCAACAGAAGTGTCGTTGATGCAGCACTGGCTCTTGTCTCGCCACCCCATTCTTCTCATTCCACCATGCAAGCGATCAACCGTTTTCTGTACGGGCCAACGCCGGAGGAGAAGGTTCGCGCCTGGCAGGCGAAATTGCGAGCAGAATCAAGACAATTAGACAGGGAGATGAGGCAGGTCAATACAACCGAATGCTTCACTGCATTCTTATCCAATATATATCTGAATTACAGTTGGACATGGCTACAAGCAAAGCTCAACAATCTGTGAAACAGCTGGCGACGAAGGGGGACGTAAAGTCTGCTCGTATCCTTGCGAAGGAGGTCGTGCGTAGCAAGAAGCAGAAGGATAGGCTGTCTGTGAGCAAGGCAAGATTGGCATCTATAGGGAACCAACTGCAGCAGCAACTGGGTACGGACAAGGCGTCTTTCTCTCCCTATGGTTACTGACCATCATGTTAAGCGATGATGAAGGTTACAGGAACGCTTCAGAAATCCACTGAAATCATGAAGCTGTCCAATTCGCTTGTGAAGCTTCCTCAGATCAGTCAAACCATGCGGGAAATGAGCATGGAAATGACCAAAGTGCGTGGTTTGCCGTTCAATGTAGAGATTATTTCTCATGTTGCTTCAGGCCGGTATCATGGAGGAAATGCTTGAGGATACTCTCGACATGGACGAAGATGAAGAGTTGGAGGAAGAGGCGGACGCCGAGGTTGACAAGGTCCTCTTCGAACTTACCAATGGCAAGCTGGGCCAAGCCGGAACTATTACCAATGAACTGCCTGTACGTCTTCGTTGCATTCTTTCTGGTCCACGAAGATTCACAGTTTGGGCTTTACAGACGGCGGACGAGCAGCGGCTAGAAGAGGAGACGGAGAGGAATATCGAAAAGTATCGAGAGCAGCTCAACGGTATATTGAGCGGCTAGATGAAGACGTCCAAGTTTCGAGTACCACAAGCTTCGGCTTGAATTCTTCCGGAATTTCTTGGGAAATATTCCTTCTTTTCTTGCAGTGACTTATGGCAACCTTTCGGATTTTTGTATAGTATTAATGTATCGTCACTCAGTTACACGAGGTGAAAGGCATGACCCGAGGAGCTGTATAGACCTCACCCAAGTTAATATCTTATCGTGACTCTCTCTGGTTTTCGGGCGGCGGCAGATACACCGCCTGTGGTTCCGTGAGTGATAGATCAAAAGTTGACCTCAAACACCACGTGTGACGTCTAAATTCATCGCGAAAGAATCCGACGATAGCAAGTTTTCGTCACTCTTTTCTTTCTCTCATACCACGATCATGTTGGGCTCCCGTTCTCTTACAAGCGTTGTCGCGCAGAGCGCGTTCAAGAAGCCTTATGTTCGTATTTGGACAACCATGACGCCTGCACCGGTGCTGACCACCCTCTTTGCCCGCTTATTAGACCCTCCGAGGATATGCTTCAGCTTCACCCACCGCCGCCTTTGCAGGCCAAAAGGGCCCCAATGTGAGTTTTAACCTCCAAAACAGAGCGTTTCGACGATGTTAATGGAACTACAGGGAAAATACACAGTCACTTTGATTCCTGGAGACGGTACGGTCTCCGAATTCTCAAAATGAACTTGCGTTTGACGGAACGAACAGGCATTGGACCCGAGATTAGCCAGTCTGTTAAGGATATCTACAGTGCTGCCAACGTACGCCCTCTTTCCTTTCAAGAGTTGAGACAACATACTAAACGCTATCTAGGTTCCCATTCAATGGGAGGAAGTCAGCGTCACACCCATCTTGAAGGGTGGCAAGACGGTTATCCCCGATGCCGCCATTCAATCGGTGAAAAAGAACACTGTTGCTTTGAAGGGCAAGTCGCCTCACCTTTTCTCTGCCGTTTCGAATCGCCTGACCTCGTCCATTCGTATTAGGCCCGCTCGCAACACCAAGTATGTATCCCTCCCTCACTTCTCATGCAATTGCTGAGCTCCGAGTGTAGTCGGAAAGGGACATGTCTCTCTCAACTTGACCCTCCGCCGGACGTTCAACCTTTTTGCCAATGTCCGACCATGCGCGTCCATCAAGGGGTTCAAGACTGCCTATGATGATGTAAACACCGTTCTCATTCGAGAGAACACGGAGGGTGAATACTCCGGTATCGAACACGAGGTTTGGATTTTTTTCCGTGGTCTCCTTTCAGGCCACTGAAAAAGGGTTGCTGCAGGTTGTCGATGGTGTTGTCCAGTCAATCAAGTTGATCACATGGGACGCATCCGAGCGTGTGGCCCGATACGCTTTCCACTATGCCCAAGCCAGTGGCCGAAAGAGGGTCACTGCAGTGCACAAGGCCAACATCATGTACGTGGTTCCCGAAGAAATGAACGTCAGGGTCTAATAATAATCGAAAAGGAAAATGTCGGACGGCATGTTCTTGTCTGCCTGCCGCGAGGTCTCCAAGGAGTTCCCCGATGTCGTCTATGACGAAGACTTGCTGGATCGAGTCTGCCTCAAGGTAAGGCCCTGCAATTTAATTCTCTAGCAGGATTCTAATCAATTTGAAGGTTGTGACCAATCCCCAACCTTACTCGGACCGAGTCATGGTCATGCCCAACTTGTATGGAGACATTCTGTCGGACATGTGTGCAGGCTTGATTGGAGGCTTGGGTTTGACTCCTTCCGGCAATATCGGTCGTGTTAGTCTCCATACAGATACAATCAGAGAAACGCGATTAATCATGTTCCATAGGACGCATCTATCTTTGAAGCTGTACACGGTTCTGCCCCAGATATCGCTGGTAAGTATCACTTGCAAATCGTTCCGTTAATAACTCGTTGACAAGGATCCGTAGGCAAGGGTCTTGCTAACCCAACGGCGCTGCTCTTGTCTTCCCTCATGATGTTGCGGTAGGTGCCCTGCACGGGAAGCTGGACCCTGTTGTTGACACATGACTTCACAGACACATGAACCTGAACGAGTATGCGGACAAGATCGAGAAGGCCGCTCTTACTGTTCGTATTTTTCCCCTAATCTCTTTGGATGTTGGCTAATGTACCTCGTAGACTATTGCGGAAGGCAAGTCGATCACTGGAGACCTTGGAGGCAAGGCTTCGACTCGGGAATATACGGACGCCATCATTCAGAAGCTCCTGTAGGCGTAATAGAGTCTATAGATATCATTGTCGTTGTGCATGTTTCCCCCTAAATGCTTATAGATCGTTGGTGCAGGGATCTTGGCATCATAACACTTGGACCTCGTGTGATGGTACGGTTCCCGCAGTAAGGAGCGTGGGAAAGACACATTCTGAGGGATAACCCACGTATCGCAAGGGTTGTACCTGTTCATTTTCTACATCATCGTTAACACCCCCGTTCCTTCTCACCACTCGCCCTACAGGGCAAAGCCGTCCAGAACAACCCACAGAACGCCATCAGGTCAGCTAGCTCGTCGTTTCTGGCTTCTAAATCCCCTTATCCGTTCCCTCAGACACGATCTTGACACCTAAATCTTAACGCTTCCAAAAATTCTTAATCTTGTAATTTCAAAGTGAATTTATGACCGACATGACGGACGAACCAACGCCGCAAGCTCAGCCTCCAGCCAAGAAGGAGGAGAAGAAGGCAGCTAATCCTGGCAACAATCGTGGCCCCAAGCGTCATCCATCTACGTCTGGCAACTCGCGGGGTGGTGGTCCCGGACAAGGCGGTCAGCGTCCAGCTTCTAGAGGAAGCCAGAAGAAGGGAACCCCTCCTAACCAAGGTGGAGAATCAGGCTCCGAATCCGCCTCCCGCAAGGCCCCAGATAGGAAACAGGAACCGCGCAAGAACCAGCCGACTCGTGGTTCAGGCCATCGCAAGGGCTCTGCCTCCCAAGCTCGCAACGCGAATCAGCAACCCTCCAAACAATCAGCCTCCCCAGCCCCAATGCAGAACAAGGAATCCAGTGATGCCCTATCTTCCCTGCAGCGTGTCATCGCGGACCTTAAGACAACCTCGCCCGTCCAACCTCCTGCTACCGCTACCAACTCCTTTGGTAGCCATGCTCTCAATACTCAAGCCCCAACGTTCCAACCTGGCGCTGGATCCGGCTCTGATCCCAAACACCGCAAGGCGATGTCACTTGGTAACAACAATGGCAATTACAACTCCTACTCCCCCCACCTTGGCGTCATGGTCGAAGATAACGAAGATGGGACATTTGAAGAAGGCGAGATCCCCGAGCGCGCGGCCCCTCAACAACAGGGACACAACCCTCGTGCTCAGTCCCAGAGCTTTGTTGCTCCACGATTCGCTGCATTGGCAGCTCAGAACGAACAGGCTGACAATGTCGGTCCCACTGGCCGCCCGCAGTTGGCCCCCGGTTTCATGTTCGGTAGAAAGAGAAGCGCTAATCTTGGACCTGCGATCAGCGAGGAGGACGTTGGCTTCCAGTTCCCACAGCAAGGTCAAGCTCAGTTCCAAGCCGAGTTCAGCGATGGCCAGCGCAAGGGTGCCGAGGGTGGAGACATCACCGGTATTATGGCCGAGCAGGTACTTGTGTTTTGCATTCGTAGCAGTTCGTTCCTCACAACGTATCGTAGATCGCTATCCAAAATCAGATCGAGGCGCTGCAGCAACAGCAGCAAGCTTTGTACCAGCAGCAGCTGGCTTCTGGTCAGGTCGCTGGCTTCCCAGGAGCTGGCATCGGCGCTGGCAGAGGCCATCGACGCGTCCAAAGTACCGTTCCCACTACGGCTGCTTTGAACCCGGCGTTCGCGTTGCAAAACCCCATGGGTCAGTTTGGAAACCTTGGCCTTGGAATGGGATTGGATGGCCAACCTCAGGGCATCCCTCGTGGCCATGGACGTCGCCACAGCGTGAACGTCGTGAACAAAGGAGCCAACCAAGGTGCCGGCATCAACTTTGTCAATCCTTTCGGCGACCCAAGCACTTTCGAGGATGGATTCGCTCCTCCCGCCCATTTCGGGGGCCACTCCCGACAAGCCTCTCGTGCTGATTCTAGCTGGCGCATCAGTACGTAGTCTCTCTCTTTTCTCTGGGTCCAGTTTCCTGTCTAATATAACTACCTTTAGACGGTGGCGTTGGTGCTGTCAATCCGAACACTGGATTTGCTTCGGACCTCGCTCAGGCGCAGGCACAGCTCCAAAGCCTGCAACAGTTCCGCGCCGCTTCTGGAGGCCACCACCACAAGATGGCTTCGTTCAGCTTCCCGAATATGTTGCCAAACATGATGGCTGCCAATATGATGGGTTTGGGCCTCGGAGGAATCAATTTAATCCAACAGCAGCAACAATTCCAGTCGCAGCTCCAGCAGCAATCTAACCAACCTCAACGCAAATCCCTCTTTGCGCCTTACCTTCCTCAGGCCTCTCTTCCTCCTTTGCTTGCAGCTGGCAAGCTCGTCGTTGGTATTCTACGAGTTAACAAACGAAACCGCTCGGATGCCTATGTCTCGACCGAGGTCCTTGATGCGGACATTTACATTTGTGGTTCCAAGGACCGTAACCGTGCGCTGGAGGGCGACATCGTTGCAGTCGAGTTGTTGGATGTTGATGAAGTCTGGGGCACCAAGAAAGAGAAGGAGGAGAAGAAGCGTAAGAAGGAAGAGAACTCGGCCTACGACCTCAAGGCTGGGAGCCGCAAGGAGGATAAGAAAAAAGACGACGTCGAAGTTGAAGGCCAAGGTCTACTCTTGTTCGAAGATGAAGAGTAGGTTTTGTTTTCACGCTGTTACGTTTTGAATGCAACTGACTTCGTAATGCAGAGTTACTGACGAAGTCAAGCCCCAGTTCGCTGGTCACGTCGTTGCTGTTGTAGAGCGCATGCCAGGGCAACTTTTCTCTGGAACCTTAGGGTTGCTTCGACCCTCGTCAGCTGCCACCAAGGAGAAACAGGAAGCTGAGCGCCGTGAGCGTGAGGGTGACAAGGCTGAAGAACCCCGACGTGGACCTATCGAACGACCCAAGATTGTCTGGTTCAAGCCAACCGACAAGCGCGTTCCCCTCATCGCTATCCCCACTGAGCAAGCACCCCCTGACTTCGTCCAGAACTCTGAGGCTTACGCCGACAAATTGTTCGTTGCTTGCATTAAGCGCCATCCCATCAGCTCGCTTCATCCTTTCGGCACTCTCGTTGAAGAGCTGGGGCCCATTGGGGACATTGAAGTCGAAACCAGTGCACTCCTGAAAGATTGCAACTTCCCTACGGAAGAATTCAGCGAGAACGTCCTCAAATGCCTCCCTCCCATTCCATGGACGTACGTAACTCCTCACTTCCCAAATTGAGTGCCATTAACCAACCCCTTGGTAGTATCCCCGAACACGAGTTCAAGACTCGCAAAGACCTTCGTGAGGAACGCATCTTTACCATCGATCCCGAGACTGCGAAGGATTTGGATGATGCTCTGTCCGTCAAGGCGAACGAAGACGGCACCTATGACATCGGTGTTCACGTTGCCGATGTGTCGTTCTTCGTGAAGCCTAACACTGCACTCGACAGGGATGCGCGTAAGCGAGCCACCAGCGTGTACCTCGTCCAACGCGTCGTTCCAATGCTCCCTCCCGCATTGAGTGAGCAGCTGTGCAGTCTCATCCCAGGCGAAGATCGACTCGCCTTCTCGGTCATTTTCACTATCAACAAAGAGGCGAAGGTCTTGAAGAAGTGGTTCGGAAAGACCATTGTCAGGTAAGCACCATATATACCAACATCATACCCAGCATTCACGCCAATTGATGTAATCGTAGATCGACAGCGAAGCTGTCCTACCGAGATGCTCAAAATGTCATTGAAGGCAAGAACTTTGATGCTCCTGTCGGAGGCAACTACAACGCCTCTGACATCGAGGAGGACATCAAAGTTCTTGACAGTATCTCCAAGAAGCTGCGAGCTGAACGCTTCAACAACGGTGCCCTTACACTGGAATCCTTGAAGCTTAGGTTCACTTTAGGTGAAGATGGCCTCCCTACAGACTGCGGCGAACAGGAAAGGCTCGATGCCAACGCACTCATTGAAGAGGTATGGTCGATCTCTCGGGGTGGTGTTTCCCTTCTCAGCTTATACTCGTTTAATTAGTTCATGCTCCTTGCAAACATTGCTGTGGCACAACAAATTGCGGTTCACCTTCCTGAGCAAGCCCTACTGCGTCGACACGACTCTCCCATCGAGCGTCGCATGGTAAGTGGTTTTATAGCTTCCGAAGGGCATCGCCTAACTGCTCCTAGAACACCTTCCTTCGTCGAGCTGAGCGACTTGGATACAAGATGGATATCTCGTCTGCTGGTGCTCTGATGAAGTCTTTCAACGCGATTACTGATCCGACTGCCCGTAAACTCCTTGAGCTTGTTTCCTTCAAGGCGACCCATCGCGCGAAGTATTTCTGTGCTGGCATGCTTGACATCGCGAAGTATGGCCACTATGCACTCAACGTTCCCCTTTATACCCACTTCACTTCCCCTATCCGTCGATACGCGGATGTCCTGGTCCACCGACAATTGGAGGCAACCTTGCAGGGAGGAAGTAAGTGATGCAGTAATTCCGATTCGTTATACCACCGGCTGACGAGATCATTTTCAGACGATGTCAAGTTTACCATGGATCGCGACGCTGTTGCCAAGGTTGCTCAACAGTGTAACATGTATGTCTCCCCTGGACGTTGAGAAACCGCTTGCTGACACTCTGATCCAGTAAACGCGATTCCGCTATCCTCGCAGAGGAGCAATCTGCCCACCTCTTCCTCTGCGTCCTTATATCTGACCTGGCAACTCGTTACGGTCCAGTCATTCGACCGGCGAAGGTTATCAACGTGTTGGATGCGGCCTTCGACGTCCTGATTCCTGAATTTGGAATTGAAAAGCGCGTCCACATCGACCAGATGCCGATCGAAAACCACGTTTACGACGAACACACCCACACTCTCCAGATTTACTGGTCTGAGAAAGACGTCATCACCTGGTTGGCCGAGAACAGCGATGATGAACACCTCAAGAAAGTCAAACGCAATGCTGAGCAGCACGCCCTCAAGATGGAAGTTGCTTCTCGTTCAGTCCATGATGAAAGCGCCCTGTTCGACGAGGATGGAGATGACGACGAGATTGTACTAGGACGCGCTGACCCCAGCGAAGTCAAGGAGACCTCCACACAGCGTCTCATTTCTATGGCCAAGGAGAAGCCTCAGTTTGAAGGACTCCGGGCCCCGTCCTCCGGCCACAAGATTCAAGACATCCGCGAGCTCATGACTGTCCCTGTAAGCGTTGATCCCTTTGATTCTGCAACGCATGTCGCTAATAAAATCATTCAGGTCATTGTCACCGCCGACTTGACGAAGAGCCCTCCCGTCATCAAGGTCTATAGCGTCAACCCCTACTCTTTCGAGCAACAGAAGAAATAATTTCCCCCTTGTTCTCCGATGTTTGAATGTCTTTTTTCTCCTTCCACGACTGCAATGCCTTGTAATTTTAATATGAACTTACGTTTTCTACGCTTCTTCTATGTCGCTACTGACGTGTGGGGTCGCAAGCTCATCATACTGCATGTAACCTTGATTGTGTTTGGCCTTTTTCGTCTTCATCTATGGAATATGGATTGTGTAAAACTTTAACGCAGTACGAGATTATACGAGTAATGAAATTCAACGAGTGTTGTGCGGACTACATACAGGCAGATGCAAAGGAGTGAACAATGTTAAAGAATATAGAATTAAGGGTACCGGTAAAGTAAGGTTGCAAGTCTTGTGCTGTCATAAAAGGTCTTCCACATATACAAACGAACGAACAAATGGATGGACTCGAATAAACATAGACTGAATCGACAAAATATAGAAAGGTCATATCCAACCCGGAGGCGGATTTTTCGGCGGACGGGTTGCTGGCAGACTTCTGTTACGCATGTGGCCAGGCGCAAACCCATTCTCCCAAGAATGAGGAGTGGGTGGGCCTCGCGATGACGGTGCAGTCGATTGATCAGAAAGGGAATTCAGATCCCTTTCTGACTTGGAAACACCCAGACTGTGCAAGCTGACCCTGGTGTCAGGTTCGACGCGTTCCGGAAGGGTCTGCATCGTGCACAAGGAAGCCTGCATGGAATGCACGGAATTAATGGATTGACCGCTTGTACTGTTGCCACGCGCGTGCATCTTGGGTGCATGTCCTTTGCGGATCTCGTCGACACACAGTTTGTGCAGTGCGTCCAGCTTCAGATAGGCCGCTTCGTCTCGTAATTCGATGAGACTCTCTAGTCGCGCGCCTGTGGATTGTTGGTACATGATTGCTCGTGGTATACATTCAGGATGTTCTGGCGCTGGAGGAGAACGCAGATAGGTGAGAATGTGACCATAGCTGCAAGGGGTACGTCAGCCGAGTGGTTTGGAAGGAAAGAGCTTACTTACGGAGAACTAGGACGATCTAAGAAGAGGTGGATGTTATAGAATGGCTGTGGTAGTAGGCCCTGTGATGCAAGATGTTGTCGATAGACTGTCATGTGTTCGTGGTCGCTGTCGGATTCGGAGTAAACAGATGAAGTTGAGGATTTGGTGCGTTGGGGTGAAAGAAGTGAATCAATATATTTCGAAAGGTTGGATGGTCGGGACCTGAGCGTTTCTAATGATGTTTTATAAGTGACCGTACAGGTTTCGATTGTTACGATAACCTTCTCCGAATCGACTGGGTGACTTGGAACTTCAGACATGAGAATGGGTTTGAATGGCGGACAGCTGGGAGCAGGAACAGCAGATGGTAGCGGAGGTACCACGTCTTCGGAGCTAATGGTTGACCGAATCTTCAGCGAAGGTCGGAGAGATGGGGAGCGTGGAACGGGTGCAGGTGAAGGCCTGGCCGCAGCTCCGGTAGGGCGTTTCGGTGAAGACCTTTCACTCTCTGTGCTGGAACGAGAAAGTACATGTTCTTCGTCCGACTCCGGTACGGGAAGCGGCGGTAGTGGTGGACTATTTGGTGCTGAGTAGTCGACGAAGGCGGCACCGACGGGATAGATATGCCCTATGGTCTTTGAGATGGAAGCCTTCTTCTCTTTCCGGGGCTTCGAAGGCCTTGGGGTTTCGTTGTTCTTTCCGTCAAAGGTCAGTCGAATTCCTGTTTCCCTAAGGGCCTCGTCTGGCGTCCGCACGACAGTAGCGCCAGTTCCAAGGGCCCCGTTGCGCGGGTGTGCCAAAGTATCGATTCCCCGGACGAGCTTTGGTTCCGAAATTTTGACTGGCTTGGATGGTGTATATGGTGTGTTGTGTTGTGTGGTACTACGAGACAGCCAGTGCATGGTAGTAGAGATGGAGGGCCTCCTCGCGCCAGGCGTCGGAGTACTGTTGGAAGGGGGAGTGGCAGGAATTGTGTCTGAGGGTGGAATGTCGACGGGTGGCGAAGATATAGATGATGAGGTGTGCGAGTTGCGTGGCTGATGCGAGCGAGGCTTTGTGGAGGAGAGCATGATGAACGGAGGGAAATACAAAGAACGGTGAGCTAGCGACTTCCAGGTCAATAACCTGCAAGAACAATAGCCTCTTTCACGCCTTCCTTTTCGGGAACAATTAATGTTGTTTCGCGAGCGTCTAGGCCACGTGATGCCCACGCCTCAATCTCTTTTGTCATGGAACCCTCGGCTCGATTCCAGCAAACAATACCGTATCTCCTCTTGCCCGTATCCCCATCCCTTGCAGCTCTTCACTCTAAAAGAGAGCGTCGTCAATTGTCATCCACTGCGTCCCAAGACCCAAATTCGTGTCCAGCATGCGGTTATTATCTCCACATTGGCACGAGCACGTCTAGAGTTACCCGATCCAGAAAGTCAAGGAAGGATCGTGTCCTTCAGAGAACCTGTCTGGCTTGCCAGGATATCCAGATAACCCCGTTAGATGTATGGACTCCGCTCCGAAACTCTGAAGCTCAAGACGCACCAGAAGCCCGGGCCAAACCTCCGCCGCAGCACACGTTGGGCAGTCATCATCCCAACAACACATTGCCATCAACCAGCAATCGTCCACCTGCTACCACTCCAGAAAAACCTGCGAAGCAGCAGGCTAAACCTCAAGACAAACCCATCAGATCAAAGTCGCGTTCGAAGAACAGAACTGGCTTGCAGGCGATGCTTTCTCGCAATCGTGAAAGAGAAAAGGATCGATTGAAGGATACACGGGAGGACAGGGGAAGTTTATCGGCCTTCCTCAGCAATCTGTAACGCGTTGCACAGCGAAACGCGATGTGTCATTCACCCAAGGCGAGGCTCGCAAGTGACCATCATCGCTTCGGGGCCCACAAGTCGTACAGTTCCCTATCCGCCGGGTCGAAACACGTTATCAACGATGGGTCTGCACGAATGACGACCTGGCGTGTTGGGGTTGTGGTAGATGAGGCGAATATGTTCCGGTATGATCTAGAGGTGTCGAAGCGAGAGCTTGAGGAGGCAGTAAACGTAGACGTTGGGGAATCGTTGAGGGACGTGGGCTAGATATTATTTACACATTGCAATCGTTAGGAGTGTGAATAGCGATAAGGGTTTGAAATGACACACCTGCCCGCTGTCCTGTCTTGGGGAATCCATTCTGGTCAACGTTGTGAAGTGAGAGAGACTCAGGCTCAGACCTCGGAACAGTCTTTGAGTGTCCGCGTGACCTAATTGGATCACGGTCGTGAAGTCATTGGCCGCCGCTACTTACAGTAACTTTGTATTCAAACCTTGTTGAACAAGCTCGAAGCTTTGACCAAGACGATCATCTCTCCCATTCTCTGCCATGAATATCTTTCGAAGCAGTCCGTGACCTTCATAATCCTGCTCTCCACAACTGACTTATCGATTGTTCCACCAGTTATCGGAAAAGTTTGGCGTACGTTTTTTTCCCTTTCCTTCCAACGCGTTGGTTTCGACTGAAATACACTTCTAGATGACCCGAATGCAGCAGAAGTAGTCAAAATTGAGAACGGTTTGTCTGTCTCCTTTTCCCAGCTTCGCAGATATTCAGACAATCCCTCAGGCCAATTCTACTTGACTCGCGCTGGTATCTTGCGGAGCAACAGAGAATGCATGTTCGTAGCGATTACAACCAGGCAAACCTTACGCTGACTCGACAGCCAGTTACAATGAAGCAATGATCACTATCCGTCGCATTCCTTCAGTGGAGCACAACTTCGAGTTGGTTGTGACAAGGGTCTACGAAGATGAGGACCAGGAGTTGCTCGAAGACGAGGATGAGAGTAGGTCCCTGCTTTCCCTAGGCCAGTTGGGACTGACGTGCTAACACTTTCTGGCTCATGTAGCTGACGAAGAACGCGTTTATCTGATCAGTCAAGAACTCGAGTTTAGAGCCGGCGAAACCGATGGCGAGCCGACCTTCATATGGAGGGATCTCCACGGCGATGTTGATGAAGCGTTTGAGTTCGTCGCAACCGGTACGAACGCCCCTACCAGAGCGTTTTTCGAAACATGCATGTACCGCGCCATGTATGAGCGCAAGTACAGAAGAAGTGCCGATGCGACTTCAGATGCCGATCTCGAAGAGTTCATATACAAGTAAGTGACATTCCGCTGCCTTTTTGAGATCATCCCCTTGACTATCCCCAGGCCTCCTGCACCGAAATCTGCTTCAAGACCTCGCAAGAAGGTTCCAAAGGAAGAGCCTGTAGCAGCTCAACCCCTCGAAGCCGTCGAAGACGTTCCTCCTTCCCCTCCTCCCTCTCAACAGGATATCGTGGAGGCTCTGCCAGAAGTAGATCGTCTAGGGCCACCGAGGGAAGTTCCTAACCTGGAGCCGGTTATCACTAGCGAAGCTGAACTTTACCTCTGGGACTTTGAGGAGGCAGAGTTCAAGAACAATGGCATCGTGCTGGCCCGTCTATGCAGAAAGTATGACGACCCATTTTCCTACTGGATCGTAGCTGCGACCGACGAAGGAACCTTGTTGGCGCACACCTTAACCGCAGATACTAATCCTAAGTGGTCTCATCACATGCTATCTCTCACCTGGAATAACGTCAGTGATTCCGGGCGGCCAAACAGCTGGCTTTTCCGCTGGAAAGACGAAGATGACTACTCGAATTACATGACTACCTTCATTCGAGCTCAGTGGGAGAGCGCTCACAGAATGCCGTGGGATAAGATCAAGGTGAGTGCCTTTATGTCTGTGAAAGGGAGTGAAATACGAACGTGGAACAGGTTGAGGAGCAAAATTATGTTATGAGTGCCATTGATGAAGATGTGGAGATGAGGGACGTTCAAGACGAATCCGAGGAAGAGGAGGAGATCGCGGCCGCGTTGGATCCTGACGAGGGTCAGTCTGTATTATATCGCGAGGCTTACTGTCTATTGACTCGCCTCTTAATAGAGCCCAGTGAAGACGAGGAGGAAGAGGAACCACTGAGCGAAGATGAAGACAGTCCAGCACCAGCCAAGGGCGATCGCAACTCGCAGCTTACTGTGGGTTACAAGGGAGACAGGTCATTCGTTGTCCGCGGAAACAACATAGGCGTGTTCAGCCACAAGGGCAAGAACTCCGTCAAGTATTATGCCACTATCAGCAAACTTGCTACTCCCAAAGGCAAGGAATTCCGACCCGACCATGTAAGGTTATGGATTGACTCGCGTGGTTCTCGATGCTCACTTATTTTGTTTGTAGGTTATGCTTCATGACCAAGATTCGAAGATGGTGATGATGAACTCCGGCCATCCCAATACCCTTTTCAACCTCGACATCGAACGCGGAAAGATTGTCGAGGAGTGGAAAGTCCATGACGAAATCGGCGTCAACAGTATCGCACCCGAGAGCAAATTCGCACCCACTACTCGCGAACAAACACTTGTCGGGACATCGCACAATGCACTCTTCCGGATCGATCCTCGGATGTCCGGCAGTAAGCTCGTCGACAGCCAGTACAAGCAATACGCTAGCAAGAACAAGTTTAGCGGTGTCGTCACCACAGCGGCCGGCAAACTGGCTGTTGCGAGTGAGAAAGGTGATATTCGTCTGTTCGATACCATCGGCAAGAACGCGAAGACAGCCCTGCCACCTCTCGGAGATCCTATTCTGGGCATCGATGTGACCGCAAATGGTCGTTATATTGTGGCCACCACTAAGACCTACCTGCTGCTTATTGACACCTTGATCGGGGATGGAAGATATGCGGGCTCGCTAGGCTTCGACAAGAGCTTCCCTGCCACATCCAAGCCCAAACCTAAACGGCTACAGCTGAAGCCAGAGCACGTTGCGTATATGGGCAATAACATCACTTTTACCCCAGCGCGGTAAGTGGTGCCGCATGGTATGGCTTTTAAACTTTGTTAAGGAATCCTCCAGGTTTAATCAAGGCCAAGACCAAGAAGAGAACGCGATCGTCACGTCTACCGGGCAGTATGTAGTCGCCTGGGACTTTGCCAAAGTCAAGAAAGGATTCTACGACAAGTACGAGATCAAGAAGTACGAGGACCATGTGGTTCAAGACAATTTCAAGTTTGGTGATGATAAGGAAATTGTGAGTAACAGGCTGGTGTCTATGTGCCTGTCGCTCAATCCTTCTCGCTTTCTTAGATTGTTGCGTTGGATAACAATGTCCTCGCAATCAACAAGAAGAACCTGAAGAAGCCCACGAGACAATCGCTGGCTCCCAACTTTGGTTACAGTCGTTCCGCCATTGTCAATTCGCCGTATTGAAGAAGAACAACGATCGAACTCCATGCATAGGTAGCTAACAACAATCTTCTGGAGAGAACGAAATTACTGCGTAATTAGTAACTAGTGGTAAATGACTGTATGAATACTAGGTACACAAAGCCGGTGTGACAAAACTCCCAAATCTACTAATCCTGTGTACGGAAAGGCGTGAATATCAGCCTCATGACCCAAAACAACGTCCGAAAACCGAAAGCAAGGGTATGCCAAGTGATTCAATCATGGCGGTAGCGTTGAGGTAGACAGCAAAAATGCAATCCATCCAAATGATAACCAAGAAACCAAATGTCCCATAAAGTAAAAGTGTGCGCGGGGGCGACCACGCTTAGCGGCAACAAGCGCTGAGAGGCGCCCGAACAGGTAGGCAGCAACTCCGTCGACTGTACAGCCATAATTCGGAGAGAACAGGCTAGGTCGTTCAATCCATTTTCTGACGTGTCTGAAATCCAAATAGTCATTTGTCGATCTTGTCGCGTACAGTCCGATCAAGGACATTGCCCGACTGATGTTTTGAGACAGCGTCTCTGCGGTCGACGTATCTCCCAACACCGAGATGCCACGCTATTCGTGGACACAACAAGGTCAGACCCAGCAGGACTGTTGTCCACAGCATTGGACTCCATTCCCAAAAAGCCCATCTCTGTTCGCCGAGGGCCCAGAGTGTGACGTAAAGGTGCAGGATGTCGCCGATTAAGAGGGGGGTGAGGAGGCTGAATGCGATCTTCTCCTGCAGGGCCGGGTTGGATTTTAGGTGTCGGCGGCATGCAGTGAAGACGAAGGCGTTGATTATGCCTATGAGTGCGCAGACATGAGCGAGTTGGAGAGTTGTAACGAGAGTTGGACGCGGGAGGACGGTGAACGGTTCAATGTTTGGAGGCCAGGGCGCCTGTGCGTTATGAGTCTATCGAGTGAAGATGTTAACGCAGGGACGACGAGGGGGCGATTGAGGCAGCTTACGGTGGTTGGATCGCTAAGGAAGAGATGAAAGAAGTGGTCAGATACGGTGGGATGAGCTTAGTGGACATATGGCTAAGAATAGGCTCACGCTAGGACGCCCAAAAGGCCCATAGTGGTAAGGAAAGGTTCATAGGCTGCGAAACAAAAATAATAAAAGTCAGGGAGGGCGGAAGTTGGGGGATTGTGCATTGTAGGGCTGGTTAGACAGGTCAAACCAGGGGCAACGAACTAGAAAAGGACGTGAAGTAGGGTGAGAGTTTAATAAACCCCACCGGACTCATAGACTCCGACCCGTCCAAATGTTTGGGCCGCGACCTGCCCTCAAGTAACTTCTTTTTTCAGCCTCAAAACTTAAATTCTTGCTCTCTTCATCTTACATTCATCGGTACCTCTTAAACCAAGCTTACCCGGCTCGATGCCTCTACGCTGGAATAAGCATGGCGAGGACCAAGATCGACTCTTGCAGATTATAATGCATCCTCTCCAGCTTTCGCCATGGGAGCGTGCTTCGCGTCTCGCAAACATCCTCTTTTTTTCTCGACTGCACCTTGCTATCGTCCCATTATTCTTCTACCTTTAGTCAATAGCTTCCGGAACAATTGACACAAGTACACCATTTTCTGATTGCATTTCGGTGCCGTGGTTTACTAATTTGTGTGCACACCATTGATCTATAGCAACCCACGCCGCTGGTGCTGGGACCATCTGAAATGGTGAATGTGAATGACCACAACAGAGCCAGAAAGTACGACGATCTTGTCTATCGAGTCTTGGAACCTTCAATTGGATGACTAGCGGCGCCCGCCGAAAATAACTTTGGGATCTGATAAAGTCAAGCGTCACTCACTGCCTGACTTTCATTAATGTGCCGACGTCTTTACAGAACGCTCGTTTTTCTATAGAGTTGCTGCTCATAATGAGTGTACATGGATGCCGTTGTGACAGTCGTGTCTTCTTCTCTTCCCCTGCGGACCTTCAGATGCGATACAAGCGGTACATTCTCTTCACCGGACGCCCTTTTGGACGTTCTACAGTGATCTCATCCTGGTTATCAGTGCGTTATCTCCTCCGAGACCAAGTACATTTATCTCTCGGCGCGGTTGAGGTGATCATGGAATCAGGGTCCTGCTCGGATCGATGCAGTATTGGCGCCTGGTCCCTGGAACGCGAACCGTTCAAACAAGGCGCCCATGGAAAGTCTCTTCACACACATGTATCCTAGGTTTAATCTCGTCTTGACTACTTACCCTTGAAGCTTGAAGAGTGATCCAAGTATGCAAATCAGTGATGATCGGTGCACGCCTCGCGTTAGACACTGCAATAGAGAGTCCTTCCATTGCGATGACATTGGGTGTTCCAAAGAGATATTCTACGATCCAAAGAGATACTCTACGAATTCGGAGGCAGTGGGGCGTGCTGCCATGCCAGCAAATCACCTGCATCCGACCGATATAACCCACTGAAGCCAAACCCTTGCCGGACAGTGCTACACAGATATGCCACGAACTCGAGCGCGAGAAGCATTTGTCCCTCCCCTGTCTACGGACTCTGGATGGCCACGTCGTAAAGGATTAGCGGGAGAAGATGCTGCATTGACTCAGGATGCGGTGGAACCATCGGGTTGGAGTGGATCCGTGGATCCTGTTTCGTCACTTGGTGGTAAGGCAAGCAGTGAATGGGGCGGCTGGGAATCCAGAGAACACGATGTGGGTGAGAACCAGCAGCGGGAGGGGAGTCCAATGGACGTGGATGACTTCGCAGTCGTATCGAATGACGTGTTGGACCTGGAGAATCTGCACCCAACATGTCATCAAGAGTCAGAGGCACCCAGAGACAAAAATACACACTCGTGGCGCCCTGATGTGGACGACCCGTTGGACCTAGAGGAGCAACCAAGCCACGTAAAGTTTCGGTTGGAAGTGTTCCGGTACGCCTCCAAATATCTCTAATTCAGAGGCAAGCAACACTCAACCCGTCCAGCACCCTGGCCGATGCAGTCGCCGACGAGCTCACTCAGCAACCAAAGCGCCCAACGGCCTTACCGGAATCACAGGACATGGGTGCTACGAGGCCTCCAGCCACCCAGGTAAGGCACTGCATTAATATTCTACTTTCCCATCGCGGCAAGCCCACTTCCAAGTTTGGAATCTGTGGCTAACCGGACCAGAACTGAGGCCAGAGCACCCACTCACCCATCGTATTTCATTTTGTGTTCTCCTTTATAGAAAGAATCGACCGTCGACAAGTTATGTCAGTTCCCCGAGCTTTCCGTCAGGAAGCTAGGGGCATTTTACTGCCAAGACGATATCCGCTCGATGGAGCAACACTGCGAAGATCTTGGTCATTGGGTTCAGACGATTCGTTCGAACACACTAATTCCTCTACAAGGTCTCATACAGAGAATAAGGGCCTATGACGCAGACCAAGATCGAGAGTGGGAAAGATTTCTACGTAAAAGGGCAAGCGGCGGCGAGGATCCAGGTCCTTTTAAATTGAAGTGGCTGCCACTATTCAGGGAAGAGGACAGCAGGATTGGCTATTTCAACCGGAGGATTTCAAGATTGAATGTCGAGGAGAAGATAGCAAACCTGGAAGAAAGGTTGAGAAAATGCAACGACGCGATTGATAGCGTCTCTTCCTCCAAGGCTTCGAGAAAGAAGCTCGACCTCGCTCCTCTTGCCATTCCAGAACCTGGGACATTGGAAAATGGTCTTCGACGGGAAGTACGGGTGAGGACCCTTAGCTTTATGCAAATCTCAGTGATCCAGGTTAACCGGGAGACATCATAGAATGCAATCATGGATGACATTGAACACGAGATAACGAGACAAATGGTTATAGCATGTCGCCTGGGTCAAATGCTGGTCGATCAGGACGCTGTAGAGTCCCCACCACAGACAAAAACTCTCTCGATACAAAAGGACGTCATCGGAGCACTGGCACTTCAAGTCAGGGGCAGCCTCTTCACAGAAGCCATCCAGGAAGCCAAAAGCGCATTGGACATAGCACATCAAGAGATGCTGACGGAACTCGCAGACCATGTCGCAAACACACTCGATTCCATACAGAACTCGGTGTTACAAGCGTTCAACCAAAGACAAGCATCCGACTAGTCCACAATACATGACATGATTATTTTTCTTCCCAGCTACTCTACTACATACTTGGCCACAGTGGCACTGGAGGAAAAGAAAAGGGAGTATACGCAGGTCCTTAACGTAGAAGTAGAGATGGGTAAAAACGGTACTACAGACAGCTGACGTGGGATGGGGAGAAAAGATACGTAGATGAACAACATCATAGTCTGGTGCCGTTGGATAAAGGAAAGGGGGAGAGAGAGGGCGGAAGAGAAAAACAAAGCAAGCTGTAATAGGTGGAACGGGATGCGGGTAACAAGGGAATGTTGCGGTGGGATGGCCAGTGATAGGAGAGTCCAGGTCCAAAGGAGGGAACGTCTATAGTACTGTGTTTGTGTGGATAGACTATGTAGATCTTGGTCATGTGGGGGTATGGAAAGAAAGAGTCTCCGAGGACGGGATGGGGCCTGACTGGAAGGGAGTGGCAGCGGCGTACTAGGGGTAACGGTGATGAGAGGGGAATAAATAGAAGACCGGGATCGTGAAGCATGGGGAGGGAGGGGATTAAAGGAGTGACGCGACTTGTACTATTGCACAAGGTATTAACCATAGCCAAAGAAAAGTGGGAAATATAGAGTAACAGGCTGAGAAAGAAAGAAAAAAATACCAGAGAGAACATTGCGTCATAAAAGGCCGTCATCACAAGCAACCGGTCCAAAGAGAATATGCATGGAGAAAGCAACCACGAAGAGAATCTACACAAGGGGGACATGAAAACCACATATCCAAGAGAGGTCCGAGGTATTTGTCCACCTGGGGAGATCGTCCTTGGAGAGGATACTATGAAATCAACGTCGACCGCCAGTCATGCCCCATGGGACCAAACCCGCCCATTGTGCTTGACCTGTTGGAGCTGTGCGAGTATGGAGACACGGGCATGGCTGTAGGTATCGTGCCGCTGCGTGAAGGTAGTGCCGTCCACGGACTCGATCCAGGAGAATAGGCGTTCGTATGGAACGAGGAGATAGCAGGACGCCCTCGATTGACAGAGGGTGCCGAATGGGATTGTGCGGGCTTTGGTCGTAACTGTGATGTCGAAGACCTTTTGCTGTTCCGCGAGTCCCCACTGCCTTGTCGAACATGGTTCGAGGGGCGGAAATCAGAACGCTGAGGGGAGCTGGGAGTGGGGGAGGCAGGGTTGGCAGACTCTCGACGCAAAGACGTGCTGGAATGATTGCGGTGTGACTGTGCCAGCGAGTTGAGGGACCCAGATGATTGACGACGTTCGCTGGAGCTCGATGCCCCGCGGCGAGAGTCGGGCCCCGGAGAGGATTGTCGGTTTGAGTATTGCTTCATGAAAGGTGCTGTAGGGGGGAGAAGTGGCATGTCGTTGTTGGCAGCGGCGAACGCAGCCAGTTGTGGCATAACTGGCACGCTGCTTAGGCTCTGGCTGCTGCCCGACCATGTCGGGTATGGGTGAGACATTCCCCTCATTGAGCCGTTCATCGACGGTGTAAGGGAATTGCGCCGACTGCCAGGAGAGCGGGCCTCCTCCGAGGATACCGAATACGTGGAGGCGGGGCGGGATGAAGGACGGGAGCCTCCGGACGAGGAACCATGAACCCCGAACTCCGAAGGCTCTCTCCGCGGAGACGAATAGGACGATGGCATGGTTCGCGGGCTATTACGTTCTGGATTGGCAGAAGTGGCGAGCGGTGAAACCAGTAGACTGCTGGAGCTGCTAGAACTCAAGGCATAAGCACCTGCCCTTGCTTGTTCACTTCGTTGCCGCGAGGCAGCGATCTGGTCAGCATATAACCGCTGTTCACGTTCCTTGCGTTCCTTCTCCTTTGCAAGCCTCTTCTGCTCCCTTTCTCGTGCCTCCCGTGCCTCTGCCTCTCTCCTCTGCTGTTGCTCCAAAGCCTCCCGCATTCGTCGCTGGCGTTCTTGACGTAGGAATTTGGACCGTTCTTCTCGCTTCTTCTTCATCCGGAGCAGATGAAGCGGCACACCGTCGTCATCATCATCCTCAACGAAACGGACAACGCGTTTGACAGGCGTCACTCCCACAGTCAATTTCTTCGCAGCGGTTTCTTGCTGGGGTTGGTCGAGTTGTTTCGAAGTCCCAGTGGAGGGCATGACAGGGTCGGACAAGCTGTGTTCAATGCGGAGAGGCGAAGGGATAGTGGTGTGAGAGTGTCGGCGTGGGTTAAAGGATGCTGAAGGGAAAGGTAAGTAACGAAAGCGGAAGTCGTTTTGGTTAACCACGCACGGTTTGGTACCACTTGAAGCGAAGGTACGGAGGGAGTGTCCTTGATGGTCGAAATTGGCTCAGGAGGAGGCGAAGGTGGATCGGATATGGTCTCCTTGTCGGAAGGCAACTCAAAATCTGGATCAACCATCACGTCGAGAACCTCAGAATATTCCAAGGCAGCAACGGCATATGAACTCGAGACCGGTTTGCAAAGTATTTCACCTCCATCAGCCGCCAAGTAAATGACGAACCTGTCCTCGAAGCAAGGCCGGCAGATCCATTGCCTGAGACCAGGACAGGACGAAAGGATCGAGGCGGTTTTGTCAGGATAGCAATCATTGTATTCGCTGACTGAAGGTGTGACGAGTTCGACAGGGGTTGGCTTGGAGCCAAATGGAAGGATCGAGGCCTCTTCGAGGGGAGTTAGACCCTGTATGTGATCATCGATGCGCCTGAGAAGTCGCTTCTTCAGCATGACAGAATGCAATGACTGTCGTCGTCCGGTCAGGAGCCGACTTCGGTTGCATGACCGGGGGTAGATGGGACCGGTGGCAGGCTGGATGAAGGGACCTCCATGGGTCGATGTGACCAGGCTGTTCTTGATGGAGATGCGCAGATTGTGCTTGGCTGCCAAAGGGGACGGAGAGGGTATAGGATAGGTGGCTGAAGCTGCTGAGCGGTGTCGGGACGAAGGGTCGAAATCGGAAACGGAGGAAATGTGCATTTCGTCGTCCGTGACGTCCGTGAGACTTGACGACTGGAATGTCGGGTGTAGCAGTGATGGTGGGACTGGGAGGGAGAGCGGGTCCCAATCAGGCAGCTTGTGGTCGTCGACGGTGTCCTTGTCCTTGCGATCACGATGTTTCAACGAGGCCGACCGCCTTCCTCCTATCCAGGCTTTCCACGAGCGCTTAGTCTGGGAGCGAGCGAGAGGGGCGGGAGGACTGTGGTCGTCGTCTGGAGTCTGGATGCTGAGACTTGCGGAGCCACTGGACGAGCCTGAAGAGTGGGAGGATGGGTCTGAGCTTGCCGAACTGAGGTGTGGCGTTGAGAACGAGGACGAAGTTGGGCTGTGGACCGGGTGAGACAGCGAGGACTGGAGTGGGACGGGCGTTGGCGGCGACGAGGAAGGGAGAAAAGGGAGGGCGAGGGACTTGAGGGAGCCCTTTGAGGCGGAAGGGTTTTCATGTTTGTCGCGCTTGAGACCAAACGCCTGGACGAAACGTCGCATTCTGGGAAAGAAGAAAAGGAAGGATCAAGCCGACATGAGTAGCTGGATGCGCGGTCAGCAATAGTCAGACATCTAAACCAATTCAACTCGCACCCGAGATCTCGACGGCGTAACGCCCAAACCTGGCCCACTTTGCGCGAAACCAATTGGTTGCAACGAGAAATATATCTATTTATTCAAAATCAAGTTCAGAACCAGTCCGCCGTTGGCAATCCCATAGCTCACGTGATAAATCAGATGCCACCAGTCGTTTCTATTAGTATTAGTATAACTATTTTGATCGAAAACATCATCCTTTGTTCTCCCTTCCCTCCTCGTTCTCAGACACCTCCCCCTCCCCCCTTGGCTTCCTCTGCATTTTCTCGTGCCATCGAAACACTCGTTTCTCGTACGTTTCAATCACCCGTTCCAAGTATTCCTCTCGTGTTCCAACCCAGCCGGCCGCTCGGCTCAGCACAAACGCGTAATCCTCCGGTACAGTGCCCAGCACATCCCGCGCGTTCCAGATCTTGTATTTCTCGCCCGGACGCAGCCTATCGCCCCCACCGTTTTCTTCCTGTAATCGTATTGCCGCGAGTGTCGCGCTAGTTTTTTCTTTCCTTTCTTCGTCAGCCGCTGGTGCATGTACAGACACCTGATCGGGGGTCAAGGGAAAATAACTGTCGAGGACATCTAAGCACCATTGTATCGGTCTATCAATGACATATTCAGTCGCAAAAGTTACAAAAATAACTTGCCGTGCCTTGCATGCCTTCCCAAAAGCGCTCTTTCGCAAAAGGAGAGATAATCGTCCACCATTGCCTCGCTCATGTGCTCGATTGTCCTGTCACAAAACTCCGAAGTAAGCCATCCAATAATACCATCCCAGACCATGAATGAAATCCGCACATTGAAGATTCTGCACTAAACACCGATTCTAGCACCTTGGCGTCTTCCTCGACCATGTTTCGAAGTAGCCCAAAGAACGCATCACGGCTGGGAAGTGCACAAGCTGGATCAGCTGCATCTCGAGGTAATCTGGGGGAAGTATTTTAGGCCAGGTCTCCGAAACTTTTCTATCAGCACGGCACTATACCTTTCCGTTCCGTCCAAACCGTAGACCATCTTCAATGCAATAACGCAGCTAGCCATCATACTGACTTCTGGTGGCGCATTGTCGTACTGATGGCTACCAGGATCGTACGCCTTGTTTTTCGCCAGACCAGAGGTCAAACTTGGCCTCAAGGTTAATGGAAATGACAGGATGCTTGAAATCCGCTTGGAAAGAGCATACAATGTTGCTACGCATCATAACGACACGGCAGTTCACGATCGGAAGTTAAAAGGAGTCAGCAGGCGGTGAACCAAGAGACGAACTCACGGGTCCCTCCCAACGCCCGAACAACCCTCCAAAGCAGAGGTGCCGCATTGATTTCAGGAATATTGATGGAGTAGGTCCTATGCAACTTCTCGGCCAAACGCGACGCCAGGCTATGCAATAAAAGGGTGCTCGGAGCATGCTAGACGACGACTGCTTTAGCTAGCGGATTCCCTTAAACCTTTGACATTTGGAAGAGAAGTGGGATCTTTCGCCAAGGAAAGGACTGGCGATGAAGTACGCCACAAGGAAAGTTTGAATACATACATGTGGGGATAGCGCTTGTTGGCGATGCTTCGTCAGGTGTTGCACCATAGACTGGGGCAAGAAACGAACTGGATCTAGGTATGGCAGTTCATACGATTCAATGATCCTGAAGATGAAGATCTGTGTATTAGCCTTTGAACCCCTGAACCAATGTGTACTAACCTCGAGAGGTCTCGATAAGCCAGCGGAACCCTCAAGGTCCAGCAAGCTAGTACCAAGACGGCGATCGTGTTCGCGGGGCTCCCATACAGGTTCTGCAATCGCATTGACCTCGATTTGCCTCGCTTTCCTCGCTTGTCTTTCTCCACCGTACCGTCTTGATTCTGTTCTTCTTCCTGCTCTTCATCTGAACTCGAAAGGTCAGAGTTCTCTCGCATCAGGCGCTCGATTTCGTCATGGTTCAGATCATCGCTTGATTCTGAACTTGACTCTGACCCTGAATCTACACCCGATTCATTCCCATTCTGCCAGTTTGCTTTCGGGGGTGCCTCGTTGAAAGGGTCTTCGTCTTCGCCACGGTTGTTTCCCTTGTCCCGATTGGGCGTTGACTTTGACGTGGTATGCTTGGCCGGCGGTTCACCTTGCTTCGACTCCGAAGCTTCATTTGGATCCTTACCAGCCAGTTCCCCACTGCTTTCTTGTTGGGCAAAATGGTAGGGTTCAGGGGGGACGGGATCAGGCATCATTTGTAGGTATAACGCCCAGAGATCTCTGCATATGTGCTGATCACCGCAAAAGGGAAGGATGAGTTCAACAGGCAAAGGGTCATTTAATTGCGGTATTCACCTCGAATTCGGCGGGCAGTGCCCAAAGCTTCGTCAAAGCTTCCACTTGTTTACGAAGAAGGAATTGAAGGCAAAGGAAATAGTGATATCGCCCCCTTGCCCCGTGGTACACTTGGTCCGAATCAGCTCCAAGTGTTTTCGCGTCGCACTTTCACGGACTAGCTTACATTTAGGGTCAGCTTTACTCTTGGATTCCTTTTTCTTCCTCCCGGTTTTCAGGGTCCGCTTTTTCATTGCATGCGGGCCGACCTCTTGCACTTCGTTATTTTCATTTCGATAATTCTATGAAGATCGAGCCACGTTCAGTAAAACATTCAGGATTTCGAAACAACGGTTGCAACGAGGTGTACCTGGAGGACATGACCCTCGCTGCAGGCAATCAAACCACTCGAGGGCTCCTTGTGCCATTGACGCGAGCCACATGTTGGACATCGTTTACGCGGAGCCATGATATCGTCTCGCAGCCGTCCTCGTCGTCAGCAGTCGTGTCGCGAAAAGACATGGGAGCTGGGCTTGGGTGAGTGAAGCGCTGAATTGTCTTGGCTTTGCACCGCCAAGTCCGTCGCGTAGGCTTCCCACGGGTAATCAACGGCAATGACGGATGTGCCAGCGAGCTCGGCGCTTTCACTTCTTCTCGAAACCAACAAAACAGGCCGTCCTCGCAGCCATTGCATCGCGCCCAGGGAGAGGGCATATCTCCTGAAATGAAGCTGTTTGCCATCGCCTTTGCCTTGCTGGCCGTGCTGGCCACGTCCGTTTTTGCGTAGGTGGAATCAAATTATTACCCTCGGAATGACGCCGTTTACAATCGTTTATTAGATGGGATAATGTGAGTTGAATCAGTAGGGCATGAACTGCATAATACTGAAGTATCGAAAATCGACAGCTCGACCATGAAATATTCGACATGGTATCCGAATTAGAGGCCGCTGAAGGCAAGGGGACCACGTTCTACTCCTGGTTGGAGGTCCCCAATACTGCAACCACCTCCGAGATTGCCAAGGCATATAGGAAGAAAAGTATAGTCTTGCAGTAGGTATCATCTGAATTAGTTCTTCCTCCACTAACCATTTTGATAGCCCTGACAAGAACCCCGGGGTCAAGGGCGTCCATGAGCGGTTTGCGCGCTTAGGGAAAATATCGACGATTCTCCGCGACAAGGAGAAGCGCGAGCGGTATGTTGCGTTAGAAAGTCTTCAAACACAATTACCATGATTCATTTCTGTACAGATATGATTTCTTCTACAAGAATGGCGTCCCGAAGTGGAGGGGAACGGGATACTACTATTCTCGATTTAGACCGGGTCTCGGGGTGCGTACAATCTCTGCATCTCTAACGCTTATACATTCTCTAACCTGACCTCGCAGACTGTGTTAATTTTCTTGGTTATCTTGACATCCTCTCTACAATATCTCGTCCAAAACCTCAACTACAAGCGCGATTTAGCTCGAATTGAAACCATCACGAGCAAAGCTAAGGCCGTTGCATGGGGTCCCAAGTTGGTGCCACTTACTGGCCAGCGGAAGGTGGAGAAAATTGCTCTCGAAAGCTTTTGGTCGGGGATTAACTTCGGATAATAGGTTCGCGTCAATCTTGGAGACGCCCACGATGAAGACGGGAACGTTTACGATTCCAGGTGGATCGATATGGTGGTTGACGGAAATGATGTTTACATGGTACGAATGCGAACTAGCACTGTTTATGTCCACGGCTCACTGAGGACCAGCTTGACGACAATGGCGACCAAATCCTCATCAATGCCGACACAGCGACTGCACCTGGGATTACGCGCACCTGGTTCATTTCTTTGGTCAAAGCTCTCATTTTCAAAGTCATTGGCAAGAGCTCCGATTCTGACTCGGCCACAGAGCAAGAATTGGCGGCTGATGAAGACAACGACGATGTATCTTCTGCGACTGGTTCTGACGCTCCCGGGAGCAACAGCGGCACTTCAACGCCCAACGGCTCGCTAAAGGGAGGCCATCTCGCCGCGACAAAAGCTGGGGGGAAGCGAAGAAAGGCAGTCAAAAAGCGGTAATGGTGGACGATTTGGATAGTACGAGGAGCCCTGTTCGTCTTGACCGTTTCCGCGTCCCTGTGCTTGTTATCTATGGAATGTTTTTGTTGCCACATGCAAATTTGTCATTCTTTCTGTTTGTCCTCGTCTGTTGGTAAGTATGCCAATTGCAGCGCTCAGCAAAAGAATGTTACCTTTTGGGTGCTCGAATTTCCTTCCCCGTCTGATCTGATTCGGAATGCCTTTGCCAAGTCTATATCGGCATGACCGTGTTTGATGGTTCGTTCCAAGTTTTTGCCTTTTCCCAAGGTTACTTATTCAAGAACCACTCCCATGTTGACCTCGCTTTCCTCGTCACACTCATCTTCGGAACCCTTTCTCCGATATAAAACTCGATAGTACATTCAGAACAGAGCGAAGATGCCACCAGAGATGGTGTACGACGATGGTACGTGGCCGCCAAACACACCTCGCAGACTACATTTTACTCAGTTCTCATTCTCATACTACTCAGGTGAAAACCCTTTTATTGACGATGCTAGGTCTGAAGTATGCATTTAAAGGGCACTGCTCTCGCATCATTAACTGATTCTCCGCGCAGATATCATCGGATTATGGAATCGCAATGGAGGACGATATCACCTCGTTAATTGCAACACTTCCGCGTTAGTGAAGCTGCAAATCGAGGATCCTGCCTACGACACTTACCTATTAACAGCTGAAGATGAAGACAATCCGCCAGTATCCTCTGGGTCCCGCCAGGAAGTACCGTCGACACCGACCCCAATTTCCATCGGCAAGAGGCGAGCTCTCGACTTCGATGACTCCCCGCGTCCCCTCAAGCTCAATCGCGCTTCTGCCCTCAAGCCTGACCTCCAAGACGATGAGCCAGGGATGAAGAACTTGTCCCCGCACGATATGGTATGCTCGTTCAATCAGACAATTGCTAAGACTTACTTTCAATAGACATGCCCATGGTCGATGCAAGGCCTGTTTAGCAAGCTACCATTCGGGGTCCAGTGGGAATTTAGTCGACTAGTATCTTTAATGAAGAACCTTGATTTCCACGAGATAAACGGCAATCACTTTGCTGCGTTTCAAGGGGCAGAAACAAACGTAGACGCGATGCAACGGTTCTTCTCAGTCTTTCGGCAGCTCTTACAAAGCAAGGTGTGTTTGCGCCATTTGCACGATATTGAGAGCGAAATGTGACCTTTCTTGCTGTGCAAAGGGCCAGGAAACTTTCGACGATGGCGAGTATATTCCAAGAGTCGATAAATACCATACTCATGGATGAACAGAGGAGATCATGGCCAAGATCTATGAGAAGGAGCACAAAGCTCGGGTTAGTACTGATTCCAGTTGACCAGGCTCTTGACTAATGTGTGATGATACAGAGCCCCTGGAAAGAACTCGACGCTGAGGCAGTTGCTCTTAAGAACGACAAACCCTACGCCTTGATGGGTTTCGACCGTGACGGCACCCGAAACTCCTGGCACGGGGGCAAGGTCATTTTCCGCGCTTCATTGCACGAATATCAAGGACATTGCCGACTGAAGCTCGATCGACCTGAGCTTGGCCCGTCAACCAATGTCACGCGTCGATTTGGGAGCCACAGCATTTTACGCGTGAAGCTTCCCAAAACGCCAAGTTCTAACGCCCTGGCTTTTGTCAGACGTCCGCTACTGGTCTGCGGTGGCGTGTACAGGGCGTTCTACGCTAAAGAATCTACGGTGTTTTATTTCAGGACGAACGAGGCCCTCTGCAGGAGCGGAATTCACCCTTCGAAAACGATGCCAGGACTGTCCTTTCTGGACTTCATGCGGTGGGCCAACCCACCGGAAACAAACGGACATCAGGTATGTACCTCTCTTGGAGGTTTGCTGGCTATTGACACTCGCTGTCAAGGGAATGTGCAAGTGGGCATCACGCTTCGCTTTGATTTTGTCGAGCACAGAACCTGGCTATCTTCTGGAAAGAGAAAATGTGTGTTTTGAAGATGATATCAGTGAGTTTCTAAAATCGTAGCTTTTTTAAATAAATAAATAAAATAAACTAACCTAATTCCCCAAGTCCACCCCGACACTAAATCCAATATGACGGACGGAGCTGGGAGCATCGGTCGTCACATCATGTCGCAGCTCGTCCGATACTTCGATTGGGATGAACGCCCGAGCGCGATCCAAGTTCGGGTATTCGGAAGTAAAGTAAGCGATAGTTCTACCCCTTTGACTAGACTCTAACGCTCTCCAGGGCGTCTTGGTTGACGACAAGGTTGACCGGGAAGACATGAAGAAGATATACCTCACTCCTTCTCAGAGAAAGGTCATTTACCCCGAATCCGACATGGATCCGGCTCATCTAGTCATCGACATAGTGAGGAACTCACGCATCAAGACCTCGAAGAAACTAGCCGTAGAAGTCATCATTAATCTCGCAGAGAACGGGGTGCCCCCTCGCGTATTCACTGACCTGTTGCACGACATGTTACTGGAGCAGGTAGATGCCGCACTGACGTGGAACGGCCCAGATGCCATGATACGCCTTGCAGCGTTTGTGGAGAAGATTGGAGGGCTTAGATCTGCTCGGCTTGCTCGAGAAAACCCGGGGAGGGCTCGAGTGAATGGATACTCTGAAGCTGACGTCGATGACAACGAAATGTTTGAAGACGACGATAATATGAGCGAATCAAGTGTCCTGACTCATCAATCGACTGCTTGGTGGCCCGACCCTGTCAGCGGATCACCTTCGTCGCTCGAGGAGACTGTTCTTGCCCTCTTGCAGTCGGGGTTCCACCCCGGGTTTTGCCCTGTTCTGGCCGAGAAACTGAAGGCGGTTATCAGGACTCGCGTTTCTCGCCTAACGCACAGCTATCGTATCGAGGTCCCAATGTCATGCATGGCCATGATTGTTCCAGGTGGGTGTATTGCAGCCCGTTCTCGGAACCTAGCAGCCTGAGTGACGTTGGATTTCTAGACAAGAGGGGGATCTTGAAGGAAGGGGAGATTTTCTTCCGCTCCTCGCACCGTGACCTCCTTGACCGAGATGGAGAGAAAACTGATATAATTACCGGGGACGTCCTCATTACACGATACCCTTGCAAACTTCCGACAGATATCCAAAAGGCAAGCGTTACCGCCTTGCTTCTTCCTCCTTCGAGACTAACCACCCTCGGTCTAGTGTAAAGCTGTGGATCACCCAGGCCTCCATGACCTAGTTGGGGTTATCATCCTGTCGACTAAGGGCACGCGGCGTGCGGCAGACTTTATAGGAGGAGGGGACTATGACGGAGACAAGGCCATGATCATATGGCACCCTCCAATGGTGGAAGCCTTCACACCGAAAAACCAATGCTTCGCCGATCCCCCTGAACCTGGCTTCAAGGAGAAGTATTTTGATTCCGGGCACAATGTTCCAGTCGCAGAGTTCTACCGATGTATTCAGCCTCTTTCCACTGCGGAACAAATCTACAAAATTCAAGACTATTCCCTGGCCGCCTTGCAAGACACTGCATCCGTAGGCAGGTACTCAAACTTCCATGAAAATGCGATCCAGATGCTTGGATATGACCACCCCGAAACAATCCGACTCGCCCACATGTAAGTTTTTGTCTTGAAGGTGGTGACAGTCGTTTACGGGATATACCTTTAGGTTCTGCATGGTGCTTGATGGGTCCAAAACGGGGCTCAGAGTCAAAAAGTCCGTTGAAGAAGCTGATCGAGCCCGTTTCAACTACGAGGCACGGCCCTGGAAGGCGCACATGACGGAGAATGACCGGAAATCGCAGAACAAGCTCAAAGATTACAATCCCGTCCCCTTACCCATTCGTCCTACTGCCTTCATTATGGACCATCTTCTTGATCAAGCGGTGCAAGCTAAGAGAAATTTCACGGTGAAGATCAATGGCTTCTTTTCCAGTAACACGCAAAAAGGGGCATGTCGCAGTGGCTGCGGTACTCAATGCATCAGGGACCAAGATCTGTGCAGGCCCTACGAAGAAATTGTCGCGAAAAGTGAAAAGCAATACGGTGAAGGGTACAAAGCCGACCTCGAAAAAATAAGAAGCCACGTTGAACGGATATTCGTCAAGCACGGGGAAATCATGAAGGCTAGCCTTCCGAAGAAAGCAACGATCCCATCAACCCCCTCTGCTGGTGCCAGTTTCACTGGTCTGCCGATCGAAACGCGCCAAAACCACCTACGGGCGTTGGCACGGGAATATGCCCAATCCCCCGACCCCAGCGAGATGCATATGTCGTCGGACTCGGTGAGGCTCGTCAAGGCTTCGTATGCGTACATCTACGATCACCAGAAGGACATGGATGAAGGCTGGTCCCGTTTTCCATGGAATATCGCCTTTCGGGACCTCTGTTTGATAAAGGCTTTAACGCACGGAAATTTTGTTCCCATTACTGATGATTTTCAAAATACCATGGTCATCAAGTTACCGAAACACCCTGTATAATCTATCTAGCCTGTACATTTCAGTGACGTCGTTTTTAGCTTGCTGTATATCATCTTGGAACCGTTCCATAACGAAGGATGGCATAGGATGGACCAGAGTCCGAGCCAAGGCCTGTAGCCGTGAGCTGTAGTGGTTCGTTATCTCGACGTCTGAGGTTTGAAATCGCATATCATGATAACGATCCGGGGCGTTGAGGACTTGCTGACCCGGAACGGGGAATATTAGCGGTGAAGGAGAAGGTACAGAGAGCCAATTTCCTCCGAGTTGTCGAGATATCAGCCTTCTCCGCAGCACTCCCTTTCCCTGGGTCTGATTGTTTAGACTCTCTCGAACGCCGATCGAATAGAAGGCGAGAGAATGGTTCTCAAGAGCAACCACAATTGTATACTTTCCCCAGAGCCGCGTTAATGGAGTAAAGAACCGCCAGGGCTTGAGTTTGTTTGATATGTCAAAGAGATAAGAGGTTGTCGGTGAGAGTGAAAGCAAAGTGACAGTGAGATTCCGCAGCAGCCGTAAAGCTCTGATTTCGCTCGATACGAGTCGATACGAGTCGATACAAGGTCACAGGTGAGGTGATATAGCGTGGCGTCGAGCGACGATAGCAGAGTGGCTCCTTGTGGCTGATTTTACCCCAGTGTGTAACGTAAACCGCCCAAGAGCATGGTGGGGATCCGATTCAATCCGTTGACTAGACAGTTGATCAGGTTCGGTGTCGCCAAAACGGAACATTCTGCAGTCTAGGCACGCTATTTGTGTCGTCGAGAACGAGATAAGAATAAAAGCAATTCCAGAAGTATCAGAGAGATAAGGGAGAAGGATTCTCTTAGCGGTGATTTATTTATGTCTGTCACGAGATCCAAGGCCAGAAGAATGACATTGATAGTGGATATTTCAACGGAGAAACACCCGACCCGGGCGAGAGGGGTCGAGGCGGTTGGGGTCGACCTTGGGACACTGCTTTATGGGCGGCACAGTGAAGGGTGGAGCAATATTTTTGTAAAGTCACCGTTTCGCCAGTACACTGGGTCGTCGCCGCTCCTTGGCTGCTGTGCAGTGTGATCTGCTGTGAACGTTCTGTGAAAGCTTGGAAATCGCGGATAGTCTTTCCGCCGGCATCCGTCTTCCTGTTTGGCATAGTGTCTTAATATAGAGTTTTGTTCTCACGGTAATGGAGGTGAGGGCTTTACAGCGAGCACGCAGCATTGAACAGTGCCAACAACTATGATCAACTACATTCTGCTCGTATCGCGGCAAGGTGTGCTACTCAACGGCCACAAGGCCCCCTGAGAAGGGGAAACTAACAAATCGGTAGGCAAGGTCCGACTGGCAAAGTGGTTCACGACGCTGCCGCCCAAATCCAAGGCGAAGATCGTGAAGGATGTTACACAGCTGGTGCTCGCGCGGAGAACGAGGATGTGCAACTTCTTGGAATACAAAGGTGTGGAGTTCCATCGGGGTTGCAGGGAGGTCCGGACCTGAACGAATGGAATGAAACAGATACCAAAGTGGTGTACAGACGGTATGCATCGCTGTTCTTCGTGACGGGAATCAGCTCTGGGGACAACGAATTGGTGACGCTGGAGATAATCCACCGATATGTGGAGGTGTTGGATCGATATTTTGGCAATGTCAGTCGATTCTTAGTCTCTTGTAGTGCCAGGTCAATGACGTTCGTTCCATCTAGGTCTGTGAACTTGATCTGTGAGTGGTTGTAGCGACTGTTTCAGCAGCAAAAGTCTCTCGGATCCTTGGCTCACGCGAGTTTAGTATCTTCAACTTCCAAAAGGCATATGCGGCAAGTGATACATTGTACTGAGATTGGACAAAGGCAGGAAGACTGACTGTGTATTGGTAGATCCTCGATGAGCTAATTATTGCTGGAGAGCTGCAAGAATCGTCGAAGAAATCTGTGCTCCGTGTGGTGCGTTGAATGACTGTGGATCTGTGTGGTGGGGTGCTGATTGGGGGCTGTGGCAGGTGACGCAATCGGACAGCGTTGAAGAACAGGAGAATGCAGAGGACACGATTGCACGACTTGGGTCACGGATTGGTTAGCGGTTCCCTTTTTCTCTGGGGAGACAAAGAGAATAAACAGTTTTTCTTTTGGAAAGGCCCGGCAATGTAGCTGGTTGTAGCTGAGGCGGGGTCAAGGGCAATATTGATCGGGGAAACAAGACTAGTTTTTAGATGAAAGTATGTAGAAGAAAACCGGAGCCATTCGGCCGAGCGGGGCAGTGTTTCTTGGCATCGAGTTCGGGTATGGTTGTAGACGGATGGGACGAGGCGGGTTGTGAAGGGAGCTTGGTCTAATTTGATATTGTGGGGGCAGGGCGCAGCAATGATAAGATTAACTCGAAGGGAGGAGGACATTTACATCTTATCGGCCAATCACAAGCGTGGATTTTCGCGGGAACCCTAACCCCGAGACGGGAGCAGCAAACACGAGTCAACACTTTTTAGCGGGGCCTATATTAGGCTGGGTCGAGGTTTTTCCTGTCCCCAAAAACCCTCGTCCATTTCAGATTTTCCTCCTCTCTTTACTTGATTTCTGAGAACTAATGGCCTACCAATACCGCAACGATCTCCTCGCCCCCTTCCTCGCCCTTCCCCAAGGCGACAAGGTCCAGGCTGAATGTACGCTCGTCCCCAACAGCTTCGACGATGATTTTTCTCACACCCATTTTAGATGTCTGGGTTGATGGTGACGGTGGCCTTCGTTCAAAGACCACGGTAATTTTGTTCAGAGCCCCCGACGAACAACTCACCCTAACATAGTCGCCAGACTGTCAGCAAGAAGGTGACCGACATTGGTCAGCTTCGAATTTGGGACTTTGACGGCTCCTCCACCAACCAAGCCCCGGGCAACGATTCCGACGTCTACCTCCGTCCCGCCGCCATCTTCAAGGATCCTTTCCGTGGCGGTGACAACATCCTCGTCCTCGCAGAAACTTACAACAACGATGGAACTCCCAACAGGACAAACTTCCGTCACCATGCCGCCAAGGTGATGGAGCAGGCAAAGGACGAGGAGCCCTGGTTCGGTCTTGAGCAAGAGTACACTCTCTTCGACGTCGACGGCACCCCCTTCGGCTGGCCCAAGGGTGGTTTCCCCGGCCCTCAAGGTCCCTATTACTGTGGTGCTGGTACGCTCTTGTCTTTTGTCAGCCCCAACAAACGGTCCCTAACAAGCTCCACTAGGTACTGGCAAGGTCTTCGCTCGTGACCTCATCGAGGCCCACTACCGTGCTTGCCTCTACGCCGGTATCAACATCTCTGGTATCAACGCTGAGGTCATGCCCTCCCAATGGGAGTTCCAAGTCGGCCCTTGCGAAGGTATCTCCATGGGCGACCACCTCTGGATGGCCCGATACCTCCTCGTCCGTATCGCCGAACAATGGGGTGTCAAGGTTTCCTTCCATCCCAAACCCCTCCAGGGTGACTGGAACGGTGCCGGCTGCCACACCAACTTCAGCACCAAGTCTATGCGAGAAGAGGGCGGCATCAAGGCTATCGAAGCCGCCATCGAACGATTAGGCAAGCGCCACGACGAGCACATCGCCGTCTACGGTGACGACAATGACATGCGTCTGACCGGCCGCCACGAAACCGGCCACATTGGCGTCTTCAGCTCTGGTGTTGCCAACCGTGGTGCATCCATTCGTATTCCTCGACATGTCGCTGCTCAGGGACACGGTTACCTCGAGGACCGCCGACCAGCTTCCAACATCGGTATGTTATTTCCCTTTTCGTCCACGAAAATCTTTCCCTGACAGTGCCGTTTTAGATCCTTACCGGGTTACTTCGATTATCGTTGAGACTGTCTGCCTCAACAACTAAACCCTTCGCGCATCATTTCATTTCATTCGTAGACATCTATCTTCGCATTGCCATTTATGAGATTGTTTGACCCTACCACCCGTAATATGGATCATTCGTAAGGACTCTGGGGATATCGAGAGAGGGAGGAGGAAAGTAGTTTTATAATATATATGTAATACCACAACCGCGCATTGTATGAATACCCACAACCCAGGGTTTTTGCTTGTCCCCCACGATTTCTCCTCGCGTGTGATTTCAAGGGCCTCTTGCCGCTTCTTTCACGTTTATCATGTCTTCGGAATATGCTCTGCATTTCTCACCCATTTCGACCGAAGAAGCTGGATCGTTCAAACTGCTGGAACTGTCTCAGGAGCTAGCCGCCCTCGTAGAGACCGCGATCAAGAATTCAGATCCCTTGAGGTGTGAGGTCTTTGTCTTGTCACCCGAGACCGTGCTGGCAACTCGTTTTCAGCTTGAACATCAAAGGGAACTCGAACGAGGATGCCGTCTTGTGCACACGAGACAAAACATACACCATTCGCTCTGTCGATCTGTCCAACACGCTCTTAATTGTTACACCACCCGAGGATGCGGCTCATTCACTGGAACTCGCCGGTAGGGACGACACAGTCGTGATACGCGACCAGATCAATGAAATTCTAGAACTCGCTCCTGCTGTCCCCAAAATCCAAAAGCTGATCTCCCGAATACGATCCAGGGAGTACGGAGAGGATCAGGAAGACGAGGATGAAACAGATGACTTGGACAATGAGGTTCGCTTAACCTTTGACGCGTTCCATCGAACATAACCGCCAACTGAACCCTTTTTTTGTCCTCCTCAAAGGCCCGATTTACGTACGAACAGGCTCAAGAAGAGATCCAAGCCAGCGACGTGGAACTCGATTCATGCCTTAAGCAACGGAGAATTCTCGTCATAAACCGTAAGCACACCCCTTCCATCTTTTTGAACTCATGTTTTTGTCCCATGAAATCCAAACGTGGCGCTAACGCGGGACGTGCAATTGCAGGCGAACTGCGTCCCATTGCGCCAGCGTATCTTCAGAACATCCTTGAGCTCATTTTAAACCTCTTGGTATCCTTGTCCCAGCCCCACTCCAACGCGTCGGTGGAGGCTTTAACTTCATCTCTCTCCGATGACCACGAGATATCCCGAGTTGTATCCACCCAAGTCCTTGCTTGGTTCGGCGAAATCCACGCCGGAAAGTGGAAGATGGATGTGGATGAAGTCATTAAAGAGTTGGGGCTTGGTATATTGAGGAACCACAAGGACGATCCAATCGCGAAACGCGCCTTCCTATCACAATGGAAAGAGGTTGTTGGCGATACTTTCGCTGATCGAGTTACATTGAAGCTTATTGCTGTGGGTACCTTTCCCTTTAGAAACCCCTCAGGGGCTCTGAAGGCCTTAGTCCGATTCATATCATGGAATGTTATACTGAAACCTTTCCGGCCACAGGGCAACTACTTGGAACACAAGTCATCCCTCTCCGGCGCGGAGTCTCTGCAGTACTTCCCTTCTTTAGCCTTGCCTCCTGACCCAGCAGCCCGTTTTGCGGACCTATTTTTGACCCGCGCTAAATGGAAGGGAGACGAAATCAGTGCATTCCTAAACGATATTGCTGTTAACACAAAGGAACGAGACAAGCTATTGCTCAAGTATTGTCGTGCTATTACTGAGGAAGGAACGGTATACTACACGGCCAGGGCCCAATACAGTGGATGAGAAATAGTGTACAAACATATACGAAGCAGTACGCCCTCGAGTAGTCTAAAGTATCCAATGATGTGGGACCAGTTCAGGCGCTAAGTCCTGCCAGCTGATTTCTTGGCCGCCTTCTTTGGCCTCGCGTGACTAGATGCTCCAATGGTTTCCTCATCCTCGTCCTCGTCTATCCTCCGCTTCTTGTTGCCAGTAGATGGCTTCTTCTTCGACGAACCTGCAAGTCCTGGTAGCTCCTTTTCTGGATTCTTCGATAGTTGATCAACGTATTTCCACAGGGTTTTGCAGACCTTTGAATTCATCCGGACGTCGATATAGTCTTTGCGGATAGTGCTGACCATCTGGTGTACAGCTTTCGCCATTGATGCCCGTGACTCATTCACGAGCTGGAAAAGCAGAACGCCTGAGAAAAGGAGAAATGAGTCTCGTTGCTAGTACGCTTAAAAAGGGAAAGGAACGGTACCAATGAAGACAAACTCGACTGGAGCGAACCTCTTGGCTTTCTGGAGAGAAGCGAGGTCCTTATTGTACCTGGAATCGGACGCGATCGCCAATAGGTCGTCTAGCACACCATTGATCTCCCTCTTGAATTGTTTGGTGGGTGCATCCTCTGCAGTCAGCCAGTTTTCGAGGGTAACTGCGGAAGGGAAACGCTCTTCGTTGCCTCGGATGCCCTCGCAACAGTATACCATTGAAGCCAAGTTTTGGAAGTCCCGACCGCGCGTCGTATCAAACGTGATAGCCTCTTGAAGGCCTCCTTCAATTTCAATGTATTGCTGTACAAGCAAGCCAATCCACCTATGGGTCGTGGCGCCTGTAAGTAGGAGCTTCAAAGTAGTAATGGCGGACACGTACTCCGCACGAGGTGATGATATTGCCTTGAGTTTCTCTATAGAAGTGAACGTTAGTGCGACGATCGAAGAACTCGAGGGTTTCACCAACCTCCAGCTTGTAGAGCCACTCCCAGTTGCACCCTCTGGAATATCTGCCGCTCGTTAGTGGAAGTAAGATCTTGGTATTGCACTTATGATTTCCAAAGCTATGATTTAGAGGATGGCTGTCTTTGGGGTGAGCGGATCGCGACACTTACCACATATTAGGGACCTGTTGTCAAACGATTCCTTGAACGGTAAAGGGATTTGCAAACGGCCCCTCGAGTTTGGAATGTCAGGTGTTGTGTAATACCATGATTTGCCCGTCTTGGGGTCCTTGTCTATAGGACGGGGTTTAAATGCGATTAAACCACGGGGAAAGAGTAAACCTTACGAGGAATCTGGGCGAAAGCTCTGGTCAGTACCAGTGACACGAAGAATTGTGAAGTAACTCACTGAACCATCCATAAACCTCATGATGGACGTTAGACGCTGAGAACAAACGACGGTTCAGACATTTTTAAACCCCAGTAACTCAGTGATAACTGACCTGCTTCCCGTCAACACAGACCCAGATGTTTCCCTCGAGCTCTTCGGAGTACTTCACAGCAAACACCAATGGAGGTATGTAGAAGTTTCGGAATATTGAATCAATCAGCTTGGTCTGCTTTGCTGCGGGCCAAACAGGTTCTGTGTGGCATGAAAGGCTCAACGGTGTCGGGAGAGGCAAGAGGTCGTTGGCGTGTCATACCTCGTTGGTACGGCGGGCACAGATCAATCATTCCTTCGTGTATCATTCCTATCGAGCAGTCAGAAGACAAGCGCATGTATAGGATTTTCCAACGTACGATACAGCTCCTGCATTTTGCAATTATCCGCGGTAGGTGGAAGTACAGCTCCTCGAATCTTGAATTCAAATGGATTGTCATCGTCTGACTCATCCTCCAGCTGATCCTGCTCCTCCTCTTCTGCGTCGTCTTCGGTCTCGTAGCTTGTGGACCTCTCCCTTTCTTGTTGTAAAGTCGTGAATTTGGCCATAGAGAACACGGGTGATGATGGCGGTTGTTGATCAAGTTGTAATTAGACTCCGGCTTGGCGAAAGGCTGGATCAAAACTCTTCTCCGCGTACCATCACTGCGACTTGGAACATGGCCTCGGTGGAATCTGAAAATAGGAAAATACCATTGGCACAGTACCTGAAGCACCTCACAAATGGAACTTTATCCATGTCAAAGGCTATGGGACTTGCTGGCAAAATGTTTGTTGACCTCCGCGTCGGTTTTGGCAGGGGGACACATGCTCACCGGTCTGACACAGCTACAAGTCCCACTCGACACCTGCTCAAATCCGCGACCTGAACGACTTTACGCTGCAGGATTGCGGGATTACCGACTCCTCCGACAGGAAGCAGGTGTTGGCAGCATTCAGGAAAGCAGGCTTCACTCCCATACCCGTCAAACCTAAACGCGGTACTGCGTCGAAGCGGGCTAGAGATTCAGATGGCGCAGAAGACTCTAGTCCATCCACGACATCGCCATCCAAGTCTGCGGGAAAGTCATTTTCCTCCGGCTCCCCTGCTGTTGATGCTATTGTAAGTGACCAGTCGGCCGTCGATCTTCTCATGCTACCTTCATCCAAGATTACGCCACCGAAACGAAAAAGAACGAAAATTGTCAAGAATGAGTTTCTTCCGGACGGGCCGCAAGAGGAAGGTTCTACCCTTGGAAGTCTTGAGTTCAATGAAGTCTCGGACGAAGCGGTCAGCATTCGCTATTCACATTGATACCAGAACGCATTTCTTACCACAAACGTCTAGGTCCTTTCTTCCAAGTTTGTTGTCATAAATCGAGCACCGGTGATGACTGCTTGGGCCATGGTAGTCGCAGAGACTATGAACTTTAAGAGAGAAGAAGCCTTGAGTATCGGTAGGCGGGCTTCGAGCTAATGTCGCGGGGTGCGGAGTTGACCCAGATGCCTTTCTCCCCGTCTCAGCATCGGTCTATACAGAAATGAACGCTATATCCAGAGGAGTGAGCATCGGCCTTTACAAGTCTGGGAAGGATCGTGGTATGGAAGTCTCTCGGTCTGGTAGCCAACCCTTCGTTGAACTCATGGGTAGAAGGTCTGTCCGTCTGTTCCATTCGGTTCCGACCTCTGCTAATCTCCTCTGAATGACAGGATGTAGGTATCATTATACCATGCCCCGAACAACCTCGCTCACAGAATTCTCGAATAGACCACTTTATCAGACGCAGGAAGGCCAATGGCGGGCCCTCTCTAATAATTCGCCCGTTCCGCCTATGACCGCATTTGGCTACATTTGCCGCTCTTTTCGCCAGACTACCCCCTTTGTGATAGGAGCGATGAAGCTGTTGGCAAGCAGCTACTCATCGAAATCGTTGAATCGGTGTGGATACTCCCTTTATTGCGATTTCCGGCCAGATGCAGAGCAGTGGGGGAAGCGTTCTCAACTCTCCTGCTCAAAGATACTCTCTCTGCGAAACGAGGCTACCGTCGAATCTTCAACACCTACAGCACCGGAAGTCGTTCACGCGACTGCAGCATCCATCGACGAAACTCAGCTTGCGCGGGAACAGTCTTCGCGCCCACTAACCTTGGAAGAGTTCGAAGCTGCCTTGGACGAAGACCACACTTTTGACCACGTCGACCTGGACTACTCACGCTCGGGCCCTCGGTCACAAGTATGACAATACAAAGGAAGAAATTCATTACTCTGGAGGTGGCCATGATATTACTAGTACAATTTGACTGTACAGAACGTCCAAGAGATTGTGAATGTAAGTGAAAAGAAATACTTCGATGATTGCGTCAACAACTGCATTGATCAAACACTTTTACAATTTGGGGTCGTCCTTGCCGTGGTACTTGCGTCCGGGGCCGTTCAACCACCATACACCACCATTGAGGTAGGTGGCATAGCCCAACCAAGCACAGTATGGGAGAAGGAAATAGGTTGCCTTCCCATCGGTAGGCCTATCCAGTACTTTCTGTTGTGACTGTAAGCCATGGTCGAACCACGCCATGCCAGTAAGTAGTAACCTACCGTCATATACCATGTGGTTGCTGTTAAGAGGACACTGTCGACTAGTGCCAATCCGGTCTGAAGGGTTGGGCTTCAGCCTTGGTCCGTTGAGGAATGAAACAGGGACCTACGTTGTGGGTTCCGAAGAACAAAGGACTCCAGACGAAGTTCAATCCAAGCTGGACATAGTAAAGAGCGATACCGAGGGAAAGATCGTCACTGCAGTCCCGTTAGCTGCTTGTACAGCTAATCTATCTAGGCTGAAGCTTACCGAGTGGGTATCAAGGCAGACTTGTCCAAGGCCTTCACGGCTACATGCGATGCGTATCCCATGGCTAGTGGTCATCAGCAACGACGTGAAGCCATCCCCTTCGAATCACTCACCGCAATACAGCAATGTCCAGACAAATGGGAAGATTTCCCTTGGAGGACTTGCGGGTGGTGCATTGAGGGCCTTTGGATGGTTAGTTTCAATGTTTCTCCAACTGCGCCGGACTGGGAACGTACGTGGTACCAGTGAGTATTAGCGACCTTGGAAGCAGGGGGTGACCCGGACAAAAAACCAATGGCCAGAGGTAGGCCAACGGCGGTCACTGGGTTCCTGGGAATCGCCAAAAGGATATTTGGGATATGGATAGACATTTCGAAGAAGACAAGGACCAACGAGCCCTCGTCGTTTGCATTAATATTGGTTCCAAGTGCAATGACATCATTAGTGACCCTACTTAAACCGTACGTCATGGCCACCGCATGCACGCGGGTTTTGGATATCGAAAAAAAATAACAGCTAGGCCCTGCCAGGAATCGAACCTGGGTTTCAAGAAGTCGATGATCAGAATCTTGAGTGATAACCGCTACACTACAGAGCCGATGGCTCACATTGGAAGTGATTTTATCCGAGGCGGCTGCAGCGAACCAAGTCGGCCGAGTCATGTACAATTATTCCGAATTGGAAGCTGATCACCCCTAATTCCAAAATTTGCACCTTTAACCTTGTTCCCGATGTCGTTCTCGTTCCTCCCTCTGATAACCCAAGGGGACGAGCAGCTTTTCAAAGCGCTCAACCGCATTGGCCCTGTTATCTTATCAGCCCAATCCTCAGTTCCTCTGCCATCAACTGCAGATCACCCATACATACTCTTCGAATCATCGACTGATCCAGTTGATCTCGACCAACTCATAAAATGGCTCGACGAGGGCGTTGAAAAACTCATCTTGCCCCTTTCCTGGACAAAGGAAGTTATTGGCACAATCCCGCGTGAACGACTCGTTCTTCTCCTCGACGTCGCCAATGTCAGCGCCGTGTCCGACAAAGTCCGGAGTGCAGTTTCCGGGGTTCTCTTGAAGACACCTTCCCTCGACCTCGACTTTGTCACATCGGTTTCCAAGTTCTTTGCGGGATCAGCCATCTACGTCCTATCGACTTCGACAGATCTTCCAAGCCCTTCAAACGTACGCCAGTTGAAGGGCATCGGTGCTACACCCGTCCTCCCGGAATCCCAGCTTACTCTTGAAGCCACTTCCGCCGCCAACCTGAACATCGCGGATGCGTATGTGGCGCCTATCACTTCCGACAGGAAGGATGGCCTCTTTCCGACGATCGTCTCGACCGAAACCGGCCACTCCCTCGGTCTGGTTTATTCCTCCGTCGAGTCAGTCAAGGAGAGCATTGTGACAGGCAAGGGGGTTTACCAATCCCGCAAACACGGCCTCTGGAGAAAGGGAGAGACATCCGGAGCAACCCAAGAGGTCGTTAGCATTCGGCTCGACTGTGATTCAGACAGCTTGGAATTCCGTGTCGTCCAGCATGGTGCAGGCTTTTGCCACCTGAACAGGCAATCTTGCTTCGGAGAAGCTAGCGGGTTGCCTGCTCTGGAGAACATCTTGCGCTCGCGATTGGAATCGGCACCCGAAGGTTCCTATACCCGCCGTCTCTTCAATGACGCAGAGCTTCTGCGTTCCAAGATCATGGAAGAAGCTGACGAGCTATGCCGCGCTGAAACGAAGGAAGAGATCCAGTTCGAGGCGGCTGATCTCATCTACTTCGCCCTCACCAAGTGCACGGCTGCTGGAGTATCCATTGCCGACATCGAAAGATCACTCGATCGCAAAGCCAAACGCGTCACTCGCAGAGCAGGGAATGCCAAACCCCAATGGTCAAAGAAGGAGGCTGAATCTGCACCAGCCCCCGCCAAAGCAACCCCAGTTTCGACAGAAACGATCCGCATGAACACTTACGACCTCGCTACTGCTTCCTCAGAGCAGCGGGCACAGCTCCTCCGTCGCCCTGTCCTCAACTCTAACGAGATGATCGACAAGGTTAAACCAATTGTCGAGGAAGTTCGCAAGCGTGGAGACAAAGCCCTCCTGGAATTCACTGCCAAATTCGACCGTGCTCAGCTCTCCTCCACAGTCATCTTCCCTCCCTTCGCTCCGGAAAGCATGCAGCTCGAGGACTTTATCCGCGACGCCATCGATGTCGCCTACTCCAATATCAAAAAATTCCACGAAGCACAAAACAGCGATGCGATTCTTCGGGTTGAGACAATGCCCGGCGTCGTTTGTTCCCGATTCGCTCGACCAATTGCCCGTGTTGGTCTTTACATTCCTGGAGGCACCGCCATCCTCCCTTCGACTGCCCTCATGCTTGGTATCCCAGCTCAAGTCGCTGGATGCAAGGAGATCGTGTTCGCTACCCCTCCTCGTTCGGATGGGAGCATTTCGCCCGAGGTCATGTACGTTGCGCACCTCGTTGGAGCGACGGCCATCTTAAAGGCTGGCGGTGCCCAAGCCGTCTCTGCTTTGGCATATGGAACAGAGACCGTCCCCAAGGTCGACAAGATCTTTGGTCCGGGGAACCAATGGGTCACTGCCGCCAAGATGTTGGTGCAGAACGATACCGATGCTCTCGTTTCGATTGATATGCCTGCAGGGCCATCGGAAGTCTTGGTGAGTTTAGATCTCGAATTCCTTCGGAGCCGCGCTGACGGCCCTCCCAGGTTATTGCCGACCACACTGCCAACCCTGCTTTCGTTGCTGCAGACCTGTTGTCGCAAGCCGAGCACGGTGTCGATTCCCAGGTCGTCCTAGTGGCCGTCAATCTCACCGAAGAGCACCTCGCAGAGATCGAGGCGGAAGTCAATAAGCAAGCACTTGCGCTGGAACGGGTGGACATTGTTCGTCAGTCAATCCCCAAGAGCAACATCGTCAAGGTTGCAACCGTCGACGAGGGTATCGCGTTCTCCAACGATTATGCACCCGAGCACTTGATCCTTCACCTCCAAGATGCCAGCGACAGAGTCGCTCAAATCGACAACGCGGGAAGCATCTTCGTTGGCGCCTTTACACCCGAGAGGTGAGTGCCTAATTACCCAATCCATGAGCCGACAGCTGACGATTGTATGCAGTTGCGGTGACTATGCTTCTGGCACCAACCATACGCTGCCGACAAACGGCTATGCTCGACAGTTCAGTGGTGTCAACACCCTCTCCTTCCAGAAGCACATAACGTCACAAGAAATCACTGCAGACGGTCTTGGAGGGTTGGGTCCAGTGGTTGCAACCTTGGCGGACTGCGAAGGCCTTCAAGCTCACGCCAACGCGGTGCGCATTCGCCTTCAATCCATAGGAAACCGAGAAGGTGCATTGTAATAACCAATGAACTGGTATAATATGAATACGATACAGTGTCTAAGGGAGCGTCGTGAGTAGGTGCAAGTCTATAGGAGAGTCGTGAATATATCCGATAAGAAATCAGTTCGTGCGGTAGAGAGCACGTTTTGCGACCTTCACGACCAAGGGCGTATCGGGGAAGGAAAGAGCTTCCAAGTTGGCGGCGTACTGTGAATGGTGTTAGACTCGATCTTCGAGAAGACGATAAAGTTTTAGGCTTACCGGTGTGGGAACGTCAGCACCAGTAACTCGCTCCACGGGAGCGTCAAGATAATCGAAGGCCTCGCTCTCGACAATCTGTGCGCAGATCTCGCTGCCGACACCGAATTGAGGGAAGCCACCCTCGACGATGACGAGCCTGTTCGTCTTCTTAACCGACTTGATGATGGCGTCGATATCGAGAGGACGAATACTTCGGAGGTTGATGACCTCAGCCTTGATACCCTCCTTGGCGAGAACCTCAGCAGCCTCCATACTGTGTGTGACAGACCTCGAGTGAGCGACAATGGTGACATCGCTACCCTCCCTCTCAACCTTGGCCTTGCCAATGGGGAGCAAGAATTCTGTGGACAGGGCCTCCTGGGACACGGGGAAGGAGACACCGTACATCATTTCGTTCTCGAGGAAGACGACTGGGTTAGGATCCCGGATGGCGGACTGTGATGTATCATTTAAGACTTGACTCGGGGGAGCGGAATATGAAATGGGTCATTTACCTTGAGCAGACCCTTGCAGTCTTCGGCACTCCATGGGCTGACGACCTTCAATCCAGGGATAGAACCATACCAAGCGGCATAGTCCTGGGAATGCTGGGCAGCTACACCGAGAGCAGCACCGTTGGGGCCTCGGAATACGACGGGACAGGGAACGTTGCCGCCAGACATGTAATAGGTCTTGCCTGCCGAGTTGACAATCTGATCAATGGCCTGCATTGCGAAGTTGAAAGTCATGAACTCGCAACTGTTTTAGGGATTTCAGGGTTAGTGAAGGGTGATGAGTTGGCGTCGGGGAACACGTACATGGGTCGAAGACCCTGCAAGGCAGCACCGACAGCGATGCCAGCGAAACCCATCTCAGTAATGGGTGTGTCGACGACGCGCCTCTCGCCAAACTTGTCCATGAGGCCCTTGGTGACCTTTTGAAATCATGGGTGTTGAGTTGTCGAGATTTAAGATGGACATTCGGGGAAGAATACCTTATAGGCACCATTATAGCGAGCGACCTCCTCGCCAAGGATGAAGACGTTTTCGTCCCGGGTCATCTCTTCCTCCATGGCAAGGTTGAGCGCCTCTCGGACGGTCATCTGGAGAGCCGTGTCACATGCGGATGCAAAAAAGTTATGACGCGACGGCCTACCGTGTGTTGTTCTGCTCCCGTTGCATACCGACGGAGAGCTAGAGCTGGCAGACGTTGAGGGAGTCTTGGTGCGCGGTTGAGGGTGGGGGCGACGCGAGAGAGGAGACGACGGGAGAGCATGGTGGAGGGACAAGGTCAACGACGACACTGGCTGAGCAATATTTTTGAGGTCAATTCACTGCGCCCGTTTCTTGGGGGCTTTTTCAAACTCAGCCCACACACACACAACCCTGGTCCGCAATCGGAGTCCGGTCTTGTCCATCGCCAATCATCATCAATTCAATGCACAAGCCCGTCGTAGTCGTTACCGGAGCCTCAAAGTCCTCATAACCTCTCAAACCCTTCAACACAGTATTGACTTTTCCAAAGAGGAATAGGTCTCGCCGTCACAAGGCATCTAATCAATGAGTTCAATGCCGTCGTCGTCGCCATCTCCCGGTCACGCAGTCCAGAGTTGGCCGAAATAGAACTCGCAACCGAAAGCGTAGATTTCATCGAATGCGACATGTTAGTATAAGCGCCACATTTGGTCTTCCCCAGCTGATCGTCTACAGTGTAGACGAGAAGAAACTCACCGATGCCATCAATCACGCTGCCCACCGCCATCGTCGACTTGACGGCCTCATCCTCAATGCAGGAACCATCGACCCTATGACTCGGATCGGTGACGATGCTACGCCTTTGGACCATTGGAAATGCCACTTTGACATCAACTTTTTCTCCTTAATCACCGCAACAAGGAGTGCCCTCCCTTCTTTGAGGAAGAATCCAGACGGTGGTCGAATCGTCTTCGTCAGTTCAGGGGCCGCGGTCAAGGGAACCGCTGGATGGGGTCCCTACAATGCGAGCAAAGCAGCAATGAACTCTCTGTGCCGGTTAGCTCGGTCTTGTCTTGTGTGTATCGGCCATGCGCTTACCTTGGGTAAAAATAGGACCTTGGCGGAAGAAGAGTCCGACGTCATCTCGGTTGCATTGCGACCAGGGATGGTAGACACCAATGTTCGTACGAGCCAACAGTCCGATTGTCCCCCCTACCTTGCTCATCAAAACTTACAGATGCAGGCAAAGCTTAGACTAATTGGGACAAACGCCATGTCCCCCGAGGACTACGAAAAGTTTATCAAAGTCCACGCCGAAGGAAAGTTGGTTAAGCCAGAGGATTGCGGATATGTTATCGCAGCTCTCGCCCTCCAAGCACCTAAGGAACTCAGTGGCAAGTTTGTAAGCTGGGACTCGGATGAATGTGCGCCGTTTAGGAAGCCTGCCAATGCCAATGCCAACGGCAGTTGAAGATCAGTCATTTTGGACGGCCTTTTGACGGTGTAGATTAAACAGCAAACAGCAATATAATTTCCTAAAGTGCGCAACGAACAAGACCGAGCTTGTATCGTCATTGACTCAAAATTTCGAACGAGTTTCGGGAACCCCAAGAATATAAAGGTATCTTCTACGCGCTCAAGACTCATTCCTCGATCTCGCCACCCCCCAAGATGCTGTGCGTCGACGTTCATCACCACTACTTCTCTTCTGACCTCAAAGACCACAAGAAAAGAACCAATGATAAGATAGGGTGGAAGACGCCTGAAGGGAACTTGGGTTGGTCTCCAGAACTCAGTCTCAAACTCATGGATGCCTCGGGCGTGGACATCAGCATTCTTTCTTTTCCAGCAATCGCTGCGGGTGAGGTCAGCCCCAAAAACAGGTCACTCGCAAGGGAGAGAAACAGGTTCGCTGCTCAGATATGCGCAAAACATCCTTCAAGATTCGGGTTCTTCGCTACTCTTCCTTTCCTTGACGATGTTCAAGGTGTGTGTCGACGGGCTTGGTATAATACCATTTCTAATGCACCACCAGGCTGCCTAGCAGAGATTTCCTACGCCTTGGACGAACTCAGAGCAGATGGCATAGCATTGCCGTCGCATTGCGGGGAAGGTCCGTCGGCTAGTACGAGTTCAGGTTCCTTTGGGGTGACATGGATTGGCACTGAGTACATTTACTAGGATACATCGGGGATGACAGATTTGATAGAATCTGGCAAGAACTGAACCGTCGGCGTACCGTCGTATTCCTTCATGGAACCCAAACCGAGTCTTCTACGCCCTTTCCACACCCTTGGCTCGGTATACCCATAACGGAGGTATGCACTCTCTCCTTGTACACGCCCCATTCACCGTTGCCCTCCTACTAGGTATGCAATGAAACATTCAAAGCCGCGTCCCATCTCGTCGTAACAGGTCGAAAACGGCGCTACAGTGACACCAAAATCATCCTCTCACACATGGGCGGATCGCTGCCCTCCCTCGCTGCACGCGTCGCGGTTTTATCAAATTACATGGGCTGTCCCTTGACTCCCGAAGAGATCCTTGAAGACTTCAGAAGCTTTTATTTCGACACTGCGTTGAGCTCGTACGGACCAAACCTCCAAGCTATGGAAGCATTCGCCCTGCCGGATCGCCTGCTTTTCGGGACGGACTTGCCTGGTAAGTTAAAGTCGGTATGGTCAATTGTCTACTAGTATCTAACAGGATTTGTCGTCTACTGTAGCTGTCGATGTTTCTTCTGCACAGTGGTTCACTGGGAAATTGAAAGAGCATTGTGTCCACGATCCGGCCAAACTTCGACGAATCATGTCCGAGAATGCCCTCAAGCTCTTCCCAAACAAAGCACTCGGAATGCAGGTGGAAATCAATTAGTTCTAGGGATCTTTAGCTCCCGATTTGTCTCTAATAGTGATAAATAATTCGTCGCCCGCCGCTCGAGCTATGTCGTTATAACAGTGTAGTCTCTTAAAAAGGTCCATCATAATGACCATCTATTTCAGCTTCCCTCGTTCAACCAACGTAAGATCTCTGTATGCCCTGGGCTCCCTGTCATGAGCGCTTCACCATGTTTCGCGTCGGGATCAAACCAAAGGTTTTTGCGCACGCCGTGCGAGCGGAGGTACCGACGGACGCGCTATAACGTCGGATTATTAGTATCACCTTTTTCGCGTGAACTGAGGAGGAAAGGCCAACCTCCGAGTGGACGATTTCATCCCTGCCACCGAGAAGGAAGAGAGTCTTGGATGGGTCACGAGCATTTGGAATTTCTTCATACCAGAGTGAGTTGGACACCCAGTCGAAATGTCGTTGGAGCAGGTTGGCCACGCCAAGTTCAGTGCCCACGAAATATTTCATGAGGAGTTGCATTCCCTAGTCCAAGGTCTGAGGAAGCAGGGTGCAGAAGGGGGTGAGGACTTACCGTTTTCGGCGTGCGATAAATAAAGTTGTAACACACATCTATGACAAGCAATGAGTCGCAAGCGAGAGTGATTATCCATGTAACTCACCTCCTTCCCATGAACAGAATGTCACTGGGTCGACAAAACAGGAGCGGGTTACTAGATGAGGATGTTCCTTAAGCATCCATGCATGGGTATAAGAGCCGCTACGAGGGAGCATAAGAGAGGGTCTTCATCTGGGGAAAGTTGGGAGTGCGCACTTGGAATGACTGAGCATGGTGATGCCTCTCTTGTGCTCCATCAAGGTTTTAGCAATCTTCCTCTCCTCTTCATCATTGAAATCATCGTCCTCGTATTCAACGTGGGTCCATCCGAGATCCTTCAGGAGAGCAGCGAGTTTATGAGACATCTGATGTCTGCTCATAGGAGTGAGGAACCGGGGATGAAAGATATCCTGGCTGATGTGGGGTTGTAGGATGATGAGGATTGGCCTATCCGAGATGGATTCAAGCATGTGGGAGATGAGAAGGTGATATTGCATGAGGCCCATCCCTAGTCCGTGAATGAAAACAAGGGGGCGGGGTGAAGAAAGGTAGTTCCATCCTTGTGGGATGCGGAGGAGGTACCTTGTGGAATGTGAGCAAAGGGGATCGGAGGAATGGAGAAGCGACTTGCTCTAATTGGTCGTGACATCCATAACGTGCGTCAAATTTGGTTTCATAGTACTTTTGCAGAGTCCAGTTTATGGACTTGATGAGAGCATAGAAGACGAAAGGCCTGCCCCAAATTTGGACGGGGTCGATGGTGAGGCGCATAGGCGTGACGCTGATCCCCGGGCCATCCTCGACTTTACACCCCATACGCTTCTCAAGCAGGTCCAGCGCATGGTCTAGTTTTTCCCTCTGGGATTCGTCCAAAGAGTCGTACTGGCCCATCTCGGCGTTGTAGAGTGACCAGTAAAGCCATTTCCGGATGTCGTTGAGTTTAACGTCTGACCAGGGAACCTTTTGGAACCATGTTCTAAGGCAGTCGCGGAAATCGACCGCTCTGGGGTCGTCGAAGTCTAGCTGAATGATGTCTTCTTCTGGGCTGCCTGGTCGCTCGACAAACAAGGATTCGTGATCGCCTCCGTCCTCAGGGAGGCCGGCAAGTCCAGTTTGCAACAAACGGGTGAGTGCGGCTTGGATCTCGTGGTAGGGTGCGGGCGCATTGGGTGCTACAGTGGAGATGTAACGCGCTAGCTGCCAATGGTAGACGCTAAAGAAAACCTGGGACGGAGTTAGTGTCTCGGGGAGCGGCGAGAAAAAAAGAAAAAAGAAACACCTCGCACAGGGCAAACGCAAAGGATGTCAGACCTAGATATCCGTAGGCCCATATCCTCCCAGTGTATAGCGAGTAGACGACAAAAGTCCAGGAAAGCGGGATAACGGACCAGAATGGCAAGACGATTGTGAAGAGAGCCGAGTAGAAACAGGGGGACGGAGAGGGTGGAAGGACAACCGCCATAGCCGCCTGGTTGGGCAGGAAGTGCGGATAGCCCTGTGGTCGCCAGAGGGCGGTGGGCGAGTGAAACTGACGCGAAACAGAGGCAGAAACCAAGTGACAGCAGAGATGTATGCTACTTTTGGAATTGATGGGATCAAGCCAAGCCCATAGCGTCATTGACATTATGTTCCGCACCTCGGCTGCTATCGGCACGTGATGGTGATATCAGAGCCACGCGCGGTGGGCAGTTTGAGTTGTTTCTTATCCACCGTAAGCCTCAGTCCGACCCTTCCGACCAACTCCCATCTACATTTGACTCTCTTTTTTTCTTCCAAAATGCTCCGCTCAGCACTCGCTTCCACAGTCAGACCGGCCTTTGCCCGTCCAGTCAGTCTCCCTTTCTCTTCTCCTCCCCGTTCTTATCTCACTTTTTTCCGAAAAAAAGCAACGTTTTTATGCCACCGCAATCTCCAGTGCAGGCGACAAGGTCCGTTTTATTTTACTCGCATAGATCACCCTGGTCCTCATTTCATGTCTAGCCCACCAAGTATGGCGGCTCTTACACAGTAGGTCACTCTCAAATCCTCTCCCAGGCCGGCACCGACTTTGCCCGTGACAGGTTACTCTTATTCCCGGAGACGGTGTCGGTGCAGAAATTACAGACTCGGTCAAGGAGATCTTCGAATATGTCAACGCTCCTATTGAGTGGGAGCAATATGACGTCTCTGGAATGTCCTCTGCAGGCGAAGCACTCTTCAAGCAGGCAATGGAGAGTTTGAAGCGAAACAAGGTCGGACTGAAGGGTGAGCCATTTATTCCACTTCCACGACGAATCGCGGTTCACAAAGCTCCCTTGACTTCATCCAGGCATTCTTTTCACCCCCATATCTCAGTCCGGACATATCTCATGGAACGTGGCCATGCGTCAGCAATTGGACATCTACGCATCCGTCGTCCTCTGCAAGTCCCTCCCCGGAGTCCCCACTAGACACAACAACGTCGACTTTGCTATCATTCGAGAGAACACCGAGGGAGAGTACTCCGGTCTCGAGCACCAGAGCTACCCTGGTGTCGTCGAGAGCTTGAAGGTATCCACCCGTGCAAAGACTGAGCGAATTGTCCGATTCGCATTCGACTTCGCCCTCAAGAACGGTCGCAAGGTAATTCAAAAAAAATCGTCATCAAAAGAACCACATGCTCATTTTGGAACCCAGAAAGTTACTTGCGTCCACAAGGCTAACATCATGAAGCTTGGCGATGGCCTTTTCCTCAACACCTTCCGACGGGTCGCGGAGGAATACAAGTCCTCTGGAATTGAATACAATGACATGATTGTCGACAACACGTTAGTTTGCATACATATTCGAAAGGGACTTCGCCACTAAGGTTCGAAATAGTGCCATGCAGCTCGTTGCCCGCCCCCAACAGTTCGACGTCATGGTCATGCCCAACCTGTACGGCGCTATCGTCTCCAACATTGGCGCTGCTCTCGTCGGAGGACCCGGAATTGTCCCAGGATGCAACGTTGGACGTGTAAGTTTTGGTCAGACGCGTCCCATATGAAATCCGAATGACACTTCCCACCCTCAGGAATACGCTCTTTTCGAACCTGGATGCCGCCATGTCGCCAGCGACATCATGGGAACCAACACCGCCAACCCTACCGCCATGATTCTTAGCGCCACCATGATGTTGAGACACCTTGGGTTCGTATTCCTGCGCAATGTTCTTTAGCAACTCCGCGCTAACCTTGGGCCATAGCCTCAACGAAATCGCCAACAACATCGCTTCAGCCACCTTCGGTGTCATCAACGAGGGCAAGGTCCAGACAGTCGACATGGGCGGTAAGTCTACCTGCCTCTTGTTTCATTTTCGACGGGTATTCAATTCTCCGCAACAGGCTCTGCGACTACCTCCGAACTCACCGCTGCTATCATCAAAAAGCTATAAACATGCTTGCTTATAGCGGGTGATTTTCTGTCCATTTAGCTTGGTTATAGCGATTGTTCTGGTGACGACGCTGGCTGCTAGATTTAGAGATAGACAGGTTTGAATATTACGCCTTTTCACGCAAACAACAATGGTATTGGTCTCGTCGCCACAATGGGTCGGTGAATAACCTGAAGGGGACAAGTATAATGTACAATTCGAACACATGCCGCTCACTTGGAAGTTAGGTTAAGCGTTCCGTCGAACAAACATCCAGAGCTGGATACACGTACCACAAAGTACATCGCATTCTTCATGTTTTGATGCAGTGGCTTGAAGTTTTTCTTGACCTCCTCAACATCTCGCGCGGGACCTCCGTTGGTACCGCTGTATTCGCTCGCAGAACCGCTTCTTGTTTCGGGTTCAAAGTGGTTCTTGGAGCGGGAGCAGACAATGTCAGCATCTAGAGGGGATAGTGTCAGAGGGTGCCTGCTTGTGGGGAAAGTACATCCTTACAGTAGACTGGAGCGGGAATGGAAACGGAGCGCGTGGACCGGGCGTAGAGATGACACAAAGTAAAAGTCAAGGACTGGATGGCGTCAGGGCTGGAGAAGCACGGTTAGGCCTAGACGGTGGATGCTGGAAATGAAAAAGGCGTATACCTCAACTGGTTGTCCTGTGCGGATGAAAGTTGGGGTTAGCAAAGACGGACGTCAATGAAAGAGTGTACTTGCATCATAGAGGACCTGTAAGATGGAATAGTAAGTAACCAGATATATTAAAGGTAACGAATGTCTACGCACGGAGTAGTGAGCGGGGCGGCTCGTTCCAAGGAGACCGCCATGCGACTGAAGGTAAAAGTCATATTCCAAAGGATGAGTAATGTGACCATCGACGACAGTGCCGGCCTTGCAGTTTCCAGACCTGTCGGCGTCATTTTGGGAGGCGGGGAAGAATCTGCAACGAATGGAATCACGACCTACTCAGGTGGAATTCAGGTGTGCAGGAAACACCCACCGGATGTGATGTCGCTTTCCTACGATAATGAATGTAATCTTCGCGCTGGGTATACCGAGACTTTGACAGGCCGCTGGAAACCGTTTGAGTTGAGTTGTCAAAAAACCCCTACTTGCACACTCACCTTTCAAGGCAGCGACCTCTGCGGGGGATCACTGATCAACAGAGTCCAATAGGTATAAAATGTACAATGTACCTTTCTCCAGAACGTGTTGGAACTGACCCTCGGATACACCATCTGCGAATGACTCTTTGAGAAGAGAAGAAAAGGTGCATGGAACAGGACGTTACCTCGATAGAAGATGATGCTCGTGGGATTGGCTTTGTTAGTTTGCTTATACTGACCTAAGACTTCCTGCACCGACCTTCAGGTCCAAAGGTTCTTTGGAGGAGATTCAGAGGGCACATACCATGCTCATATCCTTCAAGTCATCGATGATTTCTTCCCGAGAGGTTTGTGCACGGGTGGCTACGCCCAGGCCATCAATAAGAGTGCACAGAGAATTTGATAAGTCGAAACTCACAAGAAACAAAGCGGGTCATGTTGCAGTCAGTGCTTCCGACCACAGCAGTGAACGAGGGTCGGCCTTCCGAGCCAGGAGACGGGTGGATAACGTCGGCACCTAGATACGCTTGAGTGCACGTCGATAAGGAGACTCTATACAACTATACCCATGACAAGGGTCTTGTTCGGCGGGGAAAGAAGGTTCCTTGAGACCCCGTCTGACAGGTCTGGAGCAACGTTGACACCACCAAGCCTTGCATTCAACCTAACGACAGTATCGGTGAGGCGTCCATCCCTGGGGGCAGAGATACGTACTTTAATGCAATATTGGCAAAATACTGGTTATTGCCCCCAAAGCATCGCATCGCCCTCATGCACTGGGTGTGGACACCCATCTGGTCGGGGGTTAGCCATGTAGCACACCGGAATACTATTAGAGGCGCATACCTTGACATCCCCGAAGCTATTTGCTAAATGAGCCAGCAGGCAAGAGATAAGTTGTCGTATGGAGACTTACAACTTGACTTGGCTGTAGATTTCATTGGCGACGGGTCCATCTGGAAGAACTACGACGATGAGAGAAGGAGGGACTTTGTTATGACCATCGTAAATCCTCTGTCCGATTCTCTTCAACTGGTCATGGACCACAGACCCCTGACTGGGAACTTCTGCCCAGTATTTGGTGGGCTCGATCGCAATGCCTGTATTCTCGGTTAGCGATGATAAGACAACTACAATATTACCTCACTAACCTGTCGCCTGACAAGCGGCAACCAAGCTTCTAATCATCTCGGTAACATTCCCCTGACGAGACCTTCCGTCTCCGAAAACGACTACACCCCATCTGCCACCAATGGCACTACCTTGATAGAATTTACGGTCCTTCATGTTCCATGCGCCGTTTTGTGGGGTCTATTACAAACAAGCTTTTCAGCGGACGGGGTGATATATTAGTACAAGTTTCTCCCGTACCTCAAACTCTGCACCAGGCCTTTTAGAGTTTTTCCCGTATTTCAATCTGGGAGGGGCGAGGACGCGAGCTTGAACCTTCATTGGACTATCATCGATTTCGAGTCCAAAGGACTGGACATATTCAGATTGATGGCCTAGGGCCTGAAATAAAGCGTGAGCAAGCTTTCCGCACGGACGGCGAGTGACAAACATTTCGTCCTTCACGAATTTTGTTCAACCTATCGTTGGGCTTATTTGTCGAAAATTTGAGGACGTCGGCTATTTTCTCCTGCGGGATCTGCTTCCGCATGAACTGTCCTTCTTTGACGACGCAGAATTCCAGAGGAACAATACTTCCATTTCCAACCTGTATCCACGAATGAGTTTGACCGCTTTCTACCAACTGATAGTAGGACACTCGCCAAAGCACAAATGTTCTGTTGATTTCGAACGGTGCAATTGCGTACTGTTTGGTAGTACTGCGCCACCGAGATCTTGGTTTTATCCGGCATAAGGAACACTGCACTGCTGTCTTTCGAAGTCAAACCCTTCAACACGCGCTCACGAGGTGTCGCGCCAGGGATCATAACGATTACCCGAATCCCATTTACGCTCCTTTCGAGGAACCGCAGACATTGAGGGTCCAGGGTTTTGGCGCGAAGACCGGTTTTCCCTTCCACACGTCGTCGACCTCTGAGGATCGCCAGAAGATGTTCCTCGAGGGGACCGCCCTTGTGCATTATGCCAGTGGAGATATCGACGTTGACGAAAATGCGGTCAAAAGATGGTCTCACGGATTGAAACAGACCACGCCAGGCCTCCAGGCCCTCACCGAGGTCCTTGCGTTCAGTCCCCGGGAAGAACGACCTCGTATTAAAAGGATGGCTGAGGATGGGTTGCATCCTCACAACGACGTTACAGGCCTAAAGTTCGGACAACGTCAACGTGAATCGACTAGATTTATTACAAATGACTGACGGTGATCGCAGTTTGAACATTCGCATCCGCCGATTGCAAGCCTTCGGTGAAGCGCCTTAGGACTCTGATATAACGGATGTCAACTGATGATATCTCAGATCAGAAAGGACCCATACTCTGTATTAATCTGGGCGACCTTGGTAAGCTTGACTTGACATATTCTGGGCCCTCGGTGCGAGGTCGCAGGCGCAGCAGTGGGACCATCGATAAAAGGAACATTGAACTAGACAGGTCAGGCTTGTACCATGGCGGGAAACGAATCAGGAGTTTGGCAGAGTACCTCCATCGATTTCTGTCCTCCGAAAGGAAGTTCCTTTGACGAGAAAAAGTTTTTCCTCCCATCGTACACTCCGCGCGGGGTGAAAACATCTGGCGCGATAGTAGTTTGCAGGTGGGTTATCAGCTTGAGGTTCACTGCAGCTGGAAGTTTCTTTTCATCGGGTGATATGACTGACTTGATGTGAGTGGCGCGCTTCGAAAACCGTGATAATGGTACATACCGACTGTGAAGAGAGGTCAAAGTTAGAATAAGAGATGGATGAACAGATGCACTTACCATCATAGTGGTGGATGATTTGGGACGGCACATTGGCGAGGAAACAGTTGACGATGATCTCTGTCGCCCTACCCTTGGTGCCAAACCCTGGGCGCCTGATTCCAACGGTGTCAATGTGTGTTGCTCGCGCAGTGTCTGGGAGAGAAATCGGAGAGCGGGCGCCTCGACCAGAGGCTCTGGCTCGGGAGCGACCTCGAGTTGACATGTTTGCTGTAAAGAAACCTTGAAGGAACTCGTGTCAACACGAGGCCATTATATCCGGAACGCGTGACGTCACGGGACCCGGTGACAATGTGCAAGGGCAGGATAAGCCATACTGGCAACAGCTCGATGCTGGCGCGTGTAGTGCAGCATGTCCTGGAGACCTTTGTTTGCGTGGCCGCATTGCAGTGGCTTGCGTGGACGGATCTCCCTATAAGACCGCTAGACAATAGCCCCTAGTTTCTCCAACAGCTGGCCTGAACCCGCCCCTTTCCAACGCCACTCCCCGTCTTCTTCCCAACATGACCGCTCCAAGAATCCGTCGAGACATGAGCTATAGGAAACCGGTACCAAAGTACGAACCAACACCCCCGCCGTCGCCGATACCATCCCTCCACGGCCTCTCCACAGCTTCTCTCGCAACAGGCCTACCTTCCGTAAGGTTTCATACATCCCAGTTGCTCCTCAGTCTAACATATAGATTTAGCTACCACGGGACAGTGATGAGAACGAAAAATACCCAGGCGGTGGTCCTCTATTATTGGTCCCAACGATGATAACAAGTCAGGAGTGGTCGAGCTCGGAGTCGTCTGGTCCAGTGGGTCGTAGGGTAGGTGCCATTCCAGTCCCGAAATAGCAGGCATTTAAATGTGTTGTATTAGGAGACAGTCCTATCGAAGGGGGAAAGATGGCCGGAGAGTCGAACAACAACACCAAGCTCGAACGCAGACTCTACTGGGAGAGCAATACGTGCTTCGACCAAGCCCAAACGATTGATAGCGCAGATGGTATGGGCTTTTCTTTAGACTGGCGACCTGCAAGGCCTTGGTGTTCAATTGACCGTCCAGGACTACCGGCCGCCCACACCCCCGTTGCCTGCGCAGCATAAGCGACGTCGTTTGACACGGTCTGCCTTTCCTGCGACAGATGAGTGCTTGGGCACGCCACAATATACGACAAGGACGAACCTTTATGATATCAACCACGACCACCCACGAATGAAATTACACGCGACGCCGTCCTTCACAACCGAGAGAACGTTTATCTCCGTAAACCCTGTCAGCAGTTTATCCTCCGGCAGGACCACGGCTACAGGCGACTACTACACAGTGGAGGCGGAGAAGAAATCGAGTTTGACCATGATTCCCATCCAGTCGGAGCATGCACGACAGGACATGTTCCAGGTGGACGCCCGGAAACTGAAGAACCGGCAGGGACCATCCATGTCGGAGCAAGTTGGGGAGGTGCTGGTTGGGATTCACGACCACATGAAGAAAATTGGGTCGATCTTATGCTGCTGATATTAATAAATTATGAGTATTTTATACCACGGGTAGGAGTATGCTTGTAGATAGTGAATTACCTTGCAATAGTCGAGGAGTAAGTATACCTGGTCGTATACGAGTTATGCAGCAGTAGTTGGAAGTAGAGAAACCTTTCCGAGGAATTTTGATGCAATCAGGCATGGAGCCAGCGAGCGGATTCCCGATTTTGTCATAACCCAACTTGTCCCAGCGACCCTTTCTCACTTTTCCTCGCAATGGCCGTTTGATGACGAGGCCATTATCTTTTCAAACCACAAACATCATTGAGATTTTTCTATACCCCGTCAACCAGGGCAGGCGACAATCCCAATGCCCAAAAACGCCTTCGACACCAAGGAGGATGCACAGGTCGCCACCATCCCCCAACACCACTCCCAGGCGCCGGCAAACCAGCTGAAACGCTCAGGAAACAGAAAAAGGGATCACCCACACACTTTGAGCGAGTTCCAGCAGCAAGAGGGCAAGGAGAATCGGAAACGAAGGCTCCACGATCTCTGGCAAACTCTCGCGCGGCCGCCCTCTCCGAATCCCTCAACGCAGACACCCTCCCTCCACGATGCTCACAATCATCCAATAACACCAGAAAACGCCCGCTCTGCCAAGGCCGTCTATGACGACGAACTCGTGGGGAGGTGCAAAGGGGACCCGTCGAGCTCGAGGCCAACGCCGATAAGTTGGGAAGAATTCCAGTCTTACGCTGATGCAAAGGAAGCAGGTACGCCGCACACTTTCCTTGTTCTCCCGAGCCGAGGTTCTGAATGACAATCCTTCCTATAGAGCTCTGGCATATCTTCCATGACGACCTCGACCTGGACGGCGACGGACACCTGGACAGAGACGAGCTCAAAACCGCGTTGAAGAACTCTGGTGAGTCGGACGACCCGTACTCAGCCTTTGTGTTTTAGTTAACCGGGAACAGGGATTGAACTGGACTCGGAGACACTTTCCGACTTCATGGAAGCGCTAACGTCAGACTCCAACTCATCTCAAGTTACCTTCGGCAACTTCAGGGACTTTTTGATACTTCTACCGCGGAAGGCATCGACTACAGAGATCTATCGATACTATAAGGTGCGAAGGTACCTCGGGGATGATGGTCGTGGCCCAGCACGTGTAAACATGGAAGGTGAGTTACCCTGTTGTTCCTTCTTCTGAAGACTCAGCTCTGATATGTAATAGGTGATGTCAGTTTGAGTGCGGAAGATAAACCTCCGGTAGCTGCGAAGCCAGCCGACCAGAGTGCTCGCAACCTGCCTCAAAACACCCGTACTTACGATTGGGACGAAGAAGAGGAGGAGTTTTATGATGAGGAAGAGGAGCCATTGGATACTAATGTGCTGGAAGGGAACGCCTCGTTCAAGTTCCTCCTCGCAGGTGGTGTTGCCGGAGCAGGTACGTGTACCTTTCATATACAATCATGACTATTCATTTAACGAATGAATGTCTTAGTGTCAAGAACGTGTACAGCGCCCTTTGATCGTCTGAAGGTCTTCTTGATTACCCGACCACCGGAACTGGGAGGCGCACCTGCAACAGGGAAAGTCAGCGGGTTCAGAATCCTCGGCTCTGCCGTAACTCGTATATATGCTGAAGGAGGTGTCCTCGCATTCTGGACAGGCAACGGCCTCTCCGTGGCCAAGATCTTCCCCGAATCCGCCATCAAGTTCTTTGCCTATGAGTCTGCCGTCCGTCTAGTTCCCTCTCGTACAAAAAGGACCCTTTTTACTCACTGTAATTCGTTCTTTATGTTTTCAGAAACGCGCATTTGCCAAGTACTGGGATAAAGTAGAAGATCCACGAGAAATAAGCCAGCTTAGCCGGTTCTTGTCTGGTGGGATTGGCGGCATTAGTAGCCAATTAAGTACGTGTTCCATTGTCTACCGTCTCAACGAAGGAGGAACGTGGAATTGACATGTTTGTTTTTAATCAAGGCATATACCCTATTGAAACGCTAAAGGTCCGTAGTCGTTTCAACGGATCATACGCTAAGCTAACGACAACGTCCTTGTCGGTAGACACAAATGATGAGCAGCGATAAGCGCCGCACCATAACAGAGTCACTTCGCCATATCTACGCTATGGGAGGTGTCCGTCGGTTTTACCGGGGTCTGACGGTACGTCTCTGTCGAATGTTTGCTCGTTTAATGATGTTCACCTCTGTTTAGGTTGGGTTGATGGGTGTCTTTCCGTACGTTTGTTAATCCCTGGCGTGTTGCTAGCATACCAACCTAACTACCCAAACAGCTACTCGGCAATCGACATGAGTACCTTCGAGGCGCTCAAACTCGCGTATCAACGCTCAATCGGACAAGACGAACCTGGTGTGCTCGCGTTACTCGCGTTTGGAAGCATATCAGGGAGTGTAGGCGCCACGAGCGTTTATCCACTCAATCTTGTTAGAACGCGGTTGCAGGCGTCGGGGTCGCCTGGGCATCCGCAGAGGTATACGGGTGTGGTGGATGTGGCCGTCAAGACATGGGAGAGGGATGGGTGGAGAGGGTTTTATCGTGGATTGTTCCCCACCTTGGCCAAGGTGAGTTGACGACCGCTTGGAGGGTGGATCTGTGGATCTGACGGGCCGGGTTTCTCCTAGGTTGTCCCTGCCGTCTCGATATCCTACGTCGTTTATGAGCATACCAAACGAAGGTTTGTCATACCACTGCGTCATTCGTACCTCGCTGACGAGTCTTCATTCCAGGCTTGGAGTATAAGATAATCAAACTAATTGGCATTCAGAATGCACCCCGCTATAATCAGCGAATCTCACTTAGTGTCACAGTCACTCACCTACCTAAACCGGTTACCACTCCTTATTCATCACCCCTAGCAGTAGAAGCGTATATAGAATGTTTCATCTTTTTTGTTTTCAGGTCGTGATAAAGTAGTATCTACATGGACAGAGGAGAAATTACGACCAATCATTACGGACAGAGCGATAACAGGAGAAAAGGTGGAGAAAGAGAAAAACTTGGTACAAAAGCGACTACAAAGCAAGATGATAGGCTGTAGAAGATCTTGTCAAAGCATCTTGGGAAGTGTGACGTTGTCATTACAGAATGAGAAACCAGAAAGGGGGAATGCGAATAGGTAAAAAGGTCATTAATGGAGATCGTTGCAGAATGCAGATGCTGTGAGGATCCGTTGCAGTTCTTCTTGACATTGCCGGTGGAAGGGGATATAGTAAAACAAAGGGATAGGTGAGCTGTGGTGTTAAATGTGGGTATACTCCGTGAGACGCGCAGTGCTCAAGTCCACTAACCACCCATGTACAATAGCGGGGCGAAAAGTAAGCTATGAAAGATAGGACCAGTGGAATAAGTGGATATGAATAGATAGCAGCAAATGATAGTGAGTCGGTCATGAGAGGTCTTCCAGTCGTCGTTTCTCTTGTACAAGCACATTGAGTTCAGCTTCCATTTGGGCCCGTTCTCGCGTCCGTGAGCGGGAATTGATGCGGATCTTTGTTCGCCATTCCTGAACCCAATTCCACCGAGCTTGTCGGGCTTCGTTTGTCAATGGGCGGACGGCGGCTGGACTGATCATAGCTCGTAGATAGTCGCGGCCAAGGATGGGGGCAAGAGAGAGGAAAGAGAGGAAAACGAGCTTGATGATGATTTCGGGTGTCGCAATGAGTGATGAAATAGTTTGGGGTGTTGGGGAAGGTGTTTTTGCCACCGTCTGAAGGATGTCGCCGATCTACGGAAGGAAGAGAGAAAAAGTTAGTTTTGAGATGAAAAATCCGTTGAGAGATGGCTACCTGACACGTGACTGCGGTCCATGGGAGACAGCCAATGAATGTGCCCAAGACGCAGTCGACGATGGAGACGCCGCAGACGCCGCAGGCGATATTGATTCCCGACCAAGGAACTACGCCCACCAAGCGCAGTACTGAGAGACGGACCCACGCCGAGGTTTTCTGAGAAGATTCGGCAGAGTCATCGAGATCAGAATCAGCATCGCCTCCGAGAGCTGTTCGGGTCATTTCCAAGGCTCTTGGGAACATGTACGTGAGGAAAGGTGCGAGAGGTGTGGAAAGAAGGGTTGCGCAGACAGAGCCGATTGTTGTGAGCGCTGTGAGCATGATGGTTGCGAAGGCTGGGGAGAAGAGGGCGCCCGCGAGGACGTTCTGATGACAGATGAGCGATATGAAATGTCAAAAGAATAAAGCCGACTTACCCATAGGACGCTTCCTGGGATAGACCAAGCGTGTTTCCAGATGGCTGAGATGGCCATGACGGAGAGGACATGGAGGAGGGGCCAGAGGCCGCTTTGGGAATAAGCATGGAGTTCGCGTCCTATTTGAGCAAGATCCGAGAGAGTGCGGGGCCATGACATGGATATGGGCAGGGTGGTGAGACAGTAAAGGACGACTGCTGTGGATAGCGGCAGCGAGATGAGGACAAGGAGAATTTGAGGAGAGATCTGGAGAGCGAGTGAGCAAAAAGAGACATGTCGTGTGACAGGGCGAAAGACATACTGAGGGGAAGCCATGAAACCAACTCTGAGGCGAATCCTTCTCGGGTATATTGAACGACTCTTGTGTTGAGGCTGAGAGAGGGAGAACGTATACATCTACGCTCGAGCGCGGGGACGAGGATGGGCTGGACCAGGCCTGCTGCGCTGTGTGTGAGCTGGGCAGATGCAGCCACTGGAGCAACTTTGAGGCAAAGACGACCAGCATCGATGGGGGCGAGACGTGCTCTGGCTGTGGGGGTGACTCTGTCTGCAGCGGCTGGGGCGCGAGCTGGTGGAGCTCGAGGGACTGGGGCGGTTGTGAGTCGGTGGACTGGAGGCACGACGTTGAGCGGCGACGACCAAGAGTTTGGACGGAAAGAGAAGTGCGCAGGCTGATGGATGAGGCGCGGTGACGGGTGATCTGGGGAGGCTTAAGCCCGGTGTCCATGGCTTTGGCGGTTCTTTGGGCGTGAAGCAAGAACCTGGCAGTGCAGTTTTGCCTCTTTTCGCCAACAACTTGCTTTCTCAGCTCGGCATCATTCATTTCTCCATTTAGTCTCAGAAACATCTTCACCTCTCCCCTCGTACGATTTCATTCGTCACTTCATTTCCTTCTAAAGACCTTTCCTTGTCTCGTGTTCAAACTATCCTCACCTCACAAGACCTCGCGTCCTCGACATCTTCCCCGACCTTGGCCTACCACTTCCCGCTTACTCCATCACCGTGTGTCAGCACATATCCCGGATCCCGCCCACAACAGCACTTGCTGTCATCCGCCATTCCTCATAAGTAGTCTCCGTTGCTGACCTAATCGCCAGAGATGATAGTCGATCTCTTTCATCAAAAAACCGCGCTTGACAAAAAAAGATCATCACACCATGCTGCTAGAGAGTATAATGCATGGGCATTGCGGGCATAGTACATGTCATAATGAATGCTATCGAGAAAACCATAAGTTGGCATTTTAGTGTCCTGCTCTCCTGCTCTCCTGGATAACGTTCGAGAGCTCTTCCAACTTGCGTTTTGATCGCAAGAGAGTGCCCAGCTGGAAACAGTCGCCACATTATCAGTATCCCTGTACCCTCAGCAAGCTGTGAAAAGTCCACACGAACCCTCTTCTTGGTCAATTTGCGGGCCTTCTTGTCCTACAGTTCCAGAATATTAATTAGCACCTGGGTCATATCACAGATCCAACACAAAGATCGCACCTTGGAGTTCCTCAACAACTCCAAAACTCGTCGCTCATAGGCGGAGAATCCAGCAACCTCCCGGATGACAGATCGCACAAACTTGGTTTTGGTGGACTGGATACCCTTGCGTTGCGAAGGTCGGACAGTCTTGGGGATGGGAGTGGTGGGGTGACCCTTGTTGAGGCCTACTCGAAGGTCTAAACATCCAGAATTTCAACCGTCAGCGTCCTGTGCCTTCAGTGCATCGTTGAGCACTCACTGGTGCGAGCCATTGCTTGATGTCTTGAGGGAGGGCGTGGAGGGGCACGATCTGCTCAATCCGGCACTGACTGTCGGGAGCCACATTCCGGTTAGGTCACGTGAACCAGTGGCGGATGGTACTATACAGTTGCTTCCCACGACCATAAATTAGGCAACAAGATTGATTAGAGCTGCTCATTATCTTATCGTACAATCAGGAGGAAGCGTTCAAAGGGTATGCGCAGTACAAGTCATACATAAGATAGAAGAAAAAATATATCGTCAAAAACTTGAATCGAGTTCTCTTTCTAAGCTTGCGCAGTAGCCCAGGAAGCAGTTGTCGAAGTCCACTGTCGGACGCTCTTGACTTTACTTCCAAGCCCTCGGTCTGGAAGGAACCCGCGGTTGTACTGGAGTTGTGCGAGGACACCGGAGGGGGATTCTCTATCCTTGGGTGTCGGCGGCATCACAGAAGATACGGGAGAGCTAGCAGCTGAAAGCGCCGGTGAAGCAGGGAGTCCCGCATGTCGTCGCCCGTGCTGCTGCGGGTGAATGGGAATCGAACCACGTTCCTCCTCTTCCTCCTCCTCCTCTTCATCGTCTTCATCTTGCTCGCCCGTGTGATCCTAGAAATAGAAATTAGGCGCTCGTCAGAATGACATTACGATTGGCGTGAAGCAACCTACAGGGTCAAAATCCTCCATCTGACGATCGTCCTCCTCGTCTTCGTCCTCGCTATCATCAAACTCGTCGTCTTCATCGATCCATCTACCACGCCAATCCACCATATCCAACTCCTCCGGTGACTCGGGTCGTAATCGGAGCCACTGCATACGAGGTCCGCTTTTGGCCCGCTCGCTAACCTTGAACCCATATATCCGAGGAACATACACAAACCCATTGGCACGCTTCTGCCCGCCATATGGATTGGGATTCACAAAGGGTGCGTTTCTCGAGCTCCCAGTGCCTCCAGCGCTACGTGGTGATAGCGGCGATCCTCCTGACATAGGAGCCTTCCAGAACGGAGCCGGCGCTAGTTCACGGTACGTTTGGAAGAACAGATGCGCAAATGTCGTTCCGAAGAATGCGCCTGTCGATAAAGCGACGGTGAGTAATGAATATCACCAAGGGAAACTGTGGCATCGCATACCATCTACCCCTTGGAATCTGCTGCTGGGTGGCACATAAATGTCGTTGCAATTGGGGCAGAATAACTTGACGGTATCCACTCCGGGCATGTCAGAGCGCCCACAGGGGACAACGTTGCACCCAACGCAGTAAACACGCGGGCAAGACCCAAACATCCCATTTTCGTACTTTTCGGCCTGTGAACCCAAATGCTTTTAGTTCCAGTTGTTGTCGGAACAGATAAAGGACAACGCACCATAGCCTGCAGGCCAGCACGCGTTAGAATATACCTCTGGTGGACCAGGCCATAAAGCATTTCCGCGGACGATTCTACGATGGAGACGTCAGGGATTTTAGATGCATCTTCATCCTCTAAACAACCACGTTTGGCGATGAGTTCCCAACGAGACTGAGCAGGAAACCTCCCACACCTGGTTCAACATCCAGCACCATCTCCATGGCCTCCTTCCAGAATGGAACCATCGTATTCAGCCCAGTAAGATTGAAGTCATCTTCAATGAAATCTTCCGAGACTTCGCAAAAGTATTCGTGACCAGGCAGGGAGCAGAACCAACTGATCCAGGTCAGGGTCGATGTCGGCGTCGATGAGGCTGAACGATGGTCCATGTGGTTCAAGGGTTGGGTCGTCGTGAAACGAGAGAAAATGTGGTGGACGGTGGTGATGATGAGCGCGGAGAGCAGAATAACGGCACAAAGAGGAATGATCAATGGAACCCTGAAAGCAGAAATTAATTTAAACAAACACGCACTGTAGCCATCTTCTTGTTCCTCCACTTCCTCCATAATCTCGTCCCCTTCGCCAACCACGTTCCCAGCTTCGTCCCTCTCTAAACCTGCGTGCGATTTGTCCATAGCGAACGGGAGGCTGCCGACACTGGACAATCGCGGAGCAGAGGGGGGATGAAAGTTTGCACTGCTCTCTAGGAGAGCCCGGTGCACGATGTTCAGATACTTTCCAACTCCGATCGATCATGCCCTTTGGCCGATACAGTGGTGTGTGGCACTCTCAGCGTCTAATCGAGTGTTCATTGCGTTGGTTTTACTACTATGTACAACGTATAATGCAATCAAAACGAACATGTCCTTTGGTCTTGGGCTGACCCTGTCCAGAGCGCTGGTCCGATAACTAACAACATGACAATTTGGCCTAGGCCCCAGCTAATGAATGCATAGCGGCAGGCCTTCCACCACCCGAGGTCACGAATTTCCGCCGCGAAAGTGCTTACAGTAGTCAAACATCCGCAATATCCGTCTATCAGTCCTTGCAGAAGGGAACAGGTATTGGAAGAGAACGGTGTATTGAGGCTTTGCAGGACGTGGAATGCGGCCAGGAGACCTGATCCGAGGATATTGGCGGTCAACGTTCCTACAGGCAAGATCTTGAACCTGGTATTCAAGGCAATGGAAAGGAGGTATCGTGTCAGCGCTCCGGGATAGGAGAAGAGTATGGCGGCGGTTGCTTGGTGTCTGAATCGAGCTGGTAGAAAAAGGTAGGTGAGGATGGTCGCGATGTACATTAGCCCAGACAACAGGGTGATGGCATAGCGCTGCCACCATGGCGGGAAGGCAGGGAACTTCAACCTGGACAGAGCGACCGATGCAACGTCGTAGCCGAAAGCAAGGGATCCGAGAGACATACAGAGGGTGACGGAGGAGATGCCTATTCCATCCGCGGCCTGTGCAAGGGGGATAAGCGAAACAACCGAAAGGAACATACCACTCACATTGTATAATCCGCTCCGTGGATAACCGCCAGCATTGATCCATGCATTAAAGATCTCTAGCTGCCAGCTCGAGAACGTGGTAAGAGAACCACAGAAACCTGGAAGGATAGGTGACCTCTGGCGGAACGAGACGACGATACGAAGAACGTACCGGTCGTTAGTGCAGTGTAGAACGGGCCATAGCTACATTCCCAGTCAAATACACATAAAAGCGTAGTGAAGAGTCGCACACACAAGTTTCCAAGAGGCTCTTTCAATCGCAATCCTATTCCCATGATGAAGCATCCTAGGGCTTGCACGTAGAGCAAGGGGAAGACACTCTGGCCAGGGAAGGATGCTAATGCCTGAAGTCCCAGTCGAGAAAGGACACCGAAGATGGATGCTGGAGCCAGTAAGAGGATGACCGGTAGGTCATAAGGTCGATAGATAACAGGTCGTCTGACGCCTTCGTCTTCGTCTGGTGGTCGGTCAATCGTCTCTGCACGTCTCGTTTCCTCTGCGTCCTGTAGGGCTTCTATCTCGAGTTCTGATGGCGAACTTGGCGCCACCGAGACAGCAGACGGGACATTGGGTGAGCATCTCCGTGACTGTCTGTCCACAGGATGTGGCTGTCGGTCATTGGCGTCTGCTCGCTGTTCTTTGGGAGTATCGTCCTCCAACGCTGTTGGCGGGTTCACTGTGCCTTCTGGGAACCTTTGGGACAGCGAAGCGACGCCTGACATTCATGAGTCCATTCACTACCAGCCCAGACCCAGAAGGTAACCAGAGGATTAGATCGAGAGAGTAGGTCACTTTGGAATGTGGCACCGGCAATCACCGTGAATCGCAACCACCTAAGGACGTACGTCATCCAAGGTGAAGTGCATACCTGTTCAAGTCGACCACGAACAAGTCCAACTATGGAATATCACCCGCGCTATCAGCAACCGTTTACTCTGGGCGAGGCGATAGGCCTCGACCCCGCTATCATCACTGAAGGTGCTTCAGGTTTTAGTTGTCCAAACTACTCAGGGACCGATCGTCCTCGTCAACCAGAGATCTCAAGGCTTCACAATTCGCTGGCCAAACTGAAAGAGACGCAGGGGGAGCTCAAGAAGTGCATTGAAGAAGACAACGAAACGGACGAGGAGCTCTCGTTGGCATTCAAGGAGAACGAGGATGTAATGTGAGTGCTGTGATTCGTTCTAAGCGCCCGCGCTTTTAACGCTCGTTCCAGTGGTTCGCAAGAGGAACGAATACGGATGCTTGTGATGGCTCTAAGACAAAAAGGCGTTATCACAGATGACAGCCATTACGGACTACCACAGCAGAAGGAGACCAAAGAAATGGAACATGAACCAACCAGCACCGTTGAAAACCATGGTGGTGGCGAGGGTAGCGATGATGGCGTTTATTTATGAAGAAACGTAGGATGGCATGACTGTAGCATGTCAGACCCCATTTGGTTCCGGTTCACCTTGAATAAAGATCTCTGGCCAAATCTTTCGCAGCTCTTCCAGATGCGAGATGTCGATGACAGTGGGGCTCGCATCAGAAAGGGGCTCGTTGCCGATTTGGCTGACCTTTCCTCCTTCCACGGTGTGAAGGCCCTTCTCGCAGAAGTGTACACAGTGCCCCCAGCCCTCCTTTGCCGCAGCCTCCACGTTTGCCCGGTTGTCGTCGACGAAATAGCACTTGGAAGGATCGGTTATACCTGCTTTGGACATAGCCTAAATGCTTCATCAGATGGACGATGAGAAGAAAGAGGTGAAGAGACTTGCCATCCTGTAGTACTCCGGCTCCGGTTTACAAAGAAAGTCTTTGATCCTGTAATCACAGTAAACAACGTCCTCTACCAGATCGTCTAGTTTAAGGATGCGCAGTACGCGTAGCGCATGCTGGCGCAGATGTTGAGATTGGAGAGTCTCCTGTCATGCCACTGTGACTTACAGGTTTGAAAGCATTGGTAAGGGCCCATACGCGGACCTTGGATCTATCGATATCTTCGAAAAGCTTTCGAAGCTTGGGGTCGTATTTAATCATCTCTTCGAGAGGCAGGGAGCCGTCGCATTTCTTGTCAAAGTCGAGGGGGTCTGAATGGATAGAGTAAGGAGGATGGGCTGAACTAATGGCTGGAAATCACCTACCTACATTGTGATGTCGCGTTAACCCTCTCAAGGCGAGCCCGTACTGGGTGTAGTATCGGTGGTGAAGTTCCGAGGCCTCCTCGTGCCCGAGTCCAAGATTGACAAAGTAATCTGCACTGACGATTAGCTCAAGAATATATACAAGGGCTGGCATGACCAACCATGTATTCTGACACCCATAGCCTGCGAGATCTTTGCGCTGGCCGAATAGAGAGTGTTATCTATGTCGAACCAGACGACCGGGCGCTCATCGTCTGCGAAGGAATGAGCATTCATGCGTGGTTTAGGTCAGAAACGAGCATACGTTTATTCCCAGTGCTGTTGGACATGTCAAGGCGGGGGTCCTAGATAAGCTATGTCGAGGCTGTGGGTGACGTTGAGCTTGTTCATGACGCAGGGGACGGCGAGCACGTTGCGCAAAGGGTAAGAGCCGACGTCAGATCCGGTAGGTGATGGAAGCTGTGATCCGTAAACGTGCGGCATCTCGGCCGTTTAGCGGGTCTGCTAGTGCGGCACAGGTATCAAACCTTATCACTCAACTGCAAGCCACCTCGGAGAACGCCGAGGTAAGCACAACAGAGACCAATACAGTCTAGTAAGGCACCGGCATCGACGACCTCAACATCAAGGTGAGTAGCGTCTCCATGCTCCTCCGAACGACGTCCTCAAGATAGATCAATAGAATGGCAAGAAGCAAGGAACTCGTCCCTGGCGTTGGACGCCTTTCTCGCTCGCAAGTCTTCGCCAAGCGGGGCCTCTTCAAGGGCCAGAAAAAGTCGGAGAAGCCTGCTGCCGAAACCCCTGCTGAATACGTGGAGAAGACCATTGGCGGCGAGAAGAACGGTGGAAAGCGTCTCGTTCCTGTTGCCAAAGCCCCCCGTTTCTACCCCGCTGAAGATGTTCGGCAACCCAAGAAGAGCCGCAAGGCCCACAAACCTACCGGCCTCCGATCCACCATCACCCCCGGCACCGTTCTCATCCTCCTCGCTGGTCGTTTCCGAGGGAAGCGTGTTGTTTTCTTGAAGCAGTTGGAGAGCGGATTGCTTCTTGTTACCGGCCCCTACAAGGTTAACGGCGTCCCTCTGCGACGAGTCAACCAAGCCTATGTGATCGCTACATCCACCAAGATTGACATCTCTGGTGTCAAGGTACGCGTTGCTCGTAATATTGCTTGTTATCAAGAGCTTGACAATTACTAGATTGACGACAAAATTAACGACGCTTACTTTGCCAAAGCCGCCACCAAGGAGTCCCGGTCAGCAGAGGAAGAGTTCTTCGCTGACGGCCAACCCAAACCCAAGGAGCCCTACCCAACATCGAAAGCCGCCGACCAGAAGGAAGTCGACAAGGCCATCATCGCCGCCATCAAGGGTACTGAGTACCTCGGAAAATATCTCAAAGCCAGCTGGGGCTTGTCCAAGGGCCAATTCCCTCACGCACTTGTTTTCTGAGGGGAGAACGGAGGGAGCAGTATTTTGTAGGGTCGCCATTATCGAAATCCACATGTTCCACCTATGCCATGCAGTTCCGTTATGCCATTCTCATGCACTTTATGAGTTGAAACACCCATATTCTATTCGCAATTCTAGTAATGCTCGGGAATCGAGTTCCTTGAAGTCGACAGTGTCGCGATTATCTGCACACGGCCGTTATGATGCAACTCGGCTGAGAGCTTTCTATAAGCAGTCGGAAGTGACGGCACATTTCGCACCATGCTTGTCCTCCGCAATTTTCGACGCGCTCAGGTTCTTTCGCGACCGCATCGTTCAATATTAAGAACAGCCCCTGCGACACGGCGTACATTCTTAACGGGGCTTGGAAATGAATTCCTTGACCTTGCTTTGGCCCTGCCACTACCACCTGGCACTCCAGTCTATGCGACGACGATCATCTTGGTGACTATTGCGACTCGTGCCGCTCTCCTCCCAGTAGCAATATGGGTTAGTCCTTCTGCTTCCGACTAGGAAACGACCGCGTTGACCTCGTCTTAAGGGAAAACAAAAATCTCGCGTCATAGAAGAGGTGGTGATGCCTATAATTGCGAAGGAGAAGCCAGTCGTCGCCCAAGAGGTATTTGAAAAGATGAAGGCGGACAAAATTCGCGGAGACAAGCCTTTCCTCATTGAATACCATGCGAAGCGGTGCCAGGAGATCGTGGGTAGTACCTACATACTGTCACAGACCTGCAATAACCTCACGATATCCAGCTCAATGCCCGCCGAAAGGAACTTATGCGAGAGCATGGGTGTCAGACATGGAAGTCGATGCTTGTTCCTCCACTAGTTCAGCTTCCACCTTTCTTCGTCATCACCCTCATGCTGCGACGACTTTCCGAAGGCCCTACTCCCTTTGATTCCGAAGCATTTTTCACCCTCACGAACCTAGTCCATCCAGACCCAACCATGACGCTTCCCATTCTCCTTGGTGTCATTACCATGGCTAATGTGGAGACGAACAACTGGTTAATGACGGCAACCCAGCGTGCCAACCTTAAGAAGCTGGAGGAAAAACGGGAAAAGATGAAAGCCGAAGGCAAGCGAATCTTAGAACCAGGGAAAATCATCAAGAACGCCCTTCGAGGGTTGTCTGTCATCCGAATCCTCGTTGCTTCCGTCATGCCTGGAGTATGTTTCTCAAATCTTGAAGCTGGGACACTACTGACTTGTTTCAACGTTGCAGAGTATCAGTTTATATTGGGTTACTTCTGCGTCGCTGGGTCTCGTTCAGACCTGGATTATGGATTGGATGGATTACCGTCGCCGAAGTCTACTCGAGTCCAAGGCTGCCGCAGCTCCACCAGGGGCCCCTGACCCCGCTTCCACCAAGACAGTGCAGACCAAGCGCCGTCGTTAAACGCTGAACAAGCAAGTGAGTTTCAAGTCTTTTTGCGTAGGGATGAAAACAACAGTGGTTGTGAGGGAACCGCGGATATGGGATCTACTGGATCCCGCGGACGTCCAATGAACCTTTCTTGATCTAATATGACCTTCCGCTCGCCATCTCCCGTTTAACAGTCGCCAATATACTGACCTGTTTGATTTAGATCATTGCTCGTTTAATAATTATCGTTACACTAGTACCCTGGCTATGGCAGGAAAGAGCGATCGAATTTAGAATACAGTTAATACAATCTACGATAATACGACGAACCAGACAGCGAAAACAAAGCTAGGTATGCAAGAAACGAGGAAATACACGGAGATGACGCAGCTCGGGGATATACGAGAGGAAATAACAGAACGTGATCATGCTAGCCCTCCCCATGGCCCGCGAATCCGACGAGCCAGCTGGATGTCTCTGGTCATGATTGTCACTCGTTTCGCATGAATCGCGCACAAATTCCTGAGAGGATATGTCAGAGAGAGAGTTTAAGCACATTTGGGCAAGGACGCACGCATCCTCGAAGAGGTGAACAAGATAAGCCTCTGCTGCTTCTTGCAGAGCCATGAGAGCGGAACTCTGCCACCGTAGCGCAACATCGGCGTCGCCGTTCAAGTTGGTTTGCATGTCAAGCGCGATTTCGCGAACCTGTGTCATAATTAGTGGAATGAAACCTTTTCGGGAATGGGTGAACGGATACTCACCACACGAGAGAATGGCAGCTTCCTCAACAAGAGATCCGTGCTTTTCTGGTATTTACGAATTTCTCTCAATGCCACAGTACCGGGATGGAAGCGGCGTTTCGGTTTTGGTGGTTCTGAAGAAGACCCGTCATTACAAACCAGTTGAATACTTGTAGGGCGGAGACACCGTACCAGGCTCTGCTACACGTCTAGGTTTGTGTCCCCCAGTGCTCTTTCGCGCGGTCGCAGATTTCGGCCTTTTCGCTGGAGTTGGCGGGTCGGAGGAATCGTCTGTCGGTGCCCTCCGCTTTGAGCTGGATGCCTTCTGGGCCGTCTGAGCCATGAAAAATGGCTATGTTTCAAGAACAGAAATCGTGACAGTCGTAAGAACGCGCAAAGGGCTGTTAGGGAAGATGATAGACAGTGGTCAAGAGCGTGTTGAACTTGGCTGCCCGAAAAGGAAGGCGCCCGACGCGCTATAAAAGGTTTCCGCTTTGGCCGCTTTAGGACTCACACAACTTGCAAGTGGCCGCGATACACTCACTGGTGCATGTTCCTCGCGGCGACTTTCAATTGGCCTTAATCTCTCTCTAATACATCCTCAAAGCTCTGACGACATGAAGGCCCTCACAGGTTACTACAGATACACCGATATTTGGTTCGATTGGTACAATCGATAACTGAGCGCCCGTCTGGATGCGCAGTCTAACCGTTTTTCAGGCCCAGCACCTTGCCCAACCCCGAAGACACTGACGCAGTAAAGGCCATCCTTGGTCAGGACTATTTGTTTATCGCGATTTGCCTACTGACACCACCCAGCTCACGATGCCCTCGTCCATCCCGATCACCCACTTCACGTTGAGGGTGTGGATGGAGCGCAGCTATACATCGGTGCGTCTTATATTCATGTACGTTGTACCTTTTATGAAAACATTGTTCCTGCAAGGCACCTTTGAGAGCGGGGAAGCTAGGTTGCTCTTCTCCTCCGCGCAAGTGGACTATATTCGATACTGGCTGCACGCCATCGGGATGACCAAGGAAATCATCCCACTGCCATACTCTGACTGCCTCTTGACTACGACGGACCTCAAGACAGTGACCACTATCACCTTCGCCGATGGATTTGCTGTGAGGAATGGCCTCAAGGTATGCTCAGCTCAGAGAGTCACGACAACTTCATGAGGGTGATCCATTATCTAGATGGTCAACAATAACAACAAAAAGCTCAAAGGATCCCACTTTAACCAGACCCTGAAGTATCGCCGGAGTGCCTTCGAGCGTGTCCAGGGTCTGTGGAGTGCTCAGAAAGGCGTCTGGTGCGCAATCGACTTTGAGGCTTGGGAGCGTGATCATACTTTGCTCACCGAATTCGGATGGCGCCTCGTCGGCTGGAAGGATGGTAACAAAGTCGAGGATCATGGTCATCTGGTCGTCAATGGGTCACATCGTAATGGCCAATACGTACCCGACAATCGCGATGTGAGTACTTGTTTGGAATGCCCTTCTCCAAAATTGACCGAAGTAATCGAAGGGTTACCGATTCGGCGAAAGCCAGAGATTGTCGCGTAAAGAATTCAAACAAAGGATCTGTGACTTTGTGAAAGATCTCCGGGACACATATGGACGCGTCTTCCTCATCTTCCATGACGCAGGTCAAGATATCAAGTGTGTTGGTCTCTTATTCCAAGTCCATTCCGTTATTGAATTCCTGGCAGGTATCTCAATGACGTGGGAGCACCGCTGGACAACATCCTGTACATGCTACCCGAGCCAATGCCTGAGGAAGGAGTATTCGTCATCGACACATCAGAACTTTTCGCAGGTCTCATGGGGGAGGACGGTGGAAACCGACGTTCACTTGAAAAGACGTGCCGCCTACTTCAACAAGACGCAGTCTTGCTCCATAACGCTGGAAATGATGCCTGGGTATGGCTTCCTTCAACTTGTGGTTCGGCTTGGGGCACTGACCTCGATTTTAGTGGACCTTGGCCTGTCTGATGGAAATGGCTGGGGGCGAAGTCCTGGACGTTCAACGAGAACGTCGATGGCCAAATCAAACTGCAAGCGGCAGCGTATGGGTTAAAGTACAGCCTGGACAAGAAACTAGTGACGACGAAGACGAAGATGTCGGAGACGAACCTCCGAAGTTGGGCTACGACCCTACAACTGGCAAGTGGTACCGCACGGATATGGACATGGATAGCGACGACGATATGGAAATGTGAAAGCGAAAGCAATGTGTGTATATGTATCTGTACCAATTCCCATCTGTAAAGCGCGTTCAATAGTTTGTAAAGAATCTATACCATTGAAGTATACGAGATTACGTCGAAGATCAAGGGATATCCAGCCTAGAAATTACTATTAGCTTGCAAGACCTCCAGAACCCCGGGTATATATTAGGCGTAGCAGGTCGTTAAAGAGTATTAGTCTTCCTTGTCTGGTTCATCATCATCGTCGCCTTCGTCGTCTGATCTGTCGTCATCCGCCTCGCGGGTAATAATGGCCCTGAACGAAGAGGTTATTTAATTTAGACTGCGAGTCGAACGGCGCTTGCACTGACCTGATTAGAATTCTCCACATGAGGTAGTACCAGAAGAGATTGAGAATTTGGAGAGCAAAAATGGACCCGAAAACCATAAATGGCATCCAGTTCACCATGTAAGTGCCGTTTTCAAATGACCATATCTTGGACGATTCGCTGCAAGGGGGATCAAAATCTAGAGCGAGGAAGAAAGAAATATAATGACTTACGGAACCAATTGAGTCTCAAAGAGGCAGGACCAAAGGATCTTCAAGTTGAGGTAGTGACGGAAGTAGCTGCGAGAATATGAGAGGGCGTCGGACTGTGGTTAGAAATCACTCACGTCCAAACAGCAATAAAGGTAACAAATGAGACAATCTTTGCCCTGTTCCATTGCATGTAGTTCAAAAGTTTGGAAGCCTAGACAAATTTAGGATCGCAACGTTGAGAAAGCACGAGTGGGTTGACGCACAGCGAGGAAGGAGTCTGGAATATCCATGCTCATGTAAACGGCACTCCCGATGATGGTAAAGTTCAGGCCATAACTCCAGCTGTAAAGGCATTGAGCGAGGGCTGAAATCGCGTTCGCTTGAAGCACTCACCCAACCAGCCACATTGTCACGAAATGGTGGGCGACCAGTTCCCAGTAGTCCTTGCGTGGCTTCTCCAAACCCAAAAGCAGCACAATAAACTGTTGGCACCAGTAGGAGAACTGCATGAGATAGTATCTCTTCAATTCCCCCTTCATGTCCCAGTGTGGGTAATCTAGTAAAGCTAAGAACGCGACCATGATAAAAGGGATGAGAAGAACGGACCGATCCAGAAGTGCTCAGTTTGGTACCAGTAGGTGGGCAATTGTTTCATGACGCGCTGGAAAGCTGGGTCAGCACGTATGGCGCGTCGAAAGCGCCGAACCACTCACATAGCCCCATGCACCGCAGATGGCAAAATAAATCATAGCATACAGTTGCTCTCCGAACCTGTCGATTTTCGCTTCTTTCCTGAGACCGAAGTAGCGAGCAATGGGACGGGCAATATTGACGGCGATGGTTTGGCGGACCATTGACCAAAACACGATGTAGAAGCCGAGGAACAAGAAATCCAGCCATGATTTCGCGTAACGAGGGTCATCGGGTTTGGAACCTTCAACGTAACCGGAGAGGAGGAAGAAGGGACCGAAGGGATTCGAGAGTGGAGGCGACACGTATCGCGCGACGAACTCCCAGTTGAAGTACAGGACGACCGGAATGAGGAGCAACTTGAGTGCAATCACTGGCCGAGTGTCAGATTTTTGTGCTCGAATGGAAAGGGACTGGGTATACCTGGTTCGGTGGCCCATGCCAGCCATGGAGCGGGTTTGGTTGGTTTCCACCCCACGACGGGAGACGAAGAGCGCTCTGGGGTTGGAGAGCCCAGTGGCCTATTTGGAACTGTAAGCATCCAGCTAAATCCAGATTCTTAATGGACGCACGTCTGTGGCAAAAAGGGACCAGTTAAATGGTGATTCGGGTCGTTTCTGGGCAAACCCGTTAGAAAGCGGACTGACGCTGGGTCGACAGGGGCAAGAAGCGAGACATACTCTAATTTGGCGGTGACTATTTTGGGGGGAGCAGCGCCATTGCGCCCTTTGACGTTCCTTGAGGTCATTGGCGACGGCGATGGCGAGACGTGAATCACACAGTGACTATGCGGCGTATGCGCTGGTGCTCAGCGGTCTGTGAAAATTCCCAAGCTAGGGGCAGGCATCAATCACGACTGCGTTCTCGGAGATAATCTTGGCAAGCGCCTCAAGCTCTCTCTCCGCTATCCTCATGTTCCCCTCATCCCTCGCCTCAAACTTTCAGACAATTCAGTGTCCTCAGCGCGGAGAATGCAGACGCGTTTTCTGTCTCTTCTCCCACAACCAGGCACAGAATGCCACACCGTCTCTCAATATTCCTCTCCAGCAACCAGTCCCATCCACCAGCACAGCCCAGCCACCATCTCTCGTTCCCACAAAGCGCGCTGCACCACCATCTCCTGTCAGAAACGGTGTAGTTCCTCAGCAAGGCCCTCCTAGGAAGCTCCAGAAAGTGGCAGGCCCCCACAGGGCCTTTCCAGTACCAACTCAGGTCGCTTACACAGAGGTAGCCCGTACCCTGTCCTCCCCCTTCCGTCGCTGATATCTTTCAGAATGGTGTCCCACTTCTCAGAACGAGCCCTGCCCTCTCTCAGGTACCTGTTCCCGTCAGACAGGTAGGATTGAGACCAATACCACCGAGTTCAATGTTGTTAATCATCCCACGAAAGACAATGCTTAAGACTCTCTTCGATACATTCAAGACACTATACGAGCACATGCTCTCGTCCTACCCGACTCTAGCAGCAGAGCACGCGTTGAAGCAGGAAGAGGAGGTCTATGGAAAGTCCACAAAGCAAACGTACAGAGTCGTACGTCGTGCCATGCCGCCAACACGTTTCCTACCCTGACTAGCTTTCTAGGCGGTTATCCAATGTGTGGCTGCTTTGAAACGCCGGGAAAAACCTACATCAATAACCCATCTATCGATTGGCACAGAGGATGAGATCAAAGCCAAGCGGGAAGCAGCAGAGTCGCTTTCTGCTCTTCAGCTTTCGAGACAACTGTTGGAGCCTTTCATTCATTCAACCGAGGACCTCAAGACCTGGGGCTATATCACAGAGATCCCTGAGGGAATTGGCGGACGAGAACCTAGTCTGGAAGGCAAGACACTCAAGTGTGAACGGTGCAGTCAACCTTTCCAGGTCAAGCGCATGGAGGAGGCAGATGAATGTCGCTATCATTGGGGGAAACCTTTATCGACGCGCTCTAATGGTACGACCATTGTCCCAATTAGAATGAGGTGGATCGTACTCACTGTTTTCAAGGAGAGAGGGTTCGCATATATACTTGCTGTTCTAGGCCCGTCACTGAAGGCGATGGTTGCGTTCATGGGCCTCATGTCTTTTATGAATCTGCCCCACCTGACCTCCATGCACGACATGCCTTTTCGTTCCTGAAACCCCCAGACCCAAATATACGAGCACTGGAAGTAGCAGCTATGGACTGCGAAATGATCTATACGACAGGCGGCATGCGAGTAGCTCGTGTATCAATGGTTGACGGGGCAGGTAGAGAGGTCTTCGACGAGTTCATCCGAATGGACGAAGGCGTACATGTGGTGTGAGTCTTGTACGTCCGTGTCCGTCTGCGCTCTACTCATGTCGCCTCTAGTGACTACAACACGCGTTTCTCGGGAGTATCTCAGGAAAATCACGCCACAGCAACACTATCTCTTGCCTCGGCCAGAAAAGCACTCGATTCATTGATCAATACTGACACCATCCTTCTTGGGCATGCTCTGGATAACGATCTCAAGACTATGAGGATCATCCATCACCGGTGCATCGACACCGCACTCCTCTTCCCTCATCGCGCAGGACCACCGTACAGGCGTTCTTTGAAGGACTTGTAAGTTGTCCTCTTTCGTGGGTGATAGAGTATTGATACATGTATATGTCTAGGGTTCGAGAGAAACTTGGAAAGATTATTCAAGCTGGTACAGGCGATGTCAGTGTCGGCCACTCCTCGGTGGAAGACGCAAGCGCAACGCTGGATCTCGTCAAGTGGCATATTCTGAACACTCGGAAACCTTCGACGACTTCGGCATGAGCACTCCCTCCCTCACGCGGTCAGTGTCTTCCGTCGTATTCTCGATCAGAATAACACCACTGACACCACCTGTGAAGATTCAGTAACCTCTAAGGTTATCCCATCATAGCCATACACTGTATATACCGGATTATTAGCACTATATCTCATAATATAATTCGCCTAAACACACGACTTACACCGGGTTGCAGGGCTCTGCAGCGTCAACGCATCGTCTTCGTCTGTTCGATCGAGTTGCATGGGCAGACCTGGGGGCTCACGAGGACTCAGGAAGTGGCTGATGGTTTCAAACTAGCCTTCAAGTCAGATTGCGTTATGAGAACTCGGAAGATGTGGACGAACCCTTTCGTAGAATGGCTTCCTGGGTGGGCTGTCTGCGAAGAAAGTTAGCTCGAGTTGGGTTGTTAAGAAGGGCTAAAAAAGCACCATCTTCGTCGTCTTCAGGAGGTCCTTCCAGCTCCCAGCAGCATCGCTTGTATCTCTGGAACAATGGAGAACCAGGCTATTCGCGGTCATGGTCAGAAAGCGCGTGACGTCTATAATCAAGCTCATGACGGACTAAATTTGTGTGAACGATGATCTTCTTCACAATGTGTGTATTGCCGCATATCAGGAAATCCAAGCCATGCTGGAAGTAATTGTAAAAGTCTGAAAGACGCATTAGTAAAAGTTATCTTCATCGAGTTGACTCTCACAAGCTCCTTCCTCCACTCCCTCTGGGCTGGTGGCACGATGAATTGTCATACGTTCGTCATCTTTGTAGTGGATTCTCAGAGGCGGACCAAGGTCGAGGGACAGGTCCTGCGCCGTTGTTTGTCCAATACGGATGTGTAGAGGTTCAAATCCTTCTCCATAAAAATGGAGGGCGATGCCATCGTGCACCTATGCATGCTGCTCAATTACAAGGTTGCAGATGAGGATATTATCCTGACTCACTTTAAGGATTGCTCGACGTATTTCACCGGCCATGGAGGGCAGTTCCTTCACTTCATCCAAAGCATCCTCTCCCTTCCCGTCATTCCCAGGCTGAGATATGAAAACCCTCTTGACTTCCTGAGTCTTGTCAACTGCAGCTGGTGCAGCCGCTGGTTGGATCGGCCCTGCATCCCCAATCGTGTCGTCGTCAAAGCTAAACCAGAGTCCAGGATACCGAAGTTCATCGCCGGGGTAGGTTGGGCCAAACGTTCTACTCACAACCACTCGTCTCAACACATCGTTTACAGATGAGATGACGGTATTGTTGTACCGCAGTGTCACGGGTGGATTGGGGTCCCGGAGCTTGCGGACGCAGATGGTGTGCAGACGCTGACCTTTCCCGGAGAAGAGGAGGTCGAGATGAGGTCGAATATGAACTATGATAGGTGTCGTGGAAGTTGCATCTGGGTCATATTTAACTTCTACTTGGGGGAAGTTGTGGGGAAGACTTCGAAGTCTGTCCAGTAGCGTCCACAGCGAGATTCCTTTTAAAGTCGTTAGCAGTGATTTCACAATAGTTGGGGCAGGTCTTTACCTATCTCAAATATTCCAAGACCAGAGCCTGGTCTTATGTCGACATCCAATGTCGAATACATGGCACATAGAGGAAGAAGAGCTCAGAATTCGGCTGTTGCCCCTGAGTGCCTCTGTTCACCGAATGCGGCAAAGCCCATCACAAACACCGACAACGCGTCCCGCTTACTTATTCAGACGCGTCTTTACCACCAACCCCCGACCTGAACCCGACCGTCTTCAACCTGCGCGCGAGGAAATGTCAGACCGACAGAGGATAATAATTAAAGTAAGAAACCACGGGTCACAACATTCTCATCACTTACACTTCTTTAGGTTTTCCGAAAGTTCAGCAATTCTCTAGGACCCGAGGTTATCCAATTTTTGGAGTCCATTATCGAGCAACACGATATCCCAGACGAGGATGTTGAGACAAGTATTGATCTCATAGCGAAAGAATATAACAAGGAAGACGGTCCGTTGTCCGCCCACCCCGACAAGTTTTGAGTGCTCATGCATCCATGTAGATGCTACAATGAAAGTGTCGCTGGATGTGCTTCAGAGGGTGTACGAAAGCTTGCAGGATCGCGGTGAAGACAACCAAGTAGAACATGAATTCATCGACCCGGACAATCATCTATTCGTCATTGACGCATATGATATGCCGCGTTGGGTGTGGTCACAAGAAAGAGGTACGTTTGAAAGGTATATTGAACTTGTCTTCCAGTTCACTTCCATGTTGATTCTCAATGGATTCTTTTACTTAGGATATCCACGTCCCTGTCGTCTGCGGGGACACCTGAATCGAGGATAGCGTCTATGAGGGATCGACTGCACATAATCAAGCAATGTGTTCTGCGGAACGAACATTTTGCCCCGTCTACCCTTCCAGCCCATGATCGGGAGCGTTTGGTCACAGTCAGTGAACCTCGATTTGGATGTCATTCAGCCTTATAACCAGTGACTACAGCTGAGATCAACAAAACAATTGCTTGGTCGAGCAGGAGAGCGCTTCTTATTATTGGGACTTCTTGCCCATAATAAAGAAGGCAAAGTGTGCTTGGAAGATTCGGATGGTCGTGTAGAGCTGGATTTCTCGAGATTGGTGCCTTTCTTCCGTCTATAATATTGTTTTACTCGTGTTAACAACTGGCTAGGATGAGCCTGGCGATGGGTTCTTCACGGATGGATGCTTCGCTCTCGTGGAAGGGGAGTATACGGAGGAGGGTACACTCGAGATCATCGCCATTGGCCAACCACCTTGCGAACCCAGGGAGACATCCAGGTACGTTCACTTTGTACATTTGGGAGAAGGACTACTTAAAGCAAAAAACTGCGTAGATCCATTTATGGTCACATTGACTTCCTAGGAAAAGGCGCAACATCACTGCTGGAAGATGTATGTTCTGCATGGATAGATCCACGAGGTTAACGCTCATCCACGTCCTCAGAGGCAATACGCTTTACGCGTCAAGCAGGAGTTGGCCGACTTACATTTCTTCTTCTTTTCGGACGTTTGGCTCGACCATCCGCAGACACTGCCTGGCCTCCAGAAAATATTTGATAACTGCATCGAAAATGATTTCGTTCCCAAGCTTATCGTCATGTGCGGAAACTTCACGAGCAAAACTATCGCACATGGAAATGCCCGCGATATACAACGGTATCAAGGTACGGTAAATCTTCTTTCCTTTGTACTCCATGCTTACTCTTATTCGTTTCAGATAATTTTGATGCCCTGGGCGATTTGATTTCTTCCTACCACAACATTGCACACAGCACACATATCGTCTTTGTCCCTGGTCCACTGGACATCACCGTCAACTCGGTCCTTCCAAAAAGGCCTATCCTCGCCGCGTTTGTGAACAGGCTTAAGTCGAAGTTCCCAAAGGCGCACTTTGCAACCAACCCATGTCGAATCAAATTCTTCAACCAAGAGCTGGTCATCTTCAGGGAAGACCTTATGGCCAAAATGCTGAGGAACATCATCGGGGTCAAGGCAGACGTGAAAAGCGAAGATCTCAAGCGATTCGTGGGTGTCCCTGGTCTCGCCCCGTCCGGCACCTCTGACCATCTTGTAGCTTGTCCAGACCATCTTAGACCAAACGCATCTCTCGCCTCTCTCACTACATATACAACCGACTCTGTCGGATTATGACCATGCGATGCGTCTCTATCCACTTCCCACCGTGGTGAGTGTGGTTTACGAAACGCGGCCTGGCAGTTCGCATTACCCTTTCCTTTAGCTAGTCCTGGCCGACAAGTACGATCGTTTCAAGATGACCTACACAGGTTGTCATGTCTTTAACCCGGGTAGTTTCGTGGGGAAAACACTTTCCTGGTCGGCATATAAACCCTCAGAAATTAATTCTGAAGAATGGTGAGTCAACTCTCGTTAAAAGTGGGGGATAGTATGTGGTGACTGTTGGTCTAGCACTTTGGAACTGGAAAGCGATGATTCGTGATGAAGTCTAGCATGCATGGGGGGCGTAATTGCCTACGGGCCATCGCTTGGGGGGCGCCGAAGTCCACTGGCCCTTAAGACGCAATTTGGTGTGATTTTTAAATTGGAAGGACGTTCTCTCTAGCAAGCGCTCTCTATGTGGTCACGTCCATCTACACATAAGTAGACTACTTTTGGGCATGGAATATAGCCAGTGTTTGAGCTCAATCAATTTCGATTTATGATTTCAGCGCTCGAGTCAATCCCGAACAATCGGATCAACCGCGTGGCCGGCGGGTACACACTGCGAGTTGTGTGTCGTGAGCGACTCGCCCTTCTAACATTCCGCCTTGACCGTACCCATGAACTCTGGTAACTAGCTCGTTCTTAGCAATCTCGCGAGCGCAGAAGCATATTTTACAAGCGCGTGCCGGCTAGTTTCTGCCAGGCGATATGAGTGCGTTTCATCACCGCGATCGAAGGGCTTCACGCTGAACAATGATTTCTACTCACAGTAGGGCCTCCAAGTTTACCGGCGATACTACACCAATATTACGATGCAGCCCGGCAAACGACGCACGTCTTAGTCTACGGAAAGCCAGAACATTCTCCGTTGACATTCCTCCTCCTTTGGAGCCTCCGAATTGTCACTGTTTCTATCCTCCTACGAACATTCGTCGGCCCATGGGTCCTTCGACTCATTTACTCTCGCATTCGCATCAGAAGCGTCAGCCCACGGTCGATAAGAGGCGTTTTCCTGCGCAGTGGAGAGCGCACAATTCGAATAGAGCGAATAGGCTGGGGATGGAGCAACTTGACCTTGGATGGCTTCACCCTCGACGTTGGGGATAAGGAAGTACCCAAGGCATCCCACCCTCCAGAGAAGACTTCTTCAAACTTCGCATTTCTCAACCCCAAGCCTCTCCTTGCTATACCACGTGCAATCTACAATGTCATCTCTCTACTCCTTGAGCCCTGGCTCAAACCAATCTTTCGACACTACACCGTGATGGCGCTCCAGTTCATCCTCACTCGAGTCGTGCCCGCCATCACACAGCGGCTATCCTTCGTAATGCGCGACACCACACTCACGTTCAGCGCTCTCCCCGGGACCAAGATTGTTGTGAAGGAAGTGACCCTCACTGCGGCAGTCCAATTCTTACAAACCGAGAATGGGGACGACGGAGCAGAGCCGGTCCCACCCCGAGAAGCTCAAACGCAATCCGAAGTCGCAACGTGGGGTACTAGATTGCGAGATGGCTTCCGGAGGTCTTTGGACAGGGCATGGGGCTCGACACAAGGGAAGGGTTCTGTTACATTCAAGGCCTCTCGTATAGAAGGGACCATGCCGCAAAGTATCCGTGGTACGTTGCTCCCTTTTCCCTTCCATATTGTCTCTCATATGCGAGAATAGGATATAAAGTCGACAGGACCTTCCTCTCAATACCTAACAGCATCGAATTAAGGGCCGGGATGGACTTCAATCCCCGGACCGGGGCAATTGAACCCCATACTTTGGATATCTCCCTCAGCATGGACACCATGGTCGGAGAAGTGGATTTGCTCAATCTACTGTTGACCAAGTTGAAACCTCCGAGTGTTCGAACGTCCTCTACCGACAAACGCAACGTCACTGTCCCCCCATTGGACATACCTTCCCCTCGTTCATCTGTTTTCTTTCCAAGCGCCGGACTTCCTTCCGCCTTACAGTCAGCTATGCCTTCTTTTGCCAGTTCTTTCTTTCCTCCATCTGCCAAATTTGGGCCCTTGTCCGCTCTCAGTCCAAAGACAGGTGGTCTTCTCTCTCCCAGATCTCTTAGGTCCCCAGCTTCACCATTCTTCAGGGCTCTTTCCGTACGTGGGTTTGCCTTGGTTCTCCAAAACGTCTCTCATTAAATTGAAATAGTCATCCGTCATGCGACCTCGTAGACATAACTACATCCGGCCAAGTACGAAACTCAAAGACGAACCGACCATTGTACGTCAACCCATCACCTTTCCCGTCACTTGTTGCTGATCACTCAAATCAGTCGTCGTTGGCTGTTCTGGGTAAAGTCATGTGTCGTATCGACTGCATCAAGCTATCAGCTTCGCCGTCCTCCCCGTTCAAGTTATACTCTGCTTCCTTTAAATCCTTCGACCTCATATTTGGACTCGCCGAAACCGCCCGCAACGCATTCCATCACCAATGGTTGGGGAAAAGAATGCCCACGGAGAAATTCGATCCCGACACTTACGCACTCTCGCTTTCGTTTAAGAAGATCAAAGCAGTGAAGCAAGGTGGTGGGTTGGGGAGTTTCCCATTAGTCGCTATAGGCCCTATCACCTGCAATGCCGTGGCGCAACAATGGCCCGCACCCTTCTTGGTCACTTCTCCGCTCATGAGAGGAGACCCCAATTCACCCTTTGTTGGACTGTCATTCGAAGTGGCATATCTCGAGGCCAAACAAACGCTGGTGGAGCTACGAGAATTGTTGAACGCCCTTCCCATGCGAAAACCAACCCCCACTGCTGAAGTACAGGCATTAGGCAACGATGTCCCGACCCCTACGCCCCTCGCACTTCCCAGAATCGTTTTTCACTTTGGCTGCGGACCCATGTTGGCCCGCCTGCTCTTCACGGCAAACACGGGCCAGGGGCAAGAATGGCGTGCCCTTGAAGCGAAGACGGACGGCTTTGTCATCAACCTACAGTCGGTCTATCGGCTCGCGTCTACTTCAACGAAGAAGATGTTTCCGGCATTCACGTCTGTGCTGCCTGTAGAAATGGATGCCGGCTTCTCCGTCTATGTCAAGCCAGCATCCGTTCGCACCAGCTCAATTGCTATTGACCAAGACGAACAACTGGACGCCGAAGCCCCCTCCGTGTTCTCCAGTGGGGAAGTTGAATTTGCGGGCACAGTGCGTGCAGTCGCGGAGACTGATGGACCTGGAGAGGGCATCGCAGTACTTGATAAGGCGTCAATATCGTGCGACGGCCACCTCCGCGTCGAATCAGTTTGCGTCGAACTGTGGAGCCCGGTAGTGGTGGATTCTGTCCATCAGTTCCTTTCCCTCATTCCGCCCCCTCCTATTATTGCTGAAGAAGATTTCCCTCCGACCTCTCAGCCACCTCCTCGATTCCGAAAGCCTCCAATCGGACTGGCGTTCACGGCAACCCTCAATCAATGCGTTGCATTCGTCACTGCCCCAGATATCAACCCCAATGACACCTACGAGCTGTCAAGAGGATTGTCCTTCCGGACTGCGGTTGGGTTGGAAGCCTGCTCAATCCTCCCGAGTCACATTCATTGGTATCATAATGAAGTAAAAATCGACCACAGGGCAAAGCTTCTCCTCCCACTTGATTCGGTCCTTCAAAATGTGATGGCTGGGGGAAAGAATGTGACTTCGGCACCGCAGCGAAGCTCTGCATTCTTCAAGGTCCATTTCCGCTCCTCCGCCATTCGGAGCCTGGTCGCAACCCAATTTGCGCCGAGTGAACCTCTCATCATCGAAAGTTTGGACATCCCACCACTGCCTCAAGATTTCGTACGCATCAACCATGTCCACGTGGAGGCTTGCATCACCGTTGACCACGATCCCGAAGGTCGCGATACTTGCAACATCTCAGTCCAAGCACCCTCTGTCCGCGCTGATTTCAAACTTTCTCATGTATACAGCGTGCTTCTCGCCGTTCAGACCCTAGCTAGTCTCCAGGCACGGCGAACCTCGAGAAGTGCTGCTGCCAAAGCAAAAAGTAGCTTGGAGGTCCACCTTGAGGCGACTATCACTAATTTCCAGGTGTACTGGACCCTTCCCCAGAGAAACGTCGTCACTCGGTTTGATGGCTTGAGTGCGCGGCTTGCCCCCAGCTTGCCCCCTCAGGTTGGCTTCAGCCAGGCTGCCTTGTTCGTCCCCCTCCCGAGTCGAGTTGACAGGTGGGAATCCGAAACTCCTGGCCGATGGGGCGAACTGCTGAACTTGCAGAAGTGGGATGCGACTATCATCCTCGATAACCCCGACCCATCCATATCTGTGACAGGTCAGAGTGGTTGCCTTCGAATTCCTTCCGGATTCGTGTTCTTCGACCTCGTCTTCGACATCTCAATCCTCGCCAAGGCCTTGAAACACATAACTCATATCACTAAGGCCGGTCGTTTCTGGAACTTCCCATCCCCTGCACCAGAGGGGCCCAAGATAGTACCTCATCTCAGCTTCCGCATAGGATATCTCTGCCTGGAGGCTGAGGATGATCCGTTCGAATGCAAGCTAGGTCGCATCTTCCAAGCAGGTCTCGACGGTGCCAAATCCCGGATGGATAGAGAAGCAGCATTTACCGCCAAAGTCGCCGCCATTCTCGAGCAACAAGGAGCAACAATCCCACACGGTAGCGACCAATACCAGTTCGACCCTCGACATGCAGTTTCCATCGAAGAAGCTCGGCAAAGGTTGGACAAAGTCCATATCATCGATTGGAAAATGAGAATCGACAGGCTATCAAACATTCGCACCAAAGCAGAAGAGGCCAACCTTTACAGACTGTTTGGATCCAATCGTCCAGCCTTGGATGAGATAGCACCGAATCTTGTCCCTGTTATTGATCGACAGAAAGACACTTCACCGCTCATCAGGATGGCGCTCCACAACCTCAATCTCATCGTCGGTGGCCCATCGTTCCCATTGGAAGAATTACCAACTTTCCTAAACACACAAGGGTCTGGAATGCCCACAGATACCCAATACTCATTGCTGATACCCCTACATATTCATTTCACACTCACTGCCTTTAAAATCACTCTCCGCGACTACCCTATACCCCTCTTCAACATCCTTCCTCAGCTCGATAAACCTGAGAATACAGTTTTCGCCTTCGATACGGACCTCGTCATCGCGGAAGAAATGGGAACTGATCTTTCGACAGAGTGGTTCCAATGTGCTATCATCGACGCTGAAAGTGCTCTCGACAACGAAGTCCCATGGTCGATTACAGTCCCGAAGACCATCATGCCGGTCAAGACTTACGCGAACCCTATAATCTCGGTGAAATCGTCTCACCCCACTGTTCTTGCGTGGGGTGTCAGCTATGGCCCAGCAATGCAGGACGTGATGCGCGTCATCGAAACCCTGACCAGTCCCCCACAGGATCCTTCCCCCGTTATGGGTTTCTGGGACAAGGTGGGCTTCGCACTTTCTTCCAGTTGTTGTTTAACTTCTTACAAAAACCGTCAGCTACGGCTCATCATGCACTGGAAAGTCGACTTCCAGTTCGAGGGAGATTTACATGTTTATCTGAAAGGTTTGCTTGTCCACTGCTTTGTATTCCAAGTACTGATCGCTATGCAGGCTTGCGAAGCCCCTACGACACCTACGGCCACGGCGCTGGTTTCGTGCTTGCCTTCCAGGGAAGCCCCCGCATCAAAATCGGGTATGAGAATGAACAAAAGGAACTCATCCAGATCACCAGCGATCTGATGTCCATGGCTGTTCCTGAGTAGGCACTGTTTCCATGTGCTCCCTCCCCTTCCCAAGCTTATAGTTCATCAGCCTGGACAATATAGCGCCCAACAGCCTCTTTACACATGTTGCACGCACCCTAGGGGTCCCCAGGCCCTTCAAGAAGACATGGGCACGGTTGAACTCTGGCGTCCGTTTCGGCATTGGTTTCCTACCTGAAAGGTCGTGTGGGGTCGAGTGCCTCAAATGTCACGGCCTCCCAGTCGAAAGACAATGTCGGTTGTTCACATTCAAGCCCCATTACCAAGTTACCCTCGAAAAGAAACCGATTAAACCCGAGATTAAGGTTCGTCTACTTGCTACTTATGTTCTTGTTGGCATGGTTTGACATGTTTTCAGACTGACGGAGACACGTACAACGGGTTCCGCTCCGACTTTGTCCATCTCTCCTTCTCCTTGGAATCGTCATTGAACAAATCCACGGTCAAGGCTCGGGGTCCTCGTGACTATAGCAGCCTACATTTTACACCTCAGTTGTTCGCTCACTTCTGGGCATGGTGCACTCTCTTTGGTGGCCCATCAGGCCTACCTATTCGCCAGGGCAATTACTACCCGCCTAAACCTGTCTCTCCCAAACTCGGCAGACACATGGCCACTCTCAAATATCGGATATCCATTCCTCATCTCTATGTTATGCACGGCTATATGGACGAGTCACCGGAAAGTAAGCCAATCCCGTTCTGTTGCGCGACAAATGATTGACCTTCCCACTCAGCGTGGGCCGACGGAGTGGATTCGTGGATTGGAGTAAAGGCCATGGTTGACGAATTTCATGTTGACATGCACCAGCGGGAAGAAGAGTCCATCGTTCCTGGCCCAATACCAGGTACAACCCGAATTCTGCGCCGCAAACCATTCAATGCAGCCGAGGTGGTACTTAAGGGCCTCGATATGCGTGCTCTCGTCGCGGTTTTCGACGATCCGCTGAAGAAGAGCGTTCCATCGTCGGCGGCCCCACATCGAAGCAACTACCGCAAGCACGCTGACCTACCCTTGACCAACCCCTCTTCTTCCTGGCACGATATCAACGACTTTATCGAGCTGGACTGGCGACCTCAAGAGAACCCTCTTTTACATCTTATGCCAGTTGTTACTTGTCCGCGCTTCTCTTATTTCAAGCGCATTTCGGCGACGGATAATCGTTCAGTTGTCCAGAAGTTTGGAACGGAGGATTCGCACGTTTGTCTTTTGGACAAGGAACCATGTATGTCCCCAGCTCGTCTGATGTTGCATTATCATTAACACTCTTTCCAGCGGCTCCCCGTGTACAAATACTATTGGCTTCGGCCAGGGCAGCAGAATTGCGTCGACTAATTCGAAAGGCCTCCACCCATGCAGCCAGTGGAATGGTGCGATTGAGTATATTCTTCCAGCCGGATCACCTTACGATATTTATATTGTCAGGCCTTCGACCATCAGACTGCGGAGAAGATGGTTTCCCTGCTGGAAGATTATGTCACTCTACTGCAAGATTTAGACGCCAAACTCGAACCTTCGCCAACAGACGAGAACTATCACCTCCCTGCCGAAATCATTTCCAAAGAGGAATACGCCGAATTCGAAAATGTCTACCACGTCCACTGCCCCAGCATCTTCCTGGACGCTGCCATCCGCGACGTCAGTCTTCCTTTGGTTCTCTCCCTTATCTGCTCGTCCCTGATTTCATTATTAGATCATGATGCAGTACTACTATTGCTCAAGGGCAAGGAAAGGGTTGGAATATCATATGGCGACCCGGTATTGCCTTTATTGCCCACCAAATCGAAGACATCGTCTAACCATTGTATTAGTGCTGTCAAATTCATCCGGGACCAGGCGAATGCAGCCATCTCGAATCCTGATCCTAGCGAAGCTACGAGTTCCCCTCAGGCGGAAACTGTGAACATTGCAACAGCAGCGCTGCGCAAGGTCCTCGGCAACAAGACCTCCATCGAGATCTCTCGAGTTCCCGAGTCTCAGAGTCTCGACGTTACTGATCCTCTAGACGGCTGGGTCGAAGGAGTTTCACTCCGGAAAAGCCATTGTTGCTTGCTGATGAAGCCTCAGATCGTGCTGCGAGGTACTGAATCCAAGGATACCTGTATTGTAGCTGCCTCCCAAGCGAAACTGCAGTCATTTGCCATCATGGATATTCTCAATTCGGACGATCCTGTCTCCGGAAAGATCATGTCAAGGTACACCCATTGCCTTTTGAATATTGATCAAGCTAACGACTCTGAAGGAATTATACATCCCTGACCGGCATGCAAGTCTTCTCCCCCACCACACCTCTAGCCCTCGGGAATACCAGCATTCCATTGGAGGTCCTCATAGATATGCGTTGCGAGAGCACTCAATTCGAGCGCCTGGTTCCGCAAACGGACGCGGTGTTCCATTACGACAAGTTCAACCGCTTGCGCTTGCGAAACAAGGCTACCACAGCCCTCGCCCGGCCCGCGACGGACGAATCTGGAACCAGTTCCTCGAACCATCTGCAAGATCAAACGGTAAGTTCAGTTTACTCGATCGTCTACCGCTGGCCTCAATCGTTTATTGCCCCCCAGGACTTACTTAGGGTGCACATTCCTCGTTTCACTGTTTCGGCCACCACGGAGCATTTCCAGGCCATCTCGAACGTTGTCACGAAATTGCTCCTCTTCTCGGACGCGGCGCACAAGACACGCTTGGATAGACTCGAAACCATGATCTTCACCTACGACTTCAGGGACCTCCACTCCGCCTCTAACGTGATATCGAATTTACAGAAGCGACTGCGTGACGTGGTGGAGACGCAGGAAACAACTGCCCGCAACGCAGGTATCCAGATGCGACGCCTGGACAACGAGCTAGAGAGAGAAAACAAGTTGCGAATCAGGTTCCACATATTATCGTTGCAAGAGGAACTCGGACTTCTCTTCGATGCCATCAAGCTCGCTCAGGATAGGTTTGACGCGTCCGCCGAGCAAAACAATGCCTTGCTCCTCCATGCCTCGTCTATTGAAATTTCGTGGCGTATGCTTGACGAGCGACGGAACCTCTTGGCTAAGCTTGTCGTGCAGGATATCAACTTCCACTGGTTGAATCGTCAAGACAGCTCAACCGTCAACCACCTCACTGTTGGAAACCTGACGGCATTCGATGGTTCCCGGTATGCCATGTGGGCAGAGATCATATCCAAATATGACGAACCGGCCAACCATCCTTTGCTGAAGGTAACTTCCTATTATCCCTGATTTTGAGTCCGAGTACTGACAATCCTGCAGAAGGGTCTCTTCTGCTTGGCGCGATGGACGATCCTTGCACCTGTGGGCGGGATCACCATCTACGAAAACTTTGAATTGTTCTTCCATCCCCTTCGCCTCCAGATCGACGCAAGAGTGGGGCATAGGATCATGGAGTACGTCTGGCCAGCCCGGAAGGAAAGGCAACAGCTGCCAGGAGCTGCGTCAGAGCTTCCGAAGGGGAGCCCAATCCGTTCCTCTCTGGATTCTCCCCGTGGTGCCCAGCAAACCCAGAACAACAGTCTACCGGCTCCGCGAAGACTTGCCGCTTCTCGATCTTTCACCGACCTGCGCAATGTTCGCGACCATGGATTCCTCGCCGCGCCCGCCTTCCTCCACAAGAACCGTTCGAGTGAATCCCTCAATAATGTACCAGAGCCTTCATCCACTGGTGCGGAACCCGGATCGAGCGAAGCTGCTGTCATGAAAACGCGATCAAATCAGAAGAGCTTTGTGTTTGTCAGGATAGCAAGGTATGTGCCAACCTGAGCAAGGTTCCGCGAAGCTTGCTAATGGTCGCCTTTCAGCCTCAATCTTCTCCTTAGTATCTCCAAGGAAGGATCCTTCGAGTGTCGAGATGCTCATATCAAAACTCGAGACTTGGAGTATCGCAATCAAACCTGGAGTGTACGTCGTGACAGTAGCTCTCGCGAAGCGTTGGGACTGATTGTGTCCTTCAGTTTGAAGAATTGGTCAACCAGTTCATTCCTTCTGACATGGGCTGGAAGGGATGGGTGAAGATGGCCTTCCATCAACCCTTGCTTCCTGTCCTCCCTGTTGCCAAAGAATTGCTCTCCAAGACTAAATGGACAGCCTCCAAGAGCGGCTCCCAGATGCACGATAGCCCTTTCAAGATGCTTCACCCCCGGATGATGCTAGGTGCCGACGACGACGCTAGGCTACAGTTACTTCAAGGTGGCTCCAAGCCTGTCACCACCGCTAGCTCTAGTCCGAGCAACGTCAGTACATCACGTAACTGGAAGAACCCTCTCCGCGGCAAGAACGAGCAACCTACTATCATTCCTTCACAGCCATTGAGTGCTGAGCCTGAAAGCCTTCGTGAAACTGACGGCGCTGAAAGGCAACCCGAAGGGCGTAAGCGGGTGAAAAGCCTATTTTCGAGGAGCAAATCATCCAAGGCAAAGCAATCAGATTCCTCTCGCTGATCTGCAGTATCACACATCATTACTTATCTATTGCTTTTGTAGTCTTATCTCTCGTTTTGCAAGTCTTGTAGAAATACCTTAATTTTCTGTAATACTATAGCATTGCGGGCATTGACAATGGACATTTTTCGACCTGATATCTCGCCACCATCAAAAGCCCCTATCTTGGTACTCCGAATTGATGGAACAGGATGGAACGACGTTGCCTGAGCTCACACCTCTGTTGCCCTTCGCTCTTTCCAACTTGTTTCTGGCAGTTGTCATTACACAGGCTGTAAGTGAAGTTGACGGGGTATTCTACATTAACCATCTGCACAGATACTAGTTGCATTTATCGACTGAATCCATCACGAATGGCGACTGAAACCTCAATTTCGGGAAATGGTGTGCCTCGTCGTGCGCTAGCTCTAACTGCATGCTGAAAGAACTGCGCTACATTTAGACTATGATCGTCAATTACAACCTCAAAACACAGCCATTAATGAAATCGCGGAGGATGTGGAAATGCAGGTGGGTGCGATTACCATTCTATTCGCAAAAGGTGTACTCATGTCACTACGCTATGATCTTTAATTAGCCCCCAGAAGCAGAATACGGGAGGTACATGGTCGTTGATACGAATATCTTGATACACCATTATGAAGCTTTAAGAACGTTTGTGGCGGATGTTGAGAGGTGCGGAGCGCCTGTTGTCGTCGTCGTGCCTGGGACAGTGATCTATGAGATGGACGGGTGTGTTTGCCCTAACCTTTTGAAAGAAATCGTGAAACTGAAGCGTACGCATAGCTTGAAGAACCGCGATGAAGTGGCGTGGCCGGCGCGTCGAGCTTCTGGATGGTTATTGGAGAGAGTGCGAGAGAAAAAGTCGGTCAAAGTACAAGCTACGGAGGAAACATGCAAAGCGTCGCGTAATTGGAGGTCTAAAGATGAGGCCAAGGAGCTAGTATGTTATGAAACACCCTGCGTGTGTAATAGGCGCTGATAGGTCATCCGTTGCAGATCATACCAGGGGGCATGATGAACGACCATTTGGTGCTAGATTGTGTCCAGTATTTCCAGATGAGCACCAGGCGGCGGACGTTCCTTTGTACCGAAGATACGAACGTTCTGATTTTTGCACAGGGGCAGGGTACGCATTACTCCACAACTATAACGCGTTCCAAGGAGATCATCTAGCCGCTGACGCGAATTCCGCTTACTAGGAATTGAAGTTCTTTCTCCTTGCAAGTCAAAACCATGGACTAGCAGAGACATCGCCATCGCGCTTTATGGAAACATACCTGCGGTTTCACAGCACTTTAGCGGGGATAATGCTGCGTACAGGCAGATTACTGTCTCTGGCGCTGCGGGTGCTGGGGACGGGGACGGAATGATGATCGACGATGAAATAATTGTGGAGGAAACGCCGTTGAATGTTCTCCATGATGATGTACGGGAGTATTTCACGCGGCTCTTGATCGATGCTGCGTTGAAAATTGGGGGCCGGGCGCTACTCGATCCGGTCGATCCAGGTTCACTTTCGAGGTATGCTAGCAACTGGAGACGGAAGCCATGTACAGCCTGGTCTGCGGTGGATGCGATTGAATATTTCTGGGAGACGCAACCGGGGCTTCAGCAGGAGATAGACGGCCTCCCTGGACCGCGACTAACAGCATTCTTGGGAAAAAGATATACTGGTGTCGTGGGGGCACGGCGGGGCGACGACTGGAGTCTAGGAGATTGGATCGCCGGATTCACCAAATTAGAAAGACTTGGCAAAGGCATGGATACGGAGTCACGTGATATGATATTGGCAGCATCACGTGAGCTTCGGGAGTACGTAAAGCAGCGAGTTTTAGCAGGACATTAAGAAATGCAAGGGCCTCGGTAAATTTGGGATTCGTTCTTTCTTTCATCTTTTTCGCTCGATGAACACTCGACGGGCAATCCATGTCTTCCTCGCTGTTCTTGCGCTTTTCCTCCTCGGCACTGTCATCGTTCTCTCCTCTGTCACTTTCTATCTTGCAATAGACCCCGCCGCTTATCTCGACGAGCTCGACCTATATCAGTCTCCAGGCCCCGACAACTCGAATACCAATGCTTCAGCACACAGAATCCCAAAGATCATCCACCAGACCTGGAAGACAGACACCCTCCCCCCGCGATGGCAGCCAATATCCCAGGCGTGTCGAGACATGATGCCAGACTAGTAGGCACCCCTTTCCTGTCCCCAACAGGACCACCATATTCATATCAATCATCTAGCGAATACATGCTGTGGACAGACGATTCGTCCAGGGAATTCATCGCTCAAAACTACCCTTGGTTCCTTGAAACATTCGACAGCTACGAGTACCCTATCCAGAGGGCAGACGCCATTCGATACTTTGTGCTGCACCACTACGGTGGCGTGTACATGGACCTCGACATCGGTTGCCTACGCCCCATGGACCCGTTGCTCAACTACCCTGTCATTTTACCCAAGACAATCCCTGTCGGGGTATCCAATGACCTCATGTTTGCCGAAAAGGGTCACCCATTCCTCCTCCAAACCATCAACAACCTCGTCACCTTTGACCACTCTTGGGTCCTCAACTATCCTACCGTTATGTTCTCAACCGGCCCCATGTTCCTCTCTGCCCAGTATGGGATTTACACCACTGCTCACCCAGATTCCGCCACCAAAGATATCCGCATTCTACCCAAGTCCCTGTACGGCAAGAATGCAAGGCCCGAGGAAGCGCCTCATTCCTTCTTCTCCCACTTCTATGGCAGCAGCTGGCATGCGGACGATGCTGCCTTCATTGGTTTCCTCGGTACCTGGGGCAAGGTCTTGATGTGGGTCGGCCTCATTGTGCTCGTCATCGGTGTCGTCAGACTCCCAAACAAAGCCCAGCGGCGAGGGCTCAGGCGAATCAGTGGCTATGATATTCATTTTCCACGCTTATCGCGTTCAGGTCGATGGTACCTCCCCCTGGGCCGCTTTTCGTCCCCCCCATCCCCGGTTTCAACCTCGAGCAGTAGTGAATCCATACGACTCTCCGACAGTGACGAAGTTGACATACTCCATCTCCCTCTTAGCATCAGGCCCCCTTCGCCCACCACCTCAGATCTTGAACCTTATGCCGGAAGGAACAGTCCCATCGTTGACGCGTTTCGCCGGATGAGAAACCGGGTCACATCAATCGCGACCTCCGATCCTCATGACCAAGCTCCCATGACTCCTATTCGACCTCGCCGACATCGCGGCATCTTGTTCTTCCTTCCAGCGATCTTCACCCCCTCCATGTCACGTTCTCCGCAAGACATCGAAATGGAACCCAGTACCCCGCCGCCGGCGTATTCGATGCCATCTCACCGGCACCACCGTTCTGATGACAAGCATCCAAACATAGAGGATGATGAACCTCATGATTCCCTTCTCCACCCCGCCGTTTTGGAAGATTCCTCGTCGTCGAGAGAAAGGGATTTGTAGACAATTGGAGTGTGTTTTCGTCATAACCGCGCGAGTACACAGGGCCGGGCGAGCTTATTGGACACTGCCATTGACGCTAGCGCTGTTCCATGATGCATCGATACCCTCGCTTGGCATTTGTTCAATTCGGGCCGTCCAACACACGTTCAGTGGGCATCGACGTGTATAGAATAGCTAGGTTTACGAGAACGGACATTTGGGGAGCAATGGAGTGGGCAAGGGGCACCTCATTGAATAGAGTTCGATCCCACATCCCGCTTGCGTTTAGCTTACGCCAGCCAGAACGAATTAACACGACGCTTTCCCTCTAACATTTTACAGTGACGACTTTACTACGATTTATTTAATACTGTTACTACTTACACCGACTTGGAGATCGCTATCGGCTTCATTGTAATGTAAAGGGCGAACATTGTTACCGCTGATAATGAATACGTTATAGAGGGGCCAAAGGTCCAGTAACTTGCACAGGCTAGAAAGGGTGTCCGTTAGGCGTTAGGCGCTTTTTGTTTGGCCGTTGAGTAGAAACTTCTCACCGATAAGAGGACCCAAGGCTCTCCCTAGTTGACCAGATGACCTAAATTTTCCGAGAGCCTTGCCTTTGGCAAGTTCGGGATTCTCTTCCAATGGTTTCCCGGTGTCCGGGTCAACTGATGGATCGTCGCATTGCAATGATGCGAATGCAGTCAACGAATTCACCACCGTAGCGCTGGTGAACGCCAAACAGACAGCGGCAAGCTGTAGAAGCCTCAATGCGAAAGTTTGGTTGGTTTGCACGTAGTTGGGGAAGACAGCAAGCAAGATCAGGCTAAGCACACAGCTCGCCACACCCTGACGGGCCATCTTTCCCTCCCCGATCCTGGACGCTGAGCGTCGAACATAGCCTCCTTGAAGTAACGCGCTAACCACGCCAATGCTCCCAATTAGCTTGCCGTTTTGCGTGTTGTTCCAGTCTAGAACTGTTTCCAGTGGTCACAGGGTTAGGTTCTAGGTGCACGGAAGTGAATTGTGAAAGAGCCACGCACGATCAAAAGTCAAGAATGTCAATGTGAATTCAACCCCTGAGAACACGGCTAAGAAGGAAAAGTGCAGTCTGCGGAGTGTCTTGAGGTTTTGAATGCGTTGTTGGATCGTGAAGCGTTTGGTTGGTTTAGGTGGCTGAGTTTTCGATGGCGACGCGGAGGCTGCAGATTTCTTGTGTTCAGGAGCCTTGGTACCACGAGTTTCGGGGAGAGCAACAATGAGGAAGATGGTCTCGATGGCCAGGAGAATGAGAGTGATAAGAGCCGGGACTGCATAGATGTTGAGCTCAAAGCCGAGGGAGCTAACTGACTGGGGTAAAGGCCTGGAAGCAAAGTAGGCACCGATGGGCGGGCCGATACAGAAGCAGATTGCGAATGCGATTCCGACGTGGGCCAGTGCTTTCGAACGATTGGCGGCCGTAGTGATGTCAGAGAGAATTGCTCTAGAAGTACATGTATCGTTAGTGGACTGGTACTGAGCGACGTCAGGACGTACATTGCCAGCTGGACGTTCCCTTCACTCAAGCCTCCGATCACTCGAGAGAGCATATAGGTTGCAAATGTCGTAGACTTGAGCCATCTGTAGGTTCAACCCGGCGGTTCCGTTAGGCGCGGATGCTTCTCGAAGGTGTCCAACACGTACACAAGAGCAGAAAGGATGTTTCCAATCATGGTAAGCAGGAGAACCTTCTTCCGCCCATACTTGTCCGATAATGCTCCAATCTTTGGGGAAATGAAGAACTGTAGAGCACTGGAATGTGCGCGTTGGAGTTAAATACAGTTCCTCGAAGTTGTCAGATTCAATTCGAAGAGCTTACGAGAACACAGATCCCATTAAACCACCTGCAGATAACTCACGCTAAGCATGGATCCTCAAACTGGATAGGAATACCACGCACCGAGAAGAACGACGTCCCATCTTTGCGATTGGACACCTGGCTTGTAGAGAAGACTTCTAACAGATCGCACGAAGTTTAAGGTTTGCGATAATAAACCTGAGTCATTGGTGCTTTCTCTCTGTCATCGGCAGATCAGCATATTCATGCAGCATTGCGGTAGACAAGCACTAACCAGAGTGTACCATTCAATTAACCGGGGAAAGAGGGGCAACGGTATTGTGAACGCGAAGAGATCCAGAATCAGCGACAGAAACACTACAGTTTCTACCTTCGCCATGATGGTATAAGGAAAGCAAGCGAGTAACGAGTGAAGGACGAGCAGACAATCAATGTCGCAGTAGTTGGTATAAATAGCTTGTCAGGAGATGGCTGTCGCGGTCGAAGTACACGTCGGCACGGTTCAAAGACGCCGCGTTTCAAGCCTGGGTGTCTCACGCGCCCATGGAACCTAGGACGAACACATCTCAATTACGGGTATCGAGCTGCAGGTAACCTAATGATAGAATCTGGTAGATAGAATCTCACTCTACAAGTATCTACATCAATCGAGACTTTCCGTGAGGACTTCACTTTCCCCAGCGACCTCCACCTCCACTGAATCATTCTCTTGGCCCTTGTACTTTTGGTCCTCTGAAGCGCTCGTGAGGCTCGTCTGGGTGTGTGTACTGGTGTCCATTTTCGTGATCTCTCGAAGAGCCATGGTAGCATATGCAGCACTTCCAAGTTGTAACCTGATCTGGAGTGCCGTAAATTTGCCATCCTCGACAACAACGGGTGGATCGAAGCCCAATAGTTTATCTTCGTCCGATTGGGCAAGTGGGACATCGGGATCTGTGTATTGCAGAACAGACCATGATAGTTCCTTGGGAAGGTGAAGGATTGTGCGGTAGGAACCATTCAAGGTGTACTCCCTAGATGCAGGGATTCGAGACGTTAGAAACGCATGCACGAGAAACACATGTCGATACATACTTTTGTTTTCTCACAAAATTGTCAGGATCGAGTCCATCTGCGCGTAGAAACTCTCGGTAACGCTCTCCCAGACGTCCACCCGGGTAAGCGACATCAGTACCCGGGAGTGGCATGATCACGTCGAAGATGGTGTATTTGTCAAGGTCCTCTTCGGTGAGTGTCTTGATCTTTGGTGGGACGTAGGGTTTACGATTCCGTTTACGGCCTTGTTCTGAGGCCCATTGACTTTGAGCGCCGATGTCCTCCGAAGAAATGAATCTTTTACCTTGCGAGTCTTCGTCACCTTCCCTTCTCTCCGGATCTACCTCCATCTGATCGCTTGCTGCATTCTTTTCGAAGACCAAATCCCCAACCACAGGTTTTTCAACGCCGAACATCCGGATTCGCTCCGAGACGATGGCATTCCAGACGTATGATTGGTAGGCATGGATATACATCAAGCGCAAATTGCGGGGAATCTGTCCTTGGTCAGTGGGATGCAGTTTTGCGACGGACAGTAGTTCTTACAGTTGAGAGAGCGCCCATAGCATTTCGAGTGTCACCCTTCATCTTCTTGAAACTTTCAAGAATGCAACGCTCTGCAACCACGCGCCGGGGCAGCAGCTGAAGAGCTTTGTCCAAGTCCCGGTCGACGAGCCAGGCATCGCGAGCAGCGGCCACATCTGGATGTTCCCCGTAACGTTTTTGCAGGAGAAGATTGATCGCCCGATTCCAGTCAGATTTCAATAAAGCCAGGCCGATAGCATGGGTTGGGACAGACGCGGTTCCAAAACGCTGCATGCCTGGTTCCTGCATTTAGTGCCAAGGACAAAACCGTTGCGAGAGAGAAACGGACCGTAGTAATTGATAAACCCCTTCATCTTAATGGTGTTGAGAGCTTCATCCAGCACCTCTCTTGATTCCACCTTGACATTCCTGCACGGGAATCAGAGTCAAACAAAGGGGAATATCTGTCGAGACATACCGCAAAGTAATGATAAAGGCATTTCCCTTGAGCATGCCAAGTTCTAGTCCGGCCTTACGATAAACGAGGTCTGCGATGCGCACACCCCTCTCACCCCGTTGGGTAAGCGCAGTCTCCGCAGTTCGTGAAGTGCCGATACCGTTTCCGAGCCTCCAAATGTCTTCGACAGTTTTATTGTTTCTTTTCAAAGAAACGCGCTGCACGGTAACGCCGCGTTTGTCCTTCGTCCCCGCAACGGACAAATCTTTGACGCTAACGTGAAGAATTCGAGACAGATGTCCAAGAGCGTCTTGGGTATCACGGTTCGTCTTTTGCAACGTGAAGTGGATGTAAGGCGGGTATGTTCCTCGAGCATTTCGCCCACCTCCGCCCCCGCCTTGTAAAACACGTTAGCATGTACGATCCACACATGAAACCAAGGTCGCACCTCGCTGGCCTGCTCCGCGTCCACCACTCCTGGCCCATTTGATCACGATTCTCTGACCGTCATCCGAGGGAGCAGACGTGTCCGTTTCCGTGTCCAACTTGCCCTTGAACAATTCCCTGATTGTTTGATGGAATGCCGTTCGAGTGTCTTTGGATTCCATCGGCTGTTTGGATATGATCAGATGATGTGGACCGAAAATTTGAAGCAAGTGAAACTACCTCTGAGATGACTTTACGGTTATCCTCCCTCATGGGTCGTCCACCACGGCCTGCGCCTCGACCACCCCTTCCTCTTCCACCTCTTCCACCTCTTCCACCTCTTCCACAGTTAGAGCTAGGTTCGGGAGTCGGATCAGGTTCAGGTGCGGGTCCATTGTCCTGGTCTGCTTTGGCAGCAGCCCTTCCCGCCCAACCGCTATCGCTCACCAGCGGCGGTTCCGGGCCCTCGAAGAACATTGCCTTCAACCTTTCCCTACTCTCGTCTGACAAGAAGGGCCTGAGTCTTTCATCAAACGATGCTGGCCAAGGTTCGTCTTCTATGGGCTCTGCATTATTGACAGAATCTTTTTCAGGTTCAGAGGGTTGGCCTGGCGTCGGTTTCTCTGTCTGGACCTCGGGCTCGTCTTTAACGCCTTTGGGTTTGTCAAGGCTTTTAAGGTGGATTACATTCCCGTCTTGATCAACTTCAAAGACCATGAAGTCGGTGAACCTACAAATGACATTAGATGGGTTGTGTATCGTCGGGAGACGTTGATCTGACCTTTGCTTGATGATTCCCTCTACTTTTGCATCTCCGCGTCCAATGTATTCAGAGATTCCGACGTCAGTCTCCAAGAACTTCATTTGCCCTTCCTCTGTTTTAACGGGGAGTGGTACTCCGAGCAAAGCATGGCTGGGTGGGAGGACATGCTCTTCAGCGTCGTTTGCGTCGCCTGCGATAGCTTCTGCAGCTTGGAGAGTTGACGTGCCGCTGTCGTCAGTCCTTTGCCTCTTTGCGTAGCGCTCTGCGTCTTCGCCGTCTTGTTCTCTCTCGTGGACGATGATGGAAGACATGACAGAGATTTCTCGCCTACGCTTTCCGCGCCCAAGCAAAAACCTTATCTTATCTATGCACTCGGGAGATTAGATCTTATCTCGCGGGAAGCCTTCAACAGACTCAGGTTCTGCTTCACTTGGTTCCTCCACTTCGCCATGATCCGCAAAACATACGCCGAACGAGCAAAAAACTACAAAAACCCAGCAGCAGTCAGATTGCTGGAAACCATCGAGAGGAAGAAAACCAATCTCTGCGTCAGCGTCGACACGCCCAAAACCGAGGATTTCCTCACTATCATCGACGTCGTTGGCCCATATGTCTGCCTTATCAAGGCAAGTGTCGTCTCCCGACATCGTTCAATGCAGTCCAATCTAATTATCTGGACCCAAGACTCACGTCGATATCTTGGAAGACTTTGATTCATCTGTAATCGAGCGTCTGGAGAGTCTCAGTAGGAGGCACGACTTCCTCATCTTCGAGGACAGAAAGTTTGCTGACATTGGTAAGAAAATCGTCAACGATGCCAGTCTACAAGCTTCAATCGGATTGAAACAGGCAACACGGTTGCTCTACAATACGGAGGAGGTGTCCACAAAATTGCGCAATGGTCGCACATTACCAATGCACACCCTGTACCTGGTCCTTCTATCATCCAAGGTCTCGCATCCGTGGGCAAGCCACTTGAACGAGGATTGTTGCTCCTCGCAGAAATGAGCACAAAGGGGGCTCTGACCAAAGGGGCCTACACCAACTCTGCAGTACAGATGGCACGAGAACACAAAGACTTCGTCATCGGCTTCATCGCACAGCGCAGAATGGAAGGAATCGGCGCGCCCCCGGGAGTGGACACAACCGATGAAGACTTCTTGATCCTTACTCCCGGTGTAGGACTTGAGATGAAAGGCGATGCAATGGGACAGCAGTACCGAACGCCACGCCAAGTTGTGCTCGAAGATGGATGTGACGTGATTATTGTTGGACGAGGAATCTATGGGAACGACCCCAAGGCAGTGGACGTCATCGCAGCACGAGCAGAACGTTACATGACAGAAGGGTGGGCTGCGTACCAGGAAAGAATAGCATCTGCTTAGTTGAATGCTGTTGCACGGGTAACGCCACGGGAGTTACTCACACAGACAATAGTTAGTTCCAAATGTCATGACACCGTCCTCGGTACAACCATCTCCTCATCCACTCGTGGGCTCAGACGTTCCTCGGAGAGTGTGTCGAGAGGAACTCGATCAGAGAATTTGACCATGGTAGGACGCTGTGAATCTGGTTGATGGAGAATAGGGGTTTCTGGTGATGGTGGTGTCGCAATCCTGGAAGATTCGTGTGCAAGGACTGCCCTGAGGCGCTCTCTAACTTCTTCCACACGCTTAGTTCTCTCTCCTCCCCTCCAAATCAACACGGCCGCTCCTATGCCACACAAGAAACCAGCCGGGATCAATATGCCTGTGCTCCATGCTGGTCGTTGAAACCTGGGGAAAGATCAGAAAAGGGGCGTTACTGCAAGAGCGCAGAAACTGACCGATTCATTCCCCACATCGTTCCACATAAGATGATCTGTGCCAGAATCAACAAAATGTCAATAAGGGATTATGGGCTACCTGCTTGAAAAATGGAGTTGGCGTCATTGAGGAAGCAGATCCAGAGTGCCATTCTGGGGGGAAAAGTGAGCTTCAATTATTCGAACAACGCAGTCGAACGCCCTCACGTTATTGGAAAGGCCTAGAGAGTCGTCAGTGAAAGAGCGAGGGTGTCAATGTAGCAACTGACGCGATGGGTTTCTGTTCCATGAGCCCGGTACCACGTTTGGTGGTACGCAAATTTGACTTGCTCTAACGTTGTCAAGTCTTAGTCTAAGCATGCCTTCACGAAATAGGTTACTGACGGCGGTGGAGATCCTTGTGTTCTTCGTCTGTAAGAACATGGACAAAATTGGGGTCGTAATGTGGGTCAGGCAAGTCGTCAAGATCGAACAGTTGAGGAAGCCCCGCTTCCTTCCGCCTTTTGATAGTTTCTTTCTTGTAGTACCATATCTTGTAAATTCCTGGAATAAACATATTCAGAATGGAGAATCCCTCCGAGTTGAATCCTTACGGAAAGTGGATAGAATTCGAGAAGGAATAAATCCGACGCTTGTCACAGTAAAGAGGCCTGAACGATGATCAAAATTGTGACTTTGGATGAGGAACGTTCCACATACCGCACACAACCTGAGACGACACCTCCACCCAGAATCCTTGGAGTTCATCATCGTGTAAATTGATAATCTTGGCCAGGAAAAGGACAATCGCTGCGCCCCAGAACACTAGACGGACACAGTTTATTTTGACGGGACAAGCGGTTGGCAGGTACGGCGTGACGAACCAACAAGGAAGCCGTAAATTCCGGTTAGGATCTAAGGCAGCTCTTTAAGTATTGTGGGATCGGTTCAGGGAACCACACCTACACCCATAGCTTGATAGTAGCAGTCAGCATCAGTTCAAGGGGGTCCCTCCCACTCGAAAGTGTCACACCACACTCACGGGTTTTGAGAAAAGACCATACTCCCAACAAGGTCCGTCGTATTCTGGAAGGGCTCTTCAGCACATCATCGACATGGCTGTCCAGAGGGTCGTCGTAGTCTGGCTTCTCCTTATCCCCCTGGCGTCTAGGGGACGATAGCACAATGACAGGCCTCCTCGAATATAATCCGGTGGGTGGACTTGGAGCACAGGAGATGAGCTTTGGGCATATTGGATGGACCCGGTACGTACATCACGATGGAATTGGCTGCATTCGTCAGTTTTGACACAGTTCCAACCTGAGGGTCTTCAGTGCATTGGTGAGAGATAGCTCGAAGCAATGACAATGGGTGAAACACACCGATAACGTCCAAATGCTCGACAATGTCATCATGATGGTTCCTCGCATACGTCCGCCTTCTGGTCGACGAAGGCGAAACAGGAGAATCAAACTCGTCAAGTGCGTCATGCAAAATACCGTGACCAGGACCGAGTCCAGTCGGGGATTCCACCAGAATACTGGCCTGCGTGCCGTCTACTCTAGCATTTGTGGGGTGTGTAGGGCTGGGATTGAGTGCCTCTGTGGATGACGATGGTCCATGATGGATCGTCGAGTCTCTGAACGACCGCGAGTCCCGGGTAGAGCGTTCGAGAACGTGGGACCGTATGCGACTGGAAGCGGTGTTCGACCTAGGTCGTCGTCGGTGGGTCGTCCCAGCAGAGTCGGGATGATTGAGAGGGAAGGGTGGCATTGCCTGGGGAGCTTCTGTGCCATCACGGCTCGAGGCCTTCAAGTTGGGCATCGATATGGGACGCATTGTGAGCACTGAAGAGCTGTTTCCAGCACCGGATGCCGTCTCCTCGTCGTCGCTCTTAGGATCCAGCTGGTTGTCGTCGGAACCGCTGAACAGGTCCCGTATATGTGGGTAATGAGCGCTTTTGATATGAATGGAGGGCATTTTCACGAAACGTGGACGCAGCCGCCCAACTGTCGTGGTAAGTATGGGGGAAACTTGTAATTGGCGGCGCTTCTTTGATCGTTAGTTCGATGATCTCATTTGGGCAGTGCTCCTTACACACAATTCACAATAATATTCACACAAAATGGGAGTATCGCCTGCAATGCTGTCTGTATGTTGGATGCGATGATAGTATAGTACAGTGGTGTTAATTAAACTAATAAAATAAAACCCTCTACAAGTGTCCCAGTGAATTTAAACCCCAACACCCTGTCATGAATCAGTTGAAAGGGCAATCTTTTTGGACGGGGGTGTGCTTATTCTTTCCTCTGTTGGATCAGTCTCAACCTTACGCTTCACACCAACAGACTTGGGGTCCGGCGATGGTGATTTCGATTTCACGGTAAAGGAAGGAGGCGGTGTAGACCGAGAACTGCCAGCAAATTCGGGGGTCGCACCTCGACTGGAGCCTGTGGCATCGTTGCGCAAGCGCGCTGCGATACCTGAGAGAGCCTCTGCATGGCATGTTGCATGGTAAATCTACGAAAAGAAATCAGTATCGGCGAGACATGTGGGAGAAATCGGTAGACATACCTTCTCGTCCTTCATGATGGCGTTTCTCCAAACCCATTCTTCGTCGTCTTCCAGAAACTCGGACTTCATATTCTCTTGGCAAATTGGACAAGTTATATTTTTCGCTTCATCACCAGGAGGAACCACGATAAACATAGCCCGCAATTCTTTGTCGTTCTTGACGCTAACCGTCGCAGCAGACTTGCCATCATCAACCTGAGTTGTCACGTCCCGTATCCAATCCTGCAATGATTTGTCAGTAACGAGCTTGACGGGGACAGGGACAATGAATACATACATCAGCAGAAGCGAACCATGTCCGACAGTGGCCCCTGCCATTGTCCTGATTTGCTTTCTTATTCTGTTGGAAATGCTCGTCAAGGTGATCGTCCAGCTTCTTCTTGCCATAGGATGTATCTGCGAATCGAAGTCCACATTGTTTGCACTGTACCGGAAGCTGGTCATACAGGAGCGCAGGCAACACGGGCTTTGTCCTGAAGGTCGCTGTCAGCGTCCGTCCAGATGAATATACTCGGATGTGATCGTACCTCAGAATCTCGGAGCTCGATAGAACGGATTTAATGGAGAGGACATGTTTCTTGTAATCACGAGCAGCGCTTGCAATCCCGTCGTCTGAAACGGCTTGCTTGCCAATTGCAGCTGGTTCGGTTTGCGAGGAGGTAGAAGCGGCCGCCAAAACACCTGCATTCTTGAGGCTATCTAGAATCTTGTTGATATTCTCAGCATCGGGTATACTGGGTATGGCGGTAGAAGTCGAGGGTATAGATTGAGGGGGTGGATGGGGGACGTGAGTAGGCGGGTATAGCGGTGGAGCGTTGGCATATGGCGCCGAGGACGAAGGTCGGGAATGCGGTGGGGGCGGGTAGTGTACTGGCGGTGGTTGCCATGCATTAACGGGAGCGGGAGGAACAACTGGAGGCGGAGGCGGGGGCGCTTTGACGAGTTCATGTAGTTGATTCAAAATCTGCCTCAACTCGTCTTGGGAAACACCAACGTCCACGACTAGGCTGCGTAGCTGGGGAAGGATCAGTGTACGTTCGAGAGACAAAGACAATCGGCGACATACCTGTCGAAGGACTTCGAGCTTTCGACGCGAATCCTCGTCGTACGGGTTGCCCTGCAGTGCACGTTCTTTTTGACCAATCGCAAATTGAAGCTCACTGACTACTTGGTTCTTGGTAATCTTGCGTGCAGGTTTAGCGACAGACCAGTGTCTTCGGGGAGGACGGCGACTCACAGAAACGTTCGAGCCGCTACCCCAAACACCTCGCTCAATATTGAGCTGAGTTACGGGACCGAAGAGTTCGGTGCGCTGCGGGGAACCGGTTCGCCATGTCAAGAGCATTTCCTCCATCTTGTTCTGTGTCTGCTGATCGACCTGAGAGTAAGTCTGTAGGAACAAAGGGGCGACGACATGGCTGAACCGTCTTGCATAATGCTCGTAGTAGTTCTTGGAAATCGCGTCGAGAAGATAGAAAGCTGGTAGCTTCAGGCTGGGAGGGACCTGGGAGGAAGTAACCGAAAACGGATATTAGTCAGCAATCCGCGGAATCGGCAAGAATGGAAACAAAGGGAAGGAAAAACAGGGCAGCAGGCGACGGCAGAGCCTTGCAACCGCAGCTGGCGCAAAATATTTTCACGACATTGCTCACTGAGGACAATTGACTACGCTAGTTACACGGTGTACATGTACATAAGATACACGGTGGAAACCCCAGTCGGATGTCCTCATAGCTGGAGTAAGCTCCACAAGTAGCAGAAAAGCTACTCACCTTACGGATGTGGGATTCGATGCAGGTGACGACGACGGCTGCATGACGTGAGTACTCGTAGGCAAGCATAGAAAGATTTTGGATTATGGGCCTAGAGTTGTAAACCAGGGTGGAAAGCTGGCTCATGTAGTGGTTGCGAAAACTGGTTGGGTCGTTGTGAAAAACAGGAGGCTGGGGAAGGCTGGGCGGTGGCGGAAAGTGCTGTTGCTGCTGATACTGGTTGGGACTGCCATAATACCCATTCACGGGGGACTGGTGGAAGGCATGGTGTCCAGCGGCGAAGGCTGGCTGTCCGTACATGTTGGCACTTTGGGAATACATGGATATATCCCACAAAATGGTCTGGTGGTCTGGGTCGAATACGCGCGGGATCTCACCAACGAAAAAAGCTCAACACTCAGATATTTGAGGAATTCAAACTGTAGAGTGGGGGACGAACAGAAACGATGGCGGTGGTTGGCAGAAGACAAAAGCGATCGCCGTGGCTTTGAGTGCCACTTTTAATTCAAACTCCGACAAACCGGTGCAAGCTCCGCTGCCGAACGTGACTCTTTCGGCTACCTCCCTCCTCCCGTCCTGCGGTTACTCTTCCCCTACTCGTCCCTCGCTAACCGGAGTCAGGGCAAGTCCAACCCCTGCGCTAATTGTAGCACACAGCCCAGTTGAAAGCCTCCAAAGTAGCAAGGCCAGGGTAAGCCCCTTGTCGGATCATCCGCGTGTGCTCTTGGCCCTAATCACTCTTGGCGTCCACATCGGGGGCTATCAACAGAAAAATCACTCTCGACGACACAAACTCTCCTCAACGTCGCCGCCAACACCAACGTCAAGGTGAGTGTATGCCCGTCCATTGCGTCAAGTAGTGCTGCAGCATCCGCTGGCTGTCGTTGGGAGAGATTTGGGCTGGAGAATGCAGAATATCGCGCTGGATGCGTCGCTTGTTGGTTTGGATGGCGTCTGACCGATATAATCTCTTAGATGCTCGATGTCCAGAAGGTCGAAGATCTCGAAATCCCTGAGGGAGTCGACGTTTCCGTCAAGTCTCGCCTGATCACCGTCACCGGCCCCAGGGGAACCCTCACCAAGAATGTGCGACATATCGACATGGACATCCGAGTTATCAAGGGCAAGAAGACCAAGGTCCTTTTGACTGTGTGGTCGGGAAGCCGCAAGCACGTCGCCTGCTTGCGAACCATCCGTACCATGATCAACAACATGGTTATTGGCGTTACCAAGGTTGGAGGATCGTTCGGGTGATTTTTGGAGAGGGTCTGACTTGGTCCGGTTTTGCAGGGCTTCCAATACAAAATGCGTGCCGTCTACGCCCATTTCCCCATCAACTGCATTATCCAGGACGGTGGAAAGGCCGTCGAAATCAGGAATTTCTTGGGCGAGAAGGTGCGTTGAAGTTGGTCAATTTTGCGTTTATTTTATCGCTCATTGGACCATTAGATCGTGCGTCACGTCGACATGTTGGAAGGCGTTGTTATCAGCGAATCAAAAGCCCAGAAGGACGAACTTATCCTCGAGGGCAACGACATCGACACTGTTTCTCAATCAGGTACGGTGGCTCTCAGCCTTGGTATTGCCAACAAGATTTCTTATTGTGTTACAGCTGCCTCGATCCAAGGTATTTGCCGGGTGCGAAACAAGGATATCCGAAAGTTCTTGGATGGTGTCTACGTATCACACAGGGGCACCATCGTCGAGGACGAGTAAATGCCCACTTTCATGTACACTCCTTCACCTTCTCTTATGGTTTACATATGACACTATGACGACGCACATCCAAAACCGATTCACATTAAGATCCTACCTTTAAGATTAGGGTATAAACGGTATCCACACTTTGACCCGAGCACGGTATTGCACATATTCATCCCCGAAGAAGCGAATCAAGGCTGCCTCTTCCGCTGTAGGACCTGGAATGAGTACATGGGCATAAGACACGGTCGTGGTACTTACATCGCGTTCGCAAGTAAAAGAACCTCCACAAAACCACAGCAAAGAAGACGGTGCTGAATGGGTTTTGAAGGACCAACTGGGTCCCCACCGCCCAATACCAGAACCCAGCGTACGAGGGGTGGCGGAACCAGCTAGAATGGGTTGTTAATATTGGAGTACATCGATATTTATTCAACCATCTTACGCATAAACGCCATCGCTCACTAATTTATGGTTGGAGCGCTTTTGAAACGCGACGGTGTGAGAGAAGTTTGTGGCGGCATGGATCATGGCGAGCGAGCGGAGGACTTGTCCAAAAACGACCCAGACCATTCCTAAAACCATCGGTCAATTGGCGGCGGAACCACACAGAGCAGAGACCGTACCGATCTCAGTGACGTAGGGATACGCTTTGAGGGAAGGGTTCCAGGCAGCCGTCAAAACGTACTCTAATACGGCGATTCCGTTCGAAATGTGGTACATTGCCCCATTGTCGAGAAGATACGCTGGGCCATGTTCGGTAAGGAACCTATCAAAGAATCAACGGTCACTCACAGTCCACACTGCACTTTTCACGGTTCCATCCAGCGGTAACACCGAATTCCAGCCAATGGAAAAGTGCCCAGCTGGCAGCGAAGAATCCCAGTTGCCTGGTCAGAACATCAGACTGAGGAACTCCATTTATCGCGACAAGAGTAGCTCCAAGAGCAAAGGTGATTCCGAGCAGAAATGCAATGAAGGAGGAGGCGAGCGGTGTGTTTGGGATGTTGCCGCGAGTCTGCTGTGCGACGCTGCTGATTGGTACAGTCTCGAGACCACCACGTCCCATGGCTGCACGAGCTCGAAAGCGTTCTTCTAAGGCGTCTTCAGAAACCGACATGGGACGGAACAAAGAAATGGAGTTTGGGTATTTGCCATCTTTTGTCTTTGAACCGCGTTTTGGATTTCCGAGGGACAATAGCGACCTGTTTGTAGTTGTTGATGTCGGTCTTCCATTCAGAGCGAGCGCGCAAACGCGCCAGTCCGAGTTTAGTCGCCGGACGCTTCATGTTCTTTTGCTGGAGGCTCTGTCGCCAACTGCATCCAAGGCAGTCCGCACCACGTCTCTACAGCACAAAATCAAAAAATGACACTCGGAAGCTCAGGAACATGGCCTTAGTGGCCCACATCGGTGTGTAGCCTTCGTTCACCGTATCTTGCCAGTTTGCTCAGGCTCACCAGATTCCGGCAAAACCACGTTGACCGAGTCTATTCTGTATCGCTCCTCGTATCTGTCGTCCTCGGGATCCGTTGATACCGGAAGCACAACAACTGACTTTCTTCCGGTCGAACGAGAACGAGGAATCACAGTACAGTCTGCCAGCATCCCTGTGAGATGGAAGGATTGGACCTTCAATCTCATTGATACCCCAGGTCACGCTGACTTTGGTATGGAGGTCGAGGGTGCCAGTAGGGTCATCGACGGTGCTGTTGTCCTGCTGGACTCTGTCGAAGGAGTTGAGGCCCAAACCAAGAACGTTTGGCGCCAATTGGACAGGTGCATTTCGCCGACCTCTGTATCTGCGCTAGACTGACCGTCTCCAGGTATGGCGTCCCAACCCGCATGATGTTCTTCAACAAGCTCGACCGACCTGGTGCATCGTTCCGAAACGCCATGGCTTCGCTCCTCACCCATCGGTTCCATCCCAATCCTTCCCCTCTGACCATCCCAATCGCGTCCTTCGACCCGAAAGACTACCAACACGGAGAACCTGGTGTTCAAGGTCTGGTAGACCTCGTCAAATGGAATATCTGGAGATGGGCGGGAGAAGAAGCGACGTGCCGGCCACTGCCACGAACTGTTGCAGAGCTCGAAAAATTCCCGCTCTTTCCACCAAACCACCCAATCGTCCCTCACCTCCCTGTGGCCCGGACGCAGCTGCTTGAAAACATTTCCATGTTTTCTGAAGACCTCATGGAACACTTGCTCGAGCTTGACTCCTCACCGGATGCATACCTCGGCCTTCCAGCTGAAGCAATCCTCCCGCACCTCCGGAAGGCAATCCTCAAGGGCGAAATCCTCCCCATTGTCTGTGGTTCGGCTCTCAATCATATTGGAACGGAGATCCTAATGGACTATGTTGGCGAACTCTTCCCAAGTCCACTGGATGTTCCTCACGACCCTCAAGGAAAGAACCCACCGGTCCGAGCCTTGGCATGGAAAGTGAATTGGGATGCTAGACGTGGTTGGATGACCTTTGTGCGAGTTTATTCTGGCAAGTTCTCTAGATACTGTACTCCGAAAGGGTGCTAATGTTCCAATACAGGCACCCTTACCAAGCAAAGCGTTCTCCAGAATGCCAGTCGCAATCAACGGGAAAAGGTCTCTAAACTACTTATGCTGTATGCATCGGACGTTGAGGAGGTGGATGAGCTCCCTGTGGGCTCTGTCGGTGTGGTTTTGGGGCTCAGGCATACGCGAACCGGTGATACCCTCGTGTCCTTGGGTGGAAATGCTGAGCAGCGCTCGGTGCTACGCGACATCACTCCCCCGCCAGCTGTTATCTCGACTTCAGTTATCCCTCACTCACACTCGGATCTGGACCCCGTTCAAGCTGCCCTCGACTCTCTCGCGCGAACAGACCCGTCAGTCCGGATCGACACTCAAGAAGGACAGCTACTGGTTCACGCCCTCGGCACCCTCCACCTCGAGATTGTCGAAAACAAACTCCGTGACATTTGGGGCGCCAACTTCGAATTCGGACAGCGGCGTGTCAGCTATCGCGAAGGGTTGGGGGATGGGACACCCAGCGATACCTGGGCCACGTGGTCATCGGATATCGCGGGCAAACCCGTTACAGTGACTCTTCCTCTCGAGATCCGGGCGATGACTGACGAAGAAGTTGGAGATCCCGTGTGGGATGGTAATTGTGTCTTGGGTCCGACTGGTGCCCCATTGCCAGCACCCGAAGCCATTCAATCTCCTCGACTCGCGGGTATCGCCGAAGGAATCGCCAATGCGTTATCTAACTCTCCGCATTCTGGTCTTGCAATGACCAAGGTTTTTGTTCGGATTACAGGACCACCCACTGAAGCATTCCCAGCACCCGTATTGAACGCGGCTACGGTTGCTGTCCTTCGCCAGCGAGTCCGCGATGCGTCCATGGGACCTTTGTTCGAGCCATACGTTCATCTGAAGGTTTCCGTGCCCGAGAAGAGCTTTGGACTAGTAATCAGCGACCTGACGGAGCACGGAGGCGAGGTGCTTGAGCTCGGAGAAGACGCGGCTGCGTTCGATGGTTCTTCCTCCACTCCCTTTTCTGAAGAAGGCTTGTATATCCCACCAGATTGGCTATCGCCTTCCGGAAACAATGCAACCGCTTCGCGTGGACAAGCCGCAACGAAACATGTCATTCATGCATCGGCCCCGCTCAGTCGAATGTTTGATTACTCGAGTCGTCTTCGCGCTATCACAGAAGGCCATGGATCTTTTGAAATGGCCATAGATTGCTTTAGGCAGGTTTCGGAACCTAGAAGGATGGAAATTTTGAAGGAGATTGGAAGGGCATGAAAAACAAACCACAGCTAGAATCCAGTATTCGTTGGTTTGTTGCTACTATTGGAAAGTAAACTACGTTGTATCCTACTAATCACAACTCTTTAATTTCGTCGGCGTCTGCGAACAACACCGCTCCCTCCATCTCGTCGTCATCTCCGACTGCCCCTGGCCGAGAGTCCCCGGCATTGTTGAGGGCCTGGCTGAATGACATCATGTCACCAGATGGATCCGAGTCTGAATCGTCGTCGAAGGCATAGAGGTTGGGTGAATCTACCAAAGCCCGGACATCGTTCTCTTCCTCTTCAGGGAGAAACAAAGGTGTTTCACCCCTCGACTGTCGGACGGGCTGAGGAGGGACGGAAAGCCTCGACTGCTCGGCCAATGCAGCAACTTGGCCTGTCACCTTTCCTTTTCCACCTTTAACAGGGGGCCATGGCTCAACCACGACACAGAGACAGTGGCCCGATATGTTAAAGCCTTGATAAGTCAGCCGAAGCTGTGGTTTTGGCTTCTCTTCCTCTTCATCCACATTGAATGCACTTGTTTTCACTTCTGTTAGAACTGAATTCCTTCTCGGAGGAACGCCGCGACACACCTCTGGTTGAACTCGGGGATTCCGCCCATAGAGTCGTCAGAGTCATCTTCATCTGTCAGGGGAAATCAATATCGACATTTCATAGAGACGAGAGACACTGCGATAGCGTACTAGGAGCATACATATCATCATCGGACTCGGAAATTTCTATTGGGTCGTCCTCATCCATTGCATCGCCTGAATTATGTCCTTGGTCTTTCCGCTGCCGCTTTCTGGTAGAGGTCTCTTTGGCGCTCGATACCTTTCTTTTACCCGCAGCCCTTGTTGCTGAAATCTCGCGCTTGGGGGGTGCCGGGGTTGCAACATATCGACGGTGCTGTTTCACGTTTGATGAGGAGTTGGTAACCGGACAGAATTGGCCATGAAGCAAACCTTTAAAACCAGGGAAAGAGGCTCTATCGGTCGAAAGAAGTAGCAGAATTGGTATGAGTCTGTTAGCATATTGTCATTGGTGGTGTCAAACGTCACTGAGACGAGGCAGTTGCACGAGGGACGCGACGAACCTCCTCTGTGCGTTTCGACAGATGACTTCTTGCCGGATGAACTCCCTCGTATCTGGATATCGGCTTCCGCTTTGAGTTTGGGCAAGATCCTGAGGATCCGCTGAATTCAGTTAGGAGAACTGAGTGACAACACAACGCAGATACTGACAAGGGTCGAAGGTCAGCAATAACATATTGCAGAACTCTATCTGACATCCAATCCAGATGCCGCTCATCTAGGTAAAGCTTTCACGTACTTCAGTGCGCTGCCGCGGAAGAATCGACTGCAATGACTGACATACAGTGGTAGTACGGTTTTCTCCGACATCCGCAGATAATAGCAGTTTCTTGGGCGGAAGGACATTGTGGCACGGAGGCAAACTTATCGCGTCGGTCAATATAGCACGGCACTTTCAATTGAACTTGATCGTCAACTTTTCCCTTTCATTGGCTGCATCCATAGATACATATAATACATTTTTTTTTCTTCTCCCTTCCGTCTATAAGACATGCCCGACGAAATAAAAATAACTAGGGTCCCATGTTCGGCGATGCGACAGAATTAGTTGGAATTGATGTCGACGTCCGGGCCAGAGATCACGACCTTGATAACACCCTTGCCGTCCTCGCTCTTACCGTTTTTCGTGGCATTAAAGGCTGTGATAGCATCTTCAAACTTGTAACTAAATGATAGCTTTAGATGAATGCCCTCGGAATGCGCAATGCAAGAGCTTACCGGTGGGTGACCAGCGGCTTCAAGTCGACCTTTCCAGCAGCAACTAGGTTGATGGCCAAGGGATAGTCACCAGGCTATACGGATTGCCCCATTAGAGGGCGAAGCGCGATCAGACGACAAGTACATACCCCATATCGGAAGGACCCCTTGTAGTTCAATTCCTTGGTAATGAGGACACCAATGTCGATGGTGACATTAGGGTTACCCATACCAACCTGGTTCAAGGGTTAGCCGCAAGCAGCATATCACTCCTCAAGAAATATGCTTACCTGAACGAAGGTACCGCCTGACTTGACAACATGAAGTGCAGTCTGGATAGAAACTTCAGCACCGCTAGCATCGATGACGAGGTCAATGGCGCTTGCACCACGCTCAGCAATGCCAAGGGCCTCCTTCAACGCAGCGGCGTTCCTCCTGCTGTAGTCCACCTTGCTCTCACCCTCCAGAGGTTTGGGAGGCAAGAAGGAGTCGGTGGCAGCGTACTGTTTGGCGAAGTCGAGTCTGGCGGGGACAATATCAATAGCAATGACGCGCGAGGCACCAAGTGCTTTGGCGACAGCCATGCAAAGAAGACCAACGGGTCCACAGCCGAACACGGCGATGGACTGGCCCGCCCTAAAGTTTCCGAGGTTGGCGACTGAGTGGACCCCAACTGAGAGAGGTTCCATCTGTTGTTGAATGAATGAGGAGACAGGAGAAGTTGGAGGACGGCTGGAGCGCTCACCATAGCGCCGTCCTCGAGGGTGACATTGTCAGGAAGAGGGTAAGCCAAATCAGCCGGCAGCTTATAGTAGCGGGCCAAAGTTCCGTCGTAAGGAGGGGTAGCGGCAAAGATGATGTCGGGGCAAAGCTGTTATGTTGCGACAGATCAGGGCAAGTGAAGAGGCAGACAACCATTCACTCACCTCATATTTGCCTAGTTTGCAAGCCTCACAAGCACCTGGTGGGCTTTTGAGAGATGGGATACAGTCAAAGCGACATCTCACTTACGGCAGGTTGCTCCAGGTTCCATCGCCACCCTGTCTCCGACCTTGAGGTGCTTGACCTTGGGGCCAACTGTTGATCATCATTAGCACTGAATACCAGCGTCTCACACAGAGGGAGACGGAGCCGACCCTTGGCAACAACTCCGCTGGATTCATGACCAAGAACCTGTGGTGATGGCAAGTTAGTCTATGTGAATGCGAAATGGAGGATGTAGTTTACCATCGGGCTTTTGACGACAAAGTCGCCGATACGACCTTCCAGCAAGTAGTGAACCTAGCACGAAACTATGTCAGATCCACGGCCTTAAGTTGAATGGATATTGCCTACATCGGAGCCACAGATACCTAGAAAGATGACGGTCAGCGATAAGAGATTGGGTGTTGATAATATCTCGCCTTACCGGTCTTCTTAACAGCAACTAATACTTCGTCTCCCGTAACTAATGGAGAGATTTGTCAAGGGTGGAAGTGAAGCCCAGGAGGGGAAACGCACCCTCAGGAATCGGCCGTTGCTCGAAGACAACGTCGTTGATGCCTTTCAAGACAAAAGATGGGTTATCTGACATGTTGGGAGGGGAAGAAAAGGGCGATTGAGCTTCGACCAGCCCTTCGACCAGTTCAAGACATAAATGCGTCACCGGACCGCAAGACCTTCCTCGGATTGATTTCGGACGGAGATGGCAGCCAATAGCACCCACCCAGCTCCAATCTGTGTCAACTCTGTACCTGGTTTTCTCATACTGCCATCAATTTCGTGGCCCAGCCTGGTAAAAGTCAGCGGCAAAAGGGAACAAGCACGATGTCGGATGGATCCAAGCACCAATCGCTGCCACTCCCCTGAGTCCGACTCGTTAGAGCAAACAAGGATCAACAATGCCGTAGCCGCCGCGGCCGCAACCTGTCGTCCATGGCTTGCTCACCAACGACCAAGTTCTCACTCTGAACTCCTTTCCATTGCTTCAGTCTGGACTACTGTCTCATGTATATGATACAGTTTATCTATTCCAATGGTTGAATTGTGTCACCTTTCGGCTCTGGCAGTGTTTCCCCCCGTATTACCTCACTCTCTGTGCCTCTCTTTATGCCTCGACCTGTCGCAACAGACTCCCTTCCCGAATTCGCTGGGAAATATTTCGCAGACGGTCGCTTCTACTTGGAAGAGAAGCTAGGCTCTGGAGCTTATGGCAAAGTGTATCGTGCTATCGACAGAAGCGAACTAACCTCGACGGGTGCTCCGACCATGCGGGCTATCAAGATTCTCCTACAGTACCCTCTTGGATCTGACAAAGACCGGGTCCAGAAACGAGAGTTCCAAATCCACAGGAGGGTCACCGGTCACGACAATATCGTCTCCATCCATGGCTTCTTCCGCGATCTGGAATTCGTATACGCCGTCATGGACTTCTGTGCTGGAGGGGATCTTTTTGCCGCAATCACAGAGAAGCATTGGTACGAAGACAAGCCCAAAAGGATCAAATCGACTTACCTCCAAATATTGGATGGAGTCCAACACTGTCATAACTTGGGAATCTACCACCGGGACATCAAACCCGAAAACATCCTCTGCTCACAGAATGGTAGCCGTATCCGCTTGGCCGACTTTGGCCTTTCAACGAATAAAACCTTCTCCAACGAGTTTGGTTGCGGAAGCTCCTATTACATGAGCCCAGGTGAGTAGTATGTCGGCTTTGGGTCTTACTTCGCTCGACCTTACGCTGTTAATTTTAGAATGCATAGGCACAAGTAGGGAGAATGGTCGCCATGCTTATTCTACACCTCATAACGACATATGGTCCCTCGGGGTGATCCTAACCAATATGGCGACTGGCCGCAACCCTTGGCGGTATGCAACGGTTAACGACGACTGCTTCAGAGCCTTTTACAAGGATAACGACTTCCTCCTCACCGTACTCCCCATTTCCACGGAATTGAACAGCATCCTCAAGTCCATATTCGTGCTCGACTGGCGCGAGCGTATCCCGCTTCCACAACTCCGACAGCGTATGGTCGAACTGGGCAAAGTGTTCCAGAACCAAACTACCCCCCTCCAGCAAGAAAGTTTACCTATTGCCTCCATCCAATCCGAGGGTCCGACACTCGTAGAGACTATACCTCCCGCGAAAGCAAACAGTCGAGATTCCCGCCAGGCCTCGCCTGAAAACAAACCCCTCGACGACCCTTCGGTGGCAAATGTCGGCAATGCAGACAGTGGCTCCCCAGTCCGGAGCAAGCGTTCGCGTCAGTTGCGCCCCCAGGTCTCGTCCGATCCCCCACCGTCGGGCGCGCTTGACCCGTCGCTGGCTCCGCCTTCTGAATCATCGGGATCCAGCTGTTCTGATCGCAGCAAAGGACCGAAAACTCCTGCGTCGGCCATAAAGCCAGCCAACGACGTCGTCGAAATTCCTGGAGAAGTTCCCGACTTAAGGCTGGACAACCCGGCCAACCCAATCGTTCAGGAAGAAATACAGCCTTTTGGATCACCCGGTGGAGAGAAAGCAAAGCGCAGTTTGAAGAAAAGCAACCTCTTCCGCACATTGCAGCGCTTCAGAGTGGGGCAGCCCGAGTCCTCGAACCCAGAATAGTCGAGGGTGAGTAAGGAAGGTTTACTTCTCCTCGGTGCAGTAAATTAATTATCGATCCAGTGGCTGCATGGGTTGTTTGGTTAAAGTAGCGAGGTTGTACGACTTTGCGGAACCAATGTCATGTCGGGGATCTGATTGGTTGAAATGTAATGGAAGAGCGTATGATAAAGGCCTCGGCCGATATTGAGTGAGTGATGAGTTTGAGGCGGGACGATCGAATCATCGATGAATCGATTATCAGAAAGTGGCACGTGAACTAGCGTCTTAAAGTCGCCATTCTCTCCATTTTAAAAGGCAACGCATCTTCTTTCCAGTCATCCACATTCCCCCCACTTTTTTCAAAAATGGTTGCCTCCAGTGTTCTCGGTTTCCCTCGTATCGGTGAGTCCATCGTGCCCATCGATGAGCTCGATATCTAATCTCCATCTCCAGGTGCCAACCGTGAGATCAAAAAGGCCGTTGAGGCTTATTGGGCTGGCAAGATCACTGCCGATGAGCTCACCAAGGCTGCCGCCGATGTCAAAAAGGCTAGCTGGGCCAGCGTTAAGGAGCGTGGTGTTGATCTCGTTCCTAGGTGTGTGTCTCGTGGTGATCGCTGTCGTGTTATCTCCGTCTAACCGCGTCCCGTCTCAGCGGCGAGTTCTCGCTATACGACCACGTCCTCGACCACTCTGCTGCCTTCAACGTCATCCCCAAGCGCTATCAGGGCCTCGGTCTCTCCCCTCTCGATGTCTACTTCGCGATGGGCCGTGGTCGCCAGAGCGATGGCGTTGACGTCCCCGCCTCCGAGATGAAGAAGTGGTATGTTTATCCGCCCGATCGTACTTGATCCGCATCGTCTCACATTGGTTGGCACAGGTTCGACTCCAACTACCATTTCGTCGTCCCTGAGTTCTCCGATGAGACCGACTTCAAGCTCAACTTCAACAAGGCTGTTGAGGAATTCAAGGAGGCTCAGTCCCATGGCATCACCACTCGCCCCGTTGTTCTTGGCCCAGTCTCCTTCCTCGTCCTCGGGAAGCCCGGAAAGGAGGCCAAGCCCGGATTCCAACCTATCAGCCTCCTCCCCAAGCTCCTTCCTCTCTATAAGGCCCTCCTTGCTGACTTGAAGGCTGCTGGTGCCGAGTGGGTTCAGGTTGACGAACCCATCCTCGTTCTCGACACCGCTGCCGGCCTGGAGAAGGAGTTCACGACCGCCTACACTGAGCTCGCCCCCGTTGCTCCCAAGATCATGCTTACCACCTACTTCTCTCGCCTCGACAGTAACTTGAACTACATCGCCAAGCTGCCGGTTGCCGGTCTTCATATTGATCTTGACCGTGCCCCTGAACAATTGGGCGAGGTCCTCGCTGCCATCAAGCCCACCCCGATCATCCTCTCCTTGGGTCTTGTCTCTGGACGTAACATCTGGAAGACCGATTTCGCCGTCGCCGTCAAGCTCGGTCAACAGGCCATCGACGCCGTCGGTGCTGACAGAGTCATCGTCGCCACCTCATCCTCCCTCCTCCACACTCCCGTCACCCTCGCCTCCGAGACCAAGTTGACTGATGAGCAGAAGGATTGGTTCTCCTTCGCCCTCGAGAAGGCCAGTGAAGTGTCTACCATCGCTGCTGTCCTTTCTGGCTCGCAAGACGCTGCCGTTGCTGCCGCTTTGGAAGCCAACAAGGTCTCCATCGCCAAGCGACGTGCCTTCGAGCAGAACTCTGATGACACCGTTCGCAAGCGCGTCGCTGCCATCACTCCCGACATGCTCGACCGCAAGAGTCCCTTCTCCGTTCGCAAGGAGATCCAGGCTAAGCACCTCAACCTCCCCAAGTTCCCCACCACTACCATTGGTTCCTTCCCTGTACGTGCCAGTTCTTCCTAAGCGGTGGAAGTCCATCTGACACACTTTTCTCTAGCAAACCAAGGAGATCCGTCAAGCCCGTGCTAAGCTCGGCAAGAAGGAGATCACTGAAGCGGAGTATGAGGAGTTCATCAAGAAGGAGATCGAGAACGTTGTCCGCTTCCAAGAGCGCATTGGCCTTGATTTGCTCGTCCATGGCGAACCCGAGCGTAACGACATGGTCCAATACTTCGGTGAACAGCTCAACGGCTTCGTCTTCACCCAGAATGCTTGGGTCCAGAGCTACGGTTCTCGGTATGTTGCTTACCAACCCCGTCGTCGATATTTTATATATATCGTCTTTCAACAGCTATGTCCGACCTCCCATCATTGTCTCTGACGTCTCCCGCCCCGGCCCCATGACCGTCAAGTGGAGCAGCTATGCTCAGAGCCTTACCAAGCTCCCCATGAAGGGTATGTTGACCGGACCCGTCACCATCCTCAACTGGTCCTTCCCTCGTGCCGATGTCTCTCGTGAACTGCAATCCAAGCAACTCGCTCTTGCCCTTCGCGACGAGGTTATCGACCTCGAGAATGCTGGCATCAGCGCCATTCAAGTCGACGAACCGGCCATCCGTGAAGGAGTACGTTTTTGACCTTGTGTTATGACTTCAATTCCTGACAACATGGCGCAGTTACCTCTCCGTCGCGGGGACTGGGACGCCTACTTGAAGTGGGCTGTCGATTCATTCAAGCTCGCCACCGCCGGCGTCACCGACAAGCTCCAGACCCACTCTCACTTCTGCTACTCCGACTTCGACGACATCTTCCCCTCCATCCAACGCCTTGACGCTGACGTCATCTCCATCGAGGCCTCCAAGAGCGACATGAAGCTTCTCAACACCTTCAAGCAGTATGGATATTCCAACCAGATCGGCCCTGGTGTTTACGACATCCACTCTCCTCGTGTCCCTGGCGACCAAGAGATCAAGGACCGTCTCAAGGCCATGCTCGGGATCCTCCCCGACACTCTTCTCTTTGTCAACCCTGACTGTGGCTTGAAGACTCGTGGCTGGAAGGAAACTGAGGGTTAGTCTCCACAACATTCTACCATGTTTGCCGAACCTTGACTGAATTTCCGATCCAGCTTCTCTCGTCAACCTCGTCGAGGCTGCCAAGTGGGCTCGTCAGATCTACGCTTAAACGGCCCTTCCTTCCGCTTCAACAGCGTTCGCAGATTTGGTTAACTTATAACGAGATGGCTTCGTCTGATCGTTTGGTTTTGACCTTGCGGTAGTTGTGGCGCGATCTGCTGGCGGCGCCTCGTGCGCCAATTTTAGGCCAGCACTCAGTAGATGCTACTATGTGGGCCCGCGGAGTGCTTCAAATTTGGGAGGCAGGAACTTTGCGTGTGTGCTGTAGTGGTATTTGGATTTCAACAATCCCGGCTTTGCATCTGTATATAATCATGAAAAGACAAACGGGTATTGGTTTTGTGTTGCGCATACATTCTTATCACCATTGTGAATGGCATGCAATGAGACCTATGTTAAGTATTTAAATAAATAATGAACAGTCGGTCAAGTCACAAAGACCGTACAGACAGGTTCGATGTAATTCTCTGGGTTGTCCTTCCTATCTAATTCTCGCTAGTGCTACCGACCATCCGTCAACCACGAATAATAGCTGAGGCGGTGGTTGCTTTTTCAGTCGAGCTCGCTCTTCAGAGCACGACTCTTCCTTAGTGAAGCTTTTCGCGGGCCAGCCATCATTAGCCATGGCGAACATGATTCCCCAGCACCACGAAGATAAGTCCCTCAGTGGGCTGGGTGAATCCTGTGCCTGGGCTATGGGTCCTAACAGCTTGGCCGGCGTTCGACACCTAGCCGTCCGAGACGACTACGCTACGAAGGCCGAGTCGGCGAAAATCAATGCCAACGGCAAGCTACCGTGGAGACTGCCACAGCACCAGGTGAGGCCCCCAAACGACCTCTCCCTCGATCATCCAAGACCTCGATGAAGAGGTGGGGGAACAAGGGAGATGCCGATCAGATTCGCAAATCCTGTAGAAGCAGCCTAGTTGAAACCGAACCACTTCTTGATGGAGGACTTGGTGGAAGTGGTCGAAGAGGATGTCCTGGAAGAAGAAACGGAGGACATGGAGCCTTTGCTGCTCAATGTACGGGTGTTGGCAGTGTTGAAGGACCTGGATGGGCGCATCACATTGCCAAACTCGTTACACATGAGGTGGGTGTCACGAGGATTGGAAGTGGAACCGAAGAGACTGAAGCCACCTGGAGAGCAGGTAGAAGAGGGGAAAAGTCCGTAAGAGGACGACGAAGTCGAGAAGGACATGGTGATGATATCCGTGGTTGGTAGCAACAGGTGGAAGGGAAAAGGTGTAAATGGGAACGGGAATCCGAGCGACTAGTCAAAGTGCTTGATTCGGGCGAAGAAGAAAGAAGAAAGTGGGTTGATGAAGGTGGTGTGAAGTCGATATGGTGAGCAACTCCTCGAAGGAAGGCAGGTGCTGGGGAATCAGCTCTGGGTCTCCCGCCGTATTTATGGACTCCTAAACAATGCTTCCTTATTGACTCCTCAATTTTTGGCAATGTCCAGCCCAAACCCGCTCGACCTTGCCATTAATGGCAGGTGTCGGAACACCAAGCACCGACAAACTCTCACGTTCTTGACGACGCCTATTGACTCCATAGCAACGGCCGCACCAAGCCTCGACAAATAAAAACTTTTCTTTGCCAAATCAGTTACGTACATGTGCCAAACATTCTACCCGAGATCTACTTCTCGCCCGGTTGTTTGAACCTTCGCAATGCTCTTTCGCGACCTTCTTTGTGTTCAATGATTGGTAGAGGATATCCAAGATTATTTGCGATGGATGAGGTGGGATTGTGAAGGTCTAAACCGCATTTAAGAGATTAGACAACTGAAAAGGTTCCCGACCTACCTAGCCCTCTCAAGTTGCGCAACTCTGGCACCCAGTGACGAATAAAATCGCCTGTAGGATCAGCCTATGAAATAGCATTACATTAGTCGGGTGGTCAGGGATGAGCCTCACTTGCACCTTCAAGCTCTGAGTATGCGGGTTGAAGATCCGGAAATACGGGCATGGGTCTACTCCGGTGCTCGCGCTCCATTGCCAGCCTCCGTTGTTGGACGCCAGGTCCCCATCGACCAGCGTCTGCATGAAGTACTACAGGGAGAATAAGTGTCTTGTACATTGTCTCCGCTAAAGACGTACCCGTTCTCCGACACGCCAGTCAATCATGAGATGTTTCGTGAGGTACATGGCGACAATCATCCTCATCCGATTATGCACCCAGCCCATTTTGTTCAGACAGCGCATGGCCGCGTCGACTATTGGAACTCCAGTCGTTCCTCGCTTCCACCTGAAGAGTGCTTCAGCATCCATCTCGGTACCAGCTGGGTCCTTGGAGTTGGCAGGGGCTTGATGGTTCTCCCAGATGATTCCCGAGTACTTTTCGAGGAAAGGGCGGCCCATCGAGATACGAGGGTAAGATGCCAGAACATCTGTATAGAAATCTCGCCACGCTAGCTCGGAGATGAACCTTCCCGCTCCCGTCTTCGAATCAGTATTCAATTGTTGAGCTCCAGTGACCTTCAAAATAGCACGTAGCACCTCTCGAATGGAGATCACTCCAGAAGAGAGGTAAGGACTGGTAGAAAGTTAACATCATATACATTGCGAGATGGGCGCGTCCAACCTCAAGCGACTGGTCGTATCTTTGTCTGCACGGTCCCGGTCGGTGTGGTACTTGGAGATCCGATTGTGTTTGACGTCGTAAGTTACTCCTTCGTTGAGAGGACCTCGGGCCTCCAGTTGAGATGCGCGCGCTTTCGTCTGTAGGAATCGTTGCAAGATCTATAAGACAACAGTGAGGCTGACATCGAGGTTAATGACATGGACGCTGAGTTGATCTCCGGTACCTGTGAAGCCGCATCCTCTCCCTCTGGCCAAAGTTCTCTCATGATCATGGAATCTTCAGGGTCCAACACAAACCCTTCCACATATGAAGGGATCTCAGACAGGAACAAAGGGCCAATTTTTGGACAACTCCGGACTGCCGCGCCGTTCGGAGCAGGATCTTGAGCTTCTTCCAGGTAATCAGAAAGGTGGCTGTTGACAATCGACACCCACTGCCTGGCATAGGGCGAGTATACCTGTGGAAGGGGGTTGGTTCCACTCTGTTGAGGTGAAAACACAACTTACAGCATATCCCTTTCCGCCTTTTGACTGAATGATCCCCGGTTCGACTACTGACTTGTTGTGGTACAGGCTGACCTGCTTGGAAATCTCCCGAGCTTTACTGCATAATTCGATGTCCCGCCTGAGTTCGTCCACTTCATATTCAATGTTGGCGAAAACGTGATTGCAGCCGATGGAATCGAGGAAGATGATGACCTCAGAGACGACGGTTTTCCTCCTTGGCAAAGTGGCAACGTGGAGAGGAATGTGAAGCTCTGCCAGTCGACACTGAAAAGTGGAGAGTCGCTTTTTATTTTTATTTATCATCGCGGTAGTCATCGGTAATCGCACCTTTATGGACACCAGGTTACGAAGTGTGAAATCGATTTTTCGGGAACTTCTGTCGTGCGCCACGAAGTCTTGAGGGCTAACCACGAACAAGGCTACCAATGGAACCCCGTCACTGGCGGCTTGCTGTGACGCTCGAGCGAGTGCTCTGTTGTCCTTGACTGATAGATGTCAGCGTCTCGGAAGAGTGACCTAGTCTCGGAGTCCTACCACGGAGGTCTGTCATTCGCATCCAGAAAACGACACAGTCACTCTTTAATGGGGTGCTAACAGTATTTCTCATGGCGAGTAATAGCTGCTGGAAAGGAGGATTGAGATCAGCAGTGTCTGCATTCTGTTTCGATGCGACCTTAATTGGAGAAAAAGCAGGTGGTGCCGATACAACTTTGAGCTTTTTACTACTCGTACTAGTAGATTTGCAGGACGAATCTGTTCGCTCGTGCTTGGGCATGGTAGATAATCGGTGATAGATGCCTATAAGAGCGGGGGTCGAAAGTCGGGGAATGGTGAAGAGAACATGGCGCATGTTGCAGTATTCCACTTTATTTGAAACACCTTGTCTCGATTGTCACGTCGCGCACTTCCGTGGATCGAACCTAAGTCCGATTTGGGCCCGGTGATCGAGGCCTCATCGATCACGCGTCGCCGCCGTCTTGTTCAAGCTCACGTTTCTTCCGTGCCTCCGCCTCTTCACGTTCCTCCGCTTCCACTACTTCGATATCCAACGGGAACGTCAGGATAGCCGCGATACCCGTGAGTTGGTTTAATTCTGTGTCGTCGAATGTCAACCGATATGCATTTTTGCGATTGAAAAACAAAAATAAAAACGTACGCTGCCCTGATTCGTGCATACTCGAGAAGATCACTACTTCTCCTCCCTTCGCTTGGACTGCCTCAACAACCTCAACATATTTCTTCCGGGTAGCTGGATCACTTGATCTGTTTTTGGAGTCAGAGGATAGTTTGTCTGGTGGATGAAGCAGAACCCACCGGAAGAGATTGTCAGAAATGAGAAGCGTCCCTATCGCCCCTCTGTCCGCTGCAAGGCAAACATGGTCAGGACCATACCAAGCCCTCATTTCGTCAGTTCCCAGCATCTTGTGGAACCTATCAGGGAGTCAGCGCGTCACACACTGAAGGTGAAACGACGTACTTGTCAAGAGTAATGCCCTCCCTAGAGAATTTTGCCTCCTTTAGTTGGGCTGCAACCTGCTCTCTTTCAGCAACTGGTTGGCGACACGAAGAATAAACAAACCGTAGGATTCTTCAAGACCTCCACTAAGCTGTGCACATGGGGACTGGTCACATGTACTTTGACAAGCTTCTCTTTCAATGCCCTCTGAAGTGGTTTGTCACCGCGCTTCGAGGCTTCTGCGTTCAAATGGTCGGCGACTGCGTCCCGTACCCATCCCGGGCTAGCAATGATGATGGCTTTAAGGTCGGGGTTGGCGTAGGGAACATGGCGGATAAACGAGTCATAGAGTGTGCTGTAGAATTTTCCAAGACCTTTCTCGTGCTGTGAGGTTCCGGAAGTAGCAGCCTTCCTTGGAATCGAGACGGCTATTCGGTGCGTGACCACGGTCATATGTTGGGACAGAAGGCAGAATGCCGCTGTTCCTTCCCCACATACAACGGCTGCGACCTCGGCTCCGCGTCCAGGTACAATTGCCTCTTCTACCCGGGCTCTTGCAACGCTGTCCCATCCTTCAGACTTTTCAATGCGGACGTCCCGGTTGGGTTCGATGTCGAGAGTGTGGAATGCTCCCATTCGAACATACTGGTTTTCCGAAATTACCGGGCCGGATATGTGCAGAGAGGCGTTAGGAACGCTGCCCCCAGCACTATTCTCTGAGCCATCTTGTCCGCTCGATGCAGGTGAGAACTCTACCCGAGAGACCTGGATTGTCAGGGTTGTTCGAACACGGTGCGACTCGGTCGACCCAGTGGAGGAAACATTCTGAACTCGTCTGTAGGACAGTCGTCATGAATCTGGTGATGTCTCTGACAAGGGAGCACGTACCTGAGCGCCGTTGCTCTAACAGCATCTCCTTCGGATATAAGGTTGTAGAGATGCCACATATCTTCGTTGTCCTCAGGCCGCAGGGTAACATGTCCCTAGAAAGACCCCAATCAGGACCAAAGCCGAGTTGTGCAGGCAGGCGTTGCTGACCGCCCCGTTTTTGTCAAACCACCGGTTGACTAGTTTCATCGTCAAATGTGGTGCGATATCCAAGAAGATGACAGTTGGGGAGCAAAAAGGTATCAAGTGAGAACGCGAGCGTCGGGCCTCGGCATTGCTTGTTATCTCACTCTCCCAGGATCATTTAGTCGCTGATCCCGCGACAGGCGTACTTTGGTTTCTTCCCCTTCCCTAGCCAGCAATGTCCAGGCAAGTTCCCTGTCAACTCATAAATACGATATCGATTAAACTCTCGTTTAGCTCAAAGGCCGCTACTCTAGCATCTCGTCTCGTTCAACCCAACAATCCAGGGGGCAGGGGACGACACGACAGTGACGAGGAAGATGACGATGAAGCCATCTTTGCTGAACTCGAGGAAGAGATCGAAAATGACTCGAGCGCTTCAGTACGAGAACACGCAATGAGCCTCTTGAAGAGAGAGTGAGGTGCTTCTCCATTCCTTATATTCTCGCTGACCCGGAGCTGATATTGCTCCAGGATGGATCGCGTACGGCAGCTGCAAGAAAGCAATCACGGTCAGTACACGGAAGTCACGGATGAGAAAGAGGTTATCCGTATTACATCGTGAGTTCGTTGTCGTCTCTCGAGTTCAGTATGCTCATACTTCACAGCCGGGAGAAGCGGTGTGTAGTGCATTTCTACCACTCGAACTTCAAAAGATGTGAGATCATGGACAAGCACCTAGCTGTTGGTTATCCCACTCCGTCCCTAAATTATTGGCATTGAAATTGGTCCAGAAAATAGCGCCCAAATATTTCAACACCCTCTTCTTCCGAGTGTTTGTCGAGAACATCCCATGGCTGGTGGAAAAGCTGGCGATCAAGGTCCTTCCGTGTGTGATCTGCTTCGTAGACGGGGTCACAAAGGACAGGTAAGTCTTTAACGTTGTAAAGAACTAGGACGTCTCCGACACTTCTGGGCCGCATCCAGGTTAATTGGTTTCGAGGAGCTCGGTAACAACGACAGCTTCGACACTGCAACCCTTGAACTCCGTTTAAAGACATCTGGTCAATGAAATCTGGTGCACCTCCTGTTCACATTCTGATGTTTTCCTTTCACAGGTGTTTTACAAGGTGCCAACCCAAATCGTCTCGATCCTGTATTCCGGGTTTCCTCGCAGAAGAAAGATGACGATGATGACGAATTCGACCTGTAACACATTATTATCAAGATCGCGCATCTACCACTACATACAGACATTACGATAATCCTAGCGCTTTTCGTATGGAATCGGCGAGATGATAGTCGTCGGTATCGCCGTGAATATCAAACATATTCACTCCAAGCATTCCAGCTTCCTTTGCGAATCTGGATTTAAGAGCCAGTGATTCCGGGTCGTCGTAAGTAATTATCTGTCCTGCAGAAGCGGACCGAAGAAAAGGTGTCTCCGAGCAGAAGTCCCATCGCCGTTCAAATCCACCGCTAGCTAAAAACCTGGGGTAAGTCTCGTTTGAGGATGATGGCGCTAAAACGAGCGCCCCTTGTTTCACCAAGTCGCGAAATTGTATCTGTTCCTCGTCATCAACAACTTCGATTGGACGTCCAGGCGATGGTGAACCAGGGGGCGAAACAGAACCTTGGTCATCGTTGTCGTCCCCATCAGGCCAGTCTCCTTTGCCATCATTTCCATTTCGTGAATGACCACTCCAACCAGTGTGGCCATCGGCACCTCCCCAATGTTCATCCCAACCATCGTCCGAATCCTGGAGCCCCCAGTGACCGTGGCCAAAGTGGTCCGGACTGTGTCTATAACCTCCATATGCAAGTCGGGGACGGCCACCATCATCCTCGCCGTACCAGCGATTCCTCAGCCGCTGAGCAACCGACCTTTGCACGTACCCGTAAGCTGGTACCCCCAGGACGAGTTTGGAAGCGGGAAATCCCGACTTGGTCCAAGACCTGTAACTAGAAAGAGCGCTGGCTTCCGGCTGGGTTGAATTGCCGCAAGCATCGTACAGGGGGGCATTTGGGCCAGGAGAAGTGGATGCTACAGAAAGATAGGCGATCATCATCATCAAGCGAATCGCGGATATCTAAGCACACTTACAGCCCCAGGTATCGTAATTCATGATCAGCACCCAATCCAGTACAGAAGCGAACGGTGAAGAATCAGAGAGTGGTTCTCCGTTTTGATCTGTGAAAGGAAAGGTTTGGGCGGCGACAGTGATGCGGGCCGAGGGGGGGAGGGTGTCTCGTAGAAGTATCAGGAAGTCCAGGAAGTTTAGGGTATCACTGTGATCGTAGATGTTGCCTCTGTTGCCTTCGTGCCCGGGATATTCCCAGTCTAAGTCGATTCCGTCAAGATTATACCGAGAATATACAGACAGGATGTTGCTGGCGAACAGCTGACGACTTTGCGAGGTGGATACGGCGGTCGAGAAGTACCTGGAGGAGTGTAAGGTTAGTGCGAATCCTCATCATACGGAGTTGACAAGGAACAGCTCATTAAACCTACTTGCTACCTGTCCATCCACCGATACTGAGTTTCACCTTGCACCGTGAGAGATGCGCACTAGTTACCAATCTCGTCAGGACGTTCGGTGCATCGTCGCTATCCCATTCTAAGCCAAATTCGGCAGTGGGTACGGCAAACGCAAAATCGATCCAGTCGTATCTCCCGTAGTCCAGTGATTCAGGGGGGAAGGTGTCCGCTGCCCAATCTGGGTAGTAACCCATGAATAGAGGCAGTGGGTTGCTCGGAGTATCCGTTGCCTGAGCACCAGATCCAGTGATGCTGTCAGATCTTTGAGTGCCGCTGCCAGGATGAGGAAGAATCTTCAATGAATCTCCCTGAATGACTACTGGCAGATCGGGACGTCCAGGCGCGGTGCTACGCTGATGAGCTGCAGTAAACGTAACTGGTGATAAGGACGTCGACGTCGGTGAATCTAAGCCAGAAGTCGATATGATGCTTGGAGCTGGAGACGACGACAAAGGATGAAAAGGAGGTTCGATACGGAAGGGTATCTCAGCGCGGCGGCGGTGTTTCTTGCCAGAGGGAGGGTGATCTGCGAACGAACTTGTCGCGACCAGCGCAAAGGAGAGAAATAACCATAGAGCCGTCCCCATGTTTGGGGTTATGCGGGATGTAGCTTGTCGCTCTGCTGTCGTCTCTGCCACATAGCAGCCACCGTCTTCTGAACGACATCATCCAGACAGTCCCATTAGAAATCCGACCAGCCCATAGGTGCGTCAGTCAGCACGCGTCGAATAGCCCCATGCTGGACATTTCTCGTTCTCTGAGTCCCGTCACTAAAAGCAGAAGACCCGGGCGATGACAAAATTAGCAGGTGAAAGAGAAGGCAGAGAGGCTCGGCGAGTCACATACGATAGGTCGGTAATTGAAATTCCTTGCAAACACCGGCGTACCTAATGCCAAGTTTTGGGCGATCTCGTTATCTCACACCTGACTGTCCCTCGAGGAAAGCCATTCTGAAACAGGACCGGCCACTGGCTGGCGGCTACCGTCATGAGCAACCTTCTTGCGGCACATCGAGAAAGTTAGAACAGCCCTTTGGAGAAATATTCCCCCAATAACTATCTCGCCCTGGGTCGACATTTCCCTCGCTGTGTCTTTCTCGATGATCGCAAAAGGCTCAAGACAAATTCCATGAATACCACTTCATTCCGCTGCCGACGCTCTTCAAATGCCCCTCATTCCTATCCCATATGCCTCAAGCTTTCATGATTGCCTGAGGAGAATTCACTCGGCTCCGCGCGAAACGGTTTCATCTGGGGCCCCTTCTCTGCGCCTTCTGGAATATGAAAAGAGAACTCCCGTTTAATGGCCATCATAAACAGGGAGGCAATCAGAGCTTGGAAGGTTAACTCTAGGGTCAGTGGAGTACTGCCAGTGGGCTTCTGGCTCTGAAGTCTACTCCTTCGAGGTGAGTCTGATTTGGCCTAGCATACTTTCGTTTGACGCGTCTTTTCATTGCCATTCAATTTCGCTGCGCACTTTGACTCCCCGTCGAAGGGGCCCAGAGGGTGTATTCGAATTTCGTCTTCTATACAGGAATGAATATCCTAGTGTGGGATGCCGAATCCGTTACCTGGGAGGACCGGTTCGATAGGCTTTTGCTTTGGTGCTTCCGGGTTCATAACGCCTGTAGTCATAGGAGTTTTGCGGGAGTCGATGGTTACCGTGGTTGTGTAGTCTCTAGCTCTTCGGGGCCATGTATCAACTTTGAGGTTAACTCTATTCAACAGGTAACACTAGTGGAAGTTCTTTCCCGCTCTGCGCACCGACGCACTCTCAATGTTTTAGTTGCCCTTTCGAACCTTGGTCTGTCGTTGGTTAGTCAATGGTAGAACAGAGTAAAGTACTTGGTACGCGGCTCTGGCGTATATCTGGCGTTGCTGCGCGTTATGAATATCTTGAAGGGGCCACAACAACTTACGGCTTCTGGAATGGACCCATGTCCCAAGTACTAGATAGCCTCCTTTCCAATTTGACTTCTATGAACGAAACCTCTCACCTTTCCTTTCAATCTATAAGTTCAAAGCCAATTGCTCGTGATGAATTCATCTTGCTTCTTGCCTTGTCATGCTTCATGCCCTTCTTTCATTCGATTGATATGCCACTAGAATAGGAAAGTGCAAGGAGAGGCGGGAGGTAGGAGAAGGGGCGCGACCGAATAGTTGCATCGCCCATGCCTCGTTTTTACCTCTTCCATCTATCATCCATATATATTAGTTGTTGAATTCTGCACGTTTGTAATATAGGGTCTCCTTTGGTGGTAAGCAGGATCAATGGACTCGGTCAGATCCAAATAACGCCTGGGATGAAAAGCATGGAATGTAATATACACGAGAGGCCCGAATGTTTAGGGTTTTCAGCCGTTCGAGTCAGGGGAGATGAGAGTGTCTATGTATAGGCCACGAGGCTGTACCGAGTTAAGTCGGGTGTCAAAATTCAATTCCATATTCTGGGTTTTCCAGAATCATGTACGCTGAACAGTGGGCGCTAAATGTCAGAAAAAGGCTCTACGAGCTTTGACGTCGGAGCATGTATGTCTCAAGTATACAACTCCGTGCCACTGGGAATGGAGCGCAGGCTTAAAGGCGAACACGACTGTATACTGTATGTAGTTGCGTCGTCCGCTGATTAACTCTCACCGCGCAGGTCCATGTATAACTCCACGGGCGCAACACGCCGCTGTCACGAATGATTGACGGGATACCCTCATAATCGAGTCAATTCCCTTCGCCTGACATGGTGATCTTACCGGATTCAACTGGGCGCTCTGCACATTCGAAGTGATTGCTTTCCTACAGCTCTTAAGACTTGAGCATTCCTTCCAGCCCTACTCGCCTCGCGAGGAGAGCGATGTATGACGTCGGTGGGTACAAGGATTGATTGCCCCTAACACACCAATTAATCAGGGTGAAGAGACTGAAACCGAGAACAATATTTGAGTCGTGTGCCAGCTGCAGCGCTCATTTGGAATTAGCCTGAATTAGCGTCAGCTTGGCCATTTTTGGTGGATGTCGGTACCTGAAAGAAGCCTCGGCCAGTTGACAAGTGTGCTTCAAGTTGCACTGCCTCTGGTCTTACATTCTCCCCGAGAAATTGTGCCGATTTGGAATCACAAGACTGGAAGGAGCTCTGGATTGGAGATGTCAGGATGTTCAGGTGTGGCCTAACGGCAAGTACTTGGAGGAGACGGCCACAGACTCGATTGGGTCGATGGATGCTACGTTGGAGAGGTATAGAACTGGTGAATCTATTAACCTGGCACACAGTACACAAAACGCGATTCCAACCCACGAATGGTCCGCGGAGTAGCAGTAGAGTGCAAACCGAATTTCAGAATATTACACACCGGTGTTCGCGTGCGCTGAGCGCCAGGGTCGACGGAAGATGGAGCCGACGCTTGCGTGGAATCGTCATTGCTGAAGCCATCGTTTTCTAAAGACGACCCTGGGGCGGAAATGTGCCGATGACGCAGAGCAAGAGGGGGATCGCAGAGCGGGGTCGATTGGGAAACGAGTAAGTATTCAGGCCAGAAATTGTGCAACGTCCTTACAAGAGTTGGCGTCTGGTCCGACCGAAAGGAAGATGGATTAAGATGTGACCTGGTCAACATGGGCCTGTGCTCCGGTCTTCACGACAATGCATTGTTATCCCGATAAGGGCTATATATGTAGGCACTCTTTACAAGAAGTCCAAGTTTCGCCCCGTCCCACGGCAATGATACATGAAGCTTCATGAAGATGGCGGATCCCCCAGCGACATCGTATCCTTTCCTGTCGGCATTCGTCACGTACCCAATTAAGCGAGACTGAAGTGCGCGATTGTTTACTCGAATAAACATCGCAACTCCGACAAGTTAGGTCTGCGAAAAGCGCGCACGGTAGAGGATTATTACTGTAAACCGAACGAGGTGGGTGAAGCCTGAGGGAATTGGATTTGGGATTCATGCATCAACAATCAACGATAGGACACACCGCGTCGTATGTAGATAGGACATGATACTTACCAGGTGGACAGAGGATTGATGATGGTATGGTTACAGGCGCCTCGCTGAGCTCAGTTCAGATTTGTCCTTGTGTGCGCAACAACGATTTATTAGATACATAGAAGCGGATTGCAACGAAACTTACACGGTCGTCAGGAAATATAAAGCTACTCCAGAGTACAAAGATAGACTCCTGGGCAGACTCACACTATGTATATACTGTTGTTTTTCGACTTGTACGAAGTTGTGTGAGTTTGTGGACGAGATCTGGCAGAATGTTCCGAAAAAGGATGAATGAATCGGAAACAGCCACTGGATCGGGGTGATCGATCGTCGGCGTTTGCCAAACTTGGATTAACGAGGCGACTCGTAGAACTGGCTACAGGTTTCTCTTTTCCAGCAGGATCAGTGGAGAGGAGGGGAATTAATTGTGTGAGAATCGAAGGAGATGAGGAGGTAGGAAGATAGACAGCGGGAGATTGAAGGAGCGACAGTGGGTTGAGAGGAAACAAAGGAAGGGTCGGGCGGGAGCGAGGCAGGCGGGTTGACAATTGAAGCCGAGGACGTAACTAGAGATCTGGGATCGCGTTTTGAACTGTAACCGTATATAAGTAATAACGACTTGTTGGCGTTGAAAAAAGTCATTCAATTTTTTCCCTCCTGCACCATGTCCTTCTACAACAGAGCCGAGTCCCCACCACCCAGGCAACCCTCGCCTGAGCCTGTCTACAGCCCGCTTCCCTCGCCGCACATGCGAGCCAGAGACCGTCTCCGTCACAGAAACAGTTCTCCGCTTGTCCCACCAGGCCTCGCTCCTCCCCGCACCCTTGTCCAATCAAAATCCTGCGACCACCTCCGTGCAGACGCTGAGACCTCTCGTCGAGCTTCCCTACGCGTGACTGAACCCAAGTCCCTCCGACGTCGTGTGCGCTCCAACCTCGAGCCAGCCAAATTTGCCCCATTTGATTCTGCACCGACAAGCAGCCAATCGTCGTACGCGAGTACCCCGGTGAACTCTCCAAGTCGCCCCCAGCGACGGACAATTTCCCTGGCTGTTCCCCCGTCACCATCCGCAAGCCCAAGTATCCCGCCAGTGCCTCCCCTCCCCGACTCTGCGCGTTCGTCTCCATTGTTCAAGGCATCTGCAAAGGATTCGGCAGCTCATGTCACTCCCATTTATTTGCCAGATCTCCAAGAACTCTCTCCGGCTTCCCAACGCACTGCAGAAAAAAAGCCGTCGAAACGCCCAAGCCTCATCTCCCTCACTGGCCTCTCCAGTTCCAAATCATCAAGTTCACCTTCCCCCACGGAGAAGTCGAGCAGGAATATCGGCATGACTTGCCTCAAATTTTTCTCACTTCACAAGTCAAGCTCGCGTAGCTTCCTGCGACCTGGGGCCACATCGTCCCAGTGATTTGGTCCTTCACCGGTCGGCTTACAGGCGAGCGAACGCCCGTCCCAAAAACTTGGCCAGACTCCACCCTTGACATGGTGCATCATTTCAACACTCGCCATTCGATCCCGCTTTTATCCTATTGTACCAGCCTAATAACCCGCTCCTTACACCCTTCGCATTCCCGCATTGTTTTAGTATACAGCCACCACCGCAATTCTTCTACCTTACGCTCCCTGCTTTTATGTGCAGCACCCGCGTCTTTGACTTGATGTAATACCTCCCTCCTCCCTTCGTTCCGCATTACCCGACGACCCTTCATTGACGAACGGACTCTTCCATTCATACTCTTGCCGCATTACAATCATCCATTTGTACACCCACCACCTGCAATCTCTCTTGTAAATAAAATAGTGTACATAGTACCCGACACCTCTACAATAGCGTATACGACTAATTGCGAATACTTTATATCACGTTTTATGAAATGGACCTCGAATATCTTGGATGCAACGATCAAGACTCGTCCAACGGATCAACGCGCCCACTTCCGCGATCGATCGAGGCTAATTCCACCCCACCTGCCTCCCTGCAACATGACAACCGCGCATGCCATTGCATTCCTGGGTTATCAGGGCGCCTGTTCTACCAATTCAAAGACCAAATAACCAAGCCAAAGTGTTTGCGCACCGGAGTACGTTTCAAGGAACGTGTAAGGAGTTTACGATAACTTGCGCATCTGAGTTGTCGGACCTCTCTGATCTCAGTTTAAGGAGTGGCGGGCGCGGCGAATTAATGAGTTCCCGCCCCTTCAATTGCTTGGCGAATCTGCTTATTAAAGGACAAGCGTGCGCTTAACTTTAGGCATGCATCCAACCGACCCTTGCATGTTCTCTCTGTCGCCGAGACGAACAACTAAGAGACACGTAAACAACGATTGCCTGAGCCACGTACCCTTGAACAAGTGTATCCGTGGCCTTGCCTTCGAATTTCCGGATAGAGTAGAGAACCAATTAAACCCCCTGGGAATGAAGACAACCAGGGTGCGCGCGCTTGTTCCGGTTGCCAGCTGTTTTATTAGCCCGCAATATTCCTGTTTTCAATTTGATTCATTGTCGGCGAGTGAAGGCGGGAGCCGACTCCGAACTCCCGAACCCAGTGGCGATCTTCGAATTTGAGAGGAAAGATAACTGTCGTGGAGACATATACTTACAGTCATAACGAAGAATGGAAAACTTTGCACACCAAGCATTGGAGACGGGACAGATTCTCTCGGGTGGTGCGAAGCGGTTTAACCAGATATGGACGTTGCACTGTCGAGGAGCGAGCCCTCAGCCAGGCAGCGGACAATCGGGACGATGATACAAGGCCTTGGCGACGTAGGAGAGACCAGGGGCCGAATTATCGAATATAAAGGCCAGCACATTCCGAGTTGTCTTGACGCAGAGCAATGTACAGTAAATGGAGTTGTTGAAAAAACATGGAGAGAATATGATGCATAACACGTCCAAATGAAGATGTACAAATACGTGGAAGGTAGACTTGAGCCTGCAGAAGCGACAGTTCGAAAAGTGGTTTGTGCGTAGATTAGAAGGGGGTTAACAAGAGACCACCGAGCGAAGAAATGACCAACGAAAGCGAAGGATAAAGATACAAAACGCGAAGGACTACTGTTGCAAGGGAATCATTGACCGTGATAATAGAGACAGACAGGCATGCATGAGATGAGCAAAAGAACAGAGCAAGATATCAGCTATAGCTACAGTATAGGGAATATGCGAGAGAATAATCATACCGGAGGATATTGTACAGCGTGGTTGCCGAGGCGGAACGGATTCATAGGCTTGAGAGATGAACGGGCACGGCCGACCGGCGACGAGAGGATACTGACACGATGAAAATCAGAGGAAAACCAGAAGAGTCCACTGGAATACAAAAAAGGTTCACGCTGGAGGAGCAAGAGCGGACAAGGTGGAAGATGGACGGGGAAAGAGGAAAGGGATAGCACTGTTAGAAGGAATCGAATTAAAGTCCCATACGCTCTGCCAACGTCCGATCTATGGCATTACTATCACGGGCTGACGATAAGCCAGCGCCAGATGTCCGATGGTCGTTGTTGGTCCTGCGATGGTGTCCTTGTCCATTATTACCGCGTCCGCCTCCGTAATTGTTTCCTGGAAAGGGTCCTCCGTTGCGCCGCCCACCTCCTCCGTTACCTTGTCCACCTCTATTTGTCGCGTTGGTGTCGTTACGCTCGCGGTCACGACCACTTCCGCCTCTGTCCCGCCCACGTTCTTTGCCTCCACCGCCCCCGCCGTGCTCTCGCTCGCGGTCGCGAGGTGCCCTATCTTTCTCATAGGAGTCGCGAACAACAGAATTGTCACCGCCGACATTGGAAGAGGTATCGCCACGCTGTCGATTGCGCTCTCTATCTGCAGGACCAGAAGCAGGTCGCGGCCTTCTCTCCCGTTTATCGTCGTCGACATCCATCTTGTTTGATGAAGGACGATGTGATGGCGGAGGCGGCTTACTGGGCAGCCCGGCACCGTTATCTCGCTCTCTGTCCTTGTCGCTAGAATAAGCAGCTGACGAATGTCGAGGACGGTCTCGAGAGTAGTGGTGGTGCTCGCTTCCCCCACGGTCAGCAGACCGGTTGGTAGAGTCTGGATGGTTCGATGAGGTACCGTGCTGTCGATGAGAGGTAGAAGGAGGGGGGCGTGATGGAGGGGGGGACGCTTGGGAATGTGAGTCTGAGAGACGGGCCTTCTTAAAAGCACGAGGCCCGGTTGGGGGAAGTCGTTGAGGACCATTGCCAATGACCGACGAGTTGGTTGGAGCTAATTCACGGAAGGTGTTCCGAGGCGACCTCGATGCGTTCCGCAGATCCGAAGGTGGAGGAACAGGGCTGACATGCTTGGAGGAAGCCAAGAGCGCCTCGTGAGTCTTGTCAAGTTCAGTCCTTGAATTGGAGCAGGCATCATAAGCGCCCGGAATTTTGACATTAAAGTCCAATTCAAACGACTCACGATAGCGTTGTAATAACTTGGTGCGATTCTACGTTGAAGAAGGAGGGGTATGAGCAATTCGGAGGGTCTCCATAGCCGGCGTCACTTACCGCGAAGTCCACTTTCAAGCCGCTGTACCACTTTGCGAAGCCCACGCACTTCCTCCTTCAGCTTCCCCGTCTCTTTCAATTTTAAGATTTCATATAGTTCATCGTTCTCCTCTTGCAGTAAACGGGACCTTTGTATTAAGGCGTTAATGACAGTGGATGACCCTGGTGCGGAATCCTTCGCGGAACTTCTGAGTTGCTGGCCTAAGATTGAGAGGATTGAAGGAGGTAGCGTGATAGGGTCACTGAAAGAAGGGGCGTTTTGACTTGAGATATATCGTCGCAGCCTGGTGATATCATCCTGGTTGGAGAGAGGCGCCAGAACACAATAACCGAGTCAGGGTTAAGTAGTGTGATGGTAGCAGTTAAGTGGGTTCACTCACGTTCAGCTCTGAGATTTGTTCATCTCTTTGGCGAACCAGAGCCTCGAGCTCTAGTTCTCTTGTAGATGGCAGGGTCATGGTTGGTTCTCGCTAGGGAGAACGCGAAGTTGAAAACGCGAGGACAGGGAGACGTTGTTGGGCCTTTGGCGTCACACCGCTTCAGGGACGAGCGGAAGTTGAATTTGGTTGCTTGATTTGGCGATTCGTTGCAACGCTTGTATTCGTTTCCGTTTGAGCAATCGAGTTCTCTATCCGCAAGTCATTGTATCGCAGGAATATACCTGAGCGCCGAGCATACCTCCTGGGACGGGGGTACGCGCCAGGCTCATGGCTTCACTTTTAAACACGCGCAAACAGTCCTGCCCTTCAAAAGATCCGTCGTGGAAATTTTGGACTAACCTCTCTCTCTCAATACCTTGTTCTCGAGGTAAGCACTGCTTTTCTTTCGTTATCTCTTCTAGTTTATATGATGCACAACCTATTCACACTGTACGAACAGTCTCTTCGGAGGCTCGTCGTGAGTTATCCTTTTCTACAACGGTATCTGACCATCTATCCCGCTTTTCGCCTTGCAACCCATCTTCGATTCTTTACTGACTATTGCGTCTCTCTCCCTTTAGGTGTAGTCTGAATGGTATCATCACTTGCCGGTGTAGTAGATTGCAATCATAGTTCATTTTCGCCGTCGAACGCGTCCGGAGGGACTTGGCCCTGTGCTTGTGAGAGTGCGCCTGGAAGAATGTACAAGTATGGTACAGATTTGACTGGTGGAGGTGCCGTCTGGTATCCAATTGGAAGCGAGCATCGCGGGCAGATGAACCGATACTGTCGTTCGTGACTGCCGTTTCTGTCGAGATGCAACATGAAACGAAAGACGCGGCCGAACAAACTGGGCTTCGCACCTTTCGAGTAGGATCGGGTCGCTTGGATTCGCATTTAGCTTGAATACTTTGGCTTTACCTACATCGTTATCTTGTGACTGAATGATAATTGCATTGTCGGTTTTGCGTCTGGGTAAAGAAGCGAGACTCTTCTCGATGACAAGCTTTAGTGCGGCCGTGAGTTTCGGGTGTCGCTGACGATCCAGGGCAGCACTGACGTACGATGAATTCGCCGCAAATGCAATCTACCAGGAACGACGGGATAAGCAGGGGTGTTTCAGGACGAAATCGGAACAAACGAACAGTAGACACGGAGGTTTGTCGCGGAGGAGGCGGTAGGCTGTGCTGGATCCAGAAAGTTGAGAATTCTGGACAGGTTGGACTAAACCTTGCACGGACCATCTGTCGACGACGACACGGCTGACCTTGAAACGACTTTGGGCATCGTTGTCTGTTGTGGGGGGCAGTTGTTTCGTGGTTCGAGATCAGGCACGGAAACGGAGGATCGGTGGTTAGGCACCAAGGATAAGTGTCTCCCGCGGAACCAATTAATTCAGACTTCTTGCACCGGTTCAATACACGTGATCCTCGGCCGCGGTCGTCCTCAGAGTTGACGTTTTGAAGGGTCGATCCTGGCTTTGTTCTTCACATCCACGTAGTATCTTTTCGCCCTCTCCCAATGGCCGAAAAGGACCCAACAGTCAGGCTACGGAGGGCAGTCAAGGGTATGTCTTCTCCATAGCCGCCCTCAGGCTCCACAGGTTCACATTGATATAGAGAACAACCTCTTCTTGGTCAAGAGGCTCATCCAGAGGACGGATATGCGAAATCCAGATGTCGCACCTCGAAGATACACCTCTCTCGCTTGGGCGGCTGTTTTGGGACATGAAGAGACCTTCGAATTCCTTCTCAGTGCAGGCCACGACGAACAGGAGCTGAGCAAGGTATGAAGCCCCCATACATTTTATCCAGGGACCTCTCCTCACAATGATCCTATCTCAGGATTATGAAAACAACACTATCCTAATGCTACTAGCCGATCAGAAACCATCGACCTCGAATCCATATTCTGCGGCTTCTCCTCCACCAGATTCGACAGGAGCTGTTCTCCGTATGGCCCGCATGTATTTCGATCGTTATCCATGGACCCTGGATTGGTCCAACGTCCATGGAAAGACAGCACTCCACATTGCGTCGCTAAGAGGAAATGAAGAACTCGTTAGGGTACGTTCACATGACCCTACCTGAGCCCGGTGCCTAAACCACTATTAGATGCTCTGTGACCTCGGTGCTGATTTTGACCTGGCCGATAATCTCGGGAACACCCCATTGCACTAGTACGATCCCTTCCCTTCCAGCTCCTTTCCTCAACTGATATCTGTCCTAGCGCGAGCGCGTGGGGCCACGTTCCAGTAAGTATCTCGGTTTGAACAAGTATTCACATCTGACTATCGTTTGTACAGATAGTTCAGTATCTTATCGAAAGAGGTTGCCAATACACGGCCAAGAACAACGAGGGCTTCGATGCATTGGACTATGCATACTCGTTCGTCCCGGCCTTGCTCATGGTTCCGACCACAGCTGATAAAATACTTCAGGTTCAGTACCAAAGAAGCTCTCCAAGAGACCGCGAGGATGCAGTTTGAGATAAACAAAGCCCATCGACGACAAATCTTCGCGCAGGCAGCTGCTCGAGGCACAGAGATGAATAAAACAAGTCCCATCCCAATACCCCCACCAGTTCCGGCAAAGGACTACGACCTTTATCCTCGACTTAGGAGTGGTTCGGGCACAAGTCGGACCACAGCAACGACGTCTGATAGCGGCGACATTGATGGCCTGGCAGCACATGCTTCATTCTCTTCTTCATCCCCATCCCGGCCGTCTACGGGCGGTTCAAGCTCCCTCCTCTATAGCCAGCAGCCGAGACATACACCTCAACCATCATCGGCAAGCAATGGGCTGAGTAATTCGACCAATTCCAAAGGCTCATTACTGTCCGCGCCCGGTGCTCACCCATCGTCAGCCTTATCACCCGTCGCAAATCGAATGAGGGAAAGGGACGCGGACGCCATGGAGAAGTACATGCTACGCAATAGGAGCGGGAGTTCCTCGACCGACAATAGATCGAACAGTGGCTCTACGACAACAGGTTCAGGCCAGATGTCAGCCAACCTGTCGCCTAGTTCCGAAGCTTTCCATATCACAACCGACGAAGCGAGCGGCACCCTGACCCCTCGAAGGCTAAGACCCTCCTTCTCGGCCGCCCAGCTGCGCACAACACACGAAGGCTCTGTTGCCAATTCCAACAACGGCACACCTCATTCTGAAAACCGAAGTCGTTCCGGCACAAACCCCACCTCCACACGGGGTGCAGCTTCCCCTCTCCCACTTCTGACGAGGTCACCTTCTATCTCCAACTCTCTCAGGTCCATTATCAGCCCGGAGCGTACTTCATATGAAGATTCGAAACGCTATATGGGACCGCCAAGCCAATATGCTCAGTTCCCCGAGCCTCCGGTTCAACCAGAAGCCAATACAGTTACTACTCCTACAGTCCAAAGCAGTAGACGGAAGGCGCTCCAGATACTGGGCAAGCCTCTATCAGGGTTCGACTCCTCAAACTCCAATCATCGTCGAGGAATGTCCACAACCTCCGTCCGTGGATCATAACGGATCAGGGTTCTTTTTGTAACATCTATACATGTTGTCTGTAACACCACGCCTGTATCATTATCGCCTTGTTGACCTGTGCTCTCATTGTTGTTATTTTCTCTCACTCTCACCTGTAGGATAGGGATAGTCGGACAATGTCTTCTTGCACGCTCTATATTTATGTGTATTATTTGAACATTTGAACCGCTGCTGTAACTATATCACGAGCATATGAGCCACATCTTGTGTGAAGGGTGTGTGAAGCCCCTATGTCAGCGCTTGGTTTGTGTGGCCCCGTTTGGGAAGTCTGAGAGTCTGGTGACAGAGTGCGGGTAGACGATCAAGGGTATAAAGTTGCCGATGACCTCCGCCCACCTTCAACCTCAGCCATGATACCCCCCGTCGCCAGCGACCCCGACCCAACCACCCAAATCCCATGGCCGTCAGGAAGAAACCGTGCCCAAGATGCCGACCAGGGTGACGCCTTCCCCGACCAGGCTAGCAATGGCGTCACTACCGTGAATAGAGACGGCCCTTCCTCTAGATCCAAGAAGACGACAGGAAAGCGTCAGTTATCGACATGGGACATGATAACGTTGAGCATATCAATGGCAGGCGCACAGATTGCCTGGACAGTAGAGTTGGGGTGCGTGGTCCGTGTCTACTTGCAACGAGGACGGTTGCTCAACCGACGGCAATACCCAACAGCTATGGCACTCCTTTCTTGCTAGGCCTGGGACTTCCCGAGCATCTGACCGCCCTTGTCTGGCTAGCTGGACCCATCAGTGGTCTGGTCGCCCAACCAGTAATTGGTAAGTCGCCATAGCCATGCGTTCCAGCGCCAAAATGGGCCACTGACGTCGGGGTTAGGTGCCCTGTCCGATTCGTCGACCTCCAAGTACCGACGTCGCTTCTGGATCGTACTGTCAACCGTCGCACTCGTACTATCAACATTGGTACTTGCATATTGCGAGCCTCTGGCCGCCGTTGTAGTAGACCTGCTGGCTGTAGGCCAGGGCGATTGGGACGACAGGCGCAATAAGGTTCTTTACGTCTTTGGCCCTTAGCATCGGTTCGCTGACCTCCAACCGCTTAGATCGTCACCAACACTGCGATCGGCTTTGCAGTCGTCTCGTTCTATATCCTCGACTTTGCCCTGAATGGCTTACAGGCTTCCCTCCGTAATCTCCTCCTCGATGTTACTCCACCCAACCAACTCAACGAAGGAAACGCCTGGCACAGTAGAATGACTAATGCCGGAAACATCGTTGGATTTGGATTTGGTAGGTCTTCTTGACACTTCATAGAATGCAGGAACCTCGTCTAACATGGTATTTCCTATAAAGGCTTTATGCCATTGGCTGAACTTCCGATCATCAGGCTCCTTGGTGGGAGTCAGTTCAGGAAGTTCTGTATCATATGCATCGTGATTCTGGTTATCACTGTTTGGATGACATGTTGGTTCCATGAAGAGGAGGAGAGGCCTGCCCACCAACAGCGCAGACGGTACGTTCCAAGCTAGCTGTCGAATCCGCTATGACGTTATTGGTGGTTTGGTACAGAAGGGGATTCGGCGAAGTCCTGGACAATATCTACAAGAGCATGATCAACCTCCCTAGACCTATTAGACGAGTGTGTTATGTTCAACTCTTTGCCTTCATGGGATGGTACGTACTCTACAACGCTGAGTTAAGCTCATGTACTCATCCTCTTTAGGTTCCCCTTCCTCTTCTATTCGTGAGTCCTGGACCAAAGTGTTCTAGTACGGCACTAAACATTAAACAGAACAACTTACGTCGGACAAGTCATGGCCCATGAAATTGGAAAGGAGCCGGACCACGAGTATGCGACCAGATTGGGAGAGCGTGCCATGTTAATCTATAGTATTGGTATGTCGATCTGTTGCAGACTATAGTCAGATCAAACTAAGTTCCTTTCTAGTCGGTGTCATCGCGGGTATGATCCTTCCCCATGTCGCCACTCGCGATCGTCGCCTTCTCGCATCCAAGACTTTCGAATCCCCGGATGAAGAACTGAACACACTCCGCAAGATGGTTCGTCAGTGGCGCGTTGAAGCTGCTCGCCAAGGGAAACCGCTTCGACTCCCAGTCATGCCCTTCTTGTTGAGGAACATTTGGAGCGCGGCTATGATTTTCTTTGCTCTTTTGATGTTCTCCACCATCTTTGTCAAGACAGTGTTCGAGGTCAGTGCAAACCCGTTTTGGTTATTGTCGTGATACTCACGGTGTTAATGTGAATAGGCTACCATATTCATTAGTCTGGTCGGTATCTGCTGGGCGGTGGCGATGTGGGTACCATTTACAATCATCATGGAGGTCAGTCGTCGCTTTGTGTCTCTTCGAAAACTGCTCAAGTGCCTCGGTTAGCTCTTGAAAGAGACCCCACCTCCACCTCCGCCACAGTCGAGGCGCCCGTCGCACGTGCGCAACCTTTCGACCCCAGCTCGACGTCCTAGCGTCATCAACCCTACTTCTGAACGCCAGCCATTACTGCGACGTCGTTCGTATGATGAATTCGATAGCGCTCTGGACGCAGATTCGGAGAGCGGTCCCCTTCCCGGAGGAACCGTTTTGGGCATTCATAACCTTGCCATCGTCATGCCCCAGTTCCTTGTATGTTATTGAACTGACCATAACGACAGCCTTGCTGACATATCTTCAGGTTGCACTTGCTACCAACGTCATCTTCCGCCTCGCCGATGGGCAGATGCCTGTAGAGGGAGAGAGGGGTACTTACTATGGTAAGAATGGCGTGGCATGGGTCTTGCGGTTCGGAGGGTTCTGTACTTTGCTTGGCGCTGTTGTCGCTCGCATGGTGCCACCCACGACGACAGAGAGGGAGATGCGACGCAGATTGGGTGAAATGAAGTTGCTTGGGGAGGAGACGTCTAACCCTTGATCTCCGTTCCCTCCTTACGCCACGCCCACTTACAACCGGAACCCTCAAATGCGTTATCACGGCCTCTGTATTGCTTTCGTATTGCTTGTACTATCTTCCCCTTGCTTCATGACATCTTCGTATTACGTTAATAGATATCAACGGATATTTCAATCTGCTGTCTTCCTATGGGGAATAGAAGATGATCGCGTGGTCCCAATGCAACCCGTCCTTTGTCGATATATCTCGGCAGAAAATCTGCGTCGCTGGCATCGTCAAGTGCTTCTGCAAGACCTTCTGGATCTCCAGTGAACCAGGAGATGGTGTATAGAATATCCTCGCCGATAAGGGTGACGTAGTGAGGATTTCGGACAACACCGATTCCGCATTTCCAGAGATGTCTGGATGTGGCCCCGTCACAATTACTCCGGAATCGAACGATATGACGAAACTCACCCCCTTTGGCACAGATAACGGTGGCAAATGAATTGTCTCCGTTGACAAGCTTCTCTACTTTGATAACACCACCGCGAGAGCAGTCGATTTTGGCTGACCCACAACATCAGTGCTTTTCTCAGGACGAATACTATACATTGACCTACCCTCAGAAAATGCAGGCATTTTGGTTTCGACGACCGCCTCGCCCTCTTCGTCAATGATCTCGCATCGACCTGTGTGGAAGAGAACCTGTTTTTCGACCTGAGCGTTTTTGGGCAAGGAATCCACAACTATGGAAAGGGACGGAACCTGGCGAGAGGCGATGTGGTATGTGAAGGAATGAAGACGATCCAAGAGAAACTCACCCGGGGAGTCAAAGTTTCTGACTCCAGTAATACATTCGAAGGATTCATTGCCTTGTCCATCCAGTAAAGAACCAATTGAGGAAACCCGTCCCAACTTCCGGTAGTTTCTGAGACTGCTTTGATCACTCTTGCGACGTGTTGGTGTGTGAGAGCTGCTTGCAGGGGGAATGAATTGGCAAGAGTCAGATCCCTTGGGGTGAGCCCAATTTGTCCCGACACGAATAGCTGTTCTGAAGCCTTGAACGAATGAGCACGTTTAGCCAGATCTAGACAATATGTCCCTCACAAGGATCACCTGGGAATATGGCCCGATGTTTGCAGGAGCCCAGTAGCTGAGGCCTTGGACATGTAGTGCTTGACGATTGGACGCCTTCTCCTCAGCATGGGCAATGACATCCATCCTGACGCGGATAGGCCATGGTAGTGAGGTAGCGACACAAGCCCGGGCAGGAGGACTGGTCCCAAAGAATCGGGTATAAGCTTTGTTGACTTCAGCAAACAAGCTCATAGGCGAAATGAAGACATTGATGTTGGCGCAGTGCTCCAGCAATAGCCCATGACTCTGTAGTTCGTCTTAATCACATTGTCAGAGCCCGTTGTTCACAGGGTTAAAGACGGGACTCACTTTTTAAAATCGAGAAACATTCTTCAACCTCTTCGGATATTGGTAGATCGGCCGCTGGTGCACCCAGCGGAACAGACCTGTGCACATTGCTAACAGCGACCCAGTTTCCGCGCTTGTGGCTGCTGGGCGGTAACTGTGAAGGAAAGGACCCAGTCCACTCTCTAGGTGAACTGAACTCGATGTGCGATCCCTTAAGAGTGGCTTCGAGGTCGATGTATGGGTCTTCCAGCAAAGGAGGTATGCTCAGCGCCCCTTGGACGATGTCAGGTTTGGGCTCCAGGGCCCCCTTCTTAACTCGCAAATACGCGACGGTAGCAAAATCGTTGTCCGAGTGGATCACCGTTTCGATCTCTTCTCTATTGCAAGTCAGTGCATGCTTTAGTACATTGATAACGCGGGGCCTTACAGGACTATCCGAGATTTGAAGAGTGGACAGTCAATGGTCAAAGTTTCGTATTCTCCACCCTCTCCACAGACATGCAATCCATAGAGTGAATTCTGCACGCTATTTGACAATTAGAACTTCGACGACAAGTATATTCACTCACCAGTTTTGTCAGGGTAGGTTGCATCTCTGCCAATGTCTTTCCAAGGTGTTTTGGTGTGAGGCCGATCCCAGCGACCTTGATTAAGACGGCTGTTAGGCCTGCTTCAATCATCTCCGAGAATAGCTCAGCCTGGTCCCTTTGCCACAGGTAAGACAAGGGTATCAACCCCAATCTACGGCAACTGGTGACGCTGTTATAAATTCCATATGCAACCAATCATGGGTTAGCTCACACATGTTCAACGCGAACGCGTTGGTAATTGGACAAGATGGCGCCAACGGAGACACCTTGGACATCCGGATGATGCTCCTGAAAGGCCATCAGAGGGCGAAGGTAGTGTACTTTGTAGACGTACCAAAACTTGGACTAGCAATTCGTGGAGATCTTCTGTCTCGTCTCCCTTGACCCCCGAATCGTGGCCGGCTCTACTCCCGTATTCCGAACCTTGCTGGACAGCATCGCCCGATATAACCCTTCTGTACAGAGGGACGTCCAAGGCTTTGGCCACAAGTTCGACAGCATCCTGTCCAACGGTCTGATACATATAGGAATCGATTTCATCTGAAGTCGCGAGTTTTACTGATAGTATTTGCAGGGCGTTGAGGATGCTAGCGAACCTTTTCCCGGTTCGGGTCGTAGAGAGGCGGCTGCCACAAGTTGATGGCCATTCTCGTGACAGTGAATGAGATTAAAGCAGCTGTCTTTTCCACCGCTGAGCAGAGCAACATACTTCATGATGGTCGTTTGTGAGAGGCCAGAAAGCACACGATTGGACCATCATCCTGATTGCCGAAAAAGGAAATGATCCTGATCAGGGCACTTTCCTTCGCGTTGACTCGATTGTCCGCTCTCTCTTAAACCCTTTCTTCTTCCAAGCCAAACCGCACAGGTTCCTTAACATGCCGACAGTCGCAGTCGACAAAGCCGATCTCTGGGAGAGGTTGGGCAAGGAGTACAGTTCGTGCCAATGATTGCTGTTATCTTATCCTAGGCTGATTTAATCTTGATGCACCTAGCCACCGAGGAATTCGATAAATTGTGTTTTGAGTATGGCTTGGAACTAGACGAAGATGTGCGTTCCTCAAACTGTTACACAACTTTAATTTACTGATGTTCGACCTTAGACCACCGAAGAGGTGGAAGAGGCCATAAAGAAGGGCCTCTCCGCTGAACGCCCGGTTAGCATCCCCTACCTTTCTGATTTGGACCAGGAATTAACACCAGTGCAGCAACTCAAAATCGAAATCCCAGCGAACCGGTGATATTCTTTGTGTGTCACCGAAAAGAAATGAATCTCACGCCTAATCATAGATATGACTTGCTCTGTATTGAGGGAATTTCTCGCGCCCTGAACGTCTTCTTGGGTCGAGCAGAAGCGCCTAAGTACAGACTTGTGTACCCTAAAGGTGGAGAGTCAGAGCTTCTCACGACGACCATAGACCCAGCCGTCAGTTGTTCTCCTTATTCATCGCGAAGCTGCTAATCGAATTTCCCTCTATAGACGGCGCAAATCCGACCTCTCTTCGCATGTGCAGTGTTGCGCAATGTAAAATTCACCCCGAGGTCATACGCCTCCTTCATGGACTTGCAAGACAAGCTACACCAGAACATTTGCAGAAGGAGACAGTTTGTTGCCATTGGAACGCATGATTTGGACACGCTCACCCCTCCGTTCCGTTACGAGGCGCGACCGCCCAAGGACATCAAGTTCGCGCCGTTGGGCAAGACTCAGGAGTACACAGCGGAGGAGCTGATGACCCTGTACGAGGTACGACACCCAATCGGAAGGCAAAGCGCAATATTGACGATTACCTTAGTCTGAGAAACACCTTGCTCGTTACCTTCACATCATCCGCGACTCGCCCGTCTATCCCATTATCTATGACTCAAAGGACACTGTGCTCTCCATGCCACCGATAATCAACTCGGAACACAGTAAAATCACGCTCAACACTCGAAACGTCTTCATCGACGTTACTGCCACTGATCAAACGAAACTCGATATCGTCGTGAATATGGTCGCTACAATGTTCTCCGAGTATTGCGAGGAACCCTTCACGTAGGATTTCCACTTGTTCGTCGCAGAAGTGGAGCTAAAGATTGCGACAGGATTGAACCCGTCAAGGTCGTGCTCCCCAACGGCCAGACTAAGATCACTCCTGACCTTTCAGGAAGGGATATGGTCGCACATGCATCCTATGTCAATTCATGCACGGGTCTCAATCTCTCAACTAAAGAGGTGGCCAAACTGCTGACGCAAATGTCATTGGAAACGTCTCTATCCTCCGAGAACGCCGACGTGATCAACGTGCACATCCCCGCGACACGCCCAGATATTTTGCACGAATGCGATATCATGGAGGACGCAGCAATTGCTTACGGTTTCAACAACCTTCCCGATAAGTTCCCCGCCACCAGCACCGTTGCCCAGCCCTTAGCTATCAGCAAGTTGAGCGATGTCATTCGTCTGGAGTGGGCGCTTGCGGGTTGGATTGAGGTGTTGCCTTTGATTTTGGTGCGTGCCTTCGTCGTCAGTCGGCCGACTCTTCTGATTCACCGCGCCGTAGTGTTCGCACGAAGAGAATTTTGAATGGTTGAACCACAAAGACGACGGCAATACTGCTGTGAAAATCGCCAACCCCAAGACGCTCGAATTCCAAGTGGTTCGAACCACCTTGATTCCCGGTCTGTTGAAGACAATCAGAGAAAACAAGACTCATGCCCTCCCCATCAAAGTCTTTGAAACCTCTGATGTTGTCTTCAAGGATACCACTAGGGAAAGGCAAGCAAGGAATGAGAGGCATGCTGCCGCTGTTTGGTGTAACAAGACCGCTGGCTTCGAGATCGTGCATGGTATGCTCGACAGGGCAATGAAGATGCTGGAAATCCCTCGAATCGGCAGCCAAGAGGACGACAAGCCAACTGGATACTACATCAAGGAGACTTCAGGTGAGTTCGACGTGGCCGGGAGTCTAGATATGTTGAACCAATTTGGCGTGCAGATGAGATGTACTTCCCTGGCCGGGCTGCTACGATCTATTACCGACCACCCCCAAACCACCCGCAACGACTTGCCTCCCAAATCAAAGACAAGGTTGAGTCTGCCTTGGGCGCCAAACATGATATCGCCATCGGAAGTTTGGGCATTCTCCATCCTTCAGTACTAGAGAAGTTCGAGATCAACTTCCCTTGCTCAGCCCTAGAATTCTCCCTGGAACCTTTCAAGAAGCAGATGCAGAAGATCTGGACGAACGAGGAGTGAAAAGGAATGGAAAGGAATTTAAAGTGTAATAGACGTGTAAAATTGGCCTGGAAACAGCAATTTCATTTTCGTTGACATTGAAGGTCGACAAAATCTAGAGGTGCCAGACTTAGCGAGACGCAGGTGCTTGCCCTTCAGCAGGTGGTTCCTCCGGTCCAACGAGAACTATGACGCTGTTAGTTAGCGTAGGTATATGAGTTGGCGACATCCTTACCTAGGGCTATGAGACCCAGAGTGATGTAGAGCCAGTACTTTTGCATGAAAGTCTTCTCAGGGACTGGCTGTACGACCTGGCCCTCTGGCGTTAGCGGCGGTGGTGTTCTCAGCTCAGGTCTGGAATTGAACATTTAACAACGTCACACGGATAACTGAACTGCTGGAGCTTACGATGGAGGTGAAGAGGGCCTTCCAAGCAGAATGGTGGTGTTCAGTCTAGACACGGTCGCGAACGATGACGGAATGGGTAACGGGGTTGGGCAAGCGCCGTCGTGGGGTATAGGTGAGACGAAATAGTCGAGCGCGTAAGGTTTGCCGTCACTGGAAACATGGAGGTGTAGAATTTGGGATGTCGCAGCTGCGAGATGACACTGTATCACAGACGGAATTGAGTGTTTTGCCCTCCACTGGCTATGGGAATGACATACCAACTTGACAGACGATACAGCCCATTCGGACTCTACCTGGGATCCATCACGCTGCAGAGCTACTTGGTATAGAGCGTTGTCCAGGTCTTTGACCGGCTCCAAGAGTTTGGAGAATGTAGAGGCCTGCTGCGATTGGAGTTGGGGATGGCCGTCGGTGTATGTCAGCGATCCATGCTCAGTCCAGGCGGCTTCCGTTGCTTCTGGGTGCAGTACTCGGTGGTGCAACTGAATTTGTGATGCCTGAGCCAAGGCTGAGAGCGCAGCAAGAAATAATGGGATGGATTTCATGAGTGCAAGGTCCAAGGTGGCATCACCGACCGCGCGGGCTTTTGCAGCCAATGGACCAATCAGAGCTCGTTTCGCGCTGTTCGCTGAGTTTGCACGATCAAGGTGAGGCTTCCTCACAGTCTTCCTCATAAATCGGTTTCTTGCTTCAGATATACTCGCCGCGTCTGGTGAAACTTCCATTTCCAAGCCCCTCACCCTTTCTGGGGTCTCCTTCAGTGGCGCTTCGGCGCGGGGGTGTACATTCCGAATCTGGGCACACATCTGGACGAGTCTGAATTCACACACGGCTGGCGCTCTTCATTTCTGAGCTCTTTCCGCAGATGTGGGCTGCCCGATAAGAACATGCCTTTTTAACATGTCATTACTTCTCTCGGTCCCCGTCTAAAGTCTGGTTCGGTGTTGTGTGGCCTACCCATTATCAGGGCACTGTTCTCTTGGCGGAACGTCTTCGATTTTGTTGTGTCCAGGCTCTCCCAGCTTGGTGCACGAAGTCCATTCTCTCTCTAGGCTTTTCTCCGCACATCCACCTGGAATTCTGCTCCAGGTCACGATACTGTGCAGCGCGGATATTTTAAAGCGAGCTGTGATTGGACGACGAAACTCGGTCTCAGGCTCGCTGATTGGCTGAGACTGCTGTCCAGACCTCTGATTGGACCGTTCTACGCTGTTCGCTATCCAATCCTGTCCCTTCGAGGCCCAGACGCCTGGGATCTGGGTATATAACCGACCGCTTTCTCTACTCAAAAGAGCCCAAGAACCCATCTGCCCCGTTACCAGCCGTCACCACGGTGGCAGAATCCCTCGAAAGGTTCTCCCATTCCTCGCCCCACCACCCCGGAACCCAGTAGAGTCGTCGCTGTCTACCCGAGCTCCTCTTCACCCTTCCCCGAGCTCAGTAGCTCAGTCCTTACCCAGCCCGCCGTTCCATACGCACCATGGCCCTAGCTTTCCCCCCAACACCTCCCTTGTCTCCGCAGCACAATCCCATCCAGCGGGAAGACACGCCCTGCGAAGATCCCCTCAAGGATACCATGTCCCTCCTTGACTCCCTCATCGCATACTATCAACAGGAGAGGATGTGGGTTTATCGCACCCGGGCATCGCTGGAGAACGCGTTCCCTGAAAAACCCACCAGCGACTCGGGGCTGGCCATGGCCGAGCCTTGTTCTCCTCCACCCGATCGAGTTGTCGGACTCGCAAAGGTCGAGGACGATCATGATCAAGAAAAGGTGCCAGAGCGACGGCTCTCTGCCCGTTCAGCCACATCAAGCCCTTCCCGGTGGTCAAAGAGGAAGAAGGGCTTCAAAATGCGCCTGGAGCTGACCCCGCAACCCAAGCGCAGTCTTTCTGTGTCCAGTGCGTCTTCGAACGGGTCATCTGGAGAGTTAGGGGACCTTCCACCGAGGGAGCGGCTCCTGGCTATGTTCGAAAAGATGATGGAGACACGCATGGAAAGTTGCGAACGCGTCAACAAACTCATTCGAAACGCCAATCGTGCCCACCTGCATCTGCGATAGCGGGCCTTACCTATAGTAAGTGTCTCCCTTCCGCATCCCCAAAGAGGAGAAGCTAACGGATATTGGTTCAGTCATAGTGATGATACCCTTGTTATCTTGCTTTCTCCGCCTCGTTATTTCCGGTGTTGTATATTAGCTGTATTTTGCGAATTTTGTGTAAGACTATATGCTCGATTCTATATCATTTAATTGTTCCCCTCATGTTTCGCGGTGAGCACTCGAAGGAAAGGTAAAACTGAGTCCAGACGCAAGCCAATCGCGCTTCGCCTTTGCTGCGACTTCGCCCAGCGACCAATCACAGCCCTCGGGTCCGATAGGGGCTAGAACAAACAGGGCCAAATGTGGAGATGGCTCTGTCTGGTTGGTCGGATTACAACTCCGCACTGCTTCACTGACTGCGCCCAAATTCTGTATATCTTATTACTACTTCATTCCTTTCATTCTGGCATCTTCACTCTATTATATTCCCTCTTTACCTCTTTCATGTCGAACCAATATGTTCGAGTTCCTAATCCATCCGACCGCCACAACAACGAGATAGACGACGAAGTCCAGGCTGCCTTCGATTACAGAGAAGACGACGACGACGACGAACATGATTCTTCTGAATCTCGACCGTTGAACTCCAATACGAGTCGAGCAACCGCTTCCAACAACCTACCTCCCATACAAACTACACCTCACAATCAACCTGGCACCTACAATTTCGATTCGGTAGACTATGACTTTCCCCCACCAGGATCCCCACCCCCTCTTTCCGCCACGGCCTTTCCAAATGACATTGGAAACAGCAATGGTTATGTCCCAGTATTCGACGGGCACTCGATCCGTCCACCGCAGCGCCCTTGGTGGAAGCGGGCAGCCTCTTCAGTGTTACCCTCGGGCGTCAGTGATCGACTCGGCTGGAGTACAAGACCGCCAGGCTCGGTAGTGGGAAGTGGGATTAACAACGACGGCGTTTTCGCCAATGTTGTCGCGAAACCGACTGCTCCGGTGCGGATACAGAATGGTGAGTCCTTTGGCGACCTTGGAATAGTTCCTCCTTGACATTTTGGTAGGTGACGAAACCTACGTCGTCCCTGAAGACAGCCAACCGGAGGCGCCCCCTTCCTATGCCCAGGCACAAGCGGATGCCGTTCCTCCTTACTGGGAAACCACTGTCCATGCTCCTTTTGCTCCAGATGCATATGGAGAGACGATTGTCGACTCCCTTCCTACCGGATCACTCTTCTCCTTCTGCTGGAATATGCTCGTTTCAATTTCGTTCCAATTTGTCGGGTTCCTTCTCACCTATCTTCTGCACACGAGTCATGCAGCGAGGTTAGGCTCCCGGGCAGGCTTGGGCGTTACCCTCATCCAGTATGGCTTCGCCCTTCGAGGAAGGCTCGAGGGCTCCGACGACAACGATAGGGAGTACGTTTGGGCGACGCTCAACTCCAACAATTCAACTGCATCTATACCGACACCTGCAGGAATTGATGGCCTACCCCAAAGCAACTCTACGATGGGGATGACGGATGAACAAGTTGCGTTCCTCGCCGATGCAACCACCGAGTGGTTGTCCTTCTTCCTCATGACCGTCGGTATGTGCTACGTGTTTCCCACTTGAATTTTTGCCAACTGCTCTTCATAGGATGGTTCATTCTCTTGACATCCCTCCTTGGGTTCTATCGAGTCAAGCGATGGGAAAGAGGAGTCCTCGTCTCTCAGCAAGCATCACAACGACACGACTCCCCAGTTCAAACCGCTGCCACAGCCAACTCTTTCATGAGCGGCATTGAGCAGAATTTCTCCCTCAATGGGATGTCCCGGATAGAACTCTTGCGACAAGGGTTTGGACTCCGACGAGGGACGGATGCCAACAACGGTCCTTCGTCGCCCGCCTCAGATCAGGCGATCGCACGCGCTGAATCGGAGGAGGCGCAACCTCTAGTGAGGGAAGATGGTACCGTCGCATCTCTCACACTCGATCCCAATGACCCTCAATCGCAACGTTTGATTCAGGTCATCCGACAAGAAATGCGGCTGAGGAATAGCTTAAGAGATGCAGGGTTTCTGTAGAGCATGAGCCTGCTTATTCTATATGACTAGTTTTGTTTTGTTTTTTTCGTGCTTCTCGGTGTGTAATTCATATTGGATTGCCGTGGATGTATGGCTGATTTTCCGACAAAGACGGTTGTTTTCAGTTACAGTAAACCTCCGTATTCACCCTGTAACAACATCTTTGTGAAATGCATTGCTCTGCTATACTGTGGACATTTTCCCGAGGTTTCACCTTACCGTGTTCAACTGACCCGGGATCATGCAGCCGACGATGATTATCAGGTATGCAAAGTATAAATGTACTGACGGAAACGAGGTGACTGCCAGGACCTGTCTGCTGCCTTCATGTCAATCATGTCCGCGACGATTAGGAAGGTCACCAAAAACGATGAAGCTGCCCTATCCAAGATATGTCTGCTTACGGCCGATGCGGGCAATTCAGCGGAGCACCTGCACGACTTTCCCGAGTTGCCTGGCCTGGTATATGCGGTACCATACGTTCATCTTCCGACTACTTGGGGATATGTGCTGGAAGAGGACGGTACTGGCGATGTAGTGGGATACATTCTGGGTTCCAAGGATACGAGAGCGTACGAAAGATATGCTCAAGAAGATTGGTGGCCTTCATTGGCAGAGAAATACCCGCCGTCAACCGCGTCGAAATCCGGCGACGTCCACTATACCAACCTCCTCCGCAACATGCATACGGCACCACAAGCCAACATCGACTTTTCACCCGCACATTTGCATATCAACATCTTGCCCGCTTACCAGAAGAAGGGTTGGGGTAGGAAGCTCATTGGCGAGGCGATCAAGTACCTAGAAGGAGAGGGATTTGAGGGCGTCTGGTTGGGCCTTGACCCGAGAAATACGGCTGCTAGGGCATTCTATGGAAGACTTGGGTTCAAAGTCATTGAAGGAGCACCCGATAACAATCAGATGCGGTTGCGGTTTACCGATTTCGTTGGTGCTAAAGATAGCACATCGTGAACACAAATTCGGACGCGCGGCGCTTGAACTTCTTGTACCACTACCACTTGCTTGCTATGCTATTTTCTCGTTTTTGTAAGTCGCTCATGTCTTTATCGTCGCGATCACTGTGACTGATACATCCAAGCCTCGTTGTTACCTCTCTATAGGACCAATAAACCCATTGACAGCGGCAACGCACCGATTCTAGATGAAGCGCATATAGTCACCCGGTCGATTTCGCCTGAAGTTGATCAGTGCGGGAAGCTGTTCTCTGGAATGAGTAGCACAAGACCCTTAATCCATGGGCACAGTCTAAACAAGTCTTTACTAGCGGCGTACTTTAGTCCCTGCGTTTCATTTGCGTTTCGTCAGCTCTGGAGTTCAGGCATTCGAATCCCCTTGCAACCTCCGTGACGCTGATCAGAGACTACCAGTCGCACATGGCGGAAGGATTCAACAATCTGGAAGCCTTCTCAGCGCTCGATTTTTCTTTTGCTGTGGACTGAATGACTGGTATATCAACGAGTGCGTGTTTCCACCTACACACTTTGGCCCAGCTCTAACAGTACATCGGATAGATTCCTTTCCAAAACGGACTCAATTGTTGAACCTTGGTCCTTTATCTCGTCGTGTTTATTTTGTTAATTGCGTTTTGGCATTGGACCAGGTCTGCGATGCTCGGTGGATAGGCCACTCGGTACGAAGAGATACGCTCGTGCCTATCGCACCATACACGATAAGTAGGCACCATCACTTGGTTCCAGGATCAATGGAAAACTAAGCGCATGTACTGTCCAGATCAACTTAACGCGGGGAGGCGTAACACCGAAGGCATCGCAGGCAAGAATTCAACCGTCGCGAGGGCTCAGCCACCTCTCAAACGAGTGCGAGAGTCTTGCTGGGAGGCGGCTGCGGACTCAGATTTCCCCCCTCTCAAACGAGTTCGAATTGGCGGAACGACTGCATCGGTCGCTGGAACAAGGCAGTTTTTCCCCATCCTTCCGGCGCCAGAATGTCAACCTCTGGATATACCAAAGCCAGCCTGGACAGCACCTAGCCGTGGTCCATCTTCAATGAAACTGCACATGAGGATGCTTCTCTCGCAAATTCGGCTGATTGAGTGAGCGTATATGCTCAATTCTCCATCCTGTACTGGGAGCTCACGGAGATCAACAGTCTACCGACACTTCATCAATCTAACTTTTGGAAAGACTTGGAGGTCAGAAGCAAGGCGGCCATACCGCGGGTTAAAGTCCAGGACCTGCTCCACGCGTCCTTTGCAGAAGGTACAAAGTTCATCCCGGGAAAGGAGCTTCGTGGATTTACCTTCTCTGTGGCAACCTCTGCAAGAGTGCAAGAGGATGGAATGTACTGAAGACCCCGACGTACCGACGCTTTGCAGCAGCTTACCTATACCAACTGTCTTTCATTCTCAGGCCTGTATGAAATTTCAGGCTGGTTTGGAATACGATCCGGTCCTTCGCAGGTTGATTTCCTGCTTGCCAGAGGTCACCAAAGAAGCGCTCAATGGCCTCAAGAAACCAAGGCACGGGTGAGTTTCCTGAATTCCTTTATACCATTCTGACCACTAGGTTCAAGATTCGCGAGAGGATCGAGACCTGGTTGCGCCCGTAGATCTAAGTGGCAGCGGACAGCCCTCGAACCCCTTCGTTAGTCGGGATCACGAAAGGTATCGCTCTATTTGTTTTTCATGGCCAGGTAGAGCTTCACCTTGGTTCACAGTTCGGATGTTCCTGTAGAACGCGACCATGGGAGTTACCAGTGCGGAGATGCCACAGAATCCACAACAGGAACGCGACACAGCAACATCCCATTCGGAGCCGCCCCAGCCGTCCGGGACTCTGCAACCTCTGACAGGACTTTGGTTAACGGCGTTCACGGAAACTCTCCTTTGGGTATAATCGCAACGCCCAGGCAAACCCATCAACCTGGGGCCCCTCGGGAATCGAGGTTTTCGTCTGTCCCTGCCGAGACCCTTCTCGGAGGAAGGGACCCATCACCGTCTGGGGCCCAATCCGGTGATGGATTGTGGACGGACAAAGGGTATGTGAGGAGGAGAAATCCTGCGAAAGACGACGACGAGGATGTCGGATATACCTTTGGGGCCAGTGAATATATGAATAGGGACCATGAGGAAGAGGACCAGGAACCCGCAGGCGATGCCTATTCGACGGGCATCTCGGATATGCGAAGAGGAAATTCAGGAATGTCCGTGCTGTCCAATAACTCGGAGGGTCTTGACCCCGATGATCCCCGGGTTACTGGGATGCACCCTAACCATCGAGACGAACAGGACATGGAAAAAAACGTGCTGAGACACATGGACTATCGCACTCGACGTAAATACCTACAGAGGGTTAGGATCGAATTTAACGTCGCTTGTAAGTTTATCTGTGCCTAGTTTCGTTGTTGACATACTGATGCACATGTGTAACAGCTTTGCGACATCGGCAACGTTTTCTGCTAAAGCTGGCTCGCGCTCTGATGACATTTGGTGCACCCTCACACCGTATAGAATCTCAGCTTATAGCTGCAGCCCGGATTCTCGAAGTTCAGGCCGAGTTTATTCACTTGCCAGGCGTCATCATTTGCTCGTTTGGGGAACAGGAAACAGGGGGTTCTGAGACCCACTTCGTTAAAAGTAATGGTCGATTGGCGCTGGGACTTCTTCACAAAGTCCACTTGATCTATCGCTCTGTCGTCCACGACGAAATTAGTGCGACACAGGCCATTCAAAAGATAGATGCCCTTCTTAAGGAGCCTCCTTTGTATCCATGGTGGATCCGTTGTATCATCTCATTCTGGTTGTCTGTTCTCATCTGTCCATTGGCGTTCGGGGGTTCGTTCGTTGACATGTGGTTCGCTGGAATTTCTGCGTTCGTTCTGGCATTTCTCCAGCTTCAGGTCGCCCAGAAAAGTACCCTCTACGCAAACGTATTCGAGTGAGTCGGAATTCCCTTTGCCGTTTTTGCATTCTAAAACCCCGTTTCTCTGTAGGATCAGCGTTTCTATTGTCGTATCATTCGTGGCAAGGGCCCTCAGTAGCGTCAAGAGTCAGATCTTCTGTTACACTGCGATTTCGTCTTCTGGAATCATCGGCATACTACCCGGATACCTCATTCGTCAGTAGCCTTCCCTCGTTCTTTCCGACCTAACCTGATGCATCCCTTCCCGAGCAGTCAGCAGCTCCCTGGAACTCGCCTCCAAGAACATAGTATGTGGGAGTGTAAAGATGGTCTATGCCCTCATCTACACTCTATTCTTGGTATGACATTCGGTTCATTCCCACCTGCTGGAATAACGCCAATACAACAGGGCTTTGGACTGCAAATAGGGAGCGATTTTTTCTTACTGCTTGATAAACCGTATCGACAACAGCTGGACCAATTAGAAGCTGGGCTCAATGCAACGATCTCCTTCGCTGGTATATGGTCTGCAGACAACGGGACGAGTCACGACCAAGTGCCGCTGTCTGGGACGTGGACATTCAGCAAGAACATGATAGAGAAGAAATCGGACATCATCGTCGGATGCTACCGCCCTGCTCGTTTTCCATGGTATCTTCAACCCTTTCCACTTTGGACCTCGTTCATTATCGTGCCGCTCTTCTCGATCCTATCGTCCTTGGGCAATTTACAACCTCTACGAAGCAAGCAACTTCCAGTGATGGTTGCTATCTCCTGCTGCTCGTATGCGGCGAACAAGATCGCCAATCATTATATTTTCAATCGGTCGGATGTGGTTTCTGCCATTGGAGCATTCACGGTGGGGCTATTGGGTAACATGTATTCCCGTAAAATGGGTGGGACAGCGTTTACGTCGATGGTCACCGGTGTGTTATTCCTTGTCCCAGTGAGTTTCGCTTTGACTCTGCCGTGTGTTGTTAAATGATGTCCTCGTAGTCAGGATTATCGTCCGCCGGTGGTATCACCGCGCATGGAGATGGCATTGAAATCGGGGGTGCAATGATCGCCGTCACCATTGGCATCACTGTTGGGTTGTTCATGAGCCAGGCATTGGTTTATACCTTTGGTTCACGCAAGAATGCTGCTGTATTCTCTTTCTGATTCGAGTTTCCTTATTTCATTCTTCTAGTCGTACGGACATACCGGTATCCATTATATCTACCTTCAGAACATGACCGCCGGAGAATTTTCGATGTTGTCTATCGATGTCTTGTGTCCTACCAGGGTTCTGATGTTGTTGATTCCATAGCTGAATGCGCGGCTCCTGTCAGGGACATGGACAAGAGGAGTGCACAGATCTACTTACCGAATCATCGTTGGTCGTTCCAAGCTGAGACCCCAGCCGTGAACCCGGACGTCCTTAGGGAAGCCCATAGGTTCTAACATCTCAGGTCTGAACATCCCGCTGTTGCCCACCTCGACCCATTTGTTAAGCAGTGGGTGGAAGGCGAAAATCTCTAGTGACGGCTACACCAACCAACCGGTGAACCGTGAGCCTTGGAAGTACATTGCTACAACATACCTCGGTGTAGGGGTTATAGGCAGGCTTGAATCGGACCTGTTCGATCCCCATCTTGCTAAAGAACACCCTCATGAAACCAATCAAATCTGCAAGAGTCAGATCGCGATCCGCTACAACGCCCTCCACCTGATGGAACTCGGCGAGGTGGGTAGCATCCATGGTCTCGTTTCGGAAGACACGATCGATACTGAACAATTTAGCGGGTCGAAAACCGTCCTCCCTCTTGTTGAGGCTTTCGTTCGCCTTGTCAGTTGCTGCGGCGCCGTGCACAAATTCTTTATCATCGCCATCGATGCTCTCGCCTCTGCACTTGGCAGCAAGCTTGTAGAGCATGTGGGCGGATGAGGCGGTGGTGTGAGTTCGAAGGAGGAGTTTCGTTGATTCCTCAGGCTGCCAGGGTGCACGATAACCAGCTGAACCAAATCCGCCGTGTTCGTGGACGGTCGATACACGCTTGTAGTATTCGGGCTCGGGAGGAAGTGAATGGCTTGGATCAGACAAGTAGAAAGTATCTTGAAGATCACGAGCTGGGTGTTGCTGAGGTACGAACAAGGCGTCGAAGCACCAGAAGCCTGATTCGACGAAAGATTGTGTTGGCATCTCCGCGAAACTAGGTGGTGTCAGTAGACGCCCATGATGTCGCAGTCTCGACACTCACCCCATTTCTAAGAAGATGTTGCGGATTTCTTCTCGCACTTTGAGGAGAGGGTGCAATGCGCCGCCGCTGGTGGGGATACCTTCTGCTTCGAAGTTATACTTCTTGTATGTCGACGTTTTCCATGAGCCACTGACGAGGGAACGATAAGAGGTCGTGTTGGTTGAGTAGAGGGCACCTGCCTACCTGGTCAACATTTCAACCGTCAGATCAGTTTCTGGCTTGGCCGTCGAGGTACTGAAATTTGGGCCCTTGGACACCTTGAACCATTGGCCTTTCCTGATCATAGTTTCAGAGAGATAGATGGGATAAAGCACAATCCTCCTTTACCTTTGGGTAATGAGTTTCCGCTTTCGAAGGTCAGCAAGAATTGCCTCTGTTTTAAGTGTTCCAGTTTCTTGAATTTCCTTCAAATCGAGCTGGGTCGCGTCCTTGATTTCTGGGACCTGCCTGAAGTCAATCCTAGCGCGAACCGAGCGAATGCGATCTACGCACTAATTTCACAAGCCCTGCACCATCCTTCCCAATCCAGCCATTTTTGAAAGCTCGACCTTGACCAACTTTCGCAGTTTCGTCCCCAACTTTCTTCTTCAATTCTGCTGGTGCGACGGGCTCGCCCTCTCCCTTCAAAGGAAGCGCCGACCATACACGGGCTTCATGGGAGCCACTTTCGGCCAGCTGCAGACCTTCCGGAGTCAAGACATGGGAAATGGTTTCATTGGTTTCATAGTTAATCATCTAAAAGACTCTTCCATATGTTACTGAATCTTCTTACAAGTCAAGCACGTACCTCCCGACTTAGTAACGAGTTGAGAGCGCCGAGGATGGTTATCTGGGCATCATGGGAGGTCGCCGCCACAGATTCACCAGGGAGGACCAAAGACCTGGTATCGGCAATTTCGCCCTCTTTGTCGAGAGTGTTCAAGACCAATTGCTGTATTGATTCTGACATAGTCGAGTTTGTTGAGAGCAGCCACAACGATGAGCAAACCTTGGAAGAGATTATCTCTGCCTCCAATTGACTCGATCAATCGCTTTCCGTCACGTGACTATCAATATTCACGCGAAATGGGCTCGGTGCTGCCGGACCTGCCGCTAGCCGTTACCGTGACGCCTGTACACCGAATCGTATACCACTTGTTTCCTATTTCCCAACTCCAATGTCGCTTTCGGTCTGGGACGACGCGTGGAACAGAGCCCAGCCAACGCTGGACAGTATGCAATCAACCCTCATCAGTGAAGAACCTGTTAAACCTCGAATTATTCGAGTTGGACAGCTTGATTCCGAGCTCCTAGACCAGGAGCTTGCCCAGCTGCTTCAGGAACCGGTGTCGAAAGCACTATCTCTGATAAATGTGAGCAGGAGTTTAGTCCCTTTACACGGAAAATGCTGAGCATGTATATCAGGTCTCCTTGAAGTCTCGATTCGATCCCGAGATACGACTATTCATCCAGTTGGTGCTCTACAAATTCTCTGTCTGGAACACCGGCGCAAGCTACGGCGCCAAACTCCAAGACCTCCATTATGCAGTCCCAATTTCAAAGGGGAATGCAGCTACAAGTGCGTTGCAACAACCTCACTCTTACTGAGGACTTATCCCCCTTGCAGCGTCCCGCATACCCCGGAGAACGCTTGCCATCCATGCACTCTTGACTCTCCTCGGACCTTACTTTCACACTCGCCTTCGCACGTACGCGCTATCTCATGCATGGCCAGACGCACCGTCGTCAGACATACGGCGGAAGGCATGGAATCTCCTCGAGCTTCTCGAATCAATGCACGCGTCCTTGAGCCTTGCCAACTTTACTTTGTTCTTATGGAATGGACGGTACGCCCTACAGCGCAATATAGTGCTTTGCGAGATTAACTGTGCTGCAGATATCGGACGTTAGCTGACCGGTTACTTTCAATGAGACTTGTCCCCTCGAGACACCAGGTCCGGCGAGACGTCAGTTACGAGTTTATGAATCGCCAAATGGTTTGGCACGCGTTTACAGTCAGTCCCGTCTAATCTATAAGCCTATTGAGTCCCACTGACCTTCCCTTCATCCAGGAATTCCTCCTATTCTTCCTCCCTTTGATCGACGCAAGGACTGTGCGGAAGCGGTTTTATCGACTAGCAGCTTGGTGCTCCCCTTCAGCTGCGCTCTCACTACTCCCATCTAAGGCTCTCTCTACTCTCGGAATATCTCAGTCAAACCTAGCCTCCAAACCACAGAAAAAGGCAAAGTACGCAAATGCCCCCGAAGACCAGTGCGCAATATGCGCAGAGAATGCATCATTCAATCCCAACCCCTCCGAGCAAGCCAACATGTTCACAGCTATGGCCCTGCCGGTCCTCGACACTTCAAGCTCGGAAGAAACCATTTCCCCATATCCCATCCACATTCCCTACATCACATCGTGCGGCCACGTTTATTGCTACCACTGCATAGCAGAACGCATGATTCGCTCAGCAGACGATGGAGACCAGGGCTGGGAATGTCTGCGGTGCTGCGAAATCGTGCAGGGTGCGGATCGATATTCCGTCGAGGTACCCGAGAGCGATTCCGACCTCAATGTCAGCGGGAGTGAATACGAGTTTAGTAGTGATCTGGATATGTATACAGACATGTCTGGTTCCATGGGTAGCTTTAGTGAATCCGCACTGTCCGAATGAAAACTATGGGGATAACCCGCGAGAAAGGAGAATACTTGTTCTGTCCAAGTCAAAAAGCCCAAGAGGAAGGTGATTACCGATTGGCAAGTTCGTCTTGAATTTGTTTGAGCACTGTAGGGTCCGCATCGTTCAGGTATTGTTGGAATGAAGGGCCCGCTGTGGCTTCTGCCTCTCGGAGCTGAGTGGCAACGTAAGCGTTGAGATGAACGCTGCGAACGGGGTCTCTTTCGTATAGCTAGGAGTACAAAGTCAGCATAAACCGATACGTGAACCAGGGTAACCTTCCATACCGCTTTGCGCCTGTCATATTCCACAGTTCCCTCCGAATCTTGATAGTATTCGGTCGGAGCTTCGTCCAATTCCCAATGGCGACGGAGGTTGGTGGGGGAGACCATGTCTAAGCTTGTTGGATCCTGTCCATGCGTTTCCAGCGTCTCCTTGATCTCGCCGAAGACATCCAACCATAAATTGAAGATCTCCCCAGACAACCGTTTGAGCACCTCGGGATGGCCAGTCGAGACCAGTGCGGAGATGCCCATAGCCACGAGCTTGCGATGCCGAGGTTCGCTCAAATTGTCAAACTGCCAAGGGGGTTAATTGGATCGTAAAACAACACGTTGCTTTCCACGTACTTTGCCCCACCATTGGTCAAGCAGGCCATCATAAAGTTTAAGTTCTTCGCGGCCGAGCACACCTGCAGTGGCAGACATAAGTTGGAGGAACATGCGCTTATCGGCCATGACGATCCGGGAGAATAGGAATAGGATTGCTGTCAGGAGATGCGTAGCGGCCTACTCGGAATTAAGGTCACTTCGTTGTACAGTAGTATACTGAAAGGCGTACTTACCTCGCCTTCAATTAGTGTGCTCAGAAGATGGGCAAACAGACCGGATGCGTGCAGAGGTTCTCCCCAGAGTGCGGATGGAGATAACTGAACCAAAATCTCCAACGACGTAAGCATATCCCTCATATTTATGCTCATAGCTTTGCTCTGAAAGGCGGTCAAGAAGGACTGGAAGATCTCGCCAGCTGAAGCCTACATGTGGATGAGCCACATGTGCCGACCAGAGATGCACAAACAAACACACCTGGAGCAGAGCAGGTCCGTCCAGCAAGAAGTACCCCTCCACAATGCCCACAACCTTTCCGAGCAAGTCGAGATTGGTCGCGAGCAGGTACAATGCCCGAGGGAAAAGCTCCAGTAAACTAGGCCCTCCTGTCGGACTTGTGACTGACGTAGCATTTCGAACAGTGTTAAGCCACAATTGTAATCCGTCTTCATCCAGATGCGTCATCACCTATAGACTATGAGAATCGTATGTATCCAAGGAATCCAGATGAAACTCACCCCGTCGGAAAGTGCCTCACGGATGAGGGGGATGGTCAGTCCGTTCAACGCCATAGATTGCTCGCGCACGGCCTATTGTACTATGTTAGATCCAATGGAAGGGAGGACACATGACGGGAATTACTTCAACAAGCTTGGCGACCATGGTTAGAAGTGTGCCCTTCAAAAGCCAATCATCGCCGGCGTCGGTCCCTACATGTCGATGAGTAACTGTCACACAACCAGTATGTCATGGCGTACAAATCTTAGGCAATGGCGCAGCAATGGCCATCATGAAAGGACTGATCTGTAGAGAACATCAGCTGCAAGAAACAGATGATGCGGAGAAACTTGCATATTTCTCAGTTTGCTCCATAACGGCGGTCAAAGTAGTTGCTACCCTTCGTTTGCTATCCGAAGTGTCTGTTTCGTCGATAAGTCGCACCAGCTCCGTGACTGCATCGGCGAGATATGGGGAGAAGAGGTCCGCAGAAAATTCGAGAGTCTGTGAAGACGACCTAAGCCTACGAGGCTTACATGGGTAATAGAAGTACTCACGTCTATGCATTCCCGTAAACCAGTTGCAGCGGTAAGACGGACTACAGTGTCTGAGCCCGGGCCTCGATCCTTCAACAAGTGCACAAGGATCTCCCATATCCTTGGATTGTTGGGCGAAGTACACTGTTCCGATACCCATTTCCCAATCACCCAAGATATCCTTCGCTTGATGATAGGGTAACTTTGGTCACAGAATCAGGGCGTTTGCGGCGAGGAGGATGTCATAAGACACTGACGTTGGATTTTGTGAACGGGCTTCTGCAGCCAAAGAGTGTTCAACCCATTCATTGAATGGAAGTGAATCCTTCAAACGAATGGCACATCTCCCAATCGCACAGTACAGGGCTTCTCTCTGCAGGATGGCGTTGAGGTCATCGGACGGTTGAGCTAGAGACCATCTTCAATGAAACCATCTTTCCTTCACGAGTTTAACTCACATGTGACGACGCTGTTGAATGTACTCAGTAAAAGAGGGGTTACCCAGTCCGAGAATTGGTTAGAGAGTTGCACGAGGACCCGCTCACTACATGCCTAGCATGCGACAGGTCAGGTAAACGTCGAGAGGAAAGGGAAAAACAACGTACACGAATCTCATACTCCCATTGGTCGTTTTCTCGGTCCTCCTCGTTTAGCCATTCCTCAGGGTCCGCCATCCATTTCTCGAGGTCGGTTGGATTGAGTGGCATAAAGCGGCCCACAAGCAATTGAACCGCGTTCTCGACAAACTCTTTGGAAAGCGCTTGTTGATCGTAAAGACCATGAAGAAGTAGTGCAAATACAAAGGAGCTTACAGTTCTTGTTTGCTGTCCCATCTCGCCTTGTAACCGACCACTGAGCAAGGTTCTCTTTGAACAACACCATTCCTTGAACCAAGAAGCGGAGAGGGTAGATAGCGTCCGGTTCGTCTAAGAATAGCGTTGAATGCCTATCGTTAGGATCACAATCGAGGGTCCTTACCTGAGATTGCCGTAGATGGAGCGTTAGTGGCAGCAACTATTTCGGACCAGTAAAACAAAACCAGATCTGCACACGGGGGAAGTTCGGCAAAGCGTTGATGTCCCAGTTGTTGTATCCGGCGAAAGAGCTTTCCGAACGTTAAAAGGTGTTTTGTGAGGATCACGATCGCAGGTTCGTAGGCTTTCAGCGCAGGGTTCTGTTCTCGAGCATTGAGAAGAGTCTTCCTGACAGACGTAATACTTTTGACTTGTTGTGCGGAGAAGCCCACCAACTCAGTGACCTATATCTCCAGAGGTTAGCTGTGATGCTGAGTTCGGAACACGGGATGGAAGGCTGACCCAGGTTTTATTGGCTTGATGTTCCTCAGCGGACTGTTTGTCAATCCTGTTCCAGATCCAAATGCCCATTTTCGCGATGCATTTGAAAACCAAGTGGCCGATAAGCATATCTTCGCACAATCTAGCTGGGTCTGGGCTGGAAGCTAAGGCTTCTGGGGTAAACCGCGTGGCAATAGTCGTATAATATCCGACGAATATTTGTCGTAACTGTTGCACAACCTAGATTAAACTCTAAGCGTGGAACCGCCTAGGGATAGGTGAGGAGAACGTACCGAGGCCATGGTCTTGACGCCATTTAGCATCTTCACGCTTGCCAGCTCTTTCAAAATCCCATTCACGAGTTTGAGACTTCGTTTCAGTAAGAGAGTAGTCTGAGGATCTGTAGACTGTGCTTGGTATCGTTGCTGCAGGCTGTTATCAATCGTGGAGACGAGGTCATTGATCAAAGTAGGCCTGAATAACACAGTCGACGGTGAGCTCGCTGATCTAATGGTGCCGGATGTAAGGAATACTTGCCAATTCGCAGGAAAATCGTATCGCGCGAGCTTGGCTACAATGACAGTATTGAATCCGGCAATCTGAAAGCAAGCAAGGGTGATCAGGCAGCTGTTTTCTGCACAGCTCGGACCAGGACTGACCGAATCGTCAGGTTCGTCAAGGAAGCTCAGGCACCGATTCCTAATCTCGACGCGGTGTGTGTCATTCAGGAGTCTGTTGAAGGAAAGTAAGTGTACGTTCTGGATGGCGGGGAATGGGCGCTTACTTGCGAGACTTCCAATGGGCCAATGCAGCTAATTTGAATTGGATAATGGCTTGTTGTCGGATCGCCAGAGGAACTGTACGCTGCGCTGCAATTTTGTGAAGCTCATTATATGTGCCAAACATCTCGAGCATCTCTTTCAGTCTTTTTCCAGCAGCCTGGATCTGAGGTTGGTTGTGCGAACAGGCATCGGTCAAAACCTGGTAGAGCTCTGGTGGGGAGACCGTTTCGACCTGGACTCCCATCGCCATTCCTGGAGGTGGCCGGGCGTCCATTTCATCCAATATTTATCGATCTGTCTTGCCGTGGAAGAAGAAAGTAGCGGACTTGTAGACTTGAAGGAAATCAGCAAAGGTGGATACGATGGATCAGACGTGAAGGGCTTGCAGGAGACTTTGAACCTCGGACACTCGGTACCAATACTCGGTCGCGTGACAAACAAGAACACATAACGCGTCACGTTCGCGTCAATCGTGAGAAGCTCGTAGTCGCCATCGCTGGCACGCAGCTTGTACATATTCTCTCCAAATTGTTGAATGGTCCTTGCACTTCAACGTTTTCTGCGTTGCTTAGGGCCAACTTTATCCTCACGCTGCCTACTTGCAACAATGCGAGCAACACCGGAAAGCCTGATCGACGACTCTGAGCCCGAACGGGTTCAGATCAGAGATTGTCTGCAAGGTGCAACTACCGAACGACAGCGCCCATTTACTCCATGCCCCAACCGCGACATGGAAACCATACAGACCATTGAAATATCCGACTCAGAATCTGACCGTGAAAACAGCCCGACACCAAGTGAGTTTTCTCTTCGCAGGCTCGTACAGGAATTGACACGCTTTTAGGCCAACGCAAGTCAAACAGCTACACGAACCGAATCGCATGAACTAACAGCTTTCTAGCGTCTGCACCTCCTGCGTATCGACATCGAGAAATGCCAGCCAAAGTCAAATCCCTACAGCTCTCCCAATTTGCTTTCCGAGGGATGGCAACCGCGTCCTCATCCCGAGCTCCCTCTGAAGAACATGAAGTACCAAATACATCCAATACCGTACACCCAGCACCCCCGCCAAAGAAACCAGGCCGACCGAGAAAGGTTGTACACGAATTCATGTCAGAATTCACCGACAAACAGATATCCACTGTTCTTAAATGTGTAAGTTGCAATGCCCGGTGGACGGTCCGGAAAACGGCGACCGAGAAGCGAAGGCATATGCAAGTATGCTCAAGAAAAGCTGCCTATACCCCGGAAACCATGCGACTACTCCTCCAAAAAGAGATAAACGACAGGCTACCTTCTACAGCACCTCCAAGGGACGTCCCACCACCTGAAAGCCCCACCTTATTCGAGGGCTACAAGCCCCTCGAACTCCCTAAGCGACGATCGAAGTCTGTGAAGACTACCGCTTCGTTGGTTATTGCGACTTCAAACAGGGACGAAATTCTGGAGCGTGCTCAGCGACTCATCCAATCCGAGACTTCTTTAACTGTGGGCCCTCGCTTCACTCAGATCTTCGCGCCTAGTCGACTCGGCGCTGCATCAGGAACCCGGCCCCTTGACATAGAAGCGTCCCCGTCACCGCCTCCAACCACACAGGACTTTGCTCCGAGCCGGTTGGGTGCAACTTCTGGCACCAGACTATTCCAACCAGAATCGTCCCCATTACCAGCTACGCAAGGTTTTGCTCCCACAAGGTTCGCCACAGCGACAGGCACCAGTCTTTTCTCTGGAGCCGGTGAAGAAGTGTCATCCCCGCGTTCCCGTAGTCGTTCTAAATCGCCGTCTGTGAGTAGACGTATCTTTGTAGGCGCATGGGCGATTGAATAGATTTGAAGGAGGGCGGTTTGTCTGAGACTCGCAAAACGCCTAGGAAGACTGCAACGCCTCTGGCGCGCAGGTCACCCTCTCGAGCCTCGTCAAAAGGCTCAGACGTAGAATGCACGCCGAGGGCGAAGCGCCGAAGCGCGAAAACCCCTGCAATATGGAATAAAGACTGGCAGAAGGCGCTCATGAAGAAAATTTCTGAAGACCGCGAAATCAAGCTCAAAATTCTTCGATATGAGGTATGACTCGCAGAAAGACATGCCCAAATGGTTATCCCTTACATGAAAGGTTCCAGCCCATCTCGCTGCATGTCTTCCACACGCTTCTCATCCCCGGCCGCACCAAACTCAGCCTGAAGCACAAAACAATGCTGGTCGCATTCTTGGAGAACGAGGTGCGTCTGTTTCTTGAATGCGGTTAGGATTTCTTAGAAAACCGTGGCCATAGGGAATCACGACTTATGACCCAGAGACAACTTGGGGAAAGACAAAGGCTAGCAGGGCTAAATCCGTCAGGGGAGGATGAACGAGTTACAAAGTAGCGTTTTCCGCAATCTATTACTTAGCATACACATAAATATCTTACCACGTACGCGATCTAAAGAGCCACATCACTAATTTGTGCGGCCTCGATCATACCCCCAATAAGATGTAAGCTACCGGATACGAGCACTTGGACTGGTCGACCACCGTCATGCAAAGAATCAATATGGCGAACGGCGTGCTCTATAGAAGGCAAAACCAGGATGTCGGAAGTCGGAAAGTTGGGTAAATGGGCAGACCACGCTTCTTTGAGTTGCCGTTGGGTCTTGAGAGTTTCCAAGTCGCCCTCTGGAATTGCGATGGTGGTCAAATCGCCCTTGAAATGTCCGTCAGCGTAGGTGACGTTGGTGCAGAAGATAACACGATCGAAGAAGTCGTCCGCCTTCAGCCGAGTATTCAGTTCTTGCAGACGCTCGTTAATGGTTTTCAGTGCAATACCGAGAAAGCTTTCTCCAGAGCGTCCGTTGGTGCAATTGAAGACCAAAACCCGGAGTGGTCTAACATGAGACGTGTTAGGGAGACCAGCGAGTCTCTAACCAAAATGCACGTACTTTTTCTCTTCAGCCCGGGTTGAAAGAGCGACACCCGGTGTTACAAACCATCGGAAGCAACAGCGCAAACTTTCGACAGTATGAGCGCCGTCCAGGAACCAGGTTGTTTGCGGTCTACGGGGATCGTCAACTTGTTGGCAACGGCCCGGCCACTTTGTGGACTCCAGTCCGGCTTTCTCGATCGCGTTCAAAGAGGTATCGGTTCCAGGAACGGTTTGCTTCATCTCTTCGAGGAATTGGCGAACGACGTGGATGGCAAGGTTGGCGTTCTCGATCTGGTGATCTCCAGCCAATCCTAATTTAGTCGTTGTAACCTCCGGAATGGTTTCAATCACTTTAAATGCAGAAGCCTAAACGAATTTGAAATTAAATGAACAACAACACAGTAAGTTATGACAAACCTTCAGTTCTTGAGCTCTCTCCTTCAGAACCTTTAGGGCAGATTCTGGCTGGTTAACAGTCAAAGCCGGCACTCCATCCTAGCTCCAGTTCAGATATGCCGTCTCCGTGTGCGAGAGCGCGAATACCAACCTTGTAGATCCCGGCCTTCTGCCATGCAATATCCTCCAAAGTTTTCCCCAAAACGGCGACATGGTCTATCCCCAGAGCACTGACAGCGGTGACAACAGGTTTCGGAACAATGTTGGTGCTATCATACGTTCCGCCAACCCCAACTTCCAGGACCGTAGCGTCAACCTTTGACTCCAGGAATGCATGGAAAGCCAGCAATGTGACGAATCGGAAATACCCAGGCATCACGGACGTGCTTTCGTGTGCCCTCTTAATGATGAGGGTTCAATTGATTCTTGACGGGAGTAGCAGACGTACTGTTGTGTTTTCTTGGAGGCGATTCCATACTTCGAAGAGGTATTTGGCGAAGAGTTCTTCAGAAATTGGGACACCGTTGATTCGGATACGTTCGCGGACTGCTACGAGGTGGGGTGAAGTGTACAATCCTTGCATCCAGCGTCAATCTTCTGGAGTATGAATTGATGGAACAGGAGACCATACCAACTTTCCATTCGGGTTTTGCTTTGCGGAGGATTGAATCAGTGAAGGCGCTGGTGGATCCCTTGCCTTTGGTGCCAGTAATATGGATGACATTCAATTTATTCAGTTTCTCTGGCTGCAAAAAATTAGAGAAGTATGACAGAACGACCAGGACAGCGTACCGTATAGCCTATCCTGCCCAGATACTCCAGCATCTCCGGAATGGCAAACTGGCTCAACCTGCCACCGGACGCCCTGACAGCCTCGAGCGTCGCCGCATTGGACTGCAAGGTGTTCAGCTTTTCAACAGCGTCCTGGTACGAAGTCATCGATGAGAGAAGTCTAAAATTGAGGGGTTGTCGGGCAAATCGATGGACTGCGAACAGATAAGGACGCATTCCGCCCGAAATTCATTCTTTTGCTGAGAAATTCAAACGCAAGAGCGCCAAATCGGACCGATCCAGTGAGTGACCCAATAGGTCACGTGGTCGTGATTACTCAACGCGACGCGCCGGCTGTCAGTGTGTAGGGCGCGTCCAACTTTTTGCTCAACCCAACGACATCGCCAGGCGGGCTATGTGAAGAGGACTATACAGCCCTGCAAATTATTCCATCATCTCCATCATCTTTCCCCTGTAAATTCTTGGGAATTATCCCCCTTTCTCTTCTATTGGGACACTTTGCTTTTATTATTTATTCAGTGCCAATACCTATGGAAAGATACTTTCCAGTTGCACGAAGTTCTTTTTCACGACAAGTGCCCACAAGCATACGACTCATCAAGAATCCACCCCCTTTGAACGAAGACTGCTCTCAGAAGGACGACGCCGAGCCCAGGGTCATTGCTCCAGCCTCCCATCCCTCCGGGGTCAAGGAGAAGCACACATTTGCCAAAACATTCGCCAAAGATGCCTCAAGAGCGGATTTCAATGCAGTCCTTCTCAAGACACTGGGTACGAAGGATAACCCCATCACTCATTCCGACATAATGGAGAGGTCAGGTCAGCACGACCCGCTCCCAACGCCCGCATGAAGGCTCAGTTTTTCGACAGATTTTGTGCATTCTGCTGCCACCGGACACCAGCGCACTGAGGAAAGAGTGAACAGAAGGCTATGGCACCAACATACCGAGCCTAAGCTGAGGGCCCAGCGAGCTCAATCGTCCGGTGCAGCAGCACCTCAGCAGATCTTTCGCAATATTCGGGTCTACATCAATGGGTATCTGGACGGAACAACCGACATTGAAATCAAGAGAATCGTGACTGAGGGGGGTGGAACGGTCGTGTACGCTCCCTCCGCTTCTTCCTCGAGTGTGCGGTTACTGATCCCCTTCATAGACCCACACCTTCAAGGAGCACTCATATTCTGACGTCGACAGGGCTGAGTGGATCCAAGTCGCAAAAGTTTTTAACTTCGAAAAGTCAACGACGATACATTGTGAAGCCCGAATGGATTCTCGATAGTTATGCTCGAGGAAAGCGTAGGTCGGAGAGTATGTATATCGTCAAGCTCGATAGGACTTCAAAATATTTCGGTTAACGGTTAATGTAACATTGTGAACTTAATACATGAACTGATAGGGATAGCAAGGACTGGAACTAGAGAGAGGATGTCAGAAAAAGTCGATACAGATGGGAGGAAAATGGTAGATCAGGACCTCCAAGCGTATTAAAGGAGGACGGGCGAAAGGTTTCGTCAAAGAGTGCAAGACTCTTGGTCTGGTGCACAGCTCGAATTCATCGCGAAAGGTGAAAGAAGTGTTGCTCACCTATTGTTTGCAAAGGAAGGGAAGAAGAGGACTCGGATGAAGAAGAAAGAAAAAAAGAAAAAAATGAAGACTTTAGCTTGTTGGGACTTGCTTGTTTCAAGGGACAAAAGAAAATAGGAGCCGGGCCGGTTGGGAGCAGTAGGGCGGTTGGGCAACGTCTTCCACCGTCATCTGTGGAACGACTCATATGCCTTGAACACCGACTCTAATAACACTCCTTTAAATGCACTTTCTCTTTACGCCCAACCACATCCAGCTGCTGAGCTCATGCTATCCCCCGACCTCTGCCCTCCTCACAGCGGGTCCAGCCTATGCTCCCAGTGCCCATGAACTCAGTCGACTCACCTATTATGCGTATGCTCTAGCTATTCAAAACGTAATTATAAAGACTAATTATTGCAACACTAGATCCAATCACCCTGGTAAACTGACCAAACTAGGAGCTGAAATTGAGAAGCGAGTTCGAACTGAGGCTAGGAAGGCCAAGGCAGGAAACCTCAGGGCAAGAGCGTGAGCTATCGCAAGTTCTTGTTTCACTCCACGCAACTAATGTAAACGCAGTACCCTGCTTATAACGTTCGCCATCTTCCGTGCTCTGGCCACGGAATGCCGACGAGACATTGCTCTCATTTCTCCCGCCTTAATTGCTTCGATTGATGTCGCCCTCGCCGCCACACCTCAAGATCTCGAAGTCGTTGCAAGAATCGCCAGTGTGGTAAGTCGTTTCTGATGGATTTGTTACTTGCCACCCACTTAGTATCTCTCTTCAGTTTACTGCCTGGACAACTTATACCAACGGCCAGTTGATTGGGACTGACCATGTCCTCACTCAAAACTATCTATCCGTTCTGCGGCAATTTGCCGAACTTAGTTGTAGCAAGTCAATGGATTCTGAGACAAGGAATAGGTACGTTTTCCAGGTTTTCGCGAGCTCCTTGACGTTATTCACAATTCCGTTGCAAGGACACGTTTGATTGGCCTTGCAGCAATCACCGGCGCCCTTAACTCTGAAGCTCTCTATAATGATTCTCGACAATTCAAAGCACAAATCATAGTCCTTATGCGACCCATTCTTCTTTCTTTATTCGAAACGAACCTATCTACCCTCGACGAGCAGTGAGTGTCTCGGTCTTAGTACTTTCGCCCGCAGTGTGTTGAGCACACTCTTCAGATCTACCGCAGCAAGGGATACTCCAAGCTCTCCGTATCTAGCAGAGTTTAGGACACGACCGGCCCTGGAACGACGAGCGGCATCCATACACCTTCACATTGATGGCGACAAAGGCCCATCCTCTACGGACGTTTCTGACGCTTGTTTGCGCGCGCTGTTCTCTCTGTTGGAACACGCAGGCGGTGTGCAGCTCGGACACATCATGCAATCCTCTTTTGACAACCTCGATGCCATTGATGGGTGGAAAGCCCTTGATCACTGTTGTTGGTACGCCAAGAAGCTGGTTGAATGGGCACAATATCAGTACCGCTTCGTGGTGCCCACATGGCTGGTGGACAAGCTTCTGGAAAACCAGGACGCCCATGGACCCGATCCACTTCAGCTTGCGTTGGCGTCTATGGTGGCAACAATATTTACGTCTCCGACCCCTCTCATTAGCTTGTCGTCTTCTGACTTGATCTCCAACTTACTGACCCTCCTACTTCGCCGGAACTCAATTTCATCAACCGACCCTTTAATCCCTCCCGTCATCAAATGTATTGCATCTTTGGGATGTCACATATACTATGCCGATCAAATTCAGGACCTTGCCGTAGGTGTCACTTGGGCTTCACATCTTCAAATTTCAGCGTCTTAATCCCCACAACAGGTCGAAGTTATTAACCGTATCGTCATGATAGAAGTTCAAGGCCCCAGAGAAGATGGAAAAGTGCCGAAAGGTCGCTCCTCGGCCCTTTGTCACTTGCTGAAGGCACTCAAAGATCTCATCCGCATGGCCAACGAACACGAGGCGATGACGGTTCCCGGGCCTATGAGGACGTCAAGAGAAAGGTCGCGCTCTCCGCCACCTCGTATTGAGGCTCAGAAGCCTGAGCTGACGGTGATTGCACCGCGAAGAACGCGGGTCTCGCCTGAGCTGTGGCAAGACACGCTCAGCTTGATCTGCGACAGGGACCTCGAAGTCAGGAAGGAGTACAGTGACACTTTGGTCTATTACCTCACTGAGGAAATGCCCAAGGTCGGAGAACTTCTAGATGCCGATGGTGTTCGAAGAGTCCCCAAACTCTCGGAAGGCGCAATGCTTCAAGTCGCGAACGTCAACCTTTTCCTCAATTCGGGGGATGTCGGCAGTCAGTTCCTCGACGCATTACATGCGTACGCATTCATTCTTGCCATCAACACTACTCCAGGGTTAAACCTCCCTTCGCAATCACCCGAACAATTGGATTCCGCTGGACCATCGAGTGAAGACAGGACAAGTTCAGAGGAAAGGAGGCGCTCGATGTCGATATCAGGTCGACCGCGAGCAAGGAAGGCATCTCTGCAGCGTCGCCTAACTCTGGATCCAGTATCGCTTCCTGTCCCTCCACTTGGATGGGAGGCCGACTATGCAAGTCTCCGAACAATACTTCAAACTGTCCAAAATCAATTGCCTATTAGAGGTCTTCTGACTGGCGTCCCTATGCTTGCCCGGCTTAGCAATTCCATTGCCAATTCACCGACATCCACACTCGCAGGCCCTTTGAGCGCCATCATCGTTGAACTTTGGAAGACAATCGGGGAGATCTGGGAGTCCAAGGAACTGGTCGAATTTGCGGAGAGGGTTCGTAATGCTTGACGTGTTACACGAGTCTCTTGTTGACAACAATCCCAGGTTTTAAGTGGTGGTACCGTTCCCCGGGAAGTGGACAGTGCAAATGTGCTTCAACTTTTGGCGGATTGTGTGCATGTCCAAGCAGCATTGGGTACGGACGCGGCTGAAATTCTCCGCCGGTTGTCCGTTCATTGGACGCCCAAAGGCGCTCTTTATGGATGTGAGTCCCCGTCTTTATTTGATCACCATAAAGCTGACATTCGGTCAGTTACTGAGAGGACCACGCAAGCATTCGACGCGACCGTCCGAGGCGACAATCTCTCGCCACTTCTGAAGCTTTCTCCTGCTTTGATGCAGATCGAAAACCTTTCACTACAAAGTCTGGCCAAGTCTACGAGGGGCCTGGGAGTATCCGACCTCCGGGAGGCTCTGGAAGGGAGGAACAATATGTCCAATCCAGCTTTGGCCAAAGCAGCCTCTATATCCACATACGACTACACTTCCTCGATGACAGGCGGTGATGTGCTGAGCGGTTTGGGACTTACGCCAACACGCTCGAGGACTAAAGCGAGCCCTCGAAAAGCGTCTGCGACCAGCGGCGATGTTAAAGACGTGCTGTCCAAGCTTGGGATTGGCAAGCAGAGCAACACTCGGCTCAAAACTCCTTTCCAATCGGTTGCACAGAAAATGGATAGTTAATCGGTACCATATTCGATTTCATCTTGGACGTTGAGCGCCTAATTTATCCCCATCGATATCCTGAACCTTCGTCGTATTTATCTATTTTATTTAGGTGTTGGCGTTTAATTAAGTATATCCGTTTGTACGTTGCTGTCAGTGTAATGAATATCCTTGGGCATCTGTTGGGCATATGCTTTCGATCAAATCATTCGGTCCCGACGTGCTTGTTCCCTTGGATGACGCACACGCCTGACTTGACCTTTCTTTCCTCCGCCTCCACAACACCTGGGGTCTCTTCGAATGATGGTTATCGACGACAACATTGCATCTCATCTCAGCTTTCTCATCGATGAGTCGAATGTCGACAAGCTAGCGGATAAAACGGCGTTCGCAGAGTGGTCGTCGTATGTCCATTGGTCGTCGTACCGTATTCGCGGCCGTCACTGAACCAAGCTGCCTAGGATACGAGAACCTGTTGCGAATAAGCTGCCCGCCGTGGATGACGAAGGTTCGGATGAAGAAACAGTGGAAGGCCTGACCATCGCACAATTCTGTGCTTCTAGTTCGCCAGGTCAAGCGTCGGGCAGTGGATCAGCTGGTCTTATCGAAGAGTCTCTGTGGAATGACATCGATCGGTACGACCAACACATACTGTGAGCTCCCGTTCTGACTGTACATACGTTCTAAGATCGCAATGGAAAGCTCTACTGTCTGTCTTGTCTTCAAAATCGTCGGATGAAGAGGTGTCGGGCGAGGTAGTGGAAATTATTGGTTATGAGAAAATCGACCTTGTGTCCACCATCTTGTCACGCCGCTCAGAGTTTGTGGCCCAGGTCGGTCTCCTTGTAGGGGTGGAGCTATTGGATCTCACTCTTTGAGCAGATAAACAACCGCCTTGATTCCGGCGCAGCAGGCCCTCCTACTCGAAGCGGCCCAATATCCCCTGAACAAATGTTCATCGACAGCAGGGCACGGATAGAAGCATCTTTGCAAGCCAACGCTTCCCGACCATTGTTCTCTGGAACTGCAGATGGGGTGCGTTGGGTCCACCATCGCCGGAGGCGAAGGCACCTCTAATCCCGTTTCACTTTCCACACAGACGGCCGCACCGGAAATTCTCCCCAACGTTTACACTAGCCAGATGTCCGCTGCTGGTGGAGGATCTATACTTTCACAATTTGGGTCGAAGTACGCCCTTCCTCTGGGCACTACACATCACCTCTATCAAGTGAGTATGTGGATTGAAAAGGTGCATCTATGGAAAGCTGATATTTGGTCAAAGGAATACGAAGAATTCGTTGTACCCCCACCTTCAACTGTTCCCCCCAGGGTTCACGAGCGTCCTATAATGATCAATGAATTGGATCCGCTCGCAAAAGGGTGTTTTGCTGTACGTCCACATGGAATTCCACCACCCCTTGTCGTTTTTAGTTTGACTTCTACAGGCATACACCTCACTCAATCGAATTCAATCGATTGTCTATCCAATAGCACATGGGACAAATGAGAATATGCTTGTCTGTGGTATGAGATTCTTTTGGATAAAACATACTCCTGAAGTTCACCCTTTGATCTAGCTCCCACCGGCGCTGTGAGTTTTTGGACTCTTCCTGAATCGATTTGTTGGCGGGGAGAACTAACGAACGCAGGGTAAAACAGATGTGGCCCTCTTGACCATCCTCCGCGTTCTAGATCAACATCGCGATACTGAAGGGTCCAGCCTCAAGGATAGCATACGGCGTAACTCTTTCAAGATCATTTACGTGTAGGAGAATTGTTTCAGCCTCCAGTTCATTCCACTGATAGACACAATAGAGCACCCATGAAGGCCTTGGCTTCAGAAATTACCAGGAAGTTCAGCAAAAGGCTGAGGTGGCTTTCCATTAACGTGCGGGAATTGACAGGTACGAGTCTACTGTTGCCGCACTGTGATATACACTTCATTGGGACCCTATGCAGGTGATATGCAAATGACCAAAGCAGAGATTGCGGAGACGCAAATCATCGTGACGACGCCAGAGAAATGGGATGTCGTGACGCGTAAACCGACAGGTGAAGGGGAGTTGGCATCTGTAAGCGTCGCTATCATTGAGGTTAACCTCAGACCGCTGAAAGTAGCAAATATCAGAGCATCAAGTTACTTATTCTCGACGAAATCCACTTGCTGAACGAAGACCGTGGAGCGGTGATTGAAACAATCGTGGCCAGAACTCTTCGTCAGGTGGAATCCAGCCAATCAATTGTTCGAATCGTAGGGCTCAGCGCGACTTTGCCAAACTATGTGGATGTGGCTCAATTCTTGAGGTACGCGGCATCGTTTCGAAACCTCTGGATAGCGAAATGCTCAATCCTTAATAGCGTCTCTCTACAGAAAGGCCTGTTTTACTTCGACTCGTCGTTTCGCCCTGTTCCATTGGAGCAGCATTTCATTGGGGTAAAGGGGAAACCGGGCAGTGCATTGTCCAAGAAGAATATGGACTACGTGACCTTCCAGAAGGTCATGGAGCTGGTTCAACAAGGTCATCAAGTGATGGTATTCGTACATGCTCGAAAGGAAACAGTCAAGACGGCAATGACCCTACGAGAGATGGCCATGGCAGATGGAACCTTGGAACTCTTCATGTGTGATGATCATCCTCAGTGGGGCAATTTCCGCAGAGAAGTTGGGGAATCTCGTAACAAGGAAATGAAGTTCCTGTTCGACAACGGTTTTGGGATACATCACGCGGGAATGCTCCGCTCGGACAGGAATGTCATGGAGAAGCTGTTTGAAGCGAGAGCCATCAAGGTATGGTACCCCTGCACCTTCAATTGTTCTATGCAAATAACGACTCCAGGTTTTGTGCTGCACGGCAACCTTGGCCTGGGGTGTCAACTTGCCTGCCCACGCAGGTGGGAACTTCATCCGTCTGTTATGACATTGGGGCTCATGTTGGATTTCATTTACTAGTCGTGATCAAGGGCACTCAGGTTTACGATGCCTCGCGAGGTGCCTTTACGGACCTATCAGTTCTCGACGTCCTGCAAATCTTCGGTCGAGCCGGCCGGCCTGGTCTGGAGGCTAGTGGAGAGGGATATATCTGCACGACCGATGACAAGCTCCATCACTATCTGGAAGCCGTCACCTCTTCCGTCCCAATCGAATCGAGGTAACGTTAATGTCCCTCCTCGCCGTTGCCTAACATTGATCTCTGTTTGTTTATAAAGATTCCAAGGTGGTATGATCGATGCTCTAAACGCCGAAATCTCGCTGGGGACCGTGGCCACCTGCGACGATGCGGTCCAATGGCTAGGGTATACCTACCTCTTTGTCCGAATGCGCAAGAACCCTTTCATTTATGGTATGCCGCCCCATCCTATCCGCAGCCTGATATTAGGCTCAAAATTGTTATAGGCATTGATCGAGACACCCTCGCGGACGACCCGGGACTTGGCAACAAGCGTAATGAACTCATCACTATTGCCGCCAAACGACTCGCGGAGACAAAGATGATCATTTTCGATGAAACAACCCGTACATTGCAAAGTACAGACCTAGGCCGAATTGCCGCTAAGTACTACATACGGACCGCATCTATAGAGATTTTTAACAAGGAATTCCGGCCGAAAATGTCTGAAGCTGATCTTTTGGGTATGCTGAGCCTGAGCACTGAGGTATGTTGTTTATCATCTCCAGCATGAACGGCCAGTTGAATTCCCCTAGTTCGACCAAATTCAACTCAGAGAAGCGGAGATGAAGGAGATAGAGGAACTGATGGAGAACATTCCTTGTGAAGTCAAGGTAACTAGGATAGCCTCTTTTGCCGCAGACTTTGAGCTGAAACAATTTAGGGTGGCACATCGACCCCAGCTGGGAAAGTAAATATCCTCCTCCAGGCCTACATATCCAGATGGGACACACTCAATGACTTTGCCCTCGTTTCCGACATGGCTTATGTGGCGCAAACCAGCGGCCGAATCATTCGCGCGTTGCTCGAAATCTCTATCAGCAAGAAGTGGGCAAGCGTGACTTCCGCACTGCTAGGGTTGAGCAAGGCGATCGAGAAGAGGATGTGGCCTTACGATCACCCTCTCGAGCAATCTCAGCTCAAATTCGAAACTTTAAATGCTTTGCGGAGATGGGCAGACGAGATGACAGTCGAAGAGCTCGCAGAAACGGACTCGAAGACTTTGGGAGATTTGGTTCACCTCAACGAGCGTCAAGGATTAGCTATTGCGACAGCCGCAAAGCAATTCCCATCTGCCACTATCACCTATAAATTACAGCCACTCGCTAATGATATCCTCAAAGTATCATTGGTGATAGCTCGCAACTTCACCTGGAACCCTCGACTTCACGGAACAAGCGAACCTTTCTGGATATGGATAGAAGACGAAGAGGGTCTGACCATCCACCAACTTGCCCATCTTGCGTTCCATCAGAACACGACCCATTTGGACCTAGACTTCATTTTACCGGTATCGGCTGATGACATGCCATCTAACCTCGTCGTTCGATGGGTCTCCGATTACTGGATTGGCGCTGAACATCAAACATACGTCTCACTTGAAAATGTTGTCATGCCTCCCAAGTCGCAGAGTCATACCCCTCTCCTCGAATTGCCCTTCATCCCCATTTCGGACATTCTCAATCCCCACGTCGCCTCAATCTACGGCAAAGAAATAGGTGTCTTGAATTCCATCCAAACCCAGGCACTCTGGTCGTTTATGCATTCCAAAGAACATGCCTTGCTGTGTGCGCCGGGTGGAAGTGGTAAAAGTACCTTCGTTTCAATGATCCTTCAGTGAGTGATCTGTCTTGTGCCTTGTCGGCTCGATGAATGACATAGTTTACTTTTATCAGGTCCCTCATGGTAACAGAACGATCGAGGTGGATCATTATTGTTGCTCCTAAGAGGAGCGTTGCGCAGGACCTTTTCGCCAATCTACGCGGGACGACACGGGAACTTGCATTGAAAGTCGAGTATCCAACGCCTGGGTCCCTCCTCCGATACAAACCTGGGACCATATACGTTGTCACCCCGCCATCTCTTTTGGAGGCCCTCTTGTGCCGGGATCCGACGACACAGGTTGACAGACTCGATGCGGTCCTCTGCGACCATCTTGAGCAGCTGGATAGTTCGTATGAACTGGCCGTCTCCTTGCTTAGATTTGCTACTCAAAACAGCCCAACAAGATACATCGGGCTCAGTGACTCTCTCAACGACCCGTCCGACCTTGCGGCTTGGTTAAATGTCGATCCACACTCACTTTTCAGTTTCCGTCCTCGAGATCGCGAACAGTCCCTTCAGCTCCACCCACACACATTCACAATCCCGCATTCTGCTGCGCTGTTCAAGGCCATGGCAAGACCGGCTCACAAGGCCATTGCAAGCACGTTAACAGCAGAGTGCGCTATCGTCTTCGTTCCCTCACGCAGTCAATGTCGCTCCATCGCCCTCGACCTCATCACGCAATGTTCACTTGATTCCGAGACTGCAAGAGGGTACCTCGGCCCAGACATATCCGAAGAGTCGCTGCAAGTGTATCGATGCCAATTCCAGGATCAGGAGCTGGGGGATTTCCTCATCAAAGGCGTTGGTTTCTTCCATCCTGGAATCCACAAACAAGATCGAAGGCTCATACTCCAGCTCTGCGTCGAAGGCGTGATCCGAGTACTGTTAGTACCGAAGGATTCCTGTTGGGAACTTCCAATGCGGTCACCCGTCGTCGTGGTGTTGGGCACCCAGTATGTGGAGGTTCAACCAGAAAGCAATATCCGTCGGATACGGGAGTACAGTCTGTCCGACATCACGCGCATGCAGAGTCTGGCCGTTTCACATACAATGACTGGACATTTCCACCTGTTCTGTCAGTCAGAGCTACTGGACACCTACCTGCGGTTCTTGAACGAGGGTTTACCGTTGGAATCACAACTGAATTCCTTCGACGACTTGCGTAGTGTAACTCAGAAGCTACGTGCAAAAGGCGTCGTTGTGAGCAAGCAAGATCTATTCGATATCTTATCCTTTACATTCCTATCGCGGAGGCTATCTAGCAATCCAACATTCTATGGGTTCGAGGGGGGTTCGGGAGACGAGCATCTATCACGCATTGTCGATAGCGTCCTGGACGAAACACAACCGGAGCCGCAAAGCACGCAGATAGAAAGTCGGTAGATGCGTAAAGATTAGTTCTCAATGTAAGCCTTCAATTTTTGCAACTTGTCAGCTGCTGCCTTCAAGGTGTCGATGTCCTTGCAGAAAGCGAAGCGAGCGTAGGCTTCACCGATGCGGGCGTGCTCTTCACAGTAGAACTGGGATGGGGTTTAGACATTGTTTTCACGGGCAAGAGCCTAAGCATACCTCGCTAACAGGGATGGAGGAGACACCAATCTCCACGGCGATGAACCAGCAAGCCCTGGGTCAAATGTTACAAACGGAAAGGTAATGGAAGAGAAGATGATGTACCTGAAGTCGCGGCCACGCCCAAGGACAGACTTTGGGAAAGGATAGTCCTCTGGGAACTTTACCTTCGAGATGTCCTGGAGGTGATATCTTTGTCAGAAAAGACAAACACGACCCCTATTTACAGAGATGGCTCACCAAAAGGACGAAATAACTGCCTTCAGGGAGACTGTACTTCAAGCCCAGTCTGTCAAAGGCATCACATAAGATCGCACGTCGTTCAGCATATTCCGCCAATTGTGTCTCAAAGAACTTTCGTTCCTGGGCTTGTTCCAAGCCGCAGGCGGCAGCCTCCTGCAAGGGGGAGTTTGTGCAGAACACAATGCGAGTGGTAGCGGCAAGTGTGGGTTGAATGATGGACGGGGGACCGAGAAGCCAGCCGATTCTCCAGCCAGTAGCGGCGAAAGCCTCTGTGGAAGGGGTAGTGTAGATCTATCACTAGGGGTCTCGGAGAAGCACGTACTGCCTGCAGAGCCTACTGTCACAGTTCGATCCCACATTCCGGGGAGAGTGGCAATGCGGAAGTGTTCTTTGCCATCAAAGACGAGGCTGTCGTACTGGTGACATGTCAGCTTGCTGAAAGTCATCAACAAGATTCGCCATAAACTCACCACTTCATCCGACATGACGAGGAGGTTGTTTTCCTCCGCGATAGCGGCAATTTCTTCCAACTCTTCCTTCGTGAAGACTTTCCCAACTGGGTTGTGTGGGGTGTTCACAATAATCATCTTCGTGCGAGGTGTGACAGCTCTCCTGTGGCACCTGTAAGATTCGTTGAAGCTTTGGCATGGAGGGGAACGTACTTCAATTCATCGAAGTCGATTGTCCATTCGCCGCTGGAGCTCTGAAGCTTGGACGACGTAGGGGGATGGAGGGGAACATAGACAGGCTTTCCGCCGTTGAATGTGACTGAAGGTAAATATTGATCGAAGAACGGCTCGAACATAATGACTTCATCGCCTTGCTCTAGGAAGGCAGTGAAGACCGAATATTGACCTGCGATAACAATCAGTTGTGAATGGAGAGACACGCACCGAACGGACGCACCTTCGTTTGCTCCACTGGTGACAAGGATTTCAGACTCGACGTCGAGATCTCTATTGAGAAGTGGACTATAGAAGTTCTTGAGAGCTTCCCTGAGGCGGATGCGACCTCTGGGGTGGGAGTAATGGTTCGGAGCGACATCCTGAAGAGCATCTTCAGCTGCCTTTGTGACCCATTTAGGAGGTGCGAAGTTCATGTAGCCTTGTCCTAGATTGATGCACTCTGCTGGCAGATTCGCAGCACTAGACCATAAGATCACGTTTGAATTGAATAGACTGGAGAAATTGTCGGAACACATACGCAAATATGGACCAGACATCTTGTGCCAGAGCACGGCCCTCCTTCAGTCTGGAAGAAAAAGGGATCAAATTGGATCGGTCTTGCTTCTGAGCACCATTAGTGTGTACGCCGTTTGCCATGGTCCTTGTACCCAATCTGTGCCAGTTGGAGGCTGTAAGGTGAACGATTCTACCGCGAAGCAAAGTCGCCAGGGCTGATATGGGGGAAACAGTCAAAGTGCGGAGAGCCATTCGATCTTATGACCATTATTGCGCCAGCACCGAGTCAAATCGGACAACCTCGGGTTTAACAAATCGCATCATCGTCGTCCACGATACTTTCTTCACCGTCTCAGATTCAGACCAACTCTGCTCCAGCGGCATGAATCCCACCGCAGAGCATAGTTACTCGCCGATATCGACGAGTCTCCCGGCTACTATATGCACCGTTATCTGCGCTGTGACCCAGTGATCTCGTTGATGCATCGCGTTGACCTCGACGACGGTACAATTAGAAACTGCAATACTCGAAAACAAGGCAACAATCTTCTATCTTCTCCGTCCTAACGCTGCCCATGTGTTACCACTCATAGGAGACACCCTGCTGTTCACTTGGTCAATGTCGTGGCGGATTGCTTCCCATTTATAGTCCGACTTCTCTCTCGTTCTCACTCGCACCATACTCTCAATCGCCTGCTTTCCTATTATAATCCCTCCATATTCCTGTGAAACTCCACGATAGTTCGGAACTTGAAGGCGTCCATCGGTTCACATCACCAGATGCCATAGGGAAAACGGTGTCGAGTCGTTAACCCCACTCGCTCGCATTCAACAGTCAACGAGCGTGTCCCCCGTGGCGCGGACGATGCTTAAACGCTACCCAATGTTCCGTCTGGTGTGTAGGACGTATGACAATGGGTAAGGCGATGGTTGGCTGACATGGCTTCAATGTCGTCCTTAAACCCCGCAAATTCACAGATTTCAACATGTAGAAGGTCTAAAACGGGGATCCTCAAGCTTAAAGGACTGTGTCTTCCGATTCTCAGCCGCTCGACCGAACCTTCTCCGCTTCTTCTCGACCTACATTTAATGCCCCCGCATACGACGTTCTCGACGACAGGATCACATACTAGGTTCTAAAGGTGATGGGACTAACACCACTGTCCTCTGACGAGCTTTCGTTGCTCCGATCCCTCCAATCGTCGGAAAATTAGAGCCTTTGTATGGGCCTATGATTCAATCACAGCGCATGCAGGCCACTAGCGAATCCAGGGATCGGTCTCGATGGGACAAAAAAGGTATTCCATTTCCCGGGCATCCTAAATAAAAGGAATCGAGAGGCTGACTGCCCCTGTAAGCCAGTTCTCCATGGGCCTCCTTTCTCTTTCTCTCGTCGTCTCATTTTCCTCAGCCTATCAGTGCCTTGGTGCCGATCCGCCAGGCGCCAGCACCCCGAATGCCCACAACCCACATAGCAGAATGACCGTGGATGACATTTTGTTGAGGAGACGCAACGATAGGCGCCATGTGCGAGAAGTGTGGATTTTCCTGGGCAGCGTCCTCGTCTTTTTTACCATTGTCAACTTCTTTCGAAAGCTGCTGAGACTTGTTGCTCGTCGCCGTGGTGCCAAATCACGCAGTCCACGGGCTACCGCACACGCAGGTCACACTGACGCAGAGAAGGCAGAGCAACCGCGCTCTGCTCCTCAGCCCCCTGCCTCAGTGTTATCGCGGGTCGCCTCGTCTATCTCAACGGTGTTTCGGATCGTCGCATTCCGATGGTCGCTGTGGCTTGGACCCAACAACTTGGGCTCTCTTGGTGAACTTGCCTTCATCCTGCTTTACATTTCGGCCAACCTCATTTGGTTGCTCGTCGACAGTAAGCGTGACATCCACCTGTGCCCAATTGGCTTCATCGCTAATGTCGGCTACAGCTCGAAATCTCAACATTGACTGGTACAAGACCAGGGCAGGGATGATTGCGACTTCCCAAATCCCCCTTGTAGTCGGACTTGCGAACAAGAACAATGTTGTTTCCTGTACGTTACACATTCCACTAGGATCGAGTTCCACCCTCACGGCTTCGTGATTAGATTTGACTGGCGTCGGGCATGAAAAGGTACCGCCTGCCTCGTGCTAATGGACAGTACCGTGCGCTAAACTGCTATAGTTGAACGTTCTTCACCGGGCTTCAGGACGCACTGTGCTTTTCTTTCTATGGATTCATGCCGTAGGGCGAGTAATCAATGGGTGGGTGGCTGTCGCTGACTTCGAGGTATTGTTGTCCTGTAATTGTGCTGCTTTAGCCTCCCCCCACACACAGACTTTACGCACCACTACATGCAAGCGGGGATTGCGGGACTGGCAGCTTTGACAATCGGCACGTTCCTCTCAATGCGAATCTTCCGACAAGCACTCTTTGAGTTTTTCTACTACGGGCACATCTTCCTTATGCTGTACGTGGCCCTTGCACAGGCTTCTCTTACCCATAACCCACTGCTCATTCCCTGTTTCTTTTATTCCATAGAATCTTTGTCATAACCGGATTCATCCACGTTTATCCCCTAGGGTATGATCCACCGGCCTTCCTTTCTCGGTTTCCACTTATCCTTCGTGCTTACAGGTATGCCTACTACATCTGGCCATCCTTCATACTATGGGGCTTGGATAGAGCAATCCGCCTGGGCGGGGTCTTCTGGAACAATGTATTGCGATGCACCGAATCCAACAAGGCACAAGCGACTGTCGAGTTACTGACACCTGATACGATCCAACTGACGATGCAACGCAAGTTCTCGTGGAAGCCTGGCCAGCATGCCTACGTCTGCATTCCCAAAATCAGCCGACTCCCCTTTGAATTCCACCCTTTCACCATTGCCACCATCCCCGAGAACCTCAACGGGACCAGACCTGAAGAAAAGACAGTTGCGTTCTTCATTCGATCTCGAGAAGGGGTAACAAGGCGTCTCCGCAAGTACATCTCTGAGAATGGGTCCGGCAGTGTAACCGCCTACGTGGATGGCCCATATGGGGCACCTCCTGACCTTTCCTGCTATTCAACAGCTATCCTCATTGCTGGTGCGTGTGTAATTCACTTCGAGTGTCGTGTTTTCCTCGGAAGCTAATTTGAATTGTACCCCAGGTGGCTCTGGTATTTCTTACACCCTTCCATTGCTCCTGGACCTCATCCGGTATGCTGCTCGATTTCACTGTCGGATGTTTTTATGATTGAATTCGGGACGCTTTCGCAGGCGATCATCGACTGGGGCAAGGTCGGACGTTGAGCGTGTCAAGTTTGTCTGGGTAGTACGAGGGGAGGGTATGTAAACCAATTCAATCACCCGACACCACGAGGGCTAACGTGTATGCAATCGAACACAACTTCACAAGGACATCTCCCATGGATAAACAGCATCTTATCCGAGGCGCTGATGGTGGTAAAGCAACCTCTCGTGGTCGATGCCTGCATATATGTCACGGGAACAAGCGTACACAGAAACACATCGAAGCTGACCAGCTCCATCTCGAAAACCGAAAAGGACATCCTTTTCGTGGAACCTGAGATAACGGAGTCCTACCTTGCCAAGATCTACCATGGCCGGCCGAACCTGCAAGAGCTCTTTGACGAAGAGATCACGAACGCCCAGGGACCTGTGTCCGTCGATAGTGAGTACTTTCCGCCTAAATACCCGCATGACACTGAGAGTACTCGTCACTTTCAACTTCCAACAGTCGCCGGTCCATTTGGCCTGACAGAGTCGGTGAAAGGTGCCTTGGGCTCCGGTGCTGCCAGTGCAGGATCCGTGCTGAACGGACGCCATCCTGTTACTCTGCATGTGGAAACCTTTGGGATGGGGGGCGCCTGATTCCAAAATTTATCCGTGTCTGGTCTCATGAATTCAATGACGAGTTGTTGATGGGTTAGTTGTACGATCTATTAACCCGGGATTTTATTGGTGTCTTTTAGACGCTTGTATCTTCATATTCAATCATCATCTGACTCTCCCGCACTGGGAGTACAAGCATTGTTTTCCTTGAATGTATTTTTAGATTTTACCGGCCGATGTGGCCAATCGTTTAATTTCTTGAGAATTGAGAATGTCACGGATGGCAGGATCCGGGAAATTCGTGTATCAAATTTGTCCGCCAATATAGTTCCCTTCTGGCACTTACCCTCCAACGGTGCACTCAATGAGCTGTGTGAAAGTGCCATTCATAAGACATACATGTACGTTGTTGGTTGTCTGACTTCGCCTTTGCAGCGTCTGTTTCTCGATCTAAACGCGGTGATGGCAAGTCCCAAAAAGGGGAAAACCCCAGCCGGTGACAGGCGTGATGGATGGTTCCGTCACTGCCACGGAATGTGGTAGACCTGGAAAATTGGGATTCCATCTCTGAGTTTGTCGAGCTACAAGCTTGGTGGCTTTGGACAACCTTGTCCACCAAAGAGCGCCCAGTTGTATCGTCATGACTTCTGTCAGTCAAGGAGGCGATTCTGACGTTCAGAGCTGGCAGTAAGTACTCCATAACCCCCTCATTCCATGTTGATCGTGTAAACGTTCGTGTGTGTTTCTTTTCGTTCAGCGCGTCAGCAGAGCTTTCACAAAACAGCTTCATCTTGAATGACGGCTCTAGTGAAACCGCCGGTGCACCAGTTGAAGAAGAAGACGATGAAGATGTATTTGTATACCCCGGAAACACCACTTCAGAACCGGAGGAGGTGCCAGCGCCACGACCCCAGACCTCGCATCCTAGTCCGGCTCAGCTGGAGTCGCTCTGTGCGGCTGCATCTTCAGGCGACCTTCCCCAGCTGAAGCGCTTGTTCAAAACTGCGACAGAAACCAATAATATCCAGCCTTTCAGTCTCGCCAACGATGCCTCAACAAGAACAGGGTTCACAGTCCTGCATTCGGCTGCTAGTCGAGGTCACTTGGACATCGTGGTCTGGCGTGAGTTTCTTGCTACTCTTCGGGTTGACCAGGCTCTCAATTTGTATGGTAGTGATCGAGAATTGTGGTGCTATGCCCGACGTCGAGGACAGGGAAGGAGAGGCGAGTATTCGAGTTTGTAGTGTGCACAGCTTGCTGATATGCCCCTCAGACTGCCTTGCATAAAGCGGCTCTCAATGGACACATCGATATACTCAAGTATCTACTACCCGACCGGGCGGATGTTCATGCTCGAGACGCCGATGGATGGACCGCTCTGCACAACGCCTGCTCGAAGGTGTGTAAGCGCGCTGATAACCTTTTGCCAACCACTCAATTTCAGCGCACAATCAGGGCTATCTTGACATTGTCCGTTGGCTTTGTGAACGAGGTGGAGCAACGGCTGTGAATGAAGGCGTTTCTGGAGTAGACGTCAAAAGCAAAGATGGATGGACCCCCTTGAGTGAGTGCGATCAAAAGTCGTGCCGCCAGAGGTTAATGGTTCCTCAGTGAATGCCGCTTCGAAGGGACACCTGCCCGTGGTTCTCTATTTACTCAACAAACAGTCAGCAAATCCACTGGTGCGAAACAAATGGGGAGAGACAGCCTACGACACAGCGGCTGCTGTCTTTGAAGTTTGGATATGCGAGGTTAGTTGCCTTTCTCTCGAGATCAAGTCAACAATAGTAACCTGAAGGCTATAGGTGCTCCAACAAGCCGAGGCAGCTCAATGGCGTCGCGCCACCACACCTTACAATCCTCTGTTAGTGCACACGACCTTGCCGATTATCCTCTACGAAAACCAGCGACTGGACACGAGGCTCAAAACTGTTGCAACTTCCGGCGGCCGACCAAAGTTCAACGTTTCTGGACTTGGGAAGCAGGGTCGTCGAGCACCTTTCGAGCTAAAGCTTTTGGTTCCTGATGAAGAAATCGGATCTCGTATGGTTCCTGCCTGGCGCAGCGGCGTCCAACTCCCTGCTCGAGAATCGCCCTGGGTTCTTCCAAGGCCTGTTACAGCAGATTCTGCTCCTGATTCCGGAGAGAAAAGCCATTTCTGGCTGTGAGTGTACACTGCACTTACGTAGAATTCTCTTCCTGATTACTCACGATCCCTGCAGTTCGGATTGGACGCTCGATGTCACTCATCCCGCCGTCGATGCGGAGGAAGGTTGGCAATATGCTCAGTCCTTCTCTGACCCGGATGAGCGATGGGTTGCAGAGAAGCCAATGCCGTTGCAACGCATCCTGAATGGATCTGGCATTGTGGCTGCAGGTCTCAACACCGCATCCAGCAGTTCCCTTGTAGCAAGTCGTGGTCATCCTACATGGGTACGGCGCCGTCGTTGGGTTAGAATTATGCGAAGGCGATTGGATATACCCCCTCTGCCTTTCCTTGAACCCGACGGGTCCATGTATTATTTGGATCCGGAAGGCAACTTGATTCCATATACAGAGGAATCCCGGGATCGCGGGTCGGGAGGGCAGGAGTTGGAACTCATGCCACCCAACGCGATGCTGGCCTCAGCACGGGATTACGTTGCCCGAGCAAGGTACCTTGTTGGAAATCAAATCAATATCGATTCCACCCCATCCAACTCGGTCGAGGTTCGTCGAGCAATCGCCAAACTAGAGCGGGCGACTACCGAATTACGACAAGGGATTCCCGGTAAGTCTGTGTTGAAGCCGAACGTCGAACGTTATTGACAGGCTGCAATTAGGCGATGAGGACACTGAGCGTCGAGTTCAAGCAGAAGTTTTGTTAAATGCTTATAGCAGAGAGCTTGAGCGTCGCCGATTGGCGGCGAGTTCGTCCGGACTACTTATTTCTGACACTAGTGAGTTTTCCAAACGACTGTCACCGAATTACTTCCTCATTGGTCGCAGATGTTGACGAAAGCCTTGACGACTATGACGATGACGATGACGAGTTTGTATACCCTGGAGCAGAGCCATCACGATCCGCCTCCCGTGCTTCTGGATCGACCAACGACTATTTCAGCCAACCAGGACATTCGCGCATACCCGCTGACTTGACGCCCCAATTAGCACAAGCGCCCGACTTCCGGGTGCCAACGCATGAGGCCCCTCAGAAGGTCCTGACAGCAAGATGGACGTCTCCTCCCACTCCCCATCAGCTACATGCCCAGTGGGAGCGAGACGAAGCTGTCCAACAGTGCAGGGAGTGTCAGCGCCGTTTCAATTTTATTAATCGCAGAGTGAGTATTCTCACTTAAGTCTTGTTCTGGTGCTGATATTTTCCTCTAGCATCATTGTCGCAAGTGCGGGCGTATTTTCTGCGACCGGTGCTCTTCTAACCGAGTCCTCCTCGACCCCTCGGACATTGTACACGACCCTTCGCTGCCCCATCCACCCGCAAGCACAAGTCCCCAACGTGTTTGCCAAGGCTGTTACGACGAGATGCACACGGACGTGCCCACCCGCCTCTACAATAGCAGCGGAACCGCGCTGGAGCGGATTGTCGTTGATCACGAGCGATTGACTGTTCCTGGCAGGCTTACCCGCCGGCAGTCAAGCTCCCAGCTCAGCGACTTGGCCGAGTAAGTGAACGAAATTTACCTCCTGAGAGAACTAGCGACTGACTTCGCCACCAAGTTGTCCGGTGTGCTTCCTGAGTCTGGATGATGTTGGGGGACCACAAGAGCAGGAGTTGCATGTCAAGAACTGCCTTGAAGGTGGTGGTCAAGGCCCATCTAGCCAGGCAGCCAAGTACCTCGTGTATCGTCTTCCAGCTGAAAGCACACTTCTAGGGGTGGAGTGTGTGATCTGCTTGGAAGAATTCGTTAAAGGTGAGTCGATTGACTCGGGGCCAGGCAGAGTTGCTAACGTGCCGCAGGTTCCACGGTTGCTCGCCTCAGTTGCTTCTGCAGTTTCCATAATGGTGAGTCCAAGCTGGTGTTTGGTGTATGCGCTTAGTCTTATGCATCCGCAGCTTGCCTTTCTTCTTGGTTGCAACGTGGCAAGAATTGCCCAGTCCATGCTCGATGAGCGTCGAGTAAGGCAGGGGTATCTCCTATGGTACAGATGATAATGCTATGATCATAATTAATTAATCTCCCGCGTTACGATTTGGATAGAAAGTATCATAACCAATTCTGCTGTGGTCCACTTGGATAATGTGAGAGAGGTCATCATCGAAATCTGGTTCCACTATATCTTGGCCTTTGACCCCATCGTCTTGGTCGTCTTCGAACCATGCAGCCGGATCGTCGTCGTCTGAGGAGTCGTCATCGTCATCGTCCTCAAGGTCCGAATCCGTCGGTTTCCTTGTCCTGTAAAAAGTAGAGTGCACTGGGTCAATAGGATAACCTTGGAGGAGAAAAGTAGGGAATCTGACAGGAATGCCCAAATTCGAGCCTCTCGCTCTTCTCTGGTGAGAACCTCTCCTCTAATTGGCACTCCCTGTCGCCTCTTCTTCTCTAAAATTCGTTGTTGTCGTTCCCGCTCTTGCTGGTGCGCTTGCTGCTCCAGTTCAATGGCTTCTGCCAGAGTGAAAGAGGACCCTGCGGAGGTGCTCGTTCCCCCTGACTTGAGAGCATGTTGCCCCTGTGACAAAAGAATTTTAGGAACATCCATAACAACAACTTAGAATGGGCGGAACTCACATATTGAGCGAGAGCTTTCCGTTTGGCCTCGAGGGTACGGCTGACTGGTGGTTCATCTGCCTCATCTACCTCCATATCGCCTTCCCCCTTAATCTTCGTCTTCTTCAGCGTTGTTCCCAGCTTCTCTATCCCATCTACGTCCAACAGTCGGGACTCGATCAATCTCTGCTCTTGGGAAACTCGCTGCACGTATGTGGAGGTTGATGCACCCCTGTTGGGAAGGGAGGGATATGAACAGGTTGGTCGGGATCTCAAGAGAAATAAATAAAACGATCTTACGGGTCTGCTAGAATCTTTGCATTGAGTTTGTGAAGATCTTGGAGTTCGCGAATTGTCATTTCTGAGATTGGCCGTCGCTGCCTGGGAGACGGTCTGAAGCCTGGTGGGACATTACTAGGCTGCTTGCTCCTGATAGGTGAAGATGGCCCGTTCATGGCTGTCTTTGTTTTTCGAGAACAGTCGAGGTGAGTAAGGGGGTACAGTGGACAAGGTTGGTTTGGAGCACTTATTGGTCTGCGACTGGCACAGCGGACAACACGGCACTTCGCGCGGCAAGCCCAGACCTCACCTTCCAAATCGGCACCCACCCCCTGGGTCTAGCATAACAGCACACAAATGCCATTGATGATAAGAAAAACACAGCTACAGTGGTACAGATAGTAATACAAGTATGATAACAGAAGCATCGTTTTGCAATTTCTTTTTACGAAAACATGTCCCCCTACAACAACACGACGTTATTGGTTGTTCTTAAGGAGCTCGAAGGGGAGATGACTCACCATTCCGGGAGGCATGAATTCGTCGTTGTCAGGGTCGCGAGTGTTTCGACCACCAGGCGGGGGATACGGGCCTGTGGGACCCCGAGGAGGTCGATTGGGAAAGGTAGGGCCGACGGGGTCGAAGCGTGCGCCTGGGGGAGCGCCTAGTGGTGGCAGATAGCCATCCCCTCCCCATGGCCCGCGGCCAATGTCTCTATCTCGATCGTGTATCCCGAACATGGGATGGTTTGGACCAACGAACATACCATCACCGCCAGTTGGCGGGAAAAGCGGTGGAGCGAATGGGTTCCGAGGGAACGGGTCCAAATCGCTTCTGCCAACCTCGAGGGGATTTCTCGAAGGGAAAGTGGGAGGTGTTCGGTATGGGATTTCTGGGGCATCGGGGGGAGGCCCGGGGCGAGGCTGAGCAGGGGGTGGATCTCGTGTCGTAGGTGCTGAAGATTCTCCGGAGACGGTCTCACTCCCTTCAGAATAGCCCTCCTTTTGCAATCCAGGGAGAAGTTTCTGGATAATCTTAAGTTTGAATTGGGTCACCAGATCTGAAACTCGATTGGATGAAATAAATCCGTGGACAAGCGATTTACTGGGATCGCTCAATTGATCATACGGGTAGAATGACGGCGAAGTAAAATCTTGCGTGGCCACATCCAAACTGGCGACCTTGTCACTCTATTCGATGGTCAATGGCGTCCAACCGGAAGATGTGCAAACACGTACCTCCAAGGCGATCGCATTGATTACAGTCCTCGATCCCAACTTGGCCACAGTGACGGCAAATTCAAGGCTGCTTTGCTCATGACGATAGTTAAAGGAATAGTGCCCTGGGCCGTTCTTTTTCCATTCTTCGGGAAGCACGTTTCCTGTAGTTGCTGCAGGGACATCGTTGACTGCAGTTAGACGGAAAGCGAGTGCTGTAAAGACTGTGTGCAGCAGTGCAGCGAGAGCATCATGGCTCGACGACAGAGTCTTTGAATCCGAGGGTAAGATTGTTGGTAGTAGAGAAATAAGGGCTGCAGGGTCCAAGATATTGCTGGGTGACATCGCGGTTACCTGGAGCCTGTGTAGACTGACGTAATAACGGGGATGAGCAAGGACCAAATCAGAACAGCCTCTGATCCTAACATATACAAACAACGCTTCATGTTTCTTGCACCAGTCAGGAGCCGAGCTCTTGACTATTGACTTGCATTTTGACATTTCAAATGGCTCGAAGGGATAGGTCAGAATCCCCAGATACACCAAACAAACGGGTAAGATCGTCTTATCGCTCTCCACGCTCCCCCTCGCCGACGAGGCGCAGCACCCAGAGGGCCCCAACACACCGCTCCCGCTACGACGACGACAGGGATAGGGATAGGGATAGGGATAGGGATAGAGATAGAGACAGGTACAGGGACCGCGACAGGGATTACCGCGACCGCGACAGAGAGCGACACCGTGACGACAGATATCGTGACGACAGAAGAAGAGATTATCGTGACCGGGACGTTCGCGATGACAGGAGAGACGACCGCCGCCGTTCACGCTCCCGGGACCGCAAAGCACACACACCACCTACTTCGAAGCCTCAGCCTTCCACCGCTGCGGTCACCGCTCAATCGACTCCAACCCCCACACCACCTCCAGAGGACGAAAAGCTGAAGGCCAAGCGCGCAAAGTACGAAGCATGGAAGAAAGAGCGCGAGGCAAAGAAAGCTCTGGATTCAGCCAAGGCGAAAGCCATGGCTTTGGCCGGAAAGGCCGCACCAGGTGAGCACTTTGTCCTTCTTATCTCGACTTGGTTTCACACCACTTGATCCTTTGCAGTAGCGACATCGAGTTCGAGCGGAAACACTACCCAAACTAGCCGACCGGCCTTGACTGGCTTGGGACTGAAAGGTCTTCCTCTCAAGCCCGACTTTTCCTCGGCAAAGGGCCTCGGTGCTTCTCTCGACGACTCTGTAGAATCCAAACGCAAGCTGGAGAAGCTCGAAGACATGCCTGCTATTGACATGACAATGAAGGATACTGCAATTGGCGACTTGGAGGGGGATGATGACGACGAAGAGGCCAACAGGATGGATCAGGCGCTTAAGGCCAAGTCCAAGGACGCTATGGATGTTGATGAGGAGGAAATTGACCCACTCGACGCATTCATGAGTGAAGTAAAGGAGGAAGTCAAAAAGGTCAATATGCAGGACGCTCAGAAGATGCTTAACTCGAATGGCCCTGGCCGCTCCAAGATTCGACTAGACGACCGCATGGGGGATGAAGGCTCCGACGACGAGCAGGAAGCTGCACCGGACGAACTGGACGCAACCGACCTCAACCCAGAAGATATCCTCGCCCTTGCAGCCAAAAAGGCCAAAAAGAAGGAGCTCGCCGTAGTGGATCACAGCAAAGTGCAATATGAGCCTTTTAGAAAGGAGTTCTACATCCCCCCTCCGGACATCGCTTCCATGACCGAGGACGAAGCTGAATTGCTTCGACTTGCCCTAGACGGAATCAAGATTCGTGGCGTGGACTGCCCCAAGCCTGTGATCAAATGGAGCCATTTCGGTCTGCCTGCTTCTTGGTGAGTGAAAGCATGTGCGCACGCGATACAGTCACTGACCTGTTTCCCAGTATCGAAGTCATAAAACGCCTCAATTACACTGCTCCGACTTCCATTCAAGCGCAGGCAATTCCTGCCATCATGTCTGGTCGTGACGTTATTGGTGTTGCTAAAACTGGTTCAGGAAAAACGATTGCTTTCCTGCTTCCGCTATTCCGCCATATCAAGGACCAGCGTCCGCTCGAGCAAATGGAGGGGCCGATGGCGCTCGTCATGACACCTACACGTGAATTGGCAGTGCAGATCCACAAGGACTGCAAACCTTTCTTGAAGGTCCTTGGTCTGAGAGTGAGTTCTCCTTCGTTCACCTTTAAGGAACTGAATTTCTCAAAGTCTTCAGGCTGTTTGTGCATACGGGGGCTCCCCCATCAAAGACCAGATCGCAGAGTTGAAGAAGGGCGCTGAAATCATCGTCTGCACTCCGGGACGCATGATCGACCTTTTGACGGCCAACTCGGGACGCGTCACCAACCTCAAGCGAGTCACCTACGTTGTGCTTGACGAAGCAGATCGTATGTTTGACATGGGTTTCGAACCCCAGGTCATGAAGATCATTAACAACATCCGTCCTGACAGGCAGACGGTCCTTTTCTCCGCCACATTCCCCAAACAAATGGACTCTCTGGCCCGAAAGATTCTGCGCAAGCCCTTGGAGATTACCGTTGGTGGTCGCTCGGTAGTCGCGGCGGAGATCGAGCAGATTGTCGAGGTTCGCGCTGAGGACACCAAATTCAACCGGCTCCTTGAGATCCTCGGCCAAATGTACAATGACGACCCCGAGTGCAGAACCCTCATTTTCGTCGATCGACAAGAAGCAGCCGACAATCTCCTCCGGGATCTCATGCGCAAAGGTTACCTCTGCATGTCTTTGCATGGCGGCAAGGACCAAGTCGATCGTGATTCTACCATCGCTGACTTCAAGGCCGGGGTTGTTCCCATCGTTATCGCCACTTCAGTTGCTGCTCGTGGACTCGATGTTAAACAACTGAAACTCGTCATCAACTACGATGCACCCAATCACATGGAGGACTATGTCCACCGAGCTGGCCGAACGGGTCGTGCCGGAAACAAGGGAACTTGCGTCACCTTCATCACGCCGGAACAAGAGCGCTACTCCGTCGACATATACAGAGCTCTTAAGGCGAGCGAGGCCACTATTCCCAAGGAGTTGGAGGACCTCGCCAACGGTGAGTCATTCTTGTATCACGCTACTTAAATCCATCGTTTCTGAATTATGTTACAGGATTCCTCGAGAAAGTCAAAGCAGGTAAGGCTCAGGCCGCTGGTTCAGGTTTCGGTGGAAAGGGCTTGGACCGGCTGGACAAGGAACGAGATGCCAGGGAGCGGGCAGAGCGAAAGGCCTATGGCGAAGGCGAAGACGAGAAACCTGCCACCACTACCGAAGAGACGACGACCAAGCAGGCCGACGATATGACTTTTGGCAACTTCAAGGTCGAAATCAAACGCGGTCCTGCTCCGGATTCATCGAAGGCTCTTCTCGGAGTTGGCGGAGCCGTTGCTGCCGCCAAACGTCTTGCCCATGCCAAAGAGGAAGAGAGGATCCAGAGTCAGATGCGTGCGGCGGAAGAAGCTGCGGCTCGTGCTGGCAAGGATACTGCTGCCCACAAGCAGGCTTTGAGCGTTGTCGCCAAGTTGAATGCCCAGCTCAGAGCGTCGAAGATGGTCCTACAATCCCAACTGCAGCACGAGGAGGCCCTCAGCACCGGACGCAAGACAAATCCAGATGCCACCGATTTCCATGCTATTATTCCGATCAACGATTATCCTCAGAAAGCTCGTTGGCGTGTCACCAACAAGGAGACTATGGTCCAAGTATGTGCAAGCGTTTTGTCAGCGTACGACCACACTGACAACATCCGTCCTAGCTCATCGATATGACTGGTGCCTCTGTCACGAACAAGGGTATCTACTACGAACCAGGCAAGGAACCCCCACCAGAAGGCCCTCCGAAACTTCATCTACTCATCGAGTCCAACGAAGAGTGGAGGGTATGTATCTCGATGTTTGCTGGTTGAATTGTACTGACAAGGTTCTTTAGGTCGAGCAAGCAGTTCGCGAAATCAAGCGTCTGCTTATCGAAGCTTCAGCCGCCGCGTTGCAAGCCGAAATGCGGAACCCCACTGCCACCAGTGGAAGATATACTGTTTTGTAGTCGGACATTCTTTCTCCTGCCTTGTATCATACCCTCGCCCTTTGTGCTTTAACTCGCCACCATTAATATATACAAGAGTCTAATCGCAGATTCAGAGATAGTATACAGAGAACTACAGAGCACTGCGGGGATCACCAAAAGGAAGAAATAGCCTAACGGTTTAAGCCGAAACCTCCTCGCCTGGATCCATTCCCGTAAGGTTGCCCAGATTCCTTCACTCGCTTTTCTACTTCGTTGACCTTTGAGCCAACGTCACGGACGGCTGAGTCGATCCATTGCAAGCTTTCCAAATGGCTGCTGAGGACCTGCGATATCTGGGCCATGGGGTCGTCTTGTCCTTCGCCGCTTGATTTCTGGGCGATGGAGAGTGCGTTTACGGATTCAATCATTTGGGTCAATGAGGTTGACAAATCGTCGAGATTGGTATGCAAGTCGCTGGCAAGCATATAGCTACAAAGGGTTAGTAAACAATGTTGTTCAAAGTTTTTTTTTCGATTGCACATACTTTCGGTCTCGTTCGGTGTCAGCTGGTCCGGTGTCGAGAGCCCTGGCGGCACCACCTTGAGAGCCAAGAATGTCCGCCGATAGTTTCTCATATTGCTCCAAATGGTCAAGCAATTCCTTTTGATGCTGTTCAACATTGTCGAGGGTCGAATCAATTTCTGTCTGCTGTCTTTCAGCAGCGAGGACGTGGTTATACAGTGCAGCGAGCTAAGGGTGGATGTAAGTCAGCAAAAGCGGTCACTTCGATACGATGCGAACACGAACGTTGTTGCCATTCTCTACCAATGCACGATCCCATACCGCTACTTCACTGGCGAATCTAGAGAAGTCTTTGACGTGGGTTTCTAGCTCGGATGTCCATCGATTGACAATTTCTTCAATTGTTTTGCCTCGAAGCATAGACGGGGGCGGGACGGCTACGACAGCAGTAGTACTCGAAGTCGTAGAAGCAGGAGCGGCAGCTGAGGCTGGTCAGGAGATGATGCACGAGACAGAATAAATGCTCTCACCTGCAGACTTGTCGCCTTCTTTTCCAGCTGATATAGTATGGATTGTCAGTCAATTATCGTGCTTGATCAGAAGACAAGTACCTGCTGGAGCATCTTTCTTGTCGTCGGCTTTGGCACCACCGAACAAATTGAAAGACGGCGCTGTTGTTGTTGTCAGCATGGAGATAATGGTAGTCCCGTTGCTTTCGCCTACCTGGAGCAGGGGCCCCATCCTTCTTCTCAGCTGGCTTCGCCCCAAAGAGTCCCCCGGTAGGTGCTATAATGGACAATTGTCAAAACATTTCGAATGTGACAGTAGGATCGACCGAGAACGTACCAGGCGTGGCAGCTTTATATCAATTTCATCGTTCGCGGACATGCAGGTAGCGATTAAAAACAGAACATTCATAAGGTAGCAAGACTCACTTGAAGTGGTGGAGGACGTGTCTTTGTTCCCGCCCAATGTGAATCCTGAGGCTGGTGTCGTCGATGAGGTTGACGCGGCAGGTTTGGCACCAAACAGGCTGCCGGTAGGGGCTGGCGTCGCAGAGGTTGTGGTAGTTGAATCAGCGGGTTTTGCAACAGTGTTTCCAAATAGGCCTCCGCCAGTGGTAGATGTGCCGCCTGCAAAAGAGATGAGATCGATCGTCATAGGTGCATTCACAAGTGCGAACCTGTCGTTGCTGGTTGGCCAAAGACTAACCAGGGATTGCATCAGTACTACTCCTACGATTTCAGGCAAGACTCACAACTTGATGCGGGTTTGGCTGCTGCTGCATTTGAATCCGCCGGTTTGGGTGCTCCAAATAGAGAAGGTGTGGTTCCAGCTGCAGGCGCAGTGTTGGAGGTGTTAGAGGCTGCACCACCGAACAGCGAGGGGGTAGAGGTTCCTGACGCCGCAGCCCCTCCACCCCCAAAGAGACCACCCCCGCTTGTAGTAGTCGCAGGCGCCGTTGAAGATGCCCCAGAGCCAAAGAGACCACCGCCAGTATTCGTCGTGGTCCCTCCGAACAACCCTCCGCCAGTACCAGCCGTCGACTTGTTTGTTGAAGCGCCGAAAAGTCCTCCAGTCGCCTGCTGTCCTGCTGTAAAGAGTCAACTCCCTGTTTGTCGCATTTTGGGGGGACACAGACAAACCTCCCGCAGCTCCGCCTGCTGGTTGGCCGAACAGACTTGTCCCAGTTGAGCCAGCTGGTTTGGCGCCAAAAAGACTGCCACCCGCTGGGGGATTGGAGTTTGTGTTGCCGAAGAGGCTCATGACGGTGGTGGTTAAGTGAACAAAGACGCGTACGTGTAGGGTTGGCGGGAGGGCCAAGGCAGGATTTCGCGTTCTTTGTTTGGCAGGTGGCTGAGGTCAGCACCTCAAAAATCAAATCTTGCCAGTCCTCCGTCCACCATGTTTTACCAAATTGTCCAGAGTACCTTACATATTTGAACATTCGCGTAATTTTCACGAGCCAGAGAGTCTATGGAAGGATCGCGCTCCAGTCCCGCCGCCTAACAGCTGCAGACGCCCAGGGGAATTTGGCATTGGTACGAGCTTGAGAGCTCAATCATTTGTGTCAGGACTCACGGGATCATCAAGCGCCTTATAGTTAAAGCCTGAGGGATGGCATGACACGCCTGAAACTGCTCGTGAGTCATCAAGGATGGATGTATTTCTCAATAAATGTTGGGACCTAGTGTAGAGACCTGATACTTATGAGTCCCTTACGTCGTCTCAATACTACTAGGACTTCCTATCGTCTCAGCTCCCCTCGCGTTTGAGATTCCGAGATTCTGCAGTGGTCAGAGTCCTCGCCTTGTGACACCTCTGACATCTACCGTGCATCCGAGAGCTCAAAAGTCGGACGTGGAAGGCTCCAGTCGTTGATTAATCGGTAAGCGCACGCACTGTGATACTTGGAATTACTTCGATTTATCAGTCATTCTCTCACCGAGTTTCGCTTGTGTAGGGTACCCTGCGTGTTTTTGGCAACTGTAAATGGGCCCCTGGCGATTGGTTTACCGTCACATTTGGACGAAGCGAACTGTTTATATTGGATATGTCGTCTATTAGGATGGTATCCAGGTTGAAAGAGGCTAGTAATAGGCTGCAGAGGAGGGCGAGAGGTGATCTTCTGGTAGTCGCGTTACGGTCTGGTGAACCTTGTTGGAAGCCTTAAGCGCTCAGCAAGGGGCTCGCCGGTTGGCCCAACCGCACTCCATAGGGGTTGACAACTACATGCGAGTCGGCATAGCGTACGAGGCCCTTGTTGAGAGCCTTTTGTGCTGTTGCTATGTGGTGCACCCAACCAGCACCCACCGGCAGATAAACCAAAAGGTCGACATCGAACGCCCCACGCCTCTGACTTCTATCAAAAATCTGACAGTGATGGCGATTTCTGCCTTGGCCCTCCCGCCAACGTTAGTACGTGATGGCTGTCAAAAAGATCAGAATCCTTGTCACGCGCTTCCTTCGTCTCTCCCACCTCTCAGTCTGTCGGTGATAAAAATGGCGTTCTTCCCAGCTCCTTTGCGACCCCACCGCAGCCATGGGCTATTCAAAGGCCTCTGAAGCTAGTCCACCGCCAACCAGATCCAGCACCCTGTACAACAATCTAAGGTGCGACCCACGCACTACCCCAAAGCATGGGAACTCAGTCGACCTCTAGCTTCATTGATGAATCCTGCTACTCAAACGTAAACTTTGCATCCCTACCTGAGCCCTGGGTAGCCTGTGTTCACCCTCGAGTTCGTTCCTTGACCATATAAACCTGTATTTGAGCTAAATGCACGGTCCACTGTCCTCCCCAGGGTTGGCTATATTTCTACAACCGCACGCTCAAAGTGGTAACCGACCAAGATATTCGTGACCCCCGCACTCTGGAATTGGTCGAAGCAACCATTGCAGATTATCCGATAGGCGCCCTTGAAGATGGCATGGAGGTTCATCTCTGTCATGTTCTGTCCCCTCGCGACTTCGAGACCAAGAATCTGTTCAGCCTGGCCATAAACCACAACTCTTGCCTGGCTTCTTATGACCTGGAAGATGTCTTGCCAGACAATGTCTGCCAGCTTGACCCTAAGCGCCGTGGGTACTTGTTCCCTCTTCCCTTTCGTGTTCATTTGACACCGTAATTTGCTAGAAAACCGCTTCCGCCGATTTTACTGGAACTACTTGTCCAACCACCCGAGTCATTCGCCCACCCCAGACAGGGCAATCAAAGATGCTATTGACGCGTTGACCTATTTCCATGTAAGCACCCCTCCTGGCCGTCTTGCTATTGACCTGACGCCGTCATAGACGGATAATTTGATTTCCGGTGCTAGCAGTACCAGCCCTTTCTCAAAGGCAGAATGCACTGAACTTTCAGCCATTGTGCGAGATTTGGCGGGTATGTACATCTTTCGCCGGCAATGTACATCGTTTGACCCCTCGTCCAGGGACACCCTGCACTGATTCACCCGCGAAAACTATGTTCCTGGCCTGGTTTCTTCGAGAGGTGGCCAGCTTTCGAGCGTCAGAATCGTATGGAGAGTATACCTTGAAAACAGCGATGTCCCTGAAGGATGAAAAATTGATCCCCAAGTCATCTCGACAGCGCCAACCAAGTCCGGCAGCCATTATACTTCTAAATCTCGTCATAAATTGTGTGTTTTTCGGGATACCCCATACTTATTGGGCTCACATCAAGGTGCGTGTGTCCCATGATGTTTCTCTAAATTCTAGCTTACCGTCTCGGCGCAGTCGACTAGTGAATATCGCGGGCGTCTCGCAGAAGTCCAGGTCAAGTGGGAAAAATACATCGAACGTCTCGTCAGAGAGTATTCCCATTTCCTTTTAGTTGTGAGTATGCGGCTGTGTAGTCTTTTCCGTACCTGGGCTGATGGTTCCCAAGTCCACTGTGCTTCTTTCGCAAGTCGATTGTCTGGCTCCTCGACAGGTTTAATCAATTTACCTTGGTTACAGGGCGACTGTAGGCTTCCTGTCAATTGAAGACATAACCGAATTTGCGAGGCTTGCTGCATGTGTTTCGGCTCTCGCTTCCTTGAGCAGCATTATAATCGGCGTTTTCTCTATCTGGAGGCACCAGGCTAACACTTCGCGGAGGCAATCCGTATGTCCACGATCGCGTTCGGGTTTCTGGACGGCAGGGTACTCATGGCTCCACTTTTACAGTATACCTACATGCACAATATCCAACAGAGCTTCCTCGGGATTCCAGGACATGCCATTATCTTAGGCCTCCCCCCTTCCCTACTCGTATGGGCCATTATTGGCTTTACTGTCGCGATCGTCGGGTATGTCGTAGAAGGCGCGACAACGCCGGATTCATGGAGAAGAGTCGCCGCTTGGCTCCTTCTCGTCGTCTTCGTTCTGTTATTGAGTATTGTGATGCTGGCTCTGTATACCTTTTCCGTCATCTGGACGTTCCAAGCACCCCCTAGTTTCGATTTGAAACGCCGATTCTCTACTTTTCTTTTTACCAGTATATTTAAGACGAGGAACTATCAGAGGTAGAGAGTATGACAATTGTGTCCTTAGTAGATTGGAATTGAAGTTGTATGAACTTGCACGCTCAAAGACTAATCTCCAGCCCGACTCGGTCGGTCATTCAAATCACTCCTCGCCTGGGATCGATAGCGTTGGCACTGGGGTCAGGCCCTTCCTTCCCCCTTTCAATGGCTACTCAACCATCTTCCCCAAAAGTTCCAACCTACGTCTACAAGATCATCCCGTCCTCAGCTGCTCCTCCCAACCCACTCCCAGACGCTCTCCCAGTCAGCCAACTCGATCAGAGCTCTGGATTCATTCATCTCTCCACCGCGAAGCAGGTTCCAGGCACACTCAAGCTGTTCTTCACACAAGAAATTGAGGTTTACATTGCGCGGATCCCGTACGCAAAGGTTCAGGAACAGATAACATGGGAAGATGCGAAAGGAGGTAAAGGAATTCGACTCTGTCCGATATTGTTGCAAGTATCTGAATCTTATGGTATAGATCAAGGGGAAATCGGCATGGAAGGAATTTTCCCTCACCTCTACAATGATTTGAAACTGGGAAAGGATGAAATCGAGAGCGTCGTTTTATGCAAACGGGAAGGAAAGGATGTCCACTGGGAAGATGTAATGGCCAAGCTCTCATGGCTGCAATATTGACGGGCGTACGATTTAGTGACATGTATACGGGTCATTGGTGCAGAAGCAGATTACAGTGACAATCAGGGAAGCACGGGAAATACTACAAGAAAATGTACAGCAATAATGCCTTCAACTGTTGACAGCAAGGATAGAAGCTCCGCCATCTGCTGTTACACGTCTTCGCGTTTTCATGATGATATAGCGGCGACCAATGTGAGCGACAGTCGGCTCAACTGCAACTGCATCGCCTGATCCGGAACTCTCCCCTTTCCTTTCCTCCTTTGACCTTGTTGGAGGTGACTGGGAAAACAGGCCTAAACCTGCGGGAGCGAGAATGAGGGCTTGGCCCGTCTGAAAGGGGAGAGGGTCAGAAAATGAAGCCACCAGATCGCTTGGAAGCGGCGAACCTTTAGCTTGACGACCTCATCGAACGCGTCACTCTTGGAGAAATCCGCAGAAACGTGCTTAATGAGATGCTCCCACCAAGCTGGCGAAGTGAAGCGATGGAGGATAGCAACGGAACAGAGGTCAAGAAGGACGGCGGGAACTACGGTGGGTTCTGAGCAGCGAAAGGATCCACATCAGTAAAGGCTTCACGATCAAAGATCAAGTCCACCCACCTTGCGTGCTGATCAAAACTCTCATGGCGAGATGTCGCTGCTGGCGAATGAGTCGAGTCAGAGTCTTCGTCAAACCATGTGCTGTCCTATGCGGCGTCAAGTACTGCAAGGTGTGAATTAGTACTGATACCCCCACAATGCAGACGATCCACTTACCTTGTGTGCCTCGTCGACGACCAGGACCTTCCCGGTCGGAACATCCGCACGAACAAAAAGTCTGGTTACGATGTCGAAGATTCCGCAAGCTGCGCCTTCATCCAAAAATGGATCTGACAGGTCAACGATGGTCAGTTCTCCCGCAGCAAATCTGGTCTTTCCCTTGTTCGCCTTGCGAACATCTTCAGGTTCCAAGAAGGACATCAATAGAGACATCCTTTGCTCGAGACCGGTGAGCTGGGCGGGGTTGAACTTCGTCTTATGCTTATCCAGTTGGGCCATGAACCTTTGAAAGTCGTATTCTTCGCCCAAGTCACGGAGGATGGACTAGCAAGGAAAACTGAGTTCCTAAAATGACGGAGAAATAGTGAGGTACGGACCAAAATAATTTGCATATACAGCGGGGCGGAGTCGGACGACGAAATAGCCATCATGGATAAGATGGCTTGGGCGTCCAATTCCTTCTTCTTGAGATAAAGAGGTTCCACGACCACCTTGGGCCCTAACGGTGCGTATACCTTTCGCATCGTCTTCAAAGACGACCGTGATACAAACACACGGATAGGAGGGCCCTGCACGTAAGAGCTTTCCGATGAACAAAGCCAGGCGGTTTCGTTGGGAAGCGCCCCCGTCCCTGCCTCACCATAGTGCAGAACCAGTCCACACAGCGCCTTCTGGAGCTTGCCAATCGGTGAGAAGTTCGGTATTAACATGCTCTCGAGGACAGTCGAGAGGGTATGGGATTTTCCAGATCCTGGGTTCACAAATAGTGTCAGAGGAATGGAATGGAAAAGATACGGTGTCTAAATGAACCTTGGACTCCACATATGACAGCGGAGAAAGGGGCATTCTAAAAGATGATCAGACGGACTCGACGTTTGAGCATACGCGGGAACATACAGTGTTGATATAAAGCCTAGGGTCTTGCGGAACGATGATCTCGGCGTTATCGCTGTGAAGAAGTGTTCTACTGGCGTTTTTCAATGAACAAGAAAGGTGATATTCACCGAATTCCTAGTACTCTGCCCATGACACCGTATTGTGTAGCAAGATCATCGACCTTGGAGGTCAGTAGAGACAAGGCATCTTTTGTATAGATTGGGGCAGTGACAATGTCATGTCTGGAAATACGGTGGATGTGATCCTGATCCAGGTCTTCGACGTCCGTCTCCTCATCCAAGAGCTGCCATTCGTCCTGATCTCAAAGTCAATACGAGTGAAGACTGATGGACGAGGAATACCGCGTACCGAGTCGCTATCTGTAGCATAGCCAGAATCAGGCGGGGTCGAGGCAGCTTCTGGTTTCATGGTGGACGTGAAAAGCAAGACAGAGATGGGACAACCGTTTCCGTCATTTGGTGACCTTTTATATAGCTCATTAGGCGAAAAGAAGCTAGCTTCGATCCACGGCGCACGCCGAAATGGCTCGAATGACGTGGGAAATGTGATCTCGTTTTCATCTCATAACTTTCTCGACACCGTTTGCCAGTGGAACCAACCGTTATGCCACAGCTATTCGATGTTCCAGGCTGGAAGGTACCCGACGCGCCCGTCACGCAGTCCCCGCAAAATAGAAACCCAAAAAAGCGCAAACGACCAACGAGCGATGGCAGCAGCAAACTTTTGTCAGCGGAGTTCAGCTTGGAGAAGCTAATGGATAGGCTCAAGGACAAGACTGCGGAAAAGGCAGAGCTGTCAAAACGCGACAAGCCAAAGAATAAAACTAAAAAGGAGAAGAAGGAAAAGAAGAAGGACAAGGAAAAGGGCAAGGGAAAGGAGAAGGCGACTGCGAACGTGGTCCACAAGGAGATTTCTCGTCCAATGCCGCTGAAGCCTGCGGATAGAATGTCCAAACCGAAAGAACGATCCCCAGCCACAGTCGAATCCAAAGCTGAATCCTCGAGGCCCTCAAAGCGGAGGAAGACCCAGCACGCTGCAACTGCGGAAGGAAGCTCAAGGGGACATGAGCCCAGCGCCTCTTCCGAAACGAAGGTGGAAGGAAACCTGACCGAGTTGCAGCGGAATATGAAGCAGAGTCTGGATGGCGCCAAGTTTAGGTGAGAATGTGACAACTGAATTCAAAACTCCACGTCCTAAACACTCGTACAGAATGATAAACGAGAATCTATACAAGTCGGAGAGCCGCGAGGCGGTCCAGATGATGAAGGAGGATCCTGCAGTGTTTAGCGAGGTGGGTTGGTGCTCAGTGGTCCTCTATCGCTATGTTAACGGTTCGTAAAGTACCACAAGGGTTTCCGACGCCAAGTACAGTCATGGCCGACCAACCCTGTCAATATCTATATCGCACAACTCCAAGACTACCCTGCTCGGACTGTAATTGCGGATCTTGGCTGCGGAGATGCCGCATTAGCAAAGGCTCTGATTCCCCAAGGGATGGCAGTCTTGTCATTCGACCTTGTGTCCGACGGTGCATTTGTCATTGAAGCGGATGCCTGCCAGAAGTTACCTCTACCTGGTTCTGAAGGCAGTGAAACAGGGTCCTCGGTTGGAGAAGGCCACGTCGTGGACGTCGTCGTATGTGCTTTAAGTTTGATGAATACCAATTGGCCTCGATGTGTCCGAGAAGCTTGGAGGATTTTGAAGGCCAAGTAAGTTGTCTTCTTCCCAGATACAGCTCTCTTTTTAACATTATCCCTGTAGCGGTGAACTCAAGATAGCTGAAGTCGCAAGTAGATTCACCAGCGTCAAAGAATTTGAGAATCTCGTCGCATCGATTGGGTTCAAGTTGAAATCCAAGGTGTGTCGCCTTCAGCCACTTGTAAAGCGACGTATCTGACAGAGAACGCAGGACACGAGCAACACACACTTTACCCTGTTCGAATTCAGGAAAATAGCTCGTCAACCTAAAACCGAGAAGGAGTGGAACAAGATCTACGCGAAGAATTCCCTACTCAAGCCTTGTGAATATAAGCGCCGATAGCATGCCATGAATTTGTTTGCAGATAAGATAAGATATGATGTCCGTGCATCAACTGGGGTGATCGCACAAGAACCGTCCGCAGACACGCTGTAACCACAATGCAGCATTGGATGGTCCAGGTTCATCGATTTCAGCTCGCTATATATTCAGAGCTTATTCTTATCCCCTCATCATTTGCATCTTCTCCCATAATCTTACATCTCCTGTAACGACTACTTACGACCCACAATGTCCAACAACTTGCACATTCTCAACCATCCTCTCGTCAACGCCGAGCTCTCCAAACTTAGGCAGACGTCCACAACGTCGAAGGAATTCCGTGAGGTGAGGACAAGGCTACGTAACCTACGATGTGGACTGACAAACAGGTTTGAAGGGTGTGCATAACATTAGCCTCTTTCTGGGCTATGAAGCTTCTCGAGGATTCGAAGAAGCCACCTTCCAAGGCGTGAGTGGGTTACTGACAACCGACTTGCGTCCCCTTCTGACGCACCACAGCAATCCCCGGTTTCGACTTTCACTGGTACTACTGTCAAGCCTAGGCTTGGTTTAACGCCCATTCTTCGAGCTGGTTTGGGAATGACGGATGCCCTAGTGAGTGTTTTGCCCCGATTCCGTCGAGCTAGCACTGATAAAGACACGACCTCCAGTTGACCCTCTTCCCGTACGTATTGGTTGCTTTCGGAGTCGTGTCTTGCACTTAACTCGTTCCAGATCGGCTCCTGTCTACCACCTTGGAATTTACCGAGAGAAGGTCACATTACAGCCCGTCGAATGTTCGTGCCGTTGTTTCCAGATTCCGGATGAACATCCTCCTGACACGCAGATCGAAAGACTACTCAAAGCTGCCGCCATCGCCTCCCATCGACAATGTGTTCCTACTAGATCCTTTGATTGCGACAGGTGGAACGGTGTGTGCAGCTATTGGCATGCTCACAGAGTGGGGTATTCCGAGTGAGCCTTCTGCAGTCGTCTATTCTGCTGCCTCGGTCCTAACAACATTGAACTTTGTTTAGTCAAGAACATCAAGCTTCTGTGCGTATTGGCATCCCGAGATGGATTGAACCATGTCCAGAAGGAGTACCCTGACCTCGAAGTGAGTTTCATTCGACTCTTGTAAGTAATACCAGGCCAATACTGATGTGGACATAGCTCTGGGTTGCTGGGGTCGACGAGACTTTGACGACTGACGGCATCATCAGCCCCGGTCTTGGTGATAGCGTACGCGTGTTTTTCTGGCTGTCATATCTCGAAACTGACGATGAGCGTAGGGAGACCGGCTGTTCAATACAGTTACCAATGCATATAAGCAGTAGGCGTAATTGATTCCATGTGCTAGACCAATATACTTTTCATCTTTACTTGACATGGCTGAGCGAAATCCCGTGAGCCCTTTGGTAGATGACTGATGCATACCTGCACCTTGCTACGGGCCCAGTCGCCTGAGTGAGGATAAGGTCTAGCACGAGCCACTAGCGCGATTGTGACGCCGCCAAAGGCACGAAAGTGGTTTAAATGAGGTACTCGGGAGTTGGCCAGGACACTCGCCCGCAACGCCATCCCACGTGACCTGGCAAACGCCATCTGACAGGAGAATTGCTCATCTTGGACGAATATTCTTTATCTTTGTCGAAAATGCGAAGCCAGTGTTGTTGGAATACCCCACTTTTCGCTGGTCCTCGTCCAATATGCCTCTCAGTAATTCCGGTTGGACAACTCCCTTGTCGTCGTCGTCGACGCTCTCCTCGCCCCCGTCGCCGCGACTCGACCCAAAATCCGGGGTAACGCCCTTTGAAAACCCTCGAGTTCAGGCCTCCCAAGTGGTCGAATACATCGCTTCGAGGAATACGTCGACCTCTGTCGTTTATGTGTATGATGTCGCCGAGCAAGTTGGATTCGGAACCTTGACCAAGGAATGGTCGAAGAATAGCGAAAAGGACATTGCACCTGTTGTGGACCTTCAGACGAGGGCCGGTGCAGGTCTGTCTCTTGTAGGACGCCTTTCTCAGGGAACCAGCGTCGAGGCCGGAAGGGGATCCGTCTTGACTGCCTATACCACTCCCAATGGTTTGGCGCTTATGGCACCCGCCTTTGCCCACCTCCCTTCCGCCAACTCCTCCTCAAGGCTCGTTGTCCAGGTCCCTACCGTTTCGGCAGTCGGAGACACCTTGTCATTGTCGCCGACCCTCTCACCCCTGTCCTCCATCTGGCCTCTCCTGCCAGAGGGAGTCGCCGTCCTTCTCTCCTCCACCCCGCAACAATCCGTCGACTTTGCGTCCATTGTATACCGACTCCAAAATACCCATGCCGTCCACCTCTTCGACCACTCCACCTCTTCCCGTGAACTCGGCGTCACCCTTAGGGAACCCCAGCTCTCAGGCCAGTCTCTGGAAGAGTTGCTCCAGTCAGTGGGCCATTCCTTCTTCAAGTACACCGGCGACGCTGCGGCGGAGACTGTCCTAGTCTTCCTCAACGGTCCTCTGGCTCTCGCTGCTGAGGCTGTAGTCGCCAAGCTCTCGGGCGTCGGGGTCCTCACTGTTAATGTGTTGCGTCCCTGGAGCGACGCCGCTCTCCGTGCCGCTCTCCCAGAGACTGTCCGCGCCGTTCACGTTGTGGACGAGGTCCCCAATCGTTTGGTTCAGGGATCCCTCTTCCTTGACGTTTTCAGCGCCTTGTACGGCGAAAAGAGCAAGCCAACCGTCCAAGCCCATCGTGTCGCCCCCTCCGAAACCCAAGAGTTCCTCAACGACAACGGTGCCTTTGTCCACTTCATCTCTGGCATCGTTCCCGGCTCTGGCGACGTGGCCATACCCCTCAGCGGTCTGCGTACCGTCTTGTTGTTCGGAGTTCCCCGCTCTCCACTTGCGGTAGTCCCTCAAGTGTTCGAAGATTTCTTCGCCACCCACAAAAACATCAACTCCCGCCTCCTCACCGATTACGACGTCTTCTCCAAAGAGGGAGGGATTTTCGCAAGCCGACTTGTCCTCTCCCCCAAGAAGGCCGGAGAGAACAGCCTACCCATTCCCTTCATTCTCCCGTTGGACCAAGGCAGCGCAGGTCACGCTGACTTCTTGGCTGTCCTCGACCAGGGATTACTCAAGACCCACGACGTGCTCAAGCACGCCAAGCGGGCCTCTGTCGTCCTCGTTTCTTCTTCGTGGTCAACTGAAGAGTTTATCGCTAGTCTTCCTGCCTCCGCTTCGGCCCTAGTCCACGAACGCAACCTCCGCATTTTCACGATCAACACCAAGGCCATCGCCTCCGACCTGACGAGCTCGGAATCCGGGTCTGCTAATGAAGCAGTTCAAAACCTCATCCTTTACCTCGCTTTCTTGAGGTTATACCTCGGCGCCACTGCGACTGAGCAAGTCGTCCTCCAGGTCGCTCAGAAGACTTTCGGCGAGTCACTGTTCGGTGTCTCGCTGCTCAAGATCAACGCACGCACTTGGGCAGAGGCAAACCTAGTTCCCCTTGCGGAGGACTTTGCTATCGAATCTCCCATTAGCCCCCTCAAAGACTTCGATTTCAACGCTATTGCTGTTGACGCTCAGGATGGAAATGTCGTCGTTAATGGTGCCCGACTTGCCTCTTGGCACGATGCCGCGAAGCACCTTCTGTTCCCCAGCGTCTATTCTCATCCCACCCAGCCTTCGGACGAACTCTACCCCCAGGATCCCGCCTTGCGACCAGAAGTCCCAGATCGCACCTTCCTTGTCACCTGCACAGTCAACAAGCGCTTGACCCCCTTGGAGTATGACCGCAACGTCTTCCACCTCGAGTTCGACACTTCCGGCACCGGTCTCAAGTATGCTATCGGTGAAGCTCTGGGGGTTCACGGATGGAACGACGAGCAGGAAGTCCTCGACTTCTGCAACTGGTATGGCGTCGACCCTAACCGATTGGTCACCATCCCCGTCCCTGGTGACGAGACCAAGGTCCACACCCGTACCGTTCTCCAAGCCCTACAGCAACAGATTGACTTGTTTGGCAAGCCACCCAAGTCTTTCTACACCGACCTTGCGGAATATGCTACCTCAACTGTTGACAAATATGCTTTGCGATTCATCGGCTCTCCTGAAGGATCTTCCACCTTCAAGAAACTCTCCGAGAAAGACACCGTCACTTTCGCCGATATCCTCAGAAAATACCCCAGTGCCCGCCCTGGCATCGAGAGGCTCTGCGAATTGATTGGTGACATCGCGCCCCGCCACTACAGTATTGCTAGCTCTCAAGCCGTTGTTGGCGACCGCGTCGACCTCCTCGTCGTCACTGTCGACTGGACCACCCCGGAAGGTATGTGATTTTTCTATTGAGCCTTTTGTAACTTTCCACTTACGGTCCGCCTAGGAGCCACTCGCTACGGCCAGTGCACACGTTACCTTGCAGGCTTGAAGATTGGTCAGAAGGTGACGGTGTCGATTAAGCCTAGTGTCATGAAGGTACGTTCAGATGCTTCGAACCGCTCCTGAGACGCTCGTTTAACTCTCGCCTCAGCTCCCTCCCAACCCCCAGCAACCTCTCATCATGGCTGGTCTCGGTACCGGTGCTGCTCCCTTCCGAGCGTTCCTCCAACACCTTGCCTGGCTGGCTGCCCAAGGCAAGGAAATCGGGCCTGTCTACTACTACTTCGGCTCCCGATACCAGGCCGCGGAGTACCTCTACGGCGAGGAAATCGAAGCATGGATCCTCGACAACATTATCACCAGGGCTGGTCTCGCTTTCTCGCGCGACGGACCGAAGAAGGTCTACATCCAACACAGAATGTTGGAGGATGCTGAGGCGCTTGCGGACATGCTTTATAACAAACAGGGTGTCTTCTACCTCTGCGGTCCTACATGGCCTGTTCCCGATGTGTACGAGGCACTGGTGAACGCCATCGTCAAACTCAAGGGTATTACCCCTGCTGAGGCTGGCGAGTTCCTGGAAAGCTTGAAGGAGGAGGAACGCTATGTGCTCGAGGTATGTAAAGCCCCTCACTCCGTCTAAGACCACGGTACTCATCCATGATTGCACAGGTGTATTAATCGGTATCGCAACAAGGTGACATCCGGCGTAGGCAATATAGAACATGTGGCTAACTGTGCAAAATACAAATTCCATCGTGGAATCAACCAGGAAATATAAGATCCAAGAGACATTACAAGGAGGTGTAGGCAAGTCCTTTGAGGGTAGCAATGCGCAATATGGTAGGGTATGATCTTCGGAAAGATGAAAGATGCGGTTTAATAGGTGTAAATAGTGGTGTTTTTTCTCCTCTGGACGAGCCAGATCCAGTAGCCTGAGAGGCCAAAGACCACCAGACACACAATGGTGAGGGTTACACCCATAGCGATTTGTGCCTTCTTGCTGAGCTTTGGACCTTTGCACCCTTCTTCGATAGCAGCGTCGCATGGTAAGCCGTCAGGTTTAACTTTCTCGTAGGCGCCTTCCTTCAGGGAAGTGTAGAAGGGATCTTCAGTACCAGCAACAACATGCATTGCTGTCAAAGTGAGTAACGGGGCGTTGTAATCGAGAGCGACCTAAATGTATGTTGAAGATTAGCTGTACGAAGGCGAAGAATTATACGTACCTCGGTCTGAGGCCAATCACTTCTGATATCGTAGAAGCGGTCCCGGATATCTGGCCCTCCGACAACAGCGCCATACAATACATATGCTGTCTTGTTAGGGTATGTATCAATGGTCTCGACGTCGTTTCCGCCGCTTGCCATGGCTGAGTGAGGGTTCTGTGGCGAATTGGGGTTTACTCCGACGATGTAGGGCACTACGAGAGATGAGTAACATTCTTCATTCTTTGCAGGCACGTTCGATCCACGCACTTGACATGGGGTTCTTTCCAAGAGCATAGTCCACTTGCGTTTGAGAAAATTCCTGAGAGAAAGTTCAGTCATCGTTGGGGTATATCGAGGAGACAAGAGGGACACACGAGATATTTCTTCTTCTTATCATCATTCGATGCGAGGGGAGCATATCTTCGCATGAGCATAGCCAAGTTCAAAGCGGGGTTCAGGCTCGCAAAATTGGAATCGCCGTCCCACCAAACAAGACCACCTACGTTGCTGGTTAGGTCACATGCCACAAGTGGGTGAAGATAACACACCTGCTGTTCTGGTGCTTGGCTTCTTCTTGTCGATGATGTTATCGAAATACGTCTCTGCGACCTCTTGCCAATATGATAGGTTGCTGCCAGTGCTGGGGAAGCTCTTCGCAATCTGTGCATACAGGATGGACAGGCCAGGGACTTTGGAGTCCCAGTTGAAGACGCGGTTGTAGTCCGCTAGTTTATAGCGAGTGTAATACTCCTCGGCATCCGCGAAGTGGGCGGAATCTCGGTTTGCCCATGATAGAAACAGGGCAGCGGCTGCCAATTCATCGCCAAAACCGGACGATTCATATGCCTTTGCAGCATCCGGTACAGATTTTTGGTAGACTTTGCGTCCGCCAGTGGCGTTGAGAGCGAATGAGTACAACTGTTCGGCGTGATCGAGAAGTGTGTTGGCATAGTCGGTGTCCTGGAGGCTGGCAGGCGTTGAGAAGGTGTTGTTGTCAAGACCTCGGCCTGCGTAGAGGTTTGAGCATGCCGCAAAGGCAGCAGAAGCTTGTGCTGCAACATCGGTTCCGGGATGGGTGTCATTGATTTGATAGACAGGGCGAGGCGAGGGAATGCTTCGGTCACCACCCCAGTAGGTGTTGCCAATATCCTCTGGGGGAACATATCAGCGCGGGCTTCGATCAAAAAAGGGACATGCTCACTGTTGTCGACTAGAACGTATAATGTAGATTCATTGGCATGTGCCTATTTTAGACAGTTAGCGGCACGTTGGCTCCGGAAAGGAAGTCGACTCGGCCCACCTTAATCAACCAGTCCAGACCCCATCGAAGCATGTCGTCAAGATATACAGTTTGGTTGGCCAAGTCGTAGCCTGAGTGCCATTGGTGTAAGATAATTGGGAGTAGAGCGATATAATTCAACCGCACCCTTGCCAAAGTCGGTGGCGCCCCAACATATTGACATCAACGAAAAGCTCTGGATACCAATCAATTCCCAGCGTGTTTGGTATGGTGAAATGTGCTCACAAGAGGGAAGGTTTGTTTCGAGAAGTCTTCGAGCGTTGTGAGTCGGTGGACTAGGAGCGATTGAGAGAGCCGTTACCTCCAGCGTCATAGTAGCCACCTGGAATGGTGAATGGTTGAGGTCGAGGGGAGAGCTCTGAACAAGAGTGTCTACCTACCAGTCAAGTCCACACGAGCCTCTCTTCCATCGTCCAGGGCACTCGAGTTCCTCCAAGAGACTCTGTTCGTGGAAGGGAGTTCCCCGCTTCGTTGAGCTTCGTAAAAGTACAAGAGGTTTCCGAGCAATGTCGACCATTGGGGGTTGGGGTAGTCGTCTCCCGAAGTTGCTTCGGCGCCCTGTGCACTATCAGGCGGAAGCCATGGCGAGCTGGGTAATTCCAATTGGGCAAGCGCGCCCAAGATCGAGGTTTGGAGCGCCAGTAAGGCCAGTACCATAAAGCGCTTCATATTTCCGATGTCGTATGTGTCGTAACCGTCGTCGTCTTGGTATTCGTATCAGTCTTCGTAGTCGTCGTCGTAGTCGTCGTGTCGTAGACAGAGAGAACGAGCGCCGCACAAGGGCGCTGTCTTGAGGTGGTTGTTCGCAGCGAAATGGAAAGGTTCGAGTTGGACTTCAACATTGACAAGATCGTCATTTCCCAACACGTGGCCCGGATGCGGCCCGTACCCAGAAATGATGCTCCATCACATGATCGCGATCTAGGCGGATCCGAATCGGGACGTGACTGACATTGCGGCATGCTCTCTATGCCAGCAACTCAATTGAGCGTTCAGTTTTCTAATTTTTATCCCCAACGACCATGTCGAAGCCCATAAACACCTGTGTCCTAGGCGTTGGACTAGCAGGTCTCACTTTCCACGTTCCTTTTATCCTCGCACTTCCCCGTCTATTCACTCTTCACTCCGTTCTTGAAAGAAATCCCAAAGTACTTGGAGGAAAAGTTGCTCAAAGATTTGGTGTCACTCCCAAGATCCACAGATCCATTGAAGACGTCCTTTCGGACACTGATGTCGAGCTCGTCGTGGTTGCAACACCCAATGATACCCATTATCCCTTCACGAAAGCAGCTCTGAATGCCGGCAAACATGGTATTTGGCTCCTACTCGACCTGGTTCGTCTGATGCTTATCTCCGTGTGCTCATCTGGTTTCCAGTGCTCGTTGACAAACCTGTTGCAGAGAGCCTCGAGCAAGCAAAGGAACTTGGAGATCTAGCCAAGTCAAAAGGCCTCGTGCTCTATGCATACCAGAACCGTCGATGGGATTCCGATTTCCTTGCCTTGAAGAGGCTGATCAGCCTTCCTGAAAATCATCCCGAATATATCGGTCCTATCCTTGAATTTGAATCCCAGTAATTGCTCCTTTTTCCTTCGTTGATCTTTCATTCACGCAGGTCGCAGCTTCGATCGCTACCGAAAGGCCCTCAAAGGAACGTGGAAGGATCAACCTCTTCCTGGTTCGGGGATTCTATACGACCTTGGCGCACACTTGCTTGACCAGGCGTTAAATTTGTTCGGTCGACCCGATTCCATCACTGCCTTTGTCCAAAATGTCCGTGGAATTGGAGACCCAAACGTTGACGATTCGGTGAGTCATCCATTCCATGCACGCTGAGTAAGTTCTCTAATACCTTCAATACAGTTTACAATCCGGCTGCAGTACGGCAGGAGCGCAGCCAGGCAATACCCTTTGGCCGTGATCCTACGCTCCCACCCACTTTCTGTGCGGTCGCCTCAGATTCGTTTCATCGTCCGGGGCACCCAGGGAACCTATATCAAGCACGGTATTGATACTCAGGAAGAGCATCTTAAAATGATTTCTTCCCCCAACGCCATCTTGAAAGATGATTTTGGAAGGGAGCCCGAGTACCTCAACGGGCGTATAGAAAAGCTCCTCGTCGACGACGAATCCATTGTGCAAACTAGGTACGTGCCCTTAACATTTCATGCACTTCCATTCTGATTCCCTTGCATAAGCTGGCCGACCCCTGATGCGGGGGCCTACATTGAGCTCTTCCAAAATCTTGGTGCAGTCATTCGGGCGGGGTCAGAGCCCGCAGTCAAATGGGACGAAGCGTCCGCAGTTATCGAACTGATTGAGCTTGCGCACGAGAGTTCTCGCAAGGGTGTAACCATCCAACTGTCTCCTCCCAGTTAAGGGTATTTTTAGAATGGACAAGCGTCAATGGCAACTGAACGGCGCTTCAGTGGTGCCATGTTGATTCCACTCACATAATAGTTCTCTTGGGACAACATCGGGACATTGTATCACATACATAGTCTGTTACTAGTTTTTCCTTTAGTGTACGATTCTAGCGTCTCAACACGCCTTTATTAAATGCCAACCCAGTTCTACTTTGCGCAACTGTGCTCTGGATTAAGCGCCTAACCGTCAGCCATATCTATAATCTAATCACATTGACCACGTGAGCAAGAGTCTTGGCCTCCACGTTGCCGCGATGTCATTGGATTCCATTAGTTGCTCTATCTCCTGTAACAAGCCTTTGACTCTGGAACTGACAGAGGAAGATGACCGGTGTCGAGCTGCGCATTGAACTGCCGGCGTACTCACACTCCTTTAACATATCAGTGCCCCCCTCAAGCACAATCCAGCAGGTCAAGGAAGAGATTTCGCGGGCTTGTCCGGGCCAACCCCGCATCGACGGTCAAAGGCTCATCTCCAAGGGGCGTAACCTGGCAGACGACGAGAAGATAACTGACTTGTGGAAGGTGTGTTATACATGCGCCATGCGCTAGGTGGAATTCGTAGCATTGGAAGCTGACCAAATGAAGGCGCCCTCCGACTCGCGCATATTACACTTGGCTGTTCACCCTTCAGCATGGAAGGCTGACCCTCCAGCGCCAGAACTCTCTGGCTCGAAGCCTCCTCCTCTCAATCTTGATACATCGCCTTTTCTCTCTCCACCATCCACATTCCCTACCTTCTCATCTGCCATCTATCACCCTCGACTCATCCCTGGCGGCCTACAGCTTCCTGAACCCCCAGCATCTTCAAGGACTCCGAAGCCGGTGGAACATAAGCCCATGCCATATATCGTCCTCTTGCACCAGAACGCCATCTCTGCATTGGTCACTGGTAACCCTCCTCCGCCGCCTTCTGGTTTCAACGAGCTGCGGGATGCAGCCAAGGCGGCAGTCAATGCCCTTGGCTGGGAATGGCCATCAATCCTCGATGACGCTTATCCAACAGCAAGCTCAGAGGAAGGGGAAGGTTTGAAATACGAGAGGAGCATCGTCCAGTAAGACTTATTGCTTCGTTTGTCAATTGTTCACACTCATAAGCGCCACCAGCGGCCGGCCATACCTCACTTTGAAACCTACCCCCAATGCAAGTCCAACGCAAGTACAGCTACATGCCCTCCACGTGCTTTCATACACCTTTACCCTCCTGGAGGTCAACGTCGTTTCCTCCAACATCGCGACTGTCACAACTCGCCACATAGTCGTCAATGGCAACGACCCTTTGCGTGCTGAGCGATTGCTCGAAGAACTCGGGGGACCCAATCCTGCCAATGAACGGATCCTTCAAGAGTTGGGTCTTCGTCGAGGACAGAACAACAACAACAACAACAACAACAACAACAACAATTTGAACTGGCCGGGGATCCCCTTGCGACCTCTCCTCATGCCGTTAGGCATGCTCATCTTCCGTGCAGTGCTTCTCCTGTATTTCGTTGGACCAGTCCGCAAACCTGTGGTCGGGATCCTTATATTCGCCTGGGTATTGTATGAACTTTGGCAACCCGTCCGGAACCTTCTCCTTGAGCGCCCTCAGCAACAGCAGCCAGCGAACAATGCCCCCAATCAGAACAATGGAAACAACAACCCTGTTCCTCCCAATCACAATGGCGCTCCCAACGGTGCGGCGAACGCCAATCCTCCCGCTAACGGAGGAATCTTCCAGGTTCAGCAAGCGCAAGCACCCGGTGTTCGGGTCATCGAGGTCCATATCAACTTGAACTCCATTTTTAACTATCTAGCAGATCTCAACCTCCAGTCAGAGCAGCAAATACTCGACCAAGCAGACCAAGCCCCTGTCCCCGAGCCAGGGATCGGTCACAAGATTGCTTCGTTTATTGGTTTGTTCCTCGGGTCACTGCACCCTGCCCTCTGGAACCGAAGACGCCTTGCACTGCGGAGAAGAGAAGGGCCCATTCGAACGGAAGCCAACATTCGCCAACAACCCGATCCAGAACCCCCCGCAGAAAACCCTTCTGAGGAACAAGAGCAAGAAGATGGTTCGAGGCCCGGTGAACAGGTGGACAATCGCGCCACCGAAATGAGGGACGAGTTGAGAGCCAAACATGCTCGCCGTCCGGAATGGGTCAGGAGATATATTGATCGTGTAGTGGAGGAGGATTGGGTCGATGATGCAGATTAATCGTGATTTATTGGTGCTATACATCTATTCTGTAGATCCTTGTAGATAACAATCTATAGTCGTTCTGGAAAGCATAACGTCGCTTGACCATTGAAATACAAGGTAGGGGGCTATGGCCTTTCCCACGTGCTCTTATTTAATCGGGTGCAGTGGCATAGCGACTTGATTCTCATCGACCATCGCTGACCTATCCCTCTTTTAAACTTCGCTCTTTCCACCGAAATTTGGATAATACGACGCTGGCGTTATGTCCTCGACGTTCGATTCGCTGGTTGGCGATCTGACACGCGATTACCAGCGCGCTCAGCCAAGAGACGCCCTGCAGTTCTGTGCCAACTGGTTCCAAACTCGACTGGAGGAGCAGAGAACTCGTACGAGGGATCTTCTCTCACAAAGGTCGTCGTCGTTGTCCGTTCCCGCTGACCTCTACATCGACACACCAGCCAATGGGAGTCCCTCCAACCTTCCCTTCCCATCTGCTTCACCCCTCGCCCGACCTCGTTCCTCTTTCCGCGACAGCATTGCACACAGTCCCTTTGGAACTCTAAACGTTCCTGGAAACGCTCTTCTCAGTGGCGATCGAACCCCTCCCACACTCAAATTTAACCAAAACGAACTACCACCCACGTCCCCATTGACCACAGTGAACCCGTTTGCTTCATTCGATACAGCCACTCCTACCGGTTTCAACAACGACGACTACCTCGTTGCCCCAACGTCAGCGATATTTGCACGACGGACGTCTGTCTCTGCAGAATCTATCGCAGTCGATAGTGGTACCGATGAAGTTCTCCCTGTCTATCCGAAAGGGATTGAACAGCTACGCCGTATCAAAGCAGCCATTCGCAACAACTTTATCTTCCGGGATCTCGATGAAGAGCAGGAGAAGGGTGTGCTGGATGCGATGCAGGAGAGACAGGTGGTGAAAAACGAGGTGGTGATTCGCCAAGGCGATGTTGGAGAGTACTTCTACGTTGTGGAAGCTGGCCAGCTGAACTGTTACATCCGTACCGAGCCTCTCCCACCAAATTGGCTCAGTCAACCCAACATCCTCACCGACACGGGAGAAAAATTTATTCAACCAAAGCACCACCCCGAACTTGGAAGGCTGGTGCAAGAGTGCAAAGCTGGAAGTTCGTTTGGTGAATTGGCCTTGATGTATGGCCATCCTCGTGCTGCGTCCGTTTTGGCCATTGAGCCATCGACCCTCTGGGCTTTGGATCGTATCACGTTCCGGACCATTATCCTCAAGGCCGCTCACCGGAGGAGAACCATGTACGAGCGGTTCCTCTCAACCGTGCCTTTGCTTTCTTCCCTCGATGCTGCCGAGCGGAGCAAGATTGCCGATGCGCTCAACAGCAGCGTGTACAAGGATGGAGAAGCGGTGGTCAAGCAGGGAGAACTCGGAGACACCTTCTTCTTCGTGGAGGAAGGTGAAGCAATCGCAACAAAACACCAACAACTAGAGAATGGGGAAACTAGAGAAATTAAAGTGGGGCATCTGAAGAAGGGCGATTACTTTGGAGGTAGGCCTGATTTTTCATCCCCATAGTACACTATTCGGGCTAAGCGCTCCACCTACAGAATTGTCGTTGCTACGTGCAGCACCTCGTGCAGCAACTGTGAGCGCCGTTCATCGCACCGACCCTTCGCAGCCCAAGTTGAAGGTGGCCGCCTTGGACGAGGCTGCTTTCACTCGACTCTTGGGTCCGCTTCGAGAGCTGATGGAGAGAAAGGCGGGGGAAGCTTACGGACGACTGCCGTTGCAACACTGATTTCTATCATTTTGGAAACTTATACCCTCCATCCGGTTCACATTTCAATTCGGTTCTACTGGTTTGTATGAATTTTGTGTAGCTACTAGTGCTCTCTTTGCTTTGCTTGTACCACTAACGCGATCATTAAACACTGTAGTCTCTCGGCACATTGTAGACTATCTTTCTTGTGTATTATATTATATTTGGCGTTTCGCGAACAAAAGACTGGTGAAATCCACAACTATCACAGTCCATGCTTCTATGGAGTTCTGGAGCCATGAATGAGTTGGATTGACAGTGAGCCCGTTTATAAACAGCGATGCCTGGATACGTGATGTGATTTACCTGGAGTGGGAACTGGACTGCGTTTCGTTTCTCTTCCAACTGGTGGCGAGCGGCGTTCCCTTTCCTTACGATTCTGCAACTGTGTTGCATAGTCCTCTCATTCGTTGGGCCTGCTAGTGCTCATTTCAATTTCATTTTCATTCGCTGCCATCTTCTTTCTCTCGATTTCCTACATTTCTCTTGAATTTTTCCAGTCGTTCCTTTTATTGTTTGCTTGAAATGGCTCCCCACAAGTTCTGGTTGAAGCGACAGATCACCATCGACCTCCCTGACTGTATGTTTTCTCATTCACAGCAGACAAAAAGCTACGGTGGCTGATCACGACGTATGCAGTGCCCGACCTCCCTGGGCTGTATGTTCAATCCGACAACATGTATCGGCTCTTGGAAGTACTGATTGCTGCTCACTTTGTAGCCCACGACCAGATCCTGAATCCTCGAGCACCACGCCCGCGGAAACGTCGACTCAGCCAACCAGCACGGAGGCTTCCACTACCAACACCGGGTAGGGTCCCTTGGATCATGTATATTACAAATGACATTCATGCGTTTCGCCACAGTCGACCCTCCCAGACACCCACACCGATTCGGTTACTCCTCCTCCTCCCCCGTAGGTCCTTTAGTTTTCATCACTGCCGCATCCGTAATCACCCTCTGATTAATTAGTAGTACCCAACCAACCGCAACCTCAGCCCCTATTACCGATACCTCAACCCGAGCCACCCCTTCGCCGTCCGTCCCAGCTCAGGAAGAGCCTGAGGAAGAAGAGAATGATATCATTCTCATTCAATCCTCCGACCCAGTCAACCGGCCTACCGATTCTGTAGCCATTGTCGACCTTCCAGCTACTACCGTAATCCAAAACAGGACTATCACGACGGATGTTACAAGCTCTGCTATTCCCACCAACGTGGGTGCTGCAAAGAATTCCAACGCCTTCTTGGACAATAAGGTCCTCTCTGGCGTTGTCTTCGGCATCTGCGGTCTCGTTGGGCTTCTTCTCATTCTTTTGCTCGTTTTCTTCGTCACCCGCAAGACTAGGCGCAACAGGAAGCTGGAGCAAGAGATCATATCCTGGGACCCTGACCACGTCCAGACCTTTGGCAATGCCAGCGGTGGCTCCGACGCGAATGGTGCCATAGGAGCTGGACGTGCCAAAGACGATGATGGTCGGTCAATCGACTCCTTGGATGAGAAGAGCAAGACGTCCGGTAGTCTGGATGGTCACTATACCTATGCGTTGCCAAGCACTACGTACAAGGGCAATCCTAACGCGGCAATCCCTTCTGCACCATACTCGAACTATGGTCATCCTCAGCCTGTCCATGTAGCTCTCCCTACCTATGGCGCTCAACAACAGCCATACCAGTCATGGTGAACATCCATGGGGAGTCCGCTCGGCTAGGTTGTAACGAATGGCTATCATGACGAGTTTATCACGCTTTCACGCCCGCTTTCACCCCTTCTGCGCTTCACTCATTTTCCTTGTTTTGATTTCGACGCGTTCCTTTGGATTCGATATCCTCACTGTCTTTTTACTGTCCATTTTATGTCTGTTCCTCGGGAACAATTTATGTTGTAGTGCTCTCTTTCCCTTTCCATGCTTCTGCGGAGCATCTTTGTTTCGATTCTATGCCTTTCCTATGTCAATTGCACCTGGTGTCTGTGGCTATGGATACACTTCAGTGGGCGATGAGGGCAAGGTGGTTGCCAATGTGGGTACAGGGTGAAGCAGGTGAACAGTGGGCGTGACTATATCTAATCTTGCAACTTGTACAGCTTGGGCGGCCATACTCTCCTCATTGCTCCGATGGGAATGGTGGGATGAAGTCCTTGGTGCTGGTACATGTTTGGTCAGGACTTCTCGTTGGAGTCATCAGTCAACTACTATCACCCCCGATTGAAGGCTGTCGGACCCGACGGTGCTGTAGATAACTTGAAGGGGATGCTTACACTCTGCAAACACTGCCGAGCTTGAACGCGTTTTCCGCCGTTCTTCGAATCTCTTCCTCATCGTCCGTAGAGGGAGCTGACCTCAGCACAGTGCCGTAAGGACCAGGAGGGTTTGCAGTCATGAACTTTAGGACCGAGTCATGTTCAGCAGGCGGGTAAAGGATTCAGAATCGAGTAATCCTGTTTACGGGACTCCTCGGAGAGTTGCATCCACGCAGGTTTTGACAACTTGGAGGAACCGGGAAAGGTCAGAGAGGGGAACTTCGAGGTTGGCTGTTTATTATTAGTCCAACCAGTGATACATGCATAGCGGATCGGAAGGCGAGAATGTTGGAGAGTTACGAACAGGTTTTACTCATATATGAAAGCGTTGTCTTCCGTGTTCCAGTCAGCCAAATTTTAGCCAAGTTCTCCGATGTTCCTCGATGTTCTTCAGCGCACCTGGCGGCCGTCAAGTCCGGAATTTGATGTTCTGGACACAAGCTTCAAGCTTCAAGTTCAAGGGACGCCGGGGAAGTAATTGCTAGATTTATGTGCCAAGACGTTGTTCCGTCGTGTTTGGTTCACGTGGTGATGGGTTCTGTGTCAAACAGCGATGGGTGGACTCTTCGGCTCAGAGTTGTCGACTCTTTCATCTCAAACAACACCCTTCATGCTTGTCATTCGATTGTTATCTGGTCTCGGCATCACAACTGGCTATCCTTTGAGCTGGGAACCTTTCTAATTTGCCTCTGACTTGTCCGTCAACTTCCTCGGCGCGACCATGAGGGAACGTCAAGTCCTGCATGGTGTTGTTCACTTTCCCACTTTCGACATGCTTCGAAACAATACTCGGTGTCTTGTGCGATAAATGCATTGGCCTCGACCAAGTCTCTGGATACCGGTGACTTGGTCGATGAGTATGTAATCGTCTGTGGGTCAGCAAAATTGGCTCAGTGCAGATTGGACTCGGGGAACACGCGCCCGGAACTAATTAGGAATGTTACACTGTCCCGATCGCTTTGTAAGTCTGACGCAACCTTTCTTGTCAATCTGAATCCATGTGTATTTCTTCCGATATGCGTTCTATTTCTATGCACCTCCCCTTCTTGCCCTCCCTCCCTGCTGTCCCGCCTTTGTGTCCCCCATGAGAACCGGTTCTCTAGCGGTCGCGTCCCTTGGCGCGTCTCTGGTCGCTGCAGGCGTTGCCGCCATCACCTCACCCTCCCCCGGCGAGCTCGGGCTCCTCCACAACCAGCTTGTTCGACGAGACGGGGACCATGGTCACCATAACCCACATGCGCAGCCCATCCTCGAGCTCAACGAAACCGAGATCCTTCTTCACCACTCCCCGACCCCGCCGTCGTACTACACCATTGACTGGGAGGGAGAGGGCGATCCTAACGAGACGAGACACCCTGGGCTCATGATGGGACATATCCTCTTCATGTCTCTCGCCTTCTTCGGGGCACTTCCAGCAGGTGGGTATCACCTTTCTCTTTACTTGCCCTTGTCCTGAAGCCGCCCAGGGATTGTGCTTCGTTCTCTAAGACACCCTGCCCATGGGGCAGCCATGATTTCGTTCTACGTTCTATCTGCGCTTGGCATATCATCCTCTGTCTTATACTGCAAACTTACTCCGAACATGTAAGAGCTCGATTGGCATCTGTCGGTGACCATCTTACCAATCAATTTACAGGTACGAAGGTATGCTAATGACCTTCGCCTGAATTCCGAACGGTGATGCTGATCACGGTTCCAGGCTCTGTACACGGCAAACAGGGTTACTTTGTGATGGTCCTCGCGATCCTACTGTCTGGAGTCGACATCGTCCAAGGGCTACAGCGCCTTCTTTCCTTTATCCGCAGCGACAACAAGACTCTGAAAGGCTTCTGGCGTTTCGTTGTTCTCAACCAAAAGCAGGAGGCTAGACTTGACCCCGAGTATGCCGGCCTCGTTGTCGATGATCCCGAGGAATTGGAATTCTCAAAGTTGACGCATGAAGACTCCCCCGATTCGCCAACCGAAGATGGAACCGAGAGATGGGCAAACGAAGTCCAGAGACATAGACGATTCTCATCTACGCTATCCGAGAGAACTGTTTTCAGTCCGCATTCGGCAACACACTCTGATGACACGCTGAACGAGGGTCGAAAAGGAAAGCCGACGAGGAGTGGTCGGTGGCTATCATGGATTGGGCAGCGATCATTCATTGTGGCCGAAAGGAGCTTGGTTGTGGCCGGATTGGGACAAGTCATCAGTGGCATAGTGGTTTACACAGGTAAGTTGGTGTACTGTAAAGGTTTAATCGTTCACTAATGATTTTAGGCGGTTGCCGTGAAAATTACATCAACGGATGCCTAGCACATTTGATCAGTACGCCATTTCCATTCTCTCGCTTACCATCAATCTAACCGTCCAACAGAGGGTGCCATCTTCTGGTGCTACGGTCTGCTCACTTTTGCCCGTTTCCTGGGCTCTTTCGCTGAACGTGGATGGGCTTGGAACCAAGCCCCTACGAAACAAAGGTTTACAGCCGAATTCACCGAGTCGTTTGTTATCTTCCTGTATGGAGTAACCAACACCTGGATGGAACGATTTGGGGCCAAACCTGGAGACCCATATACAACGAAGCAAATCCAACACATCAGCATCGCGGTAAGGGTCACCCTAACATGCGTCATTCTGTCAGCAGCCCTCTCTTACCGCAGCTTCGCAGGTGATGTTCTGGTTCGCAGGTCTCGTGGGGATGGGCATCGAATCCCGAAGGGTTCGCCGATGGCTTGCATCTTCAACGTTTGCATCGGTTTCTAATCCCGCTGAAATGCCTCAAGATGCTGTGACCGAACCTCCTAGCTACCGGGGTAGCTTCAATCCCTTCCCCGCCCTCGTCATTGGTGTGACGGGAGCTGCAATGGCTGCTCATTTCCAGACCTATGTTTTCCAAGTGCAGATCCATCAACTCTGGGGCAATCTTCTCGTCGGATTCTCGGTACTCCGGTGTCTGACCTATTTCTTCCTCTGGCTTTCTCCACCTAAATCTATCTTGCCGTCAAGACCGCCAACGGAAGCTTTGGGCAGCTTCTTCCTCGCTTGTGGTGGAATGGTGTTCATGTTTTCGACTGAGGAGGTCACTATCGCTGCAATGCGCCGTGGCCGTGACGGTGAGTATTTGGTACGGCTTAACGGGGCGGTAATTGATGTCTATCATCTCCCAGATGTCATGATGTTCCTCAATGTTGCTGTTGCACTGACTTGCCTCGCCTTTTGCTGGACGCTGTTCTTTGTGGGACTGAAAGGTTACTTGAAATCTCGACTTCACCCAAATGTCACGTACCGTAGTGCAAGCGCATAATGCCCTCACCACCTGGATTAACGGCGTTGACGATGTTACGACCGCTTTACGAACCTCTTCCCCTCTTCCCGTCCCAACGCGGCTGTTGTGACCCTAACTCCTTCACTTGTCTTTCCATACTTCGTCTATGATAGCACTTAGCCCATTCCCGCTCTAACTTATTGTTACCTCCATCTCACAGGATCGATTTTCTTGTACTCTCCAAATCTCATTATAATTTGACATATCGGAGCTTCAATTGGGATTGTCTGTCTATTGAAGTAGGGAACGCAATAATACTTCATTCTAGCCGAGTGCGACCAAGGAAAGTCCATAGTCCGCCATCGCGCCAGCCCAAATCCAAAATCCAACCCAACCGCTACTTGCGAATCCTTCCCAGCAGCTCTTCCTGTCCTCGAAATCCGTCCGATACAGGATTCTGCCCAATTGTGCCAATCCAAGAGCAACGCCAGCGTAAAAAGGCTCCGTCTGGTGATTCAAATATCCGGCATAGGACACGAGGGACATTGAAGACAAGGAAAGGCCGGTGAGAATAGATCTGGTCTTGTCTGCGAAAAGGAGGGCTGTGCTCTTGATACCGGCATGGACATCATCGAGCTTGTCTTGGTGGGCATAAATGCTATCGTACACGAGCGTCCAGCAGACACCCCCCGCATAAAGAGGAAGGCAGACTGCCCAGTCGACCGTACCGGCTACCGCTGACCAGCCCAGAAGGGCTCCCCAATTGAACGCGAGGCCTGAGAAACAACAGTGAGAATAGAGTGCCGGGCATACTTAAGATGATCATGCATACCAAGGACTGCTTGTGGCCAGTGGGTCACACGTTTCATAAAAGGGTAGATGGTGACCAGGGAAAGGGAGGACGCGCCAAGCAAGATGCTGTTACGGGTCGTTTAAGCGCCTTTCCGCAGAGGGAATGACATGGACTTCGCACCTATACCAGTTAAATTGAAGAAGAACAGCCAACCCGAGACCCAATTGTCCCCCCAAGAAGATGAAGGCATCCTTCCGCGTCAAATCACCCCTCGCAAGTGGCCTTTCCTTTGTCCTAGCTGTAAAAAAACGCGTCCAATTCCGTTCCGGGAGAAGGAGGTAAAAAATCGGGACGAACCGACAGACTTGTCCAAGTTCTTGTCCCACATGTCGTTTATTGTGCATCCTGCTCCACGCATAACAAGAGCGCCGATGCCGCATAGGCTGATGTAGGTCAATGGGACGCTCGGAGGCAAGTGAAGCGCGTATGAAGCCATTGCGATTGACCACGCTGGCGAAGGGTTCTTCTGGTCAGTGCTTCAAGGGTATCATGGGGACTCGGTTGACTTACTACACGGCCAGAATAGCAAAAGGGTTCCAATTGGTTTGTCTATTCGCGTCAAATACAGGTATGGTCGCACTTTAGGTGGTAGCGAGTCGATCCAAGTCTTTTTGACGGGCTCGATGCCGGTGCTGGTCGTGCTCGAGAGTCGAACGACGCCGAAGGCCTTGTAGACACTGGTTGTTGGCCATGGTCTGCGCAGAACGTGTGGGGTAGCGCGACAGCTGTAGCGCGATGCGAGGGAACCTCTGAGGAGGCCCAGCTGCGATGTTGGGACTCGGGAGAAAGGCAACATGCGGAAAGACCGGAGCCGCGATCTTTTCCACGTGGTTGGCCAGCGACATAGGGGCTACTTACGACCATCGAACAGTAAACATTTGAAAAGATATTCATTAAGACCACAGCAATGACCATCGTGACTAGAGTGCAATACACAGACTAAATGATACAAATGGAACGACCTTCGACCCCGAATCTTACTCCCATTCTTTCGCGAGCTTGAAAGACCATTCCCAATCTGATTGAACCTTCTGTTAGATAACATGGTGATGGGTGCGGCATGGTTTGATGCTTACCTGCGTAGACCTCGCCGTCATCGTCAACGACACGACTGCGAACGCTGTAGCTTCCGCTTCGAGCGATCATGCCTGACGGCGATTCCTCCGGTTCAAAGTTCTTGGTATAGGGTTCGCCTGTCGGGTTGGGTCCATATGAACCAAGCATCTGCTCCAGCTTGTCGACTGCGTTTCCGAGTGGTACATGTCGACTAGGTTACTGATACCAAGTTGCATAAAAGCTCACCTTTGATGCCACTACGCTTGACGACTTGGATGTATCGGACACCCTAAAGTAACTTGAGCTCGATGCGAGGTCGTGAGGGGCAGAGACGGGCAACGCACCGAGATGATGGAGTGATTGACCTTGAAGGTGATACGGACGCTACAAGCACTGATCAGCATGCGTTGACCACCAGCCGCTGAGGGTTTGACTGACTTGTACTCAACACCTTCCTTGATCACCACAGGGGTCTTCTTGAGGGATGCGATGGCGTTGGGGTCGGCGAGGTTGAAAGCGATCTTCTTGCCGGGTGGCAACGTTGGTGACACGAGTTCCAGAGTCAACACCGTCACCTAGAGGTGAAAGAGTATCGTTTAGAAGAGATGTATATGCGAGTGTCGCGTGGACGAACCTTGGGACCGCTGGTATCACCGCTGGTGGCACCGGGGACGATACCGAGAGATGCTTTCCATCTGGCCAAGCTTTCGTCTTCAGCATCGAGTTTGGCGTATTCTTCAGCGCTCTTAGGAGGCGCTCCTGGCTTGTAGCCTGTTGGATTTAGTTAAATTCACCATCGCTACGGCAGTACACGGCAAGTATGGACTTGCCTGGGGTGAACGAAGGCTTGAGTTCGTCTTCGATGTTATCCTGCTGGAGTACCAGAACGAGAAGTGTGAGCGGCTGGGCGAGAAGGGCGGGTGAAGACGCTCACAGAGGACATTGTATATGATTATGAATAGAGTTGGAAGTAGATGCAAACCCAGGAGACTGTCTCCGCCCCTCTCTGCCCTCTTATGACCAACCTCCAATATCGATTTCGCACGCGTGCTATCGCCGTTTGCCGATCTTAATTCCCGAAATAGAAATTCACATTTCTCATCGTCCTCAGCGAGCGTCTTCTGAAAAGCTTTAAAACGTACAAAAACAGCCTTAAAAACATATAAACCAGTTAAAGAAGCTAAAGCCACATAGATCCATCCATTCCGTCGTAAACTCTCGTCGGTCGGCAGGTCCCCTTTGAATTCGAGCTTGAAACCCAGTATATAGGGTTCATCTATCGCACGGCTTATTCCAAATGCATTCCCTCTGAAAGTATGTATATCAGAATAGACGATATTGGGCAGACAGTGGAGAGTGACTCGCCGCCTTTAAACCAGCACTTCCCTTTGCTGAGATGAAAGCATTTGGGACCGTTTGGACACATATGCCCCCAGCAGCATTTATCGCCGTACGGACATGGTACACCTTTGAAAGTAGCAAAGTGAGATCAGAAAAGAGGCCTACGGGTGGATGTGCGTACCATTTTTGAGCCAGTTACAAGGCGCCTTCTTGGCATTGTTTGCAAGTTGTGCCAGCTGTTCAGGGGTCAAGAGGTAGTCATGCGAATATTTGCATATTCCGGCCTGCAGGGAACACGGGTCAAAACACTTTCAGTTCAGAGTGAGCAGGAGAAGATCCTCACCCCTTTAGAACATGTCATGAGGTAGTGTTCATTGCAGGGCGGAGGGTTTTCTGATATCGTAAAAGTCAGTTCCAGAGCTCGACGAAGTCAAAAGCGTCAACTCGTACGCTTGTGGAGAGGCTAAACTGGATTAGAACGTTGACAGAGCAGAGGGTTCTGCGACTTACCAAACTGGGGTCAATGGCTCTTCCAGAAGATCGGGATACGGGTGACTGGGGGCTGATTAATCCTCCATTGGACACCATGGTTCCATTGTTATGGTTGGTCGAAAGGGGGCTCAGCCTCTTCGGAGACCTTTGGAGTCGTTCGTTCATGAAGACGTTGTCCAAGCGCAATTTGGGGAGGGGGTGCATCGCCTGTCCATCCCCTGGACCATTGTCGTTCGTCTGCAAGAGTGCAATCTTGCCCAATAATTGCTCCTGATCGAGCGCATCGAAAAGCGCAGTGTATGAAGGCGGCTCATACCCTAAGATCAGCCACGAGTCACATATAAGGTTTGAAATGAGGCAATATAAAATTAACAGACCGCCGAAAAATACCCGGATTGTCTGTGGAAATCGTATGAACGTCTGCAGGTATTCTAGAGAGGGGTTGAGCATCAGATAAGAGGGATAGGCGGGAGAAGGCACCTTTGATCTTTGATTCGACAGCGTCCTTTCCGCAGCCAACGTCCACAACACAGAAGCGAGCGGACGCCTGACTAAACCCCTATGTACAGAGTTCGCCATTGTCAAGCCGAGAGAAGCGAAGAGACTCACAGCGAGGAAAGAGGTGAAGTGAGGCTCCGTGCAAGCATTATGATAGAGAAGATTCTCCAGAACTTCAGATTTGCTTAGATAGATCGTGATCCAAAACGATAAACGTCCATAGACGTAGACTTCCTCCTTGGTCAAGTGTTCCGCGATGACCTTGGTAATTTCTTGCGCAGCAAGCCGACCTCCTTGGTAACCTTGCATAAGGAGCTCACGGCTAAAGCAGAGCTCATTGCCATTTAAGACGCAAAGGATAAGTGGACTTTGGTTCTAGACGTCACGAATTCAATGATGAGTCTAGTAACAGAAGGAGGGCACGCACGTTCTTGAAGTAGTCTAAGTTGGATATTTGTCGGTTGAGCGCAGCAATCTGCACGTTATGTGCCTCGTTTGCCTCCAGCGCTGATGCATGAGCCTGCTTCCAGACGTGGAGCTCGAGCTCGAGCTCCGCGACCCGGGCCTCGAGCTCAGAATTTCGTCGCACAGTAGAAGAAGAAAGGTCTCGAAGACAATCAGCATGTTACAGCGAAAAGCAAGCGATAGACCTACGGAGAAGCCGGGTGAGGGCGTCATCCCTTGACAATGACACGATCCCAAGATCAACCGAGTGAGCACACGCTGACGAACACAAGAAAAAAGAATACAAACCAGAGCTGCTGGGTGGCTTCTCCAAGAGGTTGCGTGGCCATTGGAGGCTGCCTACGCAGGGGTGAAGGCAACTACAGTCGCGGGCGGGAATGATCTTTGGAGGCAGGTGAGGGGAGCTATAAAACATGCCTAGCCTCGTCACCAAATGAAAACAGTACTACTCTTCCCCGGGGCTAATTGCCACCCCAAGAAGGTCCATTTCGAAAAAGGAACCAGCATGTTGATAATTTTATCACTGAATGGGCTTCGACCCTTCACACGACCCAATGTTGTAGGGGTGCATCGAAGATTGGAAGGATCTGTTACGTGAGGCCTGTCAGACGCCCAAAATTAGCGCTGATACGCCCATCTGTCCACCAGCATGGACGCACTAGAGTTACGGAGGCGGGAGAAAGTTTAGAGGAAGAACGCGTAAGTACCAGGGAGAGGGTCTCGCATACGTCGTGGGCGTAATAAGAATAGAAAGCAAAGAGGTCCGGAACACAGTGGCCACCGTGAAACTCCGCGGCTATTTATTTGGGCGCAAAGAGCATAAATAAACTGGCAAGTCCATCACAAGTGTATCACGACTATCGCGCATTCGTACTTCTTCACTGGCAAACGCCTTCGAATAAGCTTACTCCTTTATTTCGGTTCTTTGTGCATATCAGCTGAGTTTAGCCAATTCCGAGAAGTGTATGAGGTCCCTTCACCGTATCTAGAATAGAATGCTAAGAACTTACGTCCAATAAACTTGCATCGGCCTTGCTTGAGGTAATGGCAGCTCACAGTCAGGGGACAATAATGGCCGTAGCAACAATTTTCACCCCACAGGCAAATCTCCCCTGTTGATCATCATTTAAGTCGATCGTCGGTCGGCTAGATAAACTTGTCGAGTCAGGCACGTACCCTTGTTGGTCGCGGGACAAGGAGCTTTCTTTGCGTTTGTCTTTATCTCTTCAAAATGTTCGGGTTGGAGAAGATAGTCGTGGCCATATCGGCAACCCGTGCCATGCTTGCAGTGTGCGAGATAGAACAACGTGCAAGGCGGCGGTTTTTCTTCAGAATCCGGTCAATGAAAAGTCCCACACACGATGTTAGGGCTAGAAGCTTTTGAAGATCACGTACGCTTTGATAAGGGCTATGGAAGTTGTGAATCTGATGTCGAAGGTACGCAAAAAGAGGGAGGTCGCTTACGAGTTTGGGATTAAAACGTCGCGCATTGAATAGCTTGGGAGAGACACGAGGGTCGGTAGTTATTTCGTCAGCATCACTGGAAGTGCTTCCTCCTGATTCCAGCTCGGGGGTCGGGGGAGCCCTTCGGGTAGATGTACGAAGGATCGACGAATATGTGCTAGTAACACCTGCGGCCAACTGGGGCTTGGTGCTAGTCTCTTCCAGCTCTGCCAAGGTGAAAGAAGAGGCTTCGTAAGAGCCTCGAGGTTGGTGGCCATACGCCCGAGAAGGAGTAATCGGTTCGTTGGAGGGCAAAGTGCCGTGTTCTTTAGCTGTGGTTGCCACTGAAAGGTTGGCCAAAGGGTTCGTCGTCCCTAGTTTCTCGGAGATGAAGAGGTCGGGAACTGCGAGTACAGGTAGGTCAAGCTCGCTGATCCCCGCGGCGATCTCCGCATAGCTAGGTAGCAAAATCAATTTGCCTCTGAACCCAGCAGTTATCTGGGAGCGTAATGTCGTTACGTAGCCGTTGTCATGAGATCCTGTCAAGAGTGGTATGAGTATCATAGGCGGCAAGGTCGAGGACACGATAAATTGAAAGCATATGAGAACTTCACCTCCAAATACGACTTTCTCGGTTGTTGACATACGAATCTCACTTTCCAAAAGCGCTGAGGCGACCACGAACGTAAGTGAAGTGAGTGTTTAGGCGCTGGTTCATATTCACCTTTGATTTTAGCGTCAGCGGCCTCCTTTGCGCTCCCCACGTCAACCATCATGAACCGCTCCGATGCCTGATTGAATCCGTAGATAAACTCGTCAAGTTTAGACCTGGCCAACAATTCACCCGTGCGCCCAAAGGTGTCAAGCAGCCCACGCTTATTGAGGAAAACGTAAACCCAGATTTGATAATTGTTCATCCCGAAGTTGGTTTGGAAATATTGCGTTATGTAGTCCGTTAATTTAGAAGCAGCTTCATGCCCGCCGACTTGGCCTTGTACTATGAATTGCGGGTTGAATATGGCACCGTCGCCGTCAATGAGAGTAACAACACGATGACCCTGGAAACGGAGCAGATGAAAAGAGTAAGAGCAGAGAATCCTGAAATGTGTCCTACGTTTACTTGGAGTTGAGCCTTGAGGTCGTCAAGCTGCTTCTCGGCCTCTTGCTTCAGCCTTTGAAGTTCTTGCTTCTCGGTGTCCAGGTCAGCATACGCACGCTTGTAGACCGCAAGTTCACGTTCTAGATTGGATATGGTATTTTGCGATGAAATATCTCTGTCCAATATCCCAATGATTTGGCCTGAAGACTCATGATGATTAGATGCTGTTGAACTGGGCGGCGGGGCCGCGAAGAACTCACCGCGTAACTGGTCAAAGTAATGACCGCTATCCCATGTATTAGCAGAAGTTGGATGACGACCCCAGGGCACGGGTCACGTACACTAGTTCATGGGACTGCGGAAGTGGGCGAGGATTGTTAGGGTGTGGCGAATTCTCCTGATACATTGTAAGGTCAGTTGAGGGCCTTCCGTTCAACGCCAAGGTTGATTAGGTGTAGTGAGAGAGGGCGACAGAGTGGATGAGCACAGGAGGGGAGCAGCCACTTAGGTATGCAATGTATATGACCATTGTCCGGTACAATGCACACGTGTTGGACACAAGGTGTGTTGCCAGGTTCCAGCATGTTCTTTGACGCCCGAGGGTGTATAGCCATGAAGTCATGATCATGCTCGATGAATACAAAGACCATCACTTCAACATCACTTTGTGCTGTGCATCCACCGGAGAGGCGCAGAATCGAAGCTCCCGATAGGGACAAACCAAACTGTGCCTGTGGACACGACGAGCCCAGAAAGACCCCCTTTGAAGCGAGGACAATAGAAGAATGGGGAATCTTGGAGCCACGGGTTGAGTAGCTGCACCCACAGTGTATCAAAGTGAGATGGGCTTCGGTGTGCAGGGGGATCGGGACAGCCAAAGTAAAAGAGAGAGGCTGCGGAAGTGATCACTAGCAGGTGAAGACACCAATGATCAGGAAACCGGTCCAGCTGAATGTGATAAAGGACAGGACAGTACTTTTGCTTCACTGCTCGGTGCTCTGGCTATGTATTGTGCCCTGAACCTGATGGTCAAGGGAATTCGGCTTCGCTCAGGGCGTCTGTTATAATGCCAATTATCAGGCGGTTCGGTGGATATGGAGTCGGCAGTCTGAAGGACTTTAACCAAAGCAGAGGCAATTTACCCTTGAAAGCCAATATTCGGAGTAGTTCTGATTCACGATTGAGGAGAAAGACCGGGCTGGCGACAAGTCTCTCGCGATCACGCCGAAGTCACGAGAAATCCATTTTGAGAACACACTGACTGAACCTGGACTGCAACATTCATGTTACTCTGACCGTCCAATTGACGCGTCTTGACCCGACATAGTGACACCTTTTCTCTTAGACTCTTTGGCCAAATGTCCTCTCTCTATACCTCTTTGAACGTGTCTCCGAAAAAGAAACGCGCCCTCTCCTCCGACGATGAAAGCACAACAACTCCAAAGAAGCTGCGGACGGCGTAGGTCGTCGAATTCAAATATTAGTATACCTCGTTAACGACACCATGTAGTCCTCTGACACCCAAATCTATTACGCGCTCTAAAACCCAGAAGTGCAAACCGGAGCTTCCAACTCATCTATCACGCCTCCTGAGAATCCAAAATGCTGTCCAACAAGCCCTTGCTCACGCCCTTGCCACCTGTGCAATCTCGCCTTCGAGCGATTCAGGCCGGGTCCTGAATGTTCTAAATCACATCTCGCTAAAAACCTATGCTGGGCTTACAACGTCATTCCAGCTTGATGACTTGAAGCGACTCTGTTGGTTGTGGGAGTGGGATGGAGAACCTCTGAACAAGTCCGACCAACTCCCCGTGGCCAAACCAGAAGAAGACAACCCTTTCTTGGAAGCACCACCACCAAGTGTGGACTGGACGCGGGGCTCTCAGGGATTTGTTCTGAGTCTGGGTTCCCACTATTCGAAAGTGGATAGGAAGCGCATTCCGGCCTATGGTCTTGGGATAGAGGTCGAAATTGACCTCGACAAGGATATGGGGGGTGGGATGGCTGCGGTGGCACGATGGACTGCGGCCGGTGAGACTCGTCGTGCCGAGTTCCTGAAGAAATTAGAGCGCTGGGTCGAGGTTCGTTGTTCTGGAAAAACCCCTCTGCTAAGTTTACTAAAGATGCCCCCTAGATCCATTCAGAAGACGCGTCGACACCTCCTATTCCACTTGCAGATCTTCCAGCATTGCCAGCGACCACCAAGCCTTCTGCTTTGACAAGAACACTAGCCTCACAATCTCCAAAGAGTGGGGCAGCCGCTCAGAAGTTTCCCATCATTCCATCCTCACCATCTAGATCTCCTACCAAGAAACCCACAAAGGACTTCGCCAACGCCGTGCCCTTCCCAATGCTAACATCGAGATCGTCCTCGCCCACGAAAGTGGGAAGATTGCTCTTCCCACAGACACCTTCACGCCGCTTGCACTTGGCGAGTTCTACTGACAATCCAAATCCGCAAACACCCTCGAGTTCCGTTGCTTCTCCAGCTCCCTCGTCTTCAGTTCCATCCACCCCGGTCCATCGCTCGGAAGGAGAAAGTACCTCTATTCCTCAAACGCCAACATCCTCTCGGCGTCAAGCTCTATATGAGCGCGTTCGATTGCGTTCACTTTCCAAGTCTCCAACGAAAACTCCTACATTGGACAGATATGAAGGTTCTGGGACGCCGAACGCCATGATGAAATTAACTCAGGAAGCGCTACGTCGGCGTTGTATTCTTGCCCGTCTCACAGAAGTGGCCGAAAGTGTATGGATGTGAGTAATGTCCGTTCTCCGCCGATCTCACACTCTGATCTGGCATTTGGATAGGTTTTTCTCCAGTTCTGCTCCAAGTGGAAGCATGACACCATCAAGTCGGAAGAGGAGAATGATGCCTATGTCAGAGGTTGCAGCGGCTATCATAAAGTCTTCTGCTGTTCCCATCTCTGTTGCGGAGGCCAATGAATCCCTGAACATGCTTGTTCAACTGTGCCCGTTCTTCCTGAAGAAAGTTGTTATCACCGGAAAGGATTGGTTGGAGATGCCTTCAACGTCCTCTAATGGTAGCACCCGAACGATAGGTCTGGGAAGTCCCAGTAAACGAGATGCGATCCATGCCTCCCCCAGCAAGAGATCCACCATGGATAGCGCACAGGAACTGTTGACCAGAAGTCCAAGGTCTGTGAAGAGGGAAGCTGGCGGGCTGCGAGAAGTTCGAGAAATTATTCGGAAAGAGCTGGAACTCGACGAATAGACCTATCTAGCATTGCTCTATTTTATACCCAACACCCGTGTATCCTGTAATAGTCTGGATTTGTACGCGTTCTTTTACTTGAAATCCATCGTTCTGTAGTTGTGTCAAAACATAGGCAAACAGGGAATTGAGACGCGCCTGTTGTTGTTTCGTGGTTTGGCAGTTGTAACGCGCGGTGCAATGGAGGAATTCATCATCGCCAGTCATATAACCTCGATAACCAAGTATCCACCGTCGACAGTCTCCATCCAGACAGCACGTCAGCATCTTCCTCTGCCCCAGACACCGTTCAACTCGATTCCCACAGAACATGCAATATTCGCCTCCACCCTCGATCATGAAACTACTGGTACCATCCTCCTTCGCGTCATTCACGGAGGACTCATAGTCGAACTCATCTCACTTTCAAACTCTGTACCGCCCTTGCGACTCGTATTCCCGTCCCTCGTGTTGGACTGTCCAGCTGTTTTCCTCTGGGACGAGGCCGAGGTACATGTTCTGGCTGTCACAGAGTCGGGGTCGTTGTACAGGGTGGTGATTCCTATTCGTGGTCGGGATTTGTGGCAAAACGAAGTGGATAATGTATGGCCACGCGAGTATTTTATTCGAGGCTTCCCAGAGCAGGTCGAAGGAACACTGGTTCAAGTTCAAGGGCCGCATTGTGTTGCGATCTCCCTCAAGAATGGCTCGCTTTTGCGCCTCGAGGCGGATACGTTGGGGTATGGCAGCCGTGACGGTGAGCGATCCTTCTGAGCCCTATTGGAACATAAACTAACCATGGTTCCAGAGGAATGGACGGAAAGCCTTTTTCACCATGCATCCTTCCTTTCGTCATTTGCGTCTTTCATCCCCACTCTTCACTCCCCCCAGCCCAATTCCGCCGATATAATTTCAATAGCAACGCATCCATGGCCTTCCGACATTGGTCACGTCTGGACACTCTCCAGAGATAGGACGTTGCGACTGTGGAAGGCCAAGTTGGGCTGTGTCGCCTCCAAAACCCTGCCGTACATCGCCCATTCCCTCGAACACTCGCGAGCGTCAAGCGTTTCCGGTGGCCACGTAACCCACAGAAGTCATCCACTCCTCGACGAAGCTCGACAAAATCTCATCAAGGCCTTCTCGTTCAACCAGCGCGTATATGTCCTCGCGTTCATCCCTTCACAAGCGTCTCTGACATCTGGCGGGTTCTTCTGTGTCATCGACTCGAGCAACGACCAATTGCGCGACATCGGTGTTATTGAATGCTCCAAACGCACGGTCCATTGTCATTTACAAGACTTTATTATCCACAGCACAGTGCCCCGTCCCGGACAAATGGACCAAGACCACCTCTCGCTTTTCGCCCTTTGGGAAAGCCAAGGTCACTCCAGCGTCGAAAAACTGGAATTGAACCTCGAGAGTTTTGAGGACCCGGAGCGCCAACCTCATATTTGGAGTTCGGCTGTATACGCGCACGAACCCGAACTGACGCCCGCGTACATGGAGGAGAAGCTGCTTACACCTGGGTCGCTTGCCGAGAAGTTCCTCGAAAACATCTTCAAACCGGGAATGTTTTCAAGCCTATCCCTTCGCACTGCCCTCGACCAATACACCGACGCCTGTCTTTCTCTCCCCGGACCCCCTCCACCGCAATTAATGGTAACCTACTCGACCCTTTGTGAAAACGTTGCGTCGGTCGTTGGATGCACCGTCATCCTGAACCGCGACCCTCAATCTGGCGCATTCCAGTACTCGAATTATTGGACAGCTTTGAAGCGAGACTGGGAAGGCTTTGTAGCAAGGTGTAGGGAAGTTGAGCGAAGTGCAAGACGGCCCCTCTCCATAAGCACTCGGTACGATGGTCGGGTGATCGTCATGGAACGGGAACGAGCAGCCGTACTGGTTGTCGAAGACATGCCCATATATCTCCACCGGCTCATTCTCAACGACCATCAAATCCACGACCCCGACCTTGACATACTCGCCGTGGCCAGTTCCCTTCGACAGAAGATTGGTCCAGAAATCATGGCAGCCGTGGAGAGCAAGGTCATTGACTTGCTTCACCAAGAAGTCGCATTCTCTTTGGTGGACGTGTTACTCGATTTGGAACATTCACTCGAGTTCAAGAATTCTCTCGACGAGGGATCAGTCAGTTGGTTCCAGGGCAGGTTGCAGCGGATAGGTGACCTCGATAAGGCTACGAGGTCCGCCATTGATACCATCGGCGCTCTTGACTTCTCCGCAAAGAGGGAGGAAGACGATGAGAACGATATCATCGCGTTTCCCCACAAAGTACAATCGGACTGGGCTCGGAACCTCACGGCGGCATATGCGACCACGGCAGTCGAAGCCCGATATGAACTCTCGCTGTCCTTGATTACCCTGCTGCTCTTCCTTTCGGACACCCTCTCTGCCTGGGATGTCTCACTCGTTGGCGAGGTGTTTGCAATCTTCAAGGGTGCGGCCATGTTGCGATATGTTGCCGCACGGCCTGCGGAAAGATCGGCCCTCAAAGGCGATGAGTCTACCGGCTCCCTGGAAGATGACATCCTGTCTCGACTTAAAAACATGGACGTAACGCATAGTCGAGCACACTTATCGCCCCCGACCTCCCTTCTCAACATCCTCCTGGCCGACACCGCCGTTACGGGCGATGTCCCTGTCGTTGCCCACAATTTCCTGGACGCCTCTGGGCTTCTCCAGTCTGTATCTCCCGCCAATGCCACCAACTTCGAAGTCATCCTGTGCGAGCGACTTCGAATTCTCAAGTTCTATGATGCCTCTCGAGAACTCCTCAGCTACCTCCCCAGAACCGCCGCAGTCAGCTTTGTCCTTGCACAGATATGGCTCCAGATTGGTCGCTTTGATGACGCCGCCCAGTTGTTCGGAAAACTAGCTGGAAGCTTTGGTATGTTTTTGTTCTTCATCTCAATTGGGATGCTCATCGTCATTCGTAGGCACGGAGAGTGGTCTGTCACCTGAAGACGCCGAGGCACTCATTCAAGTCCTACCCGCCTCCCATACCATTGGATCCGACTTCGACTACTACGTCCACATTTCGGATCTTTTCAAACGACACAACCTTGTTCGATACGAAGTCCACTTCGCTGAACTCGCGATTTCCGTTGCTCCTGCCGGAACGGAGGTGTCAAGCCTCTGGTTAATCGTTGCCAAGGGCTACGCAAGTCTTGGTTTGTACGAAGAAGCATATGCTGCGCTCATGGCAATGCCCTCGGAGAAACAGTTAGTGATCGACCTGCCTGTTCCTGCCCCCGTTGCTAATAGGTCTTCCCGGTGCAGAAAGCGGGACTTTGCCAGCCAGTTGGCCCTTCAGATGTGCGAGGAGGACGCCGTGGCCAAGTTGATGACGTTTGACTTCGCTGGAATCTCGGACGAAGTGGAATCCATCCTTTCGTTCAAGGCAAGGAATGTGGACCCCAGAATTCCACCCAATTACTCAAGAATCCTCTACACCTGGTATATCCAACGAGGGGAGTATCGCAACGGTGAGTATGACTATGTGTGCGCTGTTGTCACTTTGCTAAGGCTATCTCTAGCCGCCTTAGCAATGTATCAACGGGCGCTCAAGCTGCAGGAAATTATTACCAACGCGAACTTGTTCGTGGAACTCGGCGAAGAGCAATTGGATGCATATTCAATAGCGATTAATGCCCTGTCCTTGGTCGAGGAAAGCTCCCAATGGATCATTCTTCCAATCGTCTCTGACTCGGTAGGTAAATGCCTTTCTGCTTGCGGAGTTGATCCCTTACTCTGCACTTAGAACAAGAGGAGGAAAGCTACTTCGAAACACATCCCTGAATCGCAGTTCATCTCATCAAAATATGGTGCTAGCATCGTGCACCTCGGGGACATGCGACGCAACTACACCCTTCTGTCTGCTCAGATCGACCTCATCAAACGGGAACCCACAATCCTTGCTTCACCAGGTTTGTCCTTGGTTGCTTTATGAACCGTACCCGTAACTTACTCGGCCCTCCAGAGTTCTTGCTGCCACCTCCGGTCATCGTCATGCGTTTGGTGCACAGCAACCTTCTGAACCAGGCTCTAAATGTCGCCAGCGGCCTAAAGGTTGACATGACTGATCTCTTTATCTCGTTGACCACCCAGTGCATACGATTGTCCCGAGCCTCGCATCACCAAATGTGCGTTCTTTCCCAATCTGAGATCCCACGCCCGAAACCGAAATGACCGCGATTGCAGTGAACCCATTGAGACTGATTGGTTGCTCACTGACAACGCTTCGACGTGGACTGGCACACCGGCGGATCGCGGTTGGAAATTCCTGCGACAATCGCTCACCCGACATGACGGTCCCGATACAGACCATCGATACGCAAAAGCGGCGTTAGAGACAATTTTAAGTATCGACAGGAGCTCGCCGCCGCCGCCGTGGCTGATCCAAATATTGGAGGTGAGCTCAGCTTTGCGCTCCGCTGTTCTGCTCCGGTTGACATTGGATTTAGACAAACCATCCAGAGTCTTTGATCCGCTTGGCTCTTCGGTACGAAAATGTCGACGATGCCGTGTCTTATTCTCTATCTATGCTTAAAAAGGTCTGCAACCTCACTATCTCACCCAAGCTGTGGCGCTTATACTTTTGGACAGTCTGATGCACAGCTCTCCAGAGAGCCATCCCGTCACGCCTCGCTGACTTGGCTGCCGTATGCGCTCTTCGATCAAGTCATTGGCGCAGCATCCGCTCTGCCTAAGGCACCTCCGCTACTTACGCAACTTCAAAACGAGGTTAATAACCGTTTGAAGCGTGTGCAAAAGCTAAGTCAAAAGTCGGCGTAAAGGCCACGGTTGCGTGCTCCCTCCGGGAATCGAGCCTTTCGCATATTCACGCCGCACCTCGGACTTCCAGAACGCTTTCAAACCCTGTAGTCACCCTGTAGTTTCTTGCTGTCAATGACGAAAGACATTAAATATACCGTTCTGTAATATTCTCGCAGCCCTAAGAAGTACATGTGGGTTAGTGATACAACGTTCTCTTCGAAGAGCATATTCAGAGCACTACACACAACCAAAAGTAAAAAGGTTGGAAACCGGAAATCGGAAATCCCGGGACAAGGGTCAGGGAATGTACAAGAAAAAGGCGGCCGCGCTCAACATGCGCGGAGGGTTAACAACTCTGTCCGTGGTATAGTCATAAATAAAGAATGAAAGAGTATGAGACCCCCGAGCGGCCACGGTGGTAGACATCGTTCAGGGTCATGAACCGTGCATGTGTCGGCCTGAGCTTTGCTCCTGCTTAAACCCATCCAAAAACTGCGTCCATTCACCCTGGCCAAAACCAACGGCAGCACCCCAGATGGTTTCATCGACTGTGTGAACGTAAGGCATCCCATACCGATTGTTGTCGGCGTACATCTGTGTGGGCGGACCCATGGGGGCATACGACTGGGGTTGTTGGTACGACGTTGATACACCGGCAAGGCTTTGAGGATGGTGCACAATCTGTGGTTGAGCCTGAGGAGATTGTGAAAGAGCATGGATACTATTGGTCTGATGAGACATAGAAGGCTGAGGTTGGTGAGGATGCGAGGAGTATACGGCGTTGCTTGTAGGCGTCCGCATGGAAGACATTGTATGCGACTGCACACTCTCGTACGGCTGTTGAGGGAGAGCCTGCATCACCTGCATAGGCGGGCTCACAGAGCTCGAGTTTGCGGGCGACCCAACTGTCCCACCCCGCGCAGATGGCGAATCTCCGTATCGGCGTGGGTCATGGGAGTCATGGTAGGGGAATGCCAGCTTTTTTACGACACCCATAACCTGAGCCCGTTGCTTTTCCCGTTCTTCAGGTGAGGCTTTAGGGAACTCGGGGGAATAGAGCGGGGTAAGAGCTTGGAGAATGTTGTAGCCTTTGTCGGCAACTGCAGTACCGCGGCATTGTTCGAGCGTGGCGATGGCCTTTCGTATACTCTGACGGAAAAGACCTGCGCCAGGTTGATCGGGATTGGCGATGAGTTGGAAGGAGAAGAACATGGCGGCGGAGAAGCAGTGGAAGGGACCCCAGTTCATGTGTCCAGGGACGGCCAGGGATGAGTTTGCCAGGAAATCGGGTCGTGATTGTCCCACCATTGTTATCAGCTTGTCAGCTGCCCCTACGGCGATTTCGAGGCTTTGAGCTTGCCTTTCCGGGCTCACTGAAGATTTGCTGTTGGGTGCATTCGCACTGGCGCTAGCGTAGGGGCGGTGGAGTGTGAATCGGATATGATAATAGGACGTTCGAATGATGACACTCTGGACTCCTTGTCGACGGGTAGCGAGATTGGTCGAAGCAAGACATCTTGCTACTCGGTATTCATCGAGGTCGAGCTCTGGCGGTAGGTTTTCCATCCACTGGGTGAGGGCACGGTCGTTCGCCTGTACACTCTCGTAGGGGACAGGCCGAACAGAAACGGCATCATCCATGATGTCGCCAAGAATGAACGCTAGCCGGAAGAGAGCGATGTTGAACAGGTAGAGACGCCCCGTCTTGTCCACAGCTGGGTCACAGTAGGAGGGTAGCTGAGTGTCGAAATGGTGAGACGCGACGGCAAGTGGTCGACCGAACATGAAGGCTTGCCAACTATAAGCATGTTCGAGCTGAGCGGCAGGGTTAAGCTGAATGGAAGGAAACCTTACCGTTCGAGTAGGATTATGTGCCACCAGGCCCACCGACGCCGTTCGGCAACATCCCTGTGCATTCTCCATTTGCCTGGATCTCTGTGAAGCCCCATTGCCATCCCAATGGTGACAAGCTCGCCCCTGACGTGCCAAATCTCCTCGCTGTCTGTTTTGGATAGCGTTAAGAAATGACATCTGCTGAGCAACAGCTCGACCAGCTCAAGGCTATATGCGCGCGTTTCAGATAGCCTTCGTTGCAGTGCCGTCGAAGAGATTTCATAGAACCTGGTGCCGAGCTCCTCATGCGTGTCGTTATTCAGGAGGCTCTCCAGGACGGGGTGGTCCTGGGGGAGATAGTGGACGGCAATGGCCATCATGACGCAAGCTGTGGCCAGAACTATCCTATCCGCCGACATACCGTTCTTGAATCGGTCCCATTGGACGGAAAAAGAGGGCTGATTGACGTGCCGGTAGATCCAGTTGCAGTACTCGAAATAGTGATTGATGAGCGTGTCGATAGTACTCAGTGATGGGAGCATGGCCAGCAAGTCGCGGTCATAGTCTGCTTGGGTCGGCGGGAAATCGTCAGCTCTGTCTTGACTCTGTTGTCGACTGTCTCCCTCATCGGAGTCGCGGTTGTCGGTCTAAAGGAGATAGTTTAAATATAACATCGTCACAAGTAAAAATGATATGATGACATACAATAAGTAGGTGCGTGGCCGCGCTGGTGGGTCCGGCATATAAACCACCTTGACCTTGACTTCCCAGCATCCCGGGGGCCATGTTGGATTTGTCGCCATCCTCTTGGGTCTCCTTTTTGGGCGACAGAAAGGATGTAGCGTCACTAATCCGACGGTGGTTGAGAGCGTGATTTCTGTGGGCAGGGAATACGTAGGCCTCGAGCAACGATATCGAGTGCCGTAGGCGTGCTATTTCTTGAGCTGGGTCGATACGGGCGAAGCTAGGAACGTCGAGTAAGAACAATGTTCATGGTGAAATGTATTCCTGCGCACTTGTTGTCATCTCCGCGGCCAAGGGGATCACTACCTTCAGGACCTCGACCATCTTGATAGCACATCGCAGAAGTACCTAAATGCCGGAGAGATCTTAATAACCGATAGGCGCATGAAGTATGCTGAACACCTACCCCGCAATACACAAGAAGAACACGGACGATTCCTAGAATCCGGTTCATTTGTTAGCGGAAAGATTTTCAGAAGGCGACGACGAGCCAAATCACATACCTGTCGCATTTGAGCTTGCTGTTTCGACACGGTTCGCAGTTTATGGCTTTGCGAGCTCGTTTTGTGGGAGGTCTGCCGTCGTTGGGCTGGTCTGAGGACTGGCCAGGGGGAGGAGAAGCTCGAGCCCGGACTGTGCCCGTCGTCGCTGTGCGTGTCGGTTTTGGACGCTGAACAGAGGGGGAGGCAGAGGAATCGTCTGCCATGGAGGAGATTGGTGTGGACAGGGGAAAGTGGGTGGTGGTGGTGGTTAGAAGGTGAGAGGGCTGGGAATAAACAAAAGGTGGAAGATCATATCAGAGAGAGAACCGGATTCGGATTTGAGTCGCGCAAATCCAGGGAATCTGCGTCGACGTCGAGCTCTATCAGTGCAACGTGTATCAAGAGCCACAAGCTTTTTCTTCCAGAGTTCGAGCTCCCCGGGGCTACGTCCCACCGTCGCCAGAATTTATACCAGAACCCACTGGCCCACCGCCGGCTGCCTGTCACATTTATAAACTCCTGTTTCCCTGAACGGTCAAGTCAGGTAACCAAACCCGGGTTAACCTCCCATGCGTTTGCAAAATTGCCTTTGTACATTTAACGGCACTTGCTAATCGGGCCACCCCGTCTCGCTCTAGCTCAGCGGTGATGCTGCGGCTCGAAGAATGAACAGGGCCTCCAGGAGAAGTGAAAAAACATGGACGCTGTTCAGGCAGGTTCAGGTCAGAGTTGGCGCTCCGAGCAACCGCAACCACTTTCCCATTGACGGCATCCTGATTTGTTGACTTGTTCGTTTGTTTCAATCCTGAAAGACATATCTTAGGGCGTCAGATCTAATTGGGTTCGGCCATTCACCCCTTCGCCATATCACCTTGCAGACGTCCATTACGCTCACACTTGTCTGGATTTAGGGCCCTGGCCCGTTTAAGCTTGAAGTCGATTTAGTGATTCCTTGTTTCCAATTTATGTAACTGAAATGAATGAAAGGAAGGGGGGTTCAGATGACGACAGCCAGCGTTCAATCTTCAAATAGAGATGAAAAGGATAGTGCCATGAAACGAGCGAAACTACAACCCTACTGCTCGGACTGAAACCTAAGGTAAAGGCGTGTATCATGTCGGGTTCGGGCTCAGATTAAAACACAGTGAGTCAATGCCCTGCTCGCAGCTCGCAGAATAGACGATTAGAAGCTGAGCTAGAACGATAATGGACAGCCTGCCCTGATCCCCCGCATTGGAATCCATTCCCGACGGTACCGGGAGTCAAATGCAGCAGAGGGCAACATGATAACCGCAGAGCAAGGGGATAACCACAAGGGCAAAAAAAGGGGTAACTTTGGTCGATGAACAAGGGAAACCGACCGCTGGCCTGGTGCAGACTGTAAAAGCGAGATTTTATCAGGTGGTTCTCGAGTTAAAAGGGTACACCGAGAGCTCCTTGCTGTGCCGAGCTAGAGGAGTGGAACCTACCCCCGTCCGTTACTAGTAGCAGGTGGCGGGTGCCAGAGAATGGGTGCCCGCAAGCCATAGAGCATCGTGCGAAGGGGGTGGTGTCCCGGGTGGTGTTCCTCTAGGGCAGCAGGCAGGCGACCAAGCATAGCCGCTGTAGCTTCATTACAAAAATCAGTATTGCCACCCCTGCACGAAACGTTGTTGATGGATACGATGTCGACTTGTCCTTCCAGAAAGCCCCCTTCATAGTAGCGGCTGTCGAAACAAGCTCCAAAGTTTCCATGTACATGCTGCTGTTTCAGAGCCGTTGGGGCGGTTGCGTGTGGCCCTAGAGTATGCTATCATCGCGACCCACGCACTACAGACTTGACGCACTCGGCAGGATTGTGTAGGCCGTGGTCCAAGCTTGGACAGGGGCTCTGTAGCAGAAATAGAAATACGTACGTCATCGCCCTTTACCAGAACGTGATCTTTCCAGGAAATCTCTGGTATGTTCTGGAACTTTTATACAAACCTCTCAAAGGATCGTCTGTTATAAGTAGTCCCTCTTCTAATCGCATCTGTTTCTGTTGACTTCTTCCATCTAAATTGAACGACCAGCCATGTCCGATGTAAGTTTTCACCTTTTCTCGACCGCCAATCCCTAACTGATCCCTGTAGGCAAATGCTCTGAAAGACCAAGGAAACAAGGCCTTTGCCGCCAAAGAATGGGACAAGGCGATTGATCTCTTCTCTCAGGCTATTGCGATTGACCCCAAGAACCATGTTTTGTGGTCGAACCGAAGTGCAGCCAAGGCAGGCAAGAAAGACTGGCCTGGTGCCCTGGCGGACGCTGAAGAGGTACAGATCGAGTGTTGCTCTCCAGACTAAAGAATTCACTCTGAAGAACCTATCTTTTAGTGTGTCAAAGTAAACCCTTCGTGGGCCAAGGGTTATGCTCGAAAGGGTGCTGCCTTGCACGGATCGAGGAGATACGACGATGCTATTGCCGCCTATGAGGAGGGTATCAAGTTAGAAGATAGCCCTGCCCTGAGGAAGGGTCTCCAGGAAGTCAAGGATGCAAAGGGTGTGTCTCAACATGATATAGGCGTCAACTAAAATTCATTGGATCACCCCACAGCTAACGCTGACGCCGACGAGGCAATGGGTCTCGGCAAGATGTTCAGCGACCCTAACATGCTCGCCAAACTCGCTGCCAACCCTCGCACCGCCAAACACCTGGCAGATCCCGCATTCGTCCAAAAGGTAAGTCGAGGTTCCTCTTTCTTGTAAGCTAACGACTTACGTCTCTATCAGCTTCAAATGATCCAACAAAACCCTCAATTGGCCTCAAAGTATGGCGTCACTTCCCCTCATGACCGATAACACCCATCAACTAACACTCGTTCTCAACTTCTAGTGCTCTCCAAGACCCTCGCATGATCGATGTATTGGGGGCCATGATGGGCATTGATATCCAAGCAACCACCCGTCCCGAAGGCTCCGACGACCTCCCAGAAGGAGTTCAGCAACGTCCTCCTACTCCTCCTCCTGCCGCTTCTTCATCTTCCAGTAAAACCCCAGAGCCTCCCAAGCCCCAAGAGGAGGACGTTGAGATGGAGGATGACTCTGAAGAAGCTCAACAAAAGAAAGAGGCAGAAGCAGAGAAGAAAGCCGGTGCCGAAGCTTACAGGAAACGCGAATTCGACGAAGCTATCAAGCGGTTCGAGCGTGCTTGGGAGATCTACCCTAAGGACATCACGTTCCTTACCAATGCTGGAGGTGAGTAGGTCTCGTGGCCCCTCTTTCGCATGGCCACTTTGGCTGACTTTTTTTTTGCTTCCGCTGCATAGCTGCTTACTTCGAGAAGGGCGAATACGACAAGGCCATCGAGGTATGCGAGAAAGCAGTGGACGAAGGTCGATCGGTACGTGCTCCTCTCTGTCTCCTTCCCATGTTCAAGTGACTTCATAATAATGTTTCGATCTGCACATCCACCATTAGATTCGTGCCGATTACAAACTAATCGCCAAAGCATACGGCCGTGTTGGAACTTCCTATCAACGCAAGGGCGACCTCGAGAACGCATTGAAGTACTTCAACAAGTCTCTCACCGAACACCGTACCCCCGATGTCCTGAACAAACTAAAGGAGGTGGAGAAGGCCAAGGCGGAAGCTGAACGCCTTGCGTATATTGATCCTGAGAAGAGTGCGGCTGCGCGGGAGGAGGGCAATAACAAGTACAAGGCCGGTGACTTTGCCGGTGCGGTCAAGGACTACACTGAGAGTATCAAGCGAGATCCATCGGATGCAAGAGGTTACAATAACCGCGCGGCAGCTTACATGAAGCTCATGGCCTTCCCCGATGCCTTGAAGGATGCGGAAAAGGCTGTGGAAGTCGATCCCAAGTTTGGTACGCCATCTGCCTATGATCATGCGGATTTTCTGAGCCCACTGATCCTTTTCCGACAGTCAAGGCTTACATCCGCAAGTCCAACATCCTCTTCTCCATGCGTGAATATACAAAAGCACTGGAGGCTCTCCAAACCGCAACCGAACAGGACGAGACTGGCCAGCACGCGAAGGAGATTCAACAGTCAGAATTTAAGGTTCAACAAGCGTTGTTCACTCAGCGTGGATCGGAATCCCAAGAGGAGACGCTTGCCAGGGCCATGCGTGATCCTGAGGTTGCTGTAAGTGTTTCAGGTTTATCTGAAGGATTCACCGTCCCGCTAACCCGCAACTTCGCAGAACATCATGTCGGACCCGGTCATGCAGCAGATTCTCCAGCAAGCCCAGGAAGACCCCAACGCCTTGCAAGAACATCTTAAGAACCCAGTAGTTCGACAGAAGATCCAGAAGCTCATCAACGCTGGCATTATCCGCACGCGATGAAAAGCTTATCCCATCCTGCTGGTCTGTCCGCATTCATTTTGCATCGATTTAAACCCATTGGCATTCCATACTAGCATTCATGTAATACAACCACAATGTACATTCAGGGAGCATTTGGCAGTTGATTAGGTTCTATATAGCCCCAGGTCTAGATTTACCATCTCCATTCGACGTTAGCACATGAGCGTCCCCTGACGCCTTTGTAAGGTTTATACCCCTCGCCAGTGATCCTAAGTTGTTCGACCTTCAGTTGAGAAAACGTGCGCGATGGTATCTCGAAGCGAATCTGCATCGCCCGCGAAGGTCTCGGAGGGGCAGTCCTGGTAGCTTGTTGTCAATCTGAGTGGAGGATGAAAATGACATATACGCACGGAGCAGTGAAGGAACCCTGCAAGGTCCAGTGTGTTGATGGAGGGGCACGAGGAATTTCCCAGCGAAGTACCTGTTATGCGGGGGTGAGAATCCAGAGCAGGCTTCAGTTGTGCACACAGTGACCTTTTTCTTTTGGTCAAAGCTCCAAGATGCCGTTGACGTCTCCACCGACAATCCGCGCCCAAGGCCTCCCGATTCGCGGGAAGCGACACACTTGATCCCATGTACCCCTTCTCCTAGATTCAATTCCACCGAGATGTTCTCCAGGGAAACATTCTCGTTTACGCGAGTGGTAAGCCGTGAGGTGAACGATATTTCAAATGTTGCTTAAGTGTTCAAAATACGAGTCAGAACCAAAGCATGGTAAGTATAGAGTCGAGAAACTCACCATTGTTGCCGTCGAACTCGAACCTTGCCTTCATCACAAATGGCATTGGAATTTGGTCCTTGACCGCAGTCGTCGAGGAGGTTCCAAATCGCAAGGCAGAGTTTCCGGCGTTGGGAGCAAATCGGTATTCGGCTAACACGAAATGGCCGTCAGGTGGAATAAACGATAGTGCCCTGTCTTTCGACCACCGCTGCAATCTAAGGCGTATGAGATCTCGCAAAGGATTAGGTGACCTTCCCGCTTACCGCACGCATGGGTGGAAGGCGCAGTCGGCGAGAACTTGTGAGTTGGAAAAGGTGAGAAGGCAGTCTGGCGTTCCTGTGGTGGATCTATTGAATATCGGGAAACCGTCAAAGAATGCCATTGGTTAACTCACCTGAAAGTCGACAATTCCCTTCGATCTGGCCGAAAACATTGCTTGACAACGGAACGCCATGTCTAGACACACAGGCACGCTTTTAAGCTCGTTTCAAACCCGTGCACAGTTCCAGAAACCTACTTATTCACGATCGCCCGCAGCTCTTCCACCATGTCAAAGTAGATTTCATTACTGGCATACTTAACACCCGCTCTTCTCCAAGGTATTGGTGAGGAGAAAGGACCGTGCGCTGCCGTGTGTAGACCAGGAGCTGTGCCTCCAGCACCAATGGCTGCCAGATTGGCGCTAGCTGCATTCAAAAGCTTGGTGAGGAGCGAGGGCGGGAGGACGATATCGCGTAGGGCGTTGTGTGATGTAGTCAATGGGTGGCCTACTGAGTCGAGTATCTCTTCCAAGAGCTGTATCCGCCCAAACTGAATGTCAGCGGCCGGATACACCAACTCAACGAACCAAAACGCACCTGATAGACAATATCAAAGTTCTCCTTGACGGTCACCACTGAAACGTCACCAAAGTATTCTTGCAGTATGTCGATAAACGTCCTCAAGAAGGAGAATCCAACCAGTGGGTCCACTGCAACATCGCTTCATTCAGATTCCAGAAGAACTTGCAGAAAAAGACCAGCGCACCATTCCCACTGATTGGACACAATATCCTCAAATCGCCAACAGAGACATGGCAACACGCGCTCGGAATGTCCACGTTCGTTGGATGCTGAACGTATATCACTGAGTCAATATCGGTAGGTCGCTGGGCATTCGCAGCGGCGGCATTGAAAGCCTCGACATGGAGGAAGGGGTAAGTGGATGTGGTCGAACGAAACCCTGACTGAATAATGGATCGGCTTCAGTGGGCGACGTCATTAAACCAAGGTAGCAAGTAACAGTTGAATGCAACTAACCCAGCGCTGTCTAGTAAGATGAGACCGTCGATACCCATTGGCCAGACGTCGATAACGGTGGTCGCGGTGCAAAGATGCTTGCCCCCTTTCCGATCAATCATCCCTCGGGACGTGATGATGCAATCCATCCATTCCAGTGGTATTTGAAGAGTACGTTAAAACAACAGGCAAGAGAATTCTAAATATGCTAGAAACTCTATGTGAAAGGTATTTCATAGTCCATGTAAATGTCGAATTGAAAATAATGGCCTAACACTCGGCATTCATAGCGCCAAGGTTATGCTTCTTACTCCTGTGGCTCTTCCTAGCCCTTGCCAAATGTGAAGATCGCTCAGGAAGAGGAGGAAGGAAGCCCAACGAAGGCTTGACATTCTTCGCTGCTTCATCAATCTCGTCTCTGAACCTGCGATCGCCGGTTGCACCAGGAGTGGCAGTATACATCGAAGTCGTATCGTCATCTGGGGCAGGCGAGGATTTGACATCCGGTTCGTCGAAAACGATGGGTATAGGTGCTTCGTAACCGGTGATACCAAGTTCACGGCAATAATACTGAACAGCAGCATGGAAGGCTGTCTTTCGTGCGTTGCGCAAGCCCCAGTCTTGCCAATTGCTGCCAACGAGCGGTTAGCAAGTGCGAAAATTAGCGCTTCTGCGTGGCGTACCCATTATGCGCGATACCGATCGTTAACTGGAGATACCTCTGGTACACAATGTGCTGTAAAGTCACTCCAGTCTGAGGTTGGTACCAACGATTTTCCTCCGTCGATAACCAATCATTCAAGCACTTTTCCAAAGCATCAAGCTTGGTTAGTGGGGTCTTCCAGGCAACTTGCATATGCAGCATTTCTGTCGTTTTCTGGAAATTGTCAATATTGAAACAGAGGCGCCAACTCAATCACACTTACTCCGCTCCGGCGGACATTAGTTCTGCAGAGTCGTCATTGTTAGAAGTATGCAGTTGATAGTTTTCCAAAGGGACGTACATGAACTTGTTGAACAACTGGCTGTTGAAGTAATATGTCTCTGTTCCATCGGCACGAGTGAAGATGGTCTGCAAAGTGGTTAGTAAAGGAAAAGAGGACACACATAAACCGACTAACAGCAAAGAGCCCCATTTTCTTCACGACAAGGTTCTCATCTGCATTCACGTCAGTCCGCCGTTCAACCGCACGGGTGAACTGCAATCGACGTACTGTCAACAAAGACACGGTCACCGGTGTCATAGGGGCTGATGCCAGTATCAGCACCAACATCCAGGAACGTTGAGATAAAGCGACTTACTGGGTCACAAACAAGAACATAATCGCATCAAACGCTCTACTCGCTGAACTCTTGAAGATGAAGCTCGCGGCGATAAAAATTGAGTACACGCTCGAAAGAGAATCGCCAACCTCGACTCCGAACACACTTAGACTGATGAAGAACAGAATAATCAGCGCAAAGGCCAGCAGAATCCTATCGAGGGTCTTGACAGCTTCTCCCGCGTCGCGCAGCGCTCGGGACAAGAACCGTCGTTCGCGATAGGTTCTAACCAGGGTCCGCTTGATCTCTGCGCGAGAGAGATCATCGTTGTGGTCCGTGTCGAAAACAGCGAAAGCTTCTTCAGCCTGCTCTTTGGTGGGGAAAACTGGATAGAAGTCGGCGGGGATGAGGTACTTTCTCCGACGGTCTCGTAGGCGGTAAAACAGGGATCGTGCTAGTCGCTATGGAGAAGAGCTTAGAGAAAAGCTCAGGACGGCTGGATGGGCACCCACCTTGGCTTCCGTCGTCGAATTGATATTCCACGCCAAACTTGACAAATCCCTATCTTTCCCTCTGATGTTTCGAGCATCATGTAGGACGGCCTTCTTGATCACCCTTGCCGTTTTTACCAGAGTATGATCCTCCGCCTCGGAATGCATCCTCCTATGTCGACTATCAATCGAACTTCGCCTACTCCTCGAGGGACCTCCAGGCCCCGGAGAACCAGGCCGGGACGGAATAGGCGAAGCATCAGGAGGGTGAATATGGATCCGCTCGAACTCGGTTGGAGTAGTTCTCTTCTCTTCAGTAGCCAACTCGCGCAGGGATATGGCCGTCTCTGCGTCCGTCTGCTTCTTCGACTTTCTGAACCAGCTCGTTGTCTTCCTTTGTTTCTTCAACTTCTTCTTGCCGTCAACGCCGCCAATCAGGGTCTTGTCGCCATCTTCAACATCCCCGTCGTGGCCATGGTCGCTAGATCCGAGTTGGCTGATAGTCGTAACAGCGGATGCCAACCGTGAAAGTGGTGGTCTTGGAGTGATAGCGCTGAGACGGGCATTGACGACGTTCATGTCGTAGCTTTGGCTGTACCGGCTTGAGCCAAACATGGGAGTTCGAGACCCGGACGATGCTTTGGGATAATGTCGTTTCGGTTTGTACTGCTGGAGTTTCTCTACGACAGCAAGGCAAGCTTCGACTGATTCGATTCGGTCTTTGTATGCTGTGCGATGGAAGTTCCATGCTGAAAGGGTAATAATGAGGACATTGAAGAAATAAAATCCCAGTGAACAGAACGCACCGACAAAATGGGTCAGCATCTTTTGAATGCAAACAACGAGGACGAAGAAGAATAGGAAGAGAACAACTTGGTAGGCCTGTTACAAGGATAAATACGCGAATCTAGTGTCAACGGGGTTCACTCACTCTATCGGTGTAGGGAGCTCTGCTCTCTTCCTCGTCGTCCAAACTATACAGGCCGTATATATGAGCAAAGATGATAACCCAAGAAGCTATCCAGCTCGCGGCATAAAATGCGGGTTTGAAGGTATCCTTGACAGCATTGTACATCTCGACCCTCGTTTTGACGGTCTCGGATATGTGGCCCCAGACGGCTGACAAGAGGTAGAGAGCGATGACGGGGACGAGATCGATGATCATAGCGAGGTACCATGAGACGACGATGTTGGCAGCGACCCAGAACAACCATGCTTGCACATTCTGGTCTACGTATTTCCGGTGGTCTGTGGGGTCTGCTTCGTACCAGTAAAAATGGACGAGGATGGCGGGAAGGGCGACTATGCCTGCGGTCAATGTCGATCCAATCAGTGAGGAAAAGGCAAGCGCGAAGATCCTATGAGTTGCCCCGTTAGCTAATATTGAGATCCCGACAAGAACAGGCATCATCACCTCTTTGGTCCCCATCCTTTCTTCTTTGGCTTTTGTCCTATCCTCTCCACGTATTTGCTGGCTTCGTCAGCCAAATCTTCTTCTCCAGACCAATCATACTCGTCAGTCGAGTCTTCATAATCCGTCACAGTGGGAGACGTGAAGGCACTCGAGTTGAGGCCATGCTCCGAGTCTTCCATTCGGTGGAAACCATGTCGCGTTGGCGAAATTTCCCTGTAGTCTGGGCTTCCAGGCAGCTTCATCTTGACAGTGGGTCGCTGCGAGTCCGCTGCGCTCGTCGAAACTTCCGGCGGTGGAAACTCGTACAGTCCCAGCCCGCTTCGCCTCCTGTGCCTTTTCTCATCCCTCTCAGCCCCTCTCTCTACGTCTGACATCGGCATCAGGATATCAATGCTCGAGGAACTCGAGTTCCTGCTGCACAAACCCGGAGGCTTCAGTAACTCCCCAACCTTCTCTGTCGAAGAGCTAGTGAGCAGCGACGCCGACGAGTCAGAATCGGATGTGTCGGATGCAGCGTGTCGATGCCGGGACTGGGCCTCAACCTGCTTGAGCGGCGCCCTATTTGAAAGGTCCAGCGGGTCCCCCTGGCGTGTTTTCAGTGGAGAAAGCGCTTTTGGTAATCCACCATTCGCATCAGGGTGAGGATCTCCGAAAGGACTGGCACCACCTTGGCGGACTCTCGTGTGCTCCACCTCCAAGGAATCTGTGCTGCGACTGTTGGCATTCGCCTGGGAGCGCGTGAATTGTAAGCCTGAGCGTGCCTCTATTGTCTCCGAAGAAAGGCCTGCTTCCCATTGAGGGCCTGCGAAGGGGTCCTCGCGGTCGTCGGCAGGGACTCGAGCATAGGTATTGGCGGTCGGGGTTCGTTGGTCGGGTAGAGAATCATCATCGTGCCTAATGGAGCCTTGATGCGAGTCGAGTTGGACATATTGAACGCCAACGTTGTCCGTGTCGGGCTCAGTGTGCAAAAAATCGAACTGCCTGCCACTTCTACCCGTCATGGGGGAGGAACATAAAGTTGAAGGTGAAGAATGGCCCCAACTTGGCCGCTTTATTATTCCTGGTTATCAGCCAGAGAAAAATTTGTGTGGTCCCCATTTTCGGTTGCCCGATCGCAAGACCATAACCGCCACTGATCGTGACGTCATTACAGGCGCTAATGCGCTATATCCCTTGTTGAGGAGCCCTTGAAGGTATCGAATCTTACCCCACTTCAACCATGTCGGCCCCTACATCCCCTATAATCGCAAAGTCTGTTCAGAAGGAGATCACGGCAGAGGCAAAGAGGGAACAAAAGGCATTCCAGCATATGGTCAAAGACCTGGAGCATCTGGAGAAGAAGGATAACAAAGCACACAAGGTAGTTACCCCCGGTTACCCGAGGCGATAGGCTCCACCAGACTCACCATTCTCCTGTAAAGCATGTGGACAAGATGGCAAAAGCGTTGAATAAGAATGAGCAGAAAGAACAGAAGACCATGCAGAAGATGCACAAGGCGACGGAGATCCACGAAGACACCAAGCTCAAGACTACCCATTTGCACCGTGAGCTGCAGGTGAGTGAACATCCGGTAAATATGGTCTCCGTAGCTCAATTACAAATAGGCTTCGAAACAAGAGGAGGACAAAATTCGCTCGCGACTAAAGGAGAAGAAGCTAGAGGTTGAGAATGCAATGTTAGAGAAAGAGTCGAACGAGGTTTGTACCTTCGTTCCATGTAGCAGGACAGACTTTGACAGTGTTATAGCAAGCTCGACTTCGTCGATTGGACGAGGCAAAGCGTCAGCCTGAGCCGACTACTTCTGATAATGCACCTGTGAATGTTGTACAGCAGCCAACGGAGCCCCGGCCAACGCAGCTCCAGTAATTTCGTCATTTCCAATTAGCAGGCGATTGTGATGTTACCTTGATATTCCATTTATATCTGCACCTGTACACTAGTTATGTAGGCTGTTCCATGATAATACCTGATGTTCCTTTCTCGGATATCACAGCGCACTTCTAGGAACAGCGGGAAGATTGTTGGGCATGTAGCCGACGGGTAGGACCTGTCCAACAGCCTTGGTGGAGGCGATCTCCTCTTTGATGATCTTGCTGAACGCCTTAAAGTTGGGGTATGCCGCGTCTTTCATCAACTGAAAGGCAATGCTTTCACTCGTGCCGATAATAGCACCTTCGGTGCGCATTCGATCCAGTGCAATGGGTATCTCGAACGCGTTGCAAGAAGATACACCATCGGCCACGATGTGCACGGTGTACTTCTCAGAAGCAATGAGATCCAGGGCCGTCTGAAGGACGCAGACTTGCGACTGGGAGGTTTCAAATGAGACAGGACTGAAAATACATGTCACTTTGGCGTACCTCGATTCCGAAGAGAACAATCGAGGTGACGTGAGGCCGCGCAGCCAAGGCAGCCTTGACATCCGCAGTGAACATGGAGAACAGAGTCTTGTCATAAGGCCCGATGTACAGGGGTCCCAACGACTCAGTGTTTATGGCAGGATCAATTTCCCCGAGTGCTATGAGTGGGAAAGAAGCTCTGTCAGGAACTGTCGGGAAAGTCTTGCGGACGGGAACCTGCCTCGGGCATTCTGCGTGGTACCAAGGACTTCGATATTGAGAACCTGGAGTTTACGCGTTCGACGCGTAAGGTGAGGTCAAAAAGTCCGAAAGAAATCGAGGGATGCTCACCTTTGCTACTTTAATGAGCTTGTTGGCCGTAGCAACGACTTGGTCGTATCCATAGATGGCAGAGCCTGTGCAGGTGGATATTGTCCATGATTCAGGGGTTGATTCGCGTGAACGATGGGGTCGTCGCGGCTTACGGAATTTGGTTTGGATGTCACAAAGGAAGAAGATTGTGGTTGCTGGGTCGAGGAGATTGACTGGCATTTTCTGAGAGAGCAGGGTGAGTAGAGAGGGTACGGATAATAAAGCCAATCATTAGCCGGGGTAATTAACATGGATAGTAGAGGTGATGTGAAAGGGCGGAGTTTGAATGGAGTGTGGACTGTGATGGGAAGTTCATTTCGTGTTGAGTGAGTTGTTCGTCTTGTTCGTCTGTCGCCAACGGTCACTGCCCCTTCCTTCCTTTCTTCCTTCTCCCCTTGGGTGTCCGTGTCTACCCTTCACCGCTCAACCCTCATTCATACACGACACCAGCCTCTCTTTTTGTCCACACTCGCCTAACCCAGGCCTACGTTCCTTTCTAATGCTTTCCATCGACAATATCACGACCATGACCGTTGCTGAACCTGCAAATGAAGACTTTGTAGTCAGACAGAGAGTACGTCTGTTTCTCAATATCTCGCCATCTCTTATATTAACTTTTTCTATAAACAGTTGGACGCCTTCAAGCTGGGCAAGTCCTTCTCTACGGCGGCGCCAGGCGCTCCAAGGCCAGCCCACAGACATCAACGATCCCATTCACGAAACACCTCGATATCCTCCTCCTCCTCCATCTCACACTCCTCGCTCGCTTCCTCAAGGTCCTCCGGCCTCCAGGATTTGTCCGGTTTCTCTTTTGGCGGGTCCATCAGCAGCTCTGCGTCCACCACCAGCTCGCTCGCATCCTCGACCAGTACATCTGCACCCCCGCCGACAACCAAGCGCAATTCACACCACAGGAGAAGGTCTTCTGTCTCCACCCGCCACGAGTCCGCAGAATTGATGGGCGTTACCCTTCCTGAACTCCCCCCTTCTTCGTCCGACCACAATGTCAACTTTGGCGATAAGGACTCCATCCGCCGCCGCGCTCTTTGGGCATTGGAAGGAAAACCCGACGTTGCCTTTACCAAGGTAGAAATTCCAGAGTTGTCAACGCCCGACGTTGAAAAAATGATGTTCGACTTTTGTGAGTGTTCCTTCGACAACTCGCTTCACGTTACCTTTTTTCTCACACGCGGCCATTACAGCGTCCAAATCAAGCTTTTCCGGCGGAAGTTCTGCGTCCTTTGGTAACTCTTTGATGGGGAACAAGCGTGACTCGTTCAAGCTTCTCCCTCCCTCGGGCTCCTCGAAAGACCAGTTGCACACCCTTGTCGAAGAGGAGGAGGAGGATGAGGAGGATGAACCAGTTAGCAGAGTTGAGACAGCAGAACAGCTGTCATCACCTATTTCTGCTGACAAGGAGACCGTATCTGCCGCCGAAGAACCCACACAGGTAGCTCCGCTGCCATCAGCGGCTCTCAACAAAGCGACTCTTGGCAAACCTCGTCCCGCCACCTTAAACCTTCGGCCCCTCTCCCTCGTCGCCGAAACCCTGGGTACTAGCGCGGTCCAAGGACTGCCAACGCCATCCTTGTCTCCAAGCCCCAGGACAGGGCTTCGATCGCTGTCCTTGAGTCCGGCGTCGTCAGGCGACGAATCTTCCAAAGAGAACCAGCCCGTCAACCGTAGCTCGTTCATCTTGAATAATGCGCGTCGCCCAGCCCTTAACCTCAAAACCGCATCCATCGACTCTAGCGTCAGCTCTGGAGACGAATCCAAACCATTCCGCCGAAGCAGCATCTCGTACAGGAACTCTTCCATCAATGCTGCCGGACTCCCTACCCCCGAGATGACCCCGACTTTCACTCGTCGCTATTCCCTCGCCGAGTCCAACAAAGGCGTGGAAGAGGAATTTTTTCTTGGATCCCACCAACAACAATCCTCCTGCAAGCCTCTTAGCGCGAGTGAGCAACAGTTTCTTCTCAAGTCGCATAATGCGCTTGTTGCGCGGATAACGGACCTTGAGCGGGCGTTGTCCAGGCGTACGTCGCTGGGCAGTTATTCGAGTAGCTCCAGGCCAAGTTCCATCCTCTCCGACTCGACATCATTCAGCGAGAAGAGCAATTCTCCCATCCCCGGCGAGCCCAGTGATGAGATGTTGACCTTCATCAGAGATCTTAAGGCCGAGCGAGACGAGCTGAAAAAGGACGTGGAGGGTTGGAGGACGAGAGTGAACGACCTCGACCGTAAACACGCTCTGCTTGCCAAGCGGGTTGAGACCGAACGTTGGGAGGCTTGGGCTGCCCGTTCCCGCGTCGGCATCCTCGAGTCGGAAAAGGCGGCCCTCGAGAAGCGGGTTGAGGCTCTCGACCAGTCGTTGGCCGACCTTGAGGCAGATAAAGACAACCTCGAAATCCGTAATCGAGAGCTTCAGTCGCAGAACGAGGCAAAGGCGAAGCGGGTGGAGGAGCTTGAAGCCCAGCTGAAGCAGGTCAAGGAAGAGTTGGAGAAGGAACGACTATTGCACCAGCAGCAGGTCGCTGCCATCAGATCTGCTAACCTCGACGCCGATCTACTTGCCACTCCAACTCCTCAAGTATTCCAGCCTCAGCCTAATTCATCACTGAGTCCCGTCAATCTTGGCTTGGGACTTGTCGATGATCAGCCAACCTTTGCCTTCACCTTGAACGCCGTTCCGGAGGGTGACGAAGATAGCTATTCCGAGGAAGATAATGGACTCGGCCGGTACGAAGACGAGGAAGACTATGATGAGAGCTATGAAGCATCCTCATCATATGGTTCTTCGGACGAGTTTTCACAACGATCAGGAAACCCATTCATCAGAAAAGAATCGCCTACCTCCCCTCTCACCCCTTCCTATGCTCAATTCGATGATGTTTCCATTGCTTCGCCGGCGTCCTTGACCTTTGGTAGATCCCAAGCTTCTCCTCCCCCTGTGCCCGCTCGTCCTGATGCTTTGAGGGATTCCGAGCTGGCCTTCAATTGGACCTTCCCTCGGGCTCAGCCAGCGGCAAAGGTCGAGTCCCATCAACCAAAACCATCGGTCGATCGATTCTTCAATTGCTTGGACGAGTCCGAAGACAGCGATGACTCTGCTCCTGCAAGCCCCATCTCTTTCAACTACGAACAGAGCAAGGATATGTTTGCCAGTGGCTTCCGTTTCGCTGTTCAGGATGATACACCGTTCTTCTTGCCACCTGGCATTGGCACTGTCGTTGAAGAGCACACTGCCAAGTTGTCGACCGTTGCGGAAGAGGACGAGGAGGACGAATATATCGAGGATGACGAAGACATGTTTGGAGAGGCGGGTGGAATCAGAATCACGTTCACCCCTCCTGACGAAGTTGAGGAACCTGAAGAGCCACCTCAGATCCAGGTCTCTTCACCTGTCAAGGCTCCGTCGACTCCCCCGGTTTTGCCTGTACTCAACTTTGGCAGTGGTGACGAGGAAGAGGAGGATTTCTTCAGTCTCCCCTCGACTGTCTCTAAGGAGGTCGAGACTGAAGGACGCCCTGTTGCTCAACCTGCAGCCGCGCAGCCTGAGATAACATTAACTTCGGTCGGGCAGCCCTCAGCTCCTCCCACACCCGTCACCCATTCGTCCGCCACGTCTTGCACCTCGCCCAAAGTTACATCCCCGTCATCGATCCCTCGACCCATTTCCCGTCAATCGAACAAGTCACAAGGATCGGCATCATCTTCGCCTCATTCGCCACCCCTCGCTTTCAGTGTTTTCGCCACGCCGCCTACGAAACGGGGTGGAACTACTCCATCGTTCATTCCCCAATCGGTTACTTCTCCGTCCCCAGTTCGGACCGCCTCCTCCCAGAAATCTAAGATTGCGATCGCGGCACCGACGTTCATTCGACCTCCCAATCGGAAGCCTACGGTCCCGACTGCTCCTGCCGCTAAACCGCAGGGTACCTCTCGCAATGCAAACGGTTCGACCCTTACCGCTAAGCCTGCTACCCGTACGTTTGCTGATTCCTCTCCTCTTCCAGAACCAAAACCAATGACCCCGCCCCACAGAGCATTCGATCTTGAATTCCAAATGGCAACCGAGGTTGCAACACAAGGCTCGGACGTAACGACAGCGAGTTGCGTTGCGCCCCCTTCAGGTTCTTCGTCTTTGGCTTCTATCATCACGGCCCCACTCCCAACCAATCTTCTATCGAGTGTTCTCCTCTGGTCATGGTCCTCGCGACCGGCCCCCATTCCTTCTGGCTCCTCTTCAACAGCAACCTCAGTACCATCCCGCAAACCCTCTTTTGTCTCGAGGGAAAAACAATTGTCGAAACTCAAGTTCCGACTGGAACAGGAAAGCGTTTTGGGAGTGGCCAGCCACTACCGACGATGTGACAAGGACAATCTGGTCATATTGTAGTCGCATTCCTTCCAGCAACATACCAGTGTCATTGTTACCTCAGCGTTCGTCTTTCTCCTCTTTTTGCTATCGCTCGCCCGGCGACTCTATATCGGACTTGATTGCTGTGTGTTGTCGGTTGTTATTCACTCTATCCTTATTCCTCCCCGTTCATGATCGTTTCCATCTTTATTGCATGTAGCCACGCTTCTGCCCCTAACCCCTCTATATGCCTATGCCGTCGTCTCCTCATACCCCCACCACCTGTCCCCCGCCTTCGCGTCGTTTCTTCGTCACGTACATCGCTAACCTTTTTTGTGTATTTTGACCTCGTTCTGCACATCCATTTGTTCCCATTATCCATTTCTACTTGTGCACGAGTGGACCTTTTTTCTTTTACGATGTACCTACCCAACTCTGCCAGCTAGATGCTGGAGAGGTTCTTGATGATGGGTGTGTTGGGTTGTACCAGTAGTTGATGTTTTCCATGAAATGCATACAGTATGCGAAAAAAATGAATGGCTGGAGCTATCTCGAACTTGAATAGAATGCGAATGGAGCCAAGGGCCAAGGCCGGCTGCGGTTCCCGGAACATTCCGCGGGATAAGTATTCTCACGGTGGAACTGACGTTTGAATGGGCCCGCTGAAATTCGTTTCGACCACCTCCTCGTTCACTTGACCAACTTAGACACCATGGCCGGACAGAGACCCCTGCGCAACAACCTCATGAAGAACTGGTACGCCGTCGAGGTAAGTCTCAGATGTGTTTTGGCACAAGGTTTCAGTACTGAGCCACGTTCAATCCAGGCCATCCCTATGTAAGAGCAATATATGTTTCAGGAGAGAGGACTTGGAGTTCAACGTACCCGTCTAGTTATGTTATTATTGGAGGAGTTATCGTCGGTGCCTCTTGGTACCTGAAGCGGTTGGCCACTGGTCCCAGCGGTGCGTCTGCCTGTTCTCTGTCGTAAAATGCTTTGCTCTGACACCGCGTTCTTCTCCCAACGCTACAGTTGTCTGGACCAAGAGCAACCCCACTCCCTGGAATACCATCAAGCCCGACGAGGGAACCAAGATGTTGGAGATCAACCAGAAGTTCGACAAGAGGTTCGTTCCCATTCCCTTTGGTCGTATAGAACAACACCGTGCTCACCGTGACTTTTCAGCTGGACACGTGATAAGCTCTAGAGGACTATCATACTTTCTTTAATTCACTTTTTCTTCATGACTCTCCATATGTCGTATTCCAGCAAGCGTCCAAAATGTTGAACTGTCCATTCATTTTGTCGCCGTCGTTATAGTGTTATGGCGCCTGAAGACTGGCCACGAAACCTCTTTCCTCGGCTGAGTTTGCGGCCGATGGCGCGATAGTCCCCGGTGGATGCTTTGTGGGCGCGGGATAAGAATCTTGCTTTCCTTCACTAACCTTCGCCCATGGCCCTCCAGCACTACCAATATAAGGCCATAGTGGCCCCAGACACTGAAGAGGACTATCCTGTTCCTGGCCGACCTCTTGTGCGTTTCCCTGAAGTATTGGATGAGTGAATGGCCTGAAGTGATTTGGTTTCGGTGCTAGGACACGCTCGATGGGCCGCTGCAGTTACCCGCCATCATCTACGGGGCTGGGTCATTTTCCAAACAATACAATGCCGACGATCATATTTCCAGCAATATCCCCCTTCGAACTGTGCGCCTGGCCTTGCGGTAACCGCGTTTTTTCCATAAATCTATCACCAAAGCAGAACTTGATACAGGTGTAGATATGGTATACGAGCGTTCGACACTTCGGTATACTATGGACCCTCAGAGATCGTTCTCGGAAGCATCTTGGAAGCACTCCGGGACGAGTTCCCCCGGTCTACCTATCGATTGGTACTTGTCCAACCTCTGCTACTGTGGAATGTGCTAACTGTATGCTTTCCAGATGACCAAATGCGGTCGATATGGGCTTTCTGACTTTGACTACGACCCCAACACCATCCGCCAGAGCGTCAAGCGGAGCCTTGAGCGATTGAAGACCAGTTATCTTGATGTGGTGTATCTTCACGATGTGGAATTCGTTTGTGACCCCGTCGCTCCTCAGCCGAGTGGAAATGTCGCATCGTCTCTCTTAGAAGATGCAGGTGTATATGGATTGGCTCCTGGTGATGAAGGGAAAATCAGAGGCGATGGGGACAGGAAGGTTCTCTCTGCGTTCGCGGAGCTGCAGAAACTCAAGGATGAAGGACTGGTCAAGCAAATTGGGATTACAGGTACGTCCTCCGAGTTCTATAACACTCCCTCGGAATTGACGTTCTGTCTAGGGTACCCACTGCCAACACTGCTTCGACTGGCCCTGTTGATCCTCCACAACCCTCCTTACAAACCGATAGACATCCTACTCTCCTACTCCCATCTCTGCCTCCAAAACACCAACTTTATCGAGTTCGTCGACCAATTTAAACAGCGAGCGAAGATCGCCACCGTCCTCGCTGCGTCACCCCTCAGCATGGGTCTTCTGACCAGCAGGATACCCGATTGGCACCCAGCTCCTCCTCAACTTCGACAAGCGGTGCGGGAAGCCATTGAAGAAAGTGGCGGGGATTTACCTAACCTTGCGCTTGGATACTCTATCAGCAGGACAGGAACGGAAAATGGGAGCGTACCTCTGGTCTTAGGTGTGAGTACTCCGGCAGAGGTGCATGAAGCCATCAGAGTGTGGAGGGAGATTCGGGATGGAGGGAGTAGCGCTGAGAGGGAGGCCAGAGAAGGACGCGTTCGAAAGGTTTTCGAACGTGCTGGCTACCTGGATTGGTCTTGGCCTTCTCCTTAAATTTGCCAGTTGTAGATAGCCTGTACAGCGGGATACGATCAAAATTATTGATGCCGCCTCTTGACCTTGAACATGTCGTACTGGACATCCACAAGACCTACAAATCACTCTCGTTCACACCTCCGCACTCTCAATATACTGTCCTAGCTTCTTTCTTCCTCGTCAATGTCTTTTCTGGCGATCACAAAATCATAAGCCTCGCGACAGGGACAAAATGCGTTCCTGCAAACCGACTGTCCGGTCGAGGGGAGTTGGTTCACGATAGCCATGCAGAGGTTCTGGCTAGGCGAGGAGCTTTGAGGTGGCTGTTGGAAGAGGTTTCTCGGGTCACTGGCGTTCTTCAAGCACACGAATCTCTATGGATCATCCGGGACGACCACTCTGGCAAATTTCGTCTCAGAGACTCCGTAACACTCAATCTCTACGTCTCGACCCTCCCCTGTGCGCCCTTTCCAAGACGACTGTATTGATATCATATTAACTTGCTGGATAGGCGGAGACGCCTCTATGCGCTTCCTCGCCTCGATCCAAGACGAAGAAATGGCTGCTCTCAAGGGTACAACCGTCTTCCCCACTCTCGATCCAACAGCTGCCTCTCGTGGAAGAGACAACTACGGTAGATTGGGCGTTCTGCGCACTAAACCAGGACGCGCAGACTCTCCTCCGACGTTATGCATGTCTTGTAGCGACAAGATCGCTTTATGGAACGTCGTCGGTATCCAAGGTGCTTTGGGCTCTCTGGCCTTTAGCCCAGTTTACATATCGAGGATCGTCATCGGAGATTGTGAAGTGCCCGAAGGAACGAGAGTGAAGGTGAAGGAAGATTGTGAGAGGGCGTTTTGGGGTCGGTTGAGGGATTATAGGATAGGTGACCCTCTTCTCGACTTGCTCTCTATTTCAAGGCACTCATAGCTGGCTTCAAGAACTTCCCATCGGCTATCGAATATGTCGACCCACACTTCTCTTCTCTTCGACACCGTTTATCCATGCAAAATCTCCTGAAAGAAGCAATGGTTCCTGTAACGAAGGTATGCGTTTTTTTTGGGATGCGCACAAGTAGTACTTCTCACTGATCCAATGGCCTGATAGCTATCGCGTGGATTGCAGATAGTGGATCTAAAGGTCACGAAATCCTAATCAATGGTCTAAAACGTGGTGTTTCTCCCAAGCATCGCTATAATGAGAAATCCAGGTAAGATCCTTCCTTCCTCTGTATTCTCTCTTCCCACGTCGAGCTTTCATCTGCTCCCAATCAGGTCCAGGTTCTCGCGATTATCTCTCTTCCAACTGGCGACACGACTACATGGTATCATACCAGGCGAGAGCGAGTAAGTCACCCGCAAACCCACTGTCATTCTATGTTCATCCCAAAACCTGCCAGGGACACACCCCTCCTTTACTCGCAGATCAAACAACTTTCTACACAATACCATTCCGCAAAACAGGCTGTCTTAGGGCCTGCCGGTCCATTCGTTGGCTGGGTCCGCGCCGGCGTAATATTTCAGCAATTCAACCTACAAGGTCTCCCTGAGCTGCGCAATGACGACACCGATACCTAGAGCCCAAGACGCAGTAACTACAGGAGATGTAAACATTAATACTTAGGAAGACTATACACGGGGTGCCAAATTTCCCATCCATCTAAAAGGAGTAGAGTCGTAACAAAATTAATTACAAGTGAGCAAAGTCCGGAAGTAGATGGGTGGGATGGAGCAGACAGAGAAAAAGATGTCAACATCTCGAATATACAAGTAGGGTATGATATGAAAGTCAGACAGACGTCGAAAGCGAAGGCAAGGTCATAATTAGTCGTACAAGGGTCGTCATAATGATAGATCGCAAACAAATACACCAACCAAGCGCAGCAGGACCTGGAATGTTCAAGCATCCTTCTTGGATTCTGTCACCAAAGGTTCACTGCTGCCGCTATTGGAGCGTGAAGTGGAAGAGGAATCGGGAAGTTCGACGTCGGAAGGAAGGTCCGAGGCGTCAAAGTGGGGTGAGGAAGGGAAAGAGTTCTGTCCCGGTGTAGAGGTCCCCGATGAACGGGCAGTGGCCTCTGCTAATTCCTTCCTGAGCGCCTCGACTTCCTTCTCGAACCTGGAAACCGCTGTCAGCTTCGAAGTGGAGGAAAACACGTTTTGACTCACTTTCTTCCGAAAACTTCGATGTAGAATCCTCCTCCATTCCATACGCTCACGGAGAAAATGAACAAGAGGAAGAGTGCGCTCCACATTGCGCTGTTGTACAGGAGGAAGACGGCAGGGAGCTCAGTCAAAATAGCATAAACTAGGTGTCATTAGCCATGATCTTATTGGATTTGCCGCCATGCTCACCAAGTTGACCGCTCATGAAGAACTCAATCCTGTAGTCGGGAGGTACCTTGGACAAGACACGCCCGATCACTCCGCGCTTATCATTCAGAAGCCATGAGAAAGAGGTGGTGCGCTGGCCGGACTGGATTTTTGCTCGTCGGTCAACAAGGAGGAACTGTGAAACATGATAAGCCAGTGCGATAGCATTCGTAACAATGGGTGAAACGCACCTTCCAGTAAAGCAGTTGCCAAATCACGTCTAAAATTTCGGGTCAATTATAAAATTTGCCAGCAGTCAGGCGACACGTACAGATACCGCTGCTGAGCAGGAGAGCTTTCAACGGATCCAAGCGAGTTACTTCGGCGAGTGCAGGGAAACGGTCCTCAGCGTTGGGATAAAAGTGCCTATACTGCCATAAGATAACGGAAGGAACCCTGAGGGCCTGATTTGACTCACCGAATCACAGTGAAGGAGAATGGCGCGTAAATATGGATGAATAGCGAGGTGATTTTGTCTTGGTCATGGAACACCAAGCTATTCCTCCATGTAATGACTGCGCTTGCCAAGGAACCGTGCGACATGCAGTAGCAGGCGATGAATAACATCTTGCTGCTAGGGAAGATCCAAAAGTAGATAAAGTTGAGGATGGTCACGTAGTAGCAAAGGTCGAAGAGGAAGTAGTGCCATGCGCGTTTCTTGTATTGGTAGTACCGAAGGGGGAGCAGATAAAGACCTTGGATGGTGTACGAGATATGAACCCATCTGAGGTAACGGTCAATTAGCTTCCGCCGCGCGGGGCAAGGTGCACAAGTGGTAATGACGTACTGAGGCGCGAGTCCAAACATCAATGAGGAGGCAAGCAAATTCATGACGCCAAAGAAAAACGAAACTTTCTCTCGTGTTCGAACGACCTGAGCCGACTGCCATGTAGCCAGGACGGAGGTTAGGCGTGCGGCAAACTGGACAAATGCACGTCAGACTCGGACAGTTGACCTAGGACAGGGAGAGCTTTGTGCACCTTCAGCTTCATGTTCTTGACCTCCCGGTCGAGGTTCTCTGCCAGCAGATCCCCCGACAAGTCCTTGATCTTGAACTTCCCCTCAGCCTTCATCTTGAGGCGGTCGCTATGTTTCTGTAGCTTGCGTTGGAGAAGGTCGACATGGGAGTCAAAGTAGGTTTCAACGGTGTCTGCGGCGTAACGATTGTTGAGTACCCCATCACTGTGTTAAACGATATTGGACAGACCGAGGAGAGTAAACGCGCTAGCCCACTGGTCGAAGCCTTCGTCGCGTACAAAACGCTCGAACGGCGAGGAGAAATATCCCTTGGGAAAGGGGGGCGACGGCGGCCTTGAGCCCATTGGTATCGACGTCGACGGCGGTGGCCTCAGACAATATGGAGATGGACAAGGGTCAGAAACAGTGGTCAGGACTGTGATGGAGACGGTGGCCTGCCACATCCTCATTTGGAGACCGGGCGCGTATGTAAGCAGATCCCACGGGTGCTATTACCATTTCCGCGTCTCGACTGGGCCTGACTGAGAGACCAGAACTCGACTCAAATCCATCATGTTTGGCTCGTTGAGTATGCATTCCCCTATTCAATTCCAAATTCCAGGTCAATGAACGACGTACTTAACAGTGCACTATGCGTTTGACGCAATGCTAATCAGCGCCTTCCTCGCAGGGGTCAAGAGAACAACAGGCCTGACGTGCGTTTCATACTGCTCCTGAGTTTGTGTGTTCTCAAGCTTTACTTTACCCAGCCCCGCTCTGTCACAAGTCCCTAACAAGGATATCAGACGTACGTGTAAAATCACCTGCATCCAGATTGCAAGCCCACTGACGTTTGCACCAGAATTGCTGAAGTCATACCTGGAGCTCGGTGTGTCATGCATGATTCGTGCCGCAGTTGACCAACAGCCCACTCAATCTGCCTAACAGGAGAATATCTCTTTGATTTTGCCGTTGTGATCATGGGGGTGAGTGTCATTCGTCCGACGCCAAGTTAAACGCATGGTTGAACGTGGAGATAGAGATCCGACTCTTTCGAGAGAAAGCGCTGAGGCCGCCTTCTTTCTCTCCAGTTTTCAGCCTCTATCCAGTCTGTATGATATCACTTAATCTGCCACTTAGTCTCTGTCTCTTCACGCCCTGCCACGAATTCCCACATTTTTGGAACGATGATTGACCGCCCAGGGAGTGTCGAGTTGCGAACGACAGGTGTATCCAATTCATCCCAGGAAGTTGTACACGAAGAAGTGTAACACGATTGACCCCAACGCGAAGTCTGCGAATGCTCTAGAGGAAGAATGTCAGCTGTGTGGTCGCCCATGATGAAGGCCTCTAACCTTTCCGGAGAGACTTCCTTGAATTCATCTTTGTTCGCCGGATTGACTTGCGAACGCAGAGAGGAGGCGAGAACGAATTGACCGACAGTGCTTGCAAAGCTGAGCGGCAATCAGTAGGGCTCAGACCCGAAGATGATACATGTCACTCACCCAGCCAGGAAAGCGTTGTAAGGATAGCTGGTGACCAGAACGCAATACACGAACTGGATAATCCCTGAGAGCATCAGGAACACGAGGAATGAGTCGATAAACTTGAGCCTATCTGAAGTCTGCTCATTGTACGCCTTCCACAGCGACAAAAGCGGACTTGAATTCGACGACTGCTGTTTCGGTGCCATCCTAGTCGTCGTGGGCGACTATTGAGATAGCAGTTTCGTTAAACTAAATGACGTTGCAACTAAACTCGACGTGTCCGTGGAATCGGCCGTGGTGGAAGGCGCAGACAAATAGCAACAAACAACCAAACGCGCCAAGCGCCCTTTTCCTGGCTGAAAAAAGTTTCGCGAGTCGTGACGTTCACGACCCGAAAGCGCTCGACGACTACAACAACGGCGACGCCGACCAACCTAACCACTTCAAAAGGCCTCCGGATTGCGTAGACGATGAGTTCTTGTATCCGACTCAGGCTCGCCTCGAGCTTGAGACTCAACTCTTCCCTCCCCCGCTCCCGAATCCTGTCACGGAAGCTGCACGAACGCAGACCGTTGCAGTACCCGATTGAAGGCGGTCTCGGAAACTTCTTGCCTCCGCCTGCACTCAAGACTGCAGTTGAATGGCAAACGGGTCTTCTAGATCGTTTGAATGAAGAGGTCAAGGGTGAGCAGGATGACAGCGTCCACCGCCTGCGACCCATACTTATGTGCTGTCAGGTACCGCCGAGGAGTCCACCTCTGTAATACAGACCGTGCTCAACACCTCGGTTTCCAAAGAGCGAACGCTGGCATTCAACTATGCAAGCCTCGCTCTCAACAACTCATTCTTCCTTGACCAACTGGTACGTCACGTCACTTGCGTTCCTTCCTCGCCCTACCTAGAGCTGACCTAACTATTTCAACAGAAACCTCCTCCAAGCGAAGGTGCAAACCACGAACACGAAATCTCAGTAGACCTCTTGCGTGCCATCGAGGAGGAATACGGAAGTCTTCGACAACTGAAGTCGAGCATCTCCGCAGCGGCGCTCGGCATGTTCTCCAACGGCTGGGTCTGGTTCGTCACAGATGCCAATGGTTCCACTGGTATCCTCCCAACGTTCGGCCCAGGAACCCTCCTCGTTCGTTCGCGAACATACATGGGCTCCGAGAAGGGTCTGGTACTCGGTGACAAGTTGATTGTCGGTGGTGTTTCCGGTGACCTCCCTCCCACAACCTCATCGCCTGCAGGCTCAGCGACGGTGAAGCCACAACCCCCTGGCACCGGGTCCACATCACCTCTCTCCGGCGCCAACTTCCCCAATACCCCCCGAGCACCAGACGCACTTGGACCTCGGTTCTCTTCCACCAGAGCCTGGAATACGGAACCCAGGCAGGGCATTTTCTCTATGTCCGAGACTGCTGCTCCTCTCAAAAAGCCCACCATTTTAACCGTCGGAGAGGAGATCTACCCCCTCTTCTGCATACCCGTCTACGAGCACAACTGGATGAGCGCGGGGTACGGTGTATGGGGCAAGGAGGACTGGTTGAAGGAGTTCTGGAGCGTAGTCAACTGGGCTAAAGTCAGCAAGTCATACTCCACCGCTTTGTCGGCCAGGAACAACTTCTCATTTGGCACGCGCTAAGGCATGACTTGCTTGCTGGCCTCTCGCTTTCCAATACCGTAGATCTTATTATCATGTCACTAATCCCCGAGCCAAAAATACATACATTAATTCGAGTCCGTCCATTTGATATTGCAACAATCAAAAGAGTACATGGGTCTTAGGACCTTTGTTTCAAGGCTTGCAAAGCACAAAGGGCAGCACCTACTCCGCTGCCATCCTTCGCGAGACCAATCTCAACCCGCGATGTAACGTCTTCGCCGACGAGAAGCTTCAAGGAGTCCCGCATAGAATCTTGGAATCCGGGGTAGTGCTCGACCAAACTATACATGAAATCCATTAGCGACATTGGACAGCATAAACGGCTGTGGCGACCCACCTTCCGTCAACACCGACACCTAGGGTGTCGTTGGGGTATTTCAACGGGCTGTTGGTATCTCCAGGGAATCGTGCCCGCTCGGTTTGGATTAAAATGGCTGAAACAGCGAGACCACTAAGCAGGGCAGCACGTCGAGCGACCAGGTAGCACAGTTGACGGACGATCTGCGCGACAATTGAGTTCCCGTAGGGTGAAGAAGCGTGTACTATGATCACCTACAGCTGCATCCCGAACGGAGACCTCGTCCGCGGGGTATTTCAAGGTCTCAACAATGACGTCTTTGATCTTTTGCAGTTTGGAAAGAACCTGGGGTGAAACAGACTTGTCGCTGACGGATGCCAGAGGCGGTAGCGTGAAAGCGTCCGAACTCTTGTCGTCGCCAATCCAAGCTTCCTCGACCTTGCTCATGAAACTGGTGTCCAGACCGTAGTGTTCGTTCAGTACCGATGTAGATTTCCCTCCAAACAGGATGGGCTTGGGCGTAGCATCGACCAAAGAGACGATGATATGTCGAACAATCTCTCCCAAGTACATTCCAGAGATAAACTTCTCGAAGATTTGGAATCCGGGGTTGATGCTGAGACGATCGACGGTATTGTCATAAGGAGTGATGGGCAGATGGGATTTCTACACGCAGATGTGAGTGACTGCGAAAAAAAGGAAACCGTGGGTCCTTACGGAGTTGTTGAATGCACCCCACTCGCAATTGATGACCATATGACCGTCCGGAGAATCTGCCTTCTTGCCATCGAGCTTCTTGATCTTGGCTAAAAGAGGGTTAGAACAACGTCAAGATAATGTAATTCCAGACACACAAAGTTCCTCGACATAAGCTCCGTTCGTTCCAGTTCCAAAGATAGCACCGACGAGGGATCCACCGCTAATGTAGGCGTGGGTCAAAAGAGTTCCGACGGTCTAGAAATGGATTATGCTAGGGCTCCGGCAGTAACAGGATCTAACTTACGTCGTTGACGAGAGCGATGCACTTGACATGCATATGTTTCCTATCAAAGGCATTTTGGAGCAACTGGACAACGTCATTGCCAACCGCGTTCTTCGCAGAGAAACCCTTAGTCCATGTAAGGATTTTTCCAGATCCTAGGGCAGTTTGCTCGACGGGGAAGGAAAAAGTGAATCCGAGATAGACAGAATCCGGAGCAGCATCGGCGGGAACGCCCTTAGGGGAGGAGTAATTCGTGGTTGCATGGGTGGTCAAAAATGCATCGACCGAGTCGGCGATATAATCTGTATGGGAAATCAGAAACGGTTAGAAAGATTAGCTCTTCGTATGATTGGGGACTGTGTTTGCGCACCGAATAATGCCGAAGCGTCCCCGGTCTTGAGTGTGTCGGACACCTTGTATTTTTGCTGCACGAGGCTGAAGGTTTGGTCACCGTTCAAAACGACCTCGCAGACGCGACTGTGAAAGCACCCGGTTGGTGAAATCGAGGGAGCCAATTATGACGACGATGCTTACAGATTGGTCCCGCCTAGATCGAGGGCGAGGAAAGTGCTATCAACGGCGACGATGAGCGTGCCGAGATGAACGATGGGGCATGTCACGGACTTACCCAGTCTCTTTACCGTTTGGCACACCAGTGACGAACGATGGACTGTGGATGGTTAGCTAGGGCACGAGTGTGCCTAACACTGAGGATGACGCACATCATAGCCATCGGCTTTCCATAGGCACCCAAACCTTGCTCCATCTCGTCGAGGAAGCCTCTTGTGATTGCGACGAGCTGGTCGGAGGTGACCGTGAACTGACGATCTATGAGATCGAGGACATGCTGGGCGTCGTCTGCGTGGTGAGCGGAAATCGGGGACATGGCGGCGAGGTTGAGGAGAGAATGATGTGGTTTGGTGTAGAAATATATACCTCAATGAGTAGATAATCTTCTGGTCCAACGCCGAGCTTGGCGAATTTGTTGCCGTACGTCACATGTGAGCTCGACATATCCCAATTTGGCTCCCGTCCTCCAGTATTCTCCAATGATCTTCAGGATTAGTCCCCCACTCTCCCGTGATATCTCAAAATACAAGCTAACAATCCATCGACCTCGAGCCAGCGTCAAATTCCATCTCCTTAGATTCCCAGGTCCTCATGTCCCCACGGGGCACCAGTCCTTGGGCTCTATGCTCATAGTCTAGAACAGGCTGCCAAGGCAGGTCCATCGGGACGTATGCCGATAGCCAGTATAAAGAAGAAGGTATAAACTGAATATTCCAGGATCTAAAGGATTGTGCCGTCTCTAGAGTGTTACAGTCCATTACATAACGTTGAGATCGCCGAACTTCTCCTTGTAGCCTGCGAGGAAAGTTCAGACAATGCACCAGAGAAGACGCGAGGTACTGACCTGGTACTGTGAACTTGCCCTTCTTCATCATGGTCTCGACAGCCTCGAGGATGCGAGGGTGGGCCTTGGCAACATCCTCGGTCTAGAAACAGGAAGGTCTCGCGTGTTAACACTACACAGGGCAAACATAAAACGAAACCGGGACGAACAGTGAGTTGGTCGAATGGTCGGGCATCCTCAATGTTGGCGAGCGTGGCTTGGAGCTCCTTGAGCTCAACGTCAATCTTCTGCTCGGTCTCCTTGGCTTTGGCAACCTAAACCACACACGTCAATCCCTCGCAAACCATGACCGCGAATCTACAGGGAAGCCTTACAGCCTTGGCCTCGAAAGTCTCAATGGCCTTGATGTGGGCAGACACGTCGTACGTCACAGGCTTGAAATCCTTGAGGATCTTCTCAGCCTCGTCAACAACAGCCTTGTTCTTCAACACATTGCGGTAGTGGGCAAAGTCGACAGTGGTGGGCTGGTTGGCGTAGTGGTTGGACAATCGTTGTGCGTCAGCATGGCGCTTGCGGAAGGCCTGCAGCGAGGCAATAGTCTCTGTTCAAAAGCCCTTCAGTTTCTTCCAATACACTTCATTCCCTAAAATGCGAACCTTTGCCGAGTCCCAGCGAGGTGTAGATGCGAGAGAAGTCCTGGAATAAAAATGAACGACGTGTCAAGGAATAACCAGGCAAACTGAGTGCTTACAACGGCGACGGCAGCTGCTTTTTGGGCCATTTTCCTAAACAGTGATGGATTTAGAGGGGTTTCTGAGGGAAAGGAACGTGAACGGACTCTAGAGGACGGGTAAGGTGGTGTTCGCAAGGTGTGAGTGAAGCCCACTGCCTGGCCAGAGAACCCGGCAAATTCCGGTTTTCTCCTGGCCGCGCCGACTTCCGAATATGGAAAAGCGCCCCTGTCGGGAGGCCATCTTGCTTCACTGTCCACCGCCAAGTAGCTGGAATTCAATGGTTGAGTGCTTGTTTGTTGAACAACGCATTCGTGAAGATTCTGCATCAGTTCAGCACCGAGTATGGACCTGCAGTCACAAAGTGTGGCCGAAACGGCGTCCATGTAGCTTCATCGCCCGAGAATAGCTGGTCACGATCAGTATGCTTCTCTATCGTCGAGTGGTAACGTTGGCAAGTCCCTACGAAACGTTTCTGTGAGCTTCTTCGCTTGAAGATCTAAATGACAGCCAAGAACCAAAGATTTGGGGAACAGAGGACGGGTGCCTTACTGACATATCTGCCGCTGGAATTATTCGACTACAACAAAGTTCAACGTTGACCTTGAATGCGGCAGAAGAGCGAGCGATTCATGGGCGAGGTCAAATGAGCAGGCCAACAAACTCCACAGGTATTCAAGAATTGGGCAGGCGCAACTAAAGTGTCATATACTTCAAACGACGTTATGGACCTGCTGAGAGGGAGGCATTCCGATCACGATTCTTGGCCCATGAAAGTACAAACCGTCCAACTCAATTGTAGTCCCTTAGGTAGCTAATAATCTCCCTTCGGAAGATCTCTATCTAGCTCAGTGATAGCAAGGTTCAGTCCCAGCCTTCTTGTAGCGAGAGCGAGAAGTATACGAGTAAACATAGAGGCATCCAGACTTTTCAAAGGCATTGAGGCCGCGTGCAGCGAGTTATGGCGTGGACTTTATGTCCAAAATTGCATGTTCATTCCACCGCCCAGGCCTGTTAGGCTCCCGAAAACGAGTTAATCTAGTAACAAATTGAATGTAACTGAGCATCTTCGGTCCTTCAATTTGGAGTAGCAAGTACCGGACCTTGACCCTGGAATTATTAAACGGCACCCTTCGCAAGCCATCACACCTCTCCAATGCAGTCCCAAGTATCACCCAAGTTTCTCCATTGTACACTGGTCAAAGCATTTTACGAAAGATCTTACAAACCCCGTAAATTCTTGCAAACATCACGAAGTAAACCTTAGTCTCGGTAGAACTCCTGTCCCAAGTATAAGGAATCCTGATCGCATCTTCCTGATAGTTTGAAATGAAGCATTTTGAAAATCCCCACTATATCCCTTTGATACTCCACAACCCACGACAGCCAACATGTTAGTTTTGTATGTATGTGCCTGAATCGGTATAGAAGCCAGAAAGTTCCACTGCCAGAGAGTTCTGATCAGCCGTTATGTTACACCAGCACTAGAGCTGACACAGCGAAAACGTGGTGACATGGTATGGAGAAGTTTTCCGATTCAATTCAGTTGCGGTTGAGACATACGTGCCTACCCATACCCCGAGTCAAGTCAGTTAGAGTTAGGTAAGGGAAGAAAGAGCTTTCGTTGGCTCCACGAAGCAGCGACAAGCCAGTTATCAAGACACTGTTCCCTAGGCCCAGGATTCGGTCAATCGAGAAATCTTGCTCAATGATCATCGAAAGTGGAGCATCTGGACTCGAGAAGGTAACGTTACCTTACACACAGTAGTAGTGGTGCATACGGCGGCCCTGTCACAGGGTCCCGTTGAAGCGAGAAATGGTGATGATGCAGGGATGATACGGTGAGCAGGTTTTCATGTTAGCGAATGCAGGAGATTCCCAATGGTTGTTGCTTCATTTCTGTTTGTATGTACACTTTGAATGATATTCTAGAACACATGTGCGAACGAGAAATATAAGATAATCCAAGAAAATAAATGGAACGGAAAGCTAGCGGGTCGTCGAGTTTACAAGTCGTCGCATCCGAGGGGAAAGCGTGTATGGAATCGATGCCAAAACCTACTGAACTACAAGAAAGCACAAAGCATGCACGAAGCGAGAAAGAGTCGATCGCACCTTTTGCACAAGGGAAGGGAAGAAACAAAACATGTGGACGATGCGGTAAGTAGGAGAGAGAGGGTGCGGCGGGGAGAGCATGTACTTGGACGACTTTTGGAGGGCGAGTGTTGGGCGTTGCTGTTGATACAAATGCGAGGTAGGCGGGATCGAATATCGTACAAGGATTAATTGCGATTTGATTCGGATAATGATAATGCGGCGTGAGGCGAAGAAAAGAAAGAGTCCGTAGCTGAATCGTGTTGTGTCGTCGGAGCTCATGGGAAAGGCCCCATGGATGGTGAATCCAGAGCGGAGAATCCTGACCCAGCAGATGTGCGGATGGAGCAGCTAGACGTGGGCGAAAAAAATAACGCCCCGTACCGGATGGCTAGCGCTAATATCCATAACCTGAAGTCCTCGACCCGGCCGTTGCTGCAGAGGCACCACTTTTACTTGAAAGGGAGACGTTCATGCTGATGGGCTGAACGCCAGGGCCGGAGACACCCATTGGCACGGAGCCGACGACGCCAGCGCCTCCAACGAGCTGGGAAAGACGGGAGATCTCGTCGCGAGAGGCCACCAAGGCGGTTTTGAGTTGCTCGTTCTCTGTCTGGAGGAACTCGACCTTGGCTTGCAAAGACTGCAACCAGGCCTTCTTGCGCTGTCGACATTTGAGAGCGGCTGAGTGAGAAGGGAGGTGAGCCCGCGGCTACGGGAAGACGATCGATCAATTTTACCTTGTCGATTTCTCTCCAAGAAATTCCTTCGCTTTTCCTCCTCTGTCTCGGGCTTCTTTGCCTTCTTCGTGCCGTTGGTAGCAGCAGGAGCGGGTGTTTCTTCTTGACCTTGCATCTCTTCCTGTTCACCTTCGCCCTCTTCATCTTCGTCGTCGCCGCCTTCGGATGTTCGAGGGCTGGTCTTACGACGACCAGCTGCAGCGGTTGCTGACCGCGTCCGCTTGTTGCCAGTGGCAGCCTTGGCCGCTGGTTGTGAAGCGGCGGGGGGAGATGCAGCCTCGTAAGATTTGCGCTTGGTGGCGCGTTTGCCGTTTGCCTGAGAGGTGTTAGTGGCTGCAGCCGTACCGTTTGTGGCAGCATTGTCTGCCTGTTGCTGAGCCGAGAGCTCGCGCTTCTCGAGCTCCTGGTGGGCCTGTGAGAGCAAGAAGAGACCATTCGCTTGGTGATAAGAGGAATCGTGATTGGGCTGTGGAGGGGCATGGTAGGCAAAGTTGTTGTTGGTATTGTTGGTGTTGTTGAGGACGCCAGAGAGTGCAGTGATGGTATTGGGGGTGATGGTGCCGTTTGCGTTTGGAGGCTGACCGCCGTTCATCATGGCGAGGAGGGCCGATGTGCCTGGAGATGCCGGAGGGAAGGAGACGGGACCCCCGACAAGGGGCGTCAGACCTGTGCCTGGAGTGAGGCCCGTCCTTGGGGTGAGACCTGTCCTGGGGGTGAGGCCTGTCCTGAAGGCGGTATGGTCGAAGGATATATGGGGAGGCTGACTGGGTTGTTGCTGAGGGCCTGCAAGCATGGCTGGGGAGAGGGGACCTGAGCGGAGAGAATTGATGTCGTTGTTCGGGTAGCCCCAGGCATAGGATGTGTCAGCGGGAGATGAGATGGAGGCGAGTGGCGGGAGGACTGGGCGAGATGGGGAGGCACTCCTGTTACTAGTTGAATTGCGGGATGGGGAGCGGGAGTTGCGGGATGGGTCGTCTGACTTTGAGTCGGCAGATGAATCGTTGTTGGGAGACGCATTGCGGATGTTGGAAGACGTGACTGTATTGAAGGATGCCTCGAAGGGATTGGGCTCGCGATCAAAGTCGGAGCGCTTCTGGGTCAAGGGGCGGGCCTGCCTTGTGTTGTCGGCGTTCTGCGGCGGCGGGGAGCGCGAGTGCGACTTGCGAGACATGACGCAGGCAATTTGATTCAAGTTCGCAGAGTGACGACGTTGGGGGGTCCGAAACAAAATGACGACTGCTGACGTAGCTGTGTTATATTCCATCAATCTCCTATTTGCCAATGTTTTGATCATCACAACCCCGTCCCTGACCCTAACCTTAACCCTTCCCTTCCCATCCCGACGCTCGTCCTTTCCCCGCCCGCCGTGGAAAGCGTCATATGTGCGTCATCCCATCACCCCGTTGCTCTACCCTCGCCTCCGTGTACCCTTCCAACTCAAATATCAGTGTCCAATACCATCTATTTCCCTCTGTCTCGCCTCGGTCATTCCCCGGTGCCCAGTGGAGCTGCTCCAGTCTTCCACATGTTTTCGCACGATCTACTACCAGCCTTTAACTAATACAGAAATCACCCGCATCCGATCGCTTGCCATCAGTCCGGTGACCACCTTCATCTCTCTTCTTATCAGTTAGGAATTCAACAAGCACTGGCCACCATTCGCCCCTATACACGCCCTTGTATTCCTTTACATCCTCAGGCCATCCATTCACTGCAGCGAGCAGCCTCTCAGCCGCCCCTTTCTCTTCCACTAGATCCCGCACGGCCGTCATGTACGTCCGGATCGTGAAAACGATGGCCCCGCTAACTCCCAGTCTTCTGAGTGTCTGCCGTTCAGTTCTGAATCGTAGTTCATCCACCGTCGGCCTGGCCGGCAAATCTGGCCCTCCCTTCGTGCTGTTGAATTCCTCCTCTTCGGGGCCAATCCCGGTCCTGGACCACCCCAGCTCCTCAGGATCCTGCTCTTGGCTCTTCTTCTCCTCTGATCGCACCACCTGGAAAAAATAATTGTTGCGGACAACCGCCTTATCCACTTCCATCCGCCTAAAGAATCGTTCCATACTTGCTTGTAATTTTTCACGATCTGTTAGAAAAAAAGACAAATAAGGTCAGTGGGGCTAGTAACAAGCTTTAAGCGCGCGAGTCTAAAATGAGCCGGGTCCCTGCATCCCCGACCGATAGCCAGACATCGGTAATCCCCTGTACGCGAGTCATAGTCAACTCCTGACTGTCACGCCTGGTCCATCCTCGCCGCTCTCGCGACAGTAGTATGTAGTAGCTGGCACCCCAGAATTATTTGGCTAGATTCTGTCAAATAATATTGAGCACTCGGGGATCGCGTGGTCGGGCCAACTACCACCGTTTCCCACTTCTCATCAAACCCGCTGTCCATCAATCCAATGCTACATGCGTCATAATGATAGATTGCCCGTACCACGAGGCATGAGCACGATTGCAACAGTAGTTGGAGATACCGCTGCCCAAGGATCATGTGTGACTAAAGCACGAAAAGAACCACCCTCTCTTCAATTGTCGTATTCTTGCTCGTCAGATAATCAGGAAACGAGCACATAACGGGCATTCACCGTCTCGTCACAGCGGGGGATTGTGAAGAGTGCAGTGATGATGACATGACATCAGACCTGCTTTCAAGAGAGGGAATCCCTGCACCTAATCGCAACGGTAGAGTGCGCGTGTACTCAACGCCACAAGACATAAAAGTGCACAGAAGACCGTAAAAGGGGGAACGTGACTCACATCGAGGGACATCTCCGGTCGTATGGATTTCATCCAGGGGTAGCCCAAACTTGGTCTTAGGACGCCAAGTACCTGCAGGGAGGTTGGATATGAGACGGAGTTCAACCACGAGCTCAGCGTGCCCGTACCAGGGATGCAAACGGCACCAGCTTGAAGGTAATACTTCCCGTCCTGCCCTGGGACACGGTCAATATCAGCTGCCCGAACACAACTTCGAAAGCTAGGAGACGGGCGTTCTACCTTCTATCATGACTGCCAGGTCCTCCTGGACCCTGATAGCCATTCATCGTTAATCCTCTCATTCCAGCCAGAGAAGCAAGATGACTTACAGCAACGCTGCAATCTCAAGTGCCCTCTCCGGTGCGCCGTCACCGTCCTCGACGTGTAACGGTAGTTCATACGTGATTCCCGAAGATACACAGGTTATGCTCTTGATGGGACAAGCACCATCCCATCCCCAGTCACAGTACCTCGAGGTAGAGCTCGCCCTTTGGGGCAGGGTGATGGAGTCGGGCTTTAAATCATCGAGCGCCTGGCGTTCATGTCGGCTAATGACAAAGTTGCATGGGTACCTCGCGGCTATGAACGCGGCCAGCTCGTGTACCAACTCGATCGCTGTTACATTTCAGAGTTTTTTAGAACCACAGTAAAACAGGCAGTAGCGAAGATCGTACCAGCCAAGGCTCCACCTCGGACAATGGAGTTATGCTCATCGGTGAGCACGGCGATTGCATTCTCTCTGCGCGTTTCGATGCGGTGTTTGCGAACGTCATGGTATCGCTGGTAGTCACTGTCCAGCTAACTGCAGGGTTAGAACATCCTGTCGAGTAGGCGAAGCTGAACCCGACGCGACGTACCTCGATCCATTCGTCCCAGGGTAAAGGTTTGATTCCCATCGTAATGCTATACTGTCGTTAATATCAAGAGTCAAAGGCCTGTAGAGTGAAGACATACTTGTATGCCCCTGGACGATAGGGCCGATACGGTATCGGCTTGATCGCTTCAAGCGGCGTGGTTATAGGTGTAATTTGGGGGTACCTGAATCTACGCGGTTGCCATTCTGTCATGCACGGAAACGTCAGCTGTGATAGATGAAACCTGACGAGCAGAGACTTACCGCCATACTCCCGGTCTCCAGTGTTTCTATGCTTCTCACTCTCCCTATTCGAGTGCCCAGTGGGCGCAACTCCACGTCGGGACGGGCGTTGTTGCTGGAAGTAGATCGCGCAGGCCAGCACAAGGGCTATGAAACCTAGCACCAGGTCTAGGTGCCAGTACCGACGCTCCAAGAATAGAGAATCCATATTCCTGCAGCATGTAGAGAAATAGGGGCTCAATTTCCAAGACCGAGTTGGAACTTGAGAATTTACCAAAAAGGCGGTCTCCAAGGGTCAAATGGCCTCCAGTGGAGTAGAGTTATCCAATGCCAAAAGATTTGCGCCCAGGACAAAAGGAAGAGCTTCAATGACTGTAATCGAAGACAGGGCAATAGGAGACAGAGCGTTGGAGGGAATGCACGTGGCAGGAAGTAAAACGGCAACCCCTGGAATAGAGGTATTGTTGTCAAATGCTTGGATTTGGGGTAGATCCGGATAAGTATGAATCGGCAAGGACAGGTGAGTCCTCGAGGCATGGCCTCTTCCCAGGTCAGAACCCCCCTGACCTCGTGTCAAGTTCCCCACAGGACCGTGGAGCCCTTTCATTCCCAAATCAGCTTCCGTGAAGATTGGAGTCGGCGTGCATGAGTGTAGAATGTAAGCAGATGCAGGGTGTGATATTCTCGCCTATGAGCTTCCAGAATACAAATGGCCGGATTGGTTGGCGGTCGGCGGTCGTGCTTAACGGGAGCTGAGGTGGGCGTCGGAAGACCGCCGAGTCGGAGTTGACGGTCGAGCGCCAAGCAAGGTCGCAAGGTCAGGGGTAAAAAGATGAAAGATGCGCTCGGTGCCCGCGAGGAGGTGAGATGTCGACGACTGAGGTGGGACCAGAGGATCCAGTATTTCAAGGGAACTGGAGTAGATTGAGCTCCAATGACCTAGTTGAACACATGGCGGGAACGAGAAGCGCTAGGTCCATGCATGCAAAGTTCCACTGACGTCACGACTGTCTGCCCCGCGCCTTTTCGATGTGGGTGGACCAGAAGGTGTACGGAAGGTGAAAAAATCGCAGGTACACTTCATCTTCGTGTCGGGTCGATTCATTGAAAGGCACGCCATGGGATGACGTTGCTGTCTTCGTCTCCAGTTCGAATATCCCAGCAGGCTTGGACCACGCAAATGCAAGGATTTCAAGCGTCATCCAAGAGTGGGTGGGTGGAGACTGGCTCAGTCGTCATAGTATGCATTGCCACTCTTAGCAATGTATAAAATCCTCTTCAGAGTCTTGTTGAAATCCCCAAAGATCTTTGAAACGCTAAACTCACGATCAGAAGACGACACTACACCACTAATAATCTCAATCAAGCACAGACCATCAACATGCCGTTCTTTATGACCACTCGTCGACGACGTGCACCCATGGCAAGAGCCACACCAATGGCTCCTCGTCACCGTGGAGGCCTCCTCAGCAGCTTCAAGCCGCGGAGGACGCATGTCGCCATGGCCCCGCGACCGCGCACCAGGAGACCCATGGTAAGACCGTTAATTCTGCTTGCGACGGCTACTGATTGCATGTAATCTCAAACGTTCAGAGGAGATCGCGGAGAACCACAAGAAGCAAGGTCGGAATACTAACAAGGATCAAGCGCGTCCTTGGCCTCTCGTCATCTCGCCCAGGCACCTACGTAGGCACACGACCCGCAGCCGTTTACTAAACTGGCAATTGAGACGAAGTTTACATAACCATCGTACTGTACATTATAATACCTGTATATTGTTAGCAAATGTCCCAGTGACACTGATGAGTCCACGTACATACCACATTACACCCTTCTGTGCCATAATTCAACTGTCATCATCGCTATCCTCGTCGTTTGGTTCTATCGGAGGCCAGAACTCGATATCTTCTGTGACCTCGCCGTTGTCCTCGAGTGAACGTAAGCTGCGCATGGCCGTTCTGAATACGGCCTCCGCATCGCGGGTTGCATTATCAGGAAAGTCCGGAAAGGTCGAGTAGTTAAGGGGCGGAACAATGAGATGTCGGGCTAACTCAGTTTGGGACGCTTCCGATTCCTTGGAAGGTCTGTGGTGTTCGACGTTCTCGAAAAAGAAAGCGTACGACAATGGTTCAATTGCAGCATCGTGTCTGTTTGAAGGGAGAGAAAGGAGTGCGTCCACGTAGGGTCGAATATGGGATTCAGCAGAGTCGGATGTCAGGCTGTCGAGTGGAAGAAGGAAGTAAACGATCCCTGGGAGGATACGTCAGCAAGGACAAACGGGACTCCCGCGAGTTGCTTACACTTTCCCTTGGGGGTAGAAAGACTGGCCTCTCCTGTGATATGAGCAATAGCAGTGTGGGTAGTAGAGCCTCCGGGTATGGAAGTCGGAGGAAACACGAGAAGCGCAGCATCGACAGGAGGTATGGAAGTCGGAGGAGAATCTTGCGAGGGTGTAGCAGCTTCTCCTTCGGCGGAAAAAGGGGACAATTCGGTTTGTAGGTGTCGGAACCTCAATGGTTTGTCAATGATGACGATGCCCCGTGCCACTTGAACGATGGGCGAAGGCGGCTGATTTGAACTCTTGACTCGCAGAACCGGAACTTCCAAGCCAGGAGGCGAGTTTTCATCAAGCGAGACCACTAGTTTGCAGTGAAGGGGTTCGGGAAAGTCGTCCAGCGTGAAGGTGATGGGATATTTATCCGTAGAAGTAGTGAAGTTGGAGGCAAGGACGGGCCTTCCTAGGACATATACACCCCCGCTAACTGCTGCGGCGCGACAGAACCCTTGGGAGATATCTCCTATGCCTCCGTAGTGTCCGATCAAAAAAGGCGATGGGCCATAACGGCCAATGGATCTGAGGTAACTTCGAAGGCGCAGGAGGGACTGCAAGGTGGGCTCTAGATTGCCAAGTGAGCAATTGAAAGGAAAGGCGATGGGATAGCGGACAAATACCTTTGGGTGTGGAGCAATGTGCCAAAGAATATGCGATAACAGATGCAATGCTATCCGAAAGCGTAAATGTCGACTTTAGGAAGTCGATGAAGGGCGCTTCCTCTTTGTCTTGGAGCTCTGGTTTCTCTTCAAATTCGCCTGCAGCAAATGTTAGGAATCGCATGAGTCTCCTCTTCTCAATCAGGGAAATGTCCTTGTTGTTGAAGATATCCTCTTTGCTGCCTGGTACGCTCTTGACGGTGCCGTCGGGGGAGTAGATGCTCACAGAGTCGAGTAACCTGAATCCACTGTACTTGGCGACGCCAGACCCAATCAGACTGGAGATTAATGGGCCAAGGGCCGGGAGAATAGCTGGTCGGAGGCAGATGGAATACTGGCGAGAATAGGGGAGGGTGACCGATGTCCCAGTGAATCCACTGAACTTGGGATGTCTTCCTTGGTTAACGGCTTCACCCCAGCTGAGCAACTCATCCTGAGATAATGTAGCCTCATTGTCCCCATAGTACTGATTCTTGTCGATATGAGCAACCTTGTAGTTTGCTTTGGACAAAGCTCTGTCTAGGAAGGTTAGGAAGTGCTGTGTAACCGGAGATTTAATGCGCTTACGCAGCAATTATCGACTCGGTCAAGCCTGTTCCAAGTATCACAACGTCAAATAAGCCTTCCTCGTTGTTGGACATGTCGATAAAGAATCTTGGAGACAACGATTGTAGGGCGTCTGAGGCGGAGGATCGTCAGTAGCAATGCGAAGCAGAACGAGCTTAGCCAACGACCCTGGCGCAGTCTTCCGCGCTTCCAAATGGAGTAGCGTCATCTGACCACCCAAAAAAGGGCATCAAATACAGAAGAAAAAACTCTGAACCAAAACTAGACCATCTCTACTCTTCTCTTCCTCCATCCGTCTTCTTCACAATGGCCAAATCCGACAAAAAGGTAGAGAAAAAGGCTGCCGCAGCCAAAGACTCCAAGGCCACCAAGAAGGGGACAAAATCCTCCAAGGAGGTCGTGACCCAGGTAAAATCTTCTCGAGACTTTCTGTGCAAATGCACACAAGCTACACAGTTTACTCATGAACGTCTCTGTCTCGTCACAAGGTCTCTGAAAAGCCTGCAAAGGCAGTTGCCTCTGACAAGAAGGACAAGAAGAAGAAGGTTGTCGAGACCAAAAAACCTCAACCCAAGGCAAACGGCAAGGTTAGTCGTTCCCCTGGTCATGGTAGCTTAGCCCTGATTTGCTCTGCTAGGCCAAGGATGACTCTTCCGACGAAAGCTCTGAAAGCTCTTCAGAAGACGAAAAGCCCAAAGCTGCCCAAGTAAAAGCAAAACAGGCCGCAAAGGCGTCGTCTTCTGATGGTGAGAGCGAGGACGAATCTTCATCTTCAGAGTCTGAATCTGACTCGTCTGAAGATTCCTCCGACTCCTCCGACTCCTCAAGCGACTCTGAAGACGACGAACCCGCCGTTAAAAAGCCCGTCGCCAAAGTCAACGATAAAACTTCCCCCAAAAAGGCCGAGGCCGCCTCCTCGAGTTCTTCATCAGACTCAGAGTCCGACTCTGACTCTGACGACTCGGAATCCGAAGACGAAAAGCCTGCTGTGAAGAAGACTGCTGCGCCTGAAAAAGATGATTCCTCTTCTGACGATTCATCCGACGACTCGTCCGATTCCAGCTCTGAAGACGAAGCCCCCACCAAAAAAGCCGCTCCTGCGGACGCCAAAGCTAAGAAGGACGCCTCCAGCTCCTCTGAGGAAGACAGCGACGACGACTCCGACACCTCCGACAGCGAGGACGAAAAGCCCGCAGCCAAAAAGGCTGCCAGCCCCGACAGCTCTTCCGATTCGTCTGACTCCGACAGCAGCGAGTCAGAAGACGAGGATGGTGATGTCAAAATGGCTGAAGATAAGCCTGCTCCTGCAAAGAGTGGTACGTGATATCGCTTTTTACATCCTGAAAGCTTCTAATTTATTCTCTCTAGGCAAGCGAAAGGCTGCCGACGATGATGAGCCTTCTACAAAGAAGGTCAAGCTTGAGAATGGCAGCGCAGCGCCTGCTGGCGGCGATGCACAACAGTCCAAAGCTGTCTTCGTTGGCCAGCTCTCCTGGAACGTCGACAACGACTGGTTAGCCTCTGAGTTTGCCTCGTGCGGCGAGATTGAGTCTGCAACCGTCCAGATGGACCGCAATACTGGCAAGTCCAGAGGCTTTGGCTACGTCCACTTCACCACCGTCGAGGCTGCTCAAAAGGCTCTCGAACTCAACGGCAAGGAGATCGACAACCGACCCATCAAGGTTGACATCAGCACACCTCGAAATCCCGACGCAGCTCGTCAGAAACGCGCGCAGACTTTCGGCGATGTTACCAGCCCTCCAAGTAACACCTTGTTCGTTGGCAACCTTTCATTCAATACCTCTGAAGACTCTGTCTGGAGTCTCTTCAACGACTATGGCGTGAAGAGCGTCAGACTTCCCACCGATCGCGAAAGCGGCAGACCCAAAGGTTTCGGTTACGTCGAGTTTGAGGACGTCGAAGGTGCCAAGAAGGCTTTCGAGGCCAACAACGGTGCTGACTTGGACGGACGGCCAATTCGCCTGGATTACTCCCAGCCACGGGACAACAGCGGTGGAGGATTCGGAGGCCGCGGTGGATTTGGAGGTGGTCGTGGCGGTGACCGTGGCGGACGCGGTGGTGGTCGAGGACGAGGCGGTGACAGAGGACGTGGTGGACGCGGCGGACGTGGCGCACCCAGAGGAGGTGCCCGCCACGGTGGAATCGCTTCTTTCGAAGGAAAGAAGACTACCTTCTAAATGCCTTTCCCCCCGCTATGCGACCGATGATTTGTTTGTTCATTGTACTAACATACTGTGCCTCTGTAGCCTCACCTTGTTATGGATTCTTCTCGCATGTATATAATTACGATGTTACCCATTGCATAGCATGGTATGTAGTAGTACCTCTCCCTGCTTATGATCTAAATACAACCTTATTGAGGTACAACAACCGCTATGGACGATTCAAGAGCTGAATGATACGTACACTAACAATTGAAGGCAGGCCTCACACCAACATGTTGCATGTTAACCAGTTTGAATTGGACAAATCACATTTCATTAGTAGTTGGACGTCGAGCTATATACATCTAATCATTACTGAGACTGCAGATCATTTACAAATTAGGGTATAGTTTTGCAGGAAAACGTAGGTAATCGTCATGTTTGGAATCAATCAGTCGTCAACCAGGAAAACAAGAAAGGGGTAACGTTTTGGAAGAAGGGGCGAAAAAACAGGCGTTTAAGAAGTCGGCAACTTGCCTTCCTGAATAGCTTTGCGAATAGGGTTCTGGTCTTTGGGGAGAGCACCGGTCTTCTCCAACCGGTCGAACAGGACGAGGAGTTTCTCCATCTCTCGTTCTTTCTCTTCGTCGGTCATTTCTGGCAGTTCGGACTTGGGTTTCTGAGTTGTGCCGGTGATAGGATTGATCGCTTCGCCAGTGGCGGTTGTGGTAGGTGCCGTGGATTCAGAGGCAGCGGGTGCACTGAGGATGCCCTTGTTGAAGAGGAATCCAGCGACATTGCCATAGCCCAGCAGACCGGACAGGGTCGACGCTAATACAATATTAGCCTGTCATCAAAAAAGGCGTATACGAAGGTGCTCACCATTGGAATCGCACATCGCAAACAACATTTCACCGATGGCGTCCTTGAGTCTGGGGTGGTAGACAGACCCAAGCAACCGCAAGCACCGACCCAAAAGATCCTCCCTCTTTTCCAGAGGTGATGACCGATCCAAGTCGTCCGGCGCAATAAACTGTCTGACCCTCGCCCGAGCACCCTCGTCACCAATGCACAATCGGGAAAGTAAGACAGCAAGAGGAGGAACCATGTCGTCCAACGAGTCCTGGCCGTCTTCCTTCACCTTCTGCTTCACAGACGCATCGTCGACTTCGATAGTCCCAGGGAAATAACGAACGAGGGTTATGTCGAGCAACTCCAGAGCCTTGTCTACGACAATCATAGGGTTTGTAGGTGAGGAGGGTCGGGAGAGTGACTTGCGAGTCAAGACGGAGATTGCACGTTCGAGAGTGCTAGGCTTCGGTGAAGCAGAACCCCGTGCTGGAGATGCGCTGCGGCTACTCGACACAGAAGATGACCGTTTCGGAGTGGAGGACTTGGGCGAACTGCTTGTCGAATTACGACCAGACGGGGGCTGGGGGAACCACACTGGTTTCAATGCAGGGGACACAGGGATGGAAATGAGTGCGTGGATTGCGTGGGTCAAGGGCGCAGCCAGAGGGCAGGGGGACATGGGCGAGAGTGCCAAGAAGACTTTGATCGATGCACCGAGGAAACTGAGAGGGATTGTGAGCTCGTGGATTATCTTTAAGGACACTAACGCTTACCCGTCGAGTCGAGAATTCCAGAAATCCCCCATGACTTTGCCATCGCCTTCCTTGCGTTCCACCTGCGGCTCTGTCTCTACCAACTTCAAACATTATTAGATGAACGATTTCGTAGTCAAGGAAATTCAGGACATACCTTGGGGTAGTGAACAAGAAGATAGAAAGCGAGCTTCAAGATATCGGTCATCGCTTCCCGAGCCATGGGAGCTGCCGTCTGCGCTGGAATGACAAGGGAGTCCACCTTGGCGGTGATGATGTCTACAAGATATCGTCCATTGAACTTGTTCTCGACTAGATGCTGGATGCGGTGGCTTCCGGAAGCACAGGCAAGGAATAGAACACGGGAGATGATGAAGATTTGGTCTGGTGTCGAAGCTTTCTGTACGACGTCGTCAATGGCCGAACAGTGGTCTAAGATAGAAAGGGCAACGCACATCGAGAAGCGGAACGCATACGTCGGGACCATTGACATCTGTGCTCAAAAACCGGGCCCGAGCAGACTCGACCAGCAACAGTGCATTGGCGATACACCTGATGGCTTCATTTGCAGCATCAGGATAATCCTTCAAGGACGACTGGAAATCCAAGAGAGCTGTCATGTTCTGTACTTGAGCAATGACTTCAGATCCTGAGGGGTCCCGTCCGAGGGTTTTGACGGCGAGCAAAGCCTTTGCAGCATCTAGCGGGGCCTGTTTGAGTGTGTAAAGTTACTTGTCGAGATTGTAGCCGAACCTGGACCCGCCAGTCTACCCTTTCCGAATGATTTGAGGTCTTCCAAGATCAGGCGAATGAGATCGCCTCGAGAAGTCGAGTTGAAGGTGGTTGGTGGTGCTGTTAAGGCGTGAATAATAATCCATCTACAGCTGTGGAATACACCCACCGAGGATAATTGAATTGAGAACGGATGTGACATTAGATCTATCAGAGGAAGAGGATAGAGCCTGATAGCGGTCAAGGATTTCGCTGGCCATCGTGGAAGAAGGAAGCGAAGGAAAGAGATTTGCTTGGATATGAACCTATTTATGTATTTCATATCATAAATTGCCGGCCACTTGTACTCAAATCCGACAAAAATGCCGGTTGCTATGTCGATGCAACTCTCGGTGAATTACTAAATCCTGGATACTAGTACTTTTATCTCATTCTCCCTCCACAAACGACATCAGGTGAGGCAATGCATGTAAATTGAGTTCGACCAAGAATCCAGGTAGCGCATGCTGCTTTCCTTGCTTTCCACTGGCTCAGCAAGAGAAACGCTGACAACTTATCGAATGGCGGACATCTGTCATGACATCCCGGAACAACAAGTGGACTGCGGAGCAACCTCTCTAATCAGCACCAAGCGAGCATGGTGGCATCTGTGGCAGCACACGGACGATGGAGCAGCCGGTTATCATGCTTCCTAGCCACTTGGTTCGGGTCGAGGGTTGATATGACCCTCTAGGTCAGGGAAATGTTGAGCGAGAGCCTCGTTGAGCATGGTGCGGTAGGACTGCGACGGTCAGTGTCAGTGTTTCTTTAGACAGACATCTTAAGAGTAATAATCTCACAGCCAAAGCAGCGACTTTTGCATTCATAAACTGATTTTCCGTCGCTGCTCTCTCGATTTGTTCTTTGGTGAGTTGCATTGGGTTCTTAGCATTGTCGATGTCCGTCAGGACCTGCAATGGAATCATGGTCCTGATGTCCTGGGCCATGTCATCGATGGCTGAAAGGTGATTAACAACATCGTTACTGATGGTAGGCCACGGTCAATGCGACAACACGGGGTGTTGAGATGGAACTACATTACACTCTCAATCCGACCTGCTTGACACCACCCTTTTCCCTTTCCTTTGTCGAGTCATTGACAACCGTCGTTCCTAGGTTATACAGGGCATTGGCAAGACCGAGTAGCTCTAATTCCAAGTCACCTTGGCGGCCCACAGGCGGAGGAGACTGCGATGAACGTGGTGAGTCGGGAGCAGCCATGCGGAAAGGGGAAGACCGCCAAGCCTCATGTTCTTTCGCGACGCTGGATTATCTAAGCACCTCCATTATCTCTACCGATAGGGGCGTGACTTTCCTTTCACGACACCACCACATTCACCACCGTCACCACCATGCTCCCGCCATTGCACGACTCTGCGCGGGTTGGTCGATTTATCGGATATTACCGCCTCTGTGAAAACTAACCCCAACTCAGTTACTCTCAGCTATCCGTGGCGATTATCTAGACGCTGTCAGCCCTGAGCCTGTGGACAGGACCGACAACACAAAGGTTACAATGCAAACTCGCGTCGCAGTGCGCGACAAGGACCCTCACCGCTTCCAAGTGGTTCCACTCAAAGATGTACCCAAAGGATCTGGAATCGTTCCGCCGCCGCATGTTCGATCCTCCAAGTTCACCGTTCATCTCGACGACCAGGAGGCTGGTAGCAAGAAGGGGAACTTCCGATCTGCGAAAAAGGCTGCAGAGAAGTCCGTCTTGCGACAGAGAGACCTCAACCGGGGAGGGCCGCCTAGCAAACACAAGAAATCTGGCTCTTTCCAACTCAACACCCCTCACGAAGTAATGGTCCCTCGACCCACCACAGGCTCTGCGCCAAAGGCATTCACTCCGTCTCATGGCTACTCTCATTCTTTGAACCAGTACTCCTTTCGACTAAAGCCATGGAAGGCGTTTGGCACCTTCTCAAGTGACTTGCCGGCTGATCATAATCTGGTCTCATCCACACCTGGTGACATTAACGGAATGGGATCTGGGCATGGACAAGATCCCAATTACCAAAATGTAACTACGCCTCTTGTGGAGGCTTCACGCACCTCGCCTCAACCTTCCCAGAACCCTCCTGGACAGGCGTCTTGCACGTCCAAGGCTGGGCAGGACGAACAGTTCGCTTCGAACGAAACCCTGGGTGGCCTTCGATATGCGCAATCGGGTCCCTACAGTTATAGAACTGTCGATGCCGCGGATTTCAAGAAGCGTCACGCAATTTATGCTTCTGCGGGTTTCCAGCCACTTGTCGCAGGCACTGATTCTTGGAAAAGCTTTCATCCTCTTCCCATACCAACCGAGTCGGAACTCGGTTCACAACCGAAATCCCTACAAGGCGGCGGCGACAAAACCCCTGGCTGTCTGGAACACATGGTTCCCACTATCTCTGATTGCTCTCTACAACCGAATGGCCACAGTGCGCTGTCACCCGTTCGGCCACTGAATCTTGTACGCAACTCAATGGTCATCCCACCCCCCATGGGCCCTGAGCACCATGACATTTACCCTGATATAATCCAGGATCTTATGAAAGAACTGGACGAAGCCATCGACAGCTGGAATGGTCTCTCATCTTGAATGTTCTTCGGATTCTCCTACAACACCGATAGTTTAGCTACCTGCAGATTGAAGCTAGAAGGGCGTCATAGAGCTCTCCTCCCCTGTAGTCTATACATACACGACATAATATGATTGCATTGCGACAGATCGTCAGGGGCTTTTCGCGCGGAGTCAAAAGGAGTTGGAGTTGATGGAAACGGCTTACATCGGAGCTCGATTTGATTGGCCGACTCCAATCGGCCGAGGAGTCAGTTTGGTCGGAACAGATATAAGCCCAAGCGCCATTTAACTTTAATTCCACTATTGGACCTCTTCTCGTTTCCCTCAATCCTTCCAGCACAAATGCCTACCGCAGTTCCTCCTCCCCGTACTCTCTACGACAAAATTTGGGATGACCATGTTGTGTACGTTGATCAGGCTCTGAGTTCGAATGATCGCGATTGACGCTGGTGATAGGGAACAGAAAGAGGATGGACTCGCCCTCATTTACATTGATCGGTAAGACAGTCCATCCAGACGGCGACTTTCTTGTCTGATGCACTATCTTCAGCCACCTTGTGCACGAAGTTACGAGCCCACAGGCGTTCGAGGGGCTGTGAGTAGTCTCGTCAAATTGGTTTTGATGGGAACATGGTACTGATCTTTTCTCCTTCAGTCGACATGCCGGACGCCCAGTGAGACGACCGGATTGCACGCTGGCCACTGTTGATCACAACGTTCCGTATGTATCGCCCTTTCCTCTGTAACACGTCGTATTAGCAGTTCTCATGTCTTCGCAGAACCGTTTCACGAAAGAACTTTGTGTCAGTTCAGGACTTTATCGCCGAACCTGACTCTCGTGCTCAATGTGCCGCATTGGAGGAGAATGTGAAGGAATTCGGTCTTACATATTTTGGCATGAAAGATAGGCGTCAGGGTAGGTTCCTGTTATCTTTCTCCTCGCGTGATCATTCTCCAACTTCTCAACGTCGCCAGGCATTGTTCATGTTATCGGCCCTGAGCAAGGCTTCACTGTAGGTTTGGGGTGCGTCCTCCAGTGATTATCTTTACTCATGCGTCCAATTGCAGCTTCCTGGGATTACATGCGTCTGCGGCGATTCGCACACTTCCAGTGAGTTTCCATTCCAGCCTATGATTCCTTTAGTCACATCTCACCACCAAACTTCACTGATTCTAGCTCACGGAGCCTTTGGCGCCCTCGCCTTTGGAATCGGCACTTCCGAAGTTGAGCACGTTCTTGCGACACAAACACTGCTCCAACGAAAGGCAAAGAACATGCGAATTACTGTGAACGGCGAACTCAACGAAGGTGTGACATCCAAAGATGTTATCCTTCACATTATCGGTGTCATTGGAACCGCGGGGGGTACGGGCTGCGTTATCGAATACGCCGGATCAGTCTTCCGAGGCTTCAGCATGGAGGCGCGGATGAGCGTTTGCAACATGAGTATCGAAGCTGGTGCTCGTGCCGGAATGGTTGCACCTGACGAAGTTACCTTCGAATATCTCCGCAATCGCCCTCTTGCTCCCAAGGGAGAAGAGTGGGACCGCGCCGTCACCTACTGGAAGTCTCTCCGCACCGACGAAGGTGCAAAGTTCGATATCGAGGTCGAGATTAACGCCGCCGACATTATCCCAACCGTCACTTGGGGTACCTCTCCTCAAGACGTCGTCCCTATCACTGGTCAAGTTCCCGATCCATCGACTATGACCGATGCAGTCAAGCGCGCCTCAGCAGAAAGGTCCCTCGCCTACATGGGTCTTACCCCCAATACGCCCATGGAGGATATCACGGTCGACAAGGTCTTTATCGGTTCCTGCACCAACAGCCGTGTTGAGGATCTCCGTTCCGCTGCCCGAATTGTTCTAGCAGCTGGACCCGACGCCAAAGTTGCTCCAAACGTCGTGGCGATGATCGTCCCTGGTTCCGGCCTCGTCAAGGAACAAGCCGAGGCTGAGGGCTTGGATGTCATCTTCAAGCGTGCTGGATTTGACTGGCGGGAGGCCGGTTGCTCTATGTGCCTGGGTATGAACCCCGATCAGCTTGCTCCTGGAGAGCGATGTGCCAGTACCAGCAATCGCAACTTTGAAGGTCGACAGGGTGCTGGTGGACGAACCCATTTGTTGAGCCCAGCAATGGCTGCAGCCGCCGCTTTGACTGGAAAGCTTACCGACGTTCGCAAGTACACCACCGCCTCCTCTTCCCCCGCTGTTTCCTCCAAAATGAAACAGGTAGATCCCGCCCAGTTCTTGGATCCACCCACTCCTGCTCCCGAGGCACTGGGTCATGTTGTCTCCGCCTCCGATCTCCCTTCTTCTGAATCACCTTCGACAGTTGAGAAGTTCACCGTCCTCAAGGGCATCACCGCTCCATTGCACATCGAAAACGTCGACACAGATATGATCATTCCCAAACAGTTCCTCAAGACCTTGAAGCGAACAGGGTTGGCGGACGCTCTTTTCTTCACTTTGCGAAAAGATCCACACACCGGCAAGGACACTGATTTCATCTTGAACCGTGAGCCCTATAACCGCGCAAAGATCTTGGTGTGCACGGGCAAGAACTTTGGCTGCGGAAGCTCTCGTGAGCACGCTCCGTGGAGTTTGTGAGTTTCAATCTGGAAATAGTTTCTTTCTCCCGCTGACTTGATCTGTGTATCCAGGAATGACTTTGGCATCCGCTGCATCATTGCCCCCAGCTTTGCTGATATCTTCCGAAACAATGCGATGCAGAACGGAATGCTTCCCGTTCAGATTCCTCAAGAGGACTGCATCGAGCTCGCCAAGGATGCTGAGGCTGGCTTGGAGCTTGAGGTTGACTTGGAGAAGGAGGAAATCCGACGACCCAACGGCATCACGATTCCCTTCGTCACTGACCCGTTCCGAAGACATTGTCTGTTGAACGGTTTGGATGACATTGCTCTCACAATGCAGCGCAAGGATGCCATCGAGGCGTTCGAGAAGCGTAGATCGGAAGAGTGGCCGTGGTTGGATGGTTTCGGATATAAGGGTAAGATCCCTGTTGGAAGGTCACCCAAGGCTGCTTCCAAGACCGATTGGTAGATTAGAGGTCTCGTTTGACGTGTATCTAAATGCTTGTAATGGTCCATAGTACATAAAGGCGAATTGTATTTTTGGGTTTACCATCAGCATCTGATGACGAGTCCGACGAAGTTACGTCACGTGTTGGCCTCAGCTCGGCCACGCCGTTAATGGGTTCTGAGTCTTAATTCATTGCAGCGCTTTCCTTTCACCACCACCATCCAATCCGTTCACCGTCGAGGCCATGTCGAAACCACAGGTCTTGCGGGCCGTCAACAATGGCACTCAAACGTCGCCTGGCTCAGGCAATGTCACTGGAACGCAGAAGAAGAATCCGTCAGCAATCACGTCAATAGGGACCTCTTCCAAGACAGCCAGTCAGAATACCCAGCCGAAGAAAATACCCCGCAAGTCCAGCAAACCAATCATTACATGGTTTCAGCGGAAGCTAGCAGGTACTGTCAAGGGAAAACGGACAGAGGCCCTCACTGTAGGGTTCTCTGAACTTGGACTCGGGGCTCCGCAAAGCGCCGGACGAGTCAGTGGACGCACCAGCTCGTCGCCTCTCCCTCCAAGCTCAGGAACAAAGCGCTTTGCGAAGCGGAACAGCACCACCAATACCCATCGGACGACCGTCTCATTAACTGACGAAGACGCCCGCGAATATGCTCAATCGTTCCACGACGACGACGATTCTATTGGCCGATCCTCTTACGCACGGGACTCTTTATGGTCTCCTCAAAGTGCATTGGAAGCCGACGACGACGCATCTGTTCGTCCAATACCTCCCAGCGCCCCTCCTTCGCCATCGCCATCGCGTTCATCGTCATCCGTGCTTTCGGATCCTCGAACGTTCCGAAGCATAGCTGCCAGCACCAAACCCACGACTGTGCTCAGCATCGAATTAGGGAATGGGATGGCTCACATAGCCCAGGTGCCGCCTAACGCAACTTCGAATCCAGTACATCGTATCGCCCCCCATATCCGACATTCCTCTTCATTGAGCAGTCCTTCCCACCTCAACAGCGGAAACTCTATCACGTTCTCCTCGCTACCCACCTCACCCCCGCAATCGTCACAACCACCCTCTGTCCGCAACTTTGGGAGTATCAGCTCTCTTAATTTCGGCTCAGCGGTTCAATATTCCTCGGGCGTAGGGCATGTGCAGGCACCACTCCACACTTCGCACCACCCTCGTAATAACCCTCGACCGTCTTCACCACCGCTGGATAATGCCTCGATGCTAACTCTCGCTTCTTCGGCTTATGCTCTGCCCGCACGGAACAGTGGTACTCATGCTTACAGCATCACTACCTCTGCCCTGGGGGACAACACTTCACAGTACAATGGCAGCATGCTCTTCCCGGATGGAGAAAGCACGAGCCAGTTCCTACTGGGCGATGACGATCGCTTGGATGATCGGGACATAGACGCGAGTGTGCGCGCCCTTCGTCCCCGCAGCTCGAGGCGTGGTAGCTGGGAGAGTGAAGCGAGCAGGTGGAGTGCTCGTGTGCATGCTGGAGGTGGAACCCCATCTCTCGCTCGGGAGCGCAGTCTGTGGACAACCAACAGCATTCGCACAGGTGCTTTCAGCGCGGAGATCAACGGGGAGTTTATTGACCAGTCCAAGGATGGAGACGACGATGAGCTTGACGGGGGTAAAGGCGGTTCCTACGAAGACGAGTCGCCATTGGATGTGCAGGAAGACGGTGTCCAGTTGGAAACACCTGCGACAAAGAACATAGAGCTCAAGGGCGAGCGGGATGAGCCTAATGAAAGGCCAACCGCTGACGAGGCATCGAGAAAGCCACTGCACCGACCGTCGGTCGAAACCATCGGTAGCCCAGCCCTCTCCAATGGCACTGATCATTCTCCGCTGTCCAATCCTCCTCAGCTACCCAAACTTGACAAGGAAGAGAATTCATCCGCTTAACTGCCGTGCAGGCCACTGTGTTGCGTCTGGTCGCTTATCCAGTACCATGCTGGCTTTCTCGTTTCGCTGGACTGTGCCTTCAGTGTGATATGCTGTAACCTTCGGATTTCTTTAGCATACACAGTTTTTCCCTGCTGTAAATGTAACTATACCTTTGACAATTGTTTGTCCGGAACGTTTTTATGCTTCCTCAGTTTGAGCTAAGCCAAGTCCGACGGTCCTGCGACCTGCTAGTCTTGGCGCGCTGGCCTTGAACCTGAACCACTATCTCTGCTGCAACACGAAGGATTCTCTTTGGTTCTAACTCTCATACCCTGTCTCTCCTGACGTAAATCGCATACTTTGGAAGCTGAATAGCAAGGTCTCGTGAACGACGGCGAACTTCGATACCCACCTACTCAATATATTTCCTTTGCGTTTCGACATATGGTCGCTTCTCTTCCTGGACTTCTCGAACTCCTGAGATGGACTATAAAGCATCTGTCAACAACACTATCCCTTGCTTTTGACCCCATCCTGACCCTGCTCGGACAACTGTGGGGTACCGTGGCCATGCAATTAGGGCTGAAAAAATTACTCGTAGCATCTGTGTTGGTTGCTTCAACAGAGGCTCAATGCCCAGGCTATGCCGCTTATGCGAGGGTTAGTTTATCTCTACTATCTCCAAGTGCACTGGCCTCAGTTCGGCTACTCCGTTGCAGACCCCGCATCCGCCATTCTCTTCGGGACCTTTGGCATTGCCATACATGAGGCCAGAGCCTGCTTGCAGAACGTTTAACAGTACTGCAGTGGAGGTAAGACGGGTAGCGACTCTGCACACCGCGTTTCGTTTTCCTTATTTGCTGTAGAAAGTTATCCAAGACATGAATGGCCTTCTCAAAGACCCTGACCTCGCCCGGTTATTTGAGAATACTTTTCCGAATACTTTGGGTATTGAACCGAGCTCTGTGGTAGTTGGCATGATATACTAAACCGCGTGTTAGATACCACAGTTCGCTACTACAGCGAGGTCGGGCTTTACGTGCTAATTGCAATATCGACTGACTGCATGCGCTTGTAGGAACATAATCTCGCCTTTATTATCACTGGTGTGAGTACGTTCACTCTACATTGCACTGCTTCACTCAACTTTCAGTAGGACATAACGTCGGTGTTGGCATCCGGATACAAAATTTACCCCCACGACTCACTTCTTGTATTAACAGAGCGCAGTGGTTGAGGGACACGGCGAATCAGGCAAATTTCAGTTATACCTCGATGGGACGATTCACTGATCTCGTGTAGTTTGCCCATTACCACTCCCTGCTCCGAGTGGATCCAGCGTTGGCGAAACTCGTGAAGGCCGTGATCAACAACGAGGCTCGATACGTTGCCCAATTCCCGTATTGTGAGTTATCTTAGATTTATTGCTCAGGTGTATCTCTATCTGACTTTACAACTAACAGGTGGGGCTTTCCAACCGCCATCCGAAAGCGGTCTTCCCACTTCACACAACGAGTGGGCCGATAATGTCATTGTGAACCCGTAGGTCTCCAGGGCTGCGCAACGCGGAATCAGGTCTGATAGAGCCAAAGCCCCGTCGATCCAGACATTGTATTCGAATGCAAGGTAGCTACGATATACCGTTCACCACCACTCTGACCTGTTGGGGCTTACGGGAACGGCTTCATGCAGTACGAGATCGATTCTCTTTGCGGTTTTCTCAAGCTGTCTAGAGCATACTATCAAGAAACCAAGGATGATTCTTTCATCAACGACCATTGTAGGCAGCCCCGTTCTGCAACTCGGAAATTTACAACGTTGAGTTTCTTCCAGGGAAGCACGCAGTGGACCAAATCTTCCGTGTCATCAGAGAGCAATCACAACCATCCTTCGACGAGGATTTCAACTTCATCTCTTACTACAACTGGACGGGAAGTCGTGGCGCGTTATCCCCTCGAGTAAACAATCGGGGTAACAATGAACCAAAGGCATATACCGGACTGGTGGGCACGTCTCATCGACCCTCGGACGACCTCACCGTGTTCGGTATGTCCGATTTCCTATTTCTGGTTTCGGATGCTCATGTACTTGATTTTGCCAATAGCCTTCCTTACACCAGCCAACGCGATGCTGAGCGTTGAGCTCAAGGAGCTTGGCGACGTCCTCGATGAACTTGGAATCATGCAAAATGTCAGCGCGCTGGCAAAGGAGTGGAGTACACGGATTCGCGACGCCATCTGGGAGACCACGGTAGGCCTTCACTTATTTCGATCTGAGGAGCACCCTGGTTAAACATATCAGGTTGTCGATAATATCTTCGCATACGAAACCAATGGATTTGGTGGGAGATATGTCATGGATGATGCTAACGTTCCCGTGAGTCCGTGTCGCAAAAGTCAGGGACCAGGCCCAATTCTTACCAATATCTGTAGTCCTTACTTTCGCTCCCGTATCTCGGCTTCTTGGAGAAGGACGATCCGACATACTTGTCGACCCGGAAACTCCTGCTCTCCAAGAGAAACCCTTACTATGCGCAGGGCCGTAACTTTAGTGGGATTGGGTAAGGGTATCGCCGAAACTTGGATAGCATCATGTTTATCTGTGCTTCTATAGTGGCCCTCACATCACACCCTGGCACCCTTGGTCAATAGTCTATATTCTTCCAGCAGTCTTCGACTAACCAAGATGTATGTGAACAGGCCTATGTCACAGGTCTCAGCCATATTCGGCACCGATGACGATAGTGAAATCATGCACTCACTCTACCTCATCGCCAATGTGCGTCACGTCGATCCTCTTGTCCTGATCTTCCGGCGGCTAATTTCTGGAATGTCGCAGAACACCAACGGCCTTGGATTAATCCACGAATCACAGTCAATCTATAACGCCTCGGACTATACCAGGAGCTGGTTCGCATGGGCGAACAGTTATTTCGCGGAGATGATATTGGATCTGGCAGATAGGAAGCCGCATCTGATTTTGAAGGAGAATAAAAGCTATAAACCAGGTAGAACGTAGTATTGTGTATCAAATACATGTCAAGGATGTTGCAGAAGACAAGAGAACGCGACTGCGACTCGTTTCGCGGTGGCAAAAGGCCGGAGCAATCATAGCCAAACATGGAATACAAAGCCCCTGCGGTGGACGCTGTCCCAAAACCATTCATCTTCCCAGAAATCTTGATGGTTCTTGTCGCCAGCACATCCTAAGACATCCGTCGCTCTTTTCAACACCGCTGCAAGCGCGTTGTGTAGGCCCAATGTCGTCGACACCAAGGGAAATCGGGACGCTCATCGTCGTGGTCCTCAAGGCAGTAGGTGAACCTGCTACTTCTCAAGCGTGAACAGAATAACCCACAGTCCAAGTAGAACCATCTGCCCAACAAAAGACATATAGGAAAGCAAGATCCGTACTGCGTGGTGACTGTGAATGGGGAGAAACGTCGAACCAAGGCAATCAAACGGGGTGGCCAGCACCCTGAGTGGGACGAGGAGATCCGGTTCACTCTCTTCGAGAACACTGACGATGTGCTGGCGAGGACTGCAAGGTCAAGAGACGACACCCCACCACCCTTGCCTCCCAAGGATACACCTTTGCCTGAGAGGATAAAGGGAGGAAAGTTCATGAAACTGGCCTGCTACGCTGATGACGCAAGGGAACCTGATTTAATTGGCGAAACCGATGTTGATTTAACCGAGGTCTTAACCAAGGGGGAAACAGACGGTAAGAGTTTTCCTTCTGTATGCTTCTTTTTCATACTTAAGTTCTTCACAGAATGGTTCAACCTTAGCAACAAAGACAAGTTTGCCGGCAAGGTCTATCTCGAGTTGACATTCTGGTCGAATGTGGGTCGACACGCACTTTTTCTACTGGATTTTTCTGAACGATTTTGCAGGAACCTCCGCCTGAGAAGAAGGCGCCTCCAAAGCCCCCCAAGGCCAACAAGCAGTATGGTGGACCAGGCTCATTCGTACCGTCAGGGGAACGTCCACCAGGTCAACACTTGGCGCGACATGCGTCGGCGAGCGCTGGGTACCCTGCCAACGGCCCACCCGACCTGTACGTCGCTCCGTATGAGCAACGCAATCCAGTGGACAAGTTGGCACAGGATTTCGGAGAGTTTGGAATAAATGGCGGACATCGTCGAAGGGAGAGTTATCCGGTAAGCGCGCTGAAGTGGGCCATGTGCTATGTGGATCTGACATTTTACGGTAGCCGCCTGTGCCAAGTGGCTTTTCACAGTATTCACAAACTAGCTACAATCACTACCCTCCAACCGAACCCACGTATACATACGATCGCGCAGCTTCTCCCAACACTCAACCGTCATCGTTCCACCCGCCGGCCAATGCATATGCCTACCAGCCTCCATATGACCCCAATGCTCCAGCACAGTATCCACCGCCTGCTCGAGGACCTAGGCATAGCGTTCCCGCTTCATCCTCTGGGTTTGTGCCATTGCCTCAACCCTCTGGTTTCGTACCCCTGCAGCCGCAAACGGGAGACCCGTATCCGCCGCCTGTTTCACACACACCGGCGCCTCTACAGTACCCCCCAGCGCCTTCGCAATTTGCAACTCCATATCCTCAAACAGCATCCCCAGTATCATATAATGCAGCACCAAATCCCCCTCCTGGCTCATATCAGCAACCGGTGCCCGCGACGCAGCCATACACTGCGTATGCAACTTATCCTTTCCCAACGTCGGGGCAGCCAAGTCAGCAGTACCAAACTTCGGAATACACACAAACGGTGCCATCTCCGGCCCAATCGCAGGTGTATCAACCTTACCCTGGTCCTCCGCCTCATGAATCCCCAGCCTCTTTGCCCCAGCCTCCGGCGACTGTCGGTGGATCACGGCCCCTACCTCCTCAACCACAGATTGTCTATGCTCAACCACCACCACCACCGCCACCGCCAACCCAGCATGTAAATAACCCTCCACCACCTCCGTCCCACATTTCTCCGCCACAGAATGGAGGATACAGCCCTCCACACCAGGGAAGCGTTTCGCCAGCTCGGGTTGGTACTCATCCTTTACCCCTCCCGCCTCCGCCTCCCCCACCGCTGTATAGCAATGATGGCTCCAACTTCGTTCCAAGCGTGTCACCATCAGGACCGCCGCTACCACCCCCACCACCTCCTGCCTCGGTAGTGCATGAAGTTCGGCAGCGGCGACTGTCCAGTCTGCCTCAACCACCTGTTATGTATCAACCACCTTACCCACCAACCAACGGTACTCAAGACAGCTACTCGTATAGCCAACCACCGCAGACCTATGCCAATCCACCAGGACCCCCACCTAAACCTCCCGCATCAGAATGGACAGGCTATGGCGGCCAGTAATCAAGAATTGTAATAAAACTAACGAACGGACTGGACGATTAGATCTTCCCCCTGTTATCCATGTTGTTATCCATTAGTCGTTGCAATTGTTGTCGCTCAAGTAACAAATTAGATCAGAATGTTATAATACTATCTTGCTGTCGTTGTCAATAGAACAGGGCCTTTGTCGGGAGAACCATGTAAGACGTCACGAAGAAGAGTCGGGCTCTGTCGATGCTGCTGACTGTTGCTCCCGAGCGGCCCTCCACTTTGCGATTTCGGTTTCTGTCCCGATGAGACCCTGCCGGGCGAGGTCCAACCGGGCAGCTCGTCGAATGAGGTTTTCTTCCCTGCGTCTAGCGTTCTCGTGTGCAAGCAAGGCAGATTCCGCCGCGAACACGAGACCAGTCACTGTGACTGCAATGGGTTTTGCGTTGGGCCAGTACCGAACCAGTCAAGGAAGCGGCAACGTACATCCGCTCACCAAGAATCCTTTGAAAGCCAGCGTTTGACGTCTGTGAAAGATTTTCCGAGGACATGAGTTTTTGGACAATGAGAGCTCAAGTATCGATATTTACCGGAAGAGAGGCCATGTATGATGGGCAATAATGGCGAGACCGACACCGATGGCGGTTCCTCTCAAAGCGCCCTTGATTTCGATTGACGTTTAAGATTTTAAAGGTGGAAAGAAATAAATTGGGAAGGTTACGAACGAAAACCGCAGCCTTCGATTGTATCTCGTATGCGAATTCGACATCTTGATTCCGTCGGATACGCGTCGAGGGGGAAGACTTGGAAGGAGTCCGGGAATGGAGAAGGTGGGAAACAAATTCCCAGGGAGCGCGGTGGTGGTCGCGTATGTCCATATTTGTCCGAGACGGGCGTTTAAATTCGGCAAGTGCGCACCAAGAAGAAAGCGATTTTATTCTGCCTCATGTGGCAAGTCTTGTTCACTGGACAGGAGCTTCTAGAATTGTACTTCACCAATTCACATCATATCACATCACTTGCCTCTCTTAGCAACCTGAAAGCCCACTCCACGTACGCTTGCGTGTCGGCGAGCGGCGGTGACATAGTTTTGCCTGCGGGTCCGTTGTTTTGACACCCAACTTGCCTGAAGGGATACTTCTCGGTTTCCTTCCCAGCGATGTGCTAATGGGAAGGGTACACCCCAGCTCGTGTCCTCTCCCTTACGCCATGATGGAGAGAGGTCATGCATCGTCAAGCCCTCCCGTCTCTCCTCATTTCGCGCGGCCAATGGCGAAGACATTGTAGTAGTAGACGAATGTTGCGGGAGGACGATCTCTAAGAATAGACTGTTGTTTCAACTCAAGCCGCTCAAGCAGCCGCAGCTTGTCAATTCAATGAAGAGTCGTGGCCAACCCTTCCCGCGAACAGGCGTTAGTCCCTGAATCTCGACCAGCACGATTGGTGTGGCGTCATAGATCCCGGGAGGCAGGTGCAAACGGTGAAGTGATGACAACAATGGGCTTAGCCCCTTTTGATACATTTGCACCATGGTACAGCGTTTTGTCCCAAGCCAGGTGGCTGGTGCATCGCCGAAAGCTTCTCCGCAGATCTCAGTACGCGATGCAGGGCCTGCACGAGGATTGACCGGTGCTCGAACATATTCATTGAACTTCGCGCCTGTATTCTCGGAATTCGGAGCTCGTGACACTAGAGGAGAACTCAGGGCGGTTGTTCGCGGCGAAGGCCCTGTAAAATTCGACTATCCCACAACCCAGGAGCTTGTACTTAGTCCTCCGGGAATGTTGCGAGATAGCGAGACTGCCCTTTCGTTCGTCACATCGCGATACACTTGGGACTTCAGTTATTCACAATTATCGATGGCAGAGGACGAATGTTCCCATGAAATTATAGTTGCATAAGCACATCTATGCTTCCTGTCACATAGAACACTGTCAAAACTCAGTCTAGGGCGGAAAACATACACGGTTGTGGATAAACAGGAGGGAGGTGGTAGGCTCCGAACAGACCGATTAGGCAGTTTCGCTCCAACCACCCAGCTCGACTGCGAATGCCACGGCCAGCTTCGAGAACTCGAGCATGTGTGTGAAACTGAACTCATCCGAGATGTCAATGCGGCTGGAACCGGAGTGAGACGTTTACTCATGCACTAAAGGCAGAACCACTCACTCGTTCACCGAATGGATGTGTTTGTTCGAGTTCTCAAAGGCGCTCTCTGGAAGAAAATGTTGAGCGGATAACTTCAGGCTGTATGCACCAACGCACCGATTGTGAAGGATGACGGGTATCCTGCTTTCGACCATGAGGCGCTAAAGCGAGACCAATCAGAAGCTGCACGAGGCTAAAGCCAAGAATATTCTTTCTTACTGGTCGCTGCATGCATAGCCGCATTTGGTCTGAAGATACGGTTTGTGAGAGTCCAAACTCAAAGCTCACCATTGACTCACCCCAACGTAAGGAATGTCGAGATAGGTATCAACGAGTTGCATATTGAACTCTGTGAGCCTGCAAAGAGGCATGTTAAATCGTGACGTCAAGGGGTCGAGGGGACGCACCCTGAATCCACGAAATCAGTGATGATTCCAACTTCTTCACGCGTCCCGCGCTGTGCACATCTTCATTAACTCCTTGATCCCGCATATCATCGTCGTTGTCGCTTACCTTGACCCAGGCAGTCATGTCGAACTAAGGCCTCGTTAGCTACAATGCTTGAACAAGTCATAACACCACTCACTTGACTCATAGCAATGACATTCTCGCCGCGCCTCTCATATTCCTGTGCAACAGCTTGGGATCCCAAAAGGCCTGCTTCCTGGGTGCAGAAGGATTAGTGATCCACTGTGTATCAAAGGCACAGGCGAAGTACCTCAGCAGAATACCAATGGAATTCGACGGCGCGAACGGGTCGGAAGTCTGCGGCAATCAGCGCCCGATACGCTTCGAGGATAGTTACTGTCCCAGAACCGTCGTCTTTGCGAGCAGATGTTAGAGAATATAGCACAATCTAAGAACTAGGGCGTACCATCGGCCCCTGTGGTCACGCATGTCGTAAGTTGGCGGCTTGGGGAAAGATAGGAGTAACCTCACCGGGTGCAGGCAGGAACGGCCACATATTGGTGCTACACTCGACAATCACATCTCAGCTGAAATCTGGATCGGGAGAAATTGTCACGAACCTATCTTGGTGCGCGCCGATGACCACAACCCCGTTTTCTGTCGCTGAAGAGCCGTTGATTCGGACGATCTAAGCAATATTGAGACAGCTTCGCATGGCAGGACGGGAAGACTAACAATACTGTTCTGGCCCCATGAATGGGGGAATTCGTTGACAGTAATCAGCTTCCGCAGCGAGCTGGACGCGTTCTCAGCAGTGATCTGTTCAAATTGGGGTATTATGATTTGAAAACGAGGGTGGCCGCGGAAAGAGGTTACCTCGGATATGGTCTTCAGCAGCCATTGTTGACTCTGCTTTCCCGTCTATGAATAATGTTAGCGGCACACACGTCGTGAAGCGACTATTCGCTTTACGTCACTGCGATAGTCTGCAAGCAGGTCAGTAAGCAGGATGCTGGGAACTGAAGAACAACATAATTACATCGTGTTCGGAAGCTTGTAAATTTCTCCAAGTTGGCCTTCGGGCCTTCTGTCGATAGTGACTTAAGGATAGGCCTGACCTTCTCGGTAGCGTTGGGTTTGGGATACGAGACTGACAGAGCATAGATCAGGTCATTGGGTCTTTGGTGGGCCGAAGAAACACTATACCTGCTGACTTGAGTTTAGGGAAAGTGCCCAAGTCTTGGGTATCTGTTCTGTAAGCGTCATCAGCGAATGTAAGCGGCGAAATTTAGGGAAATGGCCGCACATATCCAGGAAGTTGATTCCGTTGGCCTTGAGACGTATCTAGGGCGGCGTTAAGGACATACTTTGCCGTGGGAGATGGAGACAGTCACACCTTCTCCAACTCAGAGACCCACTTGGGGGATTGGCCTTCGAGTTCCACGAGCCTCATTTCGTTCAGATCCAGGGTGTAGCCGGGGTACTCCGTTGGCAAGCCAAGGACGTGTTGTTCAACATCTCCGCCGAACTGCAGAACAGGGGTAGCCAGAACCAGAGAGACCAAAGAAAGTAGAGCACCAAGAGACCGCATTGTTGTAAGAGACAAAGATTGTGGTATGAGAACAGAAAACGGCCAGCAGAACTTGCACAACAGCGACAATGATGGAGGTCGCAGGGGAACGACTGAAGCGCGGGGTAAACGCACGTGGCGTAGCTGGCCGAGCAGCACGTGACCCTTTGACGTAGCGCTTCTGAATTTTGTTCGAAGTACCTTTGACTTGAACGCGTCGGTCTAGGTCGAAGTCTCCTCAAATGTCCAAGGCCGCCCAGAAAGCCAAAGCGCAGATTGTGGTATGTTCACCTTTACCTAAAGCAGTATTCCTAACGCTTATTTGAGTTGTACGCAGCGTTTGTTAATCCCAGCTGGAAAGGCAGCTCCGACACCACCAGTTGGTCCTGCTCTGGGTGCTCGAGGTGTAAAGTCGATGGACTTTTGCAAGGAATTCAACGCGAGGACAGCAGCTATTGAACCCGGTGTTCCGATCCCCACACTCATCACTGTTCAGCCGGATCGAACCTTCAGTTTCGTCACCAAAACTCCTCCAGTCTCCTACTTCCTGAAGCAAACCACTGGAATCGAGAAGGGTCCAGCAAAACCTGGTCACGAAACGCTCGCGACTATCAGCCTTAAACATGTCTACGAAATAGCCAAGATCAAAGGCTCGGACGAGCAGATGAAGCACTTGCAATTAGAAGCTATTGCTCGTATGATTGTAGGAAGCGCCCGGAGTTTAGGAATCCAGGTTGTGCCGTGACGAATTACAGCTACTATATTGTGCGTCCACCGCCACCAAAATTCAGCATCTGTCTCCTCCGTTCCGCTTGCTTACCTTTCACTCCTAGTATTTCGCTTTCTGGTTATATTGGGCCTAATACACTTTAATGCATCACATTGTCCAGCCCTGATAAGACCGCCACTCTTCTGAATCTTCACATCGAATGTATGTTTTCTTCCGAGGCCGTAACGATAACACCTAAGTGGGGACTTGGCTTCACAGAGGAGTCGAAGCGAAATTTCATTCCGGGACAAATTAACGACTGGGCTTGGGACACTCGTCATGGATCGCACCATGGCCCCGTATTCGACGGCTGCTTCCAAACCTCGGTGCAAATGTATCCGCTCCAAGATCCATCTTAACCCGGATGTCTACGAACTCCCAACCCAGAAGTGCCATTCCTTGTCCTGGTTTGGGGGACATATTTTTCACGCTATCTTATCTCCTCTCCTTGCCCGGCAACATTCTCCCAAGGACAATGAGGACTTCTTCCCGAATCCCGGAAACACGTTGACAGCTCTCTCAACTTTCTGGCTCCCCCATGTTTCGTCCCCGACCTGCCTAAAGCGGCCAACCTCGTGTATGTCTCAAGAAAATACACCATCAGCACATCACAGGTGCGCTAACCTTCGACTGAATTCCTGCGACGTATGAATTTCCGAGTGGATGCTCCGATGAGGGATTATAGCAGTGTTGTTTCACGAAAGGGGCACGGGGGATTTGCCGAACTGCGCTCCCGTCAGAACGAGCGCTCTTTTAGTCAAGTACGACCCAAACACTTGTCCAGGGCTCGTGTTCCTCGATCGCTAGTTCCCGCTGGAGATTCGGTTACTGGCCCCACCAACGAAAATTCATTACTGAACCCTTGCAACCTTCTCAACACGTTGGATCTGGTCCACGTTCCGATCGATGCAAGGATCAACTCCCGAATGGCAACCAAGCTAGGCCACTCTACTATGTGTTCAGATTTTAGGTATATAAGAGGGATGGACGACCCCATCTGCTTCCTCAGCACCAACTGCAATCCGCACCAGATCCCCAGAACTACTACACAGTCTACAAATTTCGTTCGAGATGACTACCCCTTCTAACGACGTTCTCTCCTGGACCAACCAGGATGCCCGCGAAAGCGTTCTGTTCAATGCCTGGGGAATCCTCTACCGATTCCAGGTATGTGGTCCTCTCCTCCGCAATTCCCTTCTATGGTATACTAACCATGTTTAGACGGTTGTCAACCCCAATAACGGACAGAGCGTCACCACTCTCTGGCGCTCGATTCGTCCAAACAAAGAAGATCGGGTTGCCAAACTTGAATGGGCCGCGAATGGCGGTCTTGGTCGAATCATCATTGGAAAGGCAAGTGTCTACGACCTTGCTTTGTCTCGGGATATTGGATACTGACCTTGTCAACAACAGAACACCCTTCCAATGGCGGACCTTGTCCGACCCGACCCTCAAATCTATGTAAGGGTTCAACCATCACTTCTACCGCGAATCGCGTACTAAAACGGCACGTTCCTTTCTCCAGGGCTGCCGCATCTTCAACGGACCCGACGGCGCCACCTACCGATGGCGACCTAGCCCAAGCAACTCTGATATCCTCGTAAGCACCCACCGATACCTATCCTGCTCATCGACCGCAAGCTAACACTCTCGGTAGCTCCAAGACGCCAACGGTGTTGTCATTGCTTTCTTCCGACCGACGCGTCAAACCCGATACCAGCTCGGTGACGTCTATGGCGAACTTCACTTCATCCGGAACGCAGGCTCAGGTACTGTGGTAAGTAACCCCGTCCTCTTAATTAAATTATGAAAAGCCTTTTAAGACAATCCTCCTTCGCCCCGACAGATGCACCCGCCTATCATGGATCATGTCACTGTCACCGCTATGCTCTACCGGTTCTGTGCCCAATGGAACCTGTGAGCAAGTGAGGCTGGCCTCCTGATGATCTATCTCTCGTCGCTGCTCCCTGGTCTGCTGCATACACTATTTAACTACTAGTCACCACACGCACTGTACATTACCGCAATTTTTCTTCTCCCTCCTGCTGTACACTAGCTTTCTTCTCCTTCTCCTTCGCCTTCGACGCACGCACTTTTTTTTGGGAAACCTGTCTTTTGCTTTTAATTATAATTTGGGTTCCACAAGCAATTTCCACCGAAGCTGCGCAGGCTCTTGTGAGTCAATCGTCTTCTCCGGAGAGCGGACCAAAGGAAGTATACGATAGATGTACGATAATCCTTGCAGAGCCACGTGTGGATAGGGTCATGAAGAGAAGGCATGAAATGAACATTGAACAATTGTAAGGATAGCAGCATCTACCCACCGGACCACGATGCTAATGACGGCTGGGCATAGCGTATGTACGACAGCACACACGGGCGGCGGCATCACCCTCGTTTCCCGAACACGATGCTCATGATCACCCGACCACCTAAAGCGTGCATTCTACAGCCTCGCTTTAACCTCCCCCTCCTTGGCTGAAACCCCTTCCAGAATCTCATCCACCGTCCTCAGAACCCATTCCGCTCCTTCGTCGCTGGACAGCCATTGGTCTTCCGCGCTTTGTCCAGGTGTGTTGCGCGCTTTGAGCAGACCAAAGGTATGACTGACGAGCTGGGGTCCGACGCCACCTTCCGCTCTCAATGTAGCCATACCAACGACAGAACCCAGGGCTCGACTTAAATTGCCCTGATCAGAATCTCCCAGTCCACTTCGGTCGGCATACGACTTCGTACCGCCCGCCAAAGGCGAAAGGACAGAGCCATAACACTGGATGATGAAAGCTTAAAGATAAAAATAACAACGCCAGCCCCCAGGCAGTACAAGGGGGATGGGCGTAAACGTGGTCAGAATTAGGGTATCCGGTTGGCTGCGAAAGGAAAGAAATAATGGAACGGGGAGATTGAAGTTGTAGATGGAAATCATTGATTTCAGTCGTGGATCAGATAAATGGTTTGGTGCGGCCGTAGAAGCACGTTCCCCATCATCTGGCCCACCAGGTGTCTGGACCGAGATTTGGGAAGACCGGAACGGGAATCTGGTGCATCCCTATGCCACACTCCATTCAAATGGCGGGGATGGAGAATTGAGAAAGGAATTCAGTCGGCAACTCACCTATAAAGTCGGGGTGGTAGGATCCCAGCTTGGCATGAAGTTTGTCGGCGTGAGGGGTGTAGACAGAGTCCCAAAGCGCTCGGCCTTGGCTAAGAATAGAATCGATATTTTCCATTGATGCAGTCCTGTACGTGGCAAGGTCTTGAGTCGTGTTTTGATCGGCAAGCGCACATCATCTTCGTTACCTGCGAGAACTGGTCCTGAGCGCTTGCTTGACCTCGTCATCGAGTGCTTCATGCAGCGCAGCCAGTGATTGAATTACCTGTAATCCCAATCAGACGGTGCAAGAAGAAGTATGTATCATCGTCAGTACGCACTCGAGGGACACCGACAAAGATGACGCTCTTTAACGCAGATTCGCGCATAAGCGCCGCCTTGTTCACGGCGCTTGGAACATCGATTGTCCGAGCAGCACTTCCTTCCAGAAGGGAGTCCCTTGTGACGAAACGGTAAAGGTGGCCAACAGCTGAAGGTCGATTTACAGTGAGTAGAGAGCAAATCTACGCGCCCAACTGTGTCAAACCCTATGTCTGCATCATCATGGTTGTCACGTACAGTAAGGACGAGCCACCCGGTCTCAGCCCTGCGATGCTGCGCATCACGCAACGTCTTGCTGAAAATCGCGTTCAGCTGAGGAAGAGGAGGGCTAGGCAAAGGCTGAGGGCCTCGTAATGCCAGAAGCTGCTTGAGCGAAGGGGTCAACCGAGTGGCAGACATGGTGGTGGTCGACATTCAAGTTGCGCTTGGGTGTTGGAACGCTTCGGCACCAATGCATTACCAGACAAACTCAGGCCGAACAAGAGTCGAGATACAATGGTCATGATTCCGGAATATATGAAGCAACAAATGGATTCGCTAATCAACCAAAACCAAAATTCAAAAGACGCCCAGCATGGAGTCAATACAGAAGTATGAGTAGATCTTTTGCCAGTAAAGATATCTAAACCTCCACGCGAAGGGAATAAAGACCTCCGGTCCGTACGACTCGCATCCGGACGCCTGACGAGGATGACGGAACAACGTTGAAAAAGTTATAGGGTGTTGTAGCCGAGGGTATCGAGAAGGACTGTCAGTACAGCGAAATCGCTTAGGAGATGTAGGCCCAGCCAAGGTCGGTAGGCTGGTCATTAGCGGGGTTGTAGAGACGGTTGCCTTCGAAGACGCCGACCATGTCACGCAAGACACCTTTGAGGAGGGGTCAACGGCTGGAAACTAGGAAGGGTGAAATGAAAGACATACCGAAGGGGAAGTATTTGCCGACGAAGTGGGTGCGCTTCATCCATTCGGTCACGGTGGACATGAACTGCCAGACGCGGGCATTGTCGCACTGTTGCCCACCACCGAAGTTGTGGCAAGCGAATTCGGTGACCCAAACCTCACGTCCCCAGCGGTTGTGATAGTTGGTGACGTGGTCAATGAAGTTCTGGGAGTCGATACCATACCAGTGGGCAGCAACAGCGTCCACCTGTCCAGGAAAGTCAGCAATGCAGACAGAGAGAGATCGAGGAGGTAGACGAACAGTGCATCCTCGGTTCTGACAGGCGCTCATGAACGTGGCCAACCATTCAGTTCCAGAAGGGGCGTTAGTGGGGGCGGGGGAAACGAGCTTGTAACCTTGAGAAGAGAGTGGTTGGATGTATTGCATCCAGAGGTCGACGGCGTAATAGGGATCCAAGAAAGCTTGACCATGGTGGTCGGGTCTGGGAGGAGGTCAGTGGAAGGAGAAATGGAGATAAGGAAGGACACGTACTCGTTGAAGCCCAAGACGGTTCTGGCGTAACCGGGCTGGACAAGCCTGACAAAGTCGTTGATGTGCTTCTCACCCCAAAGCATAGGGATGAACTCGATATCAGGGCGGCTGTTCAAAACAGCAGGCTTGTGGGGACTCCAGGTATAGACGCTGCATTCCTCGAGTTAGGGGTATGATTAAAATTTGAGGGTGCAATGGAGACTTACGCGCCAACCGAGCCATGGAGGAAGTTTGCGAGTTTGCTGTCGTCGGGATTGGCCCAGGCAATACCCATCTTGCGGTTGGGGTCAGAGCCAGTTCCACCTCCACCGCCGTTGTTGCCACCGTTGTTACCGCCATTGTTGCCACCGTTGTTACCAGTGTCACCACCGCCATTGCCGTTATCAGGAGCGGGGGCAGGAGCGGGCTGTTGAGCGGGGGGCTGCTCAGCAGGAGGTTGCTCAGCAGGGGGTTGCTCAGCAGGTTGCTCGGGTTGAGGTTGGGGTTGGGGGACATCCGAGTCAGCAGGTGGGGTGTAAGCGGGAGGTGCGTCTACGTTGTCCGAGGGGCGGGCCCTGCAGCGCCTCCTGTTTGTAGGCTTTGGCTCTGACTGCCTCCTGAGGATGGCATTGTGCCTGGCATTATGTCTGACAAAATGGTGGTTCTCGGCGGAGAGCGCGGTGACTTGGGTAGGGCCGTAGGAGCAGGCGAGGACGGCGAGGGAGACGATAGCACCAAAGTTAATAAGTTTCATGGTCGTCAGTCAACGAAAGAAAAAAGAGAAATAAAGAGTGGAATAAGCCCTTTCGATGGGCGACGAGGTGGCCTGAGAGTGGTTTAAAGGGTGGGAGTGAGGACGAACCCAGAATTATGCCCTCAACCTTTTCACTTGCCCGCAATCAACTCAACCGGAAACAGCCGCCATCACTCCCGCACGGGCCATGGCAACGAACATACAACACCCCTTCATTTTCGCTGTTTTCTTTTGTTTTTCCCCAATGCCGGCTCAGCCACACCCTGAGCGCCATCTGCCCCTTGCCGCTGTCATCGCGTACATAATTTACGACGAGGGTTTCCAGACCCTGCAATGTGCACTGCCCCATCATGTTTTGAGCGCTGTGTTTTTGATCTATCAAATACCCAAATGGGTCACAGTTTTGCTGTGTTTATGATGAGTTTATGGTCTTATAAAGAGAAGCCTTTCCAGGCCCTTTTTTCTTCAACCTTCAAGTTTGACACGAAGAAACCGGTTCATCTAGTTCATCCCCCCGTTCATCCCCCCTACAAAACTCTAGTCCATTCAGTTCATCATGTCTGACGCCCAAGCCGCCCAGGTCACAGAGAACGGCGCGCCTGCTGTGGAGAAGACCCAAGAAGCTCCTGGCTTCAAGGTTCGTCACACTACCATATCCATCATCTTCTCCTTCCTCATCCCGATTACCTACAGGTATTCGCTGGAAACCTTGCTTATACCACCACAGATGAAGGGCTGAAGGCTTTCTTTGAGCCTGTCCAGGCCGATATGTACGTGGCATATATTTTGCACCGCCTCGTGTCATCACATCTGATCCTCGTGTTTCTTCCTACCCCAGCCTCTCAGCTTCAGTTATCTTGAGAGGAACACGTTCTGCAGGCTATGGATTTGTTGCTCTTGCTACTGAGGAGGCCGCTCAGAAGGCAGTCGACGCCTTGAACAAGAAGGAGCTCGACGGTCGTCAAGTCATCGTCGAGATCGCCAAACCTGCCGAACAAAAGGACAAGGAGAAGAAAGAGCGCAAGGCTAAGCGACGACCTGGCCGTCGTGGCGGCAAGGCTGTGCCTGGAGAAGTCACCGAGGCAGAGGCCAACGGCGAAGCCCCTAAGCCAGAGGCCGCTGCTTCCGCCGAGGGCGAGGACAAGCCCAAGAGGAAGAAGCGCAAATCTCCTGTAAGTTTCCCGTTTAACCATTCGTGATTCCACTCGCTAATCGGTTGATGTAGCGCAAGAAGAAGGCCGCTGCTCCTCCCCCTGAGGGCGAGGCTGGCACCGAGGGTACCCCTGCTGCTGCTGACGGTACAACTGATGCAGACGCCCCCAAGAAGGCCCCTCGTGCTCGCAAGCCCAAGGCCCCCCGTACTCCCCGGCCCGCTGGCGAGGACCCTGTTGGCGAGCCCTCCAAGACCATGCTCTTCGTCGCCAACCTTGGCTTCGCTGTTGACGACGAGGCTCTCGCTGCCTTGTTCACTGACGCCGGCATCACCGTGAACAGCGCTCGTATCGTCCGCCGCCGATGGGGTCAGCCACGAAAGAGCAAGGGTTACGGCTTCGTTGACGTCGGATCTGAGGAGAACCAGAAGAAGGCCATCGCAGCCTTGGACGGCAAGGACATCGCTGGCCGTGCCATTGCCGTCAAGGTCGCTGTCAACACCCCGGAGGAGAAGGAAGAAGAGGCCAAGCCTGCTGAGGGTACTGCTCCCGCTGCCACCCCCGCTGCTGCTGAGGCTGCCGCCCCTGCCGCTGCTGCTGCTGCTCCTGGCCCCGCTGCCTAATGATCCTTAATTTACTTACTAACGCCCTTGTTACGAGTTTTTTATTACGTCCATGACATGCTTTGCTACATATTCTCCTCCCCCTCCTCACACCGTCGTGGTGGGTACTTGTTAAGTTATGTATCTACCTTTTACTTCGTGGCCCCGGTATTCGTTACAGTTGTTATTACTTGTGGTCCATTTAGCAATGCCCATGATTGCTTTTCCGTCTCGAATGTTGCTGAGCGTGAATCTGCAAATCCCTCGAAGCTTAAGCTTAAATCCAGAAACAGCATAACAAACACCTGAAGCAACATGACGTTGTGACTTGTTTTGGACCTTGATCATGTCGAGTGACGAGGACGATTACCTCTCTGCCAAGTTTCTCACTGATATCGCACCGGATACTAAATCGACAGTCAAAACATATTCTCAGATCCGCAAAGATGCTGAAAAACGCTCTCATCTCAAGCAGGAACGCAATCGAATCAAGAGTCGTCGTGAGCGGGAGGTCGAGGCTCGAGAGGAGGGTCTCAGCAAGTCTCTCTTCGAGCGGGCCAAAGAAGAGGAAGAGGCCGGCCTTAGCAGCAACAAGGCCCTGTCCATGATGATGAAGATGGGCTTCAAACCCGGTCAATCGCTTGGTGCACGACAGAACGACGACGAGGACCAGCAACCCGAGGCAGGGGCATCCAGGGTCTCTGAACGAGGCCGCTCCAGTACTCCTCTTGCCGATTCGCCTGCCAGCGGTGAACATGAATCCACCCCAAACCCACAGCGGTCCAAACCCCATCTAACAGAACCCCTACCGGTGCTCGAGTGGAAAGGTGCGCTCCCGGCTCGGTCGTCCCTGCAACCACCACTCAACCTCATGGCCTTTTCATCCGCGTTGTGCTGTGTACCCGTTTACCTCTCCCCACAGGAAAACAGGGTATCGGCCTTGGCAAACGAGCTCGTTCTCCTGATGCTGCAGAACGATTGGCAAAGATAGCCAAGTTGGCTGAACAGGCCGATCAGCGTGACTTTAGGGAGCGAGCACGAGAGAACTACAACAATCGTCGAGCGGAAGGGAGACTAGGTGGGTGCCTTTATTTCATGTTTCATGCATTGCATTGTCAGGATCTCCCTCGACGACACACACACCACATTCACGCGTCCGATCTCGCGTCCCATCAGAATCCATATCTTCTTTGACTTTCATCTGGATGTTACTCGACTCTTAACTCGTTTCGTAAACCCGCCATGCAGGCCCTGCACAACGGACATGTGCTACCTTGGATGAACAGATGGGGAAGGAGGTTTGTCTGACCCTGACTTCTGGTGGTGTAACTATGGCTGATGATGTTACTCCAATAGTTCAACGTTTTGTGGCTCAACCCCGAAAACGAGAATACATTTCCACCCGGCCTGATTGACGCACTGGCCTTGCATAGTAACCTCATCTCCTATATCAGACCAAGTCAAGGCAGCGGAAATTCATCCGCCGCGGTCACCGACACTGAGCGCGAGGGTCTGAAAAGGCAGATGCAAGCGGACGCTCTTGTTCCTCTTCGAAACGACGAAGATGATGACGGGACCCATGATTCGAAGGCAATGAAGTCATTGGTATCCTCTGTAGATCAGTTCTCGACTGAAATACTCGAAGAAGCAACGCAGTTCTTGCGGCTACAGGTTCGCATACCGTTGTCGTCCTTTCACGGGTGTCGCTAACCCAGGTCTGGTCTTATTCATTCAGGCCCAAGACAGACTCCGTCTCGTTCTTTCGTATCTGCGCTCCAGGCACAACTACTGTTTCTGGTGCGGAATAAAGTATGAGAACGAAGATGAGATAGCGAATCAGTGCCCAGGACCGGAAGAGGATGATCATGATTGATCTAATTCACTATGCCTACTGTTACGAGGTACAGTCAAGTGACGTTGTTTTAGTGCTCGTTAGCCTACGAAGTTCCTAGAAACCAACAGTTCCAGCCAAAGGAGTGAAGGCGAAGATGTGTTTTCTAGAAACGAATGGAAAGGTGTAGGGAGCGATAACCAGCTGGTTATGCGAGAAGCAACTGTATCGTCCGAGTGTTCCAGTGAGAATCACAAATGAAACCAAATGGGGCAGCATTTGTTTGCAATCCGAATGGAGTTGTAAAAGAGTGTGGTATGCAAATAGCAAAAGGAACATGCAAGCATGAATAACGACGGTGTCCATGGGTTGATATAACAAAAGGTGAGTCCGGGGAAACAAAGAGGTTAATGAGTGAGTATGTGTTGCAAGAAAGGGGATGAATAATGTTACAAATGTGTCCTTTGTGGCCCATTCCCAATAGCAGAGGATGTCTATAGATAGATTTGTCCATCGTCCCTTAGGCAATTGCTGCCCGGCGGAGGTGCTGCTCGTTTAGTGAGCAGCGAGAGGCGTTCGAGATTCGAACCCCAGTGAAGTAAGGCAAGGAGACCGAGTGCCTTGACTCCGAAGGGAAGTCCCAGACGTATGGTTTGATCTCCCTTGGCTGTGATGAGACGAGTTCAGTGAAGGAAGTATCTGAATCGTTTGGCGTCAAAGGGAATGACTCGGAATTTGCAGAGTTGGGGAGGAGGGCGCTGGGAAGGACAGGTATCGTGAGTGGCATAGGTATGTCGGAAGCGGGATCGCTGCCAGAGTCGCGGGGGAAGCTGGGAGATGTCGGGGTAGTCGCGGGGGTCTTGCGACGGACGTAGGTTGAAATGGGCATGTTGGCCTGCAGATCGCTTTCAGAGCCGCCATAGAGGTGCAGACCAAGAGGATTGCGGTGGCGACGGGAGCGTGGAGATCGCGGACGAGCGATGAACGTCTAGTGGTACAAATCAGCATCTTGCGTGAAGGGTTAAGCGAAGGAAATTACCTCGCGCGTCGGTGAAAGATCCCCTGACGAAGCCGAGGACACTGAGGATAAGCTTCCTCGACGTCTTGTAGGCTGTTGAAACGATTAATGAGTTTAATTATGGTGGGGCCTGATATGATATGCGTACCTGGGTTGGGGAATAAGGAGAGTAGCGGGTGGTCTTCTGACGAGAAGCCATATCCCTGAGAGAAGGACTAGACTTTGCCTTGACGGGCGAAGAGGGCGTGCGGTCCGAGTCTAGTTTTGGAGAGAGAGGAGGGGAGGGTGTTGAGTCATTGTCGACAGACTGTTTCTGTTCCAAGCCCAGCGAGGCCATCAATTCTACAAAGGAAGGGAGCGAGTTTGACATCTGGAAAGGAAAGAGAGAGGAAGGAGAGTAGAACGAGACTCGGGGGTTGGAAAGAACAACCTTGAAAGGTCAGGCCATCCAAGGGAGTTGTCTATAAAACCTCGAGTTTACCTTAGAAACAACAACCCACGGTCATGTTGTCAAGACTCCGCGACTTATTATCATGAAGTTTGAGAAATGCAATCTCTCCGTCCGTTGCAAAGCGCCAGAACAGTGCATCAATGGCAGCTCGTCGGCAAGGAGACACCCACGCCCTTTCAAGCCGCTCCCTCTTTTCCGAACACAAGCCCGCTCGGCACTCCATGAAACACTTTTAGTGCGATATCACTGCCTGAAAATCTTTGTTGGCTCACCAAAAAATACAATCCTTTCACTTTCTAATCAGACCATTGCCGGAGTCAGTCCTTCAGGCACCTGAAAATTCCTATATACCCTTAGTGTCAAGGGTTGCCCTACCTACAAGCGGACCTCGTTCTTCCACCGGGTGTAGTCTCTTCTCCCCCAGCTATTCCGCATCGCCTCGCCAACATCCCCAACGTTCTGCCGTCACAAAGGAGTGCATTCTTGAGAATGATCAACTGTCGTGTCAAAGCCTCAAAGCCTGATACCGTGTTCCGGAGGAAGTAAAGATCGTGGGAAACCTACGCAGGCAACGGAACCGAGGGCGCGGGTGGACCAGAGGCGGCGTCTCTCGTTTTTTCTTCCCAACCACGACGATGAACAGGCAACAACCGACTGGAAACAACCCCAATCCCGGAGGCTCGTTCATTCCTCCTCCCAAACAGGACATGGAGTATCTCTGTGCAGGCAAGCCTTTGTGCGTAATACAAACAATTACATCTGGTTTACCCGGAAATCCTAGATTGCGGGGCAAAGAATGAGATCAAGTCGCGTGAACCCATCCGTTGCAGAGAATGCGGGCATCGTATCATGTATAAGAAGAGGACGACGCGAAGTACGTGATACTGTTTCCTGTATGTTCCCCTTTGCTTGACCTTGTCCACAGTGGTTCAATTCGAGGCCCGATGAAACCCTCTCCATTCCGGGACTCTATTCCCAACTGGCAACCGTATACTTACTATGAAAGAAAATATCTCATCGTTGGAAGCCATACATCCACACAGACCGACGCGCCGTTCGTCAATCAACCCACCATTGATACCCATCGAAACCCCGGCCTGGCTTGACAACACTTCAGGTCATGGTCTCCGGAGACATTTCTAGTATCAAGTCGTATTCTATGGAGCTTTTGGCTGCCGCACGATCAGTAGAATTCTCCACGACGTTCTCATAACCTGGTTATGCACTTGAACGGTGTGGTGTACCTTAGTTTTGGGAAGACACATCCTGAAAACTTATACATCACTTCGATCGTCTTGTTGACTGACAGATATTGTATTGAAATCCTTTCCACGATGCCCTGTTTTTTCGATGTGCAATTTTGCAAGACCAGAGTCGGACTGCCGATGTTGTCTCTTATTTACATAAATTGCCGGCCGCGGCACGACCGGTGTTCTGCGTTGTTCTGCGAGTTGCCGCCTGACCCTCGTAATCGCTCTCACCCAATCCACCACCCACTTAGCCCAAATCATGTCCGAGCAAGAACGAAAGGATCCGAGAGAACGCAGCGTCTCTGGCGACTACGAGGTCTCTTCTTTTGCTCTTTTGTTGCTTCGACGCGAGACTCACGCATCTTAGTCTGAATTTGACGGCTCACAACGAGACGATGGCAGCAATACTCAAGGTACACCGGGGGCCAATCCACCAGGCAAACCTGGACGGAAGAAGAATCCAAAGTGCGTTTCCCGACTTCTGTCTGTCTTCGACACAAATTCATCGTGCCACAGTTCTCAGGCAGCACGGAGAGACCAGAACCGCATCGCCCAGCGTGAATTCCGACTGAGGAAACAGCAACGAGTTCGTGTTTACTAGTCTAACCAGCAACGATGCGCGCACCTTACACTGTGTTCAGATACGCGACCTCGAAGCAAGGGTCGAAATACTCTCTGGTGGAAAGGAAGAGGCCATTGGAGAAATGCGTAATATTCTAAAAGGTACGTTCAATACACCTCTACCCCGCTGATTCTCTTGCCGTAACTCTGACAAATCCTTCAGACTTAATGGCTGAAAACCATAACCTTCGCCAGATGCTGCGGAGCCTTGCCACGTTTATCGGCGAGGGCATGGGTGGCGTCCTGCCCAAGTTGGGCTGGGACGAAAACGATTGGAATAATATGCTCAACAAGGGCGAGACGGATACGGCTTGGGAAGGGTACCAGCGTCGCAAAAAGCAGGCAGAACAAAATAAGGCTTCTGCTGCATCGTCTCCAATGAGCACAATGGCGAGCCAGAAGCGTCCTTCTGAAGATGCTTCCCTTGGTACTCGGCCGAAGAAAGCGCGCAGCGAGAACGAAACACCTAACGGATTCAATCTTATGGGTTCTATGGGTTCTGGCAACATGTTTCCCTCGGATTCGGATCGCAATGGAATGTTCCCTGAGTTGATGCGAGGGGGACCTAGTCAACCTATGTTCCCTCCGCCTCCTGGTCCATCGTCCTCTTCATTGCCGTATGGTGGCATGTCGAATAACCTTGACTATCCCGGCGCTTATCTTGGTTTACCCATGAATCACCAGCCCATGCCGCCCTACGAACCGACGAATGTAGCTTCCTCTCAGGCAAGGATACCGCCGCCAGAGGAAGAAGATATTGACGACGAACCGAACAAACTGGAGGCCCACAAACTCATTCAGTGCGTTTAAATTCTCTTGCTGTCCCATATCTACTTTGTACTGACGACTTGATAGGTATCATTTGGAAAACTATAAACGGAACCCTGGTTACTGCCTACCCTCATCTCTTAGGCCTACAAATGTTCAAAGGTGAGACTACCCAGTTTGTAGTCGGAAAGCCCTATTGACATCTAAAATTAGGACAATACCTCATCGTATGTGTTTAACATCTGCACCGAGTGCGACAATCATTAACGTCCTCTTAGCAAGTGTGATTGACGGTGTTATTCACCCAGAGCTTCGCGACCGTATGATCCTCCTCCGAGGTATGAATTCCGTCTGGCCCCTCATGTTCATTCGCTCAAGCGCCGGATTCTCAGAAAAATACGACTTGGTCGATTGCTTGCTTGACTTTAGGCGGAACACGACAATCCACGGTGATGACGTTCTGGCACATAGTAACTGGGAAGTCGCAGAGCCCTTCTTCAGGAAATACCCGTATGTGCTCCCTTACTCCTCAGCTCTTGTCACGCCTTAACGGTTTCCTTCAGGTTCCTCGCGGAAGCTGCTACGATCGTTATTTCGAATCGCTGGCGGAAGGAGCGAGGGGAACCGGAGCTCCGCATCACTGACTTTGCTGAACCTGCAGCCTAACAGTAAGCCCTTTCATTTCGAGTGTCGGTTTTCGCGTTTTTTTGTGGATTATAAGTTATATAAGTGTATGTGTGCATGCTATGCTACGGCCAAAGTCGAGATAGAAACGAGAGAACACTCTATGTAAATAGACTGTTTAGATAGTGGCACCGCTTAATGTAAGATATGCCTCACCGTTCACTGTAAAGTATTACCAGGAAGCCTTTTGGACACCGTTGAGCTCACCACGTAGAGCTTTAAGACGGAATTGGAACTATACAAGGCGTCAGCACTGTCCGTGTCGCCTAGATGCAACAACTCACCCGACATAGTCCAAAGTCGCTCATAACACCCCGGCCTCGTCCAGAAATGATGCATCTGTTCTTCACGGTCGTCGGGCGCGTGTACTTGTCGAACGAATTCAGTTGCAATTGGGCTTGATGCCGGACTTGCGCTGGCAAGGTTTCGTTACGGGCGACGTAGAGGTAAGCACGTCGAAGTATTTCGTTGTCCTTGACGCCCATTCGGGCCTTGATGTCCCTCACTACACGGGCGTTATACCTTGACATGGTTGGACGAGGTGGTGAACGATGACCAGAACTAATTGACGCGGAAGAGTTTTCGAGCACTCCAAATGTCGTTGGCAAACAGGCGCAAACCATTGGCCCGGCGCGAATCGGACGCAATTGGCAGCCACTCTCAATTCTTCACCGCCAACACCCAAACAACAGCGACGCTCAAACGTCGTAGATAACTTGGTCATTCGGCGGATATTCCCTGTGGGGTCATGGATATAGGACTGGTCAGTCTCTCCCCCAGATGTTTACAACGACTTGGGACTGAATGCAATGCCGAGTTACAGTTATAGAATGTCCATTTACAAGGTCCTCCGTCTTACCCAACGTCGCTCCTTCGTTTCATCGCTTTTCGGCTTCACATTTGCTGCAGCGGTCCTGACTGTCTCAGCTTCCCAACTCTTACCCTGCCCGGCTCGAGCGCACAAAGGCAGATTCGCAGACTCTGACCAACTTGACCAGCACTTTGGAGCGGGAGACGTGAAGGTTTCCAAACGCCCGAGAAGGTGGATTGAAGAAAAGCTGCCTGAGCCGCAACACTAGGTGCGTCATTTATTGGTTTAGAATCCGAAATAGAGACTGACCATGGGTTAGATTCTCGTGTTTTTGCTGTTATACAGTGTATTTACAATCATGAACTAATGCTACAATGGTTACGGATCATTGGAGTCTATTCTGAAAACCTGTTTCTGGTTCGCGATCTTGTGTTTGTGGTGCCGTTGATGATGGTGGAAGCTTGGGTCCGCTGCAGAAGGTCAATTTGAACGCTCGCTCTGGACGAATACGGCCGCCGAATAGGTTTACGCACGAAAAAGAGTTCACTTGGATCGGTAAACTCGACAAGAAGGCCAATACACTTATGGCAGTTTGGCAAATGAAGACAACTCGCAAGGCATCTGCGTACGAGTCGATTGCTGCCTTTCTCAGTGATGGCTCTAGCTCAGGTATCTTGGACGCGTTGCGTCTTGGGTTTCTCGACGTTAAAGCACCTCGACGCAGATCCACAAAGTTCGCTTACCGAATTGACTGGATTATCTGCTGCTGATGATTAACCACGCTGCCTTTGCATTGCGAAAAGGGACTTACCTCTCGTGCTCCAGGCCCTTCTATCCGCTGCCTAAGCTTATTCAGTAAGACCCCTTGCAAGACGGCTCCACTCAAGCTGACGCCAAGGACCTGACCCGTTGTCCGAAACAAATAGGTTACTTTATGTGATTGAGTGAGTCACTTGTCCGTTTGCAATGGACTCTCAAGGGCTTACTTCCTGTTGCAACAGCCTGGTCTTCTTTCAGGACCGACGTGATCATCGCCTGCATCATAAGTACCCCGTGTCATGTTGCTGGAGGCGCGTGTCGACTTACGATCAGAGTGCTCGTGATCAAGCTGGCCATTCCACAGCCGGACGGTATTAGATCTACCCAGAAATGCCACGAAGGGGTGTTCTCGCTCCATTGACTTGCAAGGAAGCTGGCAACGATGGCGCTGAACGCGGCTGTGGTGGTCAGGCCGTACAGTTTCCCAGTCCTTCGCATCAACCTGGCCCAACACTTCAGTAAGTCGGGCGTGAAGAACACCCAGGCCACGAACCAGCCAGCGAACAGACTACCGGACGGGATAGCTATCTGATGCGAAATGAACCGGTCAGATGATTGGAAAATCCACAGGGATTGGAGACTGACTGAATGGGGCAGCATGTACAATCCTTCTCCCTCCGCCGTCAGCAATGTGGCGGCTACATTTTATTGCAACGTACCGGACACTGCAGCGTTCTCCAGTCGAACGGCGGTGAAGTACTGCCAGCTGCGTGAGTGCCCTTCTTTTATGTTCAACAACTATGCTTTATATTTGTCGACTCACCAAGGGTGCGTTATACAGCTTGAATGTTGGTAGTGAATGGTCTGGAATTTCTGTTGGAAGATGACACGCACCATAGAAAATGCCGACATACTCGCAAGGAAATTGCAGATAGAAACTGCTAGCGGCGTTCTGTGGACCATCAGCCGGATGGGCATGACTGGGTACGGTGCCCAATGCTTTTCTACCAAGACAAAGGCAATGGCAGAAAAGACACTGGAAGAAAACAACGCTACTATTACAGGGCGTCCCCAGGACCAATCCTCCGTCGTTTTCAGGCTGAAGCCCAGAAGAAGACATCCGATGGCCAGAACGAGCGTCACTGAACCAAGTAAATCTATCCGACCAACCTTGGTAGCTAATGGCTGGTTTTGTAGTTCCTCAGACAGAGGGATGTTGACCTTTATCGCGACAATAGCTATCGCAAAGACGAAGAACGGTGCCTGGAGTTCGGGTTCACATGGCGGTCGCGTGGGACGAAGGATAGACGGACGAACCTGCATGTAGAATGCGACCCGCCTAGATAGCAACGGGGCGATCAGTTTCTGTTCGACAAGAAAGGCAACGAACTTACCAACCGAAGTTGTCGTTAATGTAACCACCGAAAGGTCCCCCTATTGCTGCTCCAAGTCCGTACAATCTATAAATACGTATCATGACCTGGTTATTCCCACTCGACAAGTAGACTCACACGTTGGCGATACCTTGATAAATTCCCCGTTGTTCCCTGGCTCTTTCCGTTAGGCTTCCAAGTATTTTCGGTACCTTGAGTCTCCCGACTCACAATGGAATCAAGTCCGTGACAGCAACACTGGAAACTACGGGAGTGATGTTAACCCGAGAAGAAAGACTTATTATGTTGACCCATGCAGCTACCTGTCATGACCCTGTCAGAAATCGACGACATGACCTGTTCAGTGCGTTGAAAACTTTGTGGTATTCAATATGAGCTTACCCTCCACCACCCATCCCCGCGATGGTGCGAGCGGCAATAAGGGCGGTCATTGACGTTGCCGCACCGCACAGTATGGTCCCTGACCCTACCCCAACGTCATCTGTTGGGCTGAAAACGGGACAAAGCGGATTTATCTTACCGAAAAGCGACAAGGCCACGAGCATGGCTCCCTTTCTTCCGAGGATGTCAGCCAGCCGGCCTTCGGGAAGAAGTCAACATGCGGTCGTATCTACAGGATCAATCGGGTAGAACCTACCATAGAGCGGTGTAAAGCAGCACACCGATAGTAGATACGAGGTGCCGATGTACGAAGCTCGATTTGACGCGTTGAATTCACTCCCAATGGGTGTCAGAAGGGTCGCAACGACCGTACCTATAGGGATACTTATGATTTCAGATCGTCATGGAAGATCGGGCTCACTTACCATCAAATGCGCCCAGAAGAACGCCCGACCAAAGACCCGTTAGCATCCAACACAGGTCACCTCTGGAATACCTGCTGGCGGATTCTTCGTAGTGTGGCCCAACGGACGAGGCCAGCGTACTGACGTCATCCGTTGAATGATATGAAGGCGGGGCCTCCTCGAGTAGGGATCTTGTTTCTATAGAGGAGGGCGGGCGCTCTAAAGACATTGGCAAGGAAAATGGATGACGGAAAGGGCAGCCAAACTAGCGGCGGATACTAGGGCAGTATCCTTCTGTCCGGATGAACGACAGACCAGAGCGACGCCAGTTAGTCCGCTTCGTATAGACTCAGAAAAGGTGGAGGTATGGGGTTGCAGGGACATGCACGTCGACTGTGGTTTTAACTTCACATGTCGCTGCCTCGCTTTTCATGTAAATGATAACCCAGTACAGTTGTCATTTTCCGTGACCGTCGGCGTAAATTTCGGTTTCTCACCGGCCTATTGAGGGTCCGGGAACCTCGGTATGCGGTCAAAAAATGGTCAATACTCGAGGGAGGTTTGCTTAATCGTTTAAAACGGATCTTGAATTGCTGTAAATTTAAACCGCTCAACGCGCCGACCAGAACCATTGGCATTTTTGTTGTAACCAACACTTACCGAGGATAGACTGAGGTGCCAGTGCACGGGTAGGAATACTCATCCAAGCTTCTTTGCTCCGGGGTCGAGTCACTGTGACGTTTCGTACGCTCTCGTTTGCTGGCGCGATGATAATTGCCTGCACCATACAAAAGACCAGCACTGTAACCCATCTCCTCTCCGCTTCCAGTGGAGATCATCCACTGAGAATGTCCTGAATGACGCTTCAGTTTTGCATTCAGAGCACAGCATACGAGGACGCAAAGGCGCCGGGCGTCAAGTTGAAGCCGTAAAAGGTGTAGTGACTAAGACTCTCGGGGAAAATGGGCGCTTCGGACAGTAGGCAAAAACCAGCGGGAGCTTGGGCAGTCGATGGCTGAAAACGCACGCAATGTATGTCCCGCAGAAGCAGTATAAACCAGTCTTATAAGGCTCGGGAGGCCAAATACAGGATAGAAAAGACGAAAAAGAATAATTCGTACCGGTGACCCTGGATCAACTAGAGCATTCTGACGGCTGCAGGGGGCAGATCGGACGGGCGAGGGGATGAAATGGGCGTAGAGTCCGGATGAACTGAGAAGGATAATAGGCATTCTTGATCATATGTTCCTGCATCGAATTAAGAAGGACGACTGTATTCCATAAGACTCACGCGGCCTAGGAAACCAAACGGAGGTTTCTTGTCTGTCCGGCAGAGAAGGGAATTACATGATCCCACTGACCACGCAGCAGCAGTGTAGCAGAAAAAGGTCACTTCAAAGTAGCGCCTTGCAGCCGTGAGACCCTACAATGACGACACGAAAGTGTAGCATGGAGGTCGCGCAAGGCTAAGCAGGACCCAACTCGACTCGCAGGGACAAGGGCAGCGGGCCATAAAATCCTGAATAGGATTGAATTTATGGTATCATATTGGGAAGTGGCGACGATTCTTGGGAAATGACCTTGCACAAGGTGGCAAGATTGCATTGGAGAGGGTGCATCTTTCCAGTCCTGGACCAAGATGGCAGCGTCCTGTATCCCAGATGTGGCTGGCACATTGTCGCAGATGTTACAAGCATGGATCTTGGCCAGTTAGCTTCTCGAAAAGATTAGCCGCCCTGGCGCAGCGGACTAGAGATTCGGTGGGTTGTTGACAGTTCCAAGTCCCGGCTACCCGACATAAAAGGAACATTGATTAGGACGTGCGTGTAGCCCGCGAAGTGAGCAACAACTCCAGGCAGGAGGCCAGGCTTGAAGGATCCAGACCCCTTCTCCCAGGAGCTATCACCTTCGAACAGTTGCAGACAACCAACTTGAAAACGAGGGATCACGCCAGACTGTCAGGGTTGTTAGAGAAAGGCGTCCGCTAGCGGGAGGTCAGTGTAATCGTTAGGTATTTCGATTAAGACGGCAAGGCAGGCCTGGTCCCTACATTTCAATTCCTTGGCCTTTCAACAAATGTGTTCCCTCCGAATAAGCGGGAAAAACGTGGAGTAGAAGATAGACAGGGCTGAAATTCGACGGCCATGCAGCAGTCGTTCCCCCATAGTGTCATATGCGTGGAGATAGAGTCACCATGCGCGTAGACATACATGAAATGGATGTGTTTGTCTGTGCTCACAGCCTACTTTGACAGGGACAGGTGCGTGGGAACGGAACATGCTCTGGAGAGGGCATTTGATGGTTATTATATTGCGACCCGTTGTCCTCAATTCCTGTGTTTTCTCCCTCATTTTCGACATAATCGACGCCCAGATCATACTGGCTAATGCCTACCAACCACCAGGCCGCACAGTATGAAAATCTGACAGTTCCCTCGCCCAAGAGGCCCACAGAGGGCCACGATTCTCACTCCTTACCCCGCTCGCCCTCTCTTTCTTCCTGGAAATCCTTCCTTCGTTTCCCCAACCAATCTTCAAAGAAACCTTCCAATGTTCCACCAAGCCTAAACCTAGACAATCGTTCAGTATCAGGATTATCGTATAATAGTGCCACAAGCACTCCGGCACTCGCAACTCCAGCACTAACCCCAACATCATACCTTTCGGACCAACGTTCTTCGTATAATTCTTCCAATACCCAATCTAGTGACTCGAATAGACCTCCAGCCTATCAAGAACCACCCTCGACGACCCCGAGGAATGTATCATATCCCCTGGACCACCACCACAATGCCCCGTCCACAGACGCGCTCGCAGCCGCCACGACAGCAGGCACTTCCCAGCTAAAGGCGCCCACATACCCAGGAAAACAACGTTCGCTTCCTCACCCCTTCGAACCCGGTTCATCCAAGTCGAAACCCTACACGACAACTCCTTCCCAGTCTTCCTTTGGTGCTCCTCCCACGACCTCGCGTCCACGAAACAACGGGCCCCTGACCCCAAAGGGTGTAGGAGCTTCGGCTTCTCGCTTCCTTCGCAGAGTGGCTTCAGCACCCAACGCCAAGGGGCTGTTCACCCTAGGATCCAAGTCTGCATCCACCACGAAGAATGGTCTTCTAGCACCTTCCGAATCTGCACCACCGCTACCGACAGTGTCCAGTTCGATGGAGGATGGTGATTCGCTAGACACCGCCTCTTCGGCAGAATCTTCAAGGGCTACCCCACGTTATGGGCTTCGATTGACACCGCCCAAGACAGCCCCGCCGATGAGAGATCGTTTGAAGAGTGCTCCATCTCAGCCCGACCCTTCAAAGATTCCGTTCAGACGGACGTATTCCAGCAACTCCATCAAAGTGGGACGGGTGAGTTCGTACCTGCTTTGCATTCTTGATACCGCACTCATCATCCGTGTTTTCAGGTGGAGGTGGGCCCATCGAGCTTTTTGAAAGTGAAGATGCTGGGGAAGGGGGACGTTGGAAGGGTTTACCTGGTGCGGGAGAAGAAAACGAACAAACTCTACGCGATGAAAGGTAAAGGTGTTCAAACTCATCGGTGGCCTCTTGGGCCCCGGTCGTCTGTTTAGCGACGTTAAGCTGACTTGGCCATCTGATCCGCATTCACAGTTTTGTCAAAGAAAGAGATGATTGAGAGGAAAAAGATTAAACGGGCTCTCACGGAGCAAGAAATCCTTGCAACCGCGAACCACCCTTTCATCGTTACCCTATATCACTCATTTCAGTCTGAAGGCTATTTATATTTCTGCATGGAATATTGCATGGGAGGGGAGTTCTTCCGCGCGCTGCAGACACGCCCGGGCAAGTGCTTGCCCGAAGATGGCTCGCGATTTTATGCCGCGGAGGTGGTTGCTGCGTTGGAATATCTTCATCTCATGGGCTTCATTTATCGCGATTTGAAGCCCGAAAGTATGTAGCCTTTCCTCTTCATGGTTTCACCGGTGCTGACCCAGACCCTACTGTAGATATTCTTTTGCACCAATCAGGGCACATCATGCTGTCCGACTTTGACCTGGCGAAGCAGTCTGCAGAGTACGGGGGCCTACCTTCGATGGTTCACTCTGAGCAGAACGGGGTATGTAGCTGGAGCGTCGAGATGGAACCCTGCCCGTTTGGCTCACTTGCTCTTTGTTTAGGTTCCTCTGGTGGATACGATGTCATGTACAGCGAACTTTAGGACGAACTCTTTCGTTGGCACGGAGGGTAAGAGGTTTTCTCTTTGATTACCGCCTGACCAGGTGGTTTACACAGCGATTCCAGAGTACATTGCACCAGAGGTGATCGCTGCGCAGGGCCATACAGCCGCTGTGGATTGGTGGACTTTAGGAATTCTCATTTATGAGATGATTGTACGTATATCTGGTGGAGTCTATCAAGATGGATCAGAGTTACTGACGTGTTTGGTGCCCTTTTGGGTGAACGACTACAGTATGCCACGACTCCGTTCAAAGGCCAGGAACGTAATGAGACCTTCAATAATATCCGCCATCAGCCCGTGACATTCCGCGACTCACCAAAAATCTCATCGTAAGTTCTGGGCTGTTTCCTTTGCTCTCGTTTCTTTCATCGTTTCGACGACTGATGCGCGGACTTTGCGTTCATGGGCGTCGCGCATCATCGCGATCCGATTTGGGAGATTTCTGTTTAGGAATAACCCCTGCCTAATCCGATCAACTGAGCTGACTATTACTCACAGAGCCGGCAAAGACTGCATGACTCGATTACTGGACAAGAACGAACGGACAAGACTAGGCAGTCGGAGCGGGGCGAGTGAGGTGAAGCAACACAAATGGTTCTCCAAGATCAATTGGGGCCTGTTGCGGAATACGCGGCCACCGGTGAGTAGTCTCCCTCTGAGCATTCGACGGAGAGAAATGGCGGGGGCATGAGGGAAGCCTTCGCGCATTCATTCATTCCTATTGGGAGTTTCTTGCCTTCATTGGACCTGTACTGATAAATTTGCACCAGATCGTGCCGTCGTCATCCAACGGTCTCGATGCAGCCCATTTCCGACATATGAGAGAATCGACGTCGCTGCACCTCGATCTTGAGGATCAGAGCAAGGCGCAGCCTTCGGCAGATCTGCTTGCCGACGACGGGCAGCCTGCGGACGTGTTGTTCAAAGCGTTCAACAGTATAACGCTGCACCACGACGGGGACACATGAGTTGTGAGAGACGTGCACACAGGGTGTGTGGCATACCTCGGAGGGGAGTCGGGATTTCGGTGATTGCGGTAGGATTGTGGAATCTTTTATCTCGTGTGGTACTTAGGCAGTAATAATTTTGCGAAAGCGGAGAGCGACGGGCCGTGAGATAGTGTTTTCGCATGAGAGGGTGCGGATCCTTTTTGGGTAGATCTAGATATGACGCCGGCGAACAACCGAGGAGCCTCGGGTGCATTTGCGATTGGATCTCGCCGATTATGTCAAGACACAGTCCTCCAAATAAGTATTTCTCACCTCTCAATTTATAACTAACTTTGGCTAATAATCCACTTACGTCCCCGGAACTTTCCCTTTCTCCACCGCAAACACAATACAAGTATCTTGCCCACACTATCAATCCACACATGGCAGACCTCTACCCTCCCTCCTATCCTACTCGCTCTCCGCCTTATAGACACCAGGACCCTGACTCTACTCAATACAACCACCAACAGCAGCAGCAACAACAGCAGCAACAACAACAGCAGCAGCAGCAGCAACAGCAAAATATGCCGTACCAGACTCCCCAACTGGTCCAGTCACAGCACTCGGGCTCAAGCAGCAACGGTAGTTCAGAGGACATCCACGACAGCAACCAGAACTCAGACTCAAAGACAAGTGGCGACCACACACCAGGGAAGACAGACACAAAGCCACAGGCCACCTTTCTCACAAAACTCTACGCGTTCGTCCATCCAACCGCGCCCTTGGTTTCTTTTCTGACGCGCTCTCTACAGGCTCCTCGAACGCTCCGAGAACCACCACATGATTCGCTGGGACCCTGCTGGAGAACATATCATCGTCGAGCGGCCAGAACAGCTCGCATTACACGTTCTTCCAAGCATCTATCGCCAATCGAGATTCGCGAGCTTCTCCCGGCAACTAAATGTATGGCATTCTTCGCTCTTCCTTCTGTTGGTCCTGACAATTGGCCGTTAGATCTATGGTTTCATGCGCAAGGTTAACTTGCGGAACGTCGATCCCGCCATCGACGATCCAGACGCCAGTACTTGGTGTATGTCTTTGTCTTATCACCGAAAAACAACTCTTGCTCATCTACCATCTTTTTAGCTCACCCAACCCTTAATCGACACTCTCCGCCTGAAGTAGTCGCAAACTTTAAGCGCCGGGTGCCACCGCGGCTTCCCAAACCTCGCAAGCGCGACACCCAGGAGCAGCCCACCATCCCTCCTCCTCGTTCCGCAATCGGAATGGGCCCCGTCCCTCTCACCGTCCCCTCTTCGGTCGGTGGCGGCGCACATAAAATGTCTGGCGGCCCTGTGACGACAAGGGCTCGTGGCTTCTCTGCACCTGGTTCTTTCAACCCTCTCGGCCATGGCGGTAGTTGGGGCACCAACTATCAGCGATCAGCCTTGCCGCCACTGACGGTTCCTTCAGACCATTCTCATAACAACATCTATAGCAGCTCGCCCCACACCCTTCACCCGATTCCCTCTGCCGATGATACCAACAACTCTACCGCTTTCCCCTCCATGTCCTCCTACAGCACCTCCAACCGGGACATCATGTCATCTCAATATTCCTATGGGCCCGATCAAAGCAACTGGTCATTCTCCAGTAGCAACGCCTCGTCTAATGCCCATGCCCATAACAGCAGCTTATCGTCACTCCTCAACCCGAGCAGTGGCGGTTATTCGCGGCCGACGCCAACGATCAATACGTCTTATGGATCACCTTTTTCGTCAATGCCAATGCAAGGCGAGCATACTGGATCGTCTTTGTCTCCAGATAGCCGTCCTGCGACTGGCTACTCTATGTCCTCAGTCTCCTCCCTTCCGTACCAGGATGACCATATGCACAGCGATTATTCCCGTCCCAACTCTAGCCACCGTCCAATTTCTCCGACACGACCACACTCGTCAAAATCCAACTATCCGGCCGGGACTCTTAGCGTACGCCGTGCCCGGCGGCATAGTCAAGCCATGAGCCCGTACCCGAGTCCATACGATCATTCGACCGAACAACAACGTCCATCCACCTCTCCTCGCCCCGTGGTCGACGATCATTCCTCTTCAACGGTGGGGAATGGCCTCCCCCGTGCCAGGAGCATGATTCAACTTCCGTCCGTTGATGCGTACGGCTTTAATGCAGGGCAGGCTGAGTTTGCATACTCGGCCATCCCAGGTGCCGTTGGGCCGACCTCGTCGATGGATATCAGCGATAGTTGGAACCACAGGAACCCACGGCCCTCGACTTCTACCTCTTCGATATCAGCTGCTTCCCATACCTCCTCTTCTCAAGCCAACACCCCCCCTCTCACCGATAGTTACACAGATATCAATCGCTGTGAGTAAACGGTTGACATCTCATCTGCCTTTCGCATGTTTGCTAACCCTTGATACAGTTTCCCCAGACTTTGGTTTCGTTCAGATGAACGAGCACCTGCAGCCTTTGCACTACAACAAAACCCCCGGTGAACTGTGAACCTTTCCTTCGCCAGTCATGCAGCGAAGAAGTTCTTGGGCTAGCTATAGAGTTTGATACCGCAAGTACGGTGTCGCTTTCTTCTTTTTGGCTGTTCTCTCGTTTGTTTCTTTCGCTTCAGGTCCCGTCGGTGTCTTCTTTGATTTTTTTGGTCGCCTTCTTTTCTTGTTCAAACAATGTCTCTGTTATCTCCCTTCGTCATCCCCCTTCTTTATTTCTTTCTCTCCGCTCTCCTGCACATAGTGTATATATATCCATGAACAACGACAACCACCTCCACGCATGCCTTGTATTATCCCATACCATTCATAGCTACCACGGACTTAGAATCATGCGCTCTGCCTTTGCTATCGACGCCCCCTTTACTCAGATGTATCCAATCTTGATTGATAACGATTGTTCTGACGCATTATGGGTTTGCTCCTACGGTCCACTTCTTACCAACCCACTCCGGCGCATGCAGGAGTTTCACGCGATTGATCAAGTGTTCTACGTACCAAAACAACGACGTATGTTCTGTTCTTTGGTTGGTGAGAGCCCTCCATTTTTTACCCACGCACCCCATCCAAAAACTCTCTTGTGTGAAAACTAGAGCCGACCTACTACCTGGTGCAGTGTGTTGTTTCTCCGAGCCGCTGCCGTGCGTACGTACACCCATCTCCGCTGACCCTATCATCGCACCTGTTGTCCGTATCCATGTGCCACTCCAGTCAAAGTCAATCGTAATCGAGTACAATTGTCCTCTTTCAGTTGCTTGACTTGACTGTCCTGTGGTTTGAATCTGTTGAGCGGAGGTCGGATGCAGCTTCTCATCATGCCGCTGGTCAAGTCGGATAGATAATCAAATATTGGAGATTTACTATCATATCAGACAATACTTTCATCCCTTTTACCCTTGGAGGTGTTTTCAAAGGCCTCGAAACGGAACATTAGAGGCTAGTTGGTTGGATTTAATCGGGTCAGAGGTTCCCTCTTTGGTCGACGGTTCGCCCTGGTGGCGCAGCTTTATGTGATGGATTGAGAACCATGGAAGACTCTCGCTCGAGGGACCTCTGAGTCCTGCGAATAGCCTTTCTTGATCTCAACAAGACCCTTCTGGAAACAGCCTCTCACATGGCTGAAGGATGTGTGTGTTTATTGTTCTTTTCTTTCTCGATGGAAAGGCAGTTGTTGTGCGATGCGATGATGTTTATGGTGATCATCATCGTTTGGGAAAGAGGAAATATCTAATCTCTTCGCAATCCATCTGTATCAAGATCATGGACCCCCCGCGCATTTTTTGATTCCGTGAACCGTGGGCATGAGCCCCAGGGAGCCCCACGACTCGAGAAATTGGCTTGCGCGGTTGGTTGGCTGTACAGGTCTGTTAACGGCGGCAGAGGGGCAGTGGATTCCAAGTTTGATTGATAGCTCAAGTGGATTTCTGATGATATGGACTATCGATCCTGCGTCGCCCTTCATGGTCTTATCACTAAAATGAGCGTTGATCAGGGTGTTTGTTTGAGGTAGACTCCTGACATTCTATTCCAGGACATGGCACCATGGATGTCCAACTGAAGGTCTGGCCGTATGTTCGGGACTCACCTTCTCCACATTTATGCGCCATGCCGCGTCCAATGCCTCTCCCTCGCCTTGCCCTCATTTCAGACTACCATTTCAGGCGAAACCTGCTGTCTTTGGATTTTATCACGCACCAATTCCCACCCCGAGTGGCCTTATAGTATCCTCCCCGTAGCTTGGAATGAGGCCGCATATACCAAACGCAGCCTTTAGCTAGGTTTTCCGATGCGTCCGTATGCACATCGGTGAGACTGAGGCTCCTTTCGATGCGCAGTGCTGATCGAAGCAATGCTTTCGTAGGGAAATCTCCTGCTCAAACTTGTCAGAGAAACTTGGTGTCCACTGAGAGACCCTAACAGATTGCGCAAAAGCCATGGTAAACGTACATGTTTATGCAACGGGTGGTCACCTCCGCCATCCGGAACGACTACCGCCTCGTCGCTCCGTTTTGCACTTACGCGATAATCAAGCGTCTGGGCTCTCTACTCGCCCAGGGTAGCAAGCTTTCAAGAAAAACTTTTGCGTACGGCCGATTCGCGGCGGTCCTCCGTTGCGTAAATAGTGGATTTTCCTGTCTGGCGAGTTTTGCAACATGCTAACCTATTTTAGAGTCCACATGCGTGATAGACCCATTTGGGCGACGGAAAGGACCCTTTTCCATGCCCATCCTCATCAGCGCGGACCGCAAGGACGGTGGTGATGAACACCCTCCGGCGCCATATGTTCGGGTCCAGAAATCCTCCCACAAACAAGCTAAATCTCCGTTTGGAGAATTCCTGGTTTGATAAGTCTGCCCCGAGACGGGGGTTTAGCACATGCGACTTCTTGTGGCTGCATGATTTCCAGAGCCGCGCACCCTTTTGCGAACTGAGGCAAAGCGAACGCGAAGTCTGGAGCGGTTAATGGGGAGGAGGATGCAGCATTATGTATCATTATTGCATCATTCCGTAGGGGGATCTACGGGTGTACAGGTCGACGACAGGCGCCCACGCTTCGAAAGTCTTTTTTCGTTAGTTGAACCCTGGAGGAGGTCATGGGCGGTGAAAATCGTCACCGGGACAGGAAGAATGGTAAAGCCTAAATACGCAAACGGTTTGGTCTGAAATGGGCGCTTATCGGAAAGAGGTGCTTCTCTCGGATGATCTAACAGTGTTGCTGGTTCGAAGTGGAACATGGTCGCTGCTTAAAGGCAGGCTTTGTACTTGCAACTGTGCGACAGTGAAGTTATCTATGTTTCACTCGGGAGGATGACTGTTACTACGGGAGCCTCGGGGACAGGTAGAACTTTGGAGTCACGTCAAACGTGCAACCACTCGAATTACCGTAATGGCCTTGCATCCGATATTCAGACGGTGGTGGTCATCGGGTCATTGAAACACGTTTGTTTGCTATCAACTTGTGGGAGTTTTGGTGTGGAGCAAGGTGCAGCTGGGCAGCAGAGGGTGTGTCTGTGTGAGAGAGTAAATAAAGAGCACAACGCATGCTTTCATCCGTGGTTTTTGGAGGTTTCCGCTGTCGACGGCCGCATTCCTCCCTTCCCGAAATGGGAGTTGCACGTGTAGCCGCGATCGGGCGCTAGATCGGGGTGATCACGCGGGACTAAAATCCTTTTGGGGAACGGCATCGACGGTCGCCCAAGAAATTGTTTTGGTCCGCTGTTGGGACGAAATATGGGGTGCATGGAGATGGGCACCTCGTCCTCACCGTCTCGACCTCTAGAATGGGATCCAGCGCAGTGACATGCTCAACTGAAGCCAGAGTCTTGAATGCGCAGCTTCGTTGAAGTAAGATCGAGTCCGTGTATCCTTTCTGGTCCAAGCAAACTCTTTCGTACGTTATCCCATTAACCTCCAACTCCAATAAATCCACTGCGTTTACGATCCAGAGCGCCCCCGTTACGATGGTCTCTTTAATATCCCTATCCCCTCAAGCGCGTAAGCGCAGAACAGAATTCTGATCGGAAAACGCACCATCTCAAGGTCTTTACGTGGCTATCAGGAGTATCTATTTCTGCACCTCAGCAAGTACGTTATCCACCAAACCCTGTTTTTCACTCAGCCTCTGGTCAGACTGGCATCATCTGGCAAGGGAAAGGGCCGATGATAGCAACGAGCAGCGATGGCATTAACTTTGTCGAGTCCCATCTCTCTCCTCCAACGCGTTTCACAAGGGCTGTATCGGTATCAAGACGGCGTTGCCAGCTGCTATGCATTCATCGCAGCATGATTGAAGGTCTCTGCCGAGCAACCGAGCGACGAATAGGGGCTCATGAGCACGTCTATTTTTAGGTCCACCTCGGGTGAGAGACCTCCAAGAGACGTCAAAACTTATCATCAACCTGCAGGAACATGAAGATCACAGGAGACTGTGGATGGACGTGACTACTTACCGCCCTCTGGGCCTCCTTTTTCCTAATTTAGCCTGTCCACTATGCTTGGCCATTCTCGGTGCGGGGGCTAAATAGCTTACATTGTCTTATCCATCCACTTGCCATTTTGGTGTCACTTGGAGGGCACTGGGTGAGAGAATTGAGGGAGGTATCGAGGGCCGCGGGTGTGGATCTGGTGGGAGTCCTTGCCTAAGCTTCGGTCCAGAAACCTATTTTTCCCCCAAACGTAACCCCTCTTTTCATTTTGCCTCGGGGCGATCTACCACCAAGCGACCTTGAGAGAGGAAGGACAAGTGCACGAGCCTGTTCACATTTCCCAAGTACGAGTGACCCAAAGTTTATAAATTCACAACCAATCTAATTGTTTCTCTGTTTTCAAACTTGACAAGATGCTACGGTGGATGACAACTTACGAGACTGTAAATAGAGCGTGGTCAATACAAAAGTCGATGTATCCAAAGTCCATGGTCAAGAAGGAAAAGAAGAGATCCGTTTAATAAAGAGAGAGAACAAGAAAAATCCCAGGAATGGGGTATAAAAATACACGATGCGAGAAGAAACGAGACCCAAAGGAGAAGGAAAAGGTTTTTGAACTTGTATTCAACCGGTGTCCCAACATTGAAACCTCTGTGCTGCCTGTGAAAGATGAAACGAAGAACGAATGGAGGTTGCAGTAGAGGGATTGTAGTGTAGTCCGAATAAAATGAGTGTAGGTAGTTTAAATGAGAGTAATTACGTGCAAAGGAACGTGGTGTGCTGTGGTCGGGAACCGGAAAGACTAGAGCAATGATTTGGATATGCTGAGACGGAAAAATAAATCAAGGCCAGAGGGGAAAGGCCAAGTGTGCACTATGGCCATTGGCGGTGACTTGCGCCAGACAAGCTATCCGATGTGAGGTCGAAGGATGACCGGTAGGGCGTGGTAGGTGTCATTAGTCGGTTAGGACTGAAAGGGACCTCGGTCATTGGCTGTGAGGAGGCGGGATATCCTGACTCGAGATCGCGGTCCTCTGACGAAAGGAACGATCGAGTTTCTTCTGCGTCTTGGGCTTCGGGAGGCTCGTCGTCAAGTTCTTCGTCAACAGCGCGACGAGCTACGATATAGAGGTAGACCAAGATGGCAGCGCAAAGAGCGATGCCAACGAGGGTCCACATCTGAGCAAGCCAATCGGCACTTCCTTCATCGTCAGTGGAGTCGGGATCAGCGACATGGAAATCCTTAAAGGAATGGATGGAAGCACCGATGCTGGTGTGAATCACCACCTTAAACAGTGATAGGGCGGTGCACACAGTGTATGTGTGTAGGGTGAGGGTGGGGGATGCGGCCAAGAGGCAGTTGAGAACATTGTAGGGATAGGGGGCGAACCGGATGAGGAAGAGAAGCTTCGGTCTCTTTTCGATGGCCCGGACGACCCGTTTGATGCTGGTGTATGAGTTGAGCCATTTACCGATGGATTCCCGGAAGAGGGCACGGGACACGATGAAGACGACGAGAGCTCCGAAGAGCGCAGAAAAGTAGGAGATAATGGCCCCCATCCAGGTGCCGAAGGTATAGCCCGATAGTACGATGAGGGTGGAATAGAGGGGAATGGGCGCTAAAAACGATTGGTACAGGGATCAGTAAGTGTTCCGCTGTTACCAATGACATAGCGTATGACGAAAACTTACGGATGGTAGTCAAGAATATCAAGAAGAAAAGGATAGCATGGCCGTATTCTTCGTCAGATCGCAGCCAGAGCGATAATTCGTCGAGGACTGGAACGGGGTTGGTCAATATGAGCGACGATCGTGGAGCGTAGGACACGTTAGGAAAACACTCACGTGTGAAGAGCTCGGTTCTGTAGAGGGCGATCGCAACGACAAAAGCGAAGCTAGTAAGGGCGTACAGGATCATAGGTATCCATGGCTTCAACTTCATGACTATCCGTGGGCCCTTGGGAGGACGAGTCGTAGGATTCTGGAACGATCGTGAGGAGGGTTGAAGCTGTGGCTGCCCAATCAAAGGCGGAGCATCATGAGATGGGCGAGCGGGGTTGTGCGACGGCCGTGATGGGTTGGTGAACTGAGATTTTGGTGGAAGTTGAGAAGAAATGTATGACGAAGAGGGTGTCCGCTGTTGTCTTGAAGAAGAATTTAAGAAACCTGGTCTAGAAGAAGGAAGAGGCAGGTTTTGGTGGTGGAAAGATTGGACCTTCTCGTTGTATTCTTCTATGGGTGTTGCCAGAGAGATGAGGTCGACCGAGGGCGCACGACGAAGGTCGGTGTGTGCCATTTTTCCAACCTGTACCAGCAAGAAGGAAAGGAAAAAGGGAGAGAATGGCCGAGAGCCTAACGCACTCAGATAGCAGGGCGGGACAGCGAACGACAACAGACTGGAGCCCGCTAGATGTCAACGGCCTGGCTTATCGACAGATATGCTCCCACGCACAGCCTCTCATCCTCTTTAATCCTTTCAACTGCTGCGGAGGGTGCCACATTTTTCAAATCGAAACGCGTTCAATAAAGCCTAATATTATTCCCCGTTAATCCCAATCCCTCAAATAAGGAAGCAACTTTCCACGCGGTGACGACACACCTCCCAAATCCCGGCTTCACGACGTTCTTTTCTCCTCGAACACTCGACAGCCAGGTCAGCCAGATGATTTTCTTCCGAGCTTGCTCCACAATTCCAGCACAGCTGACCTCTGTCGTATTTCTGCAGGCGTCATGTTTCCGAAACTCTCCAGAGTGTTCACCAGGGGGCACAATCCCTTACAAAGACGCCTGGGCTCAACCGCCAGCGGCGAATCCAACCCGAAATCGCGGCATGCTCTCTTCTACTCAGAGACTCTGCCGGCAATGATGCCCGTGTTCCTCCTAGGGAGTGCTATCTATCTGGTACGTCACTCCATACGCACCACACACGGTCAATCCCATATCGCTTTGACAGGGTTTGAGGCTAACCCAGATGAAGCTATCCCACGAGAAGTATGTCGTCGATGCGGAGAGTCGAATCCAAGCTCTAGAAGCTGAGATTGCAGGCCTCGAAAAGAGCGGGCCAGAGCCTCAGGTTACTGTGACCTCTGGTTCCCAAACGCCGCCTTCAAAACCATCGCGCTGGGGTCTGTGGTGATTTTATTTATACCCTTACGAATAATTTCCCAGTGTGAACAAGATCAACTCAATTCACGACAAGAAACAACTAGGCATAAATTACTGGACAAAAGGTATATAAGCATTAGACGAACAAGCCGGCGGCCTCTAACAGTAAATGAGCGACATGGGATGGCGGTATCGAGAGTTATCATGACGACAGGATGCTTTTGATCAAGGTATTCTTGTGCTTGTCGTAGAGCTTCGCAGAACTAGGAAGGTTCACTGGTCAAAAACCCCGAACCAAGTTTCGAGCCAAGAACGTACCTTAAAATCGCTGATGTGAGGCCAGCGAAGGCCTTCACGGAATTCCGCCCTCGTTTCAAGTCGAAGATGTCGTAGGCTGTTCAATAAAGAAGTTAGCAAGAGAATAGCCTACCCGTCATCGACGGAATGAACTAAACCAAGGGCTACTCAGGGCCGCCCGTCAATAAAGATCACGACATGAGGCACACGAGGTCCGGGGGTTGAAGTAGGCACAAAAAAGAATACAGGTGAGATCAAAGAAGACGACTTACAAACGAAGATCAGGTCCATAGCAAGCTTCGCTCGGGTAACTTGGAGCCAATAGTCTTGCCGCTGGAGTCTCGATAGCTCCTTTTCGTCAATCTTGGACACTTTGGGCTTGGACTTGGCCGAAGCCCCATTTGCCATGGATTCGTTATACATCCTTCCTTCGACTAAAGCGGGCGGACGTCAAATGGGATGAATGAAGCGAGAACAGACGGAACGCCCTTGTTAGTCCTGAAATCTAACCCATCCAGGTTTGAGGCGCCGCACCTTCTGCCTGCAGACTGGTAATCATCTGCCGCTCTACCCCGTTCTCGACCAGACCAACTAGCGTGGAAAGGAACCAGCACCAATCAGAGAACTTGCCCGCTCGGTCTCCAAACTTCTTGCCAAACAGGCCGAGTAAAGATAATGTCGAAAGGTCATCTGCAACCGCGTTCAAGAGTTCGAGAAGCACAGGAGGCGGTGCGTACAAGGCGGCGTGAAGCAACGTTTGGGGTTTGGGTGACGACTTGGAGGAGGATTCGGAAGCAAACGGAGTGGCTTGCTGCGCTCGAATGGCAGAAAGGGGGTGCAGCCAATTGAATAACAGCAAACATTTTCTGCACCAAAGAGGCGTCAAGTTGTGGTCCAAGTGACTGGGGTTGCATGCACTCGTACCTCGTGAATGATAGGCCTGACGCTGTATCCGAGAGTCGTTTCACAAGGTCAAGCTGGATGCCTTTGGGGCGACGTAGTACGCGGTTCCTGGCAATGGAACCATGGAATAATAGGTATACTTTTATCGAGTATTGTATCAGTTTCTGTTCAAGGCAAACGAATCAGGCTTTAGGAGTGACAATATTCGAAGAATCCACGTACGAAAGCTTTATCTCTGCCATTGCTAGTCAGAATCATCTCCTTCCAGACATCCTCCTTCAGCACTCTCTTCTCCGCAGCTTTGACTCGTTCCTCCTCTTCGTCCAGGTCATCCTCGTCCACTTCCACATGGTCTGACTTTTCGTCGTTTCCCCCATATGTAGAAGCCTGGTACGTGGTTGACGAGCTAGAAACAATCGACGTCTTCGGTGTCCGTGGAGGATGCGAAGATAAGGGGTTCATCTGGAACGATGAGCTGGAGTCGAAGCCATTGGATGAATAGTACATGTCTTCATGTTGGGACGAGGCAGAGTGAACTGCCGGCTGGTTCGGGAATGTAATCGACGACATTGGGCGGGAGTCAGCGTCTTTCTAGCCCTTCAAGCGCCCGAGGTAGGCTGGGTTTCGAGAATTTTTGGGACGACAGAACAAAGTGCGCAAGGGTTCAGCTCAACAGCATAGGCGCGCAGAGTGGCACGTGTTAAGGGAGTAAACAACGCTGACCAAATAAACCGCAACGCGTCTATGCCGGCTGGCACACAGCAACCGTGCCACTATCGTTCCTGCCTTCACCGTCTCTAACCGTTTTTCTTGTCTTTTCTCCGCGGTCTTAGCCTAGAATCTGGGGTACCATGGCCAACAAGTCCATAAGTGAATCCGGACTGCGGTCGCCGCAAACTCCTCGTTCCAGCGCTGCTTCTCCCAGGCCGAAATTCGATGGGGATCTCCTGAAAGCTTACATGAAGAAACTCTTATCTTCGACGCTGCAGTCAAAAACATGGCCGGGTAGTAAAGACAGGGAGAAGGTTCGGGCTTGGAATAAAGAGATAGGTGAAAGAGTAAAGGAACGGATGGCTGAAATCCAACCGCGCGGTTTGTAAGTGGACTCCCGTTCCGTTACTTCGCACAAAGTAACAACCTGTCACCGACTTGCGTCCTCGCACTGCTCACAGCAAATACGTTGTCCTAACCCAAATACACGAGAATCTAAATCAAGGTGGCAGGTGAGTCTCAGGTTTCCTTGTTTTAACTGCGTTCTGATTGGATCGACTTTCTCTTCTCGTCTCTGTAACGCACGCCCTTCGCATCTCACTCGTCTTCTTGATAATCAATGCACTCCAACGGTGATTGAATGTCAGAGCGGATATCGTCTGCCATTGGGAAGACGGTGATGTAGTCGCACAAGAGATGTTTGCCAATGTAGGAATTCTTTCCATCTTCGTCCCTCGGCGACCTCGTTCTCATGGAACTCTGCTTCTTCGAATAGGACTCTTTGATCTGTGTATGCATAGCTCTCGCAATAGCCTGACTGTCTTCAGGTGATCAATACCCCCATTTCTACCCGGAAGATACCCATGCAAATCTACTGTTTCGTTTGGCGTCCCAATCTTGTGCACCGTTGTCGGATCTGGCTCCTATCTGCGGAGCTTCTTTAGGCTTTCCTTGGAGAGGCGCCAGGCTGCTTACGCTCTCATGACCTGCCTGGTGCTGTGAACGAATTTGGACACTTGAGTAGGTTTTATGATCTCGTTTGCTGTGGAGCGGTGTTGACTTTTTGTCCGCTAGATCCCAGGCTGGGACTAGACCTCGGCGGTAGCGAATCTCAGGCAGCAGCTTGCGCCCAATATTTTATCGACCAGATTCAAACGAACTGATTGTGGTTAGCGGCGGATTGTCATCGACCGCATCCAAGCTTGATGGGCTTTCTTGAGCGTCACGCACCGGTTTCGATCCATGGGGCATGTGAAGACAATTTACTTGCAACCTTATTCATTGCCACTGCGTTTCCCCATCAGCTCCTGATCAAACCGGGACAGAATGGGACTGTGAAGCACCAAATTTCCGGTATGTCCCCTCCACGCCCATGCCACAACAACTCGTTGTAGCTTTGGCATGTCATCTTGTGCGCGCTATCCACCCGTGCTTTCGTCATCGCTTTTCCGATCAGAAGGCTTCTGGAAAACTACCTGCTGTCTTTGGTATTTTCCTTGAAAAGGCAGCTTCCCTCTTTTTCCCTCGTTAGAAGTGTCTTCACCGAAGCGTTCAGCGTGGGTCTCGACGTGACGTTCACACGGAGTCGTGTCTAATTCGAGCTTGCACTACAACTTGGTTGAACGCAAGTTAGTCGCTCGATCGACCGCTGGTTGACACGCGGTTTGGCTGCACAGCAGATTTGTGGCTTGTCTCGAATCCTGGGATCACACGCCCAATGCTGTGTGGCCTATGGCAAAATATAGCGGTGGTCAGTGAGCATTCGCCGTTGAAGCGATGGCCGTCCGTGGAGCATCATACCTTCCAGCGCGGTGATCGCTTGCGTCGGGACCTTCTCTGCTATTAGGTCTTCTGATCGTCAGAACGTACCGCTTTCGATATGTTCTCATCATTCGCAGAGAACGAGGCCTTCTCTCCAGATTGCAACCTGGATCTGGTGTCCAACTTTGACATCCTTCTTTACACTGCCACAGTGGACAACTCCATTTCCTGCATTGTTGGCCCTCTGTCTGGTACTGGCGTTTGACGAGTGAGGATTTGAATGTTTGATTGGCATCTGACTTTGCTCAAGGCGTTATCTTATCGTGTGTACGAGCTTGAATGACACTACACCATGTGGAATGGGCCGCTCAAAGGGGTGTTCACACCGATGGGTAATAGGCTAATGCATGAAATGACGTTCGCCCGCTACACTGACGAGGTTTCAGTGAATGAGAATGATGAACGACGACAGATCCGCTTGGTGTCGTAGTAATCATAGAACGCCTGTGGTTCTACTCCAAGCACGATCATTGAAAGGAGCTCAAGATTCTCGATGTGGAGACAGGGATGGGCATTCATTATTGCGAAGCTTTGGGATAATTGAAGAACTTGATCGCAGCGCGTAACATAGGGGAATGACTGGCTACGTGCATCTAGGGTTAGGGTTAGGACGGTGAACGAGCAAAAAAGAAGGGGCCGGTCGCCAGAGAAGGCAACCGGCCAGAGCCAAATATTCAGGCGGTGCCCGGCCCAGAGGACCGGACAAGGTCGCCGTAAAACAGATTTACAGTCACAGGTTGCTGCTGCGTTAGCCTCGGTCCGCCCCGAGGAGAAAGGTCGAACCCGACGACTGCTGCTGGTGGGATTGAGCCTCACGAGGTGCAGTCCTCATGACTCTGGTCCAGCCAATAATGACTCCGCGAGTACAGGTTAATCGTTGTCCCGATTCTCCAAGTAACGCAGAAATCTCGCTGCCCACTCTACCTCCGTACTTTCCGACGGGAGCTGCTCATGATGTTATGTTTACTACCCAGACAACCCTGATACACCTCCATAACTGGGCTCCCATGATGCATGCTCTCCTGTCATCCTCGGGTAATGGAGGCTGAATAACCACTTCCATTCGCAGCCTCTTCTGTCGATCTGGATTCAGGTCTCTGCTGTGAGCACGACTGCAATCTCTCCACTTTTCCCAGAGATGGATTCATGCAGTCTTTTCACCGGCCCGCTTCCCAGCGACGCCTTGCCCAGAATGTAGCTTGGGGCCGTGCAATCTGGTCGAACTGTGTCTCCCAAAGGGTGACGGGATGTGTTCAAGGTATGACACTGTTGTGCATTTAGTGTTACCAATCTTAACTAATGAACTCTGGGGCCCTTCAATCGCCCGTAGCCAAAGCTTTTCTTGTCATCGCTTGACACTTGTAATCGCTGCCGATGGTAATAGTATCAAACGGAGCTGCCGACTATGCCCTGCCTGCACCCACGGGGAATAAACGCCCATGTCCACTGTCCACTTGCTAACAAACTAGCCCAGGTATCTGGACAAAAGCGACCGCTTGATCTGGAATCTGGGGTGTAAATCGAAACCACATTTGCTCCGGACTCTGAGACAGTCTTTGGTAGTCCCGTTGGTGCCCAGCCTGGACGCCGGTCTCGACTTGTGGGGGTCTCCTATTATACATACATGGCGCAGCTCCAGCAAGGTCGTTCGTTTGACAAAAACATGATGCGCAAAGGTAATTAGTCTGGAAAGAATCTACACATTCAAGGTTAGAAAGGCCAATTTAGGAGACTTCCTGTGAATTCGACGAGGAATATTGATTAGGTTTTTCTAGGTCAAGATCCCTCTCTTTGCAAATCTGGCTGGTGACGCCTTCGTTCCCTTCTCTTCGCGGACAGACAGTCGATTGTTTGACAGCTCGCGAGGGGGGGGGAAGAACATCAATTCCAGCTATTGAGCAACAGTCCCACGGAAGTCGACGCTTCGCCTTAATCATCCGCTGGTTCTCTCCGGGTATAACCCCGAAAAGCAAAATAATTATCCCTCGACATCAGCTTCCTCCACCTTTCTGCTCATGTGCTCCCAACTTGCCCGTTTGAATGTCGTTATCCTCGTCTTCTGATACCAACAATTGCCAGTCCACGACTGAAATATCGCCTCTCTTGGGCATGTCGGAGATTTTTCGTGGTTCACTGTTTCGGCATCCATGCAGCACACTTGATCAACCAACATCAGGGAACCCATCTCCACGGTGGATGGATGGATGGGCCACCGTTACCCACGGACTGACCACCATCTCTGGGAATAAGACACTTCTAACCTCACTTCCTCGCGTCTTATGTTCTGGTTTCCACTTAGGGTTAAATCCCAGGCATCCAACGGCACCGTAACACTCTGCTTTGCTCTGCTCGTGTATCAAGTCTATGAAATCCGAGTGTTTTGCTCTACCTCGAACAAAATCTCACCGTTCTCATCTCGGCCGCCCCTTGACTCTCTGCATCATCCCTACAATGTTCGTCATCTTGAAACTCGAAAATGTCCCCAACAAGTAGGGTTCCTGACGACGCCGCACAGACGCCTTCTACTTCGCGTCCTTCTTGCGGTATTGGGTTGTTCTTGATCTGCGCTGTGTTCTGGCCAGTATGTATACCGGTCGTTCCTTACTTCTTGAGGTCTATTCGATCAGCCAGGTACCGCGAAGAGCTTCGGAACGTGTTGTATTGAGACTTGTATCTGTTGTGTGTCCTCGGGCGCGATCAGTTGGCTGTCGGTGCCATGAAATGTCGCAAATAGCGACATCTCATTTCGAGTACACGGACCGAATGTTTTCCTCATGGCACCTTGTTACCAGTTTTGGGCTTCAGATTTCCCGGCTACGATGGAACTTACTCTAGGACGGGCTGCCGTGTATAACGCTATCTCATCTTTTTCTGGCTGTTTTGATCGGCCAACTGGAGGCATTGGTTCGGGAGTTTCACTGTCGATACTGGTAACGATACGCGTACTCAGTTTGCTTGCGAGTTGCTGATAACTAACGAGGTGCTGACAACCTCGGGCACAGTACCTGCCAACGTCTGGGTGTGGGCGTGGACACTCTAAGCATCCGATCCTTATCTGATGAGTATTCAGTCGTTCCATTGGTTACGATAGAGTGTCTTTGGGAAGGGAGGGTACAATTTGGGAAACCACCATCTCCAAAAACTAGGGTGTCCTTTCCTGTGGACCACTACTAACTACTCAACTCCATTGGTTACCATTCGCGCGCCTTGAACACACAAACGTTGCTCAGCATTCGTCGACCGTCCCTCTTACCTCTCGGCTCGTCACTCTGTCACCATGCTCAATCCACGACGAGACCCTCGATCGTTATCGCGACTGTAAACAAAGCAGTCGACTCGTCCTTGATCTCAAATAAAAACTGAACGAACTGGTAACTAGGAACCCATAAGACGGAAATGCACCCGCACTGATGAACTATGTTGCCTGTCCACATCTGCGTACTCTGCTCTTATCCACAGCTGGAGGGTCTGTGACCTGCGGCGAGATAATTGAGGTTCGTTTTAGGGCGCAGGAGCTTTTAGCTATCTACTTCAAAAGGGCGAAGACGTAGATTGGGATTATGACAATAAATACCATTGTTCCAGGGGAGAAACTCATTGTAGTACATGAACGTAGGTGGAATAATACACACTACTACGCTAAATGAACCAATCAAAGTAGTAATACATACAAGGTGCCTCTACAACACAACGTTCGGGTGATGCCAGGTGCTTTCTTCATATGGAAATACAGGAGATGTTACAGACATCAGTGAAGGAGACAGGGAAAGTGAAAGGAGACTAGTAAACAGTGAATGGACCAGGGGATATCAATAGCAAGGGCGAATGGAACAGGGGTGTTGAATAGAGGTGTGAGAAGGGAGAGAGTCGACCGCACTAAAGGGCCGTCACAGATGGACGATCGTCCACCCTGAGTCCTTCCATCCGCAATGGGCTACCCGGATAATCCTTCTTTGCTGCTGCCCGTCGCTGCCTCCTCTCCAATAGAGTCGCACCGTCCAGATCCAGTTCAAACTGTCGACCTTTGTGTCCCCTCGCCCTGTTCGCACCCGTTCTAGCAACCGAAGCGCTCGGCCCGCTCGTCCTCCCAACTCCCTGCGACTGTGCGTGATGCCACTCTCGGTTCCCTTGATCCCTTGGTCCTGCGCGGCCTTCCATTAGCGACGTATTTTGCGGAGCTTGGCCTTGAGGGTGACGTGGTTGCTGCTGCTGCTGTCCTGGGTGCCTGCGAACATCGTTTTCATCGGTGATGTCATCGTCCTCATCATCGTCCATCTCGTCATCTTCGTTAAGCTCGCTAAGGAAGCCCCGGGTCCCTCTACCGTACTTGCGTCGCCTGGCTCCTTCCTCTTCCATGCGATGCACAGCGTAGGTAATGTCAAAGGCCTCCTTCAAGGTGGCTAGACCCGGACTTCGACCCTCCCAGTTACCCCGGGGTGCGGAAAGAAGGGGTGAATCAATAGGTCGGCCGCCAGCCGCCGATATGGAGAATTTGTCGCTGTAAACAAGAGGGGTGGGGGGAGGCGGAGGAGCAGGCGCCGCGTTGCACCAAGGGTGTGCGAGGAATTCGTCGATAGTATACCTCTGGGCTGGATCGACGCAAAGAAGATGCTTGATGAGGTCCTTTGCTGAAAAGGGGTTAGTGGATAGGACACAGATAAATTGACCTTGGCGTACCGCTCTCGCTGATATCGTCCCACCAAGGGCTGAGGAAGGTATAGTATCCCCGTGCCACCTTCTCAGTGAGAACATTGATACTCTCATCGTAGAATGGAGGGAATCCACAAAGAAGGGTGTAGAGGACACAGCCAAGAGCCCACATATCTACACTCTTGCTGTATCGCTCATCCTTGACGATCTCCGGTGCGGTGTAACCAACGGTACCACAGGGTGTCATCGTCTGCTCATCCCAGACCACCTTACTAAGACCAAAGTCGGCGATCTTGACGCGACCAATACCGCCTCCTCCAACGCCGGGTATGAACTCGCCTTCGTCTTCCTTCTCTTCATCGTACGGTCGCTTTATTGGGTTCTTGGAAGGGATGATGTCTATGCGCTCGAATAGCAAGTTTTCAGGTTTGATATCGCGATGGACGACACCCCGTTCTTCATGGAGATGTCGTATGCCATGAGCGACTTGGAGGATAACATGACGCGAGAGGTTTTCACTGAAGTAGGTGAGCTTGACGATTTGATGGAATAGTTCTCCACCCTCCATTACTGTAGCGCATGGATGAGCCGAGTCTGCAATGGGAAGAGGGATCATCACTTACACTCAAGCACAAGGAAGTAATGCTCCGGCGATTCTGAAAAGGAGTAAAGCTTCACGATCGAGGGATGCTGAATGCCCCGCATGATCTGCACCTCTGCATTCGGCGTAAGATAGGAGGTGGAAACACGTCGAGAGACACACCTTTGAGAATATTCGCCCGCTAGAAAAGAAAGGGTCAGAACATCGTAAGACGGCCCATTTGTCCACAGCAAGAGAACGGCACCTCTGTCACACGCGGCTTCTTCTTGAATTGGGGATTGAGATGTTTCTCCCCTGCCTAAGCATAGATAGGACCGCGTGTAGCAGCAGGTGAACAAGGACAAGTAACAGGCAAAGGAGAGATCAAGATTAGTTTGGGAAGGAAGAAAACGAGGAAACTGAGAAGTTAGGGAAAACCACGAACCTGTGACGCATTGAGTTCGTATTTACGGACGACCTTGACTGTTTGCGAGATGGTTTAGTCAAAAGAGTTGGTCGATGCAGGGAGTAACTGACCAGCAACTTTGCGGTTGGTCGAGTGCTCCACAGCCTTGTAGACATTAGAGAATGCTCCACTAACGGATCATGTCAGCCTGGTGATTATCGTCAGCAACGACGATGAGCAGGACGCACTCTCCCATCTTCTCGAGCAAAGTATAGCTCTCAAGGCCTTTGTAAGTTGGCATCTTTGACTTTTCAGCGCGTTCCTGGTTGACGATCATTTCAGCTGCTTCTCGTGGGGGTGGCGACTTTTCGTGGGGCTGAGCAGCCTGTGCTGTGGGTTGCTCATTGTGGCGTTTGCTCGCCTGGGCAGGGGCGGGGCCGTTGTGGCCTTGAGGCTGATGCTGACGAGGCTTGGGTGCACGTGAGCATACTTGGGATGTGAAGATTATACTGAGAATTCAAAGGCACCTGTTCGTTCTGTCTGGGCGGCTGTACGTGGTTGTGGTGCTTGCCGTGGCGAATGAGGTCTGGTCGCTGTGATTAGGGGCGTTTGGACATCGAGAACAATGAAGACGACACACTCTTGAAAGCATCGACGACGCCGGTTGGAGGCATTGTGGAGATGGGGGATCGAAGAAGGATGAATTGCAGAGAAATGTTGTTGTTGACTCAAAACTAGTTATGGATGCGGGCTTTGGGCTGTGGGAACGATGACGTCAGATGACGTCGATCTAATTATCATTATATTTACGCTAGTTCCAAGCAGACGCCTTCCGAGTCCGAATAGACGCGGGTAACTCGAGGCAATGCTCCTACGTAGTCCTCTCCTGCACACACCCTAACATATCTAACACCAGCTTGGCCCAGCTCCGTGATCAGAGGCCCCAGTCTCTCCACACTGTCACTCTCGTTTTGAAACGCAATCCCATCCGGCATTCGCACCAACTCCTTTAACCCCCGCACTAATTCTGCTGCTTCTCCCTCCCACTGCGGTACAGTCATATCCACAAAGTCGATGTACAGCTCTCGCAATTGTGGTGCATCGATGGCAGCCAGGCAGCCCACTACAACCTCGACTGAACATGCTGCGATATGCAACGCTGTCAGATTCGGGAGGCATAACCTGCTGGACGCTCGAGGAACAAAGCCCGGTGGACCAGCCCACGAGAGCTCCTCAACGCTTCCACCAATCCCTTCGATCGATAGGAACAACTGCGACGTCTGTTCTACTAGGTCGGTGCATTCAAAGGCGTCGAGCTCGAGTTTCTTCAGCCGCTTCGGTCTCTCGGTGGTTTCCTCCAAAATCTCCAGGTATAAAGCACATAATTCGTCGTTGAATTGAAATGCGATACCTTCCCACCGCGTGATATGTTCCATGAATATCTCCAGGTTCTCTTCTGTGAACTCATCCCGATCGCACTCCACTGTCGTTGCGTGGGCACACTCGACGAGTGGAGGGGAGATATGCAGGTTCAATGGTCGGTCTCCGGCGCGTTCAATCCATGCTCTGATAAGGTCGGGGTGGGGGACGCATTGGCCGTACTGAGTTCCTGAGACCGAAGTCCAAAGGTGAGGAAGCGAGTCGACAATGTAGCGCAATCCCGTCGAAACCCCGCGAAGGGACAGCGGAGGAGCGTTATCGCGAGGTCGTGCGAAGCGGTTGAAGAGTGTGTCGACTTGGTATTCACCATCGCCGTAGAAGAACTGGGCTAGCTCCCAGGAGAGTTCTAGGGGAAGTTTAAAGATGGCTTGCATGCTGTTCCATTCGGTTTTCTTTCCGAGTAGCTGCCTGGCGGCGTCGCGTTGGGCTTGGAATGGGTTGGTCATTGTGCAGCGACTGCGGTCCCGTTTCAGGCGGTGAAGAGGAGTATGGCGGTGGTGATATCGAGTTACCAGGGGTGTTTCTTCAAGCTACTTGTCGCTCACTTGCTAGTTATTGAATCGAGAACAATAACATTTTTTCCTGTCGTTACAACTTCCTAGACAAAAAGAATGGACTTCTATCCCTTGTCACTTTCCTTGATCGACCTCAGTCATGTTTTTGTTGAGCCGTTGGTACATTGCCGTCGCGAAGCAAACCGAACTGCGAACAAAAAGAGCCCAGTGAGGCCCAGTGAACCTTCCAAAGACGGCAAATCCTTTCCACGACTGTCAACCAGCTCCCAACGCGGTGCGCGCAAGTCATTTCTTGGTCACCATCTACATCTCATTTCTCAACTCCATCTTTCTGTAAACCAGGCTAACCAACACGACGATGAGTGGCCTCGCCGATGAACTGCTCGCTGACCTTGACGGACTCTCCGGTGGCGAGGAAGAGCACGAGACCACACCTCAACAGCAAACTGCAGGAGCCTCGTCCTCCTCGTCCTCCCTCCCTCAAAAGCGCAAAGCAACAGACGAAGGACCGGGTTCAAGTCTCGCTGACGAGCTCGATATGGATGACGACGAAGATGAAGAAGATGGTGGGGCCAATGCGGAAGAGGAAGAGGCGAGCAAGGGAAGGGAGATTGGTTCGCTTGTCATGGAGGGGGGCGTTCGTCCCGCGGACGAGCTTGACGCAGAAGATGTACAACAGATGGAACTTGGCTCTATTGAAGATGTGACCAAGGTGGCTAAGCTGGAAGGGAGCAAGAAGATGTCGGATATCTTGAAGGTCTGTCTAGAGCATCCTTGCTTTTGTTAGTTTGCTGGTGGAACTGACGTTGGTTTGGGGGGCTTTCAGGATATTGAAAAGTACCAGGAAAACCCTTCGACGCCTGCGCAGATGAGCTTGCCGGCCCATCTGAACCCTGAGTACACTCTCATCGTTCAAGCCAACAACTTGTCCGTTGAGGTCGAAAATGAAATTCTTATCGTCAACAAGGTACGCTCCTCGGTCCTCTACCTACTCAATCATGTCGACTCACTTGACCCTTAGTTCATTCGAGATCACTACTCTCCCCGGTTCCCTGAACTCGAACAGCTGGTAACAGATCCCACCATGTACATCAAAGCGGTTCGAGCCCTCGCCAATGCAGATGTACGGTTCCTTTCCTATTTACCTTGACCTGACCATTTAATCCAATCTGGTATAGGACCTGACCAAAGTCGAACTTTCAGGCATTTTGCCACCCGCCGTGATCATGAGTGTCGTAGTCACTGCAACCACTACCCCGGGGACCAAACTGTCTGCTGCCAGTTGGCAAGCCATCGAGAAGGCTTGTGGATTGGCCGACAGGCTCGAGGAGGCAAGGAAAAAGGTATGTGCACCCGCCATTTAATCTTCATATGCGAGTACTGACGACAGGGACAACGACAGATATTCATGTACGTCAGTTCAAGGATGAACGTTCTCGCACCCAACCTATCCGCTATCGTTGGTACTACTACAGCTGCGAAACTCTTGGGTGTTGCTGGTGGATTAGCGGCGCTGGCAAAAATGCCTGCGTGTAATGTCCATGTACGTTAATTACCTTCTCTTCTGTCCAACTACTAACGGGAGCCTTGTTTCATCGCATAGCTGCTTGGTGCACAGAAGAAAATTACAGCTGGTTTCTCAACCGCCACTCAGAAACGGCATACAGGTTTCATCTTCCAGTCTGAATTGGTCTCGCAAACGCCACCAGAGTATCAACTCAAGATTCAGAGGACAGTGGGCGCCAAGTGCGTATTGGCTGCCAGGATGGATCTGGAGAGGCAGAGGAGAGACGGTAGGTTCCTGGGGATCGCTGCCATCACAGTCGCTAATGGTCATGCTCGTTGACACAGGAACCTACGGCGAGAGTTTAAGAGACAAAATCGAGAAGCATATTGATAGGTTGGCGGCTCCACCACCCTCCAAAGTCGTCAAAGCTCTTCCTATCCCCAACGATGGTCCCAAGAAACGTCGTGGCGGTAAACGGTGAGTACCATCGTTTGCACTGTCCGCGCTTGCCATAAGACTGACCAACGATTTTGATAGGGCTCGACGGGCGAAGGAAGCATACGCTCAAACCGAACTTCGCAAACTACAGAATCGCGTCATGTTCGGCGAGGCAGAGGAGGAAGTTGGCGCGTTCGACCAGACTAAGGGTCTCGGTATGATTGGCCTTGCTTCCGGTAAAGTTCGTGCCAGTGTTGGTGAAGCCAAGAGCAAAGGTCCGTTCCTCTACATTTCTCCATAGTTCTGGAAAGCAGTATTGCTGACTCGACTTGTAATAGCCAAAATGTCCAAGCAAAACAAATTGCGAACGGCAGCTCTGGCACGATCGGCTCAGCAGGCGCAGACTTCAGGGACGGCTACGTCACTTAGTGTTACTCCAGCTCAAGGTAGGTTGGTCATCGTTATACTTCCATTTCGATAACTAAGAGTGTTCTGTCGTAGGTTTCGAGCTGACCAATCGAGCTGCAATGGCCCAGAGAGTGAAGGAGGCCAATGAACGGTGGTTCTCTGGTGGAACGTTTTCATTTGTGGGGCAGAAAGGACAGACGAAGTGAAGATGCGATTCGTACATGTTTTTCTTCCACCGTTAGAGATCAATATTATGCTTACAGTCTGCCCGGTACACTTGTCGATGCGAACATGGAATCAACAATGCGATAAGGTATGCATAATGGACTAATAATACAATGCAGATGTAAGACTACGACTAATTAGATAAAGGAATGTACAGTTTGTGTGTGTGGCATGTATTGACATCGACATACAGCACCGATAGCGAGGATTTTATCGACAACTCTTGTTGGCTTTGACCAAAAACGTCGAGACGTTTACGCAGACGGCGAGGATGTCTCGGCTGCGGAAGCGTTGGTGGAATGTGACAGGTCGATTTTTGGTTTGCTGCCAGCAAGCTTGCGCTTCGACTTGTAATCCCGAATGGCCGAACGGATAGCGTCTTCGGCCAACACTGAAACCGACCGTCAGTTTGGGAGACACGGTGAGTGGATGATCATAACGTACTGGAACAATGGAGTTTGACGGGGGGCAAGCAAAGCTCCTTTGCAATTTCGGTGTTCTTGATCTTGCCTGCCTCCTCCAGGGAGAGCCCCTTGACGCGCTCGGTCATATACGAGCTGGAGGCAATGGCACTACCACAACCAAACGTCTTGAATTTGACGTCAGAAATAATTCCGTTCTCATCTACTCGGATTTGGAGCTTCATGACATCGCCGCACCTGGAGAGGGGTGAAAAAGCAAGGTTAGCAACGTGGGAACATAATCGGGGGCCAGCGGGAGAGGTTGATGCTGGCAAGAAGAGCAACTTACGCAGGTGCGCCAACTAGGCCAGTGCCGACGTCTATGTCGTTCTTTGGTAGTGAGCCGACCTGTTAATGTGTATGACGACAGAAATTGTGGGATGGCGGGCAAGGATTGGTGCGTTTATCAGATAAAGGGGTCCAGACTCTGAGAAAAAGGCCTGTACATACGTTTCTAGGCTTTTCGTAGTGAGAGATGACTTTCTCATGGTACGAACGCACAAGAGTAGGGCGAATTGCTGTCCTTGAGATGACAGGACGGGCAGCAGCGAACAAAGGTCTGGAGATAGCTGAGCGGAACATGGTGGTCAATGGTCAAAGAGCAAACTCCCTCGCCGAGTGCGATGATGACTAGTAGCGAGAGCCACAACCAATCACAGTCACATGCTCCACTCCGATTGGCTCCTGCCGAAAATGATGACATCCCTTGCCAAGCATGACCAAGCAAGGCTTCCTATTGGCTATCACGCTGTGGCTGTGACTCTCGCCTTTCAGGCCATCGCGTAAAGTGGTTTACGGTGTTCGATACAGAAACAGAATGAACTCTTCATCTCGTCCGGCCGACAACTTGCCCTCGACGGCGCGCTCGATAGCGCTGCTGCTATCTGCCACACCTGGTGTACAAGATGCCCAGCCAGGCGTGCTTCACCAACTTCTCGAGTTCTCCCATCGCTACACAATGCAGGTCTTGACCGATGGGAGCGTTTATGCTGAGCACGCCGGACGCGCTGGTAAACTCGAGATGGAGGATATAGTGTTGGCTGTACAAGCTCGCGTTGGCTGGGAGTTTGGTGGACGGGTACCCAAGGAGGTATTCTATTCTGTGTTATTATGCTAATCGTGCCCTAATGAGCCACCTAGTACATCCTATCATTAGCAACAGAAGTCAACGCCGCTCCCCTCCCACCAGTACCCGAAGTCTTTGGTGTCAGACTACCACCAACTTCAGAATGTCTCGCATCCGTAGACTTTGACCTGATTCCCAACAAACCGCCACCAGGTGTCAAGATCTATGACGAAGAAATTGAAGAGATTGAGGAGGAAGAGTCGGAAGAAGACGAGGAGATGCAACCCGTTGAACCCGAGAGTCAGCAAAGTGCAGCCATAAACACTATGATGGCAACACCCTCATCGGCATCACACCAGGATCCTGACCAGTTCGCCGATACGCCATTCCCTATCAGTGCCATTGCAACACCCTCAGACGTCGATATGCTTGGCACACCTGGAATTGGCGCCAGAGCCGAGGCGGAAGAGGGCAGTGACGCTGATGATGATGGTCTATTCGCCGGACCAGACGATGAAGAGGAAGAAAGCGATGGCATGGAGGAGGTACAAACATCTTCCGCAGTAAATGGTGTCAAGAGGAAGCTCGTCGAGGAAGACGACTACGACTGACCAATGACCACTACACGTTTTGGTCTCGCGAGCATGTGTACATTAGTGAAACAGATACAGGCCTTATAATGATAATGATAAGTCTAGATGAGGGCGTTCTAGATGACATTAGTCGATTTAAGGTATACTTGGACAAAGAACGCCAGGATAATGATGAGAATGCAGAGGATGACCACCCAGAAACTGGAGCCTGGACAAACGGTCAGTTTAGGGAGGCAGTGGCAGCAGGAAGAAACTCACCAGTGTTGGCAGCCGTGGTCGGAATACTAACGACGCGAATGGAATTGTCGGCGCTTCCAGAAACGAGCAGGGTCCCGGCAGGGTTGAATTTAATGACCGTTGGAGGGAACTCGTGGGCTTTCAAGATAGTAGCACAGGGCTAACGTGAACTATGAGTGAACGGGCAGCGTGCTTTGAGAGCGAGACATACCGCCAAAGTCGTCGCATCGACCATGCCGATGCTCAGGTCCGAAGAGCCAAAACCAAGGAACCGACCATTCGGGCTAACTTGCGTTCAGCAAGAGTTGACGACAATAGGAAATTTATTGCTAACCTGATATCAAAGCAAGTAACCCCTTTGTCTCCGATCTTGCGCGACTTTTCAGGCGTCCACGAGTCTGTGTTCCACTTGACCGCGTACCCTTGTCGGCTAGCTGTCTTCTTGGAACGTGACCGAGGCGGCACTGTGTTAATAAGGGTATACGCGACTTTGTCGTTGGAAGGGTGGATTCTAGGAATATACAAGTCAGTCCAACACCACTACACTAGTAACAGCAGGAGCGGACCTGATAGATCGGAATGTTGCGCCCTCTCCGACAAGCGAGGAAGGAAGGTCTACGGTCTTCTTCAGTGTCAACGATGATGGAGCTTGCTTTTCGCCATTGACAGTGGATGTTTTGTTCTTTCCCTTCTTTTTGGAGGCAGTGGGACTTGATGGTTGAGACGTCGAGGGGAGTTCATACACCAGGAGGTTATGCGTCGTTGCGACAATCAACTACAGTGGAGAGCGTCAACAACGGAAAGGGATGATGATGAGACACGTTGGAATTCCCATACCAAGTTTGCCCCGAATGCGACGTCGTATATTTCTTTTTCGGTGTGAATTGGATTTGCAACAGGACGAAGAGACGGGTATGAGAGGAGCGATAGCTGTGGAAATGTCAGACGTCCATCCAGGAACTAGGCAAGTAAGTTACGCACATCATGAGCACCAGCAACTGCCAGTACCGAACCATCCGGAGAGAGAACAGTCACTTTCTGCGTTGTGGATAGTTTAGTACAACGCGTCAGGACATATGATTAGCCCCTACTTGATAGTCTTCAAGGTCTCCGCCGGGAAGGGTGCTTTGAGTCCGAAGGGGTGAAATACTATGTCCGAATGTGTCAGAATTGTGTCGATGGACTGGGACAACTGTATCCCGACCTGCTGTCATTGACGGTGTATATCCGACAATTCTCGTTGAGGCCCTTCTCTAGCTTCTCTTCAGTGCTATTGATGCCACAGACTATTGTGTTGCTCTGTCGACGTGTGTGAGGTGGTTTGATAGGGGGGATTAGACGCCAGGGTCATGGTGCCTACCTCGGCGTGAACGGCCATGCTCATAGGTGCATCCTCCCCCTTCTCCAGTTCAAACTCGGTCTTTTGGTGGATCTCCAAGGTATCCGTCACTTCATACAGTCTCTAATGACACTGCTAAATACTTGAGCTTGTGTGGGGGAGTAGCAAGTCCACATACCAGTTTGTTCTTGATTCCGCTTCTCGTAGCGCCACCACCGCCTCCCAGGACGACTTTATTGTCTGAGAGAAAGGTGCAGGAGTATACTGGGAAGGAGGGTAGAGGGTGTTGTGTATGCCGTGGCCTCATTGTTGCGCAGAATAGTCGAGTCAAAGATAAGTTGCAGGTTAACGCTGGTCAGGAAGCTTGCTACGTGCGCGGTTAGGATTGCCATCATGTGACCTCATCCCATCAACGCCATCAAACTTCTCCCAAAAAGGCAGTTGAAACCGGACAACTCCAATCGCTGTTCGCTTGCGTCTTGCCTCACTCACTGCACACCACCGTTGTCGACCGTTTGTCGCAGCTGGGCTTCACAAAAGCTTTCCTGCGTATAGCCCATGTGGCTGAGCTTCTCCTCTTCCCTAGCCGCTCTATTTCTATCTCTATCTGTTGCAGCAACACGATCTAGCCATTGCCCGGAGCAACTTTAATCAAACCAAAACTATATCGAATTTAACCATTGAACACACTCACTAACTACACTAATGGCTCACATCCAACCACCGCCAGTGTTGGCCTACGGTTTGTCCAGGGCGATGCACGCTGCATATGAACAACTAGGGGATCTGCCACGAGTCTCGACAAAGACATTTATTGGTATCCTCGTCGCCATCTCGGGAAACGTGTTGATTTCGTTCGCGCTCAACCTCCAGAAACTCGTGCACAAACGCATTGAACAAAAGAATAACTCGGAGGGAGTAGGAGAATGGGATGACGGGTCGGTTACCCCGACGCCGATTTCTGGGAAGCAAACCGCGAACGGACATTTCCCGCCACAGTCGCCCTTGCCAGAGGAGGCCCAGGAGGATATGGAGTCGGGGGAAAGGGGAGGAAAGGATAAACGTCAGGCAGGGGATGAAACACCTAGAGCTGAAACATCTGCCTTTGTTGCAGAGGTTGAACCACCGGTACCCGTCCTGGCAGGGGGAAATTATGGTTCCGTATTGACTGGTGATCCCCCTGCCCAATCGGCCCCACCACCTTCCCGCACATTTGCCTCGCGAGTGCTACCTTTCAAACTGAAAACTCAAAGGGGGGAGAGGACAACATCGGCTTTACCAGTAGAGGTTGTGACAGAGGAAACAGCGCTTCATGGACTCGACAGTCGGCGGAAATTGAAACGGAACCCGGACTCGAGGAGCTCTGTGGAGAGTAACGAAGGAGACTATTTAAAGTCCAAACTATGGTCGGTGGTCTCGCCCTTTCCGGTTGGGGAGTCACTCATAATCCTACTAGGTGGCTAGGGTTCCTCTTAATGAACATTGGAGAGGTTGGAAACTTCATCTCATACGCGTTCGCACCCGCTTCCGTCGTCGCACCACTCGGAACAGTACGCGTTTCCGCACTTGCTTTCCGGAAAGTATTATGACTGACCTGGCCAACTAATTTGCTCTCATTGCCAATTGTTTCTTCGCGCCCTTGATGCTCAAAGAGAGGTTCCGCAAGGTGCGCTTTCCTCTGGTTCTTACCCGAGCCTCACTAACGCTTGGAATCAGCGTGACCTCGCGGGCGTCGTAATCGCAGTTATTGGCGCTGTGACCGTCGTCCTGGCTTCCAACGCGTCAGATACGCGACTCGATGCCGATCGTTTGATGCAGGCGATCAGGCAAATTCCATTTCTTGTCTTTTCTGCGGTATACGCTGTTGGAGCAATTATACTCGCAACGCTTTCTCAAGGAAGTTTGGGAAGGCGCTATGTCGTCATTGATGTTGGCCTATGCGCGTTATTTGGTAAGTGAACATGAGAAGGCACAGGCTGCGTCGTTAACATGCTTACCAGGTGGCTTTACTGTGCTGTCTACCAAAGCCATTTCAACACTGCTAACTACGGAATGGATGGCGATGTTTACGAAATGGATAACATATCCCCTCATTCTGGTTGGTGGAAGTTCATCCATATTTTTTCGTCCTGACGTTGTCCTAGATTTTGGTCGGAACGGGCGTTGGCCAAATACGATATCTCAACAGGGCGCTAATGCGTTTCGATAGCAAGGTAAACTTCATCTCGTTAACTCAGACCGGCACTAATTTCCGTCTTCAAGATGGTTATCCCCATTCAATTCGTTCTGTTCACTCTCTCTGCGATCGTCGGTTCGGCTATTCTCTATGGAGATTTCAAGAAGGCGCAATTCCACCAGATCGTCACCTTCCTATACGGTTGCGCTGCCACCTTTACTGGGGTGTTCATTATCGCGTGGGCCCCCAACGACGAACAGAGCATGACCGACAATCCCGATGTTAGGGCGGCAGACGATGTGAACGCTGTTCTTGGAAGCCCTGATCAAACTCGCCTGGGACTTGGAACAATTGGGCGTAGAAGGCGCGCCACCTTAGTGCTTCCTAGCGGTGTTCGGGACACACCTAGCATTCGTCACAAGCGCAGCACGCTCGGCATGGGCATATCACCTGCACAAGTGAGCCATATGATCTTTTTGTCCTTTGCTGCTTCTGAGATGGGTTTCACAGCATCTGTTGTTGGTCCATACCCCTCCAGGGGATCTCCCTCTTTCATCGCAAATGCGAGAGGATGGATTGAACGACACTGATACTGAGCTAGGTATCTCCTCGCCAGAGTCATGCGGCCGACCGCGCAGGCTAAGTTGGTATGGAAATGAAACTGCACCGGGTTCTAGGACGCGGGACAGTAGCATCATGAGCCGACGGCCCAATGTGTCCGGTTTAGGACGATATGCCGGCAGTTGAACCTTGCATCGCCTTGTACTCGTGACGAGAGAGCCCTCGTAATACCATCACTACGAACGGTGCAAGTTCTCTCTTTTTTTTAGATCTGTATTGATTTAGTTTGTACACTAATATTTAATCGGGACAGCTCGTGAATTAATTCTCATAGTAGTCAACATGGCTTCCCGTTTGCACGAGGTTCCTGCAAGCATGTCTGGCGACGTCGACGTCGAATGGAATGTTTCCATCCGCAGGCTGAGCTCTTTGCGACGTACAGGGTGTTCGTCGATGCCAGTCGGACATTGCCCGAGAAAGCGTCAGACCTCGAAAACCCCAATGGAACTCCCTTGGCACCTTCGCGTCATTCTCGACGTCAGCTTCCTGAAGGCAACCTTCTCGCGTCCTTGTCAACCGTCGATGGTTCCAGTTCTCAAACGTCAAGCCCTTTGGGCCACAGATCCCTGGGGATATTCTGGGAATATAGCCTGCAGATAAGGTGGTAGCCCTTCGCCCCGTAGACCACAAAATCTAGGAGAGATACATATGCATCCGAGCTGGGTTCGGAATGACTACGGCTCTCGACACGCGGAAGAGATGTTCCTTCACGAAAGTGTCAGAATAGCGAGGAGGGTACCTTCAATTTGCCGTGCTCCCCTCCGCGGCAAAATTCTGTCGAGGTGGTGTGTACCTGATCTTCCTGGAGTTCATTGGAACCTTCGAACGTGGTGCCATAATTGGAACTTTGCTTACCCGTTTGGCGGAGTTAGAACTTGACAAGGAGGGACTTCCTCAATGTCAACTCTGCGATGATTTTTACACAAGAGGGGTGTTGTGGTGCTGGAAGCAGCAGGCTGTAAGTCAAGTCTATGCTTAGAATCTTGAGAAGCGAACTTCGCATGAAAATCCTGGTTTAAAGGACTAATCGTTCGATTCCATGAACTCACTCCCATGGCCATCAAGTGTCATTAAGATATATCCGGCTACTACATTGGAAGTACCTGTTGTTATCCGTGAACTTGCTACTGATTTCCTTTAACGCGTCGGTTGTCCAGGAGATTCATCTGAAGTCTGAGTTCCAGGGACAAAGAACGGGCAGGTTTCCAATTAGCGACACAGTGACTGCCCCCTCCAATGCCGGGACACTTCATCGGCTTTGGCGGGTGACCGAGTCGCGAGGCAGGGCAATGTGGACTATGCCCCGCGGTAACCATTTGCTATTGGATCAGGGCAATTACTCTGTACTCTGTACCTTTACCTCTCACCCGTTTCAGCCACCGCCGCAGCGTTTATTCGGCACTGACAATGACCTCCAATACTGCCACTGCAGAGCGCTTCAAATTATTCGCAACTACAGGCCACCTCATGGGACAAGGACGCGGAGGCCGTTATCCTATGGCATACACATCTGACGAGGGCCTCAAAATTCATGTTGTTGGTGGAACATCTGGAATCAATCGGAACTGTCACTAGTCACCCAGCCTCGTTCTCCGCCCCTTCTTTGGTGCACACGGGATCTTGGACTTTTGGCCATTTAAATGGCGAGTTTATAATCGCCTCCTCTTCGGCTCCCTGAACCGCTCTACTACCAATGACTGCTATGATTGGCACCCTCTTGTCTTTGTCCCTCCTTGGAGCTTTATGGTTCCTCTATGTGGTTGTGCGTCGCCTCGTATTCCACCCATTGGCTCGTTTACCGGGGCCACCGCTCGCTGCTATTACGGGCCATTACAAGACTTACTTTGACGTGGTTCGAGGAGGACACTGGCTTCGCCAATTGGACAGGTTACACAACAAATATGGTTCGTGGCGATTTCAGCTCTCACGCAGGTTACCAACCCATGCTCAACCTCAATAGGCAGCGTCATTCGTGTTGGCCCTAACGAAGTATGCCTAACCCATGTCCCACGCCTTCTCATATTCACCCGGGCCATCGCATCCAGCTTCACTTCAAGGACCGCCAAGTCTACGACCGTATTTTCTCCCCAAACAACCACTTCACAAAAGACCAAGGCTTCTACTCGTGTTTTGGCGTCGGATCATCGACCTTTGGTGCAACCGATCCGATCCATGCCAAGGCCAACAGGGACTTATTGGCGCCTTACTTCGACAAGCGGGCAATGCTTGATCTCGAAAGTGTTATCTCCTCGACGGTAAGCCCGCTCTCTTGTACATCCCGTTGACCGAGAAAAGAGTAGAGCTTCTCGTCATCTCCAGGTGGAGCTGCTTGGGACGCGCCTAACGAACCGAGAAGCCCCGATCGATATGTTCTACGGCTTCCGATGCGCGACCATGGACATCATCACCACTCACTGCTTCGGACGGTCATCGCAATTGCTCCAAATGCCGGACTTGAGGACACCGCTGCTCGTCGATATCCAGGACTCGATCCCCCTTCTGTGGAGTATGAAATCTTTCCCGTGGCTTCCTGTTGTCCTGCCATGGCTTCCGCCATGGATAGGGACTGGACCGAAAAGGCAATACGATGCCTTTATGCGTTTGCATGAATTTGTCAGCCAAGAAATTGCACATGTTGCGAAGCAGGGCTGTGGACAGGGGCCAAAAGGCGGTATTCCTCGGTGTATTTACCAAGATCTGATAACAGTCTCCCCCTTGGTACACGGGAAAAGGTCCCATACCTACCTTGTGGACGAAGCACTGTCTCTCATCCAGGCCGGAAGCGACACGATCGCCAACACTTGCATCATCGGGTTCTTCCACGTTCTCAACAATCCCTCCATCCATGCCCGGTTAACAACTGAGCTCATTCGAGCGTTTCCCGACTCTCAGGGCCCATTCGCCTGGTCAGATCTGCAGAAGGTATCTTACTTGGTCAGTCATCTTGTCGGCTTCCTTCACTCGTCCTAACTGGTTTGTTCGCTTTCAGACTGCCGTGATTAAGGAGTCCCTCCGACTGTCAAACGGGTTCGTCTCACCCCTTCCGCGAGTTGTTGGTAAGGATGGTGTGGGACTCAATGGCGTGGACATTCCACCAGGGGTGAGTTTTGCCGCAGCGAGAAATCGTCCACTGTCCACTCATCCTTGTCAATCAGACTGTTGTCAGCGTGGGGCCGAGTTTCATACACTCAGATCCAGAGATATTCCCTCGTCCAGAAGAGTTTTGTCCCGAGAGGTGGCTAGGAGCCAGTCCTTCCCAAAACAGATATCTCATACCATTCTCTCGAGGCCCTCGGATGTGCCTAGGCATCAAGTACGCAACCGCTCCTTGTCGGGATCTAGCACTAATCATTGTTCTAGCATGGCGTGGACGGAATTGTACCTCACGTTTGGGATTCTCTTTCGAAAGCTGGACATGGTGATCACCCATGGCCCAAGGTGTGTGACTTCCATCCCATCAACATGCGACTAGAGAATAACAGCTAGGACCAGTCCGAAGGAGATGGCCGACTTTGTTGACTATTTCGTGCCAGTCTACGGCGGCAAGCATCTTCACATACAGGCGAAATTGAAGGATCCCTGAATCAATTTCTATCTCGAATACCCTTGAGCCTTATTGGCACGCAATCCAGGTTCTTTAGAGTTGGTTATACCAGAGTCCGCCACGTACTAGATAGATCCGTCCAACTGCACCCGCTCTCCAACGCATCGTATGGGTAGTCGCCATAACTAGGAATGGGAAGGGCGTGCGAGCGTAACATCCAGCTTGGTCGCCAGTTTATTAATCTCGCTCTCGAGTTTGGCTATCCGTTTAGCACTAAGGATTCACGGGGTCAGTCATGAAGGAGAATTGGTCTAGGCCATGTCGACTCACTCTTCGTTCGAGCGTTTGCCATATTCGAAGGCTTGTGAGAAACCGAGAGAGCGATTAAGATCCATGGTTTGTTCATGACGCTGCTTCTCCTTCTCGACGATGGCCTTGAGCGCCGGTGTAATCCTTTCATATTCACGTTCCAACTAAAAAGGAGTCAGTAGGCCAGCTCAACGAACAGGGAAGTAGACACACCGCTTTGACCCTCGCAGTCAGCGATCCTTCGTCATACCGCCCTTGTCCAAGAATTTCCGCCTTCATTCGCTTGAGCTCTTCGAACCACTTGGTCTCGTTCTCGCTCAATTCTGGTGAGGCTTTCTCCATGAGGCTCTGCAATAGCCTGTCTAAGCGCTTCATGATCCCTTTCTGCGCATCTTCAACCTGTTTCAACCTAGAATTCCCGGTGGATGATGACTTCTCCTTCAAGGTGGCCAAAGTCTTTCGGATTTCTTGACACTTGGCCACCTGACGAGCCAATTCCTCCTTTTGAAGCGATGCTCGAGCTTCAGCCGCACGTTGGGCGATGTAGAGTTGGTGGATTTGACTCGTAATCTGCTCGATAGTCTTGCCGATGTAGCGCAGGGTATCAGGAGTGAGCATGAATTCGGATGACTTCGGCGGCAGGGACAGCTTGGGAAGTGTGGGAAGACCAGACGGCTTGAGGATCGGTGGAATGGTATAAGGATTTTCTCCGAGGAGAGTCACATAGCTTGGGGGCCCGTCCCCTGGAGTCAGCCATCGACTCCGGGGCTCGGAAGTCGTCGCGTCAGAGGCAGTGATTTCCTTTGGCTTCGGTTGGGGCGGTGACATTGGGAGAGGCTCTTCCGTTTGCAGGTTGAGCGGGAAGGCCGTCAACCGCATCGTCGATGTCAAGATGAAGATGCTGTAGGTGAGGTGCACATCATTGGGTACGGCCACAGCAACCACTGGATTGGAGCATCTGAACTCGATTCCATTAGAGAGGTCGATAAAGTGCAAAGTAAGAGCCTACCTGCGATCAATCGAGAAAGTAGCGAGAATAGGTTGGACAATCGTTTGAGCTGCCTGCTCCAACGTTGACTTGAGGGAGGATTCCGCTGCATCGTCATCGATTCGTAGAGCGTGGGCTAGATTCTCCAGCACCGGGGAGATGTTCAGGGTATGAACTCCGAAAGCATGGTATATGTAGACGACATTGTCATGGATGGGATCAGGAAAGAGCACAGCATGATTGCCACGGAGCAGATCCAGCAACGGCGGGCCGTTAGGGTTGGTAGATAGTTGATTCAAGGAGGACACCAATCCTAGATCGATTGTCTCATAGACAGCAAGCATGGGTAACTCGTGCTTTTGTCGCATCTGTAGAATCAGGTTTAGGCTTCGTTGTAAAAGCCAGTGGGTGAGCATTTACCTGCTTGAAGTCCCAACGGGCTTCGACCTTCTCTACATCCAAACACACGTCTACCTTTCCGTCTTGATAGGCAACCATAATGACCCCAAGATGGTCAGTCTCCTGGCCTTCTCCTTCCTGGTCTTCATCGGTGCCAAATTCGAGGTAAACGATGTCTGTTGCATCACCTCCTTCACTTCCCTCCAATTGCCTTGGAGAGGGCTGCAAAAGGAAGGGACCCTGGCGAGATACTGGACTCGATATGGTTCTGGGGGGATGTATTGAAACGGGCCGTGAGGCTGCAGGGAAGACAATCCCTGGAGGCAACTGTTTCGTGAGGGCAGTGACGTATTTCCTTTGGTAGTCGTAAAGAGCAGATAGATGAGCAGGAGTGTCCTCCCCTTGTGCCAGAAACTCCTGCTTAGCAGAGATGAAGCACTCTAGCGAGTGAACATAAGCCGACGGAATCATCCTGTAGCGCATCTTAGTTTTGAGTGCCATTAGAAGACGACCAGTACTTACGCGTTTTGGGGAAGGTAAGGGCAAATAGCATAGACGTCACCGGATTTCGTGAGGGCATAGATGGTAAGTGGGCCCCAGTCGGCCTTGCCTTTTCCCAAAGTGAAGGAGGTAACCTCGCGTTCGCCCTCATCCTCTGCAGCAAATGCTTTCGTCTTGCGTTGAGGGATAAAGGATAGCGTCTGTTGAGGTTCTTCGGCGTCATAAGAGATATCGTACTCCCTAGCGAGAAAGGTCAGGGCAATGTTATTTGAGAGTGGCGATGTGCGTACCTCAGCCGCCCGTCCGTGGTCATGACCAGTAGCGTTGAACCAGCCTCGCCCCAAGGATGCCAATCGATTTTGGCGACTGGCACAGAACTGTCCCTCGCGTGATAGTACTTTCCTACTTGAACGGCTCTAGTATGGGTTGTGGTTTAGACGCGTGAAATGTCTTCGAAAACGACAAACCTACTTGCAGTCAATGGAATCAGGAACAAGTCTGTTGTAACCCGGTCGGGGCATGACCACCACCGCAACCTGGAATGCACCAGCTATAGCTAAAAGCTTGCCACTCGGGTTCAAAGAAATTTGATGGATCTCAAAATTGACATTTGGGGTATGCATAACCTTTTAGAAAAGTCGTTAGTTTCGACATACACCATCAACTATTGTAACGGGCCTACCTTGTAGGTTTTACGCGCACTCCGTCCCAGTTTGATATCCCCCAGAGAGGCTATTCGCAGCTCCTTCCCAACCGCAACAACCAGGTCTGTGTCCCTCAGGGCCATGACTTGTCGCCGACCTGAAGGCGTAGCATCGTCTTGCTTTGGATCGACGGTGGTGAACCTCGAAAGCGTGTTGGTCGACAACTCGAGTTGTGATTTACGGTTGTCATCGAGTCCTTCCAGTCCCTTCGTTGAGAGCGAGAAAATCGGGTGGTCTCTGAGCAACGGTCCCCATGCCTCGTCGTTCATCGTTGTCGGCGCGGTGAACGTTTTAGAAGGGCGGGTTTGGTTGTTGGTCTTGGAACAAGCTTCCAAACTGGGGCCCCCGTCCTGCGCGCCGACCCACGGCATGAGCGCGTCAATGTTCCCACGGCCATAGTCTGACGCGTCCTGAACGAGTTGCGCGTTTGACTTGATTCGTTTCTGCATCTCTTTCTTTGAATCATGACTTCAATAGGCACTGGCTACGATCTCTCTGCGAGTACTTACTCCCCCGATGGACGAATCTTCCAGGTGAGCTTGTTCAGCTTGTTGAAAGGGCCAGGATTGGGCTAATCTATTCCATCAGGTCGAGTATGCAGGAAAGGCAGTAGAGAATTCGGGGTATGTGCGTTGTTATCTTGGCAGTGCCTGGTCATAAACCCGAATTTCAGAACCGCAATTGGTATCAAAGTGAAGGATGGCGTTATCCTCGCTGTCGAGAAGCTCGTACACTCCAAACTACTCGTACCTCATGCCAATCGACGAATCCAAACGATCGACAGACACATAGGATTGGTGAGCTCACCGCCACATTGCATGAGGAACTCCAACCTAACGAGGCCTGATTGAAGGCAACAGCAGGTCTGCTCGCCGACGGACGACATATTGCCAACCGTGCCAGAGATGAGTCGGCTAATTGGCGAGAACAGTACTGCTCCCCCACCCCGATCAAGGTACTGCGCTCCCTTGGTCCCATGGCTTCAAACTCAATGAAAAACCAAAGAATATCGCAGATCGGCTAGGTGCATATACACAAGCGTATACCCTTTACTCCTCCGTCCGTCCCTTTGGAATCAGCACGATCCTGGGCGGCGTAGACAAGGATGGTCCTGGGCTCTATGTGATTGAACCCAGCGGTGTTTATTACGTGCGTTGAAACATCTCCTACCGTCAACAATCTCCTAACGTCGACACCCTTCCAGGGCTATCACGGCGCAGCCGTAGGGAAAGGTCGACAGTTGGCTAAAACTGAACTGGAGAAACTCAAACTATCTGAGCTCTCGATGAGGGAAGCTGTGTATGACGCAGCACGGATGTAAGTGTCCCGACCTGCGGGTTCATTGGGAAAGTGCTGACACGAGCGCAGTATCTATCTCGTTCACGACGATGCCAAGGAGAAAGACTTCGAGCTGGAAATGTCCTGGATAGGTTCGGAAACTGGTGGACTGCACGTACCCGTTCCAGATGACCTCTTCAAGGATGCCAATGCAAAGGCAAAGGCAGCTCTGGAAGACTTTGAGTGATCGTCTTGTTAGTGCAATTCGATGAAAGTGTACGATTATCGCATTCCCAATACCAGAAGCTTCCGGACTCTCTGAAGGTTGGAATTAAGAACCCATTGGGTAACAAAGTATACATGGTATCTATCTATACAATCTGCTCCAATTCTCGCGCGTAGAGTAAAGATGCAGCAATCAGCTTCTGCTTTGGAATCTGGACCTTCTCTTCCGTCTTCTGCGAGAACCTGATGAGGCCCGCCGTTAAGTCGATTTGCCAATTCCTCTGTAAACGTCAATAAGTTGTGTGATGACTGAAATACAGAGAAGGGGGGCTTACTTCAGCTGCGAATTTGGCGAGGTCACTTTGACTCGTGAAGAAGAGTAGAGTAGCTGCGTCCTTGATGGGTAGACTTTCATACGCTGCTTCTTCGCAACTCGCGATTTCGTTCCTACGACAGAGTGATTAAACAAGCGACAACCATGGCAAGATTGTGAACATACCTGATTGTGCCCATGAGACTGTCAATGAAGATCTTGTACTCCTCTGCCGGAGCCTCCTCCCGAGCGTTCCAAACTTTGCTGTAGCTTCCCTCCATTAACCATCGCTCCAGATTGACCGGGTGCTTAATGTATGGGTTCTCGGCAATGACATCGGCAGGTAGGCTTTCTAGAGTGGTGTGGAAATCTGCTATGCGGTTCTGGGTGAGGAGGCGGATGAGGTTGAGTCCACGGATGGGATATTCGCGTTTCGAGGGAGGGAAGTTGGGGAGATTGCTGGGAACAGTCAGTCCAAAGCGTTTGACCTTTGTTGGATATACTGACCGGTAGTCGGTGTAGAAAGATTGCAGTTGAGAGAAATATCGGTCAAAGGAGGGGATGTCCTTCGAGCGTATACTTGTGAGTGCACCAATCTCCAAGATGTCGCCTAAACCCCCATGAGTCGCGATCCAAGGTTCATAGGTGACAATACGCACGAGCGACGACGAGGTCGCCGATGTTCACATTTCCTTGTGGGATGAGAAGGCCCGCCTCAATGAGACCGATCTAATAAAGGACGGTGAGGAGTGATAGATGGGCTAGGTGTTGAAATGAATACCTTGAGCTGTGCGAGGAGGGATGCACATGCTTTGAGGTCTGATGGCCTTGAGTAGAACGCGCGTTGGAGGTTTTCGTAAAGAGTCTTGAGGTTGGCCATGGCAGGGGTTGACTGAGCGGATGCAAGCCTAGAGTGCGACGCGTGCATCATTTGAGACGCGTCAGCTCTGATCGTGGCCCACTTCCTTTCTCGGACTCACCATCTCTCTCTCTCTCTCCAACCATGGAACGCATCGATGTCAACCGTCTCAAATCTGGCGAGGTCAACCTCGGAGTATGCTTAATCCACCATCACAACCGATTCAGAGTCTCATAATTATCTAGACTTCCATCATGGCCGTCCAGTTCGATGGCGGAGTCGTCATTGGCGCCGACAGTAGAACGACGACAGGAAGCTATATTGCGCGTCTTTACCTACTTGGAAAAAGCCACTCAAATCTGACGATAGCTCTTCCCTCAGGCCAACCGTGTTACGGACAAACTGACCTATGTTCATGATCGAATCTATTGCTGTCGGTCAGGTTCAGCAGCAGACACCCAGGCCGTTGCTGATGTCGTCCATCACCACCTCCAACTAATCACGTTCGTTTGGTCCATCTACCACCCTTCTCCGACTTACTGACTTGGATTTTCTAGTCAAATGAACGGCGAAGCTCCCTCAGTGCATACAGCCGCACAAGTCTTTCAGAAGATCTGTTACGACAACAAGGACGCACTGAGTGCCGGTATCATCGTCGCTGGTTGGGATAAGGAAGTCGGTCCTAGCGTTTACAATATCCCTCTTGGTGGCGGTCTGTTCAGGCAACCATGGGCGATCGGAGGTCTGATTTCCCATTCCAACTACTTCGGCCATGATACTGACAACAAGCGCCCCAGGCTCTGGATCTACCTATGTATATGGTTACTGTGATGCCACCTACAGGGAAGGCTGGGGTCGAGACGAGACGGTCGAGTTCGTCAAGAACAGTACGTATTCAATCTTTCATTTCAAAAGCCTTGGATTTAATGAGTTCGTTATCAGCTCTCGCCCTCGCCATGTCGAGAGATGGTTCCTCTGGAGGCGTGATCCGAATGTGCGTAATCACGGAAAACAACGTGGAACGCCTCTTCATCCCTGGCAATGAACTGCCGCGGTTCTGGGAAGGAAAGGATGTATTAGGGGCTGCAACCAAGAATGTATACCCCGAGCCCGAAGTCGTCCCAATGGCAGTAGAAGCCTAATCAAGTTCACCTCGACTGCACATTCACCTTGTACTATTTAGCACCCAGTCAACGAAAGATGATGACCCTGAACCAAAATTGTTGCCCACGATTGCATTACTAGTAAGATTAGAGTAAACTAGATATATCACGATTTGTTCCCAACGACCAGCGATATTTGTTATTCGACCAACCACCGCTTTCGAACATCCGCAACCTCCATAGGGCAATCGCGACAGAAGCCATATCACCTTCTTTCACATTTTCCGAGTCCGCACATAGTAAGAAGGCGTGACTAGTCTCGGTGCCCTCTGTGGGTCGGGTCGTCTCCGATCCGCTCTCCTTGGGGAAAGCCTGCAGATCGCTCGCTTTCCGTTGTCTTGTTTGCAGCGTTAATACTCTCTCGAGAAGTCCGCGTAAAGCTACCCTCTGTGATGAAAACGGGAAGGCTGTTAGGGCGTTGTAGAAAGGCACGCGAGTCGACGGGAGAAGCTGCGATGAAGGTGAAAGTTGGTCAGAGGAACCCCGAAAATCAGAAGCACCAAGCATAAGAGTTGACAATGGGGCCAATGGCATGTCGTTGGGTGTTCGTTCTTCGATCGGGGGAGGTAATGGGGTCATCCCAGCTCTCCAGTCCACGCTGAAGGTAGGATTCGTTTCTCCCGCTGGTACCTCGAGGATAGCCACCGCGTTCTTGAAAGGGACTACTCCAGTGGACTTTATGCTATCCAATTCTTCGCGGGTAAGGCGCCTAACGAGGGGGGATTCTCCCCGGGCAGTTGAGTTGAGTTGGTCGCCCACAAGTTCGAGTTCTTGCAAAACACGAAGTCGTAGGAGATGCGCGACATGGTCGGAAAGCTGAGAGCTGACCTTGATATTGTCTTCTTTAATATGTCGACGGTACTTTCCAGAGGATACCGCCCTGTCCACGGCTTCTCTCAGGCAAAGCACGTATGTTGCTTTGCCTGATTTCCGGGAAGTGAATTTGGTATGCTGGATTCCGTCTGGGATCAACGCGACAGAAGGCTTACTGCCTTCAATGCAAGGCAATCGTAGCCATGAAAGGCGCACAAGTAAGTCTGTCCTCCATCAGTCCCAGACTTGCACGAGAAAAGAAAGTCCAAGTCACCTGCTGGCAGATACTGGTCAGTCTCTATGCACAGTCGCATAGGAGAGGAAAGCATCCGCACTAGAGATCCTGGTTACTCGCAATCTACAGACAGAGAAGTTCGCCACGCACGATATGGATTTGACCACCAGCGTCTTTCTTGTTCTGTCATCGCTCGCGCGACATCTTTCTCCCCGTCGCGAGCTTTTGGGTTGTTGGGCACAAATACGCGTGGTGGTAGTCGTTTGTGTGGAGAATAGACTTTTGAACGCGTAATGATATTGGTTTCAGAGTCGCCAAGCAGGATCGACTTGGAATACTCCGCTGGGTTCAGTGAAGGTCGTGGTAGGATATAGGCTTGTGGGTCATAGAGAGACTTGGGTCGCTTTGGTTTCTTCGCTAGAGGAAGATACTTGTTGCCGCTAGTTTCCTTTTGGACAGCTTCGACCAGGCGTTTGAGAATGCGAGGCATATGTGGTGAGACCACAGCCCAATTGTTGGAGACTGTTGGTCCTGGACAACGGACAACGCGAGAAGAATGACAGGGGCGTCGCCCGTTGCCGTCACACATCAGTGACACGCCTTCTTCAGGAATCCCATCTGGTATTGATCTAATACTAAAGCGCAGTGCCTACCAAAATGCGCTCGCTTTTCCTTTTTGCTGTTGACGCAGCAGCCATACGATGACTTCGTTGCTCTCCAAGAACAAGTGGCGCAAGACTAGCAAAGGGAAGGATGTATCGGTTCCACCGATCCAGAGAGAGATTGTGCCAGGAGATCCGGTCACGCTGGCGATTGTTGGTTGTGGCCAGCGAGGAACGGTATGTACTCGTCGTGTTCGCAAAAAAGACATGCCCTTAGCGTGGTACAGAACTATGCAGAGTATGCGTTGCGTTGCCCAGACCAATGCAAGGTTGTGGCGATTGCTGAACCTCGGGCTCCCCCACGGAAACGATTCGTACAGCAACACAAGATAGACCAAACCCTTGTCTTTAGGTCTTGGGAGGACCTGTTGACCGCGTCAGAGGAAACCATAAATACCATTGGGATCAGACTCGCCGATGCTATCGTCGTCGCTGTTCAAGACAGCCTTCATCTGAAAGTCGCCACCGCGTTTGCAAGGCAGGGCTATCATATCCTCTGCGAGAAACCTATGGCGACTACCCTAGAGGAATGTATTGCCATGGAACATGAAATCAAGAAGGCCAACGTCATCTTTGGGATGGGGCATGGTGCGTTTGCCGTTCTCCGAGAGTGGTCAACAGATAGTCAGTCTGACAGGGGTTGTTCTTCCAAGTTCTGAGGTATTCCCCCTACACGAAGGCAATAACAGAGATCATACGCTCAGGGTCTCTCGGGAGGCTCATCAATATTGTTCATGTTGAACCCGTTGGGTACTTCCATTTCGCACATTCCTATGTGAGAGGAAACTGGCGGAAAGAGCAGGAGAGTTGTTTCTCACTCATGACCAAGTCTTGCCAGTAAGGCTGTCCACTGTCAGTCCAGACGTGCAGGCTGATTACCCTCGCCATAGTGATATAGATATACTTTGCCATTGGCTTTCACCAGCGATTCCTGTCCGTGTCTCCAGTTTCGGGTCTCTGCAGCACTTCACGAAGGCATCGAAGCCAGAAGGAGCGGGAGAAGTGACGAAATGCTTAGACTGCCCAGTCGAGAAAGACTGTGCTTATAGTGCAAAGAAGAGTAAGCCCTAACTTTTGTTTCTCGACTTCCCGTTAACTAATGGTCCCTATTCCAGTTTACCTGGACCGTGTGTCTCGGGGTCAGAAGGGTTGGCCGGTCTCCACCCTGGTCGATGATGTTCCGGACATTGAAAGCATCAAAGTCGCCTTGAAAGTGGGACCCTATGGACGATGCGTTTATGAGTGCGACAATGATGTTTGCGATCATCAAGTCGTCCAACTAGAATATTCCAACGGCAGCACAGCGTCCTTTACCATGGTGGCATTTACTTCCGCAATCTGCGACCGACAAACACGCTTACACTTCGCGCATGGGGAAATTGTGGGCGATATGAACACGTTCACCGTCTCAGATTTCCGAAAGGGTACCAAAGAAGTCCATCATCCAAGAAATGAAGGTGGGGGGCACGGTGGAGGAGACCTTGGCCTCATCAGCGCCTTTGTGGAGGCCGTTCGAACCGGCAAGCAAGAAGTCTTGGGAACCACAGTCGAGGACGTTTTCAGGAGCCACCTGACGGTGTTCGCTGCAGAACGGAGTCGGAAAGAAGGAAGAGTTGTCGATTGTGCACAGTTGGAGAAAGAGGCCAGGGAACTGGTTGTAGCGGTCACCGCTGGTTCTTGACGGTGATAGTCTAGTCATTCCCCTTGATACACTGTCTTAATGAATATATTTTCAGATCCTTGGTTCCGAAAGACTCCGCTATCTTAAAGTGCCTCGTGTCGGCCTGTGTGCGTCACTTCCACCGCCGACAATTTGGCAGACCCTGTGCAAGCCCGGAATGGTAACAGGGCGCCTACCCTGCGGTGACGCTGGCGATTGGTCGACATGCAAGCCCAACCCATCACCTCTACCTCAACTTCGACCCGGACAGCGTAAAGCTTTCATCGAATTTCGAACCCAATCATGGGAGGCAAAGGACATGCAGATCTGATTAAGCAAGAACATCGGTGGTTGCTATTTGAAGTAACCTCGCGGCATTGTTGGCACTTTCGATGGGTTTCTGTGAAACTCTTCATGATCTATTATTTGGTTCGAGTGGTGGAACTCCCCGGGATGCCTCGTATTCCAACTGTGCTTCAAGCACCAGGCATCGCACACCTTTCTTCAGGCTTCCTCACCACATCATATAGTTTTTCAAACGCAGATTCGCAGAGCGGAAGGACTCCGCGCGAGCTTCTACGATTCGTTTTCTTGAGGTTTATTAAAGCTAATCCCATGGCTCCCTGTGCCAACAGGGCGTTGATGACCTTTCCTTTGAGCAGTATCCGCGGAGGGACATCCCAATTCTTGCAAGGCGTAAACTTTTTCTGCCATCCCCCGTCTGTTAGGATGACGAACCTCAGTGAAGCTTTGGAGCGATTGGCCCTTCTGGCCCGAGAAGGTGCCATGCCGTGGACAACATGGACGATCGCCAGGACTGGGTAGTCTCCTGGGGGACGTGGTCAAGATCCTCGAGGTCGGGAGTTAGGTCAACCTTCCCCGAATCGGTCTTGGGCCTTGAAGACACACATACGGTATGTCCATCACAATGTTCACGGCGAACACGATGTAACAATTTTGCCAAAAGCCTCCTGGATCGGTGGACAATCATTCAAGGGCACCAAGGAGAAAGGCCAAGATCCTTCCAGATTCAAAGTAAAGACGACAATGCGCCGGTATCGATCGGAAATTTATGGGGCAGCTGGCAGGAGGAAGTGTCGGCCTCGAACTGCACGGCGAGGCCATTGAGGCCACTAGGGCTGAGCCTTGGACCTCTACCTTGTCTGAATATGATGTCCCAGTGTACCAGTGGAACGGCTTTGGAGGGGAGAGGAATGGGAAACGGAGATAACTCCACGAAATTCCGGGGCATTCTGCACCGAGAGGCGTTCCCGAGCGACGGGTCGGCTCAGGGCCCCGAGAATTTGGAGATTAATCTCAACTCCACTGTCTTTTGGGTGTCAATGAGAGGTTCCTAATTGTTCATGTGTGGGATCAAGGGTGTTCTATGCACCCATAGGGGTAGTGAGTGGCTGAATTGCCTCCTCTTTGGCTTCATTCAGAGACTGACCAATCATCGACATACTCCCTCAGTCCCCGACTCGAAGAGTTCTGGAGTGCTCCTTTCTGGTAACAGAATGCAATCCAGTGGTCACGAACTCGCGGTCTGGGCGTTGGAAAGGTCTGGAAAGATGGAAAGTGCGAGGTAGGGTTGCGCTTTTTGATCACTTGATCATACAGAGTCTGAAGTTTGATATTCAATGACAGGGAACGGCTGCCTCTGACTGCGTTTGCTGCTTCTGGGATACACGAGGAACCGACTGCTGCATGCGTGAAGGCGGACAACGTGTTCTCTGACCCCCTTTTTGTTTTTGAGTAAAAAAGCTCCATTACCAACTTTCGAGGCCTCTTTCTGGATAAGGTTCGAAGCCCAAGCTCGCTTGACACGGTTTCGAAAGAGTACGTGGCCAAGCTTCACTGCGATTCATCTATGCTTATGTAGCCTTTAAGGCGGCGAACTGAACTCAGATGAAACCTGTCGTAAACAGCATCACTGAAATGATAGGATTCGATGTGTTTCGTGAAAGGTCGATCCCAATTTGCAGCGCATATCTTAATATAATACCACCTCATGGGGGTGCATTAATGATTGGATTAGTTCTGGCCACTTCGACGATTCGATCAAGGTAAGCACCCCTCACTGTTTCTGGTACTGAAAACTTATAAAGAGGACGCGTCGAACTGGAAGAAAGGACAAGAACCACTGTTCCTTCATTACCTGAAGCCCACTCGCCTTTGAACGCGTTTACTGTATCGTAAGCGCGGCTGTTCGACCCCTTCTACCTCACGCTGAATTGCCTTCACTCTACAGACCTACTCGTTACTATGGACCAGATGATTCACGTCAATGCCCTCCTTCTCCCCTCTGACGGTAAAGTATCACATGGCCAGCTGCCTGCGGCGTCCTGACCGACCTGTGTCCATCTTCTAGGCCGTCCACCCTCGCTAGTCGAACTTATGCTGAGGTGACTCTTGCTCTACGCCGATGTATTTTCTGATCTAACTGTCCTCGTAGTCCCACAAGCCTGCCCACCATGCAGATTGGGGGCTATGCCACTTCTCCCCCGGCCTTCATGCCACATCCCGAAGTCTTTATGGACTACGTGAGCACCTTCACATCCGTGCCAACTCCGCCTCGAAACTGACAAAGTTTTAAATAGATTGCTGATTCCGCTGGCCACCGGGCGTGGAAGTACCAGGTTCGTCAGGCTTATTCCGGTGGGCGCCTGTGCTAATGTGATATGTTGAAATTGTTTGGTGCGCAGCTCGTCGAGGCGTTGGATTGCATGAACAAGAAGTTTGCCAATCCATACATCGTGTTTTACCCAGTTCTTTCGAGGGATGGAATGCCGTTCCCGATCAACAAGTGTATCCGAGATATGCAAGGGAAAGCGTTCAAGGAGCAGGTTGCATGGAGGGGAAACATCGTGGTAGCCAAGTACCGCGACAACCCCTTCACATCCATGATAGATGCCTCCATGGCAGACTTTCCTATCCTCAAAAACTACCTTCTGACCCACGGATGTCCGCGAACGGTGAGGGGTATCTCGATATGACAGAATCAATCACCGCTGAACTTCATCCAGTAAACTAACCGCAGATCTCGGACCATTTACTTGTGATTCGCCTCAGAGTCGTTTAGGGTTTTGGGGAGCGAAGCCTCGACATATGTATGTAGTAGCCGAGGACTAAATAAAGCACAATATTAGCAAAGGGGTCGCGAACTACAGTTCTTTGCGTCCAGCTTTCGCCTTCAATTCCTCCTGCCTCTTTCTGCGGATCTCTTCAGCTTCTTTTCTTAACCTTTCCCTGTCCAGTTCCGCCTTCTTGGGATCACAGTGCTCCGGAATAGGCTTGGTGGGGTCGATCGGGGGAAGAGCCAGTCTCCCAACATAACGATAGGTCTTGTGGTCTCTGTAAAACTGCTTCCAATGTTCAAGTCCCTAAAAGCAATCGAGGGTACCTGTCAACTTCCAAAAGTGTATAAGGGTAGGCAACGAATCGCAGCACACCTTTCGCTCTTCTTCGTCCAAACCTCTGGTGTCGTGCGTCATGTGCTCCCTAAAGCATCCAGTTGCAAATGCCCGCGCTCCTTCACGTCCCGCTCTGTGGGGCGACGATAAGGAAACCGGAGATAACGGCCGTCAGTTTGGAATGAAAGTACGGAGACTAGGGAGGGACTGTGACGAACAAGATGTGGTATGAACCACCCTTCTGGTACGCTGCGCCTTTCGTGACGTCGTAAACCTCCCCGTCAATCTAAAAATACACATAGTGAAGGGGAGTATCAGTCAACAGTCAATGTCAAGGCAATGAAATGAACCATTCAGAACAACTCCCACCGCACAGTGGGTGGTAGGGTCTTTTAAGAAGACAGAGTTACGCACAGATAGGTAGATTGGTTTGCCAGGATCTTCTCCGTTGAATTTGGCAAGATACTCCACGGAGAACAGTCGATCGTTTCTCTAGAACGCGCAGCAGCACCGTCAGTCAATTTCTCAACCGTCCAAAGACGGCAGCGAGCACTCACCGGCATCCAGTTTTTCAGTTGCATCCATTTGGCGTCATAGTCCCATGTATAGCTGCCCGTCACAAACTTGCCAGCGAGGGCAGTGAACAATAACGCGAACAGTAGGAACTTGAGCACGGCTCCGAGACCAACTTCCTGAACCGCAGTTGGGTCCGGTTCGAGTGGTCCAGGGTCCTCGCCTCTTGCAATAGCCTCGTCATGGGCCTTCTTCTTCTTCAACCACTCATTGTGCAGCCGTTCCTGCTGCGCACGATATTCTGCGTATCTGGCACAAGACAATGTGTGAGGCTTGACCAAATTAGACGCCCTGCTTTGTACTCACGCAAGGAACGGCCTGTTGGCAGGTTTGTTCGTGACATAACGGTTGGGAATTGAAGGGTCCTTCTCGGTTAGTTCGTTGGGGTCGTCCTTGTATTTTGGCGGTGCGGCGCCTCCAGCTGCTTCCTTGAGCCACGACATTTGAGAGAGAGATACAGATCCAAGACTGCTCCTGGGAATGGCGCTTCCACAGAAGCAGATCAACGCGGCGTAAATACAAGGCAATACACGTGTCCCTGAATGGACTGAACAATAAGTAGTCGCACTTCACACACGGCGGTTACAAGGAAATTTCGTGGCTGGTCATTCGTGGTACATATACAGGAGGATAAAGTAGTGCTAAATGACACAAGGTTCGTTCGATATTATTACCCATAACCAAGGCGAAAATGAGGTATATGGAGTGCGTAAGGTATTAGCTATTACAGAGACTTGAGATATAAAGGGAAAAAAAAAGATAAAAAAGCAAAATGACGATCCAAAGTTGTCTGGTGACAGGGAAGCAATTAAATGGGTAGTCGAAGGTAGAAATAGAAATAGGGCGCCGCCAGGACAGTAAGTAGAGGAAAGAGTGAACAGATCGTCACTCTGAAGGATGTTGATGCTGTGAGAAGGGAAGGATGCTATAGCATGAGGAGGATGTGAGATGCGCATAAGTGAGTTGCAGTGATGGCCGCATAGGTCCATAAAGATGGCCAATGAACGAGAAGGATCCGTAATGTACAATCATAGGGCGGAAAGATTGCATGGGCAGACCTATGATGAGGACGCAGCATCTTTTGCGGCAGCGAGCTGTTGACGATGTTCTCGTTCGCTGGCATGCTGAGAGATGGTGATGTAGGCACCACCAACCTCTTCAGCAACGTTGCTGAGCCCCGGTGGTGACGAAGGGTTGGCCGTCAACATATGGATATCGTTCTCGGTTGGGTCAAAGTCCTCGACCCAGTTGCGCATCGCCAGGAACTTGGGCGTCTTGATGAACTGTAGATGCAAATCAATGAACGCGTTCAAAGAAACCTTTCAGGATCAACTAACCTTGGGCACCGAATCCGTAGCCATGAGACGGAAAACATGGGTTTGGATTCGCTCATACAACTTGATCATCGTCTGGAGCTGGGTCGCATTGAAAGCGTTTGCTTGTTCGGGTTCGATGCGACCGTGGAAAGCCTTGCCGGTCATGCTGGTGACCACCTCTTCAAGGTACTTGACCAACTCGTTTCGAAGACCATGATCAATGTTGAGTTCGCACTGACTCGATGGCGCGAGGTAAGTGTTGTAGATGACGAAGGCGGTGTTGATAAGGGCCTCATGATGTCGCTCCATGGCGGCCTGTCCTGGAGTGTTCTTGCTACCGGGTCTTGCGGTGGGGCCTGTAGCAGCCATGGCACTCGAGGTAGTGCTGAACTTCTTGCGGAAGTCTTGCACGTCGAGCCAGAAGGAAAGGTTCTCTTCGCAGAAGTTGCCACGCAAGAACTCGCGGAACAGGGAACGAAGACCGGGTTCTTCGAGGATGTACCGGAGCCGATCAGTGTTGCTCTCCCTTGCGGTCTTCTTCTCAGCATGCTCGTAACTAGCATTCATCTTCTCGGCCATGGAGATACGGCGATGGATTTTAGCGTCCTTCTTTGAGTCACTGGTGCCATCGACCGAGGCGTCGATTGAGGAGCGCTCAGTGAGATTGACGGAGGAGGTATTGGGGGAGTTGAGTCGTTCGTTCCAGTGAGCAAGTCGCTGACCCTCTTCAGTGATCCGATAGATTGCCTTTGCGGTGCATCGGAATTCGCCAATTTGCTATTAGACAAGCGAATTAGAATGCAAGAAGCGGTGTACAAAGTTAAATTTACTTACACTGACTGGCGAGTTACCACCTGGAGCTGATCCACGTACGGTGAAAATGATGGCAGAATCATTGTTCTTCCGCTTGTCGCTGACGAGGGTGATGAGGCCGAAACGCACGAATTGGGCAGCCATCTCAGCAGCCTCTTCTCGCCCGACGACCGAGGTAAAGTCGCACAGCCATTCCAGCGCTGCGACGGCATGGAAGCAGTACTTGTGAACTTGCTGGCCTTTACCGAGCAGAGGCTGGGCCCGCTCGGTTACGTCGTGAAGGGCGATGCCCTTTGCGCGTTCATTGTACCGCTGGAATGCGTCCATGGGCTTGTCGTTGGGGGCGGGAGGATAGTTGGGGAGTCGGCCGACAAAGCGACGGAAGAGGGCCGTGATGACAGACTGGGTGACAATGATCTCGTCGTCGGCGGACCGTCTCTCGAGATGGAGCAGCTTGACGCAGATTGGGTTGGAGGCGAATACTGGTTGGAGGTGATCAGAGTTGATGCCATTTTTGCTGATGAACCGCTCGAGAACATGGAGGCCCTTGGGGGTGAGTTGGTAAACGCCGCGGTCCTTGAAGAGGTTTGAGGTTGGGTCTGCGGCGTTTTCGATGAGACGGGCATCCATGAAGTGCTGGCTCATCGCCTTGGCCATGTCACGGGTCATTGAGAAGGTGGTTGTCGTTGTTGTTGTGACGACTCTTGTTGGTTCTCTTGGGTCCGGCCCACGATTTGACTGAGAGAACTTGAGGGAGGCGAGATTCTGGGCGGCTTCGTCACTAAGGAAAACAAGGGCGTGTCAAAGTTGTGGGCCACGATGAGGAGGTGTGGAGACGCACGTTGTGAAAGAGTGAGGGAATGTCCTGAAGAATTGCTTGTGAGAAGTGAGCTGAAGGGAGACGATAAGGGTGGCGAAAAGATCGAGGGTATCCTGTTGAATAGTTTGAGTATTGATTTTGCAGCGATATGGAGTGAAATTGGATACCTTGAGGAATGGCCGCCCTCGTTTTGTTGTCTTCATCATGTGTGAGGAAGTTGCAGGCCCATCTTGTTGCGACATGACGGACGACGAGCAAGTGGAACGGGGGACAGCGACGAAAGGAGAAAAAAGGGGGATCGAGTTGGACGCAGCAGAGAGGGGACGACTCAAGAAAGCGACGTCCACTGCCAATGTGGGAATATTTCGGTCGGCGAATCATTCGGTCGGCATCCCAACACCCTCCATCTTTTCCCACCAGGGAAAGCAGGGGCCTTCCGCCTCTCGGACAACCCCGGTCTTGTCATTCATTTCAAATCCGGCCCTGCCCTTACAATCCATGTAAATACTACTCTCTCTCCTGCTCATCCTATCCCTATTGACATCGGTCACCCATGTCCCCAGCATCTGTCCCCCCAATCTCCCTGTTCCTGAGGCCTGCTCAACCTGCCATATTGAGGCAAGCCTGGTCACAGTCATAAATCACCGGCGTTAATATATCAATACAATACGCGACATCATGAATTGTAAGGAATTAAGCCTTCCCGACGGTTGCCCTGCGCAGGGGGCGCCCATCCATGCCGAACATCACGAGTGCTCGAGTGCTCCAGGATGGCTCCAGGATATCGAATGCTGCGTGATAGAAATGCACCTCGGAGCGGGTACGGCTGTCAAAGTACCTTGGCCTCGAGGATCCGGTGTTCTAACTGCATCGCTAAAATTTTCTGCAAGTGATATGCTTTTGATATCTGCAACACAAGACGAAGGCTGCGAGGACCAGACCATTCATCACAGTCGGTCCGATACTTATTGCGTGCCCTCGGATCATCCAAATTCGGTAAACCACGCGGCAAAACCCGCTCCTAATCGGCACTCACTCAATCCTCGCGTGGATCCTGAGCAGCCAACTGTTGACCTCATACCCAAGCCATGAATAACGTATGTCTCTTCCAATCCGTTCCTGATTAGTATCCTCACCGCAACTCAGGACCCTGCATCAGTCAAGGCCCTCCTCGAGCAACTCCGCGTTTCACAAGCTTGGCAGCAATTACACAGCACCCAGCAACAACAACCCACCCCTTCAAGCGCCCAACAGCCCGCCGAGGCTCATCCACCGATTACTACCAACCCGCAACCAACCTCGTCTTCTTCCAACACAGTCAGCAGAGTCGCAGAGCTATTAGCGCAGTTAAAGAACCCTCCGTCGTCGTCTGGACCTCCTCTAGAACAGCCGCCGACCAAAATATACGACCGCCCACCTGTTTCTCCAAAACCTCTATCTCAAAATGACCAAGCCAGCGAACCAGACTTGCGGAACTGCTCTTTCCAAACCGCGTTGTCCTTGATATCACGTTTGGGAGACGACCCTGCCTTTCTCGCTTCTATCAGAGAGGCATGTTTCTATTAATGTTCTGATTGGAAACAATCTAACCGCCCTGCTTCTCCTTCTAGTTGCGGAAGGAGCAAGCCAATCTCGAACGACAGCTATGGGCCGACCGCGAAGGCATTCATCAAAAGTACAACGACAAAGTCAAAGTTGCACAGACAAAGTAAAGTTATACCTCTTTTCATTCCAGCCATGTCTGCTGACACTCTCCTTGTTCAGAGCGAGTATGATTGGTGGGAGTATATCTCAACATGAGGCTACGGTGTGTGAAGCGCTCCCCATTCAGTTTCTCTCCCTGACACCAGGTCAAATGAATAGATGCTTCAAGACGCCTATCGGCGCGAGCTTTCAAAATACGACAGGGAGCGCGTTCTACCGGCATGGGACGGCCTCGTCATGAGGCAACAGGCCAAACTGGAATCTCTCAAAGTTCCCAACATGTTCATTTCCGCAGACCCCAAAGACAGACAAGTACGTATAACCCCACACTGCCTATCTGTCGTGCCAACCCTCATGTTTCTGTACAGCGTCAAGTACAGATCGTTCAAGTCCTCCTTGGATTGGCTGGTGGTGCGGAGGCCACCTGAAAGCACGGATGCTCTTCGGATCCGCCTCCCGAGATCCAGCCAAGATCGCGTATGTCTTTCCCTGCATTTCTCACTAAAACCTTGCTCCCCCGTCGCCCACGGGTACCGCTCTGCAAAAAATATGCCTTCAATGTTCTATTGCCATCTTCGGTACCCACCGTCAGTCAAGTCATCTCGTTGCGGACCCGGTGTCTGCCAACCCGGTTATTGGGGGTGGATATGTTGAAGCCACAACAGCCATCAAATCGCGGCATGGTGGTGGTGATATGAATGCTAATGGAGCGCTTCGGATGATTGTTTTCCATTGCTTTTGTCGTAGCCCCAGACTCAGTCGCGCCCTGTTCATTGTTCAACAGACTGTCCTTGGGTCCCACTCTCAGTCACTTGGAAGTTGGAACCCTCGAGAACATCTCGTATTTCCTGGTTTATTGCAATCCATAGTCCAATGGAATCTTCGTTCCCGTTCTGTACCTTGTTTGTGACGCATATCATATTGCGGCACACTTCTCAAGTCGGCACCAAGCTGTGAATAGTTCCGTGTCCATCAGGCCCTATAGAATTGATCTAGAGTTTTTTCCACCATTTGGTAATTATCCTGTTACATGTCGCTTGGGTAGAGAATCCTTGAGGGATAGCCTACATCCCCGCTTCCTGGTTGTCTCCTTCCTTCGATCTGTCCCGGGGACCACAGCAGCTAGCGCTATCTCGATCGCTGCAAGCTTAACTAGAGGAACACCATGCCCTACGTCGACCTCTACAGCAGAAACGACTATGCCTCGATATATTACACGACATCCGCTCCGTTCAATAATGTTGGAGGCTTCGATCCAGACAAACCAACGATTCTAATTCTACATCCAATGCTCCTCGACTCGACATGGCTACAAAACCAATTCGGAGACCCACGACTGTACAACAACTATAATCTTATTGCTATTGATATGCGTTCGTCTGGCGAGTCGACGTGTACGCCAAGTGGGAAGCGGGATAGCTGGGTGGACGCCGCAGACATTGCTCTCTGTCACCAGGTACGCTTCGACTATGCGCGTCCGGGTGCCAACTCCGAGGCTTCCTTCCTTGCTAATGAACATGGATCGAATTAGACGCTGAACCTGCCGCCATGTCACGTATTTGCACTCGAGGCCATTTCAGTTAACTGTGCCCTCCGGTTCGCCATCCTGTACGTCCCCTGACCACCTCCTCTAACAAAATGCAGCGTTGTGCTGATGCTTTGGACATCTAGATTTCCGGAAATGTGTCGAAGCCTCGCGCTGTGCAATATCCCATCGCCTATAGAGTGGGTGGTACACACCAAGCGCCCACATTCGCGACTGATTATTGATATATCGCTGTTGGCGTTTTACAGGCAACGGTGGTCCTACAGTGCACTCGAGGAGTTGGTGCGAAGTTGGTCGTTTGCTGAAGATTTGGAGGGTTTGGAACACGCTGGCACAGAAGCACTCGCATTCCTACTTGGGCCGGTGAGTCTGGCCCTCTGGTTCTGTGCCGGGAGAAATTGAACTGAAGCGTTGGCGCCTATCGCGACACAGAACAGCGATCCAGATCTCCAGGACGAGGTGTGTCCCCCCATTCCATCCATCTGTCAAAACTCTAACTCCTTTGTGTTCTTGTTAGATATTCGCCCACTGGCAAAAGACGGCGCCGCCAATGCGACGCCCATGGCTGATCGAAACAGCCAACCTTCTCCTCAACGTAAGTATTCAATCGCCTTTTGTTGGCTTCCTTTGTCCTGATCCCCTGGAATACATCATTCCCTCCCGCATTTCACAACAACCAGCGCACATCATTAACGCCGGAAATGCACGCCCAAATCACACAACCAGTTCTTATCATCCATGTAAGTGGGATTGGTTCCACGCCGCCCTGGCTTTGACACTAAGCTGTGTTTGTCTGGTTACTATCACAGGGAGAGAGAAATGAATTCTGTTCGCGAAAAGATGCAGAAGTCCTGGCGGCACAATTAACCAACGCGGAGGGAGGTGCCGTAATCTATACCGTCAAAGGCAAGTCATTTTATTTCCTGTTCTCAGTGACGCTTGCTGATTTCACATTCTCCCCCTCGTCCGTATTGATCGCCACGCTCCCACCGCGTTCACCAAAACCAACATCCCGTCTTCACAGGCGCGGGCTCATTTTTGTCGATCATTCCCGGCAGCGCTTCCATAGCCAACCAAGCGCTCGTCAAGTTCCTATCCCGGTTACCCCCTTCAAGATCGGATATTCTCCCTCTCCAACAGCCAATATGGCAGCGCATGCAACTGGCCCTCCAGCTCCAAGCTGAGCTCGTCCAAACCAAACAGTTATCGTCAAGCATGGATCCAGTCTCTTCTCTATCGTTCTCGTGCCTCTCTGAAGATGTCGTGGAGAAGCAAACAGCTATCATAGAAGAATTTCGAAGAGGGAGATTCTTGGCGTTGAACCCGATGGCACCCCACGGGAAACCGTATAGAAAGTAGGTGTCTGTGTTTCATCGATGTCCAACACTGTTGGTTGCTGGGGGTGGGGATCTTCGATCTGCGTTCGGATTTATGTATATCGTATATGCTGAAACGGAGTGTTAACAATACCCCTCTTGTGTTTTTAAAGGCTTTCAGAAGCTAGATCCGACACACATTGGTTCCAAGGGGGGAAAGATGGGCTGTCTGTCGCAGGTACGGGTGCTCATCATCTATCTTTAGAAACCCTGCCGTTTTCTGATCTTCCATGATGATCACAGCAACCAGTTTCAGTATGCAGGAGCGGCTGCGAATCGAAGAGTCCGAGAAGACCGCGCAATACCGTCGTCCAGAACGTGAAGATCGACTTGTCAAGGCGGCGTCTTTAAATGCTGCCACCGTTGAAAAGTATATAATCAAAGGCTCAATGGCCAAGGTCGTTCAAAGCCCGTCTGCACCTCTCGGAAGGATGCTGCTTTAGGCTGATAGACATCCCTCCTTCTTTAGACGTGATCCAATGTTTGCCTCCGCACATGCCCATTCCTCCTTCGCTGCACATTATTTTGCTTTCCACGGACATCTGTAACATACCTTACGCGTTCGAGACTATACCCATCCTGTGCTACTCAAATATCTCTACAACGGTTATATTGTATACATGTACGACAGAGGTTTGTACAAACTTCTATGTAATGACTGAATCATGATGTTGGGTACTACGATTACCGTGACTTGTAAAGGAAGAAGAGTCCGAGGGAAGTCTGTCTAAACCCTGCTGCAACTAGTAATACAATGCGAATGGCGAATGGCGAACACAAGATCTATATCGTACCAAAAGTCCAAAGTGCGGCTACCAGAATGAATTACTTTAGAGGCTACCTTCCTCCATCTTCGACTTGTAGTAACGGACCATCTCTTCTAGGCCCATGCGGATGGTCCAGCGGGGTTGCCACTGGAGCGACTCTTTAGCCCGAGTAGTGTCAGGACGACGTTGCTGAGGATCATCCTTGGGAAGAGGCCTGTGAACAATGTTGACACGGCGGGCACGTTTGACACCGTCCTCGTCTTGAACCTTTTCGACAATCTCTCGAACGAGTTCAGCAAATTCAAGAATGGTAAATTCATCGCCGTTGCCGATGTTGACAGGGCGGGTTTCATCAGAGTTCATGAGAGCGATCATACCGTCGATGAGGTCGTGGATGTATTGGAAAGAACGAGTTTGTTTGCCGTCTCCGTAGACAGTCATGTCTTCACCCTTGAGGGCTTGGACGATGAAGTTGGACACGACGCGTCCATCATAGGGGTTCACTGATGGGGAAAGTCAGTGACGCGCCTGTGATCAAGACGCCGGTGTCGACTTACTGCGGGGTCCATACGTGTTGAAGATGCGAGCGACACGGACATCAACGCCGTCCTGCTGGTGGAATCCATAGGTAAGAGTCTCGGCAACACGCTTGCCCTCATCGTAGCAGGCACGGGGACCGATAGGGTTGACATGTCCCCAGCTGTTGGGGGAAAGGAATCAAGCTCGGGAAGACGCGACGCGTAACTGGGAACTCACTAGTCTTCGGGTTGAGGGTGAACCTCAGGGTCGCCGTAGACCTCAGACGTGCTGCTGATCAAGAAGCGGGCTTTAGTGCGCTTAGCGAGACCAAGCATGTTCAGGGTCCCCATGAACGATGTTTTGATGGTCTTGACCGCATTGAACTGATAGTGCGGAGGCGAGGCCGGGCAAGCTAGATGATAAATTTCTATCAAGGGCAGGGTGTTCATTAGACCAGAAATGGTAAGCCGATATTGAAGTGGTACGCACGGTCGCACTCGATCATGAATGCTTCAACAACGTCGTGGCGGACCATCTCGAAATTAGGGTGGCCAATCCAGTGGCTGACGGTAGTCTTGGAGCCAGTGAAGAAGTTATCGATGACTGTAACTTCGTGTCCCAGGAGCATGAGACGGTCGACGAGGTGGGAACCGACGAAGCCAGCACCGCCAGTGACGAGGATGCGTTTCCTCTCCGAGGGAGGGAGAAGTCTAACGGGCGGGAAACGCGAGAGAGTGGTATATGAAATTGAGTTTGTCTGAGGGTAGTAAATGGATTTGGACTGGAATTCCTCCTCCTCTGACTGGGGCTGGGTGACAGAGCAAGAACCGCCCTCCCCGGGGACGACATAATGGGGGCGGAGGTAAAGCATCCTCAGAACGTCGATGGGGACCTCCGAGTCGAACCCAAAGCGCTTGAAGCCCACTGTCTTGATCTCAGCACCATGCTTGTCCAGGGTGTGTCCCTAGACGCGAAAGAGAGTCAGCATTCGTGGCATGGAAGTGAGCGACAGGGATGATATACGGGTGCAAGTTTCTGGCCTTGCTTGTTGGCCCAGTCAAAACTGGAGTAATTGGGAGAGGATAAAACGGGGAGAGAACGTACGGTAGACATTGTGCGGTGTGTCTTAACTGTTCGAGACGCTGAGAACGATTTCTTAAATAGCGGGCTTTGAGGCGATGCTGCAGGTTGTGGTTTGGGATTAAGCCGCAACAAGAATGTTATCCCCGCCTATAACATGGCATTTGCCGATCATCAAAAAATTCCTAACCAAATCTAATCGTACTTTACTTTCTTACGTCCACCATGCCCCGCGCAGTAAAACAACCTACAAAACCTCGCCACGACCCCCTCCACGTCCAGCTCAACGAGGACGAGCTCCATTCAAAATATGGTCGCGTCACCCAACCAGGAAAACGTAAAAAGGCCAGGCGTAATGATTCAGACAACGAAGATACCTCCGAGGTACGCACACGCGCCCGCTCCCCATTCGTGTCAACCAGTTCTGAAACTTGAAATCAGGTTATCTTGGATCCGAAGACCTCCCGGCGCATCTTCGAATTGGCGAAAGATCAACAGCAAGAAATAGAATTCCCGGAGGATGAGGACGACGAGCCGATACGGGAAGACCCCTCTGCTGCCCTTTCCAGGCCGAGGACACAGGCTAGCGACGACGATGACGACGAAAACGAAGATATGGATTTCGAGGGGGTCCATGATGTCGACTATGAAGAAGAATTTGTGAGTTTCCATCTGCAAATCCGGTCAGGATGGCATTTCACACTTTACCAATAGGAAATAGACGCGGATGACCTGGAGACTCTGGATGCTATCCATCCACATAACTCGACCGAAAGAAGGACGTTAGCGGACCTTATCTTCTCGAAATTGGACAACCCGGACAGTACACCTGTGGCTGCAATTCAAAAAGTACAGCAAGGTAAATACCAAATCGCACAGGCTCAGAAAAACCCATTTATTCCCGGTTACCTAGATCGCGATGCCCCAGATCCAGCGCTAGGTCTCAACCCTGCTGTGGTGGAGGCTTACGAGAAGTATGTCCGTTTCCAGCTCCATCCAACCCCCGCTGACCTTTGATAGAGTGGGAGTGTTCCTGTCGAAGTACAAATCCGGAAAACTGCCCAAACTCTTCAAAGTCATCCCGTCACTCCCAGCATGGGCACGGATGTTGGCGCTGACACGGCCAGAAAACTGGACGCCCCATGCTTGCCGTGCTGCAACCAAAATCTTCATTTCCAATATGAAACCGGCGCAAGCCCAACTCTTTTTGGGCGTCGTGCTTCTTGACGCTGTTCGGGAGGACATCCGGGAGAATAAAAAGCTCAACGTGCACTATTACGAAGCGCTTAAGCGCGCACTGTACAAGCCAGCGGCTTTTTTCAAGGGACTCATTTTCCCTCTCCTTGACGTGAGTGGAATCCATCGTCCTGTCTAGTTAACACTTTGCTTAGGCAATTTCCCATCCTCATAGCAAGGCTGCACGTTGAAGGAGGCTGCTATTATTGCGTCAATACTTGCAAAAGTCAAGGTTCCGGTTCTCCATGCGTCAGCGGCTCTTTTGCGTATCGCTGAGATGGATTATTCGGGTGAGCTATTTTTACTTCCACATCCCCGCAACCGACGCCAGATTCTCCAATGACTTAGGAATTGGTTAACAAGGCTAACTCTACTTATCCATAGGTCCGAACTCGCTGTTCATCCGTGTGCTCGTTGACAAGAAATTCGACCTCCCCTACAAAGTCATAGACGCTCTCGTTTTCCACTTCATCCGGTTGTCGAATACTTACAAGGCCAAGAGCCGTGGCGATACTGAGAAACTCCCCGTTCTGTGGCACCAGAGTTTGCTCGTCTTCGCTCAAAGGTAGCGTTATGTTTCCAAAGCCCCCTCCATACCGTTCTAATATGGTTCAATAACAGATATGCATCTGACTTGACCCCCGATCAAAAAGACGCCCTTCTCGATGTTATTCGAGCGACTCCTCATCCACAGATAAGCCCAGAGATCAGGCGAGAGTTGGTTAGCTCCGTCGTTCGTGGTGCTCCTCGACCTGACGCTGATCAAGACATTGTAATGTCGTGAACGTCGTGAACCACTGTAAGCCATTCATCCTGTACGCTGGCCTACATCTACATGCTTTATGGCACAGTTTCCGTCCGAGACGACTGCTCCTTCACCTGCCGAATCGCACAGGTTCATTCCGGAATATGTGACACATACGTTTAGCGTTCAGTATTTTTTTCCCTCCCTCGACATCCCCGGCCTAATCCGCGTGCTTAATCAACCCCCATCCTTCCCCCAGCATCTCGTTACTTTTGCCTTGCGTTTCGTCTACCAGCATGTTGGCTGTTTCTACACCGGCTGCCGGTATCCTTATGGTCATCTTCGGTTGTCCTTCCGGAGTCGGGTAAGGTAGATGGGTGGGTAAGATACCGCATTGCATCAGTGCAGTCGCTTGATCCCACCAAATGTGCTCTGAAGTTGCAAAGTCCGACTGTTAGCATCATTTCACCCTTATGGTCCTTTCCTCACCATTGTAGAGCCTGTCCCCTCGAATGTTGACGACAGCCATCATGGGGATCGCAAGTTTCTTCCCTGTTGGAGGTACTTGCGGCAATAGCCAATCGACGGTACGATCGTGAGTGATGTGATAGATGAACTCGTCTGCAATCAACATGAGGTACTGCGGAGGAAGAAGTAATTGAAAACTGAGGCGCCTGACCTACAACGCGATCAGGACCGACCGTTCGAGAGATGACTTGCAAGCGTGCATCGGCAGGGTTCCTGTTTCGCACAGCACCGTAAACGGACTCATGGGTCTGCGAATCGAGGGGAGATACGCACGAAAAGATGAAATGGTCCCGGTAAAAACGAGTCAAGTTCTCTCTTCCGACGCCGCCAGTCATCTGGAAGGGAAACGGTTAAATTCCAATTTGTTTCACCCAGGCCGCCCGTCTTTTCGCACCGTTGGAACATGGTTGACATATGGCTCCGCCTGAGGAATGGGGTCAGCGTAGACTCCCTTGGCAATGAGAGCCGACATACCACCATGGTAGCCATGGTCTTTGCGACGCTTCGTGCTTCAAACTCGAAGTAGCAGTGCTCGTCCCATATTGCTTCCAAATCAAAGTGTGGCCCACCCAAGTGCTTTCGGAGGAACACCAGGGATCGAGTATGGGCCACGGAAGCGCTGCCCGGGTCGTAGTCTGCGGAGGTGGGAAGGACGAAAGTTCCAGAGGCCACTGGATAAGAATGCTTTTGCACAAGTTCATTCGTGATCTTCACTGTCTCATCCTGTCGGGTATGAAGGAGAGTCGGTTTGGTGAGGTGCGACGCGTCCGGAGAACCTGCAGGGTATCCATATCCGACAAGGCACACAAAGCGCTGATTGTCGGCCAAAGCCTGTGAAACTTCTTGTACGCAATCTTCATCGTATACTTCCCAGTAGGAACGACCAAGTCAATCTCCAGCACAACTACGATCGTTATCGCGCTCACCAATCACTGCGAATTTATTTTGGATGTCGACAATCTCTGGCGATTCCCGGAATGCATTCTCCGCTTCGGTGAGGAGCTTTTGGACAGTGCTACCGGATGGGATTCCGGTGGTGAAGGCGACAGCGAACCCCTCCTCTGCCCATTTCTGCACAGGCCCAGGATCCAGCGGTTTGGGGCTTCTCTCGACCCCCTTGGTGGAATTCAAGAAGAGCAATACACCAGGACCGTGCCCACGACGCGACAAGGGAGGTTGAAGCCCAATGTGGTCGTTTATGCGACGGATTGGTGCATTCGGAAGGGCAACTGGTTGTTCGTCTGGTGAATTTGGGTCGTAAAAAGCCGGGGCACCCATTTGGTCCAAGTCAAGGAGGCGACGCTCTGGACTCCCGAGGGAAATTGCATTGCCATACCCGGACCCCCGTGATGATCTACCTCACATCACTCAGCAGTGGTGGACTGCAAATTTGGTCGCAGTTCAACGCCTCGTTACTGGCCCTCGACCGTAAGCCATGACAGGCCCTCTGTCCAGGCGGCCTGAACTCTCCTAACTGCCCGGCCAGTCTGAAAGGGACCTGATCCAGTAAGCATCTTACTACATCCACGATCTTCCACTTCGAGGCTGACCGTGCATTCAACTTCGATTAATTCGATTAAGCCTGGTCCTTCCTAATGGACAGCTTCACAAACCCATATAACCCCCTTGCACGCCAGAGAGGCCTTAGTATCGCACCTTGACCCTGCTTTCACTTGTACTGCTTTCGACCGTCACTCGCCATTGGACCTCCAACACTAGGCTATGTCTAACTCGCAAGGCTTTCGACAACTCCAGGTCGCGATTGTTGGTGGCGGTATAGGTGGCCTCTCTGCAGGCATTGCCTTGCGTCGCGCCGGTCACTTGGTCTCTATCTTCGAACGCCGCGGCTTTGATGTCGAGGTCGGCGCCTCTATCTCTTGCGCTGCCAATGGATCTGTCCACTTGGAGGAGTGGGGGATCGACATCAAGGAGATGAGCCCTGTTTCTTTGGTATGTCTGATGGGACTGTTATCATTGCACGTTGGCTGACTGATATCGTCCGCGCAGATGAAATTGACAATGCGCGAATGGGAAACGGGAGAGATTCAGGGCGTCTACGACTTGAGCAACTATGAGAATGAATGGGGTAGAGTTTACTATATGCTGCATCGTCAAGACATGCACAAGGTCCTTCTGAGGGTTGCTACTGCCGAAGAGGGTGCAGGCACCCCTTGCAAAATCTTCAATGATTCTCAGTGAGTGCCTCACGATATTCTTCCCCGTCTCATCCTGAACAGTTTTTGTATAGATGCGAGTCAGTTGACTCTGAACGCAGAATAGTCAGATTCCAGAATGGCAAGACTGTTCAGGCAGACTTGATCATTGGTGCAGATGGAATTCGAGTACGTGGCATGTCATTCACTGTGTTTGGATCTTCTGACACCCGTAATAGAGTGTTATCAGGGAGCAGATCGGCGTAAAGCCCGACATCAAGTCATCTCCGCAGACCTGCTACCGTTGCAACGTCCTCACTAAAGACATCAAGAAGCTTGGCCTTGTATCGCACTCGTACGAACCAGCCATGTACGTCAGGTTCCCTTTATTCCCGGTTTTCTTCGTCTGACATTACTTCAGCCAATTCTGGGGCGGCTCGGAAGGCAGGAATGGGCGTTCAAAGTACTACAAGATCGTCATGGCTCCTTGCGCCAATGGCGAAGTCGTTTCATTCTATTGTCAGTGACTTCCCCCTGTTGTGTAGCGGGGATTAACTATATCCTCAGGCTTCATGCCCACTGAATTGACCAACCATCGCGAGGAGGGATTCACCTTCAAGGAGTGTCCTGTCTCCGACATTCTTCAAGGCCGATATAGCGACCTTGACCCCGAATGTCTGGCCCTGCTGAAGAACTCTCGCGATCGCATGCCATGGAGACTCTACGTCCACCAGCCCTATACTGTATGTCACCGCCTAGCCCCAAGTCCTTCAGGTACTCAATTGCCCTTTTGTCCAGCACTGGTACACCAAGCAGACTTGTATTCTCGGCGATGCCGCGCACCCTATGATGCCCCATCAGTCCCAGGGCGCTTGCATGGCCATCGAAGATGCCGCCGCCCTTGGTATCATCTTTTCGTCCAAGTACCCAGAGTTCACCAGGGATGTCGAGGCTGGTTTACGACTCTACCAGGCTATTCGAAAACCGCGTGCTACCATGGTTCAGGCAGCTAGTGCCAAGGCCACTGAAAATGTCGCCGAGCGTATTGGTTTCACCAGTATCGACATTGCAGACGAGATGTTGAGACCCCAGGCCGGAGGATTGACTGGTAAGCATCCTCGCAACAATCGAGCGAAGTCGTCTGACCTCCGTTGACAGTCAAGGAAATGAATGAATACAAGATGCACGACCATGTCGCGGCAGAGGTTGCGAAGCTCAGGAAGAATATGGAGTTCCCTCAGGAAATGGCTCACCTGTAATGCGTTTCCTCGTCATTCACGAATATACCTAGACTCGTTCATACCCTATTTCTTTCTCTGTGTATCCCGTCTTTCGAGTCCTATGCTATGTGGGTCATTTGAATAGAATTTACATTCGATATAGCGAAAGTGGGGCATTTTCCTGAAAAGAAGACGCGGTAAGAGGCCACACGCTTCGTAAGTTGCCACACATCGTGTAAGCGCCCACATGAAGGGCGGTTCAGCAACCCCGAGAAGTCCGAAGCGGTGATCCGTAACTGTACAGTTGCATCAAGCCACGTTCGGAATTAGCCGGTGTTCGTCCCCCCAACATTGGGTATCGAGAACGGCTGATCAGCAAGTCCCGCCGTCCTCAAGACCCACAAAAATGAGGTATGTTCGTCGGTATGGTCGATGTTGAAGGCGTTTCTGACAACTTCATGTTGGTAGTCATCGTAAGGTCCGTTGGAATGCCGCTTGTAGGAGGAAAGGAGGCTGATATTGGGTCCAACTTTTCAGTACGAAGCTCCCCGACACGGCTCGCTTGGTTTCCTCCCAAGAAAGCGTGCCGCTCGTCACCGCGGAAAGGTCAAGGCCTTCCCCAAGGTGCGTGGAATCATGTTCCTGCGAGGTGGACCGGTTTTCAGAAGTTTGGTGCAAATAGGATGACCCCAAGAAGCCCGTCCATTTGACGGCCATGATGGGCTACAAGGCTGGCATGACCCATGTTGTTCGTGATCTTGACCGACCCGGATCCAGTGAGTTTAGCGAAGCTTGTTAGGGGGGTTGGCGTTTATGGTTACGATTTTCAGAATTCCACAAGCGAGAGGTTGTCGAAGCTGTTACCATTATCGAGACACCTCCTATGATCGCCGTTGGACTCGTCGGCTATGTCGAGACCCCTCGCGGCCTCCGCACCCTCACCACCGTTTGGGCCAACCACCTTTCTGACGAAGTCAAGCGCCGATTCTACAAGAACTGGTACCGATCCAAGAAGAAGGCCTTCACCCGCTACGCCAAGAAGAACGCTGAGGATGGTGGCAAGTCCGTCCAACGTGAGCTCGAGCGCATCCGCAAATACTGCTCTGTCGTCCGTGTCCTCGCCCATACTCAAATCCGCAAGACTGGTCTGGCCCAGAAGAAGGCTCACCTCATGGAGATCCAGATCAATGGTGGATCTGTCGCTGACAAGGTCGACTTCGGTTACAAACTCTTCGAAAAGCCCATTGAGGTTTCTTCCGTCTTCGAGCAAGACGAGAACGTCGATGTCATTGCTGTCACCAAGGGTCACGGCTTCGAGGGTGTCACCCACCGATGGGGAACCAAGAAGCTTCCTCGCAAGACTCACAAGGGTCTCCGCAAGGTTGCTTGTATCGGTGCATGGCATCCTTCCAACGTCATGTTCTCCGTTGCCCGTGCTGGTCAAAGTAAGTATCGATACCGTCTACTTATCTGTATGTTTGGCTGACGAAATACCCTAGACGGCTACCACCACCGAACGGAGATCAACAAGAAGATCTACCGCATTGGTCTCGGTAGCGACGACGGCAACGCCTCCACCGAATCTGACATCACCAAGAAGGTCATCACTCCTCTCGGTGGCTTCCCCCACTACGGTGTCGTCAAGAACGACTTCCTCTTGGTGAAGGGCTCCATTCCTGGAACCAAGAAGCGTGTCATCACGATCCGCAAGTCGTTGATGGTTCACACCTCTCGTCGGGACTTGGAGAAGGTCACTCTCAAGTTCATCGACACCTCTTCGAAATTCGGCCACGGTTCCTTCCAGACTGTCCAGGAAAAGCACGCGTTCTTGGGAACGCTCAAGTCTCGCGCTTGATCATCTTTTTACGCTTTCCCTTTTCATCATGTCATATGCTAGGCCCCGTTATATGTGTTTTTTCATGCCACCCAAAAATACAATACTTCCAAAAACACAACTACTCTGGTGCATGAAAGTGATTGAATTAAGTGTGTACGGTTGGATTTTGAGAGACTGAGAGAAATAGCGTCAAGTGAAGGCGTGGGACCCCGGAGTGTCGCGTGCGAACGGAATTTATTGGCCAGCTTGTCGCAAAAGTTTCAAGGCGGGTCAGTGTAGTTTGTGACCGACAACGATCCAAGCTGCTCTAGAACTCTGCGCGACCTGGAGAACGCGTCGCACAGACTCACCGGTGGTCAGACGTCCTCTGACATAGTGGTAAGCTATTTGAGTTTCTTGCTTTCTCGATTTCAGATTAAACCCTGTTTCGTAGGATGACTGGACGCTCTATTGATGCTCAGAGCGTCCTCTGCGGGCCTCACCAGTGCTTTTCCATTAGCAATACGCGCTGTTCGACAATGGAAAGCCCTCCGAGCTCCCGTTCTCCCTTCAATGTCGATACCGAAGAATCGCTTGCCATATTCCCAAAAAGTTGGAAACCTTCGGTCAATTGGAGAAGAGCAGCCGGCTGGAGTCCCCAAGAACCCTTCCCAATACACGTCGTATACAACCAATCCAGCAAGCGGAAAAGAAGACCACGCAAGCTATGCGTTACCGACGACGTGGAGACCGCCGACGCCTTTCAATCCAGAACGACGTGTCAGCGAGTCCGATACCACCACCGACCCCGCCTTGCCATCTCCTCTGTCATCTGCAGACATGGAAAGAGTCGTAAGGGAAGCTGCGAAACCGAAGCGGAAGGCAGCTCGATATCGAGAACGACGTCCTCGTCCTGGTTTACGCCGCAGAGTAAAACTTTCCAACCCCATCCGACGAAAACGACCCCCACGCAAGCCCAAGGACAATGGACAAATGGACCCGACCCAATGTGGCTCTCAATACCTCTCTCCAACACGACTTACATTGAGGACCTTCGTACCGCCAGATATGGAAGGCGGAAGAGGGCCGACCCTTGTCCGTCTTTTGCGCGCCATGCTATCGAAGGACCTTCAAAAGGCATTAGAGGCGCAGAACGAGATCCGTCGCCTTCAAGCCGAAGATCATGTCGTTTCTACCCATTTCTCCCGCATCCCTGTTCCCATTCTTCGCCAACTACACTACAACCTATCCAAACAGCGTCCGGTCACCAAATCCCACTTCCCCCTCATGTTGTCCGCTTTGCAGTCCCTGTGGGATGCAGGCGAGACATTCCCTATCGACGTCTGGAACTCGTTGATCAACGTAGCCGGAAAAGGCTTCAGAACTGGCTCCAGGCACGAATATGTAACGGCTGCGTCTATCTACCGCGATATGATTAGCGGTCGCCGTCCAGGTGCCTCGCAACGCGAATTTCTGAACTTGCGGAAGCCTGAACAACTGGAAGCCCTCCCTGGCACCGTTCAACCCAACCTGGTTACATTCAACACCCTCATTAGCATCGCAGCAAGGTCTCTCAGCCAACCTGCCATCGCCCATGCGGTCGCCTTATTCCAGAAATCAGGGCTCACTCCCGACCATATCACCCACTCATCCCTTCTCGTCTATTTCACTAGGACCAACAATTTTACCGGCATTCGTAACACCCTCCTCAAGATGAAGCGACAGAAACTGTCAATGCCAATCGACACACTCAACGGCATCCTCTACGCGTATATCTACAACGGGCGGGCCGAGGTCGCTTGGGACGCGTTCCTTGTCCTGAAAAACAATGTAACTCCCGACCCCAACCAAGCTTTCGTCAAAAGAGCCCAGAGGCGGCTTGCCTCAAAAGAGGGTATCGTGATTGGCTCCGACTTGAAGCCCAACGAAGTCACATACGTTGCCACCATACAGGCGATGGCTCACAAAGGCGATGCGTTCCGGACATTTTCAACCCTCCACGAACACCTCTCCCTCGATCCCGGCGCCTTCTGTTGGAACTCAACTGCAGCAGCATTTCGTGCAGTTTTCCTAGGCTTCTCCAAACATGCACATCCACCGTCATTTTCTACCGGGAAAGGAGCGGTCCCAATCTACGAGTGGAACCTTTCCAATCTCGACCTCATGTTCAAACTGTTCCTGCGATTACCCCCTACAAGAATACCAACCAGAAGTACGATTTATTGGATCATTACCGCCTTCGACAAAGCGAGCGGCGGTGACCTACCAATTCAACGCAGAGTGTGGGTGCAGCTTAAACTTCGCTTTCAGAAACGCGATCCCCAGCTCTTCCGCCAGAAGCGACTTCAGGATGTGGAAGCACGATTGTTCTTGGCCCCGCAATCCCAGCAGTGCTCTGAAAATCCCTCAAGTCTTCGGCCTGAAGGTGCATCCGAATCCGGTCCATAATGTACAAGCGAATTTCTACGACAGTGTCAAGTTACTTGGATTCTTCTAAATTCCTTCAAGCCTCGTGGTTTGCCCTCCAGTCGAGATACTCGTCGTAGGTGACGGTGCATTTCTGTGATTGGTATCGCCGAAGCTTGATGCTCCTGCGGAGATCCTCAGAGATGGGTCCCCTCCACCCTGCCTTGTGGATCGCGCTGTCGATGGCTTCGATCTTGCTCCATCCCTGGTCCGGAATCACCTCGGGAAGATAGGTCGCAGAGAAAGATTGTTTAGACGTGATACGGGGAACGCTGCCGCCACCGGAAGACAAGGGTGACGGCGCCTCTGAAGATGGGTTGTTAAGGAGCGATGGGTGGGGGAATGTAATGTAGATGCCATGGACGCCAATAGTCCAGTCGAGATAGGAGTTTGCGGACTCGAAGTTGGTCAACAACGAAACACTAGTTTATTGTAGATAGCACAAGAGTATAATTTAGCCGCCGATTTTTTTTTTCTTTTCTGGAAAGCGAGTGTGCGCACCTGCATTCGAGTGATTCTAGCTCGTATTTCTCAATCTTTCTAAATCTAGAGTCTTTGAATGCGCTGATCAGGGCATATTCGGCGAGACCCTCGTGCAGTGCCAGGGGTTCAAAGTTGCCAATGCATCCTCGCAAATGAGGGGGCCTACCCGGGCGGGAGGAACGTATGTTCCATGTCACGAAAAGCGGACTGCGGGAGAATCTGAATCAGGCAAGCAAGTTCCATCGGATGACAAAGGAAGGTTGGCGTACTATTTCTCGTCAGGAAAGGTGGGCGGGATAGGTTCTGAGCCCGTCAGCTCGCAATAAAGGGTATCAAATGCGTAGAAACAATGCTCTGGGGTGCAGGCTTCCTCCGGGGTCGACGGGGTGTCGCTGTGCACGCCGTTGGACAGTAAAGACATGAGGAAGGATAGTAGCGCCAGTTGGACTCGATTTTCCAGCAGTAAACGGAGGTATAAGACTACTCTACAACCTAGGAACCGGGTCCAAGGTGGATTTATATAGGTTCACTAGGTCGTAGAGGGGGGAAAACAAAAGGCCACAACGATAACGCTGTCCTGACTGGCGATCATAAATGATTCATGACCGCGGTATTTTCGCAGTCGGCCACGATCACCTGCCCGCTGACGAGTGGACAAAGCAAAGCAAAAGGCTGTAATTGTAACAGATAAAGTGACATACAGTCATACATACATGAGAGGGGTATGAACTAAAATAGATACTATCGAAACCTAAGAAGAATCAGTAAATGGGGCATGGACATGGACATGTGACGACATGGAAAACAAAAGAAACTGTAACTGGCTACTATAACTAAGATGATAGGTATGTGAGAGAAGTACTCGAATCGAAAGGAAATGAGATAATGAATAAGAAATAACGTGGACCGAGTAAAGGTAGCAAATAGATGTAATGAGTACACTTGTGGAGATGAGAGAGAGAGACAGCGGACGAACAAACAGGAGAGCGAGAGACAGAGTGTTACAAGCGAGCGTGATAGACTGAAGGAATGTGGGGGGTCGAAAAGCTTGATGGTAGAGGGCAAGAGCGGACAGACGAAGCGCTAACAGCAGTTCCAACTACCAGCCCGTTGCTGCTGGGCCTTTTCGCGGGCCTCCTCTTCGTCCGCTTGCGCTGCCCATGTCGGCTGGCTGACTGTGGACAAAAAGACGCTATCCCGCTTCCTCAGCTCGTTCTCTCGCTCGATAGCGTCCTTCCGTAGGATGATAGCTGATATCAGATGGTCGAACAGGTTTTGTATACCTAATGAGGGTTGAGAAGGGGAATGCAAGATTGACATGGAATGAATCACTGACCAAAGTCATCCTTGGCAGACACCTCGAAAAGTTCCATCCCTTTGCTCAGCCCCCATTCACGTTCGTCATCCCCTGACTCGTCTTCCTCCTCGATGCTGTTGCTGCTGTTATCCATATTATCGTAGCCCCCAAACCCAAATCGGGAAGACTGAGGCGTTCGCGATGTCGAGCTAGTATTCGAACGGGTAAGAGAGCCAGCAGTTCTCGGACGAGTGGGACCTTGTGTTCTACTTCTTTGAAGTGCAGATGATCGACCGGGGGGAAGATCCAAATACGCGGGGGTTTCGGGCGAAGTGGGAGCGGGAGGCGAAGAAGACATGCCAAACGTTGGCGATTTGAGACCCGGAAACGATGTGAACCGCGGGCGAATGTAGGAGCCGAGAGTTGATGGAGGTGGAGGTGGAGGTGGCGGAGGTGTAGGGATGCGTGGTGGAGGGAACCAGTTGTGCAGTGACAGACGTGCAAGGTCTGAGGTGACCTGCCGCTGCTCAGACAGGTCCGCCTTGGCACCAACGATGTAGATTAACAATTCAGGAGGACAGTTCTTTTTGAGCTCTATCAATAGAAACAAGGTTGTTCATTTGATGTTAACTTGCTTTTGAAGAAAAAAGCTTGTTTCTTACCTTCCAGCCAGCCTCGAATGTCCTCAAAGGTTGAGAAATTGGTGATATCGTACAACAGAAGAGCCGCATTAGCGCCTGTGAGAGCGAGTTTGAAAGCGTGATTAGCGAGGTGAACGGCGGCGACAGAGACGGAAATGACGGACCTCGATAATACATGGGAGCCTGTTTGGTTGCCACAGTGTCAGCAAAGTTGAATGGTGGACAGGAAGAAAGTTGGCAGGAGAAGACGCACCATACTCCTGAATCTTTCCTGACCGGCTGTATCCCATAGCTGCAGGCGTACCTTGACGCCGTTGACATAGACTTTCTTGGTTACAAAGAAGGCCCCGCTGGTCGAGGTCGTGTTCTTGGGGTCAAACTTGTTTTGGGTGTACCGTTGCAAAAGACTGGTCTTGCCAACGCCTGCGACGGTTGGGATGAGTAGGGTCTACGGTTGGCAAAGCAGAGCAGGACTTGCCAGAGTTCCCCATGATGACAATCTTGCTATCAATGCCCTGGTCATAACGAGAACGTGAATAGGGATCCATGACGGGGTAGTGGTGGTCGTCGTCCATGGCGACGGGGAGGGCCGTTTGGACGACGAGCAGCGCCTTGGACGGGGGGGGGGCGGGGTGGCCAGGAAGGGGAAATAAAAAGGAGAGGACGCGAAGAGGGCTGAGAGAAGAGAGAAACCACAGCTGCTTTACCGTCGACGGAGGGCTCGGTCCAAATCCGGCCAAGTCCCACGGCTAAGCTTTCCTTTTTCAGTCGCTTATCGGAGCACTCAAATCGGACCTCAGCAATCGAGATTCGCATATGCTTTTGGATCGTTCATATACTAAAAAAACATGGCCATAACATAAAGAGTATCATACTACGATGTTTAGGCCTTGTCGCCGTGCACAACAGGGAACTCGAACACCACATCCTTGCCAGTCAGGCGGCGGTACACTGACGAGAATGAGTCGAGCTTGTATTCCAACGAGGTAGCGTCCTTGGAGTCGAGGAATCTACGCAGATATTCAGCATTCGATCTTGCAAGTATCTCCACCACTTACACTTTGAGGAGTTTGGAGCCATCAACGGCAACACGGGTGCGCTTGCCAACAATTTCAGTGGGGAAGACAAGATCCTCAAGGATCTTCTCGTGGACGCTAGTAAGAGTTCGGCTGCGGGGTCGCTTCTGCTTCACTCGGGAGGTGCGGGTGGGCTTGCGGAGCATCCGGCGCTGGGCGATGAAGACAACATGGCGGTCGGAGAACTTCTTCTCGAGTTCACGGGTCAGCCTTGAAAATTATAAGCTATCGAAACCGACAATGAACCGCTCATTTCACCGCGCACCTCTGCTGGACCTTGTGGAAAGCCTTCAACTGAGGAACGGGCACAAAGATAACGATGGCCTTTTTGCCGCCACGAACGTCGACTTCACGGGCAGCAGAGATCTGGAGGACTCGCAATTCGCTCTTCAATTCGGGGACGTTGTTCTCCAAGTCAATAAGGGCCTGGGCGACCTGAGTCTCGATCTCATCGGGGGGAGTGTTGGGGGCGTTCGCCGTGCGGAGAATCTTGTTGGTGACAGACATATTGGCGGTGGAGAGCCCTGCAAAATTGCATCAATATCATCCAAACCGAAATCGTGTCATCCAGCCCAAAATCCATCTCCAGCAGCCCAGTTTTCGCCCATCCAGCACACCCTCTCCATCCTCTCCACCCAGTCCAGCAGCATTTCAGCGAGGCGAGCACTCACCCTTTTGGTCGCGACGAACGGCGGTGTGTTTCTGTTGATCGAGGTTCGCTTTTTGGTTGTATCGTTTGGAGCTCTCGGTGCTTACTAAGCAGGAACGCCAAGGGATCACTCGATGTATTCACAACTTTGTGCCTAACTTTGGTCTCTAGAACGCTTGAACTCGTCTACCCACTTCTTCTCCGCGTCACCTTTCGGGACAACCACAAAGGTAAGACATCCATCTTTTACCTCCAATCCGTCCTTTGGCTCTCCTTCTTTGGGCTTGGCCGCTTTGAACACGTCCTTCAACGTCATCTTCTTGCCGACCTTGAACAGCCGCTTCCGGCGCGTCATGGCGTAGACGACGAGGGACGGCACCGTGTACTCTCCTTTTTTGTCCCACTCTGGCGCAGTCCCAGCAGGAGGGAACATTCGTTCCAGATGAGCCCCAAATATAGTGTCCTCGACAAAATCCGGGATCACATCGGACGTCGCGTATTGTGGATAAAGGAAGAATACCGGGAACACAAGCGTCGAGTTGGTCGGATCTTCCGGGTCCCATCGAGGCTCGTACGGATTCGAAGATCCATCTGGTTTTGGTACGTCAATGAGGTTCCGCTCCTATGCATGACGTGCAGTTTTAGCAACGAAAACAATAAACGGTAGCGCGGCGCTTACCCGGAAAGCCATAGCCAAGGCGCGCTTAGCCTCCTGTTCCTTTCTTAGGCGCTCCTCCCGTTCCCTTTGAACTTTTTCCTTTGCTTCCTTCCTTTTTAACAGTTTTCCACGAAGAACCTTCATCGCTTCATTCTCTTGATCGAATTTTAGGCACCTATCACAGCAATCCAGCCCTTCTTCGAGTCGGTCAAGCGCCAAAAGCGCCTGCGCAGACCTATAATAGGCCTTTGACAAGTGGGCGTCGAGATTAAGAGCACTTGAGCAATCCCGTAGGACGGAACCATAGTTTTCTGGAAAAGTCCTCATGAATGCAAGTAAGATGTCGAATAGCGTTCAGCGCTTACGGAGTTCAAGATTGCAAGCAGCTCGGTTACAGAGCAAAGCTGTCATAATCTTGGGGTCTGTCGGCTTGGCCTCGATTCCCTGAGTGTAGAAGCTAATAGCCTCTCTGTACTTTTTGCCCTTAAAGTATTCATTTCCTCGAGATTTGAAGTTGTCGGCGATTTCTGTGCAGAAAGACGGTTGACAATGGGGTTGGCGGACTGACAGGAGAGAAGGTTCTCACCCACCATCCGGAGTCCCTTCGTAGGCAAGGTCCTGCAGGGCTGCGAGGACGGGATTTTCAGAGCTCTCATCCGGTAAGGATTTCATGAACAGGGGAATGTCATCGAGGGCCTTCAACTTCGCGTCGATCTCTTCCTGGCTGAGCTCCCTGGGACCAGCGACAGGTGCAGGTTGACTCCTCGCCATTTCGATAATGTGTTTCTCGAGGTCTGCGTCCATGTTGTCCAGAGCGCCTGGTCGAAGCTGTAGTTGGAAAGAAAGAGAACGGAACAGGACCAAGATGATCGCATCGTTATCATCTAATTGACAGGGCGGTTCGATGGCGGCCCGCTTCTCTTGATGGTTCGCTCGCTGCAGAATGGAGGTTGGTCGTTGTTCTGGACCCTTTTCTTGTTTCCTGATTGTGACCTTCTTGCGAACACAACCGTTCTCCCCCGAAATACGATACCATGAAGGCAATACGAGGTCTGAAGAGGGCGCTCAATGACACTGGGAGATACAGGTACAAGGTGTGTAATGAGTGCCATATATTCCACCTGGTGGAGACTAACACTTTTGTATAGTCTCCAGAGCTTGCCGTTGATCACGTTGTCATTGGCGGAGGTACGACTAGATCCAACGCGTCTTTACACGAATCTTCAAACAATATCCAGGAATCGTGGGGTTGGCAATTGCCCAGCGACTGTGTCAACAGTTCCCTTCAAAGTCCACTTACTTGATCGAGAGACATCCACGAGCTGGGGAGGAAATTAGGTATGCAACAGACGCAGTCTCCTTTGTTCACTGTTCTCACCTAGTTCTATTCGCAGCTCTCGCAATTCCGAGGTCATCCACTCAGGTGCGAATCGAATCACATTGGGCCTTTGGAATGACCCCTAACTTCATGCTCCACTAGGCCTTTATTATCCAGAGGATTCCTGGAAGACCAAGCTATGTATTCGAGGCAGGGACCTCATGTATCAGAGATGCAAGGAACGTAACATTCCTTACCGCCAGACCGGAAAACTGGTCGTTGCATCCCACGAGCAGCTTCCGTACATCCATAACCTCCACCAGAAGTCTCTTCGAATGAAATGGCCCGAATTCTCCCTGGCTGGAAAGGAAGACCGCCAGGACCCGGTTCTGCCAACGGAACTGATAAGCGGAGAACAGGCTAGGGAAATGGAATCCGACCTTTCCAAAGACATTGTTGGGGCTCTCTGGGTTCCCACCACCGGCATTGTCGACTCCCATACGTTCATGCAGAGCCTGGAGAAGGATATTGTCGAGTCTGAACAGGGCCAGGTAGCCTACGGCACCCGTGTCGTTCGCTTGGATCCTTACATCCGGTCTAAACGACCAGCCAACATTCCCGACACAGAAACTGGTTGGATTCTCCAAACTGTGACCGGCAAGGCAGAAGAAACCGACTCTATTCTAGCAAGGACTGTAATTAACGCAGCAGGTCTCTCAAGCACGTTCATTCTAAACGCCCTTCTACCTCAAGACCAGCGGATACCCATGTACTACGCCAAGGGGTCATATGCCAAATACAAGGGTCCCGGGGTCAGCAATGTCTCGCATCTCATCTACCCATGTCCAGAGACAGGCCCAACCCAGCACGCATTCCAGTCCCTGGGCACCCATCTCACCCTCGACCTGGACGGAAACATCCGCTTCGGCCCAGATCTCCAATGGATACCAGCCCCAGACACTTTCTCTGACGACCCCGAGCAAGACACAGATTTCTGGATGGAGCATCTCACCCCCGACGAATCCCAAATCGCAGAAATGCACCAGGTTGTCACACAATACCTACCAGGTGTGACCTTGGACGGTCTACAGCCAGACTACGTGGGGATGAGACCAAAGTTGATTCCCCCCAGCGGTGGCTTCCAGGACTTTGTCCTTCGGATAGACCATCCCATTGACGCGGATTATGCTAGCATTGCGGAATTCCGTCCAATGATTAGTTTACTAGGGATCGAGTCCCCCGGTTTGACTTCGAGCCTAGCAATAGCCGAGCAAGTAGTCACGGGCATTTTGAAAGGAGGGAAGACCGAGGTCTAGTGTATTGCATAGTGGAGTAATGGCCATTGTAATAGTACTTCTCCGCGAGCAGTGAATTTAACCGCGAGCCTTGACCTTGGGTTCCCAAGAGCTGATCTTTGGCACGACAGTGTTGTAGCTCTTGTATGCTCCTCGAGTTCCAGTCAAGTTCTCCACCCAGGGCTAAAAAGAACGTCTTCAGAACGTGCTGTATGAACGCCAAAGCACTATTACTCACGGCCTTCCAAGGCGGAGAGAGATTCTGCATAACAGGATCCTCGGTCGGTGGGTCTTTGCGAATGTGGCTCAGCCAAGCGTGCCATTCAGCGGGAACTTGAGTCGCGTTGAAATCGTGCTAATGGGCAACCGAGTTCAATCATATACATATTTTCAAAGGCTAATTGGAGACGAACCTGGACGAAGTCCACCCATCGATGCCGACCTGAATCTCACTAAGTCGTGTCATGAATATACCACAGAACTAACGACGAACCAGGAACCTCTTCTTCAGCATTTCTGTTCTCGAAGTAACGGTTTCCGAACCTGTCACAGAAGGGTCAGCATCGTCTCGGGAGAATAGGGAACAAACATACTGGTCAGCGCCAACAAATCGTCCGGACTTGGCGTCACCAATGTATTGCATCTGCCTCCACCATTGGCCAACGCCTGTCCTTTGAATATTCCGTATCGTTCGCCAGAGGGAAACCATGGTTGCTTGTGACCGAAGTCGAGGTGTTGAGAGTTGCTCAACTCCTTCCAGTCACAGGGATTTGGCGTGTTTGGTCGTGCTTGGATCCAACGACAATGCTTTCGACACAGCCACCATTAGAATGATCTGAAAGGTCGGCTGAGCGCCGACGCTTATACCTTGCGAAGCAAACAGCGCAGTTTTCAGGCATTGCCGTCGCGCCATCCGTCGGCGGTTGCAGGACAGACATACGAGGTCTCGCTGAACCCAATTTCATGCCGGCCGCAGCCGGCGATAATTCGCAACGACATCAGAACACGCAATGAAACTCGAAACCAAGGGTATCGACCTTGCTTTAGCTAGGTCCCTTAGGGGAGGATATTATGTAAGTTTTCACTACATAGAAACGCGAAAACAAACAAATGCAAGCACTTGGCTTACCGTTGTTTCGGTTCTCCCAACCTTCAGTGAGATTTTGTTCTCTCGAGAATAGTCTCTTCGAGTGGGGAACGACAAAATAGCCGCACATTTGAACACTATCGTATATTTCTCAGTAGCCTGTTTAAGCGCTGGGACCTGCAAAAGCCTGCTATCCGTGTTTGCACGCAATTTCGACAGTGATACTACTTAACCGGAGGACCGACTACCTTCGTTTAAACTTTAAATGTTGAAGAGGTCGCGTGACGCATAGGCTCATTTGCCCGTCCAAATAGCAGTTGTTCGCTCACAGCGTACATAGTCTGAGTGTCAATTGCAATCTGTTTCAGTACCGCTTCCCAACGACACCTTCCGGGCAGAAGTGTGAGTGGTTCAATGTTCAATGCTCCCAACAAAAAACAGGGTCCCTAAATGACGCTAAAGCAAGGTCGGTAGTCGCGGCACGCGGCCCCTTTATGTTTAATTATTTACGGCCCGCTTCAGCGGAACATCCGAAACTGTGACCAAAGATACAAGTGCAGAAGAATCTACGGCTCCCACTGGCAGACCATCGGGAACTTTGGTCGACGCTTCAAGAGAACAGAACGCAAACACGGAGGAGTACGTCCCATGTATAAATACCCCGTCACACCACTGTATACATTCGCAAGCCACCAATCCCGCAGACCAACCTGCTGACCTTTGATTCAGTTATTTGGGGCAGGATTCAGCGGTTCAGGCTGTTTGAGGTGGAGTATATTTCTGTACAGGTGACCATGTTTCGAACGAACGAGGGATATTTTGCCGAGGGTAGAGACTTGATTTGGAAATTCGCTCCTATGTACTTAGTTTCGCATCGACTGTTTGTATTGCTTTGTCAATTGGGACAGGGGGCTTATCTAATACTGGTTGGGAGGAAACCTTGCTTCGCAAGGTAATCGACCTTAAGACTTTAGAACAAGGGTGAAAAGGTCTTCCCTGGACACGTCGATGAGAATAAGAATTAATTATAATTTAGCAAAATCCAAAGTACATGCACATGGCACCAGAGATGGCTTGACGAAGAGCTAGGTTGTTCCGACACACATGGTACATAAAGGAGGCCCTTGACAATACGAGAGAGGAACCAGGAAGATACAAGAGATTCGGATCCATGTGAGTAATGCAAATGGTAAAAACCACGGGAGCCTGTACGTACACAATACAAGGGTCTTTGAATATACAGAAAAATCTCAGGAAGATAGTCAACATATGGAGGAGTAGGAAGTGAAAGTCTGGTCGGTTCCAAAGGGAAACGTCGGAAGAACGAAAGGTGGGACGCACACGACGAAGTAGATCGAGTGAAAATCTAATCGGCATAGAGCACATGCTTATCCGTCCCTTCCATCCAAGCCCGGAGCTCCTCGTCGGTGTCCAGGCCGACAAAGGTGTTTGTCAAACTATCTCGGTATTTGAGCACCCGCAACTCAGATCCTAGTCGTGCCTGTACTTTCTCCATCAATTCGTGGTGTGACACCTTGGGGTGTACTCGAATTGCGATCAAATCATCCGCCACTCTGTCAAAAATCTTGATTTTCACAAAGGCGGTTTGAGGGTTGGCAGCGGATATGGGCGGAGTATTGAGGTTGACCGATGTCGCAGTTTGGGAACGCGTTCGGGAAGCAGACGAGAAAGAGTTAGCTGTCGTTGGCGTGGGCTGGGTGTGGTCCGTCCATCGCGACTGTCCGTTCGAATACGAGTCTCTTGATATCGGAGAAATACGTTCGCTGGAATGGTTACGGGAGTGAGAGGCATAGGATTGGGTGTGCTGTGTTTGATGAGTATGGAAAGACGAGGTTGACCCTGCTCGCTGGTGGTTCTGGTGAGCTTGTACACGTAGGCTCTCTTCCCTGGAGTGCCTGCCATTAACGGGTGCGGTTTGACCATAGGGATGCCTGTCGTATGGTCTGTGTTGAGGCGAAGCAGCGTAACCTTCATCCTCGTAATCTGACCCGTCACTATGGTGGCCGCTATCGCTGACCTTCATGCGTCCCACTTGATCGGCGATTTCTTGTGCATATTCTCGGTCGTAGTCGTCCTCAGGATATTCGCCAAAGAGGGCGTCAATTTCGTCGACACGGGGATCAATTTCACTGTCGACATCACCCGGTTTCAATGCGAGGAATTGCCTGAGGACTTCATGTTCAAGGATATGTCGATAACCGCTCCTGCTGAGAGCGCATAAGCCGTGGATATATTCGTCCAATTCCTCCCGGCGAGTTGCTGTTAGAGCGTCGTCAACGTCCTTGGCTGGTCCTGGCATGTATGGCAAGACCCTGGGGTGAGGGGGTTGTTGGCCTGCTTCACGAGGGAAGGTCCGCAAGAGGGTGACTTGGAATTCATAGAAATCCTCATAGACGCGGAACAAGATGAGTTGCTTGGCGGGAGGAAGTTGGCCACTGCCCGGTGAGCTATATGGCTGGAATATAGCGTCAACGCGGAACCAGTACTCTTCCATCTCGTAATGGAAGGACACGACGTCCGCGGAAAGAAGAATGCCCTCCGGAAGGCATTCTGGGGTTTGGGGACGAGGGGGTTCAGGTTCTCGCGGTGGATCCATCGGCTCTGCCATGGTACTAAGGAAAGGACTGGTCGGGGGTCCACCCCTGCTCGGGGGATCGATAACCCCGAGCGAAATACTGTTTTGCTTGTAGTTGAGCATTGCTCTTTTCCAATCCTCAACCTTGGGTAGGTCCCCGCGATCTATGAGGGCATCGACGTCGACGATGGGAGCTCCTGTTGTAGGATCGTGGATTTCGACGAAGGATACGGGAATCAGGCCTGGACGTCCGAGTTTGCCGATGGGTTTCGCGACGAACCACTCGCGATTAGATTGGGCGACGACGGTGATAGCATCTCCTCGCTTAGCATCGAGTTCATCCGGTCGTTCTGCGCTGAAGTCGTGCATCACTATCGCGTAGTAAACCTGATGCTTGGGTGTTGGTGGTGAAGGGGCTGAACCGGAACCAGGCAAGTGCATTGATTTGAATCCTCCTCCGCCAGGGGTGCTGAACTGTGAATGGCGTACACTGATAGGCGCATTGTTAATATAGTGAAGTTACAATTGATCTGCTGCAGACGTACGGCGGTGCATTCTTTCCAAACTCTTCAAACATTGCACGAGGGACGATCCCGCGGGCTCCTGTGACTGGGTTGTGGGCTTCGTACCAAGCCGAGCCCTCCGCATCTTTCAGAACATAGAAGAAGTCGCCCTTTTGAAAAGAAAGTTCCTGGGGCGCCTGTGATTTGTAGGACGAGTTTGCACGGATAACTTTCTGAGGAGGTAATATTGCTGATGGAGGTTTGGACATGGTTGGTATCGGGAGAGGGGTTGATATCTGGAGTTTTGAGGAATCCTTGTTGCCATTGAGAGATTTTCTAAGAGACTTCATGGTTTATCGTAAAGCGTGAAGGAGAGACGTCGTAAAGGTGGTCGTAGAAAAGGAAAATGGTCGTTGTAGATGTGAGAGCTCAGGGCACTGCAGTTGCATTGTCCATTCTGTCCACGTGCTTTCCCATCAAACAATTAATTACTTAACGTCCCATATCCAGCCACTCCTCTGCAATCTCGAAATTCAAACACCACCATCCATCGTCATGGTGAACTGCCCTGCCGTTGTCCAATCCATGAGTCAGGCCTGATCTCCCTGATTCCTCCTCCTGTATGTTACTGTTACGAACACTGTTGGGCCATTAGTGCTTCTTTCACCATGGAAGCTCGAACTGTAGCTGACAGGGTAGCCAGGAAGATTCGTGTGTCCTGTAGTAACCACCCTCTTGGCTATTGTCCCACCGTTATTTATACCGTGCTCTCCAATGTTACAGCTTCTTGTTATTCTGGGTGACATGTAACCCCCAGAAGCGGTTGCGGCACGCTACTGGTGGAACAAACAATGCCCGAATTCGCTGAGTCAGCACCCTCGGGGACAAACATTGAACCCTAAGCAACGGGCGACGGGGGGAATCTCGTACCTCAACTTTTACCACACGAAGCCAGAATCTATCGACAATGGCTGCCAGAAAGCTGCAAAGTGAGATTCATGAGTTGTTCGGTTAGACCGCGTCTCACAATGTACTCTAGGCGAAATTGACCGGACTTTGAAGAAAGTCGCGGAAGGCGTCGAGCTTTTTGAGAGCATCTATGAAAAGATGCAGGCGTCTACGAACCAGACGCAGAAGGAGAAGCAGGAAATGGACTTGAAGACCCAGATTAAGAAGTTGCAAAGGCAAAGAGACCAGATCAAGACATGGGTGGCCAGTAACGATATCAAGGACAAGACGATCCTCCTCGAGAATCGAAGGCTCATTGAGACGGTAAGTCGTCTTCCGCGACATGTATCTCATACCGAGATCAACTTCAATGGGCTAACTCACTCGCCTTTAGCAAATGGAGAAGTTCAAGGCATGCGAGAAGGAGATGAAGACCAAGGCATTCTCCAAGGAGGGATTGATCCAGGCAGCGAAACTCGACCCGAAAGAGCAGGAGAAAGAAGATGCAATGCAGTGGCTACAACAGCAAGTGGAAGAATTGCAGATGCAGGTCGAGTCGACGGAGGCAGAGGTGGAAAGCTTGCAGAGTACCGGAAAGAAGAAGAACAAAGCTGGCGCAAATGCCTTAGGTCGTTTAGAGGAACTCGAACATCTCAATGAGCGGAGAAAGTGGCACATAAGCCGGCTGGAACTCGTCTTGCGTCTTTTGAACAACGGTTCCCTAACTGCCGAGAAGGTGAACAGTCTCAAAGAGGATGTTCAATACTTTGTGAGCAATAACAGCGTGAGTTCCGTCCTTGTTCTCCGACCCTATCGACCCTGACCGTCCCGCAGGACGATGATTTTGAGGAGGATGACGGTATCTACGAGGAACTCAATCTCGACGAGGCAGAAGGAGAGTTCGGATTGGTTGCTGATGATGGCGACAGTTCTGAATCGGAGGATGCAAGCGAACGTAAGTTTGCCTAAAATACTGTTATGAAATGTTACTCACTTCGACTAGCCGATGTCCCGCCGCCAAAGAGCAGTAAGAAGCAACAACAACAACATGACGACGACAATACATCGCACAGCAAGCAGCATGACAGCCCTATCCTCAAGAAGGCGGGCGTATCATTAGCAATGAGGAGTGGGTGTCATTCTTCACTTGTTGTCGACATTCATCTAACTTCTTTGCAGAGCATTCCGTCGACAGTTTGTATTCATCATTACTTGACCTGTTCCCGGACTCATTTTCTTGTAGCCAAACCCCCGCCAAACATCAACCTCTCGCAGCAACCAATGTCGAGCGTACTCAAATCTGGACTTTCGCAACCCGCACCCCGCCCTACGCCGCCGACATTACCTCCTATACGCTATGCTGCTGCAGCAGCAGCCGCTGTAAATTCCCATCCGCCAAGTTCGGCAAGTGCACATCCACCGTCAACTGCACCAGTGACTCCTGCATTGGCACCAGCACACGCATCCTCAGCTTCACCTGCAGTACCGCCCTCGGTTGCAGCAGTATCTCAAGACCAGCAGTCAGCTTCGTCTCCTAGTCTCACCCAGCAGTCAGCGGCGAGTCCAGCATTGTCGTCGGCGGTATCTGCTTCCCAAGCTCCTGAAGGCTCGTCTCGCTCTGGCCAACCGTCCCCTGCTCTATCTAAAGCTATCCCGACTTCAGGTACGAAACAAGCGCTGGCATCCCCTCAACGCGACACGGTCAACAGGAAGGGTAAGGCACCGATCATCGATGATTAAAACGTCGCTGAATAATTCTCCAGAATCGGTATCTGTCGCTTCTCCTCAAGTACCCAAGCAAGCTCCAGCATCACAACCCCAAGTAAGTTTCGTTGTCTTCTCCTTTGAATCTATCTGCTGACCAGGAACCTTTGCAAGGCGACGAGTAACGAAGCAACGCAACCCCCAGCCGCCAGCGCTGCTCCTGCCACGCCGGCGCAACAACCTCCAACGACGGGACCATCGCCTTTGCCTCAACAGCTTGGCGTAAGTGACACCAACCCCTCCAGCCGTCGGGGTCACTCATTTCACCTTCACCAGACCCCCGTCCTCTCTCCAGGAGTCAAGGTTGCAGAGCAACAGCAGGTGCTACAACAGCAGCAGCAACCTCCGGCCCAGTCCTTCCCTTCGCAGCCCATCGGTGGCCAACGACCACCCTCGGCTGCTCAAGTTGCTCCTACGTCAGCAAGACCTGCCTCAGCGTTCCCCGGTTCTCTGTCAGACCTCGTCGTTTCCTTTGAAAGTGTCAAGCAGAAGGGTGAGAGGCCCTTGTTACTGGTTTCGCGTTGTAGCTCACCTCCGTGATCCTATAGCAGCGCTCCGTATGAACAATATGGAGCAAGTTCACAAGATGCTTGAAGGTGGACTTATCAATGTCCCTCAACCACAGGATACCGACAAGTAAGTATCGATTGTCACATGTTTCTCTTCTATTTTCTCAGCATCTCTTCGAAGACCCAAGTACTACACGCCAAGGAATCCTTTCCCGACGCCTTCGTACTATCCTCAAACACCTCACGCCGCCCTCGGTACCCCCGCCATCTTCTCTCAACTGGATGTTGAGACCCTCTTCTACATCTTCTACTACCTACCTGGTACCTATCAACAGTACGTGCCCATCTTGAACCTATGTGGAGTTCTCTAACTCTTCAAACAGATACCTTGCTGCCAAGGAGTTGAAGCGACAATCCTGGCGATTCCACGTCAAGTATCTCACTTGGTTCCAGCGACATTCTGAGCCTCAAGCCATCACCGAAGAGTATGAGCAAGGGGTATACGTCTATTTCGACTGGGAAGGTTCATGGTGCCAACGGAAGAAGAGCGACTTCCGATTCGAATACCGTTACCTCTCCGAAGACTGATTTCTTATTGACTTTGTTCTTCATCTGTCCATTGACCCACTCATCCTTTTTGTAATTACTCATATTCACGTCTGAGCGACATCAATGCATTACGAGTTATATCATTATAATGGAGCAGGTTCTATTATGAGAGGAAGTATACCTATGTAGTCACGCGCGTCTACTCGAGTTTTACCACGGCGCCGAGATCCTCAAAGGCCTTCTTGAGCTTCTCAGCGTCCTCCTTGGAGAGGTTCTCCTTCAACATCTTGGGTAGTGACTCGACGAATTTCTTGGCCTGTTGTAAAGAGTTGGGATCAGAACTCGCAAGAAATAAAGCCAGAAGTGCACCCACGTCAATGAGGGTGAGGTTAGGCACCAGTGCCTTGACTTCCCGAATGATCTTGGGTTTTGAGCCAGCGTCGAAGGACTCGAGCTTGACGTTGAAGACAGTCTTCTCCTTGGGCTTCTCCTGAAATGTACATGAGATTACGACCTTGTCGAGTAGTTCAGAGCAAAACATACAGCGGCAGGTTCGTCGGAAGCCGCGGCCGCACCACCGGCGGGCGCTGCTGCTGGTGCTGCTGCTGGCATAGCAATTTCTTGGATATTCAGTCGAGTCTGTTGTGAAACGGGTGGTTAACTTGTTCAGCCCCGGACGCCCCTGAAAGCTGCTAACCTTGAGTTGCGTCACCAAGTCAGCGGCCTGCAGCAGTGTCAATCCCGAAATGTCATCGACGATTCGTGAAATCTTGGGGTCGGCGGTGGGAGGTGGTGGAGGCGTAGAAGTTGATGCTGGGGCTGCTTCAGTCGATGCATACCGAAGGGCATAGAGCGTCCTCGGACGCCTGTAAACGCGGTTTGTATTGAGTAACATGTCCTACACCTCCCGAACGTGACGAGGTCGAATAGAACGGGACTGGACGTACTGTGAAAAGGTGGTAGACCGGGAGAAGAGTCGGAGAGCACCAGAACAACGACTCTGGAATTGAATGTGAGTTTTGGCAATGCTCGAGACGACGACGGACTTACAGCCATGACTACTGTTTTCGTGACACGCGAAACTGGAGAACGCAAGCCAGAGTTGGCAAACTTTTTGAGGCGTTCTTTGGTTCTGTTTGCCATCACCTTCCGTCCGGTCACAGCCTCCGAACCCGCTCTGTCCCGCCGGGTACCGACTCGGGGTAAAAACCAAGCCTCCGGTAACAATCTAGGGCACGTTCTTTACTTTTCAAAGTACAGCAAGGCCAGCTGCTACTGGTACAAAATTTATTGTCGATAGGATACAACTAGCCCGGCTAGTGTGTGTACAATGCAAAGGCCGCGGATTCGACACGATTTCCTGTGACTTCAGAATTTGACAGGCTTTGCAAACGTGGATTCGGCGTCAAAGGCGTATCTCAGGTCGATCGTCTTCGCGTCTGGCTCGACGTATATCGGCTTGCATCTCTTCCAAACGCACATTGCACGAATAATATCCTAATATCAGTTCTGTCAGCCCACAAGTTTGAAACGCAGTGGAAGGAAACCCACCCTTTGTGTGCCAAAGATCAGAATAAAGACGGTCGGGGCTGGTATCCACAGTCAGTTACTATTCTGAGAAAGACCAGTTTTCTTTACCGCTGGCCAGAACCAAATCAGGGACGGGGCTAGACGGTGACGTGACTGAGATGAGGCTCAGACTTCCCGTGACGGCAAACGTTAGAGCTTGGTTCCCCAAGTAATTGAAAAGGGTATGCTTTACCTCATAGCAGTGATTATATACAGACCAAAGGAGAGAATGCGAACAGGGAAGCTAAGATCCACTTTTCGACGAAGGCTGGAGCCCTGAAGCCTTGCTATCTTGCGGTGTCGAATGAGGAGGATCAAGGTCCACGCTATAAACGGTTCTGTCAGTAAAGGGCATGCCAGCACTCGCAGTCGCATACCTTCCAGGATAACAGTCGCGAGGAGGATAATGGAACAGACAACAGCGATGGTGTTAGTCCTGCCATGAATGTATATGAGCGACTGGGTTGACGGGATAACACGGTCGGGGCGCACAGTGGTAAGTTTTCCACCGAGCAGTAGAAAAACCGGCGATTTCGCGATACTCGTCGAGGGTCATTAGCACCAACCTACATAAATGACAGATCAAATCATTAGCTCCAGATCTAGAAGACGTAGGTGGATGTACTAACGATGGCGGTTGCTAGAACGAAGATAAAGTACACAACATATGGTGATATAATCATCTTTGGGTCCAATCAGCACGGTCACAAGTGTCAGAGGGGAAATTCTGGCTCACCACCCAGAAACGTATTTTGTGATCATCATCCTCGCAGGGCTTACCGTGGTGGGCAGCTCGGATCTTGAGAAACATCTGCGCCGTGTTGTTGGCAAAGCCGTTCGATTACTTCAAAGAAAACAGACCTGGAGCACAAGCATAAAGGCACAAATGGATTCCCTGTTGAAAGGTCAGGACAAGCATGGGCCCGGGCGCTTAATTCACTCACAACGGTGGAACACCATAGATCGTAGAGGCCTGAAGCAGGCAAAGCATTGGAGCGGGTTCTGGACCAGTGAATTTGCCGAAGTATACACTTTGAGAGCGGTGTCAATCGTTCGCATAGGCTTCGGTGAGTCGGGTTACGCACAGCAGGCTGGAGACACTGTTATAGGCCAAAGTCATTAGGATAGGCGCGTATAATTGGGAAACCAGGTCAGGGCTTACATTCCAGTTATGAGAAAGGCGACACAAAAGTTGAGGAAAGTGCCATGTCGTTTCACTTGTGTCGAAAAGAGGACGATGGCGATTAGGACAGGGAGACCAAGAAACGCAGGCCACATGTTGAGGACCAGAAATAGAACGAGGTGGGGATATGATCCATGGACAATATTGTGCGGGCGGGGTTGCCCTGTAAAGTATCATTGAATACAGTATCGATCCTGCGTACGAAGCGAGACTCACCAGTAACCAGATCCACATGCGCCATATCGGGCGGTCAAGACTGGACAAATCGAAATTGCAAAGGCCTACGAAAGCCACGAACGTAGAAACTTAAGAAGCCAGCTTCAGAGAAGATACGATGAAGGACTGGAAGGGAAGAAAGAGAGACTCTGCGAGCGCAGGCGTCGAGCTAGCGACGATGGGAGGTGGCAAGGAAGAAAGAAGCGATAAGGTGCCATCAAGGATACTCGATCGCGACGGGACGTGGAAAGCCAATGCCCTGTGGGCAGCATGTTTTGTTGAGCATCTCCTTTCGATCTCTCCCATCTGCCAGAAAACTGACACAAGCCAATAGGACGAAATAACGCCGGTAACCAGCTCGCTAACAGACTGGGAAATGATCCTCACTGCACCGACACAGCACTCGGGCTTCGTCGCTGTTTCCAAGACTTGATGAGATTTGCTTTACTCCTGTTACAGGGCAGGTGATCGAGTTGATATTGTGGAAGCCCCGTTCGCATGTCTAAGGCTGGAGAGCCAAATAGGCTGGCCTAAGCCGCCCATTCGAAAATGCCATCGCTCTGGGGGTAGATGGTAGATCTTCAGAGCTCCAGTAGACAGAATGTGTCTCTTTTAGTGTCCATTTCTAGACGTCCAAGATATGTCCAATTTGCGAGCGGGTGATTCTGGGGTTGAATTCAGAAGTACAGCGGTAGAAGTGGCAGAAGAGCGGGAGGGTTCGTTCCGCGCCCTGTCTACAGTCTTAGTCTGCTAGGGCCATCACATCAAAGTCCGCCATCACCGACTGGGACGCCGATATCGTTTACGTTGAACAACTTTATGAATCATCCTCCACCAAAGCGACATCCTTCCCAGTTTTTTATTCACCCGAGCGGCCTTCTACACAATATTACTTCTGTGAGTTACAGCCGCTTGGAACTCCTAGACTTCACCTTCTTCCAGACCTGAATCGACCAGTGAAAAGTTTGACTGCCAACTACGGATTCGGAAATGTTGCACTCAAGTTCAGGCTGGGTCCACAGGTCGGACTGTTCTTTTGCCTCCTCATCCATACCGGTAGGCGGTAGGGACCAACGTTGCCTTGCGGCTGATTGGCATTGGCACGATTTGGGAACGTGAACCATGTACAAATCTTGCAGGCTTCTTCATTTAGCCTCATGCTCCTGCTTCGACTGAAGCAAAGGTGATTTTTTTTCTCGAGGCAGCTGCATTATCGTGCGATTCGCCCAGGTTCGCATGCCACGATGACAGCCCGATTAGTCAACGGGCGAAGGGGAATAGGGATCTATTGTCCACTGTTTAGCCTCCAGATACGCCCTTCTGATCCTCCCAAATGGTCTATTTGTACGCCGGGGCCTGGATGGCGTTACACCTCAAGGAAAGAAGCGTTCCCAGAGAATGCGCCCCGAAGGTCGATGGTAATGCTGTTTACCTCCGCGTTGTGGACGCAAGCAGACTAAATGAAGGTCATCCAAGGATGATTCTTCATGCATCTTCTTCAATGCGTGTTACGCTTTTTAAGTCCTTGCTATCAGGTCTTGACGGCGTCCCTTCAACCCCTCCCCTCATCTCCGGAGCCTCCCAGTCAGTCAACAGGACATGTCCGCTCTCCAGGACCGCTTGGTCGTGGACAACACGTATGTCGACCGCTGTGTTCTGTGACATACTCTTACCGTCGGGCTGGTAGGATGGGGGCCTCTATGATTGGAGTTATCTGTGCATCCGTGTAAGTAAATTTTTACAGTATAGAGTTGGACCAGCGTAATCGGCCTTCTCGACAGTCTTTACGGCGGTAAGTCTTTTTTTTTTTTGCCAGGTATAGCTGTCAAATCGCCAGCTGAACGTCCTTGTTTTAAACCAGTTTCTTGCGTTCAGACCTGGTATTACTTCAACCATTACCGGAAGGTATGGCTACTAGCACTCTTGCAAGTTGGCCTCGCTGTTGAATGCCCCAGGATGTTTGGTACATTAAATCTTTGGTGAGCACATACTGAGTTCCGATGACGGCCACTGTCCCGCCTGACGAAAACCCCACCCGCAGGTCGGAGCCGTGTGGATGTTCGACACCATCCACCAGATACTCATCTCACACACCGGTTCGTTCTTCTAGCTCTTCAACTGCGTCGGCTTCCTGAAGACACCTACATTGGGCAGTTTATTACTACGTGATAACGAACTACAACAACCCCTCCATTCTCAATCGCCTCGTTTGGTTGGTCTATTTCCCTTTGTGCCTCCCTTCTTCATCAGGCGCTTATATTGGCATGACACAGGAGCATCTTGGTAGGCGATCTCGCCTTTGATTTAAAAGAACGCCGCTCATCCGTCTGGAAATAGCTCGAGGTCCTATTCAACGTGCGTTCACAAGCTCTTCTTCCAGGGTGCCTTAATGATTCGATGGTCTTTGGTAGGGATTCATTGGATTACTTGTTCAAGGGTACATCGACCTTCCTTCTTCCTCTTCGCATACTGACCGCTTTTCGCATCCAGCTTTCTGACCTTGCGCGTTTGGAAACGTGAGTGAACTCCGAGCTCTGCATGCGCACATTTAGATTCCCTCTACGACTTGCGATACAGTGAGTGACGAGAACATTCCGCTCACGGTAGTCATTGTAAGTGCCCCACTGCCCTCCCGCGCTTCTTGCATTCTCACTCACCCGGCTATCGCATTTAGTCGCTTCTGGTTCTTGCTGAATTCGGTGCGTCTCCCGATGATCTTCGCCAAACACTGAGCTTAACTTTGAGTGACAGCTTGCTCAGCTGGTAGGTCTGCTCGCGAGTGTACCTTGATTGCAGCAGTAACGGACTTTATTCTTTTTATTAGCATTCACCGTCGAGTCGTAAGCCTCAGTCACTCCCGGTAAGTATGTGCTAATTGTTCTCGCCAGGCTGAAGCTTCGGACTTGGGAAGACCTTGGAAGTTTGAAAGTGGGCCCCTGTTTACGTCGAACCGTCAGGATGTCTCAATGTGCAATATAGGGACTTTCAATCTCGGTGAACATCATCGGCGTTGTGGCCGATGTTGTCATCGCAGGAGCGCTGTTCTATTTCCTTCAGAGATCGCGGACAGGTTTCAAGAAGTGTGTTTCTTCCCCTACTATCCGACTTGCATGCTCACGTTGCGCTTCAGGTCAGACTCTATGATTAGTAGACTGGTATGTCCACACATATCTTCCCCTTCCGTTCATTTATTTGACGAGTAGTAGATATTATTTACCGTCAGCACTGGCTTTCTGACCAGCCTTTGTGCAATTGGTTCTTTGGTTTCGGTGCGCCGACCCACTCGCGTTGCGAACGCGAAACTAACTTCGTTGTGCAGATTTTGGCATGGGGTCAGACCCTTATTTATGTCGCCTTCTACTTCAGCATCGGGCGTTGTACGTCGCTTCCTGTCTGCCTTGACCCCTGTGCTAATCCTCTTCGTAGTGTATAGCAATTCTGTTCTTGCCACATTGAATGCTCGAAAGAGTATACGGGGCCTTGGTGAAGACAGTGACGAACTTTCCTTCTCTCTTCAATCATTCCCGAAATCAGGTTCTAGGCCACTGACATCGAGCGTACGCATTCCTGTTGAGTCCTTGGAGCTAAAAAATCCTGACACATGTGTCATCCAGCGGCCTACGAATATTTCCATCAAGATTGATACAATGCAGGAGTTCCCTGCTACTGAAAGTCAAACTCAAGAACCTGAAGTACGCGCATCCTTACCTCTCGGATTTCTCTCGCTCTAATCCTGCTTTTCAAGTCAGCCGTAACTGACGGCTCGTTTTAGTGTTGCACGGACGTCACGAACCCTCATCTAAGGCCATCCTATATCCTTTCGCATATATTGTATGTAACATATTCGTTGCTCATCTTGGAGGAACCATGCCCCGGAGCTGTATTTTTATATACCTTAGCGACTGTGGAGTCCAGTCGCTTTCTTGTAATTGCACTTTGTCAATAATACCTTGCATACATACCTCTCGATGGAGTGAAGACGAGATGTCCTTCAACCCCGCCGCGTATATGTGATGGCACAACGCTCGGCGGTTGCCTCTAATTAACCGTCACCTCTCCTGGAACCTCGGTGAACCAGTCCGCCAGTTCATTCTCTACACCCCTTTAAACCTGCTTAGGCTCGTTGACTTGACTCGGAAAAACATTCTTGGATGCATGGAAACTGTACTGACCCCACCACGTAGCCCAGCTTCTGGACGCCCAATACCTACGGCTTCGCACAGTCGGATCCCATCTGACATCTTACCCGTACTGGCGGGCTTAACTTAGTTCTTACAGCCATCTCTGATGACAACCGTCGCCAAAGCTTAGTGAACAATAGGTTTTCATTTGGCCGGTCGCAAGAGGATGGGTATCGGAATCGCTGACGAGCTTTGGTCGTTTCTTCTTGCCGATCATGACACCTCCTCCACACTGCTCGCAGAGCGCAAGTAGACACGGGTCAAATTCCACACTCTGCAGAAGAATTCCATGTTTCCAACACATGGCTATGGTGAGTGAATCTTTGCGGGCTGTCACGAAAACTTAAAGGTAATGATGAACACCATTGGGAATCTAGCAATGAATTTGCTTTATTGAAGGTCCTTCGCACAAACTCAGCAGCTCGACCGCAACCGGCTGCTGATCAGTCGAAATGCCATCGAAAGGCTCTCGTAGCCTCAAGGCACCCTTCTTGCAAATCCTTACAGCACCGTGCAGCGTGCTGTGGACCTCTCACAAGGGCCTGTTGGGCGAAGTTCCAGGTCTGCGGCGGACCCCCCAGAGGTACGGTTTTGGCGGAACAGGATTCTTTGGGACCTTGAGACCTTCAGCCGGGATATCAGCAGATTACCTTAAGCTTCTGCAGGCAATTCATTTGCACCGGAATGCTGAAAGTATGTAAATCGCACCCTAGTAACGTCTTTTTCCGCCTCGTGGCCGTGTGCTAACCATATCTAGAATGGCAAGGTACCACACCGCGGACTTCTTTCAAGCATTGAGCTTTCTTCGAAGGTTCAACATCACAGTTGCCCAAACCAGATTGGGATTGATCCTATTCCAATTGCTGGCCATGGAGCTTGATAATTTTACTTAAAATCTCCAGGGTGCTCAACACCGCTGTATTCAAAATTTCCATTGCCCTTTCCTTCCTCCTCGACCCTCCCTTCACCATGGCGCTGACGTGTCCACTATACGCTGGCTTCCTCGTCATTCTTGTACTACTGTTTCTGTTGAAGCGGTTTATATTCTCTGGGGCGCGGGGCCCCTTACCACCGGGGCCCAAAGGCCTTCCATTAATAGGAAATCTCTTGGACATGCCTGCCGAACAAGAATGGCTCACCTTTGCACGATGGGGTGAACAATGGGGCACGTGTCGTTCCTCCTGCTTCATTCGTCCCCTCCTGATCTACCAATATGCAGGCGATATTTGCTCCATTACGGTACTAGGCCAACCCTTGATCATACTCAACTCTGCCAAGGCTGCTTTCGAAATGTTGGACAAGAAGAGCGCCATCTACTCCGATCGACCCGTACTTCAAATGGGCGGCGAGTTAGTCGGATGGAAGAACACACTTGTGTTGCTTCCTTATGGCGACCGTTTTCGACGATACCGGAAATTCTTCCATCAATCCATTGGCAGCTTTCATGCTATGAAGCGCTTTTTGCCTCTGGAAGAGCGCGAGATGCGGCGTTTTTTGCAGAAACTAATTGCAAAACCAGATGACCTAGCTTCGCATATACGATGGTAAGTGTCAGACTACCGATTGTTCCGAGTAAAGACCTTTGAACTTTGAGCACTTGGCTAGGACGGTTGGATCGGTCATCCTCAAGGTTTCACATGGATATGATGTGAAGGAGATTCGTGACCCATTCGTGGAGCTCGCTGAACGCGCTACCGAGCAGTTTGCACTTGCCACTGCCCCTGGAGGCCACCTAGTCGATGTGATCCCCGCTCGTAAGTCTACTTTGTGTGTGCTTTAGTGTCTTTTTGCTTATGGAGTCACAGTTCGCCACCTCCCTACATGGTTCCCTGGCGCCGGCTTCCGTCGAAGGGCGTGTGTTTGGTCCCAGACCCTTTCGCAGATGGTAGACCAGCCCTTCGCATTCGTACAACAGCAGATGGTAGGCCCAGATGTCTCTGGTTCTAGTGATGGCGATATTTGACAAAAACTCATCCAGGCCGCCGGGGTCGCGCAGCCCTCCTTCACGTCAGTCATGCTCGAAAATAAGAACATGACCCAAGAGGAGCTGTTTGATCTAAAATGGAGTGCCGCGAGCCTTTACTCAGGTAAACTTGCTCGCCTGCCTTTGCTCTCGGCCATTTTGACAATGTTCGTACAGGTGCAGCTGACACCGTACGCCTTTCACCCCGAGGGTCAACTTCTATTCGCGATGCTCACAACTCGTTTCATCTCTAGACTGTTTCTGCGCTCTACGCGTTCTTCCTGGCTATGACGATGTTCCCTCACGTCGCGAAAAGGGCCCAACAGGAGATCGACGCTGTCATCGGGACCGATAGATTACCTGGGTTTGCGGATCGGGAACGGCTTCCGTATCTGAACGCACTGGTAAAGGAAGTCCTCAGATGGAACTCGGTCGTGCCAACAGGTTCGGACGCCTCGCTATCTGGATGTCCGCCACCTCGCTCATCTCTCCCCCTTCTAAAGCCGTTCCCCACCGTGTCATGCAGGACGACGTGCACGACGGGTATCTCATCCCTAAAGGATCTTTGGTCATCCCTAATGTTTGGTTAGTCTGATGTTGTATTTCCCTTCGCTGCATTGGGTGATCGACCTTTTACAGGAAGATAACTCATGATCCACGGACATATCGAGACCCTATGGTCTTCAATCCGGATCGGTTCCTCAGTTCTGAGACCCGAGCAGCTGAGCCTGATCCGAGGGACATCTGCTTTGGCTTTGGGAGACGGTGAGCATCCACTCGTGCCATTTCACTCTTCCTTGCTCTGACCAGTCGTAGAACCTGTCCCGGTGATTGTCACTGTGACTCATGAACCGAAGAGCGGCTGCTCATCTTTTTTTCACAGGAGCCCATTTGGCAGATACAACCCTCTTCATCATGTGCGCCACCACATTGGCAGTTGTGGATATTTCTAAACGTATAGAGAACGGCGTCATTGTCGAGCCTGTCCACGAGAACACGACGGGCACAATTAGGTTGGTCTTCGGACACTGGCCACTGTCGATTGACGGTCCTTGTACTGACATTTACTTGAATCTCAGCCATCCCAAGCCCTTCAAATGTTCGATTAGGCCTCGTTCGGAAAAAGCTGTCTTTCTCATCCAATCCGAGGATGTAAACTAGTAGAAGTATCTCGAAATCTCGGTAAATCTTATTCCTTACATTATCTTATCTTGACAGTACTGTACTTTACATGCCTTGCGGGGACGGGGTTGTATTTTTCGATCGTAACTTAGGGGAAACCGCTGTACATTCGTGCAATCTGGACGTATAATGTAATAGAGAAGTGTGAAGTTCGATAGAAGACTTAGGCAAGTCACAGCACTCAAAGAGCTTAGGTCTGGGGTTTGCTACGTGGTTTGAGAGGGCTCTGCCGTACCATCTGGCTTTGGATCGATTTCCATGGCATCTGAAACTCGTAGACCATCCGGTTTAGTCCCATCTTCTGTTTTCTCCGGAGAAGGATCAGGACCGGACTTTGGAGGGTTTTGCTCGTTTTTGGCTTCCGCTTCTGGCTCTAACGATGCGAAGAAATGAGCGGATGTTGTCAATGGTCATTAATGAGCAAGAACGAACTGTTGGTAGACCCTTTGAGCGCCTCCATCTTGGCCTTGATAATATTTTCTAGTGAATCGCGGAGGCGATTAGAGACAGCTTCTTCGCTGAAGAGCTTGGTGAGGTATTCCTCGGTTATGAAGCGGTCGACGACTCCATCCCTGGTGCAACCAATCAGCCTGGTTGTTAGGGGATGAGAGGGAGAAGATAGCTCGCACCTGTTGATATTCTGCTGCAAGTCGTCCAGCGCATGCGCTTGTGGCATGTAGGTCAGCATTTCGTCATTCTGAATGCGACTTTTGACTATCTCTTGTATCTGGTTCCTAAGGGCACCCAGAAACTCCTTCGAGGCGTGGTCAATTGAAGGATTCAGACGAGGACGTGCTAGGCGCGGTAAACGCGTACATCGCTCATGAATTGACTATGAATCTCGGTCTTGAGCTTCTCGAACTCGCCGGACGCCTTGAAACTGAATGGGTGAGTCGGTCGCGGTTTAGTAAGTTTCAGGGCCGCGTGTCATACTCTGCGACGATTGCTTCTGCATTGAGAGACATGGGTTGAGAAACTGGAGCATCCGTTCCGCTAGCGCTAGAAGACATTTGGGCCTGCCGACTTCCAGCCTAAAGTAGGGCATTAGAGCTTACCGACGCGCATAAACTTAAATCTGCTCACGGTGGTAACTGAGATGACTGTCAGAGAACAAAAGGTCTGAGGAGATGAGTACCGCGTCCGAGTCGTAATTTAGATAACCACACGTGATAACCCTCTCCCGATGTGATTTGTCTTTTCTACATCGAGTCCACGATGGCCATTTCCTTTCGTAAAACCAAAGATCGCAGTTTGACCCGCAACCATGACCTCCACCACCGAATTCCCCCCGCTCCAGAACGATCTCCTCCTCCGTGCCGCCCGAGGTATGCTCCAAATTCCAAGAGGGCATCATACACATATCTCAGGCTAATCCTTTTCTAGGCGAAAAGACCGAACGGGCACCTGTCTGGGTAATGAGGCAGGCAGGCCGTTATCTTCCTGGTAAACACACTTTACCAGAGAAACACCATGAGTAAATCCCTGATGTTCCCCCTTGTCATAAAGAATTTCGGGAGGTGCGCAAATCGCACGAGTTCTTCGAAGTCTGCCGGACTCCAGACCTCGCCATGGAGGTGACCCTGCAGCCTATTCGTCGCTACAAGGGCCTCTTGGACGCCTCAATCATCTTCAGCGACATCCTCGTCGTCCCACAAGCGATGGGCATGGAGGTCCTCATGAACCCGGGTCCATCCTTCCCCGAACCCCTTGACGTACCAGCGGACGTGGAGAAACTCAGAAAAGAGGTTGATGTCAACAAAGAGCTGGGATACGTTTTCGAAGCGATCACTCAAACTCGCAAGGGGCTCGAAGGTGTCGTGCCCTTGATCGGGTTCTGCGGGGCTCCTTGGACGCTCTTTTCGTACATGATTGAAGGTGGAGGAAGCAAGACCTTGCAAAAGGCCAAAACATGGCTCTTCAAGTACCCCGAGGAGTCCAAGGCTCTGCTCCATCGCATCGCAGTCGTGTGTGTTGATTTCCTGGTTGGACAGGTTAAAGCGGGTGCTCAGGTAAGCCCCTGCTCGTACCTTGCGTTAAAACGGCATACTGATGCTTCACCACTATCAGCTTCTCCAAGTGTTCGACTCATGGGCAGGCGAGCTGTCTCCGCACGATTTCGACCGCTTCTCCTTCCCTACTCTCCAATATATCGCCAAAACCGTTCGACAACGCCTGGCGGAAGCAGGCTTACCGGATGTCCCTCTCACTCTCTTCGCGAAGGGTGCCAATTACGCGTTGAAGAAGCTCGCTGATGAATCCGGCTACGATGTTCTAGGACTCGACTGGTGCATCGATCCCGCCGAAGCTCGTCGCATAGTAGGGGACAAGGTCGCCCTTCAAGGCAACATGGACCCTAACGTGCTCTATGGCGGTAGAGAAGCCATTGAGCAAACGGTCAAGCGCATGTCTGCCGCCTTCTCAGGGAAGGGTGGATGGATAGCAAACCTTGGACATGGTATTACTCCTGGAGTCGATCCTGAAGACATGCGATGGTTCTTGGAATGTGTCCACAAATACTCAAGCAGCGGTTAGATAAGTCGAAGTAGATAAATAAATAACCACACGATACCGGATCCTTGTGTAGAGGTGCTCGAATGTATTGTCAACGTCCTGTAAAAATACAGTAATCATGCTAAAGATGCAAGTCAATGGATGGAGGAGAGAACGATGAAAATGTTGGAACGAACATGAGGTAATCGCGACATCCTCGTATAAGCACTAACGTACAATCAAACCTTGATGAACGAAAGTACGATACAAAAAGCTGAATACAATGCACGACGCCAGGAAAGCCCAGAAATATCAAAGATATGGTGTCATATAGGGTTTAAAGACGAGTATCATGCAACAATATCAGCATTGCTGAAACTGCTTCTCCGTCTTCGAACTGGTCTCAGACCAGGCCGAGCGGATTTGGATGCTGGGACGACGACGGCTGCTGGGTTGTTGTTTACCCATGCATCAGGAGATCCAGCTGCGGCCTTCTTCTTGGTAGCCGCCACGGGATTGGACTCGCTGAGGGTAGCTTGGTGTTTCTTGGGGATTAAAGTGGGTAGACGGGACGGCGCTGGTGACGGCCCTGCGTTACGCAGGGTGCGTGTTTGGAGTTGCTGTGCGGCGTTAGCTGCAGCTCTAGTGTTGGGTCTGGTTGTAGGGGCGAGGCGAGGGATCTTGTTGGGAGCTTGGCGAGCGTTCTTGACAGGTGACTCAGGTGGACGTGCTGGAGCAGCAGCTTTTCTGGGATTGGCCCGGTCCACTCCAGATCTCGTCACTCGTGATATCTGCTCCGAGCTCGTCACTGTCCTTGGATTTGAGGTCCTAGCCTTCTTGGCGGCAGGGACAAGGTCGAGGGAAGGTAGCACGTCGTTTTCTTCGTCTTCGTCGTCCTCTAACACTTGGGCGACACGCTTCGCGTTCGGGGTTTTCCGTGGTTGGCCAGGTGCGGGAATGGCCTTGGCCTTGGCAGCAGCCACAGCAACATGTCGACTCGGGGTAACTGGGGGTAATGAAACGGTATTCATCGGTGGCGTCCCCTCGCGGTTCTCCATCTCTTCGTCGGATTCGGCAGGCGGTGTAGCAGGTGCTGCAACGGCCGTAGAGGGTGGTGTGGTATTGTCTTTGAGTTGTTGTTTTTTCAACTCGTCTAGGGCCGCCCACTTGGTCCACTCCAGCTGCTTCAAATACATGTACTGCTGCTGTGGACCGACCACGCTACCAGGGCGCACAATACGCATGAAAGCAATAGCTTCGCTTGCTGTGAAGCCGTACTTCCAGATCAAATAAGCACCAATGAGGGTACCAGTTCGACCGAGACCTGCTTTGCACTTGAAAGGGCTCAACACCGTAGCTCATGAGAAAGCCACAAGGAAATCCTTACGTGAACAGCAACGACACCACCACTTTCAATAATGCGGTCGGAGACGTCCAGGAAAGTTCGGACAATTTCGTCCGTGGGGTTTGTTCCATCATCGAAGTATAGTTCCAGGTGATCGATTCCGACATCAAGAAAGGCTTTCTTGTCGTATAACTTTGTGTTGAGTCGCACGACCAGTTTGATGTTTCGCTTTTGGAAGTAGTCGAGGCAGTTCTGGAAGGTTGTCGGTAGTTTGCGTTGGAGAGCCAGGTTACTGCTACCAGACGTCGAGCGCGATAGACCTGGCGAATCGTGAATGTCCTTCCGGGCATGGATGTAATTGGGGTCGTTGGGTGACGCGAACGCAATGAATCCCGGGGTTAACCAATTCCAGTCTCCGTTCTCCACTTTCTCGTAGTACTCGTACTCCTCGACACTGAACTCGTTCATGTCGCAAAGACCGTGTTGCATCGCTTTCCATACTCCCCAAAGGCAGTCTTGGATATTTAGATTGAAATCTGAAGGGCCCTTTCCAGCGTCTCTAAAGGGCATGAACTCGAGCTCTGCTATTGGATGGAACGCTTCCCAAGGCGCACGGCGTTGCACGATCATCTGTTGAAGTGCATATGAATGGCCAAAGGCAATTTGGGCTTAATGTTGGGCAACTTACCACATAGAGAGCCATCAGGAGCGCGGCATTTGCTTTGCGCTTGGGGTTACTCGATGAGTATAGGACGAGCCTGTGGTTGGCCAGTTCCTTATCCTATAAACACCATTTTGTCAACAACACGTGTTGGGTGGCACGCGGAGGGCTGGCTTTTTTGAGTACGCACCTCCAGCAATTCATGTATCAGGATGCAGGCCTTGTAGACCTGCGCGAGGTTCAAAGGTCCCCAATCTTTATAGAAAGATAGGTACAAGAGCTGGTCGTCGATGGTGAAGAAGTAATAGGGTACATCTTCATCTTTGGGACATGCTTTGGGGTCTTCACGAGACCGTGAGCGAAGCGGCGGTTGTATCCCTGATTCTGACGCGAGACGGTTCAGAGAGTTTGGGGTTGGAGGGGGGTGTGGAAATGTAGTAAAGTATAATCTGAGAACAATGAAGGCTGCTCAGTGGCCATCTTCAGGTTGAAATAGAGGAGAACTGCGCACCTTTCGCTGAAACAGCACAAAGGCTCGCAGTTTAGAGCCATTTGTGACGGAGTGAGTCTAGACAGAGCGCGTCGATAGCAAAAGACAGTGAGGAATTGGAGGGGAACGACGAGAAATCGTTTGGTTCAGGTCCAACAACCGTGCATCGGCTGGGCGCACGCAGAGCACGTGAGGCCGTTGCTTGTCTCTATTTGTCTGCAGCCTCCGTCGTCCAAATCGTAAGTAATACTTAAACTAACTATCCTGCTGTGCCGTGTGGATTGTGGAAGGAAACAGAAATCCGGGTCAATAAAGAAGTATATACCTGCAAGGGTATGGCTGAAGCTGGCCTACCTCGAGGTTGGCTGGCAGGAGCATCGCCGCCTGGGAGAGCAGATTGAACCGCAGCGATCGCGACGCGGGCTGTCGCGTTCAATGAAGTACCGGAGAACGCGTCGACGATGTCCTTTAATCTGAATAGGGACCGTGGATTGGGAAACAGTCAGAAGATCGCGATCCTAAGTAGAAAGACGACCCGCTAGACGCCCGTCTGGCCAGGCCTGGGTGGGCCTACCTGCGATTACAAAGGGGTGGACGGAGGGTTCGCATGAAGTACTGAGGCTCCCTATTAAATTTATTTCAAGTAGAGATGAGTACGAGAGAAACAAACTGTACACAGAAAGCGGTGCAGACTCGGAGGCCCCTAAGTGTCGGGGTCTGGGAGCGTGTGTATTTGTTGTTGTTTCACGCGTCACACAACCCAAGGCCGTCAGTTTGCTCAGCGACCGTCCTGAACGACGGCCACCATTGCGACTGCTGACAGCTGCTTGTTCATCTTCCTCAACGCTCTCTACCTTGAGTAGGAGCATTTGACTGCCGTGACTGAGACCTATTTAACCACCAGAACCAGTCAGTCTCCACGAACTCGCCCGCGATGCCAGAAGCGCAGATTTTCAAGGTACGATGACCTCGGGTATTCCACGACATCGAGTTCTGACCCCATTTCCTCTCAATAGGCTACCTACAGCGGGATTCCCGTCTACGAGATGTATGCGCTATATCAGAATAAAGCCTGGCCCATTCGCTAACCGAATGCGCAGGATGTGTAAAGGGGTCGCGGTAATGCGACGCCGCTCGGACTCGTGGTTGAACGCGACGCAAATCCTGAAGGTGGCTGGATTTGACAAACCGCAGAGAACCCGTGTCTTGGAACGCGAAGTACAGAAGGGCGAACACGAAAAGGTCCAGGGAGGGTACGGCAAATATCAAGGTGGGTCTTTCGTTCTCTCCTCGTCTTGGACGTCTGAACAAAGCCCTTCCAGGCACGTGGATTCCTCTCGAGCGCGGTATGCAGCTCGCCAAACAGTACAACTGCGAACACCTGTTGCGTCCGATTATCGAGTTTACCCCTGCTGCCAAAAGCCCGCCCCTCGCCCCAAAGCATCTAGTCGCCACCGCCGGCAACAGGCCAGTGCGTAAGCCATTGACCACCGACCTTTCAGCGGCTGTGATCAACACGAGATCAACGAGAAAACAGGTAGCAGACGGAGTGGGAGAGGAATCTGACCACGATACGCATTCTCTTCGAGGCTCTGAAGACGGTTCTATGACACCTTCGCCTTCCGAAGCATCGTCAAGTTCGCGAACACCTTCTCCCATACACAGTCCCGGCACTTACCACTCCAACGGCCTGGACGGTCCATCAAGCGGGGGCAGAAATCGATACCGCCAAAGTAACGACCGATACGACGAAGACGACGACGCCTCACGACACAATGGGATGGGAGATCCACGGTCGTATGGTGATCAAATCCTCGAATACTTCATCTCAGACACGAATCAAATACCTCCCATTCTCATCACCCCGCCGCCAGACTTCGATCCCAACATGGCAATCGACGACGATGGGCACACCTCCTTGCACTGGGCTTGCGCAATGGGACGAATCCGGATAGTGAAACTTCTACTCTCCGCTGGAGCCGACATCTTCAAGGTCAACAAAGCCGGCCAAACCGCGTTGATGCGAAGTGTGATGTTCGCGAACAATTACGATGTCCGCAAATTCCCTGAACTTTACGAACTGCTGCACCGCTCCACGCTCAATATCGACAATTCGAATCGGACCGTCTTCCATCACGTCGTGGACGTTGCGATGTCGAAGGGGAAAACACATGCAGCGCGTTACTACATGGAAACAATTCTCACTCGACTCGCGGACTATCCCAAGGAATTGGCGGACGTCATCAATTTCCAGGACGAAGATGGAGAAACCGCGCTCACTATGGCGGCGCGCTGTCGCAGCAAGCGTCTAGTCAAGCTTCTTATCGACCATGGAGCCGACCCTAAAATTAACAACCACGACGGGAAGAATGCGGAGGACTACATCTTGGAGGATGAACGGTTTAGATCCTCTCCAGCCCCTTCTTCCAGGGTCGCGGCTATGTCGTACCGCAATGCGCAGGTCGCGTATCCTCCTCCTGGTGCACCTTCGACTTACTCGTTTGCGCCTGCCAACCACGACCGACCTCCACTCCATTATTCTGCAGCAGCTCAAAAGGCGAGTACACGATGTGTGAACGATATGGCGTCTATGTTAGACAGCCTCGCGGCCTCATTTGATCAGGAGCTGCGCGACAAGGAACGAGACATGGCACAGGCGCAAGCGCTATTGACTAATATCCAAGCAGAGATTTTGGAGAGTCAAAGAACGGTTCTTCAGCTGCGCCAGCAAGCCGAAGGCCTCTCACAGGCGAAACAGCGCTTAGCAGACTTGGAGAACGCTTTGCAGGATAAGATGGGACGGAGGTATCGGCTGGGGTTCGAGAAGTGGATCAAAGACGAGGAGACGCGCGAGAAAGTCATCCGAGATGCAGCGAACGGGGACCTCGTACTAACACCAGCCACCACCTCGTACACCGTGGACGAAGATGGTGACTCTGATTCCGGGTCGAATGGCGACAAGAACAAGGGCAAGCGAAAAGCCCAGGTGCAGCAGGAAGAGGTTTCTGACTTGGTTGAACTGTACTCCAACATCCCTACCGACCCCGAAGAGCTTCGGAAACAATGCGAGGCGCTGAGGGAGGAGGTGTCCCAGTCGAGGAAACGACGGAAAGCTATGTTTGACGAACTGGTCACGTTCCAAGCTGAAGCCGGTACTAGCGGGCGAATGAGCGATTATCGACGGCTAATAGCAGCTGGATGTGGTGGACTTGAGCCGCTAGAGATTGATTCCGTGCTGGGGATGCTTCTGGAGGTGTGTAAATCTCTTCATCTGCTGATCACTGGAACTAACATCTGCCCTGATAGACACTCGAAGCTGAAGATCCCAGCTCGACATCTGCTACCTGGAGCGGCTCAAAGGGCCAGCAGACGGGATAGGAATAGACTAAATTGGGATGATGCTTGGGCTATCTTATTCGTAACTGCCGCAGGACGTATTTATTTTCCCTTGTACCAACATGTACTTTTGGTTGTAACGAATAAAGGATTGACTTGGCGAAGACCGGAGGTGGACAGGGGCGTGAAGCTGATCACGTGACACAAAATTTCGGGCGTTCTGCTGGCTTTCGTTTCGCGTCTTGTCTTCTCGCCAGGTAACGGTCAGAGTCGACAGCCATGTCGCTCAAATACTTTACTCGCCGCGCTGCCATCGACGCGACAACGACGAGCCCATACCTCACAAACTTCAACCACCTCCTTCCCATTCCCAAGGCATGGCGGCACCGACGATCCCTTCAAGACCCGAAGCTCAAGTCTGTTCGAACACGAGACCGCATTCGATGCTGGAATATCGTGCCAGGAGACCAAATTCGTCTAAGAGGAGACAAGTCAAACACCCTTCATGAAGTTCTCAGCATAAACCGGCTCAGTAACAGGGTGTTCGTCAAGGGTGCTGTCAACGTATGTCTTATTCCGGTGTATGGCTCCCGCTACTGAATCTATGTTCTCCAGACTTCCGACTCTGATGTGACGAAGAACAAAAACTACCATTACTCAAGGTGCCAGCTGTTCGTTGGTAACTACGAGTTTCCTTCCGAGTCTGGAATTGGCAAGGAAGTCAAACCGTACGTGTCGACTCTGGCGTGTCAAGTCTTCGTACCCTTATTCCGTGTGTAGAGTCTTTGCGGAGCGTGTGTCTGCAACGCGGGCGCGCTGGAACTATCTTCAAGGTCGATTCGCCTGGACGCGGTTCGCAACGAAAACCACGCCACGAGTTCCTTGGGAAGAAAAGGACATTGTCATTCCCTGGCCCAAACCCGAGAAACCTACCCTCCCTGATCGTGAGTTGTAAAAGCCTCTCAGTTCATCTGTCAACCTAAGCCCGTCTATAGCCACCAACTATGACACCCCTCGGGAGGTGGTCGCCCAACTGACGTACCAAATGCCCCGGTTCAGTCAATCAATGCTTGGTCCGGTCCCCCGCCCTCCGTCCGAACAGGACTTCCTCACCTCCTTGTACAACCCTGGCTACACTGTACAGTCTCTGGAAGGTGCTCCCTTGGAAGTTTATCTGAACAAGGAGCTTTCCAACCCTCATGCACGCGCCAAGAAGCAGAGAAGGTGGCAGCTTCGCAGGGCCAACGAACGGGCTCGATTCCTAGAGGCTGTTCAAGAGGAATTGAAGCACCCCGACGGTCGTACAGAGAGAGAAATCAAGGCCGAGGTCGCTCACCGTCTCAGGCAGGAGAAGGTTGCTGAGCAGAAGGCTGTGAAGAAGATGAGGTGGAAGAACCGTATCGGCGAGGTCAATATGATTCGCAAGGCCAGGAAGCAGGCTCAGAAGGAGGAGAGGCAGAGGCGCAGACTCACTGAGCTTTCCCTTGAAGACAGCGATCCCAACCAGGTTATCCCAAAGAGCTTGTAATCAATCACCGGTTCTCCCACTAGCTACCGCTATAGATGATATACTTCATTAATATTAATACCTTGACATTGCATGGTTCGACTTGGGAGAGAGATTCAAAGAAGGAATTTGCAAAAGGCAGTAGCCGAGAGGTGTATGACCAAACTAAGACAGCCTGGGACCCGGAGCAACGACTCTCCTTGCTCTCTGACCATCACGTCCCTTTTCTCTTCACTCTTTCTGGCTTCATCGTCCAAGAGTGTGCCTCGTTTATACGACCCGTTTATACGACATGGCCACGATAATGGCCCCAGATTCACCCAAAGCGCTGTACCATTCGATACCACAGGCGCCAGAACCGTCCACATCGCAAATAGATTTGGCTGCTAGCGAAGAGGAAATACCGCAAGACTTGCCAGCTGAATTAGTAGATGGACGCACGAAATCCATTATCTTCATCCTTGGATGCGCTGTACTTTTGCCATGGAACGGTATTGTTGTTATTGTGCTGATCGTTGACTTGGTAGTGACCATATACCTCACAGTCATTATAACAGCAATGCCATACTTTCTCTCGCGATTAGAAGGCTCTTCATTCAAGTCAAGTTTCAGTTCATATGCAACCACAATATTCACCTTCTCCAACCTTGCCTTCCTCGCACACGCGACCTTGACGTCGAAACATGTTAGTCCCGTCCGCTACGGTTGGGTTTTGCACGGAAATGACCTCTACATACACTAGGCGAAGCCATCCCACCGGACTAGGGCCATGATACTTTGGATACTGTTCCTCAACGCTCTCTTGACTCTAAGCACGTTCTTCCGTCCTGCACCAGGCCTTTTCGCTGCCTTTGTGCTGTTCAACGGAGCAGCTCAGGCAGCAGCGGGGGGCTACCTTCAAACTTCCATCATCGCCGTAGCGTCCCTGTTCGGCCCTCCAGCAGTTCAAGCCATGATTGCAGGTCAAGCTGCTGTTGCTGTAGTCGTCAGTGGAGTCCAGGTGATCAGCTCCGCTACCTCAATTGGTCGAAGTCAAAAGACTGATGCCAGTGGGGACGGATCTGCTGAAGAGAGGTCAGCCTTCATTTTCTTCGCGCTATCGACCCTGTTCCTGGTTGGAAGCTACGTGGCGCACGAGTGGCTTGTTCGAACGCCTATCTACGACAGGGTCGCCGGTACTCTCGAGCGAGGTGCTCACAAAATCTCGTTGGGAGCCGAGGAGGGGCGTCCGTTGAACAGATCCTTGTCTCGCGCCCGCTCGGAAGTCGCAGAGGAAGCCTCAAACGTTATCAGAGTGGCTAAAGCTAATGCCCTCTACGAAATTGCTGTAGCGGCGGTCTTTATGATCACCTTGGTAAGTAGCATACTGTATTGGGACTACACAAAGTTTGTCTGACCCAACCCCAGTCCGTATTCCCACCAGTCACCATCTCAGTGTCACCAACCAACCCCGACTTCCACCCCTTGCTTTTCGCCTCTATCCACTTCCTCGTCTTCAACGTGGGTGACTTCATTGGACGATGGATGTGCTCTTTCCGCTTTATGGTGATCTGGTCTGCGAAAGCCCTCCTCTCCTTGTCCTTTGCCCGTATCCTCTTCATTCCCCTTTTCCTTATGTGCAACATTCAGCGACCGTCGGCTGTAGCAAAGATTGACCCCCCTGTCAACTCTGACTTTGTTTTCATGTTGTTGATGCTTGCATTTGGATGGACGAACGGTTACGTCTCGAGCCTATGCATGATGGCCGCACCCTCTGTGGAACACAACCCTAGACTGAAGGGAAGGATGGCCGATGTGGACGTCGCTGCTACCGTGGCGAGCTTTTGTTTGGTGGGTGGATTGGCCCTTGGCAGTATTTCGAGTTTTGCGGTTAGGGCCGCCATTTGCAACTGCAATCCTTTTACAACGTGATGATATGCTGTTTAGATTGTTGGATACGGAACGTTATTTACACTACAATACCCTGTACTTAGTTCTTTGGACCCCTTGAGACAAACTATTTATTTAATTTAGACAGCGTTGTGATGAATGCGAGGATAGTAGAGAAATAAAACAGTGTGGACGACATAAAGATAAATGAACCGTATTGTGGGCGCCGTATGCATGGGATGGGATAAGGGATGAAGATGTGGTCATAATGGCGACTTCTAGAGCCGCTCGTTTCCTGAGCCAGTGTCTCTGGACGTAGTCAAGGTGCTAGTGCTCTCGTTAACCTCGCCGGGTGTATGGCCAAGCTGCGGTAAGACTTCCAATTGAACACATGTTTGCCAGCCAATTGAACGGCCACCCTCAACGTGTAGACAGCATTGGCTGCCACACACCGTACGATACTTCTTCTAGGTGATGGAGAACGACTCTGTCCCAGAGGATGGGGATTACATTGGCCTGACAAAGACGTTAATATTCCAACGGAAGCGGAGAAGTAATTAAGGTCACATTACCTGGAGGTAGTGGACGCACGCCCTTGAAACGCGTCTCGCCAGTGTCTCGAGGTCCACACGACGGTCGTATCCGTCCAAAGGGATTTCATAAGTCATAGAGTTATATCCAGACCACTTGAAGAATAATGTCATTTCAACGCGACGCTACTCGGGGAGGAGGAGAGACAAACCTTCACTCTAAGCAAAATCCGCCTGCGGTCTGCATGAAGGTCATGATAGCTGTACGCGTCATTATTCGACAGTCGAACGTGTGATTGAGCTTCGTCCAGGCCGATACCACCGATCAGAGCACCCTTTCGTTTGAACTTGATTCGATGACCGGTACCCCGCATGTACGTGTTGTCCATCATTGCAGGAGGTGGAACTTGCATGAAGGAGACGGTGGAATGGCGACGAGAGCGAGGCGTCATTGGGGTCATGGGCCGGGAGTAGCCGGGGTCGTAATCGTAACCGTCGCGGTAGTCCATTTCGTCGTACCCTGAGTATAGCCCTTCGTTATAAGGGCCATTTTGACAGAATGGAGGGTGCCAGCTACCTGAGGTCAACCTATGGTTCATCGGCACCAGCGCACCCGGGCCATATCCTGGATTGTAGTGCTGCGATCCCTATTATGTTAGCTCTGGGTACTGGAGAAGGGCTGTGTGGTGCTTACCGGGTCCGCTCCGTACATTCCTGGATCGCTGTAGGGAGCACCTGGCGGCGGGATCCCTCCGCCGTAGGCGCTGTACGGCAAGGACGGTCGCCGTGAAATAGAGCGGGCAAAGCCACCATCGTAGGGAGGGCTGTACGACATTAGGAGATAGTGGGTGGTTAAGGATGTTGAAGGGATTTGTTTATGAAACTTGAGGGACTTTATAGTCCCCTTTTACGGACCTGAAAGACCCGAACTGGCGGGCGGCCTCGAGGATGTGTTCGAGGTGTGGTGTTTGGCGAAAGCCTCAAGGTTCCCTGGAGGCTTCACGCGAGTCAACAGGGGGAGATGATACAACCAGGCAGACCGTTCAAGCCCGTGACGGCTCCATACTGTCGAAGCGTGAATGCGGATTAGGTTGGCTATGTGCTGGATCCGCTGATTTGGAAACGGGGTTGCCTCATTATCGACTTCCATGAAGCATTATAGCTACTGTTTGTCGGAACAGAGGCTCAGCTGACCGCTCAGCTAGAGTGAGCTTGTTTGCCGAATATAAGAGGCGGGGCAAATATCGATGTGACAGATTCCTGGAACTCGTAGTCGAGGGCGGTGACAAGTGTTCCTCAGGGTTGGGCGAACGCGTGTTTCGATGGTTCTGAAGGCTATCACCACAAGCCAAGGGGGTGCCAGCGTTATGTTCAAGTTCAAGGAAGAACCAAAAGAGTGTAGATAGGCATTGCAGAGAAATTTCGGCACTTGTACAAGCATACAGGTAGACAGGCTTTTTGAACATTGCGTGCGGCAGGAGCCTTGTTGGTGGCGTGTCCGAAGGCGTCGGTACAGGCGATATCATTGTCACCGTGGAGGAAGATACGCTTCAAACTCCGATGATCTTGGAACTCGAGGATCTCAAGTCTCCCTATATAAGAGAATCAGGTCGCTTCGACCTGACCTTCCTAGGAGGAGGGGACTTTTCTGCTTTTGACTCGTGCCTGCTTCCAAAGGCCATGGTGATGACTGCCAGCCATCTACTAGTACCTTGAGGAAATGACGCCCGCTTCAAAAGTCCCCCAATGGCAAAAAAGCAAATTGGTTTGCAGAAGCTATTTAAAACTTGCCTGGAGATAGGGATAAAAAGGTGGAAGCTACGTCAACCTCTCCAGACCAACCTTCTCGTCCTACCCTTCCAATGGCTATCGAGAAATCTCTCTCCGAGAACATCAAGGGCGACATCGTCACCGCGGACCACCCAGAGTACCCTGCTGCCATTGCGCGATGGGCCACGAACGCCGCACGCAAGGCCAAGGTGGTAGTATTCGTGAAGGACCCGGAGGACGTCGCAGCAGCTTTGAAGCATGCCCGTGAAAACAACCTGCCTGTAGCCATCCGAGGGGGTGGACATAACGCTGCTGGGGCTTCGTCTGTGTCAGATGGTATGGTTATCGACCTGTCTCGGTATCTGAACAAAGTTCGGGTCGATCCTGATAACAGAAGGGGCTACGTCGGCGGCGGGTGTGTTTGGAAGGACGTCGATACAGAGGCCATCAAGTATGGACTAGCGACCGTAGGAGGAACAGTCAATCATGTAAGGATCCTCGACCACCATTGGCATTCCCTGGCTGACACTACCACGTATAGACCGGTGTAGCTGGGTACCTCTATATAGCCTAGTGCCCTCTTGATTACGAGCCTGACCGTCCTTTAGTTTGGCCCTTGGAGGAGGGTATGGGTGGCTTAGTGGAAAGTATGGCCTCGCAACGGATAACCTTCGTCAGGTATGGTACACTTCCTGAGTCGATTTTCATTACTTAGTGAAAACATCTCAGGCTACCGTAGTCACAGCCAACGGTCAAATACTGACCGCCAATGAGACCCAAAATTCGGATCTCTTTTGGGCTATTCGAGGGGGCGGGTGCAACTTTGGCGTCGTCACAGAGTTTGTATTTGAGCTGTACCCCCAGCGCGCGACCGTCTTTGGCGGTTTCCTGGTTTTCGCTCCACCTGCCTTGGAAAGTATAATTAAGGCCACGAAGGTCTGGTGGCCAACTGCCAGGGAAAAATCCGGCATGTGCCAGATCTTGACGGTTGGACCTGACGGAAGGGTGAGCCGGGTTGTCACGATAATGCCATACCACATTACTTACATGAACCCAAGACTGTGGTAGTTCTTCTCCTATTTTTCAACGGTTCCGAGGAGGAAGGAAGAGAAGAGTTCAATGAGTTCTACAAGCTCGGTAATTGAACTTCAGTCTCCTTATTCACGTCTTATTGATTCGTTCTCCGCACCAGGGCCAATCATTGCCGATATGGCAAAAGAGATACCATTTGAGGAACTCAATGGGTTACAAGTCAGTTCCATGTCCAGTCGTCTTAGCAAAACGTTGACTTGCCCTAGAACGACATGTCGGAGCACGGCAAAGGCCAATATCTTAAGGGTGTCTCCCAAAAATCGCCAGATTATCCCTCCATGAAAAAGATCATGGACAAAATGGATGGCATCGCTCAAAAGAAGTTTATACCTGCCGTCATCTACGAATATTTCCCATTGCACAAGGTCAACTCTGTCCCCGTACATGCCACCGCCTTCCGCCGTGAGACCACGCCAAACGTTTTGCTTAACTTTACCTGGGAGGGAGACAAGGACCGCACGGACGAAGCCCGAGCACTTGCCAAGGATATCATCGACGATGTAGTTGCAGGGCAGGTTGGGCTTTCGAATTCGGAAAAATTCGGCTATACCAACTACGGTGAGTTATCTCGACTTCTCAATTTGAGCACGATTCACCTACCCTGTTCACTGTTAGACACGGATGTCGCTCAGATCGACGTGCTCAGCAGTGCCGGGGACACGGACAGGTCGAAGATGGCGTTCGCATCTAATTACCCCAGGCTCCAGAAGCTAAAAAAGCAGTATGATCCAGAGAACACCTTCAATCGTTGGTTCCCCATTACCCCCGCATGAGCACGATCCGGTATATACGACCCCTGTCCGTAGGTAGTGGAAATACTAGACACAGTTGGAATAAAGCCCCACTCCAACAGTTCTGCATCTGCCTGTGAACCGGTGTCGGCGGAGCAAAAGGCCTTCCATGACTCGTGGATGTGGAACAGGGCGTGGACCTGGTGGAGGGTACGCCCTTCCACATGAGGTCAGCTTCTGTGGATGCACCAGGTCCCAGGATCGTCCTATATCAGCAACTAGTAACAGTACAGCACCGGGCTCCTTGGTTATCAGAGGGGCATCATTCCTGACGTTAGATTCGATCGATCAAATGCTGAAGGTCAAGTTGTCGTCATCGATTCATCCCTCAACATCCCTCCGACATCCACACCCACTCTCACCACAGCAGATCGCCTTGTCATGCCACTTACCCGACAGAAATTACACTGTGCAGCCCAGACTTTCTGCAACGCCTTTGCCACTAAGAAAGATATCACAACCATCCTGTCACTGTTTTCAACTACCCAAGAGATTTCGGCCACAGAGCACGGAGAGCCGGCATTGGCTCCATTCCTTGGACGCAGGTTTGAAGGAGTGGAAGGAATCAAGCAATACTTCAAGATGATTGGCTCCCTTCTCACGTACGAGAGTGTCTCATTCTCGGAGTATGTGGTAGACCCGGAAACGAGAAAGGTCGCGCTGAAAGGAAGGGGAAAATTCAAGTGGGTAGAGACAGGGGAGAGCTGGGACGAGATATTTTCATATGTTCTCGATTTTGACGAAGACCTGAAGGTTGTACAATATCAAGTCTGGGCGGACACTGGTGCGGCATACCTCGCGAGAACTGGGGAATTGGATGACGTTAGAAAGGTACGTTTTTAACGACAAATGAGCTTAGACGCTTACGCTGAGCTCTGAAGTACCGTTTAGGGCTTTTGATAAACCATCTCTGTTTGAACATTGGGTTCCTGTTTAAATATATGATTACTGTAATTTGTAAACGTGCCCCTATCGACGCGTCGTTGAATTGATCGCAAAGCGTCACGCCTTTCCTAAAACGCGCGGTGTCACGCGTGACACGCTCCACGGTCGGCGTCGGAAAGGCCACGACGCAAGACGAAATCAAGTCCACCGTTCTTCAAGCGACCCCGGACCCACCGTTCGCGACGTTGTTGGCTACCACACCTGCGACACGACTTTACGATAACAGCGAAACCACATCCAAATCCAGACTCGAAATGCCCCTCGATGCCCATTCTTCTCTCATCCCAGACTCGACAGCCTCCAACGAAAATTCACCAATTCGGGACGCGTCTTCTCCTCCCGTCGTGAAGCGTGCAGTGCGCACTTACGGGAGGAAGAAGACTCCACCTCCAGCTTCGCAGTCGGACGCGTCTTTCGACGCTGCATCCTCGCTATCAACACGCAGCGTTTACCACACAGCACCTCCCAATCTCGATGACCAGGTCAAGGAAAGCTCGGACAATGACAATGACAGCGACGAAGGTGATGGGGGAGGCTTCCAGTTCACCTGGCAGAAAACACTTGCCAGAATGGATAAAGAAGACAGGGACAACGAGCAGCCGCCCAAACGCTCAACGACCAGTGGGTTCGGACCCCCTTCGCTACTGGGGGGTATCACAAGAAAGGATAATTTATCATTATCGTCCAACCAGGAGATGCCGGTCGAGGCCAACGATATTTTCAGCAGCTCGAGCCCACGAAGGCATCCAACCGAGACCCCTCGTGGCCGGCGAAGGTCACCCTCAGTTACACCGCTCTTTTTGAATGCCGACGACGAGTCCGATTCAGGAAACCCGCCACCCAGCTCGATCAATGGCAACACTTTGACACCCAGATCCGATGTTTCTTCAACGCCTCCAACTACGGACGGTGAACCATCAATGTCTCGCTCGTCTAGAGGCAAGGGCAAACAGCGGTCTTTGGAGGAATTACGGGCGTCGATTACCCCGCCTGATTCTCCTTCCACTGGGAACGTCCATCAGTTACCTGGCGGGAAACCGCGCAAATCGAAAACGAAGGTATGTCTGTCATCCCCGGCGGTGACCAGGATAGTGGGCTGACCATTGCGTTTCGCCTTCAGCGACCAACGAAGAAGGACCGAGAAGAAATTCGAAAGGAGAGGGCGCGCATTGCTGAAAACAAAGATGTCTCCATTACGTCGGCATCGAGGAAGGAGTTCAAGATTCAGGATTTGCTTGAAACAATGTATGTTGCCACTGTGCCCCACCCTTGCTATCAGAGCTAACATCCACTAGAAAGCCAGCGGACTCCACGCCAGGGTCTAAGCTACAGAGGGAGTCATCCTCCCTACTCGACCAAGATCCCATCATGAATCCGTCTTCCCCAGAACCCTCCAACGCGCTATCGGGGGGGATGGACGTCGATATTCTATCGGCGAAAGTTCCGGGCCCGTCTAAACTATCTCCAACTACAATCCCAGACGTCCTTGACGATTCAGACGAGGATCTGCCAGAGTCTCTCACCGAACACCTGAAGCCCAGGCCGAAAGCTGAGGCGAAGTCCGACCTTCACGAGATCAAGATGCGAGCTCTAGCAGCAGCCAACCAACGCAAACAAATCGATTCAGACGATGATGATGACCTGGAAATCGTGCCGGCCCAGAAGGTGGATGCCCCTCCAAGGTCAACAGAGAAGCGCGCTCGGGGGCGCAAATCTCTACCCATATTTGCTCGTAGGGCGGTAACACAGCCGCGAGACAGATTTGAGCAAGAACTACTCGCTAGAGCTGCGGAAGAGTCGGCCAAACTTAGCGAACTGAAGAAGCAGGCCTGGATACAGGCAGGTGGCCGGGTTCTGGAAGAGATCAAGCCCGAAGGTGGACCGGAGTCTGTTCTACGAGCTTACGCCGAGAAAGCCCTAAAAGCCATCGAAAACAACGACAACCTAACCAAGGGCGAAGATGATGAAGATGAAAGCGATGGCGAATGGAAACCTGAGGAACGGGGATCGGCGAGTCCTTCCTCTCATACAATGGACATTGTCGATGAAGGGGACAGCGAAGGTGAAGATGCTGCGATGGGCTCTGAAGCGGAGGGCGAGGATGGCCAAGATGACGAGAACATTGCAATTCCCCGTGGACACCGTCGTCGGACAATCGTAGATTCGGATGAAGAAAACGACGAAAACGCATCTCTCAAGCGGGTATCGAGGCCAGCCCGACGTTCTATCTCGCTTGATGAAGACCTGGAAAGTTCGAGTGTCGGGCACGACGCCGTTACTCCCTTTTCAGAGGACGGAACTGACAAGGAGAATAACGCCGGTCTCTTGTTCGATCGCAGCGAAGATAAAGAGAACAAATCTATCGCTCGTTTCGATTCCTTCGATTCCTTTGACGACATTTCTCCCAGACGCCTTGGTGGTCCGTCTTCGAGTGGGTCTCGACAGCCTTTCCAGGAACTGCCAGGGCCGACGGACACGCCCAAACCAATCAATTTTGCCAGCCGAGCTAACCTCACGGAACTCTTCGAAGCCCAACTCAGCGAACCGCGCAGGACACCCGAACTCAGCCCAGTATTTGGCAGTAAATCGCGAGAAGGGTTCTCTCAGTTTTCGCCCACACCAGTGGTCGGCCGAGCCCTGGAAGAGGAGTTCTTTGACCCAACCCAAAAGGAGTCCCAGCCGGCATCTCTTCTCGGGGAAGCGTTTGGGGAGAAGGTCGGTGTGGTTTGTTCAATGTTCGGATATTGTATTAACCTCTTCGGATAGCCTCTCCGTCGAGCTCTAGGTCGCAATGATTCACTCGACTTTACGCAGGAGTTCAACCTCGAGCCGTCTTTCCAACCTCGAGAGGAGATTCTTCGCAAAGCGAATGATATTGTTGAGAAGGAGCAAGAACTCAAACTGGATGCTGTGCGCCATGCCGAGAACAAGCCTCAGCTGTATGTCAACGAAGACGGGTAGGTCGCTCGGTGTCGACATCCCAAGCTGCAGCTTACAATGGCTTTCCAGGTTCCTCACGCAAACACGACCGGACGGTCCCAATCCAGAGGTCTATCAGCCACCTTCACCGACCCAAGTAGATGGGCACCAGTCAAACCTTTTGACGCCAATGGAACCAAGTTCATCGTTCCGTTCCCCTCTTGCCACGATTTCGTTTTCGGACCCGACCCAAGGGGACTCACCAAGCCATGGTCGTCTGAAACGGTTACGAAAACGTAGTGAATCTCCCTCTGAGAGATCCCCCAAAGCCAACGAGAAGAAACGTCGCAACGCATTCGACATGCTCGGACAAGGCGCTCATGCGGAGGCAGAGAGAAAGCGGCGGAAACTGGACAAAAGCGAGTTCGTCGAGGACGAAGCGGACGAGTCGGACGACGATGCAGGATTCTGGGGCAGGCCAAAGAAGGATGATGACGAAGAGATGGAAAATGACGAAGACTTGGACAAAACTTTGGAAACCCTCGTCGACGATCAAGAGATGGACGATCAGACTTTGGCGGAGGAGCGGGTTCGTGAAAAGTTCAAGTAAGTAATGTCGTGAAGATGTTCTACACACAAGGTTAATCATGTCTTCTAGGGAGCAAGAGCAGCAAGAAGATGAAAAATTGGAGAAGATCGCCCACAATGTTGTGGAGGGTGAATTCCGGAAGCGCAAGAAAGACGGCGGGTTCAATTTGTCAGACGAAAGCGACGATGATGACGAGGACGAGAATCGAAAGGCGAGAAGGAGGTTGCGAAGGCAGCAGAAGAACCGAGAGGATGTTTTGGCGTTGAGTGCGTATAAAGCATACCCCGCTAGCAGAGTGGTTGCTGACACCTGTGACAGCCTTGAACCCTGAGACTCACGCTTTCGCACAAACTTACAACGCTGCATTGAAGGACGACGACGAGACACTCGAATTCTTGGCTCAGGATCAGACAGAAGAGATTCTCGCTTCCCTCGACCGGAAAGACGACGACGAGGAAGACATGGAAGACATGGATGAAGACGAAGTGGAGCCAGAGACTGTTACCATGGACCAGATTCGTCGCGCAGTTCAAGAACGTGCCAGAGAGCGTGCCGAGAACCCCAACTATGTAAGTGGTTGCCCACATCAAGCCAATCCCTCGCCTGACATTACTGTCCAACAGGAGGACGAGTCGATCGACTTGTATGATACGGCCTGGGTGGAGGACAACGAAGATGATGAGGATGATGTCGTCCAAGTCAAGACTGTCGTCCCTGGAGCCAAAAAGGCTGTGCCAACCCGTCCGCGTGGCACGGCTTTCGATCTCGACATGGATGACCTGGAGGTGAGAACGCGAGTCAAACTTGTTTGTAGCAAACTAACCGGGACCTTTAAAGACTCAAGAGACCCTCCGGCCGGAAATGGATGAGCACCGCCTGAAGAAACAACAAACGTGGGCGGTGAGTGAAGCAAGAAACCACAGAAATGCGTCAACAGCTCGCTCTGGACGTGGTGCGGCTGTAACGAGTGTTGTCCGGGCCAAATGCGGTGGGGGTTCCTTACGCGTCCGACCCCAAGACAAGGGTGAGAGATCTGGTTCGCAAGTTTCGAAACCAGTGAAAAAGACAGCCAGCGTACTTGACGCTGTAAGCAGGGCTTCACGGTTTAGTTAAAATATATACCCTCAATTTCTCTTCTCTGATGTATTAGGATGTTGGTTTGTACTATAGTCTGTGTTCGCCTGTGTAAAGTAGTAATACATATTATCTATTGCTTTCCTGCATGAAGGTCGAAAATGGTACAGGCGGTTGCACAATATCCAAGATGCTGGATAACCGGGGTATAATAAGGAATAAAGAGACGTCGTGGGGGATTAATGTAAAAGGTGGCGCGGGTTTAATGGAGGTGTTTCCCAGCAAAGGGTCTGCCAAAGCGCATCCAAGGATTTTTGGGTCGTTGCTGAGCGGCCATGAAGTTTCGTGACACCTGGCGTGAATGCGAGGAGCTGCGTCGTTTCCTGTTGCTTGTTTGGATCTGGAGACAGTTTCTGTTTAAGTCCACAGTCGTTGTCCTTGTGGGGTGGATTACCGACCTTGTGTCGTAGCAGAATGAGCTTGGCCATGTTCGCTGGGGGGCCTGTTTCGCGGAATGGAGCGCCTTGACGCGTCAATTAGCACGGTTGACGGCAGACATGTAGGCAAAGATAACATACGCGAAGCAACCAACATAAGACCTGACTCGTGAGCATCCAACGTATCGTCCCCCGCCATTAAGGCAAACCAGACTGCTGGAATGCAAATGTATACAAGGAGGAGGGCGGCGAGGGAGCTGAGAAAGATGACGGTGAACATCGTCGCAGACGGGCGCTGACCGCGCTGGAGCGCTTGAAGCACCAGTCGAAAGGGCGACGACGGGAGGGTTGGCTTTGAGTTGGGAGTTGGGAAGAGGAAGAGAATTCCAATTCAAACAGTCTGGATTGGCTCTTTTACTCGCCTTTGGTCGTTCGATTTTGCCCCAGCGACAAACACTTTTGATCGGCGTTTGCCGCGTCCCCCAACTTGCACATTCCTTGGCAATTCCAAGATCAACAACAGTTCATGGCTGCGTTCTTCTCATCCCTCACCGTGGCCAGCGTCGGTCTCACCTGCAAATCCTTCCTCAACCTTGGCTTCTGTTCAATACAAGTCAATGGTCTCAACATCCTTCTCGACGCCCTCAACCATCCAGAACGGCGCAACGACCGAGGACTAGTTACTGGTAAGCTATGTCAGCCCATACCAAAATGCTATTCACTTCTCACAAATCCACATCAGTATCAAATCACATATCCACGTATGCACGGCCTCGTGTTTGCTCAAAGAAAAGCATATTCTGAACCATGGTCAAGTCTAGACGACCCTCTGACCTGGGGCATCCTTCCTGCCCGGTGCTACTTCAGTTCCCGGACGACCCGGTGGGCTCTTGGCGCCTCCGATATCATCTTCACCAACCCGTGAGCTGCCACTTTCCCCTATCCCTTTGAGTTGCCTAAAATAGCCTATCCCTTTGCTCGTGCCCGCGGTAGAAAGGGTGTTCTCGTCTTTCTTCCGCCTCGGACAGACCCTTGAGACCTTTCGCGGTCAGGGGATATATCAAGAGTCCGTTAATACAGCGATCCAGAAGCTGAATGAAGGATCGTGGGTGAGTCTATTTTCCTTTCTCTTTTGATGTTCCGTGAAGGTCGTCATCTCGTTCCCCTGGCTCAGGTACATCTCTTTGGTGAGGGCAAGGTCAACCAACCGGATAGCTACACCATCGATCCCGAAGGCTATGCACACATACCGCGGTTTAAATGGGGAGTGTAAGTTCCTTCCTCCATTCCCCAGCAAAATCATTACATGAATTTGCTATCCAGAGGACGAATTGTCATGGAGAGTTCCAATCTTCCAGTTGTCATTCCAATGTGGCTTTCTGGATACGATAAGCTCATGCCCGAAGGTCGCCCCTTTCCTCGAAAGTACCTGCCGCGCCTGGGGGTCCGACTCAGCGTGACCTTTGGAGAACCAATTCCACCAGAACTCCTATCTCAGGCTATTAATCACTCGGCGCCTGATGACAAAGGCGCGCCATCAATAGACGCTCAGCGATCGCGCCTCACGGCGCTCATTCACAACCACGTGGAAAGCTTGGGACGAACGGTGTGTGGTCCTCTCCTCCAGATGAAGCAGTAGAAGTCGACCCCATGATACCCCATGTACGTCGATTTAGAGCAATGGATTATGAATAATGATAGTCGTCTAGTTAGGGCCTACGGGTCGAGTCCAGAGGCAACATCTGCAAGTTTCTGGAGCGAAATGGATATTGGGTCGCAGGCGGACATGATTTCGGATTCTCGGGAACCTGGGTAGTACCAGGAACAGATGACCTAAACTGAGGTTGGCTGAAACTCTTTTTCCCCGGCCTGTGGGCCACTTACGATTATGACATAGAAAGACACCATCGTCGCTCCCTCCGCCCAATTCGTCTTTGCGTCCGCTGTGACATAATTAACGATGAAGCAAGACCCCACTAGGACGGCTATCTCAAAGAGGTCTGCATCCGCAATGCGTCGTTAGCAGCTATTGCGAACAAGGCAAATGTTCCTACCGAACAGGAGGGTCATGGGCGTTCCTACCATCCAGCCGAGCAGGACCAGGAAAGGAGTCCAGAATAGTGTGAACTGGATGCTGAGGTCGATGGCCTTCCCTTTTGCCAATGTCGTGGGGGGAATTGGGGCAGCGAGGCCAAGATAGACGCGGATAGACTTGCGGACTCCGTAGGCAATGGCGATTGCGCCGTTGGGAATGTATGAGACGATGGGTAGGAGGATCAAGCCAAACCATCTGGTTATGAGGGTTGGAATGAGTGCTTATTCCAGACCTTTTTGGGGAGAAGGGACGCACCCGAGCTCGACGTTGATATCCTTCTTCACGTCCTCCAGCGCTTTGACGAGCTATGGACTTGCTTCAATTATGCCAGCAGCGGGGAATGAAAAGTGCTCACCCATTCAGCTGTCACAGCCATAAGACCAATACAAATAAGCAGCATTGTGATGCAAATGTATGGGTTGACCTTGGGGTCCTCTTTGTCCAACTTTTGTTCATATTTCTTAAAATCTTGTGGAACTTCAGGTACTCTCCGGGAGCTGTCCGAGTCGTCTCCAGGTGGGTAGTGGAGGTAAATTCTTGAACAGACATAACTGTTAATGGGAAGTCAACAAGGACCCCGCGAGGTAGCAGTGGAGAGGTCTACTAACACGAATAACAAGCAAAATGAGACTCCACGACTGAGATTGAGAAAACTGTCTCGAAGTGGGTCGTCAATCTCGATGTCGTCAAGAGCTGCAAAGAATGCAGCGGGCAACATGAGGCTCAGGACACTGTCAATGCGATAGGCATGTGGGTCTTCACAAGTGGTTCGTAGTGAGATCCGCCTACCCGACCGCCAGTAAGGAATGATTTAATTCCGTCAAATGAGGGTGTAAGTCTTGGTTTACGACGCGTGTTCCCCCGACGATGAAGGCGAATCCTGGGACGAGCAAAAGGTGAAGTATAACTACACCGATGATGGTTGCTTTGAGAAGGGCGAGCCTGGCGCGGATTAGTAGAAGGGTTTAGGGCAGGGGTGTCCCAACGGGTAAGGCAAGAATACATACTCGCAGTGAAGGAGCAGAATGATTGCAAGCGTGGCTTCCACGGCGCTAGAAACGCACTTGAGAAATGGAATCTCGTCAAGTAGGACACGCCGACCCACTTGTGCAAAGTAACGCTGAGGAGGTCACCAAAGTCCTTTCCCAGGTAGAACTTCATTTGTTCGGCGCCAAACTCGAACATCTTGGCCAAAGGAAGGATGGCCACAAAGGACACTGCAATCAAAGCCACAATGAGTCAGAACGCTTCAAATTGGACGGGCAGTGGTTGCGAACACTTCTGCCAATGAGCTTACATGAAAATGTTAATATCTTTGACCATTTCAGAAAGTGTGAAACCCATGACACGGGTATGAGTATCAGTAAGAGGTTCAGCCCTAGACGGAAGGTCCATCAGAAATGACTATCGGGGTAAATGGTCAGAATACGCACAGGACGAGCGCACAACTGCCATCAAACTCTCTCGAACGCCCACTTTCTTCTTCCCTTCCCTGTTCCATCGTTCCAGAAACGTGCGTTTGCGTTTAGGCAGGCTAGTTGCTGATTCCTCGGGTCCAACGCTTGGATTGGTTGTTTCCTCGACCTGGCCGTCCAGAGGAATGGGAGAAGTAACCTCTCGTCGGTTGTCGTTCCAATCACCTCCACTGTCCAACTTGTACCCTACTGGGCGGCCATTATCGGTGGCGGTCGTTTCTCTGTTGCCCAAAGTAACGCTCGAAGAAGAAGAAGTCGATCGTTTTAGGTGGGGAAACGGCATGGCTGTCCGACGACAATCCTTCGTACGCAAAGCCCAAGAGGTATTATGGCTCGGCAAAGGTGGGGGAGCCCTTCGCTTTGTGGGTGGATGGGCGCTGCCAGCTCGCTCGTAATATGTACTCTCCGAGCTTTGAGCATCATGATGTGGAACAGCTATTTTCGGGGGCGGCGGTGTAGGGCAAAATCATAAATAGAACGACGAGTTGCTATCTGCATAGGTTCGAATTCCGTGGTGATGTCATCAACTTTCAAAATCTGTTCATTAAGCGCCCAGAGCAGTCGCAATCGTGCTATTTTCATCGCAGATAAGTATATGATCGTCCGTTAAAGAGAACTCTTAACTATAATATACATCGTCTCATAAAGACGCCCATGAAACCCTATGTAGTTTAATCATCTGCTGTAACTGGTCGGGAGGGGAGGAAATGGATTTTAAGATCGACATTGCGAATGCTTTCGGTGAATGCTCTCCAGGCGGCATGCAACAACAAGACGAATGCCTGGCCTTCTGGGCTGTATTCGCCCCTTTCCAACCGTGTGTGGAAGGTAATGGGGTTGACTGTGTTCTCGAGCCAACCAGCCTCATTGATGTTGTCACCGACGAGGCGGAACGCTCTGTCGGCCGCTGGGATGAACTCAATGTCACCAGTGAAAAGGGCATATCGATATGTGGATGCGGCGAGAAGGGCGGTGGCGGCAGTGTCGCCAAAGGTACTGGGGTCGTCAATAACGTTATGGATAATGCCACTATCATCCTAGAGCCGTGTTATTTGCTTTCGGGCTGCGTGTTAATGGGGATTAATGCTCACCTGGAGACTCCACGACGACTCGAGAATTTCGTGGACCCAAGAAGTAAGGTCAGCTTGTTGACTTCGGAATTCATGGCCGATCGAGGAATGGTTCAGGGTGGACAAGACTCTTAGCATTCCAGCAGCAGCCCATGCATTGCCTGCCAGAAGGGTGGCTGTCAACAACAAGAAACCCGCAAAGAACGAGAGTTGCCAGCATACCAGTAGCCCAATGGGTGGGGTCTTGCCAAGAGCCGAGAGCGACGTGCCTCCAAAGTCCAGGTTCGTCCCGAAGTCCACCGCGGTAGAGTCGACACTGGTCGTAGGCAATTTGAAGGAGGTTCCTGTCATTGTGCAGGGCACCATAGTAGGCGATGAAAGGTGGGACCATGTAGACGTAGTCGGACCAAAGTTGAACTTCGTCTGCGCGGTGAGAGATAGCGCCTTCCCTGGTACGAGGCGCGTCCTTGAGGAGGTAGTCGAGTTGGTGGTAAGCGGCACTTCCATATCGCGAGTCGTCGCTGTTCCATCGGGTCCAGTTTGCGAGAAGGACAGCTGTGCCCAAACCTGTTTTGACAATGAGTATGGTTATCTTCCTCGGCGGTGGTAAGAACACACTGGCTGGATCAGCGGACGAGCCTTGGTTGGCAAACAGTGGTCGCGAGTTGGCCGGTTTTCTGTCCAGAGTTCTTTCCACATCTGTCAGTGGCTTTGCCAACGTCACGGGGAGAAAGATAACACACTCGTTAACAATTGCAAACACGTAAGTCGGCGTCCATGACTGATTGAGAGGGCGTGGTGGTGGGAATGCTGAAGGCTCAAAAACGGAGAGGCCGGGGGTATAGACCTCTGTTAGAGCCTGTGCTGCAGCACCCAATTCCCAGCTAATTAACGTTAGTCGGAAATGTACAGAGTCAATTAATCGAGGAGGCGAACCTGGCATGGGCAATCTGCAGCATGTTCTCGGCGACCAAATCAATGGTCTCATTCCGGAATCCTCTGAGCACAGCGGTAAGAGCAGAGAGTCTAGTAATCCACCGAGCTGACATGGTGCAAGAGGGTTTGAGGGTGGGGGTGACGATGACCACAGGGAGAAACCTTGGCTGTAATGTGGTTTTATATCATTCGAAGAACGTCCATGTGAATGCCGCATCGCGACATATGCTAACGCCGGAAAATTGTGGAGATGCCCCAAGTTACAATGCAAGAGCCACGCCTCGTCTTCTATCAATGTCGTTCAATGCGAGAGAAGCCAAGCAATAGGGTACGATGGTCCGCATTGATGCCCATGTCGTCAGATCCAGAGTACAAGTCAACGTTCTTAAGCAGTTTTCTCCCAGGGATTGGTTTGTTCGATGGGACACGAGATTTCAGATGAAGAATAATCTCAGTACTAAAGTCTTGGGCATCAGATGGAGAGAAGAATCATTTCGAGGGTGGTGACTCCAAGAGTTCCACCCAGGGGCTCGAGAATTTGCTAGTATGTAGAGGTCGGGGATACTGTTCAGCCTAGCAATCGCCGAGGGTTGTCGTCGTCGAGAGCCACCGAGTCGATCCCAACTGTCTACAGTCGGACCCGTCATAAATCATACCCTTCGGTGGAGGGCTAGAGCTATGATTTTTGGGAGGTTATGACTTTTCGTGTTCTTCCGTGGCTGTGCTTCTGTCTCTTGGCATGCTAATATCCGTCCCCTCTCTGCTCAAATTGCAGTTAGTTGACGAGAAGTCCATCTGCGAGCATTTATTAGCATCGTGTGGATGTCTGAGGATGTTCTCTACCTGACCGAGTTGAAGTAGAGGTGTTAGGGGGCGGTTCCCAAGTTAGAAACTGAGTGATGGAGTCAGATGGACTGTCGAGATGGAGGGAAAAGTGAACGAGAGGCCGAATTCCCTGTCCCATCAACGAGATTTACCCTTATTCAGGATCGAATATCGGAAGAAAATGTCCGAAAAGAGGGTAAATTATGGTAAAATTATGACTTTTTCCTGCCAAAATTGCTATGACTTATGAATTTCTACAGGTTATGACTTTTTTTACCATTTTCCCCGCGTACCGAGTCGGTGGATCCCAAAACCTATGATTTTTGGGAGGTTATGACTTTTCCCCTTATCGACCTTGCTTTAGCTAGGTCGACCTTGCTTTAGCTAGGTCCCTTAGGGGAGGATATTATGTAAGTTTTCACTACATAGAAACGCGAAAACAAACAAATGCAAGCACTTGGTTTGGTCCTTACCGTTGTTTCGGTTCTCCCAACCTTCAGTGAGATTTTGTTCTCTCGAGGATAGTCTCTTCGAGTGGGGAACGACAAAATAGCCGCACATTTGAACACTATCGTATATTTCTCAGTAGCCTGTTTAAGCGCTGGGACCTGCAAAAGCCTGCTATCCGTGTTTGCACGCAATTTCGACAGTGATACTACTTAACCGGAGGACCGACTACCTTCGTTTAAACTTTAAATGTTGAAGAGGTCGCGTGACGCATAGGCTCATTTGCCCGTCCAAATAGCAGTTGTTCGCTCACAGCGTACATAGTCTGAGTGTCAATTGCAATCTGTTTCAGTACCGCTTCCCAACGACACCTTCCGGGCAGAAGTGTGAGTGGTTCAATGTTCAATGCTCCCAACAAAAAACAGGGTCCCTAAATGACGCTAAAGCAAGGTCGGTAGTCGCGGCACGCGGCCCCTTTATGACTTAAGACGGGTCCGACTGTAATTATAATCTCCCCAGGTGTTCCCACGTTGTTAAAATCAGGGGAGATGTTCGATCCCCACCCAGCGCACCTCTTCCATGTACCAGCCACCATATCCATCTGCTCGGCCAGACTTGCGGGAACAGGTCATCTATCAGTATTCTAACTGCCCAAATAATCCACACGATGTCTCAGAAGGACTAGAGAGGCGATAGCGACAGGACTCGGATATGCGTATGCCTGGAAGAGTCTAACGCCACACACACGCTTCGGTTATTTCTCATTCGAGGTACCACTATGGTATCCGTTATCACCAGTTCCGTGCTTCTCAACCCTACTATCCAAGACTGAGGCCCATGAGAGCCCTGGAGCACCCTTTCTTGACCTCATTGGAAAACCTCGGATATTTCTCAACGAACAAAACGGTCACGACGTTCAAGGTTTACGCTTAACCTGCCCTTCTTTGTCTCCATCCAACATGTGTGGCAGCGCTTGCCGTGAATCCCAGCAAGAAGGTAGTAATTCCGGTGAGAATGGGCAGCATGGATGGTTAGATGGGACAATTGTCAGGTGGCTAGCCTCAGGCTTCTCGAATGGAGAACCGAATTGGCATGCAAGGGTGCTGAGTATATATACGAGGCCGTGATTCCACGAGACTCGACCAGCCAGGATGGTGTCCTTTCGCCTCAGCTTGCTTGGCCCGTGGTGCCTCGTCGCACTTCTCAGCACTCTCGTTGTCGCCAGCCCAGCGGCCGTTGAAGGAAAAACGCGGGGCAAAGTTGCGGCTGCCTGGTATGCTGGATGGCATGCTACGACGGGATACCCTCTGTCAAGGGTAAGCTGGAAGAAGTACACGCATCTGACATATGCATTTGCGTGAGTCGTTTCGATTGCGTTTCGCGCTGAGTACTGACAACTTCGTATTGACAGGGAGACCTCCCCCGATGTCCATAAATTAAGCTTTGAAGAGGCGACATGGACAAACCCTCAACTCCTTCCCCAATTTGTCTCAGAGGCACATAAACACGTACGTCTTCTTCTTCCAAGCGCAACGAGGCCATTACCGATTGCTACTGTACAGGGAGTGAAAGCCTTGATTTCGATTGGTGGATGGACTGGTTCAAGATTCTTTTCGACTGCCGTTGGCTCAGCCAGTAACAGGACAGCGTTCGTAAAAACCGTCGTGAACTTTGCCCAAAAGTATCACCTTGATGGTGTCGACTTCGAGTAAGTCCACCACCTTACTGTGAACTTCCGTTACTCAAGTCACAACGCTACAGTTGGGAATACCCCGGAAATCAAGGAATTGGATGCAACACGATCAATCCCCAAGACACGTCCAACTTCCTTCTCTTTCTTCAAGAGTTGCGAAGAGACCCAGTGGGCTCAAAGCTCTTGGTCACTGCAGCGGCAGCCACTGTCCCCTTTTACGGTTCCAACGGCCGTCCCTCCAGCGATGTCGCCGCATTTGCCAAACTCCTCGATTATATCGCCATCATGAATTACGACCTCTGGGGTCCATGGAGCCCAACAGTCGGACCCAACGCTCCCCTAGACGACGCATGCGCTCCAGCGAACAGCCGCTACGGTTCGGCCACTTCTGCTGTTCGACAATGGTCGGCAGCTGGAATTCCCCATAACCAACTTGTCTTGGGTGTTGCTGCATATGGTCATGGATTCCGCGTCCGAAGGGCGAATGCATTTGCTGCGGGATCGAACAGCGTACTTGCTTCGTACCCTCCATTCGACGGCGTCGACCGACCGATAGGTGACTCCTGGGATGGTCCCGGAGGGGGAACCGATGTCTGTGGATCCCCGACGCTTCCCGGAGGAACCTTCAATTTCTGGGGTTTGATTGAAAATGGCTTCCTGAACAAGGACGGCTCGCCCACGCAAGGCATCCACTATCGTTACGACACCTGCAGTCAAACGGTCAGTCTACGACGGACACATTGGCGGGCGTCAATTTACAATTGACCTTTTTTTAGCCTTATGTCTACAACCGGACCACGGAAATCATGGTTGCTTTCGACAACGCACAGGTGAGTTGACAATGGCTTATATGGATAACGTCGACGCTGATGGCAATCCTGCGAACCAGTCCTTTGCGGCTAAAGGGAACTTTATCAAGTCAAACGGTCTTCGAGGCTTCGCAACCTGGGAGGCTGGAGGAGACTACAACGACATCCTCCTCGACTCTATCAGAAAGGCGGGCGGATACTGATCATACGGGGAATGTTAGAGGCAAATCAGGAAGCTGTATTGGCGTATCCGAGTCATTATGACAGCAATAAATCCGGGTATTGGTCTCGACTTCCAAAAGATTACTCATCGATTTCCTTTCCAAACTCAAAGCCCGCAACGTGTAAAAGAGCGGCGAACTAAAGGCGAAGTCAATATCGCGTCGTTTCCATTGTCACAGGAAACTATACTCGCCTGAACTTTCGCAATAGCGTATAGTTGGTTGATATCGTAGCCTTCCCGTTCACTGAGATCACCTTAGGGAGGATGTCAACGAAAAAAGCAGAAGAAAGATGGCTAGTACGACGTACCGCTATTGTGATACATGGGATCCACGACTGATATTGATTAGAATCAGGCAATAGATGGGGTGGAGACCAATAGATACACGCACTCGGTCCAGCGCGTTCAAAGACCTGAGTAGCTGGGAAGCCTTGTTCAATGAAGGACTAGAAGTCTGTTAGCATCTCTGCGAGAATCGTTGTTCAGATTGAACAAACCTGATGATCACTACAGCATGCCTGGAAAGACAAGAAAAGGTAAGATGAGGTTCCCACTCGTTGCTATGCATCTATCGGTATGTAGTACTCACTCCGGAATACCCGACGGTAAGCTCAGGGCTGTAGAATGCCGACACATTGGCCACCAATTGCGTGACCTCGGGAGTACCGATACGCTCCGGCAAACCGAGCTGAAGAGGCTCTTGGGCTGCGCGATAAGCAGTCATGTCAGCTTGAATCATCATCACGATGCTGGCATTCTGTGCCCGCAGTTCACCTAGGTGGGAGGGGAAGGAGAGTGTTAGGTATGGGTTGAATCTATCGGAAAGAAGCTTACGGGCATAGGCACGGGAACCGTAAAGACCTTGCTCCTCCCCGGCGAAGGCGACGAGTTCGACGTTCTTGTGGAAGCGGAGACGCTTGCGCCCAATCGTCCTTGCGATGGATAAGACACCAGTGGTACCCGAACCATCGTCGTCGGCACCAGGAGCGCGGACGCTTCCGAACGAGCCGCGACTGTCATAGTGTCCGCTGATGATAACTGTATCGTCCGTCTTCTTGATCGCAGAATACCGACTAGTGCTCGTCAGAACGCGTGTATGCGTTGAAATAGGGGCTATGCGCTCACCAGATAACATTAGGAGCGAACCCTGTAAGGAACGTCGATAAACGACAAGTTGCACCAGTTTCTTCGATACGGGCTTTGATCCAAGCAGCAGCGGTGCGCGCTCCAGATGAGAACGAATGCCTCGATACGATCCCCGACTTTCCGTCCTCGCCAGTAAGGAAACGGATGTCTTGTTGAATTTGTGGGATGGAGATGTTGTTTACGACAGAGGCGATATCGGGGTTGAATCGAAGAGTTCCGAGGACGTCTCTGACGACTTTGAGGTCGTCATTTGACACTTCACGGTAGGTAAAGGGGGCGTCGGGGACGAGGGTCGACTTGACGAACCGGGGAAGGATGGTGTCGACTTGCAATGCTGCATGACGAGGCAGGGCAAGCATGGTTGCATCATTGGATGAGAAAAGAGTGTACGGGAAGCCGTTATCTGTCTTAGCGTTGAAGGTATGCTGGTCTTCCTGTTCATATAACGGTTGGTCCTCCCCGACTAGCCTCGTCAGAGTTCGGTAGAAATCATCCGACATGAACGATTCCTGTTGAAGGAGCGAGGGGTCGACGTGTTCTTTCTCGAGCCATACCAGACTGGCATTTCGATGAATCTCCAAAAGGACATTTGGCTCTTGGGAGAGGTACGAGCGGGAGTATTCGACGCAGTCCGGGGTCGACGCTTGGAATAAGGCGACTGTGGAATCCTGGAGCTTGTAGTTTCCGTAGAAACTATGGGTCAAACATGGCTCCTGCGAGAACAGTGTCGAGTTGAGTGGAAGAATGAGCCATAAGCTCAGGAGAGTCGAGGCCATTGTCCAGCGTTAACTAAGGTTCCCGCAGAGTCACTCGCGCTTGGCGCTGGTTGGTTCCGACGTGAGCTAGTGCTATGGGCACAGCCACATTTCGTTACCCTTTCCAGTATCACCACCGGATGGTGGCTGCACTGGCTAGCTGTATCGTCCATCTGCACTAGCGTGCGCCCAACCATGAGTATGCATCGTCCCCGACTGCCCTGGATAAATACTGATTATTCATTAAATTAGACGTCGCTACGTCCAGGCAGCTGGTCGACAAGATCTACGAGAAGCGGAAGGCCGCAGCGCTTGACCTGGAGAAGTGAGAGCTTGCGCGTTCCAACGAGTCTGAGCTCTGACAATACAGCCCCACAGACAAGTGCGAGAATGCCATCAGCAAGGCGAACACAAGAGAATAGGACAGATCGTTGACCAACTCATTGAGATGTTCAGCGATGTCTCCAACCCTTTGCACATCCGGAATGGTGGTTTAATCGGCCTGGCCGGGACTGCGATTGCGTTGGGTGTCGATATCGCGCCTTACATGGAGAAGTTTATTGAACCCTTGTTGAATTGCTTTTTGGACTCGGAGAGCAGGATTCGTTATTTCTCAGCGGAGTGTCTGTATAACATTGCGAAGGTGTCCAAGGGGGAGGTCTTGGTTTATTTCAACGATGTGTTCGATGCACTCAGCAAGGTCCGTGTCCTTGCCTCTCACTCACTCCCGCTTACCCATTTCTCGTGTAGCTCGCCGCAGATTCGGAACTCTCGGTCAAGAATGGCGCTGAACTATTGGACCGCCTCCTAAAGGACATCGTTGCAGAGTCGGCCTCGGTATACGTGCCCTTGTACCCAGAAACTGCGCGAGCTCGTGAAGAACTAGAGGAGAAACAAAGTGTTCTCGTATTACTCCCACACAGCGCTGAAGAAGGCCCCAAGAAGGCGTTCTCGTTACCACACTTCATCCCCCTTCTACGCGAACGCATTCACGTCGTCAACCCGTTTACGCGAAGTTATCTCGTCAATTGGATTACAACCCTCCATTCCGTCCCCGAACTAGAGCTTATCACCTACCTACCCGAGTTCCTTGACGGACTTCTGTGAGTCAAAAGTTTATTCCATTATCAATATCTGCTAACTGAGGTCTAGCAAGTATCTATCAGATCCTACAGAAGACGTGCGCGTAGCGACAGAGAATGCGTTGGGGGACTTTATAGGCGAACTCAGAAAGATATATGAACATCCCGATGCACCAGGACGCAAACCTCATCCTTCGACATCCCCGCCAGCCGACGCCGCCAGTAACACCAGAGCTGATAGCATTTATGAAAGTGAAACTCGCTCTGCCAATGGGGACGACTACCACTCCAGGGACGATGTCAATCCTTCCACACCCACTGCCGAGGGAAACCATATCAACTATGAGGTCAACGATCACGACCTAGGAGGTCAGGAGATTCATGTTCTAACTATAGAAGTACGCTGAAGGATGTTTACAGAGTGGGTGCCTGGGCAAGGCGTTAGAGTTGACTTTCCAGCCATCCTCGATATCCTATTGCAGCAGTTGGACGGAGAGCGTACGTTGTTCTCCTTGCAGTCAGGGCCCAATACTGACATCTTGAGCAGACGACGAGATTCAACAGTCCACTGCACTGACATGGATTGCCGAATTCGTTACACTTGTCCCAGAAGTTATTGTTCCGTTCACACCGAGGCTGATTCCAGCCATCTTGCCCAATTTGGCACATCATGTCCTAATGATCCAGCAAGCCGCGACAAAGACGAATAAGATTCTCTTCAATGTCATTCAGAAACTGCCAATCGAAGAGCCGACTCCCCCTCCTCCTGCTCCGACCAAATCAGAGAAGGGGGCTCCGACCAAATTCCCTCGCTCACCTACCCCAACTATCTCAGGGCCTGTCCGACAGTCAGCTTTAAGCAAAGAGATTACCCGTGACCTATCTACGTCGGATCTCACCACGACGACGACCCAGACACAACAGGACGGCCCGCCGCCACCTCCTCAACGCACCAGGAGTGCTACTGGCCCTGATCCTTCAGCTACGCCACGTCCCACGCAGCTTGGAGACTCCACCAATAGTGGACCAGATCCGACCCGTTCGCACTCTCCTGCAGCTGATTCGCTGCTGAGCCAAAGCGGAGTAGCAGGCAATGTTCAAAGCATCGGTCCAACGCCCCCTAGCCATGATGATAATGACCCTTTCGACTATCAAGCTACAGTTGCGGAGTTGACGATTCAGTTCCTTAGTGAATTTGAGGAGACGAGGGTTTCCGCCTTGAAGTGGTTGATCATGTTGCATCAGAAGGTCCCAACCAAGGTGTGCCCCTTGTTCAATCTTACATGCGAGGTATGACTGAGGCTCGCATTCCGTTAGATTCTGGCAATGCACGATGGCACATTCCCTGCGCTCCTCAAGACGTTATCAGACAGTTCAGAAGAGGTTATAAAGCATGACCTCCAATTGCTCGCACAGATTTCCTCCAGCTCGGAAGAAACATATTTCAAAGCGTTCATGATGAACTTGCTCGAACTCTTCAGCACTGACCGACGTCTTCTTGAAACTCGAGGGAGTCTCATCATTCGTCAGCTCTGTGTAAACCTTAATACAGAGAAGATTTATCGCGCTTTTGCGGAGATCATAGAGAAGGAAGAGGTACGTCCTTCTTCGATGACTGGGCGTACTTCTGCTAACGCGTGACTCGGTTAGGATCTCGAATTTGCCAGTGTCATTGTTCAGAAACTTAACATCATCCTCATCACCTCTCCTGAACTGGCGGAATTCCGTAGAAGACTGAAGAGTTTGGAGACACGAGTAAGATTGATGTTCTGATTGCTCGCTCTGGCTGTACTCATGTCCCTCTAGCAAGATGGCCAAGCTTTGTTCACCACTTTGTACCGATGTTGGTGTCATAATGCGGTCTCTGTGTTCTCTCTCTGCCTCCTTGCACAGGCCTACGAACACGCATCGAATCTTCTGCACATCTTGTGAGTTTATGGCTTTAACCCCTTCAGCATTCACTTAACCATGGTCGCAGCGCGGACCTGGAAATCACTGTTCCCATGCTGGTTCAAGTTGACAAACTGGTACAACTGATCGAATCGCCAGTGTTCACTTGTACGTCCCATTGCTCATATCTCCAAACCGAGAAGAGCGCTGACCCCAAGCAAGATCTCCGACTTCAGTTGCTAGAACCGGAACGATACCCGTACCTGTTCAAATGCCTTTATGGTCTCTTAATGCTCCTTCCTCAAAGTAGCGCGTTCGTATCCCTCCGCAACCGACTTAATGCCGTGAATTCTGCCGGGTTCTTGCATATTGCACCTAAATCGTGCGTCCAGTTAATCTAGTTAAGCTCCTTCCATTAGACTGACCATACCCGTCGGGTTTCTTCTTTCTTCCAGAACCGTAGCGGCGATGTCGTCCCGTTCAAAACTAGGCAGAGACGAGATCAAGTGGCAAGAACTTCTTCAGCATTTCCGAACGGTTCAAGCGAAGCATGAGAAAGCTAGAAGGCAGGCTACGGGCGTCGATACGTCTTTGCCCGGATTCCACGAGTTTGACAAGAGCAGCGACAGTGGGAGTGCCGATAGGAATGTCAAGATTGGTGGAAGGATACCAATGAGGCGGCGAGTAACTGGCGGGGATTTGGGTACCCCTGCACCTCCACTCCCTATTCCGAATAGAGGTGGAGCGCTCTCGCCTTTGAACCCAGCGAAAGGAAGGATCCTTCCTGGTGGCCCGGGACACCCTGTACAAGCAAACGGCGTGAATGCTGGGGTTCCACTCACTCAATCCCAGAAAGCTCGGCGACCAGAACTCGTGCGCAAGTAAACCCTAGAGGCGGGGTGGAAATTTATGACTTGTTATGATTGGAAACGACACTTATGCCCTCTCAATGATACCTAATATCTAATTGTACATGGTGACCGCCGTAGTAGGGTAGTATGGGCGTCTCGTCGGAAGTGGTATTCGCTATTCTTGAGTGCCTGGCACCAGCAAGTTGTTGCGGACAGTCTCCAGTTCTTCATCTGAAAGACCGACGTAACGCTTGATGTAGTTCTCTGCACCGCCGTACCGCTCCTCGATGTGTTTGAGGACCGCCATCATGGTCTCGTGCCTGAAATAGACGACTGAGCGGAGGGAACGACCGAGTCAAGACAAAATACGCACCGGCATGTAAACATGTTAAGAGCAGCTTCGTTGTTTGAAGCAAAGAGCGGCTCTTTCGCTAGGCGTTTCATGATCATCTCTCGGGCAGGCTCCCTGCCTACCCTCGTTAGCGCATAGTCTTGGGCTACTAGATCGTCTTCCACTCCTGCAAGCTATGGGAACGATAAGAAGAAAGGATTCAACGACATGAAGAAGAGCGTACCTTCAGAATCAATGCCGCCAGGACACCTGTTCGGTCTTTGCCTGCAGTGCAATGGAAGATACAGCCTTCTGACGACCTGTCTCGTATATGGCGGAGGACAGCACCGAAGGAGTGTCCTCCATGGTCCAAAATCTGGGAATACAATTCTACAAATGCCTGGCACAAAGCTTGTCAAGCAGGTTATCGATCGATATCATCTTGGTATGTTTACCTCGGTCTTTCCACTGGCATACAGTTGGTACCGTCTAGTGGGGGAAATCAAGGGTGAACAAGGTTAGGACGACCTGCTCATGGTAAACTGAGAACGCGTCACGTACTTACTTGGCCATCATCTCTGGACTGTAGTCTGCAGTTTGAAAGACGGGTATGTGGTGGAAGTGTATGCCATCGATTTCGGGGGAAGGGGTGTTGTATTTCTTGATCTCTGTATCCGAGCGTAGATCATAGACCTGAGTGACCCCGAGCTCCTTTAATTTGGCTTTACCTTTGGAGAGTTAGCCTGAGACGGAGGAGAGTATGTCACGCATACCCTCGTCTGTTATACCCGAAAGCTCTGCTGAGCGAAACAAGAGTTTAGGCTTGGTGACCTTGCCGGGGTGTGTAGTCGATGGATAAGAGCCCAGATCCCTAAAGTTGATGACCCCTGGGACTGTGACAAAGGGAGGTTTCGAGAGGACATCTGCGACATAAGCAGGATCCAAAGGGTCAAGGTCGTGCATGGTCATGGCAGAGGAATTGGCAGAGAAGTGAGAATAAGGAAGAAAGCCAGGGCATCACCGGCCGGTAACTCGTCTATGCGACACTCGACGGGTGATTTAACACGAGAATGCCTGCCCTAAACACACGTGTCCTCATTGAAGGTCACATGCTCTCTCGACTAAATTCTTTGGCGCGTACCCCCTTTACCCGCATTCCTCATCTTTATCAATGGAGCCCTCGTCGCCAGCAGCTCCCCAGTTTTCTCTACCTCCCAGCTCAGAACCAGCACATGAGGAGCCTACCGTTCCCCGACGTACAGGCGATGCCCTGACTCTCGATGAAGCAGAGGCCCAAGACGCAGATGATACCCAAGACGGCTCCCAGCGAAAGCGAAGGCGGCCAAGGGCCCAAGCCAACGCGGACGTGCCTTTGGTAAAGGATGCCATTGGCGAAAGTCTTGCTGAAAGCTTCGAGTCCTTTTTGCGAACGTGAGTTTCGCGCTCGACCGTCTTGCTTGGGCTAATATCAGATCAGCTTCACGACCGAGGTAGATTTGGCAGGCACACCAGCGTCCGATGGGTTTGCCCCTCAACAAGAAGGCGAACTCATTTACATTGACCAAATTCATTCGATGCGCGAATATAATCTCACTACACTCTATGTCGATTTCCGCCATATCCTGGAAGCCGATGAAGTCCTGGGCGACGCCATCCAGACACACTACTATCGATTCTTGCCTTACTTGCGACGCGCTTTGTATAATCTCATCGCTGAGTTCGAGCCTGAATACCTCAAAATTAATCCAACGTCCGCTGCGGCAGACTCCACCAACCTGCAGTCGCGCGAATTCAGCATCGCGTTCTATCATCTCGGTCTCACTGAAGGCATTCGACAACTCAAAACGGAGAAGATTGGTCGCCTTACCAGTATCAGTGGAACAGTCACGCGTACAAGTGAAGTGCGACCAGAGCTGCTCTATGGCAGTTTCATCTGCGAAGTTTGCAACGGATTGGTGCACGACATTGAGCAACAGTTCAAATACACCGAGGTACGCGCGCAGATCTTCGCGTCGCGACATCGAACTGACGCGTGTATACTAGCCATCGTTATGCCCCAATGCACTCTGCGGAAATCGAACAGCATGGCAACTCCAAATCGACACGTCCAAGTTCACCGATTGGCAAAAGGTCCGCATTCAAGAGAACCCATCCGAAATCCCTACCGGTTCTATGCCTCGGTCTTTGGATGTAATCTTGCGAGGAGAAATGGTGGAACGTGCCAAGGCAGGTGACAAGTGCACGTTCACGGGTACCTTCATTGTAGTACCCGACGTTAGCCAGCTTGGTCTTCCTGGAGGTAACCGAGCGGAATTGCAACGAGAAGCGAGTAAAGCTGCTGGAGGCGCAACAGCGGGCGTCGGTGGAAGTGGCGTTACCGGCTTGAAGAGCCTTGGTGTCCGCGACCTGCAATACAAAACCGCATTCCTCGCTTGCATGGTTATGGCATCGGACGGTCTCGTAAGTAAAGGAAACATTTCTCTTTGCTCTAGCTTGACCAGACTTGTTACAGGAAAACACCAACATTCGCGGGGAGGAAGCTTCCGAGGAAGACAGTGGACAGATGTTTATCGATTCGTTGACCACCGCAGAGTACGAAGAACTCAAGGCTATGATCAACTCTGATCACATCTACTCTCGTCTCGTCCAAAGTATCGCGCCTACAGTCTATGGTCACGAAATAGTCAAAAAGGGCCTGCTTCTACAATTGATGGGTGGTGTGCACAAACAAACACCTGAAGGAATGCACCTTCGTGGCGACATTAACATTTGCATCGTTGGTGATCCGTCTACCTCCAAGTCCCAATTCCTGAAGTGAGTTTCGTCAATCCGAACGATCCAAACACGTTCTGACACTATTCTAGGTACATTACTTCTTTCCTTCCTCGTGCTGTGTACACTTCAGGCAAGGCTTCGTCCGCTGCGGGTTTGACCGCTGCAGTGGTGAAGGACGAAGAAACCGGAGACTTCACCATCGAAGCTGGAGCTCTGATGCTGGCAGACAACGGAATCTGTGCTATCGACGAATTCGACAAGATGGACATTTCAGACCAAGTCGCCATTCACGAAGCTATGGAACAGCAGACCATTTCCATCGCCAAGGCCGGTATCCATGCTACACTCAACGCTCGCACTTCTATCCTCGCTGCGGCCAACCCCATTGGTGGAAGGTACGACAGGAAGAAGTCCCTCCGAGCCAATCTCCAAATGAGCGCTCCTATCATGAGTCGTTTCGATCTTTTCTTTGTTGTCCTGGACGAGTGTGACGAGAAGACGGACTATAATATCGCAAGCCATATCGTCAACATTCATCGACTGCAAGACCAGGCCATCGAACCCGAGTTTAGTACAGAGACTCTCCAGAGGTTTATTCGCTATGCCAGGACATTCCAACCCAAGGTATGTCACTAGCAGGATATGTCCATGCCGAATACTTACATATTGATTAGATGACTCGTGAAGCTGCCGACTTGTTGGTCGAAAAGTACCGCATCCTGCGTCAGGACGATGCTACTGGCGCAGGCAAAAACTCGTACCGCATCACTGTTCGACAGTTGGAAAGCATGATTCGTCTCACCGAGGCCATTGCGCGAGCCAATTGCAGTAACGAGGTTAGTTCAATGTTGCTCTCCATCCTGGAAAAAGTTGCTAACCATTCGTACTCCAGATCACACCTGCCATGGTCCGCGAGGCGTACAGCTTGCTCAGGCAATCCATCATCCACGTCGAGCAGGACGACATTGACTTTGACGAAGAAGAGCTTGAGGGTGAGCGCGAGGGACGGAATGACAAGAATGAGGACGACGATATGTACGGTGACGACGTGCAAATGGCTGAAGAAACCCAGGATATGGACGAGAGCTCAATACCTCCTGTTCGACAAGCCTCTATTGCACCGGCTGGGGGAGCAGCTGCTGGACCATCTTCGGAAGCTGGCACCGCTGGTGCTCAACCTGCTGCACAAGCACCGGCTAAGCCACGCAAGAAACATATGAAGATCACACACGACCAATACGTCCAACTACAGAGCTTGATCGTTCTACATCTTTCTGCTCACGAACAATCTACTGGCAAGGGAATGGACAAGGATGATTTGATCGATTGGTACCTGGAGAGTAAAGAGGAGGAGGTGCAGGACGTGGAGCAATTGGAGTACCACAGGGAGCTGATCACGAAGCTGTTGAAGAAACTTGTCAAGGTCAGTTTTAGTATCATTTTATCCCATCTCGCGTCACTGACAATCGCTTTTAGGATCACTACCTTATCGAAGTTAGGGGAGACGTTCAGGACTCTCTTCCTTCGGCTCCTTCGGGCGACAGTCAGACCCACCCGTCCACCACAGATGATGACAATGTCCGTTACTACTACATGGTGCACCCCTCGGTCGACACAGAGGGGTCATCGTTGACCTCTGGTTTCTAATCCATCACTGAGTTTGTTGTCGCTTGCCTTGTATCTGTAGTCTATCTGTACCTATAGTAAATAATGATTGTATTGATACCCTTTTTTTCAGTCGAGGGAATTGGTCACGACTGGTCGAACGGAGTCTGGCATGGGTCCTTCTAGCACACATACAGAGAGCTTTGGGATGTAGCAGTAGCAAAGCCGCTGTAGGGTTAATTACCATAAACGGAACGGATTTACCGAGCACATTACCCAGTACTAAAGTACCGGGAACTTCGTCACCACGAGTCCACGACCATGTCTGAACCTCCGACCAAGAAGCACAAAAGAACACTATCTTCAGCCTGTTTGTGAGGGAGAGGGGGGCGTACCAAGGAATGTGAATCTATTTTTGGAACGACCGGCTTTGCTTTCTCCGTTCCCGGTCCAGCGCCTCTCGGACGGAATCAGAAATGACATGTTGCTGCTCTTCTCTCTCATTTCCCCGCCTTCCCCGCCAACCTTTGCACACGACCGACTATGGAATTCTTCAATGACCTCGGCTCAGACCCACTTAAACCTTCTCTTTTCGAAGTCATTGCTCAGGAGCAGCTGAAAGATTTGCTTCAACCGGCATTGAAGTATGTTCTGGCGGTATGCGACGCGTAGCGAGGCTCTTTCTCCATGTTCACAGTGAACTGACCTCCTTCTGTTCCAAATAGGTGTTTGCGCAGCGATACCCTCGATATTTGATTCGAATTGTGAATCGACACGAGGAGTTCTATGCGCTGATCATGCTCGTTGTTGAGCGACATTACTTGACGAAACATAGTGCGCATCCCTGCTCGCTGTCGGGATGCTGACGACTTACGTGTCTCCAGATGCATCGTTCTCGGAGAACTTTTATGGCTTGAAGAGGCGGAGACAACCCTATATTGAGACGGAGCGAACCAGGGCTGCAATTGGGAAGCTTCCTGCCGGAGAACGATTGAGGGATAGGGAAATATGGTTATCGCTTCTCTTCCTGGTATGTTCCATCGCGTACTCGAGATTTGCAACTGACTAGTCCTAGATTGGTATCCCATACATTCGAGCGAAAGCTCACGACTATTTCGAAGAGCTGGGGGGTGGTGTGAGCTCGGAGGTTCTTGAAGAATCCATAGATGCTCGTCAGATTCAGTTCTTGACAGACCAGGTGTGTTGCCTCGAGGTTAACGAATTGTACATGTGTTGTTGAACGTTCCTTGTACTACTTTTTTAGAGTCTCCGTGGTCGTTTCCGAAGGGCGTTCAAGAAAGTCTATCCGTGGCTTAATATGTCGTTTGAGCTGTGGCTTCTGGCCGGGAACATACGCTACTTGTTCAACCGGACTTCTGCCTACCGACCGTGGTTAAGCTGGATTGGCGTTGACCTTCGTCGGCTAGGTCCTGAAGACTTCGTATGTGGCGTGCTCTCGCTCTTCCTCCCATTCAGCTAGGTCTGACGACAGTTCTCTTCCTCCCAGAATGCAGCGGCTAGTCTGGCGGCTAGCAAAGCTTTATCGAACGAAAGCCTTAGCTTTGCATCGAAGCTGAAGCTGTTATTGAGAAAGTCGCCGCGTCTTCTACTCGACTCATTACGTCTCCTACTACCTACGGCCATCTTCTTCGTCAAGTTCCTCGAGTGGTGGTACTCACCCGGATCGCCTGCTCGTTCCCTCGCCACCTCCCCGCAAGGCCCTGCCATCCCTCCACCTCGCATGCTCCCACCTCACCCACACGGTATTCCGTTCGATAGGACTGCGTACGGTATCTGTCCGATATGCAGAAAGGAGATCAATAACGCGACTGCTCTTCCTTCTGGATACGTATTTTGCTACCGCTGTGCACACGATCAGGTCGAGAAACAGGGGCGATGTCCTATCACACTGTTACCTGCTCGGGTATGGCAGTTACGAAAAGTATTAACATGATTGACATATATTACTTGTCGTTACTTGTAGTACATTAGCAAACCTTACTAGTTGTTGGCGCACGTTCGTCGCCTGAGGGAAGAATTGACTGGAGGATGTGGGACGAATATGGATGATCTTGGCAGGAGATTGGTGGCTATTTTAGGCACGTGTGTAAAGGCGATGGTTCGGAGCTGATATTTGCCGCGGGCGAAGGATGGAAAGGGGGGAAGCCTATGAAAAAGAAAAATAATTCACTCGGATGGATGGAGGGAAGCTTTCTGGTGATTTTGGGATCGTAACCTTGTCTCCTTCTCAAATCCGTTCCTCCATCTCTTAGAGGGACAGAATGAAGGTATGCCGTTTCTCAATAAACTGATATTCCTCTTTTCGTATTCATTTGTCTTTCGTTATCCAGTTCGGAAAGCGCATCCAGGCCCAGCAGATTCCGGGGTGGTCCCAGTATTACCTCGATTACAAGTTCCTCAAGAAGATCATCTCATCCCTTGCAGCAAACCGTCCAGCGTCAGAGGCAGCGGCTTTGGCATTGGGGGTTCGTCCACCTTTTCCTATCAGTCCAACAAACGTCCTGCCCCTATCACAGGCGCCACAAGCCCCGTCCAACACGACCAGCGCCTCGACAGCAACACCAACTAGCCCTGGCCAGCCCCCATTCTTTCCAGCCTCGGATTATGACGCTGGACGTGGACCCGACTTTCAGGCTCACAAGGCCGCATTCTTCTTTAAACTGGAACGCGAGTTGGAGAAGGCATGTTCGACAGAACTGCTCGTCTGCCAGCCCAAGGCTGACCCATATCGATAGATAAACGCGTTCTATCTGCAAAAGGAGGCGGAACTCAAACTCAGGATGGAAACGCTGTTGTCGAAACGACGCGCTGCAGCAGCAAGAGGAATGCCTGACACAAACAGCGATTCGTTCCAGAACCGCGTCGAATGGAGTGCCGTGGAGGAGGGATTTCGCCTGTTGGAAAGGGACTTGGGCAAACTGCAGGTCGTGTATAACCTTGACTGAAACGTGTTTCCAGTCCTCTGACGCCCAAGTATAGCAATTCGTGGAAATCAATGCTGAAGGCTTTCGCAAGATCCTGAAAAAGTTTGACAAGCGATCAACGTCAACCACGAAGGAACTTTATCTCGCCCGCCAGGTTGACGTTCAACCGGTATTCAACCGACAAGTGCGTATTTCCTTGCCCGGTGAGTATGCTACTGATGTCAGTCCCCTACTAGCTCATTTCTGAGCTCGCCAATACCGTTGCAACGTGCCTTCTGGATATAACGGATCTCTCTTCCGGCCTTAACTTTGAGGGCCCCAATGCCAATGACATCTTCACTCAGCGAATACTCACCGAGAGAACATCAACATCCGGCCCTTTTGGGGAACTCGAAAGCAATTTCCACAAAGCTATCGCCGCGGGAGACGCTGAAGCGATCAAGGACTGCGTCCACTACTCTGAAATGCTCAGCCAACAAAGCGACTCGAATGGAAACATTACGCGGATATTGTGGAATATCATCATCGAAGCACCCCCAGACTTCGCAGACCTCATCCTCGCGTCTCTTTCTTCCCCTTTCGACTACCTCTTTGTCGACGATATCCACGGTCGCACATGCCTCCACGAGGCGGCCATTGCAGGCGCCGAGAGGCTGGTGGATCTATGCCTTCAGAATGGAGTTCCCGTCGATAAGGCAGATCTATACGGGCGAACAGCTCTCCACTATGCGGCTATTCATGGTCACGCAGGCGTGTGCCGGCAACTGCTCCAAGCTCACGTTCCTCCAAACACTCTGGATCGCGACAATTCTAGTCCACTCGTGTATGCGACCACCAAAGGACACGTCGAATGCGTCCGCGTTCTGTTGGAGGAAGGCAACGTTCCCGTCCAGCAGCCTGTCAGTGGAGACGCCAACCCACTATCACTGGCCGCAAGGGCAGGTCATGTAGATGTCGTGGTCATATTGTTAAAGCATAATGCCGCGTGTTCACCAAACTCCAATGGTGAATACCCGATGCATTTGGCGGTGCAAAAGGGCCATACTGATGTTTGCAAGTTGTTGCTACACCTCGAGGGATGGGACACACCAGACAAGTACCACGAATGGACGCCTCTCTTCCATGCCGCGCGTCATGGACACGAAGGTTGCGTTCATGAATTGCTCCAACATGGAGCACGACCTCTTCTCCGAGACGAGATGGGACATTTGGCTGCTCACTATGCAGCCTGGTACGGTCACGTTGGTTGTTTGAAGCTACTGCTTGAAGCAAGTCCAGAGATCCCTGAAACCTTGACTTTCTACGCGGCCTCGACCCTCTCCCCATTACCTGTGGTTACGGGAGATGCGACTTTCGACTCGGAAATTGACATGATTCCATCGCTATCCCTTCCCCCACCGATCATGCCCCATCGCGTTTACGGCCACAACTACCTCGTCAACCAGAACCTAGTCCAGGTCTTCATTGGTCGGTGGTCTCGAGGCTCCCCCAATACTCCAAGTGTGCGGCTCCACCATCGCCTAATGAGTCCCGTGTTCAAGGATGAATATGTTCTCGCGACAAGCCCGCTGAAACTCGTGATGACCACAAAATCCAAGACCACCACGGCTCCCTACTCTATGACAGTCCCACCCCAACCTGGAGAAGGATTCTTTTCCTTCCAAGTTCATTCTCTCGAGGACCTGACATTGGAATTTTCCATTTACCCGAATTTCGGCACCAAGACCATCGGAAGAGCCGTCGCTCTTCCTGCGTTCTTCGCAGGTGTCGAGAACAATCAGACATACGTCCTGCCAATTTTAGATCACCGGCTTCATACTATCGGGGAGGTATTGACTTTTTGACTACTTCTCCGGCTACATTTGATTAACATATAACCCCAGGTCGACTTCCAAATCAACGTGATCAGGCCGTTCGAAGGCGTTACCTTGGAAGTTGGGGGAGATGTCGAGACTTACTGGAAGTCAACAGAGATCACGAGTGTGCCTTCTCGTGGCAGCGGAAGAAATCGACGTTCGAATCAGCCAGGTTCAGCCCATACGTCACCGGGCCTCGCTGTCAACCCACCAGGCCCGGGTGGGCAGGCATTGACGCAATCGTCGCTATTTGGGACCTACCTACACGTTGTCGTGCAAGTTACACGCGACCTACACCCGGTAGTATTCTCGGAGTGGCTTGTTCCCGGGACCATAACCGAGCAGGGGGTGGCGGACGTAACGCTAGCTCAATTCGAGACCCTCGCCCAGGCAGCAAACAAGAACTATGACGTTGGTGCCGGTGTTACGACAGACTGGCCATCAACGTTATCCTCGTGTATGATCTCCTTAGAATCCCTTCTAAAGGTCAGTTACAGGCGCCTCTTTTCCGCAGAAGACAACAACGTCATAGCTGATACTGATAATCTGATTAGTCGCTCCCGGCATCATTCAACCTCGCGTTGGAATTGGCATACCCGACCCAAGGAACCGTCCAGCAACTACATCTGGGCCGCCGACTACACCTGAACGATTTCGTGGACGCTGTGCTACGGACCATCTACGGGGTGTCCACTGCAGCCGGGACGACGCAACCTCGTCGCAAGGTTGCCTTCTTATCGTTTGCACCTGACGTATGTTCTGCCCTGAACTGGAAACAACCCAACTGTAAGAAACGAAGTTTATATTTATTGGCACCTTTCGATGACATACTCACGCCCTAACCCATGCTTAGATCCCGTTTTCTTTGCTTCACAGTGCGGCAAACACGGAATTAGCGGTTATTCGAGTCAACTTGCGACCGGTTCTGCTGGAGATGACCAAAGAACCCTAAGCATAGGGTCTGCGGTCGAATTCGCAAAGTCAAACAATCTCTTGGGCGTCTTTATCGATTCAGATCTACTGGTAAGTTCCGATGCTGTAAACGTGATAGCACTTTGCTCATTTTGGTTATTTCGTCGCGAACTTGCGTTCCTGCCTTTTTCTCTCTGGCGTTTCTTGTGTTGTGAGGAAAGATCCGGGTGCCATCTGCTGTCGACGGGATTAGGAATTCTGAACTCATCGTGGGGGTTTTGGGGAGTGCGGAAAAGTTCTCACAGCTGACTTCGGCCGACCAGGAGAGTCATGCAGTGGATGCTTATTTCGACAAGGGGACGTTGACGTTTGTAGATCGCTCACTGAGGGAACTGTTGTGAAGACTGGCTTGCCTGAAGCGTCATCGCGCGGGTCGACCCGTGTTCTGAGAAGTTAGTACTTAGTGTAAACATGTAATACAAGCTATTCAATCGTAGAAGGAAGGACGGAAAGAAGATGCTATTGTTAAGTTGAACTATTGATACAAATGAGGGGTTGATACACATGCGAGTGAAACTATACTTCTTTATACTGTACATTTGGTCGCGAGAGATTGGTGGTACATGGGTCGAGAAAAGAGTTGAGAACAACTCCAGGTCGGTGGAGAAAACGAGGAACGAAGTGAGGAGCGGCAAACTTGAAGAATGAAAGGGCAAAAGGAAGTGCGAAAAGAAGACGAAGGAAAGAAGTTGGAGAAGACGAAAGTTAAATGGATGCGCGGTACAACGCAGCATAAGCACCGTTATTAGCAATAAGTTCATCGTGTGTTCCAAACTCTGAAATAGTCTAGAGGCAAAGAAGACTTCAGTCTTAGGGGCAGGGGCACAAGGAAGTTGGATTGCTTACGCCGTTCTCCATCATAGCCACTTTATCCGCCCTTCGAGCAGTCGATAGACGATGTGTAATGAAGATAACACTCTTGCGTCTATCCCCACTCGGTGTTTTTGAAATCTTGGCTATGGTGTCGAATATCTGATTCTGCGCATGGGCGTCGAGGGATGATGTCTGCGTGGTTACGAGTGACGACACAGGGATCGCGGCGTTTAGTTGGAATGTATTGGATCGGTGAGAGGAATCGAAACAACGTACCGGTTCATCAAAGACCAACAGTTCCACTTCAGGTTCATTCGCCCGCATGAACGCGCGTGCTAGAGCGATGCGTTGCCACTGTGAAGAGTGAACAGAAATAGAATAGATCCGTTAGCAAAACAGACTCTGATGATGATGATCGAGGGGAGGGAAAGGGAAGGAGGGCTGAACGAATGGGGGAAATGAGATGGGAAGAGAATGCAATGTGATACACACCTCGCCTCCGGACAAGCCATGTCGTTGTGGGCCCATCATGTCACCAAAGCCGTACCCCGGAGCACCAGGATACGACACCGACTCGAAGCCAGGAGCTTCGAGCAAAGTCTTCAATCCATTGGGAAGCGACTCGACCAGCGTGTCTGCTTCGGCTAAATGGATTGCAGCCTCGATCGCAGGTTTGTATCGAAGCCTGTCGACATTGCCCAGGCCGACGTTCTCCTTGACGGTCGAGTTGAACTTGGAGAAACCTTGAAAGACGGCGCTGAGGTGTCGATGGTATTCTTCGGGGTTATAGTTGCGAACGTCGACGCCATTCACGAACAAGGAACCCTTGTCAAAGTCGACGATACGCAAAAGGATCTTGGCAAGGGTCGATTTCCCTAGACAGGGATTAGCTTTGACAGAAGGGAGAGCTTAAAATAACACGTACCTGATCCGTTGTAACCCACTATCGCAAGTGTCTCACCAGGCTGCATCGAGAAGTTAATGTTACGAAGTGCCGGTTCACTACAGCCAGGATAGGTGTATGACAGGTTCCTAGAAGAAACGTTATCGCGTGTCAGGTGAGTGGCTTTACTCAGGGGAACAGAAGGATACATTCGAGTACTCACTTGACTTCAATCTTGGCTCCAGACGGAGAAGGCATGTATCGAGCGGTGTCTTCATGTTTCGGCATCAATCGAGGCCTGAGCTTGATACTGGCACAAAAGGCGGACATCAGAAAGATGCCTTGGAACGCCATTTTTGCCGTGGTTATCAAGTTGCTTGAAGCGTACAAGACACATTGAATGGACGTCCGGTATGCGGTAATGGCTCCTAGTGTGGTAGCGGATGATTGTAGGAGGAGGAGGACGGGAAGCTGTGAACAAGGAACGGATTAATATATGGCACGGCGGAATTAAGTCGAAAAGGGGCACTCGCATTCTGAAGGGCGTAGATAATGTCCGTAAAGTGGGCTGTGGAGTTTCGGGTGATAGGCTGCTCCGAGGCGAGGACTATCTTGCGAGCATTGCTCCAGGAAGCAAGAATCCAGTCGCCGAGGCCAAACAAGGCTATTTCTGGCCGATGTTGGTCACTGTAGGCGAGGTTCCGCATTCGTTCCTGCTTATCAGCAGCACGAGCCTCTTTCGATGTCGTCGGATTGTCGAAACATGTTGATGGATTCGAGAAGCGGGCGAGGACAAAGGGAAAGAGGGAGGAGACGACCGTGAACAAGAGGACGCCAAGCTGAGAGAGGTCACGAGTGAAGGAGATCAGGAGCCAGAGATGTGAAAGGATTTCAACTGCGAGGGAAAATATATTGATAAAGTCGAGAGGTGAGATGAAACCAAAGCCGCCACCGCTAAAGGAACGGGCAAAAAGGTCAGATTCCTGGAGCAAGTCCCGGACTTGGGGGTCGGCCAGGGTCGGAACATCCAAATGGACGCGGTGCTCCATCTGCTTGTATTCGATGTAGAAACGAGCGGAGCCCAAGACGATATTTTCATTTGTGGTTCTGTCGAAGCGAAAGTCTGAGCCCAAGTTGCCTATCAGAGAAAAGAATAAAATTATCCCACAGGAGCGAGTCGAGCCAGCCTTCCACGATCCTTCTTAGGATCTCTGTACATATCAGGTAGAGAAGGCGGGACCATGTGAATGTATCTGATCCAATCAAAGACTGGAACTGGATGAACGGACATTCGCGTTAGGCACTTTGGTCCCGACAGACTGTAGCGGCGCTCACGAACCTCGTCGATTATCAAGGCCTATGCCGAACGACCGTCAGCAACGCGGTTCACAAAGCAAACGGAGCTGGGTACCTGGGAGTAACCTCGGAATGCGGGAAAGAGACTCCTGACGACATTTAGCGTTACCATCGCTGTTGTCCGGAGGGGATGGAGGCCCCAAAGCGTTTTGAACTAGCATCTGGGTTTTAGTGGTGAACAAAGGGAGTGTATGAGTGCCACGTACGAGGTCGAAGATGCACATCTGGGACGCCTGGAGGGCGAGACGAGCGTTCTGGAGGGACAAAGGCCGTGGGGCGCCTGGTACGAGATAGACTCCCTTCTGGTTGGGGAGTTCGCGGGATTTGAGCCAGACATCGTAGACGGACTCTGGTGTTGGTTGTTGCTTCGAGGACGATGTCTTTGAGGACGAGGAAGACGGTCTTGAGGGGAGGTGGAAGTCGGTGGGAAAGGATACGCGACGAGGCCCCATCCTGTTGCGGATTGTTGCACAGTCGTTCTTTGAGAGGCGCATTGTGAGTTGTGGGGCGTTGCTGGGGCTGTTGTGGCCATAATATATGTGTTCCGGGCGTTTTTCATGTTGGCTGTACCGAGTCGTCGCCAATTAGGGAAGAGCGACCCAAGCGTCAGTACTCCCAAAAAAGGCAAGCGTCAATTTTTTCTCCAGATTTGGAACTCGGAAAGAGCCATTTGACTGTTGACCAAATGCAATGACCTCCCAAATCGACTCTGCTTCCCTGTCCGATTCCCTCAACCGTCTCATAACAGACGACCAACTCAAATCATACACACCAAAGTCACCTCCTTCCCGTGATGGCTATGGCTTTCGTTCCTCAGGCTTGAATTCTCCTCTTCCCCCACACCCAGACCAAAATCATTCATCTACCACACCTACTTCCGACCATCTGGTCCCAGATCCAAAGGGCTTGGGAGGCCCAGCAAAGTCACCGTTCACCGTTTTTAATGCAATTCCGGAAGAAAAGGGGGCCGGGGCCCCCAAGATGGCCCGGCCCTTCCGCCCCTTCTTGGATTGCTTGGGGGAAGACCCCGCCCGGGGGGCCTTCTTGGGAACCCGGGAGCGTTATGCTCGGGTTTTTTTTGGGAGGCCAAAGGGTTACGAAGAACTTTTTCCAGGGATGTCCCTGCTATATCCGTCTTAAACCCCATCTTGACCCCCCCCCCCCCCCCCCCTCTATAGATGTCATCAACGATGCTGTCTTTGCTGAGGATCATGATGAAATGGTCATAGTCAAGGACATCGAGTTCTCCAGTCTCTGCGAGCACCATCTCGTACCATTTACCGGCAAGGTATGTTCCCCATCTCCGTCTAACCCTCCTCCCAAGAAGACCTTGATCACCCGTCCTTGAAAAGGTCGCCATCGGTTACATCCCAAACAAACTCGTCCTCGGCCTCTCCAAACTCGCCCGGATCGCAGAGACATTCAGTAGACGACTACAGGTGCAGGAGAGATTGACAAGACAGATTGCAATCGCAGTTCAAGAAGCGATTCATCCTCGAGGTGTGGCTGTGGTTATGGAGGCGACGTGCGTGCCCATTTTGCCCATCTCACACATATCACAACTCACCCGCTTTCAAGACACATGTGTATGACGATGCGTGGAGTCCAGAAACCCGGATCGTCGACAGTGACCTCCTGCATGCTGGGATGCTTCCGCAACCAGCAAAAGACTCGCGAAGAGTTCCTTACTCTCATCAAAAAGTAAAGCTTTGATGATTTAGAGATCCCAATGTAAAAAAAGGATTCAAATATGTTGTACTAACAGTAATATCGGATGTATGGGATTAATGCAATACAGGGGCTATAGATTAGCGCTATGTTTAACCAAGAAAATCAATCCTGTCGTCGCTGGCTCTTGTCGCCCGCGTGAGGATCGATTGGCAGCAACTTTCGAGCAAGGGCATGGCTCCCGGTACCACTTGCAGGTCCACTTCCACCACCCGTGTACCGATGTCGATTAATCTTCGGACGTTTCGGGGGTTGGGTTGATGGTTCTGCAGATCCACTGGCAGACTCAGCCGCTTCCTTCTCTCGTTCTGGAGCATATTCAGTATCTCACGTTTGTCTCAGACGAACTAGATAAACTCACCAGACGCTGTCCTCTTCCTTGCACCATCCCTATCATCATCTTGTTGCTGTTGAGCTTGTTGCGTTCGCAGTTGATCTCGCCAGTGCGTAGGTCCCGTCGGAGGCCGAGAAGGCTCATCTGGCGCATCGCTGATCCTCGACCGCAAAGTCCCAGGTTGAGCCGTTCCTGACGCTGCTGCCGCCTTTCTCGCTGCTGCTGCTGCCTGTTGCTGCTGCGTCCTGATCTTCTTGGCTTCAAGTTCCTTCTCTCGCTCCTCTTTCTCTCGCTCCCTACTCTCCCGCTTCTTGGCATCCAGTTCCCTCAGTCCCACCATGGCTTTCGGTGCAATAGGCGGCGGAGGTGGCCAACTGGACGACGGACTTTGCCCGGGAGGTGGACCAGAAGATGATGCACCACCACCACCCGACGTTGTTAATGGGGGTCGTTCCCGTTTCTCTGGAGCCTAATTACCGTCGCAGTCAGTGCATCCATACCAAGGGAAAGGATCCTGTACTCTTACCTTTTCCGGTGCACTACCACGAGATTCCCTCGCTTCACTATTCTCAGGTTCCCGCTCCTTCCGCCTCCTATCCGATTCACCACGGCCGCGATCATGGGCGTCTTTTTCCTGACCAGGCCTTCGCCCTCTATCGGAATCCCTATGCCCATCCTTGCGTGAACTTCGCTTCGAAGCGCGGTCAGACTGCTTTGCGCCAAAAAGGGGAATCAAATGGTTAGATCAGGTGAGAACTCCAGAAAAAGGAGAAATAGAAAAGGCAACATACATCGTCATCATTTGGTCGTCTTCGCTTGCCTAGTGATTCATCAGCGTTCTGGGCAGAAGGTCGGTGTCTGGATGGCTCGGGCCGGCTGGGCAGTCCGTCGAGATTACCACTGGAGCTGCCTCCACCCCGATTGGAGCCACTATCGCGCTCTTTGCGGTCACGGTCCCGGTCCTTATCATCCCGCCTATGCCTGTCTCTATCCCGGTCGCGATCCCTGTCCCGGTCACGGTCACGATCTCTATCCCTCTCGCTACGGTCACGATCCCTATCCCTATCTCTATCTCTCTCCTTGTCGCGTTCTCGATCCCCATGTCGATCTCGTCCACGGTCCCTATCCCTGTCCCTATCTCTGTCTCTTTCCCTCTCCCCATCTCGTCCAGACGCCTGGTCTCGATTGGCTCGTTCCCGTGTGTGGGTAAGACTGTCACGGCGGCTCACAGTGGCAGTCTCCCTCTCTTGTCTGGAGGACTCCTTGCGGTCGCGGTCGCGGTCACGGTCACGATCTTCTGGTTCATAGTTGCCTCGTTCGGAACGTTCGATACGGTCGGAGCGCATCCTTCCTCCACTCTCTCGGCTGTCAGCACTGGCCTCCCTGGTACCCGGTACACTGCTTGTAGCTGGAGACGAGGACCGGATCCTTGGTGAAGGAGCCGCAGAATTGGACTGGGTTCGTACGTCCAACTTGTCGGCACGATACTGCATGGTTTGCCTCGCTGTCTCCCGAAGTTCCTGCGCAGATGGAGTCTGACTGGGATTGGAAGGAGGTGGCATGCCTGGTGTATGGACATGAATATTCCTGTCGTCATTTCGGCGGCTGTCGTTAAATTCGCGGCCGTCTCGAGTGCTGGAGAGAACAGGTATGGGTGACCCGACTTGCGGAGGTCTTGGAGGGTACATATTGGGTCGAGGTGGGTGTGTTTCCCCGGAGATATGAACCGGGATAGACATGGGCCTGACGGAAGGAGTGGTGTCCATCGCGGAAGTATCTGAAGGTGGCCGCGATGGCTCCGCTCCCCTGTTTTCTGTTCGAACCCTTTTTACCACTTCTGGTCTAGGGATACTGTGAAAAAGGGCCCTCAACGAACAACCCAAACAGTATATGAAAACCACCCTACCTTTCCATAGCCAATTTCGTCGAATGCAACGAGTCAGATGAAACGTGACTAGGTTGCTGTGGAAGTTGATTAAGTTGGGCTCGAGGAGCAGACGGGGCAGATGGAGGTGGCTGCTGCGATGCAGCCCTGCGTATCTCTTCTGCCGGCCCATTTGCTCGAGGATGGTCAGGGGCGGGGCTATTCGTGCTACTGGGAACGACAGACGGCCCGTTGACCTGTACAAGTCTTTATCAGAACTCGACCTCTCGTTTCAAGACAGTATCTGCACACCTTCACGGCTTGCTTGGGCGACTGCCACTTAGGCTCGCGCTTCTTTAAGCTGGCCGAATAGCTATAGAAAGCGGGTAAGCCAAGCAGTCGGTACGCAAAGGAAATCCACGTACGCTCGGGCCAAGATCTTCAAGTCGCCGCGATCCTCCGTTTCGATGAGCTTATCCATTACGGCGTCGAGTTCAGGGCCAGCGGCGTAGACATCACCGAGTGGGAAGACGGTTATGATTTCCTTCAGCACGATGATCGCATTGTAGACGTGCATAAACTCTCCAGTCTGAATGCAATCCACGAAGCACTGTAGACGAATAAGTAATTTAAGACATGTCAATCAAGAAGGGACTTGCCTTGGACAGCTTTCGGTGCCATTTCCGCATCACCTGGTGGAATGTTGTCCAGTTCAGGATATCGTTGGCCTTATTCGACAGGGTTCGTTGTAAGCCTGCGTGCTTTCCGCCGCTCTTCATTTTATTCTCCTGTTCATAGACATGTTCATCCGCGTGCCACCTGTAAAGGTCCGTGAGGATCCCCAACAAAAATCGCCCTGTCATTGTCTTTAGCAACCCGATACTTTGAACAGCGTTCAGGAGAAACACGAACCGTAGTTCCTGGCTTCAGATTCCGTGCACGAGAATAGGACTACTTTGACATGCTCCCCAAGAAGCTATGAGAGTATACTACTTAGAAAAGGAGCTGTGAAGTAAATGCAGCGACTTACCTTGTCATAGCACATTAAGGTGTGGAAACCGGGGGTACCTTGCAGGACCTTGATAAATTGAGCGCAGAAATCCGCGTCCATGGGCGACAACAAGGCGCGAGGCTGAATACAGTGCTCGATAATGGCATTGACCAGAATTGCCGGTTTGGTGGCTATCACTAAGGGTGAACAAAACGACTCTTGGTGATATACGTCGTCGGACTCACAATGTGCAAACCAATGAGGCTTTTCACGTACCAATCGTTTGATCGTAAAGGCACGAGATATTGTCTGGTCCTTGAGATCTTGTGAAAGGAGTGCAATAAAATCGTAACTTCTATCCCTTCGAATACGATGGAAAGGAGCCATGTTCCGCTTTGCACGGTCAGCCGATCGATCAGCAAGGTTGGCCTTGGCTTGCTCCTCGCGACTTAATGCTTGAATGGCGTTACTTTCTTCATTGTATCGAGCGATGGGAGGCGAAAGGTCGTATGTCGAAAGTTGCCAGAATGTCAGGTAGAAGCCAGGCCTGTTGAGATGCTCAGAATCCCGGTCAATGCGACGGGAGAGGTACCCTTACCCAATGATATCGTAAGCATTCGTTGGAACAATCTTCTTCAAGGGCTCGAACAATTCCTGGAGCTCCGGCAACCATGGTTTCTGCTTCGTCTGGTTAGTCTTGCGAATGATCTTCAGATGCCTGTTAGAGTACCTCTGGTTCCTGGTTTGTGGGAACGACGGCCGCGTCCACGTCCATTGCATTCTCCTCGGGTGGGCTCTGTTGCTCGTTCGCGGGCTTGTCTCCATTGGTAGCCAATACGGGGGAAGCCACTCTGGAAGTGCTACTTGCAGGCTCACGCTTTGCGGTCAATGCCGCTTTAAGACGCTTTTCCGCCTCCTCGTTGGCAATGCGTTCTTGCTGGTCCAACGCCAAAGCCTTCCTCTGCACTAATTGTCAGAAGCCGCTACTTTAGGGGGAACATATACTCACAAGAATTTTGTACTGCAAAAGAGGTCGGATGATGAGCATACACACGGGGGCTGCGATCCCATATTTCTCTCCCAGTTCTTCGAGAGGGGGGAGGATCTTCTCTGCATAGGCAGTCATCTTGGCATTGAACCCATTGGTGACAGACTTCAACCACACGTTGCCGTGAGGCACGGCGGGACCAGGTGGGGGATATTCCGGTGTTGTCAGCAATTCAAGATATTGCATGAGGACATCGTGGGTCTGTCGGACAGTGTCAGCTGCTGCGATGCGGTGGTAGAGATAGATGGACCAACTGAGTCGAAAAGGCTCGCGATTGACTTCAGCGGAGCGGTTGGCGCCTTGTATAGGCAAGACTGTCTTTGTTGAGCGATCTGAACGAGTAATGGAAGGGTCAATTCCGACTCCGCCAAAGCACCGCACATGCGAGCAGCTCCTCTCTGATGGACCTCCGCAGGGTCGAGTTTCACCCCACGAGTCGTAGGCGCCACCGCCTGGACCCGAAGAGTGGGCCCTCCGGCCATGGCTGCGATTTGCACATCTGACAAGGTCGGAAGAGGCTCGATGCCTGCTGTCTTCCAAATGAGCTCCCGCAGAACGACGAGTTCCGAGGTCTTATCCTGAGAGAGTTGGTGGGCGACGTATTTAAGGAGGGGGGATACGTCCGTAAAGTACTTCCGGAACAACATTCCTGTGAACGAGGCGAGACCTGATATGAAACTTGAGATGGGACCGTATATCCAGATGACGAACGAAGAACACACTTTGTAACCAGTCGGCGATGTTGACCCCGTCGTCCTTGACACGAGCTTTGTCGGGATTCGAGAACGCTTCCAGGATTATGTAGACCAAGATGTCGAATCCCATCAAGGTAACGAATTTCAACGAGTTTACCACCACGGCTCCCAAATTGTCGTACGCCATCACTTGATTAACAGCGTGCGTAAAGATGATGAGAGGGTTACTGTGGGACAATTTACCGACGCTCCCAGATAGCGAGTCGATCGTATTATGCGAAAGCCTTCGCAAGATGTCTTTCGACTCCTTGTCGACCTGGGCTTGTCGCACACGAAGTTCTGGGTGCGACTTGTACAGCTTGGCCTTCCATTCCCCGTAGAGCTGATAGCGAGATTCCAAATCATACGGGCGGAGAATGCTCCACATTTCGACGGTACAGATGGTGTGGCCTCGAATCAGCGGCAAAGCGGGAAGGAGGTAGAGGCGGATGATCCTTAACCACAATGACCGTGTCTCTTCAGGGGTGGACTCTGGTATTTTCTTTTCCTTGTTGATTTGAAGCTGGTGCTTGCCAATGCGTATGATCTTGCAGATGAAGTGAGGATTCCTGGACAGGTGTGGCCCGACTAACTTCATCAAAGGTTCGACGACAGCTTCCATGTCTGCATCTGAAGCAACGGGAACCTGGTCTGACCAAGTAGGGAAGAAGAACACGAAGTCCGTCGAACTGGTGCTGGGAGGAGTGGGTGCCCATGTCGTGAGGGTGGGCTTGCGCGGACTTGGTCGAACAACGCCGGTTGACCCGAAGCGGGAACGAGGTTGGTTGAAGTTGGTGGGAGGTACGCTGGACAACCATGCTTTGTCGAACAAGGGGGCAATAGAAACCTCCATGACCCGTATTAAAAGATCGGCTATTTCTGGGCGGGTGTCCACGAGCCATGGATACCTAGAGAGGATCGAGAGAGCGGGGCGCAACTCGCCCAGTGCAAGAAGAGCCGCCAACAATCCCACTTTTTGATTCCTCTCAGGCCTTTTGATATCCATTGGCGTTGATTGCTTCGTCTTGCTCTGAGCCTCGGGACCGGATGATTCAAGAGGACCTGCCATAGCTAGGGCGCTCATCTTTGCGCCAGCTATCCTCGTCTGAATGTTGGCAAGATATTCCTTGTGCTCGATTTCCATCTCGTCGTCTGCCGGAGAAAGCTTCAAAGCGGAGAGAATGTGAGTCCAGCGTCGCTTCCCTGCATTTCGAAACTTACGTGCGGATATATGTCTTCCAGCGTCAAGTACCCTTCGCGGATGAGGAGAGAGGATAGAAAGAACAGGGTTCTTGGGGTCGCTTCAGTTGAAAGCGTCTACAATGAAATAGGATTGAGTGGACGCGTTAAATAAAGGATATAGTAATTACCTGATAGTGAACGAACTTGAACCCGAGGACTTGCGCCAGGACTCGGGAGCCTTGAGCATTATCGTCTGATATAGGGGTGTGTCTGGAGCTCGTCTCTAGTATCTCGTCGAACGATTTCCCGGTGTAGGAAGGAGGATTAACGTCGACGTTCATTCCCTCCCGAATATTCATTGGGCGCTTAACTTGAGGGGCCCAAGGTGAAAACGAGAGGAGTGCAAGGAAGAAGGTGTAATGAGTCGTAAGGTGAGAGGAGAATATGTCGAGGATTATGTCCAAAGCGCGGTTGGGGTCTAAATCGAAGTACCCAATTAGACTGATGACCTTCTCCCAGACAGGGCGGGCGCGGGATTCGATGACGGAGGCTGGTTCAGTAGGAAGACCAGTTTGTGGCGAGTGCGGAGGGCCCATGCTGCTAGTCACCTCTGTGATTAACTTGCTGTAGCCTTCGGATTGTTCTCGAAGGAGATTAAACTTGTTCTGTTTGTAGCTGTGCGGCGTTCAGGACCAAGCGAAAATCGGTGTTAATGGGACGTACAAGATCCCCGTCCTGGTGCGAATTTCCTTCTTATCCCAGGCACCCTTGTCGGCAATGAGTCCTACGCCAGAGAGGACGGCAGAGTCCAACCGTTCTCGACACGAGTTGGCACTGATGATACCAGATTCCTGGACAAAACTTTAAGACAAAAACAGAGGACTACAAGTGAGTAGCATACCAGCAATGCCTTGACGATAGTCTGTAACTTCTCTTTGTCGTTTTCAGCATTCGTTTTGACCTTACTGGCCTTGGCAAGCAATGCTGTTGTGGTCGGCGAGCTTGGACCAGCAGCAGTGATTTGGTTTCGAGCATCGTTAAGAAATTCGTCGAGCTGAGCATCTATCGTCCATATTATATCGACAAGATGGTCTCCAAAGACGTTGGCGAGATTTGGGATTGCTGAAGTGTCGGACGAAGATGAAGGCAGGGCCACCAATACGCCACGAACGAATTCGACAAAAGCTTGAACAGTGAGAGGATGTTGTGGTGCCCACACCGAAAATACGGCTGAAAGAAGGGTATGGTAGGCCGTTGTCAATACATTCAGACTTTCTGGGTCTGAAGGATTGCAATGCGCTGCGAAAAGGATGTTTCGGCTGAAACGAGAAGCCTTGTTATGAATTGCGCAATTGGAATTGGTTCCCAAAAGGTAGGCTCACCATTCAACATCTCCACCTTTTGACCATGTTGCCAGACACTGTCTGACGCTCTTGACAATATCCATAGGCCAGCTCTTGAAGAATCAGAAGGTAAAGGAAAGAAACGAATACGCAATGCAAGTTCGTGTCAGGCGGCAGTTGTGATCCACGCCCCGCGCTCCGCTGTTTTGTTTGGCTTTGGCAGGTAAACCAAACATGACCCGGCGGACTTCGAAATTGGGATCACAGAGAGGTACTCCGTCCAGGCGAGCACGAAATTACTGTCGCATGGATTTTCCTCGGTCTAGCCGATAATGCAGTCAGCAGAAGCTTTGGAGAAGCAAAATTTCAAGGCTGAGTACAGTCAGGACTTGATGTAAGTCAGAACTGTAAGCGCGCGTCAGTGCGTGATATCCGTTCCAGTGCGTGATATCTATTCCAACGTGTAGTTACTATTAGTAGTTAATGGCAGCGTTTCAACAGGGGTTTCCCGAGTCCTTGTGCAACACATGGTGCCGCCAAATTCCTCGTCATTTAGCTGAGACTAAAAGGGGGGGGGGGGGGGGGTGCGAGTAAAGAATTCACCAAAAGTCCGAATTTTAACAGGCTACAAGTGGTGAAGATCTCAATCCTCAGGACCATCTTCGAATACCAATTCAACGCCTGCCTCTTTCGCCAGATCAAGCCCTTCCTGCTCCTTAGTCTCCGCGAAACCCAGTATCGACTCTAATATCGCACGTTGCCCTGGGTTAATTTCCTTAGCAAATGAACGCCCCGCAGATCACAATCACTCACCTTGCACATAGTCCCGCAACATGGAGGCCACATGGGGCCGCACCGAGTCCGCGAGATTCGGCTCCTCCAATCCGGGGAGCTTTTCCAAAGACATCTTGACCATATCCTGCAGCATTCCACTGGCGTCCAATACAGCTTCATAGTCACCCGCCGCATGGGCATACTCCTCTCCCGACACTTTCTCAAGGACTTCCTTCCACAAGCCATCCACTCCAGTGGCATTCCGTCCAATGATCCACTTTCTACCATCAGTGCCACCAAGTTTGAGGATAATGCTATCGTCGGGGTTGTCTTGAATACTGAAACCATAGCTCAAGATGAGCTCAGAGTTGGGCTTGGGACCATAGTTGTTGAAGACTTCCTGGCCAGTCCAAATGGCGCTGTGCGCTATGAGCGAAATGCTGGAGACGGACTTGCCATCTTCTTGCGTTTGGTTTGCTATCCAGGACACCCGCTGTCCGCGAGCATGGTTCAGGAAATCGATCGCCGGAAGGAGTATAGATTCTGTTTCGTCGTCACTGGCGAGCCCCGGTAACGATGGATTGCGCGACAAAAGAGTGGAAGGGAACGATCTCGACGAAATATAGGTTGCTGATTTCAGATACAGACTCCTGTTATCCCGTGGATCAGTCTGAGTTATGCTCGTGTATGCCAATAAATACAACCATACCATTCGAACTTCCTTCCCCATCCCTGCTTCTTTTCAGAGACGATATTTTGGCACTGTTTCCATTCTGACTGCCACTCGCGGAGACGGTCCAGGGTAGCCCCATACAGATTTGATCCCTTGAATCTTTCTAGCTCCTCAGGCGTAAAGTAGGTGGATGTCGAGAGTTGTTCAGAGGGTGGCAAGATGTTAACATACGGCCCATGGATTAGGGTTGTTTTCGCAAGCCTAGAATTGACTATTAGACATATACAATCCAGAGAACCTGAATCACCCACTCCTTGTGGTCCACAATCCAGTGTAGCGCGAGGTAAGTGGATATCCATTGCCGCGAGTTCCAAGAGAGTGTGTCCGGGAGGTCCAGCAGCCCAGTGATCGCTACTCTAGCGGATTCCGGCGTTACAACAAGTCCAACGGGGCAAGAGACGATCTCTTGATCTGCAGGGATGTCCTGAGAAGCGATTAGACCATGTCCATCCTTGGATCCAGCTTCCTTATCAGAATCAGGTCGGCAGAGGTTGAATGGACAGCGAAGGTCGGAGCAGTTCAGGAGAAGTTTATCGTAGATGTGCTAAGGTTCTACCTTCAATGTAGACCACATCTTTGTGGAGACGGCCTCCGTTTCCTTCAAACCATCGCCTGAATGCCAGAGCTTTATCGGATTCCTGGAATGCCATGAGAGTCGAAGAGAAGAAGTGCTACGACAAAAAACAAGGGCCGACTAGGGGTGATCACTGGTGGCACGGATTGCTCCCAAGGCTGTCGCAAGTTCGTTTCCTAGCAGCAGAAATAGCTGCCCACCAAGCGAAGGAATAAAGGACAAAGGGCATCATGCATTATATTGAGTGTATACAGGGATGTTTACATGACTGTTGAGATCAAAGTCCTGTCCAGACAATCTCATTCTCCAGCTCGATCGTTGCTGCCAGGGCAGCCTCATCCACACCCGACGAGGCTGCAACGCGGACTTCATAAGTCCCTCTCGCAGCAACCCATTGTCGACGACGACTGTCATAATATCCCAACGCCTCTTTGTCGAGAGATACTTTCACGGCTTTGGTCTCGCCCGCCTTCAGGTAGACCTTCACAAAACCTTTTAGCTCCTTCACGAGTTGCGCAAGCTGAGAAGCCTTGTTCGAGATATAAACCTGCACAATCTCTTTTCCGTCGCGGTCTCCGCTGTTCTTTATCTTGAGGGAGACATCGAAGTTCCCGCCAGAAGCGATGGCAGAAATGGAGAGGTCGGTGTAAGAAAACCTCGTGTAGGAGAGGCCAAATCCGAATGGGAAGAGGGGTTTAACTTGTTTAACCTCGTATCCGCGATATCCTACGAAGATGCCCTGGTGAAAAGGCGTAAGTCACTAGTTTTCCGGAGCGTGTAGGTGAAAAGCTTACTTCATTGTAGAGGACCTTCCCTGGCTCTTGAACAACCGTCCCAAATGAACCATGCGAAGGTACGTCTCCCAGTCGTAATCTGCAAAGCGTCTAAGGCGCTGCGGCTGGAACGATGGTTGACTACTGCTTACGGGAAAGTCAAAGGCAGCTTCGCCGAAGGGTTCACAACTCCGAACAAAACGTCTGCAAGAGCATTTCCTAATTCGTCCCCTCCGTAAAACGCCTTCGTGAGTCGTTATCAGCGAAGCCGCGACAAAGTCTGAATGACAGGTCCCAGACTCACCTGGAGAATAGTAGACGCGGAATTGGCCCACGGCATAGTCACTGCAGAGCCCGATTGGTTGACAATTACCACATTCTCGTTTGCTTCGAGGATGGCGGCCACTAGTTCGCTGGTGTTTCCGGGAAGTCTGGAGAATGTGGTCAAAACCTTTCACACCTACAATCCGTGCGGTACGAACCCTAGGTCTGTCCGATCGTAACCTTCACTCTCCCAGCTGAAGGTTTCTTCAGTAATGATTCTCACACAACGAGGACAACACGTACTCGTTATTCAACCCAACCACCAGAATTGCAACTAATGGATAATTTCATTCAATTGAGGTTTTAGAAAGTTTACGGAACCACGTTACCGTCCGAGTCTTTCGCCAGCCCAACTGCGTCCTCGACGAGCCGCTGGTGATCAATCTTCCGAGCTGCCCCAAGTCGCAACCCGCCCCAGCAGGGGAACGGTGGTCCCCGGTCGACAAAGTCTTCCGAGCTTGTCCGTATTTCGATTTGATAGGTCGTCCCAGCCTTTAGACCAGAAACAACAGTCTGAACCTCTTTCGTTCCAAGGTCGAACCAAGATCCTCCCAGAGGAGGATTGGTGCTGAGGTCGATGACCAGCTGGCCTCCGAAGAACAGATTCCCTACGCCAGCAATACTGAGTTCGAACTCCCAGTCCCCATCTTCATCGGGTATGAAAGTACAGGTGTACTTCAAATGAGGGTTGGTGAGCGGGACGACTTGGCAATCGGTTCCACGAACTTACTCGAGTCCAGCACGTGAGGTTTACCTTGGATTCTTCCTGACGGACTGTCATCAGTTATGCGGCACATAGAGTGGTATCTTGGAGGAAGGATACTCACCACGCCGTCCACGAGGAAACATTCCGTGTCGTGAGCTGTAGTGGTCCAGGCTGGAGAAGAAAGCCTATCCCCTAGGTTTGGTTGGGTGCTCAAAAAGTCCGGTGATGGTTTCTCGTTCCAGAACTCGAGGAGTATTCCGGGTTGGGACATGTAAGGTCCAATTGTAGGAAGATATCTGTGGGCACTAGCGCCCAGACTATAGCCAACTTCGGCACCGATCTTCTCTGCTGCTGCGCTGATTCCCTGGAGGGGGGACACTGTGTAGGCGGACCTGACTCGAGCAGAACCACCGCAAGAAGGAACGCCGACTTTCGCATTCGGGCCTATGACTGCAATTTTCTTGACCGTGTTGGTAAGAGGTAGAATCCCTTTGTCGTTTTTAAGCAGGACGATAGACTCCGCCGCGGCTTCCCTGAGGATATTCTTAACTCCGGGGTCTTGATTGTATTCTTCGGGACCATCGAACGGGATACCAGATTCTTGAGCACGCTTATAAAGCCCCAGGATCTGGAATTTGGTTGGTTGAAAAGCGTAGATCTATCAAGATGAACGAGGACATACACACCTGTTTGACTCGGGCATCGATGTCGGATATAAACAGCTTCTCAGCAGTTAATGCTCGCTCTATAGCCTTGCCCCTCATCACAGTCGGTCCACTGGAGCGAATGATATCAGCAGGGTCGAAACATCTGAACGGAAAATTCCTACGGCATCTCGATATCGACACCTGCTTTGATGCTTGCAGTCGTGCTGTAAACCCCATTCCAGTCGCTCATGATTAAACCTAGGACCATAGAATTCAGAGGTCAGGGTCAACAATGTTCTCGACAGGAATACCTTCATAACCCCACTCCTGTTTTCGATGGTTAGAAAGAAGCCTACTGCCATGGCTGCGAAGGGCGCACCTTCCTCAGAATGTCATCGAGGAGGTGCTCATCCTCGGAGACATGGACGCCATTCACCCGATTGTATCTAACCTGGGTCAATGCGACGTTCGACCGAATTGCGCTGGAGAAAGATACCTACGCAGTCATAAGAGCCCAAGGCTTTGCATGCTTAATCACAATTTGAAACGGCTTCAAGTATACTTCGCGTAAGGCACGCTCTCCCACTTCGCCTATACAAAGTCAGCGAATTAAATTATGGTCCATAGAAAGAAAGGACACGTACTGCTAATCGAGAACCTGTCGGCAGATGAAAATGAGCACCCTGTATATCACCCATGAATCAAACCAACCTCTCGGTCTCCTGATCATTAGCGACGAAGTGCTTGATAGTGCAGGCGACGCCTTTCGACTGTACACCATTGATATAGGCAGATGCAATAAATCCATTCAGGTGAGGATCTTCCGCGTAGAACTCGGAACTGCGTCCTCCTAAAGGGTTCCTATGAATGTTAATGGTGGGTGCCAGCAGTAGATGGGTGCCTGGGAAGTCCGTCAGAAAGTAGCCCTGGACAAGATGGGTTCAAGAAGGCACACTCTTTGCACGGGCTTCATCTCCCAACGCCTGTCCGACCTTGTAGGCCAGACCAACATCGAAAGACGCACCGATGGCGGTCGAGCAGGGAAAGCAGGTAGACGGAACGCCGTTGAAGACTTCACTGGAATGTCAGCTGGTGGGTGGCAATGTGACGCCTGGCATGAACTTGCATCTGGTCCCTCGAATCCCGTTAGGTCCGTCGCTGAACCTCATGGAATATATTCCAGCGTGTGGAATAGCTTCAGTGTGCCACCATCCCTATCGCCCGCCATCTTGAGCTTGGTTATCTGAGCACAAAGAATAACGATTTACCTTGCCGGTCAACAGCTTGATCTTCTCCCTTATAGAGAGCTTGAGCAGTGTAGCATCAATATCGATTGACTGAGGCATGATAACGGGGAGGGGGATATCCAGCAGTCGAGTTCGGGTCAGCCCTTTTATCCCATTGCAGAGGCGATTGGGCACCAGAAAGCCGGATTCTAATTTCCCCGGAAACCCATGACCGTCAAGGCTTCTCGAAGGGAGTTGACAGTAGACATGGAGGCACTGAGTGCCTGGCGCCCAACATTCTCTTCAGAAAATTTCGCTAGTATGTATTGCCACATCGTCGGCTACGAAAAGACAGAACAAGCTTGCCCATTCGGATATTGACTGCTGAACATGGTGGCCGAGGGACAAGTTGTGGCGATCAAAAAGTGCGGGGAGGGGCCGATGTTTGATTGGCCAGATGTCGCGTTCTCACAAGTCCCGCGCCCAAGTTTCGACTCGCTCACCCGCATCCAGAATTGGTGCAACCTCATCCATCTCCTTGACTCCTCGTTCCCACCTGCAATATAGGATTTTATATTCCTAATAAGCGCCTTCAATTTCTACTAGGCGCCAAACTCAAGAATGACATTGTCCACAGTCGCCAAGTCAGTTTTTTTTTTCTTCAACCCACACCCAGCAAGTGATGCAAGCGTTAACTTCGTATTCCACCAGGGGCAAGAAACGCGCTCTCGAGGAGACCCAGGAACACGACGACCCGACGACTTCGATACCATCTGCACCGGTATTGAAGAAGAACAAATGTGTGCTTCGCTGTTATACCATGTAGACGACCCCCCTCACTCAACACAGCACGCGCAGAGACGAGGCCATGTCCTATATGCAATGAGCCAATTCCTTTACGACTACTGGGGAAACATGCCGAACTAGAGGCTGAGCGCATAGACGCGATAATACAACACATAGGGTCGGAGGAGCCCTACTATGACGAGCGAGACGAGTGAGTGTCCTTTCTCTACGCTGCAATTGCTATTTTAACCAACCGAGTAGGCCCGGACCAAGCTCCCGGGGACGTCGCTCAGCACAGAAGGCTCGCAAATCCATCGCACCGCGTACTACTGGCATGGACGAACTCGTTGAAACCAACAAGACAATACAGGCTATTAAACGACATCGAAAACGACGACACGCAAAGCTCAAGGAGATGCTGAAGGAAGAGGAGGATAATTTTACCCGCCATGACACATGGACAAGGGGAACCATCGGGGGACAGATTGTATGTCCTGTTTGCTCGGAGACGGTTCGAGGGGATCAAGGGGTGCTGGAGGCCCATGTAGACGTTTGTGTTGCGAATGAGAGCCAACGGCTGGAGGAAGCCCGGCAACAAGAGCTTGCATTACAACGAGCAAATATGGAAGAGGAGTGGGAGAGCTTGAGCAACACCGGGAGTGGGTTGTATGTCGGTGACCTTCCAGGTAAGTCGCTCGATTCCGCAGTTTTGAAAGGTACCGAGTTGTTCTTGTAGGTGCTGGTTTTCATCGGCGGAATCGAGAGAGCGAGGACGTTGACGAGGAGATCGACATTGACGGTGACGATGAAGCTGTATACGGGGAGCAGCAGTTCACTGAAGGGGACATCTTACCCGTTACGGAGCGTCGACCGGGGGATGACGGTGCTGACGGAGATGTTGATATCGAGAACGACGAAGAAGTTGTCGTGGATGATTCTCCGGAGAGGCCTGTTAATGGGAAGTCAGCGGCCGGACCAAACCCAGATGGGGAAGCCTCCCGTTCCATATCGCATGACGATGGGATTGAAGGACTGGGTCGAATCCACGTTGCAATCGAGACTGCTCGGAAGAAGGGGGACAAGAGAGCTCACATAGCCGCGCTGGAAGCCAAAATTAAAGTTCTCGTGAGTGCTCCCGTCACAGTCCATTCCTTCCTAACGAAACCAATTCAATGTCCCATAGGAAACCACGCAAGTGCCGTCGAGTTCCCCGACGTGTCGAATATGTCTCGACCCTTACAACGAACCCACTCTATCCACGGGATGTTGGCACACGTGTTGTCGGGAGTGTTGGCTGCGCTGCCTTGGTTCGAATATGCAATGCCCAATATGCAAGCGTATCACGGTAGCAGGAGACTTGCGCAGAATATACCTATAACTGTAAAGTCTGAGCAAACGTTAGCATTGGTCGAACGGATTGTCAAGCGCATGCAAATCAACGAGCTCATATCTGGCCTTGTCACTTCTTCACGTCTAAGCTCGATATCGTAAACCAGCGACTGCGGTTACCGACGGGGCTCCACCGAAAACACGGAGGGATCAGAGTGCACGAGTGCACCACCACGACGTATATAATCCCGGCTCTCAGTAGAAACACATAGAGCGCAACCCACCTCACTAATGTCTTGCTTCGTCTTTGAACCATGCGCGTTGTGGATGCAATGCATTGGGGTGTGGTGAATTAAGATGAAATTAGGTAGAGAAAATAGTACATCGTGGCGGTCGTCTATGCCAGCGGGCTGATCAACCTGGGCAATTTCAGTCAGTTGCATGTCGGGGAAAGTTGCAAAGTGGAACATACTTAATAAGAGATGGTTGTGGGTTGCTCCTCGTGAACCCAACATAGATGATGAAAGGAATCCATCCGTAGTGAATGACCGTCTGTTGCAAGGAACAAGTCAGCGCCCCGTCACAAGCTCATAGAATTTCAACATACGCGGCTCAGTTCAACGACTTTGTTGATGCGTTCCTATAAGAAACAGATGTGAGACGCTTCCTTGAGTTCCAAAGGCTTCAAACACGTACCCTTGTCTCCTCTGAAGGCATTTTGCTGGCCGGTCCTTTTGCTGTGGGTGGGTGTGAAGAACAGTGAAACGAAAGCCGTGACGAAAAAGGGACGTGAACGCCGGCAATTGCCGAGACCAACTTTTCGGCAAGCCTTGTTCCTTTGAGTTTTGTGATTAGATATTATTCTTTCCTTGGTCACTCAAAATGCCTCTCGGTCCAGCCAACGCTGCGATTCACATCCACGCACCAGCGCCAGCGGAGATTCTCCAGGCCAATCCGTAAGCTATCTACTTCTTTGGTGGAAAAATAGAGAGTTTAATGTCAGTTAGACGCACCCCGACCAAGGTCACCGTGCACCCTGTTGCCCTGTTCTCGATCTTGGACCATTATCTCAGGAGGGCAGACTCTCAAGAACGCGTTATTGGAACCCTCTTGGGCACTCGTCATGACGATGAAGTAGAGGTCAGATCCTCCTTTGCTGTTCTTCACAGCGAGACCGATGAGCAAGTCGCGGTGGACATGGAATATCTCAAAACGATGTACGAGCTGCATCACAAGGTTAACCCAAAAGAAATCATCGTTGGGTGGTGAGCTCGGCTCTATTTTATCATTGGAAACAGCTCAAAGTGCTTGATTGTAGGTACTCGACTGGCTCTAACCTCAATACCTATTCTGCATTGATCCAAAACTTTTACTCGCAAGAGACTGCACCTCACCAAGCTGTCCTGGTGTCTGTGAACACTGGTGTCGAACAAGGACAAGAAGCTGGCGTGACTGCCTACGTCAGGTCGGTTTTTGACGTTACTTCATGGGCATAATCGACAGCTTACCGGCCATCATTTCAGCTCACCTGTTGGTGTTTCCCCCAAGCCTGAAAACTGCGTCTTTGTGCCAGTCCCAGTGGAATTGAAGTTCCATGAAGCAGAACGAAGTGGGGGTGAGTGTAATCCATTCAGCATTTCAGCGCTTTCTCTAATCCGTTAATCTGTCTGCAGTTGATCTCTTGACCGGCACCGCCGCCTCGTCAACATCCACCTCTGCCCAGCCCATCGCAGACCTCGAAATCATCGAAAGATCAATACAAAGCACTCTAGGAATGTTGGATCGCGTTCTCAACTATGTTCAGGCCGTCCTCGCAGGCGAGAAAAAGGGCGATGCTGCCATTGGCCGTTATCTGATGGATACCCTCGGTGCAAGCACCGACGATCTGGAGAAGAGCGGGTTCAATTCCAGCCTACAAGTGAGTAGACGACAGCACACGCAATCCTGTATACTGATTTCTGCTTCAGGACACCTTGATGATTTCATATCTCGCGAACCTCGTTCGGGCTCAGGCAGAGGTTTCCTCGCGACTAGCATTGGCTTCCGCTCCGTGATTTTATTCGTCTATTGTATACTCTCATTCCACCAATTGCGATCATGGGTTTCCCCTCCAACTAGCTATTGAAGATTCGAGAATGCTGCAAGTCGTGTCTCGTAGCAAGGATTTCTCCCAAGGGCCAGGTATTGGCAGGACCCTGGACAGTTTCGTCAAATCCGTCATTTCCTTCGGCAAGGAGTCCCGTCTGAAGCTCCTTGCACTTGCGAAGCTCGGATTTGATTAACGGTTGAACCGCGTGCAGCAGAGTTTGCTGGGCATTGTATGGTCCAACCTCATTCAGACGAATTGCTGCAGACAGTAGGCCACGAGCATGCAGAAACAAGTGCAGATATTGTGAGCGATCTGTGAGTTAACGTTGTCAGTCCGTCTTCGACGCAGGGCCTAGATGATCTGTATACATACCTAGCGACAGAGACAGCGCTGCTGTTAGGACTCCCCAACATATCGGCATATGGCCTTGCGTGTCTTCCCTTCGCACGCGCAGTTTAAACTGCTCAACGACTGTGGTTTTCCGTTTCTCCTGCCGTAGTAGGCCTGGATCTGCGAACTGGGCCAGCGAAGCTGGTCTCGAGAAGCCTTTTGTGTAAAGAGTGAGAAGCGCGGCTCCCTGTGCTTTAGATGCACGCCTGGCAACGTGGTTAAGGGTCTGAGCCTCGTACATCTTGTCCAGTGCCACGAGCTTCTCCACCACTTCCAAAGCGTCGCCTTCACTGTCATTTTCGGCATCCCTTTCTATATAGGCCCTGAAAACACGATGGACATCTGACACAAAGGGGAGGGATGTCCTGCCATACGACGCCAGACTGTCTCTCAGGAAGGCCAACACTCGAGATTCGGCAGAGGTGGAGGTGGAGGTGCCATGTTTGAGGTACGATTCCAGTCCAGAGGAAGCGACGAATGCGCCGGTAGGAAGATTGCTGTCAGAGAGAAGCAACAGAAGATAGCTCTCGTCAACATTATTCTCCATGAGTCACCTGGTGCGTGCTTGAGTTCGTCGTAAAGAGTCGTAACTTACTGAGATAAGATAACAAAGTTACTCTAATTTCACGTGACTCTGTATGGTTCCGAACTCGCCGATACCTTTTGCCGCCAGTGCTCCTCGACGCTTTCCGGCTCTCGACAACTCGGTGTGCTCTCTCTTTCCACGAACGACTCGGAACGGAACCACGAAATTCGATTTTTCCGGGTCTTTATTGCTTGTAGGCTTTGCTTTGCGGTCTCTCCTTACCTAGCATCGACATAATGAAGGCAGTTCGCCGTGTATCTGCAACAGCCAGGATTGCTCAGGCCAATCGACCTCAACCCCAATCGATCGCACCACGAGCAACACTATCCACCAATGCCACAGCCAGAACTCCAGCCAAACAGTCTATTGGGAAGGCTTACAATTCAAGTCTGGCCAATGTAAAGCCCTCAACCCAAGAAGTACCTTTCTTCCAAGAACCCAATCGTCCTTCCCCTTCGCAAACCCCACAACCCTCGAAACAGAACACCACTCAGGATGGCAAGCTCTTCCGAGGCAATTATGTTCGAAAGGATGCAGGCTGACAGATTCGTCGAAAAGCAGGATCGGAGGTCTTGACGCCACTACGTCAATACCAAAACCTCGTTTCTTCCGGTGTCCTGCGGGGGGACGAACACCAAACCCGGATTATCGAGCGACTTCAAGAACTTCACGACCAACTTGTCACATACGAACCTCCGCCTTTGGAAGAGGAGGTCCGGGCCAATTCATTCGTACGTCTACCGGTCCTTTCCAAAAATAGCGAGGCGACTAGGGTTACTGACTGAATCTGCTCTTCCGTGGTTACCTGTTCTAGCTGTCTCGCTGGTTCAGCCGTGAAACGTCCGAACCAGTGTCATCACCAGCCAACGCCCCGAAAGGCTTGTACCTATACGGAGATGTTGGAACAGGAAAGACCATGCTTATGGACTTGTTCTACAAGACTCTGCCTCCTTCAATCAAGCGCAAGCGCAGAGTTCACTTCCATGCGTTCATGATTGACGTACACAAGCGGGTTCATGCTGCCAAAATCGCTATGGGTTTCGATGGCGGTGACCCCATTATACCGGTAGCTCGGGATTTGGCTCGTGAAGCCTATGTTTTGTGCTTTGACGAGTTCCAGGTAAGGATACAATACTTCGTTCCTGTGGAGTTTGAGATCTTCTTACAATGGACATACAGGTGACAGACATCGCGGACGCTATGATCCTGAGGCGCCTTTTGGAAAACCTCCTCAACTATGGAGTAATCATGGTCATGACATCCAAGTGAGTGCCTCCTTCCAAGGCCTAGAAGCACAGGTTTTAAGACGGGACCCTCTTCGCTCTAGTCGGCATCCGAATGACTTGTACAAGAACGGCATCCAGCGAGCGAGTTTCCTCCCTGCGATTGACCTCCTCAATACCCAGTTAAGAGTAACAGATCTAGACTCGGGGACTGGTGAGCGTGACTGTGCCTGAATTCGGTGTATTAAATTGACCCGCTTCATCTGTGCAGACTATCGCCGCATTCCTCGCGCTCTGTCCAAGGTGTATTATGATCCGCTCACTCCTGAAAATGAGCAGGAGGTCAATAAGCTTTTCGATTCATTTGCCTCCGCCGACCCTTCAGACCCTCCCATACGAAACCGCAAGATCATCACATGGGGGCGAGAACTTGTCGTCCCGGAAAGTACGAGCAAAGTAGCCAAGTTTGAATTTGAAGACCTGTGCAACCAACCGCTGAGCGCTGCGGATTACTTGGAAATCACGAAGAACTTCAGTACTATCTTCATTCTTAACATACCCAAGATGGGATTGGACAAGAAAGATTTGGTACGATATTTTCTAAGACTTTCGGTGCATTTCCGTTTTACTGAACACGGCATTAAACCTTCAGGCCAGGCGGTTCATCACATTCATAGACGGTGAGTGATTGTCATCTTTTCCACCGAGTCGGGCATATATGACCTTTTCTTTGAATGCTTCATACACAGCCTGTTACGAAAGTAAAGTACGTTACTAAGGACCTCCTAACTCTTGTGAACGCCGCTAATACGAACCCCCTTTTTCAGACCAAGCTGTTTGTCACGTCAGAGGTCCCCGTCTACCAAGTCTTCTCGGATGATCCCAATGAATCTCTGCCTGGGCACCATCACATGAACGATCATATGCGAAGCGTTATGGACGACTTGGTGAGTCTTTGTTCGATAGTGGATGTGTAAGCAGATGCTCATCGGGCTTTAGGGTCTGACCACGGATGTTGTGGGCACAAGTTCTATGTTCACAGGCGAAGAAGAAGTATTCGCGTTTGCGCGTGCTTGTTCCCGGCTGGTACAGATGGGAAGCAAAGAATGGGCTGAAACTGCTGGTCAAACCTAGCTTTCCCGAGCAGCCTGCGGGATTCATATACCCGAATGCTGATTGGTTTATCTCGACGGAATTTTGTTGTAACAGCATATAGTTTCGCGCCAATCTTAGGACACTTAGGGACTCTATGACGGCCAAACGTGACATTTATTATTCCACACCAATATTTCGTTTTTTCCACCTTTAGTGATGCATTTTGGCCTTCTATTTGGTGCGGTCCTGATAAGTAGCGGGCAAAGTAAAGTGTAGCGCATTTTCTTGAACACCGAAATCTTTTTAACACCAATTCTTGTTCACGCTCAACACCGACACTTTCTAAAGGACGCCACAATTTTTAAGGACACCGACATTTCACGACACCGAAATCGCGGGACACTAAAATCTTATCACGGTCAGGCTGGATTTATTAATTAACAGGTCATGACTCTATCTATTGTGAACAGTCAATTCCAGCCGAATGGCTATGGAACCTTACAGGAAGCAGGAATTAGTCAATGCGATAGATACTACTACGACGTACTAGAGCCACAATAGTACACGTACGGATGTCGGACTGCAGTCTGAACTTGATCTAGTTCTTCTCTTTTGTGATTGAACTACTAGCAAGTAGTATCTCCTGTATGCAATCGTTAGTTTTCGAGTTTTACGGACGTCATCATGGTGGACAAAGGCAGCTGACCGTCCAGTGTTCAATGGTTATTTGACCGTGCATTGGAAAGGGTTCCAGGTTGTACCAGCACGGCTGGCGGCTTGAGGAACCAGCATTTCCATATGTTACAGCTGCACAGTACCAACTCGGAAGTGCCAAGCCGGCATCTGACCGTCAAGTTTTCTGCCCTCGTCCAGAGTGTCGGTGTAGTGAATGTCGGTGTTGGTAAAAGTCGGGTACATTCCCCTTATCCCCAATTTACAACACCGGTGTTGAACAAGCACCTATACTTTAGATCACTACACGAAACTATAGACCACACCGAATTGAAAGCCAATTTCAGTCAAAAATGTGATATGTCGGTGTGGAATAATAAATGTCACGTTTGGCCGTCATAGGACTCTGTTTGATAGAATTACACGGTTGGATTGACAACAATAACGCTACATCGAAAACACGAAGTAAGAGCGTCCGTGGGTTGGATGCTAATATTACAACAGGCAAACAATCGTCCATAGCTTAGCGGGGCCCCGAGGGATCGCCCAAGCTTCCGCGGGAATCGTTGGTGTTGCCCCACTTGTCGGGCTGTAGAGTGGTCGTCTGTTCCCTTCCATTTTTGAGGATATACTCTACAACGTCGACGTCTTTGCTTGTTCCAAAAATGTTCTCTAGTTGTTGGTTGGATGGTTTATTCATGAGGCCCGTTGCTCCTTGCGAGACGAAGACGTCGAAGGCTGTGATAGGATGTGAGTGTCTTTGTCGACAGGAAAGTGGACGCAGCGTACGTACATTCAACGACAAGGGCTAATGGGATGGAGCTGTGGATAAGGAGTCAGGCTTTTAAGTTCGATATCAGATTTCAAAGGATGCGTACGTGTCTGTAAAGCCAGTCAGTAAGAAGCCTTATGACTAACCAGACGGTAAACTTACCTCCGTTTTTCCACTTTGAGTACTGGAAATGCCAAAGGCGGGTAAGAATCAACCCTGGAACTGGGAGGACGTGAAGGGCCATACCTGCTCTGGGTTAATTGCAACGCTGTATTCCTCGACTGACTGGGAATCAGGCTTGTAGAGGACCTTGGTAATAGTGTTCGGCATGGTTAAGTCGCGTTTGGGTGGCTTGGAAAGTAAGAGTTGCGTTTTTGAGTGTGAGGGAAGAGCTAACAAGAGTTGGCCCCTTTATAGTTTCAGCTCGTCGTTCACATATGACGTCTAGACCTGGGCGCCTCCATGTGACGTCATAGGTACATCCAGGAAGACAAATCTGGGCCTCATGCCCGGACCATTGACTTGGCGATGACTCAAATGGAACTCCGTGGAACCTTCCGACTTGCAACAAGCCTACCAACGTTCAAAGCCTCGAGGCATGTCCACGTCGTCGAGAAAGGAAAGAGAGTAGACATATTGTCCTGGACTGGTACTAGTTCGCCACAGGCGCGTTTGTGGCTGTGTACGTGACCAGTGGGAACGGCTGTCACGGTCATGTGCCCCGTGACTCATTCAACGGGCGCGTCACAACCGAAGGAAATTAACTTTGAGCTTATGCTACTTTCCGCACCTCCCCTTCATTATCGCCAGTTATACCCTAATTAATACCCGCTTGCCATGTCCGAAACAGCAAAAACTAATCGATTTATTCAAATCAATATCTTTGGCGACAAATTATACAATGCTGTGAACAGCGACGACGACGAAATCAGCGAAATCGAAGACAATGACATGAAACGTACCTGGGACGCGGACGGGACCAGGCGGCCTTCGGGGTATATCACAGTCTTTGAAGGTGAAAGGAATCGCGGACAAAGAAGCTGTTACCGCGACGCTGACAAACTTGTAGAAATGGTGAACGACGTTCTGGAACACGACCGTCATTTGCTCTCGGAAAGCGAACTTGACGCTCTAGACGCCTTTTCGAGGCTGTGCTGCAAGTTTGGCTACTTCTTGAATGAGGGTCCGCTATTGACCCTTCTGCAGATCCTTCCAGGTATTGCCTCGTCCGTATGCTCCTTCTTAAACCGGGAAGGTGGAATCCTATGTGCAAGTTTGAAAAGTGGAAGACCGAGGTTGGGCCTGATGGGCTGCTGCCTTCCATCGAACCTTTGTGCCAGCCAATCAAAGATTTGCTAGCCCTACCGTCTCAGCCCTCTTCACAAGTCAGAGTTGGGCAAGATACCCAGCCTCCACGACCGGAAATCATAGACTTGACCGAGTCCGACGACGAGGATGCCAACTCAAATGTCCCTGGTCCATCCGCCATCCCCCAGAAACCTCCTTCTGATGATCCCATTGACCGCATCATCAATCGCTCTAGCGAGTCAGACGATATTACCCTGGCGTATTTCTGTGAAAGTGACGAGAAGATGTCCCTTTACGAGCTTCTCCAGAGTCTGACAGTCGAGCAACTAAAAGGGCTGGCGAAGAGCAACAAATGCCAGCCCGGTCCCAAATCCACAGTGCGTGAGCTTTTCCTGCTCAGCGGATCTCTAGCTTAACCAAGGCGTACAGAAACAGGATTTTGTACATGCTTTGCTCGACAATGCGACTTCCCAAGGTGTCCTCGGCTTTGCGATGAAGGATAACAAAGGGAAGGGCAAGGCGTCTGTCCCTCTGAAACAGACGCAACTGACTTCGTTCATTATCGGGAAAAGTAAAGCCTGCCCCCGCCAGTCCCAAGAAAAGCGTCTTCGCGCCCAGATTCTGAAAATCCTGGGTACGGCCGTTCATTTTATCCCCCTTCTAGTGTTGATGATTTTGCATTCAAGGGAGATGTTTCCGGGTAAACCATGACTTCTTCCGACTCGTGCGCCGTATCCATGTCATCGCTTTCCGTTGCACCGAGCACCCGCCGAAGCTCATGCTTCCCGCCTTGTTGACTCGCTTCAAGAAGCGGACTTACGCCGAATACAAGCACGAGCGTGATGTCGACATCTGGCCTTCTAGGATTGAGCTCGTACATTACGAAGAAGCCCTGGAGCTTGAAATGCATCTTGATCAATTGCTGGAGTCGAAGCCAGAAGAACAGCCACGAGGGAAGACTGTCGATCCCAAAGCTCGGGAAACTCCAGCTACGCCAGGGCCAAAGAGAGTAACCATGAAAACGCCCCGCGCTTCCAAGACAACCGCGCCCTCCACACCTAGAGAAGGAGAGTATATTGACTTCGGCCCGGATGGTTGGGATATTGACGAGGAGGAGGAAGAGGAAACCCCAGAACCCGACGACCCCAAGATCAAAAAAGCGAAGCAAATTGTCAAGCACCTAGACGAGTGGATCCTTCAGCGGTGGACATTGTGGCTGGAATGGAAACACCATAGGAATGCGGGACGGACACCTGCATTGCAACGTTTCGAGCCCGGTGCGTGTTCCGTCCAAACTGTCCGCCCAAACTGAATTAACTTCGCGCATAGGTTACATCTATAGCCGCATGATGCGCAAGGTTTTAAAGTCCTTGGCTCAGCTGAAGGAGTACCAGAGGGAATTGGATGTCATTCAGGCAATGCTTGGTCAGCGTCTGTTTTTACGAGGCAAACGGGCCAAATTGTATGAGCGCCGGGCTATACTTCAGACCCGCTACCTTCACAAAACACCCGAGGGGAAGGTGGATCTCAATGTGTTGCGTCAAGCTCTGGAAGGGGTGAAGGAGGCTCTGCTCGACGATGACACTGTACTCGGTGCGTAATCAAGCGATATCGTATACGACTGCCATGCGCTTACTTTTACTTTCTGTTCAGTCGCCCGCCCTAGTCTCGTGAGGCGGCTCCGAAAACTGGAGGCAAGACTCAAGCTTCCCCCGGGAGATCGAACTGTATGTGAGGGAGAATTGCGCGAGGCCCAAACGGTGAATATCGTAGCCAAGCGCATCTTCAAACCCGATTCGACGGGGAAACCGACCAACAAGGAAAATATTGCTTCCTACATGAAAAATAACTCGACACCTAACGTCAAACAGCCACAACGGCGCGACGTAAGTGTCCTTCCCTTTGTTTCTCCTTTGGTTTCTTTCAGTGCGTTGACGCCATCTGTCTCTGATACCTAGTCTGTCCCCAATCCGGCCCAGCGGAAGCACCCAGGCAAGTCCATTTGGGTTGGACGAAACTCCGCAGAGGTCAGTGTGGAACAGGTGGCCTTAGAGTACTACGAGGACTTGGGCTTCAAAGGGTAAAACCCCGCAGTCTTTATACTACCATATCCAGCTTTCGCTAATCCTCTTCTTGGTGGCAGATTTCACGCCGAAACCTCAATAATGACCACTATATTTGGTTTACTCTTTTGGGACATAATCTTCGCGGACATTAGGGGTGCTTTCGAAACCAAATTCCAATCTGCGCCATTGGATATCGTCGACGATTCTTTCTATTACGCTAGAAAGGATATGATAGACGCGAGACTGGAGGAGCTTCGACAAGGAAAAGGCGTAGAAATTCTTCAACGCCATTACGCTGCACACAGCGAAACCAAGACTTGCTGCATTGGCGTCCGATGGGACATTTGTACCGAGCAAGATTTAGTCGAAATACTCGAGGTAAACGCTTTTACTCATTCCTGCTTGGTCGATAGGCGAGTCATTAACTCGTTTCGCCGTCTAGTGCCTCGGCGGTAAACAACTTGCAAGTATTTGCAAGCTCTTTTGCGAAGATTACACCGGACGTTGTAGTGGTGCTCCCGATCTCATCGCCTGGAATGCTCAACACCGGATCTGCAAGTTTATAGAAGTCAAAGGACCTGGAGACACTCCACAAGAAAACCAGAAGGTAGGCTTGTCTCTTCCCTGGTAGGGGACAATCTGGCCCGAGACTGACATTCCCCTTTTCCTTTCCTTTCACTCCGTTCTTAGCTCTGGTTTGACTCTCTTCTTGCGGCTAACATCGACGTGGAAATCTGTCGAGTGGCCGATGTCAATGACGTCAAAACTCATACGACGGCAAAGAAGAAGGGGAGGTCCTCCGCCGCACCGTCTACCAGGAAGCGCAAGCGAAGCACCACGAAACACAGCGGCTCGGACTCTGATGTGGAGGAACAGAATTACGACAAACTCGATCCCCACTGCGATGACGAGCTTCCGCAAGTTTCGTCGTCCCGTAAACGGAGAAGAGCTACGGATCCAGGTGAACCGTTGTGTTTACAGTCATTAGGCGCTCCTCCACGGAGAAGTGGCCAATGAACGTGTATACGCCGTCTCTCGTGACTTTCCTTCCAATCTACCCCTCTAGGGGTAGTTTGGCATTCAATTAATTTGATCACCGTTTCGTATTCCTCTTTTGCTTGGTTGGCTTCTCTCCATTCGGGTCGAACGAAAATGCTTTCTTAGAGAAGACTTACATCTCTTTACTACTACGTTTTTACCGCTTTGCTTTTCGGCGTATCAAATCTTATGAAGGTATATTTTAAGCGAGGCGACAAACAATGGATGGAGCGAATCACTCCGAACCGAAGCTCAAAATCGAAGAAGACGAAGAGAACTGGACGAGTTAGGGCAACTCCGCTCAATCACCAACGGTCCGTGTGGGAAGAGGTTTGTTTACTCGACCATGTGTACTATCTCGAGAACTTCTTCCAGTCACAGCGACGCCGTCCTTTCCCTTTCCAGACCTCTTGTCTATTGTCTATGAACGTCGTGGGTATTAGAGAGGGCCTGTCGAAGGAATTTTCATTTAGAAACCGTCGGTACGTAAGGGTCCACAACGAACCTTCCGTGGGCACACTGAAACGGGTATGCCGCTTGGGCTAACTGGGAAATGAGACGTTCGCATTGCTCTCTAGTCAGAGGATCATTGAACATAATGGCTCCTACTTGCCAATTCAGTAAAAACAGGGGAAAGGGAAGAGGCAGCTCCACTTACCTCGACAGGCCTTCGAATTAGCCAATTCGAGCAAACTTCGAGGGCAATGGCGAAGCGCACTCAGCCATTCTTCCATACCAACTGTTGCTTCTCCTGGAAAATATGCATCGTAAGGCCTAATCTCCCCTTCTTGAAGTTGACCGAGGAAACTTTTGATGCATTCTTGTAATTCTTTGCCCTGTAAAAGCTTCGAGTAGACGATGGTCAGCATCAGGCTAAGCCGTTCACAGAACGCGAATCTAGTACCCACCTTATCGGAGAGGACAGAGGGCAAGGAGGTCACAAAGACTTGGACATACTCCTTACTAGTGCCACTATCCGAAGCTTCAGTGAGGGATTCAATCGGAATTTCTGAAAATGAAATGCCCCAGTTTCGGAAACTGGCCTGAATGGTTTCTTTCCTTTGAAGTAACGAAGCTTCGTGCTTGGTCAAGAGGACAGGGAAAGGGCATGGAAGCTCGGTCACAACTGGCCCGTCGCTTGGTTCGCTCCTTCCGGCTGAAGCGCGAAGGAAGGCAATGCAGAGAGGTCTGAGAAACCTCTCCACGCGGATTCTTTCATCCGCTGCATGCTGATCCACCAAAACCATTATAGTAGAAGACGCCCTGGACCCAGAGGCTCCCATTCCACCTGCCTTCTTGCCATTGAAGTCGACCTCAACCAAACAGGCAATGAACTTCCGATCGACCTGGTTAATGACTTGGGCTTGACGCAGTTGATCGCGAGAAATCTGCATCGCAGCACTTTCGTCGTGCGACCTTACGTGTTGAGTGGCATCGCTGCGGCGCCTGTGAACAGGAAATGACGGCTCTGCGAAAGGTCCTTCGGTGGAGGAGCTCAGCTGATATGCTTGATTCGTCTGAGAGGCACTCAAATTTAGATCCACAGATAGGGGCGGGGAGAAGGGAGCCACATTTCTCACCTTCAATGCACGGGAAAGCCACTCCGGGGTAGAAGCTGGACGCTGAGTTGAACTTTGCGACTGGAGCTTCAAGGTTCTTCTCTCGGATCTGAAGGCTCCCACCGAACCAGTCAACTGGCTTTCGGCATTCTCGGATTCCTGGACAGGCTGTAGTCGTGAAATTCCAGTGCGGGAGTCGATGATAAAGCTCTCTCCTGTATCGGGATCCGTCCAAGTCACATCCCGCGATTCCTCGTCCTGAAGACAGGTCAGCAAACGTCAGTGCCGGTAGAACATCGAAGTGACATACGACGTTAACGAAGAAATCGGAAGGTGTACTCTTCGAGGTTCCTTTGATCTCCTGCACTCTTGGCTGTGACAAGCCTCTGAGGGTTTCGGCTTCCATAAAGCCGGAATCATCGATGGGTTCCTCCACCCTTCTTTTCTTTCTGGGACTCTCGGATGGTATGGCGATGTGGTCCTCATGACTCGCTAAACTTTCGCTAAGCAAGAAATCGTGCTTCGCAAGAAATCCGCGTATGGTTGAAGACAATAGGCGAAACACTTTAGTCCGATCCTACGTTTGGTCAAAGGAGGAACAAACTTAAGAAAGTGGAGTAGTACCTGAAATTCAATCGCCGTTTTGTCGGGTTCAAAGCAGTTATCGATTTCATGGGCGGGTATGGTGATATTCAAAACGTATACCGGGCGCTTCTCAGCCTTCCGTGGCGACCTGCGTGAAACTGCGTCTGTTGAGGTATGATCCCAAGGGAGCTCGAAGCACGATGCACACCATTCCCCTCCATGTCGTCGCGCGTGAAAGCCTGGATTTGGATTGAAGAATGAGAGTGGAGTATTTTCCACTCAATTAAACCACTTACAGTTCTTGAAAACGAACTGCGTGAGAATTGAAGGTCAATTATTTTCTGTAGGTCGCTTGACCGTATTGGATGTCGGTTGATATCTGTTAGCCTTGGTCAGACGCGACTATCAGGCTACATCGAGAATGCACTTGCATAAAAATTGGAAACACTGGGGCGTTTGATTAGGAGAGAAGGGAGCATAAGAAGACGTGTTTACCTTGGAATAAGTCCCACATAAACTGATAAACCCTCGTATCTTCAGGGCGTCGGAGCACGCGTCGATCTCCTCTACGTGCTAAATCATCAACAAGGCCCGTTCAGAGTTCGCACTTCCGAAGGCCATGGTCACCTACCTCTACCAAGGCGTGGCCATATATTCGCCTAAAGGACTGGAGCATTGAGGATGTCTGACAAACAATGAGCTATAGCACAGTATGAACAGGAGGGTCAGACAAACCCGTGCTATCCTGACAGACTTGGTCTTCGTCACGTTCGAGTCTTCGCGTATGTCCTCCAAAGAGAATGTCACGTCCGGAGACACGACGGCATATGTCTCAATCTCCTGACGAACGAGATCCCAGGTTCGACTGGGGGACGGATGGGAGAGCCTTCGAACGGGCAGCTACAAACCATGAGCGAGGTCCCACGGATGTATACATCGGCGACTAACGTTGTAGAAAGCATCGCGAATACAAACTACGGTTCCAGGATGCTCTCTTCGCCACCTCACCGCTGGTCCTTCGTACAATCGTTTCCCGCCCTAAGGGATCCTTCATAAACAACCAATTACCACGAGGACACCCGCCAGCACACCTTCAAGATGACGGACGAGCATTCTCTCGAAACCGCCGTTCGAGAAACAATTTCAAGACAGCAAAGCTCAGCAGCAGATGCCAACGCTTCAGATGACCGTCGTCAATTCATGTTTTTCACTTTCAAACGCTTGAAATGATGAAAACCTTCGCCTCTAAAGCCAAAAGTTGATTGGGCGTTCATGGCGCTTGGAGCATAGCTCTTGGACGTGGCTGCCGGCCTTCAATCAGTACATTTCCCGCTCAAAAGCGCAATATCACTCACAATACCGTCCAGCATCCCCTTCCTGAGCGATAGCGGCCAGCCCCTCTCTGTTAATGCCGCAACCATCGTCCTTGACCCAGCAAAACCATTCCTGGGCATTCAGTCCGATTTCTATGGACTTTGCACCAGCATCAAGCGAATTCTGAAGCAGCTCAGAGACTATCTGAGGCAAGGAAGTCAAGATCTGCGTTGAACGAAGTTTAGCCTGGGTAGGGACACTGAGTGTCTCCATACGCAAACCAGCGGTGTGATGACAGTCGCGGTACAAGTTGAGAAACACAGAGCGAGCCATGACGTAATGCAAACCGGCTCACCAATGCCGTAATACCTCGCTTTTGGTCAGAAACTGGACAAAAAACCTTCGTCGAGTGCAATCCCTCACAGAAAATCAATGATTGTCCAAGCTAAATTTATGTCACAGAAGGATTCTAGATGATAGTAAACGTCGGCGGAACAGCATTCATTGTGTTAAATACTCTTGTGGGTGTGCTTTACATACGGAACGCGCCAAACCCATGGTTATTGCCATCCCATGTGGTAGACGAATGTTGCTTTCCTGACCCTTCTCCTCGCGAGCTTACCAGGCCAAGGGCGAGTCCTACGACATCACGAGTATCTGTGGGTTTGATGATACCGTCATCCCAAAGTCTGGCAGTAGAATATAGGGCTGTAGATTGGTGCTCAATCTCTTGCTTCAAGCTCTGATGTTGTTTAGGATCTCTGTGGAGGCGTTATCAGAATGATTCAACCCCGTTGAGCCCCTGTGTGACTCTACTATCACTCACTTTGAGACAGTGGCCATCACGTCGGATAGCTGTCCTGAACCCATGACGGAGACTTTGGAGTTCTACAGCCAACAGATGATCAGTTACCGAGTAATAAATGCCATAGAAGCGGTAAAAATGGAAATGGAACTCACGGGCCACATCCACAGGAATCTCGGGGAATACTGGGGAAAGGATATCAACATCTGTTACATATGTCGTTCGGAGGCGAGTGGGCGCATCAGATACTTACAGCACGTCCAGCCATTCCTAAAGCGTCTGTCAGCACCTTAAAGTATGATATCACGAGCGCAGTTGACTCACCATAATTACCAGCGCCAAAGCTACCGCCCACAATGACAGTCAGCTTAGGCACGTCGGCACAAGCCACGGCTCTAACCATCTTTGCACCTATTCAAAATTTCAGCGGACGAGACAGGAGGAAAGCTCCCGCGACACTCACCGTCTTTCGCGATGCCTCCCTTTTCAGCCTTAGATCCCACCATGTATCCTGTCGAATCAAGTTAGTCAATTCAAATGGCCCTTCCAATAGACTGGTATAAAGGTAAAATCCGAACCTGTAACGTTTACCAAGAATAGCAGCGGTATTTGACGCTGAGAACACAGTTCGATAAAGTGCGTAGCTTTCAAAGCAGATGGAGAAAACAAGATGCCGTTGTTCGCCACAATACCCACTTCGTAGCCGTGGATATGTGCGAAGCCCTGTTATGATTTTGGTCCAGGCTTTAAATCATTCAGGCTCAACGTTGAATGGAGTTTAGCACGTACTGTAACCATCGTTGTTCCGTATTCTTTCTTGAACTCTCGGAAACGACTACCGTCGACGATACGAGCAATGACGTCGCGCATATCAAAAGGCTGTCTGACATCGGTGCCTACAATTCCATGCAACTCAGAGGCAGAGTACAACGGATCCTCCGGTACTGCAGTCGGCTAGAGTGTATGAATTCCAATATGAGTTCTTTCCGCCGAAATCGCATGTAAAGCATGAAGGAATCCGTACCGCCACGCCTCTTCGTCCCGCGGACCCTAGGTCACCCACGATGCCTCTTGCAATGGCAATGGCATGTTCGTCATCTCTGGCGAGGTGATCGGTAACTCCACTCTCGCTGGAATGCATCAATCCACCACCCAGAGTTTCTTCATCCACAACTTCTCCAGTAGCAGCTTTGACGAGAGGTGGACCAGCCAAGAAGATCCTTCCTTGGTTCTGGACGATGATGTTTTCGTCCGCCATGGCAGGAACATACGCGCCGCCTGCACAGAAGGTTATACCCATTCTTTCTAGCTTGGGAGCCTGAACTTACCGGCCACAGAGATGCCATGGACAATAGCGATTTGGGGTATACGAAGAGCAGACATCTGGGCCTGGAACATGGGCGTTCACTCAAGCTTCAACCTTCGTCTAGGCAAGACACGCACCATGTTATAGAAGATCCGTCCAAAGTGCTCTTTGTCGGGGAATACATTGGCTTGATGTGGTAGAGCAGCACCTCCAGACTCGACTGCACACGCATGGATTAGGGGTATGCCAAGGCAGTTACGCGCGTGAACGTACCAACGTAAACGCACGGCAACCCGTTCTCCCTTGCAATTTCTTGTGCGCGCAAGTGCTTCTTCACAGTCAAAGGATAGTAAGAGCCACCCTTGACCGTCGCGTCGTTTACAACTATCATGCATTCTCGTCCTGAAATACGACCGATACCGGTAATAATCCCAGCTCCTGGAATCGACTCTGGGTAAACTTCGTGGGCTGCTAGTGGCGAGAGCTCAATGAAGGGAGAAGCCGGATCTAACAGTAGTCCCAATCTGAGGACCAGTAAAGATACAGTCAACAAGTCGATTCAACTATAAGACCTGGAACTTGAGCAACGTACCGCTCGCGCGGTAGCAGCTTGCCCTTGCTCCGCATCCGCTCTGCAGCCTTGGGTCCACCTCCAAGTCGCACTTGAGCAAGCTTGCTCTCCAAGTCAGCTACCAAACCGTCCATTGCTGCAGCCTTTTCTTGGAATTCTGGAGAACCGGTTTGAACCAGCGAGGGTAGGACCGAGGCATGGTAGCTTCGCTTTGGCGGTCGCGTCGCCACAGATCTGAGGGTGTGCCGCAGAGGTCGAGGTAACCGATGCATTGCGCAATGAGGAACGTTCAAGGCAAGAAAATCAGAGGAAGCCTCGCACAATGTGGAGGTCGTTGAGATTGAAGTTGGACCCCAGTTGCAGTCAGGAATTTACATCATTACCCGGCCGGAGCTATTGGATGGAAGCAATAGCGCACATACCGCGTCTATGATCCGGTTCCGGTTACCCATAGATAAAATCCCAGTCGTCATTAAATAAAGTAGAAGGGAATACATGCTAAATGGTGTCTAGAAATCCTTCCACTCGTCCCAGTCGTCGTCCTTCTTCGCTGCAACTTTTTTTGCCTTACCAACGCTACCTGTACTTGACGATGACCTTGAGATGGAGGTAGACCCGACGGCACCAGTGTTCAGGGAGGTTGTTGGTTGGGTCTGTGGCTTATCGTATGAAGAAAAGAAGTCGTCGTCGTGGCTAGGATCATAGAGTCCCGATGTTTCCTGGAATTCGTTTGGACTGGTCAATGACAGCTGACCATACCCTTCTCGTGAAGGCCCTCCCTTGACTGCACGTGCTACTCCACTGACGGTATCAGCAACGTCGACACCAAATGAGTGTTTCGACCATTCATTGGCAGAGCTTCCAACCATCGCGGCTTTCTTCTGGGCCTCCGTCATGTACCCTCGCACGGTAGCTTGGAAGTTGGGATCGGTGACCTTTTCAACTCCAGGCTGAATGACGTTTTCTGCAACGACCTTGGTAGCTCCAGCGACAGCGGCGGTGAAAAGTGACCATCCTTTGCTCAACGCAGCAACAGGGTTTTCTTGGAGGTCGTTGAGCGTTGGTGCATTGGCTGAAGATAGGGCATAGGATGGGTGTGCTGCTGGTTCAGGAGTGCTTCCGAAGCCTGTGTACTTCCCCCCTTGAGAAGGGGGCAAGTGTTCCGGTCGGCTTTCGTTGGCCTTGCCCAGACTGGCAAAATAGCTCTCGTTCTGAGCTTTCTGGTCGGCTGGAAGATTGGGTGTACTGCTGCCAGATCCCCCAATTGAAGGGGTCTGAGAGCTACTTCGTGTAGCACCTAGGCCACTGCGCGCTGATGCCCTGGACTTGCGCAGGCCAGCTGCTGATGGAGCGGGGGACGCGGATCGACTGTTTGCACCGAATCCTGGAGGGGCCGGTGAAGGGGACCAATCGCGACCTGCGAGAGCGGCATCCAGCTAATAAAAGTCAATAGAGAGTTGAGGAGGCTATAATCCAAATCACCTTTTCCTTGTATTGCGAGGCAGCCCAGGAATGGTACTTTTCGTGCGGACTTGCATCAGACTTGGGTCCACCTGGATATGAGGCCATGAAGTCCTTGAACAATTTGTTTCCCCCATTCTAACTGGTGTATTAGATTCATTCCAAGGTGCAAGGAACTCGAAGCTCACCTGCATCCGTTTCAGCTGGTCCTCTTGCCAGGTGTCCATCGAAATCGATCGAACGAAGCTATAGTGGGCTTGAAGTAAGGAAGACTATCGTTTCATGGTTTGGTGGTTATGCTAGCCTGATATGCACTCCAAAGCTTCTGTGCGTTCCAGCGCATTGAAGACAGACGAGGATTGCAAAACTAGTATTTGGATGAGTTTCTGCAGGTATTAATGAGATGGATTGGAAGACTCACCCGAGAGAAGCCCATTGAGGATTAGGATTGCCGCAGTCAGCGCATATCCGGTTCTCAAGATCTTCTCGCTTTGCAAGCTCGCTCAGGAGCTTCCTGGCTGTTGGTTGGTCCATCGACGATGAAGGCTTGTGTTAAGCAGAATCCTGATACTTACAGCCTCGAGCGCGGGTGGCCTTGATCAAATTAGCGGCACGTGGCGACACGCCGCGGCCTGTTCACCCGAGTTGGGCTTGGCAATCTGCTCATGAGGCAATATCCTCGCATTTTCGTCCCGGTTCTCCAAAGACAATTGCAAAAGGAGATTCCCAAGAGTACTTTCGAAATTGTATTTCACATCCCAGCGACGGTATCACAATCGGGGGATGCACCAGAAGGCTGGGACATCCAAAAGCGTGGTACGAAGAGGCACATGACGTCTTTGACATATCCATTTCCAAGAACTGGTTCAACTCGTATTCCGAACCAGTCGTCTGATTAGATATCGCAACCAATCGTTCTTCAAAATATTGACAGTGGATTATTGCGTAGTGGTTAGAAGGCAATAGACAACAAGGGAAGCAAAATAACATTTTGTGAATTAGTGACTAGTGACTTGGTGATATCCTGTGATTGGGGTTCTGGAAAATGTGCCATCTGCCACCGTGTCCCTGCTCAGTGTTCGTGCGAATTCCCTTCTTCGTAGCACATCCCGTCTAGATTTCGTTCGCCATTGACCATCATCCCCAGCGGCGACCTCACCCAAACTACATTATACATCCAGCCAGCATCCGCCTTGTCCGCTGTCGTCGAAATGATCCAGCAAACGAACAGACAGACCTCTGTGGTCGACCCACAGTCTCCAAATAGTGACGGCCCAGAAGTCTGGGGCCAATGGGCTGGAAGAAGGTAACTCTGCTGTCTATCCAGTCCTCTGGGACCTCTGGGCGGGCTAATACCGATTTTCAACATCAGACACTACTCTTTAGAAGTGGTACAGCATCCTTTGCGTGCCCGAATGTGTGGTTTCGGCGATAAAGCAAGTATATGGCATCCAGACTACCAAAAATCAAGCCCCACTCATACCTGCCAAAAACAGGATCGGAGACCATTAGCCCCAGCCGCTGTAGCTAAAATGATTGTACGAACAGAAGACCAGAAGCTTGTGGACGTCGAGTATGTACAGACTTGTCCTCGCCACCTCCTCGTCCAGCTTCTGAAGCTTGATACACAGCGATGTCGATTGCTCTTTCTTCTTGGTTACCGTCGATCTTTGGTCCGCAGATGGGAAGCAAGAAATGAATCTAGTTTTACACCCTTCATCGACAGACAAGTACGCACCGCCAAACCCGCCCACCAAACCTAGCGCCAGTACTACCCGTCGCCGCACCATTAGCTCCTCCTCCCGGCCACCCGGCCACCAGGCGTCTAACTCCAGTACCCCGGCTCCGCCCAGGCCGGACGAACAGGTGAGAACTTTCAGAACCAAATTCTGTTCAAATTCTTATCACTTTTGCACATAGCCTCCATCGAGTAATGGCTCAGGATATTACCCTTCCCAGTCGCAAGACAATTTGACGCCGAGTTCCCCCTATCCCCCGCATTCTAATTCCGAGCAACCTCAAACGTGGGGTTATCCTCCGCCACCACCCATAGACCGCGCAGCTCCATTCCCTCCGCCCGTTTTGCCCTCAATACAATCCTTTAACCGCACTGCCTCGGGTGATTGGAACCCCTCTAATAACGACGACAACTATCGTAAGCTTTATCTTTACTCCGCATACAGCGGGGCACCGGTGTTCTAAACGGTTGGTTTCCAGCTATCGACCCCGCTCTTCGCAACCCCGAAGGGTACACTAATAATGCACAGCCGGACCAGCCCACCTACGGATCGGGGACGACCTATCCGCCGAACTACCAAACCCCGCCCATGCCTCCAAACTCCGGAAATGCTACACCACAGAACAACATCCCTCGAAATCTCGCCACTTACACAAGAACCCTTGTTGGCCCGCTTTCAGCCAACGCATGCCGTTTGTTAGACGAACATCGCAAGCCAGGGATCTTCTTCCTTTTCCAAGACCTTTCCGTACGAACCGAAGGTTCGTTTCGTTCGTTCAAGAACTTCCCTAATGTTTCAAACCAAACGCGACGTTTACTCCCGCTTTGTTTATTTCAGGAACCTTCCGTCTTCGGATGCGGCTTATGAATGTGGGAGCGTAAGTGCCTCTTGTCTCCTTTCTTCGCGTCCAGGCGCTCAGACAAAGGTTGCGACAATCGACGTTGACACTAACATTCCTAAAACGTTGCTTTCTAGTCCTCCTGCACCAGAGCCAGGATCATGTCGCGTTCACAATGACATATCACCGATCCTAGCCCAAACATTCACAGAACCTTTCATCGTTTACTCAGCCAAGCGATTCCCTGGCGTTCCAGGTTCGTTCAGCTCTTTTTCTTGTCCACGCACTCAAGTAACGGGATGAAAAATTCGTGCCGCTAGACACCACTGCCTTGTCTATTGCGTTTGGTAATCAAGGTCAGAAGTTGCCCTTGGTAAGTCAGATGGCCGTTTGTCCGCAGCCATCGTGTGGCATCTCATCACACCCGTTTGTCAACTAGCGAAATCGCCATGGAACAGGCAGTAAGCGTAGACGAAGAAATCAATCTGGCTCCGAGGGCGAATCTGAAGATGATTCCTAATGTTGTACTAACCCTATGTTTCCGGGATTCGGTGGGCTGTTGCCTCTGGTTTCATAGTTTGTAACGAATAGAATTATCCGACTGGATGTCCGATAGCGCTATGTATTATGCTCTGTTCTAACTAGTAATATGGACTGGCGTATGCAAATTACTTCAATATCCGTTTGTACATCTTACCGAACTTCAATTCCCCAAACTTCGCCATTTCCTTCTCCCTGAAATCCATGACCGCTTCGAAAGCCTCCGGATACTTCGTCATGATGGCGTTGAGCATAGCGTGCGCCCTAGGAACATCCGGCTCCGACTCAACCATAACGATGCCTTGGTCGGTTCGTGTAGACGGACGAATGCAATATCCTTCCTCCAGTTTATTAACGACTCGTAGCAGGGATCGCAAAACCGTCCAGTGAGGTCGCCACACGTTCCATGTCGGTGCCTTCTTGATCAGCCGTTCCAATTGCATGAGGTGTCTATCCTTCTCGGCGTGTTCATAGCGTGGAGGGCCAATGAAAGCCCGACGCATAACAATCCGACGTGACGGAGAATCCCATAGAGAGCGACGAAATAGATGTGTTGATGTGCGAGGGTCGACCTGGCCAGGGGATGTCGGTACTGGAGCGTCGTAGAGCAATGGTGTATTTGGGTTGTTCATTTCGAAATCGAATTCATGAGCAGCTCGTTGGTTGGCGATATTGATGTTTTGAACGATCTCGAACGCGCGGACTGGGTCACCGGCTCGAATCATCGCAAGAGTGAGAGACGTCCAGTTGATATGATCGAGTTTGAGATGATGTTGCTGGTAATCCCGCCAAGCCTCTGCCACCTTCGAGTGAAGGCCGCGGGAAGCACAGGAATCGATGTAGATGCTGAGTGCTATGCAGAGACAAGGGTCGGGTGCGTTCTGGGAAGCAGAAACTGTCTCCACGTCCCTGAGGGGAGCAGCAACGTTGATCTGTCGGACGCCGTGCTGGAGGATTTCTGGCCAGATCCCGAGGACGCCTTCCAAGTCGCCTGCCTTCGAATAGGAGCTCATCAAGAAGGTCAATAAGAGCAAAGTTGGTTTCTCCCCGGATTGCACAATGGACCTGTACAGCCGCTCGGCGTCTTTCAGGGAAGTCCGCGAATAAACGTGGAAGAGCGGAGCGTAGAGGTGCTCATACCACGTCCCCTGGCCATCGGGGTGTGATTTCCAAAACCCGTCCGACTGGTCGATGAGCTTCTTGATGAAGTCCTCCGCGGCTGGCGCACCCCCGAAATGGTGCTTCTGGACGAGCCCTCGAACAACAGACCCGTAGGTGTGGGAAGTGGGTTCGAATCCGAAGGCAAGCATATCATCGTAGACAGAGATAGCTTCTTTCGTCATCCCCCACGCGTTGAATGCGGCGATCGCGATGTTGAAGAAGTGGGGCGAAAGTATCTTGGCTGAAGGGTCGCTTCTCTGTTTCCGGAGGGATTGTCGATAGAAGCGGCGGACGTTGTCGAGGTTCCCTAAGTCACAGGCCGCTTCGAGGTAGAGGGCATATGTGTACTCATTGAGCTTTATATCGAGAGTCTCCAGCCGCCATACTTGCTCCTCAATGAAGCCGAATGGGGCACCAAGGTGGATGTAGGCTTTGAAAAGGATATTGAAGATGTTGATGTCGAATCGCGTATAGGGGTAATGATCTCTGATATGCTTGAACGTCTTGAGGACACCAGTCCACGTCCCAGCCTCCACATGGGCATTCATGAGGGCTGTGAATGTGTGAACAGTGGGTTCTATCCCGGATTGAATCATCCGCTTGTATAGGGCTTCTACCGTCACGGGATCTCTCCGGCGAGCGAAGTATCCCATTGCGGAAGTGAAGACGGATACGGTGCCCGCTCGTTCGCCTCGGACTCGGCGTTCGTCAATCTCTGTGAAGAGGGAAACGAGGTCTTCAACCATATCACGGTTGGCATAGTATTCGACGACCAGCCCGTGAGGCTCGTCAGATAAACGGAAACCCCCGGAAACCTTCATATCGTCTATCCACCTTTCCATGCCATTGCCGTGGTCGTGTCGCGTCAACGCCGAAAAGACGACAGAATAATGTTCTGGCTGAGGATTGTTGGTGCGTTGTCCGGATTCGTTCTTGGGGAACAATCGATTGAAGGCACCGAGAGTGGCTGGGGCGTCTTCAGCGTTGAGATATGCCCGTAGCAAGTGCGTCTGGGCACGAGGATCATGTCTCTCGCTGAATGACTCGCGATATATTCGTTGGGCTGCCATAGGATCACCCATTGCCGATGCGAGGAAAAGAGATAGGTCGGGATGTGCAGAATCGTCTTTCGGAAGGCAGAGCAAGGCTGTCTTGGCCAAGTCGAATTCCCTGGATTGGATAAGCTTCATGGCCAGGACTTTGACCAGCCCCGGAGAAGCATACGCGGAATGTTGCTGCCGTACTTGGTCGACGAGAGCCGTCGCGGTCTTCAATGACTCTGCATCCATGAGCCCGCATAATAGAAGGTCCAGAAGTAGAGGTCGATGGGGAGGATGAGAACAGTTGTATCTGGCGACGGGGTCTTTTATACCGGTAGCTGCAATGCTTATCCCCTGACGTACGGCGCGACGAACCTCCTGCAGTGTCTCCAGAGGGCATCGCAGTAGCTCCAACGTCGCATGGTAATTTTCCTGAGAAAGGTCTTCCAACGCCCTTGCCTGTTTCTGACTGTCCAGGTAGCGGTGCAATGACCAAGCCCAAAGACTCCACGTCTCGTCGTCGATCGCCCGCCCTTGCCCTTCCTTTCCCTCCACCCCCTCAGTCCGTGCAGCAGCGCGTCGCTGTCGCAGAAGCGACAACAGAGCAGAATTGTCACCGAGAACAGCTTGTAGACGTGCCTTCGCTAACCTTGTAGCTTCGACGTTGCGAGGTGGTCGCATTGAATCCAACCTGTCAAAGACCGTCTGAAGCCGTTTCCCCCATTGTTCAACAGCGGAAGCACTGATCTTGCCCTTGTTCATCGCGGATACTTCAAGAGCCTGGAGCATGTTGATGGCGAAACCGGCCAGATAGTCGCTCTTTTTCAAGGCGCGGTATTTTCCCTCTACTGCAATTTGATACGCAGCCCATGCATCGCCCATATTGTCTCGTAGATCTAGACCCTCTTTGCAAAAGAAACTGAAGTGTTGAGGTCGTCGACGTGAGGGAGAGCGTTTCGGTGGTTCGGGGTAGAAAAACGAGGCGAAGGAGACATCCTTGTTTTCGACGGCTAACGATGCGTGGCCTCGTTGACTGGAATACGGCGTTGGAGGAGGAAGCGACGTCTTCAGGTCTGAGGAGCTCGCGTTTTGTTGAGACCGTCCCCGGCGGGGTGTCGATTGGATTTCAAAATCCAAATCCCATGGATGATTTCGGTCTGTTTTCCATTAGCACTTATTAGCACTTGTCCGTTAGAAAGGAAGGTTGTACCTACCTGGACAGGCCAACGAGTGTCTAACGCAAGACCATTCTTGACACTGAATCACGGCGCTTGGGCGAGAGCTGGATTGAGAGCTGGATTGAGAACCTTCTGCAGTCCATGCATGCTGCCTCGGTACGGGTGTGAAGAAGTTGCTGGATATTGCGCTGCGTTGGGCTGACTTTGAGACTGCTTGAAGAGCTGGATACCGGCTGATTGACCCCTTGACTAGATTTGCCAGCGGCTCGACCATGAAATCGTTGAGACGTCGAACCCTATACCGACTGGTGTTTAGACCGGCCTTTCGAGTACTAAGAGCGCTTCCTACCGACCTTTAAAAACTACGGGGCTCGCACAAGAAGGAGAGAAAGAATTTTGCTGGCCACGGTAGACGGTCTCGACGCATGAGTCGGCAGGCCCGAAACGCCAACTCGTCCCGATGTCATTTTAGCGAGTCACGTGTCCTCGCCGTTCCGCACCGGGCCTGGATCGATCAATGTCGCACAGGATCATGATGGCGCGTTCAACGCTCTCTCCTACTCGTTGAAGCTTAATGGAACCTATCCAGACCCCACCTCACGAAATTATCGTGGTCAACACCTTAGAGGATCGCCAAAAATGCTATGATGTGGTCAGATTTACCCTAGATTCCGTTTTTAAGGGTCTATTCACAACCCACATCCTCTCTAGCGCATCAAAGTCTTCCACCTAGAGCAAAAGTTTCCCCTAGAAACTGAGATCGATGAGCTCGTATTTTGCTTCTGGATGGTCTTTTGGACTCCAGTCTAACTCGGAGAAATGAATCAGGAATGAAGACATCGCTATCCACTTCCTGCTCCGGTTGACTCCATCGTTAGAACCAGTTGGCACCATCCGACTGCTTCAGCCTCCCGGAAAGGACTACTGGAAGCTGAGCAGACTCGCAGTCCTAAAAGACTACCGCCGGCATCGCTTTGGCCACGAGCTCGTCTCAGCCCTCCACGCGTGGCTTAAACAGCATGCCCTACAGATTGGCCACCTCGGACCCGTCGAGGTAGTATGTCATTCGCAAATTCCCGTCCAAGGGTTCTATGCAAAGTAAGTCAATTGTTACGCTTTTTTAATTCATACGAGGGATGGGCCATGCGGCAACCAGGACCTTTTGACATGCGGCAAGGACCCCCTGCTACTGGCCCAGAGGTTCCGGTTTGCCATGCATGCTTCGTTCAACGCCTCGTTGCAATCCGACCACGTTTTGATCGACGACTCATTAATCCGTCTAGGTTTGGATATACACCTCAGGTAAGCAGCGCTCCCTGTGCCTCCTGGAAGAACAAACTCTAGATCCATGATCTATTAGGGCGAACCCTTCGATGAAGATGGCGATCCTCATCAAAAGATGGTTCTCCGCATGCCGTTATGACCGATTCCGCTCTCGATGACGTCCCGCTAACGGTGAGCTATTACAATACAATGTTCTTTTTATCAGGAATACATGTCCTAATGTACAGTAGTGAGCAGGGGGGTGGTCGTATATTATATACCGTCGTGGTTTCCGGCGTAATACCCATAGGTGTCTCGAGGAACAAGCAAGCCGAAGAGAGGAAAAGTTCTAGAAATACAGCGACATAGGTATCTGATATACAGTGGTCCAAAGCATCGTCATGACGAGGGGCAATAATATTAAAACACCAGATCAAAGGGGAGAGGCCCGATAAACAAGGGTATGGCCATGAAGAGAAACGTCGTGATAGGTCGTGTCATGGATATAAAGAGATCGAAGAGGTATAAAAGTACAACGAAGAAAGAAGACGGTGAAAGGAAATCATACAGATGGCTTCTCGGAATCATCCTGAACGAGACTTTCGCTCTCGCTCTCCGATGATTCCAACTTGATGGTGGGGAAGGCAGGGCTTTGGAGAATGCTGAAGTTGATGTTCGTACCATAACCCGTGGTTCCTTCCTCGTACAGGCGTCTAGCAGCTTCGTATTCCATCTTCTCTTGCTCAGCCTGTGCTAAGAACGGCTGGAAGAAAAGACGAATCAGCCACTGGTTCACGGGTGGAGTAGGGTCCGAAAGTAACTCACCTGCCGTTCCGCATCCGTCATTGAGCGCCATTTAGCGGCCGCTAGGACGCTCTGTTTGGTGGTCTCAGTCTCGTCACCGAAAATCTCCTTGACCAACTTTGGGTCCGCGCGGATGCGCTGAAGGAACATAAAGTAGGCGGAGAGGGGCTTCTTCGGAGCGTTAGGGTCCTTAATGTTACCCTTTCGAGACTTGCCAGCTTTTCGCTGGGCAGCCCGAAACGCGTTCTCGCGTTTGATGTCGTCTGGGGTAAGGGTCCGCATGTAAGCTTCATGCTCCCTCTCTCGAGCTTCCTTCGCGGCCTGTGAACGCCGCTTATAGGGCTATTGAAAAAAATAAACGAGAAGAGAGGATGAGATGACCATGTTATGACGTCACGGAAGGAAAGGATCGCCGTACCTCCTTTTCTTCAGGGCTGAGCGATGCATACTCTTGACCGGCCTCCTTAGCTGCCTGGGCAACATTTAGTTTGCGGGTACCCAATCGTTGCTGCTTTTGGATCCAGTCGGTAAAGTACAACTGCCAAGCCGACGGGGCCAACTTGGGAGGCTTGAGAAGGGATTTCGAAGCTGTAAGGAAAGACGTCATTTGTCAGAACTGAAAGAGCTATCCGCGAAGACACGTTATACTTACGAGGCTCGGAGGATTTCTCCGCTGATGACCCATAGTCTTCTACGGGAGGCGAGCGCTTCTTTCGTCGAATAGTGGCATCACGGTCTTCCCCATTGCTGACGACGGACTCGGAGCGGCGACTGTAAGCTCTAGTCATGCTGGGGGCTCTAGGTTCTGTGAGTGATGGTGCACTTGACGACTGGAAGGTTTGGCTAGAAGAGTGTGACCCCCGTCGCATGGGAACTCGTTGACGCATAGTTCCGTCTGACAACGGAGAATGGCGGACGGACGGACGAATGATAGATGGAGAGCGAAGTGAATTGGCAGAGGTGTCCCAGAGATGGGAGGCCCAAGAGGGCTTGGATAGCGACATGTCTGCGGGGTTAAGTGAATTGACGCGTTGTCGGATTGGCTGGGGGTCTTCGAAGGACGAAGGAGGCGAGACTGAAGATGGAAGAGGGTGGAGAGCCGCAAACGATGACGGTGAAAAGACGGGGTCGTTTGCGGAGAACTGGGTGTGATCACCGAAAGCTGAGAAAGACGAGGCTGCGGTGGACGTGTGCATGTCCGATGGTGATGGAATAGATATCGGTGACGACGGAGAGGGGGCAGACAGCTCGGGATCGTTGATCCAGTTGGCCAGATACAAATTATCCTCCAGCGACGGTGAGTTCTTGACCGGCTCCGAGCTGTAAAAGTTGGTCCCCGAGTCATAATAACTGCCTGTGGGGGATACCTCGGGTGGCCCGTACTCGTATGCGGACATGGGCATGACTGCGGCAGCGTCAAAGGCAAAGGGGGACTTTGTGTCGATGTCGTGGACGGAATAAGGATCCCATTGGAGGGAAATATTGTTTGAGTTTGCTAGGTGGAGGTTGTCGTCGAGATCGAGGGGCCCAAAGATGAGCTGATCAGCTTCTGTTGTATGGGCGTTGTCGTCGACGATGATGGGGGAGTCGTTGTGGAAGGCGGTGAAGGGGCGACAAAGGACTGTGGGGGACGCCATTTTGGATGTTGGGCGACAGAAAAGGACTGGAAAGAAACGACGGGCGGGTGAGAGCATAGAGCTTCGATCGCGCTTTAATACGAGCAACAGTCGACTTGCCATTCCTGACTCGAGAGATCGAGATATCCCAGTTCCGGATTCAGATGAGGTTCAGCTCGAGACTTTTGGTCAAAAACAACTCGAACTGGTCCGGTTCTCACTTTCCCAAATAAACCACTTCCAAACGGGGTAATTGCCTTTTGCCAGCTTTTCGTCCTAACAAGGAAGGGATAGGAGTCTACCTCATGAATGTTCTATATTCACAAAGTCTATCTATCTAGCTACCCTCACAACAAAACAACATTGCTCTCCGCGTACTTGGGATTGTTGTAAACGCTCTTTCCGACCTGTGTGTCAGGTACAACACCGACACGGACCGCAGGGGAAATCATGAGTGACAAAACTAATTTCATCCATAGGAATGAACCCACCTCCCAGCCCGGAACGTCCTTCATGATCTCGCGTTCGCGTGCAAGGGCAGCTTGTTGGCGGCGGTAGGTATCACGGTCACCCTCAGCCATCAGCAAGGGGACGAGATGTATCCGCGACCATATCTTCTCGCGCTCCAACTCCCTATACAGTATACACCGTCCACAATCAGCATCTGCTTCCCATTTGCATCGAGCCAAGTGCGATAGAAACTGATAAGGGCGAGAAGGCGCGGCCGGATCCAAAAGCTGGCACGTTTAGCGTTGGGCGGGGGGTTATGATGACACGTTCCTCGTCCAGCTGACCATGTCCTGCAATGCCCAAAACTCGGTGTTTATAATCCGACAGGGAAGACGCACCGTTTTTCCAGATTGCCTTTGCCCAGGCGATAGAAACCAAATGCACAGATCGCGGTCACACCTCCGAGAATAACATAAGCACCTGGCCCTCGGGTTGGCAGATTTCGTTTGTATTTGACGGCTTGGAAACCGCCCGGAGGGGGCATATCCCTGCGCTTTAGAGTTAGCAAGTGGCCCTAGAGAAGCAAAAGTGCCATACTGTCTGTACGGAGCAGCCACTGAAAACCATTTGTGAGTGACAATCAGGTAGGGAATGTCAAATAGCACTCACTTTTGCCGTTCCCGTTGGTGGTCTGCTTAGAATGTGGAGAAGAGTCAAGAAAGGCGTTCAGCAGCGAACTCGCCGTTTCCTCCCTGTCACCATGCTCACGTGATGATACCCACACACTCTATTTCGTGCGAAGACATGGCTTTGACGCAGGATGCCTCGTTTCTCAACAAAAGAAACATATAGAGACTGTGAGTGCAATAAAGAACAGATGTACAGAGAGACAGACGAGACATAGGAAACTAAATTCATTGGTGAAAGAAAAGAGTCGAGGCGCTATTCCTGGAGGAGACTGCCGGAAAAGGAAATAGAATGGTTGTTCGTGCTGTTTGGCGTGGTGAATTCGAAGAGTGCTGGCAGAACATTGAATGATTGGGCGGTTTCCCACTTGCTCCCGACAGCCATGTCCGAGCCTTCCCAGACTCCCGCTCCTCCCGCACAGACCTCTGCAGCTCGTGGAAAGCAAAAGGCTTTTACAGGCGCTATCAATGTTGGCGCTGAAGATGTCAAGTACCAGGCAAAGTACAAGGAACTCAAGCGCAAGGTCAAGGACATCGAGGCGGTATGTCGTCCACCCTCAGTGGTTGACTTTCTGACCGACGTGTCATTCCCCAGGACAATGACAAGCTCCAGGTCAAAGTCATGAACGCCAAACTCACGATTCAGCGTATGAAAATGGAACGAGCGTACGATTTAACTCTTTCGTTATTTTGAATGGATGCTAACACACATTATTTAGTGTTCTATATGAACGACTAGCCCTCTCCCCTAACTCTCCTTCCCTGCAAGATCGAGTCCCTCTTCCAATGGCTGCGCCTTCTGGGGTCCCTCCTCATCAGCCTATGTCAACCCCCCATCACCTTCGAGACGTTCATGATCATTCTGCTGCTTCTGCAGACCCCGATCCAGGATTTCCTGCCTTTCAGGAGTACGCTACTCGTCCACGGGGAACACCCACCCAACCTCAGTCCATCGAAGGCCGCCCTCCGACCGCGATTGACACTGTCCCTCCTCCAGGAGTGGCTCATTCGCCGCATATGTCAATCACACATTCACCAAGGCGTGTCTCCGCAGAACACGAAGCCCGACAACGCATCCCAATGGGAAGGCCTCTGCCACCTTCGGGTATGGGTCCATACGAACGCTCTCATTCCTCGTCACACGCTAGCCCTCCCATGGAGCACGACTACCCTCCTCCAACTCATCACATACGGACCCGATCCCAATCTTCCTCGCGTTCCCGTACCCATCAGATGCAACCATCTTCTTACCGGGAGGGACAATACCCCGAAATGCAGACTCAAGCTTTTAGTCCCCACCTTTCTGACCAGGAGCGATCTAGGCATTCAGAAATGCGTAATATGCCTCCTCAACCCGAGCCTCATGCTCACCCCCACCACCAAGCGCCGCTAGCACAATTGTCTCCCCGAAGCAGCACCTCTGACTTACGCGCACGAATGCACCCTCATCAACGCGTCGGGCCTGGTACGTATATCAACAGGGACGAATACCCTGACCGCCAGCAGCGGGATCTCGATCGTGACCGCGAATGGGACCAAGAGCGAACCACTCGCGATCTAGCGCGTAATCGTGACATGCCACCGTCCATCCATTCTCCCCATTCGGTTCATCGGACCCGCCAGCCGATGGATAGAAATGACTATCCTGATCACCATATGTCCTCAGCCCGTGACGAACAGCCTCAGTTTTATGACGCCCCTCCTTCAAGGTCATACCCTCATGTCTCCCGCTCCGGTACACCTGGCTCCGCTTCAGGCTCGGGGGCCGGTTTAAACGAAGACTCGTCCAGGCCCGACTCTCGAGCTGCTCAGTATTACCAAGAACAAGACAGAGCCCGAACTTCCACTTACAGAGTTCGAACCGTTGGTGGACCCAACTCTGGCGAAGAAAATATGGATTTCTTGCATGAAGATGGACGAGCTCACCCTCGAACTGATCGTGCCCCTAGTGGCGGCGGCAATTTCCCAGTCCCGGAACAGACCCTGCCGTCTGCAGAGTCCAGGAAGAGAAGTCGGAACGAGATGGATGTGGATAGCGAAAATGACGTCGCGGATAGCTCACGCGGTACAGGCCACTACTCGACCAGTCATTCAGCAGAAGACAGGGGTGCCAAACGCTATCATCGAGAACGGGCGCACCGCCGGAGTATGGACGGTCTTGAAGATAACAGAGTGGGGCCTTCATGAATCTACTGCTTATCCGTGCCAATGAAGTCGGGGTTAGAACTCATCTGTGGTCGCATCTTTTCCATTCATCCGAATCACGCATCCCTTCCATGATCACTGTCCATCATTCGCTGTTTGTGTTTCCCCTGTCCCTCCTTGTTCACAAAACTTGGACTTGTATAAATCTCAAGCCATGCGTGCCTTGTTCTGTGTATGTGATACTATATCGCCCGTGTATCTGTTGGTTAATTATCGTCCCTTCCGCTTTGATTCTCCGAGTGTCATCTGGTTTGGTAGATTAGACCCAATCATGTCAGTCAATCAAAGATTCACAGGTCTGGTGACGGGTTTGGGAAGGATAATGCAGACTCGAGAGTAATCTTCGGAAGACTAAACGCTCACGAGGTGGCTCTTTGCGTGTAACGTCTATACGTCCTGTTTGGCTCATTCCTTTTTCACCCGTTTGCACGAGAATCCGACAGAAGAACGGCTTACAAGTACCACCGATTTGACAGCGCCCTTCTTGACACCCCCAGACCTATCATGAGGATGCAATTCTAGATAGCCGGAAGGAACCTATTTAGAAAGAGGATGGAAGTTACACATGCTCGTTTGTAGTAGGAGGTAGCAAGGCAATTAACACAAGGTTACAGATAGATATGTAGGGACGAGATCAACCACACAACTCGTTCTTCCGCCGTAAGCGTCGGAATGCATTCTAAGAAAAGATTGAGATGACGAAGGATCCGGGGATCAAGTCAACTGTAAAAAAAGAAAGCTGAATGGAAAGCAGAGAAATCGACAACACAAAGAATAAACAATTCACACAGATGCCGTTAGGAGCGGGTTTTGACGTTATTCCAATCTGCCCTTTAAGATCTTCCAATGAGGGCGGGTGACCACGACGCGGTAGAACGCTCGACAGATATGGGGAATCGGGAAGGCCTGAAACACGTGTCTCCCCCTTCAGCCCCGGTATACTCGAGCTGCTCGATCGAAATCGGAGGAGAGTGCTGCCAGATTTTTTCTTGATCCATCCAATAGCTTTCTAGACTGCGACCGCCACAACCTGTGAAGTCGTAGGTGCGATAATAGACCCATTGCGGACAATCAACTTCCCCATTCGGCGACATGAAAGTTGGCGTCGAGGGAGCACAAGTAGCGCCAGTAACAGTAGTGGATGTAAGACCCCCCTCAGTAGGCAAAGTAGCAGTGGTGGTGGTCACGGCAGTAACAGCGGCTCCACCAGAACTTTCAGCCAAATTAGCTTTGAAGTCCAGGATTACATCCATAATGAAAGGTTTTCGACAGTGAATCGAATCCTCTTCTTGACTGATCGATTGCCTGGCCTGAGAGAGGAGAAGGCTGGGTCGGATATTCTGATCGGCTGACCCAGATAAATAGAGGCGTCGAACCTGGGCATCAATGCGCTGCTGGTTTGCAGCAGCAGCAAACCCTTCAGAACAGCGAATGGATGAAGCAAGAGTGGCCCGTCCTTTCCTGCCACCGGAGCTTTTTGATGCATGAAGCAGGCCAATAGCACCAGGATTGCGGCGAATAGAAACGGAGACCATGGGGTAATGTGGAGATAGGGGTTGTCTCTGTTTCTTGACCGTCTTTGAATGTGGCGGTTTGTGGGGAGTGAAAGGTGGGTTCTTGTCTCCGTCTTTGGATGAGTGTGCGATGGTGGTTCGCCTACCACCGGCATGTCGTGACGGCCAAAGGATCTCGGAAAACACGGTGGATGATGACCTCTTTGACCTAGGAAAAATGGACCGTACTGGTCAGTAGGAGAGATCACAAGGCAAAAAAGAAGCAAGATCTCACTGACCGTTTTCTTTGGTGCTGTGCAACATGGCTTAGCATTCCCGCTCTTCGATAGGGGTTCCGGGTTGGCGAGGCTTTGAGCATTGCACGCAGTGAAGAGAACGTGAAATTACGTTATTAGGGATGATAGAGAATGGACGACTAGGAAGTATCAGTGGCTGACATCGATGAAGTGTCCCAGTCTGGTGTTTGGATTGAAGTCTAGAGCCATCCAATGTGCAATGAGGTCGTTTCCTCCGAAACATCAGTGCGTCCTGAAGGTTCGCGGATCAGCGAATTTACTTGCCTCGTATTCGGAAATGAACGAAAGCGAACCACTGCTCAAACTTGGAAGGCAAGCTTTTCATGACTTTGGCCGGAATCGTATGAAAAAAGGCTGGCCACTTACCAAATTTATACTACAATAGGAAACAGCTTTTTTTGTTTGCTTTCATATAACAACGGCTCTGGAACGATAGACAATGCCACGACGGAGTCAATAGGTTACAGGGCGAGATTACAATTTTCTCACCGTGCAATATGATCGACACAAACCAGGTAATCCTGTAAATGAGATATCTTGACTTGGATAAGGCTGAGTCGGGATCCCCGGAACTTCACCTCAATCCGCCATGGTTAGACGCCCAGGGGCCCCTACAAGGTCGAAAGAAAACAACAGAGCGCAGCATATGAGATCATAAACACCTCATAACCTACCGCAGCGAGCGGGCATACTTGCGACAACCTTCCCTATTTTGACTCTTCGGTCAAGGAAGGGCAGGCCCAAACAATCCCAACGGGACGGGAACACGCCAGTGAAAGGATAGCTCGAAACTGCTTGAAGAACACTTGGACTAGAAGCAATGAAACGTCAAGACCAGACAAATGGCGCTCGGAAAGCAGTCTGAGGTAGAAGAAAAAGGGAATTTTGTCGAAAAAAATGGATTTGAGAAGCCTAAGACGCCTTGTACAGGTCTAAACAAACTGCAAGTTTGTGTGCGAATGTCTATCGATAAAGATGGTCGGCTGTGGCATGAAATGAGTCAGTTGAAGGAAATGGAAGAAGCGAGTGGGAACGTACCATGCAAGTTTGCAGCAATTTCAGCCTCAGCCCGATCACCATTGGCCAAAAGCTTCTCTTTGTTGTACAACAACTCTTCTCTGGTCTCCGTCGAGAACTCTTGGTTTTGGGCTGTGCGGAGTAGAAGTGTGAGTGACGTTTTGCCTAACGGACATACAGTAAACCGAGCTTACTCTCAACGATGGCATCGACGGGGCATGCTTCTGCGCAGAATCCACAGTAGATGCATTTCGTCATGTCAATATCTGGGGTAGGGATCTCGGGTTTAAAACACAGCTTTATTTAAGACTAGTTCAAGTCACTGACCGTATTTTGTCGTCTTGCGTGATCCGTCTTGACGGGCTTCACTCTCGATGGTGATTGCCTGTGCGGGACAAATCGCCTCACACAACTTGCAGGCTACCAAAAGGGTCAGCAGACAGAGTAAATAGAGTGTAAAAAGCTTACCAATGCAACGTTCCTCGCCACTGGGATACCTGCGAAGAGCGTGTTCTCCTCGGAAGCGAGGGGAGAGAGGACCTTTCTCGAACGGATACATGATGGTGTAGGGAGGTCGGAAGAACTGTTCTAGTACGACCCACATTCCTAAAGAACGGTTAATTTGATACGAGCGTCAAAGGTTTGAGATGAAGCACCTCTGATGATTTCGGTGAAAAAGAATATGTGGACGGCTTTATCGAGTGCACTGGGCCCCTTGGAATAGTCTTCTGGTCCTCGGAAACCCTCTCGTTGAAGTTCTTGGATGGCAGCCAGACGCTCTTCAAGACGACTCTCGAGCCCGGAAGGCAGTTTGTTGCCACCAGCATGTTGAGCATGGGAACACGGGGAACTGGAGAGCAAGCGACGGGTCGCAATAATTGAGCGGACTGCCGATGACGTGGCGTTGGTGTTGAGACGAGGCACAATGCCTGAGACGAGATAGGTCCTGGCCAGCGACATTGTTGCCAGCAACGACGGGGACGGCGACGACGACGACGAAGGTAAAGGAATGTGTTGGAGTCCTGAGCGAGCTCACGGAAAGTCGAGGGTCGCACGGGAGCCAATCAGATCGCGCGCGAAACAAAAGTTTCCACGGTCGAGTCAACCGAATCCCAAGTCGCATCTCATTACTGAATTCCAGTATCAGCATTAACTCGACCATGTCGTCTACCTCCACATCGTCTTCAAAACCAAAGGGAAAGGCCGCTCCACTTACTGATCAGGGTAAGCCTGCGCTCCAGGACCTTATCGGACCTGTCTCCTGAGTTACCCTAAGCCAGAGATCCAGCAAACCTATATTCGACTTCAAAATGAACTACAGACATTAGCAGGGAAAATCGGCGAGCTCGAATCCGAGGCAGATGAGCATACGTGCGTTATCAGCTCTTCTCTCATTCAATGCCTTCTGACTCCCTTCAAGCCTGGTTCTGACGTCTCTCGAGGAAGTCCTTGCCAAAGAGCCTGATCGGACGTGTTTCCGGTTAATTGGCGGCGTCCTGGTTGAAAGAACGGTCAAAGACGTTGTTCCCCAGTTGAAGACGAACAGAGACGGTGTACGTTTCGCAGACAGTCTTCCATTTGACGCGATCCTTACTCGAATCCCCTCCATAGATCAAACGAGTGATCGCCAACCTTGCCGAACAGTACAAGAACGGTGAAAAGGAATTTGACGACTTCAAGAAGGAACATGGCATCCGACCAGTTGCTGCTCAGTAAAGGGTTGATTTGGGCCTATAGTAAGATTATTCGTGATCATGTCGTCCCCGGTGTACATATAAGATGAGGCAGACCTCTCCATAATCTTTGTCAAACCTAAAATCAAATGAATTGCCTTTTTACAATGTAAACAAGCTTTGTCAATACATGTACCTGTCCTTTACCTTGTTCTTCGTCCTGCGGTCGTCTTTGACCGTTGTGAGTAGAATCTAGAGCCAAGCGCTCGCGGATCTGGCGCGGAACAACGCCGGTGCGGGCAATTCTTGGAAATTTGGTGGTCGTCAACGAATGTGTGATGCGAGCAAGTTGTGACTGACTTTTCCTCGCTGTACTGTATCGCTCTCGTCCAGGCATTTGCTGCCTCTGTCGTTCTTTAACCAACCAAGCAAATATGTTCAAAACCTTTTTCGCTCTCTTATTGACCCTTTTCACGCTGCTCAACGCCGTCTCCGCCGCACCCCACACTCACACCCACCGACACATTGCCAAAGCTCGTCGGGCGGTCGACCTCCAACGCAGTGACATCCAGGAAATTCTTGAAGCCCACAACTCAGTTCGAGTTCAACACAATGCTCGTCCCCTAGGCTGGTCCCCCTTTTTGGCCAGCAAAGCCGCATTCTGGGCCGACATGTGCATCCTCCAGTATTCCGACGGTATCCTGCTCGACAGACCCTATGGAGAGAGTATTGTCGCTGCGACTGGCACGTTCACCATCAAAGACGCGATTGGCACTTTGGTGTCCTCGAGGAGTACGTTTGAATCCCAATAGAGTGCAGTGGCGTGTCATGAGTTCTGATGATGTTTGCTCTTCCACAGACACCTACGATCCAAGGACCGCGTACAGCCAGTTCACCCAAATTGTGTGGAAGTCAACAACGCAAGTCGGATGCGCCATTTCCCGATGCGAAGGCATTCTTGACCGCCCAGTTACCTTGTATGTCTGTGTCTACGACCCTCCCGGAAACGTTGTCGGTGAACTTGCGTACGTCGGGTTCCTTTTGATGGTGTTGGTATCCAGGCTCACCAAAGCATCTGCAGCGAAAACGTTGAAGTCTGATCGACATGCATTCTTACCGCTCGACAGGACAGCTACCTCTTTATACACTCGACTCTGGCAGTTTTTTCATCAAAGGGGATTCTCGCCAGACGAGAGTCCGAGACCCTTTTACAGCCCTCCCTTTCCCAAGTGGAAGGAAGCCATTATACCACCCTCTCCAACCCATTGTTACCAATACCCCTTAAGCATTTGCAGCTGGCATGTTATTGTCACTTTTTCAAAGTATGGAGCAATAAACCATCATTAACATGAAGAAGATTTCTGCTGGGGATTCGGGAAGCCAACACTGATTCCAACTCTCCGAATCAAAATTCCGGTCTATCGGCCTCTTCCTTCGTCTTTCATCTTCCTTCTTCAGAAACACCTGGTTGCTTCCATCCTTCTTACCGGCACCGTGGCGAGAGAAAGATACGCGGGCGTTCGGTAACCAGGGTAAGCTTTTCCCTCGCGGTAATTCCTCTTTTCGTTCGTTGACAAGGTTCAGTGTGATCCAACTTCTATCGAGATGACAAGTTGGGAGGGACCAGATGGCTGAACGTCGGCTGAATTCTGTCAGTTTGGTTCCTAGCATACTTCTGAAGGTAAAAGTGTCGTGTGTGTTCATGTGTGGTGGGGAAGCAGAGATTTCGAAGGTTGGTAGTATGTAGTCTTGGAGGCTAGGCTCTTGTCTGTTTATCATCAGGGCCGCTTGAACCGTTCATTCCTGCGATTGATTTTTATTGGTCCCGCGACAACCCGTGGACCCCTTAACACCCAGGATGGGTACCAGCAGGCATATGGAATTCACCGAAAGCTCCGGTCGAAACGAAGTGGAGGGATACGACGTTGTATTCCAAAGTCGAGAAGTAGAATTCCGGTTTCTTGACCGTTCCGTTGTCCATGCAGTCATTCTCTTGCCCGTTTATGGACTCCCCGCACTCTAGTTCCATCCTTCCAGGCGAATATGTTGGAGCCAGGTCAATGGACACCATGACTCGACTCAGTTTGGACGTTTGAAAAGCGAGCCAGTCCATCCCGGAACCTCGTGCCGTTCCTTTCTAACTTTGGAGGAGTCTTTCACCCTCGGCGCTTAGCTACATTGGTAGCTTTCAGTATCTTAACCCAGGTTTAGACTTATTTCGAACGTGGATCCTACTGGCATCGCCTTTCTAATCTAGCTTCCCGATAATATTAACACAAAACCTTGAAAGTACGCTAACTTGACTTGGAGTGGATGAATCTACATCCACCCACATGTGCCACTTCCGGGGCTATAAGGAATGGAGACATTGGAAAGGCCAGGCCAAAGCACCCCTCTGAGGCGAAGCGGCGAGAGGGCTTGGAGAGGGTTGTCAACCCGTTTTCGAACGCTTTAGGAAGGTGCCCTACCCGAAATTGATGATCGTGGCTACTGCTAGTTTTGATCGGATGGACCAGGCGTTCCTCGGATCCCTCATTGTCGACCTTTGAGATTGGTTAATAGCTTTTTCTTGGTGTGTTGGGACCCAAGGTTCCTTGGTCCTTTATTGTTTAATCGGGTTGGTTGGTTTCTCGCGCGTATAGATAGCGTTTACAAGGTCTTGATGCCCAGCCTTTCGAGATACGTATTGTCGAACTAAAATGATCACATATTCAGAGACTACTAGGGCGCTGAATTAAGAACCTGCAGCTAGATTTCACGGGAGTAGATGTATCGTAAATGTCCAGGAGGGTGATATTCTGGTTAAATAGGACGGTAGACGTATCACTGCGGAAGAAATCCAAAAATGAACGGCGACTGAGAGGGAAACAAGTACTCGAGTTCGCTAGGACTAAATCGAAACTTCAGGCGTCAGTAAGCACATCGTATCTAGTGAGTAAATATCAATGTCCAATAGGCACAGCCATATATCTAAAAATATCAGCAGGATTCGATGAAGGAGTTTTTGGGGAATGGTAAGCCATAGTCGTCTCGCCAGGTGGTCAGATTCGGGTTAGAATACGCTTCCATATGCCTGTTCGGAAGGAGACGTAGAGGTAAGAATTGAGAGTCATACACGAGGACGAGGGCAAGCGAAGGTGAAATGCGCGAGGCATCGCTATTCGGACAGTCCATTGCACAACGAGGCAAGAAAGAGCAACTCACCGTTCGATGTAATCGGTCGTCGGAAAGTCTTTAGGATTGCATCCGATATTGATAGCATCCACTGGCTGGTACACACGAATATAGTCGATTCTCATCCGCTGAGGGAACACGAGGTTGGCGAAATCGACGTCTCCAAAGTTTCTGGACATCCCGAGGTTTAGGATGATGTACTAGTAGCAAAGGAAGGACGGTGCGTTAGTCGCGGAGTAAAGAGGAGTCACGGAGTGAACACAGCCTCGCTGCGAGCTTGTAGATGATAGCAGGTAAAAGCCTTAGGAATTGATTGACAGACTGACCATTGGTTCCTGAGGGATCGGCCGCGCGGATATTTCCACTGCAGGGTTAGGTCCAACGCCTGCTGCGTTCAGAGTCCAGGATACGCGTCCATCGGAGACCCAGGTGATATACTAGCGCGAGCGGCCGTAAGTAGGGTGAGTGTGCCTAAAGGGAGAATGGCTTACAGCGTCGTCGAAGCCTGTGTAGTGAGGTTCGAAGTTCGTCAGCCACGATCAGAAGAGAAGATAGTTCGGATTTTTGACGTGCCTGGTTTGTACTATGATTCAAGGTCAGAGGCCAGAAAATAAGACAGAGAAGATGGGACGCACCTCGAATCCAAAGAGCGAATAGCAGTCCTCAACGAATTCGTAGCAACGCTGGTCAGTGTTTGTCACCACGGAAGCAGCTTGCTGGACTACATTGCCGACAAACCCGTTCAAAGCTGAACGACTCGGATCGACTATATGCATAGTTTCGGAGTTGTTATTCCAGCGATACGAGCGGTCAAACGGCTAGCCAAAACACACGATTCCATCAGAAAACAGGGTCACCAGAGATTTGCTCACACCATTCAATTGCTCTAGCACTTACCGCAAACTGAGCTGACTGCGAGACCTGACCCATCAGTGGCTGGCCTCCCATTTGCGCTTCGATGACGTCGATTTCAGGCGCTGCTCGTCCGACGTACGTTCCATCAGGGTGTTTAGGACCTGGGTGATCTTCCCCGTCGCAGGTGCATCTAGAGAGTTTCTGGCCGGGAAGATAGGAAAGAGCATAGTCATATGCCCAGTCTCCATCGACTGTGGCGGCGTAGGGAAGGCCATTGTGGGTTTGATTTGGAGCGGTTCCGACGTCGCAGGCATCATAGGTGTAGGGCCACTGTAGAAGGTCGAGTAAGTCCACCAAAGGTTATGGAACTCGAAAGGCGTGATGAAGTGTACCATTCCTTCCAGTGAGGCCCCATATCCGGCGCGCCCCAGGTTCCCCATAGTCCACACTGCAGGCCACATGCCCGCAACGTTGTTTGCGCCGGGCAATTGAACAGCTGCCTCTATGTAGCCTCCAGTGAAACAGAATTTGTTCCTACGGAACTGTTAGTCGTCTACTGTGGCATCTGTTCTCCATTCCTACCAAGTTGTCACTAGACCTGGTAGTGCCTGGATTAGAGACGGTATGGATTAGAGACAGAAATAGTACGAACCTCCTTGATAATTCAAGTTATGGGTATTTTTCTCGCTGAATGTGATGACGAGGGAGCCGTTCGCTGTCGTCACAGCCTCGGGGTCGTACCATTCCAAGTTGTTCGTCCCCTGAATGCAGGGAGAGCGCGTCAGGCTTCGGGAAAGACAAAGTTCCAACAGTGCGCTCACCCAATAGTGAAGGTCTCCTGCTTCCCAATAAGGATCATCTCCCGGATAAAACGAGCGCCCATCAGTGTTGAATTCATCAGAAAACACCAATTGAAGTGGCTGTCCGTCTTTATAAGATTCTATCACATAGGCATCCTTCGGTGTGTCTAGGTCGATTAGGCCCCAATTCCCAAGGGATGGAATCTGAAGATACGATGAGCCGGAAAAGATCAACCGTGCAGGTGCACACTGACCTGGCCTGTGGAGTTGATCCCTCCCAGGTTGTAGCCTGGCACCGCTAGTTTTCTGTGTCTGCTGTACATGACGATGGGGTACCCAATGCTGGAGAGCTGTCAATCCTCACCGCGGCGCGTCCCAATGCAAAACCTGGACTTACAACAGGAACAATATGCCGATGCAAATTGAAAGAAGGCACCCCAAGTTGATTATACCGCGCTTGTTCATCAGGAGTTCCTTGGGATCGTTTTTGGAACCAGTCTCTGCGTCGGGGTTGTGCAACGCATCGTCCGTTTCGACCAAGTCGGGCGACAGGTCTGAACCCCAGAGTCTGGGGTCCGGAGCAAGGGAAAACTGTAAATATATGGGAACGTTGGTCGTGGGGAGCGAGTTGCAACGCATGGGCCTACTTTGTCCGATAAAGTACTGAGGCGAGAGCCAGCGCGGGGATACGGGGAATCCAATGCATCCAAGGTCTGCTGCGAATTTCAAGGGCGTCAAGTTACCATTCTTTGGCGCTTCAATAGGGGGTCGAGGAGACGTACCCAACTGTCTTGACGAAGAATGCCGAAGCTTGATGCTCGAAGCAGGGTGAAGGAAGTGTCGCCAGATGGAAACTGGGCCATTCTAGGAGACCCCTGGGAGGACATAGTGGATGGAGAGCAAATTGGCGTGTAGAAAGAGGAAAAGAAGGGTCAAAAGGCAGGTAGCGAGTGTTGGGTTGGTAATAGGCGTCATTCCCTTGCGAATTCGAAGCATCTGAAACGGATGTGTCCAACGAGGCCCATTTGGCTCTGGGAAGCTATTGAGACGTAAAAATAGATCTCCTTGCTGCCACGCTATTACATCTCTTCAAACAGGTTCCTAGTTGATATATCGCTGTCAGGTTTCTTCATTTTCAGCTTCCAGATTGTTCAAGACAACGGCATCGACGGTGAAAACACCACCTTTTGGGCGCCTGTGTCATGGAAATGTTCATTGACGGCCCGCCCTGGCCCCGGTGGCATTGATGAACAGAACCCCTTTGATGGTCAACTTGAAGCTTGATCTCTTCCTTTGACGCCAACATGCACTTCGAGGAACTACCCGTCGAGCTCATTGCTGAAATTCTAGGCGAACTGGATCTCCAATCACTGATTACCATGTCTCACGTCTCCAAACGCCTCTATCTCGTCGCGTCGGACTCGGCACTCAACCCATGGCGAAAACCGATCCTAGCCAACTTGCAGTCCCATCCATACGAAGCCGCCCTGAAGCACCTCAGCGTTAGAATGACAGTCCCTAGGCAGAACTGGATTGAAATTCTGAGTCTTGCAAGGCCTTCCTTTCTGCTATACGAGGCAACATTGCCCAACCTCAAGGCCACTGAATGGGAAGAGTGTTTCCAACGTCGTTTTCTACCCGGCTGGGCAAAATGGAAAAAGGATGGTTCGTGGAAGGAAGTGTTCCTGAAGTAAGTGCAGATCCCTTATTGTTCTCCCAATTCTGACGTTGGGGTATTAGGATGCTTTACAGGATCGTCCATCGTGGTTCTACATCCTGTACGGCTGATGAGGCCTGGACCAAGTCAGCACCTGCTGCTACCTGCCATTCGTATCTCTATTCAATCCCCTAGGTACATCGTCTTGAACCGGAATGGCTCAGCGAACGAGCTGGAAATATCCTCCCGCAACTTCAACCCCATCAACATTTTCAACGAAATCAAGTGGGTGATCGCACGCATGATCCCTTCCTAATTGTCTCAACGACTTGCCTCTTCAGGCTACAAAATAACCTCGCTCATTTGGAGACGCGCATACGAGTTGGTCACATTCCATCTCCATCTCGGTACCGAGCTGATAACTATTTAAGCTTGTTGTTGAATTCAAAGACGTTAGAATCTTGGCGTTTGGAACAATGACCAAACCAAGATCGCAGACTTCTGTCAACGCCAATGCTCACCTCTTGTTGAACCCCCCAGGGATAGACCCTAGCAGAGTAGTTGGAGATATGGAGTCTACAGTTGTGGTACATGGAAATGCGGTCATCGACGATCATGGAGTGTACCCGTCAATTTCGGATCCGCTCACGCCCTGTGAGTGTTATTGTCTCTCTTTCTCTTTCATACCTCCATATTTACCGATAACCGTTCAAGCCTCGCCAACACAGCCTTCAGCCGCGTATCCGTCTAGCTATACGAGGATACGGCGGCCCCTGCCTGCCGCCACACATGCAAAATATCCCTTCTATACCCCAGGTGGCGGGGATATTCGATGGAAAGATTCCGACGAAATTAATGGCCAGGGTGGACGATGGGTCGGCAGTATGATGTGCGTGAAGCTCAACTCGCTTTGTTCCTTCACTTTGAAGCTGAAACTCATCGATCCTAGGATTACCACGCAGTTACTCGGTCCCATAGCTGAAGGAGACGCTACGATGCCCGGCCGCCAATATGCATCGTTCACTTGGGCTGATCTCTGGATCATCGCACCTTGGCTGGAGGACATAATAACCACAAGAGTAGACGGGCCCGGCTTGGGCCATTGAATAAGCCGCGTCCGCATAAAGTCGGCGCGTGAGCATTTCGGTGCCTCCCGGTTCCGCATTCTTTGCCTTTTCTTCTCTGACGGCGTTACCCACGACTTTGTGGACAGGCGAATCCCTACCTTATGTGTTTGGCTTGCAAAGGGACTCTATATTACAGCACGTGGTACACGACCACCATGAATCGGCAGCTCTGTAGGTTATTCTCCTGACGTTCCTTTGTCTCGTTTCCATACTGAAACTTTTTCCTTACCATTTCAGGGCCGACAATAACATGCTCGATCGTCACCCGGCGATCTGAAATCTTTGTCAACTCGACACTTATGTTTTCTCATTTCTAAGTTTTCATTCTCGGCTATGCGCAGAGAAGATCAGAGGCCGACAAAGTCCTATGTCCGCTGTCAAACAATAGCTGGAGTGATTTCTAGGATATGCTGCTGCTTCTATCTTTGTACGAAGGCACAGAGCAGGGGTTAAATAGGCGTGGTGAAGAATTTTGAGGACTCTTTCACCCTCGTTCTTTCGAACTTCGCCTACCGACCCTTGAATCTCCTCGTCCGCTCCCGAGGTGAAGGTCTATTTCGGCAACTCAGACGATATCTCCTGCATTTTATCCTACTACGGTCATGGCGAAGGCGAAGCAGTCCGCTCCTCGTGGCCTTCGTCAGCCTGGTCCTCCCACTGATGCATCGGTCCCTACTACCAACCCGCTGAACGACGGTCCTTGCAACGACTCACCTCCCGCTGCTCCTGACATTCGACTTCCACAACTCCTCTCGCGCAAGCCACTTCGCCGAGAAACTTCTCTCGACATTAACAATCCGAGCTTCGAGTCGCCTCTATCCGACTCTAGCAAGGGCCCCATTAATTATGATGACCAGGAATGGGTGGACACTGTTGCCTTCGGACGGTCCTCCAAGATCCCCGTGGAGTCCATTCACGGGAAGCAGGAAGAGGTGCTCGTGCCGATCCCAGAGCCTCTAACGCCCTCTCGACTTGGGCCTTTGGATTTGATCTCCACTTCCACGCGCGACCGGAAGAGCGGGACACAGCCAGTGCGTTGCACATTCTCTTTCACAGTATAACCTTCACTCACTGCAAACAGTCTTTCATCTGCACCAACGAGAGTTGCGTGGAAGTGGACAAGAAGACCGGTCGCAGGACGTACAAGAAAGCCTTCGTTCGTAGAGGTGACTACAATCGACATTGTGCCCTACACTCCGGCCTTAAGTCAGTAGACTGAGCCCCTTCCGTGATATGTTACCTGATTGATCTTTGCAGGCCTTTCGAATGTCCCGAATGTGGCAAGAGATTTAGTCAGAATTCGGGGTTGAAGACTCACTTAAACATCCAGTACGTTCACTCTGCCACTTTCTTGTGCAGTGGACTCAATGTTTTCTCAGCAATGATCTAAGGCCCCATGCCTGTGGCCACCCCGGATGTGACAAAACCTTCGCAGATCCCTCTTCCCGCACTCGACATCGTAAGGAGAAGCACTTGCACCCCCTTCCTTACTGGTGTCCAGTTCGGGTTTGTACTTTCAAGTAAGCCTCCATCTCTCATCCCGGTGGATGTTGTTTCATCGGTGTCCTGTAGGAATAAACGTCCCTCGATCTTCAAGAAGCACCTCATGGAGAACCATGGGGTAAACGCAGATGGCTTTGACATTGAGATGTACTCTGGGAAGGAACGCACCCAAGTCATCAACAACCACAAGCAATTCCAACAGTCCCTCTCCCATGATTACGATGAATATCTTCCCGTTGCTGCTCAACGCAGGCGGCGTCGTTCCAGCGCTTCTAGCACCCCCTACAGTCGAAAGCGCTCCAAGAAGGATAAAGGTCCCGACGGGTATCCCCCTCTCCAATCAAACATTTCATACTCCCCTGACGGTCATCTCTCAAAGTAAGTCCATATCGTGATTCGGGATTCTGGCTCAAAGCTTGACGACTTTGGTGATTTTCAGGGAGATTCGATCGAAGGGAGCCTTCATTGTCCCACCCGAGTCTATTACCATGCCCTCGCTGTACCCAGCCTACCAGCCGCAGGTCAGGCAAAGCTCTCCCAGCACACCGGCAACCGAGTACCCCTACATCGACTTGCAAGCCTGCGCTGGATATTCGACGTCGAGCTTTTCGATGCCCAACCTCAACCTGACACGATCTATGTCCCCCGTGACCGACTCGGCCTTCCACTCGTACCTCACTCAAAGCTCGGGCTACCCATTATCCTTCACTGATCCAAGTCAAATCTGGGGGTCCCCCAATTTCCATGCCTTCGAATCTCCTCGCTGAGCACACCTGGAGTGTGTCTCAAACCTGACCGTAGTGTAGTTCCCCCCGCCTCTCTTCCATTTTGTTTCGCCTGCGATACCTTCTCGACCTGAGACCCCCGCCCACTTCCATTTCCACTCGTTTGTTCGGCCTTCAAAGTGGGTGGATGTTGCGTTTTTTGAGCGCTGATACATTGCCATGTTTTTATTAACTTGGTTCACCGTCCATGGCACGGTTTAATAGACGGGCTTTTTATCACATGTAGCCTGCGAGTATTGTAGTATCCAATAGCATTTCTGTTGGACAGAACGCAATTCATGGAGAAACCGCAAGCGTTGTCACCAACGTACGTAGCCAGTGCCAAGGACGCGTGAGAGCGCGCGCCACGAGAGGGAACACAAACAAGGCCTTGATCGAAAATTATCCCAGATTGACCTTTGCTACAACCAGGCTTCCACTTTCTTCTAACGCCGCTCCAGTGGCCTTGCTTTATCGTCTTTATTCAAACTACAAGCGAGGTTTACGTCTTGTAGCAACCAAAAGACCTCTTTGTAGCTCGAGAACTGTTGTGGGTGCCACTGCTGCAGGCTCTCCACGAGTGATGCTTGCCTCCCCACTGCTCCCTGCACCACCGACGTTCGGTCCCCAACCAGCTTCTGACGACTACCGTCCCGCGAAGGACATAGAAGCTTTCAACAACCTTTTGCCACCGCCCGTCGAATTTGTCGAGGGCTCTTCGTCGGGGGCCTATGCTGTTCCAGAGGGCAAATACAAGCCGATCAATGTTCCATCCTCACCAAAGGCACCAAGGCACGAAGTGAGTACCCTTTGCGCGTTTAATTGCTTAAAGATGTTAAAGACGCGCGTCTATTGTTTAACAGAAGTCCCCCGAGTTGACCAATGGCACGCCCGCCACCCCCAAACCTGTCTCAAAACCAGACGCCCAACCCAAAACGCCCAAGTCGCCCACCAAGTCTCTGTATCCAACGGGTATCGACACATCCTGGCCTCCAAACTGTAACATTGGGTCGGGTCTGCACAATACAGGAAATACGTGTTTCTTGAATAGCGCCCTCCAATGTCTCCTCCACACCCCTCCACTTCTTCGAGTCCTTTCGCACCACAAACAGGAGTCTTGTGCGTGCTTCTTCCGCCTTTATCCTCAGATTTATCGCTGAAATCTCTTTCTTGAACAGGTAAAGTTGACAGAGGCTTTTGTATGGCCTGCGCTCTACGTCAAGTTGCCGCCAAGTCGTTTTCGTCCCGCTCGCCTTTTGCACCCTCGCAGATCACAGGGCGGCTCCAAAGTGCGTTGCCCGCCAGCATCCTCTTTTATACGCCAGGCTTACATTTTCCACAGCGATAGCGAAGCACATGCGGAAAGGGAGACAGGAGGATACTCATGAATTCCTTCGTTACGCCATCGACGCCCTGCAGAAGTCATGTCTCGCTGGCTATCCCCCGTAGGTCCAAATCTTTTACAGCAATGGGGGCGGTAGCCAACGTCTTTCTTTTGACAGAAAAATCGATCAGAAGCTTGCCGAGACTACTTGGGTTCACAAGATCTTTGGTGGTCGTCTGCGTTCCCGGGTGACATGTCGAGACTGTGGATACAACAGCGACACCTTTGACCGAATACTGGATCTCAGCCTCGATATTCTCAAGTCAGACACTATCAAAGATGCACTCCGTAAATTTGTCGCCATTGATTACTTGAAGGGAGCAGACAAGTACAAATGCGAAAAGTGGGTCCGTTCAGAACGCCGCGCCATTCGCTCTTCGCTTATAAATCGTTGATCCTAGGTGCAAGAAGCCTGTGACTGCTGAAAAGCGGTTTACGATCCACGACGCGCCCCTCGTCCTAACCGTGCATCTAAAGCGATTCTCTCCACTTGGCCGAAAGATTGGACATCCCGTCACTTATGACGACCATTTGTCGCTACAGCCTTTCATGAGTGAAGGGTCCTTTGGGCCAACGTACTCTTTGTACGGCGTCATCTGCCACGCAGGTGGGGGACCGCATTCCGGCCACTATTATGCCTTTGTCAAGTCCAGGGATGGGAAATGGTGGGAGATGAACGACGAGATGGTGTCACCGATCAATGGACCACCGTTGTCCAAGAAGAGCGCCTATGTACTCTTCTACATGAGGGCAAAGGGCCAGGGATTGGAGGGGGCTGTCAAGTCGCAAATCAACGGTGTATTGAAGGAGCAGCGAAGCAAGCCTCGGTTGAGCGAGTCAATGAAGGCGCCAAAACCCAAGGATCGTGATGCGGACGACGAGGACAAAGGCGAGAAGCTCGACCGACCGTTTATTGGTCCATTACTCCCATCTCCTTCGATCAACGGCGACAGCAAGAAGTTGAACCCTGTGGACCCTCAAGCGGCGTCGCTCAAATCCAAGATCGAGAAGGCTCGGAGCTCAATGAGCACCCTTGAGCAGTACAAATCTGATGACGAAGACTCTGACAAAGAGGATTTCGGAGAAAAGGTCGAGGATAAAGGGGAGGAAACCAAAGGAGAACCACCCTCTTCACCTCCGAAAGATGTTGAAATGCGACCCTCATCACCCCATCCACCACCACCCTCATCTTCGCCACCCCATGGAGCTTCTGTCACAAATGGCATCCCTCCCACTTCGTTTTATGGTCCGACTCCTCCCAAAAAGCGGAAAACACCAGACAACGCGCACGAGGGGAGTTCTCAGAAGCGCCAGCTCCTCTCCTCGGACTTCAAGAAAGACAGGCATCGAAATCCATTCAACGGCATTACATATAAGAAGCGTAAGCCTCCGCGAGGTCTATAAGATTCATCAGTTTAGAGCACATGTAGTTTAGCATTTTCTAGTTGACACGTCCTCACCCTTTCCTTACAGTACTTAGTGTTGCATCGCAACTCGCCTCGCTTTCAATTGATGTATGCATGTCGGTTCATTCGTTGAAATGTCAAACAAAAAATAAGATTCAAATGAGGAAAGAGGATGGTACATATTAGGATTCCATAAAAAGCCAGGTTACAGTTTGGCCTTAAGCTGATCCTTGGAAATCGTTGCCGTTTGTTGAGTACCGTTCTCCCACCATACAACTGTGACTGTGACATCGTCCCGGTACCTTCGAGAGAAGGGCGCAGGAATGCTCAGACGACGCCGCAGAGTCGACTCGTCGCCGCCACCATAGGCATTTCGGATGAGGTGCACGCTGACATTGTCATCCACGAACGCCCAAGATCCGTCTGTCTTGTTGGCCTTCCTGTGGCGCTTGCCCTCGACGCCTTCAGCCCCAGTGGATACGGGCACAAGGGACGGTAATTCGGATTTCGGGACAGTCCCTTTCAAGCCAGAAAGATAACCTCCGACTAGGCTGATCACGTCGTCGTTGCTAAAGCGAGCATTAGCCTGCCTGATTCGATCTAACCATGCGCATACGACGAACCTCAATTCATCCCAAAGTCCATCGGTCGCCATCACCAAGAAGTAGTTCGGTTTGCCACTCCCATCACCTTCAGACAGAGCCAGTTTGCGATGGGTCACGACGGGTCTCGCGGTAACATATGGGGGTGTCTTGAACAGCGCCGGAGGTTTTCGCATTGAAGTTCCATTTCCGACAAGGAAGGCTTGATTCAGGCTTTCATGTGGTGGAAAGAGTGTAAGCGGTTATCTGATAGCGACGGGTGGTCGTGACTCACGTTTCTTGAACAGCGCGAGTCCATTTGTATCTTGCATCTCCAAAAGCGCGAGTGGGCTCCAAGCCACCGAGTACACGGCCTTCCCGAATCACGTCGTTCTCCTCCTCCTTGGGGTGCTCCGATCGGATCCTACATGTGGGTTTGAGGGAAAGAATCGAGGGAAGAAATGAAGGGTGACCCACCGTGCTAATTCAGAAGGGTTTCGGCCCGTCTGGTCTTCTGTAAGGACCTCGACGCGCCAACTTCCTTTGCCATCTTCCGAGGGTTCCCAAACTCCAGCGACAGCACGACTATCTCCAGCAACGGCAACGTAAAGATTGCGGTGAGCAGTATCAAAAACACTCAAGAGTGCGCAGCTTCCTGTTCCGAGGTCATGCTTAGCTCGGGTTCCAAAAGAGGGGTAAGAGGTAGAGGCTTACCGGAGATGGCGGGTTGCATCGCTTTCAAAGCCAAAGGGTGTTTGCTGAGATCAGGAATAGTTCCTTTCTTTCTAGCTTCATCATCGAGGTTTGCGGCGAGGATACGAAGTGGGGCATTTATGAGTTCTTGATCAAGTTCTAGATATGCTTCCTGGATGGCAGAGGAGACACGCTGAGGATCCGCGTCACCCGGTGTTTGTGGGCTTGCCGATTGGGGCGCAGTTCCCAACAGTCCAGAGCGAAGCCCATTCCACCAGCTTGATTGACCTTGGCCCGAAGGCTCTGCGTTCAACGCAGAGATTTTTGCGGCAACTGCTTTGATAATGACTTTGGAGAGCAACTGGGATGTCTCGAAGCCACCGTGCCCATCCATTACGGCGAAAAAGAGGAAGTCTCCGGGTCCTGCTGGGTCGGCCTCGTCTCGCTGGACTATGGCGTTGGCGCTTGCATCTTCAATGGGGTCATTTGACGCCAGAGACGCAGTAGTGTGCTTCCAGGTAAGCCCGTCAGGTCGAAGGTGGACGTGAGATGAGGCATTCTGGTTTAAGCGCGCTTCCAGGACCTTCATGGGGAGCATAGAAAAGGTCCTGGTGGACATCTCGGACTTGCCGTCCGGACCTTTGACCCTGACTGGGATTTCAAAGCTTTCCTGCTTGACACGGTATCGATAATAGAGGTATCCAGGCGTTCCAACAGCTACAAGAGCAGCCAAAGGCTTCCACGAGCCCCGTAGTGACATGCCTTGAATTCGACGCTAATCACTATTCCTGGTATTCTATGAGTATTAATTTGAATTGCTTGAGAAGAGACCCACCAACCAATTAGTCTTTCCTCCTTATACAGAAGCTGTTATCATCCTGTGGTAGAAATCAGAATCCAAGAGGGTTTGCCTGAGCAGAGTGGGCGAGTTGAGACCGGTGACGGCGGCGCCTGCACCGAGTCCGGGACGCGTGTCACGTGCATCACGTGGATGTTATCAGAGCGTGGTGTTTGGCCTTTGTTTGTTGCGGACCGCCAAATCGAGAGCTCACGACCGCGACCAGAGCGGCTATTGCCGTTCTCTTTCTGACTACAACCACGACGTCCAATACCCATCCGCACTCCTCATCGTCGCTGCCGACAACGAGCAGGCTGTCTATAGGCATTCTACATTAAAGCTATCGACAACTCGATACCGACTATCATGGCGGAGAGCGCCCCGATCAATCGAGCTAAATCGGGTGAATCCAACTCGGGCGTCACTGCCGCTGAACTCTTCACAGAACTGTCCGGAGGATATGAATCACCCCATCCCTCACCCCCAAATTCTCCTAAAGTGAGTCATCTACGTAAGCCTCGTGTTCTATGGTTGACTGACATATATCAGCCTGCTGGTCACACTCCCGACGTCGTTACGACCAATGCTCCAATGCCCATCGCATCGACCTCGAATCAGACAGAACCTAAGCGCAAGAGGCCTCGAATTGTTAGAACCAGACAACCGCAAGCTGAAGAACTTCAGGCTTTGGGCATCAAAGTCATTGATTTTGCCTATGTTAGTACGCTGCCAAAAGTGAAGCCCTACTATCGGCAGCCCGCGCAGTCCCAGCCCACACCCCCTGGCCATAAGAAACTGAGTCGCGAAGACACCGAGCCAATCTTGGGCGAATCTTCGCAGCAAAATCAACCAAGCCGACCTTTGAGACGAGAAGATACGGAGCCCGTAATCGAAGAATCTTCGCAAGCGCCCGCCGCCCTTCCCACTGCGCGGCCGCTTGGACGGACTGTTGCAACCCAAGATATCGTCGCCCACAACACCCTATCTCCCCAGCCAGGTCCCTCCGCGCTATCTCCTCGTCCGCTTCCGCCTTTCAAAAACTATTCGCGCAGCATCGTGCTCGTTTCACCATTGCCGAAGCTCTCGCTCAAAACCAATTTTAGCAATAATGCGTTGAAATTGTTCGACGCATCGCCCTCGACCCCCGTTTCGCCTGGGGCCACGTTGATTACCCTCCCTCGACCTCGTCGCGGTACTAGAAAGCCTTCCGGCGCTGAACAATCCATCACTCGAACAAGAACCACTCGGAGCACGACCCGCAGGACTGAAGCCGCCCAGTCCACGGCCCCTCGCTACAACCTACGCAGTAGCAACAAGAAGACAACCCCTGTCCCCGCTCAACCCCCTGCAAAATCGCGAACGGCGACCAAGAAGTCGACTTCTGTCAAACACGTTGCACAACCGGCTGGCCGCAAACGAACTCGCTCGGAACCTGCGGGAGCATCCGCCGCAGTAACCGTCGTTGCCAATTGTCCCACTCCCAAACGACCCCGCACGCAACCACTATACCCCAACGAACGCCCTGCCAAACGAGCTCGACGCTAAGCAGTCGACAACCTCCATGAGTTCAACGAACGACGAACGACTCATGCTTGGGCCGCCTGGCCTTCTTTGCCGAATCCACATGTGTCAACAAATGGCGAACGATTCATATCTGGACCGGTTTTGTCCTATCACTTCCAACGAACGCGCGTTTTAATGACTCACGACCCGCATTGAACATCTCATTCGATCCATCATCATCATCTGCTTTCTATTCAGCTTCAAGCTTCATCTCGCAATCTCATCAAGTCTCTTTTATCATTATTCGACTACGCATCGCTCTGCTGTTGTACGCATACTCATTGTAAACAGGCGCATTATCACGACTCTCATCGGAACCTTTGTAAACACTGCTGTTGTAGTACTGGCTACTCTGTTGGATATGACGTAGTAGTGTACTTTGTAGTTAGTAACCCCTATGGAATGGTAAGGGGGTTTTGCTTCGCTTCGAAATGCTAATTTATTCGGACTGTTTTCAATTTGACCTCTACTTTGAGAAAAACGTGCGGGCTTCTGGTCTATAGGATTAGGTGAGGCAACGCAGAGTCTATACGGTTGATAAAAGTCAACTGGTTCCTTTCATTCAATGATATGCCTTCCCAAGCCCCTCGGATCTGCGACAGAGAGGATCACGGTTCTTGTAGAGAAGCGTCTGTGCGAGTCTATCCGACAATCCGGCGCCGTTTGAACCTTACTGGCTGGCTGCAGATTGTTCCGCTGAGCCTAGTACTAGCAGGTCCCATCTCAGTCGGATAGAGATGAACTTCCTCCAGAGCTTAATCTGCTTGCCAGTGGAACTGAACTCGAAACTCCATACATAACTTTTAATGAGTGGAACGATCGAATTCAGGTGGACCCCTTTCGAAACACGTTCCTACGTAAACGGACGATCATGAGGCTATAATTTTCCGTTGATCACTTCTATGAAGGTGCATGCGTAGAAGGAGAGAGGAGTGGAAAGACACCCTTTCGTAACTCAGCGAAGGCGTGTTCAGTCTTCAGTCGTATTGTTTTCCGAAACGCGTTACGGACAATCGTGACAATGGCACCTTCGAGGGAATCCATTCTAGAATTCACGAACCCATGCTTCTGTACCGAGGACCAGAGTGCCTATTCTTTTCACTGCGTCCAGGCAGTTTTTCAACGGAAAGCACGGCGGGTCTCTGACTCTCTGTTCTTGGGGGACTTAGGTTTGTCAGAGGCGGACGCTGGCATTCATCCAACTAATTTTCAAAACGCCTCGACGTAGGAACAAGTGGAGCTTTCATAATTGAAACGGGGCTTACTAGACTAGTGCCGCATTATCCAGGTCAATCGATATTGCAATGTCAGCTTTCCGGGCTCGCCAAGGACAACCGCGCACCTCTCCTAGTGCGGTCACGCTAACCATGCCGGTGACGCGCCAATTAACCATCACGCGACTGGGAATTAGGGGTTTCCGACGTGTCCGAGAGCAATTGCCGTCCGCAAGGTCGGGAAACGTGGTCAAAAGTGACTGTAGTTGCAGGTTCGTGTAAAGAATTACGCCAATACCGTGACGTAGTGGGCTATCTGCGGTTCATACCTACAGTCCAGACGGCAAGCAGATTGCACGGTGGATATTGACGTCTGAGAACCTAGGATTCCTTCCATCCGCGTAGTAAAGGATAGATCCTCCTGACTTATTCCAGTTCCCAGAGGCGCTCCACTGGCTGACTTCTCCGATCACAGGAAGCTCGAGTGAAGACATCGAAATGTATACGTATACACACCCTGCTCATAGGGATGAAGCTTGGGCGCATATAGTCTGTATGACACATGGGCAAACTTAGGGTTAGGGTTAGTTGAACTCATTCTCAATTGATACTGTGAACCAAAAGAGTCTCTTGATGCTCTTCGCACACATCGACGGTCCAGATGCGCCCAATTACATACATGCAGCCACACCACGAACCTACGTCCAACGAGTCTCTGCCCGTGTTCGTCCTGCCACTCGCAACTCCGGAAGCTTTGTGAGATTTGGTCGATCCATCAGGTAAGTAGTTAGGAAAGTGTAACATAAACTTCAACCCAAAATATCCGGACGGAAACGTCCGAGCAGGTATGATTGTTCGAATCGTTCAAGGGAAGCGGGTAGACCTCTGTCGGTCAGAAGGGATCTGCAGTCAGGAAAGAGTGAAGTGAAGATTAGCATTGGGAACGTCCTTGGAACAATCCGTATCCCTCTAGGCTTTCCACACATAACATAACTTGTGAACGACGCTGGGTGCGGGGAAGAAGGTGGACAGATATAGCACGAGTGTAGCTGTGGGGTCTTACATACGAAGACCTGGTTTTGTCAATGTTAAGTGGGAGACTCTGTTCGCTCTTGATGGCTTCGATTCTGATAACCATAAATTTATTACCGTCCGCACTCGTCATACCTAGGCTCACAAGGATAAAATAGCACAGAGAGGTACTTTACCAGTGATTCCAATTCCAACTAAAACCCCAGCAAGTGGCTTACTGGATCGAAAACATGAGTTTGAAAGGGCACCCAGATCGCTCATTATGCAAGCCTATCTATTATCTTGGCTTATAGTAAAGAGCTCTTGTCGTGGACTAGCCGAAGTATCAGTTAAGATAAGAGCCACTTCACGTAACATGTCGCTATTGGTGATTGCCAGGGACTCCAGACAAGAAACTATGCTATCATCAGATTTGTGAAGAAACGATTTCTGTAACCAACCCCGCAATCCGGTGCAGTTTGTGTGATTGATGAAAGTGCATGACCCGCATGTTCATACCCTGCGAATATGGAGTTTTTTATTGGGTGTCACTGAACCGTCTGAAGGATGGCGTACCAACCCTGGAAAACTCGCTTTGTTTGCGGCCCATTTGTAGTGCGACGTACCCGCGGTCCCCCTTAGCTCAAGCATGTCACCTTGCAGAGCTGAGACGGAAATATTTATGAGAAGGCCTTTAGACAGGAATGCTCACATTGAACCGGTTCCGCATTCATTCAATCTATCAACGAATAGGGGAAGAGAATAGCTCTGTCCCATTCCTCAGTGGGAAGTACCTACGGCCTGAAGGGGGCAGCGGATGGGAAGGACAAGGGTATACATGACTAGAAATGGGTTTTCATTAACCACCTCTCACCTTGCATATCCATTACGTTCGTTGGAAGAATAGTTGGCAAAGCCTATACGACATTAGCAAACGCTTCTTCGCGAAGTCATCCACTGGATAGATAAGAAGCCCTGATGCAATGCGAGAGGCGACGGCATCTCGTGTGGCTTGATTTTCACCGAGCCTACAAGACGTTTTCGCGAGTCAGTCTGTGGATTCCGGAATTCCCTCTCCCTCCTTCAATCACCACGACGGGGAGAAGTTCCAGAGAGACGTTCGGACGCTCGAGAGTTCGCCGGTGCCTCATGGTTGCGTTCAAGGTTAAATCTGCCTTATGGACACCACCGTGTGAGTCCTACCTGGCTGAAAAGTGAGGGGTATGTCTAGTTAAGTCACCTCCTCCCGTGCATCTTCACCCGGCCAATTTCCGAGTAAATTGGGTGCGAGGAAACGCTTATCTGCTCGAGTCGGCTGGGAGATAAGGTTCGGATCAGCTGATCAGCGGAGGCTGTACGGACCGAATCCGGTCACAGTGCCATATCTGGACTCTTTTAAATGAGGCCTGTCGTCTTACCCTCTTTCCTTACCTACTCTCGTCGTCGTCGCTGACAACGTCGAGCACAATCATGAGCAGCGAAGTTACCATCACCCTATTGCCCGTCTCCCTCTCTCTCGTCCATATCCCGCGTTCTCGGGTCTCGCATGTCTCCCACCCAATTCTCAGACAAATCCTTCATCCTAATCCCGGGTTCCTCAACATTACATGCAATGACATCGAACTTAGTATCTTTGCGGAGGACCATATGCTCGAGGACTTTGAGCCACTTGCACGGAAGGATCGACGTCGACAACGGTCACGGTCAGGTTCGAATCAGTCAAAAAATGGGCTCGAGTTCCAGCCGGTGGAGGTTTCGTATGAGCGATGGAGTGTCCTTCAAATAGATTCGCACAGTAACCAAATAGGCGCGTCAGATACACTCATATCGGCACCTACACCACGCTAATGCTGTCCTATAGACAATTCAGGGGCGAGAGTGCACGAATTGTCTGCTCCATTAGCGGCTGCGGGCATTTCCATCCTTTACCAGTCCTCCTATATGAGTGACTTCATCTTCGTGAGTCACAACCATGACTTTAAACAAATTTGGACGTTAATATCTCCTCGACAGGTGAAAGAAGCCCGCATTCAAGATGTCTTGAACCTCTTCTCCAAAGCAGGTTTCGACCTGTACTCGTCAGACAGCGGGCTGCTGAATTCAGCACCCCTCTCACGACCTGACAGCCCTTCGAGCGACACGCTTCCCCCCTTGTTCGATAACACGCATCTCGTGTCCGCGGTGTTGACAAGGTCTGCCAGTGCCAAGGACGTTTCAGTTCCTCGGTCAGAGGCGGACAGCATGACGGTCAGTAGGCCACCCCCATTTTAAAGAGCATGTGGTTGAACTTTACTCTAGCCAACTTCCCGGAACAAGTCACATTCCCCCACCTTGAGCGAGGTTCGCATCTTGGAACCTGACCTGGCTTGTGTTGGATTGTCAGACGAGTTCGGGGTCGACCATTGGGGCTTGAAAATCGTCAAGCTCGTAGCCTTCCCCGACCTGATCCCATCGACCTCGCGTCGAAGCTCTCAAAACTCGTCGGTGACCGATTGCTCCTCACAATCTGCACCCCATTCGTCTCTTTACGGTTCCCTTGAATATATCAAAATGGATAGGCCTTTCACACCGTCCTCATCTTTTCCCTCTGAGAGTGACGACGACGGATACTATTCTCATTCTCCCCCGAACGCTTCTCCCGTCTCGATGACCCCCGCTGGTTCTCGATCACAGGCAGACCTTCACGGTTCCACTTTATTGCATTCACCTCTTCAGACTCCTTCCCGCCACCACATCTCTCCCTATGGGCAACCTTTCACGACCCCCTCCACTGGTAGGCGATCTAGTCCGACACGGCAACCACCCCCCCAACCTACTCCGCTGTCCTTCTTTAGTTTCACCAGAACACCGGAAGGCTCTTCTTTGACTGCCGACGTCCGTGTCCTGGCTACCTTGTTCCCGCCTCACGAGCGACACATGGTGATCTGCGGCGGAGAACTAGATGCAGCTGACGAAAGACTGGGCGGATATGCGTCGGACGATGAAGAGGGCGAGCCAGATCCCTACAGTTCCTCCACACAAAAATGTTTACAAATTGACCTCCGTCGATTTGGTCTAGGTTCGTAAACTTTGGAACATTGGTTTCTTCTTGGTCCTGATTAAGCTGCAATGACCAGACAAACACGGCCTAGTCAACCGCTTTTCCCGTGTTCTTCAACAAAACGGCATCAACCACATGTACAGTTCCACGTTCAAGACTGCCAATTTACTTGTAAGTTCCTCCCACCATGGTCCAATCCATTGTGCCCATTCTTCTTCTTTCAGGTTGACAAAAAGCACGCAACGCGTGCACAGAGCCTGTTGCGCTCTTGTTGAAGAAGACACGCCTATCGTAACCTGCAACATTTACCCCTATCTTTCAAGATAGCTATCGCACGAAGAATGGCCCTTACCGAGAGCATCGTTCCACACCGTCTTTCCGAGAATCCCGCCATGAAGGAAGCTCAAAGCGCCATGCCCAATATACTCGACGACCGTTTTACACGATCCAGGAGCCAAACATAATATGCCTCCACTGGTGACCCTTGTAAAACAGGGTTTCAGCATGTCTTCCGATTTACTCTCGACTCGGATCCATATGGCTTTAATGCTCGCCAGGGGCAACAAAAGCAGAATCGCTTATCGAACTCCAGGGCCAGGTCGATGAACAGACCTACTCTCCTGCCGCGATTTTTCCCGACCCTGCTCCGACCTCGAATCTGATTTCGAGACGTTTTCATCGCATCATCAAGTAACCAGCTATCGTCGGATCCTACCCGACGATACAGCTATTAATCTCACCCTCCCGTCTGGAATTTCGCATTGTCCTTCGCACTCAAGTTGTCATCGTCATATTCGCATCTACTCTCAGCTCTAGACATTCCAATGATCTGCCCAGCCTTCCATTCTCTCACTCTCACTCTCTCTCTCTTGACACGCACACACCAACGCCCTTATTACGCCTATCATTTCTGTCTCATTCGGCGCTCTCAGTCACCGAATGTCACATGTTTCGTCAGTTCTGCTTACTTCCCATTTCGCATTCACCATCGATATCCAGCTCCCCACTTCAGCAAAGTCATCACCACATAGTATGTACACTACTCTTCATCCTATGCATGTTATCCTTATTCTATCGTCATTTGGTCGTATCACAATTATTTAACATTTCCGATGTACTGCCACCACCCTTCTACCAGTAGCATTCCCATGTACCATCCATACTAGCATGACTGTATCGCAGCCCCTTTCCGTATTGCTATTCAATGACGACGTCATTGCATTCCCTTCAGCCCTGAAACAATCAACTGCATTATAGGCATATTGGAAGCCGCACAAAGCTGTCCAATAGGTTACCGGTCTTTTGAAACTGGGACATAAGGGAAGATCGTCACTCATTTTCTGCGAGTTCATCGCTCTTGGACCTATCGTGCCAGCAATCCCCACGACGAGAGGAATGGAGACGGAGAAAACAAACAATTCCAAGGTGCCGATTCCCGAAACCCGTACACCGGGGTCTTAAAACTCGTCACATGTCTGCTGCCCTTCATTTCCGTTATCTCCTGCATATTGACCGTGTTGCCAAGTGTCGAGGGGACGCAGGAGCGGGACCGAGTGAATCGGAGTCAGCTTATCGATCGTTTTTCTTGTGGGGTTCCCCGACGAAATTCCCCTCCGAGACCGGGGTGACCGCAAGAGCCTACGGTCACAGTGGGGTCAGCTGGTACCAGGGCATGTCAACAATTCACAAACCGCAATGTTGTGAAGACAGTGACAACCTTCGCCCTACGCCCAGATATCCATCAAACAAAAGTGCATTGACGAAAATCACAGGAAGAAAAATGTTACACAGTAGAGTAGTACTTAGGAAGGGGATAGCCAGCCAAGAATAAATAGGATGTGTGGGAAGATATGCAAGAGGATGCAAAAGAGTGCAGGGATGCAGTAGATGCGATTGTCTATGCAATGCGACGGGCCTGTTGTGAAAATGCAAAGAAACAATGCAAGGGGAAAAAGAAAAATGCGGAAAAGAGGAAAAATGCACACGAACCATGTAGTAATGTGTCTCGAGAGCGCTATAGCAAGTAAGAAAGGCGACAAAAGGGAAAGGTGAAAGGAAGTACCGGATGAAAAAAAGACAGGGCGCGTGAGGGAGCGACAACGAAACCTGAAAGGTGATGAAAGCCCGACAAGAGAAAGGGAACAAATAATGATACGAAGCGCTAGGTTGCTATCTGAAGCCCGTTGCGTGCTGCAACGCTCAGATACCAATCGTCGAGTGGTGGGAGATCTTCCTCTTCTTCGTCATCCATGTAAAAGATGGGTTGCGAAGGGCGTGGTGGAAGATCAGCCAGTGAGGGAGCAGCGTCAACCTTAGTTTGAGGCTCTCCCCAGCGACAGTCATCGGACCACTTCCCAGAGGGAAGGGTCTCGTTAATGAGTGAATCTTCGTTGCCATCGTTTAGATGCCAGCCAGTCGATGGGAAATACTCTCCATCTTCTAGATCGATGGGAGTTTCAGGTTCTGGAGTTTCCGGTGGAGAGTCAGCTTCGGAGTAATCGAGGTCATCATCGAGGTAGTCATCATAGTCGTCGAATCGTGGATTGGGGACGTTGATGAAGTTGACGAGTCGTGAAGGAACGACGAGGTATCGGCCGAACCCGCCATCTTGGGGGTCGTTAAGTGCGTTCGAGTGGGATATCCACGGGTCTTCCTGAGGTGGCGTGTACAACATGATGTGGGGTGCCGCAAAGGGGTTTTGAGACTCGAAGAGGACCACTCCTGGCCAGTTTGCATATTTTAAGATTGGCTTTGGGTATAAGGTGAGCATCGCAACGGGACTCGGACGACTGAAAAGTGCTCACCTCAGCCGGATCTGTCCATCGGAATGGTTTTTCAATCGATGCGAGGACATTAGAGTCTTCGTATCGTTTTTGCCAGCCTGCGGCGATGGTGCAGGCGTCAATAGCCTTTTTTTGAGACTGATCAACTAAGATTTTTCGACCAAGGGACGAATTTACGCACCACAGATTTCAATCGATGGCGCTGCAAAGCAGTCACAGTGGGGTTCATGGTCAACCTTTCGCCTTCAGTTGCGAACAGCTGAGGGCGACATGAGTGTTTGTTGTGAAGAGAGAGCGGAGACCGGTACCTCTTGATTGAAGCGTGATGGACTGAAGACGCGGCGCGGGATCCCGTGCTCAATCGATAAACCCGACGCCACGGGCCAATAGCATGCAGGATCGCGTCCTGGCATCCTGGAATGACGCGACACGTCGAATCCGGGGGTTATGAGGAGGGCATTATCTTGGAAGTGATAGTCTACGCGATTATTCCACGGGGTATAGTAGTCTTCAGGGGTTTCTAGTACGGGAGTGATGACGATGTGGGGTGCCCGCTCGGGGCAAATCGAGTTGAGCACGATGTTGGTGCGCACGAGGAAATACTCCCGCAACACGTCCTGTGGGGTAGAAATACATCCGTTAGGCGCGTCTTCCGTCTATGAAAACACGCTTCCACGTACATTGTCGCGTTCTTCTGTCCATTCCTCTGAGTCGTAGCTAGCGGAAGCCGTCACCACGGTCGCCTTCGCGTTGCAGAGCTGGCGAGGAGTTGAATGGATACATAACTCAATTAATTACACCAGCAACGTACCATGTCTTGTACGGACAAAGACTGCAAGGGTCGGAGCAAAAGGCTGTCCCCCAAGGTCGCCTCACTTGTATGCCGTGGCAAGCATGAGGCAACTTGCGCCTTGCGGGATAGACTGTCTTCTACAGTCAAAGAACCACAGTCAAATAGACTTCGGGGCGAGCCCAGCGGCAAGAAGCAGCTGTCGACGTCGGCTTCATAGTCCAGACTCGTCAAACAAAGCGCATCCTCCGTCTGCAGGGTCTCCGTTGTTATGCTTCGGTTATAAATGCGGGGAAATTGAAGACTCACCATAGGGTCCTTATGTTTCTGTTTTCTGTATTTCCTGCGTCGCCTCGTCCTTTGAGAGCGCGAACTTATTGCATCGCGGTCAGGGAGACTCGCGGTTGGTGGAAGAACGAAAGCTTGAGCTGGCGCTTGTATATGGCTGGCGGCACACGTGATCGTATCACTCTCTCTTCCGGCCTTCTTCGAGTGCCTCGGAGTCGGACCTTTCTTCGGGCTCATTAACCAGGGTCGCAGTGATCTGAGAGAGTTGCGGAGAGAGCAGAAATACTGGGATGCGGGGAAGGGCAGCGCAGGGCGGGGTGGGTTTCGCGGGGTCATGGTGGAGAGGAAAGAAAGGGCGACGGTGGGGAAGGCCTTTATTATAATGGTGTTGCGTGTGTGCTGTAGAAACTGATGTGGCTCAGCCTCGGAACTAGTTCGTGGTAGACGCTCGTCGTCGTCGTCACCGTTGCTGCGAGTGGCCTACGAAGCGTTGCCGCGGACAAAGGGAAAAGGAAGTCAACGAATAAAGGCGTACACAGCCTATATAGGCCCTTTCTTCACTCCAATACTAATGCTTCAAATAGAATCCCAGGGGCACCTTCCCAGCAGTACAAGCGACTTGCACACATTGGGCCCGCATGGGAGCAATACCACTTCCTGCAGTCTCGTAAAACATCAAAGAGAAACACACAAAGGCGTTCCATACCTATATCTGACAAGCAATTTGTCTATGAACCTAAAAGGTGCTCCCGGTTTCCAGAAAAGGGCAGGTCTCCATTCATGGCTTCTATTAAGAGGCGAGGTATTCCAGAATAACTTGGTTCCCGTAAATGAAAGAAGCGATATCGAGGCCGTGGAATTCAAGGAATATTCTTCCAACTCGTTATGACGCCGATGACCGGTATTCCGTACCAAGTGAGATGGAAGAAATTTCGCAGGGTTTTCGACTCCAACATGGCATTGCAGGATGAAACAGGAAAGGTCGAAGCAAGTTTGGCAATGTTCTTCGGGGCTATGTACATTCTACTGCCTAGTCGCTCTTGTTGGAGTTGTTCTGAAGAGGGGGTGCGGGTCCCTCTTCGGATCTACGCCCAGAAACCTTTACAAAGTCTGTCATGGCATAGTTTGCGGTAGTGACCTGCAAAGGAGGACATAGGCGAACGGGCAAAGGAAAGTTAACATCGAAGAACTTACCCGCTGAGCAAAGTCGCGAAGGAAACTAGGCAAAAGAGCGACGTATGGCGAAAAATTAGTGTAGAATGGAAGGTAGATTGACTGCGAATGCTGCTCGTCCAGCGCAGCAATGATCCGTTTGACAACAGTGACCGGCTGAAGAGGTGGGAAGAGGAACTTCCAAAGGAATGACGACGGGAGTTTGACCGTTTGAAACATGGGTGTTTGAATGACACCCGGGCAGACAAGTGTTGTTCGGATTTTAGGGCAGTTGTATCTAAATCACTATGTCAGTACAATTTTGCAGGTGCCTTTCAACGGTCGAAGCGGACCTATGATCGAGCTCATATCTCAAAGACTCGTTGAAAGAGACAAGAGCTGCCTTGGAGGCGCAATAGTCGGCTATCGTTGCTTTAGTTTCGTGCGGCCGTGAACGACGGATGTGAACGTACTCATTTGCGCTGCTCCAACAATGCCCATTACCGAGGATATCGTGACGATGTGACCCTGCTTGTTCTCAATCATGGACGGCAAGAAGGCTTTGGTGGTCCAGAAGTGCGCCAATGTGTTGACACCAAATGTCCTACCGCGTTTTGTCAAGTTGGGAAGCGGTGGCTTAAAAGACAATTAACGTACTGGTTAACGTCTTCAGGAGTCAAGTCCAACAACAACTTTCCTTGGACAACGCCAGCATTGTTGATCAAGATTGTCGGGTCGCCAATCTGTCCCCTAATGGTCAATACGAGTTCTACAATGGTCTTGCGACACACAAACCTCCTCCCGGATCGTTTTGGCCGCTGCTTCTACTTCTTCCCATTTAGACACGTCGCATTTGTAATAGGTGATGTTGTCTGAAAGCAACGGTTAGTTCCTCTTGTGCAGCTGCTGCGAAACTTAGACATACAATTCTCTGTCACAATAGGGTTGACGTCCAGAACGACAACTGTCACGTTACGCACTGCCAGGGTGTTGGCGAGCAGTTCGCCAATTCCAGAGGCACCTGGTAAATGTGTCGTGAGCTCCTGACCATATTCTTTGCAGCATCCTGTGAACGTACCACCAGTAATAACGACGATTTGTTCGCCCCAATCCATAGGTGAAGGACCGAACAGGAGGCTGCCTTGGTTTCGATACAGACGCGAGTACCATTGAACGAACCCTGAACAGATGTTAGTGCGTCTCCAGGGCCAAGTTGAGCCGCTACTTACAGAATATAGAGATCACCACATAATATACGCCAAACCCAATGATTACAGGGTCAGTGAGTTTAGCGCCTTGGAAAACGTAGAAAACCGGGATGAAGAAGACAAAGAAAGGACCTAAATCATGATGTCAGAAATTGGAGGAAAGTATTGAAGGGAGTTACTCAACTGAATGCCGTATGCGAGAGGACTTTGGCGAAAAGGTCGATGTCCAGACTGTCAAAGACAAGCGACGATTCGTATCTGGACATTGTGGCTAAGAACGGCGGCAGGGGAGAGCGAAGGGGTCAAAAAAGAGAACAAGAGAAAGAAAGGCGCAGCCTCTGTCATTTGATTTCATTAGTAGCTTTTCAGTACCATGTAGCGCAGTATACTCACTTGAGACGTCGTGGACGGGAGAAAGAGGTTTCCAAGGTCGGCATCTCGACCGTGTCATGATATGATGGACGAAATATATTTGGAAGACTGGCCCCTATTGCGACTAGCTTTTTGTCTCTTGACCTTGACCAACTGCGCTTTACCCGAGCTTCAGGTATTGACGCGTGTTTGTAGCACCAACCTGAACGTGACCGGAGCTGGATCTTAAATAGAACTCTGAGAGTTTGTGAGCTTCTTGCACCTATCCTCTTCCCAGACACTCACCAGCCATGGGCCAGAGACATCAGGCCTTCTTAATCGCCAAAGTTATTCCAAAAAAGGGCGATACTATCGCCAAATATCGATGCGTCGCAGCTGTCCATAACCAATGGTGCTACGGCAAGTTGCCACTCGTCTATGCGCATCAGTTTTATGTTCTGGCCAAGAAGCATGAGGCCACAATTCTCCTGCGCGAAGAGCTTGCAAAGTATGCCGAGAATAACGCCGTCGATAGCGACATACCATGTCCCTATGCCACAAAGCTACTGGAGCAGGCATTCACGGAAGCCCGATCAGTGACGGGCGACATGGTTTCTTTGAACCAAGCATTCGCATTGGACGTTAGCAAGGGCACCTATTACTACGGTGAGCCGCGTATCTTGAGCTCGCCTTGACTTGGCAGTCCATTGACAGCGTTTCCGCCGACAGACAACGACGACGGGATCACGGTCATCGACGTTACTGATCCCCAGAACTTATCCCTGTGCTTCTTACAATTTGATGAAACGAAGCCACTAACGCCTGAGCTATACCTACGTGGCTATTACCCGATCAAACGCAGTGAGTGAGGGCGGTCGTGATACTCTACACTTTGCCCATGCATATTCAATAGTGAGCGACTTTCCCGATGCCGAAAAGCTCAACTTGGAGACCATCGCGAACTTGGATCACATACCTCTTCTTCCTATGACAGCCCTGGCCGAAACATGGCCCGAAGAATACGAGGCGACAGCCGATACCCTCGATTCTGGCCCCACAGGCACCGATCCCGTTGAAAAAAGTATCCCTTCTCTTTTTGACCTCTCGTTGGAGAAAACATTGGACTACGCCATCGAGAACGATGAGATCGAAGCCTTGGAGCATGTCCTTGCTTTTCCTAGAACATCGCACCTAATCTTGGAGAAACTCAAGACTCTTGAATTCATCAGCGACAAAGTAGTCGACTTTGCCGCCCAGATTTTCGCAAAGCAACCCAGTCACCCCAAAGAGGTCAACTTGGCCATGTTCAACCTCGATGGAAAGCAGGTCCTCCGCGTCCTCCTTGATAAAGCGGAACAGGTTGAGCGGCTTGACGTGTATGGCAACGCTCGATTCGACAAGGATGCCCTGGAGACCATCTTGACGCATTTGCCCAACCTTCGCTGGGTGAACATAGTGCAAACCGCTATTTCCAATGCGGATATTCGCGAGCTACTCAACAAGTGGCCCTTTGACGTCTACCGAGACGCCGCCCATCTTCACACAGTCGTCCATCCCTTTTTCATCGACACCCGTGAGGACATCCCACATTCGCTTGGAATCCAAGTTGATATATCAAGCTTTCCGGATGACCCAAATCCGACCTTTTCCTTCCCAATGTTCTCGATCCAATCCGTTGCCTCGAAAATTACAGAGGTTTTCAAACTTCTACTTCCCTCCGACGCATCATCCGATCAATCTTTCCTCCGTCGTTGGTGGCGCGGTCACCCCAGCTCAAACCCAATGCAGATAGGCCCTGAACTCACAAGGTTGTTCTGTATGAACTCTTTTCCAGGGTCAGAGGTCTCTGGTGGATCATGGGAGTTACCTCAAGGCTCAGAGCTACAGCAAGCCCCACGCAACTATGAAAGCTCCAGAATGGCCATACAAAACCAGCCAGCCTTGACGTTCTTACCCCGACGTGGAGGTTTACCCAAGTCACCGACGGAAGGAACTTACACCTTTCTCTTGGTCAACAAATTCCACGGCGGACGCTCTCTAACGGACTTCTGGAGCTACGGAGTCGTAACCGGACGTTCAACCACGCCGACTGGTGAAGGTGCACTGACAGAAGCTTCAACGGATGCGAACGCTGCGAAGGAATGGGAAGTGCTGGACCTCCCAACCTTCTTCAAGCGACTCGAACAGGACGAGGGCCTTTCCCCACCGACAGACCCTTCTAGTCTTGAAGAAGTCTGTAATCTCGTCAAAGACAACCCTTCGCGATTCGGTCTTCTCACTTCCGTACCAGGAGCATGACAGAACCTGACAGGATCCTAGTGTTGGTGACCCAACGTACAGCACTGAAGATGTTGAACCACAATTGTACCCCATGTAATTCTACAAAACTTGTTGTACATACAAACAAGTCCATACCTTGAACGAAAACGAAAGCAAACGAGCATACAAGAAATGCAGGTGTCCCGTGATAAGAGGAGTCTATCCAAATCGCAAAGCAGAGAGACACTTAGAATAATTTCGTAGCACTGACCCAGCCCTTTTTGACACCGTAGGCAACGACTTCGCCAGCACAGGAAGGCCCATCGCGCAAGGCAAGACAGCTGGAAAGGGCAATTGTCTTACGCCTTCCCTTGGTTTTGGCAATCGCCTTCGACTGTGCAGGGAATGCCCCGGTCAAGAAACTTCCCAACCATTGCTCAATATCAAGCAACGACTCGTAGCAGTCCCTTTCTGAGAAAGCGTCGGAGGAGGTTGCCAGAGGCGCTTCAGACCCGGATTTCGGTTTGCGCACCACCGGCGCCTTGAGCCCTTTGCCATAGAGAAGTTTGGTTGCAAGGTAGTGTAGCCACTAACAAGAAAGTTGGTCATAAATCACGACGACCAGAAAGTAAGTACCTACCATCACATTGGTCAAAGGGTGGTAACCTTCCCAATCATCTCCAGTGTGGTCCCTCATCATCCGATAAACATCGAACTGGTATTCGCCTACCATTCATCTTTCAGTGACTGCCTTGGCGAGAGTCGGAGGAAGCTTACCTTCGCCCATGAAAACCTCCTCGTCGAATGGTGTCCATTGCACACGATATCCACCTGATCCATCTCCAGCGTCCATGCGCGAGAGGCCCAAGTCAATGATGGTTGTTTGGACCCCATGGGACTTGTCGTCCATCATGAGGCGTTGCTTCCTAGATTTGACTCCATTCACGTTGATAGGTTGGAGTTTGGGCTTCTGTGACGGGACATTTTTCACCAGTATCTGACCCCAGTGCAGGTCGCGATGCTATTAGAAAGACTAGTCAGAACGAGAATGCAGGAAGCCGTGCCAGGTCGTACCTCAAACGAGACCAGGTGCTCCGCGTGAGCGAGTGATTTGGCCACTTGCCAGAAGATGCTGCAGGCTTGCTTCCATCCCTGTTTGGTAGGGTTGTTAAACGAGTAAGCCTCGAGGTCAGGGCCACCGTTGGGCAGTACGATGATAGCGTAGACTTGAGAGAGTTTGAACGTGTCTGGCAAGGGGACCTTAGTGAATTCCACCTTTCCGAAAAGACTACCCGTACCTGGTCGCATACTCTCTGATCCCTTCGTTTCGTTATATTCATCCCAAAGGTTGAGAAGAAGTTCCGGATACTTTCCCCTGACGATATAAGTCTTCAAGAATTTCACAAATCCACCGTAGACTTCGCCCATGGCCCTGGTGACGATGATTTCCTTGCGGACGTCCTGCGCATCACTTGGAGGAGGTCCTTCCTCCAGCTCCGTTGAGATTGCTCCTGGGGCAGACTCGTCGCGCAACGGAATGACCTTGAGGACGACATCGGCTATACCAAAGACTTCCGAGTAGCTAGCCTCCCCAATCTTCCTGAATTCCAACTCGCTCGGCGCATCAGACCGCCCATCGCGGAGAATAGGATCGAACGGAAAGCTGTCAATGAAGGAGGAAAAGTCATGAGGTCCGCATTCCTCTTGATGACACTCTTCCAGGAGTGGAAGCAGGTAAGCGGGAATGTTTGGTTCAACATCGTGAGCATCAACACATTCGGCGTCGATATTGAGCTCGGAGAGATCCAGAGACAAGTCAAAGTCTGTGAGTGAAGGGGATGGGGGAGAAGGTGGATCAAATAGGCCATTCCGCCGCATGCCCTTGATGGGGGTTAGCGGGCGAGCTCTCGGTATGGGGGAGGGTGGTAGCTGGAAAGCGGGCCCTGGCCGTGCAGTAGGTGGGGCGGGTTTGGGTTTCGTCGGTGTTGCAGCCCGATGTTGCGTACCCGCTGGTGGAGAGGGCCTCGCGAGTGGTCGTATAGGATAAGGTGCGGGGGGTATCACTACTTCCACCGTAGGAAGCTTCGAGAGTCGATTGGTTTTCGGCGGGGCAGGGGAAGGTGCAGTTGGGGCATTTTCTGTCTCTGAGTCTGACACGTCAGAGACGACAACTAGTGCTTTCTGCCGTTGTGTGCGTTTAGGTTGGGCAGGTTGGCGAGCCACATCAGGGTCACTGTCGGACTCTACGAGGATTGCTGCTTTGGAGGCAGCTGCTCTGGATGGACGAGCTCTCTTCTTCGGGACATCCTTCACAGGGTTAGTTTCAACGCCTGTCTTGGAGGACCTTCTCTCTTTGCGAACGACTTGACCATCATCGTCGAGGACGATAATGTCCATGTTTACGACCGGACTGCTAGGCTTCGCCAGCTTAAACGGAATGCTCTTGGCCGAGGGAACGCGTGACTTGGAGGCGCGCAAGCTAGCAGGAAGAGCAGGAGACCCGGGAACATTGACCGAGAAACTTGAGAAAGGACGGCGAGGAGACGAAAATGAACTTGCATCAAACGGCGAAGCCTCTGCTTCCGTTGTCAGATTAACTTTAGCATTGGCTTGCCGTACGCCACCGTCCAATTTGTTGTCTAAGGGCTGAGTTCGAGACTCCTTGATCAGCTGGGCGACTCGTGGTACTTTCTTCACAGGCGTGAGGACCGGCGAGAGTCGTCTCTTGCGCTGCTTTCCGCCGACAGGTTTGGGGGAAAGTTGGGATTTTGGTTTAGGAGCGATGTTTTCCCGCTTCTTCATGCGCGATGCTAGAGGCATCAATGCGGGTGCTGGCGGAAGATCGTCGAATATGCTGATGATCCCGCCAGGTGCTGGCCCACTTGAGCTGGCGGTAACGTTCACAACGCGCCTGGCCCGCTTGCCATATGCATTGACCTGCTTTGTCTGTGCGCTGAGCATCTTGAGAACGAGAGCAGCAACTGCGATGCTTCGTGTACTAGAAAAGCTGAGACGGCGATATTGTTGGCGTCGTGGCGATGAGCAAAGAGGCACCCCGATGTTGTTGTCCACGAGCTGCAGCGTCCAAGAGCTTTCTAAAACAGGCAAAAGCAACCGGCGGTCACGCGGAAGATCGTGTCTGACGTCACGGGACCGTGCTTAAAATGTTCCCACCCCTGTCGCACAGCGACGCGGTCATGCAGACGGTTGACGAGCTCTGCACAACACCCCCAACGCTTTACTCTTTCAGCTATGGCGTTACCACCACCATTACGGGATACAGTGACTCCCCAAGAACTCGAAATGATAGCTTGTCAGCAACTCGTAGAAATCATCCCACTCATCACGATGGAAAAAACTGCATTCATCTCGGTACTCGTCTCTCGAGTCAAATCCTGGCAACCAATGAACATATATCTCTGGCGTCGTACAGGGTGCTTATGGTCCTCTACGTCCCCCAAATAAAGCAAAAATACCCCTATGGATGGCTGTCAACTTGAAGATGAAGAAAAAATGCCACATTGTGCCTCCGAAATGGTTGAACGTCGGTGAGTCGAAGGGTGCTGCTTGCCTGTATTAACTTGGTTAACGAACTTCTGCAATTCAGAATTTCTGTCAGAACGTTTGGAGCGTGAAGTAGCACAACCCGACGCCTTCTGTGAAATGCCTTTCCGTTTCGCGGAAGTTGCCAAAGTTCTGATAGACCTGTATGGTTTACTATCCATATCAACGCGCCGCTACGTGCTGAATATGTTGTCCAGAGCCTCTGACGATCTAGAGAATCCTGATCAGATACGTTCGCTGCTCAAAGACCTTCGCGAAGCAAGACAGGCAAAGAGTAGAGCGGGTTTATCCCAAATCGATCACAGTGACCTAAGTGTGCGTTCGCCCCTCAGTCTTGGTTACCTCGTCTAAACCCCGCCTAGTTGACCAACTTTTGCTCCATGGAAATCAACGAAATCCGACCTGTCTTCGTGCAATCAATGAGCCTCCTCACCAAACTGAAGACCCCGGAGAACGCATGATACCCCAGTCCACCACAGCTTCATTGGCTACTACAAATCGCAATTGTACAACATCAATCATAGCAATCACATCAGGCATGTCCAAAGCATAAGGTGTATCCAAAATCCGTAAGAGATCATCCAGTCGTCAAATGCTCGTAACCGCCCTATCCGCTCGAAAAGATCACTAACAACAAGAATCCGAGTCGATCATCACTGCTTCTCTTGAATCAACTTGGTCAGTGCCTCAATCTGTTGTTTGAGGGAATCGATTTCCTTCAAAATAGTGGCCTCGGAAGACTGGAAAGACATAATTAGCTATCCGCAACAGCCCACATCCACAAACGCTAACATACCTGAGCGGTGTTAGGGAACACCTTGACCAATTCCTCAAAGGGCACCCTGCTGATCTGCTTCCCTTCCAAAGCGGGGTCGTCAACAGTGGGGTTGCGGTACTCTGGGCTGTCGTCAGCACCCTCATCGTTACCGCGGAACCAGTTGTTCATCCAGCCGTTCTTGGTGGGGTCGAGGGCGGATTCGTATACCGCAATGATAGTCAGCGGGATGAAGAAAAGCATGCCCATCACGTATCGGTTCAGCTACACCCATGGCGTGAGGAGTTGGGAATGACAAGGGAGTAAATTGCAGTCTTACCTTGGCGTAGTTCTTCTTGCTGAGATGAATGATTGGGAAAAACCTGGGGGAGGATGAGTTGCGAGTCTAACGATGCAGATGGATGACATACTCGAAAGGTGCGATGAAGAAAGTTTCAATGATGTTGAAAGGAGCTGGGTAAACGAACGAGTCGGGAGCCCGGATCATTCCAATAGTCTTGCTCGCAAAGAAGGCCAGGTATTGCGCTTCTGCATCCTCAACCACCTGGAAGACCACGCCCGTCGAATACAGGACGCACATAGATCAAGATGACACTCACATCCGCGTAGGCAGAAGAGAACAAGGAAATGAGGACGTTGAGCAGCACAATGGCAGTCACTGCGCTCCATCTAAAAGGGGATGTTCAGAACGGCTCAAGAGGTGCCTATCGGTCAACTTACAGGTAATAGAGTGTCAATCCTGTTGGGCTGTAAGACATGCGTATTGATCAGATTAAATAGTCTGACGAAAGTTCGAAGGTTTTATACCTCGCAGAATACCGCTGGTAATCCGGTGCTCTGTGAAGAGAGTTAGGTAAAAGCCATTGCCCAGTCTGCCAAATCACTCACTGGAGGAGAGCTTGGACGAGAAGGTTGACAACCTGAATTGTCGTTGGATTGAGAAGCGGTCGATTAAGGATTTCGGCAAACCATACCTCCGATACAGATTCCGCAGCACCATCGGCAGCATCCAAGGCATACAGGCCTTGAGTGAACCCGAGGGCGAGGACAGAGAGCAACTGGCGGCGAGCCTGTTAGAAATGTATCTTGCGGTAAGGGTCGAGCGAGGCGTACAGCAAAGAAAATCCCAGATTCTTTCAACATCCGCGCGACACAGATCTGCATTGTGCCAATGTACTTGTAGCCATCAAAGACCGTGACCAATTCTGAAGGTGTCTGTCAGCGCGCGTTCAGAGAATCGAAAGAAAATACACGTACTCATCCTGGCAAGGCTTTAGCAACAGGGGCAGTAGAAAGGAGTTATAGGCTCACCAAATGAGGGGGGCAACAAAGCTGAGTACTTGGAAACTTCTCAGTTTGAAGAGAGTTTGGTGGTCACCGTCACCATAGACACTCATTACTCGGAAAATGAAGGCCGCTGTCAACAAGGAGTCTGTGACAAACGAGACGAAGTTCCAGAATGTAAAGGCGCGCCAGGTGACAAACTTCAACAAGCTGAAGAACTGCGGGAGGTTAGTAAAGGCGGAAGCACAAACGACGCTCGGTCATCCTACCTTGTGCGTATCTAAGTGGGTTCTGTCAGGTCCGAGGTCAGGAAAAACACACGAACGGACTCACCCTCGATGATAAAGGAGAGAGACATGAAGTAGAGGATGACCTCCCATCCATCCCAATGTTGGTCCTGAGCTTTCTCCAAAGGCTCGCGCACTGCAAAGGGGACGATTTAAACCTCTGATGCAGTTTCCTTAATCAGTAGGATTACCTGCTTGAGAGTAAACCACCAAGAAGAAGAGCCAAATCACGATCCTGAACATGTTCTGGTACCGGGGAACGGAAAGTCGAGAAATGTCGAGGTGGCCCCAGAAACTGTGTTCGACATTGTCCGAGTACCGGATATCTGCGAGGAGGGAGCATAAGCCAACAATAGCGCTGGCAGAAGGGCGCACTCACAATCGACGTCTCCATTTGCCATGTTCTTCTGGACCAAATCGCCACGCCACAAATCGTTAACAACTACACTCGCGGGTTTAGAGGGTGAGTTTCGATCATTGAAAGAAGTCTGACAAACCATCTTGCGCCTCCGTAGAAGACAAGAAAATGGTACTGAAAACTGTCAGTAGGCCTCCAATCCCAGGACCGCGTCTGCATACCAATGTTGGTCAATTGCAAGCTCCAAGGTACTGGACATTTCGCTAATGTCCCCGTCAATTTGAACGTGCTGGTAGCGTCTAGCCATGATGGGCCCCAAACGGTCTGGTTCGACAATGTGAACGATCCGACGAGCAAGAACCTCGCACGCCACAGCTAAAGGAAGGAAAGCAGCGTGAATACGTCTCGCATGATAGAATGAACACCGTTTTGAGGACCTACCTCGCGCAACATTTTCATCGTAGTCGGCATAATTGTGGTTGGCATCCCACATAAACTCTGCTCGGGCACGGAGAAGGCAATAGGGAAGCTGTCGATATTTGTTTGAGTACTGGGACAAAAGAATATGGAGGTCAGTTCGCGTACCGCATCCTGGAAGTCTCCGGCAGCTGCTCTGTACGCAGCGATGACCTGAGGCGTAATTACGCGACTAGTCGGGACGTTGATCTCGCTGGGTTCGACCTCAAGGGGCAACAACGCGAGCGTCAGGGCCCTTAGTCGCCTCACGAGCTCTGGGAAATGCTGTCAGGAGCCGTGCTTTTCAGGAAAAGGGGAAGCTAGGCTCACTGGTCAAAGTTTGCGGCGAAGGCTTTGGCTCGTCCACGTTAGACATGAGCGAAGCCCTCTCCGCGTCGCCGCCATTCCTGGCGGAGGAGTTCAGATAACCCGGCATGGTGGTGGTTGGGAAGAAAGAAAGGGACGGATGGAGCTTGACATTTGGTGGTGGTCGTTCACGGTGCCTCGCCCCCGTACGCCGACGTCATTTGGAATGATTTGATCAATCCGCGTATAGCCAGCAACGGCCAACGTTTCTCCTTGACCATCATCAAGCACGATGCCGGTGTGTTCAGACTTCCCTGTTTAATCCTCAAAGCTTACAACGTCGTCCAGGCATACCATTCGTCGTTTAATGAGGACCCTGAGGCCAGGCAGGTGGGCAACATGTCCATCTTGCCTATCAGGACGAGGATAAGGGGGCCAGCACCGATTGGTTCGTTGCCGCAGTAACGACCAAGATGAACGGCAACTGACACGACATTACAGGGGATCCTTCGCAGGCGGATATTATCGACGAAACTCTCGACCTCTTCCGTGCAAACTCGCTGTTCAGGAACTTTGAGATCAAGGGTCCAGCAGACCGAACCTTGATCATCCTCATCCTTTTCGTGTCGGACTGTCTGGCAAAGATCGGTAGCGCTCGAACTCCACCGTCGCAGATTGAAGCTTCCAAGTTATTGAACACCTTGTCTGTGGACCACTTCCCTATTCCCGGAGACGCCAACTTCGCTCTCAACTCCCACTACGCACCACCTTCGAGCAGACAGGAAGCTGGTATGTGCTGATTGCCCGCGGCTGATTAACCCACTCAATACGCGCTACAGACTACCTTCGACAATACCTCACCCAAGTTCGACAGGAACTATCCGCAAGGCTCGTTGAGAAGCTGTATGCAGATGGTACTGGGAAACCCAGCAAATGGTGGATGGCGTTCCAGAAGCGACGCTTCATGAACCGAAGCTTGGGGACATGATCTGTTGATACACACATACAAGGGAACAGGTAATACACAATATGTAGCAAGACTACTTCTTTTTACGCCGTTCATTGGGATTTTTTCGACCATAGCCGATTTGCGGCATATCGCCGTCCATCCGCGAGTTTCTGACCGTCCGACCCTTTCCACCGGCACCCACGCTGACGATCTCGGGAACCCAGTCAGGGTCCATCCAACTACTGACTCCAGCATTCACGCCTTTTCCATCGACGCCCTTGGAAATGATGCCCTTCATTAGTTTGGCTTCCTCCCGCTCCCTCTTGCCGTCGGCCATCTTCTTTGCGCGCATGTACTCTATTTGATCCTCCCTCAGGATCAAGCCAGTGCCGGCACCGCCTTTCGCAGAGCCTGGCTTAGGTGCAGGGATAGAGTATTTCGTTCCTCTCGTTCGGTATTGGAAATTGGGTTTGAGATGGATCTGCATCACGGGCGCACTGTTCGATGCTGTGGGAGATGACAAGGTGACAGACGCTCGCAGTAGTGTCGGGTTTCCGCATGACGGGCAGAACTTTTTGGAATTGTCCTTGCAAATTCTGTCGCACAGTCAGTAAGATGAGCATGGCGAGATGAGGCCAAAACGTACTTGAAGCAGGCATGACATCGGAGCACCCAGGTCTTCACTTTCTCGATCCGTTTACCCTCCAAACCCACGAGGTTTAGGCCCATTTGAAGCAGAACGTTTTGCATAGCGAAATCGGCAGTCATACATCCTGCATCGATGGTCTCCTCTTTCTTCTTCTTTCCCTTGCCATCGATATTGGAGTCGGGTAGGAGGTCGAGGGCCCGAGATTTGTGAAGGCCGACGTTTTGCGGCGTGATCCACTCCCCCTCCCCATCGTCTTCGTTGGACGGGTCGTCATAGATGGGCGATGGGGATTGCCGTCCCTCTAACGGCGCAGGAGTGTTTTCTGTTGGTTCCGGTCGTGGAGATTCGTCGTTGATTGGTTGTAGTTCTACATCGAGCGGTTGTGCGCTTCCCTCAGTAGCCTCAGCTGGTGCTTCCTTGGTCTCTTGTTGAGGTTCAGGAACTTCCATTTCCTCTAGGGAGACCTTTGCGAGATTGTCGGCAACGTCGCTTGCAGTATCGTCCACAGTGGTTTCAGGCTCGGACGGTGCTTCGACATGGCTTGTCGTCCCTTCAGATGCCGAAGCCTTTTCAGCCTCTTTCCGCTTTTTCGCCTCCTCGTGAAGTGTATGCGTAAGGGCAAGTACACAGATATCGGCATGGGAAAGGACTGCATAGTCACCCGTCCTCTTTGAAAACTGGATAACTGAATCAGACCGACATCAATTCAACGCTAAGAAAAAACTGGATGGTGAACTCACCTTCTGCTAAGCTCGCTGGAGACGGGGATCGAACTTCCACTTTGACTCCAGACATTAGCCCAAGTTTCTCAAAGTGCTCCCTCGCCCGACTATCCTTGAGTTCGGCCAGAACCTGCGGTGTGGTGACATATGACTCCGCTAGTCCTCGAAGGGGTGATAACGAGAGCAGAGGACCAGCATCGAGGACGAGGCTTTTGCATTTTGGTGGTTGCGTGTTCGTCATTTTGGTTTATTTCCCCGTGTCGACAAGGGTCTTGTTGCCCTTCGAATTCACTAGTTGGTGGCAGAGATCCAAAAATCACTATTCGACCAAAACGACAGTGCCAAGACATTGTCGGTATACATAAGTAGATAAGATGGCATCAATGCAGCCTCAGATAAGATAGCAGCCTGGGCAGCAACCAATTGACCTGTCGGCCGATCCATTAGATCGGGGCGTTGAAACCGCTAATCGCAAGCGGATCCATAGCTTTCATTCCGACTTTCACCTTCCACAACGACCTCACACGATGGCTGAACCCAAAACGTACGTCGAATCGTAAAATATCACAGAGCGCAACTAATCTTGGCTCAGTTTCCGCATTGCAGTCCTCCCAGGCGATGGAATCGGTAAGACTCTGAATCAGCTATATGTGAAGCACTCATGTGTTTTCTCACTCTGTGACAGGTCCTGAGGTTGTTAGAGAAGCTGTTCGCGTCCTCGAGCTCGCATCTGAGCGCTCCTCAGACTTCAAGCTCGAGCTCAAGTCTTATCCCTTTGGAGGATGCGCCATCGACGAAGTTGGCGAGCCTCTCCCCGAGGCTACTTTGAAGGCGTGTCAAGAGGCTGATGCCATCCTCATGGGTTAGCCGTTTAATACGTCTGTGCTTTGTCTACTGACATCTCAGCTTCCAGGTTCCATCGGCGGACCCAAGTGGGGTGTAGACGCCAAAGTCAGACCTGAACAGGGTCTCCTCGCTCTCCGCAAGACTCTCGGCCTCTACGCCAACATCCGACCGGCCAACATCGCTTCCGACTCTCTGCTCGACTACTCTCCCCTCCGTCCTGAAGTAGCCAAGGGAACCGACCTCATCGTCGTTCGTGAGCTCATCGGTGGAGCTTACTTTGGCAAGCGTAAAGAACAGGGTGTCGATCCTGATCCAGAGGCTGCTTGGGACACCATGATCTACAGTGTCCCTGAGGTCCAGCGCATCACCCGTGTCGCTGCTCAGATCGCCCTCGCTGCCAACCCTCCCCTCGAGATCCACTCCATCGACAAGGCCAACGTCCTCGCCAGCTCCAGATTGTGGAGAAAGGTCGTCACCGAGACTCTCACGAACGAGTATCCTCAACTCAAGTTCGACCACCAACTCGTCGACTCTGCTGCCATGGTCATCGTTGCCAATCCCCGCAAGTTGAACGGTGTTATTTTGACTGAGAACTTGTTTGGCGACATGTGAGTTTCTGCTTTGACCTATTTAAGCGCCCACCTCACCGATCACGCTACCAGTCTTTCCGACCAGTCTAGCGTCATTCCTGGATCATTGGGTCTCCTCCCATCTGCCTCACTCGCCGGAGCCCCTTCCTCCCCCAGCTCAGCCGACTTTAAGCCTACCTCCGGCTTGTACGAACCCATTCACGGGTCTGCTCCAGATATCGCTGGCAAGGGCATCGCCAACCCCATCGGCACCATTCTCAGCGCAGCCATGTTGCTCCGATATTCTCTTGGCCTCGAAAAGCCTGCCGCCGCCATCGAAGCCGCCGTCCGAAAGGTTCTGGATAACCCTGAAATCGGTGGCCTTGGTCTCCGAACTGCTGACCTCAAGGGCAACGTCGGAACTGCCGAGCTGGGTGACCGCATCGTAGAAGTCCTAAAGACTCTTCTCTAAGCGCCACCAAAGAAAGAGTTGAACCGAGGAACAATCGAAAGAGGGAACATTTAGAATAGAATAAGGGAACAACAGCATGTAAAAGTATCGAACAAGTAATGCTATTGCTGGATCTAACTCTGGATTTTACACTCAGTATGTATATAAATTTGCACAGGGAGAGAAATGTCCGAAAATCCAAAGCAAGAAAAGTCTGTAAGTCTATACTAGGAAGCCCAAGATTCTGGAAAACGCCTTCCAGTCCATTAATTGACCTTGGCCAAGACGATGGCAGTTCGAGTGGGTATGTAGACCTAAGACATGTCAACCGATCTGTCTAGGGAAGTATGAATGGAATTCCAGCTCACCTGCAAGAAGTTCTTGCGACCATTCCACTCCAAATGTGTCGTAAAGAACTGGCTCTTCAAATCGATGTTATCGAAGCCTCCAAACCGCTTCTCATCACTGCTTAAAACGATTCTATACTCTCCGGCGACTTCGATTCCAACCCTATAGTCGGTGAAGCTCTTCGTGGGGTGGAAGTTGAAGACGAATAACAACCCCGCGCGCTCATAAACGAGAACTTTGTCGACTTCATTCTTGAGAGAAACGTATGCCTGTGAAGCACAAACATGATCAGAAGCTGAAGGACGAACCTGTGCCGGGTGCACGAATACCTGGGGAGAGTCTAGCCATTTATACTTCCCGGCCAAAGTGTTCATTTCGCGGTCGAAGTTGTTGAGATACTTGTAGCGCAGAAGGTGATCGTCCAGGACATTCCATTGTCGACGGGCGTACTGGAAGGAATTGCCATTTCCTTCTCGAGGGAAGTCCAACCACTAGAAAGCAATAAGGTTCGTCATGAAAAGAGGGATTTCTCAGTGGGAATACGAACCTCCGGGTGACCAAATTCGTTGCCTTCAAAGTTGAGGTATCCTTCTCCGCCAAGGGAATGCGTGACAAGTCTGGAAAGATCTTTTAACACCTTGTCAGACCAGCACGGAAAACGCGTACCGAATGAGCTTATGAAGGGCGATACCGCGAGAAATGATGGGTGTAAGAGGTGTTAGATCGGACATGTTGGTGTCTAATTGCGCAAGGTGAATCAATGCATGTTCGTAACTTGAGTTGCAGAAGAGAACTTACACATCTCCTTATCCATGAGCCAGAAGGCAAGAGTCTTGTCCCCGACGAGAGCCTGATCGTGACTCTCGGCATAGGCAATGCTCTTCTCACCGTGGCGCCTGTTCGTGAGAGTGAAAACGATGTTCCCAATATCCCATTCATCGTCCTGCTTGTGCTTTAGCAACTTGATCCACATGTCCGGAATGGCCATGGACAAGCGGTAGTCGAAACCGACACCGCCCTTCTGGACCGGGAGCCCAAGCAGAGGCATTCCAGAGACGTCCTCTGCGATGGTGATAGAGTCGGGATACATGGTGTGAATCGCGTCGTTTGCCTGGAGAAGTCGATATTGTTAGTAAGTGTGCAATGGAGGAATTCATAAACGTACAAGCATGAGGTAAACGACGCCTTCCTCGTCCACCCCGTCTCCGAAGTACTCGTGATACCCTCCCGAAAAGCCAGTCCCGATACCATGGTGCTTGTACATCATGCTGGTCACACCGTCAAACCTGAATCCATCGAAGCGGAATTCTTCCATCCAATAGCGAAGATTGCTCAGCAGGAAGCGGAGAACTTCATGGTTGCCGTAATTGAAGAGACGGCTATCCCAGAGGTCGTGACGGCCTTTACCGCCCTCGTGGAAGTAGAGGTGGTCAGTTCCGTCAAATTCATTAAGGCCATCCAAGACGTTCTTGCAAGCGTGCGAGTGGACGATATCGAGAAGAACAGTGATACCCATGCCGTGAGCGACATCGATGAGTTCCTTCAGGTCTTCGGGGGAACCATAACGCGAACTCGCAGCAAAGAAGCTGGTGATCTGGTACCCAAATGCTACATCACATTTAATAACCGGGACAATTGGAAACGGAGTGCTGTTGTTACTCACAAGCGTAATACGCATGCTCCATGATAGCCATGAGTTGAATCGCGTTGTAACCGAGGTCCTTGATCCTTGGAAGGACATTCTGGGTGAATTCCTTGTACTGACCGACCCTAGGCTCCGGGGTGGAGATACCAACATGGGCCTCATAGATTCTAATGTTGTCCACCTTGGGAGGTCGTGGGTTTTTGAACTGGTACCTCTCTGAAGCCGGAGGGTTCCAGAAACGTGCGTCGTACACAGGGGACACAGACAGGTCCTGCGTGACGCGCTTAATCCAAGCAGGTAATCTCTCAATCCGTTCGCCCGATGGAAGGATCATAGAAATCTATAGAAGGGCATTCATGAATTCTCCGTGTGACGCGAGGAGGTTAGAATGCACCAAGCAGGTGGTTACATACCTTGACTTTGGTGTCATGAGGGATGGCGCATCTCCCGCCTGGCAGCGGCGGGACCGTTATCTCCCAGACGCCAAACTCGTTCTTGGTCATCGGGTGGGATTGCCGATTCCATTCATCTGCACCGTGGTTAGCGTCTTCAACTCCAAATCTTGTGACAGAAACCCACTGAAGTCTCCAATCAAGTAAGCCTCTGTCGCGTTAGGGGCCCATTCTCGATAAACAACCTCGCTGTTTGGACCGACGTTGAAGCCGTATCGCTCGTATCCCCTGGTGAACTTTTCGTATCCGCCTTCATGCTGGTCAATGGTGTCCTTCCATCGTCGGTACGAGTTGTATCGCTGGATGATAGCTGGGATGTGCGGTTTGAGATAACCGTCGATAGCGAGAACGACGTTGGGATCGAGGGGTGGTGTAGGCATTGCGCGATAGTGATGGTTGAGGTTCAGAAGGAAGAAAGTTGGGGAAGAATCAGAGCCCCATTGAACGGGGATTCTTGAAGGCCCTTCAAAGTGATTTTCGGGGTGCTCTGCCAAATGCAGGCTATGATGTAATCCATGCATGCATCATGACTACACCGTAATATCCCCTTGTGGGCACCTTATCGCCCTCTCGTCTTTATATTTCCCAGCGATTTCTCTGCAGGTCGACCAAGGTTTTGTGGACAGCGTCTTGAGCGCCTGGAGTCAGGACGTTCGAGGAGGACCAAGCGCGCTTTTATTTGTCGCGATTGCGGAGTCGCCGCAATTTATTTGTGTTGTTTGTCGAACTAACAATTTCCAGATCTTGACTTGACATTTATCGTTTCGTTCTCATCCCCATGCCTCGAACACGGTCCATGGCGAGTAACGCATCGAATCCGGCTTCCTCGAGCAGAGGTAAAACCCGGAAGGCCACGACTGTCATAGAAGACTCGGATGATGACGGAGAATCCTCCAGCGTGCGCAATATCCAGGTACCAAAACGTATATCCTTTAGCAATGATGGCAGAGGCGCTAACTGGTTGTGGCGAAAGACCTACTTGGAGAAGCTGACCGACGACTTCTCGTTGCTAAAGGAGGAGATCAGAGTATTGAAGAACCGTAACCGTGAGCTAGAGGAGGAAGTCGAGAGATCCAAGGACCAAGCGGAAGCCACTCGAGGGAGCGGCGGGCGACGGAAAGCGGATTCGTATGAAGTTGAAGAACTGAGGGCTCTGGTAAATCACTTGAAAGCGGTACGCTGCATTCATAACCATCCTTTCTGAACAAAGTACCCATATCGGAATAGGAAAATCGCAAGAAGAACAGAGCTCTCGAAAAGGTTTTGGTAACGGTCCACATTTCCACAGGCTCTTCTTTGACCCCAGGCTTTCTAGATGCAAAGGAGGGAGCTTGAGCGAGAGAAAGAGGACCTATTGGACGTCGTACCTGGTGGCGAGCCCGGCGACGACTCCATCGACCGGATGAGAAAGGTCTATTCTGCTTTTTTTAAATGATACCCTGCTAGTTCTGAACATCTTTATTTCAGATTCTGAGAAGGTTTAACGACCTGATGCTCGTCACAACGCTGGGGGAGGCAGAGGAGTGTCCAGTTTGTTTTGACAAGCTAGAACCAAAGGGGTGTTCTGCGTGCGTCCGCATTGTCACTATCTCATGGATCATGGAATGGAGTTGACTGGGGCAATACAGCTTTGCCTGTCAACATCTCGTGTGCAACGAGTGTTTCAAGAAAGTTCTCCCTGATAAGGACGAGCAGTACCCGTGCCCCTGTTGCCGCCAGAAGACCGCCAGAGAGGATGTCGAACTCGTTCATATGACCGAGCAAGAACGTTGGGATGACCTCTTGAAACTCGCGGAGGCCTGGGCTGCATCCGACCAAAGGCCTGAGCTTGACACCAGCGAGGAGGAAGCGGAGGACGGTTTCCTGGTCCGCGACGGGGAGACCGTGACGTAGGTACCTGACACATGACGTTTGGGTCAGAATGCTGATTTGCATGAAACAGATCGGCATCTTCTGAGACGGGAGAAATTGAAGAAGAAGAGGAAGAAGTCAAAGATTCAGAGTCTGAAGGAACTGGGCAAGAGCAAGAACTGTCGTCGGAAGAAGCGAGTTCCGATGCTCTCTCAACACCCCCGGCTGAGCATCGTCCCTCCTACTTCGAGTCGCCTTCCAAAGAAAAACGGAAACGTTTGGCTGAACTCGCTGAAGAACGCGTTCGCAAACGACGCAATATTTGACATGATGAGCGAGTTAAATATCGTGTGTGCACAAAGCCAAGAAGAGACGGAGTTAAGTTCGCTCGTTCCGCCGGCTCTTGCCGACGGCAACCGTGTCATGGTCACGTGACCGTCCCGTTGTTTGGGTTGAATTCATAGGGATGAGGCAGGCGTTCACTGATCAATGCCAGGCTGCGAAACGCATCACCTTCTCTTCTTTCTTTTTCTCTAGTTTCTCTCTCTCTTCTTCTCCTTTTTCCACCATTGACGACGTCGACGACGGTGCATATGGCGCTCAGCTCGTCGCCGCGAAAAACGATCCCGCTCGCGTCGGGAGACGAACCACGAAGAGACATGAACCAGCATCCGCCATCCGTCACCAAACGAGTTTTCTACTGTGGAGTTGTTGTGGAAGGCTCAGAGCATGGTCGTCGTCTTCCAGATGGTGCGTCCAGCCAACGGATCTCGCTGTGATGGCCAGCTGACTCGACTGCAGAAATCCAGGACCTCGTGCTATCGCTGGGCAACCCACTTCCCTCAGAAGACGACAATGAAATGCTTTCTTCATCGAGTTCACCATCGCATCCCGAGTCTGTGAGTTAGGCTCTCTTAGACACGGCAACCGTTGGGCTAGGCTCGGGCGAGTGGCAACCCGCAACAATAAACGATAGCCGATCGTTCTGTGCGAACTTCCCCGTCAACGCCGAGCAGTGCCATTTTACCATCTGTGGGCACCAAACTAACCACTCGTCATAGGGTCAACCCCAGCAACGGAGGCGCGCTTTGACAGATACCTCCGCCCTATCTTCAGTCATTAACGAATTGGTTACGAGCGAACGCTCATATGTGCGGCGGTTGCAAATACTCAAGAACGACTATGCAGACCCTCTACGCAACTTTGCCCGGAGCAAAGACACCGCGATCATCCCTCTCTACGAAGCCAAGACGCTATTTGGCAACGTCGACAACCTAATTCCTGTCAACGAAGCGTTCCTTCTCGATCTGGAGAAAATGCTAGCGCCCAATGGCGCAACGACTGTTGGAGGCATTGGCGACGTTGCTTTACGGCATTTTAAAGAATTGCAAGGGTTCGAACAATACAAGCAGTACTACGTGAAGAGAGAAGAAGCCCAACGGATATTTGAACGCGAAGTGTCGAAACGATCTTCTCGTTTCGCGTCATACATCGATGTACGCGAACCCCCGATTTTTTGTCGCGTCTGGTGTCTCATGATATCCAACAGCATATCAAATACCAATCGACCGACTCCAAGAACCGCATCGGTCTCCGCGAACTCCTCATGGAACCCGTTCAACGAATTCCCAGATACACTCTTCTGTTTCGCACTATCCTTAAGCACATGGCGCCCGACGACCCGCAACGTCCCAAACTTGTTGAGGCAGATGAAATCGCAAGCAAGATTGCCCAAGCGGAGACCGACGAGCAAACCAAACGTGCCGCCATCTTCTACTGCCTAAGCACCACCATCGACGGCTTCCCACCGGATCTCTTTTCCAATTCTCGGAAATTCATCGACTGCATCGATGTCGAAGATGTCATCGGTGATGCTCCAATGTCTTCAGCCGCGTCATCGACAAGTGGAATCTCGACAAGTTTACATTGTACTTTGTTCCTATTCGACGACAAGCTTTTGATTGTGAAACGCCCGAATGGAGACAAGGGAGGGCGAGCACTTTCCGGTCTTGATGCCCTTGACAAAGTAACTAAATCTGGTGGATTGCCGATGGCCAAGAAGAAGAGTGGAATGTCATGCAAAGGCGTTGTTGACGTGATAGATGTGGTGGCTTCTGATCCTGGCGGTCCAGGTAGGTGTACACGATGAATGGTTTTCTTCATAAATTGAACAAATTGTTTAGATATCCATCTTTACCTCGAAAACCCTCCTCAGGACCAAAGTGAACGATGGGCCGGCCGCCCTTTCCGGTCGCTAGCAGTTGTGCTGCCTCCTTCACCTTTGAATCTCGATCCCATGCAGACCGAATCGGCGAAACGAAGGTTTCTTGAGAACCTGTGGCAAGTTCAGGCCATGTATCGCGCCAAGCAAGGTCAATCTGTCATTCTCTGCTCAGACGAACAAGAGGTGGAGAGTCGAACGTCTCGCCTGACCTATGCTAGGACATATTTTAATGTCTACACAAGGACTGCCTTTCTTCAGGAGCCAAAGAAGGTGAGTTTCCCAGGATTGGGGGTTGTTCACTATCGCTGACACGGTTCCCATCAGACCAAGGTCGTTGTCCATGTGGACCCATTGGGCTCTGCGGATCCTATACCCCTGGGGATGGAAGGACCACCTTTCCTTCGCATACGGGTTCAACCAATAGCTGGAGGACTCTGCCGGTTCGCTGTCAACTCGAGTGATCCAGCGGATGAGGGTGAAGAGGACATAGTTCAATCTGAGCGAGTTCCGTCGCGGATCATTACGACGAGTACGTTATTATTGCACATAAAACGTGTGTACCTTGATACTCATTTGTTTTAGTCCACCAATTCGGGCTATTCTCATTCAGGACAGGAAGGAACGCGTCCGTTCCTGGAACCCCAACAGCGCGCTCCAAAGCATCCATCTTTGGTCTGGATGCAATTTCGCGGGGCTTATTCCATGGTCGCCCTGCTTCAGCGATGGGTGATTTTTTTGGTGGTTCCATCAACGGTCATCGACGCAGCAAGTCTTCTACTGCGAGCCGTTCCTCGATGTATACAAGTACCACTGGCACTGATAGCTTCCTGAGGTCCCATCGTTCCAATTCAACTGCTGCAACGAGCCTCGACGACGAATCCTCATTCTTTTCTTCGCGCTCATCGAAAGGGAAATCAAAAAGAGGGCTCGGAGGGTCGACATCAGATTCGGACGGGGGTTCCCTTGGGAAGAGTTTCCTTGGCAGGAGTCTGCGGTCACGGTCTCTATCCAGGTCCCAGTCCCAGGACCGAGGCAGCGATTACAGTGATCTAGAAGACGACGATGGAACAATTATGGCGAAGCCAACCGACTCGTCGGATTACAACCTCGCGTTACAACTGGAGCTTGCGAGACAGAATAGTCTGAATCAACACGGAAAGCCTTTGCCTCCCATTGACCTGGATATTCCTATCGAAGATACCATCTATGAAGGTACTTCTACACCAATCGATTCCCAGACCTTGAACTTACCCCTATTTGCAGAAGAGCCTCCCCAGTCCGTGAGGCCCGCTTCCCGAGCGTCGGGCGACACGAGGAGATCCACCACGCCCCGTCCCGCTTCTCCGACCAAGCGATCCGACTCTCCTGCCTTGAGCGACCGTGATGGATCACGCCCAGTGTCCCGACTTTCTGATCGAAGACCATTTGGCCCGCGTTCGGTTTCACCAATGCCATCATCGATGAAAAGCCCCTCTGCCGCATCCCCTGCGGAATTGCCAGGAGCCGATAAAGGTTATGTTTCAGAATCCGATGACGAAGTGTTCAAGATGGACATCACCAAAACGCCTTTCCAGCGACCTTCGGGAATTCCTCGCAGTCGGCGACAGCCTCTACAACCATCCACCGAGAACATCGACGCGACTCCCAAGCCCCTTTCTAATCCCAGCTCACTCGTTACATCCTCCGTCGAACCTCTATCCATCAAGAAAAAGACGTCTGTCCGCGGCACATCGTCTTCACTCCCCCTCTCACCAACACCTGCGAGGAAGATCTATGCGAAGGGCTCGCCACTAAATAGACCTGTACGAACCTCGTCTCCTCGCAAAGTTTCGCCTTCATTACAAGTAAAGCGGTCGAGAGCTCCAGGCTCTCATCTCCCAATCAAATGCGAGCTTGTCGAGGACCTTGTCCGTGTCGCTGTGGGAACGAAAAACGACGTATGTAGGCTCCAGTTTCTGAGATATGCTCGTTTCATTTACTTGAGATGCTTTTCAGATTGAGTTCTCGCATCGCGCGGTTAAGCGTATGAAGGTTGAGCTCGACAAGTTTAATGCCAATGGATCGCCATCAGAAGACCCATTTTCTCGACCCGCCTCCCCCGATAAATCACTCAGGATGCCCGTACGATCGCAGCCGTTGGTGGGTTATATCTTCACACCTCGCTAGATAATCACTGAACTGGTGCATTAGACGAGAGAGGCCCAACAACGAATGGAGGAGATGCAGAAACTGCTCAGTCATCGGCAAGGAGATGGCACTCCTCGCACCAGTCGGCTCAGGACGGGGATCTTTGAACAGGCTTCTACCTCTGCGCCGCCTTCGAATAATCAAACGGAGCAAATGACACAGTTCGCGAAGACGATGAGCTCGCTGACGAGCGACGCAGATCAGGGTTTAACGAGAGCTCTATCTAATCAAGAAAGCCTCGAGAGGGACCTTAACAACCTAGCCAATCAGTTCAAAGAGGTCAGGCTCCACGGGGTTTGCAAGATTACGCTCATCCTCATATCATTTCCAACCAGAAACTCCTTGAACTGGAACGGGCGCGGCTCGAGCTGCAAAACGCGAAACGGCAGACCGAATTGGTCAAGTCTCTCCTCGCTGACGCTACCGCTGAGAAGGAGATCATGTACGAGGTGAGCTTCCGACGAACAGCTTCAAAAGCTATCTTTATTGACCCGCGTCGCTTCTTAGGCTTTCAACGAAGAGCTGGACGGCATGTACAACGACATCAACCTCCCTGACGATGAAGCTTTCGTGGCTTTAACGAAGGATTTGCAGACGACCAAGGAGTCGCGGAATGAGCTATCTCAGGAAAATTCGTCAGTGTCCAATCTACCCTTTGGGTAACTCTTTAGGTTTTAACTCGAGGACTGTTGTAGGCAATTGAAGCGTCGGCTGGCCGAAGCAGAATTGCAACGCGACGAGTAAGCTGTTTCTCGCCTGATGGAAGAGTCGTACTAATCACCCTTCCAGATGGGCTCAACTCCTCCGTCACCATGGCTTAATCCCCTAACTCATCTAGTTTATCTCTTTTTTGGGCATTGGTATTTTTTCGCATTTTCACTTGTCTACAATGTCTTTCTCGTATGGACTTTCGACATGACATCTAGTATCACGGTAGCGTAGCTTAGAGCTTTCATCTCTCTACTAGTACCCTTTTGGCATCGCATCTATAGTTTCTGCCTCTACTTCGTCCTCCACTGTATTCTTAGTTCATGTATTTATATTACGCCTGGTTATGAAACTTATTACGACTTGCAACTATCTATGAATGAGAACTTGAAAGTGTTTTAACTACTAACAAAGTAAGAAATTCGCTTCGTAACATGTCATAAAGTCGCTGCTCGATCGGACAGCCATGGTGTATCAATGAAGATGGTGGACGAAGAAAAGGAAAGAACCAGAAAAAAACGTATCGAGAATGCTAGTCATACAGTATGCTAATGCGCCATGGCGGGTGGGTGTACGTGCTTGAAATATAATACACGGTAAAATAAAAAAGGGTGCCGATAAGATTATGAAGGAGTGTGATGGTATGTGGGAGTGAACTATCGTCCGGAGACGCTTTTACTTTTCTTTAAGACTGAGGCTGTGTTGTAGGGATTATGCAGCAGCCGCCTGTCGCACGAAAGAGCTGCCGAACGAGTCAGGAGTGTGTTCTGGAAGGGGTTCAGGGACACTGCGCGGTCGTCGGCGAATGGTATCCATAGTCCAACGATGAAGCACGCCGGAGCCTTGATGAGATGCGGAGGGCTCGTGTGCCCTAACAGAAGAATTTGAATGAACGTTTGCTGTTGGGGAAGGAGAGGGTCGGAAATGAAACAGATCTTTGACGCCGCGAACCAGGGACCTGGACGATTTATGCGGCGTGTTTTCATTGCTGCTGGTAGTCGGAGGTGTCAAAAGCCCGGAGGCGGTGGAGGAGCTGGTGTCTGTGTGTACCAGTGAAGGAGGATTGTGAGACTGCGATGACGACGGCGCCGACGAGGGAACTTCGGGAGGTGAGGCAAGCGGTGGCTTCTCGTCCTCGATAGGATGGACAGGAATAATGGGCGTAATGGTTAAACCCTTCGCGTTTCGGCGCGATGCTAAATTCCCCTTGCGGGGGGACCTGGAAGGAAGGCTATCCAGACTATCCGTGGTCCTCGAACGAGGAACTCGAATGCTTTCATGCTTGGATAGGCGACTCTTCGATCTTGTCCCGCCTAAATTGGAAGTCCCCCGAAAGAGCTCTTCGTCACGGCTGTACGCATACATCCTCGCGTTAACGCAGGATGGGGATATGACGTCTTGCAATGCCTGATCCACTTGCAGTCGAGCCACAGGGGAAGATCGACGAATGACGATTGTCTCCGGATCCGATGCGATAGGGCCGAATATACTCTTGACTGACGTTGTGGAAGAGCGTCGACTAGTAGAGGGTGAGAATTCGGGCCTGGAGGGAGGTTCGTAACGCCGGAGTTTCGTCTTGGACTTTGAAGAGCTCCTCAGGGAGGCAAGGAATGGTTCCGATAACTCCGTGTCCGATGTGGCTTTCGACATCTCGGGGATTGATTGGATGGTGGGCAAGCCTGTGGATATCTCGGGTTCCGAATGGAGAGAAGAAATCAACCCGCCCTTCTCATCGAACTTGAAGCTGGGTGTCGGTTCGTTGGTCCATTCGACCTCATGTTTCATGGATTCTCGTAGAGCCTTGAGCCAGATGACCTTCTCCCTGTGACAAGAAGCCGCCAATTCAAAGTGCTGCTCGCCGCAAGAGACACGGATAGAATATGGCAGGATAGCTGGAATGATATTAGCCTCATTCTGAACACGAGATTTGGGCGGATTCTCACCTTCTCCCTCTTCTACATCTGACGTTGTAAATTCAGCGAGCGAGAACCAGTGCTTTGGTTCGTACTTCCTGCCTTTGAAGACCTTCGCCAATATCAAGTACCCTCCGGGATAAAGGAAAGCGCCCAAATATTTCGCCTTGAAGTTCGAGATGCTTTCCAAGGGGCGAAGGGGGTGGTGATGCATGACATCGAGAGGACCAGCAAGCAAGCAACTTCCCAAAGAAGACAAGAACTCGGGAGTCAGGGTCTGAATTGAGGGATCGCTTGATGCAAGAAGCATCTGGCCCCCAAGGAACATGCGCGAGGCAATGAGAGCCGATTGCATGGCTGCGTCTTGCCGATGTCGAGCTTCATCTACCGACGAAGCGACATGTCGCATAGCCTGCGATGCACTCTTCACCACAACATCGACATCGCATGAGCGTGCCCGTGGTCGGGTAAAATTAGGCTTCAGGGACCTGTGCGACAGTAATTGGTCGAATAGGAGGGGGTATTTGCAGATCCGTTGTATGGGTTTGATCATATAGTCGACGAATGAGATGCGACGTGGGGACGGTGCTTCCCGTTTATGTTCCAAGGCTGCATTGGCGCTATCCTTGGTAGGGCAACGAAGGCGAAGCGTTCGTACGGCACCATCCAGGGATGTCAGAGAAAGGGTGCGAATCCGGTCCTCTGCGACTTGGGTATTTTGATGAGATTTGGGCTCCGATTCCGCCACCTTCCCGGCTTCAAGGTCTGATATCATGATCGAACAGCGCTGCTCGAAGGCCTCCCATTCTGCTGCGTGCTGCTGCGAAACCTTCCTGACCAGGTCGAGGGCTTCAAGATGGCCAGCGCAAAACGATTGATATGCGTTAAACCTCGAGGCCTGTAAAATGCTTAGAAACGTGCAAAGGGGGAAGAGTGAATAGCATTACTTCGGTAGCGAACTTGGCAGAGACGGCCCGGATTGCGTTGTCGATATTACTGAGAACCACTGGGGAGGGTGGCTGATCTGAATGTTCCATGCTAATCCCCATAGACAAGGCAATGGTCGTCAACTCTTTGAGGAAGTGCTCATGGAGTTGCAGAAGGTCTTCGGCGTTGCGGATAACAAGTTCCAGTTCATTGTCCGTAAAAAGGTAACGAGTGCTGCTTCGATGGATGTCTTTGATGGAGGATAGCGGCGAATTTAGAACTTGGGATTCTGGCATAGGACTTGGAGACGCAAGGGCATGGAGTTGTGTGTAGGAGTGGGCCCAAGGACCCGAAGAAAAGGAGGCTGATGCTCGCCCGAATGTCGAGTTAAATACGGGGGCGCGTTGCGCGAGAGTGGGCAGGTTGCGCAAATAGCTCTGTGAAAAGCACCGGGTCAGGTGACGATCATGTTAATTATAAGCTGGGAAACCTACCGTTACGAAGGCCCTCAGGTCAGTTACATAGCCATGCTCAGTAGAAAGGAGTTCCTTCAGGGCGTGGTATCTCCTCGCTGCATCTTTACTCCTCTCTTCTTCCTCCCAGATTTCCGCTGGTCCGCAGTCACTCCAACTACCGTCAGGACTGGTGTCATCGTTGAGACTATGTGGTCGTGACTCGGGGGAATCGGCGCTGTCGTCGTCATTGTCGGTAATACAGTTGTGAAGAGAGAATATAGGCTTTGGATGAGGAGCGGAGCGGCCGTGGTCGATGTCAAAGACCATAGGCTGAGAGAGGGAGCGCAAACGGCACGGGAAGGAAGTGGAGGGTTGGATGGACCCCAATGGAGGGAATTCAGAGGCAGCTCGGTTATGGGCGATCAGGTTAGGAACAGATATACATTTCTTCACCCTAGGTCCCTGATCCCGTCCCGCATGTGCGTGCATCGAGGCTGGGAACGAGGCCGAAGGTGCAAACAAAGCGGTGGGCGCTTTTGCTCCTTCTATTGACAGAGCGCCGGAGTGACGTCCTGACTTCATGGGAGGTGTAGGGGGAGTGGATACCCACGTGGGGGTGGCGGTCGAAACAAGGGTAACCCGTACAGAAACGCGATTTGTCGTGTCCATACCGACCTGCTCTTCTCTTTCGACCTCCTGCGAACAGGTGCTGCTCGCTGTAGGGGTGCATATTGGAGAAGCCAGAATGGGAGGGAGGGGAAGAAAGCCAATATCGAGCCGAGCGGGAGGGCAGCGTTCGACGGGCGCTTTCATGCCAGTCGGAACCGGCACCACCGATTCGGTAACGCCGTTCTGAGCGAACAATTTGCTAGATGCCGATTCTGAAGGAATTCGCTCCCTGCGTTTTGCATACAGTGCTGACGAAGGGGTTCTTGTCGGTTCTGTTGATAGTCGAGGAGATATGAACTCGGACGATGGGGCGAGAATTTCCATGTCAAGGGGGAACCCTGGTGCGATGTAGAAATTATAGGCTCCAATGACACAAGAAATGACCCTCGACACGAGGGAAAGGGCTATTCAGGTGAACACCGAAACAGAAGGCATGATAGGAGAAATGAAGACATACCAGGCAATATATTTGCAAGACGACCACCAGCCAGCCTCGATCCTCCGGTCGTCTGTGAATCCGAAGGCCAAATTTGAACGAGTGGTGGGCGAGCAGCAACAAAAAAAATGGCGTGACCCTTGTGGCGAGCTACACGCCGAGGGCGACCTCGGCGACGCTGGACGCTTTGGGCGACGACGAGCTCACCGTCGCTGGGGGAGAAGGATATGGAACGAGGTAAAGGAAGAGAGGCGGACAGCACCGCCAAGCCTTAGCCAACCGGACATTGAAATAAATAGTTTCAGACAGCCTTTCTCGGCATTCGGATTCACAAAATCGCGCACTACTTAGCATTTAAGATCCTCGACCAACTTTCAATTTCCTTTTCATCTCGCTCCACCGAAGCCCAATCCAAACCCATCCGCTCTTCACCTTATTTTTGCGTCCCTGCCATTCCTTATCATCGGGCGATATCTAAAATTCGGCGTCCCAGTCACATTCTGTCTACATCATCGGTGACTGCATCTTCCGAGCCATCGTAGTTGCATTTTGTCTGAGAGAGGTGCTCTTGTTCCCATTTTTGGCTGCTTCTCTACCTCGTCACGGTCACATGTGCGACATGTCATTGACCCTTTAGTCTTGCCGGAATCCAGACAGCGGACTGTCTGCACGGGTGCCTTAGCATGAGACACGAGGCGAGACAGAGTGGATAGGTGCCTTCTTGTCGTGTGCCGTGAATGTCGGACTGTGTCGACCTTTGAGGACGAGGCACGGAGGCCAGGCGCTCCCTGCCTGGTTGGTTTGTGTTTTTGATGTCTGCCCAATCAGGAAGGAGTCCACCTCGCGAACGCCAAGCAATGTGGAATTGACGCCCATGGCATTCCAACGCTTATTCGGTTAGCCTGAGGATCAAATAGCTGTGTACTATGCAGTCGACGTCAACCTAGCTCAAGGGCAGCCAGAAAGCAGGAGAGACAGCATCGGATCTTGTTCAGGATTGGACGAGTTTCAAAATTCAAGGGCAGCGACGCAAGGCCAGAGGCGCCCACCTGGCGTCACTGATCATTGATGCTATTGCAGGAGGAAGAAACTGCGTGCAGTGGTGTGCTGGGCTATATACCCTATAGTATACTTGGACTGTATAGGAGGCTTAAATACGATGTTCGTTTGCCTAATTTTCAACAAAACAAAGCCCCAGGTAGCGCAGCGTTTCTCCTACTAGTGCTATCGATTGTATCCAGTGTCATCGATCATCTTTGATGCAAGTTCTAGGTGGTGCCCAAGACCCATAGTTTTATGCTAGCAGACAATGTCCAGTGCTTTCCAAAGCGTTATCAAAAGTCTACAATCCTGCGATTGATATTCAGCTTGACCCTTCGAGACAGTGACTGGTTTGCGCCCGAGGATAACAACGCACCGCGAAGCTACAATCGTGTCTGTGCCAGCCTCGTTCCCAAAACCTCAATATAAGTCGTATTTATCGTCGTCCCGCGGCATGTAAGGTATGTTCCTTGCTTCTGCTTCTCGACGAGTTATACACGCGGGACCGGAAAGGTCAGCGCTGGACACCGGTGGACGCTGGTGGACATCGGTGGACGGTGGATTCCGGCATTATCCGGTGTATTACATGAGCTTTAGATATCAACACGTTGAAAACCATTATCGTTGATTGGCCTGTCCACTGACGTCCACCGTCATCCAGCGGTCCTCCGTCCCTCGACCAGCGGATTTCATTGGAAATCATCTACCTTCAGTCGCGTTTCCCGTCTCCTAATTCACCACACCATCCACTGGCTGCCACCGGATTTTGTTGGACTGTAGCACGAGCTCTCGCCAGCGGAATCCACTGGAGACGACACGCCGTCTGGTCGCCGAAACCAATTTCCAATGGATGTCGCTGGACGTTATTTGTATTCGCCTCCTATCGTTGCGATGTAGAGTAAATTTTCGAGCACAAACAATCCCTTTCTCTTATCTCTCATCCCAAATCCTTTGTGCTTCCACTGGCCCCCAATCCTCAAGCAATGGAATCCAACAAAACACAGATATTCTCAGGCCTAGTCTCGAAAATGAATAAGGCCCCACTCGTCGACCTGGCCAAGGACCTCAAACTTGACCCCGATGGGACAGTCCCTCAACTTCGGGCTCGTCTCAAGTCATACCTCGACGCCAATCAGGACAAACTCCAGCTCGATCCTCGATACCAGGGTCTCTATGCTCATGGCCCATCCAAGTCCAAGGCGGCAGTCAAAACCAGCACTGACAAGCAAGCTGAAGACGCCGCAGCGGCGGCAACTGGCGACATAGGGGTTGGCCCCGGAAAATCGAAGTATGTGTATCGCTTCTCTCGCCTTTGAGGACCAACTGATATCGTATTCTAGCGCCCAAACCAAGCTGTTGAATCAGGGCTTTACCACAGATCCCGCTCCTCAATTTACGCCATTGAACAGCGGTACGTCCCATAATGATAAACACCTTGTCATGCATCAATACCTCTAACACTTTCGGTTTCAGGAAATAAGAAGCCTGCTGCTTTGGCTGTGGAAGAGGAGGAGGAGGGCGAAGAAGAGGACAATTCCAACGGCATAGAAGGCAACTCGAGCCCCGCTCCCCCTGATTTCCCTGCTCAACCAGCCAACACCGGTGTGGGCAAGAAGGACACGGGCGACAAGGCTGAAACGCCCGAGGGTTCAAAGATCCTATCCGAATGTGCGTACTCAATCATGTTCTAACCCCCTGTTCTTGTGCTGACGCGACTTCCGATTAACTAGTGCTTGTCATTCTTCGACCCACTCAACCCGCCAGCGGATCCGGAATAGCAAGGGAAATCCTCCTCGAAGACATCACCATCTACGTGTGGAAAAGTGATACGGGCGAGGAGTCCTATTACATTTTCCTGACCGAGGTGTTTGCAGCGCTCTTCAAGATGCCTGACCAGGCGATTGGGACCCCGATAAAGGGTGCGTGACTGTACCATCGCTTCCTTGGTGTCCGACTGTTTACAATTGGTATTCTAATAGACCCCAATGGGCGTATTTTCCGTGCTGGCCTCAGCGGTAACTCTGCTGCCCGCTACAAGATTGGCTCAATTGACGAGATCCGCACGGCACCAGGAGGTATCCCCGGCACTCTCGCACAACGGGCCTCCAACAAATACAACGTTATCAAGACCCCCGACGGCACTTACTCGTGCGAGCTCTACTCGGAAGCTCTCGACCACCCACCACCAGCCATCCCTCTCTACGAAGCACGCCAGCGATACGAAGCACGACGCAATGCCCGACTTGATAGCAAACCCACGCAGAAGGTCGAGAAGGAGAGGATCATGGTCAACGACGATGATCCTCTCTTTTCTGCGTTTATTCGAGAGCGGTTCAATGTCGATTACGTCGCGACAAAGGCCATGACAGCAAAGGACGCACTGGAGCGCACCAAGGCTGCCCAGAGGCTCATCGAGGCCCTTAACGAGACCGGTTGGAAGGACAGTCAGGGGAGGTTTAATGTACCTGGTGTGTCGGCTTCAACCCTCTCCCCTTACCAGTGATGCTGACCGACTGCCATAGACACAGAAGCGAACGAGTATATGAGAGGCAAGAGCTTCCTCCAGCGGACGGCACTCGAGGCTATTTCTATCAAGCACAGCATCCACGGCAGCGACCAGAAGTTATTTAGCCTCGGGAACATCAACAGAGCGGTGGATGCGAAGGCTTGGGTTCAGGGTGCGAAAACGCGATACCAGGCTGTGTTTGACCAGATCTCGAAGGCTGATTTCGAGTTCTATGTCAACTTCGTGAATGGGAGGTGCAACTCGGACAAGGTTACCTCTAAGTGGAAGGTCTTGAAGCAATTCAGAACTGTGGACGAGGAGTACGAGGACGACGGTTTGCGATTGGACACTCCGTCTATTGACAAACTCGACAAGAAGTACTACAGTGATCGGTCTTTTCTTCCAAAGGCCCGGAAGCGTCGTGCGGAGGATTTTCAGGAAAGTAGCGAAGGTGAGCTTAGTGATAGGCTGAGGGGAAAGGGGAAAGGAAAGCGACGAGCTGTTGATAGCGACGATCTCGATAATTAGATGTCTTGTTTCCAACCGGTATCCAAGTAGATGTGATACATAATTGATTTTTCCCTTTGACAACCTTGAACCTGAATGCTCGACGAGTCTGTGTGAACTACTTGAACCATAACCATGACGTCCTCGACAGTACAGGATGTCATTCACCTCCTCAATGGCTACCTGCCAGCGTCTTTTCCGCTCTCTCAGGCTTTGTTAGCCTTGTCCCTTGTTGTCTCTCTCTTCCCTCTTCTCAGACTACACGGGAACCAGAAAAAAGATCCACGACAACCCCAACAAACAGCCTGGATGAAGTCTGCCATTGATCTTGCTATCGAGGAACTTGCTGTTGATCCCCGGGACCACTTCTGGCACCAAAATGACTGGATCTCGTCGCGCTCTATTGTCCAGAACCTTTTTGGAAACCTGGATACCATCTTCGAGCTTCTTGGAGGGCAGATTGGAGAAGATCAACCACCCGCCAATCCTTTCCATCCTGAACCACCCATTATCCTCGTTACCAAGCGAATCAATTGCTGCAAATGTAATCAAGATACACGCCAGTCTCTTCGCCGCCACGAGAAACCTCAAAAAGTCTGGGTGCTCAGCGCCGAACTAGTGTGGAAGCAAGCCCATCTTTTTATTGCCCACTGTCCGCGTTGTCGATCCGATTATTATCCCGACAGGGTAACGTTCCAGGACTTGAACGGAGTCCGGGTTCAGCAGCTCGAGATTGAAGCAGACTATCTTCGAATCTCAAAGCATGGAGTTTGGGCAAACCGAAGGGTGGCTTATGCCCAGGAGAAAGCAGTTCTGCGGTTTCATGCAGGATGGTCCAACTTTGCGGATTGGGTCAATGATACGGTCCTCCATCGCAGCAAGAAGTTGACCCTCCGGCAATCGAAACGATTATTCATCGAACACTTCTCTCGACGGCTTCTGGTTCTCCACGGCAAAGCACAGGCCTTTGAATGCGGTGCAAATATCAGTGTCGACGATTTGGCCTCAGAAGTCCGTGATTTGGTGGGTGCCAATGGCGGCTCCATTGATTCCACTTTCGAGCACAGCTGTCGAAATTGTACGCACGCCAAACGGTACCCAAGTGACCTACAAAATGCTGGATGGGAGATAGGGCTAAACGACGGACAAGCTCCTGAGGGCAGAGCTACAGGGGTTGCTGAGTTGGATCAAGTTGGGGACCTCGAACAAGAACCAATCCAGGTAGGTGTAATCGCCTGACATCCTCGAATCTTGATAGAAACTGATGCAGGTGGTGAACCAATCCCAGGACGAATCAAGGAACAACTTACCAGCAGACATGCCTCGTCGTCCTTTGCAGCAGCCGGAGCCTCTTCCGGGAGCCCCTCGTGGCTATGTACGGCTTGCAGTAATGGATGGGAAGATGATTGGTCACCGCGTAAGTGCTGCACAATTAGGTTTTTTTCTTTTTGACCAAGCTATTTTTCAGATTTGCGCAATGGACGAGTGTCAAAACCCGCTGGTCAACTACCGGAATGGACGTTTCTGTCGGGATCATGCACAGCTCAACAACATCTGTGGAATCATACCGTGTGGTGCTCCTGTTGCCAGGCAAGGTTCTGTCACTTGCGCTCGTCCCGAGCATGTACAATGGTATAAGCAGTACCAGTCCCGTTTCCAGCGTTTGTCGTTTCCCGGTGTCCAAAGGGTCATGCGACGGCAGAGCGAGATTCGTTCCGGTCGCAGCCAGGAAGGCGGTGGGATGCATGTAAATCTCGACATTGCCGGAGCACTCCCTGCATTGGACGGTATCCCAGGTGATGAAGTCACCCATACGTTCAGAGCGCGGTCGGTTTACTGCATACAGACCGTACAATGGGCGTGTGGTATGCCGATTGGGTGGGGAAAGTGCTATAGGTCAGAGAGCTCGCCCCAGGTTCTATCCATCCTTGACGCATTATGGGCGGGCAAGGATGACAAACGACCGAGCTTTCTCGCGTACGATAACGCCTGCGACCTCTTACGCCATATCGTCACTCAAAACCCGCAAAATTCCTGGTTAACCACGACAAAATTCATCGTCGATGCGTGGCATTACATAGGCCACCGTGCAACGGATGCTCTCTGTCGCCTTTGGTGCAATCCAGCACCATTGGACGGATCCCAACCCGATCTGATTCTCATCCAGGAGGATGATCAGGGCCAGATGCATGCAACTCGTGCATTCAACACAGAAACCGCCGAGCAGCTCAACTCGTGGCTCAACCGATACGAGCCCCAGCTTCGACAAATGTCAGACGTCACCTTTGATTTCTTCGTTCACGTTCTCATGCTGCTCTATAAGGAGTCGGTGGAGGAACGTATCGAACGGAAGGGGGAAAGCTTACCCAACGACTTTTGGGACACTGTTATTTAGTCAGCTTGGTGGTAGCCTGTAGGGTAGAGACTTGGTACTGGGAGTTGAATCCACGCTACACTGGGCCTCCTGGTATGGAGTCAACCAATATATTGTGATAACCCCCCGGCTATAGATGCAATTTCAAGAGCAGACGCAGAGAGACGCGACGATTATGTGTTCATTAATCAGTTACACTGGGTGAGAGACCAGAATTTAAGGGTTTGCATTGTGAATGCACGGGGAGCGGGATCTGGAGCAAGACTTGGAAGTCTGGTTATACACAAGCCACATCTGCTCTAAATTAAAAACTGTACAGCTATTCGGAGGTCTCCTGACGCGGTTCTAATCCAATAAATCCCCTCAGGGCCGAGTATAATGACTCCTCCAACAATATATGCCAAAGAAGATTTCCGCGATCGAATTTCCGGATGCAAATGTCAATGGGAAGGGTGCTTTGATCCTCTGTGCTTCTCCTGTCCCTTTTTCGTGAAGTCCGTCGCATTCTAACAATGTCATGCCTTACAGAACATAAAAGACAACATCAGAGGGGACATACGCGTTGAGAAAGTGAATACCACGATAAAAATAAAGTCAATCGTGCAATGCCTTGAGTCATGGGCGCTAAAATGATGTCATCCCTTTTGGGAAAGCGCCAGGACGTACTATGCTTCTTCATTTCATTTACGCACGTTACAAATATATCTGGAGCTATCTACACGCTCTATCCAGCGAGAAACCCTTCCCCTAACCATGGGAATCCAGTGGAATTCCAGGAGCCGGTCCACTGGATTTCGTTGGAACGACTCCGATCCGGTGGAACACAGTGTACCAGCTGAGGCGAATCCGGTGGATAGTAGTGGATTGGAGCGAGTGAATTGGTGTCCAGTGGAAAGACTACGACGTATTGGAATCCAGTGAATGAGTCTAGGCGTCTAGAGGAATCCAGTGGATTCATCTCGTGATCCACTGGAGTCCACTGGCTCAACGCTGGACGCGAGCGGGCATGATCGGACTTATCCGCGCCGAGTATATTACTGTTCTCGACGCCGTCTTTCTTCCTTGTCCAAGAACTTGCGCAATGCAACCACTTTATCACCGGTAAACACGCGAAAGGCGGCTCGCTGGTCCGGGTCGCAGTTCTACATAGATTATCGAGATGGGCATATTGCTCTGCACAAATAGAGGTTTGGGGATAAGAGGTTACGTACAGGGGGAGGAAGCTCAGAAAACCGTTCGACGCCTTTCCTTCGTATGGATGGAATCCCAGTCGCAGTGAGATGCTGGAGGTTTCCGAGTTTCTGTAGGAGCAGGTGGATTGCGTCTAGCGACAGGCCATCGCAAAACGATAGGTGAAGGCGCTCCAAATGTGTTGCATGTTCGGCGAGGGTAAAGATCGCGATGTCGGTGATCTTGTGGACCCGTACCAAGCTTAGCCGCCTCAGTCTCCCCAACCCTGCTAGCTCAAAGACGGACATGTCTGTCAGATTGCGACAGACTAGGGGTTCGGGGGAAGGTTGAGAGCGCAACCGGTCGGGGGGAAGGGGATAGATGGACCGTTAGTTCTTCAGGCTCAGATCGAAAGGATGGGCAAATGGAGTGGAAAGGACGATGGGCTAATCAAAAGATAGAAACTCACATGCTACGTCTATACACCTTAAATTAGGACAGGAGCGGGCAACCTGAACGACGGCTCGGTCCGTTATATTGGAGACGTGAGCTAGCATGAGAACGTCGAGGTGGTCACCCAATTTACAGATGCTGTCCAAAGATGCATCCGTTAGAAGTGAGCACCCCGACAGGATGAGGGATTGAATTCGGGGTGCATGTGTGACTATACCGTCGATAGAGTTGTCGGTGATTTTATTACAGGAGGAGAGGTCCAGGACGCGTAGATTGTCGGCGGTGTGCCGCAAAAATAACGAAGGAAGTTCCTCGATCCACGTAGCCGGGGTATGAGGAGGGGGTTTGTCCGGCTCCTCGCCTGGGTCCGGTGTTGGAATCATCGATAATGGCGCAGGAAACGCCTTGTCTGTGAGAAGCGGACAATTGGCCAATCGCAACGTTCGTAATTTCCTGGGTAAATTTCGTTAGTGACTGGTTCGATGACAAGTACAGATCCACACACCTAGAGAACGACCATATATCTCGGACAGCCAACGGGGTGAGAAGTGGGAGGTCACACAACTCCAGTTCCGCTAGCCGCGAACAGGATTTGGCGATGGCAGATATTGATGGGTCGGTGAGTCCAGTCACCCCGTTGAGGATTAGCCATTGAAGCGGCAGAGCTTTGTTGGCCAATTCGAGGATGCTAACGTCAGTAACTTGGGTACAATTTGACAGGTTAAGGCCTTGGAGATTATTAGCTCGTTGTGCCAAAAGAACGACTGTTCTATCGGTCGTTTCGGGGACGCCAGAGAGAACCACGGATTCCAGATGAGGGCTGTTCTTTAGGGCTTCTGCAAGGCGGTCGTCGGTAACGGCAGCAGAGGGTGCTAGCCGTTGGAGGACAAGATGACGAACGCGAGGGGTTTCATCCTCGGTAGGCAACCGGTCGGTCACTCTGATTGGCATTTCCTCATGAAAGGATGACGAAGAATTAGGATCAGGTTCTGCTAGCATTGAGCTGGAAAATATAGAGCGGTAATGGCGCTGTTATAGCCTGTTGATGAAATGGTCTTCTGGGTGAGTCTAGGTCCCTTGGTGTTTGGTTGCGGAGAAACGGGACATAATACATGTCAGATGCAACCTTGCAGATAAGACGATCTGACCAATGAGAGAAGCCTGGCGGTTACATATAGAAAGAAAAAGTCTGGAGCGTCTAAGTAGACCCGAGAACTGGCCCTACAAGTTCCTTTTGGTAAGGCACCAATGGTCATTTGATTGGTCGTTCACCAAGACTTTGACTGTGGTTCGGTGCCCACTAACCTTGCCGCCCAGGAAATCACTAGCCAATCCCCATTCGTAGAATTCCGTTGACGCTTCAAGTCCAGATTAGGTAAGCACAAATGCCTTCCTCCGCTGCTTCCACCACAACCGCGTCGACCGCTCGCCTCCCGCACAAGTCGTCGCTGCCGCCCCAGCAGCCACCGCTGGAAGACTCTTCCAGTCGCATCCCAGTCACTCCAGCAGTGCTGAGGTCCATTTTTGCCTCATCGAGGTCTCCGCATGAGGAACGCTCGATCTCACGCGTCGCCTTCTTTCGGTGATTATTGTTTGCCAGGCATATATCTTCGTCCATTTGTCCTCATATAGCTTGGTTTTCAGGTTTGCAGGCTTCCTTCTCAGCGTCATAGGCATCAGTCTTGCTGCTGCGCGAAACCGGGGTCTCAGGAGCAGTGCTGCCTTGCTCGGTGTCGTCTAACGTGTGCTGCTCGGTCACAACAGACGTAACCAAAGTAACGGGGTTCTGGCAGTACATAAATATGTCCACGAATGACTATAGCCGTCAGAAGAAATCCACGGTCCCCTTGTCTGCTGAAATTACGCCCACCACTTTACTAGATAAGTCAAAGATGGTACCTCCTTCCACCACGACTAAATCAGCCGTCTCCTCGCCGACCTCGCGGATTCCAAGCAATTTCTCAAGGTCCGTGGTGACCAATGCATAGGCTTGACGTTCTTCGATACGACCATTGGACTCCAGGGAAGCCTGCACAGCAATCAGAAACCATCTCCGGAATTCTCGTGTACCTTTCAAGGAACACATACCCATTGAATGTCGAATCTTGCGTGTCGTGCCTCCCATCCGCTTCGGACGCCTAGGCCGACAACCACCTCATTCTCGAGAAGGGTTATCAGAGCCGTATCGTTGGTAAGTGGAGGCCCAGGTAAACTATGGTTTAGATCAGCAGCAGCTCTTCATCTCCTAATAACGGACTGTCACTCACATTCGACGCTGATCCCAGACCATCGGATAGGGTCTCGCTGGGTTCAGAATCACCCCCACGTCCGCGAAGCCTGTTCGCGTTCAGTACCGATCTGGGTGAACAAAGCAAAGACATACTGATCTCTTTGGCGAGGAGATGCGCTTCGGCAGCTCCGCTGAACACCATCCGCATTCTGGACCCAATCCGGTTTTCGATGTCCATTTTCAAGATCAACAATGAGGCCATGATGTCTGCACTGTCGACGTCGACGATCAATGGAACCACACCCTGTCCTATGGTTAGCCTCATGCAGAGTGATCCGTCAGACAATGCCTACCTCTGCAGCCTTTCTGAACCAGTACCCGGTTTCCTTGTCCCTTGACTCCCACCCACGCAACAACCTCCTCAATGTCGCTAACTGTGAGCTTACGCTAACGGCACCCGGTATGAGTGGGTGAGCCCTTCCTAATACGACGTGGAGGGCGACAACGTCTTGGACGATAGCTCCTCGTTCCATTGAATGTGCTCCCCCGGTGCGGAAAGCCGCAGATAGCCCTGCCAGGAACTGCGATGAATCTCCACCAAGGTAGATTGGGGTGGCCAGCGACGATGTCCCGAAGGTTACGCCAGACCGGTAAGCAAGCCTATCCGTCACGTTGTCAGGTAGTCTTTCTAAACAAGGATCGAACAACTTACAGCGCATTTCGTGTTTGGAACATCAAGGCATCTACAGCCCGCACGAGTCCACCGACATCGTCAAATATCCTTGGCACATTGTGCTTAAGCGCATCGAACGGACGTCCATCAGCTGTCGATGGCTCACTGGCAATTTCTTCGAGGCCAAGTGCGGAGCCATAGGACATCAGGCCTGGAGAAATAGATCCTCCTTTCAGGTCGATAAGCTCTGCCTCCTGGGCGCCCGTCAAACACGAAGAACCCCCAACGCAGGTGATTCGCCCGTTCTCGACCAATACATTTACACCTCTTGTTCCATTTCCTGCGACATTGAATCCCTGGAGCCGATCTTCGATTGATCCACCAAGTTTCCTGGTCCAGACCTTCTTTACGTTCGTAAAGACGATATGGTTATCCGAATTGCGAGCTTTGAGAGGAGGCAGTCCTTCCCATTTCAGAGCTTCTTCACGCTCTTTATCCCAGTTAGGGACGGTAGGAGGCCTCTTCCAATGTTCTCCACTTTTACCCTTCCCAATCTCGATTGGATTATCGTGCCCCCCGCCCTTCGATTGGACCGGAACCTGAAGGATGCCATCGATCCAGACTTTCACCGGCGTGGCACCTAATTGGAGCGGGTGTGAATCCCACATAACTACATCAGCGTCAACGCCTTTTTTCAGCACTCCGATACGATGAGCAAGTCCAGCAGCCGTGGCCGGGGTCGAGGTTATCGACGCGAGCGCTAGGTGGGGCTGCAACCCGTAGTAATGAGCTTGCTGTGCTTCATAGGCCAGGTACCGTGAATTTAAAACGGGGTGGTCGGACTAAGATGTGACGAATGGAGGAGGTGAATAGGCTGTTGAGAAGCTGTGGAAACGTCCCACCTTCATAACAACCGGGATACCAGCGTCAGCGAGAACACGAGGTGCATGTTCTGACCCTCGATATGCCTCCCGCTTGTACCTGAGAGTTACCAGAAGTGGCAAATAAGGTTCGGTCACGAGTGGCGGAGCAGAATGTCACCCACCTATGGTTCGTCGCAAATAACGCAACGGTTGGCACGTTTCCCCATCTGACAGAGTTCACGAAGGATGTCAGCGTTGATTGGTCTGGACCACAAGATATAGATGGACTGCATACTTACGCTCTTTTCAAAACGTCCGGGACAAGCCAAGCCTCTGCAGCATGATGGATCGATGAAATAGGGAACTTGAATTCGTTCGTAAGCTGTGTTAAAGTCCCCGTCACAAGACTGTGTCGATTAAAGGCTGGAACGACGCACCCGGACTAGGGCATCCAAATCGACCGCCTCATAACAGTGATTGGATATCTAAAGTTAGTAACCGAATGAGCGATCTGATTGGTTGTGGAGCGGGTGACTATAGGCGCCGAACCTTCACTTTGCCGCGGAGGACATCGACGAGGATCTCCCATTGCAAATTCTCAGGGAATGGGCCAGTGATGGAATCCCAAAGACCGTTTTCCACCAAGTCGCAATACTCGTCTTGAGCAACCATAATCTTTCTTGCCTGGCTGTAAGCTGACCGAAGCGCCCACATCGTATCCATTCGGTTTCCGTAACGTTTGAGGTTCTCCCCGCAGGATTGTCTGCGTATGACGACATGTCAATCGTAAATGGCTTCGAGTGCTCGTACCAAGGTGGACTCACTTCATGTGTCTCCAACGAAATGGGGCGTTGAGGTCATCAGCGCTGGTTAAGGAAGATGGAGGGTCGACAATCATAGAAGATCCAGACCGGTCTGACGTTTTCCGCAGCTTCACAAAGAAAGATTGGCCACCTTTGACAATATCAGTCGAAGTCTTGGGTAACGAGGGCATGTACTTGCCTATCGCATTATTGCTGCCGGGTAAAACCTGGACAGTTGTGACACCGCCGGCGATGGCCAACTGGAAAGCTTCGTCATGAGTGCTAAGTCCATCAATGCTCTTCAGCCAGGGGACAATAGGTCCATGGGGAGAATCAAGGTCGATGCCGCCTGACAGCCAAAGGGATGATCACTCTACGGGGAAGGATACCAAGCCCGAACAAGACTCACCTGACAAGATGGGGGAACTGAGGATACCGATGTGCGAGTGCAGATCCACTGTTTAGGTATATGAGTTCCAACGAAGCTCCACTCGAAGAGACGATAGCTCACCAAGTCCGGGCGTCACCCACGCGCCATTGGCGTTCACCACCGTCAAGTTCTCCACACTATCAATAACACCACCCGGTATATCCCCGATGCCTCTAATTATCCCTTTGTCGAGCAATAGGTCCCCGTGGATGACGACAGTGCCATTCTTTTCGCCAGTAAAGATCTTCGCATTGCGAATCAAGGTGCCGTTCGTCCCGGGTTCGAACCTGTCGGATTTGTCTCTCCCCCAGAAATTGGGAGGTGGGCCAGGAATCACTCTGACAGCAGCGCACCGAGCGAGGAGCTCCTCCCGTTGGGCCCGAAAGATAGGCTTGCTGCCAGAGAAAGCCCCAAAGGTAGGGTATGAGCCTAGCGGGTTGAGCCCAGTCCAGGCGAGGGCGAGCGCAAGAACAATGGCTAAAGCTGCAACATGAAGAAAGGAGTATCGTGCAGCGCCGAGTTTCCGCCCGATAGTCGGCGCAGGCGAGAAGCTGGGACCTATTTTCCCAGAGGACATGGTTGTAGATGCAGAAAGAACTGGCATTGCGAACAATGCGGTCGTCGTTTTGTATAACCCGTGCACGACGTTGTCACGTTGCGTGAGCCACATGCCTTTGAATTAATGAAAGGGACATCATCGGCCATGAAGCAAGTCGTTGTCATCGTAAAACAAAGGAGTGCTTCATCAGTCGTGGCTAGCGCAAGAGTAATTCGGGAGGAGTGTAAGGCGCATTCATTGATAGAGCGGAGTTTAAGATCTGATAATTACGCGATGCCTTCGACCAACGGCCACTCCAGCGGTGGACGGTTCCATCGGTATCGTCGTGAACACGTTGCCTGGTCATGCATACGCGACGCTACTATGAGGACCTAGAGTACAACTTGAGGTCACATTAAACCGGCAGTCTAGCACGACGCAGATAAGAATACAGGCAACGCGGGTACCATGACCTCGGGCTGGATGCGAACTGCCTATGATCGAGCTTGACTCAGGGTCCCAGGGCCAGTGCTGCTCCCTGCTTCAGCTTGAGCTGGTGTATCATCATTGATGATCGTTGCACTGGTTATCTTTCGGCTTTTACGTTTTTTGTTATTGGCCGCAGAATCAGTGGGAGCATGGGCTTTCTTGACCCTCAAAATATCCATGATTTCTTTAGATGGAGGTATGTAAATCGCCTGGAAGGAAAGGTGCATAAATGCGGAACATACCTTGATGAGTCATATCTTCATATCCCTTGATGCTTTTCTTCATCGTAAGCCAGCGTCGTTGCAAACTGTGCGCACTCCAGAGATTCCAATCAGGGTCAGGTAGAGTTTTCCAGTCGATTTCAGTATCATCGCGGACGTTCAACGAATCCACTCTGTTATGCAACATTAGTTCAAGCATGCAACGGTCACCAAATTCACTTACTTGTGAACAAGAATATAGGCGTCTTGTTGGCTCCACCGAGGCTTTTCGCCTTCTCCGGTCTTCAGGAGCTTGCTCAACGAATCCGTCCTGGAAGTAAACTGAGTATCATGTCGGGATTAGATGTGATCTCGAACCTACCACTTTATCCGGCATTGTTGACGACCTCGCCTTCCACCCATCAATTCACTGACCCTTCCCCAGAATACGTCTGTGTCGGGATCACGACCCTGCTTCACTGTCATGTCGGTAACTATGCGGGTGAGTTCATCTTCCTCTTCTTTGGACCAAGGACCTATGTCTACCGTTAATATCGAAATGTGAAATGGATACAATGGCACCATACCGTTCTTCCTGACATCACGACCAACAATGTGGTTGCGATAGCGGTCTCGACAGTCCGATGACATCCTGCCGACGCGCTGGCTCACTTTCTCCCATTGTTGACCTAAATCAGCGACAGCCCTGAAGAATGCTTAGCCCAGAACAAGTTGGAAAAGGAGAAACGTACTGTTTAAGCGCTGCGTCTTCATCTGCGGTCCAATTCCCCTGCTGCTTTAAGGGATGATGTGTCCGTCGTACATGATGGTAAACCGCGACAATGGGTCGTTGAGGGACGGCTCGAGCTAACTCGACGTTATACACTCGCACTACGAGGGAAGGAGAACGTAAACCTACTTAGCTCAGTCCAGAATTGATTGTTTCGCTGCTTTTCATTTTTGGGAAAGATGATATCGAGTATCTGGGCTTCCGTAAGTTGGTGAGCCTGGTGCGAGGGATTAATGCGTGTCAAGGGAATCCAAAGAAGGCCGCATACCTGACGGTGAGCTTCAATAGCATCTGCCAGCTGTTGGGCTTCCGTCGCCGAGAACTTGCCCTTCTTGTATACCAGACCTGAACGAAAGTTAGACGGGTAGCAGCAGACACCTTACGAAGGCGCACCTTCTGATTTAACTAGTTCCGTCAATTTAGCTGCGCTCAACCACTTCGTACAAAGCATCTCAGCGTGGTCAGTGTTCGTTTGATGCTCGAGAACAGAGCTAGTGTGGTTGGCAGGCTGGGAACGACGTGTTGAAGCACCAGTTTGACGCCCTGTTCGACCGAGAATAGCGCTAGATTCGACAGGCGTTTGGCCAAGGGTCGTAGACGAAGTTGGTGGTAGTGGAAGAGGCTGAGGAACGAAGGCAGGAGGGGGAGGGAACGTAGGCGGTAAAGGGGGGACGTTTACAGTGTTCGCAGCGTCACCAAGGGTCTTCAAAACTCCTGCAATTTTATCCATATCCAGATCTTGCAAAGCACGCAGGACATCGTCACTTGAGCCGTACGCCAGTTCGTTGAAGACATTGGGCGGGACGTTATTGAGGTTAAACGGCCCTGATCCTTCTCCAAAGCCTGGGGGAAATGGGAAGCCTGGGGGAGGTGGAAACGGAATGAAGTGGCCTGGCGGAGGTGCTGGTGGAACAGGCATCGGTGGAGCTGGAGGCTCTGGCTGTGCCTCAGGCTCTTCTTGTCCAAGTTCAGCGGGGGACGCCGACGACACAGCGGCGACGATAGCATTGAGAAGCGCTGCAGTCGACCCTTGAGGATCCATGTCGGTCTCTGGTGGTTCCGTTTGTTCTGCAGGCTCGGCAGCGACCGCTTTCTGTTTCCCTTTGTCGCGCTTTTTCTTATCTTTCTTCTTCTTCTTTTTCTTCTCTTGCCCCACATCCAACCCTTCTGGTGCTGCTTCCTCGCTCAAGCCGTGTTCGGAGTCAGGCTCAGGTGCAAGTTGGTTCGTTTGAGCGTCCCCCGTCTCTTCGACATGCCTGTGTTTTTTCTTTTTCTTCTTCTTCTCGCGGTGCTCGTGGTCCTGGCCATCTTCCCCAGTTATTTCTATTTTGTCGTGGGAGCGTGTTTTCTTCTTTTTCTTTTTGCGTTCGACGGTGGGATCGTGTTGTTCGGGTTCAGCGCTCGGCTGCGACGCGTCCTGAGCGGACAACATTAGGGTAGGCTTAAGAGATTGTGGAAACCCTTTTCTCCGGTTTTATCGGTCGCGTCTGATTCAGATCCCTGACATCAAATAATAATATTTTTCTGATTTTCGAGCATTTCCTGTATGTACGATACAACTTGTACATATTTGAGGGTCTTCTCATCTCGAACACCATACCAGTTAAGGAGGGCTAGTGACGGATTTATTCAATCTTCGTCGCCATCGTCATCAAACCAACGGTCTTCAGCTTCGCGGTCGTCATCTGAATCTAACGATTCGTCCCAATCGACCTTATCGTAGTCTATGCCCTAGTGGAGGATGAGAAAGGGGATCGTAGAAGGTAGGTGTAAAAGATTCAAACCTCGAGCAGTCCATAGATGAAGCGTTCTCGAATCCGACGCTCAAAGGTCCTCTGTCGTTCGACGTCGCTTTCTGGCTCTGGACTTGGTAGGGGACTGTCGTCGTCTTCCTCTTCGTCAGTGTCTTCGTCTTCTTCAGGTATGAACTTGTCGTCTTCCTGGGCTCTTCTTAGCAAACGGACACGTTCATTCTCCCGCTCTTCCTCATAGTTGCCGAGTAGGTTGCCTAGGTTCCCAACTTGTTTCTCTCTACCCTCCAGGAAGTGCGTCTGAGCCCAAGCACGCTCTTCTTTGGCTTCTTCCACTCCGGGACGTAGTCCTCCCTCCCATAACCCTGGCCAAGTGTTTCGTGCGTTTACAAAGTTCAATTCTGGTGGAGCCGTGGTCGTCCACTTTAGTCTTCGGTTGCGAATGGCAGGGATCACTGTCCTTTGCTTGGGGTTCGTGATGAGACCGAATCGCGGAGAGAGATGTGGGGGTAATTCCTTGAGATGCTTTGACAAAAACCCAATCGGGTCCTTCTTGGGAGACGGTGTGTAGTCCTGGCGCAGTCCAAGATAACGGAGAGTGGGAGCCTCTTCAAAATCGGACGCTTTCATCGTCTTTTCAGTTCATAGAAGACGTGTATGCAACATGGTTCCGAGTTCAGATGAATGCTAGGACGAGACGCCATAGGGTCTACTGACCGTAGCTCGCAACTGTTGGAAGACGAGACTCAACAAGCGTTCGCCTCCGGCAAATCGGCACTTGGTCGTTGGATCCAAACAAAGACAAATCGCATTGTGGCTAGACCTCGAACTCGTGTTTTCTTGTTGTTTTGAATGTTGTCCATGGCTAGGGGTTCAATCACCTGGTCGCTCGTTGTCGCACTCGCTAGTCCAGCAAAATACATAGAATTCCCGTTCAGTCTCTCGCGCTATCCCACCCTGCCGATATGCTTCAAATTTCCTCGACTCAAGTCAAAATCTACGAGTGCCGGATGGGCTGGTGCCCAGAGTCGTTCCCCAACGAACTCGCACTAGTTGAACATGTCAAAGATCACATCAGAAAGGCGCCTTGGATTCGCCGAGGCGATCTGCCTGTCATCGTCCGAGCAGAGGAAGGTTTGGGCGAATCAATGTCCCTAAGCGCCGGAATGATAGGTCTTTCTTCACCATTTCCCAGCCAAGTTGGCAAGGTCGTTAGGGTAGAAACCTCTGGTATGTCCTTTCAGTCCTGAACCCATATATATATATATATACATCAAAATTCATGCCAATTAGGTTCACAGTCGCAGCCTAGTCAGGTTGCCCAACCCACGTCGTCACTCCCTTCACCACCCCAATCAAATCACGCGCCTTCTCCCCACTTGCAAACATTCAATGCGTTTGATAGCGGCGACCTTGCATCGCAGCCAGAGTTCACGGTGGATCCGAATGACTCTCCCATTGTTGGGGGGTTTGATGACTCCCCCGCTTTCAGCTTCAGATCCACCTCTCAAGACGGCTCGCCACAAAAAGCCCTTGTAATTCCAACTTCTCCAGGTCTCGACACACTGGTTCTCCAAGGATCATCAGCCAGTAAAAAGCGGAAGGCGCGAGACTTTGTCTCTTCCATGTCGGATTCCCGACGAGCCTTACCTCCGTCGGTTTCGATGGCGTCGCACGTCTCGAATTCCTCTGTGGCTTCTGTAGAAAGGCAGTTGACACAATCTATGGACTTCGATGATGATGAAGGTGTGCTTGAGAGGTACATTCATACCGACCAGTTTGCCGACTCCTATGCTGGCCTCTCATCCCAAGCAGAGTCTCAAGTATACGCCGGAGAGATCTTCCAGTCCCAGGTCAAGTCATCCGCGCAGCCGTTCACTTCGCAACCGATGCCTTCTGAAGCTTCGCAACAACGACAGCCTGAATCCCAGTCCTCTTCGGAAGGGAACATATCAGCTTCGTCGAATTTAGAGCCACCGCCTCCTGGTCAACCTCAGCCATCTACATCCACTGTCAGCTCTCAGAAATCGGCCCCGTTTAGCAAAACGTCCCATCCCTTCTCGCAACACGACTCTCTCGCTTCTCAAGCACACCCTTCGACCTCTTTCCCTATCCGTGTGACAACCTCTCCAGTAACCCCCGTCACGACTGTCTCACCAGCAACCCTCCAAAGCTCTTCCAAATCCCGGACTGGGAATCCCAGCCGCCGTGTTTTCCAGTCTGGCACCCTTCCCCATTTTGGGTCGCAAGATACCAATCAAGCAGGCCCTTCCGCGAAGCCGGCTACGACAAGAGCCTTATCTGCGATTGAACGGGCGCCTGATGGAGGTCTCATCCATCGGCACTTTGACCGTCACCAGCACCACCAGCCAGGTACTTCTCGCGACGAGGATAATGAACCAGGCGTAGAAGATGAAGGCGACTCGGAGGATTTTGAGTCCCAGGATAGGCGCTACGCCATTCAGACTCAAGCACCGTACGATAGCCAGGCAATGGACTTTTAAAGCACATGTGTTTCATACTTCTTTTTCCTTCAAACTGAACATCCCTGTATCTGTCACCATAGCATCTTTCTGGCACACTGGTCACCTTATACACATACCTTCGACATCGATCAATCTTTGGCAATGACATTGTACATCTCAGTAAAGCCTTCTAGTACATATTATCATATCAATAATCTCCCACCCATCTCCTCGTCCATGGCCGCCAGCCAAATCCCCTGGAGAACGGTAAGCCTAGACCTAACCTTCTGACAGGGTCGGAAGGGTGATAACGACAGAACCGTTGGTCATTTTGACAGCTATAAACTAGACTATTGAAATACCCTGAATTTGAACAGGCAGAACGCCAGCGCGTAAACGGTAAAGTCTGCAGCTGGACGAGACTTGAAATGAGTACTCGCGATCGCGGCAACATCCACAAACAAATTCGGCAGTGCAAGTAGGTTCCGCAGTTGCACTTTAACCATGGCGTTAACCTCGACATGGATTTCAATCCGTGGGCTACAGACGATACTTCCTCAAAACCCGCTACCAATGAACCCGAAACGGGGCTTGTGACCAGTCCTGCACCTCTTGAAAGTTCTCAGGCTTTGGTCCACTCACCCAACGACTTCCTGCTCGTCATCTTCATTCACGGATTCAAAGGATCGGATGAGACTTTTGACCATTTCCCGCAAAGACTGCACCATCTCCTAACCCACTCATTGCCGAATACTAAGGTAGAATGCATAGTCTTCCCTGCATATGAGGTGCGTCCATAGACTTGCTCAATCTCCGCCGTTGCTAACCGCCGGTTCATTTCCTAGACCAAAGGCGAATTGGTTAGTTGGTTTGACCGCTTCCTTAGCCAAGGAGCCTAACCAATATGCCCAAAGGATAAAGCCATCGTACGTTTCGCTGACTGGCTCACAAGCTTGGTGGTCGAGCGAGAAGTTGCTTCAGGTGGTGGGGCAGGATCTGCTAAGATTGTCTTGTGCGGTCACAGGTGCGTCGCTGCTCTGTAACAAGATATGAAGCGCGATTGATATTCTCGTATCCAGTATGGGTGGTCTGCTTGCTGCCGATAGTCTTCGCGAATTTGTAAACTCGAGGCCTGATAAGCAGGCGCCTCTTTGGCCGAGGATCATCGCCTTGCTCGCGTTTGACACTCCAGTACGACGACCACAATCTCTTCCTGCTCTGCATGACAGACTGATGGCGTTATCAGTATCTCGGACTTCACCCACACATCGTCAAGGACAGCGTCGAGAAGGCTGCAGATCATTTCAATGCAGCGAAGACGGTCGGGTCCGCGCTCTTTGGTTCCCTCGCCGGGTTCACTGCAGGGAAAGCAGCGACCGCCCCTGCTGCCCCCAATGCAGCTTCTTCAAGCCAAACACAGTCTCCATGGGCCAAATGGGCAGCCCCAGCTGCGTACGCGATTGGAGGAGCGGTGCTTGCGGGAGCAGCCGCTGGAGGGGCATACTATGCTCGAGATCACCTCACGCAAGGGTACACATGGGCAACGGACCACATGAAATATGTCGGAAACTTGTGGGATGAACAAGGGCTCAAGGCTCGTGTCGAAACTTTGGTGGATATCGACGAACAAGAAGGAGTAATCTTCCGCAAGTACGTGACCCAGGTTTTAGCCCTCGTCTCTTTCTGACCTGACGCATATCAGCTACTACACCTACTTGCCCCCGACCCTGCCGAGGTACCTGAACTCGAGGACATTCGTCGTTCTCCCCGATTATGGTTCTCGAGCCGCCTCGCGTTTCATCGCTTCCAACAACAATATTGCCGCGGATGAGATTCAAGCTCATACAGGGATGTTCAACCCCGCATCCAACGACGGGTACTACGAACTTGGCTTGACAAGCGCGAAGGCTATCCAAGACGCATTCCAGAGATGGAGGACGCCCCAGCTCCAACCTGTTCCAGCTCGTCCCCGACCCAACTCCCCGAGACCAAAGCCACCTCGGCCAACCTCACCCAGAAGTCCACACCGGAGAGCGACGAGCCCGAGGATGCAGCAGCCCACGAGCCCCTCGTCGAAGAATAATGTTCCAGAAGGAGATCTAATCAGTTTCTAATTTGCATCACCTGATTAGCACTCGTTTTACGTGTTTATGGACATTTCAAAGAGTTAATTACTGGGAAGTGTCAACTCCATAGAATACGCGTCCTCTCCGTCGGCATCTGGATGCGAAGCGTCAACGAAATACCTTGGGGTAGCAGTGAGGACGTACAATATTTCTTTTCGATGTCCTTGACTCGGAATCCCAAGGTATCTTTGTAAAGCGAGAGTGCTGCACGGTTGGATTTACGGACGTGAAGCGAGACGTAGGCTGCGCGGTAAATATCCACCATTGCTTCCTCTGGAGAAGGCAGATGAGGATCAAAACAACGGCGATATAGTTGGTCAGCGTACGCGATTGCAACATCAACTTCTTTGCGAGGCCTAGACGACGGTAGGATCGCAAAACCGAGATGGAGGTAACATGTCCATGGGGAGGTTTGCCTTCCTGTGGATCCTCGTCCCTATTTCACGGTTGTTGGATTATCGACAATGCAGAACGGATTTGTTAGATAAAGACTTACATTTTAGCCAAGATATAACCAACCACCCTCCCGTTCTCGTCCTCCGCGACATACGAAAGACCAGGCCATGTCATGGCATGGTACAAGTCTGTTCGCCATTTAGCACGCCAGCAGTACGAGAGGTTGCGGAAGAGCGTTCAAAGGTGTCCGTTGAAAACCGAGGTAGGAAAATAAGTTCTACTAGTTCGTCACTTCGATATGTTTACTGGTAACGCAGAATTCGGGACGCACAATATTTCATTGTGTAGTTTTCGGGGAGATTGTGCAAGTTGCAGGCTTGCATGCCTTGGAGGTCTTCTATCTAGAATTTAAGCTAGTTCTTTCGAGTGAATGACTGTAGGAAGCGCTGTGAAACTTACTCGAACTTGACGGATGTTCATGGTGGTGGTCGCGGTCCAAGAATATTTTGATGGCGAAGTGGGTGGTAAACGCGGCCTGAACTCAAACATGCCTCGACAGGTCGCGAAGCGAAAATGCGCCGCTACACGACAATACATATTACGCAAGTAGGCTATGTTATCAGTTTATGTAGGTTCTAGTAGATCAGTAGGAATTTCCACAAAATATGTGTCTATTCGACAATGACATCGCCAGGATCACCGATTAGTTTGCGTTTAGGCTTCCCATCCTTCTTGACTCCGATAACCTTAATTTCCATCTTCCGTGTCTTTACATGCTTGAGTTCTTCGTCAAATTGATCGTTCAAGAAGGCAACCGAGAGATCGGCGATTGTATTGAAAATCCTCCTTGCGGTACCCCCACTTATTAGCGGGAGAATTGGGAAATCGGAGAAGGATGTATGTTTTGAGCCGACTAGAAGGGAGATTCATTAAAGGAAAGTTGCTATGGAAGAAGGGATAATAGATACCTAGAGTGGCAATCCTCCCTCCTTCCGGTTCCCAACCCTTGACGATTTCTTGCAATCTGGCAAAGTGATCTTTCCATAAAGTGAACGTTTCCGAGTTGATCACCAACATTCGAGGATGAGCTACTGTGTCAGAGGCGAAAATGTCGTTTTCCTCGAGTGTACTTTTTACGGAGTCGACCTCTACATTGATGGCGTTCTTCCCGTTACCTTTGGTCGAGATAGGAACTGGTCCCGGTGCGGGGAGAGGCTCGAGCCATGGATCCAGGATAACGGCACGCGAGACAGGGATTGGCGTGTATTCCTGGGTGGGCTCCGAGGAGAGGATAGATAGCTAGAGGTAGGGCTTAATGCGCATAACCTCGAGCACGGTGGGAAACATACCACTGTGCATCCGCCGAACGAATGACCAGCCAGTACGACGTCCTTGTCGCAATCGACGAATGGTTTCCCAGTCACGTCGTCTAGACCCCAGCTCTTCCTGTTGAACTCACTGCCGTCGATAGTGTCCATTCGGGCTTCCGGGTCATTGTGAATGAATTTATGGAATGCATTGTATGCAGTGTATACCTCATGGTGTCGGAAGGCGAGTTGCTCTGCACGAAGAGGGTACGGGGCGTTCTTGATTGCATCATTGCCTTCATCCCAGCTTTAGGTATTTTTAGCGTGCCAGTGCCAGGAATCGACAAGTGGTTAGGACTTACTGGATGTCTGCTTCCCGTAGGTAGAGAAGAGTTCGAGGCTCCGACTTGTTTCCATCCACATTCCAAGAACGAGGCATGGTCGTTGTCCCTGTACCGTCTCTGTGTTCAACCGCGAGGACCACCCGTCCGGAAGCTGCCAGTCTTGAGCAGAATTGACTAGGGAAGAAGAGAAGGATCAGATTTCTTTCCGCACAGAGAAGTTAGCGAAGAATAATCACCTGTAGGCGGTCCGGCTCCCTCCCAGACCATGAGAGAATATGACAAGAGGCCATTGGGGTCTATGATACTCAGCCTTCTTGGGGCTCAGGAGGGGAGCGTTCAGATAAGTGGGCATCTAGGCAAGAGGCATTTGACATAGTGTTCACGGACAGTAGAGTGCGCTGACCTTAATCAGTGAACCGAAAAGATAAACCACTGGCCAAAGTACCCATACGGGCAGGCCTTGAAAGGATACTGTATAAGACGCTGACTGTGGTCTTTGGGGCATTCAGCTCACCAAGGAATGCAGCAAAACCATTCAGAGACTCTTTCATAGGCCTGTTATAGGTACGTTTCGACTTGTCAGCTATAAGCGCCCATCTGCAACCATGCTCGAACGGACCGTATGAACCAATCCACCCCCTTCTTTGCCTTTGTGGATTCGGTGTCGGCGGGGTAATAAGCTGTAAAGGCCACCTCTTCTAGGTACAGCGCACTGTCGACGTCTTTTGCTCTATGGGACACAGGGTTGCGAAGCTTGACATTTCCAATAGCCCGTGGAGACTTGACCGGCGTTACGAAAGTCGTGACTCCTACCGGGAATCGACCTTGAATAGCTGGTAGGAACAGCATTTTTTGGGCTGTCCCACCTAGAGTCGCCTGCTTTTATGCTGCCGACGTCGTGTCCGATGATGGTGGCAACCGCGGGATTCGTCAGGGTAGTTTACAGAGCAGGAAGCTGTCTTTCTGCCCCGGGAGTTTCAATTCCGGGCGACTCACGTGGAGAAGTCCGGACGCGCGACGTCATTGACAATGACATAGCCAACGACGCGCCTATCTTGACCACAATCCACCATGTCGTTGAGGTATATTTCAGCTCGAATCTCCCAACAGGTAAAAGAAGGGATCTGGTATTCTTGAATGCTTGCGCTTAGCACAATATGCAGATTGACGAAGAGCTCATGAGCTCAATTGGGGCGTTCAGCATCGATCAGGTACAGATCCTCAGGACCTGACATGGATATGGTGATGAACACTTTCTTATCCAGCTGATGGAGCTAGCGGGACTGGCCTGTGCCCAGACGTTAGCTACAGTCTATCCCAAGCGAACCTATCCACGAGTCTTGGTCTGTTGTGGGCCTGGAAATCAAGGTGTGGCATGGTTTGCAATGTTGACCACTGTAAGACTAACGGAGGTGGTTGAAGGTGGGGATGGTCTCGTCGCTGCCAGGCATCTAGGTGCGTCACATTTTTTTAACATGTTATATGTCTCCTGAAGACACGCCCCCAGGAATGTTTGGATACACCCCCACGGTTTACATGCCCAAGGTACGAGTTATCGTCTACTATTGGGCAATAGGGAAATGAACACCCTCCCTTTAGCCTGGATCCAAGGACATCTATCAGGTAAAGTAGGCTCCGCGGAACCGCTAATGTATGGCAACTGAAATCTTAGTTTAGCGTCTTGCCAAACAATGCCAGAACATGGACATTCCTATCATCCCGCCATCCAATGACGTCGAGGACCTCAAGAAGGCCCTGGCTTCTTCAGATGTCATTCTCGATGCGATATTTGGTTTCTCCTTCAAGCCACCCATGCGTGCTCCTTTTGATACCGTTTTACCGCTGCTCAGCGACTCTAGGCTTCCGATCGTCTCAGTGGACATTCCATCAGGATGGGATGTTGAAAAGGGTAATGAGCTGGGAGTCGGTTTGAACCCCAACGTTCTTCTCAGTTTGACGGCCCCGAAGGAAGGGAGCAAAGACTTTACCGGACGTCACTTCTTGGGTGGGCGATTTGTGCCTAAGTAAGTCAGAGTCCTCAGGGTTCAGTTATGCTTGACTAACCTCACCGAGATCTTTGGATGCTAAATACGGATTGAACCTTCCTCCGTATCCCGGCTTCGAGCAAATCGTCGAACTAGACTCTATTCCCAAGCCGAACACCGACATCTGAAGTCGTATATATATTAGTTACAGCTGAGCATGTCTTGTCTCCTCTTGGAGCTCTTGGGATTCTCTTGGATGCCTTTAAGGGATCATCTTGAGTGATGTGCAAATATTTAGCTCTACCGTTGCCTTTTCTAGCATCAATGCGCTCCTTCAACTAAATCCACTCCTTGGCCCTTCGAAGGTTTCCAATGGTTCCTTCTTCGTACATTCCAGGTCTGTCGGCAATCTAGCCTGGAATTCCAGAAGTTCCCAGGAGGGGCTTTGGGAGCAAAAGGGCCGAATGACGTCGAGGCTAAGTTTGACCAGTTGCAACATTATTCTTAGGCAGCTGTTCGCGTGGCGGCGACGATGCACCGCTCGATATATCAATGAGGTATTAAGTTAAAACCTCCCTGAGGCCGTACCCGCCCAAGGCCAGCACCCATGCCCGTTTCTACCGCTTCAGCGGCAGTCCACATCGCGCCAGGTGAGTTTTGTGTTTCCGTTCCACCGACGTAAACTCAACAGAACCATCCCAGTTGTCCTAAAGACTTTCATTGACCATCCGAAGCAGAGGAAGAAGAGGGAGAAGGAGGGCAAGGAGGCCCCGCAAGATGACATCCTCTTTCACCAGTACGTGGAGTGCTGTCGCGTCAACCGCCTTTTTCTGACCTGTCTTGGCCAGGGCATTCAACATTGTCAAAGGTGAACTCGGTTGTGCAAGGGAAATTCAAGAGACTAATTGACTCTTTGCATAGCTTTCATTGATCTTGGGACTAAGAACACCGTCGAATCTCTGCAAGCATTGTGCGTATAGTGACTATAGTGTTGCACCGAAAGCCAGGCTAATCAGCGGTCCACAGCACCAACACACACATTCCTTCACCCTACTGGGCTGCGACTGTCCCAGTAACCATCCCACTGACAACATGCAACGAGGCTGCTGATGTCTTGATTGACTGGTTTGGCCCTGACGACTTGAAGCACGTTGTGGGTGGCGAACGATGGTGGCAGGTCCGCGGTCTCGACGGCGTTGATGGGGAATGGATTGCAGAACGAGAACACTTCGACGAAAAGGCAGATGTGGCCAAAGGTCGAAAGATTGGCAGGAGTGAAGAAGACATTCTGAGAATGGAACAACTAGAGTCAGTCATGGTACATCGCTCCTGCTTTCCACTCGTGCTCCAAGTTTGTTCACTATTGTTCCTCTCAGCTTTACGTGCATGGTGGGGGCTACTTCTGGGGAAGCATCAGTGAGTACTTAAAAACAGGCCCACCATGAGGAGTAACTCACTTGATTCACTCAGATACGCACAGGTTCCAAATCCTACGCTATGCGCGTAAGTTCCGCGGGAGAGCCTTTGCAGTCAACTATCGAAAGGCTCCCCAGTACCCATGGCCTTGTCCAGTCCAGGATGTTCTCGCAGCGTGTAAGCATTCACCCCAAACATGGGTGCGATTAGTGGCACTGATGAAAGGCCTCCAGACTTTTACTTGATCCGCCCACCTCCAGGAGCAGTCCATTCTCCCGTGTCGCCTAATAAGATTGTTCTGGCCGGTGACTCTGCTGGAGGAGGATTATGTCTGTCCTTATTGACGATTTTACGCGACATGGAACTCCCGATGCCAGCTGGAGCTGTCCTGATCAGCCCATGGGTGGACTTGACGCATAGTTTTCCCAGTGTGATGCAAAACACGGAAACTGTAGGCTATTCTCTCCTTCCTTGCAGCACCGCACTATCTGATCTGTCCTGTCAGGATATCATCCCACCTCACGGATTCCTTGCCAAACCTTCTGCCCTCTGGCCAGTTGACCCCAATGCAGGCAATGGTCCACGGATAGTCCGGTCTGAGACGAACCCGCCGCCTAAGCCGGGCCACGCCGATACCCTCAAGCCAACGGAAGGACGTGAGAAGATCATGGAGGAGACGAGGGATATCCCTCAAGGCGGGTATCCCGTTGAAACCCAAGAAGAAATGCTGGACAAATACCCGGACAAAGCTAACCCTGAAGTGCACGAAGTTGAAGACGCGTGGTCCAAACCCCAGAGCCCTGAGGATGATGAGATTGAAGAAGTACCTTCTGCAACTGTAGACGAAGGATGTCGCGAAGAGCTCGAGAATGACCCCGAGGGTTGGGAACCCAAGCCTCCCAAAGTGTTGATGGAGAACTCGAGTGAGGTTCCACTCGAGCTGCGTTCACAGATTCAAGTATACGCTTTGACTGAGTAAGTTTCTCACCTTGAAGTAGTTCCTTCTCTAACTTCCCCGTCTCCCAGGCAACTCACGCACCCTCTCGTTTCACCCACATTGCAAGGTTCTTTAGGGAATCTGCCTCCCCTATACATTATCGCCGGGGATGGAGAGGTGTTGCGCGACGAGATCATATACCTGGCTCATCGTGCTGCCCATCCAAGCGAGTTCCCTGCTCGAAAAGGTCTGGTTCGGGATTCGCAGAGGCAGAAGGAGAATGTCAAGAACTTCACTAAACCTACAAAGGTACGTTTCGCTATCTCAGGTGGCCTCTCGACTGACCTGTCCATAGGTCCATCTCCAAGTCTTCGACGGGATGTGTCACGTCTTAACTGTCTTCATGTTCGCCAGCAGCGTATGTGACTCGTAAGGGGAAATCGCTTGGCGACTAACGCTTCAAGTCTAGACAAGATATGCATATCGCTCTATCGCAGAGTTCGTCAAGCACGTCACACAGAATGAATCTGCTTACATCGACCGTGTACCTTTCCCCGAGTTTCACTGGTCACCAGATGGCGTCAAAGGACCCCAGAAAGGAGATTCCAGGGAAAGGGAACGGGACGAGAAAGATGCGGCTGGCCTTTTCCAGCAAAATGAGGAGCTCGCTGGTAATGCAGTAATCTCGAGCAAACCCTCGGTGGAACGTGATCTTAACCGCCATGAAACTCCAAGCAAAGCGGGAGGGGAGATAGAACAAGGTGTAAGTCCTGGCATGTTGATTGACAGTAGCATTTGCTGACTATCCTCAGGGTATCCCAGACGTGTTCATGGTTTGTGAGCGCGTGGACATACATGCTCGAGTCAGGCATATGGAACCCAGAGACGAAATCCCCTGCCTCAAAATCCCTCCCAGTCAAATTGGCGTCATTAAGGAAGCACCCGCCATGCGTTGGTACCGCGGTCAAGAGAAATGGGACAAGAGATTCAAAGCGACAGCGTCTCGGGTGGTGGCCAAGAGAGTCAAACTCAAGGCCAAATCTGAGCGTATTTTAAGAAATGCATTGGATCAAGGGCTAGTCCATCCAGCGTTCCCGGAGACGATCCATATACCCGAATTGGGGGACGAGAAGACCGGGGGTTCGACGTTGGCCAGGCAGAACTCTATAGGTGCTGTCCAGGAGCATCGCCGGTGGGGACCTCTGGATTTGGGCGAGGAGAGGCCTCCACCCTCAGCTATCGCTGGCCGGAGAGACACTGTGAGTTTGTAAATTTCGCCATTAGAACTCAGGCTAACTTTACTCCTAGCCCGAAGCACTTGCTCTACTTCGAAAGTGCATCTACCACACCGCACCAGTAACACACCAAACTGTTCCTCGTTTGAAGAAATCGGATGTCCTTCGTGCTGCGTTCGACCCGCACGATGATCCTAATGCACCACCCAAGCAATCGGTTTCGGAGGAACAAGTCCAGCCGACTCCCGCTACAGCTATGCATGGCCTCCGCATGTGGGACAAGATTTTAACGTGCGTGTTAGTCCCATTTGAATACCCCGCTTTGCTGACGAGCGCTCGATCACAGATATCTGGGGCGGAAGAGTGCCGCCAAGGCTTCCGACGGGATTAAATCGACCGTCGACACGGTCCAACGCGTTTCTGGCGTTTCGAATTCGCGAGAGACCCCATCTCCAGAAGAACTTAACGCTAAGTAATCGCTTTGGGGCGATTTATTGATTGGGGAACGCCGCATGGCAGGCTTCAGGAATACGTTCACGGAAAACATACACATTCTTTTCAATTTCTCTCCACAACTTCCCAGGTTAAGGTGCACATATACCTATCAGTATATCACGGACAAGACGCCTTCATATATCGTAGATTTGGTTAATTTATAGAGACCCTTGCAGCTACTAGTAAGGGTCCGCGCGCACAGACCACGAGCGACATGAGGCGTTGAACGTGAACGTGGGAAATCCATGGTGACATGCCATAAATTATAAGAAAACCCTTTGACCTCGTTGTGCCATCGCAGCATCCCTCTCTCCTCAATTTCTCTTTGTGAGTACCCAAGCATCGCTGTCGTCGACAACGAGCTCGCTGCTGACGACGTTCTCAATTTAAAGTCTCCTAATCTTCTCTGAAAATGCGTGAAGTCATCTCCGTGCACGTTGGTCAGGCTGGTGTCCAGATCGGCAATGCTTGCTGTAAGTCTCTTTGTATATGCGCCCAAAAGTGTCGCGGTCGACGGCGGGCGCGAGGTCGTGTGGAATGACGCGTCGTCCAGCGCGACACTGGGGTGCTTTTGGGGTGATGAAGTGGCATGATGGCTTAATCGGATGATCTTTGCAGGGGAACTTTACACCGTCGAACATGGCCTCAGCGTGAGTGGATCGCCCCGCGATGTGGCTATTTCTGACAGTCCGCTCTATATGTAGCCTGATGGTCGCCTGCTGGAAGGGTCGCCCTCAACCAACGATAGTGGCTTCAGCACTTTCTTCTCGGAGACCGCATCGGGCAAACACGTGCCCAGGTCGCTTTACATCGACCTTGAGCCCAACGTGATCGATGAGGTTAAGGCTGGTCCCTACCGAAGCCTCTTCCACCCCGAGACCCTCGTCACTGGAAAGGAGGATGCTGCCAGCAACTGTGTGTACTCCTCTCTCTCAGGAGTCTCCTATGAGGTACTAAGTTCACTTTGTAGATGCCCGTGGCCACTACACCATTGGCAAGGAGCAAATCGACACCGTGATGGACAAGGTTCGCCGTCTCGCAGACAATTGCAATGGCCTTCAGGGCTTCTTCGTCTTCCACTCTTTCGGTGGTGGAACTGGCTCTGGTTTCGGCGCCCTCATCCTTGAGCGACTCTCTACCGACTACGGCAAGAAGTCCAAGCTTGAGTTCAGCGTCTACCCCGCTCCTACCTTGGCCAACTCCGTTGTTGAGCCCTACAACTCCGTCTTGACGACCCACACCACTTTGGAGCACTCTGACTGCTCATTCATGGTAAGGACCGTTGCCACGTAGCAATCTTGACAAGGGCCTGACTCGCTCTTTCATAGGTCGACAACGAGGCCATCTATGACATCTGCAAGAAGAACTTGAACATCGTTTCTCCCAGTCTCACCAACTTGAACCGATTGATTGCCCAAGTCGTCTCCTCCATCACCGCTTCATTGCGATTCGATGGCTCCCTCAACGTCGACCTTAACGAATTCCAGACCAACTTGGTTCCGTAAGTGTCGATCCTGTTGCAATCGCGGTATCTATCGTCTAAAGCCATCTCCAGTTTCCCTCGCATCCACTTCCCTCTCGCCACCTTCGCTCCCATCATCTCCGCCGAGAAGGCTCACCACGAGCAGAACTCTGTTGCCGACATGACCTTCTCTTGCTTCGAGCCTGGTAACCAGATGGTCAAGTGCGATCCCCGTGAGGGCAAATACAGTCAGTATCTCTTGCGCATCTCTTGGAGGCATTTCAGCTAACTCGACTCCAGTGGCCTGCGCTCTCCTCTACCGTGGTGATGTCGTGCCCAAGGACGTCAATGCTGCTGTCGCCATCATCAAGACCAAGCGAACCATTCAATTCGTTGATTGGTGCCCAACTGGCTTCAAGCTCGGTATCTGCAACGAGCCTCCCGCCCATGTTCCTGGTGGTGATCTCGCCAAGGTCTCCCGCAGCATGTGCATGTTGTCCAACACCACCGCCATCTCCAGCGCCTGGAGCCGACTTGACCACAAGTTCGATCTCCTCTACTCTAAGCGTGCCTTCGTCCACTGGTACGTCGGTGAGGGTATGGAGGAAGGTGAATTCTCTGAGGCCCGTGAGGATCTCGCTGCTCTTGAGAAGGATTACGAGGAGGTTGGTATCGACTCCGCTGACGTCGAGGAGGTCGAATACTAGTTTGTCTACTTCATTTCGATGATTACTCTTTGCTATACTTTTTCACGACCTTCATGTTATTACCTGTTACGTTTCTCTTTTTGGTGGATTTTCATGACTTCATAATGGAAACGTAATAATACCCTGTCCTAATGCATTCACATTTTATACTTCCACTGAATACCTAACTTGAATTCGCAAAGACAAGTTCTATGCCATAAACCTCTAAATCATGATGATTTGCCTGAATCTTCCTTCAGACTAACGATGCGGTTAAGGACGATATAATCCCCTTGCTTCCTCTCGGCCTTGACCTCAGGAGCAGTGTTGAGGCACTCGAGCCGTGCATCTTTGTCGAGCGCGAAATATGCGACCCGAAGTCCCTGGAAGCGCACGCACTCATTGCCGACTAACTGTTCAGCGGTGGCGTGAGGAGTGTCATCGTCAGCAGCTGGCGCGCTTTCCTTGTTGGCCTTCTCTGTCCTCTGCTTGGCTTCCTTGCGCGCATCATCCAGCATCTTCTTCGCCAACGGCAAGAAACCGACCTCGATCATGGCCGTCCTCACGACTTCGAGACTGTCGGGTGCAATATCGTTCTTGAAGTCGCTACCAGGCTTGTCGCTCTTGAAAAGCCGGTGGAAGATGCGCGTCTCGTCGATCCTCACAGGGCTTCCGGAAGGCGCGTGTTCAGCAACCCATTGGATGAAAGCCTTAGGTTTCTTCAGCTGGCCTTCATTCTCAAGCTTGCAGATAAGCTCGGTAACGGCGCCCGTCTCTGGATCCGTCTTGTACGAAGTGCAGGTGATGGGATAGGGAGCTTGGAACAATCCGACAGTCTTCCCTGGTGCGAGGCGGAAGTAGTCCTTGGAGTCTTCAAGTCGGAAGTCGTCCGCGTCGATGTAGAGGACCTTGCTAAAGGGAATGGTGGCAGTTCCGAGCTCTGGGATCTTGGGGTGCAGAGGTTTCTCGACAAAGGTAACATAGTCGTCTGGGACGTTCTCGAGGGTCACCTTGAGGGGTTTAAGTACCATCAGCAGCCGAGGAACAGAGTTCTCGAGGTACTGCCTGACGCTCTGTTCGAACCGGGCGATCTCGATATTGGATGGGGCGGTGGAGACACCGAGTGTGCTGACGAAGGAGATAATGGCACCAGGAGGAATGCCTCGTCGTCGCAGAGCGATGAGGGTGTAGAGACGTGGGTCGTCCCAGCCGTTGACATATCCTTCCTCGACGAGGGTGAGGATCTTGCGCTTGGACATGATGGTGCCTTCGAGGTTGAGTCTACCGTACTCGGATTGTCTGGGCTTGTAGACCTCGAGCACATCGCAGAGCCAATCGTAGGATTGGCGCGAGGCAATGAATTCAGTGGTACAAAGGGAATGTCTGCGAAATAGGTCAATACCGACCGATCTTCTTCTCCCCTAAAAACATGGCACTCACGAGATATTCTCGAAACTATCCACAAGACAATGGGTGAAGTCGTAAGTTGGGTATATCCTCCACTTGCTTCCAGTGCGATGATGGGGAGTTTCCAAAACTCGGTATGCGGTCAAATCCCACATCTGAGGGTTTCCGTCGGTTAAATCTTGTTTCATGCGCAGGAAGGCTTCTTTGGGCTTGTATTTGCCGTTCTTCATGCCCTCGAATTCAGTAAGTGATTCCTCGATAGGCCGATCGCGGTGAATGCAAGGTCTTGGTTGTCCCCTCTTCTCCCCTCGGTCAACCTTGATCTCCTCCTCTACAAAGACCTCCATAAGAATACGTCAAGGATTAGGGAAGATTAAAACGCACGAGTACAGTGGCAGATGTATGCCTTATCCCTCTTGATGAGTTCCACAGCGAGTTCGTACAGTTGGTCGAAGTAATCGCTCGAATAGGTGATCTTCCACGGCTCATATCCCAACCATCGCACCATCTCCAAAATACTCTCGAAATATCTTGCCTCCTCTTTCTCTGGATTGGTATCATCGTATCGGAGGTAGCATTTGCCGTTATGGTGAGCCGCATAACCGAAGTTGACAAAGATGGCCTTGGAGTGACCAATGTGGAGGTAGCCATTGGGTTCAGGAGGGAAACGAGTCCAGACATTTCCACCGGTAGCGGCGAGGTGAGCTTCGCGGAGGTGTGGGTGGATTTGAGGGTTTCCGCCGGGTTTGTGGAGGTTACCAAGGAAACCTTCTTCGAATACAGTCTTTCTCGATTGAGCTGGGGTGGCCGCTTCAGACGATTGAGCCTTTGGTTTGGTATCTTTCTTGGGTTCCTGTAAACGAAAGATAAGACGACACAGCTTGAGCCCAGGTGGTAGGACGCACCTTTGCCTTGGGCTGAGCAGCTTGTTTTGGTCCAAAGGTCTCCAAAAATGCCTTCTCTACTGCGTTCTTGATTTCCACAGGGGCGGCCCAGCGGAGGTCGGGGTTGGCTTTGACGCCCGTAATCACAGCACCGAGATTTGCCCATCCCGTAACGGTATTGGACGCAAGGTACGACTTGACGTGTTCAAAGATTTGTTCGGGTGTGATGCTGAAGCCTGGTAGAATCCATTGTCAAAAAGTTTGTCAATGGCAGATAGGGCGAAGGACTGACCAACACCGCATTCCTTGTCGAATTCAGCATCGTTGACGGGGGATGGATTGGCTTGGAGGTATTTGACAGCGGCTAAAAGGGTTACAATGAACAACAGGGTATAGGTCAAAGTGAAAGTCACATACCGTTAACCTGATCCACCGTCTTCAAATCCCCATTCAAAATCTTATTGATAACATAATCCCTCTCGGGGGCACCCAAATCCGCCTTGGCTAGCGAGACAGATAGGGAAGCGATAAGACCCGCTTGTTTCTCCTCGACACCCGCAGCGATCTTTGCATTTCCTTCAATAATCTCCTTCAAAATCGTTGCACTTTTGGGAGACTTGGCAGCTTCTGCTGCTTTGGCCTGCGAGAGGCCGATAGATTTGAAGAGTTCGATGTTGGGGTCGACGGGTTTCGACATTTAAAGAGCGTGTGGCTGGTTAAGTTGTGTTAGGAGTGTCGCGATTAGGGCCGTAATCAGAATGAAAAGGTGAAGGAGATGGTGGTCAAGGCGAGAGCTCGAGTTTTCTCGGTCCTCTGAATTTGGGAGTCATAGATATCGATCCTTGCTCATCAATTTGTTCGGATGATAAGATAAGATCCGCACTTCAGTAAACAGGGGCTAGCACGCTACAAATGGAGATTCTGGAGCATCAAACTTGGGCAAGAGCTACAAATACACACACGGGGGACGAACTTAAGTATAGTACAGAAATTTAGGCAAGATCAGAAGCGGAAGGTTCGTTGGGGCTGGGATGGTATCGGACAGGGAAAGTGCCGGTGGCAGGGGAAGGCCTGCCAAGGCCCTCCCAACGAGGCCCTCCTCCGAGATCGAAATGACGACGGGAGGAAGACGCGTTGCTTGACCTCATGGTCATGTTCTGGAGGCCAGCAAGTCGCATGTCCCTCTCCCTCTGGGTACTCGACATGCGATTCATTAAATTACGAGGGCTTCCATCCGCATTGGAGGAGTAATTCCAAGAGGCGCTGGGGTCGTCTTCGTCGGCGAGGCGCCCTGAGAAACCTCGAGTCTCGTAATGACGGAAGGAAGCCGCCTCTTCAGAGGTTCTGAGGTCAGACAGTGCGTGGAGGAGAGCATTCACGTCCTGGGTGTTGCGGAGTTCTTGCTCTAAGATTCGAGAGGTTCCGTTCCCGGTGTGGTAGACCCTGTTCGAAGGCGTAGACTCCGCAAGAGAGTCGAGAACAGCCCTGATGTCCCGCTCAGTGGCCGAGCTAGGTCGTGGAGGCCGAGTAGGAGCAGTGTTAGGAGTGAATTGTTGAACGCTATTCTCTGAATTCTCGATGACTTGCTTGTCAAGTTGCTTGCTCAACTTGTGAATCTCTTGCTTGAGCAGCGAACGGAAAGAAGGCTTCTCTCCTTCCCATCCGGCCAGGGTGACGAGAGTGGAGACACTGCAGAGGTATTAAATTCGTTTCTGTGGGATCAGAAGTTCAGTGAACTTACAAGGCTTCCTTGAGGTAAGCAAAGCTGAATCTATCAGTGATCTCTGCAATTTCATCGACCATCTTGTCGGGGAAATCAATCTCCTCATTTCCAGAGAGCTTCTTCTGCCAATACTGCACGTATAATTTGCGCTCTTCGAGGTCAGGGTCATCGAATTTGCTTCATGGTCATCAGTAGCAGGATTTCCACAAAGTGACAACCACTCACTATTTCCGGTCAAATCGACTGGGTCGAGTGCTCAAACCAGGGTCGAGACGATCGAAGTGATTTGTTGTTCCAATCAAGAGCAATCCGTCGTTTCCTGAGAGACCATCGACTTGATTCAGGAAGAAGGAACGGTTTCGGTCTGTAATCAAGCTGTCCAGGTCTTCCAGAATGATGACGCAGGGAGCTAGTTGTCGAGCCTTATTGAAGACATCGTTCATAGCCTGTTCATCTCCGGCCCAGTCTATAGGGAGATGTCAGATAGTGACCGAGTGCGTGATGAACAGCTTACTAGTGAACGTCTTGACGTAGAGGGGAGTGAATCCTTGCTCATCGCACGTCTTGATGATGGCCTTAATACTGATGGTCTTGCCATTACCTGTCTCGCCAATGAACATTGCTCCCATCGCATTAATTACTAGAAGTCCTCACCTGGAGGTCCGTAGAAAATGAGACCGCGCTGTGCGAGACTGTGTTCAGAGACGAGAGAAACAGTTGGAACAAGGGGATGCAGTACCTTCCATGGGATTGCAAGCTCCTTGTAGATCTTCTCGGACTTGAAGAAGCCATACACGTCCTTGTGTAGGGCCTTCTTGAACTCATCTTTCAAGATTACGTCTTTCCAGTCGGCTTTCTGAACCTCGGCCCAAAGGGCACTGTCCTTCTGCCAGTAACCTTGGTCATAGACCCAGATCTCGTTGTGGAGCTCATGGTTGTATGCGCCAGCGCTGAGAAGGAGAATGCGGATGCGGTCCTCGGGCCCTTAATTTACAAGGTAAGGGCAAGCATAGCGAAGGAGATATGCATCAGAACCGACCTTCGTGAAGGATGTAAGTTTGGGTCACCACGCCGAACCCGATAGGGGCCTATTTAAAGTTCAGCTGCGATGTCGCGAGTTGTTTCGCAAGATAAAGATTCACCTGGATGATATAAACAATGAAGTCAAGACCCTACGAATCGAGGGATATGTTAGTCCCGAACCTGAGTGTACGGCATACAGAAGCCGTTGCGCCCACACCCACCTGCCAGGAAATGTTAAAGCCGCCCAGTTCGACCTTGTCGATTAAGACACCAGGGACACCAGCGAGCCTCTTGGAGAGAGGAGCGAAGAAGAGGCTGGTGATAAGAGGTGTCTTCTCAAGTGGCTCAACTGCAACTCCCGGAAGTGAGAGGATATTGAGCGAAGAGTCCCTGGTTGTTTGGAGCGAATGCTTGGGGTACAGGCGGCGAAGAGCGTCGGCGCTAAGGGACCACAGAGTCAGCTTAGTTCTGGACAGAGCTTTGCTAGTGTATTCACCTGGCAGCAATAGGGTAACTCCACGGCGCAGACACTAATGAACTTTGGTGTTAGCGCCCGTATCAACCAGTGCGTAATGAATCCGTAGCAACGCACCAGTCTCCACCGAATGCTCGTAGAAGCTCTTGTCTTTCGGCGCTTTCTTAGACCCATCTTTATGATCATGTCCTCCCTTCGGTGACTTCCCAAACACAACGTCGACGAACTCGTCGTTGTCAAAGGTGAGGGAATCTGGCGACGGCATTATCTTGAAATTCGATTTGAAAGTGAGACTGAAAACGCCCTAAAGCTTATGGATAGTAATCAATTGAGGGCGATTGCAGGCGGCCGGGAAGCAAGGATGAGGTGAGGAGCTACACATTGACAACGCCGGGCTATATACTGCGTCTCAGGGGCGTTGGCCCGGAGATCAATGATGCCAATTCGGCACTCTAATTTGATCCCACGGAGTCTATCTGCCCTCTTCCTTTTTGACCACCACAGTCGCCGCTGAAACTCAGGACTTGACAGCAAGAAAACTATGGCAGTTTCAGCAGCAGACGTGCGCAGTGCACTACAATTACCAGAGCCAGGTCCTTCAAACCCACAGCGCAAGTCCAGTACCCCAGCGGCCACAACGAATGGAGCAACATCGACGGCGCGTAGGCCAGAAGGCATCTCGCGCGAGCTATACTCGTTGATAGGTCCCTCCCAGCCGTTCTTGGCTGCTCAACTCAACAAACCGAAGCTCAAGCAGAAGCCTAAATTCTCTAGTGCGGACGCTTCAACGAGTGCAACCAAATGGTATGTGGTGTTTCGTTTTCTGTTGTGGGATTTTTGGCGTGTCAGCTTGCATTGCGCGTTTAGGGAGTTGAGGCCGTTTAAGAATGCGGCTAGAAAGGACGGTCTAGAGTTACGCCACTGGGTGAAAGCGTCAGAAGACCCAGAAGCTGGTGTGTTGCCTCACACCCATATAACTGCTATTGCCAGAACTGACAAACGAACAGAATATCCATTCGCCAAGTATAACATCGAGAATCCACATTATGTTTTCTCTCAAGAAGAATACTCGCGTTATCTTGAAGGTAGATGTTTTGCACTCTCGCTGAGGACATCAGCTTAATTCTGTCCAGAAAAACCATGGACGAAAGAACTCACGGACTACCTGTTCGAGCTTTACCGCGAATACGATGGAAGGTGGTATGTTATCTGGGATAGAGCCGAGTTCCCACCAGAGTGCAACTTTGACATCGACGTAGGTCTCTCGTCTTTAGACGCATGGATTTGGCCGCTTACCCTTGCCCATAGGATTTGAAAGACCGCTACTATGGCGTATGCAGGAAATTAATCCGCAACCGACCTTGGCCACACGACGAAGCCAGTAAAGCTCAACTGCTCAGCTCGCTCAACTTTGACAAAGGTGAGCACCATGTTCTATGTGTTCAACTGAAGTGCTGATATCCTCCTCTCAGAGCGAGAAAAGATGCGCAAGAAGTACGTTATCAGCCTTGAAAGCCGAACGCCGGAGCAACTCGCAGAAGAAGAAGCACTCTATGTCGAAATACGACGTCTCGAGCAAACGGAACGGCGGTTCAAGCGCGAGCGAGAAGAGCTACTTCGAACACTTGCGGGAATGGACTCGGGATTACCAGACCTTGTGGAAGATGACGGCACACTTCTGGGTGTTACACCAGATGTCAGACCGTCGAAAAAACGGAAAGGAGTGGACAGAGACAGCCCAGCACCTGGTGTATCGTCTGTGTCTTCACCCGTTAAACGACTGGCTTCAACACGGGACGCGGCCTATGGTGCGTGGCTCGGTTCTACCCATTGGCTTGGTCACATTAATTTGTCAAATAACTGCAGATGCCCAACACTGTATCATTCGAACGGGAGACGGCTCTGGCACGACAAAAGCAGCACACACTCCGGCTTTCATTCGTTCAGCCAAGATTCCATGGCTCAAGAACAACTCGCTACAACCCAAGATCATCCAGGCGTTCACCGAGATGGGACTTTCGCCTTCCCGCTTGGTTATGCCCACCAAAGAGAACGTCGCCCAGCTGGAGGCTCTCATTGAAGCTGTTACCGCGATGGTGGAGACCAAACGACACCTGGATAAAGTCGAGTACGACATCCAGGTTGTGAAACAGCAATTGGAGGCTCAGTCGGAAGGAGGTGAGGGCACTATCAAAACAGACGGGGATGCCATGGACATTGAGGAAGAAACGGACGGCAACGACGGCCGAGCTCAAAGTGTGATGAGTGCACGGAGTGTGGGTCGTCACAAGAAGAAGGTGCGCTGGTGTTTTCTCATCATGGAGGTAATGAATGCTATTTCCGATACTAACATTTTGGCGCCGTTAGTCACATCGGTCAATGTCAATATCCTCGGTTGATACGGCTGCCACTAACGCTTCAACGAGAGCACTTCCTAAGCGACAGAAGCGGGGGTAGTGGGTTACCGTCGGGCGGAACATGGAGTGCATATACTCTGTAAGGGTCGACATATATAATTGTGGGCAATATATAGCATGAACGAAAGCAAATGGTCAAAAGACTGACTGATACATGGCATGTGAAGGGAGAACACAAGTACATGTGATAGAGGATTGAATCCACCAAACGTCCAACATTAAAGATACGACTCGAAAGGGAGTTTCGAGAAAACAATGATAGTGTTCGGCCCACCTCCCTGAATGAATCCGAACGATGGAGGCCTTCCCCGAAGAAACGAACTCTGGCTCCAATCAATTCTCGGGTTGAGTAAAGCGGAGGATAAAGTTGACGATGATGGCGACTAGAAGAACCGGGTTTCCCGATCAGCAAACGAAGAGAAGAGCGAGTGGAGGAAATGGTCTGACTGAGCAATGCCACGCAAAGAACCGTCTAGAGTAAGTGGGACGTTAACGATATGAGACAATGGCGAAGCGACGGGGGCAACACGACGTACCGGTCCTAGTCTATCGTCGTAGGGACCTCGTCCACCTCGTCTTATTGACGCTGCGCGCCAGTGATATGTGTAGAGAGCGTAAACCATGATGCCCATTGCTGTGGCAGAAAATGAACAGTGAGCAACTGCCCATCCCGGCTCCGAGGGCCTATGGCGTCACAAGCACCAGACGACAAAGGCGACGACTCACCGACAACAGAGAACATAGCAGCGCTAATTTTCCCCACTTTATCGCCAAAATTGAGCAGCCCCACTGCCAATCCCCCGAGAACGACAGTAAAGTGCAGCCATGAGAGGAACGTGCGCTCGTTGGCGAAGGAAACCTTTGGCTCGACACGGATTGGGAGTGCGATACGTTTTGTCGCTGTGCGTTGGAGGAGCGGTTGAGTGGACATTGTTGCGTCGGCGGGAGTTGTGTTTGTGGGAGAAGGGAGAAAGAAAAAGGGGGCGTCGTGCGCCAATTACGAGTGCTTTAAACGCGAATGGACTAATAATAACGAGTCTAAGCAGAAACCCAAGAACCCATCAATACCCACCCACCGCCTAAATAGGAAGCCAGTCTGACCAACGTGCGTCCTCCGAAATCATTTTTGGGCAATCCAACTTCCAGAGCATAATGATGATTGATTAATATGACAGGTATGAATATTGTACACTGGGAAAAGGCTACAGCAAGAAAACATAAGGTATCTATGGTACAGTTTATCGTCCACCAGGACCCATCATACGCGCTCGGTCGGGGTGCATTCCGCCAGGCCCAGGGTTGGTGGGTGGAGGGGGGCCCTGCGAATTTTGGCCAGATGGAGGCGGTGGGCCGTTAAATCCACCTGGTGGAGGAGGGAAGCTTGGAGCTCCAGGAGGGCCTCCTTGCTGAGAAGCGTTGGGAGGGAATGGGGGAGCACCGGGAGGACCGTTAGGTGGGAAAGGAGGAGGACCTGTGAACCCGCAAACGTCAGTTCGGTTAAAGAGTATCGAGTTCAATTGACAAGTTCTTACCACCAAAGGCACCTGGAGGCGGCATAGCATTCGGAGGGAAAGGAGGAGCACCCGGAGGCATCATAGGGGGGAAACCAGGGCCAGGAGGGAATGGTGGGCGAGCTACAAGAAAGAAAGTTAGAGGCGACTTGACGAATCTGGGCAAGCTCAACGTACGTCCTGGTGGGAAGCCTCCAGGAGGGAATCCGCCCATTGGTGGTGCGAAACCACCCTGCGGAGGCGCTTGCAGATGTTGTGGCCCGAATCCGAAACCGCCAGGAGGAGGTCCTTGGCCGCTCTCGAATGCGGATGTGATTTGGTCAATGATACTTTGGGCCTTGTCATGTCCGAGCGCTAAAAGTAGCAGGTCAGTACTTGAAGAACGTTCAGAGGCACCGGACTTACACGCGTAGTAGTCCCTGACGTTTGCTAGATGATTGCGTCCACTGTTGTGGGCTTTTCGTACTACAGAACGGTCAGCGTTGGTTCACAGCTTGCTGAAATGTGAAAGGTTACTCACCTGAAGCCGAGTCGTGAGTGAGGAAGACATCACAGTAGTCACAATAGTGTTTCTAGACCGAATTTAGCTTCTTATGGATAAAATGAACCAAATCACGTACTGGCATGGTGGATGTTCGCTGTTGAAACGGCTCTGCTCGTTCCTTGCCCCAAGCAAGGCTTTATCCCATCCGCTTACCTTCCTTTTCAAGTAATACAGCGTTTTCCTACATCTCCGCTTCAATTACTTCGCTCCGCTCTAATTCATACCCATCTTTTTCTTGCTTCCATGGTCGACGCCCGCGGGGAACCCGCCGTTGCTTCACCGTCATGGTTAATGGTCCCAACACCGTCTCCATACTTGTATCCCGCCCTTACAATGGCGAGGAAACTCACTTCTCTTCTCCTCTCTATCGACAGGACTTTAGATTCTTGTATTAACTTATGTACATCGGATGTATATGATATGGAACATGGATGAAAAGGCGCTCTTTTTCTTGTCTTTTTCTATTGAACAGAGACCAGAACAAGGGCTTGGGAGGGCTTGGGGCAAGGACATAGGTGCCGGCCCGCCGCACCACCTAGTTGAGTCAGATGGCGACGGGCTCGAAGTGCGGAGTCTCGATCGGAGTTATATTAATCCTGCACGTGCCAAGACAAGCGCGAGCGCATCGCTCTCACCGACGACGACGAGGGCTAGCGAGGAGCGCAGAATCGACCGGCCAACATGGATCCCTCTGCTTCCGGCATTCAAGAACCTTTCGATCTGATTAGACTGTCTCTGAGTGAACGCGTATTCGTCAAGCTACGAGGAGATAGGGAAATGACTGGAATTCTTCATGTACGCGTTCAGTTTCCCTTTAATCAACCCAGTTGTGCTCACTTTCTGGTGCCATGTGCAGGCCTATGATGGACATATGAATCTTATCCTCAGTGACGTCGAAGAGACCATCATGATAGTGGATACCGATGCACCCAATGGCCAGGGAGTTGTCAACGTACGCGACAGACCCGACTAAGATTACCTGGAAACTCAATGGCCATTCCTAGATCGCAAAACGGAAAATGGATATGCTGTTTGTGAGAGGAGATGGCGTCATTCTCGTGAGTCTCTAACTGTCCTAATCAATACAATTTGTTGACTGCTGTCTTCAGGTTTCTCCCCCTGCCAGGACATGAGATCGCGTCTGAAAAGCCCATTGATCGTCATCACCAAAGACCATCGACTTGACAATATGGAATCAGTGTACCATCGCACATTTCAGGGAAAAGAGACCGGTGCCAGTGGTACTTACATGTCAGAATACCATTCCAGATACGCTCGTGATCGCCCCCAGTGTCGCAAGAAGAGGTTTTATAGATGAACCATCCACGTTCCCATCATTTCGCCTGGCCTTCGGGCGGGTCTACTGGTGGTGCTTCCAATCGTAGCGTATCCAGTTGCAGCTCGGATGTTGGTGCATCTTCCACCTCGGGCGGGAGCTCATCGTCCGGTTCGGGGGCTTGAACCCCAGCTGGCCAAAGGTTATCGCGCACCCAAGCAGCATGTACTATCCGTATCTATCGCACAGGAATTAGAACCAGAGTCATTGGCAACAGATCTTGGAGGAATCACATACGATCATGCTCATTGGAAGACTTTCGTTCAGACTTGATCCGTTGCTGAGGTTTTTCCAAACTCTATCAAGCTTTCTCCAGCATTGAATGTCTTGGAGCATGTTGGGATTATTGAGAACGGCCTCTAGCTTCTGCCTCGAAGGAGATGCTGCCTTTGGAGGTTTCTGAGAGGGCGACCATCCTGGTTTCAACCACAGGCGCCGTCTGGCGTTGTAATGATCAGGACCTGGGGCTGGGAGATTCGAGTTCTGAAGCAACTGTTCGAATCGTGTTTGAGAGACCGCTTGTCTGGGCAGCCCTCCGGCTGAGCTCGAGGCGGGCGCACAGAAATTATTGGCTATCATGAGGCTTATTCCAAAAACGCCTGAAAGGCCTGAAAGAGGGGCGATAAAAGGTCCCCGGGGTACTCACGTGACCCACTATAGCTGCATCAGTTCACCTCGTTGCCTCTTGTTCCTCGACGACCACCATGTTGTACCGCCAATTTGCACCCTCCACAACGTCTCTGTCCGACGAGTACGACGAAGACGAGCCCTCCCAGTCCAACTTTTTCAAAGCCGACCAGCCCCTCTTCGCTACAGATGCAGCCGTACACCCCCATTGGTCCTCCTCGAACCAACCAGGGGCATCTTCAAAGCGGGCCCTCAAGGCCCCGGCCAAGTCGCCTATCATGGACTTGCCGCCAGAAATCCTCATAGCCATCCTCAAATACCTCAGTTCCCCCCGCGACCTTCTCAATGCCCTCAAGGTGTCTACGACATGGTGCGAGTGCGCGGTAGAGCTCTTGTGGGTCAGGCCAACATTTCCCCGATACTCCACTCTCCAGAAGATGGCCCGGTTATTGAAGCAGTCGAAATCCACTTTCCCCTACGCAAAGTTCATCCGCCGTCTCAACTTCATGACTCTCTCATCCGAGCTCCGCGATGAGACGCTCGCCGTGTTCAATCGCTGCTCACGGCTGGAACGCCTCACGCTCACTGGCTGCAAGCTGATCACCCCGACATCCCTCGAACAAGTTCTCACTTGTTTCCCCAACCTCGTCGCTGTGGACCTCAGCGGGGTCGTAGAGACGACGACAGAGGTCATCACCGCTTTCGCACCAGTCGCCAAGCGGTTGCAAGGCATCAATCTCAGTAACTGTAGCAAGGTCACAGACCCGGCACTAATCGCCCTCGCTGAAAATTGCCCCATGCTGCGCAGGGTGAAGCTGAGCGGCGTCAACCTCGTTACCGACGCGGGTGTCTCAGCCATTGTCAAGAAATGCCCTCTTCTCCTCGAAATCGACCTTCATCAATGCGAACTCATCACAGACGTTGCCGTGCGGGACATATGGCTGTATTCCACGCATATGCGTGAGATGCGCTTGTCCCAATGCACCGCTATTACCGACCTCGCTTTCCCAGCCCTCAACTCGGCCGTCAATCCCTTCCCAAGCAATGACCCTAACGTCCTCCCCCCTCTGCATGTTAATCGCACCTTCGAGCAGTTGCGTCTGCTAGACCTTACAGCTTGCGCTAATATAACAGATGACGCGGTCGAGGGGATCATTGCGCACGCCCCTAAGATACGCAACCTCGTCCTCGCCAAGTGTACCGCCCTCACCGATCGATCCGTGGAGGCTATTTGCGCGCTTGGCAAGCACCTCCATTACCTCCACCTCGGCCATGCAAGCAGAATTACGGATGCTTCTGTTAAGACTCTGGCCAGAAGCTGCACGCGGATTCGTTATATCGATTTTGCGAGTCAGTGTCACCCTCTCCTTCTGATATAGAGAACCTAAATTTACTAATATACGCTACGCTGCAGATTGCATTAAGCTTACGGATATGTCGGTCTTCGAGCTATCGGCTCTTCCTAAGCTCCGCAGGATCGGTCTTGTCCGCGTCACCAATTTGACTGACGAGGCTGTCTATTCGCTGGCGGAACGGCACGCAACGCTCGAGAGGATCCATTTGTCGTATTGCGATCAGATTTCTGTTATGGCGATCCACTTCCTGTTGTTGAAACTCCACAAGTTGACCCATCTCAGCTTGTCTGGTGTTCCAGCCTTCCGCAATCCCGACCTTCAACAGTTTTGCCGCGAGGCCCCCAAGGTAAGGCCCCCCTTTTCCTGCGATCCGTGGACGGCTTGGCTGACGATCCATTCCCCTACAGGATTTTAACACGACTCAGAGGCAAAACTTTTGCGTCTTCTCTGGCAAGGGAGTCTCTCATCTGCGAGCTTTCCTGACACAGTTGTTCGATACCATCACTGAGCAGAATGGAACTGACGATACCGAGTACGAAGATGAAGATGTTTTTCCGGAACCCTTCCAACGTGCACCGGAACCCGAAACTGGCGATGGCGACGAAGATATGGTCGGCCCAGCATACCACGTCATCAGCCCCAATGTCAACACTACTCGCGGTACCCGCTTTTCCCGTCAAGAGGCTATCAGTCCACGTTCGTATGAAGTCGCCTTACAGCAACGTGAAACTCAGCGCCGCGCTCACCGCACCTTTGCTGACGGCTTTTCTGCCATGTTTTCTGCTGGTGGAAATATAGGTGTCACCACTGTCCATGGTGCGGTGTCAGGGCCTCTCGACACCAACCGCATCACCGTGGAACTTGACCCTCCGGACCGACTTCCTGTCGTAGAGCCGGTCTCTCCAGTATCCCCTCCAGGGAATTCGGCAGGGATCACCAATACAGAGCCGAGTGCGACTTCTGCATCCTTCTTCCAGGGATTCCAAGAGCCAGTCTTCGCGCCCAATCAAGGGGCCCGGACACCAGAGCTACACTTCGCCGAGATTGGGCACGGGCGAGGGGCATCCGCTCAACACGTCGCTTCCCCAGGGTCTTCTCGCAACCATGGTTCCCGGTCCTCAGCTCGCGATCGTACGCCTCGACAGCCGCACGCCGCAATCGCCGCTGCGATCCACCAGTCTGCCCATCGCGGACGATCTTCTAACGCCCATCGCCCAGTATCAGATCCGGGATCGGTCTCTCTAGATATGAACGGTGAACGCGAAGGATGGAGTCAGCAAGGCAATGGGGTCGTTCTTCCTGGGCCATCGATCAGAGAGCTAGAAGCGTCTGTGCAATCTGCCCTCAATCCTTCCCCTTCGACGGCGCGTAACGGCCAGCGAAGGCAAACCGACGGTAGCCATCGAGAGCGTCAGCGTGGACTGAGGGCCAGGGCTGGTAGAGACGGCGAAGAAGAGCAACACCATCACCATGGGGGAGGGGGGAGTAGTTCGAGAGGAAGAAGTGTGAGAAGGACCATCCGGAATGGACTAAATGCTGCGGAGAATTATGCGAGCACGTTTTTGTTCGGGAGGCCTTGGACTGAAGATGGAGGATCTGGGCCAGGCCAAGGCTCGAACGGCAACCACTCAGTAAATCAGAATAATGCTGGGTCTTCAACTACTCACGCTACTCATTGGTTCGGCGGACGGTAACGCCATCGTCGATCTCCAGGTATAAGTTTTCGTTATGTCTATAGGCCGTCTCTTCACGATATTTTTATTTCTTTCAAGCTTCATTCCTTGTTAGAGTCTGAAAGCTCTAGATATCATCGACAAATTCCCTCCATTCATCGGAGTCTTCGTTCAATTATTTGCTGCGCTTTACTATTGTGCAAGCTTATGTCTGTATTAGTGCATACACTCTTTCTCAATTCGTTTCTTCTCCCAGTACCCTCTTTCTTTGAGCGTCTTCTTTGTAAACCATTCGAGTAAACGATCCCACATGTGGCAGAGTACCTTACCAACTGCGACACCCCGTCTGGTGGTTCATTGCACCTCCCCTGTATACAGTCTTCCATGTACGCACCCCATTCAAGCTTGCGTAGCCCTTTGTCCACCATTTTTTTGAGCGAGGAACTAGGATGTTCTGATGACGCGACGCGTGAATAGGGGCGTGGGTTCCTTCCGATTCAGAATTATTTGATTGGCACTCTTGACTCAGCGGCATTGGTGCATTTTGGCATCTTCAACTTCCTCGCCCAACAGTCGCTGAGTGCCGATACTGTTAACGGTTTAAACATAAAGGTGCTCTGTGCTCCAGGAGGACTATACACCGACGGTCGCTCACGGACTCCTGCATGATGCTGTCGCCAAAACATCCTGTGTAACGAACGGCACGGCACGTCTCCGAAATGACCTGGGTGCCCATCCAGGCTATGACATCTAGGGGTCAGAGATCACATTTATATCGCTTTCGTGCTCCAGCCTCGTTCCTTGTCGCAGTCATCACGGTTGACGACTTCTAGATGCAGCCTACCACCCATTTCTCCGATGATTATTACCAGATGGGGGACGCTAGTCCTGTCTTCCAGGCTCAACGTGACAGGTATGGGGGAAAGGATGAAGATATGCCGAGTGGCCGCTCACCACGTGCTCACAGAGCAGTTAACCTGGAGCTCAGTGGACTACCAGGAACTACCATTGGGAACGCCTACACCGCAGTCGCAAAAGTGTTCAATTACACCAATCCCAAGAACGGGCGTCGGGAAACCCTTATCGCCGTCCTTCAATACCTCGAGAGCTACGACCTCTTCGGCGCATTAAGGGTCTCGAAGGCGTGGTGTCGCTGTGCGGTCGAACTCTTGTGGTTCAAGCCCAACTTCCCTCGGTACAGTGCCGTTGAGAAGGTAGCCCGCGTACTCCAGCTCTCGAGTCCTGCTTTCCCTTACGCGCAGTACATTCGAACGCTCAATTTCATGAAATTCGGACGAGAGCTACGGGACGATGTCCTCTCTATCTTCGACCGTTGCTCGCAGCTGGAACGCCTCACGCTGTATGGTTGTGCGATGATTACCCCCACGTCCCTCCAACGTGTCTTCACCTGCTCTGCCAATCTCATTGCGATCGACCTCAGCGGTGTTACAGAAACTACCCCTGAAGTTATCATCAGCCTTTCCCAAGTAGCCAGGGGCATGAAGGGCGTTAACCTCAGCGACTGTCGCGTCGCAGAGTCGGCCTTACTCGCGCTCGCTGATAACTGCCATGGGTTGGTCAGAATCAAGTTGGCTGGCAACGCTCTCGTCACCAACGCTGCAGTCACAGCTCTCGTCAGTAACTGCCCTTCACTCGTTGAAATCGATCTTGGAAGGTGTCCTTCGATTGCAGATGTTGCTGTTCGGGATATATGGTTACATTCGAAGAGGATTAGAGAGGTTCGCTTACCCCACTGCACCTCTCTCACTGACCGCGCATTCCCCGCCGTCGATCCAACACCCGAAAGTGAAGTCCCGAGTCGTCCCCCTCCTCTCCATATCGAGAATTCGTTGCAGGAGCTACGCCTGCTGGATCTTACAGGATGCTCAATGATCACCGACGCCACCATTGAAGGAATCATCGCGCGTGCACCGAAGATACGCACACTCAACCTTGCAAAATGTCCTGCCCTCACCGATCGATCCGTGAAAGCCATATGCGGGCTCGAGAAGTACCTCCACCACCTCGAACTCGGCCATCTGACCAGCCTCACGGATGACTCTATCAAAACCTTGGCCGGAAGTTGTACGAGGATCCGTTACATTGATCTTGCATGTCAGTACAGTTTCTGTCTCTCACCATTTTGAAATTTAACGTCCCCCCTTAGCCTGCAGAAACCTGACAGATGTATCTGTCGCTGCATTGTCGAGTTTGACAAAGCTCCGTAGGATTGGTCTTGTCCGCGTGGAGAAGTTGACCGACGAGGCTATGTATTCCCTGGCTGAACGGCACGAGACCCTCGAGAGGATCCACTTGTCGCACTGCACCCAGATCAGCGCTGAGGCGATCTACTTTCTGTTGTCAAGACTTCTTAAGCTGACTCACCTCAGCTTGAGCGGGATCCCAGGCATCATGGAACACAATGTACACGGATTCAGTCGCGAGGCTCCGCCGGTGAGATACGCCATCTTTCAACGCCTTCCAACTCGGCTGCCTAACTGATGATATGATTTACCCTCTAGGACCTCAACTCTGTACAACTTCAGCAGTTCCGTGTCTTTTCAAAGGAGGGAATTCCTGAATTGCGAAACCACTTGAAAGAGTTCTATGACACCGCACCATACTCTCAAAGCGGCGCGGAAGCGGCTGGGCCACCAACCACCGTTTACACGGTGAGTCTTACCGGACCGCCAGGCAGTGAGCTTGAGGACTGCCTGTAGCTCTATCCGGGCAGTAATGCGGGAGTTCGGAATTTCTGGCTAAGGGAATATTCTATGGGTTTCACTGACAGCCTGTACTACACAGTTTAAAGATGTTCTCGTCTGATTAACGACCATGTATTAGATACCTTTCTTGGACATATTGACGCATTTGCCTTGACTACTATTAAACATAACTGCTGTTGTACCCATTCTGTAGTACTTCGTTAACCTTGGAAGATCTTTGCTTCTCCCAGTCCCCAGGAACGTCCCCGCTCTCCCAAACAGGGGCCAAGGATTCCTTATGGGATTGCTTTGTCAGCATTGTTCTTGGCATCGGGCGCGACTTGGGCCTTGCCGCTGGACTTGAGGGTCGACCAATGCCATGATCACCTTTACACCTCTCGCAGGCTCTGCAAAGTCAAAATCGACTACACCTCTTTCCTACGTCCTCCAGGTCGACGATGTTAGGATTTTGCTTGACTGCGGCTCCCCAGACTGGGTGCAGGAACCGTCACCGTTCCAGGATGGCGCTGACATGGAGGACGATTCGAATGTGAAGAGCACGAGCCCACCATGGCAAGCGTATTGCGAGGCAATGAAAAAGTGTGTTGGACTGTTGATTAGCTATGTACTAGGAGAGCTAATACCATTGATTTCGAATAGAGTTGCACCGACTATTGACCTTGTACTTCTCTCTCATGGCGACCTCGCTCATTGTGGATTGTATCCTTGGGCCTATTCAAGATGGGGTTTGACTGCGCCAGCCTATACTACGCTTCCAGTTCAAGCTATGGGTCGCATCGCTGTGACTGAAGATATCGAAGGCATTCGTGGTGAAATTGAAGTCGATATTGAAGAGCCTGTTGAGGAAGACGCGCAGAAGCAGGACGGTGGTTTGGAAGTCGAAGAACAGGAAAAGGCACTGCCGACGATGGGTGCCAAAGGGATGTGTGTTGCAACACTGATAGAGGTTCATAACGCGTTCGATTCTATCAATACGCTGCGTTATTCGCAGCCTATCCATCTACAAGGTGCGTGTTTGTCCTGTCGGCATAGGGCGCTAAACCAACAACCATCCAGGAAAATGCCAGGGCCTGACTATCACACCTTTCAACGCTGGTCACTCGATCGGTGGTACAATATGGAAGATTCGTTCTCCATCGTCTGGCACTATTCTCTACGCCGTGAATCTGAACCACATGAAGGAGCGGCATTTGGATGGGACGGTTATGATGGTACGGCCTGGCGGCAGTGGGGTGTTCGAGTCACTTGTACGGCCCGATTTGCTAATCACGGACGCCGAACGAGCCTCTGTCATCACGAGTAGAAGGAAGGATCGCGACGCTGCCCTCATTGGTGCGTGCTGGTTCCCTCTAAGTGCATTCAATTTGCGGTCTAACATGTTTCTTCAGATACAATTACTGCCACTCTAACTTCGAGATCTTCCTTGCTCCTCCCATGCGACTCGAGCACACGTATCCTCGAACTCCTTGTCCTTCTTGACCAACATTGGAATTACTCTCGCCTCACGTACCCAATATGCCTCCTCTCCCGAACAGGTCGAGAAATGTTGACCTTTGTCCGAAGTATGATGGAATGGCTGGGCGGCACGATCAGCAAAGAAGACGTAGGGGAGGAAGGGAATAAGCGTCAAGATAGGAACAAGCGGCGAAGAGACGATGAAGACGGGGTCGAAGAGGCCCTTGGGGCATTGGCTCTTCGCTTCAAACACCTCGAGTTCTTCCCGAATCCACAGGCGCTGTTGCAGAGACATTCGTCAAAGGATCCGAAGCTGATCCTTGCGGTCCCCGCTTCCCTTTCGCATGGCCCTTCGAGACAGCTGTTTGCGGATTTTGCTGCAGTTCCTGACAATGTCGTCTTGTTGACAACTCGGGGGGCTGAGGGTACACTGGGTCGTGCGCTATTCGACAAGTGGAACAACTCGCAACGGGGAGATGATAAGTGGGACAAGGGGAGGATTGGGCGGAATGTCATGATGGACGGGGCTATCAAGATTAAGGTACTTTTTCGATATTCAAACTTTCCGAGGTTTCTCACTCCATGAATGTCTAGATGTACCACAAAGTGCCTCTTCAAGGGGCCGAACTGGAGGAATACCTCGCAAAAGAACGCGCCGCAAAAGAAAAAGAAGCAGCCCAGCAAGCAGCTATGGCCCGGAATCAGCGAATGTTGGAAGCCGACGAAGACGACAGTGACTCTGAATCCGACTCTGATTCTGACGCCGACGACGAAGAGGAGGTGCGGGAGGCGTTGGGTGGTGACATGGACGTGGATGAGGCGGGAAATCGGAGACGTCGGAGAGGCATGAAAAAGTCTTCTGACGGGGCAGACTGGGGGGATGGCGATGAGGGGTACACAAAACAATTGCTTTCATTTGACATTTATTTGAAGGGCAAAGTCTCAAAATCGACGTCTTTCTTTAAGAGTGTCGGAGGGCAAACGCAGAGGTTCAGGATGTTCCCGTATGTGGAGAAGAAGAGGAGAGTGGACGAGTATGGTGAGACTGTTGACGTCGGATTGTGGTTGCGGAAGGGAAAGGCGCTGGAGGAGGAGGCCGAGAAGAAGGAGAAGATGGAGGAGGGAGCTACCATCGAGGAGGAAGACGTACGCCCACCCTGTTTATTCGCCGCTGATTTGGCACTGACTGTTACACCAGAAAATCGCCGAACCTCCCTCAAAATATGTTACGAGCGAGGTCGAAGTTCAATTGGCCTGTCGACTGTTGTTCATTGATATGGAAGGTCTCAACGATGGTCGTGCTGTCAAGACCATCGTACCCCAAGTCAACCCTCGAAGGATGATCGTGGTTCATGCTTCAGAAGAGGCTACCAATGCTCTTATCGAGAGCTGTGGCAGTATCAAAGCTATGACCAAGGATATCCTTGCTCCGGTGGTTAACGAATCGATACAAATTGGTCAGCAAATCAACAATTTCTCGATATCCATCAGCGATGAAATGTTGGCTTCTTTGCGGATGTCGAGGGTGCGTCTCACTTGCCTCCTTCCAGATCGTCTTTGCTCACGGGCCCTTGTAGTTCGAAGATAACGAGATTGGCTATGTCAGAGGACGGGTGGTCATGCACTCCAACTCAATCATTCCCATCCTCGAACCCGCGTCCTCGGCCTTCCCGTCTTCTCAAACCCCAACGACCAAGCAAGTCCTCAACAAACGCAAACTTGGATCGCGGCCTCAAGTCGCGCTCCCCCACTCGACCATGATCGGAGAACTGAAACTTACAGCTCTCAAAGCGCGTCTGGCCAAGGTGGGCATCCAAGCGGAACTGGTTGGAGAGGGTGTTTTGATTTGCGGTGCTGGAGTGGGCTCGTTGGACAACTTGGCTGAGACAGTAGCGGTAAGGAAGGTAGCGAGTGGGAGGGTAGAGTTGGAGGGCAACGTGTCGGACGTGTATTATACCGTTAGGAAGGAGATTTATCAACTGCATGCCTTGGTTGCTGCTGCTTAGATTGCACGTCCAGTTGAACTTTCTTGTGCTGTCGGAGTGTAGTTTAGTATAGTGTATTAATATTGCTTTGAAATTCTCATAAATCCGGATTGCGCCTTCAACGTGTGTTTCCCCCCGCCCGTGAGGTAAGTAAAACGAAACGTCGTATTACCAGTCGATGCGTACTCTAAAACTATTGATTACTACACCCAAAATTGTAATGACGAAAACGGCTATCAGTTACCAGTTCAAAACAGCATCTGTCCGTATATACCTTGTCTATTGCTAAGTCCAAAGCACTTCTCTGTACCCACAGCATCCCTTAGAGGAAAGGAACCTTCTGCATCTCACCCGCTGCCAACAAATCTTCGTCAAACGCCTCTTCCGCATGTTCTTCAGGCTCCAGTCCATCGTCCTGATGCTCTTCGTCCTCGTCGTCATATTCCCCTTCATCATCGCCCTCGTCGTCGAAATCCATGTCATGATCATGCAACGACCCAGGCATGCTCGTGATACTCCTTCGCCTCTCCCTCCTCCTTCCAGAGTCAGACAACGTCCCGTCGTCCTCGTCGTCTGAGGTGAACGGATCTGGGCTTGCACTCCTATTCCCGCTACCACTATTCACGCTGCTCATAAACCCAAGTGTCGAGCTGAGCCTCTCGAACGAGGACATCTGCCTCAACTGGTTATTCCTGTATTCCCCGTCATCGTTCATGGTAGATTGACGCGATCCGACGAGGCTGAAGTTGCGGAGACGAGCAAGGGCGCTTTGGTTGGATGTGTCGGAGCGGGCGCTTAGAGCTGGAGAAGGTGGAGAGAGGTCGGGAAGGGGGAATTCTTGAACGGGTGCCCGCCAGTAGTTGAAATCTGTAAACTCGGGTGTCCATTTACGGTGGATTGGAGGGAACATTTGGTCCACGAGATCCGTCATGTGGATGTACCTTTTCATTCATCAGTTGGAAGCTTTCCGGTCAGAAGTCGAAGGATACGTACGAAGACTTGTAGCCCGCAAGTTCCAACAGCTCCATCTTGACTTCACCCGTCGAGTCAATGGTGAAGATTCGCGCACTGGGAATGTTCACACTGCGATATGAAAGCGCATCCGTGATCCTATTGCCAAATCCAGCATAGAACGGGTATTTCGCATGCTCGCCAAACAACCTCTGGATATCGCGGAGACAGGCCATCTTGAACACCTCTGGTTTGCGCATGATGACTTCCCTGAGGAAAAGCACAGTGTGGGAATGTCTTCCGATAAGATAGGTTGTACTAGAATGGACTAACCGATGCAAAGACGCCATTAGCCGGTCAGGACTCATGATCACAGGTCCTTCAGGCAACTGATAGTCATTTTGCTTGATACCCTTCAGATACCCACGGGTGGCATCTGCTTGCCCGATTGCGCGCGATGTGAGGTACATGATCTTGTACCCATTTCTGGCGATGTCGGTGTACAATTTGGCAACACCCAGATGAGTCCAGTCACGACCAATCATGGCAAAGACATGGCCCAGCCCATCAGACCTGGAGGAAAGGTCAGCTTCTCTGTGAAAAGAGGGAGAGGATGGAATGAAGTACTTTGTGATTGTGCCGTCGATATCGGAGACGACAACAAGGTCTGTGTGATCCCAGACGAAGATCCTGGCTGTCGCTGCAACAGCACCAGTGGCGGACAACGAGAAAGTGATTGAATTGGGACCAGGTTGAAGGTTCAAAGATTTCTGGAGAGAGGAAGTAATTAACGAGCACGCACGCAGTGGGTGAAGGGTGGACGCTCACCAACTGATCAGAGGTAAGTCGGAGCGTCTTTGCAAACTTCTTCTTGCGAGGAGGTTCCTGTGGTGGTTCTTCTGGCTTCCCGGGTTCGGATTTGGTAGGTTCCACTTCTTTGGATGGTTCGACGGGTGGAGCGGAGGGCGGTGGTGGTATCTCAGCCTATGAAATCAATCGGTCAATACCACTCAATAACGCAAAGAGCAGTGACAACGTACGGAAGGTGTCGGTGCAGAGTTCGACGCAGGAAGCGCGGGTCGAGTAGTACCGTTATTTCGACTACGACTCCACCACTGCACCCAAGACAACGAAGTAGGCTTGTTCCCTGTAGCTTGTTCTTCGTCGTTCTGGTGATCCTCAGTTTCTTCCGGCGGTTCGGATTGGGCTCGGATTGGCTCAGAATCCTTGCGGCCGTCCTCATCCTCGACTTCAATTTGAATAGGTGAGGTGGGTGCGGAATCATCTTCGGAGGTGGGGGAGACGGGGCGGAGGTTACTCCCTGTCTCTCGTCGGCGGAGTGCTTCTTGACGCCAGTGAACAAGGGCATCCATTAGAGGGGATCCATCCTGACGGGTAATGTACCTATGAGAGTCTTAGCCGTGTTATAGAAAGAGCGGGTAGATTGATATACATACTGCTCAACTCCAATCCAGCGAATGACAAGCCGAGGATTGGTAACAATGCTTTCATCCTCGAGGAAAGTATCAAAGTTGACCAAACCTTCCGCGAAAACGCGGGCAGTATCCACACAATCGCTGTTCTTGAAGAACCGATGAACAGCTGCTTTGTTCTGATCCTCCGTTTCACCCTCAGATTTGGGCGTCGCGTCCTCTGGGAGAATGCTGATCTGGAAACCAACCCGCCGACCTTCGATCGAGAGAATAAACTTGGTTGGGTCATGCTTGTTCGCCCGAAGCGTACCCCCAATCCCAAATTCATCGCCCTTGATCGTATCTCCACTGACCATCGTGGGCCGCCGCTCGGGGCCCAGATCGCCCGACGGCACCTCTTCGTCGTAGTCTTCGTACTCCTTCCACTGTCTTTTCCTCCTTTTCTCCTTACGTCTATTCGGACTTCCCTGGATGGCAGCAGGAACGCTATGACTCCTCCCATGCTCTTTCTCCGCCAAACTTCTCCCTCGATGTGTCCTAGGCTTATGGTCGTCATCTCCCGCCACCTCCTCATCACTATCCTGCAACAGCGGCAGCTGCATGCCTCCAAGCCGACCGTTCTTGATTTGCAACGTCTTCGTCCTACGATGGTTCCCGCTCGGATTGTACAGCGGGCCTTCGAGCCGTCCACTTTTGGAGAAAGTAGCTTTCATAGGTGATGGCGTAGGGAATGCGCCCCATTCCCAAGAATATTCTTGGATCTGGAGGTGCGAAGATGTCGCGGGTTTGGCACCCTTGTTCTTTTGGGCTGTCTCAGCGGAAGGCCCAGGGATAGTGTTGGCGGACTCTGTGTCTTCGACTTGTTCCATGACGTCAGGTGGAGGTTCAGAGGTTGCGCGGAAGACGGGGAACGGTAAAGATCCGGCGTTAAGTGAGTCTTCGGCGTGTTGGGACGAGGAGGCGGAAGCGGGAGGGCTTGGTTGATTGGACGGGCGACGAGAGAGACCTAATAGGAATGGTTAGCGTCATTCGACAGATCTGAAGGAGACGGTAGTTTACTTGGACTCAGCGAATCGTAGTCATCCGTCTCTGAGGACCGGACGGTTCGATCTGACCTTTCGCGGTCATGGTATCCGGCATGATATCCCTCCATGTCCAATGCAATATCTAGAGTATTTTGTTAGTCGGCGAGTGCAAGGGGAGAAGTAACTCAGACTTACCCGAGTGGTATTCGACCTCCGGAGCGTGAGCGTCACCACCAAGCACTTTAAGCGCCTCGTCTACACGCCTATCCTGATATTCCATCTCTGGCGTTCGTTCTCCAGACAAGGAATCTCTTGGAGTAAGTGGAGGCCGAACTGACAGGCTACTCTGCTGATTTATTGTGGCCCTGGAATCCGACCTCTTCAAGAAAGAGGGAGTATGGTGGGTTTGTTTCGGTGTGGTGTTGTGGAAACTGGCTCTATCGTCGTCGTCGTGCTTTCTGCCTGTATGCGAAGCATCGTTGCCTTGTGCATTGAGGTCGAGATAGTCTGGTTCCTGGCTGCTCACTTCCTCTCTCCGTATCTTGTCTTCTTGTCTCTCTGAGTCGTCCCCCTCCGTAGCGGACTTGCCCTCGTCTTTTGCCCCAAAGCGGTCTGTCGCCTCGTGTGGAATCACTTCGGGAGTGGTGGGCTGGAGGATAGGACTGGTAATAAGCTCGTCTGGAACGTCTTCGTCTGTCTCGAACACGAAGAAGGCCTCCCCAGCGTCTCCGATCTTCATGCTGAACGGAATGGGGTTGCCATTGACCGAAACGTTGACCTGTAACGACCACCATTAATTCCAAACTTGAAATAATGCAGAGATCGAAGCACCTTCTTCTCGCCTGGTCGAAGGACCTGCCATTTTCCAAAGCGTACATGGAACGGTGAGCATGCAAGCTCCGTGTCGCCGTCAGGCCCTGGACGCTGTATGACGATGACATCGATGGCTCCTGTTAATGTGGAGGGGTTTATTGGCGGTAGTTCCTTGTAATACTGGTAAGGAGCGCTTATAGCATTTGCGACGCCGCGTATATAGTTCATGAATAGCGGACGAGTCTGTGGTGGAAGGACAAGACGTAACTGGCAGCGAAAAGCGCGGTGGAGCTTAAACAATCTATGTTTTGGGGAACACATGTGATACTAGTCACACCGCACTCGGCATTACATTTCACAAAACTAGTACGTATCACATCTCTACATTCAACTCTAATGGTCGTGAGCAGCTGCCTCTTTGTTGGCCGCATCGTGGTCGTAAATGGGACCAAGCGTTGGCTGGTAATTCGAGCCATTTCAGTACCCAGAGACGCGTGCGATTTTGGGGTCAAACTCACTGGGGTGTTGCGTTCCCTGCAGAGCCACAACCCGTCGTCAGCACAGTATCCATCAGTCCAACCAACACAACTTGCCATTTTGTTCCACCAGGTGCGGTAGGGCCTTGGAAAATCCCTCAGTCAAGGTCGGAGTCTAAAGCCATATGGACGTACAGATATAAGGGTCGGGGTGTTTGAAGATGGCCAGTCGCTCTTCTGCGGCCTGAAGAATCTGCGCCAACGCGCGAGGGTCGGTTACATGGCTGGCCAGAAGGGAGAAACCGTGAGCCAGCCGGGCAAAAGTCGACGGGGACCACGTACCGGTTCTTCTCGAACTCGGCTCTGATGCTGAGCGCCTGCGGTCTCCAGAGGTCACGTCTGACGGTCCAGTCGAGTGCAGTCTTCAAGTATCGCCTGTAGAGGGATTGGACATGGCGCCTGTGGGCCACAGAGAAGGTCATCGTTGGTTGTGGATCAAGTCGCTTTCGCCTTCGGGAGCAGTTCCCATCCGTAAAGGGATGCTGACTAATCCCGCTATCAGAAAAAGTTTGGCGGTGCCGTCGCTGCGTGTTTTGATCTCTTTTCGACTCGAATTATCTCCTTCCTCGTTGTCTACGGCAGCGAGCTCGACTTTTGTGGACCAGCCATGGATCCACACTCGCGTCTGTCCCAGTACAACCAGCGCCAGCCTAAGTCGGGCCCACCGTCTCGCACCATCGCCTCGATGCCACTGAAGGATCCACTCGCAACCAACCCCCTCAAACCAGCCCAGAAATCAAAGGCTTCTTCTCAAAATGCTGCTTTGCTCATTCGCAGACCGATCGCGACAAACTCGCGTATCAAGCAAGGTGAAAACCTGCGTCGTGACATGTATCTTGCTTTTGTGAATAACGCTCTCCAGGAGCAATCCCAGGTGGGTTATTTCCATCTTCAATATTTCGAGACACCTGGCTGAACTCGAGAATCAGGGGAAGAGTGGTCCATTTAATGAACTTGTTAACCAGTTTTCATTGAAACCGTCATCTAACGGGGAGCCCCCACAAACCCAGCCGGGCCAGTTGAGGTTTTGGATCCTCGCATTGTCGCATGTCGTTTCTCGCCTCGAACGTAGACATTCTGCTCTTGTGGAGGCGATTGTGAATATGCCGTGGATGACGCTTGATTCCGCAACTGTGAAATCATACACAGTCTTCATTGGTATGCTTCTCAGTGCGCGACCGGAATACCTCTCCCTCGTTTTATCCAAGATTGTCCAGGGATTCACACATCGTACGCAAAATCTCGATCGATATAACGCTCCTCGCCGACTAACGAACGAAACATAGAATCTGGCATTCAAGCTCTTGATCTGGCCATGCCCGAAGGTTCCTCGAAACCGCTCACACGACGTCTAATTTACGATCGCCTGCACTATCTCCTCAACCATATCTTGTCCCTCATTCCAACTCTACCCTCAACCTTGCAGCCAATCCTTGTTCGCTATTTCCCCCACAAACGACAGAACCAACTGGCGCAAGCGACTTACATTCGCAACTTGCTCCGGATATCGGCCTATTGTCCCGCCCTGACAGACAAGATCCTTGCGACCATCATTGACCGCGCTATTCAAATCGATGTACGTCTCATATACGCGCAGTCACCGGTTATCCCTGATCCCGCTCCCCTAGGTTGAGATTCAAGTAGAGTTGGAAGAGCTGGAAGGGGAGGGTGAAGACGATGACCTTCAACACGACGTCTTCGAATTTGATCCGTTCGACGTTGTGGTCGGCCAAGAAGGCGACCAATTCAATTCGGATGACGAGGACGATGGAGAGGGAGATGATGACGACTTTGCTGCAGAAGATGACTTCAGTGATCTATCCTCTGAGGGAGGAGAATATGACGAGGAGCGTACAGACGTGCCCACGAACGTCAAACACGTCCAAGAAATGGTCAAAAAGCTAGATGCAATATTGACTCTAATGTTTGAGCATTTCAATCGCGCCCTCACCCAATATATCCCCGAATCTTCTTCGAAAGAACAGGATAGGGATTCCTCACCCGACTTGTCGCTATCGACCCCGTCGTCACCGACGATATCCACCCTGACGCACTCGACACTCACCCCACCACCAACCCGACCTACATATGCTTCCCGCGCTGATACCCTTCGCACAACCTTCCACGCCCTCCTCTCCATCTTCGACCGCACGATCCTCAGCACCTTCAAATCCCGTTATACCCAATTCCTCCTCTTCTGGTATACCTCACTCGACCCCGAATTCGCCGACATCTTCCAAGGCATGCTCGTCGACCGCGCCCTCTTCTCCCCGTCCGATACGGGATCCTCTAGCGGCCCCTCCTCCACAGCCGAAGTCAATCGCGCAGCTGCCGCGTCTTACATCGGAAGTTTTGTCAGTCGCGCAACGTTTGTGGACCGCGAAGGCACACGACGTGTCGTCGGGGTCCTTTGCGACTATCTTGGTGCCCATCTTGACGGTGTAGACGAGGCTATTCGTGAACATGGGCCTTCATGGATTGCCAACACCACCTCGGCGCAACATACAGTGTTCTATGCAGTCACCCAGGCTGTCTTTTTGATATTCTGTTTCAGGTGGAGGGACTTGCAGGAGGATTTGGAGTTTGATGATGAGGTTTTGTCAACGGTTGTTGGAGCGAAGGTTGCGAAGGACAAATGGATACCGCATTTGCAGGTTTTGAAGAGGGTGGTTTTGTCGGTGCTCAACCCGCTCAAGGTGTGTTTCCTGTTTCGGCCGTTTCGACAACCTGACTGAAATCACGCCGTGTTGTAAGGTCTGCTCCAGCGGTGTAGTCGAGCAATTCGCCAAAGTCGCCCAACAAACCGACTTCATGTATTGCTACAGCGTCCTCGAGTCGAACAAGCGCTCGGAATACAGTGGGGCAAACAGTAACGGCTCGCCTTCGCGTTCCATGCACCCGTCATTCCTCCGTGGCAGGCTTAATGACGAACTGAACACATTCTTCCCATTCGATCCCTACCGCCTACCCAAGTCCAATTCGTTCATCCAGAGCGTGTACAGGGAATGGTCAGATGTTGCTATTGATGAGGAAGACGATGATGACGAAGAAGAGGATGAAGATGGCGAGGGGGAGGATAGCAGCAGTGATGAGGACGGGGATGAAGAAAAGGACGAAGACCAAGACGGTGAAGAAGAGAGCCCTGTTAAGAAGTCTGACTATCTTGATATACCACGGCCGAAACAGCAGCAGCAGGATGACGATGGTGGCCTCGGAGAGTCGCTGGTTGCTATGAGTATCAGTCCTCGGGTGAGCGCTTCGGTTACGATGGGTTCTTCACCGACGATATCCATGTCGCTGTCGTGAGCGGCGCATTAGTACTGTCGGCGCGTCGTGGTGTGGGTGTGGTGTACATATGCCTTGCTTTCCTTACTATCGCTGTCCATTCTGCATCATCAGGCTTACTTTACGCGTTCTATGCTGTCTTTTCTTCTGTTCTAGTAGCTTATTGCACACATCGCTACACGTGGTCCTGTTTCTCTCGCAGGAAAATTGCGTTTCATAAATTATCGTGGATACATACAAGCAGGGGGCCGTAAGGAATGTGTGTAAGGGTCTACAACTACATACAACAAAGGTGAATCATTGGGAACGGGGTATGAGGTCGTGACAAGAAGTGAAAATACATCGAAATATGAGCGACAACTGTGAACACCATGGCGCGCCATCCCTATCACGCAGCAGACTTCTTGCCTTTACGCTGTCTCGCACTCGAACGCTTCGCAGGGGATGGTGTTCCCGCAGTTTTCTGTGTCACACTCTCTGACGGGGTCGTGGCCTTGGGAGTAGGAGTCGCAGCAGGTGTAGTGGAATCCGACACGCGTCTGTCCGCTGCTTCCTTGTTAATATTATCACCAGTCTTGGGCTGTGGTCCCATTGTCACCTTCTTGGGCTTCGCAGCTGGCGTCTTGGATGGTTTATGCAGGAAGCTGAGGACGGTCGAAGCCAGTCCTCCGCTTAGAATGAAGAGGATCCAGCGGGGGACTTTGGTTGTGATGTTATAGGCCTTGGTCATCCAGACCGCGAAGAGGTCGAGGATCCATTCCCTGTAGTTGGGTTGTGAGCTGGATGTCTGCAGGTATGGAAGGAGGAAGACGAACCTGTCACCACCTGGAGCCCAGATACTGCTCCACGGAGGGAGAGTCTTGTATCCTTCCGTCTTGAGGAACTCGCGGAGGGCGTCTGGGTCGATTCGCATGTTACCAGGGCGGAAGAAATGAAGGGTCTGGCCTCGGTCTTGAAGGAGGATGATATAAGGTGCCCTAAAAGTGTTCGCGTTAGTTCTGCCTGCGGTGGCCGGTAGAACGAAGACAACTCACTTCCAGACGTTCCATTTAGTGGTGATATAGGTGACGTTGAAGTAGTCGATACGGCCCCATCGCACATGCGGCAAGTCGTTCTCCTCAAGAGTCTTGTTGTACGCTGAGTCGAACATCTCGTCTACGATTTTCGAGAGGGGTTCTTGACGGTTCGCGGATACGGTGCTATTGGTGGTATCGTCAGTTTCCTGCTCTTCGACCATAGATAGTACAACGTACACGACGAGGGCCCACACTCTATCCCTCTCCTCGTCTTCCGACTCAAAGGTCTCATTGACAATAACGTCGTGATAGTTGTCGTCGGTAATAAGAGGAATCCTCTCGTCCCAAGGACTCTGCCCTACGCCCGTCATGTTGAACCCCGCCTTTTTCAACACCGAGCTCAGCAACTTTTCCGGGTCTAACCATTGCAGTAGAGATACCGGCGAAGGTGTTGTCCCCTTTTGTTGCTGTTGGACTTGAGGAGAGCCTGGGATGGGACCACCGGGTGCATACGTCGCCTCTGCCTCTGCAACGGTGTGGTGGACTGGTTGGCCGGGTTTCCACCCCTCCGAAAAGTACTGTGCGCGCGCAGATAGGCCTCCAAAGGCCAAGACGCCCAATGCGATGTTGGAGAACTTCATGGTCGTGTGTCAGTCAATGCCGGGTATGTGTGCGGGTTTTACAGAGTCGTTCTCCCAGCCTCGAGTTTAAATGCGACCGCAACTCGCGATAAGGTCGTGCTGGTTAGTTGCTTCAACTCGAGTCGACGTGTGTGTGTGGTGCGAAACAAGGGGCGAGTGCAAGAGACAACGCGGAGTCGAAACAATAAGTATTGAGATATTCGCGCGGTAGCTGTAGCGGAGGAATGATGATGTCGAGGAGGGGCACGTGGGTGCATGCCTTCCTGCACCTCGACCGCGACAACGACGACGAGCAGCAACTATGGAGGAGGGTGCAAAATCGAAAAAGACTGTTTTTATTGGCGGTATTAGCGACGACACGGACGAGGCGCTAATCTATGAAACGTTCTCTACGTTTGGTGTGTCGGTTCGTTCCATACGGCCTCATAAACTAATAATTGGCGTTCCAGGCGACATTCTCGAAGTTCAGATCCCTCCCCCTCAGAATACCAACCATCCACAGCCAACAGGTTCGCCTGCAATTTCAACACACAAATCAACCATGCATCTCACAATTCATTAGACCCCAAACACCGAGGATTCGCATTTGTAACCTTCAGCTCGCCTGCAGACGCCCAAGATGCAATTGACAATATGGACATGAATGAACTGCGTGGTCGTGTATTAAAAGTGACCCTCGCAAAACCCACGAAGGCTATCCTACAGCCAGACGGCAACCGTGCTGGTGCGTGCACATCTACCTGAATGATATACACGAGGGGTATGGATGTACTAATGAATGCCCCTTTGCAGTTTGGGAATCGGAGGAATGGCTCAAGCAATATGTCAAACCCTTGGACCAGAGCGGAGGTGCGTCTCACGCGTCCCCTGTATTCTACGCTCTGCCTTTCTGACTTGTCAACAGGAAGCAAACTCCAAAGTCGTGGGCGTTCCCAGTCAGAGGGCGCTGAAGACGCGGAGGAAGCAAAAGAAGATGAAGATGCCATGCAAGAGTAGATCTCGGAGCCTGCAATGCGCCATTTCAAGCCATTTAAAAGTGCAGAATGAATCAATCCTCGGTCAAACTCAACGTCGACCTTTCATGTCCAAGTCAGCACGACGAAAGCATCGGATGTCAGCGAATCGACGCCTATCGACCTTGAGCTCACTACCTCGTTGTAGGTTCAGCTACATACGCACCTTGCTCTTTCTAGAATTTCGTAGAATTCTGAATGGAGTCGGACTCGTCAAACATGCCTCTCGCTCTCTTGATGTCTTCTTGCATGAAAATGAGTTCCTCCAGACGAGCCAGCTTCTTCGCGTCTGCAGGTCGGGATAGCGCCTTACGCAGGTCTTCTACAGAGAGCCGAGCCCTTTTGGAGTTCGCTCCTGCAACCTGGCACTAAAGTTCTGTCAGTGAAAAGACTCGGCTGTGTGGTGGAAGGAGACGCACCACATCCGTGATATATTCTATGAGGATTTCCTCCATGACATTGACGGTATCGTTGGATGGGTTCCGGTCGTCTCCAAAGCCGTACATCAAGCTCCTTACTGGTATGCCTTTTGAGTTTATGGCTCCGCGTAGCGAAGGAATGGACATACAATCCTTGGTAAACAATCCCCTTAAATTCGACTGTCTCCGACGCCCCCCAACTGCTCCCAGATTCTGGTTAGAAGCAGACGTCGGAATGGTAGTTTCACGCGGTGCATACGCGGGGGTATACGTTGAAAACGTTGTCGTTGCAGTACGTTGGGGTGCAGCAGGTGTCGCTACAACGGGTGCCGCCTGAGTCGTGGTTGTAGTCGCGGTGACCGGGGCAGTCGGTACGGTGGCTACCTGAGCAGTAGTCGTCGTTTGTGCTGCCGCCGTCGGAGCTGGAGTACTGACTGTTGGTGTAGCAGGAGCTGTTCTTATTGGCGCCGCAAGCTGCGTTTGGGCCCTCTGTAATTGAGCAGCCTGTGGATGCTGAGCCATGTAACCGTACGGGTATGGCCATGCATAGCTCGTCACACCCGTGGCGTATGGGTTCTGGTATGCATAAGTGCCTGGATAGGGAGTCTGGTACGCGCTATATGGGTACGTCGTCGACGTTGGAGGAACAGTGCCCGTGGGCGGTGTATACGGTGTATACGACATTGTCGAAAGGTGAACGAGGTCACTGCGAAACAGAAATGAAGTAATTGTGAGAACAACCTTCCCCTTGCAGGCAGGTCTAATGTAATCTGCTTCCGAAGCTCACAACGCTGGCATCAACGGGGGCGGTACGCTCTAACTTGATCAATCTTCCTCCAAAACCCTTCTTGAGAACGAACCCCCACCGTGGCTGGCTCCAGGATCCCCAGCCGTCACTTTTAGCAATTCAAGGGCCCGGTCTGGCACGCTACCAAGAGAACGGCCAGAAACACTAGAAACACAATAATGCTATCGGCAATCTGGACAGGGTTCGTAACCCTGTTCTTATGCAGTTTCGTCCAGGGCGCTCCCGCAGACAGTGAGTAAACGTGTCTTCTTTAATCAGTAAAGGGAGCAGCTATTTTTTTTCTCGTACACTAGATGTACTCCCTTCAGCAGCCTCATTCTACGTCCCGTCAATACCAGGCATTATCCCGAATCCCGATTACCGACTACAAATATACGCCGGACATCTTCCAGCAGAGTCCAACAAGACGTTGCTAGCGAGTAACGATGTCACGGCGCACCTATACTTTGTTATGGTCAAGAATAGGCGGGTGGCCGATAAAGAGCGAGTCGTGTTCTGGTTTAACGTGTGTATACTCTCTCCATCGTCGGGCGTTCATACGCAGCAGTAATAATGGGAGCTGTAGGGTGGACCTGGTTGCTCGTCGTTTGACGGTTTGATGATGGAAGTGGGTCCCTGGCGCTGGGATGGACAGCCAGAAGGAAAAGAGTCATTTATTGTGAAAGAAGGCGGCTGGGAGGAGTATACCACCATGGTCTTTGGTGCGTGCTCATTCATCCCCAGAGTCTGTTTATCTCGCTAATATGGCGCTCTACCAGTCGATCAACCCCCTGGCACTGGGTTCTCCTTCACATCAACTGACCAGTATGCTAAAACCATGAAAGATGTGGGTGCTACTCTGCTCCCCAATATCACCATAGCACTCACGCTCCGTCTTGTTGTCAGGCTCAATGGCACATCCTCGAATTCCTCAGGAACTTTTATCAAGTATTCCCAGAAGTCTTGACCATGGATGTGAGACTGCTCCCATAACGCCCTGCAATTGGACACTAACCAGGTTTCCTTCAAGACCTACCTGGCCGGTGAAAGTTTCGCAGGACAATGGATACCCTACTTTGGTGAGTCCGCGCCCACCTCCATACAATTCAACTTTGATTGATTCTCCTGTTTAGCCGATGCTATTTTGGAATCTTCCCTACAAATTCCTCTGCGCGGTATCGCTATTGGCAATGGATGGATGGACGCTAGGCGTCAATACCTCTCTTACCTCGACTACAGCTTGAAGATGGGTTTGATAAAGGATAACTCCGAGGTATGGCCTCTTCTGACCTTCTTTTTCGGAACGGAGGAGAACTGAGCGCTTGCCAATAGGATTGGAAGGAAGTCAAAGCTGCCCATGACCGCTGTGAAGCTCATTTAGAGAAGCTAGAGGGCGACCCCATACATATTCGCGAGTGCGGTAGTATCATCATGAAGGTCATCAACCAGAAACGGCCAGAGTGAGCATTCCATTCGCTCATGTTTCGGTCGGTTGCTGATGCTTCTCCAGTAATGAAAAGGGCGAAAAGATGTGTCTGAACATGTATGACGTCCGATTCACAGATACCAGCCCTGCGTGTGGTTTGAACTGGCCTCCTGAAATGCACGCTATTACCCACTTCCTCGGGGTAAGCTATAGAAGCACTATTTACCATCGTTCCCGAACTAATTCCGCCTACTCCAGCGCAAAGACGTCGTTAGAGCTCTGCATGCTGAAAGACACCCAGGCTCATGGGTCGAGTGTCGGAGACCCGTTCATCGCGCGTTCAAAGATGGGGAGGAAGAGTCTTCCATTACTGTTCTCCCCCGCGTCTTGTCGAAGATTCCTGTTTTGATCTTTGCTGGAGATCAAGACTTGATTTGCAACTATGTTGGGCTGGAGAATATGATCAAGAGTTTGACCTGGAATGGCGAGACTGGTCTTGGGGTAAGCCGCGGAGTATTCATTGCGCTAGTCAAATCTAAACTAGTATGTGTAGACGGTCGAAACACAATCCTGGAGCGTCAACTCGACGGCAACCGGAACGTGGGTTGAATCTCGAAACTTGACCTACGTCAAAGTACGCACCTTTTTTCCTCTGGCTGCGCTGACAGAAACTGACAATCATTCGCTCATCAAGATTTTCAACGCTTCGCATATGGCACCGTTCGACCTTCCCCACGTTACACACGACATGATGCTTCGCTTCATGGGCGTCAACTTCTCCTCTATCGTAGGAGGCTCCGCCATGATCCCCAGCAGCCTTGGTGACGCTGCCAAACCTGTCTTTGTCGGGGGCCACCTACCTCAACCCTCCACGCCTGCTCTCCCCGCTGGTAAAACACCTGAACAAGACAAGGCGATGTGGGAAGCCTACTATAACGCTGGATCCGCTGCCCTCGTTCTCGTGCTGATCATGTTGGTGATCGGTTTGTTCATTTGGTATAGGAGGAGGAAGAGTCGGCTGCAGCTGCCTTCGAATCAGAGCGGAGAGTTGGCCGAGGAGAGTATACCTCTCAGGTCGGAGATGGAGGATAGAGGCGGGAATGGCGTGTCGAATGGCGGGGCGTGGAAGGGTAAGGCAAGAGCTTCTGAGCCGGTGTTCGAGGTTGGAGACAGCGACGAAGACGAGCCATCGCCGTACAGGAAGCCTGACGGTGGTGGCGATAGGAATGTATGATACTAGATTCCTGCTTTTGGTTACATGTATCTGTTATTTATGGGTTATTGGGACACGACCAACTCCGTTGATGCCATTGAAAGTTTTCAGAGGATTTTTTGAGAGGTTGGTCTAAAAGATTTGGTTCTTCCATGCAAATTTCGCGAGGTGGAGTGGAAGACAATTTTCATTGATTCGCGTACTATTTATCTACAGAGAAAAAGAGACGATTAGAAGAGGGATGTCCCCGTCATGGTTTAACCCAACCGTCACAGCTACATAGTAGCACATCCCCCGAAAGAGATGATATACGGAAGGTACAGGAATATGACGATGCAGAGCCCAGCAGCTGCAACCGCCCGCCCTCGAATCAACGCCGCGAAGCGGACTCGAAGACGAACGGTGAGCACATCCAGGACTGCTCATTCTCGTGAGCGTACACCCTTTCGAGCAACGCCTCGCTCCGATAACCTGAAGATAATCGCCAACGCCAGTCGAGCTAACGACCGGCTGCGCTGTAGAGCGCGAGGCGCTTCGGATGGTTATAGCGGACACTGAGGAAAAAGCAAAATTTGGTTCGCGTCGGGTTTATATCTCATGGGTCGTCGGTGATGGCCGAATTCTGATGATCTCACATGTGACACTCTCGATCACGTCATCAGAGACGCGTCGCGTCTGTTGAATTCGGACGCGTTCCTTCCTTTTGCATCATGCTTTGTATTGCGAACAAGGCCTTGTCTTTGTCCAGCTGCTTCTGAATACCTGTCGAGCTGTCTAGAGAGAGGAGCCTCTAGTCTATGGCAACCTTACCCTCGGAATAAAGTCCTTTTCTAGACGTTTTTTTTTCTTCGTTGTTACGACGCCCTTTCGACCGTTCGTGAGGAGTGCTGTGAAATACAAGGAGGCACGTTGCGATTGACCCCCTCCTAACAAGCGGCTGTCGAGATTAACTTGACGACGCACTACGTCGGTGACAAGAACGACTTGTGCTATGTTTGGTCGGTATTTTACTTGTGATGACCATGCCAACCGATACAGCACCTCGAGATTGGATGGTTGAGTTATAAAGTGGCTCGTTCGAGTCAGAATACCCTTTGTGGTCGCAACACCGACTTGCAACCCACCCAGAAGACCCCTCCAACAAATCGCCAATCGCCCGCCTGATCAAGGTATATACCCCGGTTCTTTCTTTGCTTTGAGTGGCTACTGACTCTAGGATTTCCAACAATCATGTTTAGTAACCGATCCACCCGACGCAATCACACCACCAAAGTTGACCCGCCAGTACCTTACTTTCCACCACTTTCCCCTTCTACTACTTTGTTCTACCTACCTTATCTGACTCCGTCTTTCTCTTTCTTTTTAGTATGGCTACTGTACCTCACACGGGCCGTCGCAAACCTCGGTGCCACAGATGCCAGAACTTCATGGCAGGCCACAGACGTGGTAGCAATGGCAGCCCAATTTGCCCTCCTGGGTATGAAGTTTCCGACAGCCGCGGTTCGGGCGTACCTACTCCCCCTAGTCCAGCCACAACCAACGGAGGTGGCCCACGTACCCCGCCCCGCCCCCTCCGACGCCACAAGTCTCCCTCGACGGAGGCGCTCAAGATGACACGAGTTCCCGGCGGCAAATGGTGGCACTGGCGAAACCCTAACTGGAACGACGAATCAGCCTACGAGTTCGTCGATCCTGCCGATCCCCCTCCTTTCCAGAGGGTCGATGGCCAGCAACAGCGCGAATTCTCGCCAACGTTCACCGAAGTCTCCACCGTTCTCTGCGATGAGGATGGCCGCACCATCCTCGGCGGCTCCTACTCTCAAATCTCGTCCGAACGCTTGGTCGAAGAGTCCCTCCATCCTTCGTTCTCGTTCTCCGAGTCATCATTTACATCTAACGCCTCCATCGAAACGATTGGCATGCCAGAACAAGGTCGAGCACAGCAAGGGAGTCAAGCACTAGGGTCAAGCAGCAACGGTGCTGTTTTGTTTCCTCCAACACCACCAGAGAGCGATATGCATTCGGACGATGGATCTACCTGGGGCAGGCGACTTCGACGACAAACCCAGAACCGCAAGTCAACTCTGGCAGTCTTCGAAGCCAGTCCATCCGAGGTCCCTGAGATTCAACAAGCCGCCAGGCGACTTGGTCTCTATGCTGCGCCTCTCACTGGAATGACCACACAGGGCTCGGTGAATGACCCCGACTTCAAAGCCACCGTCGTCGTTGGCAGCAAGCGGCAGTGGGTGGACAATCTCACTGGTGACAAAACTGTGTCCAACATGCCTGGTGCTTTGCCTGCCGTCGGAGCGGCTCCTACCGTCTCGTTCTTGCACCTCATTTTCGCCAGCATCCTTGGAGGGTGTGTCGTCGTCCTGGGATTGTCATACATTCCCGGCGCTGCCTCGGCGGCAACTCATTTGTAGCGATTCAATCATACTAGGGGGGTACATGGGTGAGTGCGTTGACCGCAGCTACTGATCATGACTGCTAACCTTTCCTCACTGCGCGCAGCGAAATCAGAACGCCAACGGTACCATCAGCCCCAAATGCGGGTTCTGGGGGAATAAAACATCTGTTCTCTAATCTGTTCATAATGCCCTTGATTGCATTGCACTTCATAATTTTTGTTCAGTCTCGAATAATTCCGGAAATTTCTTGGTCTTATAGTTTTCCTTTTGCTATCGGTTTTGTTTTCCCTGTTTTCAGTTCTCTTTGTTCCCTTTCTTTCCCCTCAGGATCCCCTCTCTTACCCTCGGACTCGTCTAGTTACTCTTCCTGCTGTTCTTGGTGTCGACGTCGTGTTGTCAGAAGTTCAAAGGCCCTCAATTGTACTATAGCATGCCCCCTCTGTTTCTCCTCCCATATGCATCTCTCTCGCCTATGCCTATATGTACCATCTATGCCACCTCCTTGTATGCCTTTTCCTCTGGTTCTCAAATCACAACACCCACACCGTGCTCGGTAAACGATTTTAAAATCATGTTATCGCTATTGCTAAGGTCTGTCCAAACATCTATGAAGTACAAGTTGCGGTAGGTATATATGTAGTGGATTCGAGTCTGATGGTGGTATCTAAACTAAGGCGAAAGCATATGAAGACGGAGACAGGCGAAGACACAGGGAGACGTTATGTAGAGTTCGTGAATCGAAGGAGGAGCTGGAAGTCATGACTGTCATGAGGGGAGATAACTATACCAAAGAGCGTGCGAGTGTCGAGGTAGTGGGGTAGAGACGGATACAGCAAGTACAGGATCGAAAGCAAAAAAGCAAAATTATAGCGCGAGAAGAAACCAGCAAAAGGCCGGTCTGGTAAAGTAAATAAGGATAGTGTGCAACGACCCAATTATTTCAGGACAAGGAGAAGCGAATCTGATGGACGAAGGATTAGTCCGCCGAATCGAAGCGAAAGGCAAGACGCTTACAATAACCGAGACCGACCCCACTAAGTTGGCCGATCGACTAATGGAAGGTCTACACCCCCCATTCATCCATCCCAGGATGGCCTATCCCCAGCCCGCCAGCTCCCAGCGCCATGCCCATCCTCCCACCCCAGGCCCTCGTCGCCCTATCTTCTTGATACATCCTATCCCTCCCTTCCCTCTCATCCAACCCCCTCGGTGATAGCCAACCCGACCACCAGCTCTTTTCAGCTTCATCCGGACTGCCCGGTCTCCTCACATTCAACCCACTCGACTCGCTCCCACTCCGCTTCCGCCTGTGGAATGACCCACCCTTCCGCCACCCAGTCTTGAACCCTGAAGACTCGCCTTCTGGTTTGGTGCTGGAATAGCTCTCAGGAAGTTCAGCGAAACTGATGCGCTTGGGTGTGGAGCGGCCGCTGCTTGAGGCACTCCGGCTTCCACTGGCGAGCGCTCGCGAGACGAACTCGGGGAAGTGGGCCAAGGAGGGTGTGGGACTATGCATTGTTGTACTGCTGGGGGAGTTGTTGTTTAGGCTAACAGTGGCGAGGGAAAGAGGTCGTGGAGGAGTGCTTTCTGCATCGACAGGTGTTTCCGGGCGGGGGGCTTTCCCCTTCATGACACTCCTCAGTGGAGGACTTCTGGGTCTTGTTGAACTGGTGTGAACGCCCTTTGTGAACAACCTCGATATCGAAGCGGTCGCATTTGATGTACCAGCACTTGCCGTGGGAGCAGGGCTTCGAGGCATGAACGCGGGAGGTTTCCTGGGCGAAATCTGATATCTGGATGGATCTCGATTTAATGAAGACGAACGAGACGGGGTCGACGGCGCACGCGTATTGGGTACGCTTGTTGACCTAGTCAAGGCTTCACGTGGGCCTGAAAGATGGGTGCTGGAACTGGCGTCTAACTTGCTGGTCGAAGGTGAAGGTTGGACGTCCAGTATCTTCCTCAGGCTGAGCACCGTCTGCTTGGCCACACAGCTATCTGAAGATGAATCGGAACCTTCGGTTTGACTCTCCTCTTCGGTTGGAGGCGTCATTCGCCGGATAAGGGCCGGATGTGTTGATCCGTGGGGACTAGGAGAACCATTGCGATAGGCAGGGATGGTGATGCTACTTGGGTGGTGGCGTGGCGATCTTCGTGTGGAAGGAACATTTCTCTCTGCCGAAATGGAGCGCCGAAGATTTGACGGTGCAGGAGGGCTTGAGTTCCGCCTCCGTATGCCTGATGCAGCTCGGTGAATGAAAGACGAGACGAAGGAAGAGGGTGCTGATACAGCGGTTGCGTCCCCCGAGCTCCCCCTTCCAGGGACCGGTACACGAAGCGTATTGGACATGGCTGCATTTGACAGTAGGTTGCTCGTTGAAGAGGAAGCACCATTGCTGACCCCCCTTGCTGCGAGCGATGATAGCATGTTGTAGGCAGGCGTGGAGGGGAGGTGGACAGTATCGGTCACTTGTGGAGGGAGGACTGAACCGGGCGCTGTTGTATTTGCAACGCTATTGGGCAGGAGTAGGTTCGGTGTTGACACTGATGTTGACCGAATTCCCAAGGTTGAGGGTAAGATGAGAGTGGTTAGATCGCTGCGTGCAGGGTTCTCGGGCTGCTTGGGTAAAACGGGGGAAGAGGTGGCTTCGATGTACATTGTCAGGGCTCGTGGGGGTGGGGAAACGAGATTCGATCGGTCCTGCGGAGCTAACCGTAATTGAGACTGTGCTGAAGGAACCACAGGCTCTATTATAGATTCGGGAAGAGATCGAGAAACCAATTCCTCGTCACCTCTTGTAAGCACTTGCTGAGCATCCCTGCTCCTTGCCGTGAGATCGACAGACGGTCTCCTTCCCTGCTGAACCGGGCTACTCGAGGCTGTCCTAGACAGCTGTGTGGCTGACAAAGGACTGCTGCCAGGCAAGCTTTGGCTACCAACAGGCGCCACAGGATTGTTTGGTCTTGCGTCAGGTCTCGCCGAACGGGAGCGCCTTGACCTCACATGTGATGAGCCCTGTCCAACTTCTCCCTCGTTGGCAAATAGAGAATCCACCCCGTTCTTGATCTTTTCCAACTCCTCTGCCCAGCTTTCCTGCATGTCCCAGTTGCGCATCAATTTGGAGCTTAACCCTATGGCGCGAGCTTCGAGCGCAGAATCGACGTCATGAAATCCGGAATAATCCCGGGTAGGCGTCCCGCCGTTCGATACCGCTGGGCTGTAATGAGAGGCGGGTGTCGTATTGCTTCTGAAGGCCCCAAGGGATGTGGTCGATCCCGAGAAGAGGGCGGACATGGTGGCTTGAGTCGACATCGAACTTTGTAGGAGTGTGTTGGAAATTTCGAGGGCGTGGACGCTGCGTTCTAGAAGAGAGTCCAGATACGAATCTGTGTCTCGCTCCCGAGTCTGGGACTTGGAGAATCTTGACTTTGGTGTCGAAGACAAGGACAAACTTTGCTTATGAGAAAGGTGTGAAGTGGAGGTCGACCGTCCCAATACCGAAGAATGTCGGCGCTTATGACTTCCTGAGTATTCTCCAAATAGGTCTGGACTAGACACTTGCAGCTGTTGGTGGAGAAATCGCTTCTGGCGTCTGGGGGAGGCTGAGTGCTGTGGCCGAGGGGATTTATTGGGGCGCGGCGACGTCGTGGCAGATTGAGGGGCCTTGGTGTGCTGAGGTACGAAGGCAAATGGACCCTGCGGACCCTGGTTTCGAAAAAATCCGTCTTGGTCTTCGTCTTCGTCGCTACCGGTCAATTCTGTCTCCTCGTCGGCCTCTTCTGCACTATCGGTGCTTCTGGTGGTTCCTGGATAGTCCGGCGGACTGTCTTCCGGAATCTGCTCTGCCTCCCAAGTCGAGTTGGACAACCTCGCTCCGGATGCTGGTGCTTGGCTGTACTCTGGCAATGTCGACGTTGTCCCTGAGGTGTCGGAAGATAACCGAAGTGCGGATGGTCGTCGACGGCGAGCCTTCTTCCTTGGGGAACCTGCTGTGGGACTGGGGATTTGAGAAACTACATTTTCAGAAAGCATATCAGCTGTCGGAAACGAAGGTGCAGAAACGTAAGAATGGCATATAGGCGCCGCCGAGTCAGAGAAACTGTATGGCAGAGGTCAAGTGTTGCGCGAGAGGACCATCAACCCATGTGGCCGGTCTGACAAACAAGGCCAATTGATACCCATCACTTTCATAAACCCCTGTCTGACTCACTTCCCTCTCCCAAAATGCTCAAAACTTCATGCATGGCCTAGAAGAAGGACGAATTCAATCACCGAGCCTCTACTTCTGCCAGCGATAACATCGCAAGAACCCCTTTTGCAGACTGCGCAAGAATCTTCCAATGATTCGTCTCATAATGTCAATATTAAGCGCCCGAGGGGGTCGGTCCGCCTTCCGCTGAAACCATGGGACTACTTAGGAGAGATGTGGTGCTGGGTCATTTAGAAGAGTCTCAGATGGACTATAAAACATTAGTCTTCTCCATTCATTACAGCCATGGAAAGCTTCAACTTCGCCGCCAGTCGCCAGTCGCCAGGTCAATCCTCCCGGTGCCAGCATTGTCCTGTCGCAAGCTCAAGTGTGGAAAGGCCTCCAAATGAAAGCACGCGACCCTATCAACTTCCTCGCGGAGGCAGAGTCCTGTGATATCACTGACGACCATGGTGACAATGTGAGTCAAAGCCATATACAAAGTCTGAACTTACCAACTCGGCTAATGATTCCTGCCAGTTCACGAGGCAGGTACTCTTCCAAGGAGTATCCAAGCCTATCACCCAACAAGTCCAGGAGTACTCGGGAGCCGCGGTAAGCCTTTGGACATGTTTCGGTCATCACTCAGCTGCTCAGCTGCTTTGTTGTTTCAGATCGACTTTCACTCCCCTTCGACCAAAACCCGAGTCATGAACACCCTTTCCTTCGACGAGAGCGACAGAATGGTCCTGACCTACACCTTTATTGGAGGGATCCCTGGCTACAAGCCTGTAGGCGTCTCCGATCTTCGAACTCTGAACAAAAAAAGTCGGTTCACTCGTAGATCAGACACTCGAGAGGATTCGGGAGTTAGTCAAGGAAGGCAGTGTTCAGTTGAATTAGACATTTGCGAAACAATGTAATCCCCACTTCTCCTGTGCCAAATGGTATTTGCACGACGTAGTTTCGGCGCTTGTGCCAGTGCTCTGCTTCCGCGAAAGGCAGGTCTACTTCTGAATTTGGAAAGCAGGTAGAATCGTGTCAGCATTAGAGTTGTGAAAGCTAAAAGTACAGCATGATTTGACCACGTGTCGAGTGATATCGTAAAGGGTATGTCAAAAACGAGAAATCAGTCCAAAAGTCATTAGAAGTTTTCAAGAACATTATAGAATGTGGTACAGTATACGAGTTGCGGTGACATCGTTTCAACCAGTGTCAGAAAGAGAAGTGAGAAAAGTCGCTTGGAAGTCCTTGTACATCTTTCAGTTTAACTTGTTGGTCGTTATTTGAGTAACATCTAGAGATGAAGCCGCCAGAATGCTGCCCGGTAAAGTTTTCAGTAATTTCCACGCCACAGACTTTCAATTCGTTCGCTTGTTCGAAAGCTGTGCAATCGAAACTGAGGTATTGGATGGCATACTGCAAGCATATGGTTAGAAAGATGGCAATCCTGGTACCCAACGAAATAAGGACCCACAGATATGGAGAGAATGGGAGAACTATAACTCGGCTTCAAGTCTTCCGAGAGGTGGATCTCTCCATAGAACTGACGCGTTCTTGGGTGCTCCACGGGCGCGAATGGGGGAACCACCCACACCGCGCGTCCACACTCGGAGATCACCTCCGCCTGCTTGAAGCACGCTTTTGCCTGACGATACGATGTCGATGAAGCCGTAGGGTCTCCTTGGAGGTATGTCACCTTTCTCAGAAGCTTCACGACCAGCCTCTGAGATGTCGCCAGGATGTCGAGCGCAAGCGGGTCATCCACACCAATGGTAATGTAACACGGAATGAAGGACCCCGTTGCATACGATAGCTAAAATCGAGGCCCGGCCCAATGTCAGCTTTAAAAACGTCTGGAAGAGTCACGATCACATACCGAGCTACCAACGTAGAGCTGTAAATCAGGGCCCAGGTCTGAATTAGATCCCGTATATTCGAGAACTCAGAATTACAATAAATGACTCACCGAAGCATGGGCATGGACTCTTCGACGCACAACCGTACCCTCAATCTGCACACCAGGAAGAGCACACCATGCGCTGGGATCCTCCATTGGAGTCATCATCCCCTGTGGTCTCCGCTGCGGGCGCCCCGACGAAGGAGCATCTGGCGTGTAATGAACTGGGATTGGTAACCTAAATATACGAAGTTCCCGAGTCAGCCTTCCACTTTCCGTACCGCGTCCAATTAAAATCATGGGACAAACACACCTGACATTCGTCCGGGGATTGCCCCCTTCGACCGTCAACACCAACTGGTACTCCACCTTGGCATGAATTCGCTCTTCTTCAAAACTCGGCGGGAGGTCGAACCTGGTTTCTATCGACTCAGTGTGGAAGGATGCATGCATTGGTGCAAGCGCGAATTCGAACGGCCAATTGTATGATCCCAGAAGTTTCGCTGAGAACACCTGAGCATGCGGGTTCCAACCCATCGCGTTCGTCGCGCCAAGTCTCGGGTTACCCATCCAACTATCCCATAGGGTCATGCAATTGTCCAGGAAGACGTGCGATTTGTGGGATCCTCTGTTCGTGAACCGCCCGATAAGCTAGATACCGAATGCGTGATCAGGCACGTCAGAACCGCTGCTGTAAAGGGAGATGTACACCACATACCGCGATGGACACCTTCTCCACCGTCATAGCGGTGTGAAGAGTCAGTTCGACAATCCCCGCAATGGGATACTGTCCTCTAGCTCGATACATTCCTGTAGATTGAGGAGAGCAACAGCTGTGCGAATGTGTAGAAATCAATTTCACGCTTGCCCAGGAAGCCCTTCCCGTCACTGTCGAGCTGCCGCTTTGCCCGCCGAGTTTGCTGAGCGAGGTTTGGTACTCGTACGCAAACCGTGTATCCTTAGAGGACAGTGGCGCTTCATACCCAATCTCTTCGCTGAGATCCAGAGACAACGGATTACCCCTGCCCAGGGAAGGAGACTTGCGTCGCTTGAAAGGCCACCGTGACGACATTGTTGACTGACGAGAGGATGATGTTTAGAATCTTGTTGGGAGGAGAGATGCACTGAGGTAAAGCTGTAGAAATGGCCAGCACCACTGAGCCTTGAGCGAGTAGTATGGGGTGGGTGCACCTGGGATGGCAAAGAATAGAATCGGTCACCATGCCCTTTATATACAGACCCACTCATCCCACTCATTCTAGAAAACGAACGTAGATGGATGGTGTACAAGGTCCTTGTCGGAGCCGCGAATGCGGGTTGTATAGTATGTTTTTTAGCCTATTTAGTTCGTGTACTCAAGTATACCTGCCATCTGGGATTTGCCTTCATTCACTCGGACTTGCCGTGATTCCATACAACTCTCGAAAATCCAAAAATGGATTTATGACTAGCTATATTTAGGCAATTGTTGGTGGGCCCAGAGCCTCTTGTAAGTTGGACTGCGCCCAAGTGAGATGGTACCTGCCAATGGAGGGCTGCCAAGTCGGAGGCTAACAACTCCATTGTGTGCATCCGTACACCGGGGACGCCATACACAAGGACAAGCAAGGAAGGGTGTTAGGGAGAAAGCTATAAACCTGTGCCGTTATGATTATTCCAGTTGAACCCCGCCGTAAAATTTAACGTTCCTTTTCGTGAGAGGGTGGATGTTGAACGGCATGGAAACGGCATCCATTCCACGTATGGCAAGAGTGTTTCTGCTTTTGGAAGGGATGTGTGCAGATTCTTTTGGTGGACGAGTCGAAGGGGCGCAGATTGAGTCAATGAATGTTTTGGAAAATCACGAACAGCAACTACAGCACACGGGGGAACACTGGCCTCAACATGCTGCCGGTGGGCATACAGATAGCTCGATTGTCGAGTCAGCAGTCGTCGACGAGTAGCAAAGCCTGGATAAAATTGGGCAGACCTCGAAGAAATCTAGACGAAAAAGTGAGTTTATACAGTAGACCCAAAACTAGAAGCCAAACTGAACCTTCCAGGAGGAGAGAAACTTGAAACCAGAAGTCCATCGAATCCCAAAGCTAGAAAGTACCTCGCCAAAATGACTCTAACCGAGCAATGTCGATCAATACGTACTGTCGACAATCTTGTCGCCCCATTACCAAACCATCTCCGCCGACAATCTTCCAATCCATTGCAGTGAACGCTGCCAACGCCACGAGTTTCCAGCAGTGGGCCAAGTGGGCCAAACGAGGGTCCTCTGTGGGTCCATCCCCTCTAGAAAACCCGAGTCGGGAGAATTTTGAAGCGTTCGTCACCACCGCTGAGGGGAAGAGGACAATAAGGCATGGGATGGACAATTGGCGTCATTTGCCTACACCGTGGCCGTCGGGGAGAGTTCGTGCTCCCGAGAGCGGGATGGGTTAACGACCTTGTGAGAGCTATGTCTCCGAGTAGTGCGGGTTAGTGGGACAAGTGGTCAATTGTCACGGGCATTCACTGCGGGAAGGTAGTGTGTCGTAGCACTTCAGCGGAGGCGGCTAGTGTGGACTCGGGAAGCCACTAGAGTTCACTGTTTCAGTCATATTGAGCTGGAGCGAGCGTAGCACGTACAGCTACGGGAAAGAAGCCAAATCGCAACACAATTCGACTTGACACGGTGTTCTTCCACCCTCCAGAAAACTTGTGCGCCGGGATCAATTGAGAGAAAAAGTCCTATTGCAAGATATGGGATGTTGGTGTACATGATAAAGGGCATAGGCAGCTCTGTCAGTGATAGTTAGCAAGGACAAGCAACCATCAAAGGGTAAACGTACCATAAGTGTCGTAAGAGAGTTCGTCACAAGATATTATCAACAGTAGTCCAAGCAATATACACAAAGTCGCAGAATTGTCCAAAAAAGAGGAAGACCGATAGTTGGCAATGGTGCACCAGCCGAAATCAGAGCACCTCCATGTCCCAATCTCCGACAAGCAGAGGATGCACCATAATAAATCAGCAACTAGGCTAGCTAGCAGCAGCCACAACACCATCAACACGTATCCGAGTGAGTATGAGAAGCCACCCATCTCCCAACGTCTCCGCCCCAATTAGGAGCGCAATGCCAAAATATATCCCCAAAGCCCACAGCAACGCCTCGCAGAACCTCCATCGCGCACGGGCATCCACAATAGAACGTTCAGTATAGAACGCGTATGGCAGGAGTACTTGTCTGTCATTTATCGGTGTCGGACCGAATTGGTAGTGTTGCTGTGGACCTGGGACTGGATTGGGGTGCTGTGGGACAGGTGAACGCGGACCTTGGGCAGTATTTGCTTGGAATTGTGAATTTGGATAGTGGTGAGTTCCGGGGGTGGCAGTGTGAGGCTGCTGTGGTGATGGTAATGGCGGACTACGCCCTCCGGGTGAGGACAAAGGCCTTTGAACCGCGTTCAACGCTCCGGTCGGAGTACTCGTGCTCGGCCCAACATAGAATTCGGTATAGGGCGGCGGTAGGTTGTTGGCTTTGTACGAATCACTGGGTTCAGGGCCCATTGGCGGTGCCACAGGGATACTGCTGGACATGATCACCCTTGCTTCCCTTCACGCAAGAAAGTGGGGTGACCGAGTCGGATCTAGAGCTGCTTCCTTCGGGAAGTATTTGATGCAGGGTATCGTCTCCTGAGCTTCTCTTCTAGTGTTCTGTGAGGAACCGGGGTAGTGGTTGGGGGGTGAACCTGGAAGTTGGGAACCTGCTCGATGTTGTAAGGGTGCAAGCTGAACTTCGCGCCTCGAGGCTGCTGTTCGCTGCCGGCAAATGCCGGTTTGATGTGCCCGTAGCCCCTATCTGACCACCCATGTTCAAGCTTCTGCCAGTGGTCTCTTCGTTGTAATACACCAGGAGAACCGTATGTTAGTAGGTAATGAAGCTCGAATAATACATTTCATACCGTCAGAGCGGTCTACACCAGTCTTGAAAGTTCAAGGTCTCTGGATGTGATTAAGAAGTACCCCTCACCTGTCATGATCACTGATCTCCCCTGTCCTAGTCGAGTAAGGCCCCATAATGTCGAACACACGATGAGTTCAATAGTTATCCATTCATAACCTTATGGCCCGCAGCTTCTAGTGACATCCCAGGGAATATGGTTGGCCGAAGACCGTATCTAAAAATTCAGCCTATAGAAATGAGATGGCGACATAGAGTTTACAGTTGGTTCGTGGGTTCCAACAAAAGGAAGAAAAGAATCGCGTTCATACAGTCCATCCAGATAATATGGGATCAACCAATCCAAAACCCACACTGTGAAAACGAAGAATACCGGAAGAACCATAGACAAAAAAATGAGGGTGCCGACATGGGGAAAGTGGGTACCCACGAGAACGGAGGAATGACCTTTTGGTTTTACAGCGGCGAGAGCGCAATTCCTAATTCGAAGAGCTTATTGGGTGGGGAGAACGTTCTTTATCCAAGCCTTGAGGTCGGCCAATTCCTCATCGTTTGCGCTGTGCGCGAGGCCTCTGTACATCTTGAACGCGAGGCCGTTGGGCGACGTCTGAGAAGAAGCGACAGGGGTCCCAATCTCCTTCTTGACAAATTCGGCAGAGTCTGATGCAAACTTGGGCTGCACCAGCGTATCATCACTTCCCTGACCCCAGAAAATGGGGATCGAAGGAGCATGCCTGGAAGCCATCTGTGAAAGACAGTTAATATAGTCGGCCAATCGCATACCGAATATTACTAACCGTTTTGAACTTGTTCCTCAAGGGCAACCAACCGCTGAGGACAACTAATCCACCAAGCTTTCGCTCGCTGGTAAGACCAGTTAGGAGGGACATGGTACCACCCTGGCTGAATCCGCCAAGGATGATACGGCTTGGGTCAAGGCCAGAGTTAACCTCCTCTGCGATGAGGGCATTGATGTCCGAAACAGACTCGAGCATGCCCTTTTCATCTTCGTCGGTATTGAAACCAAAGGAGTAGATATCGAACCTTTGAAAGACATCAGTCCCGGATAAAGGTATGGTGCATGGGGATACGTACCACGAGGGCATTTCAATACCCATGTTAGCAGTGACCGGGCGGATAGGACTGTAGGTAGGGGTTATCACGGGGCCAAGTCAGAGTTTGGAGGTTAATAGATAGACGTCGTCGAGGAATAGGGTTGAATAGAGTTTAGAGTGGGTGGTCAGTCGGCGAAGCTTATCCTCAAAGCGTGAGCCTACATACGAGTGAGGGAGGATCCATTTTATATGCGCAAACTGGGGGTCAGTGCGGAACATCGTCGCCACGGGCTCCCAACCATGGCCAGTGTCTCCGAGACCCTGTATTCAGGAACGAAATGACGAACAGAGCAAAAGGAATGGTTTAGTTTCCAAAACACGCAATGAAACTCTGAAGACATACATGTACGAAGATGACGGTCGCGGTGTGCTGGGAGAGAGCCGGAAGGGTTATGCGTCGAAGAGCAGGACGAACAGCGGCCATTGTATTGGTCTGAGCAAGAAAGACTAGAGCAAAGTATGCAGCGACTACGACAGCGACAGCGACGATTCCCGAGTGTCGAGCAATGATGGCCAGAAGGAGAGTTGCCACTGCTTGTCCGCGAGCCGAAATCGATCTATACCGCGTCGGCACGGTCGGCATCTCCCATTCCTCCCTCCGTTCCGCCAATCTCTCACCTCCTCATCGTTCCTTCCCCATTATTATCGCCCCCATGACTGAACACCAAGATCAGCCCCCAGACACCAATCCAGTCGCCAACAACGAACCGACCGAGATAAACGCCCAAACGCCACAACCCCCTCAACAGCCCCTCTCAAAAAACGCACTGAAGAAAGCTGCAAAACAAGAACGATGGCAGGCCGCAAAACTAGAACGTCGAGCGCGTGAGAAGGAAGCAAAGAAGCAAAAGAAAAAACTGTTGGCGGCGAAGCGTGCCGCAGGCGAGCTCGACGAGAACGATGAAGAACAGAAAAGAAGCGCGAAGAGGCGCAAGGTCGAATTCGGCGGGCGTGTTGTCGTCGACCTGGGGTTCGATGAGCTGATGAACGAAAAGGTCAGTATCACGTTTCTCGCTCTAGATCCCTGTGTATAATTGGTATAGAGCAATTTGACCGGTTCCCCCTGTTCCTGTATCTAGGAAATCAAATCTCTGACGTCCCAACTGGCCTACACCTATAGTGCCAACAGGAACGCAGATTTCCCCTTCTCTTTGCTCTTCACATCTCTCAATGGCCGTACCTATGAACGTCTGGAAAGCCTAGGCGACGCCAGCTACAAACGTTGGACCAAGTCTGAATGGTGGACAGACGGCTTCGAGCGCTTATGGGAGGGTCAACCTGCTGCGGGCTCTTCTGCTGTCCCTACTTCTACCGGCCATGACGACACTGAAGCTGGTCCCACGACTTCTGAATCTACGGTCCCCGTCGGTTCCCAACCTACAGCGGACGAAATCCGCCAGAAGGTCGTATACCTAACTGCCGACTGCGAGGAGGAACTTACCGAGCTCAAACCCGACGAGACCTATATCATCGGTGGTATCTGCGATCACAACCGCTACAAGGTCAGGGCTTCTGCTGCTTTCCACGACTGTCAACGGTACCCTAAAGCCATCCTCTGCAGAACCTCTGCCTGAACAAGGCGCAGAAGCACGGTGTGCGGACAGCAAAACTCCCCATCGGCCGTTATCTTTCCAACCTTCCCACCAGGAAGGTGCTCACCGTCAACCAATGCTTCGAAATCCTCCTGAAGTGGGTGGAGACTCGAGACTGGGAGGAGGCTCTCTACTCTGTCATCCCTAAACGTAAATTCCAGGCTGGCGAGAAGGGGAACGATGCCAAGGATTCCAAGGTGGTGGTTGTGGCTGCCGATGTCGAGGACGAGGCAATGACCGGCGAGGGGGATGTGAAGGCAGCAGTCGTTACAGGGGCACCTGCGGTGGCTGTCGAAGGGGAGGGAGGGGCAAGTGCAGAGGTAGACAATAAAGCCTGACTTCGCTACCTTACCCCAGCTTCTCAGAAGCCCTCATAGGACTAGAGGGCTGCTCGAGGGACAGAAGGAAGAAAAGGACTTAACGGCTGTGCTTTTATCTGTGCGAAAATGGTATGCCATGCCTACCACTCGCTTGATCGGGTTGGACGTCCCGACATTAGCTTGAAACAAGGAAAGGAGAAGGATGGGGTTATTGCGCAAGTTTCGTACCCATCGCAGGCCTTTCGAAACATCTCGAAATGTTCTTTCATGTCCTCCCCCAATCCTTACTGAATTCTGATTGCTACGTTTTGTTCCTATCTTTGGGGTCATCTCGATCCTTTCCCCAATCAGATTTTTCCTTACCACAGGATGTTCAAGTGGGTCCCAGAGCTCCAAAGTCAAACTTGCTGAGGTGAGGAGGAACTAGGTCCATTCATCGTCTGGACGAGGGACGACAGGGATTGCCTTGCAGCGGCGAGAGAGAAGCACACACAGAGAGTTGCTCTATCGCTCCACCGTGACCGTTTCGCATTTAAGCAGAATACGAATGCATAACGGATCCAAACAATGCTTCAAGTTCCTTTTGCCAAAACCGCCGGCACAGATTCAGGGTCCATGTCTTTCCGCCGGGAAGGCAAAGATGTGCCAATGTGACACTGGTGCCACAGGAAAGAACGGTTTTCGCGTGGGTACGTGCCCCAATTCGAGTTGCAACAACTGATCGATTCATTGAGCTGCGATGGTTCTTCGGAGCTTTAACGGTATTTCCGGTTGAATGCTTGAATCCATGCAGATGAAAAGAGGCAAAGGCGTTTTAGTGTAATAGTACGTCATAGTGGGCATCGAGCCACGGCCGGCGTTCCAAAAAACTGGCCGCGACGCTTGCTAGGGAGGACTAGTCGGGAGGCAGAACGGTTCATCCATAAGATGTCAGCTAAAGGACCTCTTTAAGGTTCACTTTTCCTGATCCACGCTCGAGCGGCTTCGGCTGAGAGTCCGCCTTTTTCCAGCCGATCTGACAGAGGGTTAATAGGGACGCCAACGGCAAGGAAGAAGCTGCCACTTACCATGTAGATGACCTGGAAAGTGGCTGGAATAGATCCATCTTCGTTCCCGTGCAGTTCTAGAAGGAGATAGTTACGACACCGACCACAAGCGAAATACCCCACGCGAGCTCACCCTTGTAAATGGCAGAAGCAGCGGCAAGCGTATCGCGGCCAACATGGGTACGTCTTTAAAGCTATCAGATATGCATTTCGTCAAGGTGCACCGTATTGTGCCTACCTTCCGATGACAGCGTTGCTTTCGCCCATATCCTGTAAGTCTTGTACCAGTTCCCACATACTGGGATAGGCAACTTGCACCTCATCGGTGTCCACAGTAAGAAGCGTGAAACCCGCTCGACCGAGGAGATTAGAGACGTCCCGCGTGTCTTTTCAGGGGAAATTATTAGTAAAAGAGGCCTACGATGCGGTGCCGTGGATTGGTTCTCGTACCTGTCATTGGTGAGACATGAGGAGAAATTCCACCCTCTCGCTCTACTTCGGCCAACTGTAACGCTGTTCTGAGTAATGTATATCAGCCAAGGAATACATTATTAAAGATGAGATATAATACCTAAGTTCGAATAGGGTTTCCCCGCCGAACATGGCACCCAAGAAAAGCCCGTCAGGTTTAAGAGATTGGTTAATCTGAACGAGAATTCCAGGGAGGTCATTTATCCATTGGAGGCTCAGACACGAGACAATAGCCTCTTGAGAGTCTTTAGGAAGATATTGGAGTAGGTTTTCTTCGTCGCCGTGGATTCGCTCGACCTCAACTGCGTTCACAGTATCAGCGAAGCGCCGGACGAATAGGGACCGAATGTGACATACCATCGAATTCTTCATCAGGGTCACGGTGAAGGGTGGCCTCTAAGAGTAAGATATATAAGTCACTAGTCGGTTTGAGGCGGCGGTGACATACTGCTTGAATCCAGCATTATAGCTTTCTTTGCTTTCTCTGGCCACAGCAGTCTCGAGAAGTGTCCTGGACCTGACCCAAGGTCTACGACTGTATTGAACTCGCGTTTGATATCCTTAACGATTGTTTCAGGTGATTGATTAAATATGGAATAATGGAGGAAACTCACCATGAACCTCTCCATCATCCTGACTGCAACTTCCTCGCGAACATAGTCAACAGTCCTGCTCCTCTCGCCACCCTCCCGCGTCGCCGCGCGGTCTCGCTGCATTCGCTTTGCATTTCGGTCAAATATTTGATATGGACCGACGGTGTATGGGTTCGGTGGTGGTGACGAGGACGATACAGAGGCCAGAGAGCGCACTCCGAACGCTGCCCTGCGCAACAGTTGGTGACGTACCGTAGAAAGAGGCATCTCGGGTGTGGGAAATGTCGATGGCGCGCCAGTCACGTTCTCGGCATTGTCCTGCAGTGTTTTGCCTCAGATTCAGAACGTCCACCAGCGCGGTCAATTCTGTTCCGCCAAGTGTTATCCACTGGCCCTGGGCCATCGTCTTCTCAAAAACATCTAGCTCGCCTGTCGGTCTCCGTTTCTGCAACCACAGTTTGAAGAGGCTTCACTGGGAACGCTGCTGCCGACGCGGAAGAGACTGAACTAGACGGCTCAGGAAGCAACGATTGGTGGCATCCTGATTGTCCAATGGCGAAACGAACACCAACGCAAGAAGAAATCGCGCTGTTGATCAAGCAAAAGGAGGCTGGAGAACAAGCAGAGTGCGTACTCTGGTCGGATAACTCGTCCATTCTGTTGACTTTGGTCGTGCAGACGTCTGTTACGGGAGTTGGGGTACGCTTTACAGTCTTTGGAAGGTTGCCAGTATGACTTATAGTCGTTTTATAAATAGAATCACTACCGACAATGCTCGAACGTCGTCTCCAAGTGGAATCTCGCAGTCGCCGTCGTTGCAGCCTGGCCATCCTGCTCCCCATGGCCAGCAGACAGCAATGGCTCAGGCTTCCGTAGTAGGTCGCGTTCTTCGTGTCCAGACGTACGTCAGCTAAGAAAGTACCATAGACGAACCAGGCAAGCGTTTTCACTCCACCGATGCGCGCCATGGTTCCACACTTTCACCAACACTCCGTCCAACCTAACGCTGTCCAAACCAATGTCAATTCGTCCTCGATTGCAGAAGCGTTCAAGAACAACGCACAGACTGCCCATATGAACAGGCTGAGGTTGATGCAACTGCAGAACCAGTGAGTCGCACGTTCAATATACGTCTAGACAGTTCCAAACGGCGGGTAGATCGCGTCAACTGGCCAGCTTGACACCGATGGGGAGCACGGCCTCAGTGCGCGCAGCGAATGACATTTTTGCCGGCCCTTCCCCGCCTCAGAATCGCCCTGCAAATGTGCCAGTCCATGCTCCGAGACCACAAACGACACCGAACGCAAATTTGTCAGTCCGCTCAATTGCAGAACATGTTGTTCGTGATTCCGTCCAAAGCGCTACAGCTCGACTAAATAGTCCAGGTACGGTCATCTGGTCGCGCTACGTTTGCTAGCTTTAATCGTTCTTTAGCAAGTGCAACAGTCCCCACACACCTTAGCCAGTCAACAGGGTCTTTGCATTATGAGCAGCTGGTACGTAGATTCCTTGTTTGTTCTGACCTGTTGAGTCAACGAAGGTTCAAGGCGCAGGCGAACTTCGGCGGCCCTCACGCGCACCAGAATCAACGTCCGCAATCTGCGGGTCCTGTCGACCTGCCTCAAACAATCCGTGTTCCTGAAGCATCGGCGCGACCAGCAACTGTCTCTACAAACCAACCAACTCTGTCTTCCAATGCCTTCGGACACCCAAATCAATCGACAGCGCCTCTACTGCCTCAAGCTGCGTCAAACCAACAGACCTCAGTACCAGCGGCAAATGCCACGACCCGATTACCCCTCCCATTCGCGTTCCAGAGGGCCTACTCGCGCACTGGCCCGACTACTGTGCCGTACGGCAGTGTTCTCACCTCTGGATCTCAACACGCACCGCAGCATCCCGGACCAAACCCTTCTGCGACCTTCACGCTGCGGTTCACAGGTCTTTCCAAGACCCCACCTTTACATTTACCCCGACTGAACGACTTTCAGCTAAACGACATGAAACGTCGAATTGCCGAATGGAAGCAAGGTCTGATCAATCGAAATATCAACGAAGCTTACTTTGACTTTTACGAAGCATTTGGCTACAATCGCGGTTGGAGAGTCTGCACAAATGTAAGCGGGACCTTCATCCAGGACGAAAATCAGACAGAGAGGATCCCGGTCGAGTCGCTATATCGCTCTTTGGAGAAGAATAAACTTCCTCCGGCTGTCGGAGCCTCCACTCATGTAGGGGCAGCACCCGTACAGTCGACCAGCACGCCCTCACCAAGCATGTCTACTACCAGTATATCCACCCGGTCGCCTCGAGAGGCGAATAAGAAGAGCCTTGCTAAGGACTTGCTTAACGCCCTCGGAAAACGCGCCCGCACGGGTGGGGAAAGTGTTTCGGCGCCTGCTGCAAAGCGAATGGCCACTGGGGTGAACGGGGAACCATCTACACCCTGCGATATACGGGCGATCTCTCCGACCCAGCATGGCGAATCGCCTCAACTGTTGTCTAAACCCTCGGGGGCCTCCATACCACCCACATCGGTCGACGACCTCCCACCACAGGAAGCACCCACGTCCCATGGGGATGTACTACCACAAGTGTTGCAAGCTATTCCCCCAACAGAACAGAAGGGTACTGCAGTTTTCCCAGAAAACAATGTACCTATCACGCTGTCGTCCTCCGCAACGTCACCCGTCAACCACTTTCCCAGTCCCGAAGTCCCGCCTATTGTCTCGCTACCCGAGCCCGACTCGACTCCACCTCCAGAATCACGCCCTTCAGCCCCAATGGTTCGCAGCACGCCCGTGGTCGCACCCTCTTCCCGCTCTTCGTCGCACAAGTCGCATAAGGACGATCCCTCAGCTCACTCTGTCGCCCACAGCACGCCACCTCCTCAGCCACCTCCGACGTCTGACGAAGAGGAACCCTTATTCTTGCCATCGACGTCTGCACCATCATCTCCCGTCACTACGCCATTTAGGGAACTCCCCGGCAATGATGACGGAGGTGTGCAACTGGCCTCCAAACGGAAGCCACGGGGAGGTGGCAAGAGTCAGGTGTATGTGCTGATACCGCCAGCCCCATCGCATATTCGGCGAGATGTAAAAGCGTTGAGGAAGCAAGCAAAGAGGCGCGCTGAGAAGGGCAAGGGGAGGGAGGTCGTGGCCATTATTGATATCGTCGAATCAGACGCAGAGGATGACGAACTGAGTATGGCTCTTCTTCTTTCTTCGTTGCCATTGCTAACAACTTGACAGGTGACGAAGGCTACGACTACTCGTACGATGCCCAAGGCAATCGGATAGAGGGTAAGTGGCCAGACATCACCTGCGACAAAACATCATATCCATTTTGGTGCATCTAGATCAAGCAGACCGAGATTTGCTGAAGGTTGCGTCAACCCGGCTCCAAGCCATTCCTTGCGGATGGGATAGTTGTGAAGTAGTCATGAACTCAGTTGCAAGCCTTTTGGAACATCTTGAACGCCATCATAGACCACCAAACTTGACGAAGGTATCTGATACTGAATGGATCACATTTTGGTGACCTGACCTCGATACTTCTAGGGACAAACATTCCCATGCCATTGGACTCGTTGTGGCAGACAGTGCAAGAAAGGCGATCGACACTTGCTAAAACACGCGTTCGACCATCTGGTCTGTCCTATCGAAGGTTTGTTTATTATCCGATTTCGCCTATCTCAGCTGCCCCTAACTTAGGCTGTAGGGTGTGATGAGAGCTTTCGGACCGTAAGGGCCCTGCAACGACATTGCGACTGTGACCACGGGAAGGACGATAGCTTTAAGCGTCGTTGGAATCCCACACAGCCGAATGATGCCCGTCTTAAAGAATTAGAGCCTCCACCGTGCCCTGGGATCCTTCCCGCATATCGGGTAGAGCCTTTGATTGTTCGACCCGCACCGATTCCGGAGGAAGAGCATCGATGGAGGGCACCAGAGGTTCGTCGTGATATCAATTTATTTTTGTGGTTACTTTTAACTCTGTTACCTATGCAGGTGAAACGGATTATCACTGGGTTGGAGAAGCCTCGGCAACACAAGACACGGAGCATCAGAGTTCGCGTTGAGCATCAAGATGACGATTCTGTTCAAGTGCCGGTCTATCGCTACGAATATCTTACAGACTATCCCAAGCGATATGGGTACCCGCAGTCAGAACCTGCCGAAGGCTTCAAGTTCGATCCACTTCCTACGGAGGAGGTCTTGGAGGACATCAGACACGGTTTGGTCATCTTGGATAACCGTCCTGAATCACCTCGTCCTCCTCCGTCAACAGGTTCGAGCTTGGACCGAGAGATGTCCCCGGAGATTCCACCCCCTCTTCCCTTTAGGGCAGTGAATGCAGGTACTGCTGCCAGTGGGAATGGAGGCGAGCATCAAGAGGCAAGAGAACTAACAAGCGCCAGTGATGATGAAAGCGCTGTGGCTTTCTTACTGTCCACTCCATAGCCCTTCCTTGGTCCTTCCTCGATTGTGCACTAGCATTCTATAGGACTTGTCATGTATCTCCTGTTTAGCTATAGTATCATGATTTGGTTTGCCATTCCGAGTCACAGCACGATTCTTTTCCTGTCTTGATGAATGGTGGAAGTTTCCCGATGGATGGAGGGCGGTTGATGTCAGTTGGGCGGCGTCGACGTTTGAATGAGAACAAGGCAGGCGGCCTTTGACGTTCTCGTCTTCGTCTTCGCTTCTTCCTCCCAGCAAGATGTGTTACAGGTGATTGAAAGGCGCTGGGTGCAATTTGGCAGCGATCTTCTTCCCCCGTTGGATAAAAATTGCGTGTATTGCCTACGAACCCCCGCAGTGGGAACCCCGGATCGCATGGACTGATGGTTTCCTAGACATTCAGAAGGTCCAAAAATACCCAGCAATTCGCTACTGATTTTTGGCCCTTGCGCGAGAAGCGACTTGTGCAAGGGGCGGATTGGTTTCATAGGATGAACCAAGGGAACGGCTATCGTCGAGAGTCAGGAGCATCAAATGAAGGTCAGGGTAAAAGGGAAGAAGCGTCAGTTTCCTCCGGTTTTACATACTTTTCCAAGTCTATTAAAAGTTCGGAAGATTTGGCAGGTTTATGATACTTTTTTTTTTTGAATACGGATGAATGTCGCCATGTTGGGCTGCTGGCGGGTTTTGATCTTATGACCACTGCAGGCGACCCTGCGAACTTCGTACCCTTTTGTCTTGAGTTCCATCACTGTCCATTCTCTGTTGTGGCCGACGTCGACCACCATGTCCGGGCTCGCTGAATCCAACGGTGAGCAACCCAGTTTTGCTGTCGACGAAGGCGCTGACCGTTGCTCTAGAGCCTGCTTACATCTCGTCGCACTCGGCAGACGTTATCCTGTCGGATATCCGCCCATTTAAGCTCAAACCAGATGCTCTCCGCTGCATCAACGCTCTTCTCGACGAGTTCCTCCACAATGTCCTCCATGCCTCTGGCTCTCTATCGACGGACAGACTCAGGGCGGCTTTGCTTGGGCTTCTCCCTACATCTCTAGGAAAGGAGGCTTTGCTGGAGGCTGAAGTGGAACTCAGGGCGTATTGGGAACGGACGGCCCCTGCAGGCATCATTCCACCCCTGGAAGACGACACGGCGACGTTCCATTTACCGTGGGCCTACGAGGTGCGTAGTGTGCGGCTCTCTTCGACTCCTCGATACCGATAACGCGTATATGTAATAGCTCCTTCGCAACAAATGCGAAGCATACTCGACCTTGAACGAAGCGGACGAAGACCCCCTGGCCGAAACTCGAATCAACGACAAATTCAGTCGCTCAGGGGCTTCACCACCGAAAGTCCTGCTCGTCGCACCGGCGGCGCTCTACTTAACTGCTATCTTGGAGTGAGTCCTAGTCACCGTGCATGTCTGTCAGCCTCTGACGTTTCGTGCCCCGCAGAGCTGTGTGCGAGTGAGTACAGCCTGTTGCGGCGCGTCCATCAGCGGAACTAACCCTATTCATAGGCACATCCTTTCGAACGTGGGTCGCGTCGCCGCTCGGGATAGCAGTAGGACAAGCGCAACCACGAATGATCTCTTCACGGCTCTATGTGAGGATGCCTCGGTGTACGGTTACTTCAGGACGATGAAAGGTGGGTACCCTTCTCCTGCGCTTCTTGACCGCATGCTAAAACTCCGGGCTTCTGATGATAGTGTATGATCAAATTGAGCAGCTCACAAAGGCACCTAAATCGCGACGAAGTAAGTCTTTCACACGGAATGAGAAGAACCCGAGTCCTCCAACTTCCAACAAAGCTCCTTCAATCGCTCATAAGCGCTCTGGTTCTGTGTCGCGGCAATCCTCCGACGCATCCTCCATGAACGGCGGCTCCGCTCCACCCCCAAGATCATCATTTGACAAGGCCCGAGCCCTCAGAATGTTTACAAATGGCAAAACTTCACTCGAAAAGGAAGAAAGTCATTCTGGGCATAAAAAGTCGGCATCATTGGTCAGTGATGGAGGTAAAAACGGATCTCTTCTCGAAAGCGACATCCCCTCAGCAGAGGTAGGTTTGAGTCTATGCCATTTAGAGTGTATCTTCTAATTGGATTCTCTTGCTTAGGATGCGGTAATGGCAGCAGAGTTCGACGACTTAATGCGCTCCTCCGCGACGATGAAGATGTCGCTCACTCCTGACCGGCTGAAGACGATGGAGGTATGCCTTCTATTCGCTGATATCAGCTTAGTCATCGACTAAGAAATGCAAATGAACTGTTCCTATCAGGTTTACAAACAAGAAAAGCAACAGCGTGGAACCCGTCGCCCTGCTCCCCTTGCTTTCAAGCCAGAACCAGAGCCTGTCCAACCTCCTTCCCGCACCCCCAGTTCGAGGCCTTCCCTTCGACACGTCGATTCGATCATAGAAGACGAAGAAGAGAATACCTCCCCGAAACAACCGGCCCAGATTACCCGCACTCGTCAAGCCAGCGTGGCGTCTACACCAGCAGCTCCGTTCCCTGCACCTAATGGTGTCAGGACGCGGTCTATTTCGACTTCTGGCGCTGTCGTAAATCAGCAGTCTAGGAAGTTGGTGCGCTCACCACCGGGAGCCGTGCCGTCGGCGTTCCCTTCGAAAGCTTCGACCCTCACCACCAGTACCTCTGCCTCCAACCTCAATACAGCATACAACAGATCTGCACCAATTCACAAGCCAGCCAACGGCATGCCAGCGCGTACGCGCGTCAGACAAAGGAACAGAGAATCGTTAGACCTCGACGATGTGATGGGCGGGTCTGATGACGAGACCATCCCAGAACACAGCCTGCAAGCTCGAGCGCCAACCTCACCAAAGCGGACACCCAAAGTGTCATCCACGACGCGGGAACTGATCGACTTCCTGGCGGAAGGGCCGCCAGACTCTCGACCTCCCGGTCCCGTGTCGCGAGAGGGTAGGCAGCTGGCCGACTTCCTGGCCGAAGGCCCGCCCAACTATGGAGGCAGTGTCGTTTCATTGGAAAATAAGCCTAAAACTGGTCGACTCCAGCGCATGATCTCCAAGCTGAATATTGGAGAGAAGGGCAAAGTCCCTGACAGTCCGGCCAAAACACAAACGAGATCGTCCACCAGTGGCTTCAGTGGGCAGGTTTCACCTCCCCCCAACCCCCTCGCTTCGCTGGCGAATCGTCCCATCCCCCCTCGACCTCCTCGACCTCCCCAACCCATTTCACCTCCATCGTCACCGTCACAGGTCTCCTTGTCGCAGTCACAGGAGAACTCGATGAAACCTCCCTCGCGCAAACCTTCGGGGTCCATTTCACAAGAGAATCGTCCCATTGGCGAAAAGATTTCCTCCGCTCCACCACCTGTTGCGACGACAACATACACTGCGCCACAACCCCTCAAGGATGTTTCGTCACCCTCAAGGTCGAATGCCACGCATATCAACGGAAGTGGCCCTGCCGTTCCGAGGTCCGATTATACCAAAGAGGCGCCGGCTCCCGATACCCATGTCGCACCCAAGCCAGCACCCACGATCCATCGCAAACCTGCCCCCCCTGTCTCCTCGATTTCCAATCCCGCTTCATCTTCTCTTCCGCCGCAAGTTGAGGCAAAAACTCAGGGACCGTCCATCTCTGAGAATGATGCTCGTGACATGCACCGACTTATTTCGAATGCGACGACTATTGACGAGTGTCGCTTGATTGTGGATATGTTCCTCACGCGTGCTGGAATTTCCAGGGCGGCGGATGCCAAGCCAGCGGACACAGAGGCACCGTACCCATCACCTCCACCGTCCATGAGCAAATGCCCACAAGCCGCAGCCACAGGTTCGACGATAAGCGACAGGTCTGTTGAGAATAGCGTCGTCGACTTACTTCTCGGTAGCTCTAACCAGAGCGGGGCTTCCACGCCGCCCACCAGGCCTCCTCGACGCCACCCTCGCCCATCCAAACCTGAACCTGTTCCCTCACATAATGTCAACGGACATCCCCACGCCAATCTCGCCCACGTTCACCACGAAAGATCGATACCCATTGCCACTTGGAAGAGCCCCGCGGAATTCCCCACACATGCAACCGGTTCCGCCCTAGTGGCTTAATCTTAAGTATATTCTCTCTGTCATTCGTTTGTAATGCCCTTCGTCTTCGTTGGAGGATACCGTGCTCTCTTGCTTCTTACTTTCAGCTGTTTTATAATTGCGCTACAGTTCTCGCGTTTTTTTGCCGTATCATTATATCTATGCAGGTTTTCTTCCCTTCGATTCTCTTCGGCCCAGACATGTAACGTGTTGTACAAATCCTGTGGATTACCCTTTTGCTCAGTGCCTAATTTCTGGAAATTATACTTTTGATGGATGGAGAATACAGTCTACTTACGAACAACAATTAAGTAACAAATGAACAAGATAGTGATAGGACGAAAGAGGTATGCTCAAAGGCGGTGAGCTTTTTTTACTTGACCTCCAGTGAAACCGCAATTCCCATGGAAGCCAACTCTGCGCAAAGGTAGCGGAATACATAAGGGACGGCGACAACATCAAGATCGCCACCTTTAGAAGCACTGTTGAGTACGTGTTCTGATGAGATGGCGACCGTGACATCGGCCTGAGGTCGTTGCAGGTGCTGGCCAGTCTGGATCGCGCGTCGTTCGCGTTCTTCCTCTTCCTCGGCTGCAGCACGGCAGATTCGACAATACTCTCCGCCTGGACCTGTGGGCTTAAGCCGTTGTCCTGGTCCAGAAACCATCTCTCCAAGAGACACATCTTCGTATCCCAATGAAATCAAGCTGCCGCAGGTTCGACACACCCATGCTGTCGAATAGTCGGAGCAGTTCATCAGTCTGTCTTGCAAGAGGAATGACGTTCCGTGGGCGATAAGCGCGTCTCGCTCCATCTCTCCGAATCGAATACCACCAGCACGTTTTCGACCCTGTTGAAATGACGAGATGTCAAGGAAGGACAGGTGAGTCAGTACGACGTCCATCTATCATAACACACAACGACTAAGAAGCGACTTGGAACTTGCCTTGACAGGTTGGCGTGTCACCGGGTCAACGGGTCCAGTGGTTCGCACCTGGAACTTATCTAACACCATGTGTCGAAGACGCTGGTAGTAGACGACGCCAAAGTAGATGTCGGCTGCGAATTCCTGGCCTGTTATGCCTGAGTACATCGGCTCATTGCCATAGTAGTTGTAGCCCGCTGCCAGGAGTTGCTTTCCAAAGTAGTCAATGGCAGTGTCTTCCTCGGTGAACCTTGGAGATAGTCAGACCAAAACAACATCCAAAGTTATAGTGATGACATACTTGAAAGGTGTAGCATCTTGAGCAAGACCATGCATTGCGCCAGCCTTTCCAGCCATACTCTCCACCAACATACCAATCGTCATTCGACTAGGGAAAGCGTGCGGGTTGATAATAACATCAGGCTGAATTCCACTCTCACTGAACGGCATATCAATTGCAGGCCACTTTTGCGAACAAACACCCTTTTGTCCATGTCGAGAAGAGAACTTGTCTCCGATGACGGGAGCACGAGGGATGCGAAGGGTGACATGAACTTTCTGGAGCTCTGAATCGCCTGCATCACTTCCTGTAGAATGGGTAAGAATCTACGAAGGGTAAGGCCTGATAAGATTGGATAGAACGTACCCAGTAACCGAACTTGGTCGACATAGGCAGTTTCATCACCCTTGTACTTGACGAATCTGGTGCGACCAGTGGTATCGTCGATGTAAGCTGCAAGTGGATCTCCGGGCTTCACCCTCACACCAGGGAAGGGCAGCCCATCTTTATCGACAAACTCGGCACACGGATGAGCGTTGTCACCCGTAAGTCTGATATCACCAGCAATGCCGAAATGAAGCGTTGGTGTAGAAGAAGACTTGGAGGCACCCCGGACCTCTTTCAAATCGATGATTTGGGATTTGTAGATGGTGCCGTAGGTGAAACCTCGCTCGTGAGCGGATTTATTGAGGATCATGGCGTCTTCCATGTCGTAGCCAGTGTAGGAGATGACAGCGACGACAGCGTTGGTACCGTTGGGGAAGGCGTCCATGCCGTATGTGTTGTGGAGGGATGGTCGGACGATTGGCGACTGACCCGTTTGGAGACGATAGAGCTTGTTGTCCGTTCGATGTTGAATGGCCGTTGCTGGTGTTCCCATCGTCTGCTTACCCATCTGTGGATGAAGGTGAGCATCAGTCAATTTTGAGTGGTGGCCAGCCAATCACAAACCTGGCACTGGTAAATGTTACGAGGAGACTGAATGCAATCAGTTAGAGAAGATTGTAATGATCGACAAGGAAAGTGATACGGACCTGGTTGAAATCGGAGAAAGGTGTCATGTTGGCGAGAATGGAGAGGAAGTTGGTGGGGTCGTGTTCGACGTGTGTTGATACGCCTTCTTCGATTTCCTCAGGAGTACAGGCGATGTTCATATACACCTGCTCGAAGGAGCCGATCTGGTCATCCTTCCCATTCGCAAGGTATTTGACCGGTCGCATGAACCGAGCCTTCGTCGAGAACAAGAACAAGCCGGGATATTGGCCGCCATGGGATTCTGGTACAAAACCAATCTCAAGATCCAAAGGAACCTCGTACTTCCCTTCCGTCTTCCATATCCTGAGGTTGGTTGCGAGCTGGGCAGCAACGACTGGTCTGGCCCAACCAATGACGCGACCATCGAGTTGCACGCAGAGGTTCTTCCTGCCGTCTATTGAAGTAGCAAAGGACTGCGTCATCCCATGAGCGGCCAAAAGGTTGGGGATATGTGCGACTGTTAGGGGAGAGGTGATGATGCGACATGTTCTTGACAAATGGTTAAGCAATCCACAAGGAGAGCCGTCAGGCGTATGTACTGGGCAGAGGAATCCTATGGAGACAGCGTCAAGCTATGTTGAAGACCGTACGATGTAAAACTTACCCCAAGCTTCTGGTAACAGCTTACGGACGGTGGTGGTTTTCAATTCTGCGAAAAAGGCACCACGGTGGATACACCGGAAATGGCTAATGTACCGTTGCCAATTGAGCTTCTCGGCTACAATCGTGAAACCAGACGCTTGCTGAAGGTCAAGTCCTGTTGGAGAGACCAAGTTTCCTGTGGCCAAAAAGTTGGACATTTTGGAGCCAATGTCGAAGTTCACCTTGGTCAAAACCTTGGCGAAATATTTCTCTGCCAAACGTGAGGATTGGGTTAGGCAACAAAATGAGGTAGACTTACTGTCGTGGAAATCGACGTTAGCGCCGGTTCTAACGTCCATAGCAATGGTGGCCCGGATAGCGTTCAATATTTCCTCCATTCGCTCCTTGATGATCATGCCATACAGCGAACCGGGAAGGAGTACTTCTTGGTGTTGAGGGGAATCGGGGTTATCCGCGCAACACTCGCCAGAAATCAATGAATACATCTTGCGAAGCATATACCTGAGGAACGGTTGATAAGCACAGACTGTCTGGAGGTTCAAACACTTACAGCAGCATTCGGAATTTGTCTCGAGGTGTCTCGAGGTGCACAAGGACAAGTTTCTGGATCAACCAAGCTCCAATTGCAGCATTCGTCCAGTCCTCGGGAAGGTTGAGAACAACGCGGAACTTGTCTCCCAAGTACTCCAAACATTGCTCGCCGGTGTGCATAGTGTACATCTTGAAACTTCGCAGAAGCAACTCCACTCTGTCGGTGAGGAAGGTATTGTCATAGTCCTGCATTACGACGCCCTCGAAAATTTCTTTGTCGGAGGCGTTAACCAAGGCCTTGAGGATGAGCATGATAGGGATAACGTATTCCTGCTTTCTCCAGGTGAATCGGAACATTGCGCTGCCGTTCGCAAGGTAATGGAGCGTATTTGTAACGCTAGTTTGGTCGGGTCGCACGCATCGAATTTGGACGGCGTATTGGGTGTACGAAGGGCCTCGGTTTGAGAAGGATGGTCGGATGAGGGAAATGACATGGTTTCGGCGAGGAAGAATGAGGTATCGAATCAGACGTTCGTTACCGTTGATCACAAAGTATCCACCGAACTCTTCAGGTTCTTCATGACGCTGCACGAGTTCTGCAGATGATAGTGTTCGCAAATTACATCGGACTGACTTTAGGACGGGTCAGGATACGGGTGTTAAAACGGATGTACAGTACGTACCCGAACCATGATTGGTATTAGACCACAGTCCTTTGGCATTTCATGTTTTTGACCTGAAGGATCTGTCCAGCAGAGTTTTACGGTCATCCGTCCACGATAAGATGTTAGGCGTTCGCGAGCCTGATATCATTTAGCGAGCGAGTTTCCCTGAGTGATCAAGACACTCACTTCGCTAGGGAATACTCTCCTCTCCCGCGCAGTCCTGTCCCTGTCCGAGACCATAGGCCTGGCGATAGTAACCTGTTCGATCCATACTGCAAGCCAATTAGCTGTGAACGGGATCAAAATGAATTCTAAACGCACTCCGCATCCTGTTTCCCCAGCTCTCCGGGTCTGCTCCTCGCCCATCGAATGCGACACGCTCTCCAATATCCTTCAGGGCCAACGACAACAGACCTCTGCCGTCACCGTCGCCCGAAGGCAGCCCAGAGTCGTCGAAGAGTGCATTGAAAGACTCGATGTGCGGGGCGACGAACTCGTTCAGGATTTTGTAGGTTGAGCCGTTCTTTGGTGGATTCTTGAAGGCATTTTCGCGAGAAAGTGTGTCGAAAGTCGGTTTCCTGCGCGATGCAGCAGAGTCGTCGGGCATCGTTCGCTGTTCTGATATTTCCTTCAACTTTGAGCAAAAACTTGAAATATCTGAGAGGCACGTGCACGCCAAGCGCCCATTCAACTTGTGGGAAAAACAGCATCGGAGTTGGAAAACCAAACAGGGCAGGCATTCGTCGTTGTTGTTGACGGTGTCCGCGATAGTAAAAAATCCCTTCGTCGTCGTCTCACCGTTCGTGACCGTCGACAATGTTCGGAAGCGTCGGCTCAACATGGGGGAACACGCAGCAAAATCAGCAGCAACAGCAGCCTAGTGCCTTCGGCCAGCCCAGTGCCTTCGGTGCCACGAACACGGGCAGTGGTACGTGACTAGGTCTTTGACTCAGGGCGCAAGGCTGTATATATTAACTGTTCACAGCCTTTGGATCCACTAGTGCTTTCGGTCAACCGCAACAGCAGCAACCCCAGGCGAACCCCATGTTTGGAAATCTTTCAACTCCTGCGTCAAATACTGGAACGTCTGGCTTTGGTACGCGCCGAAGCGATGTTGTTGACTGGAACAATCGCGCTAATCAGGGTGTTACAGGTGCATTTGGCTCGACCGCCAATAACACTACGAGTGCTTTCGGTGCGAAGCCAACCACTGGCTTCGGCGCGTTTGGAGGAGGAGGGACCAGTGCCTTCGGGAGTACCGGAACTGGAACAAGCGCGTTTGGTCAGCCTGCAGCAACGAATACGTCGACGACCGGTACCGGCTTGTTTGGTCAGCCTGCAGCCACGACTGGGACGAGCACCTTTGGGAGCGGCGGTGGATTGTTTGGTGCGAACAAGACTCCTTCGGTGTTTGGAGGCACTGGTACGTTTCCAACTCTTGTACATTCAGGGATGTGTTTTGATCTTTGCTGCGCCTTCCAAAGGCGCGGCCCCACCTGTAGTAAACTCAGGAACCGCAAATCCACCATATGCACCTCATACCAACAAAGAGGAAGGAGGAACATTCCATTATCAGTCTATCTCCTGTATCCCTGCCTATGCAGGCTATTCCTTCGAGGTCGGTCCTGAATTTTCTGTTATGTCTGCTTGGTGGCTGAGCTTTCGCTTAGGAACTTCGTGCCCAAGATTACGCTCAGGGCCGGAAAACCGCCAGCACCACTGGTAGTGCATTTGGCGGAACCTCAGCCTTCGGCGCAACTCAACCTGCCACGACAGGTACAGGCCTTTTCGGATCCGCGCAGCCTCAAAATACCACATCAGCCTTCGGCTCGACCAACACCACTGCACCTACCACAGGATTCGGTGCATTTGGCTCGACAACCACACCGGCAACAACGCAGCCTAGCGGAGGGCTCTTTGGAGGTGGCTCTGCCCTTGGTTCCGCCAATACTCAGCAACAAACTGCTCAAACAACTGGTTTTGGCGCCTTTGGCCAGCCCCAGCAGCAACAACCTCAGCAATCGACAGGTTTATTTGGAAGTGGAACGTCTGCGTTTGGCAACACCGCCAATAAGACAGGTTTTGGGGCATTCGGTTCAACCAGTATGTTCATTCCACTGCCCTATCTATTTCATTCATTGATTTACCACAGACACCACAACAGCACCTTCAACCGGTGCATTTGGCAGCGGGAGCGCGTTTGGCACCACGAACACACAACAGCCTGCTCAAACTGGAGGACTATTCGGAAATACCCAACAGCAGCAGCAACCGGCCACGGGTGCGTTCGGTGGCGGAGCGTTTGGTAGGATCTCATTTTGCTCAAGTTGGACCAATCTCTAATCTAATGTCACGTAGGCTCGACCGCTAACAAGCCTCTCTTCGGATCTACCACTACCACGACGCAGCCTGCTACGACAGGCTTTGGTGGCTTCGGAACCAACACTCAGCAGCAACAGCAGCCCGCTCAACAAGGCACCGGCCTCTTTGGTGGTGGTACTACAGGTGGCTTGTTCGGAAACACGCAACAACAGCAGCAGCAGCCTGCCCAGACAACCGCTCCTACGACAGGATGTACGTGTTCCGTATTTTGTATCTCGCTCCTTCCGTTCCTGACTGCTCATCAGTGTTCGGTAACACACAAACCCAAAACACCGGGGTTGGATTGTTCGGTGGTGGAACTACGACTGGCACGACCGGCGGACTCTTTGGCAATACTCAAAACCAACAGCAAAACCAACAGCAGACCGGTGGACTTTTTGGCGCCAAACCAGCTACTACTACCGGTACCGGTGGATTATTTGGAAGTACCTTTGGACAGCCAGCAAACAACAATGCGACGCAGCCTGCGACGGGAGGAGGGTTGTTTGGAAATAGCACTCTTGGGCAGCCTGCTCAACAACAGACTGGGTTCGGCGGAGGTTTGTTTGGGAAACCAGCGGCACCTTTGGGGACCACACCTTCCACCGGAGGGGGGTTGTTCGGCAGCACCGCGACCAACGCTGCGGCGTCGACTGCAGCACCGGCCCAAGGCACTCTCACTGCTTCCATCGCCCAACCAATCGGCTCGAACTTGCCGATCTTCAACATGCTTCCTCCTGGTCCCCGGCTGGTCGACTTGGACCAATCTCAACCGAAGAAAAAGCCGCCGTTCTTCGTAGACGTACCTACGCGATCGCCTATACCCCGTGTCTCTCAGAGTTTCGCACCTGCGAGCTCCAAACTCCGTGGCTTTGGATCGTCTATCGCGGGCCAGAGCACCTCGGGCAATCCATTCGCCAACACTAATGGGGTTTCTTTCCTCAATGGCAAGCCCGGTGCCCTTGCCATTACTGATGGACGATCGACATCTGTCGGTCCCGACTCTTTCCTAGGACGCAGCGGTAGCCCCGCCTTGGGAAGCGGTTCGCGACAGAGCGTCAAGAAGGTTATCCTTGACAAAAAGGTGGAACCTTCACAGTTGTTCGTCAAGTCAGGTAGCCCAGGCATCCCCGGTGGGAAGATCGTTTTCAGTCCTGCTCTGAGCATCGCGGCCCGAGAAAAGGAAGCCGCTGCTGCAAAGGCAGCTGCAGCCGCGACGGCTTCGCCTACCCCCTCGAGAACGCAACCACGCAGTCCCAAACGATTCACTGCCAATAGCACCAAGAACATCACCGGAGACGCCTCGACGTTGGAGGAAGGGGATTACTATGTGAAACCCGATCTGACTTCGTTGAAGAAACTCGGCTACGACCAACTCTCGTCGTTCGAGGGTCTCGTGGTTGGACGAGTTGGATATGGAGAGATCGAATTCCTGGAGCCGGTTGACCTTACTGGTCTTCCCAAACTGAGTGCTCTCTTAGGCGATGTGATTCACTTTGATGAAAAGGAATGCAGCGTCTACCCGGATAGCGACGATGCGGATAAACCTCCACCAGGATCCGGATTGAACGTCAAGGCTCGGTTGACTTTGGAGAAGTGTTGGGCTGTGGACAAGGCCACCCGGGAGCCCATCAAGGATCCAAATCACCCAAGTGTGGTCAAGCACTTGAAGAGGCTGAAGAACATGAAGGAGACGCACTTTGAAGGTTTCGATATGAATACCGGGAAATGGACGTTCTCCGTTGACCATTTCTAATCCCCTGGCCTGGCAGTGGCTGTTTTCGTCGTGGCTCAGCGTAAAGCCCTCAATGCCGTATGTCCTCCGCTGTCTCCCGCTGTCTCGTGCTCTTCTTATTCATCTTCTCGCGTACATTCGAATGAAGGTTTGATGACCCCGTGTTGTTCTATTCATTCTTTCGGCTAGTTTATACGACTTGATCCTGTTGTGTCTGATTCTAGGATATAGTACCGTATACACCCCTTTTTGCTTCCGTTTTTGAGTTCTACTGTTCTGCCTCAAGACTGTGCTCGTCATTTTCTGTAATACATACGACTGTATAGGCAACATATGACCAAGGACACTACGAATTTACATTGGAAGCCATTTGATTGGTTGGGCCGTGGGCCAATAGAACCAGGAATTCCGAATAACAAGTGCTCTAGACGCGGTGTACTACGAATTGACGCGTGTTCTTGGAAGACTGAATCGGGGATTCTCGGCGTTTTGTGATGACAAATACGTAGACAGTGAAATCATCGGCCCCAGCCAGACCCCCAGCACGATCCCGTTGCGTTATAAACTCCATTCTCTTTTTCTTTTCAAACTCCCAACTTTACTCCCACATTAGTCCTTTGCTGCCTCCCCGCTCTTCTACCCAACAATGAAGGCAAGTCGTCTCAGTTTGATTTTAGACGGGGAGCAGTCGACTAATTGTAGTCTTTCTATAGCTTGTGACTCAAGAACAGTTCGATGCGCACGCAGCCGCCTCGAGGAAAGGCGCTACGGAAGGAGGCATCGCCAGTGGAATCGTCGCACTGGCCGGCTCGTACTGGGCCCACAAGCGATACCCGGCCTACCGCAAACTCCCCTTCTCCTTGAAAGCACTCGGTGCCGTCATTATTGTTGCGCCATGTATCGCCATTCAGGCTGAGCGAAGAGGTCTCGAGTACGACCGATCCCAATGGTGCGTCTCCTATGTTTAAGTCTAAATCGAATTCCATGTCATTTATTTCTGTTAAACAGGGAAGGCGAAGGTTCCCGAATCCTCGACCAGAAGGAAGTCGAAGCCGCCAAACGATGGGACAAGATGTCTTTCGGCGAAAAGCTCGGCGATTGGTCATTCCGACACCAGTACACACTCATCCTCGGTGGATGGGCCGGCAGTTTGGCCCTCGCTGGTGGCATCATCTCTCGCAACAAGTACCAGACATATCCTCAAAAGGTCTGGGCCCTCCTTTCCCTTTCTCCCTTGTCTCCCATCTGTTTCTGATCAAACGCCTCTTGTTTCTGCTAGATCGTGCAAGCTCGTATGTGGGCTCAGGGATTAACGATTGGTCTCTTGATCGTTGCTGGTGCTTTGACTCAACGAAGACGGGCTGCCTTGGCTGAGAACAACCTCGATCACTCCTGGAAGGATGTCCTCGATCAGCAAGAACGTGATAAATTCCTCGCGGAGGAGTACAAAAAGTCGCATTCCACTGCCGGTGGTTCCGCCGTTGCTGTCGCTTGAACGATTCTGAACCGACTTTGGACGCATCTCTCTTGCCGCTTTTATGCTCTCATGGATGGTCTCCCTTTGGGGGAACACATTCGAATAACCACCATGGACGAAATCCCATGATCTTTTTGGATCGTAGACGGTAGACTGCTATCTTTATCAAACAGTCATTCATCATTTATTGTATCATAGCAAGCTGCATTTAATCTGTATGTATTACAAGTCATTCGTTTGTTCAATCTCCACTTTTTCTCCACTTTCCACTCGCTTGTTGTCAAGGTTCTTTGACGTGATGTAAGTTCAGAACGGCACTTGAGTCACCAATAGAGGGAATGTGAGCGAAAGACTTGATTGTAATTAGACCCCATTTTTCCTCTGACGTGCACGAACGACAGCTTGCTAATTGTACATACAAGGCGCTAAAAATGCCAATTCTACCTATTAACGAGATCAAGAAAGCGAGAGAGAAAGAGAGGAAACATAAAGTATCTATGTATCGACTGTCCGTGAATCCCATTACGACATAGTAGAGAGAAAGGAAGTGATGCGAAGGGTGAGTATAGCAGGTAGAGTGGTAAGACGAAAAGTGAATCACGCGACAGCTGCAACCAATCCGGCTCTAGTGGAAAGTGCCCTGTCGAAAGGCCCCTTGACTTTCTCCAGTTTACTCCTCTCGTGCCGGCTGTCAGCAGCCAACCAAGGTGAGTAGAAGTTGATCGTGGTCCAGAGGAAGATGCGACTGTACTGCGATACGATCTTGTCATAGTCATCTATGATGCCATGAGTCTTCAAAGAACAATTGGAAGGATATAGCAAGAGAAACGTACGCTGAAGAGCGTTGCGGAGCTCCAACCATGTTTGAGTTACATCGGTGATGATAACGTTGACTTCCCAACGTACGGCCTACGGAGCTCGAAATGTAAGCGTCTGAAGTTTGAAAGGTAGCCTAAAAGGTTATCTTTGGAACGCACCTCCATCATGTGAGACGGCTCATTAACCGTCCACACCATAATGCTCTTCCCAGAAGCCTTGCATTCTTGTCTAAACCTGAATACCGGGTGCACGATCAATATCGGAAACAAATGAAGAGGCGGTAGAGGGGTTCGGAATGGCGAAACGGGCAAGACCCTGGAACGAGGTGGCAGGTAGATGCCACACCCTCCCAGAGATCCATCCGTTGAATTGGAAAAGAAGGATGTCTGCGAACATATGTTCGGAGAAAACGACCGCACCCCCTCCAAAAATACCAAAACCCCTAATGTGACTCACTTTTGTCCCTCTGTCCCAGTAAGAGCCGCGAAACTCATCGAAAACGTATCGCAATCGTCCCAGAAATACTTCTTCGCCAAAGCAACGCTGTTTCCGATGTACGAGCGTTTGCAATAAGGCAACCTCCTCTTTGCATGCTCCAAGAAACAAGGATGCCAGAGACCCAAGAGGATCCTCGGTGCCAAAAGCGTCTCCCAGTCAGGATGCGAACCACTGATGATTGTGTGCATCAGAGCGAATAGTCGGTCCGGGTCGTTCTGCACTTTAACGTCAACGTTGAATTTGACGTGCCGATTTTCGGGCTAAGGTGGAGAGAAAACGAGTTGTTAGCCATCCCGTTTCGCTAGTTGAGGAAAGTTTAATAAAGGGGCTCGGTGGATCAGGGAAGTTTTGAACGGAAGGCGTGTAAGTGGAAGACCATGTGTCAGGGGCAATGGAAGCCGTTACGTTGTGGTTGGCGGCAGGGGAATTTGTCGCAGTGGAGGCTCCAAAGGTACGCGAAGAGATTATGGTCGTGTGAGGCTTACCTTCATCAGTAGATCGATCGTCTCTGCAAAGGTGGGGATAGACTGCTTGGGTTCCTTGATGGTGCGAACATGTTCCATCCCAGCAGGGCCGTACCAGACGCGCTCCTTGATTTCACCTGACGGCGCCGTAGCAGTGATTAAAAATGGGGCCATGGGATTGTCTGTTGATAATTATATATACCTGTTGAATCGGTGGTCCGGTCCAAAGCTGAGATGGAGAAAGACACGTCAGTTCCATTGCATGACTCAAAGCGGTAGGGACAAGAGCGAGAGGCGGGGGCGACGTCCGTGCGCAACTGCAAAACGGCCGACGTCGCCAGCTCACAAGGATAGGGAGAGGGAACACACAACGCGTACTCACCCGGATCATGGAACATGATGACCACGTCGTCTTTGGAAACATGAACGTCTGGAGCGATGTTGGGTTATGTGCGTTTAAGATTTGACACGCCATAATATACCGCTTTCAATTCCTTCTGCGCCATCTCGAATGGCGGCTTCGAAGCTTGCGAGGGTGTTTTCCGGGAATCGCGACGAGGCCTGGGCTTGTTGTCAGACCAAGTTGGGGAAAGGGGTTGGGAATCGATGAACACGTACACCACGATGACCCCAGCAGTCTAGAAAATTGTCAGCATCGCTGAGGGGTAATTGGAGGATGACAGACGCGCACCTGGAAGGACCTGAGGGCGCTTGACGTTGGAGGAGATCCAAGAGAACATATCGAGAGTCTGAGAGGGTAGGGGGATGGTTGTCGACCTTGACGGTGACGACGTAGGGCAGAGCCTACGAGGGTAGGGTGGGGGGAAATGTGGGGTCAGGGAAAAGCCTCAAATGCTCCGTGGCTGGCTTTTATAATCTCGGAAGGGGTGGCCGTAAAAGGGACGATGAGATAAAAAGCCAAACGTGGACATCTTCGCCTGGTATGTATGTAAACCGACTTCGGTTCCGCACCCTTTTGCCTGTGCAAAAAATCGCCGCGATTTTTTCCCCGCCAGCGCGTTTCCCTCCTCCTGAGTCGTCCAAGTTCCGGTTGGCTGTTCGTATCAAGGTACCGCTGGTGTTTGACATGAATTTGAGTGTGCAAAAGGGTTTATTCACCCCTTGGACCGAGCGCCGTGTCGACGAGGGGCGGCGCCAATGAAGTTGACAAAAAGGAGCGTCGATCCCATATTTGGTGTGTTTTTGTCTCCAATGGTAACTGCGTCGCTCGGAAGGGCCCAACCTGTACCCAAATCCAATTTTTTTCTCCTCGATCGCGGAACGTGGCTATTGCTGTGCGGAACCAACTTCAAACGTGCGCCGACATTTGAACGAATGTGCAACGAACTAAGAATAACCTAGAATGTCGCAGAGTCGGCTTTGGAGGCCAAGTTTGGTCAAAGCAGGATATGATGCAAGTCAAGACAGGTCTGTAGTCCACTTTGGAAGTTTGCGATCGCATGTGCGACCTCCAGTTACCAGGTTTCGTCCGGTTCTTTCCTTCTGTTCTTCCGAGATAACGAGGAACAACGAAAAGGTAATGCTCCGTTGAAATTCGTCATTTCCCAGAAGAGAAAGATACAAGAGTCAGTGAGGGGAGAAAGCAAAAGATGATCATCAAGATGTCCCTCACCGGATGTTGTCGCATGGATGCAAACCCCGCAATTCATAAACGTTCCTCGAGGGCACCCATGAGGCTAAACTACGAAGCCATATGAGATTATTCGTGAGGTCATGAATTACAGATTGAGGTATTATCCGAAATCGAATGGGATGTAGAGGGATATATGTAATAGGCCAGTAGTAACTCCTCAATACCTCTAAAAAGGTTCGGGGCGTCTAGCATCACTGTCACTGCTGACTCGGGCGGCCGACAAGGATCATCCCCTCGTCTTCCTCGGTCTCTGCGCCATTGTCCGACCGTTCACGCGAAAGTGAAGCAACTGAGGACGACAATGAGACTGAAGAGCTGCCAAAATCCAATCCCGAGATACCTGAAATGTCGGAGCTGGGGGTTTCTGGGGATACAGATGGTGGGCTGGCCTTTTCTTGCTCGGATGACGCGGCGATAGTCTGAGGCTGCTTGCGATCCTTCTCGTTGGAGTCTGGCCGAGATATTTCTCGCAATGCACCTTCCATGACTTCGTGTACGCGAACAGCCAGAGAACTGGCATCCGCAGCAGTCAAACCAACGGTTGGAATGGGTGGTAGGACTAAAGGAAGACGGTCAATTCCGCGGTACGTCTAATGACCTCACGACTTCTCTTACCCTTGACCTTGATAACTCCTTCTCCGAAGAACCCCTTATGGTACAAGTGGTGATAGTTCTCCGCAACTATGGGTACAATGGGAATGCCGGCGTTGATAGCAAGGTGGAATCCGCCCTTCTTCAAGGGAAGCATTTCGTTCTTCTCTGAAAGGTGTCGAGTTCCTTCTGGGAACATCCAGATGGATATTTTGAGTTTCTTGATGAGGTTCCCTGCGTCGTTCAAGGATTTCACTGCACGGGAGTTGTTTCCTCGATCGATGAATACAGCGCCAGACATGGTCATGAAGGGGCCCAAAGGTGAGAATTGGAGGGACTTTTTGGAGACGATGGAAGCTTGTTTTGGGAATAACCTGCAGGGCCCGATGAGCAAGGGAAGTTGAGTTCTGCATGAACGAATCACTCACCGACCGAGAATCAGGATATCCAGGAAACTTTGGTGATTCGCCATCATAACCGAAGGTCGTGAACTCAAATACTCCTCTCCCTCGACTTCAACACGGACATTGAGGGCCCGGCTTGCAGTTTCGTAGAAGAACCGCGCGACCCAGTGGTTAACGTCGTGTTTCTTGCCGAGGATATTGAACGTCGCTGCGATGAATATACTGCAGGATGCGACTGTGGCCATTGTACCTGCGTATGCGACTGAGCGCAGGTAGTAGCGAGCGAGTGGGGACGCCTGGGCCAACGACTTGAGGAGGAAGATTGGCACTGACATGTATGCCAGAGGCTTGAAAATGGATAATAGGAAGGACATGATTGCCTGCGACGAGAGAAGCCTCTGAACGACGTTTAAATTCGCGAGGTACGGCGCTTTGACGCTATACCCAGCGACGACGAGGGCGTTCTTGGTGAGAAGGTTGTGTGACAATGCTGAAGTCGTTGCGCACGCTTGCCGGCGTCAGTAGCCTTGAGGATTTCGGAAACAGCCTGATTTTAGGTTCCTTGCGCCATTGTTGCCGAGGCCTTGAATTCACTCATAAAGCATTTTGCCTCCAACTTTTGCCCCACGACAACGTCAAATCCCCAACAATTCGTAATTTCACGAGCAACAACGAGCTCTCTGTCCCATATGCCGCCAAAATCCCATGATTCCCGTTCTCAAACCACGGTTCGCGGTATTTCGTTCATGGACCGTTGCACCAACTGTTCGTCGTTGCTGAGCCTCATCCAGGGCGAACTCCGGCGTCCAAACCCTTGAATGCCTCGACGATTAGCTCGAGTGCAAAGGCTAGGGCACCATCCAATGTATCCGAGAAACAGCCGAGAACGAACTCGAAACCGCCAGTTGTTTCGACCTCTACATCGAAACCCCCACCTGCCCAGCGTACAGTAACGCGTTCCGGGTCTCGTCCAAAGGTTACTAAAGTTGAATCATATACTGTAAAGTTGGGGAACTCGAGTTCTCGAGCACAACCGCAACCCTCGACCTCTGTCTGTTCTCATCTCCCATCGCTGTTATTCAGGAACACTGACCGTTCGATTCGAATAGAATCCGCCACCTCCGGAGCCCAAGCCATCCGTATCCAGCGACGTGCCTCCGGAAAAGGCACCAGCAGGCGATCCCTTGCAGATCGCTGCTCAGGCCTACCCATGGATGTACATGGCATCGACCCTCGAGGCATGCTTTAACAACTCTGAAGAATCTGCCTTGGTGAATATTCCTAGCGGTGGGCCCTTTAACGATCTAACCGCTGTACGATTTCAGAAAATCTTGCATGAGAAGGAGAAAGAAGTAAAGGCTGCCGAATCAGACGTCCAGGAACAACAGACTCGTCTCGATGCGCAGCGGGCCATTGAGTTCTATGACGAATTGGAATCGGACAAGGTATGACTGGTGTGCATTATGTCTTACGAATGTTGTAACTAATCCCTCTCAGTTTGCTAAAGCCGCACCTGCCATCATGAAGTCGTTCCAGGCTCATGGTGACGCCTGTGCTAAGGCAGAGAGAGAGGCTCTTGAATTGGCCATGAAGGGTACGACTCCTGACCCCGAAGACGAGGCACCCCTGCAGCCCTACTACGACATGCTTGAGAATCTAGGTACGTGCGCCTCTCGGACATTCTCGTCCTCACCCCATCCCTGAAACTGCAGAGCAACTCCATTCCGATGCTCTAAACCTCGAGTCGTCGATCCTCGAACTAGCATCCGAGTTCAAAGAAGAGGGCGCAGCTGATGACGGAAAGGAGGAGAGCGAGGGTAGTGACCTCCCCTGGGCTCGGTCAAGGCTTCTAGGAGCTATCAACGCGTGTCTACCCGTTATCCGTGCTCGGATTTCCAACCTTTCAATGGCGCAAGAGCTTATTGATAGTGCACAGGAGAATGTTAGTATCAGTCTTCGCATGGAGAGCCTTGGACTTGAGTAGGAGTCGCGGCGGTGACGAACATCCATCATGGAGACACTTATACCCTGCCCTTTTATCGAGATGCAATGGAAATTGGAAACGTGCATTGTGACTTCGATTGTAGTAACACGTGGATGTAATACGCAGCATTCTCCTTTATTATAATGGCATTATATTGTCAAAGCGTCTTTGACTCGGTCTGCTTTCGTCTGGCGCACTCGGGGCGACCGTTACTATCGCGATTCTCGCCCAATCCAAGTATGAAGGGGCGTACGATCGAGCGGCTAGAAATTCAGTGTGAAATGGCCCCAAACATGACGGGGTTTTACAGAAGTCTTCTAACATCATAGGAGGGCAGTTCTGTTTCGGGAGTAGGAAGGGATGACAGTCGACACCTGGATAGGTCGCGAATGTTTTCGACTGTAAAGCTGAATCAAGCACTACATGCGAACATATTGGATATATCCCAGGATTAGAGAAGGTGAGTCGCCCACTCCCAGTGCTCCAGTGAGCTTCGAGCCTGGTCCCGTTCGACTGTCAATCGATTACGGTCGTCATGACGTCTTGTTGGCCGTTCTACTATCTAATTGGGGATGGATAATACTGTGAGAAATACTCGAGTGGAAGTTGTCCCCTAATTACATAGATGTCTAGCTCCCGACAAGGCACTCCGAACAGCGCAAGAACTTGAATGTTCAAGGACTCGGAGAATTATCACCGATACAAATGGGGTCGGATTGCTAGATACGTTATCACACATACACTCTAACTGCACATGCTTGAATGGAACCTCTCGAGATGGGCATCTTGAAACTGATCGAGCTCCTAAGTGAGCCGCGACAGGGTGAGGGATGGCAACGAAGGGATGCTGTAGTTAAAGGTCCAGGCTGACTTTACTGATGCTCTTTTACTACAGTAAGAGTCCCCCATAGCTCCTTTGACACATATATACCTTAGATTCAGTCCATTCAAACCCATAAAAAGCCAACTTAATAGACAAGAGAGCAACGAAGGTGTGAGATGGGATCCTAGGCCCACTGATTGAAAATAGAAATTTGATGTCCATTTCGGGAAATTGTAGTTGTCCGGCGATTTTCCATCGTCAAAGAGAGTTAGAACAGCGTCGTCTTGCTGGCGATACAAAAGACGTACGTTGTGCACTTGTACTTGTACTGTGCGGTGCGTGAAAACTTCGCCATCGGTCTTTCGTTGTGCCTGTCGTCTGTTGGTGCCTCCATATGACAAGTGACATTCCGGCGATCGCGCCGACCCCTCCGCAACAGTCTACAACCTGTAAATCTCTAGAACCCCGCACATACTCGTTTGTACTGTGACCTCTCCGGCAACAACTCTGTCCCTCACTTTATCTTTCTCTTTAACACTCGCTCCGAAAACGAGGCAAAGTCCATCCAGGTGATTACGATCAGCGATGACATAGCTCTTGCCAGATCGGTATACCGTATTTAAAGTCGAATTTTACAGCCTTTCCTCGCAGGACACCGTACTCGCTTTTTTACCCCGCACACGTCCACCTCATCCAATCTCGACAAGTAACAAGCGAAGTTGTATTGGGTGAGCAGCATTGAAGACACGGAGAAACAGAAAACGCGTCGCTTGGCTAGAATGACGCGGTGCAATGGTGGTCGTATGAACGGAAAATCTGCCTCGTGTTGGTCTTCCATTCTCCTCGACCTTATCGATGCAAGATATGCACCACGCTGGTGGATGTGTTTACCGCAGTTTATCACCGACCTCCCTGCGACCCCATCTTGAGGCAGTATCTCAACTTTAGCTGGAAAAGACGGGCATTCCTGTGGACTTTTGCGCTTCCTCTCCAGCCGTGGTCCTCCCTGCGCCTGGTTGTTCTACCAGGGGGACATCGTGAAGGCCTGTATTTTCGTTATACGACTTTACGTCGGATAAATATTCTGTGCAGTAATAGGATATTCACGCATCGATGATGAAATAGAAAGAGTTGACGCGCTTGTGATTGAAAACGGTCCTTGGCTTGTTCTGCAACCGGAGAGGTGGAATTGAGGGGCCTGGGGGGGTATCTCGGAGGGACAATTCGAGCTTAGCGCTTGGCCCGGCTGGATTAATTCGCGGCTCCAGTGGAAATAAATGATTTAATGATTGCATAAATAAACAGCTCAAACAGCTTTTTGTCTTCCGTCACGATGGCCATTCTTTACATACATGCGCTGGCTCAGCCACGGTTATTCCTTTCTTCTTAACCTTCACCATGTCCTCCGTCCACACTGTTTGCTCGTCGCCGCCCCGGATCCTCAGCGTCTTTAGTCCTCAAAGGCAATTCCCTCATGATCATCAAGATGGATACGGCTGTTCTGCTGGACTTGAGGGTCTCTTGGGGTTCAACAACGCGGCGAGCGCCATTTGTTCTTGCTGATTCTGGGCGACGATATGCTTTTCTTGCAACAATGGAGGGGGAACAATGCAACACAACGTTCAGTCGTCCCTCATTGTCGTCGACGCTCTTCGACGCACCCATGAAAAGAACGAGCAGCGGGCCGCACGTGCCCGGGTAGACAAACAACAGGCGGAGTCTGAAATGACTTCCTAAGAAGGAAAGTGTTATGTTGATTCGATGAATGGGCTGGTCTGTGCGTGGGAAACAAGATCCGGGGGTTGGTGGAAATTCGAGAGATTTGTAGTCGGCGGTCCCGAGTTGGAGTCCGCACATCTTCCTTCATCACATACCCACTCGATCGCACCCCCGACGCTCAACGTCTTTTTCCCTGTCGTCGTAGTCGCCGGCGTCCAGCTCGTCGTCTCTCACGACATCAAGCATATTATTTACCCGCTGTTCGTCGTTCGAAGCCCAGTGCGACCAGTCCATCGTCACGTCTCACGCGTCGTCCCTTCTCCATTTACAACGCGCTCCACCCATTCCCGGCCGCCATCCGCTCCTTTCGTCAACACAGGCAACACAATCACTACTACTATTGCTCTCAACATCGTCGGCACTCTGCTCGCCCGTTGTTGATGTGCTAAATATTCCCTACCCCGCGAAACAACTTTTTCTGTATCTCTATCCCCACAACCGTTGCCCACACTGGCGGCCTCAACAGCGACTACCCAGCCTTTGCACCAGCAGGACGAGGACTTTATCAACAGGTCCTTGCTCGACTCGCTTGACGCCCAAGCCGACGCTGATCCTGGTCATTCCTCGAGCGACGCCGAGCAAACCGGACCATCGTCGTTCAAACCAGCATCCGACTCATCATCTAATTCATCTTCTGTAGCATATTCTATTCCCCTGCATTCCCATCATCACCAGCATATGTCTCGCACTGAATCTCCCTCTGAACACGGCCTCCACCAACTCCATTCCCAGGACGCCCAATTCAACACTCATCAACTAGCAGCAGCATCTCTATACAGTCACGCAAATAACATGCATATCCAACCGGACTACCCTAATGAATACGAGACGACCAAGCTGCCCCCGCAGCACGCAGGACGATTGAACGGGTTCGGTACCGCCAACAACTTCCGTGCATCATTCAACGCCTTCCCCAACGCTAATCGCACACAAGTCAATCCATCTGCCATCGGCGCTACCTCTCTTCGCGATACCAGCAATTTCTATCCCACCTCAGCAGATGTGTTCCCCGCACAGGTAACCTCGCCCATCCAAACGCACATGCAGCAGTTTGAGGCTAACCCCAGCTTCGAGTTCGGCGGCCACAAGGGTTTCATCGAGAACTTCAGCCCCAACGGTCCCATGCTCCCTCACCACGGAGGCAGGCCGAGCATCAGTCATGCTCAGCACCAGGCTCATCACAAGTTCACCGCGAACCATCAGTTCGGTGGTGGTGTTCAGTTGACATCCCAAACCCCCTATGGGCCCCATCTTCCGGCCGTCGGAATGAACAACGCTGGGAACCAGTCGCAAGGGTCCAACACCCAATCTTCCCGAGATGCAGGCAACTCCAACGCCGGCAACACCGCCAATCAGGAGGAAATTTCGACCATCTTCGTCGTCGGCTTTCCCGAAGATATGCAGGTACGCATCGACTCATCTTACGTTTGTGACACATTCGCTGACTGATCGTTCCAGGAACGGGAATTCCAGAACATGTTTACCTTCTCTGCCGGCTTTGAAGCTGCCACGTTGAAGATTCCAAACAAGGAATACACCGCCTATGGGGCCAATGCGCTTCGCGGATTCCCAGGCTATAATGGGTCCAATGATCCTTACAATCTTGTGACCGTTAACCAAGGTGGCGTCGTGGTCGATAATGGGCGCGACGGTACCATGTCGTCTTGGCCTGCCGTGGTCGGAGACGATGGGCCTGGGAACCACTTCGTCGGCGTCAACCTTCCCCCTCGAAAGCAGATCATTGGCTTTGCGAAGTTCAAGTCACGTGAGGCTGCTTTGGAAGCGAGAGATGTGCTTCAGGGGCGACGTGTTGACATCGAGAAGGGCGCGGTTCTCAAAGCAGAGATGGCGAAGAAGAACCTTCACACCAAACGTGGTGTTGGCCCCGTTGCTGGGCCTGCTGCCCCCGGACCCATCAATGCATCCAACTCGATGCAGAACAATGCGCACGGACCATTGTCCACACATCACAACAACGAATCGTTTGCTCTACCAGGCGACACCTTCCCTCCCCGCGACCTTCCCCTTGGCGGTATTGACCTCGGTCGCCTTGGTACATTCCGCGACCAGTTGCAGAAGGACGTCCACGCCATCACTAACGGCATCGGGTCTGCTCAGTCCACCGAGTTTCACCCGAGAAAGGATCGTGAAGATGAAGAGTATCGCAGGAATCAGCGAGACAGCATTTACAACGCAATGGGGTTCACCGGGTCGACCCTTGGACAATCGGCGACCCGCGGTCCGCGCGAACGTGCTGAAGAGGAGGAAAGGGAGCGTCGTCGTAAGGAGAAGGAGGCTCGTCTTCGCGCAAACAATTCGACTGCATTCGACGCCTTCCATTCCGTCCCAGCAGGCAATGCTCCAGCCCTGTCGCGACAGAACTCGGGCTTGAATGGCATCGCCAACGAGGGTACTCTGCTCGCTCCGATGCAGAGTGGTTCTGGTCTTGGATCAAGCCCCTTGCTCTCCAACTCGTTCACCCCCAGCGCACACGACGAAGTTGTTGGACCTTGGGACAAGATTCCGAACATTGCTAACGGTATCTCGAGACCGCGGTCGTCTTCCCAGCGCTCCGTCTCTCCCCCTGATCTTCACGATCGACGAGATTCTCACTATTCCCCGCCGACTGACTCCGCTCTGGAACAAACTGGTCGTCAGCATCGAGGCACCTCAGAGTCCAGCGCTTCAAGCGTTGTAGGCGCTCACTCGGCCGGTGTTATTGGGGGAGGCACTTCTGTCGGCAGTAACGGAAGTGAGCAAGACCTTAACAAGGCTATGAAGGACCTCGCCCTCGACACGGCGAATGGTACCACCTCACCGCAGTTACCGTCGCCTGCTTCTGGTGCTAGCTCCCAGGGCACCAAGGGTGCGATCGACCAAAATCCACCGGTATGTTGCAGTGCTTCTCTTTCTTCGGGTTACCATACTAAGCCTCCGCATTAGATCAATACGCTCTATGTTGGCAACCTCCCCGCACCGTCTCCTTCCATCGGCTTCTCGAACGATCAATTGGAGGATGCCATTCGCCAGTTGTTCATGGCCCAGCCAGGCTATAGGCGGTTGGTTTTCCGACAGAAGAATAATGGCCCCATGTGCTTCGTCGAGGTAGGCATAATGTTCTGCCAAGTGCAAGATCTTTCTCTGACGTTATCCTTATAGTTTGAAGACGTTCACTTCGCTACCAGAGCTCTAAACGAGCTGTATGGTCATACCCTAGGTGGCCTTGTCAAGAGTGGTGGCATCCGACTTTCATACAGCAAGAATCCCCTTGGTGTGCGAACGCCAACCAGCGCCGGTGGTAACAACAACTCGTTCCAACACCAGCAGGCAATGCAATCCCTCACGTTCCAGTCAGACGCCTTCCAGTCGCGTGGTGGAGAAGAACACGGCTCCCAGCCTCACATCTCCCGTCGAGATACTGGTGGCCCTTTTGGAAACAGCTTCTTGACATCACCGCCACCCCGCTTCACTTCGCCACCGATGCATTCATTCGGTCAGACATCGTTGACGAACGCGCCTAACTCCTTCGGTTTACGGACCAATGGAGGCAGTCTCTCCAGCTTGTATTCATTCTCCCTCGCTGGGGCCGGGGCGTTAGGCAACTCAGCGTCGTCAACGAACTTCTCTCCTTTTGGAATCTCAAGCCCTCCTACTATACCCGAGCATCATTCAAGCTCAGACGAACCTGCATTGCATTCTCATCATTTTGGTCATCGCACACTGTCGCCACCCGTCAACGTAGAGGCTGCTAGAGCCGGTTGAACGTGGTGGAGGTGGTGGTCATAGCTTTCCCTTCTCCATTTCGTCAACTCATCAACCAGCAACATCGTTTCAACGCATCCAAGTTTTCGCAAGCCCGCATACATCCTGCAACCTGCAATATATCTATGTACCGACTAACAATATTTGCTTTTCCATCTTCGACTTTGCATATCGTATGTTTAACATATTTTCTCCGTGATCTGTTTTCCTTCCCACCTTTCGTCGTTCATGTTGTCTGGACAGTGTTTTATTACCGCACCTCTCTCTCCACTCCTAGTCTGCTCCATTGACTTATAACCCCTCGTGTCGCAATAGTTCTTTATTCTTACATACGTTTCGTCCCACTCTTCATATAGCTGCTTTCCCATTCGATCTTTTCTTCCTGTGTTGTTTATTTACTACTTTGCCCACGTTCACGGCGTTTGAGCCGCTCTATCGCATCTGCACTTCCACTATTCTACAACTGTTTGTATTACCATGCCCCCAAAGCCCAAAGGAGTACCGTTCCCTCGTAATTCATCTCGCTATCCTGCCGTTCTCAAATGTTACTCGTTTTGTGCTTTCTTGTCGAAAATCAGTCGGATCGTTTCAGTCAAAGATTATGATGTGATCGAAAGGCAAGAAAGCGCGGCGAAGTATCGTAAGTATGTAGATGGTATTAGAGTCAACATTAGAATGTCTATAGCTGTTCTAAATGCTAGGCAGGCAATAGTAAGAGAGGAGTGCGTAGTAAAGAGATTTTGACTAGCTGGACTGTAGTGAGGGGTTTACTCGACGTCATGAACGACGTTCAAAGAGATAGGTGCGGGAGGGTTGGCTTCAAAGTTCTCCATGGAAGATTCGACCTTTGATTGATCACCAACCACTTCCTCAGGGTCAGAAGGAGCGCCAGCACCCTCAGCTTGAGGCTGAGAAGCCGGGAATTCACGCGCCTCAGCCTCACATCTATCGCACCCACAAGCAAATTTCCAGCCACGGGCCAACTCAACGCGGCGTCGGCGTTTGCATTCCGCGACGGACTCGTCAGGGTGCTGGTTGACATCGACGAAGGCGATGGTAACGACGTCGCCCTTTTTAAGGTCGCGATTGGCGACGAGGTGGAGTTCGGTTGTTCCGGAGCTGAAGGAGACGCGTGCGGAAGGGTCGCAAGAATGGGTGAGGTAGCTCGAGACGGTGTAGACTGCGCTGCCGATTTGACGAGAGGTTCCGTAGGGGGTACGGGTCTTCTCGACTTCCTCGGGGCGAACCTCTGGGGCGGGCTGTTGATGGTGCTGTTAGCATGTTGCTACTTGGCTGTATAGATATGCAAGCGTACCCTATCATCACGACCACCGTTGAAGCAGACACCGAATGCGTTGTAGGCCATTTTTCCCGACAAAATGGCATACCGTTCCTCCGTAGTAAACTGATCCAAACCCGGCAACGTCTGCTTCAGCAAGTCGGTGATTAAAGACATCTCTCCCTCGGGAGGAACCACGTCCATGAATCTCCACCTCTCCAAATGGTCAGCCAACTGATAATCACCGTCCTCAGCGTTGACATAATCGTTCTCTTCCGATCCAGATCCGGGAGTGGAAGGCGAGGGTTTGGCACCAATTCCTGAAGCGAGACTAGCGAGTCTGTTGGTCTCGGCCACGATTTGACGAGCGATGAACCTGGCAGCGACGAGTGGGAGGTTTCGGTTAGACGACTTGAGGTAGTCGTAGAACTTTTGTTGGGCTGCTTGGCGTCCGGCTGAGTCGAGCATATCAGGCATGGGGCCGGCGAGGAGTTCTTTAGGGAGAGGAGATTCGTCAGTGAAGAGGAGAGCATGACCGCGAGTCTTGGAAGCAACGAGACAGGATTTGGAGCAGTAGGCGGAGGGCATGATTTTAGAGACATTTTCGTCGGTGATGGAGAGGCCGGGTTCGATGACACGGAAGCAGTGTGTGCAGTGGGTTCCAGCAATTTGTAGATCGCTGTCGAGAACGGCGACGATGGGGTGTTCCTGATAACAGGTATTAGGATCCTTACGTGACGGTAGATGTCGGACATGTGTATACCTTATAGATAGTTTCACCGGCGGCGAAATCACGGTTGACAACCAAGACTTTACGAGGCCCTTTCATAGCAGTCGAGGTTTGCTGGTCGACGACAGAGACATTCATCGATTTAGGCGGGAAGACATCATAGTATCCTGCAAACAGGGTTGTTGAGCCATCGCCAAATCGTGTCCAGATCCTCAAGGCGACGTACCAGTGACACGGGCGACGACCTGTTGAAACGAGACGATTGTGCGCGCAAAGGGAGGAGAGGTGTGTATTAGAACGTGTTGCAACAGATGAATGAATGCAAAGCGAAACAATAGATAGCGAAGCGCAGGGAGGATTAGAGTATAAATTATTAAAATGGGTGTCTTTTTTACATGCAAGCGGTAGCCCCCCGCGTTCCTTCCATCCATCCATCGGTCCAGGATTAACGGACAGGATGTGAAGAGCTGGCTGGTTCTATGACTGGGTCTGCGAGTCTGCGTCGGTGACCTTGTCCCATTCCTGAGACGAAGCCTCTGAGGCCTCTGAAGGTGGGGTTTTGGGGCTCTTCCATGGACTCGATGGGTTCGAATTCACATCCTCGTCGATAGTCTCCTCCACAACAATCCGGGTGGGGCGCACGGGAGGCGAAGGAGGTGAACTTACGTCCATATTGGTCATCTCCAGAACAAGCTACGGGAAGCAAGTTAGAAAGACAGGAGACAGGGAACGGGAGGCAGGACGTACCTTGAAGACAGGAGCCGGGACAGTCTTTTCATAAATACCAATGAGCTCGGCAGGTGCAGGATAGATCCTAAGCGCCCGGAAGAAAGCGATGGCTGCTGGCAGATGGAAAGTGGGACCTGAACGACGACACGACACGTCAGGTAAGCAACACATAGACCAGGGGATAATACATGTTTACGGACCCTGGGTAGCCAGCTGTTCACCCATGCTGACTTGCGCCATGAAATAATTCTCCCGGTCTTCCAACGGAACAGGCGGCTCGCTCCTGAGAGCCTCAAGCGCCTCCCTCAGCATCGCAGGCGAGACAGCAGACGCCGCTGCTTCAGCCTGCTGCGATGCAGCCAGCGACTTGTTGACGCGCTTCTTCTCTTTTTCTGCCACGAATATGAGCTGTCTGAAAATTTCGAACACGAAATGTGCCAACTCACTGAGTTTCTTGCGGAAGTCTGGGTCATTCCTGCGCTTGTAGTCAAAGTAGACTGCATAGGCAAGAACGCCGGTCGCGACGACGGCGGCGACAGTGAGGACCGTTGACCTTGACTCCATGGTTTGAGGAAGAAACCTTGTGACTGTGGTGTTGAACGGTAGACATCGCGTTGGCGTCACAGGTCGTATTTTCCGAAGTCCGCCGCTTAGTCAGGGTGATGGCAATGGTCACGAAGCGAGGACTGAGTGAACTCACGGATTTTGACATTGAGCACGTCCAACTCGTGTGCCTAGCGTGTTCCATCCATTTTCTGCCACATTTCAGGGCTCTTTTTTAGTTTATTTCTTTGTTCTGGAGGACGTCGACACCAGCGCCGGGCCGGGGTTAATCCATTCACAACCACCAAAGTACCCACGATCAGTGTTGAGTTCATTTTTCTACGCTGATCTCGTCTTAAATTCCCCGTCAGCTGTTGGCTATGAACAGTGTAGCCGACGGCCAGCCCATCCCTTTCGACCTCCAACGAACCAATGACGACACACACGACCAACAATTCGCTGCTACCTCAGCCCTGAACGTTGGTGACTCAACCCCATCACGAACCCCGACGACCGACACGATTTCCACCAATCCTACCAATGGCGAGCTTCAAACGTCGACAATGCCATCAGCCGATGAGGTAGCAATCTGTGGTTCGGGCACGGTATCGCCAGAGGATGCAGAGGGTATTCGTGTGGCAGCTCAGGAGGACAAAGACGAGCCGGAGATTGGTCCACAGCCAGCGATGCAGGAGCACATCAAGGAGGGTGGCGAAGCTGCGTCTCTCGACCATGTGGCCTCGCAAATGGAGTTGCTGGAGCATAATACGGACGCTATGATCGCTACAAACGGAGTGGTGGTTGAGGACGTTCAAGAATGGATGCCGGATGCGGATTGTGAACTCAAGCGGGTCAAGGTGCGCAAATCGACCGTAGGAGAAGCTTTGTTGGCTCATGGGCACAATATCGCAGGTTTACGAACTCGTTGGGTCACGCTGGGAAGATCAAGGAACCGCGTTCTGCTTTGGACAGTTCTCTGAAGACACAAGTGAAGCTCTGCTTATCGCTCGTTCGGAGAAGAACTACAACGATGTCGTTCTCTCCACCACCATTCGCTCGAACGACGTTTACCAGCGACAGCAAGGTACATCAATTATTATATCTCTGAGAGCGTCCTTTATGACATGAAATTAGAAACGCTCATCGTGTGGACCGAGCCGGATGGTGTCGATTATGCTCTCAGTTTCCAGGACCCTGAAGGATGTTCGGAAGTGTGGAATTTCATATTAGAGGTCCAACGTCATATGAACAACACAGGTGCATACCTTTCTTTGACACTTGTTGGAATATGACTGATCTTGGTTGAAAAACCAGACAACATCTCTTCCTCTCCACTTATAGGCTCAGAACTGTCGGTCACGGCTGCAAGCATATATCAATCTGGCGCACTCCCGCAGCCACGCATAGGCATCATTGGCGAAATAGAAAGGGCTATCAAGAACCTCGCTCGGCCACAGCAAATGAGGGAGCGGATATGCGAGCACATCGTCCACGAAGTTAGTAATCACTCCTCCCTTACCACCGTCCCAATTCTATACAGCTTTTGTCCTGCCCAGGGCCTGCTTGCACACTCCCAACCTATTTTTCAAGCCGTCACCTAGCTGGATACTCATTCCCATACCCAGGATTACATCAAACAGTTGATTGAAGTACACACCACCGCCGAGGATCTCGAAGACCTGGAGAATTTACATGCTCTTTGCAGCTTGATGCAAACAATCCGTTCGTGCCAACGCGTAACGAGTGATCAGGAATTGAAGCTAACCGTAGCGCCTTCATAGTTATGCTCAACGATCACAGCATGTACGAACACATTCTCGACGACGATCTCTTCTTTGGTGTAGTGGGCATGCTCGAATGTGTGCACATGTCCTTTTATGCAGTCTCTTATGGTACTGACCCGTCGTAACAGACGACCCTGATTTTCCGGACCACAAAGCCAACTATCGGGAATTTCTCAATCAGCAGTCACACTTCCATCAACCCATCCCTATCCGCGATGTCAGTATTCAACGCAAAATCCACCATACCTATCGGTTACAGTTCCTCAAAGACGTCGTCCTCGCCCGTGCCCTTGACGACTCTACCTTCAACGTTCTCAACTCTTGCATAATCTTCAACCAGATCGATATTATCCAGCACGTACAGCAGGATCCCGACTTCCTTTCAGATGTTGTCAGCCTATTTATTGATGGCACCTTGGTCTCGAACTCCAAGAAATCTGCTCAGTCATGTCCAGGTGCTCAGCAGCAAGGACACCTTCCTCCGAACCAAATCATAATTAGCCTGAACGGCTCACACGATGACCAGATGGACGTCGATCCTAAACCGGAGGAGCGGGCCTTTTCGAACGCCGCAACTCGGCAGTACTACCAAACCCACTACTCGTGGTCTCCCCCTGACAACATGTCCGAGGCTGAGATCAATCTTCGGAGAGAAGTCATCATCCTCATCCAACAACTCTGCATGATGGGCAAGAGTGTCCAGCTACCTGCACGGATGGCGTTGTTCCGGACGTTGGTCGAGCGGGGGATTCTGTTTGCGGTCCAGTGGGCTCTCTCGCTGTCGGAAAAAGAAGAGGCAAACAAGTCCATGATCAGCGCTGCCGGCGAGGTTCTATCGACATTGTTGGATCATGATCTTAACGGGGTCCGGAACCATTGCATGCGCCATGTGGACGCGATACTGACGGAGCGGGCGGCTGGAAAGAAGGGCGCAGACAAGGCGGAATCGTTGCTCGAACTGCTGTGCAAGATGATGGCGACTAGTCGGGATTTGGCTATTCAAAGTCAGGTTGGAGATGCCTTGAAAGCATGGCTTGAGGTGCCCCCTTTCAATGAACACCCTGCGGGCGGCGAGGTACGCATTTGATTTCTTCTCCTGCTGTTTCAATGTTAACACAGTATTTTAGGCCGCGGGACCGCCTAGACCTTCTCTGCGCAAAGATGGCGATGTCGGAGAACGATTCATCGACTACTTCTACAAAAACTGCGTCCATACGCTATTTAGACCTCTCCTCAACCTCACCGAGTGGAAGAACGTTCAAGGTATGGTGCCTGTACTATCCTTTGGGGAGCTGATGCCAACGTTGTGTTTGTTAGGCCCTTTACTGCCCCTCTTCCGGGAAGAGGCAACGAGATTTACCTACTTAGCCGACCTCCTACATCTATTCGTGGCTCAACACCAATTCCAAAGCCACCTCTTCGTCATTTCTACCAACATCCTATCACGTGTGGCCAGTCTCCTTAAAGCGAAAGACAAGCATCTCCGCCATGGTACGTTCCCTCGATCATTGCGCTTGGTTTGCCCTTAGTGAATATGTTCCTAGCTGCATTTCGTATCTTTCGCCTCCTCCTCAAAACCAACAATCCGACCACGTTCAACCACATGTGTAAACTCGACGTCTTTAAACCCATACTCGACCTCACGCTTCAAGAATCACGTCGCGATAATTTATTGAGCTGTTCATGTCATGAATTCTTCGAATCCATGCGACGTGTGAGTAGCCTCCATCGTCTAACCGTCCGGCAATGCTAATCTTCCATGTACGTTTAGGATAACATTAAAGACCTTATTAAATTCTGCATGATCCATCATGAAGCCGAGATCCGCCAATTGGCTAAAACGCCGCTCGGAAGCCAACGCTTTGAGCTGTTCATCCAGCGGTACGAAATCAATTGCGAGCCTCCGCCACCTCCTTCGCAAGGAGGGCCATCCGAAAGGTACTGTTTTCGGCCTTTCCGGAATCTCAAGAACTCGTCTGATCTTGAGCATCTTTCTATTTGTAGAACCGTCGATCCTCGAGCATGGGCAGGGCCAAGTCGTGGGATGCTGGATGCTGAGGAAGAAGACTACTTCAACGCCGACGATGACGACGACGCGAATGTCATTTCCGTCAACTTGCAATGGCAGCAGCAAAAACCGAACACACTTCTTTCCTCGGTGCCAATCAGTGGCATCAAACGGAAACGGAGACCTGGGATTTCTGCTGGAACGGCGGGAAGTGTTGGCAAGCCTGGTCCTCTAAAACCACCGCAGCTACGATCGCCTGGTCTTGGGTCTCTCTTGGACTACGACGACGATGACGAGGAGTCGCAGGAAGGTGAGAGCAAGGACGATACGCCGACTGAGGTGGCGATTCCTCCCACACCACACCTTTCCGCTGCTTCTCTACCCAAGAAACAAGAGCCCAAGCCATCGCAAGCAGAAGAGGACGACGACGACGACAGCCAGTTCTTCGAGTCTCTAAAGTCCGGGCCGCGGAGTCAATCTCCAGCACCACCGTCTGGGAGAAACACGCTCGCGCCTCTACGACTGGGAGAGAAGCGACGGCGAAATGAGGACGAAGACGAACTTTTGGAGCGGTTACGCAAGTCCAAAAAGCTCGACGCTGGTCCAGGCTCGAAAGACAGCGGTCAGGTTGCTGTGGGAGCCAATCGTGGTAAACCAGGCGACGATCCTCTCAAGAAGATCAAGGTGAAACTCGGGCCTACCGGTCTCTCTCTTGCGTTGGGGAAGCAGCCAACGCCAACAGAGAACAAGGACAAAGCGACCTCTCCGACAGAGTCGACTCCACCGACGAAGGACGGTGATACCGGCTAGGTTTTCCATCTCGGGCATGCTTCTCTATTCTTTTTTTATCGTGCTGCTTTCACCATATCGCTCCTTTCGTACTTCCTTTCGTTATCATGTGTTTTAGGGACAACGTGCACTTGCTTTGCTTTAAATACCTATAGTTCTACTCACCGTTTCCTGTGTCATAGACTTGCTTTCTTTCTGACTACTACTTACTCCCCACCTCTGCCGCCTTGTTCCGAGTCTCCATTTAATCGTGTTAAACTATTTGTACGTAGGGTTTTTCAGCGTGTTTCTTGTAGTCATGTTCTCTCTTTCATGTAGTACTACATGCGTTATGTAGCTTGCTCTGCCAGCTTTCTGGAAACGCTAATCGATTTTTTTTCTGAGGAAGAGGTGCGAGGGCGCGGGATTGCAAAGTCACGATAATTTCACAGGTCGAAATGTCCAACTATGGATTACAAGTGGATGGGACGGGCTATTAAAAGTACATAGTAAGCTAGGGATGCAACAGGGTAAGCTTGCTATCGGAACAGATATATGGAACACTGCGTTTGTTACAAAAAGGTTGGAAACGAAAGGAATTGACATATAAATATGCTATATCAAAAAATGTTATGCGGGTGGATCAAATACTACAAATGCGGGATGCATTACGGGGAAGCTGTTGAAAGGGTCACCGGGTTTGTTGGATGGGATAACATGGTAGAAGCACAACAAGCACGCGAATAAAAAAACAACGAATGATATGAAAGATAGGCAATAGTTGGCCGTCTGAAGCAGAGGAGTTGATTGAAATAAATACGATCGAGACCACACAAAACCAAAGTGAGACAGAACGACGGTGGAAGGGAGAGCGGGGTTATCACCGTCAACTTGATGCACAAACAAGCAGATAGGCCAGAAGGGATCAGGGATCTCCCTTACGATGCCAAACTTCTCCACATGCCAGAATCGGGAAGCACGCTCCTGGCCTGCAAGATCTTCAAAGCGCGCCTGCGGCCCCGAGTCGTGGATAGATAGGCCTCAATCCGTGCATCTTCCTCATCTTCGTCACTGCTGGTAGTATCTTCTTCTTCCTCGTATGTCCTGAAATCCATTAGACCAGGATCCATGGACCGCTCGCGATCTCGCTCAGCGTAGACGGCTTTGCGAATGGCAGTGGATGATGTATTTTGCTTCCCGTTGGCCGTTGGGGTGGCTTCTTGTTCTTCCTGGTGCTGTTGTGCGATGGCTGACTGGGGCTGGTAGGATGCGAGGCTGAGCGGCGGTTTCGTCGTTGTCTTCATGTGGATTTGGATGGGGGCAGAACCTGGCACACCGACATAATGGTGAGAGTCAAAGAAATCTTTATACAATACGTCAGAGTCGTCAAAATTTCGCAGGTGGTTGTGCCCACCTCGTTCTGGAACAGAGCCTTGACCATTGGTCTTCCCCTTGATGCTAGTCGCAGATGACGCAGGCTTTCTGGAACTAGTTGAAACATCGATTCCGGCTTCCGTTGTGTCTCCGGTCTCTGTTTCGTTCTCTTCCGGTATGCTTGTTGGTTCAACGGTATGCCCACGAGTGAAGCTTTGCCAATGCCTGCCATCCGCGCTCCAGGCACCTCGCTGATTGGCTGCATCTAAAGTAAAAAGTCATGATATTCTCAATCGGGTGAAACTGCATCTGAGGTGTATTGGCCATACCTTTGGGAGGTGAAAGAGTGGCCTTGGACCCGTTCATCCGAGGAGGACGGCGACCCGCAAGCGGGTTCGACTGGTGAGGCAGTGATAACATCAAGCCTCTTGTTGAAGATGAATCAACGCCGGGCGGACTCCGAATAGGACGTATGTGCGATGGAGCGGGGAGGGAGGAAGGGCGGAGACTGGCCAGTTCCTCGGGCATTACCTGTGGACGGGCTTTGCTTAGTCGGGCAGGCCTCGAATTGGTGGGCTGCTCGAGCAGAGGCAGTGCGGGGGCCGGCTGCTGTGGTCTCTTGTCATCTCCTTCCATGTCTTCCATGGGTCCAAATAACATTTCTGAAATAGATGAAACGTTAGACACCTGCTGCCAAGTCCAAAAATAGACTAGACTCGCCTTGGGCATCATCCTGTTCTTCCGTCTCAAGATCTTCTTCCTCCGTCTCCGCTTCCTTTCGGATGGTATGTACATCCGGCTCAACATCGAACGTGACTTTACGTTTGCCTTTGCCTTGTCTGCCTCGCGGAGGATCGGAATCCGCTGCTTTCTCGTCAGTAGATGTGGTGGCCTGGGCAGGAGCATTGGACGAAGACGTTGGGTTCTCTTGAGTGGCAGATGAGGTTCCAGCGGCTGATGTGGACTGGGTTGCACCAGATTCCTGTCTCGGTTTGCTCGCTTCTGCCTGGCGGGCAGCTTCCTCTCGTTGCTTTTTGGCACGGGCCATGTCTTCTTCCAAATTGACGAAGTAGCGATAGCTTGCCTGGGTGTTGATATCATCGTTTATATTACGACGGAATTGGAGTACGTTGATGCTGCCGTCTGTTGTAGGTTCTTGAACCAGGGTCGACGAGTCCGTGGACGACGCCTTGGGCGACTCTGTTCCTGGGGAGCCCGACCTTCGGGGCAATGACGTATCCCGTTGAGCTCTTGGATGATGGAATGTCGACGTTACCAACGAAGCCGAGAGAGCTGATGTTCGTGGAGGTGGGGAAGTTGCCAGCCTTGCAGGAACAGATACGGGAACAAAGTCCCGAATGACGAGGCTACCATGGGTTGGACTAACCGACCTGCCCGGCCTCCTTTCCCTGGATCGCGAGGATCGCCTTGCGACGCGGGGTAGATGGGGAACCTCGTCATGAACATCCTTCATGCTCTCGCGATACCTGCGCCAAACTGCCTCAACTTGTTTCCGAATAGTAGCATCACCTTGTTCAATTTCGACCGTCTTGCGTCGAATAATTTCCGCTACATATTCTTCTGCTGCTCGTCGGCGGAGTTGGGAATCCTGCTCCGCTAACTGGGCTAGATGCAGGAAGGCTGGGTGAGAAGGTGTGAACGGCGGAGGTGGCAAAACCTTCTTGACATGGGCGAAGTAGCTCGGCGGTTCCGCTGGGGCTGGGGAAGGAGAACGGGACCGTGGCGATAAGCTGCGGTTTCGACTTGCTGGAGCCGGTGGTGTCGGGGGTAGAGGCGGGACCACTAGGCTGAATAACGAGGAAAAGGCTGCGTCGGTCTCTGCTTGAGGAATGGCATCCCCAGTCTGTACAGCACGAACAATGCGTCAATAAACCATGTAATCAGTCGAAAAAGACCTCAAATGGACCAGAACTCGTAGAATAGAAGCGATTTCCCTTTGATAAGAAGCCTGAGATATGCTCATAGACGTACCAAAAGGTCTTTGTTGACTTGCACCCATCCGTTAGGACTCTTCATGACCTCCTTTTCGACATAGTCTTCAGCTGGCAGAATCGGTCCATCTTTTCCTTCGACGTCGGCCGGAACGATCTGGAAAATGCGATAGACTGGGATGTTGCACAACAGGCATTTGAGCGTCGTAAATCGTGAATATCGATTGCCTTCTGCAACTGTAGCGACGCGCTTTCGACTTCGGAGGGTGAGTTGAGGGTGTTTCTAACGGTTATTGCGACGACCATGAGCATTCATTTCCATGGAGTTGCCCTGGAGAACATACAATTTCGATCCCCTCTCCAACGTAGACCTGGGCGTAGGCGGGGTCGTCAACGGACTCCGGTGGCGCCGTTTCTGTGGTGGTGGTGCGAATGCGAACGTTCAAGCAACGACAGGCATATGTAATGCCATTGTTGCCAGCAACAGCGACGGGCATTGGTTCGTCGACGTTGTGGGCGGCGGTGGGGAGGGGCGGGTTTGGACGAGTTGGGTGTTGAGGGAAGAGTTCGACCTGAGCGGAGGGCGTTCCGATTCGGCTGTCCGGACCTTAGCGCGAAAACTCGTCACCCATTTATGACTTCAGCCACAAGTTTGATAGCGACTATATATCCCAAGTGACTACTACAGTAAATACACCGATATCACTCGGAAAACGGTTGACCAAGCACCCCGCGAAACCAGGTATGAAAGGCGGAGTTCCCTTTTCTTCCCATTTCCCCGAGGAATACGAACACAGCAAAAGCCTGTGTCTTATCATAGCTTGTTTACTGTGTCTTCTTCGACTCTATCTGCTCCGCAGCATCTACGTCCTCAGCCATCACTTGTCCGTATTCATTGACTCGTTTAGGGTCAATTCGGTATATCCATCGCTGCGAGGGAAACAGTCAGCCTCGATGAAATTAATTAACTCTTTCCCAAGGGCCGCGTACCTGGTAAAGGAAGATGAGAAAGACAACGTCGTCCCTAGGGTAAAAATCAGTGATCTGGCCCACGATAAAGTCACCGGAGAGAGAATTTTACCGGAAACAAGCCAGTCGGTGTAGGAATGGCATCTTGATACAGAACCTGCACCATCGAAGGTCAGATCACATGGATTGCCCGAAGAAGCCAAGTCCCTTACGCAAAGAGGTCATCCACGACGGTTGACAGAGTCTTGTATATCATCGCTTTCATAGGCATGTGTGCCACACTCTATTTTTTCCGGGATAATATCAGTGTGTCTGTTGCGACGTAGTGGGGCACATCACCCTTGACACAAATGACGCACCTTCAGTTTATAGTTGATGATCAGCTGTGGGACGAGCTGGGCCTAAGATCTGGCAGTCAGCGCTAACGTTTTCTGGAATCACAAAGAGGACTCACAAATCCGAACATGTAGACGTAGGACGTGAGCGTCGAGATGACGAAACTGTACCATCCCTTGTGCTTCTCATACAGAAGGGAATAGATCGTGTAGCCGATGAGGGTGGGGATTGCGACGTATGAGACATAGCGGAATGCAAGCCGGTCGTATCTGGTAGGCAAGGGTCAGCTGGCGACACTGTGCACGAGGCAATAGAACTCCTACTCCTGTGTCTTCTTTTCATCTTCACTCAGGACGTGTTTGTCTATGTGGAAAGGCGGGAGCTTTAGTTCGACGGAAGAAGGTTTGGGGTACGGAGAAAACGGCAATACCTTTGATGTCAAGCCGATAGGGAAACAGGGCGCCAGGGCCTGCGGGAACCACGCTGATATCGACGGCCTTCGTAATCTATATACAGACAAGGTAAGAAAACAATGAGGATACCGGACAAACAGCAATTCACCTTCCATGCCTCAATGACCACCCCAACCCCAGATCCCATAAGGATCATCCAACTCGTGTTCTCATTGTTATCGATGAGATACAACAGAACGACGATTTGGACAAAAACGTTGGTGATGATCTAAAAGAAGGGCGGTCACAAGCGCGATGAGCATGACACATCCCGACCTCAAGGTGATGGGGAAAAGCCGCACGCACCGTTCTTTGAGAATTCGGAACGTAAAGTGGTACCGGTTTTTCTACATTGAGAACGGAATCAATGTGACAACAGCGCTTGCCGGACTCACCTGACGGAAACACCGACCATCTCCTTCTTTTGACGCCAGTGGGTCACATCCGATTTGAACGCCAGCATCTCGAATCTGGAAGGGAGGAAGGCGTGAGCTTGGATAACAGTAACGAACAGACTTCAATGAGGACTTACACGACGTGAAGAATGCTAACCAGTCCGGTTAGGCCCAAGAACCAAGGATTAGTCTCCAGCAGCATGCGCTTCAGTTCGTCAATTTCAGACGTCCCTCCACCGTTCTTGGCGGCTTCATTGAATCCGTGAGTCATGGAAGCAAACATTTGGAACTTGAGGAAGGACATTGGCTGGAAAGTGAATTGGACAGGGAGCGACGTTGTCGTGCTGTTCAATTCAATGTAATGTTCTCGCAAGTGCCAGAATTCATTCGGGAAGACGATAGGGTAATAGTAGCCTTTGGTTCCCGTTTCATCTCGCTGGCCTCGGACAAGATGGACATCTGCAGTACCCCTTAGATAGCGTGGCAAAATAGGGGTGGAATCGGTCGCTTACGTTCGCGAACTGGAGGAGGGAGTTTCTGGTAAGGTACTACCGACGCCTCCGAAATCAAAGCTAGGGTGACATTCTAAGAGGGAGTCAGTCACGCAAACAAATGCGCGTTTTGCCCATTGTCGGGGACTCACCTTGTGCCAGTGGGGGACATAAACATCAGGCTAAAGCAAAAATGAGAATCTCAGAAAACCGGCGCGTGGACAAGCACTCACTTCATCAACAAAGGTAGTCTCTTCCTCTTCAACTTCCTCCTTGGCAGACAGCAGACTCTTCTCCCTTCGAACTTTCGGTTTTGGGAAATACGGCGTGAGCACTGGGTGAAATGTCAGGTTCTTGACTGTGTACCCAAGAGAATGTTCAGTTCCCGGTCGTCACTCACATTTACGAATGTGGTGGACATTCCTGGGGTCGAAGTTTCGCTTAGCGGGGTTGGGACTGGATCCATCTTTGGTCACAAAGATATCGGCCCACAGGGTTCCATTGTTGAGCACACTCTATGCCAATTGAGCACACACACGCACACGGGTAAGCCAAAACCGCATTTCAACCTGCGAATGAAAATGACGCACTTTTGGGAATGTAACATCATATTCTACGGTCCGACTGTCTGTCCAGTCTCCGAATTGAATGTTGTCCCAAGTGAAGTGAGGGAGGTTTTCCCGGGTCCCAAAGACGTCGCCATCCGGGGTCGTGGAGAGATAGACGTGAATGTCGAGCGGTTGTCCAATTGGCCAGGCGAGGCGGGCTTCCTGTGGAGGTAGGAGCCATGGGTTCACGGCTTGCGGAGGAGTCGTCTTTACTCCTGGAGCTCCTGCAGTACCTGTTGGTTTCCCGACTTCAGGTGACCCTGGCGTCGTCCCAGTGACTGGAGCCTTCGGGAACAAGTATTGCTGGGCTTTGTGCCTGGTCAGAATATGCGCGACCGAGCATCCACCATTGCTCACCTAGTTGCGTGGCAAAATAGATCATAGCACATTGCTAGAGCACAGTCAGTATCTTCCCAGATTCCTACCTGCAGACAACTTGTTATGCTCACCTGAGCGAGCCTAAGGACCGTGCGGAATGTGGAAGGTTCTTGCTCAGCAGGGTTCGCCGCTGGTGCAGGGCGAGCACCGTTGTTTGTCGACATTCTCGATACCGTGTGTTGTCGGTATCAGAGCCGCTCGTCGTAGCAGTGAATGTGGGGGAGAAGGCACAATATTGCACAATCTGGGGGCGCTGGTGCTCAGCGCTCAGAGCCGCGTGACAAGCTGATCCCATTTTTATTGATCGGGGTCAATGCAAGGACAAAAGTCAAGCGCAAGTGGTAAAGTGGTGAACGTTGAACGCGACGTTGCTACTGCTATAGAGTCCAGGAAATACATAGTAAATAGGCAGGATTATGTACATGTACATGTGGAAAAGTAGGAAAAAAAAAAAAAAACACCATGAAATGTACAACTAAAATGTACAACTAGATGAGAATAGACTACACATACAATGAAAAGTAAAGAAGGCTGACCACAGAATCTAGATCCAGAGTTTCGATACAAGACACGGCCTAAACGCCATATGACCCGCTGAGCTTGAAGGTTCCGTCTCCAATCCACCGAACGTTTACATCGCTCCGAAGATAGAGATAGTCATATCTGTAGTTGAATGAGACGTCGAGTGACCACCCTGATTAGTTGAACGACGGCCCAGCGCACCTGACGCTCCCGTGGAAGCTTCCAACGCAATTGTGGAACTCATCCGCGCTGAACTTTTTGGCCTTGAATTTAGGCGGACCGCCTTGCTTGAACAACATCCCAAAGACTAGCGGGTCGTTGCACAATCCGTCGTATACCCACTTGGCTGAGCCAGTTTTGCAAGAGGGCTTCCACTAAAGGCGCGAATGTTAGCCTTTACATACTATCTCTGAAAGAGATCGAGAACGCCTACACTCATTTGTTTCTTGATTCCACTGCAGATAACAGACGCGAGCTTGTCGACCTCCTTCGCCAGGTCTTCCGCGGACTTGAACTTGGGTTTTAAAGCGGCGAGTTCGTCCTCAAGCATACGCGCATATTGGGCGAGCTGAAGCATTTCTTTGCGAACTTCGTCGTCTCCTTCAGGGACCTCGAAGGTTGACGCGTCTTTCAGAATGGCTTCGACTTTAGACGCGCCTTCCTCGACCAATTTGAGCTTCTTGCTGGCAGCAGCCGCAGATTCTTCTGCTTTTCGTTTGGGAGGCATGTTGGGGACGACGTTGAGCGCTCGGCTAAGGTTGGAACGAACTTGGGGTAGGTTCTGCTCGCGTCCGAAGATCGCGCTTTTTGAGGACGCGACCGAGGCGTGTGACTCTGTGGCGCGTTGTTCCGCTCCGTCGCCAATTCCGCCATGTAACGGCAAGGCTGGCCATGGGCGCTCAGCACGACGCAAGTGGAACAGTAACTTGTAAGCGAACGAGTACTATTGAACATTGATGGCTCCCTTCATTACACTTTAACCGCCCTTTGTCTTCGGTGCTCTTCGTTACTTGGATTTGGGTTTGGGGCAGCTGCTATCGATACCGTACTTTCCGGTCAACTTGAAGGTCCCATCGCCGTTCCAATAGACGTTAATGTTGCTCGTCAGATACAAGTATCGGTATCTAGATGTAGGTCAGCTAAAGAGACTGAGTTGGAAGAGGAAGAGCGCCTGCCGGATAGATGCCCATATTTCTCCACGAGTGGTGGCAAAGAATTCGGCCTTGGTTAGCGATTGCTTGGACGGGGGAACTCCTTCAATATTGAACATGGCCTTCCAGACTTCAACGTCGGGGCAAATACCCTCGTACTCCCATTTGGCCCTGTTTTCAGAACAGGTAGGCTTCCACTGTGGGTGATACAATCTCGAGGGGCGAGCGACAACGGGTCCTGTCATTCCCTTACCTTCATGACTGCTGGGATGCCCTTCTTCAACACGCCCGCGAGTTTGACCACCTGTGCCTCAATATCCGCAGTCTTTGGCTTTAAAGACGCGTTCTCTTCTTCCAAGAGGCGAGCGTATTGGGCGAGCTCGACAATCCTATCGTGCATAGCCTTTGACCCTTCAGGAAGGCTCGAGTTCGCGGCGTTGTCGAGAATCGCTTTGACCGTTGCCGCTCCTTCCTCCATCCTGAGTTTCTTGATGGCTACAGGGTCAGAGGCAGAGTCGGTTGCTTTGCGTTTAGCCATGTTGATTAGTAGACACTCGGTTCTAGCAGAAAGACAGTGACCCTGAATACCGCGATTTATACCAGAGGGCAACTTTGATCATGACAGCACGTGCAATTCGATTATTATTAGGCTTCGCGCATATCTCTGAATACGTCGGGGACTCGTCATCTTCCTTTGTCCTTTGAGCGCTTACGAGCTATGCCAGAAAGGGTCGTGCGGGGTTGATTGATAAGTGATTATAGACGTTGGGCCTTGTCTAAAGACGGGCAGGAATGCATCAAAGGACCACCGCCGTATCAGCGGATTCCAGAAACACCAATGTTGACCCGGGCGGGTCTTCGAAGAGATAGCGCCAGACGACGTGTATCCCAGGCCACCACATCGACAGACCGTGTGAGAGGCCATCGACAGTATCCAGAGCTTGCTGTTACCTAAAATCCGTAGACCATCGCAACGAACAAGAGTCAGGACGGCTACACGTATTCTGAAGGCCCAAGATCGAGTACACGGCTGTGCACGGCCCTTCTATTAATATGCTCTTTGTGGGAGATCGAGCCGTGTCTGTGGACAAAGGGTTCAGACATGCCCCTTGCCCTTGCGAACAAGGAGGCCGCAGTAACATTGGTGATGGGGATGCCTCTGGGAAGATTCATTTTTGTTGAAGCTGGGTGTCTCTGAGCAAATTGGGCCACTGTGAGCTTGTCTTTTGATGGAGCCCTTCAAATTCCAAGAGAAGCAAGCGGCCATACCAAGAGCGCCTAGTCGGGCTGATAAAGCCTTTTCTGCTGCGGAGGCTGGCGAAAATGCGAACGGTAGGGCGACAGGTGTGCGCGAAACGATGAACTGTGATGAGCGTCCGAGACTGAACGATGACAACGATCTTCCCATTTCGCTTGGTCGCAACGAAGGCCGATTCCCATTTCCTTTTCCAGATGGAACCTTCTACATGCCCTTTGCCCTGGTCCATCGCTTACATAATACATCACGCCGGATTTGCCCTCTGCCCAAGCTGAATTAAAGGTTGGCTTTTCTCGCCTTTCTGCCCATCAACAACACCCTCTATCACTTATCGCCCCCCGCCATCGTAAGTCCCCTTCCTCGTCGCCGTCCGCAACGACCCCGCTCATTGTCATCGCCCGTAGTCTCTTCAGCCACCCAACCCCCCAAATATCCTTAACAGTGAGTTCATGGACGCGTCTAAAATACGCGTCGTGTGAGGTCTAACGACTACGTTGTAGATGTCTCAATCTCGTGAAGACTCTGTCTACCTCGCCAAGCTCGCTGAGCAGGCTGAGCGATATGAAGGTGCGTTTACTGGGTCGAAATCGGTCGTAGAACAGTGGCTGATCTTGCCACATCAGAGATGGTCGAGAACATGAAGCGCGTCGCTTCGTCAGACCAGGAGCTCACCGTCGAGGAGCGAAACCTCCTCTCTGTCGCCTATAAGAACGTCATCGGTGCCCGCCGTGCTTCGTGGCGTATCGTTTCGTCGATCGAGCAGAAGGAGGAGTCGAAAGGCAATGAGGCTCAGGTCCAGATGATTAAGGGCTATCGGGAGAAGATCGAGAGCGAGCTCGCTAAGATCTGTGAGGACATCCTCGACGTGCTCGACAAGCACCTCATCCCCTCTGCCGCCTCTGGTGAATCCAAGGTCTTCTACCACAAGATGTTCGTTTTTTCGCTCCATCTATTCTCACGATAAATCTAACTCCAAAACCAGGATGGGTGACTACCACCGCTACCTCGCTGAGTTCGCCACTGGCGATAAGCGCAAGGACAGCGCCGACAAGTCTTTGGAGGCCTACAAGGCTGCATCTGACGTTGCCGTCACTGAACTTCCCCCCACGCACCCCATCCGCCTCGGTCTTGCCCTCAACTTCTCCGTCTTCTACTACGAAATCCTCAACAGCCCCGACCGTGCTTGCCACCTTGCGAAGCAGGCCTTCGACGATGCCATCGCCGAGCTCGACACGCTCTCAGAAGAGAGCTACAAGGACTCCACCCTCATCATGCAACTCCTCCGCGATAACCTTACACTATGGACTTCGGATATGCAGGATTCTGGTAGGTTGATTCTGTAAAGCGGAAGAATATTTGCTGATATAACCTTTTAAAGCCGACAAGCCTTCTGAGGGCAAGGATGAAGCTGGTGATGCCCCCGCTGACGAGTAAACGTTTCTTTAATCCGCATTTTCTCTTCGCGCTATCCACGTTAAGAGGTGTCTTATATCATTTTAATCGCATTGTCGCATTCATAGTACAACATAACAACAATCAATCATTTTGGTCATATCAGAATATATTCACTGCTGAGAGGTTAAAGAGGGCAACGTTTTGGTCATAAGGCGTTCCGTTTACAAAGAAGCGTCAAGTGGAAGTCTCCGAATTTTGTTCCGGCAACATTGGAACGCTCGCTGATGTCGCTGTTGACGATGATGAAAACCAGTGCTGCGTCCGCAGTCATTCTGAGATATATGCATCCTCTTCTCATCACTTCGCTTCGTTATTTCTGACGTGGATTCTGCTCAGCTCTGCGACTCCCAGAAGGCCTTCATCGTATAGGGAGGCCGTCGCGTCCGTGGAAGGTGATTGAGCGCACGATGGCGCTCAGAACATTCACTGGCCTCTTCTCTCTTTGTGCAGTACTCGGTCTCTACTTTGCGGTACGAAACGCTGGCGACTCCCTCTCCCCTCAAGGATGTCGAATGTCGTGGATGTCACCTTCGTATGTCTTGCAAACGGGCATGAACGATACATGGAGCCCGTTGGCAAGTCGGTATAGCCTCTGGTTGTACAGGGAAGTTGGCTGGGATTCAGCAGTGGTGCGCCAGACAGGCATCTTCATCAAACGAGGGAAACTGATAAAACTCTAGATTGGAAACAGTCTTCCTGTGCTGTTCATCCCTGGAAACGCAGGGTCGTCTCACCAAGTCAGGTCCATTGCATCATCTGCCGCTCGACAGTACTACGGTTCCCCACGCCATATTTCGCAAGAGTTCGCTTCCCGGGTCGACGTTCATAGACCATTAGATGTTTACGCTGGTAGGCATCCTCGCATGTCATCGTGTTCATTTCTGAAGGATGATTCTAGTTGAATTCAATGAAGACCTCACCGCATTCCATGGAACGACACTTCAATCTCAAATTCAATATACTACGAGGGCTATATCATACATCCTTTCACACTACCCGCCAGGTACACGGATACTAGTCCTGGGTCACTCTATGGGTGGAATTGTCGCAACATCGCTCCTCCCTTCCTCACAGATATCAGCAATCATTGCTATGGCCACTCCCTTTGCGCTTCCCCCAGCGAGGTTCGACCCCAGTATCGACTCGGTCTACACCAATCTTCACAAAATCCTCGCCGACGACCCGACGCCCATCCTGTCTATCTGTGGCGGGGCTACAGACAAGATGATCCCATCCGAGTCTTGCATCCTTCCTCACACCAACGGAAGCGGCTTCCGAAGAACCGTGTTCACCTCTGCTTTGGAAGGCTCTTGGACTGGCGTTGGACATGAAGCTATCGTGTGGTGTCACCAAGCTCGCTGGCGAGTTGCTCGGGCGGCGTTAGAGTTGTCACCGTATAGATCGACGGGTGAAGTAGTCAAGGCTTTGGATAGGTGGCTCAGAGATGGACACACGCTACCTCCTGACGGCGGGCCAGACCAGGAGTTGACTCTGGAAGAGGTCGAGAACGCACAGGAGACTCGAAAAGGGACCAAGCTGCAGTTGACGAGCCCAACTTCATCTACAGCTGGGACTTATCGACTGGAGGTGCCTCGGTCGACATCCAGCGATATAAAATCTAGTTTGATTGTTTTGCTGTCACAGGGCTCTGTCAATGGCCTTGGTCCACAACGCCCTATTCCATTGCGTGCATCCATCTATGGATGCGTCAAGGACAATGACAGCTGCACGCCACTTCCACCTACTGTCCTCAAGCTCCTTCCAAGTCCTATACCTGGCAAGCCCTTCCCGGTGCCGAAGGAGGGTTCTGACGAGTCCACTGGCGTTGTAGTCTTCGAAGCGGATCTGTCCTCCGCAGAGTTGGAATATGTGATCATCAAAGTTGAGAATGCCGATGGGAGAGGATGGTTGTTGGCGTCCATCGAGGAAGCCTCTATCGTTAGCACCGACGGAGGGATGATCTGTGAGTCCTATTGTCGAACCAGCGCCCATCGGCCCGACTGATATCTTTTTAGCATTGCTTGTCGATGGCTTAACGACCCCGGTTCCGAAATCGACATCTTTGAGGCTGGAGTTCCGGTACCCTGCCCTGGTATCAAACGCCCTCGTTGCTTATAGGGTAACCGCGGTGGGAAAGCAAGAACCCAGGTGTTCCAGTCAGTCTCCCCTTCGTATTGATTACCGGGAGTTGCTCACGGTGATCTTCCTTCAACAGATATTTTGTTCCCGCCGCTTCTCGTCCATGGCTCGAATCCCGATGAAACACACTATTTCCCTCTTCGTAATCGGGGTCAACCACGGACGATCCTTCATACGCATTCTCCGGCCCCGTTTATTCCAACCCCTGGTCTCCCTGATCGCGGGATTGGATTCTCCATTTATTCGTCGGGACTGCTGGGATGCGACCACGCTACTGAAGGAATCCATATTGCCGTCGACTTGCCTATGACCATGGCCAGGTGGGCATCCCGATATTGGATGTCTGTCGTGTCCTGGGCCATCGGAGTCGTAGCTCTGACGGTATTCTATTCTTTGGACGCAAACGGTGAGGTTAAATTGATGTCCCGAAATGGATGTAGAATACTGATGCCAGTCTAGGAAATATTGCGGGTGTTTCTGTGGCATTGGAACGGTACACCAGACTACTGCCTCGGCTTTTGCTTATCACGTTTGCTATGTCGTTCATTCCCTTCGCAAAAACGCGGTACCTCGGGAATGGGGGAGATCCTTGGTTCTCTGTCATAGCGCCGTTGATTCTGATGATCTCGAGCGGCCTGGTCGTTGTCTCTTGGTTGCTCTTGTCACTGATAAAATTCGGACTGCGAAAGATAATGTCTTTCGCTTCAACTCGGTGAGCAAATGTTATGCAACTGTTGCACTGTCGCTGAACGAAACCTGTAGGGGACGGAAAAAGACCGATGCTTCCAGTGTGTCTAAAAATACTCTGGTGTCCATCGGCCTTCTATTCTTGGCTATATTTCTTTTCATACCATGGCAGGTCGCATTCCTCGGCTGCTGGGTGTTCCATCTCAGTACCTGTGCGGCATCACACGCGTGGCCTGAGGCAGAAAGCCTTCCTCGGGGACCAGATGGCAACCACCATGGTAGCGATGACAGGAGGGAAAAAACCGAGGAAATGAAGAACGGGAGGCAAAATAACGCGAACCTTAATGACCATTTCCTGCTTCTTATGACCTGGCTGCTGCCGTTGGTGGCCCCCATTTTGGCGGTTTGGGTCCGAACCTTGGCAACTGCTGGGTTGACCACCCCCTTTAATGGTGACCACAACTTCCTGAACGTGGCGCCTTTCCTGATCCTGGTTGACTTTGCTTCGTGGACACCTACAAGGATGTTTGAACCCGCCCCGTAAGTCGTAACTCGATTCTACATTGACACTGGATTTTTCTAACCCTCCTCCTGTAGATTTGAGCGCTGGGTATCCGCTCGATGGCTATTTGCCCTCATAGCCACTGCAGCTTTCTTCTTTGGCTCGCGGAACCCATATTTCGTCTTCTGGGCTGTAGCTCTAGTTGTGGGTATATTTGTGTGCACGAAAATTGGGCGGCGTTATTGGAGAGGGTAGCTACATCTTAATTTAGTCGAGTCTGACACGACGTAATAGATAACACTAATCGCCCATTTCGGAATCACCCGTTATGCCATTATTGGGCTCCACGGAGCTGAGCCGCTTTGGCAAAACCATCCAGTGTTCAGTGCTCTCGTTGCAGACAATTGACAGGATCTCCGAGTTTCCATCTCTCTTTGCACAAGGTATTTCGTTGGTTATCAGGAGGATTGCCTTATAGCGTTTGCGTTTGCGGAACTGATTTGTGCATGGCTGGAGTTTATAGTCTCCAACGAGATCTCGATCCCGGTCGTGAGATTCACCTCCGATAGCCTCGCGACAATAGCGCCAACACCTTGACCTCCCCTTCCAAGGGCCTATACCGTGCGTTTGAGCAAAAAGACACGACTTTGAATAATTTTGGGCCTTTGAAAGGCCACGAGGAAGGGATTTCAGCCTGTTCATTCGTCATTTCCAGCCTTTGATCGAGGTTCTTGGGGTGTGGCATATGCCATACGGCGATGTCCGTCCGGCCTTTGACCGTTTGACGCGGTAACACAGCCCCATATTCATGGACAGTTCCTGACCCCACTGAGTCCGCCCTTTTTCATCAAGACTGTCGCAGAAGATGCAAAAGAGAGCGGGGACAGAAAAATGTCTCGTATGGTCACACCAGGAGGCTCAGGTGAGGAAAGCAGCCCCTCAACAGCATATTTGGGGCGTTGCAGGGGCGAGGCATGTCTGCCAAGCACAACTTTGCCTTGACCTAAAACGGAAGAAATCAATTGGCTATGAGATCCGGTGCCGATCGGCAGCAAACTGTAACCTCCTCCGTCAAACCTTTCGTTCTTGTTGTCTCTAATAAAAAGGCGTCAAAGGGAGGTGCTTTGAGGAGGGGAAGGGTGGCTTTATCTCGGTTGCTGGAGAAACATAATTACATTGACACGCGGGAAGCATCAAGGCGACACTTTGATTACGGCACAAGATGATTCTCTAGACATCGCTGGGATGCATACCAATAGCCTGCAAAAGGGAGGGCTAGAAATGCATTCGAGAATAGATACACACGGACCACGACGGCATTCAGTAGTGTAATTGGATCTCATTGCCAGTGTGTTTGTTCACGAGGGATGGGATGACTCCAAGGAACTCGGGAAGCTGGAAGATCCACATGGGTTTAGTGAGCCGTACTCCTGCCTAAAGCAGCGAAAAATCCAACGTGTCGCTCAAAAAACTGGTCCTTCGCTGGCAAGGGTAGGGCAAGGTAGTGAGAGTAGATTAAGTCGGGTCTCTTGGACAATTATTGAGGGGAAGGGGACATTTCCGGTGTTGTTTGGGCCAGGAGGTGACGGCGGGAAGAAGCCTGAGCCACGCATGTACAAAAAAGGAATTTACCCACACAGAATCACCTCGACTAACATAACCTAACAACTTGGAACTCCGCAACTCTCTCCCTGAACACATCCTTGTCCAGAATTCTTGGAACGCCCACCTAAATAATCCTAGGATCTCGGGCTCGTCGTTCTGGATATCATGCACGGCAGCCCGTCTGCCTCGACCACCCGTGGGACTCCCTCTCGCAGGGGGAAATCCCCGCGATTTTCATCCGACAGCCTGTCACAGCCTGGTTCGAGCACAGGCAATACAGGTATCACCAACAAACCCCCAACCACCTTCATTTCTTCCCTGGACATCCCTGTAGAGGGCGCAATCCCAATTGAGACCGATTCGGACGACAAATCCACCACTGACAAACCATCAACCGCCGCGGCCAACGACTCGAAACGAGCGCCTCGAAAATCGAAAACAGAAGCCATCGCTGCTCTCAATTCCCAAGCGAGATCAAGTGCTGAAGAGAACGAGGAAACAGAGCAGCTCGAAGACCTCGCGGACCGCTATCGCAATATGCCACCCATTCAAGTTTCCCCACATTTGGACCTATCAACTGTCAAAACCCCCAGTTCCTCGAGGCGGGCAAAGCCAGCGACAGACGCCCACCGACCGTTTGGGCTCCAGAACTGTCCAGAATTTCATCCTACCACCGAGGAATTCAAGGATCCGATGGCGTACATTCGGTCCATCTCTGACCGTGCAAAGGACTATGGCATCTGCAAGATCATTCCTCCAGAGGGGTGGAGGATGCCTTTCGTTACGGATACGAAGGTGTGTTTTAATTATGCCCGCGCGAGTCGCTTACGAATCCAAATGGCTCATAATTATCGTTCCCTGTCCCTTTTCATCGTCTAGACATTCCGCTTCAAGACTCGGCTCCAAAGGCTGAATTCGATCGAAGCGTCCTCCCGGGCGAAGCTGAACTTCTTGGAACAGCTCTACCGCTTTCACAAGCAACAAGGAAACCCTCGTGTAGTCGTTCCAACGATCAACCACAAACCTTTGGATCTATGGCTGCTGCGGAAGGAGGTGCACAAGATGGGTGGCTACGAAGCTGTAAGGGTCATATCTCTCGGTGAAAAAATCATTCGAAGCGCTAAATGCTGTTCTAGGTAACGAAGGGGAAGAAATGGTCGGATTTGGGGCGAACATTAGGGTATCGTGGGATCCCTGGTTTGTCGACTCAACTGAAGAATTCGTATACTCGGGTCATCCTTCCATTCGAACACTACACTGAAAGGGCGAGAAACTCACCCACGATGGCGTCGAATGCCAATCGCGAGCCGCCGCTCAGAATTCATCTCAATCTGGCTTCCATAGCGAAAGCTGTTAAAGGACCGTCACCACCCTCTACCGAGGGGACCAGTCCTCCCGGGAGTCCTTTGACAGCCACCTCGAGTCCACTTTCGGAACCCCCGGAGGAATCAGGGGACAAGGACAAAGGCGGGGCGTCTCGTCCACGTCGCAGTACCCGAATGAGCTCCGTCGAGCAATGTGAGTAGGCGCATTGTCCATCCTTTAAATTCAACTGATCCATGCTCTTCAGCCCCGAGGAAAGCGGTTCCCGCTGTCCCTCCACCCGTGTTCTACGACAAACAGGGACCGCGAGACGCATCTGGGGAGGTGAGTGCAGAAAAATTCTTTTGAAACGCAGTTTCTAACTCTGAACTCTCACAGCATTGCGAGATCTGCCATAAACGTAATCGTGGGGAAGAAATGCTCTTATGCGACGGCTGCGATTGCGGTGGGTATCTTGGTTATTGAGCGTTGTTAGTCCTCTCATCTCCGACTCCTCCAGGGTTCCACATCTTCTGTCTTGACCCGCCGCTGACCTTCATCCCGAAGGAACAGTGGTTTTGCTTTACTTGCCTTTCGGGTACTGGAGGTGATTTCGGCTTCGATGAGGGCGCAGAGCACAGCCTTTCTACCTTCCAAGCACGCGACTTAGAGTTCAGGAAGTTGTGGTTCGAGACCCACCCGCCTCCAGGCTCTACAAACAGGATGGTAGACGATGAAGATCCGACAATCAGCCACTTTGGTAATGTGGCTGTTTCGGAATACGACGTCGAAGAAGAGTTTTGGCGGCTTGTGGCTTCTCCTCATGAAACTGTTGAGATCGAGTATGGGGCAGATGTCCACTCGACCACCCACGGGAGGTACGTTGTGCAGACTGTCCAACCGCCTCCATTTTCTGACCAGTGACAGTGCGATGCCCACCATGGAGACACACCCTTTGGATCCCGCTTCGAAGGACCCCTGGAATCTTAACAACATTCCCATCCTCCCTGATTCCCTCCTCCGGTTCATCAAATCGGATATATCTGGTATGACAGTGCCCTGGACATATGTCGGCATGGCCTTTTCGACCTTCTGCTGGCATAACGAAGTACGTCGCACATCATATTTGGACAGAAGGGAGAGAAACTGATGGTCCCGTGTCTCTAGGATCATTACACATACAGCATCAACTATAGTAAGCATTCCGAGTCGAGCTTTCATTGAATCGGACTGACCACTTGCTCCAGTGCACTGGGGTGAGACGAAGACGTGGTACGGTATCCCGGGAGATGACGCGGAGAAGTTCGAAGCTGCAATCATGAGCGAGGCTCCCGACCTCTTTGAGAACCAGCCCGATCTACTTTTCCAACTGGTTACCCTGATGAACCCTCAGCGGTTGACGGAGGCTGGTGTTCGCGTTTTCGCGTGTAACCAGCGTGCCGGAGAGTTCGTGATCACTTTCCCCAAGGCCTATCACGCAGGGTTTAACCATGGAGTAAGTTAATGTGCTTGCCTCACGTTCATGTGGATTTCAGGCTGACAATGGCATACAGCTCAACTTCAATGAAGCCGTCAACTTCGCCTTGCCTGATTGGCTTCCCCTGGGCCGGGATTGCGTCCAGCGTTACCGCGAACACCGCAAGCTTCCCGTTTTCTCTCACGACGAACTTCTCATTACCATCACCCAACAATCTCAGTCAATCAAGACAGCGATCTGGTGGGTCTATAGCAGAACTGATTGTGTTGACAGCGTATTGACCTTCCGATAGGCTCGTCGATTGTCTTCGAGAAATGACCGAGCGAGAATTCGAGGACCGAAAGAAGGTTCGAGCGCTCGGACTGGCAGAAATTTTAAAAGAAGAGGACCACCCCGAGGAACAATATCAATGCCATGTCTGCAAAGCCTTCTGCTACCTTTCACAGGTTGTCTGCCAGTGCACCACCCGCGTTGTCTGTGCTGACCACGTCGAGCTCCTCTGCGAAGCTAAATCCCCACACAACATGACATTGCGGAAGCGGTTTTCAGACGAAGAGTTGACCGAAACGCTTGCTAGGGTCTCGGAACGGGCATCCCAACCCACCGCTTGGCGGTCGAAATTGGCCAGACTCCTCACTGAAAATGCTCGACCGCCTCTTCGTTCCCTTCGGGCTCTGCTGGCAGAAGGAGATCGTATCAACTATCCCCTACCAGAAATGCCCAATCTCAGGAAGTGCGTCACTCGTGCGAACGAGTGGGTCGACTTCGCAAACTCCTTCATCATTCGGAAGCAAAGCCGGAAACGCTCACGCCGTGGTCGAGGAAGGCCGTCCACCGCTGATTTAGGCCCATTCAATCCAGAAGATCCCAACGACCGTCCTGACAGAGGGTTGGACGAGCTGTACGCACACCTCCGAGAGGTGGAAAACCTGGGTTTCGACTGTCCCGAGATCAATACCCTCAAGACTCTTGCCCAACAAGCTGAGGACACTAAGGCCAAAGCCATCGCCCTCCTGAAAGCTTCCCCAGCTGAGCAGGAGCGTTCCGAGTTCCTTCAAGAATGCAAGCGCCTGTTGCTCGAAGGTTCCTCACTTAACGTCCTTCTCGATGAGCTGAACGAAGTCGAGAAGATTGTTGACCGCGAACAACTCGTCAACGAACTTGACGAGAAGCTCGAGGAAGGAGACGAGAACTCCTTCACTCTTGAGGAAGTCCGTCAGCTTCTCACTCGGGCTCGCTCGTGTGGCCTGCCTTCGGACAACAAGCACATGCAGTTCCTGGAGGCTCGACTTCGCGAAGGAAACACCTGGGAAGAGCGCGCCAGGGCTGTCTTGGAGCAGCCCATCAAGACGATCGCCGAACTGGAGGAATTTGCCGACATGGATTCCAACATTCCTATCGATCCCACTATTATTGATCGACTGATGGCAGCTCGGGCGAAGGCACTCGACTTCAAGAAACAGGCGAAGGCATGGCTCGCCTGCGCAGATGCCGACGGTCCCAAGTCACGTATTTCTGAAGCTCTTCGGTTAGCCGCTCGCTCGGAGAAAGACTTCAGTATTCCCGAGGTTACCGAATTGAAGAAGGCCGCCGAGTGGGCCCTCGACCTCGAGAGCAAGTCCGAGAGTGTCCTTCGCAATCGGTATCAACTCGACATGGACGAGGACTTGTTCGCCACCATTAAGAAGTGGCAATCACACGCCGTCAATCACCTCAGGATGTACTCCCTTCCCACTTTCGAGAAACTGACTGAGCAAGTTCGACTCCACGAGTTGTGGTTGCGCGACCTTCCCTGGTTCTGTCCTGACCACAACACAACCCATAGCGAGGAGCTTCTCGCTGATGTCCTGGACTGCACACGACCCGAGGATGACGCTCCGCCCACCGACGAATATTACACTTGCATCTGCAATCATCCTGTCCGACCTCCTCCTCCCGGCGTTGTCTCGGATGCTGTCCAGTGTGACCACTGCTTTGCCAGATTCCATGGTGAATGTGCGAAGAACGGTGGATCATGCCCATTCTGCGATCACCATCATTGGAACGGAACCATTCACAAGCAACGCAGTTGGCACTTCTGCTACTTGCCCATGCTGGCGAGGAAAGCTCCGGAGATCTCTAAGCACTATTCTCGAGATTTCCGTGAATTGGAACTCATTGTCCACCGCGTGGACCGATTGTCCGCGTCCATTGGGCAGTTCTTGTCCTATACCTCTCAGCCTGCTCACCAACGACCAGAGTTTATCCCTCAAGTTCGACACTACATGCGCAAGCTCTTCCGCATCCAGTTTGCAGTGTCCCCTAATCCTGACATCTCCTATGGTTTGGATCTTGCTGGGCTCCATCGAATTTTGGCCACAAGGCCTGCCGTCGCGCGACCAAAGAAGCGTCGCCGTCCCCGGTTCACCTTTGGTCAAGACGTCGACAAAAATTGGTCGGATGGCACGCGGTGTATTTGTCGAGGTGTCACTGGGTATCTCTTGAACAAACCCAAGGTCGAGTGCCTGCAGTGTCAGAGGCTGTACCATGTTGGTTGCGTCTTCTTCCCAGTGGACGACCATCCTCCAACCATGCAACCAGTCTTCCAATGCCCCATATGCTGCCTGCGAAGGGGCAAACGGTACGAATACTCCGATGTCCGGGTCAGGCCGTCAGGTAGGTTTTACTTGTTAGCGCTGGGCATCAGTTTGCTAACTTGACCTCCCAATTTTTAGTTCATATGGGTAGGGTGGAAGATGATCTCTATGTCAACACGGAAGAAATGTTGGAGACTTTCAGCCGGGAGCTCATCTTCAAGAAGCTTTCTCAACCTGTTGGACGAACTCTCTTTGTAGAGTTGGTCAACTATCAACCAGGGTCGGATACTCTGGCTCCACCACCAGGTCCAGTCGCCTCTGGCTCGAGGACTTCGATTATGCAGCAGCACAACATGGCACCGCCTCTCCCTCCTCCTCCACCCCCTCCTCCACCGCATCATACTACCACGGGGCATCATGAACAAATTTTACACCTGTCGACAGTCACTCCGACTATGTATGCGCCGTCACCTCTGCAGCCTCCTCCCCCTCCACCAAACCAGATTACACCACCTCCTTGGTCTCGATGGGGAACCATGACCACTCCCTCGATGCCTCCGCAAACCCAAAGAAGAGCGAATAACGGAGATCGTTCTCGGGGAGGAACTCCTCAGCCATCTAGCTCGAGGAAGCGCAAGCACGTCGATGGCGATGATAATACAAGATCGAGATCTTCGTCGTCTGCATCCGGTGCAAACAAGCGACGTGCTACCCAGGGCTCAAGCCCTTCGGGAGCCAATGGTACGATGGCTGCAGTCCCTCCGACGGGACCCATCCCAATTGCAGCTTCTGGGCCAGCACCTGCGGTCGTTGCCACTGGTCCTTCTCAAGCTGCACCGCCTCCCCTAGCTGCTGAAGACCCTGTACCCTATCCCCCTCCGAGTTCCTCGAGCTCGTCGATGCCGCCGCCACCGTCAGTCACTAAGCCTTCACCATCAGCTGGACCCAGTCGGCTCCCATGGAACCCTTTGTCGAATGGTAGTTCCCCGCCTCTGCAATCCTCACCTCCAGTGAAGATTGCGACGCCGCCTGGCACAGCTGGACCCAGTCGGGTATGGAATCCCATGCTGGCAAACGGTGGTTCTCCATCTGTAGCAGCTTCGAACCCACCTGGCAAGTTGCCGTCTCAGTCGCCTTCGACATCCACGCTTGCACTCCCGAAATCGCCTGTCTCCCCACCCAATCGACCAGCCCAGACGCTATCCCCTTCTCTCGCCATGATCGTATCTCCCACTAACGAAGCACCTCAGCCGCAGACATCACCGCGAGTGGCGTACATCCCACCGGCAGTGAGGAACGGAATGACGAATGGTTCTCCTACCCTTCCCCCGGTGAACACTCTCGTTTCCGGTGACGCTGCTTCTCGATAAGCCTTGACTTTCGTTCCTATCGGGCTATGTATTCCGCTTTCTTGTTTTCTTACCGTTTCTTCTCCATCCCGCTCGCGCAACCTCTTGCTCGTGGTACGAAAACTATGTTTCCCATGTTTTAATCTTGCTGTCCAGTTGTCCTTCTGGCATTCTTGTTCGCCACTTGTAGTCTTTTGCATGCTCACCCCCCTTGAAGTAGTAGTAGTACCAGTAGTAGTATGGCTTCCGTACACGCATTGTAATCTCATGAAACTGTTTTGCATTGACAACTACATATTTATGATTGTACTCAGACCATGACTGGGACAAGGGTTCCGACTGTGAGAAGGGTTAGCGTCTTGGAAAGTGTGATGAGTGCTACTCTATGGCGATAAATATTTCATAAACCAAGCGATACGGGTTGGTGAGTCCTACACGTCATGAAAGAAAACATGGTAGATGTGTAAAAGTCATAAATAGGAACGAGAAAGAGATGGTCCATCGTGCATGCAAAAATGAAGCGTGATTCAGAGAAAGTCGAAGTTGCGACCAAGGATCCACAGAGACCGACTCGATGTCGGTCTATCCAACGTGATTACATTTGTTACTTCCGGACCATGAACCGATAGGTCGTGTATCCGCCAATAAGAGCAAAAGCAGCCAAGCAAGCAATGATGGATATGAACCAAGCGTAGCCCTCCTATGTTTTAGGAAGCAATGGATTCGTCAGCGCCGGGAGAGCTTGAGCAGAGAACTGCACTTGCCTTGATATCCTCCCCGGGAACATGCACGTTCATACCCCACAAACCCGTCACCAAGTTCATCGGAATCAAAACAGTACCCAATGCAGTCAGTTTGGAGAGGACATCGTTAATCTGGTTGTTAGCGTCCGTCATTTCGATGGAGATTTGAGCCAGGTAATTGGAGTGCGAGCGGGAGAGAATCTTTTCGTAGTGGTTCAAGTTCTGGGTCATAGTGATTAGATGGTCTTGGATGTCGGAAAGGTATAATCCCTAAATTAACGCGTGTGCGAATTAGCTTTGGGTGCACGAGGAACGAGACACTGGAAAGATAACTCACGATATCACTCGTAGGCGCTACCCTCCAGTTCTCATTACACCTCTTCGCCAATCCTTTCACGACATCCGCCTTGTTACCCATCAACCTCAACAAACCCATTACCTTCTTCCGACACGTCCCAATCCTCCGCAACATGTCGCTTTGTTCGGCTTCTTTAAGTATCAGCACCAGTTCGTCGATAGAGTCGACTTCGTATTCGATACTTTGGATGAGTGGGCCAAAGGCATCGGTGATGTCGTCGATAAGGGCGTAGGAGATCCAGTCAGAGGTGACGGAGATGTAGTCTTTGAGTTGTTTGATTCGGCGGCGGACGTTTTGAGGGTGGGGTGTGGGGCGGAAATGGAACTGTAGGTAAAGATGAGATGGGAAGATGGAGCGAGGAAGCGACAGTGTCTTACGGATAGTGTGCCCTCCCGGAAAACGATGATATACATGTTCAGTGGTTCGAGGTATGTCGGGCTGTAAGGGTCCTGATCGAAACTTCGGAAACACACGAGGTAGTAGTTTCTGAACAATTCAATCTTCTCGCGCGTTTCCTCCATGAGGATATCTTCTGTTGTAAGCGGGTGAATTGAGAACACCTAAGCATAATTAGTCAACCAAAGTGAATAAAAAAAGGCACAATTGCGCCTCACCTTGCTCAGCATTTTCATTTCCTCATCAGTCGGGCACATGACGTCCAGCCACCAGGTGTTTATATCGGTGTCACCGTGATTTCCATTCCCTGCTAAGCCTTCTTTCTCGGGGATGATCAACCGTCTTGTGCTGGTTCCATTGTCGGATTGGCTTGAAGGAATGGTGGGGGGGTTGGGAGGGGAGAATGCAAGGCTTGACGTTGGCCGATCCTTGACCATGAGACCATTGAGGTTGGAACTCGACGCTGATCCTTGGGGAGGCTGGTGTGATTGCGCTTGCGTTTGTGTCTGCTGCTGCTGCTGTTGCTGGGCCTGCGCTTGCTGGAACGTTGGAGGCGGAGCCTGTGGAGGTGCAATGCCCGTGAAGAGATCTTCGAACGTCTGACCCTCCGCCGGCAATTCACTGAAGCTCCTAGCATGGATGGTGGCATTGAGTGCGTTCGAATAGAAGGAGAATCGGTATGGTCGGTCGTGGCCTTGACCTGCAGTGGTGAGGATACGGTGTGGTGTGTGCACGCCACCGCCAAATCCAAATCCATAGTCGGAGTAAGGTTCCATATTACCGCCTTCTGAGGAGAAGGCGTTGCCAGGACGGGAAGAAAGAAGAGGTGGTAAGTTTGGAAGGGGTTCGGTAGGAGCCGATTCGAATAGCGAGATCTTCCCTCCGAAACCTTTCCGAGCGGGACGTGGCCGGGGAGTATTGGATTGGCTAACCTTGCGCTGGCGCAACGCACGTTGGATAGACGCTTGGTCTGAAGGCGTATCGTCTATAAGGTTGTGTTGTTGTTGGCGTGATTGATCCTCGTTTGAGTACCGTGGACCTCCGTTGGACGAGGACGACGGTTCACCGCCGAGGTCGACAAGCGAGTGGTGTGGACCGCCTGCATTGGTCCTGCTGGAGCTGGGCCGGTGGATGATAGGGGGCGGAGCGAAGCGAGTTACGGGAGTGCTGATGCCGAGATTGGCCTTCTCGACAGCAGCGAACTGTTCCATTTGAGCAAAGTCAAAGCTTGAGGAGGAAGCGTTGGCCTGGTAAGTTGGGAGACCAAAGTTTGCAGCTGAAGCTCCCGGAGCGTTCATGTCGATGAGGTTGCCCATCATCTGGCTTGAAGGGTGACCAGGATGGTTGAGTGCCTGCAGGGACGGATCTGAGCGAGACCGACGGGGAATGAGGGTGTCGCCGTCGACGCTGTCTTCATTGTCTAGCCCACCCAAGTGATTGGTCTCATCGTTGTGATAACCGTCCTCTTCCTCATCGAGAGCAACTGGGAAGACTGGTCGTTCTGGAGAATGCTGCTGCTGTTGATGGTGTATGCTCGGAGTACGAGTCTCGAACGGCGACGAGGAGATCGTTTCTCTGCGGGCTCTGGACAACTGCATGGCCATGTCGACGTCCATAGTCCTTTGTCGCTCTCGAACGTCGGGGTCATTGGGGTCGAAGGAGCGAATGAGGGTCGGGGAGAGTCTGACCCTGGCAGCGATGTCCTCTGGAGTGGAATCATGGGAACTTCGACGGCGAACTGGGGAATGGTTGCGGATGGACATTGGTGAGCTCGACACGGTATTGTTGTCAGGAGACCCCATCTTTGAGGTTCAAAGATTTCTCCTGAAATCCACCCAGAACCGTCAAAGAATTTTGGTGGTGAGCGTCGATGGTAAACACTGCTTGCCAAAACAGGCGCCCCCACACAGTGGCGTTCCACTCAAGTTAGACAGCCATGGTGGTTTGAATAACCACTTTCAATGCCTTTCAGCGCCCTCGTTGTCTAATGGTTATGACGTCAGACTTCTAATCTGGAGGTTGCGAGTTCGAGTCTCGCCGGGGGTATTCGGTTGCATACGCACATGAAGGCGCTACACTTTTTGCCCCTTTTGCCCTTTTCCGTTTCCTTTGCTTTCACGTTAAACTTACAGTGCTTTGCATAAAAAGTATTGCAACTCCCGACATGCAAGCCATGAAATGCACCAAGTATTGATTAGTCCCACAGTCCGCGGATCCCGACTTTCACTACTCGCCAGAGATCACATTGGCTGTAGGAGCAAAACCCTGAGTTCAATTGTGAATCGACTGGCGTGGGCGGGCATATGATGGCTTCCTATTGTTTTCGCCTCAGGAGACTTCCTAGGGGTAGGGACGGCGATAAGCCTATGTGGCGAATCCTTATTGTCTTCGATGAACCGACGCGGCAGCTTCTACTGACTTCGATCACGACTCAAAATAGCTTCCATTACCCGATGAACACAATCTGTAGGAGGATATCCATTTGTCCAGACAATTAGACGGCCTCTTATTATGGGCACCTCCACCAAGAATGCCGGTCTCCTCTATCCCCCTCGCCTCTCGTCTTCCTCCCTTGTAACCTTGGCCACATACGGTTGCTACTGGAACGGTACGTGTTTCGTCTGAAGTTGGATATTGAAACGCTAAGCCTGGAAAAAGCAGCAGTATGGCTTTCCCTACACTGACGACCTCGAAACATTATCCTTCTCTCAACGTTGGAGGGCAATCAACGTCACGATCCTTTCATCTTCCACGAATTAAGGCTGCTGTAAGTGTCCTTTCTCTCATTGAATCCACCCCCAGCTCATATTTGACTGGCAGGCTGCACTGCTACGACACGGCCAATCTAATGTTAACGAACTGAGATCCCAGAATTCGCTCCAACCGATTTCGCGTCTCCCCGAGAACCTGCTGCGCAGGATATTCGCCCTAGTCGCTTCCTCGACCATCGGTCGGGCCGCATCCCAACTGCCCCTCCTTCCCCCTCGTGGGCGCAACAGTGGGAGCTCACCATGGAGCTGGGTTGTCCTCACGCATGTCTGCCATTCATGGCGGTCTATTGCTCTCAGCGACATCGACCTATGGCGACACGTCGATTTTTCCCATCCAAAGTGGCTGAACATCACCCTTTCCAGGGCGAAGATGCAGCCTCTGGACATCCGGGCTGAAGTCGGGCGACATAACATCGAACACCTCCATCGGACCCTCCAACTCGCACACCGAATTGGGAGCATAGAAATCGACTCGTCCCTGCACCATATCCATGTCCTTCTCTCGAGTCTGGCCCATCCCAATCCTCATATTCGGTCCATCACCGTCAGGGTAAACACCGCAGGCCACGGAGTCGAAGACAGCGTCTACGACGAACCTGCCTTCCCCATGGTCGGTCCCGCTCTACCTGAAATGACCTACCTCGAACTCCATTCCGCTCCCTTCTACCTTGTCTCTGGCCGCTACACTTCGTTAACGAATTTGCATCTATACGACTTCACGCCATGCCAACGACCCACGCTTCAACAATTCATTCATGCACTTTCCAGATACCCCAACCTTGAACATTTAACGTTGGACAATGCTTTCCCACTTGCTTCAAATTCTGTTCCGTTCCCTAGAGGATCGCCCACGCTCGGCTCTCATAGCCCTTCCCTTTCATCCTCCCCCCTTTCGAGAGCCGGGTCCCCGACAACCTCTCCTCCCGCTGAAGCAAGACTTCAGATCACCCACCTCCGAACTCTGCGATTGTCAGGTAGCATCACTGACATCGCGGCCATCCTCGATGCCGTCTTCCTCCCTCCAGACATTAAGATCTCGTGCAGGATCACCTCTCTAGCTGACTGGGAGCAGTCTATTTGGAGGCTATCCCAAGCCTTAAAGGTCCACTCATACGCTGCCGCTTCCGCGGGACGAATCCCCGACACCGTCATTCTAAGCGGGCTGGAAGAGCAAGCGTATCCTTCAATCATGGCTAGCATGTCCCCACACGGGAACTCGTGTACTATCCAAGGTGCAAGGATCTATGTATACACTAGGTTAACCAGGGAGAGGCACGGCAGCCCATCTCCTGGACATAGTGGGCGTAGGAGAACACCATCCCCCTCTTCGGCGGCTAGCCAGCCAAACCTTTGGTTAGACCTCTCCATCGGACCCGACCACTCCCACCCCTCCCGCTCCACCGAAGAAGTCGTCATCCGAAACTTATCCAATGTCTGGAGTGCCCTCCCCGTATCTAAAGTCCACACCCTCGTGCTACATGATCTCGACTTCATCACCCAGAAGACATGGACTCACTTTCTCAAGGACTTGCCGTCTCTTCGTGTAGTGGATATTGCGGGCCACGCCCCATCAGGTTTTGTATGGGCTCTACTTTTGAACGCGAACGCGTGTGTGCAGCGGGAGGCGAAGGAGAGGGAAAGGAAGGAGAAAAGGGAGAGGAAAGCAATGAGGACAGCCCTCAAAGCCTCCCGTGCTGCTTCTGCTTCGCCTGTGCCAGTCGATGATCTTTCTAATTCGCCTCCCTCTCTCCCACTCGATGACGGGCAGATTTCTACTATCTCCCCTTCGTCCTCTCCACCACCCCTGACTCTCCCACTTTCTCCTATCTCTCCACTCTCCCCTGTCCCTGTCGCCTCCCGCAAACTCTTCATCCCGAACTTGAGGGATATCTACATCCGTAACGTTGACTGCTCGAGTGGAGGCTACATGATGGCGCCCGACGCACCCGTCAACTCCCTCTTCGACCTCGACGACTCGAGGTTCCTGGACGTCTTGTATACATGCTTGCAGGCTCGCGTCAACGCTCAGGAACGGCCTGTCGGGTCGCCTAATAGCAGAACATCCCTCCACCATCCTGCACGCGATGGTTCGACCGGGCACTCACCCTCTTCTTCTTCTTCTTCTTCGCCAAGACCCGTCGAAGACGTCACCAGACTCCGAAGCTTGACCATCTCGAATTGTCGATTTGTTTCGAAGAGGGTGGCGCTGGACCTTCGAAAGGTCGTTTCGCATTTGATGTGGGACCAGAGGGGGATGGTGAAGGGTGATCAGGATGCTTCGGGGGAGTTGCAGGTTGCGAGATATCGCAGGGTAGGAGGTGGATTTGGGAGACCTGGTTCCCCTGGCACAACTCAGAACGGGCAGCCACCTGTGAGGCATTTTTATAGGCTGAGGACTCTGCTGGAGGAGATTTAATTTCATTTGATCACAGTTTATTTTACATCTGTTCTTTGACTTCGTTCTGCGCTATGCGCACTTTTTGTACAGACCTCTGGGTTAGTTCCTTGAAGGAACCATACCCGCCTTGTTTTCTGTCTTGTTTCCTGTACTGCCTGAGGCTGTAGGTATTATTTCGTTCACGACCTCTTTCACGAACTGTGTTCCCGATGTACTTTATACACACACCACTCGATACCCCTGCATGTTCATTTGTACCATTAGTGCCATTGCTAAATCACGCCCACGGGCATCTTCCAGATGGAATATCGTTTTTTGCACTCGTAGATATCACCACCTCGTGACCGCTGAAGTTTCCGAACCAAATCTATATGAATTAAATCGAGTGACTGGACGAGTGTTGGTGAGACGATACACAGAGATAGTCTACTAGATGAGGGGTGGTTAACCTGGACAACAACGACAACAGCATGGAATAGCAGTTGAAAGCAAAAGAAAGAAGTGAAGAGGTGATTATGTGGAAAGAAAAGATTGTGTGTGCTACGTTACGTATGTATGTACCAATGTACCCAACAGTGTCCCAGTGTCTTGTATGCAAGATAGAAGGGGTGAAAAGAAATAACAAAAAATATCGCACTTGTGCCATGGTAGTCTCGTTATGGTCTCCTATCCTTACTCCTAGGAACCGGAGTGGCTTCCTCCTCTGCATCATGCATCGACTTGAAGTATCGGTCCATGTCGGCCTCGTCGAAGTCAGTCCCACTCGCCGCATACGAAGGTTTCTTCCGATGTCGTGGCCGTGGCCTCTTTCCCATCTGACTGCCCGCCCTACCACTCGCATGGCCCAGCCCCTCCACATACCCCTCACCAATTTCATCCGCACCATACTCCTCCCGACTCACGTTCCTTGTGTCCGTTTCACCAGGAGCGGCATTACTGTTATCCTCAGGCTTCTTCCCTCCAATCCTGAAGACCCGCTTCCTTCTGGCTTTAGGCACGACATCCGCTTTCGTCTTTCCTAACCTCGAAGTGGCGGCCCCCAAACCGACGATACCAGCGGTAGTCGTAAGACCCTTTGCGCGTCCTAGACTTCCACCGCCGCTTCCACTTGCCAACCCTATTCCCCCACCTGCCATCCCGCTTCCTCCTCCTGCTCCACTCGTGCTAGGTGTCGGTATCCCCGATCCCGACCCACTCTTCACAACAGCAGACGCAGCGCCGCTCCCCCTCGGCGGCCCACTCCTCACGGCGAAGTGCTCGAAACTTCGCGTATAAGGTGATAACGTATGGTTTGAATGCGAGAGTGTAGAGAGGTGGTGGATGGAGTTGTTCAATAACGAAGGTCTCAACACGATCTTCGCCTTGTCGTTACCAGGGTGGTTCGATATACTCGAGGAGGGATCGAGTGAAAGGGAGGAGTGATTAGGGTGGTGATGTTTGTACGCGGAAGAGGCGGAGAAGGATGTGCGGTTGGTGGTGTTGGAGGAGACGGAGAGGCGGCGCTTGATGGTCGATGGTGGGCGTGCGGATGAGCGGGGCGGTGAGGAAGGGGGGACGGAGGCGCTTGGGTGCCTAGAAGTGAAATAGTCGTCGTGCGCTTCATGTCGTGTTCGGTGCGCTCTTGGGTGGTAGTGGTGCGGACCTCGACCGTTATCTTCTTCATCGCTATAGTCTTCTATGTCTTCGTCGTCGTATTTGGACTCACTCTGGTAGCGGTGCCGCTCGAGGTCGTAAGGGTGCGGGTACCTGTTAACGGCACCGCCGGTATGTTGCATGTAGACGGCTTCTTCGTGGACGGAGTAGGCGTAAGATGCCCGTTGTTTCATCTTGACATCTTCATGGCCATCGTAACCACCAGCGAGAGAGAATGGCCTCCGTGAGCTACTCGCGATAGGCGGCGCGCTGAGAGGCCCGGAAGAGATATTCTGAGGTCGGTAGATATGCGGTAGAGCCGCAAGGCGGTCTGCAAAGTACGGGTTACTTGGGTTCCGTGAAAGTATACCGGGTGTGACAGCCCCAGAACGACTCCCATTACTGCCACTTCCTGTTCGAGAAAGGACGGTGGCGACGTTTCTTGATGGTGAGGACGCGACTGGTGACACTCCAGGCGGGAGTTGGATCTGCGATTGGGCGTGGACGACACGGGGTCTGGTAATAGTTCCTCCACCAATAGCAGGGATAGTTTCGTATTCTACAACTGGTTCTGGAGGTGTAGTGTTCGGGCCGGTGGTACTTCCCCATTCGACAAAGTCGTAGGAATTACGCTCGTACTCTTCCTCATCGGTTGCTGAGCCCGAGGAGAGATAGTCACTGTCACCATCAGCCACACTACTTGACTGTGACGATATCTCCTCGGCGAGGTCCGCCAAACCTTTGTTCGGTGCAAAGAGTTTGCTGAAGCCTTTGAATACTGGTTTGGTGGGGAGACCTTCGGGGCGAAGGCCATATGTCGGATCAAAGTGTTCAAGGTCTGGGAATGTGCTGGGTTCAGCAGCAGTAGATGTTGAAGTGATAGTGCTTGTGGATGAATTGGTAGGGTGGGTGATAGGTGGAGCAGATAGTGGAGAACCACGTCCAGCGACTGATATCCCTGTCGTTGATTGTGGTCGCCGAGGGGCAGTTGCGAGTGGCGGTCGAAGGAAGGCAGGTCCATGGATATCCGAAGCTGCTGTTCGCCGTCTGTCAAATTGTGGTGCTGAAAGATCTGGTGTTGACATCGTTTCGAGGGCGTGTCCTGCAGAGCGCGACCGGCTGATTCCAAGTGGCCTAGGCACAGGTTCTGTTGGTGTAGGAGGTGGAGCTTTCTGCAAAGAGTCCTGATTCTGTTTCTTGTACGGCGTTTCCACCTTTGCCTTGACCCATTGTTGACTTAGTCGGTGGATGATGGACGGGAGGTCTTCCCGGAACATTTGCCTCAGCTGACCCTCAATTTCCCGCTGAATGAAGCTCTGTATAACGGCGATGGAATCGAAAGTAGAATTGATGTCGACATTTTGAAGAGGATCCGTTTTGAAGACGATTGTAATTCCCTTTTGCTTTGAGACAACCAGGACAACATAGGAAGACAGGCGAAAGTGTGACAGGCGGAGATGCATCGGGACCACGAGGGGCTGCTTAGCGGCGAGCATTCCTCGTGAACCTGACAGTTGGTGGATATCAGGGAGTTTATGGTTTAATGGATTCGCCTAGAAAACGCCTCTTGTTTAATATTTGATGTATTGAACGGGAAAAGACAATAGCCTCACCTGGACCTTGGTTTTCAAAACGAGATGGGCGTCCCCGTTGTACGTCAGACGAAAAATGCCGCGAAACTGGTCCACTGTGAGGTCTCCAATGTCCCGAATCTCGAGTTCTGGGGGCTGTAGGAAGACATTCGTCAGAGGTCGAAGGAGCTTGGAGGAAAGAACTTGAAGACCTGTGTGCCCATCTCGAGTTCGACTACCTCGATTTTGTCGGCGATGATTGGTGGTTTATTGCCCTTATTGAGGGCTGTATTGAGCATTTGTATTGCATCGTAGTGAAACTGGTCTGAAAAGCGAGGCCAGTTAAAGGTGAACGACATGAAGAGGCAGAAATTGCATCCAAGTTGACAGCTGAGAACAAAGGTGAGATTGGACTTAGGGTTGGGGTTAAGCCGAAACGGGTCTGTCAGGACTTGGCTGCCCTTCATATCTCAACTACAACTACAACTCTCCAGCCGCAGCCTAGCTGCTCGTCGTCATGAACGGCGTCCGTAGGTTCCTCGGTGCTGCAACTTCTTCTTCCCAGTCACCGCCTCAAGAGCCCCAGACGCCGCCCCAGCAGTCCGCTGCACCCCTCTTCTCCCCCAAGGTCGCGACAGCGACGGCGAGCCCGACTTCCAATCCCAACTGGTCCCCGTCGCACAGTGGAGGTCTCTCCTTCTCGAGCAGCCCCAAATCGACAGCTGCCCTGTTCCTCAAAAAGGACAGGCCGAAACCACCAATACCCAATGGCGACAACGTCAGTCTTCATAACAGGTCGGACAGCTTCACCAGGTCATCTGGGTACGCAAGATCGCCATCGCCCATGGGTGGGACCGGACCCAACTCACCGTCATCCATGACCTCCTCGCCACGTCGGGTGCCTGTTCCCAGTGAACATACCCTCAGCAGAGCCTCGACATCGGCTAGTTCATCTCAATGGAACCCGAAACGAGCTTCCGGACCTCTCAATACAAGGGATGAGCTTCTTATGAGTCTTATGGCAAGCGAGGCTGTTGTAGACTCGCGGGAATACCAGATCCTGGGCACAGAGGAAGTAGAGGAACTCAAAAAGGTATGTACTCGTCACCCCGGGCCTCTTCTGATTAGGATCGCTGACAGGGAAGCAACGCTCGTATGAAATCAGGAACATGCTGTGCTATCTTCCAGAGTCGTTGCCATGACCAAAAAATTAGCGCTCGAGACCAAAATTCGTGATGCAGCCGTCTCACTTTCCAAAGTCAACTCGGCACACAAAAAGGTTTCGAAGCAGACCGAGGAACAACTCGAAGCAGCCAACCGTCGCGTCGACACAGCCCAACGAGAGCTATGGCGTGTATCCGAACGAGCAAACGATGTGCAGAAACGGCTACTCGAACATCGCGCAGCGGTACTCAGTTTCTCCGTCCGGAACATGGAGAAGAAGATGTCACCATCCATCGGGAGCGAAGACTCAGGGTACGACTCGTCCAACCGCAGTACGCTCATGAGCCCTGCAACCGCCATATCCTCTGTTTCGTCATCATCCAAACAGTCTAGGTTTGATGGTGCCCACCTCTTTGCCGGCCATGCGGACGCCATCGTTCCAAAACGTAAGCTCTCCCCCGAGGAGGCTTCGAAGGAGATATCCGCCCTTGAAGACAAACTCAAACGCGCCACCGAGCAGCTCGCCCAGGCTTCCAAAGTCCAAGGCGAAATGAAGAAGGAACTTTCGCATCTTCAATTGGAGAAGGAGGAGGTGGAGACGATGATGCGACTGGAACTTCAAACGGCGGAGGATACCATCTCGGCACTGGAGGCGGAACTTCCGAGACTCGAAGGTCTTGACCAGGAGATCAAGACGCTGAAGCAGGAGAAGATCTCATGGGAGGAGGAAAGGCGACAATTGGAAGAGCAGGCGAGGGAGGCACAAATGCTGAGGGAGCGGGTGCAGGAGCTCGAATCAAGAGCAGTTGAAGCCTCTGGTGGCTCAGAGAAAGTCCTGACAGATCTGCGAGAAGCTCATCAACGCGAGCTCGCCGAAAAAGATGCTTACATCAAGGAGCTCAAGGATGAATGGAACGAGGAGCGCGAAGGTTGGAATCAGGAACGCTCCGCTATGGAGGACGAGAAGATGGATGACCTCTCCCGCCTTCACGAAGAGATGGACCGTCTACGCGAAGCTGACGAGCAAGTTCTGCAACAAGCGAACAACGAACTCAACACCACTCTCAACTCGCTGCGGAGCGTTGTCGAGCAATTCAACATCCGAATTCCAGCCCGAAACTCTGCTACATCCGCTATGCAAAGCCTCATTATTGCGATCACGATGCACCTGGAGGAAATGGATCGGGCGACTGTGAGCAGACAGCAGTTTGAGGCTGAGATGCGCGCGGCTAGGGAGAAGGAAGAGTCGATGGTTAAGGAGCTGGAGCAGGTCAAGAAGGAGAAGGAGTCCTTCAAGCGCGACACGATGGCTTCTTCACGGACAATGTCCATGTCGAGCGACGTTTTCCGTCCACCCCCATTGCCCGTCGGGCCTGTCGTCACCCCCGAAACAACCGAGTACGGACCCGATGTCGAAGGTGCGAAGTTCATCGAAGCTTTGCAGCCGCTATGGGCCGTCCTTCCTTCACCCGAAGCCAGAGCGTCGAAGTTTGGATCTACTTCTCGATACCGCGTTGGCTCGCCTTCCATCCCCAGCGCATCTCTGCCTGGCGCCAGCGGCGCCAATCCCAACGGCAACACTGCCATCACCTCCGGTCCTCCAGCATCGCTCTCCGACCTGGACGTTCGCTCCCTCAAAGCGCTTTACGACCCTCGCAACAGAGCCAAAAACGAGCCCAACAATGGTGCTTTCACCTTGGAAGGCTTCATCGTTCGCGTGCAGGCCCTCATTGCTGACGATCGCGCTTTGATCGAGCGCCTCATCCGGTTCGCCCAAGCGCATGACCTGTTGAAGAAGAATGCCGAGAGGGCGCAGAAGCTTGCTCAAGACGGAAATGCGGCGCTCGAGACGTATCAAAAGCAAGTCAAGCAGCTCGAGGCAAGAAATCAGAATTTGCTCGAGAAGTTGGGCGTTATGTGAGTTTGATTTTCTCCTCGTTCATGAGGTATTAATTCTGACTATTCGACTCTTGTTGCAGGCAAGCGGAAATTCAATACCTCAACGAAAATGCCGAGCGCATCACGGCAGAGAAACACCAAGTCGAAGCACATGCAGCAGACCAAGCCGAGGAAATCGCCCAACTCAATGAAGCCAACAACAAACTCTCCGCCCGAGCCCTCACGCTCGCTGAGGAAGCGGCCAACGCGCCCGAGCCCATTCGCAAACAACTGGATGAATGTAGGCGGCAGTTGGAGGAGAGCAAGAGGCAGCTGGAGGATATGAAGAGGCAGCTGAGTGAAAAGACGAAGGAGTGTGAGAACGCGCAGGAAGAGGTTGAGGCGATGAGGACTGCGGAACAAGGGCAGAGGATTGCACTTCTGGATGAGCTGAACAGTGTGCAGACAGAGAACGGTCAGCTGAGGGCACAACTTCGGGCGGCCAAAGCTGGTCGGTAGTGGTCATCCCTTGAACCCTTAACAGCTGTATCTCTCCTGGGCCCATCTCGTGGTTCTCTTTCTGCATCCCGTTCCTTTCTCTGGCCTGGTCGCCACTCACCCGCTCCATCTCGCCAAAGCTCGTTTCCTTTTGTCATCACTTATCCACTCTGTCACCACTCCCTGCATAGAACTTCACTTTCATTATCGTCTCAGTATACTGCTTTGGAAATTTGCATCAGTATCAGTACCAGTATTATTTATTCCGCTCCTTTTTCTTGCTTAATATTTCTCTGCTCTCTTCCGGTATGCTACGTTACAATACCCCATCCCTTCCTTTCACATCCACTTTCATCGCCAACATATTGCCATAGCGTGCGCATACCCATCAAACCATACATTGATTCCCGTTCTGCACTCTGTTCATGCGATGTTTCAACGTATATCTCCAAGGCCCTGGTGGATTCTTGCATATAGTAGTCTCTGTTACCTATTTCTCTCTCTCTCATTTTTCTTTTCCCTCGTCCATTTCGTTACTTCTAGTATCGTAAAACTTGTATACACCTTGGTCAGGATCGCATATGTTTATATAGCAGCACTTCGACGAACTCTACGTATATCACGAACTGTTAATGAATTCTTTTCTTTGCGATGCTTCCAGGATGATGTGAGAAACACGAAGTATTATACATGTCATGGAAGTTATGGAAAATGAAGAATGTACAGAAAATGAGCGGGGATGGTTGTGTGACAGGGAAAATGATATATGCAGAGGCGACAGCAACAGCGGAAAATTGGTTACATGTCAAGTGTACAACAGATATGATAGTGTTCGTGCTAGAAATACAACAGAACTCACCATGTGTGCCCAACTTTGACGAAAGTCCCTCCCCGACCTTCGAATCCAACATCCTCACCCAGCGTCCAACCTTCCAAGACAAACTCTCGGCGTCCGAGACGGCAGATCCGCGTTCCCAACAGGGTCCGCTTTGCTTCCGTCCAGGGCAACATCACGGTCACGTCCTTCCTCCTTTAGGTTCTAAAACCTCCATTCAAAAACCCCATTTATGTCCGTTCATTTGCCTCGCTTTGAACTCGTTCGACATGGGTTCCCGAGTTGAAGTGGTCCAGACACATCGATCGGCCCTTTCGCCAGCGATTCCTTTCGTCTTCGTACGCCCGAATGTTCACTTTCACGACACGGCCTTGAGTCTCGACCATGACTATTCGGTTCGCTCGTTCGTTCACTGCTCCGTCAACGTTTGGTGGCGTGGTCACGGGTTTTCAGAGGCCCAATCCCATATTCGGCATCGACGGTGACCCCATAAGCGTCGTCGAGAACCCTGGAGGGATCGCCTGCAGCCCCGGAGGGACCTGGACCCCTGGCGACATTCCGTGCACGTTCACGTTAACCGCGCCGCCCATTCCAATTTCAGCCGCCGGCATTAGCGTTGGCGACGAGGAGGAGGTTTCGAAGTCCTAGAAAATCGGAAGAGGTAGAGTGCAGAGACGTGTCCAATTCCAGGGTAACAGGCATCGAGTGATAGTAGGGATATAGGGATATACGAGAGCGAGGGATATAAGAAAGAAAAAGGGTATCAATCAGTATGGTGTTATCAGGCCAAGCGACCATCAATACCCACATCCACTGTGGTTTGAGGCAATGAAAGAGCAGAACGAGGTCAGAGTTGGGAGAAGAGGAGGAGATGACAGGTTAGCATGTAGCCCGACAGTGACTTCACTGAAACGTACCATGCATACTAGGCAACCTACTCGTATTCAGTCGAGCTGAAGGCACCTGTCTCAACTGCCTGAAATCGTTATTCGCATACGTCTTCGTTAACCCAGTCGCCGCAGGACTCCTCAACAACGCCGTCGGTGGTGAAATCACTGTCCCTAGAATATCGGGTGTTTTATTCCCCGCCCTTGGTGTCGAAGGCGTGTTCTCCTCCACGTTGGTGCTGTTCGGATTGAACACGTCTTGCAACGCATTCAACGAAAGTCTAACGTCTTCGGATTGGAGTTCGACAATGGGAGGAGCGAACACTTCGTCTTCGTCGATCGTTATGCGTGCTTGGATGTCAGAGATGGCTGTGTCTTTGTTGAGTTCGAGGAGGGAGAGGAAGTCGCACAGTGCTGAAAAGTCGTCGGTCTTGAGGCCTTTGAGTGTGGAAAAGCTCTTGTTCTCTTGGCCCATACACCATTCGAGAAGAGACATCAAAACTGAACCTATTTCAGGATCAAGGATCGTACTCGCTTGGCGGGAAAAGGCAGCCAACGCAAGTCCGACTTCCAGCGGGAAAGCGTCGGAGGGTATCGAAGGGGAAGGGAGGCTTTGGAGAAGTGGGATGAAGTGGTCCAGAACGCCAGGAGTGTTGGGATCCACCTGTGCGATTCTAAGCAGGTGAAGGAGGAGGGAGATTCGTAGGTCAAATGGGAAGGATTGCTGGTTGGCTTCCTTCGCCAAAGCCTGAACTAGGCGAGTAAGCGATGGGGAGGTGTAATGACCATGCAGCAGGACGTTGAAGACTGCTGCGAGTTGCGACGACAGATCTTCTTCAGACCCGATAGACCGGTACAACCACGAATGGATCGGTGATTCTGGCGAGGAAAGTCGCCACAAAAATTCAAGGCCCTCCACGGCCTGGTACCGAAGGAGAAGCTTGTAGTCCTCCGATGACGCTTCCGCGGACAGGTCTTGAATAGTCTCCACCAAACCCTTGAGAAGCTCCGTTAACAGCCACTCTCCGACACCAATGACACCATTATCCAGTTCGACCAGCCGCTGAACAAATTGAAGTCTGCTGTCCAGGTCCAACAGGCGTACGAACCCTGTCAGCTCGGTCAGAACCTTGGGCAACACGGTGGTCACCCAATGGGAGGAATCGTGATCCATGTCAACATCCTCGGAAGCGGGTGGAGGTAGAATGTGCTCGATGATGTCGAGGACCTCGCGCACCTGATAGACAGGATCCAAAGGCGACGTCGAGAGTGAGGGATAGGACAGCAAAGTTCGCAGGATGATAAAAGCATTGGGTGACCCGACTTCCGTCTTCATACCCTCAGCAGACAGTGCCGCCAGGATATCCAAACATCGGCCTTTCACAGACAAAGCTGCGGCAACCACCGTTGACCTAGGAGATTGCAATTGCACGGCAAGGGTGATGCATGTACGCAGATTCACCACCGCCGTGGTTAGCGTCCGTAACGATCGACTCGTGAGAGGGTAGCCGATTGTTAGGGAGCTGAGTAGACCCAGGGTGTCCCGGGCAGTGTCGAATAGCTGAATGAGGAGCCGATAGTTGACTTCCAGCATGGGATTCACATCGAAGTACTTCGTGATGTCGTCGGAGATATCGTGTACAAGGTCGACCAAGCGAGGTATCAGTCCATGAGCTTCCTCCTCCCAGAGGTTATTGAGTACTCGCAACTCTCCATTGTCTTCGTCCTCCTTGATTTCCTTCTGGATGATGGCAACCGACACTCGAAGTGTCCGAAGCCGGCGAAGGGAGAAGGGGCGGTCGCTCGTAAACAACAACTCTTCCACCGCGGATGGTAGACCATCTTCAGCGACAAACGCATTCTTGCGTAGCGCCAAACGATCGTCTTCGGTTATGACTGAGAGCGGCTGCTTGAGGTCAATGATAATCTTGTAGAGTTCCTCCTGGAGGATGGCGCGCGGACTCTCAGCGAGGCGCATGAGGATCCTTTCCGCGAAGATGCCCGACTTGCGCGGAGGATCGCTGTCCGAGATGATCCAACCCAACCGGCGCGTGAGTTGTCGCAGGTACAGTAGATGGTTGAGGATCTGCGCCTGTGTGTTAGCAACGAATCGAAGCCAGCAAACCGCCTTTACTCACATCAGAGTAGCCTTCTACATCTTGCCATATGCTAAGGACTGCCAATATCCGCTCACGGCAATGGTCCACACCCAAGCTATCGGCCCATGACCAGGCTGAAAGTACGCTGACAACGCCTACAATGGCCCGGACGAGAACCAGGAACTCGCCTGTGGTATTTGGCCGTGCCTCCGGCTGCGTCAAGCTGGGAGGGAGCTGCTGCACATCAGAGAAGGCGGATGAGAGCTTCGACACGAGGTTGCTGTTCAGCAACATGCACGATAGCCAAATTCCAGTCGAGTTCTCCTCAGAGGTGAGGTCGATGATAAATTCAGCGGCGCTTTGGAAGTCTGCAGCTTCGTTGGTAAAGGCGTCTTCGAAGTGTCGCCACCCAAGTATTCGCTGCTCGAGCTTCCGTGCGGCGGACTTGACGTATTGGTCGGCTGTTGAACTCTTTCGGAGGTTCTCCAGAACGCCGAGCATGTTCTGGTTGTTGAAGTGATTTGCAATATCGCTGTTGGCGCATGCGTCGAAGAGGCAGAGGATAGTTGTTTCGTCCTCGAGCGTGTCCTCGTCAAATATTTCCTCCATATTGAGGTTCTCCTGCTTAAAATTAGCCCCAAGCATCAGTTAAGGTTTCTTGAGAACCCACCAAAAGTGTGCGCGCCATCTCAGGCTGCTGCGGTGCGGCAATGCTAAGTAGTTTTGCAATCCAATAGGCATGGTCGTTGTCCTTGAACACATTTATAACTACTGCATTGGAATTAACGAAGGGCACTCACCTTTGGACCTAGAAAGTCATTCACTCTGTCCACCAGTGTCAAGAAGGTATCCTGGGGCAAGTCGTCTGGTATAGGCCTGCTGACTGAATTGACCACGCCTTCAAGGTCGAAATCAGAGTCCCTATCCTCCAAGTCTGCGTAAAGATCCGGGAATTCAGGGTCGTCCCAATCCTCGTCAGAAGGTTTCAAGCAAAACATGAGACGAACAACGAGCGGTAGCCGTGGGGGATTGGGAATCAGTGCAAGGAGTTTTTCTGCCAATGCTCTGGGTTCAGTAGAGTTTGCTGGGTCCAAGTTTCTGGAGAGTGGGAAGGGCTCGACGATGGGGAGTGTTTTGGGTTCATAGGACAGGACTGGGGGCTTCTCTGCGACGACATGACCGTATATTGCCATAGACAGGACCTCAAAGTTGCCTTTGATTATCATCAGGCGAGTTGCATACTATAGATTCTTCAACAACGTCCTCAGGAAGCAAGGTCTAAGAACACACCTCTGTACCCATATCTATTGCAAAGTCCATCTGGCCCCCGGCGTAGGCTATACTGGTAGGTACCAGGGCATTTGGTGCCCGCTGTTTCTCTTTACTTTCACCTCCAGGCTGTAACGCTTGCGCATTGAAGAATATATCGAGAAAGAATGCTTCTGGCTCCGTCTCCCTGAACCGATGGGTCAACGTTTGGGTGATAATTTCCCCACAATATAAATGACATACGCGACGACGTCTGGTGCCTGTTTGAACGGCCTGGCGCCCTTTGGAAAGACCCTGAGCGACGTTATCTGAATGGGTGCTGAGAACCTAATGGCTGCAAGATTTGAAGGGCCCTGTGGTCTGAGTGAACACCATTGTAAGAGGGACATTGAGTGAATTCAACTTGAAGTTGCAGTTGAAATGACGCGAGCGACCCAAGCGGCTCTCGGTGCCAAGTGTTCGGCCAAGTCCGAAAAGGCCAGATGCGCAGTCCGCCGGTCTCTTTCCTCCAAATATTTCTGTCTTCTTCCTTCAACCTTTCCCTGTTACCAGTTTTTCGTTTTTCTTCTTCTTTTAATGAACCGTCCAGCATCTATCAAACTCCCAATGCTCGACATTCAAGAGCCACCAAAGCACAAACCACCCACACTGCGCTCCAGGGGACGGAGCAACAGTATCGTCAAGGTCGAGCAGATCGGTGACCGTTCTGTGGAGGAGGTCCTGGACCGGAACGTCTATGTCAATATCAACGCTGACTGGGTCAACGCCAAAGGTACGGCCTGGACGTCTGTTCGCTGGCATTGGGGACCGTCGCTGACACTGTTCTCTCAGGTGCCTGGCTAATCCATGTCGTTCTCATCCTATGTGGCAAGATCTGTATCGACACAATACCCGGGATGACCCAGCAAGTAAGCTGGACGCTAGTGAACCTTATGTATCTTGCAGTACGCACTCCTCCCTCTTCGCTTTCGTGTACATGGCTCACTCAACCTTTTCATTTCGCTAGGTGTCATATCTCATGTTCCATTGGGTAACAGGTATCCCCTTTGGAGACAATTTACACGCAGGAGCCTATGACGAGCTCACTCTCTGGGAACAAATCGACGACGGTGCACAATATACACCAGCGAAGAAATGGCTAATCTGCGTGCCAATATCCCTGTACGTCGTCTACCCTCCGAGCTTTCGGCGTCTTTTAGCCTTTTAGACTCCCATCTCACACGACACCTCTAGCTTCCTCGCCTCTACTCACTACACCAACTACAACCCATGGCTATTCGCTATCAACCTCTCAGCTCTCGTCCTTGTCTTGATACCCAAATTGCCTCAGGTACGTCCAGGACAGCCCAGTTTGGATTACGTGCTTTTGCTGACGTTTTGACGCTTTCACTCTACTTAGCTGCATCGGCAACGAGTTCGATTCATGGCTGACGATTCCACCGCTTCGGGCATGGCCACACCGACAACCCCAACCTTCCCCTCATCCGGAACTACCACCCCTCTTATCGAAATCACCGCCGCAGACTTTGCCGGTTCCCGTTTCCAATGAACTTGTTCCGTCAAGAATAGCCACTGTCGCTTTCTCCCCACGTATGCACACCGTTTCTCAAATCTTTCTTTTTATCCTCCTTACCCGCGGTCTGTGGCTTGTTACTTGGAAATCAACCTTCCGTACTCTCCTCTCCTTGCCCAGACCTCTCGTTTGTTGGTTGTAACTCTAGACTCTAGAGATCATCAGCAAAATTCAATTTACTAGCAAGTGAATGCCATTGTAACTAATACATAGATTCCGGGTCGTCATTTCGCTCGATTACCCTTTTGCTATCTAGTCGTATAGCACATACATAATTTGGATACCGTGCTATAAAACCCATATAATACAGGTATATAAATAATCCCAAAGGACTTTTTTTAGTGCTCAGCTCCTTCACGAGGACGCTTCGGTCGGAGCGTTCGTTGGAACACGCTGATATTGCTGCAATCGGAGGCTAGAGTTGGCATAGATTAATCTCTTTCCATTCCAGACCCGAGTAGCACTCACAGATTCCTGAGCAACATAAGGATAGTGACCTTGCCCACAGCGGGGACGTAGATCGAGGCCTGGCGCAAGGCACATTATCAGCTCACAATTCCAATATAAACCCCTCCCACCACAAATGGTACGACAGCACGCAAACATCAGTAAAAACAGACCTTTTCACGAACGTTCGCCTCAAAGTTTTTGTCAGCGGCTACGTTGAGGCAGATGCATCCGGGCTTGAGCCATTCGGTCTTGACTTTGTAGGTGGCGCTAGGCACGGCCGATACAACGACATCGGAGACGGCGAGGCATTCTTGGAGCGTCATGTTGGTCGGCTGGACGATGTGTCGGGGGTGGTAGCGCTGAGCGCCTTCGGTATCGGCGGTAACTCGGGGTCGCTTAGTGTATTCCTAAGAGGCATTGTCAGTACGGCGAAGGAATGAATAAGCGAAACGCATTGGGTTACCTGGATAGAGTCGATATCCACGGACAAAACCCGGGCACCATCGTTGGAAAGCAAAGCTGCGAGAGGTCGTCCCACAACTTCAGATCTATATCCCCACTCAGAACAATGATCCACTATACGCAAAGAAGAACTCACCGGTTGATGATAGTAACAGTCTTCCCATAGGCACGGTCGCCGTAAGGAAGGATCCTGTTATACACTCCAACAAACTCGAGGCACTTTACGATAGCCAACGGCGTGCAAGGGATGATGGACTTGACCATGCCTTCGGGAGGAACCTCGCCATCTATCGTCGAGGTCGTCTCGCACGGAGCAGAGACGGTGTTCAACAACGATTCAGGCTTCAAGAATCGGATGCTACAATCAACGAGTTTGTTCGTCTATCCCTGTGGTAGGAGGATGGGTTTTGCGTACTTGTGGTAAAGGTTGTAGTGGAACTTGAAGTGAAGACCTTCAACGTCCTTGAGGGGGGAGACAACCTAATCAAACCGTAGTTGGCGACACAGTATATATTTCGACGGGATTTCGACGTACTTGTTGCAAGTAGTGGTCCTAGTCAACGGAGAGCATAAGACTCCGGACTCAAATCAAGACAATCGAGGTCGTACAAACCTGCTGTGCACCGAAGATAGGATAGTACACCTGGATGGAAAAATTGGGGGCTCTGATCAATCTCTCTATTGACAATCGAGGTAAGAGAACCAAAAACTGACCATGATACCATGAACACTAGGATCCCCATTCGCTTCGATAATCGCCTCTTCCACCCCCTCGCCCTCGCCCAGCTCAGCTGAGAGCGCAGCCCCCGTCTTCTTCAACACAAACTCGACACCCAACTCCTCACACTGCTTCCTCGTAAACTCTGCATAATGCTTGCTAGGCGCAGATGAGGTGGACAAGATCCCAACCAGCTTGGGTCGCACAGAACACTGCGCCAAAGTACCTTTCACCTCGTCTCGAAAGGCAGCCGCGATCGGTTCGGCTTTCAGGAGCATGCCTTTGCCCGCTGCTGCTGGTGTGGTCATTGTCGTCGTTGGTGGTAGTGATACGGTCTTAGACTTGAAGATGAACGACAGATATAGGTTATTGAAAGAGACATAGTTTTGTCCCAGAGATGTACTGAAATAGTGACAACTCGAAATTTTTGCGATCACGACGAATGCTATTGGGTCCTTCGTGCGGGGAATGCCTTTATCTTATCTGATCTCGTATGCGTATGATGTCACGAGGAACCAGGAGAGCGAAAACGGGACGATTTCGTGATTTCAGATTGAAAGAACCATAGACTTCAGTTTGTGTACTATTCCCACAGAGTTCGCAACACATCTCACTGAATCTGTTCTCGTTCCCTGCATTTACCACGATGTCAACAAGCTTTGATTGGTATATAAGACAGGCTGAGAAAAGTATCCAGTGCAACAACATAAGGTACAGTATCGTCGGTTTGAACTTGGGGGTGAATGGAATGGCTATTACGAAGTTGGTGATCCTGTGAACCGGGTTTATCGCAATTGAGAAAAGGAACAAAAATAAATCCAGTCCATAGTCCTTGATTGTGTCCACTAGCAGGTATCATCACGTTGTTGAAGGTGCTTTCCCGTTGATATTGGGAGGGAGAGGCGGCACAGGAGGGATCTCCCGCGTTCTCGACGAAGGCGCACCGCCCTCCTCACTCTCGTCATCCCCCTCCGCGTCCGAAGGTTCGCGCGTCGACGCCTCGTCGTCTTCTTCTGCCATCAACTGTGCGGCCCGCTATAAACACAGGGAGGCGTTTGAAACGGAATAGCAAACGATCCCAGGAGTTACGAACCTTCATCGCCTCGGCTTCGTTGGAGTAGTGGCCCTTTCGTGCGCGGACGAAGGCTGCATGTTTGGCGGCGGCTGTTGGTAGCCTCGTATCAGTTTCATCTATCCAGAAACAAAGAGGAAATGAGGGAACTCACTCTCTTCGTCCATCTCGGGTTCAACTTCGATCTCATCTCCAACTGTGCCATCGAGTCTCAAATCCCTTCTCGCCTCGTTTGGCAGGTTGAAGCTCGTGCTCCGGCTGGAGGTTCCACTCCCAGGTCTGCCAGGGGTGCCGGGACGCCCCGAGCTGGATATCGAGGTACGACGAGACGAGGGTCCAGACGTATCGGCATTGGTCGGCGAAATGGACAGTGGAGGCGAACCAGCCTCCCCTCCCGAGCTATACCCGCTAGACAAGTTAAGGTGTGGGATGTCTGCAAGTTGGGGAGGAGTGTTGATCAGGGACTGCCATAAGGAATAGAATATGTTCGCCTACTCACCACCCTCAATTTCATCAGTAAGCGCATTGTACCGCACAAAGGGAGTCTTGGGTTCCGTGATCTTCATTAGACTATCTTTGTTGATCTCTGTAAGTGCAATGTTCTCCTCGTCCCATTGCAGCGAGCTAGGGATCTTCGTTAGCCATGATCTTGTAGGAAGAACGACCAGGGAATGACTCACTGTGCTGGTGCGGTATTTGAAGGCTGCTGAGCATTCTTCAGGATACCCTTTGGCTTGGGCAGCGAGGCTGAACGGCTCGGTAGTGGTCTGTTCTCTTCAGATCCAGACATCTTGTTAAAGAAACAATCGGTCTCGTGTGTGTCAAATGTTGCAAATCCAATCAACCGGCGATCCAAAAGTGTTTGTCGCTTTCAAACAAGGTTATCACCGAACTCTGTGTCAGTCGAGCTCGAGTTCGAGTGAGGAAAAGGAGAAGCTAGAGTCTGTTGTCCAGATGACTGAGGTAGTGGGATTCAAAGAATCAAACAGGGCAAGTTCGGTTTATATGACACACCCGGAACCTGATTTAGCAGTTGTCACCCATCGTGCGTGCCAACCGCACCTGCGCCACGCTTCAGTCCATTTATCGCACTTTCCATGCAGAGAACTCAAGAGTCGACAACGAGGTATGAAGTAATGAATAGTTGGTTTTCCAGCTCGAACTTTCCGGAAAGTGTTAGAATCGGTCTTTAGCATTACACTCGCTTGAGGCTAACTTTACTAGGTCAAATCATCCTCACCGCAACCGCAATTCCCGTTATCCAAGACGTTTCTCCTCTGCGTGAGCCTTTCCCCGCGGCCAGTAATATGCGCCTCTGCTTCAAACACCATCAGATCGTCAGGAGGCAGCAACTCGTTGCCTGTGGGTGCATATTCCATCAGGAGGCGGAAGTTCACACCTCGTCGCATCTAATCTAATCTAATCTTCGAGAGCCTGACGCCTCCGCTGTTCATTTCCAACCCACAACTTGGGAGCCCATCGAACCCAGGACAGGCGCCTGCCACCGCTCTACCAGTGACTTGGCCCAGTGCCCTTTTCCACCGCCTCGCCCAGCACACTAGGTATCCAGTTAACGGTCTCGATGCTCGAAAACGGGCCCAGCTCACCGAAACTGAAGGACCAAGCCGCAAAGCGGTCGGGTCCAACTGTTTCCTGTACACTTTTCTATCTTCCTCGTGAGGGCCTGCAGGCACTCGCTGTACACTCACCGGCGACGCCTCGCCGTGGATGCTGTGTCCATGGGCCTCACGCCCGGTTCTTGTGGGCTAAGGAACGTTCGTGGCCCGGCAGTCCCCCTATGTCCTCCCCGCTTTGTCTCAACTCAGCCGGCGGCACAGCATGACGTAGCGTAATTAAGATCGACAACTTGTGGTTTCCTCCATTCGGCCATGAGTCCGCGAACAGGACGAGGCAATTTCTGGCAGTTTGTACCTGTTCTGGTTATTACTATTGGTCTTTCATGTCGGCCTCACTACAGGAAAGTTGCTCCCAGTGCCCAAACTCGAGTCTCCGGCTGTTCTAGGGCTCAATGAGGACTTACTTGACAAGGGGTTCGGGGCTCTTGCAGGGTCCAACCGCACGACAAACGCGAGGAACCCGTTCTGAAGGCTGTGTAATAACAAAGTACCTGGAAATAATCCGCCAAGCCCAATGAATGGTCTTTTCGACCCAGAAAACGGACAAACCATCAAGAAGGGCTGTGTAATTTTAATGACCAAGACTCTATGCTCGTACCCCGTTTTTTTGACCAACTCGTGCTCAGAATTTGTTGGGGAGTTTAGGTATAAAGCCAGCCAGGTTTTGTCCAATTGAACATCACCGCTAACCGGTTTCTCATCTTCCACATCCCTTCCAGTCGTCTTTTCCCCTACACCCTTTACGTTTATTCACGATGCGATTCACCTACGTCGTCCCTGCTGTTGTGCTCGCCACTTATGGTACGTCGGCTTCTCTTTCCCTTTGCCTTGTTAAATCGACGTTGACCAAATCCGTACTGCTATAGCCTCGGCCGCTGCTGCTCCTCGAGCCATCGACCATCTCTTCCCCCGCCAACTTCTCCCCGAACTCGCTAACTTGGAGAGCATCCCTCCGCAATGCCGAGACGACTGCGACGATACCTTCGAGGCCATTAGCGTGAGTTAATAACGGTCTGCTGCCTTAGAACCACTTACTTACTTAGCTCCCTTTTTCAGCGCTGCGATAGGGCAGAAGGTGCCGACGCCATTCAATGCATCTGCCGCAACGACGTCTTTGACGACTTCGATGACTGCTACCCTTGTCTCATGAAGGAGTCAGGATCACTTCCCCCAGACCAAGTCCGACCCGCAGTCCGGGATTTCATGAAGAGTATGTGTCTTCCGCTTTAATATCTATGTTGGGCGCGAATCTGACCACGACACCCTCGGTAGGCCTCGCAATTACCTGCAGAACTGTCGGTCACCCCGTGTCAGGGTACGACTCTGATGATGACGGCCATATCTCTGATAACGACGACGATGACCGTCTGTCCGACAACGATGACGATGACCGCTTCTCCGACACCGACGACGACCATCTCTCCGACGACGACTCGGATGACGAGAACGGCATCCCTCGCACTCGTGGCGGCAACGGCCCAGCTTCCTCCGCATCTGGTGCCCCCGGATCCTCTCCAACTGGCACCCCTTCGTCATCCACCGGTGATGACGACGACGACGGCAATAACTCTGACACCGACCGTAATGGCGCTGGTGTCCGGGGTGGCCTGAGCTTGGGTGCTGCCGCTGTTGCGGGCGCTGGTGCTATCTTCCTCCTCTAGGCTTTGAGCTGCGACGGTTTTTGATATATCTTTATGACACGGACAATTTCATGGACACAGAGACTTTGATACGGACATGCGTATATGATACCATTATACCACGTCGACGACAATGTCTTTTGCACGATGTAGTTAGTACTTGATAGCGACACTGAATGAAAGCCTGGAAACATTGTATGGTTCATTTCCAACGCCTCAACTCTGGGCCAAACAAGCGCCAAACGCGGTGCGACTTGTAAGTACGCGGCCGTCTCCGACTTGCACATGTCCATCATCATAGATTTCCCTTTCCGAAGGCCCAACCTATAATGCGCTGTTGACCTTGCCCGCCGAACTTATGCACTGCAGGGTGTCGAAACCCGCGATGCCAGGTGGCTATGGCAAGAAAGGAAGACAAAGGCCCAAATCCTGCGATAGTCGGACGTCTGGGCGCTCTTCCCTGATGAGAGCCCGAAACGTACTTGTCACCTGTCGAATCCATACTAGGCTTGGAACTGGCTTGGTACGCTCACGCTCACAGGTGCCCACCGCCTTTCCTCGAATATTGACATCCTCAATCAATCCATTGGCTTCTTGGCTCTGCAGGGCAAGGACAGGGCGATGCGAGTTGGCACACATCGGACTGCCCGTGAGGATCGACGACTTGCCTCTTCGAGTCCTCGACGGCAGCGCAAGTTCCGTTTGTGGTTCTAATTCCGGGAGATTTCCGTGTTGCGCGCTTAATGTTGTTGGAGTTGCTACTATCCCTGGAAAACTGTCTTGGAGCCGGCGCTACAATTTCTGGGTATTCCAACTTTGAAAACCGCCAGAGTACCAACCCACTTTGCATTGACGGGAGACCACAAAAGCTCCAACCACCGTGCACTGCCAGCCTACATGCATGTAAGTAAGGGCTCAGGTACAGACTCGGACAATAAACTGTGTGCCGGCAGTGTCGTACCTGAGCGAAACGCGCCAAGTTTCTCTCAAGTGTCTTCCAACAACCCAGAAAAACGACCGCGAAATCAGCCTTCAGGGACACCGTCATCAGCGATGCAAGCGAGGTAAAGCCACTTTGATCCACCCGTTTTCCGAAATTTTGGGCTGTCAGGCGAGCGGTTTTGGTATAAAACCTGCCTGGAAAACGGTCTGTTCAGCTCAGCGGGTTCTTCTTCCCTCGTCCGAGTCCAGCCTCTCTCTCACCCCCCTTCACGTCTCCCTTTCACGATGCAGCTCACCCACGTTCTCCCCGCTGTCGTTTTCGCGACCTATGGTACGTTTTTTCTCGCTTTACGACGCATCTTTCGCCTTCGTTCTCATATCGTCCACTCCTACATAGCCTCAGCCGCTGCCGCTCCTCGCGCCTTGAACCAACTCTTCGCCCGCCAAATCCCAGAGATCGACTTTACGGACTTGGGCTCCTCTGTCCCTGCCTCCTGCAGATCCGACTGCTCAGCTGCGGTCCGTGCACTTAACGTGAGTTAGACAACGCATCTGTCCTCGCAAACACCGTTTCACTCAACGTTTTCGTTCGTTCTCAGGGCTGCCAGGAGATGACGGGCAACGACGCGCTCTCCTGCATCTGCAGCACCAGGGTGTTCGACTCGTTGCTCCAATGCTATCCCTGCATTATTGAGGAAACCACCGCGCTGAGCGACGACTATGCGGAGGCGGCGATGGAGGGTTTCACTGAGGGTACGTGCTAAACGACAGGATGAGTAAAGCCAAGGTTTAACCCCGTTGTCCGTGAATCCTCAGGTCTTGCTGAAGGCTGCGTTGAAATGGGATTCCCTGTGCCCGGGTACGAGGTCCCGGGAGGGTCCCCTGCCCGCCCAGTCGATGATGACGACGAGGACTTCTTCGACGACGAGGAAGACGAAACCCCCGCACCCCCGCCGACTCGTACCCGCGCCCCCGCCGGAGAAACCACTCCTACCCGAGTTTCCAGGCCCCCTCCTGTCGATGACGACGATGACTCTGATCGTCCCCAGGATATCCTCACTGGAGCTGGTGTCAAGGGTACTTTCAACTTGGGTGTTGCTGCAGTTGCGGCCGCTGGTGCTCTCTTCTTGTTCTAATCTCTTTCACCTTACCTGATCATCTCTTGGACACGACATTTCATGACGAACTCTAACTTCGTGTTGTGTGTACTTTATTAATGACACGACATGCAATGCAATCTCCATAAGCGATTCTCTCAAATCCGTGTTAGTCTCTCAGTCCGAAGAGCCATAAACGCACTCTTCAACCTCTCCGCAACATTCTCCGGCTCCTGCCTAGCCATCTCAATCATACTGAGCAATTTCTTGATGCCAATCTGCATCCTCGAATCCTCCACATCGTGCGCGAAGCCTGCCTGTTCGAGCATCTGCACCGCGCGTTTCCTCTCCGACTCGGACTTGAACAGCTCGAGGTCGGCGAGGACGCGGTCGAGAGCTGGGAGGGTGGAGACTGGAGGGACTTCGAGTTCGGAGTCGAATACTTCGGCGAGGCCAAGGTCTGGGAGGATGCCTTTCAAGGAGGATGTGGCGATGACGAGGAGGCGTCGGCCCTTGGGTGGTCGGCGCTTGAAGAGGACGAGGAGGGTTTGGAGGACGGCGTTGGAGAACCGGGCGCCCATTGGAGTCCAATCTGCTCCGTCTTTTAGTAACGGCCGGTATCAAGAAAAAGAAGGAAGACGCACCAATCAACCGTTCAATGTTGTCGACAACAACGACGCTGAGAGGACTCTTGTAGCTGTCCATGAAGACCTTGGTGATATGGTTGATCTTCTGGTTCTCAGTGTATCCAAGCATAAAGTCGGGAGAGATGAGCTTGATGAAAGGGAATTTGGAAGCCTGCGCAATCGAGGCACCCAACGCGGTCTTTCCGGCACCCGGTGTTCCATACAACAAAATACTGACGAGCGGCGTCCTTGTCGATGTCCGGACCTGTTCCACGAACAGTGAACCCGTCTTCAACAGTTCCTGAACACGACCAGTGAGCGGTAATTATAAAATACCCAGAGTGATCCCAACTTACTTCCACGTTCGAGTCGAAATGGATGATACCATTCTGTACCACCTGCTCCAACTCTTCCTCGGATACACCAAACGCAGGGTGAACCTCCTCCAAAGCCAGCATAAAGTCCTGCCTATTCACCCTCAAATTCTCCACATCATCCGAAATTCCGGCCATCGTCCCAACTTTAACATGTCTGTTAAATGCGAAACTAGTCGCACTCTTGATGAGACCGCTAATCTCAGCACCAGAAAAGTTCTTGGTGAGGGCTGCGAGTTCGTAGAGGTCAACATCGTCGTCGAGGACGCCGTTTTTTCGCATCTTGCTGGTGTGGATGGAGAGGATTTGGTGGCGGCCTTTTTCGTCTGGGAGAGAAATTTCCATGTGCACTTCGAGACGACCAGGACGGAGGAGAGCTTCGTCAATCATGTCGATACGGTTGGTCATACCGATGATAAGGATGTTGTTGAGTTGGTCGACACCGTCCATCTGGGGACAGGTCAATAGAATGACAGACCATGTGTGGATAAAGGACTTGCCTTGGACAAAAGCTGGTTAACCACAGTGTCGCCAACACCCGTACTGTCATTTCTAGAACCACGCTGCTTGAAGATCGCATCCAATTCGTCAAAGATGATGATATGGAGTCCACTCTCATCACCCTTCTCTTTGTATTCCTTCTCGGCATCCGCAAAGAGTTTACGGATGTTCTCTTCTGAAGCACCAACATATTTACTGAGAATTTCAGGGCCGTTAACGATCTTGGGTTCTCGCGCGTTCAACATCTTGCCGATTTGTCGAGCGATGAGGGTCTTTCCGGTACCAGGAGGGCCGTGGAGAATGATACCCTTTACGTGCTGGATGCCGAGCTTCTCGACGAGGCCGGGAGGGAAGACACGAGATGCAAAAGCACGACGGAAGATATCGCCGAATTCTGTGTCGAGACCACCAATACCCATGTCTTGGAATTTGAAGTTGGGCGCGATGATAGCATTCGAGGGAGCTCTACGAGTGTGATCAGCAGACGAGACTTGGAATAGGAATTGATTTACTTTCTGGCGCTCGACTTGAGCTTGATAGCACTATCCGCAGCCTTGAAAAAGGTAACGTCTGTCTTCTCCATGATAATACCCGCCTTGTCGTGATAATCAGGGAGATTGGTTGGAGCAGGTCCACGTCGTTGTTCATCAGCCAACTCTAGGATTCTAATCTCCCTCACAGCAGCCTTCATGTTGTACCCCCTGAATTCAAAGGCCATGACCTCGCCTCGAGACTTGGCGATACCGTTGAACACTCTGACGAAATACTTGGACATTTCGTCCGAGTCGAATTGCTGATCAACTTCTAATCCTTTCTTGAGGAAACCAACATCCAAGTCTATAGCTTCAAGGAAAGCGGGAGCTGCTGGGTGGTTTCCGGTGGGTAATGGTTCCACTGTCGCTGGAGTCCCGCCTACGGAAAGGCCGACCCATTGCCGTTGCATCGCGGAAGGACCGATGGCGCCTGGAGGCAGTTTGCCAGTATTGTCGTGCCTTTGGGAAGGGTCAAAGGGAAGCTACAGATGAGATTCTTTGTACGCTAACCTCGTTGTGAGGACAAAGTTGCCGTTGACGAGTACATGTTGGCCATCCTGAAAGTCGCTGGGGTTCACGATGAGGCAATTGGACAAGGCGAGAGCGTCGCTGGGACATGACAAGATCTCGAATCTACAGAGCGCGTGTAAGTTGTGGTTTATCTTTTCAGGAGATTGTACTCGCCCTGCACCACCGCCCCCGCGGTGAGGTTGCGGATGTGACTGCGGATACCTGCTCGGTGACTGAGAAGGATAGGGAGATTGGCGCCTGGATGGTGTCTCAAAGAGAGCATTGGATGGATCGTTGTATCCAGACGCTGGTGGATGATATTGCGCTGACGGTGGGATACGCTGGCCAGGTCTAGGAGCTGGATAGCCTCCTGGTGCACCGTAGGCGCCTGGTGGTCCCGGTTGGGGACTAACCTTCTCGTAGTTATTGCCGCCCGAGCCTCGTCCAAAGAAACTCATGGTAGTCCAGGGACAGTTTCAGGTAGTCCAGAGAGGTCTATAGAATGTGCTGGCCGTCGTCAAGGGTGTTTAGAGCAGAGTTGCAATGCGATGCGATCGAAATCATTGACAATGACTGCCCCCGCGTTTATGGCAGCTTAGATCAGCTCCAAACCGCTATTTTGGGTTCCGTCACAGCTGCGCCTCTTTTCCCTGCAAGCCTCATCTTCTTTTTTTATCCACTTTTCGCTGTCTTCGCCGTTTCGAATGCAGTTCTCTGCTGTGATACGCAGCGGGGAGGCGCCAACCTCCACGGCGCCGTTGGACGACTATCCAGATGTCGACTCGGGGTCCTGTCAACTCTTGGGTCCGACCGCCCTTGTGCGTCTTGATTTTCTATATTCCCAAGTGGTTTGGCCTCAGGTTCGATACAGGTTGTACAAGGGCTGCTAGGAATCCTCGTTCTACTGTCGTTGGTGTACAAGAGGTATAGAGAGAAACCAAGAAGACCTTGGCGGATATGGTGCGTCTCATTATTGTATAGACTCTGGACTCGATGAATATTGACCTCCTGTGTTAGGCTTTTCGATGTATCCAAACAAGTCGTGGGCCAGATGTTCGTCCACGGTGTCAACGTCCTCATCTCTGGAGTTATTTCCGAGCTGACCGATCGAAACGCCTGTGTCTTCTATTTCCTCAATATCGGCATAGACACGACTCTTGGTGCGTGGCGTGGTGCTCCTCAAGTCGTGACACGAGGCTTATCTGAATCCCACCAGGTGTTGGTATCATCTATGGATCCCTCCGCGTGTTCAATTTCATCCTATCGGAAAGGCTGGGCCTCAAGGGGTTCGAGTCTGGCGTCTATGGAGACCCGCCGTCCCTCAGTTTCTGGACGCGCCAGACCGCAACATACCTTGGTGCCCTTCTCGTCATGAAGATCGTCGTCATTGGCATGTTTGTATTCATCCCAGGGGTATTTACGCTCGGCGAATGGATGCTCAGTTGGACACATACGGGTAATGGAGACGCCCTTCAAGTTATCTTGTAAGTGACCACTCGTCTAACCCTGCTTCATGATCACAAACTCTTCACCAGCGTTATGGGACTTTTCCCTATTGTCATGAACATCCTTCAATTCTGGCTCATCGACTCCATTGTCAAAGCGTCCTCTTCCGAACCATCTGTCTCTCTCGAACCAGACACTGCAGATCCCTACCTCCAGGACCGACAGCCACTATTCGACGCCTCGGACGATGAAGAAGACGATCGACGAGGACCTCGCGACCTCGAGAACCAACTTGCTCCTCACCCGTCTCGATCGACACTCGTTAGCTCCTACGAAACTGAAGCTACTCTAGACGTCGATGAGACCTTCCAAGGGAAAGACGTGCCTATCAAACCCGAGCGCAAACATTCTTACCCACCTAGTTTGACGGGGAGTTTGGGTTCGACCTCTGGCGGCTCAGTTCGGGAAGCCAAGAATCTGCTCAAGGCTGGGCGCAGAAAGGTATCGCCTTCGTCGCCCCAAGTGTTACATCACCAAGGAACAACGACGACCACGCTGGACTCTCAAACTCCAACGGCCGCCCATCAAAACAATAATGATGACTGGGCCATTTCTTGGGACGATGAGGGCGGGGCTGACGTCTGGAACGAGGAGAACAAGCCGAACGATGTGAAAGCGCAGGAGCATGACCGGAATACTGGGTCTGCCGGCCAGCCTTCGCATACTAGAGCCAGGAGACTCTCTTGATTACTACCATCATCGCATCTAACTCGCTATGCTTCGTCTTTCATTCATGCACTACATCTATTTTATTGGGTTGTACAATATATAATGGTCGGGATTTTACTGCTGCAGAAACTAGGTTATAAGTAACTCGTTGGTCCTTCGATTAAGCTTAAGCTTTGTTGTAGCACCCCACCCAGCAGTGATTTCATAGCATCTATTTTGGTTCAAAGGGAAATCAATATTTTTGCGCACCCACAAAACGATCACTCCAACGTTCACCACTACCACCACCAACGCCACGTTCAGCTCTACATAAAACAGCTTTACGCTGTATCTTTCGCTGACTGCTATAGACACTCCTAGACTATTCTTCCAATTTCTGATTCTAGAATATTAGAAACGACGAAACAAAATGACCGACAAGGCCGTAGCGGGTACCGCGACAAGCACCGACGCTGGGAATGGGACTGGTGCTGCCCCCACGTTGGCCACATTCACTCTTGAAAATATCTTGGGCCACGACCATGACAAGATCGAAAACGCGCACGCTGAGGGGTGGGATGAGGAGGTGGCAGATAAACCTGTGGCGGAGGGGTACTGTGTTGAATGCGAAGGTACGTCAAGTTTCTCAGTGCTAGTTCGAGATCACTGCTAAATCATCTTCTTGACGATTTGTCTGGTTGTATAGATCAACCTGCGGATTTGATTTGTGAAAATTGTAGCGACGACCCGTTTTGTGAAGTTTGTTTCTCTGCTCAGCACCGGAAGGGCTCGAGGAAGGGACACAAGACGAGGCCGATCCCCAAAGCGAATGGAGAGGCTCCTGTGACGAATGGAGATGCAGGCGACGCTGTAAGTCAGCTTTCTATTCGATTCCATCCCTCAGGCTCATGCCATTTAATTCATAGATGAAGGTCGACGAGGCTGCAAAGGATGAAGATGCCGAAGGAGACAGCGACGATGAAGACATGGAGCAAATCACACTCCCAACGACCACACCCTCCACCCTAGTAGGATCAGGGCACCAACCCGCCGTCGGCGAACCCGTAGGCGAATGGTTCGTCGAACGAGCCAAGTACATCCCCGTCCGTTTAACGATGGGCGAACGCAAATACCTTCGCCTCCTCGAAGCCGCCCTTACCGTCTCCGAATACACCGACAAAATCGATATCATTGGCTTCGGTCTCTCCAAGACCAAACGAATCGTACATCAGATTCGAGAGCTGTGTGCTATCATGTCGGGGTTGCTGATGTCGGCGGATTATAAGCTTGGGCAGGAGCTCTTCACCGATAAAGACTACCAGGCGAACGCAGAGTTTTATCAGCAGGTCTTTGAATTGGGACGGCGTCATAAGATTATGAACCCGGATAAGATGAGGACAACCTATGGGAAGCTCATCTACGTGTTGCAGGTGAGAGGTTAATCTTAAATTCTCGCCGGCTTTCACTTTGCTGATCCCCTTTTGCTATAGGACAGTCAAAGCCCGGAAGTCAAGGACATGCTCGGCTTCTCATGCGTCAAGCCTATCAAAACTGTGTACTCCGTCCTCGAAAAGCACGATGCTCTGGACTTGCTTCGCGATGACTTAATCACGGTCGCCACGAAGGAAATCTACTCGGAAGGACGCCCCAGACGCGAAGTCCAACGCGACATCCGAAGTAAGGAGCGGGCTATCGAGCACTTGTCGGACCTCTACCAACGCAAGGGACTTTCGCAGGAGCAGGTGAAGCAGTGTATCTATTCGATTGGCGACAATCATGCCTTCTTGCGAGCCAATCGTGACCCTTGCGAAAAGATGATTGGATATCTCAAGCAACATTTCCATCCTACGCAAGCCAGGGACCCGCTTTCCAGTTTGGCCATCCGTAGTGGAAGGGGAGGAGCACGATTATCTCACGATCATAGCAAGCAGTATGGTTATGTCCTGCAGAGTTTGACTCTTTGGCGGGAGATTTTGCATGGTAGGTTCTTTGAACTGCGTGTCTCGATCTCAGTTCTAATTCCCATGTAGACATGTTCCATCTCTGGTCGTTGGCGGAGCAAGACCTGCTGTCCGAGAACATCCCCTACCGCCTTCGCGACACCGGCCAGGGCCTCAACCGCGTCCAAGACGCCCCCAAAACGTCCCGCATGATGCACAGTATCCTCAACAAAGCGCAACGCAGCGTCGGGAGCTGGATAGGCTCCAGCGTCATCCACATGGGCGACCACAATGTCCCCAATGCCCTCCTCTTCATCGACAAATACACCCAAATCTACCGCATCCTCCTCCCCATCTGCAACACCCTCTCGCAGATCCCGTCGCTAGCGACCAAACCTGCCATCCGAAAGTACATCGATGAAGAGTTTGGATCACCCGAGAATCTGACCAAGGAGATTTTGGGCGATTTCTTTAGGCATGGATTTGATGGATCTGGGGCTGATAACTTTTTCGATGCTGGGAGCTGTATTGATGGACGGCTGACGAGCGCGTGGAATTGGTGTAGTTCGCTGGAGAAGAAGAGGTACTTCCCGGTGTTTTTGCTTACAGGTGAGTTGAGTAGCTGTGATGCCATGGAGCAGAAGGCTGACGTGCTTTGTGATACAGGCTTCATTGGATTCGACGGGGAGTGGTAAGCGTAGACTATTGTGTAGCCAGAGAGGTAATACTATCTATCTGTGCCGTTGCTCTTGTATTCGCCTGGCTCTGTTGCTTCTCGAATTCCGCGGTGATAAAAATAGAACTGAGGTGAGCGATTCTTTTGGAGCTCTCTTCCTCTTCGAACGAGTTGTAAATCCCTTCCTGAAGGTTTAGCGCCACTGAGAAAGGTGTTCTTGGCCGCTGAGAGGAGGTGGCAACTTGCTTCCGCTTCCGGTTTTCAGCCCTGAACGGAACGACCAAGTTTTCGTGGGAGGCTGTAAATGAAGAGTCCTAAAATAGGTGCGAGCGAACGCACATTTGTGCCAGCTGCCATATGACAAGGTGGGTCTAAAGACACTATAAGGAGGTTAGCTTCTCTGCGAACCATTTTTACTTGGGTCTACCATCGGGTTGAACCTTGGTTGCTAATCGATTCAAGTTTCTTGCTGATATTTGCCTGTCCCGGCATGGTCGGTGAGGGAATCTCGTTCAGCAACGGAGAAGCTTGACCGCATCCAATCCACCAGCTTCTTTTCTAACCTCCATATAAACCGACACGTTTCCTCCTCCATCTTCAGCAGTTTCCTGTTCTCCTCGAGAAGCCTTGGGGAAGATGCTCGTCCTTTTACTGTCTGCCATCTTCCTCTCAGCTGCAGACTTGTCTCAGGCATCGAGTGCCGAGTTTAAAGTAAAAGAGTCGATCCATCCGCCTCCAGGGTGGACCAGACTTCACAAACCCCCTTCCGACCACACCATTTCCTTGCGCATCGCATTGCCTCAACCGCACTTCAACATCCTCGAAAAGCACCTATACGAAGTGAGCGACCCCGATCATCCTCGCTATGGAGCATACTTGTCGAAGGAGGACGTCGAGAAGATCATAGCGCCCCATCCGGCTAGCCTCGAAGCTGTCAATACCTGGTTGCAAAAGCATGGATTCGAGGAGGTGGATTATGAACGTTCTCCGGCTAACGACTGGGTTAACGTCAATATGCCTGTCGCCCTTGCAGAGCGAATCCTTCAGACGGTAAGCCTGGCAGTGGCGCTCACTGGAAGGTAGTAGATGCTAAGCTCGTGTAGGAGTACCATGTCTGGGAGCACAACGAATCTGGAGACCAACTCGTCCGGACTACGAGTTATAGTTTACCCGAGGACCTTCACGACCACATCGAACTGATCCAGCCGACTACGATCTTCGCTCGCTGGGGACCCATGAAATCAGCTTTGCACTGGCCTGATGCGGACGAGGCACAGCTAGAGCTTCTCTCCGCCACAGGAGACAGCCAGCGATCTGAAAGGATCCTCCTCCCCAATGGCGTCGAAGTCGATCCTCATTGCAACCACTCCATCACCATCTCGTGTTTGAAGCAGCTATACAGAACGGAGGGGTATATCCCCCAGAACCCGTTCAAAACATCAATCGGTGTAACTGGATACCTCGAAGAGTTTGCAAACGAGCAAGACTTGCAGTCCTTCTTCGCTGATCAGTTGCCCGGGGCGACCAACCCAGGATTCAAATTCGTTTCTGTTAAAGGTATGTGGACGTCCTTTTTTGGGAACTTGAGTGGGGTTCCTGACGCTACAGATTGATTGCATTGGTCTCTGACATGACAGGTGGTTTGAATAACCAGACGCTCAGCGAAGCGGGGGCGGAGGCGAATCTGGATGTACAGTTTGCTTTTGGGCTTGCGTATCCCATTCCTGGCACTTTTTGGTCCACGGCGGGAAGGCCGCCTTTTAAACCCGATGTCAGCACACCGACGAATACTAATGGTGAGTGGTATTTGTTGATCAGGAAGGACGACGTGCTAAAGGCTTTGCAGAGCCTTACCTGGATGTAGGTGTAACTTGTTGGGAACCTGAGAGATGGTCATGAATTGATGGGTTTTAGTGGGTCAATTTTGTCTTGTCACAGAAGGATGTCCCACATGCGATCTCTACCAGCTACGGGGAGCCTGAACAAACTGGTAGGTGGGCCATCTATCTTCAAGTATGGCCATACTAACCCACAGGTGTCCAGTACCTCGAGATTACGCACTGCGTGTTTGCAGGCAACTGGCTCAACTGAGTACGTCAGCTAGCTAAGTCCACACTGGCGATCGCTGAAAGGTACACCGGGCACAGGCGCTAGAGGAGTCTCCTTGATGTTCTCGTCCGGCGACGGGGGCGTAGGAGACGCAAGCGATGACCCTGAGGAACACGACTGCTTCACCAACGACGGTCAAAACAAGACTCGGTTCTTACCCAACTTTCCTGCAACGTAGGTTCCTTGACCCTTTCTTCAAGGCTTTGACTGACCGTGGTTGCCAAACAGCTGTCCCTAGTTCGTCGTCCCTTTCCCACAGAGACACCAACTAATCAAAGTCCCTTGTAGCGTCACGGCTGTTGGGGGCACGAACGACGTGCCAGAAACAGCCGTGTTCTTCTCCGGAGGTGGATTCAGCGATTATGTCCGTTCCCGTCGCTTTGATCCTTTGGAGAACTTCCGTTGACAGCTATAGTACTTTACAGTTCAGACGACCTAACTACCAAAACAGAGTCGTCCCTGCGTTCCTCGAGTCTGTCCCGTCCAATGTCTACGGAGGGCTATACAATCGTGAGGGACGGGTAAGTACAGTCTAATCCCCACCTGTTCACTTTCACCTAACACCTCTTCCAGGGACTCCCAGACGTTGCAGCCCAAGGCCGCAGATTCAGAGTTTGGTACCGCGGCAGGGCAATCAGCATTGGGGGCACATCCGCCTCAGCGCCCGCCTTTACAGCGATCATCGCCCTCCTGAACGACGCTCGAATCGCCAAAGGCATGCCTCCCCTCGGGTTCCTTAACCCCCTACTATACAATCGCGCAAGGAGCGGGTTCAATGATATCACTGTGGGGAATAACCCGGGTTGTGGAACACCTGGGTTCAACGTGAGTTATTCATGATTGACCAAGTGCAGGTATCGAGTTTGAGCTGAATTGAATTGTTCGCGGGGTCTTTGTAGGCCACAAAGGGATGGGATCCTAGTAAGTTCCAATAGCCGTTTTTCAAGGGGGGAATGCGCTCAGATCTTATCAGTTACAGGGCTGGGAACACCGGATTTCATCAGGCTGAAAGAACTGTTGGCTCCTTGAGGATACCTGTAGCGGCTTCTGTATAAATCCTTCTACCCCCATAGTTGGCCCGAGAAACGGGCTTCGAATTCATCCACGCCGACGCATTTGCTTGCCCTCTTGCACGTCCTCCATCACTCAAATCTCGGACCTCGTTAAGAAAAGTACAAAGCCCGGTATTTTTGCGCAATTGTTCAACGACAAACCACAAGGGATACAACACTTGCTACCTATATTTTACGCAGCAGCTTGAGGCTGGACAGCAGACGGGTGACCACCCATCCTCTTGGCGTTCGAGACAACCTCCAAAACGCCTGTCAAACCAGACTTCCAAGCCTGCAAGCGCTTCTCCAAGGTAGCCCATTGTTCTTTCTCGAAAGAGCGAGAAGTTGCGCGGGTGACGTGGAGATTTTGTGTGTTTTGAGAGAGTTTGCCCCAGACGAGGCCGGCTCGGATAACTGGAAGTGAGGGTAGTTAAATATCCGCCGAATCTTGAACAAGAGGGGAGGACATACCATCAATGACCCATTTTTCCACCTCTGAAACATCAACTTCAAGACCCTCAGCGATCTTCGCGTAAGGGAGGTGCTGCCCAACATGTTGAACAGCCAAAGATGCCAAAGTAAGAAGACGAATCTTGTGCTCCAGAACTGCCCGATCCAGTCCATGCTTCTCGAGCGATCCGGGATGGCTGGCCTCCCAAGCCTTGAACTCCGCCAACCCGTTGTTGATGAAAACCTGGAGCAGCGAAAAGAGTTCGTGATCCTTCACGGCGATGACAGCGTCCAACTTGAAGAGCGGGTCAAAGTCGAAGACATCGGGGAGGCGGAGGGCGTTGGAAAGAGCGGTCACGGCGGCTTCGCGCGCTGCATCCGAGGTAGATGGGAGTTTCTGGATGTAGAGCAGGGAGTATTCGTAGGATTGGGCGCTAAGAGTTTGTTGTCAATCAGTAACGCCATAAAGCGATAAAAAATCTATAAAACGCACAGTTGTCCAGTCTTTGCAAAGGCATCGGCAACCTGCTTCAAGAATTCGGCCTTTTGCTCGTCAGAAAGATCCCATTCCGATATCCACTTTTGAACCTCGGATTTTGTCAACTGCAACGACCTGAGATCGTCCTTTTCCACAGCAATTTGGAGGATGGTAGTGTAGACCAGACTTCTCAGAGGCGAATTTCGAGGAAGCGAGTTGAAAAGGTTGGAGAGGCTATAGGCAATGCGGTATTAGATGTCGCTCTGAACAGTATTAGATTGGACCATTCATACACGCGATATTTGATGGGGAGTTGGTCGGATGGCGAAGACGAGATGCTCTGGAGCAGGTTTGCGAGGATTTCTCTGAGTTCGGGTGATCCAGGAGGGTAAATCGACAACAGATGGGCATAAAGAAGATTGAAAAAGCCTTCGACCTCTACAAAACAAATGTCAGTCGTCTGGTATAGATTCCAAGGTATCCGCGAAACGCACCTTTCTCTGAACCATCACCAAGTCCTTGCACTTGCTGCAGGACATCCTTCAAAACAGCCTTCTGCCTCTCAGGATCCTCCGATACTGGTTTCTGTCCTTCCTCGGTCTTCAAACCATTCTCGAATGGGGCGACAAACGCTGGTCGTTCCTCTTCTGATCGCGTCCGGGCAAGATAATTGACTAGTTCCAAGATCTATTGAACAGAATATTAGATACACGATTAGCTGGGACAGATACTTGTTGCTGCACCTGCTCCTCAAACGTTCCTTCAGCGAATATTGAGACGGAATCAGTTTGAGACGCCATATTGTTCTTGTAAAGATTAATTGAAACACTGCGATATCTTCTGCTAAATTTCTGAACGAGAAGCTCTTGCAAAGCAAGCACAAACAATGGTCTTGGCAGCTCTCCTCGTACCTCGAACTCGAACTCAAATCACAACAAAAATGGTATAAAATATGGGAAGGAACAGGAAAACTGATAAAAAGTACAACAGAAACCCAGAATCATTTGCGCATTCGCTTCTTGAACCGTTCCATTACCTGAAACAGTCGTGTCAGCATAAACGCAGGGACACGGGGTGAAATAAACGCACAATCTCATCTGTTGCCGTTTGCGCCCTGTCGTGGTTGGACCTATGATGTGCATCGTCTTGAGGTGGCAGGCCCATGGCCTCAAGCTTTGCATCCCGCAGAATATCAGCATCAGACTTGGCCCGCAGGTTGGGACGGTAAACTGTCCAGTCTGTGAGCAACGAGTCTACGAATGAACTTGACAGAAACATACATCGAGTAGCAACAAGGTGCTCTTCGTCCGGATTAACCTTCTTGCGTTCCTGTCGCTCCTCAGCAACAACCCGCTTAGCCTTCTCAGTCTCCTCGATATTCTTCAGTCGAGTACTACAAACGTCCCATCAATAATCAACAATACCCCGCATTCCAAAGAAAACACTCACTCCATTCCAAGGTCAACTTCAGGAATAGCAGTCAACATGGACATACTATTCGTCACATTTCCTTCCTCGGTCGCAGCCTTGGGTTTATCCAGTCTAAACCGGTCGGCGACCTGGCGGTACAGGATATCCTGAGGGTCGAGCGGTTTCTTGTCTTCATCGTCTTCCTCGTTCCTCGGTTTACCCCGGACCTTGAGGTTTTCTTCGATATACGCCATCCTGAGAAATTAGCATTCCGTTGCAATATGAGGCTAGGAGACAAGTAAAACCTACATATGCTTGTCCACGTCCAACGCATTGGTTTGTTGCGTAAAGTTATTGGTACGAACGACGCGACGAGCTCGAGCTTCTTTCGCTTCTTCATCGCTACAAGTATGCGTTAGTGCAATGGTAGCATGGATTCCAGAGACACCAGACATACTCTTCGTCACCCTCAGCAGCCAAAGGCTTCCTCAACCCACCCTGCTCCTCCTCTCTAGGCCGTTTCTTCTTCTTCTTAGCATCTCCAACGTTCAGTTTGGCGACATCAATACCTTCTCGAGCTCGCCTGAGCTTCCGCCATTCAATAAGGTCTGCAATACTGCCTAGTATCAACTACCTGGTCTTCAATTGAGAATGGGTTGAAAGGAATCACTGACGGTAGGTCTGGCTCCTCCTCTCCAACTTCTTGCTCTTTAGGGTCCTCGACCTCGACAGATATTTGTCTGGTTTGCGTTGGTGGTCGAGTGCGTCGCTTGATCATGGTGGTTGGGAATAAAGTGGTCGTTATGTGGCTGTGCTCCACCAAGGCTTCCGTTAAAGCAGCCTCGAGGCTCGCAACGAGCTCGGGGGCTCCTGAATGAATACTGCCAGCGTATCGTTGTATTCCTAGTACATCGCTATTTTACAGAAACACAAACACAAAAGGAGGACGAACACAGGTAACGCAAAGAGGGAAACCAATGTTGTTGAACGTTAATCGAAGAGACAAGTAACTACTACATAGATAACCGAAATCTCGGCAGCCCCAGTGGTTGTATTAAATACAATTCGATGCTATAGCGTATCTTCTCATCTAAGTCAAGTGCTCATTTTCGACAGATCCCGGAGTTGGATAAGCCGCAGGTTCCCCAAGAGGAGCCAATGGTGGCGGTCCTTCAACAGACGGAGTCGTCTCGACCGGAACTGGTTGACCCTCGGAAGTGGTTTCTGGAGCAATCACCACAGCTGGTGGAGGTTGGATCGTTTCAGGTGCAGAAACACCCCCGCGGCGAAGTGAGGGGCCCTCGTTGTCACTAGAAGGTGCCCTCAGCATTATCGCCCGAGGGGAAACAAAGACTTCGGGTGGCTCGATAGTGGTCCACCCAGTTCCCCAACCGGTGGCGGACGTCGAAGGCCCAGCAGTCGGGGCATCAATGTTAATAAAAGCTAGCGTCTCGTCCTCCCCACTGGTCCCATCCGTGCCCTCCGATACGCCTGAAGCTTGTCGCCTCATTTGCTCCAATCGACGAAGTGGATTTGTCTGCGCAAAATACCTTCTTCCCGAGGGAGGCCCAATCCGACTCGTCCAACCATCCGGGCGTGGTTCAGTCACTGATTCCGGTGTTTCTGCGGCGTCGGAGGCCCGTTGAGCAGCGAGTGAGGCGCGTATCGAAGAACGATGTCGGCGTTGGAACTCGTTGAAATCCGTATTCCTGCGGTAATTGCGGCGGATAGCTGAGTGCGAGCGGATGGTATTCGAGGCTGTAGAGGTGGCGGGAATTACGGTCCAGGGACCTGTCGTCCTGGGTGCAATTGAGGGTGAACGAAGAGATGGGGGTGTTGAGCCCGCTGGTCCGTCGTCTACGACGAAAGCAGACGGATTCCCAGGCACTGGACGCCCCAGGGGGTACACAGACATGGCTTCAAATAGCTCAGATGAGCTCATATGGGACCCCTCTGCTGGATTCGAGTCCTCTAGCATGTTTTCAAACTCATCTTCATCTGTATCCACCAAAACGCCTCCATACGCGGTCCTACGCCTGCTGAAGGTCGAGCGAGGTCGGTGGTGGTAGATGTTCAGTGCAGCCGTCAACTGTCGTAAGCTCCTTGCGGTTTTTTCAGAGATGAATCGGCGATCTGCAGCTGGTCTTTTCCGCCTGTCTGTGACTTCCTGCACGCCGAGAACGACTTCAATATATGGCGTCTCCAAGGGGAATAGGATTGGAACGCACTTTGACCAGAACATCCATCAGAGTCGTCGTAAGCATATCGCCAGTGTCGAGTTCGTTCACAAAGTCGGTGTAGCTCAGCGGCGACGAAGGGTCTTCCAGAGCCGCTCTGCGGATGGCGCCAGTTCTGAATTGGAGTGCACAATTAGACCCACGGCCACTCTGAGCTCTCGCCCAGAGAAACAAGATCAAAAACTCACACCATAGCAGATATTTTTGCGTGGAGAACATCGTCAGTGTAATTAGGTGTCCTTTGAACGATTCGCGTGGTGTCAGAGCGACATGAAGTTAGCCGGATATGTCTAACGCGACCGCGCACCATTTCCCCATTGTTAGGAAGATTTTACTACGGAAACGAGACCGTTCCAGAAGCTCGAACGAGAGAGCGAGACCAAGAAGAAACCAGAAATGAGGTGAATTGGAGCAACGGTCGACGAAACGACAAAGGCGCTCGTCGTCGGTCGGTGGTGGTGGGAGGACGACAAAGGCGATCGCTAACAAGCATCAACAATGTCAATGTGGCGGTTCCTTTCCCACGACCTTTCCATGAAACCACGAGCATTCAAAATTCAGAAAAATAAATGGTATATGGTAGAGAAAGAATAAGGATGGTAGACTGTACGTGATGTAGATCCTAGAGACGCCGCTTTATGAATTGTCTTCGTCCAAACCGTTGGCGTTTCCGTTTGTTCTTGGCGTTGCGCTCCGTACACTGGGTCCGGTCCGATCCTTGGTGTTCAGTAAACTCTGGAAGAAGTTCTGCAGAACCTCATGCTGGGTCTGGCCTGCATTAGGGCTCGTAGAGCCGATTGGAGGAGATCCGGGTCCGCGAGTCGAAGCACTGGTGGGGGACATCGATGGCGGTAACCCAGAGAGACCAGCAGGCCGTCCCGCAGCCGCTGCAGGACGCGAGCCCAGTCGGCCTGCAGTGCTCGCTCCTAAGTTGGTACCTGAAGGGCCAATCGCAGACTCCATCTCTGACAGCGCACGCTCCACGTTTGGCAGACTGAAGCTGCTGCTGCCAAGAGGGCCGACGATACCCGCTGCAGCATCCGCAGGATTCCTGAAGGCACCGCGGGGATCCCTGTCCGACTTCTTCGCATTCTCGTCGTAGTGTTTGGCGAGAAAAGTCTGTTCGGGCACTGGGTTGTTGAAGGGAGGAAGAGGGGGAGGCTAAGAGGAAACCCGTTAGTGCATGGCCGTTTCAATCCAACCATATTGGGGAGCTTACCTTGGAGCCCTGATCTGGTACAAAGGCCGCGTATAGCTTTTGGGCACCCGGTTCTGTCGTGCTTTGCTGATCTCCTTCGAGATCCCTCTCCCAGGCTTCATTCCATAGTTTGGCATCAAATCCTTCCCTAAGGACCCCAATCTTACCCCAGCTATCCCAGCCTGCGGGTACGAGAATGTGGTCCCGATCGAGGGTATTAGGCTTATGCTGGAAAGGGAAGATGTTTTTCATAGGAACCTGGGCCTCCATTCCTGGTGATGGGGCAGGTGGCATGAAAAGCAAATGAAGCGCGTATTGCCGAAGGATTTGAAGCGTTTCAGGAAGGGGCGTCGTGTATAGCAGGCCAGCACCATCTGCTTAGCCTCAGCGAAGTGACTGGAAATGACGACGGAACCACTTACACTTCAAACAAATGGTCCGGAGAACTTGCATGATACCGTCAGTCCGCTCTTCCCATTCTCCGCCCTTTCCTTTTACCATGGCGCCTGCAGCGATCTCAGGACCGTCGTCGATGAGATCTGCCTTGCTGCAGACAACGATAATCGGAACACCCGACGCATTATGTGTAAGAGTGCCAGGTCCTAATGGCAATAGGGTACTTGACAGAGTAGACGTAGAGGTTTCCTGAGGATCACTAGATGGCTCAGTATAATGCTGAAGATGTGATTGAACTACCCTTGAATTAGCCACAATTCCGAGGTACTATAAGCAGAGACACGCACGTCGTTCACGGTTTTCCTCTCGCACAATCTCTACTTCTCTAGACCCATCTCCTTTGGCCCAATCTTCCACCCATTGCAACCAAGATTGCAACTCCTCGATAAACGTCCACGGTCGCGTCCAGTCCAGCACGATCACGACACAGGTGTGCGGAAGAGCAGTCCTGGGAGGAACAAAGTGTGGCAACAAGTTCGTGTACGAGTGTGATGACGAGGGCACTGTATACACCGATAGCCTCGCAAGGGTATCTATCCCAGCCAATAAGCCCATAACTCTCACTCAAGTATCGCGACGACCGACCTTCCTCGTCCTTGACATCCGCAAATTCATACCCAACAGCAAAATCTATTCGCCCATCGTCTTTATTCTCATCCGAAACGTTTTTCTGCAACAAAGCAGACGCAATCGTAGATTTGCCAGTTGAAGGTTGGCCAAGGAGGATGATCTGCTTTGCAGGTATCGAGCGCGACGTGGAGACCGAGTTGAGGATCGAGTCCCAGAGGTTTTCAGGGGGCGCTTCCGGTGAAGAAGGTCGAGAGTTGTCCATGGTGTCGTGTACTGGGTGTCGTGTTGTTGCCAGCGACGACGACGGCGACAACAGTGACCAGAACGCGAAGAGAGATCAAATGAGGTGAATAACAGCCGATTTCAAGGCCCGATCATTGGCAACGCACGATTAGGCTCGCTCTTCCTCTACTACCACCACAACAAACGCCAGATTTTACAAAATGTCTGAACAGGTTCAGATACCAGAACACAAGCTTTTGGAGTCGCCCAACTCTCGGACGATAGAGATCTTGGATTGGAGGATCACAGCATCAACAAACCCTATCTCTAATGCCTCAGAGCTCGACGCGCTACAGGCTACCTTGGGACTCCCACTCCCTGAAATGACCTTCGGGAGCAACTACTTGACTTTGGAGCATCGTCCTACATCTTGGAGATACCACTTTACAACAGAGGGCGCCCTCAGATGCGTCAAGAATGGCCCATTGGGCGACGGGGACGGAGGAGTCAAGGTCGAATATGCGGACAAGTGGCTAAAGAGCAGGCACGTTGAGCCTAATCGTTAAACCTTCACTCATTTCTGACGATGCCAAATATCAGAACAGATCCGTCGTCTTTGTTCGGGATGCCAGAGACCGTCCCGACTAAGCCATACGACTGGACATACACGACCACTTATCCCGGACATGCTAGCATGGTCGAAGGACGGAACGATAAATGGGTTGCGGCAGACCCAGAGGACAGCTCCCAAACGATCCCAATGGCAGAGCTAACTCGACCCGATCCTATATTGTTCTACGCCGAGGTCCCTCTATTCGAGGACGAACTTCACGATAACGGATCTTCAACACTCCTCGTCAGAATAGTGAGTGATCTCCTTTGTTATCAGATATTCTTGCCTAATCATTCGTGCAAAAGCGTGTCATGCCAACATGTATCTTCATCTTATCCCGGTTCACGCTACGCGTCGACGGCGTGCTCTTCCGGTCATTCGATACGCGGTACTACCACTCCTTCGCATCCACGCCTCCCCTTATTATTCGGGAAACGAGCGGATGGGAAGCACCTTATGATCGCGTTCAATGGGTAAGTACTTCATATCTGAAGGTCGATCCTTTCACTGAGTTCCTATAGCTTCTCCCAAAGCGGGAAGACCGAACACCTCTAACAGATCCAAACTGGATTTCCAAAGCACTCACCGATCTGCCCGCGCGACTGACCCAACGTGAAGGAGCAAAGACAGGCTGGAGAGGGCTCGGTACGAAGAAAGAGATACTGAAGCTTCTATGAGGAAAACAACGACAGCAGTGTGGATTAATTAATGTACAACAGTATGCGACTATATGATACAAGATGTGAATGCACCGAGGCAGAACAATCGAGGATCGGCAACGAGTGAGAAAGAAGGACGGTGTAGGAGTCTATTACATGAGCTTGGCCTCTCTTTTGGCTTGTTGCACCTGGGCCAATCGTTGAGCACGAAGTGTCGTGTGTTGCCCCTGAGCATTCTTTTTGCTGGTGGCAGCAGAAACTGTAGGACCAAGACCGGACTGAGCGAGCGATATTTGAGTTTCGTCGGAGGCGAATCCAGGGATACGAATGTTGTGGTTGCGTTCTACACGATCGTGATTAGTTCCAAGACCATGAAGTAAACATGGAAGACCTACCCAAGTGTAACTGCAGGTCGCGTACTTCGAGAGTATCCCCACCGCGATGCTTCGCCAGTCGACATGCAAAGTTGGTCACCGAGTCGATGAACTCGTCGGCAATGTTAAGGAGAAGCTATGACGAAAATGTAAGGCCCGCTTTCAAAGGCAACCCACTCGTACTCACATCTTCCACCTCTGGCTCGATCTTCACGTTGGGATCCACACTGGACACAAGATCTTGGATCGTTCTCCGCATGTTCGTGTCGTTGACAGAGTTCTTCCGCCTAGTCCTATTGTCGTCCACGCTCAACAGGGAAGCATCTTCTGGTGCACGAGCAACCTGAGCAGGTGTGCCTACGAGTGGAAAGGAATCAATGGAAGCGGCAAAATGCAGAAGAACCCTCGCTCACTAGATATACGACCAGCTGCCAGTCCACCCGTTAATGTCGGTCGCGTTGGTGTCCACGATACAGGTCCTGGATTGGTAGCGTAATTGAGACTGGCAGTGATCGGAGGATACGATTCTCCTGGATTGGTCTGGGTAATTAACTTCAATTGCGCATCGAGTCCGGGCTTCATATAGGTAGCTTGTTGTTGTATTGCAGCTTGTGCTGCCTGCTGAACAGTCTGTTGTTGAGTGGTGGTTAGTTGAGAGGTGCCAGCGACGGGTTGCTGAGATGTCGCCACTGGAATTGCTGGTTGTGGTTGCTGCTGCTGGGGCTTTTAAAGGAGAATTGCCCTTTGTTAGTTGATGAAAGGCATTTCAAAATGCAAGGACACAAACCTTGTTGGCGTTGTAATGTTTATCTACAAAGGATTGCAACTAGATGCAATCATTGTGTTCAGTCCAATATATCCCCACCAAAAAGTTATCTGACCTGCTGGATTTGTTGTGGCGTAAGCTTCCCTTCCTTGGCAAAATGGGGCATGTTTTTCTGAAGAATGGCAGCAATCTTTTCCAGATTGAACGAGTGTCCGAGCTGTTGTTTCATAAGGGTACCAATGAGCACTGCGATTTCGGGCGCAGCCTGGGGATTTGCAGCTGGCTGAGAACCACTTGCCGCAGCGTTTTGGCCAGCCAGGCCAGCTGCCTGGATGGCTGCCTCCATAGCACTGGCATTCGCTTGCATTCCGCCGTCGGTGCTGGCCATTGCTGGATTTCCTGGATTGTCTGCAGACATTTTGTGTGGTATGAATTGACGGTTCAAGAAGCTGCAGCGCGCCGTGTCCGGTAACCAGATGTGATCGCTTGGCATTCGGTCTGTTTGGCAGCGACCCTAGATCCAATCACATTCTCGGCGCCTGTATAGACCTGCTTTTTTGAACCTGGTCTGCACATACCGACCCTTGACTCTACAAAATGGACGTTTCTAGTATCCTAGAAGCTCAAAAAGCAAAGGAGTACGTCTCTGAGTGTATCTGTATACATCAAAAACTCATTTTCCTGCAGGAGATCCGTGCTGGTGGAAAAAGAAACGCCTCTTGTGGTCGATGCCGGCCACTTGATGGTGACTGACCTGAATGTAATCGACGAGGAGAGCTACAAGTGAGTCGGTGAACTTGACTTCTTAAAAAAGTAGCTGACACTTAAATTTAGTGAAAATCTTGAAGAGCACCTACAATCACTAGCTAGAGATGGCGTACAAGCACTCATTGGCACACTCTTCTCTCTCCCAACAACCTCGTCTGAAGAAGGGCCATTGGCCCAACTACCTCCTCAGGAATACCAACTTCCTCGAGCAAAACCTCTACCAAAACCCAAGCCGATGACCAAATGGGAGCGCTTCGCTGCCGCCAAGGGTATTCAACACAAGAAACGAGACCGCAAGGTTTGGGACGAGGAGAAGCAAGAGTGGGTCAACCGGTGGGGAAGGGACGGCAAAAACAAGGAGGCAGAAGAGCAATGGGCTACCCCTGTCCCTCACAATGCTGGTGAGCACCGTTCCCGCGTAAAGCCCAACGGCGAGATATTGAAACCCGTGCAGATGCCGATTATAACCCACAACTGGAGGCTCGCAAGGAGCGCAAGGCCCGGGTGGCCAAGAACGAGAAACAACGACTACAAAACATTGCACGTGCTTCCGGTTCCTCTGCTCAAGCTTCAAGAAAAGAAGAACTTGACCGGACGCTTGCAACGACGAGAACGAGTACGGCGAGCATGGGCAGGTTCGACAAGAAGTTGGAGGGGGAAAAGAAAATACGTGGGATCAAGCGGAAGGTGAGTTGCGAGATTGTCTATCCGAGTGATCGCGACTGATTATATGTAGTTTGAGCCTAATGAAGGTTCAGTCGAAAAAGAGGCCAAGGCCAACCTTAGCCTCCTTGCTAAAATGGACAGTGACTCCAGAAAAATGCGGAGAACAGAGAAGGAGTCGGAATCCGTCCTCAACGTGCGGAAAGCTGTTCGACACGCGAGCAAGGGAAAGGGCAGCCTCGCGCTGGCAAAGGGAGACAAGAAGGGTGGCAAGGCAGGAAAGGGTCGGAGGTAATCTCAAAACTGCTCGACTTGATTCTTCTCATCCCCGCTTTGCATCGTCGTCATTCTCTTTGGGTGTTTCTAGTCATGCTTTTGTGCTTCTGGATAATTGGATCGGGTTGATTTCCGAATCTTTCAGAACAAAACAACGACCTTGAGGCCGAACTGCGGACAAGATACCCAACCAGACGGACTTGTCCTCATTTCTATCGGGACGCGGCGCGACTTGGTCCAACCCCGTGGTTGTTTAGTGGAGGCTTTGTCGCCTTTGGATTTGATTGCTTCTAATGGGTACGAATTTTAATTATCATTAATTTCGGATGCGGTAGATGCACTGTGTGGCTTCGAAACACCCGGCCACCTTCACCTTGCTGTTCACCTTCGAAACGGTAAGCATTGCCTCATCTTTTAACCAGGGATCCACTCTGACAGACAATTCTCAACTCCGACACCCAGAGTCCTCCCATGCACGTCAGGGTCGCGACGATATCAATAAGAGAAGGCGGTGGCCGATGGCATGTTATGTCCCTGCCGTGACGAGACCTACTTTCTGAAGCGCTGTGATGATCACGTATACTGACCCTCAGTGCGCAAGAACCTGACGCGATAGCGCGGAAGTGGAGCAGCAGTCAAGAACCCTTTGAACATCGTGAGATGTCAAGTCCAGTGAAGAATGGAGGGTATGATGTAGGCCAGAGGCATCCTGACTGGTTTACCGTACGTGTTTCGTTCTTAAAGTGCCTCTAGAGGGAGCTGGGCTGAATTGAACTCATCTATGGACTGTTCCGAAGTTGTTTTCCCCGCTTCCGAAACCACACTGACCAAATTTGAACATGATTTGCAGTGTATAGCCATGATAGCCGCGGTGACCTCAGCGACTTGCCAATGACCCGTCCCAGCTGGGAAAGTAGATAACTGTCAACCGTATTCGACGAAGTTCTCGTAAGTTAATATCACTTTGTTGAGCTTTGCGTCAGACTTCAAACTGGCTTTCAAACCTCTTCCTCACGAAAGCTTCACGGGCCACTAGTAATCGGAACTATGATGCACGTTGCCCTTGCCACCCGACACTCCCATGTGTAGGATTCATTACTTGAATCTCGTTCCGGTGGTACTCAGCCCAGTTACAGCCCGTTTATGGAGTCAGATTCTCCGTATGGTTCTCCATTGGCAATTGACAGGCGAATGAACTCTACCCCACTAAGCCTTCTGTTCCCTTGATCGGCGTCGCATGATTGGGCAGGGTGGAAGTGCTGGCGTATAAATGCGAGTGTTGCTCTTCGGAGACCCGTCTCTTTTCTCATCCAACGACGTCTTCTCGCTTGGTGCTTCGGAATGCAGCTGCTTGGCTCGCTGTCGGTCTTACTACTTAACCTCTTGCCCCTCGTCCTTGCTTGGCCATTTCAACATATACCAACATGTCGCGAGATCGCCAGAGCCATCTCTTCGTCGAGCGACGTCTACTACCCAGGTGTGCTTAGTTGTCGGCTCTCAGTTCAGCTTTGATAACACAGCACTCCGTCTGGCAGGCCACTACTTGTATGTCAAGGGGATCAGCCATTGGGCCAGCTCAAGCAACCAGCAGTCGGCTTGTGTCGTTGAAGTAGGCACCCCCGAGGACATTGCCGTCATCGTAAGAACATCACATCAACCACCCTACCGTCCTCTCTCTGATTATTCGGCCCCCAGCTCCAAATTGTGGCCAAGAATAAGACCCCATTCGCTGTACGTTCTTCATCTCGCCACCCCGCGTCCATTCGAGCCCACATTTCCTCTATAGGTCAAAGGAGGCGGCCATGCCACTAACCCTGGTGCATCTTCGACGGAGGGCGTACACATTTCCATGTACAGGTTCTCTGATGTTCGGTATGATGCTGATTCTCAGACTGCCGAGGTCGGTGCTGGTCTTGTCTGGGACGATGTCTACGCCGCTTTGGAGCTCCATGGCGTCAACGTTGTCGGTGGTCGAGTTCCCGGCGTCGGTGTTGCTGGATTCACTCTTGGTGGAGGTAATTCCATCTTCCACCTCAGAGGCTGTTCAAGTGACCGCTGATACACGTCTCTCTCATACCCGCTACCATCCAGGATATTCTTGGTTGACGAACCAATACGGCCTCACTGTCGATACCCTGGTCTCTTTTGAGCTCGTTAAACCAGATGGGGAAGTTATAACGGTCACTGAGGCGTCCGACCCTGAGCTGTTCTTCGGCTTGAAGGTCGGTTCTTTTTGGTCTCCATAATAGCCTACTAATGCTATTTTTCAATTCGAAACAGGGAGGAATGAATAATTTCGTGAGTAGCAATCATCTTGGCTGGCTCTGTAGCCGTCCATTCTTCCTGCCAATTAAGCGTACCGCATGGACCCAAAAGTTCACCTCCTTTCCAAATAGGGAATTGTCACCAAATTCGTCCTCAAGACGTTCCCGCAAGGACGAGTCTGGGTAAGCAACATGTCTGGTCCACATTCGACTTTTGAATCCCCCACTGACGCGAGCTTCAGGGCGGCCTCACCCTTTACGGGCGTTCGCAATGGTCTCGAGTGACCGAAGCCACATCTGCATTCTCCTTCAATGTGACGGACCCTAAAGCGTCGATCATTGCTTCCTACCAAGTTGTAGCCGGCGTGGTGCGTTTTTCATCACTCGTCCTTCTTTCCAAAAAAGCCAGCACTCTCGAGCTCATCATTTCTCCTGACATCCCAACTAAAGCCCTCCGTTGGTCTGCTCGCGTTCTACGACGGTCCTACACCACCACCAGGCATTTTCGATGCGTTCGAGGAGATTCCGCATTTGCTGAGGAACGTCAAGACGAAGTCATTCTCTGATCTTATCAAGTCGTTCCCTGCCGATGCGACATATGGCCAACGGTTAGTCAGTCTATCATTAATCTTTCGTCAGGCATTAACGCAATTTTGCAGAGGAATATTCCACACTGCTTCCGTGGATGTGGCGTATAGCACCAACTTCATCGACGCCGTCGCAAACGAAACTCTGGTAAGTCCCTCACCTCCTTTTGTGTTGAACTCGACCTGGAATGCTGATTGCCAAATAGTACTGGGGTGCTCGACTGCCTCTCGGGACAGGAATCTTCCTTTCATACGCAATTGAGCCTTTCCTCCCGACCATCTATGGCCACAACTCCGACAGAACCGCCTTCCCCTTCTCCCGCTCCTCGGCCATCTCGCCTCTCAACGTCTACTACAGCTGGATTCTCCCCACCCACGATGGTCTCTTCCATGAAGCGATGCGCCGGACCGTGGGCCAAATCCGCGACGCTGCTTTCGCGGACGGGCAGTCGGGTGTTATGGAGGCCCCGCTGTACCCCAACTACGCCATGTTTGATACACCCGTTGAGCAGGTGTATGGAAATCATTTGTCAGAGTTACAGACTCTGAAGAGGAGAATTGACCCTGATAATGTTATGGGTCTTGCAGGAGGATTCAAGATTCCGCTGTGATTTATTCAGGGTGTTTGGATGATTATTACGGGGTGTACATCAAAGTACTTTGGTGAGATATACATGCTACGTTACAGTGGTACAGGGATGGTACAACAATGGCAAGGTGTTGATGGATTGGAGATCACATAAGAATAACTGTAAATGCGAACCCGGCGGTGAAGGGAGATGGGATGAGAAGATAGTCCAAACCGCTTTAAGCGCACATCAAGCGCCCGAGCGGGACAGATGATCGAAGGGAAGCAAAATGAAAGCATTACGAAAACGAAGGCTAATAAAAAAGAGCGTCCAAATCAAAATGTCGCAACACAGGTCTACTTGACCGGTTCGATCGTCAAACGAGACAGATCCGCCTTCCCACTCTCTATCCACTCCTTCTTGACCAACTTTTCTCTGTCATTATAATACAACCTATAAACCAACTTAATGGTTCCCTCGCTGACTCCGGCCACAGCGCTGATTTCGCGTATCGGCTTGGGCTTTCCGAGGAGTAAACAGGTAAAGTAGATGGCCCCGCCTGCGATGGATATTGGACTACGACCATCCGCGATGCCATGGTTTCGTGCATTCACAATGATTTCGGAGCAGATCGCCTGGACGTTGGCGGGCAAATCGAGATGGTTGCAGTACCGCACGAGGAGCTTCTCAGGTCCAGTCGTAGGTGTATTCGCGAGGGGCATCGACTCTGGCCCGGAAAGATTGAGCGACTGCTCCAGCGCCTTGTAACACTGCCCCAACATCTTCTTCGACACTCTTGTCAAGTTGCAAATCTCCCTAAACGTACGCGGTACATGGGCCTTCCTGCAAGCTATAAAAATGCACGCAGCGATCACAGCTTCTACAGGTTTCCCGCGTAACAGCTTCTCCTCGTCCGCGCGTTTGTAGAGCTGTTTGGCGATATCGCTGATTGTTTTTGGGAGTGAGAACTGGTCGCACCAGTTGCTGATGTCGCGGAAGGCGGTGAGGAGGTTGCGCTCTGAGCGGTTGTTCTGCGAACGCGAAGCTGCGCGTTGCAGTTCGCGTGCGATGCCGCTGCCTCCGTCTCTGAAGCTAATCACGGTATCGAGCTGCTCAATACCCTCCAGCAGAGGGTCAGACGCTGCACCGACACGAGAAGGATCGTCTCCCTCGTCATTGGCGAACGTCTAGGGTAGAGAAATCAACGGTCGGAGCTGCTCGAGAATCGCGAGAGGTGAGAGAGCGGAGACTTACACGCCATTCACTGCGAGTATCAATGACTCTGTCTCCGAGTACTAGGCCACAGTTGCCACAAACGAGGTCGCCACTTCCAAACTCTTCAACAATGTTCGGGTTTGGGTCCTTGCATTCTGGACAGATAAGGCGAACTGCGAGGTCTGGTCCATAGTGAGGATCTGCTGATTTAGTTGGTGCAGTCGACGGGAATGGCTGTGAGTATGCCATGGGTTTTATCGTTTTGTCGTAAAGAGATCGTTTGGTGAAACTGTGACACTAGACTTGGGACCGTTGCGAACACCGGAGAATCTGAAGGAAAAGACTGGAAACAAGCACTCAACCCGGGCGCTTTGAGTCATTTGGGTTGTGCTCTGTGGGACTTACCAGACAGTGACTCCCTTACACCAGTATATCGAGTCGAAAAGTGGAATTCCAGTGAACAGAAGGGAAACAATGGTGGTCGTCCAGGAACAAGAGACGAGGACCGCTCGACGCTCAGTGCGGCCCCGGACCAAGCATAACCGGCTTAAGTAATACATTGTCACTAACAGGGGCTTACGCGCGCTAATACTATAGTCTCGGCTTACGAGGTGAGTGCGAGCCCATGAGGCCCTCCAGCCAAGTCATAACTTGGTCGGTGACATCATCCTTAGCTTCAACCATGAGCCAGTGTCCCTTTCCTTCGATCGCGATATCTTGGTATCTTTGGATGAACTTGCGAGCTTTGGCAATGACGAAACTGGTCACGGTAGGATCGGAGGTACCCCATAGGAAGAGGTACGGGAGATCCTCAGGGAGCTTAGCCTTTAGGCCTGCGGCTTGAAGTGTATATGTGAGATTGAGTTGTGATTACAATGAAGTGGGCCTACCGAGTTCCTCTTCGTGGCGCAGCTGGGAGGTCCGGTAATAGTTCAGAGGACCGTTCATATCTTGACCGAGCTGCTGGAGGTAATATTGCCTCTCCTACGTCACTCCCGTTAGACCGATCGAAATATTAGGCTGTATGGAGGACCGAACCTTGTCCGTCAAACATGTGGGTAAATCGTCTGGGATAGAGGGGTCTGGAAGAAGCTTCTCGAGGCGTCCGGTGGGTGTAAAGTCGAGTTCTTTCTTTGTTGGAGGTCCGAACACGAGCCCAATGAACTTGGGCAGCTACAATAAGAGTCGTCAGGAAGACCGTCTTTCTTCATGGAAACCGCAAAATTACATGTGCCAGGATTTCCTGAGAGGACCGTTTCTCTGAAAAGTAAAGCTGGTATCCAAGATTCGGAGCACGCTTTACTACCTCCGTGAGAGGCAGGTATTCTTGGGAGGGCGGCGTGTACGGAACGCTGAGCCTGGGGTTGACGATGAGAACGGACAGTGTCACGAGTTGAGAGTTCTCAGCCTACATGATAAGTGCGTGGAGGCGTTCCGGGTGCCACAAGGCGAATCGGCCAGCGGTATAGGAGCCCCAGTCATGGCCGATGACCACCTATTCCCCGCTCTGTAAGGCTGTTGGCCAGAGGACGAAAGATTACCCAAACTCACAGCCTTTCGAATTCCCAACAAATCCAACAAAGCAACAAGGTCTTCACAAAGCTTCTTGGTAGTGTATTTCTGAGCTTCCTCAGGCTTGGAGCTCCCTCCATAGCCCAGCATGTCTGGAGCTACGACGCGGCAGCCTCGGCGTACCCAAGGTCCGATCTGGTACCTCCATCCATACCTAGATTGCAAATATTAAGGTCAACTGACTCGACTAGAGTCTAAAGTCACGCACCAGATATCTGGGAAACCGTGGACGCAGAGAAGTGTTGGGTGCCGTTTAGGATCATAACCTTCCGGCAACTGGTCGACCTGGAGAACGCGGTCGGTTACGCGAAGCAGGGCATGAGAATGGCACTTACAAAGTGGTACGTGCGACCAGTGGCCAGAAGTTCAGTTCTGTGGTTGAAACTTGCTGGATTTTCAGGATCCATGGGCTGTGTGGGTGAAAGGCAAAGGCAGTACCGGTCGTTTGTCCATTGAGTTGCCGGTGAATTGGGATGGATCCGCGTGCAGAAGGAAACTCGAATTGGGTCGGCGCCGAGTCGGAGTTTGAAAAAAGCGCTTTGTGTCTGAAGAAAGTGACTATCTCGGAGCCGTTCAATTCTGACGACAACGTCGACCGTTTCTCTCTCAATCTCGCCCAATTCGCGCCCTCAAAGCCACTTTCTTGCAGCCAGCATCATTTTTTTCGCATCTTTTCATTATTATCGACCTAGAACATTCATTCAAGTATCTTTGACGACGTGACTGTTAATTTACCCTGTAACCTTCATCAGGTAACGATCCTTTGTTATCCATCTTTACTGACTACCATGTCTGACTCTATCCCCTCAATCGTAGCCGCCGATATGCCTTCAGTCGTGAGTTCAACTGTCCCCCCGCCCGCAGTCAGCAAAGCCGCCGCACAGAAACCTCAACCTGCACAGCATCCCAGGAAGAAGAGGATTGTGAGGAGAAGGGGAAGGGCGCAGAATGGCATTGAAAGCGACGATGAAATCGAGCGTGAAGTAGCGAGCGACTCCGAATTTGACGACGACGACGACTCTTCCTCGCTCGACTCCGCCACCGACGACTCTGACACTGAACCAGCGTCAGAGGATGCACCCTCCCACCTCGAATCTCCACCTGCAACTGCTGTTGTAGGAGTGGCGGGGGAAACACACATGAATGGTGGGGTGGCGCCCTTTTTTGCATCTACGTCCACTTGGTCCGAAATGGTTGCTGAAGAGGCTACCAATGGTACCTCGGGGTTGCCGGTTATCGACTTTTCAGAATTCGACACTCCAGCCAAGGTTCCTGCTCGCCGCGCCAAGAAGGCACAGAAACAAAAGAAACAGCAACAGGCGGCTGCTACAGCTTCTGGACCCACAACTGAGCAGCAGGCTGCAGCAGAACAAGAAGACAAGTCCGCTCCTCGACCCACATCGGCATCACTTCCGCGCAAGCTAGGTCAGACCGCTCGTCAGGCTTACCAAGAACGACTCGAATCCGACCCATCGTACGTGCCCAAGGTTGGAGGATTCTGGGGTCATGATGATCGCTTGATGGACAAGGATCTACGTAGTCTGAGTGGATGGTGGCGGGGCAAATGGTCAGGGAGAGGTCGCGGCAGAGGGTTTGGAATGCGTGGAGCTCGTGGCGACCAGGGTGGTCACGAGGTCAACCCTGAAGACCTTCCTCCTGTCGAACGACCATGGACTCACGACGGCTTTGAAGAAATGAAGCGGAAGGAAGAACAGAGGCAACAAGCGATGGCATCTCGAGGCAGGGGAGGATTCAGAGGTGGTCGAGGAGCCTTCTCAGGTCGAGGACGGGGTGGATTTGGTCGCAACTCGCCAGCATCCAGTGGTCGTCCCAACTCTCCTGCAACGCATCAACCCCGGGTGTGGTGGCCACAGAAACCCGAACTTACCTGGTCAAAGCAGTCCGAAGCATTCCTTTTCTACGATGGCAGCTACAAACCACGTGCCGGCGGTGGCTTGCGAGTAAAACTCCCTGGCAAGGAGAGCAAGATCGCCAAAGTCACAAAACCCATCGACGCTCGGTCACTACTTCCGGTCTCACAACATTCGGCAAGTACCTCGGAACGGCCCAAAGAGTTCCAATATACTGTCCGGCTGCCGAAACCCAAGGAAGAGCAGTCAGATAGTAAATCGACCGATGCTGCGACGACCTCGTCACAATCACAGCTGACTGAAGCTCAGCCGGTCACTGAAGACACGCAGCCTGCGCCATGCACTGCTCCTGCGAAACCACTCGAGGAGCCGGTCAACGGCCTCCCCGACCCATCAGTCGTAGCTCAGCTCGAACAACTTTCCCTTGAGTCCACGGTTCCTGACCCCGAGCGTCTAGCCAAGACAGAAGAAGCTGTCCTTCGTAACGCCGGCTCAGAGGCCACGACTGAACATCCTGACGGTGTACCTGGAGACCAGCGACCGGTCCTTCCCCCTCTCCAGACCGTCTTCACACCCCCACCTCCGCCGCCACCCCCTGTACCCCAGTCACCTCCCTATGGATCACCTTACATGTACCCTCAGGCCCTTCCCCCTGGTATCGCCATCAACCATCAGGGCATGCCCTACGAAGTTGCGACTGGCCGGCCTGTCTACCTCCAGCCACCCCCACCCATGTACAATCCTCGTCCCATGCATTACCCACCACCTGGTGTTTTCATGCACGGGCCACCTGTTCCGCACCCTCACGCTGTCTCCCCCGACTATCTTTCCCAGCCTGCTTCCCACACGCCGCCCATGAACGGCTTCGTCGATCCCAACACCGGTGCACCCATCTTCTCGCTGCCGCGCTCGGTGCGCATTGAGATCCGTGCACCAGACGAGGCTCGCAACAACGCCAGCGGCGATAAGACCGCGACTTCTCCACCCGCCATCAACGGTGTTTTTAAACCCCCTTCACACAACCGCACGCCCTCCAAGCTTCGCACAGGCGCTGTGTCTTTCGAGCCTTCGCGTCCTGAAGCCAACGGTGCTGGGGAGTATTACTCTTCGTCCTCCGAAGGGAATGGGCAGCACCCCTCTTCGTATGAGGCGACGAACGGCGTCGAGAACGGTGCTAGCGACGGTGCACCTCTGCAACAGCACCAGCACCAACCACACATGGGCAATATGATGCCTTACCCAGCTTATCAGCCACCTTACTATTATCCTGACCACTCATACGGTCATGGATATCCAGGTTACATGGATATGTCGCAGGTTGGACAGTACGATCCGTACAACATGGACCATCAGCCTCAGCAGGGTACCGTATATTATTAGGGGTCTTCTTAATCTCGTTTGTCGTTGACGCCATTGATTCATCGTTCATGACTGCTGCTTTCCCTCTTCCTTCGATCGTTATTGGCACCACCACGCCGACTTTCTTGTTTTAGGTCCACTATTCATCTACACATCTCGCCTTCTACGCTAACGAGTTCCTCCTTCATGCTTTAAACTCTGGCTACCCTTTTTACTTGGCTTCTTCATTCACGTCCCCGATGCTGCTGCCTCCCTTCCTCTTCTCCTTGCTCGCGCGATTGTTTGTCGACTTTTCTCTTCTTTGGTTGTATACGTGTTCTGTTTCCGTTTCCTTTGCCACACCATGTTGTTCTTGTAGTCCTTTTGATACTGCTTTGACTTTTTTTATATGTTTTGGTTTTCGTCCTCATTGGTCTCGTCTTCTCTACACCATCGAGTCCCGTTTCTCAATGCATCACACGAGCACTCAATCTACTTCATCCAATCATCATCCCAATAACCCTTATATATAGTCGCTGTCCCTTGTAGTATGTGCGTTCCCTTTTGGTCTCTTCTCTTCCGTTTTTCATTTGTTACTTACCTGGCTGTCTCCACCAAGTACCTTGTTTGTTAGTCGTGTTTACATTCTTCATTCTTCACCTTATGGCTTTCTTCCTTTCAGCGTTTCTCATACGTTCTCGCGTCTCATGTTTTGTCGATCGTCTGCGTCCTCATCCAGACTATCTATAACTTACAACCCTGCACTCCTCGCTCTCCCGCCCTCACCATAGTGTGTCTGTAATACCATCGTTCTCCCGTCGTTTGTATCAATAAAACAATATTATATACATTGTACAGGGATGAACGCGAGTCAAGCAAGGGTGGAATGTACATTGTACATGCGATATAGACATGTTAGCGAGGAAGCCTACTGCCCACACGGCTATGGGCAAATTGAGAGCTGTAGAAGTGGTTAGTTCTGGTGGAGTTGAGGAGCCTACGAAAGACGACGTACAACCGTGAACCAGCACCACGGATGTTAGACATGAGTGCGCTCTCCAGCGCTGACGCTGATAGACTCGCATCTGCACAACCAGGTTAATACCACGTCTCCAACAAGGTCCTGAGTAGTACTCACCGCTCAAGTCGCTGAAGCTCGACGCCTCTGACCCATAGCTACTAGTATTGTACTCATCCGACTGTGGATGATTCCTCTGTGCATACCCCACCACGCTCCTTCTATTCACGATTGGCGGACTTGTAGTTCTGCCATTGCTGTTATGATGGCTCCATTGCCTTCCCACAGGCGAATGTGGATACGAATTGGAATGTGAACTTCGACCTGACTCGCCGCTGGGTGACGGTATGTCGGGTATAGAACCATGAGGCGATCCCGCGCTGCTCGATACAGCACTCGAGACGCTCTGGCTGTGGCTCCGACTCTGGCTCCGGCTGGAGAGGAGAGACTCGCCATGTCGAGAGCTCCCCCCTGGTGAACGTGGTGAGAGTAGACTCTTGGGCCGTCTCCGCCGTGGATTCGAGACGAGTCCAATAGCTTCATTGTTAATCATCTTCTGCAACTCTTCAAGCTTGCGGTTCAGGATCTCTTGCTCCTCTGCTGCCCTCTCCGCTTCTTCCTCTTTCAAGGCATACTCGTCTGAAGAATCTGTCTCGCTCCCTGAATCCGACTCCTCGCCTGGCGACTGAGAGCGTATCGAGGACGGGTAGTTGTGTGTAAGACTGCGTTTAGGCGCTTGTAGTGTTAGCGTTGACGAAGAGATGGCTTTCTTGGGTTTTGGCGCGTTGTTCGTTAACGAGTTCAAACGCGCTCGGACGCCTAGTGGAGTGTTCAGCCTGGATGACGTGGAAAGCCTACTCGTGCTTCCCGTCATCCGCGTTTGGATCTTCTGTAGTGCGCTGGGCTTCTCCGCTGTTCGCCCTGGCTGGCCCTCTGGGGTGTATGGAGAGGGAGGGGGTTGTTGGGAGGTGGCGGACGTGGGGCTGAGGATGTCTTGTATGTCTTTCAAGCCTCGAATCTCTTCTTGGAATCGGGCGTTTACCCTGTACAGCAGGTACGGGAGAGGTACTTCCAAGTGCGCTGCTAGACCTTTCCCTGTTATCTCTCCAAAGTCAATACACACGTTGTAGTCACAAGGATAACCTGAAACTCACAGTCTGCGCCTCCGCTATCCGTCGAACGGGACCTCTCGATGACTTTCCAGAGGATATCCGCTTTCTCTTGTGTCCATTCTATCTGTTTGTTGCCAAATCCTATGGTGTCAGTTGTATGGTTTGGGGAAGTGGGTACAAGCGAAGGAGCGTGCCTGTGGTGGATCCGGTATTGGGTTCTCGGGTCTCGTTGTGGGTAGTCGGACGACGACTCGTAGGGACGGCGCTGGTGCCCTGGTTCTCGATTCTGGATTCATAATGAGTCCAAGAGCGTGTGGAGAGATGGTTAGATGTGGCTCAGAAGCCGAAAGGGGTGATAATGATAGTCGGCGAGACAAGGGTCCTCGCAGCTGCAGCCTCAACACCTGGAACGCGATGGCAGCGGAGGCAATTGCTGTGAAGGAGATAAGATAAGATAATTCCGGATTGTTAGGGGCTTCTGACTTCAATACCAGTCATTGGCAAGAATTGGATTCCACAAGGGCTTTCAGATAGTATACATTGATTCAAGAATGTTTGGAGATAGGTTTCTACTTGTGTAGGCCCATAGCCATGTCCCAGAACCCTCTCTCCAACGCAGTGCATCTCTGGAAGATGCCCAACCACTCCTTCAACCTCGCGGGCGATGGGTGGTCAGCGACTAACATCTTTTCAATGGTTGCTAAAGAAGACAGAAGGCGTCAGATGGACAGTCTCCTTCCTTCCGTATACAATCGCAACGCACCGAGTCCAACACGGACAGCACTCTGGTAACCTTCGCCAGAGTAGTCTTCAATCCATTTCTTGTAAGGGTTGCCTTCCATGACGACCCAGCTGTTGGGCAGCTCTGACTCTTTCTTCAGCCAGAGTCCTACTTCGCCGTACCCCAGGAGGCAGGACAGTACAGCCATCATCAGAGCACAGGCGTCACCTACAGGTCATCGTTAATCCCTTGTCACCGTGGTCACAGAATATCACCTTACCTTGAACTCCACTGTTGATTATGAACGCTCCGTAGGCGGTGGTGGCGGTAGACTCAGGCGTATTCTCCAACTCTTCGGCTGTAACGCCAAAGGTTTCGCAGAAGCTCTTGTGAGTGTCAATCTCGTGGATGACACTCATGATGATCGTTGCGGCGGCGTGGATCTCAGGGAAGGTCGATGATTTTGAGGCAAGGAGACTGGGGAAATTGATGAGGTGGAATGGATTGAGTGTGTGAAGGGACTGCCGACTCACCCATAAGCACGAGCGTAGTACTTCAAGTAATGGTAGTCTTGCCTTCCGGGATGTCAGAACGAGAGGAGCGTGAAGGAGAGAAGATTTTACTCACTTGATGAAGTGCACGAATTTCTCCTTGGCGAGGACGCCCTTTCCAAGCTGCTTCACGAACTCGTGCTCGACGTATCCCTTCCATACTTCCTTGGTGTTTCGAATGAGGTAGTGGGCGAATGGGTAAGGGTTGGTAGGAGTCGGGCTACCAGAGAAGCATCAGTATCGGTATCGAGAGACTCAACCATCAGAAGTATAGAACATACCTGGAAATGACCGTTCGATTGACGCAGTGGAGGTGGTTGAGCGGTCCGTAGCCCTTTCCAATCGGTTGGGCGGTGGCAATTCCAAAGTGGGTGTACAGCGCACCTTGGGCTACAGCATCCTTCACTGCGGCGAATCGTCAGTACAACTGCGAGATGTCACTGCGGGATGTAGACGATGACGAAGGACGTACGTGAAAGGCCTTGAGCCAGTCCGGATGCAATCGCAGCGCTTAAAGTACACCCGGTTCCATGAGTGCTGGTCGATTCGATCCTCGGTCTCGCGTACACCACAGCGGATTGGGTATCCGGCTGGTACAACAAGTCCACGACGATCTCCGGGTTCAATTCCTTCGGATCACGTCCAACCAGGAGGATCTCCATATTCTCGTCATACAAATTCTGCTTCACGACTTCCACATTCGAATGCTTCTGGGTAATCTCCTCCAAATTCTTCAGCGACGAAACGACATGACCACCTTTAACCAGCACAGCGGTGGAAGTCTTTTTGGAGAGTTCGACAGCCGCGGTGTACATATCCGCCAGAGACTCGATCTTGACCTCCGAGTTGGGTGTTTTGAGGAGGAGTTCGGTCTCGGGTTTGTTCGGTGTGATTAGGGTGGTCAGTGGGAAGACTTGGCTGACGAGGACATCGAGGGCGTCTGGCTTGAGGAGGGTGTGTCCTGAGGTGGAGACGCAGACTGGGTCGCAGACGACGGGAGCAAGCTTCCCTGCTGCTTGGCGCTCCTTGAGCACTTTCGCCACCTCTGCAGCGATGACTGCATCGTACAGCATCCCAGTCTTGATTGCCTTGATGTCGATGTCATCGAAGACCATACGAAGCTAGGGGCGAGAGTACCCTGTCAGTATGGCTTACAGAGAGATATGCGAAGAAGTGATATCACCAACCTGTTGGACAACGAAGTCCGGTGGGACAGCATGTACGCCTTGAACACCAGTGGTGTTTTGTGCAGTGAGGGAGGTTATTACACTTGCCCCGTAGCATCCATGGGCAGCAAAGGTCTTCAGATCGGCCTATAGGGGGTCGGAAAGTCGGATTAGATTAGATATGACTCATAAACCACACTCTCATACCTGGATTCCTGCTCCTCCACTAGGATCCGATCCTGCAATAGTCAATGCACCCCTGGCCTCTGCTGTCGTCATTTTGGCTTTTCACAATCTAGCTTAGAGGGTCAGTCGGCTGGCTAGGAAGCAAACGCTAATCAATCTCCGGAAAGACATACGATCGCTGTTTGAAACAGTAAATATCTACCGCGATGGTAATGGTGAGAACTCAACCCTGTTCTGACTCCATTCGCCCGTACCTCTTCTTTATATAAGGGGCTTACGAGCAGGCCGTTCCTTGGGAAGAAGATTCTTTCTCTTCGAAAGCGCTAAACAAATCATCATCCATCATTTAGACCCATCAACGATTAGACAGAGGGCCCTAGGATATCACATAATCCGGAATAGCCATTCCGATGGTTGCTTCACGTTCGTCATCTCCCTCTAGGGACTATGCTCAGGAAGTACAGGATCTTGTGGCCAGGCTGGCTCAGGATCCAGAGAAAGAGGGTGTAGCATCCGAGGTGGAAGGTGAGCAGGCCGTCCGTTGCAGTCTGCGATGATCCAAGGCTGATTGAAAAGATACAATGGACAGTTTTGCAGTCGATCTATGGTGACGATGCGATACGGTTATACCGCCCCAATGGAAATGGAAATGGTTATGGAAGACCACTAGATCCGGACGCAATCCGCTACGAAGTTGCTCTAAGGTAGCTTCCCGCTTGTTCTGCAAAGCCATGTTTCACCGGAATATCTAGATTCTGAAAACCTAGCTTTCCTTCGCCACACGAAGACGTATCTATAAAGATCCTCGTCTCGCTACCGCCCTCTTATCCTGCGTCGTCCCCTCCGCAGCTCCAGCTACTATCCAAATACATCGGCGCATTTGGCGTAGATCCCAATTTGTTTGGATCTATACTCCGAACCTACATCTCGCTGAACGGGGTCGAGTTCGTCCCAGAGCAGGTGTGCGTATTCGACGGCGTGCAAAACGTTCTGGATAGATGTGTGGCATGGTACGAAGAGCAGTTGAGCTTGGAGAAGGCTGGGCAGTTGGTCAGGGAGGAACAGAAAGAGGCTGCGCAGAGCAATCGTCCTGTACCAGACGAGAGCAGTGTCCAACGGAAGGAGAGCGAATACGACGCCCATGCAGCCGACGATCCCTCGCAAAGTACAGAGCTTCCGCCTGGAGTGGAGGTGTTCGTTGCGGAACCGATTCATGACCGGAAGAGCAGCTTTGTCGGTCGTGCATGCCGAATCGAGCATCCCTCCCAGGTATGTGCCGACCGATGGACACGATTCGTAGAACTATACCCACCATCACATACAGGTCCCCCAAATCCTCTCTCACTTGATGTCAGATAGACGAATAGCCCGAGCCGCTCATCCTGTGATCAATGCCTGGCGATGTCAAGTCGGAAACCTCACCCATCAAGGTCTGCCTTGTATCGCTTCTCTACAGCCTTCCGCTGATCAGGGACCCGGTTAGACAACGATGATGATGGCGAGACAGCAGCCGGTGGCCGTCTTGCCCATCTCCTGCAAATTTTGGTGAGAATCTGCCATAACTGTGAATGCAAGGATGCTGAAGGAAGCTTCTAACTGCATCCAGGAAGTAAACAACGTCCTGGTGGTCGTATCGCGGTACTTTGGAGGAATCCATCTTGGGCCTGATAGATTTAAGCATATTAACCAAGCAGCTAGGAACGCGCTAGAGCTGGGAGGTTTCCTCGACTCTCCAGAGACTACCAAAAAGCATGTAGGAAGGGGTAGAAAGTAAAACTACAGTCTATATACTTCACTATCATATCTCAAACAATCTTATCTCCCCGCGGCTCCTTTACGGATGCAATCCATCGCGCCAAGCCCCACTTCCGTCGCCCAAACGAATTTGGAACCCCTTTTTGCCGGTCCAACCTCTCAGGCAGCTATTCGAAATACCCGTGAATAGGCTACTATAGCCCGGCGGATCCCATGCGTTTCCCAACGCGTACCACTACATTCCGCTTCTCTGCTCTTCTGAGCACAACGACATCGCCGACGAGGTGTTCCAGTCGTCTCTTGTTTCTGAAGCTTTCACCTGCGACACAACCACGGAGAAGGATGGCAAGTTCTCAGGCTGCCGTGGTTCGTACCGTTTCGTTATCGTTTCGGAATCTACTTCTAACGTAGGGCGGGGCAGTTTGGTCTCAATGACCCTAGTTTGATCAAGTTCCAAGGCCTAATCGACGGAAAATGGCTGGACGCAAAGAGTGGGGAGACTATCCTTGTCACCAGCAAGTCGCCTTTCCCCCCTATCGCAACTGCATGACCCATGTTCTGAGCGCCAACTTAGATCCTGCAACGAATGAAGAGTTGGGTACTGTCCCTGAGATGGGTCTGGAGGAGACGAAAGAAGCTATCGAGGCTGCTGCCAAGGCGTTTACGACTTGGGGTCGGACGACTGCAAAGGTGTGCACCCTGTCTGTTCCTTGAAGCTCTGTTCTAACTGTCGAAATCGACATCGTGGTTTGCTATCTGAATGGGTTGTGTGTCTAGTACCGACACGACCTCCTCATCAAATTCTTCCAGCTCATGCAACAACACCAGGACGACCTGGCGCGTCTCATTGTGAGGACTACTTCCTCGTGGTACCTTGACGTCATACCCTAACGCATATACGGGTTACTTTCTCAGACGTTAGAGAACGGGAAGACTTTGACTGAAGCAAAGGTGTGTGCATTCGACGCTTTGAATGGGCTGTAACATGTGCTGAGCAGGGCTGCTGATAGGGCGAAACGGCGTATAGCGCGTCTTTCATTGAGGTTTGTGTCCCCGGCTTTCAGACGTGTCCTATGTCGCTGACTTGGACTTATACTTAGTGGTTTGGTGAGGACACGTCGTTTACGAGAAATGGAACCAAGAACTGAAACCTCGGTCTACAGCTGAGGAGTCTGTACGAACATACGGAGGTCTGCTCTCTTCTATGCTCGTTCCCAAGCTTCCTTCTAACACCACTTGTAGAGCAAATCCCTTCCCCCTTCCACAACGTCCGAAACGTCGTCGTCAAACAACCCGTCGGTAAGTCCTATTCGTATTCTTCTGCCTTTCTTGTCTCTCACTGACGTTCCCTCGAACAGGCGTCGTGTGCGTATCTCTCTCCAAGGAGGGTCATTCAGAGCCGGTCTAATAATGAGTTCAGATCGATCCTCACACCATGGAACTTCCCATCCGCAATGATCACCCGCAAGCTCGGTGCCGCCCTCGCCGCAGGGTGCACAGCTGTCATCAAACCACCTCCTGAAACACCGTTCTCCGCTCTTGCTCTCGCCGAGGTGCGTTCTCTATCCGACGATGCAAAGCGCAGCATAAGCTCACCTATCCACTTCGAATCCACCACCAGCTCGCCGCCAGAGCAGACATCCCACCCGGCGTGATCAACATTGTCACCACCCAAAAGAACGTCACTGAAGTCGGTCGTGAACTCTGCGAAAACAAGATTATCAAGAAGGTTAGCTTTACGGGGTCTACGCCTGTCGCAAAGCTGCTATACGGTTTGGCTGCATCTACGTTGAAGAAGTGCGCTGTTCTCCAAAATCCTCTTACCCATGACTGACGTTTCTCCAATCATTCAGGGTCTCTCTCGAAGCGGGAGGCAACGCGCCCTTCATCGTGTTCGATGACGCCGATGTAGACGAGGCCGTCGAAGCCGCCATTGTCTGCAAGTTCAGAGGGAGCGGTCAAACATGCGTCTGCGCCAACAGGATCTTTGTTCAATCTGGGGTCTACGCCGAGTTCGCATCGAGGTTGGCTGAGCGTGTCGCGGCTTTCAAGGTCGGCAATGGACTGGAAGAGGGAGTGTAAGTGTCTTCTTTTCACCTTTCTTCTCGGTTCAGACTCATGACGGCAACGCAGAACCCACGGCCCACTTATTCACGCAAAAGCAGTCGAAAAGGTCGAGCGACACGTCGCCGACGCGGTCTCTAAAGGCGCACAGGTGCTCGTAGGCGGCAAGTCAATCCCCAACTCTTCCTTCTTCATCCCCACCGTCCTCTCCGACGTCCCCTCCGACGCAGCACTCAACACCGAAGAAACGTTTGGCCCTCTCGCAGCCCTTACCAAATTCGAAACCGAAGACGAAGTGATCAGGTTGGCGAATAACACTGATGTGGGATTGGCAGGGTATTTCTTCTCGAGGGATGTAGGCAGGGTGTGGAGGGTCGCGGAGGCGTTGGAGGTGGGGATGGTTGGTGCGAACACGGGGTTGATCAGTCAGGCTGTTATTCCGTTTGGAGGTGTCAAGGAGAGTGGTTTGGGAAGGGAGGGTGGACCCCATGGTATTGAGGAGTACATGAACACCAAGTTGATTGTGTTTGGAGGGCTTTGAAAATAAGTGTATATTATTTTGTATTTTGAGAACAGACGAGTGGGGGACCTGCCGCGGTCATGTAACGAACGGAGAAAGGACGATGCAAACTCTGTGATACTGTACTTGACCTTGTGAGGACGGGGACTAGAGCTTGGAAACGGTAGGCTCGGCCTTTTCTTCGATGACTGGGTTGAAGAGCGTTCCAATACCGTTTCCAAACCAGAGTTCCATGTTATCGCCGTCCTTGAGGTATACGGGTGGCTGTCTGACGAAGCCGACGCCTTTGGGGGTTCCAGTCAAGATGATAGTTCCAGGTTCGAGAGTCGTGCCCTTGGACAGCCAAGAGACAGTCTGTCGAACGCTAAAGATCTGGTCACTGGTCACGCGACATGGAATCAGCTCGAGACACTCTCGAAGGCGGCAAACACGCACGATGTATTTCCATCCTGCAAGACTTGGCCGTTAATTGTGGATTTCAAAGGGACAACCTGAGGGTCTGGAATTGCATTTGCAGAGACGATGCAAGGTCCGATAGGGTTTGTGTTGTCTGCATCGAACAGTTCAGAACTTTTTGGCCACTGCAAGATCCGAACATGGTACCCTACCGAAGCCTTTAGAAAAACTCCATTGTGAAATTGCGAGTTGGTGTTTCCGGAACGAGACCTGGAAGATCGTCATTTTGTTTGCGTCAGAAGAGACTTTTGGCTAGAAGAACGGTTGAGAACATACGTCATTTGCCCCGGTGTAGCCAAGGACGTAGTCGAGGGCGTCAGCTTCGGATACGTTCTTGGCTGGTTTACCGATGACGATGGCGAGCTCTACCTCATAATCCGGGAGGTGCTCCTCGGGCGGCTGTGCCGCGGTAGGGATGATAACAGGGGCGTTCGGACCGATTATGGAGGTGACTGGCTTGTAGAAGAGAATGGGGAAACTGGACGAGGATTGTGAATTAACCATTGAGTGCTGCGGAGGGACAAGACGCCTAGGAGAGCTTACGCCGGTTTGGCCATCTTGGCTTCTTCCTGAAAAACCGTTAATAAATGGCCTTTGAAGGCGCATTGAAAGGCGAAACGTACTGCATGGTCAGAATAGTTCAAGCCCAAGCACCGTACGATCTTGATGTCCTCTCGCGAGAGAGGAGAAAGGAGAGTCTTGACAGTCAAGACAGAGTTTGTGACCTGCGCGGCCGGGTCAAGGACAGAGCCAATTATTTCATGTGCTTTGAAGAGGCTGCCTTGACGGCTCGCCAATCCCACTGGGTATATTCCAGGACCAATACGAAATCAATTGGATTTTTTTTTATCGCGGTTGTATTACAAATTCGTCAGAGATGCACAAGGTCAGAAGGCATGGCTGGCGATGCTCACCATCGAGATGGGGGTCAATCGGCTGGCCAATGTGGACTCTGGACGTTTCAGCTGCGACGAACCGGATTAACCGCGTCCATTGCTGTGCAATCGTCCGTTTCAGCGCGACAAAAAAGGGTTAATGATAAGCAGCGTTGCTCACTGTTCTGATTGGTGCCATGGTGGTGGTGGTAGGAGAACAAGTCTGCCGAGCGGGCTATTCTCGCTGGGACTCAAGGTCTTCTGTCGTGTCATTTGTCAACGATTGTGCGAGACCGTCGTGCTTCGGCAAGGACAGGGGCAGATCACAATAAACTGGGAAAGTATTCCTTTATCAGGCACCGACGTCACGTTAAGGAGAGAAACGGTCACATGACGGTATCGCGGGGAGATGATCCGTTTCGGGCCAACTGACGCGCACAGGCTGTCCAAAACCAACAACTTCCATAAATGATTTCATTCATCTGTGTCTCTTTGTTTTCAACTCCCCGGTTGCCGTAAAACGCCACCACCCTTTTTCTTTCTTCAACTATCATCTCCAATGTACAGTTCGTCGCTCACAGCGATGAGGGAGACCCTCCAGGACGCTTTGGACCAGGTTAGCCGGCTATGACGACGTACCACGAGGCATGCAGCGTGTTGACTCCCCCAATCCCCCAACAGATCACTTCGACACGTTCGTCAACGGATACAAGAACTCGCGCACTTCAGACCGTAGAACGCTGTTTGGCCAAAGCGCTCGCCGACGAGGAGGATCGAGAGGGGTTGGATAGCTTCCTGGCTCTCCAATACACCTTTGAGTGCAACGGTGCGTTGGGCGCTATCACCGTGAACCTGAAAGATACTAATCAGTATATTGGCCTCTAGTCCCTTTAAGACTTCTCTCATGGTTATGCATCGCTACCACCCAACTCGACTCGCTCATCAAAGGCCCTATCGATGGTGCGCCCTTCCTTTTGTTCTTGTTCTTCGGCGGAATGGCGGCCATTAACGAAGTACAACACAGAATCACACGAGCACGAAGTCACCACCCTCGTTTCCCAAATAGTGCTGTCACTCTGTCTCCTCCAAGGCATCTCCCTGAGCCACCCGAGCTGCAAGGTGTACCTGGGTCGCCGGTACCCGCAGGAGGTTAGGGGTTTATTGGCGTTCTCCTATTGGCTCGCTGGCTCATAATTGTTATTAGGTCCTCTTGGATTTGCTCTTAGCATCACGACACCTACCTTCTTCATCTTCCCGCGATTCCGAAAATATGTGTCGTAGACAAGGCATACTGGAACAACCCCTAACGTCGCTGGTCCTCGACACCCTCCTCTGCATTCTCGTAGACTCCTCATCGGCACTGCGCGTGTTTGAAGACGTTGGCGGACCCCAGGCAGTGGTAAGGATACTTAAACGCGCGGGAACACCAAGAGAAGTTCGGTACGTTTTGCTTCCTCTCTGGCACTATTTCACCCGATCACTCACGTTGGGAGTGCAGGATGAAATGCTTGGAGTTCCTGTATTTTTACCTCCTTGATGAGACCGCGTCGGGGCCGGAAACCAATGGGGTAGACGAAGACTCACCTTTAAGCTCGCCACCGACAGTGCCCAACTCCCCAGTCAATCGCCCCTCGAAACCGTCCGTCAGCAGCGGCACCCCGCCAGCACACCCAGCCTCCAGATACGGTTCTTCAACATACGCGTTTTCTGATTCTTCTGATTCTGGAAGGTCTTCGCGTTCGGCTTCGGGGAGTTCCACGCTTTCGTTTTCGTCCACATCGTCCAATGCCTCGTCTTCTACTGCACCCTCGTCAGTTTCTTCTTCACCTGAAAAACACACCTCGTTCAGCAAATCGCCGTTGCGGGCTCGGTCGCCTGAGAAGCCCTCGTATCGACCAAAAACCGGGCACCCCCGAACACCTCCACACTCGCCACCACTAGATCCCGCCCGTTCGCAATTCCGCTTCCCTGCGAAACCACCCCAGCCAAAAGCGATGGCGATGCTCAAGAAAGAGATCGACTACGTACCTATGAGTCCGAAGAAAGCCCAAGTTGCCGCCATCCTGGGTCGATCGCCAGGACACACGCCCAAGAGCAAGAGCATGAGCGTGGTTGATTCCGGGATCACGCCCAAAGAACGCGTCCAGACCAAATCTCGACTCCAATCAGCTGGGACTGTGCCCAACTTGTCCAACTATAGCTATTTGTCTTCCTCGGAGGATGATTCGGTTTTAACGCCTAAAGCCGTTCCAAGGATTCCAAAGTTTTTGGTCACGGGGAATAAGAGGACGACGGAGGAGAAGAAGCAGTTGTTGGGGACGATGCTTGGGAATGTCGATGCGCTTGTTGAAGGTGTGAGGAAGGCCGGTATTTGGGGACTGGCGTAAGGTTTTTCAGTGTTTTTTCTCCCTCTTTCTTGCCATTTTGATTTTTCTTTTTTTATTTGTGATTTTTTCCTCGGCGTCGAGCGCTTGTCGAAAGCTTCACTTTTATTTATTGGACTCTTGTCTCTCTCTCTCTTCATCCATCATCTTTCCTCTCTTTCTTCTCTCCTCATTCCTTCGTTACGCCCGTATAGAGTCGTTCAGGCTCCATGGACTCGTGTCGCTAATAGTTCGCTATCGTGTTATCGCTGCTTTCTGTATAATTTAGGCACTTGATCATTGTTGTCGTTGTCGCCGTCCTAGCTAGTTACCTCGTAGTCTCTCGTTTCTCTCTCTCTATCTCTCTCTCTCGATACCTCTCCCAACACACTCTCGCAGTGTCGCCTTCGTTTCCTTTTCTTCCCTTTTTTTGGGCTCATCGTTTGTCGTCGTTTCATCCCTTTTCTCCCCATTTTCATGGTCCTTGCAGTGTCTGCACTTTGACGAAAAGTTACGGTCTCATTCATAGCATTTGTTTCTTTCTTGTCGTTTCCTTGCAATAGAATGAGCATTTCATTAACTATGTGAGTATTAGATTCGAGAGTACGACAGAGTCCAGAACTGAGCAAAGGGAAGGGAGTTGTAGCAAAGCAGGTGGGTGGTGGGTAGTACTGAAAGTTGAGCGAAAGTTAGGTGTTGAGATTTTGTGGTCGACGAGGGCAATATGTCGCCTCGAGTCCACCGACGTTCATGACCGCATTTTACCGACGTTATCCACCGACGGAGCACCCCACACAAATGTCCTGCTCTGAGGATCCAACAACTTGAGCCCTGGCCACCTTGAATCCAAACACTGCAAAATCCCTCTGCCATTCGCTGGCTGGGTGGTGGATGGTGGCGGAGGAGCGGGGACGGTAGGTGGCAGCGGTTCCGACACGACGATATTCTCCGCCTTCAACTTTGAATTCTCCTCTGCCTTCAGCCCTTCTCCTCCAACAGCTCCAGCCCCAACACGCGTAACACCCGTGGCGTTTGCACCCTTTACATGTTGTGTTGTTGAGCTCTGGGATTGGGATTGGAGGGCTTGAGCTTCTTCGTCTACATCGTCGAATACGTCCTGCTTGACGGCGCTGATGGAGTAGGCCCATACTCCTGCTGCGAAGGCTCCCAGTCCTAGACCGACGATGGCGTTCCGGATGCGGTAGGGTTCGCGGGCGCGTTTGAGGCCTGGCGACATGGTCTATTTTTCGATGTTTAGAACGGCGGCATGTCGGGGAGGGCGTTCCATAGAAGTCGATTCCGGTCGGTTGGTTCATGTAGTACAAGTTGGAGGACGTCCTAGAGTCAGCAACAGACTAGCTAGACCTGGGTGAAGGGTACATACACCAGCTCTCGGCCTGTAGCTCTTCTGCGACTCCTTTTTATCGGCGTACATATTGCTGAGTTGTCGTGGCTCGGGTTCAAGAAGATAAAGATGAAATCGATAGCCTCTGCTTATAATCCGTGCCTCGAGGCAAATAAGGGCAAAGGGGAAGGAAAGAGGGTCGGACGAGAGGAAGAGCGGTGAACAGGACAGAGAGAGCCGCCAGGAGAACCGCGAATTGTTCTGTGATCGCCGGAACGTTACGCTTTTAAACGCCGGCACTTCGAAAAGTTCAAAGTTTTCCTCGAGGTCAGTGCTTCAAGGTTGCCAAAGCACCATTCATTTCAAGTCTATGTAGTAAAGATGGTCATTCTATCGTACTGGTTTCCGCGTCCGTGAAAATACGTGGGTCTAAGTGTCTAGTTAAAAGGTTGCGTGAATATGATAGTATGGAGCCCATGTCAAATCGTTCAATGAACGAAGGTATTACTCATGAGTCGTGAAGTATTGTAACGGATAGTAATCAAAGGGCGAGGGCATCTGGGCCGGTGGGGACTTCCGCAGCATCCACGGTGGCCTCGACAGCCTCTTTAGCAACGCCGACAGCATCAACATCGGGGGCACCGGGAACTGCGACTTCGTCCCGGACACGGATGCTAACACCTTCGTTCAAGAGGTCGGCGACGGGATTGTGTCTCGGCTCGGCGGGAAGCGAGAGGTCCGGAGTGGAAGGAGCAGTGGGTGCATCGTCGTGCGGGATGTGGACGGCATGAAGCTTCCCTAGGCCTCGCTTGAGAGCAAGGGCCTCTGGGACAGCGACGGCGGGGACAGCTGGGGCATCCACGACATCAGTGTCCTCGGGGACATCGAGGTCAGGAACCAGGGATGCAGCATCGACGTCGGGAACTGCGACTGGGATCTCCGCCCGCTCAACATGCTCGGGGAGAGTGATGTCAGGAAGAGTGTCTGAAGGGGCGTCGGGGACCGCGACGTCGGGGGCACTGACTGGGATTTCTGCGCGTGCAACATGCTCGGGGAGAGCGACGTCGGGAGCAACGTTTGCTGGGACCGCGACGTCGAGGTCGGGAACAGCGACGGGAATCTCGTCACGCACAACATGCTCGGGGAGAGCGATGTCAGCGACGGCAGGGTTTGCGAGCTCGACGTCGACGTTGGCGAGGTCGGGAACAGCAACTGGGATCTCCGAACGCACAACATTCTCGGGTAGAGTAACGTCAGGAAGTGGGTTCAACCTGTTGATCTGGACGGGGGTGTCCTCTCTGCCAACTTGAACACCCGGAATGAGGACGGGTGCAGCTCGAACGGTGGCAAGGCATGCAAAGAAGAGGGAGATGAAGACGCGGGTTTGCATGGTGTTTGAAGGTGCTTTGCGGTGAGAGTGGCTCGAGAGTTGCTTGGGACAGCTGAGAACTGCTGAGGAAATCGGGAAGTTGTCGAGGTCGCTTTTAAAGCTTTGAAGTGTCGCTGCGGGTGACGTAGACCGCCAAACATCTGGAGTGAACATGGCGACGTATGTCGTAAATCAGACACTAGAACCCCGAGGAAGACATCGGTTAATTTGGACAATGAATTACTTTGGGTGAAACATCAGCGCTTATTAGGAGCTGCTGGCACAGATGCTCCTCATTCGAAGCGAATGCTTGCACACAGAGAGGGTCCAGCACCGTGCCGGTCACGAAAGAACCACAGACGATGTTCTATTTGGACCCTGTAAATGTTTGGCTGAGCTGTAAACACAGCGCACGAAGCTGAAAGCAGGGCTCACCAGCTACAAACCGCGTCCGATGGTCCGTTGACGATGTCAACACTAAAAGTTAGCTTCGGCATTCCTGATTTTAGACCCTACCCCGCAAATATATTTTCCGACCTCGAGCCGAGTAGAGACAGCCTCCGCTGACACAGGGAAGTAAATGGGTGGGACGACCTTCTGCACCGTCGGGTGTCAGCAGGCTCTCCAATATTCAGAGGATATCTAGTGTGTCCATGAGTAGTCCTGCGGGTTGGAGCCATTATTGGACACACATCATTCGAACGAAACTGCGAACGCTCTGGGTATTTTTTGGAAGTCGAGGAACCCTGAACGGAGGCGACGATCGCCGATTCCGGTCTCGGTACCGAGGTCGCGTACATAAACGCGAAGGAAAAACCTGAGCGGCCGATTTCCTACCCACCAATCTCATCGGTCCGCTGAGCGAAGACAGGACAAACACATCTATTAAACCTGAAAGCCATCGAAGTCAGAAAAGTACGCAAGATGAAGGATAACCAAGTCTCACTAATAGTACAAATCGACTCAACGGGCATAAATCACAAATCCCAATCTTCCAACGCAAAAGCCAAAACACCAAACGCTGGAGCAGCCTCAGTAGTACCCCCAGCTAAACTCTCTACCCCTCTCCTGATAAACCGAACTAACCCATCCACCTCCCTCGAAATTTTCTCTATCCTCCCAAAGAAATCACCGTCATCCACCCCTCCCATCGTCTCATCATACAAGAACGAGGTCGTCGTGGTATCTGGTGGGCCACGCCCCTCGCTCTCATCGAGCATCTCGTCAGGGTCAGAGTCGTCGGAACTAACAAGGTCGATATCCCTGATCGAATGTGAGAACCCGATGACATTGCGTTGTATGCGTCGTTGTTTACGACTGCGATGCTTGAGGACGATAGAGTGGCGTGAGACATCGTGTGTAGCGGTCGTATCTCCCGCGAAGGTGACGAATATATTGGTGAAATGGAGGCAGATGTCGAGGATAGAGATGATGGATTTGTGAAGAGCAGAAGCCTGTTTATCTAATTTTAGCGCAGACCCCTCAATGCCATTGATTGTGAGACGAACATTCGGCTTCAAAAGACATCTGCCTTGAATTTTGTCAAGGCTAAGATGCAAGTTAGGATTTGTGACAGGGAAGATAGGACGACAACGTACTGGTCATCATGAAGAGTAATGATTTCGTCCAGACTTTTGGCCTTGTCGAGATCTTCGTGGAATTTCAGGATTTGGACGTGAAGAACCTGGGGTGAACGATCAGAGGGGCTCGAATGGCAGCGTCTAAACTGGACGCACATAAGTCGTCAAAAAGTTCAAGAGGGTACTAACACAACAGTCAATCATTTATTTACTGTGAAAGGCGTCACTCGGACTTACTTGGCGAACCAACTCAGCCGACTCCTCATCGCATAAAACACTTTCAACTCCTCCTTCAACCTCTGGTGTCGATCATTGTCCTCTCTAATCAATATCCTTTCCAAAACATGTTTCGCCCTCCGAATCTGTAACAAGAACACAAAGATCTCGCTATAGATTTGGACAATCTCCGGTCTGAAGATATAGGTCAAAGGAAAGGGGACAGCATATTCGACTGAGAGACCTTCGATGGCTCGGACGGTGCGGTGGATGTTCCTGTCTTTATCCCTGTGTCCGCGGTATGAGAGTCGCACAAGGGAGAGTTGGATCCATTCTTGACTCCCGGGGGTTAGGTTGGAACGGACAACGTCCCCAAATGCAGTGTTTAGGAAATGGAAGTCGGACCATGCTTGATTGGCGTCCATCTATTAAAGCAACATTAATGAGTACGAGGCCATATGACAGCCAATGCTAGCCTCACCTTTGTAAAGACGACATCCAAGAAATGCGTGATAGCGTCTCCCTTTCTCATCAAGAACAAGTCTTCAAGGGCATTTACGTGGCTTCGCAAGTCGCAGTCTTCGAAGAGCAACTGAGACAAGAAAGCGCCAGTTTCATGACATGGCTCACGGAGGTGGTCATTGATGATTGCGGAAAGGGAGTCGACGGAGACAGAGAACAGGCTCCTGGGACCGTCATCGTTTTCCTGAGGTTCGACATTTCGCGGATGAGATCGAACGAGATCGGCGAAGAGAGGCCAATCGGCGAAGCCATGGGCTGACAGAGGCACTCCAAGGGCTCGAATGAGACCGGTGGCCTTCCCGGTTCCTAGAATGAGCTTTGCTACATGTTCCAGGAATGTAGGGACAACACTTTGCCTCGATGCTGAACCTGTTCCTCCCTCGGCCTCTGTCTCCGAAGACAGTTCACGCAGAGAATATCCGTCCTTCCAAAAGTCTGGATCCAGCAACCCCATACTCAGCATCCCGACCCCAATGCCGTTATATTCGATGAAGAACTCTTCCTCTAGGTCGCCTGGATTCTGCTTGTCGCTAAATGTTGCGACATTCATACCATTCCGAAGCCACTTCCCCACCATACCCCAGATCGGCTCGGACGACGAAACGAATACGCGGAGGAGAGTGTTGCCAGTGACCACGGCATTCCTCTCCATGTGTTCCTGTAAATGCGAGAATAGGGTATCCAGAAGTGCCGTGGAAAGCGTTGCCGATGACCTCCAAAACTTGCGTCGAGTCGAACCGGCCGGGTATCCAAAGACATCCCGGACAATCGTTGACAAAATCTCGAAAGACTCGTCATATTCATTCCGGAGGGTCTGTTCGGTGTTGAGAAGGCTGACAACCAATGGTTCATCCAAGTTTTCCAACCCAGCACGACACATGTCTTCCTCCCGCTCTGCACACCAAGCCTCGAACTTGCGTATTTCGAAATCGATTGCATCGGCGAACGCTTCTGCTGTCTTGGTTTGTGGAAATCTGAGGTTTGGTATAGGTCGACTTTGACCATCGGCAGAGGTGATGCGATTGGCGGATTGTGCGAAGACGTGGGCGACAAAGTGGCGAAGGTGTTGGACAGTAGTTGCCGTTTTCCCAAGGGATTCAAGAATGGATGCTTGCGATTGAAGGCTTAGGTGGATCAAGCGGGGAGGGGAAGACGTCAGGACCATATTGTCGTTTTCCCACGTAAAGACGGTATTCTCTCTTCCCTGAAGTGCTATGAGCACCTCCCGAACCATGTCTTCTTCGTTAATATATTTCTAGAACAACTATGAGACTGAGATAAAATGGTTGAGACGCGACGAGCGTACCGGAGGGGCAAGCATGTCGAGCGCGAGTCTTTCCTTGCGAGTACGTGCTCCGGCTCTCTCTATCGAAGGCCCAAGAGTAGAAGGATCCCCCAAGTCAAACGACCGGGAAGGATCAGCGTCTGAGCGCCATTCCTTCCTCCAATATTGCTGATGCTGTAACTCGCGGAACGCTTTGGCGTGTTCTGGAGAGAAGGGCTGTCGTGCCTCTTGCGGCGGTGTGAACTGAGCATCCGTGGAAGGTGCACGCTCAGCCTCGTCCATGGACAGAAGAGATGAGTCATCGTCATCCAGAGCAAGGTCGTCCGAGTTGAGAGGTGACAGGGAGGGGGTCGTATCCCAGTCATCGCCTATAGGATCCAAGATGCCCTCCCAATGGTCGCCTTCAAACGGCTCCTCGGCGAGAATTTCAGCCCATGTTAGCGGTGGTGTCGATGGCTGGGGATTCTTGACTCTCTCGAGATACAGGTCTGCATATGCAAGAGAGGCTGCTGAAGGGGGTTGGGCGAGGGCGATCTGTAGGACGGGGTAAGTATTACCTCCTGTCTCCAAACAAAGTCACTGACGAGAAATTGAAGATGATCTGGGATCTTGTTCGACTATAAAAGCCGTGTGTCAGTGATTCGCCTTGTCCAAGGTCTGAGAGAAACGTACCACCACAGGTGCATCAAGGTCGCTCTCATGACTTTCAATATGGTCCTTGAGCTTCCTATAACAATGCTCAAGACTAGTCGCCAACTCCTCTTTCAAATTCACGCGAGCTTTCAAGGCATGTCTGCACAACGAACAAAGGATTAGCACCCAGTCATAAACGCTCAGAACCAACTGACCCACTTATTGTACGGTCAATAACTTCAATATCCACACTGGCAGACGGTTTACTGATCGTCGTCGGTTCCAGTTGCCTATAAGCATACTCCACGAGATCCTTGAAATCGTCGCTCTCTTGGTCTTCAATTCCAGTCACTTGCGTAACCAGTGTTTGACATTGTGGTATTATTCTGGACCTTGAGCTCCGTGAGGGTGGTCTGAAGGAGAGACGCGATTGTGTGCGATGAGACGCGCTGGACGGGGGTCGGAATCCTATGCTGGTTGAGGGACGATGCTGGGAGATGCTAGAGGAAGGCCGAGACGACGACGATGGTCGCACGGAGAGACTAGAGACTGGTCTTGGAACCGGTGTATGTAGCGATCTCGAGCTCCCAGATGGATTCATTGTTAAGTCAGTTCATGGTCGACGCTCAGCAAGCACGGAATCCCAAATCCAATGCCGAGAAAAGTCACGCATTGGGCACGTGGATCGAGCGCCCTAATTTGCCCAATGCAGCGCGTAGCGCGTCTTGAAATAAATCATTTGGCGGGGAGGCTGAAATGTAAAGGTAAACAGTCCAAGGTGGCCTATGACTATCAGGATGTCAGTGACAGGAAGACCTCATAATCCTGCCGGCACCGAAGAACACGAAGGCGTACAGTGTTTGCGCCAGATGTCCCCTAGCGCTTCTCTAGACTCAGTCGAGATGACATGCAGCTGCTCCAGTACCTCACTTAATATTAAGTACAAACTCACGCTATCTACTAGCTCGTTTTCCATAACACCTGTCTGTTCTACGCCTCCGAGCAGCATGGAGACCCCGAAACTGGGGGAGAGTCCATTGCTTAATTCAACAATTGAACTGATGTACTACTCTTCGACAGTTTCCTTAATACAAAGACGTTGCTTCAAGGCTAAATCGCAAGACCTTGGAAGGCACTACGTAGTATTCGCGGGAAACTTAGAGTTGACGGGGATCCATAGATCCGCGTCTCAGATCCAAGAAGTGGGGAAGATGGGAGGATATGGTGAGTAGGAGAGTTGGTATTATAGACGTAAGAATTAAGCCAGTAGAGCAGTCAAGTCGTACAAGGCCACAAGAGGTACAATACTGCACTTCGAATCGAACATCGTGTACATAGAGCTTGAGCCTACCCTCGGAACCGAGGTAAGAGTGGAAGGAAAGAGGTCATAGACAAGACTCCGAAGGGAAAGGATAGTTGAAAGAAGAACGCAAGAAAACGCACGAGATCCAACGAGCTCGGAAAGGAAGGCATAGTAGGGTGTATTAGAGTAAAGAGCTTAGTCCGGGTCAACGGTACGATCGAGGGAGAAGGGGGCGCCATACTAGGCAAAACCCAATCGCCTGCGTTCAATGCAACCATTCCGGAAATCCTGAAACACGAGTCCAAAAGGAAAATATGAGTGACCATGGTCCTCAACAGCCGTGCTAGCAGAGAGAAACAGCTTACCTGACACATCCCACATTAAGAAAAGGCTAAACCTGCCCAAGCACCGACAGCACCAACAACAGCACCTCCCGCCGCCGCTTTTAACGCGGATGTGGACGACCTGGGCTTTTCGGGAGCATAATCTGCAGAAGATGATGATGCGGACGTCATCTTCTCAGTGACCTTGTTCCTTTCAGCTTGCTGGACGCGCGCCAAAAGCTTCTCGACCTCCTCTTCGTCCCTTCCTATAACGAGTAGACTTTGATCATCCCCTTCGACCTCGTTCGTGACAACGCTTGCAATGAAACCTGTATCGCGAGCCGTATCGGCAATAACGTGGACATCAGCCTTGGGAACGACGTAGATCGTAGCCTTCTCTGCGTATGCGGCTCCGAGGCGAGAAATGAACAGCTGGCGTTGCTCCATGCTCATGGTTCTCGAAAGGGGTTTCGTCTTGCGCTGCGAGACCGGAGCGTTCGAAGGCTGGTGCGTGGCGGACTGAGAGAATGAAGGTTCAGTCTGGCAGGTGGCATGCATTTTGGGTGGTTTCTCGTCTGGGATTGAGGTGTAAGAGTCGAAGAAGCTGGAGTTGGGCGTAATAAGAGTTCCTGGCATTGGCGAACTTGGTGAGGACTTTGGATAGCCGGTCGATTTCCTCCCTTTGGGAGTGGCAGCTATCAGGGTCTCCTGCCACTGTATTACTCTCGCCTTGTGCTTCCCAGTAGGTGTCGTGCGTCCATCTTCCTCTTCAGTGTCGTCATCGAAAGCCCCTGGTCGAAGAAGATTCTCAACGATTTCTTCCGAAGTGCTGGAAAGGGAGACAAGGCTTTCGGCTGGTTGGAGGGGTGGAATTCCAGAAAGTCGAGATTTCCTTCGTCGATTGTGAATAACCTTGTCCTCCTGTTCGCGAGTTGGAGATGACCCGATATACATTGACCCCATAGCATCATTGATATCGTCCGCAACTAGCTTCCTTCTTCCCTTAACAGGGGTAGTGGGAACACGAGGAATGGCGTCTCCCTCTTCCTTCACTGGGGTTACTGGAGGCAGATCGTCCACGAAAGGGCATCCAGAACGTGGGTGGCCTGCGCGAGGTCGTCCGCACTTGGTGCAATGGGGGACTCGACGGGGCGAGCTGCCCGCGGTATCGTTCTTGGTGGTTGTACTGCCGCGAGTCTTCGGTGCCATACTGTCAGTTGAGGCCACCACCCAGAGTCGCGTGCGTTAAAAGGCTCTCAAGAGTGCGGTCGCGAAGAAAGCCAATGTTTATAGGAGTTTTCGCTGCAAAGAACAATGAGCTCCGGGATCCATGCCAACGGTGCACAAAGGACTAGCTTGCCTTTATGACATCGTCGGTGTTCTTGCCTTTCGTTCACAATTTGTTTTGAACGAATGGGATTGAGTCGGTCAGAGTCAGGAACAGATTGGGAACGGAGGCGCTCCCGCGACGACGGCGGTTGTTTGTTTGGCCAATCGCGGCGCGAGATCGACGCGCTGTTGACGCTTGACCCTGGATCTGTTTCTTGTCCTTTGTTCTTTCGCTCAACGAGACGTTTCGACCTTAGGGACTCGAAAATATCTATAACGGCTCGGTGTGGCAAGGTGCGACGACTTGCAGTCGTGCTCAATTTGACGAGGCTCAGGCCAGACTCGGGAGTGGGCCACGGTGTTCAGATGGCCATTTCTTCAAGTGCACTTCTTGAAACCTTGCCGGTGCATAGATAAATCGGCTGGCTACCGAAGCCTCGTCGTGAAACTCAATCCTGACATGAACACATTTGACAGTGGGTCAATCCATCTTCAAACGTTTCTTTCCGACCTCACATCTCGGCTCTCCATCCCGATGACCTTGGTCCCAGTCGTGGAGCGCTCTGAATTCTCCGAGACATGACATGGGCAGCCCTTGACCTGAGTTGGCACCGGACATACATGTGGTCACTCTCTGCAACATCTCCTTCCAGGTCCTTCCCAAATACGATTATCGCCCGCATGCCGACACATTCACTGCATGGCATCGTGTTTCAGCTTGTCCCTTCTCTTTACCCAACAGCGCTCGATTGTGCATCCGCACATCGTTAAACCGTGCCGCATTGGCGCCAATGCTTAGAAGCTCATCCCTCCTTCCCATGGACTCAGGTCGAAACATAAACTGTGAGTGCCCGCTGGTTATTTTGGGCAAGTCCCCCTTCTCTTGCTGTGGAATGCCGCCCACCTATTTTGCTTCTCAATATTGGAGCCGGGATGCCATCCCTACGCACCTGTGTGTATACTAGATCGAATAAACGATCTGAGGGCCCAATGTCACCACCCCGAAAGCACCAGGTAAATCCTGATCTATCTCAGTACTATTCATTTGCTTGAAATATACCTGTGCAATGGATATGCCCCCAGCTTTCCTGACAGATCGCCGAGAGGGGAGCTCGAATCAAATAGAAACTCGCGAAGTCTCTTTAGGATTCGTTTCCAAATTAGATGGCCTCCCTCTGTTTTTGTTAGAAGCATACAGCGCCAATCCTATGTCCTTTTCCGTTAATTTTGTATAACTTCGGGAGGTACCTGAGATAGTTGTCGTGGTGCACCTGATGGAATCCATCCTGTTTAGATGAGCGGATCAGAGAGAAGCCAGTAAGGACTGTATTATTGTTCTGCAAGGTATCCGAAAGAAGACGCGCATTCTTGGTGACATTCTAGTCCGAGACGATAGTACGGGGTTGCCCCCCGGATGTGAACATGTGGAAATGATGATAGAAGCACAATGAAACGAACTGGGGGGAAAGAGCATTGGATCTAGTCGCGCATCCTTCCGGACTGTCCTCTCGAGCGCGGTTCATCGTCATCGGAATATCTTGACCTGCGCCGGGAGTCATAGTCGTCAGGTGAATAGCTTCGTCGACGTCTCCCGTGATGCGGAGAACGGCTGCGAGAGTCCCTTCTTCTTCGTTCATCTGGGGTCCTCGAACGGTCCCGACTCCTCCTAACATCGCGTTGGTCCACACCCAAACTGCTCAACAAATTCTCAACTGCCCGAACACCTTCTGATTTCCCCTTCTTTGCCTTTTTCTTCTCCTTCTTCTCCCTCTTCCTAGCTTTCCGTGCCGCCCGCTCCTCGGGTGTCTCGTCCTTGTGCTTACTTTTGGACTTCTTCTTTTCCTTCCCCTTCTTCTTGGCCTTTGCCTCCCTTCGCTGGGCGATGAGATAGTCTCGCATAGGATCCTCAGGGTCAATTGACGCCCCCGTAGAATCAGACGAATCTGATTCCGCACCATCGTCTATCGCAGAAGAAAGACATAAAACTTAGCACGACAGATCCATACGGCAATGTGAGGAACCAGCGCACCTTCAATCAGCTCTGGCGCAGCATTGAAGACTTCTTCGTCCTGCTCCACCCATTCACCATCAGCGTTCTTAACCTTGGGTTGCTTGTACTGCTTAACATGGTCAACCCGCAGCGTGCGCTCTAGGACCTTGGCACCATTGAGGTTATCAACGGCGAGGATGGTAGAACGTTGATCCTCATACATGAGAAAGGCAAACCCTCTGGGTTTCCCTGTTTCCTTGTCACGAGGCATGTTAATGTCCATGATTTCGCCGTATCTGAGGGAGTCTTGGTGTCAATTCAACTGAGCCTGTGGGTAGAAACTAAGGACGTACTGCGAAAAGATGGTGATGACATCTCCCTCAGTCAAGTCATTGTGCAGTCCACCAACGAATATTCTGGCAGAATCTTTGTACTCGTCGTGCCACGACGCAGTCAGACCAAGCTCGAGCTCCCTCTGGTTGATAGCATTGATTTCCCGAACTACGCTGTCGAAGTAATTCAGTCAACCGACGATGACCGAGCGCGACGAAACACGACCTACTTCATGGCTAAGAACAAGGCAGCAATAAGTTCTCACGCGCGAATTATCTGAGACTGAATTTTTTGTTACAATCAAAAGCGACTCGCGATCTTATCGACGACGACGACCAAGAACGACCAACTAAAAAAATGGCCTCGTTTTCGTTGCCAACTATTCACGACAATCCAGATGGTGGCTGGGGACCATCGACCTCGACCAACTTCCCAGAACAATTCAAATTCAAGGATATTCCTTATGCACCCTTTGCAAAATCCGACAAGCTTGGTCGAGTCGCAGACTGGAACGAGTTGGCCCTAGATGGCAGGCAGGCTGCTCAGGGTCTCTCTGCTCAAGCTAATAGGGGAGTTGGAGCTGCCGGACGAAGACGCGACGGTGCCCAGGCGTTCGGCAGTGGAACTGCCAGTGCCTTCGCCTACTTCCATGCTGAAGATGAATCTTCATTCTCGCTTGTCGACAACAAGGCTACTGCTCCTCGACGAGGAACTGGTTTCAGCCGAGGCCGTGGAGGTGTCAGAGGAACCAGCTATACTTCCAGGGGCGGTGCTCGAGGTGGCCGTGGAGGAACTTCTGGTGGAAGGGGCGGTATGCAGAGGACTGTCGCGAGCGGCAGGAGAGGCTGGAGGGATTGGGAAAAGGTGCTTCTTGTTCGTGAAAAAGCAACGAACCCCCTTCTGATTTTCCATTCAATTCAGAACAATCGCACTCGAGAATCATCTGTTGTCATCTCACCCTCCTGGCAAGTGCTCGAAGAAATCGAGTTTCATCGCCTCGCAAAATTGCGACTCGAAGTTGATGAACCCGATGAGCTGTGCGTATGGTTTCTCGACTTCCTGTCTTATCTTGTTCTCACTCGAGATTCAGTGATTCTTACGGCCGCATCTTTGCTTACGACAAAACCTATGACCGTATTACTACCAAGACTGAGCGACCTCTCCAATTGGTGGATCGTATCAAATACAATCCCACTACTTCAGATGATCCTGTGATCCAACAGGTTAGTGAAATTCCAACAGACCTTCTGTTGGCGTCTTTATTTACCGTTTCAAATAGCTCGTTAGCAAGAACGTCGGTAACGTCTACACGACCGACATCATCCTCTCCGTCTTGATGTGTGCTCCTCGTTCGGTGTACCCTTGGGACATCGTGATCGTACGAGAAGGGAATAACTTGTTCTTCGACAAGAGGGATGGCGGTCCCTTCGATACTGTCACGGTCAACGAGAATGCGGCCGATCCTCCTCAAGACCCCACACCTCCCAACCCTAACAACCCCAACGAGAAGCCGGTCGTTCCAGAGACTGCCTCAATCAACACGGCTACCTCTCTCTCCCTCGAAGCCACCTACATCAATCAAAACTTTGGGTTCCAAACTGTCATCGAGACACCGCCCCCTCCTGCTATTGACTTTGCTCATGCCAACCCCTTCTACGGACCGGACGAGACTGAGCCTTTGGCTTCCTGCGGTTACCGATACCGTCTCTTCGATCTTGGTATTACTGAAGACGAGGACATCAGGCTGTGTGTCCGAACAGAAGTAGACGCCTATTCTCCTGGTCAAGGAAATCCCCGTGAGGGACAAGGCCTCGTCACCATTCGCGCCCTTAACGAGTTCGACCCCCGTGCTCAAGGTTCAGGAGGCGCCCCCGACTGGCGCACCAAGCTCGACTCCCAGCGTGGTGCCGTCGTCGCTACCGAAATGAAGAACAACAGCTGCAAGCTCGCCAAATGGACTGTGCAGAGCATCTTGGCTGGCGCTGATCTCATGAAGATCGGGTATGTGATGCTGTCTCTCGTCGGGCGCTTTCTCCGCTCTTTTCCATCACCATCCCATCAAATCTATAATACTAACTGCCGCACGACTCTAATTTTAGATATGTCTCTCGTGCTAACCCTCGTGACAACACCCGTCACGTCGTCTTGAGTACGACTTCAATCAGGCCCACAGACTTTGCCGCCCAATTGAACGTCTCATTGGCCAATGGATGGGGTATCGTTCGTACCATCATCGATATGTGTATGAAGATGCCCGAGGGCAAGTACGTTTTGGTTAAGGATCCCAACAAGGTACGTGTTATACTTCGTTGAATGGGGATGTGCAACTGACTGACTATTCAATTAAGCCTGTAATCCGTTTGTACTCCGTGCCCCAAGATACCTTTGTCGAACAAGACGAGGATGAAGGATCGGAGGAGGAAGACGAGGACGAGGCGTGATTGGATATGTGTCGCCGAAATCAACGCAGTGAACGTTGATGTAGATACTAGTCCACGGTCCTTTGATGCCCACCATACACCTTGGAGTGCATACAAAATCTTGGTCCTTACCAACGCGTTCGAGATAATCCATTTTCGCTTTCCCGATGAGAGACACTGTGAATCCCAAGCGCGAACGGGGCTTACCCGAAGGCAGCCTAAGCGACAGCGTTTCGCATTTTCATTTGATATTTTATTCACCGTCTTGAAACATCGCTCTGTGCCACAGACGTCGGTGGAGATGAAGAGCATTTTGTTCCATTTTACCAGGAGCTACTTGTCCACCGCCGTGTTTCCAGGAACCACCGTGAACCAAGGTGTAACAGATGGCGCGACGGCGAAAGTGTTTCCTGTCACTGACGTAGACCCCTGAGGAGCAATTGACCAGAGGGCGGAAGATTCAGCTCGAGACACAACACCGGAAATCTCGCGTGGACGAATGGGTTACTATCGTTGCGACAACAGTAGTGTCTCTACTGCTCCTGTAGTGTTGGCACTGCCGAAGAGAGATGGTGTCAGTGTTTGTCGATAGATGATGGTTTGCGGAAACCAACCTTCTCTGAAGAGCAGCGATAACCACTTCTCGGTCGAGATCGGGGAACATACTAGTGAGCTGAGCAATTTCCGCCTCTGACGGGGCTCTCACTCCAGCACTTGTATTCTCTGATCTCCCAGTCAACTCGTTGACCCATTCCCGCATCATGGATGTCGAATTGGCAGTAGGTGCATCAGCACTCGGGCGATTTCTTGCGGCGGTGGTGTCACTAGGTGCGGATGGTCTGGCGGTTGTGATGATTTCGTCGGCGGGTGCAGCTAAACCCGCCCACGGACGACTACCCATATCGTCGGGGAGTGCTCGGTTTGTTCTACGGGGCGCCCTAAGTGAACCCACTAATGGTGCCAGGAACTTCTCTGCAAACCGAACAGTCGATGGTGAGATTCGGTACGACTTGAGTCCTGCCAGATCTGAACGGTAGATTTGACCCGTCATCACACCTATGGCTGCCACTGTCGCAGAGCCAGGAAGACGGCTGATGGCTAGCTAAAGCGTTTGTGTCAATATATGTTTAGGGCTTTCGTAAATGCCTAAAGGACGAACCTGGAAACCTAAAAAGTAATTGAAGGTTTTGCTATTGAGAGGGACCCCGAAGATCTTGAATGTGTAGACAGTCGGGATTATCCTTGAATACTGGTATAGGGTGCTGAAGGCCAGTAGTGACGGCCCCAATGCGATGTGATTGAGGCCCACTTGGTGGAAAAGAATCAAGGCTATGAATTCCAGCAGTGTCCCAACCAACAACGTCACGATAGCAAACGACTGTTGGAGCTCCCCGTTAGGCATTGAGCGTCAAGATAAGGGCAAGATACACACAGCGAACTTGACACTTCCAAACCGCCTCTCGACTTCGACCCCGATAGTCCCGAATATCACGATTCCGAGAAAGAGATCACTCGAGTTGACAAACGCGAGGTTGTGGGTCAAGAGACGCCAGTACTAGGCAACGGGTTGTGTTCAGAAGCATACGCATAACGTTGAGGGATGGCACATACCTGGTGATGCCTTGATATGTGGGGAACGAACTGGAATCGAGTCCACCGTTAGGATATCCCGACCACCAGGAGATCTTGAAGTCCAGTCCGTACCTGGAGGTGAAAATAGTGCTTTACATCAAACACACCAACAAGTATAGACGTCAGTGCGCTTGCCATTATCAGCCCTGTTGTATGCTCAGACTTCAGTAACCAACTTTATGTCCAGGACTATCTCGAGCACAAACCTTTCGTTACGGAGGCATGTTCGAACGACATGGCAGGTTAGCGGCTCCCTGGCCGTGTGGAGAAATGTCCAGAGACTTTAGGGACACAAAGGAAGGCCTGGTTATGGTATTCTGGCAGCACACTGGCTACGAGTGCATGGTACGTGGAGGACCACTGTGACGACCGTGGGCGGCTGTTGTACGGAAGAACAGTCCCGGATCCCGGCTGTGGGCCGCCCGTGACGCGTGACGGGTGACAGGCCCGCCGTTTGCCGAAACCCTGTTTGTTGACTCGAGCCTCAGGTTGAGCATTTCACCTTCAATTTCGGGGACACGTTCAGCAGGGATCCTTGATTCTGTATCCAACGTTCAAGGTGGGTGCCCGGCCCATCCCTCATTCATTTCTAGATTCGTATTGCACTGGTACATCTGAATCATCCCCCAGCGGAGTATGCCAGGGTGAGCTATCCGACGCCACTGGGATGACGGTAGTAAGAACTTCTCTATCGAGGAAAAGCGCTCCTGTGGACATTCTAAAGTCGAACTAACCAGGAATGGCCCTCCGAGAGTATCGCAGCGACGCGACATTCACGGGAACTCGTGGCTTCGACACTGCCATCACTCCCGCTCTTTGTTATCGTTCTCTGGAGCCTACTCGGATGATGAAGGCAAACGGCTGAAACGAGCGCCCCATCTGGCTGTCCGAGTCTCCCCTTTCTGGTGCACATTTTAGGTCACCAAGTCTACCGAGAAATGCGAACTTGAACCCTTCGAATTTTTCATTCTGCTTCACGGTACCTTTTGCCAACCTTCTTGGTGTTTCGCATTGTCATTTAGCACCAATGACATCTGGGCTTCTCCAGCTGGTGCCTGTTTCGCGACTATTTTCGATGTCCAGGGACCTTCTGGGTCATTATGACTTCTTCTAACCTGGAGAAGCATTTCGGGAAGGAACCCACTGCTCCAAGCTCCATTGGAGGCCTCGTGTGCTAGTGAGCCCTTCCTTCTTATACTTGACGCCTGTTTAACCCCCCTTGCTGCCTCCGGTATATCTAGATGTTGGTCTCAGGTCACACCCAGCAATGCGGAAGCTTCAGACTAAAATTGAGCTATTTTTGTCCCTCCTAAGGGCCGAAATCACCTTCAAGTCTAAGCCTTGAGGGTTTCTCCATGGGATATCGAAAGTGACGCCATCCTACTTATGCCAGACCAAGGTGGCAATGCCTGCGTTGCGATAGGACCCATGCCTGGCGCAGCGACTGGGCGAGTTGTTTTACGTCGGTCGACTTCTGACACAGACGCTGCAAAATCGTTTTGCCTTCCGTTTATTTGACTACAAAGATCTCTACGAATTTGGGTCACTCAGCTGATGTCCTTTGAGCTCTGTGACTTCCCGTCCCCAAGGTGGTGAATTGTCTGTAGAGGCAAACACGACAGTCGTTTTGATCGGTTCCAAAAAACTCTGAGTAAAGTGCTGCTGACAAGCATCGATTTAGGCGCCTAGAGTTCTTCACCATTAAGTATCGACCAGTACTTGCCGCCATTTGTTCCTTCCCAATAGCTCGCTCGCGGGCCTGCCCAAGCCGTTGAAACGCGAACTATTCAAATTGGCTTTGAAAGAATATCATACTTTTTTAAAAGCCTGGTATCAGGGGGTTTCCACTTTATGACCACTTGATTCCCCGACGATTGATCCATGTTAATTAGCCACTCCAGTAAGCCTGATAAGTTGCTTTTGGTACGATTCTTTTTCCTTTTCGATGTCCGGCAGTTTGAAGTACTACCTCAGTCCTCCTTCTCGACGTCAACGACGAGCTTCGGAGGCCCCTGCTCCCGTAGATTCAGAGCTTCTTGTATACAATTCGAACTACCTTTATCTCCTGGTACCTGGCGCGGCATCTTCTGAGATAGACTTTGCTAGCTTCTGCCTTTGTTCTGGATCCCAGTGGCCGTAGAGAATGTGTCCTCGGGAGGGAGTACGTGAGCTGCTTTGTGATATCACCCTGCGTCAGTCCGCGAGGCCGGTGTCGGTCCATCGATCAGGCAGGCTCGTGTGCTGGCAGTGACACGGCAGGTAAATTGTAAACAATGCTGCCCCTTTGAAGGATTAATATCTAGGTTGATCTTCAACACGTTGAGTTGGCGCTTACCGACTCATCGATTATCAACTTTCACACCAGGATCCGAGACACCTTGAATGACTTTGTTCTTCCCAGACTCCACTTCACGCACCACCGCAGCCGTTGAAATTGCAAAGGGTGGAAATTTGAAAAGGACCAGCACTCAGGGAGTTATCTCATAAGTAGAGAAGACATTACAATATAATACTCGCCCGACAGGTAGGTAGTCGAGCCCTTCATTTGACTTCCACGCGTACTGAACGAGGACTGATGAAAAATACTCTTTTTCTGGCTTACAGATCAAGACGACACAGCATCCATGGCCGCGGTTACCAATTCGAATCTCGAAGAAGCTGCTAATGTGGCTGCAGAATGCGTTTCAAGTCAGTGCTGTCTTCTTCGTCTGAGAATTAAGGTAGACCGAGCCACGTCGAGCCATGGGAGCAAAACGCTCAAGTAGATACGCATCTACATGTGCTACAAAGTTGTCGCGACTTTGGCACTATTGAGTGGCATTGACAGCGTCCCCACGTCGACCTGCTACTTTCTCGTGATTTAGTTGCCGAGTTTCAGCGAAACTTACTTTGACCACGTCTCTCCAGGTTTGGATAACTTGCCCAACGAAGTACAGCACATTCTAGGCGAGATCCGCCATCTCGAGAAACGGTGTCATGGTCAGTCCGGTGTTCTTTTCTTACCAGGGCCACAGTGGAGCTTACCATTTTTGCTTCGCCTCCGGGTCGACTTCTGACCTCAGCTCTCAATGCTGATATCGTGAAGGACCAGAATCGATACATTAAACATTCCCTCCGCCAAAGTAACCAAGGCGGGTTCAATGCTACCTCCTCCCAGGCCTCGTCTGGAAATGATGGCCAAGGGAACAGCGGGAATTCCAAGGCACACCTTCCCGAACGCATCGCAGCAGCCTATGCCCTGGTCGAAGTACTCAATAACGAGAAAATAGAGCTCGCAAAACGGCTGATAGCTTTGCTGAGCCGGGCACAAGCCCGCCTCGACGCAGACGTCGTCCGGGTTCGGACCCTCCAAGGCGAACATCCGGAAGACATACAACGTGCGTGTTATTTTTTCAGATATTGTCCCTTTGGCAAGTATTGACAGGAACCTTCGAAGCGTCGCTATCTGGAGGCCCAAACCCCGCAGCGCAGATCAGCGAGAGTTTGCGTTCTGCCTTGAGTGGCACCTTTGCGTCCGCGGATTCGGTATCTGCTATCCGAGCAGGGACCCCGCCTGCTACCTCTGTCCCTTCACTACACGGCAACAAGAGTAAGCAACCGAACTTGTTCTTGAGGATCCGTTGACTCATTTGTCCTAAAAAACGCAGAGCGTCGACTTAATGGTACTCCATCCATTAAGCTGCCTGCACCTTCGCCTGTTGCGACGAGTGCACGGGCTCATAGTTCACGTCACCATACCAAAGCCCAGGTACAACCAGAGCCTGAAGTGGAAGATGTACCGGCCGAGGAAGAGTATGACGAAGGCGAGGAAGAAGAGGACCTTACGTTGTACTGTTTCTGCCAGAAGCAAAGTTACGGAGACGTAAGTGCGACACTCTTTGCGTACTGAAGGTTAAGTTGACGCTCTATTCCCAGATGATTGGCTGCGACAATGCCGACTGTCCATACCAATGGGTAAGTTCATCTCTCTCTCTCGCATATTCCTGTTACTCCATCCTGTTCATGTCTCTTGGACCCCGTACTAACTGTCGATCCTTCCCAGTTCCACATCAGTTGCGTCGGAGTCAAAACCCCTCTCCCAGACAAGTGGTACTGTCCCGAATGTCAGAAACAACGGTCAGAGCGTCGCAAGAATCGCAGGAAGTAGTGGCTTTGTGCGTTCCGAAGTTCCCGTGCCCGCGAAGAAACCCTCGGGGACACTGACACAGATCCAATACATACTAAGTAGTTCAATATCTCTAGCCAACTCTTTGATACTCTATTTAATTTAATCATGGGCCATAGACGGTAGAGCATCCGCTCTACCCTGCCTCAGCGCATCGTTCTTTAACCAATACCATCAGCTGCGGCGACTTTACGTTGTTCACCGATGTCACGGAGTTTGGGAACAATTAGCTAGCTGATAGGCGCCCATAAATTATCTCCTGTGCGAACACAGCCCTTTACGACGAATGACCGGGTTGCCCATTGTAAGAGATCCCATTCAAACCTTGGTATTCGTAGTTTGGCCAATACAAGAAACGTGGCAGGGCGATGTTGCTGATCGCTCTTATTGAAAAGAGAATGGGTCCACGAGACCCAAGTGTGCTAAACCAGGATAGGTTTCAGTTGGCACCCTGTTTACATTCTTAATTACATCCTCGTTCCGTCAATTGGATATGCATATCCTTTCACGTTGCAGGACGTTATCATATCCCTGGTGGAAGATAGTACTCGAGAGTGTTGGGAGACTTACGAGACGCTCATCGGTCGCAAGACAACGCTGAATGGTTCCCACTTTGCGGAGCGTGCATGCTCCCCAAGTGCGCTCAGAGGAAGGTCAAAACCTAAAGCACAGAATAGACGGGGATGGCAGAGCAGCCGAGTGAGATAGCAGACGAAATGTACCGCACCTTAGTGACAAGACCTCGGGTTCGATAAGGCGACAGGTGTGACACGTTCTGTGGTTGGGAACACACATATGGCTTCTGAAGGCGATGTTGGCTACAAATGTAGACAAGGAGCGCTTTCTGCTCCTCATTCACATAGCTGATTAATCATTGACACAGGCGACATGTTAGATCATCCTGCGCGCTTGTACAAGAATTTCTTTGCATCGAGGTCCAAAGTCGCACACAAAGTGAGCGGTAGTCACAGGCGAGCACGGATCCGTAACCAACTTGATCCCCCTTGGTCAAGCCACGACATAGCCATCGTCATGTCCGAAAGAAACAGGCTTCAGAGTCAGTCAGCAAGGGAACATCATATAACAACCTCCGACCCGAAATAAAGGTGAAAGAACGCCACATGGGGATGGAAAAATCACATATTCTTAAGCGCGTATGGAATGATCTGTCAATCTCGAACTGGGATGTGTTTCAAGAAGTGCACCCATGTTTCAATGACGAGAATCGAAGCAAAGGCTGGGTTCTCGCAACCGAGGTGACAGTGTCAATTACGAGCTTGGGAGCCCTGGGTAAAGAAACTATACGCCTGGAGCATCCAAGCAAAGTTGAACACGCACCAAAATACCTTCATATCGACGGCTTGAAAGGCTCGAATGCTCTCCCTGGCCGGGGAGCTAATTATGGCATTGGCTTCAACGATGGCGATGGGATCCTTGATTGAATCGAAGGCTGGGATGACGGGTTCCTGGACGAGGGGTTCGTTGCGAAATCCATCAATAGACGTCACGAACCTGTCAAACGAATGTGAATGACGAGAACCCTTCGACGACCGGTTGGAAAGCCATTATACTATCCCACCCTAGGTCGTCCGAGGTTAAAGATAGAACTGTCTTGAAACAGAGAGAGCACCTTGCGAGCCACTGGGGGCCAGGAATATCCTCGGAACGTGGGTTACGATTAGGCACCAGCGTCCTGGCATGACGAGGCTCGAAAGGAAGTGGAGCGCTTGGGGGCAAATTGAGGTAATAGATGGCAAGAAGGGTACCACCAGGCACCAAGAGTACATCCATCTAGACTCCGTAAAGGCCGGTGGCTCCTGGACGTGTAATTGGCCGAGAAGCCAGAGGCAGCTGCGCGAGCCCACGGCGCAGGACCTAGCAAAGTGGTTTCACTGCCTCAAGAATGGAATACAGCGGAGCGCAGTGACCGAGGACTTTGCATTATGAGATCCATCAGGAGCTCGAACACCAGCGGGAGCTTGGGGTCGTTGGAGGCAGATATTTCCAATCTTCGAGATCCTAGTCAACGCTGCGTCACCATTTCGTGCATCTAGACCAACCGCCCCGCCAAGACTCGAGGGTATCAGTAGGCAATAACGAGTTGAGCAAGCTGGTCGCCGTTGTCGCGTCGTCGTCGTCCAAAACGAACCCCCTGTCGGGTCGCGCTGTCGTTCGACCAGAGGGCGCGTCGGACTTTGAATTCCCAATCCGGAATACACACCATCACCGGCTTCGACCCGCCCATCCGAGAATCCTCCTCAGTTTGGTCGAAGCTCCGATCTGCAGGCCAACCGCCCAGATCTTGCACAAAGGCAAGCTTAACTGGCATGTGGGATTTTGTACAGATGGTCACAGAAGATAGTCCCTACCTCGCAAAGTCGTCAATTTCGAAGGTTCTGAGCTGGGAGTCAGTTATGTCGTGTAACTGTCGTGCCCTGCAACGAAGCCTCCATTCCAATGGTGACACCCAGCTCCCAGATCGCTTCGATTCGAATGAGGTCAGACTTACCTATTTCCCTCTCTTCCTTCGTCTCACCCATACCCCAGTTTGTTGGTTCCGACGCTCAATGAGGATAGCTCGGAGTGGCTACATACGTACCTCGCTTCAATTACATACACGTCCCAGCTAGTCACCGTGAAGGTCGGAAAATCTCGTCAAACGCCCATGGAGCCATTAGCATGCCCAAAGGCTATGCAGTGCAACCCTCCTTTGACACGAAGCTGTCATCCTGGAACAAGTTCGACTCTTCCTCTCTAGCCAAGCGGTGGGCTTTGAGGGGCCCGAGTTCACGGGCGTCGAGTGACATATACGTAAGTCGCTTGGTTATTGCGCACTGGCATATGTGCTAAGAATACTCGAGAGGGAAAGTTTTCTCTTCGAGTGGGCGCCTGCAGCGGGGAGCTTCTGTGGGTACCCCGTAGATACGTATATCATGCTAAACTTGACCCATTGAGTGCACTTGAAGTGAGCTTACTACTCAGTTAGGACGCGTTAATTAGGTCAAAAGTCATAGGCTTTAGTGTCGGTGCACCCAATTGTTCTCCGGCGCGGAGTGGGCTATTGGTGACGAAGAGACTAGCCCCGCGATTGCCGCCACCATCCATCGTTTAGCACAGCTCGAGTGTCTGGCATGAAGGGTGGAATTGATGCGATATGTGTAATTTTCGCGCTCAACAGGTGCAAGGTGTTTCCGGCCACTAAACGTCCTGGAGACTTCTCCTTCACAGGCGACGCGTCTCGGACGCGCTAATTTCGATACCCCGGACTACACATCTCGGATCCCAGCCATCAATATTCTTTCATTTAAGTCAACGACCGCTTTCAACGATCAAGCACTAACCAATGCACACAGGCTATGTACTCAGTTACCCACTTCTTCTTAAGCGACCTCCTTCAGACCTGGGATCCCAGCCAAGTCAGAACGCAGATAGATATCGGATTCACGTCAGAAGGATCATGTCGTTTTCCGATGTGGAGGATTTTACCAGAAGAAACAAGTTCTTGTGTGGTGTGGATGACGTTGCCGGTTGAGTAGTATCAAAGTGTAGAGTTGGTGGGTTCGCTGCTTTGTATAAACGACCTTTGGTTGAGATGGATGAATCTATGCAAATTACCAGAATTGAACTGACGTGATTGAATCGACTAAGCTAATTAAAGATGTGAGCACGACGGATGAACAAACGATCATCAACAGGGGGTAGACTTTTTCTCGCCGAAGTTGCCTATTGGTCAGTGAAAGCTTCAAAGCGTCCACCACATGTCTACGATACGGTGTGACTCGAAAAAGAAATGTGGTTACTCGTACCTACTCACAGAGTTTACTTCCGATTCACCCGAAGGAAATGCGAGAACAGAGAGAATGAAAGGACACAATAATGAAACCTAGGAAGTTCCGAGTTCGACGTCTGCTTGAACCCTCGATAGCGCCGGTGGCGAAGGCGGTTGCCAATAGGCTCGGCCTCTGAGCCCTGGTGTGTCGATTTGGGACGTCGGTGTCGTAATATTTTTGCTGTGTACTTATGAGCGCTGGAAGTAAGTAGTCAGGAGCGTAAGTGAATGTGACATCGTAACAAAATGGGCGGCAGAGGACGATTTCCACATCTTAGGAGTCGCAGAAGAATCAAGTGACGGAAGACTCCGTCAAAACCTAGGCGCCCACGCCCACTTGTTGTATATTTAGATTTCCGTAAATTGTCGTAGGCCGGAAACAGGACTCATCAATGCTCATCCATCACTGCCCTCGAAGGAGAGAAAGAAGCATGACGACTGAATGAATACCAAAGGAGTTTATTGAAATGGCTATTCAAGTTCATGTCGATCGTTATCAGCTTGTACCCGCACTTGGTCCTGTCTTCAAATCCCGTCCGAAGATAGTACCAGCTTCGACTTCGAGAGGGGAGTGGGTATCCAAGTGGTGTGAGGTATGAGGGTCCGTCTATCTATAGGATATAGATCAAGAAGACGCGGTGAAGTCGAGTTTAGGCGTCTACCGTCTAGCCCGGGATGGTCAGAATTCGAAGAAGTTAATCGAGACGAAACGAATCCAAAGGCCGGGGTTCGATGTATATCACGGCGTCAAAAGCGTCGTAGTACCCTCTAACACACGTCCTCCTACTCGAATGATAGCGTAGTTAACCGACTTTGACTCTACCGCATTTGGGTCGGCCGTCGGGGCGAAACACACATACGCCAACTGAGTAGACCCAGCCTCGGGCATCCCTCTCCAGGGAGATACAGTATCTCGATAAGTAAATACCAGTCATGGAGATGATGATGAACCGATTGAATTGGCAATGACGCTCCTTTCCTCACATCTAGATGGGCAATATTCCCCGATGCCCCGAACCGAAGATGACTCTAACTCGAGATGGTGGCTCGAGATCATCATATACTTCCTTAACTATTATTTGTAATTTGCCGGCGTGGAGTGGAGAGTGGGGGTCGTGTTAGCGAGATGGCTTGTCGTTGAGGTTACGGAAGTTCCATGATCGCAGGATGGGTGGTGAATGAGCAGTCGACAACTTGGCTGGAGTTAAACAAGTTAGGAGACGAACATTCGGTGTGCCAGAAGATAAACAACAGAGAATAAGTAAGTGGTTTGGCCTAGCGTAACCAGCGCTTCCCTTTGCCAAAAGATGTTCAAAACCACACCAATGTCCGGGGCCAGGTTGCTCTCCGTGCCCGATTCTGTCACTTCTCAAAATCACACTAAAAATTCAACATCAGCGACGACAGATGGATTACTCTCAGTAGGCGCATACACAGAGAGGTTTAGTCGTGCGGTAGTACCGGTTGGACGGTTGGATCATCCGTATGCGGAGGGCTAAGCTGCAGTCCGTGATGGGCGCTTAACTCTGTTGAGACGCGGGCTCTGGATCCTCGATCGTTGTGAAGACGCCTACAATCCAGGGGCCCCACATACATACAGCACAGCACACACGCGACGTACAAGGACGCGATAGGCTTCCCGGCTGGGTCGATCATAGCCTCTTGTTAACGACCAGCCTTGAATCAAGGAGGTATTAAGCACACCGTTTGGCCGTGCCTGTGTCGACCTTGTCATTTCGTCGCCTTGTCTTTTGCTTCTCTGAAAGAGAAACCCCGGAACCTTGCGGTCGTCGTTATGTACATTGCGAGCCAAAATGGGCAAAATCGGTGTTAAATATCAGTGTATTGACATTATCCAGAAATGAACTCGGAACAAAAGACCGTTCATAAAAGATTGGACACACACCTACGGGGAAGGATCAGAGGAAGGTCTTCTTGATATTGCCTTGATGGATCATGGCAAGTCCTAGTCCTGGATGGCACAGTAGTACCCTCGAAACTAGTAAAGCAGTGTCGAACAAAAATCAGTGCAGAGCGGGCGACGCGTCGTCACGGAAGGCCGAGACTTGCGGGGTTTCCTCCTACTCATCGTTCTTTTGAAGGGAAATAGAACAACTTGATATCTGATAATAGTCTGCCATTGGAATTTTGTGATAGGGGAGGTGGATAAAGGCGGACAAAGTAGACGATGATGGGAAGAATGCGAGTTCTTGAAGTTGAGGGAAGAGGATGAGAAAAGGCCTAAGCAGGAATTCGAAGTACTACGAAGAATACCGAGCTGAACGCTCAGCGAGTTATCATACGTACCCCGCATCCGCTCGCAGACAAAAATGTGTTCCCTTCGCGAGCTTAATCGTCACCTCCGCTTGGTTCCTCCAAGAACATGGAGGAAAACATATTCCCGCCGCTTCCAAGGACGGAGGAGGGGCCTACATTCCGAACGAGCCAAAAATACCTAGGATGTAATGGGTATCGACAAAATACTTACAACACCGGCGGTCTGGCTTCCTAATGTAATTCCCAAGGAGAGCACTAGTTTCTATTCTGGTAGTGAGTCAGGATGTCAGTTCGCCTTACGACAGGTTACGATTGCTCACAAGAAGCCTAAAGGTTGCTCGAAGTGAGTGAAGCGTATGCTGTGTGGAAGAACGATACTCACCGTATGTCAATAGCCCATGGTGGGTCGACTCGGAGATTCTTGGAGCGGGTGGACACTGCCGTTTGTAAAAGAGAGGGGTGTGATGAGGTAACCGAGCAGCATGGGAGCGAGACCCTACACATGCAAACAGCATCGCTACATGACGGAAGACGTCAAACCCCTCGCAGAGCCTGAAAGAAAGGGGCCAGGTCTCGAGAACTTCGAGGCAACTGCATTCGGGGAGCTGGGAAACGTTAACAGCATATCGAATTGTGACGCTGGAGCACTTATCTTCACATCGCTGTAAATGGTGTGGAGAAAGGCTGCGTGCGGCGTCCACCGGATCGGCTACGTTCGAAGAAAGGGCATATGTATAAACGGACAACCCAGTTGTATGGGTTCGTAGCTTATGTTAGTCAATTCAAGTCTTTACGTATCCCCCCTGTAATCACTTGCGCGTGAAGTGGATGGCATATGGGTTTCGAGTTGGACTACACCAGCGCTACAGCGCTTGTTGGAAGAAATGGAACCTAAAGATCTCGACATCTCCACGATGGAGAAAAGGCAGAGCAGACGCAAAGGAGCGGGGACCCCTTGCCTTGTCAAAGAAGCGGCCAATCGTGAACCAGTGTGTTACAAGTGGACGGAAACGGTAACGGCCGTCATTATCGTTGGAAAGTGGGACAGAAATATTTTGGAAAAGGCTGGGCTTGCTCGGAAAGCGACAGCGAGGTAGGCACGGTGAAGAGTAGCAGCGGACATTGCGAGATAACGACTCGCGGGTGTCTTATCGGCAAGTCCTTCTGGTTCGGAGGCTAAGACAGGGAAAGTGACAGGCAGACAGAGCCCGGTGGTGGGCCGGACTGTGCATTGTTTCCCAAGCAGACCAGGCACGAAGAAGAGATAATTCTGGTGCGATATCAGTGGTTGGATTAGCTCAGTGACTAGAATCGCCACGACGAAGAGCGAGTCGAATAACGGCGCTTAGTATTTGGATAAGATAATGGAGGGAGCTGTGCAAGAAGCGAAGACAGAGTCGTAGTCGCTCGCCGCGGGCAACCCAGAGGAGCGGCGTTGTTTACTTGTGGTGACACGTGCAGAAAAAATAAATTGGAAACGGTTGTTGAGGGGAAAAGGGTGTCCGGGGTCCTTGGTAAACCCCATTTGGAGGAGGACACGATCCGTAGGTCACGCGTGGGAGGACATGGATCGGCTCTCGAGATCTGAGTCGGGCCAGGGTCTTGGTGCCCAAAGAGGATGTGTCTGAAAATGGAACTGGCAACTTGTTCAAAACGCGAGAGGCGATCGAACAGCAAAGGCCGGTCGATCCCACCACCTTTATCTCTCTCTTCTGAAAAACCCGCTGAGCATTGTCATGGATGGTCTGCACTTTGACGCCTACACTACCTACTCTGACAACTCTGCTCCGAGAACTCCTTCCCCGAACCAGCCTATCATGAACTTCCCCCTCAAGCAGGTCATCGAGGACCACAGCGTTCGCCTCTTCAACGACACACACAATCCCCACCACCACAACCACCACGACGACAATGCAGTCGTCGTCCAGCCAGAGTATGCCTGGTCACAACACCAACAACCTCCTCCCTCCTCCGCACCCTTCCAGTTCACTCACAGCAACACCTCAAGAGGCTCGCTTCTCCAGGAACTCTACGACCAGGATGTTCAACAAATCACACCGGAATTTCCCCCGCAGGAGCCCCAGTACGTCCAGAACCAGGACAACTGGCAGCAGCAGCAGGCGCGTCAGCACGAGTTCCCAATGATGCGAAGAGCAACCTTCCCCTATGTTCGCCAGGACCGTGACGACGGTCTTCCTCTCCAACCACCTGTCCCCCAGTTCTACCCTTCCCAGCAGCAGCAGCACCATCACCAGCAGCAACAACAGCACCAGATGTATCCCATCCGCCAGCAATCCCTCTACTCCGAAACTCTTCCGCTTTCCGAACCCCAGCTCATGAATAACTCTCCCCACGCAGGCTTCCGGGACTTTGACGATGGAAACATCAAACTCGAAGAGGGAGGCTCTCTCATGAATCCCTCGTCTTCCTACTACCACCAGCCACCCCCACCCGCCAATCCTCAGCAAGGCCCCGGTTACCCCATGTCCATGACCTACCTCTCCCCCCACACCGGCCTGCCTGTCCAACATACAGACGATGCTGCTTCCAAGGAGACCCAGTACCTCCGTCGCCGCTGCTTCAACTGCCACACAACCGAGCCACCCAGCTGGCGTCGCTCGACTTTGAATCCCGGCAAGATCGTGTGCAACAAGTGTGGATTGTACGAACGCACTCACCTGCGTCCTCGACCTCTTCGCTTCGATGAACTCCGAGCAGGGAACAAGGCAAGGAAGGCTGGAAAGAGGACTCTCAGTCCGAAATCCCGAACAAACGGTGTCGCTGCCACCAACTCTCCTCCCGCAACCGGTCCCGTGAAGAAGGAGCCTCGCGAATTTGGCCTCGTCCGCCGAAGCTCGGTGTCCTCTTCATCTTCGGTGCATTCTGGCAGTGGTGCTAGCGATTGGGATGATTCTGGTAAATATTTTTCCCTTTTAGATTTCTTCCTACAGTCACTAATTCGGGATTTCAGTGTCCGTGTACTCGTCAGGCTCAGCACCTCCTACCTCGTTCAACTCGCCCAACGTCTCTCCTTTCCCCCTCTCCCGCGATGAATCCTCATCACCCCCGCAATCGAACCTTGCTCTCTCCAACGGCGCTTCGAATGGGAACGGTGGCATTCGCTTGCCCAACGCACCTCTTTCGGACATTGCGTCAATGGGCACTCCAGGTTCCGTCACCCAATCACCGCAGCTACATGGTTCGCCCGCGCCTCTACCTCCATCGACTCCAGGATCTGTTCCGCACACTCCTAATCTTCCGACGCATCCATTGAGCGGCGTTAACAGTGCTCATCCAAGCCCGCGAACACAGCCCACACCAAGGAAGTCGCATACTTCTCCCGACGTCTACTTCTCACCATCAGTCAACGCACAGCAGCAGCAGCAAGAAGACTATTTCTTGATGCGACGAAACTCTGCACAGGGCAGCCCAGCGGTGCAACCGCAGGAGCTCCTTTCGAGCCCGGCAACCGTGCCCACTGCCCTCTCGGCATAGATGCGTGGTTCGCCCCGATGCGAATGGCGACCTGGATGTTCGTCATCGTCGACGAGCACGACGGGGGAAGGAGAAGGAGGGGGCGGGGCAAGCTGACACTCGTCTGAGACTTGGTTCGGGGATTTATACTTATTTATTAACTTTGCTTTTTTCTCTTAATTTCTTGTTACAGCCCCGCTATTATTCCCCTTCTCCCACGGCGCTCGATGTATGCGCCTTGCGATACCCCCTCCTCGACTCTTCCAAAAGCACTCATCCTATTTATTCCTCATCATTGTATAACCACTCACGCTTCGATATCCCATCCATGTCAATTATATCTCACCAGGGCAAAATTGTATCACCAATTTGTACGTCTTTGGCGCGCCTTTCATTGGATTTCTTCTTGACTTTCGCTCTCGTTTTCTCCCTTCCACTCTCTACGGACCACTCTCTTTTCTGCATTCACTTTCTTTTGGACACTTTCATTCGTTTTGGAAGGTTCTTTTCGTCTTTCCCGTCTCGACGATGGAATGGTGAAAATGCTTTCCTTCTATTTATCAGTTCAAGGGAATTCAATCCTGCGCTTTTCTATTTTTCCTTATCGTTCGTTGTACTTGTACCTTCTGCTTTCGGTAGATAACTCGTACCCTCTTCTTGTTTTTGTTCTATCCTACCCTTCCCCTTTCATTATCTTTCTTCTCTACCATCTCATTGTATCACACATCGATATCCTCTCTGTTTGCAACAAAAAGGCGCCCCTTGCTTTCCACTGTTATTTATCTATGTAAGTAGTTAGCGTAGTATGTAGGGACATTAAGTACATCTTCTTTATCATTCTTTTCTATCTCTCGATTTCATACAGTAGGTAGTGACTCCAATACAAATCAATTCTGAACTGCACGACCCACCCGCTTGTCGACGCCTGAGTACTTGTCTCGTGTTAAGACTCTTAGGGTAATTGAATTCATCGAGAACGCGTGTTTTCTGGTCTTTCACACAGTGGGAACACCAAACCAATTCATTTACATTCCTCGAAACGAGTTGTGGTGTACGCTCTGGGAACGAGGGACGCATACACGCCTGCGGTCTCGCTACCCTGTCTATCCTCCCACCCTTAGCCACCACCGTCTCTCGGTTTTATGAAAGGTAAGGGACGTAGGATCCGCGGGAACGTCGACTGGTACGTCAGGCCCTTGGACTTGAAGCGCGTAGGCCCTTCGGACTCACTATAGACTCATTCCAGCTCAGATATTCAGGTTCAGGGACGCACCGCGCACCGTGTCCCGTAACGGCGCACCCATCCTCCACACGCGACCGTCCATGGCGGGTTCGGCAGGGGAGGAGGGGGCCTATATCTGGGTACCGTCGCGATCGCGCATGTTGTGCAGGGGTAGCGCGGCGCGGGTGCCAAACAGCGCCGATGGACGGACGACGCGGATTGGGCTGGGCCAGGAGCGCCTTCTCCGAAATTCGAATTGGAACCCTTTCCCCACACCACACAAATACATTTGTAACCGAGGCGTCGTTCTGCGCATAACCAACGTGGGCGCGCCACTTGCATTCACGCGAACGTTGAGCTTGGAAGTTGAAGCCGAGCTTTAGAACACATATGATGTATGAGCTTCGGTGCAACGCTATTTTTTGTGAAAGCAATTCAGGGGCTCAAACAGAAGAGTCCAAGTCAAACGACTGGGGGACGCGCTACGGTTTCCCGAATCCCGAACCCGCGAGGCCTCGAGCGCTTGGGTTGTTTGGTAATTTTTCCTTTGCTTTTTGTCTTGTTTTTGTCGCGAATTTTGCGTGACTTTTGCCTCCGAGAGACCGGACGACGGATGACAGCGCCCGGCGCGCGATGGGCGCTCGTTTGGATTCGAGGGATTGTGGGTGATACGTCTCTCGTTTCGTCGCTTCCTTTTCGTCTCGGTGAACCTGGAACGCATTTTAGCGTTTCAGCACGGTGGACAATGCCGAGGCATCCCCAACGCTCTTCGTTTCTGCACCACCACATGAAAGGCAAAGCCTGAAATTATTGTAACATGTATGTAACTAAATTCGCGTAGGATAATGCGATTCGGAAGTTGTCGAGAGGGTCTGGACGGGCGGGGTGGAAAAAGAAGTCGCGTTTGTTTGCTTTTTTTTTCAGCGTACGCGAGGGAGGGGGAGCCGGAGAAAGTTTCGCCGTGCGCTTCGTAAACCTCTTACGTGCATGTGTAGATCGCAACTGGGATGTTTTGAATGGCCCCAATTCAAATTTCGAGAAAACGTTACGGCGACGGATAAGATATGAGAATAGATGTCGTATCCTCAGCGTTGGCCTGGTCCTGGAACTCCGATTTTGGGCATGAACACACATTCGTCAGGTCTGACAGGGTCTGACTACGGGAGACTACTATAACTTGGTACCTTACAAGTCCCAAACCTAACACGTGTATACGCGTGTCCCAAAGGAGGAAAAAATACTTACCAGCGGGTTTGTATATCCAATTGCCCCTCCGGGCGGACCTGGGCACCGTAGACCCCAATGCCGCCGCCGCGGCCCGAGGGGCGCGGCAAAACACCCAGGTCCTAACGACTTCAGAAACCGGGAGACATTGACAAGGACCTGCCACCTAATACACCAGTACTATCCACCTTAAGCCTGTGTTAGGACCGAAGTCACTGGTCTCCTTGGAAACACACATAAACCTCGCCCGTTCCTCCTCGCTTGATGTTCCAGGTTGATCGCTGACCATGGCTAGTCTGGACTTGTGGGTAAAGCATCCGCAGTGTACTCGCTGGCGCCCGCCTGCAGGCGGGCTTACGCTCGTACGGGGCCATACCACGGGTACTTTTAGCTATGTACGCTGAATCTCATTCCAGCCTGCATTGACCACGGTTCACACGACAACGGTTCATAATGACTCTGAGCTTTGGGTCCAACATTTTCATTGTACTCGCTAACGCCCGCCAGTAGGCGGGCTCGCGCTCGTACGGACCCATAACGGGATTCGGAATAGTGTTCTTTATGCATATCGGAGGGCAGCACCGAGTCTCACTCCCCATGCCCACAGCAGAACACATATTGCCATTTTACGGCAATTTCTAGTCATGCAGTCGTAGAAGGGCTTTCCACTGATTCCCATGAAACCCGCTCCCTGAGTGACCGAACAACAAAGTGTATGAATATTTCATTTAATGAGGACTCCATGTAGCAAGCAGCGAGGTACCACAACAAAATGGTCGGGCGTGACTCTTGTTTGGCTGTCGACGTTGGGAATCCGTTAATCACTGTCGGATGGGATTCCTCCTAGCGAGGCGCAATCTGAGTCCTCCGAGTCCCAAGCGAATTCGCCCAGGATCTCTTGTGAAACAACAGCCCGAGCACGCTCCAATTTGCTGGGGTCATTGACGTCGTCATCTTCAAGGATGTGTTGCAGGCGATGCAGCGTGCTAGTGGGGTGTTGAACACGGCCAGTTAGGTCCCCGTACTTGGCCCGGGCGAGTGTCGCATCTAGAATAACAGTCAGCATTTGAGAGTTGGAAAACTGCGCCAAAAACGTTACAGGCGGTGGTGCGAGCCAACCTCTTCCGTTCACGGCGACGCTTAGTTTTGGTGTAGCCTGGATACCGACATTACCATTATAAGTAAACAGAATAAATACAAGACTGTTCCATCCACTTACCACCGCTTTTCGAACCTTTAACATGTCGAACCTTTCCGGAAGCGGTAGCGAAGGATCCTGAAGGAGCTTTACCAGGTATGTTTTGTCGCTCGGTCGGTCTAGTGGCAGCCGAATTATGGGTAGACGTAGTTGTTGAGGGCGCAACAGCACCGGTGTTGCGCCCAACTTGCTGAGTGGACTCGACGAGGTGCGGCTCTTCTAGCTGGGAAACCGTAAGTGAAATTATCGGCCACGCATGAGTAATGTACTCACACAGGATTTGATGTCGGCGTTGCCCTCAGTAGGAGCCATTTCGTCGCGGCCTGCTTCTGCGTTGGTGGCCTGGCGAAGAAAGAAAGCGGGGATTGCAAGTTCAGGATGGAGAATTGGAAGGACAAATTATGACACACCGAGGGTTGAGCCTGTTCAATGGCGCCTTTAGCTAGCTTCGAATGCGCAGGCATTTTTCGCTTTACAATAGGTGGGGAAAAGGAAGATTCCTGTTGAATCAGTCGTAGCGGTTGTGCTGAAGAGGCTGGTGAATCACGCAACACTGGGGGAGCCTCGTGGGTTTTGAGTTACCGTACAAACAACAACAACTGTTGACATCATGGGCGCTTATCAGCCTGAGATATCGATTAAGTTGTTAGCTCGGGGACAATGCGTGGTCTTCGTTGGTGGCCAATCTTGTTGAAGCGATCATGACGCGTTGAGGATGAGTGGAGCCAGCCCTTTTCCCGTAACAGACTTGCATATGGACCATTAAGTCATTTTCCAGTATTAGCCGTTCAAGAATCCCACGAATCGAGGCCCAATTTGCATCATCGGACAAACTAATGAGAAGAACGCCGATATAGTCGAAAGGGGAGAAAAACTTGCTCGATAGAAGGATCCTGGATGTGGTATGGTGAAGGACCAACATAATTAATCACTGCGAATCCGATACGGTGGGGTCCAGTCCACGTGAGGCCTAATGGTCCGATCGGGACAAGCCTAGACTACTGTGTGTTTGTCCTTAGGTCAGTCTGTGCCTGTCTGTGCATCCTCTCCCGATTTTGCGACTACCATATTCTCACAATAGACCTATATGGTAATCCTCCAATCGGGAGAGATGGGAATGCCGAGACTACGAGTGGATGCTGACCAGTGGTGGCAGCTCGACTGTCTCGCCTTCATGGTCACCGGTCATTGCTGTAAGTATTTTTGTTTTCCGGCTAATGGCAAAATTGTAGGCTATTAGTCTTGAATTCCGCCCAATTTTTCAAATCGCTCTCCTTACGGTAACCAGACTCCACCCCGACCCTCACTTGTGAGCTGCTTTGGAAACTGGTATTGGTATTGGTACTAGTAAATCGCCATGGTGTAGTTCCTTGGAACAATGTTCAACTGTAATTTCCAAGGCATCTTTCTTCGGTCAGATTCAGGGAAGATGAGTCTGTCGCGGTGTGTGCACTGTGATGGTATGCATTCTCATTCTCGACACGTTTCAGTCGGATCACGCACTGCAGGGCTTGGCACTACATATCCAGAAGCCTGCATGTCTTCACGGATCAGAGCAACGGCCGGGCCCTTAGACCGGACCGGACCGTCAAATTGCCGATCAGCCTGGGGGAAGGATCCAACATCGTGTTTAAACCGTAATGGTATGGTCAATACATCGGATGAATCCTAGCAAACCTGATGCCATTCAAACTCTCAAGTGTTGCTAGCTGAGATATTTGTTCACAGATAGATTATTGCGTCAAACCAATTGCAAAGCATCAAAGAAAGCGAAGAGAAAGCAAACTGATGGGTATTGTCTACTATGGACGGGGCTGGCAAGTACTGTCATGAGTGCGTCGAGAGTAACTCTTGTAAGATCTCGGGGAGGTGACCGGATGAGTCGAAGGGCCGACGGAGTTTATGGATACCAATTTTTTTGACGAAGTCGCCCGGATCTTCGTCCTCGAAAGCGACAATGAGAAGGGCACCTTGTAAGACGCAGCGGAAGAGGTTGACTGGGGCAGCGCTTTCTGATAGCGCAGTGAATGTGAACTCCCCGGTACCCTTGTCAAGGTACACCTTCCAGCCAGACATAGTACCGAGGGAAATCACCGACCTATTGTGGTTCCAATGGTATACTCCCAATGCCTGCCCTACAGCGCCAGTAACGATTATATCATCGGGCGAGCAGACACATTCCATGACCCCGTTAAACAGCCGTGGAATTGTGAATAAGAGATTCCCGTTGATGACCCTCGCCGTTATGTTCAGCACTCCACGCGCAAAGAATTCTGTGAATCTCTATAGCCAGATGTTTTGTTTAGTTGATAGGCGTTATTAAATGGTGTACTTACTAGGTTCAGGACGAAAGACCCGTCAATGAAGTCCAACAGAACTTCAGTGGGACTTTCCAAATGGCCACCCATCCCTATTCCAAGCCCGTAAGCCTCCAGGCCAATATTTGTGGTGGTGTTCTCGAAGGTCCACGCATAGTTGAGTGAGCGACTCGGTATCCCCCCCAGGGTGTGCGCCGGGTTTTGTTTGAAAATACCAGGCTGCAACGACCTCACCGTGGAGTTGAGGTCGGCTACATAAGATGACGAGATTTGTGGAGACGAGACTACGATCTCCTTTGACGAAATCTAGTTGGAATGAGGATTAAAATCGGAGAGAAAACCCAAATCCTCACATGTCTTGCCAGTGCATCGCCTGCACAGATTTCTGGGTCTTTCTCGTTGAGGCTCATGAGTGTATTCTAAAGGACTTTTCAGTCAGTGCATTAGTGGAATGTGATAGGCACCCACCGCTGTGTTGTCGTCGTGTGACTGAGTATACACGTCCTGATAAATAAGAACACGAGTGAGCACATCGAAGTGAGTGGTTTGAACAGAGCAACTGGTACGAACAGCAGAGCGTGTTGTGTCCATGCCGACGACTATGTGAGGATAGATGGAGGACGATAATCATAATCGTCGACGAGTATTTGTACCCTGAAAAATGCGAGGAGGGTGTTTCCACGCCATTACCTGTCAAACCGGATTCAGAAGCTTCAGATCTAGTCAAAGCGATGAGTAGAAAGAAACTGAGCCATGATAAAAAGTCTAGATCCGAGCTTGTGAGTCTCTGGCCTCCGGGTCATCGAGATTGGGATCCCTGAATGTTGAACACGCTCGATGTGTGATATGAGGTACAATGGCATCTCAATCAAGAAAGGCATGGGAATGCAAAGGCACTGAATTGCCGCGCTGTAGAGATCGAGCGAAGAATAGTGTATCACCTTTAGTAATAATGTCAGCGGCTTCACCGAGAGAATTGAACAAAGCACGACGACAGTCCTTGACAAATTGTTAATGGTGACGAATCTTCCGCCTTTCCGTTGAAGAAAAAGAAAAAGCAAGTTAACTGCATACTCCCAACTCATACAAGCCTTAGAGACTGTGAATGTGTCAAGTCCTTTGCCGATATCCGCCTCAAGAGGTTCGAACCGTTGATACAGTCTGCTTCTTTTTCCCTCAACGTCTCACACTTGACCTTCTCTTTACCGCAAGCAGCGCGGTCTCTGGCACTGGTAATGCAACACTATCGGAATTGCCAGTGTTCTTGTGCATCCTCTCTCTCTTGGGATCAAAGCTACAGTCGTTAGTTGGAGGTTTCGTTCACAGGAAAAATAAAATACTAACCTTTGGTGACATATAATTCGACTAATAAGAAACACGCATCGACGCACATAGATCAAAATTTCAAACCTCGGAGGCAATTATTTGTCACAAAAGGAGGACGGATCAAAGCATGGATTCTATTAGGGGTTATTATACATCGTGCTTTGGCTTATTGGCTTTGCCAATTTCTACCTGCCCAGTGCCGACTGCTCCCTGTCTAGCTGTAGGCTGTAGCCCTGGGTAACCTTCTAGTATCAATGGGATAGTTCAGACCCCCTGGCACAATTAGCCTCAGGTTACTACCTGGTCGTCGCAATCATCAGAGGGGAGTTGCTCAGTTGGTTACTGGTGTTTGTGTACGAGAATACGCCACCGCAAGCCTGGACCACAAATTTCACCACCTCATAATCGGGGATAAATTCTCCTGAGATTTCTGGGACTGAAAAAGGATAAATAGATGCACAAAAGCAGGAAGACTCTGGACAGAACCAAACCTTTTTCTGAACCTTTTTGGTAATGGTCATTGGTTTTGGTGATGGTCAGCTGGGTTGATCGGTCAACTAGAGTACACCCACAATTGCTGGAGGTATGTGGGAACCATCTGTTGAATAAGAAGAAAAGAAGGTTATGATGTGAATCTATCATGACAGGGAATTCTAGAAGTGGCGCACCTCCACCCACATGATGTGTCAGATACAGTACAGAGTCTTGTTCGCTTCAATCATGCATGGTGTATGTGATGATCCTACACCATTGCCAGTGTTGGTGGCCTTGGTGTCTGTATTTACAAGAAGCAAAGACCACCAACACCAGCAATGGAGACGACAACCCAGGGAGTATGATCGTTTTGACTGCCACATTGAGAACGGACGCAAAATTTAACACTATTTGCACTTGTTTCTCTCAATGACGTGATCCAGCAGGACCGCCGATGGTCTGATGTGCCGAGACAGCCCTAATTTGGCCCTAATGCGACTTTATACATAATACACGGGATTACAGAAAGCTCAGCAGCTATTGCATAACTTTATGGCGAGTGTTCTGGTCTTGGGGCAGAGAAGTCGCAAAACTATTTTGGCGCCAGGGAGGTTCGAACGGCTACATACCCTATTTGGGATTTGCTTACAGCACTTTGGATTGGCACGCCAAGCCAAATTTTCTAGCAGCCATAAGGCCTTTCAGGGCAAGGTATTTTGAAGGGTGTTTGGAAAGAAACTAGAACATCGACAGGGACCACCGCGTGGGGATCTTTGATGCCTCCCAGCTTGTCGTATTTCATCGTATCGTCGCCCGCTCATGATTCAATATTTCGACGCTCAAGCGCTCAAGGATCATCCGGATCAACGGCAATTTTGGCCGAAAAGCCTATACACGCGATGATCACATTTTACTGAGCGTCATCAAAGTCGTCATTACTCATGCTTCAAAGTCCACCTTCTCTCATCTCCCAATCACGTCGTCATTATTCTATTATAATAACACCAAGGCCGTTGAGTGGCATGGCCAACGGCGCTACCTACAGCAATTTCTAGTAGAGAGCCCAAGAAAACCAGGCCATCCGCTGAGCGACGAAGACAGAAGAATGGTATTGCCAATGGGCGAAGGGGGGTGACTGTTGAATGAAGGAGCAAAGGACCGGTAGGAGAGTCCCACATAGCCACATGTGATCCGCGAACGGAATGCGCTAAAATCGAGAGATGTGGACCTTTGGGATGCGGGCGTAAGACCCATTACCTAAAGGTATAAAGGTAACAAAGATGTTTGTGCAAACTCATGCGGTCAATCACCTCTGAAGGTGTATTGTAATGTGCCACTTGCTCTCTAGAAGCGTCCATGAGCACCTCAGGCGACCTGAGCCGGGTTGTAGCAAACGTGATCGTGATTCAGGGTGCTGCGCGTGTTCCCGATTCTGCAGACGGGAGCCATGTTTGCAAGGATACATGCTGTGCTACAGAAGCACAAAAATTCAGAGGTTGAGGCGGAAATAGGTTCCATACAAGCAGTATATCTCGATAGAAAACCAAAGTAACTATCACTGGTGTCCATCGCCGGAACTATATAAGTCCCACAGGGCTGGGTAGCGGATCTCCTGTGACGCTTGGTACAGTAAAGAGCTAATTGATGTCGCGAACCGTGAGCGCTTTTTTTTTTCCAAAATTTGCTCAACGTCACTGACCTCACAAGTGCCGAGAACACCATTGGGACATCTTCTTCGCGGGCTTGAACAACCTGACCGTTCTCGGCAAGCAATATAATAGCTACATTCCCCCTAATTCCGAGCCTCGATGCGATGGCCTTTCCAAGAAAACGCGCAAAGGCTGGATTTAAGTTACGCTGTATGATTCGTCAGAACGGAGCTTGCTTTGAGATCAAAAGATAGGGCGTACACGGGGCCGATTAATGTATAGGGCAACACCCCAAACTCCAGAATTAGCTGACCTGCAACTCAAAGGAAATGTGCGAGGAATATAGCCTTCAATCGGCGTCCGACCATCCAGCACATCGAGATGAAGAGAAAAGATGCAGGGCGCCGGCCTCGTGCCTGCGCGCTTAGGAATAGGGGTAAGCACCGGGTGACTGGCGTCTTCGAAATACGCAATGGATGTCCAAGCGGGGACGCCATGAGTCTGTTAAATGATCGTTGGTATTATCTGATACATCACAACACTGCGGACTTACATGAACATAGTGCTGAATTCGCGCCGCGACGACAGTTTCGTTAGACGGGCGAATGGGGACGGTAGGATAGGCCATGCTATTGAGGTCAACGGGAAATTGAAGGGATGTTTTGCCCGTGAAACCACATCATGTTATAGCGTCAGGCTCAGTTGAGCTCCCGCGATGCACGACATGTCTGATATCTAATATAGTAGGATAACAGTTGCAATCGAGACGAGCGGTGCCAATAGAGCTTCTGTCTGTCAATGTCTCTGCTAAAGCACTTCACTGTGCCTGTCACCTCTTTTGGCCAATGTCGCCAAGGAACTTCCTCTTTTGGCCAGTGTCATCATTAAAGAACTTCCTCTTTCAGCCGACACTGGATTGGTACGTCCCGTTTTGTCCAATCCATTAATTTTGAAGAACCCAAAATGACCTAACAACACAGACTTGGAGATCAGTGGTGTTCTGTGTTTGGCCGACGCTGAACTGGTACGTCCGGGTTTGTTCAACTCACTAACTTCGAAGAGCTCAAGTGACCTAGCAGTACAAATGGGGATTGGTGAACCATGCGCGCGCAGAACACCGTGGGCGAACTTGCATGCAACACACCCAGAGAAGATGCGACTGGAAGAAAGGAAGATACCTTGTTCTACATGAAGGAGGATTAACCGCCCTCAATTTTTCCATTCCATAAAGAAGCGATGTGCGTTTTCAGCTGTGAGGTATAGCGCTCTCCACTATTCCATATGGAAGGCCTCCAAGCTATTACACAGACCGTTGAAGAGCAAGCACGTGGTCTCCTTCACATCCACAATCTCCTTTGGTTGCATCCTCTGGTAGGATTGCCCCCCGGATCCCTTCATCAAGCGACAGGGGATGAAATTGCTGAATATGTCGCACGCTACCTGCAAGCCAGTCCTTTCCGCCTGCAGTCGTCGTCAGATACTCAGGACTTGACGACCTCTGGCAAGTCATTATTCCCTTCCCATGTCTTTCTCCACTGACAATCATACAAAGCTCAAGTACATAAGCCAACTTGAGCCTCCCTAACTAGCAGATACACTGTGGCGACTCGCGATAACACCGAACCCATTAGCAGCGTAGCAATGTCTTTCAACTAGGAAATTGAACGATTTGAGCTTTGAACTATGTCACGGTACTCTTGCTCGAGCTTGGACAAGGCACTTGAGAATGCGTCATATTTCGGGAATATCCATCATGAATCATCAACCTTTTTGTACGGATTGTGTAGTGTCAAAGTCGCGCATAGTCCATGTCCATGTCGTTGCCCTCCGTTGACGGTCGATACATCATCTCTTCAAACCAATCTCCCGGCGAGTCCTCAGACGTGTGGCATGGGAGGCTACGACTGTACATCAGAAAATGTCGGTATACTCCAATGAAAGTCTAACTGTACCGTTCGACGATCTGGAATGGCCTTCTCATCGAGACATCCTCGTAGCTCCAGGGCGCTGGAGCCAGGTCTATCTGACTGGATGAAGGAACGAGGAGTTGAGAGGTCCTCCCTGTCGAGCGTGCTTCCAGCGACCCCCTCCATCCACCGTGGGCAGAAAGGTTTGCATTATGGCCATCTTTGCCCTTGTTTCCAAACGCTTCAGGAGTGGGACTCGGCCAATGCACACGGGCACTTGCCCCTTGGTACAAAAGGAACTAAACATCACGTAGGGTTGCAATTTCGGGATGACATACCTGGATAGACAATTGGATCCGCATCGGGGGGGGAGTCTGCCAGAGCGATATTTAGATATTCTTGCCTCTCAGGAAGAACTGGTGGACCTGGCTTCGCATCCATTGCGATTTCGTAGCTCTCTGGTCGTGAGATTGGCAACTCGGAGGCCGGGGTAGGCAAGACTTAAATTGAAGGTCAGCGAATCCCTTAAAGGTGATTGAAGTTGCGTCCTACTATTGATGAACTGTGATCCCGTGGCCTCTCTTTCAGTTCGTTTGAAGAACACGTTCAGTTGCCTCCAGCTACAGTCATGGCCGTATTGAAATCCTTGACCATCTGACCGGGGGATGAGGGAACTCGGTTGCTGGGAATCCCGTGGACCTTTCTGTACTGCGCGGCCTCGAGCTGAAGAACATTGTTAGCAATCTAACTTACCTTTGGAAAGGCAGTCTTCCGGTCCCCACCTTCACTGTATGAACTTCGAACGGCAGGAGGCAACTTCCATGCGCACTTGAGTCCAAAAGGGGTGGTCAGGAGTGTTGGAAAGCAATACACTCAAGGTCACCGACCTGTATTCCATAAATTGTGCACCATCCACACGCGGGACGAACATTGTCGCACTGAATGACAACTTCATCAATTGTTCCACTTCGAAGGAGAAAGGCGATTGTGACTCACGAGTAGCTTCCGCTCGCTGCAAGGATTGCAGGAGAAGGCGGCTAGGGCTCTCTTGGCCTGGTCGATCTTTCCGATGACCAAAGCGTTTTGTGCTAATAGGAGCGAAGAGTTGTTCAACACCAGGATAGTGTTGGACGAGCGCAACTCTGTTGGATCCATGGCTAAGTCAGAGGGAGGATGGCGGGGGGTAGTGCAAGTCACCGATCATCCCGAACTTATCAAAAGCATGCAGGGAGTTGACAGCCAAAAGTGGAGGAGTTCGGGCGAGTCTCTGGTAAGGTATCAAGGGCCCGAAGCGTAGCTGGTAGAGACTGCGTGAGGTAATTGATAACCCGTTACAACAAAGCAGTCACTGGGTTGAAGGATGATGGACACGAATCGGATTAGGCACCTTGCAATATCACGAACAATCGCCCAACTGAGGAACCTGGAATCGCCACCAGCTCTGACTTGGCCAGTCTGTGGATATGGATCAAATCCTCCACCGCCACCAGCCGCCACCACGGGAGAAGCTTCTCCTCGACGCGGAGAGCACTCCGACCTGAGTGCGAGCTTCGGCAGTCTTCCCGTCCCATCTTCCCCGCATGATGAAAGGTGGACACCAGTTACACATTGAGTAATTTCGGCAGCTTTTCTCCCTTTGACCTGTTCCACCAAGGAGTCGTTCCCTATACCATGGTGCCTTTCCCTTGTCACCCCAGAACCGTCTCTTGTCAACTTTTTCCAAGGAACGCCGATGGAACTATTAAATTACCGACTCCAGGTCGTTGGATCAGACATGAGCGGCGGGTAAGCTCCTTTCATGATTACACCTTGCTTGTACCTTTCGCTCGAAGAATGCTTACACAAAATAGACCCATATTCATTCACCACCAAGACCGAACTGTTCGCATTCAACCAGAATCAGAAATGAATCTATACTTTCCCGTCAGCGCTTCACCGACGTGACCGAAACATCGACGCATATGCGGCAAGACGGTATATACGCTGAGACCCGTCTTCTCCGATGGGTGGGCTGGCAAAAGAGAAATGAACATGACGTAGAATCAGGAGTACGATATAGGTATTACAGTACATACATCCTTTCCTCGTCGAGGTAGAGGCTCTTGCACCTATATCAACTCAGGCTGTTATAAAAACGGTGTTGTAACGCCTGATCGACCCCAACGCGCACACGATCGTCGCCCTGCAGACATGCTTTTAGCAAGTCTCGAAGATCGGGTCTTCGAATTTGAATCTAACAGTCCATGTATCAACTTCGGTGTTGTACCGGAGACCTGATCAATGTTTACTTACCATTTGTGATTCTCTATCTTCTGCGTGCCTCCAGGAAAGCTTGAAGTCTTCTTTGGAGTAAGGGGAGCCATCTATCCTCAGCCGTTCGAAAAAGTTGGAAGAGAGCTTCCCTGCAAATCGCTCGATTATACGCAACTGCTTGGTCCAATCGTCAGAGGGATTGAATAAAGCTCCACCCGAGTGCAATTCCCACAGCGTACACCCAAAACTAAAGATGTCGATGCCTTTGGTCCAGGGAATGCCTTGAGAGTGTGTAGATGACACGCGTAAGCAGAGTAAATGCACTGATGCATTCAAGCACTCACCCAGGCTTATTTCCGGTGCGCGATAACCTCTGGTTCCAGCAGCGTAGCGGGGCTCGCATTGTACCCTCCAATCGAAATAGCCATCAAGGTCTATCAATTTGACTGCAATGGATCGCAGCCTATGCTAAAGTTCCCGCACGCTCATGAATTCAGTCTGCTTGGCTTAGTGGAAACCCATACCTTTGTGACGACTTCGTTCGTGGCTGTATACTCCTGGTAACATGTGATGTCATCTTGTACAAGAACGACATTACTCGGTGTTATATCCGTGTGGATTATGTCCTGGGTGTGCAGGTCTGTAGGATATGCGTGTTAGGAACCTGAGATAAGGGATTTGGAGCGGAAAGATGCGCTTACACTGAATCCCACTCAGTATTTGATGGGAAAACGCTTTCACCTGGTTCAAAGGCAATGGGACAAGTTCTTTGATATCGAGAACATCCCTCAAGGACATTCCATGAGCGGTTAGACAGACGACAGAATACACATTCGTGACCTCGGACGCCAGGATATCCACAAATAACCTGCGATGATGGCCAAGCGCAATAAGAATACGGACCAGGCAGATGAAAGAACATGAACATACGTTAATCCCTTTGCTTTGGCGTGATCCAAGCAGCGTGTGAGCCGCTGCAATCTGGTTACTTCGTGCTCGGAATCGTCTGCTAATGCAATGGCTTTCACTACTACCCTCTCCCGAGATCGCATATCTGTTCCCGTCCAGACGCACTTGTGAAATGCGCAGCTGATCGACCCTGTGAACTTGACTGCTCCGTGGCGTGGATCACCTTTAAGATCAGATTCAAGGTGCCAATCTAGGTAGCCTGGGAGTAACCCACCTTTGTCACGCCAATGTAGCTCGACAACGCCCTTCAAGTCTTTAGCGGAGAGCATTGTCAGGAAAGCCAATGAGAGGGGCGAGTCATAGTCTACAACAAACGCAGGATATTTGAAGGACGGCACCCAGCGGCAGCAAGAACTTACCAATTTGGATCACCTTAATCCTTCCTGGTTGGAATCGTAGATGGACTGCACAAACCAAATGGGGAATGTAATGACCAGATTTGTCCAAAGCTGAAAACGGTGTGGGATTGGAAACACGTATCTATCACTTGGTACTACTGCACAATTACGCACCCTCCCAATCAGAAAAGTGACACTGCGGAAAACGATCAACGGAATCGGAAAATTTGGAGTTCCACCATCGCTTGTCTGACGCTGTCTTGGCTTCGATATACTTGCCATCCCTTCCAAGCGGTACATAGATTACTGTTCCGATACTCATGGCCTTCAAGAACTTGCGGGAGGCGGAGATCTCATCGAAGAGCCACCTAAGCTCTCGATAATGGTACTGAATTCCATACTTTTTCCGCTCGTACAGGACCCCGGCGGAGGGGTTCAATGCGAAACATTGCATCTCGGTGAACCAGCCCGAATTTGTGGCCAGTGCAGTCAGAACCTCCTTCAAGAGATAGTCAGTATGTGAGACGAGAAACCCACAGTGGCGCCCACCTTGGCATTCAGCTTCGGTTGCTCCACTGACAAAGTCTCCAGTTTCGGTAAGTTCTCCTGGAGTGTCGGCAAAACGGTTTGTGAGAGGTCAAGTCCAGCCTTGATACGAATGCGAAGGCTTGTGAGGTGGGTGCGGTTGACGTCGAAGTGGAGTGAATGAGCCAGGTAGTCGACAGCTCGGCCGTCCATGAAATCAGTCAGAACAATGCTGAATAAATCTCTACGACTGGCGATGGGAAGGAGATCCGACGAAGAATTGAGGACGACATGGCGTAAGGACGGGAGCGTGGATCGTCGAGGCAGGGACAGTTGACCTTCCCTGTGCAGACAATAGAGGATGTAGTCGGTATTGTCACTTGAAACGTGTAGAGAGAGCCTGCGGACGTTCACCATCCCACGCAATGCCCTAACAAATGGGAGGATGGATAGATATCTATCGGACTCTCCATACGCGAAGATGGTGAGATCTTGAACGAGTGCCGAGTACTGAACAGAATGGCCTCGATCGGAGGCAAGCATTAGAGCGCAGGACAGTCCAGCTTTGCCGTGAAATGATAAGTTCCGGTATAAAAGGTAGCTGGCTATATCATGGACAGCACTGGAAACCAACATAAAGTTGGCTTGGTCGCAGCGTTCGAGATCGTTTCCGACTCGACTCCAAATCTCGTTCGGAATTCGAAAGAAAATAGGATGGCTTTCCATCGCGGACCTAGAGATGGATTTCTTTGAGTCGATAGTCATCTTTGGAAGAGCTGAACCTCACCACCGATCGGTAACTGATATAGAAGGCTGGTCGCAAGTTGGAGGAGGGGGGAATGAGAAACCGTTGATCATGTGCTAGTTATACTGATGTATAATAATTTTGTCTCGTCACTGGTGCATCTCCTCCATGTAAACATGTAATCTCTCTGCGGCCCATATGGAAGTACGGGATCCACAATCCATTTAGGTAGTAAAGAGAACAGAAGTCTTAGCTCCATTTGGCCAGTGGGGATAGAGGCAGTGGCTGTATATTGGAAATCCATTTGTCCAGGTCCCCGTTCGCATCCAAACTTAGTCTTACGTGTGTGTACGCACTCCGCCACGAATGGACTTCACTTAGGAAATGCTGTTTTTCATCGCAGACGTTCACTACCCGCGATGACAAGACGGGCAGACAGAATCGATCGTTGTGGAATCATTCCGCCCCATTAACGCAATATTTAAAGCAAGGAGGAACCGTGTACTTTGGGCTTCAGCTCAAACTCGCGATAGCTCATGATGACTCCCTCACTTTCGGGGCTACCATCTCTGAAGTCTGGCGCCGATAAGCTCACTTGGATAACTGTTCCCTAGTACGTGTCTATTTCAATGAGGACAGCTGACCGGGACTAAGAATGGACATTGCACAGTCCACTTGACAGCTGCGGAGAACCCATCACACCAGCTTCTCTCCCTCGTTTCGTAGAGAGATACGACTTCACATTTCCCTTGTGTTCTCATGCCATCTTGGTTGAGCTAGACCAAACAGCCGACGGGTCCACGATTCTCCGCTGCCCCAACGAATCACCTAACAGATGCTCTTACGAAGGCGAGTCGAACCAATTTACTGTAGCGCACTTTGTGTTGACATGTCCACATCAGTCAATCTGGACAGTTTGATTCTTTCAGAGGAATGTGTTTTCGCCTACTATAGCCGTCGGCGCATGGAGCTGGATGACGATGAGAGTAGCGCCGATTCTGTACCCAGCCCGAGCGAAGATCGCGACTCCGAAATGTCACTCGATGAGAGTCTTTCCGGTATGCCCTCTTTGTTCTAAAACAAATTAATTAAAGCTTACGAAAGATCCCAGATTATGACGGTTCAGGAAGCTCCATGGGGTCTTTCATTTGTTCAGATTTACAAGAACTAGATCACGGCTCTGATTCTTACGGAGAGAATGAGGAACAGAGCTCCTCGGGCGATCAGCTTGATGATGAGATGACAGGCGCTGAGACTGACTCCGGCTCCATGGTTTCCTCAGAAGACGACAGCAATGGGGCGTCGGGGGCCAATCTGAACGGAAGCCATCCCAAGGAAGTTGGGTTACCGAAAGGTCAGCCGATACACAGCCCCGCCTTAGATGAGAATTCAGGTACGTATGTGACGTGATATGACGCCCATCGCAAAGATTAATCGTTACTTTACCTCCCGCAATTGGAAAGACGCTCGCAGAATGGACACCGACTCCGATAAAGAAAACATTCCCCTGGACTTATATGTCATCCAGAAGCGAATTCGACAACGTAAGAAGAGGAGGAACCCACTTGTCTTGCTTGACTCTGAAGATGAATGAATCATTCAGTTGGGCTCGTTCAGCTTCTCCGTCAATAGTCTTAGGTCTCGGTATTTGTTACGAGGATTTACGCAGTAAATGTTGTTTCTATAGCGCAAATTAATTCGCTGTTTCGATGCCAAGAAATTGAGCTCCCAGGAGCATGTGACTGGTTCCCCTTCGCGTGTTCCCTTCCGTTTCATTCGGTGTTGGTGCCCGTGTACGACGCGTTGTTTGCACAGGCTTTGTCCTCCACTTGTACTGCGGGGCTCTCTCTCCTGGTGGGGTTTTCTCCTATGTAGTTCGCCTCCTCCCTTCCTTCAGGAAACGAATCTCGTGAGAGTAAGTGTGTTGCACGATGGCTTTCAATGTTGGCGCTTTGGCGAATTTAAAGCCAGAGGCCTGAGGAATGCGGTTGCTTTTATGGTCGGCGTTGAGGATTCGCAGTAAAACCATAAATGACAGGTAGGGCCGAGTCTGTATAGATTAGATTAGACTAGATGACTGTAGAGCGATCATAAGAAGGCCCTAGGGAAAGGAACCTTCACAGACGTGCTACTGATAAATACAAAGAGTCAACTCACTTATTCAATTGCCCTGTACCACTCTTCGTACCTTTAGCCTTGCCTACAATAAGCCGTTCAGGCTCACAGCTCTTGTAACGCGGCCCTTGCATGAATAATCAATGGCTTTCTCAGTTTCAAAAACTTAATTCTCGGGTTGCTCACGAGTCTAAGGTGTATTCCTTCTACGATACGGGCATGTAAATCCGAGTATTGCCGCACTGAAAAGTGGCGGCCCACTGTCTACCTAGTAAATTGCTTCCCCCTTAATACACTCATTCGCCAATTTGACAGCAATAGCATCATGTGACAGTTAGGGGGCACGCGGGCACCGCGCTTACCATTCGAGGTGAAACGGAGCCCAAAGGGGTTAGACCCCAAAATCCCGTTACTGTCAGTCTCAAAAAGGCAAATTTGCCAAAGATTTACCTGAAGAGGTTGACACACAGATGTTATCGACCATCTGTATGCTTGACAAAACCATGTGTGTAGCGATGGCCACTTCTGAATAAGTGTGGAGTACCAAGTCGTTAAGAATCCAGGACGAAAGACCCCTAAGACAGGCTCGCACTAGTCGCACCAAATGCTACATTCCCCGAGAATGGCTTCGGAGGAACAGACCTTGGAACACCCGTCGCCTCACATCCAACTTTCCATCTTGGAAAAAACTCTTCTCTCCTGCGCCAGGAATAACCCACAATTCCTGGCGCGCTTCTTTCGCGACTGGCCGCTCTTGTCGATTATACAACTAGGTCACACCAACTTCACTCTTTACACCCTCATCAGGAGTTATAGAGACAAAATGTGGGACGTAAAGAATTTTCTTGGCCATTGGTTCAAGCGGCCCGAGCACTTCATTGAGGCGCTAGACCGCACCGGAAGTGTCGTTTATGGTGCCAATGTGCTTCACTTCTTTCACCGTTCTCTTGACGACACCACTGCCCTGGAAATATGCGTGCCGTTGGGGCAGGTATACTCAATGCTCACAGCTCTCACAGTCGAGCACTACCGGCACTGTTCATTCAACGGCTCGAACGACATCGACCAAGCCATCCACGCAGTTCTCGCCGAATCGGCTCCAGCTGGGATTCGACCAGCAACTGCTGAACTCAGCTTGGACACCTCTCTTCACAAAAGCCACCGATTTGTCTTCAGGTGTCGGGTACCATTACCTCGCGGTTCAGGAACTTTTCGGTTCAGATATGTGGCCATGAACTTGGTTCTCTGTGAGCCGTACCGTCACATCCTTTCTCTCCACTCAAGTAAGACCGCCACTTGAACATGTTAATTTCCGAAGCACTCACCATGAATTTAGCCGCATTCATGTGCTACATAACAGCGGAAGCCGCGATATGCCCATTTGCGAAGGCAACTCTAGTCATGCAACGCTCATTTGTAGTTGGAGGGGACGCAGATCTTCAATTGCCAGTGATTGGTAACGCCGAGCGCTACCGTTTGCACGCATCCCACGGAACTGATACCACCCTGGAAATAATACGCGGATCTGCAGTTTGCTATCCTGAAGTCGCAAATGGCAGACGATTCATGGGTGACAAACATTGCTTTATAATCCCCGTCAATTCCCGAGGTATGCTATCGATGGCTCTAACTGAGGGCGACCACTAAGAGAATTGCTCCCTTTTCAGGTCCATTCGAGCCTCGTCAGCAACGATACCTCGGTCCCACCTTTGAAGTGGCTGATCAGACCACAGGAATCGTCGCACAACCAGCGTACTTGCGTATTGGTGAACCACTGGTCCTCAGGTATGTCCCTCATCAAATCTTGAATCACCGATATACTATACTAAGAAGAGCAGTTCCTTGATGCAGGTTCGCTTCGGAAGGACTTTACTATCTAGTCTTCCTGATTCTCCCATTATCTTCTAGTAGAGCGGCAAGAACATGATCATTATGTCATTCATTTCTCCATACTTCACCGGAAGTGGAAGGGTTAAGGGAATCTGGTGGAGCGTTGATCTCCTTTACAATGAAATTCATTTCTTAATACTTCACCGGAAGCGGAAGGATTAAGACAATCTGGTGGGGCATCATTCCCAGTACTGCACTATAGTATTTCGTCGTCTACAAAGTGTGAAGGATTGTCCCGAGTAGCCTGTAAAGCATCCAGTAATGACAGCTCCAGAGATTGTGGTGGTCGCAGTATATCTCCTTATAAATGAAAGAGGGGAGGGGGTAGTTACGTCTAATCCTGATTCTGGCGCTGAAACAAGGCGAAAACGCAATGTCCATCCTCCTCATAGGAAAGACCTCAGAAGCAGCGAAAACAGCCCCTGTAGAAGGAGTGCGACTTCTCTTAGAGGTGCCAATGAGCTACTCGATTATTTCCGAATTGTATCTAATGCAGCTCCTCAGCATGTCTATTCAGACACGACGACTTCATTCGAATATCTAAACGAAAGCAACATTCCTGACCCATCAGATCATGGCTTCGAGCCCAACGAGATATTTTCACTCAAAATGAATGGCTTAGGAAGCAACACTGCGGTCAGTGAAATCATGCTCTCACCGGTCAATGGAACTCATTGGCTACAAATGATGTAGCCCGCCAATTTGACTGTGTTGATTTATCCCACTGGAAGCAAGCAGCCGATAACTCGCGCTATACCGGCCCCCCCAGGTGGACTCTGCGAGAACCTAGATTTACGTCGGTGGTTCCCAAACGGCTCGTTGAGTATCCGTCTCAGCGAAATGCCTGGGATTAACCTCCCATTCCTTTGCGATTATCGACTCTACCTCGACAATCACCGGCTTCCAGTTCCACCCAACAGAGCCGTTCTATCGTGTTTCGGTATACCTTGGTCAGGGAATATCGTCCTTGCTCGGTATCAAGGCCACTGCGTGCAGTACGACAGAGACCAGTTCGGTCATATCACGCCTGGAGACCTCAATACTTTGATGGTAGCAATGGAATTGTGCGTTAGAAATAAAGATTAATCCAATGAGGACTAACCCTCGCAATAGGTGGCTTCGTCAGTTACTCACTCAAGGCCTCTATAATGAAGCGATGGTCAAGGTTTTCCCAGGCGACAAAGCAATCAAATTATTCGAATGATACTATGATACTACTAGGGATAATCACCGTCAAGGCTCCAGATTTGCGGAGGCGTTCGTTGATACAAACATTCTTTTAGCTACTTCCTAAGCCATCGCTTGATTTGCCAATACAATCAAATAGTCGCTCCCCTGGGTCCCGGGCCGAACTACCACACACAACTACAACAAACCCGAATTAAGCGCCCGCCAAGTGTGTGTGTGTGTGTGTGTGTGCGCGCGTGTGTGTGTGATAGTTCCAAAGTGCGGCCTCGTGGGCACCGTAACCTTCAGACCGACCGATAACTCTCATTAGCCCTGTAAGTGATCGGGACCAAGGGTGACTGTCACCAACTCGAATGCAGATGATGGCCATTCTGGAGTAGCCGACAATCTGAGGTGTTTCCACTCATTTTTGTAATGCGCAGTTGGTCGGAGCTCCAGCTTCGACTATCCTGGAATTGAGAATCAAGAACGCAATGACAGATGACCTATGAAGAGAAAGAAAAGGTTGGGTGGGAGAGAGCTTGGCTCACGGACCTATGCGAGAACCAGCCGCGACGCGCGATCCACGTACACATATCCGTCCCAAAACACACACAGACAGTTCTGCTGGTCGGGACGAACTGGCGTGATGCGGTAGGCAGCCGACACGTCGGACGCTGCCGCGACACAACCCGGCGGGAGGGAAAGAATGAGTCTCTTCGAAGCCACCCCACGCCGTAGGAAAATCATCGGCTGAGACACCGGCGTTGACAGAGTCAAGAGAAGGTCGAACCCTGGCCCATAACTCCCGCTGACGGATGTCGTGCTCCTGGACAACCGACCACGCGTACCCCAACAACCGTGTGGTGCTTGACCAGACACTCCGCCCTGCCCGAGGAATGCCATCCTGGTACGCTCCTCTGCAACTCCAGCAGCGACGCTCCAGTCCTGGAGTGAGATGAAACGTTCCTTGCCCCGATCCAAAGTGTCGTCGACCACCAGGGAGCCGTTGACGGTGTCGAGCTTGAGGGCGTTGGACTTCTCGAACAAGGCTTTGTGCCTCGCAGCCTTGGTGAGACTGGTGTAGGGAACATAGTTGCCGAGCCTAAAGGCTTCGTCCACCTTGGGTGGGACCGCTAATGAACGAATGGGATTAGTCTCTATCATCCAGCACAAGACCGCGACGCATGGAACGGGCTGAGCCTCGCCCGCTCAGTCGACTCGGGTTCAGCAATACTTCCAGACGAGGTCATCATCTCCGCAACGCAAGAGGTCGAACCTCGCAGACTATGGAACGCACAGCAAAGGGGGACAACCCACAACGAGAACGCCCAGATACTCACGGAAGTCGAATGGACTGGCTTGGAAACCCGGAATCACTTTGGGTAGGCTCCTCTTCGACCTATCCGCCTCCGCTCTCGCTCTCTCCACCTGTTCAGGTGTCGCCCACATCACCGTGGCAGGACGCCTCTCGTAGCGCAACCTGGCCGCGCAACTGGCTGATCAGCGCACGGGCGTCCGCCAAGGTGGTCACCTCCCCCGCAGGCTGTTGGTGTTGCTGCTGCGGTTGCAGTGGGGGCTGGCCAGTACCATATCCGTTTTGTGCCGCAAGGGGGGGTGGGGGGTGGGGGGAGAGGGGGCTGATTACCAGCCCTACCGAGATTCAAATTGTGCAGGTTGACGCTGGTGCCGTTGGCCATGCTGAAACACCGCGAACTCCGAGTGCGCAAGAGATTATTATACGAAAATAGGGAATCATACAGCGGTTACGGTAGAAGTTAGGACGAATGCACGACCAAACGAACGCCGAAGTCGAAGATGAACGTCTCGAAACAAGATGGCGTTGTCGAAATTTCGACACAGCCTCAACACAGCCTCCCAATCCAGCCCACGCTCAGCTGGATGCCGAAGCCGTTTCACAGGCTTCTCGGCTTCGTACCCACTCGATCCGCTGCCCGTGAGCCTGAGGCCTGAGGCCTGACCGACGGTGCGGTAAATCCGCGCCAACGACGTATGTTCTCACGCACCCGATGCCAAAAGAGGAGGGCTTCGGACTTGCTTTGACACAGTCAAACACCTTCTTTTCCAAAGATTACTCCTCGCCCATACGTACCGCCTCTCGTACAATTTATGCGCATTTTAATCAGCTTCTTGCTTACAAGACATGTCCTTGGATGGATCCCGGAAGATTTACACTCGACGATCACACTTGGACTGCTCTGGTCATTGAAACTGAGAGGTCCGTTCTATCTGATCATTTCCACTTCGAAAACGCTTTGGAATGGTTTTCACCCGAGGTATATACCGACTCACCATACCCACCAAGTGCGCGCCACCCCGAAGTGCAGCCTGACGCGTGACGTCCGATCCAAAGAACTCTCAACAGTCTGCAACCGCCTCTCCTACCTCGCCTTGGAATAGTGCACGTAGTGTGGCCCCATTTGTTTTGCGTCCAGTCTGTCGCAGGTGGCATCGACGTGTTTCGAAAATCACCCCGAAACCTCGGAATTGCCTTGTCGTAAGGGCATCTCCCATCAAGGCAAAAAATGTGGCGGTCGAAAGGTCGCTGACATTGTGCCGGTCACCTGGGTTCAACCAAAACGGACGTGGGGCCATTCAATGGCCTTTCGGGCTAAGCGCCAGGCATGTGACGGGAGACCGACATCATGGACTATCTGTGCAATCCTTTTTCTCCATTTGGTTCGCCCAACCAAAGGTGGGTAATCCATTTTTGTCTCTCTCCAGAAGAGGCAAACCAAAAGAAATACATGCACAGGGGCCTATTGGTCGCCGATGTGGAGACACAATTGGTCAACTGAAGTCGGTACCTGGTGCTTTTGAGATTGGAATGTCTGCAGGTTCCGTTTTGCCAACCTGTGCAGCCGGGCGATGGGAAGGGGACCGTGACTCCTGCGCCCCCGCGCCAACTCCCTGCCGATCTCTTAACCCGATGTCTCTTGTCAGCGAATGTCGACTGTTTTAACTTTAGGCTTCATTGGTACTGCATTGGGGTGACCTTGCCGTCGTTTTCTTTTCGAGATACTAAACACCATTGTCGCTTTTCCTCGTTCATATTTGGCCCAAGGTGAAGAGGTTTATCCTGCAATGTTCGAAGTGCTTGCTTACTACCTCTCTCCAGCCCTCTATGTTTTCAGGGAAATCCCTTTCTCCGTTTTGGGGCCATGGTTTTGTTGCACATCTTTGTGCGAGATTTCTGAGGCATCATTTCCCCTCGCCGGAAGACGCACGGTGTTCCATCGGGCTGCCAGAGTTCATTGCCTATCTGATTCACAGAACCAAGTTGGGTCCCACAACAATTTATTCATCTCTCCTCCTTCTCGAGCGAGTCAGAATCCGAGCGCCAGAATATCAAGTTGAAACAAACCACGGCCTCTTCCTAACAGCATTCATCCTATCCTCCAAGACGTTATACGACGAAACCTATTCCACCAGATGCTGGACAATCGCATCCCAAGCCATTTTTCTTTCAGCAGACATTCAACGATGGGAACGTCACCTGTGCTCGCTTCTGGATTGGGACCTCAACATCGACATTGAAACACTTTCAAGCTTCCACACTGTTGCGTTGGCTATCTTCGGGAAGGAGCGTCCAGTATACCCCGAATACTCCCTTCTCAAACTATCCCCAAGATTGGATGCCAGAAGGAGGAATTCGTTTGTGCACATCCATACACAGGTCTCGCATTTGCCATGTCGCAGTAGCAACAGCAGCGATACACCCGACCCTGCTTCCGAATTTGAAGTGCTACGCTCCCATCCGTGTCACGACAAGCTTCAGTCCCAGATTTACGGCTATCCCATACCTTCCAGCTGGTGACGCTTTCCAAACCTCCACACTGCGTGGGCTTGTCCTCACGTTCTTTTCTCCGTGGTAGGCCGTCGCCAATTGCAAGAATCTGACGTTCAATTGTGTTGGCTGCCGTCCGTCCGGTGCGCACCTAATCAGTGCCTCAACCACGCCGAGTCCTCCCTTTCGGTCTTTTCCTTTTTCTATTTCCTTCTCTTTTTCCTTCTTTTCTTTTTTTTCTTTTTTCTTCTGAGTCAATGTACGACCCAAATTGCTATGGAAAATATACAGTAAACCACCTTATTCCCGCCTAGCTCACACAACAATGGGCGTCTACTACACCTTCTGGGCTTGTATGTTTCATAATGCTCCAATGTGTTTCGATCATGATTCGAGCCTCCCAGCGGGGATACCATTTAACCTTTATCGAAGTACACGATGGGTACGTCTCCAAAGCCAGAGCCAATGTCTCGTACATCCTATTTATAGAGACGTGCACCGCCACTCCCAATTTTGATGTGCCAACATCCCCGCGCTTCCCCGCATCTTGTCACCAACTTCGTCGCTCGCTCATTGCGTTGAGCGCGCTGGGACGGCTGGACCTCGACCACTCTGTCTCTGTGTCTTCTCGTCAACATTATAAACACCCTGTACCGTACCTTGATTGAATTATTCGCCCTTTCTTTTCTCTTTCAGCAATCTTTGGCTGCTCCTTCCTTGGCCTTCGGCCCCACCCAACTTCTACGCCTTGGTAGGCTGCTATGACCACACGAGAAGGTGAATATAGCTGCGCGGAATGAATAGGGGGTTTTCAAAGCGTCAAAAACGCACAGAGGTCGATTTCTGGTTGCCAGGCCCTACGTTTTGGGTCAAAACATCAAGATAGTCAAGTCAATTGTCACAGAAACCGTAAGTCGGTTCCTACCGTTTGTGCTATACCCTGGGCTGACTGGGCTGACTCTAGTAGGTTGGGAACTTGTGGAGGCAAAATAGCCAGATAGTCACGGCGTCTACAAGTGTTGTGTCTGCAAGGACAACAAACCGCGTATCAAGTCGAACCTCCAGGGCCGCACTACAACCTCGACCCACCAGCATGCCCTGAAAACGTACTACGACACCCCGATTACTCCAACCCAGCATGTTGACCTCGTAGACCACTTCTCGACTGCCGGAGGGGCTGAGCACGGTCTTGGTACCGTTCCCCATAACATGGGCCCAGCTCTTCATGATAACGCCCCAGGCTTGGGGATTTCCAACCGCACCGACCAGCTGCCTCGATGGAAGATTCCACTTCATTAGACACTGCCTTGAGCTCCGTGGACGACTCGAGGCTCAACTCAAGTGACCAGAGCAATCTCACCGGAGGGATCCAGTTAACAGTCCGACAGGCTAGAGAGCATGCAGCACTTGGGAGTAGCATCCTTGGTCGCGATTGGTGCGACAAAAACCTGAATCTCATTCTTCAGGACGACGAGGCCAACAAGACCCCATTGTGGCAGGTTACCGTTTTGCTCTTCCATCGCAGCTTTCCATTTTCACTGACCTAGCCTTTTTTTCTCGAACCAGATCCCGAGACAGAAGCCCGTATCACAAAGCGCCTGCGTGAAGCTATTGACGACGCGGAACCGACAAATGAATGAAAGCCTCGGCTGAGTAGAACCGTGCGTTCACCAAGCGGAATCAATCCACACCATGTTGACCCTGTTCGGCTTCCAGACTTGCACACTCGATATCTTGATGCATCTCCCTCGTCCGGCTTTTCCGGACAAACAGCCATGTTAACAATGTATCAGATGCTCCTTCGACCAAACAGATGAAGACATCAGATAACAGGATACAGAAGATGTGTGGAATTGGTGAAACCGAGTATACGAGCCTGTTCGATCGCCATTACTTCGTGAATACCCTTGGCGAGACACTGGTTGGCGAGCTGCTGGCACTTGCTTACTGCTCTTCGTAGTCTGTTGATAGAACAATAGGGAAGAAACTTCAAACTTGTCCATCACCGCATCGCAAATAGGTACCATGCTTCGAGAACTCTTTGACCGATGATAGTACCTGGCGGAAGCTTTCGCGCCATACGATTCTCTTATACTCAACCTTCTCTCCGTTCTCGGATGATGCACTCGGTTCCTCATCCAGCTGCAAGGGTGAATATATTTGGCTAGAAATGTGACAAAGGAGGTCATGCTCCGTAGCCATACCAAACGATCCACTCTCATATTCCAAGAACGTGCCTTCAGATCTCGAAATGACATTGGATACACAGCTCTTGTATCTAGGCTATACATTGATTTCACGATACGAAAATACTTACTCTGGGGCCCTTGTCACTACTAGTATGTACTACTTCTTCCTCTTGGACACATTGCGAGATCCTCGACTTGGTCTAGTCGGCAATGGCGGCGCATCAGACCTGCGTGAGACTCCTTCCTCAGTCCGAAGGGCACGGGGGGCTCCATCCGACTCCTTTCCTATCGCTGCTGAAGTCACCGGAGTAACCGGTGTAGTAGTCGCATCCGACGCACCAGCAGTGTCAGGCGATATTTCGGCTTCCGATGGGTCACCTACGTGAGCCTGAGCGGTATCTGATGCATCAACGGGCTCCTTGGTTGCTGAGATGTGCTTGGCCGCTCCTTGTTCCTCAACCGGAGTGTCAGGCATCTTGCGCTTTGACGAGAGTGGACCGAGCGAGTCGGGAGGCTGATTTTCGTAGACTGCACCAAGTTTCGGTAAGCAACGCATGGCGTTGAATATATCATAGAATTACATACCTTGTCCGTCGTCTTCAGAAGATTGCCCCTTATTCATAATTCCCACTTCCAGAGGTGACCAGTCGAAGAGAGGATCTTCGTCCTCCAATTGGCCCCTCTCAATTCGGACTATCTCCAAGGGGACAAAGTCAATGGACCAATAGTTGAAACGGATCGATGCCGAGATGTGAAAAGTGAACCAGAGGATATCGCCACGATGGAATCGAGGTCTGTCAGTCGCCGACAGGTTCTTCAAGTGTTCTTCTTCTCCAATTTTGACATATTCGAAGAGCCTCGGTTTCTGCGGGTTGGGCGTGTACTGTTCATTGGCTCGTAATGACGACTTGATCCAAGGGTGAAGGTCATAGCTAATCTTGTACTCCCCACCCTGCGGCCAGTTCTTCTCCGTTCGTTTGACGAACATCTTCGAGCAGATTATGAAACGATAATTGCTTCGTACGTTTTCCCCATCTTGCCACGTTCTTTTGGACTTTGCTTCGGCCGCTTTAAGGAATTCCCCGTCCAAAGCAAACAACTCTTCAAAAATCTGGAGAGGATCAATGGGTGTCATTCAACACAATGCGAGGAATATAGAATGTACCTGATTGGCTTTAAACAAGAGCTTGTCCTGTTTGGTGCCCATGGCAAAGGACCACTCGCAAAAGGGACCTATGATGTTTTGGCTAGGGGGTGGCATTAGATCATACCCGGTCATGATACGGGGCCAACTCACATTCGCGTGGGGTCCAACTCTTTAGGCGCTGGAGCTCCTTTCGGGACAAAGTTGCCAGTATCGTAGGGTGACGCCCATTGGAAGGGCGCGATGTGGCTGAAGACAGCGCCCCTCTCAGTCTTGGAATTGGCAAGCTAGCCGCGTATCAGAAGTAATCAATGTTGACGAGCGCTCCACTCACAACCCATTTATCGCCATATCTCTTGGGAATCAAAAGCTCATCGCCAGATTCCAGCGCAACAATAGCATCTGTGAGAGAGAGATCAGTTGAGCGGAAACAGAAGTCCGGAACTGTGGTCATGCTTCGCTGCCAGTGCACTGGTCGAGAAATAGAGAGGTGAACTGTGTCTGATATCCAAGCGGTAGAGGGGCTTTGTCTCTCTACTTTATACCTTCTCGGAGAAATCGCAACGCGAAGGCATCGTATAATACTTCAGGATTCTCCACGCAGATAGGATGTACCTGACGCTTTTGGTCAGCGCAACTCTGGAGAATCTCCTCTTCAATGTACAATCATACCATACCCCCATTGACGATCAGTTCTACTTTGTGTTTGAATTGATGGAATGGCTACATTTGGCCAAGCAAAATTGGGTATAACTCCTTGGGGATCGTGCATACAACCGAATTGGAGTAAACTGACGCCGAGATGCGATGGCCAAACGCGGAGGAAGGGGAAGTCCCATTTGATCTATGATCTGACCAATTGGAGCAATCCCCTATTCTCTCCTATTCTGGCGTTGGGCTGTGACCACGGAGGTAAAATGGCCAAATCAAAACAATGTCCGTGTGGCAGGGTAGTTTTCCCCGCTTGTCCATAACTCAGTGTCAATTGATAGGTATAGGTACAGGTAAAAATTACATCATGATCGGACGGCATTGGGTGTGCAACTTTACGCCCAAGCCTCGCTTCTACGCCCATACATGGCCTTGACATTAGACCAGAATAACATTTGGTCCCGAGCGGTGCGGCATGAAGTTGGCTACCCGCAAAGTCGAATTCGCTAAAGTGCAGTTACAATGAAAGGGGCGCGTGCCGCGACTCAAACTGACATGACCAAGGGTCGAACGCCGGACCTCGCGAACCATCACATGGCTTCTACTAAGCGTCGCGTCGGCGCGTCGAATTGAATCAAAAGAAACCATCTCGTCTCATAGATGGTGCAAGAGGCCGACAGAAATCAAAACACTTCTATCCGACGTTCCGCTCACACCGGTGATTGATTCCAGCTCATGCATGAAGTCGTCATGATTGTAAGCGCAAATGGTAGGCATTCAACGACACCAAGATCGTCAGAACTCGTTCCAAGGCAATGTGTCTGGCATGTCGCACCAAGTGGTTAAGAGAACCCTGGGAAGGATTCGCCCGGACCTGGATCTGTGGCGGTACTAACTGCCTGGAGAAATAGACTTCAAGATTCCACAGAAAAGATGGGGAAGGCGGGAGGAAAGTTCGGGTGGTGATGTTGACAGGTGGCGACAATTGAGTGTAGAGTTTACCGTAGTGAGCTTCTCGCTCCTCCGCCACGGAATCCTCGGAACTACGAGACTATACAGCGTTACGCTGCAACCTCGATTAGAAACGGTTATTCTCGCGAAGGTCACGAAGCCGCACACTGTCTGTGTAACGGCAATAATCGACATGACAACTACACGCAACTCGGTCGAGATAATTAACCCACCGTTCCAGTAGATTTCTGTGGTAGAAGCATAGTGAGGATTATAGGTAACCATCATTCCAGTAACATTGTGTCGGGCTAAAGGTCAGGCGTACTTGATTGTCGCGGTCCACTTGACCAAAAGTAACTTACCCAGTGCATCCGCCAGTGATGGGAGTAGGCATATCTGCAAGCTTCTACTGTGAGCAAACAGTCTGGGACTCTGAGCATTGTGGACGGTAGGCAACAGTGTGGAATGATGTGCGGAGGACATGACAGTTGGGAATAAAGGGCCCTTACAGTACCATCAAAGCTTTCCGGTTTCGGTCTTTTGGCTCTTCGAATCAAGATTCATGTACATGCAAGGCGAGAGAGACACTTGCCATATATGACGGAGGTTCCGAACACGTTGATGCCGGTTCCATCTGTGTCTTTCATAACTCCCACGGTTGAATTGTTACCAACGGAATGCTGGCAACTATTCTTCCTTCTTGAGAGTGACCAGTCTTCATATATCGCCCATGTTGGTGGCCTTTAAACTACTGCGAGCCTAAAGGCCACCAACATGGATGATATTGTGGTTGCGGTTGTGGTTAATGCTTCTGTCAATGCAACGTGTTACATGGGCGCGATCCAGAGCCTATTGCAACCAATTTGGTGTGACAATGCTTAATCTCATTGAACATTGATTAAGAACATTTTAAGATCTGTTTCAGAATGTGCCTTTCAATCATTCAAGGCCACTTTTCCAGAAGTTGGAAAATGGAGCTTCCTGCATCTACCCACTTGTTTACAGGGAATCGGACCGGTGGACATCAGCGGAGGAACATAACACCTGTCTTGACCATAAAATTTGCAAAAGTGGAGCCTTCTATCCTTTCATGGGCTTAGTGGAGACCTTTCCAATAGGCTTTGGGTGCAACTGCCGCCGTATTCGAAAAAGAACCCAGGGGCCAGCAACGTGTAATTCAAGAACAGCACCCAGAGGGAGGCCGTCTTGTGCTGACAGTGCTGTATGCTCTATATGGGTCTGCATTCATCCCAGGGTCTGGCTTACAGTAAGCATAGAGTGGTACGGACCCGTTGACCCTTTGCTAGCAGCACTGGCAGAATGGGACGACTGAATGACAAGGAATTTATTTACACCATAATTTGGGGCGGCGGTGTATACGTATTGCCCCCGAAGAACGAAGTGACACCTAGCATCCGAGACGGTCTTGATATCCACCACACAATTTTATTTTACAGTTCCACAACTTGAATGCGGATTCTTCCCCATAAGCTATAGCGGGAACCGTGCCCACGCCACGATAGGAAGGTTCTGCGTTGAGCTATCTCCTTTGATATTAAGTTTATAAACCCGCGTATCACGACACAGACGATGAACAACACGAAAGCTCTAGCCTCCCATGACGCACACCCAGACCACTGTACAGCAGCCCATGAAGGGCCCATCCATTCGCACACCTCGCAGGACCGCGATGGCTTGCATCTTCTGTAGAGGGAAGGAAATCAATGATCGCGCGTTCCAATTTCTCTCTAACTCTTGACAAACAGGTAGAAAGATTAAATGCAATGGAAATCGACCCTTCTGTAGTAATTGCGACAAAAGGTCGTTGGTCTGTCAATACAAGTCAATGTGGGTATCACTTGCGTTTCGGACGGACCTTTTTTTGAAATGCAGCAAACCCTCCAACAGCAGCGAGCAACGCGCCGAGAAGTCATAATTTGATGCCATATTCAAGCTATTCCGATATCATCTACTCTACGTCATTGGACTCGCCATTAAATAGGATAATCGAAGTTTTTCATGTGGCGGAAACCGAGGTGCCCCAGTCTCTCTCCCAGAGTCTGGTCGAGAGGAAGAACTGTCTCCCTGAACTGAAAACGCTGTGCCATGGGCCATCGGCCTTGATTGAGGGGCCACATTACCGTCGTCCGCAAGACCTAACCCATGGACAGGAAGCGACAACTCGTAAACCAATGCAAAGACCTTATCACTCGCCTTGGAGTACGGCTGCAAAGTCTGAACAATTGTCAGGGTTGTGGAACATGCTGTGAACAGGGGTCAGCAATGAACACCGGAGAAATGAGAGGTGAAGAATGTACCAGGCTTTTTTTGCAATTCCTGCCGAAGGTTGTCGCCAAATGCATGGAAGACGTTGAAATAGTACCCGCTGTGCCTCGGAGTGCCCTCGACACATGGCACCTGATAAACACACAAGTTCAACCCCACATGCATCACGGCCACATCGTCAATGAACAAGGCCAAACGAGTACGAGTATTGAGAAGCCACGGGCTTTCAATGTGGATTCTCCAACACCTGAGGTTAGGACTGATCGACCAACTGAATGGAACGACCAGGTTGGGATTGGAACTCAAGCGAATGGCGGAGACCTCTGGAGTAGCTGGGACGGCGTAGCCCATGGTCAAGGTAGTGCAAACAACGACCGCATCCAGGTGCATGTCTTCAACGGGTCTCTCATTCGAGGTCCACTTCTTCCAGACGATGCCTAAGGGCAAAATAATTAAGCGACAAATGTCGTTCAAAATTCTACAGAAGTCACCTTTGCCTGTAATCATGCTCAATCTCCAGGAAATCTGCTCGGGGGTTCGCAGTACACCTCGCCTTCCATAGATAAACCAAGACAGAAAAAGCGATCGACATGGGTACGGCGAGCCTGTGACCAGCATGTTCTTCTTTGCCCTCTTGAGGACTTGATGAATCTTTGAACCTGGTTTACCAGTAATGAGAACTTCCTTCTGTTTATCATTGAAAAGCGTAGATGTCACTTACCGATGGATAAATCGTGGTCCCTGCAATCGAAGGGTAAGCCACACATTTCGCCTTCAAGAATTGAAAGGCGCAACTCACAAGTCATTGCCCCAACCGGGGGCTTCGACTCGAAGCCTATACTGCGTCTGCCATGGAGGGAGCTCCTATCGGTTATCCGTCAATCACTGAAGCTTCGTCGCAAGGTCAACACTTACCATCTGAGGGCCAAGTTTGCGCGAGCGGTGGGATCTGAAAAGGACTAATCCTGTTACGCCAGAAGATTGGTGTGTCCCCCAAAAAAGAGGAGAACTACGGAATGGATCCCTCTCCATGTTCACCTTCTCACAGTCGACTCCATTCAGAAGCCACTCACTCTGATGGACAAAAATCGTCAACAGTTTGATGATTGCCGCAAGGCACGGAGTCAGTGCAAAAACGTGGCTTTATTGCCCAAATTGGTCCTAGTCCAACATGAGGTCGATCGGAAGGGTCAGATGACATAAATGGGGTTAGCCTGCAGGCGCCAGTGGCACGGGTACATTCCAGACAGCGCGAACACTGGATGCTCCATAAGTAACGTAACGCATTCAATCAGAGGTTTAATCTACTCTTGGAAATGATGGTTGTCTTTGCACCAGCGGAGTAGGTGCATATATCGTCGCCGTCCTCCACAATTATGTACCCCGCGCAGCCCTTATCCCCTGAGCTACCCAATCGCCAACGCAGTGGTGGTAGAAACGTCACTGCGGTATGTCTATAGAAGGCTACACACAAGACATCCTCCTGCGTAAGATGGCGAATCTTGGCGCTGACGTCGTCACAGGCATTGATAAAGTAGTATCCTCGGTCTCTGTATTTGTTAAGCGCCTTCTCCCTGCGCTCAAACATTGTCGGCTGACCGCTGACGGCCATTCCGGTGTTAACAATTCCTAAGAGTCCATGAGATTAGAAAGGAAATACATATAGTAAAACAGGTGGGAACTCACCTATTCGCGAACGTATCGTGTCCGGATAAAAGCAGCCTACTCCATCAGCCGTAATGACGTTCATTACGACTGTACTATGAAAGTATAGGATAGGTACGAAGGGCGAAGCAGAACAAGAGACGACAACATTGATCTTCTTCGCATTCTCGTTTCTGAACGTCAACACGCGGTCCAAGCCCCCATGGACGTATCTCCGGAACCCCAGGAAGTCTAAGCCCACTCCCTCTTGACCATCTTCACGCATTTCTCCATAGTCCTTCTCCTTCATCAGATGTTGCTTGTATCCTTGCTCCTGCAGGTGTTCGCAGAACGATTCGAGCCCCTCGCGTACTGTGTAAAAGTCAAGGTCATTGGGATGCCAGTCCAAATCACCTTGGACAACGGCAGTTCCAACTGAACCGGACAGAACAGTATTGGTGGCGCCCATAACTGACAGAGTAGACTTGATTTCAAGGCCCCACTCCCCAAGGTAAGCTTGAACTCGGCGAAACAGGTGATCGCGAGCCAGGTTCTCTCGGTCTTCAGACTGACACAAGAGATGCAGCTCCCTGAGGGAGAGGTAGCCAATGATCTCGTCCTGCAGCTCTGCTGACAGGCCGTCCCACAAGCACACTATTGCGGATATCAGCCTAACATATCGGTGAATTAACTGGGAGAATCATCGCGGAACGTACCAAAGTTGTAGTCGAAAACAATAGCGGGCATCTGTAGTCGGTGGCCAGTGGGATTTCAGTTGAGGGCTCTTGGATCTGGTCTATCCCACTCCCCCACCCCCACCCACCTTCTAAATAATAAACACGCTGCACTGGCCTTTTGGCCTCTGTGACGAGTTGCACACCCGGTTGCCTAATCCATCCACTTCCTTCTTCTTTTGGCTGCCCAAAAGGGGATAGATTTTCTTTGGACGGATATAGTCGGCCAGAAGGGGGTAAATCAAATCAGACAAGGATAGAAAATCAGGAGAGTGGCCTTATGCGACCACCGCTTTTCAATCGGAGAGATAAGGTCCAAGTGAAATCCATGCGATATATCAATAACAACGATTGCATTTCACACTCCTTTAATACTTTATCGAATCTCAGTGGCGGCCCCATTGACATGGACATTCAACTCGACATCCCCGAAGGCGCGTCCAGCATTGAGCGCTGGTTTGCAGGAATGACGGAGCCACTTCTTCTCGCCGTGATGGGGTCACTTCCTATCAGTGCTACCATCGCACTTGGAAGGACCTCAAAGCGGCTTGCCCGGGTTGTGCGGGTATACGAGAGCAGGATATGGTGCTTCTATCGTTTCCTTGATCCTTGGATGCTTAATCCGAAGATGCTCCTTGTGATAATGGAACTCGCGGCAGCAGTTTGCTCTGGCCTTCAGTCTCTACGCTTTCTTGATCGACTTGGTCCGGACCTATCGAAGCCATTGATGATCTATGTCCGGTTTGCGGGAGCAAAATCACTGGCGCGTCATCTCCTCGAGAACGGGTATTTCCTTGAAGGGACCAGTACCACAACAGATGGGTGGAAGAAGGCCCAACGACGCGTCAGCTGTGTTGGTGCAACGCTCGACCCATCCGCGGGAGGATTCCGTTGTCTCGACCAGCTTCATTTCATGAAGACCGGGCCCAACGGAGCTGTCACGATGGTCAATATTATAATCACCAACGGCGATCCGATTGACTACGTAGTCAACACGGCGGCATGCAGTATGTTGGAAGTTGCCTAGGATTCATCGACAGGACACTGATTGCATTCACAGCCTCCATGGTCAACATTGTTACGGCCAGACAGGCGATATCCGTCTTTCCTTATCCGACATTCGTCCTTAGAGAGGACTACCTTTTTGAAACCAAATCAAAAGCGACGATAGAAGCCACCGAGACCTTCCATCGTGAATATCCGATTCCCTTCAATCTACACTTCCGATTTCGCTCCCCCCCACCAAGATGTATTAGTAGTTGGACAAGAAACCCAAAGGATCGTTACTCATGGCTCCAGCCCACGATAGGTGAGCAGAACAACGCATCCACATCGTTGAAAAGGCTGACGGCAAGCAAATGGGCAGACGAAAACGAGTTCAACGAGCTCTTCAAGTCGTATCAGGAGCTTTACATATACAAACGACCTGCGTTGCACACTTATATTTACCGTTCCGAAGTCTTGTTTCACAGGGAAAGCCGATCGCGCTCACTTAGAGTAACTATGTATTACCCTGTAACATACCAGACGTGAGCCTGGAATCTTACCTTCGTTTTTTCTTTTTTTTTTTTTACTGTTCTAAACTTGGTCCGCCTCCTGGACAGTGATGTCCCTTTAAAAAGAATACCCTTCCCTCCTCGTATCAGCCCAATTTGTTAGGAAAAGCTGAAGTACGCTGAGCACACTATTCGACGTTGCATACTTACATTGGTCCGAATACCACCCCGGTGCCATGTACAGCGCTTCTTACTAAGACGGCGAACCAGTGTCATCACGTTTTATGCTAGTTGAAGGACAATGAGTTATTCATATCACAGGCATACACTGCGGTTATCTAATCTAATGAGATGCCGTTGGCAGACTCCGAGATGGGGGATAAAACCGTGAAATCCTCGAGCTGGACGGATCCTGACGGGCTGGATGCGTCTCCCTCCACCAGTGGGCTCGTGAGGGAATTAGGAGGCGTATTCACAGATCCTCGATTGTCCAGATCATAATGGGGACAAAAGGGGTTGGAGCAACTCGACCACAGCTTCCAATACACCACTACTTCCCAATCTTCCCACAACGGGAGTCGTGGTACCAAGTCGGGATCTTCCAGCTTACATGGGGGGTCGGGCGGTGGTGAAGGTGTTGGTGACGTGAAACCCCAGCGCTTGGTTGAGAAGGTATCATCGGGACTCGAGTCGTCCATATGGAGGGGGGTGTTCCAGTAAAATGTCAGTGCTCCAGGGTCTTGGAGGGTCTTTCGAGGATTCTTGGGGCAATATATACCACAAGGAGAGAACCAGGTGGCATTACTGCGAGATAGAATGCTGTGGGGGTTGTGTGAGATGAAGTCGGCGTCTTGGTAACGAGAGAATCCGGTGTTGGCAAGGACGTGAAAGGGGAAGAAGGAGTAGACGGTGGAGCTGGATATGGCGTTGAATTGGAGAGAGTTTCCGGAGCGGAAAAGGGTGGCAAAGACATTAAAATCTCGGCTCTCGATCACTCTGAAGGACGATACCTGCCTGGATGAGTCAGCAAAAGGAAAGGAAGCAGGGGCTAGAAACGCACATCTCTTGTGAACTGGGTGACCCTACCCGTACCGTCAGCGGTCCAGGAACGCGGTAGGTATGTCTTGCCCTTGCCATAACCCAGTTTCTGCAGTTCTCCATGGAGCTCGTCGACGTTTTCAGAGTCCACCATCAGATCGGCCTCTTGGACGAGCGTGGTTTGGTTTGTGAGCAGGAGGCGAGGAACGGCACCAACAACGAGAGCACGGGTCCGATGGAGGAATGCCAAAAAGGTGAGGAACTCATGGTCACGGAGGTGGCCTGATAAGAGGTGTTGAATCCTTTTCCTGACATGGACCTGAGTACAAACGCGAATTTGGGTGCAGAGTGACGAAAATAACGATAAGTGTTCGAAAGGAACAAATCGTGCGATGCGGTCAATGAGTTCAGGCACCTTGAGGGGTGATCGATATAGGAGAGGTTGTGTTGGTCGATGGAGAAGAGGACTACGAGCAACAGGCCAGGATTTCAGGATGGTGCGAATTTGACAGGGGATGGCGGCATATTGAGATCGGTGAGCGTAGTACAGCACTGTTCTGTGTGCAAGAGGTATGTGGGTGCAAATCAAGGGTCAGAGCGTGACACTCACGTTGCTGCGATGTACTCATAAAGCCGAATGTACGCCTCATCGATGTGTTCAACTCTGAAGTCGGCGTTATATTGGACAACCAAAACGTTCCCCTTAATTGTAACGCCGGAAAGCAACGATTCGAGATGTTCATTGTTACTAAGAGTGGTTTGACGCTTGAGAAGAAATCAGTAACTTGAACACCCAATTACTACCAAATGAGGCACTGACATAGTGGGAGAAGAAAACAGCATATCTTCTTGCAAGCGCTTGGCTGGATTCAGGTGGTGTACTGACAAGCGCTACAAAGGATCGAGGGTCGCTGGGACCACGGTGATGTATCTCGTCGTTGTCGACAAAAAGATCGGAGGCAACATCCAGCGGGCGAGATAGATGTTCATAACCAACATGTATAGGGACGTCAACGGCCAGAGGGGTGCCCCGAGTTGGGAAGAGGGTGCACCGCACGTTGGTTGTTGAATCATGTTTGGTAGCGATTGCCATCAGTTCTTGAGGGGACAGCGTGGAAAGCAATGCGTTGGACTTCGTCATTGCGATGGTACATACGTGAAAGTCGGTGCAGACACGAAACAGGGGAGAGGGAGAGCATTTAAACAAAACTGAGTTTTGTACCTGAGATGACGCACATTCATTGAAGATATAATACAACAGTGCAGCGACAGGAATATGAGCCGCCACGAATACAGAGGATGCAAGGGCATTTCTCTTGGCAACGTAATTTCCACGTGGCATGGGAGGTGTCGAGATAAAACAGGCAGCACCGGGAACATCCGAGATGCTAAAGCCATGTCCGTTAGTGGCGGCACGCGGCCCCAGTCTTCTCTCCGATCGCCAGAAAAGACAGCGGTCTACGAGAAATGATCCATTCCTAATCAGTAGTCTCTCGTCTCGGCTTTCTCATCCTCTCTCGATTGAGCGACTCCTCGTTATGGTCGGGAAAAAGGGGGATTCGCACGCTCTTATTAGCGTATCTCATTCGCCTTCCACATGGTGGCTCTCCGCCGCCACCAGCCTCCTGTAAACCACGCGTGCGGGAACCATCAGCGGTGCTTTGCCTTACTCTGAGTGGTCGACATCCAAGGCGTTGAGTGGTGACCTAAGCAAGCTTTCCGGGACTCTTGGAAATCGAACGGGGTCGTTCCAAGCCTTGCCCTTCGATACCCAAGTCCAGTCACGGCCACCCGTGTTATTGTCACCTGTGCCGGGCATGAAACGCGAAGAGAGTAAGAGATTGCAGCTGAAGCAAGGTCTGTTAATATTGGTCGCGACCTGTATCTGTAGACACCAGACATGGAGACATATGGATCATATATGCAAGCGGAATCTCGAGAAAAAAACATAGGCTGTAACGAAACGCATACGGGAGAAGGAACTAATTCGAGCTACCTTCGTCAACGAACTTGTACTCAATCACCGCCTCCGAAAGGACTTCGCCATTCGGTTTACTGTCCCAGTAATAGATTGTCTGCCTGATTGGACTTTCCATATCCGCGTCTGTAAAGGGTTACTAAAAGAATAGAAACGCGGAGTAGGGAACGTACCAGACAATGAAAGGAAAACTGGATTAAAACGATACTTGTTCCTGTGTTCGTGCTTTCTAGGCTTTTCAGTCTCCTTGCCCTTGCCCTTCTCGTCGCCCTTCCCGTTACTGTTGCTGTTGCTGTTGCTATTGTCATTGTCGTTGCCGTTGCCGTTGCTAATGCCGTTGCCCGTGCGCTTGGCTTTCACCACGAACTTCCAGTCTTTCTGGCAAATCGGATGTTCTTCCCGGACAAAACGCCCACCCGATGTATACTCCCACAGGCATGGAGTGTCCATGCTAAAGTGGAAGGGAGACGTGATGACGAAATACATGGAGTGAATTTCAGACTATAAGAAGCAGTCAGATAGGGTTCATTGAAAGTACGAGTCAGAGATTCACCTTGGGAAGGTTTCGGAATTCGCGGAAAACATGAACAACCTCATATGGAACCTCGACAACTTGAGGTACTTGCGGCTGGGTCAATGAGAACCGGAAAACTTGCACGCCGATGGCCTCAACGATATCCGTGTAACCCTCCGTGTTCCTAGCCACCAGTCCTGGTGGACCAGGGTTTGATGGTCCGGTGATCCTCTCTACCAGGTACCCCGTGGGTTCTTCGAGGAAACGAGTGACGAAGTGACTGAACTTGTCATTCTTCTCCAAAAAGGGGGATAACCCTCGGAAAGATGGTGTTTCGTACTCAGGCGGCGAGGGAGAAGGATTCGCTGGAAGAGCAGAAGCACAGGCCTTTGGTTTCGACCAATCTTCCGGTTCTTCCGTGATAAAGTGGGATGGGATCGAAAAGCGAAGTTGGTCGTAGCTAGGGGCGGTGCTAGGATACGGCGGGCCATTGCGGCTACCGGGGATGATCGTGGATGACGTAGATGGGACTGTGGAACGTATGCTATTCGGAAGTTGCGGAGTTACAAAGGTCGATTGTCGTGAAGAAGAGCGTCGTGGTGAGGTCCTTCGAGAGGAAAGGGGACTGGATAACAATGGTAGAGCTGACTGCTGTTCTCTGTGCTGAGGATAGGGGCCACTGTGACCCAATAGGGTCCTTGTTCTCGAAACTGTTCGGTCTGCTCCCATTGTCGACAAGTACCTATAGCTATATAGTGCTGGTTAGAGGACTGGGGGTAGATAGAAAATCTCAGTCATTCTCACCAGAAAATCAATGGAGAGATTTATGCAAGATAGGGTTGGAATTCACAAGTCATGCCTGACAGGTATATATACCAGAAACCTTCGAATCATTCAAGAATCAAAACCATGTTGGCGCGGAGTTGAAACAGAGTCTAACTACAATACGCCACCTGCTCATGAGCCGTGTTATCAGCGTTGGTTCAACGAGGCTACTGCATGTTTTCCATCATTAAGTTTTACCAAATCAATGGGAACCATTGTATATATTGAAGGTCTTTGGGGTTCATAGCTCGAAAGACCTCCAATATATACAATGGATCGAACAGAACTGCAATTTCCAATAGCCAAAGGAAGGCAGAAGGGACTCCATGTCCTCTCACAGGTACACAGTCCATGGATTACGGATTTGTGGAAATGCTCGGCTATATAGGGATTCCTCTTCGGGTGTCATCTGCGTTGACGAGGGAATCATCGGCAGTAATCTATCACCGAGTAAGGTTACAACCAACTGATAGTGCGGATCCTGGCTGCATATACACCTACTTCCAACACCGCTCGATGGATTCGGGATCCTCCTTGGCCACTGCGGCATGTCATGCCAGTTCAATCTATTTCGTATGTCTCCAGACGTACCGGCTGAACGGCACCAGGAGGTGTACATGCGTCACATTAAGCAAACGCAACAACAATATCTTACTTACAGTAGGGCTCAACCTGCAAGTCTGATAGGAAGCTCCACTCACGAAGTAGATCTTGAGTCATCAGGATGGCAGCGCTGTTGAGATAGTCTTCTCCCCGGGCTATTTCGAAAAATCATATACCTGTGTATTCTCTACCCTCCTCTACCTATGTAACTGTAACTGACGACCATAGAACGTTGCCCTTGCGACCGCGAAAGGAGATAATATCGCCCGCTACATTCAAGAAAACGCGCCCAAAAATCGCGCACATGACGAACGGATCCTCCCACGTGATTTGGTATATTCGGGAGTGTCCCTTTTTCAATTTGATCGAGGCTCGCGCTGTCCAAGATACCCACTGCACTGGCACATGCTCCAAGGCCTTTCAGCCCGGGAATTGATTTACTATAATAGGAACAAAGACAATCTAAGTCCCCGAGGGGTATACGCGTTCAGGCATCGAAGTTGAGCTGCATTGGGCATTGGGAATTTGGACAACCTTGGACAGCGCGATCCAATCGCCAGTGGATGGCAGTGCAACCCGTCCCCGTTTTGATACGTAATTCATTAGTTTTGTTCGAACTAAAGGTACCCAACCGACTGGTTGACAAGGATGGTCAATCGATCATCTATGGCGCAGTACTTTCCCGCCTGGTCATATTATGCAACCGTGGGCAGTGCGGTCAACTGGAATGAGAATGAGAATGAGATATGGCTGACCACATGAGGTTGAATTAGTACTATACTCGTCTTCGGTCTGGATCCCCTATCAAAAATGCCCACCCGTTTCGGTCAACAGATCCAATCAGATCCAATCTTGGGCATCGGTGACCTACGTCACTGGCTCAATTAAGCAGAACTCAAAATGACGAAACAAATCAGGAAATCACGGGAAACCACATTGGGCAGCGGGACTATCGAAGTTAGGTAATGGCCTTCCACGTGCCGAGCTTCATGAAGAACCCGCCTGCGAAGCCGATCTTTTCTTGGTTTCTTTGTTAGAGTGGACTCGTCCCTATTTGGGAACCAAACGGCTAAAGGACGTCGATCATGCAGGCTCAGAAAGTGCGTGGCCAGAGCGGTGCCTTGATTGTTCTAAACATTGCAGGGTCCACGTTTGGAAGACATAGGCCATACATACTAAAGTAACCATCTGCAGACGCATTTTTCGAAACAGTCGCAAAATCACCCACAAGCTTCCACGGAAAGGTAACAGCGACCACAACAAACGAGCAACCTACCTCTATGACAACATGTCAGTGTTAACAACACTTCCTTCATTATCATTTCCGCTCACCCCGTCGCGCTAGGTACGAAGTCGGCGATATTATCAAAAAGAAATGTGCGCCCCTCCCCCTTTTTTTCGAGTAACCGGGAACAGTGACCAATACATCTGCCTACCTGCTTACAGACTCTGTCACTGGCCTTTACTTCAAAGACGGTCCTTGCCAAGTCATACAGGTGCATGAGACTTCGAGGGCGGCGGCCACCGTCGCAATCGTCAAGGTTATCAGGCGAGCAAAGGTGCACCCAGACTATTTCCAAGAGGACCTTCGCACGCTAAGGCATGTACGTCGAATTGGACGCGAGGTGATGAGGCAAATTTCAACTTGCTGAGACTCCAGGACGACCAGGATCGTGGCCCTCCCTCGCAAGGTGCGGAACGTCGGGATGATATGAGTGAAGAACAGCTCAACGCGCGGGGGTGGGCGATCGAGTTGATAGGCGAGAAGCTGCATATGGAGCAGTAATCGAGAAGTTCATCGCGTGTGTACTGCTGAATCGATGAATCCACAGCCCTGAGGTTCAGGAGCCTCCCGCCGCAAGTATCTTCATATTGCATTAGCGCGCTATAACAGCTATTGTCAAGGAACAAAACAGGAGGTACATACAGAGATGAGGAAATTCAGTTCCAACCTCTCCAGTGAATGGATCTTGATGTCAGAGGTTACTGAGCTGGCTAACATCTTCGTCCTACAAGGCGTCTGAATTGCTGGATGGCGTTGGAGCAGTTTCTGGCAGAAACAACGGGGTAACATGCCTCGGAATCGAAGGGGGAGAAGCGGGAACGCGTTGACATAACCACTGAACGGTGTAGTGATCGATGGAATCTGGTAGCAACCAATGTGATAAACTGTATGCCAAGCTTGCGAGCAATGCGGCCAAATTGGCACGAAATCTAGGTGGTGGTGACCAGAGGAGTGAAAGAAAGAAAAATAGAACACAGTACAGTTCGGCCAGCCTAGGTGTAAGCTTTAAGCCCAATGGGTTTGACTGGATGTGCGAAAGAGATGTAGTTCCGTTTGTCAAGTGCGAGGGAAAACGGGCGGATATCGTGGCGGTCTCGCGACTCCGTGGGATGCTGGGATGCCTGGCACCTCCAAGGAAACAGTCAGGGAGTAAGAGATGGAGAAATAGTGGTGGGCGGCGAGAGGGCCAACGAAGGTTGATGTCGTTGTTTCGTAATTGGGAGTCCTACATGGATAATGCGCTTCAAGTTCGGATGGCCATGACTGGATAATTGCGTGTTGGATGGAACTTCAAGGCCTTTGGCGTCGTGTACGGCAGATGGGATGATTTGGAAAGAGAATGGCGGTATTTAAATATTTCAGTTTTGAATCAAAGACTGGGAAGATGACGCGACCCCGGAAGATGAAGGAATTTGGTTCGGAGCGCAGGTTCGGAGCAACTTCGACGGTCCAGCTGAGCTTGAAACGCCTTCCTAATAAGGTGTTGTTTGCTGCAACCAAGCAAATTCGAGGAGGAGGGGATTGGAACGAATCGATGTTGCTGAGCAAGTTGTGGTGAATTGTTGTTGCAGACGGTGGAGGCCTAACCGAAATGTCACATGATGCCCGAAATTGTTTGACTCGGAGTAATGTGAGTGTGCAAGCGGCGAATGAGGTGAACACTGATTTCGCATGGAAGTGAGGAGGTTGATTCTAACGGATGCAAGTGGATTAGTCCTTGTCTTGACACAGCAACGTTAGTTCTTCCACTTTCCATTCCTCCCGAGTCTGTTCCTCAAGCTCAGCCAGACGTGCGAGCTCCCGTCGCAGCTCGTCTGAAAGCCGTTGAAACAATGTACCCTCCGGAAAATGGCGAAGAATGAGCAGTCCAGATAATGACTTGACTCGGGATAGCATAACATAAACACCTTGACCTCGAGCAGTGTTGAGATCGACAATGCATTTGTCGAGTGAACGCCCTTGACTCTTGTAGTCAGTGTAGGAGTATGCAGGTATGATAGGAATTTGGTATCGCGTGAATCCCTTGGCACCGCCTAGCGATTGGGGGAAATCATACTTCACTCGATTAGGTGTCGGTACCATGGGTATTACACCCGTTCCCAGCTCTTCGCAAAGCTTTATCTTACTGCCATCAACTTTGACATAAACCACAGTTGCATGGCGGACACCTTCAGAAGAAGTCCTGTACCCGATGCCTACAACATGGCCCTCGGCACCATTGACAATACCTTGCTTCAATAACACGTTCTCAGTCACCATAACTCGAAGCCCAACAAATAGCGGCAATCTTCCAAGAGAATCCGACGTCTCTGTAGCGGGCAAGTCCCAGAGGCGATTCCGCCATAGTGCCGGAACCTCCTTTCTTGACATCATATCTCGCGAGTGGTAGATGTAAACATGCTCGCCCGCTCGCCGAGCATGGTACTCAATTAATCTTGCGTTCACAGAATCCCGAACCACCTTGATCCCGACCACTACTGGAGCTGACCAAAACAAGGGTACCTCTGCAGGTCTATTTTTGAGGACATTTGAAATCTGCCGTTGACGAAAATATTGCACATATCTCTGGTCAGACCAAACTTCTCCCTGTATAGGGGATCTCCAATGCTTGATACGAACATTTTCCAAAACCTTTCCAAAGACTGGATCCTGGATCTGCCGTTGATTTTTCTTCAGGCATACCACTGTCCGGAATTGCTTCCACAGGTAGGCTCCAGTCATAGAATTAATTCCCCAAGAGCTATCCACCTCCTGTTGCGACGGATTCAACATGGTATGAGAAAACAATGTTACTTGTCGCGGAGGCTTCAGCTGACAGAAGTCACCCAGGCAAATAACGTTGACGCCTCCAAAAGGGCTGTCTCGACTTGCAGGATCCTGACCCTTTCCCATTTTTATTCTCGCATTCAACTCTGCGAAAAAGCTGGCACCAACCATGGAAATTTCATCGATAATGAGCCATGAGACATCCCTCCACTTCTCTATGAGTTTATCCTTCGCGCTGTTATTTTTTCCGATCCCAGACAATATAAGCGAATGAAGGGTGTGTCCACCAATGAGCACTGCTGCAATTCCGGTGGGAGCTCCCACTAGCAGTTGTGAGCCACGGTTAAGGCGTTCGAATAACATGATGATGGATTTGATGACGTAGGACTTCCCCGTTCCGCCCATGCCGTTAATGAATAAAAAAAGCTGCTCACCACCGTCGATGAGATGTTTTGCAACTACCAGGAATGCGCGCAACTGCTCCGTGTTGTCACCAAGTTTCCTCTCTTCTATCAGGTCGACAGCAATTTTCCACCGGTCATCACTTTTTGACCGACCCATGGCTACTGACAGACGACAGTTCTGATGGTCAAGGGCCATTGATTCCAGACCTACATCAGGAGGCGCAAATTCCCTGGGTTCAGACCTCTTCTTCCCATTGACTGATGCTGTCGGGATTGGGCTGAACGCAGCTTGGACCGCCTTCTCCTGCGCCAAAGTGTTGACTAAGGCCTGAACCCGTTCCAGACTTTCTTCGTCTGCCAGCTGCACCTCGGGATTCTCTTTCGGATCAACATCCATGAAGTCGTCTTCTGGGTAGCACCTTTCAAAATCATCCACCACCTGAGAAGTCAGTTGCTCCTGGAGCCGTCGCTTTGCACCGTGAGCCTTTGAGCTGTTCCCATCAGGACTCGGAGCTGTTACCGTTCCATAGACACAAGCATTTGGGTTTGAAACGTATTCAGAGTCACCCAGTACATCCGCTAACAGCTCTTCATCAACAAGGGCGCCTCCGGAGGATTGGCCTTTGCGTTTAAACTTTGATCCGAACTCGCGGCTCTCACGCGACTTTGCTAAAGTGGCCATGTTTTCAATAACCTTCAGATGACGGGCCGAAAGCTTTGGCTGAAATGCTCGAAAATTATCGTACCACGACGCTTCTGGAGCAGGCTTTAGCTCCACTGGCTCTCGCCATGGTTTAAACAAAGTTAGCATATCACAAGCCCATCTCTCCTTTTCGGTTTCCCGATGTGCGAGGTTTGGCCCCAATAGGACGGGAACTAGACCTTCCCTTCTCAACCGCAAACCATGAGATTCATATTGAGGGTGTTCGACGGAAGAAAATTGTTTCACAGACAGGTTACGAACCTCCGGACGATCCCGATGCGATTCAGGGTCAACTACGTTTGATTGCCCTGGCTGCTCGGCGGTGCGTTTCTTGGAAGGTGTCCTCAACTGTTCCTTCTCGGTGAAAGCCAGAAAATCATAGAGACAAAGGATTTCAAATTCCTCTTCCACTGGTCGATGGATGTAGTCCAACCGCTGGCTGGAAACTGAAATCTCTCCTTCAGGTTTCAATGTCAAAACGACGGAGAGGTTCTCATCCGAGCCAGAGCCAGTCTGATCTGTCGACAACCGTACAAAGCGCACCATTTCACCCCAATTAAACGACCTGAACACCTCACTAGTATAATGATCACCACTACCCAGAATGTAACTCATGATCTGCGGTTGCGAAAGTTCCTGCCGCCCTGTCATACAATTCACTGCGGTCGTCACGGCTGATATAGCACTTGGCTTCGAGTTTCCATCGGTAGCGCTCTGTTCAACTGCCTTACGCTTCTCATCCACTCTTTGAATTGCATACGACAAAGCCGAAAGACCAACATGCATTGTCATCGGTGCTTTCGTGATGTAATCTGTCACATAGTACATGCAACTTGAGGCGTCTTCTCCAGACAAGATGTAACGGATATCCATATTTCCCTTGAACAAAAACATAACCAAGGCAGTGAAATACGCCATCCTCCCATGCTCTCTTTTGACATTAATCAAGCCGGTCTCCGTATCAATTATTGTCTTAGCTCGCATCTCGCCATCCATGCCTAGCCGGCAGTTCGCATCCGTGTGTGGCTCTCCCCGTTTCAAATATTTCCAACAAGTAGGTGTGTGGACATGAATATTGTACTCAACCAGTAGTCGATTGAGGTACCCTGGGTACTCTTCCCAAAATTCCTTCCTTTGCAGGGTAGAAAATACGGGACCAAGCACAGTTCCGGGATGTGGCAAGCCAGCATTCCCAACGAGCTCGCGTTCGGATTGCCGAGTTAAATTAGCAACATTGGACCGGGGCTCGTACCCTGCATAATTAGACTGCATGACAAATTCCAGCCATTCCGTCAAGCGATCACGGTATTCTTGCGAGGAAGCCATGCGGTGTCTAAGTTCTTCAGGAGAGGGATGCCCTGCTAACCATACCAGAAAGTGAATGTGCAGTGTTCCTCGTCCCTGTGCCTCTACCACCCCAAAATACGCTTCGCACTTGCCGTAAAGACCCTGCTCCTGACCATACCCGAGGATGATCCAAATGAAAGCACGGACTATCACATCAAAGAATCTTGCGCAAGCAGCCGGATGCTCGTTCGCAAATTTAGTCCTCTTATTCTTATCCGGCATATGTGATCCATTCAGAAGGTCCTCCACGCTGTAGGGGCTCCCTGCCAAAACATGCACCAAGAAGTTATCCCTGTCCGAAGGAGTCAGTGTCAAGAATAGCGTTGGAGCGCCCCTGTTGTTGATTATACCCCGAATCTGGTTTCTCAGAGCCAGCTTTTGAGCAGCACTACCTAGCACGTTTCTGGATAGCAATCCAAGGCTCTGAAGAGTGCGAAGAACTTTCTTCTCGGACTGGGAAGTCGGGAAGTATTTTGGGTCGTTTTTATACTTCTCAGAAAGCTTCAACAAGACCTCTCGGTCTGTGTTCAAGATTTCCTCAGTGATCTTGGATCTTTTGCTCTCGGGCACATTGAATCTGATTGTCTCCGATACGGCCTTCTTCTGCAGAACATTGTAAAAAACCAGTGCAAATTCAAGGTCACTTTGAATGACGGGATCGTCCATCAACATCATGTGTCTCAGCTGTTCTTGCATGCTGATCTTTCGAGTCCTTTCTGGATGATGGAATCCCCCAATGCCCCAAGGGTCGATGTAGGGGTGAGTCCAGGATAAGATGAAAGGATTGTCGAAATCGGGGATCGGTAGTTGACCTTTCCGAATACCAATGTACCCTTTCCCCGACAAACACCGCGCGACCGCGCGATCCCTCATATCTTGAAGCGCAACAGGACTGTCATCAGATAGTGTGAACCCGACATTCTCCATCAGGATACACCCCGGATCATCATCATTATCCCCCGCCCCAACGTACCCCGCTGTTGCTTTGGCCATAGTAGCGTTGTTTCCCATATGTGCAATTTCCACGGACTCAGGGAAGCCCTCCTGGCCTTCCATTAGCCCATTAAGATATTCAGCGCTGAACCCTTTAAATCCTCCGACTGCCTTGTAATGAGGGTTCCATTCAAGTAAGAATTCAATCATTGTCTTCACCCGAGATTTACGCGCCAAGATTGGTTGGTACTTCTTTACCGTCTCTGGACTCGGCTTTTGATTGTAGCCAGTAACTAATACGCAAAATGTATCGCGAATAGTCTCAGGCGGTGGTGGAAGGAAGGAATTCAGCTTGGGGATGTTCAATGGTGCCATGATAACATTGCCCCTCATTCCTTTCGCTCCTTGCCTGTACGTGTTCTCGCCATCAATATGCTCATCCCTGACCGCGTCAAATCTGACACAAATGGTGTTCGTTCGGACGCGGGAAATAAGCGTTTTCTCGAAAAGTGTAGCTTCGTCGAACGCTCTTTTGACGGCAATGGGAAGAGATTCCCGACCATAATACAACCAATTGCATAACGCGAATTTTGGCATCCGGTCAGTGTTCAGATCCTTCATGCATGCCAGACAAATCCGCATGGGACCACGTTGCTGTGGTAGTAAAAGCCCATTCGGGTGAAGAAGTGCCTCTTTGTAGGCCACGAAATTATACGTCCGTGGAAGGACATGCTTTGGAAGTTTATCGTTGCGCAGAAGCTCCAGGTTGATCTGCCTAGGGTCAACAACGGAAACATCATCCTTGAACGTCCTTTTGGCGCAAACTGCACAAGTAACCTGGGTGAGGTTCTCAACGCTCATTTCCATCTGCCATTTGCGAATTATCTCTTCCTGATCAGATTTCGATGGGACACGTAAGTGATCCGTGTTCGAATCATCACCCTCTTCTAATGCTTCAGCCCGCGAAGATGCCGCTATCTGTGGGTTGGCTGATGGCGGTTTCGGGTTGGCCGGCAACGCAGAATGACGGACCCCTCCTGATGGTTCCTCTGGATGTTGAACATCTAAGTCTGCTATCTGAGAAACGAAACGTTCCTCAATTCTTCTGCGGGGGTTTACAACACACTTGAATGCATAGAATGTAGCCTCGCACGATGAATTGCACTTGTGTGCTATCAGCGACGTTCTAAGAATCGGAACTGTAACATTAAACGCTCTGACACCATGAAAGGCGGCTATGCTCTTCAATGACGGCCCATTAATAAACCGATGGAACTCCAACAAACGCGAAAGGGCCATATTTGTCACGACGAAACTGGCATCCAGTAACTGATGCTGCAGTTGAAGCAAATCATTGGTAACCATTTGGAGTTTGTAGTACTCATTGAAGTGACGGATCGTCATTGTCTCCTCCGTAAAGCCCCCGTTAACGCTCCTGAACCTTCGATACGTAAATCCTGAACGGTGCCAAGGTATTTAAGCATACGAGGATGACCAAGGAATAGAGCACCTAAACTAACCTTCATTTAGGGATCTGGCGCTGTAGAAGTGAATGGTACGATGAGGAGGCATCGAAGAAGGGATGAGGTCGCGGATTACAACATCGTTGTTGGATTTTATCAACAGACTGACAACAATGACAAACAGAGAATAACGTGACCTCTCGGCAACGCATCGGAAGAAACCGAGATGAAACCCTAAGCCCTAGAACATCCATCATTCCGAGAGACTCGGACAAATTTCCAAAAGGAGCCATTTGACCTTGACCCCTTTAACCCTGTAGCACTACGTGCCCAGGAACACTTGTAAGGTTAGCTTATTTGGAGGCTATTGGCTTCCATTGGCCCTTGGGGGAAACCAACTCCGTTCCGTGCCTTCAAACTTGCAGCCCTGCTCCGATACCGGGTCTCAGTGGACGAAATAGCGAATGGCTTCAAGTGGACCTGGCCTGGGATTTCTCGGCCATTCGGGATTGGTTTTTGGAAAGAGACAGACGGCTAGCCGCCCGCACGAGATTCCCGATTCAAAACTCCATGGCGTCCGTGTGCGCTAGACACGATTTACGAATGCACTCGTGCGTTCAAGCGGAAATTTGAGCTGGAAAAATGAGAGGGAGAAAGGAGTTTGCCACTTGAGACCCTTGAATCATTTCGATTTCCGGACGGTGCGGTGTGGTTGAGGATCGCCTGGAAGAATTTAGCCGACCCGTGCATGTGCGAGGTGTAGCACGGCGATGAGGTTGGATGGATGGTCGCTGGTGTGGCTGCGTGGGGCGTCCATCGAATAGGGGCTCGAGGCATGGAGGCTTTGCTTGTCCTTGGGCCTGGTAGCCAGGTACCGCAAGCAACCAAGGTTTCCCAGAACGATCTTCAAAAATTAAAAGACTCAGAGCAAGAGGTTACCGGTCACTGTAAGTACCTTCCACTTACAAGTTCCAAGGAACGAAAGGAAATTTAGATAAATTAACGCGAGAGTTGGGCCCAAGAACGAGGACCCCAAAGTAGACAAAGATGCTTTGGACTGATAGGCTGAACCATTCGGCCATTCCTTTCACCACCTTCGATCACTACTATGTATGGAGTCCACCCACGTTATTTGCACGTTTCAGCGACGAAAATAACAAGCCCAAACGTTGCTGAAGTGACGGGGTCGGAGGCAAATGAACTGCAGGGTGGATGATAGATCGGGGAAGTTTGTGAACCCGGAAGGGGAGAGACCAGGAGGCGTCGAAAGACACAGATGGTGACGCGAGTGAGTGAAAGGACAACACGTTTAGGAGCTTTCTTCTGGCATATTATTGGGCCGTCGGGTGGTCGAATTGGTTGCCAACATTCGATTGGTCGGAGTCCGTTGGCGATCCCTGTTCATTCAGTGGTCTGTGAATTGTGAATTTGCGAAATATCAGGGTTGCCATGCATGGAGACGGACGGTCCTATCCATCGTAGTACAGACGACCGAGAGAAGTCGGTGACGAGGAGCAACGCGCCACTGAAACGCAAGGGGTACATATTGACCCTGTACCGGCAAGCGTGACCAGACCGTATGACGACACAAGTCGATCTATTGAATATGTCTTGGGGGGCGATTGGTTGGGCCCACTCGGTCGGTATTCCACAACGCAGCCCCTATATCCATGAGATCGAGACTACACCCCGCACATCCTCGAGTAAATGTCGGTGCCCGGCACCCGCACATCGCATTTGTCGTGTTTTTTTTTTTCTTTTTTTTTTTTTTTTCCTCGAGCGAAGACCGCGAGGAGCCGGGGCGGAAAAAGAGAAGCGAATCGAACCTCGCCAACTTGTGGACGCAAATCCGTTTCCAGTTGAGCCTTGAAGCTTCATGAAGGCCGATTGTAGGTCTTCCCGATTCAATAGGGGCTAACCAGCCCAACAAGGAATCCTCTAGGTGTCGTTATGGGAAAATTCCATGGAAATTCGAGACTAACCGACGGTTGTATTAAACCGAGATTGAGATTCGTATTGAGCTGAATCTCGCGGGAACGAGAACGCTGGGGGGTGGAAGAGGAAGAATTTCCAGAAACAGGCCGTCCGCATATGCCATCACGCGAATGAGGTTCGAGCTTCGAAGGCTTCGTATGCGCCGCTGCCAGAACAACGTTCACAACGAGAAGCAGGCTCTCGCGGTTCCGTCGCCGCCTGGAGACATATCGGATCGGAGCCCTAACGCTTCGAATTGTGGATTAGCCACGAGTGGGGAGTTGGAGGAAAGGTCGCGCAGCTTGTGGGCACCGAACGAGCGCAGAAATGTCAGGCGATACTAGCCTCGTGTTCGCGTGAACGCATGCCATTACAGACTAGAGCTTTTTTAGGCGAGTGCAGGCCCCTTCCTCGTCGGACCGACATTCGAACTTGGGATAGTAGCCTGCAGGAATAATTACCGTGACGTTCATGACGATTCATTAAACATGTACGAACAAACCGGAGTGTGAGGGTCCTTATGTTCTGTATAGAACGTCTTTAGAAGCACGTTGTCGGACAAGGAACAAACGAGTCTTAACTGCAATGCCCCATTTGTTTTGATTCATTTTCCCGTGCTCTCAGGATTTGTTGCGTTAAAAAAGTTCTATAAGGTCCTTGGATAAACGACGGAGTGAAGCTGGAAAGAAGGTGACGGAACAAGTTGATTTGAGCGTCTCGCACCATCGGTCACGGAGAAGCGCATGTCTCCTTCACCACGGTCGTTGCTGGGCCGAGTCTAACCTATAGGCCAGGGTCCATTGAATGACACCAGAGGCAGAAGCGAGCTAGGAGAGGCTCACCAGCATTGGGCTTGAATCCCGGTCAGAGCGAAAAGTTGGAACATGGAAGCCGAAATGAAGTCAGCCTCCAGAAGCAACTACCCAGCGCTGTTCTTCAAGCAGGAACCAGCGCAATTGTAGACCCCCGACTCCCTTACAGAAGCTTACGCTCTCAGTTACGCCACCCTTGCCATAACAAGCGACCTTGGTATGTGCAGGGCCATTGGGGTCTGTTGGGAAAGTATGGGCTCTACAAACGCCGACGCTGATGCTTCGATTCGACCCAAACATGGGTGATTCAAAGGACATTGGGTCGTCACCCCATGATTTTGAGTCTTTCTGAAAAAGGTATAATGACTTCATGAAATAAGAAGCCTTCTTTCTTCTCTTTCCTTGAGGGTTGGAAGTGTGTTTGCATTGATTCGGCGGGTTCGGGGGGCGCGAGGGCGGCTAGTGACCACGAAATTTATGGAATGGAGAAATCGATTGCTAGAATAGAGAGCAAAGGAGCATCCCTAGAGAAACAAGAAGCGTTATCGTTTATACAACCAGGACCCCAGGTGTATGTCACCCTCCTCCGTAATAACCTGTTTTTTCTGAAACCCTGCATGCAATCGAGGCATAGTTTATGCTCTAAAACGGATTTGTCGACCGAGGCTCGACCGAATTCTCCGAGTCGCTGGTGTGTCAAGAAGAAACAGGGCGGAAAAAGCTCTTGGATTGAAGGGCACGTAAAGAGGGCGGGATACGAGGGGATACGGGAGAAAGGGTCCACTCACACACGTCTAACTTCTCCATTGGGCATTCATGCACCCGTTGCCGGAATGTCGCTCCACGAGAATTCAGGAGAAGCGTGTCCCAGGAATTCGGTGCGGTAGTTCAAATATACCCGGCTTCTGAATGCATACTAGTGCATATAGCGGAAGCCTCGAAGGTACACGGAAGTTGAGTGCAACGAGTCTAGCCCTTTCGCGTCGTGACTGACCACCAGACGGGGTTTGTTGAAGAGAGTTTAGAGTGTTCTGGATGTCGAGGATAGGCTTTCGAGATGGTGTAAACCACGGTAGCATAGGCCCGAAACATCTCTTCACTGAGGCGTCTGTGCAATGGGTTCCAGGGTGTCCGTGGCCGCTCCAAGTGCGATGAACGAGATCTGTTCCCGCGAGAATGTAGACCTCTTTTCGAAACAAAAAGTACTGAGAGCTTGGAGCCATTGGGGTTTAGGGGGCCAACCATCGTAGACAGGTCCAGTAGTACTACTACTTCCCGATGAATGACGAGTTAGCTAGGTGTGCATCCGCAGAGGGAAACTATACTACGCACCACGAGGGCTCCAGCTGGAGCAGCGTAATGTGCTGCGTCCTCAACGGCGTGGAAGCTGAAAGTTCGTCCAGCATCATGCTGGCATCCTGCTAAACAACCACGTACAATGTCGCCGCAACACGCCCCACTGCGGGACCTATTCCCTCGATGGGCGCTAAAAGCTGCCATCCCTGAGCAGGTTCCATCGAGTTACCGCCGCAGTTGTGACAAAGCGCTTGAGACCAAAGTGTAGGATATAGACATCGTCGACCACGAAGTGCATTCACTAGAGGATGAAGCTCAGAGTGACAAACAAGCTCAGAGATGAGAAAAGGAATCGCACAGGAAGTAGAGCTGCACAAGGGACAGCCTGGAGAACCTGAGTTGGGAGAGTCGCTTCCAGAAGCGGAGCAGGCACAGGTTAAACGGTAATGCCAGAATTAGACTCTAGCAGCATGAAAGAAGGGTGAGACGAGAAGGCTTATTTGGATGAGCTTTCTAGGTATACTCCGCACCGATCCCTTTGCACTTCTCCTGCCTTGAAAACCTGAAACACAGGAAGCGTCATTTGGCGGGGGAAGCAGCGAAGGGAAGCAAGCAAAGCTTCGCTCGGTGAAAGAGTGGGTTTGAGATATGGAGGGAATGTCACTCTTACACAACTGGTGAGAAGCTGGGTTGTCGTTAACTGCGCCGAGCTGAACGGGGAACGAGATCTCAGTTCCAGTACTTTCTGAGATGGGTGACGTGTGCTGAGGAGTGTCCGTTGGGCGCTGGTGGAGGACGAGTCACCCGTGGCTATGAGTAACTGCAATTTGACTCCGAGTGCGTATATTAACAGCACGAGCGCTTGTCTGAAACAGCGTCAGATCCCAAGGCTAGGGTAGCGCGCGGGGAAGCTTAGGAAACGCCAACGTCTTCATATTAGGGTGGTGTCAATGGGAGCTCTAGTGGTGTACACCATGCACCGGTTGCCGGTGAGTTTGAATGCGCGCTCGATGCTGTCACGGATCGACTCAATTTCCAGATGCGGTGGCTCGAGGATCGAAGCCATAAGAGAGGCTAGGGCTGGACTGGCTTCGAAGGCGTCTGCCAAAGACTACGTGGAAGAAGACCAGAGGAAGGGAAAAGTTTCACGATAGCCTTCGGTGAAGAGCGCGATTATCAGAGGACAGCATCCGGGTCTTTCGTGCCCAGCGGTGCGAGAAGTGTATGTGGACATGGACAGCACATCTCCCGTGCTGCCCAATGCTGGCAATCGTCGTCCAGGCCAAGTGGGGGCATTGTGCCCGTACCAATGGAACCCTTTCAGTGCGTACTGCCCCAATTTTCCTCCGCATAATCACCATTCGTCGGGTAAAAATGGACAGCCAGGGTTGGCCCACGACAGAAAGACACACTATTATTGCCCACTATGCTGAGACACATTGTGTTAAGTAGCTGCCGGTAGAAACAAGCTTATGTGTAGTGACTCCCGGCTGTCGGAATTCCGGAGTCGGCCTGGACGGGGTAGACTGTATTCGACGACCGGTACTTCGAAACTCGACGTTAAGCATTGAAAAAAAAAAAAAAGGGGGATGGAGTGTGGAAGTGTCGAGCAGGTGTCGGAGGTCGACTGACAGCGGGAATGAAGGAGAGCGGCATGGAAGAGCCGGCTTGGTCTCCTGGACATGTGGGGGAGTTGTCAAATGACCCCGCACTACTGGTGGCCCGCACATTTGGGCTCGCGATGCATTGGTTGTATGGATGGTGGTGCCGAAGAGGGGCACCAAGCTGGCAAGCTCTGGCGCCAATTCCAGGCTCCAGGAAATCGTGTGGAATGACGAGGTCGTGCTCGGGTAAACGATCCACTGACATGGGTGCAGTTCAAATCCTCCGATTTCAGCGGCGCCGACTACTACAGGCCGAACTGCAGTATGAAATGGGTTCAAGGCGCGGTCCCACGCTCTAGTTCGGCCAGCTTGTCGGCAAAGGGGTCCTTCGCTGGTGGAGAGGAACGTTCGCTCTGCTTTGACCAACGGCGGCTAGGCAAGAAGCGTGAAAGGTAGGACAAGCCGTTGGCTGCCAGTCGGGTGCCGATCCATTGTGCCAATGATACGCCTGGAACCAAACCCATGACGTCCTTGACATCCCAGATATCTCGATGGTGGGTAATGAGACCTTGCTCGTTAAAAGTGAGGCGGGTGATGATACGGAGTTGACTGTGCAATGGCGAAGGTACTGAGATGGACGTTCCAGGTATAGGAACAGATGGTATCACAAACGGTTGCGTTGGCGTCGGCATGATTGGGGTTTGAGGGACGCTGACTAGGTCCGAGGAGGGGATCATATGGGAAGTTGGGCCCTCACAATGGATGCCAGGCAAAAGTAGGATATGCAAGGTATGCTCCACGATGACCTTCCTGTGTCCATCTATGTCCAAAATCAGCTCTAAAGGAGGCGCGATGTACTTGACAATCACGAACCAAAACTCTCGTTCTCTGAGATATCACAGACGTCCGTCCAAGCTCGAATCGCGTGAAAAAGAGGGTTATCCAGCATGTGTTCTATTGACTTCAGTCGAAACAGAGTGCAGATGACGGCTAACGGTCTTGGTACGTCGATGGTGCTCATCCTTCTGGACAGCCGGTGGATGTCTCCAATCACTGACCGAGAACTTGCGGTTATGAAAGGGTTTTCGTAGCTTGATTCAAGTTCAGAAATTGATTGACAAATATCAAAGATATCACTCACACTGCAAACAACTTTAATTCAATAAAAACTAAGAAGGATACAGCACAACTCACCAGCATTCTGATCATAGAATCTGTCCACAAAGTCGTCTGCAGGTGTCGCATCTCCATAAACCGAGTAGCAAACGTCTAGAGCCGTCGCCCTGTTCGTCGAGGTCAACGAGAACTCAGATTCGCTCTGCCTTGCTGAATTTCGTGCAGCAAACGGGACTGATAAAGCTGGAGGACGCAAGGCTGGCATCGAGGTTCGTGGTCAAAAGCCATCGTTGGTCGTTGGTGACGCCGCCAAGCCAAGAACCACGTGCCCCATCATCAGCTTCCCAAACTCGCAAAACTTTTGATCTCAAAGTTATATCTTCTCATCGTTGCCTCAGATGGCCAAGGGCTCACAACTACTGCAGCTCAAGACTGCCCTATCGCAGGCAGGCGTTATTGGAAACAAACAGTCGGGCAAGAAACGGAAACGGACAGCAGTACCGGTCGAGAAGGAGAAGTTAAAGACTGCCGCAAAACTCGAGGAAATCCATCGGCGCCTCAACCCATTCGATGAGAAGGTTACGAGGCTCAAGCACGATGTCGGGGGCAGGAGGTTAAAGGGTGTAACTGGAAAGCCTGCCAAAGCCAAACAGGCTGGGTTGGAACAGGTAAGTTTGGCCTTGTACCTCCTGGGCCGGCTAATGAATTGGATTTTGTTACATTGACAGAGAAAAAAATCGCTACTTAAAGAATGGGAGGAGAAAGGCAGGGCCGGTGGGATCGTTGACCGTCGATTTGGTGAAAATGATCCGACTATGAGCCTTGAAGAACGCATGTTGGAGCGATTCACTCGGGAACGACAACGCGCTTCGACTAGTGCAGCTTTCAATCTCGAGGACGAGGATGAGCTCACGCACTATGGACAGAGTTTGTCGAAACTGGACGACTTTGACGATGTCGGTCTTAGATCAGACAGTGACGAGGAAAACGAGGTCACAGGTGCGTTGTTTGCTAGTTCCGCCTTGCCTTCGACTTACCGTATTTCCTTAGGCCAAATCGACCGTGAAGTCGTTAGCAAAACGCACTTCGGTGGCTTCGATGAAGAGGGGGAAGAAGGGTCGGACGATGAGGGTGTACGTCTGAACGCATCTGGGTATCTTGAAGTCTTGCTAACGTTTCCAATTAGCCGGCTCGTAAGAAATCAAAAGCAGAGGTTATGGCTGAAGTCATGGCCAAAAGCAAGGAGCACAAAGTACGCCCGTTCCTCGCCTCAATGGGTTCCTCTCTCACCAGTCATGCAGCTTCGTCGCCAAATGGAAAAAGAAGAGGAAGAGAATATCCGATTCGAATTGGACAACCAGTTCTCGGACTTGCGAGAACTTCTCTTCGCAGCCAAACCCACTCCTGCACCTCCTACGACCTCTGAAAATGCCGAAGAACCCCCCAAAGATCCAGATGCTGCAATTCTTGCACTGGCCCCAGAGACCCAAGATCACGCATACGATCAGCGAGTCAGGGAACTTGCGTTCGACAAGCGAGCTAAGCCCAAGGACCGCACGAAGACAGAAGAGGAGTTGGCACTGGAGGCGAAGGAGGCTTTGGAGAAAGCTGAACGCCGGAGACAGAGGCGAATGCAGGGGTTGCCAGAGAGTGACAGTGAGGATGAGGGTAAAGGCAAGGGCAAGAGGAAACGAGGTGGAGATGACCTCGATGATGACTTTATCGAAGATGATGAATGGGAGGGCTTGGGAAGTGGGCTGAAGGAAGCTGCTGCTGCGAGTGATGAAGAGAGTTTCGAGTTCGGTTCGGGTTCTGAAGAGGACGGTGACGATGATGAAGCCGACGGTGAAGAGGGTTCTGGAGAAGAGGAGGACGAAGATGAGGACAGTGAGGGCGAAGAAGATGCTGGTGAAGAGGGCGAACATGAAGAGCTCGTCACCTCGGTCAAAAAGAGTAAAGGGAAAGGGAAAGCAAAGTCGACGGGAGATGAGATCCCGTACACTTTCCCTTGTCCTGAACACCATGACGAATTCTTGGAGATCATGGAGACGATTGACGACAAACATATCTCAACTGTCGTGCAGCGTATCCGTGCCCTCTATCATACGAGTCTGTCGCCGGACAACAAATCCAAGCTACAGGTGCGATACTCCTACGGAACCCCTCGTTCGCATTTTGACCCTTCCTTCAGACCTTCGGATGTGTCCTCATCGATCACATTCTATACTCTGCCTCTATCTCTCCACCCCGACTTGGCGTTATTTCCGCGATTTACCCTCATCTCACTGCCATCACAAAAGCCTACCCTATCCCCATTGCCCGCTACTTCAACGAGAAATTGGCCTTGATGCACAAAAACCTCAAGCGAGGTCTTGCTCAAGGAGCGCATAACCCTGAATCACGAACATGGCCTGGCCTGGGCGAACTTGCAATCCTTCGGGTCATTGGGCAACTCTGGCCTACCAGTGATTTGCATCATGCAGTTGTTTCACCGACCCGAGTCCTCATGGGTGCATACCTGGGCCTCTGCCGAGTGCGGACATTATCTGACATTGCCAGCGGTCTGTTCCTGTGCACTCTCTGGTTGCAATACGAGGCGTTGTCCAAACGTCTGGTACCAGAAGCTGTCACTTTCCTTGTCAACGCCCTTCTACACCTCGCTCCCCATCGTTTCGAGAGCATAGCTGCGCTGCCTGGAACTTTCCCATCTCCCGACTTCCTGACTCGGACTACCTCGGGGCTGACCCTCAAAAAGTCGAAGAATCCGCCGACACCTCAACTCCCGAATTTGCAAACCCTTTTGTCGACAAAGGATAGTTCGGATGAGCAGGCGAAGATCGATCTTATTTCCATGGCCCTCGATCTCCTGACTCGCTATGCCAACATGTACAAGAGTTTAGAAGCGTTCATCGAGCTGTTCGAGCCTGTCCAGACCGTCCTGGAGGGCCTTGAACGTAAACGTCTTCATGAAGCTCACAGGGTAGGTGCTTCCATTATCCCCTTTGAACAAGTTTGGCTTACCCTGCGCTAGACACAACTGGCCAAACTTACGGATATGATGACTCGTCTTCTCAAGTTTGCTCATGAAGGAAGACAGCCCCTGCGCCTGCAAGCCCACAAACCTATCCCCATCGCGACCTACGTGCCCAAATTCGACTCGACAACCTCCAATTATCTTCGTCAACGTGATCCTGATCACGAGAAGAACGAGGCTGCGAAGCTGCGCAATCAATACAAGCAGGAGAGGAAGGGTGCTATTCGTGAGCTGAGGAAGGACGCTCGTTTCCTTGCTGGTGTGGAACAGCAGAAGCAGATTGAGAAGGATAGGGCTTACAATGAGCGCATGAAGCGGGTGTTCAGCTCGATTGAGCCTGAGCGAGCGGAGCAAAAGGCGGCAGAAAAGGCTAAGGCCAGGGAGAAGAGGAGAGCAGGGAGAAAGTAGACTATATAATTCACTATTATTAGGTAGAGACCTATCTGTCTGTCCGAGTGTTATCTTGGACGCGCAAAATAAAGGAGGGCCGATCCCGCTGCCGGCTAAGATTCCCACGTGAACAGGCTTTGTGATGAGCTCGCACTGGCGGTCGGCTTTTGTACTTATCCCTCCACCATTCATTCCGCCGCCACTGTCTTTGCTTTTGCTTTCTTCTGTCCCCCTGCAACTAGACAATTTCAACTGTTAATACTGAAGCCATGACGGCTCAGACACCAGCTCAAAAGCCGTGCGTCCGCTATCAACCGGTCTGGCATATACAACCTGAAGCTCAATTTGCGTTGGAACAGATACCTCGGTGTCACACCGCCTATATCGACGGCAGAATCAAATGAAAGAGAAAAAGAGGTCACAGTGACGCTCATGGAGGAACTGAGGCGTCAGAATACCTTCGAGTCAGAGGAGGAAGCGAGGACCAGGTACGGATTTTATTTGGTTTAATTCCATTTACGTTTTTGTTGCGCTGGAGCGAGAACTCTTGGTCAACCTATCCCTATTTTTCCCGCTTTTTACAGAGAGATTGTGCTTGGACGTGTCGCTGCTCTAGTCAAGAAGTTTGTGTATAAGATTTCGATTGCTCGTGGGCTGTCGGAGAGTGCTGCCCAAGCAGCCGGTGGCAAGATCTTCACGTTTGGTTCGTATCGACTGGGAGTGCACGGGCCCGGCTCCGATATCGATACCTTGTGTGTGGTACCGAAGCATGTTACGAGAGAGGATTTCTTCGATACCTTTGAGCCGATGCTCAAAGAGATGGAGGGCGTGACCGAGGTTTCGGTATGTATGATCCTTCCTTCCCGTTGGGGTCATTGCTGAATTCTAGTTGAAAAAATGTTAGGGTGTACCAGAAGCATACGTTCCTATCATCAAAACCGAGATCGACGGCATCCCTCTTGACTTCCTCATGGCCCGTTTAAATCTGGCTTCAATACCCGACGACCTTTCCCTGCAAGACGACAACCTTTTGCGAAATTTGGATGAGCGATGTGTGAGAAGTTTAGGCGGTATGTTCCGAGCCTTTTTCCCGGCGAGAAGAGACATTTTAAACCTAGAAACCTAGGCTCCCGTCAAGTTAATGAAATTCTCAGACTTGTACCGAATGTGGACGTGTTTCGAGATGCTTTGCGGTGTATAAAGCTTTGGGCTCAACGTGCGTGGTTGAATGGCAATATGCTTGCGTTGGTTGCTGAACCGCGTATTCAGGGAGAGCGATTTATTCGAATGTTAATGGTTTTCTGGGTGGCGTCGCTTGGGCGTTGCTTGTCGCCCGAATATGTCAGTTATACCCAAATGCCCTCGCGGGTGCTATCGTCAGCAGGTTCTTCATCATCATGTACCAATGGTGTGTGTCGAGTCTTCCCTCGATGTGAGACGCCTTTTTCATTCGCGTCACTTCCAGGTCATGGCCCCAGCCCGTGCTCCTGAAACAGATTGAAGATGGCCCGCTCCAGGTCAGAGTGTGGAATCCAAAGGTGCGTGTTTGTCAGTGTGTCGAATAGAACCTTTCCCTCATGCCCGCTTGTTCAGTTATACCCCGCTGATCGAGCGCATCGAATGCCCATCATCACGCCCGCATATCCTTCCATGTGTTCGACTCACAACGTCACTGCATCGACCCAAATGATCATGACGGAGGAGTTTAAGCGAGGTGTGTTCGTCCTTCAAGACATACATGCTCACCTTGCTCAAAATGATCCAGGAGCGGACATCGTCGACAGAGTGATTGTTGGTACAGCACAGTGGTCGGAGTTGTTTGCGAAGCACGACTTTTTCCACAAGTATCGTTACTACCTTCAGATTATCGCCTCGACTGGGGACCCCGACTTGCAGAACAAGTGGTAGGTGGATATCGCTATTCAGTAGATTTCATTCTCATTGGTCGAATAGGTCAGGGACTGTTGAATCCAGGATACGACAACTGGTGATGAAGCTCGAATATGTGGAATCGCTGATTCTTGCACATCCCTTCATCAAAGGTTTCGATCAGGTTTCGTACTGCTTGAACGAAGATGAAGTCAAGGCAGTCGTCCAGGGTGAAATCTCTGAAGCCATTGCCAGCCGGAAGAAGGAAGACATTGAGGGCAAGGAAGGCTCTCAAACAGTGTACACCACCACCTTCTATATTGGTCTCGCCATCCAACCGAAGCCCGGTACGATTCCTTTCCTTTCTCCGTGTTCAACGCGTAGCCCTGTTTTAACTGTTTCTCAACTGGATCCATTAGCGGGTGCTGTTGGGCCTCGACGGTTAGACATATCATATCCTACACAAGACTTCTCGAAGCTAGTGAAGATGTGGGACAAGTATGATGAATCAAAGATGGGGATTATTGTCCGCCACATCAAGAGGTGAGCAGGGACCCGATTATGGAGATGAAATCACCTAACTTTTTCAGCTCTGCACTACCCGACAACGTCTTCGATCCTGGCGAGCGGCCTGCCAAGGTGACGCAGAAGAGAGTGAAGGTGAGTGACCTAGTTAGCATCGACGGTCGTTTGGCTGATGAATTCTTTCCAGGGGAAGTCGAGTAACATCTCTTCAGAGCAGCCCAATAAGCGACAACGGTTGGTGCAATAGCTTGACCGAGCGACAATGATCTTCAAAGCAGTGTATTCATGAAACCGCCTAGGTCCTCTACATCAGTTGCAGACACGATACGTCCCACTGAGAATGGAACCTCGACAGGCACGACACCTGTCGTTGAGACGCTTGTAAGGCCCTCTTTCAACGGCAACCCTCTACCTGCTGCGGGGACCGTGCAATCTTAATATAGCCATCAAAAACCTGGGTCTTCGAGTGTTGTCTCAACGAAACTCCACTGTAACACTGTTTGCACAAAGCCATGGTTATTTTCCTTTGACGTATGGTTTTATTTATCGACTTATTTCACAGGATTGACCGACTTCAGCGAGCCTTTGGGGATTGATCGAGTGCTTCGTCTGTTCACCAGGTTCGGATCTGTCATTCTACTCTTCTTTCTTCTTTTTTCTTTCAGGCTCGTCTATATCGTTTACAGTTACCGGCTGTATTTTGTGAACACATTTTTGCCATAACCACAAATCAGATGTACAATACACTAGAAGTATAGCTTAGGTTCAATTATATTTTGGTGCTCGTAGCGACGTCGACCTCGTTCGCCTGGTTGTTTAGATGCTGTTCTGGGCAGCATTAACGAGTGCGAGAAACTCTGCTCGCCTTGATACAACTATCAGTGAGTAGGTTTCATCCCTGCATACGTTTATCGATACTTATGAGACCTTGCTTAGTCCGTCCGATACACGAGTGACGTCTACGCGGCTATTGCAAATCGTTTGCGAAGGAACCGCAGTTTAAACGTTTACGGCCTGCTTGGTCGATGATGACAAAAACGGGGGATGGACGCCGTGTACAACAGTCACATCTGTATAGTACGAATGTTCCTGTCGTTCATTTTGATTTCAGTCGTCATGCACCCGAGGCGCCCATTGACTGACACAGCATTCAAGTTGGACTTAGGTTTTCTGTTCCTCTCTTACCAATATCAATGTCAACGGGGCATCCTCACTTTATGGTGAGCTCATCACCTCGACCAAGAACAGCCATCATTGACCATCCAGCCGTTCGCCGCTCCATGGCTTCCCTTGCCGCGGTGCTTGTTCTCTAGTGGACCGCTCAGGAGAAATTGATTCACCCCGTCGACGACTGTGGCCACTGTCCAACTTCAGGGATTTCACCAACCAAGCCTCCTTTCTTATTGAAATTCTCGTTTCATGTTTCATCAACGACATCGACAGCTGCGCTCCTTGCCTTAACAACCACAGCCCCTTCAAGTTCCCCTCAAACGTAACCGGCCAAGTGCTCGCCCCGCAGAATACCAAAAGGACTTCCGATCATGTCGCAGCAGCTTTCGCCGGGTAGGAAGGAGTTGTGAACTTCAAAGCTTCACGGAATTGAAGGTGTATAAGCCCGACCCGCCAGCCTCCCTCTCTCCCTCCCTCTCTCCCTTTCTCTCTCCCTCTCTTTCTCTAACAGAACTTCAACACTTTGCCGTGTTAGCCGGGCGACGATCGCGCAATAACGACGTTTGCACGGGCGCTTTGCAGGACGGTTGACGATGGATTTGGATTTGAGCGTCGAGAGCGTTGCGCGAACTAAATTTGTCTCGAATGTATGTACACAGTGGTTTGGACGATGGAACCCCGCTGACACACAGCGAACAGCTTGTTGAAAGTGAGCGAGTTAGTCCGTTTGGTTTTGCGGACTATATGCTAACCGATGGCTTTCAGCGTCATGTTTAGTGCTATGGGTGGGCGTTTCATCCTTCAAGTTTGCGTTACTTGGCAAGAATGCAACTAATCAATGATTAGATTGCCGACTACCTCGAAACTTTGCCACTCGAAGTGAGTCTCAAAACGGTGCCAAGAGCCATTCCCGATACTACTCTCGACCACGAAGATATCCGTCATGTGGACATCAAGTGCAAACAAGTTCAGTCTAGTGAAATCCTTATTCTATAGCCTACGATACCTACCGTTCGCATTCTTTGCGCTTGGCTTGGCCCGTGAGTTTTCTTCGTGGGTCTACTTACCGACCTGTTACGTTGAACTAGTACTGTGCTTGGATCAGTTGAAGATGAACTCGTCGACGAAAGGGTACGCGAATTTTCTACTGGCTATGGACGAACACCTGTGGAATTTGCAGCCTTCCTAGAGTTGCAGGCGACGATTGATTCTATTCTCCCGTGAGTGAAACCTTTTCATGATTGCACTGGAGACTTATTCCGCCGCTCTGGAACACAGTCCTAACGGTCGCCATTGTCGCTTTGGCCGAAGGTGAGTTTTCGACCCAAGCCTGGAACATTTAATCCACAAAGATTATAGCATTGCTATTCATCCGAGTGTATGCGATTGGTGGTCGTTCGAAAAACCTCAGATACTTTCTCGTTGTCTACTTTGTGGTATGTTCCACACTACGGCGAGTTTGACCCTCACTGTTCGTACCTGTACTAGGTCTCCATCGGCGTAGCATTTGCCCTCTTGATTTGGCATTCAACAAGCCTAACGTGTTAGTCCTTCTCCCATTTCCAATAGCACTGACCTTTAACTGTCCGCGTCAGTCAGCCAACCTATACCTGGACTTGAAGCCTATTCCTGCGGATTCATTCGAAGTGTCCAAGGAAATCTACTCTCAATAGCATGGGGCATTGTTGCTGCTAACGAGATCCGTAAGTGCCTCAAAGGGCCATTCTTGACAATTTGTTTCAATCGATATCATCTCACTAAACCATCGATTATTTGCCAGTTATGATGTCCATGACACTCCTGTTTGTGTTCAAGAAGCACAACAATTATCGAAATCGGATACTAGAGGTGTTCTATCGAAATGGAACATTGTATATAATGGCAATTGTCGGTGAGTACCTTCGTTCTATTGATAAAGGAGCCTCTCTCACTTCAATACTTTTCCCCTCAAGCCGTGTCGACAGGGAACATTCTGACGGCAGTGATTGCTCCAGTATGTCCTTTCCTGTCGTTTCCTCCGCTGGTGCTTATTCTTGCAACTCTCCCCAGAGATTCGTCTACCTTTTGACCAGGTGCAATTTGTCTAACAGAAGTATTAGAGTCTCGACTTACCATACACCGTCAGCTGGCAGGCAACCTTGCACGCCGTCTTCTCGACACGCATGGTTCTCCAAATCCGGGAAGCCGCTAATGGTACTACTTCGGCAGTTGATCAGGAAACTGCGCAGACACACATAGGAGCCCTGGAGTTCGTCCCTTTGTCTCCCTTGTCCCAGTCGGCCCATACCACTCGGAAGAGCATCTCCGGCTGATAAAAGCTATGCTTATTGCTCGATTGATAGAGAATTTTCATCGTTTCTTCCAAGCGGGCGATCGTACCAACTTGCTGAGTCACTTGTCATCCATCTCATCATCCAAGAGTCCAAGACTGCGCATGCGCAGCCTCCCACCACGTTTCTTGCTGGTACGTAACGGTGGCTGTCTCGTTGATCCAATATCTCTGGACTCTCTGGTCCTATAGAGTACTCGACTTGGCCTCCACTACCAGAATGACTGCAAGTCACTGATTCCGATATGCATAACGTGAGTTTGGGACTTGCTTTCCCTGGGCCCAGCCTTTGACGAGCCGCATCCTCATGGAATGCATGCTCTTCACTCACAGCATGTCCGCCATCATCGTGTTTCCTCAACAACCCCCAATGACATATGAAGCCTTTGCGCCGTAGAATACCCGAAAGCACTTGCGATCGTGCCGCAGTTTCCACCGGCGTTGGGTGAGAATATGAAAACCTCGGGTATTGTCCACTGTGGCGATGTAAGCATTGGTCGGGGATGTTGTTAGTCCGCCTGAAGTGCCTAGTTAACCTGCCACCCTCAGGGATGTCTTGGACGGGTTCTCTACCAGGTTCCCCATCGTCCATTTCATTCGGTGGCACCCTCACCTTTACACGTCGCATGCAATGGACCTAGAATCGAGCATTCGGGCGGATATTGCGCGTACTGAACTAGTCGCGAAGGTCGGTGTCTGGTGCTGCAGTAATTCGTGAAGGTTTACACTAACACACAACGCGAAGCTTGTCGAAAGTACGTTGGCTCAACTGATTTCGTCGGAACAGCTTCCTCATCGCCTCTGCTAGCATCATGTTTAAGCCTCTGGGTGCGTAAATTCAACTCCTTCCCCATGTATGGCTTTGACTCGAGTTCCGTTAATCAGATTGTCGACTACCTCGAAACTCTACCTTTGGAAGTAAGTATCAAACCGTAACCAAAGGGTACTAGCCTGTTGATGATATCATTAACGGTACCCTCGAAAGATATCCATTATGTGGACTTCGGGCACTCGGAAGTTCAGTCTCGTCAAATGCCTATTCTATACCCTTCGCTACGTTCCACTCGGTTTTTTTGCTCTGAGCTTCGGCTGTAAGTATTCTCCAAACATCATGGTAGGCCAGCCAATTGAAGCTGTCGGAAGTGGAGAATAACATTATTGATGAGCAGGTACGGCAGAGGCCTTCACCACGACTTTCGTCGATTGCTCATTAGCGTTCTGCACTTTCAGAGTTGTCGGAGACGTTTAGCTATCTTCTCCCGCAAGTAAATCCCTCAATTTTCATATCACAGTCTTACAGGTGACGGCATTCGTGCAGTTCTAACAGTTGCAATCGTTGTTCTTGCGGAAGGTGGGTTATATTCCAACGTTGTGGGCTCACGCGATTCTAATTCTGATTGATTTCAAGCACTTTTGTTCGTCCGGGTGTATGCAGTTGGAGGACGTTCCAAATGTCTAAAATACTCTCTTATTGGCTACTTTGTGGTATGTTCTTTAAGTCTAGTAATTCGAGGAGTTAGGTTCGCTAATGGTACGGATGTTAGGTCTCCCTAGGGATTGTGTTTGGACTCCTTATCTGGCATATACTGAGCTTGACATGTCAGTCTTTCCCTACTACTTGCCCGATTTGTTCGTTCGAACTCAACATCCACAACCACAGTCACCGTGCCCAGGCCTGGGCGCGAGATCTACTCCTGTGCACTGATCCAGAGCGGTCGGGGGAATTTGGTGTCTATTGCATGGGGCATTATCGCGGCCAACGAGATCTGTAAGTCGACGCTTTTCTCGGAAATGCTTCTTTGGTTTAGCTTACCACACTTACAATGCCAGTAATGATGGCCATGACATTCTTCTTTGTTTTCATGAAGCACATTAATCGTCGCAATAGGATACTGGAGGTATTCTATCGCAATGGGACCTTCTACATCATTGCGATTGTTGGTGAGTGGCTGTAGCTCGGTGTCTGGTATCCGCAGAAAACCCGGCCCACCGGGATCAAAGGCCGCGGGTCACAGGTCGCGGGTCACAGGTCGTGGGTTCGCGCTTGGACAAACGAGCGATGCGCGCGATAATTAGCTCTACTCTCGTCGTCGTCGTCGTCGTTACTTTGCTGGTCCAAGTGTTTTTCTGTTAATTTCCATTACTCTTCGAGGAATAGAGGAAGGTAGCGAGTGTCCCTATTATGTAACTTGAGAGTGTGGTGTTCAGTTGACCGTACTTGATCGCGAAAGATGTCCCATATGGTCTTTAAGGGCGTGTCTGGTATCTCCAGGCAGGCTTATAGAATGTCGTGAACATTTGAAGGAATTAGCTTCTGGGGATCCCGGGGTGTGTATTGATTGTAGAAAGTGCCAGTACAGGCTTGGCGAGCAGTGTCAAGATAAACCGAATGATATCATCGAGAGAGACAGTGTAGACAAGCTCAGAATGACCTGCCAGCTCCGAGATGACACTTGCGAGGTTGAGAGACGACGACATTGCTGAGATACAGCTCACCTTTGGACGTCGCACTAATGTCTGTCACCTATGCCGTGGACCAAGCATTGACAGGAAAAGACCCTACTAGGGCCCAAGTCTAATGTCTGAAACCATTGAAGGTGATCTACAAGAACGTAGTGAGGTTATTTACTCTCTTCTTTCAAGTTAAAGCGACATTCGACCCTCGACCCTCGAACCGTGACCCGCGACCCGTGACCCGCGACCTTCACTCCCGATGGATCGGGTGTCCTCGGTATCCGCTTTCAACTCAACCTCCTTCAACCCGAAGTTGTATCAATAGGGAATATCTTAATGGCCGCTATCTCCCCTGTAAGTCATCCTTGATGGTTGTGACGCTTAATCTAACCCCTCCTCCCAGAACCATCTCTATCTTCTTAGCAGGTGCGGTTTAACCAGCGGAGGTACCCGATTAGCCGCTGCTAATTTCCCTTCTCCAATAGCTATCAGGCCACCTTACACGCCATTTTCTCGACACGGATGGTCCTACAAATTCGGGAGGTCGTTCACGATCCTCTGAAAGTAATTCATGAAACCTCGCACGTTGGGCCTCTAGAATTTGCCCCTCTGTCCCTGCTATCTCGTTCAGCTGGATTCAGCTCAGAGGAGGATGGATGTTTAATGCAGCAACGACGCGATGTGGAATAAAATATAGCCTCAGAATACATTGGAGCTTTCTCGTTTTCGCGAAACATCTTCGTCACCCAGAGATCGAGTTCCGTTGGGGAGAATTCTCCAGAGCTTTCGGCGAGGTTTAAGCTTGATGGCCATTCCGTCTCCACATTTATGAGTTTCCGCTCACTGGAGAGTTCTCCTCGATGCTCTCTTAGGATCCCGACTCGGACGCAGGCAATGGAAACGGTCCGGTTTTTGATGCCGCTCGGTGACATGGCAAAGGCTCCAACGCGTTCACGCGTCTTCCGCCCAACCATGTCCAACCGCTTCTTCCAGGCAGCAGCCGCAACCACAAGGGCGGTGTCCGCCCATCGTACGTCGAACTACATTATCAGGAGCTCAATAAACCGCGTTCAATTCGGTGCCCTACATCGAGCGACCTTCATTACCACCCCGACGAAACGAAATGACGCCCTCAAGGCCCAACCGGCGTCCGCAGATAAGACGACAACGCAAACCCCGGCCGCTCCAGGGATAGAAAATCCACTACCCGACGCTGTGGGCAACGACGGGGCTACAGATTGGTCGAGAAGTTACCATGGACTATCTGTCCAACCATTCCCACCTGAGGTTGCCAATGTTTTGATGGCAGAACTGCACCCTGACGACATCGAAATAAAGCCAGGTGAATAACTAAAGCTCCCTGGTATAACCGAGGGCTAACTATGCTCAGATGGTCTACTCTACCTTCCCGAGATTAAGTATCGAAGGATTTTGAACAAGGCTTTCGGCCCTGGAGGGTGGGGTCTTGCTCCTCGGAGCGAGACTAGTGTCGGGCCCAAAATTGTAAGCAGAGAGTATGCTCTAGTGTGCTTAGGACGGTATGTATTACCTAGCTCTCGATTTACTTCCCCTCTTTAATGAACTTCTTAGACTTGTCGCGGTTGCCCGAGGAGAACAAGAGTATTTTGATCCCTCTGGTATTCCTACAGCCACGGAGGGATGCAAAAGCAACGCTTTAATGAGGTGCTGCAAGGACCTGGGAATCGCCAGTGAGCTCTGGTGCGTATCTTGATTTACAACGGTCGCCTAAGACTTACCAGATTAACTCCAGGGACCCTCGGTTCATTCGTGAATTCAAAGCCAAACATTGTATTGAAGTCTTTGCCGAGCATCTCCCTACCAAAAAGAAGTGAGTATCCTGTGTCCTCTGGTAGACCTAACCCTGACCGCCAATTCTATCACCAGGAAGAAGCTATGGAGAAGGAAAGATCAGCCAAAATTCGGTTACCCGTACCAGGAGTAGAGACTCACGTCGTTTATACCTCTTATACCTATCTATGTCTACCGGTGTCCTCGCCATGTCTTCGTTTGGTCGCCCGAGATTCTCGGGCCTGGTCGCGACCGTGAGAAAGTCATTGAACACAGAATTGACGCGTTTGAGATTCTTTTGACTGTTGTGACTCTCAATGATTCGACACCATTAGGTTCCTCCAAATGTCCTCGAAACGCGTACAATGTCGACAAATGCCTCCAAAGCGACGACTGAACTAGATGGCGCAGCGAATGCCAACTCATCGAACTTCAAAAACTCAGGACTGTTCAAAAGCCTGAACCAAGTGCTCGAAGACCTGAAGCGGCGCCCTGAAGGATTCGACCCAGCTGACGCCTCGCACCGTGTTCTCGAGGTCGCCCAATCTTTTCTTTGTGGATATGCGTCGCCGCACACGACACGAGCATGGGCCGACCTGATGGAGGAGATTATTCCCCTCACAGAGGGTCTGCTTGCCCTTATCCAGATGATGTTTGCAACTCAGTCGCCGAGCATTTACCACTACATGCGCGACTCCGTCAAAATCGTCTTCTGTAGACTGGTGGATATTGGGTACACGTTGGGACTTTGGATGGACGTGGTCGAACCGGACGACGAGATCCAACCTTCACCAGGCAAATTGAGAAACAGTGTACTGGAGGTGTTGGCGGAAGTGCTTTCAGGGCTCCCAAAGCCCTTCCCTCGTCTCCCAGCCCCGGCTCGTTCAATCTCTTCAGACCAATTTGCCGAAGCGCAGAAATTCCAGAACCCAGAGGCCCTAAAGGTACTGCGAGAGATGGTGAATGAGGTTGTGGAATTGACCGATAGTGCGTTTGATTGCCATTGTCATTCACAAATCGATTGTACTGACCTTTGGACCAAGAGCTAACTAACAATATCGACCAATTATCCTACCCTATCGTTGTGCAAATGTTCGATGTCACGAGGGTACAAGAGGTGCCTGAATACACTGTAAGGTCCACCACCTCCATGTCGATGCTGCTGTACTGAGGGATTCGCAGCGGAACCTGGGAAGACCCCTGCTAATCTGTTTGAAGTTTTCGGAAGATGGGATAGTCTTGTTGACGACGATGTTAGAATCTTTACTGCCGCTGTTGTCATCCCCTTCAGTCGTCCAGCTTTATCTTGGAACGGAGCGCAGACTCCTTGTCGAATCCGCGAGACGGGTATTCGACTACATTCTGAGCCCATCATGTCACTTCACCAACGACAGGCGGATACGATGGCTTGGAAAACTTTTCCAGGTCGTTCTTGAAACGCTCAGCGACACAGGTCCTTTATTTTCTTACATGCAGGAGAGGCTCCTTCATTCCCGGTATGATGGAACAATCCACGGCAACACGACAACGTTGGATGTCTTGTTGAATCAATCATTTGACCGACCGTTTTCAACCGCCTCAAGAGCCGTCGTTTATCAAGCCCTGGGTTGTCTAAACGCCAGTCCAAACGACGAACGAAACCCACAAGTCCATGTAAGTTTTTCACCCTCTTTGGATGTTATGGGGACTCATCCTCCATAGACACTGGCAATTTCGTACCTGAAGCATTCGTTATCCGGCATCGACAAGGAGCTCCTTCCTCTGGTGCTGAAGCATCTACAGGCCACCCTTGGCCATGCAATCGAACCTCCCAGAACGCTGATCAAGGCTACCCAGCCGAAGCCATCTGCAGGATCAACTCAAGCGCGTATGAACCTAAAGGACCACGTCTGGCGTCGCCAAGTGCAGGAGCTCGTGCAAGCCATCATCTCCCCAGACTCCATAACATGGATGGATGATGATTTCCGCCCTAACGAGCCTTACACTCTCCGACGGATCCTTGCTGACGTTGCCGAAAGGTTCAGCAGGTAAGTGACCCCTTGTTTGTCCACGTTGCGTTGTCTAATCCTACAAAGGCCATTGTCACAGGCCGACGACGAGTCGAGGATTAAACTTGCCCGGAATCTCGCAAAGTTGCCATGCCTATTAGTTGTATGCACCGGGGAGAGTTGCACCACTTTCCGGAATGCCAGCGGTCCCAGTTTATTGGGGTTCTATGTACCCATTCTCCAGGCTCTGCTAGCTGGGCCTGCAGACGAGGTTACCCCATCAGTGCGAAGAGAGGTGTATAGTGTATTGCTACCGGTCCTGAAGCACCGAAACGAAGAGGAGCCCGATGAACCGGTATTGGAGATGATCACCCGGGGTGTAACAGACGATGACCGTGCGGTCCGCGTTCAAGCAGGGTGAGTGTTACCTTCGCGTTTCTTCCTGCACAGTATTCATTTGAACTACAGTCTAACACTTCAAGCTGTTGTCGAGTTCTATTCTGGAAATACCTTGGCATCCCGGCAGAACATAGAGAACTTCTTCCACCGACTGTACCAGGTGTTCGAAGGGTGCAGGCATTCTATCAAGGAAACGCTGCTCATTTCGGTCGGGTCTTTGGGAAAGTAAGTTCTGTTGACGTCTACTCTATTGCCGATCTAAAATCTTCGCAGAACTGCCAATCCCTTCATCCTGGGTTCCACTCTGTGCCTATTGATCCTTCAGCTCGGCCAAAGCAATCTCCTATTACACAGCCTGGCATGCACGCAGGTAAGCTCCCCTACGAACTCCCTTTTCCCGTTTTGCTGACCAGTTGAGTAGTTATTGAATATCTCAAGGCATCATAAAAAGAGCATCTACTCCCTCTTGTCACCACATTTCGACAGAGTAGTGAAGATCGTCTTTGAACGCCTTTCGACCCAGCCGACGTTGCTAACCGAGCTATGTCGCCTGATGCAACTGAATATCGAAGAGTTTATCTCTAGGCATCACGCCAAAGCATTGCCCGACGTTCTCCTCAGATGTGACATGAAGGGAGTTGATCTCATCGCCCATAGCCTAGGCAAGAATCGCAGCACGACAATCCTCGACTCTCTTGATAAGATCCTCGTCCCCATCCTCCTACTGCCGACAGTTCCACAAACCAACAAAGCAGTCGCCTTCTTGATCGGCATCTTCAATGAAGACTCACGAGACGCAAAGATTAGTCTTCAGACCATTCTCCCTGGACACACCACGTCGGTTTTGACGGAACTGGTTATCAGAATGGGGGTTGATGACCCTCAGAGCAGGCACCAAGTAAGATTTTCTGTGGTATCGCATAGGGCCTGTCACTGACCAGCGTCCCGATAGGCGTTGAACGCTGTGAAGAAGGTTGAAACCGCCCTCCAAAAGGGGACAATATCTATCAGCCAGAAGGCGAACCCAAGCGAGTTCCTTGCTACTCAGATGCTTGGGATCATGTCGAAGATTATCGACACACTGCAAGATGTTCATGGAAAGAAAAGTGTGGAAGCAAAGGAGCAGATCATTCGCAGTATCGGGGTTTTCATCTCACTGGTGGGGCCTCCAATCCACAGCCTCTCGTCTCAAGTATGTGTGCACACCCTCGGCAAAGGTACACGGCTAACTGTCCTAATCAGATTATGGCGATATTCCAGACCTCATTGTCTGTCGCAGAGCTCGCTGAAGTCACTTTAGAAAGCTGGCATGAATACCTCGTCACCATTGACTCCAAGGACCTTGGCCCACACCTAGGATCTACGTGCTCAGCATTTGTGTCAGCGTGGCCCAACCTAAGCGACAGGGCCCGCAAGATCATCGTCGAATCGTTGCAGCTGGCATTCGGTCGCCTGAAAGATGACCTTATCCACTACCTCGACGACCTTCCTGATCTATCCATCATCGACGACTTGAAGCCTCTTCACTTTCACCTTTCCCAACTCCGCCACCCACTTCCCCCGCGCGACAGCCTCGAGAAGTTACTCGATCGATGTTCCAGCAGCAATCTGACCATCGCGACCCTTGCTCTCGAGGAACTGAAGCGATTCATGCAAACAGGAGACCCTGCGCTTTTGCATGAGCTCTTGGAAGACGACATGTTTGACCCAATGATTGGTCGCCTTATCTCGACTGTTTATTCCGCCGCTGCAAGAGATGGTGACCTGACCGAGTCGTTGCGTCTGGTCGCCTACGAATGCATTGGTATCCTTGGTGCCCTCGATCCCTACCGATTCCAACTCCCCGCTAGACGAGCAGATACCATTGTCCTCAGGAACTTTACCGACGAGAACGAGACGTACCAATTCATCATCAACCTTATCGAAGAACTGGTCGACGCCTTCCGATCGACAAGCGACATGAAATTCCAAACCAACCTTGCGTATCCAATCCAGGAGCTCCTCAAGCTCTGTGGATTTACCTCAGACCTCGTCAACTCGGGAAGAGCTGTCCCGCTGAGGACGCGGAATCGCTGGGCGGGGCTGAAAAAGGAGGTGATGAATGCGGTGACGCCGTTGCTGGAAGGTCGCTTCTCCTTCTCTAACACTGTTCCCGCCGTCAAGCTTCCGGTCTACCCCACGCAATCGACTTATCGTGAATGGCTCCAACTCTGGGTCACCCATCTAATCTCGAGGGTATCTGGAGATTCCGCTCGAAAAATATTTGGGGTGTTTCAGTCTGTGGTGCGCAGCAAGGACGTGGTTCTTGCCACTCACTTGCTGCCTCACTTGATCCTCAACATCCTCATATCGGGCGAGCCGGATGACGCAGAGGACATCCGCACGGAGATCCGGATTGTTCTGGAAGACCAAGTAGACCCGAGCAGCACATCGACGCATGACAAGAAGATTCTCAGTGCACAGGTATGTAGCATAGTCATCCTCTGTGACCCAGGCGTTAATATTCCTTGACAGGCTATATTCACGCTCTTAGATCATCTGAACAGATGGGCACATATCATGAGGCGAGAGATTACGACGAAACAGAAAAGCGAAACCAAGCGAGCGCGTGCCTCTGTTGCACTGGGAGAGAGTCAAGAACAACTCCTTCGACTGGATTCCATCCTGTCAAACTTGGATAAACACTTGGTTGCAAAAGCTGCGTTCCAGTGCAAGGCCTATGCGAGAGCCCTCATGAACTTTGAGCAGCAGATTCACGCTCTCAAGGAACTGGATAACAACAAGAATCTAGAGCCGTACTACGACACCATCCACGAAATATACGCTCATCTGGACCAGCCTGATGGCATGGAGGGCATCACCGCGCTGATTCAATCGCCGTCTTTGGAGCACCAGATTCGAGAGCATGAAAGCATTGGACAATGGACGTCGGCTCAAAGTTGCTGGGAGGTACGACTGCAGGAGTCTCCCGATAACCTGGAATATCACCAAGGTCTTCTTCGCTGCCTACGCAACCTAGGACATTACGGTAAGTATCCTCCCTGTAGTATTCACTGCATGCTTAAGTTCTGTGTAGATACCCTGCGCAATCATGTCAAAGGCATACTAACCAGCCATCCTGAATGGCAGGCAGATGTCATCGATTTCCACACGGAGACTCTGTTGATGGTCGGAGCATGGGACGACGTTGAAGCTCTCGTCAATACAGCGGATTCGACTTCGGTCCCTGTTATGATGGCAAAAGTTATGCTTGCCATGCGCAAAGGCGATCCTCAAGCTATATCTGATGCATTGTCTCTCGCGCGTCTCACCCTCGGAGCCCCGATAAGCGCAGCAGGCGTCAATGGCTACGCTCGGTCATACGAGGCAGCTCTCAGCCTTCACCATCTCTACGAGTTGGAATTGATACACAACACCACGAGAAATCTACCATCGTCATCCACGCGTCGAAAACAAGCGTTGACGCGGTTATCTTCAATCCTTGCGGACCGATTGGAAAATGTGCTCCCGACATTCCGAAACCTCGAACCCATTCTGAGTACACGTAGGATTGGCTTCTCCCTCATGTGCGCACTACCGCTAGCCTTTCGATCTCGTCTGACTTTCTTCCATTTCAGGCCAGGGACAAGCCCAGATCTCGTGAAAGAGGTGGGGAAAGCGTGGTTGTCGAGTGCCAAAGTCGCTCGCAAGGCTGGCCATTGGCCGACGGCGTATAGTGCCATATTGCAAGCGCGACAAAGCGGGACCCCTCTCTGGTTCCTCGAGAGCGCGAAACTTATGAAAGCCTCCGGTGACTTTATAATGAAGGCTGTCCGCGAATTGGAAAGCCACATGCAATCGCTTGGTCTGATATCCAGCGGAAATGTGCTTGACCTTACTCTCGACGACGAGGTCGTGAACACGAAACACAAGGTAGGTTTTCTGGATCTCATCAGCATTCCTTTGTTTATCCCATTGTCAGCTTTTCCTGTGGCGCGCGCGGTGGATGAGTGAATCGGGAAGATTCGATGGCACCCCTCTCCTAGAGGCATTCAAACGGGCGACAGAGTTGGACAAGAGGTGCGTCGATTTCACTGCACTCGCTGATTAATTCTTAAAACCATTTCAGATGGGAAAGCTCCCACTTCTACTTTGGTAATTTCTATGATGCTTCTGCAAAGGACCTCAAGCCCACCGACGCAAGACGGTCAGTATCAATTCCCCACACCGATTCTCCGCCCCTGACATCCGTTCCAGGCTGAAGATGAATATGCACATGCTCAGAAACTATTCTCGCGCAACCCGTTATGGAACAAAGTTCATCTATCAAACCATCCCTCGCTTGCTGACTGTCTGGCTCGACAATGGAGAAGATAAGAATATATTTGGAACTGACGTGTTTAACAAGATGAACGAAGTGGTGGCTTCGGCCATCAAAGATATACCAGCCTACAAGGTGAATGCTTAAGCGCTCGACCAATGCTCCTTACTCACCTTTGTCCAATTATACCTTGTAGTGGTTTACTGCCTTCCCTCAAATTGTTTCTCGCGTTTGTCATCCCGTGGACAAGGTCTACAACTTGGTGTCCCAATTGATTGTCTCGATCATCCAAGAATACCCCGACCAGGCGCTATGGCTGTTTGCAGGCGTCATCAAATCGACAAAGCACAATCGGTTGACTCGGGGCAGGGTCATATTGGAGAAAGCAAAGGTGGGCGTTTAATTCTAGGGCATGTCTAGAACACGGTTAACAATACCTTAGAGTTCTCCATCAAGTTCGGCGAGAATCTCAAGGCTCATTTCCGATTTGCACGTCATGGCCAATGAAATGCTAGCCCTGTGCGAATACCCCGTCTCAAAAGAGCACAGTCTTTCTATGCCCAAGTTGTTTCCCCGTCTGAAGGCAATAGGGGAATGTTCGCTCCTGATTCCCTTGCTGGTGTCGCTCACCGTCAGCCTTCCTTCTTCTTCTTCTGCTGCTGGAACCCACCAACCCTTCCCGGACGATGCACCTACCTTCAAAGGTATACTTTATTTCTTCGTTCCTGTGGGGTCAAATATTCATGGATTGTTGCAGAGTTCTCAGACGAAATCGACGTCATGAGGTCCATGGCGAGGCCGAGAAAGATATGGATTACCGGGAGCGACGGAGGGGAATACATCATGTTGATTAAGCCTAAAGATGACCTTCGCAAAGATGCCCGTTTGATGGACTTCGATACAATCATCAACAGATTGCTGAAGGCCAACGCTGATGCTCGAAGGAGGAAGCTGTGTATGTGGACGTTTTCTTTCATGGGTCTTGTTCTCCCGCGCTGACCCTCTCTATGCTCTACAGATATCAGGACATACGCTGTAGTCCCGCTGAACGAAGAATGTGGCTGTATTGAATGGGTACAGAACACCTCGCCTCTTCGGCCGATCTTATTCAAGTACTACGAGGCTCGAAGAATCAAGACATGGGTAAGAACCTTTTCATTTGACCCCAACTTCGTTGAATCACTAAAATGGAACTTCCTTCGTAGACAGCTGAACTGGAAGCACAGTGTAACAAGATCAAAGACGCTCAAGCGGCTGATGCAGGAAACATCTTCGTTAAAAAGATTCTCCCGATGTAAGTTTTTCTTCTCTTCTCTCTTCCCTGATATCTTTTTAACTTGGACTCGGGCCGTTTTGCGTGTAGGTTCCCCCCGGTGTTCCATCAGTGGTTCATTGAAACGTTCCCAGACCCTTCGGCTTGGTTGGAGAATAGAACCAACTATGCGCGGACTGCGGCTGTTATGTCGATTGTGGGATGGATTCTTGGGTGAGTGGTTTCTTCCCCTGAATTAGAGGTCGTGTGCATAGAATGGCTGATGCGTGTTCTGCACTCAGGCTTGGTGATCGACATTGCGAAAATATCCTCCTGGACGTGATTACGGGCGATGCTGTCCATATCGATTTCAATTGTCTGTTCGAGAAGGTATGTTCGCTTTGAGTTTACGGGTCCGGTCTTAATAAACTTTGGTTTCACTCATGACAGGGCAAAGTGCTTCTTACCCCTGAACGCGTACCATTCCGCTTGACACAGAATATCGTGGATGGACTTGGGGTCACTGGAGTTGAAGGTAAGCATCTAGGGACCAACGCGTATCTTCATTCAAGTTCTGTAATTGACGCTATTGCGCAATCAGGGATGTTCCGGATAGCGTGCGAGCTGACTATGGATCTTCTGCGAAACAACATGGATTCGCTCATGAGTGTACTCGATGCGTTCATTCATGACCCGCTTGTTGAATGGGAAGATGAGAAGAGGAAGCAGGTATGTTCTCGATTCCGTAATAGGGAACGAGGAATTCGAATTGATCCAATGTGTTAGGAAAACCGAAGTCGTCGCTCAGCACAGCAGGTTCCGGTGACGACTACGAATATAGCGAAGAATGCTCTGAATGATATCAAGAAGAAACTTGAGGGCCGGTTCACCCCGTATACGGATTCGCAGTTTGAGCAGCCTGAGAAGTTGCTCTCGACGAAGAATTTGGTGGAAGCGTTGATCAACGAGGCGTCTAATCCAATGAATTTGGTATGTTTCAAGTCGTATTTCTGTTCATTTCAATGAACGCTGATGGTTGGCTATAGTCAAAGATGTACCCTGGATGGGCGCCATGGAACTAGTAGATTTGCTTGCTTGTGTTTTGAATGTATTATACCTCTAGACGTCATTACTATTATACAGCCTATAATACAGGATGGTGATACAGAAGATGGGGTAAGAAAAGGAAGGAGAGATCAAGCATTAGCTATTAGCTGTTTCTTCAGCCGTTCCAATTCCTTCTCCTTTTCAATCAACTCGGTCCTCAAACGCTCCTGCTCAGCAATAACCTTCTTCCGCGCCTCTTCCAGCCGCTCAGCCTCCTCCTGGATCATCCCCGAGTAAAACTCTGGTGTCCCGCCTTTCGAATCTTCAAACGAAGCGAGATTTGCGATATTGAAAGGGACGGGGTTTCGTCTTATTTTTGGGAGGGGCGTAGGAGGGTGTTGGGTGAGGATGTTGAGGAAGTGGGCTGAAGGATCGTTGAAGACGATTTCGTCGTATTGCCAGGAGTGGACGGGCCCGTGTTTGATGGCTACGTCGAGAGGTGGGATCTCTGATTCGCCTGTTGCTGTCCATGGATGGAGTTTGAGGTGGTGAGCCAGGACCATGGGTTTTTCGGTTGCCTCTGGTATGAAGGTGATACGGATTCCGATTTCGAATTCACCCCATCTGAGGAATGGTATGTTAGGAATCGTTGGTATTGGAGAAGGGCCGCGCGTACCCTGTTTCTGATAGCTCGAACGGTGGCTTGTCGATATCTAGGTTCCATTAGCGAGGAAAGTCAGAGACGGAGGGTAGAGAGATTCACTTCTCGTCGGGTTGGGATATGTATCGTGCAACTTGAAAGTGACACGTTTTATAAAGTAGCTCAAGTCATCTGCGCCTCCTACCTGGTCTGCACCAGGTTTATTGGCAGCGCTACGGACGGCGACCGTCCATCTATGCGTGTGGTCCTTTGCAGGCAACTTGGCCCGCTCCTCATCGGTCAAGGCGACAGCGACATTGCCATATATTATGGGTCTATAGATTGTAATGCCCTAAAATTTCATATTGTTGAGACTTTGTGTGAGGAGAATGACGACGACGTACTCGCTGGCGAACGCGGTCAGTAGACATTGATTGGCGGCGGCGAGGGGAGACGGTCACGTCAGTCGCAACGGGCCTGGGAGCGGTCTCGGCATTCCAAACTCCGCTTTGTCCCGCGTTGACCCTGCATCAACCCAAGCGTCGTCCTCAGTCGCTCCTTCCACCAACCACAATCCTCGCTGCGTCAAAATGGGTCTCCTCACTCCCTTGTACAACCGTAAGTCTTTTCTGGAATGGAGAAAGGAATTTGACGCGACATTTTTTTGTAGTCCCTAACAACGTCCTCGAGAAGCAAAAGAGGTACCAGGTACGACCCACTCGCGATTTTTTTCTGGGCCGGGAATTCTAATGTATTGTGTTTTGTAGAACGACACCCGACCTCTTCCTCTGCGCGGACCCCGTGCTAAGCTCTATGTTGGTGAGTAGAGTAGGACTTGTGCGGTGGACCACCAGGGGTGGGATAGAGTCGGAACGGGAACCGGGTTTCTAACGAGCGGCTTTTTTGGCAGGTGTTTACGCCGTCCTCTTCACCGCTGGAATGATTGGCACGACAGTGGGGTCCTGGAACATGATCAAGGTATGTGCTGCGTTTTGTTGGGGCGAGGGTAGGTGTGCTGACGTTTTTTTGGGTGAATAGGGCGAGAAGAGCGAGTAAAGGACCTGTAGAGGACCACTGCATCTCCCATCCCATTAGGACCCTTCCTCTAGACCAAGCAATAAATTTCGCATTAATACATCCATCTCAAGATTCCATTCTCGCTGTGGAACGTGCGGACAGTGGTGTGCAGACGGGACCAATGGACGAGGGCTACGACACGCGACCTGTCCTTCTGTCATTGATCGAGCCTCGTTTCTGATTCCATGTTTGGCTTGGAAGTCGCCCTGTCAACACAGGACGTGCATTCTCCCTGGCGCTTACCACCTTCCAACACCGTTCTTCCCCTACGCCCACCCTCGGCCATCCTCTCAGCATCCCCGGTCGACCCGTTATGAGCGTCGACATTGTGTTATTGAATTCATGATCCCTGTCAGTGCTCAGGGGTTGCGTTAGGCACTGCGGGAAGATGTCAGTTCCTGTTGCATCTCGAGTTGCCCAACCAGTGAGGCAGAGTTTACGTTTTTGGATTTGAGCTATAGATCCTTTGCAATATTGGTCCATTTGTTGAAGGCGGTACAAAGGGTATCTTGGGCTTAGCTCGCGAAGCGGAAGCTGACAGACTTCCTTCCTTTCTCTTTCCTGTTTCAGGATTCGACAACAGTTTGCGAAAGGCTTCTTTGTCCCGGTGACCCAAAACCCTCTAGGAGTTGTGTGTGCAACGGCAGTCTACGGTGCGCCCATTTGCTGTGCTCCGGGAAGGCTGGAGATGAACATCATGTTTGGGATCACGGTCTCTATACAGCGCTGTGTATTAGATACCAGCGTCTAAACTCGCTCTTATTCATTCCATCCGCATCCCATGAGGACGGCGGTCTCGTCCCTGCCTTCCCTTGCATTATGACCGCCATGTCCATCCCGTCTGGTTACGGTAAACGCTTCATGTCCGACTCAGCCCCTCGTCAATCCATCCTCTACGAAGACAGCTATCCCCCCAATTACGAGCAGGCTGTCAGCTCGAGGTATGTCTAGATCCTTGTGGACAATGCGCAGTGCGGTCGCACGTTGCTGTGATGCGCACCCGTGCTTTTTTTTCTATTTACAATTTCCAAGCATTTTCGGTCTAATGAGCCCGCTCTTCAGCTCAGCGACAGATACAGATTCTCTGCACCGAAGGAACAACAGCAATGGCACGTCGTGGCCCGCCAGTCCTTACATCGATTCCCCAAGGTGAATAGCCGTCCTACGCCCGCTTCTTATCTGGACGACTCGTATTGATAAAAATCACCCGGTGGTTGCAGCCGTGACACAATGAGAAGCAGCACTGGTTCCCGGCACCACCACCGCCCTCTCCCACACCCGCACACCCTCAGCCAACAGTCCGTCTATACGCCCGTCAACTATGAGCGCTATGTATACAAGTATCGACTCGTGGCTGGAGGAACGCCCATCATGTTCTTGATCTCGTAAGTTTGCTGCTTCTCTCGCTGTGCTTCTTTAATGAAAGGGGGACGCGGTCCCGTCGCTAATGACTGTCTGTTCGTTCCTTTCGGCCTTATCAACTTCTCTCTCGATATGCTTTTTCTATTCCTGTCCCACTGCGCTGCGCAGAGTCGAGCCACAATCGGGAAGACCGACGACAGGGAAATATACCTTTAGGTTATCCTTCAAGGCGAACGGCGTTGAGCGGCCGATATGCGAACCTGTGGAGAGGTACCTGTCTGTCGGCGCGACCTCCACAGGCAACACCCTCGACCCGCGCCAACTGGATTTCGTCGTGTTGTAAGTAATGACGTTCTGATTGTTTCTTGTGTCATGGATACGTTCTGACTGTGACTTGCTTGTTGTGCGCCACTCGAATCGAACTGTCAAACAAAAATCAATTCGTCGAATGCAGCGTGTTCCCCGGGAAAACGAGTATACCGGCTGGTTGTTTGTGGTCTGTACGGGTGTGGTTGAGGGCGGACGGAGTGGAGCATAGGCTGTTTGGAGACGACGAGCTGTGGTTTGGGAAAGATCCTGATTTCAACTCGATTGGCGATGCGTCGTTTGGGAGGCTGAAGGTGCAGGACTCGAATCAGCAGGTGTATAATGCGTATGTGGGGAGAGCGCTGGTGACGTTCACCTTCAGGTGAGTCTGTGCCTCGTTTGCCTCAAGGTTCTAGGCTGATGGATGTGGGTGTCGTTGTAGATGGGAAAGGGTGAATGGAACGCTGTACAAGTATTCGTTGGACTATGAAGCTGGAGGTGTAGGCGCCAACCTGTTTGAAGACTTTCGAATGAAACTAGACGCTGATCCACGGACGCTTAGTTTCCTCGTCTTGTGCGTCCTCTCTCTCTTTTCTCTTCCACTCCGCGAAGCTTATACTCCCCTGCAGCACCGTCCCAGCCAACTCCATCCCCGCCGGCGCATCGCACAAACTACGCGTCTGGCTCCGCTCACCGGTCCCCATCAACACCGTCGACGCGACCACCTCCTACGTCCTCCCCTTCAATGACTCCTTCGTCTACCAGCGAATATGGAAAACGGACGACTTCAAGCTTGGCGCGCATTTGAACTTTGACGCGCTGGGCCCGAAGATGATTATGGGGTTTGCGACGGGTGGGCCAGAGACGGTTACGATGCCTCATCCGGTGCATCAGTATCAGCCTAGGCATGAGTCGATTTCGTCGATTGAGGGGTTGAAGAAGATGGGGTATGATTTCTGAGGTTGGAGTAATGTTGAAGAATTGGTTTATGCTTCTTTCTATGACCGTTATGCTTCTGGTTATACCCCTACCTACTCGTCCTATCCCACCCAAACCCATCCCTTAGCGTAGATTCATCCCCCTTCCACTCACATGGCTATGGCCACTTGTATTCCTAACTCACGACCAAAAAGAGCGGATAATCTCATGTAGTGATAGTTAAAAACCCAAGTGGTTGCATTGTACTTGTATGTTGAGTTCTGTTGTACATTGTTTTTCGATCTTCGACTTTGACTTTCCCTTCGCTTTTACTTCTTCCTTACTTCTTCCCCCTCCTTCGTCCGTTTTCTTTGCACGACAAATTCGTTATCAGTAATAGCTCCCTGTACATTGCCCCGTAATCGCATACTCACCGTCGCTTTCTGGAGTACTTGGCTCTCGGTTAAACGATGACCTTGGTCTTCAAGAACTTCTTCCACTCTTCTTCGCCCCAGCTGCTCGAGATTTCTCCAGCGACGAGACCGTCCCAGAGAACGGTAGGCGAGACGTGGATGCTGTTTTGTCGTGCAAACTTGACTGTAACATCACCACACGTCAGTAATCCTCGTCTCCATCGGCACAGAACTTGAACGGTCCACAGTACCGCTCGCAAGTACCAAGTAGCGAAGAAATAAAGATAATAACAAGATAATAAAGGAGATACCCACTGTTATACTTGAGGTCATCAGTAACCGCCACTCCGCCGTTAGCAGACCCCTTCAGCTTGAGGAGCTCTCTGACGTCCTGGACTGCGTCTGCGGGGATGACTTGTGCCGCGAGGGCGACGAGCTTCTCGCGGATTTGGAGGGGTGTGAGGTTGGCGGTGGGGATGTCGAAGTAGTCGGATTGGTTCTTGAAGAGCTGTTAGGTGGGGTATAAGGTGGAGCTTGTTAGTTAGGATGGGGAGAGTGGTAGATCCAGAGGGAACGTACGGCGAGACTGTAAGTCCAGAAGTTCTCTGGTGAAGCTCGGAGGACCTAAGCCACGAGCAAAGTTCAATCAGACTCTTAAAACCAACTATACAAAAGAAAAGAACATACAGCCAAAGCAGCTTCATGAGTCAACGTAGACGCAGAATGCCAGGGCTGGACTTGGAGACGGAAGATCACTTTGACTTTCCCCTCGTATTGCCCGCCTTGTTCTACCAAAGGCTTCAAGATGTTCTCGATGGCAAGAGCCATCTTGGCACTAAGCACATAACAGCCAGTTTGGTTCAATCGTCTATCCCAGTCCAGAAACGAAAGCTCAGAGTACCTGAAAGGGCAGACATAGTCCACTGTCAAGACCGCCAAGGTCAGCGATTATCCATAGCGATAGGGGCTAAACGGCGGAGACCCACAGAAGATGTCAAGGGTGTGAGGGGCATCGATTTTGCCAGCCACGTTAAGAGGTCTGAGAGAGGGTTGCAGTGCCATAGCTGTAGATGTTCTGGAGGTGGTAGATCTTCGCAAAGCTGTACACAGTGTGTTATGTATCGGTTCCAACCTCGGATTGCGATTTCGCCAAACATTGTTGCGGTGACGTACTTGCTGACAAGACAGTGCGGCCAGTTCAGTTCAACTGCACGGAATTGTATGGAACACTGGAGAAGGCCACTTCACCACAGGCTCACATGGATCGTGAAAAAAATAGAATCGTTTTGCCTCCAAGGCTCCAACAGGGGCGGACAGAAGCTCCAGATGTTGACAGGGGTGGGCAAAAAGAGCAAAAGGTTGGTTCAATCCAGGATCGAACTGGAGACCTTCTGTGTGTAAGACAGAAATCATAACCACTAGACCATTGAACCATTGCCAATGTCGTGGCTGCTGTTGGTCACCAATGTCTCTTCCGTGGCTTGGTTATAAAAAAGCAAAAAGTGGTTCGACCCAGGTTCGAACTGGGGACCTTCTGTGTGTTAGACAGAAATCATGACCAACTAGACCATCGAACCGACAATTGAAGGTTAAAATGAAGAGACATGAGGCTGGCTACGTCAAACCCGGTCCCATCCCCCTACTCAGGAACATTGCGTGAACATGAAATCGCTCCTCATGTTATACTTTAGTCCTTTCACCACATTCGCCCCACTATGAAGGAGTTTTTCTTGCTGGAAAATCAACACCCTACCCTTCTTTGGGGCAACGTCGAAGAAGCGCCCATTATCTTCGGCATGGAATCTCGTCGCCCCGCCTTCGACACCTTCGTCTTCGAGGTAGACCTGGACTGTGACCCAAGATTTGCGACCGTCGGGTGAGGGGAGATGGACGTGGGTGTCGCAGTGTTCTTTGAAAAAGTGGCCTGGGCCGTAGCGCATGAAGCTCAGGCGTTCGTTCAACCTTCGTAACGGACGGATAGGGAAGTGGGTTGCAATTAATGGGATGTTTTGCATGCAAAGTGCTGTTGATGCTTACCCTATGAGCTTCCAGGACCCTTCGATGCCAAACCATCGGTCTTTAATGATGCCCTGCCATCGACCCCCAGGCTTGATCTCCACAATTTCGGGCACATACGGCAAAAGCCTCTGATATATCTTCTCTGCAGCATCCTTGTCGAACCGAAGGATACGCTCGCTGTTCCGGTAGCTGGTGTCAACGTAGCTCTCTCCTGGACCCATTCCGTAGTGCACGGCAGCCTTCTCCCATTTGCTGCCGGATTCTGCGAGGGCGACCAGAGCAGCGCATTCTTCTGGTGTGAAAACGTTGTCGATGATCTTCGCGTAGCACCCGTCATACTCATCGCCGAGGCCTGTTGTTGACCAGTCGAGGAGCGGTGCTGAGACCTCGTCTGGACTAGGGTGAGGACCGAGCCTGAGCTTCATTGTGCCTCTACCTATTTCGTTGCGACGGTATACGGTGAGAAGGAAAGCCGCTGAACCTAGCAACCCCGCTTCTTAAATGATAATCGCACGGTCTTGACTCAAAGCTGTGATGCTGTGTCATGCTCCGATGCATGCGCATGTCAGAGCTTCAGGACTGCTTTGATATCACGCGCGGGGACTTCCTACAGCAAGAGAAGAAGCAAGAACACTCGTTGTTGAGGTATAAACCGCCTCCGAGCTTGTAGGTGCGTTTTTAGCGCCCAGGCGGTGTCCCGATATGGCAGCTGCTCCCACACAGCCACCTCCTAGACCCTGGCGATCAAGCTGGGATCGCGACGCGTTCTCCACTCCCAAAACACCTGAAGGGCATAGGGACTCTGCCATGACCTCAAATACAACCCAAAATACAACCCAACTTTTTTGTGGAGATACACATGGCGGATTTATATTGGAGGCTTACAGTTGCAAAGGGCCCTGAATACAAAAACATCAATCTCAGCCAAGTACTACCTACTGGTCGTCGAGGTGTTGTCTAAACATAAAGTCAGATCGCAGGGCATATTTTGTGCCGCTGATAACATCCTCTCCGCTGTGGAATAGATTGCGCTGCTGGAAGATCAACACCCTCCCTTTCTTCGGCATGACATCGTATACACGGCCCGCATTTCCAGTGAACCTGGTTGAACCTCCCTCGACGTCGTCATTGCCGAGATAAATCTGGATAGTGACGCGGGACATGCGACCGTCAGGGAGTTTCTGTTGGCCATCGCAGTGACCACGAAAGTAGTTTCCTTTGCCGTAGCGCAGGAAGCTTAGACGTTCGTTTAATCTGAAGAATACATACGAAATTCAACTTCGTAGTCGGTATTTCGAAGGGAAAGAATGGTTTACGTACCCAACAAGTTTCCAGGTACCTTGCACGCGCCCTGGTGGCCCAACTACACCCTCCCATTTGTCTCCAGGTTTGATCTCCAGAAGCTCTTGGACATACGGAAGAAGCCTTTCGTAAAGCTTCTCTGCAGCATCATGGTCGAACCTCAAAATTCGTTCACTGTTCCGATAATCCGTGTTAACATAATTCTGGTCGGGCCTCAGGCCATAGTGGACAGCAGCCTGCTTCCACTCTGCATCCGACTCTGCGAGTGCGATGAGCTTGTCACACTCCCAAGGTTCGAAGACGTCGTCGAGGATTTTGACGTATGAACCGTCGTAGTCTGGTGCAAGAGGTGTTGTTGACCAGTCCAACACAGGTGCTGTGATTTCGTGGATGGTCGGATTGGGACCCAGTTTCAGTATAACAGGATCCTTCTTTGGAGCAGTAACGCTTTCTGTGAGCGAGGAGGCGAGCGAGGACGAAGCAGCGCGAACAGTGTCGACCAAAGAGCTCAGCACCATGTTCACTGTCACGCCGGTAGACAAGGGATATACAGGAATCCTCTGCGGCCAATCGTACGTTTATATCGCAGCAGAAGCTGTGCACAGTTAATCGTTCGAGTCATGCTGATAGCGGTCTGGAAGTGCGTCGTGTACGTGACAGTTACCGGCCAACTGCTCGAGCGCCCGCGCATCGCCCAAGATAGACGACCCTAACCCCAGTGCGCCATCACATGTGAAGTCGGTCTTGTCTCTTGCCATCATCTTCGACGACCTCGACGACGACCAAAGTCTCAGTACAGTTCTCAACGATGCCCATAACGTTCTCTCAATATTTGACAAACCTTACCGATGCCGTCTACCAGAATAACGGTCCCAACTTGGCGTATTTGCTAAGGCCGACCAGTCCGCACGGCAAGGACTTGGTGAAAGAGCACCGAAATATAAAGGTGAGCCTGATATTCCTACTAGCTTTGGTGTCAAAACTTATTTTCAGAACTGGCGTTGAAACGGTCTGACCTGGCAAGATATGAAGGATTTGTGGCGTCTCCATGGGATGAGATCGCCATTCAGTATTTGTTAGTGTGCTGGAATATCGCGAAGAAGCGGTATGGAGAAGCTTTCAAGGAAGAGTCTCAGCTCGTCTCGTGCGTACCAACAGGCAATCTACGAATCACCAGACTGATTGAATGGATTTAGGCTCTTCTACCGCTTCCTTCCAGAGAACAGAGGATGGACACTGCCTGCATTGTTCTCCATCCTTAGGGATCTACGCGATTTGGCATACGATGTACGCGTCTCTTTTTCTTGTAAAACCAAATCTAAATGACATTAGGCAGACCTACATTCTGGAGGGCATAAAACCGATTGCATGGAAGAGGCGGCGAGGATAATTACGAAGGCATTTGGCTTGTGTATGACTGATAGGTACGACGCCCACTTTGCTCTCTGCTGGATTTCTTCTGATTATGTGGCGCAAAGGACATCACCATACGAAGAATCGCGGAAATGGGGAGTTTACTACGTCGTTGGCTTGGTGCTGAAGTGTTACTTCCGAGTGTGTTCTATTCGTCTCCGTTCTATACTCATCAAACTGAATTCGTTCTAGGTCAAACGGATATCCCTTTCGAAGAACATCCTGCGTGCACTCGATGCCAACAACGACATCCCCCCGTTACACCAGTATCCCCGGTCGCATCAGGTAAGGGATTTCACCACTTGGTCCATGTAGCGTTCTTGGGTTTACGGGACGTAGGTTACCTACCGATATTACATCGGCATGTTGAGCTTCCTTAACGAAGATTTCGCTAAAGCGGAGCAAGAGCTTACTCTTGCCTTTTATCACTGCCATAACGGCTCTTACGCCAATAAACAGTCCGTCGTTAATCCTTTCGTTGCTTTGAACCCACAGTCTAACCCTTTGCACAGACGGATATTGACATACCTCATCCCTCTTCGCATTCTGAAAGGACATCTTCCGTCGCTGGAACTGCTCAGACGGTTCCCTGTTCTCGATCAACTTTATTCTCCATTCATCAAGGCCATTCGTTCCGGCGACGTCCAAGCTTACGACAAGGCCCTTGAGCAGGGCGAACAGCGACTTCTCGAGCTTAACCTCTGGTTGACATTGGAGAAAGCAAGGGAACTGAGCTTACGAGGTCTCTTCCGCAAAATGTACGTCCCGCCCCTCTTTATCTGAGGCTCAGCCTAACCTCCTACCTCCAGTTGGGTGGCAGTGGAGAAGACCACCAGAATGCCCATTGCAATGTTCCACGCTGGGCTAAAGATTTCAGGAATTGATGTTCCTGTTGAAGAAGCCGAGTGCTATGTGGCGAACATGATCTACAGAGGCTTCATCCGTGGCTACATCAGCCACGAAAAGCAGATGGTCGTCCTTGCGCAGAACAATGCGTTCCCCAAGGTGGCGGATTGCCCAAATCCGTTTGCTCACATTTGAGCTTCTCGACTTTCACACCATCGTTGCTTGTATGTATGTATCCTTGCATTCCATCTTTCGTATCCCCCTTCCTCGAATCAACTACTTGCTTCCGTCACCTTCGGCTGTTTCCCGATCTCCACTTAGCGGGGATCAGAATGGTTGCTGCCAACGTCCGGGCTCCTGGGTGCGGTGGTCATAGTGCGAGCGTTTATTGACTATCTTGTCTACTCACAACGTTATCTCCTAGACTTGATAACGACCCAAAACAGAGCAACACGGTACCCGGGCTCCCGCCTCTTTCGCCCGAATGATCGAAAACATGTATTACTTTCCCTTCTTGAAGTCCCTCGTATCCCGCCTCGTTCCCTCTGATTATCCGCCCTCTTCTCCTCTTCCTTGCATCGTGGCATTGGTGGCGTCTTTCCCCCTCCCAATTTAGACCATCGCCCGAGAATGCTCGGAGTTCCAGTGGACCCACCCCTATGATTTTCGTGGGGGCCCGAAGTCTCTTAAGAAACAGGCCTATCGGGCGTTGCTAATCAAACTTGTTTCAGGGCGAAACGATTACTCCTCTCTTCGCGCCTTGATCCTTAAGAGTCTATCAAATTGTCTAACTGGTGTTCCTCACATGAATCCCTTCCCTCCCCCCTTTCCATAGACCATCGAAGGTTTCCTGACTACGTCCACCATTTGGTCTTCACTCGTAACGCCTCACTTCACCTTTGGTCTCTTGTAGATCGTCTTGTTGCTAGGCTGCGGTCCTTGTTCACCTACTCGTATGAGCCCATCCTGGCGAAGCTACCGCGCGGTACGGTTGTCCTCTCCTTACTTTGTATATGTACCTTGCTCACTTTCTGAGAAGCATCCAGACATAACGACATAGACTGAAGATGGTTCCCGAAGAACAGCTCTGCGACCTTCCACGACTCTACGCCTCCCGTGTCCTGCACCAATTCGAATCAATCACGGAACCAGACACGGCCGCGGACGCTGGAGCACCACTACTTCAGCCCGACGATATCGTTTCATTTATCACCATCCTCCTATGTGATTCCCAAGTCACGCCCTGCGTTGCCCTCGCATCCCTCCGCCTCGTCGAACGCTACCAGCTGTTCTCCAACCGCATACCCCCTCGAGACGAAATTCAGAGAATCCTGTTCGCTGCATTCATGTTGGCCGCCAAGATTGTCAGTCCGCGGTGTCGTGTGCGGTGGGCTTCGATAGGCGAGAAGCTCGTCGAGGGGAGGAATGTGTTTTGGTTGGAGAAGGAATTCTTGATCGACGTACGATGGGATTATGAAATGTTGGATGTGGTGGAGGAGGTGTGGGATGCATTTGCGGAGGCGAGGAAGGGGAAGTATGGTCCTGTTGTTCGAGAGAATGTGGATGGAGACGGGGTGACGGATGGACTCGGAGGTGTGGGGGAGGGGGGAGATTGGAAATCAGCCCGTCGGCTTTCGAAGACGTCTTCGACGACTACGATCAGCTACCAAGAAGAGACATCGGCGATCTCGTCGTCATCATTCCGGACACCACTCATCCTCGCTTCTATTAGGACACCGCGGATGGAGGTCGCACCGTCACACCGTCCTTCAGGGGGATCATCCCTGCGACAGGCGTACAAGCCTACAACATCGAAGACATCATCAGCCTCTCAATATTTGGACGTTATCAACGTCGACCGCGAGCGCAAGAATACACCGCCGAAGTTACGCAAACGGATGTCCCAGATCTTTCTGAAGGGGATGTAATTCCCCTCTACGAGGCAGTATCCGCATTCCCGAATCCCCCGTCCTTATCTTATCAGCAGCATATCTTATCTACAGATACGTAGATCGGGGCCCCTATCCGTATGCGCCCACGCGACGCGAGGGGAGCGCGTGCGCGGCTTGTCGAGCTTCAGCTTGATTAGATAGACTTCCCTTATCAGATGGTATACCCCAGCTTTCACTCCTTCTTTCCTGGATACCTTTTGTACTCGCAACTCTACACCGATTATTGTACTTTCAAGGCAACATGAAACCTATCTGGTTGGATGTCGATCCTGTTCGTGTCGAATCCAAAGGATTGGAGGATGTTTGGGATGAAATTCGCTAACGTTTTGTGGCGGTGTTTGGTCGTTAGGGACATGACGATGCTACAGCCCTTATGCTAGCACTGAACCTGCCCAATATCAAGCTGTTAGGGGTGTCAACGGTGAGTTCAAGCCACCAATCGTGTCCAACCCCTCCCTGCCCGACGCTAACCACTGGCGCTAATAATTTTGATTCAGACACACGGTAACGCAAGCAGCTACTACACTGCACTAAACGCTGCGCGGTGCCTCTTCGCGTTCGGTGCTAAACCGGGGGAGATCTACGTCTACCCAGGTGCCGACAAACCCTTAATTCTCCCAGCAAAACATGATCCAGAAATCCACGGCGTTGATGGTCTGGGAGGGGTCGAGGGTTTGCCTGCCCTTGACGATCCACGAGTGCTACAATTCTTCAAAGTGGATGAAGATGGGAAACGTGTTAGAGCATTGGAAGCCATGTCTGGAATCATCAGGCAGACATGGAACGGTGGGAAGGGGGAGAAGGTCACGGTGGTCTCAACAGGGCCCATGACGAACATCGCGCTCTTTGTGAGCGTCTATCCGGATTTGTTGGATGCCGTGGAAGAGTTCGTGTTCATGGGAGGAGCGGTGGGTATGGGTAACCGCTCCGCCGTCGCAGAGTACAACATTATGTGCGATCGTGAGTCCACCTTTTGACCCCTTCAAACTGAGCTGCAATTAACCTGGTTCATGAACCTTTCAATCAGCCCACGCTGCTCAAATCGTTCTAGACGTTCCAGTCAAAAAGACGATGGTACCAATCAACGTCACCCACACCGCGATCGTCACTCGAGACGTGCACCGACGTCTTCTCTCGCCGCACACCCCAGCGGTATCACACTCGTCTTCTCCCGACGAACCCCTCCCAAACCCCACCACCTTGAACCTCCGTCACACACTCTCGACGCTCATCTCCTTCTTCGCAGCCGCGTACAAATCCACGTTTGGCTTTGACGACGGCCCTCCACTGCACGACGCCCTCACTATCGCGTACATCTCCAAACCTGAGCTGTTCAAAGCGACGAGGTATAGAGTCGACGTCGAGCTCACCGGCACACATTCACTTGGCGAGACGGTCGTGGACATCTGGCGGTACAAGAAGTGTGATGAAAGCTGGGGAAGGACCGGACGGAATTGTCTAGTTGCTGATTTCTTGAATGTGAGTAGTGCTCCCCGCGGTCTTCTTTTTCATTTCTTTTTCTTGGTTTTCCGACTTCGCCTGTCTCCCGTTCCTTGGGCCTTGATCGTGATCATGAACTTTAACGGAGGCAGGATGATCTCCCAGGGCAAGGGAGAATTAGAAGTTGGAGAAGAGACTCGGAAGGGCTGACAATAATCTTATCTTGATTGTTTTTTCTTGGTGTTTTTCAGGTACCAGGGTTCTTCAATCTTCTTTTGGAGGCTGTCGAAACTTGTGACAAAGTGTCACCGCTCAACAAGAACTCGGGCTAGAGAAATCGAGGCCTCTCGGACTCCATTTGGGATACTGTATCTGCCGCATGGTGAAAGTTACACCTCGGGCTACGAATCGGACCTGCACTCTGGTGTGGATTGGTATTGGGGATCGGAAAGGATGCGATGGAACACGAAAGCAAAGCCCGATTAGATGATCTCGACGTGTTTTCCAAACCGTTCAAATCGTACATACATACATAGCTTTCGAACATAATAAACTACAAATAATACAATCGACCCGATACACCAATCGATCGACATTCGTCGGATGACGGTGCACAAAGTCTGTTTCCATTTCGTACACCAACAAGTGTTCGTTTCACCATTCTTTCATGATCCCAACTGAAAGACTTGACCCAATTTAACAGTGCCTTATTCTCATACCCTCCTCCTGTTCTGCAGTCCGCCAAACCACCCACCGACAAGCTGCTTCCACACCCTCGGCTTGGGCACAGGAGGCCTAGGTACGATCGTAATAGGGGGGAATGGCCTGATGGGTCTCGGTGGCCAAACAGGACGAGGCCTAAACGTCTTCAACCACCTGTTAAAGTGTTGTAACGTCTGCTTTCGAGCGTAGGCGATGGTAGGGTCTACAGCGCCCTTGAGCTGGAGGTCGGAGCAATGGAAGCCGTTAGTCAAGTAGATGGGTTGGAGGGTACGTCCTCGGACGTGGGGTGTGCGGATGCGCGCGGATAGGCCGGTATCGCGCCAAGGGTCACCTGGTTTGCAGAAGAAGATGGAAGTCAGTGGTGTGTTTCATTTGTGCAAAGAGCGTATCGAGAGGGTAGAGTGGGCATAAGAGAAAGATTTCAGGAAGACAACTCACGAGCACCGTCCACGAAAATCACTCGGTCAACACGGACGTTCCAACCCTTGTACTTCTGATTAATGACATCCGTGCGGGGCGTTGGCGTCTTAGAGAAGGCAGTGGGGAACATCAATTGACACATGTTCTGTTCAGATCATATCAAGACATTGTGTCAGCTGAACGTCTTGGACATCGAGAAGGGCAGAAGAGAAGAAGACCAGTCAAACGGGCGGAGCGAGCCACGGAGGGCAGGAGAAGTCTCGCGAAGGAAGAAGGAAGAAAGACACAGAACCGGTACGAATGGGAACACGACAGGAAAGAAGCAGAAGAGCTAGGAACGCACCAAGTCATACGGCGGCTGTATAAGTCTCGAAACAAGCGACGGGCGATCAGCGGGTGCACCGTTCTGTCCAAAAGGTAACATCAGTCAGTTCACGAAGCCGGATCAGCTGACCCCAGAGCGCTAAAGAAGGACGCCTGTCAAAGAACATACCTGCAAGTACCCTACTTCATTGCACCTAAAGAAGTAAATTGCCTTAGTGAGCTGTTCTCCACGCCATGCGATTCACAAGCAAGAAGAGAAGTGATAGGTGGATCAGAAAGCAGTACTCACACAATCCAGAACCATGATCTCCATGCATTGTCAACTGAGGTATCGGACCAGTAGTCCAGCGCGGTGTTAGTCGTGCCCAAACAAGTTCTGTCAAGCCACCAAGCCGTTTCACTAGCTGTTCCAAGGGTAGAAGCAGAGAACTTGGCTTACTCTGGATCATCGAATCCGCACACTGTCGTTGGCCCCAAAAACGAAACGCGTTTAGTCAACAACCGTCCCCGGAAGATGACCATGTCGAAGACTTACGTTGGAAGTAATACCTCGTCCTCCAGTAGAGACCCCAAGCTTCCAACGCATGCTCAAGTCCCCATCCTTCGGCAGGCGCCGAGACACCGTCCTTCACCTCAAGGGCATCGCAGAACCTGTAAAACTCGGTTCCAGGCCCAGAGCCCGGTTGAAGTTCCTGCCAATCCCAAAGATTATTACGCACTGTCAAACACAAAAGTCAGTCAGTCATGAATCAATGTGATCTAATCCACCACAAGGACATCCATCTCGGAGGAGATAGTCGATAGATGGCGTATCAAGAATGGCTAGATCATAGCCAAGAAAAGGAACATGCAACTTACGGGCGCTCAAAACGTCCTCCATCTTCGCTAGCTCGCTAAGTCCGAAATTGGCTTTTACGTCCTCAATGGCGCTCTGGTTTCCGCTTCTGAATACATCGTCCAAATGTTCGACCACCCGCTGGACATCTGCTGAGCAATTCTGCGGCATTGCTTGGCGGATGGGTTCGAAGTACTCCCAATAATCGCTGTCAAATAAAATGTCGATTAGTAAGGAAGGAATAGATTTTTGGGAAAATGGACGTATACATACAGAGTTGCTTGAACAACGCCGGAGGATGAATAGCCAGCGAAGAAGACGCCCGGTTTGCTTTGGGTTGAAACAGGGAGAGATTGATGGAGGAAGAAAACAATGATGTCAGAGAGCGCTTCTGGGAACCAGAACAAGGGAAGCCTTACTCGACCATAGTCCAGCTTACAAGGGCACCTGCAACAACCATTGCTCAGCACACAGCTCCATAAAAGGGTACTTCTCACTCCAGGAAGAGCGAAGGTGTGAAGAGAAGAAGGTCACACACCAGCATAACTCCCACCGACGAGAATCCAAGGCGCCTGATCGGGTGTGACCTTGTCACCATTTAACATGGGTAACTCGACATTCCTTGCAAAGTAGACGAGGTCGTCGATGGCTTGTTGGATTGTATGCACGCGGAAGCTTTCTGCGGTCAGGTCAGGATACGGGTTGCTTAGGCCGTAGAACCGGTGCTCGAGGACAATGTTTGCACCGTTCTCTTGTTGAGCTGGGCAAAGTTGCTGGGTTAATACCGGAGACTGGCAGGAATAACTGTGGCACGTACCTATCATTCCTGGAAGAGTCGCGTTGGTGAGGAAACCGGTGTATATCTGGGCATTCCATTCGCCTGGGGTGTAGAGGATAATTGGGCCCCCTAATGCAGTACGTGTGTGAGAAAGGGGTTGAAGTGACAATTGGAGAAAGGCGTACCGGGCTCGTAGAACTCATGAGTGAACCAATAACGCTGCTTGAACGTCCCAAGCGCGGGCCTGTTGTGGTCGATAAGTTGATCAAAGTAGTAGATAGTGCTGTATGGGGGGAGCAGAACGCCGTTCTTGCTGACCACGGGTAGGTTAGCTCTGGGTGCCTCTACCGGAGGTACAGTCGGCGGCCGCATAAAGTTGGCGTTTGGACGTCCATTATATCGACGAGCGGAGCATTGCGAGGTACATGTAAGAACAACAGAGAGGAGGAGAGCACAAGTCGAGATGGAAATTCCCCAACGTGGGCTGAGAAGCATAGTATGAGGAATCGTTAAACGGGGTCGAGGTTTCCTTCGGGAGAAATGGAAAATGCACACCAAGAGTGGTTCCTAGATATACGAACCCGGAGATTTGGCCACCAAAAAAAGTTCGCATGGGTTATTGCGTAGATCTCGACTCGGTTTTGGTGTAAGGGGGGAATTAAGCTCTTGACATTTTGCAACATGGCCCGAGGCTTCGTGTACGCATACTACCGCATACCGATCCGGACTGTAAAGTGACAGAAGTGAGATAAAGTGGTGTTCTATTGGGTTCTTTGGGCGTTCCTGTATGATCGAACCCCCAAGTAGAGCGGCATTCCTGTGCTGAAACGTGGGACTGGTCAGGAGAATTGATGGTCAAGGGCGAGAAAATGAGGGAGAAAATATGGTGATAAGATCCCTAAACTGGGATAAAAATAGCGTTAATGGTGCACCTGACCTTGAAGAGGATGACATTGCGGTGTCGATGATGGAGTATGCGGCATGCTGAACAATCTAGATGATCCGTCGCCGACACACAAGGTGGCACAAGAGGGTTGGCGGGGGTGACGACTCTCAAGTGCTACCTCCTCTGGCGGGCGAGAGGGGCATAGAGTGGCCCTGCTGCATTTCGTGCACGCGGGTTCTGTTCGCTAGACTTGGCTGAATATCCTAGTCTGCGGGCAGCACCTACTATTCTTGCAGGCTTCTTGCGCGCAGGATGGTATAGACAGGAGAAACAGACAGTATTGTGATCGCCGGTTTAGCTTCTCGACGTTCTCCACATAAATTGGCGGTCGGTAGGGAGAGAGCCGTCTGTTCGGGGGCCTGGGGAACCGGAATAACCTCGTAAGCAGGACACCTGCTCGATTTTTCCGCTTCTCATGGGCGCTGTGACGCCGCAGAAAGTGCACCAGTCACATTCGATGTCCACGGAGACGGTCTGGAGGATATCGTGGTCGACGTTGAGAGCAAGAACGGGCGGTTGACGGGCGGCAATCGCCTTCCCAAGGGTGATCCATTTTCGGCTAGCAACGATCAAAGTCGTCACGGTCACGTGACTCAAAGTTGAACTTGAACGCGGAAGAAAATGTTCTCTCAAGCCAGTACTTCGTTCTTCAAGCACAAGATTTTGGCAGGCTTTGCTCGGTTCTAGCAAGGCTCAACGCCGTTACGCGCTGCACGACGCACCTTACGCTCTCTTCAAGACATCAAGACTATACGACAAACATGATTCCACTTATTCCAGCACTTGTTCTCGCCTTCGTCTCTTTCCTCGCTTCAGCTTTCGTCGTTCTCAGAATTATCATTCCAATTCTGCCACCAAGCCCGCTAAGCAGACGTGTATCTCCAGTGCGTTCTTTTCTTCATTCAAGAAAATTTCTCTGACTTTGAATGGTTTAGGCCGAGTTTGGACTGCCTACTTTCCGTTCTCTGTCACCAGCAGATAAAGGCCACCTATGGCTCGCAGGATTTGACCTCTTCGCAGTTTTCATCTTCGTCTGGCACGTCACAGCAGAGGCCACGTCAGGACCTTCAGGAGCAGCTATTGCGCAAGACCCACTCGCAACTGTTCGGTTGTGGTTCATCATGACAGCAAGACAGGGCTGCTTGCTTATTATTGCAGCTCTGACCCTCTTGCATGTTAGAATGGGTCGCTCCTTCTCATTCGGCAAGAAGCATTGGATGCTCTGGGCACCAGTCGTTCTGCTGGCCGTCACCTCCACTGCCCTTGCCGGAGTCCTCTCAGGCGCAGGCGTCAACGGCCTTTTCCCAGGCCTCACCGCATACACTGGAACATTTGCGGTTCTCACGACCATCTCATTTGCATGTCTTTTCATTACGCTTTTCACGATCAAGAAGAACCTCGCTGCTCTCAATGAAGATCAAGATACCTGGCCCCCAGTCACTGAGGGTAAATCAAGGCCCTCATTCGCAACAGAAGACATTGACGCCATGCGAGATGGCGCATCATGGATCACTTCCACCGCCGGATCACGACGCAATTCTATGTCCGCATGGTCATTCTCGACCCACCACACCGCCGTCGCTTCCACTCACGGTGGTCGCCCTTCGAGCCGCAACCAAGGATCTGTCCCTGCCAAATCCTCCTTCTGGTTCTCGTCGGTCAACAACGACGATTTTATTCCTCCCGTTCCCCCTCTTCCTTCCCAATTCGGCCCTCCCTCCCCCAGCGCCGCCAGTCTCCATGACTCTGACCCATTCAGGCGCGAGCTTCCTCCGCTCCCCGATTACCCCCGCGGTCGCTTGGGATCCCAAAACTCTTGGTTGACTTCCACCGACGGCACCCGGACCACTCTTCCTGCATGGGACTTCACTCCCACCCACAGCGTTTATGAAGCATCGATCCATGCGTCAAGCCAGCAAGACCTCCAAACCGCTGTGTCCCGTCCCCACACTCCGGCCCTTGCTACTGCAAAGGTTTTGGGCGGCTATGGCTATGCTCCTGACACGTCCACTGAGAAGGGCCTCGCCTCCCTCGCTGCTCCCGCCGGCACCGAAATCCACTTGACCCTTCGCCCTGTAATCGGTTGGTTCATTTCCGTTTGGGTTCCTTTTGTAAGTGCACACCATGTTTCCTGGTTCAATCATAGGCTAACTTGTCCCACCTTAGGCTCTAGCTCTTCCTTACTTTATCATTCTTTCCCAACAGGCCACTGTCTCTCAGCCAGTCTACATGTTTTACGTGCTCTCGGTCACGCTCTCAGCACCTCTTCTGGCTCTCAACCTCGTCTTTGGTTCCGGTCTTCCCATCCCTGTCGGCCTCTTCGATATCCGTGAATCTAGTGCCCCTTCCAAGCGCGTCAGCACCGCTCCATCTGAGCTTCCCCAATACAAGTGGTCCCACGAGTACAAGCGCAGCATGAGCACTACGCCCACCGTTGTCGAAGGCCGCCGAAGCGGTGACGTTTGGATCTCCAAGGGCGACGCCGTTGAAGGAAAATCCAAGTTTGGCCGTGCTATGACCATGCTCACTCCCACTCCCAAGTTGTCAGTGCTCCCTCCCGAAGAGGACGACGATAGTGACTACCCGTCTAAACGCACTCCACCTGTCCCATTCCATGAAGGCGATTCCTCCATGCCGGTCTGCATCCACAACCGCTCTCAATCCGAAACCAGCGCTCAATTCGGCAGGCTCCGCACCGGCTCCAGCAAGAACGCTTCCACATTTGGATCAAATGAAGAGTCCGAGTTTGCCAGCAGGATTATGGTTGCACAGCGCCACTTCTCTACGCTCGCTCAGACTGTTGTTTTACCCGCTGGAACCACGGAGAATCCCACAGACGGTGACGCCGCCGATCCCGCCATCGGAAATGCGACGGGGGTAGTTGTGAAGAAGCATAACGGAGCAAGCCACCTTCGAACTCGGTCGACTTCTTCGATTAGCGGACCCCAGACTCCCACTGGTAGCAGCTTCAATGACATCAGCCCACCTCCTCCGTTCCCCCTTCCCCCGACCCCGCCCAACGTCCGCGCTGCCCGATTGGCCCAGCTTTCGCACAAGAAGTCGTTCTCGTCGAGTTACTCGTTCAAGGGTGTCTCGGATGATTTGAATGAGATTGATGCTTTGACGGCTGGTGTTCTTCCTCTCCTCGTTCCTGGTCTCAAGGTTGGAAGCGAGATGAAGATCAAGGATGATGTTTCGCCCCCTGGTACCTGGAGCAAGCATAAGGGCAGGAAGATGATGAAGGAGTTGAAGGAGTTTGGTCATGACTTCTCATCGCCCGAGGTTCATTCCACTCCTGCTAGGAGGAAGCCTAGGACTAGGAAGGAGACGCACAAGAAGAACCACTTCAGTCTTCCGAGGTATGTTCGTGTGTTTGACGGGTTGCGTCACTTGTCATTTGCAACGAATGAATGTGTTTACTGACTGTTCTTCTTTGTGTAGTCTTAGCCTTGGCAAAGAAGGTCTTCACTCATTGGCTAACTGGAGCAACGAGATCCGCGGTGCACTCGAGAGTCGCGTCGGGCAATACGTCGCCGTTCCTTCCAACGTCGAGCTCGGATACAGGAACACCGTGTTCGGTGGTGATTCCATTCCCAATGCTATTCCTCACCTCAAGGCTGTCCAGGAAGACCGCGAGACCTCGTTCTCCAACAGCAATGGTGGTGCCAGCCTCGCCCGAAGCCAGTCCACTCGCTCGCTCGGTCTCCGCGCTGACGTCCCCCACGGTATTGAAACTGCTCGCAACTCGATGATCACAATTCCCGAATCCAATTATCCTCCCTCTGCCGCCTCGACTGTTACCCTGTTCGATGAGTTCGAGGCTGGATTGGTTGGAAACCCCGACTCGCATAGCACCCCGCACAATTCGGTTGCCAACAAACCCAAGTTGTCGAAGGGTCCTGTTCCTCCTGTGCCTTCGTCCAAGGTCTCCATCTCGTCCGCCTCGACCAAGGTTGCTTCCAAGACCAGCAAGCGCTCGAGCATCGTCTACATCAAGTCTGACGAGAACGCTGCTCCTTCATCTTCCTCTTCCAATACCTACCCCATCTCCTCCAACAATGTGAACGAGCAAGTCACCTCGACAATTTCCTCCATTACTTCCTGGTCCTCCCGAACTGTCCGCCCGTTGGTCCCCAAGGCTGGTAGCTTCAACAAGCGCAAGAACAACGAGAATGCCAAGCCCTCTGGATCCCCTCGCGATTCCGGACTGCGCCAGCTCTCCTTGTTACAAGAGCGTGATACCAACTCGCTCGGCTCCAACTCTCCCGACTCGACCACCTCTTCGTTGAAACAATCTAGTGGCAAGAAGCAGAAACGCATCTCGGCCGCTAGCTTCATCAACGATGAGAACAGCTGGATTCCGGATTCGTTGAAGGGTGATGGATCATCCTTGGTGGGACCCAAGAAGAACTTGAAGCCTTTGAAGCTTGCGAGGTCTGAGACGAGCAAGCAGAGGGCTTTGCTGAGGAAGACCGAGGTGTTGCCTGATGTGGTTGTTCGTCCTCCTTCAACTTCGGAGCATACGCCTTTTGCGTACAGCTTCAGGCAGGATTAGGCTAGACCGTTGGATTTTGGATGACTCGCTGGACCGATTCGTTTTTGTTTCGGCTGGCCGGTTTTCTTCTTTGACGATCTGAATTCGTTCTGAACGTTGAACCATGTTTTACATGCATCGGTTTAGGATCTTTCTTTTTCGTTATCTGCTATTGCTCTCGATATGTTCTGTTTTTGTTCTCGCTATCTGTCTCTTTGCTTGCTATCTCTGTTTCACTCTGCTCTGCTCCGTTTTGTTCTCGCTCTCATCTCTATCCGCATCATCTTTTTTATCTTTATTTGCTTGCACATGCACATATACCAAACTACCGTACAGTGTACACCCTTTTTATATTCTCTCTCGCATCCCCCTTTGTTCACTTTTCATCCTATCCTAATTTCTGGCATCTTGAACACTGGCATGTTTCATTTGATTTCCTCATCCTACATCTAGACTACTGTTTCGTACCCCCACCTATTGCTTTGTTCTCTATTCTCGCTTTTGCTGTCGTTCCTACTGCTTATTGCTTTGCCATACGTATACGTTGTACGCACTACGCATCACTCCTATGCCCCTATGCTTACCTCTTTCTCTTTCAACTTCTGCACATTGTTCTGACTACCTCCACCTACTACAGCTGCTTGTCAGTGGTTGGAGTGTTGCCATTACTAACGTGTACTACTTGAGCGCTCTAGTGGCCACTTCTTTTTTTCATCTACGTACGCATTGTTTCGTTTATTCCAAGCCAAAAAGAAAGAGAAATTGTCCCACAATGTACAATGAAATCATACGTTTTTTGCAATGTAGCTTGATTTGAATCTCTCAGCCGACCATGGTCAATGGATCGGCAAGTACGACGAGGTTACACTCCATCGCATACGGACTTCCATGCCACGCACATGGGCCCCTTTAATCAAGCATTCCAAAAGTACTAATAACAGCCGTAGGCGGAGGTCCTCCTTCACGAGATTTAGTCTGTCCACAGTAGGCGAGGACGTATCGCGAGGGGTGCCAGGCGACTGACATGCACGGTCCCAGCGCTGGGATTCGGTGAAGAGGTTGGCATGTTTCTACTGCGGCCTAGTTTTGGAAGTGGTGGGTTAGTGATTAGTTGGACGGGCAGGTAGTGGAGATGCAGGCAGGGAGGGAGAAGGAACGTACGATATCGATGTAAGGCCCGTCACTTGCGATCGCTAAATACTCTCCGTCATGCGAGAAACTGAGTTTGTTGATTGCGTGTCTGTTGAACGGATCGCTCATGTTAGCGCGAATTTTGGAAATTGGGGAAGGAGGGAGAGACATACTCGCAAACCGTAATCGTCCTCGTACACAACCAATCATTCGTGTCAAACAGGTTGACGATGGAATCTGTCCCTCCCGTTGCTAGATATCTATATTTCCACTACTCGTCAGAATACGACCCACGAGCGTATGAAGAAAAGAAAAACACGAAACGTACGTTCCCCTAGGATCCAGCGCAAACGCCGCACACCCGCCCACATGAGCAGGCAACTGCCCAAACTCGTCACCAAAAGGCTGGCACGCGGGGTAATCAAAGAGGAAGATGGTGTTCAGGTAAGGGTAGGAGGTGACCACTCCGTCGCCTGTATGGTTGAATATGCCCGTTACGCCTGGTATTGAGAGTAACGTCCCGGGCTGTGGTTGAGGTTGTTGAGATTGAGATTGGGATTGGTTTTGGGTGGGGCCGGATACCGATGTGGAGGCTTCACGGTCGCGCATGGCGGCTGGACCTGTTGGTATTGCTGGTGCTGCCGGTACTGTCGGTGCTGGTGCGGGCATTCCATTAGCATTAGCATTGCTGTTATTGTTACTAGCCGGTTGTTCTTGATTCTGGTTTTGACTTTGACTTTGGCTATGCTGAGTTGCAGCAGGAGCAGCAGGCGGAACCTCGCGACACTTCCACGTCTCCTTCGTTTCATCCGGTCCACGCGTCAGCTCCAAAAAGTAGGTATGCTTATTAGGTGATGCGCAGAGGAGGTGTCGGCCGTTCGGAGAGTAGCACGTTTCGGAGGGTGTGAATTTCAGAGGGACGGATTGGATGTGTCTGGATTCTGTTGGGTATTGGGAATTGTAAGACGGTGAGGCGCTGGTCTTGTGATAGGCTGTATGTAGCAAGGAGGAGGGTTAGACGTACGTCGAGCATCCCAGAATACGATCCTTCTATCTCGTTGACTTGAGGTGCAGAAGAGTTCTGGATGGGTAGGGTTCCATGATATATGGTCGATATCGTCCGAATGTGCGCCCGAATACACTGACGCCTGTCGTGGTTCCAACTAGATTATATCATCCACGATGTACCATCGACATAGTCATCATTAGCCATTAGCTATTGTGAAGAGAGAAACAGAAGAACACATACACTCTTTTCAGGATTCCAAATCCTCACTGCTTTATCTATCCCCACAACAGCCAGTTTCTTCCCATCGCAGTTCCATGCAAGATGTTGGAACGAATGAGGACTTGGGTACCTGTAATCGCGTGGTTTGAATGCCGAGAAGGTTGGAGGCTATTTCCAGTCCGTCACATCGGTGGCCCAATTGTCGATGCAAAAAGACCATCCATCGCCGTTCAAAGTCGGTGTTTGCGATCGAGTTATTCCAGTAAGGATTTCCAAAATGCGTTCAGAGAAGATCCACGAATTTCAAGGATATCCAGACAGACAATAAGCCCTCAATTCCCTTCTACACCTTGAAAACGAAAGATGGCGTACATGAATTCCCCGAGCTGCAAACGTCGTGTGCGGCGGCGGCGACGGCGGTCTCTGAAACGAGGTGACATCGTCTTCATCTCTTGTTAATTGTGACATGGGTATGGTAGAGACTAGAGTCTAGAGAAGGCGGATGAACCGTTCGAGAAAGCGATGATGGTATGGACGAAACAAGCGTTTGACCGGGACAAACGCGTCTCGGTGCGCAAATGCCAAGTATGATGGTCTGATGGCTTGGCGAGAGCGGACGATAGGGGCGCGGTATTACCTCGTTCGGTATTCCTCCCAGAGAAGTTTGAACTGGTCGTTTGGACTTGGTTTGGACGAAACATTGGTATGTATAACGATGTTATTCGTCAAAAATTGTAAGAAAAAAAATAGTCATAACAAAATCATGAAAGAGAAACTCGTGTAGCGAATGTAGACGGGACAAGAGTGAACAAACACATGTACTATCCAGTGTGGGATGTATGCCAGAGTCTATATGAAATGAGTAACCAAGAGGGAAGAAGAGAGCATCCTCCACTAGATCATTAATCCAAAAATTCCAACAAAAGGGGGGTACCCGAGGAGAATATCGCGGGTAGTCAGTCTACCCATCCCTTCCTGATAGACACGGGATACACCACCAACCATTTAAGCGACACTCAAACCCTACTCGGAGCAGCACTCCTCTCAACAATGCTAACCGCATCAGCCACAGTCTCCCTAAACGCATCCAACCCAACCATATCCACAATACCAGCCTTGACAAACGTCTGGTACGGCTTGGCCTTGACGTGCGTCATGAAGATCTGAACGTCACGCTTCATGTATTCTTCGGTGAGTTCGTAGAGGATTTGCGCGGCTCTGTGTTTTTCGTGGGTGTAGAATTCGTTTGGGTTGTAGGAGTTGCATCATCGTCGTGAAACGTGCGTTAGTCGGAGACAGAGAGAGATGCAGAAGACGGAAAGGGGGAAATTAAGAGACTGCGTCAGTAAGGGTTTAATTTATCGCAAAGCAATTGACGTACGAAGCATCCACGGAATCGACATCGGCCATATGGAAAATGAGCACAGAGGCCTCTTGACGAGTAGGTCGTTCGGAAGGGTGGTGTTTGTGAGGTCCGTACAGCTCCAACCTCCTCAGTCGTTCTGCAAGTAACAAATGCATGTCAGCAACCCCGAAAATGAGAAAAAGACAACCAAATTAAAAAGGCAAGGGCAACCTAAAGTACTGGAAAGCAAGAATGAAAAGGAAGATTGACAACCCACCTTTCAACTGTGACGTATTGGCAAAGTCCAGACTCTCCCTAATCCTCACAATCAAAACACCCGAAACAGCCTCCTCAGCCTCCGGCGTATCCTTCAAAGGCTTCCACCTATCCGTACCCGGAATCCTTCCCAAAATCGTCATCCTCGTCTTGGACGAGCGATGCACAACAAGCAACAACGAAAGAACCATGCTAATGACAATACCAGCTTCCAAGTTCCACACGATGCAAGCGGTAAAGGTCATGGTCATGATCGCGAGGTCGACCCAGGCGCCCATCTTCCAGTAATACATGACGTCGTGAGGAGTTTCGGCGAAGAGGGAGTAAACAACGAGGGTGATACTGGGAGGATTGCATAAGCATGGACCAACTAGGCACCGGCGAAGCAATGACTTACACTGCACCCAAAACACATTTTGGCAGGTAGTACAACCACGGAAGGAGGAAGAACGTCGCGAAGAGGACGACCAGCGAACAGACTATGGAAGCCATCTGGGTTCGTCCGCCGACGTCACCATTAATGCGGGATCTATCAGTAGAGACAATGAGCAAGGTCTAGACACGGGAGTGGCGTAGGCTTACCGAGTGATAGACCCAAAGGCCGAAAGGGTACCGGGAACGAAAGAAGCAACCAAGTTCGAGGCACCAAGAGCGACCAACTCTCTGTTGGGACTGATCGAATGTCCAAAGCGAGCAGCATTCTGCTTAGCAGCGACGATGGAATCCAAGAAGCCAGCAACAGCGATCAAACTAGAGGGAAGACGGCAGTCAGGAGAGGGTTAGAATCGGATGACAAAGGTAACTTACACAGCGGTGGAGGTAGTGGCGCGGACAAACTTGAAATTGCCGTTGGCAAGGGGGAATTGGAAGAAGTGGTCTCCTGTGCTGACGGATACAGCGCCGAGGATATCAACGCCACCCTTGTCCCATCGAACCTTCCCAGAGATGTCTAAGAAGGGACATGAGCCAAACAAAAGTTAATGAACGGACGAATGAACATACAGGTCGAGAGCACCACAACGATCAGCACCTCCGGGAGACGGTAGATCCACCACGTCTTTTGGAACTGGTTCTTGAACATTCTGAAGAGGACGAGGGAGCCCAATGCGCCAAAGCTGATCACCATAGTAAGCTGGTTCGAGTGCTCCCAGACGTTGTCCCAGATAAACGCGATCTTCTGAAGGGTGGTATGTGGACCGACGACCCGCATCAACTGGGTCAAGCCGAACATGGGTATCAGCTGCTCACTGCACAAGTACTGTTAGCACAACCGTGTTCCAACCGGGCAATCGCATACGCACACCAAGATGACAACAGCGACGGCGCTGATGAAGCCCCTAAGCAGAGCCCGACTGAGGACGACATCAATGAAGCCCAGGCGGAAGAAACCGAGAAGGAAGCAAATCAAGCCGACCTAGAACGAGCACGCAACACAGTGTGAGAGACACGCGCAATTGGACGGGAAAGTTAGTAATAGGAAAGAGTGTGGTACTCACCTGAAAGTTGATAACGGAAGACACGGCAAGACCGACAACGTCGATTCCTCCTTCTGGTGGGTCCCCAATTTCGTGTCGGATCTCCTGAATGGCCTGGCCCAGGAGGAGCGAGAGCGCCGCTTCTGGTGCAACGTTAAGCTGTCTGGATGTACCAAGGAACGCATAGATAATTCCAGGAATTGAGGCAGAAATCTAAGTAGTTGAATGGTTGGCTGGTATGAGTTGTGGGCTTGACAAACACGAATGGGGCGGGGAATGGGACCTACCAAACCAGTTACGGGACTGAGCTTCGCCAACGACGAAGCGTAACTGATAGATTGGGGTATAAGGATGCAGCCGACTGTCAAACCGGCTAGGATATCGCCACCGAGACTAAACGAAAGAGTCAGATGAGCGGTGAAGACGGGTACATGATCCGGACGCAAAAAGCAACAACGTACAGCGACCAATTGTACTGCGGGATCCATGCCAGCGAGGGGATATAGTAGCGTGCTCGTCTAGCAAGTGCATATTTGCGTCTCGGAGCACGTCCAGGGACTGTTGGGAACAGTTCGGGGGTCAGCATCGTTGGACAGCCAAAGCAAAGCAGCCAACCGCCTCTATTTATACAAACGAACTGGCAAACCTACCTGACGGCGCAATACTGCCATAATCAGCAGAAACCTCAGGAGTGTTGCTGCCTCCTGCATCGATCAACGCAGTCCTCTCCTCATCCTCCCGTTCACCTCTAGAATCCTTCTTCCTCTCTCTAACGGTGTCGATGGCCATAATACTTTCCGACGCGGTGGACGCAGCTGAAGAGTCGGGCAGGGACTTGCCCTGGTACGGTGTTGGGCGAGAAGAGCTCATTTTGAGCTTGTGAATGGGGTATTCCCGTATTCGAGGTTGAAGGAGTACTTGGCCGGACCAGGACTCGAAATCGCGGCGCCTCTTGAACCCTTTTGCGGGTTATGTAAGTGGTGTACCGCCACCGATCTCGGCTCCCCGGCTTCATCGCGGGGTTTGCTTGGCCCGCTTGGCGCGGTAACACCGTTCACCGCCCGTTCTGCCATTGTCTTCTGACCACGACGACGACAGCGGCGAACGAACGTTTGCGCTGAAGATGATGTCCTTGCCCAAACCTCGAGAACCGGGTGGTCCCATTAGGGACTACAAGTATACCCAGGAAATATCACAGATGGTAAGTAAAGAACGTGCTTCAGAACCCTGTGACTGAACCTGGAGTCACATAGATGTTCGTCTTTGGAGAAGTGCAAGATCCAAATCCCGAGACCGTGAATTTGGTAGAAGACATCGTGCGGAGTCAGATCATTGAATTGGTGCCTACATACCTTTTCAAGATTAGTTCTCCTGGCTAATGGGTGTCTAGATTGTCCAAGCGCGAGCTGTAACACTGCGTCGCGGAGCGCGTTTCCTTTCCGCCGAAGACCTTATCTTCCTCATCCGACACGACCGCGCCAAAGTAAACCGACTCCGAACCTATCTCTCGTGGAAAGACGTTCGCAAACACGCTAAAGACTCTGGGCCCGATGGCGGTGGAGGTGTCGAAGTCGACGGTTTGGAGGATGGCGGTGACGGTGCGCTCCCCTCACCCTCTTGTGAATAAGACAGGAAATTCATGGCGATACAGACAAGATAACTGCAAAAGCCCAAAAGATCAACTTCAAGCTCCCTTGGGAGATCATGACCATCTACTCCGAAGTCCTGAAAACAGCAGGGCACGAAGACGACGACGAAGAAGACGACGACGACATCGAAGCGCACGAAGCCTCCATCCAGCGTCTAAAGGTACACCCTCCTTCTCCCCACCCTTCCCTCCACGAAACTCAACCTCCTTCCAGGAAGCAGACGACGCAACCCGCCAAATGACCCGCGAAGAATACCAACACTACTCAGACTGCCGCCAAGCCTCCTTCACCTACCGCAAAGGCAAACGCTTCCGCGAATTCCTCAACCTCCCACCACACCTCGACCTCCGCGCCAACGACGACACAATCGACATCGTCGGATTCCTCGCTTTCGAAATGGTCAGGTCGCTCACCATCGCCGGTCTAGCCGTCAAGAAGAGTCTGGAAGAGAGTATCTTGAGAGACGATTATACAACTCCGAAGAATGGGAAGAGGAAGGCGGGTGGGGCGACACTGCTGGGAGGCCCAGCGGAGAAGAGGAGGAGGGAGGAGGAGGGTGAGGAGGAAGAGTACACCTTGCCTGTTAACACCTTGTTTTTGCCCCCGCCAGAGGCGAGGACTGCGTTGAGACCCGAGCATATCCAGGATGCCTTTACAAGGATGCAGACAGAGTGGTCCCATAGACGTAACGCAGGTATGCATAATTGGCGCGGAGGCCTTGTGCGTACCAGGATTAGTCTCATTTAAGTTTGGCCAACCTCTGTTCTCCCTTTCGTTCGTCATGTTATCTCGCTATCGTTATCGCACCACACACATTGTACACTACCGCATTGTTCATCCAATCATATTCCCTGCATTGTCCAAGAAATACCTATAATACATTGCATTCTTCTTTCAACCGCACGAGGGGAAATCTTTTGGAACACCCCTCCACCCAACGTTATCCCTTCAACCCATCCGAGAGCCCTTTAGAACAACAAAGAAGCAGCAACATCCAAATTTCCACCAGCAGCTTCCAACGTACTAATCGCCATCTCCCTCGACACTCCAAAGTCCATAATCGTCTTGATATGTTCCTCAGGGAACCTGCTCGCCTGCGCCGGAGGCTGACTCGTTCCCCCTCCCCCGGGTGTCCTAGAAGCAGGCGCAGCACCCAAAGTTCTCCCTTCCCCACTCGGGAAACTCCCGCCAGACATGTTCCTTGCAGCAGGGTTGCTAATGGACCCCCCAGCAGACGAAGGCCCCGCAGTCGACGGTCCACCCGACACATCCTCTTCCAGGGGCATATCACGCGCCTTTTCGGGGAGCTCATGTTCAGGTAGGAAGGGTACCTCGCGGTCCTGGATAATCAGACAATTCTTCTTGAGGTCAATGATAGCCTGGTGCGCTTTGAGCATGTCCAGTCCAAAGAGGAGGTCGACTGTGCGGCCCTGGTACGCAGTTTAGACCGGAGGGAAGGGCGGAGGAAGATGTGGCAACGTACCTCCATGATGGTGAACGCGCAAGGAAGGAAAATGTCGGCCACTTTGAGCTGCGCTGCGTGGATCCGTCCAAGAATCTTGGCTGTTCCAACACCGTGAGCGACACCTGCGAACCGCGAGTCGAGTAACCGCATTATTCTACGCGTCAAAGGTATATTAGCGGGTGGATTGAAAGGGGGGTGGAAGAGAAGCTCACCCGCAAGCTTCGGCGCATTCAGGGGTCACTGTGGAATAATCAGCGGTTGAGCTACGCGTAGGAGATGGATAACTGAGTCAAACTCACTGATAGTCGACTGAGCACCCGAATCCACAAAAGCCTTCACAGGATGTCCATTCACCTCCACCTTGATACTAAAAACACAATCCAATCAGCAAAGTTCACTCAACAGAGAGCCCAGATCCAAACCCCAACTCAACACGACCACAAAGAATACTCACTAAAGCATGTGCACCCTCCCGAAAAACTCTGGACTATACTCCAGCGCATGCGTCATGTTCTCAGCAACAGCCTGCATCCTAATCTCCTCCTCGATCTTTCGCTGCGCTTCCACATCGAACGGGTTGGCGTTGAGACGCTCGATAGCAGCGTTTCTGTTCACTGTGTCCATTTGCGAACGCATGGCGCGCATGGTCTCGGCGAAGCGGGAGGGGTGGTTCTCGACTACGTCGGCGAGGTCTGGTTGTTGCTGGTGTGGAAGGGGAAGGGTGTTAGTGGGACCGGAATAGGGAATATGGTGTGGAGGAGGGATAGGAATAGGAGGAGGAGACGAACCTCACGAAGCTGTTGCATTAGCTGTGGATCTCCGAGCATTTGGAGACGCATCATTTCAGCGTCTTGTTCCATCGTTCTGTACACGGACATCCAGGAGTTCAGACACTGTCGAGTAACTGAAGGCGAAAAATAAGGAGGACGCACCCTCCCTGAACGGTAGCCACCTTCCTCCTCAAAAACAGCATCGCAGACTGCCCTTCAACTCCCAACTGCCGAATCGTAGATTTGGGATTACTGAGCTCGCGTCCATTGTACGAGATGCTCTGCTCAGAAGCTGGGATGCCTGACTAGATGGGGCATCGTTTCGTTTAACAGGGTATACAAGTCACCATATAGCACAGCAGTTGTCAAGGTATGAGGTCGGGAACGTCGAGCGACAAACGACATCGACGCAAGTATTGCGATGAGGAGAGAACAGATCAGGTCGATATCCAATAGATTCACGTAGATCCAGCACTCACCTCTGCCTCAAGCAAAGCCATAACATTCTCCAACTCCATATTCTCATCAATCTCAACGACAAAGCTCTGCCCCAGATCGTTCATGAACGTCAACTCCATCTTGGCTTGCGATGAGTCTAGTCTTGTGTCGCTTCTTTGGTTGTTCGTCGGGCAGATACGCCTTCAAAGACGTGGATGTGGATGGGTGAAAAGAATGAAAGGGTAGATTGGCGCTCAAAGAAGGTGCTGTTACTGCCAAAACGTGTTTTGGAGCAGCGACCCGTGGTCACGGTATAGTGAAAGGAGGGTCACGCCCGTGGTCGCGTCCATCGTATGTGTTTGATGCCATCAAAATTCAACTTGTTCTCTTCTCCCTCCTTTCATTGCAGTAATGGACCAGTGTAACGAAGGATTTAGGACTCGCAGACATCAAGATGGTTCGTCAGAGACACTATCGTCCGGAGAAACGTATACTTGGACGCGTCCTATCTCATGGTACCCTTCTGGCTCATGCCCCTAACCTCGGTTCCGATTGTGACGCAGTATTCAAGAGGACATAAAAGACAGAACATCTAAGGTAGCTTGGTGGCTACTCATACATATAAAATCCCAGATGATTCCAAAATTCGATAGATGTCGAGGGGATTGTAAGGGCCCAGATCGAACTCAGCAGCCGGGTGGGGCGTGTCGAGCAAGTCCAAGACGGGTACAGGGTCGGGCTCCTGGACCGACATCGGCGTCGCCAGCGCCTGAGTTGGATCTGCCGTGGACTCGAGGGGAGTAGGATCTTGGTAGGCAGGGGCCTGCACCGGCAGAACAGCGCCCCCCTCAAACTCGAAGCGACTGTTGTTGTTGGAGCCCTTGCGTTTGTGGTAGGCGGGGTTGGGATTCGGAACCATAGGAAAGTCGAGATCGGGGTGGAAAGGGCGCCCGAGAACAGGCAACCGCGGGGAAGGGCTAAGGCTACTCGAGCTGGAAGCAGGGCTTGTATACGCAGAACTTCCGCCGTCACTGCTTGACCCGGTCGCGCGCGCAGCCTTCCTATCCTTCCTGGGCTTCCTGCCATTCGCCCTCGTCTTCGGCTCATAGACATAGTCGGGGTATTTCAATTGGTGCAACCTTTTCTCCTCCTCACCCTTGTCCTTCCATAGCTCCCGTTCCTCCTTGGATAGGGCACGCCATGCCTTGCCAGCCATCCTGCTAATCTCGTTCTGGTTCAAGCGTTTCCCATTGGAGAAGATTTGGGTAGGGTTGGTTTGGATGAAGTAGGTGCGGAAGAGCAAGAAGGCGTTGCTCGGTCGGGGGATGTGGCCGGGTTTATTTGGTTTGTTACGGATGGGGCCGGTGCTGGGAGGAGTGGAAGAGGCAGAAGAAGAATTGGGGTGGGAGGCGGGCAAGTGCGACGATGAAGTAGTGGGAGAGGGCGCAGCGAAAGCGAGATCTCCATTCCAGGTATCAGAGGGCCAATGGGGAGGGACCGCCAGTGCGTCTGAACACTGAATATGATAGGGCTCGAGTGCGGGTTCAGGGAGCGCAGGCGCGTAAGGGAATGGCGCGCCATAACCTGCGGCTTCCTGGAATAAGTAGGATTGGCTGAACGGCTGCACGCTTGGGTGCATGGCGTCTTCGTCACAGATTAGCGTCGCGTCGTTCTCCACGATCATAGCGACTTACTGCTGTTAAACGCGTATTTCAATTGTCCGCAATAGAATTGCTGAAGCTGCTGAGCAGTGATGGGGTCGTTGAAGGCGGGCATCGTCGTCGAACTGAAGGTCGCTCTTGAAAGGAGAGATGGTTGAAGAGGCAGACTGGGGTGAATCCCTTTTCTGGTTTTCCGTCTTCGCTCGCATTTTGAATGATTTCGTATGCCTCGTCAGGTGTGCTAATGTGACGAACGAAAAGAGTTTCGGTCTTCAAAAGTTTTGTCGTGGATGGGGAAGAGACTCTGTAAAGCCTCGAGGCATGCCACGAGGGAATCGGGATCATTAACCCCCCTTTCTTATGAGGATTCCCACGTTCTTCGTCACGGACGTCATCGACAACTTCTTCAAGGAGTCGAGTCCAAAAGCCTCACTTCCTGCTCGATTTCGCTGAATAAAATCGATCTTCATCGTCTACATGTGTAGAATGGACCAGAAATACGAAAGTACTGAAAGTGGTTTGGCAACTGAGAGGAAATCTTGACCGATTGGCCGAAAGTGGATGGTCTGATGATGTAGTGCTAGTAGGCGTAAATATTGGTTTCTGTGGTTTCCTCTGTACAGTGCCATATTCAACACTTTTGGTATCCCTGTTGAAGTCTCCTTTCATCCTGCGAATGACGCCTGAGAACTGAGAACTACTTCGTTAAACCGAAGAAGCATTTGTCCTACCCACAACTTAACCGCGAATTGCTCAGTACAAGTCGAGTCGAGCCGACCGACAAAATGAGGCGCAACGCCGGTTTTCGACTGTGCAACTCACATTCCTGTCACACTGTTCTACCGATCAAGATCTATTGCCAAAGTTCCATTTTCTGTCGCTGTACCCATACCTGGAACTGTGTCAAGTATCGAAAGGTCAATCCTCTGGGTCTATGGATACCATACCTTTCTGTAAAAGTGAACGAGGAGCCCGATAACATACGCTACATAATTTTCATCTGTAGCTCTTCCTGGCGAACGGCGAATGGAAGCGAAAGATGGAATATTGGCTGCTAAAGCCTTTCATGAGCGACATGAATGAACAACGTGGTCGAGACCGACAATATATTGGAATAAGTACCCGGCATACAGGTACATGACCAGTGGATTCGTGAATCCTCTTCCATTCTGGTACATTTGTTGTATTCGAAAAAGGGGCGAATGGACGATCGGGACAGACAATTACAAATGGAGATATCAAATGTGACGATGTGAAGAGAAGAGTGAAAATAAGCTTTGCCCGTGTCGTCACAAAGCAAGAAAAGCGGACCGATATACCTTGATCTAATCTCGTTGATCAATGTTCCCTATCCGACCTCAGCTTGACGATAAGCAAATGCTCTAACCGGTGAACCATCCGTCCCTTCCAGTTTGAGCGGGATGACATTCACAACCCATTCTCCTCCATTGCGATCCTCCAGCGCGCGCAAGTTGGCCATGTTCTCTACGATCAGCCCTCCTCCTCCCAGAAACACTTCGTGGAACGCGTAACCATTGCTCCCTCCCTCGAGTTCGCCGGACTTTCCCTCTGATGCATCCTGGCCTTCGGTACCAGCCTTTTGGAAGGGCGTCTCGTCGGGGTTTGGCACGTCCGTTCCAAACACCTTGATCCCGATGTCAAGCAGCCTGGTTGCAACAGAGGACGAGAAGTACGGATGAGCGAAGAACGTAGATTGGTCAAAGGGGCTGTTGGCAAGTGCTTGTTCTGACCATCCCGTGTTTACGATGAAGATCTTGTAGTCGCTTGACCGCAGATGCCCCTCCAATGTAGTGGAAGAGGAAGTACCCTTCCATACATTTTCAAGGTCCCCCCAGTCAAGTTTCTGCCTCCTCCCAGGCCGGCCATAATCTCCACGAGTGAAATCAACGATGCAGGCTCTCCCCACCAACTCATCCAGCCCTATCTGGTCTATCGATCTGCCGCCTTCCACAAAATGACAGGGTGCATCTATATGTGTCCCAGATTGTGTTCCCATGCTCAGGTTGTGCACCGAGTACCCATCCTTGGAGATCGTCGCGTGGGGTGTGAGCTGGAAATCGGGATCGCCGGGGTAGATGGTTCGCGGAGTCGTCGAGGGAGAGAGGGGATGTGTCAGGTCGATTATGCGAGGATTGGAGATCGATGTCATATCTGTTTCGGTGGAGGGCATTCGAGGTGGTGGTAGGAAAGAGAGATTGGTTGGACGTGATGAGGGCGATGGAGACTGATAATCGCGTGAGGGGAGTTCTTTTCTCGGAAGCGGTGTGACCTTTTATGGTAAGACGTCGGGCCGTCTGGTAGGAGAGGAGGACAACTAGTCCAATGCGTGAGACATGTATTACTAGATTATACAAAATATACTATGTTCATGACTCGTTCGGGTGTATGATCATGATGAAGCTTCTACACTGCCAACCTCGCCTTCATGCGGCCAACGTTTGGAGCGATCTGGCTCATGAGCTGAAGAGATGGATTAGATACGTGACAAGGTCCATGAATATTTGCGCACTTACCAGGGCCTCCCATGTCCCTTTTAACAAAGAATTCGACCTTCTCTTCATAATCAGGATAACCTGGCTTCAGTTCTCGTTGCGGATTAATATGCTTCGTCGGCCTGGCACTGAACCTGGTCGGAAATCGCTGAACCCATCTCTTCACCGTCTCCAAGCTCTCCTTGGGGTACCCAGCCGCTCTCACCCTCTCAGTCGCCTCCTCAAAGTTGATATAACTTTCATATGACTTCTCCCCCGACATCCACTCGTACTCCTTATCCGCCCTTGCCAGCTCCTTGTCCGATGCCTCTGCCTTCCTCCTCCGTTCCGCCAGATTGAACAGGTTGCCTTCATCGTCCCCGGAGATCCTCACCAGTTCCGTGAGTAGAGGACATATCGTCTTATGCGGGAATTCAGGGTTCTTCCAGTCCTTGACTTGACACTGCTTGCCGCAGTAGGCGACGACACCGCACGAGGCACATCGTTGGAGGGACTTGCCAGAGGTGTGCATCGAGTTGTCACACCCCTTGTTCTTGCACTTGCCCTCCGTTCTGAAGCGGAGGATCGCGTCCAACACAAGCTCCTCGTCTGATTCGGGCATAGGCCAAGGGAAGATCGCGCCATCTAGATCGACGATGGCTGGGTGCAGCAGGAGGTGGAGGTCAGGGTACCGGTGCATGTACAAGTACCTGTACAAGAAATGGGCGATGAAGATGAGTTCGTTGTCTTGCACGAGTTTTGGATGGTCTTGTCCCATGCTGTCCTTGTCCGTGATATAGCACGTCAGAGAAAGGAGTTGTAATGCCTTGACTTCGCATCCGGTGAAGATGTCCTCGAGGTGGTTTGAGGAGAACGTTTCGGACATGGTGACCGTGCTGAGCCAAAACCGGAAATGTCCCTTGCTCACAGCGTAAGCGTGGATGAAGTAAGGCTTCCCCATGGGACTGAACCACTCCTCGTTGGCGGGATCCATGCCATCCTTTTCGAGTATGGATACGAAGAGGTCGAATTGCGATTTCCACGCGTCGAAGACGAAGGTGGCGAAACGGAATTGGACCATGCTGGGGATTATTCGTTCCCTGCTTAGTCGCAAGACCTGTGCAAAGAGTCGGAACAGCATGGGGTCGGGGAGAACTTGGTACCAGGTGATGAAAGATTGGACGAGCTTGTCGGGGCCGTGGGGGAAGAGGTCGTCCAAGTTTGTTGGCCACGAAGAGCGATCCTTGTACCCTTGGAGGGCCAGTGGTTTCGCTCTCTGATACTCCAACATGTCCAGAACGAGAGTGAACATATACATGATCACCCCCGACCGCTCGATCTCGAAATGCTTCTTCGCCTTGTCCGAGATGGGCATCCTCTTTCCAACCTCCCTGAGGTAAGCCATTAGCTTCTGAAAATGATCAGTGTCGTGACCAAGGGTTTTGGCGAAGTTGTGGTAGGTCATGAGGTTGGTCAACGCATCGTTGTTGCCCGTTAACATGACTGTCTCGAGGCAAAGGCAGTCGGAGAGTTCGCGGAGCAGTTTCTCGGTTTCCTTCTTGCTTCGAGGGTGGAAGAGGAAGTTGTACATCATCTGCCATATCTCCGGCTCGAGTTTGAACCCTCTTGGTGTGGGATTTTCAGATTGGGTAGCTTTCTCCGAGTTCTTTACGAAGGTCTCGTAGAGTTTGTCATCATCGGGTTCGTCGAGATCGATATCGAAATCAGAGACGAAGAGGGTGTCGAGGATGAGGCCGTGGATTGCAGCACCGCAAAGCAGGGGCTTCTCTGGCTTCAAAGCACTTTCGAGGATCTGAACCGAGGTCATAACGGGCGTTTGGAATCAAAGTGGAACTACCAGTGTCGAGTCAGTCCAAACCCCTTCATCCTAAAATGTCTCCAGATCGTACCCTGGGAATGGCGCTTAACTATTCTCCAGCCGATTCAAGAACGTCTTCGCCGCGTTCAACGTTATTGGCTATGGGTTGCACGATCCTAATGTGACCACAGACAAAGTCCAAGAGACCAAGGACCATGATGGAGGAAATCAAGAAGGCCGTCCCGGTCGTCGCGTTTTGATCCTTGATATTGGCCTCCCCGGACCGCGGCCAAACCGTCACCAAACCGCCTCTTTCCCTCAACCGCTTATGTTCGTTCGACTCCGGACATGCAGACTCCTGGGCCTTAACCGTCAATACCGTTTCTTCCACAGCTACAGAGAGGTTAAAGAAGACCCAAGATGGCCAGGATACCAGGTGGTTATTGGGATTGAAACCCATGCCCAGATCAAGTCGCGTCACAAGTTGTTCTCAAGTTCGTCTTGCTTTTTGCGCATTTGAGATGAGCCCTGGTTAACGTTCGCTGTAGATGCATTGACTGCTGAACCAAATGACGTTCCCAACACAAAAGTCGTAGGCTTTGACGCCGCGTTCCCTGGAACACTCCCCGTATGACTTTTTGTCAAGTAGGCGCCGAGAGAATGGTACTGACGAGGACGCAACACAGAAACTTAACCCAAATTGCGTCGACCTGGCTTTGAGGACGGCGCTAGCACTCAAATCCGACATTCAGAAACGCTCCTCATTCGATAGGAAACACTACTTCTACTCCGACCTACCCTCCGGATTCCAAATCACTCAACAATATGGTGCGCAATTCGCCTTGCCCCAGGGGCGCTGTATTCACTGTTCGTTGTAGCACCATTGGCCACTGGTGGAGTCCTTCAAATACCAGCAGCTACCCCTGGCTCCGAACCTATTCAAGTTCGCATAAAACAAATACAGCTTGAGCAAGTTCGCGCTGTTCCTTTCCACCCAAAGAGTGTATTCTCATTCGCCCATAGGACACGGCCAAGTCAACCTTCAATCCCCGGACATTATCATCCCACATTGACCTCAACCGCGCTGGAACGGGTCTGATGGAGATTGTGACCCTGCCCGACTTGCGGTCACCCGAAGAGGCTGGGGCGTATGTTCGAACGTTGCAGGCTCTCCTGCGAGCTGTGGGCGCAAGCGACGGAAATATGGAACAGGTGCGTGTTCTTTCTCTGTATGCGAGTCCTTCCTCACATGAAACCAGGGATCCCTTCGCTGTGACGTCAACGTCTCTGTGAATCGAATTGGCGAGGTTCCTGGAACGCGCTGTGAGATTAAAAATCTGAACAGCGTCAAGTTCATGATGGCAGCTATCAGTACGTGCCCCAGTCTATACCCTCCAGACCTATCCTGACCCCGAAGTCCAGACCATGAAATTCAACGCCATCTCAAACTGCTTTCGGAAGCGCCCTACGCTGTTCCTCAAGAAACGCGTGGTTTTGACGAGAACACGTTCGAGACATTCAAGCTTCGGTCCAAGGAGGATGCTCCTGACTACCGCTACATGCCCGATCCCAACTTGGGTGTCCTAAACATCAGCGAGGTGAGTGTCGTTGGTCCACTCGTCACCCCGTTTCCTCCTGACACGCAGTTCAAGAGTCGCATTTCTGGTGTCAGAGATAGCCTTCCTGAACTACCTTGGGAGACACAAGAACGGCTAAAGACCTCTTATGGCCTGTCGGACAAGAACATCGAGATTCTGCTCAAAATCGAGAGCGTCAAGGACGTTCCTTACGATGGCCGTGATGCGGACGCTAAAGGCAGCATTGTCAAGTACTTTGACGCGCTCTGCGCAGGCAACAAACGCGACTCCAAGATCGTATTCAATTGGTTGGTCCAGTGTTGCCTTCCAACATATTAGCTTCTGAACTCGTTGGTGTTTAGGATCGCACATGAACTACTAGGACAACTGTCAGTCAGGAAAATGTCGTTCATGGAGAATCCTGTCACTTCCGAGCAACTGGGTGACCTTATTGACCTCGTTCAGGGCAAGACAATCACTGGTACGTCCCCTCTTAGTTTGGCCAAAAGCATCGCGACTGACTTCAATTGGGCAGGTACTTCCGGCAAATATCTCCTGCGCCACATGCTTTCCAACCCTTCGACCAAGTCTGCAAGGCAACAAGCGGAGGAACTTCAACTCATCGCCTTCACCTCGTCAGAATCTGCGGCTTCGTCAGACTCTTCGACACCGTCCGCTTCATCCGAAAACAGCGAACTCCAGCAACTGGTAGAGAAGGCGATCACTGCACTCCCCAAAGAAATCGAGGCATTCAAAGCTGGTCACAAGGGTGTGCTGAACAAGATTGTGGGGTACATTATGCGCCAGAGTCGTGGACGAGCAGATGCTCGCCAGGTTAAAGAGCAGCTGGAAAAGGCTTTGAATTCGAAGTAGATATAAGCTTGCCTACTATATTATGACGCATAAACTTAATCTTGAGCTTGGGCCTCGAGGGCGCTGTGAAGCAACGTGGCTGTGCTGCAATATTTAGCGGGCGGAGGCTTTTCGCGTTGTGCCACTGGTTTGGCTTCCTCCCATGTCGCAGGTTCCGCTGCCCAACTACAGTCTCGATGGACCTCATCACAACTACTTTCTTCCTCAAGTGACAAACTATGAAGACAACGATGCTGACGGAGACTACGAACTTGAAGATCCAGACCAAGACCCACATAATGAACCAGAGCAGAGAAAAGACAGCATCTTTAACAGGAAGAAGCAATTGGGCCACTCTGTGAAGAGAACGTATAGGGTCAAGGATCTGCATGGCAAGTGCCTATGACTGGTTCACACTGAAACTGGCTGAGAAAGCTCGTTTACAGAGCTCATTCATCAAGGCGGTATCGATCTGAACCCAGAATATCAACGAGGTGCGCCGCAGCGTCGCCACGATGATCGTTAAGCGCCCAACACCAATCGATCCCTGCTCAGACGTTGTCTGGTCCGAAAGCAAGCAAACTGCTTTACTAGACTCTATCGCGCACAGATACCACGTTCCTCCCATCTTATTTGTCGTACATGAGGAAGATGGGGAGGAAACGAGAGTCTGCGTGGATGGCAAGCAGGTACCCGTTTTCGCCCGCTTATCTCGTGAGGGCTGCGGTATTGACGCGTATCGATAGCGTCTCACATCGATTCAGAGGTTCTTGGATGGTCAGGTCAGACATTTGCCCCCATTGTGCTCATCGCGAGTTATTAACTTCCCCCAGATTCCAAGTACGGCCCCAGGCTTACGTCTCATCGGCCACGACCCCAAGCTAATCCCTTTACAGTCAAATGTGGCGACGGGAAGAACAGGTGGTGGACCTTTCCGAAGAATGCTAAAGGTAAACTTGCTGTCTCCGACGAAGACAAGGAAGAATTTGGCAACATCGAAATTTCAGTTGGTAAGTTTCTCCTTTACTGTGTGTGGCTTATCCAGCTTCTGAGCGTGTCTCTGACAGAGGAGTATCGTGGAATCACTGAGCTTTCAGAGCGTGATATGTTCGGAAGAGTGCAGATGGGAATGACACTGACATCTGCGGGTAAGGGCTCCGCACTCTGCGCTCGGTGTTAAACCCTAATCCCCGGCCCTTGTAGAGCGGTGGCATGCAATATCATCTCCACGATCAAAGTAAGCCATTTGGACTACTCTTGCCTCTCAGAACTTATCCTCTTCTCGGTCGGTTTGTTAGATGGATCAACCACCTGCAAGATACCCACGTCCTGGTGGACAACGGTCTTGCTGCCAACCTGACAATGACTCTGTCGCGTGGTCGCGACTTTTCGAATATGGTCCACCTCGTCTATTTTTGCGACCAAGTTGAAGAACGAGGTGCTTACAGTTCGCAGAAGGCAGAGGCCTGGTTGCGGTCTACCGAGACACCCTCTCAGGAGTTCAAGCGTGACATCGACAAAGTACTCCGTGAACTCAACCAGCTGGCGACTGATGAAGAGTACAGCGATCTCTTGAATAAGGTAGACAAAGTTCTAGCTCCAATTGAGCTGTCTTTTATCGGTTTGTAGTCCCCTGAAATGCCTTTTTCTTCGGCTGATTTCGATACTAGGTGTCCTTCTATATCTGTTGGGGGACGACGCAGACTTGAAGACGAAAGCCCAAGCTATAAACACCTTCCGCCATACCGTGCATAAGAAATACCCCTCCCATCTACGAACCAACAGCTCCATCGCAAAATCGCTGTGGGGCTTGATAGACGACCTGGTGGACAATCCTCTCACTAAATACCTTGACCCTGATGACTTTGCTTGCCGGGGGAAAAAGCGCAAGAAGAGGGCCATAGATGATGACCCGAACGATGGAACCTACCGTTCCAAAGTGCCTCGTACGAAGAAAACAGTTTCCGTGGCCTCGAAGTAGCATAACCATACGACCACAGTAACCGATTCCAAACCTCTCGCGAGGTTTGCTTTGTACATTTCTGTTGTTGCTTTCGCTAGTTATCCCTGTATATCTGCTGTATATTACATCTCCCGTGTTAGTCTGCTTGATGCACTTATGGACTCGATATCACTAGTTTCTACTGCAAGTTTCATTATGTGATTGTACTTGTTATAAAGACATGTAATATGGTAGTACAAGGTTCTAAGGACACAAGAGATCGAAATGAAGGAATTGCGAAGCTGACTTGGGAAGATATCGGAAACTAATCTTTGTGGTCAAAACCGCGGTTAATGCCACCCAAGAGGACTTTCTTGATGAGGTCTGCGTCGAACGGCTTTCCTGGGTCCGACTTCACGGTGTCGACAATATCCTGGTATTTCATACGTCGTCAACAGCCCGCTTTATACTGCATGAGGATGTGGGTCCACGTACCGTAGGGAGGTTCTTGTTGCAGTCTCCATCCAGATCTTCCAAGAACCGCGTTGCATGTTTGTCGTTTCCGATCTGGAGGAATTGGAAACCAATCTAACAGAGTCCCCGGTTAACTCCCAAACTCTCGAGCACTTGAGAGAGCGATTTCACACTGACCTGTGCTTGTGGGGCCCGAAGCTTATGCAAAGTATTTGCGGTATCTCGAAGGAATTTTTTCAAGTCTACGGCGTCACCTTGAAAAGGCACGTATTCCGTCAGTACGCCACACTGCTTCAGACAGTAAAAATACCCACTGGCTTCGCCATCAGTGATGATCATGAAGTTGAGTCGTTTAGGCCATGCTCCTAGTTCTTTCGAGGCCAACTCCATCTGCTTGATGTAGTCTTTTGTCAACAGGCTTTCAAGTTTCTTCCCTATATATGTCATCCCGGACGGCGTGAGGTCCATGAACAGTCTCCGGACGTCGTTTACACCCTGTGGACCGAGCCCAGGCTTTGGTAAGTAGGGAAGCAGAGAACGAGAAGTGTTATGAGCGAGGCTCACCTTCAAGCCTTTACCGACGCGAGGACTGTTCAGAAAATGGATATCGATACCATCTTTATCATATCTAGCGGCAATCTCTGAGAACTCTGCCAGAGCCTCGCATGCCTTTGAGCGATTCAGGTCAGTTCGAGCTGAAAGAGATATACAACTGTAGAACTCACCACGTCCCAACGCGTCTGGTCTACCGTAGCATCGTTGCACATTGACGAGGAATCATCAATCACAAAGATAGTATCGTATTCTCTGAGCCTGGCCAGAGCACGTTCCTCAGACGCTGGACCATATGTCTGCGAATAGGCAGGAGGAGGTACGGAGGGGGTAGGCATTTCGACTGGTGCAGGTTTGGAGGAGTAATGAGAGCTGTCATGGACGGCTCCTGCGGAGCTACCCTCGCCTTTGTTCTTGCGCGAGAAGGGGGAGAATATTCTGCGAAGAGACATTGTCGATGGCTTGAGTAGAGGGGCTACCGTGCGCAAGTGGCGTGATGGAGAGAATTGTATCCACCTCTCCCGCCTTTATACTCCAGCGGAAATGAGAGATCGAAGGCAGTGAATAAGGTGTGTGCAAGCATGAGGAGACTGGAGTAAGCGATTGACGATCGAGAAGTGGGCCAAGGCCTTGGCTACCACCCTGCCCAAAGGAAGCTCGCTATCGATTGCACGTGGCTATGGTACCCATTGCGACGAAAGCGAGGGGTCTGCCGTACTGTCTTGTGGGACGCCGATGAATACAAGAAATGGTGTGCATCTTCAAGCCCAATCGCAGGCTTTGATTATTCAGGGAAGTGCACTGCTCTGCACAGCATTATGCCTTTGTGGACATGCACGACCCCGGATGACATCCCATTCTCCACATATAGAGTCCGATGAATGGATGTAGTGAGTCACACTGCCTCTCGAGTAGCTGTAGAATTATGAATTTATGGAGAGTTGAAGTAGGTCAGACTACTGTAGCTGCTCCCTTCGCTGGGAAAGAACGGAGAAGAGGGCTGTACCCCTGAGAGCCAAACATCCTGGAGTGGTACTCGCAGACGGACTTGTATCAGAGAAAAAGGACTCTTCACCAAGGGAGAGAACATATGCGATCAAGAAAACGATGGTCAGGGGAAAGCAGGAATATATACAAAAATGGAAGCGAATGCACCAAATCGGGAAGGCGTCGACCAACCTGGCCCCTATTCCAACGGCGCGTCAGGTAACGGTAGTTCGCAAAAATGAGCTAATTTAAGGCGATATATAACACAAGCTAATGTATCTGCAAGGTTCACTGTCATTATGATCCTACATTAAACAGAGAGGCTACAGGCGATGTACAGACTGAAGTGATGATGGTCTAATTTACTAAGGCTATCCGTTGGACAGCTATCTCAGTCAACATATCAATTGACAACCCTTGTGTTGAACAAGCTGTTTACATTCGTCTACGGCGAGCAATGGCAGTAGTGGGATGACAGACACCACACAACCGAGTGTCTTTGCACTTCTCATCGGTTTCATATTCGATTCCGTTTGAAGTGACCCTTGGGACGATACTTCTTAGTAGTCGCAGCCTTTCTTCGGACACATTTCCACAACCGTGGAAGGCGACCTCCATAAGTCTGGCATTTCGCCGAGCTCGAGACTGTAGTAGGCCTACAAGTTTCGGAAATATAACGACACCATCGCGAGCGCTGCATTGTCGTTCAGCTCTGAGCTCAACGTCGTGAAATGTGAGAGTCTTGAGTCGAGGGAACAGAGAGGGAGGAGGCTGCAGGCCCTCTTGCGAGGACTGCTCGGCAGGATCTCTCTCAGAAAGGTCTGAGAATGTGCAAGCGATGGTCTTCTTGGGCAGAGATAGATGTTCCAGGGCTGGCAAGGAGGCGGAGATCTCGTTGAAACGGAGGTAGAGGTATCCGACGTGGAGTACTCGCACCGCGCGTAGGGGCAGGGCGGCAATCAGACTGTCATAATCTTGTTCGTCGAGGAGGGACCTGTCTGGGTGAACAGAGATGCGGATCCATGGCACAGCCCCCGGCTCGCTTTCAGTTCCAAACTGAACGATCTCCTTCCATGCCATCACTCTGAAAATGCTCATCTCCGAGTTGTCACAGTCGACGAGGAGACTTTGAAGGCGGGGCTGTGCAGCGGTCGAGCCTGGAGGCCAGTGTTTCCTGAAGACCTCTTCGACGAGCATATCCAAGCCGAAATAATCGTCCCCGTCAATGGTAAAAGTCATATCGCGGCGAGCGTATTCTGGTATGGAGAGGCGACTGAGGAGGTCCTGGCATTGTCTGGCTTCGCCGGACACCGACAGCAGCTCGAGCTTGGGGAAGCGCAGCGTTCCATGGAAGTCCTCGAGAGATTCGAAAGTCGGGAAATCCTCGAAGTGGAGACTTAAAGTGGGTAGGTTGGGCATTCGGTTGAGGCCTTCGAAGAATGTCATCGGAGACACGGATGGAGGAAGCTCGTCAGCGTGGTAGGCGAAGGTGGTGAGGTTGCTGAGTACAGGCCATTTCCAATCGACACTGCACCAGAAGAGACGTAAGGATTCCAGCTGGGGAGCCTTTCCCGTGAAAACGGTGCTCGGAAGGCGAGGTAATCGTCGGTCGTCCTTGGATAGTGTTGTAATGACGGTTAATTCGCGAAGCAGAGGGGCGGGCCCAGACGAGAGGGCTCGAAACCACTGCCTCAGGACTTTGTAGGTTCCGGCGAGCTCGATAATCTCGTGTCGGCTTGTTTGGGATAACAACTTCAGCGCAGTCTGATTATTGTAGTTGACTTGGCCGTCTGGGCGCGTTCCCAGGTAGACCTTGACCGGGAGGTTTTTGGATTGTTGGATCTTCGTCGCCAACCATTCTGACCCAGCCCAATCGCCCAAATGGGTCCACAGTCCGAAAGGCCCAATGCAACCTCCCGCCATCGGCTGCAGACGTGCAGGATTCCAACCCAGGCGATGCACTGACGGTGTTTCTTCTCCTCGCTGTTTTCCTCCACTTCCAGTTCCTCGTCCGTGACAAGATCGTGGTACTCGGTGAATATCTTGGAAAGAACTTCGTTCGGAAGTTGCGAGACTGGCAGGAGCGCGTTCCGCTTCAATTGCATTTCTCTGAGTCGGCTTTGACGCGCCTCGATGTCGGCCTTCATTTCAGCGATTTGCGCATCGGCTAACGACACATGGCCATTCGTACAATTATAATGCGTCGCCATTGAGTCTTTCTTGGACAGCCCCAGGGTGCTCCTGCAGATAACTCGCTCAGTAGTTCTTGGATTGGATGGAAGATAGCTTACCTGGTCGTGGTTCCGACCTCCAAAATCGCGCGCGTCAGGCGACCAGTCAAAGACAATCACGTCACTGCAGTGGTATGAGTCTTGGACTCTGGTGCCGCCTGCAACTAAACTTCCGAAATCAAGGCTCAAGACTCTTTCTTTACATCCTCGCACGTCCCGCCAACCGTACTTTCTTACCTTGACAGATGGTCCGAGCAGTTCATTTGTTTTGAAGTTTCCAATAGTCCATGTACATAGGAAATAGTAACAACAATGGTCTAATATACAAGCAACAGTTCGTACATTCATAGATTCAAACTTCTAAAATACATCGCCATCCTCCTCGTTAACATCGTCATACGAGCCCCCCACCCAAAATATCCGGTAGTCATTGAGACCCTTCCTGCACCAGCCATACATGCCAATCTCATCCCGCAGGACACTGACAATGGCTTCGGACTCCAGACTGCTGTAGGAAGTGGCACTACCAGGTGCGTAAGTGTCACTTCGATCCAGGCTTCCCCCACCATACAGTTCGTCAGCTTGATCCCAATTACCACCCGAAAGTAGGAAACCAGTGTCACCACCCAAATCTTCCTCGGCACGGACAGAGTCGAATGGAGACGAAACGGATCGCCCCTTGCCCTTTCCTTGTCCACTGAACATGGACAGGACCGTCGTTTCGTATACTTCCAATCCATTCTCACCAAAGGCCACGGCCTGAAGGAGAGTTGGTTTATGGCGAGAGAAACGCGGGGGTGCAGTGATGCAGCCTCTTGTCGGATTACAGATGCGCACTGCGATGTTCTTTGGTGTGTTCTTCCAAAAGATAACATGGAGGGGAACGACGGAGGTAGATTTGGTGGGAAGTGGGCATGGAAGGATGTGGGTTCGTCGTCCACGAGTGAGGAGGTACACCGGCCGCGTTGCTGGAGCGTTGCTACTGAACTGGTTCAACTCAATTGGGATCGGGAGCTCGCATCTTGTGGGAAGGATCCACCGGGCAACGCTTTCCCTGATGTCGAAAGATAGTCGACTCCGCGTTCGTTGAGTTACCGAGCTAATGGAATTCGAAGGTGTCAGTCCCTCTCGGTGTCCAAACTGACCCATGATGTTAGGTGGAGGCCCGCCATCTTCCTTCAGCTCGAACTCGCCAACGGACGAATCCGCTATTCGAATCCATGAGGCCTTCTTTTCGAAAACGACAAATAGACTGAGCTGCGTCCCGTAGTTGATAGTGTTGCCATTGGTTTGGTCGTTGATAACAGGTCGAATCGAGGCCGCGCTTCCAGAGCGAGTGTGTTTGCCTGGGCTGTCGAGCCCAATTTCCTGCTGAACGAGTTGATCAAAGAATGTCAGATTCTTTGGCTGGAGGGGCGTGTAAAAGTCTTTGACGAATCGGTAGGCGCGTTCACCTTTCGGCGACTCGTATAGGAGGATGCTGTTCTTCGTCGCAATTGCCAACAGTTGGCCACCGGTCGACCCTCTTCGGTTCTTGTCAGCCCATGTAGCGTATGCTATGACGGAGGTGTTGGCTAGCCGTGAACCAGGGGAAGCCAGAGGCACAAAGTCTGTTGCCCATCGCAATGGGAGGTCGTCAACCACGTCCCATGTCGAATCTTCAGAATTCTGTCGGATAGGACTTTCCCGCTCGGATGCACCACCTGTTCGGTAGGGAGACCCAGATGACGGGGAGGTAAGGAACGAGTGGTATGATGCGGTTGGCTCTGCAGCCTGGGGTGGGTTTGGGGGTGTGTCTGTTATCAGGGATTTGAGGCTGCGTGCTATGCTGCCTTGGGGTCGATGCTTCCGTGGGCTTTGTTGCTGTGCTTGCCAATGTGATGGGCGATATAAGTCCAACGGACGGGAGCCTTTTTGGGCTACTGCCCACCGAGCAAGACTTGTCAAGCTACCGAGATTGTACATCCGTAGCACACGAAAGTCGGAGTCTTTGTGGGTACCCGAGGGAGAATCAGGCTCGGGGCCGACAAGTGCTAATACGACACCCTGTAACGTTCCCTCCCCTGATTCCTCAAGTTCCAGTATCGTCATTTGATAGATCCTGTCACGTAAATGAGACCGGGCGCTGAATTCAGTAGATCGAAGAACCTACGTCTCTCCCTTCCAGATGAGATGCGCCTGGGCTTCATTTGGTTGCTTGATGGTCACCTCTCCATTCTCATTCCAATCTTTGGGAAACATGTCCAACACTGAAAGCCCTTCGTCGTGTCCAATGAGAACCAATCGATCTGCCATCAAGGGGAGGATGCATCGTATTTGAGAAGTCGCGTGGGGTAGAAATCGTGAACCGAATTGGTTGATTTTGAGGTGACTTGGAGGAATACTCTGGCTAACGAACGGGAGAGGCAGTGAGGCATCGTCCCTAATGGGCGGTTGAGGTGTGTCATGGATCGAAAGGTTGCTCGTCTGAATGTGCAACGGGGGATGTGTAGAGTGCACCGGTGGTTGCGTGGTGTACAACATTGTAGACGGTGGGCCTGAGGAACCCGGATAGTTCTGAGCTTGGTCTGGGAGCTGTTTCTATCAGCCTACAGCGTTTAAGCCCTAGGATCGCACTCACATCCCATCCCTGTGCTCGCCGGCGTGCCCGCTCCTCGGGCGTCACATCTGCATATCGCTCTGCAGCTCTGCAGCGACCCGGTCAGCCATATGAAACCTTCAAGAGCGATCCTACACACCTTTTCTCTATCCAGCCTCGCCAACGTCCGAACCTAATTCAATAGTTTCCCAGTCACCACATATAAGCTCAAAGTCTCCAATCAAAGTTGCACATGGCGCTTGCCTCGAGTTTGGACCATTTTGAGCAGCTAAATCTTCGTAGGTTGGGAGTTCGTCTCCACCTGGCGGGGCGGTCCTGTCCTGTTCAATGTAGTTGAACTGCTCTGCAGACATTTACATCCAGGTTGTCAACGCGGTGAGAAAGGGAAGAACAACTCGATAAAAGCGCTGTAACGAGTCCATGGCGGTGACCTCCCAAAAAGGATTAGGTTGCAGTGCCCGTGATCTCGGCATCATCGGCAAGCTAAATCGAGATATCCGAGAACGCTCGACGACAACACCACTTGCAACTCGAAGTTCGTGTTTCTTGTTCAGTGTCAATCAACAACAAGGGGTCAGTATAGGCTTTTGTAAAACCTTCAGATGAAATTGGAATAACATTAAGCTTCTAGGTATGACTTTTCTGATAGCGCCCGTGACACAGCTTGTCCCCAATAGGGTTTGGCAAAATGAGCAGGCCGCGAAGTGCCATAATACGCCGGTTTCATATGAGGCCAAACATGAGAACGTGCTGTAAATCCCTGACCTTCCGAGTCCAAATCAACCGTGTACAAGAGGGCTAAGGAATATGTTCGGGGCTCCCTTGCGCTGTGGGCTCTACTCAGCGCCCTGAGCTTCCCCATCTGTGCTGAATGGCCAGCGCCGCACTGGCACAGGCAGGATGTGGGCCCACGCTCAACAGCCTTTCTACAATAGGGCCTAACGCCTATATATCCCAATCGATCGGACTCTCCTGACAACACCACGCTACTCTGCCTCTTACCACCATGTTCTCGAAGATCTTCAAGGGAAAACGCTCCACCAGTACCCAATCCTCACCCACTGCCGACAAACGTTCTCCTTTCCTCGACTCTGGGACCTCATCAGGCCTCAAGGCGTCTAAATCCGAAGGCAAGCCTGGAAAGCAATTAGAATACGCGTCTGAGCGGTGGGCTCTTGATCCTGCTGTACCCGAATACTCGAAGAAGGATCCTGTCTTCTCTGCGACCGCCAGCGTAAACTCTTGGAATATCGAGGCCCCGCCGGACTACTCCAGGTACACGCTAGACAACAGGGATCTCGCCAGGCTCTCCTACTATGATACCATCTTCGTCGTCGATGACTCGACCTCCATGACCAGCCTCATGCCATCCGGCAGAACACGTTGGGATGAGGTATGTACCCGAGTCCCACTCTTCAACCTCCTACAACCTAACGACGACCGTCCCTCTCAAGGCTTGCGAAGCCTTGGCAGACTTTGCCTCCCTAGCCGCCCAGTACGATGCAGACGGAATCGACATCCACTTCTTCAACTCGGAAAAATCGCGAACCAACATCCAAAGTCGGTCCACGATCGACTCGCTATTCAAAGGGATGGCACCCAACGGAGGAACCTACATCGGTAAAAAGATCAGCCAGCTCGCAGAACCATATATCTCAGCGTTGAACATGGCTGTCCTGACCCAAGAACCTACCTGGCCGAAACCAAGGAACTATATCATCATCACAGATGGCAAAGCTCGTGAGTTCCATCTGAACTATGATATACGTCCGTCGTGGCGAACACTGATGCTTACAATTATTTAGGCGACGAAGACGTCCTCCGGAACTTCCTCAAAAACACAGCAAGCAAACTCCAGCGCTGGGGATGCCCACCAGGCCAACTCGGATTCCAGTTCGTTCAGATCGGATCCAACGCAGGAGCGACCAAGTTCCTGGAGGATCTAGATGGTGATAGGAGGAAGCTCGCAACAGTGAGTGTCAACTAACATCAGAGCTACTCTTCCATTGACGACATTCTGGCCCGTGCAGGATATCGTGGACACTGTTCGAGCAGGACCCGGCACCCAATTTAGTGCGAGCTTCCCCAAGAAGGTATTGCTTGGTGGGGTCAACAGGTACATAGACAGGAAGTGCACTGGTAAGGCTGACGGCTACGGGAGGCGAAGGAAGTAGCCGTTCGTTGGCCATTCTCATCGCGTTCCCCAGCCCTTCGACGATGCCGTGTTGCTGAAACTTGCACGATCGCTCAGCACTCAATTATGATACCTCTTCTCAGTCCTATGTAATTCGAAGCCAAGTTCCGATATCCAGGTCGCCTGTGTACACATAGTCCAATAGATTGCTCTAACTACTTGAGTCGATCTGAAGATACGGTGACTTGAAAGTGTGTACGTGCTAGAAAGTCCAATGACCGATTATACTGTAACGTACGACGGAAAGCATGCAAAAATGTAGGGTAAACGCCGCGTAAGTATGAACCCTAGCAATCCAAAGCAATTAATAGGAAGAGCGATGGCGGAGGGGATATCATATATAAGTAACGAACAAAGCTTGATCCAAGAAATACAATGTGCAAAAGCGAGATAAAGAGTCCAATTAGTCGTTGTCAGTTCAATAGCACCACCACCACCACCACCACCACCACACTCATGACTACCGCGTTGGTGGCCTCGATCGTTCTTGATCCCCAGAGATCACACCAGATGACGGCTGATTCAACCTCCCCATCGATCCCATAGGTTTCCTAATAACAACAAACGACCTCTGTGGCGTCCCAGCCCCTCCCTCCCCAGTCCCTCCACCACCAAACTCCGAATCCAAAGGTAGCGGCACAGAACTACTCGAAGCACTCGTCGTTGTCCTCCCCTCGCTACTATGCGGCCTCTTCTTCCTCAAATGATACCACTTCTTCTTCTGCTGTTGGTCTTCCACCGTAGAATCACCATCATCGTCGTCATCGTCATCCGCGTTCAGCGTGAACCGTGCTGCAGCGGGCGCAGAGGGTGGTGAGAAGTGGTATGAAGGCCCCGCGCTACTACTCGAGCTGACGTTACGATGGCCGGAGAGTTTGAGAGGGAGTAGCGGGTTTTGGAGGGACAGTCGCGCGGAGATCCCGCTTTGCGAACCAGAGTTGCCGTTGGACCCCCCTTGTATTGGAGCATACAGCCCTCCAGCGTCTTCTACAATGGCAGTTTGCGACTTGGTTCTCACATGGGCGGGTTGCATGGCGCCTGGAGGCAGGTCACCCATGTCCGCGTGAGGGTGCTGAACAGGCGAAGCGACGGCTGCCTGCCGTACTGTCGAAAGCGGCAATGGCGGTTCGTCGTCATCGGTGATAAAGGATGATGGGGTTTGAGCGTATTGAGGGTGATAGAATGACGAAGGAGGGTGACTGCTTGTTGCTAAGGATGAATGAGGGCTGGGGTGACGTTGGTAAGGTTTAGGCGATGGAGAGGGTTGAGTGGACATCGAAGGCGTGGTGAGCATCGTTGTGCTCGCCTGACCCATTGAAGGGAAGGCGTGCGTCGACCCGCTGGCTTGCGAGGCGGTATGGGCATTGCCGCTTGGCGTGATTGAGTATGGCGAGTCGATGTGTGCTCTTCCTCCGCCCACTCGTGAGAACCCGGATGTTGTCGGGGCAGGCGCCGGACTCGCTGCCATTGGCTGAGGAGGACTGAATCTACTTTGGTTCTGCATGGTCGATGGTTCCGCTACATGAACAGCACCCGCTTCCCCTGAAGCAGGCTGCCAGGCACCCATGATAAACGCCCCTCCCTGATTCTCATTCTCCATCCACCAATCTTGATCAATCTCTTCCCTGTACGGCTGGTTAGCGTGCTCAGGTCGAAGGAAACTCGGCGGCTGTGAATGTGTGCTTCCTTTGCGCGAATCCGCTCCTCCAAGGAACCTAGGAGCCGTGACGCTTCCTCTATCAGACTCATTTCCGACCAGGAAAGCCGCGGGAGGATTGTAAGACGACAAATCCGAATTGCGCCTCCCATACACCCCACTGCTTTCACCCGCAAGCGAAGCAGGGGACTCTCCAAGTTCACTCTTATAGAGATTCGTCCTTCTGGAGGCCGTGCTCCTTGCGCCACGTCCCTTCCTCCTGCTCTTTCTCCGTCGCTTTCCGCCGCATCCGAGGAGTCCGCACGCTCCGAGCAGACCTGCGTCCATAGCCGACCGAGAACGATCAAAGCCGATGCCACCAATGATGCGGACGGTGGCTTCGATAAGCTTGACGACCAACATTAGGACGAGGGCCAGGTAAACCAATGCGAGAATGATCAAGATGCCGTATGAAACCCAGCCTCCAGGCCCCGGGCCCACCGAGATCTAAGGAGGATGTCAGTAAAGAAAGTAAGGAGATGAACTGCAACGGTACCGTAGGTGTAAGAATGACCAACAACACTGCAACAACTATCCTCGCCACGCAAAACAGGAAACTAATTAGACCCATACTAGCACCGCTTCCCCAAGGCAGCCAGATACTTGTCACCAGGGCGGAAATAACTTCTACCACCAGAATCACGATAGCTTGCGCTGTTCCGCTCTTCTGCCCCGCACCAATCGTAACTCCGAAAGCAATGTTGGTTGCAAAGAACAAAGTCGCAAATAGCTGGGACCCATGTCGATAGTGGTTGTAGAGAGGACCCAGTGAAAGGAGGGTACGGGTTTCGTCGTAAAGCTTGTTGGTCGTCGTGAAGGTGACGCGAATAACGAGGTGCGCTGGGATGAGGATAGAAACAATGACGAAGGATAGCGCTGCGAGGGAGATAGAAGTTGTGCCCGCGACTGATTTAGGTAGAGTCATTTGGTAACAGCTGAAAACTGTCACTGGGAGATGGAACCAAACCAAGAGGCGCACTAGATTGCCATGGAGGACATTGCCGTGGAATGAACCGATATCCGACCGCAAACGCAACCAAGGCCACCAACGGTGAGTATACCCGCGATCTCTAATATCTCGATCACCACTGAGGTTCGTGGCTATCCCTGCCAACCCACCAGACTGCGATTTGGATAGGCCGAATCCATTGGTCAACGGCTTCGTCTCGTCTATGGGGGCTCCTATCGGTGGCGATTCTGTGTTGGCACCAAATGCTGGACTCTTGGCTCCACCTAGTCGATTGATAGCGTTCCCGGGGCCGAAACCTGAGTTCTGACCGTTGAGCTTCTGAACCAAATTGGTGACCACGACATCGATGAACCAAAGGATGGTGCTCGCGACGATTGTTCCTGCGATAATGCTGAGGAAGATGATCATGCAGGTCGGGAATAGGTCTTGAGGCCGGATGCCGAGGGTGTACGCGAAAGAGCTGATTCCATGGGTCGCGTTAGGGGGCAGGGTGAATAGCGTATTAGGCGCTGATGGGTCGATGTATAAAGGAGACTGTATGTCAGCCATTTGGTCCCGAAATTCGGCCGGTGGGTCATACGGAGGGACAGTGAGTGGATGCCAGCGATATTGACTAGTGTTATCGACCAGTGAGACGTCTAGGCGCTGAGATCAGAACTGTATAGCCTCGAGAAGACCAAAAATAATCTTACTGAAAGCCAACGTTGACCACGCGGTTTGGGTCAGCAGGGGGTCTGTGTCAGGGCGGTGAGCACATGCTATGTGAAAAGTGGGGTGGAGTACATACAGATGAATTGGGGCCATTCGACAGCTACCATTCCCAGCAAAGCGCACCATTGGGTGTGAAAGATTACATCTCGCATGGAAGGGGTGCCTTGGAGAGAAGCGTCAGATTATGCACAGGGCAAGGGGTGGAGGAACCTACAGAAACGCAAGAGCGCAGGAGACGTAGCCAGCCGTTCCCCACTAATTGCGCTGGCGAGAATGAAGCCTGCACTCTGAGCCCTTGACCAAATGCCCTTCCCAGTATGTCTCGATATGCCTCTGTTCCATGCAGATGCTATCCTCGCAATTCCTACCAGAGCCCAATAAGCCAGCGCCAATCCAACGGTACTCCACAAAATTATGTTTGCTTTCCCGTATATCGAACTTGATGTCGGTGCTAGCGGCGTCGTCGCAATGTCCAGGCAGAGCAGTTCTTTTCCGAAGGGGTCGACCGCTCGTAGACGGGTGTTGAGTGTCGTGAGCTCTCTGTTATTTCCCCAGGGAATCATTGCGGCGAAGGCAAATGGGCCTGGCGCGATCGGGCAATACGTAAATACTCCTGCGTCGACGTCGGGCAGAGGCGATGGCGGCCTGAGTGTTTGGCAGAAGTAAGATGCATTGTTCCAAGCGTTGAGTGTCAGAACCGAGGTCGAAGTAAAGAGGGTGGCTGGAAAGACGATAAGGGTCAGACGAGCGAAAGACTAAAAGGCGTCGTTCTGCGCACCTAAACTGGTGCTAGCATTGGTCAACCCTACGATTTCCGCCGGACTACTCCCAACGACTGTGAGATTAAGATAATGGTTCTCTTCTTCGTCCTTGAGAACCTGAGCATAAACCGTCGAGACGTTTAGTTGGTTGTCGACATTGCTGGGCTCGTCGAAGCAGTCGCGGAACGGAACCACCGCTGGGTCTGCACGAACCAGGAGTCTGTCGGGGCTGACGGTGAGGACGAGAGCTAGGAAAGAAAGAAAGAAGGAAACCAGTGAAGGAATGGGGCTGTTCATCGTCGTCCGCGATGACGACGGCGGGGTTGGTGGGTCCGTGGAGAAACACAACCGTGCGGTCCCAAATTGATCAGAACCAGAATCTTTCCACGGCCATTGGCGGGTCAAATTCAAACTAAGCTCACCACCTTTCTCTACGCATTTCTACAGCATTCTCCACCATCGGCGCAGTCAAGTCTCGTGCCTTTCTGCCATCCCTGTCTACAAAATTAATCTTCATTGCTTTCAAGGACAGCGAGGGCTCGCCCAATGGATTACCCATGTCTGCTGCAGCTCTTTCCGAGCCGTCCCTCTGGACTCAGATGGCTGGGAAAGCGCACTGCTGGCTCGAGACGCCTCGAAAGATCAAGTCCTTTCCTCTCATGGCCATATCATCGCCAATAGCCACCTTCCTCTGCCACCTTTCTCTCGACGTTTTTGCACACGGAAACTGATCCACTCGTGTCATTCCCGGTCTGCGCGCCGTGTTCCAACTACCTGGGACTTCAACACTTTTCAGTGGGTTAACGCGTCTGTTTCTCACCACGCGGAAGACGACCAGCAAAATCTCAGAAGTGGCCAAAACTTGGGTACATTGGAACCCATGCCCGACCTCACTCATCTTCGCCTTAATTCCCCCTTTCTCGCTTCAACACTGGCACTAGAGCTTCCCTCGCACGCGGTGAAGTCACGTTGCGGGATATGCGTCACCCACTTTTGCGATGCTTTTCCCAGCGGCCGGAGCGCCTGCAATTGCAGTTGTGCTTTCAGATGTGAGGTATGATGCCCGCTATTACAATGTCTTCCAGCACCCGGTCTATATGGAAAGCCGCATCGGACTCGCCGTCTAGATTATCTCGCTCCTGCACTCGAAGATCGACGCGGACCTCGCGTTCGCTCTCCCCCAATCATCGCTCATTCACGATCAAGGGCCAACACCCTTTACGCGAAATCAGGCATCGGTGGCATTGATCTCGTGCATCTGTGTCGCGTCATTGGACTCCGCGTCCGCCGATAGGATCGACTTTGTGGGTTTCGACCGTGTAGGCGAGTTGGAGCTGAGGGAAGAGGGATTCTCCAGTTGCCGTCAAGGACGTGTCTTTGAAACGAGTACGGCTCTACTTCATTCATCTCGGGTTGGGATGCCGCTGGCGCTTGGAGGCGCTTGGTATTTGTATTTGTGCTGTACATAATTCAATGATCACAAGGTCCCTCCGTTCATGGTTCGGCTGCGTTGTTGAATTCATTAGTCCACAATGACTCAGTCAGGTGGCGGGCGGCAAAGCTGGAACGTGGAGGTGATATGCATCTTCGGTCCCTGGATGTCGTGCATAAAAAAGGGACACCCCATTTCACGTCCTCCCCATCTCAATAGAATCCCCGCCTCACTGTCCATCGAGACAAAGCCTCTCACCATGACCACCTACGTGAAAGCCAGTTGCCACTGCAAATCCAACGTCTTCCAAATTCCTTTCAAAACCAACAGCTTGCCCAAGTCTGGCGGGATATGCCATTGCAACATCTGTCGCCACTCCACGGGGCAAATGGGGTACATGGACGTGCGCGTCGACGGTGAACCCCTCTCCCTCGACTCGACCGAATCAAACCCCATCCCAGCCGACCTCTCCAACCTGACTGCGTACAAATCCTCCTCCTACGCCATCCGCTACTTCTGCTCCACCTGCTCCGCGCACATGTTCTTCCGCACGAACGAGACGAGCGGGGACCCCCACTGGGCTGTCCTGCCCGGCGTACTCGAAAAGGTCGACGGCATCGTCTCGATCGACCATCACATCTTCCTCGGCGATACCCTCGATGGCGGGTTGGCTGATCACTATCAGCGTACCGGCGATAAACGCATCTCGAGGCACAAGACTTGGGATAAAGATCCCGCCAACGCTGGTGTGGGCGAGTTGCCTGTGGGGTGGAGGGACCCTTCGGCCAAGACGACATCGAACGCGTCCCCTGAGACGCTGCCGTACTACTGTCACTGCAAGAGCGTGCAGTTCCACTTGACGCGCGCTACCAAGCCTAGTGACGATCCGCGCGTGTACTGGCTCGTACCGGGAGAAGAGCCCACCGACCCGATTCGGTTCATCACCGCCCACTGTCTTTGCAACAGCTGTCGCTTGACTGGAGGTGGCCTGATCCAGAGCTGGACGATGGTACCCCCCGAGAACGTCATCGATCCTACGACGAACGCGCCCGTCCAACTCGCTGACCCGGCTAAACGCCTCAGAGGTCTCAAACAGTACAACTCGAGCCCCGGAAAGCACCGCGAGTTCTGTGGAACATGCGGAGCAACCGTATTCTGGTGGAAAGACAAGGACGAAAGCGACGATTCCCCAGTTCCGATGGACGTGTCAGTTGGGTTGGTGGACCAGGCTGCCGCGGGTGGCGCAAGGGCGGAGAGTTGGTTGGCGTGGTACGACCAACTCATCCATAAAGAGTTTGCTTTGAGCCAGGAGACTGTGAAGGCACTCGAACAAGGGTTGGCTGATACTCTGAAGGAGCCAAGAGATGACGACGACGCCTAATATGGCCGATCAACTTCCTTTTATATCCCTCTCAATTCACGGACCGGAATTTCAAATGCGAACTGTGGACAAATTCTATTACGAGTCGTTACGATGATACTGTACACTACTAGGAAGAGGCTGAAAATATTAAGGTCTCGAGATGACCACTATACAATAGCTATGGACACCGAGACGCATGAAAAGGTAGGTTGTACTAAAGGCTACATGCGCGAAGGAGGATGAATAGATGCTGCTGCTGCTGAGATAGTGTTTGTACAAATGGATAGAAATGCGATCGTAAATGAGGTGAAGAGAAAGAGAATGGGGGTATAAGAAATATCCGAACTATGGAAACTCGATCGTAACCTCATGTCATGCATCGTGAAGGGTCCAGACAAAGAAAAGAAAGGACGGAAACAATGTGGTGAAACACAGGGCCTGCAATAAAGGAAGCCCAAATCACCGTACTTATAGGGCCGCTTAGCGTCCCTTCAACTCCCTCAACCGCCTCACAACATCACCCATATCAGCCACGTTCCACTCCCCACTCCACTCCCTCTCCTTCCTCTTATGCAAATCCTCACATTCGCCAACAGCAATGGTAGTAGCAGTCTGGCTTCGCACATGGCCGGCAGACCTGCTCTGTCCACCGACGTAATCCAAAGGGCTCCTACCCCAGTTGACAGAGGAGGTGGAAGCCGAGTGGGCGTGGCCAGAGACGACAGGCCTCGTGATATCGAGGGATGCAGCTCCACGTCCCGTGAAGGTGGACTTGGACGGGGAGTAAGGAAGAGGAAGGTGGTTGGCAGAGTTGGATCGGACATAGGGCGCGCGTTGAGGGTAGATGCTGTTCGCACCAGTGGCGGGGACCGTGGTCAGCCCTTCGAACGCCAACCTGCCACGCGGCGAGTCGAGCGAGTTAGAGACCTTCCTCCGGGAGAAGCCAATTGCACGCTGGGAGTATCCGCCGACAGCGGGAGCGGGAGCGCGGACCTCGACTACCTTGGGTGTAGGCGGGATGACGGTAGTGGTGGGAGCAGGAGCGAAGATGATAGGGGATACCCTCTCCGTCTCTTCCTCCGCATCGGTGGTCTGCTCAACTTCGATGGTAGGCGCCGCAGTCGATGGGAAGACCAGGGGAACGCTCAAGCTCCGAGGGCGGTGCGCGCGCTTGAATTTCTTTGGTTGTACCGGAGTGGGTGCGGCCGATGTCGAGGCAGTGGCAGATGCCTCTTTTGCGTTGGTAGGGGAGGGTGTGGGTGTGGTTGTCGAGGGCGACTTCTGGTGGGTTGAAGGCTTGTTCGAGACAGACCCCCTGCGCTCGGTGCGCGAGATGGACGACTTGCGTTCCTTGGCGCATTGGGGGAAGACCAACTCCGGGGGAACGTTCTCACCGAGCGTCCTAGCGAGCTTGGCCAACTTCTTCCTCCTCATCTCCTTCTCTCGGGCCTCGTTCTTCTCAGGCGTCGTGAACACGCTCGAGATGGGTGTCTGGACAGAGATCACAGAGTCGGACGAGGCGATAGTAGAGATAGAGTTTGAAGGCTTGTGTCGAGGACGCACAGGGGAAGCATCGCGAGAAACACTCGTGCTTGTTGGTGCGGACTGGGAAGTCGGAGGGATGGTGCGTAGTCGCAAAAGGATGGGCTGCGCGAGGGGCTGTGGGCCCTTCTTCTTGCCCTTTTTGTCGCTCAGAGGAAGGTCGAGGAGGATCGGTGCAGTGGGGACAGGAGGGACAGGCAGAGGCTTGGTCTTGTTATACTTGGGCTTCGCCTCTGACTTGCTCCTTCCCCTCGGGCTCGGCTTCTTCGCGGTGGTGGGCGAGGGAGCCTCGGGGAGCGAGTGGGGCTGGTAGCCGCCATGAGGACCAGATGGGTCCACGAAGACATAGCTGCTCGCGTCCGAATCGTCTCCGTCGTTCAGGTCGACATTGATAGCGGTTGCTTCGTCTTCTGATCCTGAAGAGCTCGAGCAGGACGAGGTGCCCTCGAAGAGCTGTCCTCGTCGTCGGCGAGCCTTGGTGCGTGGAGTAATCGGCGGGCGGGGATAGCCCTGGTCAGCCGCGTCGCGCGCAGTGACGTCGACCTCCAATACAAATGGCGTCGCTCCAAGCATGGCTTCGATTTTCCTGGACGATTTGAGCAGCCTGGATCGCTGTGAAGCTTCCAAGGTGTTCGTTGTGGGTGGTGGTGATGGGTACACGATGGCGGATGGCATGACTAGGGGGGTCGTGAAAGAGTTCTAGTGTCGTGAAAAGGGATCGGTCGACGAGACGGGGTAGACCACCAGTGTCGTTTTTCGTTTCGCCTTGGGTCGTCAAGAAGAAAGAAGGAAAAGAAAGAGGGTCTCCCGTGGGCGAGTGTGTGTAGGGGGAGATTGTGGGTTATAGCACAGCTGAAACAAGCTGCATTGAAACGGGCGGTTAAGACTAAAACGGAACAAATGATGACGGCGGATAACACTCACCAGCGCCTCGATCGCAACGGTCACGTAGCCAACCAGGAATCCAAGAAAAAAAAACAAAAAAGACGTCAAGAAAAGCCGAAGCTTAAAAAACAAGAAAATATCCAGGAAAAGAAACAAGTGAAGGCAAGGAGCGAGGAGAACCGCAGATGCAGCGATGGAGCGCTAATATAAGACTAGAACAATGAGCGTGGGTTAAGCGGGTACAATAGCCGGAATCACGGTGACAGCACAATGCCCAGCCTATTGTTCTTCGAGGGCTTCCTTCTCCCGGGTACACAGCGTCTCCGTTTATATATCCACCTGCACCACGTTCCGAGGCATGTGTGCGTTCGTCAGTCATTAGACGGTTGTCCCAATGGCAACCACAAAAATGTGAGCGACACCCGTCGATTTTGAAATGATGGCGCGACCCGCGGGACGGCTTCTCTCCCTCGAGACTCGTCGTCGCATGATTCCACTTTCACGGACGCCTGGGGAGCTGTGAGGCAAACTGAACAGGTCGTAAAGACGACAACTCGCTAATCATGCACTCGAGATGGCGAGGAGATAGTCATCAAGAAGTTGAAACATGACTTCTCTGACTTGAGATGTGTTCGCACATCTATCCATCACCCTGGAGGACAGCCCGAGGCAGAACGGAGAACTTGGAGACATTGACAGTACGAAAGACATACGACAGGCCCGACCCAGGAAGAATACTTTGTCGCCGTTCCATCGCCTCAGCCATGCGACAAAAGGACAAAGTTTGGGAGATCATGGCGGAGGAAGTTCGAGAACAAGGGCCTCGTTGTCTGGCGCTTCTCAAATTCTCAAGGTCGCATGGTCTGCCTGCTGTCCGGAACGCATGGGAAAGAAGCTCAAAAATAGGTTTAGGAGTCGAACCTTGCGTAAGATAAGATAGTTAGTACATGGTCAGTGTAACAATAGGTAGGGTTAGATCCGAACACCAGGTAGACGTGGAGTAACAAGTACAAGGAGGCGCACAAATTGAGAACGAAGAAAGTCTAGATAAGAGGCGGGGAGGTATCGCATCGTGAATAGGAGGATGTCAAAAAAATGGGGGTAGCACTTTGTAGAAATACAAACAAAAACGTTTTGGGGCGTAAAATGGTCGTGAATACAAAATTGAAAGGTCGTCATAGAAAGTCGTGTCGGCTTTTCCAAGTTCTGCTTGGTTGTTCAACGACAGGCTCATGGTTACTGGGGGATCATGGTCTCCGCCTTCATCCTATCCCTCACCCTCATCAACACCTTCCCAAGCTCATTCCTTCCCCTCGCCTCCGGCCCTTCACCCCAAAAGTCGTCCAAAGGATCCGCATAAATCAGCTCCCTCGGCCACGTTCCCATAAGCAACTCCCGCAAATTGGGATGCTGGCTAAACTTGAGCCTCAACACCTCCTCCATCTTGTCCAAAAATACATTCCCCCAATCAGGCCTCTGGAACCCTGAGATCTCGGCTGATATAGGGTACACGTCCAGGACGTTCTCGCAGTTGCGTATCCGCTCGGCGAGCTGAGGGTGCTGGTCAATGTATTTCATCGCTTCGTGGACATGCGTTGCCGTGGGGTAAGTCTGGTGGCCGTACACCACACGATGCGGGGAGTGATTCATGAACCCGGCGTATTCGGAATCGAGCTGGGTGAAACGGAGCGGGAGGGTGGATGGGTCGGGGGCGTTGGAGGAAACGCGAGATTGGCGACGGCTTTGATTAGCGGCGGTGCTGCTGTCGATGCTGTCGTCGAACCGAACCGGGTTAGTAGGGGGGTTGGATTGGGTGTTTGAGCTGGATGCTTGGGATTGCTGAGCCGTGGGGTTGGCGTTTTTATCCACGTAGATGGGGACGAAGACTGGGCCCGAAGGAACAGCCGGTGCCGCTGGTACTGGCGCCGGTGGTTGCTGAGTCTTGCGTTTGGTTGACAGTCTCTTGAAGAGCCCCTTCTTCTTCGCCGGAGGGGGAGGAGGAGCAGTGGCGGCCGCAGGCGCAGCCTGATTCGGGACTGGCGGAACGATTGTAACACCAGCAGGCGCCACTGTCGCCGTAGCTGTACTGGCTTGAGTGTTATAACTTGCAGTCAACAGCGCCGTCGTTTGGGGAAGCGAGAGTAGCGACTTGTACGGCGTCATTTCGTATAGGTCTCTGGGTGGCTTGGGTAACGGGTTTCGAAGGCTTCCAGCTGGTCGAGGGCCGCTGGGTCCAAACGCGGCCTGGGGTGCAGGCGAAGGGGGTTGAATGACATCCTCGAACTGTCCAGTCACTGGGTGGTATTCTTCAGACCGCGCCCTCCTGCTGCTTCCTTGATGCCTGCGTCGGGGGAATTCGTCGTCGTCGTCGTCGTCTTCCTCTGATTCGGATTCAGATGTTTCGTCAGAATCGTTCATTCCTGCAGGTATGAACGGCGTTGGTTGGCGCGCTGGGATTACGGGTTCTGGAGGCTGTGGACGCCGTCTGCGAGTACTCTTCCGTTTGGGTGATTTGGGGATGACTGGCGCATTGTTTGGTGGAAGTGGGGGTGGAGGTACAACAGCTATTACCAATAGTTAGTCACCAAATGTCAATAGTAGTGATAGCCACGCACGTTGAGGAAACATCGGTCCAGGTGCAGATCCACCAGGATAATGCTCAGACTGGCTCCTAGCTTTCCGCCTCCAGGTCTTCTTCTTTGCCTCATGTGCTTGCTTATCTTGAGGCATCCAAGCTAGTTGTGGTGGTGGAAGTGCTGCTCCCTGGCCATACATCCCAGCGTGAGGTAGATATCCAGGTTGTTGGAACGGAGGATAGTGTTGCGGCATCGGAAAGTTTGGCGGGATAACAGGTTGTGCACCATACATCCCAGGCTGGTACGCGTACGGAGGCCATGGCGGATGTTGCTTTGAAGATTTCTGACCCATGATTTACAAAAAAGCGTGTTGTGAGTGCCGTCGAGGTCGTTTAAAAGATACTGGTCCAGCAGTGGAACTGAGTCAAGTCGAAAGAAGAGCGTCAATCTGAGTGGCGCTGTCGCGGTCGATTTAGGTTTGTCGGGATGTGTAAAGTGGGAAGATCGGTGTGAGTTCTCCAGGAATTTAAGGAGAAAAGAGAAAAGGAACAAGCGAGATCGTGCAGAACATGCGCTCAGACGAAAACTCTGACGATTCAACTTTGCTTCCGCATTGGGACACACAATGGCTCGGCAACGGTGCCAAGCTTCCTTTGTTTGTACACCAGGGCTCGTCGAAATTTCACTCTCTCTCCGTTACACTAGTACTTAGAAGTCACGTAGGGAATCCTAAATGTTCCCCAAAACATTCAAAAGGCCTTCATTCTCAGAGGAAATAGTAAAAGTGACCTTTATCGATTTTTCGAGAATCCGGCGCTTATTTGCACTCGAAATGAATGCCAAAACAAATGAGCACCGCCACCCTGACGCGATCGTCTGTCGTAACGGAATCAAACTCAATTCTTCTCCGTCGACAACTCCTCTGAGCGGTGTTGTGGGGCGCCCACACTGACAGCGTCGTCCACATAAAGAAATATAGAAGTCTACGGTAATCATAATTGCTGAATCTGACATGGCCTTGTTATCACAGCTTCAACACTGCCCTGTGCTGGGTTAAGAACTGCACGTAGCCTTCTCGGGATCACTGAAGCTCTACAGCACCTCCAGAATGCTCTTACTTCTCCTTTTGCAGACCGTTCTTGGAGAAAAGGCTTTAGCTGGCCCTCTGCATGGGCGTCAAGTCGAAGATTTTGAGGATTCATCACCGCTACCAACAATAAAGGACGAGAAACATCGAATACCGACATGGGCCACCAGGACTTCGAGCGTCAATTTATCGCAGACGCTGTGGGGATGTCTCTTCACGCTCGTCTGCGTCGCTTGGATCACCGTTCGTCCCAACGTGCCTTCGCCTCATGACTCGCATTGGAAGAAGCTATGGAGGCGTATACGGCTGGCGTTGTGGGCGCTTGTTATGCCGGAGATGGTTCTCCTCTGGGCAGGGAGGCAGTGGTTTGGTGCACGGAACCTTCAAAAGATATTTGCAGGCGAGTTTCTACCTGCGTTTATTCCATCCACGATTGGCTGAACGCCCTAATCCTAGGAGAAGAAGCCTTATCCATCCAAGGCGCGCATTTCATCCAAATGGGCGGCTTCGCGCTCGTGCACCGCAGAAGGAACGGCCAATCTTGGTTCTTCACAGTCACCGCCCCTTTGTTGAACCAAATCTACCTTTTTGACGCATTGCCGGAAGTTATGGACGACCATCACCCGCTGCGGCATTTCGACATTCCTCGAATCGCGGCCGCTATCCGAGCGCACCTCTCATCTACGCGATCTTACCACTCGCCGTTCACCGCTGAGCCGCTGGTATTTGGAGTTGCGGCTCTCCAGGTGTTGTGGCTTGTGGTCACTCTTTGGGCTACGATCATAACGAGAGGTCTCTCGGAGCTGTTATTGGTGGAGATCATCACGTTCGCGTATCTGATCATGTTCGCTTCGATGTGGTTCTTTTGGTGGGATAAGCCTGTGGGCGTGAATGATCCTGTGAAGATATTCGCCCCGAGACAGACTGAAGATAGGCGGGGTATTGTGCCGAAAGAAGCGAAGGAGTATGAAGAGGAACGACATCCAAGTCCGTCGAGCTCAAGCAAGGGCAAAGAACCTATCCGAGGGGACCTGGACTCGACGAACGCTGTCATCTCCACGAGGGAAAATGATCATGATCAAGAAGGTGGATCCTCTTCAACACCTGCAATGCCCGAATCTCCCGCCTACCCCAGCTCCCGAAGACCGGTAGAGGAACAATTCCCGCCGTACCTCCTCGACGAAGACAATACTGCCCTCCACAAACCCCACCGCTCGACTCGCGAAGACGACCGTGTCTCCATAGAATCATGCGACCTCAGCTACGGCTGGTTCTGGTCCAAATCCATCAACAGTCCCCTCCTCCGACGTTTCAATGCACCACGGTTGTTCCGTTCGATACGTCGCATGGCGGGGAACGACCACTGGGAAAGCTACATGATCTCCACGCGTATGGATTATTGGGCTTTCTCCCGCGAACGATGGGGCCCGGCACTCGTCCTGGGCCGGGATAGAGTTCGTATCCCGAAGGAGGGTGTGGATAATAGGGAGAGGTCGAAGGTGCCCACTTACTACGCGTATACGGAGGAGCAGGCGTGGAATTGGGGGGATCAGATGAAAGCGATGTGGGTTGTTGGGGGGTTGTGTTTTGTTTTTGGTGCAGTGCATTTGGTTGGGTGGAACTTTAATTTGGTGCCGGAGAGGTTGAGCGAGGTCGTCTCGCTTGAGGGGGTACCCGAGTCTACGACGAATCTCATAAATTCCCTCGCGCATCACGGGCCAATATGGCGGGTCATATGGAGGGTATCCTCGTTCCTCGTCATGTTCCTTCCTCTGACCGCCGCCTTCGTGTCCAGCGGGGAACTCTTCAACGAAGCGTATTGCTTCCTTGAGATGAGTGTTTACCCGGTCACACTTCTGTATGTCCCCGCCAAGATTGCGTTGTTTGTTCTGGCTGTGCTGCAGTTGGATGCGAGGTTTAGGTATGTGATGGAGGTTGTGCCTTTGGTGAATGGGCAGTGCGGGGAGTTGGGTGCGATCTTTGAAGGAGTTAATGTATTGGACGCGTGGTGGGCGAGGTTCCTTCCACATTTCTCGTGAGACTCGATATTGTTTAATACCTGTCTATATTTATAGTAAATTAGTGCAATGGGATAATAGGGTGTCCTCGGTCAAATCTCTCAAAGGAAGTAAGCGCGCACCGCGCTCCCAATTCATAGGGGTGGGAACCCTCTGATGGGCATCAGCTCAGTTCAGCTCAACTCTCGCTTATGTTGACAAGGATTCAACGTTCAGCGTTCAACAATCGATTTTACCCATTGACGAGACGACAATCAGAGCCATGCACTCGAAAAGAAATTGGGCACCAGTACACAAGGAAGCCCCCCACCCTCTAGGTCTCACGATTGCAGAAGAAGTCATATGAACAGCCCTGTCATTTTGGACCCACAGAGACCACAAAGGAATGTCGAGATTCCCCCAGACAGGCGTCTAATGTAGCTTCTCTAAAGGTTTCCACATCCCCCACCTGCCACCTTGCCACTCTGTGTTCCAATTTCCCTACAAACCTTTGCAACCTGGTGAGCAATTTCGTTCCACCGCCAGAAGGGAGGAAGCAACTAACCCGAGAAGAGATCACCGTCCGTTTCTTCCGGAATGAGCACAAGCTCTGAACCTGGGGTCCCGATAGTGATAGATCGGCAGGATTCGACTCATTCGCAAACCACAGCGACGGAACGCTCGTTGGACGCGACCGAATACTTCATACAAGTTCAGTCTCCACCCGTCTCAGAAGCGGGCGATGCGGAATCGTTGCGTCTATCGGAAGACGGGGAAGTCGACGAAGTGCAGCCTCATCGGGAAGAGACTGTTGCTATCAAGGGGGAGGAAGTCAAGTTCGAGGAGCCTCCCCACGAGCCAGCCATGCCAAGCGCCCGTGCAGGTCATGCTCGTCCGTTAAGACATCGCTCGTGTGCGCACTGTTGTCATTTCCATCCGAGTGTAGATTCTTGACCGTGTTTCAGCTTCCAGATTCTCGGCAGCGTCCTTGCGGTCGCACCGGGCCCATCTCTATCGCGCAAGCACCCTCGACAGATCCAGCACCTGGGACTTGGAAAGTTTAGGAGAACCATTTGTCGCCGTTGACCCCTACCAGAAGCCGAACTCGAAAAGGGCGAGGTCGACCTCGCTACTCACTGATCGCAGCAAGTCGGATGTAGAGGAGGAGCCATGGTCAACTCCCGTTACCTACGCCCCAATGACGGTACCCCATGACCGGAAGGGAACGTTAGGGAGTGTATACGAGGAAGAAACGAGGATCTTGAGTCGGGAATCGCTGCATAGCAGAGAGCCGTTTATTCCTCACCCCATCCGACGATCTTCCCGCCAGTTCCACCGGAGCCCGAGTCCGGGGCATTTCCACGACGTCTCTGACACAGAAGGCGAGGACGAGGTCTTTGAGCCCGTTCGCTTCGAAAACCTACCCGCTTCCTTAAACTTCTACGATGACGCCTATGCAACAAGATATCAGCACAATCACAATCATTTCATCCAGAAACGCTATTCACCAGGCTCAAACGACACCATCGACGAGTTACCGCTCCACAATGCCTCGACAGCCATCAGTAGCCTTCCCGGGAACGATGCTACTAAACTCGACTGGTTGAAGTACATTCTGCGGACGGTTTATCTTTACGTTCTCCTCGGCCTCCCGAGTCTGTACTTCTCTCGAGTCGCCGCCATCTTCAGCGATGCCAGCCTGGACATTCTCTTAATGAAGCAACTCACCCTGGACAGCGCGTCGACCCGGCGATTGGATTTGTATGGAACTCCTCCTAGCCCTCGATACAGCAAGTTGAAGCGTTCGTGGCACCATTTCATCGACTCCCTCATCAAGGAATGGAAAACTCTGAATATCGTCTCAGTGTTGTTGCTTTCGTGAGTAGTGTTCTCCTCGTCGTCTCAAACTGGTTGGCTAATTCCGATGCAGAGCCATACTAGCTTTGCTGCAGATTGAGTCGGCCAACGCTGATCCATGGGTGCATTATGCTGCCCTTTGCTCGTTGATATGCGCGTTGGTTAGCTTGCTCATGGGCTGCATGTATATCATTCGGTTTAACACCATGCGGAAAACATACAAGGCCGTTGCGTGGGCTCAGGTAATAAAAGCACCAACTCTTCCTTCACTGCGCATTTACGGGTTTAAACAGGAGCTGAAAAGAGATCACGTTGGTTTATTGTGGAATGTGTGGATCCTGCTCGCTTTGCCAGTTGTTTGGCTAGCCTGGTAAGTAAAAAGCGGAGCACCCCCAGGTTTCTACTGATAACCTCTTCTGTCAGGTCCCTCATCTTCTACGTGACGTGTATTGTTGTCTACATGTGGCGCGGCGACCTCGAGAATCCACCCAAGCCTTTCAGCGCACAAGCGACATTGGCCATTCGTTGCACCATTAGCTGTACCCTTGGTATCCCCGTAGTGTATGGCGGGATCGTCACTAAAACATTTATCGGCTTTGGAGCGCCGATGGATAGAAGGTTCAATGAGCAAGTCGAAGACTGGATGAGGCGGAAGGCCATCTTCAGGCACTCGGATGAGAATTTCCATCCAGGCGCTTGGAACGAGGGCCTACACAAACGCGAACCAAAGGTTTCTGTGGTTCCCGTAACTTCCAGCGACGCCAGCACGACTCTACGTCCGGGGATGGCCAGGCGACTATCGTCCCGGAGTGAAAGGCAACTGAATCAGAAGGTCCGATTCGATGTCCCAGCTTCACCTTCTACATCGCCTTCCACGTTACCCTCTACAGCAACCTTCGTGGAGGAGAGTGTTCCTCCAACGTTTGGGAGAGGGCTTTCTTCATCACCCGTCCCGTTGTACCCCGACAGAGCGGAGTCTCCCCCTCCACAGCGTCGCAAACCTCGCCCCATGGCACCCAATATTCCACTGTCCCACGAGTCCTCGTCTTTGGCACATTCCCAGTCGACGTCCTCCCATTCGCCGACACCAAGAACACCAGTCAGGTCTTTGCCTACTCTCCCTCTCGACGATTCCCAACCTCCCAGTCAACGTGAATTCAGGTCTAATTCACCTGTCGGCCGTGAACTCGCTGACCATACCATTGACGAAGCCAGGGAATCATCTGAGCGAATGAATCAAGACCCTGTTACGGAGGATCCCGTTGTCGTCCTCCTCTCTGACCCCGAGTACGCTAGCTTCCTCGGTCATTCACCCCACCCGATCCAATATGGCGACCATATATATCCCACCATGGCGCACCTATTCGAAGCGATGAAGTTTATGGAGCAATATCCGGAACTGGTGCAACAGATACGAGAGTGTCAGCATGTTGAAATGGCCTTCCAGCTGTCGCGTGAGTTCCAGTCTTGCTGTCACCACGATTGGCATGAAATTTGGGAGACGAAAATAGGTCTTTCAATCTATGTTGTGATTCAGTATCAAGTTGATCACTGACTTTATTTCTCATTCTAGTTGGAAGAGGCGCTTTATCTCAAGTTCATGCAACATCCAGATTTACGCGATTTACTTGTCGAGACTCATCCACGGACGATTTGCTCCCCAGGCGTTGATGCGATTTTCTCGTCTGACGTGCGTCAACCCGAAGATGTGCCATCAAGTGAGGTGTATTGCGCCCTCCTTGCCCAAGTGCGCGAACGGATACGGGAGTCGGAGCGGCTGGTAACTACGTAATTATGAGCCTATTGGTAGAGATTGGGATCGGTGTCGAAATATAACAGTCTATGGAGTTGGCTGGTTGGTGTGGATACCAGTACTAGCAAACTTGAACAATGACAGTGTAATATAGTCAATACAATACCCCCGTATGAAATTGCGGAGGGTTCCGATTCACGAGTCTCGAGACCAGCACAGAGTAGGAACGAAACGATGCCACTTTCACACTGGTAGGCGGGCGGGTAGCTGGCGTGTGTATACTACTTCGTGCAAAATCTTCATGTTGAGGTCTGGTCGACCAGTGATCGTACGCAAGTTGTGGAGGTCAGCAAGAAGGATGGAGGAGCGAAGGAAGAGGAGTTCGGGGACGGGTCCTCCGAAGGCAATGCGCCTCTTCACCATAGTGCCCAAGGACGCCAGAGAAATGGATTCGGAGACACTTTCGACACCCTGGAGCGGTCGCCTTTCGAAGATGGTTTCGAAGAACCCGATGGACTGGAGGCTGGGGAGCAGGGCTACGGAAGTTTCGTAGTCGGCGAAGAAGCATGCATCTTCCTCAGCCAGGTAGATCAGAAAGTCCATCGCAATGATGCCATGGATCCAAAGATGGACAAGGTTATTGAGGCAAACGAAAACGGGCTTCCACTCATCAAATGTGTAGAACACACACAAGATGTCGAGGGAAGTAATGGAGGCAAGGTCGATCCTCGAGAGGATGTGTGACCTGAGGCAATGGAACATAGTTCCTGCTGGCTCGCCAAACAGGCTCACTGAGAGCTTGGGTTTTGGTTCGTTTTCAATGGCCAAATAAACTGGGGGATAATTGTAGACGCCGGTGTAATGGGTCTCTTACATCTTTACTGAAGCGAAGAGGGTGTGCCCATAGATAACGATGCTGGGTGCGTATATCTGACCAGCAGCCACGGGGAGTTGGGAAGGGGGCATGTTCGCCCAAAGAGATGGCATGCGGCGGCCCCATGCTTCGATGGCAGGTGCGTCTGATGAGGCGCAGAATAAAAGTGAGCGCAGCCTGGGTAGGGACACGTGCTCTAGAAGCTTGTTGACTGTCGTAAGGTCTAGACGAAGGTTGACGAAGCGCAGTTGAGGCATTGTAACGAGGCGACCTTCGCGGATTGGGGTGAAGTCGGGTTTGGCGAAGGGATCGTATAAGGTCAGAGTGGTGAGCTGCGGCATCCGCTCCATTGCATGGAGGAAATCCTGACAGAAGAATCGTCTCCCCTGCCAGCTGAAAACGACCTCCAGGCTTGTTAAACCTTGGAAGAGATTGGACTTCCACGAGATCCCGCAGTTGTGCAGGCACAATGAATGCAGTCGCGGAGTTCCCTCCGCAAGGAAGCTGTCCGGGATGGCGAACAGCCCCTGGTAAATGCTTTCTGGGTGATTATCCTCACTGGCGATGGTAAGTTCGCGGAGGTATGGAGCCGAAGGACCTATGACCTGCATAAACTGGCCCTAATACTCGGGCCTGTTGCGAAGTTTGAGGAAAACGAGACGCTCCGCCTGGCAGACAGCAAATGCCAGCAGTTGTTCGGCGGCGCGAGTAAGAATTTTCGGTTGAAGCGACTCGATGGAAAGAAGAGTTCCTTTGGACCTTTTGAGTTTGGCCCGGGTCAAGGCCAGAGGATCTCGACATGGAGCGATGTCTGACCAAAGCGGGGGATGGTTGATGCAGGCGTTTCGCCACCGGAGGCAGACGCTGGTAATCAAAGTCCATGCGGATGGGTGCTGTGGTTGATCTGCGAGGATACTGCCTTTATACTCGACGAAGATGTTGCAGAGGACCTCGTTTGGTAGTTGGTTGATGGCCGTCATATCGTTTTTCATGGTCTGGATGTCCATGATCTCAGCAAGGAGCTGAGCGATGGCCTCGCTCAGGTACTCTGGCTTGAATATGACTTCGTCATTTCTCAAGTCGGCGTTCGATATCATGGTTTGTAAAAGCAACCGGCCACTTGGGCTGAAAACGTACGCGTCAGGCGGAGCCTCGTGGAACCATCGCAGTGTCACCGACCTTGAAAGGAAAATGGGGGGGCTTGATAACTCTCCCTAGAAGTGTTGAAAATGTTCTGAGCAGCAATTAACGACGAGAACGCTTTTTTCCGAGTCGAAAAGCCGACAGCAGAGCGCAGGAAGAACTTGGCCGTTTCGTGCCAGCAGACCTCCGACTCGGAAATGACGGTATTTGAAGGAGAGTTGACACTCCGACCGTCTCCGCTCAAACACCAGTTACCACTAGGTGGTGCGGCGGGCCGGCACCTATGTCCTTGCCCCAAGCCCTCCCAAGCCCTTGTTCTGGTCTCTGTTCAATAGAAAAAGACAAGAAAAAGAGCGCCTTTTCATCCATGTTCCATATCATATACATCCGATGTACATAAGTTAATACAAGAATCTAAAGTCCTGTCGATAGAGAGGAGAAGAGAAGTGAGTTTCCTAGCCATTGTAAGGGCGGGATACAAGTATGGAGACGGTGTTGGGACCATTAACCATGACGGTGAAGCAACGGCGGGTTCCCCGGGGGCGTCGACCATGGAAGCAAGAAGAAAAACATGGGTATGAATTAGAGCGGAGCGAAGAAGCGGAGATGTAGGAAAACGCTGTATTACTTGAAAAGGAAGGTAAGCGGATGGGATAAAGCCTTGCTTGGGGCAAGGAACCTGCCAGTTGCACCCACATCCGAATAGCTTTTTCATATACCTTTCCCTTTCCCAGTCGCGAAATAGTACTCGAACGCGTCCGACGCATATGTGTTATAATAAGCTGATGACAAATCGTGAAATTGCATTATGTACATCGACATGGTCCAAACCTACCTCCATTCCCCGGGACACCTCGCCGAATCCATTCCGACATAGTAAAAGTTTATTCAGGTTGAATGTAACTGGCCCCAAGACCTGTCTGTCCTTCCGTCGCCCCCTGAGGCCACTCGATAATCCGAATACCCGGTACGCGTCTCCTGAGATCTTTGATCTGGGTCACGGTCAACCTCCAACCCGTCGGATCCAAGGTCAAGGTTGGCGTTTTCGCATTATGTGTAGCCCGTGCGGCTAGGCATGAAGCCATCTGATGGAAGGGCATAGACTGGTCGCGCCTCCTTCTGGCGCCTCTCGGCCTCTGACCGAAGTTGTTGCACCCCAAGTGGATGTCCGTCAAAAGAGGAGCGTAGGTGACGACCCTGTCTTCGGACCGCGAACGCGAACGTCGGATGCTGAAGGCGGGGTCAAGCTTCAGTGCAGAGGCAAAGTGCTCCGAGGCGTATTCGCTGAGGTATACTTCTTCTAGGCAAGGTAAATGCGCTATCAGAAGCGATAGTTCCTCATGGGTTGGAAGCGTATGGAGCAAGGCGAACGACCGGATATTGGTTAGAGGAAGATTGAAAAGGTGATGGTAGCTTCCAATGGGAACCTTGCCTAATTGAAGTACAGCAGCTGCAGCAGGCTGGGACTCGAGGGCTACGAACATGGATTCAGAGAATTGGATACGTTCGTTCCATAACCACAATCCGATGCGACTATCGAACAAGTCGAGTCGAAGGCTCTGGTAATAGGGAGGATCGCTCCTGAAATTGTGGGGGTTTGTCCAGAGGGAGGAAATGGCGGAGGAAAACTCGGCGTAGTGATCGTCGAACGAATCTCCAACACAGTGAATGTTGAGTTCTGTCGACGCTGGAATGGCGAGCGCCATGAGGATTGCGTTGATCATACGAGGTTCACCCCTCAATCGCATATACTTCAGACCCGGAAGCTCCATTTTGGTGTATGGGCTTGGCGGTACAATCGTGCCTTGACTGTTAAGTTCCAACGCTAGTTTCTCTAGCTGCGGCATGTTCCGTAAGGCGTCCAGGACCGTTTGGAGGAGTAATTGGGACTGAAAGCAGGTGAGCTCAAAGGTTTTTAATCTTCCGATGAGCGATCGGTTCCAATTGGCAGAGAAGCCGCGCATTTGAAGCTTTTTGAGTCGCGGGGCGCCTTCCTTAAAGAGTTGCTCCAAGTGCCGCGGGGATGAAGGTCTCGTCGAAATCAGCGCGAGTTTCTCCAGAAACGGGGCAGACGACGGCAGCCGCATGATCCACTTCTCCACGACCTCAGGGGTCGAGGTTATCCCGAACTTCTTCAACCTATCTTTGTTTCCCACAACTTGCTCTAGTCGCTGTTCTGCACTTTCCGGTAGCATGTTGCAGCTAGTACTGAGGTAGATCGAGAGTGGCGAGGTTTGGGATCGTTCCAGGGCTGGCTCGAGCCATGAGAGTGGCCGGTTTGTAATGTTCGTCCACAGCATCGGTGCAGACAGGGCTATATCTCTCCATCGACGACAAACGTGTGCGATCGGGGGGACCCATTGGAAAGGCCTCAGCTGCAGTCGGTAAGCGTACTGGACTTCCATGAATATCTCCAACAAAATTTCGTCGGGTAGTTGGCATATGGGTAGTAGTGCGTTGACCCTGTACCTCAGGGCCAATATCTTCTCCATCATCGTCGAATTCATAACCGACCATTGCTGCTCGAGTTGAGCTATAGCATGGGCGATCTGGCGTTCCTCCGGTGACTGAGACTCCATGCTAGCTGTGACCTGTACCATGAATGAGCACATAGAATCCAATTAATTGTGTTTCCATAATACCTGTTTTCAAAGAGATTCTGGTCGAAGTGGCAAATGAAAGGGCAATGGAAGGGAACACTTGGGCCTTGGCAAGCGCCCAGTCAGCTCGAGCTGTGGCTGTGCTATATTGGTACATACCAGCGGCCCGTGTTCCGTTAGCCAGTTCTTGGCAAAAGTTTTGAGGGTTGCCTCGTTGTTGCCCCGTATCCGCGATGTCGTCGTCCTCTGAAGCCTCTTCCTCCTCTGTTCGCGACAGTTCTTCTCCGGAACCAACAACAAAAAAGGATCTCAAACGAAAAAGATCTAAAGATGTCTCCAAAAAGCCCAAACCTGCAGACTCGGACTCGGATTCTAGTAGCGACTCGAGCAGCGCCTCGGATTCTGACGACTCTGAGCGCGAAAACGACATGGACGTAGATGGAGACCAGCAGCCAGTTCTATCTCATGCTGAGCGGCGGCGACAAAAGAAACGAGAGAAGAAGGCTCTAGACGACTCGGCTGTGCCCAAAAAGAAGCTCAAGGGGAAGGACGGCGTTGCCATTCCCTCGAAAGAATCCACCGCTCTTCCGAAACGACAAAACTCTGTATGGGTTGGGAACCTCTCATTCAAAACGACACAGGATAATCTACGATCGTTCTTCAAAGATGTTGGTGAAATCACCAGGATACACATGCCCATGAAGGCCTCTTCTAGACCCAATCTACCTCAGGAAAACCGAGGGTCGGTCTCTTTCTATTCTCCCCTGGTTGTAGCCTCGTTACCCACACGAATATACTTTTTGTTTCATCCTTTTGGGCTCTATCCTTAGATTCGCCTACGTCGACTTTGCAACTCCCGAAGCTAAAACTGCAGCTATTGCGCTGTCCGAGCAACCGCTCATCGGAAGGAAACTGTTGATTAAAGATGGTCAGTCCAATCAGGTCTAAGCGCTTGTTCGGCCAAGTACTGATTCCATGCTCTCCTCTGAATAGGTGACGACTTTGCAGGACGGCCCATCGCCCCAGGTGTCGATGTGAAAACGAACGATCCCACTCTCGCTCAGAAGACCCACTCCAAAACCGCCCAAAAGATCCTCCGCAACCAAAAGCAGCCCCCAGCACCGACATTGTTCCTTGGAAATCTCCCATTCGAGACGACGGAGGATGACATCCGGGAGATGTTCGAGGCTCACCGCTATCCCAAGAAGCAATCCAAGAAGCCGAAGAAGGGAGGAAAAGGAGATGAAGACGGGGATGAAGAAGCGAAAGAAGGGGGAGGGGATGACGCAGCACAGTCGAATAAAGATTCGCAGAAGGGCGAATACATCCTTAAAGTTCGAATGGGGACTTTTGAGGATACAGGTGCTTGTAAAGGGTAAGTCGAAGCGCCTTAATACCACTTACCCATCCTTCTTTCCTACTTTTACTTGTCGCCTTTCTTGCATTACACCCGCTATCCTTCAATTGGCCAACCTGGGCCAGCCCCCATGCGTCTACTTACTCATGTCTTCTTTTCCCCTTCTCCAACACACGCACAAACTCACTAATCCCCATCCGTCCTGGCAGATTCGCCTTTGTCGATTTCTCAAGCATCGATAACGCAACTTCGGCGCTCATTAACCCCAAGAACCATCATTTCAATGGTCGAGACTTGAAAGTCGAGTATGCAGGTGCTGATGCCGTTCGGCGCGGGGCAGCTAAACATCTGCTACCCGGCATTGCCGCTGCATCTAAAGACAAAGGTACGCGTATGTCGAACGGCAAGAAGGGCGAGGCTGGTGGTAATGCTAAAAGGGGTGGTCCCAAATCGAGCTCGCGATCAAATGGGGTGGAGGGCGATGGAGGATGGGGAGAAGGAGGGGGAGAGCAGGGAGGCCGAGACTCGAATGACAAGTCGAGATCGAGGTCGAGGAACGGTGGTGCGGCGTCGTTTGACAGCGGAGCGGGTGACGAACGTGAGGGTGGTGAACGTGGTGGCGATGGTGGGCGTGAACGTGGAAGTGGGGGTGGGAGGAAGTTTGGTGGCGATAGGAAACAGGGACAGCGGGAGTTCAAAGGCTCGAAGGCGAGACCTAAACCAGGCGCTGCTCTTGCCCAGGCGAAGAGGGAGACAGCGGCCATCATTCCCAGTCAAGGGAAGAAAATCACCTTTTAGGCCGTTGGCCTGGTATTCGGAGTGTTTATTTTTGGTGTGGTATCTTCGTGGTCTTTCCTTGCCTGCTACTGTTTGGAACACTGGAATCTATGTCATTCTTTCTTGTTCTATGCCTTTGCCGCCTTCTTTCTCTTTGCGGTCGATCTCACATCCGATAATATCTCCAGCGCTGACCTAGAGGGAAACGTAAGGGGAAGATGGAAGGACCAGGAGGAGCATGGACCTCTATACACGTTAAAGTCCAGAGAGCCGGTATCTAATTCTGAAAGTCCAGAAACTCGATGCAAGCCCGCGTACACCAGTCCATCTCCGGGGCGAGGCTCTGGTAGTCTCAAGTGCAATTGAACAGCATGCTAGTCTAGCTCAGGGTATAGGCTTTAACTGCAACACCGACTCCCAAATCATGATACACCTTTACCTTTCCCATTAATCACGGCAAGTATTAGTCTAATCAATCTCTCTCTCGTTCCGATAGGAGAATATTTATAGCTAAGGATTAAAAGTGCGTTTGGGGACGGTAGCTAGAGTTTGTTAACTGACTACCCTTTCGCTCACTGGGCGGTAAGGATAGATCTACGGCGAGTCGGAGGCGGCGATAAGTTCTATCTTATCGGTGATCTAAGCTTTGGAATCACAAGAGAATTCGATTAATTGGAAAGTCTGTCGCCCGTATGGAACGTATTCACCATGGTTGGGACGAAGGGCTGGGCTTTTGCCTCGCGGATTGACCGTCACATAGAAGTCAGGGATAGAAAGTACGTGCTCCACAAGAGACCATGACAGCTGTCCGGGCAAACCAAAAGCCTAGTCTCCAAGCTTCGAGCTTCAAAGCTTCAAGTTCGAGCCGAGGTCAGGGACGTTCACTCGAAGCGCTTTTTAGGGTCGAAAGCTCAAAGTCGATGGTGCTTGAGTTTGTGCTGATGAGCAAGCATTGACAGACTCAGGCCAATCTCTCCGCCATCTAGGCGCCAGCCTTTTCCCATTTTGGATGGACGCAAATCTGCAAGTACGATGTGCAGCCGATGCAGCCACGCACCCATGCGAGCCCATGTACCGAGATGTACCGTCGTCAAGGTGTGGTTTGACAGAAAGTTCGGAGGACCGGGTCAAAAGTCATCGAGTATAGGTCATGCGGTGGAGCAATGGGCGGCATGACGTCGGCGAGACGGTACGAGTCCTGACTTTGGACGATACCAACGCGACACAAGGGAAGAAATCGATGGTCTCGATGCCGAGACTATGTCTGGGCCATGGTCGTGTGTTGGCGGTGGATGGGTTTAAAGGGGGAAGGCATTTTGAAAGACTTTGGAAGCAAAAATGCATGGAACGGAGACTCTTGGAAGGCCGGTGTTTTGAATTTGTGAAAGGACGGAAAAGGAAGACGGAAAGCAAAAACGAGAATGGGAAAGGAAAACGAAGAGGAAAGTTGAGATAACCTGATAGGAGACATCGAAGAGATAGAGGACGAATTGAGCGTAGTGCGTTGATGTGAATATGCTCGAGAACGACAGAGAACACCGTCCAGACCTATCCTAGATAGCCTTCAGACCGTCAAGTACCTAAAATATGAATTGAGATTTGATGTTGAAGCCCCGGCTGCGTGGAGTGCGGTCGCTGAGGGAGACCACGCGAGGATGGGGTTGGAGCGCGGAAAGCGGATAGACGAGCAAGACCACGGCAGGCTACATTTTATACACATAGATCTGAGAGCCAAGAGACAGACAGGTCCACCGGGAGTACTGCATGGGACATACATATGTTGTCGTAATTCGGGGAATTGGGAAGGGGCCAGAAGGAGATGGAGGGCGTCTGAAGATGGGCGAGAACGGTCCAAAGGGCTTGCTTTGACTTACGGAGTTCTTAATCATACATAGACATGGATTTGTAGTTTGGTCAACGGAGAGTTGGAACTCCGGTCAGGTCATGGGTGTCGCTGCGCAGTGCAACGCGAAGGCGAAGCGACAGGTTGTTCAACAGAGCCTGAGATTGGACTGGTATACGTGGAGCGACGATGAGAGTTTTGGCGAGCGGCTGGAGGGCCTGGATCCAGCCAATAGAGACGGAGCAACAGGGGTGGGAGGATCTACCCAATAGCTATTGGCAACGAAAAGACATGGAGCCAATGGCAGAGGAGATGGAGATCAAATTTACTTGGGACCAGGTTCTTGACAGTCCGAGAGACCAATAGCATTGGGTCGGTCGACAGTGGATCTGGCAAGGCCGTATGTAAGTAGTGGTTCGGTGAGGGTAGGTCCCATCCCCATCCCTATCTGTCGCCGGTAACAATGGTCGACGAAATCACAGCATTTATTGGATCTAGGCGGGGTCGAATACCAATTAGTTTGTGGTGGGCGTTGAGGTCCGGCGGTATCTGTAATCGGTTCGGTGGGCATTATAGCGAGGCTTATGGAGAATCTGGTACATGCGGGAGCACTGGGTCCATGTACCTTGGCACCATTTCTTCCTGTCCTGTTCCTCTCTGAATACTGCTCGCAAGATCACTACTAGTTCAGACAACCAGTGTTGTATATAGCGAACAACAAACGAGAAAACGGGCGGAAAAAGATGATTGGCTGGACCGCAGTAGGGCAGCGAATAAGAGCGGGGATCTCAGAAGAATGGACCATCTGACCCAAAAAAGAAAAGTTGAGATTGTGTTTCTGAGATTTCTTATGATGCAAGCTTGTCCAGACCCAACCGAGCCCAAATCCGTACAGTCTCGATCAAAATTTTCCCAACACTTGTATCCGCGATTTATACTTCCTCCCTGTCCATTTCTCCACTCTTTTCTTGCTCCGTTTTCCTGCTCACACTCAACGCTGGCGACGACGACAACGACGACGACAACGACATAACGACCGTCAGCGCAAAAATTCAAAGGATATGGCCCGCACAAGAGATCGCTCGCCTTCGGCTGCTGCAGACACCGCCGATGCTGCCGCACATCTCGTCAAGCGCCTCAAGACATCGCATGTAGCCCCTCAGACAAACGGCTTCCACCCTCCATCGACGACGACAAAGCAGTCCGAAGCTGCTCGCAATGATCCCACATCCAGATTCGCAAACAACCTGTTTGATCACAACCATATCGCCCGACTGCACGACGCCTACGATGCCTCTGAGCCCTTCAAATACGCGGTCGTCGACAAATTGTTCCAGGACGACCTGTTGAAGAAGGTCAAAGACGAGTGTCTCGGACAACTGAGCTTTACGGAGAAAGAGACTGATATCTACAAGGTACGGTGTCGGTCAAGCTCAGATCTCCTCGTTCGGCGTCGTCTAAAATGAATGGGATCGTTCATATTAACCCCTCAGGTCAATCAAACCGGTGACCTTGCTTCACTAAACTTCCTGGCTCCCGAGCAGCTCGCTCGATTGCCAAATCTCCTCGCCCTGCGCGACGCCCTCTACTCCCCCAAGTTCCGACAGTTTCTTCGCTCGGTGACCGGATGCGGTCCCCTGTCGGGCAAAAAGCAGGACATGTCCGTCAACAGCTACACCCGTGGCTGCCATCTCCTCAACCACGACGACGTTATCGGCACTCGCCGTGTCTCCTACATCCTTTACCTCCCCCTACCACATTACCAGCTCTGGCAAAAAGACTGGGGAGGAGCCCTTGAACTTTACCCCGTCAAGCCCGGTCCCGATGGCCAGCTTGAGCCCGAGTGCATACCCTCAAAAAGCATCCCGCCCAGTTGGAATCAGTTCATCTTCTTCGAAGTTCAGCCAGGCCAGAGCTTCCATTCCGTGGAGGAGGTGGTCGTTGGAGGCGATGGTCGTGAGCGTCTGAGCATTAGTGGCTGGTTCCATGCCGCTCAGGAGGGTGAAGAGGGCTACGTCCCAGAGGCACCTTCCGAAATGAAAAGCTCTCGAGAGCAACTTGTGCGTTTTCTCATTTTGTGTCGACTTTACATCGCTCACCAAGCTCAAGGCATCACATTCGACGGTGTTTACAAGCTACCCCAGCACCAGCCTGGACGCCGTGTCGGAAACGCTCACAGAAGAGCACACTTCCTTCCTCTCCGAATTCCTCAACCCCGTCTACCTCCAACACCGCACCATGAAGGCCCTCGCCGCACGCTTCGTCGAGGAATCCTCACTCGAACTCCACTCATTCCTCTCCAACGACATCGCCGAGAATCTCGAAACTCGCCTCCGTGATCTTGACCTACGCGACGGCCTTGGCGAGGACCGTGCTGGCAAAATCCCACCTCACAACTCTGGCATCGAAGGTCAATGGGAGCTTCGAGGCCCTCCCCACAAATGGCGTTATTGCACCCTGAAAGCTCGCGAAGAGGGTGCCCCGATCCAAGCTGTCACGCCGCGCGCCGCCAACCCCTCGGCCGACGCCATTATGAGGAGCTTGCAGGACGAGCTTTTCACTAGCCCCGCCTTCCGAGCTTGGCTCAGTGCAGTGACGAGGCTGATTCCCATGCGGCATTCGGTCCAAGCCAGGCGGTTTAGGCCAGGGCTGGATTACACATTGGCGACGAGTGAGGACAACGAGGCGCGCTTGGATGTGGTGCTAGGGTTGACGCCTAGAGTCCGGGATCCTGACTCGGACGAGGAGAGCACGGGTTACTACCGCCAACAGCCCTCCAGCAGAGGTTGGCAATCAGCCGAGTGGGGCGGCTGGGAGGTATGCGCTTTGGCCATCCATCGTCTTTTCTGTTTCTGATAACTGACGCTACGTTTTCCAGTGCTACATGGCTCCCCACAACGAAGAAGACGACCCAGCAGTCTACCGATCGAGCGTGCACAAAAAGTCCAAGTCGCAAACGCCGGCCAATGGCGATGCGGAACAAACGAACGGTGTCGACCACGACGGATCTGACGATGACGAGGAGATGGGCTCCGAAATGGAAGAGGAAGAAGACAGCACGCTTCTCACTGTCCAGCCTGGCTTCAACCGACTACTACTTGTTCTCCGGGATGAACGCGTGATGCGATTTGTCAAGTACGTTTCCGCTGCTGCAGAAGGATCGCGTTGGGATGTATGCGGTGAATACGAGGTCGGAATGATCCAAGAAGACGACGAAGACTCTTCATAACGATCGCTCACTCTACGTGATCACGCTTCTCATCTCTCTCTGGTTTTACTCTCCGGCGTACTTCCCCGCCAACCCCTTCGACCGTCTAAATGTACTCAAAAAGGTGGCAGGCAACCCACTCTCCGCCACCCAAACATCGACAACTTTCGACACTTTTTGACTCCGCCTCCTTGATTTTTCCGACTTCTTGACGACCTCTCCTACTCCATTACGACTTCCACTCCTTCCTACCAATCCTAATCGTAAACGTTCCCCGTCCACCCGCTCGGCCGCTCGGTTCTAACGTGGTATCTTTTCTCTGTGACGTCCGCGCGAATCGATCCCGGTACACTGCTGTTCTCGCCGTTTTAACTTTTTGGGTTTAATTCTTTGTTCGCATAATATCTTTATTTCCTTCTGTTTTCTTCTATGACCTTCTTTTGTGATGAGGGTGATACACAATTCGACCCCTGGCTTCTAGTGTTTGGGGGGTGCGGTGGAGCTTAGAGCTTACTCTGGCGAGCTCATGGTCTTCTTGACCATCCACATTGTTCCTGCTCCCATGACCGTATTCATTCCACTTCTTCACCCTTCTATGTCTACCACGTTTTACCCTCTGCACCTCACGCAACACCGACTCGTCTCGCCCATCCATGTTTGATTTTCGCCAATTGACGATGACTGATCCGCATCCCTCATCATCGCTTTGTAGAGTAGTGTTCCAAAAGTTCATTTCTTCTTCAGCATTGTTGCATTGTTTTCTTTTTGTATTGTAGTGGTTCTTGAGCAATTTTTTAACAATTCACGAAACGTTTAAAAGTTGAAATCTTGGACGGTGGATAGGGGTCTTGTGAGACACCGACCTTTCGAACAGTAGTCGAGCAGCAAGGTTTGTCCTTTTTCGTGGAGAAGAGCGGTGCGTCATAGATGAACTAATCTTGTTCTTTTCATCTCGCACCCTGAACTTTGACGACTGTTCTAGTAGGTTTGGGGTTCTGGTGGAAGAACGCCATGCTCCTGTTTGGTTTCTGTTGTGGAGAAGACAAGAGAAGTCGTACTATAGTGAGTATTTTTGGGTATCGATATGAACTAGGCGCGGACGTTACAACGTTAACAAGCTATTTCGGGGACTGTTCTAGTGGATGAACGTCATACCCTCTTTCCGTTGTGGAGAAGATAACAGACGCGAGAAATAGTAGCGTAAGTATTCCTAGATATGAATTGCGGTGTGGGCCCCTACTAATTATTGCAGCCAATCGTCACCACAAGCTTTTTGTAGCCAACCTAACTCCACCAATGGTAGGGATAGCCAACTTTACGAACCTTCAGCTCCAGTTTGTTGAGCCAACGTGGCTCGCACGCGCTTCTGTGGCCTTCTATGAAGAACGAGCGACGATCCACTGACCTCATGGAAATGAGAAGACATGTCGCATTCCGAAGAAGACTTGCGGAAGGGTTGAGATTTTGAGGGGCTCTGTCCAATTGGTGTGCGGAGTACCCTATAGGAGAGCTTGCTCGTAGTTTGCGGTGGGTACAAGAATAAACAATCGTGTTGTTTACTACCTCGGTACGTACAATCTACCCTCGTCGAGCAGGTCTCCAACAACAGCCGACAACGGAACTGGAAGGAGGGGCTTGAAGAAGCGCGAAGTCGTCATTATGAAGAACGTGTAGGTGAGCTTCGAGAACTTTGCGCTATGGCTAAACCCAGGGAGAATCCAATGATCCAATGGGACTCTTTGATATGAAAGTACCCAGGGTCTAGAGGCTGTCAGAAGAAGTTGTTCTGGGGATGGGGATTGGTGGTGGACCAAGTGTTGAACCCGACTCCGTGGACTGCTATATCCGCCGGCGGCAATACTCCTCTCACCGCCTGTCAGCGAGCTGGGACCCACAAACAAGGACGATCTTTGTGCTTTTTCCGAGGTTCAATGCGGGAGGATCTCTTGATGCTGGACGTTAGGTGGGAACAAACGAGAAAGGGGGCTGGGTAGAAGCGAGCGGCGCGCCCCCGATTTGGAAGCGGTATTTCCATCTCGGGGAGGTCGCAGACGCGAGACCCCTCAGGCGAAGCGCGCACCAGGCCTGGACAAACGTCGACCATGAAAATAGTAGGTCAGTCCACTGTTCTATCCACTATCAAAGAGGCATGTAGTCTGGGCCCAGGGTACACTTCAGGTTCTGAGCATTCGGACTACATTAAATGAGGGAATAAAAGAAAAGGAGTTCATTGGGGCGGCTATCGTTACAGCACTGCGTGCGGAAACATGGATAGTTGCCGTGGTCCTAGCGAGACTTTGGGGTAAGCTGTACATCAATACATTACAAGCTAATTAATACTGGTACAACAGAGTCCTATGGGTACAACATATCACATTCATCTCCTAAAAACAATGGGTGAGAACCTGGAAAATAGGACAAGATAGGAAGAAAAAAGAAGCGGAATATAACAATACATTCATTAGTACATGAGCCTAGACCTGGACTGAAGTCCTAGAGTGGGCAAAGAACATGTCTTGTGACTTGTCCTCAGGCCGGCAAGTTAGGCCATCGTTCCAATTAGGCTTAGGAACGGCGCCTCGGAAGACGGGCTCCTTGATGTTAGACCTCTTCACCACGCTATGATCGTAGCTCAGCAGGTACATCGCAACGATGAGCTTGAGTTCAAGCTTGGCTAGTCTGTTTCCTACGCAGACAGTTCGGCCTAGAGCGACCTCGTGATTCAGCAAACGCGTGTCAGTCTTGAAGTGAAGAATGTGAAAGCTTACCGCCGCCAAAGCCGACGAAACTGAGAGGGACGTCCGTCGGTGGTGTGCGACCGGGGTTAAAGGTCCATGGTTCGGGGTAGACGTCAGGGTCGAGGTGGATATCGCTGAAAGGGTACAAGACGTAGGACCCGTGCGGGATGAGTTTGTTGTCGATGAGAACGTCGGGGCCCTCGTTCAGTCGCATTGCGACATGGGGTTGGGCAATACGAGTGACCTCCCGGATGGCAGACTCCAAGATAGGCATGTCGGACTCCCATGCCTCAAGGGGAACGGTAGCCAAGCGGGCAGAGAGCGGGTCCGACGAAGGATTTGAAGAGTGGTTTTGGAGAAGTGCTTCGATTTCTTCGACTACCTTTGTGCGCCACTCAGGGTACCCGCCGAGATAGATCAGAAGCCATGAAGCTGTGATTGAGAGGCTCAGTAGGACGACCTGGAAGGGAGTGTGGGGAGTAACATACCGGTTACTCCGGTAGCTCGAGCGCCAGCGATGATGAAGCCCATGATAAACTGGATGGTACGGGTGTTATTGTCAGAATTTACCAAAGTCAATTCACAGCCAGACAAGCCACTTACCGAAACAATGGTGTACCTGCTGTCGTCGTGATCCAAAAGTAATTGTAAAGTGTCATCCTGTCGGATGCCCGACATTCTACGTTCATTAATCGCGTTCACAATAATGTCGTAAACTTTCTTCGCCGACCACACTTTCTTGATCATGGAAGGCGATGGGAGCCATGGGAAGAGAACTGTCGTTGGGGTAGTAGAGTCGTCTAGATCGTCGTAAATTTTACGGAGTTTCTGGATGAAAGTATAGTCGTCTGCCATTTCCTTGGCTGCCAGCGCCCTAACTGAGGTATGAAACCCGAGCTTAAGTGAACACTTCTAGTCAGTTCGCGCTCCGAATGGATTGGATGAAAAATGCTCACCTCGCAGACTTCGTCAAAAGGGTCTATCCTTTCCCTGGTGGACCAACGCTCCATGTGCTGCCGAACGTCTTCAACCAGTTTAGGAATCACTTTGAAGGCGGAAAGTGAATTGATAATTCTTCATTTAAAAATTATTCCCTCGACTCACTGTTGCTCAAGGATTCGTTTCGCTGGAGCTCCATTAACCGCTTTAGAACGATGGCAAGATCTGCCGGGTTTGCGTCCTTGACTACGGGCAACTTTACGGGATGTACCACAGTGAGCTTAAAGGACAAGGCACAGAACCGATATCACTCACCGAGCCGGAAACGAACTTGAACGCCTCGAGTAGGTTCAGACCTTTGTAGGTATAGATAGCTTCTCGAGCAGCCTCCCCCGAGACGACCGTAACTTTGTTCTGCATGGCTTTAGCATATGTCCAAAAGACTAGAGCTGATCCCGAGACGACGAACCCAGAGCAGATTGAATCGGAAGATATGGTGGCCAGTAACGTTAAAGCCCCAGTCCAGGAAGTCGAAACGCTGATGGAAGAAAGGCATAATGGACAGGAAAGATAGTCCTGGAACGGCCTGGGCGAGTGACCCCAGTTCGTACTTCCTTGAAGAGGAAGAGAAAGTGAAGTATAGCAGCGAGGATATCAGTACCGTCGCTATCGGGACTGCAAGGGACTGGGAGAAGGCTGCATCGCTGTTCGTGAACCGGTCGAGAAAGTGGGTCATCACTCGCGCCGTGCTGGGGTGGCAGAGGAATAACAGACGTTACTGGCTCTCGACAGGGCATGGCAGAGGCCCTTATTTATAGCTTGAATGTGGTAGGAAAGGGCGGGTAACCCCCATGATTATGCTCAAAATCCAAATGGGGAACTAGATCTACATTAGTTAACTTCAGTCTTCCATCACGGACCGACACTGTCGCTGATATGTACCCAACGCAACGCAGCATTTGGCTAACGCATGTATAGCATCACAGGTAGTTCCGTAACACAGGCCAGTAGAGATAGACATGAACAGTTCAATAGAGCGAGATCAGGTCGGTTATGCCCTCGAGAGTGTCCTAGCGCGGAGAAATCCCACCCACATTGCTCGTTGGCGCAGAAACGCGGAATATCAAGATTATGTTTCTGATGGATTTCCGCGACAGGCGCCAGCAAGTTGGGCAACCAAAACGGCGGAGATCGATATAACTGGGCCATGAGGCAAGTGAACATGGAAGTACCATCCTGTTGGATCCAGAACAGTTGGAGAATTATACCTTTTGTTGTTTTTCCTGCGTCTAAGCTAGTCCCTGAAAGGACCTGGATTTGAATTTCAAGAACAGCCTTGGAACCTTACGGCGCTCACATGCCCAGTGGCATGCGATGTACGTACGTATTGCTTTTGTTATCACCGCACCGGCATGCCACGCCTCATTTCCAATCTTCCTGTGTTCTTTTCGACCGGGGAATTGGGAGATTTGACAGAATTGATCCTGGCGATGACGGCATTGGCAGAAGCAGAAGGTCTTGTCACTCTCTTGTCCAAAAGCTGTTAAGTCTGATGCCGTTCCTTTCCAAGGATAAGAACACTTAACCCTTGTGGAAATATTCGACTACGTGTTCCTGAAGCCGCGGACCACACGACATTCGGTTCCTAGGAAGTGTAGAGGAAAATATTTGATGTGGATTGAATAATACTAGGAACACTTTAACAGAACAGCCCACCAAGAAAGTCATTCTGCCACAATGGCATGGAAAAGGGTTCACTATAGTCCGAAACAACGGGAATGGATCCGTAAAAGAGTGTGAATCGGGATATCTACTATGATGATTACCACAAGATTAATAGGAAATGTCCCGTCATGATGTTAAATATTACCAGCATGTTTACACCCTGCCGGTGGGGATCCCTGATTCGAAATCGACAACGTAGCATACCTTTGTAGGAGACTCTATTCTGATAAAACTGATTTTAGCGCCCGCACCAGGTGGCTGATCACTGCATCAAAATGCCAAGGCAATGATATTTTTGCATGAAGGCCCTCGTGCCACGCTGATGCTTCGCAACTTGAACCAGCATGACCCTAGCGCCATTTTGAAGCAATGCCCAATCAAGCCACCTTGCAATTTGAGCTTTGTAGCTCAAGTGCGGGATTTAACTTCAATACTTCCTCGTACTGACACAGAGACTACGATGTCGAGCGATGTCGCTCGAAAAGACAAGTCGCGACTGGAAGGGATTCCAGACGTTATCGACCAAGTAGAGCTCCAGGATGACAAGTCTGATGACCTTCCTGTGCCCCAGGTTTCGGTTGGCATAGATGGGTTTGAAGACCCGGTTGTCACTAGAAGAGAGCTATGGAGCTACTATCGTACGTGCCGTTTTTCTGAAGACTGCAGCACAAACCTGACGCCTTGTAGTGTATTACAACGGGAATAATGTGCGTCAATATCGTACACCAATTTTGCAGTTGTTGAGAATGCCGAAAAGGGCGTAGGCCCTTTGGGGTTTTCCATGACACTGTTCCAGTCCCTGGCGTACGGCGCAGGTTACGATCCCGTGAAAGGACCCGCATTTCCTTGCACCGCAGAGAACGCTTCTGGACAGTGTGTAGTGCCTTGGGGTGGAGGTACCAAGTCCGTTGCGAGTGTTGTCTTGATCGCGAATGGAGTTAGCTTTGGAGTGGGTGTGCTTTCCGAGCCCAATATCGTGCTCGAGCTAACGGTGCAACGCAGGTCATGGCCCTGATCTTTACCACCATTGGATCTGCTGCCGACTTTGGCTCCTTCGGGAAATGGTTGCTGCTCACTATGACCTGTATTTGCTGGGCTTCACAGTATGCAAGCATGAGTTTAACCGGTAGGTATTCCACTGTGACTGTCAGGTCCATTCTGACGCTCGCTCGCTAGATCCTTCGCGATGGGGAATAGCCATGGCCTTATTCATGATAGGTTTCATCTCGTATGGTGCGACCCTAGTGTTCTACGCTGCACTCTTCCCTCGGTTGGCACGAAATACGGCGCACTCGCGCGAACTACGTGCCCGTTACAGGGCTGGGGATGTATCTAAAGAAGAATACGAGATGGAGGAAAGCCTGGAGAAGAACAGAATTAGTAACATAAGCACGGTTGGTTCTTTTGCTTTAATGACTTACCTTAGAACTGAATAATAATCACAGATGCACAGCAATATTGGCTACATTGCGACCCTCTGCCTTAATCTGACTTTATTGATTCCTCTGAAGGACCATCCGCTGGTAAACAACTACGTCCTTGTTCTGTGAGTGACATTTGACCAGGCTGCAACTGTAAAGCTATGCGGTACTGATCCTGTTCCAAGTGTCAACACGTACTGGGTGCTCACGGGAATTTGGTGGTGTACGTGCATCCCCTCGATGGCCGTCGGTTTAGCATTGAGTTCAACTCCATTCGCTTAGTTGTGTTCCAACAACCCCGTCCTGGGCCAAGGTTACCGAAAGGCCAGTCGTACCTGACCATAGGCTGGAAACAGGTTCGTCAATAATGTTCCTTACTCCAGGAAACCGCTGGAAAAGGAGCTGTGTAGATCTGGATGGCTCTGAAGCAATATCGACAACTCCCGTTCACATTCACCTATCTTGTCGCGTTCTTCCTACTGGCAGATGTAAGTGGCCCCTCCCCTACGACTTCCGACCTGTTAACACCCATCAAATAGGGGCTGAACACGACAGGGACATTAGTCTCAATTTGTCAGAACGAGAAATTCTCGTTCAGCTTTCTGCAAAACACCTATCTCGGTCTAGCTCAAGCTATTACTTCGACAGCAAGCACACTTGGATTTTGGTACGTTCAAAGGCACTGGAAGATTCCCACGAAAAATATGGTATGAGCCTCTTCTCATTCAATTTTGGCCGCTCAAATATCCCCCAGTTCATTGTCACAAACATTGTGTCCACGCTGATTCCTCTGTGGGGGATGGTTGGGCTTTGGACACAACGATTTGGGTAATTTTTTCGCTCAATCGTCGTGTATTCAATTGACGTGTCCACTCCTTTAGCTTCCACAATGCTTGGGAATTCTGGTAAGAGAACCTTGACTTGACTCCCCCAAGCTTTGGGACGAGTGAGAATACATTACCCTCAGGGCATACAACGTCGTCTTCGGTATTTTCCAAGCCCCATACTACGCGTTTTCGCAGACCATGATGGCGGAACTCACACCCCTCGGCTTTGACAATATGGTGAGATTATCCTGCGTAACCTTTGGCATTGGACGTTGGCCGGCACTGAGCAAGCCACAGTTCTTTGGATTATTTGGCCTATCCAATCGAGCGTCCTCGATGATTGGTCCCAACGTTATCCAGGCAATCATCGACAAGTCGGGAAATAATTGGAAAGGATTCCCGTTCCTCTTCGCACTGTGCATATCGGCGTCGCTCATCATCTGGCTGGGAGTTGACGTCCCAAAAGGGAGGAAGCACGCTGCATTGTGGGCGGAACGTAGGTGAAAGTAGAACATTTCCACCGATCATTTTTTCTTTCAGAAATTCCCGGCTGGTTACTCATGTACTAAGGCAATGCCCTCCCCTCGTTGATAGCTTTCGCCACTTGGCTCGTATTGGGACGATTGAATGCATACCTGTCCATTCCGTTCAGCGATTCAGGAAGCCGGTGATAGGTGTGAGGGTTATTTACCTCTCGTAACTGTCCAGGTACAGCTGCTCCGTGCTGCATGTCGCCTTGAATTTGGGATGATTAAACAGACGTTTGATGTACCGGCTGAAGCGCTCTCCTTCCGGAAGTTGGAAACCGCGGTAGTGTGTAAGTACCACCTTCGCACGGAACAGCCCTGTAAAAGCATCAATGGTCAGAATCACATTCCAATGTATTCAGGAACCTCGACAGACACTTACAGGGACCCGCCATAACGTCTGCCCATCCAAGATCAGTGTTATCTTCGATCCACAAACCCAGACCTTTCTTGAGCATGGTCAATTCTCCTTCACCGACATGACCGCCGGCATCCACAATCTCCTTTTCTGATCTCTCAAGAACTGAAACAAAGGACTCAATAACTTCATGGAACTCTTTCCCGTGTTCGATTTGCGCAGTGGGGTCCTGTGCCTGGAGGTAGCGATAGAACGCCGGAACGATGTTCCGGTTTGCTTGGTCTGCAGCGAGGCGGGCAAGTGCGCGGGCGTCTAACGCAACCGATCAGCTGGGTATGATCACGAAATACGATGTTTGAGTTGAATAGACTCAATTGCTCACATGGGTTAAAAGGTAGGGGCAACATCGTATGCTTTGTAGTCGTGGCTGCCAAGCTAGGGTTGCAACATCAGTCAGATGGTCACCCTCTGCTTTGCGGGGATTCATGGTGATGTTCGGTGACTCACTCCTCAAGATACTCCATGATGACAGTACTTTCATTCAGCGCCCTAGGTGGGTTGAACGTGTTCAAGCGCAGGGCTGGTACCAGGCCTTTTGGAGACAGTTCAAGGAGTTCCTTCGGCTTTTTGTACGGGTCCACCTCGACTGTGAGAATTTAAGCGCCCAAACACAGATGCTAATGATAAGCCCACGCTCACCATACTTCGGGAGAGAACATCAAGTTTAATGGGTCAGAAAAAGGACATGTTATAGAGCTAGGTGTTCTCACCTTGTAAGGTATGCCAAGGGCTTCAAATGCGACCCAGGCTCGCTGAACAAAGGGACAGAAGCAGCTTCCAAAGAGCGTGATGTCCTGGTCCGACTGGTGGCGTTTGACAGTTTCCAAAGCATTCCCGGTGCATTCAGTATGATACACCCGGCCTGTATCTTTATCCTTGGTCATAGACATGGTTGCGGAAGAAGGTAAAGAAGTATCTTGGGCGGATTGCGCGATTCAGGGGATCTCGAAAGTGACGTCATCGATGCCGTCGAAGGTATAAAGTAATAATACAGTGGTATAGTGGTATCGAGAAGTCGTTAAAGACGCTACAAATGTCGTTACAAACATCACAGCATTGGGTATAATCCAACCGTTCATATAATTCCATTTCCTCTTCCATTTCCTCACGCATAAAATCAAAGAGTCCGGCCTTGCTGTCGTAACCGATCCCGAACCCGCACCAGCGCTGTACCGAAGGCGTTATGAACCGGACCGCTGGCAGGAGAGTCAGGCCGATAGACACTTCTAACAACCTCCTCGTAGTCGGTACAGAAGATGGGCCGGGGATGTGTTGACAAGAGTAAGTCCCGAAGATCGGGATACTGGGTGAATTTGAGGTATAATAGTTTTTCCAGCTGATAACAAGAGGCGTTAGATCGTTGACATACAACACAGAACAAGAACAAGGCACAGCGCTCACCTTCCAATCCGCCACCTCATTCCAATCCGGCCGACAGTAATGGGAGCAATGTTCAGATAGGCGGTAAACCGCATCGACGTCCGAGCACAGACGTATTTGTTCCGCGAGTTCGGGGTTGAGTTTGAGGTACTTCATGGCCTCGAATAGATGGGCAGCGGTAGGGTATAGCCGGCCATCGTGCCTGATGGGATGGGGCGAACGGTGGAAGAACCTGGAGTAAACTGGGTCGTCGTGGCTGATATGGATGAATGAGTCGAGCGATGCCGAGGGCGCTGTGATCACAGGAGCCGCCGCGAGGCGATCCAGCAGTGCGTTTCCACCACTCGAGGTGTAAGTGTGAAAGCGGCGATGCGTAGCGCGATGCGGCTTCTCCAAATTACTATTGGAATGAGGCGACTGAGCCAGATCAAGCATGGAGAGCTTCGAGGCAAGTGTCGGGAGCGCCAGATTAACACCTGGGTCAAGATGTGTGGGAGAGTCGGTTTGAGGGAACTCCGGTAAGGATTTGCTCGAAGGGGGTTCGAGGTGTCGCTCCACGTCAGGCCTAGGAGAGTCACTCAAGACCTGACTGGGAACCGGGCGAAGCCTTTGGTCTGGCTCTTGAAAAGTGTCGGAAGGGATCTCGACAGGAGTGGAAGGCTGAGGGAATGGTCCCGGTGAACCGCCACTGGGAGGGTGAAACGACATGGTTGACGCCGAAGGCAGGCCATGGAACCGGACTTCCCTAGGCGGGTCCTCAACGTGAATCAAAGGTCGTCGGATGATGGGTTGAACTGAGTCTCGGAACGCCTGGCTTCTGCTCGAGCGAATAGAGTCGTCCGTCGACACGACGTAACCTTGTCGACTGAGAGGTGGGGAAGAGTCGTTGAATCTTGCCCCATCTTTGATATGGGCGCTCCAGGTGCTTTGATTGGCCAACTCGTTTGATTTGAGGATACGCTTCTTGATCTCATCTTCCTTTTGCTGCATCCACTCTCGGACTCGTTCCCTGAACCTTCTGTCCATCGGAGCCCCGAAGTAGATAAACGTCCTGACCACGATCCCGCCGTAAACGACTGCTAGGCCGAGTGCGCCGCTGAGGATGCAGCGAGCGGCTAACGTCACGTTCGGACTGAAGGGTGGTGGTGGGTTATCTGGGTCGCCTCGCCATACATAAACGATAATGCACATTACATAGAAGATGAGTGACCTAGGGAAAACATGAGTGGTGTTATCATTCAGAAAGTACGAACTTACCATATCAACCATACCCCAGGAAGCGCGAGTAATATCCACACATTCCACAAGATCCCTACTTCCTGTAGCTCCTTCTGGGTTTCCTCAGCCCACGCGATGGCCTTGTGTGGCTTTCGCATCGTGTTGAAGCGGACAATATACATGCAGCCCAATACGAGGCTGACGAGAGCACAGATCAAAGAGTAGAGAGCAGCATAGTGAACCAGGGGATCATCGTTGGCGGAATCGATCTGCAGAAGAGAAAGGATAGCCCTGTTCACACTGTCAGTTGGTGATGATTATGTCAGGCTAGGGAGAGGGGCGTACGAGAGTAATAGGACCGATATAATGTTCAATGTTTTCCATTCCTTGATGAGGGTGTCGATAAAGTGTTGCCAGGAGCGCTTCAGCTTTTGGTATCCAGGAGGGCTTGTGGCCGGATCTTGGTAAAAGTCGCCCATCCTTCGAGTTGAAGCGCGATCGAGGACCATCCTCTTCATGACGATGAGTTCGATGTTGGCATCGTCGAAAATATTGGCCACACGCGTGAAATACAGAGCAGGAAGCCCCAGAAGGATGTAAAGGTACGCCTTCCGGGAAACATACTTCCACCAATCATACACGAAGCCCGTAAAGCTTTGGTTTTCCGTCGACACGGAGGTATTGGGAGCTGGCAGGCCATCGTCCTCTGACGCAGGCTCTACGTGCTGTATCACGACATGTTGGTGGTAGGTATGAGCTAGAGGCTTCCCAATCGTGATGTGGCCTGGGTAAGGATACGGAATATGGTTGGAATGCGGGGGATGGGTGGATGGAGGGACTTCCAGGCCGTCCTTCGGTGGCGTGATATCATCTTCAACCGCCCCGTCTGGTGTTAAGCTGTAGTAGGACTGCGAGGAGCGCGTACTGCTGGAGCCAATAATCGATATCCGTCGGTTGCTGAAGGATTCTGTCCCGGCCGCTCTATCCCCTTCGACGGCTCCTCGATAGCCTCCTTGAAATCCTGCTGGTTTGACGGGCCCGTAGGCCACTGGCGTACTCCACGCAGCCGCTTCGACCTGAGATTTTCGCTTCGAACTGTAAACTGACGCGGCCTTTCCACGTTTGGGCCTGTGTTTCTCGTACGGGTCGATTGCGACGAATGAATCCTTCGCGAAGGATTCCGAAACGCCAGCTCGCCATGCGTCAATGTTGTCCATATCTCGAGGGAGATCCCATGACTTTGGTCGAGACGGCGCTGGTTCTCCAGTCTGTGTAGGTTCGGGACGTTGCTGAGATCGAAATGAGGCGACGGAGACCTTTGAGGAAGCTGTACCATCGACCCATTAACGCAGACCGAACAGCATAAGGATAGGGTACATACTAGAGTTCCGCTTTATCCTAAGGGACCTGGAGATTGGCTTGTTCCTTCTGAAAAGGCGATTCTGTAGCAGTTGGTGGGCCGGACCTGGGCGATCAGCTTCCTCGCGTTTGGGTTGATCGTTCTTCTTGCCTGCAGCTTGGACTTCGACCTTCTCTTGAGCCTTCGTTGGAGGTCCTGGTTCTTTGCCATCGTCTGTATGGTCTCCGGGATCCGGTGTTCGAGGCGGTTGCACCGTGAACTGATACTCTGCACTCTGTAGACTCGCTGGTTCTAATGTGGCTGCTGGTACATCCAGCGTCTCGATAGTAGCCTCTCTCCCTGCATTTTCGCGCTTCTTTTTTAGGCTTCTTTGACTCTGACGGCTCGACTGCATCACAGGCCGGGTTGGGCGCTTGGAATCAAGGTCGTGGAGGCGTTACTGCGAATACAATCAGCCCGTCTTCGAAACGAACGAGTTTTAGCAACTCACCTACTAACCAGAAGTCGATTTATGGCCCTGGTTCAAGGGTGGAGAGAAATAAGAGAGCGAGCGCCCTTGTCAGAGATAGAAGCACGGGAGAAAAGGATAAAGTTGTCCATAGGCGCTGAACACGGAAATTCAACATGAGGCCTTTTCCGGAGTGCCCACTGATGGCGTAAGCTGCCTGATGTTATTGTCCCTAGCACAAGCGAGCTTCTCAGCATTGTCTTCGACGTCGATACGAAGAATCCTGCTCTGGAAAACGTTCTTTAGGCACAGTCGTCGCGGTAACGAGTAAAGCGGGCCACGACGTCGTCCTAACAGTGATCAGCATGAGCCGGCATTTCGCGGCATGAATTCCCACGCGGTCTCGGTGTACACTGACGGTGGTTTCCCCTCGTCCTTCTCTTCTTCACGTCATGTTCCAAGCAACGCTCGGGTCTCTCGGCCGATTAACTCTGCATCCGACGTCTTTAGACCTGACGATGGCGCCAAGTGGGCTTACACTGGCTAGCACTGAAGCATGCGCACGAGCCTGTCGCCTAGCCCAGCATGAGCTCCATCTAACCGCCTCAAGAGCTTGTCACGCACCCCCGACAGCAATTCCCAAATAACATCTAAAATGCCACCTCTACGGACACGAATTAAGCGCCCATCGTACGCTGGCATCAAAAGACCATTTCATTTTGATGTTTCTTTCGGGTTTCACGGTAAGCGCTCATGGTCATGGTCATAGAAAACCCGGAACCAAGGAATTTCAGCCCCTTGGAGGATATCCCTATTTTTGTACAGTATCATATATGGTACACTACTGTACGCTTCTCTCGAGGAGAACTCTCTTCCGTTTCCGACTGCATCAACCAAGCCCCCCTGGCATTACTGGACCATCTTCCGCAAAGTCGTCAAAGTCGTCTGTCAGGACGAACCCATACCGTAGTCCCTCCCATGGAGGAACAATATTGACCTTGTCAACCACTCCTCCCAATCTTTCCAGGTCCTCATTCGAACACTCCGTGCTAGTTGAAAACGACAGGTGCTTGATTCTAGCTCCCTTTCTGTTTCGATATTCCGCGAAATATATCAAGTTTGCGATCGGATCTTCGATGGGGGATGTTACACTCGTTAAAAAATCGAGGTGGAGGCAAAGGGTCTCGAGTTTGGGGAGGTGGAGGGGATCCGTGTTTCCAGGGCTGGTCTCATCTGCACGGTTGCTGTTGAAAGCAGCGAGAGCGAGAGCACCGATCGCTCTGGACGCTCCTAAACGCCCAACGTACAATTGCTGCACTGATGATAATCGTCGGAGGACCGGAGCCCAATCATCGAGTTGGGATTGGACTCGCAGGGAGCGCACGTCTTCGAGTGGTAAAGCGGATGCAGCATGTCGATCGATGGCTTGCGATATCGACGTCGATCGGAACATAACATCGTCTGGGAGTTCAGTGTAGATGCTTAAAGCTGGGCCCTGCTCTGGAGGTTTCGACCCTCGGCTCATATCTACCGCCTCTGACCAGCCCTGAATTTCGGCGTAGACGGAAAGGCCCGCCCCTCCTTCCTTGATCCAAAGGGACCGGATGGGACTGGCTCGTGACCCAACTGGGGTCAATTGAGATCCAGAGAGCGGGCTAGACAGCCACGCCGACCAAAGGCCTGCGCGCAGTGCAGCAAAATCTTCCTCAGCTGTCTCATAGCCGAGGAGTTTGACGGAGGCTTCCAGTGGAATCCTGATGGTCTGCAGGAGACCAGCAAAGCCTCCCGTATTGCTGGCGATTTCCAGCCTCTTGAGTGAAGGCAGCTTCGCCACTTGGTCTGCCGAACTTGGTTGGTCGAGGTCGGGGAAGTTCATCCAGAGAGTCAGGTTTACCAGGCGGGGTAGGTTTTTCAGAGTGGCGAGGAGCTTGTCGTGAGGAGGGACCGGGGAATCAATACACGGAAATGTGATGTTTAACGAAGTCAGTCCTTGCAGAATGGGCGAGGTCCATGGAGGATAGCACTCGACTAGGCTGAGGTCACGGAGGCGAGGCGCTTCTCCTCCAAATAACGACAGTGGAAGGTCGACAGCCTCTGCTTCTCCGAGACCTTTCGGCTCGACAGTGAGTTTTTCAAGCTGCGGGGCAGGCGAATCGAGAAGACGAAGGAGACCGTCCAGGAGTTGAAGGTTAACTCCAAGGCGAAGGTTAACAAGTCGATATGTCTGTGCAAGCACCCCAGCAATCAACTGATGCCTCCTGGGATCTAAAGTAGTCCAACCCTCCGTGCTAACGGTAACGGAGACAGGCGCATCTTTCGACCTTGCTATGGTTGATTCCAGCGATGTTGGACCCATCCAACTATGTATTGTAGACCATAGCTCTGGATATTCCAGAGCTGCTGACCGCCAACGACGACATATCCCCGTGATTCGCGTCGTCATCGAATGCCATCTGCTGTCCGTCCTGGCTCCTGCGATGTACGCCTGGAAGATATGGCAAAGGATCTCGTCCGGCAGGCTGGAGACTGGAGCGAGAGCGTTTCTTCGACTACGCAGCCCCCGGATTTGCTCGTCAATTTCGCGTTGTGCGGCCAAAAATGCTGGGATTGGCTCAACCTCCATCGCAGCTAGATATCTTTCAATATGGCACACACTCGGAGATAAAGCATTCGACAAGCGCACCACAACTTCAACCACAGATAGATACAGACTTCAAAGGCAGTGGTTCAGAATCAACGGATCGTGGTGGTGGAAGTGAACTTAAGGTGGATGTTTGATGTTAAATCCCATTATGTCTGGGGTTAGGGTCAGGCGAAGTCTACGGGCGCCTGTACATCGGACTGATCTAAGGCGCGTCGCCAACCGCCTCTACCTGGCCTCAATTGAGCCGTCTACAGATCCACCGACATTCAGACGCAAATTCATGATCAAACAGATCTATACACAAGACGCAGTAGAGAAAAGCATACAAAAAAAGAGAGAAAAACGAGAGAAACGAGCGCGCAGATATAAATTATAACGCAAAGCGATAAATACAATTAGATGGCTCGAGTCAGATTCTGAAGAGTCGCTCAGTCAGGGAGGAGTTCAGTCAGTCAAAAAGTCTGAAGAGATAAAAGAAGCGGGAAGTAAATTCGGAAGAGGGATAGGTGGATGGTCGGCAGAAAGGAGTGTGTGTAGTATGTGTGGCAATCGGTGTCCGACAAATGAACGAGAGTCAAAGGGTGGGGTGATGCTAGATAATACATATGCTCAGATGCGAAGAATATGAAATAAAAGTTCGCCGAGGCGACGGTTAGTTTTACTTGAATGTCAAATGATAGATGTGGGGTGTGTGTGCAGAGAAAAGGGTATCGAGATGAAGATGAAACAACAAACAAATGAAGGAGTGGCACGGTCAGGATGGTTAGAAAGAAGGAACAGGAACTGTCCAAAGAGTGTGCGGCGGTGCCCAAGACGACACCATCTAATGGTACAACGGAGACCAGCAAGCTCTAGGGCTTCTAGCGGGAATCCAAAAGAACGAACGAACGAAAGATGATGGGGAAAAAAGTGAAAGCAATCCAGGGACACGAAACCGTCGTCCCACATTCAAGGCGGCATCACACAGCCGCCCAGTACATCTCCTCACAGGAGAACTTCTAGTCTAGAAGTAGCACTTCAATGCCTCCTGGCATGCAACGACACCTTCCTCGTCCTCCCTCCTCTCCCCTCCGCATCAGCCAAAACAGCCTTCGGACCCCTCTTCGCCATTGCAAACAAGAACACAAAGATAATAACTGCAAACTGCAGCCACAACCACAGCTCGAGGAGGACGTTGCCCCATTTACTCCCAGGCGCTTTCTTCTTGTTGCCGGACGATGGAGACGCAGTAGGGTTGGCAAACGAAACCGACGTCGGGGATCGCGTTTGGTGTAATTGGAGTGCATTGCCTTCCGCGAGTTGCGGTGTCTTGAGATGCGGCTCGTCGCCTTCAGTATCGTCGTCATCATCATATCCATCTTCATCATCGTCCTCGTCGTACTCGGTAGTCTCAAACGACGAATCTCCAAACGCTCCTTCATCCGTATACTCATCGTAATCCCCTTCATCACTCTCCTCGTACCCACTCTCCGTATCAGGCGTCGCGAACCTGGTCCTGCTCCTATTGCGCACGACACCTCCTGCGGCGGCACCATCGAACTGGTCGACGAGACTATCAACGATGCTCGTGATCCTCCTCGGCATCTTGGGTTTCGCACCCGGCTGACCACGCAACACAGCAGGCGGACCAGGAGACGGCGCGACGAAGACGGGCTCAGGTTTCGAACCCGATGCCTCACCCCATACAGATGAGGAGATGGAAGACAGCGAGCCGAACCTCTCGTCTTCCCACCTTGCTCGTCGATCCCGGATCCTTTGAGAGATGAATTGTTGGCGGGGGGACTTGCTGCCTGGGTGGAGTTGTTGGTTGTCTTGAGCACGAAGGGAGGAACCGCTAGGGCTAGGGCGAACTCGCTTTTCTTTTTCGGGAGTGGGCGGGTCAACGGAGAGGTGCAATCCTTGGTTAGGAGGGGTAGGCAGTGGTGACGGTTTCGGCTCCACTACAAGCGGGACGTTGTTCCCCAGCGAAGAAGAGGATGGCGGATTGGAGATAGCCAGGGAAGCGACATTGGGAAGACCCAAACCCGCATTGGGAGACGGTGATGCTGGAGCCGACCATTGACTGAGGTTCGAAAGAGAGTGTGTACGCAAGTGGTTGAAACCGCGATACGACCCACTCCAGTACTCCTCGCCTTTGAGGTACTTCCCGAGTTCTGCGTCGAGGGTACGTCGAGGTCCAGCAGGGGAAAGTTCGTCGAGTTCCATGTGAGGAGAGTTGAGGAAGCTGAGGGTGGATAGAGCTGGAGAGGCAAGGCCGGTATTCGAGTCCAAGGAGTAGGAAGACCGGTGTCGACCGTCGTTCCCATTCCAGGAGGCATAGAGCGGGTGGACCGAGGACGATGACGAAGGCTGGTCTTCAAACAAACCGGCCAGCGACTTCCTCTCCTTCGACCTCTTCCTCGAATTGAACGAACCGGCTTTCCTCGGCGAACTTCCAAACTTGACACAACTGTCCGCGTCAACGTCTTCAACGTCAACGTCCAAATCCTGAGGATCCCCAAGGCCCTCATACATCTTGCTCATCTGCTCCGCATCACGCTGGACCGCCTGCAGCTGATTCACCGTCTCCTTCTGCTGCTGCAAAATCTTCGAATTCGTCTCCTCCAGCTCTTGCACCTTGCGCAGAAGCTGCGTAATAATTTCATGTTCAGGCGGTACGAAAAGCGGCGCCTTGTCGTTCGTCAACGTCTCGTCTTCATCGACCCCATCCTGATCGATGTCGTCGTCTTCGAATTCCGCTAGGTTGCTCATGGACCTCGAGAACGCATGGTACCCAAACGTCGACCCCCGCGGTGCAAAATCCCTAGCCTTGCCAGGCGTCTCCTCCCTCCCCGCACTCTTCAACGCCTGAATCCTCAACTCCCTCTCCCTCTTTTTCTTCCACGCATCCTCAACAACCCGATCAATACCCTTATCCAACCCCTTCGTCTTCTCCTCCAACTCCTGGCTCTTCGCCTGCGTCTTCTCCAGCGCCTCACGCAGCGACGCAATCTCCTTCTCCAACCTCTTCAACTCCCTCCTCCCAGCCTGGTCCGCCGAGTTCGACTCGGACTCGAGCTGCTCAATTTTCTGCATCAATTCCGCATTTTGGTCCGCCAGGAGGGAGATTTCGTTCGTCGACATCGAGACGTGGCGGGCATGGCGTCGGTAGAAGGGCGGGGGTACGGGTGCGACAGGTGAGCTGTCATAATTGACCGAGTCCGTGCTCGAGTAGCTGTTGTTGCGCGAGACGATGAGGTGGAGGTCGTCGTCTGGCGATGAGCTGGCTGGCGGGGGTGTAGCACGCGGTGAGGAAGAGACCGGTAAGCGAGACAGGAACGCCTCGTGTTTCGACTTGAGCGCAATGTTGGTTTCGTATAATCCTTTGACGACGGCCGCTGTCATGCCCAGTTCTATCCCCAAAGCTCGATTCAGCATCCTCCAAACGCTCTACAACGGATGAACGACATACCATTTTCACGCTCCTTGATAATATCCTCAGCTTTAACCAACAACTCTGCCAACTCCTCTCTCGACTTTTCGTCGATCCACTCCTGGGGGCCTCCACTACCACTACCCGTCCCCGGTCCAGGCGACATAGGATCCAACGGTTTGAACCTAAAAGACGAAGGGACAGGAGAACCCAAAAGGGTTTCAGGGAACGAGTGGCTGTCCGTTGGTACAACCAACTCGTCGGAGGGTGTGCTCGCGTATGCCGGAGGCGGGGACGACGTCAGCGTCCTCGAACTGGCTGTGCTCGAGTTGAGAGCGGCGAGCGACGAGCGACGACGCATCTTGGCTGGTGGCCGTGGTCGTTTGCGGTTAGGCGTGTCCATCGAATGTGCAAGCATGGTTGATATTTTCTTCCGGGATGGTCGCCAATGTCACCGTCTTGTCTTGCAGTAGTCGTGTTCGTCGTGAACGTATGTCGGCGTCGACAGTCGAGACGAACAAAAAAATCGATAATTATCCCCCGATAATCAAACCCAAAAGTCAAACGAAAGAAACTCGGGGTCTCGTCGGGACCCTAAAAAAAAGGCAGCCAAGTTCCTTCCTGAAAGTACGTGTTCAAATGGTTGAAAACACGTCCCAGCGCCCAGGAAATTCCAACTGTTTTGGGCCTTCTTCTAATTTCGGATTCCTATAGTCTTGAAGTCTTCCTAGTAGTAGTCTTCCCCAGTAAACCGTCTAGAAAAGACACACTTGGTGTCTTCCAGAACTGAGAAGGGAGATGTCGAAAGGGTTCAAGTGGAAAGTGGGGTGTTGTCGGACTCCGGACTCGGTTGACGTTGTTGAACCATGCGATTCTTTCCCTGAGCCGGACTGATGGGTTTGTCCGTTTGTTTTACCCCACATCATCAATCAATTTCCGGTTGAGAATCATTCTTGAAGGGACCAAGTTCAAAGAGTCCAAGCAAACGCTAGCTCAATGCTACCTACCTACCACAAAAAACTAGTGTTATCGAGAGCAAAACAAAACGCAAAACTACGTGAGGGAGCAAATGTACACTAAAAACAAACAAAATCAATCAATGGTGTGTAAATGCAATCGCCGAGAGAGAGAGGAACATTGATTTCGTCCAGTCGAAAAAAATGCATATGTATCGATGGAGTGTATGAAAAAAACGTCGCAAAAAAGTATCGCCAAATAATGTTAAGAGCTATGCACAACCACTACAACCAACCACGACCACCCACTCCTCTCCACCCCGTAAAATCAACTTTACTTCTTCCCAAACGTAAACGCAGGCGTCCCAGCAGGCGTCGTCGTACCCGCCGCACCACTCGTCCCAGACCCCGCAGTAGTAGTAGGCGTCCCAAACCCAAACGCACTCACAGGCTTCGTAGCTCCAAACAAACTAGGCGTCGAAGCAGTGGGCGTACTCGTCGCACCAAACACCGACCCTGAACCCGTTCCAGTCCCTGACGAAGGTGTCGTAGTCGCTCCGAAACTGAACGTAGGTGCGGAAGAACTCGGGGCAGGTGGGGCTCCAGCAGGGGTCGTAGTTGCCCCACCAAACGAGAACGTAGGCTTGGGCGTTTCAGTCCCCGCACCTGCCGTACCCGTGGTGCTCGTGCTTCCAGCTGCAGGCGCACCAAACGAGAACGTAGGCTTGGGCGTTTCAGTCCCTGCACCTGCCGTACCCGTGGTGCTCGTGCTTCCAGTCGCGGGGGCACCAAACGAAAACTTGGGAGCTTCCGTCGTAGTCGTTCCATTCGTAGCAGGTTTACTACCACCACTTCCAAACGCACTCCCACTCGACAACCCAGCATTCCCAAACACACTCCCAGAACCAGAAGTAGCACTGCCAAACCCTCCAAACCCACTCTTGACAGTAGATTCTTTACCCTTATCTTGGCTGGCATTGCCGAACGAAAACGTGGAAGAGGGCTGGCCAAATGCCGATGTACCGGAAGTCGAAGAGGGCTGACCAAACGCCGAGGAGGGTGCTGCCGAGGACGATGCAGCAGTGCCGGTATTCGAACTATTAACCGTGGCAGACGAAGGGTTCGAGGAAGCACCTCCAAACGCACCGGTGGAGCCGAAGGGACTGGCTGCGGGCGCGGTCGTCGAACCAAATGCACTCTTGGCCTGGGTCGTCGAATTCGATCCAAAGACCGATCCCGTACCAGTAGTACCGGCGCCTGAGCCAAACGCTGGCGTAGATCCCGAAGTCGTTGAGGTTGCTCCTGACCCAAATGCCGAAGAGCCTCCAGACGGCGCACCAAAGCTGAACTTGGGTGCGGTCGCGGAGGTACCGGAGGCAGGTGCCTTGGACGCATCAGTCGTAGTCGAAGGAGCAGGCGTAGTCGAGGGCTTGAACGAGAACAACGATCCACCACTGGTCGTGCCAGACTTGGCTGCATCGGTACCTCCACTTGCAGTAGTCGAAGGTGTCGAAGCCGCGGGAGCACCAAAGCTAAACTTGGGCGCCGTCGTTCCAGTCGTCGTCGATGTCGTCGAAGGTGCAGCAGGCGTCGAAGATGCGGTACCGCTCGAGGGTTGTCCAAACACCGATCCAGTGGCACCACCAGCCGGTTTACCAAACGAGAATCCACCACTCGTGGCGCTGTTCGTCGTTTCAGCAGGTTTGGACGCATCACCAGCAGGACCAATTCGACCAAATAACGATCCACCGGCAGGTTGATCCTTCTTTTCTTCCGTCTTGACAGCGGGAGCACCAAAGGGTGAAGGAGTGGCGGTGGAGCCAGACGTAGTACTGGATGGCGCTCCAAAGGAGAAGGGAGTGCTCGATGCAGGTGCCGCCGTGCTGGTCCCACTAGAAGCAGGAGCTGCAGGAGCCTTGAACTCGAACAACGAACCCGACTTCTTTTCTTCAGGTTTAGCAGTAGTGGTCGAAGGAGCCGATGTCGATGGTGCACCAAAGAGACTTGAGGGAGCGGGACCAGAGGCAGGAGCAGCGGGAGCTGAACCATTCGTCTTGGGCGCGCCAAAGCTGAAGCCCGAAGGCGCAGGCGCGGGTGTACTGGTGCTGCTGGGTGCCGTGACAGTGATAGCAGGGACCTTGGGCGCAGCAGCAGCTGCTGCCGCCTCCTTTTCCTTTCGTTCCTTCTCCAACCTTTCCTTCTCCTGCCTCTCCTTCTCTAACCGCTCCTTCTCCTGCGTCTCCTTTTCAAGCCTCTCCTTCTCCTGTCGCTCCTTCTCCGCCTTTTCCTTTTCAGCCTTGTCGAGCTCTGCTTGCTTGAGAGCACGGAGTTGAGCCATAGCCTGGGCCTCGACTTCCTGCTTTTCCCATTTAGACAGATTGCGAGGGCGGATGTAGCTGTTCGTTTTGTCGCTGAGGCTAGTAGTGAGTGGCGTGGTGGAAGATGCGATTCTCTTGATGGAGAGAGAAGATGGTCTCTCGAAGGGATTGATACGTCCGCCAGTGGTGCTAGCACCTAACGAGTAACGACCAGGATTGCGAACACCCTTGGGACGGACGATCTGCCCATCATGGGGGCTGTCGAGGGGAGAGCCGGTAATCGGAGTCGAAGTGGGTGTCGTAGTCGTCGATTGCCATAGAAGACTCTTTCCAACGGGCTTTGCGGGAGTAGATTGCTTAGACTACAAAATGCGTCAATATGCCACTTTCCCTTCACAAAGAAAAGAAACTCACAGGAATCTCAACCGAAATGTTCTCCGGCTCCACAGACTGCTTGGGTGAATCCTGCCACGCGAGGAGGGACTGTTCCTTTGCCTCATTGTACTCTTCTTCCGTAAGCCAGGTTTCCACAAAGACTTCAAGGTTGGCGTTACGATCGGGGTGAACAGAGTCTCGAGGCTGAAAGGCACCAAGATCAACAGATGTATCTGAAAAGATAAAGACGCCACATACCATAGGGAACTTGGATCTAGCCTTCTTAACCAAAGCTTGACGAAGCCTTTGACCATTGGGACCAATCTTCCATCGAATACCGTTGCTCTCCCACTCCTCGCCGATTCGTCGTCGTCGACCACGTGTGCTGGTAGAAGCCAAAGAGTCGTCCACGGAGATGTCGCTACCGTTGTAATAGTCATAGTCGTGATGAGCCTGCGAGCGGCGTCTTCCTTTCTTATGGTGGCGAGGTTGAGTACCGGCTTCACTAGGACTTCCCATTTCCTCATCCTCATAAGCAACGTCACGATCACGTTTCCTGCCAACCGAGGTCCCAATGTCCGACTTGCGCTTGTTACGACGCTTCCTCCTGTTCTTTCGACTCTTTGTATCGTCTTCTTGTTCACTTTCGTCGTCGTCGCCGCCAAAGGTAGAACCAGCTTCTGCACGATCACGTTTCTTGCCGCGAACGGGGGAGACCATGTCTGGGACCTCATCGAGCTCTTCATCGACATCCATCTCTTCGTAGTCGGAAAGGATCCTTCCATTCTTTTCCAAAGAAACCTTTCGCGCACGTTTGTCCCTGATCCCCTCGGCCTCGTCTTCGTCTTCGTAGACCAGGGTGCGCTTGCCGGCCCGTTTGCTCCCCGAAGGATCCTCATCGCCGTCGATACGTTGTTCGCCTTCAGTCCGAGTCTTTTTCAAGGTCTCACTGTCCTCCCAATCATCGTCAAGGCCACGTTTGGATGGCTCGCCATCAGAGGTAAGATCAACAAAGTTCCGTGCCGCCGCGTGTCGAGTGAGTGGTTTAGTTTGATAACCTGCAGAGCTTCTTCTCTGGTCATTAATTGCCGATCGGGTCGGTGGTGGAAGTGCCCTATCCTCTCATCAATACCGAGTCACTGAGCAGAGCACAGCACAAAGTTGACTCACGGGTCATCCAAGGTTCTCAGATGCGAGGTGCCAGTGTTTGGGATATACGAAGGTGTAACAAAAGCGCCAGGGAAAGCCACTGAAGTCGAACTCCTGAATCGATCTGTATTCGAGTGAGCGATCAGGAGATGGATAGTGAATAGCGAAAAAGGACGGTGCTTACTCCTTGGGCCTTGGTCCGCATGTGAGTCACGGGAGTCAGTCGTCGCTGTGGTCTGGCTCTCAGCTGGTTTGGAGGGTGGCCGCCTGAGTAAACCCTTCTTGTCTTTTTCCTGCTGCTCGCGCCTGAGCATGGCTGCTGCATAGGCAACGTTGAATGGCCGCCTGTCGTTATCCGGGATACCGTGTCTGCGTCGCGTTTCCCTGAGCACGCGTCAATCAGCTCCACGTCGCTCCTTGTCAAGAAAGAACGACTCACAATTTGTATGCATTCTCCCGCCATATTAGTATCTCCCGTCTAATACGCATTCCGATGGTATAGCAAACGACGATGAAACCGAGAACGAGGATGGCCGTTGTGACTGTGAACTTTGAGGAGGTGGGACCAGGTGGGACGTGCTGGATTGGCTGGCCCAGGATGTCTGCATTTTCGCTGCGCTCCATGGTGGGCAGCGACATTGAGCAGAGGTGTGCCGAGGGCGGGAGGACGGGAGCGCCCGAGGAAAAAAGAGAAGAAAGGGGAAAAAGGTGTCGGTGAAGTACCAGAGAACAATCAAGAATCCGCAAATTGGCGTCACCCTTCCTGTTTGGACTTATTTGGCAAGGGCGGTGGAACCTATAAAAGGCGCGCCTCGTTTTCGTTTTTCTTTTTTTGCCTCTCCGCGTCGACCTGAATGACAGCCCTTTGTTCTGGATAAGTTTGGTATTTCATCTGTTGTGAACTGATTTTGTTTGTATTTCACCAGTTACTTTTGCCTGGAGGCAGTTGCAGCCCGTGCGTTCGCCTCCTCTACTCGTAACATGGAAGATTGAAGCGATGCATGGTCCACGCTTGAATGTCCAGCGACACCTTGTTGCTACACCATGGCCATTCGAGTACTAAGCCGAGCATACATCCCTGTACTTATCGTAGAACCATTTTGATAAATATCATTCCATACCATTCCAAATGACACACCAGCAGCGAGCTCATCGCGTACTTGGTACTCGTCTCCGACTCTCATCTGCCGTGGGAACACCCCGAATTTTTTATTTTATAAAAATCGCTTGATGTTCAGTTTGGCTTGGCAAAGGTAGAAAGCCACGGTCGGTCCTTTTGCCAGCACCTCCACGTCAACTCGAAGCCTTCTTCACTCGCTCCCCTTCACTCATTCCTTCACAATGTCCGCTGACAAGAAAATCGTCACTCTCGAGGAACTTCGCGCTCACAAGACCCGCGACAGCTTCTACATCCTCATCCACGGAAAAGGTCGGTACACGTCCCTCGCTAGCCAATCAAACAACTCCTGTTGCAAATGGTCCTGACTCCCTTCGATTGTTACAGTGTACGATGCCACAAAGTTCATGGACGAGGTTCGAACAAGCTCAATCCCTACAAACTCGACTGTATATCTCATACCAACGTTCTAGCACCCCGGAGGAGACGAGGTCATCCTCGCAGAAGCTGGTATGTGTCCACACATCACAATTCGCAACCCCGACAAGCTTCTGACATGACCACAGGCCAGGATGCAACGGAGGCTTTCGAGGACGTAGGCCACTCTGACGAGGCACGCGCACTGCTGCCAGGCATGCTCGTCGGCGAGTTCGAGCAGACCAGCGTACGTCGACCCATTCCCCACCTCTCTCAACACCTCGCTTATTCGCTACAGGAAATCAAGCTTACTTCGGGAGCAGCCGCCGCCCAGGCAAACCGAGTATCAGGAGCCGTCGAGCAGGGTTCAAAGTACGCACGCCTCACACCTTTAGTCCACGCCCCCACCCACTAATCACACCCTTCTAGTCTCATGTATTTCGTCCCCCTCGGCCTCTTGGGTGCCTACTTTGCATGGAGATTCTACACGACGGGCTCCGTCTAAACGGATACCACTTCCACCCGCCACGCACACCCATATATCTCTACACGCACCCCTTGCTTTTTGGTCTTACCCTCGCTTAATCTAATGACCCATTTCCATTCTCCGTTGGAACATCCCTCTCTTCCTCCCCGCTTTGTGTGAAGTCGCTTCTCATTTGCTTTCCTTGCGCTCTCGTTAGACTGGTGGCGGCTCAGTACACGGATATCCGCTTCCCTCGCACACAAGAACCCCTCTCGTCCGATCCCTTTGGACCACGCAACAACACAGCTCCCGGTGCACCTTATTCATTACCCCCGACCCGCTCACCCTTTCATCATTCCTTCCCTCTTATCTGTATGACACTCTTCCCTAACTTGTTGTAGAAACCGACTTGGCTTGTGTGTAAGCTTTACTACATACTTCCCCTCCTTGGGGTGGTCTGAATAGAGTTCGTCTTTCCACTTCCTTTCGTCTTGGTTGTTCTTTCAGTGGAGGGAACATTGCTCAGGGACTGCCATCACGTCCAGTTTCTCAGCTTGCTTCTTTCATCTTCCTGAAGACCCTTTCCTGACTAGCGAACCTCCGGCCTCCCCCGCTCTCATCCTCGTGATCACCACGCCCTGGCTGCCATTCTGAATCTCCAGTCTGTATTCCGGCGTCCGGACCCTGCCAACTCCCACTCCCACCTCCAAAGAAGACTCGTTTCATCGCCAGCTTTCTGTTGGAAGCAAGGAACGGGTGGTGAATATCCGGCAATCCACTGGCACCATCAACACGGGGTAGATACGTTTGTCATTCCGGATTATGTGTTCAAACTCGAGGCCCGTTGGTGTCGTATATTCCGACGAGGGAATTGTAAGCACGCTCAGCGCTATATGCCGACTCCAACTTGTCGCCATATCTTCTCATCGCCAGCGTTCTCGTTTAACTTTCTCATGCGCATCATGTCTGGAGTTTCTGAGGAGATGGTTAACAACTCGCCCCTAGCAAAGACAGTTGAGCCTGGATAACGATCGCACCAGTGACCGAACCCAAGGTCGACTTCGTCGTCGTCCTCGTCCATTCGTCTTCGGGCTCCATAGGTAAGTCTGGATTCCATGCATCCATTAATACACAGTGCACACGCCATCGCTGATTCTTGTCTATATTCTTACCAAGTTCTCTCGTGAGCCATCCCCTGCCATCCCAACGACAATCACAAGTTCTCCCCACCTTTTACGAAATGCGATTCAATATTCAGAGAAAGGCGAAATCTAGAATAGACTGGATTCAGTCTATTCTAGATTTTTCGTTACATATACATACTGACTCTGACAGCTTGAAATCCACAGGAAGCTCAGAACCATCGGGCCGCTGGCGAGATAACGTACAGGCAGGCTAGCGCTGGGCCAAACTCCCATCACACACGGGTATATGTTCCTGTTGTTCTCAATGATAGTGAGGATTCACGAGGTCCAGGTACGTGAACCTAGGCACCCTCTTTTTTCTCTGTGTCCGCGGGCCCTCATTGGCACTCTGTGAGCCTTTGAGTCACGACAAGTACTCGTCTCTACTCCTCCTGTAGATATGCAGACGTGCACTCCAGCACCAACGGATCAAAATGCAGAAATCATATTCCCCACTACATAATTAGAACGGAATCGAAGTGGGTACGACGGTTCAGAATAGAGTACTTCGAGTTGTGGGGGTGACTGTAGGCACCCCGGGCCCGTTAGAGCCATAATTGAAATTCCATTCCATTCCGTCCGAAAATGATTGAGAGACACCAGCCAATAACACACAACATACGTACGTACTTTAGTTATACACTGGAGCAGTAGTACAGGCCATTCGAGGGGCGCAAGAACGATAAACACGAAAATATACTAGACCATAGGAGAAGAGAGTATCACATACAGAAGACAGTCACCTGATCCACCACCTCACACCAATACCGCCCACCCACCATTCAACGTCCAACACCCAAGCCAATTCCACACGCACACCCCTCCATCCCCGTCCCACACCACTCTCCAAACCAGAGCTAGACAAAACCCTCGACTAAGGGGTAAACGAGCCATCATATTTTTAATGTAGGTCACTATGCATCGTCGTTGGTCATACCGGCATGACCCAACAGAACTCGAAGCTTGAACCGCGAAATAGAAGAGATCGAATAAACCAGTTGAGAGGCTAGCCCGAGTTGAGAGACGGTGTGTTGTTCGGTGTCGTGAGGGTATGTATGTGTGTCGGAATCGGAGGTAGGAGACATCCGGTCGGTGAACGGTGGTTGACAGTTGGTAGTTGAATCTTGCAAGTAGCGTAGCAGTGGAAAGGGACGTCCGGAAGACCATAGTGTGGCGCATATTACGGAACCGAGGAAGGCGAGGAGCATAGGGGATAGATAGAACCAGAAAAACAAGAATGTGAACCCGAGGTATCGAGGAAGACGTTGAGGACCTATAGATCGCGCAACAGTCCGGCATATTCAAAAAACCGACCCAAAGCAACATCAACATCACCTCGAATAACAACCCTCAACACCATCCTACTCACCTCTGACATCGCACCACTTCTCAAACCTCAATACCCAACTTAACCAGCCCCTCCTTCGCAGCCTCATTCCTAGCAGCCTTCTTCGTATTCCCCCGCCCACGTCCATAAAACTCGCCATCCACCAAAACCTTGACATACCACACCGGATTGAGAGGCGAGCTCTTGATCCTGAGGTGGTCGGGTACACAAGGATCCGAGTACCACTTGCCCTTGGCGCCATTCACGCCGTTGGGTTTTCCATTAGCGGTGCCGTTGGGTGTGTGGTGAGAGCCCGAGTTGCCATTGGCATAGTTCTCCTTGTTCGATCCGTCGATGTTCTCGATGGCGTTGAGGGCAGGACAAGCAGTAGAGCCTCCATCCGTATCCATACCCTCAGAAGGATCGCTCCCATCCGAGTAAATCCACTCGACGACCCTGCTCGACCGCTGCAGATGCTGATTGAACAGCGCTAGGTGCCCGATGGTAGGTCCGACAGCATAGTCCCCTTGGGAATCATTCGCTGAGGACATCGTCACCTCGGGATGAGAACTCCCATTGTTGGAGGCGCCGTTCCGGGAGAGATAGTGGGACGAAGGGGGCAGAGGCGGCAGGTTGGTCTGTTTGCGGACGTAGTCATAGGCCGCTTTGGCGTATGGTCGGAAGAGGGGGTTGAGCCAGCGTTGGACGGCGGGGAGGTCTTGGTCCTTGAACAGACCGCCCACAAAGGCCTCGAATACATCGGCTGGGAACGCAAGGAATGAGGTGAAGAGAGAAAGAAAGGAAGCATGAGTCAGATGAGTGATCCGTTCAATGTGAAGAGCGGCATGACGAACCTTGTACATTGGTAGACGCTCGAAGTGTGATCGCCTGAGCTTGGTGCAGACGCAGTCTATCTGGGAGTCTATACTTCTTGGATCTAATTGTCGTAATTGTCATTATCGGCACCGAAGTGAGGATTCTGCGGCATCTGCGACGTACATTTCGGCGAGGGTCGAGTTGCCCACAACCAGCGAGCGGATTTTCTACAGCGAGGGACTCCTCAGCCAGGCAGGCCAACGTTGAGTAGTATGTACGTACCGTGGACGGACCAACACGAAGTCCGGGGAACATATCAAACATCAGATTGGTGACGACCAATCCAAGGACTGTATCCCCCAGATGCTCATAGCTAGAACGAAGAAGCACCTCGTGAGCGCCAACCCAAGAAGCTAACAAGGCAACATGTAACCCACCGCTCGTTGTCAGGACTCAAATCGTTAATATGATCCTCGAACACATGCGTCGGCCGCGCATGGTAGCTTCGATGCGTGAAGACCTGCAGCTCGATATTCCGGTTGGTGATCTCGGGGAGGGGAGGAAAGTTGACATTGTTGGGTCCAAAATCAGGGCTGGTGCGACATAAAAGGACGGGAGGGGGAGATAAGGTTCAGCAATGTATTGGCGGTGTGATGGTGAGGTTTATAGGCTCGTCGATTGAATCGATCGAAGCCTAATATTGGGAGTAGAAAAGTGACTTACTTGAGCCTCATGGCGATCAGTTCAGCTGGGAGATCGGGAGTGGGCTTGTCCTCGCCTTCCTCTTCGACAGGCTGGGTGGTGCTGTGATCAGAGTTGAGAGGCCTCGAGCTACTCCTGCACAGAAGCTCTATTAGCGCAAGCTCACGATAGAGAACCCAAGAGTTATTGAAGTCCCTACCACGCACGAGACCCAAACTGTATCAGATTCTCCGTACCGCTCGTCCTGGGCTGGCCAAGCACCAACGTACACCGAGTGAACCCTGGTAACGACGAGAGATTACTGGATCCAGACAAGGCATTCAGATATGGTAGTGGCAGCTTTCGCCAACAACGGAGGAACTTCAAGTTCGGGCGGAGACGAACTTTCCGAACTTGTTCATTGTTTTCTTGGACCGGGAGTCGGAATTGGGAAAAAGATATCGTTGAATTCTCGTTGGTATCGGTAGTCATCATGGACATAGTGCTCCGAGAACTGGTTTGTACACTGGTTTGACCGGGGAGTGGATCAGATGAGGCCGTCGACGGTGTTGGGCGTTGTCGAGGTGAACGGGACTGTTTTCCTGGTTGTACCTGGTTTCTTCGCTGCTGCATCGACACCACCCCGCTCGACCACCTACCCAGTGCCACCTTCCCTCGATTCACCGGGACATTTAACGACATCGCGCATGGCCCAATTGCTCTTTGCATCCAAGAACATCGACTCAATATCGAGCCTGAATCTCCGCGCCAAACTTGATATGTCGGGAACTGAATGCAGATGCTCCGTCGAAAAAAGATGTCCTCAATAGCGTTGTCGGTGACTGTGTATATTGACAACTCGGAGTCACAGGTGAGAAGAAAAGGTACTGAGAAAGAAGAAAGAATGAGACAGCGGAACACACCGTGGAAGCCGCTTGGTCACTTTTCGGGACGAAAAGTCACACGCGGATGTTCCCACCATGCTCTTGGGCGCTTATATTTTTCGACCAATAAGATGAGATTCGCAGGTTGGCTTTGCGGTTGGGACAGAAGCATGAAACGCCGGTATAACAAAGAGTATCTGGTTGGTAAGTCTATCTTTGCTGCTGATTCGACATAACCCTTGACCTCGTAGAAAATATCGGAGCATTCCAACCTTCCAAGTTATAGGCCATGCTCTGAGCGGACGCAGAGCGTGTCAGCCAGCAAATCAGCGGGTCCCTGCCTTGATTGTATGAAAGGGTGGAATGTGGCTAAGGAGGGACCGAATTAGCGCCGTAGGACATTCTCTCCAGATGAAGAACTGTTAGGCCTCGGAGGACATTTCTGAACGACTCGGAAGGGAACACCCAGTGATCCCCATTACGCGGAGAGACAGCGACCTGCGCCGAGAAATATTGCAGGTATTTCGACGCCTCTTCCCCTATCCTTGACGCTGTCGACGTTCCAAAGGTGCAAAGACTGTACGTGGGGTGCCAAGGAGCCCAGCAGCTGAGTGATTTGGACAATTTCGGAGAAGACGGTTGCTACGAGAGAGAGAGGCGGAGATCCACCATTCGGCGGACATGGGATAGTTGGGAGGTAATTGTGGTGAGTCTCCCCGACCGGATCTCTTCTGCCAGTTCACATCCCAGGAGCGTACATCGACAATGGTGCTGCCTTGTACCTCAATATTGCCGCCTCTGCCCATGAGAGGCGGATGGCAGGATGGAAGACCAGGCTAGACCACAACTCTCCGCACCCTACCGCTACTTCCCTCCACCAACGGCAAACGTGGGTGACAGTGGTCCAGGACATGGCGTCCCTGTCAGTCCTCGGCATGTTGGTTTGGAGCTCTTGAATATTCGACAGAGGATTTCGTCTGGTAGCTCTGATACAGCGCTGAAGGTGCTGCGTTTCCATCGGAGTCTGACTATCCGTTCCTGGAGGGAAAGAATATGCTCCTCCAAGGCTACGATTTGATTATCGAATTCGTTCTGCGCTTGGGTGCCTTCTGGAGTACCCGGGCGTATTGTCGACATCGTCGGAAGAGTCTACAGGTCGCTATCGAGCTCTGAGCATAACCTCGGTACTTGTAGGACCTTCGCCTGAAGCCATTGAGTGAATGATATTCATGGAGGGAAAGTGAGGCGTCCCTTGCGATTAGTATTTATGGAATCCAAGGCACCATATACGACAACGCCTAAACTTGCTGCTACCGAGAGGGTAAAAGTAGGTTGCAGCAGCTACCTACGTCCGCCGATTATCACTGTGACAGGCTTGATCGTGGGATTCTCATCAACTTGCTGATGTCCGAGCCGGCGAGAGTATCTTGAGAAATAACCACCACCTGGCCTTGACCTCGCCATTATGCTGGCTCGAATTGTCCCTAACCCAAGCCCCAAAGGGAGTTTTGACGGACACGACTTCCCCATGTAGATTGTAGCTCTCGTCTGATGCAACGAACGACGTGCCTACAAACCGCCTGCCAACATCAATTACGGTGTCTCTAACAGACGCTGTGGGATCTCTTTCTCTGTTCAAGCTATTCTGGAACGTTGCGATGAGTAAGGAGGTAACGTTAATTGAACGTGTTGTCCCTTTCTTAGCCTCAATTTACCACTCCGATTGGTATAAAGTATGGGCGCCAGGAACGCCCTTCGTCCCAGTCTTCGAACACCTACACCTCTATGACCGACTTGCCAGACTTCGACGCATTCGTGAAGAAGATATCTGGAGATGTAATAACTCCAGATCACCATTCGTATCCAGCGGCAATCGCTCGTTGGGCAAGAAACGCTGAGCGCCCAGCGAAGGTGGTCGTCTTCGTCAAGTCCACAGACGATGTCGCCCACTCCATCGCGTACGCAAAAGCCAACAAACTCCTCTTCGCGATTCGTGGAGGAGGGCACAACGCGTCGGGCGCTTCATCTGCTAAGGATGGACTGGTGGTAGACATGTCACGGTACTACAAAACTGTTAGGGTGGACGCGGAGCAGAAGCTCGCATACGTTGGTGCTGGTTGTGTATGGCACGACGTGGATGTGGAGGCAATCAAGTATGGATTGGCCACTGTCGGTGGAACAATCAGTCACGTAAGTACATTGGTACTGTTTCGAAGAAATCGTGCTCACAACCGCGTAGACTGGTGTTGCAGGGTTTGTTTAGCCTTCGTTTCATCCGCCTACCACTGCTAACTTTCAATCAGACTCACGCTCGGTGGAGGATACGGCTGGCTCAGTGGTCGACACGGTCTGACTGTCGACAACTTGCAACAGGTAGCCCTTCGACTGTGTCACCACCGACATGACGACTCACTGAATTCGATCTCATCCAGGCGACACTGGTACTTGCAGACGGATCTGTTGTCGTTGCCAGCGAAACTTCCAACCCAGACCTCTTCTGGGCTATCCGTGGTGGTGGCTCAAACTTTGGTGTCGTGACGGAGTTCGTCCTGCGTCTGCACCCGCAAAGGAAGACTATTTTCGGTGGAATGGCCTTGTACACTATGGATCAAATAGAAAAGCTCATCGAGGTTACTCGACGATGGTGGCCCAATATCAAGCCTGACGAAGGCATTCTCATGGCCACTGCTGCTGATGCTGCGGGTAATTCTTTCATATCATACGAGACCATGGACGAGCTCTGATCCTTTACCAGGAACTGCTACTATGCCCACTTTCTTCTTCTACAATGGATCTGAAGAAGAAGGTCGAGCGAACTTCAAAGAATTCTTCGATATTGGTAAATTTCCCTTCCTTCATCTCCACCACCTATCTCACTCTTCGCCAGGGCCAGTCGTAAACACCACCAGAGACATGCCATACGAGGAACTGAACACACAGATGGTTCGTGCTTGTCTGCTATTCTCGAGCACTTGCTGATCCTCGGCGTTCCAGGACGTGATTCTCTGCCACGGGAAGTGCTATTACTTCAAAGGAGTCGCCCAAAGCGAGCCCGACTATCCGAGCACACTTCAGATCCTGAACCGAGGCGCCGAACTCGCCAAATCCGGGGAATTTACCCCTGGGATCCTCTACGAATACTTCCCTCGCTCCAAGATCAATTCTGTTCCGTTCGATTCGACCCCGTTCCGGAGGATGGCATCTGGAAACATCCTCGTCATGGTTCTCTGGGAAGATTCCCCTGAAAAGACTGCCAGGGCTCGCGAGGTCGTCAATGACATGATCGACAATATGATCATGCCTAGGCAGACTCTCGTCCCTGAGGAGGATAAAGCTGGGTATACCAACTATGGTGGGTATAGTGATCGCTGCCTCGTTCACCAGTTACTCATTCTAGCGTTTTCAGACCTCGAAATTGCTCCACTCCCCGGATCCGTTGGACGCGATGCTCAGTACGAGAAGGCTCGCCAGTCGTTTGGCGCCAACCTGCCTCGCTTACAGGAGATTAAGAAGAAATACGATCCGGAAGTCTTCTTCAACCGCTGGTGCCCTGTTCCTCCCGCGTAGATGAGATGTTCGGGTTTTGGGGTGCTATTTGATGTAAAATAGGAGCAATACTGAAAGATGCTTTGGTTTCCAATGGTCGGCCAATTGTCCCTACCCTGCCCAATTGAGTCTTCTAATGGCTTCAAGTAGGTTTGATCCAACTACCCGAGTAATGCTCAAGTCAACCTTCATAACCATTCTACTGCTGTCATACTCGTACAATATTACAACTTCTCTACTATCGGCGTTTGTCACAGTGAGTATTAATTATTCATCCACAATCAGGCAGAAACCGCCACAGCCTGAGCTTGAGACTCACTCGCAGCAGCGTCCGCACCAGTTGCCTTGGCCTTAAGCGCCCAATAATCCTTATGCAACCCACATTCTGTCTTATCCCTCCCCTTCCACCGCCCGGCCCTTTCACCCTCACCCTCTCCGACCTTTTGCGTGCTGTGCCAATCGCCAATACTCTTGTAGCCCTGGTCCAAGAGTTTGTTGCGCGGTACGTTGTTGGAGTTGACGTACCACTGGACAAATTCGAATGTCCAAGCAAAGAGGGGGTTAAGTTTGAGCAAGCCGGTGCTGTCGACTTCAAGAGGGGGTAGATTGGCGCGGTCGGCGCCTTGAGATGCGCGTCGTCCTGTGATGACGGATTGGACGTTGAGGTCTTGATAGGCTCTGCGTGCGGGCTCGACCTTGGGTGCATCCAATGAATGAGAGTCACAATAACAATATAGAGATTAACATACCTTGATCAGGAAGTCGTACTTGTCCTCGTCCCTCTCCCACAATTTTTCACCGTGCTCTTTCTCGAATTCAGCGACGGTATCGCAGCCTTCGGGTCTATAGACATAGATCCTCTTGCCCTCCCGAGCGTCTTGAGCTGTCTTTCCGACATATCCGTATTTCTGCTTCACTTCTTCAACCAATTCGTATGTTTCGGGGAAGTGGTAGAGGGTGTCGAGGAAGATGAGAGGAGGGGGGTTATCGGTGAGTTTTGAGAGCATGTCGATGGCGACGAGGCCAGTCAAACCGAATGCAGTGGTCTGGTGCAAGTTGGGGAGGTGCTCTACACCCCATTTCAGGATTTCCTCGGGAGTGAGGTTGGATAGATGAGCATTGATCGACTCGAGCAGGTCCTGAGGAAGAGGGAGCGGAAGGGGTTTGGGGAAGGTCGGTGCGGTCGAGGACGATGACGACATATTCTAATGCGAATATTTAGTCTTTTTCTTCCGGATTTTCAGGGGACCTGGGAAGCAGGGCAATGGGAAACAGGAATGAGGTGGTAGGAGAGGAAGATAGCGTATAGATTCGTCGTCGAGTTTTTCATAATGAATCTATGGCCGTTAGTGATCTCTGTAGCGGATTGCGCGATGGTGTCAAAATGAGGAATCGCGCGAAACAGGGGCTTACACGTGATCTTTACAAAGATCGAGTTTCTTTTCCTAGCTCTAGTCACATTCCGTTCGACGACGATAAGACGGTGAAGGGATGTCCTTTCGAGGTTTAGCGCTGTGCTGTGGCGCGTTTTAGTGGTTTATTGCTGTTGGCGATGGTGACGAGGAGACCGCGAATGTGATATTGATCGATGTACAAGTTTGGGGACGAGAATGCGGGACGCCGCCCAGCCACCCCAGCGCCTAAATTCGCCACGCGGTGCGTAAACCACGGAAAACGCCTCGACGACAACGTGGAACACGTTTTTCTCGTCGCCGTGGTCCTTCAGCACCTCCCAACAGCCAGAACGTCCAAACACCCTCGCTAATAGGGGCGAAATTGAATTTGAAAACAGCTGAACAGTGATTGGACGGACGGGTTTGAGCGGTATCAATAGTTCCAGATCCGGAGTCTGGAGACGTTCTTGCCGGTGAGGGGTCAGGTCAACTGTACCGGGGTGCGATGAGCGGGGCCTTCAACTTGAATGTTGACCTCGACCTAGGACGAACCTTGGTTCAAGACCGGACAACGACGTCCATAATACGGCATCGACAACGACGACAGCGATCCAAAATCCAGAACACGACGTGTCGCCTCGAATTCATGTGTTAAAGCCAGAAGCTCCAAGACACTTACGCGCAACAGACTCCAGGATCCCCATTTTGCACCCGTTTTACCCCAACAATTCGACCAAGTTACGACCGTCTGTTGTCCTTTAGTATCCGCGAACCAGCACAATGGCGGCCTCGAGCAGCGGCGACGAGCGACTAGTCTCGCCAGACACACGGAGCGATGAAGAATCACGAAGCGTCACACCCCTGGATGGCACCTCATACCCTCCAACGCCAGCCAACGAACAAGATGCTATCCATTTCACGCCCAAACGTGCTATGGCGTCTTTCGAGAACCTGGTGGCGATGGCAAACTACCACGAAGGTCATTCTTTTCGAACAATATGACAGCGAACCCCTGGACTAACCTGGTTTTGGACAGGCCTGAAAGAGGCGCGAAAGATTGTGTGGAGAGATAGAGGACAGCCTGTGCAAGATCTAGAAACTCTCCAGAAATGTGTTGAGCACGCAGCCAAGGGTGGTTTGAGGTCAGCAAGTCTGGCGTTCAGTATCAGAGCACTGGTCAACCTGGTGCTCGCGTTGATTCGTATTGGCCGAGTGCCTAGGTATGTTGCACACAGACTTATCGGCATGTTCGAAACTAATTGCTGTCTTCAGGGATTACCGCCCAACGGTTATCCGACATGCTCTCTTTGGCGAGGATACATGGAGGTTTGCTGCCATGTTAGGTACGTCTTCGGTTGAATTCTGGTTGAATGTCTCGCTCAATAAAATATAGGAACCTTCACCTCCCTTTACAAGTTCCTTATCAATGCTCTCCCAATCCTTATACCGGCCATGAACCCATCCGAGAAGCCACCATCAATTGAAATCCCAATCCCCTCCTTTTCCGACCCTTCAGAGGAAAAGAAGGCCAAGCTCAGTCTCAGTGCTCGTGCTCAACTGTTGATGGTCAGGAAACGAGTCAGGCGTTGGCATGCAGCTCTGGCAGGAACGATTGCTGGCGGGTTGGCTATCATGTGGGAGAAACAAAGTCGACGAGGGGTCATCTCACAGCAGATGTTTGTTCGGTGAGTCTGGTAAACCTCTTTATACCCTTTCGGTCCTGACCATTCTGTTCAGTGGCTTGCAAGGTTCCTACAACGCATTCGCTGCAGCGAGAAACCTCAAGATTCCTCATGGAGACGTAATTGTGTTCTGCTTGGCGTAAGTTGCCTCCCCTAATGCGATGCCTATATCTGACGACTCGGATTAGCTGCGGTCAAATCGTCTACGCATTCCTGCTTAGGCCAGAAACGCTTCCTCGCTCATATTCCAACTGGTAAGCCTTGTCTTCCGCTCCCATAACCTCCTCCGGATTGACAGGGTCCTTCATCCAGGATGTCCCAAGCCTCCAAGGTTCCCATGGAGGGTGTCAGGATCAACCGCGAGATGGTCCGGGATCACACCTTCAACTTTGCAGATGTAGACAAATTGTTGAAGAGCCGCGTAGGTTTCCTCCAGACGGAGTAAAGTTCCTTCCACTTATGCCAACTCTGCTTTCAGGATATCACGCCCAGCAATATGACCGCGCTCAAGGCATTCAAGGAACGATTCCTCACATTGCCCTCCTTCCCACCTGATGTCTCCCCATACCTCACACTCCCATCTCTGGGTCCGGCCGATCCATCTGACCCAAGCTCATGGTACTTCCCTTACTATGGCCCCTGCTCCGCCGTGCACCCTGCAGTTTCACACTGCTCGTCTGTCCCCCTTGACCGGTTCTTTGCGGTGTTCAAATGGATGCTCCCCATCTACGGCGCTCTTCACTTCGTCCCCGCTGTTCTCTTCAAATGGGAAGGCTTCATGAGGGACCCCGGAAAGGTTCTCGTCAGAGCCGGTGTGGGTAGTATGCGAAGCTCAGCCTTCCTGGGCGTTTTTATTGTTATTTATCAATGTAAGTTTCATGCTCGCCTTTCACTCGTGATTGGTCCCTGATCGTTTTCCTTTCAGCACTGTTCTGCTACAAAAACAAACTCCACCGAGCCCTCAGCATCCTCCGCAACTCCCCTGACGGCTCAATCTTCAAGTACCTTCCTCAAGAATTCATCGACTTCTTTGTTTCCAAGCCATCGTTCTGGTTCCCTGGTTTCTTCGCCGGTTTGGCGCTGTTGGTAGAAGCTAAACGTAGGCGCGGTGAGCTTGCGATGTATGTTCTCCCTAAAGGATTGGAGAGTGCGTGGGTTATGGCCAGAGGCAAGGGATGGGTGTTCCGAACGGGCAAGTGGGGTGATGTGATTTTGACATCTATTGGCATGGGCATGGTTATGGTGAGTTTTGGCCTTCAGTTCTCATCTTGTTTGGGGATGGCTTACTGATTGACGGGTGGTGAAATAGAGCGCATATCAGAATGATCCTCAGCACCTTTCTGGATTCGTTAGAAGGATTTTGTATCAATTCATTGGACCTAACTAGAGTAGGTTTGGCATTTGGCGTGTTGTATCGTAATTTGTACTACTCGGTATATGACGAAGTAATGACTCGGATCCTCTCGTTCATTATACCATCTTACCTTGCTAATCTCAGGCGTCTAGATAACTGAGCCTAATATGCCTACTTGGCTTGACTGACAGATTGACACGCCAGAGTCACCAGGCGCGTGTGAATGGGAGACGGAACAAGGGCAGTCAGAGGAGACACAGGAGACCTGGTTCAGATCTTGAGGTACTGGCCAGTCTATACCATCCCATACCACCTCTACCCCAATGGTCTTCAGCTGGTCCACTTTGTCTTGAGTGATGTTGCAACATCTGTTAAATGCCACTTGAGGTAGATGTCCCCCGGCGTCAGCTCGTATTCGCAGCGCTTCGAGTAAGAATCCAAAGGACGCGAGTCGGTAACGCGTCGCGCATGCGACATCGCCAAACATCGATTCAAAGAACCGGAGGTGTAGGAGTTTAGGCAGGGGAAGGTCCTTGGATTCTGGCGCAGTCGAGCAATGGGCGTCCTTGAAATACTGGAGGAACTGTGCTGCAGCCGTGTTGTATTTGATGCCCAAGTAGATGGTTTCGAGAAGGGGCATGTCAGCGACAATAAGCGAGAGTATTCGGCTGGGACTATCGGGCCAGACACCTATATCCAGGACACGTATATCGCTGAGGGAAACAGAGGACAGAATCCAACGAGGAAAGGATTCCGCCTCTTTATGCAGGTTGCCTGCTTCGATGTGCACCTGCGAGTGGTCAATGCGGCTTGTTTGGCCGAATGGAAAAGAAGTATTGTTGTCCTCCTCGTCATCGCTGAACGCGACCGTCCCTTCCCAGAGTGCTACCCATACCATCAGGGAGCGTCGGACGGACCTCGAGGAATTGGTTATCGACAGTTGAAGGGTTTTGAAAACAGCCTTGACTGCATGGGTGGAAGCCTCTGAGGAAGTCATATCGATGGTTGAAGGGAGGCAGCGAAGGGGTGTAATCGGAGGAATCGGAGGGTGTTCGGATGGCGGAATGTTGTCAGTGTAGTTATTGCCAAAAGCCTGCATTCTAAGCAGGGCGGTTGGAGGTATGGCAACGTATCTCAGGACCCTTGCCCACTCGGTCGTACTGTTGGTGATCCTGAGTATTTGCAGGGAAGTCAGGGCTACAACGCGACCGTCTAGTGTCGACGAAGTGTCATCGAAGTCGACCCCCAACCCTAACTCTACAAGGGAATGCATTTGCTCCAGGGTGTCAAGGAATGGCTCCATTAAGAGCTGATGCGGATGATTGTGCTCAATGCAAAGGTTGAAAGAGGTCAAATGAAGAAGGAATGGAGTAGACCAAGGGAATGCCAGTGTGCAATTCATCAGAGTGAGGTGTCGAAGAACGGGTGCACCGCCGTTGAGGAATTTGGAGGGAAGCTCAACCCAATTGGTGCTTCGATCGATCGCAAGGCGAAGGCGGGATAAACGAGGAGCGTCTTCAGTGAGGGGAGATATCCAATCAAGAAGGTTGTGAGTGTACATTGCGTCAATTTCAAGGGTCCGCAGTCTCCTGACATGGGCTGAAACGGCGGTCTTTAGTTCTTGGAACGTATCGGTGGTGTGCATGCGCCGGTTCCTCAGATAGAGTGAGATCGGGACCGACTTGGAGCGCTGGAAGTACTCCTGCATCACATCCGGTATGTCATTTGTCACCACCGCCCAGAGCTCGGGGCAGTCGAGGCCTACTGTCCTCCAACGGCGACATACATGGATGACCTGGGTCCAAGTGAGGTCGGGTGACACGGGATAGCGAGACAAGTCTCGCTGCAGCACAAAGACCCTGCAGAGGAGTTCTGTGGGTAGGCTGGAAATTGGCGAAAGGTGGCCCTTCGTTATGTTCCGTTCTTTCAAGAAAGGACGTGACATATCCTTATCGTCGCTCTTTGCGATTCTGTCCACCAAGGAATGAAAACACTAAGCGAGTGCGTATATCTGTGGAACCAGCTGCTTCACCTACCCTGATTCGGACGTGATTAACCTGAAAGAGCCATGACTTGGGACTCGCGCTTGCATCAAGCGCATCAAGCATCATGATCCAAACCCCCTTGGCAGACTCAGACTCTGTACCTGCTTCGTGGCAATCCATTGAGTCGAGCCACCAAGCCAGCTGCCTCATCGCCAAATATTTCTCCCACCTCGGGTAAGTGTCAGTAGGCCCAATGCAGCACCTACTAACTCGTATCTCCCAGTTTTCTCCATGGCTGATGCTCCATCCGAATTGCCTGCCTCCATGGAGGAAACACTGGAATCGATCGACGCCCAAATCGCAGTGCTCCTGGAGCAAGTTCGCCAGTTGAGAAGTAAACGTAACAACATCACACGTATTTCCCATATCCCCGACGAGCTTCTATGCAAAATATTTATGGAAGTCAAGGGTGAGAGGACGACTTCCTATCCTACCCTCCAGTGGATATGGGTCACCCACGTCTGTCGTCGCTGGAGAAATGCCGCCATTGGCTTTCAAGATCTGTGGTCGGACCTGGATTCAAGGGTCGGGCTCCCATGGCTAAAGGTCATATCTGCCAGGTCGAAAGATGTCCCGATTTCCTGTATTGTCGCTTCCTCTGGTCGGAAAATCATTGACTTCCTCTCCCCGACGGTCCAAGAGTTGGGTAGGATAACCAGGCTAATCCTCCAAACCAACCTCATCGCCGCCAATGGCTTGCTTCGAGGAGCAAAAGGCCCGGCCTCGCTCCTCGAAAGCCTTACGCTCGACCATATCGGCATGAACCACGCTACACTACCACCTGCTTTCCTAGATATTGACGCCCCTCAGCTCAAGCGGATAGCGCTCATCCGATGCAGCCCTAGTAGGCAATGGGATACGAATATCATGAAGAACGCAACCCACATTTACCTCACTGAAACTCGCTTCCATCCCGTGTTCGACTTCCTTGAAGGCCTTGCCGGGCTGCGCAATTTAGTAGAACTGAAGCTAACAAAGCTGACCCTCGACGCCGATACCGCGGCTGGAGAAACCAAGGTTGTCACCTTCCCGTTTCTGAAGAAACTCCACCTCCATGACCACATCGTATATTGCGCCTACATCTTAAAGCATTGTCGCCTGACACGCTCGACAGAACTGCAGTTGGACTTCAACACTTCCGAAGATAATGCTCTGGAGCTCCTCCGCTCAGTGCTCTCCGAGCTGTGGATGGACGAGCTTCCATTGCCCAATTCCGCCACATCCCCGGCACCCCAGGCACTTCGTCTGCACCTCGATCGATACTACGACGAGACCAAGTTCATATTTTCAGGATGGAATGAAATCTCGCGCCAAACTCTCCAGCCCTCAGAAGCCCCTTCATTCACCATCATCTTCTCGCTCCATGTGATGCCGACAGACCACATCTCAGAGATTATTCACCGCATCGTGCGCCTCCTCGGATGGGAAGATGTCTGTTCTCTGGTGCTGCCCGACCAACTCACAGCGGACCCGTTTAAGGATTGGTCGACCGTCTCAGTTTGGTTCCCCAAACTGCAGTCCATCGACCTTGGTCATATGACGAGGACGTCCTTCATGGAGTGGCTCCTTTCAGACCCTCTCTTGGAATTGATCGAGGAACCAACCCACGATGAGCCGGAGACGTCGCAGGCGACCATGCATGTAGTGCATGTCATGCAGCGATCGTGGCCGGTGGCGCCCCAGAGGCGAACGTCGTGGAGCCTGGGACGGAGGACAATGTACCAGCGCCAGATGCAGAGGCAATTGCTACGGACGCTGATGCACAGACGGCCGAAGGGGACAGTCCTCCTCCCACCCTCCGTTTCCCGACACTCGAGCAAATCGTCTGCCGCAATGGCTACATTTTCAATGACCCATATCGCCGAGCCCTGTTCCTGAAACTATTCGCCATGCGCTCTCTCAAGGGCTCGAGACTCAGACGCCTCGGGTTAATCAAATGTACCGGTCCAACCCGTGCCATGCTGAATACTCTGAAGTAATTTGTGGACGAAGTCATCTGGGACGAACCCTGAAGCAAATGTGTTAGTATTTTCGCCATCATGTTACTTTACTTTCCCTGTGTTCTAGACTATGACGAAGAATTGCTTTCACTGGCCAGACGACGTCGATGTGGGGCGCTCAGGCGGCTCAGCGCTTAAATGTAAAGGGTTCTCCTAGGAATGTAGCATGCTGGGGATGTCGTTGGCTCCTCGAGATAGCGACCAGCTGCTGTTTTAGCAGGGCCGTGTGGCGAAATGGCATCGCGTCTGACTACGAAACGCGAATCAGGAGATTGTAGGTTCGACCCCTACCTCGGTCATCGTTTTTTTACTACTTTTTGTCTCTTCCACGTTCGAAGCCTTTGCATCAATTCTTTTTTCAAACTTCAAACAGGCTTCACGCAAAGCAGCTTTGGCGGCGAGACACTTATTTCGAACGTGTAAGGATTGTTATTATTCAAACATTGTTTCTATCTGCCTGACTCTGTAGGCCCGTTGCGATTAATCGGTTGGTGTCTTTATCCCAGATCTAGCAGGGGGTTAGGCGAATTCATTCCAGTGTTGTGCGATATAGGATTGTACTCACATCGCTCCGACAGGTACCCAGCACGCCAGCCGTCGTCACCGACCGGTTCACTATCCGCAATCTGGTTCCACTGTTACATGTTACATGTCATTCAGAGGTCACAGCCAGTCGAGTTCATTCAAAACAAACTGGACTTACACTGGAGCAGGCGCGTGGTAAAGGATATTGATGTTCTGAGACACACCGATGATGTTTCTTCCTCCCTCCAACACTTTGTGGACAAGCAATGCGATCGCGGAGCCCCTATATAGAGGAAATAACCTCAATGCTTAGTGTTACGGTCAATGCAACTGAACACGCACTCGTCAATGATCAAGGCCATACATCCGTTGTGTAGATATCCTTCCCCGTCACACATTTCTTGCGAGCGGCAAATGGTGTCAGCTATCGTAAGCTGGTGAGTCTGATTCCCAATTGAGCTCACCCGGTTTGACCTCGACTTCTGCAACCATCTTCACCTCCCTCTGTCCAGTCGGATGTCCTCTCCGTACCCTCTCCTCTACACTCTCATTCTGGGCACCTATGTCCTCTGAATCGACGTGATCCTGCACCCACACCTCCGTAACTTTGAGCTCGGAGCACGTTTTCCCAAAGTCACTCCCTGATGATCGGAAGAGAAAATACCACTTGACCGCAATCTCCTTCAGTTCGGTACTGGCATTTCCCAATATTTCGGAGGTTGTCGAAGAAGGCAGTGGGGATGAAAGGAAGTCGTCCATGTATGATGCCCGCGAGTTGGGTGGCACTGGCGAAGAACCCGTTTCAGTTGCTGACATGGACAAACGTGGAGACTGAGGGGTAGGTGCGAGGTGACGATAAGTTCTCGGAGAGGGAGCGTGAGGCACTAGGTGCTCACCAGAGATGAATACCAGGTGTTTATTTAGGCTGGTACGGTCGCTGAGGATGTCGACAAAGGTGCCCCGGCATCTGAAATCTGGGCCACGTACATTTGGCGACGGTAATTATCTAGCCGGAAGCAGATCGAACCTGACAAGAAAGGGAGGCAGGGAGGAGGTACTGCCCGTGGTCACTCGCCCAAGTCAATTTAGCGCCCAGATTACGGTAGGACATTGGAGTACCACTGTGGATGGGGTCTGTAGGCCTAGTTGATGATTCAGAACGAACCACGATGAGCGTAAACTCAGTCTTGGTAGCCGTGTTCGCCGACTACCATGTGATTGCGAAGCATATCAGACGCGTTGATGTCCATAATCCGCAAATTAGGGATGGTTTATACCGCTTTTGGTAACAGGAAGGATGGAATTGAGGCTCGAAAACCCAAATGGAATGGTCTCTGACCCACTTTGCGAGTATTTAAATCCCACCAGATCCACTGGATTTCACCCTTTATGCACTCTTTGTCAAACGGGGAGATTGTATGGATATCCTCACTGAACGCAGGTTCAAACAATGTATTACCACCAAATCAATCGTCAGCTCGACTTCCAAAGACTGGAAAGCGTTGGCCCAGTTAGATGTTTGATGCGATCGCTGTGGGCCGCCATTCCGACACGTTTTGCAGCACCAGTAGCTTGAAAGAGGTAATGATGTCTCCGCACTACTCCATATTGACTTAAGCGAACCGAGGATAGCAAACATTTTTGCTCGGCTATGGTCAGTTAATTTGCACCAACCCGCGCTAACTAGTAATGTAGGATGAGATTCTCGGGACCGGGGACTGGGCAACCAACAGTCGAGGCTGTCACAGATCGGGGAAGTGGGCACATAAATACTGGCCTCGGAGGACTTCGCCAGCAGCCTCAACACCATCCACGTCGCCCACGACATCCTCACCGGACACCTAACAGTCACTTCTTACGCCTCCCACACAGTTCTAGATGGCTTCCTCCTCATCTCAGATAGTCCACCCTTGTCAGCATTTCATCCCCTCGATATATGCCGACAAATTGCGGGTACCCCACGACGATCCCGTCGTGTCAAGAATGTCTGGAAATGCCTGCGACGGTGTTAAGTGGTACTGCTGGGCCGTATTCAGACATTTCGTCGGCGAGTCCGGTACTTGGTTCGCATCCAGCATTGGAACCTCCGTGAGGCTTGTCGAAGTCAACCTCTGGAGTACAGATGGGAATGGCAAGCCGACGAAAGCAGAGTCGGTATTCGAAGTTGTTGTGACGAAGGAGATGTGCAATCCGTTTGGGATCTTGCATGGCGCCTGCGCCGGCTATTTGTTAGATTAGTGAGTACCCTCGACTCTCCTGTTGTCTTTTCTCCCTGACCATTCTCCTGGCAGCTGTTCAGTAACCCCCCTGGTCGCGCTTGGATATCATAACGGCGAAGATGGGACAGGCCTTTCGCAATCTATGAACATCATTTATCACGGTGCAGCACCGATGTACGTCACCTCTTGTTCTGTCATTCCTGGACCAGAACCAACCCTTGAAAAAATACAGAGGATCCAAACTACGCATCGTCAGCGCCTCCATCGTTCTCCGCGGTCGGACCAGAATATGCAAAGCTGAGATCTGGAACGGGTCGAAGCTTTGCATGACGGGAATCCATTCCCTCATCAATTCTCCAGGAATGACTCGCCTTCAGAAAAGAGACGATGATAACACCCAGTCACCAAGCAGTTTAACGAAGAGGGGATACAGCCCTTCTTCCCCAACAAGATTAGACGTGGGGTGCTCACTGCTGTTAAACGAGATTATGGTGCAAGCAAAATTGTAGATAAATGCAATAGATTCCTTTTGCGTACAATCCTCGTGAGTCCAGTTTCGATGTGGGCGAGTACTCGAGTACCATTCGCATGGCAGCTGGACGGGCACCAGTAGCGCCAAGTAAGCCATTGAGTCTAATCGGCAATCGCGTTTCAGGGTCTTTCATACTATATCGTCGAGTGTTATCGCCAACAGCAGTGTGCCTCGGGCATCTGAATTCCTAGGCCGAGGTGAAATTGGTACCGTCATTTCGTTCTGGGTGAACGCCTGTTGACGCCGCCAAGAAGAGAACTAGAGCAACTCGAGTCGACCCAGTGATAGCGCTAGGTGGACCATTCCTAGAGACGACTGGTTGTGAACCTCCAGGAGAATCGAAGTTGGTGGTACAGGAGAAAGTTGAAAGAAAGACCAGGCTGACATCATGAATCTGAAACCAATGATTCTGAATCCCCCAGGCTCATGTGATTTCGACGCGTTCAGTGCAGCATTAACGCGAGATAGGGGCTTTTAGTAGTCCATCCTTCCGGTTAGCCGCTGACCACTTCACGAGAATTAATTAGAAGCTGTAGTTTGTCGTAAGCAGGCGCGTATCTACAGTAGGTATACGGTATATTTCTACTGGAAATGAGGAAGACTGTCTATGTGCAGCATTACAGTTTGCTCTTCTTTCCAGCCGTTGGCCGAGATGGAGGCATCGTGAGCTGCGTACCCGATGCGATGAGCTTGTGGTTCTCCGAATCCCACACCTAGTTTCGTGAGTACATTCGTTACAATTCATTGCAAAAGGTTGATTGGAATGGCTCTTACATCGCTTCGACCTGAGTTAGAATCATATCCAGCTGCGAGGGAGCGGTTCACTATCCGCAACTTGGTACCTCTGATCCACAGGGAGGTAAGTAGCGAAGTTAACGAGAGTCCCAATGTGCTACTTACGCCGTAGCTGTGGAATGGAACAAGGTGTTGATCGAGCATGAAACACCTGGAGGCGTCACCCTGCCTTCGGCAGCGTTGGCTACAACCATAGACAGCGTCGAGCACCTGTAAAAGGTGGGGGGTGAATCAATATAGTGACTTCCAGCAAGAACGCGGGAAAACCCATACTCGTCTATCAAGAACACCAGTGCTCCTTGATGCATTACGCCCTCTCCATCGCACATTTCTAAGAATCGAGTCCCGACGTCGGTTTCAGCCCATCATGAACTTGTAGATTTAGCGGGGCATACCAGGAGTGACCTCGACCTCCACAACCACCCTTCCCTCGATCTTGTGCCCATCGTCTACGCTGGTCACAATATCCACGTCCGTCACCTTCATTCGTTCCGCAATGTGATGTGAGAAGGCATTGCCGCGATTCCTAAAGACAGCTAACCACTTGACAGGTAGCTCTTTGACCGCTTTTGGTGCATTCCCTCGTATATCCCGCGTAACGGCATCTGGTAGTGGCGAACGAAGGAAGTTGTCAGTTTCTTGCTGATTCTTCCTGAGAGGAATGAGTTCCGTTTGTGGATTCATGGCTCGATGTGGGGACTATGAGAGAAGGATGGAGGTAAAGGAGACAGTTCGAGTTCAAGAAGTGGATTTCCCATCCCCCTCCTTCACCGTATTTACCGGGGCCGTTAGCCGTACGTTGCAACCCTTCGGAGTCGACAGGCTTGTGCCAGGGACACACGCAACGGAACCATTGCCAGGAAATCCTTGGCGCTTAATCGGCAATAAATTTACCGGAAGCCGGAGCCAATCATTGCGCCACGCGATTTCAAACGCCTGCGCTCATCATCGAACATGCTGTTTCTCTTCCATCTTCGCCCAACGTCCATGATGCTCAACACACTTTACGGTTGCCACTGATGCCATCCTGAAGAACGCACAACACAGTCTCCAGCCTTCAGTTATACTCTCAACTGTCAAGCAGTATGCGGGGAGTTGCTAGGGGATACATGGTTTAGCACTCTGGGGCTGACGTTGGACATACCGCGTCAACTAACAAGCGATGGCGCCGAAGAGTTTTTCGAGTTCATTCGCCTGTGGTGTCCTTGTCAGGCAACGCAATTACCATGCTTTTTATCGGAGTTAGATAAAGCGTTACGTTCTTCGGGCTCGGAAACGACGGAATCCTCTTTGCAAATCTTTCTTCGCTGCGGTGGCTGTCTTGCGTGGATCTCGACGGGAAAACCAGTTAAAAAGAGTCGCCTGGCTCCCTGCTTCGACGTCACCTTTGCCACTCAGGCCCTCTGCCTCCGCCCTGCCCACCGCCTGTCTGCTCTCTAGCCCCGGCCACCACCATAAAAGCCAGCTTCAAAAGGCCGTCCAGGATGTCTCGTTCATCGGCTTCCAATACCAGCAAATTCGTACCACCCCACTACGCCGACAAGCTGGCCACTCCAGACGAACAGCTATGCTCGCAAATCGCAGGCAACGCCTCCGCCGACACCAAACGCTTCTGCTGGTCCATGTTCAAGTACTTCGTCAACGAACCACATTGGTTTAGTTCGAAGATTGGGCACTCTGTCAATCTGGTGGAGGTGAATGTGTGGGATGTGGACGGTGCGTCGGCGGAGAAGGGAGGAGATAAACCAGCGAGGGCGGAGACTGTGTTCGAGGTGGAGGTGACGGAGGATATGTGCAATCTCTTTGGTATCATGCACGGGGCCTGTGCCGCATACCTCATTGACCAGTGCGTTCTATTCCCAACTGACCCATTTCGTCCCCGACTAACAAGTCTCCCATTGCAGCTGCTCTGTGTCATCTCTGATCGCACTGGGTTACAATGTCGGAAAAGATGGAACTGGCCTTTCCCAATCCATGAACATCATCTGGAATGAAGCAGCACCACTGTACGCTTGTCCATCCCTTCGAGCTTCGTTCTTCATTGACCTTCGATCCTCAGCGGAACCAAGCTGCGCATCGTCAACACCTCCATGATCATGCGAGGACGTGTCCGAACCTGCCGATCAGAGCTCTGGAATGGCCCCAGGCTCTGTGTAACTGGTGTTCACTCGCTCGTAAACGCACCACATAAGATGCAGGCTCCTGGATGCAACTCGACTCGACCCACGTCTTCCAGCAAGTCCCGCCCCAATGCTCCAGCACCAAGGCCGGGTTCAGGCTACTCTCCGCAAAACGAGGTGATGCTGGCAGCGAAGCTGTAGAGCACACATCCTCATTCAACACATAGACTTCTTTCTCATGTCGTGTTTTCTTGGTCTTCATGGACGGTTCGCAGATGATTCCCTGATCAAAATATGGACACTTTTATTAGCTTTCTATAGTCACAATTAATAACGATCAAGAGTTCTGGCTCTTGTTAGCCTCTGCCTGCAAGAAGTCCCTCAATTTGTCCAACGCCCTGTATCTATGCGAGATCTTGTTCTTCTCTTCGGGTGGCATTTCGGCGTAGCTGAGAACGATTGCTTTAGTCCAAAGTTCAGAGAGTTATAGAGCAGTGTAACTCACGTCAAACCGTTGCCTTCGATGGGCTCAAAGACGGCGTCCCAGCCGAATATCCCTGGGCCTCTGGCAGGTACGATCTTTCCTGGTGTCCGACCCTCGAAGATGATGGGTTCAGTTCCTAAAGACATCTCATTTCAGAAAGCTGTCACTAATATCGCCTCTCCCGAAATCTACTCACCTGGCCCCGCCGAATACGCAAATGTACAGATCGCATCTGCCGTCTTGTCCTCGAAACCAGCCAACATCTTGTTCAGCCCTTCATGACCCAGGGCCTCGAGGAAGTACTTGATGTAGGGACCTGGCAAGCCCTTGAGGGCGTTGAATCCCAAAGCCGTGTCTTCAGTGATGCATGCGGTGCCCAGCTGGGGAACCCAATTGCGTGCTCGTCAGCGCGATTTTATCGGTAACTTATGGGGCGAAACCCACAGCTTCAGCAGCGCGCCTGCACTTGTCTCTTGCGACCTCGGTAGTGGTGCCCTGGATTTCTGGAACTAGGGATCCAACGCACAGTCAGACATAATTTCGATTCAAGGTAGGGCGACTGTCAGGCTCACGGTCGACAGCTTGATTCTCGATCTCAATCGGGTTCCCTCCCTGGAACAGAATGTACTTGACTTCTTTCAGCTTGTTCGCATTTCCTGTGACGAATACTAAGGAGAGAATATGAGATGGTATCGTTTTTTTAGAATGGGAATACGCTTTACCGAGTGGTTTTGAGGCCATCTATGGTTCTAGTCGTTCTGCACTAAAGACCGGGTGTTGGATAGAGAAAACAAAGTTGGGATCTGTGACCATTGTGGTATCTGGAAATGAGTCAACCGAGTGTCCCGCAGCCGTCTGATGCTTGTCAGGTGCGCCATGAGGATGGCAGGAAAATGAACGGAAAAAAGATGACCGAGGTAGGGGTCGAACCTACAATCTCCTGATTCGCGTTTCGTAGTCAGACGCGATGCCATTTCGCCACACGGCCGTGCTGTTTGGTGCAACTCCGCGCATCTCGGCGCCCCGCGTTAGAATGTAATCTGCATCACAATCGTCACCTCCTAGTACTAGTGCAGATGTAAGAGAAAGCCTTTGCACGCAAAAGACCAAAGGGCTGAAATGAGCGTTAATCCATCTAAATTCGTATCATGGTATAAATGTCACTAGATATTGTAGCGATTATAAAAATGGCAAGGATACATCCATGGAATCGTTTTTATAATCGTACGGTTACTCGTTTGGCCGTTATAATAATGAAACCCCTTCTCTTGCACGTGACCCAGCGTGACCCAGCGTGATACTGGGGTTCCCTTAACGGGAGACGTCTGACCCTCGATCGCGATCCCTGTTCCAAAGAAAGCATATTGAGCGCCGGAAACACAAGCAGGGCGGGAGATGATTCCGCGGATCCCCGCCTTGCGAACCGATGTCATGCCCAAAGTAGTGTTGCGGGTGAACCGTGTGGACTGAACTGAACCCTTTTGGTGGCGCAGTTCAGTGAACTGAACTTGATTGGACTGGCCAGTTCATGAACCCGGAGCGACATGCCGGGTGATAGCAACAGCAAATTTGTCATTCCCATCAAAGCCGCCCCGACTGGCAGCGATGGGGCGCCAACGCGCAATAGGATAGAGCGCTCGGTTACAAACTGCGAGGACATATCAGCGGCTAAAAGAGGAGAAAAGAAGTCGACTGAGTCGAGATATGGTGTCTTCGCTGTCTTCCTGCACCATTTATGTTGCAAAAATGCTCGAAAAATCTTACCTTGGAGATTGAAGAAAAAAGGATTATTCAGGGACAGGGCAGCCAATTTTACCGCCGAACACTCAAGTAAAGAGGGCTGTGAATAAGGTACAATAACTTTCGAAGAGAAAGGAGAGGGAGGGAGGAGGGAGGGAGGATGCAAGTCGTTAAGCGCTCGAGAAGCTCAAGCGGTTTACATACCCACGTTTAATAGGGGTCCGGCAGCTGGATTCGGCATTGAATCGTGCGACTTACGATCAGACTTCATCTAAACAGTTCACAAAGGTTCACATCACCGAACCTTGATTGAACCTCGGTTCACAGCCGCGGACTGAACTGAACCCTGAACTGAGTTCGGTTCAGCCGCAACACTAGCCCAAAGAGGCATTGCTCTTCCAACCGCCGCCATCAGGCACCACGCGACCCCGAACCTGGCTCAAAGAGGCAGCCAACCCCGCCATCACATCACATGACACGTTCCGATAAGTTCCTGTCCCCGTCCAGATTTAATTTGGCCGATAAATCCCTGTAAATCGCTCCCGCCGAGGGTACAAGATGGGACCCAGGAGATTGGAACCACGATCTGAGGATGATCAAGCCAAGCGCGCGAATCTCGGGCAATGTGTGCACTGTGCAGTACATTTGACGACGATAACATCAACGATAACATCACATCGGATGCGCGCAACTTCGTTCCGTTTCTTGGTGGTATAGCACGACAAATGGTGTAGGGCTCTCAGCTAGTGGTCTACTCTTGAAAAATGGGAAGCTTATCATTGCAGTCTGCTACACTCTGCAGATTGGCACATTTGAAGCTATTGTAGTAGATATTGAACCACATTCACAGCTCGAACGAGCTTTCTGAACGTCTATTACAGCCAGCCGTTCAAGTCATGACTCGTAGAAAGCTGTTGCGTAACAGTGTATACCATTAGTCGCTTAATGGCAGTGCTGTAATGATTCACTCAATGTATTCACATTATCCAACCGACCCACGGGCTAGTACAGCGAGGAGGGCAGCCGACGCCGGACGGTGTTCTTCATTGTAAGTGCTGGTAAGTGGGATCTTCTGAGTGTAAGTGAGTAGCTCGTTGAAATTTAATCAGATTTAGCTCAAATTTAATCAAATTTAGGGCCTACCCTACGTTCGAATGAGCAAAAAAGACACTTCAGGGATGGGCGCCTACAGCAGCACCCTTGATTTGGTAAGACTTAGCCCCTGTTTACGATCGAGGATGCACGGCCACAAAACTGAGTCACCGAACTCTCATTTTCGACACACTCAGTTTGCTATTGCACTGTTCTCTGGTCTAGTTCTAATGGGTGTGAAAGGACTTTGGGAGGTGCGTGATTATCAATTCTTTTGGGTACTTGTCAACATTCCGACCCCTTCTCCAAGATTCTTCATAACAACCCCGGGACCAAGGTCACAAGCCTTGCAGATTGTCTCGTAACCGAGGCGGTGGACCGAGTCAAGCAAGGTCAGGGCTTGCCGGTGATAGGCATTGATGCCAGGTGGGTTTTCTGATCCATTCACGCTGGTATTGGCGTGCTCAAGGGTTTATTTGGTGTGAAGTACGTGGATTTATGAAGCCGAAGGCGCTGTTTCCATTGCCCGAACAAGAAGAGCTGCGTGGGCAAGCACTGGCCAGCCTGCCGTACTCAAGTCCATTTTGAACCGTCTCACTCAGCTGGTCAAATTACCGACCATTTGTGTTTTCGTTTTTGACGGAAGCGGTCGTCCTAGCCGTAAACGGGGCCGCCAGGTCAGAACTAAACCTCACCATCTCACAAAGCCCTTCCAAGCATTAATTCTCGCTTTTGGCTTCCATATTCATACGGTATGTCTGTCGCGAAGAGCGAACACTAAACCAAACCAAAGACCAGTGATGCGAAGCAGATAAGAACGGCGAGCGAGATAAGAGCGACGAGCGACGAATGCTGATGAATGCTGAAGCAATGTATTGACGAAGAGGTCAAGCTGAGGAAATACAGAGGGATCTACCTAGCTTATATACCTATTCTACAGTCTACATAGCCGCGATGAGTCAAGGTGACGAACGGATGGCGAGACACAAAAGAACAATAAGGAGAGTCACAAGGCTGCGCGAAGAGCGAAGAAACAATAGCGGAGTAACGAGGCAGTGCAAGAATGGAGAGAACAATAAGACGTAGGGCGAAGGGCATAACGAGGCAGTGTTCCATGGGAGAAAGTGTCCGTGTCGAGAATAAGAGCAAAAATGAGAATAAAGAAAAGGTGATAAGAGCGATGAAAGCGATAAGATAAGATAAGGAAAAATAGGGGCTCGTACTTGCTGTTCACGACATTACCCCCCTTCTAAGCTTCATCGTCCTCGATGATCACTGGCAGGCGTCGTCCAAGCTCCCAGTCGAAGTCGGTAGGTGGTGTATCCGTGAAGTTCTCAAGCGAGCGCCAAGGGAGAGAAGCGAAGGTGGTGGCTGAGATGCGGCGGGGTGCAGAGGGGTGACGTTGATGGAACTCCTTGACGGCGTCGGGGGCGTGCTCCAAGTTCTCTTCTGGTTCCCAAGTATCCTCTGTCGATCCGTAGCCCTTCCAACTGACCAGGTACTCCAGCCTGCGATTCTTCCCTCGTCCTTTCCAACGACTGTCGAGGATGTCGTGAACCTCGTATTCAAGCTCCCCCTCCAGTTCAACAGGCTCAGGCGGAGGTGGCAGAATGCCATTGACATCATTGCCTTTCCAGGGAGAGAGCTTGTCAACGTGGAACACAGGATGAATGCGGGAAAGGGATGGGGGAAGTTCAAGACGATAGTCGAGGTCGCCAATTCGTTCGATGATCTTGTAAGGGCCGAGTTGGAGGTCGCCAAGTTTCCGAGTAGGAACTTTGATCTGGATGTCCTTAGCGTTGAGCCAGACGTAGTCTCCAACCTTGAACTGGTGAGTTGATCGCTTGCCGGATTCGTACGAGTCCTTCTGTTGCGCTTTCTCAAGGCGTAAGGCGGCTTCGGCATCCTTGCGGACTTCTTGGAGCTGTTGGATGCGTTCATCGACGGGGCGGATGTCAGTTCGTTTACCGACAGGGATGTTGAAGTGAGGGATGTAGCCGTAGAGGACTTCAAAGGGTGATCTGTCGTGGGCAGAGTGGATTCGGGAGTTGATAACGAATTCGGCCATAGGAAGGTGTTTGTCCCAATCATCTTGTCGGCGGCTGACGTAGAGGCGGAGATACTTCTCGACTTCTTGGTTGGCTCGTTCAGTCTGTCCGTTGGCCTGAGGGTGATAGGCAGTGGTGAGGTTGGACTCGATACCTAGACGCTTGAGGAGGGTGCGCATGACCTTGGAGGCAAACTGAGGACCGCGATCGCTGATGAACCGGAGTGGGAGGCCGTGGAGGCGAAAGACTTCTCGGTAATAGATGTCGGCGACACCTTCGGTGGTGATGTCGGAAGTGCAGGGAAGGGCGTGGAGGAGCTTGCTGTAGTGGTCGACAAAGACGATGATGGCATCATGTCCATTGGCATCAGGAAGCTGGGTAATAAGGTCGACTCCAACGGTCTCCCAGGGGCCATCGGGTACCTCCAAGGGCTGAGTCGAGGCGCGGGGGTGCTGGGCGTGTTTCTTCCGGGCACAGATGTCGCAACCTTCCACATACTTCTTGACAAAGGCTCGCATGGTTGGCCACCAGTACTGTCGTTCAACTCGTTCGAGGGTTCCGTGTACGCCGGGATGTCCAGAGGTAGGATCGTCGTGGCACTGTTTGAGAACGTCGCGTCGAAGTTCATCGTCTGGGGGAACGTAGACTCGACCCTTGTAGTAAACAAGGCCGTTATCCTCCTCCCATTCAGCGAGACCAGAGGTGAGACGACGGGGACCTGTCTTGCGGAGTTGGGCGAGTCCATCCAGGACCTGGGATTCTCGGGCGCTGGCCTGCCGGATACGGTCCTCCAAGGGGTTGACGACCATGCTCGAGGCGGCGAGCTTGGCAAACAGCTCGGGTTTGAGTACCACCTGTTGTTTGTTGTCCTCAGCGTCGGAGACCTGGTGAATATCGAGGCGGGAGAGGGCGTCGGCTTGGGTGTTGGATTTTCCAGGGCGATGGGTGAGTGAGAACCGGAAGCGGGAAAGGTAGAGGGCCCAACGAGCTTGTCGACGGCTGAGGTCTTGTGCGGTGCGCCAGTATTCAAGGTTGGAATGGTCGGTGACGATCTCGAATGGTTCAGGGAGTCCTTCCAGGAAGTGGCGCCAGTCCTTGAGAGCCTCGATAATGGCCAGCATCTCCCGGTCGTAGATCTCGTAGTTCCGTTCGGCGGGCTGCATGGAGGCGGACCGGAATGCAACGGGGTGCCAGAGGCCGTCGTCCTGCTTCTGGAGGAGGGCTCCTCCAGTGGCAAAGCCGGAAGCGTCGACTTCAATGCGAGTGGGGCGGTCAGGGTCCCAGAGCGCCAGGATGGGGGCAGACGTGAAGGTGTTGCGGAGGGTGTCGAAAGCCTGCTGCTGAGGTTCGTTCCATTGCCAGGGGACGTTCTTCTTGGTGAGGTCATTGAGCGGTCGGGCGATGGTGGCGAAATCCTTGATGAAACGGCGGTAGAAGTTGGCGAATCCGAGGAAACCTCGAACGGCGCGGAGGTTGCGGGGAACTGGCCAGTTGCGGACGGCTTCGACTTTGGCGGGGTCCATGCTGACTTCGCCCTCGCGGATGATCAGCCCAAGGTATTCGATCTCCTGCCGTTCGAACTCGCACTTCTCTGGCCGGAGATACAGATCGTGTTTCTTGAGGCGATGCAGAACTTCGTGTACAACTTGTCGGTGCTCGTCAAGTGTAGCCGTGAAAGATAAGGATGTCGTCCAGATATACCGCAACCTTTCCTCCAGCAATGAGGTCCGAGAAGATCGAGTTCATGAGAGCTTGGAATGTCGCCGGGGAGTTGGTTAGGCCGAAGAACATGACGAGTGGTTCGTAGAGTCCCTGGTTGGTGGCGAACGCAGCCTTCCACTCATCTCCTTCCTTGAATCCGGATGTTGTTGTGAACCCCAGCGAACATCGAATTTCGTGAAGTACTTGGCACCGCGGAGTCTGTTGATGATGTCAGAGACGAGGGGGAGGGGGTAGCGGTTCTTGACGGTGATCTCGTTGAGCTTGCGGTAATCCTGAACGAAGCGGAGCTTGCCATCCTTCTTCTTGATGAAGAAGACCGGGGAGGAAAGGGGGGACTTGGATGGTCGGATGTATCCCTTCTTGAGGGTTCTCGTCGAGGAATCGATTAAGCTCTTCTTGCTCGTTCTGAGACATGGGGTAAACCTTGGTGCGCATGGTAGCCGGGGCTCCGGGGATCAGATCGATGGCGTGGTCCCAGGGTTTGTGTTCGGGTAGGCGATGTGACTCGGACTCGGAGAAGACCGAAGCATGTTGGCGATATTGCAGGGGGAACCATCTCTTCGAAAGTCTTCTGGGGTTTGGCCTTCTGAGATTTCTCGGCGATCTGCTGAGAGTAAGTGAATCCAGCGGCGCACCAGAGTTCGTCACCTGTTTCCTCAATCAACCCTGCTCGTAGCCATTTCCTGCGAGCGGTTCGGTTGGCACGGATACGGCAAAGGGGCGGTTCGGCTTGCTCTGGTTCCGGTTCGGGAGCGAGATCGGGGTTAGGAGTGGTAGGCACAGGGGGAGGGTCATCCGGGGCATCAATCTGTTCGAGAATAGCGTCGCCCGAGGGTACCCCTCGACTGGGAGGGTGCGCGTCCTCGTCTGGAATCTCCTCGATCGTGACACTAGAGACTTTGGAGGGGACCTGGAGGGTGCCGTTGCGCCAATCGATAGTGGGGTTGATCTTTCGAAGCCAGGGGAGCCCAAGGATGATGTCCTCGCCTCCCAGATCGGCGATAAGGAAGTCGGTCCATTCAGAGTGACCATCCACCGTGAGTTCTAGCCGTGCGAAATGTGTGATGTTGCCGGACTGGTTAGGGGTACCGTCGATGTTGAGGAGTCGGAATGGGATGTCGGAGAGGGAAGGTGGTGATGTTGTGTCGATCGACAAAGGGTCTATCCAGGAACTTGCCTGTCACCCCACAGTCGATCATGGCCGCGGAGTTGGTACTGCGATTTCTGCCTCTGAGCCTCACGTTCACGCGAAAGTGTGACGAACGGGGGTTTATTTCGCGAATCGAGCTAATAGTACATGAACGGATGGAGTCATATTCAGAAATGGCGTACGGAGGAGCAAAGGGTGCCTGCGTTGCGGCAGGGACGGGCACCCGTTTCAAAAACCCTGGTGGAGCCTCTGGAGTTGAGCCAGGATGTCGAGTTGTTGTTGTTGAGTGGCAGAGAGAGAGGCGAGGCTTGGGGCGGGGGCAGAAGGCGTGGCAGGAGTGGTGGCGGCGACGGTGGCAGTGGCAGCAGGGGCGGGTTCGTCAAAGAGGGAGAAGGGTGCTTCCTGGGTAGCGGCGACACGGCGACGCGGAGGTCGAGAGAGCCCTCGTCCAGGTGGGAATCCCATGTACTTGTCCTGGCAGACGGTGGCAGCATGTCCCATACGCTGGCAGTAGTTGCAGCGTAACGCCCCATGATTCCCATCCTTCTTGTTGTGACCGGTGGATCCACAGCCGAAGCATCGACCGCGCATGGCATTGAGGAAGTCCTGGTAGGTCTTGCCACTAGGGCCAGGTCGGGTAGCATCGATCTCCATTGCGTACGGGTCACGAGCGGGGGCGGGAGTGGGAGCGGGAGCGTATTGGGCCAGGGAGGTGCGGGACGAGTTGGGGTTCATGTTCCGCATGACGAACTCGTTTTTGATGGCTTGAGCGACGAGTTCCTCCAGGTTGGCGGGTTCCTTGATGAGGTTGCTGAGGGCGAGCCAGAGAAGGTGTTCCTGAGAGAGCTTCCTCTTGAAGCGAGCCATCCCGTCCGAATCGGATAAGTTGGTGCGCGAAAAGATGTTGACGAAGCGAGAGGCAAAGTCGGCTACAGTTCCTCGACCGAGGGTGAGCTGCTCAAGCTCCTGGAGGGCAGCCTGGGCGTCGTTGGCAGGTTGGAAGCGTTGCTTGAACTCGGTGAGGAAGTTAGCCCACTTTCCCCCAGCGAAGGGCCATGGCTTGGTGCTGTCGGCATCATGATCGGCGATCTGCTGAAGGAAGCGAGATGCCCATCGGCCGGCTTCTCCATGCATGTACGAGAGGGCCGTGGAGATCCATTCCTTGTCGTCCCGAGTGCCATCGTCCTTCTTCAACTGGGGTTGGTGTCCGGCCCCAGTTGGTAAAGAACTGGAGGAAGCGTCGGGCGTCTTCAGCCTTGCCGTGGAAGGGCTCAGGCGCCTTGACCGGGCTCTTGCTAGAGGCGGTTTTGGCGGCTGTAAGGTGGCTGACCAGGGTAGAAATGGCGGCGGTGAGCTGGTTTTGCTGTTCCTGGAGTTTCGCGAGATCGGCGGCGGACATTGTGAAGTCGTCGGTAGTTTGGGAAGTGGAAGAGGGTAGAGTCCTGGGGTTGTTGCGGGCGAATTCTTCAACTGCTTGCTGATTAACGGGGGACGGTGATTCGGCGTTTAGCTTGAGGGAATTGATGTAAACCCAGTCGTGTATGGATGGTTCGTGATAGCGGTTGGGGCAGGGCTGTTCGGAGCAGGCGACCCAGTTGTTGAAGCTCGGTAGGTGAACGTCTAGGACGACGACGGGCCCGTCACCAATTCGAATAACGAAGTGTGGCTTAAACAGGCAAGAGGTGTCTTCCGGTGCGGCGGAAATCTTGACGGAGTGCGGGGACCAGAGTTGCCAGAGAGGGACCTGATCGGCAGGTCAACCAGGAGCCAGAAATGCGGATGATGCAGGAGCAACGATCGGCGTTGCCAGTGCACAAAGGTAGCTTGACCTAATGTCGCGAAGAGCGAACACTAAACCAAACCAAAGACCAGTGATGCGGAGCAGATAAGAACGGCGAGCGAGATAAGAGCGACGAGCGACGAATGCTGATGAATGCTGAAGCAATGTATTGACGAAGAGGTCAAGCTGAGGAAATACAGAGGGATCTACCTAGCTTATATACCTATTCTACAGTCTACATAGCCGCGATGAGTCAAGGTGACGAACGGATGGCGAGACACAAAAGAACAATAAGGAGAGTCACAAGGCTGCGCGAAGGCTGCGCGAAGAGCGAAGAAACAATAGCGGAGTAACGAGGCAGTGCAAGAATGGAGAGAACAATAAGACGTAGGGCGAAGGGCATAACGAGGCAGTGTTCCATGGGAGAAAGTGTCCGTGTCGAGAATAAGAGCAAAAATGAGAATAAAGAAAAGGTGATAAGAGCGATGAAAGCGATAAGATAAGATAAGGAAAAATAGGGGCTCGTACTTGCTGTTCACGACAATGTCTTGAAACCTTTCTATATTAAGAGTTTCCTAAGTATCACCGACAGGCACCCGGAGAGGCAGAAGCTGAGCTTGCTGAACTGAACCGAAAAGGCGCCATCAACTACGTATTAACATCGGATAGTGATGTCTTTGTTTTTGGCGCAAACAATGTCATTCGTCGGTATGTGTGTCCGGGTAAGCCAAGTCTTTCAGACAAATTGACCCTACATCAATCTAGACCGCGAAACAAGGATAATTACGACGAAGTTGAGATCTACCGAATGTCCGATCTCATGCGCTACGACCCAGTTCGGCTTTCGGTTCCTGGTCTAGTATTCACAGCTATTTTGGGGGGTGGTGATTATGACCCGGTGAGCCTGAATAGGCCTCTGCGCCTGATGCAATGGGCTAAGTCTTTATTAATAGAATGGTCTTGAAGGGGTCACCGTCGACACTGCTTACAGGCTAGCTGGAAGCAATGAGTTAATTAGAGGACTATGGGAAGGGGTCAAAGGTGACAATGGGCAGCCCAAGCTAGAGCAGTGGCGTGACGCTCTTCGGAATGAGCTTACAACTAATTCGCAGCACCTCCTGAAGACTCGACGCCCACTGGTTGCTACATATGTCACGGAACATTTCCCGGACACCGAGATCGTGCGAAGATACACCGACCCTCTGACGACTCACTGCCCAAATGATGGCGGACCTAGTAACAGGGTGTCCAACTGGGGAACCCGCCTTCCTGATATGGCCGCTCTCACCAAGCTCATATGCGAGCACTGGAACTGGAACTGGCAAGAGCTTTACAATTTTTACCGCAAATCTGTCTGGCCAGGGACGTGTATCCGCCAGCTTTTGGAGGTATGTCTTTCAACCGTGCCTATTGTTGGCCATGTTTCTAATCTCCCATCACCAAGCCGGAGCTTGCAGCGAGGAAGGCCAGATCAGAGTGCCTTGACCACCGATCCCTTCACAAGATCTACGGCTGCGTGGAACCTCGTCCCGAAGGCCTCTCGTTCGATGTCTACAAGATTCGCTCGTCGATTACAGGTGTCCTAGTGCCTGCAATCAAAGCTTTCATGAGTGCCAACTGTCTTGAAGCTCCCCCCTCAAACTCGCATATTATCTTTTCTCAACTCCAAATTCCTGCTCCAGTCATCGACTACATGGTCCCAAAACTTGCTGAATCGACTTCTCCGACATCTACCACAGCTGGAAGGAAGAGGAAGAATATAGAATCCGAGTGATGAATCATTCATGGGAGCCTGGGCAGGGTCACTGTAACGTCTAATTTATACTAACTTGTGTACTACGAAATAAAGTGTTCGCCTCGCTACATCCAGTGTCCACTCGTCTACAAGCTGTTTGCTAGAGTAAGGGTCGCTTTGAGATAATTTTGCGGGTATCTCCAAGGATGGGACTGAGCCGGAAGTGATCGAGCTGGAATTTGCTGACACCGGGTCCCGGGATCCAGTTTGTGTTTTTTCTAACTACCCCGAACATCCCTCTGCTGTCGTCCACGCCCAAATCTATCTCGTTCACAAAATGACAGGCAACGCTCCAAAGCCGATTCCGAAACTTCGCAAGTCATCCAGCAAAAAGACACTGGAAGCGGCCACCTCTAGGGCGGGATCATTCCGTGCTCATGAAGCAGCAGCAAAGACAGCAGCCAGAAGACGTCTAGCTGCCGCCACTTCGGCGCGCTATACCTCACGCATGAAGGAAGCCGTTGCTTGGGCCAGGACATACGCAAGTAATGAGGAGAAGGAGGAAGCCGCACGTTGTCAATTTGCCGAGCTTTCAGGATTTCCTGATGATGAAACCGGCGACAAACCTCCAGACGAGATTACAACTCCCATGGACCCCGAATTTTATGCCTTTGACGGAGCACCCAAAGAATGTACCCCAAAGGCAATAGCCATGTTCCTGTGGCACAAGTGCTTCGAAGCTGGTTGTAAACCTGGTACAGCTGACCAGGTGTATTCGGCCATCAAAAAGCATTATGACCTTCTGTGAGTCTATCCTAATTTGCTCAATTCTAAATGTGCTCACCTTTGGCTCTTAGTGACGGCGATAAATACCGCTCAGGTGTTTGGCGTTTCGACGAGTCCACGAAGCAATGGCTAGGAAACTAGTGGGATGCGGGCCGTTAAACGGCATTTACCGAGGCCGCGCTTGCTGGATCTAAACAGACCGTTGATTTTCTTCAAAAGTTTCGCCCTGGATTCCTTGCACTTCTTTCCACCCTTCACAAGTTTGCCTAACTCTGTGGAGATACTCAGGCGGTAGGTTGGGAACCACAAAAGTTGTCGCTTACCACTTGCAGAGAATATCTCGGAGAACTCGCTCGAGTCTGATAATTCTATGGGGTCGTCGATGTCGTTGCGCTTAGACGGCCTTAGGGAACAATTAGATACCATACAATAGATATACACGGCCTACGTACCTTGGATTATCAGAGCCGCTTTCGCGAGAGCTCCTCGTGCGTTTGGACCTTGCCTTCCCCTTGTTCTCTGGGTGTCCTACTGTCTCGACGGGGGAGGGGTGACGAATCGAGTGGTGGCCGGGGCTGTGTCAGAGGCGGGTCAACAGGCGTCCTCTGAGATGACTGGGGCTCGTCGCTAGTTTCTTCCGAGGACATAACTATGGGCTTGGACTTGGCTGTCTTCTTCGCACGTCGAGTCCTTGCAAAATTTAGCTTTGGATATGATCATCGCAACAAGGGAGACCTACTTCTTCGGCCTCTCCGTGACCTCAGCATCCTCGGTGACAATGTCATCTTTGGTTGGTGCGCTGTGGAACGTAAATATTAAGGCAGATTTGTGGCCTACAATGAAATAAACATACTTGTTTGAAGTTGAGCTTGCATTTGTCGTTTTGCTGTGTGGAATGTGAGAAAGATTGCCGGGGGTTAGTACGTGGGCCGTGTCAGGCGATGGGCGTGAGTGAAGAGGAGTGAGGCGAAGTCTGAGATGGAGAGGAGACTTCGGGGTCGGAGGTTAGCCTTGGTCTCACGTTATAAGAACGTGTACCCTTCGTCAAGGTTCCTATGGCTGGCTAGGCCGACGGACCGGACGGACGCCTTGCGGCGAGAGCGCGACGTAGAGAGACGACTGGAGCTAAAGGCTCAACGGTCGAAGACGTGGAGAGAGTTAAGTTAGACTTAGGGGTTCGGACAGAGGATTCGATGAGGGGAAAGTCCTAGTCGATGGAGGAGAGGGGATTGAGTCCTAGTCGATGCAGAAGGGAGGATGGAGATCCTAGTCGAGATTCCGGATGAGGTATCTGACTACAAAACCATACAGTACTTATAGAGGACACGTCTAGAGAATCTTCGACAAGAGAAGTGCGGAGAAACGATGGAGAAACATGGAGGCGAGACTAAGATGTATGAATGAGAAATACAAACGACATGAAGGCGAATCGATCCAAGAACAACACAAGAGAGTCGAAGAAGCTATCTACGAACCAATCACAACATGATAAGAAAGTCTAGAGCAAAGACATGAAGTAGAAAGGTCGAAGACAAGTCTTGAGCAAAGAACATGTGATGAGGAAAGATAAGCCGAAGAAAAGAAAGATAATAACATCGATAAATCAGGAAAGTCGAGATATGACGTACGAGGGAACTTCGGACAACAACAAAGAACGAATACGTCTAAAAAGGGAACATACTTCCAAAGAACAATACAGAGTCGAAGGCTTCGAAATACCAAGCGCGCGCCTAAAGTCCACTAGACTTCCGGAGGATCCGAGATCACGGAAGGAGCCGAGTCGCGCGTCTTGCCTGATCCGGTGAAGTCTAGATCAGTAGACATTGACACGACCGGAGTCTAGGTGGCGGTGCGGCTGAAGACGTTGGGGGAGTCGAGGGTTCGAGTATGGCTGGAAGCGAAAGTCGAGACGTCGGGATGTGAAGTCGAAGTGTCAAAGTCTAAGCCGAGTCTAGGGAAGGCGCGAGTGTATATCAGAGTTCTGCTAAGTGCACGAGCCCTGACAGGCCGGGAGAACTCTCACCCTTTGGACCGGGTGACCCGGGTAAAGTCAGAATTCGGAACATCCTTGATCCGAGAACGCGAAGCCCCCGGTGCGCGATATGTGCTGTCGCCGGGGATATGGCAGTGTTTGCTGTATCGGTATATGAGGTGTTGAGTGCCTGACGCATCAAGGAAGCAGACGCGCCACACTTACGCGCCGTCATCTTCATAAGAGGAGATGCTTATGATGTCATCGTCTTTGCTATCGCTAATCCCCAGGTTATCATAGAACACCAATGACAGCGAGTAAAGAAAAGTGGCCCTTACGATAGGATCTGACTACGAACATTGCCCTGGCCGGCTGGAGTCATTGAGGGATGTTTACGCTCCGGACCTGCCGCGCTGCTTGTAATGAAACCATCAGCATCAGTACAACTTGAAGAAAGACAACGTACCCTGAGGCATCAGCTGAGTTGTTGTCATCACGAACACCTCCCGCAACAGGAGTCATCGTAGTCAACTCGTCCGCTTTGAATCTGGGATGGAAGCCGTTGTGTAAAGTAGCCCTGATCGGTGCATGCCAGCACAGTGAGAACGGTAGGATGAAACTTCAGGATGTTATTTACCCTTCCCACCCAGCGTCCACGTTGACGTCCATGGGATGGCCACCGAAGAATCTACGAGGTCATCAGAAAATAAAGCGCACGTACTGCGACAATACGCTTACCCGAAGTGGATGGGTCTCCCCCCATCAGAAGGGTTCATTCTGAAGCATGATGTCATATGGTGATGATACTATAAAGGCGAAGACAACATACCCGGGGGCAGGAAGAAAAGCGGACGAGTTGTTCGGGACATCATTGATTCGGTTTGAGGCCATTGTTGTAGGTAGAAGTGTTAGTGGTGGTGGATGCCTTGTCAAGAGTTTTAAATGGGTTATCTTTCGCAGTGAAAGTATGATATTTATAGATCATGGTGTGGACACGGCACAGTGTCCGGTGATGGATAATCCTCCAAGGGAGTCACAATGAGTAAAGGGGAAACATCTACGCGGTGGTACATACAGAATCATGGAGGAATATTGAGTCACTCACGGCCACTGTGGATTTGGACCGAGGGAAAGTCATTTCCGGTCCCTTGCTCCAAAGATGTGAAGATCCTGAACAGGAAAAGCTCAATAGATCCACTTACCCACGATGCGACTAAGGGACCTGGCGAAGGTCCGATACAAGCGAACGCTACTATCCCCGCTGCGGTATAGAATCGCTCCCTTGCAGACAGCCGACCTTTGGCTCGTTTTGGCTATACCGGACCGCAATTTGTTCAAGATGTGTAGGAGTACACGAGTCATTGCACACCTCTGATTCATATGGGCGGGAGTTTGGTGAGCGAGGTGATTATCCTTTATCATTCAAGTGTCGAAGGCCTATCTCGTTGTGTACTACACGATTACAATGAACGTGTTCTATAACCAAGATTTGGCAAGTACGCGGAGACCTGTGCTTCTGTTCAGTATACGCGCTTACCACAAGCTATAAACGCAGGACTCGTCCTCGACTCTCACATCGCAAGGGCAAGCCAAGAGGATGGCCAGCCAATGCTATTGGCCGATGCTGATGTGCGTATATCCGGTCATCATCCTATAGTGTTGCGCTGACGAGAAAATAGCCCAATTCACTTTCAGTTGTTCAGTTTGAGAACCCCTCCACCTATCGGTTAACGCAAAGAGACGATCCAGAAAGCGAAACCTATTTCAAGGTTATCGGTGTTCTTTGCTCGAAGGTGCTGCCCCCTTTTCAAACAACACCGTGAGTGAAGCCGCGAATTACACGAAAGTATTGGCTCAAAGTGTGTGTTTCAACAGGAAAATTCGAACTTTGCAACATTTGCGCAATCTTCGCCAATTTGTGAAGGTCACAGGCCTTGGATCGACTTCTTTCAGCCTTGCTGGGGGTGCGATGGAGTCCGTGGTGGAGCTGTTTAAACAGGCTCTTGGATCCGACGCACTCGTTGGGACGGAGGAAAAGCTTTACGAGGGGGATTTGGCGTTGGACTTTCATGCTCGCTACTTCACTGATCGAGAGGTCGCTCCTCAAGAGAAACACATACCATTTGACGACCTTGTGGATCCACAGCAAATTTTGGAAACACTCAGAGGCACACGTTTCATTCACGGTCCTGACAATCGCGTAGAGTACTGCGTAAAGAGAGTCGATCCCGACGGAAAAACTAGGTGAGTCTCTCTACATTATATCTCATCCCCAGTCTTACCCAAGGCAGATATGAACCCGTCGATCCCGCTTCAATCAAAGAAGGCGATATAGTTGAAGTCACACTTGCGTTTATGTGTGTTCCCATCAAGGAAAACCGGTATCGCTTCCTTCCAACTCTTCGCGCTGTTACACTTCTGGAGTCCAGAGTGAGGAAGGTAGGGCCATGTGTCGCGGAGGCCGGATGAATCGCTAATTCTAGTACAGGAATCTGAAGCAGCCCGAGATCAGGGGCGGTTTGTAACTCGCAGCAAAGACATTGTAGCACCGAGGACTTTGAAACGGAAGTCGTTGTTTCTTGTTGATATTTCGGGGAAAAGGGGAAGGATGGAGGCACCTGAGGAATCAGAAAGACCCATGACAGTGGACCAATATGGAGTTAATTGCGACTAGTTCTTGTGATATGGTATTCACCTTGACCAACTTCATTGTAATGTGGATGACTTCACGTCTTTTCTCAAGCGGCGTTATGTAACTGGGAGTCACGCATCGTTGAGCGGGTGCGAGTCGGAAAGTGGTAGTCACTTACGGTAGCGAATGGTGTACTGTGAAGCAATGTGCCCTTACGGATAGCGAAGCAATTGAACTTGAATACATAAACATATCCCAGAATGGAAATTCAGAACGCCATAAGAACGCGAAATTGCAGGCATCGACGATTGCCACTGTTACCTTGTTGAACGATATGGGGAACCTGGTCTCGTCCCCTTTGGGCGGGGACATTCAGTTGTTGTTGAAAAGACAAGGTTCTGTTTTTTCCTCTACTAAATTCAATTGGGTCACTCACCGAGTTAATAGGAGACAAACGTTCAAGTCTGATGGTTATACCTAAGGAGGTCTTGAAGCGAATCGTCGAACACGCCGGCATTTTTGACTTACTGTCCTTGTCTGGTACCAGTCGCAAGGTTCGCTTGCTGGCAAGGAACGAGGTCGATCGCCGCGTTATCGAATTGATGGAGTTATTCTCCCTGAATGCCCATACGACACTCCTACTCCTTCGTGATACAAAGGCTTACATCTCAGGGTCCGCCGTGCTCTCCATTATTGACCCAGGAATGTTCACACCGGGAGATCTCGACTTCTACGTTCCCATGGCCCACGCGCATAAGCTATGGATGTTCCTTTGGCGAAGGCATCACCACGGCTGGCACCAGCTCATCGGGGATCGTGATTTTCAACGTGCTGGGTTACCCATACCTGACCCCGATGATTACTGCGGCATCCCGGGGATCGCAACAGTATGGTACTTCAAGCACAGAGATACAGGAAAGGTTATCAACGTCATCATCACCCGCACGAGGTATGTTCAATCATTCTGGACGACAAATCCGACGTGAACGATTGCTGATTTCCGGGCAGCTCAGCACTACCGGCCATCATTCGGTTCCACTCCACTATCGTTATGAATGTCATCACGTATTTCGGAGTGGTTAGCCTATACCCGAGCCTGACAAGGGCAAGAGTGGGATTTACCACCAAAGAGGGTAGATTGGGGCCAAGGGACCTGAAGTGTGTGGAAAAGTACCGAGAAAGGGGATATATCATTTACCGTGATTCTCGATTGGACGACTTTGTGGGGGGTCACGAATGCGGACGTGACGGTCGCTGTTCCCTGACATATCGCTCACTCCACGACGATGAGGTCGCAGTTGCAGCGTTTGCCTCCTACATGCCCCAGAGGAGAGCCGACTTACTCCGGTCTATGGAGGGTGCCTTAGTATGGCGGCTGAAGAATCAACGATGCTACCAAAGTAATCAAGACGCCACGGCCCTGATAGTTACAAGCGAAGGAGACACTGTGATGTTGTAGCTCCTTGTAGTATATAGACATCCAATAGGACCATTCAAAGATCTTGGCAGCTGTAATCGAGTCATGATGAATGATTTGTTCTCGGATGCGAACCATCATGATGAGTCGATTAGGTGGCAAATCTGGGAATACCCCATCAATAAATCAGCCCCTAAAAGGGTGCTCGGAACGCGTCAAGGCAAATTCACTCGACTTCGACTTCTTGGGTATTCCAGTTTCCGCTTCCTCAATACCCCCAGTGTGTTTCGTTTGACTGTGACGCGGGAACATGTACTTTAACGACCAAGCCACCGACCAGCGCTTCTACAACAGTGCAGAACTGCAAGTCCTTCTCGACGGTGAACTCGGCGTTGAATCTTGGCGGGAGTGGATGCATAGCTCTCACCGCCAGCCACAGTTGCCTCCTTGCAATCACGCGCGGTGCTCTCAATATGGCAATTGTCGACTATCCACCGTCTGGTTCGGATGCACTGATTGCTTTCGCCTCAACCTTCGGTGTTCTCATCACAACAACTTCATGATGATGCTGTTGGCAGAGGCATTTCCTAGCTACAGTATGGAGCGCCTGACAATGATTCAGGGCGAGTACTACGGCTATCACGCTCATGCGCGGACCAAAGTTAGTAGGCCCCTTGGAGCCATCAAGGGCTTGCAAAAAGGTGAGTATGAATGATGGTCATGAGCACTACAATGCAGAACTCATCGTTATTCAAGTCGCAGGTGAACTTAAAGTGGCCGTCGGTGGCAAGGGGAACGTGAATGGCCAGCGCGCTAAGTCCGCAATTGATGATCTACAACGCTATACATTTGAACTAGCCGTCGGTATGTATGAACTTTCTCTTGAACGATGGCGGATCGTGTGTCTAAACAAAGAACCAGGGCGGGGCGAGCTTCAGAGGCGTGTTCTTTCGCTGGAGGCCATGATTGAGGATATGGCTAGTATTATTTATGGGGTCCGTGTATCGAAGAAGGAATCGGCTGAAACGGGTATGGAGAGGCTGGAAAGGATGATGGAGGCGAGACGGGGGGATGTTTGGATGGACATGCCAGAGACCTGCTACGGCGACTTTAGTGTTTAGTTGTTACGAACAATGGATGGATTCGTCAGCGCTACACGGATGTACAGAAATCTAAGGTAGGGCCAAAGCACATGCTTCACAGCAACAGCGTGACACCGCCCATTTTCCTTATATCACGAATGGCACCTGCAAAACTGAAATTCTTAGTCCCAAAACGCGCTAAATGGGGAGACTAGGCTGTTTCGGAGAACTCTATGGTTGCATATTTTCGATTTTCCTCTTAATTGGGCGTAAATAGTGTCAAAAAACTTGAGGTGGCTTCGGTCAGGTTGTATCCAGGCGTGACACCCTCTTATATCGCGAATGGCACTCAGAAACCAAGGATTTTCGCCCTTTTTTTCTGAGATTCCTAAACTTCTCCTATTCTTTAAGCACTCTATGGTTGCCGATTTCATTATTTGGTGGCGTGGTTGTCAAACAATCACGGTTAACGGATGGGAAAGAAACGACGAAGTCTAGGTTACGACATGGAATGGGGGAGTTCTCTCCATAGCAGACTGGTGTATGTAAGGGGACAGACGTTAAGGTTGACGCGGACAACAGACTACCTTAGATTCCAGGCAATAAAGTTTGATATAACAAACATGGAAATGTGCCAAATGCTAGACGCAGAACCAGCGAAGCGACAGAGGGTATAGACTATTCACTGGAGAGATCAAGCAACAGGGGTCAGCAAGGAAGGAGGCCAAGGGCGTCAGCGGGACATACAGGGACAGGTTCCTGAGGAGCGGCTCCATATCGACCGGTTGGATCGTTCCACACATGAGCATATGTCTGTCGCTGGAGGAAGAGCAAATGCAATCGGGTCACAGCGTCGTGAGACGCATTGTCTGGAGAGAAAACGGCGTCCTTAACAATGGCAGCGATATCATGAATCATGATGTCTTGTGATACAATCTTCAGGAAGCGATCTTGAAAGGCTAGGGAATTGGGGAGGTTACATAAATAAGATGAGAATGATGGAGAAAAAAAGACAACTCACCAATGGCAACGGCGAAGATGCTGCGGCGGATATGTGTGAAAAATTCTTCAGGCACCTTGGATGAGGACGCAGAGTTCTCCAAGGCCTTTTGGATGGTGTCGAGTTCTGTTTGGGGAGACAAATCCTATCAGTAATAATAAAAGAGAAAGGTTTAGACGTTTACTGACGAGCTAGAAGGGCTAACAAGTTCTCAAAGGAAGTGTCGGGCATAGTGGTCGACAAAGTGGCGTGAGATTGGAAAGCACGACGAAATTGCTGTATCTCGGAAGCGGAGGAGGAAGAATGATGCGCGACTGTCTGTTCTAGGACAGTGGCTCTAATAGAGCATGGGGAATTGTGGCGAAGGCAGCTGATGCACCCCGGGAAATTGGGAGACACAACGCATGGGACCAAACCTTGAGAACACAGGGCGGTGGTGCACGCTGTGGTCCGAGTCGATTTGTGTCCTTTGGAGAATCGGATCCAGGCCTTACGATCGAGCACAGATCGTAGTCCAGGGAGAAGGAGAGCAGAGTTGTAAAAAGACAAGATGACCTTCATTTCTTCCAACGAGCCGGGGGGAGGATGTCCGCAAGGAAGTGAAGACATGACGTCGATGATGATACTCTAGCAGGTTCTACTACTAGACCTTTCACTTATAGGCAAAGGCTAACGGCAGAGCGGCGGGTACAAAGTCATGCAGAGTCAGGACTTGAGGGTACGCAAGCGAGAGCGGGACGGAATCGATTGACCAAGGCACCGCCATAGTTGTCCGCGGAGTCATCTATCCCCAATTGGGAGTATTCGAAAATCGAAATTATAAGGCGTAGGCCTTTAGGCGTGGAGACGATATGTGGAAAAGTGTTAGCATGACAGAAAGGGAAGGACCCTGAGAAGGACCGATTGGGTTCGTCGTGGGATTCCGTTTGTGACGATCATGAGCGCCATGGCCGCTCACACACAGAGGCGATTATATTGGGGCGGGGGGCGGACTACTAAGGACGGACTGATGAACATCGGGCCGGGGCGCAGAGTCGTACGATGGCGTGGAAGACAGTGGATCATGTTGCAGGAGGGAGGGGGAGGGAATGCAAAGAACAAAAGAAAGAACGAGATAAGGAGTGCATGGGGAAAAGAGAAGGATCGAAATTAGAGGGACGTTGTTTGGGCGAGAAATTGGGGGGGGTAAAGAAGGTCGGAAGTCAATAGTCATAGGTATATGGTTATAGGTATAGGAAAGTATGGAGAAAGAAAATAAAAGAGACGGAAAGGAATCGAACGCAGGACGTCAGCAAACATCACGTGGCTTTCGAGCGTCGCGTCTTGGCGCAACGTTTTTCCGTGATAAAGAAACCGAGTCCCGACAGGCCTCGGAATCCCGCCTCAACAGGTACCGTGCAAGATATGCTCAAGGCCATCAAGAATAGTAGTGGAGAGCAGGAACGGAGGCATTCACGTGCAATGAGACTAGAGTACATGGAGAAACTCTACGCCTACCTCAAGGACAATACCCCGGCAGAATCGGAGACCAAAGATCCAGCTTCTCTGAAGAAGCGCGCTGAGATGCTCCAATTTGCCGCATTCGCGGCACTTGGGTTTACACTTTGGACGAGGTTGGTCTATTCAAGGTGTTTGTTTCTTCGGCCTGGAAGCTGGGACTAACAATGTCACTCTTAGAAACTGTGAAGCTGTACAGCTCCAAGTGAAGCACTTTGACTTTGCTCCTCCGCCCAAGCGTGCCTCTAATGGCGCTGTCTATCCTTTTTTCGTTGTCAACCTCCTTAACCGAAAGGGCTGGCAACGTAAAATGGCCAAGGGCGAGCACCAGCTTAATGGTATGTCTATTCATGGATAACGGTGCAATTCTATACTGACAAGACCAGGGCACACATATAATATATATCCAAAGCCGTACAGCCCCGCCATCGACATGTATCAACGCCTCTTGGACTGGAAGGAATGCTATGAGACACTTCTTGGACGACCTCTCGAGCCTGAAGACCACATGTTTCCCACCATTGGTGCCAATCTCGCTGTGCACCCCGACGATCCACTCACAAGCGATGCAATTCAGAAGAGGCTAACCAAGTTCACCAAAGCAGCAGAACTGGGGGAGGGTTTTACTACGCATTGTTTCCGACGAGGAGGAGCTCAATACCGGTTCATGTACGCTCCATTAGGCCAGCGTTGGACTCTGGCACGTGTTAGGTGGTGGGGAGGTTGGGCCCAGGGAGAGCATGTGAGTCATTCCCACTTTGGTCTCGGGAATACCATTACTGAGCAGTGAGCTCTACAAATTCTTAGCGCGATACATTGATTCGTTACCTCTTGGACGAGCTATGGATGTCCGAAGACGACCACCGAGACGCATTATGCCCGTTTGATGAGGATGCCAGCGATTCACACATGGGCGAAGGTCGACTACTCCAACCTCTGACTCAGGTCGACGGCCAAAGGCTCCTAGAGCGACTGGATGCCATTCAGCTTCTCGTAACCACATCGCAGAATGGCAGCTGTGCAGTACCCAGCGTCACCTGGCCTGCTGGATATTACGGACAGCATTCGATGGCTGGTTTGCAGAAGGCCTTCAATACACTCTCCCTTTCATCATTTGAGCCATCTATCCCCACAGCCGCTGTGTACACAGCTCCCACACCCTTGTACAATGTCTCGTACAACGTCTACAACGTTGCCAATCCTGTGTCACTCACGGGATTCCATCAGACCGCGACATTCGTTGCACCAACTCCTCGACCGCAACCAGTAGCCGGAATTTATCAGCCACCCATTCAGTCGCCCTATGGGTTACCACAAGTGACGAACCACCCTCCCAACGCCTCCCAACTTCCCCCAGAATTCCAATATGCCGCCTCCGTGATTCCTCAACATGCTGCAGACAACTACACACCGGCATTTGGGCCTACCATGCTACACCCAGATCGGACATTGGCCACTATGAACAATCCAGGTCCAACTCCAACCTGCCATCAACCTCTGACCTTTCCCTCGACCAAGAACCCTACGCGCCACCACTACGTTGTTCCAAGCATTCACGCCAGCAAGAAAGAGCTTGTATGGAAGCAGGTAATTGAAGATTGGCTCTCCCCAAAGCCCAATCGAGCATCAGTTCCACTCTCGCAATGGGACACGTCGCTATTGGCTGATGTGAATCAGAAGCAGAAGTATCATATCCGCAAAGTCATTGCTGAAGAGTACATTGAACGGTGAGTCCCCATATTCAACACCTTGAAGATATATATCTCACGTATGCTGTCCTGGAACCTCAGTTATCACTCCAGTGACGAGGAGTTCACATGTGCTTATCCAGAGCACGCCATTGGCATGACAGCACTGTACAAGGCGATTCTAGCCCAGAGGCAGATTCGGGGGGACTCGAAGAGGCGCGCTCGTAAATCACGGTCGCCATCGCCCGAACAATGAGCCACACCGATTCTCATTGAACTGTATCAGCTGCTGTAGGTCTATTTAATTTATTTAGATCATTCTTTGTCTACGTATACTACGTCTCGTACACGTCTGATAATAACATCCAATAGAGTAGAGTATTAACCGACACATGGTGTAAAACTATACAATACATTTCCCTCCATTCTTTGTAAAGTAAAAGAAAAATTCTATAGGCCGTGGCCGAAAAAGAAAATGTAAGGGCAATTGTACTTGGACCATAGCGAAACGGCTTTTCTCTTTCGCCGCACCGCACCATGCAACCCCTGCGGTTCAGCCAATGGTGTATCCGTCTGCACAGTATGTCCTTACCAAGTAACGGTTAGCCAAAGGAAGTCATGTACACTGAGAGTAATGCGAAGGCACGTACCTTATTGTCCTGCTTGCTGTGCCGCGATCACGTCTCGGCAACTCTCACATCTCATGTTTTCGAATTAAACAGGAACGCCCTAGAGCTCGTTAGCAGTGGGTACCAGAAGAAGACGGAAGAAAAATGGCAGAGAACCTCACCTAGTAATACTCGCCACTCCGGGGCGGATCGCGTTGGACGCTGCGTTAACGCCAGGGAGTGCCTTCTCAGTTGGTCTATTAAGCAGGGCCATTGTTAGCACCAGACATTTGTGGTCAACAAGCTTAAACTCACCCTGGTGACGCCTGGTCGTCCGATTCTTCGTGGGTGAAGTGCAAAGTCCGACATTGGAGGCGTTTCTAGGGCCTCCTGGTATGGAGTCTGAAACCCAGAGACACCAGACATCCTCCCTTCAGATACTACTAGTACGGGCGTAGGAGAGCACGACCCGTACGAACGGCCCAGCGTTATCGACAGGCAGATTTGCTTGGGATCCTGGTGAGCTTTGCAGTGCAGGCAGTCGGCCACCCGAGCCCCATTGCATTCACGATGGCTAGAGTACGGTGGCCTGGGTGGGCCATAGTTGGCTACTATTTCATCTGTGGCGTCATCAGGAGATACGAACTTACGGAGGAGATACAAACTTACGGTTGTGCACAGCGCGCTCGAAGACAGCGTCTTGAGTACCCATCGGTGGGCTCACCGTTAGTGGGCGCGAGCTGATGTGCAGTGGAAAGGTGTTGAGGGACCTGGTTGGGTAGAAGTCATAATTAGCGTTCGAATTTCGTCGAAAAGAGCGTATGCAACGCACCTCGTTGGCGTCCTGGATCCGAATGTACCGTAACACAGCGGCGGAAAATCACGGGGCCTCCTGGTAGAGAGTCTGAAACCCGCGTATACCGTCGTCGTGCTACGGAATAGACACCCTCATCGAGGCTCGAGAGTAGGTGCGAGCTGGGATACAGCATCCAAGCGACGCGTTGAAGAGCACCATGCAACGGAATGTCGAACGCCCGGCCCTGCCTTGGTGCCAGCACAGCCAGCGGTCTTCGTGGTGCTAGAGCAGGGAGATCTCGTTAGTGGGTAGATCTTGCCCAGCTGAGCCTAAAAACTGCCCACCCTTGCTCGGGTACAATTAGATCGCGGCCTATGCATTCCAAAGGCCTAATTCACCCACCTGCCTTGCTGATTTTGACCCTGGAGCTCGCTTTCCGAGTCGTTTCCGTTGCTAATTGCCCTCTCTTCCTTGGTTTGATCTGTCCGGACATCCGGAATCATTGAGACATTGCCCGCATTCTCGTCGGTCTGAGTGTATCTGAGACAAGCCTTTTGACGCAGGTGGCCAGGAAGGGAAGAGTAAAGAGACAGAGCGCCCATCGTCGAGCGCACACGATTTGTCAACTCAACGACGGCTTCTCTGCCAGAAATTACATAAAACTTTGACAGCTTGTTGGTTTCCTTCAGTGAACTGGAACGCGTTTGGGCGCTCCGGGCGACTCACGTGCCTTTGATAAGATAAAGAGATAAGATACGAGATTAATGAGATAAGATTTCAGGCCGCTTGGCGCGTCCCAAACAGGTAGCCGAGCGGGGTCGCCCACCGCGTGGGGTACCGATCTGTCGGGCCCGCGGCAGGTGCGGCCATCAGCCCCTAACCCGCATTTGGCCCTACCCGCCTAAATTTCTCGAGATAAGTCCTCAACGACGGTGTACATCTAGCATTGGTCGAACGAGTTCAGGCCCATATAAAGTATACATTCAAATAGCTACCCATCCAGCACCCGATGCGCTTGGGCGGCTGATGCTAAGTGCTTCGCGCGCAAAGGCGCAGGGCGCTGTGGCGGCGTGGAAAGCGCGTTGATGGGCGGTAGAGAATGTCTGATGGCGCGCGCTGTCATGTCAAAGGAGGCATCTGTGATGGCGCTCGTGGGTCACGCGACCATTCTTGCGACATTATTATAACGGTTCTGGTGTGTTTTTATAATGGATTCTGTTGGTTACATCCGGCCGTTTTTAAAAGGAATCCATTGGATACATCCTCCCTATTTTAATAATTAAGACACCATCCCCTGTAAATGTAACAATACGCAATGAATGGTCAGCGAGAGTCTTCATCCCAATCAATGTCAACTATAACTTGCTTCAGCCGATCCACGTCCTGCTTCCACAGACTCCTGCATTTTTTGAGTCTCAGCTTCCGAATCTCCCCTCCCAGTTCATACCGCAACATCAAGAAGTCCAGAAGAGCATCCGTAGGGATGTCTATGGATCTCATATGCCCTTCCTCCAACGCCCACGAATAGCCGAACTTGACACCCTCGAGCGAGAGGTATTCCAGAGATCGGAAATAACTAATCTCTGAATGGCTGACGTCGAAATTGACTACTTTAAGGAATGATTCAAAGGCTGCCGCCCCAGAAATGGATAAAGATTTCAGAGATGGTAGCTCTCCGATGCGTAGCATCGTTTCGTCCCTCCTGTCGTGATCGCAACGGACAGAGTCCACCGTGGTGAACAACGGGGTTTGCAGAAGGAGATTAAGGATTTCGCCATTGCGGGGGAGTCGCCACACTATCGAAGGTGTTGGAGGATTGTTGGCGCCATTGCAATTCGAATCGCCGAAGTCGATAGCACCCTGCCATGCCTGGATCGCCACGGAGGAGAACGAGCGTTCGATGAAAATGGCCCGCAGAGAACGAGGGGACGCTGCATGGTCGTCGGGATGGACAGAATCTGAGAGCCAAGCAGAGGTGATGGCAGGATGGAAGGCCGGAACAGCCTCCAGCATTTGGGCGCCGAAACGTGAACGCTCAAATGAGAATGCCAGTGCCGCTGAGCTTGGAAGTCGCAAACACTGAAGCAGCCCCACACATCCGTCCAAGGTTCTTCCACCCAATCGCAGTATTTCGAGCCGGCGAAGATGAATTGGTCTGTGCCCCGAAAATGTGTCGAGAGCCGGCAAGGGTATGACGAGTTCGAGGCGGCGAAGTTCAGGGATAGACGCCAATGCAGAAAGGATTTCGGTGGGACTTGGGAGGGGAATACTTTCTTCCGTGAATTCGCTGGATTCTATGATGAGGGTGGTCAAGCTTCTGAATAGCGACGAATCCCATGGTAAGCGCGATTCCGCGAGGTTCAGGTAGCGAAGGTTGGGTGCACCGCCCTCTAAGAAGTGCGGTGGAAGCATCGTAGGGCGGGAAATGTTGGTGAGAGTAAGCGACTCGAGAATGGGCGCGGAGGTGGAACACAAGACCCGTGTCAGCGAAAGCGACTCATCTTCGTCCGCCATTTCGAAATACTCTCCGAGGTGAAGGCTCTTGAGCCGGCTAGTGTTGGCTAGAGTGGACTTGACCATGTCGTAAATGGGGGATTCGAAAACCCGCCAAAAGGCCGATATGCGTATTGATAAAGGCGCTTGCTTCGACCTCTCGAGAAAGGCCGCGGGCCAACGGCACGGGTAGAAGGCAATATTGCTCCAGAGTTGGGCGCAACCCAGGGCAATTGACCTCCATTCCCGACAAACATGAGTCACCCGTATCCATATCAGGGAGAGACGGTATTCTTGACGATTTTGTTCAGTTTTGGTTCCGGTGACAGAGTCGCGGTAACAGAGGAAGATTCTGCACAATAACTCTGGTGGTAGGCGGGCAATTGGTGAAAGCCTGTTTCGTCTTGATTGAAGGCCGAGGATCTGGGACTTTAGTTGTTGAATTTGGGCGTCGATGTCGGCGCGCTCTGCGTCTGCAGTCCCAAGCGTGTTTTGAAGTGACATTGTCGCGAAAGGCAAAGTACGAGAACTCACACCGTGACCGTGACTCGACTGAAATGAGCGTGGGAGGCATGAACATCCCGATCAAAGCAGGGTTGATCCGATCCGAGTGTTGGGCGAGAGTAAGTACGGGGAGCGCCAGGGAGCGCCCCTCAGCCTGAACTTGGAAGTTGGGCTCGACCACTCGGCCTACGTAAGTAACTGGAAGACTCTTGTTTATCGCAGAATGCATTAAATAATACATAACTACTTTTTTTATCAATTATCTTCATGTTCTTCGGAACCACTCCCCTCTGACTCTAGCTCACTTTCATCCCAATCCTCCTCGGAACCGTCGTCTTCAAACTCCTCCTCATCGTCGTCGGACTCTTCTGAAGTCCTTCGAGTATTGTCCTCTACGCACCTTGTCTCTTTATAACCATCCCACTCGACGCTTCCGACTACCTTCTTCAACCTGCCCACCTCCGCCTCGCCGAGGTTGTAACAATGGCCGAGCCTCAGCGTCCGAATCCCATAACCCGCCACGGAGCGAAAGATCAAGAAGTGGATGAAGCCCTCGAAGGAGACGGAACGTTGACCTTGGTTCTCAGGGAGAATGGAAGCAGGGTATTCATATGGCGCCGGGTTGAAGGTGACTCCATCGAGTGAGAGGTGTTCAAGGTTGGTGAAATAGTGGATGCACCACTTGGTTGTGCTGGAATCGTTGCCTGCGATCACTCCAGTTGCATCTGTGGCCACGGAGACCCTCTCGATGGCCTCCTTGACCAACTCGACCATCTCAGCGTCCGGCTCTTGAATCCCACCCTCGGTTACGACGAAACGCATGAAAGGTGGAGCACTGAGTTGGGAGAGAACAAGCGACCTCAGTGTAATAGCTACGACCTCGGCCAGCTCTTCGAAATCCGATGGCTTCAAGTCGACGTCGAGCTCCAAACAGCGAAGGTCTTTGTAAAAAGAGGTCAAGAAATCGTCCTCATGAAGCAGGCCGACACAGAATTTTGCTCCATCATTTCCTTCGTCCTCAAACCCAATGGACCAGGGACATGGGGGTATGATAGTTTTCTCCCAGTCTTGTGGGCGGTTTTGGCGTGGGGTGGGGAGCATAGCGGCGAAGTCGATTTCTGTGGGCCATCCTCTGACGGTCTTGCGGGGCCAGCGATGGCTCATTCCCGGCGCCATCAGAATCTGGAGGGAGACGATGGGCTTCATCGCTGGGCTTTTCAAGCGGGGATTACAGCTGGTGACAGGGAACACCGAATGGAATTCAGAGATGGCCGCGTCGAATCCAGCAAACGCCTGCTCCTCTTGTCCAAGGAAAGCGTCGAGTTGCAGGTGGATCTGCGCGTCGCCAACTTTGAAATGCTCGAGAAGAGCTGCGCACTGGACAAGTGATTTGCACCTCAACGATATCTCCTCCAGGTGGAGAAGCGGGACAACAGTTTCCTCGCCCAGATCCCAAAGGTCTACTTCTTCGGGGAATGTGGTATATAGCTTGAGCTGTCGCAAGTTGGGCATCCTCGCAAACGCTTCCAAGAATTCTGACGCTTCGGGGAGGGGGAGGTATGGGTCTCGATCATAGGGACACTCCTCGATGCAGAGGCTCGTGAGGTTGGAATGAAGGATAGGGGACGTCCATCTCGGAGTGAACCCGGATAGATCGACGCGGCGCAAGTTGGGCGTGCCGCCCGACAAAAGCGTGTCTGGGATGCCGTCGAAGAAGACCGAGCCGTCGAGGACGAGCTCTTGGAGGAGGGGGGCGGACTTGTTTGCCAAGACGCGAAGGCTGGATTGCAGCATGCGTGGACCAGTGCCGAAAATGGTCAAGCTTGCGATGCGCTCGTGCTCGCCCAGGATTTTGAGAACGAGAGGTCGGAGATGGTCGCGCATTCCAAATGGGACGTAGATTGTCAGGGGCGTGCCCTTTGACCTCTCGAGGAAGGTTTTGATCTCCACTGCGGAGAGGTTGAAGACGATGGTCGACCAGAGCTGCGGGGTGCCGATGGCGACATGCCTCCAGCGGGCACAGAGTTGAAGGCATGCTGGGATCCAGACGGTAGGATCGAAGATCTCATCTCTATACGCTATGAGAATTTTGGAAAGGATTTCTGAAGGCATTCGAGAAACGGGGGGACTGGGATGCTCGAGTGAAGCTGTACGCAAAGAGACGGTGTGAGGTCCAGCGTAGGCGAGTTGTACAAACGGGCTTACGACTCATTTTCACGGTTCACGCTTTTTGGAGGGACGAAATGGAAAGGGCGAGAGAAAAAAAGACGCCTTTTATCTGTGCGCCTCGCGTCGCAAAACCATATCAGAGTGGTTCGAACTTGGTGTTGACATCTGTCACGCTTGGGTCGATTCTGTTACCTGCTTCTCTCTGCCTCTTTGGCTTCGAATCAGGAATGCTAACAGGGAGACTTCGGTTCGTGACACTGTCTAAGTAGAGACCTGTAAGAGGTACTCGCGAAAGATATTCAGAGAGAGATATTAGGTGAACGTTTCAGACTAAGCTACGTTTCAGACTAAGCACATTGTAACATACTCAGAAGAACCAATCACCTATCGTCCTCCCTCGACCTCTTAGTCCGGATACCATTAGTATCGACGGTGCGGTCTTGACTTTTCAGCCCTTCCAAATCTTCCCCTTGAGGGCGAAGCGTTGGGTCTGCAACACCTTTGCCCGTCACTTTCCGAGGCTTCATGAAATCGTCAAATGCCTGCTCCAGCGTCGCCTCGCCTTTGTTTTGCCAAGGGCGACGAAAAGGTGGATTGGCAGGGTCGAGAATTTTCATTTTCTGAAGGGACGGCAGGCAGGCAGGTTTAGGGAGAGCGTAGTCGAGGAGTTCCCACAGATACAGACATGGTAATGCGAGGCTCTTCAGGCGCGGCTGAGTTGCATCTAGCTGCGAGAGCGTGGAGTTGTCTATTCTGGTTGTACAAAGATGCTCGACGGACTTAAGGAGAGGGGTTGAAAGGAGATGGGTGAGGAGGTGGGCAAAGGGCGGGATGAACTCGAGGCGTAGTTCCCGACTGTCACTGTCAGGTTTCCAGGCCTCTTCCTCGTTAAAGACGACTTCGATCCCGCTCCGATCGAGGGCATCCAGGTCGTCCCTGGTGGTGAAGACTGCAAGATGAGTCGGACCTGTGTTTGCGGTACCGTCCTCGTCGTCAGCCGTACATGATTTGAGCGGAGTCTTCGCCCATGCACAGGAAAGGGATGCCGCAAGGTCATGGACGATGGTCTTCAAGTCTTCCAAGCCGGTGATTGCCTCCGAATGTGGTGGATTGAAGCTCAAATGGATAGTGGTGCACTGGGGTAAGGAGATGTGGTTGAAAAGGGCGGTGTGGTGAGAAAAGGAAGCATTGAAGGTGAAGCTCTCCAGGTGACGCAGTGCGACATGTTTCCCCCCAATCGCCCATGTTTGTGGAAGAGGCGCCGAAACGGTGAGCTGGCGAAGGCCAGGGTTACTTTCCAGAAGGTCTAGGAATTTGGAAAGGCTAGTTGAAAGGGCTGCCTGCGAGAGGGAAGCCGGACGGGGGAGCGGCGGGGTGACGAGTGTTAATGATGTCAGGTTTCTTAGGATGGGTGAGGTCCATGGTAGACTCCAGCCTTGAAGGCGGACGCGCCGTAACTTGGGTGTTCCTGCGGAGAGGAACGTATCGTTCAAGGCGATAGGGTCCGAACCAGGAAGGGTTCGGTCTCGCTCCAAGGCGAGAGTGTCAAGGACAGGTGCACTTAGAGCGGACAACGAAACCCGGGCGACATACCGACCACTGTCGAGTCCAGAGTCGCCGCAACTGATGTGGAGACTTTGCACACGATGCAATTCGGACAGTATTGTGCGTGAGACAGTTGGTGCTCTGCATTCTGGGGGAACGGTAATCGAGATCAGGGAATTGAAACTTCGCTCGAACGAAGCTTGTACCCATCCAGCAGAGGTGAATGCAATGCGTGACCACAATGGGGGCCAACTGACGGAAATAGCCCTCCATCGACGGCAAACATGAGTGATACAGGTCCAGGAGATAGTATCGGACATGTTGCGATATTCGAGGAAGATCTGAAGGAATATTTCATCAGGCAGCTGGTAGATGGAGGAGAGTTCGTTTCGCTTCTGCTTTAGTTTTTGTTCATGCTGACGAAGATCAGCTAGCCAAATATCGATTTGATTTTGGTCTGCATCTTCCAAAGGAGCGCCATAAATGACCTCTGCAAAAAGGGTCAGTGCCTCGTATTGGAACGAAAGAAACGAGCGTACTCAGGCTGGACTGTGACATGGCGAGCAGAGGTAGGGGCGTGGGAGAATTTGTGGACGCGATTTTGATTTGCCGCGTGTTTGGCGCGAGGAGGTGTACAAACAAAAGGGCGGGAATTATTGATTGGTGGTGTCGACAAGGCCTCGTTCCCGCCGCTCATTATCGTGCAGCGGACGGCCATTGTCCACGAGGCCCATCACTCTTTGCTGTTATAATCCGTCCCTTGCCTGCCCAGACAACCCACATTCAATCAATCATGGTCCTCTTTGGTCTCTTTTCCCGCAAACCAGCACAACCCGAGCCTGAGCCTGAGCCTGAGCAACAGCAGCCTCAGCAGGAAGAACATGCCGCAGGATCGGCTTCTTCCTCAGCGCAACCTTTTGTCTTTCCCCAACGCCAGCTTCACACTCCAGCGCCATCCCTCTCCTTCTCCACCCCGCCGGTCGTCCGCTCAGATAGCACTCCGGCCGATCCTCCGCCGCGCACACCCTCTCCTCTCCCCGACGCGAATGGCGCTCCCGCCGAAGATCCGGAGCCTCCAGTAACAGATCCCCGTGAACTCCATTCCCTCATCTCGTCAGTCCCACCACAGACGCTCCACGGATATTGCATCGACCTCCTCGATCCTGTCGCGTTCGATACCGCCATTGGCAAGCCCAAGGCTCCCAAACGGCGACGACGAAAATCTGCTCTCGTTCCTGCAGAGGATGCCAACGCTGCTGCAGCGTCGGAGCCTCCTTTGAAACCCCACCCTCTCCTGACACCCGAAGTCCTCAAATCACTCACCGCGTTCTTCAAGACCCTCGTTCCGCCGCCTCAACTCCATTGCGTCCGATGCCATAAAGCCTATTTCGAACTCGAAAACACCGACTACAGTTGTCGCGTGCCTCACGATGACGCGAGTACCGTCGTTGAACGCGTGGGCACCAAGCTCGTTCAAAGTTCAGATGAAGAGGATGAGGATGAGGAGGGAAGCGGGGATGATGACGAGTATGTCGATAGTGGAAGTGACGCCGAAGAAGGGAAGAAGCGCCGAAGGCCACGCAAGTCGATCGTCCCCACGAAGAGCAGCGTCTACGAAACTTTTTGGGGTTGCTGCGGACAGACTGTAGAAGGCGATGGCGACCAAGGTCCCCCAGATGGCTGGTGCTACGAAGGTCGACATACGGTAAGCTGAACCCATTCCAATTGTTCCTTTTCTAACCGCCTTGCAGACTGACTACAAACGAGCACGCTTCCGTGCCGACTCGACTCCTCAAGACGACAAGCTGGTCTCCTGCCACAGACTCAAGTGCTTCCGACCTCCCGTATCCCAGGGCTCAACCGTAGCATCCTCGGTCAGGTCAGCACCAGCCGCCAGAAAACGTAAACGAAACGTCAAGAGCGTCGATTACCGCGAACCCGACGACGACGAAGACATGGAAGGTCCAGACGAGGAAAAACCAGGCGATGACGACGACGATGCCAAATCGACCGCTAGTGTCAAACGAAGGAGAAAAGACTCGTCCGGTGCGGTCATCTCTTCCAAAGGAAAGGGAAAGGGTCCCGGAAGGCCTCGAAAGCGGACGATAAAGAGCAAGGAAGAGGTGGATGACGAAGCAGACCAGGACGCTATGGACGTCGATCAACCGCCAGTCGCGACCTCGATCTCGGCTATTGGTTCGATCCCTCGTTCACCGCCAGCATCTCCGCGCCGAAAACCCGTGTCCAGTGCGAGTACTGCGTCGACTTCAGTTTCTGCTCCTCCTGGGCCCCTGAAAAAGAAAGCTGCGATGAAACCAAAGCCCAAGGCATTGCCTAGCCCCAAAGCAGGAGGGAACACGAAGCCCGCTACACCCTCACCTTTAGGTGTCCGCCAGGATACAGCCGACTTGGAAGATGAAGACGACGACGCCGAAACTTCAACTCAACGCCGATCCCGATCCCAAGTCTTTGTCGAAGTGCCCACTCGAAGCGCGTCCAAGTCGCCCGTTCGAGGATCTACCTCCGCAACTCCCAACTCCAAATCCACATTTCGTATGAAGTCAAAGTCGTCACCCGCGAATGACACGAGGATGGCGGCGGTTGAGACGGTGTTGAGTAAGAGTGTGGCGGTTGTGAAAGCCAAGGGGAGTGTGGCGAGTTTGAGGGACAAGTTTGAGAAGGGGAATGCGACGGATCGAGAGGAGGGGTCGAATGTGCATGTGAAGGCGAAGCAGAAGAGGAAGCAGTTGCAGGAGGTTGTGGCGAGTAGTGTTCCGAATGAAGTTGAGATGCAGTGATGGGTGGTTGGAAATCGGGTGGTGGATGATGATCTAGTGAAACGACGTGGTGGCGGTGGTGGGTGAATCTCGATGAATGACTCTTGAATGAATGAACTACGAATGCTTGGATCGATTTTATGTTCTGTGTACTCAAAACTCCTTATACGTTCCTTGCCGTGTTTCTTGCATCTCTTTTTCTGTGTCTGGCAAACTTGTGAACGTCTGTCTTTACTTGTTTAATGCTTACTTTCTGTCTTTACTACCTAGTTTCTATATCATGGACTTACTGTCCTTACAAAGTACTTGTATATCTTTGACTTACTGTGTACATACATACGTTTCTTGTGACTCGGTCTTGACGATGTCTCAATTGTCTATCTCTCTCTTATTTTCTCTCTCGTGTATCTCACTCATCCTTTGTCCATCATCATAATCTCAACGACATCTTGGAAACACAACTACTCAATACTTAGCAATGTCATTTAGTCAAGTGTATGCATCTTTTACTGTTCTTGTAAATGTGGCGAGCTCTTCCTTTTTGTGCGGAGGCTTCAGGAAGGTTTCAGATGGCCGATGTAGCTGCAAGAGCGGGTGAGGGATTTCGAGGTGAATGTTGGAACTTTGTCTAATTGTTCATGTTTGTTTCTGAAACCGTTGGCTTCATTCCCCGCTGGCAGTAAGCGCCGGTCGGAGGTATCCCTTTCGTTTTTCCCCTCGCCCCGGTTGGAGGCTACCCCAGCGTCGTTCGCCCATTCTGCAATAAAACGCCGCTCTGCTTAGATCCGAGTGGTATGCCGCAAGTCATTGAGCACTCGAGCTTTTCCTGGATACTTGGAAAGCCACTGGGCCTCCGAGCTGTTCAGATCACTTTGGCGAGGCCGACCAAGATCCCACTTGGACACCTCTCCACGCTAACGCCTGTCTTACTCATACACCGCCTATCCAGCCCCGGACAGACACACCTCCCCGCCCTACCCACATCGTCCTCCGCCGTCGCCCCGCCGAGGGGCCAGAAAGCGAGGCTGATAGAGACTTGGGGTGTGTCAGATGATGATTTAGATTACTTTTCCTAATTTTGAAATTCATGTGCCTTCTCCGAGACTCCGCCAAAACTGAGTGCACACTCAAGGATCGAACTCGCGTACGATCACTTCATCACGCTGCCTCGCGCTTTGCGTCCGCCCTTCAACCCGAACGACCACCTTACCTGCCGAAAGCAGTCGTCTCACAGCGATTTCAGGTAAATCTACAGCCTTTAGCTACCTTGTAAAGCTAACACTGTCTAGTGTGATCATGCTGGCCTTGGAGGAACGGAACGAAGCGTGCAAAAACATTGAAGTAGTCTTACAGATCGATCGAACCAACATTGCCCTCATTTCGCAGCTTCCAGCAGAAATCATTTGCGAGATATTTCAGTGCCTTAAGGCAACGCTTGAAGCCTATGGATCTCTCACGGCGTGGACGACGGTCACCCACGTCTGTCGCCAGTGGCGCGAAATCGCCCTGGACTGTCCAGCGCTTTGGGCAACGCTAACCGATGCCATTCCCCCACGCTGGCTGGAGGCTATGCTTATCAGGTCCAAAACTGCCCCGCTGTCCATTACATTCAACCACAACCCCGTGACAAAACCAACGCCCGCGGTATCGGTGCTCGCAGAAGCATTGTGCGAGACGGACCGCCTGCGAGAGGTTTCAGTCTCTGGAGGAGGACTTTCCAAGCTTCTTTTGCCGTTGAAGAATCCAACTCCGCTCCTGGAGAGTGTACTCATCCGAGTTACTCCACCGTCTAGGATACCGCAAGAGACTAGCCCACTGCCCGAAGGATTCATCCAGCGGGTTTCTCCTCGACTTACACATGTGGATTTGTACGGTTGGAGCCCGTCCTTCGACTCCCCTGTGTTTTCCAGCCTAACTCGACTTCGGATTGATGTCGGGCCGGATATCAACTACTACTTCAACACCACCCCGAAAGGTCTCGTCCCAGAAGGCGACATCTTCCGGGCAATCTCCAGAATGCCTGGACTGGTGGAGTTGTCATTGGCACTACCTTCCCCCGTCATCAAACAATCACCTTCCAGGGCACGAATCGAGCCCATTCGACTGGCCCACCTTAAAGCTTTGTCGATCAAGACTACCTGCGAGAGCTGCGCGGTACTGCTAGCTCATCTCATGCTCCCCGCTTCACTGAACCTCGAAGTTCAGTGTTTCGACAGCAACGAGGAATCGATTAACATGCTTTGTAAAGCACTCTGTTCCTCCTGGTTCTCTACTCCGCTCGAATCGACGAAATGCCCACCCATGGATTTTCCCATCCGATGTCTGAATATCGATAAGGCCGACCTGCATTCCTTTGGCGTCACCGGCTGGACCTCGAAACACGGCGACCCGTTCCTCTCGTTAGAAATGATGGTTTACTCTGCGATACGGGGTCCCAGTACCACATTGTCGCTATCTGATATCCAAATGCTTGTGTCCGGGCTTCCGCTGAATCAACTGCGCTACATGAAAGCCGCCGGCATTATGGGTTGCGATGCAGAGCATTACAAGTGCTCCTGTCTCGACCATTCCCGGAACTGAGGACGCTTTACCTCGACAATGATAGCACACTAGCATGGCTACACCTTCTTCAAGACCGCGAGAGCGATTCCGATGCCTCTCAAGCACCTTTCCCTTCCCTTGCGTATCTTCCTTTGACGAACGCGTGGTTTCAAACATTGCCCTTTCTTCAAACAACCATTCCCCCCAAGCTATTTACTCAGCTGCTCGAGCGCAGAGCGACGGGTGGTAATCCACTCAAAGAACTCCGACTCGAATGTTGTTATGATATTCCGAAATTGGAGATGAAGAGGTGGAAGGAAATCGTTGGCAGGGTTATCGTGGTGTCACCATTCTATCGGCGCAGCGATAGCAATAAAGTACCTGACGACGTGGAGACCGAGGCGACTAAGGTCGACGAGGGCGACATGGAAGAGGGCGGTTGGTCTCTGTACATCGACTCCGAGTGTGAGTGACTCGTGAGTTGGCACTGGCAAATGGTACGTGATTCTCTGCATTGGACATTGTCCTTTTCTGATTCAACTTCGTGGGGTCAAGTCAAGACGTACTTTACAGTGTTCCCTTCTTGGATTCATGAGATACCCCAGTCCTCTTTCCTGTTTCCGTTACCTAAATCACGCTTCCGAGGTTCATCAGCGACATTATCTCGAACTCGAGCAAACTGGTAGTATAATTAGAACGCGTATGTAATTCTGTCACTGCACTAATTCAATGTGTTGTTCACCATCGTCCATCAGTTCATACTGCTCCAGTGCTCATCAGTTGTCGATACAAATTTCACGAGCAGATTTCTCCATTCAAAAATTGGAAATGGTATGCTTTTTGCACCCTCTCTTACCTTCAATACACCCCCGTCGGGCCATGATTACTCATTCAGTTCCATTTTGAGCTGTGGAACTTGAGATGAACCTTTTGTTCGTTGGTCGTTGCATGGACCTCGAAAGCCATTTCCCCATTTCCTTATCTACTCTGATGGGTGGAACACTTTCAGGTTTAAATTTACCGCTATCGATCACGAACGCTGACACCTTGAAACGCGATTTTCGATGATGCATTTATGACATACCCCATCCCGCCTCCCTAAAAGCGTTGAGACCCGTTCTCCCCAAGCTACATTTAAGCGAATGTCTTAGGGGATGGTGCGACCATTCCATTCCATCCCTACCCGTTATGACTTCTCTTGAAGTGTTTGCGCAAATGATAAAGGGTGACATTGTCACCCCGGCCGACCCCTCTTATCCCGCTTCCCTTGTCCGCTGGGCGAAGAATGCGGAGTGCAAGGCCAGGGTTGTCGTCAAGGACGCGGAAGACGTAGCCAGGTCGATTGCTTATGCCAAAGAGCATAATCTCCTTTTTGCCATCCACGGAGGTGGTCATAACGCCTCTGGTGCCTCGTCTGCGGAAGATGGCCTTGTCGTCGATTTGTCCCGTTACTTTGCTGGCGTGCGCGTCGATTCTGAGAAGCGCCTCGCGTACATCGGCGGAGGTGCTATTTGGAAAACAGTGGATGAAGCTGCCATTGAATATGGCTTGGCCACTGTTGGTGGAACTGTTCACAACGTATGTTTCCCTGGCTCTCGTTCAATCAGTATGCACAACTGAGTGATGACGTGACATAGACTGGTGTTGGAGGGTGCGTATACCCCGCCTCATCGTCATATGACAGCCCCGGCTGACTATACCTCTCTTCTTTCTAGGCTAACCCTTGGTGGAGGGTATGGTTATCTCAGCGGAAGGCATGGCTTGACGATCGACAACTTTGAGCAGGTAAGATATCTAAAGTCCAGGACAGTGACGCAAGCTAAAAATAGCGATGTAGGCCACCCTAGTTCTCGCGGACGGATCAGTTGTTACTGCTAGCGAGACCGAGAACTCAGACCTCTTCTGGGGAATACGAGGCGGAGGCTCCAACTTTGGCGTTGTCACAGAGTTTGTTCTCAGACTCCATCCCCAGCGGAAGACCGTGTTTGCGGGGATATCCATTTTCAACATGAATCAGGTAGAGCAGCTCGTGAAGGTTACTCTTGAATGGGCGAGAACAGTCCACGAAGATGAGGTTATTTTCCATCTAGCTGGCACTGACGACGTTGGTGAGCTCGAGCTGTCGTCACTATCCGACTCGGAACCAATGCTCAATGCTCAACTTGCAGGGAACCCCATGCTTCCTGTTCTTTTCTTCTACAATGGGAACGAGCAAGAGGGAAGAGAGAGGTTCAAAGACTTCTTCGCAATTGGTGAGTTCTCTATCTGCACGCATTGTCCCTTCTCCTGAGTACTATTCCACAGGCCCTGTCGTTGATGGGACGAAGGAGATACCCTACGAGAAATTGAACGCAATCCTGGTGAGTAGCCACTGCTACAGAGATGTATTCTGGGGCTTACCTCACTAACATTTCAGACCCCTATGGTTCCCCACGGCAAAGGCCGCTATCTCAGAGCTATCGGGCACAAAGAACCCGATCTGACTAGCACACTCTTGTTCCTCCAGAAGGCCTCCGAGATTACGAAGCAGGGTACATTCAAGCTTCTGGCATTGCACGAGTATCGCTCCAATGCGAAAATTAACTCCGTTCCGATGGAGGGTACGGCGTTTCGCCGAACCCCCGCTCAAAGCATATTCTTCTTTGCGACTTGGGACAAGCCGACAGGGGATCAAACCGAGCTCAGCAAAAAAGCGAGACAGCTCATCGACGAAGCTATAAACGAGTGTTTCCTCTCGAAGACCCTCAAAATGGGTATGTCTGAAGAGTACGATGTGGCAGGATATGCGAACGTAGGTGAGTGGCTGACCGAGCGTCTAGATCGGCGCTAATTCGTTGAATTGCAGAGATGATACACGAGCGTAATGACGTGGCAAGAGTTCGTGCCAGCTTTGGAGAGAACTTTCCGAGGCTTCAAGAGGTCAAGAAGAAGTACGATCCGGAGGCCTTCTTCAACCGATGGTGCCCTATCCCTCTTCCATGAGTCCGGTCAAGCTATTCTCGCTCCATGCAGAGGTTAATAGTCCATGGGAAAAATAAATGTCGTGTTCTAGATGCTCTCGCTTTGAGATTACTGAATACAGGTTCCGACTACTGAATCCAGTTAGTCTCTGCCTGTCAAGTACCAGATGCATAGTGAAGGGTTACTAATTCCGCCACTGTCATAAGGCGGGTCTGCTGCCTCCGTACAGTCTATGTATAAGAGAATGGTATTAGAGTCGATCGTCCTTCACTATCCCTCGCCTGAGGCACCATCATGACATCCTTCGAGACCTTCGTTCAACTCATCAAAGGCGATATCATTACCCCTTCTCACAGCGAGTACTCGGCATCAATCGCTCGCTGGGCGAAGAACGCTGAGCGCAAGGCGAGGTTGGTTATATACGTCAAAGACGCGGAAGACATAGCAACTTGCATCGCCTACGCCAGAGAGCACAAGCTCTTATTTGCGATTCGTGGAGGAGGGCACAGTCCCTCAGGCTGTTCTTCTGCAGAGGACGGAATGGTCGTCGATCTATCGCGGTATCTTGCAGGAGTGCGCGTCGACCCAGAGAGAAGGCTCGCGTACGTCGGCGGAGGGGCCATCTGGAAGACAGTTGACGAAGCTGCCATCGAATACGGTCTGGCCACCGTTGGTGGAACGGATAATACAGTATGTCAATCATCTGTCGGTCAGTGCCACTGGGCTAACTATCCTCAACAGACTGGAGTTGGAGGGTTGGTAACACTCGTTTTATCTCCTCGGATATCTTCACTCAATTATTACCATGTCAGGCTCACTCTTGGTGGAGGCTATGGATATCTTAGCGGACGGCACGGTTTAACCATCGACAATTTGGAGCAGGTACACATCAGTTCATGAAAACCAGTTTCCTGCTCATCAGTATTATGGCAGGTTACACTAGTACTAGCAGATGGATCCGTCTCTGTCGGGAATGAGGTGGAGAACCCTGACCTCTTCTGGGCCATCCGAGGAGGAGGTTCCAACTTTGGGGTGGCAACCGAACTCGTTCTTCGGTTGCATCCTCAGAGACGGACCGTCTTTGCGGGATTAGCTACCTTCCCTGGCCATAGGCTAGGACAGTTAATTGGGACAACGAAACGATGGTTGAAGACAATCCACGAGGATGAGGTCGTTTTCCAAATGTGGAGGACTGACAAGACCGGTGAGCCTCCTCCGAGTCGGGTGATGGCAAAGTCGCATTTTAACTATGAAATTGCAAGGGGCTCATTTACTCCCTATGCTATTCTTTTATAATGGAAGTGAGGAGGCAGGACGAGAGAGGTTCAAAGAATTTTTTGAACTGGGTAGAGCGCGCTATTCGCTCCTTCATGTCTCTCCGCCAACACTGACGTTTTACCAGGTCCCATCGTAGACAAAGCGAAAGAAATCCCTTACGAGGAACTGAACGCGATCATAGTAAGTAGACATCCCTGCTTAGTGTTAATCGGTCTCTGAAGGCTAAGTGAACCAGCCTTCAATGGTTCCCCATGGAAAAGGTCGCTATCTTCGAGCCATTGGACACAAGGAACCCGACCTGGCCAGCACAGCCCATCTCTTCGCTAAGATCCTTCAAGTTACGAAGTCATCAGAAATCCATATCATGCCTTTGCATGAATACCGCTCAACTGCAAAGATCAATTCCGTGCCCATGGATTGTATGGCATTCCGGAGGACACGCACTAACAGCATCCTCTTCATAACAACATGGGACCAGCTGATCGAGGACCAAGCCGAGTTGACGAACAAGGCCAGGCAATTGATCACTGAAGTAGTCGATGAGTGCTACATACCCAAGAAACTCGAAACTAGGTCGCCGGGGGAAGTGGATCCCGTCGGGTACTCAAATGCAGGTGAGAGTAAGAGAGCCGTCCCGTATCGACTGAACGCTGAAGAGTACTTTCCTCGGTCAGAAATGGTTCACGAGAACGGGAATATAGAGCGGGCCCGCGCTGTATTTGGATCCAATTTGCCCAGGCTTCAAGAATTGAAGAAACGGTACGACCCCGAGGCGTTCTTCAATCGTTGGTGCCCTATACCGCTTCCCTAGGCGAGCACACACTGCGCCTTCGACAGATATATACATTGGCCTCGACCCGGAGAACAGATACAAGACAGCACATGCCTGCTCGATAGATCGCACGGATACACTATATACAGTTCCAAATTTAGGTTCTGCCTTCGTTCAGTCTTGCACAGTCCAAAAGCTGGGGAAAATCCCACCAAGGTCATCTAGGTACCAAATATTAGCAGCCGACTTCTTCTTTCCTTTCTTCTTCTTCGCCGGGGGTGGCTCGTCGGATTTCTCCTTAGGTTTCCTGACGATCTGAACCCAAGTCCCCGCGATAGCCATGCCCTTTGCGTTTTGTAGCTTTTCAAAAATAGAGGGCTCGACGAAGATGGTGATGTCGTCGTTTCCCGGGTCATGTTTCTTGACTTCTCCAGGTGCGAGTTTAGGAGCTTCCTCGGAGGCATCTCGAGCCGTGAACGGCGGTTCGACTACCGGTCCATTAGAGGTATCGAGAATGGTGGGAGATGAATAGACTGGCATCTCGCCACCATCCCAGTTAAGCCACGGAGTGAGAACGACCTTGGGGTAAGCTCTCTCCAGCGTAGCCTCGATGTCCGCAGCATCAGGAACCGCCCCATCAACGGGTTCGGCGGGTGGAGGAAGATTGGCTGGGATGGGCAACAGGTTCTTGATCCTCCGAAGAGATCGCTCGACGATGCCAGTAGTATGAGTCTGACCGATGGCATCAGGTAGCACGACCTTGGGGCTCGAGTCTTCCTCCACCGTCATCCAAGAGTTCAGTGCACCATCCTCACCTCCTGTTTCACCCCATCCACCGCCGGATTCAGGCGCTCCCCATCCACCGCTACCCCATCCGCCGGAAGCCTCGTTTCCTGAAGTTTCGTCGGTGGCGCCCCACGGACTTGGAACCCAGCCTTCAGAGGTGGTGTCCAAAAGCTGCGGCGCTTCCGGTGCACCATCCTGCTGCTCTCCCTCTGGAGCACCTTCGACCACTTCGGTTATCTTACTCGGCTCCTCAAGGCTCGCCAGAAACTCTGCATCGTGCTCGACGGACCTGTAGCCCTCTGCTTTCCTTCCCCACACTGCTTGACACGCCTTTCCAAAAGGCTCTGGACTGAGATCAGCGCCAAGATCGAACGCCAGAGGCAATTCGATGAAAGCCTGGTTGGCTACATCCAACGCCAAACGGAAGCCAGTCTCGGATTCGGGGAAGACACGAGACCGGATGAGGAATTGGAGGAAGAACTGCATGAGGCGAGGCATTTGGGTGAGGTTGATCGCAGACCTTCCAGGCTTGGGTCAACCATCCGTTGTCCAAAGTACGATTGGGCAACTTACCAGATGATGCCCTTTGCTCGCGCATACGACGAGAGGAAGATCTTGGTCGATTCCACTGGGTCCTTAATGAACGCTACTGTCTTCTTGTCCTTGCCTACCACAAGATTGTTATCCCCATCCCCATCCTCCCCATCCTCGTCCGAGAAATCACTGTCATGGTCAAGTTCCCGAAAGACCTTGGGTTTCTTCTTCTTGCCGACTGGAATGCTCACAATTCCCAAGTAACTCTCAAACTACCATACACATCGTCAGATCGCTATTCTCTTTTCCCAAGGGAACAGTCTGAACACAACATTGACGCACCTTCGACCAAATATACGCGGGATCAGTTTGTTGTCCAATACCAGCCGGCCAAGGTCGTCCACTCTTAAAGTCTGAAGCGGCAGCGAGCAACTTTTGCACCCTCGATTCCTTCCTACAACCCCCCACAAGAACCAACCACAAAATCAGCAACCGCCACAAGCCCAATAATGCCCTTAAAGAAAACTCACGAATTAAGATTCTTCACCCTCCTCCCTTCCTCTGACACCTCCCAATGCTCCCACCAAGGCAACCCTCCACGTCCCCCCAACCGCTCCTTATCCCTCGCAGCCTCCTCCCTCCTCCTCTTCCTCTTCGTATTCGTCTTGCACCTATCCGTATCATGCACCTTGGGCAAGGCGACCGTGGGCACACCCAGCGTATCCACCTCCAACTCCTCCGGATCGTCAGCTCGCGGCTCGACGCAGATACCTCGCTCCTTAAACTCTTTGAACGGGATCAGTTTGGCTTTCACCTCGGCTGAGATGATAAAGTCCCGCGGGAAGGTTAATCGGTGGCCATCAGATGAGGATTTGGCCTTTGCGTTTGGGTTTGGGTTCGCGTTGGGTTTAACCTGTTTACTTGATGTCACTTGGACAGAGAACGGCTTATGAGTGGAATCGGGTGGGCCATCCGGCGATGTTTGCTGTGCGCTAGCAGTAGTAGCGGCGACGGCTGGCTGAGGCTGAACATCAGCCATGACAATGTCTTCGTTCGACGGCGATGTCGTTGTCATGGTTGAGATTCAGAAAGGATGAAGAAGAAGAGGAGAGAAGGGTCCGCAGCCCCTTTATGCGACGTGACGCGTTCAAGCTCAGCCCGGATATCGCCGCGCGATCGTGGGCGCCTAAATTCAATTGGCTTTGGCTTTGAGCTTCTATCGATCGCAGTTGCGCAGCTGAGGGGCTTCGAATGACGCGTCCCATTGCTCATCTCGAAACTTCTAGCGTGGCATGAGAGAACGGAAGATGGGGTATCACTTGTTCGTCGAGAATATGTTGTTTTTGGGCTAGTGGCTAGAAAGAGTTGAAAATAAATCACGTAAAAGAAATTGAAAAAAGAAAGGATGAAAATGGACAAGAGACGGTGGGTTTTCATGTCGCAGTCTGAGCCTGTCGCATACATACGAAAGAGCTGGATACACATAAAGTTCATCACTGAAAGAAAAAACCATAGAAAGTGTTGAAGAAAAGGACAAGACCATACATTCCAAGATGAGAAAAACAAAAAGCGAGAAAAAAAGAAAGTCCCGGGACAAGGAACGTGGAAGTATGGATAGTGTCAAAAGTTCTAGAGAAAGCAAGGAAACAATAGGATTAATATTTGAAAACGTTGAACCTGAACCTTGAAGAAGAAAGACATCAATCAATGAACGTGAAGAATGGGGTAGTAGAGAGAATAAAGTTAGGTGCTGGTGGAAGAAAAAAACAGACGGAAAAAAGGATAAAGGAAAACGTGGAATGGATATACTTCGTAAATGAATCATAACGACAACAACAAAAACCACACCCATACACAACTCAATACGTCCCACTATACTGCATCCCAACAGGCGCCATAAAGCTACCCGCCTGCACCGAGCTCCCCACCGACATCGCCAACGCACGCCTCTTGTCCTCCCATGCCTTCAGCGCCTTCACAAGCTGCAACACCTTATCCCTCTTCCCCTGCCTCACATCATTGATACTCACACTCCCCATCTTCACATCGTTATCCAACAGGAAGTCGAACAGCTTGAAGAGTCCGTCCAATTTATCGTCAGACGGGTCGGAGGGGAAGGCGGAATCGGGAACAGGAGGAGAAGCAGGTTTGCCTTTGATGGATTCAGCGATGCGGAGGAGGGCGAGACCAGTGAAGAGAGGCCCAGTAGGATCATAAACCTGCAGCGAAGTGGGAAGATGAGAATTAGCCCAATCAATCAAGTTCTCATCAGCCGAAGTCATCTACACCTCCAATCAGCACAAAATCCCACATCGCAATAAAAAACCTAACGACGCACCGTAGACCGTATCGAATTCCCCCTCCTCAGCTCTCTCGAAGGTCTCGGAGGCGCATTTGCCGCTCTCGGCGTCGTCACCGGACTCAACCCCCCATTCGCACTCGAAGCGTTGCCGTTACCAGCAGCAGAATCATCTGCAAAGAAAGAGTGAACATTCTTTCGATCTTCGCCAGTGCCAGGAAGACCCATCAACACACGGGCATCGCGACTAGACAACTGATGCGGGTTCTCTCGTCGGAGCGCTTTCTGTGTGGCGTCTCGGGCGGTCGGAGAGGGCGGGCGTGGGGCGGGGTTCATCGCTTGTGCGACGACCAGCGGGATGGTAGGGATGTTGCAAGAGGAGACAACGGGTTCTAGAGGGAAAAACGATTAGCCTTGGACGAGGAGACAGTGAAAAAGAGCAAGCGCACTGGTATAATCCCGACCAATAGTAGCCTTCATAATCGCCTTCATCCACTCCCGGATCACACCCTTCTCATCCGAGCTGAAATAATGGGTCTTGTCTTGATCATGATCAATCCTGAACCCATATCTCCCCGGTCCCAAATTCTCATCCACAGTAACCTTGTACCCATGGATGTTGACGTATCCCTTCAACCTCGTTTCCTACACCAAACGAATCAGCGCCCGCTCACCCTGAGAAATAAAAGAAAAGAAGACTTACACTCTTACTATTATTCCTCAAGATATACAAATGTTCCCCCTTCAACACACAATACCTCAACTTCCACGAATTATACCTAACCCCCTTCTTCCTCATCCACCCAGTATGATCAGGTTCACCAACCTGCTCAAGGATACTCAAGCCTTGCTTGATATCACCAGTGGGATCACTCGCTCCAGGGTCCCTGTCCCCACTACCACCAGCACCTCCACTCGCACTCCCGCTCCCATTCTGCCCACCACCAGAAGGCCCAGAAATCGTCCTCTTCCTCAACATCGCCCGTTCCCTCTCATGCGACGTCCGCTCACCACTCGTCCGCTTCTCGTGATGATGATGGTCAAACGATTGTTTCTTCCTCAGGTCGGGAATGACGGAGAAGCTGCTGGTCGTGGTCATAGCAGATACACTGCGATTCTTGCCGGTACTCGAGTCTTTGGCGGTGTCGGAGGTGGTGGCTTTGGGAGAACCAGAGGGTGTAGATGGTCGGTTGGAAGATGATTTACGGACGCTGGTGGAGTGGAGGCGACTGAACACGGAAGAAGACTTGCTGTCCGCGATGGTATCCTCACTATAACAGGCGTCAGCACACCCCATCCTTCAAAATGCGCAGGGCATACCTGGGTGGAGGCTTCCTCCCTTTACCCAACGTCCCACCAAACGTATTCCCAAAGATACTAAGCCGATTACTGTCCGTCTTATCCAAACTCTTCTTACTCTTATGACGCGTCGAAGCAGTCGTACTTGACGTCGTAGACTCCTTATCCTTCTCATTCTGAGAAGGCGAAGGAGCAGGCGAGACATGGCCGTCCTTGGAGTTGCGCGAAGAGTGGGATACCGAGAGCGAGGAATCTTGCGAGCGGCCAAAGAGGCGGCGGCGGACGCTGTTGGAAGGTGCAACTGCTTCGCCCTACAGAGATGAGGGTTAACATTTTAACCCAATCGCGAAGAGGAGAGAAGACATACGTCACTCATATGAGCCCGATCTTCATCCTCGTTACTCCTCGCCGAAGTATCAATAATAACCTTGCTCTTCAAGTTACCATCGCTAGGCGAGAGCATCAAATGCGCGGGTCTTCCCTTCTGCTACAGTATCCCAATTCCGTCAGTCCTACCCATACCAACAGAAGAACCAACACGAACCTTATCACCCGCATCCGGGCCCATCCCATCAATCCCCAACCCAACACCCATACCAGCAACAGCACCAGAGGCCGCAATCGCATTTGCAACCGCACCCTGCGGATGATGGCTATACGCAAGACTATCCGACGGAGCAGACATCGGCAACCCCGAGATCCCACCATTCGGTCCATAGCCGATAGGACTGGGCAACGAACCCTGGGGTGTACCAGGGTACGAATGTACCGAATGACCGTGACTGTGCGATCTCACATGTGCTTGCGCGCCAGCGCCGACTACAGCGGCACCCATAGAGAACGAATGCTGGATATGCGCATGGGATTGTTGTTGCTGGAGGTGGTGGTGCAGGATCGCCGATGGCGCGCTGGTAGCTTGCGAAATGGACGAATCGATGGAAGGTTCGAAAGAGTTGATAGACGCTGGACGGCGGAGGTCGCTAATGGCGTTGGCGATGCGCACGCGTTTGCCGAATGCCATGATACCGATTTCTGTCTTGAGTAAATTGGTGTCGAGCTCGAGGAGGACGTCGCCGGTAATCTCTTGCTCTGTAACAAATAGTTAGGTTGGAAAAGGAAGATAGAGAAAGAGCGCACCAATGAACTTGTCGCATACGTCCTGGTCGAAACCTTTGCTCTTGAGCCACTCGACGACTTCGTCGAGTGTCCATTCATTTGGAGGTTTCTTGTCCTTCTTCTCGGATGCAGAGGTGGATTCCTGAGGCGAGGTAGGGTTGGTGGAGACGCTCTGTCCGCTGACGGACGTAGACGAGGTATCCTGGAAAGGCGGGGTGACATGGAAGCCCGATGCATGAGCCGAAGCGGCAGGCGAAGGCAAACTACTCAGAGGCTGGCTAATGGGAGTGGGAGCACTGCTGCGTTTGGATTCAGAGGGCGTGGGCGTCTGTTCTTCCATAGAAGGCACGCTTAACGTCTTCTCAACCTGCGGTGGCTGCGGAGGGGGAGTGAATGTAATCTGGGTCGCCGTCGACGGTTCATGCTCTTCCTTCTGAGGTGCAGTGATGGTCTGGGCAGATGGCTCTTCCTTGTGGTCGACCTTGGGTTCAGTGGCATCCTCCTCGTCCTCCTCCGGAATGTGCGGATGAGTGCGAGTAAAGTTGGTCGACCTCGTAGTAAAATCAACATCGCCTTCATCCTCACTCTCGTCGCTGAGCTCGACATCGATAGGCGGAGCCGTCGACCTCTCAGAGGCCATCATAGCCTCAAGCCTCTCCGCATCCTCCACAGCCTGCCTCGCCTTCTCGGCCAGTTTCCGGCGAGCACCTTTATGCCAATCCTCACCCTCGGTAGTGTCGTGCCCATCCATATCGCTCAAGTCAAAGTCGGTGTCGGTCTCACCGCCGTCGCGGGTACTCGCAAAGCTGAAACTTCGGCCGCCGTCTGGGTCCACTCGGTTCCGCCCCAGCTGTTCGATGGCCTTTTGGACGTCGGTCATAGTCGCCTTCATCATCTCGCCGTCTCCACCTGTGCGTGGTTCTGCGAGCGAGTCGGCGTCACTCTCATGGCCATTGAGGAAGGAGGCTGGCGGCTGCCTGGGAACAGGAGATACAATGTCGGACGGTTTGGAGATGGGTGATTCGCTTTCCGACTCTTCTTGTAAAGGCTGGAGGACGGTACTCGTTATCGCCGACGACGTCGGGCCTGGTGTATTCGAAGCGCTTGAATCGTCTGAAGCACCGTTCGTGGTTGGAGGTGCTGGAGTTGTGTAGCTCTGAGGGAAGAGTCCGACCTTTCCTGCAAGATTGCGGCCCTGTCGAGACAATTAAAAGGAATAAAAAAAGGGGTGAGAGGACAGGGACCTGCCTGCCACCAGCCATCGCCGTACAAATCGTCCTTTTCTACAACCTCGATTCGCTCGCCGGCGCGGAATTCGACCTCGTCTTCATTCTCCGGGATAAAGTCGTGGAGGGCGTACACGTATTCAGGCGCCATGGTGTACTACTATGAGCCCCCTGGCTGGACAGGAGCCTGGAATTTAGAGTCGTCGACGCTGTAAACTGAGGTGTCGAATAAACCACGTCGTCGTCGAAGGAGAGTGCGGGGACAAAAGATGCCGGCGTTGTGTCCCCAGGGTTTGGCTTCGAATTCGCTGAAACCACGGGATATGCGCAGCTCAATTAAAATAGCCTGATTTTCGTCCGAATATTGGTTCTGATGGGTTCTTTTCAAGTCGTCGTCGCTGGGGCGTCAGGTCAAGTGTTGAGAGGTTTGTAAAGTCGTGAGAGGTCGTTAATAAGGACGTTGACTGTCGACGGGAAATGAAAGAGTCCCGAGTTGAGCAAAGGCAGGACGGGGCATCGCCATCACGCAATCATCCTTTGCTCATCGCCACACGTGTCCCACTCGCTCCTTATTTACCGCTCCATCACCGCCAACGCCGTTCCTTATTCTGAATCTTAGACTCTGTCGCCCAACGACGCGACACGACGCAAGCTCGCGAAATGTCAAACGTCGCCCTGACCCTGATTATCACGGCTTCGGCTTCTCCCAGAGCTAATTTCGACGTCTCGCTAACATCCTTTGTCTAATCACGAGGCGACTCCAAATTGCCTTTAAACTTCAAGAACGAGAGGTCCTGTCCCTCTGTCCTCAACCATGGCGCACCCAGTGGTCTGGTCGAAGAAAATCTACTTTTATCCAACGGGCAACACCCCAGCCACGTCGTTAACCCAGAACCTGGCTCCAGAGGAAGATGCAAAGATCTTGGTGCTTGGATGCGGAGACGCGAGGAGCGTGCTCTACACGATCCACGCTGACCAGCGCGTTGGTGGTACGTCCTTTGGCATACATGTCTGAGGAATATGTTCTGACCTCTGGCTAGACTTTATCAGGCCGCTAGATTTCACGTTCTGCGACCACGAAGCCGCTGTCCTCGGTATGCCTTTCACTGACAGAAAGAGCGACCCCTGACTAAATCGCGCAGCCCGAAACATTATACTGTACACCTTGCTCATCGACGGCAACACCGACGACGCCAAACTGTGGAACATCTACTTTCACGTCTTCATCGACCCATCCTCCCTCGCCCTCCTCCAATCCCAATCCCGCAAACTCCTCGGCCTCTCACAGTCTCTCGAATCATGGTCCTCCTCCCCTTATGGCTCCATCATCAAAATCTGCACCCTCGACACCCTCACAAACGTTCGAGTATTCTGGTCAAAATACACAATGTCAGATCTCACCCCCGCCCAACAAACCCAACTGAAAGACAAGTTCTCCAAAGCAATGAAAGATAACAGTATGGGGAGGTTCCAACCGGGAACCCGGAACCTCAGCGCAACACGCTCCGCGGGTCCTCTAGCACCGATGATTCTCGAAATGGGCGCAGAGCATTTCAAACATTATTGGAAGACCGGATTGGCTGCTGTACCCAACTCGCCTTTGGCGATTCGCGAAGCTACGCAGGTCAACCCTTCCTTTGTCTACTCGGGAGCGGGAGATGTGTTTAATGTGCATTATGGTACCGACCCGATTCTCTGTTTCCATCTCGCAGCTGCACTTGCGCCTATCGAGGGAGATGCCAACACGCCAGTCAAGGAAGGCGATCTTGAGGGAGTGGTAGCTGCTATACAGGGCCAATTCAAAGCATGGTGCCGCTCTTTTATGGACCGCGCCTCAAAGGGCAACCTCACCATGCGATTCTTCACCGGAGACGCTCTATCCTTCTGCAAAGCCCTCCAATACCGTTCCGAGACAGGCCACCTCTCGACTCCAGAGTACGCAAGAATATGGGGTGGAGCAACGATCAACTTTACCTCCGACTACGAGGCCACCAACACCACCCGCGCACCCTTGCGGTTCAACGTCATCGAATCATCCAATCTGGCAGATCACGTCGAGATGCTCAACCTCCTCCTCGTCGCCTCTCCGCTTCTCATCAGGTCCCACACATCCGTCCTGCACACCAACACCCTCGTCTCATCCAACGACGGTCAGTCGCCAGCCTTGAACAAGATGGTGCTGGACCTCCCGTTGGTCTCGACGATCATCGGCCTCATCCCCGAACGCCACCTCTCCGAGTCGACATTCCATTCCTTCGACAGCGAGATGATGATGTCGTTGTTGACGGCGGACTCGACAGGTCCCAAGCAGCTGCATGAATCAAATATCTGGCGGGTTCCCTACGCACTCCAGCCTCCGACTCTCCGACATGGACTATCCATCCCCGAAGCAGACCTCGCCCACATCCTCTTCAATGCGTACTTGAAGATGTTCTCAGACGAGAGTCCGAACGACTTGGTGAAGAGTTTGACTGGCTTACGAGGGAATTCTGGTGGAAGACCAACTACGAGGGTCCTCAGCCTCTTACACCATACACGTGAATCCTTCGCCCGACTCCTCTCCTCTATCCAATCCATCTATACAGGAGGAAACTGGGATACAGTCCTCAACAAATTCATCGGTCTTGTGCAATCAGACCGCACCCTCATCGTCGGGATGAACAACTTCCAGGATCTGACGTGCTACTTTGAGCTGCTAGGCGTCGACGCCGAAGGTCGGTTCATACCCAGCCCTTCGGAGATTACGAGTATCCAAGGCGACACCAGTCTAAGTTGGAACTTTGGCCGATGGAGCGGCCCCGTCCCCAAGATCGTCTGCGTCGTGCTTGTGGTTCCGAGGGCGAAGCTGAGGGTGGCGGAGGGTATAGACATCACGCCGACCCTCCACTGCGAAACTGCTGTAGGCGAGGTGGTGAATAACATGCATTCGGGTTTCCAGCCTGTGTTCGGACGTATCGAGGTTCTCAACAGCAACCACTCGCCAGACCAACGTCGGATTGTAATCCACGAAGACCCAAAGGGATGGTCTGGTTCGAGCGATCTCATATGCCACTTTTACGCTCCTGCGCATATCTTTGTGCACGGTCCACCCGAGCAGACTGAGATTTCGCTACACATTCGCAACTCGATGGCGGCTGTGGGCGCGGGTGTGACGAGGCTTTTGGGGCCGTTGATGTGTATTTTCAAGACGACGTTGGCGGATGGGAGGAGGGCGATGTTGGTCAAGGAGAGACCGAGGATTGTGGAGGAGCACCGTCGATTTGATGAGGTTGCTAGACTGATTGAACTTGGAGCGGTGGTCAGAGATGGGGAGAAGAAGGATGCGGTATTCAAGTTTACGGGTGGAGTGACGTCTTCGATTGTTATGAGGTGGAATGTTGAGGATGAGGGAGCGAAAGAGCTGTTGAGGGATAGGAAGACGGAGGTGTACACGAACGTCGAGTCCAACACTGCTGTTCATGTTGGGTTTAATGGACACGAGGAAGGTGATGAACGGTGGTTTGGAACGGAGCTGTACTTCCCTTTCCCTGTCAACGTCGGTTCTCTGTCTACTAGGATTGCACGCAAGTCTTCTTACATCGAGGTTCGTCCCGTTTCGATCGGACCATGTATGCTGCTGACATGCCCCCCAGGTCGAAGGCCGTATCATCTACGAACCCAACACTGACCCGGAGCACACCCTCTTCCCCGTAATCTACGACAAATCCGATGGCCTCGTCAAATCCCTCAACATGCACCACCTCAACCTCAGCTCCCTCCCCAAACTCCAAACGCCACTCACCCCTACACCCACCGCGCTCCGAAGTATGCTCAACAACCACCTAGGTCTCACCCTCTCCTCCACCGAGCGGCGCAGCAGGACCCTCCCCGCCGACCAACGTACCGGGTTATTCCATCTCAAAGAAAGCATCGCCAACATCTTCATGCGAATGTTATGGGACAACAAGAACCAACCCTCCGCTTTCTCGTTGACATCATCCGAGGACGGGCACTGGGCGTTCATCTTTGTCGATTCAGTCCGGCTAGACGTGGTGGGGAACACCCTCGTCGCCGACGCGTGCATCTTCCCTCTCACGATGGAGATCATGACCAAACACACCGGTCTGTTCTTTGACACGATGCAGACATTCCAGTCGTCCATTCGACAACTTACTACACCGGAATCGGAGGTGGAGTGTTGGAAGAGGGTTTTACCGAGCCTCGTCGAGCGCGCGCGGACGTGGCAGCACAAACCGTCATGCGAGTATAAACCCGGTCAAGGGGAGTTCGGGGGCGGAGGGCAGGTCCCGCGCTCAACGATGTTAGGCTTCAACCCGATTTGCTCGTGCGGGGAGGGTGTGGATTTGGGTGGGTTTGGTGTGAACGGCGAAGAGTCGAAAAAGTGGAAGCCGTTTGGGAGGTGGGTTACGAGGATGGCGCTGGCTTCGCCGTTTCCGGCGTCGATGTTGGGGAGAGAGTTGGGTGAGTTTCGGGAAGCTTTGAGGAGGGGTGGGCCGGGTGAGCTCGAGCGTGTTGGAGAGAGGCCTTCTGCCTCCACTCCGGCCGTGTCGCAGAGTACTTCGGCAACGAAAACATCGGTCAAGAAGAATGGTCTTGCTGATAAGTGCTCAAGTTGTGGAGGGCCTGGTAAACCAAAGTTATCGGTGTGCTCTGGGTGTAAGAAGGCGGTGTATTGTTCGAGGGAGTGTCAAGCGAAGGAGTGGAAGAAGCATAAAGCTGTTTGTTCGAAGGCTTCAAAATGATTAGTGTTCAGAGTTGATATCATATCGCCTGCTCGTGTACTTTATTGCCATTCTCCTCACTTGAACGGTGTACTTGTAAAAACGCTCCGGGCTCTGAAGAGCAATGCAGTTCAAATTGGGTTAGACTGTCCAGGGGCAGCGTCCACCCACAACCCCGGTGTTATAGATGTGAGTCTCGGTAATAGTAGTCAGTCATTTGACGGATGGTATTCTCTGTGCACAGTAACAAGACAAGGGCATTACATTAAAGGTGAAAAAGGGGAACATGGATAAATATAGAAGTTGGAAATCCAAATGGGGTTGCCAAGGGGACATGTCGATCTCGATCAAGAGACCATCGTGCAAGCTTATTCCTATCCGGTCTCATCCCAAACATCATCTTGCTCTGCGCCCATGAAAAAGGGCTCTTTAATCTAGGTCAGAAAGTGGACTCCCGACGAATGGCTGACCATCTAAATCAATCGCGTCTACGAAGCGACCAAGCTCTTCTAGGTCTCTCAGGAAAAAGAGTCCGGGGCACCTCTCAATTCCCAGCTTCCACAACCTTTTCCCCATCTTCATTCGGTATTCCAAAGCTTTCTTTATGGCTAGTAACCGACGTGAGATGACGGAGGGCGGGATCGAAGAGAAATTGTGATCGATCATTACGATGGTGCGCAGGCTGGGGAAATAGAGCCGGGTGCGCGTCTCGTTGGCGGAGTGTCTAGAGTCCGCTTCGTGTCTGGGATGCCCTTGGTGGAGGATATTCCAGGGCTCGCTTTGCCACTGCCCTTGGTCAAGGTTGATCAGTTGCAGCCGTGGAAGGCGCCTGGCTGCCAGCAATCGCCACACCGGAGCCAGGGAAGGAGGTGGGTCAGTTGGAGTCGATGGCAGCCCCTGGCCAGGTCTTTCGACAACATCGAGGCGGGTCATTTTCCCCAATGGGGCGACCGTGAGCACTTCGCAGATGAGAGAGATGGAATCCGTCCGATTGAGCGCTGTGCTCGCAGTGAGGTTGAAGCGAGGTGTCTCAGGAACATCGCATGAACGAAAGCTGAAAGAGAAGACGGAGACGTCATTCCCATCTTTGTCATCTCCGCAACACATTTGCGGAGAACCGAGTACGACATGATGGAATGGGAACTTTGTGTGATATCTGGAGAGGGATAATTGCTTAGACAGGGGTTGCAGGAACCAGCATTCTGTTAACGCTGCACACAATGCGGCCATGGTAATACTATCGGCCTTTGAGACTACCATGGTAAAGATGAGTGCCACGGGGAGTCGTAGGTGGGCGAGAAGCCTAGCGCAAGCAACGCAATCGCCTGAAAGAACGAACTTTTGGAGTAACCCGAGGGAAGCGGGATATTGGTTCCGCTCTGCTGGAACTGTGGTTACTCGGGGGGCTGTGGATAATTCCAGAGAAAGCTCAGTCAGTCTTGAGAGCGCGGTCAGGGCATCCACAATGTGTCCTATCGAGAGGGCAAGCTGTGGTGCACCCCACCTAACAGAACGGGTGCCAATGGTAAGGCTGGTCAACCCCCTGAATGTTTGTAACGCCTTCCAATCAGGCACATATCCAATCAAGAAGAGTGTTTGAAGGTGGGGTGCATGTTCACCGAAGGAACTGGAGATGATGGGGCCTGTGGGTAACCCATATCTTGGGAATGGAATTTCGGACTCGAAGATCTTGACGTGGGCCAGGCGAGAGAGCGAGTGAGACATTGCCATTTGGCTGAGGAGCGTCTCGAGCTGTTGACCTTCGCCCCTAAGCGTAATCCTTTCTAAAAGATATCCTTGGCTGAAGGTCTCCTCGAGGAGTTCTAGGATTTTGGCGTCGGCTCCCACGATCGTCCCGCGACGGTCACGGTAAAGAGTGCGGAACGTCGACAAGTGCAAATCAACAAAATGGGCAAAGTCGATTTCGAGCGTTATCGGGACGTTTTTCGAGCGGGATATCGCGGTGGCAAGCCAGGAAGGCCCACAGAAATGGCTCCATGTAGACCAAAGAGACGCGCACTCCAACGCAATCAGTCTCCATCTACGACACACATGGGTGACCACAATCCATGATTTCATCTTCGCGTGCCAATCCTGCCGAAAGTCGTTATAGACGTCACGAGTGGAAGGAGGACGTTCCTCTGCACTTCTACGCAAAAGTCGGAAAACACGACGTAATACACCGTCTGGAAGGCGAGATACTGCTGTGAGTTGGCTACGCCGGATCTTAAGCTCGTAGATGCGGAGGTCCAAGGCATGTCGCTGAGACAGGAGAACAGCGAGTTGGTCATCCACTTCTCTACGGACTTGAAGGGCCATGTTCTGAGAAGTGATAGTTTTCTTCCCCTGCAAAGGGAGTCAGCAAGCCATGCATGCGCATTACCGAATCTGACCAGCCAAGGGAAGACGTACCTGGTGAGGTTGCGCGCACATCTGTGGCCCAGACATCTTAACGAACTTTGGCGCGTTGAAGGCGGCTTTCAAGGCTTTGTGGTATTTGAAAAGGTTACAAGTGGTGGGAAGAAAATCAGAACAGTACCCATGGTCAGCGGGGGCTTGTCGAGACCTTAAATAAACCCAGCTCTGGGTCAAGGGTTTCCAGGAATTCGTTCCACTGTCTTGCCATGGCAATTGAGATATGTCGGATAGACACCAACCGCGCGTTGTTCTGCGATCGAGAGGAATTCCAAGTCATAGTCTTGCGCTCGTGTTGCCTTTCTCCGCTTCTAGAACCACACCTAGGTGCCATCCATCCGGTTTGTTGCAGATGCCTCTTTCATCGACCATAATAATAAGAAGCTCTCTGCCAATAATCGCTATGGCCGTCAATACACCACCTCGATACAAATAGACCTCGACACCAATGAAGGCATCTTCCGTTTAAGATACGCCTCAAACGGCCTCGCAATCCACCCCTTCGTTCCAAACGTCCGAACGTCTACGACCACCTTTTTGATCTTGGGGTATCTCTGTGGACAAAGCAGCTGATCAAACTCTTCCCAATTTGCAAAGCTCTGGAAAGCCTGGGCGACTTCGGCGTTTGTCAGGACAGGGTTCACTGGGTAGAAGAAACTCTCCAGGTCGTAGAACACCCTCTTCGGTAGCAAGGTGAGCTGTTGAAGATTCGAAAGCGCTCGGATTATGGAGCAGAGGGTCGGGAGGTTAAAAGGGTATGGGTCGGGTGGGTTTCCAGTGGGATTGTGCCTTCGCAGTATTAAGAAGTCTTGATGTACCTCCAAGTGGGTGATCCGAGGACAAGGAGGTAGAAAGACTTCTTGTCCTTGGTATTCTGGTAGTCTACCGACGAAGATGCTAACTGAACAGGTCTCAGCGTTGCCCTCCGGGAGATTTTAATATATGTGTGAGACGCTCACCGTTAACTAAGATGAGGCGTTGCAAGTTATAAGCTTCCTTGAAAATTCCACCATAGTCTTGCGGACCCTCGTCCGGGATCGACGCTACTCCATACCAGAATCCTGGCGGTAAAGTTTTGATGGACTCGCTGAGCGGCTCTCGGATAATGAGGGTTTCCACATTGGCCAACGGACGGCACTCCGGCGGCAAACCTGAAAAATCGGGGGGCACCAGTGACTCTTGGTGCTCGTAGGATGCCAGGAGAAACAACCAAAGGTCTTCAAATAGGGAAACACCGGTCGTGTGTTCTGGGCGTTGTTACCAGTCCTAGATGAGCGAAACTCCACGTTTAAGGAAGAGATCGACGGGGAAAGGTCGCGTAACGAAAAGGACTCCGAACCGCTCCAACGTCTGAGTTCGAGTGAGCGCAGTCGACAATGCTTTAGGATATTGACCAGGCGATCGTTGTTGAGACTGAATTCCTCCAAGGAGAGGTCGAGCAGGTTCCCGCCCTCTGCAACTTTGTACAGAACGTTCAATGATGCGGTGCGGTACCTGTTGCGCGCGCGGTGTGTCTGGTAGCTCATCGAGAACTGAAGGGAAGTGATATGTGACGCCAGTGTTGGGTTTTCTTCGAGGAGGGCGACGAGGGAGGTGACCCTTTCCAAGGCGAATATTTGCACGTCGGTGATACGAGAGAAGAGCCGCGGGACGAGGTAGTCTCTCCATGCTCTGGATACCAGTGCGCATTGGAGCAGCGTGTTCCATGTTTTTTTTGTGTCGCGGTCGGCAAAGGAAAACCTCAGGGAACGGTAGGCGATAGTCTGGAATACCGTGGGCGACGAGTTGATCAAGTATCGCGAATGTGACGTCGAGGGGGATTTCCGTCATTCTTGAGCGGCGACGGAAGGGGGGAGGGTCCTAGTGAGTAACGTTTAAGCGCGCATCCTGCGGTTTAAGAGGAGTGACAGAAATACCGAGGTGACTCCGAAAGCAGCTGTAGCCTCGGGGTAGGGGGGTACGCGGGCGCTTTCGATCCATGGGCGCTGTCGTGCCGGAACCAGAAGCGCCATGACAATCAGATGGTACTATGGATAACCTGCGCAAAGGGAACGGGACTCTCATGATCACGGTTTCTCGCACCGCCAGCGGGATAATTTGTTACAAGCTGAAATCGCGTGTATTGATCTCTATCAGTTGGTCAGTCCAAACTATCCTCGAGGGCGTCAGAATCCACATCTGTATCCGTGTCAGTCTCAGAATCCGAATCGGTACTACCAAAATCGAATTCTTGGCCATCCCATTCGAACTCGTCCACGAGTAACTTCAGCCCCTCCGCGTCAGACGGGTAAATCTCCGAGCAATCTTCTATCACCAATTTCTTGATCCTCTTCCCAACTGTATTCCGAACACTCAGTGCTTTCTTCAAAAGCCGAAGAGAGATCGTGTTGCTTCCGAGATCGTCGAATTCGATGTCGTGTATTTGGAGAGTCTGGAGTTGAGGAAAATGAGGCTGGGCACGTGCACCACTACCGTCACCTGCAGAGGCAGATAGACCCTCTTTCAGCAACTTGAAGGGAGCCACTTGTCGCTTGGCTTTGTCGATGATGAGTTCTTCGATCTGGGATATTTGCGGATGCGAGGCCAGCCAATCCCAAGTCGCCCTCTTTCTAGATTCCCTGTCGGATACGTGGAGGGTCTGAAGGTCGTGCAACGGGAGGGCGGAGAGTAGTCTATGTATGAAAGCGATGTTCCAACGCTCCCTCGACACTGCAGTGATAGTGATGTGGAATTGGGGCTCCCCAGGGTTGGCTGGTACGTTGTGGACGTATATCCCGGTGGCTTCGTCCTCGTCTTCGCTAGAGTCAGACGAATAGATGAAGGGATTGTCAGGGAGTCGGGGAGTGCGAAGACGAAGGTACTGCACCGGGAATTGGAAGGCCGATCGAGAACTTGAGGGCTGTGGAAGTGGGCAGGAAAACCACGAGTCTGTCAATGCCGCGCAGAGTACAGATAGGCTGGCCTCATCCGTTCTATAGGCTTCCAACTTGAGTTCGAGGGAAGCAGGTAGCCGGAGGTGGCCAAGAATGCGGCCAGTCGCGGTGCAGTTGGCGGAGATTCGTAGGGACTTGAGGTTCCGAAGCTCGATGGGGCTCTGTGTCTTGTTTTTGGATAATGTCTGAGAGTTTGTAGGGAATGTGAGGTCGAGCTTGGTTAATCCTGGGATTCCGGACAGTGTCTTCAACATGTTATCTAGGAGGATGGGGAGATGACGCGAGTGGCGGAGGTCAACCTTGAGATCCGTGAGCTGATTGAATACATCAGGCGCATCCCAATACCCCGGGGGATAGCCCACCAGGGTCAGCGTTTTCAGGAGAGGGGCACGTTCGATAGGGAAATCGCTGGGAACGATGACATCCGAGTGCTCCCACGGGGAAGGCGGATGCCACACCGCGAGATAAGTGAGATAAGCTGTCGAGTTTGCCATCTGCGAAAGTAGCGTCTTCAGATACGCCGCTCGACCACGGAGGGCAACCCTCTCGAATCGGTACTGTCGCTGGAAAGCCCGTTCGAGGACGAACATAATTGTCCGCATGGCAGCCGACCCTGTGTCGCCTGAATGGGAGATACACTTTCCAATCGTAGAGAACCATTGGAAGTCCAGTTCGAGCGTAATGAGGGCGTCCCGAGACCGGTCGACCACAGCTTCGAACCACGAAGGTCCCCAAGCATGGGACCACGTCGACCACAAGGCTGGGCAGTCCAGTGCAATGTTTCGCCACCGGTGACAGACATGTGTGATGACAGTCCATGCCTTGAGTTTCTTGTGTTTCCGCCAGTACCCAAAGGGGTCCCTCTCTTGCTTCCGGGAGTGTTCTGCGCGATGCCGGACGAGCATGAAGATGTTGCATAGAATCTCTGTCGGAAGGCGCGAGATCGGTACAAACCCGTTCCTTCTGACGTTAAGGACGTGTATCTCCCTGTCCAAGTCGATTTTCTGCGACTCCAGCGCTGCCACCTGGGCTTCCAGAGACTCGAGGTTTTCGGTCTCGCGGAGCATATTACTATCCATAGAACAGTCAGCAGCAGTAGACCATTGTCTTCGATAAATAATCTTACCTGTTCGAAAAACTAGTTGGTAACCTTGAATGCGGGGTACTGGATTTTCAAGAGAGTTGTCCGGGGTCAAGGAGCTGCCGAACCGCATCTTGGCCCTTGGGTTCCGGGTTAGGGTTCCCTTCCAGTGCAGTAGTATGTATGAAGCAATGCGCAAGTTGTCATTACAAGATGTAAAGAGTAGCTAGTAGTGGTAGAAATGTGAAAAATCAGTAGCAAGCATCTTAGCAAAGCGAGAAAGCAAAACAAAAAATGTGCAGGTATGTACATGTGCGGCATGAGAACAACTGGAACAGTCAGGCAACAACAAATATGAGCGTACACGATGAGATAATAAGTTAAGTACTACTGGAAATGCGGTATAAATCTAGTCCAACGGAGGACACCACCTTCCCCCCATTCGCCCACCAAAGGCCCTGCTGCTTGTATGACAGTGTCCCATTCTTCTCCAATGCGGACAATCTCCGCTATGGTCAAGACCATCAGCAGCAACCTAGCGGGGATGTAAAGAAGGGTAAGAGGGAAGACCATGATCTCCATAAGCATGTATTGAATGGACGACTCTGACGTTTCTGTCTCTTCCTCAGACAATCTGAATAACGCGAGAATGGTGAAGAGGGGAGTAACAGTCGCAATCATAGCCGAGACCCTCCACAAGATGGTGAATGTCCGCTCGGTGGAAGAGTCAAGATTCAGGGAGGAGTGGAGTGGCAAGTTCCACGATGCATCCCAACCGATAAGATGGATGGCACCAAACAACATCCCCAACCCGCCCGCCATCAGCTTGAATAACCGGTCGTCATGCACACTTGCACTCGTCGACGCATAGAACGTTGGTACACGATCACGCAGGCGAGCCACTTTGGCATGGAATTTGTCGAGCTTTTCCTTCGTCCATTTTGGGGCGAGTTGGTCTTGAGGTTGGTCGACCAATTCGCCTGCATACGAAGGTGGCATCCAGAGCTTCCCGAGATGTTTGTCCTCTTGCTCTACTGCATTCCTATGCCCTTTCCGTCCCCATTTCCCGACCAATATCACACCACACCGGTTCAGGAACCAGTCAAGGCCAGTCTTCTCTGCGAAATAGCTCGTTCTCGTAGAGTCCCACATGGATTCGAAGATGGTACTTTCAGCAGAGTAGCTTGCAATCGAGTTGACGGAGGTTCTAGATGCAGACCTCTGCCCTGCAACATCTTGGCGCCATTGACGACGCGTTCCAACTAGGCGATCGGCAGCTGAAGGATGACATGTATCATACTGAGGTTCGGGAGGACGATTGGGCTGCGCTGGTCGAGGGAACCAAGGTTCGTCGAGGGTGTCCGCACGACCGCGCGAAAGAACAGAGAACCCTGTGCTGCGAGTTGTCCGTATGGATGGTCTTCGACTTCGGGGGACCTCCACGATCTCTTGTTGCTCTGACCGGTTCGCTGTTCTGAACGATGATGCCGAAGACGATCGACTTGACCGCCGCGAAGATATTGAAGACGACTGGGGTAGCTTGTTGACGGAATTCGTATCTGCGTGCTCTTGATGGGAAGCGCTGGATTTGAGTGAGGGCTCGTGAACATCGGTGTCCGGGTTTGCTACATCTGTTGAGGACGATTTGAGATCATTTGGTCCCTCAGTCACAGATCCCTCTTCCCGAGCGGTCGTGTCTGAAGATCCCTCCGACTTCTGGGACTTCTGGGCAGCATCAGGGGAGAGAGGTAGCTTCTCGTCCACAATCGGATTTTCAGGGGTTGGCGCACCGTCTTCACCAGGGTTGGGTGCCAGAGGTAACTCCTCACCGTAAGAAGACTCGGAGCGAATCATACTCGCTTCGTCCGATCTTTCGTTTTTCTCATCCTCCCCACCCTCCCCTTCGCGTTCAGCCTCCTCTTCCTCCTTCTCGTCGTCAGGTGGAAGTCTCCGCATCGCGTCCAGAATCCTCCACTCCCTCTCCAGCTGCGCATCCCTATCTAGATCCAACACCACCTCCCTTAAAACTCTCACATCCATCGGCTTGTCCCACCACAATACGTACATGATCAAACACATCACGATGTAGCTCGCGGTGACGAGCTCGATTCGCAGAAATCGGATGTGGACGTTGCCCTTGGTTCCCGAGACTACAGCTTTAGCTATTCCTTGGCAGATGAACCAGAGTGTTTGGAGGAGAGCGAAGGCAGTTACGATGGCGTCCGCGGACGAGTGATTGCGGATGACTTGAAGGGGTGGTGTAATGCTTCGAACGCTCAGAGGTTTGGAATCCAGTGTGAGGAGTTTGTCGAGGAGAGGCGGTGAGAGAACCTGTCGAGCGCGGAAGGAAGAGGAGAGCGGATCGTCGAGGCGGCCACTGTTAGCAGGTGACTCGAGGAGTAGCGGTGAAGGGAAGGGAGAAGGCCACGGTCGGACGACCACCCAGCCTCCCATCTGTAGAAAGTGGGCATGAGTCATTGACCAGCCATACACTAACGCCAGTGAGTAAAATGCTGCTAGGAAAAGGCAGTGGTACTCACCACGGTATCGTTCTTTAAGGTTTCTGGCCCCAACCCATTGCCGAACCGACCAACACACCACCAACTCCGGAACGATCAGAGCCCATAGCACCACTTCCACCCTCCTTCTAAGCCTCCTCCACGAAGAATCTTGGGGTGACGGCGCGTTTGGGTGCACAGAAATCCAGAGGCAAGCGAGAACTGTGGCAAGACAACTAAAGAACGTTCTCGAGAGGAAGAGATCCAAGTTTGGGTAGGGCGCTGAAGGCGGCGTCGTATTCGATGAGTCAGACGGTCGAGATGACCCTCCAGCGTTGTCGGCTTGCGGCGTCGGAACCGGTGTGGCAGAGGTGGGGAACAGAACGTAGCTCAATAAAATGAGCACGAACATCGACAATGGGAGGCGAAAGTGTTGTCTGTTTCAGTAAAAGGGTATATGGCTTCCTATACCACAGCTTAAATGGCCCTGTACATGTTTTTTGTGGGCAGTAAACTACTCACCAGCTCTTCCAATGTCCAACTTGAAGATTTGATGGAGATGGTATTATTTCTTCAAGATTCGGTGAGTTTTAATAAGAGCCTGGGGCAATGGGCGACTCACGAGCATTATCGAGTGCCTAACGGGTGGTTTTTACAGCATTCCTGGGCCAGATAATGCAAACGACGCGCAACAGGATGGAGTTCCGAGTCAAGAACACGATGTTGATCTCCTTGGGGCGCTGTCCCAGTGGCTGTGCACACCGCCACCATTGGTCAGCTTTTTACTATTAGGGCGGCTATTTTTGGCGCTTGTCGTCGATTGTTGGTGTGCTCAAAGGATTACCAGTCGTATACACATCCTGTAAAGGGTCACAGATTCGGTGAGAGAACCTTGTATATTGAAGAGACTGAACGGCAGTGTACAAGAAGCATCTCAAACATCATCGTCGTTTCGATCATTGTTCACCCAGTAACTGGGAGTAGCCATATCCAGCCGCTCAACGTACCAAAAGTGGAGGGGCTGGGCCACTTCGTTATCTTGTTTTCCACCCGAAGTGTCGCCCAACTCAACTTCAAGCTTGCCCCACGTTCCCATCATCCCCATCCCCTCTCGAAGACCAGACACGTCCAAAACATTCTCCTCGACAAGGATCACGATATCCTCCAACCTCAGATCAACTTCTCCAAGTTCTTCAACTTCAATTCCGTCCACCTCCAACCGTCCACCGCCCACGATGTCTTGGAAGGAGTTGTGCTTCCAGTCCAACCATGGCTCAAGGACGATGCGTGCGTATCGACCTACCAACACGTCCCTCGCAGTTCCTGAACCGTCCGGCATCTGGTGTCGATAGTCGCCTCGCTCGATCTTCGCAATCCTCCTGGCGTTTCTCTGTTTCACTCTTACGCCCCCTCCATCGCGCGACAACAATCCTTCGACCTCATCAGGGATGGAGTAGGGTGTTGAGAGCCATTCCTCCGCGCCAGGCGATGTGAGGCTCACGGATGTGGGTGGGGACGACGTGATGTCTTCAGAAGGGCGGTCGGAGTCGGATGACTGGGCTGAAACGACCGAGCGAACTGATTCATTGCTGTCTGTTTCTCGGTCGAAGACCTCTTCAACCAGGTCAGCTTCGTTCGGAAGATCATCATCCTCTTTCACAATCTTGACAGTGATATTGTGTTGGTTCACTTCGAAACCGGGAGGTGGAATAGGTCCAAAGTAGACCGCATGACACGTTGACCCTTCCTCCAACCCCTCCTGCCGAAAGTCGAGGGATTCCTTCGTTGCCAACTCCCCATCTCCAAGCTCGTCTTGCCTCTCGTTCCATTTCGCCAAACCCCACTTCTCAGCGCACCACCCACCCAGTTTACCCGGGAACACCGTTTTGGCTGCGTGCGGTACCACAAGTTCGAACACAGACTGATCAGCCACGTCAATCGCACGACGAACAGCCGACCTGAGGGGTAGGACGACATAGGGCGGCTGTGAAGAGTCCTCCGGTGTGATCTGACCGGGAACAGCCTTCATTTCAGCAACCAAGGCGTGGAACGTGTCGAGTAATCGCTGACTATTGAGGCTCTTGAGCATTGTCAGGTCGTCCAAGATGGGCGGGATAGTTGGGATGGGTACGCGCTGCTCGTCCGTGACGATTGTTGGTAGGTCCGCCTGCCCTTCTTCCGTGGCTTCGTCTGTAACCCCAGCACCTTCTAGCAGAAACCTCAACCAGCTCTTGACCACTTTCCCAATCTTCCCATTCCCGACAACACACCGCGACGCCGCCAACTCATTTTCGTACGCATATGAGCTAAGAAATATTTTCACGCTCTTCTCGATGTCAAAGACGCTTCGGAACAAGCGACAGGCCTTTTGAAAACGCGAAAGGGCAAGAAGGGCGTCGAGCTGAGCCTGCTCGGTGATCGTGAACGGCACATAGTTGAGAAGGGCGTAGGGACGACGGGGCTGGAGTGGCTTGTTATTAACGTCCGGCAACACTTTGACTTCATCTTCATCGTCGGAAATGCCTCCCCAGCGAGAGGGCTCTTGAGTACGATCCTGCACATCCTCGGTACTTTCGGAACCGGGTTCAATCCAATTCCAAACGGGAGTTGAACCCAGTAGCGCAAAGTAAAGGCGGAACTGCGACACGAAGGTGAGAAGAAGCCTTGGTCAACATGCGAATGTCTTCCTACCTGGTCCCAGATCCAACCAAGCAGAACTTTGTCCTCAGCTCCTTCTGGATCGGCGTATTTGAGATTGGGATTGATCGGTGGCCATGGTCGATTCCTTTTGAAGTCGGACGCTGCAAAGTGCAGAAGATCAAAGAAAGGAGTCTTCTGTGTTTGGTATACGTCCAATGCAACGCGGTGAGGACGAGACGGGGCATCGCTCGCGTCTCCTTCCACTGGAATCGACGTTACGCTTGACGCAGTGCCCTTGTTGGAAGTTTCTGTCAATTCGGCACGATCTTCATCGCGAACGACTAATCCCTCGCTCTCCAGTCTCGAGTCCCGCTGTTCCTTCAGCCATTCCTTTCTCAGTCGTTCTCTTTCTTCATAAAACAAAACATCCCACTCCTGCCATTGCTCCCCCCAATCGCGACGCGTATCGAAGAAGGGTTTTCGGAGGTGGTTTTGGAGAGGATGGAGTACCCTGGGAGCTTCTGGCTCATCGGATTGTCGACGCGAGTCGCCAGAGTATCCACCTCTACCGCTTCCAAGCCCACGTCCTCGCCCTCTACCACGGCCACGCCCGCCATTGTGGGAGATAACGATCGATTTCTCTACAACGGGAGTTGTGTCCATTGAAGCGCTGAACCTGGCTTTCACTTCGAATCATTAGCCAATCGTCGTGATCTGTCCGTATTAAACCTACCAGGCGACGTGGGCAGGGCTTTGGAATTAACGCAATGGTTTTTTTTTTTCGTCAGTCGATGGCACGCGAGCGTTGGGAACGAACAAAGGGCAAAGGAAGTGTCGCTATGTAGTCCATTTTGAGGATTTTGATTTTGAAGGGCCACGAGGCAACACGAACGTAAAGGTCAAAAGAGAAGAGATCCAAAAACAGCAATATGATTGCCCTGCCTCAAGATTTGATGGATGACCACGATTTCGAAAAAAAGATAAAAAGATGACCGAGGTAGGGGTCGAACCTACAATCTCCTGATTCGCGTTTCGTAGTCAGACGCGATGCCATTTCGCCACACGGCCGTGCTGGCTTATGACAATAAAGTGAACACAGCGGGTCACTGGCGCACTCGGCTCAAATCGACATTGTACCGGTTTTCCGGTCCCTTGATAGCTCGTTCTTCCTCTTTATATATCCATCCACTGCTACCACAGAGCGAGCGCAGTCGCGGAAATACGAGCCCATTCGGTCCGCAGGGGCTGTCTAAGCTGAGCAGTACGTTACAGCCAGTTCTTCTTTTCATGGTAGAACCACTGACTCGTTCTCGACATGCAAAAAGGATTCCGGAACCCCGCTCAACAGCAAAATGTCCCTCGATCCCGAAGCATCCAGGGATCTCCTAGACCAGAAGATAGGTCACCTGCGAATACAGAAGGCCCTGCTCCAGGAGCAAATACGCCAGCTTTGTGAGGATCGAAACGGCCTCTCCCCGGTGTCGCGTGTTCCCGACGAAATTCTTTGCGAGATTTTCATGCTTTGCGCGCAGATATGGAGGGAGCGGCCCAAAGGTCCCAAACCATGGATCGCTGTGACGCATGTATCCAGAAGATGGCGAACCGTGGCTCTTAATTATCCCAATTTTTGGTCGACAATCTACGACCCCGACCGCATGGGACCTTCCTGGCTCAGTACCTGGCTGAAGAGGTCTCAAGAGACACCTTTGACGATCGAAATCCCTGATCTTTATTACACAGGCAGGCCTCGCCTCCCTGAAGTCCAAGCAGAGCTGTGTCGTGCGCTCAAGCAGACTTGGAGGCTGAGAGAAGTTGATATAGCTGGGAGGGGGGACCAGATCGACGTCTTCTTGGCCACCATGGCATCTCCAACGCCGCTTCTGAAGAAACTCCGGATCGTCAATGGTTCTGCCCACGTCGATGTCTTCCCCGAAACCTTCCTTAACGGCGATGCTTCCAACGTGCAGGAACTGATCCTGTTCAATGGCTCCTTACCCAGGGACCCGTCTTTATTCATGAATGTCACGGAACTCACCCTCTACTATCGTACCAACGCGGGGCCCGGTGCCTCTATCCGCGAATCTCTTCTCGCTCTCGGGAAACTACCCAGCCTTTCCGCATTGACCCTCGAACTTCCGCCGACCACCTTCGACTCTGCAATGTTAGTACCGCTGCCTCAGACCATCGAACTCGCAAGCATAGCTTTTCTCGACGTTACCGCCACCAAATCGGCATGTACCGCATTGCTCCAATCCATCCGAATTCCATGTCAGGGTATCGATTTAAGAACACACATCACGGACACAATGGATGAATCCTCCTTTGCAGCATATGCGTCAGCTTTCTCCTCGGTCTGGCTTCCTCCGATTGCAGGTTCCGGTCGTGCCCTGCTCCTCAATCCCCCGATTGTCATCCTTCAGCAAGGTGATTATGGCGATGCACTTTTCGTCAAGGCGCACACCGAGGAAGACTATTTCAGCCTATGGCTAGAAGACCTTGACCCTATTCCCACTCTCTCCACTCTCTTCCCCGATGCTGATACCCACTCTCTTGTGCTCAGAGGCAAATTTCCAGTCGAGATTAACCCGTTTTTCGACTCCTTTCCCAAGGCGGAGGAACTCGACTTGCGCGGACAGACCGATGCTATCTCATTGCTCACCTATCTGGAAGGTGACCAAGCCCTTTCAGCCAGACGGACGAACCAGCAACAATGCCACTTGACGCGGCTTCCCTGTTTGACGCGTATCGTGGTCAGGAATGTCGACCTTGGAGGGGAATACGCGAACGGTGTCTGTATCTTCGACGAACTCCTCGACGTTCTGGAGGCTCGAGCAAGGATAGTCGCCCAGGCCGGTATTCAGAGAATCGATTTCGATTGGCAGTGTCTGAGTCTGGATGAACCGTGGATGGGACGGTTGAGGGAGATTGTGGAGAATGTTACCGTTGGCGAAGTAGAGGATTGTCTGTATGTCGACGACGAGTCAGATGATGACGATGAAGATTGAAATATGACTCAACCAGCATATAATGACCAGACCATAGCCTATTGAAGGAACTATTAGCCTCCGGCAGCATTTGTGCGGTACTCTGACGATCTGGATATTATACGCTGCGATAAATATAACTCGTGAACGGCGACGTGGATCAGTCGGTAATGCTGCTTGGGATGCGGATGACGATGAAGACGACTGTAACGATGATGACATAGGGAGGACTAAATCTCTAGACGTACTGAGGACGCAGCATACCGAATGGCATTGATTCACAACGTCTCGCCGCCTGAGCGCGCAACATGCAGAAAAGGGGCTCCTTCCGACTCGGGCGGCGTGTTTGTTGGTGTTAGGAATGGCCGCCGACCGCCAAACGACGCGCACAAAATTGGTTCCACCGACGTTCAACACGGAGTTCACGTCGTCCAACCCCGGATTCAGGCTTTCAAACCAACCATGTCGAAACGAAGTCTTTCACCACCACCATCAAATGCAGGTGCACTTATCAAGAAGGCCAGAGCAACGCCCCCTCCGTCAAACCAAATTGCAATCTCCAGCACAAACGACGAACGGAATAAGGGTCTAATTCGAACTGTCCAACGGACGAGTAACCTTGAGGCGCCTATTGTCAGTTTATCAGGAGCTCATTCGGTGAGTATATATGTCTATTAAATGGATTAGAGCTGCGTATTGATCTCTGAACACCACAGGCAGAAATCTTGAGCTGCAGATTCGACCCTTCAGGCCAAAACATTGCAGCATGCTCGAGCGATCGCAGTATCTGTACGTCGCGCCTATAATTCATTCCCAAATGTCTCTTGAAGCTGAACAGGACTCTATATAGCACTCTGGCGAACATACCCACCCAACACAAACTACGGTCTCCTCTCCAGCCACGCCAAAGCACCCATTCTCGACCTCCAATGGTCTCTTTACTCCCAACTCCTCTACAGCATCTCAGCAGACCGCACACTCACCATCACCGACGTCACAACTGGCCAAAAAGTTCGCCGCATACGCGCCCACCGCGAGATTATCAACTCAGTCGACCGCACCATGGCAGGAGGCGCCGGCATCGAACTCGTCGCCACAGGCTCTGACGACGGCACAGTCAAGATCTGGGAAGGAGGGGACGAAGCTGGAAAATTCCCCGTTGCAACGTTGGAAGTGGGATGCCCGGTGACGGCGGTGTGTTGGAGTGCGGACGGGGCCAGTGTGTATGTCGGGGCGATTGATAATGAAGTCCACGTATACGATTTGAGGAAGCAGGAACAGGTGTATTCCTTGACGGGTCATACCGATACGCCCACTTCGCTCTCGCTTTCGCCGGATGGCAACTACCTCCTTGCACCTTCGTTGTCGTCCCAGACTATCATCCACGACGTACGGCCATTTTCACCCTCCGCGACACGGATACATAGAATCCTACACGGCGCGCCTGCTGGATTCGAGAACACGTTATTGCGCGGCGCGTGGAGCAAAGAAGACGGTGGCAAGAGGGTCGCTGTTGGGGGAGCTGATCGTATGGTCTGCATTTGGGAGGTTGAGAGTAGCAAAATCCTTTACAAGGTGCGTAGCACGCGTTGTTCACCAGGGCCCAACATCAACTCTTTGGATAGCTTCCCGGCCACAAAGGAACTGTCACCTCTGTCGATTTCCACCCAAAGGAACCTATCAGTACGTTTCCTCGCGTGATTACTCCCTTGTCACGTCTGACTCTCTTCCAGTCCTTACCGGCAGCAAGGATGGAACCATGTTGCTCGGAGAGATCGAGCCCAGTGTCACCGTATAAGACTGTGCTGCACGACCATACGTTACACCGATCTATCACAATGCTTTGCACCTTCCGAAAATCTCGCCATGGCATTTGGAATCATGGTTGTCATTAAGAAAGATTTGCTTGTACAAGTTTCTATGGTATACAGACACGAAAGAAGCAACAAAAGTAGGAGCAAGAAGAAAATAGCTGGATGACCTAGCGTTTGTGGATGAAGAAAAATGCAATGATGGCGAATGCAAGGATTGAGTAGGAAGATATGATTGGGATAGCAAATTAGGCGACGTAAGCGAAGGTGTCCTTGGAGCCTTCCACTCTCTCGATGTATTCCTTCTCCAAGAGGGTCTCGATGGCCTGATGATACATGTGGGCACGTCATGTAGTACGGAACGGAATGGAAAACTAACCTTCTTGATGTCGGGAATCTTGGGAGCGAAACGCTGTGTGATCTGGGAGATGACCTCCTGGATCAAGGCCTGGTTCTTCATGGTCTTCCTAGCTTTCATGATACTACAAAAGTGTTCATGTCAGCTTGAGCAGAAGGCAGTACGGAGAGGGGCACTAACCGAACAATGGTAGCTTGAATGACATATTTACGATCTTCATCGACAGCCTTGAGGACATCCGAGGACTCAGCCTTGACCTCAGCCCTGATGGGCAAGTTGAGGTTGACACGAATCTTCTTCGACTTGAAGCCTGTCGGGAAAAAAAACCTTCAGTATCGATCACCGATGCATGGCCTAGGAGCCTAGGAGAAAGACTTACCAGGGTTAAGATCGTACTGCTCGGGCTCCTCGTTGATCAAGACCTTAGCCTTGACAAGCACCGCCAGCACCTGCGTCAAAATCTCCTTCGAGATCGAGGTCGCAGCAACAAGCTCATCCAAAGACAAGGTGTCATTCCGGTTGTACTGCATAAGCACAGCCATCTGATAAGAACTCGTCATGAGGATGTACTTCTGGTTCGTGTAGTTGGTGCGGAGTTCGTTCTTGGAGTAGTTCCACAGCCAGGTGAGTTTACGACCAGAGTGTTTGTTTTGGTAGAAGCGTTGGAAGCGCTCGTAGGTGGGGGTGATTTCTTGTGGGATGATGAATTCGTGGGTGGGAGGGTTGAGAGGCCAGAAATTGGTACCGAGGACCATGACGGTGAAGGTGATGTCGGTGTCCTCGGCGTGTTGTTGACGCTCCTTGAAGGCGTCTGTGAGATCCTTGCTCAGGCTCATGTCTAACGCGATAGATTAGCTTTGGGAAACGAAAATCTCTAGTTGATGTGCTTACCAGTGAACATGCGCTGGAGCTTGTTGGTGTACTCGAAACCGCAGGCTTCCTTCAGCTTCGAGATCATGCTGGCTTCAGCTTCGTCGGAAGCAGAGACGCCATGGATCAGTCGCTTGGAAAGCTTGGTAGTATAGAAAGTCTGGAAAACGTCCTTGTCTTCCAAGTACTTGAAGAGAATCATCTAAGGAGTAGGACTTAGTCATCAACCGCTATAGATGGGACAGCAGAAGCAACGCACCACTCGGTTCAAAGCACCCTCCAAATCACCCTCCTCAGCCATCTTGTTGTTCTTCCGCAACAACATATCGGCATGCTTGGCGATGAGTTCAGGCGATTTCGTTGATGACGAGCCAGTAGCCGCATTGCGGTTGACAAACTCTCTGCAAGCCTTATCGAGACTTGCAGCGAAACCAGCTTCACTCTTAAAGCTGCGAGCAACCGTCTCCGAGTTCTTGTGGTGCACCTCCAACAATGCGTCCACGTAAGCCTTGGCATCGAGGGAATCCACATTGGCACCACCCTCTCCAATGAGCCTCCCGATGGCCGACAGGCCAGCTGCCTTGACGTGGCCCTCGAAGCGTTTGCGAAGGGGTTCAAGACCCTCGGGAATGCGTGAAAGCAAAGCATACATCCGTTGCAGATCCTCATCCTTGTCGAAATCGAGGAGGCTTTGGAAGCTCTCCCACATCAACTCTGAGTGCTCTCGGATGAGGACATGCTCGCACTTGCTCACGAGTTCCTTGCGGGTCTTGTTATGCAAGTACCGCTCAACCCTGTTCTCTTCCTCTCGTAGACGATCCTCAGCTTTCTTCAGGTAATCCGAAACAGAATGGGCGGCGAGGAAGGCTTCAGACTCTTGCTTGTAGTAAGCCTCGGTTGCTGCAAGGAAAGCGACCTCGAATTGTTCCTTGTAGATATCCAGGCACTCTTTGTTGGGGTCGGCGTTGTCCAGACCCAGAGAGACGAACGAATCGACGACCTTCTTGATCAGACCCTGATCGACGATTTCACCATTCCGCTGCTGGGTGATGAGCTTCAATACGGCGTTGGAAAGTTTCGAATTGTCTTTTTGGATGTGCATGAAGAAATGATTCCGCCATTGTGAGAGAGCGAGCTGGAAGAAAGATGGTCAGACGAAGAGGCGCGAAAAAGCCAAGGAAACGTGGGCGCACCGTATACACTTGATACACGCCCTTCTTGCCTTCATCCCGCTCTCGCTTCACCCAGTATCGATTGAGGTATGTGAACAGGCGATTTAGATAATTTGCGCCTCGTGTGTACCGGTCCCACTCGCTGGCGTAATACCGCAGTAGATCCATGTCCTCGAGCGTCGCGGCTTTCTGCAGGGTGGCCACTGGTTAGCCTGTGATCGATGAAACACGAGGAGCAATACGAACCTCGAGCATGCCCTTGAAATGGTTCACAAAGTAGGTGCTCAACTTGCTGTAAAGGTCTGATCCCACCAAATTGGCGCCCGCTGGGGAGAAGAAAAAACGTGGTGTTAGCCCTGAGGCTGATCGAGTGCAAAAAACCAACTCACTGCGGTTCCCATCTAGCTTTCCGTGCATCTTGGTAGATGTGCAGTAGTTATAGACGGTTGAATACAAGCTTGTGTAGCCTTTGAAAGACAGACCAAGCTCGAAATTGGTCATGATGTGTTCGACACCACCGTTGAGATATGCCCATGTCTCCTCGAGATCTGCCGTCCGAGGAGGCATGTTGGCAAAGTCGGTGTCGACGGGGGGTGATGTCGTGGCCATTGTCGTCGTCGATGAGCAGAAGATTTGTGGCAATGGATTGGTTTAGGGTCAACGACGGACGAGTCAAATTAGTCCCGGCACGCGCTCCTCGTGCCTCTTTATACCGTACCGCCACAATCCCACGCACCGCGTTTGCCCCTATCCACCTATTTTCCCCAAGTCACCTCCACACTCTTACTTTTCCTTTTGGACAGAGTTCGAAACTGAATAAGGGCATGCAGCGTGCATTATCGATTGGACGTCCTTGGAGGATGGGCTAGCTACTACGGACGCTCATTGGCTCTGGAGGCAGTAGTGGCACCGCTTGCGACTCTGGTGCTGTTGCGATACGTTACCTAGTCACCGTCACCGCCCACGACTCTCATCTGACTTGAGGTGTGAAAACTTCAACTTCTCGATCTGACTTGGGCGCACTGTCGGTTCCGCAACCTCTTTCTTTTGGCTTTGATCTGGCGGCTGATCATGAAATTGCTTTTCCTCAGGATGTAACTTGAGATCAATAACAGCGCCGACTGGCTCGCATCTGCCACGCACTGATATTGGCGTACTTTCCCCTTCTCGCTCGAGCTCGACGACCTCATCCATGTCCAATGACTAGTACTTGGGCCTAGGTTATGTACCATGAGACCGAGGATGCCACCATAGATCGTACTATCGCCTATCCACGGATGACGACGTTTTACAATCTGTAACCATCCATGACTGGCACTGAAATCCTCACCTTGGAAGGGCCCTCAAGCTTCGGCAAGTGATACCAGGGAAAACAGCTGCTTCTCGTGGTCCCTCAGGGCATGCTCCATTCTGTGGGGACATGGATGACTCGAGCCTTCGACGCGAGGGACGAGCCACGACTGACTCTATCGATTCTCTCAGGCGGGATTGGGAATAAACACCTTCAGAAAATGGACCCCTCACTGTGCAGCATTACGACCAGCTCTCGCTGGACCAGGCCACACAACATTCCGATTTCATGCCATTCCAGGTGCCAATGTGAACATCTCCGAGTCGGAAAACGCCCGAGTCGAGGAACGCTGGGACTTTCGTCTCGCCTTGGACAGATTGCAAATCAGCAATCCTCTGGGGATGGGCAAGGAACGTAAAACCTGAAGCACTAAGCTCTTATCTTCCTCTCTCGTTTCCCAGCGCGACGGATGGTCTAAGCTAGACATTATCTGAGTAGTTCTGAATATAGAGTTCTATTGGCAATTGTACACTTGGATGGGGAATGGATATCTACTATACAACATAACCAACGATGCAAAGAATTCAAAATCGGAGTCCACAGTCCAGAGTCCAATCACGAGTCGGAGTCCAATCGCAACATTCATCCCACTACACCAAGTTGGAAGGATACTGGAAGTCCTCAAGCCCCACGAAGTTCTCCTTGATACTCCTGGGACTGACGAACCTATAGAACAAATTAATGCTCCCAGCTTTATCGTTCGTCCCGCTCGCCCGTCCACCGCCGAACGGCTGCTGCCCGACCACGGCCCCTGTGCATTTCTCGTTGTAGTACACGTTGCCAGCAGAGTTTCTGAGCTTGTTGGTAGCGGAGATGAGGACCTTGCGGTCTTGCGAGAAGCTGGAAAGGGGAATGGTATTAGTGTCTGGAATGGAATGGTAGTGCAGGGACAAACTTACATTGCACCAGTCAAGGCGTAGTCCGTGGTGGTATCAATCAACTCGAGGGTCTTCTCAAAGTCATCGTCCTCATACACGAAGACAGTGATCACGGGCCCGAAAATCTCCTCCACCATCGTGACCGACTTGGGATCCTTGGTGAGGATGACAGTTGGTTGGATGAAGTATCCCTTGGAGTCATCGCCTGGACAAAACCATGAGCAAGGGTGGGACGAACTTCGACGAAAACGAAGCTTACCAGTGCCTCCAATCAGGACCTCTCCACCAGCATCCTTAGCTTTCTGGATGTATCCCAGAATCTTGTCGTAAGCCGATCGACCACTAGGTAGAGAATAAGCATCTGCACCACATATAGAAAACCAACTAGTGTCTTAGTCTTACATGACAGGACCCATAAAGTTACCAAAGTCTTGAGGTGGTCCGACCTTGATCTTCGCGACCTCGCCTAAGAACTGGTCCTTGAATCCGTTCTCCCAAACAGATCTTGAGACATAGAGTCGTGAAAGTGCCGAACATTTCTGGCCTATCGTAACGTTAGCTAATCATCGAACAAAGATGGGTAGGGTATAGAGACTCACCCTGATACTCGAATCCAGCTCGCACGCTCTGGAGAACCGCGTTCCTCACTTCCGCACTCTTATGAACCAAATGGAAGTTCTTGCCTCCCGTCTCGCCCACAATCCTAGGATAGCCTCTATACTTGTCCAAGTTCATAGCGATGTCCTTCCATAGTTTCTTGAACACAAAGGTGCTGCCAGTGAAGTGCAGAGCGGAGAATTCACGGTGGCCGATGGCTTGTGCCACGACTTCGGCTGGTGGGCCAGGGACGAACTGGATGACGCCAGGTGGTACACCAGCCTCGGCGAGGATTTGGTAGACGAGGTAGTTGGAATAAGTTGCAGCCGGTGCAGGCTTCCAGACGACGACGTTGCCGACGAGTGCGGGGGCTAGTATCAATGACGTATTTAGAACGAGGAATCTTAGGACGGACGAAGGAAATACCGACCTCCAGGAAGGTTTCCACCAATGGCGGTAAAGTTGAAAGGAGAAACAGCGAGGACAAATCCTTCGAGTGCCCGGTATTCAACACGACTTGGATGCGAATAAGTACCAGGTAAGCATCACACAGAAGAACGCGACTCACTTCCATGACCCCTGCGCGTTCTTTGGTGGCTGTTGAGCATACAGCTCTTCCACATACTTCACACCAAATCGAAGGAAGTCGGCGAGCTACAATCACATCAAGTATGAGCGCCCTTCGAGCCATCACCGTTCCGGAAGGAACATACCTCAGCGGCAGCATCAATCTCAGCCTGCCATGCATTCTTTCCCTGACCGAGGATCGTCGCAGCCATAAGCTTGTACCTATACTTCTGGCTAACGAGGTCTGCCGCCTTCAAGAAGATAGCAGCCCTATCATTCCAGGGCATAGCTTCCCATTCGGCCTTGGCGGCCAACGCTCCTTCGATAGCTTTGGCGGCAGTGACCTCGTCGGCCTCGTGGTATTGGCATAGGTGTTTGGCGTGGTCGTGTGGTAGAGGTTGCTTCGCAAGCTTTCCAGTTCGGACCTAGACGTGTGACGGTAAGCGCACACTGAACATTGACGACGATGAGCGATGATGTCGGGTCTCACTTCTTGTCCGTTCACGATGCATGGAACCTCGAAAGGCAGCTCCTGCTCCATCTGCCGGATGGCTGCCTGCAAAGCCTGACGCTCAGGAGAGCCAGGTGCATAAGATTTCTATGACAAGTGCTTCAGTCTAAGCTTCTTCTCCCAATATTGACCAGAAAACGCACCATAGGTTCATTGTCGATTGCTGGGATGGAGAAAGACGCGAGCTGTGGTGTAAGGTTCATTCTTGGACGTGAGGGATGGTAGTGGTAAAGAGTCAAGAAGGCAAGCGCTCCATTGTAGGTATTTATTGCTAGCTCGGAGCTTCGAGTTGAATGTCAAAGTCAGCAAATTGGGACGGAAGGATCTCGAAAGGGCGGCACCAACCCCAGTTTCGATACGCGACAGACAGGGGCTACTTCCGATCAATTCTCACCATGCGTACCGTGTTCTATCGTATGCTATCTAAGATTCTTTTGAATAGGATAACCTTGTTATCATGGAGCAAAACACGACAGGACTACTTATGCAATTACTATATGACACTGCTTGGATACAAATTATAAGGAAGTACAGGAATAACCAGAGTCCGAGAACATCCAGGACTACGTCATAGTTCACACTCACTAGCACATCAAATAGTTGAAGGCAAATCGTCAATGGCGTTCTTCAAGTCCATCAAGAACTTCCAGGACTCTAGGACACTGCCAGGGCACCGCGGGCACCCTCCCTTCGCTGCCGCCTTGTATAGGAAGTCGAGTCTGAAAATGACATCCGTCGTGGGTCTAAGCGACAACTCCTCCCTCGCCCTCGCTTCGTATTCCGTCCACCATTTCGGAGGTGTAGGAAGCTGCAGATGGAAATTCGATCCGTTGCACTGCATGCACTTCAAATCCCCCTTCACGTCCTTCAAATACCCAAGAGCAGCTTGTGCTCGGCGTTTGTGCAGGACCAAGAGTTGGTGATAGTGGTACGCCGATATCCATTTCAGTTCGTCCGACAATGGGACGTCCAAAAGGTTGACGCCGAGCGTGTACCGGGACGCGACTTTGGCTTCGTCTTCTAGCTCGTATCGACACGCGATGGCGTACACCCTTACAGGTGCCGAGTGTAGGAACTGTGGTGTAATGAGCCATGCGCGTAGCATGGATACTGCCCCCTCGAAGTCGTATTTGACAGCCACGCCCAGGACGTCCTTGAGCTCCTCCAGTGACGTCAAAACAGGGTCAGCCATGGGATAGACGAGCTGGAGTAGCTTCTCTAGGACGGGTGCTGGCTCTGCAACTGGAATTCTGGGGATGTCGTTGGGCTTAGATGGGTCCTGTGGTAGGGAAAACATGTCTCGGAAGAAGGGCGAAGCGAGGGAGAGGACACGTCGGTGAACATGAAATTCTGTGGTTGCGTCTGAGCCTCCGGACAGAAGGACAACATCGGCGTCAGGAAAGCGGAATAGAGGGCTTTGGTCTCGTGCGGCGGACATGATGGGGGAAAAGATGGGAACACGAGCAGCTGGAGTGCCAGAGCGAGAGTTTATATGTCGGCGATATAATTAGTTTACACACTAACGAAATCACAGAGGAACCAAGCACCTCTCTATGGAGAGCTGTGATCCATGGAGCAGGTTGGAAGAATACCGAAAGCCTCTACGGACGTTTGGGCGGTTTCCGGATCTGAGTGAGACACTTTGAGCGAGGTTGGGACCAAGACCTCCCCGCTACAAACAATAACAAACGAACCAAACACACATCCATTCAATAGTATCTCCCTCGACCAGAGTGCCGTTCTCTGCTTCTGCTCCTCCGCCGGTCACGATCCCGATGCCTGTCCCTATCAGATCTCGGGGAACGAGACCTGGATCGCTTGCGGCGCGAGCGGTCTCCGTCTCTGTCGCGGCTGCGGCTGCGTTTCCTTCGTTCCGGGCGGTCGCTCATGTCGAAAACCATCGAATAATCGTCGTTCCCAGATCTTGCTGGTCCTTCTTGAGCTCTGTAACGGCGAGTCTCCTCCAAGTCATCACGACCGGCAAACCCTCCTCCCCTGTACTTCTTGGGTTTCACGATATCGTTGGACCAGACTGCGTTTGTTTTCGCCACTGATTGCGAGCTAAAAACGACATTCAATCAGTCGAAACATGTACACACTCCCATAAACCCGGAAAACCCACAAGTCAACCCATATCCGGCGATCGTCAACCAAAACGTTCTGCATCTTGAAGTAGGCCTGCATTATTGGGTTAGCGCGATGCGAATCATCATTGCAATCAAACATGCGTATCAGAAATTTAGACTCGCCTGTTCAGCATCTTCTCTTTTATCAAACTCAATAAAAGCGTATTGCAACGAGTCCCCCGTCTTCTTGTCGCGAATAACTTGACAGCTCATGATCGGGCCAAAACGCGAAAAGATAAGTTCCAAGTCTTCGTCTCGAGTGACTGGATTGAGTTTGCACACGAAGAGTACGTTCTCGGGAGGCCTGACGTTGGCAAAGGGCAGATCTCCGACCATTTCGAGCGTAAGCGCTGAGGCTGCTGCGGCTTTTTCGCGACGGATACGCTCCTCTTCTTCCTCGGGCAATGTAGCGAGTGGGTCCTCGTCCTCAGCAATCCGTGTTGAATTATCCGGGGGTTTCGTAGGCTCTGCCTCCGGTACCACAAGGCCTGGAGGGTCTGGAAATGGGTCGTCTGTGAATCACAAGAAGCACGATAGCGTCAGTGACAGTTCCACACCACGATGTAGCATAACGGAGGGGCTCACCCAAGATAATAGCATGCCGTATCCTGATGTCCTTGAACGGTCGGCTGTCCTGGTCGACGTAAACTTCGTTGATCTTGTCCAACGTCTCCAATCCTTCGACAACGTGCCCAAACACCGCATGCTTGCCATCCAGGTAGTCGATATTTTCCCCGAGTGTTATGAAGAATTGACTTCCGCAGCCTCCCTTGTTGCCTTCAAGAGCTGGAGCGACGGCCATCGACACTGTTCCGCGGGCTGTGTGTTTGAGCTTGGGTCGGATTTCGGGTTCAAAGTAACGAGGAGCGCGCGGGTTGTCGGGCGATTGAGAGGCAATGTACGACCATATCGATTCTCCGCCGGTTCCTGTTGCTGAAGGGTCACCGCATTGGGCAAGGAAATCCTTCGACACTGGGTTCCAACGTCGCTGTCAGCATCTGGTGAATGACATCAGGAGTAAATTGTACAACACACCATTGAAGAACGCGTTAAGGTTGTAATAATAGACTTTGCATAGCTTCAGGAAGTTTTCGCATGTCTTTGGACAAGCTTCAACCTCGAGGTCAATGACAATGTCACCCAAAGAGGTTTCGAAGAGTACAGACATGGCACCGGTATGGGTGGGTCAAAGTAAGCAAAGGTTGGACAGAAACGGCGCTTCCGCGACGTCGTTCAGCTGGGTACTTCAATTCTCAGAGGCTTCAAGCAATACTGCCAACAGATTGCCGGTTTTCTGTCCAGCAGAGCGCGTTGGGCGATGGCTAGGTGGTGACGGTCGTTCTTGATTCTGGCAAGGATGGACTGCAACTTCCTTTTGCGTAATTGAGTCGGAGCTTCAACCTTGAACTCATCCACTGCTTCAGCCTCCATGTACTTAGCGTCTGGTTGATACGCAGGTCGAAGGACGCCTCCACTCCTGAAATATCTTGGAACAGGGCTATAGGCGTCAGCTTGCAATATTCCCTAAAGCCCACCAGAATGTGTCGGCGATTGAAAAGCAAGCTTCCGGTACCTCGAGCTCGACGCGACCTGGATCCACTCAAACTCCGTTAAACTCGTCCTGAAACTCCAGAAACACCCACCAGCTCTCGGGAAATCTGGGGTTGCGGCGCCGTGGTGACAATCACCACACACCACTTGTCAATCGGCTTCATCTCCAGCATGGCGACGACAGCTTCCCATTCGGGGGACGACAACAAAGGAACGATTCTAGGGACCCTCAATTTGGAACTCTAACAAACAACTGAAAGGGCTGAAACTCGTGGTCGAAGCCCTTCTCTGATGTTCACGTCTTCTGTTTTGATGGGAAAGCCCTTTGAGCGTCTGCGAGGTCAAAGGGGTACCAAGACCTAATACCGACATCCTCCCCTCGCGCTGTAGTCACCGAATGTGCCTTTGCTTCCTCGATCCCTGAAAGAGTTGAAAGATTTACTAGTAGTTATAAACTCGAGAGCATGGAGGTTCGTTTCCCAATTCACCCCCACTGGCAGTACCAATCCGCCGCATCCAATCGCACCGGCACTCGGATAAAATGGCCTCCACAAATCCCCTCCACGCTCCGGTCTCTAGTGCCCAATATTCTTCTTATTCATCCCTATCCGGGGCACTCATAGACCCATCTCACAAGTTCGAATCCCCCTTCCGCCGGTGGCTCCCTCAGAGCAGCTACACCCCAGCATCGAAATGGCGCTCAACTACAGGCACCGATGGCCACCAAATCCCCGCCATCTCCTTCGACTTTATCGGCCACTCAAAACAAGGCGTTCCGATGCGGGAACTGAACATGAGGAGCCTTAGCGCTCTCGCCCAGATGATGGACAGAGCAAATGAGTCTGTGTTTGCGTCCTCTGGTCTCCAACGGATAACTCTCCGGATTATGGTATGTCCTCTCTCCCAGCAATCGTCCTGACACAGTCTAATCCTCCTTCAGTGGCCTGGCTATACTCACGTAGAGTGGGCTCGTGCAATCGACTTGGTTTCTCATGGACCCATGACACGGGCGCAACTCGCTCAGGTCCTTGCTCAGAATTTTGCTCGTTTTATGGACGTACGTTATTGGCATTCCTCTCCTCTTCCATTATCACTGTTGCTAATCTCGTTACCCATAGGTTGCCCGGACAGAGCGGCCGGATGTCTCGGAGTACGCAATTGGACCTGGCGGTATCCAATTCGAGCACCTCGTCCTCGTCGGAATCCACAATGTCTTCGAGGATGTCTGGCAAGCAGACGTTGCCATTGACCGGCGCTAGCCTGACATCCGTATCGCCTCCCCCCTAATTTACTCCCTCCTAATATTTATTCTGTTACCCAGCATATTTATACTGCACCCATATTAATCTATTGGACTCTCGCGTGGCTCAGGATAGCAAAACAGGAGGATACGTAGACGAAGAAGAGCTAAACACGACAACAACAAGGTAACAGAGATAAAGAAAAAACGACACAATCGAAAGGAATACAAGGACTACAGCCATGACTACGAACTACCACCAATCCTCTCACTCAAAAACACACTCAAAATATTCAAAATATCAACACTCTCCTTCCCAACAACAGCACCACATTTTTCAACAACCGGCTTCGCCTTATTCAACAACGCCTGCAAATCACTCGCCATCTCACCCGTCATGCCCCTCCTCATCCTCTCCGCCATCGAGATGCTCGTCGAAGATCTAGGTGCAGAGGTCGAGATTAATCTTCGGTCTTTTGACACGTCCGGTCGTACGGTGACGTCCATGGCTTGATCCTCGACATCAGTGTCCTGAGCTTGAACGGGCTCAAACTCGGGTTTGCGAAGCCACATGGCGAGCTGCGTGACTGCGTAAACGAGTACGCTTTCCAGGTTCCTACGGGCAGTGATAACTCCTCGTCGAACGTCAAGCGGGTTCGAGGATCCTGTTGGCGTTGTCGGCGTTAGAGCTTGACCTGCTGGCCTGTTGACAAAGTCCCGGAGGATATCCAGGCTGCAGTTGCCGAGCTCGAGTAATGTGCCGAGGGAAGCGGGTTCGCCAACCACGACCTTCGAATGCTACACGTTTCCCAATCAGAAAGAAACCCACGAGAAAAGAACAATTGAAGACTTACAGGAACAACAAGTGCTTCTCCCAATGGCCAATCCTCCTCAAGACCACAAAGCACATTATCAGCTTTACTGATGGTCACCAGCGTCCCCACAATGTTGCTCGAAAGCCTGAACATCCGGTGAACCAGATGCGCAATTAAAGGCCTCTTGAGGGGGTCCGCAACGCCTTGCGACTTCTCATGCTGTGCTCTCTCGTCTGGTGTAACAGGTTCAAACAAGCTGGCGAGGTGGTTAGGATGGGTGATTGCGTAGTTGATTTGTTGGAGTAGCAGTAGAGCATGCGTCGTGAACACCCGAAGGACTTTATCCACCGCAGGGTTCGCTTTGACTGCATTCGGGGCACTGGCGGCGATGGCGTAGAAGAGATTGACGACTTGCTCCAGCTCTTCCATGAGCGGCATCGTGATGGCATCACCCACCGTCCACGAAAGCGCACGCAATATTTGGTCACCATAGAGCTGAACAAAGCCGCATGCCTCTGCATCGAAGTAGTGGTTGTGGCGACCCAGGGCGGTGATAACGGTAGCCACGATGGCGAGCATGGAGCAATAAGTCAGGTGCATCGGACTTCGCTCGCCAGGCAGTTCGGGGATTGCAACGTCGACGCGACCAGCTCGAATAGCAGAGGTGATGTTGTTGTTGCTATAAGCAGCCAACAAGCCCTCGCTCGCGAACCGTTCCGCTGCAATGGGATTGCTGACAACTGCCATATGGAAGAGAAGAATGTGAGGGGTGTAGAGAGGGTGCTTGAGCGCCAACAGAACCGGTACGTCCGAAAGGCCCGCCAAATCCGTCCGCACGAATAGTTCAAGACTTGCACGCATCACGTCGGTCTCTTGACACCTCGTTAGCCAGAACGTCGAAGAAGGGCTGATGTCCGTCCTCGTGCACTGTCGGAACACCGTCACAAGAAGTTCCATGTCGCGGTCGAGATCAAGGTCCCTCCTCGTCTGAGCCGCAATAAAGGTGAGCCTCAAACCCTCCAACACCATACCCAACACCGCCTCCGTCGTCTCCAATATCGTCAACCTCTGGTCCGAGTTGAGCGCCTTGGGTCGGTTCAGCAGCGACCTCGCCTCCATGGCACAGAAGAACAACAGCTGAAGTAGCGTGCGATGGAATGGATTCGGCAGGCCGCTCATGAACGACTTCACCGGGTCCTGTGCGTCGTTGTTGACGATGCTCTTCAGGTTCTTGATCAACTCGATGAAAGACTTGATCTCTCCGGCATTGGTCGAGGACGAGGGCGAGAACCAAGCCACCTCCAGGATACCCAACAACAACGCCAACCTCGTCCCATGAATCGAAGCCATCATCTCCCCTCCCCTCTTCTCCAGCGCAATACCTCCCGAAATCGAAGCAGCAATATTGATCATGCTTGCTCGAACTTGAGTATCAGGCCTCAAGTACGGGATCGCCTGTCGCAACAGCTTCTCCCACGATTCCGCAAGAGTCGTCTGAGCATGCGTCAACGACAAGTTGAGGTTGATCGACAGCACCAGCTTGGTGACGCTGTCTATCGGGTCGTCCATCCCATCTGCTTCGATCGAGGTCTTGAACGCATGAAGCCGGTCCTGGAGGAGCGTCACGGAGAACGCGAATCGATCGCCGTAGAACCGATCCGTCAACGGGTCCTGGACTTCGAGCTGGGGTAACGAGAGACCAGGGAAGTCCTTCTCAATTTTCTCCGTAGCAGCGTCGTGCAGACGAGGCGCGTACGGGCTGGGAGCAGCCTCGGAGAGCAAGTCGTTGAGGTCATCCTCCGACTTGAACTCGGGCTCCAGTGCGACAAAGCTTTGAGGTTTCTTCGGTGGTGTGCCAGTCTTCGTGCCTTCAGCCTGCAAATGGAACCCAATATCCAAGCTGAGGAGTTTGACCGCATATGCCTTGGACAGCGTCCGGTACGCGTGGACAATCACCGGCTCGTTATGGTTCGAATGCTGGACCTTGTCGATAACCACATACTCCTCCGTCTCGTAATCCGGCACAGGCCCAACCTCTTCCTTCACTATCCCCACAATCAGCGGCCAAAACTTGGGATCCTGGCGAAGCGAGTCGATCGTGGCTTTGTGTTCCCCCGCATGCTCCCACACCACAGTCATAAACTGCAACACAGCCGCAAGCAACTGGGGATTGACATCCCACAGCTGCCTCCAGTGGAACAAAGAATCATGGGCAGCAGTAAGGGCGTTCCGCTCCTTGCGCTTAGCAGCCAGCGTCACGGTCTTCTCCTTCTCCGCATCCTTCGCTCCCTCCTTCTCCTTCCCTTTATCCACCTTGTTCCCAACCCTGATATCCGACGGAATCCTAAACTTCCCAGCCACAAACAACCCTCCCAACGCAGGCTCAACATCCACCACAAGCGCGATAAACTTCCACACGGCGATCCTCAGGTCGGGATCATCGTAAGGATGCTGGATGATGCCAACAAACGCCGACACGACCGCCTCGGGGTTGGCGAGGTGGCCAATCATGGTCGTTGGAGTAGGAGCAGCTGACATGGCGAGCGAGGGGGTAAGAGCGAGGGCCGAGTTGGATAAAGAAGAGTGGTGAAGAGACCCCAGGCTTGCCGAGATCGAAAGGCTCTTTGCGAGCGTGGTGAGAAGTCGGATGGCCTGGTAGGGCACATCAGGTCCAATCTCCCTATCCTTGACATACCCAGCCAGAACGTCGATGGGATCCTGCTTGGTATGGGTGTGATCGTGTGAGGCTCCGCTACTGACCACCCTAGCGCACAACGCCTGCTCCAAGAGGGAGATTGTAGGGGCCTGCGCGTGACGAGCACCGTCTCCCAGCTCTGCGAGGAATCGCAGCTTGCAGTTGAGGACCTGTCTGGAGAGAAGAAGCAGAGTATCCAACAACAACAGGAGCCTCGTGACATCACCAAACCGCCGTGACGCATGCAGCATCTTGTAGACCTGCTTCGCACTGGAAATGGACGAAACAAGAGGGGTGATCGTCGAGGTCGTAGCCTTGAGCAACAGGACATCTGCAATAGCCTGGCTGAGCAGTGGGTAAGGTTTCGCTGTCGGCGTCTTCCCGTCCTTGTCGTTCTGTGCTGACTTGTTGTCGTGCCCATCCAGAAGCGTCGGGGGGAAGTTGGAAAGGATGCAACTATACAGCGTGGCAATCCTCCTGGCGATCTCGAACCGGTCTCCAAGCTGGTTATACCTCCACCCCAAATGCTCAATCCAGATCTCGTTGTGAACGAACCGGATGGCTCGCAACAACACCTCCTCCTTGACCTGCTGCAGCTTGGCCTTGGCGGTGCTCCCCGGTTCGTCGGATTGCACAGTCAACGCGGCGTCGAAGACAAGCTGTTGCACAAGGTGGAGAAGGGCGAGTGTCATGGTGTACTGGCCAGTCGCTCGCTCCATCGCCAACGCCACACTAGCATAGGACTTGTCGGACACACTTCTGCTACCGGGTCCAGCACCGAAAATAGCACCAGTCGATCGGATGTACAACCACACTCGATTCGAGTAGACCGGATTGGCGAGCAGGGCAGCCAGTACACTCAGACTGGAAGTGATGAGTTGCATGCGCACGTTGTTCGCTGCAGCCGCCTTCGACCCGGACCTCGAGAGCGCTTCCTCCAAAATCATGGTAGTGAGCTGGACCAAATCCGGAGGTGGTGTTGCTGCTGATGGGGCGCTACCAGGGTTGGGCTGGTCGAGCGAGGCCATGAGCTCTTCAGCCTGTGAAGGGTTGAACTGAATGACGCTGCGCAGCAGGTCGAGCGCCTCCGTCACCACCTTTTCGTCGGTGCCATCGTGCATGTCTGTGATTACATCTTCGATCTTGATTTGCAGCGGCTGCGAAAAGTGCGGATGGCCCCTCTGGCTATGTCGGCTGAAGACCTCTGCACCTGCAATGTCGCTGGCGGAAAAGGGGTTGCTTCCAAGACCCGTAGACGATGATGACGGTGTTCTAAAGTTCATATGCCTCCTGCTGACATACCACCCCAGAATCGCCAGAATTAACTTCCACCCTGAATGCACATGGTCCCAAGCAACGACGATGTACTCCCCGCTGTCCCCGCTGATCACATTTCCAGTCGACTTTGCAGGAAGAATTGAACCTCCCGGCAACAGAAGCGGTCGTAGGTTGGTGTATGTCATCCCAGAGCTGTTCGATGGGTTGCTCTGCTTCTCGTACAGGGCGTGAGGACCGGTGCATTGTGAGAGATCGATGACTTGGGCGAAGGTGGGGAGTTGAGAGAAGTAGTAGTAAACGAATCGGGCGCACGCAAGGCGTTCTTCGCTCAACGTGTCTCCAGCTGCTCCGCTTGGTTGTTGAGGATCACCGATGGCGACGGCGAGAGGGTCGGTGTCCACGAAGCCTGCTCCAGACATCGCCCTGAGAATGCGCAGTAATGGAGTGACAAATACGGGGAAACGATTGCGAGAGACGTCCACGAGTGCCCTTCTGGACCAATAACCGGCGGAATCATGTTTGCCCGAGGGACTGGCGCTTACGCTTCCTTTGGGAAGAGAGAATGGCCAGTCGAACTGCCACCACTGCAGACATATCGGGGCTACGTAGCTTGGCTCGCTGCGTCCAAATAGTGCTATCCACACTTCGACGAGTCCGTCGAAATCTGGGATGTTTTCGACGAGGATCAGGTCGAAGAGCGCAATCACAAGACCTGAAGCACAGTTAGTTAATAGTTGAACACGAGCAGGAAATCCACATACCCTTGAGCGTTGAACGATATGATAGGCTATTAGGCGCATTCAGGGCTGATCCTGTCCGCCATGCAATGGAGGTAACGAACAAGGGTGACTTGGTGAGGAGGTCGTTGATGAGGGGGAGGAGGCCTGCTTCGGGGGATAAACAAACTCTGGTCATCTGTAGATACACAGGCTCCGCGTTGAAAGCGCGCGAATTGGCAGGTGGGTTGATAATATCCATGAACTTCTTGTAACTGGGAGGAATGGTGTCGAGTGTGGAGGTTTTGGTGCAGATTCGGGAAAGGACGTATGTCCAGGCGAGATAGGTGCAAGCAAACTGGCTTTGAGTGTTCGAGATGACGATGTTGTGTATCTTCTCCAATGACTCTGGGGACGCGATGTAAAGGGTTTTGCCACTGGGCGTCTCTGTGATCTCCAACCCTTCATCATGCCCGACGGTTTCGAGTTCAAGAACTTCAATGGTGATAACAATCCACAGGGCGGCGCAGTCTTGAAGTAGTTGCTGGCTTTCATTGTCGAGGATGAGGGTATTGTGTTGTTGGATTGCGCCGAACGAAGTGTCGTAGGCAGTTTCGAGAGTTTTGACAACAATCTCTCCTGTACATGGTGCGTACCCCCACATTAGCTGGAAGAACAACTCCAACATAGCCAACTGGTCATGGAGGGACCGCTTCGCATGTGCTATTGCTTCCTGCGGATCGTTCGTCGACAACTTTTCCTTCGTTTTGGCAGTGTACGCGTTAAGAAGGTCGATTCCAAACTTGATAGGGTCGGGAATGACGACGGGGAGAAAGTCGCATGCGACGTCGTAAAGAAGGTCACTCTCGTCTCCATACGCTTTGAACAACGGCCCAAGAATGCGAAGCGCGTTCAACCGTTCCGAATAGTAATAAGGGGTGATCTTCTCCAAAAGGGCTTCGACCATCTGCGAGCTCGTCTCGGCCGTGAGGTTGGGTGGCAGGCCTTGGTTGTAAAGGAAGGAGCGGAAGAGGATGAAGGCCTGGATTTCGTCGATGTTGAACTTTGAACTGACAGCGAGGATGAACTCTTTGTCGGCCTCGACGACGTTGACTTTTATGCCATCTGGGAGTTCGACCGTGCCGCTGACGATCTTTTGGCGCGATGCCTGGGACGGTGCCCCGAATATTGAAGGGGTGCACACATTTTCGAGGACGGAGCGGCGTGAATCGAGGTGGTCTCTGATCTGGTCTACCGGACTGCCCTCTTGCACACCAGACAGCACCAGATGCAGCTGTTCATATGAACTGCAAATGTAATGTCAATTCCAGTCTATTGGAATTAATATAAAGAAACATACACGTCTATGAGGTTTGAACGACGTTCGTCAGTCATCGCTTGCCTGAAGAAACGCGCCGAGGCGCGTGTTGTTCGCAGTGAGCTCGCGGGTGCTTGTCATCAACGACCATGCCAAACAAAGGCGCTCCGACCGCTTCGGGCTGCCATCAACGACGAGCATCAAAACAACCACGACGATCAGGAATTTACTGCTTTGAATTGTCTTCAACGCACCCAATTAGCTCGTGTTCGACGTTCTGCAAACTACGCACTGCGACGCAGCATGCATCATGTCCAGCTTGCAACCTTGCCCAAAACACGCTGAAACCACGATGTTAAAACGCAGTTCCTCCGCAGCTGGGCGCTATTCCTGGTCTATATAACCTGCCTACCAGACCCCAACGCTCATCACCACTTGGTCTGTAACCCGCAGGACTTGCCTAAAGCCACCCGGTGTACAGCCCTCGACGGCCTACATACTCTTCCAAGCCTAGCTACAATGGACTCCGATACTATAACCATCGCGTATGCCTCCAACTTCCTTGTCCCCTTTTCTCAAATCGAATGACCCTTGCGATAGCGTCATGGGCGCCACAGGCAGCGGCAAATCAACTGTATGCATCGGGGCTATCGCCTCTCACTCTCCTCATGCAAACCTAACCACCCCAAAATCCAGTTCATAAACCTCGTGAGCGGGTCCTCCCTCCCAACCAGCTCAGGCCTTCGATCATGCACCGCCTCCATCCACGAAACCCCTCCCTTCGAACTGGACGGCAAGAAAATCGTCTTAATCGACACACCAGGGTTCGACGACACAACCAAAAGCGATACCGAAATCCTCAAACTTATCGCTGACCACCTCGCTAATTCGTGCGTAGGACCCCACTTCTCTCGTCTTATTCACAAAGCTCACAGTTACACGTCAACCTTGACTTGGATCGACGTTTGATCTTTGTCTCGACTTACTCCCCGGATACACAAACGGGACAGGTACCGCCAAAACAACCACCTCTCAGGCCTCCTCTTCCTCCACCGCATCTCCGACACGCGCATCGGCGGCATCTCCGCAAAATCCTTCCGAACACTGCACACCCTCTGCGGAAAACCAGCCCTCCCAAACCTAATCATCCTAACCACAATGTGGGATATAACCGACTTTTCCCTCGCCGAAGCACGAGAACACGAATTGGCCTCTGAAGAGATGTTCTTCAAACCAGCGTTGGAAAAGGGGGCGAGGATGATGAGGCATTTGGGTGGTGTGGAGAGTGGGAGGAATGTGGTTAGGCAGGTGGTTTGGAATTTGGAGAGGACGGGTGGGAGGAGGGTCGTACTTCAGATTCAGAGGGAGGTGGTGGACGAAGGGAAGGATGTCAGTGATACCGCCGCAGCGGAGGAACTGGATCGACAAATGAAAGAGTTGAAGGAGAAGCAGAGGGTGGAGAAGGAGAAAGCTAAAGCCGAGGCTGAAGGTAACTTATGCCTCTCCATCTTTGTCGACCTGGAATTCACCACGTTTCTTGAAAAGCTGCAATGAGAAGACAAGAAGAAGAAGCTCGTAAACAACGAGAACTCGAGGCTCAACGCATCCAAGAAGAGCTAGCCAGGGCAGAGGAGGAAAGACGGAGAGTGGAAGAAGACATGAGACGGCAACGCGAAGAGCTCGAACGACGCATGAGAGAAGAAGAGGAGAATCGACGTCGAGAGGAGGAACGCAGGAGACGAGAATTCGAGGAGCGAATGGAAGCATTGAGACGTCGAGAAGAGGAAGAAAATAGGCGCCGCCATGAAGAGCATGAACGTCTGCAGAGGGAGCTTGAGGCACAGCGCAGGCGACACCAGCACCACGGCGGCGGTTGCAGCATTCAGTAATAGTTCACACCTTCACGTTAGTCCACCTTCACATTGGTCCACTGCCCGCACTACGAGGCCGAATTCGAGAGCTTGTATACAGTCTATGGTTATGGCACATGTACAAGTATAGCATAAAGCATAAAGATCAAACCTAGCAAATGGTCTGCATGAGTAGCAATGTGGAATACGAAAAACCAATCCTCCAAAAGCATTAACCGAAAAAGCGATAGAAACAAGCGTAACTGATCCAAAAAGAAAGCAAAAGAGAAGAAGAAAACCGTCCAAGAATCCAAGAGTCAAAAAGTCAAATAGAAAGAAAGATGGCAAAATGTCCAAACCGCTCCCCCACACCAACGCATCGCACGTTACATTTTCCTTCCCTTCACAAGCCCCTCAGTCGATACTCTTCCTCCTATCCTCCCTCCTCGAAACTTGCGGTGTCCCAAACCGTCTCAAACGATCCCGAAACAACGACCTCGGAATAGTCGTCGGGTTAACAGTAGTACTAGTAGTAGGCGTCAACCTGTTGTCGTTGTCGTTATTGCAGCAATTCGTAGTCGATGTATGCGTCGTAGTAGTAGTGGTCGTAGTCGTGTGGTTAGTCGTCGTCGTTTCATCCGTCTTGTCAGAACTAAACGTCCTCATCCTCTCTTTCGGTCTCTTCGGTGTAACAGCCCTCAGCTCCCCATCTCGCCCTTCCTCTTCTTCAATCTTCTCTGATATAGTCCCCTCGACTGCCGACAATGATGGTGATCTCGCATGGGTAGTCCTTCCCGCGGCCGTGGTAGTGGCCGTCAAACTAAGCTTCCTCCGCTACACACACACCACACCCAAAGGGAGGAAAAAAAAAAAAAAGGAAAGAACGAGTCAGGAACCACAGAACCGCCATCGGAGAGGGAGAGAGAGATACAGAGAGGGGGAAGAAAGTGTTGAGAAATATAGGGTTCAAAGGAACGATCACTTACTCACCGAATTCTTCTTGTTTAACGAGAAGAATCTGCGCACACCACTCATGGACCCGCTTTTACCCTCTGTATCCTTCGTATCAGTCGAAGCGATGCTTTCGGCTTTCTTCCCTTTCGAAGTCTCGAGAGCGTCGACGATAACGATGGCTTTGGCTCGCATTTCTGCTGTAACTGGAGATGGGGAGTTGGTGTTTGGCGATGCTGAAGATGGAGCGGGAGCAGCGGCAGAGGTCGATGACGGAGGAGTATTAAGCGTCGTGGCATGGAGGTTAGCTATTGGAGTTGGGATGCTCCCCCCTGTATCACCCGCCGACCCAGAGACGAACGCCGGTGTATGCGATGCCATCTGAGGTGTCGCGGTCCTCGAACCACTTGAAGTCTGGCCTTCCACATTCACCAACACCCAACCCTGCCCTCCACCCGAACTTGCACCCGAGTTTGCACTATTCGTGTTCGGCTTGACCAGCTTCCGCGACTCCCTTGGCTCCTTTCCATCCTTCTCTTTGCCCTGCCCATGCCCACTCGAAGAACCTAACGACGAACTCGACTTCATAGGCGGTGTTTGAACATGCGGTGGAACTGGTGTCGCACTTACACTCCTCCCGCTGTTCCTGCTCGCGCTATTCCGAAGGCCGTCAGAATGACGAGGTGGTGTACTCGGCCCACTTCCATCACCGCTCGAAGGACTGAGCGATGTCGCAGCAATAACACCCACCAACGCAGCCTCACTCCTCCTCAACCCCCTCGTCGTCAAAATCTCCGGGCTCTCCACTCGGCTTGACGTCTCGTGAATAGGCGTCGACGCCTTCTCCTGCTCCCCGCCATCCTCAGGCTTGGGGCTATTCATAGGGAAGTTCCAACGCGAGTTAACAGTGGTATTCGCAAACGGATCGTCCTCCTCGTCAATAGGACTCGACGTGCCCTGCCAACCCCCAGGCACCTTGTGTCGATTCGCCGGCCTCTCCCCTCCCACAGCGCCCGTCCACTTGATGGGAATCTCGCTACTAATGTCCGAAGACCCCGTCTGCGTCGACAGCGTCGAGTTGCGATACATCTCGTCCGAATCTCCTTTGAACGCATTCCCTCCCAGAAGCGGTGGGATCACAGAGGGGGTGATCGCACCCTGGGCATTAGGGCTTCCACCTCCACTTTGACTCCCGCTTCTGCTTGGAGACCGGGAACCAGAGCCCCCGGTCTCATGGCGATGGGGGCTGCGCTGCGGCGAAGTCGACGGGGAACTGGATACCGAAAGGAGAGGTGGTGTCTTGGGCCTGTCTTTGACAGATTGCACTCGGAAATTAGGATCGAACGGTGGGTACTGATACCCCCCAGCCCCGACACCCGTCATATTCTCCTGCCCATTCGAAATGACACTCGGAAGGTTGACGCGATTATTAACAGGGACATCATACCCGCCCGGCATCTCCGCGTCGTCGTCCACATCTGGGTCGTTTTCTTGGATCACAGAGACAGGGACTTGGGCGCGCGGTGCGGGTTTCCGGAGGAGATGAGGACCCTGGGAGAGGGACGTGGTGGGTGGACTGGGTTGTCGGTGGAATTGAGACATGTCTTCGGTCGCAGCTCGTGTATGGCCATGAGGCTGGCTGCCAGATTGGGTGGGTAACGCTGGGGGCTCTGAGACTTGTCTTCGGTGCTGCATGCTGCGGTGGCTCTCTGAGTGTTCCAGAGAGAACGAGGTCTCTTCATGGCTGGAGGTGGAGTCGGAGACGAGCCCTGTGAATATCCAAAGGTCTTTGACTTTTGACCGATTTGTGAGGGACAATGAAGTGAGGAGGGTGAAAGAGTGGGCGTCAAGGGAAGTAAGAAGGGATAGGATGCACTGGAGAGAGTCGGATGCAAAGTTGTCTTGCTCGAACCCTATAATGATGTCAAGATGGAAAACGATACAGTCCATGGATACATACATTTATAGCCCTTGAGTTTGAATTCAAAGGAATTCTCTCCTACTTTCTGCTCATAAACGACTCCTCTTGGCCAGGCAGCACGCACAGCTTGGAGTATGGCGGGCGTCAAGTGGAGCGGAGGAGCAATCACCCGCATCAGCGTCGTCGATGCAAAACTCAACGCAAATGGCACCCTCTTCTCCGTCGTCGTAGGTTTGGGCAAAGACTCGACCGTCGTGTTCGCTCCAAGGAACGGCGAGCCTCCTGGTGGTAGCGGTGTCCCTGTTCTCGAGGCTTCTGGTGTGGCGGACGGTTTTGAGAAGACCATGGCCAGTCTGTCGTCGTGTTCGCGCCCATAGTCGATGGAGGACAAAAACGAGTAGCCTGCCTGGTAGATGATGGCGAAAATATCGACGAGCAGCTTCTCCGTCGCTACCGACTTTGGGTTCGCCCATGGCTTTCCATCGAGAGAGAATTCGTATAGACCATGGTGTGTGTCTTCGCGTGTGGCTATTGGAACGCCGTGGTTTTCGAATAAGCGTCGTAGGTTTGCTTCTACTTGTTGACCAAAGGAGTAAAGACGAATAAAGTTAGAACTTGATAGAGCGAGTAGGGCAAAAGAGTTTGGTTGACGAGGGTGCTGGTCTCGGAGAAACTCTTTCCTCGGGATGAAGCCCTCGGGCGGAGAAGAAGTCGTCGAAGTGATTGGCATCCCGTCAATGATGTCGACGAGGGCGAGATACACTCAATGTCCTTACTCAAATACATCCTTGCCCGTGACGTCATCCCACGTGTTTCACGCGCGGCAGCTTCCTGTGTTTGCCACCATCCTCCGTGTCTAACACTCTACTGGTACATACAGTCATAATGTGAGTACTTCAGCTCCAGTTGGTGTTATTAGTACCATATGTTCAGCTTGGGCACCCCGCGCACAGTTCTACACAAAAACATCAGCGTTTGGTCCTCAATTTGAAAGAATCCAACCGTACCTCTGTAGATGCTGTCCAGCCATCAGGGAAAATCCATCCTCTCGGGTTCGTTCCTTGTATAATGCATGGCTGTTCAAATTCAGCAGCCGTGTCTGAAATTAAAAGGTGAAATACCCACCTCGATGGTAAAGCAATGCCCAGGTTCCATAATTTCCGGTTCGTCGTTCTCTTCAATGACAGTCAATTGACGTCCACGTACGGCTATCACGGAACTCACTATGATGCAAAATCCAAGGCTGGCTATGAAACACAGGTCCAATTCCATGGCCCGTAAACTGGGAAGACACACAATAATTCGTATCCTTGACCAAATCGTGAATAGCCTTGCCAATATCTCGGAAATGCTTTCCAGGGCCGCAAGCTGCGATGCCAGCATTGAGTGCTTGGTTTGTAATTGATACCAGTTTTTTCCCTTGTTCATCCTACGCAGGCATGAGTCCCGTGTTGAAGAGACGATGAGGAGCGACATACCACGTTCCCGACGAGGAAGGTTTGAGAGGTGTCACCGTGATATCCGTCCTTGAAGATAGTCACGTCAATGTTGATGATATCTCCGTCCTCTAATGGGTGACTAGACGAAGTCTTGAGCATCCTTCAACGAACTAAGGCGAGTGCACTTACTCGTCTGGTATCCCATGCACAAGGACATTATTGATACTGAAACGCCCCGTCAACACTTTTCACTTCACACCCCAGCAGACGCATCCCACCTAGTGCAACACGACCTCGGAAAATCCTGATACAGCAACGGCGAAGGATACGCCCCATGCTCCAAAATAAACTCATGAACAGCTTCATCTATCTCGTTCGTAGTCCTTCCTACCTCCCAAAACGATCAAATCTAACCCTCAGCATCTCCTATACATCCCACAAGGAAGTAAAAACGACTTACTTTAACCAAACTCCCCGCATACTCCCGCACTTTCCTCGCCAACTTTGCAGACTCGCGTAACCTATGCTCTTCCTCCCCTCCCAACTGAATCTTGCCTCGAAACTCTGGTTTGTTGCCGGTAGGCGTTGAAGCATAGTAAGGCCTCTTGATATGCGGCGGTACACTGCGCGGTTTAATATGCGCAGTACCAAAGACGAACGGTTCCTCTGGTAAGATGATGCGGTAGCTGCCAAAGTCCTCGTAGTCGATGTTGTCCACGAAACCAGTGTCGCTATTGCGGTTTGCGCGAGTGAATGAGACGTGACGTAGGCTTTGGGCCTTTAGATTCCTTGACCAGACATTGTGTCGCGTTAGAGGAAGAGTTATACGAGCAATTCGGTGCATGGCTGAGCCATAAGAGCAGGAACCGTTCGAGAGAGGGGAGTGATGTCACTCGGCTATTCCCGAGGATCTTGGCAGCCCTTGGCATCGTCCAATCAGGCATAAAACCCCTATTTTCTCGTCAACCTTGTGTGCCACAGGTGAGGAATGAACTGCAGTGATACGACTGAGTACCTTCTAAATAATTACATGCTACTGTACACATTAATAGGCCTTTGAACTCTTCTCTGTCTGTCCTTCGACATCAACTCGCTCTACATCAACAGACGAAGAATCGTCCACAACCGGGGTAGGCTCTTCAGGTTCATGCGGAAGAACCAAATTCAAAACCGTCGCTACCACACCCGCAGATAAGACTGTACATCGACCTCAAGCGTCAGAAGCCCCGTCCATAACCCAACAAAACGGAACAGAACTCACAAGGCGTGCTCAACACAATAGTAATCGAATCAAACAACCCCTTAAGGCCCTTCCCCGGGTTGTCCACCCTCTCAAAAAGATGGGTAAAAATATCATGACTCAACAAATTCCCAACCCCAAAACTCAACGCAGCACCCAACACAAACCGATCCCTCCTCCCAAACGTCCCACTGGCAGCCAAAACCCTCACCCCACTCACCGCCACATTCGCAAACAAAAACGTCGTCACACCGCCCAGAACAGAATTCGGTATCGCCAGAAACACACCAGAAATTTTGCCTATGGTGCCGAAGAGGATGAGGAAGAAGCAGCACCAGCGCCCGGCGCCGCGGTTCGCGCACCGGGTGATCGCGATGACGCCGTTGTTTTGGGCAAAGGTGGAGAGCGGGGTGACGGTGAAGAGTGCGGAGAGGAGGCCCGCGATGCCGTCGCAGAGGACCCCGCCTTGGATGCGCGAGTCGAAGATAGGCCCCACGACGGGTTGTTTGGAGACTTCGGCTGAGGCGGTGATGTCGCCTATGGCTTCCATTGCGAGGGAGACTGACAGAAAGGTCAGTTTAACCTCTGGTAGGAACCGTTGAGAACGCACCATAGACGGCCAGCATGGGAAGAATAGCAGGTGGATATACACCAAGCTTAAACCGGTGCACCCACAAGAAAGTAATAGCAGGTGCAGACTTGATAGTAGAATCACTCATATACCCAGTCGCACCAGCAACAACACACCCAACAACCAACCCACAAATAATCGAAATATTCCTCATAAACGGTGACCCAAACATCTCAACAAGGATGATCGTCGAGAACGAGAGGAACCCAAGACCAATGAACTCTGCTGAACCCCACGGAAGAGGTCGAGGAGCGTTTATGGTGGGACATAGAGCGAACAGCCCAGTTTCAGGGCGTAGCTTGCAGTTGTTAGCTCCGCCACCCCAGTTGGCGATACCGGATTCACCAATGAGTGAAGCGCCGATCATGAGAATGACAGTCCCTATCACAAGGATGTAAGTAAGGTCTTCGAGGGAACCGGAATGGAACAAGATAAGACGAACCGGTGACGATGGGAGGGAATAGCCGCTTAAGAATCCGAGGAGAACAGAACGACAGGAAGATCTCAAAGAACGAGCAAACTAGCGCCGTGCCAAGCACCATTCCATAGGCATCTGGACATGGACCTCGGACGAAAGTTCCATCGGGCCCAACGGTTGAAGGACATGTGCCGTCATTGTACATCGCGTTGAACACCTTCAACGACAGATAAGCCTCCAATCCATGTGACTGGCGTTGATAAATGACAGGCGACTTACTGCGTTTGCCGTGCTGAGCGTGGCGAAACTCGTTCCGACGACAGTTAGGAGTCCAGTACCGAGATAGTAGCCTTTGAAGAGGTGTATCCGGGACATTTGCAGGAGACTGAGGAATCCTTATGAACAGAAAGCACTGTGAGTCCCAAGTACATGGGCCTTCACTGGGAACGCAACGTACCACATCCAATCAGTGAAGCAGAGATCATATACGCTGATAATTCAGGGTCGAGGTTAAGTGAAGAGGCGAAGATTATGGGGGGCGTAATGAGTCCAGCAAGCATAGCGAGCGCATGCTGCAGACCACTAGTCATTCCCAGCAACAGGGGCAGGCTATCGTCAAGGGCATAGAAAGGCGGCAAACGATTGTCCCGCTTCATGAATGGCAGCGAAGGCGTACATAGCCTAAAGACCATACCATCTGAGCACCGAGTATGAGCCAGGGAACGGGGAAGATGCTCACCATGCATAGTCGTAGTCCCCTATCCATCCCTGCTTGGTAGTAACCTTGCGTTTGATTCGCTGAACAACACCTTTGACCCCGTCCAACCGAGAACCTAAAGGCAGCGAAGGGACAACTGGACCAGAGATAGACTGCGGCTGTGAATCAACTGCAGCCATCGCAGTTGGAGAGGGGGAAGAAAGGGAGTGGGACCAAGCCCCGGACGCTGCTCGCTTCTTTTAACTTCAGTGGCTATCAGTCTGAAATACCTGGGAACTCCACCGCAAAGATAGCACTGTGGTGTATTGGTGCTCATATGCAACCGCTGTCGTTCAGGTTCTCCATCATGCGTAGAATGGTTGGAATGAACAACCCCCGATAGTTCGCGAAGCCGTGATAGCGGTGATAACCAAAGATTGACGATAACGACATGGTTGGAATAGAAAAGCTTCCAGTGGACCGCTGGGATAAGAGACCGCCGGGATTCCGAGGACAGGGGGCTGTCACAATTTTCCTGCCTTATCTTATCATGTCGAACCCATCTTCTTTGCAATTACTTCTGGACCCAAAATCAATTAACCATGTTAACAAGTTCTCCTCCTTCGTCAAGGAGAATGACAATAATCTACAGCTAGGAAGACATACAGCAAGATAGGTAAGTACATCGAGAGAATAGGCCCGCAATATATAAACTCACGACACAATGTAGTATAAAAACGGCTCATTTGGATGGGAATATGATGCTGCTAATGCATCGACACATCACCATCCCAGTCATCGTCCTCCCCACCCCGATCTCCCCAGCTCCCACCCCGCTCCATCGTCGCCGACAAAGAATGTCTCGGATAACCATTGACACTCTGCATCCTGTCGTTGATGACCTGCTCAACATTCTCGTCCCACCGAGAACCACTCTGGAAGAAGCGCCGGCGAGTCGTCTTGGATAGATGGCCGTGGTAGTCATGTGGAGAGAAGCCGTACTCGTGTGGGATATCGTAGTATTGGTTGGTGAGCAAGCTCATGCGCTTCTTGCCTGTGCCGATACGTCGCGAACGCTGTCGGTTCCAGTGGCTGGCTGAGGAGTCGTCGGAGTCGGAAGAGCCTTCTTCTGAATCAGAGGACGGCGCTTCTGCCGACTCTTGCAAGTTGTAGATGTACCGGGCGTGTTCTGCAAGGGGTTAGTAAGCTGTTGTTGCCGTTATCTATGTTGATTGTACTTACGGGCTAGGCGCTCGTCCAGGTCATCTCTAGGTTGTCCATCGTCAATACCGAATCCAAGGTGCTTTCCAACGCTGTCCCTTGGGACGTCTTGAAGCTGCACCGAGGGAGCTGGAGTAAGTTCCCGCAATTGCTCAAGGGCGTTAATTCTATATATCTCTGTCAGCATCCTACTCAAAGCCTAGCAGAAGATTACGCACCGAACTTTATCCAAGCTTCCCTCCTTAATGTTGAGGTCGTCCATGTTGTTCTCTGCCACTTCTAACCGGTATCTAGGTCCGAACCATTCGAAGTAAGGATTCCAGGGAAGGTTGACGTCAATATCATTCTCTATTCCGAGGGCGCAGGCGGTTTCATATGTCCACGTTCGGGCGACGTTCTTCACGGTGTAACCTCCACCGCCCAACAGGATCAGAGGGATGTTGTGTTTGCGAAGGAATTGCGTGCAATGAGCATGGCCGTACATCGTGAGGTTGAAACATCCGAGCTTGTCGCCTGCGAGGGAATCGGCACCACATTGGAGCACGACAGCTGATGGTTTGAACACTTCTAGAATCTTGCTGATAACCTGTTGTACCCGGTCAGCAACGAAGAGAAGGGACAATAAGCGAGTGACGCACTGGTTCGAAAACACTCTTAAAACTTTCATCTGTGATACCATCCTTCAGCGGTACATTCACCGCATATCCCTTCCCTTTGCCACGCCCGCGATCCTCTTGCGTACCCGTTCCAGGGAAATATTCTCCAAACTTGTGGAAGCTGCATGTCATCACTCGGTCTGTCGTGTAGAACGCCTCTTCAACACCATCTCCGTGGTGGCAGTCGATGTCGATGTACAGAACGCGGGGGTATATCCGTAGAAGTTCGAGTATGCCGAGTACAATGTCATTGATGTAGCAGAACCCTGAGGCTTCGCGCTTCTTGGCGTGGTGCAGGCCTCCAGCCCAATTAATGGCAATGTCGGCCGCTCCAGATGCAATGCGTTGCGCAGCACCTTTGAAGTTGGGTTTATAATACTGATGGCGATGCATTTTGAAGGCCACGCACCTATTGACCCTCCCGCCGATATTGAACAAAACTCGAACACTCCTTCAAAGGCTGGGTTATCTTCGCCGACCAGGACTGTACGACGAGCGTGTTAGAAGGGCTAAAGGGCTAAAAAAGACAGGATACGCACATCGTGTTCCATGGTACGTCAACTCTTCTGCCGTCTCTGGCGTTACTCTGTTCAGGAAATGCACGTATTCATCGGTATGAAACTTGGTCATTGTCTCGGCGGTTGCGCGTGTTGGTCGCTATGGTCTCGGTTAGCTTTTAGAGTATTCTCGACCCAGTATTTGACTCACCAAAACGTGCATCTGGTCCAGCATGTCGTAGGCCGTCACAAGATCGTGTGTCACCCTTATTCTGTGAGGCTTCATGGGGTGGCCCAACCCATACGTATACGAACCCACATCGGCTGCAATGTTCGTTAGCCCGCAAGCTACATGAGACTTCTTGAACATACGATCGTAGAAATAAGCGACTTTGCGTTTCGACATGGTGATAGAAGGTGAATGAACGGGAAACGCTGGTTTCTGGGTTCGGTCCATCTTTGCCAGGGCCGGCCCTGCCGCTCCTCGATCAATGACTCACGTGATGCCTGAATGGGGAACGAGCCCCTATCTACGGGCGCTTATCATTGTTATCCAGCCCAGGCCACATAAAGGGTCATGTTATCTCGGCCAAACACTGGCGTGCATACGCTGAATCCCTCTATTAGCAGCTTGAATCGTTTGTTTAACTTATTTATTTGGCATTCCCGTCATCTGAGTGGCACGACTGCCAGTCCGCTCCTTCGCAGGACCCACAACTCAGAGCCATTTGTCACCAAACTATGCCTTGCAACTTGAAAGGCAGTTACAGCCCAAATAGAATGTTTTCCCCAGGTATCCACATGATATACGTGCCTCTTTCACCTTTTGTGTGCACCCTCGATCGAAGGCTGTGACAATTTGAACCCAGCCGTCGCCCACTGATTACTCCCACCACAGTTGATAAATTTACTGACTTCTTGATCATGAAAAAGCTGTTTCTATACGCAGCTTAACATACAAGCATGAAGTTCCGACCTCTGAAAAAATCTAATACTTCCATGGCCCAGTTTCTGAGACATCGTTAGTTCGACGGTCGATGATTGATGGCCTCGTGTTTCCCCGCCGTCATCACCAAGGTAGACTCAAAATATGCTACATTATCTCAGATTATATCACGACCAGCCTCATGGCAATGAGAGATTCTGTCTATACCCCTTCCAGCAATCTCCGCAAGAATGAACCGGTTTGATTTTCCAGGCACGCATTGGGGTTCCAGTGAGTAAAAGTAATAATGAATACTAGCGTACGTGGATGGGGTGCTACCTCGCATAGCCCGCCACAGAGCAGGAGAAGCTGCCCTCCAGGGACCTTCTGCAGACAAACACGAGCCGCTAAAGCATCCTTCGTCGTCCATAAAATCACGACCCTTTCATACTGCGGGCCGTGGAGGCGCACAGAAAGGGCTAGGTTCGGTCCTAGGGAATGGTTAGCAGTGGAACCCCCCGATCGTTCATCATCCATCGTGATTTCAGTGGGGTCTCCCAGGACGCGGTTGGCCAGTTTGAGAAGCGAGACTTCAAGCCAGAATCTTTCAACTTCGACGCCTTGGCTTCCTGGAAAGGTTGTCAGCACATATGTCTCCTTAATAGCGATGAAGCACCTACGGAAGGCTCCCCATAATCATAGATGGCGCTTGAAGAGCTATGGCCACGGCGTCTTTAACGATACTCTCTCCAAACGACTCCTCTTTCTTCTGTAACCGAAGATGGCGGGTGAGATGCGAAATGGACTGCTCAATTCTGTACCAGCGGTCAAGGACCATTTCCGCCGTTGGCCGCTGGTCCGGGTCCTCCGTCATAGCATAAACAATAAGTTCAGTCAGAAAGTCTAATCTATGGTATTTCTTGACACGAGCATGTCAGGTAATCCATGAGTACAGAAAGCAAAATCGTACCTTCCAGAGTTCATTGTAAAACATGTTCCCTGTTGTAAAAACGTCCACCTTGAATGGGTTGTACTCCGAGTTATGCTTCAGCTCGGGGACGTCTCGATCTCTTCCTCCGAGGTCTGTCACGATGGGTGATTGCCCAGGGTCCAGATGGTGTGCAATTCCGAAGTCGATAATGTAGTATTTGACTGGATGGTAGATCCTGGGTAGGGGTGTGACTCTGGTCACGAAATCTGGGGCACGATCACTGGACGCTGGGTGCCAACCGTTGGGAAATATCGGGCGGGCGTCCATCATAACATTGGCCCCAGTCAAGTCGCTGCAGCTGGGTTAGCACTATCTTCGCCCTTGAATATACATATTCTTACTTGTGTGCAATGTGATGGGAATGTAGAAACACGAGGCCCTGTAACATGCGGTGTTGGTCGCAAAGTCGGCATCCAGAATCCAAACCTCACCTCCAAAACCTGAGTGACAAAGTCGACAACTTCCTCGACATATCCAAATTCAGGGTCGTCAAATCTTCGCAGCAGAGGCATCACGATGAATTCGAAGCCATCTGGCTCTGGATCTACCAAATGGTCCAGGATGAAGGCGGAGTGATTCCACTGTTCTTTGAGCATTTCTGGTGAAGATAGGAATGTCCCTATTTGGGCCTCCTTAGAGTTTCTCGAAAAGAGCATCTTCAGACAGACAAGAGATCCGTCCTTGAGGCACTCCGCGTCCAGAATATTGGGGTCCTTCAAACATGTGAGGACAATGGGAGGAAGTATAGATTCAACACGGGACCGACCTCTAGTCTGAAATAGTCTTCACAGCGGAAAGACATCCTTCCGCTCTCGAGCCATGACGGAGTCCAGCCAGGTCGGTAACGCGGTCGGAGACGAAAGCCCTTTTGCAGGAAGAAGTCGTAACGGTCCACCCATAGTCGCTCGAATATGCTTAACGAGCTGTGATAATAGCTATCCGGGTGTCGCGCTGCAAACCTGGGTGCACTGGTAACGTTGGGATTGCCAGATAGTTTGGCTAGCGCTCGTCGCTGCTCTCGCTCTTGCTGCACCCTCTCTTTGCGCGTAGACATCGCCTGAAGAAGTCAATGGTTAGATCGATGGACGTGAGGGGTACTAGAGGAGAGAGGTCCAACGAGGTCTACGCCTCTTGAATCGGTTCGTCGCGGCTCGTTCGTGGTGGTTTTAGACATACCCACAGATCAACAGCCTGCCACCTTCAGGCAATGCCTCGTGCTGAGATGCCTCCGCGAGTCGGAGTTTTCGCCATTAGCATCAGACGGCCAACTTCGAACACAGCTTCGGCCACCTACATCCTTGGACTCATGGAAGAAACGTGCTCACCTCTTTGTCTGCTTCTACTTCATATTTCTGGACGATTGCTATATTAGAGCCCCAATGTCAAGACACTTGCCCACTGTCCTAGAAATCCGCCCTTCCGACGACTCGATCTCTGGTCACCCCCTTGCATCTTTTCGACTCGAGTAGATCGCTCCACTTAATTTTCGGTTTCAATCCATTACTGGCCTCCGGAGCACAAGTAGCGCGTAAAACATACTGCTGGAGATAGTGCTAGCACTGCGACACGAGACGGCGATGGACGACTTTTCGGAAAATGTCTTCAATTATTGCATCGGTGCACTGGCTCTGTGCAGCACTCTCGCCTCGATTTACCGATATTATCGATCCATCTTGCCGGCCCAGAGACTAGTCGCCTTGAACGACATTCTAACGGAGATAAAAATCATCTATGAGAAAGCCGATGCTGAAAATCTCTTCCCGTCGGAGGCCCAGCGACAGCATTCAAAGTCCCGGTTGACCGAGTAGGTTCACATTCCGTTGGGCACACCATCCGATGGGGGCTGATGGTGCCACTCAGTCTTGAAGTCCTCACAAACGAACTTCGCGAAAAGGCATATTCATCCACCACACCCTTTCAAGAATTTCTCTCCTGGGTACGAGGTCTATCGGAAACAATCGCAGATGCAACTTGTATGGCCAAGAAAATGCGAAAGAATCTCGTGGTGAGCCATGCCTTCTGTTCATATCATTTTACAAAGCGGTTAACGACCTTCAGTCCTTGACGGAGGAGGAACGTCGAAGGCAGTTACGGAGGAGGAGCGAATCCCAGCTAACCAGACCCCCCTCCACCCCCGCCACGGTGGAAACAGGTTCGTTTTAGATTGATCTGAAGACTCGACGCTCGTCTTACCAGTGGCTTTAGGATCGACAATTGAAGCTCCGGAACCCCTTCGATCTGAAGCCATCATCCAGCAAGCATCGGAAAGCAATATTCCCGCTCCTACCGTGATCGATTCGCCTTCCCCAAGTCGGTGTTCAACTCTGGTTGGTCAAAGCGAACCGCTTGAAGATGTGGCAGGAGCGGGAACACAGGGTAAAGGCATCGGGGTCCCTGGTTCTTTTGCGCAGAAGTTATCGCGACTGCTTACAGGTCGTTGGCGGGAATGGCGGATACCGACATCCAAGCCACTCACAGAGGAGCCGGTATCGGCATACCCAGATACGATTCCGCCTGTCTGAGCACATCGAGCTGCATTTTTTCATATCTCTATTTCTCTCTGCAGAGTCTGCAACGTCCTCGCCGCATTGCTATCGTCCCACATTATCTTGCTTTCCATTTGCTTTCCGATCGCTATCCATTATCTATTGTGCATCTCATACCAGTTGCCATGTCATCTCATCGCTTTCGTATTGCTTTCGTAGACCGGCCTTGTATTTAAACCGCACCTTGTCTATCTTCACGTTGTTTGGAATTAACTACCGACAACATCCGCCCCGGGAAGCATCCAACGGAAGGTAACGCTTAAACGCGTCCCACGTCTGAGCCATCGGCCATTCTGACCCTCTTCTCCAGCTGACGATCCGTGTACAACGTAGTCGCGAGTCCGTTTGTCTATCCCATGCGTCCATTTATACCTCGCATCCTTCGAAAGGACCACAACGCTGCGTTGCGGGAGGTACAAGTCGTGGCGACCTGCTTTCTCAGGCCCCGAGTGGACATGAGATTCTACCTCTTCCGTAACCTGGTCGAATCTCATGACTGAACCGCTCCCAAAGCTGACGCCAATGATTCCGTCTGCGTAGCGCCCCAGTAAATCAACATGGGGCGTAATACCCTCGCCAGGATGATACAGGTTGATAATGGCCTGTCGCGCTTGTGTGGGCGTCTCGGGGAATAGCAGGTCATAGGTTTCCTTCGGCAACGTTGGCCGCAGGACGACCGAGAGGGTGTCGAGCAGGGATACGAGGACAGGGGGAAAGCCGATCGACGAACTGATATGGGCGTCATCCTCTGATTCAGGATTGAAGCGCCCAAAGAGCATCACTTGATTGACGCCGGGTGAACGGAAGTACGTCTCCTGACAAAACTCCCAAACGCTCGTTGCGCATATCTCTGGCAACAAGACGGTTGGATCAAAGTAGAGGCCTCCGATCGTCGAAGGCGCTGTCAGGGAAGCAGGAAATATATCCTCGTCGGCGCCGTTCGTGGACTCCGTTTCGTCGAAGAGCGAGTCCAGAGAGGATGATCCAGAAGAGAGCGCGGAAAAGGGGTCAACATCGGACCCGGGAGATGGAGGCTTTATGACGTCCACGCAAGGTATCACGATGCGCAACGGCTTCCTCTTCTTGGAAGCAGGACCAAGCGTTGCGCCTTCACATATCCTCGCAGCCGACCCCGTACGTTTCAACGCCATACAAGGATGTGGGGTCGTCACGGTTTCCGTCTTCTGCTAGTCTGGCAAGGTCCGGGTCCAGCTGCAAAGGTTCCATGGGTTCAAACATCCTGGGGCGAGCGACTTCAACTCACTGTCGAGTCTCTTGAGCAGAGCAGTCCAGTTTCGTCGTCGATATCGTGAGTTTCGTTGCTTGCATGAGCTGGCAGAGAGCCAACTCCAGGACAATTGCCACGCCATTGTGGAAATAGTTCCGTTCTTCCGTGATCGGCAATCAATCGATCACTCGGCCATCGAACTCATGTGGCCGATGCATACCGGCCCCCGGAGACCGTCCATGCCGGTCCATCAAACTGCTTTAACAGCCGACGACCATGGTCAAGCCCCAGAGAATCAAGTGCAGTCTCCTGAACGCTCACTACTCTTGTCATGTCCTTCCCTTCTAACAACGACCTCGACATTTCTCATGTTAAGGGAAATGCGCCGGAGGAGATAAAACGCCTTCTGGTGTCGCCTTACCGCTTGTACAAGTCGAACCAGGCGCAAGGTCCTCTTTTCGGGGAGGAAATCCAGAAGAGATTGGTTGTGACGGAGGTTTCTATCCTCCAGAAGGCTGAAGAGCCTTTGAAGCAAGAGGGACGGGTTGTTCTGGAGACCGACGTTGCTGAAGGTGCGCCTGAGAGCCATCTTCACTGGTTTCCACGACTGATGAGAACGTTTCCCAGATATGTTGAACGGCGGAGGCAACATTCATGGAGGTTGCTCTGCCTTCCTAATCGACATGTAAGGAGGATGCTTCGTATTTGATAATTTGGGGCTGAGGATGTGTCCTTCCAGTTGCTCAACTTTGGCATTGATTGCTCTTGGTATCGTCAACAATTCCAAGTCGACTCGAAGCGTCTCCCAATCCCTCAATGTCGTCTACCATTCTCCGGCATCACTGTGAGTTTCGCACAAGGCATATTTCGGCTGACGTCTTTAACGCGGACCTCACAGGGGCGACCGCATTCGGATTGTGAACCAGACTTTGACCTTAGGCGCCCGTGCTCAATCGGTTCGAACCGAGGTAAGTCATGCTCGGCTCGCCTTGAGGAACTTTCACTGATCAATACTTAGATTTGGAACGTTACACACCATAGACTGGTTTCATCCGGCACGCATATCAAGATGGTTCCCTCTCCTCCACCCAAGCCAAGCTTGTGATCAACACGGCGAGATACCCATTGAAACATTGGGGGCTGTTCATTGTCGGAACACCAGGGCCACACAGACTAGAGCTAATTGGAGATTGGCCCAACACCATGCTCCTATCTATCATATCTCCAGCTGGACGACTAATGGAATTAATTTATTGACCCAATGGTCAACGAGCCACCGCTAGCCAATATTCACGTGGGGATTGCCTCGTTCCACTCGCAGTACATCTAGCACGAGCTTGAATCGACGTACACCGTTGGGAATTTCTCGCCACTGCTAGATAGACTCTATATACACTATTAGATTGCTCGTCTGGTGGCGTACGAAACGGGCAAGGCGAGCAGCGTTATCGGAACGGGATCCCTAGACGCCTGGTACGTTCGTCAGCCGCAGTCCTCGTAAGAGATGCAGGTTCCAGCTCACTGCGTGGGGTCAACGCTTCGTTGGTGGTTGAATGCCGCCAGGGCGTTCTGAGGGCTGCTGGGGTCATTGCTTGGACGCTGGAAACGGCCCTCTATCCATAGCTGGGAAGACCAGGCCACCCAGAGGTCGTTCTCCATAGTTGACTGGGGGCCTGCACCGTCTGCGAAGAGAATGCCAGAATCCAGGTGGTTCATCTGAGAAAGGCTGTCCGACAAGTGGCTAGGGCTCTCTATCCATTCCGGTCCAGTTCAGCAAGTTCTTTCAAAAGTCGGGCTCGTTCGTCCAAGAGCTTAAGCGTCCGTTGGTATTCTTCTTCGATCGCAACAAGCGCCTGTGCCTTCGTGTCCTGGTAGCCTTCTCCGTCAAGATCGTCAAATGATTGAAAATGAAAGCCGTGGCTCACCTCGTCCGTGCTGATACTGAGCCCAGACAGATTTCCGAGAATAGAGCGATCCGAACTGCGGTTCATGGAAGACGAAAAAGAGCGGTTATGCTCATACGATGCGATTTCGAACTCTTCGTCAACTGGCTCGATGAACCCAGTATATCGCACTGGAACTGGCTCTGGATAGTTGGCGTCGGGTTCTGGAGAGGGTGAGTTGCGCGAGGGTGAATGTTCAGGTGAAGCGTATATGTCGTCATCGGATTCGTCGTGGTCGTTTGAGAGCAACAGGGAGGCTGGGAATTCGTCGTGTGTGCATCTGCGTGGGGGTGACGGACGTCTGCGCTGGTGGGAGCGACGAAGCGATGACCGCGGGCTTTGGAAAGGTGGTTGCAGGCTCAGGGCCATGGAGGACGGTGTGGGAATGGGTTCGTCCCCGGACTTGGGACCAGAGTCGTGTTCTTGTGGTTCCCCGTACAATGTCGTAATGGATTCCAAGTCCACCTCTCTGTTGATAAACGCGGACAGGGTAACCTGGGTCTCCCTGGTTGAAACAGACGAAGGCGCATAGAAAACGGACTCGGTGTCCAACTCTGGCGACGAAAACCGACTACTTCGGCTACGCTTGGTGGAGGAAGAAGAGGTAGACGTAACGGTGTTGTCTTCTTCAACGGGCGCTTGAGACGTCGTTTTCTTCCTCCCTGCCGACTTGGTCTTCTGGTGTGTCTCGGTCGACGAGCTGGGTCGTGGTAGCAAACCAACGCGCTTGCCAATCCAAACGAGGACCTCAGCGACAGAGACGGTTTCCTCCCACTCTCCTCGAGCAAGTTTCCTAGGATCTATCTCGCTTAGACCAACGTCCTGTTGGAGAACGTCGGTCTCGAGGACCCCCAGAAAGATCTTGACTTTCTGGACCTTCAAGTCGGTTGGATTGGTTTTTCCCCTGGAAGAGAGACCGGGTAGTGGTATCTTTTCTCCAAGAAGCGATTCCAAGATCGCCATCAGCAAGGAAGGCGTCAAATCGGTTGGCGAAATGATCGAAATCGGTAGATAGAGCCCATTCATGAGGTCATTGAGTTCTGCTACCAGTTGCATATCCTCTGCCGTTGAACAAGCTTTGTGCGATTGTGAGTTGCTGGGTGGATTTGTTTGTCGCTGCATGTCTTCATGGAGGGATAGTTTAGGTTGTAGGTGTCGTCGCTGTCGAAATTTGGGCGCAGACTGGTCGATGTCTGAGTCCAACCGTCGTCGGCAAGGTGGACACTGGCGAACATGCGTCTCTCGGCATGCGTGCTACCCGCGGCGCGTCGCCCAAAAAGGCAACAGCGTGTAAAACAAACAGAGCCAAGCACTTCACCGCGCACCGCGACATCCGGAGTTTGTGGCCAGCGCTTTCCATCATCCGCGACACTGGGCCTTAGAATTCAGGTGCTTGACACTCATTAGAAGAAGTAATGTGGACATAGAGAAAAGGATACAAGTGCGTCTCAATCTGTCTATCACTTAGCCATGGAGAATTGACCGTTTCGTAGAAACGCCGCCAACTATACCAGACTATCCGACAACGCAATCTCGAGCGACCTATCCATTGTTCCAATTAGATACCATGGGGAAGACTGGTGTTGAAGCAAATGGAACCCCCAAATTGGCACCATTCAACTATAGCATCAGCAAACTCCTCATCCTAGGCTTCCTATTCCATGTCGTATTCATTTATTCGGTCTTCGACTGCTACTTTACAAGTCCAGTCGTGTCCGGGATGAAGAGTTTCAATGTAGGCTCTTCACCCGCCAAGCGACTGGTTCTAATAGTTGGTATGTGCCTCAAATTAAAAATCTCTGTGTTGCTGACATCTCGTTCCAGGTGACGGCCTAAGAGCGGACCTGTTGTTCAACACCTACCCGTTCCCAAATATACCAGGCTCTCCGAGAATTGTTGCCCCTCACCTGCGCTCTATCGTGGAGAGTAGAGGCGCTTTTGGTATCTCGCACACTCGCGTTCCGACAGAAAGCAGACCTGGGCATGTTGCGATAATTGGTGAGAGTCATCTTCTCGTCTTCGGGTTACAGGGTTACTCATGTTCCGCAGCCGGCATGTACGAGGATGTATCAGCGGTTACGAAGGTGCGTTCCAGCTTGTTAGGAAGGTGAATGTTAACTAACCTGGTCAAAGGGATGGAAAACCAATCCAGTATGTTCGCGTGGTTATGGTCACCGTCCAGCGCTTATAATGTCTTCAGGTCGACTTTGACTCGGTATTCAACCAATCAAGCGCTACGTTCCAATTTGGCTCCCCGGACATCACACCCATGTTCACCCGCGGTGCTACGCCAGGCAAGGTCAAGGAATGGTGCTATGATGCCGAAGCAGAGGACTTCACCAAAGGTACACGTCCAGTAACGCGACAAATTTGCCCATCATGCTCATGCATTCCGATTAGACGCGACTGAGCTAGACTTGTGGGTTCTTGACCACCTTGAATCACTACTCAGGAACGCCACCACCGATCCATCCCTAGACAAGGAGCTTCGACAAGATAAAGTCGTGTTCTTCCTTCACCTCCTCGGTTTGGACACCACTGGTCACTCCTACCGGCCTCATTCCAAGGTTGGAAACACTTTTCGCCTTGCACCTGGCTCCTAGACTCAACTCCTTTCCGTCAGGAATACATGAACAACATTCAGGTTGTTGACAGTATCGTAAAGCGAACAGAGGAGCTTATCTCCAGCTTTTATGGGGACGAAGAAACGAGCTACGTCTTTACTGCAGACCATGGCATGTCTGTAATTGGGAATCATGGCGATGGGCGTGAGTCTGCAATATCGCTGTTGTCTACCAAAGTTAACCCTCCCTCGTAGATCCTGACAACACTCGAACGCCTATAATCGCTTGGGGCAAAGGCGTCAGAGGTCCTCTCCCAGATCCTAATTCGGAATCTCATGATGACTACTCTCGTCCATGGGAACTTAGCCACCTCTACAGACGTGACATGGAACAAGCGGATATTGCCCCGCTCATGTCGAGCTTGGTTGGCATCGACTGGCCTGTAAACTCTGTTGGTGTTTTGCCTGACACGGACCCATCGCTACCCGGATACCTGGACACAAAAGCGAGTGATAGCTTCGTAGCGCGGGCTGCCTTCACCAATGCCAAGGTTTGTAACATGTTCAGTAACAGGGGCCATTTAAGCTGACCACCAAGCAGATGATTCTGGAACAATATCGTGTCAAGAATGGTTCGTAATTTGCGGATGCTGACCATCAGATGCGCTCATTCCATCTTTCTAGATATCAAGAAGAGTCACAGCATTTGGTACTCGCCTTTCAAAGCACTTCATCAAGATCCTCAGCAGGCCCCTGGAGAGGCCGACCTGAAAACAATAGAAGCGCTTTTGGCCAATGGCAGCTGGACTGAAGCACGCCGTGAATCTCTTTCGCTTGTCAAGAAAGCATTATCGGGTCTTCACTACCTGCAGACATATGACAGGACCCTCATTCGGACTATCGTCACCTTCGCATACACAGGATGGGCTGCTTTTGCTTGCATCTACCTCTTCCGGACAGGGGATGTCCCTACTCCTTCTGGTCGCACCTACCACCAGATTCTCAATGGACTTGCGGCCGCAATCCTGGGAGCAACCTGGATGGTCTTCTTCGTCCAAAAGTCTCCCTGGACGTTCTACATCTACGTTGCTTTCCCTGTGTACTTCTGGCAACAATTCCTGGTTTATGGTGCCCCGTCCATCGTGGGCAGAGTCGCCTACAGTGGCTACGCGAACGTGATCCTCCGTGTGGCACTTGTGGTCATTTGCACACAGGCCATGGTGGTACGTGACATAACTGTTTGCGAGCTTACCCACAGTTCGCTGAGTCTTCCTAATAGCTAGGTTACACTCACCGATCGATATGGAGTATTGGCCTATTTTTCATCGCGGTTGTGTGGCCATTGACATGGAATTCGAACGCCGAGGTGCCCGCGACCACGACGCTGGCGTGGGGGGCGTCGTCGTTACTTACGGCCGTCTTCCCTCTCCTGCCCGTGGATAAGACCGAGAACTTGACCACAATGTACGAGATTTGCTTGCTCAACGAAGCTTCTTCTGACATCTCTCCAGCCTAGCCGGAGGCGTCTCAATCATCGCTTTGGCGTCTCTCGGCCTTGTGATTGTTGCGTCCCATACAACGAAGCCAGCCGCGAGATCTTCCATCTACACGACGTTTGCAACTCAGGTTTGTGTTACTCCCGAATTCTCTGGATCAAACTCACCGTCAGTAGGTCTTGCTCATGCTTCTCATGATGCTGGTTACCGCAAGCTCCGTCCGACACTTGCAGCGCAAGAATGGGCTTCCCGTCCTAAATGAGACACTGGGTTGGATTATTTTGGGTGAGGATATTAGACGCTGCTGTGGACGGGCGGTTCGACTAATTGTTCTGCTATGTATAGGTGTTGCTTCTCTGTTCCCCTTCACTGGAATCGGATATCAGAAGACAGCCGAATCTAGAATCCTCAGATACTTCCTTGGATTCGGCCCAGCCTTCGTCATCTTGTCGATCAGCGTGGAAGGAATGTTCTACGCAAGCTTCACAGCTTGCCTATTGGCGTGGCTTGATGTTGAGCGACGACTGCGCCAACGTCCAGAAGGCTCGCAGGAGGGATCCGCAAAGAGTACCGCCCTGTCCAGCTATCGATTCCAGCCCGACGATTTGCGTATCGCCCTTTTCTTTTTGTTCTTTGTCCAGATCGGTTTCTTCGGAACTGGAAAGTACGTCATTTCCCTGGTGTCATGGTGAATTAGAGCTAATCGACTACCGATAGTGTCGCCTCCATCTCGTGAGTCTGCTGCTGCCTCTTGTTTGTATAGAGATTTACGTCCATTAGATCGTTCTATCTGGCGCCCGTTTACCGCCTGATACCCATATTCAGCCCATTCTTTATGACATCCTTGTTGGTGGGTGAATATAGTTTTCCGCCTCGTGCTTGTTTTGACCCTTCTTTCAGCTTTTCAAAATAGTCGTTCCCTATGTCATGCTTGGAGTCGTATTCGCGCAATTGAATAAGGCGTTGCAACTGCCGCCTTTTTCGCTCCTGCTGGTCGCGCTTGCAATCGTCGATGGTATGTGAACTTTGGGGTTCCTGAATTGTATTGCCGACCGCTAATCCATATGCAGGTATGACCTTGTCCTTCTTCTACCAGGTCAAGGACACGGGGTCGTGGTTGGAAATTGGACAATCCATCAGCTTTTTCTGCATCACATCGCTGCTTCTCCTATGGGCAGCTCTGATCTGCGCCATAGGCGAATATCTTATGTCTGGTACTGTTACTCACGACTCTACTGTTAAATCAGACTAATTACGGCTCCGTATGGCGCATCCACAATTCGCCTCGACGAGTGCGTTCGTGCAGCCCCTGATCGTATGACTTCGGCTCACCACCATATTAGGAAACTGAAGCTATTTCGAGAACAAGGTGATTTTCTTCCGCTTGTTTCTTCCGTTGGGCCTACTGCCTCCGCCTTGAGGCGCGACCATGCGACATCTCTCACTATTGTTTCGTTGACATGTCCCATCACGCACCCTTCCTAGGTCCCGTGAGCCTGACCAAAGACGCCCATACAGTCCAAGTGGGGCAAGCGAAAACAAAAAGACTTTGCGCTTCTCAGAGCTCCCGGAGCTGGCACCACCATACATTTACTCATCGTGCTGTTACATCGCTGGATAACGTTGGTGTCAATCATCCAGGAACATTCTATATGGATTCAGTCGACCGCCGGGCCTGCAAGTCCAGGTATATAACCCTGATCGAAAATTGGCTGTCGAAATCCGACGTCCACTATCTCCGTAACCTGTGCGATGTCCACCGTGTCGGGAACACCGGCGCAGTCTCAGACACGGCGTCACTCGTTCGCTCCCAACGCTGCGTCGAATGGGCGGGATTCGTTCGTACCTCCTGCCTACAACTCCGGGAGGAGTGGGCATCGCTCTCGACGACGCCACTCTCAACAACCTTTGCCTGCCTACGCTCAAGCGACTGCATTGGAGTATCAGCGCCATTTCAATGCCAGTCAGGACCCCCAGGGCGGGCAGACGCAGGAGCACGAGTTTCACATCACATCGGACAGCGAGAACGATGGTCGGCCGTGGGCGACGATGAGGCTGTTCACTCGATCTTCCACCGGGTCCTCCCAGAAGTCGCACTATCCAAGATACTTCGGAGGGGACGCAATTGCGGGTACTGTGGAGCTGGACCTCGACAAGTCGCAAACCATCAATTCCATTACGTTGACAGTGCGTGGAGCCATCCTCTTCCTCTGAAAAATTGGGGTTCAAAGCTAACAAACCTATGCGAATCAGCTGAAGGGTCGGTTCATGACGAGATCGGTTGGACAGGGGAGCCATACATTTCTGAACCAAACGTTTACCGTTTGGAACAAGAATGTAGGGGAGCCTCGTTCAGCTGTTCCGTCTTCCCTTGATATTGCCTCCAGCAAGAAGAACAAGTTCAATGCCAAACTGCAAGGCAAATACGAATGGCCATTTTCCTTCCCCTTTCCTACAGAAATCTGTCTCCCGCTTAAGGGAGGAGATAAGAAGCAGTTGATTGTGCAGACCCCTCAAACCTTTCTGGAGCGAACGATTATTGCGAACATTCAGTACGACCTTGTTATGACCGTCACGCATGGGCTTTTTCGCCCTAATTCCAAGTGAGTGACTGTCTTTCCCCAGAAGTGTGGCTTGAGCTGACCAGCGCGCGCAGGTTAGCTACGATCATTACCTACACACCTTCAGTGACACCCCCTCCGCCCTCCCTCCTTCGCCAACAAGCCTATCAACACGGTGGATTTCTCCTCCCTCCTTCAGAAGATCCTCAAGGTTGGCATACCTTCCCGTCCCAGCCTTTTTCTGCGCAAATGAATAGTCAGCACGTCGATCTCCTCTACTCAGTGAGTTAAACTCTGATGCCAGGAAAGTGACGGGATCTAATCGAGTTCATTGAAGTTATCCTTGGCCACTCCAGTTCGTACTCTCCGGGCATCCCTCTGACGGGCTCTTCCCTTACTAACGCCATTTTGCAGCTTTCATACACCCGCGGAACTGTCCTACCGTGCTTCCTCAAACTCCACAGCACTATTCATGCCCCGATCAACCTAGCATCGCTTCTCATGGACTCTAGCAATCCCTTCCTTTCACTAGTTCTTTACCGCAAGGTCGCACACCTGGAAGACAGCTTGCAAGCTCCGACTCGTTCCTCATCCCCATTTCCTGGTCATACGTCGACGCAAACGGGAATTATAACCTCGCTACAGGCTGTTGGGACGGCTGTGTGGTGGCGACCTCCTTCTAACGCCGGTCGGGCAACTTCCGAAAACCAGGTCTGCTATTTAGAAGGCGAAATACATCTGTCAGAAGACCTCCAGCCCACCACACAGGCGGGGTTCTTCTCTGTCGAGGTAGGCTGCCCACCTAGCTCTGATTTTGTTCTGTCTCTGACGTCTCGCAGTATTTTGTCACCCTTATGGCGTCAACATCACCGACCGACTCGGTTTCCTTACGTCGCTCGTCTGGTGGATTCACATCGCAAGGTCTACGTGCGGTATCAGACCTTCTCTGCCCAGTGCAGATCGCGACGTTTCACATGACTGGACCTCTTCCTACCCCTTTTACACCTCCAAAGACTGGGAAAGAGCGCAATCGTTCCAACCCATCGTCCCAGCGCAAAGCCAAACTTGATGTCGCCAGTGAAGCTGACGAATCTGGGCTTTTCAGTCGCTACTATGGGGGATTCTATTATCCGACTGCCCGGTGACACAACGAGCTAGATGCCACTTTTGATCATGTCTTCTCCTCTCCCGACTCTTCAAACGACTCACCCCAGTAAAATGGGATGCCTCCAATGCGCACCATGAATATTGACGTATCAAGCCCGTTAGCCACCGCCTGGCTTCACGACTACACACGAAGATACCCTGTCCACGATACCCTTGTACATTTATTGCTTTCGTATTCTCGCTGGACCTGGTCGTCTGGATTCGCACTTGTAACAGTCGCTGCTCTTGGTTTTATCCCTGTGGGACCTGCGCTTGGGTGACTGAAAACCCTGCCTTTGTTAGATGTATGTAGTATCACGTCGACATATCCGACGTTGTACATCCTTTGTATCATATTTTACGGGCCATGAAAAGCTCAGAATAGATCCCCACTCCCAAGTCTCCTTGTTTTGACGAGTTCCCAGTGTAATTTCCGGCTGCGAGCTCGCGCCACCACGGTGACGGCGCGGTCCCACGCGTCGAAGGCGTCGACATGACGCGACGCGACTCTCCTTTACTCCTACACGTCGCCTTTCCTCTTGACCGCCACTCGACATGGCTACCAACGAGGATGGCGCTGGCTCAGATACCTCTCAGCGTGCTCCGAACTACTACTTGCTCAAGGCGGAACCGGACTCAAGGATAGTGAAAGGCCAGGATGTCAAGGTATTCAACTCTTTACTCTGTTTAACAGTACGCTTAGAGACTCAACGAAATTAAGTTCAGTGTAGATGATTTCGAAGAGGTCAAAACTTCTCCTTGGGAAGGTGTCCGAAACTTCGAAGCTCGCAATATCATGAAGGAAATGAAAGTAGGCGACAAGGTGCGTAGCGCAGTCAAATGGCGTTGTGCAGCTTTTAACAAGCCAAGAAACTTTTAGGCGTTGTTCTACCATTCTAATTGCAAGAATCCAGGTGAGTACGGTCTGATTACCGTCGCAGTGAGCGCTAATAGCAACTCCCTACAGGAATTGCTGCGTTCGCGGAAGTATGTTCTCCTTCGTCCTGGGATGATCTTCTCTGCAACTGAACCGCCAACAAGGTGTCACGAGAGGCGTATCCGGACTGTGAGTTCCACTCATTTTAACCCTCGAGTTGGAGGCTTATACAGAGATCCAGTCACCGCATGGGACGAGTACGCTCCTCTCTTCTCCATTCCCATGGTCCCTCGTTAGCTCACATCCAAGAAAACAAGGTCCCACCCCTATTTTGACCCTGTGCGACTCCTTTATGTCTCTCCTCATGGGTACCCTAATTTTCTGTACAGAAAACGGATAAAGAAAACCCCAAATGGTTCATGGTGGACCTCACCTTCGTTTGCCGGCCCAAGAACTTCGTCCCACTTGCCCTTCTTCGATATATCGCGACCTTAACATTACAGAACATTCCCTCAGAACTCTCGTACCTCGGAAAGGATGGCATCAAAGCGCTTCAAGGTTCTCGTCTCTCGAGTGCCAGAAACTGACCCTCAAATTGACCAGCCTTGTTATAGGAATGGACCTCGTAACGCGTGGAAGGCTAAGTGTGCAACGAGTGCGACAGCCGGAATGGGAAGCTATACAGAAGCTTGCGGAACATGGTGGTTGGGACGACCTCGACCTGAAGAAGAAGCAGACAGGGAGTGCGACGGCAGCCCGTTCACGAAACGCCAAGGGGAAGCAGGCCGCTCGCGATGAGAAAGATAAAGATAAAGACAGTGAAGAAGATGCGAAATCGGACAAGGCGTCGAAGAAGGCTGGCAAAGGCAAAGCCGGGAAAGCCAAGGGCACGAAGAGACCCGCCACAAACGAAGACAGCGATAGCTCTTTGACTGATCTCGACGGTGAAACAGCTTCACCTGCAGGCGGCGCTCGCAGCAAGGCGGTCCCAGAAACGGAGAGTAGAGAAGGAGAAGGGTTGAGACGGAGCAAGAGGCGTAAAACATAATCATCCGACGCTGACATCGCTTTACCTTCGCAGGTTCACCCGCTTGTATCATTATCGACGTGATATATTCACCGTACCAGCGAGTGCTACGGTATTTGAATTTGCTGTGGTGTTATCAGAGCACGTAACACGACCGATGACGAGGGTGTCCATTACACTAGGTCCTTCAACAAGCAACATAGCTCAGGTGGTAGAGCGCGGGGCTCATAACCCCGAGGTCACTCGATCGAGACGAGTTGTTGCTAACTTTTTTTTTTGCTTGCTGTCACATCGATCCCTCGAAAACAATTAAGCCTCCCCATATCGCAAGTGAGTCTGACGCATTTATCGACGGCAGAAAACCTGAACGTGTGCTAGCGGCTTTCGGTCCCTACCTTCCCCGATGCCCGAATCCAATTCCGTGCTCAAGCTCGTTCTTTGATTGTGCAATTGTTTCGTGGATCGTCGACCGCATTTACTAATATTGCACAGCAACGCTGAGCACATCGACAGCCATTTTAATTTTTGGCCTGGAGGACGTCATGCAGCCCAAATAGCTGTGCATGGATAACGCCTGCAGACACCCTCGCCGTTTACAGCCGACGCACGTTGTGACCACAGTACCTGCCTGAAAAAAGGGTAACATCGCCGACCCGCCTCTCGAGCCGGTCTCACTTGCCGGGCTGCGAGGGTTATTCTGGTTCTGTGCGACGGCCTTCCCTTCTGGATGCTTCCCCGACTGCCGAACCCTTCATGATTTCTCGATGTATGATATGTGCCGGATGAAAGATGGCAGAAAGGGTTCCTTGGCTTCTCGGCCTAGGTGCCTTCATTTGAACGGGCTCGACTTGTGAGAAGCTACACAATAGAAGGAGACAGTTGCACTTCGGAAGGTAAAAGAATGACTCGGCCATTGGTCGTCGCGTCTGGACCGGGCCAATTACCTTGTCTTCGAAACGCGATTGTACAGTTGGGTCTCTCTGACTACAATTGAACAAGAGGTAGGAGTCATGACGCAGCGGCATATCTTCGCTTATCCATGCATTTGTTTTAAGTAGGTTTGCTCTCGCAATCACACCAATTTGTTGCCATTATCGCATGAATTATGGTCAAATCATGGACAACGAATGAACCATATTGAAGAGGGTGTGATCGATTCGCATTAAAGTGACGCCCATACACATGAAGCACACCAGAATCACGTCGAAGGTGTGAAGAAGCTCATTAGGAAGAAGAACGTGTTTCTGACTGATACAGAGCAATGTGCTGTGCAACAAACGGTGAGAAATTGATGGGAAACGACGGAGACATTCTCGAACCGGGTCGGGGATTGGAATCAAGGATCTGGACATGTCGTGTCGTGTCATCGACATCTCGACACGGTTCTACGGCTTTCTAGAGCTCCCCACCGGTCTCCGCGATATTCCACCACCCACTATCCCACTCATGCAATCACACCATCCCGCAGTCCTGTCCCCGAACTATCAACGAATTAACCCTATATAAACTGCTCCGAAAATGCTGTCCATTCCTCATACCCTCAACAGCTCTTCTGTGCTGCACCGCGGTATAAAGCTTGTTGCTTTCACGAATGTCGTCCATCCAACGCACCATGTCCTCTGAATCTGTCTCTTCCGAACGATATGTCCCCGTCCACAGACGGAGCAGCTCAAGCTCATCGTCGAGGTCCTCGAATGGTATGTATTTCAAATTACACTTCACATAAGCGGAATACTTACCCACCTTCCAGGATCTTATATCTACAGTCGTGAAGCCCTGCTTGCCCTGGCGCCTCCCTCACACACTCACGGCGCTGACTCTTCCGTAACAACGCCGGCATCAACCCGCCCATCGTCACCTCATGATAACGCCGCCCCACATGATATCCATCGAGGATGGGCCAAGCTCAACGAAGCTATGCGCGCCTATCTTCGAGCTACATGCCCCGAGATTGCCATGAACCGCAAGATGCGCAAATCTCTCGAATTCCACGACTACCAGCACCAGCGTGCAACCCGTCAACAACAACGAGCTGAACAGAGGTCTCGCGAAGCCTCCAGACAGCGGTCGTCACGGTCATCGTCACCAAGGCACTCGCATGGCCAGTTCCTTGAGGTCCCTTCGACACCATCCAAGCCCGCCTCCCCATCTAAACGCCAGCCTCAATCACCTTCTACGAACGAATCCATTAAGCGATCGAGGTCACCCACTCCCCGACTATCACAACCCAGCAACAGCAGAACGAGGCAAGCACAGTTTGCTCAGCTACACGCGAACGCTGCCGCCATCGCCACCACCGCCAGCGAGGGCAACTGGAGAATAAACCGACCTCCGGCCATCGCTGTGGTATAGTCACCATGCTTCACTCTTATTGTTCTTGGGACATTCGTTTGATTCGCTGTATTTGTATTCACCCACCCACCCACCTTCGCTTTCGATAACTTATGACCACAACAACAACGACACCAACTTCGCATTCGACGCCTGTTTCGCATTTGTACTTACTCTCACCACTTACTTAGATATGTTGCAGATACCCCTTACGACATTATGGATAGATAAACCTTTTTGGCCATGGCATAAACCGATAATAATGATACCACGTTTGACCTCCCGGACCAACGAGCAGGGTGCAAAGAGTTAATTAATTCGAACTAGTGCTACCGAACGACAATGTCGTCCCCAGGGGGATGCTACTGTCTGCCAGGAACACCTCAAATTTGGCCCATGGAGCAGGGCGACCAAGGACGACCACTCGCGAAGAATCGAATTGACAGATTTGGTAGTCCTCTACCCCGATTAGTCCAAAACGCCAATGACGTAGCAATCAGGATCGGAGCATGAGCTGTTGCGACTTGTTTGGCCCTCGACAGTATATATATAGTAGGGCTGTTAACATCCATCCCTCCTGTCGTTCTTTCTTCCTTTCCCCGCCCACCCTCCTCACATGATGAAACCCTCTGAATCCCTACGACGTTCCCCCCTCCTACGTACTCTCAACGCTCGTGTTCCTACCAAGGTGGGTTGGCCACAGTGAGCGGGCCTTGCATCCTCATGGCGTCGGTATGCCATAAACTGTCCGGGTTGTTGCAGCTGTACGATCGCTTTGTCGATTGTCGAGAAGTCGCCGTGATATAACATCGTCGGGTCTTCGTTACGCCTGTCTGGTCGTGCTAGCCTGTTAATGCAGGGCATTCTCACCCTGTGTAGTGGCCACTAACCACTATAGGTTATGGCAAGTCGACCAATCGGGGCTCGGCCAAGACTTCCTTTCGTCGCACCTGGCTCACCGACAGGGATAGCCTAGGTACCTATCTATTCCGGCTGGTACACGAAAAGGAAGCTCTCCCTGATTATGTTACAGAAAAAGGCAGTTGGAGCGACGTTTTGTACACGAAGGCCATAAGTCAGCCATAGAGGAAGAGGAAACGCGCACGTAATTCCACATTCAGCGCACTTCTTGAATACTTTCTTCTACTTGGAGACCAAATTCTGTGCCCTCAAGCAGCTCCGGACCCTGTGGAGGTATGCATAGCGAAGAGTATGCCGTTGGAAAAGTAAATCAGGGTTCCCGGCTACCTCTCCACACAAACTTCGACCCGCGATGTGCGGCTGTTGCAACACACCATCAGCGGCCTGATGGTCTAGTAGTATGATTCCTTGTTAGGGAAATGGCCTTGCCAAATCCGGTAAATCGAGGAGGTCCCGGGTTCAATTCCCGGTCAGGCCCGTCATCTTTTTGGAAGATTTTTGCCCTTTCAAACAAGGGCAGCTCCACAGATGCGGCCATAAGGTATGACATTCGTTTTTCTGGTGGGTAGAGTGTTTTTATGATTGGCAAATACAAGAAGATATCCTATAATCAAGCACAGTCGATAGGTTATTCGGTCCTTAGATTTCACCCAACTTGCAACTCTCCAATGAGGATAGCTTCTGCCCATTCGTCCACTTCTAGCTTTGTCTTGCCTTGTCCTTTCAAGGGAGGGACAATAACAAATCCGTTAGCTCCACTCAGACTTGCCACTCGGCTCGAACGTTGCCCTCCGGTAGACCACGCCTCCAGCACACCAGTTGACGTCTGCACCTTGATTACCGCTCTATGGAACTCCAGGCGAGGGTCAAAGAGCATTGGCGATTTCACCTTGAAACAGAATCAGAGACTACCCATTCTCAATTGGCCCGCCACTTACTTGAACACGGACTCTCGGCAAGTGCTTCACTTCATCGGGCCATCCACCAAGCTTGCGGAGTGCAGGCAGAACAAACACATAGAAAGTGACCAACGCAGAAGCTGGATTTCCTGGCAACGCAAATACCGGTTTATGCACTTCTTCCTGAGCTGTTCCGATAAAGGGGATAGTCGCGAATGTGGTGGGTTTGCCGGGCTTGATCGCTACGCGACCGAAGTGGATGGTCCCTTTGAAGTTTCGTTCGATCACTGGCTTCAGGAGGTCCGTAGGCCCCATCGAAGTCCCTCCAGTGGTTAGAATGAGGTCCGCCTGATTCAAGCCCTTTTGAATTGCTTCAACATGTGCATTGACACTGATGTTCGTCAGTCTCGCGACGAAGACGGCATTGGACTGTGACGGCACTCACTGGTCAGAAACGATTCCCAAGTCAGTGACTTCGAATCCTAGGCCTTCCAGCACTGCCTGAAGAGAAGGTCGATTCGTGTCATATATTCCGCTCCATGATTCGCTTCCTTGATCCTCTTTCGGCCTTTGAAGATCGACCAATTCGTTGCCTGTACTGAGTAACGCAACGACAGGCTTGCGGTATACTTTGACCTAATAAAGGGTCAGAGACGGAACACGCTGTTACTAGAAGAATCCTACCTCTTTCCTGCCAACGAAGGCCAGAGTTCCTACTTCTCCTCCTACACTCAGGATACGGTCACCCGCATGCATGACTAGATCTCCTTTTTGTACATCAGACCCAGCCTTTCTGACGTTTTCCCCTGCAGGAACCTGAGCCAGAGTTTCAATTTCCTTTTCTTCCCCAGAATCGGGATAGGTCGACACAAGCTTTGTGTCTTCCACCATGATGACGGCGTCTGTTGCGGCAGGTAGAGGTCCACCGGTGTTGATGCGATAGACTGTACCTTCGGGGACAACATCGGACAAGCGGTGGTCGGACGATGTGACGACTTTGTAGACCCCCGGAGGGTCAGTAGCTAGCAGATAGACACCAGGCTCAGAATCAGGGAAAGCATATGTGGTGGACAAGTCAGCGTACATCTGATAGCATACCCGTCGACATTGGTGGTTGGAGTCGGAGGGACATTGTGAGGAGCATAAACGTCTTCTGCTAGGACATAGCCACGGAGGGTATGGTCCACCTGGATGAGAGTAAGGAGAGGACCGAGGTCCATCACATACGTGATGCACTTACTGCGCGAGTCTCGATGGTCAAGCGCTCTGTGTGTTCATCAACAAGCTTCAACGCTTCTTCAAGACTGATAATTGGATACGGCGACTGTCGGTGTCGCGCGGAAGCTGTGGTACCAGAGTTGTTAGTTTCGGCGTTTCAAAGATAAGCCACCAGTAGCCGACCTGGAGCATTAGGATCATGAGACAGCAGACCGCCAGACCGGGGCTTTGGAGGGTGGTGGCCCCCATGAGCATGATCACGACCGCAGCCATGGTGGCCATGACCATGCCCGTGCCCATGCCCGTGACTGTGCTGCACCTCACTAGCACCATGAGACGTTCCCAGAGCAGCATGAACCTGCTTCCCAGTCCCACCCCGAGCGAGGTCAATAGCGTGGGTGATAACACCACCCATAAACAGCGCATCCAAGCATTCCTTGACCGCTTTAACACTCCCAGGGAGCGTGGTTACGATCGTAGAGCCAGACGTCCCCGCCGCCGGCCTCGAGAGCGCAGCGAGCGGCGTATGCTTGAGCGACGACGAGATCAAGAGGTGTACAAGCCCAGGCGCCTGTCTTTCGAGTAAAGGAGAGATCGCCTAACGCAATCAGAACTTGGTATTTAGTGGTGTACTCGTTGTTGATGAATGATAGACTACCTCTGGGGTTATATCTCGTGCGCCAAAGCCCGTTCCACCTGTCGTCACGATCCAGTCGACGCGTCGATTCTGACGAGCAAGCCACTCCTTTACTGTGGCTTGAATAGCGGCAGCATCATCCGATACGATTTTATAGTCCTCTTCGCGAACGGCGATATCGCGATCTGCTAGGATCTGCTGGATCGTTGGACCAGAACGGTCTGCGCTCTTGTCGTGCGCGGCCGTATCACTCACTGGCAACGCCGTCGGCGATTTAGACGACCATCTAGATAGTGAAAATGGCGTACTCACCAGTCAAGATGGCTGCATAAATCTTGGAAGCCATGGTGGTTTGTGGAAGAGCGCCATTTTCGGGGGAGACATAAGAGAGGAACGCGTCATGGGAACCGTGACGAACCTAAAAATAGGGGCTCAATTAACTGCCGTCAATTGCTCATGCTCAGATTCTCTTCCCGACACCAGCCAACACTCAGAGCCCATGAAACCAAAAGAGTAACATGAAACCAGAGCACGTAATCTACATATATATATGCACAAAATTAAAATGCCAGCTCCTCCAATTGATACACCCCAACAGTACCAACATTGCCAATAACACCAGCCGCACCGCCCCTCCTCGCTCTCCAATCGCCCTTTTGCCTCTGCTTCTCCCTCTCTCGTTGTGGAATCGCTGCTTCGCGCAGTGCTTTTTGATGTGATACGCTAAAGGGCTCTAATGAACCTTGAAGTTGCAAGAGGAGTTCAGACAGGGCGGATTCTTCGATGAGGGAATTTTGGAGTTCGTGCAGCAGAGGATGTGATGGTGGGTGTTGGAGGAGAGGGAGGAAGCATGCGTCGAGGAAAGGTTGAAGGAATGCGATAACCTGAATGGAGGAGTGAGCTGTGAATATCACCAACGAGCTATCGTGCCTCCTTACCCTCTCGAATACGGGCGGTCCTCCAGCCTTCTTTGCGGCGTTCTTGACCATCCTCTTATCCCTGCTCTGAGGATTATAAACCAAAACACCGTGCTCATTCTGTTCCATATCCTTGTTGCTCGGCCAAACTCCAAGATCAGTATTCTTTCTCTGTTGCACCAAAGCCCTGATCCAAGTAACCAGAGTCTGCGCTACAGCAGCTACATCTTCTGAATCGCGGAGATGGCGCTTCAAGGCGATAATTATTTGGCTGGGAGTGGTCGTGTGGACGTAGTTGATGACAAGGGCGAGGAATACAGGGAGTGTCGGTGTCGATGGTTCAGAGTCAACGTCCATCGAGTCCGAGGCGGCTTTGTTACGATGATGTTGGGTGACGGAGACTAGGCAATCCACGATATCGCCGATAGGAAGGTCGTTGACGGAGGAGAGCGACAGCTCAATCGACGCCTACAGAAGAAGATAAGCACAGAACTTAAATGGAAGCGGTGAGAACATGCCCAATCGTTTCTGGCTCGCAGAGCAGGTAAGATACCCCCCTCCACCATACCATTGGAGACGAGATTCCTCTCCAACAGTGATTTCAGGATTTCAGCAGAGTGTTGATAGGGCGCTTTCCCTGTCGACTTCAAAGGGGGCAAAACAAGATCCACAATCTCCTTGACGAAGCCATACGCGAAAACGGGAGCAGGAGGTGTCGAGGCCTACAATCCCAATCAGTACATCTGTTTCGCGTAAACTGGGAGACGAGATTGACCTTCTCTTCGCTCTTGCTCGATGCCTTGGCGGCTGCCTCGGCTTCAGTGAGCCACGACGAGAAAGTGCTCTCTGCAGTCTTGGTTCTCCCTCCTTCCAAGGCTGTTCGAACGGCATTCAGCATTTTGGACTTGGCCGAGTCCGCTGGTGTTTTCCCCTGTCCAGAGGTGGCGGAGTCTCCCACTGGTTTGAGCCATTGCTTCGTAACACCCGCACGGCCGAGGGCAGCAGCAATCGTCGATTGGGCAGCAACAGCGTAGGGGACCACAAGTACACTGGAAGTGACGTTTTGCGCCGAGCTTTCTTGTTTCGACGAGGACGCTGGCGAGAGAACCAGTACTGCCTGGCCGTAGACAATGCTAAGCGGGGACGAGGACGAAGGCAATACAGGGCGATGGGTGCCAAATCGTAGATTCAAGGGTGTTGAAGCGAAAGCAGTGGGAACTGGGAGAGTGTGCGTCGCTAGCAGAACGGAATACTGGAGGTCCCAGACTTGGATGTGGATATCGGATGATGATGGAGAAGTGGCGGCGAGAAGGACGTGCGAGGATGTTAGGGCGACGATAGAAAGAGGAGAGGTTGCTTTTGCTGAGCTTTTGGTGGCCTTTGATGCGGGGAAATTAAAGTTATTCAGCCTTAGAGGCGTGGCGAGAGGACGCGGTCTTGCGGGTGTTGTAGATGAGTTGTTGTCAGAAGATGCAAGCGCATAAGCATGCCATTCCCCATCCTTGCCTGACAATCTGTGTGAGAGGAGAATATGTATAACATTTGAGAAACGTACTCAGTATGCTCAAGCAACCGGAATTGCTGAAGGAAACTCCGGCGATTTGCTGTTGCAAAAAAGTCAGAAAAAGTGGCGGACACTACAGACGTACATACCTCGTGCTTGTGTGAGAACTCAAAGTCTCCAACCACTGTAAACGCGTCGCCTTCGTCGATAGATAGTATCCTCAGGAAAAAGGAAGCCTCGGTGGATGAAGCAATAGCGACTGTAACCCCCGTAGACGGGGACAACGAGCATTCTCCGCTGGGGAAAACAAATACTTGCAGGGCATCCGAGGAAGCTTCGGATGAACCTTCCGTTTTTGCTTTCTCTTCCAAGGTTTCAGCATCGAGCACCAGAAGCGTTGCGGTGGTCGTCAAAGCGAGAATACGTTTAGGCAATGTTGGATCAGAGTGCAAACTATGGATGCGTTGAGGCGTCGGGACCTACTACGACTTAGCATATGAAACAGAGATACGAGAGAATACTCACCACAACCCTCGAAGTCTTTTTCTGGCTATCCGTCATAGACGACACAGATCCCGGCTGTTGGGTCCATTTCCAGATAACTCGACCAGCCTCGTCCGCACCACGAAGTTCAGGCGACGATTCAATAACGGCGTATGTCGAATAATGACTCGGCGATGTTTCCGTCGTAATTGCGGGACACGAGAATGATGTGGAGGGACCGAGTGTATGAGAAACCAATGGATGCAAAGTCGAAACCTAAAGAAAGCAATCAATGGAGTCCTTTCCACAGAACTGTCGCAGAGCGCACATCTAGGATATGAATTCCATCCGCCTGAGTCGACACAGTAACATAACCTTCTCTGCGCGATTTACTGAGCGAGCTGTTCAGCTGACTTGTGTAAACATGGTCGAGGGTGGATTTCTTGCCCTTCCAACGAGAAGAAGAGGTGTAACTGGCAAGTTGAAACGGATCCTCGATGGAAGTCGTGGACATTTATCCGTGTTTCAAGGCCTGTGGCCATTAGAATACAATAGTCGATATAACAGAAGAACTTACCAGACGGATACAGTCGTTTTGGGCGTTAGCAGAGGAATCGAAACCGCGATCCAATTTTTGGAAGAGGATGATTTCGTCTAGGGTTGGGGTTCCGCTGATCGGATTACCCTCGGGCGCTCAACGGCATGTCTCTGCGTGGACCTCAATCTAACCCTGGAACTCTGCAGTACCAGTACTTGCTGGACTAGAGATCAGAGAACCAGTAAACCTGAAATGTCAGCTTTTCTGAATTACTTTCGTCAATCTACCAAGAAGACGGATGCTATCCCGAAGGAATTGAGCATTCTGGCCAGCGAGATATTAAAGGTATACTTGCCGTGGACTGGTTAGAAAGGTATTTATTGATTCCCTATTATCGCTAGAACCATCCCATTGGGCAGACAGACCTCTGGACGGACCCAGACCCCGCCCTTCTGGATTCCCTCTACGTTCCAACAGACCAAGAAATCGAGGTCACCAAGCAGAACCTAAACAAACTCCTCACCCTCTCCCGCTTCTTCTCTGCCCAAACCCGCTCAGATCCCTCTTTCCTAAACGGCAGCCCAGTCGACAACAAGAAAATCTGTGCTCAACTGGACAAACTCATCCACTTGAACCACTGTATACTTTCACCAATCCGATTCCTTCCCGATGAAATACTGCAGGAGATTCTGCGCTACAGCATCCCCGAAGGGGACCTCAACTGCATCCCTCCACACGTTACACCTCTCGCAGTTGCAGCCTACAAACCCAACGCCCCGCGCATGCGTCTCTATCGTGTGTGCCGCCGCTGGCAACTCCTCCTCACATCCGCACCAGACATCTGGTCCACCGTGTTCATAAGACTAGGAGGGCGGACACTCGAACCACAAGCAGTCAAATACCTCCAAAAGACACTCTCTTACTCCACTCCCGCCCCTCTCAAAGTGACCATAAGCAACCCAGGGACACGATGGGTCGACGAAGTGTACCGTGAGTCGAAGCTCACAGAGCTGTCACCCTTCTTTGACGTACTCCGGGAATCGTCTTCCCGGTGGCACGACCTATCCGTGGACAACATCCCCTTCCTCCACCACATCCACTGTCTCCCCGGGCACCCTCTCCCATCCTTACAGAGATTAAAAATCGGAGTTCCTCCCTGGTTGCCACAGGACTTCAACATCCTCGACGACCTACCCGACACACCCTCGCTCCAAGCCGCCGAGGTACACGGAGACGGGTCGCTACGGGCCCTCGAAGGCCTAACATCGCGTAACCCCCAACTCACCCGTGTCTGGCTGACAAGAACATACAACGACCCTTTCAACACCCTCCAACCCATCCGCGCCTTACGAAACCTCACCCACCTCCACCTCACATTCCCAGTCGGCAGCCTCGAATACCACCCCAAGGACTCATTCACCCTTCCTCACCTCACCACCCTCTCCTTGTCCTCCAAAGTTGAAATCCTGGACACCATTTTCCAAACTCTCACCTGCCCCAACCTCACCTCTCTCCGGATCCACTGCAGTCACTTTCTGTACGGTATCAAGCCAGCCAAATGGGTTTCCCTCCGAACCCAAATCATAAACTTCATCGCCAAGTCCGGGTGCACACAAATCAACCACCTGGCACTGACAAACTTCAACACCGAACAGCTCCGACCTCTGCTTTCAGGGTTCAAAAATGTCGAGATGCTGGAACTGACGTCTGCATGCTACATCTCTGAACAGACTGAAAACAACATCTGTGTACAGACTCTCGACAGTCTTCGGTTCGAGCGTCCAAGTCTATCGGAGGAGGAAGGTGCTTGGGACCCAATCCTCCCCCGGTTGAAGCGGTTCGACTTCAGTTACTGCGACGCCGATATCTATCGTTACTGCGAGACCCATCATGACCCAAACGAGAAATTCCTGGACGTCAAAGGCCTTATCCAGTTGTGTGAATCCCGCATCTTGAGTCGACAAGACCAGGAAAAGGGCATCAGGGATGTCCCAGTTACCTCTTTGTCGGAATTGAGGTTCAATCTTGCAGACCATAATCCTCTCTCGGAGGAAGACATGCTCCTCCTGACATCACTCCGTTATAAAGCCAAAGATCTGGGACTCGACTTTCGTATCTTGTTCAACTTTGGAGACTGCGCTCAAGCACTGATAAAGGAGCGCCAACATCGTGTAGATTGGTAGTCCTCAACTCGTGTCTATAGGCCTTTGTAAACAGTACAACAAAGCGTTAATGGATAATACACACACACATGCCCGACCTGGGTTACTACCACCCAACCTATGTCCAGCCTCGAGCGGCACCTCGCCCTCCTCCATGGCCCCTCTCCTTCTCCACCACGAACATCGCATCTCTCATCGTCACCACCACCTTGTTCGGATCCTCCACTTCCGTCTTCTGCTCCGGCGTAGTCGTCGTCGTCATTTGCTGCTGCGGCTTCTTGGGCACATACGGCCTCGCCCACGAACTCGCTGGCGTCGTCCCACTCCCAGTAGCAGTTGTGCTCGTACTCGCTTTGGGCTTCGGTGCAGGCGAGGGCGAGCTGGCAGCCGCCGTCATCCAAGCATACTTGCCCAAACCAGCAGCTTGCGTAGCCACAGCATTCGACATCTTCTTCCTAACATCCTCCGACATATTACGCGCCGTGACACCCGGCCCATCCTTCTTCTTTTTCTTCTTGGGCTGACCATCCGGTTCTTCCGATCCACCCGAGGCTGAAAGAGCGTTGGCGCCTAGCGACGGGTCTGCACCTGGCGTCCCTGCTTGAGACATCGAGGCGAGATTCGCAGCCGCCATCTCCTGCCTCTCCTTCCTCTCCCTCCGAATCCTCATCTCCTCCTCCCTCTCCGCCTTCTCTAAAGCAGCCAACTGCTTCCCCACATCACTCCTAACGACAACACTCCACATCGGGGTCTGGCTCTCCATCTTGACACCATCCACATCCATCGCATTGTTAACATTGTTCAGCGTCTCGTAAAAACTCGCCGGTCTATCGAATTGCGCCTGTTTCCGATACTTCGACGCTCTGATCATGGCTGTTACGAGGTCTTGTAATCGAGCGCGTAGAGCGAGGGCGAGGTAGTTTATTGATTCGTCAGGGATCTTTGTAACCTTGTGTTGTGAACCAATAGCACGCATCGTCGTTCCTAATGCACGGGTGTCAAAGGCTGGTTTTACAGGCTGCTTTCTACTCCGGTCTTCGTATGGTCGGTTTTGCATGTAGAGCGAGTGGGATTGGAGATGTGATGTCCCATGGGCGTCGTGTCGCTGTAGGGATTCTTCTTCTGCCTAGAATGAAAACAACGTCATGAGCATCTATGCGATCGAAAACCAAAGCAGACACATACTCGAAGATCAACACCAGCACTTCCCAAAGCATCGTTCAAAGTGGAGATATCGCTTGTGTCCAGGGTGTTCGCATTAGCAGCTTGAGCCGCAGGCATCGCGGCAGTAACGGGTGCGGTGGTGGTTTGCGCTGTTGCAACCGCGGGAGTATGCGCAGGCGCTACAGGAGTCGATGTAGCGGTCGCTGCTGGTGTAGCCGCTGGTACTGACGCCCTCTGAGCTGTGGCAACGGGTGTGGGTGTATGTGCTTGGTGCTGCGAGGCCGCTGCAGCTGCTTGCTGCTGAGCTTGCTGAGCAGCGACGGCTTGAGCGATGTACTGCTGGTAATACGGGTAGTGGGTGTAACTCTGATAATAACTCTGCGGGATAGTTCTATACATCGCAAAACGCAAAGGTTAGATATATCGCACTGTAGACATTCCAGAAAGAACTTGCGTGGCATGTTGTGGCTTTGGAGCCGTCACAGAGGCTGCGGTCGCCGTTGGTGTCTGCGACTGTTGCGCCGCCGCTTGCTGCTGCTGTTGCTGGGCAGTATCCATTTGGACTTGAAGTTCTATGAACATTTTAGCATTTTCCATTGGAACTTTGGATATGAGCCAAAACGCATACGTCCAGCTGCCCACTGTGCATGAGCGGGTGAAGGATATGTCTGGACGGGTGTTCCAGCTTGTACTGTGGTCTGAGCAGCCATCGTTACGGGAGTCGGCGTCGATGAAGTAGGAGTCGATGTCATGGTCGTCGCTGTCGTATTCTGCTCCTTTGGAGGCAGACAGTATTTCTAGAATGTGGTTCTTGTCGAATCTTGGAGCTCTTCCAGTCCCAGGTAACGAGACTTCAGATTTGAGGCGTCACCTCTGTCGTCTGACTGGTCGTCTATATGAAAAAACAGTCGTTACTAGCTGAGCGCGTACAACGGCGTAAAGGGGACCTACAAGTCGCGGACTCGCGATCGCGGTTCAAAGGCAAGTGGGCTCTGCACAGCCACGGTCAAGGTTCAGTCTGACTCCTCCTGACTCCTCCGACTCGTCGGAGTCTGCGTACAATCCAAGTGTCATTGTAGCTTCGTTTGACTCAAGTTGAACGGTTATTTATTGGATTTTATAGTTTGAACACTTATTGACCATTCACTGTGATTTCAACCAGCATGCAGCATCCAGAATCTCCCCGTCATCGAATCTTTAGCCACTTCGACGATTTGGTAGACGCTGTCAAGCCTTTTGTCCGCGCACTTGCCGTACGTGACGAGGAGAATGTCAATCTGTTCCCTCCCCATGTCACCGCTACCGCGGTTTCGTCCATCGAAGATGGGCGTCCGTTTGAATTCTCCCGCATGAACTTCATCCCTACATGGTTCAAAGACCAGGTCATGCAAACCATGGAGTCCATGGAGAAGAGCGACACCGACCTCGATGACTTTGCTGAAATGCGCTTCAATTTGGTGGCCTTGCCTGACCTCCGAGAGATGGCTAAATGGAACCTCTATCCCCCAGGTGAGTTCATCCTGGGCCTGGAAGTCGGGCGACAAGTCTTCCATTCTTTGCCCAGCGCGCGCTGATTGAGGAACCCTAGGAAAAAACCCTGGACAATCCAAAAACGACTTTGTACACCTGTTGAAAGAAATCACATATGCCATAGCCACGTTCGTCGCGCTGTTAAACCCAAAGCTTCGAACCCGACCACCTCCCTCCATCCTCCACGACTGGGAGAAACCTGACCTTTCCTTCCATCTCTATGGAACAATGCTCTGCTTCATAAATGTCAGGATACCCCCTGCCAGGGCTACCGATACATTTCTGGAGATGGTACGGCATCTGGAACATCCTGCCGACAGAACATCTGTTCCCATACCCGCTGTCAAGATGGTGATAGAGGTAAGCCCCGATACCGCCAACAACTTGTGCAGATAGATATCTAACTCCACATTGCAGATGATGGGGCATCTCCTTCAAGACCCCGAGTGTTCGGAGGGCATAATCACAAACGGGGTCTTCGACAGCATTTACATGAAGATTGACAGGAACACCGAGCCTAAACAGATTCGTTTTATACATGTCCAATGCCCAGAGCCGTTAAAAGAGGGCGGTTACCTCGAATGGCTCTGCATGCTGATATACTTCTGTGGACATACGGCCTTCAAGACACCTTTCGGCGAACAAAAAAATATAGTCAAAGGGGTAGAAATGATCAATCTCTTTGAGCCATTGCCGCTCACACCTGTATCCCCATCGACCTCCTCGTCCCGTGCAGGTGGTTTTATCTTGTCCGATGTGATACTCCGTTTGAATTCTCTTTCCTGCACTGCGAACGAGTGCTTCCTTAACACAGTTTTAACCTATGTTCCCCGCCTAACTTCCACCTTCCATCACCATATCCTTGTCGGACACCGGCCCGGACCTGGTGCTCGGTGTCAAATTTGGCTTTCTGCCCGCCATCCGTATACCCGTTACGTATCTCCAAGATTCCCGACAGGCCGTCCTCCTCAGGTCCAGGAACAAATGCTTTGTGATCAAGATATACCACCATGTCGCCGACTTTGAGACAGAATCCCAAGCTCTTACAAAACTCGGCCGACTCTCTTGTTCGCCCAAGCTTCTCGCCTCCGGGCTCACATCCCAAAGTCACTATTTCGTTCTCTTAACTTACACGGGTCAGACTCTCCAGGAGTTCACTGACCAACAAATGTGAGTCGGCGTTATCACATCTTTTTCACGTTGCTCACCCAATACGACAGCGAGGACGTCAAAGAAAAAATCAAGTTACTGCATGCTCACGGTGTGCACCATCACGACATCCTGCCGCAGAACACCACCGTTGACACTCGAGGGAGATTACGGTTAATTGACTTTGGCGAATCGGATTTCGACTGTCGATACGGTGAATTTTGTCCCGATATCTCATGGGAGGCGAAGTGGAGGGAATATCTCGCCGATAAGGCAAATAACAAAATCGCTAAACCATCGGATGAGTCGTCAGAACAAGTCACGCCATCCTCCACATGAATGCAGTGGAGGTGCGAAAGGTTCAATCATGTGAAGATTCCGTTCATGGTTATATCAATTAGATTCTTCAGACGTTCGTCCGAACTGTACATAATGATACCATCGCTATTTATTTCTTTATACATATTCGAATCGTATGCTGTGAACCTACGAACTACTTATGATCAACCCGACGCATCATCCGATCCCCTTCCTTCACGGTTCCGAGTCGTCCCACATATACCAATCTTTGTCGTAACCCCTCTCGAAGTCATCATCCGTACCTTCACGGTCGGAGTCCCAATCCCTAGCCGTCCAACGCACTTCGTCTGCTACCTCTTTGAACCTTTGCGAGCCGTTCTTGCTGATATAATAGCACCCATAGAAGTGGAGTTCCTTTAGCCGATATCCCAGGCGCGCCCGTAATGCAAGTAGCTTCATGAGCTGGCGAAGGGAAACGTATATTCCGTCCATAGAGTACTTCTCCTGAATCATGTATGCATATGCGATGGTGAGGGATGTCAGCTTGGGAAAATACACCAGCGATGGTCGACCTTGGACGGCGGACTCGGATGCTGATTGCAGGGCAGGGTCACTTCGGAGGCAGGCCAGGACATATTCGGCACTCCCGTGTTCAATATTAAGACTTCTGACCTCCGGAAGCCCGACCGACAGAAGTGACGCATACTCTTCTTGCTGCAGCCAAGATTCGCGCAGCTGCAAACTTTGCACGTAGGGCAATGGCAACGCCTCTGCGAGGCTGCGAAGGAGGACATCCGTCCAGTCGGCATCGTTTACTTCAAAGTGGAGGGAGAAGGATGGTTGTCCTCCCTCGTCGCGTCTGGTGTCAACGTGACCTTCACAAATCAAGTTCTTCGACGAATACGAATAGATAATGAGGTCCTTGATGCAGAATTTTGGAAGTGGTCGCTCTACGAGGGGTGTCGAAACCCACGACGTGATGAGAGCTGTACGGAGACTCTCCAAGGCGGAGGTGGTTACCCTAGATCCTTTCACCTTGAGAGATACTGTGGATGGGAGGTGGAGATAACCCAGTAGATCTGCACATGCTCGACATCTGCTTTCCAGCTCCAGTGATCGGAGCCGTGGAAGCGGAATATGAGATGGTCGGATTGTCGTTGGCCCGGAGGACTCGAAGTGACGTGTTGAAAGCGCCAATGTCGTGATCGATGGCGAACTTGACAACATATCAAGCAGGAGGTCCAGACGTAGACCTGCGTCCTTCGTGTTCACGCCAATCGTTAGGTGTGTTAAGGCTTGTAACGAGGGTGCGTTTGCTGGCAAGGCGCAGTTCCAAAGGGCGAGACGCTTCAGTTTAGGGGCGCAAGAGTTTATGAAATGGTTGGGAAGGCTGATTACGCGCGCCGGCTTTGGAAAGATTGACAATGCTTCCAGATGCGGTGCAGACTGGGTCCAAAATTTGAGGGTATCTTCGAGGACGCTCGGTATGCCCTGCAGCTGAGCCCTTCGCAGTTGCCCAACTCTCGAGAGGGCTTGGGCCATTACGTGGACGTCTTGCGATGCAGGCAATGCCGTACAGAAGAAGCTAATCGAAAGAGGCGCCTCCTTTGCCCTTGAGATTGCAGTTTTAAGCCACGGAAGTCCCATGGCCGGAGCCAGATCACCCCAGAGAGAGGGGCAGTCGATAGCAGCCGCTCTCCACCGACGACAAACACGGGTGATTTTAGTCCACGAAAGCAGATTTTGGCGTGGAGGGAGGCTATAACTGTCGGGGCGGTCGGAGAAGAAGTAGCCCCTGAGGTTGCTTTCTTTCTCTTTGTAGAGTGCGAACACGACGCAAAGGATTTCGTCAGGGAGTCTGGAAACCTTTGCCAGTTCATTAATCTCGCTCTTCACTTCGCAGATCCTGACTTCTAATGCGTTGATTTCCGCGTACAATCTAGCTCGGAGGGTTTCTTCGTCACGGTCCATGGTAGCGGTTGTGCTCTTCTAGGCTGCTGAACACATCGATGAGCTTGCTTGAATGAGGGGTTTTCAGGGAAGAGAACCAATACCTGTGTGCCGATTCCTTGACCGCTCAGGGCGAGTTGGGTATGTGCCACTTGTCCTGAGAGTGTCGATGATTGCTCAGCCCGAATGAGCTGAGATTCAAGCGGAGATCGAGACTTGGCTTGAAAGCTCCGGATCCCTTAGCCGAGCGCACACGGCAGGTTGCGACATTAGCATCTAGCACAGCAGGAATAGTCCTCTCAAACCGATAGCTAAATAGCGTGCAATTTCCGCTCAAGGATAATCTCGCCTGCGTGCACTGCCCCATGGTTCGAAATCCGCTAGAGACTGCCTCGAGGCGGCTAGCCTTTGTTCAACCCGAGTGGGACCAACTCTATCGAACATCGGACGTCGGGGCAGCACACCCGGGCGAGATTATCCCTCAGCGGAAATCGCACGCTCTTTAACCGTCAGACTGAGGAGCCCATTCCTGTTGTGTAGTACAAGCCTCCATCCGTACTGGACGCTGTCAGGACAAAGGATACATGAGCCTCAAAAACCTTCCCCCAAACCTGTCACATTTGTTAGAGCCTGAACAAACAACGTGACAAGCGGGTTTGGGGTCAGTGGCATGCCCAGCGCAACAAATGCTTCCTTCTCGTAGGACAGGTCCTCTCATGGTGCATTTGGCAGATATCGTGCATGGCTAAACCATTTCCCTCCTGAGGTGGCAGAGTGCTCAACAAAAATCGGATTTCTACATGGCAGTGGATTGCACGTCGGATGCACGGATAAAGCGTCTGCCTTGAATACTAGTACCAATTAGACTACGGCTTAACATTGTGCAAAGAGTTATGCGCGCCGGCGCTCTATGTCCGATCACCTTTATAAAAGGATCGTATCCTTTGCACCTACGAATATCTAGTACCTACACTTCCTCTCAATCCGAAGCATCCGAATCTTCCCACATCCACCAATCGTCGTCTGAACCCTGCTCTTCATCTGGATAATCGTCACGGTCATCCCACCTTTCCCTCTCTGTCCAATTCACTTCGTCTACTACCTCTTCGAACCTTTGCGACCCGCTCTTGCTGATATAATAGCACCCATAGAAATGGAGTTCCTTTAGCCGATATCCCAAGCGCGATCGTAATCCAAGTAGCTTCATGAGCTGGCGGAGGGAAACGCATAGTCCGTCCATAGAGCGTCGTTCCTGAATCATGTAGGCACATGTGATGGTGAGGGATGTCAGATTTGGAAAGTACACCAGCGATGGTCGACTTTGGACGGTGGACTCGGATGCTGATTGCAGGGCCGGGTCACTTCTAAGGTAGGCCAGGACATATTCAGCACTCCCATGCTCAATATCGAGGCTTCTGACCTCCGGGAACCCGACTGATAGAAGGGATACGTAGTCTTCGTGCCGCAGCCAAGAATCGTTCAGCTGCAGACTTTGGGCGTAGGACAATGGTAACAGCTCTGCGATACTGCGAAGGAGGGGGGCTATCCTATCGTTGCCTCCGACTGCAAAGAGGAAGGAGAATGGATGTCCTCCCTCATCGCGTCTAGCGCCAACACAACCTTTACACAGCAAGTTCCCACCCGAATACGAATCGATAATGAGGTCCTTGATGCAGAGTTTTGGAGGTGGTCGCTCTACAAGGGGTGCAGAAACCCACGACGTGATGAGAGCTGTACGGAGATTCTTCAAGGCGGAGCTGGTCGTACCATAGCCATCCACATGGAAGGATACTGTGGAAGGGAGGTGGAGACGACCTAATAGATCCGCACATCCTTGACATGTGCTTTTCAGCTCCAGCGATTTGAGCTGTCGGAGAGGAATAGGCGATCGATGGAGTACCGTTGGGGAGGAGGATTCCAAGCGAGATACTGAAAGCGACAATGTTGTGATCGATGGAGAACTTGACAGGGCATCGAGCAGGAGGTCCAATTGTAGACCTGCGTCGGCCGTGTTCATGGTAATCGCTAGTCGTGTTAAGGCTTGCAACGAGGATGCGTTTGCGGGTAAGAGGCAGTTCCAAAGGGAGAGATGCTTCAGTTTAGGGGCGCAAGAGTTGATAAAAGGGCTAGGAAGGCTGATCAGTGCACGCGCCGGCTTTGGAAAAATCGACAATTCTTCCAGATGCGGTGCAGACTGGGTCCAAGATTTGAGGATATCTTCGAGGACGGTCGGTATTCCCTCCAGGCAAACCCTTCGTAGTTGCCCAACTCTTGATAGGATGGGGACGAGAACCTGCTCTTCTTGCGACATAGGAATTCTCGTGCACAAGAATCTGATAGAAAGAGGCGCCTCCTTTGCCCTCGAGATCGCTCTGTTGAGCCACGGAAGTCTCATGGTCTGGGCCAGATCACCCCAGAGAGAGGGGCAGTCGATAGCAGCCGCTCTCCACCGACGACAAACACGGGTGATTTTAGTCCACGAAAGCAGATCTCGGCGTGAGGGTAGGCTATAGTCGGGGCGGTCGGAGAAGAAGTAGCCCCTGAGGCTGAATTCTTTTTCTTTATAGAGTGCGAACACGACGCAAAGGAGTTCGTCCGGGAGTCTGGAGACCTTTGCCAGCTCATTAATCTGGCTCTTTAACTCGAGGATCCTGTCTTCCAATGCGCTGATTTCCGCGTAGAAACCGGCTCGGAGGGTTTCTTCGTCCATGGTGTGCTCTTCTAGGCTGCTGAACACATCGATGAGCTCGCTTGAATGAGGACTTCTCAGGGAAGAGAATCAATACCTGTGTGTCGATTCCTTGATCGCTCTGGGCAAGCAGGTTGGTTGTAGAGTGCTGAGTGTCGATCAGAGCACCCGAAGGCTGAGAATAAAGCAGCGATCGGAATTTGAAAGCACGCTTTCAAATAGCTGAGCGCAAACTTGTCGAGGGTTCAACGTTCAACCCTGCGATTTGGCGATCATCTCTCCGTCCCTACTGGACGCTGTCAGGGCACTTGAAATGAGCGTCCGAGATACTCTTATGGGGCACAGACTCCGCTCAAAGTCAAGAACAAAAAGAAGTAAGTCGATTTTCGAGGAATACCATCGCGAGCACAGTTCGCTACACATCGGATGCTCGGATAAAGTGTCTGCCAATAATAATAGTACTGCCACTCGACTGCCACTACCAATTAACCTATAGTATGTCATAGCTTCACATTGAGCAGAAGACCACATCAACCTGCGTTCCGGGTTTCGGGAAACTGTCTTGTAGGACCGGCGGCAGCGGCACACGTCAACGCGTCTATGTAACACTCCTGATGATGTTGCAGAGGCCACCCCCTGCCAGGCAGGCGCACAGCATGTCTGGTCCGGGGTCGACAGGGAAATTGGCGCATCTATTCTCTGGGTAGGCGCACCAGCCGTGCTATTTTAGGACGGATGTAGTTAATGCTTCCATGTAAACGCATCACCGAGTCGTTTCACCATGGCTTTCACCATCTGCCCAAGACCTAGTCCAACCCAAACATCGCCTTCAGAGGAGGGCACACCACCACCACCACCTCCACCACCCCCGTCCGAATACCCAACGCTTCCAGTTCTGAGAGATCTGCCCCCAGTGACGGTCTCCTTGATACCCCTCAGTATGTCCTCAGCACAATCATCGTACACTCTCCCAACCTCGTTCTCCAATATCATCACTCCCCTCCTGACAATGTACGGAGCCACGCCGTTATATCTCCTAACCACGTCATTCACGTCCTTGACAGCTGCCTGCAGATACCTAAGTTCTGCAGGATGTAGCCAGCTATCAGAGCGGAAGCGCTGAATGTCGGCGAGGGTGAGGTTGAGGAGCATGGGCGCTGGGTTCGTAGAAGTAATCGTGCGGATAGCATGGCGCGTCCACGAGGCGCGGAGAAGGGATCGGAAAGTTCGAACTGCTTCATCATGTTCTGCGCGAAACGGTAAGCCAGCGCCGAGACAAACGAGAGGTCGAGGAGACGCACCGTTTTGCAAAGTGACCCAAGCCGGAGCAGCACCATTTCGCTGAACAATGCGGTTCATCAGAAACTCTTCCCGAGCGATGAAAGGATTGTGTTCGTCCGTCGAACGAGCCAAGGGTTTACCCCGCCCCTTGACGTTATTGAAAAGGCCCGCTTTTCGTGCTTTCTACAGAGAAAGGTTGGATACCATTCGAAGGAAGAAGAGACACCACACACCTCGATCCTATCCTCGACGAAATTTGCCCAGCCTTTGACGCTGGCGGGGTTAGGCCTGCCTCCACCACCGCCAGGAATTCCAACGGCTTGCCCATGTGCTCCGTCCCTCTTCAGCCCTAGCTTATAGTCCAACGTCGACTCTCTGGCCTGAGTCAATCGTCCAGCAACCACTCCCCTCTTCATAGCCTCTCGTTCCCTCCTCCGCTGCTTCAAATCTTCTTCCGACACTGGTGTAACTTTGATAGAGGTGGTGGGGATATGCGCCAGCTTGATAGACGAAACGTCATGAGAAGGGACCTTGTACGTCGTGTCCCACGGGTTATGCGATGGGTTGGAAGGGAGGAGCGGTTCATTCGCCCATGAACCAGAACTAGGTCGAGTAGGGGGAGTCCACGATGAAGGACTAGTGGGTATCGTCGTCGCCGGCGAAACATACGAATACGGAGGCGTCGAGCTACTCGGTGGCGACACCTTCGACCCAACGCCTTCTCTCTTCATCTTCTCCTCGGCAGTCTGCACTTCGCCAGACCTCAACGGCTTGTACTTGTCCACCAGCATCCGCAACACCGCATCCTTAACGTCCTCGTCCCCGGTCCAGTTGGGATACTGCTTTTGAAGCTCGGTAGCGCGTGCTTGGATTCGTGAGTGGGTTCGTTCCGTCGACGCTTGCTCTTCTTCTTCGAGTAAAGCATCGGCAAATAGTTTGTCGCTAGCCTTAATTGGTGTATCTGGTTTGTCTATAGAGTCGTGCGTATCGTTTCTGGGTGATTCCGAGTCTCTTGCTTCTGCAGGTCGTCCGGTATGAAGGCATCTACGACCTCCAAGGCTTCCAGAGCATGTAGTACGCAAAAAGAGACATCCTAGTTGTCGGTTTGTGGTGTAGAGAGCGTAGGAAAGAGGCAAAAGAGATGTTCTAGTTGCCAGTGCAGTTGGTTGCATGCAAAGAAGAGGGATGCACAAAATTCGCGGGTGCGGGGAAGCAAATTGATTGCTCGGGTATAACCGATCGAGCGGATCGGAGGCCAAATGACTCCGGAAAAATAAATAGGGGCACTCAATTCATGCCCGACGCATCGGTCTTCGTTAGGCGCACCACAGGAAACTGAATGACACGTACGTGGCCGGCGTGTAAGCTATATAATCCTAGAGTATCTACATAGATTGAGGCCATCCGACCTATACAATAATGATAACCGAATAACTTTTAGTATTGTAAAATGACGATGACAAGTAACGAAGAGGTGGTGCGTCGATGTTGGTGCAAGATATCACTAGTAGTACACAACATAGTCCTTAACTTGTACTGCAGAATCCTGACCACTCAATGACTAGTGTCATGACTCGAGACTGTCTACAACCGGAGCTGAGGCGGGAGGGTGCACAGGTTTGGGCGAATGGAGTTTAGGACTTGTCTTGGACTTTTTGGGTGTCGAAGGTGCAATGGGCTTCTCTTCTTCTATCTGGTCAGGAAGATGTGTTCCATTCGTCTTCGAATCAAGAGGTGATTTAGGGATTTTGGCGGCGGGCGCGATTAGGGAGGGCGTCGCTGGCTCATTTGACTCTTCCGAGTGGGTTGCATTTCCATTCGGATGCGATTTCAGCGTCGATTCGGATGGTAGAGAGCTCGATAGAGGTAGCGAGCCCACGGAGGACGACGGTTGTGTACTCGTACTCCTCCCCCTCCCAGCCGCCACACTTCTGATCACCCTTGGTTCCACCCACGATGTCGACAGTGACGACGCAAGGCCAATGCTTGAACCTCTCCCGCCCAGTATCTCCCTCTCCTTGCCCTTCACCCACGAAGACGATGGCGAAGAAGCCACCGAAGCTGGAGTTGACCGTGGGGACGCCATAACTCCAACCCCCACCTCGCTGACCAACGACCCAACGCTCCCGTTCAGCTCCACCGTCTTCATCTCCGGTCTCAACGTCTCCTCCGACACCCTCGTTCCGGATTGCGAAGGGTAGATACCCGGCCGTGGTGGAACAGCCCGCTCGTAGTAGAGCATAAATACCCCCGCGCCCTCGGCCAACACACTCTCAATCCCGCATTCTCGCACAGAGTCATCGCTAATTCGCAGCCACCCCTTCCCCGGTTGCGTTTCCCCATCTTCGAAGATGTATTCAGGACCCTGGCTTTGTGCCTGGTTCTCGTCGTCTACGTCGCCGTCCGGTATCCGCAGCGGGTCGACAAGGACAGGCGGTGCAAAGCGTTTCTCCTTTGGCAATCCCGTTGGCCGAGGTTTCCGTCGATAGCAGATATAGTGACCAAAGGAGTGTCCACCGAAATGACAGACCACTGCTGCGAGACGATAGATTGTCCGTTGGTTGGAGTAAGTGGAGGGTGTTGGCGTCGTTGAGCGGGGAACTGCTGGAGGCGGTGTTGAGATAGATGCTGTTGGGATGGTGGAAAGGGATCCGGAGGTCGTAAAAGGTGTCAAATCGAGGACCTCGGGGAAAGCAACTCTGCAGTTGTTTTTCCCAGCATAATGTCCGTAATGGATGGAACGGTTCAGATGAAGAGCGAGTACTGGAGGAGGCTATACGTAACCGCTTCGTTAGAATTGGCTCGGGATCGTGAAGCATAAAGGAAACGCACTCGGGCAATCATAGCTTGTTTGGTAGACGCCGGGCTGAAAACTTTCTCTATCCTCACGTCTTTCAAGTCTTCTTCTATCCGACCCTCTGCCAACGCTGCCCGAACACGAGCCTCAAACTTCCTCACTTCCTTCAATCGTCTCTTCTTGGAGCTAGAAGGATTTGTGCCGGGTTTCGTCGCTTCCTCCAACGTGGCGAGTTCCTGCTTTAGCCGGTTATGCGTCGCGACCAGTGAGCACTTTCTACAGATGCAATCCTTGAGGATTTCAAGTCGGGTGTAGTCTTCGAGGCAGTCTTCCAACCTGCAGCTACCCTGTCATGCCGTTAGGAGCTATATTTAAAGTATGGTAGACACCACGTACTGCCATCCTTGGAACAGATAACTGCCAGTTATCGAATGCGAAATGCATAACCGCCTCGGTATACCCGCAAACGACACAACTCCTTCGGTTCGCGGTCAACCCATCGAAAACGCTCTTGCCAATCTCCTTTGTCGTCTCCGAAGGTTTGTCAAGTGCACTTCCAAAGCCGCGATCCCTTAACCCTTCTTTATCCACTGCCGCCAACTCGTTCTTGATGCATTCCGAAACCACTTGGAAGAGCTCTTGAGCGTCTTGGTGCTCTCGCGAGTAGAAGAGGGAGTTCGTCCGGCCTTCAGTTTGTTGACTGAGCACGTTGATTATGTCCATTGGGCGGATTGCGCGGTAAGCCGACTTGGGTGTGTTCAAGTCTATGACGAGGGAGAATGGTTTATCAGTCGGTGGTGCATACGTGGTCGGCTCGGTGGCCTACCTTGGAATAGCTCCTTGAGAGCGTCGATTACTGGCGTCGGAACGTCGAGGGCTTCTGCCTTTGCGTGAATGGCGTCTATGTGCGGTTGGAGATAGGAAAGCGAAGCCAAAGCCTGCGAGACCGTGAGCTGTCAATATAATGACGAGTGACTCTTGACGAACCTGGAGCGTCGAGTTCATGAAACAATACGTCCCCGAGACGTTGACCAACCCAGGGTAGTATCCTTCGTCCTCTTCTTCCTTCCCGGAGCCTGCAAAGACCGTCTAGGTCACCAAATTTAACAGCAAATTTAGACTACAGACCATGTTGTTTCGCATTGCCGTTCAGCTGGATCTGCTCCGCTCTCGTTCGAATGGCCTTCCTGTCCTTCTTCTTCTCTCTGCTTCCGGACTTGCCAGTACTCCCAGTGCTTCCTGACGCCGCCGACGACGAGGACCACATCCAGGGGAGGTAGCTCTCGATGCCCATGATGGCGGAGGCGAAGAGGGAATAAATGTAGCCGTTCTTGGCGCTAGCCGCTGTCTTTGCCACGAAGAGGAATAGAGCTGGAAATAGAAAGAGGACCAGTAGGGGCACTATCTGCTTGAATAAATCGCTGGAGACGAATTCAAGGACCCAAGACCGAAATTCGTCTGGAAGGTGCATGAGTGCACAGAGAAAACCTTGTAATGACCGCTCGCTGACTTCACACAGGGTAGGGTTGGCGGGAGGGCCAAGGCAGGATTTCGCGTTCTTTGTTTGGCAGGTGGCTGAGGTCAGCACCTCAAAAATCAAATCTTGCCAGTCCTCCGTCCACCATGTTTTACCAAATTGTCCAAAGTACCTTACATATTTGAACATTCGCGTAATTTTCACGAGCCAGAGAGTCTATGGAAGGATCGCGCTCCAGTCCCGCCGCCTAACAGCTGCAGACGCCCAGGGGAATTTGGCATTGGTACGAGCTTGAGAGCTCAATCATTTGTGTCAGGACTCACGGGATCATCAAGCGCCTCGTGAGTCATCAAGGATGGATGCATTTCTCAATAAATGTTGGGACCTAGTGTAGAGACCTGATACTTATGAGTCCCTTACGTCGTCTCAATACTACTAGGACTTCCTATCGTCTCAGCTCCCCTGGCGTTTGAGATTCCGAGATTCTGCAGTGGTCAGAGTCCTGGCCTCGTGACACCTCTGACATCTACCGTGCATCCGAGAGCTCAAAAGTCGGACGTGGAAGGCTCCAGTCGTTGATTAATCGGTAAGCGCACGCACTGTGATACTTGGAATTACTTCGATTTATCAGTCATTCTCTCACCGAGTTTCGCTTGTGTAGGGTACCCTGCGTGTTTTTGGCAACTGTAAATGGGCCCCTGGCGATTGGTTTACCGTCACATTTGGGCGAAGCGAACCGTTTATATTGGATATGTCGTCTATTAGGATGGTATCCAGGTTGAAAGAGGCTAGTAATAGGCTGCAGAGGAGGGCGAGAGGTGATCTTCTGGTAGTCGCGTTACGGTCTGGTGAACCTTGTTGGAAGCCTTAAGCGCTCAGCAAGGGGCTCGCCGGTTGGCCCAACCGCACTCCATAGGGGTTGACAACTACATGCGAGTCGGCATAGCGTACGAGGCCCTTGTTGAGAGCCTTTTGTGCTGTTGCTATGTGGTGCACCCAACCAGCACCCACCGGCAGATAAACCAAAAGGTCGACATCGAACGCCCCACGCCTCTGACTTCTATCAAAAATCTGACAGTGATGGCGATTTCTGCCTTGGCCCTCCCGCCAACGTTACACAGGGTCGTTTAGCCGAGGTACTACGGCCTGAACATGTCATTTCGCCGAATTCACATGGCTACCTGGCCCAATGGTAGCGCGTATCGTCGATGGCTACCAAAAGGTTGCAGGTTCGATCCGGCGGTGTTCGTTTTCTTTTTTCCTTCGTTTCTTTTCCCACGTGATTTGTTTCCTTTCACGTCGCGTCGCGTTGAATCAGAATTTGGAAATTGGATCTCAACTTGGTCTCGGCGGGGACTTCTTTCTTAGCTCAATGTCTGTCGCTTATTTTTCCCAACACTCTTCTAATCCGCTCGAGGCAAGGACTTCCGATGCCCGCAATCTTCATTACAACCGCGTCTACGCAGAGGCCAACGCCCAACTCGACGAAGTCTCTCCCTCGAGCGATCCGCTAGCCCGATATCCTCAAGACGAGCTGCGCGAATACCACGAACATCTTGCAGAGGTCATTCCAGGGCACCCACAGACAATGAGCCAAGCACGGAAGAAAGAGACACGGATGGTGGAGCTCGACGAGGACGGTGACGGAGAAGAGGAGATGAGTGACGACGAGCTCATGATCATCCCCAAGGCGGAAGAGGACGTCTCCGTCGGCGATGGAGAGCAAGACAAGGAAGGTAACACCCCGCAGCAACAGCAATACGTCGAGTACGACGAGGACATGGATGCAGAGGGCGAATGGGACGAGGACGTAGAGGTTGAAGAGCCCAAGGAGAAGGATTATTTCGCCCTGGACGAATCTGAAGAAATGGGCTCGATAGACAAGAAAACCGAAGACGAAATTGCCGAAATCGAGAAGGAAATCAAAGAGTTTGAAGCGGCCCTTCCTACACTCGCTTCTGGGTACAAACTCCTCGACCGGTTGGGCACTGGGACGTTTTCTTCGGTCTACAAAGCGCTCGACCTGCGGTATCACGAATACGACAATAGTCCATGGCTAGGACACCATCCAGAGGAGTCGTCAGCTCACTTCCAGTCCGTTCCGCGACCAGAGGGGTCGAGGGTATTCGTGGCTATCAAGAGGATTTACGTTACAAGTGGCCCGGAGAGGATACGGAACGAACTGTTCATCATGGAGACGTGCAGGGGAGCAAGACACGTTTCGCAGCTCATCACCGCGTTCAGGCACCATGACCAGGTCGCCATCGTTATGCCTTACCATCGGAATGAGGATTTCAGGGTAAGTACCATGGAGCTTCTTCAATTGCGCTGAACTTATCCGAGGTGCAGGACTACTACGAGACGCTACCGATGGAAGGAATCAAATCCTATTTCCGATGTCTACTACGCGCATTACGCGATATCCACGCGAGGGGGATAATCCATCGCGACGTCAAACCAGCCAACTTTTTGTTTGATCCCAGCACCGGTCAGGGGACCCTGTGCGACTTTGGGTTGGCTCAGGTACGCCTGTTATACAGCGGCCTACCCGCATGACTGACAAGCACCACTGCAACAAGATCATGGACGACAAGCCTCCTGTGCTAGGCGCATGCCTGCACACGCAGCCCACGGAGCAATACCCCCACGGTCACATCCGGAAGAAACACCAGTACGACGAGAATCTGGTGAAGGAGGGACAGATGGACGCGCGGAAGAAGAGTAAAATGCATGCGCATTCTGTTGGTATTCTTGACAAAGATACTCGGTACTGTCGCCTTTCCACCTGATGCGAAATATTGGTCGTGGAGACTGACCCGTGTCTCAGAATGCCCATGAAAGCCAATCGTGCTGGTACTCGAGGATTCCGCGCACCTGAAGTCTTGCTCAAGTGCGGTCAGCAATCCGGAGGTAAGGAGAGCCCGAGCTCCTTCCCCAGAGCAAGCTAACCCATTCGCGTATGGCAGCTGTGGATGTCTGGTCTGCGGGAATAATCCTCCTCTTCTTCCTCACTCGAAAGTTCCCAATATTCCAATCCAACGACGATATCGAAGCTCTCATGGAACTGGCTGCCATCTTTGGGCGGAAGAAAATGGAGAGCGTAGCCACACTACACGGTTGGTACTTTATCTTATCTATGCCGCTCGTAATCTCACTCGTCCCCACAAACAGCCCGCAAATTTGCAACCAACGTCCCCGACATTCCACAAGATCAAGTCAAATGGACGACAATGATCGAGAAGCTCAATCCGGACCTTCTGACACCACCCACTCCGAAAGAGCATTTCTATCCCTACACGCTCCCTTCGTATCGTGCAAAGCTACGACAGGAAGAGGAGCGAAGGCAACAACGTCAACAGGATCCTCACAGGACGCCGACAAGGTCCTCAAGGCACGAACAATCTCAAGAAGATGATATAGAGTCTGACGCAGCTCCACCAACATCCCACCTAACCTCCTCTTCCCCACTCTTGTTCCCTCGATCCTCACCCGCGAACAATGTCGACGAAGATAGTCCTTCACCAGGTTCCGACTCTTTACAAACCTCATGGGAACAAGGCATCCGAGACGCCATGGACCTCGTTACCAAACTCCTCGAACCCGAGTCCGTAAAGAGGATAACACCAGCCGCAGCCCTCGCCCACCCTTTCCTCCGCGAAGAAGATAAACTTGACGATGACTACTATGTTCCACACGTTTTCGGACGAGGTGTTTGTGGCAAGTACCATTTCTATGATGATGTGACGGAGCAGCCGGGGGTTATCATTAGGGAGAGGAGAGGGAAGTGTGTCTGCAATTGCGGACTGGAAGAGTGCCAGGAGCAGGATGAGAATGCAGGGGAGTGGGTGAAGGTAAGGAAGCTGGTCTCGGCTGGTGAGGGGATAGCGATTGGGATGGAGCCATGCGAGTTCCACCAAGATTACCAACTTTACGACGATGATGAGGACGATTGAAGGCATAAACCAACTGTATTCTTCTAACATTGTACCTAACTTATTCTCGCTACTCAAGTAATCAATGCACGTTTCATTTTCCCGCGAATGCTGCTCCTCCCAGCGTGATACACGTTAGCAGTCTGGAGCAAAAGCATTCCATGCAAAAGGAGAAAAAAATGACCACTGCAGGACTCGAACCTACAACCTTTTGGTAACCATCGGCCATCGAAGCCAAACGCGCTACCATTGCGCCAAGTAGCCATATTGATTGTGGAGACCCATGTACATATAGCGTTGCGGGAAGAGCACCGGCTCGCAACCAATTTCTTTACGCTTCACACCTTTGTTTGCTACTTGCTTGTCACTAACCTCATCAGTAAAAACTGCTACAACATTTCAACTTTGTAGAAATCGAACCCAAGGACGAGTGCCCGAAACACGTATAATGCACCGGCTAGCTATGCCCTCTATGCACAAGAACCCTCGATCAAACTCGACGACGAAGCCATAGCTTCATATCGCCTCTGTATCTCCTCATTGAAAGCAATCTAATCCAAGTCCAATACCAAAACCCGTCAGCACCATCCCAAGTCAAAAGCAACACAACAAAGTGTCAGAGCCACGGAGAAGGTTAACGCAACGCACCATGGCATCCTCTCCAACATACGGGCCAAACATCCTCACCCTCTCCTCCGGTTCAAGATTAATAAAATCGTCCAGCGTAATCTGGGTAAGGATAAGCGAAGCAGTGAAATGGTTGATACTCGGAACCGTGACGAAACTTTCCACGTCCTAGAACAAACCAAACCATCCATCGCTTGAATTAGCTGCTTGAAACACCACGCATCGCAGTCACAGAGAAAGCTTGAAGGAGTGCGTAGCGTACCTCATGTTCATCCTCCAACCACTCCCTCCCGTCCCAGAGCACACCACCCGTCCCATCCCTCCGCTCCGCCTCCTCCCCACAAAGCCTAACGATCTGGGCAACCTCCGCAACAGACCCCGCAAACCCCCACCTAACTCGACACCTCCCCAACGCCCCACCACCCCTGCGACTCTCATCACAAACCACCGCAATCCCCCAATCCCTCCTAACCTTCTTGATAGCCTTAAGAACAGGCGGCGTCCACGCACACACATCCGACCTCCCCTCTCTCGACCGCATCGCACACGACTCGGGAAACGCCTCAAACACAACATCAACATAGCCAAACCTCCGCGCCAGCTCCGTCAGCCTTTCTATCAACGCAGCGGATTGCGATTGTGCGGGGAGCGTGAGGAGCGGGACGAGGAGGACTGCGGTGAAGGCGTCGAGGATGAGGTGGGGCCCACCGCCGCCGAGAGACGGACGTTCGATCAGGTCGATGCGGCATTGGGGGGATTGGAGAGCGTTGACGAGGGCGCGACGTTGGAGGAGCTCGAGGGAGGCGAGGTAGCGGTGGGTGCTTGTTGGAGGTGGAGCGTTGGGGTCTAGGCGAATGGTGTTGCGGTCGAAGATCTCGTCTGGGGGAGAGTGGTTGGTTGGTTCATCTTCGGGTTCGAGGGAAGGACCAGTGTCGGCGATGGGCTCAGGGACAGGAGTAGGTGCATCTTTGAGTCTGGCAGAGCGGAGAGTAGCGAAGCCAAGGACGCCTAGAGAACAGTTGAACAGGGAAGTCGGATCCTTGGCCTTGCGAGGCTGAGGCGTAGGGTTATGTTCTCCAAGAGGCGGAGCATCAGGAGGTTCAGGAGCCTTAGTTGTGTGCTTAGCCACGGACGATTGCGATCGGTTAGCCTGAGTAGGTCCATTAGACTGTGTCTCGATAGGTAAAGCATCAAATTCGAGCGACTGTTGCTGCATCCCAATCGTATCAAAGCTATCGCCGACGTCCATAGCAATTGGCGTGTCCAAGTCGTCGACGTCGAGAGCAATCGGCATGTCCAAGCCATCACCGTACTCCAAAGGCATAGCAGAGCCATCATCCTTCACCGCGAAATGCGGATCGTCGTCGACATACTCCAGACCAGGGGACATCAAGATATCATCGAAGACATCGTCCGGGTTCAGGGCCAGTTGTGCGTCGACCGCAAGGTAGTCGTGGTCACCATCACCAAGCAACGAAGCGGAGGGATTCCAGTTCTCCTTTTCCTCTTGGAAAGAGAGTGCGGGCGGCAGGTCAAAATCAGCGAAGGCGTTTACCGATGGATATCGAGTGCGCGGTTGCTGATGAGGATGTCGTCGAGGATCCAAAAGAGCATCCTGAGCAGTCGTACCAAGATCATCGCCAAACCCAGGAGACATCCCCATCTTCATCCGCTTCGCGCGCGTCCGACTCGTAGACCCTCCGACATCTTCAAACTCCTCCGACAAAGCACCAGCCAAAGGCCGAGTAGTCAATGTGCTCCGAGTCAATAGTCGGGCGTTCACGCCATCAGCCTCTCCTCCATCTGCAACCTCCCCCTGTTCAGAATCTGGTCCAACTTCAAGGTCGCTGCTGCCATCCTGATGTTCAGGCCGACAATATTCATCTTCCACAGAATCGATACGGGCATGGGTCTTGCGTTTCCGAGCGAGGCGTAGCCGATCCAACCGGCTCAGAACAAGCGGTGTATCGAGTTCAAGATCGAGGTCGTACACCGAGTAGTAGGGGTGCTTCGAGTCGTCCATGGCGCCCCAGTGTGCGAGGATCCTACTTGAGACAGTGTCTCCGTATTGCTGAGAGTCATCCTTATTCGTAGCAGACGAAGCGCCGTCGTTGCCCAAAGAAGACGAAACATTCAAGGGTTCAAGGAGACGATCAACGGCTTTCACCAACCCCAGGTCCACCGGTTCGCCTCTCCTAGACGAAAAGACGTTATCCACTTGCACGACCTCGGCGATAGTAGGAATTTGTTCGGTGCTTGTGAAGGCGCTGGAAAGGTGGTGTATATGCGTCAGTGAAACGTTTAGGGATACATGGCTGGAGAAAGACGGGGATGGCTGGATCGAGTTGAGAAAGGAAGAAGGGATGGACGACGTACACCCACGACAACGACAACAGCAGCGACTGAGAAATCCGAGCTTTCTTAAACAGAGCGCGGAGTTGACTGTGACAAGCGGCGGGAGCGGTCGTAGTGCCCGAAACGTCCCTGGTGTCATTCGCCACAGGACTCTGTGTCCAATCTCTAAACGACGTCGGGATGAAATGCGAGGTTCGGTAATGTGTAGGTTCAGGTAGGGCAGGAACTACAGTTCAATTCAATCCAATCCAGGTCAGCAAATCCACATGAAACTTCCTTCAGCAGCCACAGGCATACCCAGTACCCGCATATGATCCAACCAACCATAAATCCAGCGCATACAAACCAACCATTCTAGCAATAAAAATCCATAAACATCTACACGTACCTTCCAAAACGAAACTAGACCGATCTTCAATCTTCTCATCCAGTATGGGAGTGTAGACGTTGACGTCCAAACCCAAGGTCGATCCATACAGCGCTTCGATTCCGTCGCTGCTTGCTTGGGCGCCAGTTTCACCTTCACCTTCAGAGGGTTCGAGTGTGGTTGAAGCGAGGCCTAGCATGGAGGTTGCAGGTGGAGACGATGACCGCGTCTTGCTCAGATTTTCGGTTCCGGGGGCGATACTAGGTGGGTTGGAGGACTCGTCGGATTTGGACTTGGGCTCTGGCTTAGGGAGGACTTCGTTCATGAATGATTGGTACCTATTAGTAGTATCCAACAATCAGCATACAAAACGTGAAAGTGAAATCGAGGAAGGGAAAGAGGAGCTAGAACGCACGTCTTCCCATGAAGAATATGCTCCTTAACACCCTCCAGGCCTCCAATCCTCCGCGCCCTGGGGAATATAACCTCCGTCACGGGTTTCTCTAAACATTCGTAAAGCTGGAGCGCGGGGTCGGAGGAGGTATCAGGTGTAGGCGGCATCTCCAGCTGGTCGACCAACTCGTCCTCCTCCTGGCTTGCCGCTGAGTCGGAGTGGACGCTCGGAGAGGAATGGAGCGTTGCTAGAATCGGAAAGGGGTTAGACGAGAAGCCAGTATGAGCGTAGGTAGGACCCACCCCAAACCATCAACAACACGCATATTCTGCTTCGGAATGTCATCGTCCGAATCTACCACAACCGGCGCCAACGCCCCCATCGAATCCACCATCTCGATCATCTCCTTCGTATCTCCCGGGACATTGGGAAGGGGTGGCAGCGGTACACGACCTCCCCCTTCACGCCTCCCACAGCCAGGTCTTCGACGCATCGGAAATATAGGCGCGGCGATTTCGGGCAGGGGGTCGGATGGGGGAGGGGAGATTGGGCGGGCGAGGAGGCGTTCAAGGACTGGGTTGTTCGAGTTTGAGGAGGATACGGGGCGTGGCTTGAGCATAGCGAGTGTAGCTTGCATTGTCGCTTTCACTTGATTCATTTCGTCCGGGTTGATCGTTACTTCTGTGCGCCTGGGCATTCGAGCACCATGGTATCAGCGTCCAATCCAGGCACATATGTAAGAGAAACAAGGAAAGACATACAAAACATCCTCAATCATAACCTTGGCACTGGGCACTTCCTCAACTTTACAAGCCAAAAACTTGCACTTCCTCGATACATTCCCTAGCATTTTGGGGATCTGTCGTAGGTACTTCCCTTTCCCCAGTTTAGGCGTTGCGCGTCTCGAGTGGGCTGTTAGAGCCGTGATACAAGGCAGCTCGAGGAGTTGTAGATCTGGAAAGGAAGAACGAAAAAAGGATGGTACTGTCGTCAGCTCATTCTCAAGCCAAGCAGCCGTACGATGAGATCCAGCCCCGTAATCGTACTCACCTGGCCCGCTTTCCCAAACAGCCCGCTCAGACCTACTCCCTCCTCCACCTCCCTTCTGCATTCCTAGCACCGATTTGACCAACGCCACAGACTCGGGGTACACGATCCACTCCTCTTCTGGAACAGTCTTGCTGAGCGCATCTTCAGCCGTTGAATGCGAGACGATTCTGTACAATTGCAGAAGGACGGCCATCGGTTCTGGTGGTAAGACCAAAGCATAGGGATCGGTAGTTGGGATTTCGTGCAGCGTGTCGAGGAACTGTGTATACGCGTCCGAAAGGTCGTTATATGCGATGCCGTCGTCGTACGCGTTTCGCCCATTGTATGCGGGTGGTTTCGTCCATGTAGGTCGTTCGCCAAGATAGGTATATGTAGTTCGTCAATGCACGCAATTCGTCAGTACCCCCTCTGTACGAGCCACAATTACAGGCAAGGAACGTACATCAGCTACAACTTCAGTCGTAAACTCTACATAATCCGTCGTGTAGTGCGTCCGGGAGTAGTCACATAGGAGGTCTTGGATGCGTTTGCGGAGTGCTGCTTCGTGAGCGTTGGCGGTGGTGTTCATTATGGTCATGGTGTTCATCTTTCTTAACGGTTGTTCGGTGAGCCAGGGGTTGTTCACGGTTCGAATCTTGAGAAAACACGTCGCCAGTCAGTTGATAGACAGCTAGAATAGTCAGTGAGTCAGTCAATAAGGAACTGGGCAGGCGGCCAGTCAAGGAGGTATGAGTCCGTCGTCAAGGTTGGAGAGAAGCAGCAGTTAATCAGGTTCGCGTTCCAAAGCAAAGCAATACGTTCAACGTTGGACAAAGCAATAACCAGTCACAGAAAGCAGTAGCAAAAAGCAAAAGCAGTACTCAGAGAGCAATATGTAATCAATGGTGGTACCAACTTGAAAGGCAGAAGCGCCCATCTATGGCCAGCTTGCACCGTGCGAGGCTATTGATGTCATCCCGATCATCCCAAGGCGATGCTCTTGGCGACCTTGGTCCAATTAAAGGTGGCTGTGCCCTGCTAATGAGGCGTCCCTTCTGTGGGTTTCGTCTTTCTTCCAAACCACCACTACGATTCTTCTCTCAAACGCTCTCAACTTTATCCCCACCTTTACGACTTTAATTACCGACAAGTAACGAAGATGGCGCTCAACTGGGCAATGCTGAACTCGAACCGAACCCCGGTGCCTCTTCCGAACGAGATGACGATTACGACTGTCGATTCCGGCGTAGATGTCGTGGTCGCCATTCCACCCATTGGATCCAACTCTACAACACCCTCGGGCGCGGGTGGCTCCTCGAGCTCTAGACCGCCTGCTGCAGGACCCGGGTCCTCGTCTACAGTAGCAACCAGCAGCTTTCAGAAACTGAAGGCCACTGGTCGTGTGTGGTTAACTGATCAACGGGTACGTTTTGCTGTTCTCAGACTTTGGGTCTGTATGTGACTGGTTTGACTGACTGGCACCCTCTTTCCTGTCTCTCTGCCCTCTGTCCTGCCGCCTCATGCGAAAACCGCTCATGAACCACTAATGTTCTGGAACTTTCGTATATGACCTCTGCTGCGGCATAAACTACGCACGAGCAGTTCATCTACGTGCCCGAGCCCAACTCCTCCTTCGACTCCCTATCAGTTCCCCTACACGCCATCCTCTCAACCGGGTTCCACCAACCAACCTTTGGCTCAAATTACCTCACCTTCGAACTCAAACCATCGCCAGACGGCAACCTAACGGATGGAACGAGCGTCGAAATCCGGTTCAAGGATCGTGCGATGTTCGAGTTTGTTAGTCTGCTAGAGAAGACGAGGGAGCGGGCTATATATATGAGGAGACAGGCTGCGGAGGACGAGGCTCAAGATGGACTTCGTAAGTAGTTGCTGTCGCTCTACTTTTGATTGATCAGGATGGCTGACCATGTCTCACAGCATCTTATACGCTACCTGCTGAATCGAGCAGCGTTACTCTGATTGGAGGCATTCCAGTGGAGAACCCTCCTGGTTACGATGCTTAACAATTGGCTCTCTGCCATCGCCGTATCTTGCGGCTAGCAAGGAGATCTTAATCACTCACGACCTATCCACTTCTTTACTGGCGGACTCCTTTCTTGTAGGAATATTATCGGTTCTGAAGTTGAACACTCGGGACATTGGCATTGGAGGTGCAATTGTATTACTATACCATTTATGAATTTCAGAATTCACCAACACGGACATTGCCTTCTGTGAACCTTTCACAGCCCCGTTTCCTGTCAGCACCCCGACTCCCCGTGTACGCACACATCTCGAAATTCATTGCTGTCGAGACTCGATGGCTCGAATTCCGATCTCCGACGCCATACTGTAATCTTGATAGAAGAGCTAAAACGTATGGAACGACGTGTGCACTTCTTCCTTTTGTCCATCATCACTCGCCCGCCGTCATGCCTTCCCAATGCTTCAACCGGGTTCAGAGCCACTCTTCCATCTCTCAGAAGTATCTGTCTCACTCGGGGGTGTGAATCAGCAGCCAAGCAGCAATACAGTAACCCAGTCATCACCGGTGCGATTTAATACCCCCAGCATTTTCTGGCAACACTGAGACAGGATTGATACAGATGGAAAGCTTGCGGTTATACCACCCCCCGAATTTGTCGATGGTTATTCAAGCTCAGTGGTGATCGTAGGAAGATGTCCCTCAGAGGTTATCTTTCAAGTGACTTAAATACCGAGCGCCCGGGCAATCTCTCAGAACCACCACCCCCCGTTCTTGATTTTGCACGTGTAGTATCACTCCGGTCTGTGGGCGATAAAGGGGTCCTGCAGAGTACGAGAATCATCATGGACGCGCTGACGACATCCTCTGGCCGCAGTCTTACCGCTGCCATCCTCGCTCTAGTGGTCTTGTTTCTTGGGCGCTTGGTCTGGAACTCGAAATGGGAGAAGAGATATCCGTTCCCGCCTGGGCCGCACGCTCGGGATATCGACCTTGCAAAGTTTAGGGCAAATCCCGGAGTGACGTTTATGGAGTGGGCCAAGTCTTATGGTATGCCCTACTCAACCCTCTTCAAGGGCTTTCCACTGACCAGACTTGCCAGGCCCAATCATCTCCTACTCCCTCAGAGGCCAACGAACAATCGTCCTCAACTCTCCCAAGGCCGTAACGGACCTTCTAGAGACCAAATCATCCATCTACTCCGACCGACCCATTAATTGGATGGCAGGCGAGCTTGCAGGTCGGAAATGGAACGTCTTCTCCATCAGCTCCCAGCACCCCCGCTTCAAGATCTACAGAAGGCTCCTGCACAACGGCCTCAACCCACGCGCATCAAAAGATTACAGGGCGATTCAGCACTCGGAAACAATGTGCATGTTGAAGACACTAGCGACTAACCCGGAGGACTTTATCTTTGCGTTGCGAAGGTACGTGGTCGTTTTCTCCTTGCCTGAGAACTCCAAGCCTTTTTGTGTCTGTTAGGCTTCTGAGTTTTGGGTGGGCTACGACGTACCATCGCATCGGATGGACTTTTTGGAATATTTTGATTAATCGAGTCATCGGAAGCAGCCCCACCCCGGTCGGTTACTCATTAAAAAAGATTGAAGCTAATGTTACTATTATTCTTTTCATAGGTCAGCCGTGGCTACGATGCTCAAGCTCGCCTATGGCTTTCAAATAGGAGGGCGGGATGACACGTTCGAGAGCATCCTCGAAGAGACATTTAAGGTATCGGTAGAGTTGGGTACACCAGGGAAGTACCTAATTGAAAGCTACCCATGGCGTGAGTTGAATCTTCCCATTAAATGGCGACGAGGTAGCTGGTCTGACTGAACATTGTGGACGTATTCAGTGAGATTCGTACCGGCGTGGTTCCCTGGAGCTGGCTTCAAGCGATATGCACTTGGAGTGAAAGAGAAGCTTGACCATATGAATAGCATTCCATTTCAGTGGACCTTGCGTCGCATTGTAAGTGGGTTTAAAAATTCTCGGTTATTCTGGTCGCTGACTGGAGTGACAGAGAGCAGGAAACCACGTCGAGTCGTTTATCTCGAAGCTTCTATCCATAGACACACCATACATCGACTCGAAGGAAAAGGAAGATGTGTTAAAGTGGTGTGCATTTGGACTATACATTGGAGGGGGAGACACGGTGCGACTTCAACTTCACCCAGATACATCCATCCGCGCTAACGATATTGATAACTGGGCACTTCAGACCGTCTCGGCTTTGACCACGTTTATGCTGATCATGCAGCTTCATCCGGATGTCCAACGACGGGCCCATGCGGATATCAGTCGGGTCTGCCAAGGTCGACTTCCGACACCCGACGACTACAAGTCACTGCCGTACATTGAAGCTATTATCAAAGAGATCTTGAGATGGGGGCCTGTCGCTCCTCTGGGTAAGTGGGCCGGAGGAATAGACAGGTCAAGGGTATTGATCCTCGATATATTATCAGGCTTACCCCATTGCGCGACACGAGACGAGATCTACGAGGGGTATTACATACCTAAAGGGACGAAGATATTAGCGAACATCTGGTGACGTTTCATGCTCACCGAGGCGGATGCCACGACGCTAAGAACGTCTACTTATGATGCAGGGCACTCACCCACAACGAAGACCTCTACCCCGACCCACACAAATTCGACCCCGAAAGGCACCTAGGACCCAACCCTCAACCAAACCCATTCCAGTTCGTATTCGGTTTCGGGAGGAGAGTCTGTCCAGGTCCGTCCCAACCCCTATACGATCCCGCGCCAATCTCGGTAACCCTCCTGCCTAATTTGTTCGCTCATGTTTGTTTTTGGTTGTTGGATAGGGGCACATTTCGCTGAGTCGTCGCTATTTTTGGCGATATCGAATATCTTGACTGTCTTTGAAATTTCGAAGGCGCGAGATGGTGAAGGTAGGGAGATCGAACCTAGGGTGTTATGGCTGAATACTATTACGAGGTGAGTGTTTCACTGGAGGGTAAATCCACTAACCGACCCTGGTAATTTATAGTCACCTGGAACCATTTACATGCCGCATCACGCCCCGTTCTAGCGAGTTGTTATCTTTGGTACTCGACCATGAAACCCCTGCCCCAGACAATCTTACATCTTAACGAAGTCTTCCTTCGGACCTGAAATTCTGAAATTGTAGCAGAGGCCGAATGGTATACAGTCTATACATACATCCGTTATAAACGTTAGTAAACTAGCATAATATGTTAGCAACGATCGTCATCTAAAAACACCCGCGTCCTTTGGCGACAACCGAAGCATTGGTTTACCAAGCCGCAGGTAGAGTCTCCCATGGCAGCGCGTAGTGGTGATTAGACACCAACACCTCGTCCACCACTTCCCTCAGCTTGGATATCAGACCCTCGTCCCTGGTAGTCGTACCCCTGCAATATCGGAGGTCCAACACCTTGAGCCGCGATCCATTCGCAGCTCGAAGCGCCCAAGCATCCACAAAGTCGCTGGGATTGTCGATACACGCAAATGAAGCCCGCTCGAGGAGTGGGAAGTAGGTCACCCGGGCGCAATCTGACGATACCGATGGCGGAGTGGAAAACGCTGGATCGGTCTTGAGGCATTCTATGATGAGATTCTCCCGTTGCAGTTTCGCGACGTTCAAGGTCCGGGTGGAAGGGAAGGCCAAGAGTATCGAACGTTCTTGCGTAGGGTCGATGTCCCCCAGCAAGTGTAGCTTTTCCACGTGGCCCAGTGAGAGCGCTGAGGCCAGGTCCGTGGCGCAGAGTGACCTGTGACGCGTCTGGAGTATTTCCAATTGGAGTTGACTGGAGCCGGGAGGGTCTGTGTCGTCGCAGAGATAGCTTTCGTGTGACACCGACGTCGTCCCCACGAAAAAGATGTTGTTTTCTTTGTATCGGACCCAACAGGACTTGATACGGATTGGGTTATCAGGGTCGGAATGTCGGGATTTGAAGGTATGAATCGCTTCGAGGACAGAGTGCCGGTGCGATGGTTCCACCTCACGGAAGGTAATGTTTGCTTTGACCGATGCTGGCAACTGAAGGCGACAAAGGAGCTGGGAGACATTTAAAGCAGAGAAGGACAACCGTAACTTCTCGAGGTGCGGCAGGGACACTGTTTGCTGACAAGATCCGGTAATTCGAATGTCAGTGACGTGCAGATGGACGAGGTCGGGCATTCTCGACAGGGCAGAAAGCACGTCCTGGAGGGGATGCGGGCGATCAAGTGCTGAATCGCAGAACTCGACCTTCAGCGATGTCAAGCCGGAGAAAAGCTGCGAGTTTAGAGGCAGGTAGCAACCCGACAAATGAAGGTGTTTCAAGCGTGGTGTTTCGTTGCCGAAGAGATCGTGTGGTATAGCCGGGAGCGAGGGACTGACTCGGAAGGCCGACTGGTTCATCTTTGTGATGGAAAGCGTTTCTAGAAGAGGCGCTGGTGCCGTCAAGCTCGGGAGGTGGGTCTGGAGGTCGCTATCGTAGAGCCTGACGGAAAGGCGAGCGAACTGCGAGCTTTTCGCGAGTATTTCCCCCAATACAGTGGCAAACTTGTCTCTCCGTATTCTTGAAAGCGCGACGTCGATGTTTACTGACAGGGGCGCCCCTCCCGACCTTTCGCACATGAGTCGTATCCACTGGTGGCCAAAGGCCGTGCTGATACTCGACGACCAAAGCTGCGGAAACCGCAGGGCCGCCTCTCTCCAGTGCCGGCAGATGTGGGAGACGACGATCCATTTCAAGTGGTACCTGCGGTTGTGTTCGGCCTCGAGCGCCCACTTAAGTTGCATAAATATACTGCAGAGGACTTCTATGGGCAAACGGCATATTTTTGCAAACGTGTTTCGCTGTGTCTTCAGATCGCGTATTCGTGCTATATGAAAGGCTTCCAGTCGGATGATTTCTTTTGCGTGGTGCCGAATCTGAGAGTCGATGGCAAGCTGCGAGCTTTCAAGTTGTTCGTCCATAGCCGTCGTTCAAGTTGGAAGTTTGAGAATTTAGAAAGCTGTGGGACTCGTCGACGAGATGGCCGTGGCGAGTTCAAGTTGCTTTTGATGCAATTTTGATGTTTTCCGGCCCGGGTACTTTTGCGACTGCCCGTAGCCTGCTGTAGCCAGTGGCCACCGTAATCACTATCGATATCACTACCACTGTACAGCCGTAAATTGGATATTTGAATGCATTCACAAAAGAGACTGGTCTATTGCACAATGAAACGACGACTGAGCGTGGTGGGGGCGCACTCAGTTGACAAGTCTGGATAATATATATTCTGGTACCTGGTCGCGAAATTGGAACGAATTGGGCCTACTAGCCTACAAGAGTACCTAGAGTACACGCAATCCATCGTCACCTACCCCTCGACAACCAGGCCGCCCTGTCCAACGGCTCCAGTCGTGCTCGTGCTTTCGTTATACACCCAGAAGAGCTCCATCCACCGTCTTGTCTCGGACCTTGTATCTACTTCATCAACGACCTCTTTCAACCGCGGGACCATCTCATGATCATCGGGCATGCCAGATAAGCCGATGTCCAGCGTTTTGAGTCGTGCCCCACGCTGGGCACGAAGTGACCACAGCATCTCGAAATCAGCCATCCTCTCATGGCTCTCTCTGAAGAGAGCCTTCCCGAATACGCACTTCTGGAGAAGGGGAAGATAAGTTGGCGGGGCTGATGGAACAGCGAAGGCGGGGTCGTCCTTGAGGCATGCCACCAAGTCATCCTGGTTGTCGAATGAGGAGATGTCCAGCTCGCGCACCGAAGGGAAACTTGCGAATAGCAAGGAAGCTTCGTCCCCTGCCAGGCTGTTGAACCACCCGTTCAGGGTTAACCTCTCCACCGCATACAGCGGCAGACAAGAAGCTATCTGCGAAATGGAAATAGGCACCGATCCTGTGCCTGCTTTCCGGATGTACACCCGCAGCTTTGTGTCGTCCCAGCGTTTCCCGTGGGGGGACGTCCATCCTTCCACTAGAAGACTGCCTTGACCTTCACAGGTGATTTGACACCCGAGGAGTTCGCTGGTCGCAGGTAGTAGGTCCGAGGCTGATGATTTCAATGTCCTCAATGCTGCCGGAATCAAGGCTCGACTGCGTTCATCAGCTTCACGGAATGAAAGGTATGCTTTGACTGACGGGGGAATCTGAAGGTGGAGGAGGAGTAGCGCGGTGTTCTGACTCGTTAAGTCCAGTTCAAGCTCGCTGAGGTGTGGCAAGCGAGCTGTGATTCGAGGTGTTCCGTTGAGGCGAATCCTCGAGAGGTAGAGGCGGACGAGCGTCGGCATTCTGACCAGTGCGTTGAGGAGCTCTTCAATCGGATGGGTTGGTACATCGCTGGGAGAACAGTTGGAAAGGTCGACCTTCAGAGACGTGAGGTTGGAAAAAAGGCTCGAGGTCCACGGATAGTCGCAGTTCTTCAGGTGGAGCACCCGCAAATTGGGAGCTTCGTTCCCGAATAGGTTTACTGGTAAAGCAACTGGTTTACCATATATGATACCAAGGCGTTGGTCTGGTGGTATCATCATGATCAATGCACTCTGCAACATGGGGGTCGGCGCCGTAAGGTGTGGAAAGGTGGTCTGTGTGTATTTAGGGCCAATGCTGAGCTCGAGGCTTTGAATCGTGCTGCTTTTATCCAGAACATCTTCCACAACAGGTAAAAACCTGTCGGCCCGGTATGGAGTCAGGTCGATGTGCACACAGAGAGCAGCCCCTCTAGACCTTGAAAGCGCTGTTTTTATCCATTCTGGGGAGTTTCTGGTGCTTATGTCCGTCCACAGACTAGGAGACCTGAGCACCACCGCCCTCCAATGCCTGCAAACCCGGGAGGCAACAATCCATGCCATCCGGCTGGAGGCACGCTTCGAGTCGTAATCGTCTTCTACTGATCGTTTTAACTGAGAAAAGATGTTGCAGAGGACCTCTGGGGGACAGCGTGATATTGGCGCCAATTCGTTCCGTTCCGTCTTCAGGTCACGGATCCTGTCCTGGAGCAACTTCATCAAACGGCGAGCCTCGTCCTCATGATAGAGAATACGAGAATCGATGTAGCTTCGCCTAGCGTCGGACGAAGCCATGTATTTCGAGCTATTTCTCGAAAATAAGACAAAGACAATACGGCTTAACGTAGGCGTACCTGTCGATGTATTCAGTATTCAATAGGTTATTGACGATAAAGCTCGGACAAAGGAATATCTTCAACCAGTGTACTTTGTTTGGGCGCAAGGGGTGATTACGTACGCGTTGTTTGGCGTCTGTGATGGGATTGACGCGGTGGCCAACGCGTCCAGGTTTTCTTTGAACCACCACCATCGACCAACTCGCCGCGATGCACGTTTCAAAGCGTATCTCTGGTCTCGCCCTCAACGCTCCGGGTATCCCTGTCCCAACCGCTCTTCACGCAATCCTCGTTTCTCAAAGCTCTCAGCCAACATGACCTCGTCTAACCCTAAGTTCTTGAGGGTGGCACTTCGTTCACTCGGCGGGATCAACTCAGCCCAATGGCGACGGCTTCAAGACATCGTTTTTCGACTCCAGCCGAATCTTGGGCAAAACAAGGACGCGGACTGGCATATTCGCTTGCGATGACCCCTTTCACTCCTTCCCAAAAGCCTCTCCGGCCCGTATCTCGTTCACTCCGCGCAGACCCGCATCTGTGTTGCCTCGGGACCCCTTGACCACGCACAGTTGAGCCCTGTCTCGACACATTTTGGAAAGGGAAGGCAATGCCGGAAACATGTCGGGTCACAGTGAACACATGGGATACTTAGAGGGGTTGTCCAGGGATAAGAGGACGTGGGTGATTGGGAGAGCAAGTTCCGCTCAGCCAGTCGCTTCCTTATGCGAGACTCCGTACAGACCTCGGTCGAATTCGTCTCTGTCGCCACGACCCTCGATTCCGGAGATGACACACGATGCCACTTGGATCCCAACGAACGCACAGAACGAGCGCCGTCCGAGTCTCCCAACGACTCTTTCCGCTGGATCTCGGTCCAAACCCCGGCGACATTCTCAGCAAATCTTATTCGCCGTGAACTACTGTTGTGCTGTACCCGCATTCACCTGCAGAGGTGAATCGGTCGCCTTCAGGAGAAGTTCAGAAGCGCCGGCGCGCGCAGGAAGATTTGCATGGCTTCAGCTGCGAAACTCGAGACCCCGATTCGTGACAGACTCGGAAAGGACGTAAAGGGACGTACAGACCAGGAGACGTCTTTGTGACCTCTGCCTTCGCGGTAGAGAGATGGTGCAATGGCACTCCATCCAAGGAGAGACATCAGGAGCCTTCCCGGTCCCATCGGCCTCTTCGCTGTAGACCTTTCAATACAGAAAGGCTGCCTTCAGCTGCATTTGCTTGCGGTTTCGGCGTTAGTAACCCAGTTTCACTTCGTAACCTAGCACACTGGATTATTTGCCAGCGGACGCGGTGAGGACAAGTGCCTTGGGACGGACGGATGGCATGGGCTTGGTACCCTGTTGACGCTAGTACACGAAGACCGGATCTTCATTGCTTCTCGGACATTCCTTCCGCCGTCTACGTTTGGTTTCTGTTCATATACTCACTTTCTACCACCAGTATGACGTGTTCCCAGCGACGACTCAAGCAGAGTCGGTGCGTTGCTCATCTTAGGAGTGGTTGGGGTGTTGGCAGCGGTGGCGATGCGTTGGCGTCTTCTTCTACCAATGCAGCTACGAGTCCTACGGGAATCGTAGCAGAGATGCGTTCTCGAGTGCATGGTGGAGTAGCGTGGGCCCCGACCATCGTTTTTCCCGTCTTCCCCCCAGTTCAAGCTGCTCCTAGGATCCGAGTGCGTACTCTCCTGCATGATGAGCTTGGGATACCTACTGGTAGGCGGCTAGTGAGTTGCAGATCCGAACCCGTACAAGATGGTTGGCTTGGGATGTTCGAAGGGTGGTGGAGTGAAGCGAGTGGACCGTGTCGACACGAAGGGGGTGTCGAGATTCCGGCCTTCCGGCTGTTCCAGTCCTCGCCAATGCGTCCCCTTGTCACGCCCCTTTTTTGGGCTGGTGTCAGGGCAGATGAGTAGAAGGTGGCTAGACGCGTTGTGGTGGAGCAAGGCTGGGCCAACACATCGGTTTGAAGAGAAGGGGTAGCCCTTTGTGGCTGGAGAGTGTTTGGGGATTAACCGGGTTGGTCTTTTGATGCGACTCGCCCTTGGTAATTTTTTCCACCCCATGTCCAATTTCGCATTGGACGCGTGTAGTATTGTTTGGACGATATGGGCTGTAGTAGCGTACTGAAATCGATCGGCTTGCTGGTTCTTGGTCCTCACTCGTGCACATGAAATGGTCATATCCGTGTAACCGGGAGTTCGTCACTCGGAGCATAGAAAGCCAATGAAGATAGCACAGTCCGTACGGTACAAGGTGGGTATTCTGGAGTCTAGTAGGGCTTGAACCGCCGGGAAGCTTTGAGTTTCTCCACTTTCGCCTTGTCCTCCTCCCACTTCTTTTTCAAGTTCATCAACTCTGAATAGAGATGATAAGCGACAGTCAAGATACATTCGATAATGCAACGCACCTGTCCTCTGCTTTTCTGCCTTCTGGAACGCGTAGAATCCCTCCTTCTCTTTCTTCTTCTTCGGCCTTGTACGCGAAGTTGCACCAGAACGTTGGAACTGCTTGGTAGCAACAGCAACTCCACCACCCAATGTCTTGCCGTACGCTCCGCCTCTGGTGACCAAGGTGAACCCATCCTCGTCGACGATAGCCTCTCCCTTGAGGTACTTGGACTTTTGCTTCTCCTTCGCCTGCTTGTACTCGAACAGCTCCATGTAGGTGTCCACATGTTCTTGGATCAGGTCTAACGGTGGTCGTAGGTTTTCGTAGATCGTAATGTAGTGGGAGAGACCCGACGGCTCTTCAGATGAGGTCGGCCAGGGTCGAGGTTTTGAAGACGGGGATAGCGCACGGCTCAACGACGATTCGTCGAGGAAGACAACATACGCCGTCAGGCCCGTTTTCCGTATCGTCCGGTGTGGTCGAGAAGGTAATTCTACAACTTTTGGTGGTTCGTCCTTGACGATTTTCTGCCGTTTCCGGGGGTGTTCTGAGGATTCGGCGTCTGCGGTGCCGTCCAAGTCCATTTCGTCTTCATCGGCTTCGCTATCGGTGCCCTCCTCGTCCTTTCGAAGCTCTTTGACGTCAAAGTCGAAGATGACCTTCTCCACCGTCCCTGCTTGTTTGAAGAACATCACGAGTTCACGTTCGGTCGCATCTGGGGGGACATTGACTAGGAAAAGGGTTCGACCGTTTGGAAGTTGGTTTTGCTGCTTGGGATCTTTTTTGTTTGAGGAGGCATGGGCTCTGGCGTATAGATAGTGTGTCGAAGATTTGGAATAGGATATAGGAAGAGCGGTGAATCCGTTCACCTTGAAGGAGGTAGATGCAGCCATTTTCAGCCATCAAAATCGCTGCAGGAGGAATTTGCGGAGGTGTTTGGACTTTATTTGATGGTGTTAGGTTTAGAGGATGAAGGTACAGCAAGTGGGAGAGCTCGACGAAGGATGGCGATATCTCCCTCTGACGAATACATTAAATAAACAATGCATAGGTGTGTCTGAACAGAACTGGTTCAAAAACCGCGTTTCTCAACACCATCATCCTGACAGTGCAACATTTTTGAACTCGATACCGGATCCGGATTCTTACAAGGAAGTGACCTCGAAGGACGTGTATGACCCGACCCGCGGCAAGAGAACCTGGCGTATATTTCAATAATTACCAGAACGACTCTGAACTTTAAGCCTGGTTTGCTCAAATCTGGGTGATGGGAACGGTCAATCGTACGGTTCCCCGGCCATTCCAGACGTCGGGAACCTCAAATTGGCTTCATTCGCTACCAACCACTCAACCCGGCTTCTCGTCCCACTTTCGTGAGAGGTATAAACGACTTCCTGTTGCTAGAGGCGCCAGTCCCTGCATTCCTTCCTCTCGATCTGTAACCCTCGACCTCGACTTGGACCGTCCGGAATGAACCGACTTGTTCAGTGGGTACTCATTGCAGCGGCTGCTCCGCTGGCAGCCCTGGCGTGTCCGACTACCATGACCCGCACAACCGGTATAGCTCGTCACGAGTACGGGAGGCTGGAGGAAAGAGCGGTCAACGAGTGTCAGGATCTACAGAGGAAGCAATTTATAGATAAGAGGTAAGAGTTTCCGCGCCGTGGATGTTTGTGTACCTTCCAACGTCTCTTGCTCTACTTTGTCTGCTCAGCTACATCGAATCTAAAGTTCTTGCTCTGAGCGCTAGCAACTACATATCAACATACGGAGCAGAGGATGCGCTTTACGCCGCGTACTGGAGCTCCAACGACCCCGCTCGAATCCGATCCGTTTATGATGCTGTTGCTGCAGAGAATTCCACTACAAGAACGTGAGTATAGACTTTCTGTTGAGTTACTCACGTAAGCTTGACAACTGAAACCTTAACTTAAGGCTGGACTGCAATGATCCATACGGCCTTTGTGAAGATGATGTCCTGGCCTACGCTCTGTTCATCGAGTCCTCGAACGTAAGCTCCTACCTACGTAGCCTATTCGGAAACGATGACGAATTCACAACATGCCGACCGCAGATCTTCTATTGCGATACATTCTTTAAGCTACTTCCGACATCGTCTCTATGCAATGAAACAGCTTCTGCCAATCATACCGTCACTCGAGGAGGGGCAACCTTGCACGAGGTGCGGCTTAAAACTCAATCAGCGAATACAGTAGTTTAACGGCCCTTGCTTCTGAAGCTCACTCATGCGATAGAGGGGACTGCAGATCTGACTTATCGATGCTCTTATCAAGGCCTGTCTCCTGAAGAACAAGTCAAGAATGCGGATAACTACAATGTAGGGTCATTCGAATACGGTGCTCTAATTCGGCTGCTGATAATTCAAACAACTTAGTGTTTTGCGGAGGCGGCTTTCGTCAAGATGTGGTGCTAAATGACTCTAGCCACTCGCCTTTATACACGTTAAACACGTCGCTGAATAAACTCGGGCGCCTTGGACGGTGATTGACTGTTGTGAGGTTCGAACGGGCGTCTATCTATTCCCGATAAGATAAGGCAATCACGTGGCTTGCCGCTTTCAATGGCGCGTCGCGTCGCGCATCATCATGCATAGAACAAAGGACTTGGGCCTGCTTGGGCCGCGCTGCAACAGTTGCCGGGTCCCTTTGTTATTGCGTCCCCTACACAAAAGCTGTTGTCCGCCCAACGAGCTAGACAGAGAAATGGAAGGGCACCGCCGCTTCCCTTTGAATGCATAGATACCAAAACACGAGGCGAAGAAAAAGTTTTTTCCATGACCACATCGGAACATGAGGCCATTGTGCGCCGTTGGCAAATTTCTATAGAAGGTTCTCAATGGGTGGCCCCGGCCTTTGTTGATCGCATACCACAGCTCAGCTGTCGTCTGAGTGTGTAAGTGTCTCGGTAGCTGTGGCCAGTTCCTCTCTGTGCGCTTGGACTTAACAGCTCCCACATTAAATGATTGAGTCCGTTGCAAGGACTTGATGCCAGGCCCGGAATATTGTAAATTTGCAGACAGCCTTCAATAACTGCGCTCAACGACTTGTCAAAAGGGCCGCCATCCTCGCAAGGGTTCTCAGATCGATTCAGATGAGATCATGATGTCAGTCTACGGCGACCATTATAATTCCGTTGGATCGTCATTGCACCCCTCATTTGGATCTAACCGTGTGAGAAGAACATGACCACTGACCAGCACGAGGGTTCACGAGGGCGTTCAAAGCCATTGTCCGCCGGGCCAGGTGGGCTTCTGTCCCCATATGGATAATCAATGGTGGGTTATGAAAGGCTTTCATCAAAGCGGTGTCACTTGCCTTTCCTGGAAGTCAAAGCGCTCATCAACCAGTGCCACTCGACAACCTCGAAAAACTTATATAAAGGCAGCCCAGGCGTTGAGGGTCCCCATTCCTCCTTCCTTTTCCTCTCTCACCCACCATCTGACTCCCCCGTCCCCGTCTTGGTCCCCTTCCCTTCTCTCCTTGTTCTGGCTTTGATCTCCATGAAGGCGCGTTAGGATGAAGACCAGATCTCACTCCAGTCACTCGCCAAGGGTGTCGGAGCAAAAAGTAAAAGAAAAAAAAAATACACGAGATGTGTCTTCATCCTAACCGCGTCCCTCGGAGTCGACATCGACGGTCTGCTTGGTATTTCCCTTCGTGAGTGATCCTGTGGCTCTGTCTTCTCTGCTGTGGTCCATTACTAGGCGACTCCATCAACGCGAGGCAGCTGCTATCTATGCTCTCTTGGCTGGGCGACATCGATCTCCTTGGGTTTCTCTTCTGTCTTCTGGCGGGTGATGTTCTCGACTTGCTCCGGCTATCCCTTTGTGACACTGTCTCTAGTCCTCTCTGGTTCCCTTGCTTCTCTCCTGGATTACTGCTTCCTCTTCTGAGCTTGTTTTCTGCTGCCTCTGTCTGGGTTCTCATCGAGTCTTGGGGATTGGAACCTTGCCGATCACGATCGAGGCTGGGGGCTGAAGACGGTTACACTCTGGGCTCTCACTGTCGCGCTTTCTGGCTTCTTCCTGCTTGCCTACCGCTTGGATTCTTTACATTCTCAGAGTTCTTCTGGACTAGGCTGCGGCGATCCTCGAGTTTCACTGAGCTATTTCTGTGTTTCCTTGGCTCTGGTCTGGTTTTGATTCCCACTCTGCTTCTCTTCTAGGGCTGGTTGGGTGCGTTGGCTGGGACTGAGACTGGGAGTTCGGGAGGCTATCACATGGGGTTTTGGTGTATGTTCTCGAGACCTGGCATTATTCACCATGATCATTCCCGGTAATCGACGGGTCTTCCAACACCTTGCTTTCTTCCGCGTTTTGGCTGACAATTTCTTGGGATCAACCGACAGGTTCTACCAGATAACTCGAAGCCTTGTGGTAGGTTGGGTGGGTCAAGGCCAAGGCACGAATATTTTTCAAGATCACCGCGATACTCACGCCCTCATACCCTTTTCACTACGTGTCTCAGCCTGGTGGAATCGCAGCGACCGCGTGGCTGGCAAGTCGGTGCAAGGTACGTCGCCAGTGACTTCACGACATTGCCGCTGACCTCGATGGGCAGGTCGTGAAATGGCTGATGATACTTGAGGGAAAGGGGACAGAGGGCATGGGTGAGTCTCTCGCGCTTCAGGTTGCCTCATGACGCTCATGCATACATTAGCGCTGGTAGGATGTCGGGTGGCACTGTGTGATTTACTTCGTGAGAGGTACGTCTCGTCTAACATCTTTTGTTCGACGGCGGTGACTGATATCCAGCTAGATTAATCGTGTGATAAAAATATGAGCCATCGTGGCACCATGACGTCGCTGGGTAATCGGCCGATCCCGACTACCAGCACTCGCGTCGTTAAGCGCCCAATGCCTGCCGTTCGATACCACCACACCGAGCGACGATACTCGCTCCCCATCCCTTCGCGCGGGACGAGCCACACGCACCTCGGTGTTCAACGTGGTTCGCGGCGTACCTCTATTCATGAGGGGGCATTGTACAAGGTGCGAAGCTAAAAAACTATCTATTTTGGTTCAACCCGACCTTGAGATTGGAAGGCGTTGCACTATCCGATTATTCGAAGCTCTGCTACTCTCCCAGGGCCCGGGAGGGATTAAGGCACCTTCGAATATCGGCAGTGCAGGAAGCCCTTCAATCGGGGGATTCAACTCCCCCAAATAACCCACTACACCTTTTCAAACAATTGGCGAAGAAGACTAAACATATCTGGGATGGGCAGGGCACCCATCCACCCTTCGACTTCACCACAGCCCAGGAGTCGATACTCGCTCCCTATCCCTTTGCGCGGGACGAGCTCAAATCGCTTCTGTGGGTGTTCAACGTGGTCGACTGGGAGTGGAGGCGAGGCCTCCCTGGATGGGTGATAACCCTTGGGCAGGAGAGGAAGGATGAGGATCTTCAAGACTTTCAAGCCTTCTTCAAGACTTTCAAATGGGCGCTCGTCGACTATGCATCTTTCCCGACGGAGATATTCCAGTTCGTCCGGTACGATCCGGTCTCTTCTCTCCCGTGGCTGACCTCTCGCCTCCAGGATCTCATTGTGGAATCGACTTGGAATTTATTTGGGCTCGAAGACTGCGGGGGATCCTGGGGAAGGTGAGAGGGGCCCTCGCCTCTGGCGACGCTCCTCTTTCCTCGTGCTCCCTTGTCGTGGGCCCTGGGCTTAAGACTTGGAGGGTCTAACCAGCTCTCCAAGTCGAACCAAAGCACGTTCTGAAAATCATCCCGAGTCTTCCTCCCCATAGGCGAGTCGTCGTTCCTCTTGTCTCGTTGCTGACTTGGCTGGTTCTCTCAGACAGGATCGAACAGTGTTCGTCTCGCAAGTGGTTGGGCCTGTCGCCTTTGAGGCGTCTTGGTGCACCCTCTTTCGGTCAGTCTCTCGTTCCGCTTTCCTTCCGAGTCAGATTCGCCCCTCACTCCCTCATTGCAGGTCCGCGATACCCGTTCGTGAATATCTCCCGTCAGTTTCTTCGCCTGCAGCGCAGCGAGACCTTCACGACATGACAGTCTGCTTGAGTTCTGCCCTGGCCACCGATGACGGTCTTTCAGCTCTTGAGAGGAGACTATCTGAGGTGTTCCGACGAGCTGACCGCGCGAAGTGCCGTTGACTTTTCTTGACCCTCCCACCCTTCACCAGAGGACGGAAGGGACTTCTGAGGCCGAGACGTGAGCGTGATCATGAGAAGCCTTGGTGAGCTTGCGAGGTCTGTGAGGTGTGAGAGGTACCGGTGAGAGCCTGCGATCAACATGCGTGGTTCGAAAAGAACGGAGGTAGGTTGAGGCCCCTGTCGCGATATGACCTGATTCGATTGACCAACGCGTTGAACGATGAGTCGACACTGACAGTACGGCCAGAAAGGTCTGTCTTCTGTGGAACAGGCAGGTCTGTGAGCAGTGAAAGCGCACACGTGAAAGGGACCGATCTCAGTGCGTCTGACGACAAGAGCTTCAACAGCTTTGTCTCAATGAGCAGCGACAGTTTTCGTGCGAGCCCACCCAGTCATGACACCAGCCAATTCATCTGCCAGAATGACGAAGTTGAAGTCGAGCCTGCAAGTCAGCGATGATAGGTAAACAACGCTGTATGGTTGTTGCGCAAAAACGGATACCTCGAACGAAGTAGGATTACAGGGGCAACTAACTACCTACAAATACAATATCCGCCCGGGTCAAGCGAGCGACAAAAGGGTATCGAATACAAACAGCGAAGCGAAATCGAAGGAGGAACAGGGGGCGTGATTAAGGAATGGGGCATAATGGTCGTAGCAGTGAAAAAGGTCGGAGGCGAGTCAATGCATTATTGCATTCTGAACTCGGGCGGCGCCTATACGTCAGAAATGCTGTTGAGAACAGCGGCTCGACCGGCAGTGGAGAGCCCAGAGACTTCCTGGCTACCACCAGCCGTGCCAGTTTCCCCGAGAATCGTAGGGTGGTTCGATAGCTGACTGACGACGTCACTCTGCAGTTGCATGGGGACGAAGATGACCTTGCTGTTGCCCGACTTGGCCATTTGTTGCACTGTCAAAGGACGTATGTATCAGTCACAAGTTCACAATAATGGGCTAGCAACAAATGATACGTACAGGCTTCCAATTGTCGGATTTGCATAGCAGCGGGACTAGCGAGGATATCGGCTGCTTGTCGCATGAGACGAGCAGAGTCGACTTCAGCGCGGGCAGCGATGACCTTGGACTCTCCGATACGCTTCTGTTGAGCAGCTGAGGAGAGGGAGGCGGAGACTTCGGGGCTGAAGATGATATCCTTGATGAGGATACCCTCGATGGCGACACCCCACTTGTCTGCGACGTCTCCGACGATTTCCGCAATCTCGAAAGCGATGGCCTCACGCTCTGTCACGACGCTCTGGACAGCTCGTGCGCCAACGACGTGTCGCAGGGTTGTCTGAGCACGTTCGATGAGGGCTTGGCGGAGGTCGCTGATACCAAAGGCTGCGCGGTACGGGCTAACGATCTGGAAGTAGATGACCGAATCACTGTTGGGGTAATTAGAACGTGCGTTGTACCAGAGAATAGAAATGAAACACACATTTCGACGTTGACATTGTCGCGAGTGCTGTATGGGATGACTATCAGTGACTGCTGCCTGCACAAACCAGTGTAGAGACTGACATGACCATCTGTCGACCAATGGGACTGATTTGAATCTTGACATCAACGACCCGCAGCGATTCTGTGCAAACGTTGACTTGGACGAGGCCAGGGTCGACAGACTTGTAGAACTGTCCGAAGCGAGAAACCAGACCCACGGAACCTGCGGAGAATGTGTTCAGATACATGGTTCTCCTTTTCATTGCTTCTGGTATGCGTACCTTGCTCCACCTCCCTGAAAGGATTGGGGCATGGGCAGCACGGAATAGCGCCAAAGAAACCGATGATGGAGCCCAACCCTTGCAACATCGTTCCATAGATTCCATGAGTGACCTCTCCGGTTCCCAAATCTTGAGCGTATGAAGGCTGGTGGATTTTATTTCCTTTGAGCGCCCATGTGTCGTTGACCAAGCTTCTTTAAATATACACACCTGCATTTCGGACCTCTTGAGCGGCTGGACATGAATCACATTCTCCTTAATGTTCGATGGGTCAAACTTCCTGGCGTGAACCGGGTCGTCTGTGACTGTGTGCGAGGCTGTAAGTTAATCAATTCAGAACAAACGGCGAATTGGAAGCCGACCACGCACCATTGCCCTCGTTATGATCCACTACATTTCCCTGGCTATAAGAGGTGCTGGGAGATGGGACGCGCGCCTTTCCGATGCTGTTGGTCGACATTGTGACTTGGATGGGAACTGGGGCTTATGGAAGGAACGATGACAGAAGATGAAACCTTTTATATTGACAAGGTCTACAGCTTTTAGTGTCGAGAACCGAACCGGTGAGAGAGCTGTGAGTTCCGCAGCAACGACCCGTGACACCGCTTTCCTTCAAGGGCGCTCGGTGTCTATATAGACGAACTGCCAAGAGTCCGTTTCCTATGATGCAATCGCCTTGGAAGCTTGAGACGGTCCATGGTCTTCGACTTAAAATCTCTCTGAGGTCAGGCTGCTGCGAGTTGGAACTACATTGAGATATTCAAGGCTCGCGCTTACACAACGAACAAAGTTTCACGCCATGCGGCCAGACCACTCTAATTCAACAGCTAAAGCTGCGGATTGCTTTGAACCGATGCACAGAACGTAATTAGGTTCTCTGATCATTTTATGCTTGGGTGAAGAATTGCGCAGTAAAAGTAAAGTGAATGTCCTGGATCGGTATCAACGTCCTCATGGTATCCCTCCTGGATTCTCCGATTGCGTAGTAAACTCCCCGCCTTCGACGGATCCTTGGAAGTCTTTGCGCCGCTGGCTGCCGCGGATTGAAGCGGAGTCAGGTTTCCCTTACGGCAATGACCGGGATCTCATATAGCCTGCATCCTCCACATTCGCACGGCACCATCACGCTGCGGGTTGCTCCTGACCCCCACCACATAGGCTCCTTTGCTTGTCTTCAATAAACATGCCACCAAAAGATTCTGCAGAGCGCGGCCAGGGCCAGCGAGGAGGACGTGGACGAGGACGAGGGCGAGGAAGAGGGTCCTCAGCGTCGTCTACTCCAGCTGGAACTGGTCGTGGCTCTGTAGCGTCTCCTGCTGGCATAGGGATTGGCGATCGTGGCGATAGTAATCGCCCAAGCATGGTTGGTGAGTTGTAACAGTATAATACACCATCCTGTGGATCTGGAACTATCTATCGAGGCCGAGCCAAGGCGATTGGGTTGAACCGCAGTGGATTTGGAACCTCCAGCCTTCGAGTTATAAAAGTGGTCATGAATTCCTATCGTGCTACTGTACCTGAAAAGACTATCTACCAATACTCGGGTGCGTCTCTGACCTGACGAGGGCCTTTTTATCTTGATATGGAAATCGCCCTTCCCATTTTAGTTGGTAAGTCCAGGTCTTGGCCCCCTTGCTTCTTTTTCACGAGTCTGACGTTCATACGCCAGCGGCGGACCCGCCAATCATGAAGCTTCCTTTGGCCAGAGCTCATGAGATCTTTGAGAAGCTTAAGGCAGAGGAACAGGGAACTTTCCAGTCCTTCAGCGCATGGTTCGACGGTCGGGCTATTATGTACACCACTGCCAAGCTCCCTTTAGGTCCTTCGGATTCCAAAGAGGTACATCCACTCCATCTGGCGGTACCTGTCTCACAACCTTCTCCAGTTCGCTGTCCCTATGGGAGCTCCTGGAGGCAAGAAACCGAAGATCTTCAAAGTCACGATTACGAAGACCAATGTGGAGAATAATCCCGAGCAAGTGGTTCAGTTCCTTTAGACTGACAATGTCTGATGACTATGCGCAGGATGTTGAACCAGTTCGTCCAAGGAAGATATGCCCATGACGAAACCATTCAGATGGGCGAAATGGTCAGCACTCCTTAATGCTATCTGACATTTTAGTTCTGGCTCACATTCACTCCGAAGGCCATCAATACTGCTTTACGCACCGTGGTTGCTCAAAAGTACACATGCAACCGGAGATCATTCTTCACTGCTGAGGGTAGAAAGGCCATTGGCGGGGGCTTGGAAGTCCGCCGTGGATTTTTCCACTCTTACCGACCTTCCATCAACGGGTATCTCGTCAATTTCGACGTAGCCACCACAGTCTTCTACGAGCCTGGGCCGCTCATATCGGCATGCCTCAAGTTCTTTGGGCCCAACGACCTGGCATTGCTCGATCCCAAGAAGAGGTTCAAGGCGAGGGAGAAAAAAATGCTGGAGAAGTTTTTCTACCACGTCAAGTTGATCCCGACGCGTGGAAGCTTATATGCGAGAGGAAAGGAAGGGAAGGTTTTCACCTTTCGCAAGTTCTCCGCCAAAAGCGCCTCCGAAGAAACGTTCGATAGGGAGAAGGATGGAGTCAAGAAGAAGGTTTCCGTAGCAACCTACTTCAAGGAGCTCGGAATCCCTCTGAAATATCCTGGTCTCGTCTGTGCTCAGGTGAGCCGGAGCGTTATCGTTCATCGCTCGTTTGATAATGGTCGCTTCGAATCGCATAGGTTTCTGACACTGCTTTGGTTCCTATCGAGCTACTGGACGTCGCTCACGGACAATTCGCTCGAATGGAAATCACTCCAGACCAGACGAAAGCCGTCGTGGAGTTTTCGACGATGCGCCCCCAGCAGCGATTCGAGGAGATTCAGAAGGGTTTTGAAGTATGATGTCTGTTATACCAGAGATGTCAGTCTGCCTAATACTCATCGACTAGGTTGTCGCCTATGGACAAAGCGAATACCTCCGTGGTTTAGGCATCACGGTGGACAGCAACCCAATCGAGGTGGATGCTCGTGTTTTACAACCGCCTGCTGTCAAGTACGGATTCAACAAGAATGCGGTAAGTTCTGTTTACCCTACCGACATTGGAACTCCTCTCTAACTTTCGAGAATAGAACGTCGCCAATGGGAAATGGAATTCGTAGGCTTTCTATTTTTCTTCTCATGTTGCATTTGCTCACGGTTTTTGTTCCTGTGACCGTGTAGACTCCAGAACAAGTTTGTCCAGCCAGCGCAGATTACTGGATTCGTAGTAGCAATATTCGAATCCCAGCAGAGGTTCCCAGACAACAGCGTCATAGATATGGCTGCCGGTTTTGTGAAAGCAGCCAGAGACTTCGGTGCGGGAGGAGTCGACCGTTATTCTATTCCCCAGCTTTGTACTAACCTGACGACATACTTAGGCGTCGTGGTCAGCAACCCGTCACCTGTTTACCATTATATGAACCGCCCCAGGTCTGAAGCGGTAAGGCATCAGCTCTCGCCATCTTAATTTTTTTTCATTCTGACTTTGATCCAATAGGATTTGGTGAACTCGCTCAAGGCGCTGGGGAAAGCCTATGTCGAGAGGAGTGAGAAGGGAGGGAAGAAGGAGGGACCTACTCTAATATTCGCAGTCCTCCCTCCCAATTCGGGCGATATCTACACCGGAGTCAAGCGGTAAGAACAGATTCGGTTATGTTTCAAGCCATACTGACAACAGTGCTCGTACGTTTAGCTTTGGGGACGTCACGGTACGCTCCTCGTCGAGTGAAGTGTCTCAACGATGCTAATTGGGTGCAGATGGGAATCGCTACTCAGTGCTTGCTCTCGAATAAATGCAAGAAAGGAAACCATCAATATTGGGCTAACGTTACTCTGAAGTAGGTTCTTCCTCTCTACTATGTACCAGTAAGTCTTACACCTGTCCAGAGTGAACGTCAAACTTGGCGGGATCAATTTCTACCCTGAGCTCCGGGGAGACATTTTGGACCCCGCGAAACCCACCATCATTATGGGTATGTTCTTCGTAGTCTGCATTGCCTGTCGGCTACAAACAGCCTTTCTTTAGGTGCCGATGCGATCCACCCTCCACCAGGAGTGCGCGATAAGCCTTCCGTCACCGCACTCGTGTCAAGCATCGACTCCAAATTGGCCCGATACGTCGCCACGAGTCGCGTCCAGAAGGGTAGCGACAGTGGTAAAGGTGGCAGGGAGATTATCCTCGACATGGAGGACATGTGCGTTGTAAGTGAAATACGTCGTCGTTCGCAAAACGCTCCTCTAATCATAACGCCTCATTGGCTGTGATAGGAACTCTTCGAGAAATGGAAAGATTATCAAAGTCGTATGGAGAAACGACCTAACTCGTTGCCTTCGAGATTGATTATGTATCGAGGTAAGCGACATCGTATCGTCGTTCCAGATCGTTGGTACATAATTGATCGTTCGTATTAGACGGTGTCTCTGAAGGAGAGTTTCAGCAGGTCCTTGACCATGGTGGGTGTTGAATCTAACTCTGTACTTCAGTCAGAATCGCTCATTTCTTTTCATTGATAACTAGAGCTGCCTAAGATAAAAAGTTCGTTTTCGTGCTGCATTCTCAGAGTTGGAAGGAATTGACGGACTCTCCAGAAGCATGCAAAACTGCGAAGATCAATCCCAAGATTACTCTAATCATCGTTGGGAAACGTCACCACCACCGGTGAGAGCATTAACCCCTCCGGAGTCCCGCCCGCTTCGACCTTTCTAATTTTGCGCTTCCAGGGGAAAGCCCAAAGACCTCAAAGATGGCGATTCTATCAGCCACAATCTCCCTGCAGGCACGACCATCGACACTGATATAGTTCATCCGTTGCAGAACGACTACTATCAGTGGACCCATGGCGGCCTGCTGGGTACCAGTAGACCCGGACACTACACTGTACGCGTATATTTTTCTGCATATTGACACCTCAGTTGACCATCATGCTTAGGTTTTATACGATGTGCGTACTACCTGTCGCACAGAACTCCTTTTGCTCACTGCTTGGTAGGACAATGGTCTGACACCGGATGGTATCCAATCTCTGAGCTTCGGGTTGGCCCATTCATTCGCGCGTACCACGCGTTCCGTCTCAATCCCCGCTCCTGTTTACTGTGGGTTGCCATCCTTTACTCTATTGACGGGAGACCTGACCACCTGTAGATGCCGACATCGTCTGCGAGCGCAAGACTATCTATATGGACTACGAGAAGCTCATGAGCGACCAAGGTAGCCAAGCTACATCTGGCGCAGGCCCGACCCTGGAGGATTTCAAGGCGGCGTACTCGAGGGTTCATGCAGCGCAGTCCAATCGAATGTATTTCATGGTGAGTGGTGCTCCCTTCCGTGAATTCCTCTCTGAAGCATCATTATCGTTTAGTAATTAAAATGAATCATCGTCGATGATTTGCCTTCAATCCTCGTGAAGGATGAAGAGTGGACGTTATTCCTGAAGTTATTATCGTTACGCTTTCTTTGCGCATGCTTTCCCGCTATCGATCCCTTTCGCACTCTGCTATCGATCCCGCTGTCTTGTTTTCGAATCTGTTGTCTGTACCTACTGGTCTGCTCCCCATGTAACTAAAACTCGTAAATTGTCGATTGAAATTGTACTTGTAATACAACCCGGGTGACCTCATTGGCTGCACCGGAGGCTGGACTATCAATGCGGGGAAGGATGGAGAAGCAGCGTCGTCGATTATGCCAGGTGATGCACGGATCGGCGCCCGCGTCCAATCTTTGATAGGGGGAATCCATTTCCAGGGGTATCCGGACAACCCCCTCCTTCGCGCATCTGGAGAAAGCTCACCAAAGCACCCGCCAAGGCCTCTCGTACCGGCAATTGCGATGAGCTCATGATAATTCATCCGCCGAGAAGTCTACTCTTCCCCGCATTTTTGATCTACGCATTGGGGTCGGATGGAAGCCGGTATAAAGGGACGAAGTCACCACTTTTGCGATGGATACGGAATCTCTTCCCTCCCCTTCCTCGTATCGGCCTTCTCTTCCCCCACCCCTCCCTCTTAAATCCTCTCCCAAGCTCCCCTCCAGTTCCCCCCGTCGTTAGTGAGAAACCATGGCATCCACATCCGTATCGCGTTCACCCAATTCGACCGCCGCCAACAAACCCTCCTTCCAATTCGACGTTTCAAAAGTAGCTGGCAACGCCTCGGTCGAGATCAAAGAGCGCATAGGCAACATCAAGGAATTCTTCTCCAAGTTTGTCCCAGAGCAGTACCGCGACACCCCCTTCTTTGGACGCGCGATTCAGGACCGGTTCGAGATTACGGAGGTGTCGGTGTTGCCCAAACCGGATGAGCCGAGCAAGTTGGAGGGGAGGGTCGTTGTTGAGCTCGATGTTGAAGAAGGTGCGTGGGGCTGTTTCTGATGCCCTTTCTGTGATTGGCTTTTTCGCGGGATTCGGGAAGTCTGTTAGGCTAACTATGAGTGACGTCTTGGGGTCAATGGGTGGTTAGATATGATCAATGGAGGCGGCAACATCCACGGTGGATGCTCAGCGTGGCTGGTTGACATGTAGGTCGCTGGTACAGTATGATTCGAGGTGGCGCTGGGGGTACTGAGCCAGGGCAATCCACAACAGGTGCTCCTCACTGGCCATGAGTGCCGTGAACCTCACAAAGGAAGGGAAGGACTATCCCAGCGTATCACAAGCCATCAACATGATTTACCATTCGCCAGCTAGCGTGTAAGTGGCATTGCTTTCACCACTGAGCATTGTGAAACGAGATTCACGATGAATCTCTCGTTTTGACACACAGAGGCGATCGGCTGAGACTCATCAACACGAGCATGTCCATGGGCAAGAGGACGACTTCTGCACGCACGGAGGTGAGTACAGACTACACAAGGAGCTGCCGTCAGCTAACCATTGCGGATACAGATTTGGAATGTTACGCACCATCGTCTCGTAGCATCGGGAACTCACGTCAAGATGATGCCTTCGCCTCCTCCAAAGGCAAACCTGTGATCAGTAGAATGGATACCCCAATTTCCCCAACCCTTCGACTTCTTCATTTCGCTACGCTCGAGTTAGGAGGAATAGCTTGATATCTTTATTAGACTGTAGATTATGTATAGATTTGGAGCTACATTCCTCGCCGTTTGCAACGCGTGGCTGAGCCTTTCGAAAGCATTGTCCTCCTGCGGCGAGGTGCCGGGTGGAACTGCCAGATTCAGGTGCCGGACTTGACCAGTAGTATCGCGCTGGAGCATCCTTCTGGGTTGCTGGCGGGGCACAGGCCCAGCGCTGCATCCGGGTGTTCCGGAAGTGGGGCTTCATGGCGGCGTAAGGTCGCAAATGGTCGGGCGCGGTGAGGCAGATCGGACGGATCCGAGTCGAAGACAGAGCTGAGCATTTACTTCTTGTGCGCGCGTGCTTCCTGAAAGGCAATCAGATCGGTAGAAAACGACAAAGCGACGGGGACGCACCAGTAACATTACTTCCTCTTCCAAAGCCCTAGCCTGCTGCTCCAACCGTTCTCGTTGTTTAGAAAGAAGGAATAACCTTCGGGCTTCCGATTTCTGAGCGGCGGTTATTCCAGCAGTTGGTTTAGCATTTCCTGGACCGTTGTCAAGCTTGAATAGACGATGATCAGTTCCTGGGTATCTGGAGACGACGAACACCTCTTACCCTTGACTGAAGGGTTGCCTCTTTCTTCTCCAGACTAGCTAACCCTTGCTCAGCTCTCGACAGAAGCTCGCTAACAGTGGGCTCAATATCATCCACAAGCCCCCTTTGGTACTTCTTGACGGTTCCTTCTGTTGTCAATTCAAAAACCTGTATCACTTGTTCAGTTGAATCTCGATGCAATATCATATCAAACACATACCCTCTCGCTCTGCAAAACCTTCGTCATCCTCGGGAAATCCCTTGTACCGTTTCTCAGCAAATGTTGAGCTTCAAATGTCTGTCATCAAAATCAGTTTCAGCACCCCAGGTGCAGGACAACAACCAAATTCGAACCTCTTCACAACAGTCCTCCATCGCCGCAACGCATTCGAACAGGCTTGGTGGGCAGATCGCCTGTGTGTCGCCGATGTAGTGTTCTGGTCCAGCTGTAAATACCGATTCTCTGGCTTTGAGGGGTACTCTGGATAGTCGAGACATGGTCGATGAGTAGAGATATCGTTGCGGACGCTGAGCGAAGTTCCAACTTGGCCCTGTGTCACGCCTCGAGCGTTACTGATGGATCACGTGGGCGTGACGGTTGGCGCTCATCCGAGTCTTCACTCTGTCACACGACTAGGCCACGCGTCGATCCTGGGCCGATGTGCTGGTCCCTGGAGCTCCCAACATAGGAATAGCTTTGCTACAAACACAACACATGATCATTGACGGAACTCCTGGTCCACACTCGATCAATACACTATCACAGACAGGGTATGTACCAGCACTAAAAAAATCGACAAAGTGAAAGAATGGAATGCGAACCCACTGCGACCCTCCCCTTCCGCCTTCCTCCCTCCATCCCTTGGGGTTCCCATTCAGACGAAAATCAAAAACAGATGCGCATCGAAAGATACGAGACACCCTAGATGAGCCTGGCAATAAAGACCGTAAATTAATTGAGGCCGCCGCCCCAATGTGGAATCGAGACTGTGAGCAGGGTGCATGAGGATATTTTGTACATGGGCCTGTTGAAGGCGTCGATAGTCGAGAGGTGATAGAAGGATTCGTGTAGGCGGAAGACGACTGAGCCTGATTGGTTGATTCAGAGACTCGAACTTCATTGTACGTTCCGTTCCTTATGACTTGGAGACGACGATGACCGGGTTAGTTGCTGGCGTCGAGGACGGCCTTAATCTTCATGACGACGTCTTGAAGCAGCTTGGGATGGACTGTCAATCGCAATACGAAAGGATGTTGCGCAACGGTTGCTTACATTGACCAGGACGAAGCCCAAGAAGAAGGCTACGATTCCATCGCGAGCCCTGTTTCTGTTGGGGTGGCGAGCGTCGGTACCGGCGTCGGCGCCATTGAGATTAACTGCTTGCTATGAACAGTTGAGTCGATCGACATTAAGGGCGACAAAGGGCAACGACCACTTACGACATTGTTCTGTTCATGGCCGCCTTCATTAGCACCTCCTCCGCCTCCTTCGGTGGTATAGTGGATGGCTGGCTGGTAAGCAAAGGATGAGCGAACTCGACGGCGAATAGCTCCAGGTCGCCCACTTGGTTGTCGTTGCCCACGTCGCCGCCAGCTACGATATCTGAGCGTGGCGGAAAGTCGACCTTGAGGACTCGCTGGCGGACATTGTCGTAGTCCACGATTGCCGCCTTCAACCCATTCGACTCGACGACGGCGGTGAAAGCAGGGTACGACGCAGGTGTAGGGGTGGGTGCTTCGTCAAAAGCTGCCATGGGATAAAGAGGAGTGCAAGCGATGCGGTTCGTAGTTGCAGATGGAAGGAAAGAGGTTAGGTTTGGGACGAGCTGCGCAGCGGTTTTTATAGGGGAGAGAATGCCTGTCGCACGAGGCATTACCCATGTTCATTTGCCGCAATATAAAAATGGGGGTACTTGTTGAAGACCGTGGTTCAACAATTCCCAATAATCAATACCCAAAAGGTAGTGCCTAATTTCCGACTTTAGGTCCGACACACCCCTACCCTTCCTTCCACAGCTTTTACGGGTTCTTCGCCCTAGACGAGATCCGACGCACTACGACGCCGCGCTGAAAATTTTCCAGTCGACCAGATCGATTTTCTGTCAGGCAAGGTTGGTGGGTAAGATGATGCAGGCGAGTTCTGATTTGATTTTGGTTGGGTCGAATGGATGGGACCTCCCTAGTGGTGACAGGCTCATCAGCCGGCGGAGAAGCACGGCCTGGAAACCAGTACGGGGCCAAGGAGTCACAAAACGTCGCGTTTTGCCCAAATCTAGACATGGCCGGAGGGTGGGGAGATGCGGTGAGCTCGATGCTGATGTCCGCCCGGTCTCAACGCCGGGTTATTCGAAGTTGTTGAATGGATCACGATGCGGGTGGACTACAATCGGCGGCGATGGATTTCCTTGTTATTCGGTGTCGAGACGGTTTGGTTCTTCTTGTTTGTTCAACAATGAACTCAACTTCTTGCAACCCGACATGACGCGTCGCATTGACGAAGAGGTATCGGTTCGTCCCTTGGACAATGGGGGGAATTGACGCTACAGGGAAGGTGAGCACATACACGATAGCACAACGTAACAAATAAAATCGACTTACCGATTTGGTACAGGATCAAGCTTCCAAGGAGGATTTGTGCTGCTCCATTTGTAACCCAACTACGCTCTTCGTGATCCATCGAGGTATCCGGGTTCCGCACAGATGATTGGGTTTCCTAGAATGCGAAATCTTGAACCGAGGACATCCGGGCAATCCCTGGCCGCAACAAAGACAGGCGAACTTGGAACTTGGAGACGAGGGTCCACGCAGCCGCCACTGCTCCCTCACCTTTGGCCGACCCCGGGGCGCGCGGAGAGGGCAAACGAGGACAAGGCCACCACCCCCTGTGATTCGTTGGCAAGAGGGCGGGTTTCAGGATGCAGCCACCTCCCTTTCCCACCCCCGACGCACCCCCGAATCAACACCCTTATCCAACTCGACCACTCGCGGACCGTTGGAAGACCCTGGAACGACGGGGGTAGGCGCGACTGCGACGTCTCTCCTCTGCGAAGGGAACAAGGAGAACGCGAGCCATCCTGGGAACACCGCGCTCATCGCTGGCGGGCATGGAGCGGCAGTTTGGAGGCAATTGAAATTGATGGCGCCTTCGCCCGCGCTCACGCTGCCAACCACGGACGTCAACGCCTGCACCAAACGCGCCAAACCGAGCGGCGCATACTCCCGCTTTCTCCGCCGGTGTCACCAAAAGGGGATCCGGATTCATTCATTGAAAAACGGAGGGTGTCAATGTATATCCCAGTGGACATTGGATATCAAGCGACCGAGGAGGGGACAATGTCGACAAGTGGGTGATGGATATAACTTTGATTGTAAGTAGCTCCTTTCGAGGAGGCTTTGTGTTGCTAGCTTGGAGCTGCCGCGATCGATGGAGGTGGGTTCTCGTCTGAAAATCAGGTGCGCGTATCACCGATACTCCAATCTGCGAGGTAGGGACAGGCCTATCTCCATACGAGAAAAGCCGGCGAGGATGTTTGAAAGGTCGATCCTCGCCCCAAAAGCATGAAGACTGACGGGAACATGTGTAGGAGGCGTGCTGCCGTGGAGAAGGTCACGCCGCGTGTACGAACCCAAGAAGTTTGGGACGAGGCTTCGCCGGCGCGTCTATTCTTGCTCGGTGAGGGAGATAGGGGTGTCCGCATCCTGCACAACACTGGCCTCGACCAGGTCTTCTCTAGGATGTGATGGGGGTAAGTCGTTGATTTCAGGGTCGGAGACAGCAAGGCTTACCTTCGTACAGGCTGACCTTTGCTGGGAAGGGATATGGTCCATGGTGCAAGGGGTTGAATATCGCCCCTCACCCAGCTTGCGGCACGGAAAGGCCTCCTTCCCTTTCAGTCCGTACTGAAGACGGCTTGGCGAGGGTGCAGTATTTTCCAAGTTCGTCAAGTAGAAGAGGGATTGCACCTAAGCCGGGAGAATCGGGTCGCATCCCAATTTGGGGTCTTAATTAACTCGATGGACAATCCTGTCAAAATCCTTTGAACAGGAAAGGTTCATGTTAACGGTAAATCGGTAAGTTACCAACTTTGTATCGTTGAAGCTCACCGTGACCTTCACCGTGACCTTGAGTTTTAGTCTTAGATCGAAACGCCAAGCCCACAGGTGACGTCCAAAGAAGGCGGGGTCTCTTGGGTGAGTCGAGTCGCACACTGGCGTAGGGGGTCGTAGGTAAGGAACGATTTCGAATAGCAATTATCCCGAGCCATACGTACCTGACTGTCTGGTGACGCAGAAACATGGTACGACGGGGTGTACCCAGAGAGGATGGGTCGGGCTCGGATATGCTCATCCCAAAGCTCGCTGGAGCAGGAGGCGAGACATGGCGAGACATAATGCCCAGCGAACGACCGAGCTGCGTATCCTAGCAGTCGCGGTAACCGTGACATTGGCGAAACCCCCGACCCAAGGGGAAGAATTCTTTTTTTGAAAGACGCCCACTTCTTCTGATTTCTCGACGGTTTTTAGTCGACACAGCGCATCGCGGATCGGTTCTGTTCTCTTATGAGTTGGCTTGAGGTCGTTAGAGCCGTAAGAGAACAGAGGTCGGCTGTGGTCCACCTGGTGGTGCTCCTTGTTGTCATCAGTGACTAGTGATTGGTTATGCGACCGATGGGACCCGCCCGGCGCATCAGGAGGCTCCCAGGAATCAGACGCTTGTTCCAATCCTCCGTTATTTTTGCCTTGTTCATCGGGCGGGAGAGACGTTCAGAGTATCGGTGGTCGGGTTATCTTTTCATCGCGCGTCTTTCCCGTTTGGACTGAGCAAACCCGTTACTTACACGACGGTATTGCGGGAAGGAACATCGGGCGCCGCAGCAGTGCTCTGGTGACTGTGGTGACTAAAGTGTGGGTTCAGCGTTCTTGCAGGGAGGAAGATGGAGGCCGGTTCGACGCAGTCGACACTTGTTTCGAGAGTTTTTTACTGGGTCTTTGGTCTTGCCAGGATTTTCGACGGTCTCTTGAAGGGCGGTAAGATCCTCCCGTGCCTTCGAGGGAATTCAAGGCGCCTGGCAGACAACGAATCTGGTTTTCAGTCGAGGACTCGGAGAAGAAGCATAGCGGTATCCTTGGTGGTCAGCCGTCGTGGCGCATGGGTTGGGTAACGAAGAGAATTCGTGCTTGAGAGATTCAATATCCAATTTAAGTCCCGCTGCCGCGGGGCACGGATTCACAGTCTCGTCTGCCATCAAAATGCCTAATAACCGGCTTCAAGTCAAATTCAGAAGTATCGCTCGAATACACTGCTTGTTGCAGTGAGTACGGTCAGTACCACGACAGAGAGCCAGCGTCGCCAGGAGAAGGCGTTTGGTACTGCGCTTTGAAAATTGGAAGGCAACGATACTACTAGTGGCTTGACGATGTCGGCCAGTCGGCCAATGATCACCACGGTGATGAGGTTTCTTTCCGCATGCAGATGGGTGTAAGCTAAGCCAAGTAAACCTGGTCCAGCGCGAAGTTTTGTCAAGAATAGACGTCCTCTGGCGCTGGGAAGCCTGAGGGGACGCTACTTAAAAACACACAAGATATTGGCGCTCGCATCACTGTCTGACCGCTGAAAGGTCTTCATCTTCCCGGAGGCTTGACGAGAGGAAACGGTGTGATTGCACGGTTGATACATACCTCGACGTGTCGCCATTGTATAGAACAGGCGGTATGGCGGCAAGCCCAACAACGGTCTGACAAAAATGTTTCATTCTGCGGATCAAGGTGGTAAGTAATGGGTGAAGTACGAGGACGAGAGGAGCTCGAAGGGAACACTGGCGCTGAGGTAAACCTCGGAGCCGCTGTACACTTCTTGGCCGATAGCAGTAGTCAAAAGATGTAATGGCAAGAGTTAGAGTTCACAGATAGAACGCAAGCTTGGCAGGCCATTTGAGAATGTGTCTGGTGTCGCGTCGTTGGTAAACGTGCGCGGTCAACCCTTCATCCTAGGTCCAGACTTTAGAGTCAGCTAGGAATACTGAAACATGGCCAAGTGAATAATGGGCTGTTCGTCCTTTGAGCAGACCTTAGCAGGGATCCGGATCTTCGTGAGGTGGAAGGCGCCCAGCCAGCAGCCGCTGTCATCGTCCGACCTCAATTGGGATGGCGGATACCGTACTGTTCAGGGGCCGCCGACATTTTGCCTTTGCTTGTCGAGCAAGCGACCTCTTCGAGTTTCGAGTCCTGTTAGGTTCGTGGGCTCTAAGATGGTGGGAAGCATACTCTTCGGGAGGGAGGGTCAAGCTACTGTCAAGGAGTTAGCACTGGTGGAAAGCCAATTGGGTGCCAACGGCGCGATAGACGAGGCAATTTTCTTCTATTCGCAAGAACGAGTATCTTGCTTCCTGCCCACAGCGTTCCGGTAGCCTTTGTAAAGGTCTAACGCGTTCCAGGGCGATGTTTTGCCACTTCTACGACGAAATCAGAGGCCCATGTCAGTTACAGATTCACGGAGTTACTCACCACCGTATTTACGACCTGGCCCAACAGGTTTGTAGTAACCTTCCTGACGCTTTCTTGTAATCGAAGAGGTGGAAAGCGGACGCCAAAAGCAACGAGTGGGCAGTGAGCTGAGAGTCTGTTTGATGGAGCCAACTTTTGGGAAGTTTGTCATCCAAAACGCTTCGCTTCAGCCACTCCCTCGAAGATCTTCTTTCTCCGACTCCGGTTTCATTTCTTCCACACTCTTGATTTTTGGTATTCGTCCTCGCTGTCGCCCGCAACGTCCTTCGTCCTTGAACATATTGTATTCGTGAACGGCCGTATGTTTTCGAAAGCATGAGTGGACTTTGCATTTCTCTGCTGCGCAAAACCACGGTTAGCAAAACACGCCGCGGGGGCCAAGATCTCTGCTCACCACAACACAACGCCCACCTTCACCGTTCGAAACTCGTCGTAGAGGCAGGCAGAGCCATTCAGAATCTTTGGGCTTAGGCGTTTCTTTTTGGTCACGGTTTTTAAATTCACGGTCGAGGCTTGAGGAACAGGTCCTGCGGAAAGGCTTGAGGTGAGCTTCACTCTTCACTCTTCCTCTTCTTGCTGACGATTTACAATGCGAGGGGTTCTCTCCAGCGACATCTTCATTTATTCTTCCTTTCTTGAATGGCGAGTTTGTTCCAGCAGCATTCGAAGCACAGCGGGATCGCCAGCGGCGTTGAGGACGAGGTCGAGTGGCTCAGGAGCCATACAACACACTGGCCGGTAGCGACGCGATGAGCGCACTGAAGCATACTGCATTACGCTGGGCTATGAAGCTTACTGGCTGAGGGCGGCTGTTTATATGTCGTTTAACTCGTCTGTTAGGACTAGAAGACGGAGAGGACAACGGTCCCAGTGCGGCACTTGGCGCTTGGCGCTGGGCGGGCACGCTCTTCGACACAGGTACGCCCTTGGTCCAAATGTGCAATCTTACACTGGTCTGACTATATGATTCAGCTTCAGCAGCAGGACTTAGTTTGGACTGGGCTCACCTCGCTGAAGACGGAACGATAAGGCGGGCTTGGGATTGGGCGGGACTACACCGGCGGGAGTGCGCCAAATTCAGAACTTGAGCACTAAAACTTGCGGTATCTATCCCTTGGATTTTGCGACCTTTGGGCACACCCTTCACAAAGGCGGGAGGAGGACACTACGGTCAGGATGTATACGTTCAGCCTCGCTGCACGAAGCTGAGGATTCCGGTGGGTGTGTCTTCCATCTGGGGTTGCAGGGTTATCTGCTGATGCACCGTCAGTCCAGGCAGGCGATTGGGCTGTACCAACCTTCCCGATGGCGAGGAGGGGACGGGCGTCCCGGGGCCTTTCACTGCGCCGAGCTATAGGCCAAGTAGCTCGCTGCCCAGCCTGTCGAGGAGAGTCCACAGGGTCGTCGGCGATCGGACTGCAGCCTCGGGGTGTGGCCCAGAGTTCGTCCTACAGTCCACCTGAAGGCCTCATGTATGTCCAGGTTGGGCAGCGCGCTAGGCTGCACGATTGCGACTTTGGGAGTTGAAGGCTACGACTACATCCACGGTTGCTGAAACCATGACCCCAAAGTCGCAGCTCTCCCTGGACAACTGCCTCCAGCTATTGTCTCGCTCGCCATAGAAATGACTCCAGTCGAGCGTCGGGGGCGATCGTGAGGGACTGTTTCGCGGAGTAGAGAAGGTGGTGGCCACGGCCTGCAGGAGACATTGGTGACAATGAGTGAATGTTCGGGGAGATAGAGACCTAAAGCAACAGAAAGGTTAGTACATCCAGTCTCGAACTAAGATTACCCACCTTAACCTGGCATATCTGACCCTCTTGGCCACTATCCAGGTTGAACATACCGCCACGACGACAGTCTGGAATATTCAGACCGGCTGAAGGTCTTCCTGCCGGATGTGTGTGTGTCTGTGCTCGGTCATCCTACGCCTGAGCAAGGTCCTCCACGTCCTGGATACCCCCAATACCAATGTAACGATCTACCAAAGGAGAGGGTATGTCAGTAACCTTCCCGCTGGCAGTAAGCTGACATCCTTTGGTCGACAGCTCGGTGGACCAACCGTCCAGTCCCCTCCGTCTCGCAACATCGCCACGGGATCAACAGCACGCAAGTTCAACCAGCCACACGTTCAACATATCTCAAGACTTTGGTGCAGTTCACCATGACCGTTCAGACGCTCGAGATGCCAATACGCCGACAACGTATATTCTCACCGCCCATCCATCCAACGGGCACGTCCTGGCTCTCCGATCTGGTGCCTCCGCCCTCGTCATGCTCAGAAGCACCCTGATTGATGTCAGATCCCATCTCGGTCACATCCACCTCTCCCACATTAACGCGGATTGACTCGAACAGTTCTCCTTTGGGAATTTGATAGATCCCCCTTTTGACCATCCATGGACGCGAAGAGCTCTCAGGCTACTTCGCTCGCTATTCCGATGCGAGAGCAACCCGCCACCGTTCTCGAAGGACGTCGAAGGACGTCCACAAGCCCGGCGGTAGAAACCCTGCGGTTGGTTCCAAGCCCAGCGAAATTTTCGATGAGCTTAATCCCAAGCAGCGTTCCGGTAACTTGGCTGTTCGCCCCAGCTCATGCACTCTGTCCTTTTACGGGAGAGTGCAATTTAGGGTTCCTGATCATTCTCGAGAGTTTGAATTGTTTTTTACCGTCGACCCTATTTCTTTTCTTAGCTCCACTGGCTTGTCGGTTTCTTCCTTTTCGCCCACTTCCCCGTCATCACCACTTCCGCCACTGGCGTGTCACAGAGCCTTTTACATCTCTGCGACGCTTTCTTCTCCCTCTCTTCTCCACCCACACAGCACCCGCTATCTCCTCTGCTGCACTACACTACGGAGCCTTTTAATTACATTTTCGTACACTATTTCGACCCTCTCTCTCCCACCATTCCCTACATACAGCTCCCGACGATGACCCTCTCTCGAGGTGCTCAAAAGTACCCCTCGTTCTCGATGGCGTTGACAACAGCGCCAGATGGAACCACCACCGTCACCCTGGAAGACCAGCAGGCGGTGCTGGAGCGACATATCATCTTCAACCCGCCAACGCCAGCGCAGGCTGGAGACCATAACGAGGCATATATGGTGCGCTGCCTTTTGCATCTTCTGCTGGCGTTCGATGATTCGATGAGCTAATGAGGTTTGCTTGAGCAGAAGACCATTGACACGCGTTTCGAGAACAACTTAGCATATTCAGTCGTCTATCGTCAGGTTTGTTCGACGATGCACGCATTTCTGAATGGATCTTGACGTTAGTGTTCTTCAGGATGACGAGGACGAGGGCGAGCATAGCGACACGGACACCTTCGCTCAGCATTGCGAGTACAAGCAGGAGGTCGGCGCCGAAGAGGCAGCGAACAAGAAAAGGGCATCTATCTCTTGGACTTCGGTGCGTCTTCCAGTTGCTTGAGGACGACTTGAGGCTCACGACGATGAGCAGTATGTCGGGTCGGTCTTTCGAGGTTTGCGCAATGCCCTTCGCTGCGCAGCATAGAAAACGATCTCAAAACTCACGACTACACTCATTGCTTGCTGTCTTCATGGTTCTTCCGGCATGGCAGCCTTGTCTTCCGCCTTGAATCGTGTTGCGCCTTGTACATTTTGATATCTTCGCATTTCTTCTTGTTTTCGATTTGCAGCTTTGGAGGTCTCGCTTGTCACACTCTAATATATATCACACTCACTCACGCAAGGTCTTGTAACAATAGTCTTCCTGTCTTCGCATGTATATTTTCTTGGTTTTTCATATTTCTTGCTGTACATATTCTGGTCTTCGCGCACGCAGTCTTCGTAAAATCTTGTACATTACTCGCTGTCTTCCGTGTTCTTCATGGTCTTCGTAGCACTTGTTCATAGCTTTCCTTCTTGATGTTCGGTGGTTTTGAGGCAGTCGGTAGTCGATGATGAGCTCACAGAACGAGAGAGAGAGTTATAGAAATCAACAATGTATATTGTAACCAGTAAATGGTGGGTCGGGGTCGGAGATGGTGGAACGATGAGGGGTAAAACTCCCAATCTTTAGCCTATCACCCTTTCGAACGTAACGTACCGTTCCTGCGTCGAATCCTTCAGAAATGGGCGCGAAGGAGGGAGGAGAAGGAGCTTACGATGACGGCGGGTGCTCCGTGAGGCATACCGGAGGGGAGCCGGCAGGTGGTGGGAGAAGGAAACGAAGGAAGGGAGCGAGGCGGTGACTCGACTCGGCCAATAATGATGGCGTGACCGTGACGCGCCACGAACCGTCACGCCACGTGCGTTGACGTAACGCTGCGCACAGACCAGTCTGGGTAGCGATTCCGAACTCGAGCAAGAATCCACTGAAGATTCCGCACGATCTAAGGCCAGTGGAGGTACTACTGAACACACGGGGTTGTCGCGAAGAGGAAGAGCATCTGAGCACGTTGGGTAAATAGCAGCCAGTGTGCGACATAACGCCAAATAAACATTTGTTATCACAATCGGATATGGTGTAACGGCTAACATTGCCGCCTCTCATCTGTGAGAGCTAGTCCGCGGCAGCTCGGGGTTCGATTCCCCGTATCCGAATTTTTCTTGGTCTCTGTCCTCATTTTTGCAGAACCAGTTTATTGTCAAAAGCCTGTTATTATGATTCTCGATTTCACTAGTATCCGAAATGCTTGTACTCGAAAGGCCAATGTTAAATGAATTAAAGAATAAGCTAAACGAACGAGGAAATCAAAATGCTTGCCTCCAATGTCAGTCCATACAAATGGTTTGCGAATCCATATACATAAAATAACCAAAACAAAAAGAAAACTAGATCGCCTTTAGATAGGTAGGTATACCGTAACCTCCACGCAGAGTCTAGAGATCGTCAGAACCAATCAAAGAAACTCTCTCGACGCCGAATCGCGTCTAGGATGCCCACTACGATAACTCGTAAACGGCGAATCCTCTCTGAAGCTACTCGACGTAGCTAGGATAGGATCCGAAGGCGGCACAGGATCCATCGTCATATTCGTCGCCGCCCACGACGCCAATCCAATGTTAGGTATATTAGGTATGAACCCCAGCCCTCCAAACCCGAGTGGACTGCCGCTGCGTGAAGGGGAGCTGAGGAGTCCTAGACCTTTCTTTGAGCCTGTCGAACTGCGTGCTCGATGTTTGGTTTGGGATTTGGGTGTTTGAGGTGCGGAGGTGGTGCCTGCTGGTGTTGGGGCGGATGGAGAGGAGGGGGATGCGGGGGCGGGAGATGATGATGAAGGTAATGCAGAAGACGAGGTTGCGGGAGTGGATGCAGAAGTGGATGGTGTTGAAGAAGAGGGTATCGAAGATGCACGCTGAGGTGGGTGAGGTGAATGCGGCTGAGAGTGCGATTGCGATTGGGAATGTGAATGTGAAGAAGAGGTTGGAGGGGGTGAATCAGCGACTGTTACCCGAGATTTCGACTTGACCGTCGTGGTTTGTGCTGCAGGTGATGGAGGGTGTGAGATGATGGGACTGTGAGGAGTGGAGACAGAAGGTGTACCGACCGCGACGGATGCTGGCCTGGATGACCCCGCCGTAGGGCGGTCGGATGTTGAAGGTGAATGGGGTCGAAAGTCGGCGGGGGGAGTTGAACGGCCAGCTGGAGGTGCGCCAATATAAGTCATGCCACCTGTCGCGGTCATTCGGAGATTATTGACTGTCTTGGTCAACGCTTGGAACACAGACGTCCTATCCGGCCAATGGAGTGCTGAAGCCAATGGATTAGTAGACTGGAACGTGGCGTGGACCGGTGAGTTGATGGCCATGGGTGAAGTTGGGGAATCAGGACCGTCATCTCTGCCCTGGCTGGTAAACGTCGAATGGATGGACGAATCTGATAGACCTCGTCTGCGCAGCCTTCTGGTTCGTTCAGGGAGGGCAGGAACTTCATCCTCTGCGGCTTCGTCGTCGTAGCCAGTTGGATGTTGCTGCGCGTCAATCACAGCATCAACGTTCCGAGAAAGCCGGTTCGTTTTCTTCATGGCCGACCGCCCTATCGTCGCACTTCCACCGCCAGGACCGAAATAACTCGACTGAACTCTTCGTGGCGTGTTGCGGGGAAGGACAACCCATGGATCTTGCTCCACCGGCTGCGGTTTGGGAGCACCCGCGAAGATGTTCATCACGTTCACCGACGTTGTGGATGGACCCGCTGTAGATCCGACCTGAGCATCGGCAACGGGTGTAACGGTGATCATCTGCGGCGGCGCTAGCGTCGTTGTCGCCCTACCAACACCCGCACCTGAGAACTCCACATTGACCGTGGTCGTCGATGCTGCCAACGCAGGTCCCAACTTGGGCGCCAATCGAGACTGCGGCCCTTGGCCGCTAACTGCGCGTGAAACCCCAGTTGGACTTTGCTCTCGTCTTTGGGTCCCAGTGAAAAACTTGGAGATGGGTGCGATCCAGCTGCTTGCGCCTTGTAGTCGACTAGCCAGGTCTTGCGATTGTTTCTCCCGTTCGGCGGCAGCTTTGCTGGGGTTGAGCGAGAGCTCGCTCACCCTTGGCGCACATGCAGGGTCGAAAATGACATCGTTGAGCGTGACCCGCATCTGACCCATCTCCATGAACATGTCCTTGATGAGTTTGAAGAGGACGCGGAGGTCCTTTCGTGTGCATGTCACGACAATCTTCTCATCTTCCAGGAGGTTTCGGAACTGAGATCGGAGTTCGATGGCTTCTGCTATGATGTTGCTGACGGTCGTCCGCGAGAGATGGCTGAGATCGGCTCCCTTGAGGTTTTGCCTCTTCAGTCGAGTGGTCAGCGTCAGAGCATCGGCTTGGGTCATCTTATTCAACAGCTGGGTCGCTTTGTCGAACAAGGCGGTCGTATGGGATGCTTCAGCCAACGAAGATGATTCAGATCGAGGATCTGGTGGAGTCGACAAATGGGACATGTGGGACGGAAGCGTGGCGGTAGGAGAGGGGACGCTTAACCAAGGCTCGGTTTGGATTCCGCGCGAACGGGTAAGGAGAAGCAGAGGTCGATGGCCCTTTGATCTCCCGACTTCTGGACTATCTTCCTCGTTTGATGTCTCTTCAACTTCGTAACTAACGTGGGATGCGTCGGAAGGGGCCCCTGGTCGAGAGAAGGAGAATCCGTTCCAGCGATCGGGAGGCGCTAAGGAGTCGACTGGGGATAGTGGTCGTCGGCTTGAGTCTGGGGTCATTGGCTCCTGACCCCGTCTGTTAATGAGATGGTATGATGAGACACTGGGAAGTACATACCAGGTTGAACGGAACGCTTCTAGGAGATGGATCTGCATTGAACGAGCGCCGTCCGACAGAGGATACGCTACCGGTATGGAAGTGCCGGGAAATGGGGGTAGTGGCTAGCAAAAGTGTAAGAAAATGAAAGCAAGTCTAAAGCTAGATACTTACGACCAGACCGAGGGGGCGGGAACGTTGCTGTAGCAGCACGGTGCTCTTCCACCTCTTGCTGGAGGGTATGCACATCTTCACGCGTTTCTGCCAGAAGCCGCTGGAGCTCTGCATTGTCCCGCTTCAAAACCTCGTTATCGTTAACGAGAGTTTCCATGACTTGCGCCAACTCGTCTTGCTCCGCCTGCGCGGTTAGTCCCACCTTGAACCCATAAACTCAGCAATTATCCTGCAGAGTCAAACTTGACTCACAGAAGATCTGACCGTTTGCAATCGAAGTTTCGCCTCCTGGATGATCGAGTCGGACGATTCGAGCCTATGTTGTCTCTTTTCTTCCACCAGTTCTTGCAGTCGTCTTACTTCCGCTTGCAACTTGGCTGCGAGAGACTGTTAGATGACACCCACAGGCAACTGGGAAAGACTCACCAGTCTTGTCCTTCAAGGCTGCAAATCTAGACTCTGCCAACCGAGCACGATGGCTCTCGCCGTCACGCTCCTGCTGCATGTCGTCCCTCTCCTTCAAGGCTGCCGTAAGTCGTGCATCCCACCCCATGGAACGGGCGTGGTGGGCTGTCAACCTCGAAATCGTCTCCCGAGCCTCTTGTAGTTCTTGCATGAGGGTCCTATTCGACACCTCTGTAACTTCGTTGTTGACCAGGGCATGATTCAGCCTCTGTAAACCATTATCAACTGTGGGACAAAGGAGAAGCAACCACCACACACCTTCTCTATTTCGGCCTTTTCCCGAGCCAAGAGGTCGTATTCTCTGCTCAGCTTTTCTTCAGAGCTAATTTCGTCACCATCGTCACTGCTAAAAGTAAGGTTGGCTTGCTTCAACGATCCCCTTTTGTTCCTGGATTTCTGCGTAACCGTGAGTGCCGGTGGTCATTACGCGCACTGCATCGAGCCAACAAACTCACCTCGACCTGCCGGACGTATGCTTCATGTTTCTGCAACAAGGCCTGCCCAACCTCTTACAACAAATGAACACGCGACCCTTTGACCACCCAGACCTAAGCAAGCTCACCAGCACTGAGAATCAATCTCGTCTCCAACTTTGTCCTGAGGTCGAGCCAAGAAACGGTGTTCTCGCAGTCGTCCTGGCCGCAACAGCATCGTGGCGGGTGTTCGGAGGGGGCAGGAGACGGCGCGCGGTTGAGATCGGTCAGAACCGATGTCAGCTCGTCGATGGTGCTTGAAGAAAGGTCGAAACTCCTTGTCATCGGGCTCGTAGGCGAGTCGGGGCTGACAGGCTCGTCCAACATGGCTAAATTCCGTTTGAACTTTGCGGTTAATTATGAATGTTCGGGGCCGGGACTGTCGACGTCGAGCATAGCCTAGAGTGACATGAAAGGAAGAAGAGAGAGACAGTGGCGCTGGGACAATGTGGTTTGTTGACAACGTTGGGGGCGGCCCTGTCAGGGTCCACGCTCATTTACCGACATTCCCAGCTGTTCCGCGCCGTCTTTTTGGTTATTGCTTTAGATCGGATCACCGCCATCCCATAACTTGAGGCCTCAGGGGCGCAAAATAGAGTCTTTTGCGTAGTTCTAGTGCTACAGAATTAGTGCTAGCCTTTTACTCGTGGTGTACATGAAACAGGATGGAAAACAAAACAAAAAAAAGTGTATGCCCGCAAAAGTATCCCAACAACCGACAAATGACAGCAGAAAACGAAACAAAGATCGGAATAATATATATAACGACAGGAGGGGCAGCGACGACTATGAAATAATGGCCACTAGGTTGTTGATCCAATGGATCACCCTGGCAGAACCAATATGACCAGGCGGGAGGAAATTGTGGTTGTACGCCAGTCCGACCATGTTCAGTTCTTCTAGGGCAATCAAGAGGTCTCTGCTCGCGAAGAACCTTTCCTCCTGCTTCTCCAATGTCGAGGCCGAGGAACCACGAGGCTTGTTCTCGTAGCGCAGTCCTTCCGGTTGCAGAGAAGACCACACGCGGAAGATGTTGGTAGCCGATCGAATCGCGTTGGGATTGGAGGACGAGGCAAAGGTGAGCTGGAACTTGTCCTTCAGGCTATCATATCTGCAACCGAAACGTCAGAACCAGACTATGTAAACCTCTAGATTCGTTACTCACATGAGGGCCATGACATCGGGGAAGCTCGTAGCCAAGTCCGAAAGCAACCCATACCACATCTCCGTCTCTGCATCGTCTCCTTGCGCAGTGGTGATAGCGACAGCAGCGAACATTGCAACCAGCAAAGCCGTAGCAGAATCATTAATTCCCAAGAAGGGAGGGGTAACCCTCGGAGCAGAGGTATCGTCATTTTCCACGTCAGGAAGCCCTGCATCTTGATGCCAGGCATCATCGACCAAGCTCTCCTTCAACAACCTTCGATACGACGCCGCGGTCGTCGAAACGGGCAGGAGAGCAAGGAAGTATCCGAGCACGTCCGGGCACAGGACACTGCTGTACCCGTTGAACGCGCGATCGTTGAATTGGTTGTGCGTCTTGGCAGAGATGGTGAGCAGGCGTCGTAGTGCCTTTTCCGCAGCATCTCTCGAGAAAGCGTGCCGCATTCCTTTGAAGATGACGTGCGCCAGGGATATCGAGAAGTGCTGCTCGAAGGAGATGAACGAAAGGTCGTCGAGGAGATCCTGCTGGTCCTCCAGTTGTGCCCGCATTTCCAACAGGAAGTGCGTCATGGAACCCCGCCTGAAGTACCCGCGTTCTTCCAACGCATCCAATGAAATCGTGAGGAGATTGGCAGCTTCGTTGTAGTAGCTGGGGTGCGATGATTGTAACAACGCAACTGCCAGCCAGAAGAACATGTGAAGGTATCGCGAACCGTGCTGAAGTACGGGGATGATCTTGCAAAGGCAGCGAAGCATGCTGACGATAGCGGTGTTGTTGACGTCTGGGGGTTTCGAAAAGGCGGTCTTCAATGCCACGAGGATCTGGTAAACGAAGTCATCGTCGACGTCCGCGTTTGCAAGCGCTCCGAGCACAACGAAGGCTCGGGTCTGAACCACAGGGGAGACTTGGAATGCAGCTGCAGTAACCAAACCCATCCACCGTGCTCTCCAAATATTGAGCAGGCCTGGATCCAAAGTGTCAACATCTGATACGAGAGATCATATGGGCAGTACTCACCCCTTGACCCCGAAGTAACCTCTGTAATGCGAAGCATCAAATTGACGAGACCCTCCAATTGATCCAACTGTTCACGATCCGAAGAGGGATCCCAGCTCGTGTACTCGCTCGTGGGCGTGTCCCGCGCCAAACCAAACATCTTGAGGGTGGCGGGCGTGGTGCATGTCTCCATCAGCTGCATCAACTCTGGACCAGACAGCTCTTCCGATCGCGAGATGTACAAGCCTTGCAAAAGGTTGACAACAGTTCCATATACAGACTTGCGCACCAGCGAAGGACCTTCTGCGGCAGTGAGGGTGACGAGATGGCAAAGTTCCGGTACGAAGAGTTGGGTGATCCCAGCTTGCTTGGGTTGCATTGTTCCCAGAGCCGAGACGAGGCGAACCAAGGTCGCGATTTCGTTCCAATTGAAATGCTTGGTCAAGCTGTTGGGTGGAAGATTACTCTTCTTGCTAGCGCCAGCTGGTTTGCCAAGGGCCTAGACAGAGACAGGCAATCAGCCTACGCAGTAGAAAGAATACACACGTGTTACGCACCCTGCGAAGCCTACTGTACAGGCGACTCCTAACGCTGATCGAGGATAGTGTTGCGATGATCTGGGCAACGATCTCGCATCTTCGGGTACCAATTCCTCCATCGATTGCAGCTCGCACGAGTTCATCGAGGATCGTGTCAGTAGCATAGGTCTCCAGCTTGGCCATTTCCGCCCAAACGAACTTCTGAAGGGTCGATGACGTCTGGTAAAGAGGGTAGTTAGAAGTGGTAACGAGATCTGCATTGGCGCACAAACCTCGGGGTACGTCAAGGAGAGGTCCGCCAATGTCCTAACGCAATCACGGAAGCGCGTTCCCGACTTTTCGTACAAAGGACTGGTCGGATTGACAAACATGGAGAGGTTCCGAATCCACGGGCTCATGTAATGGAGGCAGTTGATTCGTTGAGCAACAGCGCTCTGGTCCATACTCGACATAGCTGCCGAAACTTCATGAATGAAGTCCAATGTCAGACGAGGTGCGAATTCGGCGAGCTTCTCGCTAAGATGGTTGACGAAGGTGAAGGGATCGCCTGGGATGAATCCGGCTACAGGACTTGTGTGAGCCATGATGACAGACCATCAAGTTCTGAACCCACCATTGCGAGCTACTATGGGCGATTTGTCGTACTTGAGGTATGTACAGATTGCACCCAGCAGGTTGTAAGCCGCTCCCCGCAGCTCTTCATCGTTAGGATCGACACTAAGGAAACCGATATGGAGTAAGGTTGCAGGGATGTTGGAGAAGCGGGAGAATCGTTCTGTGAGCGGCGATTGGATCTCCTTTAGCTTGCCCTTGGCTGAGCGAATGGTCTGCATTACTGTAAGCGGATGCTCGATGTCTTATTGTGAGAAAAATTCACCTTGACGATAGTATCCCGCTCTGTCGAGAAGAAGTAGAGGTGCTGGTGGCGGCGACGGATGATGAACTCGTTGTTCTGGGTTGGTTCGCCGGTCAAGATGTTGTAGGTGTCGAGCACTTCTGACAGAGGAATGATCTCCACATATCTGGAAGCGAAGCCTGGGGAGATGGCAGATGCTTTGGCCTTGGAATCATTCAGCGAACGGTCCGCTCAATTGAAACTTGAACCTACCGTCGTGAACTTGATGTGTCTAGACGTTACTTGGAGATCAACAGAAGTTCGCATGTGTTCCTTCTTGAAAGTGATGGACGGGAAAAATCCTTCGACGGGCTCTTGTTCAATCGTCACTGATCACACGACGAAGGTTAGTTTCAGGCGGAATCATCGTCGAACGGGCACTCACCAGGATATTCCAATGCTGGCAGAACTTCAGGTGGAACGCCGGAATCAAGCAGTTGTTCGACAGAAACGTACGCTCGGATGTCATTGCAGTACGGTGTGCCTAGGTACTGATCTATCAATGAATCAAGCCGATAACACTCCCAAACGCACCTGCAGAGACGTTGTACAATCGGCGAAGGTACTTGTGGGCGAGGTGGTTGGGATTGAGAACATGGGCAGTGCGGAATCGAGCTCGAATGTCTGCCGGGACGACCTCTGCACAGAACTTCAGCCATTGAAGTGGTAGTTCAGAGATCGAGGAGAACGCAGTGCAGTCGATGATGACATCGAATGGGCGATCAAGGTATGGCTCAGATGTAGCGGTCTTGAATATGTGGTACATCAACAGCTGGATATCGAGATCTTCTACATCCACCTTCGAGAATCGGAAGACAAAGTAAGCAGCATCATCCTAATTTGATTGTTAGAATCGGTCCCCCAGAATCAAATAGGCACTTACGTCTCCTAGCTCCGTCTCTACAAACAAATCACGAACGCGAGTGGTGCTTCGGCCGTTGCACTCGGCCATCAGGTCCAGGTATTCATGGTGCTCGGTAGAGTTGGCCAATGATGGGCGAGGAACCTCTAAAGGTGTACCGAGGTCGACCAATAAAGCACAAAGGCCATCCCAAGCTCGCTTCCCGTTGATCGCAGAGATGTCGCCCTCCGACGAAGGTTTTGACAGGCTGAGCAGTTCCTTCCCAATCTTGTCTGCATGCTTGTCGAAGAAGCGATGGAGCACGATAATGTCGGTGTCGTCCGGGGTCAGACCATGCCAAACATCATTATCTTCCGATTGCGATGCGGGTATCTCCTAGAGGCCGGTCAGTATTTTTTGGCTAATCAGTCGAGAAACATCTTTCATACCTGTAGGTTCTCCAAGAAGTCGGTGATCTTGGCAAGATTCTCCCGCGTAGTGGGATCCTTCTGGCTCGCCTGAACCTCGCCACCTTTCGACCAGAGGGCATGGTTGGCAAGGTTCTGAACGAATCTCGCAACACCCATCAGTCCTCTCCTCGTCAATGGATCATCTTTGTCTTTGGGCAGTTCGATGTCGATGGCTTCAGGGGAAACGATGACAGGGGAGATAAACCTGTATACAGTTTGTGAGTAACCAGATCCTGCACAAATGCAAATGGCGACATATACTTACCGAAGGAAGATAAAGGCACCGAGGGCCGCAAATCTGGAATCTGGCCACAGTTCCGCCCTAGACACGGAGTGTAAGTAGAAAAAGGAGTCGAGGTTGGCATTAGACGTACACAGTCTTGCCGATATGGGCGCAAACCTCACGGATCATCGGAGGGACAATGTTCTTCGAGGAAATGACGATGTTGATGAACATCGAGGCCAGGAACTCAACATTGGGCCCGCCACCAGCAACCTCACCCTCGGGAGCAGAGACCAGCGTTCGAATGAGGGGGGCGATGATGCTTCGGAGGTAAGCGTAGCCATGGATTCTCGCGAACTGAGAAAGTAATCTCGTACACGTCGAATTGCTACGGAAAAGGGCGGCCTCAGAGTCTGAGTGGAGGATGTCAATTGGCAGCAAGAGATTAGGAGCTAAGAACCGCTTACCAGTTTGCGAAACCTCCCGCTCAATGATGAGCTTCATGAGAGCCATCAAGGAACGTCGACTGTCGAAGACGTTTAATAGGCATGAGATGATCATGTCAACCTCGCTGGGGGGACAGATCTCGCAGATGGTCATAGCGAGAACCATCTACGGACGGGTCAGGGAAAGGACAAGAATGGACGGATCACAGTTCACTTACGTCTGAACCACGAAGCAACTGAAAAAGCTAATCTCAGTGTCCATTTGCTGGAGAAAGGACATTGCGCTTACATCAGAGAAACGAGCGGACTTGTTGGGTGGTGGAACCTTTTCCGGTGGCTCAAATATTGTACCCTCACCGAGAACACGGGCGAAAACGTGAGCAAAGATCGTCCGCTTCCTGGGATCCGAGTCATAGGCAAGGTGTAGGCATTGCTTGAAGCCGCTCTCGCTATTCGAGCTGACAAGGTGGGTAAGGCCTGTGATGACGAGGTCGCGGAGTTCTGCTTCCTTCTGTGAGGTCTTCATACGCTAGAATGAAGTATTTGAATGAAGCTAAAGATGTCCTGAGCCCGGACGTGGACATACCTGATGAACGGAACCCAATTCAGAGGTGCTATCCGAGGTCTGCGGGGGATCGTGAGGCTTGATGGTTGGAATATGGAATACTCCTGGTACTTACCGGTACGTCGAACCGATACTTGTCCAAACACTGCAGTAAACGGTCCGCGTAGCGTTTGAAGAGACCGGAAACCACGTGCAAAGTTTCGTCGGCGGAGTTCGTGACCTCAGTCGTCTGAAGTTGCAGTCGATCGAGAAGCTTGACCGCTGTCCGAAGACAAGCCATGTTGAGCTCGGATTGGGCCATGTCGTGCTCCATATATCCGTTCGGCATTATCTACCCAAACCGTCAGATGTTGCCTGCACATCGAGAGTAAAGACCTACCGCCAAAGGTTGGAGCCAGTCCAACACAATGTCGAGGATGTTGTTGCGAATTTGATTGTCCTTCCTGATTGTCAAGATTTCAGAGTTGTCGCAGATGGATTTGGCGAGCACGCAGAACTTGATCTTGATTCGATGAGAGGCTGGCTCTTCGTATCGAGCGATAAATTCAGCAATCGAAAGCATTAGAGAGCTGATGTCGATGGTGATCGTGTCTTCCTGAGGACCGTGTTGGCTGTCGGCGAGGAGCTTGAGGACAGCGATGAATTGATCGAGGAACAGAATGTAGTCTTCCTTGAGCTTGGGACCAGCTCCTTGTTCGATACTCCTCATTTGCCTATGGAATGATCCCGTCAATAAAGTGACCCTAACAAGGTGAAAGATGAGCTTAACTCGTCCATGAACCGGATAAGCTTGGGATAGAACCGAGGGCTGAGTTCTGATCCCAAAGCTTCTCGAGCAGTGTCGCGAATGAATGCGTCATGGTGCATCAGCAAGCTAATCAGATCGCTAATGAAGGTCTCCGCGAGGGCCGGGATATGTTGGAAGACGCGAATCTTGTCAGGCATGAACTCGGAGGGGATGGTGTTGATGAGGGTGGTCATATCAGGCTTCTCGCTAGTGCAAGTACCGCAGAGCGTGGCCAGGAACAGCGTCAAATTTTGCCATTGGAAACGGAATTCCTGGGGAATATCGTGAGATGACTGGGAGGAACGACATTACTGGAAAATCACCTGATGCTGTCCACCAAACGCAGATCGTAAACTCGTGTTCCCATTGAGTTCCTCGTTCAATGCCTCGTACACTGGCTGAGAAATAGACCTCCATCGACCGTAGCACTCTGCCCAAACGGCTGAATGGATGGGAGAGCTATAGGAGATCAGCCTGATGAGCTTCCGGAGTCGCTTCTGGTACCCCACTCTTCCTACCACCATTACCCGAGGATCACCGATCTGTTCGTAGACAAAGTTCCGTTTGCTGAACTCCTCTTCACCGAGAATGGGAGATGAAGGCGCGTTCGGGCGCTGCTCAACTTGGGCCAAAAGTCGCAGTGACTTCGCAGCAAGGTGTGAGATGTTGACGTCGGAGGCAGTCAACGATACCATCAGAGCGATCTCCGCGAGGGTGAGGGCAGGTGTTCGACGTTCATCCAGTTGAATTGCTCGAACGTGTTCCATCTGAAGGAAGGGTGAGCTTGAGGTCCATGGAACGAAAAGGGAACACATACATCGATTCTCTTGCTGTAAATGTCAACGATAGAGTGAGCCAAGGATACCCAGAGATGGTGAGCGTCGGCGTCGGCCCTGGAATTCAAGAGGTTGTGGCACACGCTCTGGAGCGTGATTGGCCTAAAAATAGATCAGTCTTCGACGAATACTTGATTGGATCAATGAGAACCTACAATGAGCGCTTCAGACTCTCAACCGTAAGTTCTCCAGCTTTATCCGTTGGCGGGACCAGGAAGCTCAACTCTGTGACTTTGCGCAAACAACTCGCAGTCGAAACCTTGACCGTCGTGTCCATCTGAGCATCCCACAACTTCACGGTCATCGTAATCCAAGTCTCCATCTCTGCCTCCGTGATACCCTTCATAAAGAACATGGGACTCTGCCTCCAGATGGAAAGGATGGAAAGCAGGAGGATCTCTTTGTCGCTGAGCGTCTCTGATGGCGTCCTCTTGCCCTTTGGTCGACTCGAGATCCGCTTGACGTTGCCGTACTGATCTAACTCCGGCCGTCGTACCGCCGTGCTCTGAATTCAATACATCAGATATAATCAATATGAAAGGCCACAATGACGTACCGTCAGGACGGCGCGACATCTGTGAGCAATGGCATCCTGCAGTCTGTCTAATGGCTTCTGCATCTTGATACGGGCGGCCTGGGTCGCGGGTTAGATTGTAAAGTGGTTTAACCAAAAGGGCGACATACATCTTGGTTGAGCGTCAGACATGCTCGAATGACACAGGTCTTGACAGCCTCAGAACGTTCTGGCTCTATGCAGACACAGAAGATGGGTATAGAGTCCTCCTCGGGTAAGAAACGGAAGATAGCAACCAAGGCGTCAGCGTAAAGTGCAACGTCGATTTCGTCAAAGGTCTCCCAGAAGGCTTTCCTTGACATGCTATTCCAGAGGGCTCCTTTGATCTCGTGCGCCAAGTCGGAGGCAATGAGGAGGATGGGAACTTCGTCGTTGCCTTCGACAAACGCCGCGACGCGACAAAAGTCCACAGCACACGCCAAAGCGACCTCTGAGAGCTTGGAGTTCGAGTGGAGATGTCGGACGAGTTCTTGACCAAATCGTTGTTCCTGCATTGATGGGTTATTATCGATCTAAGAACGCTAATCGTGTGTCTACTCACCTTCCGTTTGGGGGTGCCATACTGTGACGACTGGACGTCGGCTTGGATGCGGTCATAACTCATGCAGTTGAGCAAAATCAGACATGGCCACAGGATCCTCTCGTTTCCATGGGCCGACGGGTAGAGCAAGTCAAAGACGCGTTCCGGGGCGCCTTCCGTCTTCCCTCTTGTTCTAATGACCTCGTTAAATTGACCAGGGTATCGCTCTATCCAGTTCCAGAGCGCTGTTCGAAGAGAGATGGCGATAGCAACCTGTGCATCACGTCCCATGTTGACCAGTAATGAACTGACATCTAAAGCGTCGTCAGAAGGCTACCGACGGTAGGTACCATAATGTTCTCACCGTTGAGAATGCTGACAAGTAGTGGACGATCCAGGTTCGAGTATGCCATCAATTGGAGGTCAACGTGGTCGGGGTCATCTGCCGTACCTCCCAGGAATCGAATCTTGGCCCTTAGCCTGTGGTAAACTACAGGCCAATTCATGACTGAAAGGTGGAAGATGACCCGACCAGTTGCCTTTGCGATGAGGTTATTCACAGCGGCAGGGTTCTGAAGCAATGAAAGATGTGTCTTCTCGTAGGCGCGTGGTGCAACGGTGGAATAGAGGGTGGAACTGATGCTCATCTTGCCGGACTTTACAGACATAGCTGACCGCTGCGAGCGTAATGACGGTTCCCCGTTATCCCCGCCGCCACCTGCAGCGGCGGCTGCAGCCTCCAACACGGCTTCCATCTCAGGGGTCATCGTGATGTTCATGGTGTCATGGAGTTCATAATCGCGGAAAGAGAGATCGGTAGAGTTCGTGGCGAGCATCAAAGGGACGTCGTAGGTCATGGTTTGTCGTAGAAACAGGACCATCACGCTCAAAAGGTATTTTGCACATGAATCGTCCATGGGAGTGGGTTCTGTCCACGTCGAGCGTATTGACGGGGCAGCCCGGGAACCCGTCGTTTGAGGGGAGTCAACCATGGTCGAGGACTCCGAGGACCTGGCGTCCATCGACCTGGACGCCGACGGGTCAGGGTGCCAGCGGGATGCCATCGCCAGTGACAGCACCTTGAGGACAAACAGTTGAGATTGGAGGACTTGGATCGTAGGGTTCTCGGGCTGCTGATGCAGGTCTCTCTATCAGGTTCCCTTGGCAATTAATTTGGGGCGACACTTGCCTTTGCGAGTCGATCTGCTGTCTCACCCAAAGTCCACGCAACCAGATCCAGCGAGTCCCGCGACAGTTCGACGAGTGTTTCAATGGTTTGCTGTATCAGAGGGTCGTTCTCCACACGATCCAGGGGTAGCCCTGAGCTAACTGGAAGCTGCAATGATATCGAAGATAATGAGTTCATTGATATCAGCAAGAGGACGATGCTTTGGGTACTAGAAAGTATCGCAAAGGGAGCCACGTACCTTCCCACCAAGCCGTTTAACGAGAGCAGCTACCACCGGTTGCTGTGGGTTTCCGGGATTCGCTTGAGGGGGATGTCCCGAGGACGTCGACGCGCCGGCACCAGGGTGGCCATGGTATGAGTCTGAGCTCTTGTGTGACCTGCCTGAGGCGCTACTATATGTGTTCCCTGGTTGACCTGCAGAAGCAGACGGACGGCGAGTAGGCATCTTGGTTGTGAACTGGTAACGCCGTCTACTGAGATCGCTGCTCGCCGCGTGCTGCGTCTAGAAAGGCTGCCCGAATTCCTGGGAGTCTGAGGGGATAGGGTAGAGATATCGTGGCGGTAGAAAAGGAAGAAATGGAGGCTGGAAACCCCGAAACCTGATTGCTCAGGGATCGACAAAGTTGACGGCCAAAAGAATCACAGCGACCTAGAGCTCTCAAAGCCAGTGCTCGGCGGGAAGCCGGCCGAATGATAGATGACTAATCAATTGGCAATGTTTGCGGCGGTGGGCGCTTCGACAGGGTTGGGGCATCGGCGAGTACGTGAATTTTGCTTCCAGCACCCACGATTGACTTTCTGGCTGTCTGTCAGTGTCTTTTTCAAGGTCATATCCATCCGATATCCCTTAATTTCCGCTTCCAAAACCGTTGTGAACTCGGATCATTCGACTTGAAGCCGTTTACTAGTGCCACTCACATGTCCAACCATTGCCACTTGGTATGTTTCGCGTTTGTATTCGCAGAAAAAATAAATCAATAACTGTCCTTCTGAGGCTGTATACTCTCGAGTATATGACATAGGATTTCTATTCAGTCAAGCAACTACATGCTTCCGATCTGGTTTCATTAAGCACTTACTCGCGATGCGGCCACCCGCTCACCCACCGTTCTCATCAGTTTCCGTTGCCCACCGCTCCACGATAACGGTGGATTAGTCCCTGTAATATTGACCTACACCCACACCACCTTGCCCGATAGTTGGGTGAGGGTCCTCGGTCGATTCTCGATCCGGTCGACAGTCTACACAACGACAGCTATCTGTATACGACTCAAACCACTGTCAGTCGAGGGTGTCTGGTAAAGTACCGAGTGGCAGACCTCTTGACGTAGCTAATAATTTAGCTGTTGGTCCTACCGTCCCCCTGTCTACATGTCGTTCCGATAACCCACCCGGCAACGGTAGCAACATCCGTGCTTCAACACCTTGGACGGGGACTTCACCCTGTTCTCACCTGTGGAAGTTGGGGCCTACAAGCACCACTTTCATGGTGTTATCCTTGCTTCTCGACCTTGTCTCTAAATACCATTCACCTTGTCGACTTGTTCGAATCTACCAGCAAGTCCATCCAGGTTGAACCAGCTCGACTATCGGACGCCACAGTTAATCACGCACCATACGTGGGCAACAATGGGATCTTAAGCTCCCACTCTAACTTCGGAGGCCATTGTTGGACCGTGTGGTCCTCATCTTAAGACGGAAAATACTCGAGTCATCTTTGAAAACCGGACAACCGATCCCACCCCTCAATCTTCGGACTATTACGCTGCGGGGTATCCGCAACGATAGGGCATACCGGTAAGTACGAACGCATAGGTGACAGGCAATATGATAGACATTATTTCACCAGGTTCCGGCAAGTGGGGGATCGGTCACCTGAGGAATAGTTGGGATAAACACCCGACAATGAACGTTAGAGCTGTAAGTGGCATCGTATCGATTTTACGTCGAGAGTGCCACTGACCGGCCGATGGTGCAGAAGATCACTTCTCCACTGGTTACACGGCTTAATGGACTTATCGAAACGCGTCGGGAACTTCCACCAAGTGACGCATTCCAGTGTCAACCGCCTAGTATGCTTACCTCGATCCAAGACTGGTCGCATCAACCTTCGATTTCCGAAATCTCATTGTTCTTCGGATGTTGAAATACCGCCGACCCCTTTCCATTCGGGACATTCCTTCCTTCATCATGCCTTTCGCACGTTGACTGGAATTCAACGAACTACCCCAGAAGCACGTGAGACAGACAAGTTGACATGGTCACTGAAATTGTTCGCAGAGTCCATGGTTGCGGAAGACGGGTGCCATCATCGGGACCAGATTGACAGGACAATGCAAGGTTGGAGAGCATTGGCATGAAGAAGGTGTGAACCTGTAACTTGTGATCCCTCCCAATCCATACTCACCGTCATTTCAGCGCCGATGTGTTGCTAATCTGGACAGTGACTCGATGGTCTCCATGCGATGATCTCAAGTTTCCCATTGTTCGTCTAGTTAGGACACAAGGTGATCAAGGCTCCGAGTCTGCCTTTCTTCCAGGTGGAGCCACGCTTTCTGGGGACAAGAAAATGTTCAAGTGCTTCTGGATACCATAACCTTGTTTTCTAGGCGCCTGGACGACGACTATCGATGACTTGACGGCGAAGGAACTCCTGGGAGATCAAGGCGCTTCAAGCGAGCACCGCCACCGTCCTGGACCTACAAAGTCCCACAATCCAGCTACCCCCTTGCAGCCGAATTATTCATGACGTTCGGAGAAGGTTCTCTGGGCAAGTCGCCTGATATCAGATCTTTGGCTCCATCAAACTATTGTTCGACCGATCTGGATGCTTGGGACGTGTTCTGCATGGCCGCAGAGAGCCTTCTTCGAGATGACAACAATGGGCTTGAGGAAATGATGACGGCCTTAAACGGATGGTTGTCGGTTTCTAGAGGAATGGGTTGTGAACCAAATGGGAGAAAAGATGAGTCGCCCCGGGAGATGGAGGAATATGGACGGAAGTGAGCCAGGTCATGCGGCGCGGGAAATTAAATAAAAGGGCTGACTCGGCAAAAACAAATTTGAGACCCCCCAATTCCGCGTATCAACGCATCGCAGGTCTCTTCATCCCCAACAGCCATTTCGTCTGCTGTGCGCCTCACTCCCTCTACCCTCGATTTCTTGCTCGTCGTCTGCTATCGTTTTTGGTTGCTCTCTCGTCGTCGTCGATAATCGCCGTTTTCCTATCACCAATTTGCTCATTTATTTGCTCGATTGCTGTTCCTGAATTTTCTTTCACATTACTTCTCTGCGCTGTCGTTGTTTCTAGCTCGCTGCTCTCTCTTCCCTAGAAGTTTTCGGGACAGCCAGCTGCCATTTCTTAACCATCTCTTTGATCTTGAATTTTCCTTACTTCCAACCATCCCCCTTTTTTTGCTGCCGTACGCGCCATGTCGCGACCAGACTCGCAGGAATTTGACTTTCCACCGGTGCTACGTGGTCGGTCAGACGGGCCACGCGATGTTCTAGGAGGCTACGGATACTCTGCGATATACAATGGACAGGATCGACGGACAGTGACCACGTCGACGGGGCATCCCCCGCGGGAGTACGGGTATGGGATCGATAGTAATATGTCTTCCGGACCAAACAGAAACAACGCATTGAGTGCTCAAATGTCCCCTGCACTCGGTTCATTCTCTTCCTTTAACCACAACAACTCCCTCCACCGTCCTTCCTCGTCGCCCTCCAATATCATCTCCACCCACCCCGCCCCCGCCATCTACCACTCCTCCCCCTCGAGCGATACCCCCCGCCACGTCCATCAATTGCACCCGCCATCGTCGACAACAGCGACCAACCCCGCGCCGCTTCTCCCTGTTTCCAGCTCAAATACGTCGCGCTCAACGCTCTGGTGGGGCGATCTCGAAGTTTGGATGGATGAAGAATACGCCAGGCAGGTCTGCACGCTCATGGGCTGGGACCCCGTCAACATCAAGGTCCCCCATCCCGCCCCAGACCCAGCGACCGGTCAGCAGCCCGCCAACAACCCGGGCTACTGCTTCCTCACCTTCCCGTCGCACGCGCACGCCGCGGCCGTCCTCGCCCAGATCAATAACGCCGGGAAGTCGGTGACTATGCCTAATTCGTCCAGGCCATTTGTTCTCAATTGGGCGAGTTCGGTGCCTGCTTCCGCCACTGGTGCCTCGGCGAGCTTCTCCGGCGGGGCGTATCCTTCGAGCGCTCCCCAGCAGCCCCAGTACCAGAAGGAGTACAGCATCTTCGTTGGCGATCTCGCTCCCGAGACCTCCAACTCGGATCTCGTCGCTGTCTTCCGTAATCCTGTCTTGGGTCTTCGGAATGACCGTGAGCCAAAGTACATCCGTCCCTTCCTCAGCTGCAAGAGCGCCAAGATCATGCTCGATCCCGTCACTGGCGTGTCGCGGGGCTATGGCTTCGTTCGGTACGTCGGTTTCCATCCTCGCTGTGGAGTTGCTGTTGACCTCGCCTTTCAGATTCACTGACGAAGCCGACCAGCAGCGTGCGTTGATTGAGATGCACGGTCTTTACTGCCTGTCACGACCAAGTATGTCCATTTTCCCGGCCCGTGCCCGTACCTATGCTCACAGCTTCACAGTGCGTATCTCCCCTGCTACTGCCAAGCACAAGAACCCGCCAGCTCCAGCTCCTCCATTGTCGATCTCGCCCTTTGACGTTTCGCCAACTGGGCTACATCTTCAAGACCCCAAGAACCAGGCTCTCACCGTTGCCCTGCCTCTCCCCCCGCAAACCAATAGCGTTTCAGCCCCCATCGCCGCCACCACATCCAACCTTTCTATCAATAGCAACGGTGCCTCCACGTCTGGCTCCTCCATCGGTGGATCCCACTCGAGCAACTCGATCAGCTCCAATTCGAACTCGAGCTTGACCTCGGCTTTCGGGTCTGCGACCTCTTCCGAGGATGCCTTGAGCCTTCAACACAATGCGTTGGCTCAGCTTGCCAAGCAATATGCTGGTGGCGATCTTGCAACAGGTTCAGTCAATTCTTCCTTCGCCAATGATCCCCAATTGAGACAAGTTCTTCAAGCGCAACAAAATGATCCTGCTCCCCGCTTTATGGTCCACGAGGATCACTGGAAGCACCAAGCGCAGGCTCGTGCAATCCTGGGCAATCTCATTGGTCCCAATGGGGAACAGCTCACCTCGACGGACCCTTACAACACCACCGTCTTCGTTGGAGGGCTTTCCCCCTTGATCTCGGAGGAGACATTGAGGACTTTCTTCGCTCCTTTCGGCGACATCCACTATGTCAAGGTCCCCGTTGGCAAGCATTGCGGTTTCGTTCAGTTTGTTCGCAAGGCGGATGCGGAGCGCGCTATCGAGAAGATGCAAGGATTCCCTATTGGAGGCAGCAAGATTCGCCTTAGCTGGGGTCGTAGTCAATGTGAGTCGCATTTTCTTTGCATTCGCCTGAACCGATGTTGAACTTCCGAATAGACAAGGCCGCTCAGGCCGCTGCCCAGGCTGCCCAAGCAGCCCTTCAGCAACAGTACCCTGGTGGTCAGGTTGGAACTCTCACTCAAGAGCAAGCACTCTCGTTGTTGCAAAAGTTCGCCATGCAGAACTATCGTCCAGAACAGCCTCTCCCTGCCGGAAACCCCGTCCAACTTCCCGAGGCAGGTGTCTCCGACCACTCTGGCATCAACTATGCGACCATGGTCGCGAACGGTGGAATCTCTTTGGGCATGCCTCGAGACGATACCGGTGGATCGACTGATTCTTACACAGCCTACAGTCTCCCTCGCCCAGAAGTTCACCGCACTCTCTCCAACTTCTCGCCATTCTCACCTGATCCAGCACTGTCCGTCCCTGAGACCCAGTCCCGTCGGGATTCGGCCTACCTCAACTTCTTGGGACAATCGCAGGAGTTGAAGACGGGTACATCCCCTACTGGTCTCGGTAATGGGTCCAAGGTTTCCCCCACTTCCAGTCGACCATCGAGCGCCGTTCGATATGGTAAGTGTGATGCGAGTTGCTGGAATGCACCTCCGATGCTCAACGACTGTATAGGACGAACTGAGGGATCGATCTCCCGACCACCTTCCGGCCCCGCCATTGGTGATGGTCGACCCGAGTACGACCCGATGCAGGACCTGAACAACACTCTCGCCAGTCTCGAGATCGATCGCCCTTGGAAGTCGAATGAGGGAGGCCAGCCTTCCAGCGCCCACTCCGGCCAGTTCCATCTTTCCACAGGCTCCTCGCCTTAATTCAGGTGTAGGCATGCCTTTTCATCCCTTCTGTCGTGATCGCCTTTTCTTGGAAACAAAAACTTCAGTCTTGATTTCTAGCTATCTTTTTTCTTCCTTCTATCGACATCTAATCTCGCTCTGTCTCGCTCCAAGTCGCTCGCCTTGTTTATCTCGCTATCCGTCTCCTTCTCGGCTTCGCAAAAACTTTCCATTTAAACCATGTGGACTTCAAAAACCTTTTTGAATATTTTTCTCGCTCATGTCTACCCATCTCCATCTTGTCTTTGTTCTCGTTTTGTTGCTTTCCTTTTGCCCGTATCTTGTCATCGTCCTAAACCGTGACTACATTACCCATTTGCCTACCGCCTCCCTCTTTTGTTCCACATCATCCTCTTATCTATTTCATCCAAACAGCTTTCATCACTACCTCGTCTCGATCACCCGTTGCCCTTATTCCCTATCCGAATCTCTCACACTCTCTCGCTTTTCTTCGTCGTAATGTCTTGTCACCCTCTCGCATTTGTAGCGTTCGTTCTCGGTTTCTCTTCATTACTTAGCAGCTCGATTATTATTTCTATATTCTCTACCTGGTTTCTAGATATGAAGTATGACGATGCATAATGCACAGATGAAGTTTCCTTTTCTCTCTCTCTCATACTCTTATTTGTGTCGTGTGCCTTGAGTCCAGTCCGGTTCGAAGGGTCTGTTCATTTCCACGTTTGCTGATGGTGTGTGAGTGTGCGGAACCTGAATGCCTCGACGACGTGCACGATGGTCGGGCGAGATCAGGACCCGCTGGGACTCGTGTTGCACCTGCCCGAGCATCAGTGCGGTGAATAATTATGTGGAAGGGAACATCAAAAGGAGGATACATCCTTTGAAGTGAGGCTAGATTTGGAGTGCTCACGCGAGTACTTCATACAAGTTAAAATCTCACAACGTCCAATATTCCACATGCTGAACAACGTCCTCAAAGTCGTCCAAATCGTCCTGCGTGATGCACAAACAATCGTCGAAGCTAAGAGTGTGGAGTGGGCTTCCAAGCAGCGACCTGCAACGCAGTAGGTGTCTCAGCTCCAGGATGTCGTCTTCTCTGTCTTCCGAGGCATCTGTGACAGTGAGCTCCTTCAGATTGGAGAGGTAGACTTGGTGAAATCGCGAGTCGCATTGACTCGATGGTAGTGTGTTGCCCTGAGCCCAGCCCGCATAGTCTCTCGACGCCAAAAAGCCCTGCCTAAAATTCCACAAACATATGTGCTCGGCCCTCGAGGTTTGAGACTACCACAATAGATTTATATATAGCCCCACATTCAGCGTCACAGTGCATCCCAGCTCTGCCCATACGCGTCTGCTCCCTCATGCCAGACTGGCTCTGGCACATCAGGCCAAAATTCCACACGCGCTACAACTCTTTTCAGCTTCTCCACCTCCCCCGCGGGTGGGGCCGTGCAACGGAGGACTCGAAGAAGATCAAGAGAACTTCCAAGTGCCGCTCTGCGCTCGAGCAACTCCCCGATGGATTCCAAATAATCATAGAACCACTGGGTATCCCCTTCCTTCGAGTGCAGAGTCATCCAGCTATTCGAAATCGACAGTTCTGCGAGATTGGGTAAATGATGGGGGCGTCGACGAGGCTGGATTGCTTCCTTCGACGAGCTGGGTGCGGTCTGAAGTCGTGGACTTTCTGATCTGGGAAGTTCTGGTGCCATGTTCAAAGCGGGATCTGACCGAAGGTAAGAGCGCAGGTATTCGACTGCCTGACCTTCGACGTCGACCGTGTAAACTGAGGGAAAGGGTTTGAGGAGAACCTCCCGAATGATGGTAATATCTTTCCGCTGTTGGAAGATGGAGAGAGATTCCACTTGGGTAGTTGGCCATGGCGAAAGGGCGAGGCGGGTGAGGGGCGCGCTCCAGGACCAAGACGCTGCGAACGTCATTGAGAACGAAGCCACGATCTTCTCTTGATCTGGGGCGGACTGGACTGCAGAACCACTTATGTGGAATTTCGGAACTCCTGATGCATATGCTATATCTAGCTGGTCGATGGGAAGCTGAGAAAACGGGCTTTGGGGGGAAGATAGTGGGAGGGATATCCAAGAAGAGGCTAGCGCTCTTCCAAGGTGCAGAAGCGAGTCTTCATAGGTGTTTCTGCATTCGAGAACCAAGACCATTGACCCCGGGAGGTGGAGTTGGGAGAGGAAGTTCGCGGCATGTTGACATGGAACCTCAAGACGCAAATGGTTGAGATGGGGTAGGGGAATCGGAGCGGAAACGAAAGGGAGGTTTTCCGGCGATCGGCGAAATTCAGGCCATCCAATATCAAGGCTTTGAAGTGCTGGCATCATGGAGACAGCCAGGATGAGCTGATTGAAAGTGAGCGGGCTCATCTGTAACGGCGGGCAGTCATCGCCGTCGATCTTGGCAGATACGATGCTGAAGTTTGTCAGAGTTGGAAAATGTGGGGGTGATGTGCCAAAAGACGGGATACATCCGATGAATGACAGGGTCTGTAGCTTGGGAACACCTTTTCCAAATATACCATCTGGTATGGCGGAGGATCTGGCGTCAGAGTACGCGTAACGTTCGTCGTCGAGGTCGATGTTGGACGAATAAGGGTTGACACTGACTATTGTCGCAGTTTCCAGGAGTGGGAGTGGTGCGACGAGGCCTTTGAGCATGGCATGAAGACGAAGGGGTCCCGAGGTGAGCGAAATATGCTGGAGACGATGCGTTTGCTTCAGGATCTTTCGCAACTTTGATTGCGATATCCTTGTCGCTTGTGTGTGATGGGAAGGTACGTCGACGTGTATCGAGAGTGGAGATTCCTTTGACCGGGAAATCATGGCATCCAGCCATTCCGGGGACTGCGAACTGCTCAGGTAGCCCCACAAGGTCGAGCAGTCCAAAGCCACCGTTCTCCAGCGACTGCACACATGGGCAATCCGCACTGCCCATCCCAAACCTTGCTTCCCACCCGCTTTGCTCGTAGCATCCCTAATGAAGAGGAAGATCTGGGACAGTATCTCTGAGGGAAGTTGAACCGCTGGATCAGCTCGTTGCGCCTACACTTCAACTCTTGGAGTTCAGTTTCGAGGGCCTGAATTCGGGCGTCGAAGCGAGCAATTGTGTCCCTGAGCGTCTCCACTTCCGTTGGCAAAGGCATGGTCAAACCTTGAGCAAGGTCTCCTGGAAAAGAATGGTTGACAGATATGATATGAATCGTAAGAAAGAGAAAGTCTGGGTGGCCACGAGCCAACAACGTTCATTGCCAACCCGGTGCTCGGCGGATCAGCACCTGATCATCAGATTGTACATCATGATTATCATGATGACGGGCGCGTAATCATCGGAATCTCCCGCACGGCCGCGTACATACTTTCGCCCTGCCCCGTACCTTTCAAGCTTGTTTCAAGCCACTCTGAGTCTGTTCGACTATTTGGTTTTGAATAGTTTGTCTCTTCGCGCCCGGGATTCCAACTTCAACAGAGGAACAACTTCAGCTAGGGTAGGATATTTTTCTCGTAAAGGACGAAAAACTCACATGTTCGCTGAACACCTCGATTAGAGATGGCCTTGACCGCAGCAGGCACGACCAAAGTCGACTTGGAGGAGGCAGAGAACGCGTCTCTAGACAGACGCATTCTGGCTCTAGAAACAGAACTCCGTAAACTCAAACGCGAAAAGAATGACAGAGCAAAAGTATCGCGCTTGCCCGACGAAGTCCTCTGCGCAATTTTCCTATTCCTGGCAGAGGATATGAAGGCTTCGCACAGGATGGGGCGGATTACTTGGGTGTGTCAACGGTGGAGAAACGCGGCACTGAGGCTCCCTTTCTTGTGGACTCACCTCACAGACTTGTGCCGTCGCGCTGGCTCTCGATCTTGGTTCTGAGGTCGCAAGTGGCACCACTTGCCATCAGCATACATCCCGTCCACAGAAAAGGGATGACGCTCTTAAAGATTGCAATTTATTGAAGCAAGAATCCCACCGACTGCGACTCGTCGATATTTACACCACCCATGACCTGTATCCATCCCTCGTCAAGTGGTTGGTTGGCTCCGCTCCACAACTAGAAAGAGTTTCAATTCGTATAATCGACACCGATGGCTCCTGGGATCTCCAAGGCCCGATAATCAGTAGGCCTACCAATTTGCCCCGCGATTTTCTCAATGGAAATGCTCCCAAACTACGGGAGCTCGTTTGCAAGGGATGTCTCCCTTTCTTTTCGGGCTCCATATCCAATTTCGTGAACCTCACCAAACTTCACATCGAAATGGACACATTCCATAGTTCTGGACGCGATCCCCTTCCAACCGAAGAACAGGTGGTCGAGACGTTGTCCAGGATGCCAGGCCTGGTTCATCTGGAGCTGAGACTTTTCCGACCGCTTGCCAACGAAGCATCTATTGTTATGTCGTCGAACGTTGGAAGACGACCACCCATGCCACTTCCCCGGCTTACTCATCTCTCCCTCGCCAGTTCTTGCCTCAGTATCGCATCCCTCCTCGAACACCTCCATCTTCCTGCTTCAATGAATCTGACTTTATGGTGCAATTACGCCGACGAAAACTCGATCGGTCATCTTGCCGATGCCCTCAGGTCCTCCTGGATCTCCTTGCCACTATCAACGTCCTCGCAGACTCCATCTCAGCTCCCCGTCGAACAACTGGACCTTGGCCTAAATCCACTCGGGATAGGGTTCCATGTAGAGGGTTCTGCATTCGACGAATCGACAAGTCATGAGAAGATCGCCGCCACATTTTCCATCGCCTTCATATCTCGCACGACTCCCATGATCAACAACCCGAACGTCATTGTACCATGGCGCTCAGCGCTGACCCGACTAGCGGTGTCCCCGTGGCCATTGAACCGAGTGAAGGAAGTGATCATATCGTCACCAAGGCTCACGGCCGCTGGTAGTGATTGGATCGACGAGTCAATCTTTTTGGGGCCGTTCCCAGCGCTGACAACTGTTAGCCTCGAGCAGTGCTCCGGAAACATATTCATGGACGTGCTCCTCGCAGACCCTGTCTTGGACGTCGAAGCGGGCCAAGGGAATTTGCCAGTTGTGCCGCGATTTCCTCTTCTGAGAGAGTTGACATTCATCGACATGCCTCGCCGTTTCCCTGGCCAAATTTTATGCCTCGCAGACATATGTGCTGCAAGAGCTTACCGGGGATGTCCAATCGAAACCGTGCATTTTGTTGGCTGCTCGAGACTCATCGAGGAGGACATTGAGCAGTTGAATTCCCTGTGGGAGGTTGTTCCCTTTGTATGCTTCCGTTGATTCAATGTTTTTATATCAATATTGAACCTTCGTCTAATCTTACTATCCCTGTTCTGACGAATAGAATCATATTTTCAATTTCCGGTCTGTGAAGATGTGCGAGAAAACAAATAGTTGGTATTTAAATACGAGCAGGAAATGTTAATCCTCGTTTAATTCGGCCATCTGGGACTCCAGGATCTCGTCATAGAGTGAGGGCCGCATCGATGGATGTGGCCAGAACTCTACCCGCTTAGCAGCACCCTGAAGCTCCCCCCTATCCCTCAGACTCGGCGTGAAACAGTCAAGGAAACGAAGGAGATCGAGAGGGCATCCGATGTTGGCTCTGCGCGTAAGCACATAACTCAGGTCTTGCATATATTTCCAGTACGACAATCGGGTGGGTGGGGCCCCAGATACTGACGAAATTCTAATCGTCAGCTCCCTTAGACTGGGAAGACGAAGCGAATAGCGAGAGCGAGGGTGCGGGAGGTTGGTGCCAAGGAAGCTTGACGCTGAATGTAACGCAGGATCTTCTCGAAGGTACAAGAGAAGACGCTCAGCAGCTTCAAACTCGACGTCGAGCGTACAGAGTGACGGGAAGGGTGTGGCGAAGATGTCGCTGATTAGGTCCTGCTTCAGCTTTTTCTGATACACCGTCATCGCTTCGACTTGGGCAAGTGGCCAAGGAGACAGGGCTAGCCTTGTGAAGGAGGTCGGCCAGGTGTCGCGAGGTATGCGAGCCCTCAGTGTGATCCAGAACGAAGTGACGACCTTATCTTGACCCGGGTAGAATAGACACCTGATCCACTCAAGTGGAAAGTCAGCTGCGTAGAATTGCATATGTCCAGTTGGCCGAGGGGGAACTGGGAAGGGGATGCTTGCCCACAAGATAAGGGGTAGTGTCAGGGTCGGAAACAGAGAGAGAGAAGAGAAGGACGTAGGGAGGGCGGAGGGTAGCCTTGGTCTCACGTTATAAGAACGTGTACCCTTCGTCACGGCTCCAAAGGCTGGCTAGGCCGAAGGACCAGACGGAAACGCCTTCCGGCGGAGAGACGAGAGTGAAGGACGACTGGAGCTAAGGCTCGAGGGTCAAAGGCGATGAGGAAGAGAGTTTACTGAGGAACTTAGACTGAGAGATTCGAAGCGTATGAACCTAGTCGAGATTCCGGATGAGGTACCTACTACAAATTGAGATAGTACTTATAGTAAATACCGGCGGGGAATCTACGGGCGAATCGAGACGAAATGACGAAGTCCAAGAGGGAAAGAATAAATCGAGAACCAGAACAAGAAAGACGAAATCGTACACAAGAAAATCTAGAGTACTCGAGAACGACTACAACGACCAATCGTGAACCGGCGGATAAAATCCAAACAAGAACGTTCGTACGAAGAGGTCATCTGAGTAAACTGGAAATCAAGTGTAAAGAAATAGAAGCAAGAAGAATAACGACACGGCGGAATAAGAAATAGAAGAATAACAGGATACAGACGTACTTCGAATACACAATACGAAACCCATTTGACAGCTTGCCAAGCGCGCGTCTAAAGTCCACAGGATTATCCGGCGGATCCGAGAGTTCCGGCACAGCCGCGAGGCCGCGCGCGCGCGCCAGTCGTGACCTTTCCCACGCTCCGCGGACGTCGCGCGTCAAAGTCGAGAGGGGACCCGGCGGGCTGGAATGAAGTGGGTATAACGGATAGAATGTATAAGAGAAAATACGAATAATAATATCGAATGGTGTTGAGGGTGAAGGAAGGGTGTAGTTGTACGTATCGAGACCCGGCGGTTGCACGAGCCCTGACAGTACCCCCCTGTTACGGCTGAGCCCTCGAAGCCAAACGATGAGGTGAAAGAAAGTTGCGACTTGAAAATTATGGAGAAATTGAAGCATAGAAAAATGAGAAATAGTGAAGGAGGTCGAACAGAAAAAAGAGGAGAGGCAGGCCGGAGAGACAAGGCTGAGGAGGAACAGTATCACCAATCGGGGCCAGGTTTATCGGGATAGCGACGATGGAAGTCCTGGACCAACTCCTGAGCATGGGCTAGCTCAGTAGCGAGCAGCCAAGAACGCTCTTCATCTGTGTTCTCGTAGCCCAACCAGCGCACTTCGTAGAGAAGTTTGCAGGTACGGCGGCGACGATCCACTTTCGAGTCGAGAATTCTCAGCTATCTCGTACTCCAGTTCGCCATCCACTTCCACCTAGTGATGGACACGGGTTTTTGATACCCGCGCGGGTTACGGGTACGGGTAAGCGCGGGTACGGGTACGGGTAAGGGTTGCCGTACCCGCGCCCTTCAAAACAAGCCCGAAAACGTCCAAAACGGCCATGAAATGGGCGGGTTACACTTGATTTAAGTAAATCGAGTGTATCTTGCTCATTTCTCGTCCGTTTTGGACGTTCTTGGGCTCGTTTTGTGCGGAATACCCGTCGGGTCGCGGGTACGGGTAGGCGCGGGTACGGGTACGGGTAGGGGTAAATTTACCCGCGGGTTACCCGTGTCCTTCACTACTTCCACCGGCGGGGGAGGAGGATCATGACGAAGAGGAATTTTAGACTCGTGGTGTGGCTCGAGCATGGAGACGTGGAAAACAGGATGGACAGAACGCATAGAGTCAGGGAGTCGAAGGGTGAAGGAGTGGGTGCCAACCTGAGCGATAATCTCGTATGGACCGAGATACCGTTCAGACAACTTCTTGGTAGGACGAGTGATACGGAAGAAGGCAGCCTTGACGAAGACGCGATCGCCAACCTTAGAAGTCCGGCGGAGGTAGACGCTTGCGATCAGCGTGGTGCTGATAGGACTTCTGGGCGATAGCGATGGATTCCCGGAGGTGTTCGTGCAACGAGGCGAGATCGACGGCGAATTCTTGTGCGGCAGAGCTGGCGAGGTCGCGCTCAGGGTGGATGTTGAGAGCTGGATGATAACCCTTGTTCGCGAAGAAGGGGGAGACGCCAGTAGTAGCCGACGGTGCGTTGTTATACGCGAATTCTGCGAGGGGAAGGAGTCGATGCCAATCATCCTGCTGGTAAGAACAGTAAGCTCGAAGGTACTGCTCTAGGGTCTGGTTCACCCGTTCAGTCTGTCCGTCGCCTTCAGGATGGTATCCTGACGTGAAGTGAAGCTTCATGTCCAAGGCCTCACCCAATGCACGGAAAAAATGCGAAACGAACTCTGAACCTTGATCAGAAGTTACGTTTGAGGGTACGCCGTGCTTGGAGAAGACATGGATAACGAAGAGGCGAGCAAGCTCGGCGGACGTGAGGTGAGAGTCCGTCGGGATGAAGATGGCTTGCTTGGACAGGCGGTCGACGATGACGAGGATGTCGGTGAACCCACCAGAGGAGGGGAGTTGCTCGATGAGGTCCATGGAGATGGACTCCCAAGGACGAAGGGGAATGGGAAGCTGCTTCAGGAGACCGTAGGGCTTGTGACGAGGAGTCTTCGTACGGCGACAAGTCGTGCATGAGTTGACGTAGTCTGCGACGAACGAACGCAGTTTGGGCCAAACATAATCACGGCGGACTAGTTCGATCGTCTTGTTACGACCAAAGTGACCAGCAAGGGGGTGATCGTGCTTGAGCTGCAGGACTCGAAGACGAAGGCCAGGACTATCTGGGACGTAGATACGCCCATCAAGTCGAAGAAGACCGTCGGATGGAAGCTCCCAACGAGGGTCTGAAGGAATAGGAAGTTGTGAAGAGGCGAGGGTGTCCGAAGAATAAGAAGCCTTGATGTCTGCATGAAGACCGGCGGAATCGACCACGAACGAGGCTCGAAGGGCTGGGGTGTAGACTGAGGTAGCCCTCAATGACAAAGCCAGTTGTTCAGACGCGAAGATTGGACGGAAGTTGACTGGATTAACGCTGGCGAAGTCACTACCCCCCTGTTTAAGGTAGACGTCCCACCGTCGTGTTAGCGCATCAGGCTTAGTGCCCAATTTGCCAGGACGAAAACGAACGATGAGGTTAAACTGGGAGAGGTATTCAGACCAACGCGCCTGCCGGCGGGTAAGAACCTTGGTAGTGGAGAAATACTCCAAGTTCTTGTGGTCTGTGACGACGTTGACCGGGTCGCCTGCACCTTCCAAATAATGACGCCAGACTTTGAACGCCTCGAAGATGGCGAGGAGTTCTTTGTCGTGGACATCATAATTGAGTTCGGCAGCTTGGAATGTGCGAGAGTGGAAAGCGACAGGGTGTACTTCTCCCGACTCGAGCTGAATCGAGAGAATGGCGGCCAAAGCGTAATCGGATGCGTCCGTTTCAACGATGAGCGGTCGATCAGGTGTTGCCAATGTAACGCAGAATGGGAGCAGAAATAAAAGCGGACTTGAGGGTCTCGAAGGATTTTCGAGCGGCGGCGGAGAACTCGAAGGGAACGTCCTTGCGAGTGAGGCGCGTAAGGGGAACGACAAATGTCCGAGTAGCCATGGATGAACCGGCGGTAGAAGTTCGCGAACCCAAGGAAAGACTGGATGTCCTTCACTGAACGGGGTTCGGGCCAGTCTAAGGCTGAGCACGAGTACATCCGCGGATACACCCGTACCCGTGACTGCGGGTACCTGCGACTCAAAAAGGCAAACCTGTATCCGCGGGTTTTACTTTCCCACGGGTACCCGCACTCGCGGGTACGGGTTTTTTGCAGGTTACCTGCGGGTTTTCCATAAAAATCACGGGTACCTGCGGAAAAATATGAAAAAATCCATACCTGTATCCGCGGGTTTAATTTCCCATGGGTACTCATACTCACGGATACGGGTTTTTGCGGGTTTTCCCACGGGTAAACCTGCGAGTACGACAGGTATACTCGTACTCGTGCTCAGCCTTAGGCCAGTCCTGGATGACTTGGACCTTCTCAGACGACATGGTGAGCCCGTCGGGGGACAGAATGTACCCGAGGTATTCAACGCGATCGGCATGGAATTCGCACTTCTTTGGAGAAGCGAAAAGACCGTGTTTTGCGAAGTCGACGGAGTACCTCCTTGACGTGCTGACGATGCTGAGTGAGATCGTCCGAGAATACGAGGATGTCGTCGAGGTAGACAATGACTGAGACGTCCGTCATGTCTGCGAAGATGTCGTTCATGAAGCGCTGGAAAGCCGACGGTGCGTTAGTGAGGCCAAAAGGCATCACCAACCACTCGAAAGACCCATACACGAGTACGAAAAGCTGTCTTCCACTCATCCCCATCCGCGATGCGCACAAGGTGGTACGCGTGCTTGAGGTCGATCTTGGAGTAGATCTTAGCACGCGCCGGGGCCGCAAGAAGGTCCGAAATAAGAGGTAACGGATAGCGATCCTTCTTTGAGATGCGGTTGAGAGCCCGATAATCCACGCAGAGGCGAAGGGAACCATCCTTCTTCTTGACGAAGAGGATGGGCGCACCAAGCGGGGAGTTCGACGAACGAATGAAACCTGCGCGCATATTCTCGTCCAAGAACTCGCGTAGCGCTGTGGTTTCCGCCGGGGAGAGGGAGTAGAGCCGACTCGGAGGAAGGGGCTGTGACTCATCCAGATCAATGCGCAAATCATAGGGGCGATGTGGCGCAAGCGAATAAGCCTTCGCGTTACTGAAGACGTCGGCGAATTCGTGATACTCTTCTGGAACGTTGGAGAGATCTGGGGTGTTGTCACGGCTGGTTGAAGCAGCACAAGCCCGAGAGACGTTGTCCGATGAAGAAATGGAAAGTGAAAAGGCCTGCGAACCACTCATGCGAACAGCCCGGCGGTAAGCAGAGGCGTTCACAAAAGCGATTGGCACAGGGTTAGAAGTAAAAGAAGAGGAGGAAGGAGAGGGGATCGACGACGACGAGTCTTGAGGCGGATCTTGAGGTAAGGGAACAATCGGTTCCCCGCGGGGATAAATTGTCGGAATCGAGTGAGTCGAAGTCGATAGGGGGAGAAGAAACGAGAGGACAGGTCGATGAAGGGACCACGGATGGTTGGGACGGAAGGCTGGATGATGAAACGGAGGTCTCGACGTTTGCTGCGACGAGTGAGCTCAAGGAGGAGGGGTTATCGGCCGATTCGAACGAAAGTATCTGACCACGACGCCAGTCAATCAACGGATTGTAACGGCGGAGCCAGTTGTGTCCTAGAACCAGGGGATACGGAGCATCCAGCTTGGTGATGAAGCACTTGAGATAGAACTCATCACCAGACGGAAAGCGGAGGATGATGTCCGCGGCGGACGTGAGCCATGTACGAACTGATCCATCGAGGAGTTTGAGTGGTACTGGCGGAATTTCATAAAATTGCAGAGACGGATGAGAGTATACAAAATCAGAATCGAGAAAACAGTCCGTACAACCCGAATCCACCAGGGAGTTGAGGTCGATAGGCGAAGAAATCGTCGAAGAGAGAATGGAGACCGAGAACGAGAGAGCATGAGGGTCGGATAGAGCTGCAGCGTTAAGTCGGACCTCAGGCACTCCTGCTGAGAGGCTGCAGTCGACTGGAGGAGGCGAGGTCAGAGGACTGCTCAAGCTTTTCCCGCAGACGAGTCAGTGGCAGGGCTGACCGGCGGAAGCAAAGCGAGCACGATGACGGGTTTTGGGGCAGTCAAACGCCTTATGCTCTGCACTGCCGCACACCATACAAAGGTTCTCTTTGATACGGCGGGCACGCTCCTCAGGCTTGAGCTTCCCGTTAGCATCAAGCTTGTCGGCGTAAGGACGAGGAGGGGCAGAGGACGACGAGGGTGTCGACGAAGAAGGCGTAGACGAGGTAGACGAGGTCTTGTTCGACTTTCCCTTGGCAGAGGAAGAGGTCGACGAAGACGAGGGGTTCCCGGCGGACTGAGACGAAGACTTGGTAGACGATGAGTTGTTGGAGGAAGTCGACGCCGGGGTGGCTAGAGAGCCAGACGAGAGAGAAGGAGTGGACGATGAACCCTTGCCAGAGAGCTTGGCTTGGAGTGCCTTAAGGAGAGCCTGGTCACGACGGATCTCCTCTTGGCGTTCGTGCCAACGTTCGTCCATGTCGAAGATGACGTTTTGCAACTCCAAGAGCGAAGAGGGGCGAGCACGCTTGGCCAGCTCGTTCTTGATACGATCTGAGAGGCCGGCGTAGTACTGGGAACGCAAGGGAGCTTCGTTCCAGGTGATGCGTGCTGCGAGCTCGTTGAAGTCGAGGGTGTATTGGTAGGCACGACCAGTCATCGTTAACGCGCGAATTTTACGTTCAGCGTCACCGACGGGGTTCTTGGGTCCGAAAACGAGAGTGAGCTCCTCGATGAAGAGGTCCAGATCATCAAACCAAGGTAACGTCGCGTCCGTGGTGCAAGCAACGTTGATACAAGACGCGAAGTACGTGTACGCCTTGCCCTTGAGGTACGAGAGGGCAGTGGCCACAGCGTCCTTTGGGTGCTTGAAGGTATGCTTGTAGCGCCCAAGGTAGACCGTGAGCTGAGCGATGAAGGCGTCGAGGAGTTCGGGATCGGAACCATCGAAGGGATCGGGAGCGCGAAGTCGAGGGGCACTGGCGGATTGGGATTCGAGTTTTTCAAGGGCTTTGGCGAGAGTGCGAGAACTGTCGCGCTGGCCATCGATGAGGTGCTCGAGGACGAACTCCACCAAACGCACTAGTGGTCAGACCACCAGGGAAACCGAGGTGAGAGGCCACGAACTCTTCTTCACGACCGTCGTTGGACATATCGCGTCGAATGGTAGGTTGGCCGAGGAACGAGGTTGGAGGTTGCCAAATTGCAGTAGCTGCTACGGCGGGAGATGTCGCGTTCGAAACGTAGAAGGGGTCGATGAGGGACTCGTGACGAGAGTGAGAGAGGGGTCGACCGAGTGTGGAGGCAGAAGGAGGAGGGCGAGGACGACGTAGGTTGTAAGGATTGCCCTGTTCTGTAGTGAAGGACACGGGTAACCCGCGGGTAAATTTACCCCCTACCCGTACCCGTACCCGCGCCTACCCGTACCCGCGATCCGACGGGTATTCCGCACAAAACGAGCCCAAGAACGTCCAAAACGGACAAGAAATGAGCGAGATACACTCGATTTACTTAAATCAAGTGTAACCCGCCCATTTCATGGCCGTTTTGGACGTTTTCGGGCTTGTTTTGAAGGGCGCGGGTACGGCAACCCTTACCCGTACCCGTACCCGCGCTTACCCGTACCCGTAACCCGCCGGGTATCAAAAACCCGTGTCCATCACTACTGTTCTGACATAAGTGTAGACGAGGAACGACGTGACGAAGTCGTATCCGGAATCTACTGTCAGGGTCGGAAACAGAGAGAGAGAAGAGAAGGACGTAGGAGGGCGGAGGGTAGCCTTGGTCTCACGTTATAAGAACGTGTACCCTTCGTCACGGCTCCAAAGGCTGGCTAGGCCGAAGGACCAGACGGAAACGCCTTCCAGCGGAGAGACGAGAGTGAAGGACGACTGGAGCTAAGGCTCGAGGGTCAAAGGCGATGAGGAAGAGAGTTTACTGAGGAACTTAGACTGAGAGATTCGAAGCGTATGAACCTAGTCGAGATTCCGGATGAGGTACCTACTACAAATTGAGATAGTACTTATAGTAAATACCGGCGGGGAATCTACGGGCGAATCGAGACGAAATGACGAAGTCCAAGAGGGAAAGAATAAATCGAGAACCAGAACAAGAAAGACGAAATCGTACACAAGAAAATCTAGAGTACTCGAGAACGACTACAACGACCAATCGTGAACCGGCGGATAAGATCCAAACAAGAACGTTCGTACGAAGAGGTCATCTGAGTAAACTGGAACTCAAGTGTAAAGAAATAGAAAGCAAGAAGAATAACGACACGGCGGAATAAGACAATAGAAGAATAACAGGATACAGACGTACTTCGAATACACAATACGAAACCCATTTGACAGCTTGCCAAGCGCGCGTCTAAAGTCCACAGGATTATCCGGCGGATCCGAGAGTTCCGGCACAGCCGCGAGGCCGCGCGCGCGCGCCAGTCGTGACCTTTCCCACGCTCCGCGGACGTCGCGCGTCAAAGTCGAGAGGGGACCCGGCGGGCTGGAATGAAGTGGGTATAACGGATAGAATGTATAAGAGAAAATACGAATAATAATATCGAATGGTGTTGAGGGTGAAGGAAGGGTGTAGTTGTACGTATCGAGACCCGGCGGTTGCACGAGCCCTGACAGGTAGGGATGTCCAGGAAGTAGAGAGAGCTTGTGCAAGCCCTTCGAGGGAGCGCTCGTCTGCTCGGCTGCAATTTAACCAAAGATCCAATGAGGGTGGAAGGCGAAGTTGAGCGAGAAGTTCTGCGGCATGTTGGGTGGGGAGCTCTAAACCGAGGTGGGTGAGATGGGGGGGAGAGACAGGAGAAGGTGCGGTGTTGGATTCGTGAAACACTGGCCAGTGAAGGTCGAGGCTTTGTAGCGCTGGCATCCTGGAAAGAGCGTGGACGACCTGGCTGATGGCGGGTGCCCTACCATTGTTGATGTGGTACATTATAGTTGCCCATGAAACTGCCCCACAGTCAATCGCAGATGCGTTAGGTTTGAAAGGTGTGGCAAGGTTGGTCCCCGTAACCACGGGATGCATCCGATGAACGAGAGGGTTCGTAGCTTCGGAGCGTCCCCGCCAAATAGGCCGTGAGGTAGCAGGTCGTTGAGGTCAACATCCACATTCTCATATCGTCGGCCAGCACGTCCGAGTGTTCGTAAGGATCAATGCTGGTGATGGTCGCGGTTTCCAGGAGTGGCAGTGGTGCGACTAGGGGTTTGAGCATGGTTTGAAGACAGAGAGGGTCAGCGGTCAACGAGATGTGCTGTAGACGATCTGTCTGCTTGAGCACCTTGCGCAGTTTCGACTGCGTTATTCTCTCCGCTTGTGTGACCATTGGAAGCCTGTCAAAGTGGATCGACAGTGGTGCTGTGGTTGACCTGGCACCCATAACATCTAACCATTCCGGTGGATACAAGCTGCTCAGGGCAGACCAAAGAAGGGGGCAGCCAAGGGCTGCCGTCCTCCACCGACGACACACATGGGTGATTCGTACCCATCCCAATCGCTGATGCCCTGCACTCGTCTTTTCGGGGACGAGCAAGAAGATCTGGCACAGTGTCTCGATGGGGAGTTGCGATACCTTGAGCATCTCGTTCCGTTCTTGCTTTAAACGTATGACCTCGGATTCTAGCGCCAGGATCTGAGCATCTAGTCGAGCAATGGCTGAGCTCCCGCCTTCAGAAGCCTTGGTGGGAGCAGTCATATAGTAGACTCCTTGAAGAAACAAAAGTTAGACTATTGGTTCGCGTAGAGGATTATTAGAGATGATACCGAGAGCATAGAAACAACAATAGATACGCACCAAAAGGGAGCGACGTCGTGGTCGATGGGAAAGAGCTCAGGCAGCTTAGCCGGGATGATGACCGTGATGCCCGTCACCGGCAGTACTGATGGCAGAATCTCCTGAGGACCACTGCCCTATCCCTTCGCCTTGCTTCTGTATGGTGCCCACCGACGTTTCACCAACGAAGCTCCGACTCTAAACCGAATCATGATGATCGCGTGCAACACATCCATACCCCTGGGCACTCCGGATTCTAGACGTATTGGCTCCTCATCCCTCCTTCCCAACACCCACCACTAGTCACCGCCGAACGCCAATACTGAACACGATAGCCGGCTACCGCCAGCGGGTATTGGCTATCGAGTGGACAAGGTCTTGATATCCTGCGAACAAAGCCAGGCTCCCACAAGCCAGGTAACAGCCCATTGGCCGGACGCGCCTGCCCTAGCAGAGCGTGTTCTGCCACGATCTCCTTATTATATGTAGGCGACCTCGGAGCGTACTGGGTCGCTAAGACGAATAAACCTGTGTGCCACCAAATTTCCTTGCAGGATCTAGCCATAAAACAAGGTGAGTGTTCGCGGACAGAAAGTCCACACCAGGATCAGCACGTTCCACAACCGCATCACACCCCCGATCCACCTCAACCAGACCAAAACCATCCCACAATCACCCGCTTCCCCTCTTCCCGGCTGAAAGCAATCGCTTCAACGTTCTCCGCAGGTCTTTCCACCTCTCCCGCGGCCCTGTTGAGTCTTATTTCTTTGAACTTTCGGTTAGGACTTTACTCCTCAAAGCCACGTGACCTTCTGCAATTGGAGGCCGAGTGCTTGAGCCCTGTTTGCCATTGGCCGATCTTATTGTTCTTGTGGCGCAGGAGCACGTCCCTTAGAAGTCCGTCACCCAAACTGTATGTACTGGAACAGGTATCCAGGTCTGCCCGTAGGGCCGTGTCTCTCAGTTGTGAGCCAGCATGAGTATCCGAAATAGGAAGGTGCTCATCCTAGTTTGGCAATTTCACCTCGACAGCACTCTAACGTTCTCCGAGCCCTGTTGAGCCTTGTTTCTTTCGGTTAGGACTTACTTTAGGTTCTCAATCTGGAATAGACCCCCATACATAGGCCAATCAGTTGAACGAACAAGTGGTGAGGCACTGTGCTAGTGGGTGTTTTTTTTTTTTGTTTTTGATGAGTTGTAGTCTATTTGCTATCTACGTACCAGTGGAACTAAACGAAGCCGCGTCCGGTGCCGCATGTACCAGTGATTAAAGAGAAACGATGTACGGCGAAGTTCAGCATATCACAGTGCGTACATGATCACTTCATTGCCCGCAGCTGCGCTCCCGTGCCACGCTGGCTCTGGCACGTCGGGCCAGAACTCCACGTGAGCTACAACTCTTTTCAGCTTCTCTACCTCTTCCATAGGTGGGGCCTTGCAACGGAGGATTCGGAGAAGATTGAGCGGGCTTCCAAGTGCCGCCCTGCGTTCGAACAAGTGTCTGATTGACGCCAGATAGTCCAGCCACCGGTCCTCTGAGTATTTGGTAATCCAGATACTCGGCGAAAGCGATAGTTGAGTGAGGTTGGGCAAACGAAAGGATGCCGTTTGCATTTGATGTGGACTCCCTGTGCTGAGATGTCCCATCTTCAAAGCGGGATCTGACCGAAGGTAAAAGAGAAAGTATTCGACCGCCTGATGCTCGAGGTCGATTGTATAAACCGAGGAAAAAGGTACGAGGAGAATCTCACGAACGATGGTGACATCTGGTGGCTGTTGGAAGATGGACAACGACTCGACCTGGGTAGTGGGCCACGGCGAAAGGGCGAGGCGGGTGAGGGTCGGACTCCAAGCCCCACCCAGCGCTTCGAGGGTCACTGAAAACGACGCCGCAATCTTCTCTTGACCCGGGACAGATTCGACTGCAGAACCACTCATGTGGAACATCGGAGCTCCCGATGGATGAGACATGTCCAGCTGGTCAAGAGGAAGCTGGGTAAAGGGGCTTTGGGGGGATCTCAGGGGGAGAGAGATCCAAGAAGAGGTCAGCGCACTTCCAAGGCGCAGAAGTGAGGCTTCAATTGTCCTTCTACACTTTAGCACTAGGTCTATTGACCCAGGGAGGTGGAGTTGAGTGAGGAAGTCCGCTGCATGGTGGCATGGGACATCAAGCCCCAAATGATTGAGACGGGGTAGGGGAATCGGTGCGGGAATTGAAGGTTTCGCAGACAATTGGGCATATTTAGGCCATTCAATATCAAGGCTTTGAAGGGCTGGCATCATGGAAAGCGCCAGGATAAGTTGATCGATCGCGACTTCAGAGCTGCCCTTAGAGGAAGGTCCAATGCAGAAGTGCGTCAGACTTGGAAAATGTGGGGGTGATGGGCCAAAAGATGGTATGAATCCAATGAATGACAGAGTCCGGAGTTTGGGAGCACCCCCGGCGAATAGGCCGTGTGGTACGATGAGAGTGGGGTCATAGACGACATGTTCGAGCCCGTTGACGGGGTCAATGTCGAACGGGTCGTCGTCGACGGCGACGACGACGTTGGTGATTTTCGCCGTCTCAAGAATGGGCGCTGAAGCGAGGAGGCCTTTGAGCATGGTGCGAAGGCGGAAAGGCCCAGAGGTGAGTGAAATATGCTGTAGACGATGTGTTTGCTTCAAAATCTTCCGTAGCTTTGACTGCGCTATCCTTGCGGCTTTGGTGCGATTGGAAGGTGCGTCCACGTAGATTGAGAGCGGGGACCCCTTCGATCTTGAAATCATGATGTCCAGCGATTCCGGTGAATAGGAACTGCTCAGGCAGCCCCATAAGGACGGGCAATCCAAAGCCGCCATCCTCCAGCGACTACACACATGGGCAATCCGTACCCAGCCCAGACCCGACTCCCCGCCCTCCTTGCTGGTTGCATTCCTAGCGATCAGGAATATCTGGGACAGTATTTCCGAGGGCAGTTGCACCGCGTGGATCATCTCGTTACGCCTGTACTTCAATTCTTGGAGTTCTGTTTCGAGGGCCTGGATTTTAGCGTCCAGGTCAGCAATGATGGAATTGAGCCGCTCAGCTCGCGTTGGCAAACACATGGTCGATATTTGAATGAGTTTCGGGAAATGTATAGCTGTTCGAGACTACGAATTGTAAAAATAATGAACTCTCGGTGAAAGACACGCGTTGAGCAAGAAACCAGAATTTAAGGATGTCTGGCAGCATCTGATCATCAGATTCGGCATCGTGATGGCAGGCGCTGAAGTTCGTCGAGGTTACATGCTTGGCTGCGACTGGAAGCAACCTAGTGTGTTCAAACGTTCAAGTGCCGCGTTTCTGTGCCGCATGGACCCCGTTTCCTTATCCTTTGCACAGATATGAACGACCCTGAACGACGGGTAATTGTTTGCTGAAGGGGTAGATCCGCGATTATACATTAAATTCGTCAATACATGATTGAAGGGGGCTAGTATCTAGGGTGAGCAAAACAATAGGAATAGAACAGAACAATGTGCACATCGAAGCATCATGAACAGAGAAAAGACCACAAGTCACAGAACGTTAGAATTTACACTGAGCGAAAAGATATTACTCGAGATAACACGACGATCAAGGAAATCCCTACAACTCTGCAGACTTGGCAGACGCCTGCAGGATCAACAAGCTCGCATTAGCCTTGGTGACGACAAGCGCCGCACCAACATCACCCAGCGTTTTGGGGACCGAGCTTCCAATATGGGATCCCGTCTCGCTGATCAACTGCCGAAGCTCCCGCCCCAAAGGTTCCACCGCCATCCTCCTTGACCGCCCGGCGAACACGATCACCGTCCGTCCCAGCGTGGCTTCCGCCCGGGTCACCTCTGCTTTCACAAGCTCTGTGACGGTGTGGAGCGGAGTGGCGGAGGTTTGCTCAGAGAAGGTTATACGGCTGAGCGCTGAGGTGATGACGGGAGAATGGGTGTTGGACGGGTTGGTGTAACGATCCCAGAGGATGTTATCTGCGGTGTCGGACGCGAGGCGGGTCTGGGTGTTGTGAGCGCCGTACACGGTGTCTGCCGCAGCCACGGTCACCTGGTATGTGAAAAAGGGTTCGTCAGAATAAGGTCATAGGAAAACAGCGACTGAAAGTCAGGAGATAACGCATGTCGTAATGAACTTACATGAGGATGAGGCGAATTGGGTGGGCTCAACGGCGACAATGGCCCTTCTTTCGTGTTCGAAAGGGCAGCGTCTTCAGACCTGGTCATCCTCACCACAGTCGCAGTGACAAACGACCTTGCACAGAGCTGGACGAGGAAGGAGAGAGCCAGTCGATCATCCGGTCCACCAAAGAACGGGAGGAAGAGGTGCTGGGCGCCAGATACAGGCGACGTCGTGGCACCTCTGTCCACAAACAGGGCGACATCGGAGGGACACCGCAAGAACACGCTTCGAATGAACTCGGAATAGACAACGGAACTTGTTTGGTCTTGTGTCGTGGTCCGGTGGAAAACGCCGTCGAATGGGTTACGGGCTTGCTGACTGTGACTTTGGACATCGGACTCCAACAGCACGGAGGTGGTGCCTCGCGACCAAGGGATGATTACCAACTCCGACTCCGCTTCGAGGGCATGTTGGGCAACGGTATTGCTGAACTCGTCCTGGTTGACAATCGAAACGTGGGCGGACACTGAAAGGTTGTTGAGGTAACCGAATGACCGGAAAATCGAAAGGACTGGGTCGTTGTAGATCAGGGTCTCGGCTTCTTGGGACTTGAGAACAGCAGACGTGCGGTACGTGAGTTCGATAAGACGGAGCGCCTCGATCGAGATTGTCGTCTGAGTTGAGATGGGTGGGACCTCCGTGCCTGAAGCTGAAGAGTCCTTTTCGTGGGTCATCACAGAACTGTCGGCAGACACCTCCTTGATCTCTAACGTCGGTGCTTCTTTGAGATCCTTTGGTTGAATCGGAGCCGGTGTCTTGGTCCCGGAAGTGACCAAGGAGTCGTTCCACTGTAGAAGTTGTGCCAGGGTCATAGCCGCTGGGAGCTGCTCGACCTTCTCCAACACGAGGGAGAATTTCGTCTTCATTTCGGAGTCTGCCGGCTTGTACGGGAGGTGTTTGTCTTCGTCTCCGTCTCGAGCATCCTTCTTCTGGGCGGCAACGTTGCGGTACCGCTCCGGATAGAACAGTAACGTCAAAGGCGTCGTGATAAAGGTCAACACCAGCGCATGGACGACGAACATGGAGAACGTCTTTTCATTCAGAACCCTCGCTTGTAAACCGATGTTGAGCACGATAAGCTCGACGAGACTGCAAGAGGTCATGTAGTTAGAAAGGAGGTTGCCATGTTTGGGACCAACGAGAGACTTACCCTTTGCAACTCATCAGCGATCCTATGGCACCTGCTTCTCTCCATTTAAAGCCGAAGACGAGGGCAGATCCAGCACACGCCAGGAACTTGGATGCGAATGCAACGAGGCAAATTAGGATGGTGTATCCCCAAGCAATTCCATCATTCAGCAAGCCGAGATTGGTCTTCAAACCCGATAAAGTGAAATACTATATGGGGGAGAAAGGTGTCAGGGTCGAAGTCACGATCTTGGGACAGAGACGCACGATGGGGAGGAGAAGGATTGACACGAGATCTTCGATCTTCTCCACGAGGGAGATGGCGAATCCGTTCTCGTGTGGGATAATGAGCCCGGCAATAAATCCACCTACGAAAGACAAGCATACGGCATCAACAACACGGTTTATTTGAATAGGAAGACGAGGGACTTACCGAAGATAGCGTGGACACCAATAATGTCCGTGAAAAAGGCCGAAATAAATACAATCAAGAGCGTGACGGTCATCATAAAAGTCGTGGGCGCTCCCTCTTCCAAACTTCCTGTTCGCCTGGCAAGCCAGACGAAGCCCCAGCGAACGGGGTAAAGCAGGAAGAGAGTATAGCCTAGCGTTGCCAAAAGGATGTAAAGAGCCGAGAGACCTGTGGAGGCGTTGACGAGGGCAACCGTGAGCGCCAACAGCACCCATCCAATTACGTCGTTACCGATACCGGCGGAAAGAACGATGACGCCAACGTTCGAATCCAAGAGCTTGAGCTCGGAAAGGATACGACAAAGGACGGGGAACGCGGTGATACCAATGGCAACAGCCGTGAAGAGGAGGAAATGACCTTGATTGACGGAAGGGTCGATAAACTCCCGGTAGAGTCCAACGCCCAGGGCAGCGCCGAGGCCCAACGGAATGGCCAAACCGGCAAAGGAAACGGTGAATGAAGCTTTGACGTTCCTCTTCAGCATACGGGTGTCGATCTCCAGCCCTACGAGGAACAAGAAGAGGATGAGGCCGATGGTAGCAGTGATGTTGAGCAGGGGCATGGCAACTTCGGGGAAAATGGTCTCCTGGAACTTTGGGATCCGGCCCATGACTGTAGGTCCAAGCAGAACACCGGCGATAACTTCAGCGATGACTCTGGGCTGCCGTAGCTTGCTCAAAGGCAGCGCCAGTAGCTGGGTTATGATGATGATGATGACTTTGAAGCGCTTGTCTCAGCACGGGCACTCGATTGAGAAAACCACTAGGAACGCACCGACTTGGATGACCCATAGTCGAAAGGGATTTTCAGCGTCATAGTCAGTGGGTATGTCTCCAGTTATTATACCGCCCTAGTAGTTAGAAGCCACGTCAGAAAGACCCTGTATGTAGAGCAAGAAACATACCTCAGCCCTCGAGAAAAGCCTGGCAGCCTCTTCCAGTTGTTGTGCAAACTGGCCCATTTCGTCCAATGGGCGGGTGGCGACCAGAGGAGCGTTGGTGGGGTTTAAAACAAGGCCGTGCAGGTTTCATTTTTGAGGGCCCCATTACATATAGTGGACAACAGTGATGCTGAGTCGCTGAGACTGTTACGATCAGAGCTAAACCCGAACATAACGCTGAGCTCCTTGGGCGCTCCTTCATCACACAATCAATCAAAATTCCTTCTTGGTCGATGCCAAGGTCAGACTGTAATAACTCAGGTAATTATTTGAGGCATTCTGAGGGATATATTCGTCAATACGCTTCAATTCTAGAGTGCGAGAGTGGGCGACAGGAGGCCCAAGGTTCTGGGGTTCGAACCATATTCTACATGATACGTCATGAGTGGACTACTATGGCTTCCGCTCACCAATCGCTTGACGGACCACGGTAGTGCTGTGAGTGTAACAAGAATAGCCTGTAGATAAATGAAACCCATGACACAAGCGCGCGACAAACCATGGGTGCGGAAAGTGACCGAGGCCTGAAAGAAACTTCAATTAGGCTGGAATAGTCATTGGATATCGATGAAGCTTCGGACACGACCCTCAGGGTGAGCCGAAGAGACTGCCGCATGTGTGACAACCGAGCGTCGTCTTGGATGGCGGCAAGGCACAGAGAATGTGAGCTTTACGAATCAGAGCTACAGCCACGGCATCCTAGAGAAGTTGAGGGGTTGGCGACATCAAACAACGAAGAGTGTAAAATGAAACGCACCACAATGGACACACTCGACAACTGTTCCGCTACGGACCTGAGCCTTGGGTACACGGCAAATACATGTCGAACCTTGATAGTTCATGTCCTGGGAAGCCAAACGGTTAACATTGGTGAACGACGTTCGGGACGGTGAACCGTACTCTTGTCTGAATGCACCGTAGGCAGCAAAGCTTTTCATAACCGGTCTTCTTCCACTTTGCGATCAAGCTTTTATGAAACGTTAGCGACTGAGCACGGTGCATCATGGAATACACTCACTTGGCATCAGCATAGCCCTCCTTCAACAGCCAGTCGTACAGCTCTCTCGAGATGGCTTCGCGCTTGTAATAGAGCTCGTAGATATATCTTGAGCGCGCATGGGAGATTCTCATGATAGGCCATAGCGATTCTGCCTTTCGCTTGCCTTCGTGAGACTCATTCTCAGCGTCCCGCATCTTTCGAGCATAGTCATCGAGAATCTGGTACAGTTCTGAGTTAGAACACAAGCTGAAAGACACAGTTTCGACATACATACGGATTCGATGTCCTCGTAGCCCTCCGGTGGGCGTTTTGTGCGTGAAGTGCGAATCTTGGGCATTGTGGTCGTCGTCGTTCAGGGTCAACCAGCGATAGGCGTCACCGCCAGGCGATGATTCGGTTCCGCTGAGTCAGCCGTGCGAACGCCGCTGCCAAACAACGCCAACGTTAATTAAGCGAGGCGAGACGTCGTCGAAAACGTTGGACTGCGTTGGTCAACTCGTTCCCTGGCTGCAATACGAGGGCGTGCACGGACTGCGGACACCTCTCTCACTTTTCATAGGGCTCAGACGTGCCCAAAGCACGCTTGGACCGCTTCTCTGACGATATCGACGACGACCACAACAGCGACGACCACACGACCGCTCTACTGTCTTCAAGATGCCGCTCTTCGTCCATATTCTGCGCTCGGCCATGCTCTTCATGAACATATACGACACATACAAGACGCTGAAGCCACCGCCACCGTCTACCAGAGACCCGTCACGTCCCAGTGTTCGAGCGGCTACCCAGCGGAAGAGAGATCTCAAGGGATGTCTAGCGGTCTGGATAGTCTGGGTGAGTATGACATCGTTCTCTAAACTGAAAGTATTCTCATACGAATCCAATTTCTCAGTGCTGCTTTACATTGTATGAGCGTCTAATAGAAGGCTTCGTCAATCTTTTTATACCATTCTATGACGAATTTAAGTCAATGGTAGTCCTATTTATGATCATCACGAGGGCGAGGGTGAGTTGCGTTTGCTTTGTGTCGATTGTGCCACGTCTCACATCAGGCGACTCCAGGGTGCTGAGCCCATCTTCCTACACGTTCTGCGGCCGCTAATCCGACCCTATGATGCGAGCATCGACGGGACCCTGGAGGTCTTGCGCATGACCGGTGACTTCGTCTTCGCCCTCGCATCCTTCCCAGTCCAACTCGCCATCGACTATTGGAAGAACAAGTTCTCGCCCGACTTTAAAGTTCCGGAGAAAGACTCGGAGTGCAGCTCGGATACGTCGGATAGTCGCTCAATCGGCAACGATGCTGTTGATCAAGCCGCGGGCTCGGCGCTCAACGGAGGCAAATTCGCCCAAAAGCCCCATCAACCGCCTATCCGTCGCACGTCCGGGGACAGCACCAGGACCCTTGTGGCGGGTGACCCACGGAAGAAATCGTCGCCACACGAGATATGGCATCCTCCTCGGTCAGCATACGAGGACCACAGTGGCATCGTGCGGACGGCGTCCAACGGTTCAGCCAGCAGTGGTTCCACCGGCGTCATCGAGCTCACCAAGGAAGAAAAGGAGATCGAAGAATGGAGAAAGTACCCCGACTTCCCTTCCGCTTACCCACCCACCCCACTAACGACGACCGTCCACCTGTCCTCAACTACCGCCGTTGTTGGAGCCCAACTCTTCGCCCCCATTCCTGAAGATGAACCTCCCCAGCAGGATTTTCACAGGTCGCTCAAGCAGCCGCGTAGTCAGTTGAATCCCAGCTACGCAGATGACTTGAGCGACCAAAGTGAAGTAACCCATGGGATTCACCAGTATAACGGATTTGCGGGAACAAGCACCACTGCAGTGGAGACGGAGGACGAGAGCATGTCCGACGGTTCGTATGAAGAAGAGGACACTTTCGACATAACGCTTCAAACGCCGCTACAGCCACACATCTCCTTGCGGACACCACGAGCGCCTCTCCTGGCTGCGTTCCCCAGCCAGTCAACAGCCGTCGACAGTGTCGATAGCACGTCATCTCTTCAGACACGAACACCCTCAGCCCAGTCTCATGGCTCCGTTTCTCCGACTCCTTCTCTGAGCGGCACATCATCGTCTGCCATGGAAGTCGATTCAGAACAACCTTTTGTCAAAGCCAGTGACGAGAATGGGAGGGTCAGGCGACCCCAAATAACCGCTGGACGGGAACGCTCTGGCACGACGATGCAGCGCCGGCTAAGGCCGCGTCCGAGTCCAGTAAAGAAGAGAAAGATTGCACGCTCCAATCTCTCGGAAGGCGGTACGAGTACCACGAGTACAGGGGAAGAAGACAATAAGGAGACGTCAGGCGCCAACGGAGAGGGGATTGCCGAGGATGTGTATGTTCCGCCTGTCCAGAAGACGCCTTTGAAGAAGCGACCCAGGATGGCGGGTACCACTCGAAAAACACCAAGCACCACGACCACCAGTGGCACTTCGAGGACAGTCAAACCCCGCGTTGCTCGGCGCACGTCACCAGTTCAGCGTCCCCAATTGACTAGGACCCAACCGTCTGGCTCCCGACTCGGTACTACCGCTACTTCGAGTAGGAAGTCCTCGACGAGAAGTGCTGCTGGATCGAGATTACCTCGCCGTAACACGGATTCAACACAGAACCTTGTTTCCACGAGAAGGAATGGTGACGCTCCCTCTCACAGTATCACAACACAGGGAAGCGTTTCCTCCTCGGCCGCTTCAACTGCATCCGATTCCGCTCAAGAGAAACACGCCTCGAGCTCACGCCCAAAACGCATCGTTGGCTCCTCAACGCTTTCATGATCAGTACGCCTCACTTGATACTGATTGTTTTTTTCTTTTTCTGTTACAAGCATCTTAGAGCTATCACATCATCCATCTGCATCCCATCATACACACCCCTCGTCGAGCAATTTTTAGACACTCATCTATCGCAATCGCAACGCACCGTGTTCCTTTTACACCCCTATCCATCCATGCACGATATTTTGTTCCACCCTAACTTGTTTCTTTGCCCGTAGTAGTCAACCTTGAACCTTGCTGCTCGTAATATCTTATCCGGATTTCCAGACGATTTATCCGCTTATGTCGTTGAACGTGTCTTAGAGATGGGCTCTCCCCGGATCGCCCGTATGTTCCTCTCCACAAGGGGGTGAAGGTATCGACTGTGATTCATCCATCCACCGCATGCTTGCCAGTCATCCGCCGTCGAAGACGTGATTGCCTCGTGGCACGGATGATCTGGCCTTCAACCCAGCGGGACGGGTTTGTGATTATCAGGCTAATTGTGCGTCGCCCTTCAGTAGCTGATAAGTGGGTCTAGATTGGAAAGGGGGGAATCAAAGAATTCACCGTTCGAACGTCAACTCGTCCAAGCGACCGGGCGATACCTACGGCTTCCAGTAATCTTGCCGATCTCGGACCACGATTGAGAATGTGTTTTATCGAAGGTACCGACAAGAATTGTGTCCAAGCGAGATGTCACCTCGATAGACTCATTCGGAATGAATACATTCCTCCCTTACTTCGTGAAATCCACCTTCGCGGTAACGGGTTTCTCCAAGAGCTATGAAAAACGTTGGGCGAATCGGCCCCACGGAGGAACCACGAGCTTTGGCAATTACGGACACCTCGATCAAGCCTGAACAACTGCTTTCCATGCTGCATGGAGGTCGGTAATTCATCTCCGTCGTCGGGTATTCAGAAAAGGGTACAGTTCTATTCAATGAGGTCACTCAAGGCTTGAGCGGACCAATGCGTTCAGCCTACGCATCTGCTTCTCACTTTAATGTGACAACAGCCCGGTCGAGGGGGCGAGAACCTTTTGGGTAAACGTTTAGATGAGGACTCTAATGGTTAAATTACCGTCGCTTTCTAATTAATTACCACGCGTTTTCGACACGTTGATTGATGCCTTGATAATGAACACGCGCAAGCGCCTCAAGGCGCTTATTTGGTTGTGGCCCACTCTCCCTGATCCAGATATGATATACGGGTGAAATAGGAGCCGTAATGCCAGTAGAAATGTACTAAAGCGTGTCTTCATTCCGTATGGAACGGGCGAACATGCCCTTGTGAAGGGTATCCACAGTTCCACTACTGCTAGTTGCGGAAGGTGCAGTATCCCTTGAAACACTGATGAAGTTACAATGTCTTAGGGAGGGGCTTCATGTTCCTCCGTCTTCTAGAAGAAGAGAAAGAAAGTATCCCTCGTTGTGACAGAACAGGTCGTGCACACCCAAGGTTCTGGCCGTTTAATCCTTGAGTCCGATGGAAATAATTGACCGGGATGCAGGGTTTAGTAGAGAATGGACACGAAATGAATACCTTGCATTCAGTAAGAGCATGAAGAGCGACTGCGGTCATCTATCTTTCTAGAGACGTGGCCCTTACACCGTGGCCCCAATATCTCATCCACCGGTGAGTCTTCGGTATGCGGAGAGTTGCACCGCATTTAAACCAAATCCGACCAGACCAGAAATCAGAAGAGATCACCGGGAGTCGCCCCAGTTCTACATATCGCCGCCGATGCTTTGTTCAGAATCAATGGCGCTAAAGTATACGGTGACAGACCGAGTGCTGTAGAGTGTACACACATCTGGGATGGAAAACCTGTGCGCGTCACGCATCACGGCTCGCGTTTGGTCACCGGACTTCGGTGTGTTCTTGTCCTCCCTCCGCCGTTCTTCCGGTCTGCTATCTCTCTGTTAGACACAGTGCCTCGTGGATGGGAACTCAGTACTTCTGTTTACAACGCTGTTTTCGCGTGTAGGCTTCGGAATTGTCGAAACCACTCTACTTTCCGTTGGCGATTCTATTGGGTAAGCGCGGAGGATGGGGAGGCCGGAGACGGGCGATGGAAAGAGGTTTGCTAGGTATAACCACTGATAAATGTAGTGATCCTTTGAAACTAGAAGAATACTGCTTGCAAGGGCTAGAAATCCTCCAGTAAGGACACGATTTATCAGATTGCCGTCCGCGGAACGAGAATCACGGTAACAAAAGACCAGTTTACATCTTTTCTACAGCTAGAACGCGTACAAAACTCTGGGATGGAGAATCCGTAGAGGCTGTGAGTAGTTCAAGATGGAATTTGGACTCCTGGACCGCCTTTTGCAAAGCCTGTCGAGATTTTTTAATTCAGCAAGCTGCTGGTGCGCCACAGTTTCCTGTGAGCGCTCGTGATGCGGTTGCCGTTTTTGGCACGGGTGATTTATTGGTGCCGCTTCCAATGCAAGAGTCGCCGCTCAGGTCGCGTCTCCGGCCTCATGGCAGCCAGCCAAGATTCAAAGACAGAGGGTGAATTTCCTTTCAAGAGAGTACAACGTTGTCCGGAACTACTGACCAGCTATGTCCTTTTCTGGGATATGAAATCTGCACGATAACTTCCACAGAGTTTAGACCTCAAAGTGGCGCCTAATCAAGGGGTCTGAACTCGAGCTTCGAATAAGCGCCACACTTTTGTCCCGATACCGGACTTTGTTGACCCATGTCATAGATGCAGAAGGCATACCGTATCGAGGGGCATGAGATCTTGCTGTGCGGATTGCACAGCTGCAAAACTCATGTCGTGGGTCCAGCACATCCATCCCTCTTCTGTTGGGAATATGCCGCACCTTTATCTGAATCCATATAAACCCGGCCACATTTCGGATACCCCAGTCATCCAGGACACTCTTCCCTCCCTTACATCCCGCTCACACTATCGACTTCAAAATGCCTCCAGTCCGACCCGATGCTCAATCCAAACCCAAATCTAAACGCTCTAGGAAGGCACGTAACAAGAAGGTCCCGGATCGCTTTGACCAGGGGATGAGAGATATGGTCGTAAGTTACACCCGCTCTCTTTCACTCTCCTCTATAACAATGTTCGCTCACCTTTCTGTAGGAACAAGGCTTGTGGGGTCAACGATTGTGTCCCGAAGGGGTTGAGGCATCCCCAGACACCCAGCCCACTTGTGGGACCTTCGAATTGAACAACATGGTGGGAGCAGTTGAGAGTTACACTTGGAGTCCTCCGTCCTCCAGTGTATCTCAGTCGAGGGCAACCTCAAGGTCCACATCTGCGCGGTCTTCCCGATCGAATTCGCCAAACACCACGATGGAGACAGAGCCGCAGGCACCGGCGCTTCACGACGTCGCCAATATGGGAGGAGACCCGAGTTTGGCCCCTCTCTACTGCCACGCGCCGTACTACAGTCCGAACCCGCTCCCCTATCCAATCATCGCTTCGAACCAATTCTCCGGTAGATCATCTGCCGCAGCGGGTTTTCCTCTCCACGAGAACATGGGAGCCCAGCCGTCCCTGGCTGATCCCTGGCATATTCATGTCCTTCTCAGCAGCCTGCAGCAGATGTCCGACGGAGCTCACCCTTCACATCCGAACTCATCGTCGGCATCCGACTCGACCCACTCTCTCGGATACTCCGGCGACTACTATGTCTCCCCTCCTCCCCCTTCGCCTTCCGGTTTCCCATATTCTTCAAACAACTCCGCTAACCCCACGCCTCCTCCTCATCCTTATCCATTCGATTTCCAAAGCCAGCCTACTCAATACCAGTACACGAACAACTCACATCCAGACGAGTCAGAGTCACGGTGGAGCCCGACAAGTCTGAATACCGCATCATCCAGCTCCGACAGCGAATGTTGGCCGTTCACGCGCGGCCACACCAGCATCCAGAACGCTCAAGATACTATTCCAAGAGTCGCAGTAGCGGACCCTCAGGCTGTCGACTTTATCATGCACTTCAATTGCAACTCTGCCAGCGGATCCGCGAACCGCACTCAGTACTAGGTCTCGGCGAGCTCAGCGATGCCATCCTCACTCTAGCCTTAGCCTCTTCCTTAATTATTGTGCTGTGCACTTACCATAATTCTTCGTATGGCTCTGCATCTTTTTTGATTCTCTCTATGTAGCTCTAGTATACCATGCATGCCGTTGCTTGATTCGACGATTCCCTAGGATATTGTAGGCCGTTTGAAGTATTAATCCTCGTGTTTCCTGCATCGTGTTCTCTGAGTATACATATCCAATAAACTCTTATATTTGTCCTGCTAGCTACTGTCGACCGAAATAGAGGCCGCTTCGTTGCAGACAACTGTTTGAGTCTGAGCACCGCGCTCTGGTTAAGCGCCGAGGCATGGAGTGCCGGCTGGAAAGGCCCGGGAAACCCGGGGGGGGGGACAAACAAGACCACACACCGGGTGGCAAGCCCACGCCGTCGAGCACAGTGGTTTGGCTTGACAATTTCGAACGAGCGGTCGGCTTGTACCCCATTTCCTCTATCCAAATCGCTTTGACAGCAGAATGCCGGTTCCTTGGGAAGCTTTGATCCCCTTCGGTATGTCTAAAGCCTCGACAACTTTGAATTTGGCTCACAAGGTGGTCACCAGGGCTCTTGACGGCCATGTTCGGGACAGCGGGCACCCTCTTCAATATCTCAACGAGAGCCCAGAACGAAGGACTGGTGAGACCTCAGTGGAATGCGGAGGGCACGCGTCTATCAGAACTGAACCTCGTTTCAATAGCCACCCAGGTACAATTTGGATAAATGGGAGTCCTTGATGATGGAGCGAGACAAACGGTTGACCGGGACGAAACGAGGGCAGACGGTGCGTTGGACTTTTTTGCCTCGTTTATGAAACGACTAAACCTCTTCTACAGGCGAACCCAATAGCCCCGGAGCACTTTGCAACCAGCTCTGTATGGACGGGCTTCAAAGTATGACACTACTTTACATAGACCCCGCCTTTCCAGTTCCCCATCAACACAATTGATTTGTTCAACGCAAACACTTTTCGATCGCACACGACCGTCCTTCCCTTTTGGTTTTGCGGATTGCATAAACCCATACCTTGGAAATCCTGGAACATGTGTGCATAGGAATGGCCTATGGGCTTCGGCTTTCGCCAGAACAAGAGAAGCCTTGGTTGTCCTAAGATGGACGCCCTGTCTGTGTTCTCTCATCATCACCACCTACGCTGCTGTTTTCGCCCGGGAGCTCCAACAAATTTAACCGGCGTTCTCTCATCTCAGATTCGATCGCTCGGGGAACGCTGTGCGCGCCTGTCCTTGTCAGATAATAGGTCGGAATCGGACCGTTGAAACTCCTCGTTCTGTGGTGCGAGGAAACCTTTGGAAGCGTGTCGCGTTCAATACAATTTCGGGTAGGTCATGGGATTGGAACCACCGGTCATCTCAATTGACGAGATCAGATACGATAGAGTAGGTAAGGATCACACCCAGCCTCCAGATTTCAAACGCCCGTTAGCTGCCCAGTTGCGTCTGTCAGTGGCTCATCAGTCCAACGTCAGTCGACGTTGTGAACTGCTTCCTAGGCCACCCTTCGTCCACAGAGCCTCCCTCTTTGAGTTAGGACGTTTCGTTGACAATCCAGGCCTCCAGGTCTTGACGTATAGTCCCCTGGGCCTCGGATTGGCCGCTGGGTTGACCAAACTGGAAGAACCCATAACGTTGGCCAACGAGGGACGAAGCCAGCTCGTGCAAACAATGATCGGCGTTCAGTTGGGGGTTCTTGAGGTCAGAAACAATTGGGGCGCAGTCGAGGACCACCCCGTGCTTGGAACGAAGCTGTAACGTCTGTCATAAATTTTACAGCCGTGTCAGGAGCGACATTCAATAGAATTCAGTTGGGAAAGGGGACGTACGACTCGACCCCAAGGAAACACCCGTTCCAGATCGTAGGTAAACTCGGGGGTCTGGCCGTATTGCCAGTCCCAACTCTGGTGATGGCAGGTTAAGTTGAGCACGCAAGAAATAATCGGACTGTTCCGCAGAGTGACCTCGCGGTAGAGCACTTACCTTGAGCTCCTCCATTCCTTTCCGAATGTCGGGATCATTAAGAACCTCTGTTGTTTCCCCCACGTAGCACACCTGCTCGAAAAGAAGACCAGAAAACCCATCGTCAGCAATGAAAATCAAGGGGTGGGCATGACGGAAACCCCCCGAAACAAAGAAGGGTTTAGATCTTCTCCCGTTACCTCACTTCCAATGCTGTATTCATTCCGGAACTCGTTGATAACGACGTTCACAAAGTCCTCGTGTGTTATACGAGCGTTATGTTGTTGGAGATTGCATACGGGTGAGCGTACCGAGGCTACACCTTTTGTGATCATTTTTTCCTAAACAGCAAGAAAGAAGAAAAGCATGATCAGCCCGTCGAGTTCCAAGAGGAGAAACAAGGCAACGAGGGAGAGCGAGTAAAAAGGCAAAAAAAGCGATAAACACCGTGGAAGGTGTGATTTGCGTCAGAGCATGTAGGACAGCACGGATTGACAGCAAAACGAGGATCCACCTCCATGCCACGCACGACCGTCTGGGGAATTGACACGTTTCCAGGGAAAAGGAAGTGTCTCCCTCACAAGTCTGTCACAAGATGCCTACCAGGATGGCAAATGTTTCAGACTTTCTAGAAAGGAGGCCACAGTGAAGGGAAAGTTTAAACATGGGCCAGGAACCTGGGTGCAGAAGCGGATTTCCGCGGGCGATGGGAGGAGAAAAAGCGAAGAGAAGCAAAGAGAAGAAAGAAGGAAACTATGATGAAAGGATGAAAGAGTTCAAGACAGGACCTGTCTCCCCTTGAACACCGGTACGACCGAGTGAATTAGGCGGTTATTGCGATTGTCCACTTGTCGAGGACCCCACCGAGTCAGACGTGACGTGCGCGGGGATTGAACGTCGCCACAGCACGTCGAGGACGACGACGGCGGACGGATGGACGACCGGGGCCCTGAAACAATCCATTCAAATGGCCACGGCGAACCTTGTTGATCCAGAGGCGCTGGAATGGCCACTGCCAAGCCCAAGAGGAGAGACGGGGTGAACGGCAGAAAAATAGACGCCTTGGGGCAGGCCAAGTGTACGCAGCTGTCCAAAAGGAAAAAGGGGGGATAGAGGGACGCATTACAGCGAAATCCATTAGCGCTGAGCGCCGGATAATAGTCTAGCCCGCGAGAAGAAGTCTGATGAGGGACCGCCCACCCGCAGGCAGGACCTGCTTCATCAATCATCTGAAAGCTTCTGAATAGAGTTCAGGCGTCACACTTAGAGTTGTTAAAGGCTTATTCGGCCTAACGAGCGAAGCGTAAGAGACATCTCTTCTTGACCGCGTATGTTTTCGGCGCAGTCCGAGGGGTCCCACCACAAGACAAACGCGCGTGGACTGGGCGGTCCCTGCCAGCGAACAACTGTGGATGAACGCCAGGCGCCGTAGTGCCAGGTTTCAACGAAGAAACAGAAAAAAAAAAAAAAAAAAATGGCAAACGATCGGTGGAGGAAGATTGAAAACTGCGGTGAAGGCGGAAGAGAAAACTGACCTTGTTAGCAACTCGAAGGAGATCTCCGAGAGTATCCAAGCGTGTAGAAATGAGCATAGTCCCATGATGATACGCCCTATTGTTGACGATCTTGTACGCTGAACCTGAAACGTATAAGCAAAAAGGATAGATTAGCCCGTGGCCCCCCAAGCATAAATCGCCCCGGAAGGTCTAGAAAAAGAACATGGCAAAGCAAAGTGGAAAAATCCAACAGCACGGAAACTTTGACGAAAAGCGTTTGGGCGCCTTGTTATTGAAACTGCGCCAATTGATAACGTGGTGTTATTTGTTTTGGGAGAAATAAAAAAAACATATAGAACCAGCCAAAAGAGCGCCGGTTACGTTGTAAAAATCAAAAACACGAGTTCCTTGCGTAAAGGTGAAGTTGAAGATGAGGGGAAACACGTATCTTGTCCTTTCCAACACAGATATCGTTTCTGTCGTTCACGTTGGCATCAACGCCGAGTTGTCGGATAGCGCGAACGACCACTTGAGCGGTCTCGTTCCTGTCAAAACTGGTGCGTGGTAGATGGATCGAGTAATTCGAATTTCCTAAATCCTAAGGAGCAGGGCGCGTAAGTCAATTAGAAAAAAAATTGTACCGTGTAGCGCCGAGTGAAATGGAAATGAAAACATGATCCGTACATGAAAGACTGTTCCTCCACCACTCCTTCTTCGTATGAAGGGGATATTGAGGTTTCGAGACTCTCGAAGGTTGACTTCCTTCCAAGGATTCTGATTACGTCCAATAACGACACACGGTGTGTCGCGATAGATAAGCAATAAGGGTTTGGTATGGTCATGCCGGCGGAATAGCCTAACAGAAGCGAGGCGCCAAGTCAGTCAGTCAGTCAGAGCCAGTCAGTCAGTCAATCAGTCAGTCAAAAACTCAAGTCTTCCAAAAACGAACGAAAAAGCAGAAGAAAAAGGAACCTGTCTTTCATTTCAGAACGAAATGTAGAAACAGAATACGAAGGAGATGAAAGAAAGAAAAGAAAAGAGAAAAGGATGAAACACTCAACATGTCTTCTAGAGTAAGATTAAAATATGGATCCGTAGATGTAGACACAAAGATCGAGTATCGTCTAGGCCAGTCCTCTTCGATCGTCAAACGGTTGGGCTGAGAACTCGAGTGGTAGCAGCGTCGTTGGAGTTCAAGGCTGTCACAACCCTTGGTCATCGGCATTAACCAGTCCCGACTCCTAGATGGAAAGACAGGAGGCATACGTGTGTACCTCTCCGTTGTCCTCGAAGTCACCAGATCGTAGGATTGCTGCAAGCCACGGTGGTGGTGCAAGCCCGAAGACAATAGTCGCTTGGACTGCTGCTGTTGATGATGACGTTGCAACCCATTCAACCAGTGAATTCGCCCAGATCGCCACTTTGTCGGTGAAACAGCAGATGGAGCAGTGGTTCTGAGCGCTAACGCCATGACCCAAGAGAACAAAAGACGTGAAGGGAAAGCACCCGAGTGATGGTGGAAGTTGGAGGTCAAGAAGGTAAAACAAATCAATTTCGACTCCAGCGTGGGCGCTTAGTTGCCCGCGTTCCGGTGATTTGACCGGCGCGAACTGGGTCACGTTGGGAAAAAACGCGGTCACTGATCATCGCTGTGGAGTCTGATGACCTCAAGTTCCAAGTTCCTTCCAGAGTCCTCGATTCTTGAAGGCGTTCCAAGCTTTAGCGCGCAATTGACGTACCCACAATCCCAAAAGAGGGTCAAAGACAACCAATGTCGTATCACAAAATTTTTCAATCTGACATGAAAGCCACGAGACGCTCTCGTGGCCCTTTCCATTTCATGAACTCTCAACGGATCTGGCAGGTTGGCGTAACGGTTTTACTCAGAGTCCGACAAGTAATTCGACTGCCCATCCTGGCAGTATAATCTCTTATGTCGCCAGGTAAGGCAAGAATCTGGTGAATGTTGACCCAACTGCCCATCCCGGATGTCGTCAGGCAAGGCAAGAATTCTTGCCAGGAACCCTGATCGAAGGTAAATGTTATGAGGATGGGAAGGCGCTAGTGGGACAGGATTCCGATGTCGAACGTGACGCTGATCACTACTATCCACTTCGAACGCCTAATTGCAGTTTCTGGTTGGCACCCAGCCGGACAAAATATCGAGCGACCAGGGTCCTGCCAAATGGAAACCCTCGGCCTCTACAACGAGCCTCCCACCAACCATTGTCCATACCGGCCTCACCACTTTTCTATTCCCTACATTCGTCGACTTCTGGACAGAGCAAAAAGCAAGAGCGTCTTCTGGCATTCTAAGAATTGTATTCCAAAACGGTATTGAAGGAAGGGTAGGCAAGGGAGAAACGAGGGGGTAGTAGGACTTGGAAGGCGTATGCATGGGGTGTGTCTGGCTGCCCAGCCGTCCTTGAGGGATATCATTTCTGCATGGCCTTGTAAATTGGGTTGCGGATCTCGTGCACTTGCTGCCCTTGGGGCCCACCTCCGGGGATCGTTTTCGTGAGACCCTAAACGGATGTGGGGAACACGGGTACGGTGGAGGTGTGGAGGTGCAAGTCGGAGGGTAAAGTCGGAGGGTGAAGTTGGAGGTGGAGGTGGCGTTGCCAGTGTCGTCACAGAGGGCAGGGAAATGAAGAGGAAAGCAAGCAGGTCCGGTCAGTCTTTCCGAATATCCGCGAATGGCGTAGAGCACACACCAGTTTCTCGAACATGCAGGCGTTGAGTTTTCGCTCGGGCTTGCGGCAGAGGTAGTATTCCTAAAGAGTAAACCGCGACCCAACAAAACCGAGGTATTAGCATTATTGATTAGTGCCCGGGGAAGACAAGAACACGGGGTCAAGGAACGCACATGGTTATTGCGTTCCAAACACTCAAAGTGAGCTTGGAACGTCTCCATGCAATTCTGTTGCATCTTCGTGAGCCTATTCCGGTAACAAACCTCTTCAGCCACCCCATGAACACCTCCAAAAATGAAACGGGCAACTCACAAATCCTGCGCACACCGCGTCACGCGTCGTCCCTCCTTCAAACAATGGCCCGGGTCCCGGTTTTCGTTCTTGCAGAGCATAAAGTCCTCTATCCCACCACACAACGAAATTATAATTAGCATGTCCATTCCCATTCGAAAAGAAAAGGCCCTGGGGCTAGGGATGCGCACCATTATATTCACGACAATGAGCGCCAATAAAGAAAGCAGCAGATTTCAAAGGACCACTGGTAGCTCCAATTTCATGGACCTTGGGGATATCCGAAGGCATAGGCGTGGGGTCCACAACAGCCTTGGACGGCACCGACCCGGGTTGAAACCTGCTCATCTTGTGCGGTGTCGGTGTGTTCTAACGAGAGGCGATGGGCGAGAAGAAGAGAAAAAGGGGAGTGCGCTGAGAGCGAGCTGGACACCGAACCACGTCGAGTGCGACGACTGACCCGCAATTCGGCGGCAGTGCTCAAAACGTGGGAACCCTTCTCGGGAGTTGCCGAGGTGGGATTGGAATTGTTGACCGTGTTTCTCGCGATTTCTTGACGTGTCTAATACCATGGTGAGTATTGTACTCGATATTCGAGGCCATAAAGATTGATATTGATATGACCAGCCTCCAAGACCCCAACCCAAAGTCCACCAACTCCTCCTCAAAACGCACAAACTCACAATCGCCCTTGCGGGCGTCACGCCGAACACGACAATCTCCCAAGTCAAAAAGGAGGCTCTCGAAGCGCTCAGAGCGGACGTCTCAGAGGACCTCTTAATCTCCATCTCACCCTCCCCTTCGAACCTCTTGAAACTGGAATCCCACAACGACTTTAACCTTTGTCGACAGGATAAGGAGAAAGGGAAGCCGACGGGAACGTATACCGTTCTCGATCCTGGTCGACAGCTTAGAGAACATGGATTAGCGTCTTGGGAAACACTTTTCATTCAGTTCATTAACCCTGAAACACGTTAGTCTGCACTTATCCTCGGATTGAGTTTCCCTTGCTGACGCGATTCTTCCGTGGTGGACATGAACAGGTGCAGCACTCCCGGTGACCGTGACTCTACCCGCGATCGACGACGATGAGGAATCTGTCGCGGAGCCTCCACCGCCGGTTACGCCTGCTGCCACGGACAAGGGGAAAGGAAAACGCAGAGCCGAATTTAGCGATGAAGAGTCGTGAATGACGCGGAAAGATCAAGGCAACCGATCGATCTTGTATTGGTATTCCATATTGTACCACAAGAGAAGACCACCAGACCGCCGGACGCCATTCTTCTGTCGCGGCACCTTCCCGCAACTGCACATACACACGAGGCTATCCGTCTCTCTCGCCCACCCGCTCAGATACCGACGGATTCCCTGGACTGTTATCCACCTTCTTACGCCCAGATCCTGCTTCATTGGTTTGGCCCTACCATTCGTTGGAGATGAAGACGAAAGATTTAACAATCAGGAAACTCACTCGAGTCACATCGTTGACTTTCATTCCTCAAAAACGTGACGAGGGCACCGGGCATCATCTCGGCCAGCCGTCAACTTGCACCTACATATTTTTTCCTTACCAGTATCTTGGACTTGGGGAGATGAAGATGATGACTTCCTGTCTCCGCGGACCCAAAGGTGCTATGTCCCAACGTGGACCCGGACCAGAGTCGGCTTTCATCTTACCACATACAAAACACTTCTTGACCAGATGTCTTTCCGATGTGTGGCTATCTCAATCTACAGAATACTTCGTAACAACCGTTCAACGTTCAAATCCCGATTGTAATCCATTGAATGCCCTTCCTGTTGCAATTTCAATTCGCACAGGGCCATCGTAGTGTTTAACGTTTTAACATCGGCCAACATGCCGACATCGAGTATCTGCCATGTTGGCCAGATGAAATTGACGACTGTGCTAGAATGAAAAGTGCGTGTTCGTAGGGTTCCAATTACAATGACATCGACAGCGGGATCTAAAACCGTGTCGTCCGGGATCATGGTATGAGCTACACGGGAATCAAAAAGAGTTCGAGTACAAGGACACCTGCATTGAGAATGTCGAAAGGACGAAACAAAATTGGGGGCTCGGAGAGACGCCTTCTGACAAGTAATGTTCGGGTTGGTGGAATGAATTCAGCAGTGTAGTGTAGATTACTACTGGTCAGCTGGCCAATGTGATTCTGAAAGCGCGCGGTACGGTCATTTTACTGTACCGATAGGAGAGTTTAATAAATGTTCCTGCTGGACATTCAACAGGGATATTGTCATGGCCTCGGTGTGGATGATCGGAGTCGTTGAATCGTGAAGTGTGGGAGGTGAGTGGAGCGGGGACTAGGATCGAGGATATGTACTCATGCAGAGGTAGAAGTTCCTGGTAGTGAAGATTTTTGCCAGGATTGGTAGGTTGGAGGTAGTAAAGCCGCAGCGACGCGCCGACCCTCTTCCGAGAGCAGGTTGTACGTCGAACAAGCGTTTCTCTAAACACACTCAATTAGTAAGAAACAGCCTGCTGATCAAGATAGAGTCACCTACGGTATCAACAATATCCAGTTGGACACCCTTTTGGTTGAGGTATGTCCGAAGGAATGGTGGAGGCGGTAGGATACGCTTCCCAGTTCCAAACAGCAGGATTTCTATTCACATCACAGCCGTCAGCGTCTACTTCCCTTCCACATCCAACCACACACATAGACTAAACTCACCAGGTGCAGGAACAACAGTATCAAACAACTCGAAATGCTCCTCCGTCCACCCCTTCCACCTATCCTTGCCCTCGCCAACGGGTGGGACGTCCCACAAGAATACCCGTCCCTCTAGGAAGATTGTAGGTCCAGAAATCTGCAGCCCATCTTCCAATTGTATTCCATCCTCTGAGATGGATGAGACTTGAACTGGTGGGGGCGTGTCGTCTGCCAGAATGTTGGTGAACGACCGGTCGAGGAGGCGAGGCGTCGAGTGCAGGCATCGACTCGGACTAGAGCGAGTCACAGAAACTGCTGGGATCACTCGCGTTATTGATGGCGTAGCTCGTGTCAGGACAGGACGTGGTGTCGATGACCGAGAAAGCGCAGAGCGAGCCTGTCTACAGAGCGTTTGGCGAAACATTTTGTGGAGGGGTACGAGGAGGCCAAGCGAGTGCGTCACAGATCTCTGGAAGGCGCCGGGCTGAGCCGGACAAATCAGAAATGATCCGTGATCGAATGATCAGTGATGTCATCACTCTTACCAACAAGCGCCCCCCAACCCAACTCACTGAGGGTTCCTCTAGACTGAAGCTTAAGTTGAGACTGGGGAGGTTTTTGTACGCCGAACTAAGTTTTTGCAAGTAGCCGGAGTGTAAGCATGGATCATGGGATACATTGGACATTTGTGCGTTTTTTGTACTTGTACATAGAGTGATGTTGGACAGGCAGAGCATAAGGGTTTCTGCGACTCGTAACTAATGGAGGCGGGAAGAGGAGAATGTAAACTACAACAACTTGAATCAGGATACAATAAGAAGGAGAGATTCCAGAAAAAATGGAAGTCGATGCATGATGTTTGCAGTGAATGCGGTTGAGGCCTAGGGAACAGGGACGTCAGCATCAGCAAAGATAGGGCGGAAAATCGCGTACGGACCTTGTGTGCGGATGTTCGGAGGCGCGTGTGTACCCTACTCTATTCTACTACATCCCAGATTTCCTGTACTGTTCTAAATTCCCAATCATCATCAACGCGGCTGGATGGATGACTACACCCCAAAGACTCCCAATGTAGAGAGAGATGGAATGCGTCAGTTTCCGCAACACCGCGTCTCCGACCAGGCTTTGTCCGGTATCTACTGTTCAGTAAAATCTACGCTATCAGAAGGGCCTAGTGATCCTCAGCACGGCTGGATGGATGACTCCCCGTTACCCACTCCAAAGCCTCCGTTTCGGGAGACATGGATGGCAACGTGGGGTCAGTTTCCGCAACACCGCACCTCCGACTAGGCCTCCCCTTTTTACTACTTCTACCGTTCTACCGTAATGGTTACTGTGTATGTATGTGACGTTGGACACCGGATATCATCGGAGACGGCTGGATGGATGACTACACCCCCCTGTACGGAGCTGGTTGAGTTGGTTTGGGGTGTGTCAGTTTCCGCATCACCGCCTCCTCCTTCCTGGTCTTCGTATATATAATACTGTATATTGGCCGAACGAGCTGCCCTAAGAGGACTTTGGTGTGTCAGACTCTGGAGGGAAGAGGAAAGGAAAGCGGTAACGTACCGTGGATTTTCTCGACGACCGGCGTGCAATTTCATCGGTTGTTGGTTCGTCATCGAGGGACTAGTAAACGGCGAGTGGTACCGAAGATGTCGACGTCCGCTCTTGCAGAACAGAGTATATCGTCTGGTTCTGAGGCTGGTTAACGTTCAATCAGCATCGTCGAGAACGGCGAGAAACGGCAGAGCAGACAAACCGGCGCGGGTACGACTCTCGAAATGATGTGGCAGAGCCTGAGCACGAGTGCGATGCAGGCGGCTGATATCGAGGAGACCGATCTACGACAGAACTGGAGGTCAGTATCGAAGGGAACATCGGTCTCGATGGCAAACGTACAAGAAGGTTATCATCCTTCAGTCCGCCGTGCTAGCCACAATGGGCTGGGGCCGCCTAAAAGGCGGCGACGAGGGCTGCCGGCAGAGTAAGATCGATGTAGAGCTCGAGGTGCCATTGCCATTGCAAGACGTGATCATCTCGGCGCGAGCAGAAGAGAGCCAGGTGGGTAAGAAGGAGAAAGGTTGTTGGGCTCTGGAGAGAAAGAGGGCGTCGGCGACGCGGGTTTTATAGCTTTCAAGGCGGCTGGCTCCTGTCTCGCAAAAGAGTGCGTCAAACCTCGCGCTCCAGGCCCTCAGACGTCGAGGTGGAGGATGACAGAATCAATGACGAGCCTGGGTACCAGTCTTCGTCCAAATCTACAGGAGAAATCGAGACCAGTCTCTTTCACGGTCGTTGGTCCGCGACCAAACCAGAAGGTCAGCCGCCCAACGAGGCTCGAGCCTATCCCGGCGGAACAACGACACTTTGGGATATGAGCCCGCCTGTGAAGGGAAGGCATGCCACCGGCTATCATTATCGTAACGCCCACCAGAATCAGAATCTTCGGTCCCGACAGGCTATAGCCAGCACGAAGCTACACAAATGAGGTATGCAATTAATAGGGGCAAATGAACATGCGAAGACGAAAGGATACACGGATATGCGGATAGAAATGATATGATATTGGATATACAAAACGAGAAAAAGAAAGAGTCCCAGACAGACAGACCAGACAGGCCCACATCTCCACTAAAGGAGAGAGAGATACTACTCAAACACCGCGCCCACCCCCTTTGGCGTAGCAGACTGGACAACCCTGACGCAGTCTCGGCCGAATCATCGATTCACTACGCAATGGAAAACCATGATCAGAAACTTCCAATCTTCTTACAGAAAGGAGGGATAGAGACTCACAATGCAATGATGCCACTCATTCCCGCCCCCCTAGAACCGGCCCTGCCAGCCTCTGAACCGCGACTGCCATACCCAACGCTCCGCAACACCGGATCCGTCGGCAACGGCAAATGATTCAGGTTCCCTCCCGCACACGAAGCATGCACAACGTGGCGACACAGGAACACCAGCGCCAGCGAAGACTGTTGTTGATGATCTGCATTCGGTGTATCCGGTTTGGGCTTCGACGGAGCCAGCGAGGACGTCGTTGTCTGAGGCGGTGGTGGTGGGATAAGATGTTGGTGGAACAGCAGAGGTTGCATGCAGACGGGACATTTGGATTTGACGCCGAGTGGGAGCCCGCCGCCTTGTCGTCGTCCGAGTAGTTCTGCGAGCTCGGCACAGTCACCTTCGAGGATCGTCTTGCATCCCTCGAGTAGCTCGATCTGGAGGTGGAAGTCCTAGAATAGAATTATCGTCGGTGCCATCCCTGCTAGATAAGATATGACGAGCGCATCGTTTACCTGAAGGATCTTGATCAACGCTTCCTTCAACCCAGGAATCTCCAATCCGTTCCTAATTCTCCTGATAAGTCGAATAGGCGAGATCTCCACACCGACATTCTCCAATAGACCTCGGATGAAGGTAGGTCGAGTTTCGGAGTAGCGGAGCAAGTCTTCCCAAAGGTCGTCGTCGTTCTGAGCCTTGGCAAATTCGATTGCCTGAGAAGAGCTAAGCGCACATGGCCTCGCACAGAGAAGCGGAGTTGACATACCCGCTCAACATCCCCCAGACGCTCAATGATCAGCGTCAAAGCCTTCTTGTTGTTGCCCATCCTTCCCAAGAGGAACACCATCTCCGGGACCAAATCACGTTCTTTACAGACATTGTACGCCTAGTGAACGGAACGTCAGTCGGTAATGCCGCTTGAAAGTCAGCAGCAAACCCTCCGGCATACCTTCTCAAGGTTGTAGTAGGTACTCGTCCGCAAAAAGTCGATGAGCCTCGAAACCGCAAATTCGGCGTACATCCGCACTTGGAGATCAGCAAACGCTGAAACAAGGTGAGGGTCTTTCTCCACTAGGGCATCAAGGTACAAGAACAGGTAGTAGGGCTTGTTCTGCAGTTGCTGGACCACGCGGTTTATCTGCGAAAGGGCTGTCGTCAGCTGGCGGAATCCATGTAGAAAGGAGGGTAGGACACGCACAGGTATAGAATGGATGTTGTTCGTCAACAGCTGGATAGCTTCACTCTGTTGCCACTGCTTGACTTCTCCCTCGTGACTAGGAGTAGCGGGTGCAGCCGGCTTGGAAGAAGCAACAGCAGCATAATCCTTCGCCTTCACTCCACCGTCTTTCGCCTCCACCTCCTTCGCCTTCTCTTTCTCCTCCCTTTCCTTCCTCCTCCGCTCCATCAACTCATGATCAAACTCAACCAAAAGCAATATCTGATCCTGCACATCCGTGAACAAGTTGTTCTCCCGGATGAGTTCGAACACGTTCGGTCGTCGCAGCCGGAGGAAGTACGGGAGCGCTTTGCCTGGCTGGCGGTTAGCGGTGAAGAGTTCAGCCAAACACTCCATCAGGAGGACGACAGCTTCTTGCCGTGTCACGCCGTCGTAGTGTTCAGGTAGAGGCCCGCCTTTTTCTAGTTTGTCTAGTTGGGCTTTGACGGCGACGATGACTGCGCTGATGTCGTAGATCTCCTTGGGCCATGTCTGGATCGTCTTCAGTAGAGCCTGATAAGATTATAACGTGGTTAGATATAGAAAGCCACGATCACAAGAAAGCATGGGGACTACCTGGAGATCTCGGGCCATAAAGTGTCCAAGGATCATTTCATAGAGTAGATGGTCGAGTCGGGGAGCTTCAGTTGGAACATAGGGTATAATGGTCTGTTGAACGGCGCCAGTCAGTTTACACAGCGACAACTGTCATCAGCTAGAGCCATACATGCAGCTGCTTGCGCTCGGCAAACTTCCAGATCCACTTGTCCCATCTCTTCTCGATGTCGGGTCCAGTTCCTCGCCCACAGACTTTGGGAGCAAGCGAAGCGGCCTTGTCATACTCGCCTGCGACGACCCTTTAGACCACGCTCCGATCGAGTAAAGTAGGCGCACGCACCTTCATCGACCAGATAATCCATATACTTATCACCAATACTATGGACGGTCAGGTGATCCTCATTCTCCTCCCCTTCCCGATCCTTGTCAGACGTCCGATGCCGGCCACTCGCTGCCTCCATCTGTTCCAACTTCTCCACCTCCTTCAGCGCTTCCTCCCATTTGGCCCGTTCGACTAACCATTGCACTCGATCTCTCAAATCCCGTTTCCGGACGAGAACGAGGTCGCGAGGTGACATGACGACGTAGCATCGTTCCTTGTCTTCATTCCGGGCATGTGGTCCTAGTTGACTTGGCCGGGGTTTGGTTCCTAAGACACCAAATATAAGACTCTGTGGCAGGCAGTGAATAAACGGAATCATACCGAGATCATCCTCCTCCCCACGGACGATACCCAAGCTATACTCATTGCACCCCCACTTTTCAAAATCCCTCACGCCCAAAATATCGTTCGCAAGCTCTTCACCTGTACTCCGTGACACGATTGTGAGCTCGGGTCGCTGAGCCGCAGATCGCTTCGTCGCAGTTGTTTCGGTAGGAATTTGCTCATCTACAACCACATCACTTTAGTTCTATTCGCTCGGATATATCGGAAGTTGAAACAGGGCTCACCGTCGTGTGGGCTGGGTTTGAGCAAAGACGGAGGAGCGATGTATGTGAGAAGCAGAAAAGTTGTCAAAGGCGGGGAGTTGGCTATTGGCATGGAGGATCTTCTTTGAGGAGTCGAGGCCCTCAAGTACGCCCCGTTCGTTGGCAGGCCAGGTTTAGTCCGCTGAGAGTGAGTAGACCGGTGATCGTCACTTTCTGTCTCGAAAGTCTTCGCGGTCCCTGTTGAAGGTGCCCTGGAATGATGGCTCTTCCTGTCAAACTTGTCGTCTAACACCCTTGAATAATCCATGTTCTCGAAGGGGGATGAAGACGGTGAAGGCATAGGATGGGGCGCGATGCCCGCCACTGCACATCCGTCCATTTGGAACACAGTCTGGATCTCGACCGTGAACGGAGCTAGATTCGTTTCTTTGGAACCATTGGAAGATGGAGGGGGAGAGTTGAGGTGAGGTGAACGTGCTCTGATCCGGACAACTTTGATGAAATCGGCCCAAGCAATCAACAGAGTCCCCTCGTCCTGCCAGTGAAGGGTTGGCTTGAAGAGCTCAGAGCGGGGACTATTGGGAGCTCGGTCAATGTATGTGAGCAGCGACTTGGATGAGGGATGGTAGATTTTGACGCCCTATCCATCTACCGTCAGATTGTTTTGAGTGCTTAGGCGATGGGAAGACATACCGAATCATTGGCCCAGGCAATCAACCCATTTGACCCGCCACTTCCTATTCCAACCCATCTCACAGTCCATATTGGTCCTTCGCCAGAAGCGATGATAGTTTCGCGGTGTCCTAGCCATCCCTTCTCGTACATGATAAGGTTCCCAGCCAGGCCTCCACAGACGAAAGCTCGAGTGCTACGTTTGGACGCGAATTGTGGTTCGAGAGCGATAGTCCGCATGGGGCGCTTGAGATCGAAAGAGTAATGCTCACTACTTGCAGGGGCAGTGAGAGAGACTGAGCGAACGTGCACTTGGCCTGTGACTCTATTAGCCGGACGACCTCTACACATGGAGAATCTCACTCACCATCTATTGAGGCGGTTGCAACCCAGTCTCCTGTCTCGTCGAACTCAATGTCCACAATGGAAGCCAGGTGAGGCTTGTACGACTTGAGTCGCTTGCCCGTAAGATCCATGATATGAACGATTCCTGCGTGTGTTCCCAATGCCTAAGCCCTTGTAAGTTCCAGCAAAGATTAGTTGATAGGAACGCCTACAATAAGCCTGTTGCCGCTTATTGCAATTGCACTGGCGGAATCCTTCTTCAACAAGTCAGGGACGGCGCCCTCAATTCGCGAGTACTTCAATGCTGGCTCCTCTTCCTCGTCATCATCATCTTCGTCGTCGTCCTCGTCCTCGTCTTCATCGTCATCTTCGCTCCCCTCGCCGCTTTCATCGTCTCCTTCCTCGCTCTCGTCGTCGTCGTCGTCATCCCCATCGTCGTCATCTTCTTCCTCTGACCCAGTAATATTACTCATCCGCGACGGGCTCTCGGTGAACCTATGGAGTTCTGCATCCGTTTCGACCTCTCCGTTCCCCGCAACTGTGGTGGTCACCTCATTGCCAGTAGGTCGAACTGGATTAGGTGGTGGTGAGCTCATCTGGGCATGAACGTTTCGCGCTCCCGATAGCCTTTATCGTCCGGTACACTGTCGTCGAAAGGGCAGCCAGGACGCTGGCCGGACCTTGGTCACGGTGGTGGTGGTAGCAAGACGAGATTGGCCCGACACGCGACGATGGCCCCGTCCCCTGTCGGTGACGGCATCACAACCGCGCCTGATGGGAACCAGTGGGAACCTCTTGCCCAAAGCAGTTGGCTTTGGGCCACATGCTTAAGCGCTCAAGAACTTTTGCTATTATTCAAGACCATATTCCGACAAACCCCTCGAATAACAGGCGCCAATGGCATTTGAGCTTCTTCCTGATGGGAGCTGGAAAAGAGTTGTAGGGCGCGTGGAGTCTCCGAGTTGTGGCCTGAGTCGTAGTATCATGTAACTCCCCAATGAATTATACCTTTGGCGGGACATTAAATAATTCAATGCCACTGCCGTCTCTTGCGGAAGGGAACCTGCCGATAGAAACTCTGCTGATTGACTCTGTACAATCAATGGAAACAAGTCAACCGAATTAGAAATCCAATCTGAGGTTGGTTTGATTCATCCCCGACGCAAACTGATGTATTACTCGTGTATAATTGAAGTAGAGAACATAAAGTGTAATTAGCGAGCTACATAGAGTAATACTTACCGGTAGTAACCATCAATAACCCAGCAAGTCGTAGATGGTGGGCTGGTAATCGTCGTCGCAATTGATACACCCCTCCTGTCCACAATAATCACATTCGTCTTCTTCCTCCTCATCCGAGTAGAAATCAACGACTTCCTTGTCCCATTCGACATCGGCGACGACCTCCTCAAGCTTCTTCACATCGTCCTCATACAGCCCGATGCACCCTATCAGCTCGAGCACCTCAATCTCCCCGCCCAGCTCGTAGCGTGACATCAAGAAATCCAATAGAGCGTCAATGTCAATTGCGTAGCTACGGAAGTCTGCTCTTCCAAAAATCAGTTTCTTCAGAGCGCGGAAATAGGACAGGTGTGCCGGCCGTGGATTTGGTTTCTGGACACCCGGTGTCGCTTCGCCGTGCGCGATTTTCTTGATGACCATGGGTCGGAGGGCCGGATCGGACGTGATGTATTTGACGAAGCCTGCACTGCTTTGTCTGTCGACAGAAATCGTGTGGAGGGAGGGTAATAGACCAAAAAATTCCAACGCGCTTGTGTTGATCGAACCAGCCAAAGCGATGGTACGGACTTTGTCCAACGGCAGGCCACCGAGGAGACGGACAATAGGGTTGGTGGTTGCGGAAAGTCCACTGGCAGTGACCTGAAACTGGAGAGATGGTGGGTTATTGGCCCCCCAACGAATTCCGGGGGAGCCCGCATCCCGTGGATACCCTCGGACGAGCAGCGTATGGCGATCGGTATAAACGTGCATAGACTTCAAGCCGCCTATTGTGGTAGTTGAAGAACTAAAAAGGTGGCCGCCGGAACGCCACGAATTTGTGATCGAGGTCGTCAAGTCGGCCAGGATCTGGTCAGCCTCGTCTGTCTTCTTCGTGACCACGAACTCCAACGCTGCAGAAGGCGGAAGCACGAGATGCATCATGACGTTGGCGCAGTCTGATGCAGATCCCTTCAGTCTGAAATTTTCCATGTGTCGAAGGGTGACGGTGCGGTGTTTGGCGAGGGGAGATGCGGGTAGGGGGGTATCTAGATTCAGCGTCCGAAGAGACTCCATCACCTCGAGTGCACCGAAGAAGGTTTCGGCACTGGGCTGAAGGTCAACGCGGTACCTCGGATGTGGCATGCACGTTAGCTTGAGCAACGTCAGGCCACGGAGTAGGGACGAGTCCCAAGACAACTGATACCCGTTTAACTCCAAGTTCCGAAGATTTGGAGCCTCGCCATTGAGGAAGGTTTTGGGGAGGATAGAGTCGGAGGGGGTGTAGCCTGAGGATCGATATGCACGTACGATTGTCAGGCTTTGAAGCAGGGGAGCGGGATCGGCTATTTCCCGAAGTCTCTTTTCATTGGCATTGGAAAGCTCCCTGGAAAGGTGAAGGCTTTTCAGCCGCCGAGGCTGCGCGAGAATGTCGGTGACGAGGCCTTCAAGCTTCGGGTTGGTCTACGGTGTTCGAGAAGGATATGGTTGGATTCAAAATTCACGCGCGAGCACCGAGGGTCACAGCCACAGCCACCGACGCGGGGTTCGACAATGCACCGAAAAGAAAGAAAAATCCTAATCAATTCATGGCAGCTAGTCTAAGCATAAGTAGTATGTAGAACTCAAATAGACTCTTGTCAGGTATCTAACCACGAGTAGAATTTGAATCCACCACTCGATTTTGCGAGTATTCTGTGGTCCCAACACAAATGAGCCGGCCCTAAAGTAATAAGCGCCTACCGTACTATGAGCCTCGCTCAGCCCAATGAGACATTCTGATAACAGCGATCGTGTCAACTCCAAGCTTATATGAGTAGTGGGTATCATTTGACTATGTACAACATTGATCAAATGACAGGAAGGGGACTGGCCCTGTTCTAAAAACCAATCACAAATCAATTATCTCCCGCCGTAGTCCTGTCGTCACCGACTCCATCTTGGTCTAAGTCTGCATCCGGGTCATTCTCCATCTCAAGCCGGTCTACATCATCCAGGTCGTATGTGGTATCGGCGTTGGGCTTATTGTTCTTGTCTTCGAGGGCAGGGTGCTCGTCAGCGTGATACTCATCCCAAAGTTCTCGAACATCGCGTAGCCCGAGCTTTGCGCAGATTGTGTTACACTTGTGCTGGGTAACGAAATCCCTAATACCAGTCCATCCTTGATCTCCCAGACCATATACTCCGTCCGAGCTGTGAATTGTGTTAATTGAGATCATCTGGACTTGGCTCTGAAGACTTACCTATGGATCATCACATCGAAAAGTGTGACAGAATGCGCGACATTAAGTGGTATCCCCGAGGTAATGGGAAGCGTTGAAGAGTCAATGCCTAGAGAGAGCTCTTGGTGAGCACAAAGCCGGGCGGATTGTAGATGAAAGCAGAGAATTATGACTAACCTTGGATATCGACAAAGACGACTGAACCGTCAGAGTCATCAAGGGAGAAATGGGCAAAGGCGTCACAGGTCCTCCCAGCCAAATCGCTGTTAGCACCTGCCAGGTCTGTGCCTGAGAACTTGCGCATAACAGCGTTCTCAAAGAGTGGGTCAACGAGCCAAGCACGTCCTTTCGAGGGCCCTTCGACAACAGTGAGAATGAAGCTCTCGGCCGGGCCCCGGATATCTGTAGAGAATGAGAATTAGCCACTACCGTCAGGTGTGGTGTATAGAAAGGACTTACCATACGTCGATATCTTTGCATGGCGCGCGGACTTCACAAATTTCTCTGCTGCCACCTCAAGGATGTGGCCACGGAGAAGTTCATCTTTCAGATGCACAAGGTTATCCTTATGCGAGACAGCACCACTGCCGTCGATGTCATAAAAGTACTTTGCAGCGTACTTTTTCTTGTCAATGTACATCTAATCTCGCATGTAATGTCTTGTTAGCTCTGCATGCAATGTAGACTGAGATGAGGACAAACCTTGACGGCCTTCTTCGTCACTCCCGAGGCGAAGGACTCCTTATCAACCACGACTTTGAAGGGTTCCTGTTCCTCTACCCAGACAGCACTGTCTTCAACCCAGGTCCAGTATCCTTTCAAAACGATGTGTACAATGCCCGTAGACTGAGCAACACCCAGCCTCGTGACATAGGCGTTCCTTCCGGAAGGTATGATTGTCCCTAAGTGAAGAGGATCAACTTGGGGCAGGGATAAAATCATATTGAAAATAACTTACGCATTCGTTTGGCTGAAGCGCCCTTGGACGTGTTAGCTTGAAGTGCGGCGGCGCCGACACTATTAGCACGCTTAGAACGGGTGGTCTAAAGCAATGTGGATCAAAACTCTAAGGATCTGTTGGGATTGGTGTATGAAATTCGGAATAGACTCGCCTTTGTTTTACCCTTGAAACTCGGGAACAGTGTCATCATCGTCAGTATCATTGCGAGCCTCATCATAGTTCACAGCAACAGCCCATTCGATGAGGCTCTTTTTAACGTCGGCAGGTGAGACAAGGAGCGAGTTTGCAGAGCAGGCACGCCATAGGTCACGAAGCGTCCCTGTGCAGAGGGATGGGTCTACTGCGACCCTTGCAGAAGCCCATAGCATTGTGAACTCGTTTCTAAGCGTGAATCATCGTGTTAATAGACATATACAACATCTGGCTTTGGCCAATTGAGCACTCACATATCATAGACCCGATAATCTCGGTCCTTCTTGTACGCATTATCCACCTTTGTTCGGATATCTTCAAGAACAGTCGCCATAGGTGTGTCGTCCGGGTACTCTGTATTATCGGCATGGAAAGGAGCACCGGGAAGATACTTCCCCTGTCTGAAATCGAAGAGCTTCACAATCTAAGGCGAAGCTGGTAAACCGAAAAAGAAGTCAAGCTAATGAAAGAATATACCTTAAGGTTCAGCCTTTTTACAGGCCTGGGTATACCAAGTTCGGCAGCTGTCTTTAACTTGAGCTTTGATGGAGCGATACGACCTTGAAATCTAGTCCCCGAGGTCCGAGCATGAGCATCTGTGTACGAATGACTCATGCTGGACATGATTCTGAGAGCTTCTTCTTGCAGCTGCAGTTCAAAATGTTAGTCTTTCGCAATGCTATAAGTGAAACAATGTCGCACCTGCTGGTTTCCAGCGCCCTGGAATTGGGCACTAGTTCCACCGCCAGAATTTGTATGTGTTCTGACGTTGACCGGATTCGCAATAGCTTCACGACTCGCCTGTTGTACCCCATTACCTGGAGCAAGAAATATGAGCACTAGTGTGCAAAAAGGGGGAAAGGGGTAGATCCATCTTACCTGCGGTATACTTCGAGCAATCAAAACATACATTTTGGTCCATGAACTCAAAGACCTCCCCGCATTTGTTGCACATCCCCCACTCCTCAACGTTAGGCCGTGGAGCGCGCTTGGTGCAACGACCACAGCGAGTACCCTCAACAAGGAGGTCAAAGCGTTGGGAGCAGCCAGAGCAGCGAGCCATTGGGTAATGAGGTGTTCTGAGGTGCGTGAAATGAGTTGGGACGCCTCACTCACGCCTTACCTAGTTGGCTTTTAAAGCTTTAATCCATGTAAAGCTCCGCCGACCCCCGGCAACTTGTTGTGTTCTTTAATTCCCTAATGCAGTATAGGCCAGGACAAATTGGGAAGGACGGATCAATTGGTGAGCTCGTGGAATGGCTTTGAACATCGGTAAATATACAACACCCTCGTGCAGATGTTTGGAGCAATGGAAAAGCTGGAAGGATCTAAATTCTCTGGGGGAAAGTCTCATTTTACCGAGATAGACCGTTTCAAAAATGCAAAGTCAAAGGGTCTTCATGAACATGAGAACATAATTCTGCCTCATGTCCCATTAGCGAGATAGTGAAGATTACCGAAAGAAGACCGAAGTCGCACCAAGAATACCGGGAGGATACCCAAGTCGCATCAAGAATACCGAAGTCGAACTATCCTGTTCAAACGCCAGAAGTCTCGGCTGCTGACAGCCTCCACTTGGGCCATGAAGCGCACGAAGCGAGAAGTAAATGTTTTGACCTAAATTTGCATGCGATAAACGTTCTTGGTCTGCGTCATTAGTGTAGTCTGAGATCTTCTGCAAAGTTTTGGGGCACAAACAGTCAATAGGATAAGTTCCAGGGCGTATCTCGTTGCGCCAGAATACACTTGTACCACGTCATGTCCCGTGGCTGGACGTTATTCTAGCGCAAGTTCCACGACTGCCAACCAGGGACCTGATTTAGGGGTCAAAGGCATGTATTTGTGCTAAGATACAGATGCAACCAATAACGATGAACTTATGTGTTTTAGCTTATAAGGTGCTTCGATTTGGGTCTGTAGAATACCAACATCCCACATCCGATGGCTCGTACGTCCAATACCTTCAAGCAGTCCAACAATTCAGGAGGTCGAAATCAATGGCGCGAGCGCCCGGTGTGTATGTTAAGCTCTCCATCTCTTTGCTAGCTGCTGCTTGCTATCGACTACTGTGCTGATATTTTTGCAGTGGAAGATATCCCTGACCTTCCACAGCGCCTCCAGGTCTATATCAACGAGGGTGTTCGGGTCAAAGATATTCCGCAAGAGATTGAGAGCGACCTCGGGGCTATCGTCAAGTAAGTGTGTTATTTCTCCTTCTTGGCTGTATCCCACAGAGAAACACCTGATTTCTCCCTGTTCAGACTACCAACCATTAAGAAGATTATGCAGCGCTTCGATATCAAGACCTCGCGAAGGAGTGGTGTTTCATACGTTGAGAAAGGTGCAGCTATTCTCCAGACGATGAAAGAAGACCCCCTGGGACGTGGGGTTTGCGAACCGTGAAGGAGAAATTGGCTCTGCAAGGTGTTCACGTAGAACGGTGTGTGAGATATAGTATTCCTGCTCTTTTAGGCTACTGACGTCTGGGATTGTCGTCGTTCATTTCTAGAGATTTTATCATGCGCTTTCGAAGGGCCCAGGACGTAACTGCCACAGCTAACCGTCATCCTCAAACTCGCAAGGCGCATAGTCATGGATTGTATTGCTCTGGTCCGAATGAAGAATGGGGCATGGATGGACATGAGAAGATCCTCCTTTCTATGGGCATCGGGGTCTATGGAATCATCGACAAGTATAGCCGCATGGAGCTGATACTTGTTGCTGTTCCTAATGCTCGGGATGACGAGCTGCCACTTGCTGTCTACCTCAGAACTGTCAAGAAATACGGAGGTAATGTCTATCTTGGCTATCGCCCGGTTTCTCAACTGAATGCATTGTTATTCTCCAGGAATGCCGATTACGTCTACAAGTGACAAAGGCACTGAACTGCGCAAGGTCATCTCAGTGATTGGGACCCTTCGGTACGATTTTGTCTCAAAGCATAATTCGACAGCTTCTGATTATCTTATAGCGCTACCTACCAGCCATATATCCCGGAGAGCGTCGTGGCATCGCACAACGCTCTGAAGTCTCCAGATAACATTACCCGAGAGCGTAACTGGCGACCTCTTTGGGAAAAGGACCTGGCCAACGTCCTTTACTTCTACAGAGCTGGCCAGGAAGCAGCTGGGTTTCATCCGAATAACGATTTCCACGCGTGAGTCCTCTTTACTGTTCATTCATTCCAGTACTGGATTCATTTACATCGTCAATTAGCTCTCTTTCCCGCTGGCTTTGGGCGTGTATTGTCCAGACCCTCCTCGACAAGGTTATGAGCGAAAATCAGAAGCATCGGATTCGCGGTCAGAAGAAATCCTTGATGCCAACCGATGCTCGTCGTATTGATATGTTCAAGCACCCTGAGCGCTTCGGTGGTAGAGACCAGCTTATCCCCATTCCCCAGCAGGATATTGACCGTCTTCTTGCCGAATACGACCAGCCACATCTATTCAAGTTTGTCCCTGATGATTTAGAAAATATCTTTGGAGATCTCTACCGCGCAATCGGCAGTCCCTCTCTCGTGGCATCCCAGGGTTGGGGTATCTTCAGAGATATGGTTAATACTCACCTTTCTCGCGCTTAATTGCGCCCCTCACAATATGTATTTCAAGTTCTGTCAACCTTCGAATCCCGATACGACCAGTACGCCTGCGGTAGCATTGCTCACTAGTAGACATACACACCGAATTCACTACCCCCCCTCGGCCTAAAGGCCCAGCTCCTTCCCTTAAGTATGTGTGTCATTAAGTGCGTTCCTGCAATCGCATAGACGACATTTTATGACGCACGAGCTTGATTTTGGCCCAACCGCTGTTATCAGAATGTCTCATTGGGCTGAGCGAGGCTCATAGTACGGTAGGCGCTTATTACTTTAGGGCCGGCTCATTTGTGTTGGGACCACAGAATACTCGCAAAATCGAGTGGTGGATTCAAATTCTACTCGTGGTTAGATACCTGACAAGAGTCTATTGTGAGTTCTACATACTACTTATGCTTAGACTAGCTGCCATGAATTGATTAGGATTTTTCTTTCTTTTCGGTGCATTGTCGAACCCCGCGTCGGTGGCTGTGGCTGTGACCCTCGGTGCTCGCGCGTGAATTTTGAATCCAACCATATCCTTCTCGAACACCGTATTGGTCAGGTAAGTCAGGGTGGCGTGAAGGGAGATAGGGGCCTGCTTTGACCGTTCCCAAGATATCCTGGCCCAGTTGAAGCTAGTGGTTCGAATATTTGACCACAGCTGGGGGCATCCAAGCGCCACTTGCCTCCAGTAGCGGTAAACGTGTGTCACTCCAGTCCATTGATATGGTGTGAGATAATACCGCCCCTGCACCATATAGTCCACTCTACCGGAATGATCGCACTTGCTTTGTGGGCCAGTTCGCAGGCTCATGGCAGCTTACGAGTCCGTCCATGAACTATGGTAGGCTGAGGGCGCTCGCTGGCGCACACCTTCGGTGCGCTTGCGCTCGCGCCAAGACTGGTGCATTGGTGCCCATGCCATTCACATACTTTATTTATTACAGTTCTATTATACTTTCAGTTTAGCCTTCAGTAACATAGAACACTTAAATGTAATTTAACATACTCATCGGAATTTAACTAACAAATTACAACTATCCTACACCAGGGTCTGATAATCATGAATATAAATGGCTCGAGCACGAATTGAACCCCCAATCTCGAGATTTTAAGGCAAATTCCGATCGTTTTGATGATAAGTCTGATGCCATCAAAACGGCCCTCCGAGACCGGCCAGTGGCGGTCGTAAATGGAAGAACTCCTATTTCGCCCCTATTCTGAACCCTTGGAATGACGTCTTAACTAGTGCTGGCGGAAAAGAACGAGTTGCGTTTAATTCCGTCATATGTCTGGACACCCAGGCTTGCTTAAAACTATCAACAGTATCAAAGATCACAGCTCTAATCAAGTCTTTTGCTCAAAATAGCATAATATGCCTTAGGTGACAGCTGTTGCAACATCCATTAATGAAATCAAGGAAGCGCCTAAAATGAATGTTAAAATGAAGTCTCATTAAAGGACAATACAGAAGGCATCACAACGTTAAATGAAAAAAGAAGTAAAGAAGCCATCAATACCTGTCCATCAAATCCTCGAAATTAAGGCCTAAATGAAGTCTCGTTTTCGAGCTGCATAGAAACGACTCCTAACGGACTCGTAACATTCGTTTATAGAATTCGAAAATCCGAGTGAGAACCTCAGGTGGAAGGTGCGAGATGACTGATAACTCGTTTCTGCTGCTCTTCCACCGGCGAATTTCGTCTTCGAGGGCGGCGATGCGCGAGTCAATCCAAGCGCGTCGAGCATCCGGATCCGCTAGATATGATTGGCGTTCAATGTTCAGCAAGTACAGTTTCTTTGGAACTACTTACTTTCCAGGGCCATTGACTCTGGGGCAACTGCCATGGGGTCGGACATGGTGAGTCCAAACCAAGTTGCAAAATCATTCGGTTGTTACGAGTCCGTTAGGAGTCGTTTCTATGCGGCTCGAAAACGAAGACTTCATTTAGGCCTTAATTTCGAGGATTTGATGGACAGGTTTTGATGGCTTCTTTACTTCTTTTTTTCATCTAACGTTGTGGTGCCTTCTGTGTTGTGCTTTAATGAGACTTCATTTTAGCATTGATCTTGGGCGCTTCTCTTGATTTCATTGATGGGTGCGCTGACAGGTGTCAGTCTAGGGTGCTTTTTCCAGCAGGAGACTTGATTAAAGCTTTGATTTTTAATACTGTTTGTAGTTTCAAATAGGACTGGGTGTCCTCAACTCCAGGTTCAGTTAGCCCTATGACGGAATTAAGTGCAGTTCGTTTTTTTCTACCAGCACTAGTTGTGACGTCATTCCAAGGGTACAAAATAGGGGAAAAATAGGAGTTCTCATTCTATTTACGACTGGCCGGTCTCCGAGGCCCGTTTTGATGGCATCACGCTTGTCATCAAGCGTCCGGAATTTGCCTGGTTGGGGGTTCAATTCGTGCTCGAGCCATTTATATTCATGATAAGCAGACAGTAGACCCCGGTTGGATAGCTGTAACTTGTTAGTTTAAATTCTAGTGGGTATATCAGGATATATTTAGGTATTTCATGTTACTTAAACTGAAAACTATAATAGAACTATAATCAACAAAATATGTGATCTGGGCACCATTGGTCCAAGACCTCTGGTGCGAGCGCGAGCGCACTGAAGGTGTGCGCCAGCGAGCACCCTTAGCTTATGCCACCATACTTCAGTCTTCAGAGACGGACTCGTAACCTGCCATGAGCCTGCGAACTGGCCCATAAAACAAGTGGAATGTTTGGACGCATTCCAAACTCCGCCCATAATTAGGGGAATGCGCGTCGGCCGCACCTGCTCCTTGTGTTCGACCACTTATTCTACCGAATCCAAAGATCTGTATGAGACCCAATCGCCTAATCCTGCAGGTCTTGTGAGATTTTGAAAACAGGCTCACACTCAAGACAGACCATCGTCCACGCGGGCTCGAATTGGGGCCAGTGCACCAGATATCCTGAGGACGAAGAGCCGCTGGAGTTCTGCCAAGTTCGAGTGAGAATAGCCTTTACTCACATAGATGAGAAGAATGCCCCTGGACAAGCATTGCCTTCTCACTTTATCGCCTATACTCGGGTGTAGATGAAAACACCACCGCTTTTCGAGTCGACGACTGCGAATTTGACCTCGAACTCCGACTCGGCGAATTCCCACGTCGCCCAACGCCAGTTGTCGCTGTGGTTTTCCAGGTTTCCTTCCTTGTTCCTTTCCCTCATTTTCATCGACAATTCGACCGCTCTCCCGTCCATTTGGGATCAACTCGAACCAAACCGCTCCGGGACGTATCTGAAATGGCCCACCAGACTTCCACGAAGGCCAATGACTGCTCGGAAGAGATATCGGTAGAGAGCACCCCGCTTCAAAAGATGGTGTATAGGCCGTGCAGAAGTCCTTTCAAAAGGTCTTCTCCCAAGATCTCGGGGATTGGTGGCACAGGGATATGGGATCTTCCCACCGAATTACTATCCCACATCTTCTCATTGCTTACCACCCCTGAGTCGTCACCAATGGCCTTGGTCCAGATATCACTAATAACCCATGTCTGCCGTCGTTGGAGGGAGGTAGCGTTGAATTGCCCATTCTTTTGGACTGTGGTTACCGACGAATACCCCCTGCCTTGGTTGAACACTGTGCTTGAAAGAGCAGGAATGGCACTGGTGTCCATCTCGTTCCGGCGACCTCCCATCGAACCCCCGCCGGACCACGTTCATGAAAAACTCCAACAGCTCGCTTTACAGACGGAACGACTGTCGACTGAAGGACCTCTCGACTTGTTTTATGGGCCAGTTCGCAGGCTCATGGCAGGTTACAAGTCCGTCTCTGAAGTATGGTGGCATAAGCTAAGGGTGCTCGCTGGCGCACACCTTCGGTGCGCTCGCGCTGTTACGCCTGAGGGTCATCTGACCCTTCAAAAATCGCGAATAACACACCGCCGGACTAATTTCGTCCGGTAAAACGTACATCTCGATAAGTGACTGAAAAGCCCTAAGGCACTGTGTTTTTCATAACCGGCGGTCACTTATTCTGTCGTATGAGTTGAGACCGAGCCCAGAGTCGTCAACTAAGTCGAACTCTAAGAACGACTCTGAAAGAGGTTGAACGTAACGCATCATTGATACCGTAGTAATTGACGGGTTAAGGATGTGTACTGGACCGATTGAAGATCGAACTACGGTAGTGAGAATTTGGCACGAAGTCCTCACCGCCGGGAGCAAGACTATCCATGGGAGTGCACGATCGACTTCAAATCGACTAGAAAGCTAGTAGCGACTTAACAAGAACGACGACACTTAGCACCAGCGCCTGTCAGTACCCTAAGAGGAAACACCCATAAGCGCCGCCGGACGGTCGGAATCAGCCATCAGTCGCGGAAAGCTAAAGGGGACCTCTACGGATTAGGTACGAGATCGATAAGATAGAAGCCGAGATAAGATAACCAGAACGACGGGACCAGGAACGGATCACACGAGATGTTCTATTCCGTTGGACAGGTGTCCTCTATAGGACAGATGAAACAGGGTACTAACAGTCCCATGACCTGTCAACAGAAAAGAAGTAGTACAGAGATAAGGGATAGAATGATGAATCCATACGCCGTCCTCCGGCGGTAGTTACAAAAGGGTATACCATCTGTTTCCGCGGAAGCATCTTCACGGAGTAACAATGGAGTTTCCCACAACACATTGGTTCCGTTCCGGCTGGACGGAACTACCAAAATTCACGCGCTTCAACAGCGCATCAATAGACGCCTATGGGCATACTCGGCACGACACCGCCGGGGCTTCTTTTGTCGCGTTTCTTTCCTATTTCGTATTTCTGATTCTCTCGTACCTCCGCTCCGTCTCTCTACTCTCATTTTCTGTATCATGCGCATGTATTCGGTTTGTTTTATAGTCTTTGCTAGTATTTGTTTTAAAGCTCGTAGTCAAACATTTTGTACCATATATATAGGCCCGCCTGGCAAAAGAATAAACAGATACCCCTTTGACTCGATTATATATCTTGTCCTGATCGACACAAGTCGTTCAGTAAAATAAAGAGGAAGTCTCCGAGTGTCGAGTGAACGAGTTAGCGAGTCAGAGTCGAGTTAGAATTTGCGCGTGAATACACGAGTCCGGTTTTTTTTTTAAAAAACGAGTCAACGAGTGATCCCGCCGGGACGAGTTACGTATTTTTCGAGTTCAAATTCGAGTTTCGAGTCTAAGTCGTGTTTAAATCGAATCACGAGTCGCACTTAGAGTTTCCCTTGTGTGTAGAGCACAACAAAAATACCAAACACCATCTGTATAAAGTCAAGAGCCTTTTCAAAGCTCTAAAGCCCTAAAAACCGTTCTATACGAGTCAGAGAGTCTTCTCCTCGTTAATTAGTCTACTACAACAACAACCCCATCGAACTTGCGTGCCAACGTACAGACAGTACTTAAAAGTCTTTAGATTCGGCCGTCGGTCTTCATCTTCGTGTCACTTGTCTCACAACAAGTTCCACTCGATTCGGGACCGCCGGTGGTCTTCTTGTTCTTCTTTGTGCTTTCTGTGCTCGCCAGCACATCAGCGCTCGCACCAGAATTGACCAATGGTGCCCGCCCAGATCACATATTTTGTTGAATATGACAAGAATATGATTCTATTATAATTTTCAGTTTAAGTAACATGAACATGAAATACCTAAATATATATTAACATACCCACTAGTAATTTAAACTAACAAGTTAATAACTTACAGCTATCCGACCGCAGACTACTGCCTGCTTATCATGAATATAAATAAATGGCTCGAGCACGAATTGAACCCCCAATCAGGCAAATTCCGGATGCTTTGATGACAAGTGTGATGCCATCAAAGTGGGGCTCCGAGACCGGCCAGCCGCAGTCGCAAATGGAAGAACTCCTATTTTGCCCCTATTCTAAACCCTTGGAATGATGTCATAGCTAGTGCTGGCAGAAAAGAACAAGCGACATTGAATTTCGTCATATGTCTGGCATTGGGGACACGTAGACTTGTTTAAAACTATCAACACTGTTTAAACAGTATTTAAAATCACGGCTCTAATAAAGTCTTTTGCTCGAAATAGCATGATATGCCCTAGTAAACTGACAACTATCAACACATCCATTAATGAAATTGAGGCAAGCACTCAAAATGAATGCTAAAATGAAGTCTCATTAAAGCACAATGCAGAGGCACCACAATGTTAGATGAATAAAGAAGTTAATAAAGAAGCCATCAAAACCTGTCCATCAAATCCTCGAAATTAAGGCTCAAATGAAGTCTCGTTTTCAAGGACCTCACGGCAAATGAAACCAATCAAAGCAATCAAAGGATCAAATGAACTCGTAAAATGAAAAGAACGACAGGCTGTCAAGCGCAAATGAAGGCTCAAATGAAGTCTCACTTTTCGAACCGCATAAGAACGACTCCTAACGGACTCGTAATCACAACCGACACCAGAAGCGCTGCAACCCTCTTCAAACCACTGACCAAGCCCGCCCCGCTCTTGCAAAGTTTGGCGGTGGTCCTCACACGCGACGCTGGCATCCATCCAAGCGTCGGCCTTCCCCTCGTCTACATCCCCACCAAGCTCTCTTCGGCGGCGCTGCACCAAAGCTCCGAATGCTTGATTTCATCAACACGGTACACCGTTCCTACTCCAAGCTTCTGGTGACCCTGGTCAGAATTGTCCAATTTCAAGTCCCTGACGACACTGTCTGTATCTTATCCCAGGATTGAGGGCGACGAGTTACGCTTCCCCACAGCCAAAGAGATTGTCGAAGCCTTATCCAACCTCCCATCTCTCACAGAAATTGCCATCTTCGCAGGCCACCTCATCGATTTCGAAGAAGAAATCATCCGGCCCCATCGTAAAACCACCATTAACGTACCTCATCTCACAATCCTGGAACTCCAGGCTTCATGCGACGCACTCGTCCTCATCCTTTCCCACTTCCGTCTTCCACCCTCGCTCAAAAACGTCTCCTTGGTGTGCATAGATTCGGACGAACGGGCTATCAGCGCCGTTTATGACGCCTTCGAGCCCTCTGGCCTCTGGTCCATCGTACAGTTACCTTTACCGAAGACAGGGAAGAAGAGCGCACTTGACCTGTTCCCGGGCAACCCACTAGCACCCCCAATCTCGGGCAAACTTCTTCTCCTGGGGTGCGTGTCCGGCATAAGCCCCCTCGTCAACTACTACGCCCTAGCCCTCGGGGTGAAGATCCGGCTTATCTTCACACCCCCTGAACTCGATTGGAATCCATCCTCCCTCATAGAGGCGGCGGCCTCCCCCTGGGCCTCGAGAGCGATCAAGAGCCTCATGCTGCTTGGCAGCCTTCCCGAGCGAGCAGTCCACTCCGTCTTGCACATCAGGCCCTTCGCATCATTGACACACCTTGCGATGGTCCGTGGCTTTGACAGGCTCTTCGAGTTCTTTGAGGAGGACCAGGTCACGTTTGAGGACTGGATCTCGGACTTTGGAGACTCGCCTGATTGTACGAGCAGTGACTCGGATTCGGAGATCGAGTATGTCATGCGCTCACAAGATTGCGACGATGAAGAGGGCGGTATACGAAACCCAAACGAGGCGAACGAGGGTGGAAAAGGGAGCGATAACTGCAGCTCTCGGAAGTCGTTGAACAGTGGGAACACGACATCAAAATCGCAAGCCAGTCCTCCAAGGCAGCTGTTGAATAGTGGGACACAAAAATGCAGCGATGGATGCAATCGAGAGCCCATTAATCAAACTGGGTCCGCCTCGAACAGCGACGGTGGAATGACCCACAAGCCCGACACTGGAGCTCCATTGAGCAAAGACGACCCGGAATCCGATGAGGAGTACTCTGGGGACGCGGAGGACAACGACGGCGACGGCGACAAATGCGAGTCAAGACCCAAACTAGATACTGCGACCTCGTCAAACACCATCAACGAGCCCCACACCGGCCGCGCAAATGCACAATCCACCTCAACAGGGTTATACACCCACATCGATCACGACGACGACGAAGATTACGATGAATTCGACAGTGACAACTCTATAATAACTCACGAGCATATGTGGCTTCCCAACATACGGTACTTGCAGATTGACGTGGAGCCTGGGTCTAGGGAAGCGGAAAGGGTTCACGAGATCAGGAGGTATCTGGAGGATCTTCAGCGACGACGGGCGGCGATTGAGAGGAAGTTTGAGTTTAGGATTAACCAGCCGCCTTTCTATGCGATGTACATGGGTGGCAGTGGAGGTGGTTCTAATGTATTTCTGTAGCTCTCGCATGTACTAGTCCTAGTGTACATATGTAGTACCTAATCATCAGTCCTGGCCAAGTATTGGACCTGCACCGAGGACGGATTGAACTTGCGACCAACTTGCGACTTGTTGATCGACTGCGCACGCTGTGATCCGTTCGAAGGCATTAAGATTGTCCCCTATGTATGTCTACGTCTGTCCAGCTCTCCTCCCCGGCCGTTGCTCATTCACTTTTGCATATTGCCTATGCAACTTTAAAAACCGCTAGTAGATCTCAATGGCATCCTACAGTCACCGATGCTGCTGCTGGTCGGGCTTCTTTCGTGAGGCTTCATCCCCATGCATTCCAAATTCATTCATCATGATAAGCTGATTGAATTGGTTGCAGATCTCTTATTGTTTCAACCCTGTATTGTTTTCATAACGAGATACTAAATCGAGGTGGCGCCTCCGCTCCAGCACTGACTATAAGGCCCCGACTTGATCATCATACCGGTCAATGCACACCGGGCTCTTCGAGTATCTGTGCGTGACAGCGTATCCCAGACTCTGACCTGGGCGCCCACCATGGCGACTAGCAGAATGCCCTATAGCAATAGCCAGCACCCACCTCGCTACTCGACGCTCTCTCTCAACTCTGTTGCGACGCTCCCGCTTTACCCCGCCGCGGATTATGACATTGCAGACTCTACCCTTGCATCCAGTGTTCAGGACTCGTACCGCCAACATGAGTACCACCTTTACCAGGATAGTCGCCCATGGGCTACCCTACGGCTCGTCAGCAAATCGACTTCTAAGTCCAACTGCCCTCGGTATATCACAGGCGATGATGTTACTGGGACTGTCGAACTTGACCTGCCGGAACCGCAGGCGATTTCGTCCGTGAAAGTCCTGGTATGTTTATTCTCATATCCACCATCTTCTGGCGCGAGCTCTGACTTCCTTTACTAGTTGAAAGGGCATCTGGTAACGAGCTCGTTATCGACTGATACATTCCAGTTTGTGGAGCATAGTGTTGTTGTCTGGGAAAAGGGACATGCCATGAATCAGGGCAAGGCTCCGGAGTCGACGAGCAATGGGAAGCTCCATGGTCGCTTTGAATGGCCATTCTCATTTCCGTTCCCTACGGAATACCCTCGACACGGCCCCTCAAAGTCAAAGGGCAGTTCATCTATTGAATCTACGACTGATACAATCCCAACACCCCAAACCCTTATCGAGAAAACTGCGAACATTGCAGTTGTATATGAGGTCGTTTTGAGGATTGTTTCCGGGGTGTTTCGAAGGAGGTACAAGTATGTACCCTGCACCATTGCGACCAAAGAGTTTGCACTCACTTGCTTAGACTTCACGTGGACGTTCTTTACGTCCCCGCCATCAGGTCTCTACCGATGTCGACGAGCCGCAAGGACGCCTACCTTCGGGGCGCACATCTACCCGGGCCAGTAGAGGATATGGAAGGTTGGACCGAGGTTCCTTCTGCCAGATTCACTTTGGTGCGAAGGCAAGTGGAAACCGGTGCTTCGGCTCGTTCAGGCCTTATTGCAGTGCCGGTTAACTGCCAGGTTAGTTCATCTGTCGATTACTAGATATGCAGTAGGTCCTAACACAACGTACAGCTTTACATCGCCCATCCAGTGAGCCCCCCAATCTTCATTTGGGCGATTGTACGACGCTGACTGCTGCTAGGCCGCATACGCAAAGGGGACCACTATACCCTGCTACCTTGTTTGCACATCCGACTCAGATGAGATTGATTTGGTGAAGGACTTCACGACCCGGCAGTGCCTCGCAATGGAGCTGCGACAGTCGTGGATATACACTCGGGATGCCCAGCATGCTCGCAGCGTGGACGTCCCCGAAATCACTCGTTCTGGTAAAGCGAATCCGAATGTAAATCAGGTGGTGGCTAGGGTGGGAGAGGCCGTTTGGTGGACCCCGGTCCATGGCGGGTACGCAGATAGGAGGAGGGGTGTCGAGACACGATTGGAGGGCGAAATACACTTGGAACGAGATCTGTTCCCATCCTGCGAGACTAGCTTTCTTTGTGTCCAGGTGTGTAGCATTGTCCGGGTGCAGTAGCCTATGCGTACTAACCTCGTTGGCTATGTTCGCACAGTACAACATTTCAATTGCACTTCGCGATTCGCAAGACTTCGTTGTCAAGAATATTGAGACTTCTGAGGGCGTCTCGTCTTCAACAGCGACGTCCAATAGGACGTGCTTAGGAACTTATCCTGTCAAGATAACGACCCTTGGTCATATGGACGACCCCCTTCCTACTTGCTTCACCCCACGGCATGCAGGACGCAGGTCTCGAAAAGGATACGAACAAATTTCAGATGTCCATTTCCTGAGCGCTTCTCCCCTTGATGTTCGCTGATTTTTGGCCTCTTTCAATCTTGTGTTGTTCGACCTGTATTGGTTTTTCTGGCTATATCCAAAACACTGTTTCACGGCCTTAGAAACAGTAACTATAACCCATGTTGTCAGTAAACATACAATGTTTCATGTCTCATTCTGCCTTTCGTTTGGGCGACAGTCGCTGGCCCACCTCTTCTCTTGGCTCATTTTGGATCGTTGCTACCTTCTAGGTAAGTTCTTGTTTGCGACTCCATATGGCCACGGAGCTGAGATGCAAAGTACATTCCACTTCAGGGAGTAGCACTCGTAGGTATGTGAACCAACTTCCCAGCACCTGACCATCGATCGCATGGGCATACATTTTGATAACGGGCCGACCAACGAAGGGTACGACTTCTGTTTTTCCGTTATGTCCTTCAACAATGATTAGAAGGCCAGTTACCAACTCGGGTCAGAAGTGTTGGCATCGTGACAACTGAGCGCCAACTTCGAACCTGATTCGAACCCAGCGACAGTGGCGCCCGAACAATTATATTCTCACTTTTGAACGTGAAGAGAGAATTGTTCGGTATTCTCTTCATCTTTGCGACCAATTTTGTCAACCACCACCTGGGTCAGTGACTTCTTTCATCTCGCGACTACATAGGACCGTCGACCTCGCTTGTTATCTCTGTGTTGGAAGCACAAGGACGGTGACATATCAACATCATCTGCCCCGGTACCCTCATGGTCCTTTCGTCTATGCCAATACACCCTCTTCCTCTGGTCATTCTTAACACCCGGCTCCAAATATCCCTGGACACATATAAGGGAGGGTCCTACGACTACTTTTGAGGTAAGGTTACACGCCTTCTCGATTCACTATGGTCTTTGAACATCTCCTCGTCCTCTTCTCCTTCCTTCTCGCAGTCTCCGCCTTTCCATTTGACAAACGGGCGAACGATCTCGAGGTCGTCCTGACCACACAGACCTCGCGAGTCGCGTCCATTGAGGACATCGAGATTACGGCTGCCGTCACCAATAACGGCGCCGAGACCCTCAAGCTGCTCAAGTATGCTACGATTTTAGATGGGGACTTGCCCACCAGCTCGTTCACGATCACCAAGGATCGGCGTCCTGTTCCTTTCCTTGGTGTGAAGGTTGGTATAATTACCTTTGTCTATGGCTCGAGTCCTGACTATGTCCATTCTGATAGCTGTCGATTTCATTGTCGGACCTCGATGATTCTGCGTTCGTCACGATTGGCGCTGGGGAAACTGTCACAATTGTTCATTCCGGTCGTAGGTCACCATTCCCTCTTCAAGTTGAATTTACTCTTACCTTAAAGCTATAGTCGCTGCACTCTATGATTTTGCCTCCGTTGGAACCGGCTCCTTCTCGTTCGAGCCTCGTATCAACATCGTCAAGGCAGACGAAGACGATGTCAGGGTCTCTTCCTTCTCTGATCTCACAGTTGGAACTAGCTCCGTCACTGTGGATGTCACCGACGACGTTGCTCGACGGGTTCTCGGTGGATTGAATTTGGTCGAAAAGCGAGCAAGGAACGTGTGTACCAACGCCTCTAGGCGTAGCTTCATTGATGCGAGGCAGGTTTAGCTCGCGAATTCTTTCACGGATATCAATTAACCGCTGACTATCATTCACAGCGTGTCCGAGTCGAGGACCCTTGCCACTGCCGCCTCCTCTTATGTCAACAGCCGAGGCACCAGCGACTCCTTGTATGTAGCATACTGGGGCACCAATGCTGCTTCCAGGGTCACCAGTGTGTTCAACGCTGTGGCCAATGAAAATTCAAGTTCCCGGACGTAAGCTCATTCTATACTATAGTAGTGTCGTGGCGCAGCTCTGATTTTACACCAAGTCTGGACTGCGTTGACCAATATGGCGTCTGTGGAGGAGGAACAATCGCATATACCGTCATCGCGACAACGAACGTAAGTGGTGTTCGCTTTTGCCATGTACTGCTGGACTGTAATCCCGGCTGAATGGGTTTCATTTTATAGATCTACTACTGTTCCATTTTCTTCAACCAAGTCTCCATTTCTCAGCTCTGCGGTGGAACGACTGTCGCCGCCCGCAACGTTCGCGGAGGGACAACTTTGCATGAGGTGTGAATTTCGAGTGACTTCATGCAGCTCTTGGCTGACTTGGACCTTTTCCTCTAGTTGACCCATGCCGTTGCGCGTACAGACGACGTTGCTTATGGGTGCGCTGCTGACCAGAGGCTGTCAACTTCGCAGAAGATTATCAACGCAGATAACTACAATGTGAGTATCCATCAATCCCTTTATACTGACGCGCTACCGACCCTGATTGCGATGTTACAGTGCTTCTCGACTCAGGTCTACGCCAATACCAGGTGCTGAGAGCTTGGTACAGTCTCAAGGTCAGAGCAACTTACGATGAGACTATGCGAGGCATTTCTGTGGGGAGGGGCTTGTACGTCACTTCATGCTGTACGAAGGGCGCTCTCATCTGTTTCCGTGGAGTTAGTACAATCTACGAATTGTCTGATCAGTTTGGCGAAGCTAAAGCATCTCCGAGTCGGGCAATGTTCCTTCCTCCGCAAGCCTCTCTCGGGTGTGCGTCTCTCCTCTGTGCTCACTTCAAAGCTTTAACATGGAGTGGGGTCCCGGGAATATGCAAGAGTCGTTTGGGTTCTTAAGTCGCGAGTCCGCCGCGTATGAGGATCCATTCAAGCCACCAGGGCACCTGGTCTCAAACTGTCACTTAGGATGGAGATTGACCAGACAAGGCTGTCACCTATAATCATTGGCACGATGCCTTCTCCATGACGCCTGTTCGAACATGTCAAACAAGCAACACTCGCGGAGTATTAAAAGAAGGATCCACAATACCCTTCCTGCACCATAAGCCCGATCCTACTCCCACTCCAGCGACAGCACAACGAAAGGAATCCACAATCACATATCCTAAACGACGAAACAAGTAACAGTAATCCCACTCGAGTACTAAACTAAACACCGAAAATAAGATAAGGCAATAAAAAGGGGGGATACAAAATCCAAATTACAAACAAAACATAAAGATGATAACTTATACGCAATCCGATTGTGTAGCGGTTTCCAGAAAATGTGCAATGTTACAAATGAGAAAATAGGAACTCAAATGCGAAGTGAGGTGACAAACAACATGATGGATATGCAGAAGGTGATGGGGGAGGTATTATTTCTAAAACAGCAACCGCTGGAAGGGGTCGAAGCAATTCGGAATGTCACAGCGATGTGAAGAGTGAAAAGGGATCGAAGACATTTGGAAGAAGGGACGGAAGGCGGTATAAGGGTAAGGTCATTTGAAAGGCTTTCGTGACAGCCAAGGAAGGTACAAAAGGCCTGCCAATAGAGTTCCCAGCGGAAGGAAGAAGAGGCTGGGTGTTCCTGGATTTGGTAACAATGATCATCTCTTCACCCGGTAATGGGATCACATCGAAGAGACGTCAGGGCTAGGTTCAGGGAAACCAAGCCAAGCCTAAATAGGACAGTGAAGTGTTGATTAGGCGTGGTCGAAGTATGATCGCCGCTGGAAGGTGGTCGTTCGTCCCGCGCGTGCGTAGCAGTTGATTGTCAGACGGGGGAGCTTGGCTTCTTAGACTTCTGTCTTCCCCTCGAACCACGCCCGCATAGCACCAGCCACCCGGTCAGGGTGACTGAGCGTGACATCGTGACCGGCCCCTTCCACCTGGACAAGTTTGGACCGTCGCCTTGTCTCTTTAGGCAACAGTTGCAGTATTTGGGGAGAGTACTTCGGGTCCACTGTCGTGTCCATTGTGCCCTAAATGAACAAATGAACAATCTTATCTGTGGACGGGGAGGTGGAAGCTTACGTGTATCAATAAGACCTTACGTCCTTCAAAGCCTTTACTCGAGAAAGCTTCTTTCTGACCTCGAATTGGTCCGTCCCGCAAGGAACTCGAAAGGGCCGCATTATATCCAGGGAGATGTGCTGATTGGAGACGGACTATTTCAACAGCTGCCTGAACAGAATCTCGACCCCTTTGGCGCGCTTTCGTCTCCATCTCCGATTCCAGATCCATCACCGGGTCGACGGGTAGGTTGGAGCTTGTTTGATTGGCAAGTCGCTGGAGATAATGCTACATTGGGAGAGCGATTAACATAAGTAACGAAGCTGACTTGGGAAGAACACATACTCGGACAGGGCCACTCGAAGCCAGGGTCTGGACAAGAGGAGAAGACATGAATTTAGCCGTGCGTGAGATATCCGTGGACTGTAATAGTCCATGTAAATCAGTGTTCCCGAAACTTGAGAACTGGGCTTCCACCCACCTCCATGATACCCGCAGAAGCAACGAGAACTATATTCTCATCCACGAGATTAGGGAATTGGGAAGTAAAAGTAGCTGCTATCCCACCACCCTTGAAATGGCATTAGCTGATCCTCTTTCGAACGACCGCGCTGGCACCTACCATCGAAACCCCGCAGACGATAGCCTTTTCCCAGTGGATATGCTGCATTAGAAGGGCAAGCTGGACCGTGTATAGCGTAGGATCATAGGTAATTTGTGGTGCGTCGGAATAACCTCTGCCATACAGATCTGTTTATAACTCCTATGAGGATAATTCGCGGAAGAAGTTCACCTGGGACGGACGTACCATACAGGAGAACGTGATATCCATTAGATGCTAGAGATGGCGCTACGTCTTTCCAGATTATGGACGGAATGGAAAGCCCATGAATAAGCACGACCTATAATTAGCCCACTGTCAGCGGAGAATAGTGGGATCGCTAGGCGTTTCCACCCACCTTCTTCCCATTCTCAGGCCCCAATAGCCAGTACCGCACCTAGAATACCCGGTCAGCGCCCTTATCTGGTGCGCAGCATGCACTGGGCCCACAGTAGGCCTGAGGACACGTCGGAAGCAAGACTCACCCGACCATAAGGGAGATCAGCATAAGCACCGCCCGGGTAGATATCCTCAGGGTAAATCGACCACGTCTTCGACGTCGGTGGCAAGCTCGCCAACGACGAATGTACGTGTATCGGCGCTGGGGGCTTTGGAAAGGCAGCCATGAAATACGCCGCCAACAGCAATGGCGGCAGAATCAACAATGAGAGCGTGAAACACTGAAAGGGCGAGTGGCGAGCCATTTTGCTGGTATTTTCAGAGTTTTACAAAGAGTGACTTGAGCCCGTTATCGAGCACGTCGTCGCCTGCGTCGAGAGCCCTTTTGCTGAACGCCGTTGTGGTCGGGTGCGGTCGTGGTGGTCGTGGTTAGAGAAAGGTCGTGGATGACGAGCCGAGGACCGGATTTGATGACGCTCTGGTCCCCTGCCACATGTTCCACAAACAAGATGGGCATCGGGGGAGATAAGATAAGATCTACCAAACAAGGCAAGATCTCCTGCGCTTATTAGTCGCTTAGGCGAATATTAAATCGTCTGCAGGCGCTTGTTGACTTGGATACCTATTTAAAGCAACCTGAGCCCCTTTACAAATACGTTTCATATCAGGTACGTTGTCGCCGCTTTCCCTGACCGAACGGAAATCCCGCCACATTTTAGGAACGTGCCGCGTTTGTATTGGGACGCTCGTAACCTAAACCAGGACAACAAGTAGTATTGCTGGACATTTTGACTTCCGATTCACTCTTCCAGTAGCTCACTCCTTCTCAGATTTCTAGGAAGGATGTGGACACCAACTATTTGGCGAGCATAATTGCATTCTCCAACAAGTTCCGCAGGGCCTTAGCGGCCCATTCTCAGTGGAGCTGAAGCGGGTCGCATGCAGCGAGGCTCAACCTACAGTCGTCAACGCCAACGACACGGGCAGTGCACCTCTCACAAGGACAGTAGGGATGTGACGCTAATCTTTCATGTTGGATTGTACATATTACAACAGTTCGAGATTGAATGGTACAGCTACAAGGAAAAGAGTTCGGTTAGCATCTCGATAGATGGCAGCAGAGATAAGAAAGCAAAAAAGGAGGATCAGACAATAAATAATGATTCCGGTTAGACGTTTATCCTCAGATACCGCGAGGCATCAGTAGAGGGAGTCTGTTTGACATCCGGGCGAGAAAAGAACTTGAGAGAATGAAAACGAGTGCTCACCTTATCGGTTCTTGAAGTAATCAAGGAGGACATGGAGACCCTCGCTCTCAACGCCATACTCCTTAACAACGACACAGCTGCATCCAACAACTTTTCGGGGGTTGCCTTCACGGTCAAGCTTGCAAAGGCCGGCCCAGGTACCGAGGACCTTGGCGTCTCCGACCTTGATGAGGTTGATTTTGTGCTCAGCGCAGAGGGCTTCAATGAGCTTGATGTACTCGGCCTCGGTGCAGGTCTCGACGAGGACGCACAGGTGAGCCTGGCGCTTGTCGAGTGCCTTGGCACACTCGCGGAGACCACGAGCGAGACCGTCGTGAACGAGGGCGTTCTTCAAAACTTGCTGAAATCAAATTCAGATTCTGTGATAAAAAGATGAAGATATGAGTCGATCTCTTACTTGAAGGGCTTCCTCGACAGAGAGCTTTCCCTTGGGGGCGTCGGTGGTGACCTCGACCTCCGGGGCGTCAACTTGAATGTCATCTCCAGCGTCGGACATCCTAACAAGTCCAGATAAGCAAAGATCTCGGTTTTTCCGCCAAAGTACCCACTTTTCTGCTATGTGGATTGAAAAGTCTTGAGGTCGATGTCTTCGTCCGCCTTCGTTGATGTGAGGAAAAATTAAGGTTTAGGTTCCCCCCCAGCTTTATGCTCATTACAATCTCCGACTCAATCTCTCGGCGATGTCCGAAGGCCCGTCGTCGCTGTCCGACGCGTCGAGCACGCGTCATTCCTGATCGCTCCACATCGCGCAAGCCGTTCAATTCAACCATGGTACGTCGAGCAGACCTATCTCAACGACATCTCTGACAATGAGCAGAGTTTAGCTTTCCTACACGCACACGATTGCTCAGAACGTACATGCCGTCATTGTTGAATATCAAGCTCGAAACGACGCTCATGACATCGTCTAGCGCACTCTGAAGCCGTCTGGGACGTTGCTTGGACTTCAGCGGACACAACTGTGTCTATCTCAGCCGATGGTTCTGCCAAACAATGGGCTTCAATCTCTGGGCAACCACAATCACCCAATGCTCAGTTCCCCCAACCGCATACACTGGCCCTAGTCTCGTTATCCGTTTCTCCTGACGGGACGCTAGCTCTGTACAACAGTATAGAGGGCCTGACCAGCCTGTGGGATTTGGAGAGCGGTCAAGTCGTAGCCAGGCATGAAAGCTATCAACGAAGCACCGAGGATGCAGAACCAGGTATGTCCGTTTGCTTCTCCAAGTTTCCCAGCTGATCGCCGTTGACAGCATGGTCTGTATCGCTAAACCCCAACAAGGAGACATACGCCTGCTCGGGAGCATCTGGGAATGTCACGATTCGCTCTGCCAAAACTGATAACTTCGGCGAACGGCTTACATCGTTCTCTTCCGGACGCAACAAGTTTGGAATGGCCTGCGCCCACGTAAAGTGTCCTTCCATTCGCACTGATACACAAGGCTAACACCCGTTTAGAGCCCAGATGGGAGCAGAGTTGCTTTAGCGTCCGAAACTGGGCAAATCTTCATATTTGATCTCGTATCTGGCTCCCTTTCGACAACATACACCTCCCACGCAATGTCCGTTAGGTCTATTGCGTGGTCTCCTGACTCTAGTGTTCGTATTCGCTTCACTGCAATTGGCAGCGCAGCTAATCGTACCAACTCCCGAATAGCTTCTTATCAGTGCTTCAGAAGACAAGAGACTTGTGCTTCATGACGTGCGAGCATCTCCAGGCGGCATCGTAGCCTCGTTCACAGGACATAGCTCCTGGGTCCTGAGCACGGATATTTCTCCTGATTCGCGTCTTGCGCTCTCAGGGTATGTGGAGCTCTTCTACGCTCATCAGCTGTCTACTGAACGGACACGACAGATCCGCCGATAAAACTATCAAAGTCTGGGACATTGCCGCTCGAACGGCAGTCTCGACTATTCAGGACACGGGAGAGGTCTGGAGTGTGTCATGGCGGCCCAAACCTCCTGCCGTTGGCACAGTGGGAGCGTTTGTCAGCGGCGGAGAGGATGGAACTGTCAAATGGTGGCGAGGTGCTGGTGCTGGAAGTTCATAAGGGTTCACCTTCACTTTACGTCTATCCCTCCCGCTCTTCAATTTTCAGTCTCAACTTTGCCGATCATAAGGTGTGATTCGTCTATGTGCTTACCCTTTCTAGAATGCTAAATATGATGAGCCAGTGACCCGACCCAATCGCATGTACATATCTTTTTCGATTTCCGCCATGAAATAATATGAGGTTGTGACGTCGAGGTCAAACGCTATCGCAATCGTTGAGAGGTATTGCACGGCACATCGGCGCTTCGCTGATACTGCAAGCTTGCTTGGCGCCCAATTCATGACCGTAAACCCAAGTACATCCCGTAAAGTCGATGATGCATCGCGGACCTTTCCCAAGAGTTTCTTCGTAGGTTCCCAAACGCGCTATGGCCGCGTTTCTTTCGTATCGAAGGAGGACGGTTAAGCATTAATCCTTCCTCAACTTCCCCGTCTCTTCTCCGTGTAATCAAACCTTGCCGCTCCCCGCTGACTTCTATCCATTATAGCGAGTCTCTCCACCAGGGAAGGATGCGTAATGGAAACCTAGGCTCCGACCCGTCTCGATTGACCAGGGACTCATTTATTGGTCTACTTGGCTTACTTACAAGAGTCGAAGCTCCGTTCCGCCCTATTTAGGTGTGTCACTGTCATTTTCCGAAGATTAAGTCCGGAGGTAAAATTGGCCCAACAATCCGTCTCAACATCAACCAGCTATCTTCCTCTCGGTCACAATACATATCACCTTCATCTCAGTTCCGTCCAGGTGGCTCATCGATCCTAAAACCTTGTCTGTGGAGGTAACGAACTAAAGCCAACTTGGCCTTTGCATGGTGCTGCGTGCCTTGGGCCCATCCATGACGTTACAGCGCATGGCACATTGCCACAGGCAGCCATGTCAACACTCAATACACTCTCGAGCAGGCGCCAGGAGGTAGTGATCGCAAACGTTGATACCAGCAACGTACAATAACATAACATTAGGTCGCGTGGTGGCTAGCTAGTAATAATCGATGCAGATTCCCCGCGCTGGGTTGTCCCTGCCCTTTGGTCTCGCCGTAATGGGGTCGTTGGAACTCAGCGAGAGCAAGGTGTGAGCGGAGGGGTTTACTCGCCGATTTCATTACTAGCTTGTTGAGTACCATGAGGGGGGAGGAAGACAATCCGGGGGTCGCAAACGATGTCCGACTGGGAGCACAACTTGGGAAGATTGAATAGAATAGGGCTGAGAGTGATAAGTGACAGCGTTCCGTGCGGGGTTGATTGAGGCGTGATGGGATTAATTTCCGGTTGGCCGTAGTGTTGGTCAGAAGATGTCGTTTGGGAAAAAAGAACAATGGATGGATAGATGGATGGATCATGCCACACGAAAGAGAGCGCAAAGTGCCGTTTGAATGGGAGGCGTCGAAAACGTGTCTGTCAAAAACACGTATCGCCGTACCATCGATAGATGGTATGGTAGGTTGAGGTGACTCGAACTGTCGCGGTGTCCGCGGGTGTGTGTGCGAGGGCCCGGGGATATGAGACCCTCAGGTGAGCAGAGTCGGTGGTTGAATAGTGATTGGTGAAATGGGTGCATTAGGTGGGCGCACGGAACAGGCTTCTCTTCGTCATACATGTAGGTCCTCCATCATCGCTTCCAGCTCTCCGTTTAGCCTACTGACGACCGACTCGAGGGGCATTACAACTCCGATGAGCCAGCCCAAAGCAGGGATGTTGTCGCGAGCTGAACGTTGAATGAGATTAGTACAAAGCTAATACGCAGGCTTCACGAGTGAGGCACTTACCTCTGTGTCTCTCGTACAGCGCCTTGATCTGTTCGAGCTGCTGCTCAGTGAAAGGGAAAGCTTCCCCGTTCCTCAACCGGATTTGGGCTGTGAAGAAGAGGTGTCAGTCTGAATAATCAGTGCGCCAGAATCCAGGGACCAGAACTGACCCTGGTGAACGGCGGTGACGAATTCTTCCTCCGCGCCGGGGGGTAGGTGTCGGTGATGAGAAGGATATTCAGCGACATGGGACCAAAAGTGCTGCTTGGGTCTCACGACGATACGCCCTGATCGTCAAACCGAATAAGCAAAAGAGGCTACAGACAGGACGAGGATGTGGGGGCCGTATCTCACGCACCTGCACGTTCGTTCCACTCGTACGCTTGCCTTGCTCGCCTCGAGTACAGCCCAATAATCGCGGTGGCGTCGTTGACGTCGCAGACGGTCATCTCGAGGTCATCTGGGAGGCGCTGATAATTAGGATCGTCGGATAGCAGTTCGAGGTGATCTTCGCGAGCATCTAGGACATATTGCAAAATTTGTGGCCGTCGAATGTTGTCCGGAGTGGTCAAGCGCAGCTGACTATTCCGGTAGTAAACATCTCCATTCGGGTGGACGTATTGATTCCAGCCCGGTGGAAGTGGAAGACTGAGGAATAAAAAAAAAATGAGCGGCAGTGAAAATGGTATCAAGCCAAATAAAACCCACTTCGTCGACTGGGAGGTACTGTCTGGGACATGGTATCGAACTGTTTCGATAAAATTGAGAGTGCTGTCCGACATGTCGTAGGAAGGTGGGGTGCCAGTGGTGCCAGTGCGGGTCATGCTGGGAAGGGAAGCGTGAAGAAGTAGGGGTGGTTGGACAGAGTGGGTTCTGGCTGGAAGAGAAAGTGTTTATAACAGTCCAGTGACCGGAGCAAGATACATCTACCGGAGTACGTATTAATTAAGTGAAGTGGGGATCATGGTGTTGCAAGAAAAGCGAAAAGATGCAGCGGTGCATGAAGATTGGGATCAGGGAAAGGAGATATACCAGGCTAATCTCAGAAAGGATGCATATGTCGAAGTGAAAGATTCTGAGTAAAGAACTACGATCGAAGTTCATACCGTCCGTAAGTTACGGCATGGTATAAACCACATAAACCACTTCCAAGGTCCACACTTACTATTTCAGTGACTGGTCACATAGGGAGTGGAAGAACCCATGTCAATGCGTCTGTACACATCGATGACGCAGGCCTTGATATCGAGCTATTCTTGAAGTCGTAAATGAAAGGGCCAAACGCCTCGAGGGCGTCGCCACTGAGAACTAGATGGATCAGCCACGTTCAGAACGGTGAGTAAGTCGCGAGGATCAAAGTATGAAGCGAGATTTACTATGATAGTCATACACATACAATACACCCAACGGATTAGATTTACGATTAATAGATGGACTATAAGGATATCAGCATACACGCCGAGATTCCAATAGACCAATAGACGGATCCAAGAAACCGGGACGTGGGGCCACCAAGAACGGACCGATAATCCACATGCTTGCCAAGAAGCGCACGCCTGTCAAACGAGGATCCCTGGCTCGGCTCTGCTTCTGATCGCAAGTCTCCCCCGCTTGTTGGCTCTGACGTCGCGAGCGGTGGTCGATTAACAATGCGGGGAGTACTGTTCCTGAATTCGAATGAAACAATACTATTGCGTCGGAGTTGGTCTTGGCCCAACTCGTGTGATTAGCGGTGGATGCGGGGAAGAGAGGTGGGATGGTAGTGGGTGCTTGTAATCATAGGTTTGGCTTCCGACCCCAACTGCATGGATGCGGGATGCGAACGCTTGACAGAGCGAAACAACTTTCCAAGGCCATTGTTACATAGAACCAGGAACTTGACCAGACGCCCCAAATACCAGGATTAAACCACACAACCGATCACGGCAGTCACGGGAAAGACGGAAAATGGCGCCGTTTCACAGCAGGTGACCAGAGGAGAGGACCAAATGTGTGCCTCTCTTTCTCCCCGATTGTGGAATCTCGGCGCAAGAACAAAGTTTCCGTATCGCAAGAATAGACGCGGGCGTGTCAGAGACAAGGGGCCTCGAAGACCTGTCGAAAGAGAAAAGAAACACAGTCAGCCACACACACGCCTAAAAGGCATATCACGGTCACAGCATACTCACAAATTAGGCACCGGGGATAAGTTCGGATGGTCGAAATACAGCTTCAGGAGGTTCGTCAGATTCATCTTCAATCTCCCCTTCGGCATCTGCGTCTTCTCCCAGGGAATCGATAGCGGCGAGGGACCGTGAAAGTTCTGTGGAGGAGTAAGAGATTTGTGGCCAAGTTCCCTCCACTCCATCCATGTCCTCGTCTTCCCCTTCGGCATCCCTGTCTTCATCGTCATCTTCAGCCTCCGCATCCATATCAGAATCATAAGTCGCATCCTCATGGGTCGGAGTGGCAAGTTGGTCACGTCCCACATTCGGTGTCGATACCACTTCGGAAGCACTGGTGTTTAATGAAAGATCGGCGGGATTTGAACTTCGATGCGACGAAGATATGATTAATTCGGAAGTCGAAGGAGCTGGAGCAGAAGCATTCTGGACTCTGGGAACATTAGTTATTCCACCCGTGGGGCCAGATTGAGACGGTGACGATGAGCGGAGAGGTCGAGCAGTCGAGTCACACTGCGCAGGAACGGGCATCTTCTCAGCCATACTAGTGGGCCGATGGCGATCTTCTTTGACGGGGGTTTCCGATCCTATGTCCATCCTGATCAGGTTGCCGACCTCCTCTTCTTCTTTGTCTTGAACACCGCTCGCATCACAGTCCATGGAGGGACCGGGCAGGTGGCCTGCAGTGACAGCTGATGACGCCACCCCAGTTGCTTTGTTGTCTGAAAGAGAGCTCTGACCTGCCTCGACCACCTCCTTCACACTCTGGGTTGAGCTCGGAACGACGTCACCAGTCACACTGGCCACCACTGGGCTGACGTCCATATCGATGAAGTCTACCCGCGAAACTCCCGTACTCCCTTCATCTTCTCCGACCAGGTCTATAGACGCCTCAGCAACTGACAGCTCGACAGAGGGTTTTGCCGAACTATCACTACCGCTGACGTCTTCCACCTCCGTCTGCATCGATAGAGAACCGTCTCCCCTAGACCCTTCATCTTCATCTTCACCCGCCACTACGTCGGTTTCATTAGCCTCGGTAGGTGCCGTTTTAGAACCAACAACGGCCGCTGTAAAGCTTGAGCCATCCTTATCGATGTCGTTCGCATGTGTGGCGGCGGCGCTTTCATCTGCATCTGCATCTAATACGTCTGCATCGACATTGACCACATCTGTCACCACCTCCCTGGAATCCATTTCAGACCCCGCATCGGGTTCGACGGGCTGGAGCTGATGCAGTGGAGAAGACTGAGTGTCGGGATGCGGGGAAGGACGAGGATCGACAGTGTCTCCATCGTCGTTACCGTTGTCGCCACCATTGCCGTCGCTCGCTGGTGGGGGAGCTATGATCCTCGGCCCATCGGACGGAGCAGTCGGAACAGCTGCTTTCGCTTTGGATCCGGCTGAAGCGGTACTCGCTTTGCTCGGCCGACCTCGTCCTCTCTTCACTGGTACTTCATCGCCCACTGCTTTCTTCCCTTTCGCCTTGGAGCTGGTCGATGTTGAAGCTGCCTGGCTTGACGATGCTGTTACGCTGGCTGACGCTGTCAAAGGAATTGTGCGGTCGCGAGGGGGCGCCCTCTTGCGTTTCCCGCTAACGGTACTAGGTGTCTCTTCTTTCTCCTTGGGGTTGATGGCTGGTGAACTCCTCGTAGTCCGACTGGACGCAACCTTGATCTTGGCAGTGGCGGTTTCCTTCTTGGCTTTAGGCGGCCTACCACGTCTCTTTGGCACTACAACTGATACACTCTCCACCGGTTTCTCCTCTTCCTGCTCCTCCTTCTGCTCCTCTTCTTCTTCTTCACCCTCCTCTTCCACGTCCTTCATCTCAACATCCTCCGTCTCTTCTACCTCTTCTTCCCCCTCCTCCTCCGGCTGCACCGCCTCCTTCTCTTTACCCTTCCCCCTCCCGCTCCTCCTCCTCCCAACCGAAGCACTCGCCCCCGCCCCCGCCTTCCCATTAACAGACCCTCCCTTCCCAGCCTTGCCCCCACCCCTCCTGTTAGCCATCGGCACAGCCGCCTGCGCCTGATCAGCCAACACATCCAACGCGCTCGGCGTCCTCCCCACCGCAGTCCCATCACCAGAACTAGAACCAGCCTTCTGACTGGCCAAAGCGGCGCTCTTCCTCCGTTTAGGCGCTGGACTCTCAGCCTGCTCGATATCAGCAGCCTTACGTCTCCTCCCAGGCCCACTCTTTTCCTTCACCACCACACCATTCCCATTGGTGTTGGCATTGGCATTCCCGTTGGCGTTACCATTGCTGCTAGCACCACCCTCCTGCATACCCAACGCCGCCGTAACCAACGAATCAAGCGGAGTCTGCTTTGTATGCGGTTGAGGATGCTGTTGTTGGGGCGTGACAACGTTCGGGAGCGAAGCAGGCTGCTGTTGGGGTGTACGATATGGTTGTTGAGAGTTGGTTCCACCACCACCCGCCTCACTGCCAGCTCGATCCCGCCCCAAGTTCGTACACCGCTGATCCGAGTTTGTCGTCAAGGAGGATGAGGACGAGGCGTGTTGTTGCTGGCGGCTAGCGGGACCCTGGTCATTAGCACTACTATTCGGTCCTCCAGGCGGACGGACGAACACAAAGGTTGATTGGCGATAAGGGTGTAGCTGCTGTCCGCCGTGCTGGTTCGCAGACGTACTCCCCTTCCTCGGCCGCGCGGACGACGTGGACGCTTCCCCTCCTTGACTCGACGGCCCAGACCCCGAAGCCTGAAGCTGAGTTGCACTCGCAATAGATCGAAAGTACGGCGCAGCCCCTGTCCCTGCAGCACCACCACCACTACGGGACCCTCCCACTCGATCACCGTTGGAATCTTTGCCCGTCCTCGAGGCTGACGCGTTACCGTCATCCAAGGCAGCCGAAGACGACGATTGCTGCTGCTGGTCGCGGTCCTTCACTCCCTTATCGGGGTTCTGCAATATCCCAGCAACATACGCAGCGCGTTCCCTACCGATCTTCCGTGAAGCAAGGAGGATGTGCTCGGTTCGCGCGTCTGCAGTCAGGCCTTGGCTCAATGCTGAACGGCGGCGTGGTTTCATGGTGGAGGTGGGGCCTAGACCGTTTAGTGGGATGGTAGTTGCACTAGAGTTAGCGGGGGCTTTACTCGGTTTGGGCGTGGATGACGACGAGGAGGGTGCTGGAGAGGACAGGCCTGAACTGGGAGCGGCTCCCGTAGTGATAGCCTGTATCCGGGCATTATGAATTGTGTAATTGAGATATGGGTTGATCGCCTTTGCGGGGGCATTTGTTGCTGCCGCGATAGGTGCAGTCGGCGTTGTCGTGGTAGGCGATGGGTGGGGTTGGGGAGTAGTGAAATAATATGGATACAGATAGGGATAAGGTTGGCGATAGAGTTCAGCTGCTGAAGTCGGAGTTGGCATAGATTGTGGTTGTGTTGGAGTAGGATTCATGGATGGACCAGTAGTAGCTGGTTGTGGCATAGGGAAGGCTGGCCGTAGTTGGGGTAGCGGCGTAGATATAAGAGATGAAGCCAGCAGATGTGTTTGGGGATGTAGATTCGTTGTGGTTAGTGTCGGTTCACCTTCTGCCTGGACATCTTCCATGGGCTCCGACCCCTGTTTCCGTTTCTTTCCTTTGCCTGTTTGAGGACATTGAGGTCCTGGTAATGAGACAGAATTCGAGGCGACCATACCAATAGGCTGCTTAGTAGTTGTCGATGAAGTATTGGCAGAGGGTGTCAGGGTAGCCGGGAACGTTGGCATGAGAAGCAGCGGCTTCAACTTCAAGACTTCAGCCTCAAGAGCGTTTGCTCGGACATAGGTTTCCTGGAGCTGAAGGAATATTAGATAGAGCTGTGCTGTCATGGAGAATATGCATACCCTCTCCCGCAGGATACGATTGTCGGCCTCAAGTATGGAACATTTCCTCACCAATTCCTGAGGACAACATTAGACGGAAAGGGGCAACGCGATCACTTGAAGCTGACCTCGTTGGGAGCGATGCCCACTCCAGGCCTATTCCGTTGTCTGATAAGCGCTTCTGCCATCCGTTCGAATCCGTCTCGCTCGCTTTCCATTCTCAGCCTTTCTTCTTGAAGTTGCGATGCCCAAAGCTCGTTTTGAGCCTGTAAACTCGCAATCATCTCGGCTTGATTGGCTAATTGCGAGGGAGATATGCGGGGCGGGCGAATTAAGGTTAGGACCTAACAGGTAAATTGTTCAAGCACAGAATAATCAATCAAGTATCCCAATGGACGTACCATATCCAGCAACTCTCCTTCCCGTGAATTATGGTCCGCATCATTCACTGGTTTTGTCCCATCGTCGCGTGTTAAACCCATCTCGAGCAACCGTTTCTTCATGTAGGCTATGTCGGCATCGGTAGCTGGTTCCGGGGACGAGTCCCTTTCCATATCATCATCTTCCAGAGGCGGTTGAACGAGAGCTTGGGGTGGCTGATTGGGTTGCGGGCTAGCAGACACGGCGACCGCGCCAGTTGTACTGTTTACGTTTCCAAACTCTGGTTGCGGTGCTTTCGAAGGCCCTATACTTAAGCTTTAGCCAATTTGGACTCAGAACACTCTAAGAATCAGATGTGCACCTTGGGCCGTTGAGTTGGGAGTGGCTGATGATGTAGAAGCAAAAGGGCTGCTGCCCGGAAGCGCAAGCGGGGGTGCCAGGCTCCCAGAATCGGTGGCCATCGCCTAGTTTACGGCTCCCAATAGGCTTTGTTCAGTATATCTTCAAAACCCGTCCAATTTCCGAATTTTTTGGGGCTGGAAACTGGGATTACAGAAAAGTACTATCTTGTCGAGATCGAAGGCCGTCGTCGTATGGTTCCGCGTCTGTCAAACGAGCGCCTCTGGTTGTGTTTGTGGGCGATTTGTGGGCCAGTTTTCGCAAAATCCTGGGGATATAGGGATATGCGGAATTCACGGAGGGGGCGACAGGGACGTCGGTAGGCGAACAGCGCAAGGAGCCGCTGAACACGATTTGCACCCTGCGGCAAGGCCTGGTGTCCAAACTTGCACAAGCAAGTTTGCCGCGACGACATCACATGATCCACATCGCCTGCCCTGGCTTGGCACAATTTCCCGTTTCGGTAGCCATTCGCGGTTCCGCAGGGCACCGCGTCCAACGGCGACGAGCTTTCCATTCAACCACCATATCGACTCTTTCAAAATGGCTGCAAAACCATCTCCAGACAGCTTCACATTTACAGTGGGCAAGCTAGGTAAGAAATCTGCCTGAATCTATGAAGCTGCGGTCTAACTAGAGCCATTCATAGATGCGGGAATGGCGGTGAGTGACGTCGTCGCTGTTTCGAACGGCGTCAAGCTCAAGATTGGATTTCGTAGATTCTGTTAGGAGAAAGGGCTCATTTGATTGAGTTTCCTTCAATATTGCTACCGCCAGGCGCCACCACCGGATCTATTGTCAACATCGCAGTCCACCAAAACCATGCAGAAGAGAAACGGAGAGACGCAGAGTTTTGGGAACTCCAGGAGGAGATTCTCAAGACCTATGGCGTGGACTCGCCACAGACGCCAGAACTCAAGGTGAGTCTGAAATCATATCTCTTATCTCGCATCTCATGGATTGGATAGGTTCGAAACGTCACCCAAACCTCAGTCACCCTGGAATGGCCCCCGCTTCAACTGGCAACAGCCAAGCTGCGTTCATTAGACATCTACAGAAACAACCAGCGTCTAGCAGCAATCCCGTCACCCATGAACAACTTCTCGACCAAAGTATCCGGTCTCGAAATCGACAAAGAATACACTTTCCAACTCATCCTACGCACAACGGCTGGCACGTACCCATCACCCCTGTTGCACGTTCGAACACACACCATGACAGATACATCGGGTATCTGCGTTTGCTTTGGAAATGTTCAAGACGAAGTGTTGCTGGAAAACGCGAAGATGGCCTTGCGCGAGATGGGCGCCAAATGGAGCGACAAGATCCAAATCGATACCACCCACTTCGTGTGCACGACCCCTGCTGCAACGCCTTCTGGTGCTCAGGCTACCGGAAGTACAACTTCAGCACCAGGTGTGGAATATCAAAGGGCATTACAGCTCAGTATACCTGTCGTCCAACCTACCTGGATTCTTGCGTGCCATTCGGAGCGGCGGTTAGTGCACATGCTCTCTCCTGACATGATGGTGACGCTGATTTAACCTTTTAGAATGGTCCCCATCGCCCAATTCTATCTAGGCGCAACGCCAAACACACCAGCCTCCGCCGGATACAGCAGCAACCGACCCCAATCCATGTCCCACACCCAGCTCCCCTACACCCCACCCGCAACAGGCGGCAGCTCCAAGGGCACGCCAGCCTCCTACCGCGCCTCCATGCCCGCCCCCGCCCGCTCACCACCCAACAGCGCCAGCTCCTTCGTGAACAACCAACCGTTCTCCGCCACACCCTCCGCCTCCGGTCGACCGCAGTTCGAAGCAACCGTTGAAGAATCGAACGAGGATCCTGAAGCTGAGGAGGTGAAACTCCAGGCTGACGATGGTGGTGGGGAGAGGACGCCTACGACTGAGAAACGCAAGAGTCGCGCGGGGACGATGAATAAGGCGTTCAAGTTCCCGCCTTCGCCTCCGCCGATGAGTTCACCTGATCTTCCGAAGGAGAAGGAAGGGGAGGGGCAAGAGGGAGAGGGAGGTACTGTGAAGGTGGACAAAGGAAAGGGTAGAGCGACGAGCGTTGAGCCTGCGAGTATGGACGTCCCGCCGCCCCCGCCTGTCGAGAAGGAGAGTCGGGCTCAGTCGATTAGTGAGAGTGAGGATGATGTTGGGGATACTGTGGATATACCGCTATAAGTGTTTCCTTTTTTCTGTTATACCAATTTCATTTTGCATGTTTGACGGGCTTCTCTTGAAGGACCTTATCCATCGTTCTCTTGAACATGATCGGAAGTCTTCCTTTGTCCGATGAAAATAGACTCTCTGAAATCACTGCTCAGAGGAACAGGGTACGCGTTTTTCAAGCCTGCTGCTTCTTTCTGCAGAAACCTGGACCCTGGCAGTCGAGGGATAACAAGCCCAACAACTTCCTGACTGAGGGGATGGTGAGCCCGGGGTGGCACTGAGGGGACAATCTCCGGGAGCCTCGATTTAGGAAATTGTTCCGACTCGGAAGGGCGTTCATAGCTCGAGTTTGCCTCTGGAAAGGTCGTTTTGTGACTTCTTTCTCCTCCATATAACCAGAGGGGCGCGCTTCGCCGCAAAGCCTACTACTGCGGGACACCTCTTACTGAAAGTTTAGGGTAGCGCTATGTCCTTTTACCCGCATTTCCATACAGATTCACCTGTATTCAATCGGTTAACCAGGACAAACCCCAACTCCTGTGCTTAATCTACATCCCTCAGGCTACTCTCAATGTCGTAACGTTGGGCTGGATTCGCATGGCACTTCCTGTTACTGTTAAATGGATGAGGACCGTATCCATCTGCAACGAATCCCCGTCACTCACCATCGTCCGCAATAATCAGAAGGATGGAGTGCATGATGCATGTGTATTCTCACTCTCGTTGACACTCAATTAAGCCTATAAAACGATTACCTTTGTCTCTCAGTCTATAGAAAAAATAACTTTTCTAATTCGTGGAAGGGAGGACCAGTGCCAGTGTCACAAATAGAACGAAAGCCGATAACGGGCCGTGAGTGTTTCCGAAAAATCGGTGACGCCTGAGCTCTATACAAGACCATGCAACTACTAGCGTAGTAGCAGGAATCTCACCACAGTTTCAAGGAGCCAGTGGAAGCGATATGTAAGTTGTAACGATAGGTAACGATATCCAATAACAGAAGTTGTGTTTGAATAATGGCACATAGGTACACTGTGGGAACAGCGATGTTTCAATAATTAATGAGCACAGATGACCGTTGGAATTTCGCAAAGATCATCCACGCACCGATCTGGCGGAGCGAATTCTCTTGAGCATACGCGTTCAACGTTCAACGTTCAACCACTGTTGCTTCCATATCCCAAGTTGTGCACTTGAATTCTCCGCGAAAGGGTCCAGACCTGTCCCCGGAACACCAACCTAGCACCAGCCATGATATTTCCAACTCAATCCAAGGGCGTCGAGAATTTTACCTTCCCAGTCTTATGGTCTTATGGTGCAGTCTAAATTCCTTGATCCTCGACGCGGTGACGCCACTGCCGCAGTGGAGGGAGGGCGCAGCGCGGCTGAAGGATGTGCTAGCGCGTAGGGTCGCCCTTGGAGGGCAGCCTGTGTTTGTGGATTTCGAAGACGATGATGACTAAAACATGGCTGAGGCACTTGCAGATTACCATGAACACTAATACATACCATGAACTACTTCGGATGGGAGTAGCTATGAACCTTTTTGCTCCAAGTAGTAGCAACTCGAATCACAAGAGAACGCAGTACAAGAAGAACATTAGATTCTGAATTAAGAGACCAGGATCTTGAATTCGTTTGTCGCCCTGTTTGACTTCGTATTATGGATTTTACTGGAATCGCAAGGCTGTATGATCGGCGTGCGCCTGGCAGCTACAAGTTGACATTGTGTGTCATGCACAGCGAAAGCAACACTTCCTGCAGCGGCCGCAATAACTCGAGCGCTGGTTCAACGTCTAGGAATGCGTCGATTGAAATGAGTTCACTACAGCGTCAATAATCAACGTTTACCACCACCGGATATTGACAACTTGAGGAGCTGGTGGTGAGCGTTGAGCTGAGCGCTTAAACTCGGTTGACCTCGGCAAAGCAGACGCCATTGCCGGTATGGTATTATGTAATTCTGCTCAGTTCCCCACGACACAGTTGAGTGGCATCTTTCTCACTTGACGTCACGCGTTCAGAAAACCATCCCTTCCTGAGGCCACCCTGAGGCCAGAAAACTAGCGCCCAAGGGCTCAAGGACCGAGGTCAGTCTGAATGAATTCACTGTTGGGGATTGGAGAATAACCATACGTCTAGGGACTTAACGATGGCGTCGAAATCGATGGAAGCGGTTCAGAGCGAGAAGAATATGGCTGCTATCGCAGCGCTGGACCACCACATTAGTGAATGGCAGGTTCAGCTCAGCGGCCTTCAAAGTACGAGGAACAATTTGGTCAGGATTGCACGACTCCCAGACGAGATCCTGGCCGTTATCTTTCTCTTTGTTGCGGCGGGGACAGGCTGCGTGACCAAATGGGCTCGTGTCACCTGGGTCTGTCGTCGTTGGCGGAACGCAGCGCTGCGGTGCCCTGAGCTATGGTCCCAGCTCAACGACAGGACGCCCCACCCCTGGATAGATGTCATGGTCTCCAGATCACAAAAGGCCCTCCTATCCGTCCGCATCGACTATTACCACAGGGAAAGGTCAAGGATTCCCCGGTCCAAGTTGCGCAAGGTTTTGAAACAAACAGATCGCCTGCAACGTGTTTTCCTCAGCTGCCATCCCGATGATCTTCCTGTCCTGTTCAAATCTCTTGGTTCCCCCGCACCGCGACTGGAATCCGTAACAGTCAAGAGCGCAATCCACTGCCTTTCCATTCCTGCGTCTTTCAATATTCCCAGCAATTTCCTTGGCGGATCCGCCCCAAAGCTTACCGAGTTGGTATGCATTGGCTGTATTCCAACCTTAGAACCGGGAACGTTCAACTTTACCAGCCTTACGACACTGCACCTTGAGGTTTCTGCGATTCCTCTCCAGCCCCCGATCAACCCTCGGCTCGAGTGCCTTCCTTCCGTCTATCGACTTCAAGTTGCACTATCCAAGACGCCAGCCCTTGTCAATCTGGTCATCAAGATTCCAGATTTTAGTGGAGACCCCGCGAATGTTCCCACAGCCAACATCGCGCCGCGATCCATTTCACTTCCCCACCTCAACCACTTCGAGATGGAATCTCCTTGCCACGGGATTGCGGCAGTGATCTCGAAACTGAAACTCCCAGCGTCCCTCAGCTTGATCCTGCGATGCACCGACGTAGACGAAGACTCGGTCCAGGCCCTCAGCACTGCGCTGAACTCGGCATGGGTTTCGTTGCCGCTATCCCCTCCCCAATCCTCCCCTCCGCAACTTCCCCTCGAGCAGTTGGATGTGACTCAATGGACCCGGCGAGTGCTGCACCTGGGTGGGGCTGCCTTCCATTCGGTGCCCGGCCAGCCGAACATCGTGGCGTCGTTCTCCATCTCCTATGTCATTCCCCGAGAGCAAGGCGGTCCCGGATTCGAAGGCCTAAGAATGTGGACTCCAGCGCTTACCCGGGTAGCCCTCGCACCCTGGCCACTCACCCAAGTGGAGTCCTTGTCCGTTTCATCGCGCACCCTTGGACTGACCGCGACAGGGGTCTTCAAGGAAGTCTTCTCCAAACCCTTCCCTTCGGTGACTTCCATCGAAGCAGAGTTGGATGCTGTCAGGCAGCTCCACGATTATCTCTCCAGCGACCCGGGCTTGCCTCTATCGACATCGGCGGTTCCGCAGACGCCAGGCTCGGTAGTCAGCGAGGGCCAACAGCAAGGACTGTCGTTCCCGCAACTGAAGGAACTCACTTTCACCAAGATCCTGACCCTCGACTACGAGAGGGTGATTGAGCTCAAAGACGTCCTTCTGTCCAGGGCCCAGTGTGGAAGTTCTTTGGAAACGTTGCATATCTCCCAATGCCCTGGTTTTCCTCGGGAGGTGGTGAATGCTTTCAAGACGGTGGTTCCATGTGTGCTTTTTACATAACGCAACACAACCCAACTATGATTCAGAAGCGACAATCTTATACCCAATAATGCATCTAATTATCTTCAATGTACCTTAATGTATTCTTGTTTCTTGAAGTTGTATCCCCAAAACAAGCAGTTAGGAAAGATGAGAATTGAACGCGTCGGCACCGACGAACGAAAACGCCTGCCCTAAACACCAAATTGATGCAGCCACGTGCGCGCCCCCAGTCGCGACAGACGCGCCATTTTAGCTTTCTTTTCCCGAACCCCCCAATCGTCGACGACGACGAGCGACCCCATCGTTTTCCTCGACACCAATGCCTCGTCGAGTTGTAGAATCTGACTCTGACGCCTCTGAAGGCGAGGGCGGGTCCAACCGCCAAACCCGCCAGACCCGATCGAACGGAGTGCGAGTCAAGCAAGAAAAGCAGAAGCAACGCGCGACGACTGAAGAACAGGACGATGATGATATGTACGGCGATGAGCCCACACAAGAGCAGCGGCGCCAGGCTGAAGAGCAACGCGCGAATTCTCAGCATTCGGACGACGAGGACGAGGAGGGTACCCCTCGTGGCAACAAGCGCCAAAGGGTGAACGATGCTGGCGATTCCAGGTCGACCTCGAGCCCTGGCCCATCCGGCGAGCGCGACGAAAGTGCTCCTCCTCGCGTTAAAGTCAAAACTCTGCCTCGCGATGTCGACGGGTAAGCTGCTTGACGATCCCTGAGTATATGCGCAATACATTGACTCTGAACGCTTCCAAATAGCTTTATTCCTGGTTCTATTGTCAGGATTCAGTTGAAAAACTTTGTTACCTATGACTTTGTCGAGTTCAGGCCTGGCGCTTTCCTGAACATGATCATTGGACCCAACGGTACGGGTAAGAGCAGTATCGCCTGTGCGATTGCTCTTGGTTTGAACTTCCCGCCCAAGGTCAGATTCATTCCTTTCGCTTTTGCGCTAGCTTCTAAAGGCGTGCCTAGATCCTTGGACGCGCAACTGAGATTAACGCCTTTGTTAAAAACGGCACCGAGAGCGGTCATATCGAGATTGAGTTGAAGGGCAAGAACAAGAGGAACCTTGTGATCCGTCGCACCCTATCGGCCAAGGACAAAAAGTCCTCATTCACTCTGAACGGCGAACCCGCAACTGGGAGGGAGATTAATGAGAAGATGGCAGAGTTGAATGTCCAGGTGGAAAACCTTTGGTATGTGCGCTGGCTCTGTACCCTTTTCCTAAGCTAACAACGCCGTGTGTAGCTCTTTCTTGCCTCAGGACAAGGTGTCTTCATTCGCTGCAATGACACCTCAGCAACTGTTGGTCGAGACTCAAAAGGCTGCTGGAGACCCCAACCTCACCAACTGGTTCGAGGCCCTGAAGGAAGAGGGTGCCGTCGAGAAGAAGCTGAGACAGGTAAGGTCCGCTGTTCATGGTTATTTCGTCTACTTACGCGACCGTACCTAGAAACTCAAAGAAGACGAGGCAAAATGCGAGCAGATGCGCCAGCGTAACGATGGTATTGCCAGGGATGTTGAACGTTTCAAGGAGAGAAAGAGGATTGAGAAAGAGGTTGGTTCGATTTCACGAATCCAGGATTTGGACTCACAACGCCGCTCCTTAGATTGAGATTCTCAACGTACTTATCCCACCTGCCAAATATCGGGAAATGCGGAAGGAATATCTCGTTCTTAAACGTAAACAAAGAAAGCTACACGCCAGAGTCGTGCGCTTGAAGAACAAGAATGCCCCTGCTCATGAAAAACTCGCGTATGTCCCCGTGTCGAACGATTGACCTTGTCACTAATCCACTTTGCAGAGAGTTGGAAGTCGAAGTTAAAGAGGCGGGAAAGAAGAGGGAAAAACTGAAGAAGGCTCTCGTTGCGACTCACGACGAGATGAAGAAACGCAAGGGTGATTGCGACAGCCTCGTCAGTGCTGCTCTTCGCTCGACGTCATCTTGGGTCAACGGCTGATCCCTTTCTTGACAGGAGCGCGAGTCTGAGAAACTCACGAACGAGTTGGATGGCCTGAAGAAAGAGGAGAGACGACGGCAGTCAGAGATCTCCAAGCTAGAAAGCAATATTGCCGAGATCGAAGCAGAGCTTGCCCAACCGAAGCCTGAGGACATTGATTGCGACGCCAGGGAGGTCATGGCGGAAAGAAAAGAGACACATACTCTCATGATGAACAAGAAGCTGGAGTTCGACCGGCTCAACGAGGAAACGCATGGACTCATTAAACAGAAGGTGCATCTTGGTGGAAACATCACGAATGTGCAGAAATCGTACGTATGTTCACCCTTGACCTGTCATCGAAACTGAATGCTTCCTTTTGTTTTTAGAATTGCTGCATTGGCCCAACCAGAACAGGCCAAGTTCGAAAACTTGAGGCAATGGGACTCGGATGTCTACGAAGCTGTCCTTTGGCTGAGGCAAAACAGGAATTTGTTCAAGATGGAGGTGTTTGAGCCCCCAATGCTGTCTTGCTCAGTCAAGGATATGTCCTTTGCCGCTCATATCGAGGCGTGCTTCAGCGGCAATCAACTGAAGGTTTGTTCCCCGTTCTGATGTTTATTGACCGTGTCTGATCAGAATGTCACAGACATTCGTCACTCAATGCAGAGAGGATCTTCACACTCTGAACAAGCACATTAACGACAGTGCTACGAAGGATGGCAGGAGGATAAGAGTCCCTACTTGGTGGCGAACTGGAGGGGTGGCGCGTCCTCCGATGACCCCTGAACAGGTAAGCATGGGTCTCATTGCCAAGGTCTTCCACTCAACCTTTTCCCTAGTTGGCCGAGCTTGGGTTTGAAGGATACGCTATCGATTTCCTTCGATTCCCCCAGGGCATGCAAGACTTTCTCACTCTTGAATTGAACCTTCATCGAACGGTACGTTCAGGCCGACCTGGCACGCTCCCGAAATATTCATCTCAGACGTGGCCAGGCTATTTCGCGGAACCCGAACGTCGACGTCAACCGCGCCATGGACTACGTTGGTCACGGTGGAGGTGGAAGCTTTATCAACGGCTATGTGATGAACACGGTTACGCGTTCAAGATATGGTCGCAGGGCTATCAGCAATCTTACCAGGGAGATCTCTCACAAGCCCCATAGGTTTGGTACCCCTGCAGGTGCGTCTCGCTGTACCATCGGCGACAGCTGCTAGAACTCATGCCTTTCAAGTCGATCCCGCCGTTGAGGAGCGGTACCAGGCGCAGATAAGGCAATTTGAAGTGGAGATTGAAGAACTTGTCAAGCAAATCAACGTGAACGATCCTACACTTAAGCAGCTCTCGGCCGAGCTCGAGCCCATGAAACAACGCGTGGTGAGTTGCTTCGTTTCGAGTTTTGTGTGAATCATGGTCATCGTTTTCCCGTAGGCCACACTGGACAGGAAAATCGCTCGAATGAAAAAGTGGGAAGACGACAGGCTCCGCGTTGAGGCCCGCTTGAGTATGATTATATGTGCCATTTTCCACATCATTTTTGCCTGACTCTCCCCAAGCCAGATTGAAGGAGAATCTCACCAAACTACGTAATGCGCCGCCAGTCGACGAGAAACGAAAGACTCTCAAGGCCTTGCTCGTCAAGGTCTCAGAGAAGCGAGTCAAGTTGGCCAAGGACATCCTAGTGTGTTTACTCCAGTTTGGAGCGTGTCATGGTGGTCTAACTCTTACTCCAGGCTTTGAGCCACAAGATGATGCTCAAGCAAATAGAGTGTTCCAAGGCGGGTTTTGAGCTCCTCCAACTCACTGCTAACAAGGACCATTTGAAAGCCTTGTGTGACGAGAAGGACGCCAAACACCAGCAGGCGGGCCAGGAGTTCAATAAAGGTGAGTTTCTGGGTTTGTGTCTGCAGTCTATTTTGGCTAATGACTGGTATTTGTAGTCCATGCCGAATTCACTGCGCTCAAGGCGGAGGTGAGGAATTTCGTCAACGGTGAACTCCACAAGACGATCAGTGAAGCCTCTGAGGAAGCACGAGAGATATTCAAAAAAACCGAAGAGGCTATCGCTGACTATGAACGCAAGGTTAAGAAGGCCAAGGCGAGCGGGATGCCCATCCCTGAACCAGATGGCGTGGACCTACGAACAGTGACTGAGCTGGAGGACGAACTTGCTACACTGAACGCATCTCTCTCTATGATCATGGCGACTAACCCCGGAGTCTTGGAAGAGTATGAACAACGCGAGAGGAGTGTACGTGTTCGCTTGTGTGCTGCCCACGCTAACCTGCTTGCTCACGGTCTACCCAGATTGAGCAACTCAAGGAGACCATCGACCAACTCAATACACAGATTGAGTCGAGTGCGAGAAGGATCAAAGCGACTAGGGTAAGCTCTTGTCACGGTTATGTATATCACTCGTCAGAAAACTGATCGAACGAAACCCCACAGGACAAATGGCAACCGGCTCTTGAGAAACTGGTTGCTAGCATTGGAGAACGGTTCTCCGCCGCTTTCGATCGTAAGCCGAATCTACTACTCTTTCGTTAGGGAACCGATGTTTGATTATTAAAATCTTCCTTCTTGCTTCTTCGCAGGGATTGGCTGTGCTGGTGAAATCCGAATCAGGGAAGAAGAGGATTATGACAAGTGGGCTATTGAGATTTATGTCAAGTTCCGAGACACAGAGAAGCTGCAGCTTCTCACTAGCCATCGTCAATCTGGTGGGGTACGTATCGCGATTTGTTCTCTCTCCCTGGGTGGTCTTCTCCCCTGTCCGAACAGAAAACTGATTTCGTCTCTTTCCTTTGTAGGAGCGGTCGTTGACTACGATTTTGTATCTCATGAGTTTGACGGAGGAGGCTCGCGCTCCGTTCTCATTGGTGGACGAGATCAATCAGGTTCGCATCACACTCCTTCCGTTGCCTATATAGCTCGACTAACGGCAACTTGTGCAGGGTATGGATCAGCGGGCGGAACGGGTTGTGCACAACTCGATGGTGGACGTGACCTGCAAAGAAGACAGCGCCCAGTACTTTTTGATCACGCCGAAGCTGTTGACGGATCTCAAGTATCATGAGAGGATGAAGATTCTGTGCGTGAATAACGGAGAGTGGTTGCCGGAGGAGAGGGGAGTGGGTAGTATGATGAATATGATCGAGGGGTATGTGCAGAAGCGGAACCAGGGTGGTCGGGGTGCCATTTAACTGGAATTGGTTCTCGACATCGACGAGTGGTTTTTTTCGTGCAGTAGGCTTCTCTTGTACGTTCACTTGCTGTTCTGTTTTGTACCTTACCCATCCACGCTTATTCGCATAGTACGTTACGCGCACTTCTCTATTTTCCGTACCTTTCTGGCTTTCTAATCGCATCGCACATATTGTAACACAAAAAACCTCGCTGAATGTTAGAAAAAAAAAAAAACATGCATTGCTTTTTCAAGAAGAGTAAATGGTTTTGAACACGGCAGCATGTCGTTCCTTTGCTTGTTCCATACAGTAGGACAAGGCGTCTTCGTGTTTTGTGGATCCGACGCCGAGGTGGGAGACGGAGATGAATTCTGCTTTGTCATCCATGATGATGGTGAGTGTGTCGTTGAGGAGGGGTTCTTCGAAGGATGTTGGGTCTGCGAGGATGTGGGTTCTGGAGTGTGCGTCGGACCCGATGTTGGATGATATCGATGCCGTCAATTCGTGCGGAAGATCGGCCGTTGTGCAAGGAGAAAGACGAGTGTGTGAGCAAAGAAGAGGGTGCGCAACGAAGGAGAGCCCTAAGGAGCCAAGGCGGAGGACAACTCACGCATCGAATATCCCAAACGACATGGCAAAAGGTAAGTGTTTGATGTCTAGCGGTACGCGTTCTTTGCGTGAACAGAGGGTTTGGCCTGTTGTTTCGTCGTAGCGTGCTTTTGGTATGCGGGCTGTGGGGAGGAGGGAGGGTGGTGGTCGTGGTTAGCGTGGTGTGGTGTGTGGTTCAGATGTTGATCGCTAGCACGATGCAGGAGAGAGAGAGAGAGAGTAGAAAGAAGGGTGGATGGACGGAAAACGGTGGATGGATGGAAATGTACAAACATACCATTCTTTAAAGCCAACACCATAGCCATCAGAGCAGCGTCGAATGCGTTGCCGTCGTAGTTTATGCAGATGGCGTCTAGGTAGATTGTCCAGACTGATTTGTTGGGCTGGATGCAGAGGGATTCGAGGGGGAGGGTGTTGGCGCTGTTGTTGTGTTTTAGGGTATTTTGGAGGGCGGGATTGGGTGTTTGGTTTGGTGGGGTGGTTGGGAAGAAGAACGTCGTGGTCCGTTGGGTTGGCAAGGAAAGGCCAGGGCAGATATGCAAACCATAAGCCAGGTGTATATAGGATGGGAGACAGACGTACGTGACAAGAGCCTCGTTCAGCCTATCTGAGAGAACCTGGCTTTCGTCTGTCGGTGGGCCGGGCTTGAATTTGGGCGAGCAGAGAGCGGGGAGGTCGAGGTTTGGTACTGTTTTTCGGGTTTGGGGGTGATGTATCGAGTATGTGAGGGATGGCCGATGAGGGAAAGTGGAAGTGAGATTGAGAGGGTTGTGTCCATGAGAAAGAGAGGGTGTTTCGTCCATGAGAAAGCGAGGCGTTTCGTTCACGACAGGCAGGATCATCCAGGAGAGAAAACACAACACGATCAGAAACAGAAGACGACATAAAACGAAAGAACAAGGCGCACCCAAGAACCCTTTCGACCCAGCGTCCAATTCAGGTTCTGCAATCTCTGCTTTGACGCCGCATACGACGGTGGTGTTGCCAAATCTGACGAGTGCTGAGCCGTCGGCTGTTGATATTGAGCAAGGTCCAATGGTTTAAGGTGTTAGCTGGAACTTTCAAAACGTTGATTGCACCAGCGAGAAACAATCCACAAGATATGGGGACGAAAAAATGCTCACCCGATCCGATCTGCAGAAACGTCTCGCCATTTGGTAAAAGTTCCACTGTCTGGTCTTGATCCTTCTGCGAGGAAGCGTTCGAGGTATGAACGAGGATGGAGGCGTTGGAAGATGGATGCTTCAAGAGCCGCCTTTTCGTCTGCCGGAATTGAACTCGTCGCGCTAGGTTTTGGTGCTGCAGTGGTCATGGTGGTCGCGTCTCAAGAGGATAATTATTGATGGCTTGATCTCGTCTCAGTAATTTACTGATAAGATTCCATCCAAAAAAGATTCATCTATCTACAGATACAACACTGAAAATAATCATACATTCTTGTTCTTCTCATAGATCCACAAACAGATTCTCTACTAACCCTGGACGACGCCGCGAAGGACGGCCAGTTCAGCGTTGATGATGCTCGAGGTGGCAGCGCCGATGGAGACGTTGTTGGCGAGGACGACGAATTTGATGTCGAGGACCTGGCATTGTCTGACCCGTCCCACAGACACACCCGCTCCTTCCTGGAAATACCGATCCAACCTCGGCTGCGGACGATCCGGCTCTTCATGCACACTGATCGTATGCACAGGGGCAGACGGTGCACCGAGCGTCAGCGCATCCGCCGTGTACGCCCCGAGCGCCTCGCGCACCTGCTGCGGGCTCGGCGGGGGCCTCCTCGCGAACCTGACCGACACGCACGCGGTGTGTCCGTCGATGACCGGTACGCGGTTGCACGACGCGGAGACGCGGAGGGGCGAGCGGGCGTGCATGTCGAACTGCTTGCGGCCCTGGTCGTCCTCGGTGAGCCCGCCGAGGATCTTGAGCGTCTCCCACTCGATCTTCTCCTCCTCGCCGCTGATGAAGGGGACGATGTTGTCGAGGATGTCGAGGGAGGGCACGCCGGGGTAGCCGCCGCCTGAGATGGCCTGCATCGTCGTCGCGATGACTTGCTCGAGTGGGCCAAAGGCTTTTTCGAGCGCGGCGAGGGGGATGACGATGCCGGTTGTTGAGCAGTTGGCGTTGGTGACGATGAAGCCTTTGGAGAGAGGCGGGGAGTGGAGGGCTTGTTGTTGGGCGATGATGGACAGGTGGGACGGGTTCACGAGGGGCACGATCAGCGGCACGTTGGGATCCCTGCGATAGTTTTTCGCGTTGGAGAATACAGCTAGCTCAGCTTTCCTAAACGCATTCTCTACAACACAAGATCAGTGGTCGTGTGCACATAGTGTAGCCCCAAATAACTCTCACCGATATCACCGGCAACGTCAGAGTCGAGTCCAGAAAAGATGATAGCGCAATCAGCAAAGTGCTCGGGTTTGCACTCGTGCACGACCATCTCGCGGACGGCGGATGGGATCGGGGTGACTTGTTTCCAGTTTGCGGCTTTGGGGTAGAGCTTGCCTGCAGATCGTGGCGAGGCGCCGAGTTTGTGGATGACGAACCAGGGGTGCGTCGAGAGCAGCGTGATGAACCGCTGCCCGACGGTCCCCGTCGCACCCAAAATACCGACATTGATTCTTCTTGTATCCTCCATCGTCGTTCGTGGGTTCTTCACTACTAGCGGTCTGGAAGGCGAGCCGGTGCTATTTGAGCTCGAAGGTCGTTTGGAGGAGGACGAAGAAGACATAATTGGATGTCGTAGATAGAGACAAGACAGACCTTCCTTTTTTTTCTTTTCCTTGATTTCTTCGCTTTTTGATTGGTGATCTTTTATTTCTAGGAGATGGACGATTGAAGATTGGGGCCACACGTGACTTGGGGCGTTCGAGAGACAAGAACGACCGGGAGCCAATGGGTAATGGGCCAGGCCTTGTTTTTTCAATCGATGGAACGGTGGCGGAGGATGTTCAGCGACAGGACAGGGGTTCTGCGTTTTGGATGACTCCTCCGAGTTTTTATACTCCTTGCTGGCTCGAGTCATATTTGAGCCGCCGCCTTGTCCTAACCCTTCATGGCTTTCTCAGTCAGCTTTTTAGCTGTGGCGGAGAGAATAATGTCAGTCATCATCAGGCTCTTTGAAACGAAGAATTGGTGTCCATTTTTTATGCATTAGTGCCCACCTGAACATGGTTTAGGACCAAGGTACGCTAGAGCCAAGGCGCCCCTAGTGGACTACCCTTCGTCGGGATATCGGCTTCGTTTCGGCTTTTCGTACCCCAACGCTTTGCAGTGACTCTACCGGTGCCAATCATGAATAATGAAATGAAGCATTAGAGCAAGGGTATTGTATCCTCGACATGGCGGAAACTCGTCAAGGTGAATAGTTTGAAGTTATGCCTCGTCGGCGATGCCGGGCATGCCACTGAATACATCACGTGTGAACTCGACGTGTCCAACTTGAACGCTGCCCAACCTCTCCCAACCACCAACCAACCACCACGATGTCCACAACATCCGAAGCCTCCGCCCAACTCATCTACCCACCCAACGTCCACGCCAACAGCGCCCTCCTCAACGTCAAATTCCTCTCCGCCTGCTTCGCCGGCGCAGCCGCCGGTATCCTAGGACTCGAAAACCTCCACGGCTTTGCTCTCTTCCTCGCCTCGACGGTGCTCACCTCGCTGTGTGTGGGGGTGGTTAATTGTAAAGGGAGGGTGGGCAAGTATGTGCATGGAGGCTGGGCGGAGTTGGTTAATCCGGGACAGGATAATGCGTTTACTTTTGTGTTGGTTTGGACGCTTTTTTATGGTGCGTTTTTTGGATGGCGGTGGATGCTTTTTTTGGGTTGGGCTGACGTTTGGAATTTTGCTCTTGCTTGTCATTGGGTGCTTGGATTGTAGGAATCGTGCATGGTGCGTCCGCATTCTTCTATCTTCTGGTATTTGGAGCCCAAAAGCGCTCAACTTACCGACACCTCTCTCTCCTGAACAGTGTATGACTAGTCCCAAGCGAACATCACTATGTATAACCCCTGTATCTTTATACCCCCAGCCATACTCGGAGTCGTAAGTCGCCGTCAGGAATCCTCCATTCTGCCTACTTATCATAGTCGCATGCTGAACTTTGAATGGCTAACAGCGAGGGATAATTTCCCTAGGCTAGTCGAGGAAGGAAAGATGAAGATTCCCTTGCGACAATGTCTTTATCCTCGCCTACCAAACGCGGGCACGGCGCCGATTGTAGACCAGGGTCGGGACTTGGAAGACAGGTAGCGGTTTGGCCCTGGGAGTTCTACTTGTATGAGTCGCCAGGTTGTCGCCGGGTCGAGGTTCATGTCAATGTCAATGGTCCGCTATGTCATTGTCATTCAAGGTCCACTATGTCATTGTCACTGGTCCACTTGTGGTCTCGTACTTTTGGAGTACAACATACTTGCTTTGGTCTTGGTGGTATCGCGTCGTGTCCGTGATGGAATTCATCAATCGATAACAAGTTGCAGGTGCGAATGGAATGGTTCGGAGTGGAGTATAGTCTTGCTTGGAACTTGGAAACAGGGCAGGACAAGACTGACCCAAGAAAGCCCGAGCCTACGGTCGACGCCCAACTTTCAAGGAGTCCGAAAATGAGACCAATGCAACCCGATAATCGATTCGAGATGTTACGCGCCCGAATGCCATTCCTGGCCCGCGGCCTCGTTTGTTCTGAGTATCTCGGGATGTGCGGCTGGCGCGTACAGCCATTTCTGAACATGTTATGCGCGTTTATGATGATATGAATCCAAGACTGGATCTGACGTCGCGTCACAGCTCATTCAACTCCATCGATTAATATACTTTGCAAAGGGTTCGGAACGGAGGCGGAGTCTGAGAGCTGTTGGGCAGGACAAGACTTGGATTACTCCAAGCCCAAGCAAGTTCCAAGCCCAAGTTCGTCGGAAGGGGACTGGCACAAAAGTGATAATCGATTCGAAATTACACCATGTATATAGTACACACCGTTTTATGTCAACCGTGTTCAACTTGGTCCTCGGAAGAAGCCAGGGTCACTGTGTAATTGACTTGGCTGTGTTATCCGGATTCCATCGATCGCAAGCGGTTCGGAGCGGAGTCTGACTCGGAAGCAGCCTCAGGATGTAAGAAATATGTGCAGGACAAGGACGGGGACGTCATGGTCAGGTCAAGTAAGGTCAAGTGTCAAGGACAATAGCGAGCCCATCCAAGCCCAGGCCCCCGAGTCCAAGGGAAAGGGAAACTTGCGCAAGTTTCAATCGAATAGTACTCATCGAACGGTACCCCCCCAAGTTTCAAATCTCATCGCTCATCAAATGTGCGCCGATGATGATTTCGAAATTACGGACCCTAGAGTACAAAGAAAAATCGAAGGTTATGTATGTGCTTCTTTGAACTTTCGCCTCCCCTCTCTACCCTGAAAGTTCCACTTCATAACTTACGCATCGTCGCCTCCCCTTCTTCGTTCACATTACGGATCAGAAGTTGTCGATATCCACCCACCGTCATAAAACTCTAAAATCCCTTGTTCTGATTTCCTCGTTCTCAGGATGTACGTACGTACGTTTTGGTAAGTGGTGGGTCTCTCGACGACGACGGCGACGACCCCGTGGGCGCGACTGAATTCGAAGTCACTCGTCAACAGCAAATCTCATCTCATAAGACGTCTCCCGGAATCTAAGGTTTTGGTACTCACTAAAAGACGCGGCGCCGTAGCGCTGGACCCGTTTCCTTTGGGGGGGCCATGGTAGTAACACCGGTTGATGGGCGTTCCAACTCGCAAGTTCACTCAAAAACAATCAATTCAATTATCCACGACGGTATCGATTCCGAATCCCAAGTCTACAGATTAAAAAAAAGTTTCGAGATCCCCCTTACCCGATTCCGAAATTTGCGATTCCACGCCAATTCCCAGATCACCGGAACGCCCTACCAAGCCACGTGGGAGGAAAGGGTCCATATTTGGAGTGAGAGATGTGATCATGCCAGTATGTAAGCCACGTGGCGAACTCGGTGGCTGTACCGAGCACTTTCCATACGGGGCCTGACGCCGCTTGCCAACAGCCCCCTCCCCTTAACTTTTAACTCGCCCAGTAAAAATCCCCAGCACTTGGAGATGCTCTGACCAACCAACTCCTTCCTTCCTTCTTTCCTTAATCTATCGTCGTCCCCCGTGTCCATCCTCACAACCCCATCTCGACGAGAGATAGATTACATTGATTTTTATATCGGCTGCCCATTTGTTTTCATTACGGAAGAGGCTTGGTTGTTGACGACGATGCCGGCGACGACATATACTCTATGGCAGTACGGCGATGAGCCTATGCGGCACGCGTATAGAGACGATAACGGGTTGGAGGCGTTCACTATGTGCGTACACCCTCCCTCCTATTAATCCAACCACATCCTAATCCCCCAATCCTTTATTTTCTTTTCAAGTGCAATCGTACGTCGGGTTTTCTACGGACCCATCGAGTTTTTATATTGACCCATGGGTATGGTCGTTGGTGCTCATTCGACGACGACGCCCAACGTCGGATAGGTCAGCCAAGATCCCAACAAAATCGTCCGGATAACGCGCGAGGCCCCCTGGACGGAACAGCATGAGACGATCATGGGCCCCGCCAACTCGTTTCTGTACTTGGGTGCAGACGACCATCCGGGATATGTGGTCTATGGCAATGGAACCATTCACATCTCCATGAACTTTTTCTTGCGGCCGGGGAAGAAGGAGAATAGCACGTATGTTGGGTCTTTTTCTTTGTTTGAATCAGGGATGGGTTACTGATTTGCCATTTAATTCGTATATCAATTTTCCCCTCTCCACTACATACTCGCGAATTCATCCGCGGAATCACTTTCTGACACCACGGATGGCGATCTTCCTCACGCCAGATCGCGATATTTCAGAGCACAAAATGGGAAAGACTACAAGTGGAAGATCGTCAATTCACATCGGATGGAAGTAAGTCGCTCGTTCCAAAAATTATCATTTCTCCTCCTATTATCTACGCTCCAAAAGAACATCTTTATTGACTGATCTTTGCCTCTTTTGTTTTTGCTTTTGCTGTTCACGCCTCCCTCTCTGGAAATCGTTCTGCCTCCTCTCTCTTCGCCTCCTCTAAACAGTGCGTGGACGGTCGAACGACACTCGCCATTTGGGAGATTACCTCGCCCACCCACGAGGCATTCGCGCGCCTGGAGCTCCATCCGTCCAGTCTGACGTTTATCACGGAGATTCTGACGTCGTTGACGCTTAACCGGATTGCGCAAGCGCAGGGGTGGTAGCATTGGCTCCTGTTAGGCTTTTAGGGTTATCGTTGGAGTGCGAAGAGGAGGAGCCGGAGCAGAAAGAGAATGAGTAGGAGCATGGGCTCGAGCTCGAGGCGGAGCAGGAGTATGAAGCATGAAGCAAGAACAATTGAATTGAAACTGTATCGATATATCACCACCAGCACCAACCACCACCCCTTTCATGAACGCTATACATATAATGACATCTACCCCACCCCACCTACACCGCGGTACCACCACCCTCATCACGACTACCACCACCCACTACACCGCACTTACACCACGCCCGCACCACCAGTCCCGACCCCACGTTGTTTACCTATATTCCACTCCCAAAAAACACTTCTCGTCTCTTTCTCTGCCTCTTTTTTATCCCGGATTCATTAACTGATAACGCAACACTATCCACCCACAAGGGGACTCTATATCTCTATCTCTTTCCAGCCATCCATCTAATCCTCCTCATCATCTCTATCCTTGACCCCTCATACCTCATGCCAAACGGTCTCTTCCTTCTCCAAGACAAATCCGCACGTGTAGTATGTAGCCATTACTATTACTTATTTCAACCCACCGGCGTTTCATTAACATTATCTATCATATTCATCTTCATCATCTTTCGGTTTGGGAGATATTTTTTCATTTCCGGGACGGTCTCGGACTGACTCGACTCGACTCGGACATGCAGATTGGGCGTTTTCTTCCTTTCGCTCTTTGGGTAAGTAAGTACCGGTCTCTGGGTCCCAGGTCCCCCAAGTTCACTCAAGTTCCATCCACCCCCTGGTTCACACATCACAGACACAGCCCGGCCGGTCATACGATGGGTTTTTCCTTCTCCTTCCAGAGTTCCAGAGTTTTTTCGCTTCATTTTCCCTGTCCCGCTGCACCCCCGAACCTTAATCTCCTCAGGGCGCTAAAAATTAGGGGACCTGACTGGGAGTGGGAAGGCTTGTTAGTGGTCTATGGATGTGAACGCTAGTCCACTATCCCCGCGGGCTACGCCACGCTTTTTTTGTTATTGATACAGTTGTGCTTTTTTTACAGGAACTACCAAGGACCATTCATTATCTAGTCGATCAAAGTAGATCAACGGGTCAGTCAGCCACCCAACCGCATACGCCTACGCTTCCTTCTCAACAACAACCCTACTCTTCCTCCTTCTTCAATTCCTCCTGCAACTCTTTCAACCTACCCCACTCGGGCTCGTCTTCGAAATCCTTGGTTCGCGCAGTAAACGTCCGGACGATGCTCCGCGCTTGCAGACGCCACTTGTAGCCTTCGACCCGTGGACCAAAGTTGCGCAACACATCGACGATATCCTCCACCTCGGTCGTCGCCTCCCGCCATTTCTTGATATCCGTCTCGCCCTTCTCCATCGTACCCGCGTTGCCGCAGCGGTAGGCATCGAGGTACGCCTTGAGCGCCTCCTCCCACTTGGACTGCCATGTCCACAGCCGGGCGTAAGCGCGGAAGATGCGCGGCGAGGCGACGCGCGGGAGGAGCGTCCGATCGAAGAGGTTCTTCACCGATCGGTAGAGGCCGTGTCCTTCGTTGGGGTTCGCAACGTCGCTCTGCGCGCCGCCGCCGCCGCCCTCCTTTTGCGCATCGTCCGGGTTAGCGGGGGCGCGTGTGACGGCGTCGACGAGCCGGTCGAGGACGTCGTCGTCTACCGAGTCGGCGCCCTCTTTGTCGGCGACCATCTCGACGACGCGGCCGAGTGCCCGGGCGGCTTCTTGCATCTCGCCCACGTCGACGGCGACGATCATGTAGTTGTACCATACGCGCCAGTTGTTGTAGCTGAATCGGAGGCCTTGTTTCAACGCCTGGAAGGCGAGCATCTTGTTGGAGAAGGGAACTGATGCCGCTTTGGTCGTGTCATCCCCTTTGGTATCCGAGCCTTCGACGCCGTTCGTGGTCTGTAGTCGTTTTACGTTTGGTTAGAATGCGGTCGCAATCATCACCACCACCCCCATCCGATCTGGCGGAGTGTATGTAAGAAAGAGTAAAAAAGATTACTCACCTCCTCGTCTTCTTCCTCGTCCTTGTTCTCTATCGAGGCCGTGGGGGACTGACTTAATCGGAGATACATGCTCGCCAAGTTGCTCCAACTCTCCCCATCTTCTTCATCAATGGTAACGCAGCGAATGAACGCGTCCCGGCCCAGTGCCCAGTCTTCGAGACGCATGGCGGCGCAGCCTAGGAGGAACCACGGCTTCTGCTGCAAAGGATTGATAGCGACAGCGCGTTTCAAGCACTCGATCGCCTCGGTGTACTTTCCACGCGCGAACCAATACCCTCCGAGGGACCGCATCGCCCTCCCCGACGACTCTCGCGAGACCTCCCAAGCATGCTGGTAATGCTCGGGCGCATTATCCGGCTCGAGATCTCCAAGGATACACCACAACTTGGCTTCGCGGGTAGCGTCCTGCAGCGACTTGCGGTGCTCAGAAGTAGCTTTGCCGCGTGACAGGACGACGTCGACTTCTTCCTTCTTCCCTTCGAGAAGATCCCGCAGGATCGCGATGCCCTTCTCTGGCCGCTCGAGAACAGCCCAGCACTTGATCGCGTCCTCCCACATCTCCAATCTCTCGAATATCTCCAGGGCGGATTTGACGACTCCGAGGCTCATATAGCGGAGTGCGAGTTCCCTCTCCATCTCCCATTTGCTTGGCAAGGGTATTGAGTGGAAATACAGGAGGCGTTCGGGGAGGGTGGAATCGGAGGTGGGCATCTGGTCAATCAGCGCCTGCAGTTGGAAGGTCGATCGTTCGACCGTTCGGGTGCGGGTTGATTCGAGCCGGGAACGTAATAACAGGGCCATGGTGTGGACGGACCAGTTTCGCGGGTGGGAGATGACGCGTGCGACGTATGGGGCCATTTGTTCGTTAGTGAGTCCGTGGGCGGGTGAGGTGTTGCGGACGTTGAGGCACAGGGAGAGGAGGATGCATTGGTCCAGTGGGTGCAGCGCGGGCTGGGCGGACGGGTCGATGTGGCCGAGGCGCGAGTTCAGCTTGTCGTTTGGGCGTGATGATGTGAATTCCGTCTGTTCGAGGAGGGTGTCGTCGTTGAGCGCCAGCGTTTCTGGCATCTTGGTTTCCGCCGGAGCGGGATCATCATCGCTTCCCTCGGTGTCGGATGGCTTTGTTTCGTTTTTGGAAGGGGAGGTCTGATCCTGAGAATCGTCCTCGAGTTTGCTCTCGGCGAGCAGGACGAGCTGGCTTAGGTCGTTCACTTGGAACTTGGTCCGCTTTCCGAGGGCTCCCGTGAGCTCGTACTCCATGCCGGTGATCCTCGCGGAGGCGACGAATTGCTCGGCCGCCACCTTGTCCTGCTGGAAGGTATGATGGAGAAGACCCGTCTCCAACGTCAATCGTGCCGATAACGAACGGTCGTTAGCGATGAGTGACGACAGGGTGTCCAAATCATGTTGGAAATCGATGGAATGGGCTACCGGCTCGTCGAGGGTCCGTTGATGGACGATGGTCGTTCGTAATCTCCACCAGGAAGCGGACTTGAGGTGTGTGAATGGAGTAGCCAAGATGAGCTGTGCGAGCCGAAGGAAGACAGGGACCTCCGCGAGATGGTAGGCTGGTTCTCCGCCGAAAGCCAATTCCACGATCGCGCGACTGTTGACGTCCTGTTCTGTGATGGAATTCGGTGAGGAGAAGGCCAGAACGTCGAGGGGTTCTACGTTTAGTTTTGGGCCAGTCCAGTTGGCTTGGACGTAGGCGTGGAGGCAGGCGACGGCCAGGCAGAGCCGCAGGGTCTCATTGTCGACCGGATCATCCTCGAGAGAAACGGAAAAGTCGATTATCTCCGTGAACCCTTTGGTCAGGTCGTCAGATGAAGCGCGAAATAATTTGCGTGCGAAGGGGCTGGTCAGGACTGATCGAAAGTCGCCATCAACGACCTGTTTGGCTGCTTCGACCGCTTTGGAAGATGATTCTGGAGATTCTGCGGTCCATTTACCCTCCAGAAGGGACTTTTCGACTGTGAAAGAGCTAGAGGTAGCCATCTTTTCTTCGTTGGGTAACGGTGTAAAAGAAACCAATATTGGGTTTGATGGGCTGTCTGCAGCTAATTGTCATCATTCGCACGCTCATCGATCATCGATCGTGCCGAATTGGGAAATCTTTGATGGACGGCTGGGCGCCACTTTATCCGGAGGGTGTAGCGCTCGACGCTGATAATGAGGGCTCGCAATACTCAGGAACTGGGTCCTTGCGGTGTCGATAGAGCGCCAGGGGCCGTGTATTTTCCTCGAGGTCTCGAGAATCTAGGCACAGTGTCTTTATTGTTTTTCACGTTACCGGGTAAAGATCACGGTCGATCTCAGCGTGTCATGGGAGTCCGGCAATGCTCAAAACCCAACCCATATTGAATGCGTTTTCATCTACAGTGTAGTCGTGTGACTCTCGAAGAGATTCAAGGTTGCAACGGAGACCGTGTGTGCACTCCACTAGGTGTAGACGCCCGTCAATTAGTCTATGAATGTTTATTCGGACCAGCGTCGAGAAAGGGTACAGAGAAGAGTACGTATAGGTGAGCTCTTGATCGTACGTAAGTACGTACTTGCAAATACACCAGTCCAAGTGTTATCTAACCAGTTTCACCGATTGGCTGGGAAGATTACACACAGCGGGGATAGTTGGTTCTCAATAATCATGACAGGTTTTTAACAGCAAAAACGTGTTACGTGGTGCTTCATCAAGCGTGTCCCTGACCACCTGTCTACCCCCGACCCATCAGTCGACGACAGCCTCTCCGTTGTGTGCGCTCTCTCGTGAATACTTATGTACTTGCTTCCTGCAGTCAATAAACGTGGGATGACGTTACCTTGCTTCCGATTCGAAGCCACCCCTCAATGATGTTATTTGGATTGAAATGACCCGCAGATCTTGTGTGCTCCGAGTCGTGAGAGTTGTTTACGGCTCAGGGGCAGGCGGGTAGGAAACGGCAAGCGTTTATGGGGTGTAGTTATCAAACCTTGGTGTTGGACTGTCGTACTAGTTTCGATAGGCAACTCGGCAGGTGCTTCTAAGTGGAAATAGACGGATAACAGATACGCCTGTCAGTTCCTGCCGAGAGAACTGGGAAGGCCGGATTTGAGCGCCTTGGTACTCGTTTACTAAACGAGTACAGTACTGAGCATGAGAATGGCATTTGGAGTACAGGGATCGCTGTACCTTGCATACCCGTCTGCGTGATCTCTGGAAGATGTACCCTTTACAGCCCCATTACGGGAGCATAAGTGACAGCAGTCAATATTCTGCTCCACATGGTCTCCGGGAGGTTGGTGGAACATGTCATTGATTAGAGCAGGGTTCATCGACCACGTTCCCTGAAGGTATACCAATGTGACTACTACTACTGACGCCACCAGAGCTCTATTTTGCGTCGCCGTTTAGTTATCAGGCGAATGGACAATCCATTATTAGGCTATTTCAATTGGTGGGCTATCACGAGTGACTAGCGAACGGTGGCACCGACTAGTGGCGAATTAAACCTCTCCGCGGTCATAGGATCAATGTGACGACACGATCCTTCAAAGAACCCTTTCATTTTCAGGCGGCTACAATGGAGATTTAGTCTCTGCTATACCACCCTTGGGAAGCCCTGGAGTAATTGTAAGGGGTTAAACCTGTTCGATTGTCAATGTATTGGGATTGGGAGTGGTCATAAGACGAGAAACCTGTTCCCCAGTGGAGCGCGGATGCAGAGAAGTGAGGTATAAGCTCGGTTTTGAGAGCGGCTATGAACGAGCGCTGCGGAAGACCCTGTGAGGAAGCAGAAAGCATATTCCTTTTCGATCTCTGATGAAAGATCTTTCTCTAATGTATGGAAGGACAGTGCTAGTACTCCAACTGGAGAGGCGGAGTCTGTGAATGGTACAGGCTTCCTATACAGGGTTACCGGAGAATGAGACTTGCGGGAGAAGCAAGGAGTATTTGTTCTACCGCCTTCATCGAACCACGTGTGGATCCTCTGACTGCGGATCCCAAGGTTTACTATAGTGAGTTGTACTCGGTCAATGCGAGTCAGAACTTGTCACTGTTCCTTTCTGTCAAAAGTCAATGAAGGGAGATATAGTGATATTGATGAAACAGATAGAATATACCAATGGCCTCTTACAAGCAAGGAAACCTGTCTTGAAGGGTTTGTACGAGGTTCTGAGGGACTCGAGGGGGTCGTGTACCATCATTCGGTTCGGGGTCCGCTTCCATTTCTGGAATGATGGCTGATGGGACGGAATCCATAGCCCACGCAGTTTGCTGTAAGGTCGAACCACCTCTGCGACTCGTGCAATACGAGGAGCGAGATTCTAGGTCTGTAACGTACCACTGGGCAAACAGACTGTGGGAAACTCGCCACATTTCGTCCAACGTCGGGGAGAAGACCCCAAATCAGTCATCACGGCGGACCTTGAAAACGCCCGTCGCACAGCGCGTCGGGCTCGTCGGTGGAATTGGCGCCGCACTCGCCTTCTTGCAATCTTCCACATCCAACCTTACTCCAAAAATCTTTTCTGATCCCACACAAAGCACATTCTATCTGCACACAAAAGATGGATCCATATCGAAAAAGCACACTCTACGATCTGAGCGGTCTAAAACTTCAGCCAGGAGCTAACAGGGTCAACGCAACACCCAGCTCCAAAGTCAGGCCTTCTCAGAGCAGCGTCAGGCTACAAGACACTCGTGGAAACTGGACAGCTCGAGACGCTGGAGGGCCTTCTCGTGTTTCGAAATTCTATCCCCGCTCCAGTGGATCTAAATCCTCGGAGGGTGCTGCTGATGACAACGGTGCCGTCGAAGATGGGCTCGCGGAAGAACTCGACCAACTGGAACCGTCGTCTCGAAATGTGGCCGAACGGCAACGACAGAAAGGGCAGAAGGAAGGGTCTGGAGTCGATGATGCCTCAGTTGAGGGTGCGAAACGTAAAGATGAAGGCCGGAAAGAAGGGAGGCCATCCAAAAGGCTTAGATTCTCCGAAGGACTGGAATATTTGGTTCGGGAGGCCGAGGAAGCGACGCGAGGAGGGTCACCTGGACCAAGCGATAGACTCCCTCTTCCTACCCCGGTTCGTACAGTTCTTTGTCTATTCTCCACTGGCAAATGAATCCTTACTTGCTCCATGAAGGAGTTACTCCAATCCATCCACGTTTTCGCAGCCCAGTATTACCACGAGAAAGGCCTGCTGACCAACCTCTCTGCAACGGCACGCCAGGAGAGGAAGAAGAGAAAACGGAAAGCGAGGGCCGAGAAGAGCGGGCAGGCTTATCAGTCTGGGGAATCGGACCACGAGAACGCGTCAACCGACTCCTCTTCTTCCAGTAGCTCTGAAAGTGAGACCGAGTCTGCGATCCAGCGACGAGATTCCCGGCGTTCGGAACGATTTCGTGATATGTATAGGGCATTCGATGGGTCTGCTTTGCTTGCACTGGGTACGTCATGAAGGCGGGTTAATGTGAATGACTGACTGACCCGGTCGTTTCAGGCATTCTGGTTCAGGAGTTTGTCAAAGACAACCTCCGAGCCAATATCCCTGCTGAATGGGAAGGTCAAACGCGGGAATCTCTAGGAGATGAGGCACGCGATTCGGATTCGGACGATCGGGAGGTGGAGGAGGACCCAATAGAACCGGAAGACGCCAGAAGTCCTTCGCTACCTCTAGACCGCTCTTCCCTATCCCCTAGAGAAACAACAGTTTCAGATTGAACCCACATGCAGGTGCCGGTGTCCTTTCCAAGTTTTTAAGACTCATTCTTTTTGATCATGACACCCTACACTCAATGCAGGTGAAGTGTTTGACGATCCCCATTCACGGAGGCATCTCTCACTTCGTACGGTGCTTTTTCGTAGGGAAAACCACGATGCATTCCGGCTATGGCAATCGAACTGAACGGTCTCCTCTCTTGGACTCTCCGTACGTCGCATGCGCGGGTACTGGCATCACGGTTGTCGCTTTTACCGTCCAGAAAAAGGCCGAAATAACCTGGAGCATTTTCCTTGACGTTTGAAACAACGACGCGGTCGGGGTAAAGGCATGACATTACGGGCATTAGATTAAATTAATGTGTATGCAAAAACAATGGACGTGATCAAGTGGACTTGGATGCGGACTGCTGAGCCTCTCGGAGGGCGGCAAGGGTTTTGGAGGTCGTTGGTACCGAAGGGTCAAAGTTCTGAGGCAAGCTTCCGTCCTCCCAGCTTTTGAGGATGTTGCCACCCACAATGCCCATGCGGTCACCAGGGAAGATCTTGAGTCTCTCCAACCGTCGGTCTCGCAGCTTGTTCTTGGGCAACATGCCGGATACAGCGTGGCGAATAATCTGGCAGAGTGACGGTAGCCGGTCAGAACTTGGGTAGGCAGGGTTCAAGTTAATGACGCACCTCGTCAGGTTTTCTCTCCTGCATCGTCTTGTAAGGCGTCTCCTTCAAACCACCAGGGAACATCGTGTGTTTTCGGTACAGCAGCTGTTCTTCCTTCTTTCCCGTCACCTTCACGCTTCGGGCGTTCGTGACGACCACGTAGTCGCCACAGTCGACTGTTGGGTCCATATTAGCTTCAGTAAGGGCCTTGAATGTGCCAGTTACGCACTGCTAGGGTCGTATATTGGCTTGTGCTTGCCCATCAGCACCAACGCTATCCTCTCTGCAAGTTTACCCAGAACGCGGTCGGAAGCGTCTACATGGTGCCATACACGAGCGTAGGCCAGTGTAGTCTATAGCTTTATTCAGCATAAACGTTCCAAACGTATAGAGACTGTTCCTTACATTTCCAACGGCCTGCGACATGGTGGACGGTTTTGACGATGTTGCGCGACCGCCAACGGAGCGTCGTCGTGCTAGCAAATTGGCCGTGATTTCCCACGGTCGCTGACAGCGGCTAACGGGCGTCAGACCCGCGAACCTCGCCTTAACCTCTATAACCCACCACCATCTTACTTTCCTCTCATTTTCTCTCAAGAAAGGACAGAAAGTACTGCTTATCCTTCTGACTCGCTGTAGACCGCTATCTGGCCTCGTTTTGGGATGAGGCTAGGGTGGAACCGACGTTCGGCTTGAACAATCTTAGACTACCATCTGACCGCGTTTGCACCTCGAATTTGTCGATTCAAAACAACGGGACGGCCATCTCTTCAGGGGCCCCCAAGCTCTCGTCTCGAAACGCTCACCTCGTTCTCGCACCAAAACAACGGGTTTGAACGTCTTCCTCCTCGTTCTCAGCGCTCTCAACCCTCGTGGCGAGTCGTAACCCGCAAAATGATTGGTATCTATGCTGGGTCACTTTGCACCAAACCTATGGGCATCTCAGTTTTTTTACCTTGGAAACGAGAACTCGCTGGATACAGTATGCTTTTCTCTTCTGACTTGGTCATTGAACACATGCACGGCTAATTCTGGCAGCGCTTCTCGTCATCTGCGGCGGCCCTCATGACCACTTCCAAGCGCCAAGTTGGGTGTTTACCCGAGTGATGCTGCCAGTTGGCCAATCTATGCTTTCTATACTCTTGCATCTTTCAATATGTTTTGTTTTCTCTCAGTGGCTGTCTCTGGCTATGGGCGCTGCGGTGCCACTGACCGCATAGGACTCTCACACTTGGACCCTTTCCTTGAATTATTACGGGAAGGTGCACTTGAAACCCTTTGTATCGGTTATTTCTCTGACCAATCGAGGTAAGTCTTGGTGGAAAGAGAGCGGGCGGGTGTTCGAGGCGTTTAGCTTATCTCTGTATCGCCGATGTAGTGGACGAGTGGGCAGGATCTAGGAACACTTTGGGGCCTACGTACAGTACAGGCATGAGAATGGGTTCGACCTGTGCCTCGGGTACACAAATCCTTCTATTCGATGTTTCTCTGGCTTTCGACTGGCCCCGCTCGAGATGGACTGCCCGCTTGTTAGGGATCCATGCGGTGCTGGTGGGTACTTTTTTCCGCCTCTCTGCTGGGATATCATTGATTCCAGGACCCCGGAAAACCTGGGGCGAGCCTAGTGACGACATTCTGTCGAAAAATCCGGTTTCTTTTCTGCCAAAATTGTCCGGTTTGTCGCCAGGTTCGTGTCTGGACGCTCAAAATTTCCGGTTTTGGAACCTTGGTCTGACTTTTTCTTTCGATCCTCAGGCGCCCGTAAGCGCCCAGAAACGCGATTTTCCCCTTCAGCCACCTTAACAGAAGCAGATAATGGCGTGAACCGCACCTTCTCAGGGAAATTGAGTCTTTGACGTCGTCAGAAGGCACGGCAGGCCCCAATTCCCGAGCTCCTGGCCGGTTTCTGTCCCTAGGTGGAAGCCTTCGCCCATTGGAAATCCGGTTTCTTGACCCAGGTGAAGGCTTATTTTCGGCCAAAAATTCTGATTTTGGGTCGAAAAATCCGGTTTCTCCGCTAGGTTAGGCGGGTTTTTGGCACGTTTTTTTCCGGTTTCTGACCTAACTCCCCCCTAGATTTTCCGGGGTCCTTTGATTCCCCTGCTTTTCCCTGCAGGTCGGCCTCGCTTGGCTAATTAATGCCCGAGGCAAGTCTTGGGTCTCTTGGGGGTATATTTCACCAGCCAATCGTTGCCCTCAGACAGCCGCCGATCTCCCGACTTGCCATTACGCGTAATGTCCATTATAAACTGCTGGATGGGAATGTATTTTCCTGTTCTCCAAAGAGTGTGAAATCTGAAACTACCCCACGAGGACGGGACTGGCCTTCAAGCAACAGGTCGACCTGAAGCGATCGCAGAGAGCTTCGTGTGTGGGGAAACTAACCGCTTTCACGTCTTTCAGGGCGTATGTTCCGGGCGGAGTCCCCTTAGCCTATCTTGCAGTTATTGCATTTTCAGCTCATTGGCGCCCGGTAAAAAAATGTACGGTGAGCGTGGACCTCTTACCATGGCACCCTCGTCCTTGGGGTACTCACACGAGAGGATCCTCTCCCCACCGGCAACCCTTGTCATTCCTCCCAATTACCTGGTAGAACGGGCTGCTGGATTACCGGACGGTAGTCAAGACCCAGCTCCGCCGGTGGGTCAATCGACCGGGCTCATGCAGCCAGCCGCTTCGCCACACCCTACCACAGCGGTACGTATCATCTCCTTGAAGGCCCGCAACAACTTACAGGGCTCTTTGAAAACACTACTTAACGAGCAGGTGGAGCTTCAAGTTCCAGCAGCGTTACTTGCTTGGTGACCATCTCGAATCCAGACCTCTGGTTTACTGTGTATCGCTATCGCTAACCAGAGGGTTTTCAAGGGCGAGAATCGGCCGCCCACCGGGTATTCATCCGACCTTTGGAAATTCCGCATCCGACGGGTTCAACTTACCCGATATTTCTACCTCAGGCTATGCAGGGTCGCCTTCATTCCTTTGCATACCTGAAGTAGCAGTACTACTAGTAGGTGCGTCGCCAACTCGACGCCTCAAGTGATGAATGAACTCCCCACCAATATCGAAAAGTAAAAAGGGCCCTTTCGTTCTCATTTCCTTACTTTCGCCACTGGGAATATTGCGACAAGAGATTAATTCACGGAGACTCTGATAGCGGGGTACCTACTACCAACTTGAAGCTCGGAGCCACTTTGCTGGAGGGTGGGAGGATGAGAGCCCGATTGAGACGAGGAAACAAGGCATGAACGCGATGTCGAACCCGCATTCCCTCAGCCTGGGTCATGAGGGGTCAAGATGTTTGAATCACCCTTACCTACGATCAGGCGGGTTGCTAATAGAGGGGTGTAAAGAAGCAAGGTAAGTACTTACTTATCATGACTTACTACTATGTCTTGTTCATGCTCCGGTTCCATTCAGGAGTTCTAACAAAGTCAGATTTATACGCAAACTTTAATGCATACCACTGTGATAAGGCGCTTACTTTCCGCGGACTCGGATTGCTCCCCGCAACCAGTGTATGTAACTAACTGGGTTTCGTTTCCTTTTCGAACCTTGCAAGCTCTCACCCGACACGGACTAATGTCAAGTCCAACGCAGCACCTCCCAACTCGCCACATAGTAAATATGTAGGTGGCCTCGTGACCCATTATAGTATCTTGACGACGAACAACTCGAGTCAACAAGGTTCAGCCCAAGTTCTCTCATTCCATCATCCTCAATCGGGGCGCTCAGTTCTCACTGGCGTACGCGTCGAGCGCCACACCGGTTTTCGAGGTCGAAGGTGGTCATAATCTACGTCATTGTCAAGTTACTCTGTGACTATGACTTGTGATGCCTTTTCGACGACTTCGACGACGCTTCACTGAGCACTCTGTGTATGTAGTCCATCAACTGCCTTTGATCAAAACTGGGGAATCAGATGCGGCGCTTTTCCCCAGCGCTTACGGATAATTCGGAAATACATCCGCACACGACTCAGGCTGCCAGACGATTGGCCGTTGTCGATTCCTCCGAGTGAATTCAACACTTGCATGGATCTAGGCACACGCTGGGTGTAATACTAATTGGTGCGTGAACACTATCTCTATTTATGTTTGTGCACTGGGGAAGAGTCGTACGCTGTCGTACTTGGAGAGGGATTGGTTCGTACATAGTTAGTGGCGCAGAGTGAATTATAATTCCATCGACCGACACCCCCCAGCCACTGACATTGGCACTGAATAACCGAAAGCCTCCTACGGAGTGGACGGTCTCTTAGTCTATGTAGTATGTACCGCACATGCAATGAGAAGATGGCGGTGGAAAGATGACCATGATCTCTTCAGAGAGAATTCAAATGGAAGCAATTGCAACTTAAAAGGTTGGAAGCGAAGCCTCGAAATAAGGCTCAACACAAGAGTTCAGAATCGTCCATATATTCGTCCATATATTCGTTGATGCTTTCCGCACGGCATGGCCGCATGGGGTAAGGTGATTCTCAGGACATTCTTCGGGAGTGAGCGGGTAGAAGGCGTCCTGCTAATGCTTGCATGTCGATCGTCGGATGGTGAAGTGATACCTCAGCTGAGTGGGTGGGAGGAGAGGGGGCGTGGAACTTGCAAACCGCCGGTAAATGTTCTCTTCCTCTAGGTGGTGTTCGAGTTCACATAGGGTTGACTGGGTCCACCCTCGACTATCCTCCCAAGAGGCCTGGCTTTAAATTACAGAACGGAAACAAATGTCTATAAATCATACATACATACGTGCAATACATCACTCACTACCCGACTCGTGAACGTTTGAACTTGGACGCGAAACAGGAAGGAAGAAAAAAAAATGCGCACAGCAAAATAAAATCGAATAAAATCGTCGTCATCACAGAAAAAAAAAAGAAACAAAACCTCCTCCAGGAAAAGTACCCCGACACCCACTACGAAAACAACGTAGGCCCTCTCGCTCTCACATCCAACGGCGGTACCCACTCAGGCACAGGCACCTTCCCCCACTCAAACCTATCCGCCTTGAACGCCTCCCCCACCCCCTCCGGCAAAATCTCACCATAATTCGGCGGTAAATTCTGGTCACCAGCAAAACCCGGTATAACACCATAATGCGCCTTGTCGAAATCGAGTTTTTGGCTGCTGATAGAGGTGGGTTGCGTAGGACCGGTGGCGGTGTTGGAAGCGACGTTGAACCCGGATGAACCGCTTCCGAATGCTGAGAAGGGGCTTGCGGTGGAGGGTTGGGAGGGTTGGCCGAAGACTGATGTCGTCGTCGTGTTGGTGGGTGCGCCGAATGCGGATGTCGCCGGTGCGGGTTGGCCAAAAGCCGAGGTGGGTGCGGCTGGCTGACCGAACGAGGATCCTCCAAAGGCGTTGGTGGAGCCGCTGCCCCCAGCGGCAGCATTCGCGCCAAACCCTGAAGGCTGACCGAACACGGTCGGATTTTGGGGTGCGCCAAACGCCGATGGCGTCCCCGTCCCGGGAGCAGTATTCGTACTATTCGCGAACGCAGAGAAAGCAGATGGAGTTGTGGTGGTGGTGCTTCCAAACGCGCTGGTAGCCGGAGCTGGAGATCCAAAAGCCGACGTTCCCGTAGACGACCCGCCCCCGAAAGCACTACCCGTATTCGTGGAGCCAAATCCAGTCTGTCCAAAGACTGATCCGCCAGCAGGTTTGTTGGCTGCTGCAGCAGCAAATGCTGAAGGCTGGTTGCCCGAGAAGGCAGAGAACGCTCCGCCACCCGTTCCTCCCGCCGTACCAGTGCCTGTACCAGAAGCAGCACCAGCGCCAAATGCACTAGGGCCAGAACTAGCGAACGAGCTGAAAGCACCTGAGGCAGGTTTGATCAACCCTCCTCCCCCGGAGCTAGCACCAAACCCAGTTTGGCCAAACGCTGGTTGACCAAACGCGGACGTCGTCGTCGTCGTCGGCTGGCCGAAAGCGCCGGTGGTTGTTGCACCCGTACCAGCAGCGGGCGTTGTCGTGCTACCCGACGCTCCGAACCCAGTCTGACCAAACGCGGGTTGGCCAAAAGCAGGCTTTCCAAACGCAGATGTCGAGGCAGGTTGGCCAAAGGCTGAGGTCCCAAAGGCGGAAGGGGTGGTGGTGGTGGTGCTTCCGAAAGCCGAGGCCGTGTTGGCCGGTGTGCCAAAAGCAGAGGTAGCAGGAGCAGGAGCGCCGAACGCCGAGGTGGCTGGTGCTGGTGTGCCGAATGCTGATGTCCCTGCGGCGGGGGCACCAAACGCGGAGGGAGTTGTGGTGCTGCCAAAGGCAGACGTTGTGGTGGGTGCGCCGAACGCCGATGTGGTTCCTGCCGAACCGAATGTGCCAGTTCCACCGGGTGCGTTGCCCTTGCCGTATTGTCCTTTCGCCATCTCGTATACTTGGAGATGGTTTGTGAGCGCACCCTAGGCCAATAGCTGAGTTCTGTAAACGAGATAGAAGCACCAAGACATACAGATAATCGAGATTCGGCTTGCGAGATGGTGTTCGCCTCAAACGTGAGCTGTATACAGAGTAAGTTAAAGACGCGTTAAGAAAGGGATAAAACGCGCACATATTCATTGGGATTGTTGGCAGCCTTTGCGGCAGCAGCCTTGACTCGTAGTTCCTCCATCGACATGTCCAATCCACCAATCACGGTGGGCTCGAACTTGGCGGGTCCATAGGAAGACAGTGGCCATAGCGGTTTGTCTTTTCCAGGTGTCAGGTCGTCTCTGATACTGTCGGTGCTGTACATTTCAAGAACCAATCCATGTCAGCCGGTGGATTGACGATGGTCTAGGGCTGGGTCGACGAACGTGAAAAGGGTGATCTTTGGGTTGTTCCCAGTGCTTGTCGTGCGGTTCCAGGCAGATCCTAGTTTCGACCTGAGTTTGAAGGACAAGGAGGGGTTAGATGAGACTCACCGCCAAACCCACCACCCGGTTTTGCGTCTGCTGGATGCTCGTTTCTACAGTCGTTACCGAATCTGCATACTCCTCGCAGATAGAATTGACATATTGCCTGTGTTCAACGTTGTGTCAGGTCTAGGACGCGACAAAATGCGAGCTCACCATTGCGATGTGTTTGCGTCTTCCAAGGACTCCTCGAGTCGTAAAAAGTGGTTTATCAGGGGAAAGAGTATCTGAACAGTCTCATGGATAGTCAAAACAGACGTAGACGGCGGTCGTCGCAGGCAACAACGACGAGCAAGAGGCAAGCGCTGGAAGCATCTTGTTCCCACGGCCCTCTCACCCGAAACCGCCGTCCCCGTCCACAATCGTCGCCAAACAGGTTCCTTCCACCGTCAACAACGACGATGAGCATCCTCATCGTCGCCTTCCATGCAACAACAACAGCAACAACAGCAACAAGTATCACTGGACGAATGGGTTTCCAATGTCATGCAACATGACCCCATGCGTGTCTACCGCGCTAGACGGGATGCGCACCATCGACCGGTTACCTCGAAATATGCGATCCTAGGCTTCATCTCTTCTGGAACGTACGGACGCGTGTATAAAGCTCAGTCTATCAACGGAGGAGAGCTTCTGGCCATTAAAAAGTTCAAACCAGACAAAGAGGGCGATGTGGTCACCTACACTGGAATCAGCCAGAGTGCAATTCGTGAAATCGCGGTGCGTTTTTGCTTGTATAATCTTTGCGAACTTTGAATTGATTATTATCTAGTTGAATAGAGAAATAAACCATGAGAATGTAGTGGCCCTTCGAGAAGTGATCCTCGAAGATAAATCCATCTACATGGTCTTTGAGTACGCAGAACACGACTTTCTCGTTCGTCCCCTTTCTCCTTCTCTCAACCAACAACTCTAACCGACTCTGATTCCAGCAAGTAATACACCACTACTACCAAACCATCCGTACATCAATACCAACCGCAGTCCTCAAATCCCTGATCTACCAACTCTTCAACGGGCTCATCTACCTCCACGCCTCCCACATCCTCCACCGCGACCTCAAACCCGCAAACATCCTCATCACCTCCCAAGGCGTCGTCAAAATCGGCGACCTGGGTCTCGCACGTCTATGCTACGAGCCCCTCCAACCTCTCTTCGCCGGCGACAAGGTCGTCGTAACGATCTGGTACCGCGCACCCGAACTCTTGATGGGCGCGAAGCACTACAATAAAGCGATAGATTGCTGGGCTGTGGGATGTGTTATGGCTGAATTGGCGAGCCTGAGACCGATTTTTAAAGGTGAAGAGGCGAAGCTGGACTCGAAGAAGAATGTACCGTTTCAGAGGGACCAGTTGATCAAGATTTTCGAGGTGCTGGGAACGCCGGATGGTGCGTCAATACCCTTTCTCTCCTTCCCTCTTCTTTCTCTCTGACAGACGTTTCTTTTGTTCTCAGAACGAGACTGGCCAGGTGTAGTCGACATGCCTGAATATCGGAACATGAAACTCCTGGACCAGTAAGCCCACGACCCTCCCTCCCCTCCTTAAATCCCATTCTAACTTCCCCATCCAGCTTCTCAAACCGCCTATCAGATTGGTGCCACACCCGTATACGTTCACCTCAAGGCTACGACCTCCTCCGCCAACTCTTCGCCTACGATCCCGATAACAGACTAACAGCAGAACAGGCTATTCAGCATAAATGGTTCCACGAGGATCCGTTGCCTACCTGGAAGTACGTCACTCACCCCTGCATAATGCAGGTTATGTTATCCTACGACGTTACTCACCCTTTTTCTCTGATAGCGCCTTCCAATCCCTCGCACAGCACCAAATCCCACCATGCCGACGTATAACCCAAGACGAGGCGCCATCCATGATGCCCATGGCCACCCAACAGAACACGCAACAAGCAATGGGGGGTGGACACATTGCAGGTATGCATCACCAATTGCTCAATAAAAATTTTCCCATGTCCGGACGAAAAAAAAAAAAAAAGCTAACTATGAAACCGACTTTTTCCATTTCACAGGAGGAGCAGGCGCGCCGTTTTCCAAACCGGGGAGTACAGCCAGTTTTGCGAGCCTGAGCGGTGGTGGGCCGTACGCCCAGAGTCAGGGTGGGACTGGAGGTCACACTGCGCATACGAGGAAGAAGGCTAGAATGGGGTAGAATGAAGGTTGGGTTTAGATCTTTTTTGTATCAGTGAGGTTTTGCATCGATTTTGGAATGACCGGTGAGACTGACTATGCACCAGGGCTACATATACATACTTACTACACATTGGGACTAAGTACTACCGATATCCTCGCAGTGGCAGCCATTTGCTTTGACCTTGGTGGGTGTCTGCCAGTGGTGGGCCATTTCCTGGTTCTGTGAGAAAAATCAACGCGGTATCTGGTTCGTGTTGAGCCCAATCGGTGGGAGAGTGGTCGAATACTGTCGATTTAGATGGGTGAAAATAACAAGGATTCAAGGAAGCAAACCTGTAAAACTGTGATGTACTTACAGCGGCACCTGGGCCAGGTGACCTGGTGTTGGGCGTTCGACGTGGGAATTCGCCGAGTCGGAGCTCGCGCTCGAATGCGCGGTCGTTGGGGTCGTTGCTCTCGAAAGTAATCGGTCTATAGTCCCAACGATTGCCGGAAGGCGCGATTAGGGTCTCATACAGACCTTTGGACTAGATAACGAACACCAGGCGCGGTTGATGCGCTCCCCCCTAATTACACCCCTAACTACGGGCGGAGTTTGGAATGCATCCAAACATCCCACAACCTAATGATTTTTTGAACCTTGGTTTGGACTCACCCATGACCGAGCCCATGGCAGTGGTCCCAGAGTCAATGACCCTGGAAAGTAAGTAGCCCCAAGGAAATCTTAACGGTCTAACATTGAACGGTAATATCTAGTGGATCCAAATGCTCGACGCGCTTGGATTGACTCGCGCATCGCCGCCCTCGAAGACGAAATTCGCCGGTGGAAGAGCAGCAGGAACGAGTTATCAGTAATCTCGCGCCTACCGCCTGAAGTTCTCACTCGGATTTTCGAAGCCTATAAACAAATGTGCGATCGCTACGGTCGAACGGGCAATACGCCTCAGCCGCGGCAACATTATATCAAACTATATCAATGGACTCGAGTGACACACGTTTCCCGCTACTGGAGGGAAGTCGCCCTTGGATGCCCGTACCTGTGGTCGGACATTCGAACCGTCAACCACAACTGGGCGAGGACATTCTTGGAGCGGTCGAAGCAGGCGCCCATCTCCCTCAACGCCACGGAGTCTCTTTCCGTCACGAACATGGAAGACTTCGAAGACGAGATCCTTGCGCAGTCCCACCGACTGAAGAGCATTCGAGTTTATGGGGGCGCTTCTTTCGAAAAGAGAGTTCAGGAATTGACCAATCCTACCCCCCTGCTTCAAAGCCTGATGATCACGCGCGGATATCAGAACCAGAATGCGGCCAGCCCAATCCTACCCACGGAATTCCTCAGTGGCGAGGCTCCGAAACTTCAGGACTTGGAGTTGGATGGATATTGGCTACCTTGGGACTCGACCGTCCTGTTCCGTGGATTGACGTCGCTCAAGCTAACTTTCTATCCACCAAGCCACACCCCTCCGCCTAGTCCTGAAACCTTCTTCGACGTACTCGAAGCCATGGAGGGTCTTCAAACCTTGTACCTTGATATTCCCTTACCTATATCGCCTCTCGCAAAACACCGCACCATCGCACTTGCACGCATGGAGAAATTCACGCTGAAGGGCTTTCTATCCGGCTGCACCAACGTCATGACGCATCTGGCACTTCCGCCTTCGTCAACATTGCATATTTTTGCCATCCAGAAGGAGGAAGACACTGCCCATAGTAACGTCACGATGGCCGACCTGTCGATCTCGATCACCAATTCGTGGCTTTCAGGCCATCTAGGCTCCAATTCCACAACCCCCGCCTCCGCCCCAAGCGTCCTGAAGTCTCTGGAACTTGATACCAATGACGTGCTGTCTAACAGCGTCAAAGGATATCTCGTGGATAACGACTCCCCACACCGCCCAGGTGGTTGTAGGAACGTACCCTCCCTCGAGCTGCGGGTTGCTGGGGACTACTCAGGCGCCGAAAGCGCCGACTGGCTCCCCGATCTCCTTGGCGGGCTACCGCTGAACGATGTCTGTACAGTCGCTATGACTGGTGTGATTGAGGAAAGCACGATGGCATTCCTCGCTGGCTTACCGTCCGTCCACACGCTTTCAATTGACAGGGACAACGGTGCACAGTTCTTCAGATGTGTCGAGGCCGATCCGGTGCTCCGACCCATAGTCACCAAACAAAGACCAGTCCGACAGAAAGCGAAACCGGGTGCACACTGTCGGACACCACAACCACAGCCCACGCACCTGTCCTACTTCCGCGCGCTGAAGAAACTGATTTTTTATAGAGCAGACTTTCGCGTGCAAGGGATTGACGCTGGTGCCGTGGTGGATTTCTTGATGGCACGATACGAGTTGGGTGGGGAGATTGAGGCGCTGGAGTTGATAGAGTGCGTTGGGCTGTACCAGGACGATGTGAAGGAGTTTGCGGAGGTTGTTCTCGATGTCGAGTGGGACCGGAAAGTCGTTGATTGGTACACGGATGAGGAAGACGAGGACGAGGACGAGGACGAGTGTAGACATTGTGGAGGTGATGGATGTGTCTGGTGCGAAGACGATGACGATGACCATGACTTCTACTGCGACCCTTACGATGGTCCCTTCATGGGTTATTGGTGATTTCTGGTCTACTAGTCGATTAAAATCTCGCTATCCATCCAATTCCCTTCTCTCTTTCGACTCGAAGGCAGTCGACGATGGGGCTAAACCAAACCGTCGACCGTTGAACTTTTAGTACTTGTTTCGGGAAACCTGATTGAAGGACCATCGCAGAATGTGCACTAGTCGCATGCGCAATGCGTCAGGGCTGCAGGGGAAAGCAATGCCGACCGTTTATTAGGTAGCAATATCATAAACTACAAGTATGTAAGGTAATTCATAAAATCGCTGTCGACACCGTAGCAATTACTGCATCCCGGCATGCCGCAGCCATCATGATAGTCGCCGTCATCCTCATCATCCTCTTCGTCCGAATAGCACTCGATCTCGTCCCCATCCCAGTCGACGTCCACTACAACCTCCTCGATCCTATCCACGTCCTCCCCATACAGCCTCACACAACCGTTCAGTTCCAACGACTCGATCTCTCCTCCCAACTCGTACCGCATCATCAACCAGTCCAAAAACACATCCATGTCGATGCCTTCAAAGTCGGCGGATTCGAATACGAGTCGTTTGACCGATGCAAAGCGAGTCAGAGATCCACTTCTTGGTTCACTCGTCGAGTCGGGCGTTGTCATATCAAGAGCAGGATCAGCTTTGGCGTAAAAGACAAAATCTTCGGCGGCGTATCGCTCGGCGTAAATCGTGTGAAGGGATGGTAAGCGGGATAAAGGCATCAGTTCGTGGGAGGAGCAGCTGGAGTTCAGGTTGAGGGCGAGGACGTCGTTCAAGGGGAGTGCGGCGAGGAGCTCAGGGAGGAATGTGTTTTTGTCAAGTCTCAAGTACAGGGTTGGATGATCCCGAGTCCGGTCAACGAGTTCCATCATTTCAGGGGCGTTATTTGCCTCGATGATTGCACGGTAGAGGTCGCTATTGACGGAGATGCATTCGAGTCTGCACGACGAGCCGTAGGAAGAATTGGAGAGGGGCCCGGCAAGCCAAGATGATGATATCGAGTTCCCAAATGCCATTACGTCGCCTTCGGTGTCATCCGGACTGTTGAATATATAGAACTTGGCGGAGAGAGCAGGAGGAAGGGCAAAATGTTTCATAACAGTCCCACATTCACGGAAACTTCCGCGTATTGTGAGAGATTCGAGTTGCGGGAGTGGGATGATGAGGAACGTTGAGAGGGGATGAATTGGAAGGTTGAGATCCAGATCCAGTTCGCGTAGGTTCTTCATAGACTGGAACCCTCCAAAGAAGGCTTCCGGACTTGGAGCATTGTCGGATGTCCTGGGTATCGAATTGCTCAACTTGAGCGATGTGAGGCTGGAGGATATGGACGAGATGGTAGACCAGGAAAACTGGTATCCGGTCCAATGCAAGTCCCGAAGCATTGGCGCCTGGCCTCCCAGAAGGTTATCCGGGATCCTCGACTGGCCATAGCCAGGGCCGCATTCGAGCACCAGGCTCCGGAGAATGGGTGTCGAGGGAGAAAGCTCCTCGAGTCGTTGGTGAACGAAATCGTTGTGACCGGTGATTTTGAGGTCCTTCAGACGGTGTGGTTGCGAGAATGCGCTTTTGATCATCTCGGCAAGTTGGGGTTTCGTGTCCCAGTACGCCCAGAATGAGAGGGAGATTGGGGCCTGCTTGGAGCGCTCAAACATAGCCTGGGCCCAGTGGGAGTTGGAGGTGGTGATATTGGACCAAAGCTCCGGGCAGCCCAGCGCTGTATCCCGCCAATACCGTGAAACATGTGCGACCTTGGTCCAGTCAAAGGCCTTCACGTGTGACGATGTACGATGTTGCTGGTGGTGAATGAAGACGCGACTGAGCACCTCCGGTGGCAACCGAGATATTGGAGACAGCTCGTTTCTGTCGCTCCTCCATTTTCTAATCTCTTCTTGGAGCTCCGCAATGCGCGAGTCAATAAAGTCGCGTCGAGCTGCGCGCTGGGCTTTCTGTTCCCGTTCTTCTGCCACGTCGGACACTGGTAAAATTGGACCTTGGGCATTTGAGTTTGCTGTTCCGACATGAAATGCTCCGGGGCTTACCAGATTGTGATTCCGGTTCCTTAGAAGCCATTTGACCCAGGCTAAACGGATTGTTGGACCAAAAGAGCAAGAAGCAAAGTGCAGTCGACGCGTTTCGCGCGCTTCCCCTAATTTATCAGCGGAGTTTGTACATGGTTCCCACGATCAAACAATTGCCGCGATGGTCAATTTACAAGCGACGACTTGGTTTTTGACCACGATGACCGTGCCAGCGCCAATGGTACCAGAGTCTATGGCCCTGGCGGGTGAGTAATTCAGTCTCAGGGAACCTTTTATTACTGAAAAAATCGAAACAAGGCTTATCGGCCACTGACGATCCGAATGCTCGACGCGCTTTGATTGACTCGCGCATCGCCGCCCTTGAAGACGAGATTCACCGGCTGAAGAGCAGCAGAAATGAGCTGTCAGAAATCTCTCGACTCCCGCCTGAGGTTCTGACTCGAATATTTGTCATCTATGAAGAAATGTGCAACCCCGACTCGGTGGACCATACGACATGGCGACCCGTCATTCTCAAGCCATATCAATGGACGGACGTGACCCACGTTTCGCGGTACTGGAGGGAAGCGGCACTCGGATGCCCGGAGCTATGGTCAAATATCCGAACCAGCAACTGCAACTGGGCAATGGCTCTTTTGGAACGGTCCAAGCAAGCCCCAATCTCCCTCGACGCCATGCAGGCTCGCAGTCCGAAGCTTGACGCCCTTCTCACCGACGTTCTTGCGCAACCCCAACGCCTGAAGAGCCTTCGGCTTTCCGGACACTCTTCCATTGAGAAGCGCCTTGGGGAAATGACTTCCCCGGCTCCCCTGCTCCAAAGCCTGACGATGAGACGCGATTATGTATCGTATTCTTCCTCCGAAATCCTACCCACAACTTTCCTCGGTGGCGAAGCTCCAACGCTTCAGAGTTTGGAGTTGAATGGCTATTTTCTGCCGTGGGACTCGACTCTGCTTCGTGGGCTGACGTCGCTGAAGCTAAATTTCACACCATCGAGGAATCTCCCTCGTCCTAGCCCCGAAGCGTTCTTCGGAGCACTCGAGGCAATGGAGAGTCTCCGAACCTTGCACCTCGATACCCTGCTACCGGCATCTCCTCTCGAAAATCACCGCACCATTACCCTTCGACATATGGAAGAATTTCGACTGAATGGGCCTATGGCCGACTGCGCCAATATCATGACTCACGTGGTGCTTCCACCTTCGGCTATCCTTCACTTTGTGGTCTCAAAGAAGCCTGACGAGAGTGTCCAGAGCATGACCGACCTGTCGACCTCCATCGCGGCTTCGTGGCTTAGCGGCCCTCTTTCAAATTCTTCAATCACCACACCAAATGTCATCAATACCGTCGAACTCGATTTCGGATACAATACGTTCTCCTTCCGTGGATACCCACGGGATGCTGAGCGCCGCCTTTCAGGCTCATGCAGGGGAACCAGGAACCAAGCATCCCTTACCCTACAGGCTGCAAGAGAATCCATTTCCCATCTCCTTGCTGGGCTCCCATTGAACAATGTCCGCACCGTCGCTCTGACTGGCGGCATTGACGACAGCGCTTTGGTATTCCTTGGTCGACTTCCCTGCCTCCACACCCTTTCTGTCGACCACGACACCAGTGAAGGCTTCTTCAGATATATCGCTGCCGATCCGGCGCTCCGACCCATGGTTATCAAGAAAGCCAAGGCCACAACAGGGACCCGGAAACCGAAGCCACAGCCCACCCAGTTGTCGTACTTCTCCGCGTTGAAGAAACTGATACTCAGTGGAGCTGACTTCCGATACACTTTCACGGTCGACGCCTTTTTGGATTTCTTGATGATGCGCTACGAGCTGGGTGGGGAGATTGAGACGCTCGAATTGATGGGGTCCGTCGGGCTGCACCCAGGCCACGTAAAGCAGCTCAGGGAGGTTGTCGTCGACGTGGAGTGGGACGGGAAGACCATTAATTACTATTCGGATGAGGAAGAGGACGAGGAAGACGAGTGTGAGTACTGTGGACGCGATGGGTGTGAGTACTGCGACGATGATTTTTATGATTACGAGCCCACCATCGAAGACTTGCTGTCCGACGGTTACTGGTAGTGTATAACCTCGTGTATCGTTAACTTTAATTACTCCTTTTTGTTTCCTGTGTCTCTTCCCACCAATAGCTCAACTATGTATGTGTTGGCGTCCGGGCTGAATCGAACCGCCGACCTCAGGCTGAACTTCGGCAAATACCGACAACTCGCTTTTTCCGTTCATTCCGCCGGCAAAGGCATTTTGAACTCGTCCTACGTTCTACGGCTCATATGTCGCTGCAATCCATTCTGAACCCTACAACGTTGACAGGTAAAGTGGCTTTCACCCCTTTGAAAGGATCTAATGAGCTTACAAGTCTAATTCAGAACCGCTCCCATTGAGCGCGACAGCGTCCCAACGACGCGCCCAACACAAACTTATTGGATCGCGTATATCAGCCCTCGAAGAGGAGATACGACAGTGGAAGAGCCGTCAAAACGAGCTTGCAGAGATATCGCGGTTGCCACCTGAGATTCTCAGCCGGATTTTCGTCTGCTACAAGGAACTCATATCCTCGCAGGGCGGCCGAAGCGAATCTCTATACTGGACCAAGGTCTATCATGTTTCGCAGCACTGGAGAGCAGTAGCTTTGAATTACCCCCAACTATGGTCCACCATCGACACCTCCCACGGCCACTGGGCCAACGCGATGTTTGAACGATCCAAGCAGGTCCCCATATCGTTCATCTATTCTCGACACCACCCATTCAAATCATTCGAGGATCTTGCCTTGAACGTTTTCTCACAGGCGCAACGCCCGGAGAGCCTCGAAATCCTCGATGGTCCGCGCTTCCTCAATGAGCGCGTTCAACAGCTAATAGCGCCAGCTCCACTTCTTCGACGACTGAAGTTTGAACGTGGATAACGCGGTGGACGTCCCTCTCCCGGCGCGGTTTCTGGGCAATGACGCCCCTCAGCTGCAGTACTTGGAGCTGCTGAATTTCAAGGCTCCCTGGCACTCTATTTCATTCAAAACCTTGAGAACAATGAAGCTATCCTCGATTGCTCGAATCCATCCAGAACCACAGCCATTTTTCAGCGCAATTGAGGAGATGAAGGATCTTGAACACTTGGATTTGGACGTTGGGCTTCCAACCAAACCTTTATCCACCAATCGCATCACCCCCCTCAGCCACCTGAAAACACTGAAGTTAAAAGGCTCGCTGCCGGAGTGCAACAATGTCATGAAGCATTTCGCCATCCCCGTTTCAGCCACCTTGGACCTGACTTGCACCATTAAAGCTGGCGACACACGGACAATTGCCTCGACTTTTGGATCGACCATTACTTCCTCATGGCTCGCATCTCCCCTCTCAGACACATCGCCCCCTCTCAAATCCATAGTGTTCGGAGGGTACCATACCATCCAAGGATTTTTCAAGACTGTAGATTTCGATCATAGCACCAAGACGGAGCCTCCCCTCAAGGTATATGTCAACGAAACCATTTTGGAGTTGTCCTCAGACCTCCTTTCCGCACTGCCGTTGGACAAGGTTGAAACCCTCGGTCTATTCCATTGCACAGCATGGTCACTCTTACCAGCAGTTTCCCTGCTACCTCACCTGCACACCATCTGCATCGATCGACTTGGAGGTGATGATTTCTACCTGTACGTCGCAGCCGATCCAGCCATTCAACACCAAAAGCCCCGTAAACCGTTCACGAAGACCCCTATCACCCTGGATACAGTGACTGGAAGCCTACCGCCAACGACCTTAACGCGTTTTCCCTCCCTTACGACGCTCATTTGCAGAAACGTCGATTTCATGAACGTCATCCCCTTATCTGACTTCAAAGAGTTGTTGATGTTACGGGCGGAGAAGGGGAGGCCGCTTCGGTCGCTGCATCTGGAGAAGTGCGTCCGACTGGATCGTCAGGACGTTGATGAGTTGGCGGACATTGTGGACAACGTTGAGTGGGATGGAGAATTTATCGATACGTATTCGGACGAGGAGTCTCAGGGGCCGGAATGTGGGGATTGCGGGACGTCGGGATGTGAGCATTGCGATTTTTGAAACTGCAGGTTGACTGGTACTCCTTTCTTGACTTTTAAGGTTTAATTCTGCTCCTAACCCTCTTAGGACAATAAACATGATTTATATAATTCTGCTCCTTGTTTCGTAATCTACGCTTGAATTAATTGGCTTTGAGGACGGATCGAACTTGCGACTTGCCCCTCCCACATAGTAAGGACTGCGAAATTCCTTGCTCCAAGCTTCCGAGCACTCTTCACAAGTCCCCGCTATCTGCGTAGCCAAATTAAGATCCATACCTATACCCCCCTCACACGCATCTTTATTTAAATACCTTCCGATATATCAGATCTCAGAGCCACGCGATCCCCTCTTGTGTCATGGTGCGCGTGGGTCTTTGAAATTGGGCTCTCGGCTCGGGCTCGTCGAGGTGTGGAGTGGGACGGGAAAGCTTAGTGTGTCTTTTACTTCCGGCGGCTCTTTCTGTGGGTTGTCCAGGTTCACAATTCTGTCTTTCACCTTGTAGTCCTTTTATCAACGATCGCATTGCTTCCTTGTTTTCAAACGCCGAATGTCTGTGCAGAATGGCACTGACACTCCTAGTCGGTGCCAAGGGACTTGCTTGTGACCAGATTGACGGTCGCTTTTCGCAAGGACTATGGAATTTACATTTTCTTACTCAAAGCACTTGCAAAGCTTTCAGGTTCCACGTACCGATGTTATGTACTTATTTGGCTCTGAGTGTAATTGGATTGTGGGAAGCTTTCCCAGGTATACGGTGTGATGCATTAGTCGCGTCGACCTTCACGTTCCTTCTGCTCCTTGGGTCTAATCTGTTTAGCCTGATTCCAGATGTCTGAACCATCTCCAGGTAAGCGCTGGACCTGCTCAGACTGAGGCACAAGCTCACAAGGCAAAGACCGCACTCCAGTACCCGCGTCCGACAACGTGGCAGAAGAACGTGACCAGCGAGCAGCTCAACGCGACTTTATCGACTCACGCATCGCAGAACTGGAAGAAGAGATTCGAAGGTTGAAAAGCGACAGAAACGAGTTGACTGAAATTGCTCGTCTCCCACCAGAGATCCTCAGTCAAGTTTTCATACACTACCAGCAGTTTTGCACGTCCGCGCCATGGTGGCATGGAGAGGTCTGGCGCTTTGACTGGACCGAAGTCACACACGTTTCGCGATTCTGGAGGTCTACAGCCCTGGGCTGTAGGACACTCTGGTCTGACATTGACACATGCCTGAATGCTCCCTGGGCCGTGGCTATGTTTGAACGGTCAAAACAATCCCCCATCTCCTTCAGATTCTCGGAACGCTCCGCGAGCTCGAAACCCGAAGTCGCCGATATCATCAGAAAGGTGTTCTCACAGCAACATCGTCTGAAGGGCCTCAACATAGACGGGTACGACGACTTTGTTTGCCAACAACTCGAGCAATTGACGTCCCCAACCCCGATCCTGGAGTGTCTGCAGCTGAGAGCGCCCACCACACGCCCTCATACCCTGTGGCTGGGAGGCAGCGAGAGGCCGATGCTTCGAAAGCTGAAGCTGGAAGGATACAAATTACCGTCCTGGACGGCCCCTTCGCCCATGTTTCCCGCCCTCATTTCGCTCAAGGTGACGTTGCCTCTCAGGCTGGAGGCGGGGGACTCCGTCCCAAGCGCCCAAGACTTCTTCCAAGGGATTGAAGCCATGCCAAACCTACGAGAGCTGTACCTTGAGGCCACGACACCTGTCCCCCCTTTGGCAACGCCACGCCGTGTCACCCGCCTCCCGAAGCTCGAATTATTTCGAATTGACGCGTACTCTTTCCGCGAATTCGAATATGTTCTGAGGCACCTTGTACTTCCCTCCCCCTCCCTCTCCTCCAAATTTGAATTGTCGAACCTTTCGGAAGACCCTCCCGCCACCGTGGCTATAGCGGCATTTGGGGAGGCTATGTCTCGCACTTTGAGCCCAGTTTACCGTTCTCTCACCGTCCAATACAACGGCCGCAGAGGAGGAGCAACCATCCAATGCCATTCAACCGTGATGGAGGACCATAACGACATTACCACGCCCACAATCGATCAGCCGCCCGACTTAACAATAATCCTCTATTACAGTCGTTTCGTCCACTGTGACAAACTCCTCGCCGCTCTGCCCTTGAACGACGTCCTCACGCTCGACTTGGATATCAACCACAGCCCAGAGGTTTTCGAGGCTCTATCCCACCTACCCTCCGTCCACACAATTTCCCTTGAAAGACGCCACACATCCCAAGATTTCTTCCGCTACATCTGCAATAACCATGCCCTGGACCTACTGCAGTCTGAGTCACAGCCAAGTGATAACAGCGTCCCATCCGACTCATCTTCGAAGCAGAACTTTAAAGCCAGAGCCAGAGGGAACTTACCGAGGCTGAAACACTTTGCGTCGCTCAAACGGCTTGTAGTTAAATCCGCCGACTTTGGAGAGATCGATATTGAATCATTCCTGGATTGGTTGATGTTTAGGTACGAGTTGGGTGGGGAGATTGAGGAGTTACAGTTTAATGGCTGTTTGAAGTTGTACAAGGACGACGTGCAGCGCATTGGGGAGGTCGTAGCTTCCGTTACGTGGGACGGGGTGTGGGTAGTGCGCTCTCCTTATGGCCATGGGGACAGCGACTTCGAGGACTCTGGGGACAGCGGCTTCGATGACTCTGAGGACAGCGACTAAACGATCATACGCGTATTGACCATGGTTTGTAAATTATGTGTAGACCGATACTCAGTGGGGCTGACTGACTTCCGATACACTTTCGCGGTCGACGCATTTTTCGATTTCTTCATGATGGATACGAGAGTCAATGTAGACTGCCGCCAGCTGCCATATAAAAAGACACCTTGGTTACATTTCATGCAAAGTTCATAAATTTCATAAAAGGATCATGATCTAAATCGTATTGACACCGTAATGAGCCCCTTTCATTCGACGCATTCCTTCCCCACAAGACGTTGAACCAGCGCTCGAGTTATTGCGGCCGGTGTAGGAAGTGCCGCCTCTGTCATCCTTCAACTATGCCGCCCGCTCAAGTTCCGTACTAATGAGAATGAATGAATCTATTCGGGCTACGGAAAGAAGTCGTCGTCTATAATCAAGTCTACAATGTAACGTTCCACTTTGAATTCCACCGGTCGTCCAAACTCTGCTCGCCGTCCGAGTACATCGCGAAACCGCGCAATGAGCTCATGTTCATCTGGGAAACCTTGGTCCGACGGCAAGTGAATCGTAATACATTCTAGATTCGGAAAACGGAGCTCCCCAGGTGGCTGAGATATCGCGTGGTCAACGTCGTTGTTTGACAGGGCTTCTAGCGAAGCAGGACTCGATGAGGGCAGTGCTGGATAGAGGACTGGGTCATTCTCGAGTTTCTCGATGAGATACCTGGCCATGTAACCGCCGTCGACGTCAAGCGCGGCGATACACGGAAGGGACCTTGACAGAAGGCACTGGGTGAGGCGCTCGTCTACCGCATAAGTAAATGGAGGTCATATATATAACGTATATTAAGCCACTAGTGGGCGATCCCTGACTTACCTTCTTGTGAACAGAATATGGGTCAACAAAAGTCGAATTCGGCGCTCCAGTCACGTGTATTTCTTATCTTATCGCGATGGAGGCTCAGATAGACGCCCACGCCTCGCGCTCGGTCATGACCGCAGCGATAGTGACGCAGCGATTACAACGAGTTCATTTTACTCCATTTCATGCTATATATTATAGGAGAGTAGATACTAGAAGACGGGTAATCATTGAGCACGGCTTGACCTCCACACCTCATTGCCACAACTCGCATTCAAAGCCCAACAAACCACAAACGTCTCTCCATCCGGAGCACCTAAGCCAAAGTATTCCCCAAAAATAACACGCAACATTGGTCCAATAACCCAAAAAATATCCACCCAACTTGAACGCGCACACTTAAAGTTTATACTCCCTCTTCCTCCTCCCCTTCCCCTCACCCGCCTTCAAATTCCTAGCAGTCTTCACAGGCCTCCCATCTTTATCAACCCCCGCTATCCGCCTAGCCAATCCCAAATCTATCCCCTCCTTCTCACACGCATCTTTAAACACCTTCCGATGTACCAAAGCCCACGCGATCCTCTCGTCCATCGTCGGTGCGCCTGGCGGGTGGACTTCGAAATCAGGCTCTCGGCCGTACCCGATAGTCGCTACTCTGATCAACATCGCGCTACGCGATAGAAAGAAAGTCGAAGAAGATGCCGAGTCAGTAGCGAATTGGTGAAATACACAGAAGGAATCGGGATAAAAAACAACCCAACTCACGCAGTCAACCCAAACACAGGCTTAATCCCACCCGCCTCCCGGCCCGTCAGAAACTCGTGCACCCTAAACATCTGTTTACTCGAGAACGGACCCGTAGCTTCGACATCGAACGACCGGTGGTAGGGTACTTCCTCTGATTCGGGCTCGGATGGGAAGGGCGGGGTTGTGGAGAGGAAGGAGGCGAGGGGGTGGGAAAAGAGGCTTGCGACTTCGGCTGTGTTGAGGATAGGCTGTGGGGTGTATCATATATGTAGTTGAGTGGAAGTAAGTGGAGGTGAATGTGGAAGTGTGGGACCAAGGAACGAGACGCACTTCTAATGTATTGTCGAGAATCAATACGACCACCCTATAGCCATATCATTCCGTCAGGAAAACCGAGAGGGACTGCAGACAGACGAGGACGTACGGTGTAACGATGAGCTCCGCAGCCAAAAACGGCTCCAGAACACACAACAGGGGCACCTTCTTCCTATCCCTCGGCAGGCCAATCTGGGCAGAATTCAGGAGACGCAGGTCATTATAACCAGGGTGATTTGCAGATGCGGATTAGACTGAACCAGTATACCTCTTCAAATGCTTCTCTCCTCTAGAGGTAAATAAAACGAGTACGTCAGAAGCAATGTGGAACGTAGAAAAGACCGACAACGTACAGCGGTATCCTCCAAACTAACGTCCCCAGGATCAACCTTTCCTCCAGGTAACGACGTATCACCCGCATACGTCCTCAACGAAGCAGAACGTCTACAACACGCAACACCCAGTCAGTGACAATCAAAACGACCGCGAACAAGGAAGACGACCAATGCCCACCTACCGACTCAACAAAACATACAAATCCCCCTTGCGCCCAACGAACAGCGCAACCAACACCGCCGCCATCCTCGACCTCGGGAACTGAAGACGCGGTTTAGGCGCTCTATACGACGAGAGGTTGCGTAGACATCTGTGTGGGGTTTTCAAATTTCAAACACAGTCAGAATTATTTGCCCTGGTTTCCTCGTGGACTGGGTCTCCGTCCCACTGTCCCCCATGCCCTAGGAGGAACCCAAGACGAACCGTTTAGATTCTTCAGTCAATACCGGTATTTGCGTCTCGTTGAGTCGCAGTTTCCTCCGCCGGTGGAATCTGAGGAGGTTCTTCGAAGGCGGTGGAGGTGCAGAATCCATCGATATTTCGTCGTGTCAGGAGGGGGCTCCAGGTGGCCGTCGTCGCGGTCGTCGTCGTCGAGGTACAAGAGCAAGATGCGGGGCACCGGCTTCCATCATAGCCGTTACGTTTGCCAGGAGTGGACCGCAAAAAGTGCCGAAGTCGAAGCTGAATTGAGTAAAACGGCCCCTGTCGTGATCAGGCACCAAAGCTCTCGATTCGAACCTCGCCCAGGGTGTCGTTTAACAGTGCACAGCACTGAATGTCAGACTGATCATAAACGAGAAAGGGTAAGTAATGTACACAGGGATAGATGATCTTTCTAATCCTTTTAGGTTAGTAGCAGTAAATGCAGCACAGTATGCCGCATAATCAGTAACGACGTAGAAACTGTGACGACAACAGAATCAGGCTACAACACTCGCAGTAATCCGCGGCGCAACAACAGGCGAACTCGCAAACTCCTTCTTCGTAGCCTCCTGAATGGCCGACAGCGCATCCATAACTCCCTCCATCTTGAACGGCTTGCCAGTGATCACGGCGGGATTCGGGAGATAGAGTGGTTCAGTGACACCATCGCGGGGGGTACCTGGTCCAGAACTTGAACCAGGGCTCGAGCCAGAAACGTCGCTAGCGGTGCTCACGGTGGCAGCGCTGAGAGCGTCCTCCAGTGACTGCTTGAAGCTGGGCTCGTCGAGGAGCTTGAGTCGACGCTGCCAAGCTTCCGGGGGCTCGCCGAGCAGAACAGCTATTGGCGTCTGTCAATGACACGGTATCGCATACCAACACAGAAACCTCGAACCTTCTTGGACCACAGCTCGAGCTTCCTCAGAATTTGTCGCTCGTCCCGTTGCAACCACTGAAGAGGCGGGTGAGGAGTGCGACGGAGGTTGGACAGGAGCGAGACTCACAGTATGCGCAGGCAGTCATGCATGCTCTAGGTTCGTTCTCGGAGTAAATCATGACACGACCCTCTTGCTCAGCGGCTCGTTGGATGAAAGTCACAGCCCCCAACAGCAAGTCCATCACCGAATCCGGGTCTTCCTCAGGAACCTCGATGTGGTGTGCATCTTTCAGCGCATCCCGGGGTAATAGTTTGCTGCCCGCAGGGGAGAGCGTAACGAGGTGGGTGATCCCAATGTTCGCCAGCAGCGATCGGCCTTGCTGCTCGTCCTCAGGGAAATGGCTAGCGAAATACCAAATCAGCATCCCAACAATAATACCCAAGGAGCGCCCAAACTAACCTCATGAGCATCAGTCGATCAGGAATGATCAGGGCCACGTCCTCCAGTCGGTTCAAATAACAGGTAACATCCTGCCTATGCCGCCTCTTCCACGATTTGTACACGGGGTTCAAAGGACCCAGGCTCTCCTCGTCTTTGCATTTCTCGAATGCCTCTAGCTGCTTGATGAACCCATAATTAGGGTGGATTTGGTGTCGTTCTAAGTGGGGGTAGTAGGAGGCCCGATAGCCCCGGTTAAGCTCTTCCATGCCAACGATCAGAAACTATAGGCGCGCCTCACTTTGCGTTAGATATCGTAGCGCGGTGGACGCATCCATCCCTTGCGATTTCATGACTACATACCATCCCCAAAAGTAATCAGTCAAGTCTGAAGAAAAGGAATCCGTGAAGAACAAAGGACGCACGATACGCAGCAACGACCGTCGCACTCCTCGAGATCCCCATCTTGCAGTGCACGAGCACCTTTTCCCGCCGATCAACAGCTCTCTGGATGAACGCGCATGCTCCAGGCAGGTGAACCAAGATATCTTGATATTCATCGTCTTCGACGTCGATAACCTCGTGGTGGTCACCGCCCTCCGACGGGTAGTCCGGGCAGACAGACAAAACCCGTGTGATGCCCAGCTGGTTTCGACGCTCTACATCGCGCGCTGCAGCCAGACTGTTCGACATATCGCGTTTTGGGATCAGCGTACATTCCTATCTTGAGATAAGCAGATCCACCACTCCACTCACTTTCCAAGGTAGATTCGCCCATCGAGGACCTCGGTGATACAAACTTGCTCTGCTTGTGCCATTGCTGCTATGCTTCCGCCACTGGTTCAGTCGTTCGTCGTCGTCGTCGTTGAGTGCGCTGAGCGGTCTCGATGTGCCTGCACCGATAAAGAGGTCAAGAAGTTTTGAAAAACGTCGCTGTCAGTTCGAGAGTCGTCAAGGACACGAGTACATATAAAAGAAAAGGAACGCTCCGCCGACAAGAGCTCGACTCGCCTTCTACCGTCGGCTGTTCCATAAGCCATGTGTTCCGCGGATGGAAGTAAATAGACAGGGGCACGTGTAACACTCGGCTGTGACGTCATATTTCTTGGCTTTGCCGACAAGCCTTGCGCTCAAAATTTCTGGTGAAGGAGATGAAACTCGAAACTGGGGAGTTGCAGAGGGGTTGTGGTCTATTGTACAGAGTCAACTACTGTGCCATGGCATACTCATCGTTCTAGCAACCAAAATACATGAGGTATAGGGGCTATTTGCTATGACGCCCGTGATCACCGCTAAAGCAAATAGGCCCTAATAGGCCTCCTTTCTCTCTCTTGTCCTTCGCTTGTCCTCTTCAACCGTATGGTCAGGTGCATCCAAAGTGCGTCATTGCTCTGATTACGGTCTCCCGAGTTCCCATAACTACACGTTTCGTTTTTCAAAACAAAGAAAACAATTTAGTTCGGACTAAAATCGGTTTGCCCGAAGTACTTCTTCGTGTGTGCACTGTGCAGGCTGACGTTTGGGGGGCAAAAAAAAGTCGTTCGAGTGCGGGTTTTGGAATTGTTATGAATCTGAAATCATGACTTGAAATGACCATATGATATGTCTATAACAATGAAAAGGGTAGGACAAGCGATGGACTTACGTGACTGAAAGATAATCCTAGGAGGACTCGAAGCCCTCATGATCATCGCACATCCCGTCTCTGACACACTCCGTCCCGAAATCCAAGCCTCCAAGGTCACGATGGTGAGGGCATCCTTCATTTATGGGTTAAACTCTAAAACCAGTGCGGAAACGTGTCTCAGAAAGGACCCCATGACCGTAAATTCTGGGGGGTAGAAAGACACTGTAACCTTGTCCGACTCGCTCACCTGTACCCGCCACTTCCGGTCCACTGCCTTCTTGTCAGGGCCCTTGTTCCCAGCCGAGCCTAGGGAAATCCCGATGCTTGTCCTCGTGCTGATCCGGGGTGGTGCCTTCAATCTGGTCCTCGTCACAAGCACCCCATTTTGCTCGTTTGTCTCGCTTCCTTCCTCTCTACTTCGGTTCGCAGATCGTGGTCAACGCAACGTCGCGTACAACTTCAGTGGTACAACGTTTCTGATCAGCTCTCGGGTGATGGATTGACCTCTCGTTTTTCACCTTCAATCGGGAGCCAAGGGCGAAGAAAAACACTGTGATTTCCCTAGGTCAACGTGTCACACCCCACACCGCCCGTCTCTCATCTCCCAAACGCTCATCGATACCCCACAACACCCGAGCTATTCATCGATTCATTTGCTCCACATCCAATAAACCAACTACTGCTCCCCCACCACCACCGAAACAGCGCCCACCATCGTCAAATAGGACGCCGGCGACCCAGCAGCTCCCTTGCCCTGGGGTCCAACAAACCCCTCCAAAACCTCCTCCCCACCCTCCCTCCCAGCTCTAAAATCCGCCAAATACTTCTTCGCCGTACCCTCTTTCAATCCCATCGTCCTACACACATCCCCAAGCAACTTCATACTCTGCCGTCCCAACGCCTCATCCATCGACGCATAGTTGCTTTTGTTCTTTTGGTTTTGGTTTTGGGTGAAATGGAAGAGGAGCCCGACGAACGTCTGCGAGCGCCCGTTGGCGATGAGCTCGTGCGGGGAGACGAAGTATCTGTATTTGCGGGTTAGGAACCGGATGCGGGAGTGAAGAGGTTTGATTTTGGGACTTGTCGTTCCCGGGTGGGAGAGTTCGAGGCCGATTCGCGGGGAGGTGTATATCGTCGGCGGTTTCGTCGATGACGCAGGCATATTTAACAAACTCCTCGACACAACGCAAAGTGACGTGCCACCAGCCGTCCGCTCACGGAACGCAGAGATATCCCCACCCCACTTGGTCTGTACGAGATCGGGTATACCGCTGGACCCGCTGAACGATAGGATTTGGTCCACGAGGAGCGAAGGCCCCGAAACCACCTTCGACTTGGACCCCAGCACACGGATGGAGCGGAGCAGTATCCCTCCACGCAACAACGTCTCCTCTCCCTTCGTGCCCGCAGGTCTTCCAAAGGTGAGATCAAGCCCTTTACGCGTGCCACCCCGATACGCGTCGCTGCTCGTCAGACTCCGATTCGAGTCTGCAGAATACCTCGGCGCTCGATGGAAATACCTAAAAAATCGTAATTAATCTGGGGTCTTTTCAATGATTAAGGGAAGGAAGAGAAGGGCCAGACCATTGCCCCAACACCCTCTGCTCCTCGCTCCCGTGAGCGAACGGATCTTCATGACACGTCGCTTTCTGCAGGTAGAATTCATGTTCCATGACTTGGAGGTGCGTCGTCGTTCCATCAGCGCGAGTCACAACGAGAACATAATCATGGAGCAAAGCTCTCGAAATGGCATCGAAACGAGCAGAAATCTCGTCTTGGCTTTCGAGAGCGGTGAAATCCAGTAGAGTTTGGAGATCTGTATGTTCTTTCGACTCGGGCTTGGAGGTGCCAGCGCTACTCGGCCCTGAATCGGTGCCATCTTGATCTTCATTTGTCCGTGCCTTTTTCTGTTGAGAGTAGGAAGACTGGTCTTCTTCAGTCTGCTTTCTCTTCCCAGTTGATGCCATGGCGATGGTGCGTTGGAAGACAAATCGTTTGCGGAGCTGACACGCGTCGACGCGTCCACGGTGGCAATTGGATCCAATTTGATCCCGCGATTAGCGCCCAAAATCAACAGCTTTCACTCAACCGCAACTCGCGCACATACGTTACTGCTCAGACTCTACTCCGTTGGCTATCCATTCATAATCACAGGAGGATAAAATGTACATGCATATAGGTATTCACAACTGCACCTCTTCAAGCCCACATAGCCTTGGCCTTCGCATCAAACTCGGCATACGCCAAACTCACAATCTTATACACCCTCCAATCCGCATCAGTCACCTTCCTAGGTCTCTTAAACTCTCCATCCGCATTCCAATCATCTTGATCTCCCCCACCCAACGACGACCCGACGCCAGTTTCAAACTCATCAAGGCCGCCTTCATTGTCGTCCTCGGCATCCTCAATGTCCAAAGTCGACCCGCCATACCCGCTGTCCAAGTCTTCAAGCTCGTCGTTTTCGCTACCTAGCGCGCCCAGCTGTTCGTTAGACGCTTTGGTGAGGAGCTGTTGCAAGGCTGAGCGGACGGTGGAGAGCGTCAGCCTAAAGTCCTCCAGCAGATACCAAATGTCGCCTCGTCGAATGCCGTTGGCCTTCACCAGCGTCTCGTCCTGTCCATGCGTATAAAAGTCGAGAAGGTACGCGTTCAATTGATGTTCGGGGTCGAGGTTATTCGCGACGATATGGTCAATGCAAGGAATGGCGTGGGCATTAAGATGAATGCCCTCCCGTACGGTATCCGCCAGCTCCTGCACCGACTTGAACGTATCGTCATGTCCGGAGGTCGCAACGAACGCAGACCTAGCTGTGACAGGGATGGACGAAGATCGAAGGTGGGAAACGAGAGGGGACAACTCTCCGCCCTCGCGCTGTCCAACCACCTCAATCCTGCTCAACGGTAGACGCATCCGCGACTCCTCCAACTCGTCCTCCCTCTCCTTCGCAAACGCCATCGCGTATCCAGAGAAGATCTTGAGTATCTCGTGGCTGTGAGCTTTCAGTTTCTGCTGTGCGACCTCTGGCATGGGCGGGAGCACAATGCTGGACGGGTACCTCTTGCGTCGATATTCAAGCTCACCCTTGTCGAGCTCGACCTTGCGAAGGTAACGACGCCCAAACAGGTGACACATCACCAAGATGTAGGTGCGTTTGGCGCTCTCGATATCGCTGTCATTGCAAATTTCGTGCAGCACCCCCGATCGCATGAGAGATACCAAGGCGAGGTTGCTGGGCTCGGTGTACTGTTGAGGGGACTCAAGCATTAGAGAAAGAATCCAATGATACATCAACTTGGAGACTCACGTAGAGATGACCAGCAATAGCGAACAAGTTCATCGCCTGCCCAGATTCATTCAGCAAACCACTCCTCCGAAGATATTCGATGCTGAACCGGATATGGTGCATAAGATGGTCTCGTCCAACATCCGAGGCGAAGCTGACACGAGGGAGCGACATGAGCGTCTCGATAGCCTTGACGACATTTTCGGCATGTTTGGATTCTTCTAGGAGGTTGCAGAGCCGAAGGACCAAGGTAGACGTTACAGGGAATCCGCCTCCCAAAGACGGAAGTCTCGAGAGTATGAGACGTTGAACTCGGTCCATCGGGATTCCATAGAAAATGACATTGCCCAACAGGTCGTAACCTCGGCGGCCCGCACGCCCTGCGCATTGGCGGTACTAATGTGCGGTTTTGAGCAACTAGTGAACGAGAGAATGATAGAGAAACAAACCATGAGGGCCGTAAGGTAAGGAGAGTCGTTGCAGAATATAGCGGTCTTCGCAGGGGCGTTGATGCCTAGCGCCAATGTACCTGCGAGATTGTCAATTTTCCACGGCCTCGTGAATGAATCCGAAACAAAACTCACCCGTGGCAACGACAACTCGAATAAAGCCTCGTCTGAACAAGCTAGAAGTGGTTTCAGCAAGTTAGGTGGAGCGGCGAAGGAATGAAGTGCACCTCTCGACCAAGCTTCGATACGATTTGGGCATACCAGCATGATGAACCGCAATACCTCTCCGCAAACATACATAAATCCAGGCCATCTTGCTGGCTCCAAATCTCCTCGTCTGTTTCCGAATTTCCTCCTCGAGCTCAGCGACTGTGTATCCCGAACGAGTATTGACGAACGAAAAAGGCTGCAACGGAGCATTGGGATCAAACGATTGCTCCCAAGAGATATTTGCTTCCTGCTCCAACGAGGGGTCGTCGTCCTCGTTTCGGCCACCCCGCTTCTTCTGCTTGTTCATCTTATCTGTCACCTTCTCGCGTTCCTTTGCAGCAAGCTTCCACGCCTCCCACTGAGCAACCTTCTGTTTCCACCTGGGACTCTTCGCTTTCCATTCCTCCTCCGCCTTTTCGAGGCCTGAACATACTTCCTGAGCGATGACTTCGCATTGACTGCGGTCAAAGTTGAACAGTATCGCAGGCTGGGGGATAAAATCATCAGAGACACTGATAGCTAGCAATGATCTCGTGAAGTTTGAACTCACCAGGTCTCCCCGAACATGAAGGTCGGCAAGCATATGAAGTAGGTTGCTCTTGAATGCATCTCGGTCGGGGTGAGCGTTGAGTTTTTCTTGGCCGATCTCCAGGAGATCTTTGTCCTGAACGCGCTCGACGACCGTCAACAGCGGGTTATTCAGGCCATCATAGTCCATGTCCTTTGTCAGTTCCGTAAGAACGGCCTTCAACCTCGCCTCGTATTCGAGAACATCCTTTTGGCGCAGGAAATGATTTTTAGACTTGAAGAACCTTTTAGGATCAAGGCTGCGGATCTCAGCGATGAGAGCATCGTCCGAAAGGTCGAGAACAATCGAAGACAGTGCTTCGTAGAGAGTCAGAGTATCCCTCGCCTCGAGGGCCAAGTCGTCAGGAATGGTGTTCTTTCCGAAGGAGAGTGTTCCAATAGGATGGAGGAACTTGAGGCGCGAGGTAGGTTGATAGTCATCCAACGATACAAATCGTTTTTCAGGCTCCTTGTCGATGACGTAGAAGAATTTACGGAGATGTGAATATCGATGGGGATGGTGGATAAAGGTATGGTGGAAGCCGTGCGCCTTTTGGACGGATGCAAGCCAGTTATTGAACGTCTCGGGCGACCCTATAGTGGCTGACAGTCCGCTAGGAACGTTGTCAGGATTTGGGGACTAGCTTTGGATTAACCGACTCACATGATGGGGCAAGGCGCCATGAGAAGGATTTGCTCCCAGACAGCGCCACCCTCCTGTTGCCCAATGGAGTGAATTTCGTCGAGGATAATACTAAAGAAGGGAGATTTCAGTAAACTGTGACGGTAGTTGACGTACCACACAGATAGCTCACCGCTTGATCTTAGGCACCCAGCTCCGAGCCATGGCCGGCGACAGCAACAGAATTGCCAGAACTTCCGGAACAGTGACCAGGATTTGACACTTCTGAGGGTCGTGAATTCGATAGTCACGTGTATGAATTGCCCAGCAACTTCCTATACAAGAGCGTTTAGTGACAAGTCATCGGCGAGGTAAACAGGCTACATACTTCCGGTCAGCTGTTTACTGAATCGCGCGTAAATTTCAGCTGTGATCTGAGTGACCAGAGCCTTCGTAGGAGCCACGTAGACGAGGACGCCTTCATCGGAGGCTCGGAGCACTTGTTCCATCGCATAAAACGATATGAAGGTCTTCCCAGCGCTGGTCGGCGCTATTCGCAGTGGGATTCAGCCGAGCATCAGTCAGCAAAGGGAATAATAGTACGCACCGACGACGAGGATGGAATGATTTTGATCGATGCAATCCAGTACCTTCCTTTGCCATGCGTCAGGCTCGAATGGCACTCTCCGATCGGGAGCGCTATCCATGCTGCGATCCATAAACTCTCCAAATAGACGCAACTGCCATTTGACGGGGTTCTCTTTGATAGACAAAAAGTCGAAAGTTGGCGTTCCAGTCTTCGAACTAACGATCTTCACGAACTTGAATGTGGGCTTGACGTCTTTGATGATTGGGATGGGGTCCAGTAGGGAAGAGATGTATTGTTGGAAACCCATGACAGTCATGAGCGAAATGAGAACGTCCTTCCATGCCGCTGTGAGTGTCTTGCGTTGGCAGATGTCCTTGATTATTCTAAGAATGGAGACGGAATGTCGGTCGTGTACTTCAGGCTTCGACGGATCGGGTTCTTGAGACCAAAGTTGAATCTCGAGATGGAGTTTATAAAGCCTCATCTCGAGACCCAACATCGGCTCGTCCGACCGCTTGTTCCTGAAAAGTGCCGCCAGCTCGCTCGACTTAGCTGCAAGACTGAGTTTACTGAAGGAAGTGAGTTTCTCCTTCCACCAAACCCTCGAGGCCTCGACCATTTGGTCGGTCTTCTCCCTTTGAATTTGTTGGAGTAAGGCCTGCTTCGAAGAGATTTGCGATTTCTTGGATGATTTGTTCGTCGACAAAGTAGTCGGTTTCTGGTGACAGTTTGTTAGTGAGGTCTGACAAGGTACAGGAATAGGCAGACGGACATCGCGCGTGGTGGCCTTGGTCTTCGAACCAGACTTGCCGACGGGTGGGATGACCTGCTGCTGTAAAGCGGTTCCAGAAGCGCCTGTGATTGTCGCTGCCTGCAACTGCATGTTGTACATGAATATCTGGTTACTCCGGAGCTGTCGGCGGTACGCCCACGCCGTGAGGGCCTTCGGAGCGGACCCTCCGAGGTGAGAGGGTAAAAGGGATCTTTGGGAATGCCAATGCTGGGTGTCGGAAAAGAGGGTCCCTTTGCCAAACTCAAGGAATTGTCGTGGGCTATCGTCGGCGACCTTCAATGACAGACGAGGTAGATATTTGTTGAGCAGGGGGTTGTCGAAAGGTAGCAATTGTAGAGGTTGAACGGGGCCAGAGCGGGCTGACTTCCCTGGTGCAAAAGAAATCGACGATTTGAGCTTTTGAAGGTCAAGACGTTGGGAGGGAAGTTCGTGCCAAATCTCCGCCACTCTATCATAGACTTGGACGCCCATCACTTCCCGGATATCAGATGAGCAAGCGAGCATGAAGTGAACAGTGGCCATGAAGGCCACGCCGTCGAAGTCATACTCGACTGCGGGGAAAGAAGATGAAAGTAAGTCGCAGGATAGGAAGAAAAGGTGCGATAGAAACAGGTTCGAGACCACTTGTCCACTGTTTCCGTCGACAACGACCGGAGGCCGAGCGCGGTCTACGACGGACAGCTGGGGTAACGTGAACCAGTGAATGAGGAACAGGGAAAGAAGGTTGGGTGATTGGGAAACCTCGAGCAATCCTTTCGACAGCGCGACGAGAAAGTCGCGAGAGGACGAACTAGAGGTAGGTGGGTGCGCTACTAGACGATGCCGACAGTTGTTGGATTGATTTTCAAAACTTTTCTCCAGGATCTTTTGCACTCGTTTGAACGCAGCAAACCCGATAGGTGACTTGCCTCTGAGCGCTGGATTTCGCATGGGCTCGTAGATAAATGTGGATATCTATCCCAGCCTATTAGTCGGATTCCGTCATCCAAGAAGGAAAGGTGCCCACCTTTGAGTCGGAAAAGACGATTCCCTTCATCAATGCCATAGCCATTTGGCCGTCGAGGACTCTCAAAACAAATTCACGCTGAGCGAGCACCCTGTGAACGCAATAGCGCCCAGAGTCTAAGACGCCCCCGTCATTCATGAGGATAAACATAGGCTGGCCAACAGTGAGCGTATGCTCCAAGGAGAGGACGTAACAAATACCTTGTGGATGTGTTCATATGTCTTCCATTGGGGATCATCCAAGTCCTCGAAGACATGGATAGTCAGCTCAAGCTTAGTCAAGTGGCGATATAACAGAGTGCGTGCCAAAGTACGCGAAGCAACGACGAAGTCGTCGTCGCCAGTTCGCAGAGTTAGATGGCGATACTCTGCACCAATCGTAAGTCGATGAAACCGATAGTTATCTGTAAACCTACTATGAAAGAATACAATTTCGAAGTTTGCTGACCGCTGGGTGAATTCCCGCAGCCGTTTCTCCAGAAGGTAATAGGCGTGAAGGATTTGGAAGCTCGTATCTGTAGCGATGGTGAACAGGTAAGGCCGAACCACGACGAAACGCTGCTTACCACCCGGTCGACCGATGGCCAGCAGAGGATCATCCAAGATAGTCTGGAACAACGATTCGCCTGGAGTGTATGTTTTATTATGGTTCTTGCTTGAGAGAAAAAGTGGTTTAACTGACCATCGATAACGAAGAGCTCATTCCCCGCATAATCGCCTAGCAAATCCATGAAACGGGCTCCCCTCGTCTTGGGGATATACCAATTGAAGTCGAGCGCGTCCAAAGCATCTTGTATTTTGTCAGAATGTTGCTGGAAAGCTCGATTCCTTCGAGGGATATCGCCGTCAAACCCATCCAGATCCATGGTATCAGTTTGGGTTTAAGTTGGTGAACTCGTTCCGTGGGTGCACGACTGTTATACCGTCGAATTAGGCTCTTGCCGGTATAGTTCAGCGCCGCCAATGTGGAGATCCCCAGTGATTTAACAAGACCACGTTGCACTAGTAGTCATGGCACAAGAATACCACTAGGCTTCGTGAAGAAAATAGAGATCGTAAAGGCCAGGGTCGACTCAAAAGAAAACACAAAGAACCAAACCAGAGGCTTGCGCTGCTGGCTGAGCGATCCCGGCAGCTCGGTCGTTCCCGAGGTCACTGATTCGAACCCGAGTAGTCGCGTCTTTTTGTCGAGAACGTCAACCTGCCCTCGTGCTTCCAGTAAACTTCAATGACTATAGTAGAATATAGCTCTAATGTTTTAAATTTAAATTGTCCTTTTTTTAAAGAGTCTCCCCGAAGAAACTAGACGTAATATGAAGTAAGCGCCCAAAGAAACACCGGATTACCAAGTCGTAAAGCCTGTTCGAACTTCAAAGGCACCAGTTGCTCTTCTCTTCCTTCGGAATTTCTGATATGCTATCCTTGATATTCCTCCGAGGGCGTACCTTCCAGTGACCTTCAAACTTGAAACAATCCCACAACGATCAACAAACTCCAAAGTAACATCTTTCAAGGCCGTTTACATGGCTACCTGGCGCAATGGTAGCGCGTTTGGCTTCGATGGCCCAACGGGTACCCAAAAACCAAAAGGTTGCAGGTTCGATCCCTGCGGTGGTCATTTCTTTTTGCTCATATCGGGTCTCTCAATGCTGGATCCAAGGTGGGAGCACATTATGCAAGACTTCTTTAAGACTTCACGTTTTCTTTTTCTTCATTTACTAGTCTCTAACTTGAACATTGTCGCTGTCCGTTCTCACAATCAATGTCGAGCCATCAAACGATACCCTAGATTTCACCACAGGGCTTCGAGGATCTTTTGCCATCGACCTTTAACTTGACAGGAACAAAGCGTGAAGCGCGGATGACCGACGTGGCTGAAACCCATTTGAACGCCAGCTGAGCGTCCGTATTCTCCGACGACCATCAATTTCGACCTTGCCAACCAACCATCATCGCGAGGCCACCGAGATTTCTTCTTCCAAGGGGACTTCTCCTTTGTCCTCGGGAACCATAGCTCCAGGAAGGCCATGCTTATGGGTGCGTTCTGCTCTCCGCTTTGTAGAGGCTGAACAGGGGGATTTCTTGATTTATCCAGTCTCATTGAAATGACAGTCCGATCGCCCTCCAGTCAAACACACTTCAAGTGTGAGCGATGGGTAAGTAAGGGGCACAGACCTATAAACCAGGATCAGCGCGACGCCCCCAGACTGGGTGCAACTTGTCGCTTCTACTACATGCGACTCTGGCAAGCTGCTCGGATGGGATGAAGGGCGTATAATATATCCGTTTTCAGCTCGAATTCGACCCCCGGATCCTAGTATGCAAGGCAGCCGATTTGACATTGGCAAGCACCCTCAAGACCTGTCCCTCAACTCGCTCGCTCGTTCGGATAACTTCCGAAATGCTGACTCGGTGAAGCTTATGTCCGTCGTTCATTGCGATATTGAAGCTTGTTTGACTGATGAGTTCCCCTCGCTTACCTAGCTCAGCAGGGATTGCCAGTTGCGATTGGGCGTCTTGTCTCGTTCGAGCTTCGAGCCTCGAGGCTCAGAGTCGGAACTATTGTTGGCAGCAGTACTCCGTCAGGAACCCACCAATGAACAATGCACGGAAATTGCCAGCGATCGGAACCGATTCGCCAGAGCCACTGCACCGGCCCCGTCAACGTTCAACTTGCCTCAAGGCGACGATGGACGTACATTTGTGCTCGAGCTCAACTGATGAACAACAGGATGCTTCAGGGCTGTGGGCTGCTTCGAAATTTGAGGCGCTTTCATCACATCAGCTCTTTCTCATGATTCCCTGGAATATTAGCTCTTGTTCATAATACCGAGGACCAGCCCAACCTCCCGCTGAACCGTCTCAAGTCCATGCTTCGTGGTGCCACTGCCTCTGTCGATGTCTACGCCTATGTCTATGTCTATGTCTGTGTCACTGTCTCACTCTGGCTAAAGCGCTGCTCCTCTACGGTTCCGCAGAACTCGCAAATCCGCTCGAAAGCTACATGTCTGTCTTTCCACACTTCAAAAACGACAGTAGTCTCCCGGGCCTTTCAGATCAAAGTGACGTCAAGTCTTCTTTGACTTGAACGCTGACCTTGATCGACTCTCGAGGCTTGGCGATGAAGCTGTCCGTGCTCGCGAAGGGCAGCGCTAGCTATGAGGTCTTGTATTCAAGCTGACTGTCCATTAGTGGTGCCTTTCGCCTCGGGGTCCACTGCAGCGGTGACCTGAGGGTATCGCGACGTGAGGCTCACGAGAGTCTTCTGGATTGCAAAACAATAGGCGCGAAGGCGAAGCTCTGCGAATCCGCTCCTTGTATCTCGTTTCCCAATGTCTTGTGCCTCAGGAATCGCATCCTACACAGGAATCGCGCGATCCGTCCCATCCATTGCGCCTCACAGTTGACTTTATCTTTACGATTATGCTTGATGGTGGCGGCTCAACCTGCTTTCACTGAAACAGTGTCAATGAAGCTGCATACCTATCTCGCTCTAGGCCGGTCGTTCCTCTCAATGTGTGCAAGGACGACTTCATTTAGCCTCCCGGATGCATTCCACCAAACCAATCTATTCCTACTCGGATGGACAGGCCACAGATGGATTCGCGTCGATCATTCCGCCTGCACTGCGCATCCGTGCTCACTACTCCCCTGGGTTGGTACTGCGGTCTCGTCGTACCTCGTGTTCATGGATGGCTCCTTCATCGCGTCGCATTCGCAAGCCGACAGTCAAGTACATCTGCCCACGTCTGCATCTGCCAGCCATTGTCGAAATTCCTGCGACTCCGTCACTCCCGAGTGCACATCTTGTCAAGTATGGAGTGGTATTCCCGAGCCTTGCCCATTTTTTTATCCCGTCGAAGTCGGATAATTGGGGGCAGGGATTTTCCGGACCCGTTGTAACCGGCTCTGCGCTTTCTGTATGGGTAGTAATTGTGAAATGGATATGCAATCCTGCCTGGGAGAGTGTTGAGAGTGTTGGGTCACCTGCCTAATCTTTGCATGGAATGGTCTCTGATTAGACATGAACTAGGCCAGGATCCTACTTATGAATTCATTTCGTATCGCGGAAGTCTACAGGGAGAACTTACGATAGTTCCGGTACTTTATCCTACGGCTACTGCATCCATAGCCAATCTGACGCTAGACTTTATGGGACATTATTCGCTAGCGCTAGATGCATTGCTTACTGTGGACGCAGAGCAGTAGATGTAGCTGTAGATGTGGGGTACTAGATGGTCTAACCCCGTGACTGAAAGTCGGGTCGAGTTGGGATTTAGAGTGTATGTGACGTGCGAGTTTGCAGAGTCTGCAACCCCGTAGGGCTAGTGGCGGCGTAAACAGAGTCTGATACTGTGGATCGAGGAGTTACTTGGATGCATATCTGATTCTGTTTGGGCTGGTAGGGGAATCTGAGCTGAGGGTATCAGACGGAGATGGATGTGACTCGGAGCCATCAACCATAGATATCATTCTTCCCTTCGCTGATCGTCAATTGTGTGGGTATGACGACGACTTCGACCACCTGAAGTACTACCTCACCCTGTTATCTCGCGTTCCAGCCCTTCCAGAAGCTCCACACAGAGAGACTCGTTCCAACAGTAGTCACACTCGTGGCTGGTGATGTAGAGCAGGAATGGATATTGGGTGACCAGGTATTTCTCTCGGTGTTGCGGTGTTGCATGCTCCGAGTGAGGAAGACGAGACGCGAACGGCGTCTTGTGCTGTCTCGAGAGAAGCGCGCATTTCTGGACTTCTTCACGAGCTGAAGCAATGGCCCGTCGTTATCGGAACCTCAATGTGTCCTAGACAGTTGCTGTGAATTCCATTGATCATCTGTTGGGAGTCTAATCTATGTGGAGAGGCGGAGTGATTTAGTACTTCGAAAGATGGAATGGCGGCGGACGGGGCGGTAGGTAGTTTCGGCAGCGAAAGGATAAGGGCGCGGGTCGCTGAGTATGGGTTCTTTCTGTGGAAATGTGGAATTGTTCCGGAGTGTTCTCCGGACTTCCTGCATGGACATCGGAGTATTGTCTAGGGCTCTGTGCACGGAGATAATGTGCTCGTGCTCAGAAGGCCGTGGTGAAGAAGACTTCTTGAGCGCCTCGAGGAAGGGAGAGTCGCAAGTTGCTGAGGATTTCGGGCTGCCTCTGGAGGGATAAATCCTCGGCTCAGTTCATTGGGATAGCTACGCCAAATCCAAATCTCCCACTTTGGGTGGGTCAAATGAAGGGACTCGGAGGAGATCAGAATGGTTAGCGGATTTCAGACCATTAAATCGACTTAGGATGGCAGAAGCTACCTTACCGAAAGCTTGTTATATCAACTCAGTCTTTGGTTAAGTAGCCGACGGAGAGCTGCTCGGGGTACTCCGAGTGAATGATACTACCGGTTTTGAGGGGAATGAGAGATTTTGGCTTTCGGGGTCTCGATCCTATTTCCAGCGAGGTATCCATGGCGTCTCGGAGGTGCGGACTTGAACAATATTAAGGATTTCCCCCTGGTTAACGCTGATTCAATTGGTACATTGAACAATAGCTGATATGAGGGGGAAATCGTCAACGTTAAGGTACGGGGATAAGTTGAAACTCAGAGAGATCTCAAACGCCTCGCTTCCCGAGCCTACTTGAAGTTGGGTTCAGATCTAGATCGCGAATAGAGCCTTAGTGTACGTGACATTCAGGGCAACTAATGCCATGTTCTCTCTGAAAGAGAGTAGTATCTGACACTTAAGCAAGATTGGCGTAGTTAGATAACATGTGGAGAGTCGAGAAGCTGTTTCATCTGGCGAGAAGACAGATGTTGTACGCGTGTGGATGTTTTTTTTGTTCGAAAAGAAGGAGCCTGGACGGGTCCTTCCTCCGAAGCGATGAGCACGAAATGGACTTCTGACTCCCCGAGCCAATCCTACGTGCTGTCAAAGAGTTGAATGAAGGACACGTCGTACATGCGTACGAGATCTAGGTGGGACGGGGTAGTGCAATCTGGGTGGCGCAGCGAAGAGAACTGTCGGCGCTTTTCCAAGAGTATACGTCGAGAATTAAGATGGCGTGGTGTCAAGGGATGTTTGTCGAAAGGCAAAAGAGTAAGGTTAGCACTAGGACGGCTGGTAATAACTCGTGTGCCGCATTGGCTCTAAAGAATGCTCGGCTAAAGGCGAGGGAGAAGCTGTTTGGTTGAAATGACTGCGGCAGTATCCGGAGAGTGAGCGGAAGAACGATTTGGACGGTTGTGGACAGAGAAAGCAGAGGAAATGATGTGTAGGGCGGACATGTCGGCAAATTAGTGGCGCACCAAGTGGGATTAGACGCCGGGAGACAGAGACTGGCCCCGCTGCTGTGCCACTCAAAACGGGCAGCTGTATAGCTCAATTCGGAAGTGACGTAAGCGGAGTTTGAATCCGAGATTGTGCGTTTTTGACCTCTGATCTCATTTCGTTTCCCTCTTCACCACACTTATCTCGTCGCAACAGACATTCCTTCTCGATTTGTCATCAACCTCCGACACTATATATACCCCAATCACCCTAATCCAATGCCCCCCATCCCGCCTTTCTTCCTTCCGCTTTCGACGCTATCGTCGTCGTCGTCGCCAACAGCGAGCTCAGGTCCTTTGTCGCTGTCCCGCCGTCCCGCCCAACGTCGAAAACGATGGCCTCCAACGCCCTCCTCGTCGTTGCTCTTACAGTCACAGTCGTTCTCGTGCTCTACCGCGCTCTATATAACCTCTTCCTCTCCCCGCTCAGTGCTATCCCCGGCCCTTGGTATGCTGCGATCTCCAACATCTGGATCGGCTACCACCAGCTCTGCCTTCGCCAGTGCAAGACGGTGCAGTCCCTGTTCGACACCTACGGACCCGTTGTTCGGATCGGTCCCAACAAAGTCGCCTTTTGCGATGCCTCTGCAATGCGGGCGGTGTACTCGGTGTACAAATTCGACAAGAGCACGTACTACAAGGGCCTCGTCACGTACGCCATTTCTCCTTTATCGCCGCGTTTCGCGTGTTGAGACAGTATGATTCCAGGAACGAAAACGATCACGCGTAAGACTGTCGCGTATATGCGTCTCCTTTCTGCTGACCCTGGATCAGTATGACCACCCTAGATCACGCAACCTACTCCATTAGACGCAAAGCTTACAGTCCCCACTATACCCCGCCAAACATCGCCAAGTTCCAGCCAGAAGTTCACGAGTTCACGCTGCAATTGGTCGATGTGCGTCACACTCCGTACCCTCATGACCGCGGCTGATCAGTGCCCAGATTCTTGAAAATATCGCCGGAAAAGCCTCTCTTGAATGCATGGCACTTTTCAGGAATCTCATGGTTGATGTAATGACCGAGACCCTTTTCGGTTATCGCCTCGGAGCTTTGGGCAAGTGGGCCATGGACGCTGAGGATCCCCTTTCCACGGCGATTAATGATTTTCCTAAACGCGGTATATTGGTAAGTCTTCTTGCTGTGTACACGCGCACACATCCCAACTGTGTCTCCCTTCAGCGGAGTGTCATCCCTTCATGGGTCTGGAAGCTCATCTGCCGTGTTCCTAACAATCGGTGGAGGCAATGGTGTGATTCTGATAACATCATGGCCGAGGTCAGTAGCTTTCTCCATGTGAACCCTTGGATCATTTCTCAAAGCTTAAGCCCGTAGTTTGTGAGCGAGCGTTTTTATGAGACTCGGGCACAGATGAACGCGGGGTCACACGGGGAGCCAGAAAGACCTACACTGCTCCAGCGTCTCCTTCAACATCGGTACTCGGCGAAACAACCTGTACCTGATTGTGATATCATTTCCGAATGCATGGGTCACCTGTGAGTCGCTCCTTCTAACGCATTGCCGATATCCTCAACCGAGCTTGATTAGCATCGCTGGCGCGGATACCTCTTCAACCACAATCAGCTACATCCTTTGGGAGCTTAGCCGCCGTCCAGACATCGTCGCTAAACTTCAGGCAGAACTAGACGAAGCCATTCCGGACTCCCGGGCTATTCCCGACATCGCAATCTTGCAAGAGCTCCCCTACCTCAATGGATTGATTAAAGAAGGTGACCTCTTTGGCCGATGCAATGTAACAGTGATGTTGATGACCATTTTTAATTAGCGTTGCGATTATACACTGCTGCTCCCTCTCTTCTCGAACGGGTAGTCCCATCATCTTCGTCCAAACCCAACCATCAAGACGAAGACTTCGATCTGTTGGGATATGCGTTACCGGCTGGCACCATTGTCTCAACCCAGGCATGGTCGATGCATAGAAATCCGGCCGTCTACCCATCGCCAGAATCATTTCTTCCAGAACGTTGGCTGGAATCGTCCTCAGCATCGCCCGATCAACTGTTCCAAATGCACCAACATCTGATGGCTTTCGGTGCTGGCGTACGCGTTTGTGGTGGTCAGAACCTCGCTCAAATTGTTTTACGCGTTGTGGTAGCAATGATCGTTCGTAACTTCAACGTCTTTGCTCCAGAAGAGACCAACGAGCGGAGTATGGAGATCAAGGACAGCTTCGTGAGTCTCCTCCTTACTCTGAATACACGACGTTCCATCTCATTACTCCCCAGGTCATCTTCCCAGCTGCGATGGAGTGTAAGCTCATCTTCAAACCACGTCAGCAGTGACCTCGCCCTCTCCCTACCATCATCGTCACTTTCGTCATTGGATACGCGATCCATGTCCCACCTCGTCCTTCACCCTTCCTCATATTCGCTATCGAACACCTGCGTTGCATATTCCTCCCTCCTCGCTATTCGTTAAGCTTTGTTTCTTGTTTTTGTCACCTAAGATTGTCAATGTTTTGCTTCCTTTTGATACCAGTCGTCCGGTATGGATGGCCTCACTTATTCCCTCACTCATTCGTTTTATAGCAAGCGTCGCGAAGTATTTTACGGCCCTCTTTTTAATCGTTTGGGACACTTTTAGTGATCGTGATTATGGATCCACGTTTCTCTTCCTTCCTCTTCACGCTCGTCGACTTTATAACTTCAGTCCGTTCGACCTTATTGTCAGTAGAGTACAGCACCAAAAAATGTTAAGAAAAGATTGGCGATATCATACAAAGCTTCGAGAGCAAAAAAGGAACCGAGAATGAGGATAGCTATAGTGTTACAAGATCCGGAATGGTCTGGACGGTGATACTGGATTATCGATTATTTCTTTCGGAAAGTGAGAGCAATGCAGAGGGACCAAAGGAGAGAAGTGCAGAAATTAAAGAGCTTTAACGGGATCGATGGAAGAGACGAGCAGTGTATCGGGGTTTGTGAAGAAAAGCTATAGTACAGGCTTTGAGTTGCAAGTCGAGATGTTCCAAAACGTAGAGATGGATTGTGTGTCGAGAGGTGAAAGGAAGGGAGAGGCTGACATGACAATGGAACGGAACAAAGTAGAATGCGATGGTAACCCGAGACGCAGACGAGAGATAGAGCCCAGAAGTTAGAACTGGAATAAATAGCCCGAGTGCAGGTCTATAGGTGTCAACGGCCGCCGACGGATGGAACGAAGGTTACTGATGATGTTGCTCTGATCAGTTACTTCCACTACCAGCACCGACGCTCGCCCAACTGGACAACGAATCCGTTTCTGAGATCATTCCGGAATCATCTTCGAGATCATGTTGATGACGCCTTTGTACCGTCGTAGTAGTGTTCTTGCTCGTGTTGGCGATAGGTCGTGGCTGGCGTGGAGAAGCAAAAGGTGAGACATCGGATCCAGAGGTTTCTCTTGCAGGGATGGTCGTGCTACTCCTCAACGTCGTAAATTCTCTCTCCACGTCGTTGTCAAGATCGGATTCGAAATCGGAGAGGGAGGATTCCATGGCGCTGAGTGCTGTTCGGGGTGTGGAGGGTGTCGAGGAGAGTGCGGGGGAGTGGGAGCGGGAGCGGGATTGTGGCCTTGGAAGTGTCGTCGATGTTTCGGTGACTGGATCGGCGAATGGGTTGGAGCTGGGAGGCGATGTGGGTTCGGTGGATTGTGAGGAAACTAGAGGTGAGGTGGAGGATGCTACGTGCGGGTAGGACGCGTCGAAGTAGACCGACTCGGCAATCGTCGCGTTGGGCGGTGAGATAGAAGTTGTCAAGGCTGGTTGACCACCAAGGCGAGGCGAACCGGGGTTAGAAGCGGGGAGTGAGATGTAATTCGAGGTCGTCGAGCCTGGAGTGCTTGGCGAGGCCGGGACTGAGAATACCGCGTTGGGGCTTGCCATCCCTCTTGCACCAGCTTCAGTCGACGAAGTACCCTGCCCCTCGTTTCCCAATCCTAAAGCTCCAAATCCGACGAACGGAGACCCGACACCATCTACGCTGCTCACAACCGAGAACGGACTTTCGCTCCTCGACGAAGGGGGGCTGAGTAGGACGACGTTGTGCTCGTAATCGAGTTTGGGGTCTTGAGGGGCGTAGATTTGGGAGAGGGATGGGATGGAGGGGGAGGATGGAAGGGACGGGAGTGGAGAGGGACCTTGACCATAGCTGCCCAACTGGGATGATCTCGAGGCAAAGGACGATGGTTCCGAACGGAGGGAGGCGAGGGGTGGAGGTGTGGTTGCGATCCGGGAAGCTAAGCTAGAGGAACCGGCGGTGGCGGGAGGAGTCGATGGTAGAGGAGGGAGGGGCGGCGATGTCGAAGTCTGTTCCTCTCCATCGACAGAGCGGTCGGCCAATACGATAGTCCTCGCGCTGTTCACGCTCGACGGGACGCTTCCAGCTTCTCCGACATCGAACCTACCGACACGGGGAGAAGGGAACGAGATGGTGACTGGCGGAGTGGGTGCAACGGGTGTGGCATACTCGGACGTTGAAGTTGACGAACCAGCAGGTGGGGCGGTCGGAGGCGAAGGGAGCGCCTTTGCCAATTCCGCAGGCGAGTAGCGCACAGCACGAGGCGGGGTGGGCGGCGATTGCTGGACGGGTGTTACCGAACGAGAGCTGACACCAGGCTGACTTTGGGTTACAGAAGGTAAAGCAGGGAGAGGAGGCGAGGTGACGAGAGAGGATAAATCCGAGGTACTACGGTCGCGGTCTTCTTCATTGAGCTGCGCGTGTGTGGGGTGTTCCCGAGCGATCGGTGTTGGGAGCGTCGACTCGTCGAAAGGGTCATGTGCGTCTACCTCTGTCCGGAATAACATGGAATCCGCCGGTGCATCTCCGCGAGCATGGGTTGAGGACCTCCAGTCTGCATTGCTAGAAGGGGGTGGACTGCGAGCCGGGCTTCCCTCGGGCATCGGACAGGGGACCATGGGGTGCAGCGGTGGCAAAGGAACCGAGGCCGTCCTCGCTGTCGAAGGAGTGGTGGGCGTAAGAGGCGTGGATGAGTCGTGGATGATATGGGTCGTTTGCAATGGCGCGATATCCGTGGGAGGAGGAACAGGTCGCGTTGAAGTAGATCCAGTTGAAGCTGTCGAGTGGTGTGAAGGATAGTCCCTGGTGGAACGTGTCGGGGTGATAGGTGTAAACGGTATCGTGCTGTTGCTCTATATATGATTCATTACAAGGACCAAGGATGAGGGTCAAAGGGTATTTGATGCGTATCAATGAGTGGCAGAGTATGAAAGGAAATAATGATGGTAACCCACCTCGTCCAAAGCGCTTGTACTAGGGCTGCTTGTGCCTGCAGGGTTCGTCCTCCTGTGCCTCAGGCCGTCGGTACGCCGCCACTCTTGGACATCGCGCGCCACGAGTGGTTCGAGTTCGATGTCTCCACTGCTGCGGTGACGCGAACCCTCTGGCCGGCCGTATCGTTCCACGTCAGAATCGTTGTCGGTATCCGTATCGCTTGGGTTCGTCCTCCTGTTGGAGCGCGCGTTATTCGAGGACCGTCTTCCATCTCGTTCGTTGGTGTAAGAGTCGGACAGTTCGACAGCAATGGGCCCTTGACGACGGCGTCGTCGGTTCGCTTGGATTTCATCAACAAAGCGGTCGAATTGAGGTGCAATGTGGGGGTCGTAGACGAACTAGATGACAGCGTCAACACTATAATTGAATGTACCCGCAACGGCGAGTGCGGAGGATACATCACGAGAGTACACACCTGCTTGAACGCGATGACGGCGCCCACTGTTGCTATCGCGGCTACAACGTACACAGCTGGACCAGGCATCTCGTTCTCGTCCTTCTAAGCTTATCCTTATCACCGTTCCTTCGCTGCCCTGGAGCTTCTAGCTTGTCGGAAACGCAGGGGGGTGGGTACGTCAAGAGTCGTCAGAAACGCTAGTGCTGTTGCTAACGTTGGTACTTGTTGGTCTGAAAGAAGCTGTCGTGATAAGGGGAGTTGTGATGATGAGATGACGACGGGGCTGGGGTAGGTGGAGGCGGTGCTGGTCTGCGACGACGACGACCAAGTCTCAGACCTTGAGTAAGTGAAACCACACTGGTGTCTGTGCGTCTTTGGTCACTAACAAGGACAAGTAAAATGTGAAGGTGCTCACAGTTGCACTAGAAAGGGGCTTCCAGAATGTCGTTCTCCTTGGCGTAAAGAGGGGTCGTTTGGTAGGCGCCCAACGTCAAAACGCAGCGGTGAATGTCTTCAACGACTCCCTGGGTGTAACACAAGCTCTTCGCAAATGGTTAAGTCGACTAGAGCTAGTTGTATCCACTTGGAAAGAGTTTGTAATGTTTCCGGGGATGTTTGGAGCTTGGGGTTCCTTATCCTCCGGTGGCGGTTATAAACGATGACTCGTGTAGGCCTTGTGGGGACAAGTTCCGAGTGCAAGACCAATGAGCTAAGCCTCCCGTGTTTCTGGTCGTGATAAAGAAGTGTATCAGCTACCCGTGGCCGCCAGCAGAGCTTGGGATCGCTACCTCGTTGCGCTGTGACCAATATCCCGCAGCAGCAGCGGACTTTGTGGGTCAGTTCAACCGTAATTCTGGTAGGAACCCTGGGCTCGTGGTCCTAGTCGTGGTTGAGCGGCCCCAGTTGCGTGGATTTACAGAGAAATTTGAAGGAACGAGTCAGGTTCAGACCATGGACATGGAATGGAACGAAGAGACTGGCACTGGGAACTTTGGCAGCCTATGTTGCACGTTTCCCCGCCATCAATCCCGGTTAATAATCCGTCAGAAGCCTGGACTCTAGTTTGTTTGTGGGCGTCCACAAAGACACGTCAAAAAGCTAACTATTAGGCTCCAAGCTTACTATGACCTCCAACATCAGAACTCAGAAGTGGAGCTTGGGGAAGCGAGAAGACAGGGCGAAAAAAGATGACCGAGGCAGGGGTCGAACCTGCAATCTCCTGATTCGCGTTTCGTAGTCAGACGCGATGCCATTTCGCCACACGGCCGATGGTAACTGGGACAAAAATAGCTTTCTCGTTCACACGGCTAAGCCATTGTACCTTGCATCAACGACTGGGAAGATTCTCCACGTACTGTACTTGGCACGATTTGGGAGGAGGAACTATCGATTTCGATTCACTTTACTAGTAGCCCTTTCATTTGAGCAACTCACATTGAATTGTTCTAGGCTCCGAAACGATGCTTGACTACTTTGCCTAGAAGGCGAACTCTGTTGAAATCGGTAGTATACAAGAACTAAAGTACGAATGTAAAGACAAGGAATACACGGGTAATTATAGAACGGGAATATTATAAGAGCCTCCTACGTTAGACTACCGCGATATAACTCAGTACGGAGACTAATAGAAGATGGCGAGCACACAATCATCGTCGGTCAATGGCAACATCAGCCTGCCACACATCTTCAAAAGTGTTATGGAATCCAACGAGAACGAGGTGTTCGAATTGGATGGCGGTGGGGCCGATCGCGTACTCCACCGCGTCTGGGCGCTCATTGCGGGCGTGCTATAAGTAGGAAGTTCAGGTCAGACATGGCACAATTGAGATGGGACCAGGGAAATGGAGAAATGAAACGACGTACCTCGACGAAACGAGCAAAGTTTTGAGCAATCGTGGAAGCCAGTTGGGCGCGGGTGATGTGTCCGCTACCAGTGACCACATTGATGACTCGATAGAAGTCGAGATGGGTGTAACCAGGCCACTATTAAAGGAACTCATATATCAATATTTTTTGAGACTGTGAAGGAGGTAAGAGAACGTACCATAATCCGCAGAGTAACGGATTTCAAACCGGTACTCGCAAACACAGGGTCATTAGCGCCGGCAATCATCTGGCCCAGAGCTGTGATACTGCGCGCCGAGAGCTCGCGCATTGGAATGCCCTGCTTCTTGAACCCGATGTAATCGAATGAGAGAGGCGGTAGGTGACGGTTATTGGTTGCAGTAGCTTGTCTCCACTTTGACGGAGGCACATAGGACTTCTGGGGGAGCCACCGCCGGAAGGGAGACTCGAATTTGTGTCCCGGGTCGATGAGCGCTCCGGAGAGGGAGCTGTACGACGAATATTGGGCAGAGGAGACCGGAGAGTGGAGTGGGTTAACGTGGGCCATTTCGAGATATTAAGCGGGAGGATTGAGAAGTCGATTCAAGCTCGGACTTGGGGAGGATGTTGCGTTGAGGATGGAGGAACATACCTTCAGTGCGACGAGTTTAAAAACTAGAGTCAACTTCTTTCTCTTCTTTCGTCGTCTTTGGTTGGGTTGTAGAGTAGGAAGGGTGTCCTAGTGTCTTTGAAGTGCCCCATTGAACTCGGATACTCTTCAAAGGGGGAGTGTAGTGATTGACCCTCCGTGTGTGTCGCCATTGAGCCCGTTCAACACCTCTGTGTACCAAAGAGTCTTAGCGATCCGGAGAGCCTTGTAACCTTTGTAGACCCATGATTATCCAAGGGAATAGATACTCCGAGCCCCCTTGAAGCCCCTTTGAAGACACCACGTTGAGGTGATCGAGTGATCAAACAGTTATCAAAGCAACCCGAACGCGGCATGTGTATGCGTAAAAGCCACGCGACGTTGTAAGCCCTTTGAGGTTGTAGGTCCATTACGCATTTGTCACTAGATGTCGCCAACGAAAGCCCATAGCTCAAACAAACAGACACCCCTAGTTTCGCTGAGGCATTGCGTAGCGATGAAACAAAGTGCGTTTGTGATGCCGTTGCCAGTTGGGGAGATCATTCGCCAGAGAGTCGCGTCGAGTCATGGTGGCTGCAAGATACCTCCAGAAAGGGTATCTCCAGAGAGCTTTGACAACGATTTTCGAGGAGATAACCCATTTGCGTTTGAGACACGATGGTGGAGAGAAAAGTCGTGCTTTGATTTCCGGCCGCTCGGGATGTGGCAAAGACTCCGCTCAAATCCTGTGATCCGGTATGCACGGGCGAGCGTTTCAGCCCCCTGTCAGTGTTAGCTGCCAGTCCCACCAATCAACGTGTTTGCCCTGTGCGTTTACATACATTGAAAGACAATATGATGGAAAGGAAAAGCCAGAAGTTTGGCAGAACTAGGTGTGTCGGAACTCTTTTGATAACTGTTCCGGGAGAGAGTACCGCTGAGGGAGGATCGCGTCAACAGCGCCGGGGAGCGATGGGGATGGCTGTTTTTAGAACGCCCTGAAACCCGACCGGAGTTCTGGACTTCGAGTCACGAGTTCACCAGCCATATATAAAAGGGGACCCCAATCCTCATCCCAGCAGCAGCCTCCGACGGACCCCAGCCATGATCACCCTCTACGACATATCCTCTACCCTCCCCAACACACCCTTCTCAGCAAACACCTGGAAAGCGCGCCTGACTCTGAACTACAAAGGCCTTGCATACAAAACTGAATGGGTGGAATACACGGACTTTGCTTCTGTATACCAGAAACACGACCTACCCGCACCAGCCAAGCGCCCAGACGGCTTGCCTCGTTACACCCTCCCCGTGATCTACGACGACGCTACGGGGACGGCTGTTGCGGATTCCCTTGAAATCGCAAAGTACCTGGAAGGGAGGTATCCAGAGTCACCGAGGGTCCTCCCTCCTGCAGGCGAAGATGGCGTGGACGGTGTGAAGCAGGCTGAAGAATTTGGGAACCTTTTATTACGCCAGCTCGTTCCGTTTTTGCCACTCCTCTTCAAGAAGTCGATGGACATACAGGTTGGGGCCTCCCGCGAATACGCGTCGGCTGCTCGAGCCAAGGTTCTGACACAATTCGGACATAACATCAAAACGATCGACGAGCTTCAGATCTCGGAGGTGGAGGAAGCGGAGATATGGCAGAAGATGAAGGATCTGTTCGACCAATTTGATGAGAAATTTGGTGGGAAGGGGGTGGTTGGATGGTATCGTGGAGACGGGGTTTCGTTCGTTGACTTTATTCTGGGAGGGCTGCTATTCGCAATTAGGATAACTTGGGGAGAGGAGAGCGAGCAGTGGAAGGCGCTCTCACAGTGGAATGAGGAGAAATGGGCGAAGTACTTGGATAATCTAGGGTCCTACCAGACCGTTCACTAAAGGTTTCGAAAAGGAATGGTTCAAATACTGCATGTCGTCGCTCGTGGTGTATAAATTGCAGTCTAAAATCAATGTTCCTCGACCATGTCTATTCTAGCCCGAACCTGTACTCGATCGGCAGTGGTCCCGGTGGTCCAGACCCCCAAATTGCTAAGCGCCCAGGGCGATCCCGATAAAGCAGGTCTCGCCCCTATGCGAGACGCGCTCACGTGCTGGCCAGAACCACCGCAACCGGCTGTCAAAGTCGGACTCTTCTACTTCAACGAACCACAATCTTCGTTTAGCCATTCTTTGATTCCAACCACCACGAAGAGCCTACAGGCTCAAGCGCATCACCTAGAAGATGGTGGAGAACATCAGCCACCAACCTAAACACGAAAGTTACTACTGGGATTCTGTGGTCTTTTCGGTGCGTCGTTATCGCGGCCTGGAGTCGGGAAGGTTCTGAGAGAGTGACGGGGTACAGGTGGACAATGTCTTATTCAAAGTTCCGAAGTATCATTTTGTAGAAGGGTCGGAATGGTTTTCGACGACGTATGGTCTCAACGACGTGGCCAGGACCCTGGCGATGGACGCTGGTTCTTCTAGCAACGGAATCATCACCCTGCCCCAAGTTTCTTCTTCAGACTTTTGTAGCTTTTTGGAGGTGTTGTATCCCAGGTACGCCACGTCTCTGCCAGCAAAGCTATTCGGATCGCTCAAGCGTTCTTTCTAGGACAATTCAAACGACTCTTACCCTTTGCAAAGCCAAATGGTTATCCATCCTCAAGCTCTCCAACCAGTGGCGCTTTGCCCAAATTCGAACCTTCGCCATCAACCAGCTTAGCCTTTGTTCCCTGTCAGCGCCTGAGCGAATATGCCTCGGAAAGCAATACCACGTCTCCCCGTGGTTTTTGGGAGGCTGTGACGAGTTGGTCAGGAACGAAGAGACGATATCCATGGAGACGGCGCAGGAGATCGGCACCGACTGTGCGGTGCAGCTGTTCATATGCCGTGAGCGCCGCCTTTACGCGGCGGACCCAAATTACCTCCAGAAGGTCTTCGCCAAAGAACTGGCGGCCATCTCCGACTGGGAGAAGGAGTTTTCGAGTCCAGTATCTGTTGTCGACCGGGATGGATCCAAACGTCAGGACGAGGAGCACACCAGGTCGTCTGTGGAGGTGGAGAGGATGCTCACTCAGGAGGACTCGAGGGCGGACGACAGTGGTCAATGGACTGATTCCACCCTCCACTCCGATACCGATTCCCAAGGCGACGTGTCTATGAGTGATGCAGAGGCCAAAGCAGATGCTTGTCTCAAGCCCGGTGAGTATTCCTGTTCTCTGATGTTACATTACACCGACTGATCTCCCGTTCGCCCAGGTCAAAAGCTATCACCCAACGACGGCTCCGAGCTCGCTGAACGCTACCGCCAAGAACGGGACCAACTAGCTGCAGAAGCCGAAGAACTCAAAGCTCAGGAAGAAGCCCACCACCAAGAACGCGAACGTCTCACCGAGGAGATCGAAACTCTACAAGCCAAAGTTCAAGATACGCTGCAACAGCTCGTCAAAGAACACCTCGCCCACTCTCAGACCATCTCCGACCATAAACTGCGGCTTCAGCGGAGCGAAGAGGCGGCATCGAAGTACCGGGTTGAGCGAGACAAGTTTGCGATGAGGATTGCGGATATGAAGCAGCAGTTGGAGGAGATGCAGAAGCATAGGAGGTACAGTGAGATGGGGGCGTTCTTCCAGAGTATTTCGAGTGGGGATAGGCCAAGGGCTGGGCGACGAGAGCGGGTGATGAGCTCGGTGGGCGTTGCGGGGTCATCACCGCTGAGGATGAGCTGGCACGGTGCACCGACCGGAGCCAACAGTGTTGCATCTGTTCCTGAAGTTAAGTTCCCGTCGCCGGTAGATGCCGCAAGGGTGGAGAAGACGCGACGATGATTCCTGGTTCTGGTGCCAGCTTTCTTGCTCTCTTTCTTGCTGATGATCTTGCTCTACGCTTACTCCCGTTTACGTCATGACACGCATATGCTCCATCTAATTCGAATTCGCCATCCTGCATTGCCCTAGATCTTTGTTCACGACTATGACCTTATGACCACGCTACGATGTAGACTAATGTTCTGATTCCATAGACTCAACGCTAATTGATTGCCATGACCATATTCCATCATAAGCGCCTGAATCATGTACTTAGTACTACCTGGTTCCTCGTGCTCGGGGTCGACACAAGGAGAGTCAATAGGACATTGGGTACGTATTCGACTGACTATGATGAATGGCCCGTCAAGTCCGAACTGTAGAGCACCATCACAGCGAGAACCTCCAAAGTTCCTGACAAAGACAACTCGGAGAAAGTCTATCATATACGTTCCGATGGGTAAATGAACGTGTTCTGCGCGTTGAAGGCAGAGTCTTACCAAGGCAATAGCTGACTAAATCCCAACGAAATGTCTGACTAAACGTTCGACGCTTGAGGTAGGGACTCGGGACGTAGTGCTTAAAAGACAAGAGATGGCACCCGTCTTTATTCTGCAGGACCCACTCATCGCAGATCGAAGATGATTATACTATACGACCTCCCATCCAACCTTCCCACCCAAGCCTGGTCTGGCAACACCTGGAAGGCGCGGTTCTGCCTCAACTACAAAGGTCTTCCTTACAAGACCGAGTGGGTCGAGTACCCAGACGTCCCCAGCATCTACAAGAAGCATGGTATATCCCCAGTATGCAGCTTTGGAGAAGGCGGCAAGTACTACTCGCTCCCCGTCATCCACGACACTTCCACCGGTACCACCATCGCCGAATCGCTCGAGATTGCAAAGTACCTCGATGCGACTTATCCTGATGCGCCTTCCGTCCTGCCGAAGGTTGTCGAAGGATCAGCCGAGGCGCTCAGCGATCAAGCTGAGGTAGTCAAGATCATAGACGGCGACTATCCATTGGTTCTTCCCATTACGCTGCATTCGGTTGGGAAGATCCTGAACCCGCCCAGCAAGGCGCACGTCGTGCAGACGCGTGCACAGATTCTAGGACTCTTTGGAGTCGGGACAATCGAGGAGTTCAAGTTCTCCGAGGAGGATGTTAATAAGGGGTGGGATCATCTGAAGAGCATCTTCGATGCTTTGGACAAGAAGTTTGGTGGGGAGGATGGGAAGTTCGGGTGGTATCTTGGAGCGCGGATCTCATTTGCGGACTTTGCGTTGGGCGGGAGCTTGCTATTCCTCAAGACGGCTTGGGGAGAGGATAGTTCTGAGTGGGCGAAGGTCAAGAACTGGCACAATGGGAAATGGGTCGCCGCTTTGAATGCTTTGGATTCGTATACTACTGTTGTGTAAACAGGTTGCGACTGTGTTATTTGCCTTTGAATGTCATGTCCATGCCTATATATACGTCAATTGTGTGATGTCTGCCTCTGAGCCTTTAGGGCCTAGTCGGTAACAGCCAGACTTTGGGAGTGAGCATAGCCGCCCGCGATAGACGCTCGTTCCGGTCGCTGGGAAAAGTTCGGACCGGTTCGGTAAGTCCCGGAATCGGTTGGCTCCTCCAGTCTCCCACCGTCTGCTCTCTTTTTCGTGTTCTCCTCAACCCTCTCGACCCGTCGGTGTCTTGAAATTCTGGTTCCAACGTTCCACTGTCCAAAGCGCCATGGAAATCCGTAATCCCTTCCCTCTGCGTCAGATATCAGAGCTCGGACCGACAAAAACTCGTAACCTCGGCCGTCACGAACGAACCTTGAACAGTGACACGACCCAGATAACCCTCAGTTTTTTGCGCGGCGGAGAGTGTTGTATATGTCGCTAGTCGATTTCGCTCACAGGCGATCGTGGGCCCTGTTCGCCGACAGACCCGACATACCGCGTTGCGGCCTGCAATTGGTCAGCACAACGCCAACGGCGCCCTCCACGGTTCTGAATAATCGATTCCTTTTTCATGAATCAGCAAAGTTCTCGGGTGGTACTGATGTGTTTCTCTATCGTTCTTTGACTTTCGATTACCAACCACTTCTGGGCTCCTTGGACGACACGGACGGGCGACCGGTAACCTTGGACCCGGAACCTTTTTAGGAGATATAAAGGGCGGGGAGGACGCATCGTATCTATGTTCCCCAGATGCCCAAGATGATCACCTTCTACGATATCCCGTCGACCACCTCCCTCAATTCCTGGTCGCCCAACGGCTGGAAGACCCGCTACACCCTCAACTTCAAGGGTCTGCCGTACAAGACCGAGTGGGTCGAGTACCCGGACATCGCCGCGCTTTACCAGAAGAATAACGTCCCAGCGCCTGCGAAGCAGAGCGATGGAAGTCCCTATTACTCCCTCCCTCTGATCCACGATTCAAAGACCAATACTTTCGTGGCCGACTCGCTCGAGATCGCCAAGTACCTCGACAAGACCTACCCGGATACCCCCAAAGTCCTTCCTGACGGCGAGGAGGGGTTGGCAAAGACCACCCAGTTCCTCGGTGAGCTGGGCGGCACCATGTTCCCTCTTTTCCCCATCATCTTCCAGGCGACCGTCCCCATCTTGAACGAGGTCAGCAAGGACCATTTCAAGGTGGCTCGAGCGAAGAACCTCGTCTCCGTATTCAACAACATCAAGTCGATCGATGAGATCCAACTCTCGGAGAAGGAAGTTGAGGAGCGGTGGGAGCAGGTGAGGGCAGGTTTCCAGGGCCTCGATTCCAAGTTTGGTGGGGAAGGGAAGGAGCTTGCTTGGTTCGCCGGAGATAAGATCACGTTCGCGGACTTTGCACTCGCGGGAATGTTGCTCTGGATCAAGTTGGTTTGGGGAGAGGAGAGCGCAGAGTGGAAGCGGGTGTCGGGCTGGAACAATGGCAAGTGGGCTACGATGCTGAAGAAGCTGGAAGCATATCACACTGTCGCATAAGAAGAGAGAGGATAGGCCGGCTATATGATGCATGATGTGTGTTCCCGTGTTATTTACCTCCACCTCAATCTAAACCGCTTTTTTCGCTGATGTCGTTACCGTCTTCCGGAACTTTCGACATGCGGAGTACATGCGATGATAGCTCAGTCTAACCATCATTGTCGATGTTCAAAGCTCCCTCCGACGAGAACGGAGGGTTCAAACCTGGTGACATTCAGTGGCGCTACTTAGTACTTATTGACTAACAAAATCCCGATAGACGCACCCGTACTAGAAACAGAAGCCTCGAGGACACAGCTGAGTACTGCTTCAGAAACCCCACCTGTCTATCGCAATCAAATGATCATCCTGATACACACCCACAACGACACTGCTTTGATCGCCCTTCTTTCTATTGAATCCTTCATTATGGATGTCATTGGGATATAGCGCCCGAGGATTATCTGTCACCGTCGAGATCATCACTGCAAGAGAAGCGGCTTCGCTTTCTCAACGGGTCGGAAGGCCAGGCACGAATGATCAACAACCCCAATCAGCGCCCATCGTCGGATACAGCGGTGGAGGCTGATTGCGCAAAGGGATATGGTGCTGGAGGGTGGGGTATATAACGTCCCCGGGAGTTTGGATCGAGCTCCGAGACGCCATCTCCCCCTACCACTCCACGGAACGACCCGCACCCCCACCTTCTGCCAGGATGTCGGTGAATGGACTGAGCCTTCATGAACAGCTTCTTTACGCCGTAGACTTCATTCGCAAGTATAATGTGGGTTCCTTTTGATTTTTCCGTAACTTTTCAGCACGAGTAACTCCCTTTTGCCTAGTAGTATGCCCAAGGTTAGTCTCTGACATCACGGGCTGGAAGAGTCAGGACATTGGTATTAAATCGCTCTGTATGACAGTGGCCTCAATGACAATGCTGGTGAGTAGTCTCAATGCGTCTGTCCCGCCCAGTCTAACCTATCTTCGCCATCGTTGATCCAAGATTGCCGACTATCTGGAAACGCTACCTCTTGAAGTGAGAATGTCTCATCCTCTCGCATCCGAGACTCTATGGCTCAACAGCAAGCACAAAGGTCAAGCACATGTGGACTAGGAAAATGAGCAAACTCAAGATCGCCTATTTCGTGACGCGGTATTCGATATTCGTGTACTACATGCTCATCTTCATTTGTGCGTACAAACCTTGAGGCTGATCGTTATCGTTCTGGAAGGCATCGCTGAATTCTTTCATCCATTTAGACTCTGAGTCGCGAACATTAACGATTCCTGTGAGTCCCAGTTGGACCGCCTTCTTATCAACTGCTCACTCTCGTTCTATGTGTTAGCAATGTTATCGCCTTTTTGTGTCTAGCGTTGGTACGGCACGGAGCTGCTGAAGGGCTTGCATTCCGTATTGATTTCCGAACTCTCCCAGTGTCGATTGTGGTCAACAGCGCTTGTTCCGACGGTGAGTAGAAGTACCTACCGACCCCTCGAGTTCGAGTCGACTGACGCACTGGCACATTTTAGCTCTCCTCTACCTACAAGTGTACGCCTTCTCCGGTAAAAATAAGATCATAGGCTCGTACCTTGCATTGCAATTTCTCGTAAGTCCCCTCTCTTGTGAAATGCAAGGCATGTCACAAATTCTTTCCCCGCGCACTACTACTAGGCGGCGTATGCGATCAAATTCGGACTATTGTCCCGCTACTTCAAAGTCATCGTCTTTGCGAAGTTAAACCTCCCCGGGCTCTACTGCACGCCTATAAACCCGTTAGAAGTGGCACCCTATATGGCTGGTGTGTTCGTTGTACCCATTCCTGCCATCACAAGTGAGTGTCTGCCCCAAGCCTGTGGCTTTCAACCTTACACCCGCTTTGATAGTCCTCATCGCGATCACCTTTTGGATCCATCGCTCAAGCTATAGAGGCCTCCACAGCTCTCTGCTGGTAGTTCTGGTCCGCAACGGAATGATATATGTGCTCGTCATCCTCCGTGAGCGTCCGCAACTTGGTCGTGGTGATCAACGAGCTGACTCCATTCCTTCCTCGCAGTTCTCACCATTATCACCGTTATTGTCAACTATGCTGTGAGGAGTTTCTTCGAATTTTGCGTTCATGGCGACGAATTGATCTGACTTGAAACGACATTCTATGACCATAGCATGGATCGAACTCCCTCGTCTCGATGTGCGCTCCCTGGTTCTCCCATACATCTCCCACCCATATACTGACGAGGCACGGTTTATCCAGCTTCCAAGGCGCCGTACATCCCCTCTTATCCACCCGTCTGATTCTTCACCTGCGGGAACAAGCTCATCGCGAAGCCGAGTCAAGCATGGCGAACGCTGCTAGTCCACTTGGAGGAAAGCATGCTGGGAAGTTGGGATCTTTGAAGTTCGCTGCACCGCCCATTCAGAGTGGGTCAGAGACCTCGACCGCGGGGGTGTCGACAATGGAGATGTCGGATATGACGCACCGGGTGTAGAAGCCAGGATACGATTTAGACATGATCCTTCGACGATCCTTTATGAAATTTATGAACCTTGCATGAAGAAACCTTCACTGGTGATGAGATTGTATTATGAGGGCCCCAAAACCAAAAGCCAATGGCCTAGTCTACACATAATTTACATCACAGTCAATAGGTATATGATCGTCTAGTCGCTGTCCTCAGAGTCCTCGAAGTCGCTGTCCTCGTGGCTATAAGGAGAGCGTACTACCCACTCCCCGTCCCACATAACGGAAGCTACGACCTCCCCAATGCGCCGCACGTCGTCCTCGTACAACTTCATACAGCCATTAAACTGTAACTCCTCAATCTCCCCACCCAACTCGTACCTCAACATCAACCAATCCAGGAACAATTCAATATCGATCTCTCCAAAGTCGGCGGATTTAACTACGAGCCTTTTGAGCGAAGCAAAATGTTTTAGCTTCGAAGATGAGTTGGATGGCGCACCGTCCAAGTCACTTGGCTGCGACTCGGACAGAAGTAAGTCCAGGGCATGGTTATTGCAGATGTAGCGGAAGAAATCTTGGGATGTGTGGCGTCTTTCAAGGGAAATTGTGTGGACGGAGGGTAGGTGGGATAGAGCCTCGAAAACCTCTGGGCTGTGGTTGATATCCAAGTCGAGCGTGAGGACGTCGTTCAAGGGCAGAGCGGCGAGGAGTTTGTCACAGTGGACGAAACGACTGTAATAGAGGATTATTGTTAAGTCGGGCGGCTGATCAATTGTGGGCGTGGTAATGTCGTTATGGTCCTCCATCACGGTTGAATGACATTGGATGGTTGCTCTGTAGGAGTTGTAGTGGAAGGTGAGAGAACGGTAAATTTGGCTCCAAGTGCGAGACATCGCCTCCCCAAATGCCACTATAGTGGCGGGAGGGTCTTGCGTAAGGTCCGACAATTCAAATTTGGAGGAGAGGGAGGGAGAAGGAAGTACAAGGTGCTTCAGAACATATTCGAATTCGCGGAAAGAGTACGCGTCAATTCGAAATAATTCGAGCTTTGGGAGGCGGGTGACACGGCGTGGCGTTTCCAAAGGGGGTGCAAGAGCCGTGACGTCAAGGTCCAGCTCGCGTAGGTTTGGCATGGCTTCAATCCCTTGGAAGAAGTCTTGGGCGCTTGGGACGGAGTCCCCCGCCTCCAGCCTGAGAGGCAACTTTACCTTGAGCGAAATGAGGGCGGGAAACATGGGTGAAGGGGCCGTCCAGGACGGTAAATTGTATCCCACTAGCGTCAGCTTTCGGAGCATCGGCCTCTCACCACCTCCCAGCCACAGGGTATGAGGGAGTTCGGGGTGCGCTCTCAGCTGCAGACTCTCCAGGATGGGGGTTGGGGACGTCAATTGCTCGAGTTGTTGGCAAACAAAGTCGTTGTCCCCGTCTATGTTGAGGCCCTTCAGACGATGTAGCTGTGAGAACACCTTTCTGATGATATCGGCGACTTCGGGTTTCGAGCTCGCGGAGCGTTCCGAGAATCTGAAGGAGATGGGGGATTGTTTTGACCGTTCAAACATAGCCACGGCCCAGGGAGCATTCAGGCATGTGTCAATGTCAGACCAGAGTGTCATACAGCCCAGGGCTGTAGACCTCCAGCATCGCGAAACGTGTGTGACTTTGGTCCAGTCAAAGAGCCGGATCTTCTTTCCAGAGGAGTAGTATCTGCGTCCCCAACATGGCGCGGACGTGCAAAACTGCTGGTAGTGTATAAAAACTTGAGTGAGGATCTCTGGTGGGAGACGAGCAATTTCAGTCAGCTCGTTTCTGTCGCTTTTCAACTTTCGAATCTCTTCTTCCAGTTCTGCGATGCGTGAGTCGATAAAGTCGCGTTGAGCTGCTCGCTGGTCACGTTCGTCTGCCACGTTTTGGGACGCGGGTACTGGAGTGCGGTCTTTGCCTTGTGAGCTTGTGCCTCAGTCTGAGCAGGTCCAGCGCTTACCTGGAGATGGTTCAGACATCTGGAATCAGGCTAAACAGATTAGACCCAAGGAGCAGAAGAAACTTGAAGGTCGACGCGACTATAGTAATGCATCAGCACACCGTATACCTGGGAAAGCTTCCCACAATCCAATCACACTCAGAGCCGAATACATAACATCGGTACGTGGAAGCTTTGCAAGGTCAGTCCATTCCTCACAGACCATCCATTACAATACCCCTATAGCTTTAAGATCTATATTGAATTCAGTACAGTAAGCTAACACGCCAGAAAATCAATAATCGCAATACGGACATCCAGAAGCACCACATTCGTCACACGGCGGTTCATCCGTGTAAAATTCAACATCCACCACCACTTTGTCCAACCTCTTCACATCTCCGACCGGAAGATTCACACAGCCATCCAGCACCAAAGTCTCAATCTCCCCTCCCATCTCATACCGCATGATCAAGAAATCCACAAACGAGTCAATCGGGATGGTGCTCTGGAAATCGACTCGCTTGCAAATGAGCGTCTTGAGCGCGGGGAAGCGCGAGACTTGTGTTGGCGGTGGTGTATTCGGTGGTCCCGTGTTGGTCGATTCTACGAGCTGGAGGGCGGGATCGCTGTGTATGCATCGGTAAAAGTTGGCTGCAGTGAGCTGAGCAATAGTGACATTTTCGAGGGCGGGCAGTTCAAACGTTCTGATTGGGCAAGGATGTCGGCCGCGAGTTGGCCCTCCGGACGGTGTTCGGACGAGTATAGGAAGGAGAAGGGTGACCGTTTTGACCTTTCGAATATTATTCTGGCCCACCGTCGATACGAGGTGTTGATGTTGCACCAAAGCTGAGCGCAGCCGAGAGCCGTTTCTCTCCAATATCTCGAGACGTGCGTGACTCGAAGCCATTCGGGAACCGGTACATAATGACAGTATGCCAGGTCTCCTGGAAAGAAGCACATTTGTGCGTAGAGGATGAAAATCCTGGACAAGACTTCGGGTGGAAGTAGGGACACCTTCGTGGGTTCATCGTCGACGTGTGGGCCAGAAACTTTTCAAATTTTTTATGTCGAAGGGTTGTCGAAGGGCCCAATCACGTCCCAAGTCGCACGCTCGATCCGGCCTCAAAGCCAACTTAATTCGTGATCACACAAGAGAATTGATACATCTTGAAATACCAGAAACGAGTATGTATGTACCTAGTGAAGGACATGGGTCACCCATGGCTCACTCAGGTCTGACCCTCACCCATACCCACCAAAACCCATACCCATGAGTGTGGGTGTGGGTTTCCGTGGGTTTATGTGGGTGTGGGTGTGGGTCTGAAACCCATGGGTTTTGGAAGCATGGGTAGAGTGGAATTGTGAGTGATTGGAGTACAAATAGATATTGGACATAAATATTGAACTTAATAGAGTAGATAGCATTAATACAAGAGCAATTGAGGTCAAAATAGTTGCATACAGAAGCATTTTTCCCATTGGCACTTGAGACTCCAGTAACCCGTGGGTCAGGTGGGTTAGGTGTGGGTGCCGCAGAAGTGACCCACACCCACACCCACCTGACCCATACCCACCAACCCACAGGGTCAGCCCAACCCATGTCCTTCACTATATGTACCAATCAAGCTGCATATTTCAAAAATTGCAATGTTCACATCCAGACGTCCAATCCCCACCTTTATGAATTTATTGAGTCTTCCATGCACTAAGTGCCCATGCTGCATCGATCATCGAGTGTGCTGACTTCCTTCGTTCCCTCACTTCTGAAGTCCTTTTCCCAGCCCAGCCTAGATCGCTCCAACCCAACGTTGGTCATCTCTCATGGCCAACGCAATGCGTTCGCAATAGGCGTCCTGCAATCATTATAACTCAGACGAGTCGATGAAGGTGAAAACAACGGGGATACGCGCAATGTTCGATCACGTTGACGGATTGAATCTTCCGGAGCTCAGAACGTTCAGACCTCAGGCCTCAGGGTTCGGAACAGTCTCCAGACGAGCGATCACGCTTTGAAAGGCCCTCAAGCTTCGAGTTCAGATTTGATGCAGCCTGGCACCCTCATCCTCACATGCCTCACCCCATCTCGCAGCTCGTAGCCTCACAACCACTCAGGTCTCTCACATCATCTCAGCCTCAGGGCCTCACATCTTCGAAAACTCCCTGACGTCTCTTCCAGCTCGCAGGTCGGTTGCAGTGCTTGAGTTTCGCAGGTTTGAATTGGTCTGGCGCTCACATTTCGCACTCCTCGCTCACTCGGAGAGTATCTGTTGAAAAGCACGAAAGGTCAGCACACCACCGACGTACCTCACGCACTCATGATTCAGAGGACCTGGGCCTCCGAGTTGTCACACCCGTGACCCGCCTGTCTCCTCGGAGGAGCACCTCGGGAAGAGAGAGCACGGATCCCTGGAGAAATCGGTCAGAAAAGATGACTGAGGTGAGAGACGTACCAGGGGTGGCAAGATAGTGAGCACTCGAAGACGTAGAAAGTCTCGAGGCCTTTGCCGACTCGGGAGACAAGTCACGAACGCCTGGAAGAAGAGCCCTCCATTTAGCCAACAGACCAAATCAAATAACCCGCTCACCAAATCCATCGGACCACCTCTGATTTAACGTGCTTTGGTTCGACCCGGAGGAGTCTTGTTAGACTCTCCGGAGTCTTAAGCCCAGGGACCCACAGCAAGGGAGCACGAGGAAAAGGGAGCATCGCCCGTCGGGTAGCTCCCCCCACCTTCCCCAGGATCCCCCGCAGTCTTCGAGCCATGTACCGAACGTGATTGTAAAGGGAGACCAAGTGGTGAATGAGAATAAGGTGAGCCATGCCTGGAAGGAGAGGATCAACGATAAGAAGCCAAGTAACCAACGCGTACCGTCCTCGATATTGGTGACTCGGACTCGAGGAGCATGAGTAGAACTTCGTAGTTTAGATCAAACAGTGTAGTCGGCGTCGCCCGATTGCTCAGAATAAAGCGCTCAAAAGTGACGGTCTTGAAGCATACAGATATCTGACTTCACTAGATCTATCCATATATCAGCCTGGAGAACACGGGTAAGAGAAGAAGAAAGACATACCTCACACTCACGCTCACATAGCCTCACAATTCATCTCAGAACCTGGAACATTATGAGCCAATATATTAGTAAAATCGCCATCGACAATAGAAGATACTACTCACTTAGGACTCAGAAATCAAATCCCAATCACACTTTGAGGTGTAACTGTCTTAAAAGGGGGTCAGGAAGGACACGACGAGCCCAATAACGGCGTACCATCAACTCACATTCAAAAGAATCGTCAAGCCTTGGTCTTGACCCACCATACCCTACCCACAAGGCATAACAATGTCGAAGGCATGCTGTGAAAGGGCTGAAGCTTAAGGGACGGGAGAAAGGTGTGCAAGATGTCGGAGAAAGCAAAGATGAATAACGCCGGACGTTGCGCGCAAGCTCTTAAGAGTCAAGGCTCAACATCACTCATCCCCCAATCCATAGACCCATCTCAAGCTCAAGACTCACGAAGAGACATGTCCGAGAAAAACAAATGCCTCAGAAATCCGAGCTGGAGCCAAGAGAAACACAGCACAGGTCGAAGCACACAGAGAGATGAACTTCCGATAGCAGCAAATGAAAAGATAATCGGAACAAGATGTCGTGTTGTTGGGGGAAAAGCAACGAGAAAGCAGTGGCGCGAAGTTCCCGAGTCAGAAGTCGAAAGAGAGGAGCCGTGACAGATCAGACCAGCCACGATAGCCACACCGAAGACAAGACAAGTGTGACGTGGAGCACAGACAAGTCCAAGACACTCAGCGAGCACTCAGAAAGACAGAGCCACCTGTTGAACTATATCTTATCTTATCTGTAGATTATATCGTAGATTAGATTAGATTAGTGAGACTTGGTCCAGAACACTCTAGAACATTCTAGTGTAGAACATTCTGGAACGTCACATGAGTAGGTGCTAATACTTGCACCATATCGCGTCATTATCGCTCATTCTTACTCATGATGACTCATTCGCTTAACTCACCCGTCACACCTTCCATATTTATGTAGTTTATGTCACATCTGTCACGCTTCCTGTAAACTATAAATACCAACCCCTGGCCTTGGAATAGATGACAGAGTTCGTCACAACTCTTGTAGTTAGCCACTAGTTAGCCTCACATAAAACTCTACCTGGTAAGTCTTAGAGTAGACCACCTTAGCTAGATAGTGTTTGCTCGACAGGTTATGAGCCCCGCTAGGCTTTAGCTTTGCGCTTGTTTGGCTGCATTGCTAAATCTGGTTTGCGCTAGTCTCTGGCTGCATCCAGAATCTAGTTTGCGCTTTTTTGGCTGACATCTAGATGCTCTAAGGCTTACTACTTGTGGTCGTCATGATCTGCGCTATTTTTGGCTGCGATCAGGGGACTAAGGAGCGCTATTTTTGGCTGCACACTTGTCCTTCTATTCTCTCACGAGAACGCCATGCTGATGATCGGATCGTCTTTGACAGATCTCAACAACCATGTCCTCCGCCCTCACTCAACTCGTTCCGATTCTTGATGGCACCAACTATCGAGAATGGAAGCCGCTCGCCATCGCTTATCTCCAATTTGCTGGCGTGTGGGATGTTGTTGATGGGACCAATCCGGAGCCTTCTGATCTTCCCCCCGATGCCAAGGAGGAAGACAAAGAAGCTCGCCGGAAGGAGCAAAGGGCGTGGCTCGAGAAGAATATGACTGCTAAAGGTGCCCTCACCTTACGCATGACACCTGCTATTCGCTTGACCATCCAGTCAAACCAATTGGCTCGAACCATTTGGACGAAGTTGGAGGAAAGTTACGGTACTCCAGGGGCATCCGTGGTCTTTGCCGTCTTTGCCGATTTCAGGAAGGCTATCGCTTTCAAGCTTTCGGAAAATGAAAATCCGGTACCACAAATGGATGATCTCCGATCAGTCTTTGATCGACTTCACGCCAATGGTGTCAGAATGCCTGACTTCTTCCAAGCCATGATCCTGATCAACGCAATTCCCCAGAAATGGGATAGCATTGCGGTTCTGTTGATGCAGAACAAAAAGGTCAAGGAACTCAAATTGGCTGATGTGTACGAAGCCATCATGGCGGAGTATGAACGTCGAACTCAGGGTTACGTTCACGCCAACAAGATGTCAGCGATCAAGCGGAAGAAGGGTACCCCACTTTCAAGCAGCAGAAGCAGCAGCAGTCGTCTTCTAACTCGCCTACCCAAGGACAGCAAGGACAGTCTTCTAACGACAAGAAGAAGTCCAAGCGTGGGAAGTCGTCCGGAAAGAAGAAGCAACACCATCATCACCACCACACTCACATGGTTGACGCTGATTCTGATTCCGATTCTGATGACTCCTCCCAAATTGCTTCCGCTGTCGTCCTTGGCTCCCACATCATCTCGGCTCACCATCACACTCCTACTCCCACTACTACCTCCGTCGCCTCGTTTACCTCGTCCGGCATCAAAGTCAACAAAGTCCCTGTCAATCTTCCCGGCTCAAGTTTACACCCCCGCTACCGCCGAGAAAGACCAACGATCCCAGGGACTCATCCAGTTTATCCGGACTTGGCACAGGCTCAGGAGATCTGCGATCGGCTTCATGTTCCTCGCACCGCCAAAAATCTCCGACCCCTCATGGATTTCCCCGTTAAGAAGTCACTCGAAGATCGTCTCGAATCACCTCCTCCTGCCAAACGTGCTCGTTCTGAGTCTCCTCTCTTTACAGACTCCGACAACGATGACGCAGTCTCACTTGGCATGGATACCGATGACGAACCCGACTTCAAAGCGGACACGGAGATTGAGGACACTGCCATGGAACTCGACACCGGACACATCGACGAACAAAGGTGTGTGTCATCCCGTCGGCTGAATGAACAACTTGCTGATCTCACACAGCGCTCTATTCTAATTGATGCTGCTGTATTACGTGATGATCTGTATATGGACTTATGTATTGCTTTGAATTACCTCGCTCGGCAATATATGTCTATTTCCTCGTTCTTCGCGAGTTGTTCTGAATGCCATTCTCCATTCCATGGGTATGACGTCTGGATGATGGACTCCTGGTTGTTCTATGCACGTCACTAGTGATGAGACCGATTTCGCATCCTATACTCCATTAAGAAATTCGCCCGAAATTCGCACAGCTGATAAAAAGGCTACTCTTCGTTGGGCTGGAGTTGGATCCGTCTTCATCAAACACATGGTGAATGATTCTCATGGGAAATATCAAGAAGTCAGGACTCGTCTATATCCTGTCTATCATGTCCCCAACCTACACGGACGACTACTCTCTATGGGAGAGTTTTCTTCAACAACGTGGACATTACGTTCACGGTGATAACAAATCGATCGGCATCTATAAGCCCGATCAATCTCAAGCTATCGTTTGCCGTCCGGCTATACCCGGTCACACCATTTTCTGGGTTAAGACTCGGATCACTTCCGTAAAGAGTCTAGCGGCAAAACAGCTCTCGATGGTTTATTCCGTCGACTACCAAACCATGCATCGACGCTTTGGGCACCCCTCAAAGGAAGTGCTTGAGAAAGCGAAGGGACATACCAAGGGTTTCCCACAGAATGTCTCTGTACCCGAAAAGATGTCTCCCTGCAAGGGATGTCATGAGGGAAAGATGCCATCAAAATCGTTCCCACCATCAACTTCTCGTGCGAAGAAGCCTTTTGAGAAGATTCACTCTGATCTTAAGAGCTTCCCGGTAGAATCCTATCACCGGTACAAGTACTTTATCGCTTTCTTCGATGACTATACCTCCCCACGGTTGGATCGTCCTTCTCCGAAAGAAGGATGATGCCCATCAAGGCCTTACGCGACTTTGTTGCTATGGTCAAGACCCAATTTAACGCCTCCATCAAAGAATGGATGTCGGATGGAGGGGGAGAATTTAAGTCCGAAGAATTTCGATAACGCACTGAAGGAACTTGGCATCAAAATCCTACAGAGCGTTCCGCGTCAGCCCCAACAAAACGGCAGGGCTGAGCGTTTTATCAGGACAATTATGGATAAGGCCCAGGCACTTCGCTTTGACGCCTGTCTTCCTGAGTCCTGGTGGGAATTCTCGGTGTCACATGCCGTGCATCTCTACAATCGCACGCCTGTCAGACGTCTTAAGTGGAAAACTCCGTATGAGCTATTACACAAGAAAGTCCCTGACATCTCGCACTTACGTGTCTTTGGTTGTGGCGCTTACGTCTACCTTCCCGAAGAAGTCCGAAAGAACAAACTATCACCCAAATCTGAACTTATGGTGTTCTTAGGATATCCTGAGGGAATGAAGGGTTATCTCTTCATGCGCTTACACAACAACAGTCTCTTCCGAGGCGCTACGGCTGTCTTTGATGAGACTTACTTCCCGAAGTGTCCTGGTGCACAACCTCAACGAGGTGGCGTTCGTGCCGGCGACGAACCGCCTCCACCATCGGATCGCGGAGATGACAACATTTCTCCTGAAGGAGGTGACGATGATGACTTTGTCCATCGTCCCAACTCCCAAAATGATGACCTTCCCCAAAGGGATCGAGGGGGAGATCGTGACGACGATCAACCTCAAGATCCGCCGCCACCTGCCCTGGGAGATCAACCAGAGGAACCACTGGCTCCGGAACAACAACCGGACCAACCTCAAAGATCTGGCCGTGAGCGGAGAACCGTTACTCGCCCAGGCTCCATCTATGGGGGATAAAACCCCTTCACAAATTGATGCTCAATCGCAGCGTGATTGGAGAAAGACTG